AGTCCTAGTACAAAGAGCGTCTATTTTAACTCTAGCTCTCTTCCTATTTGATTAGCTAGTATAGCCGTTCCCATTAAATCTAAGTGTAGGATCCTACCTCTAACCTAGATGTACCTCCTCCTAATTTAAATTAATGGTCCTCTAAAACAGTTGCTTTTATTAGTCATGTGTAAACTAGCACAACTGTCTATATACCATTAGGAGGGGTTCTTACTTATAACATCCTTTAAAAGGTAGGCAACTTTATAAGATACTTGATCATTAAATGAGATAGTAGTAGGTGACTTCGAAGTTGTAGAGCTAATAGTAGAGGTTTCCTCTACTTTATAGGCTCTCTCTTTTCTTATAACTTTAGTTTAGACCTTAGCCTTGTCCTCCATGATTTGTATAAAGACCCTAGCAACTACTGCTTCTAGGTCTTTCATAGCAATCATAGGCTCTTAGCGGGATAACTAAGAAGACCGTTTCTATCTTCGATTATCTCTTGTAGCTCGTTAAGTAGCTAGAAGTGATAGGCAGTCCTTAACAAAGTAATCCTTCTTGCAAAGATGACATTTAATAGGGCCCTATCTATTCCTTGTAAGATAAGCATATAAGGTCGTCTTTAAGTTCAGTTTTGCTTTAAAGTTCTCTAAAAGTGCAAGGATATCTTCTAGGTCTAGATAACTTTGCACGTCGATAGCGTTTATAGTTATGTCGTATTCTTCTAGAAGACTTGTAAGTAGCTTTTAAATCCTAGCTTTAGGCTTGCCTAGATTCGCATTAGTTAGGTCTAAGCTTGCAATCTTTCGTCCTAGCTGTTAAAGNTATAGCTACGCATCTTAAATNNTCTAGTTNTAGTCCTTCTAGAAGGAGTNGAACGATTCTATAAGTAGTCTCCTCTAAANAGGTAGAGTCTTCTTNTATCTAGCTTGNAACTNGTCCTAAAGTGTCTTTAAATTNGCTATATNAACATAACGCATCTAATCGTCTTCTAAGATGCATTTGTTAATCTAGTACAAAGCTGTATTGTCGATTTTAGTNAAAGCTGCCTCGTGCTTGCTTTTAGGTGTTTTAATTGCTTTCTAGCAGTCCTTGCTATATAGCTATCTCTTTATGTTTTAGAACTATAGTTCCTAGTTTTCTCTAGTAAGGGTAGCTACTAGCCTACCTCTCTATGTTTCGGCGTCGTCCATTTCGTGTTCGATAGTCGGGTTCGGGGGTAAGTCTATCGTCGACTTATAATAGTATCTAAGTACTGTTAGGTTTAGTAGTCTTCTACTAAAGATACTAGAGTAGGCTAACTATAGGTCCTCTTACGCGAGGGTAGCTTATAGCTGCTATTTCGGGTCGGGCGCGATCCTAGTATAAGTTTTATACCGCTTATATTCCTCCGAGCTCTTATAAACCTAGGCTTATAACTAGTTAAAAAGTATCGCCTAGTAGTCGGAAGCTAGAGCTCTAGGGGGATTAGTCATTAAGGGGTAGAACTAATACGTGTGTTGTAATTAAGTTAGTTAACTACTATTATAGTATAGAAGTCTTTATGTTGCGGCTTCTCCGCATTACCTAACTTCCTCTTGCTACATCTATCACCCTAACTACTATATTGTAACATCTTCGTTATATACGTCTTAGATATATATACGATCCTTACCTCTTCTACTTTATCCTATTACGATATACTATAGGAGACTATTAATACTCTATCTATCTAGGAAGTAGAGGAGCTTCTCTTAGTAGAGCATAGTTTAAATAACATCTTTATTAATTAAAGATAGGTATACCTTAGAAAGAACAAGTCCCTCAGGTTTTTGTTCCTTAATAAATTGAAGGATAAGCGGGTTATAAAGTAATCTTCCTATAATAGTATATTAGCTATTAGGTAAACTAGAAGCTTCCTTAACGTACGAGGGGTAAGTCCTAGTGTTATAACTTAATTAATTACGTTCCGTAGCTCGGCGTAGAGACCTATAGGAAGTTTTGTAGGAGGTAGGGGCAGATAGTTATAGATACCCTTAGATACTAGTACTATAAAAGGGTATAATAAAAGGGGGATGCTCTTTAGATTTAGGAATATCTAGTCGAACTAAATAGGACATTTGCCCGCCGTCTCCTATAAGCTTTAGAGTGTACCCTAGCCGGCTAGATAGTCTATACCTATTAAAGAAGGCATTATTAGTAACCTTATAATATAGTTTAAGAGGGGTATTCCTAGAACGGCTACGTATACTATAGTATAACCGAAAATAGCTTAGTACTTCCGAAAATACCTTACTTTCTTTAAAAATAGCTCGAAACTTCTAGAAGTACTAAGCTATTTTTAGAAGAAGTAAGGTATTTTCGAACATACCTAGCTACTTCTAGAAGTACCGAGCTACTTTCATAAAATGCGCGAAACTTCTAGAAATACCTAGCTTTTTCCAAAAGTTTTAAGCTTTTTCTAGAAGTACTAAGCTTTTTTCGAAAGAAGTACAAAACATTCAAAAGAAGCTAGGTACTTTTAAAAGTTTCGTACTTCTTTTAAAAGTAGCTCTCTACTTCCGAAAAAAGCTCGAAACTTTCGGAAAAAGCTAGGTATTTCTGCAAATCCTAAGCTAAATCTATAGTAATGGCCTTTAGTACCTATTATTAGTAGGATTACCCTAGTATACTATAACTTACTACATATTTTCTTCTTTGCTTTATTCTGTTAAAGGATATAGTAATCCTACTAGTTCGTATACTATCTACTATACGAAATAAGGGTTTTAAGTAGTAGTAGGTCGTACTTGTTAGCAAATATCCGAAATGTAAAGTGTCGAGGTAGGGAATCTAGTAGAACCAATTAGGCTATTACCAAAGTCTAAACCTTAGCATACATTAGGTAATCTGCTCTCCTTCTAAGCATATCCTATAATTTCGGTTAGTTCGTAATAGTAATAGAAGGTAATGTGTTATATATAGCTATACCTTAACGGTATACGAGTTTATAGTTAGTATAGTCTAGGACGTTCTTATAAAGCCGTCCTTCTCTTATTACGTAAGAGTAGGAAATGTATAGCCTAAGGTAAACCTTATAAGCCTTAGATCTTAGAATAGCATAGAGGTATACCTACTCGTTCGATCGGTTTAACCGTACCTACTCGTTATTAGTATATCTAGAAACCCTTCTAAACGGCTAGTAAGCCTTACGGCAAGCCTTAAGTTCTTCCTACTACTTAGTAGAAACACTTTAGTAGCTCCCTCTAAGATCCTCTATAAGGTGCTTATAGTGTATTACGCTAGTATAAGAGTAGAGGGCGCGCCTTGCTAGGAACCTAAGGTAATCGTACTATATATCTATAATTACCTCTTGTGCCTTATAGTACGTAATCTAGGGGTCTAGTTAGAGAGCTAGATATACTAGTTATCTATTATAGCTTACCTAGTTATGCATGTTAGGAATCTTAGTAGGCGATAGCGTTAAATTAGTAAGGTTAATATAATAGGCTACGCCCTCGTTTAATGTCTCTAGGTATAGCGGAACACCCTAGACGTTAATAAGCCTCGTTACTATTACCGCCGTAGTAGGGGTAAACGAGATGTACCTAGTACTACTTATCTTAGGATTATCTAGCTAGTTCTACGTTAGTTTAGTAAGGTTAGATAGTATCTTAATATACCTACTATTAGGTTAAGGGTACACTTAGGTAGATGCATCTAGGCAACCTTATTAGGAAGTGTTTTATTAATGTCCATATACTTAGTAAGATTTTAAGCCTATGCTAGAAGCGATAGATATGTTATATCTTAGTAATACGGTGCTATTTAGTAGACATCCTACGATAGAGGGTTTCCTAGGGTGCTAGATAGGTATATTACCTAAGAGCTAGAGGGGTAGCTTTCCTATAATGATAGGAACTTATAGGAAAGTAGTAGGTATGTTCCGTATAAATGCGATAGCTCTTATAGGGTTGCTCGTAGTGTACCTATTAGAAAAAGTAACTATTAGTATTGTCGGTCGCTTTCTGCGTAGCTCTATCTACTACTTTAGTAGAAGTAATCCTAGGTAACTATGTTGTTTTCCGAAATAGCTCTATAAAAGCGACACTATTTCGCAATAATAGCATAGCTATTTCGCAATAATAGCACAGTTATTTTGTAGTAATAGTACCGGTATTCTATAGGTATATCAATGAAAATAATGTTTGTTTATGTTGTGGCAGAAAGTTTTAAGTTCACGCTATAGTTGCTAAGGTGGAAGTGGGGTAGGTTTACCTAGAAGTTGCTCCGAGTACCGCGCGTTGAGCTAGTAGTCCTTAGCGCTTCTAGGTGGGACCTTAGCGCTTCCAGGTCAGAGAAAGCCTTAGGAAAAGGCACTGAATCATGTGTTCCTTGTGCTACCGTCAGTCGGCGACCGGGTAATGTGCTTGCGGTCCGAAAGGCATTCATTTGGCTTTTGTTAAAACAGCTTCTCGAGTTGAATGTCATGAATACATGGTCATGCAGAATGAGAACAAGAAGAGATAGGAATAATGCCAGTCCAGAAACCGGCGAAATTGTGCTGATAGAAATGGCCTCGAAGAGTCGAGCCGCTGTAGAGGTTTTGCACGGTGCGCGCAACGGACGAGTGTGACAGAGCCTCAACGGGCGCAAGCCTCATCCACTTCACCTCGTTCTCGCGTTCGCATCACCGCGAGCGACTTTTTTCTGGCATCGTGAGCGTTTGTGACTTTTGCTCACTGGTGCTCTCTCTTGTCTCAACTTCGTGCCGTGTTGATTCGTTTTCTCCTTTGCGCGTCGCGTGCACCCGAGCAAGAATGCCAGCATTCACGTTCTACGTGGTCGATTGAGAGTTGGAAAAGGCCCTGGTCCCTGTTTCAACAAATTCGCGACTTCCCCAGCTCGTCCTTAAGTTTCGGCTGATCGAGGTGTTGTTCGTAGCAGACGGAAGAGCTGATATGACGGCCGGTAGCTTCCGAAGTGGCTATCGCGACCTGCGATAAAGCTCAGGGAGCTCCAAATGCCTGTTCCAACTTCGTTGCATCGTCTATACCACAATGTTCGCTCCAAGGGTCTTGCAAGCGGCCAGGTCCTCCATACCGATCAACAAAAGATGCTTCTCTGCAGCCATAACCTCGCGACAGAAGCCCGTCGATCTGAGTCGGGAGCTTTATCACCGCAGTCCCGGCCACCCGTTCCACCCTCCAATGGTAATGGCACAATGGGATACACATCAAGAGATGAAGGCTGGAAATTCGATATTCCGCACTGCTTCCTATTTCGTATCGTTCAGTGATCATGCCGGCACACATGTCGACGCTCCCAAGCATTTCAGCGCTGAACCTGGCGCCAAGTCAATCGATGAGATGCCCCTCGAGACCTTTTATACCGACGCTATATGCCTGGACCTATCCCATGTTGAGTTGGGCGCCGCCATTTCGGTCAATGAGATGGAGGCCGCTCTTTTCAATTCTGGGCAGGAAATTCGTGCTGGTGACACTGTGCTGTTATACATGGCCTATAACAAGCGCGTTCATTTTGATGACCCGAGATGGCAACATATCTTCCCCGGACTCGATCTTGAGTCAGTTCACTGGCTTGCAGATAGAGGATGCAAGGTGTTCGGCGTTGAAGCTGTCAGTCCTGCTCCCGAAGGCGAGCTCAATTTCCAAGCACACAATGCATGTGCCGAGAGAGGTATTACACACATTGAGGGCTTGGATAACGTCGAGTCAGTCGTTGGTAAGGGTCGCTTTAAGTTCATTGGCTTTCCTCTAAAGCTCAGAGGTGGTAGTGGCGGTCCTATGCGTGCTGTTGCTGTGCTGGATGAGTAGTGGAAGATGTTACATGAACGATGTATATTTGTCAAAGACATCAAGAAACACCATCAAATGGCTACTAGGCTTGGTCGAGAGGTAGCTACGCCTTCTATTTTTTTTCAAGAGAATTTATCACGATATTCGTAAGAAGAAAACAATGTTGGGCTCAATACCAGAGGTTTTTGGTTGTTGGATCGAATTTTGCTGTGGTGTGAACGAGAGTGAGCATTGATTATCTCACAGTCAACACGAGTGGTTAGCAGCTTTCTTTTCCCACCAGATTGATCCGACCACTAGCAAGTACTCATCGAATGAAAGTCAGAGACATACACTCAAATATGGGAACGTCGAATGGGAATCTGGTCCCAAGGCCTTTCGTCTAGGGCACCACCCTGTCTTGATTGGCGAAACACTGAGCGACAAAAGATATCTCCCATCTGGCCAAAAGTCGTCGTCATCATATCCTCTATCAAACTTGAAAGAAGCATAACGTGAGGGCCGAGATACAACTGCTTCAGATCGAGCCTCGGAATCTAGATTGTAGAACTGTAAGACTGCAGAGTGGCACTGCTTCCTGAAAGATGATGAATTGTCCACTGAATCCGCCGTCTCGCCACGCTCTCACGCGTCACGATGCTGCTTTGGCAAAAGACCATGCGTTGCGACAGCTACTAAAAGTCGACTTTGGGAAGAAAAGATCATCGAAATGACAACATCGAGGATACAACAACTAGTCACGCATATCGTTGCACAGCACTTGCGCACGCTGGGCATTCATAACTAGACGGAGCCGACCAATGAGCACCGAGTCCGAGATTCAGAATCCTTCCATACCACGACTTCTTGGCTTTTAAGTGTAAGCAACACTCAATGTATTTGAACACTGCCTCTATCTCGTGAGCGTGAGTAGGCCAATAGTATGCTGGGAATTTGGTGGTAAGTCAAATGGTAGGGATATAAGTATGCTTACATCTCTCCATCTCTGTTCTGAGCATCTCAGCTCACCATTCACCTCTTTGCATTACCATTGTTCTCCTTTGGAAGCACTGCAATTTCACCATTTCGAAACCACATCTCGAAAACTTACCATGACCTACGGTGATCACCACCTTACCTTCCGCACTTCCATCTCAATCGCCCAAATCCCTGTGTTCTCCCTCTCCCTTCTCATCGCCTACTACTTCCGCCGCACCCATCGTATGGGCTGGTTCTGCATCGGCATCTTCAGTATCATCCGATTGGTTTCTGCATCTTGTCTTCTCGCCTTGATCAATGAAGATCAACATTCATTGAAAGCCACGGTGTTCGTATGTGAGAATTTGGGAATCATGTTATTCGTCTTCATCTTTGTCGAGGTGTTGGAATGGGTGTGCGTATTCATTTTCCTTTCCTTTCCATTTCCAACCATCCATCTTTTACCCTTCTCCTTCATCCTTTTTACATCATTACTCTTTCCTTTTTTCTCCTTCTTTCTTACCCGTTTTTTGATATAATAAGATGGAAAAATGATCCACTGACCAGAAACTTTGCCAGAAACGAACAAACCCCCACCCCCAGTCTCCCAAAGTACGCCTTTCTGATCCCTCAATTCCTCACCTATATCGATATCCTCGTAGCGATACTCGGCTATATCCTCCCCCGACCTCACGAAAAGCAAAACCCTTACGCACCAACCCCTTACTCCCGCACCTCCCGCGCCATCCTCGTAATAACATACATCTACACACTCACCCTCCTCTTCATCCTCTGATTCCGTCGCGACAGATCCCTCACAGCAAAACCTCGGAAAAAATGCAATGATGGGAGTGGTGGTCTGTATACCATTCATGGTGATCAGATTGGTGTATGAGGTGGTTTTTCAGGTGACGGGGGATATGGGGTTTAATGCTGTCAGAGGGGGTGGGATGAGGTATTTATTCATGACGTTTTTGCCTGAGGTGGTTGTGGTGGGGGGTTGTGTGGGGATGATTTGGTGGATTCCTGTTGAATGTGGAAGTGAGGGTGTGCATCAAGAGGATGGGAGAAAGGCTACGGATACTTTGAGGGTGAGGATGGAGATGGAATCATAGGTTACAGTGTATGGAAGAAGCACAATCATTGTTGGATCAATAATAGTTTTCATTGTCTAGAGGCAATCATAGCAGTCCGACGACCGCGACATTAAGGATAATCATTTCCATCGAGAACCGGTCTCGATCAACACCTGATGATGCAGCATCTCAAAAAACCGACGATGGTTCTGTAAATCTCCTGCATCACATGAGGTGTAAATACAGAGTCGCGTTTTCTCTAAAACAACTGCTGCTGGGCATAGATTGTACCATTGCCAGTGAAGTTGCCAGTTTGGGTGGTGAAGTCACCGTCATAGGCGAGAGAGTCAATACGTCCAAGGAGGAGCTCAATAGAGCGGTAAGCAGCACCAGGAGCGTAGCCAGGAAGTTCGTGACCGGCGAGTTGAGCGGTGTAGAAGGTAAGACCTCTTTCGCTTCCGTAGTATCCGACCTTGCCGGCTCCGGAGAGGGCACCGCCGTTGTACTCGGGGTGGTAAGGAACGATGAATTCCTTGCCGGGGTATTCCTGAAGACCTCTCTTTCCGTTCCACTCAACACCTTGAATGGCAACCAGAGTACCGTTGGTGGAGAGGAGCATGTCGAGGTTACCAGAACCGATGATGGTGTTGTTGGTGTACTCAATAACGCGCTGGAGAGTGCCATCGAGAGCGGGGCCCTTGCTGGTGTCGCTGAGCGAGCGGTTGTTGGTGGCTCCACCGAAGACGTTGACGTTGGTGCACTGTTGCCAGTTGGTACCAACAGGTGCGTTGATGGCCTTCTGAACATCGGTGCGGTTGAAGTAGACGACTTCTCCAGAGGGAATGTAGTCGCCGGTGTTGACACCACCAAGGACTGACCATGGGTGAGGGCAGGTCCTGAGTGGAATAGTTAGCATCGGCATCAAGCATCGGAACTGTCAAGACTCACTCAGTGATGTGGTAGATGTTGAAGCAAGGGTTGACCAGGAGAATGGCCTCATAGACAGTGTCGAACATGTCGCATGCGTAGGTGTCGGACTCATAGGGGTCGGGGAGGAGAGGGAAGGGCTCCTGAGGAGGAGGGAAAGTGAGGTACTTGTCCAAGTATGACGTGTAGTTGCACTGGTCGGCGCGATCGTGGATCTGCTTCAAGAAAGTCTCGTTGAGGTAGATGACGTTCTCCCAGTAGTCGACGTAGGGAACAATGACAGCCTGCTGCTGGGCGGTTTCGTCTCCGATGATGGGGTCGTTGATGGCGATACCCTGAAGGTTGTAGTAGACAGTGTCTGCGAGGGAGATGAAAGCGTCGGCGATGTATGGACTGTGGCAGTGAAGTCAGTAAGGCGATAAAAGTGGACAGAGGCATGGAGGATAGGCATACACGTAGAAACCAGCGTATGACTCGCCAGTCAAGTAGACCTTCCAGTTGTGGAGACCAAAGGCGTCAACGAACTGCTTGTAGAAGCCGGCGAATTCAAGACCGAGCTCAATCTCATTGGTGATGTTGGGTACACCCTGAGAGAAGCCAACACCGACGGGTTGCTCGACCTGTGGGACAACCAGTCAGAATGTGCTTGATCAGGAAAGTCATGATTTCGTACGTACCCAAAGCATGTTGGTCAAATTCACCCAGGTGTAGGGGTTCTGTACGGGCTCCAAAGTTCCTGTCCAAACGTTAGCTCACATTTTGCTTCGATTTTCTCCTGCTTCTTTTTTACTCACCAGCCTCCCAAGTGAAGGGGCCGTTCTCCGTCAACAGACCACTGAGGGAACTGCATCCTGGACCACCGTTGAACCAGATGGCGATTTCTTCGGTAGCATTGGGGTTGGTCGAAGGGAAGAACCAGAAGAAAAGCTCGCGAGTCTCATTGGCAGCACCACTGATGGGCAGGAGACCAGCGTAGGACTCGCCTACATCAAACTTGACATCGGGAATAGCTGATCCGTTGACCCAGAACTCTGTGACTGTGGTCAGTGTGTGTCCTGCGAAGTGATGTACAGAGAGACATACTCTCAGTGGCATTGTTCAGGTAGGGCGAAGCTCTCTTCTGAAGTCTAGGGTGCTCGAAGGGCTTGCCAATCTCTCTCTTCTCAATGATAGGTGACTTTGCCGTCAACTTCTCGGCGCGTTCAAAGACATTGCGGCCAGGCGATGAAGAAGCACCAACACCGGCAGCCAGGCCAAGTGCGGCACCAATCTGAAGCAGGGAAAAACGCATGTCGAATTTGATGCTCCAAAAAAGATATGTGGGATGCTCAAGAAACAAACCGGAGCTGGCGGGCCTCTTGAGTTTATAGCGATTGCTGCATCGCACCTTCCTCTCTCGCGTGTCCAACCATCACAAGGTCCAAATCGCGCAAAACCCACCTTCGTGGTCGCCTACTAAACATTCATGGTCCATGGGGTGAGTGATCTTTTTCCTGGTTAGGCAGGTTGTTAAGTTTATAATTCTCGTAAAACAGAGATAAACGATGCCGTCATGTCCCTGACCCTCGGGATGATCTGGGGCTAATCAGAAAGCACCTGCCCAGCAAAGCTTAGAGTGTGGGTCGAAGGAGGTCGATTGCTTGATATTCATAAAGTATGTCTTTTTTTGACGAATGGAAACTTCGTGATTACTTCCCAGAATTGCGACAATATCTTTGCGACAGTGGGCGCGAATAAAATGCAATCAATCCTCGTGCTTTGGAGATAGGAACAAGGAAGCTGTCGTCTCAAGCGTTTTGGATGGAAGCACGACAGTTCGCCAAGGCCAGCCAGTGGGGCTCGGGAGCGGCTATCCCCTTACCGAGAGATGCAAGAGGCAGAAAGAGCAAACCTGCTGCATGCTCCAAGTGTTCGGACATCAAGGAAAACATTGCTTAATCTCATGCAGCACGATACCGGTGCTCAAACAGGTGTCATCGGTACAAATCAATCTTATGTAAAAGTCATTGAGTAGTGATTTTGACCTGCCTATTTCGCTCTACATTCATGACTTCATTGTTTATAGCGTACATGAAGCCGGGACGCAAGGAATGTTGCCTAGAACAAGGAAGCATGCGTAATGATATGATCCAAGGATCTAATATATCTTCCAAGGCCGTCTCGCATGATGAGCCGCAGTCTTATCAACGGATAGTCGCTGCCTAGTCCGCTGGATGGCATGATGTCGCCAGAAGGGCAATGGCTCCTGGACTCTTCAGCCATTTAAGTGCACAAGAGTCCCTCCTTGAGAGACGGACCGCCTCGATAGCCCTCCCAATATGGATTCGCTAAGAACTATATCGCAGTAATGCACAGTGCTTTCGCGGTTGATATTCGTCTCCAGTGAGAGCCCGTGGCCACATGATTGAGGCCGTCTCGAGCCCATCGACCATCCCTCGAGCATTGGTGCTTTTTGCGAACTCTTCGACCACGACTCATCGCTTATTCACTGACTGGGGGTTAGTGCATTGCGTCAAGCGAAATGTCACATAACCTACTTGGACGGGGATGTGTTGATATATTAGTGTGTCGCTCTACTCATATTATACCTGACTTTGACCTTCTTTATCAAAGCTTGTTGCTGGTCTTCTCTCTGATGACATCGATGGCACCAGATGTCTCCTTCCAAGCATCATAAGAGTAGACCAGGTAGAGCTGCATCTCGCGCTCATCTCCGCGGCTGTCGTAAGTGGTCTCGCGGTCAATCACGTCCAGGATCAAGCAATGCTGGCCAGAAGTGCTTGTTGGCTTTCGCGATGTATCGACAAAATTCATTGACTTGAGATTCGACCTTTTTGATCTCCGGGCTGAGGTCTTGACTCTTGACAGTATGCCTGTTCACGGCGATGATGTTGCTCACAAGCTGGTGACGAACATTGTCAACGAGCTCCCGAGGAAGCTTCTCATGGACAATGACCAACCGATGAAGAGCTCTGAGGTCGACAAGAAGTCTGATCTTGATCAAAACGACGACCACGGCATGACTCAAGCCGCCGAATTGACGAGTGAACAGATCCATAGATTTCAAGACATCGGCGTTTTCGACATCGAATCAAGGCAAGCTCACTTCCCACAGTCATAGTCTCTTCCTTGTCCAGTGGTCGCGTGTCATAAGACAAAGCCGTAACATTCTTGATGATTGCCGAGACGAAGCGGAAGGTGAGGTGAAAGGTCTCTGACACCCATGTTATCACTGCGGCAAAGTCGATGCAGGCCCATGCAATGGTCGACGGTCGCTACATCTCGTGAGGTTCTCTCTGGTACCACAGATAACATACTGGTTGTGTAGTCTTGATGCCATGTCTGGTAAGACAGCGAGAAAAAGAGAGTGTGTTATGACGGCATCTTTGCGATGGTCTGTGCTCGAGCTCAGGCATTTCGTCCGGGAAAGAGCTCTGGGCTTTCTTGCTACTTCCTCATCTTCCACCACCAACTGCTCACGCAATCACCATCTTTCTGCTGTCAGAAGCGACTGTTGCAGTGTCGAGGATTTGACTGTGGAAAGAACCCGAGAAGCTGGCAGGCATTCTTGTTCAGCGAGTCACCAGCCTGAAGGTTTCGCCTTCCACGTCGCGAGTGACAATCGGCCATCGCAACTCTGCTTCGACGTCGCGGTGTTCTACGGTGTGTTTTACAATCTTAGCACGTACGGCCACAGTCAGCTGAAAACTGGGCATCCCGTCCGCTCTGCCATACATAAGCAGTTGAACGGCAGATTAGTACTACGGTGGGTGACCACGTGGCAATCCCTGCTGCTGTACGTTTTGCATTTGTTTTGTTCAAACTCCCTTTACCACACGGAGCCGCTCAGCAAGATTGAGTATGCTTGACTGTTTTTCATCTTCATCGATCACCTTTTGTACCAGAACGATCATCATGCATACATGAATTTCTGAGTACAAGAAAACTACTGCTCTCCGTGCTGACTGGCACCGGAGACTACTGAGCGTGCGAATCGTGTAGAATATTTTGATCTTCCGGGCATTGCAAAAGTCTGCAGACCAACTGACACGATCTTAATAGGAACCCAGAGACAAGTGTAAACAAAAAGGAGCATTTTTTTTTACGTGTAGTATTGCAGATTTGCGGGACATATATACATTAGGTTCCTGCCTTTCTAAATATCTTCAAGCGGACAAGACTGCTTACAGAGCACTGAAGCCGGAAGTAGCCTGGATGTCTCTGCTGCTGAATCCAGCTCTGACACCAAAGTTACCGGAAGGAATGATCCACTGCTGCTGAACAGCATCCCAGAAACTGAGATCACGGCGCTGAAGGGGGAAAGTCACGGTTCTGCTTTGTCCAGCACCGAGCGCGACCTTCTCGAAGCCTCTAAGGACTTGGACGGGAGTGAGACCGAAAGAGGGGTTGACAGGTTGAGAGAGGTAGAGCTGAGGCACTGCGTCTCCAGCAATCGATCCAGTGTTCTTGACCTTGACGGTGATCTCGTAGAGGGTATCATAGAGAGTGGGGTTGCCACCAGGCATGGTGCCAGCGTTGGTGGGACGAGCAGTCAAGTTCTGGGGAGCAAGACGTTGAACCTTGACGTCGGACATGCTGAAGTTGGTGTACGAAAGACCGTATCCGAACTCGTACTGTACGGAAAGATTGTAGTAATCGTAGTGGCGGTAGTCAATCAGGAGACCCTCGGTGAAGTCAGCCTGCCATGCGTTGGGGTCCTCGGTAAGTCTCAGCTCGGTGGAGTTGGTGATGCGAGCGAAAGCATAGTCCGACTCGTTGTAGGCGATGGTGTACGGAAGCTTTCCACTGGGATTGTACTCGCCGTACAAGACATCTACCAAACTGTTACCACTCTCCTGGCCAGCAAAATGGGCGGCGAGGATAGCAGTGACGTTAGGGTGATCAGCCCAAGGCATGACAATGGGTCCGGAAGTGTGAGTCACAACGATGGTGTTGTTGCACCAAGCGGCGACATTCTCAACAACTTGAGTACCGTTGTAGTCAGGAAGCAAGTTAGCCTTGTCGTTGCCTTCAGCAGCCCAGGTCTTGATCGTGACGATGCAGGTGTCGGGCTGAGGGTAAATTGCGCCAAATCCGGCAGCGGTGTTGGCGTTTGCGAGAAGAGTGTTGTTGAGGATCCACTGCAAGTTGGTACCATCCTGCTTGGCACGGACCTTGAGAGCGTCCAGAGGAGTCGACAGATATGTAAGACGACCAGTACCTGAGCCGCCACCAACGGCAAGATGACCGTACTCATAATCGCCATTTCCAGTCAAAGAAAGAGAGTACAGACCGTTCTCCGGGTCACCAGCGTCATTGCCAAAGACGGCAATGTTCTTTGGCTTGTTGAGTGGCAAGGCGTTGTTGGTGTTCTTCAAGAGGATGGTGCCTGCCGATCCAAGCTTTCTAATAAGATCTGCGTGGTTGGCACGAACATCAACATTTGCTTCTCCATACTGGAAAGAGTCGAGGTAAGGCTGAACACCGAGAATGTTGATGGGACCGGAGGAAGGATCAATGAGAGGGAAGTCTTGATCTTGACCCAAAAAGAAGTAGGGAGTCATGATTCTGTGAGCTGCATCGTCAATTCTTGATTCAGGCACAGTTCCATTGTTGACGGCGTTGGTGAGGTTTTGTCCGTAGTAAGAAGTTCCGGCTTGGAAGAAAGCAATTGTTCCAGGCATGTCCATGTCCATACCGGCTTCGATGTTGGCGACGCCTGCATGGGTAGCACCCCCTGTGTTGCTGGTCAGCTCATATCCTACAAACGAGCTCAAAACGATTCTTACAGTCAGACATGACATAGCCTTGGAAGCCAAGCTCTTCCTTCAGAAGACCGTTGAGAGCTTTGCTGTTTTGACAGGCATATGAAGAGTTGAGACGATTGTAAGAACACTGCACATATGTTAGTACTTCTTATAGGTGCCACTGTGTGTTTTGACTCACCATCATTGAAGAAACACCGGCCTTGACAGCGTTGGCGAAGGGCCACATGTAGAGCTCGTGCATAGTTCTATCATCGATGTTTGCAGAGACGGCCTCGATCGTCTTGTTCGTGGGCGAGAGAGTGGGGTTTCTCTGAGTCTCCTGCTCGTTACCAATCCAGTGCTTTGCGCAAGCCTGAACACCAGCCTCTTGCAAGGCTTCAATGGTCTCCTCCATTGCCACACCGGTAAGATATGGGTCCGGAGAGAATCCTTCCCATCCGCGACCAGCATCAGCCGATCTACCAAGAGGTCCAGCCTAAAGTGAAAAGTATCATCAGTATGTGTGTTGCAGGCATCATGTTGAATAGTCTAGAGACTGCCTTACCACTGGTGCAAGAGCTACATGGGCTCCCTTGTCTCTGAACTCGGCTCCAAGATACTCGCCTCTCTGGCGGATCAAGTCACGGTCCCAAGATGAAGCAGCAGTGAGGCCTGCTGGAAAGACCGAAGCAAATGTGGCCTGTCTAATCGACAAGGGTCCATCCTGCAAGCAGAGACCAGGGAACCCTACACGAGGAATAGGTGCAATGTTACCTGCTTCATGTAAGTACAATGGAAGATCATACCATGGCTAAACTTACCAATGCAAGGTCCCTTAGGTTCACCAGTCAAGAGTCCGACCTTCTCCTCCAAGGTCAAGTTTGCGACCCATGACTTTGCTTTCTGAAGAGCATCTTCCCAGCCAATACCAGTTGTGTTTGCTATGTTTGTCAGTACCGTGAGTGGGATCGTACTCAGATTGACATACGGCTAGGGAATACGCCCGGACTGCTGGTGTAAAGAGAATGGTTCCAAGAAGAGTTTTGAGCAGCAATGCCCTGTCCAAGGAGGACAAGAGCCGCGACGCTAGACTTCAGATTGTACATTTCAAATCAAGTCCTGACGATTTCAAGAACACAATGAATGGACATTCACCTAGCTTTATACTAAAGCCTACCATAACCTTCAGCCACCATGAGGGCATGGTAGAGGCTGGGCAGTGGGGTGCCTACACTTGGACGATACTTTGAGAGGCTTGAACCTAGTCGTCAGTCGACATGATAGTTCGCTCGCGAGTCAGAGAAGGCAGTCATGGTCGGCCGAAGATTGGTATGAGAACGGCAATGCGGACCTGCTTTCCATGCCGAAAGTCGGAAGAGAATCACGGCACGGTCTCACTCCCCAGACAACGACCACGGTAGATGGTGGTGTTGATTCCCCACGGGCCTCCATTGCGGGGTCATGTAGTATGTGGATCCCTGCAAAGAATCTGTCTCCAACTCTTGGCTTCACGAAACCAGGACATAGAGACGAGCCATGTGGAGCGTGTACCGCTACTGTATGCAAAGCAGGTGTCCTAACAGGTGTGGCTTGGACATATTTGATCGTATGTTGTCGTAGGTGGAGGTCCGAACGTTGCACGTCAAACAACAACCCCAACCTTCGAAGCCAATCCCGAGAGGATTGAGCATCAAAGTTCGCGTTGAACCAAAACTCGGAACAACATGTCTGCCGATGTTCTCCCAAGCCTCATACTAATAGCTTATACGAACATGTTGCAGGTGAAATTGTGAGGAAAGAAGAAAGCTGAACTGTGGAAAGACTTGGCTTGGCACGTCGATCAAGATTTCAAAGCACTTTCGGCCGAACCCACGGGTCCACTCGTGAACATCGCTCACTCTGTTGCTCCACCCACCCCCGCGCGGGGCTCCTCGCTTGATGCTGAGGCGATGGCCCGAGTTGTGCCGGAATTCTTCTTTCCCGATGGATGATACATCAACTCCGTCACCGGAATTGCAAGTTGCTAGTACCTCCTCACGCTACGGCGCAAAGACATGGACGACGGCACGAGAGGTGGCTGTACAGGTGTCTCGGCAGAGGACCTCGTGACGAGAGACCGAAGCTCATACGACGCGTCGGATGTTGTTGAGGAGCTATGGACATGCCTTGCTCTGCCATCAGAGGCGTTGTCGCGTGTCCAGCTTGATGCCGACAACGCACCCGCCTTGCCCTCATCTTTCAAGATCGGAGTTCTCGCTCAAAGCTCAATCGCCTTGGCTGCTCTTGCCGCCGCTCAACTTCATGCATTGCGTAATGGCGGTGAAGTGCCGCGAGTGGGTGTCCCTCTCCAACACGCTGTCATCGAGTTCAAGTCCGAAAGATTCTATACCATCGATGGAGAATCGCCGTCCTCGCCGCTCAATGCTATAGGAGGCTTGCACAAGACAGCCGATGGATATATCAGGGTCCACGATTCCTTTCCTAACCATGTCAATGGCATGCTGGAACTGATGGGACTCCCCAAGGGTTCAACTAGGGAACAGCTTGCGGACAAGATCGCAGCCTGGGAAAGCATTGAGCTTGAGAATGTCTCAACCGTTAGAGGTGATCTCGCAGCTTATGCCCTCAGGTCATATGATGAATGGGACGCCTTGCCGCAGTCCACGGCCGTCGCCAATATTCCGATTCTGGTCCAATCAATATCCTCAAATCATCATGGAATACACCGGAGCAAACTACCTCGAAGTACAAACAGATGCCTTGAGGGTATACGCGTATTAGAGATGAGTCGTGTGATTGCAGCTCCCTTGTGTGGCAAGACTCTGGCAGCCTATGGCGCTGATATGATCTGGGTGACTTCCCCAACCCTGCTGGATCTACCTAGCATCGATCGCGATTTTGCACGTGGTAAAAGAACTGTTCAGCTCGACATCAAGGACGAAGTTGGCAAAGCAAAACTCTTGGAACTTGTCAAAGATTGTGACGTTTTCATTCAAGGCTATCGACCGGGAAGCCTTGCAAACTACGAATTATCATCAGAAGATCTGGTCAAAATCAATCCAGATATCATCGTGGCCAACATGTCAGCTTTCGGTCCCAATGGGCCTTGGTCTGGTCAACGTGGTTTTGACTCTCTGGTTCAGACGTGCTCAGGAATGAATGTGTCCGAAGCTCAACATGCAGATCAAGGAGAAACGGCTCGTCCATTGCCATGTCAGGCTCTTGATCATGGAAGTGGCTATCTGCTTGCAACCGGAATTATGGCAGCATTGTTCCGACGTGAATTCGAAGGTGGTGCATGGCAAGTGGATGTATCTCTGGCTGGCACCATGAAGTATCTTCGCAGTCTTGGACAATATCCCGGATCGAGCGGCTTTCAATGCGAAGACTACAAGCAGCAAGCAGATATACCGCCTGAATATCTCGAGGCAAGAGCCACCGGCTTTGGTCATATGATGGCAGTCAAGCATTGCGCCAAGATCGATGGGTGTGAGGTCGGATGGAGAAACATGCCAAAGCCTCTAGGCTCAGACTCGGCAGAGTGGCTATAAAGAAATCCATCTTCCATCAAGAAACTCTTACTAGTCTCAGTCTCCAGCAAGATGGCTTGAGTCAATTGTGACCCTTTCGAAAACACATGGGTGATCGTCAATGAAACTCATTATGAGAACCTATTTCGACTACCAGATCGAGTCTAAACATGAATCAAGACACATAGAAATGATACCTCTCGAAAGCTTCACAGCACGTTGGAGCTCAGAAACCGTCGGAAGCTGTCGATACTGATACGCAACATCTGGTACAATAGAATGATCAGAAGCTTTTGCTCAAGCATCAGGCATCTCGGTATCTCCGTCTTCTTCACGCTGCTTGCGGAGTTCTTCCTCAAGTTCTTTCTTATGCTTTCCACGAACGACGATACTTTGCGCATCAACATCCTCCTCATCACTGCTATCGATATCGTCTGCTTTCACCCCAGCCTTCATCGCCTTGATTCTTCGATCTTCCCTGTACTTGAGAAGAGCTCGTGACTTTGGACTCATTGTGTCGTCACCAACTTCGGGTCTTGAATCGCTTGTGACTTGTAGTCTGACTCCTTTCAAGCGCCTTGGGCGGACTTGGATAAACCCGTACCTCGAGACTTTTTCCCAATACTCTTTTGTGAACAAACTGCGGCACCATTCCATGCTGACGGGGTACTGTGTTGCCCAGGTCACTCCCCAATCTTCCGGGGCGCCCCTTATGTACAAGTACCGGTCTGGATCGTCTCCAAACCATCGGCCTGGAAAGCGCTCTATATGAAGTCCATAGGGCGCTGACACATGAACGCCTCGCCCCGATGCTTCGATTATACCAGTCCAGATGAAATTCTCAAGTTCCCAACCAAGCTCGTTGACTGGCCGATCGCGAAGATAAGGTTCGGGAAGGTCTTTTTTGCCTTTACACTTGATGAACCATGCACAATGCGCGAGCTCGTGTACGATTGTTGTAGCGAGTAGTACTCGGGTACGGAACCTCGCCGATGGTTCATGCGTACCTGGAGCCCAAGATCGCGACCAACGCTGAGGGTTGTATCCAGCTTTCTGGCGTAGAATGAATAGGAAATCTTGATGGAAACTCATGTCCGCAACTTGGAATCCTGGCTTCCTAGATTGTCGTCAGTTTGATGTATATCGCGTTGCAATGTTTCAAATGGACTTACCAACTTGTGCTTGCATGACCTCGTCCTTCATCGGCAAATCTCAATTGAACCTGGTCTCGCATTGACATCATGGCGAAAAGTGCGTTTGTAAATCCGGCATCTGTACTCATAACGCTATTATCGCCATCGAAACGGTGAAATTTTAGGTCCCCATAAGCTGCTTTGAGGAGCGGATCTTTTAGCTCTGTAGCATTGTCAAGACCATGGAAGAAAGGCGTAATATGAGGGTCATCCAGGAAACGCGAAGCCAACTCGATTGATGGCAAGATCGCCTGCCAGTCACGCTCGTCTATACCAATCCACTGTTCGCGTTGCAAAGTCGGATGAATGTGATCCGGTTCACCCTTACCGAGTTGGCTTTCTCCGACTTCGCCCCCCTCCGGATCTGTAGCGAGCAAACGCTCTCTGTCCCATAATCGTAGCGAGGCACCGTCACCAGCGATGTTCTCCAGAGTCGGTATCTGATCTGTGACATTGGCATTGATGTATCCTTCGTGGTTCAGAGCTTCCAATGTATATTCTATAACGAGCGGACCAGGATCCATCGCATCCGGACCGGCAACGACGGGTTGCCTCACACTTGGTTGAGACATCCTGCACAGATTGAATGCTTGCCCGGTGATACTGATGCGTTGAAGCTGGAAGGCATGTACAAGAGTTTAATGCTCGAGTCTAGTATGTTGAGTGCAGGCAAAGATTTATTCGCCGAATCCGGAGTTCACAGCTTGAACAAAGAAAACGAATTCGGTTATAGAAAACAAAGAGGAATACATACTTTAGAGCTTGAGAAGACACGCCTGATTTCGAGCTAGACAAAGAAATCCTAGCCTCCTTGTTGTGGATAACTATCCTTCGTACTCTTCCGCGGAAATTGTGTCTAAGGTATCGATATACGCAGAGCAGCATTCCAGCAGGGGAGCGATCGATAAGGCCTCTGTTTCAGCTATAGGAAGGCAAGATATTGTTGAATCACTGAGAACATGGCGATACTGTCCGCAATGGTCTTGAGAGAGCTAGGAGGAAGCCGTAGTATCCGACTTCTTTGCAGGATAATCAAAGCCATCCTCGTTCTCGTCGACGCCTTCCTTACGCTCGCTTGTATCGATCGGCCCTGACCTCCAGGTCCTGCGCTCAAATTTTGACCTTCTTCGAGGGTGATGTAGGACTGGGCGATCTAGGTCGCTTCTTTTTTCTTATCCTGTAATCATGAGAAAACCCTGTTTTTCTCTGGGGCTTGAGTGCGGAAAGGCCGAGTCGAGCGACTTCCTCCCATTTGTCGACTGTGAACAGACTGCTGACCCATTTCATCGAGACTGGATGCGACCATCCGGTTTTGCATCCCGAATCCGAAGGCGGTTCCCGAGAAAACACACGTGTTTCTTCGTCATCGCGTATACCAGCTTCTGGAAAGCGATCGATCTTGAATCCATATGGAGCTGCTTCCACAGCTGGTGTTCCAATGGGCATTATCAAACCCGAGAATAACATGTGCTCAAGTTCGAAGCCTAGCTCATTGATAAAGTGACCGCGAAGGTACGGATCAACTTTATACTTCTTGTTGATACAAAACCAGATTGCGTGAGCAAATTCGTGAACGATTGTGATAGCGAGCGCGACCTGGGTCCGGAGCCGTGCGGACTCAACATCTGTCCCCGGCTCCCAAGACATCGAATAATCGTGGACTTGTTGCCTACCACTGAGGATATCCAGAAAGTCTTCGTTGATTTCCACCAGAGCCTTTTTTGACTTGCTATACGACAATTAGTTATTGGTGAGTTCTCTGCCGGTTCGTGGAGCCTACCTAAGCCATCCAGTCTGCGCGAATCGGCGATCACTGAGGGCGATGTGAGAGAACTCCCACTCGACAGACCCCCTCAATCCGACCATATACAAGAATACGCTCTCTGCTTCTTGCCCAACGGCTCTCAATACCGTAGGTACCTCCTTCATCTCCCATTCTTGGAAGATTATGTTGTGAGCTTGATTGTGTGCTGAATCTTTCAGATCATACACGCTCCCTGCAATGAGACCATAGAAGAATGGTAGTATCTCGACCATGTCAAGTATACGAGAGGCCAGTTCGATGGATGGTCGGATGGAGTTCCAGTCGTCGTTTGACATATGGTTCCAGTGGTCTCGCTGTAATACCGGATGGATGTACCATACTTCACCATCTTCCACCCATATCTGTGCCTCTTCTAAGAGTTTCGAGTCCGGATCATCATACTCACCCTTGTCTTTGCGAGCCCGGGTCGTCAAATCATCCCTCTTTGACTTTCGAAGGATTCCGCCTGCGCGTACCTTGCCGTTGGCCTTTGTGTCTTGAGCAAAATCTGTATAATCTAGATCGAGCTGTGAGACGTCCGCGTTGATGTATCCAGAATCGTTGAGCCCTTTTAGGGTAAAGCTTTTGGAGACGTGGTCATGGTCAACAGCATTGGCGCCGTCCTTTTTTGGTTGTGGCATCTTGAATCAATTTGGTCACGCCTGGATCTTACGCTCGCTACGCTCGCAAACCGTCGTGCTTTTGGGTTTAAATTTACGTCAATGGGTTTGTTGAAAGGCCATGCCCGGATCCGGCGAACATTGCATCGACCGCCCTTTGACGATCAATAATGAACGCAGCCAAATCCAGCTCGAGGCTTCGAATCTCGCCGAAATAAGAGAGGTTCTCTGTGCTAATCTTTGCGGCTACCCAGCGGGTTGGAATTATTAGCAGTACAAGCGCGTCAAGCGAAACATCTCTGTGGCACCCGTTTCCACAAGGAAATTGTCCTTGAAGTCGTTTCGCATGTTACCTGAGACACATGAAGGTGTGTCTATTCAAAGCATAAGAGCATTCGTTGTACTCGAGTATTGTTGTGCGACAAGGAATGTGTGTCGCCGCGAGGCCTCCCGCCAGCTTCTTTTGAACGAATCCCGAAGATCCGCCAGCGCTTATGTAATCAACCAATCCCAATTGCATCTTGCTTACAACGCATCGACATCACGTCAAATAACATCACCCATGTAAGATTGAGCACCTCCTACTTCCGGCAATAGCTGTATGAATTATGAGTCAACAAGTATGAGCGGTAGATGGGGTATTTAGACAAGTACGCGAGCCATCGCCACAGAAGCTCAATCTTGGTCCCGGCTCCATCCCATCCTCAGCCAGTGTCACCATTCGCTTTGAACTTCAGGACGACCACATTACTGCAATGTCATCCTCAGACCTACATCCGAACGGTCGACTGGTCAATATCGGCACTCACAATCTCGCCCTCTACTCTCATGGCCTCTCACCTTCCTCGCCTAACGACCCAGTCGTGGTATTCATCTCAGGCGTAGCAAGTGATGCCCTGAACTGGCAAGCTGTGGTGCGACAGCTATCTCCCTCTGTCCGCACCTACACATACGATCGCTCCGGCTATCGCAACTCTGAATCCTCACCACTCGCTCCATCGGCCGAGAACATAGCTTTGGAGCTCTCGCTCATGCTCGAAAAAGCACCAATCTCCAATCCTCTAATTCTGGTTGGACACTCGTGGGCTGGCATCTTAATTCAAGAGTTCATCGGCATGAAAGGAACAGCTCAGATCGCAGGTCTGGTGCTTGTCGACGCCAATCATGAAACCGCACCGCTGGTCATGAATGTCAACGACCCCATTCTCTGGAATGAGATTGCCGCTGGTATCGATGCATACTCTGCCTGGGGCGTCAGGTCCGAGCACAAGATGACGCCTGAAGAGTGGGATGCCTTTGAAGCCGCGGAGTCAACTGACAAGTACAAGCTGATCGCGCACAAAGAGGATGTCGAGCAATACTCGCAAAGCTTTGAGACGCTACGCATGAAGGAGCTTAGCAAGCGGCAGCCATTACTTGGAAACAAGCCAGTCTATGTCATTGCCGGCACACGAAGCAGAGACTGGACAGGACTATACAATGCAGGCGTAGCCAAGGGTAATGGGAGCGAGGAAGAGAGGAGGCATGTCAAAGAGATGATTGCAACAGTTGACGAGAAGAACGCTGGTTTGATGAGGGAATTTCTGAAGCTCTCTACCAAAAGCGAGCTTGTATTTGCTACAAAGAGCGGTCACTTTGTTCAATTGTTTCAGCCAGAAATCGTCATTGAAGGTGTCAAATGGGTTCTCAACAAGCGAACAGTATCCGCTTAGCTAATCACATGGACCAATAAGAATGCTTCCATATCCCATTCAAGCAGCGTGAATACTCAGTAATGGTCGGTAGCTTAGGAAGAGGAGTGGGGAGTGGAGGAAGGAAGTCGCCCGCGCCAAGTCGCTCGTTTCTGAACTCTCCCACCAACGAAGATTGCACCATGACTTTACTTCTACACCATCACCCGGTTAGTAGCCAGTAGCAATGAACTCTGCAAGCTATTCGTCGATTATACGTGTTACTCAATTACCAGCTCGATGTTAGAAGAATCACATGCGCTCAAACGTGACCGCTATCACCGGCGCTTCCACGCGACAGATTGAGCGGCGCTTATACAAGATGCCAAAATTGGCAACCTATCACACCTGACCCCAATATCACCGCCCAATCGCTGAAGTTCCATACTCAAGATCGCATTAGCATGTGCATGCTGGCTACATTGTGCTATGCATTATCAAAAACATGCAGACGCTATCGATTTGACCAGCGGCTACAGTTTTGTGACCGACTTACTGGAAAGCAGCTATAAGTGCATGAGGTAGGTCCGATGCAAATGGGAACATTTCTGTGCCTTTTCATTTGCAATTGATCAATCAAGTAGCAGGTCTACTTTTGCGCTCCCCAGTTATGGCTTCCGAAACCTTGTCACTCTTTCCATCGTCTGTGTGTTCAATTCCTCCAAAGTCATGTCTGAGACAAGCTGAAGAGATCCATGCGAGGCGCAATACACCTTCACCCGTGCTCACATCGAAGCCATACCCTGCTGGAAAGCTACGAGGTCTGGCATTGCAGCTTACGCCTCAGGTCAACAAGTCGGCCTCTGTGCAATCACCAGACTCAAATCCCAGACCGTCTTTTTCCAGCCCTGTATCGGCTCTCTCCACCGAGAACAGTCTGAAAGACTCCTTCCCACTTTCGGTCACACCTGCAAGTAGCAAGAAAAGGCCTGCTGTGGCCATCAGAAAGATGTCCATCGACACTACCTCCAGCGACACCCGCTCTGACTTCTCTGGTCCCACACTGGTCCGTAGCAACAGTGGATCTTCAGCACAGCCCAAACTAGCGTCACCTCCTATCAAGTCCATATTTCCGGAGTATGATCCGAGCTTGCCACTGTCACAGCAGCGCTACTATCCTACGGAGACTCTACCTCGACCGAGTCTTGAACGGCGTGCGGATTATCACCAAACTGCCCTAGCGGACATCCCATCACCTACATCGCCTGTACCAGCAGCAGGACTCTCACAACTGCAGGCCTTATGGAACGCTGCCAGTGGTCAAAATGGCGTGTTTCACTCGGAGAATATCAAGTTGATAATGCACCGAGACGAAATTGGTGCCAGCTCAAAAGCAACAGAGCTACGGTTCGGGTCTCGAGAAGGTCGCACGTTGTATTCTGTCTCTGCATCGGATGCCTCAAGTGAGCTTGCATTTCGCCGGCATCACCCTGCCAGGACCGGAATCGTACCTGTCGCTCAGATTGACATTGCGACTCTGGAGAAAGATTCGAAGAACGAGACGATTGTGTTCCCACAGCAAGCAGCACTAGCAGCACTAGAGGCTGCAGCTACAACACACAGAGCCAATACCATTGCACAGTACGATCCTCGAGCATCATCGCCTCAAGCCGCACAGCTAGCATTCGACGCTGTGGCTGAAGCCAAAGCGCATGAGTCTTGTCAGCTCATTCTCATCCCACAAGGCGTCAACGGATACGGTATTGAAGAGCACAGTTACGAATTACGACATCCGCGAGCTGGAGTTTTCATCATCTCCGTCGACGGCATCTTTGACTTTACGAAGCAGAGCAATGCGCGAATTACACTGTATCAGCCAACCAATCCAGAGAAGTCGTTGTCAAAGCCGTCCAAGCTCGTTTGCTTTGACCTAGGTACAGGAACCTTGGATATCGACGTCGCTTCATTCAGGAGATTACACAGCAGGTACATGATTGACAGTGCGATTTGCGCTGTTCTTGCTATCGCCTTTGCAGAGAGCAGATTGGCCGAGGCGAAAGCCAAATCAGAGACCTTCGCAGGGCCTCCTCTGACGACGAAGAAGGATGTTGAACTCTCGAAGAGGGCGAAAGGAAGCCGCTGGCGGCGATCACTGGGTAAGAAGAAGAGTAAGCAAGAGAAAATCGAGACAGAGAAACTTCCAGGCTTGACTCGAGGAATATTGTATCTGCTTGGCTTCTCGTTTGAGGCGATTGTGTGGTTGCTAGGGTTGGGAGTCAAGGTGTTGAGCAAAGTGATTCTTTGTGCCAGTGGGACTGTTAGCAAGAAGTAATGGTTTATCTACAAGACCTTGTTAACATTCGCTGTCGAATACGCGAGAATACGAAGTGATACGTTGAAGTGGAGCAGGATTGCTGGAAGTTGCGGAAGCTGACGCACCCCTTCCCCATCTTGGCCCCAAGCAATGGCGCTTGTTAAGTGATGAAGAAACATACCAACTGTCCAATGCTCAACTGTCTTGTGCTTGTTACACTGAAAGAGCCGGGGTGAAAGATTGGAATAACATCAACAGAATGATCTCATAATCAATAACGACACGAAACAAGCCACCATCACTCCTTTATCGCCACAGGCTTCCTCGTTCCCACCCCGTCCCCCCCCCATCTGCCATCACCGACGCCATGAGCGGCGAAGACCCCTACAAGAAATATGCTCATCTCCCTATTCCTTCGTATGAAGAGGCCACATCTTCGCGACCATCCTCTGCGAATACTGTCAACGAGACGGCCGACGACACAGAACGCCAGGGATTATTAGGAGGTCAATCACAGCAAGCCGCCCGCAATGGCGCATACCGAGCACCCACTGCCGAGTCACCACGACCTAGCGAAGACAGCGATCTATACCTACCCGAGGTGAATGGCGACGATGATGACGAAGAAGCGGCAGTACGGCGAGACATGGAAGAGATGGACATACTGGAGCCTGAATCGGCGACAAGTCGGCGGCGAGGTCAACTGTTTGGCAAGTTGTCGCATACATGGAGCAATCTACCTTCGTTCCGTCGCTTCTCCATGCCGTCCTTTTCGTCTTTGCGCCAGCGTCTGCCCACGATACCGGAGGAGTTTCGTCTCAGCTTGCCTGTCATAGCCCGTCTGTTTGGTCTCTTCACCATCGCTGCATTGATATACATACTCTTTGCGCTGGACATTATACCCAATGCTGGACACATGGCTCAACACTATGATCCGGAGAGCGTGCGCGCTAGAGTCCAAGAGCAGGCTTCATTATCACCGAGTCGCATTTCCGAGTACCTCGAGTACATCACCTCTTACGATCACGTCGCAGGCACAGAGGGCGACTTCTTCTTGGCAGAATGGGTTCAAGATAACTGGCGCGCACACAATCTGGACGATGTCAGGATGCACGAATACTTTGTCTATATGAATTACCCGGAATCAGACGGTCGCAATGTTGAGATTGTATCACCACCAGACAGAAGATGGACTGCTTTGCTCGAGGAAGAGTCGGTGTTTAAGGATTCAGGAAGAGAGAAACAACAAACGCTGAACTGGCATGGATACTCGAAGCAGGGAAATGTCACTGGTCACTTGGTATATGCCAATGGTGGCTCGCGTGAGGACTTCCAGCACCTGAAGGACATGGGTGTTGATTTAAATGGAGCTATTGTTCTGGTCCGATACTACCATACGGAAGCCGACCGCGGACTCAAAGTCAAGGCTGCCGAGATGGTAGGAGCTGCAGGCTGTCTTATCTACTCGGATCCCAAAGAGGACGGCTTCCTCAAAGGTCCCGTCATGCCGGATGGACCATGGAGACCGCGTGACTCGGTACAAAGAGGCTCTGTTGCCTTATCTAGCTTGGTGGTGGGAGACCCCTTGACTCCTGGATATCCTTCTCACAAGGATGCCAAGCAGAGCCAGGATATTGATGGAAACATTACTGGTCTACCACAAATTCCCAGTCTACCACTGGCATGGAGAGATGCTCAACATTTGCTGATGGCTCTCAAAGGACATGGCAAACAAGTTCCAAAAGAATGGGAAGGTGGTGTGCCGGATGTAGAATGGTGGACCGGCGACAAACAATCGCCCGAAGTCAATCTCGTCAACAAAAACTTCGTCACAGCCAAACAACAAATCTGGAATGTGCATGGTTTAGTTCAGGGCATGGAAACACCTGGCAAGAAACTGATTGTTGGTTCTCATCGCGACAGTTGGTGCTTTGGCAGTGTTGATGCAGGAAGTTCTCAAGCCGTTCTCATGGAAGTTGTCAATATCTTCGGCGACTTGATCAAGCTCGGCTGGCGGCCTTTGCGCTCCATTGAATTTGTCTCTTGGGATGCTGAGGAGTATAATCTGGTCGGCTCAACCGAGTTTGTTGAGGACAACATGGACTACCTACGCAAGAATGGTGTCGGATACCTCAACGTCGACGTCGGTGTCTCAGGTCCTGACTTCCGCGTCGCTGGATCTCCAGTGTACAAGAAAGCGCTCATGCACGTCCTCGACCGTGTTTCCGACCCCTACAAGAACGTCACTCTTCGCCAACTCTGGGATGAAAAGAACCAACAAATCGAAGGCTTAGGCGCAGGAAGTGATTACGTCGCTTTCCAAGACATGGCTGGAACCTCATCACTCGACTTCGGTTTCGAAGGCCCTGAAAACGGCTATCCTTATCATTCTTGCTACGAGACTTTTGAGTGGATGACTAAATTTGGAGATCCCGAATTCCAATATCACAAGACTCTTGCCCAAGTTTGGGCATTGCTTATTCTTGAGATCGCGGATCGACCTATTATTCCCTACGATCTGAACGACTATGCCACTTTTCTTTCTCCCACTATTGATGAGTTGGAGAAGGATGCGACCACCACTGCATCTAAGCTGAAGACCGACATCAAGAAGACGCCGTTCTCTGTTCAACCTCTGCGCGATGCGGTAGCGACATTCACCGAAAAAGCAAAGGAGTTCCACGAGTTTGATGAGATGTGGGCGTCCAAAGTACTTGCCGGATCTGGAGGCTTCGAAACAAACGCCTATGCCTTGAGGAGGATAGAACATAATTCTCGTGTCATTGAGTTTGAGACTGATCTCTTGGATCTGCCTGCTACTGGAGAACAAGGACCTTATGGTGTAAGTAAACCCTGTCCCCCCTTCTGTCGTGAACAACGATGCTGATTACTTGCAGGTACCTGGAAGAGAACAATACAAACACGTCATCTTCGGACCACAGCTTTGGGATGGCTACGCAGCTGCCTTCTTCCCTGCTGTACGAGATGCAGTCGCTGAAGGCAGATGGGAAGACGCACAGAAGCAATTAGAACGTGCGGCGAGGATATTGAAGCAAGCGGCTGTTAAACTGACTGCTTGAAACCAAAACTCGTTCTTGGTACTGTAGTAGATCATTCTTTTCTTTGTGTATATACCTTCATTCCTGTTTCGTCTAGATGTTTTTTGAGGCCAGCGGCATTGTTAGGGCGTTTATGTTTGTGGATGTTTATCCGATACAGCAGCTGTCATCTACACTGTGATTTCTCGGTCTTTGTTGATGCCTTGCGTGAGATGCGGTTCTGGTTGTTCTGTATGTATGTGCAACTGCGCGGAGTGGCAATTGATCGCTCGTCGTATGACCAAAAGTTGGAATTCTATTACATAATAGCTCGTGTGGTCTAGTGGTATGACATCTCTCTCACACAGAGAAGATCCTGGGTTCGATCCCCAGCATGAGCATTCTTTTGCTGGATGGCACCTGAATTGACCTAAGTTTTGGCTACTTGGGGGAAACACATTTTTGCTCCAAGAATCGAAGTTTTGGAACCTGGTGAGCAGCTTCGAGGTTCGAGAGTTAAGCAATAGCCGACCTGGACCTCGGAGTTTGGCGCAGAATGAATCAGATGATAGAATTTCTTGGCGTTCACATGCAATGACGGCAAAGGAAGGGTTCAGCGGTCGCGTCTCGTGTGGCATGTTCGAGGTCAAGGTTGGATGGGATTTCTCCTTTTGCATCTCTTCCAACTACGACGAGGCAGTCATGTCCTCACTCTACGGCAGTAGACCCAATGAATAGCCCCATTTCATGGCAGCTCTCGGTACGTGTTGATGTCCTCGAAGCAAGTTTTTAGCAGGCTTCTCTTGTGTTCTGGTTTTCCCCGCAGAGAGCAATGACATGATGTAGCCGGCAAGACTGGGCAGCAACGAGTAAAGCAAGTGAGAAGCATGGACTGATTATTTGTGTTTTGACAAACAACAGACACGCCTTGGATGACCTCCATGTCGGATACTTCGTCCACGTCCGCGAATGGCGGACACCACTCCGCAAAGCACGACAAGAATGAGACCAACAACAACAGCAGCAACACGAACAAACCGCCGACGGTAGCCGCCTTTTCGCCTACATCTTCGCATTCATACCCGCAGACGAGGCAGCGGTCGACTATTCTTGTGCATCAGAAGAGTCCGCTGTTACTAGCGACGCCGCCGCAGGTTACAAGAGCTTTGGCATATTCACATCCTTTTATTGTTCCGTTGAACAAGCTTGTGGGATTGCTGTCATGGACGACGGGTGATGCTTGGGAGAGCTTCCTGTTCGTGGCCGCCTTCTGGTTCACCGTGCTCTATGGAGACTACATCTTGCGATACACTGGACCGTTGATTCTGGTCACCATCCTGATCGTGGGCATGTACCTGAGAAGGTACTCTCCTCTATCCTCAACAGGCTGGACTGGAGAGAAGAAGAAGGGACACAGAAGGGATCCGTCGGATGGTGTCAAGCATCGCAAGTCGTTGGATGAGATATTGTCGACTCTGCAGACCTTCACTACACGGTGCAATATCCTGCTCGACCCTCTACTACGCTTGACCGATTTCTTGTCCACACAGCAGACGGCAACTTCGGCCACGACACAGCCCGCTCTTACCACTCTGTTTATCCGCATCATGCTCACATCCCCTCTATGGTGGGCTCTTACCCTCCCTCCCCTCCGCATTATTACTACGAAACGAATCATCCTGGTCTTCGGCACCATCCTCATGTCCTGGCACTCTCGTCCGGCACGCATTAGTCGCACCATTCTCTGGCGCTCAAAGACAGTAAGAGAAATCTGTACCATAATCACAGGTCTAGACTTTGGTGTCCCTACCTCCTCAGCACCGCCACTACCTCCAAGACCAGGCACAAAAGGCGCCATCAACGTCAATGCCAAACCAAACGATTCCGGGGAAAGCATCCGCTTCACCTTCACCCTCTACGAAAATCAACGTCGCTGGCTAGGCATCGGATGGACAGCTAGTATGCTAGCCTACGAACGTAATTCCTGGACCGATGAACACTTAAACCCTACATTCGACACGCAACACTTCACTCTCCCCGAAGTGGAAGGCGGAATGGCAAAATGGAGATGGGTAGACGACAGCGAATGGCATGTCGAACTCCCCTCGTCCAAGAAAAATAAATCAAAAGATGCCGCTCTGGACGACGATGACGCATGGATTTACTATGACAATAAATGGCGGGATGGACGCAGAGGACAAGATGGATGGGGCCGCTACACACGCCGCAGAAAATGGCTTCGTGATGCAGAATTAGTAGATGTGGTTCCTGAACCAGAAGCGCCAAAACCCGCCACTGCTGAAAAGGAAGGGAAAGAGGGAAAAGCAAAACCACCGCCTCCGCCTCCACGCCCAACTCCTTCAAGAAACACAAGTAATCTCACTCAACAGCTCAAAAACGCCACCACCACCACCACCACAACCTCTTCCTCCTCTCACGCACCTACACCCTCCCTCACCACAGCCTCCACAACCACAACCACTGCCAGCGACCTCGGCTCCCCATCCAGCAGCTACAAACGCAAATCCTGGATCCCTGGAAGCAGCGCCGGAAGTAAAAACAGTGCTGGGAGTAGAAACAGAGCACACAGTAATGCTAGCACGAGCGCTTCTACGAATACGGAAACGAGATTGAGTAGGGCGGCACAGGGGAGTGATGATTTCGCTCCGCCGGTGGGGAGGTTGAAGGGGGAGGGGGCGGATTGGGGGTTGGGTGATGATGTTAGTATGGGGTTGGGATGATTGAGGAGGATGGGGAAGGGGATAGGAGGACGAAAGGAGGGGTGATAGGGACAAGCGAGGAGGAGAAGAGGGAATAACGGGTATGGGAAGTGGATAGGATAGGATGGATAGGGACGAAGTCACGTTTATTGCTCATGACAATCTTTCTTTTCTTGTTCTTTTTCTTGCACATCTTGCAGTATCATCATTTCTCTCCGTAGAGCTTTTCGTATAGCCTTTACGAACCTCATCTATCTATCCATGAACCCCTAGCTCCCATTCCATTGTCGTATTGCTCAGTGTCTGCTGTGCCGCATGTCATTATCATTCCGTGACGTGCCTCTCTTCCTAACCATCCTCTCCGTCTGAATTTTTTTATCTCTCGTCTTCTCTTGCTCGTGTGTGGTCAATCCCTTGCCCGCTTATTTGGTGTTTTTGTCCAGTGTATCCGTTGTGTGTGCGTGTTGGATCTCGGTGGCCCACGGCAGGTGAGAAGAGGAGAGAAAATCCAGTCGCACAGCCCAAGTAAAGTAACAATACCACCGAAGCATCACCACCTGCTTTGGAAAACAAAAACTGCAAAGACACAAGTGCTATAAGGTTTATACGATTGTATCTTGTATGAAGGGAAGATGTAGATGAGATGAGGTTTTAGACGAGTATGTAGCATTCAGAGATGCAAACTCATGGTGAAAGACACGTGGTGAGTGGGGATGAAAGAAATGATTACTGTATGCAGTCCTAAGGGGGTGAAGCAAAAGCAAAGGTTTTGAGATTCTGGTTGGAGAGAGTCAGGGGTGCAATTTACGAGTATACATTTGGATCGGAGAAGAAAAGTAATTTTCCTCCATATGACCAAAAGTGTGCATCGCCTGTGCCTCCGTGGGGTGTTTCTCGATGATTTATGCGGATTTGCAATTCCCTCTTCCTACTTTCCTGCAGACATCACTTGCTCGGATTCTCCACTTCTGTTTCTGCTGATGTTCTTTTTTTGTCGTCCCAATTTCGTATTTGTTTTCTGATGAAATGAGTATCTAAAATTCCAAGATGATGTTGACGAGGGTTTGCAAGTCTTCCAAGATGTTGTCGTGATATTATTTTTGCCGAGTTTTGTGGAACTTTTCGTGATGTTTTTTTGGTGTAAATCGGTGTTGGGTCCAAGGTTGCATGTTGATGATTGTAGCTCGAGATGATTGTCATGTCCATGATAGATCGATGATCAGAATCTGACTAGCGAGGCCTTGAGGTGAATGTGGTCAAAGTTGGACATCTTGACGAGCTTATAAGATCAAGTTGTGGACTTATTTCTATGAAGATTATCAATATGGTTGTATTGAAGGGTGGGGGAGCCAATAAGATGATGAGATGATTGCACAGAATAGTGAAGAAGGTAGAAGAGGTGATATTAGAAAGAGTAGATGCTCGTGGCAGCAGTGAAGAGGAGTAGGAAAGATCAGACTTACGCCGCAAGTGCAGCTACCGGCAGCGCAGCCGCAGCTGGAGCAAGAGCAAGAAGTGTTTCCACAGCCACCCATTGTTGATGATGTTTGAGATGAAGGTTTGGTGTTTGAGAAGAATGTTATGGGGGTTGATGAGACTGGAAGTCGAGAAGGAAGCTTGAGAATGTGTATGAAGTTGTTGTCGAGGTAATGAGGAGAAGCGGTAGTCGTGGAAGGTCAAGGTATTTATATAAGCACACCTACCTATGGTTGAGAGACTTCTGCGTAGTGGTGGGGTGAAGTGGCTTGTAACAAGAGGGGCAGTGAAAGGTGGAAGGACCCTTTGGACCCTGCGTCAATTGTGCTGAGAGCTGAATACGGCAACAAGTAGAACTTGGCGTATGATCATCCCGAGTTCGAGAACATGAGTCCTTTGTGCTTTGCTGACCTACTTGACGTATCTTGACCTATAAGATTGCGAGGGAAACATGGTAGCCTCAAGAAAAGAAGGTAACAGCTCACCGCACAAGTCGCGCGGAAACCCTATCTGCCTACAGGCACAAATCTCGCAAAGCCAAAAGCTTGGAGAGAAAGTCAGCACAAACATCGCAAGAGCCGCACAAATCACACGAGGGCTTCTTCGTCCTTCCATCTCATGCGTTGGACTCATCGTTGATCAATCCTCATCGCTTAGAGCTCTGGAACAAGAAACTTGCGCAAATATATTGATGTATTTCTGCGAGGACGGGAATGTCAGATGGTTGAAAGAGTCTTGGAAGACGAGGGCCGGGTAAAGTCGGCCGACTTGGCTGTCTGTTCTCGCGTAGAGTTGCTATTTTGGAAAGAGCCACTTCGTCGAGTCCTTCTTGTTGTGACTTCTCGAAGCTGTCTTGATGAACGTGCAAGTACTTTGTCAAGATCACCCTCGAAGAAATTGTTATCTGTTTTTTGCGATCTCCAATCGTGTGGTGTCTGGGCCACATCTCGAGGGCGAATCACGATGGCTCCATCGACACGACTCTCGAGGCGACAGCTGTCCTGCTCGGCGACAAGCAATTCAAGCGTGACTGCCAGGCAATGCGACGTCTTTGCATGGGCGTTGGAGCTCATCTTACCATGCAAGTCAAAGTCCCGATATGATCTGTAGGTCCATGAACCAGCGAAGTGTTTGTTGGTGAGTTGTTTCTTATGTCGTCGCGAAGCCTGCAATTTCCTACCCGATCAGGCTTCTCGTTCCCTTCTCATAATCGCTGCAAAAGTCAACATCTGGATTGTCTGTAGTTCCGTCATCCGACTGCGGAGATGCTACTATCTGCCTTGTCTTTCTCGATTTCTCGCAAGATACTTCATCCTCGCTTATCAGAATACCTCGATAATGCTGGCTGGATATGAGACGAGTGCTCGCGAGTGTGTATTCAGAAGTCTGTTCAAGAAAGCCAGCGACGCTTTCGATGCGGAGGACTTTGAAGAAAGCGAACGTCTCTGTCACCTTCTTCTAACTTATGATGACCTCAGCATGTACCATAAGGCAGGATGTCATCGTATCCTATCTCTCGGTAACACTGACTTCCTGTGAGTAGAGGCTCCAGATTCTTAGCTGTCTCAAGACTGACATACGTTGTAGCTGGCATGCTGAACAAACCATCAAGCTATACAAACAGCTTTTCTACCCTGATGGCCGCCCTTCTGGAGAACACATTCTTAGCGATAGTCAGGTCCGGATCCGAGATGACATCCTCGAGCATGCTTACAGAAACCTTGTTCAAGCTGAACGGGATCACGTCGAGATACGGTGCGACTATACCGAGCGATCTGTGCGGTTCAGGACTATATATGGATGCGAACCTACCGAGAAAGATGTCAGCAGAGCTTGTCTGAATCGTCACAGCAGAGAATACCTCCTGGCCACCGAGGGATCTGTAGATGATTACGGGGCGTTCATCGAGCGAATTCTTGACAGACGACAAGAGAAAGCGAGTGGAGGAGAAAGAAAGTGAGAAGACACAGGAGCAGTAAGTTGACTGTTGGGACATCCCGGTCTTCTCGCCATCAAGCTCGTCCATTTCTCCTGTCGCAGGACTTCATGGTTCGCCACGAGTGGACACCTGGCGGTTGAGAGCGCATAGAGTCTCCTCCATCCTTCTTGTTGCCGCAAAACCCTAAAAATCAGCAATGAACCGAGACGCAGCTCGCCGCCACATGAACTACTTGCCTGGTTGTTCGTCAGTACTCATGATTCCTTGCCCAGCGGATCCATGTCGGCCAAGAGTCATAACTGTGAACGCTCTCTCTGGACGCCCAATGCTACATCGAAAGCACCGGTTGTATTTCAGCCACATAGATAGCCTGGTGATGTTCGACGTCGGCAAATCATTGGGAAGGGATGTTGATGGCCATTCAGAACGTTGAACTGATAGCTGTGCGCCATGGGCTCGCCTTCAGGGGGGAGCGCAATGTCGGAATTACACTTCGGCCTTCTGCGACGTCTTCGGGCAGTACGTCTTCAAAGTTCGTATACGTTTCCACATAGAGTACTCCCCGATCATCCTCTACAGGCGATAATCTCCTCCACAGACACTCGTGCGTCCTGAGGACAAGTAGCGGGTCTCGTCGGGGTACGCATCGTTATCGAGGGTTCACGTTCGCCCCTTGGGTCGTTGTTCCTCACGCAAGGTGAGCCATCAGGTGGTGATTCATGGTCGACATTTCTCTGAGAGCCTACAGGAGCAAACACTGGACTGTCGGTCGAGACGCATGGTGCTTCACCATCTGAAAAATCGTCCACTGAAAGCAACGTGTGGAGTAAGGAAACATTTTGCTGCAAAGGGAAAGTCTCGGGTCGAGGCAGGCGACTTGTTCGGGTTCCGATTCGGTACATTGGGCGTGCGTCGTCAGGGAGACAAAGTTGGGTCATAGCAAAAGGTCGACAAGCCCGAGCTCGATTGTTGTTGAAGCGCTTTTCTCCTTGGAACCTTCCTGCGCCGTATGAGAGCGTGTTCTCAAAGCGAATCCAAAACACAGCCGTGTACATTGAGACAAGTCGAAAGTTCACTCGACTGTCACGTCTCGTCCTGCGTGTCTGGTCGTCCAACCTCGACTACTGCCTTTTGTCAGAAGATACGACATTTCCTATCGTCCACAGCTTGACGCAGAGCTTACAAACGGCGCCTTCTCAATCGCTCATCAATTGTCTCTCTCAAACGTCTCCTTTTCTCGCGCAGTTCGTACAAACACTACTGTCAGCTTGCCGACCTGTCGCGAGCCATCGCAAGCGACACCACACTGGATCGCTAACAAGACCTTCGACAGAACAACGACACCATGGACTACGCACGCATGTCAGATCGAAGGCTGTTGGAGGTCATCGTCGAGACGCCAGGCCCTGATGATTCTGGCCAGTCAGACAGCAACGACGACCCCCTGTCGTGCAGCGACTCAGACAACGAGAACGACACCGGTTCTTCTCCTCCAAAAGAAGGCCCAGGCTGGTTTACGAGAAAGCTCGACTATCAGCTTTACCAACGCGGCTTCTTGAGTATCTTGAGGAATGCTGCAAGGGCCGTCCTTGTCGACATGATGCGAAACTACGCTCGCAACTGTCACATTGCATACAAGCGCTATGCCGGCATCTACTTCAAGGCAGGGAGACACTTCATGCTCTCTTACACGAATAAGAACACGCTGTGAGTCTTCCTACAGATCCTCAACTCTAGGCATTCACTGACACATTGGTAGCTGGCACGCTCAGCAGGCCGTCGTCCTGTACGAAGATGTCTTTCTCCACGGCAATAGCGGCCGTAGAGTAAACTCTGTTGTGCCCACCAACGGTCAGAGGACCACTCGCCATAGACTCCTGGCCCTGGCTCTCAGAAGATCAATTGAGATGCATCAGATCGTTCTCGACACCGTCGGTCGTATGCTTGAGCGCCTTGAGTCCCGTCAAGACTTGCACACCCCCAGGTTCGCCGCTCTTAGCCTCCAGCGCGAGGAGTACTCTCAAGTCATCGCCACGCTCGTGATCAGATACGAAGGTCACATGGAAGCCGGCCCTCAGGTCACCGACGACGACCCGAATCCTGAGTCTCAGAAGGCATCCGAAGACGACATCTTTAAAGAAGACAGGCTGCCGGAGTATAAGCAGGAAGTGATGGAAAGAGAGAAGGAGTACGAGCGTCTGTGGAAGCTCGCAGTCGAGGAGGCAGAGAGGCTAGTTGGCCCTGATGGACTGCCAGCTCTTGAGGGCCCTCCTGGCAACATGGATCCCGAAGAGGTCATGGCCAGCTTCTGCAAGACCGTCATTGCGGGATACCCTGAGGATATCGCTAACTGCTGATCATTGATTGGCCTCGAGAGCACACTCGGTGGTACCCCTTAGTGTAGAAATACGATATGTTTCAGTGTGTCCTATCAAGTTGTCCATCAAAATGCACATTGTTTTCCACTGTCAAAGGAAAGTCCAAAGAGAGCAGGATAACGACAAGCATCCTCTGGACATCTTTAGTAGGACTAAAACCCTCTTCAATTTATTAGCTACGTAAAGAAGTTCGCTTATTCTACGGAACCCAGCTGAAATAGATAGTGTGCAGACATCTTGCGGGCAGCCTACATGATCCGCTCCATTGCAAAGGCTTGCTTCTCCTAACTACGCAGATGCCTATCTGACTGGTCATCAGAATGCACAGAATACTTCGTGAAGAATGCAACAACCAAAGGGAGCAAGCCTATCACCTGCTCTTCCTGGACGATCGAGGTAAACTCGGACCCGTCGTGCCTTTCGATGGGCTTCAGGGGTCCATGTAGGCTAGCCCAGTGAAGACACCAGGTTTGACACAAGTGTTTGTCGTCGACGAAAGTCCGGGAGCCCCGTGTCTCGTGGTGTTTAAACCTCTTCGCCTGTTTCGTTTTCTGTTCTTCCCCAACAACAACAAGATTTCTGAAGAGATGAGCAGTGACGGCCCACCGACAGCAATGTCGCAGGCCAGTATCCCTGTTCCAGGTAATCTCCAGACATGAGATACGCGTTCCTACTCCCGATCACAACGACCTCGACAACGACCTCGACACCGAAATCAACAGCAACATCGACGATGATAACGACAGCGTTGAAGCTCGCCACAACAAACCAGATGACAGCGTCAATCACATTGAATCCGTCATCCATATGGCTGACAGCAGAGACGCTGAACGCAGCTTTCGTCTCATTCTCAACGACATGGCCAAAGGCCTTCTCACAGGAAAAATGGCACGAGAAGCATCGAAAAATGCCAGGCCTACCTTTTCGCGTATCGCAGCGATTACGTTGAAGCCGGCTGCCATCTTATCTGCTCAGCCTCGGCCGAGAACGCTCTGTAGGTTCCATAATGTCGCGATCATGATAGCCACGTACTGATTGATCGTCAGATTCCATGCACAACAAGCAGTCTCGGCTTACCAACAGGTCTACACTGCTGGCGAGCCCTTTCCTTATTCTAGCTCATACCCTGTCACCAAGCCTCAACGCATAACCCGCCACAGGCTGTTGGCGCTTGCTATCAGAAACCTGATGAAAATCTACCAAGAGATTGTGACCACCATCTCTAAGGAATTTGACTGAAGACGCGCATGGATCGTCTATTTACCCGGGAAGAACGACCAATGCGTGCGTGACAAACACGAACGTGTCAATCGAGCGAGCACAATCAAGAGAGAAACATCCAAAATATTTGTATATCGAGTTTCGACGCTCGAATGTTCAAGAATCTATTTTAAAGATATATCCCTTCATGTATTGATCGTTGAGATCGTGAATGGTCGTATGTGTAGTCGATCACGACCGTGATGGTAAATAAAATCCAAATGTTGAACTCCGCGCTTGCTTTCCCATCATGTAATTGTTGTTGAACTCCATAGCAGGCCATAAAAATCATTAGTTGAAAAAAATCGGGTATCATAAAGTGTTGAAATGAATGTCGTGGACACAGCTGTTGAGTTGCTGTTTTGTCCTAGAAGGTTGGTCATTGACCACTGGGATTGTCGTCTTAGACCATCTTGCCGTCGTCTCTCTTGGAGTCCTGCCCCTGAGGTACGTTGGTCATGCTTGAGCCTTCGGATTCGTGACCGTAGAGATCGAAGCTGGCGCCGTCGACGACGATTGCTGAGCTCTCGCCGTTGAGGTAGAGGTACCAATATACGGCGGCGACGAAGACACTGCCACCGACGATGTTGCCGAGAGCGGCGGGAATCATGCTCTTCCAGATGTAGTAGCCGATAGAGATGTCAGGGTGGTGAAGCATGATCTGGTATCAATGTTAGCGTTGTTCTGGGTCACAAAAGTCGATTGGATACTTACGGCCAGTGGAATGTAGAACATGTTCGCAACAACGTGATCCAATCCAAGCAGAACGAAAGCGAAAACAGGCCACCAGATGGCGCAGACCTTGGAGAAGAACTCGCGTGCACAGCAAGCCAAGAAACATGCCAGGCAAACCAACCAATTGGCACCAATAGCCTTGACAAAGATTTCGTGCCACTGAGGCGTGACGGCCTTGGTCGTTGCAATCTTTAACACTTCCTCGCGGTAGGGTGAAGCAGACAAGACACCTCCATGGTAAACAATGATACCAGTGACGAATAGTGCTCCAGCCAAGTTGCCAAAGAATGTGAGCAACCAATGTCTCAGCATCAACAAGATTGAAGTGCGGCGGTGAAGGGTAGACAAGGTCGTGTACATGAAAGAGCCAGTGCAGAGATCGGCTCCAGTCATGACGATGACAACCAAACCGAAGGGGAAGATGAGGGCTCCGAACATTCTGACCAGTCCGGGTGCGTTTTCGTTGTACCAGGTCGAAGTATTGATGACGGTGTAACAGGCACCGCCGAATGACAGGAGACAGCCAGCCATGAAAGAGCTCACAATGATTTTGTCAATTCGCATGGTAGCCTTGTGGGCACCAGCGCGAGAAGAAATCTCAATGGCTTCCTTGGGAGAGTATGCATTGTGCACAACAGGCAATGGTGCTTGAGTTCTAGGCGGTAATTCCATGGTTGCAGATGGATATGAGTGAAAATTGATGCTGAAAAGAAGAGATCGACACAAAGAGGAAACGAGCAGGACTTAAGTAGTAATCAAGAAAGAGAGGAGAGCAGTCAGATGGTCGGCGGATGTAAGGAAGGTAAAAGCATGGTGAGTCAAGAAGGAGCGAAAAAATGTGTACGCCGATCTTATCAGAGCATACCGCGGCACGACATTGATGTTCCCGTAACAAGAACGCCTCAAAAGGCGAAGGCGCAATGGTAAACCTTGTATAACCGTCGAATCCACCAATGAATCTCGTAAACTGCTGTGTCAAAAGAAGGCGCGGATGCTGCCAAGGACAACGTGAAGGAATCTGGATTTTTAAGGTTTCGAAAGATGAGGGGTAAGCACAAGTACCATACAGCAACGAGGTACGAATGACCAGCAACGAGGCTGAAGTCACGTAAGCCAGCAAGTGCTTGGGATGCTTGATTCTCGACGTCTTTTCTTGGCCATGGTGCTTATCTCGACCGTCATCAGAGAACAATTATCAAAGGCATGTATATAGAAGGTAGAAGAGAAACAGTTCATGAATCAGATGTCGTTGATGGACAGATGAAAGGGACTTGTGCAAGGACCTCGTTCTCCACAAAAGCCCTCCGATCGCGGGAAACTTCGAGCCGGGCCAGATCTGGGTGATCGACCAGCACATCCACGAGGACGGCATGCTCGACTCTTGCCGTGTGCTAAAGTTGGTCATCACAAAGGAGAAGCAACTGCAAGCGTTCCACTCTCCGGATCAAGCATATGGTTAGGTACCCCGCCTTTTGTATCTGTAACGTGAGTGGCTTGACAACCGCGATGAACCGGCCTGGGAGATGAATAGCATCGTAGGACGGGGAGAAATCCGATGACTGGGTGTCTTCAATGTAAGAATCTGACAGTGCTCATGTCAAGCACTGGTCTCTGGTGTCTAATGCTTTGGGGTCCGTCAAGATAGTCCTTTTATTGTGTATGAAGAGGCTGCAACAGACACAACGAACACCATGCGGCTGGGCACCGATTGAGCTCTCGCGTCAAGCGAACTAATATATCGCTGGCGCGTTCGTGGACAAGCTTCAACACATGGCAACGTGAAGCTTGCATGTCAAGTATCAAAGTACAAGCTACAAGATTTGGCATCTCGTGCCGAGGGCATTCATCCACGGCAATTTGATATGGAATAAAGAGAACGTTCGGTGAGGGGTCATGCTCAGAACAGTGATATTGTTTCGTACTCACACATGATAGATAGGGTAGTGCAGGAAAGGCTAAAGCTCAGTAGACTAAACCATCTAAGCTGGGGCAAATACAAAATAGGGAATGGGTGATGAAAGAGAAGAATTGGAGAGACGTGAAGTTGGAAGGATCATCGTGGAGGAGTTGCTCCCGTGAAGTTCTGCCCGAACTTCCATCTGCCTGGCACAAACTTCGGTCCCTCCCGATGCGGTTGAAGATCGATCTGGACGCCAGGCCTGAGAGTATCATGTTCCTGTTCCTGGTTCTAAGAGGATCCGGAAGTGGCCATGGCAGAGCCTAGGCTCTGAAAACCTGTGCCTCTTCCGATTGCTGTCGCACCTCCGAAGCCGGTGGCAGGAGTGGAATTTCCAGGGACGGGACTACTAATTGGCCCAAGGGAGTGCGAGGGTCTTCCGGAACCAGGAGTTCCGGCGTCAGGCTCAAACTTGACTGCAAAGCCACCAGGCGTGGAATTATCGTGGCGAGCATGCAAGAAGCCCCCGCCATTCTGGGCATCACCTTCAGTCTCGCAGATGGCATCGATCTCCTTAATCGTGATCGGGCTGTCAATCATTACTCGATTACTCTCGATCTGGCGCAGCAAGGTCTCAACAGGATGATAGTTCTCAGGCGTAGGTTCTCGTGCGTTCAACTGTTTGCATGCATGGCAGACGGCCAAACGAATTGTCAAAGGACGGTTTGGGCCTGAGGAACGGTGACCCAGACCGCCAAATGGCATGCTGGGCCAGCCATTGCTCGAGTTTGCATTCCAAGATGAGCTGGATGGAGAGAAGCCAGGCTGGGCACCAAACATTGAGGGCGACGTCCAGCTACTGTTCCCGCCAAGGAAGTCCATGCGTGGTTGAGTCACAGGCGAACCATAACCCATACCTGATCCACGAGGTCCGGCGATGGCACTCGCGCGGCGGCTTTCTGGCACCGAGGGTAGCGGATCATCTGTGTCGTCGAGCAGGGCACTACTACCAAGATGCTTGCTCAGACCATCCATGTCAGCGTCGTTGGGTCTGATAGAAGAGGGTCTTTGAATTGGGGTTGGACGTGTGATAGGTGCAGGCGAGCTGATGGAGTCGAATGTATTCTTCTCAGACGAGTGTGTGCGGGAGTGCGAGGCAATGCTATGACGTGTGAGTCCGAAACCAGGTGGAGCAGTGGGCGATCCGACAGGCGGCATCTGTTGCTGGAATCCAGGAGGACTGTCAAGAGGGTATCCTCGACCCTGTGCCATCATACCTAGACCACTCATACCCGGAGGAGGAGTGGGCATTGGGTTAGCTGAGTGCATAGGCTGGAACGGGCCGCTGCCAAATGGACCATTGGCGAAACCAGGCAAGGAAGGACGATGATGCATCATGGGCCCTGGAGGAGCGCCGAAGCCAGAGAAGCCAGACATGCTCGTGGGGAACCCACTGAAGCCGTTGTTCTGGTGTTGATGGAACATTCCAGGTGGGGGCAACTGACTGACTGGTGACATGGGTTGGTGTTGTGCAAAAGGCTGTTGGTTCTGGGACTTTTGCAAGATTGACTTGGGCATGGAGTGGTTGAAGACACCTCCTGGAGACGTCGACTTGGTAGGAGCCATAGCGGGGGCTTGTTGAGACCTGGGTGAAGTAGCGTTCTGGCCCTGGAAGGAGTTCTGTCGAGGCTGTGCTGGAGTAGAGGGCTTTGGCAGAGCAGGCGTGGCCACGGGCACGTGTGGTGAAGGCATGGCGAACGAAGCTTGCTTGGAAAGCAGACCTGGAGGCACAGCGACCATGCCAGCTTGCGAAGGGCGTTTGACCATCTGCGGCGTCTGTTGGATTCGAGCCTCCTTGTCAGCTTTAGCCTTTGCTTCTCGCTCTTTTCTCTCGCGATCCGCTTGGACCTTCTTCTCCTTGGCTTCCTTCTCACGAGCTTCCCTGTCCTCGCGTTCCTTCTGGCGAGCCTCCTCACGTTGCTTCTTTTCAAGTGCCTTCTGCTCACGGAGTTTTCGCTCCGTTTCCTGCTGTCGTTCACGCTCCTCTTGTTGCCGTCTCAAACGTTCGGCCTCCTTGCGTTGTCGCTCTTCCTCTTGCGCCTTTCGCTCGGCCTCCTTCTTCTTGCGTTGTTCTTCTCTCTTCTGCTTGGCCTCCTCTTGCTTTGCCTGCTCGACAGCCTTTGCGGCAGCTTCTTCGGCCGCCTTTTCGGCGTCTTTCCTGGCCTTCTCTTCGGCCTTGGCCTGCTTCTGTGCTTGTTTCTTGTTCTTCTTCTTCTCGGCGTCCCTAGCCTTCTTGGCTTCTCGCTCTTCCTTCTTCTTGTCCTCGTCCTCCAGCTCCTCCAGTAGTTTCTGTTGGCGTTCGGCAGCAACCTTTTCTCGGTAGGCGGTCAAGACTCGTTGTTCGAACATGCGGGCGGCGAAGATTTGGAACATGCGACGACCCTCTTCCATGCGTTGCTCCTCGGTCATGCCGCCCTGTACCTTGTCAGTGACGCACGTGACCACTTCCCAAGAGTTATCCCGTGTTACCATCTCGTCCTCTTCCTCTTCATCCTCCTCAAACTCATCCTCACTGCCATCCTCGTAGTCGTCATCCTCATAATCTTCATCTTCAAGCGGCGGGTCGTGTCCGTTAGATGGGTAGGTATGCGCCGGCTGCGTTGCGGCATATTGTGCTTCTTGTTCGCGCTGCATTCTGCGCTCGGCCAATTGCTCCATCATTTCGATAAACTTCTTGCCGTCGTTCTTGAGCAGATCGTCGGCTACAGTTAGGATACCGCCTGATATCACTTCAGCCAATTGAAGGTAACAAATTATTGGCAAAGCAAACCTACCTTTGACTGTCAGACTGTTGCCAAAGTTGAAGAATTCGTTGCCTATTCCTCGCGGTACTTCGTCTTCGGGGTCCTCATCTTCTTCACTATTGTAGTCCGCGTCGTCGCTGTACTCCTCCTCTTCCTCTTCGCTCATATCCTGACTGTAGACTTCATCATCCTCGTCCTCTTCTTCTCCTTCTTCGTCGTCGTCATCGTCGTCGTCTTCATCGTCCATTACTTCGTGGACTCGACTTGTCCGATGATGGGGTTGTTGGTGATGGGTGCTTAGTGGCATGGGTACGGCGGAGGAGGGGTGGAGGTGTGGGGGTGGTAAACTGCGCGGAGGTGGTAGCATGCCGTGTCCTGGTTCGCTACCTTGGTGGTGGGCGTACTGTTCAAGTTCGTCGTAGTATGCATCATACAGCACTTCCAACTCCTCTTCTATAGCAATTCGTTTGCGACCACAAACCGAGCACGAACACGAATGTTTCTGTTGTTCCTTCATCTTGCGCAAAACAGCCTCTTTCTCGATTTTCAGCAGCGATTTGCGCTCGTCCTCGCTCAGTGTCAGCCAGAACTGTTTAATGCGCTCCCGCTCTTCCTGGGTCGATGTGTTCCAGATCCGATCTTGTCGAGATGAGCGTTGAGCTGACCTCATGGGACCAGATGATAAGGGCATCGCATGCGGTATAGGCGAATGGTGCATAGCGGGGCGCAAATGGTCGGGATAGACAGAGTGGTGAGAGCTGCCTCGCTTCTTCTTCTTGTTGCGCTTCTTGCGTGAAGGTTCTACTGAATCGTCATTGCTAGGATAGGAGTTCATGCCGTTTAGTGGTGGTCGCGCAGTATATGGAGCGTCGACGTCCTCCTCGTCGTCGTCTGACAAGGCTTCGGGCAGAGACGGAGGTTGGCCGAGGTGCGAGTGGTGGTCTGACAAGGCTTCATCAGAGCCGTGATTCAGCTTCGCCTGTTGCTTTGCCCTCCTCTTTTGCTTCTTGCGATTGCCGGTTGTGAGAGGTTGGGAGCGGTCGTTGTTCGAAGGAAGGCCGTTCGAGGGGTAGGGATGCGCCATGTTGTAGTCGAGAGTGTGCCAGAACTAGCAGCGACCGCTCTATAGAGTGTAGCGATTGCGCAGTATCTAGTTGGCGAGTAGTGCTATGTCAGCGTGCCAGTGGCAGATCGGCGTTGCTCGTGATGGCTATGGTGGGCTGCGGGCAGAATAGCGGGATCGGATGTGGTCAAAGCCGTGCTTGAAGCCTTGAAGCCTGGAAGCCTTGTAGAGAGAAGGCGCGGGAGATAGGTCGTGACAATCAAGGCGAACGCAGCGAGTAAACGAGCATTCGGCTATTACAGTCGAGAGGGTTATGCGACTCACTGCCAAACGTACATCTATCTCGAATGAGCCTATTGCGACCTCTCCAGCACCTGCTGTCTTGGGTTGTGTCGACTCTTCGGCAGTAACCGGCCTAGAAGCCCTTGCTTGATCTTATTGGTCACACTTGCCGGGAGGAGCGTCTTGGTAACGAAGCCTCCTGCTTTTCTGTCTTCTGTGTCTATGTTGTACGTGTTGATCCTATGTACACAGAGCAATGAACCTGCGTCCGTAGAACCTAGTGGCTCAAAAAGCGCGGTGACTAAGTTTCAAGCAGATCTGGGTTCAACAAGCATGTTGCGACAGCTATCTCAATGACCATGCAGGCTTCGGACAGACCATGGGTGTTGATACTAGCATCTCCAAGCGCCAAGGCGGTGAGAGTGGGCAGCAGCAAGCCACGAAGCAGCTCCTTCCTTTGTTGTGCCCCACGGACTCGTGTGTTCCGCCTGAATGCCGAGCTTCCTAATGCTGTCTGATCTGTATCTTCCAGCCCTGTCGTGATTCCTCTTTTCTGCATTCTTCCAACATCCCCTGTTCGAAGACTAGTTCCTGTTTGACATCCTGTCAAGACTTGTAGTTCTGCGCTTGAGGCGTCATCAAGACCACATCCTGAAACGCGGAAACCCGAAGCACAGCCCGCTCTGTAACTCAAGTCGCCGACTCCTCAATCTCTCTGCCACTCGTCAATCATCCCGGTCTCAGGGCAATTCTTCCTTCTCCTCACCTACGACCATAAACCAGTCCGTCTACCCACATCGACTCTTGTACCCGCCAGCGGCTTCGACTCAACAATTCGCGTCATTCGAGTCCACATTCCCCGACGTTTCCGTATCCGAGCGTATTCCCAGCCTGTCAGCCCACTCAACTGTTGGCCGACACGCATATCTCGAAACTCGACGTGTTTTTCTGCACCCATCAGTCGTCGCGCCATAAGCCACAACTCCCGCTGGACTGCTTCTGCGAGTATCCACCAAGATGCCTCAACAAGAAGAAGGTGTTATGAGAAGGTGTGTGTTTATACCTGGACAACGACTTCCAAGACAGCGTCTTTGCACCCTCCATACCTCTTCTGCAGCCACAATTCTCGATTAGAGTCCGTCACAGGTCGCAAAACCAAACGGCTCTAGCATCATGTCCATTAAGAGCCTATTGTCGGTACAGACAAGTAGGACTCGATGGACATGTGGAAGATTGCTTGGTATTCTGCATGAGACTCGGTTTCGGGAGAGGTGCCTGTGGCATACAAACACCCTTGAATTGAGCTTGGACTAACACACCTCTTCTCTTAGGAAGCTTGTCATCATTGGTGACGGTGCTTGCGGCAAGACCAGTTTGCTAAGTGTTTTCACTCTTGGTTACTTTCCTACTGTGTGTATTGCCATTATCCTAGATTATCTGCACTTGCTAACCTTATTCACAGCGATACGTACGAATTCATCAATCCTACCGCCCAAGATGACTTGCTAACAAGATCTAGGTACCCACTGTATTTGAGAACTATGTGACCGACTGTCGTGTAGATGGCAAATCTGTGCAACTAGCTCTATGGGATACCGCTGGCCAGGAAGACTACGAACGTCTGCGACCTTTGGCTTACTCTCAAGCCCACGTCATCTTGATAGGTTTTTCTATCGACACACCGGACTCTATCGAAAACGTCAAGCACAAGTGGGCCGACGAGGCCACCGAACGCTGTCCCGGAGTCCCCATCATCTTGGTCGGCCTGAAGAAGGACCTTCGCGACGACCCCGTAGCACAAGAGGAAATGCGAAAACGAAGCCAAAAGTTCATCACCAACAAGGCTGGCGAAGACATGAAGGAACTCATCGGAGCACGAAAGTATCTGGAATGCAGCAGTCTGACAGGTGACGGTGTGGACGACGTCTTCGAGGCCGCAACCCGTGCCGCTCTCCTCGCTGTGGACAAAAAAGACCGCGCAGGCTGCTGTGTCATCCTTTAGTCGCCTTCTCCACGCAAAACCAACGGCCTTCTTGTTTCCTAGATTCTATGACCAGCATTGGGACGGCGTTTTCTGTTTGTGGGGTACAAGCGGACTGTCAAGTGGTACCAAAGGCGGGCCTCTATTCTTCTTTTTCTAGTCTTTTGCTTTCTGTTTCGTTTGTGGGAGCGGTGTTGAAAAGCCGGGATTGATTCTCTTTGTTTTTATCTGAGTTGTTGTTTCTGCTGGGATGAGTTTAGGCGGTAGTGAGGGTATGTTCTGACCCGATATCCGCTCATTTTGATACCATTTTCTTGAGTATATTTTCTGTTGCTATTTTAGAAGTCTTGCCTAGTCTGCCAACGCAGATTGGTCTGATGGCCCGATATCTCGACCGCTTTGTCACTACTTACATTGAGATGTCGTCCCTCGATCATCATCTCGTTTATATGGTTGAAATCCATGGCACATGGGATGTGGAATATGTTCGATTTTCCCTAACACCGAACTGTACAAATCAACGCCGAAAGTATAATACAACATAGCACAAGGACGGCGAGTTCACCCTCTACCTCGTCCAACCGTGGTTCCAGCCATCGGTGCTCGGGCTATCGGTCTGAATGCGCGCATACTCGATGGGTACACCGCCCCAGATATCATTCTTCATCATGGCGATTCTGTACAGTCTTCCGACATTCTTTCCCTGTGCGGCAGCCTCCCCCTCTTTTACGATGTTGGCGTTTCCGTCCATGAGGCGTAGTGCCTCACATGCATCTCTCATGCTCTGGTATTGGCGCTCGAGGTCACGCTCATGCTGTGTGCGTTGCTGGGCCTTGTAGATTTGCCATGCGCGATGGATGGTCCAGTGTCTCAAGTAGCGGTCGCGGGAGAATCTGAGAGGACGAGGTGTTGTGGGATGCGACAAAAAGTAACGGATCAATTCTTTGCGCAAGAGTTAGTGCCGAGTTCTGGAGTGGTTATGCTGGTCGAGTGGACTCACGAATGCGAGCGTCCTTCTTTGGGCCACCGCGATTTCTCTTTTGAGGGACGGGTGTGCTGCTGAATGATCGTGATTGTTGGACAGCGCGTAGGATGGTGCTGGGTTGGGATGTAGCGGGAGAGGCGGTAATCTGGGGAGCAGCACTGCGCAGGCAGCGGAGGGAGAAGAGGCTGTTCATGTCGATTGTTGTATGATGGATTTGGTCGGTAGAGATTGGTGTATGCGACTTGCTCAGCTCAGGCGACGGCGATGCTAGAGACGTGTTGGACTATTATTCGTGGTATGGACAGTCGAATCTTTGATGCCAAGAAATTGCGGAGCGGAGCGAGAGTGGCAGGCGCGAAGGAGCAGGGTTTCTGTTTTCTGTGGGAAGCTCGAGCTCCGCAATCTTGACCGCATTTGGCCGAATTGGGTTTCATGATGCGTTTCCATGTCTAATAATATTCCCCTCCCCAAGGCCCACCATCAGCCTCCACTTCGTTTGTCTTTCTTGCTTTGACATCTTGACACATTGTATCAACAGTTGAACATAGACTCAATTTCTACAATGAGCCACGACGAAGCTGTCAAAGAGGCCTCGGCCAAGCACAGTACTCCCGCCGAGCTGGTGGGCAAGTTCCAGTATGGTACTGCTGGTGTAAGACAATGACGAACTGTTGTGATGCTGTAGACACAATGCTGACCATATCCCCAGTTCCGTATGAAGGCGTATGTGTCTGTCCCACCTAATGCTTCGCACTCAAACTCACCATCTCCAGCAACATCCTCGACTCGGTCGTCTACCGTGTTGGACTCCTGGCCTCTCTGCGTTCGCGCAAGCTCAATGGACAAACCATTGGTGTCATGATCACTGCCAGTCACAACCCTCCAGAGGACAACGGTGTCAAGCTCGTCGACCCTATGGTACATTCCATCCCCTGTCCTTTTCATTGTCAACTTACCCTGCTCTGACTGGCTGTATAGGGTGAGATGCTCGAGGCTTCATGGGAGAAGTACGCCACTCAACTCGCCAATGCCGAATCCGACGACCACCTCGTTCAGGTCTACAACGAACTCGTCAAGACACTCAAGGTCAACCTCGACGCCCCTGCCAGAGTCATCTTCGCCCGCGATACTCGTGCTTCCGGTTCGCGCCTGGTCGGATGCCTCAATGATGCTCTGACTGCCACCAAAGCTGAGTCTACAGACTACCGCATCCTCACCACCCCTCAGCTTCACTACCTGGTCCGTTGCGTCAACACGAAGGGAACTCAGGATGAATACGGCGAGGTCAGCGAGAAGGGATACTACGAGAAACTGGCCGCTGCCTTCAAGCAAGCCATGGAACACACAAAGCCTCAAGGTCATTTGACTGTTGACTGCGCAAACGGTGTCGGAGGTCCCAAGCTGCTCGAGTTGCTCAAGTACCTGCCCGCTCCTGCTGATGGTGGTCTCGATGTCAAGGTCGTCAATGACGATGTTCACAAGCCTGAGAGCTTGAACCACCAGGTGAGTCTAATCCACTCTGATGCCAAATGCATCTCTCTAACCTCTACAGTGTGGTGCCGATTTCGTCAAGACTAACCAGCGTGCACCCCCTTCTTCCAAGGCTGGACCTGGAGATCGCTGCTGCTCGTTGGACGGTGATGCCGACCGTATTGTCTTCTACTTCCAGGATGAAAAGAACGTCTTCCGCCTTCTGGACGGTGACCGCATCGCCACCCTGGCTGCCTCATTCATTGCCGAGCTGGCTCGCCAATCTGGTCTGATGGACAAGCTTACTGTTGGTGTCGTTCAGACCGCATACGCCAATGGTGCCTCGACCACATACATCCAGAAGAACTTGGGTCTGCAAATAGTCTGCACTCCCACTGGTGTCAAGCACTTGCACCACGCTGCTACCCGCTTCGATGTGGGTGTCTACTTCGAGGCCAACGGTCACGGCACTGTTGTCTTCTCTCCCTCTGCTCTCAAGGCCATCCACACTCACCAGCCGCAATCACCCGCTCAGGCCGATGCTCTCACCACATTGATGGCGCTGACCGACCTGATTAACCAAACAGTTGGTGATGCTCTTTCTGACCTTCTGCTTGTGGAAGTTATTCTCGCACACAAGGGCTTCAGCTGTGCTGAGTGGCTGCAGACATACACCGACCTGCCCAACCGTCTCGTCCGTGTCGAAGTCGCTGATCGCAACCTGTTCACGACTGTTGAGGGCACTGCTGAGCGTCAACTCGCAAGCCCCACTGGCGCCCAAAAGGACATTGAGAAGGTCGTCGCCAAGTATAAGGACGGCAGAAGTTTTGCTCGTGCCTCTGGTACAGAAGATGCTGTTCGTGTGTATGCTGAGGCAAGCACACGCGCTGAAGCCGAAGACCTTGCTGCTGCTGTTGCACAGATTGTGAGAAAGTACGGCGCCAAGTAAAAGTTGGTTATCATATCACGGCTGGAGACTACATAATGAAAAGGGGGCGAAAAATGCATGCATTGGATAATGGGGGTCTCTGGCGTTGTTTCAATTGTTTAGTTGTTCGTTTTTGACACTTTAGTTCACTTCCAACCCTGGATAGAAACAGAACTGCATTTACCTTGATCACGGAAAACATTGCACCAAACAAACACATTCCACATGTATCTTGATCCACCACATTCAAACATGCCTTGAACCTACCATCAGCTTCGGTAAGAGCGTTTTCTCAATGCCCTGTCACCGTGTTCACGAACGACGAATGAACATGAGGACAAAAAGATGCATGCGTGGAAACAAGCAGGGTGATATTCTCATCGAGCTTAGTAAGCCCCGATCGGCGAATCTCTCCCGAACAGTTTGCCCAGCGTACTCAGCCCTCAATCTCGTTGCTACCAAGACATGCACCATCTTCTATTTGTAGTAACTTATAGGCAGCCACTTCCGACATGCTGGTTATGATCCTTCGCATCCCTTCTTCTACTGCAGGGAGTCGCTTGTTCTCCCTATCGCAAGATTTGATGAGCACAGCAACGCCGGGCGATAGCAAGTCCCGACGGCTTCTGATTCGAGCTCCAGTCTTGGGACTTTGTAAGTTCCGACGATAGGATGTTATAAGGACGCAGCTCCAGCTCTGCAAGGTACAGTGAAACAACTCGCCCAAACAGTTTTCCACCATAATTTGATCATCTCACGTCAACAATGTCGAAATCACCAAACGTTCTCATCTCAGGCTTTGGCATAGCAGCCAGTGTCTATGCATCCACACTTCTCCGCGCTTACCCAAATGCTACCATCACAATCGTCGAACGCGATCCCGAAATACGACTCACGGGTGCTAGCGTCGACATCCGCAGCTCGGCCGTTGAAATAATAAAATGGATGGGCTGCGAATCAGAAATTCGAGACAAAACCACAAAGGAAGAAGGAGTGGAAATGGTCGATGAGAATGGCAAGTCTTTCGCTAAGCTCATGGCGACAGGCAATTCTGAAGTCCAAAGTATCACTTCCGAGTACGAGATTTTCAGAGGTGATCTCGCGAGGATTTTCATCAGGCCTATCAAGGATAAGGTCAACATGATCTTCAATGAGACTGTGGAAAGTTACGTGCAGGACGAGGACAGTGTTACTGTCACTTTCGCAAACAGTCAGGAAGTCAAGTCTTATGATCTTCTCGTCGCTGCCGATGGTCTTGGTTCTAGGATACGTGGAATGATGCTCGGCACAAAACCCTCGGAACAGGTCCACGATGAAGGCGCTTACGCATCGTTCTTCGTCATTGAAAAGGATCTTCTCAATGGATCGAAACTCGCTCAGTGGTACAGTACGACGGGTGGGCGCGCCATTTTCCTCCGCCCTGATCCCGACCCGCGAGGTCGCACAAGAGGACACTTCATGAACACGGCATGGGCAAGCGACGTTGAAGGAAGAGCCAAGATCAACGCCGCCTTACGAGGAGGCAACGAAACATACATGCAATATGTTGAGAAGGAATTCGCCAATGTTGGCTGGCTGGCACCGGAAGTCCTCAAAGCAATGCGCGAAACCACCGACTTCTACTGCTCCAAGTTCGCCCAAGTCCGCTCTCCTCGCATTCAAGATGGAAGAGTAGTTCTGCTCGGTGATGCTGGCTTCGCATGTCCAGGCATCGGCACTAGTCTCGCTATCATGGGCGGTCATGTCCTAGCGGGCGAACTTCTGCTCCACAACAACGATGTCAAGTCTGCCACAAAAGCTTACGAGGAATTGATGCTGCCTTTTGCAAAGGCTCAGCAGAGCACGATGGGCGACTACGCGATGCAAGTGTTGAATCCGCAGACTGCCTGGGGACTGTGGATCCGTAACACCATCTTGTGGGCCTTGACAAAATTCAAGGTGGACAAGATAGGTGTCTGGGTTGCTGGCAAGTTGGGTGTCAAGGAGCCGAGACTGAGGATGCCTGATTACCCTTGGCCTGCGCTGAAGGCTGAATGAATTTTGGGTGGAAGATTGATCGACCTTGCATGAGTGAGTTTCTTGACGAAACAGTGGTTTGTTAGACTACGCAATCGTTGAATACGAACCCAAGCTCCTACGTCTTTGTACTCGCCTACAATGCCTGAGGTTTAGAATGGTCAATGTGTACGAGTAGTACGAGTGAGCCGATCTTATCAATCTTAGTTGACCCTGAACCGGCCTAGCATGGTCAGCCTTGGCACTTCACAGAACACCGAAGGGTCAAATCTTGCGACACCACTCCACTTCCCTTATAGGCTCTACTCTTTAACCAGATTATAATGCAGCTCTAAGAGTTCAACACTAATTCATACTTGCCTACCCATACAATATTCCCGACTTGCTTCCGGCTTCGTTCAGACATTGAATCAGATCTACTGACCTGTACCAACATAGCTTTGCTATACGCACCCTCTTGAAGCAAAAGATCAACCACCAGCGTCCATCTATCCCAATACTTTCGAATCGCATCCCATACAACCTCTTTCCGTCGGAGTCGAATAAAATCGTCATGTTCATCCTTGGCGGGATAATCGCTCCAAATCTTCCTTGGCTTTCGTCTTTCGAGTCTGTGTCTTGTGATGAGTCAACATGGCAGTCTGGTCCCTGCCAATTCCGTGCGCGTAGCTTCACGGTCCGGTAGTCTCTGTCTCGGGTCCCAAATATGTACGGCCGTTCAACAAGATGATCGTGCCGTTTGTGCTAGTCGACTTGCTACGACATGTGTGATGAGTTGCAGGCCCTAACTGAGCAGCGCCGAGGTTTGCCTGAATGGGCGATTGAACCTCTTACATTGTTGGACTAGCCTCTAGTCTGTGTGGTTTGTCCCTTTGAGAAGAGGCCAGGTGAACTGCTGATATCCACAGTGATACGGGCTGGTACGCTGTCGACAACCTTGTATTAAGGCTCTTCAAATCCCGAAGACTACCTAACTGATTACTTGTGCTATCTTCGACGAAGACTCCAAAATTCGTTCCTCGGCGTCCGTCTTCCAGTCTACTTTCGGAGGTTCTAGGGATCATTAGCCTCTCGCCGTTTCCACCTGACTGGACATTATACTCAGCCTCACCGCGGACTGTCTACACTCAAAGATCAAGAGGCTCGAGGTCGCTGAGACAGCCCTATCAAGCCGCTGGCAACTCTCTTTAGTGGATCTCATCCGGGAGTCTGCCAATTGGTTAGGTACCTTGCGGATCCGGCTCGATACTTTTATTTCGCATGGACTTGAACACCGCTGCGTATCTGGCGATGTCTGATATTATCGTCGAGTCATGATCAGTCCTAAAGTGGTGTTGCTGACATCCAAATACTCGCCAAACGGCGATGAGCCAGGAATGATGCGTTGAATAGGAGTTGCGTTCGAAAGCGTGTATGCTTGGAGAAGCACCAATTGACCTTGCCAGACACACTTCTTGAGCAAGACTGTCACCACTGCTTTGTTTGAAGTTACACTTTGACTTGTAGATCTCTGTCCCGACGAGGCGCGAATGGCCGAAATCACAAGGGTGGATCAGACATGGAATTGCCCCAGAATGATACATCGATTGAGCCCCGACTCCAGTTTCAGAGTTTGCTAACAGATTTTCATCATGAGCTTGTTTGCATGACTCTGGTCCTGGATGTTTATCTAGTGGCTGGAGCTTAAATGTTGCTTGCTACAAGACCAGGCGAAGCAACATTGAAAGAGAGTTCAGCGACTCTGCCGCAAACCATAATGGATATTCGCAACGAGGCACTACGGTGAACTCCACGTCAGGCGTAGATGGTATGAGTAACACCTATATCATGTGGGTGCCCGCTCGAGTCAACACGGTCCATTATCTTCTCATTCTCTTGTGTACGGACCGGAGGATCATTTCTTCAAACCGCCGTGTGGTTTCTCGAAGTCATGGAGGGAAAGCAGTTGTCACTTTTTCTTTGCACAGTGGTCAGCTTGATCATCACGACACTTGTGGTCGTGGCAAGATGTCTAGTCCGCAAGTCAATCAAGGGCTTTGGTATCGACGACTGGACGATGTTGGTTGGACAGGTATGATCTGCACCGGTGTTTCAAGTATGGATCGCCACTGACAAGACTGACAGATGCTATTCTTTTCCACCTGCTGCGTCTGCTTGTGGGGATGCCATGAAGGGTTTGGCGTGAGAGATGTTGAATTGACGATGGAGAAACTGGTCAATGCGAGGCATGTAAGTTATGCTTCGAAATCATACCGCAATGAAACAAGACTCACAAGAATGCAAGGCTGCAGCTACCTTCGAATGCGTCTATCTCGCCTCTCTCATCTTCGTCAAACTAAGCATTGGCTTTGCTTTGCTCCGTATCACAACACACAGATCGATTCGCCACTTCCTTTACTTCATCATGACACTTTCATCGATCTCCGGTTTCATCTGTATGGTGGCAATTCTGTCCATGTGTCAGCCTCTCTCGGCGACCTGGACAGGCATGGGGAAATGTGCGCCGCCCAGCGTGCTCAAATGTGTAGCGATCTATTTGACGGTCTCGGCTTGCATTACTGATTTTTCTTGCTCCATCCTGCCTTTCTTCATTCTTTGGAATCTTCAAATGGCCAGGAGACTCAAGTTTACGTTGGCTGTTGTCCTAAGTCTAGGTTTCCTGTAAGTTCATTCTCAACTGTTGCAGATATTAAATTCGCTAATGGTGGACACGACAGTGCCAGTGCAGCCACGGTAGTACGTGCTTGCTACTTCGACCGCTTCCTAGCCAGAGTAGACTATGTGTGGGGCTTCTCTGATCTCGCTCTATGGTCTGTCATCGAAGGTCTCATCGGCATTACTATCGGCAGCGTGCCCAGCCTAAAGCCCATGTTCAAACGCTTCAAGTTCCTGGCCATCACATCTTCCCATCGCAGCAACAGCAAGAAGGCGAGTGATTACCAGCACTTCGATTCATACGCCATGCAGTCTCGAAACAAGGGCAAGAATCAGACCAGAGTCATTACTGTTGCGGAGGAGAGTGACAGTGTCAAGGAGTTGGTCACAGGGGCAAACATCGTTGTCAGTCAGGAATTCAGACATGAAGAGGAGTACGAGTACCATGACAGGAAACCTGCAAGTTCGGTCTAGAGATGGCATTCTGACAGACGTCCAGACGATCTGCACTGTAAATATATTTGACTTCTCGGCCGAGATGGTCCATGCATTCGGGCCAAAGCACCGGCGGAAAATCTGCCGGGCTTGCCGAACAAACCCTCCTTCCTCTTTTATCACCTCATATACTTGATATAGTACATGCATAATAGCCAACAAGCATTCTAGAGAGCGAGCCGTGTTTATATCGTACCTGAGTGGACATCATCAAGCGAGTTCTGGACCGGTGGTATGGCAAACTACCCTCAATCCCAGCACCGAGAAAGGCCCACTTGCAGTTTGCAATGTTGACGGCACGTTTGATGTAGGCATCTGTAGCGAGCTCGTGAGTCAGAGTTTGAGGTTTGTTCTCTCTTTAGAGACTATGACACCATATGAGACCGGGTAGGTATATGTATCACACCGTTCATTCCTCTTCCTGTCTCCTTCTTTGCTTCATCTCCTCCGAGAATTTGCTTCCGCATACAGCAAGATACCACAATGACAATTGCACAACCCAAACCCAACACAAGCGGTTTCACGGCCGCCCAATTGAATGCCTATTACAAGCGCATCAACCTGCCATCTCAACATCGCCATACTCCGGAAACAGCGGCAAAGACTCTCCACACCAACTCTACCGCCGCTCTCACCTTCCTCTCCGCCCTCCAACTCCATCAAATCTGCGCCATACCCTTCGAAAATCTATCCCTCCATTACTCACACAACCCTTCCATCTCCACCTCCGCCACCGATGTATACCACAAACTCGTCGAGAGAAAGCGAGGAGGCTACTGCATGGAAAACACAACTCTCCTCTACCACATCCTCTTGACTTTGGGCTTTACTGTCTACGCCACTGGAGGCAGAGTGTTAAAAGCAGTCCAACCCATTTCCTCCGAGCAAGAATATATCGGCGAACATTGGAATCATATGGTTCTTATCCTCACTCTTTCCTCCCCCTCCTCTGAGAAATATATCCTAGACGCCGGATTCAGCAATATGTCCCCAATCGCACCTATCCCTCTATTGCACAATGCGGAAATACAAAATTCTGGCTTTTCCCGCGTTCGTCTGGTTCAAGAGGGGCAGATGTGGAGGTATCAGGTCAAGTATTCTGATCTCGGGGCTTGGATTTCGGCGTATGAGTTTTCCACCTTACCGTTCACGGCGGCGGATTTTGTCATGATGAGTTATTTCACGAGCAAATCTGAGGATAGTTGGTTCACTAAGGAGGTGGTGGTTGCGAGGATGGAGAGGGATGAGGAGGGGAGATGTGTGGGTGATGTTACGCTTTTTGGGGGGAAGTTGAAGAGGAGGGTTGATGGGAAGAGTGAGGTCATTGCTGTTTGTGAGACTGAAAGGGAGAGGGTCGAGGTGTTGGAGAGGGAATTTGGTGTTGTACTTGATCGGAGTGAGAGGGAAGGTATTGTAGGTAGATGTTCGGAGATTCTTTAGACGATAGACTTTTCAATAAGACCGCTTTATCGTGAATATCTATTTATGTAGTATTCGTCCAGCTGTAAGATCTGCTTGGCAAACAATCTAGCTACGGGTACAGTGGTTGATACGACATCTTCTGCTGCCTCAGATCCTCGCGCTGACTTGTGATACAGGTGCCGACCTTTCACCATCCGAACCCGCCTCCTCAGAGCGCTCATACTGACAATCCCAAGACCTGCTTATCAAGATGCCTTTTGTATCGCTGCTCGTACTGATCTTCCTCCTTGTATTGTTTCCATTGCTTGCCGTTACCGGCTGCAGCGTCTCTTCCTCATCTTCCTCCCACACAGATGTACTAAATTGTAATTTCTTGCCCGCCGTAACTCGTGTTCGACTAGTCAAATTCGACATCCGATGGCTTTCGATGGGGTTTGAGCTGCCTTGTCCTGTGCCTTGATTCTCGTCGATACGCAGCATGCCAGTTTCAAATTGATCGAGGAAGCGACTTAGGACAGGAATGGATGTCATGACAATCGCGCTGCACAATACGGCTTGCGACACAATTACCGGAGCAGCCAGACTGCGAGTCAAATTAGCTTCGATGTCGGCTGGGGATGGCATTATGGCTAGGCGTGCTGCAAGCGACACGACGACTATGATGCGAAAGGAGAAGGCGACCAGAATGGTTGTTCGCTTGGCTCTGGATGTTTGAAGAGGCGCAACTACCCAGAATGGAATGAACATCAAGGTCAACTCGACGATGATTGCTACGACGCACTCAATGGTCCAAAAAATATGCTGAGAGATGTGTCAGAACAGACTTGAAGACTTGAAGGGAATTTCTTTTTGGACTGACCATGTTGATGCTAGTAGCCGGAAGAGCCCAGACTTCAGGAGGCTTGCTTTGGAAGACAACACACAGTATTGCGACCACTGACCAAGTCAAGTTCCCAACATTCATGTACCGAATGACATTCTGTACAGTCTTTGAAGCCGGTATTGACTCAACCAAGAAGAATGCTGACATTTGGGCCATGCAAAGCGTAGGCACGAAAAAGACGTCGGCGACATAGTTTGCCTAGAGGAGTTAGCATTGAATGATCGTTTTTCAGCATCTAAGAACCTACCTTCTTGAATCGCAAAACCTGAGCATCGACCAAGGAACTTCTATGTTGGCCAAGCCCAGCATCTGCTGCTACTGACACTGCTATGCATTGAGCGATATGGAAAGCCTGTAACTTGATCAGCGGCGTTCAACGGTACTCGGTAGACCTCTCAGCATACAGCAGCAAAGCAAAGACTGATGTCGTCTCGTGCTCGCAGTTTGAGCTTACTGAACCGAAATCCAAGTCTAGCGATGACAGAAAGAACGACCGTGACTGTCAAGAACCATGTAAGGATTGATGCAGTAGCACCAGGGCCTCGATGCGCTGTGCTGGGTGTGATGTGGTGACCAGCAGCCATGATCGCGATGTACACGACGGCAGTTGATGGTAGGTCGATTGAAGCCAATGCGAGATGCTTTTGGACTCTCCCACACCGGACCACTCTGTGCTTGCATGATACATCCAACCTACCAAAAGTCTCATCTCAGGTGCGTATCGGTAAGCTTGTCGCATGTTCCATAGCGAGAACGCGAAACAATCGGCATAGTGCTAGGGCGCAAAGGAACGGCAGAAACGTATGACCTTGAGGATGAACCAATTGAATCTCGCCATACTTACACTCCGCAATTTCTATGCTCCCTCGTCCTGGCGCTTTTTGTAATCCTCTTCATTTGGGTAAGCGAATTTGATCTTGGTTGGGAGGTTATACAGAAAATCATAAGCGGGACATGCTATCATCTCGACGAGTGGGTCGTAATGTACAACTACCGCGGACTAGACGGGCCCTCATGGACGAACGAGCGCGCTCGAGCATTACTAGACAGAACGCCGGGTCAAGGCTTTGGTAACCGAGCTTAATATGGCGTCGCTTGGTTCATCCGGACTGCGATGTTTCATCGATTGATAAGGTCGGTATTAGTCGCAGAGCGAGAAGAGACGGCGGACATTGAAGACCAAGGTAAATCTCAAAAAGGGTGTAACGTGCTGCGCTGAGTTTTGCGCGAGTTGTGCCGCAGAGACTTCGTAAAAGTCCCTTTTGTTTGGGAATATTCGAGTCGCTACGGCCGTTACAGATAGCACGACGCGGCACGCACGCATCCAGACAATGCACGATATTGATGAAGCTAATATGAAGATTGCATGATGGATGCATGCATGAAAAGAGAGGTCGGAACAAGCTTTAGGGAGACGAAATAAGAAGGAGCAAGCACGTCCAAGCTTCGCTAACCGAGGTGCCGAACCTCGCGCAACTCACGCCACTGCGTCCTCTTTCCTTCATACATCTAACTCACAGAACCACCTGCCCATATTCAATTGAATAACCAGGATAGAAACTACAGCAGCAAGAGTAGCTGACGACAAGATTATCATTCACGATGGAGGCGAAATGCTTCCACGACATCACAACCAGGACCTTGATCAGACTGCCGTGATCCGTATGTGGCGCTCCTGCTGGACCCCTTGTCTATTCGGACAAATTGTTCCGCATATCGATTCCTCCGAAGCCTCACTCTAGCCAGTACACCACTCCGCCTTCCCATACCTTTCCCTGCAGCACGTTTGAGTTTGCCGTGCCCCAATCCCGGCACTGTGGTTGGCCTAACCAAAGAGCGCAATAAACAAGGAAAGCAACGACTCCCGAACCTTGGGTGCGATCAATTTAACCATGGTATGAAATGATCCTGTCCTTGCACATCGTAAGTCGTCCTTGTAAGCAACAGGAAGGTCGTTCTCGCTTCTGTATATTTAGCGGCAGTAATCTCGAAGACTTCGGCCCTCCAATCTAGAGATCATCTGGTGAGTTCAATGGGGGCAGATCCTATGTTCGAGATGCTTTCTACTTTGGTTGGTATCTCCCCAGTGGATGAGAATCTTTCTTATCTTGACGAGCCAGCCTCACGATATTTTTCCTTTGAATATCCGGATTCATCTCTGGTGAATACCTCATTTTCAGTCTTTCTTCTTCTTCTGTCCGACCGACTCAATATTCAGCGATGGAAAACAAGACTTTCGAGCAACAGTCCATCCCTCTCGACGGCAGCGAGATCAGCGACTATGCCAGTGGCGGGGATGGCCAATACTCTCGTGATGAATTGGACATGATCCAACAGGGCAAGACGCAAAGATTCCAAGTACGTCCTCTCCTCACAACCCTCTTTCACCGGAACTGATGAATCGCAGCGCAACTTTGGCTTGGTCTCATTGCTAGGCTTCGGTACTACCATGATGGCTACTTGGGAGGCTGTCTTCACGTCCAACGCAACCGCTGCTCTGAATGGTGGCTTCCCATCCCTGGTTTGGGGATTCCTCTTTTCGTGGATTGGCAATCTGGCTACTGCTGCCTCTCTGGCTGAGATGGCCTCGATGTATGTTTTGAGCAAGTCTGATCACGACGAACACTAACTGACGGTTTAGGGCACCTACTTCGGGGGGTCAATATCACTGGGTCGCCATGCTCGCCCCCGAGAAGCACAGAGTATTCCTGAGCTGGATAACAGGTTGGATTGCCACAATCGGCTGGTCAGCAAACACGGGTCAGATATCCATGCCTTCTTGTCCTCAGCTACTCTACTCACACAAACACAGCCGCAGGTATATTTTTTAGCGGCAGCATGATTCAAGGCCTTCTTGTTCTCAATGACTCCACCTACGCCTACCACAGATGGCACGGTACCCTTATCATGTGGGCCGCTCTGGGTATTGTCATCCTCGTCAACACTATTGCTGCTAGATTCTTGCCCAAGATCGAAGGCATGATCTTGATTCTTCATACCCTTGGCTTCTTTGCTATTCTCATACCCATGGTCTACCTGAGTGACCACAACTCTGCCAGTACCGTCTTCACGGACTTCGAGAACAGCGCCGGGTGGAACAGCAATGGCCTCGCTTTCTTTGTGGGCTTGATTAGTAACACATTGCCCTTCATCGGCTACGATGGTCCGGCTCACATGGGTAAGTTTTTGGAGATATTCTTGCTCTTTATCTACTAACATCCTTATCAGCCGAGGAAGTTAAGAATGCAGCGATCAATGTTCCTTACGCAATGATCTTCACAGTCATTGTTAACGGCACGCTTGGCTTCGCTATCACGATCGCATTCGCCTTCTGCGCAACCGACATTCAGAGCGCTCTTGAATCACCGACTGGCTATGACTTCATGTATGTCTTTCAGCAAGCCACGCAGAGCAACGCAGGCACATCGGTCATGACTGCCATTATGATTGTCCTTATGATATGTGCTTCTATCGGTTTCCTGGCCACCGCTTCTCGCCAAACCTTTGCCTTCGCTCGCGATCGAGGTATTCCTGGATCAAGATGGCTTAGTACTGTTGGAACCACGACCAAGATACCCTTCTGGTCGGTTGTGTTCTGCACCTTCATCACCATGCTCATTTGCTTGATCAACATCTTCAGCACTGTTGCGTTCAACGCCATCGTCTCGTTGACTATCGCTGGTCTGTTCATCTCGTACCTGATCCCTGTCAGTTTGATGGCTTTCAAGCGAGCTACTGGAGAGCCTATTAAGTGGGGACCTTGGAAGATGGGATCACTTGGTCTTCCTGTTAACATTGTCTCGATGATCTACCTCATCATCACTATCGTCTTTTCTTTCTTCGCCCCTGAGACTCCCGTCACTTTGGCCTCGATGAACTGGAGTTGTCTTGTGTTTGGTGGCTTTGTCATCATTGGTCTTGTCTACTGGTTTGTCACAGGTAAAACAGTCTACACTGGTCCCATCAGGGAGAGATGAGGGTAGCGGGTTGACCGAACCTTACTTTCGGTCCCTATGTATGAGCTCTCATGCGCTAGTATTGACAAAGTTATGCAAACGAACTCTAGCATCATGATCATGCGACTAAGAGCACAATCTATGCACAATACATGCCGACCTGACCAACAAATTTTCCTCGCTCCATTGTTCTGGAAACATGGTGCAACGCGTGTCGAAGAGCCAGCGAAGTACACGGCGTTCCGGTACAGTATACCAAGAAACAACGAGCCGGCACCAACGTGTACACGTGTGCACCTTTGGAATAAACTGCTATATAGTATACGACCACAACCACACACCCATAATCAAACTTCCACTCTTCCCGACACAACATCAAAACTTCCACCCCCCATCCCAGAACTGTTCTGAAACTCTTACATTGAACACAGCCCAAGAAAGTAATCACCCATCCTACGCATCTACCAAGCGGAAAATGTGTGAGTGGCAAGTTATCCAATTTCTAACATGTCTCCACTACAAAAACCACTGTATCCTGAGATGCCAACTCATGAGCGGTCGTCCTAGTTGGCAAGCCTGTGTCCCTCCATCGAGCGACCAGCGAGATCTGGCCCGCAGCCATGACGATCGAGATGTCGTTGCCGGAATGTGTCCAGTGTGCAGGGGGCTAACTCCACGCAGCTCTCGAGATTTCATGCAAGCTTAAGGACCAAGTCGAAGAATTGAGAAGGAAAGACTTGAAATGGTCAAGTAGCTTTTCACGACATGGCTGGAACTCTGGGGGAAAGGAAAAAAGGTTTCCTCTGGTTTTTGCTGGAGATGGGAATGGAAAAAGGGTATATCTGCGAATGTGCAAATTAATGCGATGATGTGTTGGATAACGCTTGCAAGGATATAATAATGTCAATCAATGTGAAATTCAAGTCTGCAATTGCCGTAGACTCAATTCACACCCAATGTATTCTTTTGATTTTTACCTTCTAGTGAAAATGTGCAATAGGCAAAACAATATCTCTCTTCTAGCCAGCATGGTCTGCCCGAAGACATGTTTCTGGGCAAGATCAATAGCATGATGAGTATACAGTGATGGTTAAACACAAAAGGAGAAAGATAGCGATGGAGAAGGAGGATGATCGGGATTCAAAATTCCTATCCTGCAAAGGCTAGGTCACTATAGAGTCTCGCCAGTAAGTCTGTGGTACGCAAACAACACAGCAAACATTTGAGATGGTATAGTTAGGCGAGCTCTCAACGGACAAGCAAAATTACTGTACATTGCTACAAGCCGATTGGCAAGCCTGGCTTTGGCTCTGGAAGGAGAGATTGTTTGAAAGTTGTTTGGAATTGTTCGATTTCGATTCCAGACCAAGTATGTCGTTCAGGTATAGAGCAAACAGATGGGAATATGTACAGAGAAAAGAGCAACCAATGTACATGTGAGAATATGTTCCAGCGCAAAGTAAGAGAAACATGCGCCGCGATATGTGAAGATAGAAAGAACAGATACCCAACTCACTCAAACCTCGGGAGTCACGATTTCATAAAAAAGCAGATAGACCTCTCTCTGCATGCCTAGCACATCACTGGTCTTGGACTCTTTGATCTTATCGTCGCTGATCCTCCACCACCTGTTGTGTTGGTTCCTTTGCTTTCGTTTTAACCTGCTTAAATCCAAGCTCTTGCCAGCTCTTGAAGATGTACGTTGAGTTTGTTGATGTGTGGGTTCAGACGTCGACTTGATGTGACCGTTGGTCTCAGCACCACTGCTGCTACTAACAGTGTCTTTCTCGTCACCATTTGCATCAGTGGTTTTTGAATGCTGGCGATGACGCAAAGAGAAGCGCTTCCTTACTGACGAGGAGCGGGACGATGTGCTGTTTCCACTGCTGGAAGGTGAATGTGTGAGGCCTGGCGTTGAAGGTTCCAGCATCGGGCTGGGCATGCCACTTGCTCTAGGTGTTCCTTGTGCTGAGTACATGCCTTGTGTGCCCATACTAAGTTTAGCACTATACGGCTCAGCGAGGTATTGTCGTCGGAAACTCTCGTAGTGGCCACTGTTATGGCCACCCTTATGCGTTACTACGCCCAACAACCGGTATGAATGTTGGTCCAACAGACCTCCCAATGGCAGTGTCTCTGGGAAGCTAACTTTGGCCATGTTCTTACTGCTGCTTGAGTTGGGGTCCCAAACACTTCGCGACAAGTGGATGGCGAGAACTTTGGGGAAATTGCTAATGCGCATATGGCGTGATATGCGACGTTTGGGCGCTAGAGAAGGATCCGGCAACTTGATGTGTTTGGGCAAATCCTCCGGATCTGTGGCGAATGCGCGTTCCATTTGAGAAAGCTCGTGAGCAAGTGTGTCTCGTGTCTGGTCGTCTGTCACGCGTGATAGTTCTTTTGTTCTGACTTGAATGGCGTGTTCCAGGCGGCATCGCTCACATTTGTAATCGTCGATATGCTCAACCTTCAGCATGCCATCGAAACATGCATTCAGTGTGGTGGATGAGTGGTGTGGTACGTTCAGGGTGAGCGTGACGAAGCCTGATGCTGAAGGCTTGGGTTTGTAGTGGCATGTCATGCATTCAATCTGGGCCTCGATCTTTCCCTCAAAAGGGAAGCCTGGATCGTCTTGCAGATCATCGTCTTCTGCTTGTGGTAATTGGTGTACGCTCTGACGGATCTGCTCAATCTCTGATTTTGCTTGGAGACCGCGGGCTGACTCTTGAGGTCGGAGTGTGTTTGACCGGTTTGCGTGCCCATTCGTCTTCTCATCTTCAGACTCGGGAGCCCTGAGTGTAGTTGTGCTGGGGCTCTTGAGCGACTTTGCCTTTCTTCTGGCATTCCTTCCAGCGTGATATTCCTCACTCAGCCTCTCGGCCACGATTTGTAGAAACTCTTGAGCATCCTGCTGCTGTCGGCTGATACGTGTCTTGAAGGCCGTCTCCATGACACTGACAAAGGTACGGGCCGAGATGGTCTTCTTGTAGATAGGTCGCTCATTAAGCGCGTCCAGAATATCCTTCAGTCCAGCCGTCACGAGTCCCTGCTGCAGTCCCAAGACCTTCCAACTCGGCTCTTTCGTCTCGTTCATCTTGACAATGTCTTTGCCCTCATTTGGCGAAATCTCGTCCTCATGTTGTTCCACAATGGAGTATATCTCTTTCCCGTCCAGCTTTCGTCGATGCAGTTCCCGGATCAGGTAGATGCGCAGTTCGGGGAGACCAGCCATGGTCTGAAGGACAGAGTTGATAAAGCAGTCATTGGCGGGATTGACGAGGCCGACGACTCCTCTCTTGCGTGTGGATCTCGATGATTGCGCCGCTTCATCGTCGAGCATGAAGGTAGGACCGAAGACGTAGACGAGGGTGATTGCAGCCAGCGACGCGCCAGCTGCGTAGGTCGCAATGGTGAGGGGTTTGTCGGGCATCCTTGCGAAGACGATAGGCCTAAAACTCTGAAGTGCTAAGTGTATGCCTGAATGCTGGTGATACGCGGGGTGAAAAGGAGTGGAGGCTTCGTGATGGAGGTTTGCTGAGGGTTTGGCTCAAGATGATCTATAACATGTCATGCTCTTTCATCGGTACAAGTCTCGCCATGGTATAGACATGAGAAGGAAAGAAGTCGCCAGCATCAGGCTCCGGGGAGCGTCCGGCTAAAAAGGCACACAAAGCGCGACTCTCTCTTGGTAGACTGTGGGGGGAGAGGGCCGTGAGATGTGCATGTCCCGCCTTTTCCCGTTGCTCGTGCTGTTCGCGTGTTCCAAAGCCCGCCGATCACCGGCCACCGGCCACGGTTGCTTCACCTTCCGGTCGGACCTTCTTCCTGACCGGCCGTCTCGAACATTACCATCACCATCACCGACTACCCTGTCTCTACACTCAAGGCTTGCGCGCCCTTTTGTCCATTTGCTCACTCAAGAGGCATGCAGTCTTGACCGTCTTCCACACAGTAAGCCTTCTCTCCTACGCCCACCAACTTCCAACCAGCCATCATGATGATCGAATTAAATCATGTTTCAAGACGAGGCGGAGTGCAAACTGTGAATGACAACTGCTTCCATATCTGATGATGCCTTTTACACCACCACTTCTATCGATTCTCTATCGCTTCATTCGCTGACTGATATCGTGAATAGCTGACAGTTACCTCGGCGACATCTAACCATCATCTTATATGACAGACAACGATTCCATCAATCACCCTCTGAATTCCTCCAACTTCTTCTTCTGCCTTCCCTGCTCATCAAAGTTGCTATCGCTCAACCACCCCTCGAATGCCTTCTTCCTGTCCTCCCACTCCGAATCCAATATCGAGAACCAAGTTGTATCTCTATTTCTGCCATGTTTATCGATCAGAGCCTGTCTGAAAGTGCCCTCCTCAGTGAAACCATATCTTGCAGCCGCCCTCCTGCTCGGCGCATTCAGGCTGTGACACTTCCATTCATATCTTCTGTACCCCATCTCGAATGCGTACTTGGCCATCAGATACATAGCTTCGGTGGCTGCGGCGGACTTTTGAAGTGCGGAGGAAAACATCAAATGTCCAACCTCGATGACACGATTCTTGGGCTCGATGCGGAGGTAACTGCACCATCCCACTGCTTCCTTTTTGCCATCCACATGCTTGAGGATAGTATAGAATGTCGGATCTGTAGAAGCGGCTTTATTGACCATATCCTCATGGAGAGCGGAGACTGAAGACGGGCAAGGGTCGTAGGGCATGTAATCCCAGAGATATGCATTTTCTGGTCCGCCGATGAGAGGAAAGAGGGTTTCGGCGTGGACTGCTGAAATAGGTTCAAGCGTGACATATTTTCCTTCCATGGTGATCTCCTTGGATGGCCATGGTGCTGGGTTTGTGTTTGCGACTTTTTCGCCCAGAGGGCGTTGGGGTGTGTTGCTCATTGTTGACTTTGAAGTAGAACCAACTTGAATTGAATCGGAAAAAGGTCTGGTTAAGCCAATGCTCGATGCCGAATTGATGTTTATATGTCTATGGTTGCTTGCTGTGACTCAGATGGTTTTATTGTACGAAGCCCACGCACGGCTTGAGTTTCCTTCCCCTTGGAGTTTCCTTACCCGCATTGCGCCATTAGCCATTTTGGGCATGTTGATGCGACTAGCGTAGGGTTTTTTTCCCAGCTGTCTACGCCCTGTCGCACCAATTTGGTGTGTAGATAGGATGTCCAGCATGAAAGGTTGTCATGTTCAGTAACTTATGCGACGATGTCAAGGTGTGTTGGTGAGGATGTCATTTGAAGCCCGAGGATGTCATAACCTCCTTATAAGGGTCCTAGTATGAAGACGAGGATGTCACATCCAAAGCAAGGATGTCATCGAGGATGTCATATAACGACGGCTTTCGCGAGAATCCTCGTAAGCGCCTCTATGAAAAGAAGTGGAAAATTGTTGGAACAATAACTCCATACCACATGACTCGTACATCGAAAAGTACATCCGATGGACTATCAATTGCACCTGAGTAGTTCCTTTTTTGACTGCCAAGCATAGATTCCTCCGCAATCTTGGTCTCTACCTCACATAATCGATCGTCTTCCTCTCACTGTCATCATCGTCGACATCGTCACCTGCACTTCCACCTCGATGTTGACGGCATCCTCGACGGTGAGATTTTCCGCGATGAGCTTGCCTTTGTCAATGGACTTTGCCTTGTGAAAGATCTTATCAATCAGTTTTGGACGGCAATTCTTTCCGAACGGTTTCTTAGGAAAGGTCTGCCATCTTCGCGACTGTCTCTATCACTTGGCGGCTTCCTCTTTTACTTGGCAAGAAGACCACTCGACACTCAGCCAATCCTTCTCGAGTCTCGGCAGGCCAGTTATGTCCTTGTCGCAGGCCCGGCCAAGAGATTGGCACGGGAGAAAGAAAAACGATGCTCGGCGGTAGCTCTGCACGATCTTATCATATAAGATGCTCGCCCTGATCATCTAATCAATCACATTGTCTCACTCCCTACTTCGTCTGTACCATTTGCAGCTATGTGGGACCTTGGAGCCAAACTTTGGGCCAGCACGCCGGCTGCTGAACAGGATGACGCTTCGGTCAGCTACTCCCCCGATGTCACTAACAGAGGGGAAGAGAAAGGGTTGCCCATCGAGAACAGTTCCTCCCAGCCAGACGAGAGTAGCGAAGTGGACAAAGATATTCAGGATGGTGTACGCGAGATCGAAGCCGTCACCTTGGTTTGGGATACCAAGTCGCTGATACTGGTCTTCTTCTTGTACGCATCGAACTTGTGACTTTTTCCATACAACATAGCTAATCCTGTTGAAGCATCTACGCAATCTACACAGTCGACTCCATGCACTCTACAATGTCGTCCGCGTTTACAGCTTATGTCACGAGCGACTTCTCCCTGCATTCTCTTACCGCAACTACCGGCATTCTTTCGAACATCCTCGGAGGTCTCTCGCGCTTGCCTCTCTCAAAGATCATCGATGTATGGGGTCGTCGTGAGGGTTTTGCTGTGATGGGAGTCTTCTTGACCATTGGTCTTGTCATGATGGCAGCTTGCAACAATGTCGAGACTTATGCTGCCGCCCAGGTCTTCTACTGGATTGGCTACACGGGCATCCAGTATATCGTGGCAGTCATGATTGCAGATGCTACAAGCTTGCGCAATCGTGGAATTGTATATGGTATCGTCTCGACGCCCTACCTCTTCACCACCTTTGCTGCCGGTCCGGCTGCTACGAATTACATCAACGGACCAGGTTGGCGATGGGGATTTGGCACTTTCGCCATTGTCACACCTGTCATGTGCTTGCCTGTGTTGCTCATATTCACCTTGAATAAGCGAAAGGCAAAGAAGTTGGGCACCTACAAGGCAAGACCGAGCAGCGACCGAACCATTCTCCAGTCACTTAAGCATTACGCTATCGAGCTTGATGTCTTGGGCTTGCTCTTGATCTGTGGCGGTCTTGCCCTCTTCTTGCTCCCCTTCAGCTTGTACTCCTACCAAGCCAAGCAATGGCGGTCGCCGATGATCATCTGCATGCTGGTCTTTGGTATCATCATTCTCATCCTCTTTGGAGTTTACGAAAAGTTCTTCGCCCCCAAAAGCTTCCTGCCCATCGCAATGCTTTCCAATCGTACAGTCCTTGGTTCTTCCATTTATGGTGCGTTGGCCTTTGTCAGCTTCTACATCTGGAACAGCTTCTTCTACTCTTTCCTGATCGTTGTGAATGATCTATCCATCTCCAAGGCTGTGCTCATCCGCAACATCTATACTCTCGGATCCTGCTCTTGGGCTCTTATTGTCGGTCTACTCATCAGATTTTCTGGTCGATACAAGTGGCTCGCTCTTTACTTTGGTGTCCCTCTGAGCGTTCTCGGTGTCGGGTTGATGGTCGCATTCCGCCAACCAGACGTCAACATTGGCTTCATCGTCATGTGTCAGATCTTCATCGCGCTGGGTGGTGGAACAACTGTCATCTGCCAGCAGGTTGCGGTCATGGCTGCCGTCAGTCATCAGGAAGTCGCCGTCGCACTCGCCATCCAGTATGCATTCACCAGCATCGGAGGCGCTATCGGAAGCTCCATCGCAGCCGCAATCTGGACGGGCGTGTACCCTGCGAGACTCCAGGCCTATCTTCCCGCCGAGTCTCAGGCCAACTTCACCCAAATCTATGGCAGTATCGTCGTTCAGTCTTCGTACGAGATGGGCAGTCCGACCAGAGATGCCATCGCGCGCTCTTATGGTGAGGCTCAACGTTACATGCTCATCGCCGCTACCAGCTTCCTTGCCGTTGGTATTTTCGCCGTCATGATCTGGCACGATATCAATGTCAAGCAAAAGAAGCAGACCAAGGGCCATGTGTTCTAAATTCTGTCACGAGCACTTCAAAAGATGGGTCGGGTTCGGTCGGTTGTCATGATCTGTTAGCGACAGACTTGATTTTAGACAGGATAAATTGCAGGACTAGATCTACTGAACGTCATCTGAAAAATGAATAACAAACAGCATAAACTACCAGTTAATCAGACCAACCCCTACAAGGCTTTACAGAATCACCTTTTCTGACCCGAGTCAACGATTGTGTATCTCTACATTCTTGTAGCTGTGCGTTCTCATCTTGCTTCTCTCAGTCAGAGAATCTTGCGCTTCCTGAAGTAAGCAAGTAGACGTAGGCATATATATCCCCGCACAATCGCGGTGGATGCATTGACCGTACTGTTGAAGAACTTGACATCTTCCGGGATAAGCTCGCGGGTCTTCAAAGAACGTGTACGAACAAGTGGGTTCGTAGGATCGAGGCATCTCTCAAATGACAAAACTGCCAATCGTTTAATGGCGTATTGCCGATCTGGCACATTTTGCACTTGTGATGGCCATTTTACTCGGCAGTTGTTGAGAAAGGAATTCTTTGGTACGGGCGTGACGGGGATAGAGTACCGTGTCAAAGAAAAAGTGGTTCGTAAAACTCTTGAGGATGTCGTGGAGCATCTAGGGATGTCATGTGGGGGTGACAGCTTTCGCGATGGCCTCGGGAGCAAAAATGATGGAAGAAAGAATGAAAGGACGTTAGAATCGTTGCTTGCATACCACATGACCCACAAACCAACCAAAGCGACTTGTGACAAACCGAGACACAGTCCTACAGACGACTCTGGTTCTGCGAGGCCTTGCCTTCCGTAATCGTCTTTGCCGCTTCTGAATAATCACACATATCCGAAGAGTCGTTTGCAATCTTTCTCCATCTGATTGTGCCCGCGCTGTCGACAGCGAAGCCGCCGGAATTCTGCCATCTGTATGATCCTACGCCTGTGGGTCTGAGATCAATGCCATCAGACTCTTTCAGCGACTTCAGGGCTTCCATGACACCTCCGTTGACCATGCCGCCCCAGCCTAGGGATCCAACACCCCATGCTGCGTAGGCTTTGCGCTCGGGGTCCGCGACGAGGGTGTATCGTTTCGAATCGGGGAATGCTTTCTTGCCGCTGGAACACAATTAGCCTCCGTTTTGACAGCATGACATGCGCATGAAGGGCTTACCCAATGTCCTCGAACCACTGCTGCGTGGTGGCTTCGTCACTGTGCTGTACAATCACCACATGCAGCTTCTCATTCTTGCGACTCTCTGCGCCCAGCAATTGCACCTCTTTCTCGGCGAAAGGACATCCACAATGTCTGACGAAAGCCACCAGGGTAGGTCGTCCACCACCGCTCTTCAGATCAACCGAACCCACTTTCGCCGGAGCTTGCTCGCCAACCTCCGGAAGCGCGGCGACAGACGGCGAAGACTGCGGGATAATCGACTTGATGGCGGGGATGTAGGAGGCCAAATAGCTCGTCATGATTGCAACGTGTTGTGTTCGTTCGATCGCGGGTATGTTGTTGTGATGCTATGATCCTTCTGCTTCTTTTACTTTTCAAAGTGGGACTGCAGTGGAGTGGAATGGTGGGTTGCGTTCGCTTCTTGGAAAGAGATGGTGGGATCGAGGGGAGGCTTTCAACCCCGCTTGCGGCTTGCGATTTGAAATGGCGGAGGTTAAGGTTGTTTATCGACGTCATTGTCTATGCCTTTCATGTGATGCTGTTCGTGACATCGATCGAGGGCGGTTTAGTTGTCCGAGGGCATTCGAACTGTTGCGCTCGTAGAAGCGACATTTGGACTCTTGTTGAGGTGCAGGTGTCGTAGGGATGGCGTGAAGGCACGAGAGGGAGACAGGAATCATTCATGAGCATGGCAGGCAGTCAGCCATGCGCGACGAGTTCGTGGTCGCATCCTAACCGACGATGTGATGACCTTGCAACAGAATGCAAAGGAAGGAGAGAAAGGAATGATGTGCAAGGTGGAAGGAGATCCTTCTCCGCATCTGTATCACCATGCCTACGGCGCTTACCGTTCTACCTATGAATCACTTAGAAGCCCCATCATGCACCTGCAAGCAATGTGACACGTTCTTCCCCTTCTTCAGCCTCCGGTTGAGAAACCAGAGTCGGAACTGATGAAAAGATGAGTTTTTGCGTCTGCCTGCGGTAGTGCAATACAAGCGACACTGTGCGAGGAGACGAGAAGGCGCTGCCCCAGAAGTCTCCAAGCTAGTTCAAAAGATTGGGTTCAACATAAAAAAAGTCTTAGTGGTCAAACATAAGAAGAACAGATACTATTGATCTAAGCCAATCGGCAGGTCAACTTGAAAGGAGAAGAAAGAGGGTGAGGATTGGCAGGCTTTTATAGCAAAGCACCTCTTTGATGAGTCAGAAGGTTTAGGCAGCAGTAGGCAGCAGCCTCCCTACCAGTGAATGTGATTGGCAGAGTCCGGCTTGTCCAATGGATTGAAAAGAGTGAAAGACAAAACAAGTCGCTGCTGCTTACCGATAGCAAAGCGCTTGGAGAGTCGGTCGGAGCCAAACGACCACAATTTGCCTATGCGCAAGCTTATGTGATGCGACCATTCTGTCTGCGATATCAACTGACCTACTGAAAAAGCATGCATTTGACCAACGCAAGCAATAGCCAGACGCAGATGCGACTCCCCTACGGCGGCAGTGCATGTCCAAGTCGCCCTCAGCAGATCGCCAATCTGCTCAAACAGCGCAGGATACAGGCCGTGACAGACATGAGACACGAAGTTGCAGCAGCAGCCTGACATGACACAGAGCTGATGAACAGCGAAACACCAAGTAACTCAGCCGCAGCGATCAGGAACAGTTCTTGAAAGTAGACACACTTGACAGATATCAGGTAATTGCGCCGTGATGATGGTGGTGACGATGATGCGGCGGCGGGGATCTTGATTCCGGCAACAAGCAAGCAAATCCGCGCTTGTTCGTGGCGACAAGCCCCTGACAGACGCGTTAGCGGACGGCGACGGCAGATACCCATCCGCCTCCTGGCTTGACCATTGGAGACATGATACACATGAAGCGCTGGTGACAGTCGCAATACTACTGCTTCCGCTGACACTCGGGGCGTTGGTAGGAGAAGAAACGTATTGGTGGTGTGGATGGCATGATTGGTGTCTCATTCACATGCTGGCCGACAAGAAAGAAGCGTGCGGCAAATCATGCCGAGGATAGTGAGTCATAATTGTTGGCGCTTGCCGCGAGCGAGGAAAGCAAGTGTGGGATTCTCGAGTGTTGTTGATTTGAATAGATACTCGTCGACATGGCAGGCGTGTGTCGAGGTTTCACAGTGTTGATGATGAACTGCAAGAGTTCCCAGGTTGGCGGAAATCTATCGAAGGATCTGGACAGGAAAGTTGGATCAAAAGATTTGCAGGCGCGAGGCAGATTTTAGCGTTGAGTCAAAGTGGGTCTTGGCGCGCAGTGGCTGTGGGTATATAAGGCTCGGACACCCTCGCCCTTTCGCGCAGCTTTCCCGCGCTTTTCGACCTTTCCCCGACCCTCTACGCAACGGCGCCCCTCCACATCGTCCCCGCACATCGCAACTCGCCGCATTAAAATCAACAATCTCTGCGTCCATCACGCACCATTGTCCAATTTTCTGCTGCGATTTTCTTTGTCCTTCGGCGGACATTGTTGTGAAAGGGAAATCCATTTGCGGCCTTCTCTCACTTCCGGATTGGGAAAGCGCCTCTTGGCACCGTTCATCACAGACCAACTCCAAATAAACCGGAGTCACTTGTTGGCCATCGCCTTCACTCTCTACCACAGCGCATCCTCCAGGCAGCATCTGTAGGGGACACATTTGGTTGTTCATCTCCCGCTAACGGTACGAGACCACCCATCTCACTCTCAAGCGCATCTCAACGCCGCCGCTTTTTCCCCTCCTCTCACTTGTCGCATCGTCGCAATCGCCTTTCACTTTCACTAAAGGTCGTCACCGACTTTGCGCATCACCTTTTCACGCTTGCGCATCACTTTCCATCTCTCCACTCTCACTCTCACCTCCTGTCGCGTAACTACTCAAGATAAAGTCCAAGAATACCAATCCTGACATCAGCTCGCTTCAGACTGCCTTACCACACTCCGTCGTTCTCTCTACAGCTCACCGCAATCATGGAGACTGTCATCACACACCCCTCGACCGCCGCTCAGGCCAAGAACTTCACCGCACCCGGCTCTTTGTCCTTCCCAGGTGGCGCAGGTGATCTCACCCCACCTTCATCTGAGAAAGATGGTCAGCAGATCTCGCAGACAAACGGCGCATACGGGTACGGCAACACTTCGCAGCCTCAGGGCCAGCAGCAACAGCCTGCACAGCAAGGAGCCGCCGCCCAACAGGGTGCTGGGGTGACTCCCGCGACTCCCGCTGCTACGCCCGGCGCTGGTCAGGGTGTCAGTGGCATTGTGCCTACATTGCAGTGAGTATCCTTCGTGTAGCAACGTTTTGTTGTTGGCATGTTGTTGACATTTCGCGCTTTTAAGGAACATTGTCGCCACGGTGAACCTTGACTGCAGACTCGATCTGAAGACGATTGCCCTCCACGCCCGTAACGCAGAGTACAACCCCAAGCGTTTCGCCGCTGTCATCATGCGTATCCGCGAGCCCAAGACCACTGCTCTGATCTTTGCCTCTGGCAAGATGGTCGTCACTGGTGCCAAGTCCGAGGATGATTCGAAGCTCGCTTCTCGCAAGTACGCTCGTATCATCCAGAAGCTCGGCTTCAACGCAAAGTTCACCGACTTCAAGATCCAGAACATCGTTGGCTCCTGCGACATCAAGTTCCCCATCCGTCTGGAAGGTCTTGCTGCTCGCCATCACATGTTCAGCTCTTACGAGCCTGAGCTCTTCCCCGGTCTCATCTACAGAATGATGAAGCCCAAGATCGTGCGTGTCGCCTGTGAATCTGTCTCTGTCTTCTTCCATCTGACTAACATCTCTCAGGTGCTTCTCATTTTCGTCTCCGGCAAGATCGTCCTCACTGGTGCCAAGGTCCGCGAAGAGATCTACCAAGCCTTCGAGATGATCTACCCTGTGTTGTCCGACTTCCGCAAGGCCTAAGTCAACTCCGCGAGGCTGCATCAATGCCCGGAGCCAAGACAGAGCCACCAAACAACCCTGCTAAACAACCACAACCCCTTACCGGCACTTGTAACAATAGCCTCTTCCATCTTCGGATGTATTATCACCACTACTTCGAGGTCTTGCCATCCTCATTGGATGTGTCTTGAGCATTGCCCCCGCTTCTCGACACATACCTCTCTTCCCCCTTTTGCAATTGCATGGCGCGGAGTTCCGGTTTCTTTCAAAGCTTTGAGCATGAAGGCTTTTCTTCTTTTTCTTCGGACGGCGATTTTCAAAATCTCTTTTCGGGTCGGTACTTCAGCGAAGATGGTCGAGTGTCTTTCACATACCCCTTGGTCTTCTCTTTCTTTTCCGATACCACTACGACCAAGGGTATGAGAGCATCGATCGCTTTTCAAGGCGTTGATACACCTTTTCTTTACTCTTTTCAGCTTGGAAGGTCACTGCCTTGACATGACCTCAAGAAACTGTTACGAAAAAAAATACGACGAGAGAAGAATGGAAATGGCGGAGGAAGTTTGGAGCGAAGATGATTGATGGCATGGGCGGTCTGTTGATTTGCTGAGGAATGCAAAGGACAGGGGGTGCTACCTTGCTGCAATGAGTAGCACCCGACTTACTACATTACTCTCAAAGCATAGATAATATGGCCGAGGTTCATAGCCTCCTCCAATGTCATCTCAAAAACATCATCAACCTCTTCCCGCATGTTTGTAACCTGTGATTGTCCCTGTATGTGTTGCTGTTCATCATTTGCCTGTCTCAATGGACAGTAGATTTGTCGTCACCTGTCGCTACCTGCCCTGCACTTTATCTCGGTGACCTGTCTGCTTCTTTGGCCTTGCTTGCTCCTTTGTTGGACTCCTTCAATCTTGATGGCTCCTCCGCGGCTCCGCCTCTTTCTATCAACTGTCTCCTTCTTTGTATCACTTCTATGTCCACGATTGGACCGGTCTCGTAGAGAAGTGTTTGTTGAGACCAGGAGATGGATCTTCCCACACCATTGACTTTGGAGTTGAATAGATGATAACAATGGTTGGTGATTCTTTATATATTGTTCATCTGCTCAGCCACCATATTCTCCTCCCCTACGTCTGCACCAGCAAACATCGCTTTCTAACATGGCAAAAGCAAAAGCAAAAATGTACATGACAAATGACAAAGTCCCATCTAAAGTTTAGCCTTGTTCTCGCCCTTTTGCAATTCATCTTCCAGCACCATACCCTTGACACCACCTCTCCAGTCCTTTGTCCACACTTGATCTTCCAAATCGCGCTCCGGCCATGCCCATTTATCTTTGAATTCGGCCGGTGGGTTGCCCAGCAAACAATCGACAATCTTGTCGCCGACGACGGGGAGGAATTTATACGCGTGGCCGCTGCCTCCTGTGGCTACGAAGAGGTTTCTGTATCTCGGGTGGTAGGATAACAACCAATCTCCTCTGGGGGTGTCTGTGTACCAGCAGATGCGTGTGGAGATGAATGGGCGGGTGGCGAGTGATGGGTATACGGCTGCGAGGAAGCTGCGGAGGGCCTTTTTGCCTTCTGAGGGGATCTCGAGGCCGGGGTGGGAGATGTGGGTGCGTGGTAGGGAGACGGTGATTTTGCCCATGGAAGGGTCTTCCGGGTGGGGTATGCTGACGGGATTGCAGTAGCCGTAGCCGTGGCGGGCGACTTTGAGGACGTTGTTGACGGGTGGGATGATGAAGAGGCCGCTGCTTTCGTTGAGTAGGGTTGGTCGTTCTCCTAAAGCTTCTTGCTCGGCATCGCTGATTTTGATGTAGGAAAGGATTTGACCTGTTGCGCTGCAGCGGCCGCGAAGGTCGAGGAGAGCGGGTGTCCAGGCTCCGGTGGCTAGCACGACCAAGTCTGCTGTCAGCACTCTGCCGTCGTCTGTTTCGCAACCGGTGACGGCATCGTTGCTGAATTGAAGGCGAGAGACTGAAGCGTGCAGGAAGTTGACGCGATCTGTCTCTTCAACACGAGCACGCAGCACACGCATACCCTTCTCAGCATCTGCCCAGCCAGATCTCCAATTCACGTAGCCAAAGTCACCGACTGAGGAACCACCTTTTCCTGTGGCCGCGGCAGCTGCAACAGCAGTCTCTTGAGCGGCATTTGTGTTGTCTCTGAAGATATTCCTGATATCGCTCTGTGTCTCCATAGCCTCAATCTCACCACCCTCGCTTTTTTTGCCAGGCTTGAGTCCACAACGCTCGACATTGGCCATACTGTCTCTCATGTACTTTCTGCCCAAATCGCCATTGCCATTGTCGGATTCATCCTTGTTGACCACGACGGCCAGACCGGGCTCATGGTACACATCTTGCTGACCCCACCATTCGTTTCTCCAACGTGCTTGGGCTTCGATGGCCAGACGGGCGTAAGGGAGGTCCGCGTAATCGGGACGGACAATGCGACTGCTGTCTATGCTTGCGCCATCGGGGGCAGGGAAAGCACTTCGGTCGACGAGTGTGATTGAAGTATTGGCGAATTTCGGGTTCTGCGTCAGACTGTATGCGGTACTGAGACCGAAAACTCCAGAGCCCAGGATAAGCACTGATTTGGGAACGTCCTCTTGAGAAGTAACTGCCATGATCTTGCTCTTTCCTATTCGTACAAAAAACTATACAGGAAGGCGATATTCGACGCCTTCGATGAAGAAATAGGAAGGAATTGAACGATGAGGAATCTGAGAATGCTGCTGTTTCCAAGATCAATCGAGACCTACAAGTTTTGTGTGCCTAACAAAATTCTTTTTCTTTTCCGCGTGTGTGTCTGCCCAGACAGATAAACATGCTCTTTCCTCTGGTCTCCGCCGCTCTTCCCGCCGATAACCGTCCTACAGAGCACGTCTCGCCGAAACCGGGGTCGACGTTTCACGTGTTGTGGGTGGGTCTCGGTTTTGACCTTCCTCTGCAAGAGCAGGGCCTGGAAGGTCGTCATATTGGTTGAGGGGAGGCGGAAATATGATCATGTTCGATTGTGGTTCTGTATGTTGTGTAGAGTGCTTAAGAAAAGTTGTGCTACGAGAAGTATTTACGCTTGGCTTTTGTTTGTGTTGCCTTCCAAATTGGTGGCCTTCCAGAAGCGGCGTGTAAAGCGGCTAGCGCGTCTGCGTCGGGCATTTTGCTCACAAATCTCATGCCAGTGGATTTTGATATCGGTCATTGGAATACGCAAATTCATCTTTCCCATCTGCTCAATCTAACCATACATTCATGATTTATCTTACTCGGACCTTGACCGGCGCAATCAGGTCGACCTCAGCGGCACCATTCTTGCGATCGTTCTCTCTACAACACCCCCTCCAAATTTCAAAAGCACGCTACGACAAGCTGCGCTTGGATCCTGAAGCTTTGAGACGTCACTTGGACAAGAACAGCGAAGTTGAGAGATACAAATACGCAACGCGTCCGGAGGTGCGTGAGAAGCATTCGCGAAGGGGGAGTCGTTATCACGGGGCACACAGAGACGACGAGGCCTACCAATTCGTTGCCAAGTTCCAAGGGTGGTGTAAGAGGCATACATGGGTGCGCGAGCAACTGCCATGGAAAACGCATCGACCTGTTCTCCACGACGTGAAGGTCGAGCACCATTGTAGCGGCTGCAATTGGGCACGACGTGGTGGTGTGAAGTTATGGTTCCAGCATTTGACACAACCCGACAACTGGCTTTGCATGAAGTGTTACTTGCCGAAAGATGATCTGGGTAGAGCCATGCCTACAGGTTACGAGGACGTCAGAAGCTGGGAAGAGCTTGTCAAGAGAAGAGACAGCCTGATGGTGACAGCTGCCACGGGTGATTCGTCAACGCCTTCTTGATAACGAGTTGGGAGCCATCGCAGCGGGACACATGATAATACCAGAGCCTCCGATGGTCAATTGATGGTGGAGAGCAGGAATTTACTGAGATATCATGTTGGTTCCGTCATCTCATGGAGTCCTGTGAACCAAGCTGCCGCCGTCGTTGTCGCTATCACTGTCCAAAGCTGACAGCCATACTTGAGGGAAGATGAATGATCGTGATGGAGGAAAGGCAGTGGATCGGAATGGATACTCTTCGATCATGTTTATCACTCTCCCGCAGATGCTGTCTATCTGGGCTCGCTCTGCTGCACAGCCCACGTACATCTACACCACAGTCCACGTCCTCGAGAAGAAGTATTGCCTGTTCTACTCAAAAGAGATCTCCGAAACACAACCTCGAGCAAACAACCTTTGGAGGCTCAGATCTGATCTTTGGGGCTCTCAATTCTCCGAACGAATCAAAAGTCAAAGATTACCCCTACAACGTCATTCGTCATGCATCTCCCCGCAATCTTCTCCAGTTCTACTCCACGGCAACAACGGCAAGTGTGCCAAACACAGGCATAGTATTGGCCTGTCATCGTAATGTCGTCAACGATGCAGTTAGCGGGCGGCTGAGAGCTGTTCAAGTATCTAGCATGCTCTGATCCTCCTTTTCTTGCATCAACTTCCCAAGTACTTATCTTCATCTGAATCTCTTGTCTCGAATCAACTCATCAACACACATCCATCGCAATCATGGGCAAGTCGATCTCCGAAGCCATCGGTGCCGACCACGACGAATTCGACGTCCTCTACGAAAACCTCAAGAACGCCACCGACGACGCAGCAAAAGTCCGCTGGCGAAACCAATTGACCTGGACAGTCGCCCGCCACGCCATCAGCGAGGAATTGACATGGTATCCCGCCATGGAGAAGCATTTGGGCGAAGAAGGTGTCCGTCTGTCCAAGACTGACAAGGAACAACATCAAGGTGTATGTCAAGCTATCATCTATCAACCAGTATTTGCTAGATGCTGATGAGTGTGGGATTAGGTCAAGGATTACCTTTACAAGTTGCAAGATATGACGCCTGTGGATCCTAAATTCATGCCCCTCCTTGATACTTTGATGGATCTTCTTCACCACCACATCGAACATGAAAAGGAGGAAGATATGCCTCGTCTTGAAGGCTTGCTTTCCCGCGAGGAGAGTGAAGCATTGGCCGCAAGTTTCGAGCGCACAAAGAAGATCGTACCCACACGAAGCCACCCCGGTGCACCGACGAGCTATTACCTGGAACTGTTGACAGGCTTGATGGCCGCGCCTGTTGACAAGTTCAAGGACTACCTTAGCGATTTCCCGGATTCCAAGGACAAGGAAGAAGCGATCAAGGCGAGAGAGAATAAGATGTAATGGTACAACCTTTATAATATTGTGTATATTCGATATCCTTTGCAACATCAAAGTCTGTCGCGACCAGCCATCTCTCGCAATCACACCTAAAGCGGTCCAGTCTGTATCAATGCACATTGTTCTTAGAGCTCAGGAAAGTCGTCCATGAAGAAACGTTGTTTGTTATGCTCCCAGTCTTAGGTTTGCAGGAGTTGCTTGTCACACAGCAAAGAACAATTGATTAGCTATCACCGTGTTTCGAGTATCGAAAGCCCTTACCAATTCTCGTGGTGGTCCGCAGTGATTTCTAACCCAGATTCGATCAAGAACTTGTAAAAGCATAGCCATTCGTATGCTGGCATAGTTAATTAAGCTTGAGGAGATAGCGGACTGGAGTTGGGTAACAGACACGGCAATTTGTTTGATACCTTGCTGACAATACAGCAACGCTGGCGAAGGGTCCGAGAAGGCTGGTTGATTGGTCTGGCGCACTTGCATCTCGATACCTGAAAGTGCTCTTGCCAGTATCTCCAGCTCAGCAGCTATGTTCTTGATATTGGAAGGGGCATCTCCTGCTTCTTGGACGAGACTTCTAACCTTGGTGATCACCTCTATGGTTTGAGCTGCAACGCCGACGACGCCGATTGCGGATGCGATAACACCGAACTCCATGGCTCTTTCAAGTGCAAGCAAGCTTTTGCAAGAAGAATACGAAAGGTTATGATTTTGGGGGCCGGGCTGCTGGTGGCAAATGAATGCAACCATGGCAGAATAGCGCAGGCATACTACTACCTCAATATAGGCGTGTGATAATCGGAATGCATACAGCTGCAGCAGGCCAGACCTGCAGCCAGGATGGGTCTTGAGGGCGATCATTGGCGGAGAAGATGGCTGACGCCAATGAGCAACTGTCCAAAGTCGCGAAGGAGAATTTGAGGCGGGCAAAATATGGTCTTTCACGAGTCGACTTGACAGTAAACAGTGCGTTCATCATATATAGTCATAACAGGGTGGCTTAACAATACCGCAACATGCGACAGTCTCGGAGGGCAGCCTTGTCCAGACGCAGCCTTAAACAGCGTGGCTGCAGCAAGGATGAAGCATACCATTGGTCAATGATGTTAGCCAGTCAAAACTGGATACCATTGTACCGGAGACATTGTCGTCAAGCTATAGATCATGTCGACCATTCATAAGGTCCAACGGCAATTGCTTGGTTTCATGGCCTTGCATGATGTGACATACACTGTCAGGTGTGCGGAAGATATCAAGTATAGATGAACCCGAATGGGTGGTTGATCGTGTGGTGATTTGGCCACATGAAATATGACATCCAAGCAAGATCGCATTCCTGAGAGAAGAGGTAGTTAGCGAAAGAAGTAGGAAGTGGCTGAGTGGACACTTGTAGGTGTAGAGCTCGAGAATGAGCTTGTGTGGTCAAAGCTTCTGCTCTCTCTCTCACATGCTCATGACCAAAAATCTTTCTCGAGTCAAGGCAGCAAGACTCGACAACACAACATCATGCCGCGAGGAGTCCCCCGAACGATACCGAAGAAACCAGGTCCCTACCATGCCAGAAGTCCAGTCCCTCAATATAGAGCACCACCACCACGCACACCCATAGGCTCCAATGCCAACCCTGCCGGCCCCGCCGCAAATGCACAATCCAGGATAAAGCTCCAACGAGGAGCACGAGGAGTCGGCATCTATGTCATGGGAGCTTGTGCCTTTGGCATGGCCTTCTACATGTCTGGAATTGCCGTTTCCCTATACAAGTCTCGAGATGTGCATGGCGACCATTCACCCTCTGCCCAACGCGACGTCGCTGGTGTCTACGACACAACAGCAGGGGGGTTTGATGCGGAGGTCAACTTCTCCGAGAAGGTCGGAGGTGTCATAAAGGCACGGAAAGAGATGTCTGCAATGGTCAAGGGAAATGTGCTGGAGGTCAGCTGTGGCACCGCAAGAAATCTGGGCTACTACAGTTTCGACAAGATCAAGAGCTTGACCCTGATTGACCTGAGTTCTCAGATGGTAGAAGAGGCACGCAAGAAATGGGACATTCTCAACCCTGGCAAGGCTGCTGAGAATGTGCCCATCAGGTTCCTGCAAGGCGACTGCATCGGAGACATGCCCGAACCACCAACAGGAACACAGAAAGATGCAAAGACTGGCACAACCTTCACACCAGGATTGAATAAGGGATACGACACAATCGTGCAAACAATGGGCCTTTGCAGCACAGCACAACCCGTCGAGCTGCTCAAGAACCTGTCGAAACACCTGGATCACTCAAACCCGGATGCCAGGATCTTGCTTCTTGAACACGGTCGCAGTTACATTGGATGGATGAACAAACTTTTGGATATGACAGCGCCTCAGCACGCTGACAAACACGGTTGCTGGTGGAACAGAGACATCGGTCAACTCATCGAAGACAGCGGCCTCGAAGTCGTCAGAGAACGCAGAAAGCAGTTTGGAACCGTCTGGATTTTTGAGCTGAAACCGAAAACGGTGACACAAAGCATCAAAGATAAGGCAGAGCAAGTTGGAGGTAAAATCGAACAGGAGATCCAAACTCAAACGACTCAGAATGGTTGGCTTTCTTGCATGTCCAAGTGAAGGGCAGTCGATACCAAGCGCATCAGGTTTCTTGACCGGTGCATGAATCGCTGTCTCTCCACCAAGGTGTTGGAGTCCAGCTGAAGACATGCACGGATTCATCTGGAGGTGGAGAGCGTTTATTGAGAGCCCAACTGGATAGCGCTTTTCATGGATGCTCTCCGCGCAAGCCCAATCCGTGCATAGCTTCAATCTCAGACTCGACGAGGCGCATGCTTGAATGACTGATATGCGCTTGATAAGAGCCCTCACATGGGCATCAATCCTCATTGTTGAGCTCATCGAGCTGGCTTTCGTCAGATACAGCTCTGAAAAGTTTAGCCGACGCTCGTCGACGATAACCGCTCAACTGCCTAAAGCAGCATGCTCAAGGCTCGACGTTGTCGCAAAACGGTGGCCAAACCGTGGTGCTGACAAGCGAAAAGAGGTGGTCCGACTGCAAAGAAGCAAACACTGGCGACGAGAGATTTAAGCTCAACTCTCGCTCCTGACATCACCCCGCTACACTGAAGCACTATTGACTTTGTGCACGAGTCGAACAAGGATCATGCTTGAGAACAAGGCAAACTCGCGAAGGTTTAATTGTACAGCTGAAGGGGCTAGGTGTATGTACAAAGGATTGCGGGGGTCTCGAGACGTAGAATCGCATCCAGCGAGAGCGAAGAGCAAAATGCTGCTTGTTGAAAGTCACTCGCAAAAGGTGGCATGTCGTGATGTCCCAATAAAGTCAATGCCATTCTGAGCTTCAAAGTCCAGACTTTCTACCCCTTCTTCGTACGTATGCTTATCGGCATGGCAAGCAGAGATACATGGATCGGCGCGGACCGTACGTCAACCGAATCTTTCTGAGACAGGCACGGATAATAGGCTATCGTAGGGCAAGTGCAAGCTGATACTGTATCGCAGAGCTGCAGAAGACATGTGAGGGAAGCTGCAGGAGTCCTGCAAGCCTCACAAAAAGGGCGCTTCCAGTCGTGCAATCTCGCCTGCGACTTCAGAAGCTGGCTGGCTGTATGCAGATGTCGTGCGGGTCAGCAACAAAAACTAAGGTTACACTTTCTGCTGTGAGGAGAAGAAAAGAAGCAAACAACAGCCCGCGATTTAGTCCATGCACCGATTGCGGAGACTGTTGGACGCAGGACTCTAGATGGGGTAGGAATTACGAAACGGCATACGCGCGCTTGTGGAGAGGCTGTGGGCTAGTGATTGAGGAGAAAATGGAATCGTGGAAAGAAGCAAACCAGAACACCAGACGAAGGCGTGACTCGTGGAAGCATAATGGACGACGAAGGATTCGCGTTTGAGCCGGATCGCCGGGGCAGAGGGTTGCCGTGACGGTCCCCGAGTGATGGTAGCTAGCTAGGCAATTTGTTTACCAAATGAATAGTTCTATCAACGTGCTGTGGAGATGAGATGGTGAGATTGGGCAAACGATTGATAAGAAGCAGCACTCTGCGGTGAGGGAGATGAATTGATGAACCAAACAGCTGATATCCGTGATCCGGTGCTCCGCCGTGACGACGGCGGACGGTATGGAGCTCAATCCGAGCTTTGAGTGTTGACGCGAGGTATGATGCATGACTCGACGTCAGAGACACGAGAGGTACAGCTTTTGGAGCATCAGGGGTACCGCGGCATGAGGGTGCTTTTTCTCGAAAGTCATGATGATTGGTCGATCAGCAGGATAAGAATGGCTCCGCGTCGCAAGCTGCAGACGCGGGAATGGCTGGTGCGACGTACAGTCGATCAGCATGTCATTGGTTGGAGGAGTGCAGCTGCACCTGTGTGCTGTTTCATGTCTGAAAAATCACATGGAAAAAAAAGTGGCAGTTTGGATAGCTGTAGAAAAAGAGCGTGGATAGAGAAGCAGGACTGTTTGCAAGCAGAGGACAAGTGTCGCAAGTAAACAATGGAAACGAATGAAACACAGACGATAGAGTCGCTGGGCTGAGTGGAGAGAAATAACGTTGGTGCTTCTGATGGTAGCGGCCGAGTGTCGCGGTGGTCGGAGGTGGACTGTGGTGGTGGTCGGTGGAAGGTGCGTTCTCTTGCTTGGGTCACGTATTCGCCAAGTCCCTTGCTGCTGCCTGTGACAAGATAGATGGTGGCCATGTTTCCCAATCGAAAGCATCCCCTGAACTTGGTTTTTCCAATCCCTCGCACTTCGTACAAAGATACAGCATTTTCTGGCCGTGGAAATTATCAGAACAATTGTGCAGACTTAACACGAGCAAACAACTTTTTTTCCTGGCTAGAGCTCCAAGCTTGCACTTGCACATCCGTTCGCCGCCGACGCAACCGCCCATCCAGCGAAAGATCGAGCCGAGCCCCCTTGGCCTCAAGCATCCGAGCTTTGGAACCCCTAACACCATCGACACAGCATCCCAACCATCTTCCACCGCCTCACCAAGCAGCAAGCTCGTCACCGTCCATCGCCATCTTCATTCCAATCCGCCTGCGAAGTTGATTTATCGTCCAACATTCTTCCGCCAACTCTAGGACTGCACACCCTAGATAAGCAAGGCTGACCATCCATTCCCCGATCGACCAATCAACGCCCAGCCCCAAGCTTCTGGTTGCTCGCCCACATTTTCCCAGCCGACGCCCAAGGAAACAGAAACACCGACGCGCCCAAACAATCAACTTTTGTGCTCTGTCCGCACCACCGCCGCCGAATCGCCAATTCATCCACCCACCATGCCTTATAACACGAGAAGAAAGTCGCTCTCCCTCTCCGAGCTCGGTATCACCGTCCCCAAACGCTCTCGCGCTTCTTCGCAATCCCACCCCTCGCCGCCAGCTACCGTCATTGATGACGAGCCCGTCCCCAAGAAGCCCAAGCGGTCGCACGACTCCTTGTCGCCTCCTCCGGCACTCATGAGTCCACCCAAGACAAAAACTTTGTCTATCCGAACGGAACCACCCTCGCGATTGGCCGAGCACACTCCTCCGCCATCACCCGGAACGCAGACGGTGCACACGATAGACACGGAAGGCATCAGCGACGATGTGGTTGTGGCAACCATCAAGCAATTGGAAAAGACTGGCAACAGACCACACCTTGTCAAGGAATTGGCTGCAGTTTTGTGTCACTGCATAGGCGCCGTGGAGAAGTAAGCATAAGCAGCCTCCAACTTCTGTGTAACTCGCTAACACCCGTCCTAGGTCTGCCAATCCTGCCAACCTGATCTCGTCGCGTCTCACCAGCTACCTCAACCGTTCTTGGCCCGCCGTCAGTCCTTGTCCACTGGCCAAGTACCAGTCCCAAGTCCACCCCCGCCCTCTGTACTATTTTTTGACCACTCAACCCCATCAACCCATTCCTGAGCTCTCGCAATCCCACGACATTCCCGCCGCCCGTCGCATCATTACTCCTGCTCTCTCATCCGCCGCCGATGACGAGGACGAGAAGTACAGCAGGTCACGCGCCTCGCTCTCTCCCGAAGTCGATCTGTCCAGTCCCGAACTTGACGAGCCGCCGCATGGTGACATTGGCTCCACCTTCCACCCCCGTCATTCGCTGTCGCGCGACCATCCTCCCACAACCTCCAACCTCGCCCACAATCGCCGTGCTGATAGCCCTCCCCTTGAGCGTGAAGAACGCGATTTCAAGCAGACAGCAAACGCCCTGCAAGAGCTGCGTCGCGCAAGCCAAGAAATCATCACCAAGCCCATCAAGGTTGAGGCTACTGAGACAATCGCCATGTCGGTCGAGGAAGATGACAGCAACGTCGAAACCACCGACGACCTTTTCGATGGTCATGACCACCTCTCCTCATCCGTGAGCACCCTCTACGATTTGAGCAGCCCTCTTTTGAGACCCGAAGGTTTCTACGATCTCAAGACGCAGCAAGCTCAAAGCTGGAACACCGAAAAGAGAGTCTCAATCGACGCCATGTCTTTGGATGACCGGGACGATGACGCTATGGACATGTGGAACGACTTCCGAAGCCCTGAGAACATCGACCTTGACGAACTCGAATGTCTTCTGGACGCCTACTAGACGCGCCTCCCCCCTCATCGACCCCATCTCGTATCCTTCCAACCTTCTTCACTCCCATCTTGTTTGATTCCGGGAAAAAGCGTTTCGCATCATTGTTTGCTGCACCGGTACCCAAAAGATCTGTTGGCCCTTTCATTGCTTTGGGAAGCATTTTCAACTCCCACTCCTTTTTACGACCCTCTACACCCGAACCTCCTTCTCTCTTGACAGGTTGTTAGATATGCTGGCGTAAAGCTCTGCTATTTCCAACGACCCTACTCCTGTATTACTAGCCACGACCCTCCCTTTCATCATCATTCACACACCCTTCTGATGTCAACGAGAAAAAAGAAGTCGGACGAAAACCCTACCCTACCATTGTACTTGTATATAAACATAACACCTTTCTTGACGATAAACATAAAACTTTTTACTCCTTCAATACATGCTCTCTCTTGTTAGTGTTTGTGCTTTCAAAACATGTCCATGAAAATCACCTTTGAGGGGAGGAAGCCTTTCATGTTGTCTGACCAAGTCACGCTGGTTGAACACCTCACCCTGCTCTCGACTTGCAAGCAGTCTAGCATACTCGAGTCGAGGTGTCATAGTCTATGTCTTCATTGGATATGTCCTCGTGAGTACCGGCGGTTATCAGAGTAGAGATTTCAGTGATCTTGTCCCCGCCGGTCATAGTAGAGCCACTTGTGAACGAGTAATAAAGCTTGGAAGGATTCATTGAATTGTCCGCCAGTTTTGGACGAAGAGCCGGAGTAACCTGATAATGACGTTCCTTACATATCATCATCTTGAAAGACGTTAAAAGGTCTAGGCTTTACTTCTACTGACTCCCTATAAGAGATACAGCACCGGACACCGGCTTCTATGTTGGAGTTGTAAGATATAGTGCAAGAGTAGGGTCACCCCATTTGCAAGATTCGGCTGTACTTCGGGACAGGGTTACCACGAATATCGAAGTATAGAACTTGTCGCACTTTTCTCTTCCTTCCTTCATTCCGACATAATGAAACCTGCACCTGTAGTCTAGAGCTCTAGGAACACACCCTCGGAAGCCGAACATGCTTTGTTCCTGCTCTCGGATCATACGAATCCTTCCCGAGCGCCCCAATTTTGATTGCGGCCGCAAGCTGACGGCACTTCACTAACGCGTCTCGGCCTCATTACTTATCAGGATCCATGGTATCACTCGTTTCTCAAGCCTTGTCCACTGTACTTTTGCAATGTAGCGGTCCCGAACCACGGACTCATAAGTTTTGGAGAACATATTGCATCGTGACAAAGTCTTAAACAACAGCTTCAACAGCATCTTAGCTCGAAACACGACCTTGCAGGAACCATGCAAATCCCAACTTTCTTTCTAAGGACAACTATCCGACTTTTGCTCTTCCAGGCGCTCGTCGCATGGCTTTCTATGCGCAGCCACAACTTGCCTCTACCTTCCGCAATAAGATGGATCCTTACCACCACCCTTGGGTCATATGTCACCACCGCGAAAGACATCCTCGACAACAGGTTCGGTTTCATCTTACCATGGGAAGCGACATTCATCCTCCCAGCAGCATTGGATGAATACATCACGAACAGCATGCCCGATTTGGCCATCTTGCTCGGCACATCACCCTGCGATGAGCGAGTCACACCAAACGACCCGGATACCAAGCTTTGCGCTCCAATACTCGCGCACCATTGTTTCGGTCATGCGGAAATGTTTCCCCATAAGCCCAAAGTCAGGTTACGAATTATGGAGGCTTGTTGGCAGAATTACCACACGGATGTCATAACAGCTAGAAAGCATTACGACAGGTGTCATAAGAACGAGCCACCGTCTATCATGCAGCTAGTCGGGTGTTTGAAGGCGATAGAATATTGGGAGAAGAAGTTGGGAATCTGCAGCAGGTTGCAGCCTCTCAGTAGTTGTGTCTTACGGTATGGAGCGCAAGACACGATGGCAGAATTCGAGCGTGAAAAGAAAGAAAAGGCAGATCCAAAGAAGGCCGATTCGAGCGACTTAGAAGAAACTGGCAGAACAGGAAGTCGAGATAGAGACAGCGACAGCATGGGAGGGAAACGAGAGGAGCACAGCAGGACGAGAAGCCCAGAACGGTAGCAACAACAAGCCCGCCGTCCGACAGCTGAACTCACGAGTTACCATGCGATCATGGATTGCCCATATCTGTCTGTCTTAACGGGTCACCCACTGTTCTGTATGGGTAACTTTTAGACTGCACAGACAAGAGGAGACCAAGGTTCGATGCGGCTATGGAGCATTGAGACTTCTCTGATGCCGCATGGTGTTAAGAAGACAGCCCTAGGCATACATCGGCAAGACATGGAGCATAAGGCGACGGAAGCGGTGATCCGAAACCCTGAACTCGCATCATCAGCCATGTATCATTACCAACTCGCAGACAATATACTCATCTCCACTCTTACACACCATCACCATGAACACATCCAACATCGCAAACAGATGTCCACCCATCAGGCCCGTGAAACTCGCATCTACATCACCCCAAAGACTCACGACGTAAAAGCAAACTTGCAAATATCAGCACGACGGCGTCAGCAGAGGGAAGCTTATGCGAAGGTCTATTTTGGGTCTCGCAGCTCTCGTGAGAGGTATGGAGTAAAGCGTGTCGCGTGGTCGCACGTCGCTGTTGGGTTTCGCTGTGGTTTGGTGATGGTGGGATGTTTATGATGATGGAGAGATGAGAATGGGAACGAGGATAATTGAGAGGTGCTGATGAAGCTTTGTAAGTTTGAGTTGGGCGTCGAGGAAGTGGCGATGACTCTTCTTTGACCAACTCAGGCAAGGAAACAACGTGGAATTTTCTGCCGACTTTCTTCCTTCCTCCTCATCGCGCATCTCAACACGTTATCGGATGCGCATTTAACAGCAGTATCTTCAAGTCTTGGAAATGAAAACATCATTGGCAAACGATAACAGAAATGTATATGCCCAACAACCGACGCCTATCCACCTTTCAACGCTTATGTTTCGACTTTTTCACAATCTGGTTCCTCCGCCATCGACTTTGTTCTACTGAGCAATGCTCCTATCATCCGAGAATTTCTTCAATCTCGATCTTCAGTTCTTCAATCAACCCTTCAGCTTGTTCCAGGTCCATCATATCTTCCCAACCAAACACACCAATGCCGAGCGAACCATCCGCGACAGTCGCCTCGATATCCAATGATCGCTGCGCTATATTAGCAGTGTCATCTAGGTCTACTTGTGAACAGCTGCTTACCTTGTATGTCTTCTTCAATGCTTCATGTCGCATTTCTTCTGGCACGACAAATTTCTCTTCAACAGCATCAGATACTCGACTTCGCTTCTGGATCCTTTGGTCTTCTGCACCCTGGTCCATGACGACGGCTTGATTGGTATTATCCTCATCACTGTCAGGTACCTTGACGAAATTGACGAACGTGTCTATCTTGACACCTGTCCACGCCTCAATCTCCCAGAGTCCGACACTGCTGTTTTCAGGTGTGCCGATGTCCTGCAAGTCCTTCTGAATCTGCTTTGCGAGCTCGCTAAGCGAAGTTCTTGTCGGTGAGCGTACGCGAAGAGGGGCAAGGTTCAGTGTCGGTGCTGTGAGGTTGGACAGGTTCTCAAGATGAGAGCGATTGGCCAGGTAGATGCCTATGATCACGTCCTCGGCCGTTGGGTCCGTATTGTAGCTGTATGCTCTGGCATACGCGGCGAAGAAAACAGCTTGGAGACTGATCCCTTGTTTTCTGAGCGCAGTCTCGAATTTCGGCATGTCAGACATGGCACGAGGGTCGTAAATCTCGATGTGTCGTGATGAAGCCAATGAGTCAGATTCGAGCTGTGGGCATTGCGTGCCTTGAAGGTAGTTGGTCCAGAACGCCTTCTTGCCGCTCTTCTCGGTAGCGCCCAGAGGCTGAGCAATAAAGTCGGCAAACGTAGAAGACGGTTGGAGTGCAGGGGTAGACCCTTGCAGATAGCCGCCCAAGGCTTGACTGAGCAGTGACAGACTTATGGCATCGTAAAGCGCGTGATGGATCTTGACACGCAATTTGTAGCCATTGTCTGAGCTCTGTACCGATAACTTGACAAACGGCTGCTCCAACTCTGAAGAAGACTTTTGCTCATCTAGGTTTACGAAAGAGGCAGGAGCGTTGCGCAACACTAATTGCAAGTAAGGAGTGTCGTCGTCTTGAGTGGCAACAAAGACAGTGCGAAGAACGGCATTGTTGGAGACGAGTTTCTGCCAAGCTTGCTCGATACTAGCCATGGTGGTCGAGACAGTAGTAACATACTCGAACTCTCCATAGAACAGCTGCCCATTCGTCGCTAGCCATGCGCCCAGCATATAAACCTGTCCAGCAGTTGCGGGCAAGATCTGCTCAATGCTTTGGCCATCGTAGCCAAACCGTTCAGCTGTGAAGCCCTTCTGTGACATGAGACCGGCAATAGTATTCTCGGCACTCTCGCCAGAAGGTTTGGCTGTCTGGTTCTTCTTCTTCTTCTGGGCTACGGTAGCAATCTTTGAGATTGTACCAGCACGTACAATTTCGCTGACAGTGATTTTAATAGACTTCTGTCGCAGCAATGCGGAGATCTTTATGGCGTTGATGGAGTCGACGCCGAGATTCTGAAGAGCAACAGATTTCGAGATTTCAGTCTTGGGGGTCTTGGTGACTTTGCCGATGACTTCTCGGATCATGGTCTCAGTATCGGACCAGTCATCCGCGTCGACGACCGTCTCCTCGCTAGATTCGGAAGTCTGTTCTTCGCCCGCTTCCACTTGCTGTTTGAACGCAGGCAGGCCACAAACACTAACTTCTTGATCTTGGAAGGTGAGTGTAGGTTCGTGAGGCCCAGAGACGATCGCTTGCAAGACAGTGTCGATAGTGGCAAGAAGGTCGTTCACATCGGGTTCGTCAAAAGCGCTGCTTTTGCAGGCTACTCTCCAGATCAAAGAGCCATCAACAATCTCAGCCTCGATAGCCACAGGGTACTCAACCTCAGAAGCACCATTGACAGATTCATACAGCGTCTGAGTCACGTCATCAGCATTGTCAGGTCGTCTTTGGAAGGTGAAGAGCGTGTCAAAGAAGGCGTCATTCTGACTTGAGCCTGCTTGAACCTGTCCCTGACACGAAGCTTGAATTCGGCGCAGGGGGAAGTGTTGATGATTGGAGATGTCCGAAATCGTTGCTTGTATGCTTTGCAACATATCCTTTCTGGATCCGTGCAACACTGATCTCATGACGACGGTGTTCATCATAGGGAACATGACTTCTTCAGCAAGTTCGCTATCACGACCAGCCAAGACAACACCGAACATGACATCTAGTGATTGCACAGTCTGAGCAAGGACGAAAGCCCAGGCTGTTTGACAAACGGCTTGCAGAGTCACACCTTGCAGCTTGCAAAATGAGGTAAGATCATCAGAAGAGAGCTGACTTGTCTTCTCTGTGCGGTGAGTGGTGAGATCGAATTCTTTGGGAGTGTGACGCCGAGGAAGATGAGTTTTATTCGCATGTGCCAAAAGATCACGCCAGAACGTGACAGCCTCTTCATTGCTGCCTCCAAAAGTGTCTCTCAATATCTCGTCGTAGAAAGGACGAGGCTGTAGAACATCGTTATAAGCACGTAGAACGTCATGATGGAGCAATGAGAGACTGTGACCATCGTAAAGAGCATGAGCAATTGAGAAGACCAGGTATCTATCCTGGGGAGTGACTGCCCAAGTCAAATGTAGCTGAGGTTGGGTCAAAGCAGCCGATGCTACATCAGAGCCGATTTGATCAAGATGTTCAGTGATGGCATCTTCAGTCGGTACCTTGACAAAGCCAAACTCGAGCGGACGAGAATCGTCATGCTTGTAGATGATCTGAGCAAAGGTAGTCTCCATTTCCGGGTCATCGATCTCGAGGAAACCAGTACGAAGGATGGGCGAAGCTTCGATGACCTTTCGCCATGCCTTTTCGAGACTCTCGGGATCGACATCCTTGGGTATCTTCATAATATCATGATTGAAATAGGCTCTGTAGGACGATCGGACCATCTCCGACACCAAAGCTTCTTGCATTGGGCTAGCTGGTAGGACACGTTCAAGCGAGTGTGTACCGTCGATATGGCTTTGTGCATATGCAGTAAGCTTCTTTCCAAGTTCTTGGAAAGTCTGCTCAGACTTGTCGTTTGGAATATCCTCTTTGGTGGGCTGCAAGGTTGACGACATATGGGCAATGGTTTGAGACTTCATAATGGTGCTCACAGGTAGAGCCAAGTTCTTCTTCTTGAGACGTGATGAAAGCTTTACAGCGTCGACACTGTCTAGTCCAATCTCGAAGATGGAAGTGTCCTCGTTCACATCTTCCTCGCTTACATCAGCGAGAGTCGCCATTTCTGATCTGATGGTGGTAGCTTCGAGAGTCCAGTCAAAGCTCGCTGTACCGCTCTTATGAGTGTTAGCTGAATCGCCATTGACAGTCCTGGTAGGTTGCTCGAAAGTGTGACCAATGCTAACGCCGACATCGTCCTCAGGAGCCCCGACCATTGCCCGAACAGCTTGATGGAACTCCTCGATCAGTTCTCGAGCCTTCTCGTCGTCGCAAATTGAGCCCTTGGCAGCTAAAGTGACGTTGAGCTGACCGTCACCTGCTTCCTCCGCTTCAAAAGAGAGTGGGTAATCAGCTTCGAAGTGATCATCCGCCTGAGGGATGAGAATCGAAGTGTTGGTGGTGGAGCTGTCAAGTGCTCCCTGGAAAACGAACAACGTGTCGAAAAGCGGCTCGGAGCGTCCCTTGTTGCACCATTTCATGATATCACGCAATGGTGTGTGCTGGTAAGGCAGAGCTGCGGTGTTGAATTCATGACATCTCTGGACGAGCGTCTTCCAAGAGTCTCCTGAATCGCATCTCAAATAGAATGGAATAGTGTTGAACAAAGGTCCGATCACGTTCTCGATACCATCGAAGTCGATAGAGCGTCCAGACACAACTGTACCAACAGCTCCATGGTGATACTTGCGAAGGGTGGCAATCCAGCATGCTTGGACTAATGCTTGAATAGTGACACCGAGAGAGCGGCGTAGCTCATCCACTTGCTGCAGAACACCGAGACTGGCTGTGCAGAGAACGTCTCGGTCTGTTTTGCGATCGGTCACTGATTTCATCGCCGTAGGGTCCACATCCGAAAGATGGTCAAGCCAGAACTTCTTTGCGCCCTGAACATTGCGCAAAGGACCAAAGGGTAAGCAGTCTACGAATGATTTGCCAAAGTCGGCCTCTTCAGAATTATAGAGCTTGGAGACGTTGTTCATCAACATATCGAAAGAGTTGCCATCATACAGTGCATGATGCATGTCGACCGATAAGAAAGTCTCAGAGCCAGAGCGAACAATCACAATCTCAAAAGGTACAGTCAAATGAGCAGTGTTGTAGGAGCGCCATTTCTGTTTGCGCTTGGCAAAGACACTGTCCACAGATGCAAGATCGTAGACCTCGAGTGTCCACCAGGGCAGGTGACCTGTCTTTCTTACAGCTTGCACATACCCATCATCAGTCTCAACAAAGAAAGTACGTAGGATCTGTGTGCGAGCTAGAGCCTCATTGAAGGCCTTCTCGAGTTTTGCAAGATCTACTCCTTGAGCACCATAACGGAAAGTGTTGAAATAGAGACAAGTCTCGCTTGCCAGAGATCGGGAGATTATGCCTTGCTGCAGAGGTGTACAAGGTACAATGGCTTCAATGTCGTCCACTTTGCAGCGAAGCACACGAGTGACAGTGCCTAGATGCTTTTGCCGACATGCAGAGATGGTTTGTCTGGCATCAGCGATCTCGCCATCCGTCTGATCTGTCGACGTGGCAAGCGCTTTGGCCAGTTTGCTGATAGAAGAATTCTTGAGAATGGTCGCGACCTGGGCATTTGCAAAACCACTGGCTTTGAGCTTTCTTGAGAGTTGTATAGCTGAGATGGAGTTTAGACCCAGAGTAAAGATGTTTGATGAAGGCTTCAGATCATCCACTTCAATCTTCAATAGCTCAGCCAGAACTTTCGAAACCTTCTTCTCTCCATCACTGAGAGGTCGCTGGCTATCAGCCTGTACAGCGTATGTCTGAAGGGTAGTAGCAGGCATGTCAGCATAGAGTTGACGAAGCAGCTTTTCTTCTACCTTGTTGTTCACAGACAAGGGAATACGCTGGATCGGGAGGAAATGTGTGGGGACCATGTACCCAGGCAAATGCTCTTCGCATGCTGTACGGGCTGCTTGAATGAGATGCTTGGTCGACTCCGCGGGGCATAGCTCAGGCTTGCCCTGTTTTCTTGATTCATCGATACCAATGAAGGCGATGAGCTGATCTTTTTGCTGCTTGGGATGCTTGGCAACAACACAGACAGTGTCTTGAATGCCTTGACAGCGCTTGATCACAGCTTCGATCTCATCAATCTCAAGTCTTTGACCTCTGAGCTTGACTTGATTATCTTTTCGGCCCATGAAATCTATTGATCCATCATGGAAGAGACGAACCAGATCGCCAGTTCTGTACACTCTTTCCCCGAAGTCTTCCAAGTAGGGAAAGCAATCTGCAGTGAGCTCAGGCCGGTTCAAATAGCCCTTTCCGACTAGCTTTCCAGAGATGCAGAGTTCGCCGACAGCGCCACGTAAAACGGGCGTCTGAGAGCCAGGAGTTAGGACGTAGCAGCCAACATTGTCAAATTGCCAGCCAATGTTAGAGGGCTTTCCTTCCTTTGGAACGGAAGGGAACACGGTCACACCGATAGTGCATTCTGTAGGCCCGTAGAAATTGAATAGGCAGCCGATATCCCCCCACGTGTTGATCTGGTCTTGTTTAAGAGCCTCTCCACCCGTAATAAAGACGCCTTTGTGTAAACTTGGCACCATAGCAGGGTCCAGAAGTCTTCCTAGAGACGGTGTGAGGTCTAGATGAGTGATCTGCATGGTATCGAGGAAACCCATGATGTCTTCCAAGATTAGATCGCGAGGAGCACAGACAAGTCGCATACCAACAATCCAGGTCCAGAATTGCTCCAAGACAGAGACATCAAAATGGTACGAGGCAAATTGGAGCCAACGAGATTCGTCTGTCCACCTCCCACTGAAAAGACGCTTGAAAGCCATGACTAGTTGGACAGCATTGTCGTGCGTAATTTCACAGCCCTTTGGTGTTCCTGTCGTTCCGGAAGTATACAAGACGTAGCTGACAGACGAGGATGACAGATCTGGTGTAGGCACGGGAGAAGACGACAAGCTCTCCTTGCTGTCTAGGTTGATGAGGTTGATGACGCCGCATTGAGTCAAGCCTTCGAGCTCTGATTTGATCGAAGCAGAAGTCAAGAGGACCCTAGCATTCGAGTCTTGTAAAATGAAAGCTTTGCGGGCTGCAGGTGCTGTAGGATCAATTGCGCAGAAAGCACAACCTGCTTTAAGAATGCCGAAGAAAGCGAATGAGGCTTCCGGACATTTATCAAAAGAGGTTGCGATGATGTCGCCGGACTTGGCACCGCTTTCCAGCAAGAGATGCGCAATCTTGTTTGCTTCCTCGTCCAATTGGCGGTAGGTCCATTTTCGACTTGTGATTTGTTCGTCTTCAAGATTGACAACGAACTCCATAGCAATGCGATCTGGATGATCTCTAACGGCCGCCTCAGTCATCTCGTGCAGATAAATGAAGTCTGTGGGAATGATCGGATCCTTGGGAGGAACGACAGACAAGACTGATGCATCGATTGAGTCCTCGATACTGAAAAGGCCGGCAATGATGGCTTCCATCTGTTGTAGCATGATCTTTCCCTGTTCTTGAGGTATTTGAGCCGGGTTAACTGTCAGTCGAAGACCAAGTTTGTCATCTGGGAGCGCCTCCATCTCAATGGACACGGATAGTTCCACTGAAGCGCTTTCGTGCATAACCTTCCAAGAAGTTTCAGAACCATCATTGCTCAACGGCCTCTGGTAGACGAAAAGCGAGTCAAATAGCGCTTCATTGGGCAGTTCCGCATACTTCTGGATGTCTGTGAGGGATGTGAATTGATGTTTCTGGACACCCGCATTGTATGACATCAGGTCTTGGAGAAGCTGAGAGTCATCTACAGCAGTGTTGCTCGAGACTGGAAGCGTCGTGATGCATGGGAATGCAGTGTCTGCAGTCTCCGGTGCAGTGCGTCCGGAGAAGACCACTCCAAAAGTTACAAGAGACTCTCCTGTGTATGCGCTCAGTAGTCGAGCCCACGCTGCTTGTCCAACTGACTGCATTGAGACACCAGACTCTTGACAACGAGCCTCGATCTCACTGCGTTGGAGGCTAAATAGGCGTTCAACAACGACTGCCTTTGTGTCCGGGGTTCTAAGTGGAGTCAGATTGGGGAATCGAGTGACTGGTGCGCCGCCAAGCTTTTGCGACCAGAAAATACGCTGCTGCTCTGGATCTTTTTGGCTACTCGACAAGATGTAACTCAGAGCACTGCCAATCGACTGCCTTCCAGGTACAGCGTCATCCCGTAGAGCGGACTGCAGGTCCGAGATGATCATACGTAAACTCTCTGCGTCGAAGATAGCATGATGCGCAGAGAATTGTAGACATTGTGTTTGGTTAATCTCAAGAAGACTCCACCTCCAAGGTGGTAAGTGGAGCTTTTCCTTGACTGATTCAGAAGCTGCTCGCTCATAGTCATCATACTTCGCTCCATCTTCTGATGATACTTGCAGGCAAAGGTCGTGGACATCGGGAGACTTGTAAGTCGACATCACGAATGGGTTCTCGTGATCATCAGTATTGATGAACCCAGTGCGCAGCATCTCATGCTGCGCAACAACTTTGACCCATGCGTTCTTGAGCGTTTCGAAGCTGCTGTTTTCGTCCACCGCATAGAACATATGATTGAAGTACTGGTGCCCGCCAGAGTGAACATATTCACTCAACATTCCAGATTGTACCGCAGTGCAAGGTCGTACTGCTTCAATCTGGTCCGTGGAGACCTTTTGGCTATCCAGAACAACGCTACGGTAGCGCTTGTCGAAATTCTCGAGGTCGAACGCAGGAGTGCTTATAACAGGTGTTTGTGATCGAGTCTGAACGACTGAAGCCAGTTCGGAGCACGATGGGCTCTCCATCACATCGCTGGCTTGCAACGAGAGTCCCTCTTTTCGAAGCCGGCTAGCGACTTGAATTGCACTGATGCTGTCCAGACCAATCCTGTAGATAGTGGTGTCCTTCCCGATCCGGTCTTCAGGGGCGGAAGAGATTGCTGAGTACGCAGCACGAATCTGAAGTTCGAGAGGAGACCAGGCGTCGTTGTCTGAAGTCTCCGGCTGTTGCAACTCTTTCCGCTGAGCAGCCTCAGCAGACTGCATGTATTTGTCGTCTGGCTTCAAAGAGCCTGCTATCACGTCTTTATCAAAGTCAACAAAATCAAAAACATCGCTGGATGGGTATCTTATGCAAGACGCAAATGCAGCTAAACACGCTTGATGAAGTCTTTGAACAACTCCATCCTCAAGGTAACTCCTACGACAAGTCAGAATATTTCTAAAGAGGAAGAGAAGAAGATGGTACCGGTTGAAATGCAACGAAAGGGCGTATGAATCATCGCTCGGCGTAAGTTCAACAATGCAAGGTAACTGTATATTGTTAGGCTCTAGTAACGACCAATATGGAGGGCAGAATACGCACATCCATGTCTCCGGATTCGTGTTCCAGGCTCCAGATTTCAGGATTCAAGTCTGTCGGCTTTTGCTGCAAAAGGACAAGAGAATCAAACAATCGCCGTCCACCTGTGCCGGCTTGTCCCTGGATGCGGCGTAAAGATGTGAGCTGATGAGGTAAAGCATCAACATTGCCCCCTTGAAGGGCTTTGATGAGGCGGAGGTTGCTTTGATGCTTCGACAGATCGATACGAACGGGTAGTGTGTTGAAGCAAGGTGCAACTAGAGATTCGATGCCATCAACAGGAACAGTGCGACCACTTACAACGTTACCAAAACAAACATCTGAATAGCCTTGTGCAGCTGACAAAGCTTTCGCCCACATTGCCTGAGTTAGACCAAGCATAGTGGTGGAATGCTTCGACAAAAATTCTTCCACTGTCTTTGAGGAGCAGCCTATGTTTGCAACAACTGCTCCAAAACCATTCTTTGACTGGCTATGCTTCATCTTCTCAAAGGGTTTGGGGATAAAGTTTCGAAGTTGGGCAGTAAAGAAATCATCCGCTTGCTCAAGACTGGCAGAGAGCATGTGATCGAGAAAAGGTTTGAACGATACTGGTGCTGGAAGTTCATGGTCCTCGTAGAGCTCTTCGACTTCTTGCAGGAGATTGGCCATAGCATTAGCGTCGTACAAGGCGTGATGCATTTCGAGCAAAAGATAAATGACTGGTCCAGACTTGTAGACTTGTATCTTCCATGGAGGCATGTATCCCGGAGTTTCGCTGGATTTGGCGTCATGGACCAACGCTGAAAGATCATCAGGAACGTGATCAAACTCTTCCCATGGTAAGGTCGACTCCGAAAGCACAGCCTGCACGAATGGGAACCTTGTGCTTTCAGTCATGATGAAAGTTGTTCTCAGAATGCCATGCCTCTTCATCATAGCTTCCCAAGAAGCTTTGAGCTTGTCAGGTTTGCCTTGCAACCTGAACAGTGTCTTGTTTCGGTATGCCGAAGACTGCTCTGGGCCACTGGCAGAAGAAAGCATTGCTTCCTGCAAGGGCGTGCAAGGCAGGACTTGACCCACGATCTGGCTCTGCTCTCGAAGTTGTGAGATGACTGACTCGATGATGTCCAAGCCAATAGCTGCTTCGAAACTGCTTACGGTGTCGTTCTTCGATGACACTGATGGTTTCATTTGACCATCGTCCAGCTTCGCAGCCAATTTGGCGATGGTAGAACGCTTCAAAATATGGGAAACATCAGCCTGATAGCCGTGCTGCGTCCTCAGTTTTGTTGCAAAACGAATTGCAGACACCGAGTCAAGACCTAATGCGAAGAAGGAAGTCGAGCGACCTATAGACGTGGAAGGCAGGTTCAGAGTATCCGCAAGCGCCGAGAGCAAGTGAGTTTCCTTCACAGAAAGCTCGGTGGTGTCTTTGTCACCGGCAAAGTCCTGCGAGCATGCATTCAAGTCCTCTACGCTGAGCATGGAGCCGTCCCTCGACAATTGTCTTCTGTCAATCTTGCCTTGCGTGGTTTGAGGGATGGCGGACACTGGCACTAAGGCATCTGGAATCATGTAAACAGGTAGGTGATCGGCGAGGTGTGCAAAGATCGACGTCATGATCTCTTGCATCGACTTGTCTGGATGCAGCACTGTATACACGTCCTTCGAGTGTCCAACTGGAATCCAGAATGCCATCAAACGCTCTTTGTCTGTGGTCTTGACAATCTCGATTGCACAGTCCTGCACGTTAGGGATCTCAAGCAGACGGCTAGAAATTTCACCAAGCTCAATTCTCTGGCCTCTAATCTTTCTTTGATCATCAGTACGGCCCTGAATCAGGATGGTTCCATCTGGTAACAATCTGCCAAGATCTCCACTGCGATAAACACGACCGTACTTCGGATGGTCGATGATCTTGCTCTCAGTAAGCTCAGGCATGTTTTGGTAGCCGCGGAATACCTGTTGTCCACCAAAACAGAGTTCACCCAAGCCGCCACAAGGCACGACGTGGAATTCAGAATCTTGTGTCAACACAAATGCCGACGTATTTTCGAACGGCGGGCCAATGTTGTTGATGACATGGTCTGGCTTCACAGCTGGGTTCACAGTACAGATATTGGTAGTCTCTGAGGGACCATAGCCTTGGTAGAGACCCTTGCCCGCCCATGCACCATGCACATGATGAGTGACTGCTTCACCGGCCGTAACGAGAAACTGAACTTTCGGGATGTGAGACGGATCCGTCAATGCGGCTACTGTCGGCGTCAAAGAAAGATGTGTAATGTCAAGCTTGTTGATCGCCAATTCGATGTCACGGAACAGGACGTCCTTGGAGGCAGAGCACAAGCACATACCACTATACCAGGTGAAGAAGATCTCAAAGACACTGACATCGAAAGCTTGATTGCAAGCTTGTAGTAGCCGGGAGTCTTTTCGAACAGGGTATATCCCACTCAGGACTTCAAGGTTGCTGAGGATGTTTTCTTGCGTCACGAGAACTCCTTTTGGCTTGCCCGTGGTACCACTTGTGAATACTGCGTAAGCAATGTCCGAGGGCTCGAAAGCAACCTTAGGATTTGTTTGCGACTGTCTTGCGATATCGATCATTGTGACATTGATAGTGCTGCAGAGACTCAGGTCGTTAATGGTAGGCGTGGTTGACGAATCAGTCAAGCAAGTGTTCACATTGGCTTCCGAAAGAATCTGGCGAATCCTGGCAGATGGCGTTTCGGGAACCAAAGGCAAATATCCACATCCTGCTTTCACAATTGCGAGAATAGCAACATAGAGGTCGATCGACTTGTCCATGCAGATGCAAATCAATTCGTTAGACTTGACACCTTGCGAGATGAGATAGCTTGCAAGCTTGTTGGCCCTTACATTGAGCCCTTCATATGTCAGGCTCTCGATCTCTACATCGCTTTCCTGGATGTTGTGAGCAAAGGTCAGGGCCAACTTGTTGGGCGTGTCCCGAGCATGTTTCTCGACAACAGATCCAAGTCCAGCGCGGTATGAGAAGTGTTTTGGCTCTGGATTTGCGATTGACATGATGGACACAGGCAGATGGCTGCCCGATTCACTGATGAGCATGTCCGGTCGGGCCGCCGCAAGGTTGACCAGCTCATCGAGCTGCTGTAAAAAGACTTCAACTTGCCGTGGTGGCAGGATGCTTGGTTGGTAAGTGGCCTTGGCAGACACACCTTGCTGGGACGGTTCGAGCTCCAAGGTAAGGTTGAACTCCAGGAAATCGCGAGCTTCATCCAGTTGAAGCAGTGGCTTGTGTTGAACATCCGATCGAGCGGTCTCTTGCCACACGAAGATACTATCAAAGAGAGCTTCGTCTGGTGCTACGCCACATGCCTTGTTGATGTCTGCAAGGGAGACTGCGCTGTGTTGCATTATCTCTCTATTATCACCTTGGAAGCGACGCAACATATCCCTGAACTTTCTGCTCTCAGAAATGTTCACACGCAATGGAAGAGTCGACAACAGAGGGCCGACAATGTTTTCAACTTCCGCGATGGGCAAAGTTCTCCCTGAAAACACTGTCCCGAAGACCACGTCATCTGTGCCCATATACCAGCTGAGTAACATGCAGTATGCAGCTTGGAAGAAGACATGAGGACTGCAAGCATACTCTTTGGCAGTCTGGCGTAACATCTCCATATCAATGTCGATGGTGTGGCTCACGGACCTGAGAGGTTGGCGTGGTATTTTCTTCGGAGATAAGTTTGGTAAGCGACCGGAAGTGCCGCTAGAGAGATACTCTTGCCAGAAATCAATGTGCTGTGTTTGATCCTCGTGTCTCTGGTGGCTATAAAATTTGTTGACAGCCTCAAAAGAGGGTCTCTCCGGAACCTGAACATCTCGTAAGAGGCTCTCCAGATCTTCGAGAATAATCTCTACAGACCACTGATCATAGAGCGCATGATGTATGTTGATCAACAACTGGGCATTCGTCTCAGACTTCTTGTACTGGAAACGAAGTGGCCGCAAAAGCATCTCCTGATTTGAAATTGACCACTCGGACATCCAAGAGTCCACACTTGCGAACTGAGAAGCATCCACACTCTTCCACACGATTTGTGCGTAAGCGCTGTCAGATATCCCAGAAGCCCAGAACCCAGACCTCAAGGAAGTATGTTTGTCAGCCAAAGCGAACACAGCTTTACGCATGTGTTCAACGGAAAAATTGCCATTCACGGAGAAGAGAAGCTCATTGCAGTAGGCCTGTGGTTGCCTTGCTGTTTCGACCAGCATAGCGTCTTGAAGTGGCGTGCAAGGCAGAATCTCCTGAATGTTGCTTATCATGGGCTCGGATCCAAGGTCTTTTTCAACTCTCGATCGTAGCTCACTAACAACACTTTGCCATCTTTCGGCTTGGTCGACATGTGCGTGTTCGTCTATACCTTTGATTTGGAGCAATTCGACAAGAGCTGCAAGATTTGTCACTGAAAGCAGCTCGAGAGCTCCGACTTCAGCATATCCGTGCTTGCGCAGCTCACAGGCGACTTGTATTGCTTTCAAGGAGTCTAGTCCAGCAGCACCCAGATCCGTCGTAGAATTTATCGAGACACCCAATGCGCTTTGTATTGTCTGCGCAATTTCCTTCGCTTCAGCTGACATGCCAGAGACTTCCGTTTCGGAATTCGAGTTTTCTGAGGCATAATCATTCTCCAACTTCTTCTTGTCAACTTTGCCGGACGGAAGGTATGGAAAATCGGGAAGTAGCACAATATCGCTTGGGATCATGTAAGCTGGCAGCCACTTTTGACATGCGGACTTGATCTCGCTCGGTGAAATGGTACTCGCATCGGCGATGCAGAAAAGGATCAAAAGACCAGAAATGACGCTTGCAACCACAGCATGGCATCCGTCAGCTTTTGATGCAGCATGTTCGATCTCTCCCAGCTCAACACGCTGGCCTCTGAGTTTGACTTGGCCACTCGAGATACGACCATGGCATTCCAGCCTGCCGTTTTGTAGTAGTCGAGCCTTATCACCGGTGCGATATAGTTTACCAAACTTGGGATGCGTGATGAAAGCAGCTCGAGTTTGCTCTTCGCGATTGAGGTAACCGTCTGCCAATTGATGACCGCCAACTGCAAGCTCACCAATCTCGCCGATAGGTAGAATTTCGATCTCGCCAGCTCGATCGTTAGACTCGGCTGGTTTGACTATGAAACATGAAACTGTTTCCAGAGGGATACCAATGGTGCCAGCAGGCAGATCTGCTGCAAAATCTGGCTGTAAAGTGCAGTGAATTGCAGCCTCGGTAGGGCCATACATGCCATAGAGGATACCAGGTTTATCGGCCGAGCCACCAAACTGCTGAATTACTTGTGGATTGAGCATCTCACCAATTGTGAGGAGTGTGCGTAGAGTCGGAACATTGTCTCTGGTACGGACCAGACTGGCAGCCACTGATGGAGTGAGCTCGGCGGCATCAATGTTCAGAGCAGTTATCGTTCCAGGAAGATCACCGAGCAGTCGTCCGCGCTCAACGGAGACAAGTGTAGATCCACGAAACCACGGAAAGAATATCTCAAACACGCTGACGTCGAATGTCGGGCTTGCGAACTGGAGGAACCGAGAAAAAGTGGGTATAAATCGATCATGTGCCAGGAGAGATTGTGTGGCCGCCTGATGAGAAAGACAGACCGCCTTGGGAAGGCCAGTACTGCCAGAAGTGTACATTATGTAGGCAAGAGGAGAAGTATTAGTGCAGGTTGGCTCATCCTCTGAAGGTTCCGAGGTGTCCGAATCTGAATCCGAGCTTGACGGCCCGTCATCGATTGCTACGATAGTAACATCTGCCAGATCTGGAAGACTTGCTCGCATAGCAGTTGTCGTAAGAAGAATGGCGGCTGCAGTGTCCTTGAGAATGAATTTCAGGCGTTCTTCTGGTACATCAAGATTCAGAGGACAAAAGGCTGCCCCTGACTTCAAGATTGCCAGCTGTGATATGTACAATGAAGGGCATTGCGGGATATAGATCGGTACGATTCCTGGGGTCCCTAGTGAAGCCTCACGTCTGATTTGAGCCAGTCGTCTCGCCAGCGTGTTTGCTTTTCTATGCAAGTCTGCATAAGATAACTTCGTCGTCTCACCATCGGCGTCCAAATATTCCAGGGCAGTTCCAGACTTTCCGGGACCTGATATGAGTTCATGGAGCAGCTTGGGACCATCTAGCCGCGTCGGCATAGGATTTAGTATCGAAAGTGTATCGTCCATTTCGGCGGACATTTCGTCAGCTGAAAGTGTTCGCGCTGGCATGTTATTAATTACAGATGTAGACCAAAGTCCATAAGTCTATCATAAACGCAGGAGGTCGGAAGCTAGGCGCGTTTGCTGTGTGAGAACGGAGTTAGAGAGGCGAACAGTTGGATATGGAAGTCGTGCAAGGTGTTCGACACGGGAGATTTGTCGCAGCAATTCTTTAATTCATGTTACATCAGCTGGTTTCCATGTGTTAGATCATATCGACTCGTGCGGTCACACGAAGCATACACGAGAAAATGTCAACCGGCGAAACTGACGACTACAAATCATGACCAGATTAGGCCGGCACTAGCGAGCCTTAGGGCGGAGTTCGTGCGCTGTCGCAGAGGAAGGAACAAGCCGAGGTCGGCGCCCTGCAACTTCGCGATTGAAACTGTTTCTCGCGCCTGCGGAACATCGATGACTACACCTCGTATGCTCGCGAGGCGTACGGAAGCCACGACGACGTAGGGAGCTGTCAGCTCGAGTTTGTTGCCATCAACCTTTCGCCGGCAATCGGCACTTGGACGACGAGGCTACGCGGAGAAAAGAAAAGTCGCACTTTCAACAGCTTCCCCATGTGCTAAAACCTGTCACTTCCAGTCATCTCCCGCGTCGATTAGAGGCATATTTCGGCCTGTAAAAATGCACAATGTGTTTAATATTGTGATAATCGTCCGCAGAGGAGCGACATGCTAGACAAAGTTCAGTACAAGATCAAGAGATGAAGATTTTCGCGCATTAGCGAACACGGTCTCCTGCTTGCGACCTCGCTCTGGTCTTGCATCAATCTCGCATTGTCTGCGCTTGACCAACAGGAACATAAACACGATGTCTCCTTCTCGTGATGGTGGTACGCCAAATGCTTGGAAGATGAAAATCTTATCTGATCCTTGCCCTGCCATCTGATAATGAGACGATCCCCCTCCGCCACTGACGACGAGATCAGCGTGCTGGGATCAGATTACCGCATCTTCCACACGCCGTCGAAACGTCAAGCCTTCCAAATGCCTTTAACGCCTTTTTGCAACCCATGGCAAACAGATGTCAAGGATGTCACTGTCGATCATTTGTTCGTTGTCAGACCGACTTGCTCTGACTCTAAGTTGCTCAGCTGCCGTCTTTGCGCGTCGTAAAAAGTTTCTCGTCCGACCTTCCGAAGTTGTGTGCGATCATCGACCACATCATCAATAATCTATGTACAGCAGCGGTTGCGACCTCGGGTTCCTGTATTGCATGATTTTCCTATGCAGCAAGAACTTTTCTCTCCGTCTTGATGTACGCCTAACCCTATCAACAATGCCCCCAAGGTCGCCATTCTATAGGACATTTGTGCTTTTCGGGGCTTAAAGCTTAAGAGAGCCTCTTTCAAGGGACAGAAAAAAAACCAACATCAGTGCGAGACGCATCCTCAATATTTACTGAGGTCGATTCTATCTGCGTCATCTACCGGCGCGGCCTGTCACTGGAGTTTAGTCTACTACCATGTCCTTCGTCGATAATAGACGGTCATCTGGGCCTGACCGCGCACTCTCACGGCCTTCAACGAACCTTGAAGCGGAACGTAATATTGAGACCACCACTTTGAACACCGCACAACCCCGGCCATGGCATACCGAATTTGTCTTCATCTCCCGAAAATGGATCCATCAACTTCTTGGACACAACCCATTCAAAAGCTCATATCTTGATCTCTTCAAGCTCGTCAATGATCTGGAATCTAAGGCGATACTGTGGGCTGGGGTATTGTTAGCGATTGCTGCCGGCACACCGCTCCCTATCATAGGCTACATCTTTGGACAAATCATCACCTCATTTCCGCCTCCGGAAGACGTGCTACGCGAGCGACTCTACGAACTCGTAGGCGTCGCTTGCGGTTACTTTATTGTCACGACTGGTTATACGATCGCCTGGGGGCTGACCGGAGAGAGAATTTCACGACGCTTCCGAGTGACGCTTGTCGAGCGTCTGCTTGGTCTTGAACAGGCATATTTTGATGTGAATGAGCCGGACATCACAAACCTGTTGACTGAGAAAATCGAGGCAATCCAGATAGGAACTTCTGAGAAGGTCGGCATCTTCATTCAATCGATCAGCTACTTTGTTGCGGCCTTTGTTGTTGGATTCATCTTGAACGCCAAACTTACTGGAATCTTGTTCGCGGCTGTCATTCCACTCATGACTTTGATTGTTCTCCTTGGCTCTTCTAGAGTCGCCAAATATACTAAAGCAGCAACTCAACATACCGAGGCTGCTGGAAGACTGGCCGAGAGCGCAATCCATGCGGTCAAGGTCGTGCAGGCTTTTGGAATGGCCGACAAACTCAGCCAGGAACACTATCGTCTCCTCAAGTTATCTGCTGGATTTGCAATTCGAAAGTCCATCTCTGCTGCACTAATGCTAGGTCTGATCTACTTCACGGCGTACAGTGCCAACGCGCTCGCATTCTGGGAGGGTTCACGGTTGGCCGCAGAGTCTGGTTCAAGTAACGCTGGTACCGTTTATGCTGTGGTGTTCTTGATCATTGATGCTTCGTTCGTAGTTGGGCAATTTGGACCTTTCTTGGGAAGCTTTGCCAGTGCCGCGGCTGCTGGAGAAAGTGTTTACGAGGTTCTGAATCAGCCTCCTGCCGACATCGACGTATACTCTGCCACCGGACAAGAGGCCACGGAAGATGACATGAGGGCTGAGATCAACTTCCGAGACGTCACATTTGTGTATCCTGCAAGAACCTCAGCTCGTGCCCTCGACGGACTCGACCTTAGCCTCAAGCCCGGAATGAATGCTATAGTTGGCACAAGTGGTTGTGGTAAGAGCACGCTAGTATCACTACTTTTGAGGTTATACGACATCTCCTCTGGGCAATTGATGATAGGAGACCATGACATCAAAGATTTCAACATAAGAAGTCTGAGAAGATATACTGCACTCGTTGATCAGGATTCCATTTTATTTTCTGGATCTGTCTTGGAAAATATCAGCTACGGGCTCGGCGAGCATTCTCTTTCCAAGAAAGAAGTGTTCGAGAGATGTACCGAAGCTGCAGAGGCTGCCAATCTGGATTTTGTCGAATTTCTGCCTCAAGGAATGCACACTAAGATTGGAAATGGTGGTTACACCCAGCTGTCAGGCGGCCAGACCCAGAGAATTTGTCTGGCTAGGGCCCTCGTCAAAAGGCCCGCTCTACTCCTGCTCGATGAGCCGACCGCGTCGTTGGATGCCAATAGTGAAGGCTTGATTATGGATGCTGTCAAGAAAGTCGCTGCAACAGGCACAACCGTCGTCATGGTAGCGCATCGACTCTCTACCGTGTCCGATTCACCGAATATCGTGCTCATGGGGGCAGGAAAGGTCATCGAGCAAGGTACTCACGATGAGCTCATGCGATTGGAAGGTGCATACAGCAATCTCATCTCTGCCCAGCAGCTCGATGACACAGACGACTCATCTATTGAGGTATCCCCAGCAAGCACCGACCAGGGTCTTGAGCGGAAGACATCAAAGTCCAATGACGCCTATACCTCTAGCGATTCCGAAGCCACATCTCCAGCGCCATCGCCGAAAGAGACAACAGCTAAGAAAGCAGGTTTTTGGAAACTCCTACTACGTTGTCTCCGCATGGCCAAACCTGACTCTCCAATCATCGCATTAGGACTCACCGCCTCTGTTGTATCCGGTGGCATAATCCTCGGTGAATCAATCATCTTCGGTAACCTGATCTCGGTACTGAATGGCTTGGACAGTCCGAACTATCGAGAAAGGGCCGATTTCTTTTCCCTCATGTTCTTCATTGTGGCATTGATTGCCTTTATCTCTTACTCTCTGAACGGATGTGCGTTCGGCATCGTCTCTTCTCGCTTCATTGCCAAAGTTCAGCACATATCTTTGGTCAGTATCCTGCGGCAGGATATGCAATGGTTCTCTGGACGCTCAGTGTCTTCGCTTATGAGCAGTCTGAACTCAGATGCTGGTCAGCTGGCTTGCTTGTCTGGTGTTGCCATTGGTACCATATTCACAGTCTGTGTGTCGATCATCGGCGGCGTTGTCTTGGCCCATGTGGTCGCTTGGAAGATTGCCGTCGTCCTGCTGGCTGCGGTACCTGTAATGGTGATGGCAGGATATGTCAGACTGCGTGTCCTTGCTCTGGCAGAGAGCAGGCATAGATCAGCTTACAACGATGCAGCATCTATCGCCGCCGAGGCCTGCAGAGGCATCAGGACCATTGCATCTCTTGGCAGGGAACGCGGCGTGTCCAGGTCGTTCAATGAAGCTGTAAAGGAGCCTTATATCAAGGGTATCCGATTTACCTTACTCTCGAATACTCTGCTCGCCCTAAGTTTCAGCATCACTTACTTTGTTTATGCTCTTGCATACTGGTGGGGTGCTCGACAAGTAAGAAATGGTACTTATGACCAACTGGACTTTTTCATCGTTCTTCCAGCTCTTCTCTTTTCCGCGCAAAGTGCCGGACAGATTTTCAGTCTGTCGCCAGAAATGTCACGGGCTGGACTGGCTGCTCGTAACGTGTTCGGACTCCACGACCAGATGCCTTCGATTCTAGACAGCGACATCAAGCAGCCTGGAATGGCCCTTACCCTGGACGATACCACTGCGACCGATGCTGAGAAGCCAGATCCTGCTTCTGGTGGTTGGATTGAGTTCAAAGACGTCAGTCTATGCTACCCGTCCAAGCCACAACATCCAGCAGTAAAGAATGTCAGTCTCTCCATCAAGCCTGGAGAGTTTGTAGCATTTGTTGGTCCAAGTGGTGCAGGAAAATCAACCGTCCTGACCCTTCTACAACGCTTTTACGACCCTACGACTGGTAGCGTTCAACTAGACGGCCAAGACATCCGCGAAGTTGCCGTGTCAAAACACAGAAGCCGTCTAGGACTGGTACCACAAGAGCCTGACCTTTTCCCTGGATCGATCTCCTACAATATTGGCTTAGGCGCAGCACCAGGTCAGGAAGTCACGCAAGCGAATATTGAGGACATCTGTGCTAAGTGCGGAATCCATGAATTCGTCATGAGTTTGCCCGAAGGATACAGCACAGAGTGCGGTATCAATGGTTCGAAGCTATCAGGTGGCCAAAAGCAACGTGTCGCTGTCGCCAGAGCATTGATCAGGTCACCGGAAGTACTCTTGCTCGACGAGTATACCTCTGCTTTGGATGCACACTCTGAACAACAAATAAAGGAAGCTGTCGATGGAGCCAGTGTAGGAAGAACTACCATTGTGGTGGCACACAGACTGTCTACCGTGCAGAATGCCGATAGGATCTTCGTCTTCGACAATGGCCGCATTCTGGAAGTTGGAAGTCATGCTGAGCTTATTGCTCAAGGCGGTCTGTATGCAGGTATGGTGAAGGCGCAGACACTTGCATAGACACAGGCATTGTCAGTTGCTGCACACTTTCTGATTCCATTTATTTTACTAGCGAGGAGTTTTGGGAGGATCAAAAAGGTGTTCTGTATTAGGCAGGTACTATCCGGAGCACAGAGAACTCGTACATTGTATATCAATCAAAATCGAGGTTAACACGTGGAATCGCTGAGCTGAGAGTTATATCAGGCATGTATCTGGCGAATTGCATGATTGTTCGAATGACAGCCTTTTCCAGTGAGAGGACCAGACAAAACATGCTTTCCATACCATTTTCTTGTGGGAGTGTGGTTTGATTTCTGCATATGGTAGTGGGGCAGCTGGTCTCAACTCTCACGATTCGAGGTTACACCGTCTAGTCAAAGGGCATTTCTCTTACATACAAACAAGCAGCCATGATCGACAACAAGCGATCTCACGCGTCTGCCCTGCCCAACAGAAACACAATGCGAGTTGTTCTGCAGGGCACACGGGCAAAGTGGTGTGAAATGCCTTGGTCAAGCTCGCTGTGGGATCAGCCCGTGCGCTCGAAAGCGGATCAGATAACTTAACTTTATTCCGGGCGCCACCGGTTCGCGTGGTCGAGGCGAAGACAGCGGTGTTGTACGGGCTCCGATGACGGCAGGCTTGTAGTTGGGCGATGAGAACGTGCTTCGTGGTTCGTCTGTTCTTGTCGAGTGAGATGCGACTGAAATGGTTCTTGCAGCTGTTTTCAACTTGACGGGTGATACAGGACAGTTGTATGAAGACCATCGGGTCGCCATTCTACCTGGCAGCCAAAGAACCATCATGCCAGCGCATCACTTTCACTTCTCATCACGAAGCAAACGGTCACGACTCACAAGAGATCCTTGCCGAGCTGCAGCTAGAAAAAGCTGAAAAGAGGTCCGTGGTTTGGCACGACTGCCCCACCAGCGAGACTCCCGGAATCGATTGATCATCTGATTAGACAGACGGGCAGGGCAATCAGATTAGATGCAGAATTTTCATCTAGCCGTTCCACACCACGCGAGAGCCAAGGCACCACGCCGCGACCATGATGGTCTTTCTCGTGGGCAGGCAGAAGCACTGACAGCGTAAACCCAACAATGTCGACGATAAAGGACCCTGCTCGCGCCCTATTTCCCGAGCTTGCGACGAGAGTCAAAAAGTCAGACGATAGATATATTTGCAATTGATCTGCTCCTTCGAGAGGGAACTGTTTCTCGTTTCTTCCCCTCAAACTTGAGTTTCTGTCTTCCTTGTCTCCGCGAACGATCTTGTCGTCATACATCAGCTTGAAGGTTGGAGGTGAATTTGGAAACTTTTTTGTTACGAGCGGAAATAACCAACGTAAGTCCTCCCCTGCGCAATCGTTCTAGAGCTGAATTGTACCTTCCACTTTACACGATTGCGAAGCATTTTCGTCATTGAGGCCTTGCATTTTATGTATCTTCGAGCAACGAAACTGCGCAAAACAATCAGCACTTTATGTCCCGACTGACACCGACACAAGAAACCGCCGTAGACAACGCAATGGCACCTCACGCCGACTTCCCCGAAATGGCTCTCGAGAGCGTCCCCCAGCGCAATGGCTCAAAGTTCCAGACACACCTTCATTCGACACCGGAAAACGAGGTGCACGATGTAGTCTGCGTAGGCTTCGGTCCTGCCTCATTGGCAATTGCAGTAGCCCTCCACGACTCGACCAAGCAGACTGGCAAGCAGCAACCCGCACTCAAGACGCAACCCAAGATTGCCTTCCTCGAGAGACAAGAGAGCTTCGCATGGCACGCTGGTATGCAAATTCCTGGCGCAAAGATGCAGATCTCCTTCATCAAGGACATGGCCACAATGCGCAACCCTCGCAGCGAGTTCACCTTCCTCAACTACCTCCACGAGAACGACCGCCTGGTTCAGTTCACCAACCTGAGCACTTTCCTGCCCCGTCGCATCGAGTACGAGGATTACTTGCGCTGGTGTGCTGGCTGGTTCCAGAACCTGGTCTCGTATGGACACGAGGTTGTCGATATCTCGCCTGACAGCAAGAGCGCCGAGGGCGTAACAACATGGAAGATCACATCTCGCAACATTCACACAAATGAGCTTAGCTTCCGTCGCACGAAGCGTGTCGTCGTAGCTGTAGGAGGTCACCCCAAGATCCCCAAGGCCTTCCCTCAGCAGCACCCTCGCATCATCCACTCGTCTCAGTACTGGACTCTCTCGTCTCGCATCTTCCGCGACCGCGAAGCTCCCCTCAAGATTGCTGTCATTGGCTCCGGTCAATCCGCCGCCGAGATCTTCCAAAACATCCCCAGCCAATTCCCCAACTCCAAGGCTTACCTCTTGATCAGAGGTGCTGCCCTGAGACCTTCAGACGACTCCCCCTTCGTCAACGAGGTCTTCGACCCCGAGCGCACAGACGACACCTTCAACCAAGATCCTGCTATCCGTGCTGAGGCCATCAAGATGGACAAGGCAACTAACTACGGTGTCGTTCGTCTCGAGCTGCTGGAGCACATGTACGACTGCCTCTACACTCAGCGTCTCGTTCACGGCGACGATGAAGCGAACTGGCCCCAGCGCCTGCTCAACCACCGCGAAGTCGAGAACGTCACCGAGTTGCCCAACGACCGTATCCGCCTGCACATCAGAAACGACACTGCCAAGTTCAGACGCTGCAAGGCCTCGACGAACGAAAGCCTTGATGTCGATTTGGTCATGATTGCTAGTGGTTACAGAAGAGACCACCACGAGCAGTTGATGTCCAAGGTTAGACCTATGATGCCTGGTGGTGACAAGCCCGGTCAGAAGTGGACTGTCAATCGCGAGTACAAGGTCCAGTTCCAGGAGGGCGCTGTTTCCAAGGACTCTGGTGTTTGGTTGCAGGGATGTAACGAGGGCACCCACGGTGTAAGTCTGATCAGATTCCCCCCTCATGAGATGCTTACTAACATTGTTTCTCACAGTTGAGCGATTCCCTCCTCTCCGTTCTTGCTATCCGTGGCGGCGAAATGGTCCAGTCCATGTTCGGCGGCCAGTAACGAATCAACCATTCGACGTGATACCCCTCCATCACTCCTTCACGAAGGATGAATGTGATGTGAAGAAAGAGAAAGAAAAATATACATAAACTCGACAAACACTATGTGGAAAAGTGTCAATAGCGACGGCGTTTGTTTATAATGTACAAAAGACGTGGATACGAAGACTTCATTACTAGACGTCAATATACAATTCTCCTTGATCATCCATCTTTTTCACTCCCAACACCCCTCGCTCTCACACACTAGTCGAACAACATCTGTATTTTGATCATCGCCGTCCTGCAAGCACTGCACCACACGAGTAACCTCTCCTTCGAGATGAACGACCTCCACAACATACCCCATCGTCCTCGAAAGCCATCTCTACCCAAAATCACACCGTCAAGCTCTGCTCAAACAAACCCACTCTTACCAGCCCCAGCAACACCTGCTCCCACCGCAGCCTCCGAAGACATGGCAAACCACCACAGTTTCTTCCTCTGCAGCGAGATCGCAAGTAAGCTATCACCCTATCAAGTACACCCACACAAACTAAACAAGCAACAGAAAGCCTCCGCCTCCTCCACCCCGAGTCGAATCTGAGCCTCTTCACCACCAGCAAGCCTGCAGAATACTATGCTCATGTTGCAGACGTCGATGGAAAAGTCAAGTACACGACTATTGGTTATGCGACTGTGCAGGAAGCTCTGGAGGAACTGCTTGCTTTCGTGACTGGGGAGTTGGGTTGGAAAGGGGAGGAATACAGTTATGGAGTGAGGCAGGTTTTCGATGAGTGAACTTTCGTCTTACGCGTTTGGATCTCTCACTCGCTCGCGAAAGTAGCACTTGAAGTCTTCCCACACGCGGCAGGAGAATCTGTACTGTAGATTTCTCCTCAGACAATTACTGCTATACTCGCACATCAATACCTTCAGCATGGGGGACTTGAACAACTTACCTCATCGTCCACGAAGCTCCTCTGTCTCCAACAGTCCATCTCTAGGTTTTGGTCAAGCCGTATCCTCACTGTCAACCCAACCGACCACCACATCATCAACCACCCTCCAAAACAACTACAAAAACCATTTCTGGGGCTGGTTGATAACCAGTAAGTCCCTCTCCACTACACATATCAGCACAAACTCATCAAACAGCAGCAAACCTAAACAAGCTCTATCCTGGTACTACTTTCAAAATCATCAGCACATACAGTGAAGCCGAATACTATGCCCATGTGCTTGATCAGGATGGCCAAATTCGCTACAAGAGTACTGGATATGGAGACAGAGAAAAGGCTTTACGATATCACAGTCAAAGCAGTCTCATAAAGCGTCACTTTCCTTGTAGTCTCAGAGATAGAATAACCGTGTTCCGTGCATCAGGACTGGCAGTATCAGCACAGTTTGTTTATCATCAAGGTTGCCATTGAACAAAAGAGAACCTAGAGTTGGGGGTATTGGAACTGCTGGCAGGTTTCGGGTCGCTACTTCTGGGTCATATTAAGCGTCCAATTAATCGTCGAATCAATCGTCGAATCAAGCGTCAAATCAATCGTCGAATCAATCGTCGAATCAATCGTCGAATCAATCGTCGAATCAATCGTCGAATCAATCGTCGAATCAATCGTCGAATGCGTATCAGGGATCCGGAACGTTCTCACAAGATCTCTGACCCTCTTCAAAAACACGATAAAATCACACTCGCGTACTTCTCTTCCACCTGCAACAACAACTTCGCATCAGCAAACTCTACTACCTCATTCTGTCATACCAACAGCTCTTCGACACGAACAAGACCATGGCTACCCAGTCTACCCCCACCTACAACATCGACATGCGTGCTCAGATCGTCGGTAAGAACAATATCAATCCAGAGATCTTACTCTGACTAACACCACACTAGCCAATGTTCTCATCATGTGCCCCGACTACCGCACCGCCGATGTCCTCACCTCCTTCACCGGCACCCATTGGCGTGCTATCCTCATGTACGTCAAGGATGGCCACAGATTCCACTCCCCCACCAAGGAATGTGCTACACCTGAAGCGGCCATGAGAGAATTGTTGGAGGACACCAGCAAGCACGTCTACCTCGAGCTCAAGCACAACGAGGTCATCGATTGAAAGAGGGAGTTTGGGCCCAAGAGCCGAGGCTAGGCCTTTGGAAAGAGGAGTCTGGATTCTCTAGAAATCAAAAGATCTTTGTTCCTTACACGATTCTCCACGCGTGACTTCTTCAATGTGTCTGATTGAGGTGATGCTCTCAAGTTGCCAATATATCACTTTTGATCCTCATCGAAAGGCATGATGACTTCATGTATGGCGCATTTGTCCAAAGAGAGGATGTAAGAAAATCACTCTCAATGGACATTTACTAATGATCGAAGATAATCTTGCATTCTGATAAGGAGGTTTGAGACATTGCAAAGAAGACGGAGTCTAGCAAAGCACATTCAAGGCACAGTACCTATGCTATGTTCCCGCATGTCTTTATACCGTTATCAAAAGGCAAGAACCGTTCCCTTGCAACATCCATGTCCAAAGAGAGCATGTGCCTAAATCACTCTCATTGAAGATTCACCGATGATCAAAGATTACTTTGCTTTTTCAAGAAGGCAAGATCTTTTTGATATCAACGTAACTACCCAAAGAGAGTGATCAGAGCGGAGACTCTCATTGGACGTCTGCTTAATCATGATAAGTATCTTGCGTTTTGATGTGGGTAAACCACGCCCCATTGGAGGTTGGTGAGGTAGTCGATCTCAGCAACATCCAATCCGAAGTGAATTCTCAACGCCTACTCTCCTGTCTCTGCTACGTCAAACTACACCATCTCTGTTCCCTTTACGCACAACAAACCACAAGATCTTTGCACATCAACAGAATCATGCCTTCAGACAACAACATCCTCGGCCTTCGCGCCCAGATCCTTGGTTAGCATATCCTTCCATCAACACTGCAATCACCTCTAACATGACAAACAGACAACTTTGCCGTCACTATGCCCACCGAACTCAAGCCCAAGATCGTTATGGCTCACAACGACAATGCTTGGTGGGTCATCATCTACGGCAATGATGACAAGCCCATCTGGAAGACCAACAAGGGCACCGATACCCCTGAGCTGGCTTTACGCAAGATGCTGCAGTCTTCGAGCGATCTAGTGTTTGGAAAGTTCAAGAGTGGTGGATTTGCTCTGGAGGGCTAAAAATGGTGACGGATTTGCTTTCAAAAGTTGCCTTCTTCATGGAGGTGGTAGTGAATGACACAAGCTTCCTGTTGCGGAAGTATCGGTTTCTTTGTTATTCCGCTGCTTGGGGTCCGACAAAGACGATAGGATTGTAGTACTCATCAACGGTTGATCCTACATTCCTTTGTTGTGCTAGAAATTCATCTCACCCCATATTTTGTCCCCTTTGTCTGCACAGCATCATGGTATCAACTACCATTTCCGGACCTAATGGCCGATATTGAAAGCTTGAGAAATGACAGCCAGAACAAAGCGATTGGCCATTTGGTTTATTGCACTTCGAGTCTGCCTCACTACTTCAGACATTTTGAAGCAAACAATCCCTCTCCATTCGAACAAATCTCGATCCTGACACATTGCAGGAACAAACAGGCACATCATGGGTTCTGGAGAGACCAACAACATCCTGGGCTTGCGTGCCCAGATAACAGGTACCAAACTTTGTACTCCCGTGATCAAAAGAACATGACACTGACATAGGAACAGCGAATCTCGCGATAGTCGTAAAGAATTTACCCATCAAGATCATTACTCTTCAGGTGGAAGGAGGCTTCCAAGCTATCGTTCTCGACAGTAAAGAAAACAGCGTCGCTATAACCGAGGCTTGCAAAGATCCTACCAAGTACAGGCAAGATGAGACTGCTACAGACGCTCTCGATCGTCTGCTTCAGCTTTCTAGCAAAATGGCTCTTGATAAGCTGCGTGGTGATGGCAATACACTAGTAGTGCCCAAGGAACTTAAATTCGAAGGTTTCTCCTCGAATGCAGGTCTATTCAGCGGCGAACCTTCTGGAGTCAACAACAACGACGCATCGTTTGGATCTATTATCAATGGCGGACCGTTTGAGAGTAGCACTAAGGGAGGACCATCTGATGGCGCTGCTACTGACTCTGGCCACTGTGGGAAGAGAACCATCGGTGGCTGTGGGTGTGGCTGCCACTGTGGTTGCGGCTGCTCCAAGAGACCACCAGGAAAAGACCGCTCTGGAGGGCCGCCTGGGGGCGACAAGCTTACGTGCCCTCCATCGGGCGGATTTGGAGAAGTCGCATGTCAGGATGAAATTTTCCCATCGAGACAAAATCTGGAAGAATATGAGAAGATCTGTTCTGCTATGCTGTCTTTACCTGATAGCGCTGTTGAGAGTGCAGCCGAGAAATACCTCAAGGATCAACTGAAACGGAACAAACAAGAATGCAGAAACATCACATCAGTCACTGGTGGAGATTCGATTGCAGAAACAACCACAAATCCCTTCGAACTTGGACCGAGTGAACGATGGAATCGCAAGGTGGCTGGCGGTTTATTTGGCAATCGCGAAACTCCTACTCCTGAATCTCAAACTACCGGTGGACTTTTGGCAAAAGGAGCAAGCACGTTTCCCAATGCTAAAGGCAACATTTTCGATGACGATGGATCTGGAGATGGTTTCGAAGAACGAGTGAGACGCAGAATGGAAATGCTCGGAAACGATCCAGCCCCTTACAAGAACAGCAATACATCTGGAGGCATGTTTGGGGGTGTTTACAAGCCATCGGCTCCAAGTACACTATTCAAAAGCAGCCAGCCATCCATCGCCGATGATGACATTGAAGAAAATAGCGACTCCAAGCGTGCCAGAATTGTTGCGGAAGCTCTACCCACCGGATTGAACCCCCCACACTGTGATTCGACACTATCCAGTGGTTTTGGATCCTTGGAAAGCATACCGGCAGCCAACTCTCTCCCGTCCTTTTCTGAGTCCTGGAGAACCAGCTCTTTTGGAAGACCTACCGTCAATGCACCGGTCACTCAGCCCAGTCTATTTGGCACTTTCGGAAGCGGGCTATCTGTGAATGTGCCCTCGGTCAATAGGTTCGGGGATTGCACTTCATCAAGGGTGTTAGGAGACGTTCAGACGATTCGTTCTCGTCCATCTGCCACTTTTGGCAGCATGCCATCGTTCTCCAGTGCCGCCGGCTCTAACTACACTGGCTTTGGAGATCTTCCCACACCCAAAGCCTCGACGGACACTAGATCAGAAGAGAAGCCTGTCAATCTCGACAGGACTCGCGAAGTCTTCGGCAACCCTGCCAAGTATTTCAGTGGATTTGGTGGAGGCTTCGGAAGCAGTATTCCCAGCAGCTCGATCAAAGGCAGTACAGTTCACGGTTCACCCTTTGCACAACCTTCTGCATCTGGGTATTTCGGAAGCAGTGCACGACTCGCACAGCTTCCTGCGTCTCGTGTTTTCGGAAGCAGTGCAGGAAACGGACCATTTGATAGATACACTGCAAAACATAATGATACCAAGAGGCTTTCCTCGTCGGATGAAGAATGGGAGGTTGAGTCCGACCTTTGATAATGTAGCCAATATGATCGGTGCCAATCTGCGGAATAACTACAGCGTCGATATGTGTGGTAGTCTTGCTCAATCCTAGGAACAAGGGCCTTTTTTCGTATTTTGTGTTTTCCTGATGTCAATACTTTTGGTGCTTAGAGCCTTGCAGATATGGATTTAAACACATTCTTCCACGACGTTCGTCCATTTTCATTATAAGTTCATATCGGAGCAGCTTATCGAAGACTGCAGAAGACGCTTTGCGAAAGTTGATCAAGGTTGACAGTACTGTACTACAAGCTCCACAGCGAGCGCAAGTACGGAACGGTGAAGAAGCACACATAAGCTGTTGACAGGCTCGAAATTGATAGATGGAGAGATCTAGAGTGACTCGTTGCTCACGAATGCCAGAAAATAGGAAAATCGTCAATTGAAACCACCCGTTTCTATCTTTGGTAACAAGTGAAGCCCAACTCGAGTGAAACAGGGCAAGTCTCGCAACACAAATTCCATGATACAGACTTGGCTCCATCTTCTGTCTTTGCACTTCTCTTATCCGCAAAACACTACCGTACATCAGATCAGGAACATATCGCCCATCATGCTTCTCAAACGCCTCTTCAAGCGCAAGCCAAAGACCACGAAGTTCACCATGACTGAGATACGCAATCAGATTATCGGTAAGTTAACAGACCCACAGTCACGGGGAATTATTGGCACCCAGAATGCTAAAGATCGAGCAGAAAATGTACACCTGATCAGGGGAAATACCGACAATGTCCACTTGGTTACGGCATATAAAAATGGCTCGTGGACAGTCTGCTGTTCTACCAAAGGTGGCTGTAGAGGGTTTACCTCTGGACGCAATGGAGGCAAGAACAACACACCCGAAGCCGCCATGCTTGCCTACTTGAAGTTCACCAGCATCATGGTTGACAAGATGATGCAAGAACGTCTTGAGATTTCCAAGAAGAAGGATACAGTCGTTTACATCGATCTCTAGGTATGCTTCTTCACGACACACTTGTCCGGGTGTTCACTGCCTCTGGAGCAGGTCGAGAAGTCTTTCGAATTTTGGCGTTATTGGGAGATCAGTTACCAGCACCCGGATGAAGTCGTTTGAGATTCAGAGGCTCAGTGCCGATAGGACAACTTTGACTGCGCCCAGACTACAGTCAATCTTCTCAATTCATGTTTCATTATCCAAATGCCTTCAAGCATCGTCAACAGAGTGATTTCAAGATATGTCTCGCTCTCACCTTTATGATGCAACTGTAAAATGTGGCCGGCGAAGAGTGTTTTTCCACAAAGCTGGTGTTCGGAAAGCTGCAGATATCACAACCAAACAGCACAAACGGAAGCTTCTCATCACTCCGGATGCGCAAACAACACGCACAACACTTCGATCAAACCTCCAGATTTCTCCATCAACGCAACAGATAACCAAAGTGTCCAACTCTCCACATCAAACTAAACACATATACTCCTCAAGAACAAGATCATGGCCTGGTTCCGCCTCTCAAGACGCAAACGCAAGCCCAAAACCACAAGTCCTCAGATCCCAACCTACGATATCATCGGCCTGCGTGCCCAAATCTTGGGTAAACTTTCATCACCTGCTCCTTCTTCCTTCTTCCTCTTCCGCCTCCCTCCTAACACCTTTCCGCAGCAAACCTGCGCGTCTGTCAACCTCGCCTCCGCGGCTTCACAATCGGCACAGCCTTCAACAGAACAGCCCAAGTCTGGCACGGCATAATCTGCTGGGATGTGGATGGAAGTGAAGTGTGCAAGACTCCAGAATTCGCCACCATAGGTCTGGCGTTGGAGTTTTTGGTAAAGATTACGGGGATCATGGTTATGAAGAAAGTTGAGGAGGGGGAAGCTAGGGCAGAGGCAAGAGCACTGGCTGTGATCGTTGGAGGAAGCAGTGCTGATATGTAAGATTGGGTGAGGGGATGCTGGGATATTGGGAGGAGTGGTGTGATTTCTGTGGACGGTTGGAGGATGATGGAAGCTTTGCTGTCTTACGATGGCTGGTCAGAGGGAATGATGACTGGATGCGGCTTACTCGCTCCTTCCCATCTGCTCATCTTCAACAAATGCTACTTCCCCTTCAACCAGCCATATTATGATTGTGCATGACTATGACCCCATGTGGCTACAAGCCGCCGTCGGCATTTTCCTCTTTCATTCCATCTGCACAGCTTTCATCTTCACCACGAACCCATTTCAATACAACCGTCCGCTGGATCTCTCACTCATCACTCACCACACTCCTCAAGACGCACATCCGAACATTGCAATACTCCTGCGCAAGACAAGGCTTTTTCCAAAAACCACCTGCTCAGGCCCCGCCGCTTCCCATCCAAATTCCTCGTTACCCGAGCGCTTTATCACTCAAGCCCTCGTCACTCAACCCATCATCCTCCACCACCACAATCCCGTTTCTCCCAAACGAACTCCTAGATCAGCTGTTTTCCAAGACCCCGCGCTCAACCACATGGACATCCTCGCCATCCGCTCAATATGCCGCACCCTGCTACCCGTCCGCAACAAGAGAATACACCCACCGCCGCTTCACATCCTCCGCGGTACAGAGATTATCATTGTTTTGGAACCTCAACAATAATGCCATTCCCCTTGATCATGAGCAGGGAACTATCTGATGAGATGGCGTTGGTTTTGGGAAAGGAGTTGCCTTTATATCAAGCGTTTAGGGGGTTATGGGCGGAGGATATATTGAAAAGATGGGGGAACTTCGATGATTTGGAGGGAGGGAAGTCTTTGCTTTCTGTGGATATATCGTTGCTGTGCGTGGTAGAGATGGGTATTATGCTTAGCAATGCATTCGTCATGTTTACCATTACCTCCTCGTTCATCAATTCGTCCCTCTCGCCCATTTGTCTACTCTCTTCTCCCTGCTTTCCATCAATGTCATATCTCGTGCTCTTCCTCCCACTTGCATCTCATCTCTCATTCCCCATTCAAACCCCCTTCTTGTAATCCTCCTTGAGCACCCACTTGCCCCTCCCTCTACTCCCCTTCTCCAACGTCGCAATAACCTTCAACATCTCTTTAAACTCCGCAGTCCTCTGCGCACTCCCACAGTACCTATTGAAATGATCGATAAGATTCTGGGTATAAACCTTACCCCCATGAGCAAGAAGATAATCCCTGATCAACGTCAAGAATTCTCTTCCTTTTGGTTGTGGATGTGCTGCAGAAGGTGTGGCGGCGCGGGATGTGGAGGTGGAAGCTGTGGGTGTGGATGCAGTGGTGCGAGAAGCAGTAATGCCTTGACGGGCGGAAAGATGGGAAAGCACGCTGGCGCTACTGGGGCCCGCGATCCCTCCTCTTCCACCGCCTCTTCCTCTACCTGCGAGTCCACCTCGTCTAGCGGGAGTTTCGGGACGTCCGGCTGTGCCGAATGTGCCGGTCCAACTGACGCTTCCAGCGGGTAATTGTCTCGCAATCTCTCCTGCCTTCTTAAGCTCTTGTGCTGCAATGGCTGCTACACGTTTTGCTTCTTTGGCGATGATTTCGGGATCGGCGGTGATTTTCTTGGAGGAAGAGTTGCCAGCTATGATGTCGTCGTGGGAGAGAGCAGAAGTGACTCCTGAGCGGGCGAAGATGGCGCCGAGCATGCGTTCATCTCTAGTGGATGTGCCATTTTCTTCACCATCAGCATTGTCGGCTGCGGGTGCGGGTTTCTTTTCTTCGCCTTGGAAGTCCTCAGCGTGGGAGATTCCGATGATGGAAGAGACCTCTTTCTCCTTTGCTGCTTTCTCAGCCACAGCTGTCGCTTCGGCATCTTCTTGTTCTTTGGTTTTGGTTTCTGCATCGCTAGCCTTGGGACCAGAAAGTTGAACCTCTGTGCCTTTGAAGATACTGCCTGTCTCTGTCTGACCATCAGCACTGGCCTCTCCCAGAGTAAACAGATCATGCAAGTCTCGGAGTTGAAAAGTCTGTCTCTGCTTCGGATCTCTCAAAATCTTGTTGGTCAAGAATTGCTTGAAGATCTGGCGATGGTAGATTTTCTCTTCAATGGTGCCGGCAGTCATGAGACGGTAAATCTCGACTTCGCGCTTTTGACCAAGTCTCCATGCTCGTTCACGAGCTTGGACATCGGTAGAGGGGTTCCAGTCAGGGTCGTAGATGATAACGCGATCGGCGCCTGTGAGGTTGACACCTAGACCACCCACCTTTGTAGTGAGAAGGAAAACATGCAAGTCTGGGTTCTTGTTGAACTTGTCGACGAGCGTCTGTCTGTCTTTGATGGAAGTGTTGCCGTCCATGCGAAGATAATTGATACCACCCATTTCTCTGATAAAGCGTTCAAGAATATCGAGCATGATACGGTGTTGAGCGAAGAGCAAAGTCTTGTGTCCGTTCTTCTTCCAGATCTCGAGTAGAGCTTTGACGACTTGCATCTTTCCAGATTTGTTTGGATTGCCGTAGTTGTAATCAGCTCTGATGGACAAGGTCTTGTGCTCTGTAAGATCGGGATGATTGCAGATTTTGCGCAGAATGTCGATACCATAGAGTGCTTGTCTCTTACCGTTCAAGATTGCAGTCATGTCGCCTGAATTAAGGAAATATTCATAGGCATCTCGTTGAGGCTTGGTCAACTTGCAGAACAAAACACGTTCGCTTTTCTTCGGCAAATCAGATGCGACATCGACCTTGAAGCGCTGAAGGAGGTAAGGGCTGATGGTATCTTTGAGTGTCTCTGCACATTTCATCGCCGTCTCGACTTGCAAGTTGGAAGCGTTCGCATAACCACCCTGCTTGATGGGAGTTTCAAACTGTTGCTTGAAGCTGACCAACGTGCCAAGTCTCATAGGGAAGACAAAGTCGAAGAGAGACCATAACTCAGTGAGATTGTTCTGCATAGGCGTACCGGAAAGAATGATTCTGTTGTGCGTGCGGATCTCCTTGCTGTAGATAGTGATTGCTGTGTTTGGGTTTCTGATCTTGTGGCCTTCGTCCAGTACACAATACTCCCACTCCATGGGGATGAGATATTCGGCATAAGTCTGCAAGCCAGAGTAGGTTGTTACCAGAACATGGCCATCTCTTTGAACCTTGTCAACAATACGCTTGGCAGACTTGTTGCCTTTTGATGGCTTGATTGGATTGCCGTCATAATCAAAGTTGTCAAGATCATCCTCAAGCTTGTCTTCACGCTTCACATCAAGCATACCACTGCCGGAGGTGTGAAGGATAGAGACTCTCAATGGAGGCCACCATCGATGGAACTCGTTCACCCACTGCTTCATGACAGTTGCCGGACATACGATGATGATAGGCTTGGTGACTTTCTTCGAGTAGTGTAAACCAGCAATGAAGGAGATGATCTGAATAGTCTTTCCAAGACCCATCTCATCACCAATGATACCACCAACTTGTTGCGAGTAGAGTTCCCACAACCATTGCACACCAGTCTTTTGGTAGTCGAATAGTGATGGGTAGATGTCACCAGGTATGCGATATCCGCCTTCGAACTCAGCATCGGTTTGCGTAGGATGTGGTAGATGCCATTCATCCTCATCTGCTTGGTTTGCAGAGTGCTCTTCGCCATCATCTTGCTCCATGTCGACATTTGTCGCATCGTCTTCAGGATTTGTAGGCTTTTGATGCTTGCGGCGTGCAGCACTTCGTCGTCTGATCCAGCTTTGTAGTCTATCTTGGTATACTTTCTCGTTGCCATCATCAATTCCAGCGAGATCTTCTTGTGCTTCAGCTGCTTGTTGTGCCTTTTTGGTGATCTTCTTTCCGCCTCTCCTGCGCTTGGGAGTTCCTGATGTGCCGAGAGAAAAGTCACCATCGACATCCTCATCTTCGGGCTCTTCCTCGTCGTCAGATTCACCAACAGCGGCAAGCTCCTTGTCGTCCATATCCGGGATGTATTCGTCTTCTTCCTCTTCAGCAGCAGATTCCAGTTCCACGTCCTCGTCCGCACGACCCTTGCCTTTGGTCTTAGATTGCAGCCTTCGTCTCTTGTTGGGTCTCTCTTCTGGAAATTCTTCTTCCTCAGCCTCACTCTTCTCGTCCTCAGCAAAACCAGGCATCCTTAAATTCCGATGTGACCGTTGAGCATCAGCCTGAACTTCTTTCTCGGCTGCATCTTCATCCTCTTCCTCTTCCGCATCAAACATGACCTCAGCAAGACTTGAAGACGTCCTCAACAACTGCCTTCCCATCTTCGAGAATGGCGTAATCTTTCCCGTCCTGATCAGGAAATCCCTCTGGCTCTCACCAGGCAACTTCTGATTTCCCGCCTCCCCCAACAAGGTATCCCCAGCCTTAGCAACCTCATCCTTCCTCTGCTCAATCCTCGCCTGGATCTGATCCAGATCCGTTTGCAAGCCCTCGATCTGCGTCTTGTAATTCGCAATCTCAGCACGGTATCTGTTCTTGGTAGCTTGGTTGCCGAATTCGGTCAACTTTGTCTCCAGCCGATGGACTTGACCGTCGAGGCGGGACTTTTCGGCGAGAGTGCGTTCGAGGCGTTTGGTGTCGCGTTCGTCGGCTTGCTCGAGGAGAAGGGCGTCGGCTTGACGACCGATGTCGCGTTCTAGGTCGTCTTGGTCGCGGATGCCTGCTGCGAGGGAGGCGATACGGGTGGCTTCGTCGGCGTCGTCGTCGTAGGGGCGGGAGGCGGGTGATGATACATCGACAGAGGGCTCGGTGTCTTTGTTTTGGTCTGGCTGTTGTGATTCTGCAACGGCGGGGTCTTGATCGTTGTTGATGTGTGATTCCGTCTGGTCTTGGTTGACTTCTGAGTCGTCCATGTTTGCGCCGGGAGTCGTGCGGAGAGGAGGCAATGAGAGACGATCACTTTGAGGACAGGAACGACAAAAGAAGACCACAAGCTTTCAGAACAGATCAATGTTGGATGTGAAATCAGAAGTGAGTGATTGAGGGTTCCAAAAAGAGAAGGACCAGTGAAGCGTGCCTGCCCTCAAAGTCATCATACGTCATGGAAGCCAGAGTCATGCGACAGATGGTATAGACAGCTCACGAGTCACGCACATGCATCAAATCCACTCTGGTACTCCAGCTAATTATCTCCTTCTTCCGAATCAATCCAAAATGTCGTACAGAAACACATCAGCAAAAGATGCGCCCTTGTACGGAGCGCCCAAGCCGGCAAAGAAACAAAAGTCGTCGCGTGAGATCAACTCCTCAAACACCCTCGCCTTCACTTCGCAGCTGGAATCCTTGATCAACTCTGGTACCAACACATCACCTCGCTCAACCACCACCTCATCACGACCACGCGCAAAGAAGGAAGACATTTTCGCCTCACACAATCGCAATGTCAAGAAGAGAGCTGCTAGGGACCTCGAAGATGACTCTCCCGCCTTTGATCAGAAACACAGCACATCCTCCGAAGCCCTAGATTCCTCAGCATGGCACCGCTCAAAGCGAAAGATGGAAGAAAAGGCTCGCCTCTACGCCGCCATGAAACGAGGCGACGTCGGCGATGAGAACGATACACACCTAGTCGACTTTGATCGCAAATGGGCCGACCAACAGGACAAACAGCTCTCCGATCAGTCCTCTTCAGAAGATGAATCAGACAGCGACAAAGAGATGGTAGAATGGGAGGATGAATTTGGCCGTACACGTACAGGCACTGCCGCTCAACGCGCCCGTGAACAGCGACTTGCTCAACTCGGCTCAGAAGCTGCAATGCGCTCGCGACCGGACATGCCTACAAACCTCATCGTCGGAGATACCGTACAAGCTTCTGCCTTCAACCCAGACGAGCCTGTTGCACAACAAATGGCCGATCTTGCTGCTAAACGCGACAAGTCACTCACACCTCCGCCAGACACTCACTTCGACTCTTCCAAGGAGATTAGACAGAAGGGTGTTGGCTTCATGCAGTTCAGTCACGATGATCAAGAGCGCAAGAGACAGTTTGAGAACCTAGAGATGGAGAGAGCTGAGACGGAAAGAGTGAGAGCTGAACGCGAGAAGAGGCTGAAGGACCGCAAAGACGAGATTGAGAAGAGACGAAATGCCATCAGGCAGAAGCAAGGTAAGAAACAAGCCGACGACTTCTTGACTGGTCTGGGTAAAGAGCTGGGTGCACAACCGGCCAAGGAAGAAGATGCAGCCGTAAAGGAGAACACAGAAGACTCTTGAGTATGTTGCCACGCACGACTTAACGAATCAATGAACATATTACTACAAAGCATAGCCCTCGATTCCAGAACCCAAGCTGTGTCTCGGCGTCCGTCCTGATGACTGTCTGCTTCTCACTGCCCCCTTCCTTTATCTCTCTGTCTGAAAACACGCACGATCGCACACTTTCCCCTTTCCGCATATAAGGTAGGTAGCTTGTACATTCTACAATCATTCACTAACGCCATCGTCGTCTTTGTCGTGCTGTACCGCATCTGCCCCCTTAGTCTCCCCCTTAATGTTCTCGATCTCTTCCTCCCAACTTCCCCGTACGGCGCGGACCTTTCTCACTTGATAAACACCAGCAGGAATCTCAGCTTGATCAATTTCCATCCCGGCGTCTGACTTTCCCATTAACAGCTCCATTTGACGCACTGCAGGATCTTATACTATCGCCCCTCACGCTCTTACACGGGAAGGTAGTGTTTCAGAGCGTGGTTCACTGACGCCATTGTCGTCGTCCGCTTGCCATCGCTCCTGCTCGTTCGAAACACAAGGTAGCACAAGCCGTAAGTCCAGCAGATTAGTGACCCTGCTGGTTTTCCATGCAGAAGATGTAGTGCGAACAATTCTGGCTGCTAACGACTTAATATCCCCTCTATCAATCTATCCTCCCTGGCCACCTCTCAACTCCCATGTATGTCCTAATCTACATCTTGTCGTAATACACCATCTTATCCCATCACCACCTGACGGGTACACGGGAAACCAAGCTCTCGATTATGATTCACTGACGCCGTTGTCTTCGTTCCCTTGCGGTCCTTGCACTGTTCCATGACATCAAATGTTCAAGCCATACAGCTTTAGCAGATCGATGTGGTGGGCTTCGACCTTAGCCTGGGAAGCAGGAGTGGTGGCGATGGAGTGTAACAATCAGACGGTCGAATTGTCTTTTATAGTGCGGCAATCATGCGATTGGGAGAATAAACACAGGTCATGAGATGAGTACATTGTAATCGAGCAGAGACTAATATTGATCTAAAACCAATCATCCTGTTTGAGCAAAGCCACACCACCAATAAAGAAAAAGATAAGATGGGTATAGAGCAGCTTTTGAGTCCCAACTGGGACTGGAGAAACACAAAAAACAGATAGTAGAGTCAAGTGAATCCTCTCTTCGTGATATCTTGACTCTGGTTGAGAGAAGAATGTAAGGCGGATTATTGCAGCGTGGGGTGGCGGTGAGGAGATGTGGAGTCCTCTTTGGTATAGCGGTGAGAGGGTGGATCACTCGCTTGTTGCCCTGCCAGACATGAGTGTGGTGTGGGGTATGCAGTGGCTGACTTTTATTGCGACAGCGATATTGCTGGACTGTATATCTTGCCGGATGATGATAGTCCAAAGGGAGCGAAGATGTCCAAGCGGCTGGTTGGTGTAGTGATGACTTTAGTCGATGTTGAGTGGAGAAGGATAGATGGAAGGCACAGTAACTTCTCAACCCTTGAAGATGGTCTTGCCGAGACGCATACCCTTCTTCATTTTCTTGCCAAGCAGACTGCCAGATCTTCTGATACTGCCAGATCTGCTCAAGCCACCTTGCTCGGGCACAGAGGCTTCGGGCGCGATACCCTCGTCCTCTTGCAACAAGCGCTGCTTTCGCTCAGGGTGAGACATGAGGTAGACATCAAGACGCCAGTTCATCATGCGTGCCTTTTCACCTCTGCCGAGTTCTTCAGCTTCGTCATCGTCGTCTTGCATGATGCGGCTGCTTGTGCTCCTCGAAAGTGAAGTAGTCGAGTTGGTAGCACTGCTCTGACGACGATGTCTCTCAGCAACAAGAGGCATGGGGCTAGTGACAGAAGTTCCGATACTGCCACTACGGGAGCGAGATACACTGCCGCCGAAGAGACGGTGATTGCTGTCGTCAAGAATTCCAGAGTCGGAAGCTGAGTCATCGCACCAAGGGCAGGACTCCAGTCTTGTCTCCCAACCTTCGAGTGCGAGTTTTGAAGGGCAGTTGGCGAGGTTTGTTGTGCTTGTACATGGTTTCACGAGACTATACCAGCGATGAGAGCATGGTTGCGTCGATACGTTGAGGTTGGCCACACACATTGTGGCTAGTGTGTTTGTTGTTGTCGTGATGTGAAGGTGAAGTATTGTGAAATCTGAGATCTGCTTCTAGTTCGATGATAATCCGATAGATTCCAATATAGACCAGAAGAAACCAGGAAAGTCGAGGAATTCAGGCAGGATATTGTTTTGTTCTTATCAAATCTCAAAGCTGAAACGGATGTCCTCGGTTGTTCGTTGTCAGAAATGACATGTGCCAGTGCGATCAACACAAAAAGATAGGCGGGCTTGTATCTCTTCACTCGGGCTGTGTAAAGCTTGGTGTCTTGGTATGGGAAATAGCCTCGGACAGGGAAACGGACGAGGCAGCAACCGAGTAACCCTGGTCTGGACAACCGACGATCGCTTTTGCGGGGAAGGGGATGGACAGTAAGATAGGTCGAAAGGAAGCTGAAGCGATGATCTTTACTGCTATCTCTGAAAACTTGTGTCGTATGTGGAGCCGAGTGTGTTCAAGGTGGAGGAATATCGGTCACGAGATGGGTGACAACGGACGAGAGGCTGACTCCTTGTAATATCTGAGGGAAACGAGATGAGGTCCAAGGTTTCGATAGGACAATCTTGTTGCCTGTGGTCTAGTGAAGACAAATAGGTAGGCAGGTTCAGAGTCACAACAATAGACGCGACTGCCTTGTGTCGAAAGCCGAGTCAAAACAACAGAAATAAACTGTTACCAAGACACGTGGATATAACTTGGAAGGCGCGTGTTTTGAAAGATAGCGAGATGGTCAAACCGGTAATGTTTGGGCGAAGGGAGACGCTGCTTATTATATCTTTTTGACAGCATCGCATCCCTTCACTCTATTCTCCATCTCTGACACACCTCTTTCCTTTCCCATCCACCCCTTGATCGATGCTTCTCTTCCCACAGCCCAAACTCTTTGTCTGCATGATTTTCTTGCTTGTTCCGCCTCTTCCCCAGAGTAAGCTAAAAACGACAGGGATCATCGGCCCGCTTTTTAGTACACGCAGCAGGCTGCAAAGAAAAGTGGAAAGGATGGCTTGGGAGGCTGAAGTTTTGAGAGATGGTACGGGAACTTTACGCGGCAGTCACGTTGTTTGCTTTGCTCTTTTCGCACTTTCCATTGTCATCTGATGGAGTTTGTTGTGCTGTTCTCTTCTCATCCCTGCAGCCAGAGAATGGAGAGTATTTCGAAGAAGGTCGACGCGACTCTCACATGTGTCCATCTGCTGACTGTACGAGCATTGCGACAAGAGATTAAGTCATCTTCATCACAAAACGACGTATTATGTGATACAATACACATCAGCTATGATGAAACCTCGACACGTCAAATGTATATGCGCGTACTTCCACCTAATCCACGTTTTCAGATTTGTCCACCTGTCGCCAGCCTAGAGCAAACCTTCCATCGTCCGGTGCAGGCAGCGATCACTGCAAAAGAAGCCACACGAAACAGTCCGTGAACGTCTTCCGGCCGCCCGCGCCGCACTTGGGCACCTAGTATCCCGGTGCCTTGGTTAGATGACCGCCTGCCGGTGCGACAGGAACATGCAAGCCACAATATCGCCTATCGAACTTCCGCATCTTTTCGTACACCGCGAATTCCACATCAAGGTATGCATGTGTCAACGGACGAACGACGGTCAAGTCAAGATTTTCCAAGCTTTGCAACCACGTGTGGTGGTCTCAGGTCAACTTCTTGCATGACAGCGGTGAGCTGGCGGCTCATAGCATGGATGGACAAGGACCAAGACAAGCCAGGGGTTGATTTCGAATCTGCGACCAATAGATCTTACCCGACCATTTTGGCGGAATGAGGTCTGATTAGGGTACTCCGGAACGCGAACCTATCTTCCTCTACCGCAGATTACCACCACACCTCACGCCTTTCACCTTCTGTCTTCTCTATTCAGACTAGAGAATGGTTAGGCGACCTGCAGAAAAAGACATGTCCCGTCAACCCGTCACAAACGGACACGCATACACGCTTATCTTCTTACTTCTCTACCCCAATCATCATCACACGGTGAGTAGTAGGCACACGTATCTGAGATCATCAAGCAGGACGCCAGGGGTTCGGTCGGCGGGTAATCTCCTTCAAGCGCAACATTCCAAGACACATCATCTCTGCAAGGGAAAGCCGATGAGAGGGCTAGCCCTGATAACGGTGATCCTGTCGAATGAGCATCAACACGTTGTTAGCCGCGCATGTCAGCAGAGTGTGGCAGGTCGCGTCGTACAAAAAGAGCTTCTTGTTTCAGGGCCGCAAACAGAGAAGGCCAACCATCAAAGAAGCGAACTCACACCAACACGCCACGGGTACGCCTCTCCGAAGCCACGCAAAAGCCTTTCCGAAGCTACAGTAACCAGACTGGCAGTCCAATCTAATACCAATCTGCTTCACCGTGCTCGCAAACTTGTTGTCTGTGTTATTGTCCGATACTTTCTTGCTGCCCAACTCCAATATTCAGCAACACCACTTTCTCGCGTTTCCATGGCATTGTAAGACTACCATTTGTATCTCAATATCGCACAGCCATTGCTGCCTACTTCAAATCGGTCCGAGCATGTGTCAAATAGGTAAGAATAACCATGATCGAAAACTTCAAACAAGACCGACCGGGTGTCCGCGGGTCATGCCAAGAAAATGGTATGATGAGCATTTTGCTTGGCCTAACACGTGTACGAGGATGGCGAGAAATGCTTGTTATGTTTTCACTGCCATCGAGAATGGAGACTTGAGTTCGTGGTACTTCGTCATTCGAGCCGTGTGTCTGTTGTGAGACTCGTAATAAGGGGGCTGAATGGCTGGAGGGCAGTCGATGCGACGACAAGGTTGTGTTTCTATTTTTGGTAGCTGTGGTCGATGGGGTGACCCTGGGTGCTGTATCAATTGTTTCGGCAGGAAGGTCGACTTGGTTTGCTGCTCGATGCTTGAATGACCAGAATGATTATTTGTTTGGCTCCGAAGTGAGACTGTCACTATCCCGGTACACCGCGGTGACTTCAATTCTCGTTCTGTGAGAAGCAAAGTTGAGCTTGTGTTTAGTGCTTGCTTATATTTTATGCTCGTCAAAGACCTTATGTTTTGTCCTCGAAATTGATATCGCAAGCAACCAGCCTACCTCAATCAAAAACCTCTCGATCGTCTGGTATCGAAGTGCTTCTCCCGAAGCAATCGGAAAGAGTCGTCAAGTTCGACACTGCTTCAATCAATTGGAACCATGCTTTTAAAGCACCTCGTTCGTGGTATGTGAAATTCACATACTTTCAAACCACCGCCACTACCAAAGCTATGAAAGATGCTCATCTTGATCGGTAGAATACAACATCTCCACCAACGATCATACCTATGCAGGTTCACGCCTGTGTTTTTTCAGATCCAAGCCCTTCTTCATGACTGCTCTGCTAAAGTAGGGAGGATATTGTCCATTAGTAGAGAGATCACGTTGCAGGCGATAGGAGCGTTTGAGTAGCTCGAAAACGGAAAGTACGACTCCGTTGGCACATTTAGCCGTTCTTAGAGTGTCTTCGATGAACGAAACATCCCGATGACCCCAGGTACAAGATTCGAAAAAGTAGAAAAGCAGATTGAGCGATTTCAGATGTGGTGTGTAAAGATGAAAATCTGAGAGGTAGTCTGAGATCAAGCTGGTGATTTCTTCGTCCGAATGTATCGGATGATTTTTCTTCTCGTACCAATAGTTGTCGAGCGTCCATTCTTCGCCGTGTGGTGAGTTGAAGTCGAAATGGTTCAGCCATAGCAGAGCTCCATCATCATTCAGCCACAGCTCCCGAAGCGATCTAGGAAGTGATTCGTGGAGTCGCGATGTCGTGTTTGCTTTGTCCGCAAGGAGCTGCAAAGGGACATGTAAAGTGTGCAGACTAGGAAAATCCTGGAAAGATATGCTGCGAAGGCACTGATTCCACGGTGCTCGCGGAGGCACGATGTGTAAATGTAGAACTTGCAGTGTATTTCTGACAACGCGAAGGGCTCGCTCAAGGACATCGACATCGACGAGCTTCTGAGATGAAGCATTTGGACTCTCGCAATCGGGCTCTGGCATAGGATCATCCCAGTCTTCCTCTGGCGATCTGGTCCAGTAATCATACTTCAAGGATTGCAGCCCTGGGCAGGCGAGGAGCAAGTGATACAAACCATGCTCATTGAGGTGCGTATATGCTAGGGTCAAAGAAGAGAGTCTCCGTCCTATTGGTTGTTGATCAAGGATTGAATGCAGATAGTCGTTGGTAATGCTATGTATGTTCAACAACACGTGGTGTACTGCCGGAAGAAGCATGGATAGAAGTTGAGGAGCATATGATGCGTAGTTGAACGGCGCCCTACCTCTACCCATCCAGACCTTGTCTTCGATCGCACCTATCGAGGCGGTATGTAGATTTGGTAACAGCTTTGACAGTTGTGAAGCAGAGTAGAGCCCTAGAGCATTCTGAAGATCCGGCCCAAGATCTAGTTGCGTCAAGTTCGGGACAAAGGCAAGAACGAGAGCTGTAAAAGCAATAGGATCTCCGGCATCAAGTCTCTCGAGCCATTCGACAGGTGATATGAAACCTCTTGAGTCAAGCACAAGCCGGAGATGAGATTTGTCGTGCAGGGAGAGACACGTCTGCTCAGGACTCGTCCAGACGGATCTTGGCACCGACCCAGCGACACGTAGACGCAGAATCAGACGCGCCAACCAAGGGGAAGATAGCAAGGTTCGAGCCAAGAGATACAGCGATGGAAATGATCGGTCATGGCCAAAAGGCTGGACAATGCAAGTGACACTAGTGTGGTGACTGTGTCTTCGCTGTATCCGAAGTCCGGAGATAGGAGCACGTAGGTGAGCCTTATAGTCGCAAAAGCCCATGTCCTCACAAGGGCAAGGATCGAGAAGAAGGCTATCGAGACCACGGTCACACATAGCTATGGGACGGCGCCAGGTCAGGTCGATAGACTCATACATGAGTGGCGTGACGTGAGCGTGCCATATCTTGGAGACTAAGGCGCAAGACGCAAGCTGATTGAGATGGAGCAGCGAGAAGATGTGGCGGAAGAGCTCTGCAGGAAGGATTGTGGAGGTCATGGCGGCGATCTGACTGGGAGAGTTTGCGCGAGAGAGAGGGAGGGATCATCCTTCGAGGAGACTTCTGTTTAGCAGACTGGACGCTATATGACTTTTTCATACATGGCTTTGTTCCTCTCGCGAGGGAAGGAGCGCGAGTCAGCTCAATCATAGCCTTGCAGGTGGCCTTAATGTTGAGACAGGTCCTTCTGGTAAACGACATGCAGATTACCAGTCAGACCATCGAATGCGGCCATCTTGATCAAGATCAAGTTTCTGTTGTCGAATAGCTCGACGTGCCTAAGAAGCGACTTTGCTGTGCCTACTCAGAGTACTGCTACACCAAAGACGATGACTCACTCTGAAACGATGATCTGTGCCCATTACTCGTACAAATTTTACTTCAACCAGGCTGCATCACCTCAACCTCCACAATCACACGACATCCAATCCTTCCCCTGAAGATCTAAAAAACTACAGTGACGCAAAAACTGGAGAATCTCTACCGCCCCTGACGATCGTGTGGAGTTGAGTTGAAGATCGACATGGCCGAGCGGAGTGGAGATATAACGCGCGTAAGGTACGAGAGTCTAGAATTTGTTCGTCACGACAGACCTATCGTAGTCTCGTAGTCGTACGTACGAGAGAAGAGCAACGAGTAGCGAAAATGGGCAGAAAGTGCTGATGAAGAGCTCCCTGGTTTGTGCGGTGAGCATAGAATTGATTACGAGAAGAGTCCTCGAGCCGGGTATCACTCTGTGATATCCAGAACATGATCCGCATAGAGATGTTCCGACTTTGATCAAGCGCCGACCAAACTCTTGAGCCCGCTCAAGATACCGCCGCTCGCAGGTTCTGGTAAGAAACGTCTTGTGCCTTCTCAGGTTCTGGAACCAGATCTTCAAGCTTGACACTCAAGCTATTCTCAGCCCGAGTTTTGGACCGCTTGACATCCTTGACATATGTCTCCATTGCCTCTTTCTCCAAGTGATCCAACTCAGCTCTCTTGGCCGCCAGTTCCTTAACCTTCGCCAGCAACTTATCCTCATACTTGACTCTCCTCCTTTTCAGTCCCGCGAGCAGTCGCTCTAGCTTGACTTGCGTGGTCTCGAATTGTTCGGCGGCCTTTGAATCCCCTACTAGCTTCGCGAGTGAGCGTGCGTCGTTGACCCATACATACAGATAGCCGATATTGACTTGTCTCCGGTGTACGGTATAGTGACGTAACCACACAAGAGAATTGTATAGATATTTGACGGGCTTGTCGAGATACTTGTTGAGTGCCTGAGAGTCAAACTCTACGTGTTCCCTGAAGATGTTGACGTACTGCGGCAATTCCAAATTTTCGGGATATTCCACCTCCCGCAGTGAATCTGACCCTTCCAAAGTGTGCGAGTGTTCACGTTTCAGATAGCCAAAGCAAACCGTTTCCAGCGAGGCTTGTAGATAGGTGAGCAACTTGTACTGAACGCGATATGGCAGGTAGAGATCATAAGTCTCGGGAACTGGCATCGTTGCATACTGACTGATCTCTTCTGGGACCTTATTCTTCACCATATATTTCGCACGGGGTCCGTCCCTTGCTTTAGGATTCGGTCTGTCGGCCTTCCTCAGGCTTTCTTCAGCCTCACGGAGGAGGCTCTTTCGTTCCTTCTGCTGTTCTGAGCAAGTCTCCTGAGGATCGTCGGCTACCTCAGCGCTTTCAGACTTTGGGATGGTGGCTTCGTGCTCATCAAGATCAATCATCCCAAGTTCATCAATCTGCGTCGACCCTTTTTTGATCCGCAATCTTCTCTGGCTTTGAGTCGGTGTCAGGTTTTGATTGGGTATCAGGGCTTGATTCGGTAGCAGACTTCATATCGGTCTCAGGTGACTTGTATCGCATCTTGATAGGTCCCACAGGCTTGTACCTCCATGTAGCCAGCGAGCTAAAATTATTCTGAGAACTTAATTGAAGAGCATCTGGTGCATCTGGTGCATCTTCACTGACCTCCTTCGATTCTGAGATATATGTCCAGAGATCAGTAGGTGATACAGCGTCCTCCAAAGTGACAGAAGCTTGGAATTTCTTGTTTGCATTGGCGTGCTTGTTCTCAACAGGCTCGAGTATATGCAGGAAGCTAGGAGTGTCCTCAAGCTCAAGACCATCAAGTCGCAAGCCACTCAGATTCAGCTCCTGCCCCAGACCTGATCCCAAGCCAAGCTCCTGCAAGGCTGGAAGTCTTGTGGGCTCACTTGTTGAGGGCTTGGAGATTGATGGGTCCTTCTGCTCATCCATGCGGTTTTCCAGTGTGGGGGACGTCGGCAAGGCTGGGATCCCTGTGCTTGAAACTGCCATGCTGATGCACTCATTCATGTCGTCATCTAACGCCATGAACGTCTGCTGTGCCTCAAACATTCTCAGTCGATTTGGTCCTGGGACGAGATTCCGGTTCTTCGATGGTTCAACCTCATTCATGTTAGGGAGTCTAACAATACTCCATGGAAGGGTGGCTGGCGGTGCGATCTCTTCTACCAGATGATTGTTCTTCTCAATCTCCTCATTGTCGACCTCAATAGCAGTTGAGTGCTCATTATGATGGGCACTTAGCGATGGAGGAAGATTGTCCTTGCTCTCATCAGATGGCTTGAAGCTGATCAGTCCTCGAAGTTTCGATAACGCGTGCTTCGATGACTCCAGATGATCGTTGAGCAGTAGATTTAGGTCGTGTTCGGAACCTTCGCGGATCGCCTCTGTCGTGGTTACTCTTTCCCCAGAGATTTTTGAGGCTGCAACAATCGCTTGCTCACGACTGGGATGGAGGTCATAGTCCACGAGAAAGAGTCCAGCCCTGATCATTTGCCGTAGATTGGCGCAGATGCGTCCAAAACCATACTGTTCTTTCAATTCTCTTACTTCTTGACTGGCCGCCATCAAATTCTCAAGCCTTTCGACGAAAGCCTGCTTCGTTTCGTTCCTCGGGGTGCCTCAAAAATTCTGTTTTACAGCGTGATACATCCCATCATAGGTACTCTTAGTCCACGGATCGGTATAAGTTGTGGTGTCAATTGCTCGTCTAACAAGCGGTGCTTCAGCTCTAGCCGCTCCAGTAGCATCCAAATATGTCAAATTCTTCTTTTCGTCGACTTCGAAGAGACCTTTGCGAGCCAACAGCGCGGCATTTCTGAAGATAGAGATCTTCGGATATAGACTCTCCAAGGCGTCGAGATCTGGATTTCCTTGAACTTTCTTTAATTTTTCCTGAATCTCTTGTTGCGACGCGTCTTTGCGCGTGCCTTGGAAAACATCTTTGAGTAGAAGGTAAATTTTCTCTTTAATTTTGTACTTGTTGGTCCTATACTGAAGCTCAGCTGCAAGCCTCGAGCGGACGGACATGGATCCTGGAAATCGAGCTGGTGATGGCTAGGCGAGGAGTGGAGAGGGCTGGATGTGGCGAAAAGATGTTGTTAGAAGCTGATGCGGCACGTAACTGTAGATTTGTCTTGTCGCGCGAGAATTAGCCGACAAGCAGGTGCAACGCAGACCGGTCAAAGGCTCAGAATGGATTATACAATGGACAACGAGGAGCGGGAAGAGTGGAAGCGTAAAAAGTTGGACATTCATTATTATCGGAAAGTGGGTAGAAGTCACACCCGCTTGCTCATTTTGAGGAAACCACGACCCACGACTCCGGCGCAAAAAAATCATCATAATGAGTGTCAGAGATCAGTATATAGACAGTGTGAAAAGACATGCACAGATAAACACAAAAGCCAGACGTTGCTTCTTCAAAAACTCCCACCCAATGCAAATGACCGAGACATAACACCAAGAAACCTCCAAGATAATTTTGATAGCAACCATGCTGTTCGATCAAAAGGCGCCGAATCCGCCCACGAACATTGAGAATGTGGCAATAGTAATGAAAACCATTCCAAACACAAAGCCCAGAGTTTGCTTCTCAAGCGAGCTACTCCTAATGGCAGCACTCTTGCAAGTGACGCAGGTGGGCACAGCATTTGAGTTGTTCGAGTAGGCTTGCTTGGTGTACATGCCGAATTTGTGGCCGCTGTAGACTGGAAGACCACCATAAACAGCAGTAGCACTAATTGCAGGTAGAGCGGCGTCCATGATGATTAGAGTGTAGGTTTCGGTGAGCAGAGGTACGGTAGCAGAAGCCTGGTAGTCGCCGGTATCCCAAGTGACTGCACCAGTGGAGCCGTTCATGGTCATGTTCGCAGTCAGAGTGTACAAGTTCTGGTTGGCAGTGCATGTGGCGAAGACATCAACTGCGGTGGGAGTGACGGACAAGGAAGTCATGTTCCAGGCAAAAGTCACAAACTCGCCGACCTTGTAGTACGAAGATGATGAATAGACGTTGGGGGTGATCATGGCGATGCCACCATATCCTGCAGAAACACCGTATGTCTTTGACTTTGAGGATTTGTTTGTGCTTGTAGCCTTGTCACTTCCGCTGCTCTTGCCAGTCGACTTTCCAGTAGTCGAAGCATCGGAGGAGTCGCCAGTGGAAGATGCGCCCGAAGAAGCGGCAGCGCTCTTGTCGGAGCCAGTTGTGGAAGCGGCGCTCTTGTCTGACGAAGCATCCTTGTCGGAGGACTTTGCTGTGGACTTGGCCGAGGATTCGGCCGTCGACTTTGCGGATGAAGCGTCGGCGGTTGAGGATGCGGCTGCGGTGGATTCTGCTGCTGTGGCTCATGTCAACCTGTGTCCTATGTACATGACAATGTGCAGGATCAGCGTACCAGAGTTGTCCTGTCGCGGGAAGACAAAGTCGTTTATTTCGCGAATGGCCTTAAGGTGAAAAGACTCGGACCATGGTGCGGATGCTGAGCTGAGTGCTGAGAAGAGAGCGATCGAGGATAGAAGCTGTGCCGGGCGCATCTTGAATGTCTAGACGGAGAGTATCGTGTGAAGTGTGAACAAGGGGTTCGTTGTTGTCGGGTTTCGAAGCCTCAGTGGCGGATGTGGATGATTCGATGGCTCGGGTTCAGGTTGTGATGCTATAGCGAGTGACTAGACGTGAATAGCGATGATACACGTTGTGATGAATGTGAATGCTCGGAAGAATGGCTAGTTACAAGGAGCAGGAAGAAAAAGAGGTACCTTCGTGAATACCAACCAGGTCCGCGCCCGCCCACTGTTTGAAGATGCGGGAGCGCTGACTCTTGGCATCCGCCCCTGCCATTTCTATTTTGAGATTCCGAAATCTCGTGTTTACTCCGTGTTTACCTCACCATTTCCTATCGTCCATCTTCCAACAATACAAGATTGATGCCCAAAGGTTATGAGGATATCAGGACCCGCAAAGATCTCAAGAAAAGGGCACAGCTGAATCTCTACAAGCATCTGAAAGAAATCGCAAGTGAGATCCTCAAATTGTTTCAACAGGCATTGAGTCGCAGCCGCAACTTGGACTACGATGAAATCCAATCAATATCAACCACTGCTTTCCACTATCGTTCCTCCCCTCCCTGACGTGTCTCGCAATTCCGCGTCGAGCGACAGGAACTCCTCGTTGAGGACATCCGCCTCTTGGCCCCTCAAAGTGTTGTCGAGATCGATCAATATCGCAGTGCTGTCCCGAACGAGTATGTTGTGTTTGTTGACATCGCCGTGCTTGATACCCAATCTGTGCAACCTACGCAGTGTCTCTTGACAAAGCGGTAGATCTTCTGGTTCTGCATGGCGCGCATTCACAATGTGCTCCATAACAAAGCCAATGATACGGCCCTCCTTGGTCAGGTGCGCGAGGAAGGCAGGTGCGATTTCATGGCCTTGAATCCATTGATATGCTTGTGTTTCGTAGTCGAGTTGCCAAATCTCCCACGGGAACCGGGCCAGTTTGACCACCACTTTGCCCTCAAACTTGGAGCAAGTAGCTTCGTGGACATTTGATCTCAACTTGTCTCCTAGTTGACAGTCGAGAGACTCCACGCGAGCTGGGTGCCAAGGCTGTGCTATGCTGGGTAGTGGATCGTTGGTGACGCGAGAGAAGTGCGGTTTGCCACTCGATGGATGATGGGTTATGTGCGCGGAATTCTAGTCTTCCATTGGGAGTTCTGGAAGTGGTGGCAGGGCGGGTATCAAACACGGCTCAAAGCACATTGTATCGATGTCGTAAACACCGGGGTCCACGGTGATGTACTTGATGTGCCTCGAATCGATCAATATGCGGAGGTCGCTGATGGTCTCATCATCGACACTGGCGTCTAGCAGTCGAATGTCTGGCATGATGTAGCCGGCGGTGGGTCCAGGCGATGGGCCGCTAATCGAGGTAGAGATTCAGGACAAGGTGGGCAAATGTTCGACTTTTGACGCTGTTCGTTTGTTGTGATCGCCACAAACGCCGACGGCGCTTAATGGCGTTATTGGGTTGGAGTATTGTCAGCCAATCGACAATAACTTCTGACAGCAATATATACGCGTGCCGCCACGAGCGCCTGCAGAAGATGTCGAACCAACATCAACCAGCCGAAAGATCGGGAAATGCACAGCGGTTAAGCCTGTGTCGTTGATGGCAGCTTTGGCCCAGCTGAGATAAATATCACAAGATCGCTGATCAATCCCTGCGAGATTGTGCAGAGCAGTCCTTCGCGACAAGAGAGGAATCGACCTGTCAAGCATATATCGAAGACCAGTGTCACAAAGTTGTGCTTCAGCACCACCTTACATCGTCACTTGAACCATTTGCCGTGAGTTTACTGGATCCTTTTGCATCAATCAGCTAACGACCCAAGGCCGCTATGTGCGTCGAGAAAATTCGCTACTTTTCTTGCGGATGCAAGAAATCCCAAGGTTTCAATCAATGCATTGCTCGTCAAGGAACCACCTTCAAATGTGCTCCGATGGTCAAAGAACGCCTTCCAGATTCGTCTCACATGTGCATCGCACACATGGTCAAGCCAGGAAAAGATGAGATGCGCCGCCCTTGAGAGTAGATTTCGGTTGTCGCGAATGTGGCACTGCGGCAAGAGTTTGAGGTGGCAGGTGTAAATACTATGTTCCAGTCGTGTAGTCATTGGTTTTGGTGCTTTCCTCCTGTTATGGAACCACACTCTTTTATATGTAGAACGAAGGTTTTTGACGAGTATCTTCGTCTGAAGTGTTGAGATCGTTGGCCAGTTGAGTCTCTGCAACCAGAACAATAAACTCCGCTCTCCGTCTTCCCAGTCTGATGATCTAGGACCGGTGCCTCGACAATAGCCATGAACCGTAACTTGTTGCCAGATTTACCGTCGAAAGCCTTGCTTGCGACTCTGCCAACTCTTTTCATCACTTCAAGGTCGCCACACTGTTGCACACTCTCCCGATCCCAGAGGCACAGCTGACGACTTTCTTGTTTCTCGTTGGGTGAGTATATTCCCGAGATACTTCTCATGTGAGGTAATATGTCCAGTATCCTCGAAAAAGCCCTGGACTTCCGCCCCGTAAAAGTGTACGGGAGATACTTGTCGTCCTGTGAGAGGCAGAGGAAACAAACTCGCTTGCATGTGATGAGATATACGTATCCTGCAAAATCTCCACAACTTTCGCACTCGGACGTGCAGATGATTTTGAAGAGCTTTTCACAGGTAATCCACTTTGCTGAGTGGATCATCAGAGCACCGTGAAGCGCAGGATGTGCGTGCTTGATGATGCACTTGAACGGGGGAAAAGTGTCCACTGTCATCAAGCTTTGCCGATTGACCATTCTGAGGGTGGAGATGGAGCACAGGTCCAGCGAAGCCATGACAGAGTAGAGAAGCTCAAGGGGAAGCAAGTTGAGTGAGCCAAGGTCTACCTCGGGTTCATTCACGTCGAACGCGTGCCCGAAGAGACGCGCCGGAGGCAGATTCTCATCTAGTGTATTGTCTTTCAAATTCAGGCGTGGATACGTGAGTGTTTCTGGAGTGTCCATGGCGTCAGCGAAGTAGGAGCACAGGTAAGTGCGAACGACGGAGCTGTGAGTTTCCTAGAAGGTTGACACAAACAGAGGTGTCGGCGTTCAGAAGCCCCGCAGACGGCCTGGCTTGCATGAAAGACTGCGACGACCCCTGGTTCCTTGAACGTCAACCCGCATGACTGCAGGCAAGAACCTTCCACCACGTGTTTCAACCTCTTCCGTCTTTACCGTTCAGCCGTGACTCTTGCACATCAATTCTATTGCAAACCAGTCCTTGCGAGCATTCCAGAGTTCGAAATTCGAGATCCAAGACCTGAAACGCGGCAAAGAACTGTGCGAAACGCGGAGCAGTGAAAAGCTTGACCACATCCACAGGGCTTCGTACGCCCACAACAACGCAAGTGGCATTGCTTGTATCAAGCCATCCCTTTGCACTAACAACTCAGATATATTGTTTGAAGTCGATCTTTTGCCTGACAGACCCTACAACCAGGGATCATGGTTTGGATTCAAGGCACTACCGTTTCCGATGACAGGTAAAAGCTGGACCTTGTGGAACTATATGTGGTAAGGATTTGGCTCAACCGACATGCATGATGGACAGGCCCAACTGTTGCAGCTACAGTGTAGGTGACGACAGCATTGCAAGGTAGGACGTTTGGTGTCTTTTGATGCCTATAAGAACCTTAGGACATCTTCTCCTTGTCTTCTGTTCCAACTACCTCTTCTGTCTATCCCGAGCTTACACATCTACACCTGAGTCTTTGACCATCAAGAAGACAAGATGTACACATCCATCGCCCTTTTCGCCGCCTCAGCCGGCCTCGCCACAGCAGCCACATCCTACAAAGCCTCCTTCACCCAATACGGCTCAACAGACACCTGGGGCTCCGGAAACTGCAACGTCGCAACCACAGCCTGCGGTTTCTACACCTCTGTACGCCTTCTTCTCCTTCTTTTCCTTCTCTCCCCCTTTCCAATCAGTTTCTCCATGCTAACATATCTCACAGCCCGGTTACTCAGCCGCAGTATCCCAGAACGAATTCGGCGTAGGCACCGGCGCCGGCGCCGGCCCAGCATGCGGAACCTGCTGGAAGTTAACCGCATCCACCGACTCCTCTGGCAACAGCTTATCCTTCGGCGCTCCTATCGTAGTGCAAGTTACCAATCTCTGTCCTGCGGAGAGCAACCCTCTATGCGCTCAGAATGGATTGACTGGAACAAACCAATACGGCGCCAATTTGAACTTTGACTTGTGTATCGATAGCGGGGCTAGTGCGGCACTGTTTGGTAGCACTGGTGTTGGGTTGGCGGTGGGAAGTGCTGAGCAGGTTGACTGTTCGAGTTGGAGTGGAAAAGTTGTTTCGTAGAGATAGCTCGTGAGATCAGACTTGCTGGCCAAGTGGCGATACAAGAATGCTACATCTTCTTTTTTTTTTTTTTTGCAATGACTGCATTGTGCTGTAGAGGTATCATTGCCCTTGATCTCTCTTTGGCCATATTTTCCAGGCTCAAGAGCATTTTTGTATTTTGACTGCGATGATTTTTGTCCATTCTGTTCTTCGAGAGCGTGGTCTTTTGCAGCCCAGATAGTCCCGGGCATTCCAACATCAGAGATTATATACTTACCACTGTTGTCGTATGTTTAATCTCGTGCCTACGCGCATGAGAGACCTTTCTACTCGACCGGATAGACCAACAAGGAGTAACTTGACGCTGTAAATTGACCAAATACTCGAGTTCAGCGTGTGGTTTGAGGTGGGTGCGACGTGCCTCTCAGAACCTGGTGAGCCAAAAGTACGGCATCCCTCTCTTCGACAGAGGGCGTGCGTTATCAGCGTGGTCGGCCATGAGAAAGAAAAGCGGTTGTGTGAACTGGCGAGAGTAGATCTACAGTAGACTTCAGATTCATTACACAATAATCCACATGCCGACTGCCAAAATTGTGTCTCTGACAGCAGTATATTTTCATTCATCATTACATCATCAATCATATCTCTAACTCTAGTCCGCCGACAACAAGCCCGCCTGTCTTCTAGAACTACCCTCCGGATATTGCTGCTGTGCTTGTGACCGACTAGCAGTAGTACTAAGTCCCGATTCTTCAGTCTTCCAACCACCCTCATCTCTATCCTCTTGTTTCTGCGGCCATAGAATATCCTTGAGGATGACTGCGCGGATCATCATGCCAAAGACGAAGAACCAGCCTGCGACTAGAAGACAAGTGAAGACGCAGCCGAGAATGCGGATAGGGCGGCAGTGGTCTAGAGCGCGTGCGACGGCGAAAGTGGCAGTCTGAGAAAACGTCAGTAACAAATACAGACAGTGCAGTGAAGAGGGGTAGAACTTACAGTCAGCCCAGTATTAGGGAAGATAAAACTATACCACGTCAAAGCAAATTGCAACCTTCCATGCCTGACACAACTCCAATGCGCGCCGCAAGATACGATAAAGAAGAAGATGGCGAGACCCCATAGCCATATACCCATCCAATTTGCCATCACGAGAGAAATGGTTCCAGCCATTTGTCCCACACCCATGAAGTTTTCTGGTATACAGCCAGGCAAATTTTGACCCATGGTGATGACACCGGCGATGGTGAAACCAGAGGGACCGACAGAGATGAACATACCAGGACGGAGAGACTCTTTGGGTAGTTTTTGCGTCATCAAGCGATAAAGGAAGGCAGCATAGACCATGAGGGACATCATGAAGCCTATGCCTTGGAGACAGAAGCCTCCAACGATGATGGGTAAAGCCGTTTCTGGGGCTACTCTTGACGAAAGCTTGCCAGCATGGGGACCTATGATCAGGAGAGGGTAGGCTGGGAAGATCCATACTGGGGTCATCTGAGAGATTGTGTAGGTTTGGGTCGACCACATGACCAGGTAGATGCCGCAGGTAAAGGCGAGGGCGAGACCACAGTATATCCAGAACAAGATGACCATCGTTTGCTCCAGCCAGTATCCGGACTTTTCATTGCCAACAGCGAACTCGGTGATGTTGGTGAGGATGGTTCCTAACGATACGACAGAGGCAGGCACGAAGAGGGACTCGGTGGGATGGGTGAGCGAAGCCTTGAAGGTGGAAGGGTACCAGTAAAAGCGAAGGGAGATCATCGTGACATTGAAGGTAAAGAGAATGAGGTTGGTGATGAAGAAGATGCTACCGATAGCATATTGGCCATGAAATTCATAAGGCACTGTACGAAATTGATCAGTCTATGCTATAACGACGGCATTGGACATGTGCAACATACCAGTCAAGATGACATTCGCTAATTGACCGGTCGCCATCGTCATGGTAAACCAGGTCCAGACAAAATGTCTAACACGCTCCTTCAGCGTCAAGAGTATTTTATTGCCATTTAAATCGGCTTCGCTGGTTTGTGCTGAGTCGTCCAAGGATCTGTGTCGTTCCGGACTTCCTGGCAGCGGCGTGCCTGTTGCGTACGGTCTTTGCCATGGTAGATGCATCTTCGACTGTCCGGTCGACCACATATCCCCGCGCTCGACATCATCGTCATCTCTGTTCTGCATAATGGGCAATGGCGTCTTGCTCATTTGTGTCATTGCACGTCATCCATAATATTCTCGAGAATTGTCGTCATAAAAGAGGCCAGGTTTGTCGTGTAAGTCAGAAAGGATGAGAGTAAAGGAAGCAAGCAGGTCGTGTGCTGCTAAGTAGAATTTGGAAATGTGGCACCGCTCCTTTCTCCCATATTAGACCCGCGGCGGGACCCATGGGCAAATCCTTGGTGACGAATAGTAGCTTCGTCAAACGGCCGGCCGGTGGGCGTCGAGGTTCGTCTCTGACGTTGCGAGCCTCTTGGACAAGGAATTGACACGGGTTTTCGGATGATGTTTGGCCATGGCATCCATATGGCGCTTTTATGCCGAATATCCAGGAATGTCCCACCTTGTCCTGACTCTTGATTCTTGATCGTAACCGAGATATTCGATGCATTGTGTGTTCTTCGGCGGCGGCCGCAGGGTTACGTTAGGTGGAGATAGAGTTGCAACGACTCCAACCTCTTACTTATTTCCAGGTGTGGGAAGCGAATTATTCCCGGAAGTGTCCGCGAGCTGACTCGTCAGGAGTTGCCAACTGCCGAAGGGTTTTGTCAGCCTTCAAGACTCTGCAGTGTTTCATCACGCTTATCAGAGGCTTAAATCATGTTATACCGCAAAGTCGTTGAGGTTGAGTCGCTAAAGAATTGTTTGACACTTGGGGATTGGACAGTTTGCAGCCTCAAGTTCGTTGCCCGGAAGGTGTTTGCCGATCGCGAGCTCCTTCCCCACGGACTTGGTTCCGTCTGTGCGTTGCCTTTGCACATCTGAGGAATACAAGTTATGCATGAGAGCAACACATTGAGACGAGAATGCGTGATTGTATTAGGGTCTCCATGACCTCGACGATAGGGAGATGCATTGCCTGTCGTCGGCCTATAGTCCATCCATCCTATGCATCTATCTCTCGTCCATACCTCTTGCCAATACTCCGTATCCCCTTGCTCTCCTGGTGTGCTAATGTGACCTCGGTGTCCTGTGCATGAGGCTGTGGAGACCTCGTCTTGTTGGCGCAGTTTTGTTCAACAAGGGAGACGGGTTCCTCGCTGACGCATGTGGATGATTCGTCGCCAATGCCGCGTTAGGGGTGACGAGTTGGTTGATGTGACGCAGCGAGCAATACTATCGACTGCTCTTTGACAGAAGAGTACGCTCACCTCTCAACCCGATGACTTCTGATTCTTGTCGATCTCCTCGTTGTCCTCCTTGCCAGCCTCCTTGTCAACCTTGCTGTTCGTCTTGTTGTTGTTGGCAGCGTTCTCCATGGTACTCGACTTGTGCTATACCGGTCCGTGTCAGGTGTCAAACCATGCGTTACTTCGTCAGGGCTTTGATTACCTGACCAACGGGGATTCTGCCAAAGGGGCTGGGCGTTCTTGACCTCTTTGCTGCGTCGCCAGCGGCCGACAGGAGGTGGATAGTGGCCGGGTCCATGAGACCCTCTGTGACGGCCTTTCTAGCAGTCTCCTTTCTGGCTTCTTCAGGATTGTTGGTCATGATGGGAGGCTCGGTGTGTGTGTTGCGTGTGCCGCGATGATGTGGAAGCGTGATGCGAGAAGGAGAGAGGAAAGAGCAGTCAAAGAAGACAACCTACATGAGTTTGTAGAATACCAGGCAGCGACAAGGAATATACTAGCACACTTCGATGTGTTGTCGAGCCCATTACTTTCACACTTCCCCTTTGAGCTGAGTTGTACCTTTCGGCGGAGTTCTTTCACGCTCATCTCACAACAGACCTAAGATGGATTTGTTCCACCAAAATGCATAAAGCAATCACAACGTTAGGAAATGTCCACTGAGAGTGCTGATTCCAGCGATCAGAGATGCTCTCGTTGGTTGGTCGCATTGAATCACTTTTGACTGTGCCTTTTGATGGGTGTCAAAGGCGGGACTCGGCCGTCTGGAGTAATTGTCAAGATCAGAGATAGAGACGCGCAAACGTATCAAGCGCATGTCCCGGTTCTTGATAAATGCGCAATAATGATGGAGTGTGGGAAAAGGAACGAGGGAGGAAGGAGGAATGGTCGGCGTCGACTGTCAAGAGTGTCCACGTGAAACCCCACAATTCCAGGAAGGAGCAGCCTCGGACTTGCACGAATGAACGCATAGCAACAAGCATTAGCATCGCAATCTGGGACAGTCTCGCCATCCATACCTTTTCTAGATGAACAGTGGCGCATGAGTAGCGCGGTAAGGCAAGACTATGGCTCAAGCCTACCGCGATGCGCTTGAACGCACCGTCCAGGACCTCAAATCAAGGTACCACCCTGCCGCCCTGTCGACACGCTCTACCTTAGCTGACCACTGCCGTCCAGGCGCGATGAGCGACGACTACACGCTGCCGAGAGCCTTCTCCACGAAGTCGAAGCTGCTCACAGAGGTATCTATGCGCCATAGCATTCACCTCGCTGTAGCTTCCCCGGCTGACTCACGTCCGCCACAGAACTGTCGGCCGCCCAATTCGCACCCTACTACGTCGAAGTCAACAAACGCATCGCCGACCTCATCCAGAATGGAGCCGATACACACGAACGAACCGGCGGATTGTATGCGCTTTCGCAACTCATCGACTTCAAGGGCGACGATGCTGCTCAAAAGACAACTCGCTTCCATACCGTTCTGCGCAAGGTCATGACGGGCAACGACACAGCTGCCATGGTCGTCGCAGCAAAGACTCTTGGACACCTCGTCTCACCTGGCGGTACTCTCACCGCAGAGCTAGTGGATGCAGAAGTCAAGGTTGCCCTCGAATGGCTCCAGATCGAACGAAACGAAAACCGTCGCTTCTCCGCCGTCTTGAATCTCTACGAGCTTGCGAAGAGCTCGCCCACGCTTTTACACGTCTGGATACCCGACATCTTCGAGGTCATCTGGGTTGCCCTACGCGACCCAAAGGTCATGATTCGCGAATCGGCCGCCAATACCATCAGCCAGTGTTTCGAGATCCTTATGGCCAGAGACCCACAGGCTCGCCAGAAATGGTTGACGAGAACATATGAAGAGATAGACAAGGGCTTCCAACATAACACAGTCGAGGCCATCCACGGTTCTCTCCTTGCACTGAAAGAATTGTTGCAGAAAGGAGGCATGTTCATGCACGGCCCTCGATACAAGGAAGCATGCGAGCGCATCCTGTCATACAGGGAGCATCGTGACCCTCTGATCCGTCGTGAGGTCGTCTACATTATTCCGATTCTGGCCAGATACGCGCCGAAGGAGTTCTGCAATGGCTACATCCATCGATCCATGTCGCATCTTCAAGGCCTTCTCAAGTCACCCAAGGACCGCAACTTGTCATTCATCGCTATTGGAAACGTCGCAAATGCTGTCGGCAGTCAGATCGCTCCCTACCTGGACAACATCCTCCTCCACATTCGCGAAGCCCTTAGCGTAAAAGCACGTATCAAGAATACAGATGAAGCTCCCATCTTCAAGTGTATCAGCATGATCTCGATTGCCGTTGGTCAGACTCTGAGCAAATACATGGAAGCATTGCTGGATCCTATCTTTGCCTGCGGGTTGAGCGATGCTCTTACACAAGCTCTTGTGGACATGGCACATTACATCCCTCCGGTCAAGCCAATCATCCAGGAGAAGCTTCTCGACTTGCTGAGCATGACGCTCTGTGGCAAGTCCTTTGTTCTGCCTGGTCATCCTAGCCACAGCACACCCTTGCCAAGAATCTTCACTAGAGAAGCCAGAGACCAACAGGACCCTCAGCACATTGAACACAAAGAACAACAGATCGCATTGGCTCTCTACACTCTTGGTAGCTTTGATTTCTCTGGTCATGTTCTTAACGAATTTGTCAGAGACGTCGCTATCCGTTATGTCGAGGACGATGATGCTGAGATTCGCAAAGCTGCTGCACTGACCTGCTGTCAATTGTTCGTTAGGGACCCAATTGTCTACCAGACCAGTCACTATTCGATACAGGTCGTTAGCGATGTGATTGAGAAGCTGCTCACTGTCGGAGTCGCTGATCCTGAAGCTGAAATTCGCAGAACCGTTCTGGCCTCTCTGGATGCTCGCTTCGACCGTCATCTCGCAAAGGCTGAGAACGTGCGTACGCTGTTCCTGGCCCTAAACGATGAGATCTTCGGCATCAGAGAAGCAGCCATGACCATCATCGGTCGTCTGACTGCTGTAAACCCAGCTTACATCTTCCCATCCTTGCGCAAGGTCTTGATCCAGTTGTTGACTGAGATAGAATACTCGAACAATGTGAGAAACAAGGAAGAAAGTGCACGACTCATCAGTCACCTGGTTGGTTCATCCTCAAAGTTGATCAAGCCTTACGTGGACCCTATGATCACTGTGCTTCTACCAAAAGCACAAGATTCTAATCCAGACGTTGCATCTGCTACATTAAAGGCCATCGGTGATTTGGCTACCGTCGGTGGTGACGAGATGGTCAAGTACGTCCCGGAATTGATGAAGGTCATCATCGAGAGTCTACAAGATTTGAGCTCAGCCGCCAAACGCAGAGCAGCTTTGAGAACGCTCGGTCAACTTGCTAGCAATTCCGGCTATGTCATCGACCCTTACATTGAGCATCCAGAGCTTTTGTCTATCTTGGTACAAGTTGTCAAGAACGAACCACCAGGTGAACTCCGCAAAGAAACCATCCGCCTGATGGGTATCCTCGGTGCTCTGGACCCGTACAGACATCAGGTCATGGAACAATCCTCCGAGAACCATCTCGTGGCAGATTCACAGACTGTCACTGATGTTGGTCTAATTATGCAAGGAACGACTCCCTCGAATGAGGAGTATTATCCCACGATTGTTATCAACACTCTTCTGGACTTGCTCAAGGAACCTACTCTGGCGCAACATCATGCTGCTGTAGTAGAAGCTGTTATGAGCATTTACAGAACTATGCGTCTGAAATGTGTCAACTTCCTTGGTCTTGTGGTGCCTGGCATTCTCCTTGTCATCCGCACATCGCCAGCAGGCAATATTGAGAAATACTTCAACAACCTCAGTGAGCTGGTGGAGATTGTTCGTCAACACATCAGACCCTACTTGCCGGAGATTCTTGCTACAGTACAAGACTTCTGGGCAGACAACTCTCCTTACCAAGCGACCATGCTTGCCCTCATTGAGTCAATTGCACAGTCATTGGAAGGCGAATTCAAGATTTACCTCGCAAATGTGCTGCCACTCATGCTGGGTGTCCTTGATCATGATATCACACCAAGACGTCTGCCTTCCGAAAGAGTGCTACATGCGTTCCTTGTCTTCGGTTCAAGCGCGGAAGAGTACATGCATCTGATCATTCCCGTCATCGTTCGCATGTTCGAGAAGCCAGGTCAGCCAACGCATATCCGCAAGCTGGCCATTGAGACGATCGGCAAGCTCTCAAGACACGTTAATATTTCCGAGTTTGCTGCAAAGATCATTCATCCTTTGTCACGTGTCTTGGCAGGTTCAGAGACTGGTCTGAAGCAGACTGCTCTGGACACCTTGTGCGCTCTGATTTTCCAGCTTGGTCCTGATTATATCCACTTCATTCCGACCATCAACAAGATTCTTGTCACTCACAAGGTTCCCCACACCAACTATGCATTAATTGTCAGCAAGTTGCAGAAGGGTGAACCATTACCTCAGGACCTGAGTCCTGATGAGCGCTACAAGACCTCTGCCTCGGAAGAGGTACAGAGAGGTGTTGATAACCGCAAGTTGGCTGTGAATCAGCAGCATCTCAAGATCGCTTGGGCAGCTAACGCAAAGTCAACCAAAGAAGATTGGCAAGAATGGATGAGAAGATTCAGTTTGGAGCTGCTCAAGGAGTCGCCACAAAACGCCCTTAGATCATGCTCGCAGCTGGCCAGTTCTTACCCCCCTCTTGCAAGACAGCTCTTCAACTCGGCTTTTGTGTCGTGCTGGACTGAGTTGTATGATCACTACCAGGAGTCATTGGTCCGCTCGATCGAGACTGCTTTGACATCACCACACATCCCGCCTGAGATTTTGCAAGTTCTTCTCAACCTTGCCGAGTTCATGGAGCACGATGATAAGGCTCTGCCGATTGATGTTCGCACTCTCGGAATGTACGCCGGAAAGTGCCACGCTTTTGCAAAGGCACTCCATTATAAGGAGCTCGAGTTCAATGCCGAGCAGAATGCTAGCAATGTTGAAGCTTTGATCAGTATCAACAATCAACTCCAGCAGACTGATGCAGCCTTCGGTATCTTGCGTAAGGCGCAAGGCTACGTGGACGTTCAGATGAAGGAGACATGGTTCGAGAAACTGCAGCGTTGGGAAGAGGCTCTGACGGCGTATCAACGTCGTGAGCGTGACGAACCAGACTCGTTCGAGGTCATCATGGGTAAGATGCGCTGTCTTCACGCTCTTGGTGAGTGGGAAGTTTTGTCGTCTCTTGCTCAGGAGAAGTGGATGCACGCCTCTTCAGAGAACCGCAAGTCTATTGCAGCTTTGGCTGCTGCGGCCGCTTGGGGTATGGGACAATGGGAGCTCATGGATGGCTACTTGTCTGTGATGAAGCTGCATTCTCCTGACAGATCATTCTTCGGCGCTATTCTCTCCATCCACCGCAACCAGTTCGACGATGCTCAATTGCACATCAACAAAGCAAGAGAGGGGCTGGACACTGAACTCAGTGCACTCCTTGGAGAGTCCTACACAAGAGCCTACAGCGTCATTGTCCGCGTTCAGATGCTGGCCGAGCTGGAGGAGATTATCGCATACAAGCAGAGCTCCAGCGATCCTCACAAGCAGGAACGCATGCGTCTCACCTGGACAAAGCGTCTCAAGGGTTGTCAAAAGAACGTCGAGGTCTGGCAACGAATGCTCAAGGTTCGTGCGCTTGTCATCTCCCCACCAGAGAACGCAGAGATGTACATAAAGTTTGCCAGCATCTGTCGCAAGGCTCAGAGGAACGGCTTGGCCGAAAAGTCACTCAATTCCCTTCTTGGTTGGCAGGGCTCTCTTATGACCCCAGAAGGTCAAGAGCGCACCCTTCACGCGCCCTACCCTGTTCAATATGCCGTGTACAAGTACATGTGGTCAAACGGCTACTCCTCTGGCGCCTTGACCGGTTTGAGAGACTTTACCGAAAGACTGCGGATTGACTACGAGCAGCGTACACTTGCTGTCACAAATCCGAACACCAACGGCATGAATGGTATGAACGGCACAAACGGTGTCAATGGCACCCAATTCCCAGCAGCTGGTGTCAGCCCACAGATCTCCGAGAAGGATGTCGCTCAACTGGCCGATTGGCAGAGACTGCTTGCCAGGTGTTACCTCAAGCAAGGTGACTGGCTCAGTCTGCAGATGCGTGGGGAGTGGGACGCTCACCGAGTGCATGAGATAAGATCCTCGTACAAGGCAGCAACTCACTACAACCAGGACTGGTACAAGGCGTGGCACGCTTGGGCTCTTGCCAACTTCGAGGTGGTCACAGCACTCACAGCCAACAAAGACAGAGGGGAAGCCGACGGTATGCAGAGACGCTACATCCACGACTACGTTGTTCCTGCCATTCAAGGCTTCTTCAAGTCGATTGCTCTCTCGTCTTCAAGCTCGTTGCAAGATACTCTGCGCCTGCTGACTCTGTGGTTCAACCACGGTGAGCACCAAGAGGTTACCTCAGCTGTGACCCAGGGCGTCACTACTGTCAGCATCGACACATGGCTTGAGGTCATTCCTCAACTGATTGCTCGTATCAACCAGCCGAACAGACTGGTCAAGGACTCAATCCACCATTTGTTGTGTGAAGTTGGACGAGCTCATCCTCAAGCTCTTGTTTACCCTCTGACCGTCTCGATCAAATCTGAAGACAGAGACCGTTCAAGAGCTGCCAAGGACATCATGACTGCTATGGAACAACACAGTCCCAACCTTTGCAGACAAGCCGCTGTTGTCAGTCATGAGCTCATCCGTATTGCTGTCCTCTGGCACGAACAATGGCACGAGGGTCTCGAAGAAGCTTCCAGACTATACTTTGGTGATCACGACATCGATGGTATGCTTCGCACCCTTGAGCCGCTGCATCGCATGCTTGACGAGGGCCCTGAGACTTTGAGAGAAATATCATTTATCCAAAGCTTCGGACGCGACCTCGCAGAAGCCAGAGACTGGTGCAACAACTTCAAGCGTACGAATGAGGTTGGTGATCTCAACCAAGCATGGGATCTTTACTACGGTGTTTTCAAGAGAATCGCCAGACAATTGCCTCAACTTGCGAACCTCGAGCTGCAATACGTGTCGCCTAAGCTGAAGAACGTTCACGACCTCGAGCTTGCACTTCCTGGTACCTATAAGAGTGGCAAGGAGATTATTCGCATTCTCTCTTTCGATCCGTCCTCGACCGTCATTCAGTCCAAGCAGCGTCCAAGAAAGCTCACACTCACTGGCAGTGATGGCGGTACTTACCAGTATGTCCTCAAGGGTCATGAAGATATTCGTCAAGATGAGCGTGTCATGCAACTCTTCGGTCTCGTCAACACATTGCTTTCGCATGATCCTGAGTCACTCAAGCGTCACCTCAACATTCAGCGCTACGCGGCTATCCCTCTTTCGACACAATCTGGTCTGCTCGGATGGGTACCTAACAGTGACACCCTGCATGTTCTCATCCGGGATTACCGTGAGAGTCGTAAGATTCTTCTCAATATTGAACACCGTATCATGCTTCAAATGGCACCCGACTACGACAATCTCACTCTCATGCAGAAGGTTGAAGTCTTTGGCTATGCTCTGGACAACACTACTGGCCAAGATCTTTACCGTGTGTTGTGGTTGAAGAGTAAGAGTTCCGAGGCCTGGCTGGAACGTCGCACAAACTATACGCGCTCCCTCGCTGTCATGTCAATGGTCGGTTACATCTTGGGTCTCGGTGACCGTCATCCCTCCAACTTGATGCTTGACCGTAACACCGGCAAAATTATCCACATCGATTTCGGTGATTGTTTCGAAGTCGCCATGCACCGCGAGAAATACCCCGAGCGTGTACCCTTCCGTCTCACACGTATGCTCACCTTCGCCATGGAGGTGTCGAACATCGAGGGAAGTTTCCGCACTACTTGCGAACATACAATGCGTGTGCTCCGCGAGAACAAGGAATCACTCATCGCCGTGCTCGAAGCGTTCATTCACGATCCTCTGCTCACCTGGCGTTTGGGCAACAAGAACTCGCCTCCAGAGCCTTCCTTCCCTTCAGAGCGTCGCACATCAATCATCGGCGAATTGGACTCTGCCCCACGCAGCACACCAGGAGGTCGCAAGCGTGCTCCTCCAGGGGGCGAAAACATCCCAGGCGAAGGTAAAGAAGTCCAAAACGCCAGAGCCCTGCAGGTACTTGCTCGCGTCAAGGAGAAGCTCACTGGTAGAGACTTCAAGAAAGATGTCGAGTTGGCCATTGAGGAGCAAGTCGAGAAGTTGTTGTCCGAAGCGACAAACTTGGAGAATCTGTGTCAACATTACGGCGGATGGTGCAGTTTCTGGTAATGGACTATTCAGGAGGGAGGGATGTGACTTTGGAGGTCTGGTGCCAGGTGGGAAACATGTTTCGGGTATCTTTGATTCGCTTTTCTTCGGTGGCTGGGCTGTGAGCTTTTACGTGCATAGCGGTGGCGTCTGCTGTTTTGATCAACTTTCTAATTAGTCGGCTCATATTCTCTTCTCGGTATGTAATGGGATATTGTCTTCTGCCTTCGTCTGAAGTGTCCCAAGTGCAACGTGAAATGGAGTTCTTGATCACTTTGTGATCACAGGCATGACAAGTCTGAACCTGGATGAGCAGTCACGAGAGCTTGCTGATACAACTCCCACCACACCACGAATCCTACATCGTTTCCAAAGGACAGGAAATAGATTCATAAGGCAAGTAAAATCACCATGCGTGCACTGTGTCATGGTTAAAGAAGTGTGATAGGGAAAAATGGTTACACATTGGAAGTAAGATATCCAGACAGGGTCATACTCCCAACATTCAACCAATTCAATCTCTCACCGTCTGATCGAGAGTTTTCCACCCCTATTCCTCAGACAACCTTTCTTGGCACCGTGTTGTTAATCTACCACATCTCATCACCTGCCTCATAACCCTGCTCTTCGTCCTCCAAACCCTCCAAAGCTCGTCTCAAACATTCACCTCTGCTCCGACACCCTTGTGCGAGGAAGTGGAAGTTTGTTTGATTGTTGTATTGGATCCGGAGGGACCAGGTGTTGCGGATGCGTTGGATGCGGATGGTGGGGTTGTGGTGGTAGGGGTGGGTTTTGCGGAAGAGGACTGGGTGGGCGTGGTTAGTGGTGAATTTTCGAAGGGAGGAAAGTTGCGAGGGGGTAATATTGGGGAGTGAGGAAAAGCTTACTCAGGATTTGCTTTATGGTTGGTGTGTGCATTTTGCTGTTGAGATGTTATCTTTGTGCTTTGACTCGGTGAAATGGATGTTGAATATGCTGTTGTTGGGTAGTTGTGCTATTGATGCTCGAGGCCATCAATGAGCAAGTGTACTCGTGATATATAGCTCCTGAACTTGACGGTTTGAGGTGCTATTTGGGGTTCGAAGTCCCGATTGTCTTGCACTTGCTCAGAGTTCTGCGATGTCTTTTTCCGTGGGAGAGTGTAGTAAGACTGTCTGAGACAAATCGCTATGTCCATTCGTGGCTGGCCGTAAGGACCATGACTTACAAGTCTCGAGCTGACCGTATTGATCCGTCCAGCGTACGCTCCTGACTAGGCTCTGGCCAAAGCAGTTGCTTGGAAAGTTATTCGAACTCTTACAATATTTACATGTTTTCATAGCAAATCATGTTCACATCCCGGAAAGAAAGGCACTTCGATCGGTTCTCGCGTCGAGCACCGCAAAAGAACACAGGGTTCACATTCCAGAGGCGGAATCATTGAGCAAGTAGCAAATCAATGGCGACGTTATCTTTGAAATTGGACTCCATACTGATCTTTGAATACGCTATACCATCATCACTTGTATCCTGTATAGAGATTGCTCATCAGCTGACTCAAAACGTGTACATCCATCTTGCTCCGGATTTTGTCGCCCAAGATCTGTGATGCTTCATTCAAAACGAACTGCCTGCTGACCTCATTCCCGTACAGCTCTTCTTCTCCACCATCATAGTAGACCGTCAAATTCCATTCACTTATTCTTTGTCTGATGACGACCCTAGGGTTGGTACGATTTGGGTACAGTTGGCAGTATTGTTCTAAGTACATGTCAGTACTCCATAAGACCAGCTTTCTTTCTTTCTAGCGTGGGGTCTACTTACGGAAGATTCTCTGTGGAGTAACTCTGGATGTCATGATTGATGGAAAGCTGGGTGATCTTATGATAGAGGAGTGGTATCGTTGGAATGCTTGGAGCAGGAGAAGGATGATGAAGAGCTATGATGTGTGGTCTATATATCTGCCGGGTAATGTGTTCTTGTATATGTAACTATAATATCAAATATCGAAGACATCCTCTATAATATCAAATATCGAAGACATCCTACTCCGTGAAACTTTCTAGACCCTTTAGTGTTTGTCTTCTCGAAAGTGCAACATTGCTGAAGTGTCTAAGACAGTTCTAAGATGTGCTTCATGCCGACAAGGATGAAACATGTCAAACAGTGCACAGTTTGTGGCTCCTCCGAGGTCTGCACAAAAGTGTCCGAGCTGTTATTGTTCTTCTTGAGAAGTTTAACGCAAGGCTCTGATAACTTACTAAGACGTTTGGTCCTGTTCGAAATCTTGTCAGCAAGACACTCTCTCGAATCTTGACAATCGCTTCGACTAGTATCTGGAAGATGCTATGAGATGGCGGAAGGAGTTCCTATTCCTAACTCGATTTGTAACTGTGGTATCGTTCGGTATGGCTGGTTCATAAGATTAAGTAGCCTGGAATCAAGGAGGACTATACGAGCAAAACATAGCACAGCTGTGCAAAGAATACTTACAAGTCACGCTCCATACAACAAACTGCTTCATTGAGACAGAGTCGTGATATGATCATCAAAGGTAGCCATCCAGGAAACAACATAACAGGCTGGCAACTAAGGACGCGGTAAAGAAGAGTGCCCTTAAAATTGTGTACAACCCCTAAGCAGCCCACTTTCGCCGCCTCATCTGTACCTCTCCAACGCTCATAAATTCCATCTCGAGTTCAAAGTCTCCATAGCTCCCCTAAGCGCGCCATTTCTACTCCAACATCCTTCGGCAAGAAAGTCGTGACGACCATAAGTCATGAGAACATAGGCTCTCCAGCTTCCGTCGTGATCGCGTTGGACTTTCATCTGTGGGGAGCATTTGCAAGGGTACAGCTGGCAGTACTTCGCTGTTGGTCTGCGTGTTAGCGGAGACAGAGAAATGGAGAGATGGAAAGGGGATGGTTGAGATGGGCGACTTACTGAGGACTTGATTTTGGGTGGGAGTGTACATTTTGGTAGGGTCTGTTCGGAGGTGTGTGTGGGTGGATTGCTTGTGTGGGTAGAGTGGTGGTTAAGATGAATGGTATTGTGTATGAAGAGAGAGTGGCCTTTTGCTTTTATGTTCAACAGGCTTGACAGATGCGTGAATGTATCCTGAAAATCTGAGATATTTCCTGAGTGTCTTGATCTCTCGATATTCTATTCTTGTTTCTTTCTTTGTACTCAAAGTGGAAGAATCAAGATGTCTGAGACAATTCAGGATCAGTGTCGCTTAGCTTGGGATATTCAAAACTAAAAACTGAACCTCCAAGTCGGCAAAATCTCATGATGCATATGATGTGGAGGATCTTTGCTGAGAGTCAGCTGTGCTATCCGAGTTGATGAGATGTAGTGGATTAAGGTTACCGAGGATCTTGCCGTGAAGGTCCACACGGCTTGGTATCACATTGCCTTGCTGGTCATTGATTGTAGTCGTAACGATGAAGGTTTGTGACTTTTGTCTGATATGTAAGTGTAGAGGGGAAAGAGGAAATTGAAGCAGCGAGACAAAAGTTGATAAAGCCACCTAAGATAATCATCTTTGTTGTTGCCAGACCCTGCAAGCCACTTTGCACTTCTTCCAATTACTACGAATGCGTTGCAATCTCGTAACCAGATTTTTCAAAAGCCCAACAATTTCTGAGAAGCTTCGATAGCCCACGCCCTCGTTGACTCAAATATCTCCAAGAAGACCAGCCTTAGTGACGTTCAAGAAGTCTCTGCCTTGAGCGTTCTTGGTGACCAACCCATCCGTACCTTCCCATAAACTGACACCACCGAACTTGCTCTGAACAAGCCTCCTCCCAGTGAAAGTAGCATTGACAAAAGCGTCCGGCTCCATGAAACCAGAGTTGCTGTTATTGAAGCTCAGTCCACCAAGATAGACTCGTGGGTATGTTGGTCCCAAGTCGCTGTTGATCGAGTTCAGGTAGTTATACCAGGTGCTGACGGACTTGTTGAAACCTTTGCTACCAAAGCAGCATGCTTTTGCGTTGTAGAAGCGAGGCCAGACGAAGTTGGCGTTGGCGTAGAGACCGTAGGGCAGGATTGTGTTGTTGGCGCACAATGGAGCTGCACTGATATAGCGTTCTGGCGATGACGATCTGAAGTAAGACTGTAGGGAAGATGCCAGGGTATCCATGTGAGTTGTGTCAGCCCCAGACTCAAAGTCTGTGGAAGGTTAGTCGTGCTGCTTTCCGCTCCGAACGAGTCTTCCAATCTTACCGAAATCAAAGCCATCGATGGCTACATTTCCAAATGGTCTCAGCGCTGTTGAGTTGGCTCCAGCGCCAAACACGTTCCAGAGAATGCTCGCGGCTTCATGAGCGTCACTGACACTGTCAAGAGTCAAGTTGCTGACCGATCCACCCAGACTGATGAGCACTTTCTTGCCCATATTCTGACAGAATGTGATGTTGGCAGCCATATCCGGACAAGAAACTCTAGTCTTGTCCGTGACTGTGGCTGGAGTCTTGCAATATCTGGTAAATCCGAATGATGGAAGGGCAGTAGGTCCATTGAGCTGGCGTACGAATCCCATGACGATCATGTCAACATTACTGTTGGTACACAAATCGTACAAGGAAGGGCTGTCAGTGTTTTGCGCCTTGCCATAGTAGACTGCAAGGTTACGAGAGGTTGGGTTGAATTGGTAGTTTCCAGAGTCGCGATAGGTTAGTTGGCGAGGAAGCGCTGCAGGGCTAGCAGATGCCCAAGAAGTAAGCGCCAAAGCACAAAGTAGTCTTAGAGTGTTCAATGGCATCTTGTGATAGTTTCTTTTGATCTGCAACTGACTGTGGGCTTATCTCAGATATCTATACCTACGAAACAGCCACTGACATGCTTGCGGAGCCTGATACGAAAGCCTAAGATGTATTCAAAGTTGGTCAAAACTCAACAAAGGACGCGTCTCTAGTCAAACCGATGCATGGAGCAAAAAATCAAGATTGTAGAGCCGTGGCATAGCATGGCATAGGTACATACCCTTGGCGGGTGGCTGGCAAGGGATAAACTTTAATTGACCGCCACAAAAGCCTCGTGTATAACGTCCAAGAAAGCGTGACATTTTGGCGACTACGCGAGTCCACCGTCAGGCAAGCGTGTTATCCTCGCGATTGTATGACGATGCAATGCTCAGTAGCATGGTACCTTTCCGTGAAGAGTCACCCTACTGCAATATGTCATCGTCGAAAAGTCCCGCGACACGATCAATTCTGCTTGGAAATCAGCCAAGCCCTAAACATCATGCATTCATTTGTAAAGTGACCTACATCTCCACGTCGCATCTTCTGACAACAGGCCGTATGCCCAGAGCAGCAAGGCATACATGGCTTCCTCTTGGGTGTCGTATAGCCTGGGTGTTGTGTATAGCAAGCCGTAAGTCTTGCTGTGCAGCTGAGCCGCCCAGCGAGTGAAAACGAATGGCGTTCGGATTTGGACATTTAGGAGCAGTGGCGTGATGGTCTCGAGCTCTGGAAGATGTCCTTGTAAGGTTCCTATGGGAGTCAGATTGAGCAACCTGGAAAGACCAAATGGATGTGGGAAAGCGGATGATGCTTACCACGAATTTTGTTCTGTAGGCGGCGAGCGTTTCGGCTGAGTGTAACACGCTGAGATGGCATTGTGGTGATGTTAAGAAGAGGAAGTTGGGCCTCTTCGAAGCTTGGATTTTGATGATAAGACTTCCGGGACTGCTGCTAGGTTCGGTGTTGATATACCTAGTCTTGCCATCTAAATGCATCCACAGTAAGACAGACAAACTCCAGCGACAATGGAGATGTCTTTGTCTTAGTTGGCGCTGTCGTGGCATGGACATGTCTCGGGTGAGGTAGGAGACGTCTCGCTGTCTGTCGTAGTGACAATCTACGTGCGTGTATGTAAGAGCGTATGTGCACAGCCTAACATGCTGGGAAATCTCAGAGCCGGAACATGTAAGAGAGTATCAATGATGAATGTGGGCAGAATGATCAGAGTTGCCACCTAGCATGCCTCTTCCGCCACGATGAGCGGTACACTCGATCTCTTCACCACGATTACACATCGTACAGAAGCCCAAGATCAAGCAGTCGAGGTTCCAAACTCCAAGAACGTGGGATGCCCGAGAATGGATGTTCAATACAAGGATGACATACCTGGATTTCCTTGTCTTGGCATCCCCTTGCCGGCTGCATCTCGGGCGCCGGATTTGACCGGCCCGAGCCCGAGCCAGCACCGCGAGCGCCTTCCTGATCCAACAGACCACCGTTCCCTCTTTCGCTATCACGATCGTGGCCTACACTTGCACTGCTTCAAGACGCATGCTAAAGTGACGGACATGGATCTGATTGTTTGTGATCAGCGTTGAAAGAGGGACGCTGCTTGTCTTTGGTTATGTCTGCAGCCTGTTTGCGCGTCGGGCCCCGAACCTGCTCAAGTGTTAGCAACAAGAGAAGCAGGTCCTCAACGCCTGTAGACAAAACACAAAAATATGGTTCGTAGTAAGGTTATGTTTGATTTTGGAGATGATGATGTTTGTGCCACCAGCACAAGTGTTTCTTTGTGTCTGACTCCCGAGAAACCATATGTTTCTTTCTTCACGCCGAAGATAACGGAGGTGTTTCACAGGCTCGACAGCCTACTTGGTAAGTGCAATGCCATCTTCCTTGCTCTTGTCCCAAACGATCTGGCTGACGAAGTCGAACATGTTCTGCAGGGCGGAAGTGGCGCTGCTGAATCACTTTGTAGATCTCCAGAGCATGTCGCGATCGTTTCCGTATACCACAACCCACCAGAGCTTGTTGTGTGTAGCGACAGTGACAATGGGATCTTTGTGGTCGGGGTGAGTGAAGCGGAGGTTCTCTGCGTCACGGAGTCAGAAGCAGTGTTCGGGTGTGCTGACGCATTATCGAGGAGGTCACCTACCGACGATCTGTGCACGAAGGTCCATCATTGTGGTCTCAGAGGATGGCATCTTGAGAGGACTAGGATGTGGCATCTTCTTGACCTGCGGGTGAGGCGCTTTTGGTGATCGGACAGAGTTGTCTGATGCTCGATGGAAGAGGCGGTGTTACCGTTCAAAGGCGAAGCGGACAAAACAAGCTGCGAATAACGATGTAGAGAGGTGAGGTGATAATGGGGAGGCCAGGTAGGTAATCTTTTGCGGTGGAGATGACTAGTACTGGCGCTTGATATTCAATCTGATTATTGTCGCGTTTCGAAGCTGTAAGAGAAGTGAATCCGCGGTGTGTGAGAGTCAGATGCGTCAAGTGAAGCAGATAATTAGACGACACACGCAGCAGTCTCTATTTAACGACGCGTCGCACTCGATTTGTTCTTTCTTCCAATCACCACTCAATACACACAGACACAAACGACTCAACAAGTCATCACCATGACGCTCATGCAATACAAACCCAGCTCCAAGATCATGAACTCTTCCACCAGCGGCATCACCGGCCTGCGCGCCCAGATCCTCGGTAAGTAAAATCCAACGATCTCTCCTGAAATCGACTAACCCTCCCCAGCAAACTACAGCATCATCGACTCCGAGAATGCCGACGCAGTCCTCATGATCATCAAGCGCAAGAAGAACGAACAGGAACTTCTTGACTATCCCGTCATCACCTACAACACTGAGGAAATGTCCGAGGCTTTCCTCGTCACCCACCCCAGCAAGGGCAAGAAGGTGCTGATGAGCAAGTCAAGCCCTTGGGGAGACTATGAGACTCCTCTTCACAAGCTCCTCGATCAGACTGCCGAACTCGCGGGCCACAAGATCAGAAGTGATTACAAGTGATTGTGATCTGGCGGCGCCGGATGTCTTCATCGGAGATGAACCCACAAGCGGAGGCGAAGTAATCTCTGCCGAATGGCATGCACATAACCCAGTAATCATGAAGACGCTCATGCTAACTCTGCTGCAGACCATTATGCCACTACTAGGAAAGAGACCCAAAATTGATGAATACCATCAACGGTGAGAAACAATAGTTCACTCACAGAATATGAAATGCCATAATTCTTGCCCAAAATTCTTCTACTACGTGTTCATATGTCAATCAAGTGATGTCGTGTGAGTAAAACGAATCTTTCCGCCATGTTTTACGGGTAAGTGGTTTTCTTGTATTGGTGTCATGGTTGAATACCATTAAACCGAATACCTTTTGCTAACCTGAAGAAAATGCGAAAGCCAAGTTTGACAGCCCACGTCCGGCAAACATATTGTGCAAACGTAAATCAGACGTTTGTACATGTACGTACTATCTTGGTCTCAATGCAAGCCGGCTTCGCAAGGGATGGTCTTGAGCAAACGGATCGCAAATTTGGGAAGAGGGGTTACAAACGACTTCCGCCAGTTTTCCGACCAGCATATAGATCCTCTTTCCTCTCCGATCTTTTGTCTTTTCACCTTCAACCTTCTATCCAGACCACATTACCCAAAATCAGAAAACATGACTTCAGCAGGCACTTCCAGCATGTCCGACTTGCATGTACAGATCCGCGGTCAGTCCCACCACAAATTTTTATCCGATGGAGATTCCGAAGCTGACGGCATGGAAGAGAACTACCAGTTCATCAATGAATGCAGTGACTACAACGACAACATTCTCATTCTTGTCGAGTGTCGCAAGAAGTCCGAGGACGAGCTGCGCAGCACCGGCCCTTTCGAAAACAAGTCCGACCACTACTACCAAGCAATCTTGATCGACAAGAACTTCGACGATGACCAAATCATCTTTCGCGCCCGCGAGAACAAGATCAACACCCCCGAGTCTGTTCTTCGCGTTCTGTTCGACTGGTCTTGCAAGGAAGTCGCCAAGAAGATTGACAGCGAGCCTGGTGCAATATGTAAGCCAGTCGGAGTGAGCTGAGCATTCGTTTGGACGTTAGCTGATCCCAAGTTGTGAGCTAGACAAAAAGCGCGAGCGTGTTGAGACTCGTTCGTTACGTGAAGCTCGTGAAGCTTTTGACCTCAATAGGCAGTTCTGATCATCGCTTCAGACAGTAGTTCTGTATTCGCAAAGCCTGCTGTGATATCTGATACTTTATTTGCACAAACATGCTCGTGATCTACATCCCATCTTCCTGAAAGTGACCAGTTTACCGAACTACAATCCTCAACAGATGATGCTTCCCGATTGATCATGACAATAGTGGGCTGTAGTTATGCTTTGAGTTTCGCTATTGGACAGTGGTATTGATAAACCTGTAACGAAGGTGACTCTCTCGACCACAATAAAAGCCCCCAAATCGAATCATTCAAGGAGATGAAGTTCACGTATCTCCCTCCTACGAAAAATTACAAGCTCTAAGCACGGCAAGATATTACTCATTAAGCTCAACTCTCATCTTCTGAGTCTTCTCGTAAACCCACTCGCTCGTAGTCTCTAGCAGAAAACGCATTGCTCCCTCAGCGGCGTCCCGGCTTTCGTTGGTGCTCATAAGTACCCGGTTGTCCCATGACCAAAGAATAGCCCACCAGCGGCGGTCTTTGAGAATGGTGGTGACTCTGGCCTTTTGATACTTGGGGACGGCAATGTAGAGGTTTTCTGCCAAAGGTTGTTAGTTGGCTGCAAGCAGTTTGGAAGATCTCAAGAGATGGTTACCAAGGATCTGGTTGGCATAGTCCATCATGTTGTTCTTGGGGGCTTCTATTAGAAGCGAATGATGATGATGATGTTGATTTGGTGTGTGAGGCTTAGGTGAGGATGTTGTGGTGAGAATTGCGCGCGAGAAGATGGATCTTTATACAGGGGTCAAGCTTGATGATTGAAAAGGATCTATTTCGAAGCTATGCAGAAGCTCATGGATACGCAGAAAGTTTTCCATCTTCAAAAAATGTTTGCTGGCTTTATGGGAGAAGCTTTCTGTGAGAGCAAAGTCTTCCTTTGGAGTCGTCCTTGTGTTTTTCAAGAGCAGGGCCCCTATTGAACAAATACTGAGCCATGAAATGCTTTTCATCATTCGGTGGCTGAAGAAACAGATGTTTCCATAGGGCTTGGAACACCAGAATCAGCCATAGGTATGTTCTGTTGATCTCATGAATGTTCAAGATCCTTGCGAATCTGTAGTGGAAGTTTCTGCAACAAACTATCAATGCGCTTCAAAAGCCTCAAACCCATTAAATGGCCACTGAGTATCGGGTTACACGCTTTACAAAACTCTAATAGCTATCTCTGACCTCCATCGAAGCGTTCTAATGCGAAGTATTGCTTATATGAGCATCTCCATCTCCAACCACGATCCACAATCTGGCATATTACTAGAGAGCTCAATCACCACCTCAAATCAGTTTTATGACAACTCTTGACAACGATGTTCTCGCCATCAGGACACAGATCAGAAGCAAGATTTCTAAGATGAGTATGTTCCAGTCACATTTAACACCTAACAGTTAGAGTGGGATCTGGCTTCCTTCTCTCGATGTGGCTATAAGGTTAAAGGCAGTTGCGGGACTTTCCAATCTCTGTCAAATGTTATTCCACTTCAAACCGAGTATACAGATATACGTCTACTCGCTTGCCCCCTTCTTGTGTGTCGAAGAGTGTTCACTAAGATCTTCTCTTTCCTGTCCTATCCTACAGTTAAGAGGTGCCACGAAACCCATGTCTTTCTCCAAGCAAATAGACTCCCTAGCAAATGTATTTCTAAACTTTGCCAATGATTTGCGAACAGATATAATGGTGTAGAAGGAGCTCGTGTCCATTATCTGCTTCCGTCCATCTTCCTGACCAGCAAGCAAACGCTTCTGTGCAAGCGGGTGGCAGGCGGACCCTGGACACCGCTCAACATGACCTTTTGCAATATAAATGCAAAACTTAGAACGATAAGAAGATTATGCAAACCCGTATACTCGAGTGTGTAGATAGCAGAAAGAAGGTGGATCAAATTATGAGAAAGCATGATTTAGTAGGATGGAAGAAGTTGGTCGAAGTCGTTAGACTATGCTCGATATCGAGTTCTTAGGTGATTTTGGTTGAAAGATCGATATAACAAGCAGAAGTCTGAGTATGTTTATGTACAACAACATTGTAAGTTCAGACCGAGCTGTAAGATTGTCTCATGGCGTATGCACAATTCAGAAATAGCAATGAGATGTCTCATCCCTTGAAATCTTTGTTTTGACTACCTCATTGCCCATTTCAGCTTGGCGGGAGTCCTTGCTTCACAACCTTTAAGATGCAAGATGAGTTTGAGTCCAGCGTGTAGGTCCAGAGAGAGCGTGTGGAATTTTGAATCTCACCGGACAATCGCCTATCTCCAAATATGTTTTTGCCTTTCCATATGTGTGTGAATCGCTCTGCAGGGGAGATGAGAGATGCGTGAGCAAATGTATCTTGTCTTGGTCATGAATGGGCTTTCACTTGAGGGAATACAACACGAGGCGGGAGTGAGTTTGATTACAAGTGAAGTGACTTCCTAGCCCAAAAACGCCCCTCTATTGTTCACTGCGCAGCTGCAACGACTAAGTGACCTTGACGGTCTCGAGCTCAGGATGCACCTTGAAAGCGCCCTTGGGAGCGAACTGCTCGGGGTGAGAGCGTCTCTCCCGCTCCTCCTCAATCAACAGGCGGTAAGCTTGCTCGCCGTCCTGCACGATCTGATACAGATCGATCAAAGCCTCCTGGAGAGACTCGCCTTCGCCCTCATAGGTGATCATGTTGGGCTCGCGACCCACAGAGAAGAGCCAGGCAGACCAGCGAGGGGGTTGGTCGATGGGGCCGGGAGAATTGTTGATGTGGGGGTCTGGCTCGTTGATGTGAGCACACTTGTTGCGGTAGAGCTCTGTGTGGTATCAGTAGGTGATTCTAATGGGAGGATTGGAGTGCGCATACCGATGATCTTGTTCTTGAGATTTTCAGGCGTGCCATGGATGACCAGCATCTCGGCGTGCCGGGCGTCGGCCTTGAGCCTGAGCATGGCCACCTGCTCGGTGTAGAGTTCTGCTTGGGTGGGATTGGTAGAGAATCTCATGGTGATGGAATGGCTGGCGTTAGAATAGATAATTCGAGGTGGTACGTGCGTTAATGGTGGCAGATTGGGAACGCTGCGCGCACAGGAAAGTGAATGCACTGACAGGGGAGAAAAAGCGATCCTCACAAAGTGAAATTTTGACCTCCTCCATTCAACTCAAGCACAAACACTCAGCAGACTCGTCGTAGCATTGCTCCATTCCGCAGTTTACAAATTTACAAGTTCTCAATATCCTGCTCATGAAACGGGAAGTGTCGGCTTCAAGAACAGGAGTATAGACAAATCAGATGTTGATTATTGACACCATTTTCAAAACTGGTGGCGTCGCAGAGAATCAGCGAGGGCAAGAGAAATGGAGGACAAACAATAAAGAAGATGGCGCATGTCATATCAAGCCTTTGAGATGTCTTTGCACAGCATACATCCGGCCACCAGAACTGACTCTATGACTGGGAGGGGATGAGAAGAAGCCAAAGATCAAATACTGAGAGCTCAGAAGGTCGAAATAGTGCTCGTTGGAGCAAAAAAGAGTCAGAAGAATCCCAAAGCGATGTCATTCGGTACTTAGTACTTTGACTAAAAGATCGGTGTGTTCTAACAACCGCATAATGGCTTCAACCAATCATCGACGTCGAAAACGCTATGGGCGGACTTATCTTGTTTGCCTGACAGCTCTTGAAACGTACCCACTTCTCGTCTATCCTCTCATAATTCACCTAGGTGAAGCCACTTGCGACCATACCAATCAACGCAGTCATAGAGTTGCATTAATACCTTCATATGTCCTGCTTCTACTGCGGATAGGGACCGAACATTCCGAACAAGCTTGAGTGAGAGCCGATATTTGCGCTTGAGGTCCAGTTGAACTCCGGCGTGAATTTGGCTCCTCGCGATTCGCCTGCGTGAGATGCTGAAGTGTCGGAATGCTCGACTTTGATCTTCCTTTCGACCTGATAGTCTGCGATCTTCTTCTCGAACCTCTGTCTGATCTTGCGTCCTTCTTCGGTCTCTGCTGGTAGTCTGGAGAGAAGATCTTCTCTTTTAACAGACTTCTGAGGCATCCCCGATGAAGCAGGAAGCGTGGGGAACGTTGACGACTTTTGAAAGAAGCCGGCATTGTTCGATCCGCCTGCATGGAAAGTCGTGGTGTTGGTGTCTCTGATGATGTTTGGGTTGCTGGAAGGCGAAAATGCAGGTGGGGTAGGCGGCGGGAGCAGAGTTCCAGAGAAGGGTTGTGCGCTACTCCAAGTACCCCAAGGATGTGTAGCGCGAGCAGGCTGCAAAGGCTGCAAGAATGTTCCATAGGTTCGCTTGGAGGGCTGAATGACTGTCAGAGGCTTGGCCTTCTTTCTCGCCTGTCTTGCAGCATCCCTCTTCTCCCAATCTTCCTCATCTTCGTCGGATTCCATGTCTTCCTCTTTCCGCTTCTCACGCTGTCTAGCCTCTTCCAAAACAGCCTTCTCTCCGAACAATCCGGTAAAGTTGCAGGGCTTGATGCCATCGCCAAATTTGGGTGTCGGAACGCTCGGTGTGGAGGAGAGGAATTGATTGCCGAAGCTTGATGGTGACTGTCCGAAGCCAAAAGCGAATCCGGGACTGGAAGAACTGCCAGCTGACTTGAAGTCGGCCGTCTTGGCCCCAAGCACCCAGGCTGGGAGATTCTTGAAGAGTGTGTCGGACTTGGGCTTGGAGTCTTGATGTGAGCCGGCCACTGCAACTTGGGGCTTTGATGCAATCTTGTCTGTAGGCTTCTTGGAAACTGCAGGATGACTGGTGAAGTTGATGTTTGAGACCTGACTAGGAGGACCGGCGGAGACTGGTGGAGAGGGAGCGACGAGACCCAAAGTGGATGGAGCTGGGATTGCGGCTGAGGGCTTCATGGCGTGCTTCACTGGAGAGTATTGCTTGCCCTTGGCCACGTGGTTTTACTTGAGCTTCGAGATGAGTTCATCGCGCTCGACGGCGAGCTTGGCTAGCCATCTTTGAGGGCCATCCCAGAGTTGTGAAAGAAGATCCTTGCAAGCGTTCTGGATTGTCGTACCATAGCCAGTCACACGTGGATAGTCTTTGCCCTGGATGCAGGCATACCACAAGATTTGCACTGAGCTGATGCACGCGTCGGGGCGGAATTCTTTGTCGAAAAGGATTTCCGGCATTTCCTCACCGGTTCTGGCCCACTGTGCCTTGTAGGCGTCTGGAAGAAGTGATGGTGAGTAAGAAAGGATAGTGACTGTGGAGGAGGTTTGTACTTTTGATTCTTCCTTCTAGAGACTGAAGGCCCGTGAGACTGTTCATTGTGGAGGTCGCGAGTCTTTCGTGGACGCGCAGATGCTGCGATTGTGCGATGGTCGCCGACAGGTGTGAGAAAAAGATGAAGCGCAGGCTGCTTGTTCAGTTCAATGGACTTCTGGCAATTTGCGTCTGCAGCAGAGTTGAAACTCGAGCAACGTGAATGTTCGCCGAGACTTTTCCACACGTCCGTTGGTTGAAGGAGCTGCAATGCCCCTTCCTTTTTTCGGATGCCGATCAAACTTCAATCAAAAGTTCTTACCTCACCGCAAACATGGCATCCAGTCCGTGACTTCAATCCGCCATCCAAGCATGCAGCGCTGCAGCGCTTGCAACCATAAAAATGCACAATGATTTTGAGAAAACATAAAATGTCCAGTGAGAGTGCAAACAGTTCGAGCTCTCAGCGGACCTCCATCGAGTTCTCAACACCTTCGTGCATTTTGACAAACAGTCAGCCCACCCTACTGGCAGAGGAGAGTCCTATATCCGGTCAAAAGTACATGAGCTTGGAAAATGCAAAAGCAGAAATGAAGAGCGACGTCGACGGAAGCTGAGCTTCACAATCTTATCAATCAAATCTTCACTTTCCAGATCGGGTGTAGTAACTTCTCATTCTCACATGCAAGGAAAACATATATTCTCCGTAGCTATACAAACTACGAATACCTCTTGCTGTACTCCTCTCATCAACGGTTATGCCCTAAGCTTTATTCTCGACGACCATTTCCTGGCTCATGTGTCTGTGTCTGCTGCTCGGTCATGCAATTTCCCTACGACTTACGCCTTAGGTTCATGTGTCGTACATGTATTTTAACACGCTCGTAAGTGCGACGTCGAGGGGGGTAGAAGCATGCGTAACATTACGACCGATGAAAAACGGAGATATGGCAGCCCGGAGATGATCCTATAATCTACATGTATTTCATACGGGGCTCTCGACGTAAAAGCTAGACATCGGGACGCTCGTAGCCCCGTAGTTATAATATAGAGGTTTTCCTATCATTATGGCTACCCAAACTAGAGAAGACATTGCTCAGAGATACGGAGCTACCTCTGATGAACCGGGCTCTAGACGACGAGTCTATATATTAAGAAGCTCGGAGCTACGGTGCGAGAAAGAGATAGGAGTCTACGTAGCATCATAACCGGGCAGAAAAAGAAGTGTAGACCGTAGGAGATGCGACGACGGTAATATTGTCGAAGCTGACCTTGTTAGCTACGCGATATGGACCTCCGAAGGTCGAGAGCGACGGCGACGGCGAGGACGACACAAATTCTGAAGGTATGGAATGGTTTCTCTAGTGATAATGTCAATGTCAATGATAAGAAAAAAAGACAGAGCTTATGGCCAGATACAATATTCACATGGACACGTTAGAGGGACATTTGCTTATTGGCTGGGAGTTGAAACTGATGATCTGACCAAAAGTTGTGCGCAGATAATATGATACTCGGATTGAACGGGAATGTAAAAAGAAGAGACTAAGTGAAAGTGTGGAAGGTAAGTGAAAGAATGGAAGATTTGCTTAACACCGCGAAGCTTGACTGAATTGCTCTTCTTCTGACCTATCCTTCTCTGCCCCTCGTTCTTCCTTCTTCCTTTCCCATCGTTAACCATCATCATGCAAGGCCAAAACATCGTGGGTTTACGCACCCAGATCCTTGGTGAGCTCTTCCTTTCTACTTCTTCTTGGAAGTAATCCTCGCTAACCAAATTTAGAAAATTGGCGATATGTTCATCCACACGGATCTGAAGTGGTGATCGTTACCTCGCTGAACAACTTGAACAACCAATATGAGGCAACCACCTGCAATGCCATGATCACGGAAGACCCTGGTCAAGGCGGTGATCTTCTCGTGAAGACATCCGCCTGTCCCTCGTACGAATCGGCTCTCCTTGAACTGCTCGCCACAACCAGCGAAATGGTATCCCAGGCCACTGTCGGAAAGACTGCCAAGACCGCCGCCCAAAGAAAGGAGAAGGCTGTTCGGGATGCCGTTGACAAGAGAGATCTTGAGGAGAGAATGCAATGTGTGCGCAGCGCCATCGACCGTAAGACCCTCTGAGATCTGCACAGCAGAACCGGCATCCTGACGTAAACAACAGACGCCTGGGAGCAGCTGAAGCCCGCCGGTGACCCCGTTGACTTTCCCATCCGCACCGGGAGATTGTCTGATCAGGTCGGCTACAATGTCTCGGCTGTCCGTGTTGGCTTGTATGGCACGGGTGAGACGGAGGAGCTCGCATTGATTGACTTGAAAGGCAAGATGGGAAGCTGGATTATGGCTCTCGAGTGGAAGAAGCAAGCCGATGCCAAAGTCCAAAGTGCCATCCTCCAGTAGTTGAGTCTGCTTTACTTGACAAAGCATTCAAGCACGACAGATAGGATCAATCCAATTCATATATCAGGAAGACAGATCACTTAAACTGATCCTAGGAAAGAACAACACCAGCACACGAATTCTTTCCTCTGCGCCTCGATTGCAAAACCAGTGTTCACAAAACAAGCGTTACAATGATTTCCCAAATCGTGATTCCCATGCAAGTTAATGAATCAGATGAAAAACGAAACAAGACCACATCCGAGTGAAACTCTTAGTCTCAATCTCTAACCTCGCCAACTCCTCACAGTCAAAGTACTTGTTCCAGGCTTTCTTTCCTTCTTGATCCTGTTTCTCCACCACAAAATCTCATCGCAATCATGTCCACTCAAGACAACAACATCCTAGGCCTTCGCGCTCAGATCCTCGGTGCCCCAGCTTCCCACACACTATACAAACACAACAGCTAACCCGGATCGAGAAATTGGCGCCAAGGGCGATTTTCTCATCAGATCGCAAGGGACATGGAATGGAATGTTGACAGACAGTCCAGCGCATCGAGAAACCTCATGTCACGATTAAATGAAACACTGGGGACAATTGAGAAGAAAGGAGCTGTGTCCACAAGTCTTACATACATACACTTACAAATTCACATCTCCACCAAATCCAACAGGCCGTCTGGTTCCTTCTCCAGCCTTGGGTGGTACATGCGGCAAGATAGCCATGACCTGATACAACTTGCCCATTCCCTGAGGTCCCACATCAACCAACCTCCTCCACCCACTTTCAATCCTCTTGACCGTCTCGGTCAAATCGCTTTTCGTCCTTTCCTGCCCTTCACCCTTTTCAGCAACACTGCCTCTTTCACGATCAACGGCCAATTTAACCAACTGAGCAGCACGCTGTTCGATACCCATGGACGTCAGGAAACGCGCTTGATCGACGGGTCCGTGGACTTCGACGTTTAAAGATGCGTTGATGGCACTTTCGGCCAGAGCGAGGAAATCGACATCGGCGCTGATGTCCACTTTTCCTGGCTCGGAGAGAGGAGACACAAGATGATGCTGCTTGATCCCGCGAAGAGAGTTTATGGGGATGGAAGATGCAGTGCCGTAGTCGAGGATCAATGCAGCACCGGACGCTTGCTTCTTGACAATCTCCTCAACGGCGCGGCGGGGAGAAACGCGACGGCCTGTGGGTGGGGGTGTTTGATCTGGATGGGTTGTGTAGAGGGCTGAAGGGCTAACGCCGCCACCGATACGGACGGCGAAGTCTGCGGCGTAGGTTTGGGATTCGGGGCTGACTTCTATGACGGCGCCTTCAGTATCTTTGAGGTTTTTGTAGCGTTGGGATTGTTCGGGGAGGAAGAGGGAGTGGGGTGTTGCTGCTTGAGCTCGTGTGAGCGAAAACTCGGGGACGGGCTCGTCGCGTTGTGATTTGGGCGTGTTGAGGGTATCGTGGGTAGCGTAAGGTGATGTTGGTGAGACGACGAGTTCACGCCACTGTGATACTGTGTTTGGGTTTCCGGTGGCTGATGGGTCGACCTTGTGAATGCCGGTAGGAGTACGGATCTGCTTGGGAGCGGCCTGAGCTTTGATAGACTCAAAGACATGGATGGGAAGAGCATCGAAGAACTCGTGAGCGACGATGAAGGGAGAGCTGTCGGTCTCTCTGGGGACAAAACGGATATCCTCGCACCAGATAATCTTCAAGTCGGGGGTGTACTTGCATGTACTCTGGTAGCCAATGTCGATCTCTTCAAGTGCATTGTCACCACAAAGAAGCTTGTGTTGAGCTTTGCGTAGCGAGGGACTGGCTTCAACCATGTAGATGCCATCAATGGCTTGTGCCAGAGGTTTGAAGTTGCGAATCGATCTCAGCATGTCGTCCATCAAGGTTCCTCTTCCAGGACCCATTTCCATGAGGTATACTCCACTGCTCTTTCTGCCTTGGGCAATCCATTCTGCGACAAACCATAGTCCGATGAGTTCTCCGAAGATTTGAGAGATCTCAGGGGACGTAACAAAGTCTCCTTTCTGGCCGAACGGATCTTTGCCTTCGGCGGATTGAGTGTAGTAACCAGTTTCGGGGAAGGTGAGACATTGTCGCATGTAGGCAGCGACTGAGATGGGTCCAGTGGTCTATCAACATTATTAGGTGATTGTGTGAGGACTTAGTATAGGTGAATACTGACAGTGATGGCCTCTCCCAGTGTTTTGGCAAGCGGCGTTGACCACTGTCTAGAGCTGGTGGACGAATATCTTGCGCCGGAGCATGTCAAGGCACGTCGCGACAGCAGGACTCTCTCCTGAGCAAGCCATTTGGCTACTTGTATCGTACTGCGTCTCATTTTGTCACTCCGATGTACAATTGAGCAAGTGGGTTGGCGGTGTTTATTGCGACAAAAAAAGCAAGAGCTGAAGCTCGGAGGTTTCGACCTTCGCCGCAACTTCATGACGCACCATTCGGCATCTGCATCACCAACCCAAACACTCACCAACTCAATTCAACTCCACCATGGTATCGCGCTGGGCAAACGACGAAGATCATGCCGCGATAGAAGCTCAACGGAAAAGAGAAAAGGAGGAAAAGAAACGCGCAAAGGCCGAAAAGCTGCGCCAGCAAGAAGAAGCCGACCGACAACGACAACAGCATGCCGCAGAGGAAGCAGACGACCGACCATCAAAACGAAGACGTCTATCGCCAACTCAAGAAGCAGATCAACCTCGTCAACTCGTCCGATTCCACGCGCCATCATGGCAGCCCGCCCGTACCATCGACAGCTTCGAGCGACTGAACCACATTGAAGAGGGCAGCTATGGCTTCGTGTCGCGAGCAAAGGAATTGGCTACAGGGGAGATTGTCGCAATCAAGAAGATGAAGATGGACCCCGGCTCTGCACAAAATGGCTTCCCTGTCACGGCTCTGCGAGAGATTCAGACATTATCCGCTGCAAAACACCGCCATATCGTTGATCTGAGAGAAGTCGTGGTTGGTGAGAAGGGCAATGTAGATGACATTTTCCTGGTTATGGACTTCTTGGAACATGATCTTAAGACGCTCATGGATGACATGGAGGAGCCGTTTTTGCCTAGTGAAGTCAAGACTTTAATGTTGCAGCTTGGGAGTGCTATCGAGTTCTTACACGATAGGTGGATTTTACATGTGAGTCTTGTCGCCTTACTCAAACGTAGTAATTTTGCTGACAGATTCTAGCGTGATTTGAAAACATCAAACATCCTCATGAACAACCGCGGTGAAATCAAGATTGCCGACTTCGGTATGGCAAGATTCTGTGGAGACCCTCCGCCGAAGAACCTCACACAACTTGTCGTCACACTCTGGTATCGAGCTCCTGAACTTCTACTTGGAACGACGACATACGACAGTAGCGTCGACATGTGGAGTGTTGGCTGCATCTTTGGCGAGCTTCTCACGAACGTTCCATTGCTTCAAGGCAAGAACGAAGTAGACGAGCTAAGCAAGATCTTCGAGCTTTGCGGCGTACCGACGGACGCTTCATGGCCTGGCTTCAAACGACTACCCAATGCTCGAACGCTACGACTGCCGAGGAATGCTCAAACAACTGGCTCTGTGATACGATCGAAGTTCCCCTTCCTCACAAAGGCTGGCACTGATCTGCTTTCCGCGCTTCTATCCTTGAACCCGGCCAACCGACCTTCAGCGAAAGAGTTGCTGGATCATTCATACTTTGCCGAGGATCCGAGACCGAAGAGTACAGCCATGTTCCCTACATTTCCCAGCAAGGCCGGTCAAGAGAGGAGACGGAAGCATAGAACTCCTAATGCGCCTATGCGTGGTGAGCATGGTGCTGGAGCTGCAGATTTTAGTGGGCTGTTCGCTGGACGAGACGATGAGGAGATTGGAGGTGGTTTCCAGCTCAAGCTGGTATGAAACCTTGTCAATAATAATATCAAAGACGTTGTCTGCTCAGACATTCGACCTCTTCTATAATTCTCCAAGGAATTTGTGTGCGTCAACAACACAAATGCTCTCAGTCGCCCCATCCGACTTCTTCAATTGGCGATTATATTCAATAACGAAGACCGATAAGACACACGAGTAAAACTATTGCCTGTTGCCGAAAATCTCATCGTGAACTCTCAAGCCCACCAAGGTGGAAATTGTAAGATGTCGTCAGGGTCCCCCACCCCGCGAACCAAAATTTCGAGCCGAGACTTTTGAAACCTCGCGCGCAGATCGACAGTGAGCTTGTCGCATACCCACGCAACTTTCACATCCACATACCACGACATCTCCAACCTCACATACGGCTACATCACTTACAGTACACATCCGCGCATCACTGGAAATTTCATCCCACGACCTCAAATTCCCATCTCAAGTCACACGAACCAGCAACACATCGACTCATCAGCCTCGCATCGCGAACGCTACTTCTGGTCGCAAAACACATCACAACACTTGAACGCGTACATCGAGTAACAGAGCAATGTCAAGAGGAGGCGGCTGGGGCGGCGGCGGCGGCAAAAATGACTTGGGCAAAATGGGCGGACAAGCTCTCCCTTGGGAATACGATCCAGAGCTCGAAGGAAAATTGAACACCAAGCCCAGCGAAAAGTTTCCCGTACGTTGGAAATAATACTCCTCCCCTTCCTATCCTCCACTTTTTTCTTTCTGTCATGTCAAATGCTCGGAATCATGCTTGCTGACGCTCGCTCTCGCATAGCCAATCCCTCCACCGACAGCAGACCCGCCAACCCCCTATGAACGCTCCTTGGTCCACCACTACCGCACGCTTCGCGCCCGCATCCACGATGGCCCATTCTACGCTATTCTATCCTCTTCCGCGCGCGTCCACAAGTCTGGCAAAAAGTCCCCTCCTCAAGCCCACTACGATCCCTTCGAAAGCATGCCCACCTACTCCCAACGCTACACGAAAAGAAAAAACACCTTGCCTCGGTTATCAGGAAGACCGTTTGTGAAGAGTTATTTCCCGGAGGAATTGTGGGCGGTGATTGAGCCTGGGAGTGTGGGGGTGCAAGGGCAGAGGAAGATGTTGAGTTTGAGCACGAGGACGAAATTGGATAAATTTGATGTGGATGGGGAGGATGAGGATGAGGAGGGAGAGGAAGGTGGGGAGGATGGGGATAAGGTTGACGGGGTGGAGGATGAGGATAAGGAGGAGGAGGATCCGGATCAGTTTGATGAGGAGGATGAGGATGATAATGATGATTATAATGCAGAGCAGTACTTTGATGGTGGTGATGATGATGAGATGGGGGATGAAGGTGGTGGTGATGATGATTATTAGTCTCGTCTCTTTTTTGCTTCTATACCCTTCTTGTCATCAATTATCAAAGGGAAGGTTCTTGCTTTATTACAATGCTGTCCCAAACACCATCAATGCATCAATTCATAACTTCGTCACCCATGACCTTCTCTCGACTCGAGTCAAGTGCCCTTAGGCTTCCTAACAACCACCACACCATCCTCCCTCAAAACCCAACCCACTTTGTCCCTCTCAACCAATTCCTCCCACCCTCTATCAGCACTCCTCTCCACAAACCCCTTATCCACCATCATATACCCCCTCCCCAAACACTTCAACGCATGCAACCTCACCCCCTCCTCAGCCCAACTCATCAAACACCTCTGATAGCCATCCACCGCCCTCCTCATCCTCCAAAACACCACCCAATCATCATGAACCAACGCCTTTACCACTTTATCAACTTTCCCATCTCTGATTCCAAAACACCTTTTCAAGCGATATGCATCCACAAAATCACCTTGTCTGCACACCATATCCAACACCAAATAACTGGCGAATTCCTGCAATTCCGGTCTCGATAGAGGCGTGCGTGGGTGGATTTTGTACAACAGGTATTGCAGGGCTGGATGATATGTTTCTAGATGCTTGCACAGGATACTCGCTCTGATTTGAAAGGTATACACACGTTGGGCGAATGCGTCGACTCTATGCGATGCCACCAAGGCTTCTCGAAGTTTCCGCATCGCCATGAGAATAGTAGACATTTCCTGCGCTTGTGGCTGCTGGGATGTTGTGTTTGTATGATGTTGAGCCTTTGCCGTATGCAGACTTGCTACTGCGGGCGATGGGGTAGGGGTCGAGGTAGCGAGGCTGAGGTTTTGGAAAGCGGCTTCTAGTTTCTCGCCCGTGGGGTGGGAGGCGCAGAATCTCATGTAGCGGGTTACTATGCGTTCGAAGTATGTTTCTTGGGTTTTGAGGTCTGCGAGTCTGTCATTTTCCATCAGTATGCGACTACCAGGCAATGCGGTGGTGGGGGGTATACACACCTTGTCTCGCCTTTGGACGGCAAGCCATAGACTTCGAGGGGATCGATTTGCGGTTGCCGGAGCCTGCCCCAGGCGCCTGAAGGCCCTCTTCGAGCTGGCGGTCGTGCATTGGACGAAGACATTGTGGTTGGTATGTTGTTGTCGTTGCGATGGAGGGGTGGGCTTTGGAGTGTTTACGCTGACGTAGGTCGAGGTTTCCCGAAATGGCAACGCTTGCGAGAAAGCTTCCCTTCCTCTTCGCCGCAGACCTCCGAGTTGATTGATATCAGTCCACGTTCGCATCTTTGGAGTTTTGTTGAATCTCGTCGCATTTTTTTGATCAGGCAGCAGTATCTTCGAACCTTCGTTCATTATCTCACTGCTTCTATATCGTGCTGCGTTTAAGCCAGCTTGTTACTGATCTCGTCGAGCACATTTCATCATCTCCAGGCCGTATAAACAGGGACCACCATATCTTCCTTGATTGATTTACAGCACTACACCGGCTATAAACAAGAACACAACGCAAGAATGAACCAGCGGAAATCTACTCTGCGCTCCGGCAAGGTACAAGCCGATGGGCAGGAGAAGGACATCATCATGAAAGTCGAACAGAAAGTCTCAAACGCCTTGACAGTACTCTGGTCGGAAATTGATCCCTGGCAACAAGACAATCACTACATTCACTCAGGCTATCGACCAGCTAGCAACTCTTTCTCCCGCTCATTTGCCTCGCTAGCTTACATGCACAACGAAACTGTTAACATCTACACGCATCTTCTCGGTGCAGTGGCTGCTCTCATCTGCTCGATATATTTGCACTCTCTTATCAAGCCGAGGTACGACAGAGCAACAGCTGAGGATGTCATTGTCTTTGGCTGTTTCTTTGGTGGTGCTGTGGCTTGTTTGGGTATGAGTGCCACGTATCATGCCATCTCCAATCATTCGCCCAAGGTCAGCAAGATTGGTAATCAGCTCGACTATGTCGGCATTGTGTGTCTGATCTGGGGAAGCTTCATACCGAGCATCTTCTACGGCTTTGCGAGAGAGCCTGGGTACATTGCTGTCTACTGGTCCATGGTGAGTTGAATGCAGTCGTTCTCGTTCTACCAGTGCTGACGTTTTGGTAGATTACACTGATCGGTATTGGCTGCGCGACTGTCTCTATTCTGCCCAGCTTCAGAACGCCCAAATGGCGACCCTTCCGTGCAGGCATGTTCGTTGCCATGGGTCTGAGCGCTGTCATTCCTGTATTGCATGGCATCTCGCTGTTCGGCGTCGAGCAATTACAACGTCAGATGGGTCTTTCATGGCTGGTTCTACAAGGCGTCTTATATGTTTCCGGTGCCGCAATCTATGCTGTAAGTTACATCGTCAGCATTCACCGATCGCAATGATCCTGATCAGATTCGTAGGCTCGTGTACCAGAACGTCTGAAGCCCGGCTCCTTCGACATTTGGGGCAGCTCTCATCAGATCTTCCACGTCTTGGTATTACTCGCAGCAGCATCGCACTTTATTGGCCTTGTCAAATCATTCGACTATGAGCATAGTGCCCGCGCTCAGGCCGACAATGTTGTGTATGGTTTCAACCACATCTTCTCGAAAAACTGATTGGTTGAGGGTTTTAGCAGTAATCGCTGGAATTGACTACGATGCACAACCGCCGACTTCGCAAAGGCCTCAGTACTTGTTACTCCTTCAAGCGAGGTCGGAATCGATATCGCGCAAGGAAGTGCGCAATAAACGAAAGTTGCGGAAAGATATTCGGCCGGAATGCCGACAACCTTGACGATCACCCATCCCACTTCCCCAACTTGATAACCGAACCATAATTGCGGAGCCCCATATATCAGCCGAATGACCACCACCTCAACACTCAAGAATTGCCATGGTATTGGCGGAAAAACTAAGCTCATGCATAAGAACTATCAAGCGTGGATATGTTCCTGCCAAAAACAGCCACCTTCTCCGCATCCTGCATGCATGTCTTGGCTGGTCACCCCGCAACGACCATTGCATGTTTACTGCCAACATGATGAACCGACGTCAGCAGTAATGACATGATAGAGGATCTTGACCTACATCTATCAGCCATTGTCCGCCTTGGCTCACAATCCTGCATGGCCAAGATGGAAAAATGTTTTTCAAAGTCCTTCCTTGCTGTCATGAGGCTGGGAAGATGGACTACTTAACGTGCATTCAAGTCGCCCGAGAGTGGACGTGACAACTCTCATCTGACCTCTCTGAAATATAAACATGAGGCTTTTCTCTTGCCTTCTTGCCGCCGCCACGGCCATCACATCTGCTGTCGCATACGACATTCCTGACGGTGCATCTATCTCTGTCCCATGGAGGCATACAGGACGTCCCGGATTCGGCTGGGGCAACCAAAAAGACAAATGGGGTAATAAGATCGAGGACGACCGCCGTAAGATCACTATTCGTGCGTCTGAAGACGACACCGACGACATCTCAGCAGATTTCGTTTGGGCTCTGGAACAAGCACAGAACGGAGGATTGGTACATCTCGAAGAAGGCAAGACCTACATCATTGGCAAGAAGATCGATCTTCCTGTGCTCAATGATGTATATGTCAAGCTTGATGGTACCCTGAAGGTGAGTTATTCGCACTATGTATCGAGAGCGATCTGACACATGCAGTTCACCGATGACGTTGCGTATTGGCAAAGCAACTACTTCTACTACCCTTTCCAAAAGAGTATCACTTTCATGGTCTGGAGTGGCAAAGACATCCGCATCTACGGCAAGGGAACGATGGACGGTAATGGCCAAGCATGGTACAATGGCTTTGCTGGTCGTGAGATCTTGGTGAGCATCTACTGCGTGTTTCTCTCCAATGATCCAAGCTAATAGTGACAAGGACTCCTCCAACACATACTACCGTCCTATTCTGTTCCTGACCGACAATGCCACCAATGTCGACGTTGAGGGTATCACCTTCTTGAACAGTCCCTGCTGGACCACTTTCCTTGTTCGCACCAAGGACGTCTCTTTCGACAATGTATACATTGAGGCTTTCAGCAACAACGCCTCCGCGCTCCCTAAGAACACTGATGGCTTCGACTCGCTCAACGTTGACGGTCTGACTGTCACAAACACACGTGTCAATGTCGGCGATGACTGCTTCTCGCCTAAACCCAACACCACCAACATATACGTTGAGAATCTTTGGTGCAACGGAACACACGGTGTCTCCATGGGCTCGATTGGTCAATATCCTGGTGTCAAGGACTACATCTCAAACGCCTACCTCAAGAACATCACCCTCCTAAACGGACAAAACGGCGCCAGACTGAAGGCTTGGGCAGGTCCAACAGCAGGTTACGGCTACATCGATAACATCACTTACGAAAACGTGCACATTGAGAATACCGACGCACCCATCGTCCTTGATCAGTGTTACTTCAACATCAACGAGACCACCTGCGCTGCCTACCCTTCCAACGTCAACATCACCAACATCAAATTCATCAATTTCACTGGTTCATCATCGGGCAAGGATGGTCGTGTTGTCGCGGACTTGACTTGTTCGCCCGGTGCTACTTGCAGTGAGATCCTTCTCGAGGGTATCAACCTGACCAGTCCCAATGGTACGGCGGAGATTGTTTGTAACAATATTCAGGGAGATATTGGAGTTGATTGTATCTCTGCCGCTGATGCGGATGATTGATCATAGAGTACTAGAAATTTTTCATGACAACTAATTCAATGCTACTTGTGCTTCTTTATACCACCAATCGAATCCATCTCTGTTGGAACCAGACACTCTTGGTGTCCAGACATGCTAACTTGGAAACAACATTATCTCTCAATGGTTCTCATAGTTAAGAAAGTCGCGCTTATGCACAATGCTTTTATGCAGTTGCACAAGAATGCATAAGCTCGGCCAAGCCTCGCACAAGACTTTGGCGAAGACCTCTCTTGCTCCACTCGCTTGCATCATTCCATCGTTGCTAAGTTTCTTCTCTACAACCAACGAAAAGTTCAACATGGCGCAGATGCAAAGCTCGTCAAGTGAGATGTTAAGTCCAAGCTAAAATTAGCACAGCCATTTTGTTAACGGAATGGAGTCGCTGTTTGCGACAAGGGCTATGTGCTTGGATGGCCTTGATGTGTGGATATCGCTTTGATGACGACGGGATGGATTCGCTGTGAGGATGCTGGTGCAGACATTAGGAGACAGTCTTGGTGTCAGCTGTCGTCCGCTACTCACTCGCGAGCTTCTGGGGACGGCCGCTGCACGGAGTTTCCAGTGATCGTGGACTGCGTGCACCCGTCATAAGCAACATGTTCGCTACTTTTGCTGCCCTTGACTTGACTTGACTGGTTCCTGCCATCCCGGCGCCGGAAAGTCTGGAAGTCGACTGCCGACGACAATCGCCAGGACCGTGGGATATCATACAATTTTGCCTGCCATTGATCGTTGCAAAACAACTCGCCTTGTTCGGTTGGCTTGCGCATATTGCGGTCTCGATCTAGGCGGCACTGATTGATACTGCAATCGACACATTGTCTCCTCCCAGGATCTGGAGTTGAGAAGCGGATCTGTCGGCAATGCCGCGTCGTAGGTTGCCAAAACAACCTTCAGCACTTTGCCTGCGCTTTGCACCTCGTCGACGAGCTTGCGAAACAATCCGATGATGTGCGAGAATGTCTCTGATTTGTCCTTGTACTGCTCATACAATGCGCTTGTGTCTAGGATTAGACAAGTCATTGGTATCGAGCCGAGGATCTGGCCGAGAAGATGCATCCATTCCTCTGGAGAGTGGGCCGAATGATATTTCGCCGACTGCAATCCTCCAGGTTGAGTGATGAGGAAGTCCGAGTTGGTCTTCAGTGCCTGATATACAAGACTCCGCGTCCAGCTTTCGAGACTTTCAGAGCACATCTTGGAACTACCCTCACCCATGACTTTCGGAAGTGCGAATATCAACGAGCAGAAAGGTCGGTGGGGCGCCTCAATGAGGTCTAACATGATTGTCTTCATCATCATTTGATCAGCAAATTTGGCCTGGAGCACAAGTAACGAGGATTTCTGGTCTTGAGCCCAGTGGGCAACAGATCGGCGTAGCCCGCCATCGTTCCGGAGAAGGCTTTGAGGGAAGCGGTTTCTTCTGATGAGAATCTGGATGTCGACTAGGACTTGGGCGAGATCGACTCCTGGCGCAAGGCCTGTCAGAACGGAAGACACTTGGAGGTCCTGGACTCCTGGCCTGACAACACGCATGTCTTCACTCAGACTTGTCAAAAATGAGCCTGTGCCTGTCAATCACCAAGTCAGTTATCGATCACGAAAATCACGGTGGAATTCATACTCATGAGTTGTTTCAACACCAGATTGGATATTCCCTGCAATTCTTGCATTGTATGAGAGATTGTGTCGAACTTGAGGCCATGAGCCGACAGTATTTTGTGTATGTCCTGTGTGCTGAGTTCTGTCTGATTCACACTGATCTCCACATTCCTCACGCTGAGCTCTGTGTTCTGTACGCTGACATGTGTATCTCTGAGCTCAGCATACATTGCAGTCTGCGATTTGTCTTTGACCTTTGCGACCAAGGCATGGATGTTGTCGACATTGTCTTTCCAGCTGAGCGTCCAGGGTCGTCCCATGGAGGAGACAAAACGTTTAAGCGTGCTTTGGCTATACCACTTGACGGCTTTCTCCAGGAATCGCATGATCTGCAGATATAACTCGCTGATATGAGTCTGCATGTCCGCAGTACCATACAGTCGGGCAGAGCACAACGCGGAGTTCAAGGCCTCACCTATCTCTGAGAACGCGGTTGCGAACTTGGTCAAGAGCTCACTGTGATTCACAACACCCATGAGGACGAATTTGATGGCGCCCCATGCCAGGGAAACATACTCGGGATGGTGCTGTGCGAGTGCGTCGAGAACGCTGCTGTAGTAGACGATCCTTGAAGAAGCAAGATTCAGCCATTTTGTGGTCTTGTCCCATTTGGACCGGTTCAAACCATGTTGCGCCTGTGTTCTCCTGATGGCACTGAGAATGTCCTCCATGCAAGTAGGCGTGTTGAGCAATATCATGCTCTCAGCCTGATCGAGTTCTCGCTCGAAAGCATCAACGGCAGAATTATATGCTTCACTCGCAATATTCGTAGGGCTGTTGAGTGTTAGCCAGCAGCAAAAAGTCAATAGAGACCTTTTTTCACCCTGCGGGAGTGATCCAAAGCTTGGTGACTGCTGCATCTTGCACCAGGGGTGGCGCATTCATCTTGGTTGAGCCAGGCCCAGGGCAGACCTAGATCTCATTACAATCGAACGGAGTACATGGCCTTCTTATCATTCCTATGCTAACCTGTAGAACCAGGGCTTAGCCGGTGGGCTGAGCAAGGCTCGAATATGCATGATCTATACATGGCGTTGCCCGATTGGCTGATAACAGCGTGCAGCTCGAATGCGCCACACAGTCACATGCGCAGCCCGATATATTCGCTCCGCCCCAAGACCACCCGATTTCGCTCCACCGAATGTTCGTGTTTACACCTCCATCTCCAAGACAGACATTAAGCATAGTTCCGAGCCATCAAGATACGACACCCAAACGGTACCCAGATACTTCACTCTTAACTGCCACGAAAGAGAAGCAATCGCGCCCAGGTTGTTTCTAGTACCGAACAGTCTAGCGCTGGCTACTGGGAACGACTTTATACAGGATCCTGTCTGTGACACAACATGCAGAGTTTGATACCGGATCAAGCTGGACAACACATTGCTCCTTTTCAGCGCGGCCTCAGGGAATCTCAAGGATATAAGAGTGTCGGGTTGGAGATCGCGCGAGAAGAGCAGTCAAGCCGTCGATACGAGGATGCGACACAGTACTATGGAGACGATGCCATAATCTACGAGCGACCACATCTTCCCTCGGCTGCGGCCACGAGTGGAATGCTTGGTGACTTCTCAACAAGCCGTCCATCACCTGTTCCTGTACGCCGTCATCGGGTCACGCGTTCACCTTCTCCTCCTCCTCGTCGTTACGAGCGCGACAGAAAGATGAACGTCCCCGACATCCCCCAGACTGACGAGCCCCGGTTCAAAACACAGACGATTACGCCGAGTACCTCGTTCTCATCGCCCTATGATGCATACCGCTATACTACACCAGCGACCCCCATCAAGAATTTTCCTATACCCGTGCGTCGTTCCGAAACTTTGCCCAATTTATCGGATAGTCTATCAAGCCGAATGGAGAAACGTAAGATTTCCAAACTTCGCGAGAGCGAATTCTCAAAAAGCAGTCCTCCCTTCTCGCCATCTAGTCCGCCCTTCTCACCACCTCGGGCATCCGATCACCTACTACGATCAGGAAGCCCGAATATTTTGGTATCTTCCCAATCACCTGAGCGGAGGCGGCCGTCACAGAGAAGCTCACGCTACAGCGCTACACCATGGTCTCCACCAAAATCTAATCCATCCCCGGGCGTGTTTGACAAACCCTCAGCACAGTCCACTGCTCTTGCGCAGACTAACGCACAAGTATCACCCGCGTTCCTCCAGTCCGATCAATCCGCTTTGCTCCAAGCGCCAAACCCATCCTTACGCAGACCTGCGGTTCACGGTTGGGACATTCGGTCGACCCACACAACACCCCGCTATACCCTTGCACCACAACCCCTCCCGATGAAAACGAAGCCTAGTTATGGTAGTAGGAACCACGTTCATCCATTGACACCGAATCACGCCATACGGACCTCGCTGGGCTACGGCATCGCAAATATTGGTGCAGGCTCTGCGCCTCGAGAGATAGCTCCCTCTCTGACGAAAGCAGAAAATCGCTATATGAATCAAACAATCTCGGCTGATTACACTGGGGGCGACGACATTGTGATGAAAATAAAACTATGCGCCTTGGATACAGGATTGCAGCGTCGCCATCACAGTCACGGATTGGGTTCGCATGCGAGCTTCGAGAGCAGTTCTACGTTCGGGTCTTCTGCCATTCCTCGCTTCACACCTTCACCGATCGAACGCATTAGTCACCAGACATACCAAGACCTCAGAATCCGTAACGTAAGGCCAGGATATGGAAATCGTTGAAAGCGTAGTATAGTCGAGAAGCTTGGTGTCGCCCACGACGGGGCATTTTGTAAAGACAGTGTCATCGATGGCGACATCCGCTAGGCGGTTATAAACTTCCGTTCCCATTTGCATCATAAGCATACGAGCGGTTGTGTGTTCTCCGGGATTGAGGTCGCTCAACTGTCTTGCGCTTCACACACCACGCCTGGCGAAGAATTAGATCATTCGCTCGGATATGTACGAGGAAGCAAAAGCCAGGGTCGACGATCCCTTCACAAGATAATATTCGATTCGCTTATAAGCCAGAAAGCATTCCTGCCTTCGCATAGAACTACTCGTCTTTGGTAATTGGAATCCCGCTTTCATAATTTCATTCGTGGCAATGATCCGCACTTATCGCGTTACGGGGAAAGGCAGCGCAGCAGGATCTTGCGCATACAATTTCCGGAGGATCGAAGAGATGATGAACGACTGGATGATACGTCAGAGCCACTATACGCAGCCAATCAACGTTCCACGCTCTAGTTCCTGCGAGTGGCTGATCTTCAAGCTGCATCATGCGGGCTCAGCGCACGGAAATCCCCTCAGACCTCTGATGAGTATGTTTCCTCCGATTGTTTTATTTCTGCTCAAGTCACCGAGGTGTAAACACACACGACCTGGTCATGGAAAATAATTCGTACAACGCCTCGTTCAGGATGCCGCCTGGAGCATTCGGTCATCATCGTAACCGGGCACAAGATGACGATGTTGTGGATGTGGTTGAAGAGCATTCGGACGACGACTACAGCACTGAGCACTCGAGTCAATCCCAGATTTCTCAGTCTTTGACACCCTCACTTGTCATCATTCACATGGTGGACTGTACGCAGACAGGACATCATATGAACCATTCAGCGGTGAGCTATTACACGGATGTCCCTCGTCTTTTCGCTGGTGATAGCAAGGCTGTCGCACTGAGAGGACAAAACAAAATTGCAAACCCCCAGATTCTACTTGATGAATTGAGGGACGTAAGCTTTGTGGTTTACAGACGTTACGATTGTGTGCAATACCACCAACAGTGCGAACCTCTGTTCGAAACTCTGGCTACGGAAAAACAACGGTCAAGGATGCCCTTGGACATTCAAGCTCACCTCTCAGTACTGGGAGTCGACGGGCCCGCCGCATCCTCGGTATCTGAAGAAATCAGAAACTTTCAAGGTCGTATGCTCGCTGCCGTCCGAGCTCTTGACCATGCTTGCAACTGGGACCTTACTTCATACTACGATTCTGCAGAAGATTGGTCACTTAAAGCACCATACAACGATATATACCGTTCGCGCGAAGCTCTGCAAAATCGCACAGGAATGACCGATCCCATAACTTGGTCGTTTGTAGATTACCTCATCAATTACATCATGTCGACAATGGCTGTGGACTATGAAGAAGCGGACGAACTATTCACGAAAAATCAAGTTTCTGAAAAGCATTTGGCAAAACTTTACCGCGCTGATGACATTTTGGTCACCAGAGAAGAGGGAGAAGAGATTGCCGTTATTTGCCACTCGGTCCATAGCCAGGAGTCAGGCATGATCTCTTTAGCATGTCGTTTGTGGGAATTCGATGCTTCCTTCCACCTGGGTCCAAAAACTTTCGGACTAATTTGGCCTCGGCGAACGGATACTGCCATTGGGGATCCAATGCCAATAATCAACCTATCTATATATCCTCTGAAATACGGAGTCCAGGGTTTACGGAAGCGCCTGCTGGAACGTGGGAGAATGTTATGGAGTTGCAGATTCCAAAAGTACGTCAGTTATGACGCACCAAAACAAGGCATAGATGCACAAGCGGTACGTACAGGATATACCATACGTTTGGAATGTGCTAATGATCTCAAGATTCATGCTCGTTACATGATTGACATGAATGCCTATCATGAACTTCACCCGGAGAGCAACACTCGACGAGAAAACTGGCGTATGGGCGACATTGACGAGGCTACTATGGAGAGTGACAATCCACCCCCGGACGATTTCCTCCTTTGCCTACCGGCAACATTACGAGGTTACTGGTTTCTCAAAAAACGGTGGAGTAAGTTTTGGAGATATCAATAAGTATACTAGCTAACGGACAAACTCATAAAGTGACGCTCAAGATTCGTTATATCAAGGAAGTCACCTGGGAAGAATCAGCATTTGAGACACTCGTCCTAGACAACCATAAAAAAGAGATGCTGAAAGCGCTTGTCACTACCCATGACTCCGGAAACTCCTCGCTAGATGTGATCGAGGGCAAAGGCAACGGACTGATACTACTACTCCATGGCCCACCTGGGACGGGCAAAACTTTGACTGCCGAGGGCATCGCGGAGCTAACACACAAACCTCTATACAGAGTCACGTGTGGTGACATTGGCACCACGCCTGATGTCGTAGAGAGATATCTGGACTCTGTTCTGCACATTGGCAGAGTCTGGGGTTGTGTGGTACTGCTCGACGAGGCCGACGTCTTTCTGGAAGAACGCTCGCCGATGAACCTCGAGCGCAACGCTCTAGTTTCCATCTTTCTTCGTGTCTTGGAGTACTATGAGGGAATACTCATTCTGACGACCAATCGAGTCGGAACGTTCGACGAGGCTTTCAAATCCCGAATCCAACTTGCCATACACTATCCAAGTCTTAATCAGGAGGATCGCATGTCAATCTGGAGCAATTTTCTGGAGTCCATGGGGGATGAAGTCGACATCCTTGGGCTGCGCAAGAAGTACATGGTGCTTTCACTGACTCCTCTGAATGGCCGACAGATAAGAAACACCATCAAAACAGCTCGACAACTGGCACTCTTCAAAAAGGAAGTGATGGGTTATTCTCATCTGCAAGAGACGATCAAAATCAGCAACGAGTTTGAAAATTATATTCAGCAAGCGATGGGGCAAACGCATGCACAAAGAGCGGTTGACACTTCCATGAGAGCTCCTGAGCCGACTGAATAAAAGATTGCGTTGTCAACGCTTGCTCGCTGGCGTGAAAGGTCATTCCGAACTATTTCGTACCATTGGAACTATGTCGTTTTATGTTGAAGTTCGGTCGCACTTTCTAGTGCTCTTTTCTTTTTTCCTTTTTCTTCCTTCAGTCTTCTCCCATTTGTGTCTTTGCGTATCTCTTTGTCGAGTACTCCAGTCTTATCGCTTTCTTATGCTTAGCCTACAATGAGACCTTTGGCAGGAGTATGAATGAGCTTGTCAGATAAGTTGTGTAGAGCTCTAAAGCTATTTTTGTTGGCGCTTCATTTGTGTCTGCCAAAAAGTCATGATATTGTTCCAACACTAAAATGCTTCTCTACAAAAGTCATTCTATGCAAGAGACCGTAAGAAACAAGTCGTGCAATACTCCAGAGCATGACATTGTCTCGCAACATTGTCTCCTCTTGGTAATCAGAAGCCGTGGCTTTTGGAGCCTTCACTGAGCATGCATCTGTTAGTAGCCAATGAATCGCCCTCTACTTACGTTTCTCTCTTCCCAATGACCGGTGTGTTATTTTTCTCGACGTTCGATTGGCTGTTTACTTGCTTCACCACGGACCAATTAGATGATTGCGAAGCGATGAATTAAGCCTCTTCCACAATCCCTTGCTTACATATATTCGGCCCAAACTGATGACCGAGTCTGGGCCTTCTTCTAATTTCTCCGTCGCATTTTGATCGTATTGCGTCAGGTAAAGCTAAATGCATTGGACTGTTTGATGGCACACTTATACGCACCTCTTTCGGGACTAGCGGCTTTTCTGACACCCGCTGAACCTCATTCCAAATTTGGGATGGGATAGATAATTCGACTGATTTGCGTGATTTTCACTGTTCATTTAATTGTTTGGGATCATTCGCACCAATGATAGCTTCTGCTGATATCCAATTTACCTTCTTTTCCATATCGTCTGCTTACACATGCTCGGAGCAAATGGACGACCGAGTTTAGATGTTGCTTCCAATCACTCTGGTATATTTTGCGCACGGCGAGGGAGACTACCCGTCATGACAAGAGAGACCAACCGTCATGACAAGAGAGACCAACCGTCGGGCTATCTGCTGACGTGAAGCTGCTACCGTCGATGCTTCAGTAGATAGCGACCATGGCAGAAATAAGCGAGGCTGATCAATCCGTCCAGTTCTGATCATTTGAGTAGAGTCTCCCAAACTGCGGTATCATATGATAAGAAGCAAGCCGCGACCTTGAAAAAGTCTGGCAGGATCATCAATACTTGATTCAGTCTTACAATTTCAGTACAAGGTCTTGAACAATCTTCCGCAACAATGGACGCCAACGCCTACACCATCCCCTTCCAATTCACCAAAAGCCTTCGCCGTGATGTCTATCCTGCTATCGACCCCAAGAACCCTGAGCAGAATGCAGCTGGCAAAGTCGTCTTGATCACTGGGGCTGGTGGCGGCATCGGAGGAGTACGATATCATAAATCTATACTTCCGACTTCCTAAAGACTGACACAAAACAGGAGACTGCCCGTGCTTGGGCAATTGCTGGAGCCGAGGGTATCATCCTCGTCGGCCGTAAAGCTTCGCTGCTCCAGGAGCCCGCAGGGGCGATTTCTTCTATCAACAAAGATGTCAAAGTGTTGACGATGACTGCTGATTTGACCTCCGAAGCCGATGTCGAGGAATTGTTTAGCCAGGCTAAGACTACCTTTGGCAAAGTCGATGTTGTTGTCAACACCGCTGGTACTATGACCGGTGGTCCTGTTGGAGACATGATACCCCAGCAATGGTGGACTGACTTTGTAAGCTGCCCCCTACCACTTGACGAGTCTGACACTGATGTAAAACAGGAGGTCAATGTGAAGGGCACTTACACTCTGACCCACCATTACCTCAAGACCTTCGGCAGCAGCGGCACACTGATCAACCTCGTCAGCTTGGGCGCCTCCATGACCGCCCCTGGCATATCATCCTACTCTACCTCCAAGCTCGCAGTCATCAAGCTCTCCGAGTACCTCGATGCCGAAAAGCCTGACCTCCGCGTCTTCACCTTACACCCTGGTATAGTAGCCGCCACTAAGAGCAAGCGCGGTATGGTGGTTGATGCGTTCGCTCCTTTCGCCAAAGATCCTGGCATGTTAACCGGTGCTGTATCGCTTTACCTCGCTACTCCCAAGGCTGAGTATCTGCGTGGTGGTTTCACCAGCGTCAACTGTAAGTTTTATATCTGTTCTAAGATCTGCGGACAGTTTTGCTGACTTCTGTGACAGGGGATGTTGAGGAGATGGAGAAGCACAGGGATGAGATCAAGGAGAAAAAGTTGTTGAAGCTCGCTTTCCTCAACGGAAAACTTGGTCCTGAGGGTTATACTTGGTGAATGACGACGACCTAGGGAGATAGTGAGCTAGGGTTCAAGTTCTATCAAGAAGCAATATAAATCTTAACCTGAAAGATGTGAATCTCAACCAAATCGTGCTTTTCCATGTTCTATACCCGACTCGGAAGCCATCTCTCCTTTCAAAGCGAAGAATTTCGACTGCCTGTCGAGATGCAAGATGATTTCTGCAACACACTAGATGTCCACAGAGAGTGACACGCTCAGCTACTCTCCATGGACCAGCGTCTCAATTTGAAAATCATCTTGCGTCAAGATGGATTATTTGGCGACTACTTTGCTGGAAGGCTGAGAGCGACCAGACTCTCAGATCAGTTGTCAACCTTGCGGCTACATCTTCTAGAGCTCTGAGCGGGCTCCCTCTTACCCATAGGATTCGTGATAACCTTGTCGAAATTCAAGATGTTTTTCATGAGCGGATGCACGACCACTGAGAGCGCCTCTCGTCTGATCTCTCTGTGGTCAGCTATGCCAAGATGAAATTCATCTTGCCTTCAGACGAACGATTTGGCGGCAGGTGGACAGCCAGGAGTTGCTCAAGCATAGTGTTCAGTTGGTGCAAATCAGGGTGTCCATGGGCCAGGCGTCTATCCCAAAAAGCATCGTGCATGGTACCAAGATAATTTCGAGGACCTTGATAACACTAAGCGACGTTCGTCCTGGTGTCGATTGACGAACCCGATACGTATGGGTTCGCAGACAAACATGAACACTTTGTTACTGTGATGTCGTTCATGAATATCGCCAAGCCTCATCGCTTAGTCGGCGAGAAGCATAGACCGCCTCAAATGTCACCCTTTTTTATGCACAGCAGGAGGCCCGAGCGTCTTCTCTAGCGCCCATAGTCACGTGCGAAAGTCGACTTCACCATGTCTTGCACCATCATCGACTTCGCCAACTACGTTAGCGACGGCGACTCTCGCCTCTGGCCAACCCTAGGCCCTAACCAAGGCCAACGTCAAGCTCAGCCTCTCGCTCCCCTGCTCGTGGTCCTCAGAGACTACATCCTAGCCCACCATGCCTTGGAATTCGGTAAGAGATTTAGATTTTGCAGTCATCTCTTTACTATCGGGTACTGATTAGCTTCATAGTGCCCTTCAACGGCAGTCTTCGCGTCCTGAACCTGCCCCCGGGCTACATCGCCACGGTGTATACCAACGCCAAAGGCAGGCCTGTCCATACCTGCCACGGCCATCCCCGTGGAGGTCAATGGACCTCCTTTGTCAGCTTCATCCCCCACATCATCGCAATCTTGCGTGGTGATGTTGCTCGTTGTGGTTGCGTGCTCTGCGGTCGCTACCGTGGCCAGGGTACCCCGGCTCGCAAGCTCCCCCGCCCCTTCTGGCAGATCCGCTAGGGGTTGAGTGTAAGTGGTAATACCCTGAAAGCTATCATATTGGCTTACTAATGCTGGTATAGCCTAAGTCGACCTCGAAGAACGGCAGTATAGGGATATAGGGGAAGGGTTGAGGTGGCTGCTGTGTAAATTTTCGAATCAACCACTTTGCAGCGCGATGACATTTTACCTGTGTAGAAGCGTGAAGAAAGTTGTACATGTAAGGAGACCGAGTATGTTCTCTGAGAGCTTGAACAACTTCACAAAAGTGCTGGCTTGATTGCTTGCTTTGTTCACAAAAGGGAGAGCACAAGCTCTTCATCATTCCTACTCAACCTCATCATCCCACTCATCAAGCAGCGCCCATTTCATCTCTCCCACCGCATCTGCATTACCAACAATGCCACTCTTCTCACTCATCTCTCGTAACCCAGCGATGACATCTTCCAACCGCAAGGTAGTTCGTCGAGCGATTTCTTCTTCCGTTAATCCTCCTTCAGGTCCGCCGTGAATGCAGTGGTAGACAACTCTAGCAATCCTTGAAACGTAAGTGGGAAACCAGACTTGAGGAGTGAAAGGAGCAGCCAAACCTGCTTCATCTCCGAGTTCGTCTGCGCTAATGCGATCCTGCATTTCTTCATCATTGATGGTCTTGCGAGACTTGTTGGTCTCGGGTTTCTCGTCTCCTAGTGCGGATGCACTGCGTTTTGAGCCGGTTGTTGCCGCGGGGGTGGCGATGGATTTCCTCGGTCTCCCTCTTCCGCGCTTTACTGGTGCAGTGAGGGCTCCATTCAACACATCAGGTCCAGCGATCTCGACAGGAGCCAGGTTCTTGCGGGGTCTTCCTCTAGGGCGAGCGACACTGGCGACTGCGGGCTCTTGTACCTCGGACTTGCGTGGTCTACCACGACCACGTTTAGCTGGAACAACGGGTGTTGCGACCTTGGTCTTCACTGCCACAGCACCCTTCTTCGCATTGGACTTAACAGCAGGCTTTACAGGAGTAGCAGCGGTCGAGGGTAGAATGCTCTTCGGTCTTCCTCTGGTCTTCTTTACCGCAGGGCTTGTGGGTTGCTGTGTGGAGCCAGTGCCGAGCATGTTAGGAGGACGACCAAGGTATGCACAAGTGTGAGACAGTAGATGCGCCAAAGCATCCTTGACGGATTTGGCTTCGCGATCCTCTTGACAGATGTTTTCGCCGGAAGATTTGTCTGCTAGCGAGGCGCGATAGTACCTGTCGTCGAGATATCTGACGACGACATCGACTTCAGATGTCGGCTTTTCATATCCCATAAATCCATAGTTTGCTACACGATATCAGTCCAAGTCGGAAATCTATCAATTCGATGTGTTTTACCAAGAATTTGCTCTCTGAGTCCATGGATCTCAGCCATGATAAGCAAGGGTTGGAAACGTTGTCAGAGGCGCGGAGTTAATGGCGGAGACTTGTTGTGAGGTGCTCAAGGCAGACCAACGCTGGCACAAGTAGGCGAAAGACAAAGAATATTTGTTCAGAGTCGGTTTCAAGTTCATACAGGCAATTGACGCCTGTCAAAGTATGAAGATGGTTGTGTGTTCGAGGAAGTGAAGGTCAACTCAAGGGACGCGTTCGAGACGCGGAGCAGCAACGTCATAATTTATGCATACGTTGTGCAGCATTGGGTTGCACAAGTTCTTATCCCTCTGCGCCGAAACTCTCACGAACATCTACCTTCACATATATCTGCGACTTGTTATCTATAGCTCTGGCACTCTTGGCGTGAGCTTCCTGTTTATATCGCAAATTTGCAGACTCTCGATGCGTCGCAGCGGAAAGCCATGCACCAGAGAACAGGTCAGTATCTCATTCAAACTCAAGATGCACTCGAATCAAGGATCAAGGAGTCCGCGAGTGTACCATAGCCTGTTGTCTGTCCATCCCTCTTTTGAAACCAGGGTCACCCAGACTGCACTAGGACTGTCCAACACTCACGACGTTCTTCCAACAGGATTCCTCGCGTCCATACATGTACATCTTTTCTCAACGTACATCCATCGCAATGTGTTCCAATCCTACTTCGGTTTCCGGATTGCTTGCATCTGAAGTCTGCCATCATACGAAGAGTCAACTGTCTGCCGGATGCGTCACGGTCCGACTCTCATAATTTATGAACGAGATAGGAAGACATCGACATCATGTATTGCTCAACCCCAACACTCAAGCACTTCTCAGACGAGCACTTCGACGTCTCGAAGCACTTGGAGCAATTCCAACTTCAGCGATCTCATCTTCCATGGCCGAAGCACTACGCTTTACAGCTCGTGAGCCGGCCAACGGCGCGTCAGGTCTAGTCCCAGAATCATGTGTTACAGTCTCCTGCATGACTGATAGATCACGCTCATCCCTCACAACCACCGGATCCGGACTCAAAGGCGGCGTGACAGCCGCTTCAGCCCTAAACCTCGCCCTCCATAGATCAAACTCAGTACTCGCCTCATCCCACGGATACTTTGCAGGATCCTTGGAAAACATATCATCGACAGTAGCCAGATGCTCAGAAGTCATGTCAAGTAGATACTTGAGGGCTGTTCTGACAGACGGGCTCCGTTGTTGCATTCGCAACACGGGCTTGCGACGGCAAGGACGGACGATGAGGGCGTGGTAGGATGTGCCTTTCTTTATGGTGATGACATCGCAGTCTTGGACTTCTTCATCGGTGAGCCATTTCATGAATTTGAAGTTGGCTGGAGAGGTCAGTGGGGAGTGATGCGTAGGTAATAGGGCAGCATACCAAGGATTTGGGTTCGGAGTTCTTGGATGTCTGGCATGATGACTCTGGAGAATCTGATGAGCACTTTGGGAGTTGCGGTTGTGCTGGAAGGTCTGGTTATACTGCACAACAGCTGTACAGAAGATGTCTTGAGGGAGCTTCGGATTGATGGACAAGTCGATGATGTTCGTGAGGGGTAGCTACATGCACAATTGTTGTGCGCATGCATAAAGAATTGTGAACAAGAGTTCATCTTGGATCACTCCCGCCGGCTCCTGATGTTCCTGGGCAAGCTGCTGGGACCAGCTTCATCTTCTCCCTCGTCCGCTATGACAGAAGCCGGACGTTTCGGTACTCGAGGATACACGGTCGATGATGCAGCCAAATCCGATGTTCCAGCCGGATGGTTTGTTGTTCTTGATTTTCGTGCATGACTTATGCCCATCATCATGGACGATTCTGCCATGGTCTCGGGGCTCAGAGGGGGCGATGAAAAGTTCCACTGCAACTCTTCTTCGTGGAACTCAGGTGGCTCATCAGATCCTATTGCATGTATCTCTTCGAGCTTGTCTCTCGTGACGGTCAAACTCTCAGCAGTCACGTTCAGAAGGTGTTCCAGCGCTGCTCTCATAGATGGACTGGGTTTCTCCATTAGAAGCACGTAGTTGGCGCGATCTTTGATCGCACAAGCCGCGAAGTATTCGAAGCCTTTCTTAAGGATGACAATATCAGGATCCTGCTCGTTGGGGGCGAAGTGCATGTGCTTGTAGTTTGCTTTGAGATGGTTGATTAGTCTTGGATAATTATGTACTGGACCATAACTTACCAAGGATTTGCTCTTTCAGCTCAGTTATAGTCCACAAAGCTATCTCGGAAACACCAATAGGGTCCTTCGATGAAATTTCCGGATTCTGATTGTTGGCGAACAGCTGCTCCGTCATCTCGAGAAGATATTCTAAAGCTGCTGTAGCTGATGAAGCTGGCCTTTGGGGCTTGAGAACATAACTTGTGCGATCGTCGATTGCGATGCCGGCCCAGTAACTTCCCATGCCTTTTGTAACAACGACCTCGGGTTCAAACAAGTGGGCTTCTGGATATGCGGCCAAGTAGTTCGCTGCAGAACGATGAGCCCAGATATCTTGTGCAAGACAAGCGTAACTTACCCAAAGCTTGCGCCTTTAGCCTTATAAATCCAGTAGTCATGTTTACGAAAATGTTGTGGTGTTGAAATAAGCAGCCAAGATGGGATGTGGAGGTCAGAAGCCACGGTGCAGAAGGGTCTGGAGCTTGATTTAATGCATCCTGCATAAGCGTGCATAATTGTGCGCTATGTAGCCGATCATGTATCGAGACTACGAGAAGCAAGCAGGGCTTCGACAAAACATTGTAGCATCAAGCAATTCCGTTTCTTTCTCGAACTCTACGAACAGTCGTTGGAGACCTTGCGCGCTGTCTATTGGCGATCCTGCGAAGGTTCTTCACCCGAAGTCTTTCCAGCTCAGCCGCGTGGACTGAACAGGTAGCAACTCTCTCAATCTCTTCCCTCGACGTGATGACAGGTTGTTGGCCATGTTCGTCGGGTGTTTCGGAGACCCAGCGCTTAAAGCGGCGTAGTTCACACTCGGCATCGCGAGCCTCAGCTTCATAGAGCCATTCACAGCTTCTGTCTAGCAAGGCTTTCAAAGCATCGACGACTGTCAGACTCATCTCTCCGAAGTCTTGAAGGAGAGGGAAACGGGTGCTGTCTTTGGCCGCCACACATGCTCGGTATCGTCCGTCGAGGTGCCTTCTGACCAAGATATGGACTTTGGTCTTCGCGTCAACAGCTCGGTAGTTGTCTTTACCAAAAGCATCAGTAAGTTTTGCTTTGCAGTTCATCAAGCTTACCATAAATCTGTGCTCTCAGACCTTGGATATCAGACATGTTGATTTTGAAGGGATATTATTAAAGCAACAAAATGAGACGAACAGTCTCCAGAGGAAAGATCAATCATATTTTACCCCTCCTTGGAAGCATAAAATAGGCAAAGCCTGTAGCTCAACCACGTGAAATCATGAGCTGAGATGATGCACATTCGCATCGAGCATTATGACCAAAGGTTTGTTTAGTTGTCCAAGACCTTGGAACCAACAACATAAATCATGACTGTCGCATTGATGCATGCAGAAGGTTGATGATGACACAAGATCTGGCGAAGGAGAAAGCATTGACGAGGTTGAAGCTCGGACCTTTCATGTGAAGCCAGTGACGTGGTTGCGAACAGACGGACGAAGTCAGTATCATCTTTCTTCTTCCAACACAACGACCATGCGACTTGTCAATCATGTCCGACTACCAAGATGACGAGCCGCAGGGCGTTGTCGCTCGTGCTAAGGTCAGTATATCCTCCATCCATTGGCGTCACCCAACTGACACACCTACAGAACACGGCACTCCTCCCCCTCCGCATCGCCATTTCCAAACCCGCCCAACGTGCCTACCTGACCTCGGTCCTCTTCTTCAGCACCTGCTTCCTCCTCCTACTCGTCTCAATTGCCGCGTACCTAGCCTTCTACTGGACCTACATTCCCCGTATCGGTTTTTCGCGACCTATCCATCTCCAGTTCGACTCTCTCGAATCTCCACCATGGGGCATTGCAAACTTGGCGCCAGAGCTGGTTAGTCTACAGCCGTATGATGTCAAGATACAGATACGTTTGCCGCGTACAAAGACGAACACAGAAGTTGGCAATTTCATGGTCGAGACTGTGCTTTATGCGCCGGGAGACAAGGGGTCAGTGGTTGATGAGAGCAAGATGCCTGTGGTCAAGAGCGTGGATACGAACAAGGTGTTGGCGAGTTCGAGAAGGTCTGCCATCTTGACTTACTACTCGCCTGTTGTGGATCTCGCTCGTAAGGCTACTGAGTTGCACTGGTTGATCCTGGGATGGCGACTCGAAGCAGAAACACTGGAGGTTCCTGTCTTCACTGGTGTTTCTTTTGCCAAAGGATGGAGGAATGTTCCCGATACTATGCAGATCCAAGTGCAGAGTTCTGCTCGCATGCAGATCTATGAAGCTAGTGTTGTCTTCAAGGCTCGCTTCCAGGGTTTGAGGTGGGTTATGTATAACCACCGACTCACCAGCGCCTTCGTCTTCATTGGCGCTTTCTGGGGTACTGAGGTCCTCTTCACCGCCATTTGCTGGGCTATCCTGAGCGTTTGGATCTTCTCTGGCGACGACACCGCAGTCAAGTCCGAAGATGCAGACATCAGACGCATCAAAGCCGAAGACTCGGAAGAGGAAGATCCAGCTAGACTCTCAGACACCGAGAGGACATACCCGACATATAGCAAAGGGCCTGCTATGCGTTACAACTCTCCAGCCATCAAAAAGGAAGAGACGGAACCAGAGCCGTTTCCTCAACTCCTGACTACTGCATTGGAAGCCGATGATGAAGACGAGAGCGATGACTTCTTCGACTCGGGTCTCGGCACCAGTCTCGAGAGCACCGGCAACACGAGCTCAAAAGAAGCTCTGCGCAAAAGAAAGAACAAGCAATCCAGAACTTGAGGTAATTCTCATACACCTAACGAACACAATATGAATATTTTTCTCCACTATCCTTCCACCCCGCCTTTTGTCAGACCCTCTCAATTCCCATGCACAACAGGCTTCCTATCGATCCATTTCGTATTCCCAAATTTGCCCGTAAAAGGCTCCTGGAACACTTTTTCCAAAGTGCTGTAAGGAGCATACTCCGCATCCGTCATGACAATTGTTACATTTCCTGCCGCTCTGCCCGTTGCATTCCATCCGGGACCATAATCTTTATACTCCGCCATTGTAGTGTTGCCATTGACTCTAGGATCAGTGGCACTCCATTTGATGTATCCACTAGGTTCAATCGAGTCGTCGAGGTAGGTGTTTGCGAATATACTCCTGTGCAGTGCATTCCATGGTCTGCCTAGCGCGCACTTGCCAACGATATTCAGAGAGGAGTTTGCGGCGCGGACGAAGGAGTCGTGGATATAGACGCCATAGTGGTTTACGAAGGTTGTATTCGTGCCTTTCCAAGCCGTTATGCCACCGCCGCAGGAACGGAGAGATAGGAGAGAAGATTGGATCCATAGGGTGCCGAAGCCATAGAGGAAGTCGGTTTGGCCCGCGACGGTGGAGTTGTACATGTATGCATTTCCCAACTTGCCGACATAGACCTTTGAGGGTTGTCAGTACAATGTATTTCGGAGGGGGATGGGAAGGGGGCAGGGTAACGGCTTACGGTATCTTGGTAGCTGTAGAATCCACAGTAGTAGAATCCGGCGTTTGCGTAGCTGACGCTTAGAGCTAGGGAAGGGCCGGCGGAGTAGGGCAGATAGTCGTTGATGAAGTTCAAGTTGTAAGCGCGGAAATCAGTGTTGCCGAAGGGTGTTCCTGCGGGCACTTGATTGCCAGTTGGTCCACTGCCGGTCAAACTACTGTTGAATGTAGGAGCAATGGTGAGGGTGGAAGTGTAGGCGTTGTCGTAGCTTCCTGTGCTAGCTGTTCCAGTTGCATTGTGCCAGATCACGTTGACTGAATTCTTGGTATTGTCGTTGGGGTACTTGGTCTGGGCCAACAGGGTCAGAGGGCCAGGGCGTGTGACGTTGACTTGTTCGGTGTAGTTTCCAGGAAGAATAAGGATATAGTAGGGTACCGTGTTGTTGGGAATACTGAGGACAGCAGATTGAATGGAAGTGAACTTCTGTCCTGCACCGACCAGAAGAGTTCCTTGAGGACAACCTTGGAGAGGATTCTGTGTAGGGTATTGGCATTCGCCTCGACTGTAGGCTTGAGCGGTACCCAGCAGACCGAGGGAGAAGACTGAGAGGAGAGACTTGGTGGTCACCATCTTGAACGACTGTGATGATCAAGAAGAAGGATGGACTTGGCGGTAATGCTTGTTCTTATAATGCTACACCTTACCCATGCTCACGGAAGATCTATATGATCATGATGTCGACTCCGCATTTATCCCCAGACATCTCTCCCCTTTGCCGCACGTCAAGGCATGCTGCCGTGTGTGCCATGCGGAGATTTTCTGGGGAGGTTTGCGGAGAGAAAGAGGTGTAAAGTGTGGAGATGGTGTGTGATCTGCAGGCCTCAAATCATCCACCAATGAGGGGTTTCCACCGCATAGCCGAGGGTTTCCAATGATGATGAGCTTCCAACTTGCGGAAGTTCTTCAGACAGATTCCATCTTGACATTCTTCGCAGGCGGTTGTCAGTTCGTCCGTGAACGCAAAATAGACGTTGCAGTCAGCCTCGAGATACGAGCAGATCGGATCCAACTCCGCGAAATCGGCAAAGGCTTCAAAGAGGGTCCAGACCAAAGGAGCTGACCGAAACACCGGTTCACTCTCGTTGACTGCCAAGGCGTAAAATCGATCAAGCAGTTCGAAAGATGTCGTGTTGATAAAGCATCTCGTGTCGGTGAATTGAAGAGCTCGTGTTCATGTCGAAGCTTTGTTGAGATGAGCGTCGACGCGAAAGTCTGGGATTACTTTCGGAGGCTCAGAAACGTGTTTCCACTGTTCGTCTCATTGGCGGTATCTGGGATGGCGACATGCACGCCACTTGCGATACGTTTACACAGTAACGGCTGACTTTGCGCAGATGAGGCCTCGTCAGAGCTTGACCAAGATGTCATCACGAACACCATACTTGAGACACTCAATGCGCGCAACATCAGCGCCGTCCGCAACTATATTGCTTGATTGATGAATTGGAGGTTTTGGTGGAAAGGTTGAGTTTGAGTTGTTGCGTGGCTGCCACGATTCCCACATTCAGAACGTGCCAAAAGATTGTTTGTCTCCCAAACGCGGTTGAGAACGGCTGATGTCCGAGATTGTTGACAACGTGCAAGGCCGAAAACAATTGCGACATGTCTCCATCACTTTTCCCTTTCTTCGTAAAGCGTAGCATTCGCCTCAACCGACGAAATCCTTCTATCGCAACATTTATATTGAAACCGCCGTTGATGTGCAAGTCCCCAGAAGTAGGATGAACAAGCAAAAATCTCCACAACGGTGATGGTTTCCAACTCCAGATCCTATGGTTCGGACGGTTGAAAGTCTGGCCCTTTTCTCATTGGCCACGCGGCAGCCCCGATGATAGCAGACGACGCCTCGTCAGCTCGCCCTTGTCCTTCCAACAACAGCTGAACAACATCAGCTGGAATCGATCATGTCTTTGGAAGTCGCTCAGCCAGTGACTTGATGATGGCCTTTTTCGGACTCCGGCAGGTGTGGTAAGCATCGACGTTTAGTCCCTATAATTCGACTGTCGTATCAAGTAAGACTCTGCTATCTCGTGTGGCTGATATGGCACTCGTTGTTGGTTTGAGTTTGAGATGTCCGCACCCCTACCCGCAATGGCAGGCTTCGATACCCGTTTTAGAACAACGTTGACCAGTGATGGCTGAACCTAGAGCTGGCTGTCAAGGTGATGTCGAGCTGAATGGTGAGTACGAAGTATAGCTGAATAAACTATAGTGGTGATGTATGGTCGTCGTAAGTATATCCCGGATCAACTCCCACGTCCGGTCTTACTTCCTCTTCTCTCTCTCTCTCTATCTCTGACTATAGGTTTCCTGGACTTCACATTACCTAAAAATTCTGGGTTTGGACTCCGGACAACAAACATCTTGGACTTTGCACCTTACACAGACCTGGAACAAATGTCAACATGAGAGGACTGGACCAACTCGACTCCATGACTGGACTGTTGAGCCCACATCTGGAGAAGTTTGACCCCGAATCAATATCGAATTACGTCAGCAGCCCTTCGAGGTGTCTCAAGATCGTCAAGGGTCTTGTCTTTACAGGATGCGCTTTGTTCTGCTATCTCCTCTACACAAGCGTAGCCACCCATCCAGAATGGAACTACGTCTCATCTGGTCTCTCAACCAACACAACTAATACTACAACAAGCATTACAACCCCGACGATACCAATCAAATCGACGACGGACATCAAAGCGGAGATTATCGGGTCGCTACACAAGACAGGGAAGCCGCTATACTACACTATCCACACCAACCAACCTTACGACATCGACTTGGCCCTTCGCGCAGTCCTACACCTCAGCCCTGATGAAGTCTACAACAAAGCCCTAACTCAGCCTATCAAGAGCGGTGGCGAAGAAAAGCTTCGCGAGCTCGGTCTTCGCGTTCGCATGTTCAAGAAATACTTCGATGCATGGGAAGCATTACATGTCGTTACTGACGGTCTCTCCAACACCGCCTTCATACGCGATGACATTCTCCGCTACATCCGCGACGCTAAAGATATCTCTGCTTTTACCGCAGGCACAAGACTTGAAGCAATGCATGCGTACGAAACGTACCGCACTTTCTTGTCGAGCATGTCTACGATTCTTTTCCCCTGGACAACTCCTTACTTTTCCGACCACATGACACTTCACGGGCACATGTACAATGCTGGTCGTGGCATTGTGATTTCTGGCAGCAACGACCAAGCTCCCTACATCAAGACCGCTATCTCATCATTCCGCGCAATGGGCTGCACACTGCCTGTCGAAATCATGTACCTCGGTGATGACGACTTGAGTGAGGACACCCGTGCAGAATTGGAGACCATTTCTGATGTCATCACTCGCGACATCGAGCAGATGGTCAATGATCAGGGATGGGAACTGAAAGGCTGGGCAGGTAAAGCATTCGCCGCTTTCCTGAGCTCTTTCCGCGAGGTCATCTTGTTGGATGCTGATGTTCTGTTTTTCGACAATCCGGAACTGATGTTCGAGGAGCCTGGTTACGTCGACACTGGAGCTCTCTTCTTCCGCGATCGCGTTGTCTTCCCCCAAGACAAGAAATCTTTCCTTCGTAAGATATTGCCTAAGCCGGTCTCTGGTAAAGCTAGACAAAGCAGATGGTGGAGTGGTGAGAGTGGTGAATATCAAGAGTCAGGTGTCGTGGTCGTCGATAAGTGGAGACACTTCTTGAGCGTCTTCTTGACCGCAAGACTCAACGGCCCTGATCGTGATGACAGCGATGCTGGAAAGGGTACTTACTCTTTCTGGTGGGGTGACAAAGAGACTTGGTGGATTGGGTTCGAGCTCGCTGGCGACACGGACTACCACTTCCACCAGGGCGAGGCTGGCAACATGGGTACTGTCAGCAACATTGAGCCGATCGAGAAGCCCAAGGATAAAGGGGAGGAGAAGAAGGAAGAAGAAAAGACCGATGAGGAACTGAAGTTGAATGTGCTGGACACGGCAGCGATTGAGCAACAGCCGCATAAAACTGATGCGGAAGAGTTCAAGGATCAGCTGGACAGCTTGACCAAGCTTGAAAATGGCGAGAGTCAAGAATCACCCACAGAGACCCAAAACGAGGAAACTGCCGGCGGAGAAAGGGAGGACGCCGAAAATCCCACAGAAGACAACAAAGAGCCTTCAGAATCAACCGGAGCCGAAGGAGAAACCGAGTTCATCTACCCTCCAACCACTCACGATGATGTCCTGAGAGCCGTTGAAGCAGCAGAAGCAGAAAACGCTACCCCTCAATTCAAGGAGCCAGAACACCCTGTCTCTGCCCAAAACATCTCCACCCCTACCACCGACGCTCTCGCCGGGAAATCTGAGGAGGAACTCGCTTCCCCTGTTTCCGAGCCTGCTGTCAAATCCGAACGCTCCCTGTCCCGCCGCCACCTCACCAAACGTGACGACTGGTTCGACATTGCGCTGAACGCCAAACACACAAACCTCACCGGCCCCGCTATGCTCAACCTCACAAACCAATACGCAGTCCTCTGTTCCCCACAATTGCTCCACCTGTCTCTCTCTGGCAGACCCATGTGGTTCAACGGCTGGATCCAACAGAACAAACACGAAGCCGCCTCCAAAGTCTCCACTTTCGAATTCTACATGGGCGAGAAAAAGAAGGACGGAGAGTGGGCTGAGTGGGGTATTGGCGCGGATAACATGTGTTGTTTGAAGAGCGATGGGTTGAAGGCCTTTGATGAAAAGGAGCTAAATGCGTTGAAGATGATTGAGAATATTGCTTATGAGAGCGGTGCATTGGATCAGGTCAAGAAGCCTGAGAAGGATGCGGAGAATGAGACTGGGTATTAAGATAATTGTGTTTTTCCTTTTGTCGTAGTATTTAGCATGGCGTTTGGGGGTTGTGCACATAAAGTCGTTCAGAGATATTAATTTTCTCCAAGATATGGAGTATGTCTTTCTCCGTGCGAAAGTTTGACTCTACCATCAGCAATCCTGGGTAAAGAGAAGGCGCTGAAGCACAGCAAGATGTACGATATCACTTTATCCCCGCTCCATTCATGCCTTCGAATTAAGACCGGTTGTGACTCGCAAGAAAGGCTCAATATCTAAAGGTGCAAGAGGAAAGATCGAGTTCTGTTTCACTCACATAGCTGAGGTGCTGACAAGTTTGTAAATTTTCCCTACCCTTTCGGCTGGCTACAAGGACAAACCGATATTTGCGACGTGGTTCGCGCCTAGCAAGACCTGTACAGGGGACGTGAGAGGCGTAGGACCTTGTGTGACCTGATGGTGATACTCATTTTGCCTCTCTCCTGATGCAGATCTAGGGCAAGGATGCGGCGAGATGTAACAATCTACTTTGGTGCTACTTCCGAGGCAGCAGACATATAGAGCAGCGATTAATTGCAGAAGCTCCTAGCACATTCTCACAGTAGTTTGATCACTGACAAAATGACACAAAGTTACAAGCTGCTTCACCTCTAGAACCAATGAAGGCTGCGCCGCTTTGTCAATTCTTCAAGTCTGACCATTGCACTGATAACAAGAGAAAGAAAACAAAACTAGCGAGAGGTATGCTAAACGAAGGGCACAATGAGAATGTGCTTTGTTTGAATTGCGGGTGTGAACGATCTGTGCTTTGTCTCTTTGACAAGGGAGATTTGCCCATCCGCTTCTACGCTTCCAATTGATGGTTAGAACAACTTCCAGTCGTTTATGGATCACAATGCTGTCTGAGGCAGTGATCAACTTGATAATTGCAAACAAACGGAATGAAGCTTGTTAATGAATCAAAGCATCCTCGATTCCATCGAGCCAATCAAACCCTCCATGTGATCTCCTGTTGCGACAGCGTCTGTATCACCTAGTGCAGCGGAATGGTAACTCGACTTCCTTTTTGGAAATTCAATGGTTCGATCCTCTCCAAGGTCGCTTATTTCTTTTGCGCCATTTGGCAGCCATTTTGGTAAAATTTTCCATTCCAGAGCCATCCATCAGCCCATCTACATTGCACCGCGAGATACTTCGTCTACGAGCTTCCTTCCTCAGAGCTCGACTGTCCAGAATGACTGTCTCCTCCGATGAGTCTGCCATAAGCCCAATCAGCAGTGCTGTTGAAAAGACTTTGCAGAGCTTCATCTGGAGTGACGGTTTGTTCACCCTTGCAGATGATCGGCTGCTCGGAATCATGGTCTTTGTCGAGGCAGTAGGCCTGGTAGAGATCAATTGGGGTTCGGACGATCACGAGATGAGTTTCGCACTCAAAGCGATGAGCAAAAGAGACATTGTCTGTTCACCAGTCAGAATCGTGCCTAGAAGATAGCTTAACTTTCGTACCCAGTATCTGCTCGCGTATGTCAAATGTGGTAGACATGTTGAGTGGTTTTGAGCTGTCTTGTGTTTTTCTCAGGCAAGTTCGGTACGAGACTGGAGGTTGAGATGACAGAGTAGAAATTACATTGCAGACGCTTTTATAGCTGAGTCAAACAGTCTTTCATTGTGCAAGAAACCCGACGATATGTTCTGCTGTGGCTACCCGGTAGATCCTAGGTGAAAGAAAGACTTCTGAACTAGCCGGCAGATTCTACTTACGTTCCATTCTCCGTGCTCTTTGATCTCTTTATTTTGTCTTCATAGATTATCATGTACAGTAATGAACATCTGCAGGTGGTGAGAGGAAAGCACATCGTTCGCAGATGTAGTACAATAAGGTTAGACGCCTTCATGTGAAACTTGACGGCTCTGCGGCTTTTTGCTGGACTTGCGTTCCATCGTAGTGGATTTGAATAGATGTGGTTTCTGCTAGCGTTTGATTCTATATACGTTAAAATTGATAGATCAGCCTCCTCCGTCTACTGCCGAGGGCAGACCTCGATCTGATTTCGGTAAGATGCAATTCGTAAAGATAGCTCGCAAGCAAAGACTGTTATTTATATAGCGAGTCAGCCACTTCACAGTATAATGATCCCAGTCCCCAGTGATTAAGCAGCAGTCTCACCAGCAGTCTGATCTGATATGAACTCTGCCTAGCCCTCGCAGAATCTTTTAAGGAACTGCGAGTACTACTATAGAGGGAATGTGGCCTAGTCAACAGAAGTGTCTTGCGTGACTCAGTAACGGTAAGAAGCCTAGCTTAAGATGTTCACGCAGTTCTAGACCGCACAGATAGAAGCAACTGCGAAAAAGATCCAAACATCTCACCGCTTTCCATATGATCAATAAAAAGCAAATCGCGCAAGCCATACCAAAAGCAAAAGACAAGCACACCACCAGCAAAACAAACGCCCTCTTGCGGAGGTGGAAAGCAACTAGCGGACCAGTTTCGTTTCTAGCTAGAATGGAGTGTCATGACTCTGGCATTGTCTTCGATGGGGATCGAACCGATGACCTTCAGTGAAGAGAAGTTCCAAACACGAGTTGGCGCTTCGCTACCACTGGGCCACCACCGCTTGTCGGTAAAGCGATGGCAATGTTACAGAAGCTGCGGATGTGTGAATATATAGAGGTATCAGTCAGCCATGCTTCACTGGCGCCGATACTTCAGTGACAAGGAGGCGATGCAGGCAGTCTCCTTGCTCACTCACCATTTTGTCTTCTACTCCTTAGGTGATGCTCTTGAAGGCGAGACATAGAAGTGACGTGCATCTCTGCCAGCGAGAGGGCAGTGGGTATACCGAGTGACACACCGCAAGCCTATCCAGCGGCGCTTTCGGGTGCGCGTCCCTTCTGGATCTGCGAGTCTTTGTCACGCAGAAGGTGATCGTGATCACCTTCTCACTGCGAGCGCACACTGGAGCCACCAGCCTGTTCAGCGAAGGCAGCTGTATTGACAGGGCGTATCTTGGTTCAGAACCGTCTCACTCACGCCCTGGGTCAACTGGGCGAGCGCATCACACAAAATGTGACCACAACATCATTATCACTGCCAGTACGAACCTGAAGCGCGGACAAGTAGTGAACTGATCGTTTGATACCGCCACCTGCCTCAGCGGAGACGTCTGGGTCAGCAAGGCGCGCCTTCCTCGAAGTCACTTTCAGTTACGACATAGATCGATCTGACGGAAGAGCATACCACTCGTCTGAATTATCTGAGGCAAGGCACAACACATCACATGAAGGTTCACTGAAAACATCACATCACTGGAAAGCATGATTATGGAGAAAAGTCATGATAGTATTGTTACAAACTCGATCAATTGCTCTGTTTACGTCGAGTCAATGAGAGGAAACAAAACAAACAAAAACTCCAACCAACTCCGCGCTGATGTTATGACATGACAGTGGGGCTCTCGAAGAGGACGATGGTATGAGTTGCTCAGGCTTGTGATTGTTGCCTTTTGAGACTGAAGAAGGAAGAGGGATGGAGGAGGATCACTGACGCGCATCAGTAACATGACAACAACATCGGGAAGAAAGAGGAAGAACTCACAGTCATTGAGTGCTTCACAGAGCAGCGCTGGTTGCGCGCAGCAGCTCCTTGAGTGCCTCTTCGGTAGTGGCTGCGGTGGCGCGAGCGACCGGGATCAGGTTGTTGCCAAGGGCGTAGGCAGTGACCGAAACGATCTTGCCGCCCTGCTTGACTGTTCTGGTGTTGATAATGAAGTCATCATGATCGATAAACAACATTGTCAAGTTGACTGAGAAGTGTCAGCGACATCATCGTAGACACAGGTGCCATGCACTGGAAGAGAGGGAAGAGAGGAAAGGGGAATGGCAAGGAAAGAGAACTTACGAATGATGTGCTCTTCAACGTCGATTTCGTTCACAGTCTCCATCTTGTTTGTTTGTTTTTTGTGGAAGGTGGGTGTGGAGTGTGAACGTGATGCAATTCGTCTGTTTATTTGATGAGATTGCGATGAATGTTTGTTTTTGGTCAGGAGAAGGTGTACGTGACGGAGGGGAAGAACTTATAGTCAGCTTTCGAGACGCGAAATCCTTGGCCGTCGAGCCGAGCCCGGACGGACGACGACGGACGGAGATGGAAGATTCCATCTCGGCGCCGGCGCGGGCCCCTCGGCATCGCATCGTGCTGCGAGACAAGGGTGTCGTTGCCCGTTCGCATCTGGGAGAGGTACACTCTGACCTCAAGTACAGGGGGACTCAGAGCAAATCTCACCCTGACACCGACGTACCCACACGTAGTCTCCAACCTCCGCCATCATAGCAATATTAGGACAACTTCCAACTCGTGCAGCAGCAGTGATACGTACTCAATCCAAGGTCTTCCTCCCTCGTGCGTAGCTCAGTGACCTCAGTGCGACCTCAGCCGCAAGTGCTGAGTGGAGTAATGAAATACAACAACCATCACTGCCTTGCATGCCTTCCCTTGTCGTGATATAGGATCTAGGACTCGATGATCACTTACCGTTCTGAGATGCATACTTCAGAAACGACTGGACGTGAGCCCCGTCCTCATACTTGTTTCCTCCGCCTTTAACGCTCGGTCGAGGTCGATCGCCAGTAGCTACTAGCCAGACCAGCGAGCGGTTTCACAACCACGATTCCATGGTCTGAATGCTCTGGGCCTAGCTCTTTAGGAAACATCTTGGAGAATACAGTCGAGTCAACACCACCAGCAGACTTTCCTCAACCGCTGCAAGTTCGAATACCCTCTGTCACGACCAGAGCCTGATCTTCCTAGTCATCTTCCACAGAAACATGTACGGAGCTAAATTAGCACCGCCTTATACTCTTGCCTCTCAAGGGCTTCGTGGTTCCAATGTTGTGTCCTTCGTCAAGAACGAGCTCTCTTATGAATTCCGAGCGTTCACTGTTCGCGGATTGAATTCGGAGTTTATATCCTGCTCAGGACATGCGCTCAAGTAGCAGTGAAAAATTGGAGAGGGCCACCGGTCGGGCTTTCTGCTTCGTGCTTGCTGATCCGCAGACGATTGATCCAGGGTTCTTACGCGTCGGCTCTTGAATACTCTCAGATTGGTCCAGAGTTCTCCAGAGATGTTTCAAGCCAGGCCATCCTTGTTCTGTCTTACTTCTGAACTTGACCTTTTCATAGCACGCCGTGCTTTCGGCAGAGGTGGCTCTCAAACTTCAAGTTGGCAATCCATTCAGCTATCGAAATGCTCAATACTCGGTGGTAGTCAGAAATTGGCCCCAGATTTGACATTTTCGCAATCCAGAAATATTTTTCGAGTTTCTACGCCGGTGACGGGGTAGAACAAAGCTGCATGGCAAGAAGAGAAAGAGCGAAGCAGGACATGAAGTCAAAGCCGCAGAATCTCCGGCGCCTCTTCTGCATTCGACCAATTCAAAACTCAATCTCCTTTGTCACTTTCTAAAATTTTAGGCGCGGAACAAAGCAGAGTATTCTTTTTGTTGCATTATGAGCCACTACAACTATAACATCAACGCTTGAATTCACTCCCCGTCACCGCAAGAAATGAAATCGAGCTTGGAAAAATGCCAAAACTGGTCAATTGTGCGACCCTGGCTTTCAACCGCGGTGAGAAATACTATCGGAAATGCTGAAGTGATGACTGGACATGATTTGAGAGTTGTCACAGGAAAGAGAGCCATTTACAGCATGGGCAGGAAGGAAACGTAACAATAACCAGAGCGCCGTGGGCGAAGGCGTTCAGTTGGCACGAAAGCATGGAGGGAACAGATTGACCATCGTCGTGGCTATTGCGGTGAAGCGAGAGCATTTGACATGGCTCCCAGGAGCTCGAGGTAACATGATTAATTGTTTCAATGCATAATGATATCTGGCTCGGAGAATCTGTCCGCTGGAAGAGTGCTAAAGAGGCAGATACACAAGCCAAGGAGCATTGCAGAACTCGCCGTTCTCGCCCTGGATGGCAGCATTGACAGCCAATGTCTCATTCGACTTTTCGCTCTTACGAACAGTATGCCAACGCTCCGTCTTGTCGATGTCCACCGGTTTGGCGACCATGAGATAATTTTCTGCATCGGCTTTTTCATCCCAGCTGATTGTTCGAGCTCCATGGCCTTCATGAATATGACCAAAGCAGTGCAGCAAAGGCTTAGCACGATTCAGAGCGGCGAGAAGATGATCGCATCCAACATTGCCGCTGGGACATGCGTCGAGGATATTTTTAGGCGGGCCATGAGTCATCATGATATCGACATGATCCTTGAGGTCGACAAATCTGTTTTCGGAAGACGGATAGCCGAATGCATAGTCATTGATAGCAGGCGAGTATGGCGAAACGTAGATAGAGAAAGAGACACCACTCTTCAGCGTGAAAGTGTGAGTTACTTGTTCGAGATATGTGACACCAGCTTCTTTCGCCAGTGGGCCTCTCATGATGGCGACAGCTTGGTCGTGCTCTTCAGCTTCGTCGCCGTCTTCTTCGTTCAGATGCGAGCGCCAGTATTCGCCATCGAGCTCGAGGTCGTGGTTGCCAGCGATGACTAGCTTGAGCTCGGCATCGATCTCGCCCAACATCTTCAGTGCTTTGCGAAAAGGACCATGGCCACCGACTTGTGTGAGATCTCCGCAGTGGAGAAGAACATCGACTTTGGGAAGCGGAAGGCGGAAATGTTGAACTGTGTTCTCATGGATGTCGAGACCGTGGGTGTCGGAGATGATCAGAAAGCTGGCATTGTTTGGCGACATGATAGTTTGCTAGATGCGCGCTGCTGGTGAACAATGTGATGAGTTCTTAGGTGGATGCTAAAGCTTGGCTTGCATCGCAGTAGGCAGGAGTCGGAAGAAGTAGGAAAAGGTAGTGAATATCGTGGCGGTGATAAATCTGTAGGCAGCAGTGCTGAATTCAAAAATCACCCGAAAGTGAGTCAATATGAGAATTCACTTCAGAAAGGTACGGATGCTATCGCCATGAATGCGACACAGCTAGAGTAGATGTATCTATTATTACATTGTATGTGCGAAATGCGATCAATCTATGATACATGTATGCGTATGACTCTATCGACCGACGAATTCAAACAACACAGTGAAGCTGCCTGGAATTGCGGCTGTGATAACCCGAACCAGACACCAATCCATCATTATGTCATGAGATCTGAAAGTAAATATATGTATAAGAAGAAGAATGGGCGCCGAGAGTGAGGCGCAAAAGATCCGACGACACCGAAAGATTCCTCAAGATGCGGTGTAACGCAAAGACTTCACCGGTCTACCAGAGATCGTGTAGAGCTTGATCACCCACGACCTGATCCCAGCTCGAAGGAGTTCGCTGCACCTTCACTCGGGTCGAATCTGTAGTCGCGGTGCCAGAGTCTTGAGGCTCAGGCGACATCGGGGGTCTTTCATCTTTGTCGCTGGCACCGTCCTTTGTCATACTTGAAGGATTTGTCTTTTCCACCAGCTTTCGCATCTGAGGCACCAAGTCTGGTATGCGGAAGGGTTTTGTGACAACTGAGTCCATACCAGCCTGCATCATGACAGTGATTTGCTCGCTCCTGGCATTTGCAGTCACCGCGATGACAGGAATATGACCAGTGAACTCGTGGGCCGCCTGGCGAGTACGGATTTCGCGCACACAAGTGATGCCATCCATGACTGGCATCTCTTGATCCATGAGTACCACATCCAGAGGGGTCGGTAATGTCGACGACGAAAAGGCGGAAGTGGAGAGGAATGATAAAGCCTCAAGACCATGGTTGGCGATGTGGACGACACAATTCTGTTTGCGTAGTTGTTGAGCCATGACCTGCAGAAAGACAATTAACACTGACATAATAGGGACTCGGCGTTTCAAGCAGAAGACTTACGCGTTGGTTGATCAAGTTGTCCTCGACTACCAGGACATGGAGTGGTCTTTCTGGCACCACTGGCTTGGACTGAGACTGTATGGCTGTAGACGATGGCGCGCGTACGGGAGCGGGAGGATGAGTGTGGTTGGCATCGTCCAAGCCAGCAGCTTGCGGCATGGCCGTTGATCCGGTGACAGGCGTGTTCCAGACGTGTTGAAGAGCCACTGGAGGTTCGGCGACAGCTCCCGACTCGGGCGGGCAGCGGCGAGCACGAACATAGAAGGCGAAAGTCGTACCTTTACCAACTCCCGGACTACTCACGCCGATCGCCCCACCCTGGAGTTCACAAAGCTCGCGGCTGATGAACAGGCCGAGTCCGCTTCCACCATACTGTTTATAAGTCTTTGGACTGGCTTGCGAGAAGCGCTGGAAAAGCAGGCTGATCTCTTCCTCGCTGAGTCCACGACCTGTATCCTGGACAGCAAGCTGCAAATAGATGTCTTTGCCTTCGCCCCACTCTTCGGACAATGCGGTCGAATGTTCGTGACGCACCGTACGAGGTTTGATGAAGGTTAGCTTGTGGCGAGCTCCCGTTGGTTTTTCATACGAGGCGCCGAGAGAGATCGTCAGCCCACGCTTGTCAGAGAACTGAGTAAACTTGATAGCATTCGTGAGCAAGTTAATCACGACTTGCAGCAAGCGGCTGGGATCGAGCATGGCGTATTCGTGAGAGTCCATGATCTTGTGGTAGCTCTGCTCGATCTCCAGCTTAGCCTTGATGGAAGCTCGCTGCAGTTCGCCATCGTACATCTTGAGCACTCTTCCGATCAGCTGCGGTGGTGACACCTTGTCGGGCGTGATGACAAGAAGATTCGAGTCAAGCTTGGAGAGGCAGAGGATGTCATCGACAATGCACTTCTGGTGAGAAGCACATAAGATAATTGTCTTGGCAGAGTCGAGTATACCATCAAGCATTTCGTTGTCGTTCTTCGTTCGGGCTTCTGGATCATCGAGTGCGGTAAGGATACCATCAGCAGATTGCAGAATTGCACTAAGCGGGTTTCGAAGCTCATGAGATACCATGTCGCTAGCGTGGGGTCAGTTAAGTCCAATGAGCATATTGTAGTCAGCAGACGTACATGAAGTTTTCCGAAGCACGCTTTGTCTCAAGCGCTTCCTGCAGACGGTTTGATAGCAGAGTCTCCGTGTAATGACGGACAGAGGTTTCATGCAACCAGGCATGTATGTACACCACGTTACCGTCATCATCCAGCTCCGTCACTGCGTTATTCATGAGCCATGTTTCTCCCGTGAGCTCGCTACCGGTGGCTTTGTCAATTGAGCGCCAAGGTCTGAGGACTCTGTATTCGACAACTGCGGATGTCTTTTTCTTTTCCAAAAGCTCGCGCCAGGCAATGTTAATCTTTTCGATATCTTCGGGGTGGACTTGGCTTCGCCAGGTTGCAGAAGAATCCCAGAGCTTTTTCCAGTCATACTCTCGTGGTACACCAACAAGATTGAGATATTCATCGTTACAATAGAGAGGCTTCCCGTCAGGCCGGAAGGTACAAATACCGATAGGTGCCGATTCAGCCATTCTAGTGAATTTATCCTCGTTGCGTGCTGCCTTGAGCGTGCTGATTTTCAATTGTGTGGCGAGATTGTCGTGTATCTCTTCAAACTTTGCTTGGCCTAACAAGGTACTTGATTTTGTCAAAACATCGCGAAGATTGTGTGCGAACTGTAACGATTCCTCATTGAACGGTCTTCTGGGATTCAGTCCAAGGATGAAGAATGCCAAAGCACCAGAAGCATTGTTCGCCACTGGCATAACGCATACCGCTTCGACAGGATCTTCCCAGCCTCGACCAGGTATCGCAGTAGCGAGGTCAGCTGGCAGGGAGTTGTCTTGACGACGCAGCACAACAGTTTTCCTACCAATTATCGCATCGCGACAGGCCCTTGCCAACCCGTAGACCGATTCTCTGTCTGCTACGTCGAAAGAAGTGGGGATAGCAGCATTGTTCCGGTCGATACCTAATGAACCATGTAGGCGATATTCCTTCATCGAATTTGCCCAAGAGCTAGATGTCGAGGATGCACTGTCATCGTCGTTCGAGTAGATCAATGCGAAGGGCACATCCTCTGGAAATCCCTCAAGAGACTCTAAGCATCGGTGCCAGATGTCAGAGATGGTTCCGCTGCCTGAGACCTGCTCTTTCAGCTTCTCTACGACCTCTCCTCTACGTTGAGAGATGACGTGGCGTGTCAACTCGACCAACGAGTCAACTGCCCCCAACGCGTATCCTTCAGAACCGACGATGGGAAATATGACAAAATTCCAGTAGGTTTCTTCCAGGATACCGTTTCTCTCGTGAAATGAAAGCTCTTTCACAGACCTCACCGCCTTACCTTGCATGACGGCAGGACGGATAAGCTCGGCCATCTGTGGCCAGATCTCCGCATATATCTGAGCACAACTCCTTCCCATGGCTTGAGGATGTTTCTCTCCAAGTCTCAAAGCACAAGACTCATTGTAAATCATGATAAGCTCTTCACCCCAGACTATGACTCGTGGGTCGGGATTTGTGCATATGCTCAGTACCATAGAGCTGAGGCGATCTGGCCACGATTCGATTGGTCCCAATGGTGTGGATGACCAGTCAAAGTCCTTGATAAACCGGATGTGAGAGGATACGCCGGGTACGTCAAACTTCGTCCAGTCCAAGATTTCAGGAGGCTCGTTTGACGATGGAGAAAGGATTTGCCATGTCGGAGGACCCGCTCGGGTCACGCGAGCGCTTTTTCGTGAGGCGTCAATTCTTTCAGGCGTTTGTGCAACTCCCAGTGGAAGTGCTTGCGCACAGTATACAACCAGCCATGTATCAGCGACCAACGTGCTGGTCCAGACTCTTCCTGCAAATGTCCATTCTCCTGTGTGCTCCTTCGACTTGAGAGCTAGCGACACGGACCAACTTGTGAAGGCGTCCTGTCGTGTGTGTTGTGTCAAGAAGGTATCAAGTGCTGTATTCGTGAAGACTATCTCCGGTCGCTGTAGTCTCTTCGTGTCTGAGTCCGCCGGTCCGAGGACAAAGGTTGGTCGATCGTCGTTGCCTAAAAGTTCTAGTATGCCCACGTCGGCAAGCTGGGGAATTTGTGTAGAGTTCGACATTGACCTCGTAGAAAAGAGAAAGAGCGAATGGCGAGCTCACGGCTTCCCGTCGCATAACAAGAGCGTCTTTCGCCCACTCGTAAGAGAGATGCAGCGCCACAGACAGATTGCAATGCCAACGCGCGAGAACGACATCTATCAGAGAAAATGGATTCGGCTGACAATGACGAGCCTGGAAGCCGCCCCGTTGAACTCAAGAGCCGCCCCAGCTCTACCGTCAGGGGCGTTGTTTCGAAAAAGGCCTCAGTGAGCCGTCATCTGGGTCCATCTCGAAGCTAAAGTGCTTGAGAAGCTTGAATGACATCAACATCGTTGAGATTGAACAATCGGAAGCGTCTCCGCCAATCTCTCCTCGGAGCGTTCAATTAATTGACCAATTCGGCAATCACATACGGTGGTTCGATGTTGCCATGTTGGACGACTTTTTGGAGATGACTTGTCGCACTTCCAGCGTGTAAAGATGTTCGTCCTTAGAAGCGCTGGGAAACGACGTGCAGACAATGCTTGCGCAACGTCTTGAGGAACGTCTTGCTAAACGCAGATTCTTTCGGGTACTTCGACCGCTCGATGATGGAATTATCAATGGCACAGGTGGAAACCTGTTCATAAACCAATACCAGCTCAGCTGGCTCATCTTCATTGGTCTAGTGGTCATGATTTCCGCTTGTCAAGAGTAATGTCTCGTCAAGCGCGGGAGACCGGGGTTCGATTCCCCGATGGAGAGCTTCTTCTTTTGCCACTTTGACCTCCAAATAGCTGGCAAGAGGAAGGCATGTCTTTTGTCTAATGGAATGGAGAGTGGGTAGACCAAGCGACGAGTTCACATGCGGTCGTGTCGTTTGATGTAAGGTTACAGTACAATCATCCTTGTCAAATGTTCGCTTTTATTCACGAATGAGGTTGAACGAGCTACGGAGCTGGGAATAACCGTGGTTTGTTCTTTCCAAGTATGTACTACTCTCAGACAGTCAATGTGTAGCTGACAGAATTACCAGGCACCCTGGGATAAAACTCGAACGTGAAGATGACATCTTGACCCAAAGCCTGTACAGCACTAACAGCAGCAGCCGTAATGATTACATTGTCAGTATCCCAATTCCACTGCGAGTTGTAGGTCTGCAAACCCTGTCAGTAACTGTTCTTTCCACAGCTGTCCTTCTTAACTTACTGTTCTAGCATTCTGGAGAGGCCCGTAGTAGGAGGTGAAGTCGTCGACCAAGTATGTACCATTGGCAGTCACAGCTTTGACAGTTGCGGGCTTGTTGATGCCCTTCCATTGGATTGGTATGGAAATGCTGGAACCGTTCGCTGCTGCGGCTGAGCTTGATGTACTGCTCAACACGGGTGTATCCCAGAGGACAAGGTTCAAGGTCAAGTCAGCACCGCTGGAAAAGTCGAGGGTCAGATTGGTGACAGAGCCAGGACTGGTGCTTGAAGTAAAGTATGTGCGCAGGAAAGAAGCCGAGAACGTGATGTCGTCGCCGGAAACAGAGTAGTCGCTACCTTTAGTCAGTGCTGTGCCATCGGCTCCCGAGATAGAAATCAGCGAGATATTGGAAGGCAAGATGTAAGGTAGTGTCTGCGAGGACACGTTCTGACCGACACGAACGAAGAGATCAGCGCTGGTAAACTGAGTAGCAGCGCTCGGATCAGTGGTACTGTCGGGAAGTGCATTGGCTTGACCTGCGACAGCAGACATGTAAATGTCGATTGCAGTCTGATCACGCCAGACATGATTTGCGCGGTCCAAGAAGTCTGCGCCATTGTCCCAAAGTACAGTCGTCGTATTATACTTGGCAGCTGTGCGGACAAAGAAGTCAAAGTATCTCCAGCGAGCGGCAGTTTCGGTAGCGACTGGAGACGCAGCCCATTCACCAATTATTAACGGCACGTCGGTGAAGTTCTTACGAATGTTGGCGATGTCTGCTTCGAGAGCAGCTTTGTCAGCCTCAGAACCCCAGATAGTGCTACCCCAAGCAGAGAAGATGAAAGGGTATGGCGAATAGTAGTGATACTGAATAGCCCAAGGATTGGTGATGTTGGTTGGACGAACGAAGTATTGAGAAGTCAGATCACTATTTTCCTGGGGACCATTGAGAGTTACCACACGGTCCGGGTTGAAACCACCGGCGTCGGTGATAGCCTTCAAGAACAAGTCTTCAAGCTTTTTGAGCTCGGCAGCATGTGCAGCTGTCGTGCCAGGTGGTTCGTTGATGGGCTCGTAAGCCAATAAGCTCGACTTGCATGCCAGCTTAGTACCAATTTGATACCAAAGGCGATAGAATTTTTCCTCTATTTGAGTATAGTTGGCCCCAGCCTTGGTGACATCGGCCCATACCCATGAGTCGTGATGAACGTTGACAAGCACATACATGTCACGCTCAGTAACCATGTCGACGACGTCAGATACTCGTTGGAGCCAGGCTGGGTCGACATCATAATCAGGAGCTTCAGTGGTGAAATGATATGCCCAAGTTACTTCGATGATACTATGGTGAGCTGAGAGTTGATCAGGGCATTTCTAAGGATGTCTTACCTGGCAGTCGAATGCCTTTGAAGCCAGCTTGCTTCACATCGTCGAAAGTCGAGGTTACCACGGGCGGGTTACCCCAATCTCCTTCGTCAGGTATGCCATCCAGAGTGTTGCCCAAGTTCCACCCTGGATTCATGCCGTCCACCCAAGTCTGAGCTGATATGCGAGAGAAAGTGCCATTGCACACAACGCCAGAACTGGTCGAGTTAGTGTACCTAGGCAGAATAGGTGTGCTCAGCGCTAGGCCGGCGAAGGATAACGCGAGAAGACTTTTTGATGATCTTGACCACATATTTTTCGTTGTATTGGAGATGGAAAAAGAACAAGATAACAGGCCACAGCGGGGAAGCACTTGGAGAGCATTCTTATAGGCCTGGGAACAAATTTCGAGATCTACCTTTCGAAACAGCCAAAATCACTTAGCCGGAGCCTCAGGAACTATGCAGATGGTCATGCAGAAAGTGTTCTGGGCGTGTCACAGGTATACTCGTACCCTAGGCGAGCCTGTAATGCGATGTAAGAGCTTCCGATAGTCGGTCACGTTGCAGCATCATGTGTCAAGTAGAGCATCGGCTTGCAGGACTGCAGCTTGACATAGTTCTCGGCCGTAGTCGTGAAGGAAGCCATTGGTGCTGGAAGAAGTGAAGATCGCTCTTGGGTGAAGAAAGAAGAGTTGTTAACAAAGCGAGGTCTGAAACGAGAGTGTGGGGTTGTTACGAAACGGGAAATCTATTCGCCGCAGCCAATCTTCACCTCTCTCACCTTGAAGTACAGGTACACGATATATTGATCCCGTATTCTCCTGCTATTGCATGAAGACTCCAGATCTGGGATCGTGATAGCTTCCACCAATGGTTCCTGTACTCGAGCAGTGATGAGGCAGATGTACCTCGGTTACCCAACACTTCGCTCATCAGGCGGCGGTCTTTATCACCATCTTCTAGCTGCTGTACCGACAGGCGTCTTCATATTATGCGATGAACAAATTTCTATCACCTATGTATTTATTCAAGTTCTGAGCGTGCCATAGTAAAGTGACTATCACAGAGTGCCAAGCATTTCATGTTGCACTGTGTCCATCCTGAATTTGATCTTTCCCACTGCACGATAATTTTGAGTGGGACTGCTCCGTCCACAGAGAGCAGCACTCCAGAGCTCTCTCTTAGCATCCGTCAACCTCTTGACCTATAGGAAATGTTAGAACATGAAGATTAGCAACAAGCTTTGCTCAATTCGTGGTCTCGTATCCAAGACTGGAGATGATGAAACTGTCGAAGACGTCTTGGCCACGAGGCCAACCCTGGTTTTTGATCTTATCGGTCGATAAGACGGATAAGATAACGGGCTCACCACGCGGCCAAGCGAGGCTTAGACCGATCCTCCCGAGGCGGGTAGCTGCATATCCGCAACAGCACCCCTGACGATAGTTCTGCAATTTATCTTATCTCGAAAACAACGTTCTTCATCCCTTTCTTCACGTTCTAACATACAAGAGGACTTGTCCAACATCATCAGAGTTCTCCGAGTCGCATCACACGATCCGATTTCTGAACTCTAGTCGCGATGTCTGTCAATCAAGCATACGCGAAGGTCCCCGGCGACGATGAAGAAAAGTACAACAATGTCGCGGAGGCGTCAAATACCGTGCCAGAGGACTCCGCGACGACCAAACCAAGCGTAACCAACAGTCCCATGATCGCTATCTTGTCCTATTGCGGAAGCTCGATTCTCATGACTGTCACAAACAAATATGTTCTGGGTGGGCGAGACTTCAACCTCAATTTCTTCCTCCTCTGCGTTCAGGTAAGAATATGATACTACAATGCTCAAAGCAGTGCTGATGTAGAACAGAGCGTCATTTGTCTTGTCACGATTGAGAGCTGCAAACGTGGTGGTCTTATCACATACCGAGAGTTCAACATGGCTCAAGCCAAGAAGTGGTTCCCTATCTCGGCATTGCTAGTTGGTATGATCTACACAGGCTCCAAAGCGCTGGCATACCTCACCATCCCGGTCTACACCATCTTTAAGAATCTGACAATCATCTGTATTGCCTACGGTGAAGTTCTCTGCTTTGGTGGCTCAGTAACCCGCATGGCTTTGGTGTCGTTCGGTCTGATGGTTTTGAGCTCTGGAATCGCTGCGTGGGCGGATGTGAAGACTCCGGCAACACCGGGTGATGCTGCAAACGATGGCGGCTTGTTTTCTATGCTCAATGCTGGTTACGTCTGGATGGCTCTCAACTGCATCTGCAATGCCGTCTTCGTTCTTGCAATGAAGGTCCGCATCAAGGTGACAAACTTCAAGGATTTTGACAGTGAGTATCGCGCAACATGATGGTTGTGTCCGCACTAACATGAAGTCAGCCATGTATTACAACAATCTTCTGAGTATTCCTATCCTGCTGGTCTGCTCTCTCCTGCTAGAAGATTGGTCGTCTGCCAATGTTGCGCTTAACTTCCCGGCTGACAATCGAACATCAATCATCAGTGCGATGGTCATCTCTGGCTTGTCCTCGGTTTTTATCTCTTACACCTCCGCCTGGTGTGTGCGCGTCACTTCTTCGACGACATATTCGATGGTAGGTGCTCTCAACAAACTACCTCTCGCCATCAGTGGTCTTCTCTTCTTCAACAACCCTGTCACGCTCGGTGGATGCAGTGCTATCGCTCTTGGATTTGTGAGCGGTCTGGTGTACACATATGCCAAGATCAACGAGAAGAAGACGAAAGAAGTGGAAGTCCTGCCGATGACTAAGATGCCAACGTCAAGAGAGACTTGATTTGTTGAAGGGAAGAAAGGCGCAATCTGCAAAGAGCGGTTACCAAAAAGTCGTACTTCAACTTTCTCTGGCGAGGAAATGGTTGAACTCTCGAAACGAGCTCGAGATGGCACAATATAATGTTTGACACTTCGGAACTCATTTCTTCGCGACTCCTGCCCACCTTGTTGTTCCACACGCCTTTCCTTCTGTCTGGTGCTACAGTTCTCCCAGACCAGAGGGTTCCTGAAATCGATCGGATTGAGGTCTGAAGCGGCCTGCTCACTATTGTTCGTAGGGCACCTGTTAACACCATCAAGTGGGCGTGTATTTCAAGGATTCCGAAGGATCAATTATTACAGCCGAGCCGGGTATGACGTATGATACTAGGCAACAACATAGACAACCTCAATGTATGGAATGGAGATTAGAACCACTCTGTGAGCGAACATCCCGAACATGGATCACTACTCCCTACGGCAGAGAGTCATCGACATGCAAAGAGAGCCGTCGGAAGCAACAGCCGGACGTGCCGCAGAGGATGTGACTAATACTAGCAGAGAGAACAGAGAGGACATTTTCTTGTTCGTTCCAAATCTTATAGGTTTGTTACCTGCGAAGGAATCATGATAAGTTCGATCATACTAACACCCATTTCAGGATACGCTCGGATCATCCTCACAGTCGTCTCGCTCTACTTCATGCCTGTTCACCCCCGACGTTGCAGCGCTATCTATGTGGTCTCATGTCTCCTGGACGCACTTGACGGCTGGGTAGCTCGGAAATTCAATCAAGGTACCAAGTTCGGCGCTGTACTGGATATGGTGACAGATCGCTGTACGACCACATGTCTACTTGTCTTTCTGGCTACAGCCATGCCGAAATGGGCTATGTTGTTTCAACTTCTGATCAGTCTCGATCTGGCCAGCCATTATATGCACATGTATGCTACATTGAGTATGGGTGGGAGTGGACAGAGTCATAAGCAGGTTGATGCGAAGAGGAGTTGGTTATTGCATTTATACTACACCAACAAGGTATGTCTTGACACTGCTGGGATGACTGGAAATTCGAGCTGACTCGAAGCCGATTGTTTTATTCACATTATGTGCAATGAATGAACTCTTCTTTGTCGCGCTATATCTTCTTGCTTTCACTGAGCAAGAGAGCCATGTATCTGGAGATCGAATGAAGACAGTCATTCAGAATGAGCCATGGTCTGCAGGCGCTATGGAGATTGCTCGGTGAGTAACTTTGTTACCTCGAGAATTCTCGGTTACTGACATATCTTCCTTCCTCCAGCGCCAACAAGATACAAAGCTCAATACCCACAGCACTTTCCAGGCTTTCTGTGCTCCCGATGTTGATCAAGCAGTACATCAACGTCCAGCAACTGATCGTCGCAAGTCAATGGCTTGCGGAAGGTGATGCCGCAGAGCGTGCCAGGCAGTCAGTCACTAGATAAGTGGGCAAGCATGGGGATATCTTTCCATAGCACATGTCCTCTCCGATCGCTGGAAAAGAAGCTGGATAGTCTCTCTCAAGTCCGAACAAACTAGATGAGAGAAGCAAGCTCTCTCACTTGCTCTCTCTGAATATCTCAAGCAACCCCAAAGACTACTTGAACATTACCAAGCTTCACTTCAGAAAGCGCAATATCTTCGACGTGGTCTCTGCCATGGAGGACTACGCCGTGAAGCATACTCGTGTGGCTACGCCTAACGTTGTGATATCCGATGAAAGGATTATGGAAACACAAGAGCAAAGGAAAAGAAAGAAGGAGCACAGGATATGAACCCTAGTTTCATCTCTTCAGTCCCTTCTGATGCACTAGCAATCTCTTGCCGCACTAGTCTAGGAGATTTGCAGTACATCCTTTGGTCTCGCTGACCTCTGTACCTTGCTTGCACCTCTGTAGAAACCATTTACTCGTTCTCTGGTCATGATTAGCCTGCCCGAGAGAGGGCAAAAGAATCTCGTTCTTGTTCATGCTTAATGTGCAGGTACGCATCATATGTGATGTCGGAGAGAAGAAAGTATCTTCGGAAGAATTCATACTCGATAATCACTGCATAGAGCGATACCGCACGCGACTATCTGGAGCAGAGAACATACCACCAACGCCATCACAAGCCAGCAAGCGGAGCAAGAAGACACGAAAGCAAAGGATCAACTAAACAAGATAACCTCAAGATAGATCACCAACTTCGCATGAACCCCCAGAACATCGACCTATGGTTGTGAGACCTTGCTTTCATGAGCAACTGGAACGACACTAGAGTATTATGAAACAGACAAAGAAAGAACCACAGATCAATGAACCCGCCCCTACCTTTCTAAATTCTCATTGTACGTCCACTATTCCCCTCCCCGGGCATGATGCAAGGTATGGAAGTCAAAATAACTCAAGCCTTACAGACCTATCTTTCTCCTTTTTCTCCTTCAAACTCACAAGAGCCTTTATAGAGAGAGACCGTATACTCGTGGCAATGCTAGCATCCGACTTTGCGGCTTCGCTGGCTGAAAAGTGGACAAGGGTCGCTGGAGAGCTCGTCATCCTGCATAGTTCCATTCGATGACGCTGAGTAGAAATAACTAATCATTACAGTGTCCGGTGGGTTGTTCAAATAGGTAGAGCGGAAACATTGCGTGTGGTAGGATTTGATCGTCCGCGTTTTTTCTCGGTCGTGCGTCCTGAAGAAGGTGTGCAATATCACAGAGAGCAGGAGAATTTCGGAGAAAACTCGTGAAGCACATATTGATCCTGGAGAATGGTGAAGTTGAAGGTTCTAATGCGTTGGCTTGGAGAGCATGGTTATGATACGAGGACGAGAAAGTGAACTTGATGGAATGGATTGAATTGATTGACTGCACAAGGTAATTGTGCAGTGTGATGCTGGAGAAGAAAGAAGACTAACCATAAACTCCTCGTGTGTAAACGCCATGCTAAAGCATCAATGCCTGTTTCTCTCCTAATCCGCCGTCTGTGTCTTCCATTATCTCGTCCGGTCGTTCCAAAAACGCCTTGTGCATGTCTAACTCTGCCTCTCGCAAAATCTCGTACCAGACGAGATCCTATGAATGCCATCTGCGCCACTTGCCCTTGGACTCGAACTCCTACTTCAAGCCCAATCCAACATTAGCAGCACTCTCTCCAACCCTGATCGAGTCTTCTCTTTCCAAACCCTCGGGTCTTCTCGAGCTGGTGGTGGTACTCTGACTCTCACTTCTCTCTCTAGGAGCGGCAACACTTCCTCCAGTCATACCAGCCATGTTGGCCGCCCAAGCACTGACGCTCGGCCTACTCACTCCAGCCAATTCAGGAGCAGGAACGCTGGCTGATGCATCAGAGGTGATACTGTTTCTTCTGCTGCGGAGAGCGCGTTCGAGAGCCTTGACACGTTGACGCAGGGCTTCGTTCTCTTGCTTTACGAGATCGAGTTCTGCGCGGGAGGAGGCGATGTCTGCGGTGCTGGAGGATGAGGTGTATGGCGATGTAGGGCCAAAAGAGCCGGCTGTGGAGAGACCGCTGGCTGTTTGAGAGATCGAGGGGCGGTGAGGGAGGGAGGTTGCTGAGGCGGGAGTCAAGGCCGGTGTGGAGTGGCCTGAGGTGCTGCGGATAGATGGGTTGCGAGAAATGGATGGGGGGTTGGTGGTTGTGGTTGTAGAGGCAGAGCCATGAGCGGCAGCTGCGCGGTCGTAGGAGGCTTGCGAGATGCCTGCAAGAGGGGCGGTTGGTTGAGGGTGTTGGATGTTTGTGTGACTGGTGGCCGAGGGATTGCTAATACTACGGCTTGAGGCAGTGGAAGAGGAGCGATGTTGGCGTGTGGGTGTGGGATGCGAGAGGCTGTTGTCCAGTGCCTGATTGGAGCTGGTCTGCGAAGCGTTGCTGGCGACCGAGGCCGAGTGTTGTGCTCGAAGGGCTGAGAGTTCGCGCGTAAGACGGTTGACCTGTGTTGGTTGTGTTAGACTGATGATTTAGTGACGCGCAGAGTGACTTCAGCAACGTACGACGGCTTCCTGCTCCTTCTCAAGTTCAAGATGCAGTTCAGCAGCAGTCAAAGGACGAGGGTGTCGGACTGGCATGTTTGCGTCGGCGGTGCTCATGACAGGTGAGGGACCATCAGTTCCGTGAGAAGGGCGGCGCGACGACACTGTTGATGAGTGTCGTCGCAGTGAGGGACTTAAGTTGCCGTTGCTCGTCATGTTGGTATGTCGCAGATGCTCATCAAACACGAGTCTCCTGAAGATCAAGAGAAAGTCAAGAAGTTGGACCCGACCGAGTGGAGCCCGACATGCGTATACACTGCCAAGACACGATGATGATTGACATGTGAAAATTGTATTCGTTGCTGCTGCCGCTTGCTATGCATTCCTATGTTTGCAACCACCTAGTGCTCGTGAAACATTGCAAAACATGCTTTTGTGCCCTCATCGCGCTTGAGAAACATATTCACATCGCTGCCCGTCCATCATAATCCTTGACGCCTGTACTCTATGGAGCGTGACATTCCCCAAATCATTGCCTTCCTGCTTGCTTTTTGGACGGGCGTAGCTGCATGTCCTCTTCGTATCATCTGCAGCCTCTTTGTTCGAGTTCGTTTGACTCTAATCTTTGGACCCTTCTCTCGTCTTGTCATCCATCGCTTAGTAAGTTCTGGAAAGGTTACGGAGGTACCAGTCTACCAGTCTGCGGCCAACCTTGGCTTCCGAGACGTGGATCAAGTCCTGGAAGTTCATGTTAGCACTTGTCATGTCATCATCATCTTTCAAATGACTCACTCCTTGCATGGCGTAGTCGAGGTCGTTGGTAGTGACAACATCGCCGTCGAGCAGGCCACCCTCGGTGTGGCGGACCTGCTTGCTTCTCTGCTTGTTGACCAACAACCATCCTCTCAGAGTGTCAGGGTCAATCTCAAGGAAACCAGCCAACTTCTTGATATCCATGGTCGTGTAAAGCTTGAGGTAAGAACGGACAGTAGGGCTCCACATGTTGTTCTTGACCTCCTCCATGAAGATGGAAAGGTGGTGCTCAATGGGGTCAACGTTGACCGACGGGTTGTCAAAGTCCGGAGGAGTGGGAGAGATGAATCTGGGGCAGGCCTGGCGGAAGAGATCCTCGAAGATGGGGAGAGACTCAGGACCACCGAGCTGCATGCGAGCGAACTGCTCACCGTACTTCTCACGGAGGGCGGAGTGAACGGTGTCGTCAAGACGAGTGGGGTTGAGGGCGACGCAAATGGCGACAAGGGCGTACATCTGGTCGGACTTCTTGGCGATGCTATCGTATTGTGCGTTCTTCTGGAAGTTCTTTGTACGAGAGATGTAGATGAGGATGTGAGTGAACATGCGGATGGCGTCGGTGTAGCGGTGCATCATCATGTAGGAGAAACCGACGTAGTAGTAGGTGCTGAACTGGGCGGCCATGACACGGGCGAACATGGATTTCTTGTTAAGCTCAATGTTGTCCAGAGTCTTGAGGGCCATGCTAAAGTCACCGAGCAGGCAGTGGACACGGAGGAGACCGATGAGCGAGAAATATCCGAGCATCTGGTAGAGAGGGCGGTTACCGTACTCGCCGGCGTAGGCGGCGGGGTCCTCTCCACGCTTGCGGGCCTCGAGTTGCTCCTGGATCTGACTGCGCTGGATAAGCGAGTACAGGACGTTGAGAACCGAGTAACAGCCCCAGGTGTTGGGGTTGTCGCGGAGGATCTGGGCATCCTCGTCGTTGTCCTGCTTGAGGGCGATCTTTTGGCGGTAGGCGCAGAAGCTGTTGAACTGGTAGATGAACTCGTCAATCACCTCCCAAGCCCAGTAGTACTAGGTTGTTGTCAGTCTTGTCTATCTCTTTCAAGCGCATGCACATGTGCGAATGCAGGATTAACACACGTTGGGGACCTCGAGGTCGACGGGGCCGTCGGAGTTGAGGATGAAGTGGAACAGGTTGCAGTAGCTGTCGTAGCTGGCAATCTTGGTCTCGAGGGTGGCACCGTATTCGAGGGGTTGAGCAGCGGCGGCGAGCTGTGCCTGGAGGTCCTGAGGACCGCTGGAAGCGACTCTCTCGAGTTCGTCATCGTCGGCGTATTGGACTTGCTCCTTGTAGTCGCTGGCCAAAGCCTCCTCTTCGACGTCCGAGTCGTCCTGGACGGTGCGCGTGGGCGCTCCCTGCTGGTATGATGCTTCAATGTTGCGCACGCTCATCTTGACGGTATGCTGTGTGGTTGCAATGTCGTATCAACCTCCTTCTGCTATTGCGCGCGCGACGACAAGTTCTGGCTTCGTGCAACTTTTGCTCGGCTAACAGTCTGAGGCTATGCCAAGATGGGAAAGTGGGTGGACTTTTGGCGTAATTTACGACAACGAATCCGAGCTAATTGACTGCGGGACATCCATCTCTTCCATCATCGCCAGTCATCAACTCGCACATCTTGCGAACTAAATCTTCTCTTTCATACACAGATCTGTGCACCTTTGAACCGGTATCATCTCCACATTCAGCTTTGGCAAACCTTTCTCACTGGATTGCTTGATCTGACTTCTTCAATCGTAGTCGTTCAATACTGTTATCAAATCCAACATGGCTCCCACCCACAAGATTGCTGTGATTCAGCTTCACCCCAAAGTACTTGAGCCAACAACACGTCTTCGGCAGTGAGCTGATTTCTCAAAGCCTCTCCATGTCGAGCAAAACTACCAGAGAGCCGCCAATTTCATCAGAGCTGCCGCACTCCAAGGTGCCGAATTGGCCGTTCTTCCTGAATATCACCTGACAAACTGGCTACCCAATGACCCAAACTTCAAAGCCTCTTGTGCAAGCTGGAAAGAATATCTCGAAAAGTATCAAGCTCTGGCCAAAGAATGTAACATCTGTATCGTTCCTGGCACAATCGTAGAGCTTCACACAGATGATGAGCACGACAGTACCGGTATCACTACCGAAGAGGATGCAAACAGCGAGCGTCTCCTCAATGTCGCCTACTTCATTTCTTCTACTGGTGAGATTCTCGGCAAATACGTCAAGAAGAACCTCTGGGGATCTATCGAAAGACTTCATCTTACGAGCTCCTCGCGTGACCCTCATCCGGTCTTCGACACTCCATTCGGTAAAGTCGGCATGTTGGTTTGCTGGGACTTGGCTTTCCCGGAAGCTTTTCGCGAAATGATTGCTCAAGGAGCAAAACTATTCATCATCCCTACCTTCTGGACACTCAACGACTGCTCTCCTGCCGGGCTCGCTCGCAACCCCACCGCCGAAGCTACGTTCTTGGATTCTATGCTTACAGCAAGATGTTTTGAGAACACTTGCGCGATCGTATTTGCCAACGCTGGAGGCCCGCCTGGAAAAGGATATGCTGGCTTGTCGCAAGTATGTGCACCATACGTCGGTCCAATTGTAAGATTGGGCAGCTGCGCCGAAGGTATGGCCGTGGTAGACCTGGACATGCAGATTGTAGAAGACGCCGAGGAGAATTATCAAGTCAGAGCTGATTTGGCGAGAGGCGATTGGCATTATGATTATCGTCATAGTAAGGAAGGTGACTCGAAGCTTTGAAACATATCTCATCCTTGTAGTTATTCACGAGTATCGATCGAATTGAGAGATGGGAGATTAAAGCAATTTATTCCAGACTTAACATGTACACAAAATTGGGCTTGTATCGCAAACAGTGTTTGATAGGCAGCGATATAAGCTATATACATTGTGGTGTAGGATACCTGGGTGAGTGCATTGCTTGACCGGATTGATATACCTCCTCCCCGTGTGCTAAATTTGTTACTCCTGGCCATCTCCCACGGTCATGCCTAGCGTTATTCGGCCTGTAGAAATGCATAATGCTTTCAAGATCGCTCTAGTCGTCCGCAGAGAGGCGCTGACTATCACGCTTCCAACGGAGGCTGCCTCTGGAAACGTTACAATCGTGCAATCCTACAGCCATACGCTTGACAAACGATAGCACACGGGGAGGCTATTACCTGTTCTACCCTCGATCATAGAATCTCTCGGGCACGAGCGGACCGTAAAAAAGGCTGATCAACATCAGCAAGGATAATCTTTTCGCTCAAAGCACCACTGAAGTCGGAGAATCGATTGATGTCGACCGCGATGGCTTCAACATCAGCCAGGGTCATCCCCGCACCACGTGCACATTCAACTCTCCATCGTGCCTCCCCTGGAGGACGACACAGACGCTGAACCTGTAGCTCTTTGGAACGCCTCTCACATTCTCCATCCATACTTCATCAACATCCTCCATCACGCATTACTTTGCCGTTATCGCTATCAGCCACATCTTCACTTTGTATTGCCCATCATGAGTAACTTCAAGACGAAAGTCAAGGAAGGCATCAAAACAGCCTTCAGAGGCATCGGAAAACCCTTCAAAAGCATCAAAAAACCCTTCAAAGGCATCAAACGCAAGTTTCAGTCGAAGAACAAGGAGTCCAAAGGGAAACAGCGAGAGGAGCCGGAAGTCGATCACTCTCCAATGATTCCCTCCCACCAGACCGCAGTCATCCCAGCTCAAACTCCAGCGGGCTCAGATGGGAGCAAGGAGGCAGAGGAAGTCGCGCTGTACCACTCATCAAGCTCTTTCAGCTATCATGGTACCATACCCCTTGTGCGGACAGACGGAGTCATCACATATGACCAACCCCCAACAGGAGTGGCTGTCCCGGACGGAACACCTAACTCACCTCAATGGATCAAGATTAATGCCATGAACCTGGACCCAAGAGTCAAGAAACACACGATGCCCCCAAACCCTATATCCGTTGGAACTGTGCGAGTTGTTCTATCCAGCGCAGGACTACGAATTCTATCGGACTACCTTCAAGACGCAGTCTACGCCCCGTATATCCGAAAAGTCATCTTCGAATGTGACCACATCAAGACATCACAAGCTCTGGCCGATCTGGAAAAGCTCATGCCGTTCCTGGACCACATAGCGCACATCCTCCTTATAGAGACAAAAAATATCAAGATTCCGATCCGAGACGCCCTGCTTTTCGTTATCTCAGGGTTTACGACTTACTTAAGATCCGGACAAGACGCTTATCTTCTCTGGAATGCAGAACCTGAGAGGTCGCGACCGGTGGACATGACGGCAGGCTGTGCTCTGACGAAAACCGGCGTTACCAGTCCCAATGGGCATCAGTACGAAGCTCATTTCGACCTTGGTACGAGACTTGGAGCACCGGATCAGACGCCTCGTGAGGGTGAAGTCCGTTTTTGGGTCCACAGGGGTGTCAAAGCCGCCAAAGGTACCAGAGGGACACTACGAACCAGAGGGAATCGACGCGCCGAAGACGAGGCCTTGTTGATCAGGAATTTTCCTCGTCACCAATTTCACCACCTTCCAGGGACAGAGCCAAAGGAAGAGTGGATGCTAGACTTCACGAGGCTTAATCTGAGGGCCATCGATTTATATGGCACACGTCTCACTCTCGAGGGTTTGCAATTTCTCCTTCGACGCAATGCACAAACTCTGAAGGTGCTCGTGCTTGAGCAGGTGGATGTCGCTCCGAGTGGCAGGACATAGCTTGATCTGCTTCGATGGATTGACGAAAATCTTGACTTGGATCATCTCAAAATCGACAAGATCTCCCAAGGTGATGATATTCTCAAAGGTGTGAGTATTGTCGAGAAAGAAAGAGCTGTTGATGGATACAGCCAGGTCGAAGCGCAGCTTGACAAAGACCTGCGAAGGGAGAGACTGAAGTCCTTTTACTTGACCAAGGCCGAGAGGGTCGATTGGGAAGAGTCTGTCATGCCGCTTGCGTGGTGAAATTGGTGCTTCCCATCTATGCTTTTCGCATGATCACAGTCGTTTGACGAGCGTGGTTCATCATCAACATGACATCCATTCATTGACGACATTCTTTGGTTTCTTCAGATACTTCGCTCCTTCTGAGTTCTTATCCGGTAGATAGTCATCGTCTGCACATTCTTTCGATCCCTGAAATCCAATAGTCGCATGTGCTCATCGGTGGAGATGAACATGACTTGTACTGGTGTCTAGATCAACCTCCTGATTGAGATAACGGCAAGGCAGGTGAACACAACGAAGGGAAATGTTGACGTTTCAAGTCGAGATCCGACGTTACCGAAGACTGATTCTGAAGATACGCCCACAGACTGATATATACGCAGGGAAGGATTTGCAACGCCTCACACAATCGTTTGAACGGTTGTCAATTTTGACCAACGTCTTTGAGCCTCCACATGCCTACTTTTGTCACAATCGACTCGCAACACCTACTGTTTTCTTCTCGAATCCCTGACGTCTGACGCGGTCGAGATGGGTCGCCGACCAATCAATAGAATCCGCTCGCGCAACCGAGACCAGTACTGACAGCATGTCCACGACTCGCAGACATCCGCCTATCGCGTATGGTGGAAGAGAGATGTGATAGTACACCGTTTTTGAGTAGGGAAAATGCAAAGTATTGCTTATTCCTTCCCTCTTCACAGGTCATGACTTGTTCGTCTGTTTTTGCGATATAACCTCTGCAAGGTTTCGCTCCGGTTTGAAACTCTTTTTTCCCTTTGAACTTTCTTCTTGACTTCACATTCCTCATTCTTGCATCAGTGCTTTGCTTCGTTGGGGGAGGTGTGTTTTGACAACTTGTGACACATTCCACGGAGATCTCTTTCCCTTCTTTACTATACCATACACAACATGGCGACTTCTGCGTATCATCTTAGGACGGATTATCTGGTCGAGGCGTTTGGAATCGATAACCCACGACCGGAGTTCTCTTGGAGACTGGAAGCCACCGATCCTTCGGACAAACATGCCGTGGTGTTTCAACATGCATATCGCGTGCAAGTCGCACTCACCGAACAATTCAAACCCACGACCATCGTTTGGGATTCAGATGTAGTGCGCTCGCAAGATCAATCTGGAATTATCTATGCGGGTGGTTTACTCCAATCTATCACGAAATATTACTGGCGTGTTCAGTTGTTCGACATGCATGATTTTTGCAACGGATGGAGCAGTGTTGCTACTTTTGAGACTGGAATCATGGATGCGAGACTTTGGAAGGCTAGCTGGATTACTGGACCTGCTGAGGATACGGAACATGCTATGTATTTCCGTGGTTGCTTGACCATACCTTCTGGAGTGTTGAAAGGAAGAGCTTTCGTTACTGCACTCGGTTGGTATAGGTTATTCGTCAATGGATCTGATTTGACTGGAAACTGCTGTGTACCGCGCTGGACGCCGTTGAATTCTGCAGTCGAATATCAGGATTACGATATCACGGAACATCTTCGTCCAGGACTGAATCATTTCAGTGTTGTGGTTGGAGATGGGCGATGGAGAGGAAGTCTTGGTCTCCGCGATACGAGAGCGAAGCATCATGATCCTGTTGCTGCTTTTGTTCAGGTCAACATCAACTTCAAAGATGGAAACAGGATTGCTTATGGAAGTTCTGAAGAATGGCTTGCTGGAACTGGCGCTATTATCCGCTCGGATCCTAAGCTAGGCGAGGAGCACGATTTACGCATCAGCAGCGATGAGTGGTTGGGCAGTGTGGCACCTACACCTCCTCACGTGCAAGGCTCTCGCTGGACTCCCGCTCGTATTCTACCAACACCTCAATCTCGAAAATTGATTGCGGAAGAAACACCACGGACAAAAGAGATTGCCCGACTACGACCGAAAGGAATCCTACGTTCACCTACCGGCAAGCAAATCTTCGACTTTGGCCAAAATATCGCTGGCTTTGTGGTTGCCAAACTCAAAGGCAGGGAAGGCACGAAAGTCACGATTACGTACTCTGAATCAGTTGGCCCGGATGGAGAACTGGACTTGGACTATGCTCTGCCCATCGATGGAAAAGCACAACGTGATTCTTGCATCCTTGGCGGAAAAGACACTTATTTCCAACCCTGGTTTACTCGTCATGGTTTCCGCTATGCTGAGATCTCTGGCTGTGATGATGTAGGCTTCAACGATATCAAAGCCCTCATCGTCTCCGCCGATCTACCGGAAACCGGATCATTCACCTGTTCAGACTGGCGACTGGAAAGATGGAGAGGCAATGCTTTACGCTCCATGCGAGGAAACTTCGCAGATGTTATTACCGATTGTCCTACCCGTGAGCGATTATGCTGGATGGGTGATCTTCAAGCCATTTCTCCTACTTCGACCATGTTCTTGGATACCCAGACATATCTCCGTCGCACTTTGAGGAATATCTCGCTCGAACAATTGCCTGATGGTACTGTCCCTCCTTTCCTCCCCGGCGAATGCGCACAAGTCTACAAAGGTCTCTGGTGGCCCATGTCTCTGATTACCACCTCGGTCGGCTGGGGCGACGCCTGCGTGCTCGTGCCCTGGACACTATACCAATACTACGGCGACTTGTCGGTGCTCAAACGCCAATACACATCCATGAAACGCAAAGTCGAGCAAATGACCCGCGACGCCCGCTCCGGCAAAGGAGGCTATGGCAAATACTTCAAAGGCTGCAAAAAAGAACATGAACCCTACATCTTGGATTCAGACAAGATGTGGGGTGAATGGCTGGAGCCGGGTAGTGGTATGTGGGGGCTCTTCAAGTCTTTGATGATTCCTAGTCCCAATACCGCTACTGCGTATTTTGCTCACAATGCTGCTGTGTTGAGTAAAGCTGCTGAAGCTTTGGGGTATCATGTCGATGCGGAACATTACTCTGCACTCTCCGAACGCGTTAGGGAGGCATGGCGAGCTGCGTTTGTATACGCCGACGACAGAATCGGCGATGACAAACAAGACGACTACGTCCGCGCCCTCGCCTTCAACCTGATCGAGCCCGCCTCAAGACCAGCCACCATAGCCCGCCTGGTGGAAATAATCACCGACAGCGATTTCCACTTCGGCACTACATTGCTCAACACAGCCATGCTGCTCACCGTGCTCTCCGACAACGGCCGCGCCGATATAGCATACAACCTACTCCTCCAAAACTCCTGCCACTCCTTCCTCAATCAAATCGAGCAGGGCGCCACCACGTGCTGGGAAACCTGGACCGGCTACGACGAACAGGGAAGAGCAAAAGGCAGCCACAATCACGTCGCCACGGGCGCTTGCACACGCTGGCTCCAAGAAGGTATCCTAGGAATCACACCCCTCGAACCCGGCTACCGCAAGATAAAAATCCGCCCGCTGGTGGGTGGAGGTCTGGATCACGCGTCGGGTGGCATAGAAACACCGTATGGGTTTTGCAAAAGCACTTGGAGGGTCGTGGTCAGTACTTCGATGATCCAATTAGGCGTTACCATTCCCGCAGGCGCGTCGGGGGAGATCCATCTGGGGGATGGGAGTGTGCATGATGTGCCTGCCGGCACGCACTTTTTCGAGTGGCAGGGTGGGGTCTCGTTGTTCACGCCCGGTGGCTTGGATGTGGAGAATATTCTGCAAGACCGCACCAGTGTTGCCAGTCCGCCGACGCGGAGGAATTTCGCTCAGGCCAGTCCGCCGCAGAGTCCGTTGAGTGGACCGGCTATTTCTCCATTGAGTATGGCTGGTGCTGCACTTGGATTTGGAGCTGCATCTGAAGTTGCAAAGGCCTTGGTTAACCAAAATGGTCAATCGATGCCATCGCCCTCGCCCTCACTATCAGCAGGAAGTGGCAAAAGAATCGACTCGGTGAGCTCGATGAGGGATGTGGCCAAACCACAACGCGGAAGTTTCGTATTACCCAAGAACGGCGGGATCATGAGTTGGCCGCCCAGCGCAGCCACTTGATCTTCTTCCTCATACCTGAATTCCGCACGGAGGGAATGGGCAGAGGTGGTGGGTTTTCTTTTCCATTTACCTTTCTCATTAGCATTTTTCGTTGGGTTTGGGACTGGGGTTGTTGTTTCATCAAAGGGGGCGAGGGCTGGTTCCTTTTGTCCTTTCTTTTTTCTCGTTTGGCATCTTCGGTTACTCATATAGACTATTCTTAATCAATCTCTTCCTACCAAACGAGCTTTCTTCACGCGGATCTTGTTTTCAACTTTATCGCAAATGCGGCCATGGGACCTGTCCGTGTCGATTGGCTTACCATTTGGAAATCGCGAAGAAAGTCTTTGTGTGTCATGGAAAATGGAGAGGGCTAGAAATTGTGATAGGAACCAAGCAAACGGTTTAGTTGTGTCTTCTTGACTCTGAACGTTTACTGCTTGTCTAGCTAAACATCAAGACTGTTTCCGAGCCCCATTGGACAATCCTCTACGAATGCGTCCATTCAGGCTTCTTCTTGTTCGCAAAAGCATTCATACCAATCTTCTGATCCTGACTTCCAAACAAACCATGGAAGAGTCTCCTCTCATACTCCACACCCTCCCTAACACCCAAATCCTGACTCTTGTTGACAGCCTCTTTAGCAGCCTTTACCGCAATCTTCGAATATCCCGCAATCTTGGCCGCTGTGTCTAGCGCACCTTCAACACAAGCGTCGGCATCTTCAAAGCATTTGGCAACCAAACCCCACTGCTCTGCTTGTTCACCCGAGAAGTTTTCACCCGTGAGGATGATCTCCATGGCTTTTGCTTTTCCAATCGCACGGGTGAGTCGTTGTGTCCCTCCCGCGCCGGGTATAATACCCAATTTGATCTCCGGCTGGCCAAACGTGGCGCTTTTGCTGGCGTACAGGATATCGCACATCATAGCCAACTCGCAGCCACCACCCAACGCATACCCATTCACCGCACCGATGACCGGTTTCTTGATAAGAGTGAGGTTGGACCATGATTCGATGAAGTCGGCACCGTAGGCGTCGGAGAAGGTTTTGGGAGCCATTTCCTTGATGTCTGCGCCGGCGGCGAAGGCTTTGGGGGAGCCGGTGAGGACGATGGCGGAGATGGAGGGGTCTTTGTCGAGGGCGGATGTGCAGGTGTTTAGTTCGTTGATGAGGGGGGAGAAGAGGGCGTTTAGGGCTTTGGGTCTGTTGAGGGTGACTTTGTTGCGTCTACGTCAGTGACGGTATCTAAGAAAGGATGGAGTGGTGTTTTACTCAAAGCGACACCAGGACGAGGTGTGCTGAGTTGGATGTGCTCATAGCTGTGCTCAGAAGGTGTAGAGTATGGTCTTCTGATACGAGGAGCCACCGTTTTGACGAAACGAGAGGGAAAGGGTTTGGCGATTCGAAGACTTTGCATTTTGGCGGTTGGGTTTATAGTCCAATTGACGCTGTTTGAAAAGTAAAGATGGACAAGTCAAGAGTTGTCAAAAGGTTAGAAATCAAGGTGGAAGTAACGGAGCTCTATCTCCCCGCATATGTCATCGGCTGTCTTTTTGCCGAGGTGTTGATGTTTTTCCCGAAAGGGCAAGGCGCCTTTTCTCCGAGCTTTGCTGGCAGGGCGCATACCAAGCTCTCAGCGGACCTTCTCTGAAATCTTGATACCATTGTGCCTTTTCATGGCTGTATTCGCAGGAGTGTTTGGTGCTTGGAGTACGAAAACCATTTAGAATAATCACTGCTACCACACATTCACAATCATAAGCTATCTCCTCGGATCAAATCATTCACTCTGACCTTACTTCCTCACATGTCAAGGATCCACTCCTCCATCCATAAAACCACCTCTTCCCAGCATCGTCCTTTCTCTTTTCCATCAACATCTCGAATACAGAAGCCATTGGTGTCGACACTGACGTGCGCACAACTATCACGACCTGCGTGTGCTGCTTCTCCCGGAACAGAACAACGCGAGCCGATCCGGGTACCGGACGCGCTCTAGTATAGCTCCTCGCTTCGTGTATTCGGTAGGTCTGTAACGTGAGCAACGGAAGTAACGCACGAGTGTACTGTCTTGATTGGAGATGGAGATGGTAGGGGAGGGGGTTTCTGGCATTGTACTCGGTATAGACGACACGGGGTTTTAGCTCCTCTTTCGAGTCGATGACTAAACGTATCGTTCGTGTAGTAACGCAATGGCCCAGACTTTCTTTCGACGGCAGGGTAAGTCGCTAGTGGTTGGTATTTCGACATGTACCCGGTGTAGACGATACGAGAATGCTAGTATCTCGTCTCTCCGCTCGATGAATGTGTGTATCGTTTGTGTAGTAACGCAATGGCATGAGACTTTCTCTCGACGGCAGGGTAAGTCGCTAGTGGTTGGCATTTCGACATGTACCCGGTGTAGACGATACGAGAATGCTGGTATCTCGTCTCTCCGCTCGTTGAATGCGTGTATCGTTCATGTAGAAACGCAATGGCATGAGACTTTCTTTCGACGGCAGGGTAAGTCGCTAGTGGTTGGTATTTCGACATGTACCCGGTGTAGACGATACGAGAATGCTAGTATCTTGTCTTTCCGCTCGATGGATGCGTGTATCGTTTGTGTAGTAACGCAATTGCTAAGATTACCTATCAACGGCAGAGTGGGTTGCTAGTGGATAGGTGTTTCGACATGTACCCGGTGCTATTGAAAGGCTTCATTCCGAATCGGAATCTCCAAAAACAGCCAAGCTCTCCCTCTTTTTCTCCTTGACAGGCTCGGCAGGTTTTGACCCTGCTAGTGATAATCTGCTAGGAGCGCCAGCACCGCCAAGTGAGAATCCCATAGCGGGAGAGGCTTTTATGACTTCCTCTGCAGGTACTGAAGTAGCAGGAGGTGCGTTCAACGACATGGAGAAGTTGGACAACTTAGGTGCTGGCTTCGGTGGTGGTGCTTCACCATCAGCAGTTGCAAGAATCAGATCTGCGGCTGATGGTCTCGATATCTGACGCTTGACTGGCTGTTGCGCAGGTTGCGGTACTGTGGCGGGTTGTGGTGTAATCTCCTTCACCACGACTTCCGGTGTGGGAGCAGCGCCCAAACCCTCCCCACTCTTCCACCTCCTCTTCAAGTCCTCTTCTTTTTCCAGCTTCTCCTGTTCATCCTTGATTTTCTGCTCGGCATCGGTCAACGGCGGACTCAAAAACACATCCTTGAACCTCCTATGGCTCTCCGGCGCAAAGATGCTTTCTCTCTCCCAGCAATCAAGCACGACGGTTATACGGGATCTCCATTGCTCGCCACGCACGCGGCCCCAACCATATTGCTTTGGCATACGGCCTAGTTTCTCGAAAACTTGACGGCAGGTCAGGGCTGATTCGAAGAGCGAGCGGTATTTCCAAGCATCGCGAACGCCCGAGACAGAGGTTGCGGCTAGAGCGTCGCTTATGACATAGAGACCTACTAATTGAGCGCCGGAAATGTCTTTGCCTGTTGATGGCTCTTCCTTGTGGTCGGTGTCTTGATCAGGTTGGGTAGTGGTTGTGGGTTGTGCAAGGGGTTCCTCGACGTCGGCATCGTCGTTGCCGCCTAGCATGCCGAAGGAAGCTCTAGGGCCGTCTACTTCGGGATCGTAGTTGTCGTCATCGTCATTTTCCTGGTCTTCCCTGTCGTCTGTGGGACGATCGATCTTGTAGTTGACTGAAAAGCGGAAGGGATTTTCCAGATTTGATACAAGCATGTCAACAACTTCCTCTGCACCTTGGCCAGAGAATTTGATGACGAGATCTGTGACTGCTTGGACATCACCTTCGCATAAGTACCCAGTACTGTCGGGTAGATGATTCAAGAAGAAGGTCAACTTGGCTTTGCGGTAAGGGTTTAGATAGCGTGGTCGTGAGATGGATGTGTCTTCAGGAGCGACACCTTGGGTCTGGACAATGTGATCATCCTCGTCATCAGTATCCAGGTCCGAAGAGACATAACCAGAATCGGACATCAAATCAGCCAAATTCTGAGCATGCTCATACTTGGGCTTCTCCGGCGGCGGGATCCAGAAAGGGCCATCATCGAATGGACGGACGTGATTGTTTGTGCGTGCAAGTTCGTCCATGACTGACCATGGATGTATGTCTTGGACTTCTTTCGTAGGTGGTTGGGAGGCATAATACTGGTATACCAACCAACGGTACCAGACATGGCCCTGACTTGTGTTGTCAAACAACCAAGCCCAATGTTCTCCATGCTGGACATCCGGTTGTGCCATGAGCAAGCATTCCCACTCAGGGCCGTATGTGATGAGTTTCTCGACGGTCTTGTTGATAGTGGCGAGTTGTTTGAGATCGGACGGCGGTGTGACGTTGACGACCAAGGGAGCAGGACCTTGATGGCGCAATTGTGGAGGGAGAGACTCTGGCGGAGGCGCGTTCCGGAATGAGTGTGACGGTGGAGGGTCGCGAGGCATTGGCTTCGCACCAAAAGGTTGTACTTGGACTGCCGAAGTCGCGGTATGAAGGACGGATGAGATGGAAGAGGAGATGGTGATGTGCTTGGAGATGTTGAGGTATGAGCCGAAGCCTAGGTACTTCTGCTGGAGAGCGTTGACGGCGCTATCGATGTCGCTAGATGCTGTGTCTGGTGATAGAGCAACAACGGCGGTCAATGAGTGGCCTGTCGAGGAAGGAGCAAAGGCCATATCGTCCATCTTGAGATTCTTTGGCAACAAGCTTCGTATCGTCGCTTCGGTCGTGTTGCGTGGAAGAGAGGACAACAGCACGGTTGGGCGCTTCACTGCAGCTTCCGGGCTTGCTCTACTGTCTCGTTGTCTTCGTTCTCTTTCTCTTGCTTCTTCCAGCTCCCTCTTGCGTTTCAACGATAGTGGAGCAGGTCCAGGCGGAGGTCCAAGGGTTCCTGGCCCACTACTCCTCATGGGGGCTCCTCTGGTATAGCCTCCTCCATCTTGTAATCTTGCGCCGCCGTATGCGCTGCGACCAGCGGCTACCTGTGCGACAAAGTCGTCTTCATCCTCATCGGCGAACGAGTCCTCAAACTCTCGTAGTGCTGCTCGGTTCTCTGCTTCTTCACGTATCCGTTTGGCTTCGGCTTCTTGTCGTTGTTTCTCGAATACTGAAACTTTCTTCGGCGCGTTCAATTTGGATGAAATATCCGGTATTGGCTTGTCTGACATTGTGTTTGTTGATGACGATAATTGGGTATTCCTCTGCAGCTCTGTCAAGTTCTTGTCCTTCAATTGAACCCTTGACCAATGCGTAAAGCCGACTTCTTGGGGTAACGCCGATCTTCCACCATCTCTCCATCTCCATCACCAACTTCCCTAGACATCAGTCACTTTTCGGTTTTGGTGAACAATCATACTAGTCATGGCGGCCACTAATAATCTGTTGCGGTTCCTGACGGCCGAGGCAAAGCTACCTTTGGCCGCTGCCATCGCACAAGCCACAGGACTTCAGAAGGCCAATCTAGTCACGTAGGTGGCAACCATTCCTTTGTACCTTGTCCTTCTTTGCCCATCTTAATACATCTGTCTCCTCACGCCTGCGAGATTTCTCCTGACGCTTCAACAGCATCGAGGATCTTGCCAAGACTGATTTTGAGACTCTCAAAGCAGCCTCCGCCAACGATAAGGCTGCCAAAGCAACTCTGGCTGCTGCGAAACGTGTATCCATCAAACGAAAAAGAGGCCTTCCCGAAGAATCTACTTCTTCATCATCCAAACGGCTAAGGGCTGACCCAACCGAGATCAAATCACCTGTCGATGTCGAGGCAGCCTTGGCTCTCCCTTCCTCTGATCTCAACGAAGATGAATTGGCAGGCATCATTCTGACCACAAACCGTGCTCCTTTACTATTGACGTTTGCTGCTGTCTTGCTGAGATACACAATGCCTGAACAACCTCCTTCAAGCTGTCTGAGTCTTGCTCAAGCAGTCACATCAATGAATGCTCAAGCAAAAGCTGCAAGCATCGGCCTTGACAAATCTGGATCTGCGGAGAAAGAAGGTTGGGGTCAAGGTCAGCCGCTTGTCAAAGTCATGACTAGAGACATACGCGTTCTAAAGCGGTGGGGCTATGAGTGGAAGACCGACACCAAGAACTCCGCACATGTTATCAAGACAGAGGATCCGGATCAAAAGCCACCTGCGGCAGAGTCTGATCTTCCAGCAAACGTAACGTCATCTGAGGATTCACCAGCACTACTGGCCCTCGATCTGGAACAACTGAAACGTCTCGATGGCCCTCCCATCGTCTCAGCATCAGCAAGCACTACTGGCCTTCCCGTCTATCAAGCCGACTCTGCACATAACTATATCCTGAAAGCTTTTGATTTGGTATTCGAAGATGAACCTGAAGCCAAAAAGAAGAGGAGACTGGCATCTGAGATTGCCGCCGAGCGTGAAGCCAATTTGGGACATCTTGTCAAGGTTTTGGATTTGCTGTTCCAGTCGTGGTCTATCCTTGATCCTACTGAGCTGGATAAAAGGGCCTGGAGCTGGTATGTGAAAGTGAGGCCGCAAGTTGAAGGAGGTCGTGCTGGTTGGGGCGCGAAAGGTCAGGTCAAGCTCAAGGAAATTTTGAATTTGAGGCGGCCGAAGTAACCACGTTCATGGTATGATTGCCATGCTTCGAACCAACCATCGCACTCATGTCTGTTCTGGCCGACTTGTCACCCACCTACAAACGAAAAACTCAAACACTACGTCCAGTGGCGTCTGGACGAAGTGTTTCTCGAACACAACGTTATCTTGGAAGAATCGCATGGCCAGAAATTCTATTGTATTCTATGGTTCGGGTTAATTCTATCCTTCCTTGAAGATACCGGCATATGCACTCAACGCCGGTGCGCCACCAAGATGCGCATACAAGACCTTGCTCCCCTCAGGAAACTCGCCCTTCTTGACCATCTGGATCAAGCCATCCATACTCTTACCCTCATAAACAGGATCCGTCAACATACCCTCAGTCCTAGCAGTAAGTCTGATAGCTTCCATAGTTCCTTCATTTGGCAATCCATATTCCGGGCCTCCGAATCTTGTGTCCAAAATCACATCCTCGGCGGTGATCTTCCTACCCAACTCAACCAACTCGGCAGTGTTCTGAGCGATACGCAGGATTTGCGCATGTGTCTTCTCCGGCTTCGCTGATGCATCAATACCAATGACCGATTTCGCCCTGCCGTCAGAAGCAAATCCCACAACCATTCCAGCCTGTGTGGATCCAGTAACAGCGCAAACGACAATGTAATCGAATTTGAAGCCGAGCTGTTTTTCCTGTTCCATAACTTCCTGTGCGAAGCCCACGAAACCCAGACCCCCATATTTGTGCTCTGAGCATCCTGCAGGAATAGCAAAAGGTTTGCCGCCCGCGTCGGTGATTTCCTTCATTGCGTTCTCAAAGGAAGGGCGGATTCCTATGTCGAAACCAGAGGCGTCGAGGCGCACGTCTGCGCCCAAAATTCTGGAGAGCTCGATATTGCCCACTTTCCCATACACGCCTTTATCTTCCTCCTCTTCTGTATAGTTTACCCAATTTTCCTGCACCAACACACACTTCATACCCAGCTTTGCGGCAACGGCTGCAACTTGTCTGGTCTGATTGCTTTGGATGCCGCCGATGGAGACCAAGGTGTCGTAGGAACCGGAGATTGCTTCGGGGATCACGTATTCGAGCTTTCTTGTCTTGTTGCCGCCGAAGGCGAGGCCCGAGTTGCAGTCTTCGCGTTTGGCGTAGATTTGGACTTTGTCGCCGAGGTGTTTGGAGAGACGAGGGAGGTGTTGGATTGGTGTGGGAGTGCCGAAGGTCAATTGCTCCTTGGGGAATTTGTCAAGACGCATGATGGATAGATGGTATTCGTCCTTTCGGGGTGGTTGGGATTGGTAATGAGTAAGAAGTGTTGCTGCTCTTGGAAACAATTGGTGATCTGGGTACACAAACCAAATAGTAATTGATTGATTGGAAAGTAGTTGATTGGAAGCGAGAGGAATCGATTGGAAAGGAAAGGGAAAAAGAGGTTATATTGAGCGACTCTACTGTTCTAATTACTACAGCTGCGACCAGAGCTTTGTCGTGGTATGCTTGCCCTACCTTTGAGAAGTTGGCCTATCAAGGGCGCATTTCAATCGCCGACCGATATCGTATCCTCCTTCGGGCCGTGGGGTAATGTAGAGGAGCGGCGGACTCTTGCCCGGTCGGATGCCATTGCCCATCTCGGAGTATGGATACATGTACCTGAGTCACGCAGTACCGTGTTTGTGCAAGCAATCTGCACCATCGAGTTGCAATGGTCATACGAAAAAGAAAAACAAGAAAGAAGAAAAGAGAAGGTCCAGCAAACATCAAATGACACGCATGCTTCTCCTCCACCAAATGAAAAATGTCTTGGCAAATCACCAACCACCATCAATCTTGCTTTGAAGCAAACATGGGTAACCAGCATCCAGTACCACCAATCGCATTTGACAAAACCCATCTCATCATTCCCTTTTGATTTTTCCGATGAGTGAGGGAAACTCGTATCAACAGGATAATCCGATCATGAAACGTAATTTGTTACTCTGCGTCGACGCCTTTGGCACGTTGTTCCGTCCTCGCAGTCCCATTGCCGAGCAATATGGCAGTGTGGCTAGAAGTATGGGAGTCACAATCTCTGACGATGAGGTTGCAAAGTCGTTCAAAACAGGTAAGTCAATTTGCTCAGAACAATTGGCAAAAGCGAATCAAAAGGAAGATGCAAGATGGCAATAAACGAGGGGGAAAGCATGATATCTCGAGCAGAACGAAAGCTGATGTACGAGTGAAATCTAGCATTCAAAGAAGTCTCAAAATCATACTCAAACTACGGAAAAGCTACAGATATGGGAGCCAGACAATGGTGGACAGAAGTAAATCTCCCCATCCACTCTTCCACCACCTTTTCCATTCCACATCACTGACCGACCCCCCCTCAAAGGTTATAACCAAAACATTCCAACCACATCACCCAGGCCCTCTACCTTCCTCTCTAACCCCTAATCTGATAAACCGCTTCTGGAGCAAAGAAGGCTATACCGCATTCCCAGACGTACTGTCATACCTACGCAACCTCTCTTCCCAACCCTCCCGTTTGCCCTCAGCATCTCCACGCTTGGTGGTAGGGGTAATCACAAATTCAGACGATAGAGTGCCGGATGTGCTATCCTCTTTGGGTCTACGGGTAAACCATCTCCGACACGGCTCAAAGATCGAAAAGGAAGCAATGCAAGAGCAACCCCAAACAGACATCGATTTCTGCATCATGAGCTACGACGTCGGCTGCGAGAAACCCTCATCTGAAATTTTCGACGCCGCCACTTCGATGCTTGGATCTATACTCGCAGCAGAGGGTACCGAATTCGAGAAACAGGATTGGGATTTACTATATGTAGGCGACGAGGTCAAAAAGGATGCGCAAGGTGCGATTCAAGCTGGTTGGGATGCGGTCATTGTGGATAGAGGTGGTGAGAAGGATTTAGCGTATGAAGGTGATGCGCCAGGAGTGGAAGGGTTTATCGAAGTTGAGGGGAAACAGGTGGTGATTTTGGATAGTTTTGAGGCGTTGGGGTCGTTTGGGGGGTATGGGTTGTTGGAGATCGAGTAGTTGTGGTGTGTATGGTTGCGAAGCAAGCCTTATTTGATTTGTTTGATTTCAAACTATGCGATGAAGAGGTGATTACAGCTTCCACACTCTGACACCAGCCCCCTCAATCTCAGTCCCATTACCACTACCGCTTCCTCCCAACACAACACTCCCATTCACCTTTGGCGCCTTGATCGTCTCAGCACCATAATTAAACGCCCACACCAATCCACCTCTCTCAAGCACTCTCAAATTCTCCCCCACATCATTCGCCTTACTAGCACTTCTTCCAAAAACATCCTTGACTCCAGCCTTGGCCGCCGCGTCACCAATATAGCTGACCAAGAGATCTGCTGGTGGGTTGAAAGCTAAATAGTGGATGTTGTTTGCCGAGCAAGCGGCGGGTTTGTTTTTTCTGTGTGCAGAGGTTGACGAGATGGATGCGGTGCTGGTCGCATTGTCGCGAGTGCAAATGATGTTTTCCTCCCAGAGTGAGATATTGTAGGTCGTGCCTGCGTAAGAGACACCACTGTTTGCGTATGTAGGCGGTGTTTCCACTCTCGTGACTTTCATGGGCAATTTATCGCGAATGGTGCCTGCAGAGGGGTTCAAGCCCGGCGGGTAAGCGAATTCGGGAGTGCGCGAGCCGGTGTGAGGACCAAGGACTACAGTGCCATTATAGGAAGACAATGCCGTGTTGAAGGCTTCAGGGATGATGGGAAGACTAGGGACGACGACCATTTTGTAACCGCTGATGGCTTGGTCGGGAGAAATGACGTCGACATTGAGTCCAAGACGGCGGAGAGAGGTGTAGAATGTTGAGACTAAATCGAGATACGCGAGACCGGCATTCTCGAATCCAACGTCTAGCGGGGAGTAAGAACCTGAGTAGGGTTCGATACTCCAGACCCACACGGATGTGTAGTCGAAGATGAGTGCCACGTCTGCGGATGTCTCTTCGGACTCCAACGCTTCTCTAAGAGCGGGCAAATCCTCGCCTGCCACAACCTGAGTTTCTCCAAAGCCTTCGTCGGGAGTGTTGTCGGAGACGAAGAGACCGGAAAGAGTTTGCTCTTGAGCATAGGGTACTTGCCTCCAGCGGAAGTAATTGACCAAGTCACCCTTGGAGGCAAATGTCTCCAAAGTCCAAAGACGAACCATGCCTTCCAAAGGAGACACACGGTAAGTGTTCCAGTTCAACACTCCAGGTTGCATCTCCATGACACCGAAGGGGCCGTTGTTCTCGCCATATGCAGAGCCAGCGATACCGCGGTAAAGTGCATGTTGCAGAGCTTGAAGATCAGGAAGACCAGTACGAAGGTACTCAGCGCCTTCAGAAACACCGGCGAGAGGGTAGTTGTCGAAAGTTGCCAAGTCAAGACCGACCTCACGATTGAATTTGAAATGGTCAAAGTCCGTGTAGCTGACCATGAAATTTGTTGTGACGGCGTGAGAGGGGGCATGTTGTCTGATGATGGCAGTTTGCTCTTTGGCAAATTCAATGACCATGTCAGAGCTGAAGGTATACCAGTCCAGCAATTGAGCTTGATTCGGCATGTAGACGTTCAAGAAGGGAGGTTGAACAGTGTCGAAGCTGACGTATTGCGAACTCCAGAAGACACGACCTTGAGCTTCATTCATATTCTCAATAGTCCCATACTTCTCCTCCAGCCAAGTTCTGAATCTCGTGATGGCGTTGTGGTCGTAGGAGCGTACTGTGTCGTGGCATCCAAACTCGTTGTCCAATTGCCAGGCCACGATGTTTGAGTTGTTGCCATATCTCTGAGCCAGCTTTTGTGTAATTCCTTGGCTCAACTTCCTGTAGTTGAAAGACGAAAAGCTGTAATGTCTGCGAGATCCGAAGATGAGAGTCTGGTTCGTGCGATCCACAAAGTTGACGTCGTATTTCTCCGTGAGCCAATTGGGAGGTGCCGCTGTGGGCGTTCCAACAATCGCCTTGAGACCATATTTGCCAAACAACTCGAGTGTGGTATCAAGGAGGGTGAAATTGTAGACGCCCTCAGATGGCTCCAGGACTTCCCAATCAAATTCGCTGATACGAACATAGCTGATATTCGCATCCCTCATGGCAGCGACATCTGACTCCCACATGTACTCTGGCCATTGTGAGGGATAGTAGTCGACAGCAAGGTGCAGACCACTAGGCCATCGAGTCTGGTCCGGTGTGAACGATACATTGTATGCTCTTGGGACAAATCGAGTTGCGGCACCAAAAGCTGCTTGTGCCAGCAGCGGTACTAGGGCGGTAGATGTATGCATAGTTACTTTTGGAGCAAGTAGCTATGCGGAAAAAAACCACACAAAGACATCCTGACATCTATATACTCGTTACTCGAGCACATCATCGCATATTCCTGGTTTCGCTGCGGTCGATCGTCGCCCGACGGTATCGGCGAAGATGTGGAGATGGCGGGGGTCTGCATGGAAGTGTGGAGTGGTAGACATCCGAAAATCAGCCTGATTGTAGATCTTAGGGTTTTGCGAAGAGGGTAGCATCCGAAAGGTTGCAACGAAGAATGCACGAGGCTGGGAAGTGATGATCAAGTCGTCGTGACCCGTCATGCTCTCAGTGTCAGTGGGGCGACGTGAGCTCGATTCCTCGAGTATTTCAAGGAAAGAGCGATCTCCAGGGCACCTTCCTAAGAGACCTGTTCTTACATTATGGGACGTATAACACTCTACAGGTTCATGGACTTGGGCTGCTGAAGAACTCGTTCATTCATGTCTATTATTACGTTTCGGCTCGTCTATGTTATCATCGTACCATGGCTATATCGACTAGCATCACGACCCTTCTTCCAACCTCGTGGGTGCCCAATTGCCTAGCCATTCTCTTGCCTTGTCTAGCTGCCCAGTCTCTGCTTCCAAAGCACCTATGCACCAGGGTAGTGAATATGTTTCTCCCTTCATGCCGTGTTCCTCCTTCAACATCTCGGCCAGAGCTCTTCTAGTTTGGCTAGCCTCGTCGACGCAAAAGTGCAATGGCTTGGTTTCTGCAGAGACTACGGCATCGACAAATGGCTTGATCATTGGCAAAGCATCTTTTGTGGTCACAGCCCCGCCTTCGCCAGTATTCGTTCTTCCGGTCTTGCAGAACGTGTTGCGGCACCAGGACTTTCCACAACCAGTGAGGAGTTGGGTGAGGTAGCGTCGCTCAATTCTGCGCTTCAAGGCCTTGTTCTCTGGATCGTAGGTACTAACATATAGTGGACCGAAGCACGCTGCGCATAAGCCAATGTCGTTGCCAGTGTCTCTTGGCTGAGCCCTGGTATTACCATCGTGAGAAGTGCCATCAAGCGTTCTACCGCAATTGGCGTTGCGACATATCCTAGGTGCCGGACGTGATTTGCGAGTCAGATCGTGATGCTTAAGATGAGTCTCCATGTCTCGAAGACGGACGATTCGAGAACACAAGTGACATTCTGTTGTTCGGCTTCCGTCTGCAAGTTCATGTGGTGTGAGGCCTGAGAGCAAAGCTTCGGCATTGGGCACATCCGGGTCACCTTCTTGTGGTACTGAAAGGTGGCAGAAGCGACACAAGATAGTCTTCGCTGGACATACGGAAGTTCTGTGACGAGCGAGTTGCGGGAGAGACGTGAAAGTTGAGGTTGTACTGCATGATGGGCATGTGAATTGTGATTCGGGGTGGTAGAGATGATTATGTTTCTGCTGGGAAGAGGTGGTGTTGCCGTAGAAAGTGTCGTGAGGACAATGCCAGTGATTCTCGAACGCGGGAGAGCGCTTCTGGAAAACTTGGCCACATCCTTGCGGACAAAGAATGTTATTGCGTAGACAGAAGTTCTCATGCAACATCAGTGTTCGTTGAGGGACCCACTGACCACAGTTTTTGCATCGTACATCTTCCGGGTTTGGAGGTTGTTCGGAGGCTGTACTCAACTGGGTAGTTCTCAAATCGCCGGAGCGGATTCGCAACGTGAATGGACGAGGTTCGGCGGAACTTTGGTCGTTCCCATGGCGAAAGGCATGAACCGAGATCCACAATGCTTCTGCGTCTTCAAGCTCGACGTTCGATGGTTCGAGACGTATCCTTTTGGTCGGATGGCCACTGAAGTCACCAAAGACGTGTTCGTCGAGGCGCGGTCGATTCCGTTGTCGTGCTGAGAAGGGCGAGATCAAGAGATCGATATCATCGTCAGTTTCAGCACCTTCAACCTCGACCTCTAACGCTTGTGATCTTGGCCATGAAGGTAGCTGATAGTCAATGTAATCCCCTGGCGCAATCTGACCCTGTTGTACTTTAAAAACGTCCAAGTCTCCGCCGGCAGAACTCGAGCCTCCGTCTCGATTGCTCTGTATCTTTTGCGCAATCTTTGCCAAAGTTTCCCTTGCCTGCTCTTCGTTGAGGGCCTCGATGTCAACCTCGAGATCTGTATCAACGACACAAACAGCATCTGACTCGGGCTGGAAAGAGTCGACCAGGAAGCGGAACTCTTCTCTCGCAGGACCAGGTACGACTAGCACTTCTCCGCGAGTCAAAGTGGTATAGTTGGTGCGTAGATGTTGTTCTAGCAAGGCCTTCCAGTCATCAGGGTCGTAGCCAGCCTCTAGCGGGCGTAGCTTGACAAAAGTGCCTTTGGGTATTTGTCGCGCATGAATTGTGACTTGTGCTCCTTCTTCTTTCAGATCTAGCGCTTGCCAGAGAAAAGTACTCAGGGTAGCGCATCCTTCCTCGGCCGAGAACTCGCGGATGCCTGCATATACGATCCGTCCATTGTTTGCGTTGACCAGACGGAAGGTCAACGGATGTGGTAATTGGTTCTTTTGTTCTTCGGAGCGGTGTGATGGTCTTTGGGAGCCGGCGTAATACGACGAGTAGGTATTGAAGTCGTTCGAGGGTTGTGATGTGGCGGCAGCGGCTGTTGAAGCAGCGGATAGTAATTGTTCGAGTGCTGTTTGAGGCAAGACGATCTTGTCGCCGCTCAGATTGGTCGCTGAAGATGCGACGAACTGTCCTGACCACTGTAATTCAGTGTCCATGATGTGAGATGCTCGAGGACAAGAACACGACTCGAAGGCGTATACCTGATTGACCTTGAAACACGCTTTGTTCTAGAAGTTGCTATCCGCCTGCGTATGTCATCAACACACTTGCGGCGATTCTCGGGGGAGAGATAAGATAATCGCTGATTTCCTATCCCGGCTTGTTGTTCTTCACACCCTGGCTGATATTCTTCGGTCCGTTCTCTTCATCAACAATTCACTTTCTGTTTTCCAACACCATTGTGATCTTGGCGAGATCCATCATTTGAGATGAGAGACATGCAGATGTATGATTCTATCTATGAAACAAGGCGTACGCATAAGGGACGCGCCTCGGTGGCTTTTCGCTGTTACGAAGACGCGACTTAACGAGACACGAATCGATCACGATGAGACTGAGATGTCTTGCCATGGACGACGAAGTTAGTTTTGTCGAAGCAGTACAACAGCATTCCTGACGAAGAATATTCCACAGGTATATATCGAGTAATGTTTTGATTACATCTCAGATTTTCAAACATCCACTGCTGTGAAGAAACCACAGACCAGGTGAAGCGTCCACTTTTTTCGACATGGGACGTACGCATTGAGATTACGCATCTGTCAACATGTGAAGCTTGTCCTTCTCATTTGCCTGTCGAGAAGCTTGTTTATCCCCAAGGTGTATATCTTCTAGAGGCATGGCCCTTTCTTACCTGCCCGTCTTGTCGAAACCTCAAGCATGCACTCGCTACTTAGATTGTCTGTTGCAGCACTCACGTTGATGACCATCGCTTGCTTCTATTACCAACTTTCCGACTTGCCGAATATTAGGAATGTTTTGCAGCATGTCTCGCCCGAGAAGGTGCAAGTTACGGTCCACCCATCACACGTAGACTATTCCACAAGCAGAACAGCTCCTGGATTTGGGAGCTCTCAGGAAGAAGAGCAACTGGAACAACCCGCAGCAACATATACCGAGGCCAGCTCATCGTCGCCATCCGATGCCGAACCAAACGACAAGGCGGTGGTAATGGGCGCTCTGTCCACCGACGATGTGACATGGGCGACAACACAGCTAAAAGGATGGGACGCTTTCGTGTATACAGTCGACAACAACGCCAGCATCACACTACACACAGACCGCAATAAAGGCAAGGAAGCGAATGCCTACCTATCTTACATCATCCAAAACTACGAGTTGCTGCCATCGACTGTCGCATTCGTACACTCTCACGAATTTGGCTGGCTCAAAGCATGGCACACCGACGCTGCTCGTCACTCCAATGTTGAGAGCCTCAACTCGTTGAACACAAACTTCGTGCAGAGAAACGGCTATGCGAACCTAAGGTGCATACCCAATCCTGGATGTCCGGACGAAGTACGTCCGTTTCGAGAGCCTGTGGATGAAAGCAAGACAACCGAAGTAGCATTCGCTGCTGCGTGGAGGGACATCTTTGGCAACGACGATGTTCCAGAAGTCATTGGTGTTGCATGCTGTGCCCAGTTCGCTGTTTCCAGAGATCAAATACTCAAGAGAACCAGGAATGAATATGTTCGCATGCATCAATGGTTGATGAATACTGAGCTGGATGACTCTACGTCAGGTCGTGTGTTTGAATACCTTTGGCATATCATCTTCGGCCAAGAATCTGTCTAGTAGGTGCTTCGCTTCCTCCAATGCCAGATCGTTGCTGACAAGATGCTAGTTGTCCTAGTGTAGGACAATGTTATCGGGACGTTTACGGCTCTGACTGACGATCCCATACGGCATGATTACTCAAGCAAGCATTAGACAGGAAGAGTCGACCTTGGAACGGTCAGCTCAATGATGTACAGACTCACACGACACCAGGCGTATTCACTCACTCTTCAGACACATCTGATTTGGAGCATTTATCGAGGTATAGAGCTTCGAGGACAGATATCACGATTCCTATCATGATGGCTCCCGCGAGTCGCCAATCGGCGGCTGTGCCGATGATATACATACACACCTTCATGCAACCATCTGTCCAGACGAACGTTTTGAAGAATATATATCCCCATCGCACCCCAGCGCTACGGGCGGCATAGATTACGAATGCCACTCCAGCGAGGTACGACAGCAGTGCGGATGTGATGAAGGGTACGCTGAGCGATGATGAGCAGTCGACTCGGGGCGTCCACGCACAAAGCGCTGAGGAAGGAAAGGGCGCCGCTGGCTTGCAGCATCGCGCCTGCTTTCGCGACGTGGAACGGTTCATGAAGGTGTAGACGAGTGTCGATGGTGCTCCTCGGGTCGGCTTCGAGAATCTCACCGCCACCCTTTTCGCAGTCAAACTTCCCGTCTGGTCCGGCCATTTTCGAAGCGCTTGACTGAATTGATTCCTGAATATGTTCAAATTTAGACAGCTGTTCCTCGAGAATAGACAAAAGGTCGTCAGGTCGCCCATTGAAAGGATCACTCGTCGGTTACCTCGGGTGCCTGCCAAGTACGCTTCACGACTCGTTTTCTAAATCCTTCTCATCGCCACAAAACAGCTCGTGTTGCTATCTTTGTCTCTCATTTTCTATTCTTGCGATTCGTGACTATCAACTCGTATGTTCACCAACATCAAGAATAACGCGATCTTTGACAGAGTTGGCAGTGGACGGTCAAGAATTGCGACGCGAGAAAAAGGAGATGCGTCATGAACACGGTTTGTCGCAACAGACAACCGGCGCCAACACTGTTGTCAGAGGAGCGAACCTCACCCCACATGTCAAGAAAAACCAACTTGACAACGCCGCCAAGCGCTGTTTGTTGATTCTCGTCTCCTGCGCCGTTTTTCCCTCGCCGTTGACGCGACTGCGTTGAGAAAACGAACACGCAATCTGTGCCGGAAGACCACGCAACGCATGCAAATAACATACGCACACCGCAGAACCGCCTACAGAGTTCTTTGCAATGGAGTCACAAGTATTGGAAAGCGGAACAGAATGAGGCTGGATGCTTTCGGAGTAATGACTCGGCGTGCAAGCCTGTCAGCAAAAACACGCAAGCCCTAGCGAGATTCTGGGGTGAGGCTGGGAAACCACTCCTGAGCTAGCGATAGCATGTCCTGGAACTAGTCTGAGCGTTCTGCATGTTCTACATGCAAGGTACGGAGTCTGTTTTTCTCCTCATCAAACAAATGTGCTTCATCTCCTTGTGAATTCGAGATTTCGATCACGAACAAGGCACAGCAGGCCGAGAACTCATTTGCAAACGGGTGCAACTTTACTCGCTGTCTGGCAACGAGCATGACTTCAAAGCCCGTTGTTGTTCTCCGAGACCTCGAACTATACGAGAAAAAATGCCCCCAAGGTGAATCCTCCGTTTCGAAACTCAAGCATCCATAATTCCTTCCCGATCTATCAACTTTCTGTCTAGCGCGAGTGCCAAAGTGCTGTAAGTTGGGAATAACCGGGGCCTTGATGGCTTGCAGCTGAGGCTTTTGCCATGCAATGCATATAATCAGCCCTTGGTGGCAGGCAATATAGCATCCACTATCCCCCGCCATCGTTTTCTTCTTTCTTGCTCGTTCATATTAGAAGACACCCAGCCTTCGTTTGTTCTCTTCTCTTGCATCTTTCTCTTGCATCCTGTCTCATCTATCTCCCTGCCTCTCCTAACCACCCCCTATCACAACACATACCGCAAAGATGAGATACACCACCGCCCTCCTTTCCCTGGCCGCTCTTGCTGCTGCTCAGGACTGTGTCTCCAGCTACGAGTCCTGCCTCACCACCCAGGATGAGAACACCTGCACATCTCAACTCGCCGTCTGCAAGAATCTCTGCGCCAACGACCTTGACACATGCAACCAGAGCGATGCCGGCTCTGCCACCTGCCAGAAGAACTACAACTCCTGCTTGAACACCTTCCCCATCATCCCTGGCGGTTCCGACTGTGTTGCCAAGTACATCAAGTGTGGTGAATCTGGCGAATCCGACGCCGTCTGCAACTCCCAGAACGCTGTCTGCAAGTGAGTAGTGTTGATATACGCGTCTTGCAATGGGGAATCCATACTAACAGTCAAACCAGGGACACCTGCACCAACATCAACAGCGCCTGCTTGTCATCTGGCTCCGCCGACGTTGCTGCCTGCACCAAGCAATACAACGCCTGCTACTACTCCACTTCCGACACCATCACCCTCGACACCGTCGCCAAGTACCAGAACTGCCTCAACACCGGCGCAAACGTCACCTCCTGCAACGCCCAACTCACCAACTTCAAGGACGCCTGCACAACCATCCAAGCCACCTGCCTCGTTTCCGGCTCCGCTGACAGCTCTTTCTGCTCTACCCTGACCGCCGCCTGCTACTACAACGGCAGCAAGTGGACTCGCCAGTCTTGCTCCACTGCCTTCTCCGCCTGCACCGCTTCGGACTCCGAGTGCCGTGCTCAACTCACCCAATGCAAGGACACCTGCACCAACGCCGAAGCCTCCTGCAACACCGCCCAGAACGCCGACAAGGCCGCCTGTGCTTCCGTCCGCTCCACTTGCCAGGGCGACTCCAACGACCCCATCACTGACCCCAACGTTGTCTCTTCTTCCTCTGCAGCTGCTTCTGCTTCTGCCAACGCAAAGGTCGCCGCTTCGTCGACTATGTCTGTCGTTGCTGCTGTCAGCACTGGTGGTTACAGCTATGCTAACGGCACTGCTGGCAAGAATGCCACTTCCACCTACACCCCTGTCGCTTACACCGGTGCCGCCTCCAAGGCTGGTGTTTCCGCCATCTTCGCCGGTATTTTCGGTGTTGCCGCTTACCTTTTGTAAACGGTTGATCAAGAATGACTGAGTGATTGTACGAGAAGAAGATTATAGACTTGGGGAGTTTTTCATTTCTATTGCACACATATTTGTATGGGGTTATGGATGAGAGAAATCGAGAGAAAAAGGGAACACGTTCCCTCAAAGGGTCCTCGGGGACTCGTTTAATGTATATTTACGCCTGCTTATTGAAAGTATGAAAAATCAGAAAAATGTATTCATGACTTCCAAAGTTTTTTATATTCATCAATCTACTTTTATGTCTATTTTGTCAATGCTTTGTAACACACAAGAGCTGTAATGGTTTCGATGCAAGAGATGGTTGTTGTCAAGACAATCCTAACACGTCGTATCGTCCTCAAGCAGTGGTCAATCGACATGTAAGCTCCAAAGAACTCAACAGTGGAGCGAGTCAAATGACTGGCAAAAGCGAGAAGAAGATTGAAATTCAAGACATTTGCAACTTCACCTTCTGAATATACAGGTTCGTCGTTTGTACCACTCACCTGACCTTCCCTTGATGTCTGATCTGTTCTGTATGTGTGAGCATGAGGTGAAGACCAAGGCTAAGTGAGACAGGTGATCAGTCAGGGGCACCTTGGGGTACTCGTACAGCACCTGTATTAACCGAGCTCCCGCATTCGGACAAGGTCGTTTCGTACGTGTGGAAATGCAAGAAGCTTTTGGAGTTACTTGAGATGTCCAGAGAGAGAGAGCAAATGAGAGAGCTTGATTTTCAGATCTAGTTTATCCAGACTTGAGAGAGAAACTATCCAGCTTCTTTCCTCGTTCCACGTCTAGACTCATGTCAATACCGCGTCGGGACCCGAGTAGCAGTCGCGGACCTGAGGGTGAAGGAGGTCTTCAGCACAGGACCAAATGATGGTTCTTGCAAAGGCGACCATAATCTCCAAGCGGGTCATGTTATAACCTATCAGGGCCCACCTCGAGGTCAGGGATGCCGTCATTACCCACAAGCATGTCCGCATCCTTGACTGCTTTATCGAGGAATGACTTGGTATCTTCCTCGTGTTCCAACAAGATTTCCTTGGCGATAGCGTTCTTTTCCTCATGGATGTCTTCGTCGTCGAGCAAGTTCTTGGGCGTCGGCCCTGGATTGTCGCTTAGCTTGGGGCCTGCACTCACGTGCTTCTTGTAAGTTATGGTTAAGCTCTTGACTGCCTCAAGGAGATCTTCGGCGCTGGGGAATTCGATACGGTGGACGCCTATCAGGTTGCTTGATTCCATTAACGACTTCCGAATTCGACCAGGAGATGACCGAAGAGAAGTGTCGTATGAATAGAACATGCTCTCAGTTGTTCAATTCAGACTGGAACTACGTCTCGTTCCCGAAACTTTACATGACATTCGGCGATCTGCGAGAATCTCGCTAGCGAAGATGTTCTGGCTTTCGAGTTGCTGAGAGGTCGATTCAAGAGCGCTTGCGGAGTATAGATCAACCGCAAGCTCGTTCTTGAGAGCTCAATCAGAAGAGTTATGCGATCGATGTGAGGAAGGCACATCTGCATACTGTATTTGGGATGCCCACAATCCGACCGTCATCGTAGGACAAGAAGAGATTGAAATTGCTCACGCAACAAGAATCTCCCATGATCATGTAATCTTTCTTCCACATCGTAACTGTCCCTTATTCCCTGTACCTGACATCCTCACAGCGAAAACAGTATGCCTATCCAGCATCCTCACACCCAATTGCGGCGCCAGAGATGCTTGACCAAAGACATCCAAATCAACATGATACTCCAAGTCTAACGATGGTGTTGAGATTGCTTTGGGTATGCAGACGCCTGAATCCAAGCATAGAAGTTGTGGTGGAGAGTCTTGTTTTCGTGACGGGTTTGAGGTGTTTGCGTAGGCGATTGTGGGTAGGATTATTGATAGTAGAGAAAGTGAGAGGATGGGTGGTGGGATCATGGTGGTTGTTTGCTATGTGTTGGAGCAAGATGGGAGGTGTTTGTTGTCGATGTGGTAAGCACGAGGAGAGGTGTTTCTGTTGATGGGGAGCATGTTTTTGTGAGGTCTTGTGAACAAAGATATAGAGGACTTTTCTTTCTCAAGGTCAGGCAGCACAGCGTGATGTTAGGGGATACCTAGGCAACAGCCAGGATGCCTGACTCGGTTGTGTTGGCTTCACGAACGCCTTGAATTGCTGTCTAGAATTTTCGAGCTGCACAAAGCAGTAGCAGAAGAAGTTAGTATAAGAGGGTTTGGTGTTCGTTTGAAAGCAATGTTCTTTCTCTAGGAATCCATTCATGCTGTTGCTGCACGACTGCGGTCAGTGACCATGCGACTGTCATGGCTGTTACAAGGACGGATGTCATCTAATGAACTCTGAACGATTGAAGACCTAGTCAAGGCAGGAGTCCATAAATTGTTCCATGTTTCGTTTGGCAGGAGCTAGAATCATCTTATGAAGAACGTGCTGGTAATTGTGCTCTTCATGAACTAGATGGTCACTTGTCCTCGCGACGAAGGCCCCTACTAGATTGGCATGATCACTGTATGCCACATTCGGGATTGCTAAGATGAGTGCAACGACAAAGGGTGTCCAAGAAATGAGATGATCTTGTCAAGGAGATAAAACGCAAGATGATGGTGGGATGAATCGTGGATAAATCAAGCCTCGGCTTTAAGTTCACGCGACACGCGTCAAGGCGCGTTGAGATAAGTAAACGGATGGTTGAAGTTGCCTTGAAACATGCAAGTGGTTGCATAAGATTGGACATATTCGAGAAGTGAAACCGTGGCCTGTGAAGTCAGTGCAAACGCACGAGAATAAAACAGATGAGATATTCTTAGAAGTTCGGAAGTGAAATTGGAAAGAAGACATTGGAGGGACAAAAATAAGGCACGTCACATGAAATTAATGCATGAGTTGCTTGGCGGCGGAGAAGTGGTGGAAGTTGGTAGCTTGCTTGTCCGGAGCAGCAGCAGATTCATTGGATGGTCGTCATCTTTCGTGCATGTAATTCACACAAGCCTGTCATTTTACTTGTGCATACCAATTTGCAGCAGTCCAGAGCGCCGATTACCTTGCCGTCGCTTCTGATAATCACAAGACGCAATACGGCTGCGTCCAGCATCCTTTTACACGACCCCGCCCCTTGGATCGACTTTTGACACAAGCACGCTCTCGACGACCGCGCCCTGTTGCATGGCCCTTTAGCCGATAAGACAAGCAGCAGCACCTCTTGATCCACTTGCGCATCTAGGACAGGAACTACAGAAACATTCAACATGCCGTGCTTCAAAGGCATCGCCGTGAGCATACACACTCCCGAAGGCCCCCTCGCCGAACATGGTGTCCAGAGTCTGTCGCGCTTTGGTCGCATCAACACATACATCCCAGTCCCTCCGCCTACTATTCCGCCAAACTCGACAACCGGCCAGCCTCAGCAGTCGACTTTCGCTGTCTCCATCACTCTTCTGACCTCAGGCTTGAAGGTCCCGTACTCGACTCCCCGCCCAACACCCACCAACCCCAACCCCAAGGGTGTCTATGTAGGCCCACAAACTGCCGGCATGACTAGAGGTCTGCCCAGGAAAGAGCCTGCGCCCATCGACCCCGAAACTGGCAAACCTCAAGTTATGATCCCGCCCTATCAGCCCCGCACTTCATCACCGAACGAGACCATCGCAGCATACATCTACTTTGACGGCCGACAAAAAGAGGAGGTTGCAACATTGCTTCGCAAGGGTGAAGAGACTTGGGTCAACTCAAGATGGGTCAGCATACCCGACACCGAAGGCGGTGGTCTGGCCGAGCGTGAATTCCTCTTCCGTGAGGTTGGACTGGAGCGCTGGCTCAACGGACTGGATCTGACGAGCACTGACAAGGAGGCAAAGGCTGCTTTGATCGACAAGCGTAGAAAGAAGTTTGAAAAGATGCGCCAACGCGAGGAGAAAAAGAGAGAGATCAAGAGAGAAGACAGTGATGACGAGGATGATGAGGGAAAGCCTCGCTACGACCGTAACACTGTCCTGCGTTATGGTGAAGACAACGGCGCTCCTACAGAAGCTATCATGGGAGACGACGAAATGTCTGACTCAGACTCGGATTCGGATATGCCTGAAAGCGAGGCTGCTGGTCAAATCAAGATCGTACTCTTCCGCGTTCTTGCCTCCGGAGAGATTAAGCGTGGAGAGTACTCGCCTCAATTCGATGTCCATGATGATGAAGGCACCGCCAACGACGCTGCAGAAGACGAGGACGTCGACCACACAACAGGCCTCGACAAGCCCAAGACGCTTGATCCTAAGAGTATCAGCACACAGACTGTCACTGGCATTGACCCTCCAGATAGCCCTTTCGCTACCTTTACCTTCTACTACCGTAGCCCCAGTAAGTCTCCTCTTCTGCACCGTCTCCATCTTTGTTCTTATCACTGACACGATTCTACAGAGCAACTTGAGAAGATGGGTGTCATCGCACCTAGCCGCAAGGCCTCATCGACCGTCACGAGAAAGCGTAGCACTGATTTCTCGAAGCTCGGTCCTCTGAAGAATCAAGGCACCAAAGGCTTCTCAAGCTATCGCGATCCTGCCGCACGCGCCAATCGCAAGGGCTCAAAGAATGCCGATGCTATGGACAGCGACGAAGAAGACGAGGAGCCTGGTGCTCGTGATGAAATGGATGATGTCGATGTCAAGGATGAAAATGGCAACCCCTTGATCTTAACTGAGGAAGATCGCCTCCGTCAAGAGGAGATGGCCGAGGGTGTTCGCCATATCAAGGTACGTTTTCTGTTTTCGTTTCTGCCGGTTCAATCAGACTGACTCTCTCACAGCTCAAGCGTCAGCACTCCGGCGAGTTCAACAACCCTACTCCTAGCAAATCTCCCCATGTCGGCGCCTCTACTGCACACATCACCGACACTTCCGCTTCTCCCAGCGATAAGGCTAGCCATAAGCTCCTCGCCGAACCCACAGACGAGTACTCAGAAAGTCCTCTCAAGAAGCAGCGCCCAAGCCTGGGAGCTGTTGACGCCAGTCCCTTGGGCAAGCCCAGCCTGACAGGCCCCAGCTCGGCGCCCACTACTCACCCTTCCGCTCCCGTTGGTGCCTCACCTCTGTCTGCGAGCACATCAGCGCCGCAAGTCCACCCAGCCCAGCTACCTCCATCTGCACAACCCATCGATGAAGATGAAGAGCTTTAGGGCTATGCAGCTGGACATTTTCATCCTTCTACGTACATTTCGTACTTGTTCATGAAGACATCCGGGCTTCTTATCTTGCCCGTAGCATATTCAAATACCCCAGTGTCTCACAGCTGAGTCGATCAACGCCAGCTTTGAACCTCAAAATCAATCCTTGTCGACCGACCTCCCCACGCAGCTTTTCTCTTTCTTACCTCTTGTTGTTGGAATAGTACCACGAATGCCTCCAAACAGGCGCAACTATGGTGTGAAGTCCACGCCACTAACGATGTGTCGCGCTGGCTTCATTTTCTTTTCTTTTGTTTCTCCGTTCTATCTGTCTCCCAGATCACGCAAAGGGAGTGCAGGGGGAAATTCTAATCGTCCTCGAAGGGAAAGAAGACACAAAGAGGAAATGGGGAAATCGAGCATCATCAGGGCAAGATGGCGAAGACGAAAGTGTCTCCTGTTCTGCTGGCCAGTTGTCTTTAATTTCTTCCTTACTGCCCTCTTTGAGGTCTTCTCTGCTGATACGATGCCGCAACCGTGGAGAGGATGTTTTCTGTGTTACTAAAGAAATACAATCGAGGAATACAAATTTGAAAGCTCTTGCTGACTTTGGCCTCTTCGGTGTGTGACTTGTTCTGTTAGTCGCTGATACCTGTTTTGGTGTTGGTTAAGAGGTAGTTGCTGCTATTGCACCTTCCTATATCTTGACGGACCTTCGGGTGTTGTGATCGTTCAATGACTCCACCTTTTCTCAATTGCTGATTCGGTATTCCCATCAACATAAGACCCGAGGCATCATGTTACTAGACTACATAGGAGAACAGATGGAGTCTTCACCGCGTCCGAACACGAGGAGCACGTCTGCGGAACGACGCGATGCGAACCGTTGCGGGGAGGCTGCCCGTGGGAAACCTCGGATCTCGGTCTTTCGATATGGTCGACGACACAAGAAGCAAGCATGTTGCCAGACGCTTCTGAGTTGTGAGCAGACTTAGGAGGCAATGTAGAGTCAAGCAGAGCAAATCTTCACGTCAAATCCTCCGTCCTCTTACCCTTGTTGGACACAAACAACCAAGCATGGCCAAACCGTCATCCTCTACAGAAGGCTTCTTCCAGGATTTACCTACTCTTCTCCCTCAGGTTACGCTCCAAGAACATCCATCTGCTCTTAACAAACCCGGTACTACCAATTTCAAGAACACGTCCGACGATGTAGCGCTTGCCCGCACCCTAGCTCTACACCTTCCATCGAGCGAAACTAAACCAATTCGAACGATACATCAACTATCTCGCCGAGCTTTAGATCCAGAGGTGCTCGCTCATGCCACAGATGCAGAGATAAATCATCCTGTTCTACGTTCACACACCACCTTCGGCCAGGAGAACCGCGTCGATCCTCTCTGGACGGCGAATGGCTGGAAAGCGCCGAAACTCATAGGACAGCAAGAGGGTATCATCACTACCGCTTACGATACCAACATTACGACGTGGAACAGACGGATTCAGTCTTTTGCAATGAACTTTGTGTGGTCTTCTACGGGTACTATGACGGGATGTCCGATGGCCATGACAGATGGAGCTGCCAAGCTACTACTTTCGCATCGTGATGATGAAGACGAGGGACAAGTCGGTCGTGCGAGGGTGTTGAAAGAGAGCTATGCGAGACTCATCTCTAGTGATGCGAGTAAAGTCTGGACATCTGGACAATGGATGACAGAAAGAGCGGGAGGTAGTGATGTCAGCGGGACAGAAACGGTAGCTCGACACCTTACAGACGAGGAATTGGCGACTGCAGCTTCTCAGGGCCGAGACCTCGACGCTCATGGCCTCCCACTAGGTCCTTGGACCATCGATGGCTTCAAGTGGTTCAGCAGCGCCACAGACTCTGAAATGAGCATGCTGCTTGCTCAAACACCTAAAGGTCTAAGTCTCTTCTATGCACCTATGCGAAGAAACCTCGTTCAGACAGACACAAACGCCTCCGAACTTAATGGCATCCGCATCCAACGCTTGAAGAACAAAGTCGGCACAAAAGCACTTCCCACAGCAGAGCTAGAACTCAAAGGCATGCGAGCATGGCTAGTCGGCCAAGAGGGAAAAGGCGTCAAGGAAATCTCCACGATTCTGAATCTCACCCGTCTATATACTGCGTCTGGTGCAGTAGCTGGATGGAGTAGAGGAATGCAGGTCTGCAGAGCGTATTCAAAAGTCCGCAAAGTCAGGGGTGGCTTATTACAAGACAATAAACTCCACCTACGTTGGATGGCTGCAGAGACAGTCAAATACCACGCCGCGGTTCACTTCTCCTTCTTCGGCGTCGCGTTGCTAGGTGCTTCAGAACAAGGATGGGAGGACGTGGTCAAGAACACCAATGCCTCAAATCTCATCCCCAAGGATCCAACACAATCTGCAAATCTAGCTCGTTTGCTCACACCTGTGATCAAATCACAAACTAGTCTGGCTTCTGTCCTGGGTGTCCGCGAATGCATGGAATGTCTTGGTGGTGTTGGATATTGCGAGAACAATGAAGATGGCGGTCTTCTCAATCTTGGTAAAGTGTTTAGAGATATCTTGGTCTCCCCCATCTGGGAAGGCACGATTAGCGTCATGGCTGAAGATGTCGTTCGTGTTATCTCGGATAAACGAGTTGCTGGTGGCGATATCCTCGAATTCGTGTTTGCTACTTGGGTACATGGTATTCTTGACCTGTGCAAGAGCCAGTTTTCTGCAGAGTCTGGACTTGTGCGGAAGCGGCTTGAGGTTTTGATATCGCTCACAAGAGGATGTGGGAAGGAAGAACTTCTGTTTCGAGGAAGAGATATTCTGGGTCATCTGGAGGCTATTGCCTGTGCATGTATACTCATGTTTGACGCTTGTACCGATGGTGATGAGGTCGCTGTTGAGATCACTCGGAGATGGATCAGATCAAAAGCTTTGGATAAAAGCGAGCAACAGATCCAATGGAATTGGGAAGAAGAAGCAGCGATGGATAAGAAGATCTTCTTAGCCCAACATGACTCGGGAGTGAACAGGGCTGCGGCGAAACTCTAATATCGTTTGGTAGAAACACCTCTCTACATACTGTTTACCAGTTCTCACAGAATCGCAATCTGCAAGAACACATTCCTCTGGTCTGGGGGTCTGATGTACGTGCCTTTATCTATACACTGTGCCGCCATAGTTGACCCCGTTGTGTTGAAAGGTGCCCTGTCCTTCGGCAACAGGCCTGTCGAAAACGTATGAAAGCCCTCCCGTCGGTCCCCTGTACTCTTGATCAACATTGTCTCCGTTGTGTTGAGAGGCTCCATCGCGTGCATGCGGCTGGGAAAACGTATGTCCACGCGCCAACATGGCCGCTTTGACGGCGTCAAAAAAGATTTTGTCCTGGTACTGTGCAACACCATGCACAAGCGAGAGACTTTGAATTCCTTCCTCGATCTCATTGACCTCAGTCCTAGCAAGCTCAAGTTGGCGGGGTTTGGCGGTTGGAAACAATTCTACAAGCTTGGATGTCAATTCCGTGATATCTCCAACCAGACGGGTGAGATCGTCTTTCCCGTACAAAGCCCATGCTGTCTTGGTCTTCAGGCGTGTTTGGCGTTGTCGTTGGCTGATGAGCTTGTGGACTCTCTGGTGCAAAGTCAGGCCCGACGGATCCAACGTATCATCAGCCTCGGGCGCGTTACGAGCGGCGTATTTTGCCGATGAATTCTGGTAAACCTCAAGCAGGTCCAAGATTTGTCCGAGTGTAGATTGTGCCTGATCAATCCCGTCTGGAGAGGCAAGAGTCACTGGCAGAGACTTGATCTCGTTCAGGGGCGTGTCCAGATGAAGCGCTTCACCCCAACGTGAGAGCTGAAGCCTGGAAAGGTCTAGCTTGGTCTGATTTGTTGCAAAATCTCTGGCGTACTGCTTTCCCAGGCGAACATATTGATAGCTGTCGATGACATTGTTGAAGAGAGAAGAGAGGGCGAACACGCTGATGCCAAGACCGACGGCCGCTTCCGCCATGGTTGATTTTCGAAGAGTTGATCAGAACAGAGTAGATCCTTCCTGACACTCCTTAAGATATTCTTTCGAGCCTATATGCGGCGTGACCAAGCCACGATTTTCACTCGCATAAGAACCAGTCGTGTGATCATATGCGCGGTGGCTATGGTGGTGACCGTCGGGTCCGTCAAGAGCCCTTCAGGCTCCGGAGTCAAATGCATCAGCACTTCCATCGCGCACTGCGTGATAGACACTGTACTGCACTCCGATGTACAGTATGAGCAATAATTGATGAAGGCAGCTTAGCCCAAGGACTTGTACGCTCAACTGACTGCGTTGCGAATCGAAGATGATTCTCATCAGGATCATGTGCTCCTTCTGCGTGTTTACCCGTGCAGGATGATCCTGCATATCGTGCTCGGCTTTCGATAGTCTGTCGGCAGTCAGCACCATCATTATGCATCAGGGCTCGGGGGCGCAGTCTGCAGCATGTATGTACTGTACTCTTTGCAGATGGCCCTAGACTGCGAGAATGTTGATAATCAAGGTGTGACCCCGAAGCTCGTCGTCAGAGCGCTTGAAAAGATGAGCCCGCTTTCAGACACTACCACCTAAGCATCTTATCTACCGAACAAGATGACTACTTCGCATCGCGTCGGTCACCACTTTCTTGATCCGCGTGCAACAAATGGCGCAACACAGCACCTTGGCGATTATTACGCAGGTGATGTTTATCAAAACTTCAAGTGGGTATACGATGTCTTCCTCGGGCAATCTAAGTGGAAGCTTACAGCAATAGCAGTCAATTTGACTCGGATCCACTCGACTTACTGCCTGCTGTATGCAACGCTTCGTTCGACGCAGCCAGCAGGCAGAATGGTCCTTTCTGCCTTGATGATACGCGCGTCGAGATTCTGGAGCGTATCATGTTATGGTCAGACTCCGCCTCTAATGACAAGCCCATATTCTGGTTAAGCGGCATGGCAGGTACAGGAAAATCCACCATAGCTCGTACAATTGCTCTGAAGCTCCAGGAGAAGGATCGGGTGTTAGCGAGCTTTTTCTTCGTTCGCGATAACGCTGCATCTGAAAGTGCCAAAGACTTCTTCACAACCATCGCAAAGCAACTTGCAACCTCAGAAGACCCAGCATTACGCGAAAAGATATGTGCGGCCATTCGAAATAATCGGAATATTGTACACAAGGCACAAAGGCTGCAATGGCAAAGGCTCGTCCTCAAGCCCCTCACTCAGCTATGCGAAGAACGTCAAACTCCACGGGACCGTCCGTTGGCAGTCATTATGATCGATGCACTAGACGAATGCAACAACCAAGACAACGTCAGGGAGATATTACGAATCATATGTGGCTATGGTGGACTGGACCACGCGAGACTTCGCATCATCATTACTAGCAGGCCCGAAACACCTATCCAACTAGGCTTCGAGGACATGCCTCACATACTTTACCAGACGCTCTCTCTCGATGACGTATCGCACGAGATCGTCAACGCGGACCTAACTGTGTTCTTCAACCACTGGTTGAAAGAAGTCAGAGGACGGCACGGAGGACTGTCTTCTGGCTGGCCCGGAGCTGACAGCGTTACGTCTCTAGTTGCAAGATGCGGAGGCCTGTTCATCTACGCAGCAACACTTTCTCGGTTCCTTTTACAGAACCCCAAGGTCTGTCATGGACGTCTCAATCTAATCATGGAAGAATATCAGGTATCAAGCAACAACTATCTTGAGCCTCTTGATCGCATTTATCTTACGATACTCCGTGTATCTGCCGATGATACATCTGCGCTATCCGATCACGAGAGCGAGACCCTGCAAGAGCATTTCAACCACGTCGTCGGATCGATAGTCGTGCTTCAGGATGGCATATCAGCTGAAGCATTGGCATTGTTACTCCGGATGCCTATGATGAACGTTGTAGGAATATTGCATAACCTACAATCGGTCATTAGATATTTTCAAGATGGGCGTGCCATCAGGCTGCTTCACGAGTCATTCCGTGAATTCATCACCGATTCAAAGAGGTGTACTGAGCTACGGTTTCATGTTGAACCTGAAAGGGCTCACAAAAAACTTCTCGACGACTGCCTTGAGACCTTGAAGGACCATCTCAAGCAAGATATGTGCAATGCTCGAGATCCTGCAGCGACTATAGAGGAAGTTCAGCTAAACGCAGCTAGTCAGCGTTGCCAATTGTTGCCACACGTCCAGTACGCCTGTTCGAATTGGCTTGAACATGGTCAGAAAAGTGGCTTAGATCTCGGAAACCATGAACGGCTTTCTGAATTCTTCTACACTCAATTTCTCCATTGGATTGAGGCAATGTGCTGGATGGGCAAACTTGCAAAGGCTGTTGGATATGTTTTGACGTTGCTTGAATCTCCTGTGAGTCATTGTCCACTACTACCTCCGAGCTCTGTTCGAGATACTGATCACTTATCAGACTCTTGAATGTCGTCTAAAGAGATTCCTCCAAGACGCAAAGAGATTCCTTGTGCTACATGGTGGTACAATCGCAGTTTATCCATTGCAGATCTACAGTTCGGCTCTAATTTTCAGCCCAAGAAACAGCTTAGTCCGTCGAAAGTTTTCATTAGAGACATCTGACTGGCTCACCAAGTACCATCCAGCTCGCGATGAATGGGATTCGTCTCTCTTCGAATCTGATGGCGGGTTTCCCGCGGCGTTTTCATCAAATGGAACTTTGCTAGCCTTCACTTCATTCGCAGGATGGCCAGATCGCGACCTACAAGTTTGGAACGTTGACCATGGTACTTTGGTCTATTCGATACGCTTGAACGCACAACTGAGTTCCGTTGCCTTTGATCCTACTGCAGCGCATATTGCGTTCTCAATTCGGGACGTTGATATAGCTCGTGACGAATTTAACTCGACTGATCCGGACCGGGGTATAGAGAACGCCTGTATCTGTATATGGAACCTCGCAACAGACAGCGTTGACCATGTACTCCGGGGACATACAGAAAAGGTCGAAAAGATCGTCTTTAGTCCGAATGGCACTTTACTTGCAACGACTTCTTCTGACCACACTGCAAAGATTTGGGATGCTCATTCCGGATTACTGCGTTGTACACTCGCAGGAGACTCGGGCATTCCCGAAATAAGTTTCTCGTCTGACAGCAACATGGTCGCGTCACTCCTGGACAACTCAGCTCTCAAGATATGGGACAGAAGGAATGACAACATCCGATCTGTTGTGGCATTTGACGAGGTCGGTAGCTTCAGCGAGGAAGCGAGTCTTGCGTTTGCTCTCGATGACCATCTATACGCTGCAAAAGGGTCACGTCTTGTGATCTGTGATGTCTATCAAAGTGCCATACAACGGAGGGTTGAACTCATGGATCTGGACATCGACTTTTCGGGCATCCTTCGAAACGAATTTGCTTCAGACGGATCAATGTTTGCAGTACACGCAGTCGAAGCGCAGAAAGTCTATCTCTGGCGAACGGCCGATCTTAGTCTTTGCAGTGTGGTTTCTGCTGTGTCTGATCAGTACGAATGCAAGTTCGAACTATCAAATGACGGTGCATATATAGCAATTTCTGATTACACAACTATCAGAGTATTTGAAGTGACCTCTGGAATTGAACGAGTCGTCTTGAATGGTAGTAATGTCCAGAACACGAAATTCGCGCCTCATGCAAACATGATCGCTTCAGGTGCGTTATATCAAGGCCCTATTACACTGTGGGATCTCTCACAGACGGCGTCGCCTAAAAACACTAGAGTCACTGAATACATTAACCAAATCACGGCCTCAATGGATAAGACCTCCATTATATTCACAAGCTCTACGTTTGATTCCAGTAAATCATCTCTCAACTTAATGAGCTTTGGTCAGGATCATGCACCGCCCTCGATCAGGTGTGTTGAGTATGAGTATCCCGTCGACAAGATCCAGCTGCTGCCGGGAAGCCAGCTTGCATTCGTGAGCGCGGATGTTGAGGGAGAACATGCAACCGGGTATCTTCTCGACAGTGCGGCTTGGGCTCCAACTATCATCCCTCCATGTGAAACGCTTACGGTCTCACCTTCTGGTTCCTATCTTGCCCTCGCTGGACTTGATCATCGTATACATATCAGGCATACTTCGATGCAAGATTTTACGGTTTGCCTCACAGGTCATCGTACTGCTGTCCAGATGATTCAGTTCTCGTCCAGTGATAAGAAATTGGTTTCTGTGTCGACTGATGGGCAAGTGTTGCTATGGGACGCCCAAGGTCAGACCGCGCCCGTCGTTCTTGAATATGGCCCTGGACAGAGTGTCGGAGACATTGCCGAAGGAGTCTTTTCAGCAGATGAAAAGATGCTGGCATGTGCCTATTATAACCCAAAGTATACAGAACTGAGGCCCTCGATTCAACTCTGGAACCTTGAGACAGGCGAACAGTCGCGCGGACTGGATTCTGGCCCCTCACATTACGGGATGCGCACACTTTCTTTCTCTTCCGATGGAAGATATCTTAGAACAGCTGGAAGGACGTTTGACCTCTCAGGATCACCTACCGCCTCATTAGACCTTGGTACTCCCATAGTTGTCGACCCTTACCATGTGTGGATTACATGGCATGGGAAAAGAATCTTGAAGCTTCCCCAAGGCTGCAAGCGCGAGCAGTATCACTCGCACGATAACATACTTGCGATAGGATGGAAAGAAGGCGGAATAGCGTTTCTGGAGTTCGATCCTCAAAAGCTTCGGGAGGCACTCGGCATATAGGGAGCCAAGAAGACATTTATAAATCCTCAACTATGCGTAAAAGGTTGATGAGGATCTGCTACGGTGTTCCTCACGAAACAATTCAAACACTGAATTCTACTAGCCCAGAACGAATTCCTTTGTTTTCGAATCTCCAGGGGATGACGAGACATCCTCTCTACTTTGCTGCCACGGGTCATCTCAATATACCTCAGACTTCACCTTCCACACGTTTAAAGAATACCCTTTCTCTTGTCATGTCAAACAATGAGGACGTGGACGAGAATTTTTCGTTGAACAATCTCCGACCTGTGTTTGAAGTGAGTGGGTTCAAAACTCTTCTAATCGTGGCACCACCCCAGGTTGTTCAAAGATGATCTCGTTTCTGACATCGACTATGTGGAGCAGGTCGTGCAACAAGATACTCAGGATGCCGAATTGTTACCTCCCATTACGAAGTTACACTTCTGCAATCTTGAGCACGTCAAACTTGAGAGAAAGGTGGGCTGCCCAGATCCGGCTTGCTGATTCCATCAGAAAGATCGTCTCTTCCTTCCTTAGTAAGAAAGCGGCTTCTAGTGAAGATCCCGAAGTACCTGGCAACAACTTCGTCTTAAAACATGCCTTAAGGATCTTCAAAGAGCTGGGTTCACTAGAAAGACTGCTAAATGCAGCTACCAAAGATGTCCACATATTGCCACGGCGAATAGGCAATCGAATCATAGCGGTAAGTTCTCTACGCCTTTCATCCTTCCTACAACCTAACATCCCGCAGCTCTACAGTCTCAGCAATCAGAGAGACGCAAAAGCAATCGTCGATCTAGCTCGAGCAGCCCTCAACGACAGCTCCTCTGTGAGAAACAATCGCCGTCATGACTCTAGTCTTCCTACCCGCAAACAGATCTGACTCACACATGGCTAGTCATTTCTTCAGTATGACTTTCTTCGACATGAAGCCCGCAAGTAATCAAGCAGTGTCGAAGTCACTTTGAATATACTTTATAGTCACCGCGCTGATAACAATCGTGGTTGTTACGGCATAGGTGGTACTTACCAAGAATAATCGACAGGAAGAGTCGAGGATGGTTGGTGGTGTATCTGAAATAGTGCGTCGTGAGACGGGACTTGGATGTGGAGAAGAATGAAAAATATGCGTAATAGATGTCGGGTTTTGAAGAGAAGGACTTACTAGTAAATCCGTCTCTAGCAATTACGAGAGATATGACTCCGAAAAGGACCATGGTATGGCTGGTCTTATTATCCCTCTCATCACTTCACCAAATGCTGACGAAGATGCAAATTCGACATGACGAAAAATCAAAAGAAATATATTCATGAAGCGAATGGGTAAAGTCTGTTTTATCTCCCCTCACTCTGCTTGATACTCCTCGTCATCATAATACCCATACCCAACTGTCTATCATCATATTCCCCCGCTTCCCCCACCACAGGCGTGACACTAACCCTATACTCCCCATCACCGCCTTTTCCCAACCCGGCTTCCTCACCACCGCTTCTCTGGCTGGTCTTGCGGTCTAGGTTTGTGAGGCGCACGACGCTTTCGGAGCGGTGGAGACTTCCTGAAGCGAGAGAGTTGCGGGTGCTACGGCGCCCGCAGCCGGAAACTAGGAAGCGTGCCCAGATCGCGTAGTCGCGGCGGAAAGGACCTGTTGTGCCAAAGACGATGAAGATGAGGAGGCCGAGTGTCACGCCAGGGATAAACATGACGAGGGAGATTGTCGCCGAGCCAGAGGAAAGGTCGAGTTTTGCGGTTTTTGAGTTTGCGGTTGAAGAGAGGTAGCGAGCGATTGAGTAGTAGATGAGGTAGATTTGCATGATGCTGTTGTGATTGTGATCAGTAAAGGTACAAGAGAAGTGTTTGAAATGCTAAAACTTACCATAGCAGGACGAAGCAGATGCAGAAACGGATCAGCAGCCATTTGTCATACATCGAGTCGTTCTTGCGTGGTGCAGATGCTGGTTTGCGAGCGGGTAGCTGAGAGCCACCTTCGATGGTTGCATCATTGACGCTTTGATTGAAGACGCCACTTTGCATTTGACTGTGCATACCACTCTGCATCTGACTTTGCGCCTGACTTCCCATGTTTCTGCTTCTCTGACTTCTGGTTTTGGCAGAGCTGGGCAGAGAGAACTTGATTCTCCATTTGAAGCGAGCGAAGAAGCCGTTGTTCTGCGAAGAGGAATCACTGAGGTACTTCTGGATGGAGACGTATTTGTAGAAGACGAGCGCTAGGAGGATCAGACCAATGGCTACACTGCCAGCCACTGTGATATCGTTAGCTAGTGTTTGACAGAATGGCAGCATTGGATATAGCTTACAGAGAATGTTACAAAGGATGAGTGAGACTCCTGGTGTACGGTCGACGGAAGAGGCGTTGGCAATACCAATCAGGACGGCCGGCACGATGATAGCAGCAACCTTGACAGTTGTAGAGACCATATGACCACCCTTATCCAGCAGTTCAATTCTCAAACGCCAGACGTGACGCCAAAGTCCAGCAATCCATGACAAGAAGAGAAGCGACTCGACATTGTAGCAATACAGTTGAATCTCGTAAAGCGTAGTGTCCAACGGTGTGTTTGTTCCTGTAAAAGCAGGCTTTCCGGTGTAGTTACCGCTGACCTGGTAATTGTAACTCGCAGTCTGAATGCTCTCGAAGCTGGTGTAGAAATGGATCTGTTGGATGAAGGCAGCAACGATATTGACAATCATAAAGCATGCACACAGAGGGACATCTATAGTGTGATAGATTAGTATATGCGTGAACGTTACAATCATGCAGTAGACCCTTACATCCGAAAGGATCACCGTGGCGGAAGTGCATAAGGACTACAAGTCCGGCAGCCACAGCATTGCCAAGTGTATATAGCAAGACCACTATTGCCAGGCCCTGAGCATCAGCAGGGATCATGCCTTCGACAGACATGGCTCAAAAGCAATCAAGCCTTGATGAATCGATCTGTTGACAGAGAACAGAACGAGTAAGAAGAGAAAGAAGGGGAGGAAGGCCCTCGTTTCGAATATGGGACCAGAGCCCCATATAGGGCGTGGATGGAAGTAGCTGTACCACATGTCATGGACTTAACCTTTGTGTAAAAGCTTCCAGAAGGGTGAGCCCTAGCGGATGTTCTGGGTGGAGGTTGATTCAATCATTGTCAGACGATCTCGTGTCAGTTTTCGTCCACCCTAGAGGACCACCAGCAATACCGGGCAGATTAGACTGATTTGAGCCTGGCCGCTGCGGCTTGTGGCGGTGCGTTACCCGTGATCGATAGAGTGTGTTCAACTCAAGGTTGCACGCTTGTGTACGGGCGTAGCTCGAGTCGACCCTGAATCAAGATCCTAAAAGCATGTTATGTCGGTACATGTCTGACAGACGCCAGATAGTCATTTGAGAACTGCTCCCTACAATGCAAAGATGTCTGAATCCTCCGAGCCCGGTAGCTGGTTCAACTGTTCATCAAGCTATCGGACGGCAGTTGCAGTGGAGAGGACGCCGTCACGCCTTCGGTAGACTCGCACAGCTAGCCCCTCAGAAGCGAGGGCGGCAAAGAGGCTTGTACGAAAATGGAAGCACTGTATCTGATCTTCCGGCCCGCATGCAATGTCTCATCTCGCGTGCCCTTGCAGATCATACCTATCGCGTGTGCGTACAATCAGGGCTCTGCGGACATGGAATTGTCAAGACTCAAAAGATCCGCTGCGTGGTGCTAACGTGACAAGTGGATAGAAAACAACGAAACAACTGGTAGAACGGTGGGCTGCGACACCGATGCAAAGTCTATTCGTTTGTCCAGGTGAAAAGCCGTTTGAAAGGCTTCAATCTGGCTAAAATCGACGACGAGGGTTTTCCACGTGGGCTTGTCCATCGCGGCGGAATCCGGCATTCGTCTCCGGGGAAGGGCTCCATCAAATGCAAATGGCAATCTCTGTTGACTCAACAAGCGATATGGAGACATCTAATCGAGATGGGCAGACGGGGTACTTATTGTTGTATTCATTTACTGGGCCGCTCGCTTTCGTCTTTGAATCATCGCTACAAGTCGACTCGGGTCGCGATTTGCCGTCTTTTGATCTTCTTTCTTTTCCTCGAGTTTCCCGTTCACAACTGCGACCACGTCACAATCCAAAACCCAAAGGCAGGTACAATCGAGTCCGGATGGGCAACCGTGATTGTTAGTCCATTTTTCTCGGGACCATCCTCCACTTCCCTGAGCCCGGTACTGCAAATGCGAGCGAACCAATCACATTGTGTGGGCGTTCTTGTTTCCAAAATCCGAAAAAATGCATTTTATTATGGTGTAGGTTCGCGACTCGGCCGAGTAACAGACTGGACCCTTTTTCGACTTGCATCCTCCAACTCTGTTACTTTTTGTACCTTCTATTTTCTCCTCTAGAAACTCTGATAAGAAAAGGTGATGGCTGGATTTGAGTGTGTACCGTTTCCACGAATCCTATCGCCGTCAGATGCCATCACTTGGCACTGATTGGTATGCTTTTTCTCATGTAAGGGTGATGCACATGTGCCTAACCAGATCATTCACATCCTTTTCCCAATTCGTCTCTGCCGACAACATTTCCACCATTCCTCCAAACTTGCTCAAGAGTTTGTCGATCTCGTCTTCATTCAATTGCGCATCGTCCCAGCTGACATGGATCTTGACCTCATCACCATCAATAGCCGTGCAGTTCCAAAGTATGCCAACATCGGTGCGGCTCCAAAGTTGCACTCTGTTCAGATTGGTGTATTCGTCTAGACCTGAAGATCTGGGCAGCCAGTTGAAGATTTGACGTCGTCTGACCTGTTCCATGGTTTCCGCGTCGGCGGTAGATAAAGCATCACGGATGGCGAGTAAAGGTGCGTGAACGTGTTTGGTTAATTCTTCTTGCTCGGATGTGAGGTGTTTCAAAAAGTCTATGACGCTTTGAGGTTTGGAAGTGTTGATGCGCTCGATGGCGACCTGGAGGGTAGGTCCGGCGATGTCCATGGCAGGAGGCAGACGTTCTTGCATCCACAGTGCCACAAAAGGCCAGCTGCGACCGGCTTGGTAAGATGCGAAAAGTGCTTCCGTCGCACCGGTTTCGCCAGTGTTGACGAGACTCAATGCGGCCTTGAGCACAATTGCTGCATCAAGGCCATGGGTTTTCTTGAGATTGCTCAGATCTGGAGTGTAAATCACTGATGCTTTGCCCTCGACACCAATGTGTGATTGTTGTTTGAGACGGGCGTCGATCATACCCTGGTCTTTATGCACTGTCGGATCAGGCTTCCAACCAAAGTGGTGTCCTTTGAACCACTCTGCCGCTTTTTGACGGGGGAACAAGGCGCTCTCCGACTTTGATATGCCGGTGAGGCGCTTGACGTGGTACTCAACTCCAAGTTTGGCAGTTAAGGACGTCCTGCCAGAGAAGTAATGCTCTGCCCATAACTTGAAGGGCACACGCTGGGCTACTGTTTCCTTCTCACTAGAAAGTGCTTTGTCGAGGTCTTCGTAGAATGGCAGACTGCTCAGTGCGTCGAAGCAAGAATGCTGGCCTAGGAACAACAAGCCTATCTTCTGCGTATCCTCGATCGGCACCAAGTAGAATCTATTGAGCAAACCTGGAGGACCAGCAAAATCATATTGCCCGTCATTTAACAAGAAGCTTTGTAGGTCTTTGGCTGTCTTGACAGGCTTTTCGAAGGTCAAGATGCAATTAGAGAAGAATTTGGTCGACGCACGCAGGATTGCGTAGCAAGTAATCTCCGGATCAATGTCGACACTAATGCTGCGCAATGAGTTGTGAACGTTTAAGACCTTCTCAAGCGCCTTCTGGACTTGTTGCACGTTGTCAGAGTCTACAACAAAAGCATGTCGATGATTGACTGATTGTTTGCGTAAGGGATGTGCCCAGATGTTCATCATATCAGGCATTGGATATACATCCTCAACATCGGCCCAAGAAAGCCCAAGCGGTTGTAACAGAGGCTCGCAATGTTCCCTCGTCATGGTGGCTCTTTCTTCCGACCCAAATGTGTGGATCATGTCATTGAGCTGCGGCGGACCTTCACGAGTGGTCTGGAGATCCTTGTAATCTTGACCTCCATTCGTCCCGGTTCTAGAGGCCAACAATCTGGCTTGTTTTGCCACCGTGTTATGCTCGAGGATTTCTTCACCGGTGATATTGATGCCTAGATCTCTGCGAAGGAACGTTCGTCCTCGAGAAAGCACCAAGCTATCCGCCATATCCGTGATTATGTCCTGAGTTTTGATGCTTTTGTGATTCAAGGCTTTTGACCACACGCTGCAGAGTTTCTCCATCAGGTTCCCATCAGTGTCGCTATCACCCTTTCGTTGCGCATCGACATATTTCTGTACAAGAGGTTGTAGGGTCTGTTTGCGAAGTTTGCCAGACGTTGTCTTGGGGAAGTCGTCCAAATCTAAATCCTTGAGCGTCAGGATCATTTCTGGAGCATAAGCAGAACCAAGTTTCTCGATTGTGGTGCGTCTCAGAAGGTCCAAGTCGACTTGTGAGAGGCCCTGGCTACGGACTACGGCGATAGGCACTTCTCCTGCAGTCTCATCTTCTATGCCGACTACCTGGCTCTGGAATACAGGTTAACGAAGCTCCTAATGATCACAACAACTTCTGGCTACGACTTACTTGGATGCCACCATAGGCACTAAGGACCTTCTCAATAGCAGTGGGTGCGATATTGTGTCCACCTCTGATGATCAACTCTTTATATCTTCCAACAATGAAAAATTCACCATCCTGATTCATAGTGGCTTGATCACCAGTAGGGAACCATCTGCCATCTTCATCCTCGTAGAACGGCTGACTCTTTGCTCCGATGTATTTTTTCAAGATTTGCGGGCCTCCCATATGCAATTCGCCAGCTTCGTTCCTCTTGAGTGCGGTAGTAGAGTCTGGTGCGCATACCTTCAACATAGAACCCGCCATAACAACACCACATCCGACATCTGACCTCTTCAGGTCGGGAATCTGATCAACATGATAGCACGTCGGACTCCAACACTCCGACATGCCATAGATCGTATGCGCCTTCTTCGACTTCAGGACATTGACGCAATCTTGATTGTGTCGCGAGAGCACATTTCCACCACCCATGTGGATCATCTCCAGACTCGAAGTATCTGTAATTGGCAGATTCTGATGCTCGGCCAGTAGATTCAACATCGCAGGTACAAGACACATGTATGTTATCTTTTCGTTCTGTATGGCTTCCAGTAATGCACCAGGAGCAAAGCTTCCAGAAGGGTGGACGATAGTGCATGGAGGGACGTGGAGGGCGATCATGATTCCGATGGCATGAAACAAGGGGCCGTGTGCAGATACCACCGGCCAGTAATCGGCTGCCTGTCCCAAGTTCTTTTTCGCTAAGCATGATGTTGACATGGAAGTGTTGGTGTGAACGCAGCCTTTGGGTAGAGATGTGGTTCCACTCGTGAAAATGACTAAAATCTCATCATCCAATTCATGTTCGATTTGAGAAAAGTCCAGATCCTGGTGTTCTTGACCAAAGCTGAACAGTTCCTGGAAGGTTGACCAGCCATTCGGACAAGACGTTTGCTGGTGACTGGTGACGAACTTGAGCACATGTTCGTGTAGAGTGTTCTCGGCATTCTTGTCAAGCTTCTCTGCTAGTTCGGTCGTAGGTGCAAGGACGACACTTGGATTTGAGCACTTCAGCATATGTTGCAACTCATTCGGATTACTGATAGATGCTGGGTCGATGGAAGCCAACGTACATCTCAGTTCCCATGCAGCTCTAGCGATGATCTGAAACTCTGCACCGACAACAGGGAATATGGCGATTGTCATTCCAGGACGTGTTCCTTTTTGGTAGAGTCCTGCTGCAACAGTGTGTGATACTTGCTGGAGATGACGGTAAGTCCATCGTAAGTATGGTTGCGACTTGTATTCCTCCGATTGGCTTGAGAATGTATATAAGTCCGAAGGATAGTGTGGGCACACCAGAGCGATGGAATCGGCATTCCTTGTTGCAGCTTCTGTGAGAATGTTGTGCATGCAACCAAGTTCTGGCTCTCCTCCTATAGCTTTCGCCAGCTCGGCAGCTGGACCGTTTGATGTCATCTTGGATGAGACGAAGGAAATAATTGCAAAGACGAGAAGAAGAGAACAGAATTGAAAAAATGCGGTTCAAGATCCTACAGATATTTTAGGGGTTGCGTGTCATAACAGCTGTATGATGCAACCGCCGACGGCGAGCAGTGATGCGAACTGTCCTACCTTGCCTAGTTAGCCGTGACATATGTGCATGGTCCAATTATGTAGAAGAGCTGCATGAGACGTGGACGATTTGGGGGCTCTAAATTGAGGAAACGCACGACCACACGTCATCCCGTTGATGCCCCGGACGATCGTTCAAGATAAACTCAATCACATATTATATGTGCGGTGCGCTGAGGGCGACTATCAGAACACCTCTGGATGCTTCGTTCGGAAGTTCAAGTTCGTGATGTGTTAATAAAGCCTTCGTGTTAGAGGCATGCTTGAAATAAAACTACAGAGGCATTACATGGCATAATTGTCAAGTTCAGGCAGTGGCATTTTCCGAAGGAGTCTCAACAGTACCACTCTTCTCCTTTGCTTCTTGGTTCTTTTTGTTCGCAGCTAGTTGCCAGGCAGGAATGGCGGCCCGTCCGTTCATCGAACGGCCATAGGGACTGGATGTCGAGGAGCGATCAGGAATTGAAGGCTTGGTGTCAGCAGCTGGTGTAGGTGTAGATTCGTTCGTAGAAGATTCAGCGGCTGGTGTGGCACTTGAAGCTGGGACAGAGCTTCCAGTGGTAGGGTTGAAGGTAGGAGCAGACGGATTAGGGCTTCTTGGAGCAGGAGCAGACATTCTGTTGTTGATCAGAGTCTTGAGGCTCTTCATCTCAGTAGCCAGATCGGACAAGCGCTGGTCAGCAGACTTCTTCTGAGACTCCATGGCAGCAGGGATCATGTCTTTCAGGCCACGAATCTCATCATTTAACCTCCTGCCCTCGTCATCTCTTCGTCTGCTCGCATCCTTGAGCTGGCCAATGACAGATTCGACCTCTGACAAGGCAGTGTCCAGCTTCTCGGTACGAGCTTGTTCAGAAGACTTGAGGTCTTGTGTGTCTGTTGCGAGTTGGTCTAGCAGGGCAAAGGCTTTCTCGAAGGAGGCATCGACTGCAGCCTTGTCTTGCTCGAGCTGAGGTGGAGTGGGAGGAGCGATGAGAGGATAGATATATCGTTTCGCGACAGTGTAGGCACCGAAACCAAGACCACCAACTACAGTAGCCATGATGAACCAATCACGCCAGTCTCGTCGCGGTAGCTCCGGAGGTGGTGGTGGAGGTTGTTGCCAGTAGGCATTCTGATTGTATGACTGAGGCGGTGGCCTCTGATATGACTGGACTTGTGTTTGTGGAGGTGGTGATATCGGAGGTTCCGAGCCAGCGCGTTGGAGAGCAAGGTCGATCTCTTCCTGTGTCAGGTTCTTTGATTTGAGAAAGGCGATGCGTTGGTCGACAGGGGCTCCAGCTACAGAGGGGTCTTGCAAGACTGGATAGGTGGTCAGGATTGATTAGGGGGGTTGGCGGGATACAGTTACTCACATAAAACCTGGAAACAATGATTAGCTTATCACATGTCGCTGGCCAGGTCTGGATGAGGCTTCACTTACGGCACTAGAGATGAGGTCTTCGCGCACCATCTTGACAGCTGCTGACTCCAGACGAGTGGATGTTTACTCAGATTGAGATGCGACAGCAGTCGGCGGCAAGAATGTTGGACGGACACGGAGATGGAGGCACGCGGCCGGCAAAGTGTCATAGGCCGATACGCCGAGGCATGAGCCGAGGCTTTTGCGGGGAGACGGTGGGAGACCCTGCTCGTAAAGTGCTCGTGCGCCTTGGCCTTGGCATTGTTGACGTCTGAGTGTTTACTTTGGCGATTCGACTTTGTCGCAACCCAACGCGACTTGCGACTTTTGTTTACCTGACGACATTTTGCTGCACTATTGTGCATCTAGCTATATCGCCTTCGCACAGTATTGTATAGTCGAACATCCACTAGGCGACAACATGTCGCAGGATCAGGGCATTTTTTCCGTGCGCCGCCCGCGCGAGGTCAGTCGAGTCGCATACCGTTCTTCACCAGCGCCCATCTCACACGCATACAGACACTCGGCCCAATCAACCACAATTCATCCGCAATCCCTCTGCCCGCCTCGGCCATGAAGCGCCAAAGTTCCTTCGGTCTCGGTCAGATGCAACCCGCCTCGCATGCCCGCTCGACTTCGGGTTCCCGTATGTCTCTGGCTCCGGGTTTTCCTAGGCAGCCCGACTTTCAGCGCGCTTCTTCTGGCAACAATCTCGCTGACCTTGGTCTCTCCACCGTCAAGCGTCCTTCAACCCAGAACATGTTCAACAGCACAGGAGGTAGAAAGAGCTATGCGCCTGTCAGCAGCACTCCTGCTCCTGCTCTACAGCTTGGCGACAGCTCCCAACGACGCAGCAGTGTCTACAGTGCCCGTCCCTCGGCTGCCTTTGGTGGGCCCATGGGTGGTCACCAATCCTTTTTCGCTACTGCTCCTCCCGCGAATCAGCCTCCTCAAGATCCTCGCAGGTTGCGTGATCCAAACACTCGCCATACTATGGGCACTGAGCTCATGGAGTTCCTCACCCAACGCAACTTTGAGATGGAGATGAAGCACACTCTCACCCACAAGACCATGACTTCACCCACACAGAAGGACTTCAACATGATGTTCCAATTCCTCTATCACTGCATCGATCCGGCATATCGTTTCCAGAAGAATATTGACCAGGAAGTTCCTCCGCTTCTCAAGCAATTGCGATACCCCTACGAAAGAAACATCACAAAGTCACAATTAGCTGCTGTTGGAGGCAACAACTGGTTCACTTTCTTAGGTATGCTTCACTGGATGATGCAGCTTGCAAAGATGATGGAACACTTCAGCGTCGGCACCTACGATGAGGCTTGCGTCGAGTCTGGTCACGATGTTTCTGCAGACCGCATCACTTTCGAGTTCTTGAGCGACGCCTACCGTACCTGGTTATCCGTCGACGATGATGATGAGGAAGATGACGAGGAAGCTATCCAGAGGCTTATACAACCACATGTCGAGGCCATGGCATCCAAATTCGAGGCTTCCAACCAACAAAATCTCGAGCAAGTCAAGGCTTTGGAAGAAGAGAGCAAGCAGTTGCAGGAACAGATTGACGAGCTCGGCAAAACCGCTCCTCGCCTGGCCAAATTGGATGAGCAAAACAAGATTCTCGAGGAAGACAGGGTCAAATTTGAGAATTACAACAACAGCATCGACAAGAAGGTTGAGAAGTACGAAGACCGACTACGCATGCTGGAGAGCGAGATGCAGCGTCTGGACCAGGAACTCGCAGATGCAGAGCAAGAACGCAACAGCTTGCAGGAGATGGTCGACCGACAAGGAATCACTGTCTCGGATATCGACCGCATGACAGCTGAGCGCAAACGTCTCCAGACTGGTGTAGAAAGCACAAACCTGCGACTAGAAGAGACTCGCGATGCGGTAGCCAAGAAAGAGGCCGAGGCAGCCCAAAGACTCGAAGAGCTCGAATCTGTGGTCTCAAAATACAACCGCATGGCTTACGAGATTGGAGTAATTCCTCCGGACGCGCCAAACGCCCACGGACAAGAATACGAACTCATCCTGAGTACTAGCGAAGGACCCGCTTTCGGATCATCTCAGATGGGCGAGCAACCACAGGACGCTGATCGCCTGCTAGCCGAAACTGGCACTGGATACCAACCACATCACTTGCTGAACCTGGATGTCCGAGGCAGTCTTAAGAGCAACATGATCAATCTGAGAAAGGAGATCAGCGAACGCAGGAACAACGCTCTCGAGGCGGACATGAACAACCATGATTTGCTAGACAAAATCAAGGAGGCCATCGAAGACAAAAGAGCCGAGGCCGAGACGCTGGAGCATCGCATACGAGCTGCAGAAGATGAGTTCGAAAAGACCAAAGAGGTAATTCAAGTGTCTTCGAACGATTGATAAGAAGATGTACTAAAACAAAGCAGATCACAAACTCCCAGAAAATGGCGTCGGATGCTCAGATCGAGAAGATGGAAAAGGAGCTCGCCAGAATGCGTGCCGGCCTCACGGAATCGGTGCAGCTGATGGAGCAACGCGAGATGAACACCAACCTCGAATACGAGCAATTGACGGTGGCTTCTTCGGCACTTCGTGAAGAACTCCACACAGAGCTTGAGCGCATGTTAAACGACATAATCAAATTCAAGGTTCACATTCAGGGCAGTCTCGAGGGCTACGAAGAGTTTGTGGCTCAAGAGGTTGAAAGGGAATGTGAAGAGCAAGAAAGAGAAGAGATGGGTGCTGACGATGAGAAGTATGGTGAAGATGTTGAGGCCAAGGTGGAAGAGATGGATCTTGACGAGTGAGGTGATCTGGATAGGATGAAGCTTGACGACTTGGTTAGTGTCGGATGACCAGGCAAGATGGCGGAGTTTGGGCGGATTGCTTTTATGATACCTCTGTTGTTATTTTGGTTCTGGATGGATATTACGAATGTTCAAAGGGTTGATGATTGTTCAATGTTGCTGCCTGTTCTCTGATGATTGATGATTGATGATTGATGATTGATGACCATGTTGATGGCTAACCGGACAGGTGGCCTGTGCTCTCTGGCGCCACGTCTTGAGGCTGAGCGTGGGTAGTTTCGTAGCGGTTGCCCGCCGACACGGTGTTATCAACAAACCTTGCCCCTGCTTTTGTGTTGTCGTCGCCTGCAACATCTTGGTCAACCTTGTCGCATCCATATTGCGATAGTTCGAGTCAAGATTCAGCCCGACTCGCATCGTCTCCGTCCCATCATGGACAGCCCCGAACCCGATACGCCCTTTGCGGCCGTCAGTGCCCAAACAACAAGAGCTGGAATGGTGAGCTCCCTCGCCCCTGTCAGGCTTCAGGCTGCCGGAAAAGAGTTGGACCCTATACGCGCTGGATACAGTGGATGAGGAGGATGTTGTTTATCTAAGTACACAGGCTGATCGTCTGTCGCAATACAGCTCTACCAATCCTACCTGGACAAGTCAACACCTTACAAGACATACCGATGGATTGGAACTGGTGTCGTCTTCCTGATGTTCGGTCTGCGCATCTTCCTGGCTCAAGGCTGGTACATTGGTACGCCTCTCCATCAAGTCAAGTTTCTCGTCTGCCTCTCCTGACACTTTCTCTCACAGTCGCATACACTCTCGGCATCTACCTTCTGAATCTGTTTCTCGCCTTCATCTCGCCCAAGTTCGACCCTGGTCTCGAGTCCGCCGAGGATATGGAGGAGGGCAGTAGCGGAGACCTTCCCACAAAGTCGACCGACGAGTTCAAGCCTTTCGTGCGCCGCCTTCCCGAATTCAAGTTCTGGCACACTGCCACCCGCGCCGTCGTCCTTGCCTTTTTGTGTTCATGGAGCGAGATTTTCAACCTTCCCGTCTTCTGGCCTGTCTTGGTCGTCTACTGGTTGATTCTCGTTGTTCTGACCATGCGCCGCCAAATCCAGCACATGCTGAGTAAGAAGATGGAATCTACCTATAATGAAAACTTCAGAGCTGACAAACAAAAAATAGAGTACAGATACGTGCCATGGGACTTTGGCAAGAAGAACTACGCCGCCACCAAGAACAGCAACTGATTTCACGCAACTCAAGACAATACAAGAAACCACAAATGTCGCATTAATGTCACACGAGCTCGCACCGCTTTGTATTAAGAAAAAAGTGATGCATCGACTCTTTTACGGGCCACGAAGATGCATACGAAGGGTTTAGGATGGGAGGCTTGGTGCAATTGATTAGTCAAAGGAGTCTCTTATTCCAGCGTACATTGATCTCCATCAATCATTGAATTGATTACTTGAATGAAAGATCCAGTATGAACGTATCATTTTTACTCATACTCCTTCCACCAGTTCATCTTCAGGGAAGACTCTGGGGCCGAAAGAGGTCTCTCCTTCATGGCTTTGGTGAGCCGGAAGCATTGAAAACAAACAAGGGGCATCAAAGCGGTCTGCATGAGGTCAAACCACTCGGAATATACAGTATTGTGATCATAAGATTTTGGGGCATCATCTGATATACTGACTAATCTTTTGGTCAAGAACGATGGAAAACATGTCGAATCGATGACAACGAACCGGGTGTCCTGCACAGCAAAAGTGATCGGTATAGCCGGACTTAGGCGGAGATAGCACCCTAGACGTCACTCTTCTCGATGCGACACACAAGCAAGCTTCCCATATTCCTGACAAGATAGCAAAGATGTCGGCGCCACAAAGACCAGAGCAGGGACATTCCCGGCATCCTTCGAGCGACACTAGGCGTGGTATGCGACTTCTTGTTTGGTCAAACAGACCAGGATTGATCTAACACTTTCTTAGTCGCGATGCCACGGCGTAGCACCAGAGGGCCTCTGGATATGGATTCAGCGTCAGTCTTCATTGCTCGTGTCTTTCAGGTTGATGATAGCTGATGAAGGGGTATACAGCGCCGTACCGACGTATCAGCCACCGACACCAGCAATACAAACCGCATTACCGCCTTCACCGGCACCGTCGCCAATGCCTATCCGAACAGCATCGCCAGCCTCATCTCTTCTCTCTCCTGTCCAGCAAAACCGCCCACCAACACGTACGCGATCAAAAAGTCCAGCATCACGCACAATACAATTGGATCTCTCACTTCTCCTTCGTCCTTCCCTGTACGCGCCAGTACCGACAACCCAAATCGCGACACCATTCCTAGACACCTCACACCAACCAGCCCCAGACACGGATTTAGAAACTTTACTGTCGCATAGACGTTTCATTCACGCAGCAGACAAAGCAACAGATATATTGACTTCCGGCTCCATTTCTCCATCAAACACTCAACAAATACTGCAACTCCTATACACGCGATTCGCCTGTCTCGTTCTCTGCAACCAAGCTACCCTCGCCGCAAAAGAAGCAAAACCACTCTCCGATCTGCTGGCGAGAGAAAGCAGCACATATACCCGCCCTCACCGCGAAATCTTCCTTGAGCAAATTCCATGGTCTTTGCGATTATTGCTGTTGAAACTCCAAGTTTTGGGCACCGCGGATGCTCATAGGAGAGCTATTATGGGGTTATACGCTTTATCTTCCGAATGTAGGACGTTGGCGCAAAAAGCCAGGGTTGACAAAGATGAAGAGGCGTTTAAAATGTGGAAGACCAGATTAAGTGATTTGGGCATCAGGGTCGCTGGTGAACTTGTCGAAATGGGTGAATTGGAAACAGCAAGACGACATCTGGCAACAATAACCCCTGGACCCGCAACCCCCGAAGCGGAAATGCTGGAAATGTGTATACGCAAAACATTACTGTTGCTTAAAATAGGGGATACGAAAGCAGCGGAGGAATGCCTTGCCACCACCACCACCATCACGACTTCATCCTCGGAATCACATACAGACCTCGACGAAAATCTGCTCATCCAACAAAAAGTCCTTTCCGCTCTAACCGCCCTCTGCACATCCTCCCCCACCACCGCCGTCACACAACTCCAATCCCTAGCCACCACATACCCATCAAACCCTCTAATCCTCCACAACCTCGCCATCGCAAACATCTACTCCAACAACGTCAGCACCGCCTCTTCAATCCTGGAATCCCTGGTTTCGGAAACGGAAATCGTGTTTCCGACATTGCTGTTTAATTTATCCACCGTGTTTGAATTGAGGACTGAAAGGGCTAGGGAGAGGAAATTGGGATTGGTGGACGCGGTTGTGGAGGTGGGGGTGCGAGGAGGGGGTGGGCAGGTGGGTGGGTTTGAGAGGGGGGTGGGGGAGTTTAAATTGACTTGATTGAATGGAAGAAGAAGGGAAAGGGAAGGGGAAATCAGGATGGGGGGTATGTTGGATTTGTCACGATGACAGAAGTGGTGATGTGTAAAGACAGAGGAGCATTCTCTATTTTTCTCAAATGCCGAATATTATCTATTTCATTTCATTTCTTTTTTGGGGGGACCTACGAGATGCATAAGAGGTACTCAAAGACTAATTCTGTCATAAAACATAACACATCCACTCATGAAGAAGAAATCGAGATCTAATCACGTTCTTTCCACCACAAGAAAACCAGCATAGCTTTAGGGGTCCTAGTGCGTGGGGGATTAGGAATTTGTGTATGTTTTTTCCGACATTGTGATTGTGATGTTATTTTTGGTGTGGAAAGAGGCTAAGATATATGCACGCAAGAGTTTGTGGTACGTAATGGCTAGAGGGATGTCAAAAAGTTGTGTCGTAAGGAGTGGTGCAAGCAAGGGAGGGAGTCGAGCTTATGATTTTCAAACGCGGGCAGATCTTTTGTAGGTTAGGATGGGTATAGGGGTCTAGCTAGACTAGACATTAATAGAGAAGCAGTGGGGTTGAATTGTTATAGATAGGTAGATACGGAACTTATATATGAAGAGTAGTCAACTGACTTCACGCATGAGGAAGTTTTGTAGTAGGCGCTAGGATAAGGGAAGAATGTGTTGTAAGAGGAACACCTTTCTACATTGTTTCGAATGCTTGAGGACGCGGCTGAGGTGACTATTTCGGGTCGAACTCCGAAGGTGGTCGACTAGCGTGCCAGAACCAGCCTTGCACACTAGCGCATGAGCTGAAAGAAATGTATTGAGATGGGCGCTTGCTGATGCGGAATTGCTTCTTTGTCTCCCCGAAGCTTGATGAACGACTCACGTTTACAAAAACATCGTTTAGACGACCTCGGACTGTCTCGTCAAGTTCTGAGAATGTACAGCTTGTTGGTTGTGCTTGGTACGGTATCATTTCTGTTCATCCTGCTGGTCAAACGCCGTCCCTTGCTTGGGAAATTGATCGTTATGACTGTCAGATTGGTGAGATCTTCACGCTGTCTCGACATGTGTGACAAACTGACAAGGGGATATTTAGTCGTCTGGTTTCCAATCCGTGAGGAATGCTTACAGGAGCACTAAAAACTCGTCCACAACACCACTCGAAGACAGGCTTGAAGAAACGTCCAACGATCTGGAGGCCACTCGGAGAGAGCTCGACATAAGAGATCAACAACTGCTGGAGACGGAGAGAAAGCTCCAAGACCTCAAAATCAAAGCAGCAAGTCTTTTGAGTGGTCATCGGGCCCGCGAAGACGGATGGTCGTCACCAGATCGCGAGATCCGTTCGCTGTATGCTAAAATTGAGGCTATGGCGAGAAAACTGCCCCTCCGCACTCCTGCAGAAATGATGCAGACCGAAAACGTGCTCAAAGAGCTGAGGGAAATATCCTGGCATGTAGAAGATGGATCCGTACCAGCTCTGAACAGTATCTCATTGTTTGAGGGGATACTGGGCAACTTCATTGGAAAAATGATCTTGACCAAAGGTCACGAATGCTGTGGCATCCGATATGGACGGGAACTGCTGCCACTTCTCAAGACGATTGGAGCGCGTAAGACGCATTGCTACCTCCACCAGATAGACAGACCCATTGCTGATCGAAATGCAGGCAACGACGAAGTTTCCGATAAGAGAACAGCGGACATTCTTGACTGGTGTGAGGAGACTCCTTCCGACTCTTGGCAAGATTCGGCAGTTTTGATGTCGCTAGTCAACGACCTCAAAAACGACATCGTGTCGAACCTAGTCATTTCAAAACACGAGCTGAACAAACACGATTGGAAGTCGTTGGTACAGCGAGCAGTCAAACTATCCGTGGACCTCTACAGGCTCAACATCAAGCTGGAACTCACATCAAAGGACTATGTTGACGAAAGAAACCGGATGTACGATCCGGCCGATGAACGCATCACCACTAGCAGCATCATCGCGGGCGACTTGGAAGAAGGGGATCGGTATCAAGTGTGTTTCGTGCGTCAGCCGGGATTTCGAAAGCTCCCGTGCAGAAACGCCACAGGCTCGGCTGGACAGTACTTGCTCAAGGCTCATGTGCTAGTCTCGAGATATGAGGAAGCTCCAGACGCACGGAAAAGGCAATAAGGATATCAAAGCGTTGGCCAGGAGGCGTGATGATCATGGGCTATAGAGTAGAAAGCAACTGGCACGATGACACCAATGGACGTTTCTTCATCGATGAGGGTGGCGTAGGTCATGGGAGTTTGAGTATGACTTTCCAGACCAGAAATTGTAGAGGTGGTCATTGGACAGTTTATCTGGATTATGTCGAGGGGAACGGGTATAGATTGGCGTGAGATGTTTTCGATGGTGTGGGGGAAGGTCATGACATGAATGTTGGGGAAAATCTTGACTTCCATACCCAAACGGTGTTTACGTGAAGAGCGTGCGGTGTTTTACACATAGATGTTTTCTTGAACTCCATGGCCGTGTGGCCGAATCCATATCATCCCATAACCAGATCGTTCGTAACTCCAAAATCAAAGCAATACGCCAGGGTGTGCTATGCTCTATGCATTGATTGTCTCCTTGATCAAAGCAGCCAGCCTCTGATAATCCCTCAATAACTCATCAACATCTTTGATTCTCAAGTCCTGAGCATTCTTTGCATCGATGAATTTCTGTACAGGCGGTGTGGCCTTTTTCAGTGCTGCCAAAGCCTCTAGAGTATCGAGATCGGTTTCTGGTTGCACGTTATTTGCTTCCGAAACAGGTTTCTCGGTCTCGGGAATGTGACCGAGCTGCTTGGTTCTTTCGGCCATCGCAGATGAGGCGGCAGGTGTGGTTGGTGTCGACGAGCCACTTGCAGAAGCTGAACGTCCGAATTTCCCGAATCCGCCGAAGCGGGACAAAGGGTTAATTGAGTTCATGAGATTGCCCATAGATTCGACGGCGGACTGTGTCGGAAGCGAGGATGAGATGGAGTTGTTGATAAGCGCGGCATTTGGCTTTTCGGCGAAGATGACGCGTTTGCCACTACTGGCACTGCGATTGCTGTCCACACTGCGTTCACGCAAGCGACCACCAACCAAGTTTAGCATTGTGTTGTCCACACGAGGCGCTGAAAGTGGGTCGGCAGTCGGACTTGCTGAGAGCGACTCTGCAAAGTTTGGATGGCTGTCCATGGGCACCAAAGGCGGGGAGCTTACGAGCTTGCGAGCATCTTCGAGAGTTCTGGGCATGACTATGGGAGAATCCTCAGTGCCAGCACCTTGCTCCTTCATACGACCAAACAGAAACTTAAAGCTGTTTTCGAGGGTCGAGTTGATAGCGTCGAATGCCTGATCAGCCGAGTTGAGAAGTTCTTCTCGCCCAGCTTCGATGCGTTCGGCTTGTGCTTGGATCAAAGATGAGAAACGTCGCTGTGTAAAGCCAGGTCGCACTGGATTATTGGCAAGAGTATTGGGTGAAGGAAGTGGTTTGAGGGAGGTGTCTCCTGGACTCAGATCGGAGGAGATGGCTGATGTGGTGGTCAAACCAGGAGCTAAAGATTTGGGACTGGAAGGACGGGCAAAGTTGGTAGGTCTCTCATGGCGAGTTTCGGGATGGAGACGGCCTTGAGGAGCTTCGTCTGCTCGCAGAGAAGATAGATCAACGGTTTCGAGGAACGAGATGGCGGCTTCCAGGTTGACCAGACAGTAAGCAGCTTCACCATCAACCTTTGCACGGGCACGGAAGAGCTGAACGAAATGTAGGTTACTGATGACGTTGATAGTCTCCGGATCCGAAGTCATCAAGGTGTAGATCAGAGTCGGCAGAACCTCATCAGCAGAAGAGGTAGAAGGAAAGATGCGAGATAAAGTCTCAACAATGCTCTTGTGTGCTTCAGTAAGCATTTGGAGCTTTCCGAGAGGATAGCGATGGTCGTCCATGCGTTGTAGGTGTTCTCTTGCGGGTGCAAGCAATTTGAATATCTCCTCATGCAGCTCTTTCTCATCAGTCGGTAAGCCGTTGCCTTTGGCTGGTTCAATGTCGACGTGCAACTCTTTCAAGCCGATGCCGACCAGCGACAAAGCAGCAGTTCTCGAACGAAGCTTTGCATCTCTTTCCTCATCATCGGCACTTCTGTGTCTGTATATCCGATCATAAACCTTCTCACACACGGCTCTTTCTACAGCTTCCTCCAGAGCCAGTCTCTTAATCTCCAGATCCCGACGGGCTTTACGACGATCGGCGACCTCGGAAGCTGTCAACATCTGCTGTTCACCCTGGCCATTCGGAGAAGCGTTCTGGTCTGCACTCTGCTTTCTGCCCTTGAGTGTGGCATTCGAGGCCTTCGAAGCTACTGAGCGTGACGGAGACTTCTCTCTAGACAGGCGTGTGGAAAGGGTTGCGATGTGTGTTGAGATGTGTGATTCGGCTTGTTCGTAGAAATCTTGGAATAGCTCGGAGATGGTATCGATATTCAGGGGATTTGCGTGTGTCTTGACGGAGAGAGACTTGAGGAACCTCTCGCTCAGGCTTCGGATCTCGATTGGAAGTTGGTCGAAAGTAGGGGGTACATTGACAGCAGGTTCCTCATGGCTATCTTCTTCGACGCTCTCGAAAACATCGCCGTGTGAGAAAGAGGTCATGTCCTTTGCTTCGGGTATTGTCTGGATGGTACTGGCTCGGGCGCGAGAAGGAGAAGCCGGAAGGGACTCCGGATTGGGATCGAGACGTGTAAAGGAGCGAGAAACATGGAGAGGGCGTGGCCTAGGGGCCTGTTTTGGAGAGGACGAGTTGGACATTGTTGATGATCTGCAGGGTCGGTACAGGAAGAGGTACCGCTAAGCTCGCCGAAGTTACAATGACAGCCGTCGAGGAGAAAGACCGTTTAGCTTAAGCGAAAGTTATGAAGAGGGTGTCATACAGAGTGAAAGATGGCCAAGTCAGACAGATAATCGTGCGTCTAAGAGTTGCACATGTCGTGTGTCCTCCTGAAGGCAGTCCGGCGTGCACCATTGACTCGGAACAACCCCACCTTTTGTGTCTTGGGTCGTCTGTCTTTCAGCCGCTCCTCGGATTCCGCCGCAAAGTGTGGCTCTGTGGCTCTGTGGCTTCCCTTTGTCGATGACAGACGCCAAGGAACAACCCCAGCATCTGCCACTAATGTATCCGCATGACACAGCAACCTAAAGCGCCGCTTCCATCGTCGTTGCCTGCCTGCCTGCCTAACCTACAATCTCCCAATCGCGCAATGATATACCTCCCCTCTGCGAACCCCCTTCTACTTCACTGATCTTGCTGTACCACAATGAGAAGCGGTCTCGACTTCCTAGTCCACCTACTCGCCTTATCTCCGCTCGCCGTCGAGCCCGCCACTGCCGCTCGTCGCCATCGTCCTCAAGAGGCCCTACTGCCTCCCATCCCAATCGACTACACTCCTCTGCCGAGTCAGCAACATGAATTTACTCTGAGGCATATATACCACAAGGGCTCACACCAGTACCCTGACCTCCTCCGCAAGGTCGACATCAAGCCTGGCGTTACTCTCGAACACATCCAAGGCCATGACGACGATAGCGAATATGGCGCCACAGTCTCGGCCACCGACTCCTACCGCATCAACTCAGGTCCCATGACAATACAACGCCTAGCCGACCGCAGACGCAAGACCATCGACCGTCTACTGGAAGCTAGGAGCATGTGGGGAGAAGCTGTTTCCTTGCCTCCTTCTGCTTGGACTATGGATGAAATAGACGGTCCCAACATTACCGACAAGGAGACAGTACTCGGCTTTGCTCGCATGGCTGCCAATGCCTATGTTATCAAGCCGCACACTGGTGACTGGATCGATGTAGGAGGAGGCTTCAACTATACCGAAGACTTTGGCTGGGAGAGCGACGGTCTTCGCGGCCACATCTTTGCCGACACTAAGAACAGGACTGTCGTTATTGGCCTCAAGGGAACTTCACCTGCTGTCTTTGACGGTGCGGATACTACTGGCAACGACAAGCTGAACGACAATCTCTTCGGAAGCTGTTGCTGCGGTCAAGGCGGCCAGTCTTTGTGGAAGCAAGTCTGCGACTGTCAGACGTCTGCCTACACTTGCAACTCAACGTGTTTGGTCAAGAACCTGCGAAACAAGGCTCACTACTATCAAGCTGCTCAAGAGCTATATCATAATGTCACCGAGATCTATCCCAACGCCGACATCTGGTTGACTGGCCACTCGCTCGGTGGTGTTGTCACTTCGCTTCTTGGCCTTACATTCGGTCTACCCACTGTGACTTTTGAGACATTCCCAGAAGCTCTCGCTGCTAGTCGTCTTGGTCTTCCCACTCCTCCAGGCTATCACATTGGCGATCACAAAAACCGTCCTCATACTGGTGCTTATCATTTTGGTCATACTGCAGATCCTATCTACATGGGAACTTGCAATAGTGCCTTTTCTGGATGCACCATTGGTGGCTATGCTTTCCAAGGTAAATGCCACACTGGCAGTAGATGTTTCTACGACACAATGGAAGACTTTGGCTGGAGATCAGGCATTGGCACTCACAAGATCAGCAACGTCATTCACGATGTGATTGAGAAGTACAAGACTGTACCAAAATGCGAACAAGATCTCGACTGCATAGATTGCTACGAGTGGAAGTTCTTCGAGAGTAATGGCACCGAGACCACGACCAGCTCTTCGTCAACCGCGACATCGACTACACGAACGAGGACCGAGACATGCAAAACACCTGGATGGTGGGGTTGCTTGGACGAGTCTACTACAGTTCCTGCGACCACGACAGAGACCATCACCACAACGACTTGCTTGTCTCCCGGCTGGTTCGGCTGCAAGGATGAGATAACCACAACTGAGACGACAACGATCACCAGCGGCATCGCGACTCCGGCCCCAGCACCAAGCGTCACGACAACATCGGCTGCTGCTTCTTCATCAGCAATGACTTCCTCAGCTCCAACAGCGACTGCCACCTCGACTTCCACCTGCAAATCACCAGGCTGGTTCGGCTGCCACGACTCCACTACCTCGACCAAGCACTCTGCAACAGGTACATCAATCTCAAGCACGTCACCCGCAAGTACATCCACAGCTTCCCACACCTGCACGTCAAAGGAGTTTTTCGGTCTTATTTGTGTCGACCCTTCAGCCACACAGAACAAGCCCGAACCCACTTCTTCGCACAAGAAATGTGTCAAGAGGGACTATGTGGGCAAGTGCAAGGAGTGGAGTTATGGCGAGGGAAGAGATGTCAAGACTGACTTATGAGTGAATGCATTATGGTGATTTTCAATTGCTGGCGTTTTGGTGGGTGGCTGGGTGTTTTGTGGTAGAACATATGCATGGATGGGTGGATGGGTTGGTTTGTAGTTTATTCAATATCTTTCACACTTCAAATGCTTTTGTTTAGTTTGGTCGCGATTCGGCATATTCTACCAAATCTTCTCTGTTTGAGCTAACCCCTTTCTTCTTCCTGCTTTCCGAGTGGCATTCTTACCGTTCTGGACCTCTCATGTATCCAATAGCTTCCACCCATGTGTTGTCTTCGTCTTGCTCATTGTAAGCTTCTTGGACGTAACGTTCGGAACCCATGTCCAGAAAGTGATGTGCGCGTGACTGAGGCGTGGTAGCGACAGCCGGGATCTGAAGCCGAGTTCAGAAGTCTTCCATGAAGGAGGATAAGCGCGACTCTTTGTCGCATCTTTGTGGCCTGCGTGATCAATGTTTCGTCGTCTTGTTCTTAGCCATTCATCTTCTGCGATCTCTGCTTCTGCTTCTGCTGCGAGATCCGTATGAAGAATAACTCGGGCTTCTGCGTCTGCCACCACCACCACTACCACCGCCATTACCTCTTCCACCGCCGCCTCCACCTCTTGGACTTGCTCCTCTTCGTCTAGGCGGAGGACTGCGAGTTACACTTCTAGAGCGACTCCTGCTAGGACTTCTGCTCCTCGGACTGTAACTTCTGTTCCTCGGCGGCGCATCCCTCGCGGGACCGGGACGATAGGTATCACCGTCATCTCCACCTCTGCCTCTTCTACCTCCTCCTCTACCACCACCACCGCCACCACCACCACCTCCTCCTCTTCCTCCAGCAGCAGCGGCAGCCATATCTCTATAGCGATGGGGCTCACCGAATCGATTCGGCGGTGGACGTCTAGCGGGTGGACTTCTACTGAACCTGCGACGCGGCAACACAATCGACACGCCAATTTTCGCTCCATCCAATTGGCCTTCGTGCATGTGTGCTATAGCTCTCTCGGCGGCTTCCGGGGTCGCGTATAGTATATACGCCGTCCCGCGGTTTGTGTTGAAGGATTTGTTCAGCGGCATGTCGAGGTCGGCGATTGCGCCGTAAGTGCTGAAGATTTCGTTCAGGTGCGCGGGAGTGACGTTTTTTGTCAGTTTTTCGATGACGATCTGGTGGGAAGAGAAGGATTGGTTAGTTACAGAGCTTGGGTATGTAGACATTGGCGCGGCAAACATACTTTTGAGCTGCGAGGCATTGGGGGAGTGGGACTGCGGTCGCGGCCGCGGGATGTGCTGCGGGCGCGATAGGAGCGGCTGCGACTGCGCGAGTGGGCTGGGCTGCGTGTGCGTGTTCTGCTGCGGCGGGTTGGACTGGGTGAAGGGCGAGGAGAGATTGAGCGGCGGGGTGAGCGTGAGAGTGAGCGCGAAGCTCTGGAATCCGGACTACGTGAGCGAGGATCGCCCCTCGGTGTCGGCGATCGTGAAGGCATTGTTGCGTGGTTGAATTGATGTTGATGTGAGTGAAGAAGAAGGGAAAGCTAGAAGAAACGTGAAAGTGTTTCTGGCTTGCTGTGACGAAAGTCGGAGGTTCCGTCGAAAGGGTCCGAGCTTCTCCGAGGTTGCTTGACTCGCGCATGACGTCTTGGCACCGTCGTCTTCGAGTCAACAAAAGCACCCGAATGGCCTGCTTCGCCGGAATACTCTCTCATTCACGCGACAACAATGATTTTCGACAACCTTTGGCTTTCTATAGCTCTGGTACCTGGGGTACTGGCTTCTCAACCTTCAGCTCCTGAGCCAGTAGAAGCCCCTCTCCGTAAACTACCCTGGGGTCAATTGAACTGGTTGGCGACGACAGATACGCATGGCTGGGTTCGGATTACCTATCATTTTATGTATTGAACATATGCTGACTTTGCTTCTTCCAGCACGGTGGTCATCTGCAAGAGTGAGTGCATCGCGTCTATGGTTCCGATGTGGTCTGACATGGTAACACAGGCCACAATACTCCGCAGATTGGGGTGACTACATCTCCTTCGCCCACCATCTTCGCCAAAGAGCAGATGAGGATGGCAGTGATCTTCTCGTTGTAGACACCGGTGATCGAGTAGAAGGCAACGGTCTCTATGACGCTTCAAACCCGAAAGGGCACTACACCTTTGATGTCTTCAAGCATCAGAAGATAGACATCATCACTCCGGGCAATCACGAGCTTTACAAGCAGAACTCATCCAACAACGAGTTCTACCACACTGTACCGAACTACAAGGATGCATACATCGCTTCCAACTTGGACATCTACAATCCTAAAACTGGAAAGTTGCAACCTCTTGCTCAAAGATACAGGAAGTTCACCACCAAGAATCAGGGCATCAGAATCATGGCATTCGGTTTTCTCTTCAACTTCCAAGGCAATGCGAACAACACCGTGGTACAACGCGTAGAAGACACGATCAAAGAGATGTGGTTCAAGGAAGCCATTCAAGACAAGGACGTCGACCTTTTCGTTGTTGCTGGACATGTACCCGTCTCTGATTCACATGAGTCGGATGCCATCTTCAAAGCCATTCGTAGCGCGAATTGGGATACCCCCATTGCTTTCTTTGGTGGTCACACCCACATCAGGGACTACCACAAATTCGACAAGATTGCTTACGGTCTCGAAAGCGGTCGTTATATGGAGACCATTGGTTTCATGTCCATCTCTGGTCTCGGTCACGAGAAGACCAGCTCTGATATCGCCCCCCTCAAAACACCAGAATTCAAACGCCGATACATCGACAACAACCTTTACTCCCTCTATCGTCACTCTGGCAAGAACGAAACTACCTTCCCTACTGACCTCGGTCGCAATGTGTCTGCATCCATCTCAGCTGCTAGGAAACAGCTGAATCTCGATCACGCATACGGTTGTGCTCCTAGGGATTACTGGTTAAACAGAGCTCCTTATCCTTCAGAATCGAGCATCTTGACGTGGCTCGAGAACGAAGTGCTTACAGACACTGCCAAGAATTACACAAAGCACCCTCAGCTCATCATCACGAACACTGGTGCCATGCGCTTTGACATCTTCAAAGGTCCTTTCACCATCGATACCACTTTCCTGGTTTCACCGTTCACCAGCGGCTTTCACAGACTCAAGAATGTGCCGTACAAGGCCGCAAAGCAACTTCTTCAACTGCTCAACAATGAAGGCAAGATCATGCTGTCTGAGATGATGGTCATGAGTGCCGTACACAGAGATTTGGGTAAATTCACTCCTCGCGCTTTGTATGAACTAGCACCTCCGAATCCACCTGTCAGTCGCTGGACTCAACAAACAACTCAAGATGGTATCGAGTTGATCGATACTTTGCACCGCGAGTTCGGTCAAGAAGTGCTCGGCGAAACTGCCGGACATGGAAAGCCAGACAAGCCATTGTCTCCTGGTTACACCACCATCGACGATGCAGGCAAAGATGGCGATGATACCATTCATGCACCCATCCGCTTTTACGACGTCCCCAATTGCATTCAAGCAGAAGTCAGTTTCCCTTCTGACAAGAAGGATCTCGAGACGGTGGACATCGTGTACAATGAGTTCATTGAGCGATGGATTCTGCTTGCTCTCAGATTCTTGGGCGAGAGCTATGGGGTCGAGGATGTAGAGACCACATTCGATGGCATGAGTTTCACAGATGTGCTCAGTGAATGGGTGCACAAGAACTGGGCTTGCTGATTTATTCATGGTGGGAGGTGTTTACGGTTTCAACTATCATACACATACATATCTATGCATATTGTTTTTCTATTTCATTCTTATGCTCAGAGAAGCACACGAGGTTGGACCCTGAATAGATCGAAGTCGTTCCTGGCGTGCCCCACCTTTCGTCTGACGTCGCTTTCCTCCCACTTCCCCTCATCGTTCCTTGATTTCCTCGAACTTCCAGCCGCGAATTCACATACGAAAAGTATGTCGTGCTACGGCATCATATTTCAGCTTCCCTCTTGTCATGTTCTAGAGCGTAATCGATGGTTTCCGTGTCCCGAAGACCTGGTTCTTACAGTCTTTACCCCTCAAGCCACGCATCACCCGCAGTGCTATGGCTTGTGTTGATTGGACTTGAGGATATTGTGGCTGTGTGATATCCCTGTTATTCAAACATGCGGGCGGTCCTGCGGTAGATCTTGGAGATATCCCTGTTTTGCTGTGACGTGATCACGTTAGACCTCACCTTCCCTCGTGGCTTGTATTTTTGTAGAATACATATACTCCTTGCCTTTACCCTACTCTGCTATTCCCAACAACCGCCTGGCAAACACCTCTCCAATTAGACTCCAAAAACTTCAATTTCCACAATCATCATGTCAGGTAAGTTCATCCTCATCCACCCATGTATCATAACACCAGGACCTTGATCCAAAACAACACAGGAGCTCTCAGCGGCGTTACAGACACCGTAGGCAAGACCGGCAAAGGACTTACCGATACCGTCGGCAACACCGTCCAAGGTGCTGGCAAAGGCGCCAGTGATACTGTCAACTCTGCCACCAAGGGTGTCAGTGACAGTACGAAAGGTAAGCAACATGATGATCAGTCCAGAGATGGGAAAGCAAGGGAGAATGTGACACTGATAGGCGTGCAGGTCTGGGGGATACTGCTAAGGGCGCTACTGGTGGTGCAACTGGTGGTTCAGGTGGTGCGGCGGCGGGTGGTGATCCTAATCATCTTGGTCTGTGAGATGGGTTTATGTGTGTGTGATGGTATGAAGATTATGAATTGATATCAAGTCGTTTCTCAGCTCACCACTCGTCGCTTTGACCTGCGTGTCCAGATGTAACATTTTTCTCGCCATCTAGTGATTGGCCGGTGAGAGCGCAACTCTTAGGGACTCTCTGGGGACATTTGTCTGCGTTAAGATCATAAGAAATTCTTCATTGCTTCCTTCCTTCCTTCTCAGACGAGCATCCGTTGATTGTCTGTCAAAATGCAGGTTGGATTTTGGAGTTACGGAAACGTCCAAAGAGAGTACGCAGCAGACTCACTCTCTGTGGACGTTGCCGCGGTTCTTACTACAATTGTGCATTCTTCCATGACATGTCGGTGGTCAACAGGAATTACGGAGCAATGGGTTTGATTGTGCTAGCAGTTGTGTATTGCCTTATTGTCCTCTACTCCTTATCTTCCTCCTCATCAACTTGGTTGGTGCGCATGCTCTATAAGCCCACCAATTTTCTTCTCGGTATAGGCGATTACATGTAGCAGTATGTCTCGATGCAGGGATGACAGGCGCATTGGGCGACATCCTCTAGGACAATCCACACCACGTGCTCACAGAAGCTCTTCATGCTCCTATGGTAGCGGTACTTGGGATGTCCGTAGACATACTTGTCGTTACGGTCAGGGTTTAGGCCCTTGAACAGGGCGAAGTTGTAGGGCGGCTTGCCGATGAACTCGACGCGACCGCAGTCTAGAAGTAACGACTGTTAGATCAAGTTCCCATAGTCAATGAATCATGGAAGAGTGCTTACTAAAGTGTGCCAGATGGGCAGTCTGCGAAGGTTCGTTCATGGTCTTGGTCAGGGCGGCGAGGAATTCGTCGTCGGAAACTTGTTCCAGATCATCAGGGAACTTGTCATTCTCGCCATAGCTGTTGTAGGCGTCGAGGTCGATCTGGCGAACCTCGACCCAGGTAGAGAAGTCGGTGTTCACGGCCATGATGGTGTGGATGGTCGCTTATGGTTGCAGATTGTGGATGCGCTAGCTGGATGGGGAATCGTCGGAAAATTCATCAGAAGGTTTTGCCGAGCGTGGGACAGGCTTAGCTCTTGGCACTTCTCTAGACAAACAACTAAAACATCAAAAATTGCTCTCCAGGCATATGTTGGTCGCTGCCTATAAGATATCGTGGCACTCGGTCGTCTTTTTGAATTAAGGATGTTTGTTTGTCATCAGAATTGGAGCATCTGGCCTCCATATGAGTTGGTCTGCTGCGTGTCTCTCGACACAACACAACAGACAATAGCCAACCTAGAAGCCAAGTGAAACAAGTCAACAAAGTCTTCAACAAACACCGACCCCTATCTTTGGTCGTTCGTCTAGCCGACCTATAACAAGATGGAGTATTGATAACTTGCCCTAATGCTAGGCACTCTGAAAGGTATTCTGTATGAAACTGCCAATGTGTTTCGAAGTCTATGAACAGCACGCTCAGCTTCGGTTCAACATGCGTTGTACCCTAACGGCTGCTATTGACTTTGGCCACTGTCTAGATTAAACACGTTCTTGCGATTAGATGTCCTACTAAGCGATGAAGACATGCATTCCATGCCCTGACCTAGGTTCATATCTTGTCCTCAGTCGCCAGACCACAAGCACTGAGTGTACACACGTTCGTTCTTTCCTATTCGCCCATCTCCAAGATGCTTTCTTCTTTTCTCCATCTGGCGCTGGCCGCCAGTGCTGTTCAGGCCTACACTGTTATTGTGGTTGATCACTTCATGTACAAGAACATCGACCCTATCGTGATGCCCGGGAAATACAAGTCTCATTTGCATGAATTCTTCGGCTCGGATGCCGTCAATGTCAGCACTACTACCTCAGCAGAACTCCAACAAGGTTGCTCTACTGCTCAGAACCCCAATGACTTCTCCGTCTACTGTAAGTTGTAAACCTTCTAATCTTCAACCCAAGGCTAATATCCATCTAGGGACTCCTGCACTACTCGCTGATGTCGGCGGCAAAACTGTACCAGTCAAGCCTATGCGCTTTTCAGCCTACTACATCGGTATCGAAGCCGCCGAAGTCCCCATCCCTCAAAATTACAAGACGATCGCCGGCAATGCTTCCGCCACAGCCCAGGCTCAACTCAACAAACTAGCCGGTGTGCAATGGTTCTGCGAGGGCGATTCAGCTCCTGCAAGCAAGGAAACTGCAGCTTTCCCTACTTCCACCTGCTCCACTCATCTGCAGAATTTGCTCCTCTTCCACGACTGTGTTAACGTGGATACCCTGGAGTCAGCATACTCCGGAACACAAAACTGGGTCAACGGATACAAAGCTGCCAATCGCTGTCCACCTAACATGAAGCGTATGCCTCAATTGCGCTTCTCTATCCGCTATGATCTGCGCAAGGTCCTTGCTACCGGCTGGTCTGGAACTGCTCCTCTGAAACTGGCTTCTGGAAACTCTTTCTCTATGCATGGAGATTTCATCAACGGATGGGTGCCAGAGGCTGCACAGAACATGTTGAAGGCGAACAGCAAGAGAGATTTTGCTGGTGTTGATGGACCGTTGGGCAAATACAATGCTGGAAGTATTTGCAAAGATAAGGCTGAGGATGCTGATCCTAACCATGGTACTGCCGATTATGCCACCAGTGTACAGATGATGAGGGCGGCGTAGAATGATGATAATCGACCCATCTTTAGCCTCTCGCTCCAAGCATCCAGTTCTTACTCCTCCTGATTCAATCTTCCTTCGAGATTCGTTCAGTCTCCTTATTAGCCATATTCTCCCTAGCCCTCTTAATCGACCCCCTCAACCTCTCAGTCCCTAAACTATCCACAAACTCCACCACCTTACTAATCTTCCCTGCTTCCTCTCCCTCCCCTTTCTCGAATTCAAACATGAACACATATTCCCCCTTATACCTCCATTCCTCCCCACCCACCCCCTCATCCATCCCCTCTTCCCAAAACTCCGTCACCGAAGTCGCGTGTATGCTGACTTTATTCCTCCTTTCATCAAACATGACATCACTTGCAGTGACGGGAAAAGAACGCAAAACTTTAGAGAGGGAAGAGATGTGGGAAGCAAAGGCCGAGGAAGATAGAGCAGGCATGTGCATGGAGGAAGGGAGGAAATGGTGGGTGCAGGTGGATGTGCAGAGGGAGGTGAAGAGTTGAGGGTCGAGGGTCGAGAAGGCGGAAATGAAGGCGAGGGCCGTTTGTTCTTGGGGGGTGGACATTGTTGTGGTGCTTAGAGATGCACGGTTGTTATTTGTTTGTTTGTGGTAGGCGATTATGGCAGGCGTTATGTAGGAGACCTGCGTCTGTTGTACTTGAAGTGTGAGCTGTAGTTGAGAAGAGATTGAATCGGAGAAGAGAAAGGGAAGTCGCAGCGTTCATGCATGTATAAGCAATTCGCTACTTCCTTCGGACTTAATAGGCTGAGATTAAGTCCGAAGCCGTCGCGGGACGAGTGTAGAGAGTATCTGCACTTGCGGACAGCACAGAATGATTTAGAGCATTGTGAGATTTGGTGAATCGTTGACTGTGTATGGCCTTTATTACCAGCCTTGAGTGGCTATTTACATGTACGATAGATGGAACAAGAAAACAGAATCTAGCAAACGGGACATCATCATCCAGAAGCATCCAGCAGCGCCAATTTTTGAGGTGACCGATTGATCAAACCTTTATAAAAGACAAAGTCAGAACAACGGAGAAACTTTTTACAGTTCATGTTGGACGGATCGGCGACGAACCTTGCTGCTGCTGGCACTGCTTCCCTCTTCCGGACCAAGACCCTTTGCGACACCAGAGCTGGGCACCTCAGTGACAGACTCGTGCTCGCTGCTTGCATGATCGACCATCTCGTGGGGCTTCCAGAAGTCCTTCTTTCCACTTGCGGCACGGACGAGCCATGGGGGGAAGAGACCGCCGTCCATCTTCCAAGTCCAAGGTTCCTTGAATTGCTTGTCCATGGGAACAATCTTGCCACCAGAAGCCTTCTCGACGAGCCAGACGGTGGTGTTGATGAGGATGTAAGACATGATACCAGCGATAAGACCATAAGCGATGGAGTAGGTGAAAGGCATGATGGCGATGGTGAGGAAAGCGGGAATGGCATCACCCATGTATCTCCAGTTGATGTCAGCAGCTGCCTTGGCCATCAAAGAACCAATGATGACAAGAGTACATCCAGTAGCCCATGGGGGAATGGAGGCAAAGATAGGGGCGAAGAAGACGGAAATGAAGAAGCAGATACCGGTGACCATGGCGGCAATACCAGTCTTACCGCCCTCAGAAATACCAGCACCAGACTCAATGAATGCAGTAACAGGCGAGGTACCGAACAGCGAGCCGATAGAGATACCGACAGCATCGACCAAGTAGGCAGTAGCACTACCCTCGAAGTCCTGAGTCTTCTCATCCATGACACCAGCGAAGCGAGCCATAGCATAGAGAGTACCAGTGCAGTCCAGAATATCGACGTAGAGGAAAGTGATCAGAGCAAGACCGAATTGACCACCGTGGGAGCTGACATCCCATTCTTGAGCAGCAAGAATGTTCTTGATCGGGCGGAAAGTAACGACGTTCTTGAAGAAGTCGAAGTTGCTGTCGCCGAGCTCGGTGTGAGGGAAGTAAGTGACGTCGGTGCCACGAGGCCAGGAGATGATGGAGACGAGCAAGATACCAGCAATGATTGCACCCTTGACGCGGAACATCATGAGGAAGACAGTCAAGAAACCACCGCAGAAGATACCAATCCACATGGTGGGCGATCTCATCTTGTAGCTGGGGTCGCACATCAGGCCATCGTTCTCTGTCAGGTACTGCTGAGAGCATCCAGCAATTTCGAGAGGTGTGCTGGAGGCACCAGTGATAAGACCAATACCAGCGCTGTAACTGAAACCAATGATGGTGAGGTAGAGACCAATACCGACACCTGTAGCAAGCTTGATGGATGCGGGAATGGCGCGAGCAAGCCATTGACGAATACCGAGGATTGTAAGAGCGACGAACAAAAGACCTTCTACGAAGACGGCGGTAAGGGCGATTCTGTAAGGGACAAGACCGGTACCGTTGAAACCAACGACAGTGTAGGTGAAGTATGCGTTGATACCCATACCAGGTGCCAGACCCAGAGGCAGGTTGGCGAACAAACCCATGCAGAACGAGGTCAAGGCAGAGATAGCAGCGGTAGCAGTAACAAGGTCACGACGGATCTCTTGCTTGCAAAGGTTGTACGTGATATCGGTTGCGCAGGCATCGAGAGAGGTAGGAGGGCAGACACAGGTACCGCCGGTATCTGAGACGACGCTCGAGTTGACGGCAATAATGTATGCCATGGCGAAGAAGGTAGCGAGTCCGGCGCGGACTTCGGTGAAGAAGAAGGATCCATTACGCGACATGTGCTGTATGAAGGCTATCAGCTTGAGAGTGTATGCGCACAACCAAGAGTAATGCTAACATGACCAGATCCCTCCAATCTGAAGTACCTGCCAAATGCCGATTGGGCTATGGCCTTGTTGGCTTTGTGTGTCCAACTCATCTTGACTGTGATAATTGAAGCTGAGGAACAAGCCAGCAATAGTGAGCGCGTGCTCCAACAAAGATGTACTCGAAAGAAAAAATGTCTTGCATCACATCAAGGTCGGGTCTGGGTTATTTTTTATTGCTCGGCGCACCATAGCCAAGAGATAACTCTGCCTCACACCACGCGAGCGCTTCGATAAGGGCACACAATAGGGTCCAGAATACGCGGGTCCATCGCAGAAATGGCCGTGAGGAAGCTCTGGAGGCGTCCTTGGTATTCTTGGCTGGTCTTGGGAAACGGCTCCTCAGCCTTTTTTCAGCAAGATACAGCGTGAGACCTCGCCTACTGACTGTTTCGGTTGGTCATGTCAGATAGGCGCCACGAAGGAATGTCAGCAAAACATAGGTGCGACCCTGAAGGAGCAGGTGTGACTCGAATTCATGAACGATCTTTGGTAAATTGTTTTTCGTTGTGCTCAATGTTGTTTGTGCGCGATTGCGCCAAGGAAGGATGAGCTCCACTGACTCGCTTGGTTGCTGGGTGGTTGGGGGACCACGGCCAGACGAAAAGAACACCTCCATGACCATCTTCCTAGTGGTATACCACTTTATAGCAGGTGTTGATGTCTGCAGGTAGTAACTGACGTCTGTTTGACCCCGCAATCGACTAGTATCGCCATCTGGTGAACTGGGTTCGTCGACATCTCCGTGCGAGGTGGAGCCCCAAGGTGTTTCGGCGGCCTCCGATGATGCTTATCACAACCTCAAGCTCTACAGGACCGCCACAAGGTCCTCTATCTCTCTTGGACAGCTACAACATCATCCTGGGCATACTTGACTTTATGGAAGTCCTTGGCTCCCCTTGCCTTATCAGTTGCTGTTGTTTTTGGTGATCGGAGACGGCCGGCCGCTTAGGAGGACCCCTTGATACAGACATTCCGGAAGAGTACAATGCCCAGCAATGTTTCTGCGAGGTAGATCTTGTAGAAGATCAACCCAAAGAAAGAACAGGGGAAGCGAAATGAGCATAGGTCAGAGAATAGTAAGCAGAGAACGTACTGTATGGATCAGGAATTCTTTGAGAGAGAGTAGGTAAATCTTTGGGTTGGTCACTTCAGCAACCATTGTCTTTCGAGGCTCTCCGTAGACGTGTGTCTGGATGCCAAACACTTCTTACCTTTTGATAGCTAGTTTTGACGGGCTTCTGACAGGCTGGGATAATGTTAAAGAGAGCTGATCTCATTGTAGTGAGACTCTATCTCATACTTGGTTGAGAACAGGATACGCAGTCGAGCAACAACCTAGAGCGTGAGGCATGGAGCGCAAGTAATAGATCCAGTATGTGGTGTTACAAAAGATCTGCCAATTCACATAGCCAGCAGAACTCGGTTATTCGTGTAGCCAGATAAGCTCATCACCATCCAGTTCTAATTTTCATGGTGTCGTCGGCAAGCGAAGAGTTTGCATGCGTTGGGCACTCGAAATTGACCAACAGAGAGATTTTGTTTAGGCGATTGGAAAGCCATGCACTGGTCTTGATAGCACAGTTGAGTCGCGTTGGTACGTTGGTTGAGAAGACTCTGCTGCTTGTGGTGCCGAGTTGAGAATCGGAAAGCAGAGTTCGACACGTCTTTCGGATGACTAGCATCGATGCCGATTATGTCTTCCATTGCTCTCTATGGTGAAAAGTATAACAGAGGACTCAGTGCATCTTGCCATTGTATAATCTGGTCGGGGAAACGGATTTTTCTCTCGGGAATGGTATTCGGTCACGCTGTATGCAGTCAGAGTTTCAAGAAGAGACGGAGACTCAAATTTCTGGAGAGGACATCGGGCCGAAGAGGCCGCTGTGGTCTGAAGGACAGCAAGTAGGCTTTGGCGGGTTGTACCTGCACTAAACAGCATCACGATACGCTAGGGTGGTCGGTGGCAGCCATATGACAGAGCTTGCTTCACTTGATCAATTGGGACTATGTGGGCGGCAACATTCTTTCTTAAGCCTCAGGATGTTGATAGTTCTTTTGTGGTCGGAAATGCAAGGTAAGGATAGTCGAGACAGGAGATACAAGACAAATTGGAAGGTATTTTGAGAGTGATGATATAGATTCATAGGTATATAGATGTCAAGCCGTGATATTACTGACTGTATCATGAAAATAGCGCCTACTAAGCATGTTGTTAGCGATGATTCCAAGCATGCTTGATCTCAAAGTGAATAAGAGTGGTTTCCCATAAAGGATCAGAGAGCAAAAGGGCAGAATATCTTTGTCGACATGAATACATTCCGTAAGACTAATCGTAAAACATTCGTTCATCAGGTGGAAAGGGGGTTTTGTGAGGTGGGAGAGTTGCGCAAAAGCTTACCTGTATTGTTGGTGCCCGTCTCTTCCATTTCGTATGTAGAGACAGGCACAGCGCAAAGCGCGATGTTGTTGTGTTGTGATGTTGAGAAAGGAAGAGGAAGAAAGTCGAAGTTGAAGAAATTGCTTGTAGGCAGGCTTTGCGCACGGCTCGCCAAGCGCATGTTGTTGCGTTGCGCGACAGGTCACGTGTCGACCTCGGCTCCGACAGAGTGAATGGCGATCAGCCACGTCTGTTGGTCTGTTGGTCTTTTCCCAGTTCCAAAGGCGGAGCAATCCTCCAAATCAACCCCTTCCATTGCGGCGGCAAACAAATAATAATATATCCGTTACCCGCAAGTCGCGCCGCATACGATGGCTTCATCTAATGGTCCGATGAATTCCCCCTTTGAACAGGTTCCGAAGGTTGTCAATAAGAAGAATTACTACACGTTCGTCTCACCTCTTTTCCTATGCCCAAACGCCCAACCTATCTAGCTACAATCTGCGCCCACTAAAGAAGCGCTCGCGTCCATCCTGCATCCCTTTCCTGTCATTCTACATTGCTTTGTCCAAATAACATGATCCAATGCCCAAAGGAATCTATGAACGGCATGAGCGGTCGCACGGGTACCATAGTCTAATCTCTTGTTGAATAACCTGACTGACTCTTTCTCCCTACCAATAGTGACTTCTTGAAGCGCGATGAGCAATTCCTCGCATTCCGCCTACAAGGCGAAGAGAACCGCAATCGCATGATCAAAGCCGCGCGTGATAAGGACCGTGCAATGGCTCAGGCGGCTTCAAATGGTGTCTCTGCTGACGCGGCTCAAGCTGAGTTGGACGAGGATGCTGCTGTCGATGAAGCCGCTGAAGCTGAAGCCTTTGGCTCCAAGACGATTGTCATCCACCCTGGCAGTCGCAATCTTCGCATTGGCCTTGCGACAGACGCCTTGCCCAAGACTATCCCTATGGTCATCGCACGCAAGTCATCGCATGCAGAAGACGAGGAGCCTGGTGCCGAGCCCAGACCGAAAAGAGTTAAACTTCAAGATGGCAGTGCAGCAGAGCCTTCAGGTGAGAGCGCATTTGGTGACGAAGTATGTTAATCAGAAATGATGGTGTCTTGACCAAAATTGACATGACACAGTTCGCAAAGGAGTACATGAACATGGCTGCCGACTTCAAAATCTACCGACGCAACAACAAGCGTCGTGTCTTGCCCAACTCGCGCGAATTGGTTGTTAACTGGAACTCACGCAATGCCCCAGAAACAATTTCTGAGCACAACGATCCCCAGCGTGTGGACTGGACAGAGATTGAATCACCGGCACCGGAGTATCTTACTGGACATGCGGCAATGAGAATACCACAACACTCCAAACCGCGCTACCGCCTTTACTGGCCTCTCAGATATGGTTGGCTCAACGAGCAGGACTACTCCAGCAAGTCTGTACTACTACGTGACTTCTTCCGCATCATCGAAGAAGCCATTAAGAACGAGCTCCACCTGGATCGCAAGCGAGACTGGGCTCAGTACTCATGCGTGTTTGTGATTCCGGACTTGTATGAGAAGGTGTTCGTGACCTCTATCTTGGAGGACTTGTTTAGAGATTTTGGCTTCCAACGGGTCTGCTTCATTCAAGAAAGTCTGGCAGCGACTTTTGGAGCCGGATACTCAAGCAGTTGTATTGTCGATGTAGGTGCGCAAAAGACATCTATCTGCTGTGTTGAAGAAGGCATGTGTGTCGAAAACTCGCGGATCAACCTCAAGTTTGGTGGAGAAGACGTCACAGAGACTTTCATCAAGATGATGCTTTTCGACCATTTTAACTACGCTAACATGGACCTTCTAAAGAGACATGATTATTTGCTTGCAGAGGAGCTCAAGCAGAAGTTCTGCACGCTCGAAGATGCACATATCAGTGTCCAGCTTTACGAGTTTCATCTGCGCGCTTTCGGTCAGGATACTCGCAAATACCAGTTCAAGACGTATGACGAAGTGATGCTGGCACCGATGGTAAGTTTGTTTCAACCGCCTCGCTTTGTTATACTAACATGGTGCAGGGCTTCTTCCGACCAACAATCTTTGATAATGCCGACAAACTTCTAGGCAGGCGCAAGCTTATTGGACGATCCACTGACACATATGATGACAAACCCAACGATCCCATGTCGCTCGCTCAACTACAGGTCTACAAATACTCATCCGTCAATGTGCCCTCGGGGGTAGCAGATTCGACGTCGACACCTGCACCTGGTGGAGTACCTGCAACACCTAGCAAGCCACTGAACCTTGACCGCTTGGCGCACCTCGCCGAGGTGGCTGATAGCACGCCACGCTCTTCTCCGGCAGGTTCGCCTGCTCCTGAGGACACTGCAACACCAGCACCTGGAGCTGGAGACGCTACCCCGGCTGTGGCAGGTGCTGCCATCGAAGGTGCTCAGCCCGAGACCGAAGGTGTTCTGCCTCTTATGCCACTGGATCAGGCAATTGTTGCTTGTATCACTGAAGGCGCCAAAGGAGACGAAAAGAAGACGCGCGACTTTTTCGGTGGTATCATGGTTATCGGTGGTGGCAGCAAAACTTACAACTTCAATGTCTACCTTGAGCAGAGACTTCGCGCATTACAGCCGAACTTCCAAAAGGAGATTCTTGTTGGACCTCCTCCCAGAGAGTTGGATCCTCAAGTTTTGGTCTGGAAGGGTGGTAGTGTGTTTGGCAAGATGAGAGGCACAAACGACAGCTGGATCGGACAATTGGAGTTCGACAGACTCGGTGCTAGAATTCTGAACCAGAAGTGTATGTGGGCATACTAGTGGACGTCAAATGATTCAGTCATGGAGACATTCGATTAGACCTCAAAGAAGACACAATTTTTTACTCAGTTCTTCGATACCACAATCGAGCATCCGCAGCTACCTCCACAAGGGGTCTTGAATGGGGCAAAAATAGGTGCGGCTATGTATGGTGCCCGGCATCCTTGAAAATACAGCTGTGCAAATTCAGCATGGTTTCAGAGATAGCGACACATCCAGATCGACGTATATCCTGGTCCCGCTAGTACCTTCATTAATACACGTATCTGATCGCTCACTTGCTTCACCTGTGCTTTCCGATATCGAAATTGGAGAGCTTGTTTGGTTGTTCAGTTGATAAAGTAGTCCAGGATCAGGGTCACACAACTGGCAAGTGCGATCGACAAGCGGAGATAAGAGCCGCTTTGCCGACGCGTAACATGCACCTAAGCTGTTGGTCATTCCTTCTCCGTCTTTTCTTGCCTGTCATTTGTCATTTGTCCGCTGCTGTCATCTTGTCATCATCACAGCAGAACGTCGCAACCAGACAGTCGACCGTCAAGAGACTGAAAATGACAGCAGGAGCAGTCCTGGTCTCTACAAGTTGTGAGTGAAGAGTTGCATGTCATTCCCGCCGCACAACACGGCGGGCAAGAAACCGAGACCGCGGCAGGCTTCATCCTCTTCTTGGGCACGATCGGTTAAACTCCCACGCCGTTCACGGTCCAGGCCCAAAGGCAAATGCATATCCCTGGCCCGAGCTCTGCGATCGTGATTGAGTCGATGGTCTTTTGAGCTCGCGGATGGGATTTGGTCCACTCAACGACCACAATGCCATTCGAGAGCAGCGCATAAGCCACCACCGTCGACCACCGACATCACTCACGACAAGGCCATGGCGCCTCCCCATACGCCTTACACGGCCAAACACGATGGCGAACTCGAAGGCGCAAGAGCGCGCGAGTTCTACAAATACTATGAGCCCTACGACAACCTCATGCGAACAAGCAATGAGAAAGTCAACGCAGACCCCGATGGCTCAATGTGTTCATTTGACGATGCGCTAGGTGCTTTTGCCCAATTCATCTGTCTTCGCTTGAACGTACATCGCTGCCTTATCTCATGCTTCGATCGCAACCATCAATACGTCCTGGCCGAAGCCACTCGCACCCTCGACTTGGAGTCGCATACTGCAAAAGAGGAGAAAGACAGACTATGGCTGGGCGCGGGTATCTTGGACCGACAATCGATGCTGTGTGAGCGCACGCTCGAATTGGCAGAGAAAAAGCAACACTCTGGCCACGATCGTGTTGTCGTGTTTCCTGATGTCGCCCAGGATGACTGGTACAAGAATCAACAACCACCTGTCAGGATGCCAGAAGGCGTGCGTTTTTATGCCGGTACTGCCATTCGCAGTTACGTTGGCCCTGTCATTGGTGTTATCTCTATCATGGATGAGAACCCACGCGTCGACCTCTCAGATGCGGACCGCTCGTTCCTCAAGTACATGGCTGATACTATCATGTCACACTTGGATATGGTACGCTCAAAAGAGGAACATCGTCGCACATCTCAAATGGTAATTGGCCTTGGTTCCTACGTCGAGGGCAAGGCTAGCGTCGACGAAGACCTACACAATCGCGTTATCAACGCTGCTCACGAGATCGACCGAAACAAAGCTCCCGGAGAAACTCCTGATGTCGCTGTGAATAGGCCACCTGAGATTGCTGTCTCAGGAACCACATCTTTTCCAGCCTCTCAGGCCGATAAAGACAGGGACGTCAGCCAGCCTCCGTCTGAGAATCTCCAAAACTCGATGCTTTCTGATGATGTCAAGTCTACGTTCCACCGTGCCGCATCTATCATCAAGGATGCAATTGACGTTGACGGCGTTGTCTTTCTCGATGCTTCTGTAGGGAGTTATGGTGGCCTTGTTCAATCCGTGCCAGCCCACGAAGATGCCTCCAATTCGTATTTCGCTCGCTCCGCCGCTTCGAAGAAGGATTGTCATATCCTGGCGTGCGTCGGTCGGCTTCAGCCAGATTTCCGCATGACAGAGAGATTCTTGCACTCGCTCTTGACTCGCTATGCACCAGGAAGAATTTTCAACATCGACCAGAAGGAACCCACCGTTTCTATGACGCATCCACAATCCCCAAACCAGCCTGAGGACTTTGAACAACAAGTCGTTCCCGAAGAAGCACAGCACTCTGATCCCGAAACACGCGAGGAAGTACGTAGACAGAGACAAAGCGACTTGGACAACCTGAGACGTTTATTTCCAGAAGCTTGTTCGTTGGCCTTTCTCCCCATGTGGGATGACCATAGGATGCGTTGGTTTGCAGGAGGTCTTGCATTTTCGAATCGAAAAATACGACTTCTGCACAAAGATTCCGAGCTGAGCTTCTTGCGCGCTTTTGGAATCTCTATCATGTCTGAGGTCGCCAAACTTGACTCGGCCATGGCAGACAGGGCCAAGTCTGATCTTCTCAACAGTATCAGTCACGAACTACGAAGTCCTCTACATGGCATTCTTGGTAGTATTGAATGCTTGGAGTCGTCCAGTCTTGATACATTGCAACGAGGCCTTGTTGAGACAGTTGATGTATGCGGAAGAACGCTCTTGGACACGATTGAGCATCTGCTTGACTTTAGTAAGATCAACAACTTTACGCGGAACAAGGCGAAACAGCAGATTGAGTCGGACGAAAACAAGGTCAACATGCTCAGCCTCAACGCTCGTAATCATCTACCGACAATCATTGAGGAGGCTATAGAGACTGTTTACGCAGGGCATTCATCCTATGCACCTTCTCATAGAAGCCCCGACAGTGATCAACATTCTTCATCCAAGGATTTAGAGAAGCACAACGTGCAGCTCATCGTCGAAATCGATGCGAAGGAGTATGGAGATTGGTTGTTCAGTACTGAAGGAGGTGCCTGGAGACGCATGGTCATGAACTTAGTAAGTCATCACAACGTGAAATCAGGGTCATGTAGATCACGATAGCTCCATTTCACTGTTCATTTTGTTTCCCAGCAGCTCACTAACCATTGATCACAGACTGGCAATAGTCTAAAATATACGAAAGATGGCCACGTCCACGTACATCTTCAAGCGGAAGATGTACCAAGGGATAGCGATGGCCTCGACAGAAGTCGCATAACATTGACGATAAACGACACTGGACGCGGAATCTCCAAGGAGTATCTCCAAAACCATCTTTTCCGACCCTTTGCGCAAGAAGATCCACTTCAGTCAGGCGCGGGGTTGGGGCTATCGATGGTGCAACAAATCGTCAAGAACATGGGTGGAGAGGTCTATGTGGAGTCGGAGCTTGACAAGGGAACCGAGGTTCGGATAGAAGTCATCATGCTGAAAGCATCTTCTTCTGCAGTCGACGCTGGAGCAGCTTCACCAATGTCCGAGGCGAGGGAAGACCTTCGAGGATTGAAGGCAGTTTATATTGACCCGCCTACTACACCCACTGGAGAATCTCCCACTCAGCGATCGTTCCGAAAAGTGCTCGACAGGCAATGCTGGAATTGGTTCAAGATGGAATTCGAAACCGTCAGCAGCGTGGATGAGGTCAAGAATGCCGAATTTGTGATCACAGCTTCTCGCAACTTACCCGAGATGAAGGACCGAATGATCGAAATAGACAAACCGGCCATCATATTCTGCGAGAACAGTCCAGGAATTCGGCAGGCATATGCGGATTCCGAGACCCTTAGACAAGCTGTCGCCACCAACTTTATCGCACAACCTTTCGGTCCACGCAAATTGGCAAACGCCCTGGTACTGTGCAAGAAGCAACGCGGACAGGTCCTCGAGAATATCACCATTCAGCGAGATACTGACCTCTTCACATGTCCTGTGCCACAGCGCGACAAGCAAAAGTCAACTGGAGAATCCACATCTCAAGCTGCAAGCGCACCAAGACCAGCGCCAGAATCAAAGGCAAACGGCAGCAATGCCAACGAGAAAGCTAGCACCGAAGCAGGGCAAGATGGTCCGAAACCACTGCGACTACTCCTTGTCGATGACAACAAGATCAACCTCCAACTACTCGTGCGCTACTGCAAATCCAAGAAGCACGACTATGTTACTGCAGAAGACGGTGTTGAGGCCGTAGAGGCATTTGCGTCACATCAGACTGACTCAACACTGAAGTTCGACTTTGTCTGTATGGACATCTCGATGCCGCGAATGGATGGTCTGGAGGCAACGAGAAGGATACGTTCATTTGAACATAGCAATGAGTTGACGGCTTGCAAAGTGCTCGCCCTGACTGGACTAGCGAGTGCAGAGGCACAGCAAGAAGCCTTTTCTAGCGGAGTTGATCAGTTCATGACCAAACCTGTGCGACTGAAAGAGCTCGGCGAGGTATTGAGCGGAGCTCGTCGGTAATGATCTGATCGGTTTCGCGACTTGATACATTATGTTCAAATCAGTTATCGCCCACGACCTTTCTACTCATGATCATGTGGTACGAAAAGGCACAAACGGTTGGTTTGATACGTTGGTTTGATGACCGATTTTACGAGGCACACGTATACCCAAGCAATTGGACGGGTTCAGGAGAATATAAGGTGTGATGATGGACGGGTTTATACGGAGGAGGAAAGGAAATGGCAAACACAACGACGGGGAGGTTTTAGACTTGGCGGCCCAGCCCTGTCATCGGTACATCAGCAGGTCGACCGAAATAAGACGAGGGCATTCAAATTTAATCTATGTGATGTGATGGTGATTGCGAAAGAAGCAACGAAATAGAAGCGAAATTGACGATCGAAATATTGAATTCGCAAGACAAGAAGAGATGTGGGTTTTGTCGATAGCATCGTAGAAGAAGCGATTGTTATTCTGTTTACTTTTGACAAGGCGTGGTTGGTTGCGGGAGCAGCCGCTCAAAGGTGGAAGCCCCTCCAGACGGGAACGAGGGGAGGACCAAAGAAAGGTGTTTGGGAAGTTGGACGGGAAATTCAATTGATTGGACTTGGCGCGTCGAGTGGAAATTGCAGACGGAAAGCACTTGGGAACGTCACTTTTTAGGTTCCCGAAGTGTTTCAGTTCGGTTTGCGAAGTAGGAGCTGCTGTGTGTTGGAAGCAAGATTGAAGAGATCGGATGTTTTGATGTTGGTCGTGCACTGGTGGTGCTTCGAGTGTTTGCAAGAGCTTCTGACGTTTTCCGTCACTTCTGCAACAATTCTTTGCAGCTTCTTTCCTTCTCCAACTGCTTGGTCCGGATGCTGTTCCAACACGAGCAAAGTCAAAAGCGCTTATACGAAACACAACATGAGTCGAAGTTCCCCTGATACAGACGAAGCATGAACCGAACGATAGCACCTTCGGCGTCCATCAACGCTGTCCTCGCCAACCAACACTATCGCTCTGAAAGAGAAGGATCCGCATCCAACCCCGATTCTCCCGTATCTCCCTCGCAACCCACGACGCCGCAATTCTCATGGCCCAGACGAGTCCGCAGTCCTGAACCCCATCTTCCACTGCGCAAGGCCTCGCCCGAGCGACTAAGGCAGAGAATGCCTAGCCTGTCTACCCAGAAGACGAGACAAAAGCCTGCGCCGCTGTTCATCACCACAAATGGGGGCAGGGAGGCTTTGGGGCCTGCAACAACTGGCAGTGTAGCCCCGCCGCACAGCTCGAGGGTCAATGTCAAGAGCAACAAATGGTGGGAAGACACCGATGACGAGAGCCCTGCCCGTCAACGCAACTTCTCCGCCGTGGAACCTCGCTCTCGACCGCGTGAGTTGTCGATCGCTGATGCCACACTCAAGCGACAGGGCAGCTGGCCATTGGAGGATCACACTGCCTCGATTCCCTTACCCGAAATGGATCGAAACGAGACTCGCACCAGCTACCGCTCGCAAATGACGTCCACCAGCAGCCACATGGATTCAACAACTGGCACGACACGTAGCAGCGTTGCAACAGCAGATAGCTCAGTCTCGGACTGTGTCAAGATCGACTATGTTGACGAAGAGGAGGATGAGGAAGCCATGGCTAGATACGAAGATGAGTTGCTGGACATGTACATTGCCGGCTTCAGCACTCCTGTAAATCTCAGTGTTGACTTGCGCGAATCAATGCGAAAGTCGATGCGTCTGAGCATGGCCAACTCTCGTACAAACAGCTTCCTGCACGCTCCGAAGAGCAGCGTCGATACTCTGGGTGTCCGTCCCGGCACGTCACCATCCACGAGCGAAGTGGGCAGCTCTCACAGACGCAGTCACTCTGCTAGTGTCATTGATCGCAAGAGCATTCTCGCAGATGCCAATCTCACAATCTTCGACAGGAACAACAAGCCTTCGTTATCGCACAGCCGAACATCGACGCAGATCCTCAGTGGTCGCGAACTACCGCCATTAGACCTACCAGTCGACCCGATTACCGTCGAACCTCCCTCTGTCACATCACCCATCATCGAATCTCCAATCAGCAGCAGCATCCCGCTACCTCCCTCGAAACCCGTACCTCGCGACCGCTACGGCTTCAAAAAGACCTCGTTACATATAGCCGTCGAAGACTACGATGCCTGGGAAAAGGAATACAATGTCCATCTTGAGCGAAGGCGGGCCAAGTGGAACGTCCTGATGAGACAATTCGGCTACACGACAGAGAACCCTACACGTTTCCCGACAAAGTCTGAGAAAATCAAGAGATATGTACGCAAGGGTATTCCGCCAGACTGGCGAGGCGCTGCCTGGTTCTGGTATGCTGGAGGTCCGAAGAAGTTGGCCGAGGATCCTGGATTGTACTGGAACCTGCTCAAGCAGGTCAATCAGGGTGCTTTGAGCGACAACGACCGCGAACACATTGAGCGCGATCTCAATCGTACGTTCCCGGACAACGATCGTTTCAAGCCCGACAATCGACCCACAACCTCAGAGCAAAGTCGCGGCATTGGCGAGACCGAGAACGAGACGTCCATGATCAAGGCTCTGCGACGGATATTACAAGCCTTTGCCGTACACAACCCGAACATCGGATATTGCCAAAGCCTCAACTTCATCGCCGGCCTCCTCCTGCTTTTCCTCAACGAGGACGAGGAAAAGGCCTTTGTCTTGCTAAATGTTGTGACCAACGAGCATCTTCCCGGCACCCATGGTGTCGCCCTCGAAGGAGCAAACATCGACATCGCCGTGCTCATGACCTCGATCAAAGAATCTCTCCCCACCATCTGGGCAAAACTAGACGATAAACCCGGCACGCCTGCTGCTGGAGCACCTACCCGTCTCCCTACTGTCAGCTTGGCAACAACAGCATGGTTCATGTCCCTCTTCGTTGGCACCTTGCCCATCGAATGCGTCTTGAGAGTTTGGGACTGCCTCTTCTTCGAAGGTTCCAAGACCCTTTTCCGTGTCGCCCTAGCCATCTTCAAATCTGGCGAACACGACATCAAAGCTGTTTCTGATCCCATGGAGATCTTCCAGCTTGTCCAAACAATGCCTAGGGGTATGTTGGACGCTAATGCGCTTATGGAGACTTGTTTCCGCAAGCGAGGTGGCTTTGGAGGATTGAGTCAGGATGTTGTTGAGAAGAGAAGGGAGGAAGGCAGAGTGGCTACACGTGCTGGCAGGACGTTGACCGCTGGCCCGGAACTCAGGGGTAGAGGTGAGGATGGAAGAAGAAGTTTCATGAGAGCGAAGAGTAAGACCAGATTTTCGAGACGGCAGACCAAGGGGGCGTGAGATTGGACCTCATTGACAGGCTTTTTTTGTGGATAATGTCTTTTTTTCTTTCCTGTCTTGTTTTCGACTTTGATGGACTCTTTGAGAGTTTGGCATGGTGTTGTTGGCGTGACGGGCTCTTTACTTCTCTGTTGGGCAAGCGACTCGAGCATGCCTGTTGCTCCGCATACATTCTTCTTCTTCTTCATTACATAACTCCTTTTTCTTGAACTGATGTTTTGACCCTACAAGCTCTTTTCTCTCTTCCTTTGTTCCTCATTATTCTTTTGGTACTCCCAACAACACTTCCATACGTGCAACATCGCTCCCCTCCCCTTTTTTTCTTCTTCCATCTGATTTTAACACATCAAGAAAACCATGCAATATTTGCGGCACATGTGCATTTGCTGTGCAACTCGAATCTCTTTTTCGTCACCGAATCAAATCTTGCTCAAAAAAATCCCCCCTATACCTATAACCAGCCCAGATTGATGAATCACCAATACCACGAAGCATGAAAAAAAATTTCAAACATAAAGTTGCTCAAATATGCGGTTTGATGATGGAGGCAGAGATTTTCCTTGTCGAGAGTCAGTTGGTTCGTCGTCTTCTTTGTGGGTATAAAAGGCAGATGTATTCCTGCTTTTTGGGTCTTTCCTTTTTCTTCATACATACGGATCAAAAACCACAAAAGATCACGAAAGGGAACAAAAAATTTAATCTTCCAAGAGCAAAAAGCTTCCAAACTCACCAATATACCTTCAACTTCAACGATCTCATCGCACAATGAAACTCACACTTTTCACCACTCTGGCCTTCGCTGTCGCCGCCCTCGCCACAGTGAACCCCGACACTTTCGCCACGGCTACGAGAGTGGGAAGTGTGGAAATGCGCACTGCACGCACTTCTACACCCACTGCCACGTTTGCTGCTCCTGAAATTACGGCTAGAGCTGTTATTGGAGATCCGGTGTCTACTGGAAAGGGAGATAAGGAGACCAAGGGCAAGGATACCAGGGTTATCAGGAGTTATTCGGGGTGGAATTACAGTTGTTCTGGTCCGGATTGTTGAGATGAGGATGCTTGGAAAAGACGCAATGCTTGGAGGGATGAAGGGTGTAGGAGTGTCGGATGGATGATGGGGTTATGGGGTTATGGGGTTGAAAGATTGGTGTGGAGGGTGGGAAGATTTTGGTTGTCGTCTGAGATTGGGAGGTGCATGGATTACTGGACATGTGCTGGTCTTTATGAAAGTTTGTCGATTCTGATAGATATAAACATGAAATCAGTAGGGTCTGTTACCGAAAGCAGTATAATTGTACTTGGTATTCCTTACAAAAGCTCCTCGAGTGCCTTCGCCATATCACTCATCGATCTTGTCTTCCTCAACGGCGCCTTGACAGCAGTCTTGTCCTTACTCAAACTCTTCAAGAATTTCTCTCTGTTCCCTCCGACCAAATTCAAATGCTCAGCTACAGTCGTAGCAGGCGTCTGCGCTAACCACTGCTCAGTGCTGAAATCCTCAAATTTCGCAGCTTTGAACATTTCCAACATCTCCACTGGCTCGTCTCCGATATTCTCGACATAGTGGGCGTTGTTTTTGGGCACGATACCTACATCGCCGGCTTGATAGTTGAACGTGCGTGCATTGCCTGAAGCTGCGAAGATTGTGATTCTGGCACGGCCGCGGAGGAAAAATGACCATTCATCTGCGTTTGGGTGCCAGTGCATTTCACGGAGACAGCCTGGGTTTATGATGACGTGTGCTGCGGCGGTGGTTTTGGAGACGGGGAAGTTGGATGTATCTGTTATGCGAACCTCGCCGCCTGGGAACTTTTTGGGTTCTTGCTTGAGCATGCGGTGGGTGAAGCGGTGTTTTGATCTGGTGACTTTCTTGCGGTCGTCTTCGAGTGAACCAGGAATGGTGCCTTGGAAGATGTATTTCTCTTTTTCGGACAGGGAGTTGAACACTTCTTCGTCGACACGGAAGTTCTTGGCCAAGATGGACTTTGGAGTACGAGCGATGTAGTCGGTAAGTAGGAACGTGCTGTCTTCGGAGAAACTGCCATCGTCAAAGATCAATAGGAACTCCACGCCTTCCTTTCCTGTGCCTTGGATACCGTGAGGGAAGCCGGTAGGGAAATACCAGAGGTCGCCTTCTTCAAGATCATCGATGTATGAGCCACCTTCGAGATCGAGGACGCTGATGCGGCATTGGCCTTTAATGATGTACGCCCATTCTGATTCATTGTGCCAGTGGAGTTCGCGGTAGACGCCAGGACCGAGACGCATGTTGACGCCAGCGAGCTCCTTGGAAGTCGGAAGTTCGCGGACGGTAGTCTCTCTCGCCCAGCCTCCTTCTTCGAGACGTACGTGTGAGTCGGTGAATGACCTGTCTTGTTGAGCTCCTGGTCATTGGTATGGGGTATTTCTCATCGCTCACCACTTCATGTTCGGCATCTTTCCATGATCGGTGTCAGGTGGGCATACGGTATCTGGCTCCTGACGCATACGATCCGGGTTCTGAGGTCCGAGGATATCATTGCCTTTCCTGCCACGTTTGGGTACGGGACTGATCGCAAACATTAGCAAAGGCAACGTAGACATAGAATTGAATTAGACCGAGCTCTCGGCTTGTTCAAACGCCTTTCTGACCAGCTAACAAAAGGCGAAATGTTGCTCGTGTCGGTGTGACTATCCAAGGAGAGTATGTATCAATGGCTCCCTCAATGGTGACATTTTGAACAGAAAAAGACTAAGGCCTTTCGACGGCCTGCTTGACACCTCGCTCAGGGGAAGAGAGAAAGAGGGCAAGCGACAAGTTGTGCACTCACATTGATTCCTCATCTTTGTTTGCGTTGTCATATGCATCAAGGGCTTCAAGCAGCTTAAGGCTAGCAGCTCGTCTTTCCTCGAGGACGCTCTTTGGAAATTTGGTCATTGTTGGTGGTAGTGTTGATTGGGTCGTGAAAGGAACAAGATTGAGGATGTGGGATGTTCTTAAAAGAGCAGAGTCAATGACCCGATAGTCCGTAATGCTGTCAACAATCTGGCGGCTATTGGTCTGTTATGGGGTACGTCATAAAACCTGCGGGGAAGCCGCGAGGGCATGTTCGGGGTCAAGTTCCGTTCTTGACAGCTTCTCCTTCCATTCTTCTCGAGATCAACACCGAAAGGCCATCATCCAGCTGTTGCAACGGCCTCTCAAGCGTATTTCGAGCAGCTGCAGTACACAGAGCTGCATCAACCAAACTGCATGGGAAGCGTGTCACCTCTAGAGAGCGTCTTGTCGTGGCATCGCTGGATCCCATTCTACCTACAAATCTCCATCAGTCGAGCTCCCTGGAGTACAGGCTCAACGCGTCAGCTCTTGGTAGGGCTATGAGTTTTTGCAAGGACGACAAGGCCTACTAAGTGTGTTATACGAGAATTTTCTTGATTTTGAGATACCATCAAGGTAGGCAAAGCCGGCTGGAACGGATCATGAAGCACAAGTCTCGACTTGAGAACAAGGGCTTAGTGATGTTTCGTCGCACAAGTCTGCTCCATGGACATGACGAGCTCATTTCTTGGTGTTGCACTGCATACATACAACCTAATTTTGTGTGTCCGTGAGAGTGGTTGGTACCTTGCAGATTTTCTGTTCTCCAAGCATTGTCCTGCCGGCATCCGAGGCTTGACTCGACAATGATGACGACAGCGCATTTTGTGCACAGACTCTAAATTATCCTCTGCCAACATCAATGACCGCTGTACTTTCAGTTTCTTGTGTATACAGCAAAAATGCCGGACGTCGAGGATAATCAGGAATTGGAACAGAGCAAACTGAGCTCATTGCGGGACCACTTTGACGCAGAACTTACAGAATCATGGGCCGACTCGGTACTCATCGTCAGTAGCTTCATCACCGGGCTCTTGGACTCGGCGGTATTCAACGTATGGTCATGCTTCGTGTCGATGCAGACAGGTAAGATACTTTACCCTTATCGCATGATTTTTTTGACCAACATTGATAGGCAACACGCTCTATCTCGGCCTCGGTGTTTCTGGTCAACCCAAAAGTTCACCATGGCGATGGGCAAAATCTGGCATGTCCATCATCTCATTCGTGGTCGGAGCATTCATCTTCAGTCGATTCATGAGATGGCTTGGACCCCTTCGTCGAAGCACAATGGTCTACTCATGGCTGATCCAGGCTGTTTTGATATACATTTGCGCTGCACTAGAAGACACTGGAGTTGTGCCCAATGATGCAGGCGACAATTTGCCCAACAGCTTCATCGTTCTCCTGCCTTTAAGTTTGCTATCCATCCAGTCTGCCGGACAGATGGCCATGTCCAGAATCCTTGGCTACGGAGAAGTCACCAGTGTCGTCCTTACGAGCGCATACTTCGATCTGGTTTTCGACAACGAAGTCTTCACAGCAGCACCGACTCGCAACGTCAAGCGCAACCGCAGGATCGGAAGCATGGTTATGGTGGTTTTAGGCGCAATTGCCGGCGGCTTTTTGACCCAGGACGAGGATATCTCCAAGGTCCTATGGTTCGCCGGTTCGCTCAAAGTGGCTATCGCTATCTTGTGGGTCTTCTGGAAGTCCAAGGGATCTGTCAGACTCGAGTAGTTGATTGTAGAGAACAAGTCCACGTGGAAGACGAGCGGAAGATTTGCTGACAGGCGCCATCTTGGTACGAAATTGGCAATGACGCTTGTTATCCTCCGGCCCGATATATTCCCAAAGACTAAATAGCAAGATGGGAACACAAAGAACATGTGCCCTAATCATTGATCACTCAGCGTCTGCTGGTATCCTATCGTGTCGTGTTCGAGAAGTCAGTCTTGGTCGAATCTTAAGTATCCGCATGTGGCTGTTGATTGCTGCAAAATCTGGCGACGGACTGAGCAGGTGGAGTGGAAGAGATGGTATAAGCGTTGGCTTGTTAAATCTACTGCAATCAATCGCAAAAGCGAGTGCCCAGCATGCACGCCATATGGATAAGCACGGGTGGCAGATCATCTATATTATCTCCAGATTTGCGCAATACACTCGCGAAGACTTGGTGAATAACCGTTTCCTTGTCGGAAGACATTTGCCATCTGCCGAAGACTAAATCTCGACAAACAGGTCGAGTATGGTAAACGCATGGGCAGCGAATCTCATCATTGTCTTACCTGCGAGTCGATCGTACATGGTCTCTTTGCTTTTGGGAGAATGATATCTCGGAACGATTTCCCTTTCTGTGTTGATTCATTTCATGATTTGACTTTCGAAGTGCTGTGGTGCAGTGTCATCTCGGCAGTGTTGACGGAAAAATTCACATTGTGAGCTTCCATCGCACGATTGATGAAACAGGTACTCCACCTTGCTCGAAGGATTGCATGCTTCATTTTTGGCGTATCTCGTACGTATCGCATGCACATACCAATGTTTATCATGCCCTCGAACTCAAGCACATTTATCCACCCTGGTGTTTGGTCAAAAGGGGAGTAAAGTGTGAGACAGGGTTGCTCTGCCGGCGCGGCAGAAGTCAAGCTTACATTTGGTAAGAACTTACCGACGCCACGGCCCACTCAAACGTCTTCTACCGTTCGAGACCCTCTAACCTTCGCTTGCTCAAACATACATGACATGTTCGCGTTCAGTTGCCTGCGAAGAGGATGTGTTGAGAAAGGTCCACTGCAAGAGTCTTTCCACTTGCTGTGTGACTTGTGTCGACAGCTCGGCGCCAATCTATTCATAGTCCGAGCAGCCGAGATGATCTGCCAGGGGGATCTGCGAGGCTAAACTTTGTAGCTTTGCATGGAGGAGAACTCATACCAGATGCATGATTGTATTGTCTCGGACTGGCGGATGAGTCTGGAATGATAGTGCTGGAGTGGCGATACGAGTCCGGAGTTGCACCTCGTCGTTGATGCATCACCTTCAAAGTCGAGCACAGGATACTGTTCCGACGGAGTGGGTGCGAGCTCAAGATCTCACCAGATCTTTGCAACGCTTGTGAGTAACAAACGGCGGCCATGTGCGGTGTTGGGAACAAACAGAGCATGTGTTTGGCACGAGACGCATTGATCAAGATGTCTGAGCGCTCGCCGCACTCTAAACCGACTCCTCTGTGGAGGGAAAAATCAATCATTCCGCACGGAACCGCCATGTTCCTGACCATGATGGCGCATGTCATAGCAACACGATCCCGATGTGGTTCTGGACAAGGTGAGCAACAGACCATTCTGGATGTTGATCATTTCCTCTGCCCATGTACTATGCCGCTATGCGAAGCTACTTCTCCAAAATCGATAGAACCTGCCGTTCGACATGAAGTAGGTACATGCTTACACGAGGTCACCATGCATCGATCTTCGTACCTACTGCAGGAGAACTTCCCCATCTCTAAACGGCCTCCGAACGGCCTTCTGAATCGCATCGTAGAAACGTTGCTCAAGTCTCACTCCGATTCAATCCTACAGCGTTGCCGGTGCTTTCACGCAAAGGTCTCATTTCGAAACACAAGTCGGCGTGAAAATAGTTCATTCTTTGGTCGAAGTCATCCAGTCAAAAAGTAACGGGCTCCAGCCATTGCCGAGTCAGGTCGGAACATTCTTGCCGCCGTACCTGGACGCCATTTTCTGGGACGGCACGGGCTGGTCCTGCAAAAGGTTCGGTGCCGTCCGTAGGTGGTCCAGTTCCACCTCTGGTCTTTGAGTTTTTCTTGCCAAAATAGTGCTCCATATGCACCTCGTGCACGATCTAAGCTCGAAACATCAAGAAGATCCATTATTACAACGCCAAGCTTGCCGACGTGCGGCGTGGTACGGCCCATACGGCAGGCATAGGCTGTAGACTATTGTCTCACCTACTGGATTTGAGATCCCAGTCTCCGCCAAGGAAGTCTGTGAGTATCTTGTTAGTGGTATGCGGTCCGTTCGTGATGAGCCGAGGGTACCTTTCCTATGGTACACAGCCCCGAGGACCTTCGCTTGACGGACGAGAACGATCATACCCACGATGATTGCATCACCCGAATCGAGAAGCAGAGACATCCACCGAGCTATTAGTAGAGCCTGTAGAGGTAAGCTGAGTATAAGTATCACCCTCTCCCACCATCAGGGAAGTGTTTTTTCTATCACTATCATTCGCTTTCGTTTCTCAACTACCTGTTCCTTCGTTCAATCAGGTATTCAAGATGCGTTCTACCACCTTCGCTCTGGCCGCCATTGCTGGCTTGGCCGCCGCTTCTCCCATGCCCCAGGACCTTGACTTTGCTCTTCTGGACGCCGCTCCCGAGGTCGCCACTGGTCCTACTGACATCGCTGTTGTCGACGAGGCCAGCATCATCTCCACTGTTGTTGCCTCCACCGTCGCTACTCCCAGCTCCACTGCCACCAGCGCTGCTGGCAAGCGTGACCTCGAGAAGCGTACCTTCGGCCTTTTCTCTCCTTTCTTCTTCTACAAGGGTCTTGAGTGTGAGATCTTCCACAACTGCGGCAGCAAGGGCAGCTCCCAGGGCGGCTGGGGTTGCGGTAAGCCCACTGAGACCAAGGCCACCTGGTCCTTGATCACCACCTCTGCTCCTCCTACCAGCATTCCCGCCTACTCCTACACCACCGACTCAGCTGCTGTCACCACCTCCGCCGCTGTCTCGACCTCTAGCTCGGTCCCTACCACCACCCAGGCTCCCAGCACCACCGCTGATGCCAACGCCCCTTGCCCTACTACTCCTGAGGATGGCACTTACTGCGGTTTCATCAACCCCGAGGATGCTTGCGCTCCTCAGCCCGGTGGTTACGGTCCTCAGGTCCAGCCCGACACTGTTGACGCCTTCTACTCTTACGCTCCCTTCCACTCTATGGCATCTGCTGCCCCTACCGTTGTCCCCAGCTCGGACAAGACCCAATACACTCAGGTCTTCAAGGATCTTGACGCTTCCGTCTCCGCCAACTCTTACATTGGTCTCTACACCTTGACTTCCTACTCTGCTCAGGAGTGTGCTGCCAAATGTGACGACACCGATCTCTGCACCTCGTTCAACCTGTACATCGAGCGTGATCCCAGCCTTGCCCCTGCCAACAACGATAACACCACCTACACTCCTTGGGAGACTTACTGCCCTAACCCTTCTTCTATCACCAACTACAAGTGCACCTTGTGGGGATCTTCTCTTTCTGTTGACGTTGCCACCAACAAGGGCGATTTCCGTGAAGAATTTTCCGTGGTAGTGACCGGAAGCAACGCTTACGACAAGACTAATGTCACGACACCCACTTGCGAGGTTCCCTCTGCTCCTGCCACCACTTCGGTCATCGTTCCCACCAAGTCTGCCGTCGCTCCTCCTCCCTGCAAGCAGCCTACCCTCAAGCCCGCCAAGAACTGCGGTCCCAAGGCCATCTCCGCCCCTAAGCACCACATGGGCAGCACCTTCATCCCTGGTCCTTTCCAAGCTAGCCATTGTTCGTCGTATGCAGCATCTCAGAACGTAATCAACAAGAACGCCGCCATCAAGGCTGGACAGCGCAGCTTCACTCCCTGCAGAATGTTCAACGCCTACTACTTGCACAAGGACAACAAGCCCTACGGTACCTACTGCTCGCTCTACGGTGCTGCTCTCGACAACTCCTGGGCCACTTTCGGTGGCAGCGGTCACTACCAGACCCACCAGTCCTGGACCTGGGAGCTCGACTTCGAGACCAAGTACTACAGCTGGTAAATCATTCGCAGCATTTCTCAGAACATGGAAAGCTTGATTGATTGAAGATGAGAGTGTTTGGAGACCGAAGAGTGTTTTTGATTGTCACTACCTAATTTCACGACTTTTGTAAAAGTATCAGATTTATGAACTATATCTTTTCTACCCATTTACAATTTGACCACACTCCTCAATTTGTGAACTTTATCAATCATCGACACATGCCATCGCTGAATCTGACTCGCGGTGTCGCTGATTTTACTATCCATGGAAATGCACAATGTTATTGAGAATGGATGAAGGTCCAGTGAGAGCCTGGAATTTGTTGATGTCGTCAAGGGGCAATTTACGCTCTCACTGGACTTCTTGGCAATTTCCAATAACTTTGTGCATGTTGATAGATAAATTTTCCGAGCATCAGGTGCTTGGGACGACTGCTGATTGCGCTTGATGTCAACTTCTCGCCATGCTAGTGAGACCATCGCTAGCCCATCGCCGACAAAGTCGGTAAACACATCACTCTGGACACAACATGCGAGCAATTTGACACCAAAGCACGGCAAACCAGCCACGTCTCGACGCTTTGTATGTAGTTTGCTGATAATTAGGCTCTTGCTAATTTGAGCGACCTCCGACTCGCAAGCGTATCGTCGATTTCGTCCTTGTAAGTCATCAAAAAAATTCGCTCGATGTTTGCTAACCATGAAAGCCTAATTGCCCGGAGCTCTTGCTATACAGGTGTCAACAATGATCGCGGACCGTCTGGTCTACAACACCCAGCAGTAACGCCGTCCACATGATTATCCACGTCAATCATTGCGCAGGGGAGAATGAAGTACAACAACACCACGTCATCAATGGAAAAAATGTGCATTTCCTCTGTCACAAGTTGCAGCTTTCACTCACTTCGTCTTGGACCTCCCATCTCCATCCGCTGCAAATCCATCACACTTCTTCCTTGCTTTGACACTCAATCACAAACTTATCTTTTGTCTACGCGCCATGAAGGACGAACAAAGCGGTCCCGGTGGTATCTGGCGCCTGAAGCAGTCCGCAAACTTAAGGCACATTACCGCTGATGCGCAGCCATCTGACAGCTTCCATGAGCGCATGGCTGAACATGCCGCATCAATCATGAAAGGTTTGATGAAAGTCAAAGCAACAAAGCAGGCTAGAGAAGCCCTTCGAACCGCAACTCTTTAACACGGCATCGCCGCCCGTCGTAACCCCACTCGCCCTGTCCACCCAGCGAATCTGCAGGCGCACAAGACGGCTTGCCAACGTCGTTCTGCTCTGCCATTGCCTACTTCTCTATTCTGCTCTGAGATCGCGGAAGGATATACCGTTCTCTCACCACTCAGCACAAGTACAAGACCATGCTCCATTCCTGGTCATCGAAGGATCTGACAGATCAGAGTCTGCAATGAGTGATGTGGTTCTCACGCACCCCCAAAACGCACCACATCCGTAGCCAATGTCCTCACCATGGCAAAGAGAGTCTCATGCGCCTAACATATTGCACAGCGCACTGGTCTATCAGTCCCGAGACTCTCGATTGTCTTTTGAGCCTGTCTCTAATCTCACTTCAGAACAGCTTCCCCTAGTTGAACTCGCTTTGTCAATCTGGGTAAGTACATCGTCCCATCGTGTCTTCTCGACCTCACAAAGCTGATGATTTATGTAGCATCGCACAGCGCACCGCCGCCACTCCAGCCGATCCAGCTCCGGCAGGCCGCCGCCGTCGTAATGCTCGCCCGAGAACCGAAGCGCAGTTGCAAAGAATGCAACAGAAGGAAGCCTATCTGGAGCGTAGGCGCGAGGCCAAAGTTGGCCGCGCAGAAGAGAACGCAAGAAAGCTGAGATCCAAGCGCCATGCGCAGATCGCCATCTTCTGTGGCACGACCACCTCGCTGGCACCGAGTGGCCCAGGCCAGGAAGTCTTCATCGCCCAGGATTTCCTAGGCAACCACCACTTCAAGAGAAGGGGACCAGGTGGCAGACTGAAGTTTGTCAACCGCGAAGGGATTCGCTACAAGAACGCGTTCGGCCACGAGGAGGCCAAGAAGCAGGCGACCGACCGCTTTATGCGGGCTCGCGCCCCGGAAAGAATGGAGGAGCAAGGTTGGCTCAGCAAGGCCGAAGCAGAGATGGCAGCCCACCACTCAGGAGCACGGGCCGCTGCTGTCAACCTCGCTATATAAGGAACCTGGGTTTCAGGCTGGCCCTGCTGGCCCAGTCGCAACAAATGAGCAGAAGACGGCACGTCTGGCCGCTGAAGCCATCTGTACCGCGTTCGAGGACGCCTACGACACCGAAGCAAGCCAAGCAGCCTTGTGCCATGGGGCCAACCTCTTCATGGCCCACCGCAACAGCTTCCCCAATGGCTTCAACAGCGCATACCTCGACCTGTTCCTGGCCACATACGCCGAGGCCATGACGTTCAAGCCCGAGCGCCGTCGCAACCTTGCCAAGACCGGCACCATCGAGGCCGTTGACCACGACGACGACGAGAAGGTCGACGAGATCATCCAGCTCGCAAGAGAGACGACGCTCTCCTAGTTTGGCACAGTACGGCCAGCGCGTCGTCACACTTGCTAACGTCGGCACTTTCCGCCGCCTTGCCCCCGTCGCCCACGCCGACGCTCTCCCTGACGTCCACGATCCCCAACTCCGTTCGGAGTTTGGAGAGGTCTGGGGTGTCCTCCGCTTCGCAACCAACACTCCACGGGGTCTACTCTCTGAGACAGAAATCCAAACCGGCATTGCCCAGCAGCGTGCCTTTTCAATCCCTTCTGACTTCAGCAACTGGGACACCTGGTTCCCTTCCCGGACCGCGGCTCTATCCCCAGCATCCCATACAGCTGCATCCCACGCGTCGGCGTTCGCGTCAAGGATGATGAGCTCGCAGACTGGGCCATCCTCAAGCTCAGAAGAACACAGCGTCTACTCAACGATCACATGGATGACGTTGTCGTCTTCTTCGTCTGGAAGGAGATCTGCCGCGCTGCGGTCAGTCAAGACTATGGCAAGATGGAGGTCTTGCTTGTGGACGCCAAGAGCGTGAAATATGGAACCCAATGAATGCTTTGAGAGAAGATGGCACAACATCGGACTCCCACTCCTCTCCAAAGGGTCTGAAGTAGCTGTGGAGGCAGGATGCTTCTCAAGGGCATCTGCGTATTCACTGAGAGCGGCATCTCTCCATCCTTTCTTTGGACGTTTCGTCAAAACTAAAAACATTATGCCTTTTGATGAACAGTGACACGGCGCCTCGTGAAGCTGAGAGGTCGATTCTGGTGCAACTCTTGTGCATCTGTGTTCACATTGCCGCTATCTAGGCAGCATCTTGAATGATGATCCCAAAAGCATTTTGAGGGCATAAGAAGGGGATGCTCAAGGAGTCAAGGCGATGCTCTCTTGGCTCGATTGACCACCAAGCCATCCGTGCAAAATGCACGATGATTTCGACAATTGCAATCAGAGTTGACACTGGATGGAGTGGAGTGGAGTAACCGTCTACTCCACTCCACTCCAGTGGAGTCTTGGCTGGAGTGGACTCCACTGGAGTCCAGAGCTGGAGTCCACTGGAGTCCAGTGGTAGTGGTACAAGGCCTCCGTGGAGTGACAACCGCCGTTCGAGCCCCGGTCGTAACGCACTTTATTCTTTTTGCACTTTGTCAAATACCATCTAAATCGTTCAAATCTTCAATAATAATTCGAAACAGCACATAGTTGTGTGTTTGCTCTGTTTGTTTCTACATCTCAGCCTCTTGTGGAACTAACTAAACGAGCTTAAAGGTCGTACCCAGATTCGTGATAATCCTATGTCTTATCTAGTTCTTAATACATTGCGCCTCTTTAATGGCCTCGCCGGATAGCTTACCTCTCTACGGTGTAACTATGTTGCCGTAGCTTAAGAAGACCCGCTTAGGTTCATTAGACATTGCCGGGATAGTAAAGAGATCTCGGGCCATTTTAGATAGGCGTAGGTAGGTATGTTTAATGCGTGCTTTTAACTAGAACTCTAGGGGGTGATAGACATTAGGAACCCTACCCTCTACGCACTATCTAGAGTACTCGTCGGTCTCTAGGGATGTAGTATAGAGGTCCTCCTCGTCTAATGTAATGTTAGTATCTATCTATGATGTTGCTTAAGTAGCTCGTTCCTCCTCTTCATTATCGGTTAAGGCCTCTAGTAGAAGTTAAGAATAATGCTATATCTAGAACTGGCGAACAGCGTGCTTAGATGATTTTATCTAGTCCTATCTTAACTTCCATTTTAATCTTAACTACTTCTAGGTGTATGCCGGATGTAGGACGACTACTACGACATAGATAGGAGATTAATCGGTAATCTTATAGTAGTCGTTCAACTTTTTCTAGGCTAGGTTAACGCCCGTTGCTAGCATACGGTATTCTAGGGTCTGCTTAGTCGGTATAGTCGGTTTTAGAGGAGGCGGCGTAGGAGGTAGTAGTATCGGTAAGGGAGGAGGCGCGGCCTAATTCCTTCTACCTCTAGCGGCCTTAACCGCCTTACGCATTAGTCGGTAAATAGGAAGGTCGTCGTCGAGGTCGATAGTCTAGGACTACAACTAGGACTAAGACTAAGAACTTGTAACTACTATGCTCTAGGATGCTAGTATATAGCTTATAAGGAGGGGGACGACTAAATAGTTTTGAACCGGTTTAATAATGACATACTACGCCTTAAGCTTTTTAAAATGAGTAAATAGACGCTCTATAGCAGGAATCACCTACTAGACTACTCTATAAGAAGTACTACTGCCGCGGCCTTTAAGGCGCTAAGTAAACTGCTATACTAGCTCCAAAATCTCGTAATATTGCGTTAGGATTACCTAGTCGTCTTAGGTAATAAAGTTAGTAAGGATAGCTAGCTTCTTGCGCATCTTCTTAGGTAGTAGTTTAGTGTCGAAATTAGTTAGCTTATTCTAATAGTCTTGCTAGTCTCTAAGTGTTTTATAATAGAAATCATTAATAGTAGGGCGAACTTTAATGAAGACCCTAAGGGCATTAAAAACCGAGTTCCATCGGGTATCATTAAAGGCATAGAGTTTAGTTACCTTAGTAAGTAATAGATGGTTAGCTTATGCCTTTTTAAAGGCCTCATTGCGCTAGGGCGATGCTCTAATATAGACGATTGTATTCCTAACTTTACCGAGAGGACTACGACGGCGCTAACATTTAAGTTCTTCTACAGTTAGCTTAACACTAGTAAGGGCTTTAAGGAAGGCTTCTTCATTAGTGCCCTATAGTAAGGCACGAGCAATAAGGTTAAAGATGTAACCGGCGTAGCGGAGTCGTCGTTTAGTTACGTTAAAGGTGAATTCGGCTACGAGAGCTTTAATATAGGTGTCGTTGTTTATAGCATTATCGGCAATAAAGAAACCGATATTATCCTATAAGTTAAAGCGAGTGATAATCTCTATAATAGTCTCTGTAATGTTAGCGCCTATATGTTTACCTTCCTACTAAGGTAGAGCAAGAAGGAAGGTCTTTAGATTGCTATACTTATTAGCAAAATGGTAGTTAACACTATATAATGCCCGGAGGTTCCTTAAAGTCTAGAGATTAAAGGAGAAGTAAATAGTAGAGGTAGCAGCGCGTAGGTGCTCTATAATAACACCGACGTGACTTTAGTAGACCTACGATATCTACTTACGGAGTGTTAAATAATAGGGAAGGCAACCGCGAGAGTCGACTACTAGATTAAGCATCTTTAAATAGTCTTATATATAAGGAGACTTAAGAAGACGGAAGGTAAGGTTCTTATATACAATAAGCGTAGTAACTACGCCCTTCTAAGCTACTTCATTAAAGACGGTTCTATAATGCGTAATGTCTTGCCTATAGGAAGAATTTAAGACTCGTAATGATGTAGGTTAACTAGAGACTTAGTCGGCGATACTACGAGTTCTCTTAAGGCGAGGGCCGTCCTTATTAATGTTATAAACATTAAGAAGGTGTATAATAGCACTATTAGTACTATTAGTAACGTTATAAGCATGCTTACGATAAGACCGCTGCTTATAACACCGGGTATAGACCTAATAATATTTTGGCGGAGTCTCCCCTCTTACTTGTATGCGCTAGCCGTACTTCTAGATAGGACTAGAGCTTGCCCCCTTACTATTAGGAACACGCTTAAGGGTTAGTATGCGAGACTAGTCGACGTCTTTATAGTAGCTAGTAGCTTCCTCCTCTTCTCGATCGACCTTAGGCGTAGTACTTCGAAAGTTAGTACTTCGTTAATATTAGGTTAGTACGTTTAGTACGGATGTCTATAGTGCTAAAGAGAGTGTATCTAAGAAAGTATAATCATCGGCTATAAGGTGGTGTTATAAGATAAATGTTAGGTTGTAGAAGGAAAATTCTTAATAGGTGCCCGTTATTAACACTTTCCTCGCTTCGCGTAACGTTAGAGTTAGCTAATTAGAGGCTCTATAGCCCGCCGGAAATAGCCGTTGACCAATCAGAGGCTGGCTTAGCAACGCCACTAGAGTCTACTAGAGTGCTGGAGTTAGGAGCATACTACTCCACTCTACTCTAACCCCCCTACTACTCCACTCCACTCCACTCTAGCACTAGAGTTTGGAGTGGAGTGGAGTTTTACTCCATCCACCGTCAACTCTGATTGCAATCGCATCCATAGAGAGCTAGTTGCCAAAACGGTCGAAGGGCTCTTCTGCCTCAATTCGTAATCTTCTCAGAATGTCCAAGCAGGAAACCACAACGGCCATCAGTGTCTTCATCAGCTTTCACACTGACGTCACTTCCATAGACCTCCAACACCGAGAAGCTCGTCTCATTCCTGCAGTTTCCGGTGTACCTCGGCCACGTCTGCCTTTGAACTCCAGAGGAATCATTCTTTCCGCCGTTAGGATCCATGGTCTTGACAAACGAGATCCAATAATCTTGCATCTTTGCGGCCAATTCCGGATCTTATGTCAGAGGAGCAGACGAGTTAAGGAAAGCGGCGCTAGCACCGTGGATTTGTGTGCTGGCTCTGAATATCATCTTGTAGACAGGAAGACCTGCATCACTGAATGCGGTGGCAAGCTGATAGGTAGGGCAATTGATGATGAGATCACCATAGACAGCTTGAGCACGCCAGGATATCGAGTTCGTGGACAAACCAGAAACATGCAAGGAGGACGGGAGAAAGGATATGATGGTAGAATTGAAGAAAGGATTAATGGAGAAGCTGCCCGTGGACGAATCGACATGATGAAGCTGGTCTAGGCGGCGGTTGAAACACTGCCGGGTGACGGCCATAGATTATACAGCTTCGAATTGGTCTATTGAAGAGTTCTGGTGCTGAAGTTGGAGAAGCCGGCTCTCTCAAAGGTGGTGTGATCGGTGATTAGCGGGACCTTGGCGAGATTTCCTGCTTCGAGTTCCTGGGAAGGAAGGTCTTGGATAATTCTGCCGTCAACTGCGGGACCATAGTAAAAGTATCCATATGCATAAAGACCTTGTGCGTAGCCAATCTCGTATGAGGCGTCGATAGCGTTCGTGAGTGCTTCTTCAGACAAGCTTCTGAGGCAAGTCAGGGTGGAACAATTGCTTGCTGATAAGATATCGGAATACTGTGCATTCAAAACGGTCTTCTTCTTGTAACTCTGCATCCAGGGGTACTCGGCGATCGCGGCTCTGAATGGTGGTGAAGGCTGCGCACCATACATGATCAGTTGATTGGCAACCGCACCACCACCTGCACTACCTCCCCAGATCGTAATCTTGGAAGGGTCACCGCCAAATGTACGAATGTTGCGCTGTACCCACTCGGTTGCGGCTCTCACGTCAAGCAATCCAGCATTGGGCGCACCGTCTTCCTCGATAGCATCAGGAGAGAGGAAACCATATCCACCAAGTCGATACTGGATAGTGACGAAGATCGTTCCGCCATCGGAGCGATTGACGGAATCTGATCCTGCAGCAGCGTTTGCACCATTACCGAGAGTGTAGCCAGGATTGCCAGAGGAGATGATACGGAAAAAAAGCTTGACCCGAAAGTAGGAGCATTATATACGCGACCCAGGAGGCTGGACCTCAGTGACCACGCCATGTTGGATGGAACAAGATTTCATGCTTGCAATGTCGTTCCTCTATCAGCGACTTGGGAAGAATACGGAGGCTGTTGATCATTGCTTCATTGGGAGCATTTTTCGGTGTTTGTTGTCTGATTAGCTGGCGCCGACGCAGGATAGTATCGGCAATGCTACAGATGTTTGGGAAGTGACCGAGTCTGGCTTGTACTGGAGATCTAACAAGTCGACTACTGGTAGTCTAAGGCGTTATTGAGTTAAGCTTAGACGTGCCTACCTCCTCCCAGCTGGGGTACACGGCGTTTATACGAACGATGGCACAGTCAAAAGGCGGATGTGACGGATGAGAATGGTAAACATGCCGATGGGATTGCCATCTGGTGGTTCCGCGTAGCGAGATTGATTCATCTGATGTAGTAATAGCGCTCGTGTAAAGAAGAACGCTCGACGAGGCTGAGAGGAGAGAGTGGAGAAGGAAAACCCCTCGGGGAAAGCTGGCATCAGAGGGGAGCACAAAATGAGGAAGAAGTAAAAAAGAAAGGAAAAAACAAAATAGACGCTCGGGGAGTGATGTGGGTGTTCCCCGAAAGTCAATCCGACGTGCTGTTCAATCCTTCGCCCGACCGCTCACGGCCGAGGTTCATCAACCAACCACAATACGGTCATGCTATTGGAAGAACCGAATAGAAGCCCTTGTTGCTTGAAAATTCCCATGAGTTCGGTTTAGGATGGCTTCCGATAGACGCGGGCCGGGGCAGAGCAGATGGTGAGCCTGAATAATCATCGAATTTGGCGTCGGAAGCTGTCCGATGAACCTTAAGACATAACTTCCATTGCTGTCAACATTTACAGCCAACTTGCAGCGTCATCGCATAGGGATATCTAAATCTTCTACATACGGGATTTTCTCCCCTATGCAAATCAATATCCGGGGCCAGATCGGTTCCAACAGTAGGCTGAAGATCTGCCGGATCCACGATCAAGGCGAACAGAAGTATGTCGGTATGTTTTGGTGTAACGATATCCATGCGGGTACTTTGGCGACGTGGTGTAACATCCACAGAAGTATAAGAAACTTGTAACAGCTCAACTCCTAAGGAGATCTACCACACTACTAGTACGTTGGCATACACGTACGGCTGCAGAAGGTACCTTTTTCTATCAGAACAGCCATGGAAAGATCGACTTACAGCTCTGGGAACGAAGCGGGAATTACCACCACTACAGAAATAGCTATGCCGAGAGATACTATACTACCAGAAGCAACACCATCGAGTGTCCCTTTCGAACACCTTCAGATCGCAGAAAAGCATACTACCGACCAGCCTCTACAGGAAGAAATTACCGATGACGGCGACCCATACAACGGCCGCTCCAAAAGCAAAGTAGCAGTAATAATGCTCGCTCTCTGCACAGCAGTATTCCTCGGAACGCTCGACTCTACAATCGTCACCACAGCTCTTCCAACAATAACCGAACACTTCAACTCAGCATCAGGCTATACATGGATTGGCTCTGCCTTTCTACTCGCCAATGCATCTACCATCCCATCTTGGGGAAAAGCTAGCGATATATTCGGTCGTAAGCCTATGTTGTTGTTGGCGAATGTTGTTTTCATGATCGGGTCGCTTGTGGCGGCGTTGTCGAATAGTGTTGGTATGCTTGTTGCTGCTCGTGCTGTTCAGGGGTTGGGTAGTGGTGGTTTGGTTATTGTGAATATAACTATTGGTGATTTGTTCAGTTTGCGTACGAGAGGGGTGTTTTATGGCATACTCGGTGGCGTTTGGGCGAGCGCTTCTTCGATTGGACCGATTATTGGTGGACTCTTGACTCAGAGTGCGAGTTGGAGGTGGTGTTTTTGGATCAATCTTCCCCTGGATGGCCTGGCTTTCATCGTGCTGTTCTTCTGTCTTGATATCGAAAGTCCTAGCACGCCGCTACTTGAAGGTCTCAAGGCTATTGACTGGATCGGATCCTTCCTGGTCATTGGTGCGACTCTGATGTTCCTTTTCGGCGTTCAATACGGCGGCGAGACTTATCCATGGAACTCAGCGATTGTGATCTGCCTCATCATCTTCGGCCTTCTAACCTTTGCTCTATTCCTCTTATACGAATGCAAAGTCCCCAAATACCCCATCATGGACCTCAGCTTCCTCAACTCTCGAACCAATATCGCAACACTTTCCACAGCTTTCATCCACGGCCTCGTCTTCATCTCAGGAACCTACTATCTCCCCCTATACTTCCAAGCTGTCCGCGGCGCTACACCCATATTCTCTGGTATATACCTCCTCCCCACCGCCCTCGCAGCTTCCGCATCCTCTCTCGCCGCTGGCATCTTCGTCCGCAATCATGGCGCTTATCTTCCTCCCATCTACACCGGCTTCTTGATCATGACCGTGGGCTTTGGTCTTTTCGTCGACCTCGATGTACACTCTACATGGGCGAAACTCGTCATCTATCAAATCGTCGCTGGAGTGGGCTTTGGAGCGCTTTTCCAAGCCCCGTTTATTGCATTGCAGGCGCATATCCATCCTCGCGATATAGGCGTTGCTACCACAACTCTTGGTTTCACACGGCAGATGGCAACGTCCATCTCCGTCGTCATGGGTCAAGCGGTATATCAAAACGCTATGACTGCCAAAACAGAAGAACTAACTACCTCTCTGGGCCCAGAACTCGCTGGCGAATTCTCTGGCGGTGGAGTGGTTGCTAATGCTGGAGCTATTGATGCGTTACCTGGATATCAAAGAGAGGTGGTGCGTAATGTGCTGGCTGAGAGTTTACAGCCCATGTGGGTTATGTATACGGTTTTCTCAGCTGTGGGGTTGTTGGCTGCGTTGTGCATTCAAAAGAAGGTGTTGAGTGTGCGGCATGAAGAGACGGTTACGGGGTTGGCTGCAGAACGGCAAAATGCTGTAGAGAGGGCTGCGGAGAGGGAAGTCAAACGTGCTGGTAAGATGGCTGGTCGGGCTGTTGTTTGAGATCGAAAATCTGTTCGAGGATTGTAGAAGATAACTTGGCGATCTAGAGTAGTGTTGGAGTGGAGTGTACAAGTGCTCGCATCATTCGGGTCTATCTCACACAAAAGGGGCCTCTGCATACAGAAGGAGATTTTTGGCATGCCGAAAACGGCGAAAAGGCATTTTTCGCAAAGATTTTGGTCGATATATGTCGTTCCATTCCGTGTATATATAAGTATCCATCTATGCGACTTCGACCAACTCATCTTCATCATCAATCTCCTGTACCTTTGGGGGTTGCGGTGGCTCTTCACCCTCACCCTCCTCATCTCTAGCGATAATCTGCACGACTCTATCGCAAGCCTCTTGCACATCAGGGCTCTCGGTATGCATATGCAATTCGCGCATGACAGCATAGACATTCTTTTCCCTCATGAAATCTCTGCCTTCTCTTGTTGTTGTGAGGAGGAGTAGCGTTTCCAGGTGGATGATTTGGATATCTGTTTCGGGCTCGCGGGTCTTGTCTGGAGGCAGCAGTTGCAGTTCTTCGGGCATGGTATCCATATCTTTATCGTCGTATTCTTCGGGGCCCATGAGGGGAAGAAGGAGGTAGGGGAGGATGTTGAGTCCACCTTCTGTTTCATCCGTGGACAGCATTTTGGCGTGTGCATCCGTGTCGAAAGCGGCATTCTTGATCGTCGAAGCGACACCCCTGCGTCTGATTGTGGATTTGTGCTCGGTAAAGACGATGAGTTTCGTCAAGGGAATGATGTTCTCATCCTCCTCGCGGGGAGTCAGGAAATGTTTTCTTCCCTCCTCGTATTTCGAAATGTCGGCAAAGACGTAGCAGAGGTAGTCGAAGTTTGCTTTTTCGTTGTAACTGCCTTCTTGGCCCTTGACGAACAAATCCAGCAATTGATCGATGGCGAACGGTGATGTGGAAAGTGGCTTGGGGATATCTCTCTTCAATGTCAAGAGAGTCTTGAGATGATCGTGTTTTGTAAGGTTGGCCAGCAGCATGGCCATCTCGTCTGCATTCTCCTCCTTTGCGTTTGTGATGCGCGAGTACAAGACTTCGAGGAATTGATCGTCTTCGGCGAGGTATTTGAGAACTTCTTCATCGGAGGAAATGTTTACGAGGATTGTGAGGACGTTCTTTGCGATGGGAGGGTAGTCGCGGACCAGCAGTTTCATGTCCTTGCATGGTTCGAGGTTCTGGTATTTGAAGAGCGACGGTTGCGCTGTTGAGAAGCCGACCAGATTCTCGACGGCTGATTGTGTTTGTCAGGAGCGTATTCTTGTGCTGTTGGCGCATGAGTGATGCATACCGATTTGGCGGATTTGGGTGTTTCCATGGTGGAGGAATCCAACGAGCTGCGAGAGGTGTTAGTTTGTGCGCACGAGTTGCTAGACCTGACACACTCACTTCTTCAAGTTCGGTAGGCATCTTGACTGTTTGCTGAGGTGTAATGTTCTTGTGTATTGACTGCGACAACTTTTTTCTCCAGCCCATGACGAAGTGGAACCATCTCGAATCCTTATCTCTTATCGCTCTTGGCATCTCCGCTGGCTGCTCGGACTTATTCCTTCTTAGCTCCGACCGCTTCCTCCATCATTCGGCGTCCTCTCTGCCACCGCTGCCTCCATGCATATCGTGCCCTCAAGACGCTATTCTGTCCAATAATCCATACATGATGCTGATCTCGCGTTACGTATTCAGGTGATCAACCTGCTAAGCTTCCACCTTGAGAAGCGAGTCTACGGTATCAACCACAGCGTGCGCCAAATCTCTGAATTTGACCCCCAAAATTTTCTCTGCACTGGAATTGTCGATTCCATACCCAGCCTTGCTCGACTCAAGTTCGATGTGCTCCGGAAGCTTATCCTGCAGACTTGGGAAATGCTTCTTGATGATTGAAGCAATCTCGCTGTTTGAATATCTTCCGGCGGCAGCGATGAAGCGCTGTCCATCGGCTTCCGACTTCTCAAGTGCAGCAACATGCATAGCAGCCACATCCCGGACATCCACCCATGAGAATGACCCGTTGGTAATGCCATCTTTCATCCTTCCCTGTATCATATCTCTGAAAACAACATTGGACGTATTCACCGCATTAAGCGAGGTCAAACTGCCCTCCATAATAGGTCCAAACACCAATACTGGGTTAACAGTAGCCAACGCAAACCCTGGTTTCTCAACAGCCATGAAATCCCGAGCTGCCTTTTCGGCGAACTTCTTGCTGCCTACATAGGCCATGGCACCATTGGTCTGCGCTTGCTCCCAGGAGATGGGGTTCCACATGCTCTCATCATACACCTCTGGCGGAGATTGCATGTTGATAATAGCAGCGAAGGAGCTCGTAACAACCACTTTCTTGATTTCAGGAGCGTGTGCTTTGATGGCATTGAGGATGTTCAAAGTGCCGTTGACAGCAGGCTTAAGCATATCATTCTCGAAGTCTGTGGCTGCATAGTGGAAAGGACTTGCTGTATGAAGGACGGCTGCGAAGGGAGGAGAGGAAATGATTGCTTTGTCGAATGCATTGGGTTCGGCGATATCTTTGACGATGACATACGATAGTTTCGTAGTCGGCAGTCCTGGGTTCGCAGAAAGTAGTTGTTGTCCTTTCTCCGCTGATCTGACTGTAGTGACGACGTCGTGGCTGTAGTAGAGGAGTACCTTTTCAGCACATGTACGTGTGTATTTGTGATCGGAAGTGCTTACCCATGCTTCAAGAGCAATCTGAGACAATGTTGGGCGACAAAGCCAGAGCCACCTGTGAGAAGGACCTTCATTTTTCGATAGCAAACGTAGAGAATCGAGCTTGAGTATATCCCAGAATATACATGCATACTTATATATAAATCTAAGGGCATCTAGCGATTAACAATCCACATCAATGGCTTGCTCCTTCAAGAACACAACTTAGGGCTTCTCCTTAATTTTTCGGCCGAAAAATATTATAGTCTTTTTTCGTATTGACAGAACCCAAACCTTGATGATGGCTTCGGACCTTGATGAATACTCCTTAAGTCCGAGAAATCTGTTAGGTGATCCAGTCTTGCGGTGAGTGAAATTGATAATCTGAGTTTCAAGAAACACATGGAAGTCTTGGTATAGGCTTTGGCTTCTCGCTTTGCTAATTGAGAAAAAGCGCGACCGATTACATCACTAATTCAACGTGCCGATCACATTCTTGATACTGAATATATATCAATATGGTGCAGGTTCGACCCTCTTCACACTTCGGAACTTCCGAATATCTCGCCTCTTGATTCATGAAGATGTGGCCACCAATCACTGCCAGTCTTGCGGCAATGGCTCTTCTGCAACACACTGCTGCGGCCTCATCAAATGCTAGTGTTGTCAGCATCCCGGCACAATACACATATCTTCTCCCTGGAAACTTCACTGGAGATCCATCTTACAGCTTTGCGAATGGAACATCAACTACAGAGCCCTCTGTCAACAACCTTCTGGCGGATGCTGCTCAAGCTCCGTTCATCTCTTTTGATGACGAGTTCCTTGACCTCTTGGGACCAAATCCTACACCTCATTTGATCGAACAGAGATCATCGAACTTTGCAGGCGAGGCTGGTGTTTGGATCAAAGAGCGTGGTGAGGTGTGGTATACGACCTGGATCAATGATGGACCCACACACATCGAGATTTTGAACCTGACCGACAACTCTATACGTAGACCAAACATCTCCGAACCTATTGAGAATCCAAATGGAGGCTTCTATCACCAAGGCCTCGTATACTTCACCAGTCTCCGCGTCATGACCGACAACTCAAGCAGCGGCGGTGTTGTATCAGTGGATCCAGAGACTGGCCATGTTGAACAAGTTTTGAACTCATACATGGGTCTCAAATTCGACAGTATCGACGACGTAGCTTGGGTGACCCAACCCGGCACGAACAAGTCGTACATGTACATCACCATCCTACCTTTTACAATCCTCGGAGACAGTCCTCTCCCACTCGACCGCCTTCCTCAAGGGATCTGGCGCTTCGACCCTCAAGAACAAGTCTTGCTGCCGGTGATCAGCAGGACTGACCTCCCAGTCGCAAATGGTGTTCGTCCATCTCCAGACCAAAAACACCTCTACGTCACAGATTTCGGTGGCGATAGCCACGCTGCAGCTTGGGGCCTACCAGCCCAAGTCGGCTCACCTTCCGTATACAAGTACGATCTTGACGACGAGATGTATCCAGTCAACAGACGCGTCATCGCATCAGCAAGGATGCAAGCTCCAGACGGCGTTCGCGTGGACAACAAAAGTAGACTTTGGACTGGCGAAGGAGAAGGAGTGGTTGTCCGGAATCGACATGGCAAAGTGATTGGCATTTTCAATGCTCAGTGTTTCACCAGGGATGCTGTTAATGTTGCCATTGTGCAGTTTGCATTGGCTGGAGACGATTTGATAATCTTGGGTCAGGATAAATTGTGGCGTGTCAAGCTTGCGGAGATGTTGGTTACGGTGTCTAGCTAGATGGAGATGCCTGCTGTCAGGATATATGGACGAGGGAAGATGATCAAGACTGCATCGCATTGTTCTTTCCTTCCGATGACGAGGTAGACCTCTCGATCATCTCTTATCGCTGTGTGTCTTGGTGTTGCTTTGTAAACAATTGATACTATCATCAAATACCCTTCATAATTGCATCTTTGCTCGATACTGGTCATTGCTAGACAGCTGTACAGTTTTATTCATCGATCATCTCATGTAAACGCTGCTTACATGTCTATCTATGTTTGGGTTGGTGTAAGTTCATGCAGAGTAAGTCGCTCGTAAAATTGGCCAACAGGAAGGTAGCAGCAACTACTGGGTCTTCCTCAATAGGAAGTAGATCATCTGGCTCCTTATCACCTCCTTTCATATGGTTACCTCTATGGCGACTTCAGAGAGCGTCTTTGACGTACAAGTTTTGCTGTAATTCGAATTTGTCTGACTACTCGGTCTATGCCTCCACTTCTTCCATGCAATCTGCAACACACAAGACTAACGAGCACTTGTATCAGGAATACAAGCCTCCTTTACCAGTTCCCATTACAAACTCATATTTCCGAAGTCCCTCTCCAAGTCGTTGGCGTGAGTGACACCAGCAGCGGGCTGGTGACTCTGTCCTCCGATCAGACCGCCGCACTGAGGGCAACGTGCGGTTTGCATAGGCATACCACACTCGCCAACCGTGAAGGGGTGGCCGTTCTCGCAGCGGTACCAGTGACCAGTGCCTCTGAACTCACGGGCCATGGCAGCCACAACATTCTTCATCTCTTCATTGGTGACAGGACTGTAGAATGTACTCTCGCGCAACATCTTTTCCACCTCTTCAATTTCCGATTGTACCACGCGGGCTTGCGAGTGTTCGGCGCAGAAGGTACGGGCTTGGACGAGGCGTTCACGGGCTGTGGCGCGTAGTATGTCGACGGCGGTCGTGTCACTGTTCTTATGGTTAGCTATGTTTGCTTGGGTTTTCACTTTTGATGTGTGATCATACCTGTCTTCTGAGTTGGCTGAAAGCCAGGATACTTCAAGAGCAGCAAATTGTGCCCAGAATATCAACGCCTCGGCTTGCTGAAGATGATGCTGTCCTTGGTCGGCAACCTGGAATAGAGTCTCACAGTCTCTGCGGTTCTTTGAGAAATCGACAGTTGTGACGGTGTCGACGGGAATTGCCTTCGACGAGCGGACGGAAAGGACGTCTGACAGGATCATCAAATCGCAGCGAAGAAGCAAGGCGGTAGTCAGAGCAGAGCATCTGGTCTGCAAGATGACGCTGTCATCGAACTTGAAGTCTGACTGTGCCTGCTTCTGAACGACGCGAGCATAGCGAACAAGCTCTTGAACACGCTTGAACGGCTGTTCATCTTTACTGACAAGACCTCTCAAGTTGTCAATGTTGTGTCTCAAGGCGATGATCTCACCATATCTGACTCCAGAAAGCCTCTGCTTGATGATTCGCATCTGCTCGACTCGAGAACCGATAAGATGAAGATCAATCTCTGCTGACTTGGCCTCTTCAAATGTAGCAGATAGAGTCTCTTGTGCCCTTGAGAAGTTATCGTATGCAATGACATATTCATTGTTTGACCAAGTGATGAACTTCAAGGTGCTCTGGATGAGCAGTGCGCGGCGGACAATTCTGCCATATCTGGGGATGTCGCGTAAAGAACGGCGACAGTCTGGGCAGACCATACGAGTCTTGTCGACGTCCAGAGAGTCTTCAGGAGCTCTGGGGGCAACAGGGAGACCATTAACATCCATGACATAATGCTCGCTGAGACCCAAGTGACCATCCATGGTCCCGATGGTGTAGAAGTGACCACATGCTGGGAAAATGCAGGGCTCTTCGTTCAAGTCGACATCGCTGTACGTGCTCATCATGATTAGATCAACAACACGGGACTTGACTTCTTCGCTGCAACACTCCTGGCAAAACTTCTCTCCAGGGCAAGGGGCGCCATCGATCGAAGGGCACTGATGACCACACTTCAAAGTCTTCTCGCAACGCAAAGAGCAGGGAACCCAATCACAAGGAGCTGCGCAAGGCATGCTACACTCGCTGTGAGGGCACGATGATGAGCAAGTCTGCTCTGCGCAAGGAGGACAAGGCTGAGAGCAAGTCAAAGGACAACTCGAGTGACTGCATTGGATTTCGCAGGGCTGGGTGCAGACGCCACAGTCTGTCCCATCGTGACAAGTCTTCACACAGCTGTGGCCGCAGTTCGTAAAGTCTCGACCGCAGACTTGACGACATCGGCCATGGCTTTCTTCAACGATTACACAATCAGCCCTCTTTTTGCAGTTGAAGCAAGAATTCTTACAGATGTGGCCACAACTCAAAGTGTCGCTGCACTTTGCCCGACACGAGAAGTTGTCATCGGTAACGTCCACACAGCACCTCAGAACCACAGTGTGACCGCAGCCTGGCACTTGACGCTCAACAGACTCCTCGCATTTGATCTGGTCTTGCTCATGGTATAGCCAGCATGGAAGAGATTTCTTCACATGGCCGCAAGGAAGCTCAACAATAATGTCCTTGACGATTTCCATACACTTCGAGGGGCACACTTCACCACAGACTTTAGGGCAAGCGTGGTCACATGTATGGCTGCCCGGCTGTCTCGGGCATGGAGCAAGACATTTGACAGCGTCATGAAGAGCCTGAGAGTGACAACGAGAAGTGCAATGGTGACCACAGCCCAGTCTTTGAGTGCATGGGAGCACACAGCCACCATCAGGAGCGAGTCGAATGAAGTCGTCCGGCTCTGTGACTCTCATGTCGTCGGCAATATGTCTTGGACATGCCAATTCCAAAGCATCACCAAAGTTGCCGTTCATCTGAAGTAGCTGAAGAACTTCAGTCCACATGGGAATATGCTGAGTGGTAGCTGAGTTTCCGATAATGAACATTCCGTTCTTCGCGCGAGACAGCAGGACGTTGATGCGGTTGGAAGTTCTCAAGAATCCACACTTCTGCTCCTTGTTACTTCTGACAAGTGAAATGACCACGACCTCGGCCTCTTCTCCTTGAAAGTTGTCCACTGTTGCGATTCGCACCGCTGAAGCAATTGAGCCTTTTTGAACGCCGGGTGCTAATGGGGCCCTCGATCGTGCTCCACCGTCATCGAGACCTTCGTCTTGGAGGCTCTTGACATCACGATCGTCGAGCAAAACTTCGAATGAGCTCTGCATGCGAAGACGTAGCTTTCTGAGTTGGCCGAGGTACGGTGTGAGAACCGCAATAGCTTCTGGCTTGTACGTTCCTTGCTTGATCAGGTGAGAGACGAGAGCAGTCGTCATCTCCACTTCGTAGTCATTCGTGTGCGAGGTAGATTGCAGACCTCCATGAGATTCCGGATACTGATGATCAAGCCAGAAGAGTCGCTTCCTCATCCCGGTTACTTCTGGATGTACAAGGGTGGATGATGCGTCAGAAAGCGTAGGATACAAAGTTGAACGCACCAGCTCAGAGATGCTCGGATGCATTCTTCTTTGTGTGTCGAGACGGCTGAATGGAAGACGGACGCCGCCACCAGCAGCATCAACCAGTCTTTCGAAGAGGGACGTGTCCAGGGCATATTGTCGACCTTGAACGCTCTCTTGTGAAAGCTCGTAGCACTGGACATGGGGTCGTAATTGCAAGTGATCGCCAATGAGAATGGCGTGTTCAACTGACGGCAGTAATGCGGTCAAAAGATGAGATTCGAGCACTTCACCGGCTTCCTCACAAAGAAGGATCTTCGACGGCAGCCTACGCAGGAGGCCAAGATTGCGTGCAAGACCTGAAGTCGTCACTCCAATCACTTCGGCTTGTTCGAGCACACGAAGATCGAGTTCGTTGCGGATGTTGTCGAGATTTGATCTGAGGTCTTCGAATTGCTCAACGCGGTCCATGATTGCATCGAGGACTGGTTTCTTGGCCCTTCGAAGCCAGTGGTTGTAGAGCTTGCGTCGCTCAACATGTGAAAGATCATACAGATCGTCGACTCCTGTGATAGCCTGGGTAGGCAGGTTGCTGTGGATCTGCCTGCCTCCATGCAACCATGCTCTGAGGCGATCTTCCGGACTTCCATGGCGCACTTTCTTAAACCCTTCCTTGTCTACCTCGATGGCAAAGAGCTGTGCATCGTGGCGAACGTTGTTTCGTGCCAGATATTTTCTGATGATGAGAGTGTCATGCGTCATCTCTTTCAGGTGTTCTGTAATCGCCCTGGCCTCGTCTTTCATTTGACCTCTGGTTTTGCCGTATTCCGACTTCTCGACCTTGGTCTTACCGGCCTTCTCGGCAACTTTTCGAAGGTTGAGATCGGTCAAACGCTCTGACTTGGAGCGGCTTCCAAGGCGAACAATTTGAGTGATGCCTTGGTCAAGGAGGTGCTCCAGAGACTGATCCAAAGCATGATTCGTGAATGTGACGACCAGGATAGGTCCCAAATTGCCCGTCTTTCTGTTACTCACCAATGTCTTGACTAGTGCGACACCAGTATAACTCTTTCCGGTGCCAGGGGGGCCCTGGATGAGAGCAAACGATCTAGAAAGAGATGATAAGAGGGCGGAGGCTTGAGTCTCATCCAAAGCAGATGTCTTCTGTAGGTTCTCGATGTCCGAACGTTTGAGACCTGATGGATCGAAAGAGTGGTTCTTGTCTTGAGTGATGGAGTCCAGGCTGAAACGAAATCCGGCTCTTCTGGCGTAGACGGGTGGAAGCACGGTGATTTCATCTGCTTCACCAGCCTGCGATGGTGCGAGAAAGTCGGAAAAAGGCAGATCGTTCTTCTTCGAGATGGCCTTCAGAGCTTTCAAAGTAGGTAAGAATGCGGGCAGGAGCACTCCTGGAAACTCGACTAACGAACGTCCGCCTTGGAAGTGGGTCTGAGAGAAGGTCCCAAGAATGTGACCAATACTCTCTTCGCTCATCTCGACGGGTCGAGCTATCACGCGAACGCGATCTTCGACGTTAGATGGAACGTGGTTGTGAGGATCAGGCGCATCGCCATCCTCCCTCTTGGGCCTCCTGGAAGGATCATCGGGAAAGCAGACGCTGCAGAAGACTACAGCCTGAGTGGAGCTGATGAGACAGATGAGAGCATCTCCTTCTAATCTCTTTGAGTCAGTCCACCATTCTTGACGCTTTCTTCTAGACCTCGGAAGCAGCTCAGGTGGCTGGTCAAAACTGACAACAAATTCCAAGCCTCTGAGGGGATCAAACTTGGGAAGTTCGACTAGAGCGTTGTGGTAGGTGTGCTTTTTCAAAGAACTGTTGCTGCCATGTGCACGTGGTGGCCCAGCCCCTTGCAGAGCCTCAAGCTCAATCCGAGCGCTGTCACGTAACTGACCGATGGTGTCCTCTCGAAGCAGTCTGAAGTGGCGGTCAAGTAGACCGGGAATACCTTGCTTATGCCAGCTGGAAGGATCCTGCAACGGGAGGTACTCTGCATGGATGCTTTGAATCTCCTCTGATGTCGGCATGATCTGGATATCTTCGATTGATTCGAAGTCGTTATCGTGTCGTGGGCTTCCATTGACTAGTCTTCCAGGGAAGCTTCGTTGCAGGGCAAACACCGGTCTCTCAACATCTGGACCTTGAACGTTTGTTATGTTTCGAATGACCTTGCCGATTCCTAGACGCTTGTTGATACTGTCGAGATGTTTCTCGGATTGACAACGCAGCAGATCTGCGGCTTCGTCGACTTGTGGTGTAACCATGGCGGCCAGAGTGGTTGCGTACGCTTCGTAGATTGGAGTGACCTTCGCTGTGCTAGCGAATTCGATGACTTTGGACAACACCGCCAGGGTTGCTTCGAGCGAAGTGAAGAAAGCGATATTCGGCTCGGGCATCATTGTAGTGAGCGCTTGAATAACTGCAGCGAATAGCTTCTCGCCTCTGGTACCTCCAACACCGTAGAGAAACAGGCAGATGTCACCGAGATGACGTTCGAGAAGGGGTGAAGACATGACATGTTCTTCGGAGAGGGCGCGGAAGAAAGGTACAATCTGGGTGCTGAATGCGTGCTTCATGGCCTTCTCAGACATGCCTCCAAAGTTCTGGCTCACAAGTTCAAGGACCTTGTTCAAGCCGCGGTCGGAAGCAAGACTTCTGATGACATCCTGACGGCAAGCGTTCTCCAAATTGACAAGCTGCAATGCCTGGTCAAAGAATCTGCCTAGGCCAAAGCCAAGCGGCTGGCGTTGGGTGACTTCCTTCTTCCAAGTATCAAGTTCGTGAGAGACGGTGTCATCATCTCTTGCAAGATTGTCATGTTGTTTGCCTGCGCCATCGTGCGAGAACTTGCAAGCTGTGCCATATTTGCAGCCTTGGGAGGTACTGAATAGGCGACAAGGTCGAGAGCTTGAGTTATGTTCTTGGTTCGTAGCGGACGTGTCATGGCTAAACTTGCATTGTGCGCCGAAACGACATTTACCATGCTTTTGGAAGGCATGGCAAACGCCTCTTCTGTTGCGCTCCATATCGGTGTTGCCAGAGAGGAAAACCGAATGAGACGATGATCAAGAAAGCTAGAGCTGTGGCGAGCAGACAGAGGTTGGTTGGGATGCAAGGCTTTTAAGGGCGCAAACGAGGTGAGAGTCAACGATTGCTGCAATTGGGAGAAACACCTGCGTGTTGCCGGCCACTGAGACTCACTTCTGCATCACTCACCCGCCAACCCTTCCGGAAGGCACTCCCGCATCACGTATAAACAAGCTACCATCAGTGTCGGAAGACACGGAGCTTTTGCGATTACGACATACCCGCTGAGAAGCCACTTGGAGTGCTCTCCTTTGTCCGAAACATTGTACCTTTCGACAGCTCCATTGTGGGCTTTGCGTTTCTGCTCGTTTGTCTCAGTAGACCTAGGAACATATCCATTCTCTTCCGGAAGAATATGGATTCTTTCAAGCTTATTCCCAAATCTGAACTTGAGACACGAGTGATATTTGGGCGCTTATGCTGATGCATGTTGTCTGCAGACAGCAGTTGCTACCCGAAGGCGGTGAGCACGCTGGTCACCGGCAGACCTCGAGTCATGGTTGTTGCAAGCGCCAGTTCGATTTGGTCATGACAATACACAGAGGTAGCTGTAATGGATAGCAGATGCAACACTAGTCGTCTTGAAACCCGTACTCTTGACGTTGTTTACAGGTATTTGTAGAGTCAATCGCATGATCGGCAGTGATGCTACTCAGACATTGGAATTCATACTCCATGTGATGGTGAGAAACATCACAGACAGCGACCACTGAGAAGGTTAGACATGGTGGCAATCACAAGAGACAAGCATACTCAAAGACACAGAGATATCGATTGCACAACCATAGAAACACCATTCGAAATGCCCCCAAAACATGGCAAGCCCGAAAAAGAAAGAACAAAAAAAGCAAAAGTAGAAAACACCATTGAACACCACTTCTCCCCTTTTTGTACATCTCTTGGTCTTTTTTCTCTTCTTTCTTTCGTTCTTGGTCGGGCGATTAAAATCAGGGCGAAAGACAGTAAGGCAGCGTCGCGTTCTTCTTGGTCCTGTTGTCTCAAAGGGAGGAGGGGACGAGGGAGGGAATTTCGGAAGGTTGATGAAACAGAAGAAGCTCTTTTGGGTATCTCTCTCGACCGGGCACACCGGAAAAAATCTCGTACAAAGCGCAACAAACCGCCGCCACCACCAAGTTGCGAAAAAGGGCATCGCGTCTCTCTTTTCGTTCTTTGCAGCGTTCCCAGGGGATCGTGAGGACTTTTGATCGAGTTTGTCGTATGGCGCTTCTCTGAATATCTCTCATTGACGACATGACGCATATGCAAAAAGGGGATCTTTTGAAGAAAAGGGACGAAAAAGGAATTTTTGGACATTAGAAGAAGACGCAAACCCCCGGTGCGACGACATTTTTTAAACTCTCGCTCATGCGTCGGTGGTTGACGCGGCCTCGTCAATGGAGGGGGTGGCCTTCGAGACTGGTGGTGAACCGGCGTTAGAGGGGGGAGATGCGACATCGTCGGCGCCTTCGTTCTCTTGGTTCTCAAGAGCAGCGAGTGCACTGTGAATGTGGTTAGTTACGAGAAGAATAATCGACACCAGAAAGTGTTACTCACCTGAAAGCATTGACGTGTGTAGTCTCCTCCTTCTTTTGTTGCGAAGGTGTGCCTGATCTGGATGAGGGACCAGAGCCCTCGCCATCCCTAGGGGGACCGAGACCCTTACGACCGCTACCGCTGCGGGAGCTGCTGAATAGCGAGCTGGGTCCGAGCTGAGGACCAAGACCAGCACTGGCTTGACGTTGCGAACCACGGGCTTGGAGGCGACGGAGGTCATCCATACCGACTTGGTTACGGGGGTAGTCCGGTGGAGGCATGCCACCGTGACCGGAGAAAGAGCGGGCATCACCACGGCCCATGGGAGCACGACCGTGACCTCCACGGTTGCTGTTGTTTCTTTGTCTCTCGACTTCGGCAGCGGCCTGTGCGGCCTCGGCCTCTGCGTGAATCTCCTCAATGGTCTTGGGGCCCTTGTCGGCGTCCTTCGATCTCCAGTTGTTCTTCCTGAGATCGATGATATCCTGGGATGTGTTAGCTAAATTCCTATACTCGTGCGGCTCAACAGCAACTTACCATGAGCATGAATCTCGATCTGCTGGGCATGTCCTTGTGTTGGTCAAGAATGCTTGCAACGCGGTCGTAGTAGACGTTGACGAGCTGGTGTCCTTGCTCGGTGCTGTCCATAGTAGCACCAACAGCCTTGAGAAGCTTGGACAAGTTCTCGACGGCTGATTCATCAGGCTGGCCCTCAAAGTTCAACAGTCTCAAAACACACTGGTGCATAATCTTGACTGTAAGCATGCCGAGCTTGTAAAGCTCACCAATGAACTGAATGAGACCAAGACCCTTTCTCTTGGCGGCAGCAGCAATGTAGTACTCGTCAGACAACAGAGTAGCCTCCTTGCCCTCGGGCATGGGAGGAAGGTTGGCTTCCCAACCACGCTCGAACTCCTCTTGACAGCGGTTGAGCAAGTACTTTCTGAAAAGACCACCACCGACAACGGGCTGACCGCTCTTGTCCCGGATAGTCTCATCAACAATCTCGTTGCTCATACTGGTCAACATCTTGGAGCAGAACTTGGCATAGGTACCAGCCCAGTGAGCCTCGTCACAGGCCTTCTCGAAGGTGAGCTGAATGACTTGACGCAATGTGCGACCGTCTGTCTCCTTCTTGGACTGGTTGGCGATCTCGATGATCTGGTCTGAGATTTTCTCGAAGTTCTCGGGAGTCATCTTGTTCAGAGCAGCCTTAACCTTACGCTGAACCATGTCAGGAGGCATCTGGCCGTCAGGAGGGGGAGCGGCAGCGCCGGCGGGTGCACCAATGCTGCGGGCCGTCCATCCACTCTGAGACTTCTCGAGAGGCTTGAGGTCCATACCAGCAGTAAGAGGCATGTTCTTGGCGGCGTTGGCATCTTCTCTGTCGTGGTGACGCGAGGGGTTACCACGCTTGCTGCCGCCTCCTCTGCGGGAAGTGTTAGTTCTAGGCGAACCAGGGCCACCCATGCCGGCCATGGTCTGAAGAGAGTTGGTGCGGCTGAGAGAACCTTGAGCAGGGAAACCACCACGGCCCATACCCATAGGAGCACCTCTGGTAGAAGCGTTGAAACGGTCGGCTGAGGTAGTACCGGCAGGGAGCGTACGGGTGTTGCCACTGGCGAAGTTGCCCATGGCACTGAACTGGTTAGCACCTCTGTTAGAGGGCTGGCGACCACCCATGCTGGCACCACCACGGCTGTTTTGGCGACCAGAATTGTCACCCTCGCCAAGAGTCTCCTTGACTCTCGAATCCCAATCCACTGTGGGCTTCTCCTTGAAGACGCTCTGGAACTGGAGCAAGAAATCCATGTCGTACTCCTTGCCAACGCGCTTGCCAGTCTGGTTAAGTGCTGGGTTGGGGGACTTGAAGCCCTCGGGGTAGCTGAACTGGTCGTTCTTGATCTCGAGGAAGCGGGCAGACTTGAGCGACTGCATACCAGCAGTGGGTTGTGCGGGCTCGATGTTCTTGGTCATGTCGAGCTTGAGGTTGGCCGGCTTGGCCTTGGGAGCGGCGGGCTCAGCTGCAGGCTCAGCTGCGGCAGCAGCCTCCTCGGTGGCACCGGGACCGAGAGTGGGCTTCTTCAGCGATGCGAAGAGCTTAGCGTCTTCAGCCTTCTGCTCGTCGGTCTTCTCTGCCGAAGCTTCACCCTCGCGCTCCTTCTCCTTCTTGAGTTCAAGCTCCTCGGCCTCACGCTCCAGACGCTTCATCTCCTCATCGGCCTTGTCAGCGGCCTCTTTGTCCTTTGCGGCTTGGGCCTCCTTCTCCTTGTTTCTCTTCTCTTGGAAAGCACGCTCACGCTCTTCCTCGAGACGCTCGGCCTCCTCCATCTCGGCGATCTCGCGCTCGATGCGCTCATCTTCCTCACGCTTGAGACGGGCGGCCTCATCTTCGTCAGACTTGGCCTTGTCGGCAGCCTCCTTAGCGCTTGCCTCCTCAGCGGCCTTCTTGTCGGCCTCTTCTTTGTCCTTTTGAGCCTTGGCCGCGGCCTCTTCCTCCTCCTCCTTCTTGGCCTTAGCCTCAGCCTCCTCCTTGTCTTGAGCAGCCTTCTTCTCAGCATCGTCCTTGTCCTGGGTAGCCTTCTTATCGGCGTCTTCCTTGTCTTGAACGGCCTTCTTTTCGGCTTCTTCCTTGGCGCGCTGAGCCTCAAGGTTACGCTTGACCTGCTCCTGGAAAGCAGATTTGGTCTCTGCATCAGTCTTTGTGCTCTTGCTCTCGGTGCGAATGTGCTGGACGCTAGGAGTGCGAGGAGGAGGAGTGGGAGCTGAAGAAACAATGGCGGGCGATTGAGGAGCGGGCGAGGGCTTCTTCTCGAAGTTGATCTCCTCGCCCTTCTCGTTCTTGATGACAATGGCCTTGCTCTTGGTCTTGGTAGGAATTTGGAAGTTGTTTGAGGCGGCAGCAGGTGTGCCAGGGGCGGGAGAAGCTTGAGGAGCACCAGGGGCGGGCGCAGCAGGTTGGCCGACGCTCGAGCTAGGTCTCTCGGAGATCTGAGAGCCGCTACGGGACATAGGGTTGTGGTAGGCTGAGTTCATGTGGTTGGGAGGGCCACCGTAGCTAGCAGGGTAAGGGTTGTTGGGACGAGGGCTGGGCGGGGCACCCTGGGGGTATTGGCCTTGAGGGAAGTAGGGCTGGTAGTAGCCGAACTGGGGGTCGTAAGGAGATTGCATGCCGTAGATAGCTTGCTGCTGGGGGTTGAGGTGGGGCTGGAAACCAGCGTGCATGGGCTGCTGGTGTTGCGGCATGAAAGGTTGTGCGTGCATCATAGCAGGGCTGTTTCTTCCACGGTAACCACCACCGGGAGAGCCGGCCATGGCGGCGCCAGGCTGGAACTGGGCGGCCTGGGGAGGCATGTTAGGACCGTTGCGACCCTGGTAAGGAAGCGGGCGGTGGCTCTGAGCAGGCGAGTGGGGGTTGTAGCCACCAGGAGTGAAACCACGACCACGGCCATTGCCAGGCACAAAGTTACCGCGCATGCCGGCGTCGCTGTGTTGTGACTGCGACGAAGGACGGCGCATGTGAATGGGCTGACTGGAGGGAGTCAGAGGAGCAGCGTTGTTCTGTACGACATTGGTCAGCTGCGGTGGCACATGGACTTGCATCATATCAAGACTGACTTCACCGTTCTCAGCGCCGAAGCTGCCGAAGTTGGGGGCATTGTTCTGGCCGGGGAGGTTGGCCGGAGGCTTGCCACCGCTAGCGGCGGGCTGGGGGATGGGCGAAGGTGAGTGGGAGGGCGAGATGATGTTGGGGTTTGCGGCGGAGAGATTGGGGGTCGTCTGCTGGGCGGGGACGCTGCTTGCGATGGCAGGAGAGCCGGTCGGGCCGTTCATGGAGCCAAAGTTGATGTTTGGTCTCGAGCTCTGGGTTTGAGGACCGCCGTTGGGAATCTGTCCGGTGGTGCCAGAGGCGCTTATGATGACCGAGGGCTTCCTGCCATGGTCGCCATTCTGCATGGTGGAGGATTTTGTAGACTGAGAGGCGGGGTTGGTCTTCAGTTTGCTTGCATTCTGTGCTTGCGAGGTCGCGCTGGTCTTGTTGGCGATACTGGCGTAGGAAAGCTGCGCCGGCACAGCCTTTTGCTGTGAAGATTGAGCTGCTGAAGCGGCTTGGGGCTGGTTCTGCGCAGCGGATGGGATTTCGCTGGTCATTAGACAGGCGGGGGGTGACTATAGAGTCGAGGGTGATGAGAGGTCGACGACGACAAAGGCCGATGGAAGTTTTGCCTGGCTGCCGCTAAATTCGAAGCGGTACGTGCGTTCACTTTTCGACGCGCGCACAAGTCCGACACTCTGCGATTCTTGCGATGTAGCTGGAGAGATTTGCGCTGATGATACACGCTATGCTGATCAAGGCGAAAAAGACGCTCAAAATCTCACAGCGATGCACTGTACAAAAAGGCGAAGATGCGACTCTGTGTTGCTGAAGAGTGCGTTTGTCGGCGGCCTTCCGATGTTGGGAAAACTCACACTAAATTTCCACACGACACGACTTAACTAAAAGCTGCCGTTTGATGAAAGTGACGGGTCGAATGAAGAAGATTCGGTGATGCTTGTTCTTTGAAAGTCGGATTTCGAGTATCGTGTGAAGTATTGTCCCTGAGAGATGAAACGATCAAGACAAAGGGTAGTTTGGAGCATGTCTATCTAACCCTCCTTCCGTGCCGGCTGCTGCCTCTCACTCTATCAAATTCACTCTCCGCTTCACTTCTTGTCCTTCCAACCACTCAGCTTCGTCCTTGGCCTTTCTCTGAGACGTCTTCACCTTGTTGGGATTCTTTATTACTCAGACATGCTCTCTGCCATTCGCCAATCTGGCAGCCTTGACTTTTCCAAAACCTTTGGAGATACCAAATCCGCCTTCAGCTGCACACTGCCGTCATTAACTGATGTTCCCAAATTTTCATCATCAACAATGTGGACGAATCAGGCTCAAGAACAGGAATCTTGCATGTGTGACGGTTGTTGGGAACGTCGTTTCGAACACGCCGATCGAGGAACACCCTCAAAGGAACTTGATATTGTTCGTGGGCTACCGTCCATCTCATGTCATGACCCTGTCTTTGATAACTTTAACCAACAGTCCTTGCGGCTTGTTTTCCAGCTTGTTCGCAACAAGTGTCAATATTTTCTCGACCATTATCTTCGTGTCTCGAACTGTTCTAACCACACAGACAAACTTTGAATTTTCGCGTGTTGATTTTGACCGTTGAAATGCATGTGATCGGTCAAAATGATGCTACACTCCAACGTCTTGCCATTTGATTCGCCGGCGAGCATCATAGTCATCATGACTTCCTCCCATAATGGCCTATCAACGTACCATATGAATGCATCAAAATACTAATACCAAATGTGACTATAAGAGCCACTCCCTAGTTGTTGCGTTCTATGAAGTGCAGTTGATCATATTCGTTGCCATCTTGTCTCCATCTAATGCAAGCCTGTCCGCGGAAGCTTGCTTGTCAAACAGCTGCTTGACAAACGGTCGTTTGGTGTGACCCTGTCGCAAGCGCATTCGGCAACACTAGTTTTCCTTCTTCTTCTCCTTCTCCCTCGTGTGCCACAAAATTCGTCATACCCGCTGCTATTGGTATGCACGAACATTCTTTCACTAGTATCGTATACATTGAGGGTATATCGAGCGTTTTATGTCGACCTGTTGTGCTCTCTAGCTTTCCACAGCTTCGATATCTTTGAGGTTCAGAGCAAAAGGACGGGCTCACACATAGGGGAAACTATGTATATGCGTGTCGCCGTTCATGATGAAGTTACCCGCTTTGAGCTCTTCGACAGTCACTTTCTCAATTGATCGCACCAGACGCAATAGATGATGTTCAATTGTGCCGAAAAACACATAGCAACATCTCGAGGGAAAACCCAGCCATCAAGGTCTGGAGGATCTTAGGCAAGGATGTCCGGGCTGCCACCGAACCAGGGTACAATAAGGAAGATGTCGCTACCTGCCAACTCGGAAGCACAAGCAAACATATCGACCTCTCTGCTAACCATGGTCTGCTTTTTTCGAGATCCTCCCGAGGATAAGGCAATCCATGGTAAGCACAAAAAGCACGTGCAATTCACCTTTTTCACGCCCTAACATCCAAGCTCCATTGTATCAATCTTGCACTTTCCTCGCCGCCTTCCGAACAAATTTACCAAAACATTGCAATTTCGGCACGGGCGTGAAGGATCAACAAGAATTTAGAGAAGCAGCAGAGAGGCGAGAGAGAGGCGAGAGAGAGGCGCTGCCACCACATTTCACCCACAGACCGCCTGTTCGACAAGTTTCGACAAGTCCAAACCGCAAAACGGGTCTCCCAGCGCACAGATGTCAGCCTACAATTTTAAACAATCGCAATACAAGAACGCTCGAGCTTTGGAGTCGGTGTCGCCTCAGATTCCAGATCGCACTGTCAACATCGCTTGCGCACCGCAAACGGCGAGTCAGAGGAACGCCTGGAGCAGCTCTTGGTTCTGGTGCGACCTGCCCTGCCGCCGAACTGTCTGAGCGTAATCCGACGACAACTCGTTCTTTCGGGACGGCCGTCAAACAGCTCATCTCATCTTCCGTTCGCTGTGCACTGTTTTCTGTCGCAATCATTCCGTCTACGCGCGTAGCAAGCAGACGTAGCAACGATTCAGATCAGGGCTGTCAAGCAAAAAGTTCCCTTCTTCTCTTTCCGACGTCCCGTCCTGCGAGTCAAGGACCATCCAGAAGTCGAAATGGCTCTTGAACATTGCCCTGCCCTGATCTCCCGACAAACAGCAACAGAGGGACCGCGTGATTTATTTCCGTCCTCCTTCTTATTCTCGGGAGGTCTTGCGCCGTCGGGACCTGCCTATCTTGCAGACCCGCATCTAGCCAAGGCCATTGCCATCTATCCAATATAGCAACAGCAAAGTCAAAAAGTAGGTCAGAATAGGCTGACCAACCCTCGCTTGATGATTCGTCGAACGATGTAGAGGTAGGGGCCTCTCAGAATAGCAATTCCGGGATTTGATGCCTCCGTTGATGAAGGCATCAGCAAGAACCGGGATTTGGAGAAAAGAAGCAAGAGTAAGAGAGACATGGATCTCGGATTCGCTTTCGTCGATTCATGAGAAAGCAGCTTCATGTACAAGAGGCACGTGTTCGGAGGTTCTTATCTGTATGCAGTAGGTTGAGGTGCGATCATCCAGGATTACTATTCAGGCATTTACGTGTCCTGTCTTGGACTTTGCTTTTCCCCTGCCGCCCTTCACTGACTCCTACGGCACTGACCGGTCAACCATCATTCTAGGCAGCCATGGCCCATGGCCGGCTTGTACAGCAGAAGCTTGTTCCCCATAATGCAACAAAGTAGGAGCGAAGTCAAGAACGGAGGCATCTATTTCCGATACCATCGGTGGCAGCTTCCTATCCCGCACTGGATGTCCACGCATCCACGTATTAGTGAGCCGCACCCGCCACCTCAGAAGTGAGCATGGGGCACAAGAGAGAAAAAACCAGCCGGTGAAGAGCGTGTGCTTGCGTGCAGGCGTGCCCACATCCCGATTCCGAGCCCGATCATCAACCCTCTCTCATATCGCACCGGAGCTTGCCTCACACCGGGGAGGAGCTCATCGGGTCCCAGCCCCCCGTCGCGGGCCCCCCTTGTCTGTTGTCTCAAACATCTCGCCTCCGGTAGACTGGTCGCAAGACAGACCCACGTTGCAACAAGAGAACCACATGTCTTGCAATCCATGTTGGTCTGATTTCTCCTCACCGTCAATCGCAATAACCAATTTACCCAAGCAGCCTCGTCTTGCATGCCCAAAATGGCCATCAAGTGCGGCGGTAAAGCAAGAACCAGGGGATGCCAAAGGCAGCAAGAAGAATTTTGAATTTTTGGCCTTTGTTGGCGCCTACTCTGCTTTGTGTCTTTTGCCCTGACTGCTGCAGTGCATTGCTGTCCAGTGCTGTCTAGACCCACATCATGTGTCCCTTGTGCTTCTCTCCCCCCTCCTTCTCTCCTCCTGAAACCTTGTTCTACCCTGCATGCTGCATTCTTTTCCCAAAATCTGCACCTAGCGGACCACTCAGAAGACCAAGAACTCGAAAAAAGGATCGGTCTAAAAGGATCAAAAGGACCTTGTGGATCTTTGCATTTCGAAAATGCCAATGTGGAACTTGTCTTGATGGTGGAGGAAGCATATGCACGTTCGCTAAAATACTGCATAAGCTCCAAAAAAATTCTTTTTTGGACAGTGCTAAGGGCTTTGGTGGTACGAGCCAGATCTTTGTGAGCAATAACCTTGCAATCTGAGGTTCCGGCAAGGTTTAAAAACAAAAAAAAACCACACGAGGTCGTGATTGAAATATCTGAAATGCATTGCAGATGCATGATAGTTTTTGCCAATTATCTCGAATGGGATTGGAGGAAACAGATTGATTTTCGAGTGCGGCAGTTGAGATCCTTGGGACCATGGCTTGGTTTTGGTTGCAGGTGCGAGATTGTGCATGATGTGATAAGGTGGCCCTCTCGTAAGTCGGGTTTCAAAAGGCGTGCTGGGTAGGGCAGCCAGGCAGTCTGTTCAACAGAAGCTTGAGGAAAGCACGATGCAGCTGGACAACCCCGATTTTGAACAGGAAAAGGAGAACGGTACGGAAGAAAGATCGGCTCGTAGAATTGGAAAGTAGCTACCCTGAACTCTCAAGGATACTTTATGTACATAGTGACGTCCATCTCGAGCAAAAGTATACAATATGAACGATCTGCCTTGCCCCAGTGCTCCTCCCGTTGCCAGATTGATGCTTGTAACCACAAAATGCCAGATCGATAGTATTAGTATATGAAGGATGCGATGTGATGCGATGCGATGCGTTTGTGTGATGGATAAATAAACATTTGTTGGTGCCCCTTACCGCTCTACGGTTCAGATGATGGGCCAAGATATACAGGGCGTAACCCTTTTCCTTCTCTATATAACAAGAATTGGGGGGAAGGGCTCGAAAGAAGTGAACAAGATTTACACACACAACGCGTATGGGAGTATCCGCTAAAGAAACAAGAGAAAATGACAAAAAAGAGTATTGCGAGATGGGGTTTGCTGATAGCCTCTGTTGTGGGCGTCATCCATCACCATCTCGGGCCATGCGCCTGATTGGATGCGAGAAGGATAACTTTTTGAAGTGAGCTTCTGTCGCTGGTCCGGATTGCCTCGCTGTGTGGAGCCGGCAGTCTAGTAAGAAGATGTAATGGGAACACCGCCATCGCTGTGTTCGCCCTCAGATTCATTGCTGCGCTGTCCGGGGTATGAGGGACGCTGTGCGATACCAGGCGCCACGGGAGCAGGAGGTTGCTGCGCTTGAGGCTGGTGGTGGTTGGGCTGCTGAGGCTGTGCTTGCTGCTGCTGCTCCGAACGCTGCATGTATGGGCCCGAGTACGAGGAGGAGGGGGCGAATTGGTTGCTGAAGTTGGCATAGTGGGGCATTTGAGGCGTGGAGTAAGGAGTCGGGTTGTGGTACTGTTGGTATTCGGGGAAGGACGAGGGGTGTTGGCTGAGAAGTTGTTGGCTGTCTCTGTGGTAGGCGTTGATCATGTCGATGCTGGGAGCGCCGCTGGTAGGCGGCTGAGCTGGGCGTACGCTCGATTGATAGCTGGGGAAGCCGTCTAAACAGCAGGTTAGCGAGTTGTATTTCTGATTGGACACATGTGCGACTCACAAGGTGGGAGACCCAAGCCATACGGGCCGCTTGGGGGAGGCATGTTCCTCTGCGCATCTTGTTGAGAGATGTAGCCCTGACCTTCAGATGCCGAGAGTCCTGGAGTTCTTGCCTCTGAAGGGTGTTGCGAGCTTTCGCCGCTCAAGCTGCCGTAAGACATGCTGGATCTCAGAGGAGATGAGGTTGCAGTCTCTCCACTTGCGCGTCTGAAACGATCATGGACAGGAAGACGGGGAGGTTGGGAGTATTGGCTTGTGTACGATGGAGGAGGTCCAGGGAACATGGCTCTTTGAGGGCTATCCACGTTTGATCGAGGAGTGTATCCGTAAGCAGCACCTTCAGGCGGTCTAGAGACGGGAGACATGGTGTCGGTGGCAGAATGCGGAGGGGTATATGCCATGGATGTCATACCAGGCGGAATGCCGGTTGGGCTGACATAGCTAGGTCCCATGTCTCCTCGGCGGAGGGTGTCGAGGGTCAATGGACGAATGTGTCCGGGCTGGTGAATGACGGTACCGTAACTGGCAGGGGAGGCGCCCGGTGTGATGCCTCCAGGAGCTGCGCCATAGTTGTTGTGCAGACTGGGTGTCATGTCGAAGTTGTCAGGTAGAGCTCTTGACTTCATCATTCTCTCACGATCCTCGGCTGTCAAGCGCTTCAGCTTCGCACGTCTGTTCTGGAACCACACCTGGACCTGACGCGGGCTGAGGCCAGGAATCTCTCTCGACAGTCTCTCGCGATGCGCAGCATCAGGATGAGCTTGACGACTGAACTCGCTCATCAGGAATCTTGTCTGGTTATGCGTGAGTCTGGAACCAATTAGCATACTATTCCGCTGTTGTCAAACATCAGAGCATCTCACCTAAACCGCTTCATCTTGCGCTTCTGATTTCTGATCTCGGCTGCCGTCATGGGAACTTTGTTCTCGCCGTCGTCTGCTTCTCCACTCGCATCATCGTCATCATCCGCAATCTCATCGTCGGGGTCGATTCCTTGCGAATGAGGGCTCATATGAGATGAAGGGCTGCCAGGCAGAGATTCACCCAAAGTCTGCTGTCCAGGTCCCGTATTGGCTTGAGACGTCGCGTGAGGCTTGCCCTCTGATGAAGCGTGTTGTGCGTAAGCACCCGGAGCAGTGCTACCGGCCGAGTACTGAGCATTGAGAGGGTATGGCGATGTCTTGTACGACCTCAGTGAGGGTCCTTGGGGTGCACTCAGAACATGGCTGTTTGGCATAGGCTCCTGAGGAGTCTGGTACTGGCTCGGTGCATGGGAATATCCCTGCCCGAAAGACGGTTGGTGATCCGGATGTGCTTGCCAACCAGGTAGTGCTGGCTTGTAGTCTTGAGCAGACATGCGAGGAGAGCTCGGTGGTGACAGGGGCTCAATGATCTTTCCTTGAAGCATTTGATTACACGTCTCTGTATAAGGCAATCAGGTTGCGACGCCTTTGTTGATGCCGCGTAAATTGGTTCGACGAGAGCCGCGATGACAGACCGCAAAGCTGCCGTGATTCGCAGAGCTTGGTAGAAATGCTGAAAGGATTCCGAGACCCCGACAAGATACCCGTGGCGATTTCCAGCAGCAGCCAAGCAGATCCTTGAAAAGTTGACAAATTAATTAGGCGTAGAGCTCTGGGGGCAGAGGAGAGAGAGGCGCAAGGTTGATGGAGCAATAAGGGTACCGCGGGTGTGGCCCACTGCAAGCTTGAAGCTGCCACAAAGTTGGTTGTGGGGATGACAAGAGTCGACAGGAAGGAGCGATCGCTCAATATCAAAAGCAATATCAAGTAAATGCGCGACCTTTGTTGGAGATGCGCGCAAGAATGACGCGTTGCTTTTTGGTAGAGAGTGTTGTAAGAATAGTGTAGCAAAACACTGACCAGCCAACGACTGTGGGAAGAGGTACAGTACTGTAGGACAGAGAAAGTTGCGGCAAAGCCGAGAAGATCAAGGCAGTGGGCCGGTTGGTCTGGTCGACGGTTCGGCGGAGCTATGCTCACCGCAGGGGGAGACGTCAAGAAGGTTTAAACGAACGGAGATGAGGCTAATAGATTAGCAGTTGCGCAAGCACAAAACTTGACTCGTGCAAGAGGTGAGGATCTCAAAAGACGAGACAATCAGATGATGGCAACTCGAAGGTTCTGGATGTGGGGTGTCAGCAGGTGTTGCAAAACCAATTCGGCAGTCGATGGTGTAAAAGAAGGTGGTATCCGGCCTCTTGATACTCGGAAGTCCCAAGCACCATAAGGGTGGCTGCAGGAAGGGAGAGATGGCCGAGTCAGTATGAGAAGTTCAGCGGTAACTTCATCAAAAGGATCGCACGGGGACGAGGGCAGCGATGGCCATGTCAACATCGACATGTCAAGGACTCAAGCTCACCTGCTTGCTTCTGCACGGTGCTTCTCGGCAGCCAATGCTCGTTTTAGTGCCTGTGGGTTCGACTAAGGGTCCACAGCCAATGATAGGGATACGGATTGGCGTGTACCTCGGATGAAAGCCTCAGGTGGGAATATCCAGCATGTAAATAGCCTTGCGAGTGGTGAAGCGTGCGGAGATTTATTCCACCTGTTGCAGTTGACCAAAAGTCCAGGACGTGCACTAGTAAGATGCCCGGGAAACTTTATGCGCTGTGCAGAGCATTTCCGAGATGGCTGGAACACATGTGGTAACTGCCGACGGGGGTGAGTCGAGGTTATGGTAGTGGGACCGGACCCTGTCAGGATGATTCCCACGTTCACCGCTAATGGTTGGCTGCAGATACAAGCCGCTACCACTCACGGATGAGGCGCTTTGATGGCGCATGGTTGCGGGGGTGGTGGGACTAGTCGTCAAGTGACATGCGTGCTTGTCCTGCCGCCAAAAAGCGCACGGAGGCAGACGTCGCATGCCCTCTGTTCTTTCAATAGTTTCCTGCAGCCACGATGGTTCGCAGAAGTCATTGGGACGACCTCGAGTATCCTGCAAAACACCCACGAGATACCGTACACTCACTGTGATGCGGCCCAAGGCATTCGGTTAGAGTAGAAGCCTAAACGCGCGTATTTCTTCTGAAGGACATTGCTTCTGCTTGACACCCACCTTTTCGATGGCTTTCATCTCGTCTAATGGGTCTCCCCCCGCTGTGGTCTGACGCTGTCTGAAGCTCAGACTTGGCTTCTTCGGCTCTTCCCTGAGCTGTGCATGAGGGCCGACCTGGACTGGCTCGACCAATCCGAAGCGGTGATTGTGAAGCATTTCCAGAAGATCGATCAACCGTTTTTCATACGACTTCTTCTTGCGGGCCGCTCCGGGGCGTGGCAGGTTGGCACTTCTCGTTTGTCACAGCTGTCAAGCAGGGATCCTAAGACACGATTGCCCAAGTCCTGCATTTTGTTTTCATTCTTGGCTTGGAATAAATATCCTTTGCTTGTCCATCTTTCTTTTTGGTTTGCGGAGCGAGATTCTGCAGTTCCGCGCTTCTCCGCTGATGCTTTTCTTAGTTATCTTAACCGAAGAGGCAGGTGAAGCCACCACCAGATCATGAGCCAGGCGCTTTCTGGCGGGTGCCACAAGAGCATCTCCCTAATGATCGGCGACCAGGGAGGAAGCGATGGACAATGAGCCGGTTTGAAAAGAGGGTTGTCAGAATTGCAGGAGTCAGACCTGAGCCGAGTAGCTCGTGGTCCGTCGCCAGCGAACACAGTTCGTCCATTGCCGCTCCGGCTACTCATACAACCGGCGCCACGTGCTGGCGGTTTACCATCGCAATCGTCAGGCACCCCTCGAATAACGTTGTTGCCAAGCGGGCTCCTGGACGAGTTGTGTGTTTCGAATTGGACGGCATCACCTTTGCGAGCAGCGTCACCGTCGGAACGGAGGGCGGCTAGAGATTTGCTGCTCGAGCTCCTGGGCCTGCTTTCCGAGTTGCTCGTGCTCAAAAGCTTTTGCGACCCAAGGAGTAGGACCTGATGCTGCGGCGTGCTTGCGGAAGTTGGGTTGCTCGGGCCCGACACGCGTAGAGAAAGACGGCGGTTTGATCTACGCAGGGTGCACTAAGCGAGCCGCCATGTGAATCGAGCGCATTCAGTTCGCCAAGCCATCAAACCCCCCTCCGTTCGCAAGTGGCTCTTGCGCGATGGCTAATCTCTACCGTCAAGTCAAGAGGCTCTGTGCAATCGGGCGACCATTTCAGTAAATTAGACAACAACAATGGTCAGGATTGGGGATGTTGACTGAGCTGCAATTGCCAAAAACAACACGACATGAAGTTGAATGGATCAAGGTTGTGCGGGTGAGAAACCGTCGAGATCAAGGGGCGCACAGGGCAAGATTGCAACGGCGCCCATCGCCGCGCCGGAACATTACAACCAAACAACCGCCTCCATCTCCAACCCTAGGCGCATGTAGATCGAAGGAACGTGATGATCTTGCATACCAACAACGTGTTTGCATTGCTTGTTGTCACTCCAAGGGACTTCAATAATAGAAATCAAGACGGCTCACTGCATGTTATTTATCTATTCAGTGACCTCCTGTTCCTCTGCTTTGCCATCCGTGGCCACGGCTACCTCTCCACTGTCATTCTCTGGTGCAGATGCAGATGGGTCGTGAGCGGCAGACTCTTTCTGGTTCTCCTCCTGTTTGAACAAGGCCGGTAAGCGCGTGGAGGGATCCACCTTGTCCAACAACGCCAGCGATGTTCTGGATGCAGCCCGCAGCGCACGCCAGGTCTTGCTCTGCTTGGCGGCCTCCAAAGAGTACTTTTCATCTTCTGTCATGGCCATTTCGAGATCAAGGTCGTCGCTCTCAATTCCCTTGACGAGCTCCTCGGGTGATGGTGCCGTGAATCTGTTGCAAGAAGATCAGTGCCTATCTTTAGAGCAGGGGATATCATCTCTGCACATACCTTGAAGCCTCCTTGAGAGCTTCGAGTCCTTTTGCGTTGTCTACTTCTGCGAGGAAGGTCACGTCGATGGCTCCCATTGGTTTCGCCTTGAGGCGCTTGTTGACGGTCGCTTGCCGAGCACCAGACTTCGCTTCTGTGTTTTCCTCTGGGGTGACTGCTTCCTTGACGATCTGTGGACAACTTTCCAATTTCCATCTAACCCAATTCTTGTCACGGGAGAGCACAGTGTCGACCATACGATAGTAAAACTTTCCTTCTGGTCCTTCCTGCAGGTAACCAGCAATTCTGGAGCGTGTTGAAATTACCCATTTCTCCTGCAAGGTGTCAGTACGCGCTTGGATGGGTTCGCTTGCATTTGTGGCACATACGTTATCCTCGCTCAGCGTGAAGCCGTACAGAAGGCCCCTGTTGGCTGACTTGGAGCTGGTTTTCTCGACCTCTGCCCACTTCTTCTTTGCTTTTTCTGTGAGAGATAGCAGAAAGTCGATGAGAATGAGCCCTTGGACAAGGATGTGGCGTTGGAAGGCCAGGTCGCTCAGCTGTTGAATATTAGAGTGGATGTCCCTTCCCATTCGCACGCTGGAAAACTGACCTCGAGTTCGAAGAGTTCACGGCTAGTTAGGTATTTGGGGTTGTAGTTGCTTGCGTACTGATCGCCATTGTCATCGCCCAGCTTGCGTTTGATACCACGCTGAGCATCTCCAGCGCTCTTTGTTTGTGCGACTACCGGGGTCTTTTTAAATTTTGTCAAGGTTTTCTCGATGCCATTCTTGAAAGGACTGAAGTTCTCGTCCTCGAAGAGTCGTATGGGATTTGAAAAGTCGTGTTGAAGTCTCCAGAAGATAGGGTAGAACTCTGAGTTTTCGTTCTTCACGTCTTCGCCTTTCTTGTCCATGGAGGTTTTGGCTAGGTCCTTTGTGGATGCAGTGTCTTTGCCGTCTTTCGACTTCGACTCGGCGTCAGGCTCCATTTCCATAACAACATCCGTGGGCTCTGGGGCCTCGACATCTGCTGGGGGATCCTTTTCGAACACAGTAACGTTTTCGGTATGGTATTCACCTCGTAGGTTGACGGAGCTTTTGTCGCCAAGAGGGAAGGTTTGGAACAAGAAAAAGAAGACACGTCCACAGAACACGGCGTCTTCAGCTCTTGAAAGACGGCGTAGCAGTTCGTTACATGAGCGTAGAAGTGCAAGATGTGTCTTGTGGAAGTCCTTTTGGATGAGTCTTTCGCGTCTGGACTCCAGGTAGTCAAAGATGGTTCTGCAGCCCTCGGTAGTCTGACTGTCAAGCAGCTCCTCGACAAGCCAGAATGGAAGGATGGGTTCGCACTGTCCGAGTTCGCCGCAAAGTAATAAGAGGTCTAAGAAATCCCACATGCGGACGAATCCAGGGGTTTTGATATCCGTAGATTGCTATTGATGGTTAGTTTGGGAAATTCCAAACAAGAACGGCGAGCGAAGAGTAGCGTACAATGGTTTCGTAGAAGATCTTCCTTGCTGCAGTTTCGACGACCGAGAACTTGTGCGCATCTGGTTGTGACTGGAAAACATCCTTGCCGAGCGACGATACTTCCTGTGCCAGGTCGGAGACAGGCAATGGTGGATCTATTGTTTCGACTGACTTGATCTGTCTGGCGCGTTGTAGCAATGCTCGCAGTCTTGCGGACACAATGCCGACCGACTGCGGCTCAGTCATGGCGTCTGCAGCCATAGAAATTACGCTGTGATGGTGAGTTCGTCGATAGCGATCCTTCCAGGCTTTCTGATAATAATTGATGGTAGCCGACGGATATGATTGATGATGTGAAGCTGGGTAGTCGCGGAGGTATGTCGCAATGTGTGATGTCTCGGACTCGAACGCTCTTCCAAGTTGGGTTCACAGACGCGAACAATCTGAATCCAATACGATTGTCGGGGAGTTCAAAGAATCAATTGCTATCGTCGTAGCCATCAATAGGCTCGCGACGAGCAGCGGAAGTTTGCTGGCGCATGATTGGCCAAGACTTTTGGCCGTATTGTATGATGGTGTCGAACGGCCATCACTTTGGCGCGAAACGCGGTGAGGCGCGTCTTCCGACTCTCCGCGTATTCAATCGTTCTGACGTGAATATCTCATCCAGTAATTCCGACATAGACCAGATTGAGAGACGTCAATATGCCAGCAGCAGTACCTTCGGGCGTGCGTCCGACTGTTGAGCGAGACAATCTGGATGACATCTTCAGTTATGATGCCGGCATCGATGAGACCTTCAACCGACAAGGCCAGGATTGGAGTGCTCAGGACGATGCAAACAACAACAATACCAACCAACAACAACATGATGTGCCGGTAGACATAGATGAGGAGGTCAAGGTCACAAAGAAGCGCAAGCCAGTCGCGAAACTTGACGAAGATCGGTACGGAGTCATCCAACACGTTCACGCGTCGCAACACTAACATTTCTATAGCCTTCTATCACAACAAGGCATTCCCAAACTACGGAAGATTGCCAAAGATCGCATACAGATCAAGGGCAGAGGTCACGAGTTCTCAGACATGGCCCGCCTCCTCAACACCTACCAACTATGGCTAGACGACCTCTTCCCAAAAGCAAAGTTCATGGACGGTGTATCCATGATTGAAAAGTTGGGCCACAAAAAACGCATGCAGATGATGCGAAGAGAGTGGATTGAAGAGGGTAAACCCAAGCCGCCACGCGAGGAAGAAGATGACTTTGTCATTCCAACCGAAGATGCAGCATTGGAGAACGATGGTCGCAACAACGAAGATCAATCTGCCAACACTGAAGAGCAGTCCGGGAACAACAATTCGGCACCAGAAGGACAGTCAAATGTAGGAGCACAAGGAAGAAGCAACCGAAATCCGTTCGACGAGGAAGAGCCTGATGAGGATGATCTGGATGCTTTGTTGGCAGAAAGTGAGAGCATGCCAGTGACGGACACGTCAACGACAAACAACACACGGCCTGCTAATGATCAAGAGCCGGATGAAGACGAGTTGGACGCTCTTATGGCTGAGGATGCAATGAATGACAGTGCGCCAAAGAGTCTGTTCGGTGGACCGGTGTCCTCGATTACCAACACTGCACAGCGACCGGCTAATGAGTTTGACGATGATGAAGAAGCAATGGCTGGTATGGATTGGTAGTTTAGTCACAAACATGTCCTCGAGTACGCTACTCACATCGCTAATTCTCATTATTCTGACCTGCTCACGTTCCTTGCTCCATCAATCCAATCCACATGTGTCACTCTCTTCAGAAGCAGTTCGCCCCTCTTTTGAAGCTCACAGGTCCTGATAGTGACCTGGGATAGGACAGGGTGATACGCTCAGCCACAGCTGCCAACCATCCAAGCACAGTATCTTCATTAGTAACATGATATACACTCTGATCACACCGTGTAAATCTTCCATAAGCATTCCAAGTCCCCTAGTTCGAGAAAATTGCCCGCATATATTGTCGTCGTTGAGATATTCACGTTTCGAGGTTCAAAATTGCCGATTCACCGAATTCGACATCAATCAATACTATAACCACAGAGCCGTCTGCACCAAATTACATGTGCGAGACTTGCAATGGTAGAATAGTCTTTACACAGAGTCTGACCCATTTCTGGGCCCTCAGGTTCGATTCGGTTGACCAGATTGAACAAGAGCGACTGAGAGGTAGGAGCATTAGGCACGCACTTACTGTAAATCTTTGAATTAGCAGTTAGGTGTTCTTTTACTGAAAGCAGATCTATCACGTGATAGTGTGCTAGTCGCAGTGGTTTAGTGGTAAAATTCGTGCTTGCCATGCACGAGCCCCGTGTTCGATTCACGGCTGCGACATCTCTTTTGTTCATGAGCTCTCCATACGCTTCATCTTTTGCTCATGAGCAGTGATGGTTGCGATTGGAAGGCGGAGAATAATTTCCATTTTGACATGCTAGCATTTGCTCAATGCAGATATCTGACCGATTGTCCCAATCTTGTGACTATGCGCTTTCACAAAAGAGCTTAATTTTATGCCTTGTCACCTCTGCCCCACTTCTGAAGTGCTCCTTCGACGTGATTGATAAGAGTCCCTGCACGGCGGATACCATCTTCCTTGAAATCAACACTGTTGGTTTGCCATTCCAGCCAGTCTTGCGCCAGAGAACCCTCGGGTGCATGTAGCAGACCAACAGCCACATCGAGAAGACCAGGCCTGTCATCTCCAGTCCAGAAAACGTTCGCACCGCAATCGCCGCAAAAGTATCTCACCACTCTCTTGCATGATCCATAGCCTTTCAGAGTACCGAATGTGTGAGAGAAGGGCACACTGCTGTCGGCGGAAAGAGAGATGTCGGTAGTTGGAACGTATGCCCACTGTACAAAGTCGCAGCTGGCGGCCAGACGACAAGAGTCGCAAGCGCAGACGATTGTATGGAACTTGGTTCGGTCGGCCTTGAGCCACCAGGGGTCTTTTGGGTCGTAATCTCCACGCTCAGGGTTCTCCCAATGTAAGTCGCATCTGGGGTTGCTTGGGTCGGCAGAAGACGCCAATGGACGAGCAATCCAGAACTCGACACCCTTGCAGAGGCAGTGTGCGTGTAGTCGGTCTGATGCTTTGCTGGTAGATTGGTAGTTCTTCTCGAGCCAGCCTGCAGGCAGATCGTTGTCCAGAGTAGCATGAGTCTTGATCGGCAAATCCTCCTTGAGCCAGTTACTGAAGCCACCATCAAGGGTATCCTTGACAAATATTTGACGCTGAATCTGAACCACACCTTCCAGTTGATCAAGGGCTCCTGTGTAAATCCAGAGTTGGCCGTCAAGCTTTCCAATCACAGTACTGCCGCAAGTATCGCAGAAATAGGTTGTCCTACGGCTTGACCACTCGCTAGCCTTGAGCTTTGATAACGACTGCTGTACTGCAGTGAGGCACTTTTCTGGCACATAAGTCGCACCTATGCACAGAGTTCCGGATCCATGACGGCAACTGTCGCAATGGCACACGGATGCTGTGAGAGGAAGTTTGTGCCTTGGAACCGAGAGAGACAGCTGATAATTGCCGCAAAGGCATCTTGCCCTCACTTCTTGTGCGTCGCTCATATTCGGAGGAGGTTGTGATGTCTGGTTCCTGGGCAGCTGTTGCTATGAGTTAGATGAATGTGTTTGAATGTGAGGGTCAAGAAGATCAGGTTGGCTCAAGTTGAGTTACACACGGCTGACATGCAGCATTGCTGCCTGGACGGAACAAGCAAAGCGGAAGCTGTTATGGGAACCCGCTCACTCCGTTGAAGATCTCTTACTAGACACTTCAAAAGATACAAGGGAAGGGCGCATATGCAAACCTTATTGTTGCTTACAAAGACTAGAGACATTATCAAAAACGACTTCATTACCTATCTTTGCATCTTCTCGCAATCATGTCTTGAGATATGAGCTGAAGAGATGCAGGATGCTTCACAGACTACTATAGTACTCCAAAGGAAGAACTAGTCTGCCATAGTCAGCGAGAATATAGCATTGTCTTGTGATGATTTGTGCATGTTTAGAATCATGTGGAAGAGGCTCTGGCAGCGAGTTGCGAAGGACAGCGTTCTAAAAGTGTGTTGAGAATGGGGGAGGGGCTTCCGCAGTTTCCAGGGTCTCGGTAAATCACCCAATGACGTGAAGCTCATGATTCGAGGAAAGAGCGCCCCTCGAATTCGCGTAAAGTCCGAACAAGGCGCAACTCCCACAAATCTCATTCTTTGCGCACTGCTTTCGACAAGACATCATCGTCGGTCGCGCAAACATGGATCATTACGAGCCATCCTCACGGTCTCAACGGGCGTACCCTCAACGCGATCGCCCACCTCCTCCCTCATACCACGACGCGCCTCCGCCTCCATCAGGCCCTCGCGACATGTTCCAATTCCGCGGTGCTGCTGCCCGTCCTGCCGCAGATAACTACCGCCCTGGCGGCCCCGGTCCTAGACGAGATGGTTTCAACTTCTCAGCTGGCAACAATGCGCCGTCCTTCGCACCTTCGGACAACTACCCGGGCGCTAGAAGACCCCCTCGAGACTCGCGTCGTGGCGGTCGCAACAACGCCCGTGGCCGCGGTCCTCCTCGCAGATTTGGACCTAAGCCTGCCCACGAACGCGATTTGATGCGCCGCCAGCGCGAACCCACCCCGGACCAGTTAGAAGGCATGAATGAAGGAAAGGAATCGCGCTTCAAGGTGCTTGACGACCTTTCCGAGAGTGACAGCGGCAGTGACGATGACAGTGCTATGGATCTTGAGACAGACGCTCATGATTCTACCCATGCTCCTGTCCAACCATCCTTCGCCAATAACGCTAGCCATTCTGACGACTCCGAGGACGAACACCCCAGAGCAAAGCGTGCTCGAGTAAAGAGTAAGAGCCCCGAGTCCGAACAGGCCAAACCTAAGTGGTCCAATCCTGATCCTTATACCGCCCTACCTCCACCTGGCGAATCCGATGCCAAGAAGAAGGATGTCGTCAAGCTCATTCGTAAGGCCAAGGTCGAGGCAGCGAAGCCCACTGCCGCTGCTGCCGAAGGTGAGGACTTCATCTCGCTCAATTTTGACGATGACTTCGCACAAGAGATCAGCGATGATGAAGGTGGTATCTCACTCTCCGGATCTGTCAGGGGCGAGCACTCTCTACCCCACAAGCCTTCCTTCAGCCACTTGGATCACCTCCATCCTGATCGCAACCTCCCTCCGCCGGCACCTCCTGCAGAAGAGGCCAAAGGTGTGAACATGTCAGCACCGATGGCCTTGCCTCGTCTTGACGTCTGGCCCCCACCAGCTGATGTACATGGCGATCCATCAGGCCGCAGCCAATATCACACGGGAATGCAGAGACAAGAGGCCAAGGATGCTCCAGCCCCTCTCCGCAAGGAGAACAAGAAGCGCAAGCGTCGTGATGACAGTGGCAGTATTGTTGACGAATGGCTCACCCCTGAAGATACCGATCCTGCTCCTTGGTTCGCCAACAAGCTCCAAGGTGACCGTGCTGAGCAGTGGCTTCATAATGAGATTCTCGACTTCCACAACTATGTCAAGCCTCGCGACTTTGAGAACCAAGTTCGTGAGGACTTGGTTAACCGCATGGAGCGCGCAGTCAGGCAGCAATTCCCTAACTTGAATATTCGTGCCTTTGGCTCGTTCGCTTCTGGTCTGTATCTACCGACTGCTGATATGGATCTTGTTGCCTGTTCGACTCGCTTCTTGAAGAGCGGTCATGCAGAGCTTTATGCATCCAGGAACTACATGTTCAGATTTGTCAACTGCCTTAAGAAGGCTGGAATTGCCGTCGAGAACTCAGTCACCGTTATCTCGCAAGCCAGAGTGCCTTTGGTCAAGTTTGTCGAAAAGGTGACCGGTCTGAGAGTTGATGTCTCGTTCGAGAATGATAGCGGCCTTCTCGCCAACGACACCTTCCAGATCTGGAAGCAGCAATACCCTGCTATGCCTATCATTGTCTCTCTGATCAAGCAGTTCCTTGTCATGAGAGGCTACTCTGAGGTTTTCAGTGGTGGTTTAGGTGGTTACTCGGTTATCTGCCTTACAATCACCGTTCTTCGCGTCCTTGAGGAGCGCCATGGCCGCGACTGGGACCCTATGTCGAGTTTGGACACAGTCCTGATGACGTTCTTTGTGCACTTCGGTAGAGACTTCGATATCGAGAAGCATGGCATCCAGATGGAGCCCTGGGCTATTGTAGCCAAGGTAAGTACCACGTTCCAACCCCCTCTTGCAGTCAATAGGCCAGGAAAGCAGCTGTCGCAAGACATGAAGTTTTTGAAAGCAGGCTCACGTCCAGTGGGAGCCCAATAACAAGCCGCTCTCACTGGACGCCAACCTGGTTTGAAAAACACTGTACACTACATCAGTCGCTACTTGGCTCGAATTGGCTTACGAGATGGATTTCTTTTGATAACACGAGCTAACACGGTACAGAAATCATGGAGAGGCACGAACAACAAACCCTCCAAACCTGACAGACTCCTTATTATCGACCCCAACAACTACGGCAACGACATCTCTGGCGGCTCTGGATCAATCTTGAAGATCTTTGATAAGTTTGCCGACGCTTTCAGAGAGCTCAATATCTGCATGTCAGATGCCGAGGATACGTACAAGGAGAGTGGCGATGTTATTAGCATTCTTGAACGTGTTTGGGGTGGTAATTACGCGCTCTTTGAAGCCCAGCGTTCGCGCCTCAGAACTGTATGGCAGCAGAACATGGCCAGGTATGCTGCTATACACTCAAATTCGAACAGCAGAGCATGAAATAACGTCGGACGACAGCAACATCCCGCGCGGAAACAACCAGAATGGCAATGGCTATGACAACAATGGAAACGGCTATCAAGGTAAACCAGGCAACCCACCTCCTGGAACTCAAGGAAATCAGAATAATCAGCCAAAACAGGCCAAAAGGCCCGCAGATGGTGATTCTTCTAAGCCCAGCAAGAAACACAAGACGAGTAACGACAGCGAGAACAAGTAAGATCATTGATATTTCGATCGTCACTTTAGCTGACTAGTCACAGGCGTGCACCATTGCACATGGAATACGATGATCCAAAGGAAGAGCAGACTGCAGAAACATCGGGACCAGCAGGAGCTGTCGGACAGAGGAAGAGGTCTGATGCTCAGAAACCAAAGGAACAGAAGAACGATTTGAGCAGAACAGAGAAAGATCGCGCGGATGCCTTCAAGAGGAGCCACCCAGGTGTTACCGACGTTCCAGACAGAATGGACAAGGACCTATTCAAAAAGCTCACCGAACAACATGGCAAGGCTCCGAAGGCTCCGAAGGCCCCGAAGGCTTCTAAGCCAAAACGCAAGAGAAAGCCTAAATCGAGTACCGGTACTACGAAGTGTGCGCATACCAGAAGAAACTCGCTAATTTCCTTGCAGGTCAATGAATGATCACGGAGAGAATGTTTTTCTGATACAGCTTCCTGACCGGTATAGTTGCTTTGTCATTACTTTCTCGACATTCAGCACCATTCGTCACCTGGAACTTCTTATGCACATATTATTCTGCAGGGTTTACATATGGAGTGGCGCAGTCGGACTCGCTGATACCCCGTTCTTTCATGTCCTTGTAACGATAGCTTCCATTTTACACATTCACAGCGACAGTTGTCGAGCATTTACCCCCTTGTACTTTACTCAATTGCGACAATGGTGGACTAACCTTCAAGTAGGACTGCCAGAATGGCCTCAGACGATGCTGACATGATCGCAGGGATTATCTAGTGGGCAAGTGGGCTTGAATTGGTGTTTGAACAGAACACGGACAAGAACCTGGTCATGCTATGAATTGAGCTTCTGCGGACTCTCATTCTATTAGTAGGGTTCTTGATCCTCCCCTTCTACGCTGTGCAAGCGGTGTAGAGGGTCTTTTCTCATTGGATTGCTTGCCTTATGCAGGTCTCTGAAGAGGGAACGGGGCGATCGGGAAACGAGTCACTATGAAATCGAAGAAGGTTACAAGAAGCTACTCGTTGCAGGGAGATATTCATCAGTAGAGTCATGTCACAGTAAAAAACCAGGGCAAGTGCCGAATGATTGGAGGGGCAGCCCCGCCCTCCGTCACCGCCCGCCTTCTTGGCGCCCAACATCAACAATCTATTACAGGAGAGAGGGCCGAATGTTGAACACAAACTACTCATAATTTCCATCTGCAAAATCCCCACGACCACGCGCATCACTCCTTCACACCGCTCACCTCTTCAAATACACCTTCACAACCGCAGGAATGTCGTGGCAAGGTAAACTTTTCCCAGCCTTAGCACATGCTGATGGCGAGCTCATGGGCTGACTTTTGAATCAACAGCATACGTCGACCAGAGGTACACACCGCTATCGCGACTGCCTTTAGAATCATCACTGACAGCCATACGTACAGCCTGATCGGCACTGGCAACATTGACAAGGCCGCCATCTTCAACAGCGAAGGCAACAGCGTCTGGGCCACTTCTGCCGGCTTTACTGTGCGTTTCCCCATCATTACAGCGCTCCGAAGGATTCGAGAAAGAGATGGAGATATGGAATCGGGAATTTGGATAAGCTTTCGAAAGAGCTTGGGCTGATCGTGTGCTCCTTTACAGGTCTCGCCCCAAGAGATGAACGAGGTTGTCACCGCATTCAAGGACACTTCCGATGTCAAGAAGGTCCAGAGCACCGGTCTCCACATTGCCGGTGAGAAGTTCATTGTTCTCAAGGCTGACGACAGAAGCTTGTACGGCAAGAAGGTGCGTTCCGATATCTAGCCCGACGTCTGTCTGGTCAAAAGCTGACAACACTGCAGGGCAAGGAGGGTATTGTCATTGTCAAGACCAAGCAGGCTCTTCTCGTCACCCACTACCCCGAGCACGTCCAACCGGGTGTTGCTGCCAACACCGTCGAGCAACTCGCCGACTACCTGATAAGCGTCAACTACTGAGGGGCATGTCCAATCTGGATATTTCCTGACATCCCCCCGTCTTTCGTCTCATCTCCTTGATGTCGAGATTTGAGGCTCCACCCCTTTTCTTTTCCTTGACTGTGCAGGGTGCAGAGGGAAGTTGGGTTTTCTGCCCAATCAAAAAAACACACAACAATACTGTTACACCAATCCAAGACTTGTGCATAGCGAATATATCTACCCTTGACGGTTGTTTTTCTTTCCCCCTAATTTCCTCATCTCAAGCCATCACTTCTTTTAAACGCCTGAACGGACGACCATCGTAGACTGATGTGTGCTTCACTTGAATTTTGGTTATAATGTATGCTGCTGGCTGATATCATCGAACCTACAGTGAACATAACTCTTGCGATCCTTCACTCCTCTGCCATAGCGATTACCACTGTATCCGACTTCGCTCATCGATTTCCAGGACCTCAACAGGGCCGCACAACATAACTCTATCATTAATCAAGCGACTACTAAAATACTGCAACCACATCAAACCACCATGGACGACCACGCCATCAGCACACTCGTTCAACGCCTTCTGCGCTTCGAGCGCCTCGACCTTACTGCAATCATGGTCGGCGGCTATGATCCCGACCCTGGCCGCCAACAACGTCTTCAGTCTCGCGCTCGAGTGATCCTTGAGACAGCAGTCAAGTGGTTCCCCAAGCCAGCTCTGGTGCGCGCAGACATCACCATGGCCATGTTCGAGAAGAGAGCAAAGGCTTTTGCTGCTGTCTGTAACTTCCTCGCCGACTCTCCTGTGGTTCTTGACGAGGTCATTCGCGATAAGGAAGTTGCTGATGGTGTCGACGCTGCTGAGGAGGAATGGGAAGGCTTTCTGTGAGATGGTGGTGTAACATGATGTCTCAAGTCATGTCGATGGTGTCTACCCAAGATGGTTCGCATCTTTCTCGACTGGTATGTAACCCTTTACTGCAATGCACTTGGGCAGGCTTAATCTAATGCTTTCTTGCCAGGACTGCACAGCATCTCTTCTGCCACCAGCGAGTCTAGGATCACCCGATCAGTCGTCTCAAAGCTCAACTGATCAAGTACACATCATGGTTTTAGGGATGAGAGTTGTAAGTGTTCCCAACCAGACGACGTCAAAGAGCCATATATTAACTTTTTTCGCTTTTAGTATAACCAGCCCGGCTGGCGCAATGGTAGCGCGCAAGACTTCTAATCTTGAGGCTGTGGGTTCGAGCCCCACGTCGGGCTGTTCTTTTTGCGCATCTGAGCGGTGTTATACGTTTCTTTTGCATCCCAGGAGGTGCTGGTATGGTCGTAGAATGAATATCTTCAATTTTGACCATTTGGTGGACGCCAAGATTTACAAAATGTGAAGCTTCGGTCATGACTCGTGCGCGAAGCTTTGACCGGCAATGTGAATCGTAAACTCCGTGGCTTCCCCGGGCAAAGTAAACCTCCGAAGACGACGGCGATGATGGAGACAATAATTCTTGAAGGAACATGAGAAATGAGCAAGGCCCTGCAACGAGTGCAGCAATGCCTTGAGCGACAAGCGCAATATGCCGGGTTGAATGCTTTTGTCACCCGTGCCAATGCGACGCAAATACAGGATGCAGCCAAAGCAATAGTCGACAGCGAGTTTGATGGTAGGAACCACATCCTCTGCGTCTAGCACAAATACTGACGTGCACAGGATCGTCACTTGCAGGAAGGACCATCGCTATCAAAGACAATATCGTCACGACAGACTTTCCGACCACGGCATCGTCAAAAATCCTCGACGCGTACAAGTCACCTTACAATGCGACCGTTGTCGAGAAACTCACAGGAGCTGGGGCCCTGATCTGTGGAAAGACGAATCTCGATGAGTTCGGAATGGGATCACATACACGACCCGTCTTCACATCCACCACACAAAGTCCATTCAAACGCAATGGAGAAGCTCTCTCGGCAGGTGGAAGTAGTGGAGGTAGTGCAGTAGCAGTCGCGACAGGTCAGGCATGGGCTGCTCTGGGAACAGACACTGGAGGTTCAGTAAGACTACCTGCTGCTTATACTGGCACTGTTGGCTTCAAGCCCAGCTACGGCCGGCTGAGTCGGTGGGGTGTTATTGCATACGCCAATTCACTGGATACTGTCGGCACCTTGACCCAGAGTGTTGAACATGCACGAGACATCTTCAATGTGCTGGATTCTTTCGACCCCATGGATCCTACCAGCTTGTCAGAAATAGTCCGCAACGAGGCTGAGTATCAATCAATTGCCTCGATGGAGGACAAAAGGCTCCGGATTGGTATACCACTAGACTACAACACTGCTTCGCTGTCGCCTGAGGTCCGACGAACTTGGTCTCAGTTATTGACTTCTCTCCAAGATGCTGGTCATTCACTTCATCCAGTCTCATTACCTTCCACCCACCAAGCACTCTCGGCATACTACGTTCTGGCTCCAGCAGAGGCCTCATCCAACCTTGCCAAGTACGATGGTGTACGTTACGGTCATCGCACTACCGGTCCCGACGCCAATCCCAAGGAGAACATGCCCTTGTTTGCCGCTACTAGAGGCGAAGGCTTTGGACCGGAAGTACAACGCCGTATCCTGCTAGGTGCTTACACTTTGAGCTCGGAAGCCATGGACAATTATTTCGTCCAAGCACAGCGTGTCCGCAGGCTGGTTCAGAGCGATTTTGACAACGTATTTGCTCTTCCAAACCCATTACTAGATCTCCGAGCAGAGCAATCAAGCGACGGGCCCAACGTCGATATCTTGATCGCACCTACAGCTCCGACGTTACCGCCAACGCTGGCAGAAGTGGAGAAGTTGAGTCCGGTTGAGATGTACATGAATGATGTCTTGACAGTGCCTGCGAGTTTGGCAGGACTGCCTGCTCTGAGCGTGCCCGTCAAGCTACAGAATGGCTCAACGGAGGCGGGTGATGTTAAGTCCATCGGCATGCAGGTTATTGGACAGTTTGGTGATGACGAACTTGTTCTTCAAGTCGGACAAATCATCGAGGACTTGCAAGCAAAGAGAAATTGAGGCGCATGGACATCTCCCTCACTGCCTTGGCAAATGCCCATTACTGTACAATCAGACTTTCTTCCCACCATCAACCCCTTGACAAAAGATTCCAATCATCCCCTATCACTAACCGTCTATCAGTCTTGTGAGTGAGTTTATCCACCAACTCATGCTTGTACCAATCTCTTGACTCTTGACCCTTGGCGATTATTCCCGAAGAAGTATATGCTTCCTCAAAGCTTGCTCAAACAGCAGCATGATAAGTGGCTCATTCGCCAAATTTGCCATGTGTTTACCACGAGGCAAGACCGTCATCCTGACGGACCCGAACTCAAACATTGCCATTTACTCTAGAAGTAGGGAAATGGTCATGAGGCGGTTTGGAGAACTGGAGCCCCCTCTAGGTGTATATTAGGGGCACGTCATCTGCTGTTCAAGTGTACCTTTTCTAGCATTCATACCAGCTACAAGATATACCACTACTTCATGTTCAGCGCAAGCATCGAGCGCATCGTACTGTTAATTTCCCATCACACGATCGATCTCACAGTCAACCTCACATGTCTCGCAACAATCCGTTCCCAACACGCGAGCCCTTCAGACCTTCTCAGGGTGAAGTCAACATGCTCAACTACATGACTACTCAGCTCTCCATCAAAAGCCCCTACAAAAGATATCCTCCTTATGGCGTACCATGTCCTGAAGGCCCAATGACATACCAACTTGCTATCAGACGTGAGAAATGGTGGGAGATGCTTGAAGATTTGGCTTGGAAGGAGAGGTTGATGATGGAGAAGGAGGAGGCGAAGGAGAATATCAGGATGACGGAGGAGGTCAGACAAAAGGAGGAAGTTCGTAAAAAGGGACAAAAGAAGGAAACTTGGACACAAGAGGATCATCAGAAGGAGAGGAAAGACAGTGCCGGGCTCATTGTGGTTGCCGAGGATGTTGCGGCCAAAGCCAACAAAAGCGAGCCTGTTTGCGAGGATGTCGATGCTGCTTCGGCAATCTACGAATCTTCTGAAGAGGAAGAAGTCGAGGGAGAACAGGACATGCCCGAGCAGAGCAAGGAAGTGAAGGTCAAGAAGAAAAAGGGCATGGTCAAGGAAAAGGACAAGCCGCACAAGCATGAGCACAAGATCCGAAGAGTGCGGCCTTTGCATAACATACGTTCCTCGGTTACAGGCAGAAAAGGGTCGGCATCAAGTCACTATTCTACATCTCACACGGCCTCCCATTCGGAGGCAGGGGTCAAGGTGGAGGTCTAAGAAGGTCGCTGATAGGGGCTGTGATTATGACGATCAATTGACGGTCGAAATGCAAGTTCTCAATCAGTCAGATAGTCCTCATACACAAGAAGTGATTCAATACCTCGAAGTGATTCAAAGTGAAACAAGGTATGTTAATATATGATCGGAAGTCGGTAGAAGCCGAGGGCAGAGTTGGAGCTGGAAGGTGACGATGATGATGATGCGGGTCTGAGCTTTTGATGGTTGTCAAGTCCGGAGTCGACGCGCGACACATGCAAGTTCGGTTTGCATACACCAACGACGTCCAGCTTTAATTCTTCCCACTACCTCTCTTCGACCCTTTCTTTTCTCTTCAAACACAATCGCGCCGATCGAGCGCGACCGCACGCGAACCAAAATGGCCAAAAACAAGCAGCAACAGGAAAAGCCGACCGTCTCATTCGATGAGATGATCAAGGCAGGTATGTAGCTCCGTAAAGCATCAACAGAACACGCAATTGACGTCGCATCCACAGATCGTCAAAAGCGCAAGGCAGAGAACCTTGCCCAGGAGATCTTCGGCAAGAACCGCCGCCAGAGCGCCCCTCAGAACAACAACAACAAGAAACAGCAAACGCAGCTGGGTGGCAGTCTGGCCAGCAGGGTCGGCATCACAAAGGCGCGTTCTATCCGAAGCAACAGACAGACAGGATAGATATTGATTGTTACCAGCGCTCGTCCTCGGCCGCTTCCATTCCCACCCTGGGCAAACAACAGCAAAACCGTGGAAACCAGAAGAACCGCAACGGCCGTCAATCACTAGGAGGCGCAGACAACAGAAGAGAAGCCGCATACCAGACAGCAGCACAGCAGGCTCCACCCGCCTCATTCAACATCAAGCCCCGATCCTTTGCAACAGTCGACAGCGAAATAACGATTCGTGGAGCCGCTGGTCCGTACTGCGTCGTTGCCAGCAACTTTGCGCCAGGAACCACAGCTGCAGACATTGAGAGTGTCATGGCCCCGGTCGGAGGTGACATGTCTGGTTGCAAGCTGATCTCTTCTCAACCCAACGTAATTGCCGAGATGCTCTTCCTGGACAAGGCCGGCGCAGACAATGTTATCAACATGTTCAACGGCAAGAAGGTCTGTTCATGATTCTGATCGTCCCGTGGATTGTTTACTGACCTAGCACAGGCTGATGGAAGAATCTTGTACGTCTACCTTAAGGAGGGAGGCCCGTCACAATCCGTCCACTCTGCCACGCCGCGCATTGCTTCGCCCATCGTCGTACAACCCGAACCCGTTCAGGAACAAGGCGCTGAGGACACTATGGAGATCGAACAACAATACCCTACCGAGCCTAGTCCTCTGCCACCAACAGAACCTTCTCCTCGCCCTCAATACGACAACTCGCGGCAACCACGGGATGGTAGAGCATCGTACCGTGAGGACTATGATCGTGGCAATCGTCATGCCGAGCCAGGCTATCAAGATGGAAGATATGGCTTCAACGAGCAACGCTATAACGAGCCGCGCTATGATGATCGCCGCCCCAGATACCGTGACGAGGGCCGCATGTACTCGGACGACGTGATGCGTGGTGGTTCTCGAAGAGGCGGAGGCGGCCGCGGCGGTGGACGCTACCGCGGATAGGACTCAGAGGACTACCACACGAGGACTGTAACTGTCCGCACATAGCATAAGTGATGACACGCTCTTGATTCCGGGACTTCAGGCTATGCACACGAGCTGCATTTCATCCTGGCTTTATTAACATTATACCTAAGTACCTTTCATTTTCACAATGGCATGAGCGACAAAGGATGACAGAGTTGTTCTTGCTTTCGACTTCACTTGTCTCAATCTCATGACATTATGAGCAAGGCAGTGGTTGCTCTTTTCATTGGTCGGCGTGTAATACCTCTTGGACCGTAGAAGACTTCATTCACAGCGTTTCTCAGTTTGTACTACTACAGCAGATGAATCAAGCTTTCATTGATACTATGCCATCAAGTAAATTGCACCTGTTCACTGAGCCGCACCTGTCAAGAAGCTTGAGCCGCGGGCGTGACATGTGAAAGAGGCGCGCTTGGACCACTAGTTCATGATCTGAATGCAGGCAACCCATCCACCATCCATCTTCCCTTTCCAAAACACACCTCAGTGTCGCATACCACAAAAGTCAATTGCGCAAACTAAACAGACAGTCAACATGGCAGAAGCATGGACTGAAGCAGACTACGAAGCCGCTCTCGCAAAACTGGAAGCCCTCACCGACAAGGTAAACACCCCATGCTGCCCTGGCTCCACACAAACAGGACGCTGACTGTCCGCGCAGGTAACCGCACTACGAACGACTATCCCAGGTCTGATCTCACCGCTCACTCGCCCCGCAACCACCAAATCTGCTGCGTTCGTCGGCCTGAAGAAGGCCGCTATTGGTGCCGTCACCGGCGTACAAGATTTAAGGAAAGAATGGGAGAGCAATGACATGCAAGACTTGTTGAAGAGGACTAAAGAGAGCTATGGGAAGGACAGTGATTTGGCTCCAGCTGCTGAAGTCTCGCCATGGGGATGGACAAAGGAGGATGAAGAGAAGTCGCAGCAGCAACAACAACAACAACAACAACAACCAGACAAGGAAGTCAAAACCGAGCATGGCGTAGCAGGATGAAGTGGTTGCTCATTGCTTCCCTCATCTTCGTCGTGATGAACGACGCTCCCCTCGACCTCTGCGCTCGTCTTGACGTTCTGGACCCGGACTGCCTCTTCTGAACACACGACCTCGACCACCGCCTCCGACCGTAGCTGTCGTCGACCATTGATCATCTGGTCTATCACGCACTCGTCTGGCTCCCACATCCTGCCTTGACTCATCGCCACCATTTCTGCGTATTGTCGTAGCATCAAAGCGCCTCACCTCATACTCTGGAGCTCTAAAGAAACGTCTGCGAAGCGTCGTCACTTCTTCGCGATGATAAATCGTATCGACTCTGCGATTTTCAGACCTGGACTGGTATCTTTGAGCTTGCGTCACTCTGGTATCTTGACGAGTCGCGATTGCCGCATCGATGGAACGTCTGCGACTTTCGTGTCTTCCCACCATTCTCTCGACAGTCCCAGCACCCGAGACACGCGCCTGTCTCTGCGACGATGGAGGTTCTGGAGCCGAAGGTCGCCGTATCATTTCTCTTGAAGGCCCAGAAACTGGACGAGGGGGTGGCAGAATAGAGCTGAAGTCCCTTAACTGCATCCACGTCGGGGTATCTGGCCCGCTGTATCTTGCGTAAGGCAATCTCTCATTCCTTGAACTCTGCTCCTGACCTTGCCAGTGTATGCGGGATGGTTGGCGAGACCTTGGTCCTAGCGGTTGTGATGATGTTGATCGTGGATGCGCTCGCGACAATGTGGGTGGGTGGTTGGCATTGCCTTCGTCCGCGCGGTTGCGGGGAGGTCGACTCATGATGCGTGTTTGATGCACACCTGTTTCGCGGCCGCCGGAACCGAAACGTAATGAAGACTGAGACAAGAAGCGGTAGCAGACGTGGGTTCTAGGGACTTTTACTGGGTCTACCATTCTTGCTATCAACTCATCCAGATGCTGATGGTGCTTTCTGAAGAGTTCTTCTGCTCCGATTCCTTCTTTGAGATTCTGGTTCTGACGGTTTTGTTTGCTTGCTTTCGTTTCCTCCAATGCCTCGTCTGCCTCTGAAGTTTGAACATGTGCTGAAGTTTGACCACTCGATTCTCGCCAGCGTCAGAAACTTAGTAATTAACGTGTTTCAAGCTAAATATACAACAAAGCCCCTTTAGCTCAGTTGGTAGAGCGCGGCACTAGTAATGCCGAGGTCACCGGTTCGACTCCGTTAGGGGGCATCAATGTTTTGTCAGTCTGCTGTTCTATCACCTCTGTCCTTTTGTTTTACAGTGTTACTGCTTTGTTCTTGTGTAGGAGCCCAACAAGGCCTTGCCTGGCAGAATCGATTTTGATGTTTCTAAGCCGAATATCTGTCTTGGCTTCACGAACCCCACTTGTCAGCTCGCTTAGCTTTCTCACGAGTTATAATCTTATTTGCAAGATCATCTTGCCTCAGGCGCCTGTGTCAAAGGTTTCAGGAGGTATCGTGGCTGACTTCAGACTGTACTCAAGGAGAGCATGTTCAACCCCAGCGCAAGGTTTCCAAGCCATCGACATGGAGATCTTAACTCCACTAGGGTGATCCGACGTCAGTTGCGTCGCAATGCAGCACGTGAAGCTAATATGGCTTGATGTAGATCAGTAGGTGCAACTGAGAAAGTAAGCTAGGATTCCTGGAATGTATTTCTCACCTACCAAAACAGCCAGACAAGCAGGATGGTTGCGAACTTGGAAGAAAAGCGTTGGCAAGAGGTACATGTGCCTTGGAGGCTTAAGCCCGTCAGATCAACACGCTCGAAGGTTGGAAGGAGCTTATACATCGCTCTTGCTTTATTGACTTTGGCAATGCTTTTACACTTGCGAGTGGTTTGCAACATCTCTGACTTCCAGACGTCGCAACATGCTATCATGACTAGATTTACTTCTTGGGTAGTTGGCATTTTGCTGCCGTTGCAACTTGCTTATACTTCGTCAGCTATTGACTATACACCTATACAACCCCCTTCTTATCCTTTGGCTGTTCGAAATCCATATCTCTCAGGTTAAAATACCACCTTCGCCATCATCTGAGCACTTGCTAACGATTGAGCAGCGTGGCTACCCGGTGATCAAGTTGCGAAGCTACCAACAGCTCAACCACAATTCTGGTATGGAAACAATCTCGGATGGTCCGTCCTTGCAAACGTCGACAGGCAGACGTACAACCTGTTCGGCGTTTCCCGTCCAGCAGTCAACACCAAAGCGGCTACAGTCGTTAAAGCAAGCTTCACATCCACTCATTCAATCTTCGTTGTCACCGCAGGGAATGCCCAATTCACACTGGACTTCTTCTCTCCGGTCTCACCAAAAGATTATGTCAGGCAATCACTTCCATTCTCATATCTCTCCATCACTACAGCAACGACCAACGAACGACCATCCGACATTGATATATACTCTGATATCGACGAGTCCTGGACTGGAGACAAAGCCAACTCTTGCTCGAATTCAGTTTCGAACGGCACCCATCTGTATGAGTTCAGTGCCAATGGAGCTACGTATTCTCAGTCGCGTACGGAGCTTGCTCTCTGGGGCAAAGTGGTGTTTGCAGCTCATCAATCTGAAATTCACACACTTTCGTCAATGTCTGGGCCGTCAGAAGCTACGCGAGCGCAGTTCCAAGCCACAGGAAATTTGACCGCCTTGAGTCAAGGTGACACTTGTCAGACTGGTGGCTCATACGGATTTGCTTATAGGCTTGGGTTGATCCAAAAGCCAGCCACTGTCAGATATGCTGTCGGTGTAGTTCGAGAGGATGCCATCAATTATCTTGGGTCGCCTCAGACGCACTATTACAGAAGCCAATACTCGGATATCCCAAGTGCAGTCAATCATTTCTTCGACGACTATGATGCTGCGCTCAAGGAGTCCAATGATCTGGACGCGTCGATTAAAAATACCGGGACTGATCTCGCTGGCAAGAATTACTCGGACATCCTCGCTCTGTCCATGAGACAAGTCATGGGCGGGATTGACCTCACTATACCCGCCGACACACTGAACACGAGCGAAGTGCAAGCATTCATCAAGGAGATCTCCTCTGATGGAAACATGAACACAGTCGACATCCTATACCCAGCATTGCCGTTCTTCTACGTGTTCGCGCCTGAATACATCCGGCTTCTTCTAGATCCGGTATTGAAGTACCTCAAGTCAGGAAATTATCCAAATCCGTGGGTAGTTCACGATATTGGGACGAACTATCCCAATGCAACCGGGTATGATGGAGGTAACGATGAGCGGATGCCTCTTGAAGAAACCGGCAACCTTTTCATCCTCGTTGATGCCTATGAGAAGGCGACTGGTGATAAGACTTGGGCAAAGCAGTACGACAGCATCTGGCCTGGCTATGCAGTATATCTCGACAACTACGGTCTTTATCCCTCAAACCAGTTGTCTACTACCGACGGTCTGGGAGCTTTTACTAACATGACGAGCTTGGCCATCAAGGCAGCAGTGGGATTGTCGGCCTATAGCTCCATCTCTGGCCAACAAAAGTGGGGAGGAATCGGAGCAGCCTTTGCAGCGACAATACTCGTGCCAGGTACAGGAACCGCAAATTCGTCCATCACCAAGTTACCATACCTTGACCTCACCTATGGCACTAAAGATTGGTACTTGACCTTCAACCTCTACCCACAGGCTCTCCTGAACCTCACCACATTTCCTTCCTCCATATTCGAGTCTCAATCCGACTTCTACCCCACCGTACGCAGTCAAGGTGGCGTGGCCATCTCTTCCAACGCACTCTGGGGCAAAACGGACTGGGACTTCTGGGTCGCAGCGACGAGCTCGGAGAAGACGATGAATATGTTCGTGGACGATGTGTGGGCTTACGCCAGTAACAAGAAGAACACTCAACCGTTCAGTGACAGGTATTACGTCAAAGGAGACAAGGAAGGTCTTGCAGAATTCAGGGCCAGGCCTACCGTGGGTGCACACTGGGCTATCTGGGCACTGGTCAAGGGACCCAACTCAGGCTAGACGTCTGAAGCACCATCAGCTGTGTGGATGAAGCGGTTACCAACTTGGTTGCAATCAAGATTGCGAAGTTTATGGATGTTGATCTGCAAGAAAAGAGTGATTTGGAAAGAGAACATACAACATGCGAGAAACCCCTTTTTCGAAGTTGCGCCATATCTACTATTTGCCTGGTTCGCCTGTAATGTGGACATTGGTTTATTCAGGTAGGTCAATTTCTTGCTTGTCAACTGGACACCAATTTTTAATGCTGTCAAACACATTATCGCCGACTCTTTGGAATCTCTGGTTTAGTTGCTGTTGCTGGAAGGTGTCATAGCCTTGTGTATCATTACATTCTTTCCAGCTGGAAACTAATTCATGCCATTTTTGTTAACCTCTACTCAATCTTGCAACTTCTCTGGTGTCTTGAACATGATACAGTGAGTATAATACATCCCGAGATGCCAAAACTTCAAGTCATCTCCTCTCCTTTTCTTCCCACCCAGTTCCTCCAATCTCATTCCCATCTCTTCTTTCCCTCAAGTAGAGAGAAGGAGCAAGGAGGATTGAAGTTCTACTTTGCACAAGAGAGATCGAATGTATAGACTAGGATTGGAATACGTATAGTGTAGACTCGATGTCTCTCCTAAATGTTACGGCCACCAGTCACACTGATGGTCTGCCCACTGACATATGAAAAGTAAGGACTCACAACACCCAAAATAGCACCAGCAGCCTCTGTAGCAGTACCAGGTCTACCCAGCGGAATATCCTTGAAAGCACCAGCACCCTCTTCTCTACCCTTCTTCTGCGCCCCAGGAATACCCAGAGCAATCTTTTCACCATCTGGAGTGGTCACGAATGCACCTTCCTCCTTCGCCGCCGTCAACCTCGTCGCAATGTGACCGAATGCTACCGTGTTGCAGCGGACACCGAAAGCTGGACCCCACTCTTTTGCGATTGTCTTTGTGAGGCCGGTGACTGCGGCTTTGGCGGCTGCGTAGTTGGCTTGGCCCGCGTTGCCGTGGAGGCCGGAGGTTGAGGAGATGTTGATGATGTTTCTGGGGGCCTTGTCCTTGACGCGGAAGTAGGGGGCGGCGGCACGGACGAGTTTGAAGGGAGCGGAGACGTGGAGGGACATGATGGTGTCCCATTGCTTGTCTGTTGTCTGTTTCTCTTGTGTTAGCAGAGTAGAGGTAAGTTGGATATATTGAGAAAAGTCACCTTGTGGATTACACCGTCCCAGGTGAAGCCTGCATTGTTGACAATGATGTGGATCTTGCCCTCGCCAAACTTGGCAGTCTTTGAGATCAAGGTCGTGAGGTAGGCATCGTCTAGCATATCTCCAGCGACAGCTAATGCCTTGCCTCCACTCTCGTTGATGGATTTGGCAACAGCATTGGCTTTGTCGGCATCAATGTCTGAGATGACGACTTTGGCTCCTTCATTGGCGAAGAGTCTTGCTGTTTCTGCTCCGATGCCTTGGCCTGCTCCTGTGACAATGGCGACTTGGCCGGCAAGAAGGCCACGAGGGTAGTTGAGATGGGATGCGATTTGAGAGATGCGGTCGTTTGGTGCCATGATTGCCGTGTACGAGGCAAAGGTCTGTTGGAGAATGGCCCGAGGAAAGAGCTACGTGATATATCGTTACCAAATGAGGAGACCTACCTTGAACATGCCGAGGTACTTCGGCAGCCTTTATTCAGGGACATGATTGATATCTTGGAACTCGACAAGACTGGTGTATTTCGAGATGGCAGTGACTGCAAGCAGAAACCCTCTCCTCTCTTTGACATGACCAACTGTGTGCCTTGGCATGTGCAGTGCATCCAATGTCAAGATTAAGGACGTCTCGGTCTGAAGAACAAGATCCGAGCGAGGTCGGAGAAAACGTGGGGAGAGCTGTCATGACGTCTTGGCCAGATTGATCGTCCATACAAACGACCATCTCTCTTTTTGTCAAACAACATTGACATTTCCAAAGCTTGTTTGCCGGCTACTAAGATTGCAAGGCAAATCTGGGAACTCATAGGAAAGACTTGACTTCACATCATTCCAACTCTGCAGAGTGAAGACTGAAATATCTTGATTCCAAAGCACGGATATTTCGGAGACATATGAACACAATCGCCGGCGCCTTGTCCAACTTCTCTCGATCTTCTAGAACCACGATTTGGAGGAAACTACGACTGACTCCAATTCCCACGAACGTTCAAAGACACGCACGTGCCTTATCCAATATGGCAAATCAGGAAACTGCAGAACTCTTTAGCGAGTCCTACGCCAAACCCCAGGATGAACAGGATCCTCTATCTTCCTTCCGCTCCCAATTCATCATCCCAACAATCTCCGACCTCCATGCCAAAACACTTCAACCTTCCTCTCAAGAAAACTCACAACAATGTACCTACCTCTGCGGCAACTCACTGGGACTCCAACCACGCCTGACAGCTCAATACCAACAAAACTATCTCCAAACATGGGCAACAAAGGGCGTCTTTGGCCACTTTACCGAAATCGAAGATTCGAAATTGCCGCCTTGGTTGCACGTCGATGATGATGTGATTGGAGATATGTGTGAGATTGTGGGAGCCAAGAAGAACGAAGTTGCTGTTATGCAAACCTTGACTGCAAACTTGCATTTGGCCATGGCGAGTTTCTATCGTCCCAATGAGCAGAGGTGGAAGATCATTATCGAGGGAAAAGCTTTCCCCAGTGATCATGTAAGTCACCGCTCTTCCTGCATTGATGTTAAATGGTTACTGATGAGAACCAACAGTACGCAGTAGAATCTCAACTGCTCCATCACAACCAGGACCCGGCAACCTCCATGATCTTGCTCGAGCCAGAGGACCCTCAGAATCCTATCCTCAGTACCCAGCAGATCCTCAACACAATCGATAAACACGCCGATACCACAGCTCTTCTCCTCCTGCCCGGCATCCAATTCTACACTGGCCAATTCTTCGACATCCCCACCATCACCGCCCACGCACAAAAGAAAGGCATAGTCGTCGGCTGGGATCTCGCCCACGCAGCCGGAAACCTACCTCTCAAACTCCACGAATGGGACGTCGATTTCGCAGCCTGGTGCAGTTACAAATACCTCAACTGCGGTCCCGGCAGCATCGGCGGCCTCTTCGTGCATGAACGCCACAGCCAAGTAACTCCCTCTTCCGACTCTTCGAAGTCGCAATATCTCCCCAGACTCAGTGGATGGTGGGGCAGCGACAAGAGCAGTAGATTCGCCATGGAAAACAACTTCACCCCTATCGCTGGGGCGGGAGGTTGGCAATTAAGCAACCCTTCAGTCGCAGATATGACGGCTCTCCGCGCCTCTCTTGACGTCTTCAACAAAACTTCTCTCCCAGCTCTTCGCCAAAAGTCTGTCAAGTTGACTGGATATCTGGAAAAATTGCTCTTGGCTACGAAACAGGAAAAGGATTTCAAGGATACTTTCACCATCATCACACCTTCTGATCCTGAAGCAAGAGGTGCGCAATTGTCCATTCGTCTGGCGCCTGGATTGCTCGATCACGTCATGCATGTGTTGGAGCAGAAAGGTGTGGTTGTTGATGAGAGAAGACCTGATGTCATTCGTGTGGCTCCTGCTCCTCTGTACAATTCATGGCAGGATGTTTTGCGATTCATGGTTGTGTTCAAGGATGCTTGCAAGGAGGCTGCGAACAAGAAGGATGGTGAGGCAGAGTCGTCAGTTATGGTGGAAGGTGGAAAGGAAGACAAGGGCTGGAGCGAAGTCAAGTAGCACTTCTTCAACTCACCAGAGCTGCGGGACATAATCCTTGAATGACAGCCTTGTACAAATTATAGATCAAAACAAACAATGGCTTGATGAAATCATATTTTTGTTGAACAGCGATGTAATTCTGTTACGAGAATGTTTCGTTGCAGTAGTAACGAACAAAGGCGGAAAAAGGAAAATAGAAAACACCCCCCAAAAAGAAATCCCCATAGCCACGAAAAAGATGCCCAAACCACTACTCGCCTTCAATCTCGCCATTCACCCTCTGTTTGCCAGCTGGAGCTTGTTGTCGTTGTTCTTCTTCGTCCTGTGCTTTATTTACACCTTTTTGTAGTCATCCTCTTACAGGTCGTAGGAAGGGTTGGCTGCCTTGGCCATAGCGGGGTCGAACATCCAGACTCCGTTCGTCTTGTCGGCCTCGAGACTGCCGCCGGGGACTTGGTGGGCCATGGCGTCAAAGTGTGGGCTGTTAGGCACACGCTTGAAGAATCTACGTTGCCATTCGGAACCCTGCTCCTTTTCTCTCTTGCGCAATTCGCGCTGCTGGTTCTCGATGAGCGACTTCTCGGCCGAAGTGGTGTCCATATCACCACGGTTGATGGCCTCGGCGACCTTGCTCCAGGCGCGACGCGACTCGAGAGGATCCTGCTGTTCGATGGGTGCGACCTGAAGAGGGGTTTTGGTCATCTTCTTGGCGTCGTACGAATCGACAACCTTCTTATGGGAATCCTTGATGACAAAGTTGTCGCTCCACTGGCCCTCGGCAGTGTAGATGACGTCCTTTTCGCGACCGTTGGGGTACATGGTGGCGGTGAAGGAGTTCTTCTTGCCGCTGACCCAACCCTTACCGCTGTAGTCGACCTTGCAAGTGTAGCCAGTGGATGAGACGATGTGGGTGCTGCGCTCGAGCTCGACGTAAGGCGAACCGGTGATAAGACCCTCGATGTGCAGGGCAGGGAGGGTAATGAGGTAGTCCTCGTCGTATTCGTCGATGTGGAGGACGGCGTGACCGATCTGCTTGACGTTGATAGTTCTACCGAATGAGGCCTTCTGAGCGTTGTATCCCTGGAGACGGACACCATGCTGCTTGTTCCAGATGCTGTATGCGGTGACTGGGGGGTGGTGGCTAGTATTGCGGTTAGGAAATGAGGGCGTCATGCGAGCAGAGTTATACACACCTGACCTGCTCACTGATGAGCTCAGTGGTACCGGCTTGGTCGACCCACTTGCCCATGAACAGCTCACCCAGGAAAGGGTTGAGGGGCTTCTTCTCACTACCGAGCTTCTCGTTACGCGAAGTGTATTGTTGCTTGAGAGTGCTCAAGAACCACTTGAGGACGAGCATGCAGCGCTTCTGCTTGTCCTTCTCCGAGGCGGGAGCGACCATGACGGACGGCATCTCGGACCAGTACGCCGAGAACTCAGTGAGCGAAGTAGTCGACAGGATGAAGGCGGGGGCGGTAAGGGACGATAGGTCGCCATTGAAAGAGGCTATCGACTGTGTTGATGCGTCAGTTGACCAGCCGTGACAGAGACGCAATAGACGGGAGGCGCTACTCTACCTTGAGGAAAGAACCCCATGAGCCCTTGCTGGCAGTGGGAACAGCTGAACCTTCTGCCATGATGTGATGTGGTGGGTTGTGGTTTTGTGGTGTGGATGTTTGTTAGGGTGAGTTGGCGGAGCACGACGACGTGGGTGGTAGATGAGGGGCTGGATGCGATTGTCAAATTACGGAGGTCCCGAGAGCTGGCGTTACGTTGCGTTGATGAAGCTTTGGAAACCGTTCGAAGGGGGTTTGTACGCGCGAAGATGACACTGTAGGACAGCCGAGATAAGGACAAGCAAGAAAAGGGTCTGGTAGAGTACACAGAATGTTGCAACAATGGTTCGATCGCAACTGCACCAGTGACCACTTCCGCCGTCGCCTCTGTCTCATTTCCATCCCCTCGTCGTCATCCTTGGCGTCTCAGCCTCACAATTGGCTCACCTTTATCCGCCGTGCCTGCCTCGACTGGACTACCGAATAGACCCTGGTACATACATCCCCTCGTACATGTAAGATCGAGGTACAGCTAAGCCATTTACCTATCGACTGCTTTTCGTTTTCGTTGTGATTGACGTGCCTGGCTATTAAAGTATATGATGCCACCTGTGATCTGCCATCTCTCTACTAAGAACCAGTCGTGTCACGAGCTATCCGCGGATACGGCTCCGTCTATCCTGCATTGTGAGTTTCCTTCAAATAGTCATGAACTCTATCGATTGAGGTCCGCCGTCGACTGTACCTCTGTGCTGAATTAAGCAGACTAGCCGTTCGACCTGGTTCATCAAGAATCACGGAGATGGCTGGAGGCCTGATCATCACCAGGAGCGGGAACATCGAGCAGGTCACATTGGTGACGACTATCATCTTTCTACAATATGTCACGGACTAACCATGTCAAGAAGTGAAGATAATACAAGTCATCGCTTTTTCTAACGTCAAATAAAAAACTTGTGAATCTGGCATTTCAATCATCGTCATCATCATGTTTTGTCCATCTAATCACTCTTCTCTTTTCTGCTTCAAGAAGAAACAAAAGCGCCGGATAGCCCACGCCCTCCCTTTCCGCCTTCTAATGCTCTTTTTGTGATTCGAATGAAAACCCCCCACTCCAAGAAATAGTACCACTCCGTTTGTTTTGATCGATGGCCCCCAAAATTATACACAGAAGATAGAAGTTGTAAAGAAAAGAGCTTGAGAGGAGTAAAGCCAGGTGCCACGAACAATGTGTTAAGACTTGTTGGGTAGAAATCGTATCGTGCTTTGTACTGGTCAAAGGACAGATTGAAGCTTTCAGATCTGCTTTCCCCAAAGCATTCTGTAGATCGGTCTGTCTTTGCCAAAGTTTGCTGTGGTTGCTTTTATGCAATGCTCAATCGTGTTGAGTAGATCCCCCCAAAATCTAGGTCATGGCACGCGGGCTCTGTGCGAGTCCTGAGCTGTGGGCAACATTCAGCATCATTCTCTCAACCTCAGGAGCGGCCTTCATCCAGCCAAGCTCCCAGATGTTGTAGGAGTTGTTCTTGACAAGCTCCAAGACGGTTACAAGCAGTCCCCAAGGATGAGGTCTTGCGGACATGACACGCTCAACCAGTACTCTGGCGACCTGCTGTTGAAGGTCTTCCGAGCTGACTGTGAAAAGGTGAAGTAACGCGGTCGAGAAATAGTGGGTGTGCGCGTTAGGGTAGCGCACCTGGTTGGTAATGGCGCTAAGGAGTTGGTATCGCACTTCATGGCGCGATTCATGCAACAAACGCTCAATCACTTTGGCAGGGGTTGCGGATGGTGAAAATACCGAAGATCCTGCGGTAGCGGTGTTGCCAATCTGCAAGATCAAAGCATTGGCAACGAGGGCATCAGGTTGGCCTTCGTTGTCGATAGCACTGATGACGGTCTTGATATCATCATCCTTGATGTCCTTGCCTTTAAGCAAGTTGTCGATAGCAGCGTCGAGCCCTGCATCAGACAAGACGTCTTCAAATCCGCCACGGAGGTCTGGCATCTGGCGAATCTGTTCAAGACGGTTCATCTTGAGACCTGGGGTGAACGGATCAGGGAGCTCCTGGAAGGACGAAGGGTATGCGCAGTTGATAACATTTTGCAACTGAAGCAGGCCTGCAGGGACGCTGCTGTTGAGGCGCATATGGTTCTCGGTGAGGAACTCTGGGAAATCGTGCTGAAGGATGAGAAGGACTCTCAACACGCCGCGGTAGAATTCTGCTGCGTGCATAGAGATCTCTTGAGTGCTAACCAAGTCACCAAGGAAGCTAAAGAGGACTTGAAGGATCTGTAGGTAGACGTCCCATCCCTTTCTGTCAGCCGATCTCATGACCTCAGGCACAAACATACGATGACTGATCAGAGCCAGCCATGAGAACGTGAAAAGGGGGAAGAACCTAGGCTGCAGAGCCAGGGAAGCCTTGCCAAAGACAAGGATGAGATCCTGGTATTCGTCGCCGAGTTGTACTCTAAAGGCGGCTAGCTCACATAGCAGACTAGACATGAGTCTGAAAAAGATTCTGTCATTGAAGCGTTCATCAGGGCGAGTCGTTCCGTGGTGGTTCATGACCAGAACGAGAAGACCAAGGATGGCCTTGAGGTAATCGGTCTTGCTACCCGAGAGGACGCCTTCGCCATCACTTTGATATGCTACAAGCGAAGCAATCAGCTTGGCAAGAGCGTCGACATGGATGTAAGCATGGTCCAGGCTGCCATAGGTGAGTGCCTCGCGTTCAAAACAGTCGAGCGACATCTCGATGCAGACACGCAAGAACGAGGCGAATTCTTCCTGATTGCTGAGTAGGCTACGACTCTGCAGTTGCTGAATGAATGCCACCATGTAGCGTTCAGGGACTTCGGGTCTTTGAAGGCGCACCCACTCTTCAAAAACGTATTCGAGCTGATCCTGCTTATCGGATGCGGGAGGACTGGGTGGTGGTGCACCATTGGACACGTCTTGTAGCTTCTTAACAATGTCTTTGCCCATCTCCACACTGGGGTCCTCGGAGAGCCACTGGCCAAGTGCGCCAAAGGAAAGAACAAAGTCTGCGCGAAGAGCGGCTGGGTGCTCGCTAAGTATCAGCTCGTCAATGAGAGCGCCAAGGAATTCGACAGCGACTGTCTTCTTTTGCATGATTGCCTGAGATGTTTGCAAGTCGACGTGATGGATGTCGAGCAAGCCTGTCTTGAGCAGGCACACAGTGACTGGACCGTTGTAAACCTTGTCATCGTTAATGGACTGCAGATAGATAGTCAAGTTGCGAGCTGTGGTGACTGAGATCAGACAGAGGTGGTTCAAGACTTCGACAAAGACTTCAATCTCAAGACGAGTCTCAGACTTTGTGTAGGCAAACAAAGTCGCTCTCTGGACAGTAGCCAGAGCCAACTGCTCCTTTTCAGGAGAGCTCTCGATCATACGCATCAACTGTGCATACGCCTCACGAACGGGCGAGGCGGGACCAATCTCTCCAATGTGCTCTTCGGGTGCCTCATGAGCAACGCGCTGGAGATCGGCCAGAGCTTCGAAAACGTGTCCAATGATAACCTCAGTCGTCATGTAACCATTAGTTTGGCCTTGAGAAGGCACAACCCGTTGCTGCTGTTGTCCTTGTCTTGGAATGGCTGGATTTTCGGCCGGTGTAGGTATGCTTGGCAAGTAGTTCTCAGTGAGCTCCTGCAGTTGGCGAGTGTTGTCCTGCGGCACTGCGTTGGCGTGAGGGGCAGCAGGCACACGCATTTGACGGCCAAAGTCCTCGTAGATGGCCAACTGCTGTGGATTCAAGCCACCTGGATCCTGCCTGTACGGCTCGGGAATGAAGAATGCCCATCGGCTAACAGCGGGATAGTTGAAAGCTTCGATTGCACGCTGCTCGGCGGCGTGTCTCTTGCGACGCTCGACGGCTTCTTGGATCTGTGCATCGATCTCTGCCATTGACTGCGATTCCGCAGCGTCTTCGACAAGCTTACACACTGTGTCGAGGTTGTCGTTAACAAACATGAGAATAGAGCCCTCAGGGAGAGGTTCACGCAGGTTTTGTGAGGCCAGTATGCGAATGTTGTTGGAGATGCTCATACGAAGAGGCTCCTTGCAAGTAACAAGCGCGAGGCTTCCCGAGAGCGCCTTGACCACGTTATGAGCACTCGAGCACATACGATCCACATCAGCTTCCATGGCGAAGTCCTTCTCGACGAGCTGCGATGTAGAGATGGCAGCAATTGTGACCGAACGTTCGACGACCGGAGCAATAATCTCGGTAATGGCGCGTTGGGCAGCGTCAAGGAAGATACTCTTGAGTTGAGCGTGGGAGATGCTGCCGGACGAGGGGGGGTAATTGAGCATAGCACCAAGGTCAGGCAAAGACTTGAGGACATCCTGGGAAGAGAAGCGTTCACTTGGAGCCCTCTTGGACAAAGACATGAGATGCATGTCGCCAAATCCATCCATGGTGTCAGTAGGATATTGCTGAAGCAGCTCGCCTTCATGATGAAGGGGTAGAGTGCGAATGATCGAAGCAGGCTCAACTGCCTTGTGATCAAGACCCAAATCCTTGCACAAGACCTCAATCTCGAACTTAAGGTTGAGCTTGAGCTCAGCAAAATCATAGAGCTCAACCAGGAAACTGACTAGCTCCATCAACCATGGCTGTGGGGGTCGGAATACCTTCGAGTCCTTGGCTTGAGAGAGAACCTTACAGGTGAATGGAATTGCGATCAGGAGACGTTGGGTTTGGTGGGCTTCGATTAAAAGATCCTTGAAGGAGAGGTTGCGGTGGAGGATCGGTTGATCGCGAGCCAGGGTGAGCATACCCAACCAAGCAGCAAGGTTCTTCAAGTTTGTACGATCTTGGGCGTTGTTCATGGTTGCTTCTGCGTTCAGAATCCTAGAAAGACTGTTGTAGGTTTCGCGCAGAACCTCAGCATAGAGCAGCTTTTCGTCAAACATTGTCAGGATTTGCAAGTAAAGACTTTGGAAGTTCGGTTGCGCTTTGGCCAGATCCTCGACGAGGTAGTTGGCAAACCACTGGTGATGACGCTCCTCAAGAGCAGCTTCCAGATCACGGAACTTGTCATCAATGTTGCGCTTAGAGACGTTGTTGAGGACAAACATAACCTTGTCTGAAGTTTCCTCATCCGGCTCTTCGTAAAGCTCAGGTCTGAGGGGTGCTTCGACATGAATGCTTCGGAAAGGAGGGTACTGCGATTCGAGAGCGAAGTCTTCCAGACTGCCATTCGGGAGCGAGAGCTCGGGCTGTAAGTCTCCACGGATATCCACTCCAGGTTGGCGGCGAACGACTTCCTCAGCCTTCGTGTAGACCTCTGTACCACGCAAATGAGGGATCGCGATGAGACGGTTGCAGAAACTAGGCCATTCTTCAAGGCGGTTGATGAAGTGAAGCAGAGCTTGGAGACCAAACTTGTACATTGAATCATCGGGGGAGTACTCGGCGACGGCATCCAGAACCATGAACAACGCAACACCGAGTGTGACACGGGAAGAAAGCACGCCAAAGTTGATGATACCGCCGAACAAAACAGCGGTTGTTGCAAGTGCCTCCAACGGGTATTCACCGAAGCAGTTATATTCGTCAAAGAGGCCGTGGATCATGCATGCAAACAGGTCTTGATCTGCGGAGTCCTCAGATTCTTTGAGGTGTTGGAGGCGCTCGATCATACCACGAGGATCGACTTCATTAGAGTACATCATCTTGTATTGTTCTTGCATCTTAGCGTCAGCATCCTCAGACAAAGAGTTGCCATTCTCGCCGTTAGCGTCGATGGCATGGTCGAACTTGTATCCGTAGTTGATAAGGCGAGGATAAACCTGAAGACAGACACGTTGAATGGCGCCGATCTCTTCATCACTGAGGTGTCCGTGAATGACGTTAAGAAGGGCATAAACTGTCTTGACCTTCAACGGCACGACTTGGTGTGGGTTATCTCGCTGGACCGACTGCTCGTCTTCGGCTTTGATCCTAAGAAAGGTGACGATCGCTCCAGCGAGCTGTTGAGGTGAAATTTCGAGGTGGCCCTGGGCCCATGCCTCCAGATCGACTTGGCCTTGGCCATGACCGTACGCAGCAAGATCCAGCCCAAATTCATTAGTGATGAGAAGGAGGGTGTCGGTCCATGCATGTTGACTAGCGTGCTCGAAAATGACAGCCAGCAAGGTTGGGTCAGAATTGTATGCCTCGACCAGCTTACTGGCCAGCCAAGACTTGTCGTGCTTCCAAAGAGCGTGGAGAACAAAGTCGTAGTTGGGGAGAGTCTTATGGAAGAAGGGGCGGAAGAGCTGGTTAAGGGCCATCTCCTGTAAGGCTGCCCATGGCTTTTCCACGGCAGAGGCTGCACACACAAAAATGTCGGTGTTTGCGTTGATAACGGTCTCCGGGATGCCGAGGTGTTGTGCCTGGTTGTATGCGTCTTGTGATTGGAAGATTACGGTGAAGAGGAATTTCGTGGCCTCCATTGACACCATTGGGTGGCTAACGGCCTTTTGCGCATATGCCTTGACCTCCTCGGTGGCATCGGCAAATTCGTCCATGAAGAAGGCGGCACGCAGACGGGGGATCTGAGTGGCGTCGAGTTCTTGAGGCGAGCATGACAGGAAGGCGGTGACAAAGGACAGTTGAGCGTTGGGAGCGCTCCAGATACCGCCCCACAAGCATTGAATGTCGAACGAGTCGGTCTCGCGAGCAATGGGGAGCAACGCGTTGTAGAGGGCCAGGAACTGCGGCTTGGTGATTCGCATCAGGCTAATGTCGAATGTCTTTACAACGGCATGCCAATCGAGATGCTGTGCCTGGGGGTGCTGGCGGACGGCGGAAACGAAAACGCCGATATCGTATGACTCGTCTGAGAGGAGCATGTACGCCAGTGCAACGGCAACAAAGTGTGGTGAGATCTGGTCGACTCGAGCCAGGACATCTTTGCAGCTTTCGATCGTTGTTGTAGCCCGGGGGCCCTCCCTCTGTAAGGGGCGGACGAGGGCGGTGCTGATTGGAATCAGTTCCATGAAGCCGATGAAGGCACTGACTTCGCTTGTGGGTAAGATGCGAAGCTTTGTGAAACGGTCGTTCAAGCTGTTGAGAAGGTGTCTCTGGGCTTCGTCATTCCATTGCCGGGGTGGGTCGAGGATAAGGCGGAAGAGGATGCTGGAGAGGAAGGATGAGGAAACGTCATCAGCGGCGGTGGGGTTTGCGATGGCTTCTAGAAAGGGCGAGTAGTTGTTGCTGAGGATGGCATCGGCTGGAATGCACGTTAGCAGTGAAGCTTGGAGGCTTGGAGGATAGCATGAGCAAAGGAGCTATGTCGAGTAGTGATTACCCTTTGTCTTAATGTCTTGCTTCGAGAGGAGCTTGCAGGCCAGCGCCAGAGTGACCTTTGCAGTAGGGTCCAGTCTGAAGTGATCCATGAAGGTCGACAGATCAAAGTCTTTAAAGAGGTCGCCGTCGGTGTTCGTGTCGAGAGCATCGGCAATCTTTGACGCTTGCGAGGGCAGGCGCGTCAGTTTCTGCATCTCGCCGACGAGCAGCGGATAGCTTCCGCTGTCTGCTGCTGAGCGCTGTGCATTCTGGTTTGACGAGAAGATCAGAGGAGCATTGCTCTGCAGCAGCCTTCTGAAATATGTTGTCGACACGTCCATTCCGTGCGCATCCACCAACTGCCTCGAAATCAGTCATCAAGCACAAGACGAGCTCGGCCTAGAAGGCGCTTACCTTCTGTATCTTTTCGGCCTGTGTATCCCACTTCTTGTCGTCTTTCAAGGTACTCAGCAGAATGTTCAGCTGGGTGATGACCAAGCTGGTCAGTTGTCCAGACGGCGCGCCCGACGAGTGAGCCGAGATGGGCGATGCTGACAGTGACTGTGGTTGTTGGGAGGCTCTGGCGAATCTCCTTCCGCCTGACTGTGGAGCTTGCGGGAGTGTTGCCGAAGTGGGAGTCGAAGTGACGGCACCGGGAAGTGAGCGCTGCTGCTGTTGCTGCTGCTGGGTGGGCGACAGCACAGACGAGGTCGACGAGGCGGACGAGTTGCGACTAAGAATATGGCGCGTCGCAGGCGAGTTTGCAGCAGATGGGGGCTGGGTCGAGATGGGAGGGAGCCCACGGCGTGCTGGCCTCGAGGCGCGTGAGGTCGACTGCTGTGCTTGCGAAGAGTGGCTGTTCGAGAATTGTTGCGTGTGATTGGACGAGGGGAAGCTCATTAGGTACGACTACCCGCCCATTAGTCTCTACTGCTCGTGTTCGAAGGAAGGTAGCTGAGGTGAGGATGCGAGACGTGTGGGCATGTGTCGACAGCAGAGTCCATCCATGCATCCTTGGACTTGGCGACGAACTTGGTCTGTGCACTCGACCATCTGACGCTGAGGACCCAAGTCACACTCATCACCCTGACCGAGCATTCCTCCTCAACGAACCTGACCACTTCAAAGACAAAAGCAAGACGAATCATATCATTATAATCATGTGGCTGTGAATTCTTCTCCTAATTCGTTCGCTATGCACAAAAATCACTCAATACTTCCTCGATAAGCATGTAATCAAAGCATTCAATTTCTGTCGTAAACATCTCCAATTCTGACCGGAATCTCAACAAGAAAACGTCACCATCCATAAGATCTCCCCATCAGAAAGGGTATAAGGGAAATCAACGAATGTACGTTCAATGACAAATGAGAAATCATTAAGCAGGGACCAGGTAGTTGCTGGGAACGAGTCCTCTTCTTCCATCCTTGCCGGCCACCTCGGCTTCCCACCAGCCGTCGTCTTGCAATCTCAGGACAGCCAGGATATCACCCTTTGCGAAGGTGAGTTCTTCAGGAATCGCTGCCGAGTACATGTACATTGCTCGAGCTTGAGACACTGTTAGTCATGGCTTTATCAGTCATTTGAGTAATCGACTTACAGAAATTAAGAATGGGTCTTCCATCCTTGGTGAATTGTCTCTGTCCAGCAGAGCTCTGACTACGCACTCTAGTACTTAACTGTTGCTGCTGTTGCGGTGCCTGTTGTGGCGGCTGTTGCTGAGGGGCCCCTCCGCGAGTCGATGCTGCTGCCCAACCACCCTCAGCTCCATAGAAAGTGCTTGTGGGTCTGAGTGGTGCACCTTGTCCTCCTCGCGAGGGTGGAGGGTAGGCTTGGTCGCCTGATGGAGCCAATTGCATCGCCATAGCTGCAGGGTCGCCGCGGCTGCTTGGTGGTCTGCTGCCTGGGCCAGCCGAGCCACGGAATTGAGGGTTGGGACTTGCAGATCGAGGCATACCAGAAACTGGAGAATTACCATGTGATGCATAAGCTGGGTTGTATCCTGGGCGCTGCTGCTGCTGCTTTATCGGACTACTTGATTGTGCACGTGGTCTTGCTGCAGGCATGCCGTTGGGAGGAGGCCCGCCGTATGGATTCGGCGAGGTTGAACGATAGTCCTGTCCTTGAGGAATGGGTTGAGATCTACGGTCGTATCCTGGGCCGGGTCGAGGACTCGTAGCGCGCGGAGGAGCGGGCGAGCTCGTACGTAAGGGTGCAGGAGAGGCGGAGCGCATCATCTCACCAGAGGCCCTTGGATCTCCGCCTCTGCTAGCTGGACGTGAGCCCATCTGAGAAGGTGTGTTGCGTGGAGGAGCATTGAACATGTCTCTCTTCTGTGTCATATAGCTAGCAGTTGTCTGCTGCATCTGCTTGCTAGTGAATGCCGGCTGCGGTGCGCCCAGTCGTCTCATTGGTTGGTCGTAAGAAGGTGGTGGGGTTCCACGCTGAGCAGCACGAACATCAGAGTTGGCCATGAGAGGCGAGGGCGATGCTCTGCCAGCGCCACCCGGTGCGGGAGTTGGAATGCCAGCATAGCGATCCACTGAGACACGAGTCGAGGCTTGCTTTGTGACGCCCTTGAGCTCAGCCAGAGCCTGGGCAATGGGGTCAAGCTCTCCCGTGGGCTCCTCGACAGGGACCGATCTCTTACGAGCGTCAGGTGTTGCAACATCGAAGACATTGTTGCCAATGTTCAGCTGGAAGTTTGCACGAGGGTCAACAGGTTCTGGGTCGGGGCTGGGCATTGGGTCGTTGCCAAATCCGACATTCCTAGCTTCGCGGCCGAACGGACGAGCCGGTGAGGATGAAGTCTGCGGTCTAGGAGCAGCAGCCCAAGTATTTCTCTGAGACGGGCCGTTCGAGATAGAAGCAGGAGCGGCGACTTCATGTTTGCTCTTACGGCGGCCAAAGGGACTGTGATTTTGGAAGAAACCACTTCGTCTCTTCTGCAGTGTCTTGTCGTCCTGCTGGCTGCTGGAAGAAACGGTGGAAGCGTTTAGCTGCTTCATCGGCGAAGTAGGTGGCTCGATACTTGAGAAGGAATTTGCATTGGAGATTTCGCTGTGCGAGTCGTCCTCAGGGCGTGTCGGGCTGGGGATGGAGCTGCGATCGGACGGAGGGCCGAGTCTACAGAACTGAGTCATGCCGTCCATAGGATACTCGTTGTGAGGTACCTTGGGCACGTCTTGATAGGCGTTGATTGGAACAGCCTGTTGGCTGGAGCGACGGGGCATTTGAGGCATGACAGCAGACTGTTGTGATCTTTGTGATCTCTGAGATCTCTCAGAATTGACTGACGAGCCGAGAGCCATTTCTTGAGCCAGGGATGAAGCAGGGTCGTGATGAGACGAGTAAGATGAGGGCTGCGGCGAGGACGAGCGGAATGCCGGATTCATGGTCCGTTGGAATTGAGCAACAGAGTAGTGTGCATCGTCGGAGACGTCAGAAGCGTTGTCGTTGATGTCGCCGCGGCAGAAGTTGATGTACTTTGGAGGGTCAGGAATCTCCTGACCGGTGCCATTGTCCTTGATGAAACCAGCAATGTCCTTCTCGACGTCGCAATCCTCAAGAGACAAACGAATCTTCTCGCAAGAGGCATCATCACTGACGCAGACGGTGGAGGAGATGTTAGCAAAGCTCCAGAGGCTGCTCTTTGTAAAGTCGAGGCGTTCTTCTTCGAGGTCTTGGAACTTGTCGCAAGCAGCCTTCCATTCGCGATTCCAGCGAGCAGTTGTTTCCTCGAGCACCTTGACGGCTTGTTCGTATTCGCTGCTGGTTGCCGACATTTGGATTTGAGTCTTCTCGAGCTTGGCCTTGTTCTTGCGCTCTTCTTGACCCATAACCATGTGGCCTTGTGCGAGATAGCCCTTGATCTTGAGACAGTCCTGCTCGTAGCGATCGCGTGCCTTGTTGACGGTGTGTGTTTGCTGCGTCTTCGTCTTGAGCAGTTTTTCGATTCCGTTCTGAATGATCTTGCGACGTTCCTTGATGCCGCCCGAGAAGGTCGAAAGTGGCTCTTCAAGCTCGCCCTTCATCTGCTGTGCAATGTGTTGGTGCGACTTGCCCATGGCCTCGAGCTCTCCTCGTACGACATCCATTGACATGCGCAGAGTGCCAGCCTCGGATGAGCCCAGGGGTTTGCGGGCAAGATTGAGTATCTTGCGCGAGTATTCCTCCTCGATAGCAGCTCGTTGAGTGTAGAAAGACTTGAGTTCATCGCTAGTGATTTTGGCATTGTGCATGCGTTCGAGCAAAGGGTCGACGCCGGCGTCTTCTTTACCCCAGAAGTTGTTTGCGACTGGGATGAGTGTCAGGGTGTGTTCTTGAGAGCGATGGGTTTAGTATACTCACAAGAGAGCGACACGCTAGGTGCCATCTCTGATCCCGCCATAGCGCCCGGTCGTGTTGTTCAAAGCGATTGGTGATTGTGGATAACGAGTTTGTGTGAATAGATTATTGATGTCTGGTCTGTCGAAGTAGCCCGGTATTATGTCTAGATGACTCTGTGATAGCAAAGAAGATGGAGGCCAGGATGGAGAAACGTGGGTGCATTTGGCTAGTTTCATTGTTGTCATGCAACACCTACACTCCGTCGACACAGCAACGAAGCGTCATCCGACTACATAGCGAACGTCGACATCTGCCGAACTCTTTCTCACCGATGCAACACACCAAGCCATCTTAGTTTTCAACTGTCCTTCTCGAAGAAATCAAACTTAATCATCGTGTCAATTTTACACTCGTCGTTGTGGCTTTCGCGCAAACCATCAGTCCCGCCCAGAAAACCACCTGCCCCTTCATGTGACCGCATCCTATCCGCGTCAATCGCCTTCGTTCTTTATCACTCCCGGACCCGCATCTCACTGATTGGCTTGTGCTTGTCGATCTGCCGGCAGTCCCTTGACTTTGACAACCTTCCAACTTCCAACTCTGTGCGCGGTCTCCTTCTGCTGACGCCTGTCAGGCGGACAATATTGTCATTCGAAGGCATACAATTTCATGTCCAAGGCCGTCAAAGCGATTGAATTTCTCGGAAGATCCTTGGCCTTTAGCTAACCTGTCAAGATGCATCAGTGGTCGAAAGCTCCGTTTTCTTTTGCCATGTCCTACAGGCTCGTGATTCGGCCGGGCATAGGTACTCAGGTAAGCTTTGTTCTACGGTGCAACTTGAGCACAATTGCTCTTCTACCTCACCTGCCTCTCCTTGGCCAATGATCTCAGATGCTCTCGAGTCTTGAGATCGACCTTGTCGTAGTCCACATAATGCCCCTCAGTCAGTATTAAAGAAAAGGCCACGCCGCGTGACTCCTTCGTGCGGGTCGATTCCAGTATTACTCCTTCCATCATTTCAAGCGGTACTGTAAGACATGGGGCAACAGCAATCACAACCAGGGGCTCTCCGAAGGGATGCGACAGGCAATTCGACTCTCAGGTTGTCACGTCGCACAAGGCTTCAGTCCAAACCTCAAAATGTCCTTGTCCGGCGACCTCGTTCTGAGCAAGCGGGACCGTCGTCCGCTTCTCACGATGAATCGCACAATTCCATACGTACTCCGCACGCTACGAGTACCATGAGCCGCTTTTTGCAACATCAATCAGATGCTTTCCTCCATGATCCTGTAATTCCTCCTCCACGCCATACACATTCGAACGACAAGCATACGAACCCATCAGGAAGCTCGATGAGGCCACTTTCGGTTATAGACGCAGCTTCCATCGCCGCATGTGTCGCCCACCGAAATCTTACGACTCAAAAAACCACGTTGCCCCAAAACTCCAAGCCCATCAACAATGCGGCTGGCCCTATTCGCACCAGCCAAGAACCGATCAGAGTCCAGCAGCCTGGTGTTGGCTCTCAGCCCAGAACAACAGCTCACGATAGCCTCATCAGCAACCCTGAGGTCACTAAACATGTGCCTGGAGCTTTCCCTATTCTCGAAGAGAGCACAACCGATAATCCCAGACACACAATGAATGTGACAGAGCTTGAGATGTTGCCTGGAACGCGTCTTCCGTCTGTCAAGAGTGAGGAACGGGTCCCCCTATTTGTAGAGCAAGTATTGGTTCCAGGAATTACAGCTCTCCAGAATGTGTCTAACTCACTGGACACGAAGAACATGCCTAGATCTAGAGGCTCTTTTGCCGGCCATAAATATCAGGTCGCCAACCCTTATTCGCGGTACCACCCGAGCTATCCAATTGACAATCAACCTGTCCTTCAAAGGCACCCCGAACAAGTCCTGAGCCCAGTCGCCGAACGGCTTGATGAAGACCATTTCTTTGCTCTAGAGCTAAACCAAAAGTTGGCGAGGGAGGAAAAAGAAGCCTTCACAAAACAGGAAGCAGATGACCGCAGATTGGCCATGGCCATGCAAGAAGAAGAAGACACCAGAAGAGCAGCAGAAGCCCAACCTCAGACTAGGGAATGCGTTGTCTGCTGTGAGTCTCTCGATCCTCTAACCTTCCCAGCCAGACCACCTTCCAGTGAATGCACCCATCGTCCTGAAGTCTGTCCACCTTGTCTGCAAAGATGGGTAGCTACGAAAGTCGCCGCCAACGATCGAGGCAGAATATACTGTCCACAGTGCGTCATCCTTCTCAATCACGACGACGTCCGCCGCGCCTGCGACCACACAACCTTTGCCGAATACGACAAACACGCAGTACTAAACGTTGTCAGCCGCATGGTCAATTTCAACTGGTGCTTGCGTGCAGGTTGTGACGGCGGTCAAGAGCAAGATGGAAAGACACTAGGATACATGAAATGCCACTCTTGCGATTACGCCCAATGCCTTCATCACAGGATGCGCTGGCACACCGGCGAGACCTGCAAGCAGTACGACGAGCGCACCAACAACCGCCACAACGAAAAGACTGAAGAGATGATCAACAACTCACTCCTTACCGCGTACCTACAAAAATGTCCAAGATGTCAAGTAGTGTGTGAGAAGAACGGTGGATGTAGGCAGATGATTTGTAAGTACCCTTCCCAACGACTTACGGAGATCGTATGTTAATCAGAACTACTAGGCACGAGGTGCGGATGGCGGTTTACCTGGGAAAAGGCAAGAAAGCTTCCGAAGGTTAAGAAACCCGTGGGACCTAGGCCAATGAGAAGTACACTTCGTGTGGAACCACCCACAGGACTGCGGGCCCGTATCGCCCGATTCTTGTCCCCGTAGCCTTTTATATCATTGTAGAGAATGGACATATAATCACATGATGAACACACTTGACGATTGTGATTGGGACTCGTGAAAATATAACGTCAAGCGCCTCAGATGGCGTCGTGCACAACTGCGCTTTACATCGCCACCAACCAAAACCATCTTCACCGATCTCTCCTATCGAACAAATCAAAAGAAAGCCAAAGATCTCTCAAGCACTTTAGAAAAACTGCAAAAAAACGGAGTAGTCTCGTGCTCGCATGTGTCTGAAAGTTATTAGTAAAGTGTTTTGAAGTGCGAAAGTATTTGCCGAAGCTGGGGTTCGAACTCACCATCCTTAGTGCAGGGGCCATGCTAATCTTCTCTGTATAGTTATAAATTGACCAAATGCCCAGAGGGCAGAATTTAATTCCATTCTGGGCGTTTATATAGTCTGAATGTTTGCCAACTCTCCTCCAACAGAAAATCGCTGCCAACACGATGGAAGGCAGCATCGCTGTCTAAGGGGGAGAGTGCGACTTGGGAAATGATCATGCGAAAATACGCGCCTGTTTCGCATGCAGCGCATGGAATCTGCTCATGTTTCTCATTGCCTTGAGGTGATTTAAGGCGGTCAGGGTGTGGAAGCGGGTGTAATTTTGGAACGAGTGGGATCTTTGAGTCCTAACTATTTTGCAAGAGTTTCTTGATTGGCTGTGTAAACGAGGTATGTGGACGACATCTCCATCGCTGCACCTTCTACCAACTACCAAAGACGGAATTGGTCATGGAACTTCAAGTGCGAAACCCAGTGTTGGGAACAACTGCTTTCATCGCTTGGAGCCCCAAATCTGCCAGTACACGCATCCATAGTCCTTGTGGCATTCAAGGGCATATCCGCCAGTTGTTCCTGGCTTGGTGTCATGGAAGCCTATGCCATGTCAGCGGTCGTCTTTGACGACGTAAAGCCCGAAACTCACACTCGTTGACGACTCTCTGGAGCGTCTCCCTGCAAACAACTTCACGGTCCTTGACGAGGAAGTCAACATTCGAGTCGATTCCAACTTGAACGTCGATGCCACCAAGGTCAACCGTGCTATCGACAAACTCAAACCTCGCCATGATCGAAATTGCGGTATCATTGAACAGGTAGGCGCGCTCCGGGTCTGGAGTAAAGTTTCTGAACCTGTCCAGCGGGAAGTAAAGAGGTGGGATGTAACTGGAGACTTTCGCGATCTTGTCGGCGCAGAACTTGTCGATGGCCAGATGGGCGTTTGCGGTAGAGAGGTGAGCGATGGTTTTAGGATCGAAAGAGTCGTGGATCTTGCAGTCGACGAAAGTCTCGCGTGAAAGCCCATTCTTGAAAAGATATCTGGCAGGGTTGTTCAAGTTGAGATCTGCGCAAGTCAGTGATGTTGGAGGAAGACGGTGGGCATCAAGACCTTTATAATTTTCACGAAGGCTGAAGAAAATATCATCGTAGGGTGTCAGCAGTAACACACCCTTGCGGACAGATGCAGTCGTAGAGGCAACCGATGGCGGTCTTTTAGCTGACCAGGGAAGCTCTTTCGACACGGATCTGGCGGAAACCCTAGGAGAGTCCATCCAACCCTGGGCGGCGGCTGCCAAAACGGCGAACATCAATACGAGTATGATTGAACGCATATTTGACGAGTATGTGGGCTGTGCAATAGGGGTTGCGTAATGATCTGGTGTCAACAGTTGATGGTAACGTGATGGAAAATGTAGGGGTGCGCAGCGCTGACAATCCAAGTGCGAGGCCGAACAAACAATAAATTCTCCTGGTTCTCTTCACTCGGAGATACCTATTCGGGTTCTAAAGCCTTCTAGTACTCTGGACTAGTAGAAAGAAAAACACGACATTTAAGGCCCTTTTTGGTGAGGGAGTTTATTTAATACCTTAAATCATACATCTTCGACTCGCCTCGATATTCGATTTGTTCCTAACCTCTTGTTTAGCATACTTGGCGGTATTATGCGAGTTTAGACGTGCCAAACAATCTGAACCGCAGTTGAAGTCGCGAACCGAACGGGCCCTAATATCAGGTCTGGAGCAAAACTTACACATGAGCACGGTCATCTATCTCCTCTCGAATCAGTGTCGCTTCACCTCATTCGTAGTGAATTGGGGTGTTCATTCGCAACGCAGTCCCTCGAACATGGATCTCGTCTAGTCCAGGAGGCGCTTCCTTCATCACTCAATTCTTGCTGTCGAACCTCTCTCAAGAGTTTGTCCCCGGCCGATCGTGGACCAGCGTAACATGTACCACTTGACTGACATTGTCGTCATCTCAGTCAAATTTTGAAGACGTGCGACTGTGCTATTGCGAATCCCAACCTGCATTGACTTGAATTGTAGCGTTGATCCCTTCTTCTCCTTTGCTTATAAGATTTGCGTCCTGGCTCGAGATATCCTGCTTACGCTCTTGGAGTCAAGGTAGATGTGGAAGGCTGCGAAGCTCTTTTGGGTACGCCCATCGTCATCAGTCTCATATCACAACCCAATCGGCATGCTCCGCGACCCTCATCAGAATTATCAGAACCATCAGAACCATCGATGTAGCACAAGCATCCCTCCCACTTGTGATCCTCTTTCTCTATCTGCATTTAGTATGGTCAACTCTGTACACAAAGACAGGTCGCAGTCAAAGTCACACCTTTGTAGCTTAGTTTATCTGTTTCAACGTTAGAACAACTCTTCCACAGTCGTCACAACACGGAATATTAGTCTAGACCTAGTATCCTTGCTCGTTAAGCGTAATAGGGCCGGGCATTGCTTTCTATATAAGGCACTCCGTCATTTAATTAATGACTAGTAGTAGAATTATGCTAATCGGAGATCGACTCGTGCTCTTCCGGAGCATTAGGGACGCTCGCTTCTTAAACCGGAAAGTAACCTTCGTCTAGTATACTAGTTAACATAATAGGTTTCTTATTAGTGTGTAGTAGCTCCTAGTTCTTCGACATAGCTTATGAAATCCTAGTTGCGCATTAGAACTCCGGGCAGATTTAGGAGACTAGCGAAACTTCTTATAATATCCTTATAGTCGAATTTGTTATAGCTAAGTCGGCAAGACTCTCGATCCTAGATAAGACATTCGTAGCCTTTCTACTTATAGTCTTGCTCTTTGATCTATAGAGATTATTGTTAGCTTCGCATGTCTAGTTTTAGTCGATCGAATTGACTCCTTTGCAAAACTAGTCATTAATCGTTCTAGCGACTAGCTCTCCCTCTCTACACTCGTCGCAGTTTAACAATACCTACCGGTAGGGCATTCGATCTCATCCAAGCGGAGACCTTCATTATCATTGCTCTTATGACCACTGACATTTGGTTAAAATCTGGCGTTGGATCTTCCCCTGCCGGCCACACATTGTTGCCTTTCTGGAGCATCATCGAGACTTTCATTTCGACCCGAAGTATCAACTTCGCCGACTTCAGCAACAGCACGTTCGGTTCCTTGTTGGTTCATAGTAGCTTCTTGATTCGCGAACGTACTGTACTCGGCCCCGTTACTTGTAGATTCCGCATCAGAGCTCAATGCTCCATGGTCGCCTCTCGAGCGTTCGGTTGGAGATTGATCATCGCTGTCAGTTTGCTGATTTTGTGTCGACCGAGGGTTTTTGCCGTCCTGGATATCCGCGGCAGTATGTTCACTGTCGTCGCTTTCGGTGCTGTCATTCAGACCATCTTCGTCGTGTGATTTGTCGTCTGAGCTCTCTGGCCATTGGCAAATCGGGCGGATGTTCATCGGATGCATACAAAAACAGTTCTTCCATCGATAGTCTTCAGCCTCGATCTTTGGTTCGAACAGTCAGTAACGTTTCTAGAAAGAGAAAGCGACTGTGCTTACACCTTTGCAGTGAAACTGGTACCATGGCTGGCCAACAGTTTGTTCCGCACCACCGCATTCATCGCAACGCGGTGTTTCGAATCCACTGGGGCACTCTTCACCGTTGCTCGCGTAACTTGCTTGTGTAAGCATGTTGGCCGATGTAGATTCATTCTTGACTGCGACGATGTTTGGCGAGATAGATGCGAATGTGGCGGTGTGCGATGTCGATGATGCAAAACTGGTCGCAGGCTGCAAAGACATCCAGGCGCGGTCGTTCTCCTGCCTGTGATACTGCAATTGAGTGGGCAACTGTCGCGCAAAGGGTTAAAGGTTGGCGCCAGGCGAGAAACCGCTTGCGACAAGCGTATGTGCCGCAAGAAGGCAGAGCGTGAGTACCAAAGCGGAAAACATGGTGTCGGGTGTGGTTTTTAGTTGATGAACAAAGTGTGCTGTTGAAGATATAATCGCAAACAACTCTTAAGGCGGTGATCGTCACATGCACTCGACACCAACACACGTGCTTGTAAAACTAAAATTTCGAGCCGAAACGTCTGAGCTAAGTTTCACATAACCTCTCCACTCGTTGGAGACATCAAGTTACTCACATGTGCGGAACAAGACACCGCCAATTCCAGTACTTCTCTTCGGCTACTCTTCCTTATCGACAACACTCGTTCTTTCTACCACTTCACTAGTCCATCTTTGATGGAGACAACAGCTTTGAGTGGCTTGGCGGAGGTCATTCAAAGTTCTTGTCCTCGGTAGTCTCGTAATTGTTTCATCGTCCTACTGCAGTGAGAGTCAGTATGGAGACGAGAAGGAACGAGGAGGCTGAAGAAATATCACACTCACTTTCTCAGGTAGTTTGATATGAACAGCCTTTGATGCCGTTGTACGTTTTGGCGATCTCGAACAGATCATGGTCCAGCTCGCCCCCAATCGAAAAGCCGCCGTCATCTCTAAAGGCGGAGAGCCAGATAATTTTTCTGACATGGACCGGTATTTGACTGAGGATCTGGCGAACCAGGCCGATGAGAAGAGGAGTGGTACGATATCTGGCACCACCTCCAAGCCAGCTTTGAGACGCCTTGGAATCGCAATCGAAAAATAGGAACAGCTCGAGAGTATGGAGTGACTTCATCTTGAAGAGGCCACCCATATCGACGGGAGCAACGTTTCCACCCGACTCGTATAAGTAGACCGTCACGTCGAGGCCAAGATGTTGAACTCTCTCTGCCGTCTTCGAAGGAATGCAAGACAATCTTTGAGCACAATGGATGGCTCCTGGATAAGGACTGAGTGCATAGCCCATTGCCCATTTACGATCAATGTAGGCGTAGGTGACTGCCTCGTCATAGATCTGTTTGCAGACACGGAGAATGTTGATGCCAATGGTGGGTTTGATAGCAGGTTGATCGTCGGTGCGTTGGACACAGTAGTCATCGTCACCTTCATAGCCAACCTTGCCTGGTTTCGAGAGGTGTAGAGAGTAGACGAGATCGCGAAGTTCGCGTGGGAGCCTAAGAAAATCGAAGACGCCTGGTGATTCATTGGTGGTTGACAAATCCATAATGTGAAACGCGCATACCCATAAGGGATGCTTAACGTTGCGAGATATCGACGTTCGGATGTGTGAGGTTGATGAGTCAAAGTGTTATTGAATTTTGCAGCCTTCACTTCAGGCAGAGGTGGGAGGTGGAAGCGATGTCACTCGCAGTTTCCTTGATTGCGCTTGTCGAATCGAAAAGGTCCTTGGCGACTGCCGCAAAGCACCTGGCTTTGCAAGTTGACCGGGACATACATTGCTGCCGAATCAAGCATGCTTCACCATCTCCGAGGCGATAGGTACCCTGCCTTCGAAACGCGGCATTTCTGCTAGACTCACATGGACGCTCAGCATACACCTGGGCGGAGCCATGTGAAAAGATGTTGGAGGCGAGAGATGAGTCTGTTGACCTCTCGTCTGCACAGGTAACGGTGAACCATGAAATTGCCTACCGTCATATACTCCCTGCTTCTTGCTCTTACCACAACCACCATTGCTTTATCGACAGGCAGTGGTGGCGCAGCGGTTCAACGTCAACTCGTGTTTGGCGCTCCCTGTGTACCAAAGGTCATTGGTTCGATTCCCAGCTTCGACCATGGCAAGAGTCTTGACACTCCATTCAGAAAAATAAATGAAACCATTAAGTTGATTCCTTTCCCCCACGAAAGGGCTCTAGACGACTGAGCCTTAGTAGTGGGGGCTTGTTTTGCTGAAAGTTGTGGTGTGGTTGTGTTTTATTTTGCTGGAAAAGTTGACATCGACATCTGTTTTGACTGTCTTTTTGGCAGATCTCAGGCCGCCATCTAGGTTGAAAGTCAAGAACATCGTCCTAGAAGAGGTCATCAACACGGTCTTTTGATCGCATGGAAGTCTGAGAGGTGTCAGCCTTCTTTGTAGGCTTCGACGAGACTTGTGTTCGTTGTCCACACGCCGAAAATCACCTCCTCGCTTCGACTTCAAGAATCTGAGCAGACGTTGTTGAGTTCGAGATTTCTCGCTCTACGCATGAAGACTCGACTATTTCTGCCTCATCGTCTTAGACGCATGCTGTCACTTGTGTCGCCATAGATCTACGCGGTTACTTTTTCAACAAAGTCGTGTTCGATAGGAGCGTACCGAACAGCTCATTCATTGCTTCAATCTCGAGCATGTCGTGAGGTCTCCTGCCTACGTTGTTTCGAGACAATACATCCAGAAATGGGGAGGATGACAGACTTGTTTGTGCAAATGGGCAGAAAGCAAAATCAAGGTCATGCTGCCTTGTGCTCGCACAGCTTTCTAGCGATTTGGTTTCACTTGTCTTCGACTTATCAGAGCTCGGATAATTGCTCCCCATTGCGTCAACCAGATTTACTCTGAATTTCTGTCACGACTCGACAGATTTATCCGGCACAAAGTCGAAGACGAGAATGTTCTTTGTAGGCAGGTCTCATGCACAGGAGAAGACGTTGGAGCAAAGTTTACCAGTGACGAAACCCATGCCTTCGAAACGCGTTCTGATTGGCTGATCCACCACTACTTGGCACACCTCTCCAGGTCTTCTCCACAACACATGCCTCGAGTCCTTGCCATCCATAGGCTCATGACAACAAACGTTCTTTCACGCCGCCGTGTCAGGTACTGATTATCAGCTTCTACTGGACCCTTGATCTTCAGCCTGCCGCTGCAGCTTTCTCTCGGCATGTGTATGCATTCATAGGCTGGCAATGAGTCCCTCGTTTTCTCCGAAGAAGATACACCGAGGTCAGGAGGGGTAGCGGGGTGTATGCCGCATGCGGAGGACGAACTTTGCGACATTGTGCCATGAGTCTGTTGAAAAATGTTGTAGGCGCGTTGAGCACGAGTCGCATGTCTGAACGCTTTATCATAGCAGGTTGGTCCTGACCCTTGCCTCTGGGTCTCCTTTTGTCTCTCTGCATACCTTTGTATTTTGTTACCCATTTCTACTTGTTGTCGCAACAATGGCTGTACAAGGAGTGCTTCATGCACTCACCGATCCCTTGAATCAAATCAGCCTTGCTACTGTGTTGTTGGTACTCCTTCTCGTCACCTACTTTACTCTCTCCTTCACCGAACTCGAAACCGTAGGCAAGCTCTTCAATGCTGCCACAACTGCCGCGAAGTTTGCATACTCCTGCTTCCTGAAGCCTCATACCGGCGACAACACTGGCAACCAGCAAGATGCTCTCGAGAGCTTCTACAAGACTCAGGCTAGCATCTATGATGTGACTCGCTCGAGGCTACTTCGTGGAAGAGAAGATATGCTAGCTATGTCTGCCGCTCAATTGCGCTTTCAGCTCGAGCAAGGACAATACAATCGCAAGCCTGTATGTATTCAAGATAGACCTTGAGCCGCGCGCGGACTGCCTGCTTCGCAGTTCATGCGTGAACACATTGCTAACCACCCTCTCTCATCAGGTATGGGTTGATTGTGGCGGCGGCACAGGCTGGAACATCGAACAAATGGAGAAGTTCCTTCCCGTATCCAGCTTCTTCCACGCCGTCTACCTAGTCGACCTCTCGCCATCTTTATGCCAAGTCGCCAGAGCCAGATTCGCCCGCCTTGGCTGGAAAAATGTCAAAGTTGTCTGTCAAGATGCTCGCACCTTCAAGCTCAGCGACTACGAGGAAGGCCCAAATGATGAGAATGCTATCTTCAGCATTGGCAAGAGTGCACTCGACGAGGGCAAGGGAGCTGATGCTGTCGGAGCAGATCTCTTGACCATGAGCTACAGTCTCTCAATGATACCAGAATTCCACCCTGTCGTTGACTCGCTCGCCAACCTGCTTGCGCCTAACGGCATCATGGGTGTTGTCGACTTCTACGTTCAAAACCAGATCCAGTTCCAGTCACGTAACTACGTTGGTGGTGTCATCGATCGTCACTGCATGTGGATCTCTCGTGTCTTCTGGGCTGCCTGGTTCGAAATGGACAGAGTCTTCTTGGATTCATCACGTCGTGTAAGTACACTAAGTCAAGTTCTGGAGTCCAGCACTTACGTTTGCTCCTAGGACTACCTTGAGTACAAGTTCGGCTCCATTCTTTCAGTGAACGCCCGCAACCACTTTTTCGGCTTTAGAATCCCATACTACATCTGGATCGGCTGTCCCAAACAAACCAAGTCGTCCATGACCAAACTCGCCGCTCTCGACGCAGCCGTGACAGAATCTCCCTTCATCACAGCTCTCGATCTCCAGCGCAAGCAAGTAGGCGGTGCTCGCAGACCATCGTCTGCCGAGCGTAGATCGAAGGCATACGAATCCGCCATCGTCAACCTTTCAGCAAGCCTACCTCTACCCGCAGCGTGGTACCAACAACACCACTGGCGTATCTACTACGACGAGCAACTGCAAAAGCACAAGCAATTCGGTGACGAATACATCTACGCTTTCACGTGGGAAGACGCAAGAGTCGATGCCCGCCTGCTCAAGATTACATCCGAGGATGTCATCCTGGCCATCACCAGTGCAGGCGACAACATCCTCGCATATGCTCTTGAGCAACCAAAGCGCATCCACGCTGTCGATCTCAATCCCAATCAGAACCATCTCCTCGAACTCAAGGTTGCAGCCTTCACTGCCCTCGGCTACACAGATGTATGGAAGCTCTTTGGCTCAGGTAAACACGATGACTTCCGCTCCTTGCTCATCAACCACCTGAGCCCCCATCTATCCTCCCAAGCCTTCGACTACTGGCTCCACAAAGGCGAAGCCACTTTCGGCACAAAGAGCAAAGGACTCTACTACACAGGCGGCAGCGCCACAGCAATCCGTCTCGTATCCTGGCTAGGCCGCCTCCTAGGCATCCGCGGCGACCTCGAAAACCTCTGCAAAGCCTCCACTCTAAACGAACAGCGCGAAATCTGGAGCAAGCGTGTCCGCCGCGTCCTCCTCAGCCAATTCCTCAGCTACACCGTCATCGGCACCGAAAAGTTCCTCTGGAAAGCCCTCGGTGTACCCGCCGCACAACGCCAAATGATCGAATCAGATTACCTGCGCCAGACCGATCGCGAAGATGCTAAAAGCCTCACTGGCGTCAAGTCAGGTCAAGCGATTTGGGAGTATGCGGTAAACACTTTGGACCCTGTTGTCAACAACACACTGGTGTCGGAGGAGAACCCATACTATCTGATCTGTTTGCAAGGGCAGTATACACAGCGTTGTCATCCCGAGTATTTGGCACCGAGAGCTCACGTCAAGCTTTCAAAGGGAAATGCTTTTGATGGGTTGAGGATTCATACGGATGAGTTGTGTGAGGTTATGGCTAGGATGGCGCCGGAGACGTTGACGATTGCTGTGCTCATGGATTCGATGGATTGGTTTGATCCTGAGGGTCCTGAGGCTGATCATCAGGTCAAGATTGTCAATCGTGCGCTCAAGTTTGGTGGGCGTGTTTTGTTGAGGTCTGCTGGGTTGAGGCCTTGGTATGTTGATACGTTTGAGAAGCGTGGGTTCAGCGCGAAGAGAGTGGGAGCTCGCATCCCGCCAGGCTCTTGCATTGACAGGTATGTTGATCTACAGATGTCGTCTAGAGATGTTGCTAACTTTGAACAGAGTCAATATGTACGCTTCTACTTGGATCTTGACCAAGGTTGGAGGTGTTGCGGACGAGAAGGAATAGTAGGACTACGCACGATAATGAATGACTTAAGGATTTCGGAAGCCTCGAAAATGTCGATAATGGAATAGGTTTCACGCATACTAGTAGACAAAAAGAATAGAAAAGAACTTTATGTGAACAGATCGTGGTCTGAAGAAGGTATATCATTTACCGATTGTATGCGCCAAGAGAAAAGGGAGAATATCTGCAAAGAACAAGAGAAAGAGGTGTGGGTGGGGGGAGGGTTTCGTGCGAGGATATCATTTTCTTTGCTTCTTTGTTCAAGCCCTCTCGGCCTCGAGTTCCCGCTCGGCCTGCTGGTAGTACTTTGCAGTGTCGACACCGTGCTGGTTGTGGTTGACAAAGTTGAACCAAGGCATCATGTGGATCCAGATACCGGAGTAGCGGGATTGACGCGAGGCAGCGCCCTGCATGTACTCGGTCAACTGGCTCTTGCCGTAGAGCTCCTCGCCGCGCTTGACCTTGTCGACCATTTCGCGCATGTCCATGTCGATTTCGCGACGGTTCTCAGTGAAGCCGTAGAAACGGTCTGTTTTGAGACTGTGTTAGCCGATCTTGTTCATTGTGATGTTTTCTAGCCCTTGTATTCCGATGTTCCCAAGCTCTTTTATCCGGGAGGAGATTTTCCATATCGATTGATGCGGCTCTGGTAGACGTACTGATGGATCTCGAGTAGCAAAGGTAGAAACCGGCGAAGAGACCGATACCGCCAGAGAGACGCATAACACTGGCAAAGACGCTGCGGGAGACACCGGAGGGAGAGACGCGCTCCATCAAGGCCATTGTAGCGGGGACCGAGGCACCAAAGCCGACGCCGTAAAGGTAGTCGCCGGGGCGAGCATAGCTGATGACGCGCTTGAAGTGGCTGGAGAAGGCGATTTATTAGACCCGGGAGGAATTCAAGGCGGACGAGGAGCTGAAGAGCTTACGGGTCACTGTCAATGAGCTGTGAGACGTGTTAGCGAAGGGAGTTTGGTGAGCGATTGAGCAGCGTGTCATACGGGGTACTCGGTGTTCAGGGCCTTTGCGGGCACCTGCTGCCTCTCTCTCATTGGCACATCTGTGTAACTCGGCATGGCGGCGATATGTGTGGTTGTATCTACGATTCAAAGGTCGTCGTTGCTTGATTGAATGTCGCATCCGCTGCCCGTCGACCACTCTTGGCATGGAAGACGCTCAGGCCATTTGATTCCCCACGTTTGACCTCTGACGACTTCCTCATTCGTCACTCAGAACGTAACAACTCTTGCCAAATCGCTTAACCCGTGCTCGACACGAGGTTTCAAATTCGAATGAAGGGATCAATACTGTATTGGCTCAGACGATATCCCCTAACGACTGCAGTCACATGAATTGCTCGAAGGTAAGCATCGGTAAGGCATACTCCCAAACATCGACCTGGAATATCCATCGTGAGCTAGTGGCTCACGTAGCATGAGCCTCATGGAGCTGATCTCTCTTCAACTTGCTATAATTTGCTCATAGGAGAGCTGCTTCCATTCGTCTTTTGTGACCCACGTCATTACTTACTCGTTGCACAGCATCACGACCACCTTTCAGCAATGTTGTTGGAGGAAACAAGCCATTGTCTTGGCCATCCTTCTTCTCAACCCCAAACAATACTCACCCATCGACAAGGCAAATATTTGATTCAGAATGGCCCTTCCAGCCAGTAAGAATGCCACTCTACCAAGGCACCGCCGTCCACACCAGAGATTCTGGCGGCTCTTTCACAACATCCCTCTGCTTGGCTTGCCACTGCGATCGCTGCCAGTACACAACGTCTCTCCTCCGTCTCAAGTAACAGCACTATTGGAAGGACTGAAGCTCGAACCCACCAAACGCTTTCGCTTTCTTGACTTGCCTCCGGAGATTCGCAACATAATCTATCAAATCCATTTGGAGACTCGAGACCCCTGCCGAGTTTACACAGGCAATACTGAACGTCCTCAAGCTGGTGTCAATCTGCTGCGCTGTTGCAAGCAGATAAACCGCGAAGCGACTCATTACGTGAACCACAAGCGCTGGTGGATAATCGGCGACCCAAAACTGATCGAATTCGAGTTGCTTTGGCTCAGCCTCCATGGCCCGACCAATGATCCGGTCTTGTTCAGAGATCGCAAGTACTTTGTTCACAGGGAGAAAAGCACTCTAGAGAATATTGTCAATCTCTCAATCACTATCCACGTACGATCTTATCATGTATGCTTGAGCGGTGGACCACAGAGGCTGAGCTACCTCGCCATGATGAAGAGACTCAAGCATCTGCAGATATGCTTTCACCTTGGTGGGTGTTCTGGACACGCATTCAAGGGATCGAAGCTTCACTACAGTCTATGGAATTGGATCGACAGCTCAATACCCAAGTATGATGGTCAAGTTGTCATCAGACGTCTCCGCGCATTTCACACCCACGACTCAGATCTGTCTCCAGCGTTCCAATGTAAATTGATGGAGGGTCAGAAAGTTTGACCTGGCTTTGAGGAGACATGAGTGCGCTTTCTCAGTGTGCATACTGCGATATCTTGGAGTCTTTCCAAGGGAGACCGAAGAGCAATAATCAAGCCTCCGAGATCCTGAATCTCTCACAGATATATAATCTCACTATTGCTCCCAATGTACGACCAAGATTTTACTTCGACTTGGTCCAGTGATGTGATAAGAGAAGTTCGAAGTTCGTTCATCGTGTTCCGAAAGTGAAAGTGATCAGATACCAGTGGCTGGACGGGGTAACCTTTCACCTTGTGCAGATACCCCAGATCTCTTGGCATCAACCTTCCTACATCCAACACTCTCACAACGCGCGCATTCGTCTGTCGCAAACCACACACCACCTCATCACTTCAATTACCACTAGGACCACAGCCTTGAGCCTACTTGCAACACCGATCTCCTCACATCAACCACACAAGATGGCCTCGCCCGCCACAGATTCCGCCCAAAAGAGCGCCTCAAACCCACCACAAGCAGCACAAAGCAGCACACCAGCACCAGCAACAACAACATCCACCGCACAACCCTCGGACCCGCAACCCACAAGCACAACCGACGACGGCCTCTCGCGCCGCCCCCGCGACGCCCGCCTCATCCACCTCATCCTCTCCGCCCAAGGCGTCCACAGCTACCAAGAACGCGTGCCCCTCCAACTCCTCGATTTCGCCTACCGCTACACTTCCTCCGTGCTCGCCGACGCTTTCCGTCTGTCCTCTGAAGGCTATGCGTCTGCCCCTGGAGCGCCGACGACATCCAAGCGCAGTGAAGCTACCGATGGCAGTAATATTACTGTTAATGCGCTGAGGCAGGCTATTGCTAGTAGGCAGGACTATCAGTTCCAGGGCGCGTTGCCCAAGGAGTTTATGATGGAGCAGGCGGTGGAGAGGAATAGAGTGCAGTTGCCAAAGGTGCAGAAGAGTTGGGGTGTGCAGTTGCCGCCGGAGAAGTACTGTTTGACGGGTACAGGCTGGAGTTTGCGAGACTTGTGGGAGGAGGATGAGGTTGCGGAGGGTGCTGAGGGAGAGAGGAGAGAGGCAAACGGCGATGTGAGGATGGAAGGAGGTGTGGATGTCAAGGCCGATGGTGCCGAGGAGAAGGACGCCATGGACAGTTTTGAGGATGTCTTTGGATCCGGTGCCCAAGGTGATGGCGATGGAGATCAAGAAATGGCCGAAGCCTGAGGATACATTAACAGAACCGGCGTGGTCCCTGGGAGGAAAAAGGTCACTCTGCTACAGACACGAGTCATGCATGTTCAAAAAGGCGTTCTGGGGGAAGAGCGACGCATGGTCACAAATTACATTATACCCTGTGAAAGGACATTCGGGTTATCTTGCTCAAAGCAACGATCGCAACTGATTCTGGAGAATACCACAACGTGAAGGTCAAGCTTCTGGCCCAGTTGCATTTGCTTCATCTCCAGAGATTGTCTGATCCTTTGCATCTGATGGCTGAGTTCTGAGTGAGTAGGGGAGCTTCGCACGGTCTATGGGTAGTGCTCGAGACCAGTCTTCCGTGAAACACAAATGACAGTCGTACTTTTCAGAAATAGCCGACCCGTCGGAACTTCCTTGGACCGTGTCGACACTAACATCGGCGATGTCGTGTCCTTCCTTGCGCTTCCACCAGAGTTTTCGGTCGAGTCTCTGTGCGCAGGTACAACAAACATGTATGGTTCTCTCCTCATAGAACACACACGAGTGTTCAGGCCAAGTCAACTGGCGAGCTTGAGAGTCTTGCCTCAGCCAAGTTCTTAGATGGTTACGACGCCGATGATGTTGCTCCTCAGAGTACGTGGTTCGTTTTGCACGCCATTCTGGGTCGGTTTTGCGACGATTCAATCTTCATTCGCTTGAGAGTTCTATACGCCTTTTGCGATATTCAAGATCGTTAGCGTAATGCCATCGCTTATGTGCAGCCACTTGATCCAGAATCCAGCTTCTGATAGAGCCAGGAGGGCGAATGAAGTCGTTAGTAGATGAAGAAAACCTGATCCAGATGGGTTGAATCCTTTGAAAACATGGGTTCATGGAGCGAATGGGCAGCATGAAAAAAGCCACCGAATAGACTGAATAACTTTGATCAAGTGAGCTCTTTTCGGATATTTTGGTGACTATGAGACGTGACTGTCAGTAGCTAAAATGGTACCAACCTTGCATGTACAGATGGTCGGCTTCGAGGACGGTGCAACGACGACAGTCTTCTCGGACCAGGCGATATACAAACTACATGATTGCAAGCTACTTGCTTTGGATGATCGATCAGGTCGATTGATTGTAGACAGGCTAGACACGCATGTTATTGGTGGATGTTTTGCGCAGGATTGATAGTCGTCGAAGGTCGAGAAAGTCGCGGGATGTCGGATGGTGTTGGCCAAGACGGGAAATCACGACTTTTGGCCGGCGCGGATGATGGGTAAGCTCTCTCTGTAGCGCAACCGCGATTGGGCCTTGGTATACACGCAATTGCCAAAGTAGCACCCTCTCCACTCTCCACATCCACACACCTCACCGTCGCCATGTTTGTCCGTCGCGTAGCATCCGGCCTCGCCAAGCGCGCCGCCTTCCGCCCTGTCGCCGCCCGTCCCTTCTCGTCGTCTTTCGCCCGCTGTAAGCCGCTCCACACGCAGCGCATACCATTGACATGACCATCCAAACTCACCCATTGAACCACCAGTCGACGCCCACAGCGACCCCAAGCCCGGTCAAACCTCCAACAAAGTCAAGCCCTTCGAGGGTGTGTCATCCTTCTCCACCCCACCGGTCTCCCCCATGACTGACGAGTCGCTTGCGCAAAATTAGAGATCGAGAACGAGCATGACTTGATGCCCTCTGGTGCCCAGCCCGGTACCGTCCCCACCGACATTGACCAAGCCACCGGTCTCGAGCGTCTCGAAATCCTCGGAAAGATGCAGGGCATCGACGTCTTCGACATGAAGCCCCTCGACGCAAGCAGAAAGGGTGCGTAGCCAATACCCTCCTACCAATCCCATATCACACCACCCGCCAAGACATTTGCATACTGATGTTGAATTGGACTACAGGAACGATGAAGGAGCCTATTGTCGTTCGCTCCTTCGGTGACGAGCAGTACGTCGGTTGCACCGGCTGCCCCGCCGACTCTCACGTCGTCAACTGGTTGACCATGTCGCGCGACCGCCCTATCGAGCGCTGCCCCGAGTGCGGCTCCGTCTACAAGATGGACTACGTCGGTCCTCAAGAGTCCCACGACGCTCACGGCCACCACGGTGCCGATGTCGGCCGTATGTTTCCATCCTATACCATATCTCCCCTCTGACCCCCGGATCTCAACAACTGACACCCCCTCTCAGACGCCGACACCGACGGTTCTCACAACTTCGGCGGCGAGCCCAAGACCCTCGCCGACTTCGTCCGTCCCGAATACAGATAGACTATGTTTTCAACCTACCTCTCACACACGCACTGCTTTGGGACTGGACAAAAAAGAGATTTGCGATAAAACTTGTATCATAGGCGTGCAATCTCACCAGCTTTTGGCTCTCTTTTTTCTTAACAATATAATTATGTAGATGTGAGGATGCATCATCTTAAATGTCTCATCACTGACAAATTTGATTTGGATGTAATGTGAAGAGAGGTTCTACTCGAAGTACCTCGGCCTTTGGAAGGCCGAGTAGAAGAAACATCAAGGCAAGTCTTGTGGGAAGTGAAATGGTACAGACAGCGGCAAGATGCAGCTCTCGAGAAATACCATTAGTATCTGATGTAGAGAGGACACAAGTATCAAAGAGAAGTCACAGTATTCACAAAGACACGCATACATAAGAAACACAGACACGAGACACAGGCACGAGAAGAAAAATCATTTTTGAGAACATTTTCATTTGAATCAAAGCATTCCATGATTCCCGCCCATCAAGAGCAGAAAACATAAAAACACCGAGTAAAAGGGAGAGAGAGCATTGGTAACTCCAGTAAAAAGAGCACGCAGGGCATACCCCTTTTGTGCGAAATAAACTAACTCCAACATTCCAGAGAGTAAACACACACCAGCGCTGTGAGTGAAAAAGCAAAAATCATCCCATCATTGAGTTCATGAAGAGTAGATTAGAAAGTGCAGAGAGTCAGCCCAGCCAACTCCATTTCCATTGAGCCCAGCCCAGAGATATCCACAAGGTTTAGTCAGAGGGAGGGGAGGATTAGCGGCGAGCGAATCTTCCGATCAGACCAGCGTTGCCAGCTGCGTCAGGGACAGCGACGATCGTGGGCAGACCATCGATAGCAGGAGCCACGGAGCTTGCGGGAACAACCACAGTGGGAGCTGGGGCAGTAACGTAGGAGGTAACGAACTCAGTCGTAGTCTTAGTGCCTTGCTGCTTGTGAGCAACATCGGACATGGTAACGTAGTTGGTGACTGTGACGAAGCTGGGAAGTTGGCCTGAGGGGTTGAAAAATGGGTTTGAGGGAATCATAGTGGGTCCTGAGGAGGAGGAGGAGGAATTAGCAAATGGAGGCAGAGGGTTGGGGAGGTTGGTAGACTCACTGGTACCACTCTTGGTTGAGGAGCTTGAGATAGCAACCGAGGAGTAGACCGAGGAGGGGGCCACTGAAGAAGGAGCGGCCGACGAGGGCATAGCAGACGAAGCAGGGGTTGATGAAGCAGCGACCGAAGTAGCGGAGGCAGAACCGGAAGCAGAGCCAGCAAGAATGATGACAGCGCTTGTGGTGAGGGCGGTTCTCGACTTGAAATCGCTGACGGCCTTGAACTGGGGGTCCTGTTGAAGGAGAGTGTGAACGGGCGCAGCATTGCTGACCGAGTCGACTATGTCGATTTCGGCGCACGACGTGTAATACTCGTCCTTGCCATTGGGGTAAACTTTAGGGTCGGGATCAGAGGGCCATTGCCAAACCCAGTAGACCGTCAAGGTGTCGCCAGCCTTGTAGGAAGTAGGAATGTGAACATCAGTCTCGCACCACATTTCCACATTGGTGCCGGACTGACCACCGACTTTGTCAGGGAAGCTGGTTTGGCGCTGAACAGAGATGGCTTCACCATTAATCTGATGACAGCGGCCATCATCATAGTTCTGAGCGGCAAGTTGAACTCCGCGCGAATCACCTCCATTGCCGGCAGTGTTCCACTTGAGAACTTCTGCGATCTTCTCGTCTGAAGAGGGCTTAGTGGTACCGTAAACAAAGACTGTGCCACCAGCCTTGGGCTTGCCCGATTGGGTGAGAGGCAAGGTGACATGGCCGTTCTCCAGATACTTCATGGCAACAAAGCTGCCAGGAGTAGCCGAAAGACGGGGGTATGCTGCATTGTCGTAGTTGGATGTGCGTTGAGAAGGGTGGCAGAGCAAGTCTGTGTTGTCGATACGAGTACGACCCGAGTCCAAAGGAGGCAAAAGGTATTTCATGCTCTCTCCACCAAAGCCGGGGTCGGTGCGAGCAACATAGCCACGAGTGTATCCATAATCGCCAGTGAAATTACCAGTAGCAGGGTCAATGATCTGCATTTCCTCGACCCAGGAGTGGGCAGAAGCTTGACCAAGTACAGCAGCGATGGCTGCAATGCTGAGAATGAACTTCATTGTAGATGGTTTTTGTTTGGTGTGTTGAAAGATGGTTTGATGAAAACAGACGTGTTGGTGGGTAAAAGAGATTGGGAGCAAAGGGCGCGTCAAAAGATCCTCGAACCTGCGAAGAATATCTTTGTGGAGCTTTGAGTGATGTGTGATGTGGATTGTCGATTCTTTTTCGAGAACTTGACTGTCTTTGACGAGTCTGGATTGTCTTGGAATGTCGTTGGAAGGCGTCAAGTTCTTTTTTGTTGTTATGTCTGAGATGGCTTCGAGAACTTTCAGGGCCGGCCGAGGGAAGGTTTATGTATGTGGATGGTGCCAGGAAGAGTGACTGAAAGCTGGAAGAAGACAACAAAGGCGTCAGGCGCAGGAAATAAAGAAAAGTGCTAGTTCCTGCACAAAGAGAGTCGTGAGTGGCACAATGGTGACAATGAACCGTGACAATGCAGGAAATAGAAAATGATCGTGGGCGCTAAGCGAGTGCAATGACTATTGTTGCAATGAATGGAAGTGACGGACAATTGAACAAAGATCGTTGATGTTCAAGGAAGAAATCGTTGGTGAGCGTCGAGTGAAGGTTGTTGACGAGGAAGTCGTTGTTTGCGCTTTTGGAAGCCGCGACGCGCCAGATCCAGCTAGCGATGCAAACGAGCAAGATATGACAACCACTCGTGACCTCGAAACCGTCCTTGAGAGATAGAATTAGGTCGTTTGTAAACACCTCAACACCAGCAATGCAAGTAGAATGTCACAGAAAAGGATTAAACTGCCAGCAGTTGTACGACCGGGGAACAGAATGGAAGAAATGTTGAAAAGAAACAGCAGCAGCCAGCCAAAGTCCAATCAGGAAAGGAAAGATTGAACGTGACACTTAGGGAAGTAGCGAGTGTGTGTATCGCGGGCTCACGATGGCCTATAGGTGATATTCGAGCTGGTCGAAACTCCGAAGCAAACAACCCATGTGTTTCATCGACCATCAAGCCTGGGCGCCAGTTTTGATAAGTCGCGCGCGTGTCCGACATGGCTCGTGAGTCTAGATCTGACACTACCGATGCACAACTTACAAGGAGTCGCCATGTGTGTATCAATATTCTCAGCAAATGCTTTCAAGTGCTATACCACCTTTCGAGACATGCCATTGCCATGTGGATTTCGCAAGCCCTTGAGACTTGTCAACTAGCCTCACACGTCACCTCAAATTCACTCAACAAAGCGTTATTATGTTCCTTCTTTGTCTTGCCATGCAACCTCACATGTACTCGATCCCAACGAGTCCACAGTCTCTCGAGCTTCATGCAAGACATTTCGTCTTTGAAACTTCTCGAGCCCATTCTCTGCGTCACGGTTTGACAAAGCGCTATGTGCGACTTGAGTCTTTCGTCTCCGAAGGGTGAAAGAACAATCGTGAAGGAAATGGAATGGTCTCGGAGGAGGTGAGGTTTCACGCACGTCCAGAGCCGCGCTTGCGACGCTTCCTGATTGGTCACCTTTGACTTTAGCTTCTCTTCAATTCGCGCCCGGAGCTTGTTTTGACCGGCATGATATTGTCCTTTCAGAAATGACTGAGACTGGCGTCTGCGGGGTTCGCGAGCACGGTGTTTCTACCGATTTCGTCAGTTTGGTGACGGTACCTTAGTAAATTGTAATTCATGAGAAACCACGTACTATGTCGCCCCCATTGCCTGATTTTGTTTAAGGTCAATTACTTACGCTCCATGCCGCTAGCTAGAGTGCTAAGAGCATTATTAAGACCTTGTCCCTTGCTCGCGCTACGGTATATAGACTCTTAAAGGCGCTAAACGAGCATAGCGAGCTATATCCGGACGTAGGTAGCGTAAAAGGACGTCCGAGGTTGCTAAGTAATAAGGCTAAGGAGGTAGGTAACTAAATTAAAGGAGTTAAATAGCGCTAACTAGTTAGTTCGTNTTAGAATACCTNNCNNGCCGACCGACTACGTACCTCGACGAGATCTAAGACTTTATTCTTAATAAGTTTAACGTAGCGCTCTACTTAAGCTCTATATAGAACTTATTAAAGCGCCGTAAGTAGTCGAGGAAGAAGGTAGAGAAGAGGGCCCTTAAGCGGAGTAAGCTATTACGAGTGCTCTAGCGTAGTCGTCGTATGTTTTAGAGCNATTATGCTTATAGCTATAAGGTTAAGCATGTCGTTTAGTGTTTAGGGTGTTAGCGGCATTAGAGGCACCTCTAGCTACTACTTCTTCCTTACCTTTCGAGCATTTAAGTAGCTCTTAAGCTTTATAACGATGTTAATAGAGGGGGTGTCGACTGTCGAGTAGCCTAAGTTAATGTCGTTAGACTAGTCTTTAATAACGGTGTCATCTAGTAGGTGATAGTTTTAAGCAATGTTCGACCCCTTCTAAAAGTAGTAGTCGCTAGAGTAGAGGGCATTATTAAGCGTACAAATCTACTTAAGCATAAGATTAGAATAATGGTTACCTTGCGCGCGCTCGGCCTTAAGTATTAAGGGCATGTTAAGCCTCTAGATCTTAGTAGCAGTTCCCTTACGCTTCTAACTAGCTATAACGACGATAGAGTCCTCTTTAAGCTTAGTTAAATGCGTAACAACCGATAAGCGCAGTTCTAACTTACCCTTCTTATGCTACTTTATTAGCTACTTCGTTAGAACCTCCTAATTACCCTTATCGCGTAGAGTCGTCGATATATACGTATTACGGTTCGATAGTAAGAACATCGCGGTAGCGAAGAGCTTAAATTTACTAGAGAACACTCGCGTTACTTACTTAGTAATCACCTCGTCGATCTATAGCTAGAAACGACTAAAGATCCTGCCGTCGGCGTAGTTAAAGTTAAAGGTACGAGTATCTAATGTCTCTTTACTACTTATAGCCTACTATTTACTAACAAACTTATAGTTCTCGAGCGCTTAAGCGGCTTCCTCCTCTAGAGCCTATATTACTATACGCGTAGCGGTCTCGAGCGTATAAGTAGCCTCTTCCCTTACGCGGTTCTCGCGAGCGATATCTATTATTAACTTCTTATACTCGAGGCGCGCGATTTCTCGATTATTAGCCTCCTCCTCTTTATTATCTACCTCGTCGCTATACATCTAGTTAAAAGCCTCGTCGGCGGAGACCTCGTTATTATTAGAAACTACAGTTACCGTAGTAGCCTCGGGCGCTACTTTAATGCTTATAATAATAGCCTTAGTAGTAGGAGTTTTAAGTCGGATCCTAATGCTAGAGGGCGTTACTAGCTTTATAATAGTCTTCGATGTTCGAGGGGTCTTCGGAGCCTTTATAACCTTTAATGTTATAGCAGCAGCAGCAGTAGCAGTAGTAGCCTTTAAGGTCGGTTTCCTTACGCGCGAGGCCTTCTTAGTGGCAGTACCGCTAGCGCTAGCTTTAGAAGCTCGTTTTGGACCTATACCGACGAGGACAGCGAGTTACAGCATATGCTAATAGATGTTTACAGGTCTTCTAATTTACTAAGGTACCGTCACCAAACGTCGAAAAAACGGCGAACTCCGCGCTCTAAACCCCAGAATTCGAAGTCTCAGTCATTTCTGAAAGGACAATACCATACATAGACATTTCTTATAGGCGCGCGCTGGATACGAGAATCTCGGTTTGAGATCTCAAGTTCGATTTATGCATCGGTGACTTGCATTGGTCTACGGGTGCTGAGAGAGATGTTTCCCGGTCAAGGCAGATTGACGAGGTGACATTCGATTGCTTTGAGAATGACCTTGACGGATCCCTGCATGTGCCTGCGTTTCCCGCAAGTGGACACTTTGCCTGTCATACGAAAGGCATACGGGATACTTGTCGGATGTATTCCTCCGCTGCCAGCAGCCAGCAGCGGGGCTGGTTCCATTGCAGATTGAGAGAAAAACAAAAGCTTCTCGAAAGATGCGGTGTTCAGGATTCACGGAGATCACGGCAGTGAGCTTGTCTTGAGGCTGAAAACCGCGCATGTAGCGATCGGCTGTCGTCTCTGGTACGTCTCGTAAGCGTGTAGGAGCTCCCGCCGTCGGCAATGTTTTCGGCAGCAATACTTAATCTATCGTCGTACCAAGCTCTCAAGCCGTAGTCCTTCCCAAGCCCTCCTTGTACCGTGCAAGACATCTGTCTCTACATACTTTATGATCAACCATCGGCTTCGGGTAGCCAGCCTTCTCCGCTTGTTTTCCAGCGCCTCTGCCATAAGGGTCATGTATCGCCTTGCCCTTGATGTCCTTTAGCTCCGGCAACCATTTCCTGATGTAATCTCCCTGCTCATCGAACTTTTCGCTTTGTAGAAGCGGGTTGAAGATACGGAAGTATGGTTGTGGGTCCACGCCCGTTGATGCACTGAAACCCCAACCTCCATTATTTGATGCAAAGTCGCCATCGATGAGATGTTCCATAAAGTATCTCTCGCCCATGCGCCAGTCGAGTAGAAGATCTTTGGCCAGGAAGCTGGCGACGATCATGCGACAGCGATTGTGCATGTAGGCCATCGAATGCATCTGGCGAACTGCTGCGTCCACTATAGGGAATCCTGTTCTTCCTTCACACCAGCGAGCAAAATGCTCGTCGTTGTATTCCCATCTGACTTTGGTGTACTCGTATTTGAATGGCTTTGACATGCATACGTATGGCCAATGTGCTAGTACGTGCTTGTAAAAGTCTCGCCATGCGACTTCCGAGATCCATGTTTTGATGCCTTCATTGCCAGCGTCTAGCTTGTCTGAAGTGTTGACATTGCGAGCGCTTCTGATTGCTGTTCTTGCGGCAAGAGTGCCTGTCGACAAGTGCACTGATATCACACCAGTACTATTTGCAGACGGAATGTTGCGCGCATCCTTATATTTATTGATCTTCTTTTCAAGGAACTTGTTGAGACGGTCGAGGGCTTCGTGTTCTCCTGGTGGCCATAATGACTTGAATCGCTCTCTTTCCTCATCACTAAGCTTCTTGTTTTCGGGAGCTGGCGGTATTGTTGTTTTGAAAATGTCGGCATACATCTCGCGCGCAGAAACTGGGTTCTGTTCTGGAGCGGCAAATTCGTCCAGCATTGTCGGGTTCTCGTGGAGATGTCGGACCCATGCTTTGTACCATGGAGTGTAGACTGAGTATTGCTTGCCCTGGCCTGTTGTGAGATTGCCCGGAGGTACCACGACATCATCGTGCACTGCATGGAAATCAATGCCTTTCTCAAGACATGTATTCGTCATTTTGGCCTCCCTCCTCAACTCATCAACTTCGTACTCGATGTTGCAGAAGATGTGTTTGGCTCCCCAGCTCTGACATAGCTCGATAATGCGTCCTGGAGCCTTTTTCCTCACCTCTACCGTTTCCACGTGCAGAGGAATATCCTTCGCCGCCAAATCGTCCTTGAGCACCTGTAACGTCCTGAGCTCAAAGTCGACACGTACAGCGGCAGTCAAATGCGCCTGGTAGTCCTGCGGACTGACAATGAACAAGCAGATCAAAGGCACGCCTTTCGACTTTGCCTTCTCACTCGCCAGATGCAACGCGCGATTGTCTTTTGTGCGCAAATCGCGCTTGAACCAGTGTACCACAGCATCTCCAACTTCGATCTTCTTACGAGCAAATGCCGTCTTTTGCACAGCCTGTGTGAGCACCTCGATGGGTCGCGGAATCTCATTGGCGTTGTATTGAGCACATCGTTCATTTGACATTTCTGCCGGGTAGAAGTCTCGTTGTATAACTCCATACTCTTCCTCCAGTCTTTCGCGATTCGGGTCTTCGTAGTCTGGTGCGTTTTCCGATTTGATCTTGGTCTCGGATTCTGGTTCGGTCTTGGGCTCGGTCTTGACGGATGGCTGCAAGGCTTCAAAAGTCGACTTCTTGGTCGCAGGACCTTCGGAAGGTGTTTGCGAGGTTGCTTTGCGCTTGGGCGGCATCGTGTACGAGTAGTATCTCCAGGGCGCAAAGGTGATTCCAAAGGATAGGGCTGGTTTCTTGAAGCAGGTCAAGTTGGTTCGGCGATAGAGCTGGGCGGCGATCCGCATGTACGATCAGACCTGAAGTGGTCCAGACAGTAATGGGGGAACATGGCGGCAAGGATTGTTTAGTTGAAAGTGTTTCTTTGTCGCAACGGCCGATCAATAGATTGACGCGTAAAGCGCGAGGATCGGGCGTTTTGTGACGTCGTGCTGCCACTTCGATCTGCGTTGATCTTGCCCTGGAACCCTGACATCTTGCATGAACTCTGATGGTTGACAATCTTCGCATGCTTGGATGATCTGCTCGCTAAAGTTATGTTGGGTAGATTATACATTTCATCTTATCTAAAGACTGGCAACTCACAACTCATATCGTTCATCGTACCGTACCTCCATCCACCACAACTAGTCTATTAGAAATCTAACTCAACACACCAGCAGCTCTCCATACAATACCCTCAATGATACCAGCCCATCTGTGAAGTGCCTTCTTGTCGCCAGCCTGGATAGCTTCGACAAGTCCAGGGAACGTGTCTCCAGCGTAGCCAGTCCATTTGCCAGGTGCAAAGACGACATGCTTGAACCAGCTCCTCCCATCAAGACCCTTAGGGTACAGGAAGGCACGCTCCAATACCTTGTACTGTGTGTTGACAGCTCTGATGTCGGCGAAGAGCTTGTTGGTAGCAGCAGGGTTATACTTGCCCTCTGCGGCTGTCGCTTGAATTGCAAGGTCGCCCGCACGAGTCTCGAACTTTTGGGCTGCACGCTGAAGGTGCTCAATAGCTCTGTCGAGATCTGTAAATGCATGGACAACGTCCTTCTCGTGCGCAATCTTGGATGCGTTGGCCATGTGCTTGACGCTGTCGAGATATCTGTCGAGACTGATGGCATAGTCCGAAGCGTTGAACGGAATTACAGCCTTCTCGCTCAAAGAGGCCGCAAGCAGAGACCAGACCTTGGCAGCTGTAACGTGATATTCGAAGCTAGGGTCGCCATACTTGACCATCCAGGCGTAGCTGTCGTAATTGCTGTGGTAGTGATAGATAGGATCTAACGGACCTGTCTTACCGAATCCAAAATCGGCCGAAGGGATGCCAGCAAAGTCCTGGAAAGCAGTGAAGTCTGAGCCAGAACCCATGGTACCAATATGCTTGTCCCACAGGTCGTACACAGTCGATCCCTCGACAGTCTGATTAGGCGACTTGATGGACTTAGTGACCTCGTAGATAGCAGAAGAAAGCAGAGGCGCAGCATTGCAGTTGAATCGGGTGCCGCGAGTACCGACATCGACGTTCAAGTAGGCGACAGCAGAGTCCTTCAACCATGGAAGGTAATCCTCAACCCATTCAGTCGATCCAACAAGACCATATTCTTCACCATCCCAACTAGCGAAGACTATGGTGCGTTGGGGTTTCCAGCCCCTAGATAGCGCGATACCAAAGGATCTTATCAATTCCAAAAGCGCCACACTGCCGCTGTTGGGGTCGCCTGCACCGCCAGCGATCCAGGCATCTCTGTGGTTTCCAAGGACGATGACTTCATCTGAGAGAGATCCGTTGATTATGCCGATAGTGTTCCAGAGAGGAGTAATGGTATAGTTCTGAAGGTTCATTAAATTGATGGTGACGGATGGCGGGGAAGGGCCAATGTTGTAGGACACGTTCTTGTGCTCAAGACCACCCTTGTGCCAACGAGCAGGGAAGGACGAGGCATTAGGTCCATGTCCGTTGAGAGCTTGAAGAAGAGGGATAGCCTCCGCATATGAGAGGGGCAGCGACGGAATGGAAGGTGTGGACTCATTAGCAGGAAGGCGAGGTACACCAGGCTTTGAGGCATAGCCAGGGGTGGTTGGGTCACCAGGGAACTGGCTCAAGTATTGAACACTACCTCTCTGAACACTGCTTGGGTTTCTAGCAGGGCCCTCGGGGTAAGGCTTGTAGCCGTTGACTTCAGTGACAAGACCATCATCACCAGGGTCGGTGTAGATAATGGTGCCGACCATGCCGAGCTCTTGAGCTCTCTTAACCTTGAGGCCTCTGAAGACGCCACCATATCTTACGAGAGCAATCTTGCCTTCCAATTCAATACCTGCAGCAAGCAAGTTCTCAAAGTCGGTGAAAGTGCCGTAGTTGCAGTAGACGTACTGGGCGGTGACGTTTCCGCTAGCCGAGTAGCCGTGGAATACAGGTACGCGGTCTTCTAGACCAGTTGTGGGATCTTCTTCTAGGACGTCTTCTTCAAGAGTTGCCTCGAATGAGACCTCTCCATCTTTCAGTAGAGCAAGTCTGTGGTCGAGAGGGTAGTTGATGTAGACTTCGTATGGCACGACCTCGCTCTTTACACCAAATTCTTCCCACCTGTCTTTGGTCCAGACAGCTTGGCTCAAGTTTTGACCAGCGAGATGAGGACCGGCCGTGTAGTATTCAGACCACTCTTTGGCTTTCTTGGTATCAGGTGTTGTAAAAAGAATCTCTTTCAGATCTTCGAAGCTCAGACCATTTCCAGCCGGCCATTGCGAATGAGGCGGTTTGTTCGAACCAGATAGAGAGTCCCATGGAACAACAGGATCTTGCTTGTCGTCTCCAAACAGGTCACTCTGACCAAAGGCGTAGGATAGGAATGCGAGACCGATCGTGGTAAGCGGAAGGACGACCAGAGCTATCGTGCAGAAACGGCGGAGCTGTGTGATCTCAGTAACCGTGTTTGCCTACATCTAACCTCGATAAAATCGGGGTCCAGGCTCACAAACGAACTCACTGTATGGTTGTTGTATCGATCACGATGAGGGCGCACTGCGACGACTTGTAAAAGCGGGGCTCTCTCATCGTTGGAGGCCATGTCTTGAGCTGTCTTTTTCTCTTTCATCGTCAACGCGCCAACTCCTCAAGAGATGTGTGTATGTCTAGAAGAGAGACTGTCCAGTGCGAGTGCGAGTGCGATCATTGGGATGTTGCAGCGCGCCATTGTTGCATTCGGCCTGCGAGCTCGAGATAGGCCGTTGCGCGACCTTCCCACTTGAGCCCGCATCCGCCGATCGCTACCAACATGTCATACCTGGTCTTGGCGTCCCGGGGACTCCTCCGTCCTACTGCACATCAAACATCATCCGCTTAAACTCAAGGACTATCTCTGATCAGTCTTTGTCCACGTGTTCCCGGCTCGATTGGCGAAATCTACGAGGTCAATTTCTTGAGTTGAGGCTCGATTTTCTGATCTTTTCACACCCTGTCCGCACTCAGGTCAGGATTTCCGGATTCACATGCAAATACTTGGTATGTCTGAGCAAACTGTCATATTGAACAGACTTCGACCAGAGACATTTCCTATGCACGGTCGGGTAAATCTCTTACTTGTGGCATCGTCTTGCCGAGCCTTTCGTCTAATCATTTAATATTCTATCAAGGCCCAGGTCTTTATGGTATTGGTCGTGAACTCTCTGCAGCACGTCCAGGGGATTGCTGATATTCAGCTTTGGCTTTGTTCTGTAAGTTTGCAAGAGGTGATCTCCTTACTTGCGAGGCGAACAGATGCTGAGCCTCGTGGAGGAGAGGATCCGAGATACCGTGAACCTCGATTTCCCTGGCCATTTGGTTCGCCTTGTCCCGGTCATCCAGTCCATTGGTGAAAGACATCAACTGTTTCATCAAGTGGATCTCCTCCTCGAGGGTGCGCACACGATCCAGATGTTCAGCGTCTCTCCTGATCCTCTCCGCCAAAGGAGGTGGCGCTGGTTCGGGCGCAGGTAATCCAGGTCCGTCTACACTATGGCCAGAGGACAATCGATTTGGCTCAGGAGCAGGGTTTAACAAAAACCGCATTGGAACTCCACCAGAATGTTTAGACGAAGACTGAAACGTCTCGTATTCTGACGCTCCAACCGTGGCTTCTGTCCGTGAGGATGGATTCTTGAGCATTTGTATCTCTTCTTCCAATGCTTTGATCAGAGCCGCTTGCTGTTCGATCTTCTGTTTGTAAGCAGCAACTCGAGACTGGTTTGGCTCCAGGTCATATGTGCAGGCCGTCACGCCTCGTTTGGTGCAGTTACTGCAAGCAGGTTTCTTGCCATCACACTGTTGCGCTGGTCAACAAAGGCTCGTCTCTGAGGGCACGGTACCAGGACGGCAAACCTTTGTCTTTCGTCTTCTACAATCCTGGCAGGCGACACTGGCCAATGGCGCTCGTTTTCGTGTAGAGCCCAATGACCGAGATGGACTTGCAGTAGAATCTCCAGAGGGATTACCAAGCTGAGAAATTGTATTGGGTAGATAGGGGTCCACCGCAGGAGTAAAGGATTGGTGGTCTTCGTGGCTCATTGCTGCGTACAGGCATACCAGATAGTTGTCGGAGTAGTTTACTGGCTACGCGGCAAAGCGGAACATGAATAGGTGAAAGGCACCTTATAGGGCAGACAGAAAAGAAGACGAAAAGTAGCTGAGATAGGTGACAGACAACGGATGTATTTAAGATGAGTAGCGCGGAATGGGGCATGCGGCTAGACGTTGGTGCAGGCCGAAGTAAAAGAACACAGACTTTTTGGAACCAGAGAAGTGGTGGGAGTTTCGAGAAGGGCTACAAATTGTGATTTGCCTCCCCCAGAATTCGCAAAGGAAGATCTCGAGGGATCCCATCTGTTCTCGACGTCTCGATCGATGCGCAGGGCAGTTCTAGGCGGCTGTAGGAAGCATTAGTGGCAGAGGGCGATCGAGCAACAGTTGTACAATAGGGCGGTCGGCAAGAGAGGTTACCTTTCTAAGCGGATAGCGGAGATTAGTGAACACAGTGGAGGGGGCTCCGGATGACGGTGACGGTGACGGTTGTTTTTTTGAATCGTGGATGGCCATCGGAGCTCGAGACGACGCGTGTGAAGCGAGCTAGCGCACGCGCGACTTGTTTCTGCCCGAGCATGCAAAAGATAGCCTTGCTTTGCGCGGTACGGCCCTCTACACACGCGACAGTTTATGCATGGTGTTTTGAGCATGCTGCACGTCGATTCGTAGGAGAGAATTGAAGATTGCCAGCCGGTTCAGACATGTAGGCGTCTTGCGCCTGGCACTTGCGACGACGTCAGGCTCGATCCGCCGCGCTTGTGACCACAACAAGATCAAGATGAGTTCGCCTTCGCTGCCGTCCTTGTCGGACATACAGCCCGTGACGCGGCCCCGGGGCTTCGTCACTGCTAGATCTGTACTGGCCGACCTTGAGTTGCAGAGCAATCACGACAGCGAGCCGCCAGAAGCAATTGCCCCTCCTGATAAGCCAAAGAGAGGACGGCCAAAAAAAGCAGCCAACCCAGACGATGCTCCCCCCAAACCGCGAGCTCGCAAGAAGGCAATCGCCAATGGAGTATCGGATGTTGGCGATATAGACAAAACCACTGCAAAACCCAAAGCGCGCAAGAGACAGGCTGCCACGACGGATGTTCAGGAAGGCGCGTCAGAGGCACCTCCTGCTCCCAAAAGAGGTCGTCCGAAGAAGGCTCCTGCCATTGAAGATGCGACGACACTTGCTACAACCACAGCGGATGCGTTGGAGACAACGAAGCCAGTCGCAAAGCGAGGGAGAAAGAAGGCTATCGAGTCTACAGATGCTCTCGATGCCACCGTAGAGAAGCCAAAGCCGCCACCAAAGCCTCGGAAAACAAAGGCTCCAGCCAAAACAAAGCCAAGCTCCGACGATGCGACCACGGTCTCCGACGGGTCTGCTCTTCCTGTCGCAGAGGCATCGGGCCCTGCTGCACAACCCGTTGTACAGGCCGAAACATTGACCGAGGGACTCGATCTTGATGCAGCCCCCAGGCGTAGACGAGACTGGACTCCACCGACCGAATCTGCCTTACCTCCATCGTTCCAGCGAAGTAGCGACAACTCGCCCGATCCCGAACCTGGTCCAGCAGACGCTCAAGTGGATGAGGACGCTGCGGTTGAAACTTCGGCGCCGTTGGACTTCACGAAACTGATGGGCGACTTTGGTTATCAAGAAGACAACCCAAGGCCGCCTCCATCTCTGTCTCGGAACTCGAGCGATGCTGCCACCACCAAACGCAAACGTTTAGACACTGTTGATGTCGCTGCGCCGGAAGAACCAAAGAAGCGCAAAAAGAAGGATACACAGCCGAAGGAGCCGAAGCCCAAACCGCCTAAGAAGCCAAAGGCCCCCAAGAAGAAGCCACTCACCATTACCGCTCTTGCCACAGCTGCCTACCTCCCGCAACCCGTCAATGCCAACGAGGATCAGACCAAATTGATTTCGGACTTTTTCCCACAACCACAGGCTGGTTCTGCCACTCTTCCTGCTGCTGAAACCACGACTTTCACAACAACCGGAATTCCCAAGGGGAAAGCCGCTGAGGACAAGTCAGCACCGAAAAGGAAAAGAGCAAAGAAAGTACAAATCACTGTGCCCGAGGTCCACATCAAGCTAGACTCCCCAATAGCAGCTGCTGAGAACATGAAGAGACAACAATGGCTGTTTGGAAGCTCGAGTCAATTGGCTGGCGCCGAGTCCCCTACTGAGCTCCGCGACCTTCAGCGGGCACTCAAGGAGTCCGAAGAGATGGTTTCCTCTCAACACATGGATATTCTGCATGCGACCAGTTATGCTCACGTGCCATCTGCTCCGCACGGGACCAGTCTTTCCATTGGACAAGCCAACAGAGTACTATGGATGTCTGCTGCTAGAGACTTCGAGGATTCTACCTTCGCATCTGACGAAAATCCCGATACTGGTGATCGAGGGTTTGTGAGTGAGGAATTGCTACTGCCTGAACATGTCAAGGCTGCTTCTGAGCCGTGCCAGCTGCAGGAGAGCAACCCACCGATCGAGGTGTTGACGATATCTTCGTCGGCTCCGAATCAGGTTAATTCGCCTGACTCTGGATTTGTAGACATTGATCAACTTGCTGGTGGTTCGCCTCGAGCATGCTCTGTGGCCGAAAGACCTGGACCGGAGTTGACGATAACTAAGGAAGCACCAACCGTTGTCCCCACATCGCATGAGATCATCTCCCTGGATACAACTCCAGAAACAGAAGTTGTCCCTCGGCGTGCTCTTGGTGCCCGTGACCCAAACCAAAATATGAGTAGAATCATGGTCGATCCCGAGAGCAATGAGTCTGTCGTCTCTCCGAAAAAGACTGTACCTGAACCATTTGTGGTTTGTCTGGATTCGCCGGACAAGAAACCTCGTGGTCGGTCGCGAAAAGTGACAAGCAGCGCAGCTCCGGATAAATCATCTATCATGGTCAGAAAGGTAGTTGATGCTTCAACTACTACCAGAGAGGATGCGAGACAACGATTCCTTGCTGCTGCAAGTCCAACGCCGATCTACCTCCCATTATCCCAGCAGGCGCTGCGAGAGAGACCGTCTAGCCCAAGTCCTCTGTCGTCGTCCAAACCGAGAGGAAGGCCGCCGAAATCAGGGCCCGGTCCGAGGCATGCGTCTCCAGCACGACCAAGAGGTCGACCGCGAAAATCTCCTAGCCCAAGCGCTTTACCTGTCTCATCGCAACTTCGCAGAGCGCCCGCCGTCACCGGTGTTTCTTCTCAACATGCCGCAATCGTCGAGCCCTCATCCGACTACCTCGACATCGACGCAATCTCAGATGTAGAGATGGCTTCCCATGCTCCATCTCCGCCGCGACGGCTACCCAACTCACCTCCGAAAGCAACATTAGAGTTCGACATACCGCCTCCACCACCCCTTCCCACCGCAGCGACTTCGGCTATTCGATGCAGTGCTAAGCAGCTTCAGGCTGAGTGGTCCGTCATTGCTGTAACACTGTTCCCTAGAATTACAAAGACTGTGCGTTCTACGCCTCCGAGTCGTGACCACAAAGCTCCCACGTGGCATGAGAAGATACTCTTGTACGACCCCATCGTTCTAGAAGACCTTACCTCATGGCTGAATAGCCAAGGTATTAGGATAGAGGTCTCTGTACTTAGGGGCAAGGGAAAGAAGAAGGCTGGCGAGGCAGAGGACACCATGGAGACAGTGCATGAAGAACTTCAGCCTTGGATGGTCCAAAAATGGTGCGAGGAGCATTCTGTATGTTGTTTGTGGAAAGAGGGGCTAAGGGGAGGCGTCAGGCAGAAGTATTGAGTACCTGTTGCGTTTCGGAATATTCTTATTGCATTGGGCCGGATTAGAACCACAGGGGGCGCGCCGTCAGCGACAACTGATTTAAACACATCATCATGGAAGTCACTGGTTGTTCATCCATTCGACATGCCGCCTCATGTTCTGGATTCTCTGATCTATCAAAGCTAGAGGTAGTGCAATCGTCATCCTAAAACCTGCTCGGCACGGGTCGAGCGTTGGCTTGTTCCTGAGATATTTTGTCACCATCGAATATTCACTACTCTCAACAGCGTTTGTACGTACAGAAACTGACAAGAGCATTTATCAGGGACACAATAGTCGTACGATATCGCAATCACCTAAGAAGAACTTTAGCTGCTTGTTCTATGCACTGTGGGAGATCGGAGTTGTTTGGAGCCAGGGTGACCCTGCCACAACAGATGTGCCCAGCCTCGGAAGCGTTCTCGGAAGTGTTCTCGGAAGTGCTTGCCATGCCTGAGGCCAAAACATGTCGGCACATGTTTTGTCCGATTGCCGAGAACTTATCTTTCAGCTTGCGATCGCACCGAGATGTAACTACTATAGCATCACCTTCCTTAACGACCGTCTAATGCAACTTAAAAGTCCATTTGCCCTAGCTAGACCTACCTTAGTTATCCTATTACCCCGCGACTCCTCTCTTACACCCTCGCTCTTTCATAATGAGCCTAATCTGCGACATCTGTATCACGCAGATCGGGAACAGTGATCACGCCTCTGTTCCTGTATTCTAGCTTCTCAAATGCGACTGAAATGCCGATACGAGGGGATGACCTAGGTAGCGTGGCAGTCGATCCATCATCTCCCGTACTATCCTGGCCTCATCATCGCATGAACCTGTTTACCCCGCCTCTGACGATCACCTCGATTATGCTTCATACCCGACCAAGGGAATACCACATGGCCTCGTGAGGGCATGGTAACCGATACATTTAGCCATAGTTCGACATTTAGAAGGTTGCTCGAGAACAAAGCATAAGTATTAAGGCCCGCGACTTACCTCCCCCTCCCATTGCTGCACACCGCACATCATGTATGCTTCAAGCTCTTTGAAGCTTGCCATTCTTGGCCTCGTCCCCCATGTATTTGGTCAGGGAGGTTTGGTTATCAACCCGAAGAATGCAGGTCTCCACCAAGTCGGCAGCCATGCTTCATCCGTACCAATTGACCTCTCGAGCATGCTCAACAATCGTGCCTTTGCCATGTCACCCGGTGACGCTGACTTTGACGGCATACATTCTGGCTACCCTGCTGAATTCTTGCCTGAGAGCAACTTCACCTATGCAGGTGTCAACTATATGTTCCCTCAGTACAAGCAATCTGGCGACGACAATGTACTTGCTCAAGGCCAGGTGATTACGCCTCCTCAAGGACGTTACTCCAGTATCTCCATGCTCGTCGCTGCTGAGTCTGCAGTCGCTACAGGCTACGTTAATGTTACGTACACCGACAACACAACTTCTTCAGGTCCGATTCTTGTTGATCCTTTCTGGTCGTGGTGAGTGGTATTCATCAACCCATACTAGTAACATGTAGTCTGATCTGGCTAGGCCATATCCCTATGGCGGTGACATCATCTTCCCATACTACTTGACAAACAGTAGTGTCGACTATAATCGCTCTATGATCTACCAATCGATCAACTGGATCGACTCGACGAAAGAAGTTTCTAGTGTCACCTTGCCGAATGTGACCTCAGGTGCTGCGACTGGCCCTGGCGGCGCTGCACAGAAGACGCGATTGCACATTTTCGCCGTCTCGCTTGTATCTGCAACTGGATCTGGAATCAGTCTTGAAATACAGCAGGCACGATCGACACAACTGTGGATGGAAGGCACGAACAAGACTCAGATTTTTGAGGCTATCGTTGTGAACACTGGACATCAATGGATTCTTGCCAACAACAGCGTGAAAGTCATAGTCGAAGCTTCTGGTGTCGAAACTGTGCAGCCTGGAGTCATCAACAGGCTTCGTCCCGGAGATAGAGCCACTGTCCGCATTGGTGTAGTCAACAGTGACGGAACAGAGCCTGGTACCAAGGGCGAAGCCACTTTGCGTGTGACAGGTGCTGGGGTGCAAGCAAGCTCCACATTTGATGCAGTCTTCGGCATTGCGCCTTATGAAGCCACCTACGAGAGTATATACAGCCATGAAAGCCCTCCTTGGTATACTGGTGGAAAGTACGGTATATTCATCCATTGGGGTGTTTATGCTGTTCCTGGCTGGGGCAACTCTGGCGAAAAAGGTAACCATTAAAAGGTGTCCTTAATTCAAAGATGAGCTAACGAGGACTAGAACAATATGCCGAATGGTATTGGTGGTATATGAATCAAGGCAGTAACAGCTCGAACTCTGCCGACTTCTACGAATACAACCTCGCCACGTATGGGCCTGACCATGTTTACGACGACTTTATCCAGAACTTCACCACAGAGCATTACGATCCCAAGGAGTGGGTAGATCTCTTCTCGGATGCAGGTGCTCAATACTTTGTTCAAGTCTCGAAGCACCACGAAGGTTACGCTCTTTTCGATATCCCAGCCAACATCACCCAAAGAACAAGTGTTGCCCAGGTACCACACAAGAACTTGTTGCAGATGTTGTTTGATGCTGCTGATCAGTATCAACCACACCTTCACAAAGCCACTTACTTCTCGCTACCAGAATGGTTCCATCCTGACTACAAAAAGTACGGCTTCGGCGAGGCCGATGGTGCAGGCTGGCCTGGCGGCAATGCTACTAACCCTTACACTAATGAGACACTTCCTTACACAGGCTACGTGGCAGTGGAAGATTTTGTCTCGGACCTCATCCTCCCTGAAATGCAGATTCTGGCACAGATGGGCACAGAGATCATGTGGGTGAGTAGATTGTTGCAGTCCAGAATCTATGCAATAACGTTTCTGACACATTCCACAGTGTGACATCGGAGGACCCAACCTCACCGCCGAGTTCTCTGCCGAATACTTCAACTCTATGGCCACCCAAGGCAAACAAGTCCTGATCAACAATCGCTGTGGTCTGCCTGGAGACTTCGACACGCCAGAATATGCTCGCTACGAAGCCGTTCAAACACGAAAATGGGAAAGCAACTTAGGCATGGACCCCTTCTCCTACGGCTACAACCGAGCAACCCCTGTGTCCGCCTACATCACTCCCGCCTCTATAGTCACCTCTCTCATCGACATCACCAGCAAAAATGGAAACTTCCTTCTCGATATTGGACCTCAAGCCAATGGCACCATCGTCGACATCGAGAAGAAGAATTTGAGAGATGCCGGCAGGTGGATCAAAAGTCATGGCGAGGCTATCTTCAACACAACTTACTGGTTCATCACACCTGAAGAGGGAGATACAGGCCGTTTCACGCAGACGCCAGACGCCTTTTACATGTTGACGCTGTATCCGCCCAACGCTACACTGGTCTTGGATAGTCCTGTGCCTTATGTTGCTGGCGACAAAGTCACCGTCGTAGGCGGCAATATGAGCGGCAGTGTTGTACCTTCGAGACTGCTGGCTAATGGGAGCTTGGAATTGACTATTAGTGATGCTGTGAGGGGTAGTGATGAGTATAGCTGGGTGTTCAAGATTCCGTTTGGCGGTGTACAGACGATGGGCAATGCGACGTATACTGGAAGTGCTCCTCCGGCTCAACAGACTGCCAATGATGCGAGGAAGTTGTCGTCTAGTTGTTTGGGATTGGTCCCTTCTGTCTTACTTGGTCTGATGTTTTGCTTTGCATAGTCGACATATCGAGCGCATTTACAATGGCATCAGAAAGAGAAGAACGGTTGTCTGTCTGGGTGAGGAGTAAGACTGATGAACTCGACAGCACTAAAGTCATTCTGCTTTCAACTCTTCCTTAACTTATGTGCAAAGAATTGAACTACTGGATCCATATGTGACAGCCAAAAACGATAAGCGCTTTACGGTAAAAATGCTTCAAACCCACGTCTCGATTCCTCGTCCTCCTTAAACAGCATGCTGACTCGCGCTACCGTGCTTGAAGTATCGCTGTCCGTAATTTTGAAATCCTTCAAGATCTTGAGCAACTCATCATAAACACCAGGCTGGGCAATGTACTTGTTCCGGACTCGCTCGAGATAGTCCAAAGCGAATCCGGCATTGGAGTTTTGAGATGATTGTTGGTGAGTAGAAGATGTTTGGAGCGCCAACTGCCATCGCATATCCTGCTCCATTGGGTCTAAGGCGGCGGGCTCGCGAGACATGGGTCCAAGTGCATTCTTGAATCCTTCGAATCCTTGTTTTGATTCTTCGTCGTCTTCGAAGAGCAGGTTGACTTGCGCGACCGTGCTTACGACATCACTCTTGCCAAGATAGAAATCTTTCATGATCTCGAGAAATTGGTTGTAGACGTTTGGTCGTGTGATATATCTGGTTCGGATCTTGTCGAGATATCTCATGGCGGGGTCGAAGTTTGACTCGATGGATGAGTGTTGGCCAATAAGAGTTTTGTCTTCTGGTTCAGGGACAGCAGAACCATGATATGCAGGTGCAGAAGCGGACTGAAAATCCGAGTATTGCTGCGAAATTTGTTAGTCCGTGATGGATGGAGAGAAAGCGAAGTCCTGTACCGCCTCAGCTTCCTGTCCGGTCGACATTTGTTGTTCAGACATTGCTTGGTGTGTGCTGGCTTTGTCCTGCGACCTGGCGTATTGCTGGAGAGTCGCGTCTCTGATGATGGTACTTGGAGCAGTAGGATTCTTTGAGATTGTGTAAAGTGTGTCAGAAGAGTTGAAGGAATCTGGAAAGTCGTGGTGTGGAAACAATTAATGTCTAAGCAACCCACGTGACTTAAGCGATAGGTTCACATGGGTCACGGACTCTTCCCTTCCTTACGTAACTTGTATAACATGGAGATATGATTCTCAAGAAAGCACGACACAGAAACCAGCTCCCGAAAACTCGAGACACAGCAGTCAGCGACAGACGGACGACAATGGGTGAGTGGTGCCTCAACGGGAATTGATGTTGAGCAAGGTTCCTTAGCGTGTCGAAAAACACTCCGCAAGCCACAAGCAGCTGCGCCTGCCCTCGTATCTTAAACCAATCAGATTTGGTATCAGTACCGGTGTTTGCCCGTCGGATCAACGCGCGGATGAAAGTGCCGAACTGTTGCGCCAATCCATGGCCATAGCTCCAAAACCATGCCCTCTTGTTGCGCAGTCGGGTTCGTAGTTTCCAATAAGCGTTTCTGCTTGCAAGTCGTGAAGAGGGCCAATCACTCTGCGAGTAGCCTGTGTCGACTCGTGTTGTTACTGCCATCAAGGAGGCGAAGATCAGGTGCAACACTCAATCGGACTAACAATGAAGATGATAAATATCACTCCAGAGACCAGTCAGAAGCAGTTCCTACCAACATTCAATCTGTTATTCATTGGTTTTCGAAGCTTACCTGACACCAATATCCATCTCAACGTTGCTCGATCGTTGTCATGAAGGCTTCTCTAGCAATCCCTTTGACTATCGTTGCTATGGCACAGCACGCAGCCGCTGCTCCATGCCCCTCTCAGGGTGTTCCGGACAGTGATGCCGACCGTCTCAATGCTATGATATATCGTGGAACATCTGGGTGTGAAGGATGTTCTGAATCTGTCCAAGTCCTTCTCGAGTCCGCATATCCCGACATCAATGTCACCTTTGCGGGGCCAGACGAAGATGTCCAAATCAACGCCGAAAGCCTTCGTCAAGTGGACATTTTTGTTCAACCCGGAGGTCCGGGTACGTATCGATCTGCATTTCCAATCCAAGCAAGTCACTTTTCTGAGCTAACAGCGTCCTTTCTAGATCTCGAACAAGCTTGGGAAGAGGCTGAGCCGTATGCTGCAGACATGCGTGACTTTGTCGCTCGTGGTGGCTGGTACCTAGGATTTTGCCTAGGAGCTTTCCTTGCAGGTCCCGATACTGGTTTTGGTCTCATTCCCGAAGGCGACAAGGCCGCAAGAGAGATCGAACGGCCCAATGCTCAGGTGGACGACATGGAGGACACTGTTATCCAAGTAGACTGGACGTTCTCGACCGGCAAGAAGCAAGGAACGACCGAGAGGGAGCGCTGGCTCTACTTCCAAGACGGCGCTGCGTTCATCTTGTCCGACCACTCACCGACGACTGTTCTCGCACGTTACTCTCAGAATGGAGATGTCGCTTCCACGCTGAACGCATTTGGTCAGGGCTGGGTAGCAAATGTCGGACCTCATCCAGAGGCAGACCAAAGTTGGTGTACGTTTAGCGACCGTATACGTGATACACGAGATCTCATAACTGACCAACCCTATAGACGACCTCGAGGACGTTGAGAATCCAGAGGGTGTCAGAAGCGACATTGGTATTGATTTTGTCAGGGCCGCATTAGGCACCGCTTCGAGGAACACTCATGACAAGAGAATGGCTAAGCTGACAGCCATGAGGGATTTGATTGCCGCGAGTGAAGATTAAGTCATCCTTGGACCATGATAAGAAATTCAATGGAAACAAATTGCTCACCGTCTTCTATTCTTTCTCACATCGCCCTCTTGCCTGGCAAACTTGCTTCCAACCACGTTTTCTTCTCTTGCTCGCATCCGATGACCTCAAATACTAGTTCACGTCCCAAGTTTCTCTTAGCCTTTATGTATATCACAGTACTGATCTCCTGAAGGAACCGGATGATATGTCTTGGCTCATGCTTGTCACGACAGGACATGTCAAACTGTACGTGTCTGATCTGGTGCAGATCTGGCAGAGAGCGAAATGCTTCTCGCCAAGCTTGTATGAGAGGGGATATGGTGGGACCATCCACACCGCCATTGAGTTCAGTTGGAGTAAGCTGGCCGGAGGAGACAGGGCCAAAGATTTCGATACGTAGCATCTGGACTGAAACGAGGTCTGAGATAGAGTGATTTTGATCGACGCTTGGAGGATTTGGAGCATCGTTGGCCTCTTCTGTTGATGCCAACCTGTTCCTGAGAGATAGTAGAGTGCGTGGTTCATTGATGATCAGCCAGGATAGAGTGTCATTAGACATATTATGGTGTTGCTGGGCGTCAGCGAAGTCCTGAGGTCTGATGGAATCGATTGATGGAGACAGCGATAGTTCAGGTTGGCGTGGAGTAGCCGATAGTACCAAATCAGTGGATGCAGTTTCCTTTGACATGTTGACACTTGCTGATAATGGGACTCGAATATTCAGGATTAAACAGCCCTAGCACCTTCCCTCGAATCTGTATTTGTACGTGTGTCGCATTGCGTCGCGAGAGAGGCAAGCAGTACATTACCCGAGTTCTGACTCACATGGTAGAAGGTTTTCAAATCCCACTTGGGAGACATCGGTCTGTTAGTCTTCGCTGCACCAAAGAGATTGCGCTGGAACAGACGACGAAGCCGGAGTCCGCGGTGCACGACCAAGCTACTGAGTGGGTGACGACGGCCAAGGCCAAAGCTATGGCTGAGTCAGCAAAGAGCTCATACCTTTCGTGTTGCCAGCCAGTCACGTTGCTGTAGATTGCTCAGATCACCTACGCCGAGTACTTGCCTTGCGAGATCTATTGGGTGCCTAGCTCATGTGAATGGTGTAAGCTACTTGTGAACATGAGTTCCACTCACAGTCTCGTTGCTCGGGTGGCTGTCTCATCGCGACTTTTGGCGCGTTGAGTACACGCCTCACCGTGTGTGACGCAATGGGCCTGGTGCCTACTGCCTAACAGTGTAGCCCGCATTGTGATTACTTCAACTTACATAAACACCGCACAGTATCAGGATTCATTCTTTAGAAATCACTCTCGCCCAGTCACGCCAACCTGACAAACATTCATCATGGTTTCGTTTCTCTTTGTGACTGCTCCTGCCGCAGACATAGAAACCATCAACCGGGCTCTCCTACACATGCGCGAATGGGACACTGGATTCGACGAGACCTTCGACCCTTGCAAGCTAAAAATCGACAAAGCACCCTACACCGAAAACGCCAGTGAAGATGATGAACCCACTTCGCCTCCACTGAGAGATCTCTCGGACAATGCATGGAGTGGTGCAAGCACAGAGGACGTGGAATCTTACTGCTTTGATTATGTGCAGGCGGGTGCTCCGAACGATGGGCACCTATTTGCCATACTTGATGCTGCGGCCATCGAAAGCAAGACCTGCATTCTTGCTAACCTTCCTTACGAGTACTATGATGACCCATCTACGTTTCGCGGAAAGTACAACAAGGTCCGCGTACCCTGGGATGAGTTCTATTTGATGTGGTGCAACCTTGACATCGCGAACATGAATTTTGAAGAGTTCACTGAGGAAGGGGAAGACGGAGGCGATGATCAAGGATGGTTCACGTACAACAGCGTGTCCAATGGAAGTGATATTAGTGAAGAAGGAGCTAAGAAAAGAGATGCGATGCTGGAGCGATTGAGGCTGCAAGAGTATGTTTGAGAACCTGCTATCGATCTCTGCTTTTCAGTTGGCGTGATTGCTTGGATTCGTGGATCTCGCATCGAGATGTTCTCTTGAAGATGGCGTACAAAAGGCCGCGCCAATTTACTTGGAACGTGTGCTTGAATGTATAGTCAATAGCCGGGGTTGGGTTGAAAACTGTGGCTACTTACATGAAATGATGTATCTAGTTCTTTATGCTACAACAGTTCCATCAGCCTTTCCATGTTGATCAGAGGGAACCTTCAGGCCACTCATAACGGAGCCTAGGGACCTGAGGGTCGAACCTGGCCGCCAAACGGATGCTCCTCGCTGGGAGTCTTTGCCGACCATTATCAGGCGTTGAGATTTCTTTGATGTTCTCAGGCCAAGTCCAATCACTGATAAGATTCTCTTGTTGCGCAATGGCCGGGACAAGTCTGACTGCCTTACGAGGCGGGGAACCCATGTTGCTGAGAATCTCGGGGTCGGTTGTCGTTTCATATTCTCCATGCTCTGCCACAATCTCGACCTCGTCGGTACTCCACAACTCTTCTTCATCGTCGTCCGCACCCAAGGGCTGCGATTGCTCGGAGTCTAGGCGTAATGGGGTGATGTTCTCGTCTAGGGATTCCAGTTCTTCGCCCATTGGGGGGTTACCTTCTGACCAGCAAACATGAGAGATTGCTAGATGCTCTGTGTGGACCAGTGCCTTCATCAGGACCTTCTTGCTCGCAGCGAAATTGCACTCCACATCGAAGTCGTCAGCAAAACCGGCCACATACCAGACTGCGCCCTTGTCCACAACATCCCGGTCAATGACAACAAATGGTTTCGTATTCCCAGCCTTGTTCTCTTGAGATCGCATGTGTGCATGTGATGCATTCGTATATTTCACAGGTGCTTGGGTGATTTGAAGGTGCATCATAGGTTTGAGGTGCACCTTTGCACCCTTCTCAAAAGCACGCTTGAAATTTTGGAGTTCATTGTCGCTGAGCTGTGTGACAAGGTATGCTTTGAGTGTGTCGGCATCGTCCAGATGGGATGGTATGAGGTGGACCATCTGGAAGTGAGAAGACCGAGACGGATGAAGTGCAATGAATGTCGTTGTTGGACAGAATGAACGAACCGAAGTTCTGCTAGCAGAAATTGTATGGAAGATGAATACTTATCGTTCTTTGACACATTATGCTCATTAGCGACCTGTTTTTCCAGCAACAATTGTAAAGAAAGTCTAAAGCCAACAAATTGATCCGATGGGTTCTTTGTACGACGAACGGCGGCGAGGGCGCAGGGACCGCCGGAGATTCCCCGATGGATTTGCCTTTTGGCATACGATGGATGGCGTTGATCCTTCTCAGCTGGCCGCACACCGACACCAAAGCTAGTTCTGCATTTCTGGTCGCAGCGCTTTGAGCAGAAGCTCATCTCAACGGGCATGAGAAATGACGACCCAGAGCGGAAGCTGCCGCACGTTTGTCGTGACTGCAATCAGTGGGGACCTGGCGACTGACAGTCGAGAAGACTTGTGTAGTCATGACTTTGGCACACGTGTTGAACATTCTTGCACATTGATGTGATTTGTACTTCCTACTGATAACCGAACGCATTCATATCCTGACGACAAGCTGTCGTGTCGGGTCTGCACGGCTTTGGCAAAGGAGACCGGACTTGACTGCCACTCTCACTGCTACTAGCGTCAATTATGGTCACCACTCAAGAATGCTTGCGATATCTTCAGACTGGCGCCGTCACCAAGGGTGATGCTGATATATCAGGCAAAGGTGTCATTCTGGCGTTCCTGATCAGCGCCTATGTGTCCTTTGCTGCTGTGCTCGTCGCTTACGTGACAGGCATGCTGGAGGATGAGCTCCTAACGACCGTGGACAGAAAAATCATGCGCATCAAGTCTCGCAAAGACAAGCACCCCCGGATACACGAAACAATTCAACACATCGTCCTGCTCTTGAGCGACCAGCAAATTGTGACGGGTATCGCAATAATGGCCGCCGGGTTTGTTGGTCTGCGCGGAGGACAGATGAGCGTGTACCACTATCAAATCGTCCTCTACCTTGCTTGGCTTTCAAGCTCAGTACATCTTTCCGCTTTGACACTGCTCCGACCCTTTCTCAACAAACACCAAGGACTGAGAGCCTGGCGGCTACTTGGAATGATAGTGTTATTCTTTATGCTCATCGTCGGTCTCGTGCCGACTGTCAGTTATGACTGGGGCACTATTTATAGCCCTGAAGCTGATACCTCACTGCCGGATACCATACAGCCAACTGGATGGGGCATTCCTGCAATCTGCTTCTGGGGCAAAACATATGGCGACGGATTCAATGACGATGCGCCCATTGGTTACCTCATTTTGATATTCAGCTATGTCTGGAAGATGGGCGATCTCTTCGTATCACCTCGGAACCTGTATAACCGAACAATTCGCAGGCCGCTTGAAAATTTCATTGCGAAGACACTGTCCGTTTTCGCAAGGAGATATATGCAAGACGGAAACGCGCTATGGCTCTGGTGTTTTCGAGGATTACTGGTCATTTGGATTCCGCTGGTCGCTTTTATGGAAGCCATGGCATCTTTCTCTGCCTCTTTATGGTTGTCTGCCCTTGGACTCGTATTTGGAACCATCCAAATAGTCATCCCTCGATATCAAAATCTAGCTCAAACCGCAGCCCAAGAATCTGAGTGGGGATTTGGACAGCTAGTCCCTTTAGTGCTTCTTGTCCAGCCAATAGGCGCCATATCAGAACACGCATGGATACGACAAGGTGGAACCATCGAAAGCAACATTTCTGAACCTGTTCGCCGACAAACAACCGGGAGCTCTACTTCAGATCATGGTCCAGAGTCAGAGCCTTTGGTAGACGACCAGGACAGACATTTAATCACCCCTAGACGGCTTGTCGAGGTTCTTGGACAGCGACAAGCCTCGTGTGAAATGCACGCAGAGATAGCAAGTCGATCGACTGTCTTCATGAACACTGTTCTATCTTCCCGACTCTTCGGGTCAGTCATCGCCATTCTACAGATCACCATTCTAGGAGCTGCCTGCGTCATCTTGAGTTTTGATGCTCAGTCAATTGGTTACGAGAGAGGTCAAAACTGGACGTATGCGTTGATCGCTATTGGAGTCTATGCCTCGGCATCTTGGCTGGCGGTCTTGATTTTCGGACCGTACAGTAGACTTGGTCGAAAACCTTCGCGACGAAGGGCCACATTGCAACATGAAACACTTGGGCTCCAGAAGCTTACACCGAGTTCCTCCTGAGAAGCTGTCCGAGGTACCTAAGTTTGTCACTATCACTGGTGTAGAAATGCACGATGATTTTCGAAAGTAGAGCTAGACCCAAGGAGAGGCTATCAAATAGTCGCTCTCTGTAGGCGACGTGCTCTTTGTTAAAATCATCGTGCATTTTGATGGGGGAAACATGCGCATCGTCGCGACTTGAGAGTCGATATGACGAATTTCAGCACGCGGGAAGGTTGTGTACAACGTCATCCGATCATGAATTCTGGATCTCGACATGGTGTTTTCAGTAGCACCAGCATTATCAACCGGTGGCTTAAAAGCCACTGAAGATATCAAGGCGAGACCAATCGACGGCAGGTGGAAAGTCCGTGACTGACGTGACTGACGACTCTTGCATAGGCTCCTGAGCATTTGGACGTTGCTGTGAGATGGGTGGCGGCACACGCTCGTGTGCGATATCTTCCCATATTGTTCCGGCAAAAAAGGCATGTCCAGTGACTCCCTCAACGCCATCTTTGTTTGCCCCGAGGCGCATATCAGGGTTGCGAAGCAGTAGTTGCTGCAGAATCGATCTACTGCTGTCTGGCATTTCGAGCGGATAAACAGGCTTCGAATCGTCCAGGATCTCGTCGAAGATGGCATCCACGTCTTCTCCCTGAAAAGGGCTCGCAGCTTCAAGCATCTGGAACAGTACTATACCGAACCCCCACCAATCTACTGCCCGGCCGTAGGGTATGTCCAACAAGATCTCCGGCGCAGTCGAAAGACCACCACAGAAAGTAGTCGTCCTTGACTCGTGTACCATGCCGTCTTTACATGTCCCAAATCCTGTGAGGCGGATGTGTCCGCTGGCAGTGAGCAGCACGTGTTCCAGTCCTAGATTTCGGTGAATGAATTCGTGTTGGTGGATAAATCGCAGAGCATGGCAGAGCTCGGCAGCGTAGAATCGTGCTGTTTCCATATTGAGCTTTCCATGTCGACAGATGTAGGACTCTAGGTCTCCGCCAGGCATGTATTCGGTAACCAAAATGATTTCCTCCCCGGTGTGAAACGATTCGATAAGACCAAGTACAAAGTTTGACTGCTCTCGTTTGGCACTGAATTGTCGGCCCCAAGTTTTGATAGCAGTAGTATCAAAGTATTGATCATGTCGTAGCACCTTGAGTGCACGAAGCTCTTTCAGTTCCTTGTTCTCTGCTAACCAGACTTGGCCCGAGGTTCCAGATGCAAGTCGTGAAACCGTCTGTATGTGATTCGATTCAAGGTCTTGCTTAGATGGCATTATCTGGACGGATGTGTCTCGCTCGAGAAGCCGCAGGTTGTAAGCCGATCAAGGAGGAAGTTTGACCAGGCAGATGTCATCTTCAAGGATTCGAGATTCTTTTAGGCATCAATGGTTGTTCTCATCAAGCGTCGAGATGGGTACGAAAACATAACACCAAATCCGGATTAGACACAATTAGCCTAGACACGGCCGCGATGATGCTGGTCGTATTTTCGGCCAATCACGAACACTGAGTCTGCGCCACTACGGCCGTGCCGCCGTGCATGACTGCAGCTAGCCCACTATCGACTCCGCCTGACGGGCCGTTTCCGCAAAACTCTATTTCCAGCTTCATGGTCCAGATGGGAAAGAACAAGACGGTCAAAGGCCATCCACTTTCAGGATGAGAAATTTTGTGGTTTTCGAATGATTCTACCTGTTACTCATTCTGCTCTGATATATGCGTTCTGCATAAATGCGTCTCGCTTGGAAACGCGCATCGCATACCAAAAGCCACGGAGGCTGTGGGACCTGTCTGTAAGCCATCGTCGTTCATCCGTAGATCCTACTACCCTTTATTGACGCCGTACTGTAGCGCGCGGCATGTAAAATGCGACGAGACACGACCAAAATGTCAGCGTTGTATCCGCGCGGGTCGTGAATGTGCTGGGTACAAACCGCCTCCTCGTTCTACTACGCAACTACGCAGGATTTGTCCCCGCCCATTGAATCCAATCAGTCACCTGAGCGATCATGAGGGCAATGCCTTGGACTTTTTCCGCCGTGTGACAATAATACAGCTCCCTTGTGCATCAGCAACCGAGACGCCTTGGGAGAAAATAGCTTTAGATCTGGTTTACCGACAACCAGCCATCGCGGCGGCAGCATCAGCATGTGCCGCTATGCACCGCACGTTGACCGATGTGCAAGATCAGAACCAATGGCAGTTTGCAATGCAGCAATATAACAAATCGTTGGCTTTGGTAAGCAAGTATATCAGCAATCTGCAACAGAACACATCAGATGATGATGTGCTCGTTGTACTTGTGGCTTGCTTACTACTCTTCACCTACGAAGCTTTCTCTGGGCAAGATGCGATGGCGTCACTTCACTTGAAGACTGGTCTGCGTATCATTCACGAAAGATGCTGTCCGGTCGATAGGCCGCGGACACCGAACGACAGGCATGTAGTGGTCGTAAAGCCTTGCCCCAAGAGCCTTTTCGACGTCCTTGTACAGATCTTCGTACGACTTGACTCGGATTATACCTTGACTGGGCACGATGATCCGTGAGTATCATCCAAGCATCCTGAATTTGACGACAGTTCTAATTTCCATAGATACCTCTACCCCATCTGCGAAGAACCCATGCCTTCTTACTTCTCGAATCCTGATCAGGCCAGTTCTTACCTCGAAATCATATCAGCGGAGATTTTTGACTTCTTTGATGCTATTTACATACACACTTATCACATTTTGGCCGATCAGAGAGATCTTGACAGCATGAATGAAGATGAGCGAAACTGTCTCATTCGTGCAGCCATACGCACTGTGGAAGTTGACGACACTCTCATCGAAGGCATCAGTAAATGTCGCCAATCTTTGCTGGCCTGGAACGCTGCATTTGCAGTAGTGCCACGAACTGACAAGAACGTTTTGTCGCATATGTCCACCCAGATTTTCTTCTTCTGCGTCTGTTTTTGGATGGAGACGTGGCGTGATGAGACTCCAATGTTAGTTGATCGTTTCGAGGGTCAATTTGAGTACTTTACCGGTCTTTGCGAGGAGTTCCTCGACCGACATGTCGCGAATACGCCGTTCCGCAGCACTCTCACCACCTTCAATGCCAAAGGCCTGGACCGGATAGACACACCACCAGCATTTTCTCTGGGTTCCGGCGTCGTGACCTGTTTAGTCGTCATTGCAGAGAGATGTCGCACCTCGTCCATCCGACGACGTTGCATCGCAACTCTACGGAAGATCAACCTCAGGGGAATATTTGACACCGACTATCTCATCGCCTATCTGGAAGCCATTGTCAATCATGAGGAAGAAACCGCACGGCAATGCAGTCCGTATGTCGACCTTGGTTCTGACCTGAAAGCGTGCGATATTCCTGAGGCTGCCAGGTTTCTCGAAGTCGTGATGTCTCCCTCTTATCATGCCTCGAACTTTGATTTCTACAAGAAAAAGCGTGTGGGCCTGGTATATGTGACTCCCACATTTGGTGTCATCGAGGATTTCCTGATTGGAAGAAAGTCGATTCAATTGTGTTGAAAAGAGTAATGCTTCGGGGCTCAGGGATGAACGACATTATCAGAAGATAGAGACAACGCAGGGCGGATAAAAAGAAGCGCTTGGTCATCCGCTGCTATAGAATGGTGTATAATGGTGTCATGCATTAGAGTGCAGTCCTGAATGTTTGTAATAGATTGCCTCATTTATAGATTCATGGGTATCACCTTTTACCGTCCGTAAGCTTTTACCCCTCACCCAGAGCACTCCATCATTGGTGGAGGTCTCGACATGGAGTCTCGGAGTTGTGAAACTTGTAGCAGCGGGAGATATAATGACATTCGCTATGAGTTCGGGCATGGCGCAAATTGGGGACCGTTGATTGGTTCGCGATACGAGACACCTGGATGTACAAGTAAGGATAGTACTTTTGGACAATCGAGCCTCGAGCCTCGAGCTCATGACCAACCAGAACTGAAAGATAGACCTCTCCTTGGTAATGGTGTTTCGAATCCCACAAGAGTCAATGTAACACAGTAGATTCTTACTTGGAATTTTCATTGGTATCCTCATCATCCAGAGCGAAATCAGAACTTACAGGCAGAACAAGAAAATGAGGCTTTAGATACTACTCCTTCGGATTTAGGGCTACCATACATCATTTTTATCATGTCATTCCTGTGCAGGCACATCTGTGACATTGTTACTTCCAGCGAACGGGTCCGCCTCACTATCGTAAACACGATTCCACTCCATGCCTTCCTTGATTACGTCGCCATACAGCGTGCCTTGGTCGTTCTTTCCATAGATATGGTCAATCAAAGCCAACATAGCATCCGTACCAGCAGAAACACCTGAAGATGTCCAAAGTTTGCCATTGTCGGCGACCACCCATCTAGGCCGTGTTAGCGAAAAACTTGACTGGCTGCAATTGACCGGAGATAGTACCTAGCACGAGCTACCCAATGCGTCTTGGGTCCCAGAGCAGTGATTGCGGGCCATAATTGCTTGTTAGTAGTGGCCTTCTGGCCGTCAAGGATCCCAGCTCTGGCAGCGAGGCCAGCGCCATTGCAAACAGCTGTAAAGCTCATCAGTCGCATGTTCTCATGTGTAACACTTGCCCACATACTCAGAAGATGCTTCAACGTCGGATATTGATCACGCAAGAACTGCACCACCCTTTCTACACCGGCTGGCTCCCAATCACCACCGTGAAGTACTTTTGGCCCGGCGCCAAAGCCTCCCGGAACGATCAAGACGTCCACATCCTTTGGAGGTGCATCAAAAGTGTGTGTGAGTACTATGGTCTGAGCGACACGAGACTTGACCGGCGATGGATCTCCTTCAGTAGGGCCTGTAGATACTGGGTTCAGATGAGGACCGATGACACTGAAGGTTATGTCCTGAGAGTTGGGATTGACGAAAGGATGACCCAGGCAATGGAGAGCTTCAGTCGGGCCAAAGGCGTCGAGCACCTCAAATTGGGGGTAGACTACAAGGGCGAAATGCACTGTAAAATGTAAGCTTGAGTCAACTCGATGGTAATGGTATACTTACTGATGGGAGTGATGTAAAGCTATGGGTTAATACTGGAATTCAAGATGACAGCTATGCTTATATGTATATTCGAAGGACGCTCATAATGAGCATTCAGGGGCTTCAGAAAGTGGTCTACATCCTGTGCTTTGGGTTTGATGCCCGAACGAAACAGCTTTATTGCGCCTTTGAGCACGATTGAGTGCATTTGAGCTTCATGCTAGCCCGAAAGACACTGGCAAAGACGGTAATCATTCCCTCAATTGCTCAGCCTTCCCTGTAATGCACAAGCGTCCTTATGAAGCCGCGGGGGCCGAAGACAAAGACCATCGAGGTGGCTACCCATCTTGGCAAATGCAAAAGGAGATCGGGTTTGTGAACGTGAGAAGCTCGTGCTTGATCCTCACAACGGTGAGGAACTCTATCTGTGCAATCTAGTCTCAGCCCGCTGTGATTGGAGGATTTACGAGCTCTTGCTTAGTAAGCAGCATTGAGCACGCCCATCGTTCTCACGCTCCGACTTCGGCTTCTTGCTTATGCAAAACATCATGTATGTGTATTCACACAGCGTCGCTTTTCACGCCACAACATGACTTGGTCTATTAAGTATGCTCTGAGAAAACTCCACGAAACCGTGGGAACAATCATGGCCAGACTGTGTTGCCTGACTCTGCGACTTGTAGCACTGCTCTGACTATAGACAGGTCTTGATCAATATGGACCGCAGAGCCTATCACACGATCTTTCTGCGCAATCTTCCATTCCAGATAGACAGATCATGATGTTCTTCGAGGTCGCTTTGATTCCCTCGCGTCTTGTGTTTGGACACATCACTTCTCGTTTGCACAGCTTTGGGCTTGTTCCCTAGTGTCCTCTCTTTAGACAGTGAGATTTTCCTCTCTTCCTTATCGTCCTCTTCATCCAATTCTGGAGCTCCAAGGGCGCTGCTTGTATTCGCATCGACGTTGGTAATAGTTGTGGCTTCGCGAGTGTTGTCTGGTGTGGAGTACGGCGAACCGACAAGCAGCGCCTCTCTTGCAACTCGCAATTCTCTGCAGTACATACAAGGGTTTCGTCTGCCCTTTTTGTCTCTGCGTTGTTTCTGGCACGACTTTGTTGAGTCGCAAGGCGGGCGATTGTCATACAGCCTGCTCCGCTCGAAGTCGACCATCATCAAAAGCTGCGAGCCTCTGTCGAAAATCATGTTGCGACGTTCTGCGTCACCATGAACTACCTGTTTCTCATGCACTTGCTCCAATCCCGAGAGTAATTGTGGTTCTAGGGACGAGAAATTTATACCAAATTGGTCTATTCCAGATCCTAGAGCATTCAAAGTCTCGCCTGCCCACGAAAGGAGCAGCAAATGCTGAACAGCCCTGCTCTCTGTTGTATTGTACGCCTTCGGAAGATGAACAACTCCGCAGCATACAGGTATGAACTTGCCTTGGAGAGCCTGTAGGCGTTCATACACTGCTAGTTCGTTCTGCAGCCAGCCAACATCTTCATGTCGATAGCCTTTTGCAACCAGACAGTGGCCAGTCATTAGAATCCGGACCATGTACAGCACACCAGACCGTCCACTCATACCCAGCGAAGTCAAGCCAACGGTTTCATCGCCTTGAAGCTGAGATTCGAGTAAGCCGAGAAATTGATCATGGCTCAGACTTTGGTCGCCATGCGCGGTATGATTGGGACAGTGATCGATGGAGGACTCTTCGTTGCGGACTATTTTTAAAAGGCAGTCATGCGAACAGAACGGCTCACGCTCGTCGTTCGTTTTCTGCTCAGTCGTTGCTAATGGCGAGAGAGTCGTCTGACTGTGAATGTGACTCAACAATGATGACCTTTGCAGCGTGATATCTGCGTATCACGATCGTATGATTTGCTGGCTCCACAGGTAGTCCGAAGGTGACGCTCCAGGTTTCTTGGTTCTGTGCGCTGAGGAAAGGAGGCTGAAGCTCTAACTGGGGTATCTCGAGTATTAGTAGTCTTATCAGTTAAAATACAGGCTGAACTCCGGCAGATAGCATGGAAACCGATATTCATGTTGAGTCTTGCAAGAGGCCAACACTCGAGGTGCGCAGCTGAGCACATGAATTGCAGTCATCAATGTAGATCGAGTGCATCAAGAGGGAGTTCCTCGGTCTGGAAGAAATGAGTGGTTGGTCGACATAACCTCTTTTACATCATATACTGCGATTACGAAGAGTTTGTTGAACACAGAAGCACCGCTAGTAGTGAACACCATTTCTACACCAGCCGTCCTTTATTCGAAGACCTCAGCTATCATCTCAAACTGCACCCATCCATTTGACCCACCACTCGCACAAGCCCGAAACCCAGCAACATCCCAGTTCTCCCTCGCGAACTTCTTCTTCGCACACGTATACTCAAATACAATCCCATGACCACGCCTCCCATCATCGAACCGTTCAACCCACCTCATCAACCCCGATGGATCAGCTTTCTCCCCACTAAACCAAAAACCTACCCTCATACGCTGCTTTGAGATAAGCATCTCGAGCTCATCATCGCTTAGACGGTTCAAGAAATTGACGATGTGGCTGAAATCCCAGTTGCGCACTGCTATTTTGATGATGGGGGTTGCTTTGAGTGCGAGAGGGAGAAATTCAGAGCGGATGGTTTTGCTGACGCGAGAGAAGGCTGAAGTTGAGATTAGATCGCGATTGATATTGTTGCGTGGAAGGATCAATGAGGAATTCTCGATGATTTTGTTGTAGACATTATTGCGGATTTCGGGTGAGAGGTCGAGGAAGCGGAAGTGTGGCCTGCTGTCGTTTGCAGACTTGTTTGGACGTAGTTGTATTTTGGTTGGTAGTGTGTCTTGCGAAACTGTCTGCTTTCGTGGTGCCATCGTGGTAAGATGGTTGAAGTTGTTGAGTTTGGAAACATTGAGAGAGGTTGCATTGTAGCAGCCTAGCGCTAAGCAAAGCTAAAATTAGACTCGAACATGGAAGACGCATGATAGGAAGAAGACACGATGTTCTCCCGCTCCTGCATTGGAAGTGTCTTTGGGCTCACAGCACTAAACTCTTTCCAGATGTCAGGGCAGTGACGTGGAGATGAGTACTGTTGTCACCAAGACGTCGAGTCTAACTGCTCTTCAGCTTTTCCATATCCTCGAAAGCCTCCATTGTCCATGGATGATCTCGGCCGAGCTTGGCCACATAGTAATTCACAACACCCTGCTGCAGTTTCCTCGCCTTTTCCTTGTTGCCTTGCGCATTTACGATTTGGACTAGTTCTGCCACGCAGACTTGAGTACAGTCATGTTCAGGCCCATGATTCCTCATGCTTCTTTGATAAGCGGCATCTTGCAGTTGCCACGCCTCCTGTACATGACCCCGGAACCTGTGCATACGCGCAACAGCACAGGAGGCCTCCAAAGTGGAACAATGGTCTGGGCCATAAGTAATTGAGTTTGCTTCTTGAACTCTCGTATACAACGGCAGGGCCTCATCCCATTGCTTTTCATTTTCGTAGGTAACGGCCAGCTGCTCCACGCTCTCGATGGTATCAGCATGGCTTTGGCCAAGTACGCGTTCCCTCGTGGCCAGGACATAAAGTTGCAGTTGATCGGCCGCCTCCTCCTCTCCTTTCGCATAGAGAATGGGAGTCAGATAGAGCAGACTGCGCAAAGTGTCGGGGTGTGACTCGCCCAGGTGTCTACTTCTGGTGTCGATGATCCTCCGTTGTAGTTCCTCTGCTTTTTCCAATTGTCCATTGAATTGATATTCGAGAGAGAGCTCGTGATACGCTTCCAGGGTTTCGGGGTCGCTGTCCCCTAGCACCTCTCTCTGCCGCTCGACCTGCGATTCGAGAAGTCTGATCTGCTGGGTTGGTTCATCCAAGGAAGGCTCGCTAGCTTTTCGAGCATCGTGATGGGCGGTTTGCTCGGCCAGGAGAGTGAGCTGCTTCTGATAGTCATGCTCGGCTTCTTCGGCGGTGAGCTTACACAGCGGCGTGATGTCAGGTGTCTCTTCTGGGCTTGGTGATCGGGCATTGTCGCTCTGGGCAGCATGAGGCTGGCCTGGCTCAATAAATGGGTTGGCTCCGGCTTGCAAGTTCATCATTGGAAGCGTGTCCTGAGCAATTGGAGTTGCAGATGGGAGAAGGATGAATCGCTCGAGGGATTGTAAGGAACTAAATAGACGAAGGCGTGAGATTCGCCAAAGCTTCAGATTGGTCTGTACCCGGAAATGACTGCCTAGCAGCCGGTCAGTATTCAGCACTGCGTGTACAAACTCAATGTTTGTGATGGCTCAAGATAGGGTCGCTAGACAAGGCTTCGTATTTCCTACAGATCAGTGGTCGCGGTCGCTCGTGTACACAGCGACTTAAAAAGATGCATCGCATCATTTGGCACCAGAATCTCGGCGTCCGCGCACACGATGATTCAACTTCGGTGCTCGATAGACGAGTCGAGAGAGCGTAGGCTATGCATCTTTTGCACAAGCGAATGCATCTTTCATCCTAGTGGTAAGACTATGGCTTAGGTAGGGAGTAAGAATTGCGAAGCTTTCATGCGGTTGGAGCTCGTACGATCAGCCAATGACATCTGAGCGTCCCAGACGACCGGGTCGGCACTCGGAGTTCGGTACAAACTTAATCATCAGCGCACGGACGCTGCGGTGCACAAGCTCAGTCACCGGCTTCCCAGAGACTCGCTTTTCCAACTCCAGGCAGTTACTAACGTCAACATGTCTCGTGAAATCCTGTATCCCGCATTGCGAGCCAATCGAAGCCACAATTCTAACCAAGATGGCGTATGAAGATCACTTAGATGACACGCAAGGTTGAATCGTGGGCAATCTCCTCTGGACCCAGATGCGCCTTTGGGGGAGAAAGCAGTCGCCTCTTCAAATATGCTAAACTTAGCTACCTTCCTACACTACCATTCTGCTATCCACAATCTTCGTGCCCTCATGGCCAAAAATTCGCCATCGGATCTGGGAACGCGGTTCCACAGCCTTCTTCCACATGAACTGCGCGCTCACATATTCTCCTTCCTCCTCGTTCGTTCAGTCAAGTGGAACCTGCAACACCTCGAAAGCTGCGAGCGAAGGAATAGTCGGACGATAAGCGAGTACACGCGTCCAACACACCACAATCTCGTCGGACCAGACCAAGCCTACATATGTGCTAGTTGCGGGCCTTTTACGCATGAGCGAAATTGGCGCCATGCTTTCGAACGAGGCTTTGAGGTCTATGTATCGCCATGGAGAAGTCAATGGGCTCCAGATCAGGGAAACCCCTTTGTCTGTACAAACTGTTTTGATGACCGCTTGCGAAGTCGACCGTTCCCGGAACCAACCAATCTTCCCTGCTTGTGTGCGCGGCATAAGAATCTCGAGGTACGACTAGTCTGTCGACAATGGAACGAGGAAGCCAGTGGTGTATTCTTCTCGGGCAACGTCTTCGCGTTCGACGATTGCGTCTCGATGAAGCACTTCTTCTCCATAATCCCTAGGCACTGGATAATATTGATCACGAAAGTCAGCCTACTTTTCCCTCTGTGGGACACTGACGACGACTCTATCAGCGTTGATATCCTGGCAGCTTCGCTGTCAGTACTCAGCAGTCTGACTTGGCTACAATACCTTGAGCTAGACGCCAAATTGCTCAACAACGAGGCTACAACATTGGCCCTTCTCGATATCCATTTACCAAGCCTTGAGAGAGTTTGTTTCGTTGTCCAATCTCCAATCAAAGTAGTTCCTTGGCGGGAAGGACTGTCGCTGACTTACATCTGGGGTGAACTCGCTAATAGATGTCTGCTCGTTGGCGGTCTTCCTGAGCGCGTGGCCCGCTCAATAAAAGCTCAGGGCGTTGAAGCACCGTCTTGTCAGAAGACAAACAAAGAGGAAATACGACACCAAAGACAGCTGTATGAGTTTGCCCAGAAGAACGACCAGTTGTGGAAACTCAAGAGTTACGGAAGAACAATACTCGACTGCGAAGCACAAAGGACTGATCCGCCCTGAGAATGGTGGGCAGATGCAACATACCAAGCGAGGATTTTGGGAGATTGGAAATCGAGAGAGAAGACGGTGATGGTCTGCTCAGGTTGCTATCCATAACCCCCCGATTGAACAGACTGTGACGGAACTATGTTCAGGTCTGCATTCGCATACGACAAGGCCGGTAATGCAAGAAGGCCACAATATTGTTGCAGCGTCTGGTGGTACCATTGTCGCATCTGAACTGGTCTCGTCACCTTGTGAGATCTGCAAGAAAAATGAAGACATCTAGATTCAATATAAGCGCACCAAGCTACCTACTGTACACATACAATTCAACAATTCCAAACATTGCCCAACAGAGATCAAACAAAACTGCCAGTTGGCCGCACGCCATATGACGCTTTCATCTTCTCCTCACAGCATGACCAGAGAAACACCAAGAAGTGCAACCATGAGATATCCTGCACTCCGGCCTTGCGAGCGGTTTGCTCTACTTGTCAGCCCACTGGGTATAGCTGTCGTTGACGGTCCAGTTGAAACTGAAGAGCCACCGGTTGTTGACGTTGATTGTGTAGCTCTGCTCGGGGTTGACGACATTACGGCAGCGGAACCACTGGCTACTGAAGCTCCACCCGCTCCGGAAGCAGATTGACCTTGGGTAGAGCCTTGGGAAGAGCCTTGGGAAGAGCCTTGAGATGAAGTAGACGAGATTCCATTGTTCGTGACCGGTCTGCACTGACAGAATAGAGTTTCTTTGCTGTTTGGAAGAGTGACGAAACATCTGTAGTCCGTACCATCGCTCTTCGAGACCGAGGTCGAGCCAGCAGTGCAACTATCAGCGCCCGAGAAAGTGTAGGGGATTGCTTCATCGCAGCCGCCGGTCGTGTAACAAAGGTATTGTTGGCACTCGCATGGTCCTGTGAACGAGGTAGTGGTCCAGCTCCCAGAGGGCGAGTTTGAGGACGAGTCGCCCGATGAGGATGAGTCTGATGATGACGACGCGACCGAAGACGATGAACTTGCAGCATGTGAAGCACTCGAGGACGAGCTCGGTGGATTTGATGCTACGAGATTGACATCCGGTCCTACAGGCATGGACAAAACTGATTCGAGAACTTGTGCATTTGAATCGAAGACACCAGAGCAGTATTGACTGCCAGTCATGGAGTCGACGGATCTGCCTTTGTCGATACGGTCGACGCTCTCGCCCTTGATAGTCTTCACTAAACAGTTTGTTCGATCGGTCCAATAGTATGCCGTTTGGGCCGAGGAAGTCTGACAAATGGTGTTGACGTCGTCAAAAGTGTCGGTGTATATGATGCATGAGCAGCCAGTGTCATCGGTGTAGGCATTGTAGTCGCAGACATCCGTATTGACGCGGTATAGAGGAAAGGTTGCACCTTGGGGCGTAACAGCAGTGCTGTCTAGTTTGTGGGCCATGCTGTATGGAAGATTAAATTTTTTGAGAATGAAGGGATGATCAGGCTGTTGGTACTAAGGACGCAGCCTGGAGGTGATGAATATCATAAAAGCCAACGCACTACCTACTCTTATAGCATTCCAACTGCTAGCCAACACACCGGGCAATGCCTCATGATAGAAATGAGGTCTCGGTCTAGATTCATTGCAAAGCCATCTTTTGCGTTGAGGATACCAAAACCACTCGATACAATTCTCATAGACCTCATGATTCACAGTCTTGCTCAGCTGGGCTGGACAAAGAACAGTGAATCATGGTACGAAGATGTCCGGTGCTGCATGTGACCTGCTGATCGGATTGAATGCTCGCACGTTGCAGTGTGCAGAGCCTCCGGAGTCTCCGCGAAGCCTCATCATGCAAGTTCTCAGCTCCTCGGCGGGCGGTATTGATGATTTCAGCCGCACGACGCGCTCGTTCAAGGATAGTCCGCCATACGTGCTATTTTCGTGCCCGCTTCTTTTGGCACTGACTGAGGTAAGTTCTGGACCTGATACGACTTACTCGCGAAACCAGACGGCACAGAAATACTCTTCTACGACGAGCGGCAGCGATCAGGATCACTACGAGTTTATAACATGTTCATTGCAAAAATTAGCAGCGAATTGAAGAAGATTGAGCGTGGTCGAGCTGAGTAGGTTGACAACAATAAGATCAAAGTGTGGTTGCCTGAGCTATTATTGATTTGAATCAGATTCTTCCCCTGACGGGTTTGACTCCGGGGGGGCTTGGCACAAAACGCCATCCAATTTGAGCTTCGTTCGTTCTTGCTCTACTCTGCTTCATAAGCCTCACTGAGCCAAGTTGGCGAGGCTTGCTGCTGCTTGCATATCCCCTCTTCAGCCTAGTGTTGAGACAAGGGGTATACCATTTTCTTCTCACCTACAGTCACACGACCGCTTGGGTCACTGAAATTACCATATCGAGCATGCCGTCCTTCGAGCTGAACCATTCACGGATAGCACATTGTGTTGAGATCGGCTTCCCCGATAGGCCATGATTCGACCTTCTCGTCCGTTGTATTACTTGTCTTGTACTGTACATCCCAATTGGTATCGGAGAAACATGGCCGTCATTCCCTGCCTTCTCACTACTGCGCATCCACGCTGCATCTTTCGTACGGTCCGATTCGTTCTAGATCTCGACGGCGTTCTTCAACAAAAACCAGAGTTACTTTGAGATTGCTTTATGGTGTACAGCAATCAGACTTGCCATACGTGCGTCTTGCTGAGGCTGAAGCGCGCGATAATGAGGGGTATCAATTTTGGTTATATGAGGCAAGTATAAGTTCTCTACAGGAAGACAGGAGTTTCTCTACCTCTTATTGATTCCAAACTCCATTCACCTGTTTTTATCTGCCCAATGTCGTCTCCTGTCCAAGTCAGTACGGGGATCTGGACCGACTGGTCTCTCGGCCAAGTCCAGGGACTTACTGTCACGCTTCGCTCGCAAGATGCAGCATTGCTCACCGCCTTCATCGCCATCTACATTCAAATCGCCAGTTCAGGAAGCTGGAAAATCGTTCAATTTATCATCCATCAAATCAGAGCTAGCAAACAAAACGATGATGAAGATGCTTTGTTTCATCAGCAGCAAATCATACTTCGCAATTCTTCATCACCACTCTCGGCATTGACCGATCTGCTGAGTATGGCGTGGGCATGGCGGCGCTTCGCAGCCTCGTTTAAGAGGTCTATCGTTTTGGTGCTGTTGGCCTCCGTCCACTTCGCTGCGTTCGCAATCGCATCATTGTATTCATCCCGCATCTCTTCTCTCTCAAGCCAGCATATGTTGGTAGAAAGTTCGAACTGTGGTACGTGGAGTTTTTCAGGAGACTTCCAGGATGAAGACGTACAGAGCCGAATTATCAACGAGACAATCACCGCAGCCGCTTATGCTCGAGGATGTTACAGCAGTAATCGGACTGATGGCCAGTGTGGAGGGTACGTCAACTCGAGACTACCTTGGACAGCACACAGTAACGCTGCATGCCCCTTCCCAACCGGGCGGTGCAGAGGTGATACGGGCGCTTACAGCATGGACACTGGACCTCTGGAATCATTCCGGGCTTTGGGCATTAATTCAAAGCCCTCAGATCGAGTGACTTATAGAAAGGTCACAACATGTTCTCCAATACATGTTGATTCCTTTGAGAAACTCGAACAGACATCAAGTCCCAACGGAACTCTCCCGGTTGACAGGCTGTATCTGGGACCATCAGCGTTCGGCCTTCTCGAGTACACCTATCAGTACGCCGTGGAGTCTGTCCGTGATGGGATTGGTTATGGGTTGAAGTTAGTGCTTTCAACATCTATTTGTTCATCAATCAAGGCTAACGAATTCGTAGTACCTTCTTGTCAAATCCTCTTGTGAAAGGTGCATGGCAACCTGTGGACGACTTGGATCGCGCTGATGCCGACACTTCGATCTTTTTCCTGAATCAGAACAGTATCAGATACAACACACCGGTCTTTGATCCTATGTTCGAGACAGGACCCGTCGAGGATGCTGCTGGAGGAGACCAAAACGTTGGCTACTATTATACTACCGTCCTCAGTTGTATCGACCAGCATCAGTTCTGTAGCCCGTCTATACAAGGCAGTCAAGGCGCAGCAAAGACCTGCACGCCGCTTACAAATTACGTCGATGCCATCTCGAATCTTTCGACGCTATCTTTAACCGAAAAGCAGGCGGCAGCTTCTAGTCGAATTACGAGGGTACTGAAGTACCTGGATATGCACTATGCAGTATATGGTCGAGGAGCATCCGCTTTGAGAGCAAACGAGCTCGTGAGGCATGGTGACCAAGCATTGGGCGGTGCAACTTTGATCACTTCGCCGTCTTTGCCTGCAAATCATTGGCAAACCGAAGTGGATCTTTGGTTCGGCGTCACCATGGCTAGGCTACAGCAGGCAGTTATTGACTACGCTACTGGACCTTCCGATCTTGGCTCAGATGGGACCGTCATTCCTCCAACTCCTGGTGCGGACCAAGCGCTATGCCATGAGCAAAGAGTGCCTAAGAAAAGCGGATATCAGAACTTCAGCATCCTGGCGATATCGATCGTGGTGTTTGCGTGCACATTGTTGATCGCACTTGGTTTTGCTGTACCGGCACTGTGTGCGCGCTTGCAAAAAGCCCGCAACGAAGGAAGCCGACCCAGGCTTGCATGGATTCTGGACTACACCTTGCAACTCCATCGCATGGCACAAGAAGGACGTGGTTGGGGTGATGGTATCTGGAAGAGTTGCGGCGAAACCGTACCTATCTTGACAGAAAAGCCTCTGGGCAAGTACGTATTGTGTTCGCATGAAAGGATCGAGGCAGCGCCAACACCAGACGATTCTGACTCCAACAGAGAGGTGGTAACTCCAAAAATGCGTTAGGGGCAGGCAACATATTTTTGGCGGTTTTCAGAAGAGATTATTGAACTCATGTCTTTTACTCTTGCGACAGTCGTCGTTCATTCCCAGTGTGCTGTTCATGACTCTCGAACCCTCGATACCCTCCGCAGTCTCCCATACCGATCTCTGGTATCGACTTTGTTGACTCTCAAAGCCAGGAAGCAGATTGAGAATGCAGTGAAGATAAGTACATTCCAGTGCCAACCGCCTTTCATGTAATAAATGAATGGTCCGCCAAGAATGGCGGTGAGGAGTGTGAGCATATCGACAGTGTACACTACATTTCTTGCTGGGGTAACAAACAACACTGGCCCTGCGAAGTCCATCCTAGAAGATCTCGGTGAAGTGTAATAAAGATGGGCTACTCAAGGTCGGATGGTGGGCTGTCCCCGTGTCGAGGACGAGACGCGGAGCTGTTTTGCCAAGGCGGCACTCGCCGAACAGCAATGCCTTCGTCTTCCGCCAGATAGAAACCTCGACCATCTTTCTTCACGTTTCACCAAGGCTTGGAAAGATTTGTACCGACAATTTGCAACTGTGCTTGTCTCTGAAATGGAACAATTTTTCCTGGCCGTCATTCGCCGTCGACATGCCGTGATGCCGACAATGTTCTACAATTCTTCCACCGTTCCTTCGACCCTTGAGCTATCCAGTTCCGGTATACCGACTCCTTCCACTGAAACACCCGAGACCTGGCACATATTCACGTGTAGAATCAGCGGGCACACGTGTAAACTGTGCGTCATCAAGACAAATCAACAGCACTTTCCAACACAAATGCTGTGCGTTCAAGGAAAACGGGTGTAGAAGTACCTTGTACCTATAACGGTAGCTCTGTCTCAAAGGATAGGTCAACGCTATAGGGCTGAAGGTTTCGTAGCCGCTGCTCCGGAACCTCTCAAGTCGCTGTCTCACACCGTTCCCCTCAACTTCCCTTCGTTTTTGAGTTTCTCTTCTCCCTCGGACGTCTCACACTGTCGCTGTTTACCTGAGATTACCGTGGAAAACCTGTGCAAATGCCAAGTCCTTGATGAAATAGACAGATTATTGATCATTTGAGTGCACACTCCAGAACCTTATGCAGATTTCTCATCTGCATCATCACCATCACTGAGCTCATTCAACACTATCAAAACAACATGGACGAAGCATATATAAGAGGGAGAGCGTCGCTCCTCTCAAGGTAGTACTCAAGTCAATACAAAATCATCTCAGAGCTGCTATCACTTACAACAGAACAGCGTTCCAATCCGTAATCAAATCACCATGATCATCAAACCTCTCTTGTCACTGGTCGGCCTCACCGCACCCTCCAAGAACATATGGGCGAACACAACGAATGTGTAAGCAAACTCTACAGGATCGGGTCATATAGAGCACAGCTAATATTGCGTTTAGCATTGCATTCGGAGACTCTTACTCATATGTTCTGGGCACATCGGGACGTCAGAACTACAGTTTCATTGGAGATTATCAAAACCTCGGATTTTCAAGCCAAACACTTTTGAACAACAAGATTGTCCAAAGTCAAACCAGCACAGCGGAAGGTGGTCCGAACTGGCTTGAGCACCTCACAGGCTGTGGAGTCAATGCTGGCACCACCTCACCCTTGGACTGCAACATTCAGCTTTGGGACTTCGCATTCGCTGGGGCGGATATTGGAACACAGTACACTCCTCGACACAAGTACTTCACAGTTCCGCTTGTGAACCAAACTCAACAGTTCCTTACATACGCCCAACCAGCTCTTGCCAACATCACTACTCCTGAATCTACCTTGGCTTCTTTCTGGATCGGCACAAACGACATCTTCGACACTGCCACCTCCACCGTCCCTTTCAAGACCGTCTACACGAACATGATCGCTACTCTCTTCGCCTCGATGCAAACCATCCACGACGCTGGCTACCGCAACTTCCTCGTCATGAACCTAGCTCCTCTCGACAAGACTCCCAAGAACGTCCTCAAGCGCCGCCCACTACCAAACACCAACATGGTTAACCAATTCAACTCCATCCTTGCCAACCAGGCCGCCGCTTTCCAGAAGAAGAACGCAGACTCCAATGTTGCCCTTTTCGACACCAACACCTTCCTCAACGGTGTCCTGAAGAATCCCGGACAGTATGGTATCAAGAACACTACCGGGTTTTGCGCAGCTTGGAACCAGCCTAATGTTGTCGCCAACGCTGGACAATATGGTTGTCAGCCCATGGATGAGTACTTCTGGTTCAACACTGCGCATTTGACCACGCATGTTCATGAGATCTTGGCGACAGAGGTGCAGAAGTTCTTGAGTGGAAGCTCATGAAATATGAAAATGTTTTGATTTCTGGCGCAAGGGTATAGACATAGACTTGAATGGCATGATAGAAGGATGATTTTCTGGTTTGTGTAGCGAAAGGTGTTGGTTGTTTGTATATATTGTTTAAAATCAACCACATTTTCACGTACGGCCACAGTCAGCTGAAAACTGGGCATCCCGTCCGCTCTGCCATACATAAGCAGTTGAATGGCAGATTAGTACTACGGTGGGTGACCACGTGGGAATCCCTGCTGCTGTACATTTTGTTTTGTCCATGCTGCTTTATCAATTTTCGCTATCGTTTCCATGTCGTCCATCCTGATTGTTTTGCGCCGTGATGTTTGATCCGGTGGTTTCAGGTACCCGATCATGCATGCAGTGCCCCTCCCTCATCTCCCTCTCCAGTATCTCTGCCACCTCTTTGCACCCTCTTCCCATCAAACCCTCTTAGATAACTTGTTTCTTAAAATCACTACCGGTAAAATTACTTCCCTCACAATTCATGGACCGCAACGAAATCTGTGATATCGAGGACCGCGTGGCACGTTGGTTATGGGTCGTCAAATACACCGAGATTCGAAGAACGAAACTCTGCAAGTGGGTGTCTAATTTTCACACTGAACAGCTGGAATGTCGAATCGATGGTCCTGACGCAAGCTTCGACAAACGCGGATCCTATAACATCGTCTGCAAGGTAATTTTTGACAAGACGGGCGAGGTTTGGGCGGTGCGTTTTCCCCAACTCGGCAAGGGGCTGATCTCCGATGAGAAAGTTATGTCTGAAGTTGCAGCGATTGAGACTGTTCGCAAACATACTGATATTCCCATGCCTGAGATCATAAGATGGGGATTATCAGAAGACAACGACCTTGGGCTTGGACCCTTCATCATCAGCACTTGGGTAGATGGCATCAGCCTGGGAGACGTCCTCGCCCTGCCTGATAACGATAGAATGCTACGAGGCGATCTCTCTGATACTACTATCGAACATGTTTGGCGGCAGATTGCTCACTTCATGTTCCAATTGTCCTGTATAGATTTCGACCACATCGGGAGCTGTTCAGCGATACCACAACGCCCACTGACTATCAAGTCAAACCACATATTGGAGTCAGGTGGCGTGGACATCTCTTGTACGTCTTATAGCTTACACACCCGATAGCATCGCTAACGCATACTTTGTTTTAGGTCCTGCTAGCACGACTTTCACTTCCTCCATTGACTATTTCAAACACATCGCTGACCACGATCTACGGCAACTACACGAGCAACTAAACTCTGTCGATGATGAAGAAGACGCAAGACGGAAATACATCAACTGGACTGTCTTCCGCCGACTCATTCCTCGGTTCGTCCATCTTGACAACGGTCCTTTCAAACTCATCTGCGACGATTTCGGTCCGTTCAACATGATGGTGGACAACGCCGAAGATCTCAACATCGTTGCAGTTCTAGATTGGGAGTGGTCGTATGCTGGTCCGCAAGAGCTCTTTTGGTCACCACCTCTGTGGCTGCTCGGGCAACCTCCAGCTTCATGGGAAGATGGCCACGATGATTCACGCTTGTCGAGGTATAACAAATATCTGGATATTTGGATCAGAGTAATTCAAGAGGAAGAGCAAAAGGTGCTGGACATTAGCACCGGCGACGACCATGACAAGGAGCTGCCTTCTGTTCTACTCCGGAAGCAACGACAAGACGGTTCAATGTGGTTTTATCACATCATGCAAGAAGCCTTTAATGGGCCAAATTCTATACCATTCAGTCGTCTACGAGAAGCTGTTCCTGACTTTGAGGAGTTAACTGTTGCGGTCTCCAAGGAAGATACAGAGGCTTTTGTCAAGATGAAGATGGAGCATAAAGACCGTTACGAGAAGGATCTGGCTGAGATCAAGGAACGATATCGTGGTGTGCCATACATGCAAGGATAAATTGCGACGGACTAAATTCGCTCGCACTACCATCTCCACTCTACCCTTCGAGAATTCGCAGATTGCATTTCCATTCTTGGAATATTCCATCCGAGTCTCGGAGGAAAGCAGTCTTGAAGTTAAATTCGTTGTCATCCTTGGGTGTTGGGTGCATTGACAAAGACGCTACAACCTCCCCGTGTGCTAAACTCTGTCACTCTAGCCATCTCCTGCTGCCACGCCTAGAGTCGTCTGGCCTGTAAAAATGCACAATGTTTTTCAGATCGGTATAGGCGTCCGCAGAGAGGCTCCAACTATCACGCTCTCAGTGGAAGCTACCCTTGACAATGCTAAAATTGTGCTGTTCTATAGTTGTACGCGTGACAAAGTTTAGCACACGGGGGGGAAATCAGGAAGCTGCAAGGGAGCGCCAAATGCACCCAGCTTCCTCGGAATGCGGCAAGGAAAACCACTGTACCCGAAGATCAAGACGTAACTACGTAGCTTGTTCTTTCTATTCCGATCTTCAAACTCTCAACTCAACAGCCATGTCCAAGAGAAGCTTCAGCCCATTCAAAGAGCCTGCTCGTGGCTCTCGACCGCTCGTTCAAGAGGATGCACTGCTAGACTCTGCCTCAGCGGCGAGGAAAGGTACCATGTCCTTCTGTTCCATCACCAGCAACAGGCACTAACCGTCATCCAAACAGCCTTCCAAGACCGAGACCAGCATGTTGCAACCCTTCAAGACGAATTCGAAGCGCTATCAATGACCAACTACCAATATGTTCAGACCCTCGAAGACCGCGACAAGACAATCACTAGTCTACAACAACAACTCCAAGATCACGAGATCGTGGCCAAACAGCTGGCAGATCGGTTGGAAGATATCAAGCAACACGATATCCGACACAAACAAGACCATAAAACAATCGTCGTGCTAGAAGCCGGGCTCGAGAACCTCCGAGCGAAATACGAAAAGGTGTTGGAGAAGGACCACATACTAAAACAAAGGCTTGAGAAGAGCGAGGACGCGGTTGCAGAGACCGAGGTTGATAAAGAGCAAGTCGCTAAATGGAGGAGTGAGTGCGATGCCGCACGCAAATACGTCAAAGAGAACAAAGAGTTCAAGACCGTCAATACAGAGCTCCGAGCTCTACTTGATGCTGCAACGGCTGAACAGTCTGAAGATAAGAAACAGCTGAGGATTGTTGAGCTCGTGCGAATCAAGCAAATGTATGAAAGGGAGGTCAAGGAGCTCCGATCGACTGTTGAATTTACGCGGGCCGCTACCACTCAATCCTCACAGCATGAGGCAACAGAGAAGATCGTAAATCTAGAAGCCCAACTACGTACCGCACAAGATGATGCAAGAACCAAAATAGCAGAGCTGGAAGCCCGACACCATGCTGAGCAGGACGAGATAACAAAACATGCAGCAGAGCTTGAGGCTCGACTCGAAACTGCACACAACGAAACGGAGAAAAGAATAGTAGACTTGGAAGCCCAGCTCAGCATCTGCCGAAACTTACCAAGGACGACCGACCAAGACGCGACGGGGAAGAACGAGGCTCTCAAGAAATCACTGGCGACTGTGAAAAGCTACTTTTCCAGTCATCACACTGAGGACGAGAGTTCGCAAGAGATCATAGAGCTTACCCGAGTGAACCAAGTGAATGAAAAAGAAATTCAAGCTCTCAAATCGACCGTCAGGAAACTTCAGGAAGGCGCGACGGAGCACAATGAACCAACAAAGTGGATGCCGGAACCAGTAGCGGATATCGTCCTGAAACTTGAGCAAAACCTCAAGCGCATTGAACAGTGGAGCAGGAAGCACGCAACTGACAGTGTCTTGAACAAAGGGCTGGTCAAGACGCTCTTAACTTCTGAGAATCCAATGTCGACGCTGTTGATTGGCAGGTCGATGGCAGAAACCGCCTCTTCAGGAGCAGCGCATGATATTGACACATGGGTATTCGTTTCGATGGCCATCTCTGCAGTCGCTTTGCACTGCATCATTGGCGATCCTTTCTTCGCCTTCCACGGCGATGAAAATGATACAAGCATGTTTTCCGCTATCAATGCCGTAGGCATTGCTTACGTTATCCAGGAGATTGGATTCGGTAAGTGACTTGGAAGCGAGTGTGACACTCCAGCTGATCATTTCAGGCGACAAGGAAGGCTCGAATGCATGGCGCTGCCAGCTCTTTCGTCTAATCGAAGCAAGCACAACACACGAGACCGGTAATCTGAAGTATCAAGCAGCGAAAACGGGATGTGAAGTTTCAGCACGACTGGCGAAACACTGTATCCTTGACATGGTCGACTTTCTCAACCCATCAACGGAAGCTGTAGCAGAGCTGGCGAATATCTTTCAAGCGTATGCCGATATAGCTTGGAGCTTGTGGGCTCAAAAGTGGCACATTGATGTTCTCAGACCAGCAGCTCTGAACAGTAAATTACAGACGCAACGACTGGAGTACCGGTCCGATTCACCCTATATGGATGCGCACTCCTTGCACTTCCATGTCCTGGAGAATGACGAAAAGGCTCTGGACGGCAAGGAAGTCCTGCAAGTGATAAGTCCGGCAGTGATCGTGACGGGGACGGCAGATGGGAGTGATTACACCCGGGAGACAGTCTGGGCAAAGGCTGTGGTGTGGATGGGTTAAGAAGATAGGATCATGCTTCACGCCTCGTTCGTGTGTTGTTGACTGCCAACTAGGTGGGCCCATTGCGTCCAGGTTCGTCCAAGAGCAAAGGCGTTATCGTCGCTGGTAGCTTCCTCTCAAACGAAAGCCAGACATAGTTCAAGTATAGAAATTGACATGTCCCATGAACATCCCACCCAGAGGTCGCAAGCTGATTGACTGACAGAACACTACCTTGTAGGCAAGGGAGAAGGTGGTTCAACATATCATTCTCGCAGGCCTGTTGACCCAACATGCGGAGCTCCTCGCCGTCGCCGGGATGTTGCCAATTTGACAGGTAGTATTTCCCATTTAGGCAGTTGCTATGGTTTTCATGCATATGCGAGGCGGAGTGGCTTGAGAAGTGCCGCGCGGAGGCGGTCCGGCACTTAAAACGACAGCTCGTTCTGCATGTCTGAAGTTTCGTGCTGCATCAGCGTTCGGGTCACACGAACCGAGCAAGATATTCCGTGTGTTTGGCGTGTGGCGTCCGCTGCGTTGAGTTTATTGAATGAAGGAGAGTCGATGCAATGTCTGCACAAACATAACCGTCAACGCTTCATAGTGGACCAATGTTCCATTCTGTTATCAGCGCCGAAAGTGTTGCCCAAATCCCGGAGTGTATCTTATCTACTCAACATCTGTGAGTGACATTCGTGATATGCACACGCATTTGTTATTGCGCCTGTGGGCGTCCGATAGTGGGATTAGTCATCAAACCAGATCCGGTTGCTGTACATTCGGATCGTTTCAACATCGACAGAGCGGTGTGTCTCTGGTAGCGCGCCATTGTGACGACGAAATGCGAATGGCCGAATAGACGCGATAGTCGCATTGGCGGAAAAGTAGGTAAGCGCGATGTATCGTGATTGCCGCGTTTGTTGTTGGGAGTCCGAGTGGTCTTGACGGGAGGACGACAAGCATATATACTCACACATGAGAACATTTTCACATATCTATAGCAGGCGATGATGCGTTGTTGTTGAAGTAGAGTTTGCTTCTCGAAGCCCGCGAGATGTCCACGGTGCGAACCGGCGCTGTCTTGCCAAGAACATGGGAGAATTGCTGCGCAGAAAATCTGCACGATGCACGCCTTGTGTAACATCTCTGTTGTCAAGAGCCACCTGGCTGTCAAGAAGTGGCGACTGGAGGTATGACTCTGTGGACACGACACTGTGGGCTAGCTTTAGCGCATCGCAGGGCGAAAATGATCCGACCCTTCATCTGTCGAGCTGGCATCTCCTGTTCCCGTCAAAATCGGTAATATCTTGCGAGATGCATCTTGCATTCGTATCGAGATCCATCTAGCCCGCTGCCCAGGTTCGGTTGAGATTCTGATAGTGTTGAAGACCAGGTCGTTTGGGCGCATGTACCGCAACAGCTACTTTCACGACAGATTGGTGACGGTGAGCACCTGCGGAGCAGGTACCTATGCGGACGCGTCATGACATGGAGAAATTCAGATTGCATACAGAAAGCACGAACCGATCGAGTGCCTGCCTGGCAGTGGAGCAAAACGACAATCCCGCGACATGGCGCGATGGTGCAAAAGGCTGCCGGCACCGGGGCTGTCGGATCGTGCCCTACTTCTTGACTGCATGCAACTGTATTCGAACTCAAAAGGATGACCAGCCCATGGCTTGCCAATGGATAGGCATCTTTGGACGTGCTTGTAAAAGGCCAAGTCTCTAAGTATCGGAAGATAAAATAGACAACCGAAACAAGGTAGCAGATGCTGAGGGGTGGCCGTCACACGATGAGCTAGTCCCCTGGATGTCAGGTACTGTGGCAGCCCATGCCCGGTAGACGTATTTGATAAGGATTCCCCGGCTGGATGATGAGAGGAGCCACTGCTGTTGGAGATGTGCAGTACAAAGGGTTGCACGACAGACTTTGACTTGCAAAGCCTTCCCGCATATGTCACCGCACTCCATGACAGCTAGTTGGTCCTACCACCTCAGTAGCCGACCGTCGCAGCCTCTGAGTTATACCTGGAAATATTCAACAGTGCCACGTCTGTGTATGTCTGCCTTGTGCTCTTGTATAAAAGGTTACGCCAGCGCATGGCCTGTCCAGGCTATCCTCGACCATTCCTTCCATGGGCTGACTCAAGTTGGCATTTCTCGAGGAAGGAAAATCAACAAGGCTTTGCTACAGTTACTTTGAAGCAAGGAAGCTGATGTTATTGCATATTTGACGTGTACTCGAACGGTGTGAAAGCGAACAAGGAAATAGTGATCGACTCCAGGACACTGGAATGGATAAACGCCCTGATGCAGACCAATCTAATATACAATATGCTGAGCCTCGAATGTCCCATCCGTAAATCGTAAATCTCAGATATCATCCACTCCCGTATGTCGCCAAGTGATCACTCTATATGTCCTGGACGATGTCATGCATCTGCCGCATTCTGACGATGACACTGCTCTAAGACGCTCAAAGACCTAGAGCCTTCTGATCCATTCCCCGGTCTCATTAGCCGCATGACCCATGGGTGAAGGTGATACCGACCAGTCAAGATACGGTTGAAGGGTACCATACGGCGCCAGAAGGTCGCGATTCTCGTCGATCTTGTTGTCCAAAGGACATGCATTCGAGATGTCGAACATCTCTGCCGTGTTCCCGAAGTAGGATGATGTGTTGGACGTGGGCATATTCTGCGGAAGTCTTTGTTGTGCTGAGGATGCTTCGACTTGAGTAGTCGGAGTCTGGCGTAGTTGATGCGGTCGACGAAGATTACGCTGGCGAGCCATGTCTGAGGAAGGAGAAAGACCGTTCAGGGGTGAAGCGGCCAACTGCTGGCGACGAACAGATCGGCGAGTTGCCTGGCCGCCCTTGGCGCCTGCCTGAACGCGAATGGGTGCGGGATTGGGGTTTCGTTGCGTCTTACGCTTGCTGTCTTTACGGTAACGTGTCGTTGAACTAATGCCGTGTTCGACTGCATGTTGGGTAAGTCGCCAGTAGCTTGTCTTTTTGGTGCCTGCTTCTTGGTTGGGAGGTGGCACTCTTTCGAAAGCCTGCATCTCGTTAGTGAGGGCCCACTGAAAGACATTTCAAAAATTACGAACCGCATTCATAGACAAGTTATGGCGAACACTGTTCTGCCATCCCTTATTGCTGGGGTCTTGAGCCTTCGAACTATGAGTGCGGACCCACTCGTACAGGTCCTTGAGAAGCATTGTGTGATCATCTTTCTTCTCCATAAGGGCCTGTCTGAGTAGCTCTGCATAGCAAGGATCTGAGTTCTCGAGGCTGTCGTCAAGATCGCCCGGAGCAACCAAGCTCTCCATTTCGTCAGGCATAGGTGAATCAGTCCACTGCCTGCGACCATAAGCAGTCTCATCCGATGTGCTATCGTATTCCAAAGCAGGGACGTCTGAGATGGGAAGGATCTGGTTGCTGCTAGGATAGAAAGAGTTCGGGCTGGTACTACCAAAAGCTGCCAGATCGTTGCTTGAGAACTGGTCGATAGGTAGAGGTTCCTTACTGAAAGCAGCCGGTGGTAGTGATGCCGACGGTATACATTGAGTCGTGAAGTCTTCTTGCATGGGTTGATGAGGGAGCATCGCGAAGGACATGGATGGTTCTGTAAACTGAGCCACATCACTCATCCAGTAGTTGGGCATGACTTGGGTGCTCTGGTACACATCGTTGACTTGAGCCGAGGTGTAGAATCCAGCTTCGCCATTTATACCTTGCTGCAGTGGAGGATACTCGGAAGCACTGATACTGTCAGATCGATAGTGTTGGGTGATTGACAGTCGGTTGATGCCATCAACAGGTTGATTCCACCAATCCGACTGAGAAGTGTAGGGAACAGCATAGGAAGACATTCTGCGTGGTTGTTGTTCAGAGGTTGATGCTGCAAGCGCAGAGATAAAGATGCGACAGTCTCGCAACGAAGTGAGTCAATCGTGAGCTTTGATCTGGAGGATGAGAAGTGAATATAAATTGATCTAAGACATGTATCAAGAAGGATTGGAGGACCCTTTTATGCAACGTGACAAAGGCTTGGAATTGCACGAGGTTGGAGCTCCTACTAGCCAGTTATCACGATGTGACCAGTCAACGAAGAGATGAGTTCTTGCATCCAGTGATCAGACCGGTATTGAAAGAGAGATCCCGTCGAGCGTTCAGCACAATGCATGCTATTTCCAATACGCTCCTCCAAGCTGGCCTGAAATAATCATCAAAGAGTGGTCAGTCGCATGACAAAAAGCATCAGAGGGCTCATGTTAATCGTGCCACAATGGACAGCGGATATATCCCAGCAGGGGGTACAAAGAAGGCTTGGACACTATGAAGCTTGAGCATCCCGTGAGAGCGCAGCCCCATGGCACACTTGGTAGCCCTGGCGAGGTTCAATCACCAAGACGTGGAGAGGGTAACGCCCGAATGTTCCGGAAGGCATATCCGTTGTGCTGTGTGACGCATGCAATGCAGGTGAGCGGCTGCCAGGCACGACACACACACGCACTGTTCATCAGCACGAAGTTTAACCGGTCTCTATAGAATGACAGCATGCTCTTGAGGCAGACGGGATTAACCACCTGAGAGACATTGTTGCATGACATTGTACGCAATTAGGTTCACTTGCCTATCAAACAGAATCTAAGGCCGGCATTCATTGACATGAAGATTTGAAGATCTGTTTGATGTCAGATAATGATTTTGGGGGGAACGCAAACTCTACGCTACCAGATGTCTTCTGAAAGGATTTCATCATCCCAGATCGGCATAGAAATACCACAGTGCACTTGCTAACCACTGATTGGCTCCATGAGCACGGGCGAGCCCTTGTCAAAGCGGCATTGGGTCTACAACGAAAGCATGCTGAGGTGCCGGGTACAGACATGCATGAAGCCGAGCCCTGCAGCAAAGGCGTTGATGATACACATGTTTCGGACCAACGAGTGTTTCTGAATATGCATGATTTGGAATTGACATGCAACGAAACGTGATGTCGTAGTTGGCTGTCGTGCTCGCTCCTGGGCAGCAGTTGACGAGCTGTCGTATGCTGGTATGAAGCGCATATGTGGCGAAGCAATGCTGGCAAAGCTCTATTTTCTGTAGTAGATCTTTTTGAATTGGAAGTGCAATTGAAGAATGCCCTGAGGTAACATGTCAGAAAAGCTTGGACTAATTTGCATTATGATCTGCAGGAGATCGAGCTACAGCGTTGCAGCAACACGCAGGTGCGGGAAAACACTGCGTTCTCTTTCAACCTCGTCAAAGCGCACTCCAAACATGCAGTGCACTCTGCCCTTCCGTTCTCGAAGTTGCAAAAGCACTCGTCCAGAGCAGGTTTTGAGAACAGAACAATTCGCCTTTTACGCTTGGGGAAGGGAGAAAAAAGAACAATGCGACGTACCTTGTCGAAGCTGCTTCTGAAGCCACGCTCTCTCTTCGCGCTGTAATCCCACTCTTTGTCTACGATGCGGAAAGCGATGTCTTCGTATGGAGGGCCAGCAATGAAGCGAATGAGGCAAGTATCCTCAGCTCCAGCGGGTGCGAAAGATTCGCCTCGTTTGCGACCATTTTCGCGCTCTATGCGGAAAGTTGGTGCTTTTGTCGAGTCGACCAGATCGGGGTAGAAGATGTTGAATTTGTAGCCTTGCACAACCTTGGGAGGCAAGTTTTCGTGGTCGTAGTGAGTCTGATTGTATTTGTTCCACTCGTAGCCCATCTGGACTCTGTTGAAGTAGCGAGGCTTCCTCGGCCGGTATGTGTCAGCCCATTTGGGTCTTCCAGATGAGACGTCCTCTTCGGCATTGAAAGCCTCTTCGTTATCGTTGAAGCCCCTTGCGGCCTCTCGATCATAAAGCGCGCTGGTGACACGGGACATGTCATCACGCTTCTGCTCAGAAGGCACAGCAATATCGGTACTCGATGTTTTGGCGCCATGACGAGTCGGAATGTAGCCGAGCTTGAGGATTCTGCGTCTGTCCTGAAGCTATCACAGGGTTAGCACACTACTACCATGATATTGAAGCGAAGCGATGGCGTACCAATTTCTGCTTGAAGTCGTCCTCGTCCAGTGAGACCAAGGCCTTGTCTTCAGGGTTCAAGCGCAGTAATGGCTCCGGATCCAGTGCGGCGTGTGACTCTGGAACTGGAAGCTGTTCTCCAGTACCAGTCAGAGAGGCAGAATTCAGCTTCTCTCTGACTTGATTGCGCAAAACCAGGGCTTCTTGTTCCTGTTGCTGTCGCAAGGTCTCCAGACGGGCACCCACGACAGACTTGGACACTTGGCGTAGCCTGGCCTTGGCCTTGTAGATTGACAGACTCTTGAGCAGGTTCTCCCAATAGTCAACATCGATGTCATCATTGGACCTCAATTTGGCCTTGACCTGCTTTTCCAGAGTCTCTAGTTGTTCGTGCGTCTTTGGAGCGAGTAGGCGATCGATTTCCGGTGTGACCGAAGACATGCCGCGTGCGGTTTGGAGCTTCCCGGGAGCAGCGCGCCGTCTGTCTTTGCAGATGACCTTCATTGTCTACCAAGGATGGTCAGTTGAGTGTCAAGGCGATTGCATGGATGAGCGAACGTACATTCCAGAAGTCGCGGTTACTCCTGCTCTGCTCGAGGGCCAGATATGTGTCGATGCCTTTGTCCAGCTCCTCCAGTTGAATGTCGTCAAGGCCCTCGAAGACGGCTTCGGGGTCGACGGTGGGTAGTTCTTGGTCATCGTCGTCGCTGTCGTAGCCGTTCTTCGTGGCATCCAAGGCGCGTAGTGTGACTGCCAGCAGATCGATGGGGTCGGCTCTTCCAGCACGGGCTCTGATGATGGCCTTCTTCTTTGCCTGCTTGAGCACGAAGCGGTCTTCGTCAGCGACCCAAGCATCTTCTTGGGCATCGGCGGCGCTTCGTTTGGCTGGAATGCTGGACCTGGGCTGGCCGCCTCGTCGCATAGCCCCGGAGTCCATTGTTGTTCTCGGCGCTGTCGTCTATTTGCGCAGTTTCTTCCAAGCTCCCAAAAGTCCTTTCAATTATTGAACGATTCGAAATAAATCTTTTGGTAGCAAACAAGTCTCGGTCCATTCTAAAGTCCAAACTCCAGACTCGGCCATCTGACTGACGCGTGCCAAGGCTGAAGCTGTTGCCAGTGGCCAGCCCTTTTTCAGCTTCCCAGCCACCGAGTTTCACTTGGTTCGCGTTTCCATCTTGTCGCGATATCTGAGAGAGCTTCGTTCTCTGACTCCCCTCATGATTCACGCACTTCAACATGGGCACCGAGGGACGCTGGGAGCTACTCAATCTCAACCATGAGGGGCTGCCCAAGCTTCTCGTCAAATATGTTATCGGCGACACAGGCTACACAGTATCCATTACAGATCTTGCAAACATATGGATTGAGAGTCTCTCCAATTTTGAAATCACTCGCAATGCCGAGACCCAGAGTTGCAGCATCAGTCCAGGTGATGACGCCGGTCAATTGCAAATATTACTGAAGCAAATCCGTGATATTCTCAGTCACAAGGACGGCAGTGTTCGCATAGCCTTGCAGCCTCCTGATGATCTCACTCTTGCACTGAAAGCACCGCTACCCTTTCCGTTGCCTCCATTCGAATGGACAATGGTCCTGACAAAGGCTACTTCTACCCAGGTTGTGTCTGAAGTCATATCACCACTTCTTCTCCTGGCACACCAGCAACAGCAGCAGCTCAATTTTCTGCTTGGCGAACTTCGACACAAAGATCACGCCATGTCGAGGCTTCTTGACAAGATGGAGGCTACGAACACTGATCTTGGTTCCGTCTTTCCTGGTGTCTCGGCAGGCAGGAACTCTCAGAGATCGTTGAAAAGAAATCACGTTGCAACCCGCGTACCAGGTCTTGCTCCTTTTCAGCCCGGCTCAGAGCTGCAGCACAGTGGAGGGACACCATCTAGTGACAGTTTGTATTCTGTGCTTCGCGATGCGTCTGCAGATGTGGCCCCGATCCTGACCGAGCCGTCTTCTGGCCAATGGTGGCAGGACATGGCAAAGCAGCAAGCGAGCATAGCAGTCAATGTGCCTATGCCTACAGATATGGATGATGACGAGACAGACGATGATTTGGACGGCTTTCAGGTAAGAAATTCTGAGTCTTTCCAGAGCTTGACTGACCATGTGGCCAGACGCAGACGATTCCAGAGCAAATACAAAGACAGATGCCTGCTGATATATCGTCCCCAGTTCGTTCATCCCGACGCAAACGAATGATTGCCTCTGCTCATGACGAGAGCACTGACGATGGACGAGTCACTTCGTCGCCTCCCCCCATCCCTGGTAATCGCCGCCTTGGCCAGACAGAGACCCCCGCGCCTGATAGCCCGAGTAAGCGATCAAACACTCAGACGAGACGTATAGGAGCTATCGGAGGTAGATCCAGCTCTCAGGCTCTGCCACCATCTTTGCCGCCTTCGTCACCACCCAAGCCGCCTAATGAGGATGATGCCGACCGAGGCTTACGATCAAGAGTGTCGCCAACTCCATCCTCGATGCTACCTCCTCCAAGTCAAATGACTCCTTCGCGAAGACGTAGACTTGGTGGCATCGGACGTGGAAGCTCTCAGATGCAGCCGTCCCAGCCATCACTCAACAGATGGTCTTCCCAAGCTCAAGTCTTGCCTTCTTTGGAGGAGGAACAGCATCGCGACAACGAACTCAATATTGGCCTTGACTCTATATCTCGTGAGAACGGCGAGGGTAAAGCTGAGGTCCGACAAACCCGGGCTACAAAGCGGAAAGCGAGCGAGGAAAGAGAACCTAGTCCACGGGAGACATCGGCGGAGAGGGCGGACAGGAAAAGAAATGAGTTGAAGCAGAATTTGAATGAGAAACCAAAGGCACCAGCAAAAAGGAAAAGGCGGTTTTAGGCTAAGTAACGAATTCACTACTGCGATGTCTATGAAAAGGCTTCCCTCTCACAAAGTACTGGATGATGAGTATGAACAGGTAAGGTACCTTGAACACAGGTAGAGCATCGAGAGTAGTTGTTCCGATCACTGCTGCTGTAGATGCAACTGATTCGAGACTGACAGATGTGCAATGCTTTGGCAATGGTAGAAGATTTCATTAAGCCCGAGGTACTCACCTCTTCTCGATGCGCATGACTTTGGTCGCCGGGGTATTGCGCGTTATTGCGATGGTTGAATGCGATCACTGCGACGACCTGAATGCCGAGGCCGTGAGTGTGATGGTTGATGTCCTCAACATTCGTCACTATTCCGTTTGTGCATTTCTGTTTGCATGCACTCACCCATCCCGCATCCATTCTACCGCGCATCACGCTGACACAATCGATAAACATTCAACAGCATTGAATGAGCGCATCCATTGTTAGCCAAGCTTGATTTGCAAACATGTGCCAGTATCAATACCATTATTATGGTCATTGTCAGCACCAAGAGTTTATTCTCGTCAAGTTTTGTGAGCGCGCAGCACCTCTAGCTCAACCCGAAGAGCAGCAAGAAGATATCAAAACAGAAGCCGCAACTGTCCAAGCGCCTCCCGCCGACGAAACATCTACCTCTTCAAGCGCAGCCAACTCCCAGACTCACTCACCAACCGACAATCTCGGTGTATCATTCAACAACCACCATCCATTGAGCAACATCTTAAAGATAGTAGATAGGTCAGTGAAACCATCAACCATCTGACTGGCGCCTCATATTGACATACTCCAGCAGTATGGCTCATCCTTCAGAGGCACCCAGGTTCGTGCTCTCTTTGGTACCCTGCCCGTTTCGAAAAGATTACTGACTTCCATCAAGCCAATTCAGCCAAGAACTCGACGACGAAGTAGACAGTGTCTACAACGAATTCATCACTGGCGGCAAGCCTACCGAATACTACACTAGTATCGGAGCACAACTGCAGGCAGTACTTGACGCCGTTCGTCGTCTCGAACAGCAATCCATTCCAGCCTCGGACTTTGACTCGGGCCGCTCTTCGGCAGCTACAAAACTTCAGCAGATTCACGAGCGAATCGATCGAACAACCTCTCAATCGTCCTTGGTGAGCGCCTCGAGCAGCCATCTGGTGCCTCTTGATGGCTTCCCTGCATTGTCCATTGCAGTCAACACTCGTAGCAGCGAGGTCCCATCACAATCATACGCCAAGGTTGTTAGAGACTCTCTTCCGGCTCAGCCTCAGCTGCAGCCCGTCCAGGCTCCTGTCGTTCAAGAAACTGTATCTCAGACTTCCTCGTCCGAGCTGGTCACTGTGTCTCGCCCTCCTTCTGACCCGGAAGACGAATGGTGTGTTGTCGACCGATCAGGCCGTGGCACTCGCCCTTCCAAATCCCCCAAGCACGCCACTGTCGACAAGCGGCCCACTGATCGACACGCACGCAAGTCACTCCCACAGGCATGGATGATGAACGATGACGCCCAGCCTGTACAGCCATTGTCTGAAGAAGCCCCCAAGACGGCTCACGTCGCTTCTCACAAGCCACTGCAACGCACTGCACGAGTCAAAGGTCCTCACACTCAGCTCGCCACTCATCAGGCGAACTCGCTCAAGTCCAAGCCGAGCAAGCCTACGCTGTCCAGAGCTACAGCAACTAAGACTCCAAGCTATGCCTCACCTACAAAGGCATCCAAGCATCGCACTACTGGACCTCCCGATTCCGTCAGATCTCCCTCTCCTTGCAAGTCCAGATCCATCCGCGTCGACGCATCTGTGGGTACCGCCATCTCGTCGTCAGAGCAGCAACCACCCTCCCGCCTCGGGGCTGCTTCCGCTCTCGACAATCATCGTAAAGTTCTGGCAACACATGGGAAACGTCCAGTCACTCCGGCGCCAGTCACCCCGGCACCATTCTTCGGCCTGGATGGAACATTCGAGTTTGATCAATCTCACGTCTTGCAGGCTTTCTCTGGCAATTCTGGAAAATCTACCCGTCGCCCTTCAAAGAAGGCCAAGCTTGATTTGAAGATCACCATCCCTGATCCATCAAAAAGCTTGTCTCGCCCGCTCAGTCCGTCTCGGATTCCTATCGCCGTTCCTTCAAGCATACAATCCATGGACACCGATCCCAATCCTTTCGATCCTAAGCTCGCACAAGCTGTCGGACCTGGCGACATTGATCAGACTGCCTCAAAGCCTATCGACAGAGCATCTATCCTCGATCCTATCAGGAGACGTTTGTCAGGTGCTTCTTCGAAGAGTCAATCCCAGTCCAGCGGCTCTGACACCGAGCTACAGCGAAGAGACTCTGCCGTCAAACGCTTGATGGAGGCCGCCACTATGGAAGAGTCCGAGGGTTCTGTTGGCTCTGATACGACCGTCGAGATTACTACGCAGTCGAAGACACAGCAACCACGCAGTACCGCTGTCCCTGCTCCAGTCGTCCCTCTGAAACCGGCCTCTGCCATGTTGTTCGATACCATCAAGCAGACTGCTGAGGCTCACGCTGCTCGACAAGGCCTTGGCGAGGTGAAGGCTGCCAAGACTGCTGCATCATCCAGCGAAGCACAGCAAGCAAAGAAGTTGCATGAGTTCCAGGCTGCCTGTCACTCTCGACAGATCTCCTGCTCTTCCTCTCCAGATAGAGATCCTGCAGTGCTGAAGTGTGGCCCTGTGAAGTGTCAAGCCCCAAAGAAGGCCGAGAAGCAGCCTAAGCCTGTCCCGATTGTCACCAGCCTTCGTGCTACTGCTGCTCACTTTGTTCCTACACCGGTCTCAGACACTTTCGCACTTCCAAAGGAACCTGAACGTCAGCCCTCGTTCGCATACCCTCTTCCTCTCGGACCTCCTGCTCTGCTTCCATCTGGTCTTGGGTTCGCGCCCACCATGTCTCTACCCACATGCCCGCAGCCCGTGTTTCCACTTACAATGACTGAGAAGCCCATCCAACAAAGCTTGCCTCAGCTTCGTGGACCCTTTGATGGTCGTCCGGACTGGATTCCTCAGGACGAGTGGCTCAGTTACCCTTACGAGACCCAAACAGCAATCATCAGAGAGCGAAAAGAGAGAGGCTCCAGCTCTTCTTCTTCCGCCGGTCTTTCTTCAGCCATCTTCTCCAACATGGCCACCGGTTCTTCGTTCTCCTCTCCAGCTCTCCTTGCTGACCCCATGGACTTGAACAGATCCTACTACGACTGGGTGAACAGATTCGGCAGGGCATCGCTCCAGGCGGTGCCTAGACCAGAGGATGAAGAACGCAGAGGCAAGGGCTGGGATGTCAAGTCTGCCGCTCCCGGATGGCGTTATGGATGGCGCGGTGGTGATGGTCGCGAGATCTCATTCCAGGGTGATGGTCCTGTGGCCGAAAGAAATCCCAACGCACCCGTCAATTTCAATGAGCACGAAGGCGGGCGCCATGGCAAGGATGCGGCTCGTTCTGCTAAGAAAGGTCAACAGCGTGGTGGATACAGCTCGTCTAAGAGAACTAGAGATTCACCCAACAGCCGTGTCAAACAATGGGCTAGAAACGCCAACTACCCCTCTGTTCCTTGCGGCAGCTTCGACGTCACCCAAGCAATTGAGCATTTGCCTTACAGCGCGAACTACCCCGACGCTTGGTGTCACGACTGCTTCCCGGCACACATCTAAGGAAGCAGTAGCCTTGAAGGTCACGTCGTTACGAATGGGCAAAGGATGTGGCTCACAATTTCCTATGTTTATCGCTTTTCAAGATGGTTATTACTCGCATACAGAAGAAGCTGGACAAGCGGGATTATGGAAAGATACCCATTCACGACATGTTGTATTGCTGCTGTTTCGGTGGGTACATGAATTGGGTTATGGTTCTTCTGATTTCACGGATGTGGTATTGTTCTTCGAGCGTCGTTTTCAATGGCATTAATGATGATGCTCTCTTCTTTCCAAGTCGGTCTGTTGCAGAAGTGAACAAGATTGAAATGACTTCATGGTGGTTGTTATGCGAATTAGTGACAGTTATGAAGTCTCACGGATGTAAATTGCCGGGAAATGTGGAGAGAGGATTGAAGGTCTCGACCGCGGAGGATCTACGAAGATAAGTACGAGCGTTCGGAGAGCAGGAGGCGTGGTTTCCTGATATTGGAAAGGACGAATGCATGGATTGCTCTATCGGTAGAGTCTTGTGTTAGAGGTACGATCTTGTGACTTGTCGGCCTGAATGTGGGTGGTGGAAAAGGCGGTTTGATACGAGCGGGATGCGACAGATGATCATCGTGCAAACACTCAAACACGCCTCTTTGCCCCTTTGCTTGGCCTGCTGCGGGCTGCCTGCATCCGCCATCCGCATCTCGCATTGGCCCTGAACTTTGACTTGCCTATTTTTGTCTCTGACGCCAGTGAACAATACGACCTCGATCTTTTCCGCCGCGCCTTCGCTCTTTTACTTGTCCTTAGCATCACCAGTCCGACGACTGAATATTCTTATACACCTTCGACCTTTGACAGCATCATTCGCTTGTTGTCGCCACACGCCCGTCCTTAGACGAAACGAACGACTTTAGCGGCCGCGTGATTACGAATCCCCCCTTCGGCCTCGTCGACGACTCTCTCTCAGCCTCAGCAACGCCTGCTGCATTGCGCAAACTCTCTCCATACGTGACGTGGTCTAGTGACGAGGAAGAGAAGACAAAATGAAGACATTCCACGCTGTGGCTGCCTTGACCGTGGCAGCGGCCTCGGCCGTTCAGGCCATGATCACCTGCGACTCCAACAACCCTTGCCCTTCAAGCGCTCCTTGCTGCTCTTCATATGGATTCTGCGGTGTTGGCGCCTACTGTCTGGGAGGATGTTACCCCAAGGACTCTTTCAGCATGGACTCTTGCATGCCCGCGCCTGTCTGCGAGTCGTCCGACTACGACTTTAACAACATGAACGGCTTCATTGAGAACACGGAATACTTGGGCGACCCGTCAAGCGGCAATTGGGTCTTTTCTGGTGACCCGCTGATGTACAACAACGAGGCTGTCTTGCTCACCATGACTGAGGACTCGTCTGGTACTCTTCTCAGTAGCACACGCTATGTCTGGTACGGCAAGATGAGCGCCACCATGAAGACCAGTCGTGGTGCCGGTGTTGTCACTGCCTTCATCATGATGAGTGACGTAAAGGACGAGATCGACTTTGAATTCATTGGTACCGATGTTCAGACTGCCCAGAGTAACTACTACTTCCAGGGTATCACTGATTGTAAGCTTTGCCGTATATCTGGTCGACCCTGCGCATCAACTAATTGATTCACAGACGGAAACGAAAAGAACCTTTCTTCTCCCAACACTGACTCTCAATGGCACACTTACACAATCGACTGGCAACCCGACTCGCTCAGCTGGGAGGTTGATGGCAAGGTCCTTCGTACTCTCTACCGCAACGAGACCTACAACGAGACTGCCGGCCAGTACCACTACCCTCAGACTCCTTCCAGAGTTCAGTTCTCTTTGTGGCCTGCTGGTAAGGCTGGCAACGCTCAGGGTACTATCGAGTGGGCTGGTGGTGAGATTGACTGGAGCAGTCCTTACATGCAGAACGGATACTACTACGCCATGGTCAAGGACGTTACCGTCGACTGCTACAACCCTCCTGCTGGCTACAACAACCAAGGCAACAAGGCTTACTGGTACGAGAACAAGTATGGAACCAACGACACCGTCGTCGTTGGCAACAACGGTACTACCTTGTCATCGTTCCTTGCCACTGGTGAAGAGCCCAAGAAGGGTGCCAGTTCCAGCGCAAGCAACACTGCTACCAAGAGTGGCGGCAAGTCTTCTGCTTCATCCTCTGCAACTGCTCAGCCTGAGACTATTCCTGGTGTTTCCGGTGGTGGTTCGCGCGAGTCTGGCAGTGATGTCGCCAGCGGCTCTGGCTCATCATCAGGCAGCAGTGGATCGTCTGGCTCGTCGGGCTCTTCTGGATCTTCCGATTCTGGTGCCAACACTGGATCCAGCTCCTTCTCTCAGGGACTCGAGACTGGCAGCGGTACCAACGATGGCAACAGAGTTGTTGCCGGCAGCCTTGTCGCGCTCGTGGCCTTCTTTGCCGCAGCTATGATGCTTTAATAAAATGCATGGGAGGATGGATATGATTTCAAGGCTTTCTTTTTCTTGTTGATACTGCTTGATTGCATTTGCTGCTGCTACTTTTGCGCTTTCTTTCATCTTGATACATACGACTTAATACCTTTGGGAGGTTGAGGTGCATAGAGCGATGATATGGTTCAATCGACAGCAATTTCTTGACACCACTTGCCTGACGTATGTTCTGTGACTATGATAACCTCACTCTTATCCAATTAAACTTCTCTTGAATTTGTGATACAACGATAAGTGAGCGGTATGAATTGAACATAACAAGTGATGAGATGAATAAATAGCATGCTCACTTGATCTAACAGAGACGACGTCCTGAGGCAGACTTCGGAGCCGGAAAAACAATGTTCCTGAGCGAGAGTACGGCGCACAGACCGCAGATTGAGTGAAAGCTAGTCTTGGCGTCGAAAATGCAGCGGGCTTGGGGAAGCGGCTGCGTGGGCTTGGGCAAAGTCGTCGAAATTCTCCCGCTCCCTCGCACCCGAACGTCGTCGTCCTACAGTCCCATTTTCTTTTCGCCAACCCCCAACCTCACAACACCGTCACCATGGAGAACGAACGCGGAGAACTCGTCGACCTGTACGCTACCCCCCGATTCCTGAAGAAATAAAGACAAATGCGCCTTCAGGGCGTTAGAAAGAGACAGACACACACAAGACAAGCAGACACAGATCACAATCGACTGACATCTCTCGAACGCGCAGTTACGTCCCCCGCAAGTGCAGCGCAACCAACCGCATCATCAAGGCCAAGGACCACGGCTCTGTTCAGATCTCCGTCGCCAAGGTCGACGAGAACGGCAGATTCACCGGCGAGACTCAGGCCTACGCCCTCTGCGGCTTCGTTCGCGCCATGGGCGAGTCCGACGACTGCATCAACCGCCTCACCCAGCGTGACGGCTACCTCAAGAACGTCTGGAGCGCCAGCCGATAAGCGTTTCGCTCCGATGGTCTGATTTGGGGGCTAAAGTGTGTTGAGGTGAGCCATCCTCCCTGGACCACAATCATCTGCACAAACAAATGCTGATACGAGCATCAGGACATGAACAAAAACACCATGGCATCACGGAGGACCCAAGGCTTTTTTACATTGAAAGGGGACTCGGAGTTTGGGTTGTTCTTTTTTTTGCTGGCTGGCTAGCTGGTCATAACCCTTCTGGCTGCCCTCAGTCTGCGCGCGCGCGAACCCTGACGGACACTTTTCGACTGAATGGGATCGAACACCCACGCGCAAAGAGAAAAAGCATGCATACCACAAAATCACCCAATACCCTTTCGACCGTGCTTGTCAACGAAAAGAAAATGATATTTCCCTCCCAAAACCAACCAGTCGCGTCTTGTCTCTTTTTCGTATTTCATTCCGTTTCTTGCTGCTCGACGTCTGGACCTGCTACATCCAGTCCATCTGCGCCTATCACTTTCATGATCTCTCAAGTGCCTAGCCTTTGACGTACATGTCAGCAGCCGCACCTGCTGTGATTCTGTTCTGGTCCATCGGAAGGGCAGCTCAGCTTTGCGACATGCCTCCCTCTCGTTTAAAACTGTCTCTTCACTCAAGTCGGCATTGAATCGTACCTTCCTTGATCGTGCTGTCATCTAGACTTGTGCCTTTTCCTAGCACCGTCTCATCTCTTCGATAGCCCCTTCCCATATCTCAACTGCCTCTTCAATCTCTTCTTGCTTTCCTGTCCATCATTTCTTCTCCCTCTCCCTTTCCCCTCTCTCTCTCTCTACAGTACCGCGACATACCCACCGCCTCTTCCTCACTCAATGATCAACGAGGCAACAGTGGGGGCTGGGAAACTGTGGTTTGGTGTCAAAATCCGCACCCCTTTTCTCCGTCACTTGCTGTCGCTAGATCAATGTCGAGAGACGACTCCTTTGTAAGTTTGCGACCACTTGAGAGCACAGGTCGTTGATACAGATACGGGAGGTACATCTATATATTGGATAGAGATGGTTGGTGGGGAATCGGTGGTGTTTGGATTTTGGGTTCGGCTACGATTTGGATACTATGTGGTTACTGGGTGGTTACTATGTGGTTACTATTTGGTTACTATATGGCTACTATTTGGTTAGTATTTGGTTACTATTTGGTTACTATTTGGTTACTATTTGGTTACTATTTGGTTACTATATGGCTACTATTTAGTTACTATCTGACTACTATGTGGTTACTATGTGGTTACTATGTGGTTACTATCTAGTTCCTATCTGATTACTATCTGCTTACTATTTAGCTACTATCTGCTTACTATCTGCATACTATCTGCATATCTGCATACTATTTGGTTACTATCTAGCTACTATCCCCATTACTGTCTCTATAAAATCTTGAAACAATGTCAACATCGTCTCCAGGATTTGCGTATGAGTATTCTTCTCGATGGAAAAACCAGTAAGAAGCGGATACCTATCTTGCTCGGTGACATGCCAAAATAACAGTAATCGTTCGTCCATCCGTCCTTCGCTCCTACTTTCCAACGTGCTACTCACTTCCATCTTGTCCGATAGCAGCGTTTGCACACCTAAGCAGAAACATGAATATAACCCTACCAATGACCTCTTATTATTATCGTGCAGAACGCTTACTCAGTCAACCATGGCTCTATGATGGGGTGATGGGTTAAATCATGTACTCGTTGCTCTTCCTCCCCCTTCTCACATCCCTGACGACACTCACATACACCTTCATCTTTCAGCTCGTCCGCCAAAGGTGTCTTACTGCCCTCTCCTGCATCGGCAGTTTCAGAGAATTTTATCGCGATGTGATTGAGGTAGGCACAGGGGAAAGGCAGCTGAGTTGACTTCGACGACGCAGCAAAGACTGTAGTTGAACTATCATGAGGCACAGCCTGATTCGCGCCCGGTGAGAGTGAATGGTTCCAAAAGTGCTCAATGCTGGCAACTTTTACGTGTCCCCGGATCTGCATCGTGCAAGCTTACAACTTACTATCGCGTCCCTCTGCCAGTACCTCCTTCCTCAATCCAACCTCGACTCTCCTGGGCCCCTCCTTCTTGAAGTCCACAAGAACAACTCGTTCCATATCTCCCTTTCTTCCCTCAGCCTCGGCTTCAGCACCAGGCTTGTCGAGACCTAGAACTACCCTGCCATCCTCTCTCTTCTTACCTCCCAACACCGTGGGTGAGATACACTTCTCGCCCCATTTCCCTTCTTCCACGAACTTCAGAACTTGATCTCTCTGCTTCTGCAGTGTAGCAGCATCAGGAACAGGGGCCTCCTTTCCCACATCACCAGAAGGACAGAGAAATGGTGAAAGCAAGTACATGAGGAAAAATTGCGGTGGGAATAGCACGATCCGGGAGGCGCGGGCTAGACGCAACCAAGTTGCTGGTGGAAGGAAGCGAGCGGCGGTATGTTCGAGACCGCCGTCATGGGTTGGTGTTGGGATCATGACTTCGGGCTCGTCTTCTTCGGCGGTGGAGGAAGAGGAGGGAAGGTTCTTGGGTGTGTTGCTCAGGGGGAGGAGGTAGATGTACATCTGGGTTGTGAAGCGTTTTGGTAGGTTGGTAGGGGTGATCCAGCGGGTGAATGGGATCAGATTGTCTGCTTGTGATTAGTTCTTGCTCGAGTCGAATCGCCGTGCTGCGGGACTCTCCTGAGACAGAGACGTAGCATTCATTGATGATAGGGATGAGAACTTACCAAGATCTGCCTTTGCACCCTTCTCATCTAGCCAGTCTTCGAACTTGATCTTGTCTCCGTGCACGAGTTTCCTGACCTTTTCCCTCTCGTCTTCATCAACCTCAAGCAACCTCCCTTCCTTGGTCCTCGCCAACAAGATACCACTTTCCTCGAAAGTCTCACGAACAGCGGCCATACGGTAGACTTCGCTGTCGTGATGGCGTGCTGCATCTTCAGGGGCAGGAGGCTCGCCATCATGGAAGGGAGAGATGTTGCCGCCTGGGAAGACGTGCGCAGATGCAAACGAGGATGATGTCTGTACTCGACGCAAGAGGAGAATATGGTTTTGGGGCGATATTAGAAGGACACTGTGAATACGTCAGCTCGTGAACTAGAAATCGATGATTTTCGAGTTTGTTTGGGAAACTGCAAGCGCTGAGGGCGGTTGTACGTGGACAGGGTCATGCCAGCAGCATAATTTTGAGATGACATTTCTCAAAAGATGGAGCGAAACACCAAAGAGAGAGGAGATAAGTAAGATCCTTGAAAAGCGCGATCGCATACTCGTCTTTCAGATAAAAGGAAGGCGCGTGGAAAGCGAAACCACGATGGTGCCGCGGTGTTCTTGCACTATCAAAAACCATGGAGTGCGCTTAGCTTCACATACCTCGAACTTGGTCTGGGAATGGCAGGTGCCTTCTTTCCCTTTTCGCCGTTTCCCTCATATTGCCTTCCCAAAGCTGTGGTTTTCGACATGTTGCGAATTGATGATATCCTATATCTGTTTGATGACCGCGGTCTCGCAATCACTGGTCTTGTAGTAGTAGTAAACAATGCTCTTGACGCGATGACGTTGATGCGAGGTGGAGCCAGTGATGTTGGCGCAAAGGCACGGGCAAGATGCATATAGGATGACTGCCCGATTTAAGAGATCGAAAAACGCAAGTGATATTTTGACGGGGTTTGCTAGGGATACTTTCTAGTTTGAGCCTACAAGTCTCGGGTGTCGATTTGTGGAGGCATGAATGCGGACAGCCGAGGCACGTCTAGCGCCCGTTTCGAGAGGCAGTGACATGGGCATTGAATGAGAGACGGCAGCGACAAGGTGAAGTAGATTCTAACGAATTATTCTATTGAGAGTGAAGCGCGGTGTACGTGTCAGATGGTTGCTATGCGGTGTTCGTGGTGGTGGTGGTGTTGATATCGCATGTGGTTGTGGTTACCAAGCGACGTTGGACCGCGTGTTGAGCCGCAAATCTGAAGCAAGCTGTCCTGAGCTCCAGACCCATGAGCTCAAGCTCCAAAGAGCTACAGCTCACTCGAAACGCCATTCTAGATTCCTATAAAGTACTTAAATGGCAATTGGACCTTGTAGAGCATTTAGCCGGGTCAGGGATGGAAGGTTAGTTGCAGATATGTCGCATTGGAGATGTAGCTGTTGCAGCAAGTCGCAGTGGAAGATTCGGTGGCTATCCGTGGTTGAAGAACTGTCGTGTCACGTCAGGAAGAAGCAGCGTACAAAATTGCAAACGTCAGGTGGTATGGTCAGGATAGGCGTTTCCATTCAAAAGCCCTCCCCAATGTATGAGTAGAGGATTTTCTTGTTTGTTTTTAAGAAAGTCTTGAAGTAGCCCCGTCGTATCCTGGCCATGTCGTCGTCTTCCTTCCACAATTCATTCCTCCGGGCGTCAATAGAAAATAATGTACACGTCGATGTTTTGGTTTCCATGACCGGGGCTGACTTTGAACTCCCCAATAGACATCGCTCATTGCAGAGGTGAAGACGTTTACACGTACTTGCACATCATGGCAACCATGAGATCGAAGAGACCGATGGCCTCAACGAAAGCGAAACCAAGAATGGCGTAGGAGAAGAGCTGGCCACGGAGAGAGGGGTTACGGGCAACACCCTGGAGGAGAGCAGCGAACACTAATCCGATACCGATACCGGCCTGAACAGGGTGTTAGCATGAGGTGATAGTGTATAGGGGTGGGATATCGATTGGATTGAGGTTAGAAATGTGAATTTCCAAAACATCCCAAATTTGGACAGGGAAAGTACTTACACCACCGAGACCGATAGCAGCGTTACCCATACCAATGTTCTGGGAGACCTGAACAAGGGCGTTGGCCATCTCAGAGGAGTAGGCACGGCGGGAGACGGGGGCGAGCTTCTGGACCATGGAGACGGTCTGGGGGCGGACGAGGGTGGCCTGGCGGAGACCTTGAAGATAGAGCGTCAGAACATGGTTGTTTCAATTCAATTGGGCTTGTCATTGATAGATGAAACGGTGATGGAGGTATAGGATGGTTCGATATTCGATGGAGGTGTGATGAGGTGACGTTGAGGTGGTGATGATTTACCAGAGAAGGCGCGCTGGGCGACCTTGGGCTGGACAGCGCGGAAGGCAGGGCGGGCGGCCATCTGGGCCATCTTGGGGGCGACAATTCTGGAGGCCATTTCGAATGGTTGGATGTGAGAAAGGGTGATGGAGAGGAGAGTTGTTGATGAAGGATGGAAGATAAGGGTTGAGAGATCGGAGCGGAAGCTTTCCCTTGGTGGACGACGAGTGAGAAGAGGTCAAGGGGGAAAGCCGTGGGAGCCCACGCAGAATTTTCTTGTACTGCCGGTCCGGTGGCCGTGTCATTTGGCCTCGTTTGCTTCACTCGGGGCCAGGAGGCGTAGCTTAACCGAGTCCAAGTGGGTCTATTTGCACCCCAGGAAGCTCAACAATTGGCCAGCTTCACTGTGCACACAGACCATCCGCCTCCAAATCCTGGCCGATGTTAGGACTGTCAATTCCTCTCACAACAGCATCGTGTGTGAAGGAAAACCGAAGAATACCGTTCAACTTCGTGCTTTTCAGCTTCATATCGTAGTGAGCTTCGAGTGCAGAGTGAGTTCCGAGTAAAATGTATGGGGTGATATAGTGAAGAAATGACAAAAGTGATGGCCAGGAATAGTCTAAATCAGTAGCGCCCGCATCCGCGTCAGTGATCGAACACCCAGATGGAGCTCCCCCAGCCAACTGTTAGACTGGGGTGGGTGTACTTTACTGCGAGTGAGCTGTGCTGAAACCACGAATCGCTCTACTGCATTTTGATATTGGTCAATTGACCGATGTTTAGCGAAGGAGAAGAGAGGAAGAAGTGAGAAATCAATTTCAATACGTGAGCTGAGTATATAGATACAACAATGCCTTGATACAGCATTTGTTAAAGAGATTACTCGAGCAAGAGAGTGAAGCAAGCAACACTGTGAGACTGCTCCATCGAGAGATGACTTGCCAGAAGTGAGGTATTTCGTACAGAACTAACCGTTTGTGGTGAGCGACTAGCACGAGACAAGTGAGCCGTTCCTTGCTCAAAAAAGCAAAGTGTCCCCAGAATGCATGAAGCATGGGCGCCAGGCATCGAGCATGCTAGCTATCGTCAGCGAGGAATAAAGGCAAGAAGCTCCCCCTCTTTTTGGTCTGTATATTTTTCCAGAGTCGACATCAAGGTCTGAAGCAAACGAATTGGCCTCAAACGCAGTTGTGCTCCATGTGGCCGGTTGACGTTGGACGTCGTGAGGTCAAAAGTCCTGCCGTAGCTTCCCGAGTCAACCCGAGGATCGCTGCGGGCTTCAGCAAATTGCGCCCGCCAAGTTGAGGTAAATGCGCGGTGAGCCGCTGACGACGAGCGCAACTCAGGAAGAGCTCAATGGACTTGACCGGCATTGTGCTGCACACATCTTTCTGGTTAACTCACTAGACAGCATTGCGACTGTAGCAGCTGCCAGAGACTTTAGTGCACTGTCAAGGGAGCTAACATGACCGATAGACAAGGCTTCGGACCAACTCTTCGGACCAACTCATCCGACGTGGAGACAGCAGCATGCATTGTCCAGCTCATCAAGGTACCTGAAAGAGACTTGAAAGTCAACAAACGATGTTGGAACGAACGCGCCGAAGTGCATCCCGCGCACAATCAGCATGTGCAGCTGCCGTCGCGAAGTTTGAAGCAGGAGCAGCTTCCCGATCTGCCGTGTCACCTTCCTCATGCTCGTACCCTGATATCGAAGTCGAAGTCATTCTCGACGACGCTCAAACAGTTGCGCTTCAAAGAGGTGGACCAGAAGAAGAGCTCTACCAGGAAGAGCTCACTCAACAACACCGAGAGTCATGGCTTCTGCCTGCCCAGCTCCTTAAATTACGCTACTCGAGTGAGTTGCAACCATGCGAGCAGAGCTATGCGCTCGACCGAATCAAGAGTCAAGCGATATGCAACATCTCGCGTCTAGAACATTGCAACATACTACTTCAGGATACACTTCATGTCACGTCAGCGCTGGTGCACGAAGAAAGAGACATAGACGAAGAGACACAAGGGGAGTAAAATAGTTGTATGTGCAAAATATGCAGTAGCGTGGATTCATATTCAAGTTTCATCCTATCCCAGTTCATGAACGCCAAATGTAAATGCTTTCAGTCGAACTCCGCGGTCTCCCATCCTTTTTATCATAACCGACCCAAGAACTTTTTCTATTGATGTTCTCAATCCTCTAAGCGTAGAGCTTCTTGTCGAAGCTGTGGAGACCGTGGACGTTACCCTCAGCCTGAGCGGAAACAGTACGGAGCTCGAATCTGACCTCGCCATCAATAACACCTTGGCGGAGAGCAGTCAAGCTCTTGACACCGATGTCCTGGAGAGAGTGCTGAACACCAGAGATGAGGTAGGGAACGAACTTGGTAACGGAACCACGGTCGAGAACGGAACCAGAGACACCCTGGGCGACGAGAAGTCTGTCACCCTCGGAGAAGTAACGGGCAGTACCGGCGTTGGAAGCCTTGGGATCGTTGGGGTTGGTGGAACCGACACCGGCCTTCTTGTCCTCCATGGCGTCGATGGAACCCATACCTCTGTAGGCCTTGACGAGCTGACCCTCGCGAGAGACGTAAGACTCACCAGGAGACTCGGTGGTACCGGCGAGAAGACCTCCCATCATGACAGTGCTGGCACCAAGGGCAAGACCCTTGACGATGTGACCAACGTTTTGGATACCACCGTCAGCGATGCAAGGAACACCGAAGCGAGCGGCGAAAGAAGTGACGCTGTGGACGGAAGCAGCCTGGGGACGACCGACGGCCATGACCTCCTGGGTGATGCAGGCAGAGCCGGAACCCATACCAATTCTGAGACCGTCGACACCGGCAGCGATGAGACCAGCGGCCTGCTCGCGAGTGACGACGTTACCACCAATGACATCGAGGCCGGGGTGAGTCTTCTTGATGTACTTGATCATCTCGATCTGGTACATGGAGTTACCCTGAGAAGAGTCAAGGATGACAACGTCGAGACCGGCATCAACGAGCTTCTGGAGACGGGACTTGTCCTCGGGGCGGGTACCGATAGCGGCGGCAGCAATCAGCTGCTTGGACTCGGAGAGCTTGGAAGCGAGGGGGTAGTTCAAGTTCTTCATCAAATCGGAGCGCGAGACGAGCGAGATGAGGTTGCCGGAGTCGTCAACGATGGGGAGCTTGCCCTTCTTGGACTTTTGGAGGATGGCGTTGGCCTCAGTGAGCTCAATGCCGGCCTTAGCGGTGACGAGCTCGGTGGACATGACCTTGCTGACCGAGTCGCTCAGATTGTCGTGGAACTGGATATCACGGGGAGTGATGATACCGAGGAGCTTGGAGCGAAGCTTGCCGGACTCTGTGAAATCATGTTAGTCTTGCTGTTCTGAAAAAGAGCTCAGGCAAAACATGGATTGTGTGTGTTTTTCAGATTCCAAAATATTTCTCCACAACAGATTGACTTGAATGCGGTTGAACGAAAGTTATTATATTTGTTGAGTCATCCTCAAACAGGAAAGGAAAAGAGAAGAGTTGTCGCTTACCAGTAACGGGGAAACCGCCGAAGCCGAGCTTCTCCTTGAGAGCAATGGCCTCGCCGACGGTGGTCTCGGGAGAAATGACGACGGGGTCGAGGATGAAGCCGTTCTCGTAACGCTTGACCTTGCGGACCATCTCGGCCTGGTCGTCGGCGGAGCAGTTGTGGTGGATAACACCAAGACCACCGAGGAGAGCCATGTGGATGGCCATGTTGTGCTCGGTGACGGTGTCCATGGGGGAGGAGAGAAGAGGGGTCTTCAGTGAGATGCGCTTGGTGACGGGCGAGTCAAGGGTGACCTCGTTGGCGGAGAAGCCTGCAATCGACAAGTAAGCACGCTGATTCAGGTGCGCATGCGCATTCAGCGGCTCATCATACCAATGTAACCAGGGAGGACCAGGAAGTCGTTGTAGGTGAGACCTCCGTTGTTCTTGGAGTCGAGGAGGGTCTGGACATCAATGCCATCGCGCTCGGGGTACTCGTTCTTGACAATGTCAAGAGCCTTGTTGAAGTCAAGGATCTTCTCCTTGGGGAGGACGGGAACCTGAGAGGTCATGGTTGCGGAGTTTCGTGTGCCGTGTGATTAGATGAGAAGGAAAGCAGAAATATGAAGAAAAGGCAAATGACGCAAAGGGGTATCTCAATTGGAAGTAGTACGACGAAGAGGTCGACGGGTTCAAGTGTGAATACTTTCCCCAAGAAAAGAAGAGAGAAAAGAGAGTTGTTCGAGATTTTCTGCACACCCTCGACGCGCAGGCTTCAGCGAGGAACATAGGTTGATCTGTGCGCAGCATGTTTGCGCTGTTTGACCTTCGGCCTTATGGACCCTTTTGTTTATCGCCGTGCTTATCAGATCTGTTGCTTATCAAGAAGGGAATATTCCCAGACAAGATGATGCTTGAGATCGAGTGACACAGGCATAACTAGAGGCACAAGGCTCATGCCAGAACTGAGCTTGCAACCAGTTGGAAACTCTTCTTGACTAGCTATACAAGGCAAGTGTCCGAAGAGAGCATGTGCGAGTGCAGTGGACATGCACCCAATCATATAAAACATCATCTCTTTCTATAACGCTAGAAGCTATTGCAAGGTGAAGAAAGTTTGGTCTCGGCGCAACTTACTTTCAAGGCAACTCATTTCGAGTCCTGTCTCACTGTAAATTGTTATATCATCATTTTTCAAACAATTCGAGACGAAGTGGGATGCCTGGATTGGAGAAAGCGCTAGCCAACCCATAGCGGAGAGAAAACAAAGCATGCAAATCAGCCCTGAAGAATGGAAAAAGTGCCCGCTCGTGTCTACTTAGTATCTTTGTTGGTATACCTAGATATGGTAGAAGAGATGCAGTATATCAACTTCCATCAGAATCGCTATTCGGATATAACAAGTAGAGGGACCCTTGATCGGCTCTGTGTTTAGTGTTTGGGTAACTTTGGTTTCGGGGTGCGGGTGGGTTTGTTGACACCAAGCAAAACAACAAAGTCGAGCTTTTCGGCCCATCACTCACCTGCATACATCACGCCAGCCTGCTGCTCTGTCCAGCGCCAACTTATTTTTCGAGGCTGAGAAGATTCTTGTCTGCTAAGACAGAACGGTCGTTTCAAGTGTTTGCGAGTGTAGCGCCGCAAGCGAAATCAAGAACGGGTGTTGCAACGGGCGTGTTTACGGGGACAAGAGCGTTGCAAAGCAATCGATTTCTGCCCTGCTATGCAGTCTGGTGTGGACCACGCCCTTTTCCTTGTCTGCTGCTTATACTCTCATTGCTAATAGCAGTGTCTGCGGGCGACATTGCCGCTCCATCTCGACAACTGAACCTCGCCGTCCCTCTGCTGTGCGTGTGACGCAGGGACATCGAAAAGCCGGAAAACACACGCCTATCCTATTCATCCAGGATCGCTCCTTCCCTAAGACGAAATGGCATATTTACAACAAAAGCGCGGGCAAGCGCCGGCATCTCCGTCAGTGCCTGGCAGCCCGCTACGCCATACAACAAGCGTATCAACAAACCATTTACACCACAAGCGCGGACTCAGCGAGGCCACTGGGTCGCCAAAGGCAAAGGGGTTCTGGGAAGCAAAAGAAGCAAATGTCGCTCCAGTCACACCTGAGCAGTTCCGCACTGCTCTAAGGCCATTGCAACAGGCTCCGGGCACATCGCCTGCTCAGCCTTCGCCGCATTCGCTATCACACACGCAATCACACTCTCGTTCCAAGAGTCTGCACGACTCTAGAATGGATCCATTCCACAACAGCACACCCACATCCGAGTCTGCCTCGCCGATGCCCACATCACCACCGCTGAAATCTCGACCACATTCGCTCGCAATCTCACGGTCCGACTCTGTACGAGCCCCTACTCACGACCGCGGCAACCGCAATTCCGTACATGTCCACTTCGCCTCGCCGAGTCACATCGAGAAATCAGAGCTACAAGGCTTGCAAAGGTCAGCTACGAAACACCTACGAACTCTCTCGAAATTCGCCCAAAATGCCGATGACGACGACTTTTCAATAAAGTCTCCTGAACAAGAGGTGGTTGGTCTACATGGCCGCAGGAGGTTACAACGTACCATGACAACAAAAGACAAGAAGGGCTCGGAAAGCAGCAGCAAGTTTGCAAGCAGTTGGGAAGCCAGCAAATGGATGGATCGCCAACGTCAATTCTTGCAAGCTTACGAGTACCTGTGTCATATCGGTGAAGCAAAGGAGTGGATCGAAGACATTATCCACAAACAAATTCCCGAGATTGTTCAGATGGAAGAGGCTCTCAGGGACGGTGTCACTCTGGCCGAAGTCGTCCAAGCCATTCATCCTGATCGACCAATTCGCATCTTCAAGCATGAACGCCTACAATTCCGCCACTCCGACAACATTGCTCTATTCTTCCGCTTCCTCGCAGAAATGGAGCTGCCAGAGCTCTTCCGTTTCGAACTGGTCGATCTGTACGAGAAAAAGAACATACCCAAGGTCATTTACTGTATCCACGCCTTGTCATGGCTTCTTTTCCGCAAAGGAGTTGTCGACTTCCGCATTGGCAATCTTGTTGGTCAATTGCAATTCGAAGACCATGAACTCGAAGCCATGCAAAAGGGTCTTGACAAAGCTGGCATTAGTATGCCCAACTTCTCAGGCATGGGCGCCAACTTTGGCGAACCAGAGCCGGAGCCGGAACCGGAACCTGTCGAAACCGAGGAAGAGCGTATTCAAAGAGAGCTCTCTGAACATGAAGACATGGTCGAAGACTTGCAATCTCAGATACGTGGAGCCATGGTCAGACTACAACTCGGGGACACTATGAATCAGCTTTGGGATGCCGAAGAAGCCCTTGTCGACCTGCAATCAAGAATCCGCGGAGATTTTGCTCGTCAAATTTCTGATTATCGTATGGACATGAAACGATTTGCTGTTCAGCTTCAGAGCGCTGCTAGAGGCTTCCTCATTCGTAAGCGTCGCAGTAACCGTGAACAGACCTGGAAAAGCCAAGAGAAGCAAGTCACAACTATTCAATCGCTCTTCAGGGCTCGCAAGGCAAGAACGGAAGTGAAGAAGATACGCTCTCATATGCAGAAGCAGGACATGGGCATTCGCAATCTTCAGGCTGCTATTCGTGGTGCCCTCGGCAGATGGAATGTCAGCGATCAATACGAGGCTACTCGTGAAGCTGAAGAGCCTGTCCGCTGGCTACAAGCGGCGATTAGAGGAGCTATCAAGAGAAAACAGGTCGAGCGCCAGATTGAGGAGGGACATGCTTCTGAAGAGCAAGTCATTTCTCTTCAAGCCGCCATTCGTGGAGCTCTCCAAAGAAACCAGGTCGAACGTCAACTCGAGGACAGTAAGGCATCCGAGCAAGATGTTGTCGCCATGCAAGCCGCCATTCGAGGTATGCTCGAAAGAAAAGGTCACGCCGCGAACGCCGACTTGCTTAGGAAGCATTCGAGATCTGTCGCAACACTTCAACACGCCATGGCAGGTTTCATTCAACGCAGAAAACTTGAGCATACACGAGTATCCCTGGACACAGAAACTCCTGCTTGGCTTGAACTCCAATCTGCTGCGCGTGGTCAAAAGGCAAGACGTGCATTTGGGCAACTCAAGTCAGACCTGCAAAAACAATCACCCTCAATCACCGCATTGCAATCTGCATACCGTGCAGGTTGTAGCCGTAAGGACGTGAACGCCATCAGAGATGCGCTCAGCTACCGTGAGAACTCGATCTTGGCTTTCCAAAGTTCTGCTCGTGGTCATATGTTCCGCAGCAAGCACCATGCTGATATCGCCGCGCTCCATGCTCTGAAGCCAGCCATCAAAGAACTCCAGTCTCTCTCAAGAGCCTATCTTGAACGTCAAAAAGTGTTTGATGTCCTGTGTCAACTCAATGAGGAAGAGGAACAGATTGTCGAGCTCCAAAGTCTTGCGCGCGCTCTTCTTGGCCGCCGCGACATTGGTGTCCTCCTGGGCGAGCTCGAGGAAGATGAAGACGCTGTCATGGATCTTCAATCTGCAATCAGAGGATCACTTGTCAGGAAAGACTTTGCCGAGAAGCAACGTTTCTACAGGGAGAACATGGAGAAGGTCATCAAAGTGCAGAGTTTCATTCGTGCTCGCCAGCAAGGCCAGGCTTACAAGAGTTTGACAAGTGGAAAGAATCCTCCTGTCGGTACTGTCAAGAACTTTGTTCATCTTCTTAACGACAGCGACTTTGACTTCGATGAAGAACTCGAGTTTGAGAGACTGCGCAAGACTGTTGTCCAGCGAGTACGACAGAACGAAATGGCCGAGCAATACATCGACCAACTTGACATCAAGATTGCTCTGCTCGTCAAGAACAAGATTACCCTGGACGAGGTCGTCAAGCATCAACGTCACTTTGGTGGTCACGTCGGCAGCCTTCTGAACAATACCGAGATTTCCTCCAAAGATCCTTTCGATCTCAAAGCCTTGAACAAGAACTCGAGAAGGAAGCTTGAGCACTATCAGGAGCTGTTTTTCCTTCTGCAGACTCAACCACAATATCTTGCGCGTCTCTTCCACAAGCTGAAGGAGCAGGGCATGCCAGAGCAGGAGGGTAAGAGAGTCGAATTACTCATGATGGGTCTCTTTGGTTTCGCCCAGAAGCGCAGAGAAGAGTACTACCTCTTGAAGCTTGTTACACGTTCTATTCAAGAAGAAGCAGAACACAGCGGCTCTCTCCAAGAATATCTCCGTGGCACTTTCTTCTGGAGCAGACTACTCGCTGCCTATGTGAGAAGCCCTCGTGATCGCAAATACATGCGCGACCTCTTCGGACCGCTCGTCAGAGAAAGCATCTTTGAAAACCCGGACTTGGACCTTGAGAGCGACCCGATGCAGATTTACCGTGCTTCTATCAACAACGAAGAGCTTTCTACAGGACAACGCAGTCGCAGAAATCCCGACATCTCTCGTGAAGAGGCCATTCGCGACCCAGAGACTAGAGAATTCTTCATTTCACATTTGCAAGATCTCCGTGATATCTGCGATCACTTCTTTGTTCTTCTCGAGGAGACTCTACCCCGCATGCCCTACGGATTGAGGTTCATTGCTCAACAGACTTTCAACACATTGGTCGCCACATTCCCTGGAGAGAGCCAGCAACATCTTCTTCAAGTCGTTGGTCATTGGCTTTGGAAGGCTTACTTGATCCCTGCATTGACACAACCTGAGATGTGGGGTGTAATTGACAGAGGTCTAAGTCCTCTACACAAGCGCAACCTAGGAGAGGTTGGTAAAGTCTTGGGTCAAGTCTTTGCTGGCAGATTGTTCGGTGGCGATCATATCTACTTGCAGCCTTTGAACACTTGGGTTGGTGAGGCTATTGAAAGAATGGAGGAGCTACTCACATCTCGTAAGTCTTTGATTGTCCCTCCCTCGTAATTTACTAACATAATCCAGTGATCGACATTCGCGACCCCGAGCAGCAGTTCGACATTGACGAGTTCAACGACCTCTTCGCTCGTGTCAAGCCAACTCTTTACATTAAGATGGCAGATATCTTCGCCATTCATCATCTTGTGACAAACGAATTGTCGCATCTTTCCGACGCTGACGATGTTCTTCGTGAGATCATTCGCGAACTCGGCAGTGCCCAGAGCAACGAGAACGAGATGATGAGTGTAGGCTCAAATGAAATCAGCCTGCAATTGACGCCCAAGTTCCACGACAAGCAAGATCCAGAAGCTGATCTCAAGCAACTCTTCATGGAAACCAAGCGTCTGGTCCTGTTCATCATCAGAATCCAAGCTGGTGCTAATCTGCTTGACATCCTCGTCCGTCCCATCACACCGGAAGACGACGACAAGTGGTTCTCGTTGTTGGATGAAGAAGCTATGCATCAAAAGCGCAACCCGAGGGCACCTTCAGCATACTCTGGAATGATGGAAGATGAGCCAACATCAACGCTTCTGGATATCACTTCAATGTCATATGCTGAGGTCAAGAGTGCAGCTCTCGAGAATATCCTTCTTCTTGAGCAACATGGAAAGGTCAACAGACACAACCAGTACCAAGATCTGCTCAACGCCATTGCTATAGACATCAGAACAAAGCATCGTCGTCGTGTACAAAGAACTAGAGAGTTGGAAGGTGTTCGTGCTACACTTACACAACTTGACTCGAAGGCATCCTACTTGGACGAGCAATTGCAGAGTTACAACGACTACATTGAACAAGCCATGATCACGCTGCAAAACAAGAAGGGCAAGAAAAGATTTTTGTTACCTTTCACGAAGCAATACAATCACGAGCGTGAACTGGCTCGTTCTGGTCGTACACCCAAGTTCGGCTCCTACAAGTACTCCGCGCGTTCTCTTGCCGAGAAGGGTGTGCTTGTGAGCTGGGACGGCTACGACGCAACTCAATGGAACCGCATCAACGTCACTCTCTCCTCAGATGAAGTCGGTGTCTTCCACATTGAGGGTAGCATGGGTAGTCTGATGATCCCTGGAGCGAGCGCTTCCGTGCCTCTTGACGATCTCCTTCAAGCACAATTCGACAACCATCAATTCATGAACCTGTTCCGCGGTACTGGCGGTGAAGGTGGTCTGAAATTGAACGTCAACCTCTTCTTGCATTTGGTCTTCAAGAAGTTCTACAGAGAAGAGTAGAGGATGGGTCAAATCCTCCTTGAAGACCACTATAACGTCGATATGACTACTTTCGTGTTTCCTTGTCTCATTTATCTTACTCCTTTTCTTTTACTCTCAAAGACGTCTGGTCTTCCTCTTCTGTTTATATAATACGACCTCCCTCTGGAATCCTCATGGCATACACGAAAAAGGGTGAATTGAGACGAATTTAGGACTTCCCTATATGGCGTTTTCTTTCGGTGTGTTTGAGAAGAGTCAAGGTCGAGTTTTTTGCAATGGCGGGAAGGCTGTTGAGTATAGAATACCCCTCTTGATGTTAATGTTACATTTCTGATATTTCCAATGCTTGATTGCTTGATTCGAAGTGACAAGTACTTTTATGCAATCGCTTGTTGCTAACACGTGGATTCTGATTGCTCTGATTTCGAGGTTGCGTTGAGAACAGCCTCAATGCATAATATCGGAAAAGGCGCTTGTGCACACCTATCCATTCTTGGCAATCAGCTCAACCGTGAAACGCCGACGTCCTTCGTGACTTCCAGCATTATCTCGGTGTCTACACGTGCTAGTTCAGATGCAATTGCCCAACACACGTCCGAATGCGGTTCATCACGACCGATAATTACGCACCGAACAAACACAATCAATGGTCGCGTCTATCGCGTTCAGATGACCGCTAGCTCACACCCATCAGGATGTCACAAATTGATCACCTGCCCTCATGAATCCTGAACAGCCGCGAAGAGCGGCAACTGTACCTTTGCCTGTGCCTCAAAGTCATACAAACCCGCCACCAGCTCCACCTCTGCCACCACAACAACGAGCTCGTAATGCCCTGAACAGATTTTTAGGATTCCCAGCCAGAGCTGCTGATGCAGATGGCGATGGACGTGATGGCAATGGTGCAGGTCTCAAGGATGTTCAGAGACTTCCTAGCTTATCAGCATACAATGCCAGCGCCAGCCACAAAACTGGGCTAGAAATCAATTCTTTATCTATCAACGATGAAGGAAGTCATGCAATTCTTGCTGGACGAGATATTCTCAAAACCATTCGCGTTGATGAAGGAAGCTGTACTGAAGATATCAACATCCGAGCTGCTATTCGCAATTACAGCGCTCATACTTCTGGAAGATCCAAGGACAACATCAACATATCAGACGTTGCTTGGGGAAAAGGCAACTTTGGCAATTACATTGCTGCTGCAAATGCCAATGGACCCATAACTTTGTACGACCTCAATCATCCTGGTATCGAGGTTGCTCAGTTAAAGGAACACCGTCGGCAAATTCACAGAGTCACATTCAACCCCCATGCTGGTCAGCATTTCCTCTCCGCTAGTCAAGACGGAACCGTGCGACTTTGGGATCTTCGTGACGTTAGGCGAGATGCCAACACTTTCCCAAGCAGATTTACAACAAGCGGTCAGAATGAGGGTGTTCGAGATGTCAAGTGGTCTCCAACTGATATCTTCGAATTGGCAATGTGTACAGACGGTGGCTTTGTGCAAAGATGGGATACACGCAAGCTCAAAAGTCCTTTGACACGCATTGCAGCACATACCGGGCCCTGTGCGACGATCGACTGGCATCCTGATGGTAAACACCTGCTCAGTGCCAGTTCAGACAAGACAGTGAAGGTCTGGAATATCTCCGCCGAAGGAAGAAGACACAAGGCTGTTTATGAGATCAAGACTCCATATCCTCTACGCCATGCTAGATGGAGGCCATCCTGTCAGTCGTCTTGGCCTACAGGTCGTGGTACCAGACAGTGTACACAAATTGTCACATCATACGAGCGTGATCATCCTATCGTTCATATCTGGGACTTCCGAAGACCGTGGTTGCCGTTCCGCGAGATGGAAGGTTACCAGACTGCGCCGACAGATCTTCTATGGCATTCTCAAGACCTACTTTGGACAGTCAACAGGGAGGGTATGTTTCTCCAACACGACATCAAGTATGCTCGCAAAGTCATGGACAAGCGCAACATGCAAGCTTTTGCCATTTCTCCGCTTGGAGAATTCAGTCTGGTGACTCAGAAGAGAGCTACCCGTCTCAGGCCTGGGCTCAACCGTGACGATAGTGAGGCATTCATTCGTCAACGACGTTCTGGCCTTTCTCCCGCAGAAACGATCGGACAAGGACATAGCTCCAGTCGAGGATCGCATGACGACACTCTGGATGACACCTTTCTGAGCAGCTCTTATGGCAAGCGTCATACAAGATCTCCCAGTGCAAGACTTGGAAAGACAGCGAATGGATCCCCGCCAGCATACGATGTCGGTTCTACTCGGACAGTCAGTCTTGAAGATGTATTGAAAGCAGGCCGAGCATACAAGCCAGGTCAGAGTGCAGCAAGAGGTCGTCTACCTGGTAGTCCGAACCTCCTGCTGCTTCAGTACTTCGCCAAGCAGTACAAAACGCGATCACTCCCAGAACCTCCTACGGTCGAAGCATTTCTCAGTATACATGAGATCTTCGAGCATAATGCTACGCATGCACAAAAGGCGTCATTATATCGTATGGCTCAATCATGGAGGATGATGGGTCGAGCTGTGATGACAGAGCTGCTGAATAGGGCTAACCATCATCGAGGATTGAGAGCCAAGAACGATTCAGGTCCTCGCAAGAGTCTTTTGGACGAATCACCTTTCGCCAGGAGGACACGAAGATGGCTCGGGTCTAATGAACGCAGACTGAGCTCTAAACCGGGCACACCATTAACGCGACCATTGAGAGCAATGGAGTCGCTTTCGACTGTCCAGCCTGACAGTACATCAAACGTTCCTACGCCAATCGCGCGACCTGTGAAAGATCGGCCAGAGTCCGAGCGACCCCCCCTCAAAGAGATTGAAAAAGACGAGAGCCTCACTCTGCCTCCTTCCCTGCTGACTCCTTCGGAGATTCGCGAGAATATCGAGGGTCAAAATCGAGCTACACTACAAGCAGTTGACCATCGAGCTATCGAACATCGTAATTCATGGTACGGCTCAGTCCAGAACTACCAAGAGAAGCGGGAAGCTATCAGTAATTGGAGACAACCTTTGAAAGAGCCGCTCACACTAGAAGACGGGCATCAAGAAAGACCCAAGCCAACGAGATACAATTCTGATGATAGCTTCGGCATGTTTCTGTCTTTATCTTCTCGAGATGCTTCGGGGCCTGCGTCGTCGGTTGCTAGTAGTAGATCAAATCTCATGGACGCTGTGCAAGAGAATCTCCGATCAGCAGGTTCGTACGGTTCGATGAATCTAGGAAGCAGTTCATCTTCTGAGCCCATCATCGGTCGAAGCTATCAAGCCAGACAAGACGTTCAAGAGGAAGAACGCAGAGAGAGTGTGGTCATATCATCCTCGGGAAGTGATCATGAACATACCATGATGGTCCCTGCGCCAAGACAGAATGCAGATGCACCAGCAAGAGATATTCCTCGAGACATGCAAACACTAGCTATGAATAATCAGCAGAGTTTCACGTCAGATGTCGACATACTCCCTAGACAGCGAAAGCTTTCGGATGATGTCGGTGACATGGAAGCTAGTGGCACCATCATTCCCAATCGACACTCGAGGCAACTGGGAAGGTCGAGGGAAGGATCCATCACGAAGCCCACAGCTCTCGTCCATAACACGGAAAGTGCGCCCGCTGTAGTGCCTTCCAAAAACGCTCTCGTTGACAGCACAAAAACGCCATTCATCACAGCCGACTTCTTGGCATCTGATTACAACATTGATGCTGAGAAGGACAAGCCTTTCCGTATCATCAACATGCTCAACCATCTTCTCGACTACCATACTGTCAAAGTGCCTGACGCACAGGCAGCGACCAATCTCATCTTCATGTTGACGCCACTGTTGCCAGAGACTCACGCGCTACCTCAAGCAAATATCGACGCTACCATCACCGTATACAGCGAGTACTTTACAGCCATGGGCTACAGCGACATGGAGATTTACAGCCTATTCTCAACATCATTCGAACATCTTATCAAAGCAGGATTACAACCTTTACAGGCAGAAAGCATCATCAGCACATACCACAGTCAACTTCAACACCTTGGACTGTTCAGTCATGCGGCATATCTACGTCGTGTCAGTTACCCAATGTATCCGTCTGTCTATGAGGGTGGTCTCAAAGACACGCAAATGAGCTTCATGTGTGGTACTTGTAAGAAACCCATCAACACTCCTAACAAGATGCGTTGTGAGAATTGCACCCAACGTCAAGATCCTTGTCCGATCTGTTGGTGCGATACCAGTCCTTTCGAAGGGTCTGCAAAGATCAAAACACATGCGGGAGGTAATCGCACCTCTGTAGTCGAACCTCTCATTCGACCAAGAACTGCTGGAGACGATAGTGATGAAGAAACTCAACAGCATGAAGAGGTAGTGGGCGTGCAGAAGAATGCTCTATACTCTACTTGCCTGCTATGCAATCATTCAGCTCATGCAGCTTGTTTACGAACCTGGCACTCTCCATCTCACACAGATCTTTCTCCAACATCCGCATCAACGTCCGAAGGCGCTTGTCCAACTCCAGGATGTCTTTGCGCATGCACACCAGGACCTCGACGTAATGAACTGCTAAACAATGTCGAGAAAAGGGAGCGAGAAAAGAGTGTCCGTGATGACGATTGGGTGGTAGCAGAATCCAGAGCCGCACAAACAGCTGCTACATTGGCTGGTGGGAGAAAGCAGAGTGGACTGAGTCTTACCACGCCGACTGAGGAGGTTAGCAACAGTAGAAGAGAAAGAAGAAGTGTGGGCTTTAGAAAGGGCTAGTTTTCTAGAACGTCGATGCAGCCCCTATCTTGAAGAAATATTGCCAATGTTGAGCTCGCCAGCCTGCCGAGGCGTCTTGCAAAGTTGCCATCGAAAGGCATCGTGGTTTTCGTGATGACGGGATTGTCCATAGAGAACATGTGTCAGTAAACGCTCTCAGCGGCTATGTACTCTGTAATCAAAAAACATCTTGCCTTTTGACAGCCTCTCTCACGGAGCCAGCACACATGCCGTTGCTGTCTTCCCCTAGTCAGGATCATGTGCCTAGTGTTCACCACGAGGACCATCAGGCCAGCGCAGCTCTTGTTGGAAGTTGGAGCTCCTGGCGAGCAGCCCATATCTGCCCATAGCCATCAAAAAGCAAGGTCGGATTTGCAGTCAAGCTGTTGTCCAAAGAGAAGGGCTGGTTCATTCGCTCTCATCGGACAATCGGTTGTTTAAGAATTAAACTCTGCATTTTCACAATTCCGATCTACTTGGACCTTGGCTCTGGGAGATGGCACTTGAGAAATTCATACATCAAATTTGGAATCTTCAATCTCGTTCGTTACATACACAGTCGAAGCCCTAGTTGTAACCCTTATTGATGGTAGTGCACTGGATGCCCTGCAGAAGACTCTCATCCACGTCGCCGCAAGAAAACTCGTTCACTGTGCCGTTGGGACTGCTGACGTTGATGTCTGACAGCTTGATGTTGGTGCAAACGCTTGGGCTACTGCAGACAACATATCCAGAGATGGGGTTGTACTTGGAGCTGGTGGTGCCATGAATATTCTTCATGACGATGTTGGAGATGGTCAACTTGGAAGGGAACTCATTGCAAGCGGTGAGGTTCTTCTGACCGTAGCACTGGGTGACCTCAATAGCATAGTCGACGTTGTTGATGGACATGGTGTCGTAAGTGATGTTGTTGACACGGCCCTTGCCGCCACCGCCTTGGAGGTCACCGGAAAGAGCGGCGGGTGAGCCAGGCCAGACCTTGATGCGAGCACCATCGCTTGCGTTGGACATGGAGATGTTGTAGACGAGGACGTTCTCGACGATGTCGGTCTCGGTAGGGTATTGTCCAAGAGAGCCAACACTGATGCCGTGGCTACCGTTGCATTGCAAGCCTTGAACCAGGATGTTGGTGCTGTTAGGCTTGAAAGAGACACAATCATCACCATTGTTGATGACGGAATTCTGGATAACGATGTTATCGCTGCGGTACGTATCCCACCCGTCCTGCAATGCTGTTAGTAAGGGAAAATGACTTCACAGAAAGTAATATACTCACAGTGTTCTTAGCAGGGTTCTTGCTCTGACTCGATCCAGAGATGGAGATGTTCGAGAACAAAACGTTGGTGCTGTTGGCAACCCAGTTGTAGTATTGAGGACTGTAGCGGAAGTTCAAGTTCTGGATGGTCGAGTTGTGCAGACCGACAGCACCGAAGAGAATAGGTCTCAGAATGTAGATGTTCTGGGCATACAGATCATACCAAACTTGGCCGTTGCCGTCGAGGAAGCCGCCGCCGTAAACGTTGACGTCGTTGCCACCAAGCTGGAAGAAAGTCGTGGCGTTTTGGAAGACCTGCTTGAACGCGTTTGCTTGCCAGTAATCGGTGTCGTTGGTGAATTGAACATAACCTTGGATATCAAGGTCGATGTGGTTGAGGTTTGTCAAATTCAACGCCGTGCCAATCACATATTTCTGGCCTTGAGAGAAAATGACGTGACCACCGTTGTTACACTTGTTGATGGCAGAAAGGATGTACTCCGAGTCGTCGGTTACGCCGTCGTTGTGGGAGCTAACATAGCAGACCTTGTTCCGGGAAGGAGAAGAGGGGAATGGCTTGAAAGGCTTCTTGGGAGAAATGTCGGTCTTGGGTCGAGTTCCTTGATGCTTGGAGACACTCTTTGGTAAAGACTTGGTATACTCTTGTTGTGCAGACCATGTCGGTGAAGCAACGGCTGTGATGGCGCTCAAAAGAGTCGCAGCAATGAGAGGTTGGAACAACATCTTGCTTGTGTTGGAAATAGAGATGGTGATGAAAACAAACCCATTCTAAACTGAGACAAAGTGCAGTCTTATATAGACAATTCAAACCCCAAAGGACCAAGATACAACATGACGCCTCTCGAAAAGGCCTGTCTGTTTCTCCGCAAGTCGAACGGTCCCGCCCACGGGGTAACTTGAGATAATATGGGGAATATGCGCGGCAGCTAACCAATTCGAGCAATATCCCCTACACATCCCCAGATCATGATGAGAGCCGGAGAAATAGGAGATCAAATCATTGGCGGGATATTGTCTGTCCGGCGCGAGAATCGATGTGGATGTGGAGATTTCAGGAAGGGGGGCAAGCATGGAAAGTTCGGCACGGATCATGTGCTTGACATATGGAAGATATGCATTGCCAAGCCCTCGGCTAAAGAAGCTTTGATGCTTCTTCAAACTTCACTCCTCCATGTTCTTGAACCTTGTTGGATGTCGCATACCTACCCGATGTCCCCGAGTCTTCCTGGTTTCGACCACACCAGGGGCACTAAAGGTCGAGCATCCAGCGTGAATTGCCGTGTTGGCCATTGTGGGTAGGCTTCGCGTCTCACTCTGAGCTCGCTGCAGATGTACAGTCGTAGTCACTGCATTGCATGAGGCCGGTCAAACGGCGAGGACCTCATCGTTGATCCGAGAGCATCAGGACTGTCTGCAAGTACGCATGAGAGTGTCTGTTGCCCGGAACTCTCCCGAATTCTCTAGATTTCTGAGGTTTGTTCCGTATCTCAGCCTTCGACCAGACCGATCAAAGAAGCCATCAAATGACAAGATGCTCTTCATATGCTACAAGCGCCCAAGAAGAGCAAGGAGATGCAGCTTATCATGCCAGACTCTGATGCCAGCTCAGCCTTCCGCAATTCTGTCAGGAAAGGCAAGATGATCTTCGAGTCACTGTGAATGTATAAAAATATCCTTACAATCGTACCAGAGACCGATCCATCCCAGCGCTCCCACCATTCGTCGAAAAAGCCATCAAATTGCACGATGGTTCTCATGCTTGTGCTAACGTCAGTGAAAGCCCAGCGGACCTTCGTGTCTTCCTGCAGCTGACAAAACTCAGTAATCTGCTGGTGAAACTAGCATACGATTGGTTGCTCACTACAAACTGGCAGAAGTTATGTAGCCCTCCATTGCGCCAGAATCATGACTTTTGCGTGTTGCTATGCCCCAGGCTTAGACGGCTGCGTGAAAGTGAAGAGAGCTCAACGACTTGCTCACCTTTCCAGAAAACTCGTAACCACCGCCACTACGTTCCGCGAAGCGTACCCTTCCTCCAAACCGCGCTCACCGTGTCGAAACTGCATTCCCTGTCTCGAGTCCGCATTCCCTGTCTCGACACCGCATCCTTCGTTCATATCCTCCTATCAACCGAACAACATCGTCAACTCACTTTCAACCTACCTTACCTATTCCGCAACCCAGCCTCCAGTCGCCATGACGGTCCTCGGCGAACAAGAAACGACAGAGATAACGCGCAAGGTCGAAGCTCTGGCCAGCACACTCCTTGTGCCCCACGAATCTCCCGACGGCGAGTGGAAGCAACACTTCCGCATCGACACCGACCTTCAAGGAATCAAGTCACTACTTGCCGAGAAAAGAACGCGCCTACCATACCTTCACCTTCCCGATTGGCACCAGAATGAAGTACTACACGCACTCAACTTGGTTGAGGCATGCGTCAAAAAGATGGAAGTGAAACACACCAGGTCAGTAGCAACAGATGCCGTCGGAAACTTGACCTTCGTTGATGGGGATAGTGCTTCCTCCGTCTTCTCTATTGTCGAGGAGTCTGTCACTGCTGTGATAAACTCCACGCTTGACGAGATCAGAAGAGGCGAAGTCTTGGCTGGTGCCCCCGCTTCTGCTCTGCAAGTCGCTGTGGGAATGGTCGCCAGGCAGGATGTTCTCGACGCTGTCTTCCAGAGAGCCAATCTTGAAGCGCTTGGTTCTGAAGACGCCATCAAGAAGCACGTTGTTGCAGCTCTTGCAAGTTTGCTACAGAGGGAGATGATGAGGTCGATCGACAGTCTGTCCGGATATTGATGCGACTCGACAGAAAAGACTTGAATTGTTCTGTGAGCTCTCAACCACGACAGGGAATATTCGATGCATGAGAAACATTCAATGCGACATGTGCTGTACCTGGAGGCTCTCACTGGCCGATCTGTCGAATCTGAATTCGATCTTGCAATTTGACGTGGTCAAAAGCACTGCACACAGAGTCAGCGAATGAAAGGTTGGTCCCAAAGGAGGAACTCGTGCGATGGTGCTGCTCTCCTTGGACACGGCTCTAGATTCGGAAAACTTTGTGCATTTTGTCAGCTGGTTGGTTGGCCCTCTCATTACATGGAAAGGGGAAGGCAGGTGCTGCGGGGTGAATACTTGTTTATTGTTAGGAAGGAAGGAAGGAACGTTCTTGTGGAAGCCATCGTTCAGCGTCGCGCCTCGCTCATGCTTTCTAGTGTCCTAGCAATCAACAAACACTCCATCAACAACCTCACATTGAACTTCATCATGAATAGCATCAATCTCATTGACGAATTGAAACTCTACAAGACACTCGACGCTGCCATCACTAAGAGCCATGATATCCAAAGCGATATCAATGGCCCAAATGTATCCAAGGAGACAATCAATACTGGATTCGCTGCATTGAACATCATCATGGATGACATCAGACCCATTGACGAATTGAAGCTCTCTGAAACCCTCGACACTGCCACCATTAAGATCCATGATATTCAAAACGATGTCAACGAACCGAACGTATCCAAGGAGACAATCAATACTGCATTCACTGCATTGACCAAGATTATTGAGGAGATCAAAACCGACCTCGCCAAGTAAGTTGAACATTCTTTCTGCATCACGATTGTTTCCATCTAATCAGGTACATCAGTCGTTCTATCAATGCTAGAGTTGGCCACGCTGTCGACTTTGCCGTATCGAGAACCGATAGCCTTCCTAGACTATACGCTGGCTTGCCCAATCCTGATCTGCCAGATTGGCCCGGAGTACGCATGGGCCTCGTAAATCAAGTCAAAGCCAAGATCGAGGCCCACTATTACCAGCTCGAAGGTAGCATGCTCATGTCCTTGGACCCGAAAGTGTTTGAGGATCAGGCAAGAAAAGAGGCATCGACCATCGTCTTTGCCAACGTGGAGGAGTTTCCAGATGACATGGCCGCGGAGTTGCAGGAAAACACACACATCTAGGTTGAAATGAGACCCGAAGGAAGGCAAAGCAGAACATTAAAAAGAGCATTGCATTACATGTGAAGTAGACTACAAAAAGGGGTATACCACAACAGTCGATATTTTATACGAGGTCACCACTCTCAGTGGATGTGAGTATATCACATAAAAACATCCTGCCTTTTGACGGGTATTTAACAGGGGCTTACAGCAAGCTGGGATGACCATGCTGTTATGCTCTCAGTGGACACTCGTACTAATACAAAGATCATTGTGTACTTTGACAGGTATATTGCTGACTTCGTGACAAACAGGGAGCTTGAATCCAGTGGAAATTCCTTGTATCTACACCGCATCACAGTCGGGACTGTTCTCGGGATCAGTCACAAGCTAGGATCAGCACCCTTCCACTTGCACAAGCCTGAAGTTTCGTTCACGTGCTTGCATTTGTGCTCATCAGCTGCATCACATCGCTATATATTACAGCAACTACACTCCTGCCTGTATCAACAATACATGCCAGCACTTATCATGGCATACTTAAAGAGACATTCTATCTTCCGATACCTGCGAAGCTACTTTCATACATCATATCGCAAAAGACAGTCTTCTGAGAAATCTACGCCTACAACCCAACAAACTATGCCGTCCTTCGAACTATCTCAGTACGTCGAGGCTGGCAAGAAACAAGCCGAACGCCTCGTCAAACGTCTTGAAGTCCTCCAGAAAGCAGTTGAAACCGCCAAAACAGACACTGCACTGCTTCAAGATGTGAGAGTATGTTTGCTCGAAGCTCAAACTCTCACAGGCGAGTCATTCTTGTTCATTGAGAAGGAGACAAAGAAGTAAGTCTTCCATATGATGATTATAACTTTCGATCATACTGACCATGAACCAGCACTCGCAAGACAGTCGACTACCTCACAGAACAAACTATCAAAGATGTCGTCAACGATGTTGCTTCGCAGGTCCGCCTACACGCACCTGAAGTCCAACTCGCAGCATTAATCCTCCACCTATTCTTTGAAGGACAAAAAGCAGCAACCAACCGTAAGATGCTGGAGGCTAAGCTGCTGGAAGCTGTCAAGACTGGTAATCTTGGTGACTATGCCTGGTCTTCTGAGTTCGAGGAAGTCCTGGAGAAGTTCAAGAAGAAGGTCGAGAAACTTACCATCAGATTCATGGTTGAAGATGCGAGAAAATTGCTTGAGAGTCAGGTTAAGATCTGTTTCGGTAAATGGGAGGAGGGTTGAGCATCCTTTGGAGGTTGATTGAGAGACGGGCACATTATGAAGTGGTTTTGTGGGAAATGGAGTTGAAAGTAACTTTATGGGGTATTGAACTGGATAGCAAGAAACGGTTTGCGAGATCTTGTCATCTTTCACTGGTACAATGAAACATTGTGAGATTACGTCCATCCCAGATTGCCGTGACCTCTTTCTAGACAGTCGTCGCAAGTCAAGATCCTTCTTGGTTTGGTCTGTCTGACCAGAGAGAGCACGATACGTGCGGTCGTATGGAAGTGAAAAGAAGAATGAGACTGAGGTGTTTTTCATCTGACTGTTGGCCTGTTTTTACAAGGTTGTTCTATGCTCTTCATGGACCGGATTCGCTGAGACTTTCACACCCCATGTTCGGTTTCACTCTCACTATCACACTGGTGATTTTGTTTTGAGCCAACAAAAAAAACTGCTCTTGCTTCTTTTCTTCCATCTTCGCTTCATCAACTTCGCACATTCTCTGCACCTCGACATCAATAATCTCACACCACTTCGGCAAACACCAAACATCAAACATGGATGCAGAAACGCATTTGCTGCACATTGTCGAACTGCTAAATTGGAGAGCGGACCAATTGGAAGGTAGTTTGAGTGAACTCAAAAGGGATCTGAACGCCAGCGGCGCGGATTCTGAAGTGGTCTCCACCATCAGCAAGTCTCGGAAGCATGTGGAAGTCCTTCGCATGGATATCGAAAAGGAGCTGGAACCGGAGGCTGAGATGTGAGTGTTATATCAGATACGCATTGAACACTGCTGACTGCTTGGAAGGTCTCTAAAGATGGCCCATCACATCACCAACAAAATCATCCAAGATGCAGTTGACCGTCTCGCCGACAAAGTTCGTTCGCAATACCCACAACTCGAGCTCGCCGCAACCATGCTCCGTCTCTTCTTCGAGGGTCCCGAGGGCGACATCAAGCGCAAAGAGTTGGAGACCAGATTGAAAGCTGAAATGGGCCTTGACAATTTCGGATATAATGATGACAAGCTTGAGTTCGAGGAGATCGTGAAGGAATACGAGAAGGAAGCCGAGCAGTTGGCTCTGTCATTTGCAATGGAGGACGCCAAAAAGATGGTCGATGCTTGCTTCGGCGTACAGGCAGAGAAGTGATGGTTCCCAAGAAAGACTTGATGAAGGCTAGACAACTGCCTCGAAGCAACACCACGGTCCCATCACGGCGGTTCGAAAGGGAGAAGTGGTCGTTACGAGCAGTATCTTGGTTCACAAAATTAGCCAGGGCAAACGAATAGCGCAGATTCAAGACGACTCACATCAGGAGTGGTCATTCGACAGCCAACAAGATGCATTTTCTTCATAAAATCAACTCACAAACCATTTCAGAGATCACATTGTTCATTGACGGCGGCGAAATGCGATTGAGCCGAATCATCTGAAGAATTGATAAACAAGCTCATGCCTTCATCTTAATTTCTTCAAGGTCGAATTTGGTTGCAACGCGACTTCCGTTCCAGTGCTTGTTTGGTCAGCTTGTAGTCTTTTTAGCAAATTCATGGCATGTGCTTGGTGGACCACCAGCTCCTTCCTCCACAAATCAGCCAGTAACCAAGGTTCTTGCATGTGACATTGCGCCTCAAGAACAAACAGCGCAGCACTTCTGTTCTCTCGAAGCCTCTTCTTTTTCGTCGCTACGTTCGCCTTCCATCAAAGTTCTTTACTTTTTCCAGCCCTGCCAATTTTCATCAAAGACATCACGCAATGAGTAAACCAAAACTGCCATTCGTTCCCCCGTTTCCCGTATCCGGCATGAAGCGTAGCCGCTCATATCTGGAGGAGCGCTCCAGTGACAATGAGGAGTCGCTCGGTTTGTCGCTTCGTATCCCTGAGGCGCCGTTCAGCATCCATGATGAGCTTGACGGCTACAAGAATCCTTTCGGGGACGACGAGGAGCCCGATAGCGAGGTAAACGAGCATGCGCAGAACAGCAACCTTCATCGCCATGAGCGCGGTATCGAAACTCTCGAGAGACTATTGCAAACCAAGAAGACCTCGCCGGAAGAGTCGGACTCGGACCTGAGCATTGACAATCTGGAAAAGATCATCCATACAATTCGCACCAACAATCAAGGGTAAGTCGCAAGTTACAACCCTCACAAGTCGATACTAAATCTTTGATAGCCTGCACAGGTACCAAGATAGCATCTCGGAGAGCACCCTGTACTACACCATCATCAAGGCTTCAAACGAAAAAGTCCTAGAGGATATGGTGGGCGCTGTTATCGAAGCCGCCAAATCGAACATGGGACCCGAGAACGAGCATGCTGCAAACATACTTTCTTGCTTCAGAGGCCCATCAGCAGATGCAGAAGGCAAGAAGTTACTGGCTGCTATCATCGCGGAGATGGACGGCATCGAAGAGCTTGACGACATCGGCCAATTCAAAGAGTGTGTTGAACCATTTATTCTGGACGGCTTGATGCGTTGGAGAGACGAGGAAACAAGACAAGGCCTGAAGACCTTTCTCAATTACAGCAACGAACATCGTTGAGAAGGAAGACTTGAGGTCAGAGAGGGGGAACATGACGAGACTTAGACCGACCATGAGATGTTGTCACCAGAAAACCTGATGTCGAATATTTGCTGTTAGCTTCGCTGCCTTTTGCTCCTCCAAGAATACAAAACATCGCTCACATGTACCACAACCGGAACCAACTGGTCCTCTTGTACCAGCTTCGAATCTGACCAACACAGTCGTTTTTGAGGAAGAAGTTCAGTATGTCGCCCATCTCTGCTCTTTCGTTGAGCAGCTTAGAAGAATTTGGGGGGGTGCAACTTCCCTGGGCAATAATCATTAGCACCTTCCTGAGTCGCACTTTCCAGACAACCACTTTCGCAGCGCGTCATCTGGCTGGCTGCCTAGACTCGTCTCTCTTCTCTCGACCTCCAGCCTCAGCCTCAGCCTTCTCCAATAACTTTCTGCATTTCGTCAGTACCACGAACATGTCGTCCAGTCCCGAAGTCGTAAGCATTTCGTCGTCACAGTACACTCGGCATTACTGACCTCCCTTAGCACATCATCCTTCGCAAGAGGCCTGCCGCCGTCGATGAAAAGGCACCTGCATCCGCTCCAGCACCCAAACGCGCCCGAGTCGGCAGTCCACCGCAGGAAGAAGAAGAAGAACCAACTCACATCGCCCGCATGCTTAAGGCTATGCAGTTCCAACACGAACAGCTCCAACAAGCTACCGACCTGTGGATCCGCCAAAAGGGTGGCGAAGACAAGCTCGGTGATGCCAACACCATCTACCTCAGAACAGTGAGGTTCGCTCTGCACAGCGGAAAGCAGGCTATGGACATGGCCGAGTACCAGGAAGAGACCACCGTTGAGCAAGAGTAAGTACTCCCATCGTCATGCACACTGCGAAACATACTGATGCAATGCAGAAACGATCTCGAGGAACGTCTCGTCGACATCAAGTCCTCGCTCGAGAGCAGACAAGATGACAAGTTCCAACAAATGCGTTACGACTTTGAAGGCGATATGTACGACATCGCAAACGATGCCACCGATGGCCTGCTCGAGCCAGAACAGCTCAGAGAAGCTATGAGCGTGGTGTTTGAGTCGCGCCCGGAGACGGTCTTCGGTGAGAAGTGGATGGAGATCAAGGAGTTCGTCCTTCGTCAGATGAAGGCTGCCAAGGATGCACCAGAGTCGTCTCAAGATATCCTTCGCGAACATGAGGCCGAGATCGGTTTCTGAACAACCTCCAACGATTAGTTTGCTAGATAACATTGCTGGAAGAGACATCATCGAATGAATACATGCCTTACTGCTCATCTCTCTTTGGACAATTTTGCAACCGTGAAATGTATCGTGCCTTTTCATAGCTGTGTATTGTCGACCGCTTGTCGAGGTATAGAATTCGAGCCCGAGGCAACCTTGCAGAAACCTCAAACTCCTACTCTCCAACGTAGAGGCTGATATGTAGCCATAAAAAGGCAAGATGATTTTCGACGTCGAGTAGATGTCCAAAGAGAGCCGAGATCAACCCCTTGAAGCAGTCGAATGTCAGTCTAGTCAGCACTCTCTATGGACAATCAGCACCTCTTGAACAGCGGTAAAAAGGCAAGATGAGTTTCAAGGTCGAGTAAATGTCCAGAGAGAGCCGAGATCAACCCCTTGAAGCAGTCATATATTAGTAAAGTCAGCACTCTCCTCAGACGATCAGCCCCTCATATACAGCGGTAAAAAGGCAAGATGGTTTTCCGAAACCATCAAATGTCCAGTGAGAGGCCAAGTATCAAGCACTCTCACCGGACAAATCACCTAGATATGGGAGAGTTTCATGCATTTCGACAGTAAGGTGCAAAGCAAAAGCTCCATCAAGGAGACATGTCATTACTACTTACCCCCTCCACTTCAACTGCAGATTTCAACTTCGACTTTAACCTTCGACTTTTAACCTCTCTTCTCAACGCCCATGTCATCACCACTCTCGAACATTCTGGTGGCGTCTGAGTACTGGACGGGTTCGAACTTGGAAGCACCGGCATGGATGACCCAGCGGACAGGGCTGGTGTAGACATGGTGGTCATCGTGGTCATCGTGGCCATCGTGGCCATCGTGATCAACGTGATCAGCGTGATCATCGTGGCCAGCATGATCAGCGTCAGGCTCCTCATTAGCCAGACTCACTTCACCCTCCTCCGACGAAGAAGGCGAGAAAGCAGAAACCAAGCCCGTGGTCTCGGGACTGTAGAGACCCTCCCAGTCGGAATCAGAGTCCCACATTTCCTCTTCGGAGTCTGAACCTGCCAGATAGACCGAAGGCGGCGAAGGAACGCGGTCGGGCGAGTAGAAGTCATCATCGTTCCATTTGGGGCGGAAGGGGCTTCTTTCGGGGATGGGAGGGGGAGAAGGCGAAGACTTGCGTGCAGGTGACGAAGTGCTGGAGTCACTGAAGGCGGAGGAAGTAGGTGCGTACGGATCCTTCTTCTCCATGTTAGTACGTGCCGGACATTGCGAGAAATCACGTAGGGCATGCACGTACGGGTGCGTTTGGGCCCGTGGGCCAACCGGATGCAGGGAAGCATTCATTGGTTGTAGTGATGGGAGGACGAGAGTTGGGACGAGCCTTGATGTCGCGCTCGATACGTGCATCATCGTCCTCGATCTGAATGGTCGTCATGAACATCAAGTCCTTGTTGCGACGCAAGATGGGGGGCTTGTCGAGAGCTGCCAGGGTATGGGCTGTACATGTGTGAGGCCTTTCTTCGCGGTTTTTTGAAAGGGAACGATGAACTTACGCTTCTTTGGGGAGACGAAAGGATCAGATCCAGAAGGAGATACAGATCTTCTACTGGATGCTCTGGTCATGATGGCGAGAAGTTGTGTTGTCATGTGCGTAAATCGCTGAGTGACACAGAAAGAAAGTGTTGCGCAAAGGCACGGAGAGAGTTGTGATGGAACTAACAGTGTCGTTAGCAACAGAGTCGAGATAGCAGCACCGGCGCGATCACCACGAAGCGCTGGCTTGAGGCAGCGACGACAATGTGAAGACCTGCGGTAAAGGCATCCTTGAACTTACCGAATAAGACTTTTGATTACCACCGACTTGTGTATTGCATTGTGCATGACAAGCCGGCAAGGTGGTGATATTGGCCGTTCCTCTTGACCTCGTCTTCCATTTCTTCAAGCTTATTGCAGTGATAGCCTTCCAAGCCCTAGCAGCCTCTTCTTTATCATAACCATCCTCGTCCTTCTTCGCCAGCTTCTCTTCAAGTGCCTTTGGCCCTGGACTATCTGCAAGCCTGTTGAGCCAGTCATTCAAGCGCTCACGACTCAGCCTCTGTTGTTCTTCGAGCTGCAATTCCTACTCGATGTCCTCATCCTCGTCGTCTCTGCGAGCACCAGGACTTCTGCTTCTGTTTCTTGACTTTCCACCACGAGCAGGTCCACCACGAGTGTCGTTGGTGTTCTTGGTAGGTGGTGGGCGCACAAAGGCGAAGTCGACAGAGATGGTCTGGTCAAGCAACTTGGTCTTGTTGGCTCCTTCGACGGCAGCCTTTGCCTCGTCCAGTGTGGGAAACTCGATCAGGACGTAGCCCTGCAGAGATCAGTATCCGGTCCTGCTTCTTCTGCCCATATTCAACGACGCACCTTGACGTAACCGGTTCTGCGGTCCAAGTTCATGTGCAAGTTCTTGATCTCGCCAAACTCGCCAAACAGCTCTTGCAGGTCCTCCTCACTGGCCTCCTCGTGGACATTGGTAGCCATAACGATCCAGCCTTCAATAGAGCGAACGGCCACGGCTCCGGTTGAAGTACGTGTTTCGGGTCCAGCAGGAGCTCCGCGCTTAGCTTCGGGTGATTGTGATGGAGAAGGAGAGCGGCCTTCCTCCTGTGCTTGCTCCTGCTCCTCCTGCTGAGGCTGCTGATCGATATCCATTTCGGCGTCGGCCATTGTCGCGACTGAAGATGTTTAGGGAAGGTGTTGATGGAATGAAGTACGCCTTGTATGATACTGAATCTGACGTATCTGTGTCGCCTGAGACGCGTCGAGTGATACGAATAGTTGGATTTATGAATGAGGCGATGGCTGAATGATGAGCTGGTGTCTTGCAAGTACAGATCGTTGTCGCGAGAGCTCGATGACAGCCGGTAGAACCTCGGCGTCGGAGTGGGAGAGTCCTCGCTGCCCCTGTCACCCGGATCCTGGATATGCTATTTCCTATCAGAACTATCTATCGATTTGGGATTTTCATACTTCCATGGACCCTTGGGAGAGCTCATATGGATGTACCCAATAACTTGTTGTGTCCAATTGGCAAGTAGCTGGTTGACTACGTTGTTAGGACGAGTGTTTGGATATTTGACAACCAGGCTTCAACAAAACCTTTTGCGATTGACAACACTTGGCTGCCAAAGAACCAACTCTGATCTATTCAGCGAGCACAAGGAAACCTCATTATAGCACACGTATGACGAAGATGTTTACGTTTCAAAGATGGTTGATGGAATTCATGACTTGCTTATGCCATAGAGAAAGGTACAATAATGATATACTCCGCTGTCTATCACGTTTGCCACGGGACTGGCCGAGAAAAACTCATGCATCAGCAGGTCATACATTTGGATGGCGGTGTAAGACGATTGAGAAGCATGTGATATTCAAGAACACCATGAGTCGCCATGATTGAACCCAACACCGTACGATAAGAAAGGTGATGCTCAGGTCTTGCCAATGCTCGACGACACAGGGTACTTGGTGCTGAGCCTGCAATAGAAGCGACCACACCCAAGTTCATGCTTCCATGTATTGCCAAACATGGATTTGAGACATTGAGCCCAGAAGACCTGACGAGCGCTCGACAAACATCAGTTGTAAACACCTGCACGTTAAAGAGGGAGGGATTTCGTTCATCATATATTCAAAAAGAAAGACCAATCTCCGCCAGACTTACAATTGAGGAAGCTATCTATGCCGATTGCTTCTGATACGTAATCATTGCCTGAAAGGTAAGATGGCATGCATACAATCATATGCTGTTAGCAATACTGGCTCTCTCAATCATCGTTCTTCCATCGCCGAGCAAAGAAAGCAACACTTAGCTGCTGATCAGTCGCTTTCTTCAAGTCCACTCCACAGCACTGCTTTGCCCACCTTTGGTCATGAAAGCCTTCGGAGACGTGATTCGTGCATAAGCCACTAGTTCTGTGCGTCGATCACATCATCTGGACCTCTGACAACGCCAGTGACATTTGCTTCGACGGGAGCCAGGTAAGTTTCCCCACCTTTGTCTGGAGTAAAGGCATACCTGGGCATCTGAGCCATCTTTTCTTCAGGAGAAATTTCCTGATCAGAATAGACTAGACGAGTGGCCTTTTTAGACTTCTTGCTGCCACTTTCAGCTTCCTTCTCGGGTGCTGGGGTGGGTGTAGGTTGTTGTGATGGACCTGATTTGGCGGACTGCTGAGCGGCAGCGCCCGATATGAGCTCATCCACGCTTGTTGCGTTAGCACCAGACTCTTGTGAGGGAGCAACAGGGCCACCCATGTTTCCACTATGCATTTCTGCAAGTTGCTCTCTACTGACATGAGGGGCATTGAAAGTTGGACGCTGGGGAAGACCAGGAGCCGAAGGAAGACTATTCTGACGAGTCGGTAGATCTTGCGCAGGCGGGCTCATGGGTGGAGCGTGGCGAGCATTCTGATATTGAGGAGGACTTGCTGAGTGTGGCGGGTATGCGAATTGAGCAGGAGGAACAAACGGCGCAGGAGGGCCTTGTCCGCCATAAGGCTGTGAGGGTGAAAAGGATGGTTGGGAACCAAACTGACCTGGCGGGAAGGATCCTGGAGGTGCTGCATATTGTGGTTCGCCGTAGTTGAAAGGGGGAGGTTGTTGGCCGTACGCAGCGGGAGCTTGAGCATACGATTGAGGTGGGTACGCGGAAGGTGGTGGGCTGGCAGCTTGAAGCGCTGATGGCGGAGGGAAACTCGACCGGTACTGAGGAGGAGTAGCGACATCGCCCTGGTTGCAGGTAAGTCTTTGGGGAGTTCAAGAGCTGGATTGGACAAACGTACAGGTGTGTCGGGAGCGCTTCCCAGACCCGATTTCTCGGCCGCCTTTCTTGCCTTGTGTTCGGCCAAACGCGCCTTCAACTCAGCAGGAGACTCGAGCTTCGGCTTCTTTGTACCTGCAGCTCCTTGGATTGACGAACCGGGGACTGGGTTGCCTGTGGCAGCGCGTCGATCGGCCTCGGCTGCGAAGAATTCGTGACTAACGCGCTGGTTGTGTTGCTGCATTACATCGTCTGGAATACCTTCCATGCCAAAAATCTCGATGTCGGGAGCAGAGCGGTTAGGTAGAGCATTCTCCACCGTAGTCAGATTCTCCTTGTGTACTTGGTTCATGTGAACGGACAAACCTGCTCTCGAATTAGTCGTCGTTGCGCGTAATCGTTGACCATGAAGCCTCACCTCCAGCTGTATTGAGTCTGCGCCCACATCTGTCGCACTTGTAATGCTTTGCCTTCTGATGTGAGATTAGAATCTTCAAATCATCAAAGTCGCGCTCGCAGTAGTAACACCACGGACGCGCAAGAACCTCTTCGATGTCGGGGTGACCGCGCTTCTTCTTGCCCATGGTGAATGTGAGGTGGAGGGCTTGTAGTAGAAGGTATAAAAAGGTGGATATATGGGTTGAGCGAAAGAGCAGCTGTCAATGATCGCGTTCGAGGAAGTGACGATGCTCGAGCCTTGAAGCTGCCGCAGACGGAGTTTGCCGCAGAGTGGCTGGTCGCGTTGCTTCTTCCTCCGCTCTCAGCAACGAAATTTCCTTCTGCCGTGCTTCACATCATGATATGCGATGGCAGTCCTCGAGATTTGAGAGTGCTTCTGCCATCTGATTGCTCATGCTTGTAGGCTATGGTAAGTTCATGTCCAATCAGCAATACCCCAAACCCTGCCACTTGCTCCATTATCAGGACATTGTCGAGGTCTTTCTGCTTCGGTGGGAAGAGCAGTCTGTCTGTTTCACGTCTTGTGTCCAGGCAATGCTGTGGGTCGGTATAGGGGAGGTGAGAAGTCTTGTACTTCTTGCTGAAACGTTGCAAGACAAAAAGCCAGGTGCCTCATAGTTCATACTTTCACCGTCTCTCGAGACGCCTTCAGTGGGAAGTATGACTCCTTGTGTACCCACACTTTTATATCGGAATCAATATGTTTTGTGTTGCAAAGTACTCGAGTTTCTTATTCTATATGTTGCTACACTTGACCGAAGACGTGACTGCAGTTCTGTCGAGACAGAAAAAGACCTGTTTAATGCTAAGAGCGAAGATGATCTGATCATCAATGATCACACGTACTGGGGAGAGATTCACTGCGAATTACTTGGTCATGACACGTCAAGAAAGAAGAGAAAATCAATGGGGGTATCAACATGATCGAAATTGGTAAACTTTTGCAAGTTGACGAAAGAAGGTAGAAGAGAGACGGGCGAGGTCGAATTGATGGGATGCTGCGTTGTGCTGTGTCGCCGTGAAGAAAAACGCAGTACCGCATGCATAAGCTCTCAACCATGAGTTACATTTCCATAGCCGTAGCCATATCCTCAACGCCTTGCCCAATCCCCAAAGCTTTTTTGAAGTTGCCTTGTTGCACCATCCTTGGGTTCATCAACCACTTTGTGTGAAAGAGCGAGTGATTTACTCGTCATCCTCCTCCTGCTCAGCCTCGAGGGTGGACATGGCGATACGGTCCAAATCACGCTGGCCAGACTGAGTGATGCGGCGGCCACCCTTCTCCTCGTCGAGCTCGAGAACACCAATCTTCTCGAGGGACTGGCAGACCTTGCGGTCAACGGAACCGGAGGCGTCGACGTGACGGCTGGGGCGGGAACCGCGGTTCTTGGGGGAGCCGTGGACCTTGCGCAGACGGCCGATACCGACGTTCTTGCGCATGTAGATGTGACGGGCGACGGCAGCAGCGCGGACGTAGAACCAGTCAACGTTCTGAGGAGGAAGCTCCTTGGCGGTACCGGTCTTGACAGTGTCGACCCAACCCTATGTTTCGCATACAGGTTAGTTACACTCTCTTGGGCCTCCCTTGCGGGAGATTCTAGGTTGACCCAAAGCACTACATCGTGCAGATGACTTCGAAAGACCGCCACCAGAGATTGTTCTGCTAGGCTTGCCTTTCAAAGACTCCGACACGACATGATGCAAGATTTCAGGTGTGGTAGTTGACTTACAGGGACGGCGATACGACCTTGTCTCTTCAAGAAAGAGGCGTCTGTATTATGGTAAGCCCGTGGTCCTAGAGGTATTGGATGGACGCAGGAGGGAGTCGTCGCATAAGAGATGTTGTGTTTCCAGAGATCCTTCACTGTCGCTTGACGCAATCCACGACCACACTGCTATTCATCATGCGGCGCAATGTTGAATGATTGGTCGAGCAGTTTGTTGAGTGATATGTGGTCGCGCATTGTTGTCGTCGTCGGGAAAGCAACTCCATCTCTTGTGCGAAAACTCCTCTCCAGCTCCAAGGGTGTAGACTAACAGTTCTGGATGAACTTGTCGGCAGGGACATCGCGGACGGAGACACCGGGCATTTTGGCGGTTGTGAAGGGGGTTGTCGACGGTGGTAAGGTCTTGTGGGCGTGCGAAAAGGTCGTCTCGGTCAAAGGCGAAGGGAACTGGCGTTGGAGGCCGCTGAGAATTTTGCGACTCTCGTGTGCGCGGAGCTACCCGTGTGCAAAAGTCTTGGCACCTTCCAGCTTCACTCGCTTCTTGGTCTCGACCACTTCGACCATCACTTCTCGATGACATTACAACATAGTTGCAGAGCTTTTGGATGCCATTGAAGAGCATCATAATCAACACAATTCTCTATGTGGCTACCCCTACATGTGTTTCAATCCGAGACACGAGGTCCAGTTCTACCTGCCTATTCATATCTCTCGTTTCTCGACCCGCCTGTCAGTGGTACAATATGCATAAGACATGGAAACAACTGGACCGAATAAGAGGAAACTCCACTGTATTGGTGCTTGTGTAGAAAATCCATTGACCAAGCCAAGCTAAGACCTGTAAACTTCAAGTATGGATCCAGTCGTTGACCCAAAAAACCAGTCGCTTGGATATCTCAAGAAAGTGTTGGCCTTCTCTCCAAACCTACCATATATCGAACAAAGAGCTCATTCACGAAATGCTCGTGTCTGATTCCTGGTGCCCTCTTGTCCGCAAACTCCTCCAGTGCATCTTGTAGTCTCCACCCTAGTCTCTCCACCATGTAGCTAACCAAGAAGAAGCCGGTTCTGTTGAAGCCGTAGTGGCAATGGACAGCAATCAAAGCACCTTCTGGTTCTTCAGGCTTTGTGAGCTGTTCTCTCAATGTGTCGATCAAGGCGATGAAAGCCGCGACTTCTTCTACTGTAGGCGGTAATTTGCTGACGGTGGGGAATTTATGGTACTCAATGCCACCTTCCTCAAGGCCCTTAGGATCGTAGACAGGGCTTTCGTGACTGATGTCCACGACCATGCGAACTCCTTGCTTGACACCATTTCTGGCTCCCCATCGCTTGACGTAGACTGCGGGTGTGTGCTCTTCGTCGATCTCGCGCAGTGTCTTCTGTGCTCGGAAGATACCTGCGATAGGTTCTGAGACGGGTTTGATGGCTTGCCACTTCTGAAGGTTCTTCACGTCCCATTTGCCTTCAGTGCTCAAGTGTTGCAGTTGCCAGCCGAGAGATAGACGGTGATCAATATGGTTGGCGACGAATGATTGGATCAATCCTGAGAGAACGCGCACCGTCGAAGTAGCGTAAAGCAGGGCATGAGAAGCAGGCTTTGGGAGTACTGTCGTCTTCAGAACAAACTTTGGCTTCTTCGGGACATCTGGTGTAGCACTGTCTTGCCGTGTTTCAGATACCAGATCCTGACCAGACTTTGTTGTGGTAGACTCTGGCACAAAACTCTTTCCGTTCTCCTCGATTGGTGTGTTGTCAATAACGGGTATCTCGCCAGCAGAGCTAGGCAAAGCATCAAGTTTCGGCTTGGTCTGGTCTCGTGGAACCTGACGTCCCAGCCACTTGGCAATCAATTCAACATTCTCAGGTGGTGTTACATGGTCTTGCTCTCCACCAATGCAGAATGTAGGAACACGAAGACCGGACCAGATGTCCTCACCGGGCAAGCCCCCGATAGCCTTGTTGTCTGTGTACTTCGGCATAGAACCAAGAGCCATCGCCATAAAGACTTCAGACCTGCTTTGTTCGTTGAATCGTAGTTGTAACCGCTTAGTCTCCGAATCTGCTTCCTTGCCTGCATAGCGAGAGACACTAGCGCTTTCCGCCCCGCCTCGTCTGTCCCACCAACGGAAGACTTCGAAAAGAGGAATGGGCATATAACGCATGTGCTGGAGTCGTGATACCTGGCTGGCCGACAAAGTCTCGGCACGAGGACAGATGGCGATAAACCCGGCGATGTGCTCAGAAATAAGATGGGATAGCGGTGATGTCGAAGAAGCAAGTAGTGTTGACAAGGAGCAACCCATGCTGTGACCAATCAAGATTACCTTCTGTCCGTTCCCTGCATCTCTGTGTTGAGTGATGGCCTCAGCAATTAAAGATGCCAATGCTTCCGATTTGTATGCTTCCCGTTTCTCAGGCAGGAAATCAGACAAGCCACATCCTGGAAGATCGATGGCAAGGCATGGTGCAGCATTGACAAGGCCAGTCAGTAAAGGTGCAAATTGAGCAGCACTTCCTCCAAGACCGTGGACAAAAACGAGCAGTGGTAGTGGTGTTGGCTTGGTAGGAAGCTTGTCGGCCTGTGGATGAGGATGATAGAATGTCCTAATCGACGGATAAACGAAACCAGCGGCAGTGTAAGATTTCTGTGATGAGTGCTTTTTCAACAGGCCTGGATCTGCTGCTGAAGGATCTAATGGGTCGTATAAGTCTGCTGATTGATCAAACTGTTTCATGGTCGAGAGGACTGCAAACGAGTGGAGATGGAAGAAATGGATAGGGGGGAAGTAGAACTACATCGAAGACAACAGGAGTTATGTACAACCGACTCACCTTTGGCATCAGAATCACGTTTTGCACTAGCGATTCGAGATAGGTAATACACTGACGCAGTCGCGAGCACTACCGTACCTCCGAGAACCACGAGGGTAGACATCTGCTTTCAACGCGCTGACAGGCCTAGACCCTGAAACCTTGTCGTAAAGTATGGTTATGCGGTTTGAGGAGATGAGGTTGCGATTCTTGGTAAAGCGAGATAAAGCGATGACGCAGCAGTGGAAGAATTTGGTCGACGCGAAGAAAACCGCCAGGAAAATCAGATGTATCTGCGACTACACACGGCAAGCCAGAGGGACAGTGAGCGTTTGAGTCGATTGAGTTAGTACTAATTTGTGTCTCTTGAGATGGAGTTGGACGAGGAAGTCAGGAATCGTGCGACGAAAATGGGTTTGGCATGAAAGACGCGCACCAATGATCGCGCGCGATGATTGAATGTGGGTGAACAACTGGCCGACCATCGATCCTTTCTCTGGCATCACGAATCATCCAAATAACATCCCCGTTTTATATTTACTCTTTCTAGAACACATCACATCGATGTCGTTTCCATGTCCCCGGACAGAAGAGGTGCTACATCTGAGGAGTGGTCTCTATACGGCAGCTCATTGGACGAAGGAAATACCGGCCTCCATGGATCTTCCCTAGACACATCGGCAGGGCTATCCGTACAACCTTATATGCACGTGTGTCGGTCCTGAACATTTGTGATCAGTTTGATGTTTCTGAACCAGTTTCCCACATGGGACGAGAAGAGCTCTCTCTCTATTCAGGTACTCACCACATCCCCAGCATTTTCTACCCTTCGTTCCTGCCAATCGCGTTAAAGTTGCAATGCACGTAGTATGAGGAGACGCTGCCGAAAGGCATCAGGCGATTGATGCTTACGATACTACGCATCTCACACGCTGCACTATTGTGTGTGTTTCTTTCTGCCTGGCGGCATCTAGAGAGGCTCAAAGTGCTCCAAAGAATAGATGAGCCTCACTTCGCCTTTTCGGTAGAACACTTCTCCGAATGCCCTCGGATGGAGCCGAGCGGCCGTCTTCGGCTCTGATCTGTGGGGGGTGCGCGGGGCGTGACGAAGGTGAGAAGTCCGATATCCCACTTGGGCGAATGAGAGTGGAGAAAAAGGTCAAAACCACTACACACTCTGGAACTACATTTCCTTCGTGACCGGAATTCTTCTTCCAATTGTATGCTACAAAGCCAAAGACATCCAAGTCGTATAGTTTCACAGCTTCAACAACCACTCAAAATGGATCCCGCAAACCTCAAGGCACAATTCCAACCAGAAGAACCACGTCTTCTCAGCTTCCCTCATCTTCCAGATGATGCCAAGTATGAAGATGGAACACCTATCCTGAACAAGTATTCTTCGACGTTAACTCGAGGTCATGACTTCCCTGGAGCTCAGGCCATGCTTTATGCGGCCGGCGTGCCGAATGAGAAGATGATGAAGACAGCTCCACAAGTTGGTATTGCCTCTGTCTGGTGGGAAGGCAATCCTTGCAAGTGAGTTAATGAAACCCTGGAGATTTGAGACAGTACTGACGGGGAGATAGCAACCACTGTGGGTACTTGAGATCCAACATCAAACGGAAAACTAACACTAGGACCAGTGCACGATCTCGGAAAGACTGTCAAGCAAGCTGTTGAAAAGCAGGGTATGCTTGGATGGCAATACGGCACAATTGGTGTATCAGATGGTATCACAATGTGAGTATGAACGGTTGCTGCTACAGGCAAAGGCTGAAAAGAGGCAGGGGAGGCGAAGGCATGCGCTTCTCTTTGCAAACTCGTGAGATCATTGCAGACAGCATCGAGACCATCACATGTGCTCAATTCCACGATGCCAACATTTCCATTCCTGGATGTGACAAGAACATGCCAGGTGTTGTGGTAAGTATTGCGTACGAACCGTGACAATTACATGGAAGCTGATGTATACTACAGATGGCAATGGCAAGACACAACAGACCTTCCGTGATGATCTATGGTGGTACTATCAACCCAGGATACTCAAAGACCTTGCGAAAGACCATCAACATCACAACATGCTACGAAGCACATGGCGCTTACAACTTTGACACACTCAAGAACCCAGACGACCCATCGATCACCAAAGATGAAATTTTGACAGATATCGAGAGGAACGCATGTCCTGGATCTGGAGCTTGCGGTGGTATGTTCACGGCAAACACTATGGCCATGGCAATCGAGACTCTTGGTCTATCACTTCCTGGATCTTCTTCAACTCCCGCAACTTCGCCAGCCAAGATGCGCGAATGTCAAAAAGCAGCGGAAGCGATCAAGATTTGTATGGAGAAGAACATCAAGCCGCTTGACTTGCTCACAAAGAAGTCATTCGAGAACGCTCTGGTTATGATGATGGCTCTTGGAGGCAGCACAAACGGTGTACTTCATTTGCTCGCCATGGCTGGTACCGCAGGAGTCGATCTCAGTCTTGATGACTTCCAGAGAGTATCGAATCGTATTCCTTTCATCGCAAACATGGCTCCTTCAGGCAAGTATCTGATGGCTGATCTGTACGATATTGGCGGCATCCCATCTGTTATGAAGCTGCTTATTGCTGGAGGTCTGCTTGATGGCAGTGTACCTACAATCACTGGCAAGACATTGGCAGAGAATGTTGCTCCCTTCGATTCTCTACCTCAAGGACAAGAAATCATCCGCAGCTTGGACAACCCCATCAAGCCTACCGGTCACATCGAGATTCTCCGCGGTAACCTCGCTCCTGAAGGTGCTGTGGCTAAGATCACGGGCAAGGAAGGCATGAGCTTCACCGGTAAAGCTCGCGTCTTCAACAAGGAGCACGAGCTCGACGACGCTCTGAACAAGGGTCAAATCCCTCGTCACGAGAACCTTGTCATTGTCGTCCGCTACGAAGGCCCCAAGGGTGGCCCCGGTATGCCCGAACAGCTCAAAGCCAGCGCAGCCATCATGGGTGCCAAACTCACCAACGTCGCTCTGATCACAGACGGCAGATACAGTGGTGCCTCTCACGGCTTCATCGTCGGTCACATCTGCCCTGAAGCCGCCGTCGGAGGTCCCATCGCTGTTGTCCAGGATGGCGATATGATCACCATTGATGCCACTAACAACACACTCAGCATGGATGTTTCGGAAGAAGAAATCAAGCAGAGATTGGAGGAGTGGAAGAAACCAAGATCAAACGTCACTCGGGGTGTGCTGGCCAAGTATCAGCGCTTGGTCGGCGACGCAAGTCATGGTAAGTGTTTAAAATCATCATTCACAAAGAACCATTCACTGACAATATTTTCCAGGTGCCATGACAGATTTATTCTAGTCGTTACGAGTATGTATATGAAATGAAAAGCACTTTCACCAAACCCAGAGGTTCCGAACGCAGATTTGGACAGGCGTCGAACAATTTACATCAAAAGGCAGAAACTTTTCTTTCCAATGTGGGAACCCGTCTTGTATTCAGACGAACCGTTTCCACCTCCACATCAAAAGGCTCATAACTTTTTGCCCAAAGCTTTGTATATTTTATAAAACAGGCCTCGTGGTGCAAGCAAGTCATTTCCCACGGTCTGACATGCATGTATCGCCATGTCGCATGTCGCAATATGCATAAAGATGTGTGTGTGGTGCATGCGTGGATGTGTGTGCGTGCCGAAAAAGAAACACAAAGAGAACATGACCTATATTCGTTATTTACTATAGACCCGAGGCCGAGGATGCGTCTGCGTCGCGTCTCAGGATTTTCTGGACCCAACAGCCTGGGTTTCGGAGATTTTCTCTTCAGCCTTTGTGTCACTTCGAGTCAAGAGGCTGGAAAGAAAACTGGAACAGGAAATTCATGATGGTGTAGTGAAGTATCAAGTACAGTATCTGTAAATTTTGAATGAAGTCTCTATGTAGTAGAATGATGAATGGGTGAACAGAAAAACAATGCGATGTATGCAAAAAGCGAGCGGTGTGGGTATCTCGAAACAACACGCAGAGCAAGAGATCGCTCGGAAGCGAAAAAGCGAGTGGTAGGGTATCTTGAAAGAACAACAACAGCAACCCATGGAAGAAGACGGGACCATCTTGGCCAACGAATAAGAAGCAAAGCGAGCGATCGAAGGGTATCTTGAACAAGAAAGAAAAAAAAAACCAAGCAAGATGCAACCATGAAACAAGAGGAAAACAAGAAATCAGAACTCCGGATATATGCAAATGCAGATGCAAGGTCGGAAAATCTATGACGGACCGGGCCATGATGCAATAAGTTGTGAATGCTGTGCGATGCTTTTCGAAACCAGGGAGAACTCGGAAGAGTTTAGAGAGACAGAGCATATCCGTAGCCTGTGAAGCCTTCGGCCATGGTGGCATAATGAGGTGTGGGAGTGTGCTGCTGAGAGGAAGGTGTGTGTTGCTGGGGTGTTTGGCCCCGGGCGCTGTGTTGATGCAGGTGTTGAGGCGCAAGTTCTGCCCACTTTCGGGCGCAGTGTCGCGAAGGCCACTTCTCTTCAACACCGAACTCGAGCATCTAGAATGAATTGTCAGAAACATGATTTTGCTTGTGAACAAGATCTTGACTCACCTTCTGGCTGACAATGTCCCACTTGCACTTCTCCCAATACTCGTGTGCCTGTCTCAACGCCTCGAGATCGCGCTCCTCCCAGTTTCGGAAACGTTGTCTCAGGCGAAGGTACCGCATCTGCAGTGTAGCAACGGTGATTGACTGGCCCAATTGATTGCTGAAACGAGCTGCAATCTCCTTCCAGGGCAAGGCTTCGTCTTCTTTCAATGTGATGAGAAGACGTTCTTCGTCGTTGAGGTGCTCAAGCGAAGGTGTTCGCTTGCGACGCTTGGAGTTCGAGCGGAGCATGGCTTCTTCATCTTCCTGTTCTTGACGACGTTTCGAAACAAGGCCAGCAGGGTTTGGGGCAATAGAGGGGTAGTAGCGCTGAGTATCTGCTGAGCTGCGTCTTTGAGGCGGGCTTGGGGTGGTGAACTCGGCTGCGGGAGTTTGATAGCTCGTTGTGGGAATAGCGTTGGATGGGATCATCTGAGGTTCAGCCATAGGGAAGCGGATACCGAGAGGGTTCTCTGGCCATAGCACTTCGTTCGCGGATGGTCCAAAAGTGCTGGGGCTGCTGCGAGGTCTCTCAATCAAGCTGTTTGCATGGCTCGGTGGGAGAATAGCCAGATCGTTGTATGTGGGTGGCGTTGGCCATTGAGCTGTGCCGGTAGAATATCCAGTCATGTCATAGTGGTTGAAGGAAGGGAATGGTGTCATGAATGGTGTGTTGTATGTGAGCTAGACTGATGAGCAACTCGTCTGCTATCATGTGTGATGATTGATACATACAGGTGTCGGCGCATACCATGCAGTTGGATAGCCTTCAGTACACACAATCTTCTCATTCGATGTTGTAGACTCGAATTGGTCCATGATGAGAATGATGATGAGTTGTTGTGGTTATGAGTTAAGGTGTAAAGGCTTGATGAACAAGATAGGGAAGGAGCAACGGACACTAGTGTCAAGGGACTCGAACAGATACTTGAGTGTTGGTGGATGATGCTAATGCTGTGTCTGGGTGGTACCTGCCTGGAGTAACTTTGGACGGGCATGTTGGTGATTTTGTAGGATCGGTGGTAGACTTGACGTTAGCATGCAGAAGAACCACGGACTGAGCCTCCATGTCTGAGCCTCTGCCGAACTGATGGAGGTGAGATATTTTGAGAACACAACGAGTCCCAGGGCAATGTCTCTGAAGGATCAATAGGCTATCTGTGCGGCATGTTGGGGGAGAGACACAAGCACCATTGACCTCTCGAAAGAATTGGTACAGAGAGGCACGCCGACTTTCCATACACGCCCAGTGCATAAGCGCGCCATGTATCTAAATTGAAAATGGTGGACCTCATCCGTGGCAGCGGGACGTGCTCGGGAGCAACCGCAGCACGAATCTGGGCGCAGAACACGCGCGCTGTCAGAGCGGATTGGTCGTCATGATCTGACTTGATAGTCTGACAAGCGGGAGAGATACGTAGGCAGATGCGTCTCATTTGCATGTTCCCAGACATTTTAGAGGAGATAGGTCATGTCTCAATTCTTGTCAAAACACGGTGAGTAGTACTCGACCTCGTTCCTCCATCTCGACTTCGGTGGAGTAGGTGGATGTTCTTGTGTCCCAAAATAGAAACAGGTAAATGTTGAAGGCTTGCAAAATCCGGTTTGACTGACATATAATTTGAGTAGGCTTCTTTCAACCGCGTTTACCGATCTTGCAGGACATCTTGGATGCGATCGCGTGTGGATGATGTGCGGCGGGAAAGAGATGGACTGGCATCAGCCTACCGCGTGGGGTACACCGTCGACTCGATAGACGGCACCATCATAACATGCATTTTGCAATGTTTCAGTACGAATGATTGGTCTACCCACGACTAAGCAACTCGCGGCTGATCGACTGACTGGTCAAGAATGAACAGCAAGCACAGATGGTAAAAATAAACTCAAGCATGCGGGGGTATCACCGTCAATTAGTCGTGTATATTGCTGCTCAAAATAGATTGCATTGGAAGGAATGCAGACTAATACTCTGTTTCTGGCTGCATGTCGTTGTGTTTCAAGAATGGCGGTTAATATATTACCCTCACCACTACCCAGCCTCTCCATGTTCGATTGAGACAAGTGAATCATGCTTATGCTGAAACAAGGCTGATCCTTGGCTCTGGATGTCTCTATTTCCTCGAAGGGTTGTCGGGCATGGAAGAGGGTTGTGTGATGCCAGGATCGATCAAAAGGAAGCCTCGAAGATGAACGCTTGACCGGTCGCCCCTTGAAATTGGTAAAAGCGGTCTGAAGGCCCGCCTATGCAGTACCTATTGCTTCATCTAGAATTTGGAATTTCACAACTTGATGAAGACGAAGAAGAAAGCTTGTTAGATAGGAAGGATTATGTTATAGCAGGTGAAAGTACCAAAGAGGAAGGTGTTTGCTTGGGTGGCTGGATAGCTCCCTGCTCGACTGCCACGCGAGGATTAACAACCCTAATTATCTGGTGATATATCCGTACTTTGGATGATTTGATTTGCTTTGCAGCCGAACTGTCTAGTTGGTCGCGAGTTTGACCAAATCGCGACTTTTCTGCGAGATTTGCTCCATCAAGAGCATGAAGGAAGATTCATTGATTTAGCGCTGCATCGAGGAAACGCCGAGTCAAACTGGACGTGGATTCTTCCTTGCTTCTTTCAACATGAGAAATGCGCAGTTCATATATCGAGGCGCAGTATGCTCGAATCCTCCTCAGGCCAAAAGCATGATGCTAGAACTCCACGGTGGGCTGTGCTGTATAGGATTTCCCCACTTTCAAGGCGAAGTCGTGGATCTGACATGCAAGTGTATTTTTCTGGTCTATCATCTCATCGTCATTTCGTTCTGTCATGATGCTCTAAATCTCGATATCCTCATTCATTCCCGGTCTTCCTTCAATTCCATTAGCCGGCTCTTCTATGTCGATGTCTTCTCCACCTTCAACATCATCCATGTCATCGATGGGGAAGGTGAGGATAGCAGCCACACCACCGAGACCTTCCAAGCGCTTGCCGCTCTCATGCATACTGCTCAAAACTCTGACATCACCTCCGTGTTCTTGGCTAACCTTGTCAACCAGAGATACCCACCGTCTTCTGACTGCGACATCTTGAGCTCTGAAAAGGGCGTTGGATATGAGCAATGCACCACCACCTCTTCCCACAGCGCCCTTTTCAACAGCAGACTCGACCTCTTTCGGGCCGTACCATGCGCGACCATCGTCTTTTCTTAGTAGGTCGAAGAACTTGTCCATGAGAGCCGTCTCTTTTGCGAATCGAGTATCGCTTAGCTTTGCTGTCACGGCAGGAGAAGCCATAACCTCTGCGAGTGAGTGCAGGTGACCGCTGGCGGAATGTGCGACGATGACCTTTGAGACAAGAGCTGACAGATTCTTGTCGGCTTTCGTGGAGGCGGTAGTTTTGATGTATTGTTGAAAGGCGGTCGCGGTGAAACCAGGACTTGCCAGCAGTAGTGGTTTTAAGTCGGCCATGTTGAGTTGTCGAAGAAGCGACTCGAGTACGGTGGAGTAGAAGCGCTGGCTAGCCTTGTCGTGGTCTGCACTGGGCTTGCCGGGACGCTTCTTGGGCAGGGCAAGTTCGATCCTCTGGCGCAAAATGGTCTGGTGATTTGTGACGAGACAGATGTTGGCGAGGCCTTCTTGCATGACGACGGCCCATAGCTCAGCCTTTTGTGTTTGGTCGATGGACTCTTTCAAGATATCAAGAGCAATGCTGTCCCAGCCATCTGCCTTTTCGAGGGTGAAGTTGCGTTGCAGTTCGAGGTCGAGGGTGTGGTATGAGCCGCGCTTGACCCACTCGTTCTCTTCAGCGACGGTACCGCTGACATGGAGTTGGGCTGCTTGCGGGTCGAAGTCCAGGGATGTGACACGGAGAGTAAGGGTTGTTTGCACTCTCTTTGAGGTACTCGAACCAGTCATGGACTCGGTGGTTACGCGGCGAATGGCTGAGGCGCGAAGAAGGTCGGTCGGTCTGATCAGATTGTATGCGTGCCACATGTCCTCGGGCTCTTCTGGGAGCAGTGTCGCACTGCCCGAGCCATCTTTCTTCTCAATACTTTGCTTGATTAAACGCATGGTGGATTTGTATGCTTGTGTTGGTGAAGTGGAAGTTTGGAAGAGGGCCGTGTATTTCTCGAAGACTGAAAGCGAACGATGACGAAGGTGGATTTTGTGACTCTTGCCTTGTCGGGCTTGCTACTGAACTTCTTCGCCTTGACTTATTTCACGAGCTCTTGCGATACTGGAATTTACCATAGACAATACTACGAGTAGTTCGATTCGACCTGGTACATGTATACATAATACGTTCGAGCATAAGAAGGTCATGATTATCCTGCCGTGGCATGATTGGCCGATGGATCATGCGACATCGCGGCTCAGAAGAGTCATGGCGGGGAGCTCAAGAACTCTCACTCCCATCCTTCTCAACATTTCTTTGTCTCGTACTCGAGCAGAATCTGTGCTTCTCTGTTCTAGCAGATCATTCAATCGAATCTCATCTTTCAATTGTCTTCGTGCCTCAATCATAAAGTACGGACTACAACAGTCATGATGTCGAGCAGCAAGGAATTATCCAAAAATCAAGGCCGAGGTACCAGGTAACGTAAAGCATGAACCGGTGTTCAATTTGACTCTTTTCGAAGAGTCTTTTGTTCTGAGAGAAACGGTCGAACTTGATCAGGATAATACCTGCGCAAAGAATCATGCTTTATCATCATTCCATCTAACCCGTCTTTGGAGGCTGACCTTGTTACAGGTGGCCGAACATGGACGAGCAATCTCAGATGAGAAACTCGAACAAGGACCTCGAGAAAGATGGTCCTACTTTGATGCCTGTCGAATTTGATGATGACTCAACCCTCGCTGGTGGCAGCTCCAAGTTGAGACGGCAAATCAAGAACATCGAGCATAGCCTGGCTCATTACAACCTCGAAGCTCGTGGTATCCATCGCGTCATGCCTAATGAACGGCACAGCCTGAGGAATCTGGGATACTCTCAAGTTGGACTGCTGTGGTTCAGTGTCAACCTCGCTGCCAACAACATTACTCTTGGTATGCTCGGTCCAGCTGTTTACTATCTCTCCTTCTTGGACTGCTCTCTATGCGCTGTCTTTGGAATGCTTGTTGGATGTCTACCCGTCGCCTATGTTGCTACTTTTGGACCTGTCAGTGGCAACAGGAGCATGGTATTCGCTCGCTACACCATGGGATGGTACCCTGCCAAGCTGGTTGTCGTCCTCAACATCATCGTTCTCCTTGGATACTGCCTAATCGATGCTGTGGTTGCTGGGCAGATTCTCTCTGCTGTCTCTCCAAACGGCTCCCTCTCCGTCATTGTCGGCATCGTTATTGTGGCTGTGTTGACATGGGGAATTACCATCTTCGGCTACAGCGTTTTCCACTTCTACGAGCGTTATGCCTGGCTTCCTCAACTCATCGTTTTGTCTATCCTTGCCGGTGTTGCCGGACCCAAATTCGATCTTGAAACACCATCCAGTGGCGACACGCTCACTATTATCGGCAATCGACTGTCCTTCTTTAGTCTATGTCTGTCTGCTGCAATTACCTACGCAGGCGGCGCTGCAGATTTCTTCGTCTACTATCCAGAAGAAACCCCTCGTTGGAAGATATTCAGTGTCACCATGTGTGGTTTGGCCTTGTCATTCACCTTCGCCTTCATGGTTGGTATTGGACTCGGCTCAGGCGTCGCTACAACCGCATCTTGGAGTGATGCGTACAACGTCTCGCAAGGTGCTCTCATTGTCGAGGGCTTCGCTCCTCTAGGAAGCTTCGGCAAATTATGCGGCGTGATTGTGGCTCTTGGTCTGATCGCCAATATGATCGCGCCCACATACAGTGCTGGCATGGATTTCCAAGTCCTTGGTCAATGGATGACAGTCGTTCCTCGATTTGTGTGGAACACTCTTGGTGTAGTGATCTATACTGTATGCGCCATTGCTGGTCGTGGAAGTCTTGCAGCCATTTTCACCAACTTTCTTGCGCTTATGGGCTACTGGGTGTCGATATGGATTGCTATCAGTCTCGAAGAGCATTTCATCTTTCGTACTTGGAGAGGTATTGGGTTCAACTGGAATGCCTGGAATGATAAGAGCAAACTCCCCATCGGTATTGCTGCAACCATTGCCTTCCTAATCGGCTGGGCTGGAGGTGAGTTTTGATTTATACATTCTCCGAACAGCACCTAATCATGGACAGCAATTCTTTGTATGGCACAAGTCTGGTACATTGGCCCTCTTGCAAAGCAAGTTGGAGAATATGGCGCTGATGTAAGTACCGTCTGTTCGTACGAAGAGCCAGATGCTGACAGAATTGCAGATGGGTAACTACGTCGGATTCGCTTGGGCAACTGTGGTCTACCCACCTCTTAGATGGCTCGAGATGAAGAAGTTTGGTCGTTGAAGGACCATTATAGCCACGTTTTAAGAGGTAGAAGGAGGCCTGTTGAGGTCTCGTGTGGGTTTCACTTTCAACACAACGAGAAGGATAAGTGCTAGATTCAACCCGCATTCTGGCAGACTGCAAAGTCACTACAACCAAAACTTCAAAGTATATACAAAATAATCTGCTGCGTTCTTCAGCACTTGTGTTTCCGACCATTCACAGTGAGTCCAGAAGGAAGGCAAGAATAGGCGACCGAGGTCCCTGGCCGCGTAAGCTTTGACGACCCCGGATTATGACTCGGCGCGTTACAGCGTACAACGAACGAGCTCCTACGGACACACTCCTCAATAGGCAGACACGTTTGGAAGGAGCGATACAAAAGAGCACGCGAGCAGATGCCTTCATAATCCTTCATTCCATCCTGAGCCCCTCAACATGTTGCTCAATCCATTCCGCATTCTCGGCGACGTCAGCCATACGGTATCCAAGTGTATCTTGATATGGTCGATACACACAAACCAGAGCGCTGAAGGTGGGTCGTTGCCATCTTTCTCTCGCTGAGCATTACTAATGTACAATGTCTAGGTGTTTCGCTCATCACACAAGCGCTATACTGCGTCGTCTTCATTGTACGATACCTGGATCTGATCGTGGATGTACCCTTTCACACCTTCCTCTCCTTCTGGAACTTCACTCTCAAGGTCTTCTACATTTCTACGTCGCTGTATATCGTGTTTCTTATGACAAGAGTATATGCACGAACAAGAGAACGTGAAAAGGCATGGAAGATTGGGCTTTGGAGTTTGCTCGGCTCCATTGTGAGTGCCCCTGTGGTGGCCGCCATCTTCATGGGAAAGAAACCCTTCTCAGCAAAATATTGGTTCGAGGTTTGTGACAAGCTGGAACTTAGGCTGAGTCTATCTGTGCTGACAAGTGGATTAGATTCCCTATACGTTTACGCTCATCCTCGAATCGCTCTGCATCCTTCCTCAGTTGCTTCTCCTCCGCCAGACATCGGTCCCTACCGTCATCGACAGCTTCTACCTCGCGACCCTTGGCTCGTATCGCGCCTTCTATATTCTCAACTGGATCGTTCGCAGTGCTACGGAATCCCGCCACAGTGACATCTTCCCCGTCAGCTTTACCTTTGGTGTCGTTCAGACCCTCTTCTACTTCGACTTCGCCTGGGTGTACTGGACAAGACAGCGCGTCAAGCTGAGATACGGCGGTGTTGTGGATGGGGAAGATATCAGCAGAGGCTGGCTGATCAGCAAGGTCCTTGGGCAAAGAGGAAACACAAATCATGACGATGATGATGATGATGATGCCGCGCTGGCCGGTCAAGAGGAGGGTATCATTCGTCCTGCAGGCGCAAGCAGAAGCAACAGCGCATGGGGTCCAAGAGGCATCTCCGTATCTGCCGATGACGGCGTGCACGAGTCTGAGCGAACCCATCTGGCTGACCCCGCCGCGTTCGAAGACGACTACGAGGACGATGCCGTCGTCGTGAGCCCTGCTGTCTCAGAGGCCGACCGAGTGTCCATCAAGGCCAGAGATGAAGCCACGGCTCAAGATAGTGGAGTCAGTGATGGTGTCGAGTGGCGCGATGATCGTCATAGCTAGAATCATCACTCAACATCCTCCCCTTTTAAAAACTCTGTCACGTCTAGCAATCTCACGGCCACGCCTAGGACTGTTTGGACTGTAGAAATGCACAGTGTTATTAACATCGGTCCGGCCGTCCGTAGAGAGTTCCTAAGTGTTACGCTCTCTGTGTAGGGCTGCACTGATCTCAAAAACATTGTGCATTTCTACAGCATGCGCGTGACAAAGTTCTGCACAAGGGGAGAATTGACCATTTTTCTCTATCTCAGTCCGTTTCGCTGCAAGCTCTAAGCTCTCACTCCGGAGAACATCTTCATCGAAGTTGCTTCACCAACTCTTCCCCTCAAGCTCTACAGTGATCGAAAGCTCTGCAAGCAGCGAGATCAGACGTTGCTTGATTTGTTCACCCTCTTACCCACTACCGCATCTTCACTGGCTCTGCCATAGATCGATTGATCTACTGTTTCAGTTCCGACTTCCGTTTTCACACCGGCACTTTCACCTTCTTCAGGATTCGGACCTGTCTCCCAATCCCACCTGTACCTGATTCCACCCCACAACCGAAGTTACTTACTTCTACAAGCTCTCGTAAGTCAGCTGCGTATGTCTTGCTTCACTTGGCCTGTTCTTCCGTACCGCCTTATCTACGATCTTCCTACCACCTTGAGGCCCAACCTTCTGGTGCCGTCCTCCTCACAGATCCTTCACAAGGCCTCGTGTCTTCTATACCTTCCACTTCTTGCCACTCCGAGTCTAGTTCCTTCTTCAGCCCTAACCTTTATTCATTCGACACCTCTGTGCGTCTCAGTCCTCTTCAATCTGTTGCTTCTTACTGACTGCTTGCAAGAAAGCCAGCATCATGCCTAAGCGCAAGATTGAAAATGAAGATGAGAAAGACACCAAGAAGACTCGTAACCGTCCCATGGAATACGATTTCTTCCACGAGAAACCCGAGTACGTATATAAGTTGAAGAGACCGGCGCCAGTACTGACGTGATACAGGTCCGCAAAGAAAGAAATCCCCATGATACTTGCCTGCAATGGCGAGCAATACAACGTTTTCCCACAGATCCTGGGTAAGTTTGCAAACAGATTCGAACACGTCGAACACCAAAATCGTACCTATATCAATCTGGATGCCTTGGAGTGCCGCGGCGTCGAAGTCTTCGCGAATTGGGCCATGGACCACCAAAAGCCCTTCCTGATCGCGGTCAACGGTGATGAGGGAAACATTATTGATGATGTTGTCGACTGTTACATCACTGCCCTACGACTTAGAGCCACTCTGCTGTGCGATCTAATCATCTACCAAGCCTGTGAGATCGGCAAGGAGCACGAACTCATTGTTCGTCACAGTCAGATCAACAAGATCTACGCAGAGACCAAGAGGCCTCAAGATGGTCTGCGCGAATTCATCTCCTCTGTCGTCGCCTATCAGAGACGCAACGGCCTCGCAAATGCCATCGCTGGCAGAGACCTTGAGGTAGACAAGCAGCGCAAGAAATTTGCCGCTCTACCTCAAGAATTCCAGTTTGATCTAATGAACGAACTGTCGAAAAACACTGCCGGACAGAACCCCTGCTACAAACCCAACCGTTTCCTAAAGAGCGTGCACTTTTTCACCAAAGAGAAAGCAAGAAACAGAGCTGCTGCTGAGAAAGCTCGTCTTGAACAAGTTGGCACCGCAGAGGAGCCCCTCTTCGTTGAAGAATCTGACGACGAGTAAACGAGGTAATGTAAGTCTTCTTATGCATCGTCGTGTCTTTTGGGATATACTTCTAACAAATTTGACAGGCGAGCTACGAAACAAACCATCACAAGCGATGTACCACTACTTGCGAAGGTCGAACAAAAGGCCTACCACGACATTTATCTTTGCGTTTCCATTTTCACAAGCAGCTTAGCTACACAGAGAATACTGCATCTGTGTCGCACAGGTCTACGGAATGGAAATCCTTCGAGCTGCGACACCCATGACATCCCCTCATCGATCTCGATGCTGGATACAACACATATTTGTCATTTTGATTTTCAGGCGTGGAGCACAAGGAGGTTTCGAGCGATTTCGGCATCCATGCCCATTTTCCCGCTCTTTCCCTGCCCATTTCCCTTCCTATTCTGCTGCTCTTATTCCCATTTTTTTTTACTAAGCCCGGCTTTCCTTGACAATTTGCTCTTTATCTTTATTTTTTGCGAAATCACAAGTCATTCTACTCGAAACTGCTGTCTCATGATCAAAAGTCTTCATAACAACGTGTTGTTTCCATGAGAAAAGCCATCTCTTGTTCCTTCTTGAAGGACCGTTTCTGTCCATGAACAGCAGGGTCAATCCTAGAAGAAAGACTCACAGTACAAACGTAGTCGAGACTCAGCCATGCGAAGTTTCAAAATGATGATCCTGCGAGCTGCGACATACTAGACATATCGCGATCGATTTTGGTCCTACACGCAGGATTTTGTTGGAGACACGATCACACGATTGAATCACTTTTGACCAAGACGAGATCGAGTCTGTACAATGCATGGTTTGAGAAATCGTGATTATATCACTGCGGCGTGCACAGTATAGCTAGATCCATCACAGTGATGTTTGCAAGATCAGACACTTTACAAGATTCCAGGTGTTGGTTAGGTTGTCGAAACTATCTGCAGTAAGGCAGGGCGATATCTAAAGGATGTAGATGTCCAAGGAGAGCTTGTACGAGCGTCACCTCTCAGTGGACATGAGCGTGATCTGAAAAACATCTTGCATTATGGCAGCGTGGTAAAAGTTTGGATCGTAGCTCGTGTATAGACTTTGGAACGCTGGGTGGCCTGCATCTGCATCTTCTCTGTGCGACCTGCCCTGTTGTCCTTGACTCGTTTAGAATTGGGACTGGCAGCGAAGCAGCCATGCATCGGAAGACTAAGCTCTACAGAACGAGGCTGAGGTCTGAGGTGTTTCGCGACCATGCTCTTGGAATGGCGCCGTGAGGAGATGTACTGCTTTCCTTTGCGCTTCCGATGGCTGGAGGGTATCTCGTGGCGGCTCGGCGGGAGCATCAAGTATCTTATGAGATGTCTGAAGAACAGCGAGTTGTTCAGACAGGCGAGGCCAGAACCTTCCTCTGAACCTCCTCTCTCGCGCCAAAGAACTGCCTGCGTACAAACTCAACATAGCCGACGCGTCTTCCTCTGGCTACGCTGAGAAGGTCTTGCATGAGGCCAAAGGCAAGACCAAACTTCAAGCCCATGGTAGCCGTTCTGGCAGCGGTCTGGACAGGAAAGCGATTCCATGCGCTGAAGCCACCAGCAGTTCCCAGAGCAGCAACGACAGTGCTCATGAAGTCCCTTTGTACCCACACACCTCGTTCATTATGCAGGTGTCCCAGGCCCAGAGCTTGTTCGGCCGGTGTTTCGTATACGTCGTCTCCCATCAATCTCCTTTGCCTTTCTTCCCTCCTCCTCTCCTTGAAGCCAACCAAATTCCTCACAACAGCACCTCTGAACCTGTCGACAGCCTCCTCGAAGACGAAGAAGATTGCGGTCCAGAAAGACAGCCTTCCACCCATCTTGAAACCTTCTTTGATGCCGCCCAGCATGATGTGATAGTTTTTTGACTTGTGGTAAAGGTACCAGCCGACTTGCGATGAGGGTAGACGGTGGGCATTTTCGGCGCGGAAACGGAGACCAGCTATTTGACCGCCATGAGTCAGACCGAGACCAAAGCCAGCGCAAGAGGCCAGAATTGTGGTGAGAGGTAGGCGCCAATTGAAGCGGATGCTTAGACGGTCATTGGCGGGTGGTCGCGTTGATGCTGGAGCAGCGGTTGTGGGTTCTTCTGGTATTGAGGGAGTCGGCACTGCCGTATTGAGAGCAGCTTCCCTTTCCGCTGTCATGATTGCAGGAATGTGTGACGGGTGTTTATTGGATGGTCGCAACGAGGAAGCAGCTCTCGGAGGTGAATTGAACTCGCCGCAACTCTCGATCGGTTAAACTTTCCCCGCCTGTTCAAACGCGAGCTCTCTGGATGCGCGCCTTCCACTTTCAATCGCATTCCTGTCTTCACCCTTGCCACTGTCTTTCACCCTAGCGCATTGTCGTGTCTGCAACCTTTTTATCAGAATCGCATCTTGCCTTCCGTCAACAGTTTCACTCTTCTATCCGCCCACGAGATGCCCGTCACGGATCCCACGCCCGATGTCTGGACCATCAAGTTCAAGAACGCCCGCACAACCGTCGTCCTACACGTCTATCAACTCCAAACACTCTCAAGCCTCAAAGTCGAACTTCTCCATGCTCTGAACTCGGCATATCCCTCCGGCGAGCTGAATGGCATGACACTGCCCGAATCACCAGACGACATTGAACTGGCCAAACCGCGCGACTTCTCAAACGTCGAGTCTGGAGCATGGCAAAGCATTGAGCCCGATGCTCAGGATGACTTCGACGCAGACATGTTCAATGCTGGCGGTGACGTCACCCCCAAGGGCAAAGGAAAGGGAAAAGCAAAGGCAAAAGGCGCCGGTCACAAGGATAGCCCATTGGGTGCTGGTTTGAAGGACATGTGTGCTGTGGCCTTCAGATTCAAGGGTCAGAAGCAAGCCCCTAGACCTGTGGACGACGATTTTGATGAGGGTCTTGGCCTGGAAGATGATGTTCTGCCTGATGCAGATGGCTGGAACGTCGAGCTGCCCAAATTTGAGGATGTCTACGGTCTCAACGATTTGGTGCCTGATGATCAACTCACTACTCCTAAGGCCAACAAGTTTGCATGGGACGTTTGATCCGCTGCAAGTCCGACTCTGACGAGCGACATCACGCATTCACGCCTGCCGTCACCTTCATTGCTCAAAACTTGGTCGCTCCGCGCCCATTTCATCGCTATATGACGAGCTCATCACATCGCTGGTGCCATACCATATGGAGATTATTCTGTCAAAGACCACGATATATACGAGTACCGCTTACTCAAAATCTCTCGTCGAGAAAGTGGTCTTTTCGCGTCTCACGGACGCAGCATTAGCCACCGCCGTGAGCAACGAAGATGAAGCCCTTGGGCAGGGGACAGAGGTCAATTCTTTGATTGGGCCTACATGAAAAAAGCATGACGCTACCTACGAATTGCGACGAGACGAAATAGCTAAAGTCATGTTCACCATAGCGATAATGAAGCAATGAACAAAGTACACAATCTTGAAAGCATGCTCCCATACCTCCTCGTGTGCTGAATGTTGTTGTCACATCAACTCTCTTGCCGCAGCGATGTACATTAAAACACCTGTAGTAATGCACAATGTTTTTGAAATCCAGAGCTGGATCCAGAGAGAGAGCTCCTGGGTGCCGCTCTCTGTGGACGAAGCAGTCCTACTCAAAATCACTGTGCATTTCTACAGCTCCACGCGTGACAAAGTTTAGCACTCGGGGAGGGAATGACGCGGTTTCTCGCGGACCAAACCCCTGACTGTTCACCCATCTCACATCCAATTCTTGCAATGTCCCATGTCATCACTTCGCTCAGAGTGCGAGCCACCGGTATACTGTGTGCGGCTCTCGAGATGTCACCCAAAAGTTAATCACTGCCTCCACGAAACTCTCCCCACCTTTGAGGGTCAACCGCATGACGTAACGACCAGCTTACTTTCGTATCTCCAACTGCCGATGAACAGAACTTCTGATTTCTATCAAAAAGCCAAACCATGTTCATACAGGCAAGAACACGCGTAAATCAACTCCTACATCATTTCACCAGCTCAACAGCATCGAGAAACTTCTCGTCGTCAACTCTCACCATGGGCAAATTCGATATCAACTCGACCGTTCGCATGAATTCGGGTTACGATATTCCATTGCTCGGATATGGAGTTTATCAGACTCCTATGGATGTCGCGGAAGAGGTTACTGCTCATGCGGTAAAGTCTGGCTATCGTCATGCGGATTCAGCTGCTGCGTATCGCAACGAACAACCCACTGCTGCTGGACTACTCAAAGCCGGTCTCCCTCGTTCCGAGCTCTTTTTTACGTCAAAAGTGCCACCGAAAGCTATCAACTATGATGCTGCTAAGGCCGTTGTGGATGAGAGTTTGAAGTTGGCTGGATTGGAGTATATTGATCTGTATCTGCTTCATGCGCCATATGGTGGTAAGGAGAATAGATTGGGTGCTTGGAAGGCTTTGGTTGAGGCTGTGGAGGCGGGTAAGGTGAGGAGTATTGGTGTCAGCAATTATGGCGTCCATCATCTCGAAGAACTTGAGGAGTGGATCAAGCAGACTGAGGAGAAAGAAGGCAAGGGTAAAGGTGGTGTGTTGAGTGTCAATCAGGTTGAGCTGCATCCTTGGTTGGCAAGAGATGACATCGTTCAATGGTGCACAAAAAGAGGAGTTGTCATGGAGGTATGGCATTCTTGTGTTTCCCATCCCGATGCTCCACTAACCTTTCCAGGCATACTGTCCTCTTGTCCGCGCGACCAAGATCGATGACCCTTTGCTCACTCCTCTGGCCAAGAAGTACAACAAGACAACCTCCCAGATCCTACTCCGCTGGGGTCTCCAGAAGGTAACTCCACCCGCATACTTTAGTTTTCCGCTTCATTCCTAACGAGACATGACAGAACTTTGTTATCCTACCGAAGTCGGTTACACTTTCTCGCATTGAAGAGAACAGAGACATCTACGACTTTGAGCTTTCGGATGAGGACATGCAAACTTTGAGTACGGACAAGTACGAGCCTTGCGCTTGGGATCCTACTACCAGTAAAGATTAGATGCTATTCTAAGCGGCCAGAAAGATGTGCTAGAATCTGTCACATACAGCCATCTCCCACGACCACACCTCATGGTATTCGGCCTGCAGAGCTGCACAGTTGTTGAAATTAGGAGAGTTGTCCGCCGAGAAGCATCAACTGACCACACTCTCAATAGCCACATTCCCCACGTGGAAGGGATTGTGCATTTCTGCAGCTAGAAGCGTGATCACGTTTAGTATATGCGGCAGGAGCACGTTGAGGCGAGTGTGTCATCAATATAATGCCATAAAATCATGCTTTCGGGATGACCCTGTCCTCCGTCCATGCCATCTTTGCTTCGGTTATAACGTTTGGTTGCCGGGTGAAATGGTCAACCTTTGCGATCGCTTAGGACAGCAAATTCCTAAGATCACTCATCTGCAGATCATAAGGCTGTGTGAGATTTCGTAGGGTGAGACAAACCATGTGGTTGTCCCGGCATCGCTTCGCCCAATCGGCACTCCCACGACTCGACCTCCACTTTCAGCTACAAAAGGAGACACAACAGCTTCTCCTGGTTCTAGCTAGATCACGAGGCCTTCCAGAAGCTGACCGATTGACTGGCAGCTGGAATACACGAGATGAATTGTCTCGGTGAGGACGACGAGAACCAGGGTCCAGAAGTCGGGTTGGCCGGCAGAAATGGGGAAGGAAAAAGCCACACAGCAACGTCCATCACAACCTCTGTCACTCTCATCCTTCATCATCTCCTCGTCAGCAACAACAATCCTTCTTTGAACGTGTCTCACCTTGGACCTACCATTTATGGCATCGCTTGTAGGGTTGAACGTACTGAATGAGGACTCGCGCCCAGTATAGGATCGACGCCACGCGAAAGCAGTTGTAGAACGGTGATAACGGCTGGTCTATCGATTGTTCTCTCCGCCGCCATCCAAAGTCCATTTTTGGTGGCTATTGAATGCTCGCGCACTTCGGTGAGTATCATCATCGGCCACTGACTATAGCATCGCCATGAACTCCCATACGAATGTCCGCAACTCTATATCATCAATCATGCACGCCTTCTTGGGCACTGCCGTAGACACGCGCATATCTTCGGGCAGATACTATCCCCACCCGGTGCAACGTTGCGGGCAAGACCGACTCGGTCGCAACTGCTATCTATACCTCTCTGGGTGCAAACTCGTCTAGAAGCCCCACCATCTACTCAAATCTCTGATGGCAAACCTCGGACATAATATTTTAACATCTATGATCGTCATACACTTGAACATGAACTTCCCTTGTCATTCCAAACCGAATAGCGAGTCTGCTGGCACGATCACTTTTCACTCACAAGCTCGAGTATACCTTCTTACAATTTTGCTTTCACCGTCTAGCGAACGATAAGTCCCAGGATAAACAACAAGGCTCGTGGACCGTTATGGAGACGCCACAACATCGAAGACGTATGTAGATCAGCTACACAGCTCTCCGGAACATCTGAAACAATTGATGTAAAGTCGTAGCGTCTAGACGTTGAAGGTGGGGACAATTGTAGAAGAACCGTTAACCAATCTTCGTTTTTCTGTTTTCATACTTGTAGCTCGCTGATCCTCCATCTGGTGATCTCTCTGGTCCTTTGATTCTCAACTCTTGAACGAACATACAGCAATACACCTCTTTAATACTATTTTGTAAAGTGTACCTTCAACAACACTCATACTTGAATACGACACACAACAAAAGTACAAAACATCTAACCAGACTACTGTGGAACGCTTTGGTACATCACTGATCTACACGCCTACCACTGGGATATACACCTCCTCAACTTTGACCAACCAACGGGGAACGACCTAGGGTCGAAACAAATATACACATCATGCCTGCAATCAACTTCTCAAAACTAGCTCGGAGGGATCTCATGCAGGAGATGGTATCACAAGACGACAATGCCTGGACGATACTTGCAATTACAGGATCCTGGTGCTTCCTTGCGCTCATAGTGGTGGTGATGAGAGTATACACACGACTAGTCATGGTCAGATATCTGGGCTGGGACGACATTGCTGCAGTAGTGACTATGGTCTTTGGTGTTGTGGTTTGGGGCTGCTTCATCGGCGAGGCAAATTGGGCATTAGGAAAGCACGTGTCAGCGATCACACCGGATATGCTACACCACTACAGCCGATGGCAGTTTGCACATGGTATGCTCATGGTCTGGGCATTGCACGGAATGAAGATTGCATTCGCGATCTTCTTGCTCAGACTCAGCAATGGCAAGATTTTCCGAAGGACACTGTTCGTCGTCATGTGTAAGTTCTGAGGCGTCTCGAGTTACATCGGAGACATTGCTAATAGTCGATAGTCTTCATGACTGTTTACACGACTGTCTCGTGGCTCACAATCCTTCTTGGCTGTGCCCCGATCTCTGCAAATTGGAATGGAAGAAACGGGAAATGCATCCCATTAAACGCATTCAAGGGCTTGGGCATAACCTACAGCAGTGAGTACAATCTTGAATCGTTCGAGTCGCCAACACTAACATATTTTTCAGTTCTAGGCATGCTCACAGATGCAACTTTGGCATTGATTCCTGTCCCTGTTATCTCAAGCATGCAGCTTAACTTGCGCACGAAAGTGTGCTTGCTTCTCGCCTTTGGCATGGGACTCGCCACGGTTGCATGTGGCGCAGTCAAGACATACCACCTTTACTATTACTTTGAAGACCCCGACCGTCTTTACTACAACAGCTACTTCGTGTGGGGTGCTCTTGAGCTTTACGTCGGCATCATCGCTGCATGCTTGGTCAGCTTGAAGCCCCTCATTGCCTCCCTCCTCGACAAAGCAAAGTCGACACTCGTCACTTCCGCAGCAATTGCAAAGTCATTGCACCACGGAACACCTCGACCAATCTCCCCGCATCAACACTCGCCCAAGTTCGACGAAAAGGATGAACAGCGACAACAATTCAACACCTTCAACACTCAAAACTTCCCCCGCATCGAGATCTGCAGCGTCAGCGACTATGAGATGCCAGATCTGCCAATCGTTGTTGAGCAGCCCAAAGTCTTCAGAGTCGAGTTGGAAGCCGAAGACTTCCCAACTCCCCTCTCGTCAAACCCCATCATTGCATCGCCTCCAAAGTCTAAGCGCAAGCACCGACCAGCGCCATTGAACAGAGAAGCCTACAGCCGCCGAAACACCCTCGAGCTGCCTTGCATGGGAGGTGTATTGACCTCACCTTCACCAACGTACCTACCCTCCGCCATCGATCTCGATTTCCTCGACCTGATCAAGGGGAGAGACCCTGAAACACTTCAGCAACAACAGCCAATGGAAGAGCAGTTAGCAGCCAGCAGATTTTCCGCATCGACAACATCAGGCATAGACTCACCTGCCACGATGACTAGAGACAGCACAGCACGCAGCTCCATCTCCGTACCAAACATCTGCGGCCTCCTCACCTCTCCATCACCAACCTTCCTTCCATCGCCCTCAGACGGTGATCTCGACTTCTTCAGTCTGATCCGCTGCCGTGACCCCGAAGTCATTGCAGCCGGCAAAGTCTCCTCCTCTCGCCGCACGACCATCATCTCCATTCCCGAAGAGTACGCCCCAGCTTTCCCCGTCTCTCGCCGCGCAACTCTAGCACACGCTCGCTATCAATCTATTGATTTCAGCTGCGAGCCCGTCACAGCCACATCGCAAAAAGTACAACGCGTTGGAGCCGGCGGAGTCCGACGAAGACCTAGTATGGCACCTTCTGCCAAATCTACAACCTCTGCTTTCCTCTGCCCGCCCATCCATGGAGAGGACTTTAGAGAAAGCCAAATGTTCTTCCATGTCATGAGTTCAGGGCAATTCAGAAGTACTGCCGAGACAGCAGCAAAGCAACTCGAGGCTGATGAATTGCCTTTGAGCCCCCTGTCTTTGGACCCTACACAAGAGATGGTCCTTAGAGAACAACATGGATATGTCGGTTTCAGCCCTGTTTTTGACGGCGGTGACGATTTGGCATCTCGTGAAAGAGTCGACTCTTCTCATGCCGCGCTGAAGAAGGATGAGTAGAACAGCTCCTTTCTCCATTTTTGTCTCTTTGCATAGCCCTGGCGTTTCATCTTGGTTCAGCATTACAGCATCAGCATTTGCATCAGCGTGTCCACAGAATACTTTCTTCTCTCTGTTTCGACTAGATATTCATTCTTAAGCCATCTTCATGGTCACTACATAATTCATAAATCTTTATCACTTCTTACCAACGAACGCATTCCTCTTGAAACAAAACTACGATCTTTGATCATAACATCCAACCTCGCTTTGTCATGTGAGAACTAGTGATTGAAGTTTCACAGCCTTCCACTACGTAGCCATGAGGTATAAGTTCTCCCCTCCTTTCCTCCCCAGACAGACAACATACAACAAGATCCCTGTCCATGGGTCGACTCCTACAGACCCTATCAGAGAAGATCGTTGGCTGCCTGCCCGGTTGAAGTACGGTGACATGGCGTACATGGATGAACGGGTTACCATCGGGTCAGTGAGTAGTAGCCCTCTTCTCGAGACGATGTGGTGCGAAGTCAGGGTTACTGAAAGAACGCAGAGGGTTGGTCACGGAGAGGTGCTTGCGTAGGAGAGAGAGAAAGCCATTAAAGATGTAACTTTGAAGACATGTTCTATTGCCCTGTGTCGTGTACGAGTCGCCTCACTTATATGCCAGACTCCAGGATGCTCATGAGACCTTGCCAACTCCATCAACTCCATTAGCGTCGTTGGATGAGATGCGAATGGTCAGATCACAGTGTCGCCAAAGGTGGGTTTGAGATCATCTTTCTTGACGATCCACCGAGACCAGTGTAAATTATGCTCGTGGAGATTGATTCATCTTGCTCATCTGAAAGAAAAAAACTCACCCGATCGTAGAGGAGTCTCCGAAAGATCTCTAATCCAGCTCACTGATACCAGCATCAAGCGAGAAGCGTCCAAGTTAAAACATTATGGACCAAAAAGAAAGTTTTCCCATCAGAAAATCCGAATCTGCGATCCGATAAAAAAGCGATCATCTTCGACACCACAAGATACAGATGGATAGCAATAAACATCGCAAGCCCGACTATATAAACCACTTCAACCTGAAGCTCAAACGATCACACACCGATCCCAGTCCTACTCAGACGGCACTGAACAGCGAGCACCTCAATGGCAGCGTGAGGGCCGAGCGATATCGATGCCGTCCGGTCGATCGCTATACGAGGTCGTCGACGCTTATTTTCATGCTCTTCACTCTTGCGAGCGTGTTCTCCGTCTTTGATGCACGCTGCATGCCGACCAGTTTACCTCGCCCCTTGCGGGCGGTCTGTGAGATCTCGTGTCAACTTTGCTCTAGAGGCGATTAATATTCTGCTCTTTTCCTTCGTGAGCATGTTCTCCGTCTTTGATACACGCTGCATGCCGTCAAGTTTGCCTGGCCACTTACTACCGATCTATGAGATCTGATAAAACCATAGCGCGTCCACGAACGTAAATCAGCTTTACTCCAGGGGCGATTGACATGTTCGCTTTCGTGAAGGTGATATCCTTGTCTTTGGCACTTACTGCATGCCGTCAAACTGTGCCACGACTCCCTACCAGTCCATGAGACATCGCAGGTCTATAGTACGCTCGTGAACCCGAGGCAAGAGAACGGAAATATGCCCAAACGTATCACTGTTGGGTTTGATGATTGTACAAAGCAGGAGAAAGGGGTTAGAGTACACGTCAGTTACGAAGCAACTGCAAGCTAGCAAGAAAGAAGTTTGACTGTTTGATACACTTTCGAAGGCGCCGAGATGACCGAAACCTCGGAAGAAATACCTCGCCATAGCGTCGCGAATGCGAGAGCTAGGTTATTGCAACCTCCCCGTGTGCTAATGTGCTAATGTTGTCACATTAACTCTCTCGCCGTAGCGATACACGTTGAAACACCTGTCCGGATGCACGATCATTTTGATTAGAACTGCTTCGTCCACAGAGGGCAACTCTTTAAAGCTCTCTCCTTGGACCTAGCTTCGATTTCAAAAATCATTGTGCATTTCCACAGCTTTATGCGTGACAAAAAACTTCAGCACATAGAGAGGAATGATATGTCCAGTACTCCACATGCGGCAAAACTTGGGTTGCCAATAGCGACTTTCGGGCGATAGGCGCAAGGGAAAAGAGAAGCAGCATCTTGTTGTTTGAAGATGGAAAAGGTTTGTCGCAAGCATAAAGCCTGCATGCGAGAATTCGAGACGCTTGAGGTTACAAGGCCTTTGCTTGTAGTGGCTGGAGGCTTTACTGATATGTGTGTATTACATGACAGCTTGTGCTTCAAGAAAGGACTGGAGAAAGAAAGAGAGGTAGTTCGTAGACGTGAATCGGATATCTCCCTGAGAACGTAAGTCGCAAATGCTGCCATAAAAGGGCATGGTGTTGGGGTCAGTATGATCATCCATCAAGAGCGGCCGTTACGTGCAATCCCTCACCAGGCACGATAGCGCCAGACACAATTCCTGACTGCACGGGAGTTCGGAGATCTGTGCACTCCAAGATTGGCTACCTCGTGCGAGTACACTGGACGTGCATCCGTTTCTCAGAAGCAGGATGCCTTTTCCACAGCCGCACAGCATCGCTGGCGAAGAAGAGAGCCGAGTACCACGGTGATACGCTGATTTGACTGCCTTTGCGGAGTCATCTCCATTGTGCAGTTCGAGATGTGGTAGCCACTTGATCGGATGCGCTGGACACATAAAACGTCTCGTGGAATCTGTATCACATAATCAGCAAAAATCATGGTCAGACGTACATTGACCTGTTAGTTTCTCGAATCCCCACGGAGTCGGGGTAGTCATGTAGGGTTCCGGTCGCGAGTAAAAGAATACGAAGGTAGGCGCCCATGATGGTGCAGCAGATGGCGGGGCACTGTGCCACTGGAGGTGGACATCGGTCCAGGTCGAGGCGACGCAATCACTATCAGAAGCAGTAGATAATATTATGGACATCCAGCACATTGCATCGTACATGTACTTGAAGAAGAAATGGTACGAGACAAGATTGGATGAGAAGGGCAGATTCATGGCAGAAAATTAGATCTGTAGGGTAGACGGATAACCGAGATGGTGGAGTACGGCAAGTCGCGACAAGAAAAGATATCGGAAGTTGCGGTAGTGAGACAGGTGGACGATCATGGGCGGCTGGCGGGAGTTAGATTGAGAGGAGTTCGGCATGTTACACTTGTTGGGAGAGTGTTGAAGACGTCTAGCATGGGATTGAGCGAGTCGGAGTGGAGTGACGATTCACATGGGGGTTGGCGACTACTGCAAGCCACTTGAGTGGTGGAGAGATGGCTATCGACGTGACATCCAAAAGCGTTCAGATGGTGCAAGAAGGTGTATCATCGAGCATTGGAAGGTCGCAGTGTGAAGAAGGGACAGCGACATAATTCGTCGGGGAAAGCGTGGCTGATGTAGAAGTGGAAGGAGGTCGGAGAGGTGTTTGCATTGCATGGCTTGGGGCTTCGGGAGAGGTTGCGGGAGAGCGGGACGGTGCATGAAATTTCGAGTGGTGCGTGCATATTCAATTGTGCTCTATCACCACTTTTCCATTCTCTCTCACCGCCGCGCGTAGAAGCAGAAGTCATTGCCTTTTAACTGCACCCCTCCCCGTACCCTCGCCCAACATGTCAGCAAAGCCCGTTTCTTTCGACTCACACCCGCCTCACGGCCACCCTGAGAACCAGGGCCCCAGCACTCAGAACGTCGACCGCGCATCCACTGCCTCGCACCCTCCCTCGACCAAGCCCGACCCCACCACGACGGACTCCCACCCCAAGCTGAACCCTCATGGCGCCAAAGGAAGCCAGCCCTCCTCCTCTTCCTCCGGTCCCGCCGAACTCTCCGATCTTAAAGTAAGACTGAGAAATGCTTTGCGACAATACCCCGACTTCCCCAGCAAGGGCATCCTTTTCGAGGATATCATGCCCATCTTCTCCTCGCCTCAGCTCCACTCCGACCTCATCAAAGCTCTCGAGCTTGAGGTCCGCGCAAAGTTCGACAAGGTCCCCGACGTCATTGTCGGTCTTGAGTCTCGTGGTTTCCTGTTCGGTCCCTCGCTCGCTCTGCGTCTGAACGCTGGCTTCGTTCCTGTCAGAAAGCAGGGCAAGCTTCCCGGCAAGCTCGAGACTGAGGGCTACGAGAAGGAGTACGGTACCGATTTCTTCCAGATCCAGAGCGACGCCATCAAGAAGGGCCAGACCGTTCTTGTCGTCGACGACATCATGGCCACTGGTATGTTATGCCGTTCGTAAGCTCCAATGCTCGTTCACAAGCTAACACATTCATAGGTGGCTCTGCAATCGCTGGTGGAAACCTCGTCAAGAAGATCGGTGGTGACATCATCGGCTACCTCTTCTTGATGGAGCTCGAGTTCTTGCACGGAAGAGACAAGCTTGACGCACCCGTCGTCACTCTGCTCAGCGGCCAGGATGCCGAGAGTCGCGAGAAGGAGTTGCCTCTTGGCCAGACCAAGGAGTCTGCTGAGGATGTCAAGAGCGTACAAGACGCCGGTGGTGCTGCCGCTAGCAAGCAGCCCTAGAAAGATTTGGACACGTCCATCAACATATCTGTCATTTGATTCTGGAAGTGTAGGTAGGTAGATTGCCTCAGCCTGGTCAGTCGCGCATGGAGAGTTTCTCGATACCCAAAAGCATTATATATATGGAGCCGTACAGTAACGTCTTATGCATACTTTGTTCTCCTTTCAATTCATGTTTAGACCAGACCGTATGCGACATCTAAATTGATAGAACATTACCAGAAGCAGTTTATCTTCTGATCTCACCTTTGTAAATATTGAGCCGCCCGAGATCGGCCAGCATGCCCCACCAAAGACCCCTCCTTCAAAAGAAGCCCAGGGAAGCTCAGACCCAAATCGTCCATACAGACCGATGTCACGGTTCAACGCTATGCTTCTTCTTCGTCGTTCACTCTTGCAAACTCCCAAGTTCATTCCTCGTATCTTTACTTCAACATCTCTTCTCAAGCCTTCTCCTATCAACTCTTTCCACACAACAACTATCAACATGTCGGAAATGAAGAAGATCTTTACCTCCAACTCCATGGCTCGTGAGTAAACAGATGACAGTTTGCATGATGAGATTGATTTACTGATAATCGTAATAGCTGTCGGCCCTTACGTATGTGCATTCCCTGGACCTCTCCTTGTTCTCGAGCTTCTTCACTTCTACACGATCTGATAAATCTGTCGACATTCCGCTGTCAACACTTCAGTCATGACGAAGACAGCACTCAGCTTTCAGAGACCACATCAGAGAATCTTCTAACATCCTACACAGAGCCAAGCAGTCCAGGTCGGCCAGCACATCTTCGTCTCCGGTCAGATCCCCGCCGACAAGAACGGCAACTTGGTCGAGGGCAGCATCGCCGACAAGACCAAGGCATCATGCGAGGGCATGAAGGCTATCCTCGAAGAGGCCGGCAGCAGCATCAGCAAGGTCATCAAGGTAAATTACTTTCACTCCGCCTAGTCCGTACGATTTCTGACAAGTTGCAGACCACCGTCTTCCTTACCGACATGAAGGACTTTGCCGAGATGAACGGCATGTACGAGCAGTACTTCTCACACAAGCCTGCTCGCAGCTGTGTTGCCGTCAAGGAGCTTCCCAAGGGCGTTCCCGTCGAGATTGAGGCTATTGCTCTCTCGTAAGATGTGGTAAGATGATCTCATCGGCTATGTATACCCAAATAGGAAGTCGAATGCATCCTCACGTCCAAAAGCTTCGTCCTGTCTGAAAGTCCATTCGGTCAACATTAAGCATGGAATTTGAGGTTCGGAAATGGAGTCTTGATTGCACAGAGAGTTTCATGAGATGCGTGGTGGTTCAAGGAATGGACTGCGACTGTCAATCAGCTGAAGCTCTCAACCCTCCTGCCAATGCTTCCAAAATAATGCGATCCCAAGACGTACGTGATGACCTCCAAACTATACCTCAACTCGCGTCTTCAATTGCACTAGCCATCCTCACTCTCAGTGATCAGCAAGGACTGAGCATCACAGACGACCATCCTTCTAAGTGTCAAACTGCCACTTCTGCAAACCACCCTTATGACCCTCCTTGGGCGCTGAGCTCCTCACCGCAGGCTTGAATACCGCAGTCTTCGAGTACTCCTGAGCCAATTTTGCACACTCCTTCTTGTGAACCTTGTAGTGTGCTTTTGTGCACTCTCTAGAGCAATAGTGGACGGATTTGCAAGTCGTGCAGGCCTTGAGGGGTTTCTCTTCTGGGTCTTCTTCTGGCTTGCCGCATTGCGCGCAGGTTTTTACTGCGGGTTGTTGTTGTGATGAGGATTCTGAAAGAAAGATTAGGTAGTGTTCTGATGGTATTCGGTGGGTTTGGTTGGAGGTTTAGAAGTTTTTTTCTTTCGCTTACCTGAGGTGGTGGGTTGAGCACTCGAGGAGCTGCTTGCCTCGGGTTGGTCTTGAGATTGTGATGCAGACATCTTGACGGTCTGGTGTGATTTGCGAGTGTCTGTTATGTGAATATCGAGGCGATATCGATGTGTTAAAATGGATGTTTGATACTCCTAGAACAAGACGAGAGCCGGATGTTGATAGAGAACAGAGATGGCTTCGTAGAGAACGAAAGTTTCGCGTTTGCTCGACTCTGTTCGCAACGGCTCTGTCTTTCTGTCACTTTGGGAAGGCACATCAAGTCTCAAGTCACTTTGACATCGCTTCGGCGCCGGAGGTTTCCCCTGTAGTGAGTATGGTAGATACAACATTCGAGCGATTCGTGTCAGGCCAACTCTCTCAAGGCTGTATATCTGAATTAGATTGATGCTGCATCGCTATGCGCTAAACTGTGTCCCGCGTATAGCTGTAGAAATGCATAACGCTGTTTGTGTAAGAGGTAGCTCCAACTTAGAGCGCGATGGTCAGCATTCATCCGTAACATCCTAAATTCCATCACTTGATATAATAATCACTCATATTTAGACCTACTAGCAGTATTGTCGTTTCATTGTAGGGCGGCTCACAATTGATTACAGACGCTCAGCTTGGCATTCCAACCGCTAGCGCAAGCGCAGTAGCGTCGATTGGAGGTGATTGGCTCAGTCCTGTACTCACTTTCATCTTTCTTTACACTCCAATACAGTACACATCGTGTAATCAAGCGACCGGCTTCCGAGTGCATAAGCTCGAATCCATCATGGTAGAATTGTCAACCGTCGCGGCATTTGAGCTTCAGCATGTCTGACATAGATACTACAGGGCAGAAGCGCAAATGCGATCATCCAAAGAGCCTTCGTCGAGTTTCAAGACGATGACAATCCCACAAAGGTACTCGACTGCTTCCATCCAAGGCGCGTCGCTTGCAGACGGCTGACGCGATGCTGTACAGTGCAACAAAGTCCGCTGCACCTACTGCGGCTTCGTTCGCGCAAAGAACACGACCCGCCAGGTTGAGCACTTGCAGGAGTGTCAGCAATACTTGAACTCTCCCGACTACGTCGAGTCGCTGAACGATACCGACGCTCAACAGCCAGACGAAGGAAACACCAGCATCATGTCCGGAATTTCCAACTCACCACTCCAAGCCACGCCAAATTCGGCCCAAAGGACTAACTTTCTGATGGGACAAAGACCCAACCCGAACTTACTGGTCAACCGTCGTGGTCCCAACAAGCGTACTCGTGACGGCCAGGTTAAGAACGGCCAGCGCTCTATGCCTCCTCCAATCACACCCGCACCGCCCGCTCAGACTCCAAGTCTTGCTGCCTACCTCTTGACTCAGAACGCTGCCTCGTTCACATCCGCAACCCAAACATCCTTCCTCTCACACGCTGGATGTGGTACTCTCAGCGCCGGCGCAATGAGCCAATGGCTAGCACAAGATTCACACGTCTCGCGCGGTTATATTGCGTTTGTCGGTCAGCTCATTGGCAAGATCCGTCTGCCCATCGTCGCCAACTCACAATCACACCCTCTCTACAGAGCCATGGACTTGCTCATCAGCGCCCTGAACAATGTCAGAAGAGAGATGAGCTTCTTCGAGATCACGGCTACCAAGTACAACCTCAACATCGTAAAAGAAGAGCCGAATCCCATCACAAGAAGCTTCCTCGATCTGTTTGTATCGGCAAGCTCACCTGCTGCAAGTCTGCTCGAGGGTGCTGTCGTCCTATGGGCTGTTGAGCACTGCTACCGTGCATCATGGGCATACGCTGCTAGCTTCTCCTCAAGCCTGAACCAGCCAATTCTACCATACTCTTCGAACGGAGACTCGCACAACGCTGCTTTGCACCAATCGCTGATTCCCAACTGGACATCACCCGCATTCGCAAAGTTCGTTGAGGCTTGCAAGGCTGTCGTAGACGAACTCGCCAACGCAGAGACATCTCCTAATGGTCGTGAGCAAATGTCACGCTGTCTGAGTGCATTCAACCAAGTCCTCTGGCTATGGGAGCGCACTTGGCCTTCGGTCGATGGCATGGGTGAGGAGAACGAAAGCGCCAGTGCAGAACGCTTCAACAGCAATGGTATGAGACCTCACAGCTCGACTGGTGGTGGTCAGCCCAGCGGTGTTCCAAACCGAGACAATGCTGCCGAGGACGACGATGATGTTGTTGAGATCAGACGTGAGAGTGCTATCGGCGGTGGCAGTCCATATGTCAGTCCGTATGGTACTGATGGCCTCAGAGCAGTCGAAGCTGCCAATAATGCTTGAGCCTTTGGTTTCGCGCAGTCTTCTTGCTCTTAATGGCTTTGGAGTTCCGGGTTCTTCGGCGTTGGAATTACCTCAAAACATCTTATACGTTTAGCATGGTGCTAGGGCGAATGTGGGTGGGAGAAAACGAGTTTCTTTATAGCAAGCAAATATATTTCGTTCTGCTCTGCTTAAAAGGGTTTCTGCCACTTCATCTACAGGTTGACCTTCTGACCTTCTCTTCCGGAATGACCCCCTCGTGGTATTGTCTCCTATGATGCGCCCTGTATGCTTCCTCTTTCTCTTGAACCTGAACGCCAACGCTATGCATAACCCAGAAAATTGTCCAGCTCTCTGCGAGGCATGGCTTGTTTACTTCTTGTTGAGGGCCTTGTTCTTGGCCTTCTCGAGTCTGTCCTTCTTGCCGCCCTTGAGCATCTCAAGATGTCCGGCTTTTTCGGCGAGCGAGCGCTCGGTCAAGGTAATCAGACCAGCAGAATGCTTCTAGTCGGGGATTAGTCCTCTGTCGTGTGCGCATAGAGTCGCATAGCTTTTGCGCACCTTCTTCATGTTGTTCTGCTTCAACATAGCAGCCTTCTTGGGCTTGATAACTCTGTTACCAGTCTGAGGTCCAGTAGGCCTTGCGCCCCTGCGCATGAAGAATTAGTCGCGGTCCCGGAAGCGGCAAGGCAATTTCGAGGATACATACTTCTTGGGCTCGGTCTTGACCTTTTGCTTGACGACACCTTGAACCATGGCTTTATTGTGAGAGGAGGAAGTTTGTTTGGATAAAGTCGGGAATGGCTTGGGTCGTTCGCCGCTGCAGGCAGCAAATGCAGCCATCTTTTTCTTGTCACCCGCGTTTTCTTCCCCACAGATTTTCCGTCTTGCGGGGAAGTCGCCGTGACCAAACTTGATCAAAACGGCCTCCCCGTGTGCTAAATTCTGTCACTTCTAGCCATCTCCCACGGCCATGCGCGGGGTTATTTAGTCTGTAGAAATGCACAATGTTTTCAAGATCTCTCTAGTCGTCCGCAGAGAGGCGCTAGGTTTCACACTCTCAGTGGAGGGCTGCACTGATCTTAAAAACATTGTGCATTTGTACAGGGTGCGCGTAACAAAGTTTAGCACACGGGGAGGGGCAACAGGGTCTTTCGTCCTCTGCTCTTTCCCAATCTGCAATCGGACCACGATGGCATATGTGGATAGTTTTCATGGTGGCTAGTCACATTAAGTAGTCGGACCATGAACGATGTTTGTACACAGTTAATCCAATCAACATTGTGTATCAACATCTTCGGTCTTCGTCGGCCTTTGATGTCTACCTCGCTCATCTTTTACCCGGCTACCCTGCCACCCCCATTTGCTCCGCATCCGATCCGGCATCTGCAGCCAAGGTTTGCTCTCGGTTCCTGTTCATCACGGATGCATGTTGATCTCATGCCTAAACCACATCATGCCAGTCTGTAGATCATGAACTCATTCACTTTAACCAGAATACCCGGTACACCCATCGTCTATTGCAACTACTCCAAGACCCATGCGAGATCATGGCATTGCCTGAATGCTGTTCATGAGGGGTCCATGAATGACGTTAGTGGTATAAGTAGTTGACGGTCGCCGCGTGATAGGTAAATTGATCACTCTTGTATGTCTTTGTAGATATCGAGACGACCATGATTCCCCTACGACCGCTATTATCGTTACTGTCCGTTGCCAGCACGGCGCTGGCAATTGGTCAGAATGCGACTGTTGCTTTCAATGCCTCAGCTGGATCTCTCAGCCTGGCTTCAGGAGGCTCTTCCGTCCAGATTATGGCAGACTCCAACGACTGGCCTGCTGCGCTGAAAGCCGCTCATGACTTGTCTCAGGACTTTGGCCGAGTCACCGGCACCAACGGATCTTTAATTTTATCAAACAACTCTGATACCTCTGGCGTACCGGCCTATAACGCTGGCTCGTACTTCAGCGGCAACCCGAACAATGCCTCGATGATCTTCAACATCACTGGCTTGACCACATTCGCAACCACTGCCCCTGGACCAAAAGGAGGTGTCATCATCGCAGGCACGATTGGAAACTCGTCTCTCATCGACACCTTGATTCAAAGCGGCAAGATTGATGTGTCCGCCATCAATGGCACATGGGAGGCCTTCACATCCACCGTGGTGTTGAACCCGATGGAAGGCGTGGATGTCGCTTTAGTCATTGCTGGCAGCGACAGAAGAGGAACTGTCTATGGACTTTACGATGTTTCTGAACAAATTGGTGTTTCGCCATGGTACTTCTGGGCCGATTCGCCTCCCCACAAGCATGATTCGATCTATGCCATGAATACTACCAAAATTCAGCCTTCTCCATCTGTCAAGTATAGAGGTTTCTTCATCAACGACGAAGCACCAGCCCTAACTGGATACGTCAACGAGAAGTTTGGCTTCAATGAGTACGGCTCGAACTACGGTGCAGACTTCTACCACACCATGTTCGAATTGCTTCTTCGCCTCAGAGCCAACTACCTGTGGCCAGCTCAATGGAACTCTATGTTCAATGTTGACGACCCACGAAGCCAAAATATGGCTGACGCATACGGTATTGTCATGGGTACCTCTCACACTGAGCCTATGATGCGCTCGACCAAGGAATGGAGCGAATTCGGTAACGGAACTTGGTCCTGGGCAACCAACAACGCCTCCATCTATCCATTCTTTGTTGAGGGAGCTGAAAGACTTCGCCCTTACGAAGGTGTCATTACCATGGGCATGCGTGGTTCAGGTGATACTGCACTCTCGGCTGGTATTGAGACTGAACTTCTCGAGAATGTTGTTGCTACCCAGCGCGAGATCCTTGCACAAGTTTTTGGTAACGCCAGTATCGGTGATCCCGCCAGAATTTCTTCTATGTGGTGCCTCTATAAGTAAGATATCTTTTATTCAAGACCATCTACAGCTAGACAATCATCTAACCAAATTTCTAGGGAGGTCCAAGGATACTACGAGGCTGGCATGACTGTACCTGAAGATATCACGCTACTTTGGACAGACGACAACTGGGGCAACATTCGAAGACTACCCGTTGGTAACGAGACATCTAGAAGTGGAGGTGCTGGCGTTTACTACCACTTCGACTACGTCGGTGACCCAAGAGATTATAAATGGATCAACACTGTCCTCAATCAGAAAACATGGGAGCAGATGCACCTCGCTTATGAGAGAGAGGCCAGAAATATTTGGGTTGTCAACGTCGGAGACCTCAAGCCTCTTGAGCTACCCATCTCTCACTTCTTCGATCTTGCATACGATATCAATCGCTGGGACAAAGACAGCACTTCCGAGTGGCTCGAACTTTGGGCTGCCCGTGAGTTTGGCCCTGAAGTAGCAGCACAGACCGGAGCTCTCATGAACACATACTCCCTGCTTGCTGGCCGCAGAAAGTTCGAGGAGGTCGATCCAAACACTTTCAGCTGGATTAACTATAACGAGGCCAACAATGTTCTGGCCGAGTGGACTGCTATCCAAAAGACTGCCCAAAGCATTCTCGATAAACTTCCAGCAGCCACACAGCCCGCCTTCTTCGAGATGGTTTACCATCCTGTTACAGCTGCTTGTACTTACTACGACATCATGATATCGGCCGCCAAAAACAACGTCTACGCCCAACAAGGACGTACTAGCACCAATGCCATCGCCCAACACGTGCAGAACCAGTTCACGTACGATCATCAGCTCTCGAAGTCCTACAACCAACTGCTAGGCGGAAAGTGGAACCACATGATGGACCAGACACACATCGGCTACCAGTACTGGCAACAGCCTATGAGACAAGCTCTGCCTCCTTTGCAGTATGTGCAGATGGCCGAGCGTGCATTGACTGGTGATTTGGGCATCGCCGTTGAGGGTTCCAATGCAACAGTTCCAGGTGATGACAGATTCCACTCTCTGTCGTCCATGACTCTGTATCTTGCAACTCTTGACCCTTACGGACCTGCCCGATGGATTGATGTGTTCCACAGCGGCACTCAGAAAGTCACCTGGAACGTGCAATCTAGCGTCCCATACCTAAACTTCACTCAAAAGACTGGCACATTGTCTCCCAACGGCACTACTGACACTCGCATCTGGGTCTCTGTTGACTGGTCGAAGGTCAAGCCTGGTGCTATCAACTCGACCACCATCAACATCACCTCGAGCACTGACTACGGTACTCAGTACAGTGTGCCAAAGGTTGTAATTTCGTACAACAACACCGCTGCTCCTTCAAACTTCACCGGCTTCGTGGAGTCTGACCGTACTGTTTCGATCGAAGCAGAGCACTATTCATCCATCTCCAACGGTGGAAACTCTTCAGTCTCGTACGAGGTCATTCCTGGTCTTTCGCGTACCCTTTCTGGTGTTACTCTATTCCCTGTTACTGCAGACTCGCTCACCCCAGCCACCGCTCCTGCTCTTGAGTATGACTTCTACACTTTCTCGAACTTGAGCTCCGGAGTCCTCATGGACCAGAACATGGGCACCAGCTCGAGGTATACACCAAACACTGTCAATGTTACACTGCTCCTCGGCACGTCGCTCAACACAATACCAGACCGCCCTCTCCGCTATGCCGTTCAAGTCGACGACCAACAACCCCAGGCACGTCAATACATCTTCGACCAACCTCAAGGTGCCAACCCCACTGGCTGGTTGACCGCTGTCGCAGATGTCATTTGGTACAACACGACCACTTGGAATTACTCGGGCCCTGGCGCGCATAAGCTGAAGATTTGGGAGCTTGAGCCTGGTGTTGTGCTCCAGAAGGTTGTTGTTGATCTTGGTGGTGTGAGGAAGAGTTACTTGGGTCCTCCTGAGAGCCACAGAGTTTAAGAACTCTGCAATGTGCTTTTGATAAGATTTTGAACGCTTGATGATGCAGACAAATGATAATGTTTTCCTTTACTCATTTCTTGGGTTTCGTGTGATGTTGTGTGCGAGATTCTGTGCATACTGAACTAAGTGCTTGAGGATGAATGTGAGAAGTATTGTTCCATGAAGTGAGAGGTCATTTGCAGTTTACTCTTACACAGGTAGCCTGTGCTCCTCCCCAGTGGAGTTGTCCAAAGTTCGTGTATTATGCAGGAACGAACATTGGGATAACGAGGTCACCATGTCTCTTCAAGCCCGCTTCCTCTTTCGTACAAACGAAGGGCTAGATTTGGTTGGAAGGGGCAACCCTGGCTCGAATCACCCCACAGATCGTACGTTTTGGGCGACCACGCGAGGACTGCCAACCTTCTTTCCTCATGTCCCGTCCTTGAAATCCTTCTGCGAAGCCTTTTTGACTTCTCCGTTGAATCCTTCGAAAATGTCTCACCGGTTTTGTTAACCTTCATCTCGGGGGTTCCGGACTCAGCTTGAGACGAAAGACAGTTGTTTGTTAACTGTCCAGACCCTGAAACACGAACTCATCGACCACTACTCTATCGTGTGTCAATAAACACACGACTCATCGAAAGCCTTGATATTTGTATGTTATGAGATGCTGTAATCCTCTCCGTTTACGACGAGGAGTCCGTTTCCTTGCTACTCTTTCCTTGGTCGAAATTACCCTCAGCTGGAGCTAGACTTACGAGATGCGCCACAATGAAGCCTACCACTCCGCACACCATGACTACTGGCTTGGCTGCGATATCTTGAACCACCACCTTTCTCTCGAAGGAGTGCTGAATGTGTGCAGCTGATATCTATGAGACGCCACGACAGGATTCGCCCTTCAGCTATGGTTCACATACATCTGGGCAGCGCTTTCAATACGACCATGGTGGGAACGATCTGTGGACAAGATCGAATCTGCCGTGTTGGGACAACTCATTACTCTTGAGGAGCTGTGTATAAAGACCACGAAAATGCCGTCCAAGATGTCAGTCACAGTCACAATTCATTCTCCAACTTCAAGATGCGTGCCTTCTTCACCTTACCTGTCCTTGCAGCAGTTGTTGCAGCTGCCCCTCGTCCTCAAGATATCGATCTGGATCAAGTCGAGCAAGCAGCAGATCCTGTTCTAATCACCCCTCCCGTCGACGTCGTCTCCCAGGTAGTCAACGTAGCAGCTGTTACCGAGCAGGCTGCCGCTGCCTCTGCTGCTGTGTACGCGGACCCTGCTGTCAACGATGGCTCATCCTCCAAAAAGCGCGGTGTCGTTGCAAGAGACGAATCCCCTTGTGCCAAACAGCCCAAAGGATCAGGACCTGTCGCCACACCTGATACTGTAGAAGCTTTTCTGGCACTGGACAAGCTGTCGGTGCGTCTTGTCAGTATATTATCATAGAACATTACTGACGATCATGATAGGCTATGAGCACAACTGCCACCGCTCCCTATGGTTACACGGAAGTTTTCGTCAACAAGCAAGCATCGTTGAGTGCTAGCATGTACAAGGGTCTTACCACCCTCACCAGCTACGATGTACCAAAGTGCCAGTCTCTTTGCGATGCAGACTCCGATTGCGTCGCCTTCAACATGTACGCAGAACGCGACCCCACCTTGAAGCCGGACGCTACCAAATGTCCCATCCCTGCCAGTCTTACCAACTACAAGGTTTGTCACACATCACTTGAGACGGAAAGCCAAGACTGACACTTGACAGTGCACTCTATGGGGAGCACCTGTCTCGGCCGAACAGGCCACCAATTTCGGCGAAACTCGTGCCTCTTTCAAAGTGGTCATCACCGCATCCAACGCATACAACAAGAACGCAAATCCTCCTTCCATCAATGGCTTTGCTGGTCCTTCGGGTTACGGTGGTGCGATCAATGCTCCTCTCGACTCCAACGGCAAGGACACCTTCATGGGCAGCAAGTTCTTCCCCTTCTCTCAGGAGCAAGGTTTTACTATGCAATCTTGCACCAGTGCCTGCACTGCGCAGACCGATTACAACAAGAACCACCCCAACAAGGATGGTACTTGGAAGACTTGTGCCTTTGTAAATGGTTACGTCTTGTCTAAGAACGGCGTTCCTCAGGGATTGTATTGCTCCATGTATACTCAAGTATGGGAAGCTTCGTACGCGACCAACTATGTAAGTATCCTTTCAAGATCCGGCATACTCAATACTGACCATATTCGCAGGGGCAATACCGCGGTACATCAAGATATACTGTGAGCTACAGTTATGGCTACACTCTGGCACCTGTGTCTTCTAAGGACCCTCTTGAACGTCTCTGTCCAAGAATACAAAAGCGCGATATGTCCTCACTATGCTCAAAGTACTATCTCAAGGACGATACCTCAGTCAGACCCGTGTACACACAACCCGGCAACCAAAGGAGTTGCGCCAACCAGTGCTATCATGATGATGCTTGCTGGGGCTGGGCTATCGATCAGGCGGGCACCACTTGTAGCTTCTACTCGAAGAGCGGCCGTGAGATGGTCGACAATCACGATGCAGTTTACTACAGCAATGCAAGCGACATTGCAGACTTGCTCTTCTTCGATAGCACCTGCTTCCAGGAAAACGGTTCCAGGTGTGGTGAGGCGAAGTAGACAAGATGAAGAGGCATCAATGAATACAAGAGCAATTTCATGAGATATCTTTTCTACTTGGACTTTTGATCCAATATGACATTCTGAGCTGATTAGCTACATGTGCGAGATGGTCTGAGTCGATCATGGAAGCAAGTAGCTTAGTCGGCCTCAACATTGCCAAGAAAGCTCTGTGAGGTACAGGGTAAGCTAAATCAGGACCACGGGCCCTTCAAATCTTGACAAGCGATACTATTCGTGCTCCAATCTCGTTTTGTGTATCGGATTAGGGCGATTGCTCTTTCCATTTCAACTAAGCATGGCGACGAAGGATGAAATTGATCGTATGTGAGGTATCCAAAACTGGTGACTGTGGGACGAGACCATTCGGTTGCGTTGCCGGCTTTGAGGGCTGTGTTCGAGATTTACCAGAGGCCTATAGCTGTTGTGCACTTTGATGCGCCTTTGGATGTAAGGGACTGACTGCTGTTCGGACTCATCTAGAATCCTTGAAACTGACAATGCAACAGACCTGGCCAGGCATCAAGGAAGAGGATGATTCATACTGGTTCAGTGACCAGTCAAATTACATCCACGCCTCAGTGGAGGGTATCGCTGAACGAATATTAACCCGGGTAGGTGCAGAGGTGCCAATGTATCTGAGCGTCGATGTTGGTGTTTTGGATGTGGCGTTCGCACCAGGGACAGGTACTCCCGAAGCTGTTGGTTGGTCGACTAGAGAGTTGAGTAGGATGATTGCGAGGGATTGACGCGTTGAATGTTGTTGGTGCGGATGTCGTCGAGGTTGCACCGGCGTATGATGGTGCTGGAGAACCCACCGCCATTGCAGCTGCGCAGATCGTGTATGGAGTTGTGACTAGTATGGTAAAGAGAGGGCTAGAGGTGGCTGATAGCAGTAAGGTGAAGTTAGTATGGAAAGATGAGCTTTGATAAATTGAATTAATCGGCCAACAGAGTACATATTATTCTGGAGTTGTCAGACCATATTAGTTTCTTTCTCGAGCGATTCGAGTGAGCGATTCGAGTGTCCAGAAAGGATTTCCTCGATCGCGCGAATTTGCAGTTTGCCGCTCAGTCACTCTGTCAATATTAGCTCCGCTGACGGACATTGTCAAACCTTACATTGCGTCGATACAGGCATCGTTTGGTTCAACATGCAGGCTCTACGAGACATATGAACCCTCAGTTGGTACATGTCTTTTCTGACCAGTCGCATGCATCGCACAGGAATGTGACTGCGGATCTTGATAGTAACGTGGGCTCGGTCACGAAGCGGACCGATGGGAAATTCATCCATTGGAAGCAGTGGTCAGGCATGCTCTCACTGCATTGCGCGGTGGATCAAAAAGACTTTTGCCCTTCGGTAGCCAATGTGGTGCAGTCCAGCGTGATTAGCCTGCAGCTACATCTGAAGCACGCATGAGGTTTAGATAGTCGTCAAAAGGCTACTTTTCTGTGCGGAGCGGTTGATATGTTGTGAATTTGGAGCTTCGTATTGAGATGCTCGGTCAATTTAAGCATGCAAAGGCCCTGTCAGATTGTGCGGGAAGCCGTGAAGGCTTTACCGAATTGTGCGACATATGGTCGAGTGATGCCTTCACCAGACCTAAGCTGTGGAATTTTGCGTAAGTGCATAGCTTACGAGGTAGTGCATGGTGGAATGGTTGTACAGCGGTGAGGGTTGCAATGCGGAGATGGTTGCTCTAGATGAAGAGATGTCAAGGACTAGAGGATAGTTGCAGGGTGAGAAGCGGAACGAGTCTTTCCTGAAGCAGTAAAGGCGGTCAGGATGCTGATTTCTCATGTCAACGGAATTGTGAGTAATTGCGACGTGAGCGAATAGAATACTGCACAACGGTGGTTGAGAGACACAGTATCTGCAGCATGTCAGGGTGGTGAAGTCGATTGGAGAAGAGGTTCATGGAGACCCGCGCGGAAGTTCGAGATGGCTTGGGATGACAGCCACAAGCGCGTTCTCTTGCGGAGGGTGTGCATGAGAGCTGCAGCCACCAACTGCCAAAGACTCGTGACGAGAATGCATTGTCTGCTTGAGGGTGCATTTGGATCAAAACACGATGGAAGAAGACGATGGATGTTTCCCAATTGTGGTTACAAATCAGGGCAAAGACGCGTCAATTGCAGATTCAGCTGACGGCCTCAGCCCATTTCAGTGGGGAAGGAGAGCAGGAGCCAGGATTAGAGTTCGGACTTTTTGCAATGGTATGCAGAGAATGCGGGCGATAGGCAAGCTGAAGAGTTGTTTGCAGCGGGAAAAAAAAGTAACTGATCGCGTGCAGTTGACTGATCAAATAGATTGATGAGCTAGAATAGGTCATCTGCACCCGCAAACCTGGTCCGGAAGGGTGGTGTAGAGCAGGAACAGAGGAGAGATTGGCTTGGCTTGGTCCGGCTGCTGCTTCCGATCATCGCCACAGCGGCGCCATACTGCAATCGGCGGCGTTGCTGTCTGGAGTGCATAGCGTACCTGGAGAGAGGCCTTGTCACTTACTACTACGCACTTGCACCAGACGGCAATAGAAGATGCTGACTACCGCCTGGTGGTGGCAATCGTAATATTCTACAAGTTCGGCTCCCTTCGCTTTTGATCTTTCCTCCTCTCTTTTCGCCCCTCGTTGCACCTCCTCGACACCCCCACCCGCCTGCATTTACAGGCTCCCGCACACCCTGGTCACCGCCATCATGGGCTCAGCGCCAGTTGTCGACGATGGCACAACAACAGTCTATATGAAACACCACCGGCACGGCCATTGGGTCGCCGAACACAAGGCCCAGCGCCTACTCAGCATAATACACTTCGCATATCCTATCGTACTGCTCGTCTTCTTCCTCACCACCTTTACCATTCGAAGCATCGTACAATCCAGGAGTGATGACAAGAAAGATGCCGCATCCGAGCCGCTGCTAGGCCCTGGTGGTAAACCTCTGCCGAAAAAGAAGGCTCCGCTTCAGAACGATAATGCTTTCCTTGACTTCAGCAGACCGCGCAAGCTGCTGTTCGAGTGGCTGGCTCTGGGAGCTACCCTCACGCTTGTTGGCAATGCCATCACTGTAATCGTCCACGCTTTGTATGCGCGCAAGGAGGAATGGTGGTGTGGACAAGCCACTGTCGTAAGCCAGATCAATCACAACGACCCTTCTATCTCTACATGTACTAAGTATGCTCAAATTATAGGTCTTCATTGTGGGTGCTTTCATGGTTTTCACTCTGATCCTCATCTCCATCTTCGACACACAACCCTCTCCTACATGGGTCCATGCCTCATCATGGGCCCTCGCCGCCGCTATGGACATCGTCCTCCTCGCTTCCTCTTTCGCCCTATATACCCACGCACACCACGAGCCCAAAGCTGGAGATCCATCTGGTGGTCATCTAGAAAGAGAAATGACTGAATGGGAAATTACCGGTGTTACATTGGACCTCGTCCGCATCATTCTGCTTCTGGCTCTCGTGGCTTTCTACGTTCTCTTCGTCACGCTGCACGCGAGAAGTCAGCGCAAACAGGACGCAAGTCAGGCATCTTCAAGCGAAACCACTGGCCTGCTTGCAGAGGATCGTGCTGAAGCTGGAGCTGCCAATGGTTCTGCCAATGGTAACGGATACGGCGCGACCCAGCCGAATGGACACAACAAGCCCAAGAAGTCTGCAGACGCACCTGCTGGTTGGGAGAAGCCTACAACCACTCCCTCAAGAAGCTGGTGGGAGTACATCAGGGGTTACTCCATTTTCTTCCCTTACCTCTGGCCCTCCAAGGATCGTAAACTGCAGATCGTTGTTGTAATCTGTTTTCTTATTATGCTCGTTCAACGAGTTATCCAAATTATGGTGCCCATTCAAGCAGGCAGAATCACCAACGATCTTGTTAACGAGAAAATGACTGGATTGCCATGGAAATCTATCTGTCTATACATCTTCTATCGCCTTCTTCAAGGAAACAATGGTTTACTCGGCGCCACTCGCTCCATCATCTGGCTTCCCGTCAGTCAGTACTCTTTCCGCGAGCTTTCGATTGCCTCCTTCGAGCACGTCCATAGCCTGAGCTTGGACTTCCATCTGGGCAAGAAAACCGGTGAAGTGCTCTCTGCACTGGGCAAAGGTAATGCTATCAACAACTTTCTCGAGTCGGTCACTTTCCAGGTCATTCCTATGCTTGTTGACTTGTTCCTCGCCATTGGATACTTCCTCATTTCCTTCGACGTTTACTACGCGCTGATTGTCGCCGTTGTTACTTTCTGGTACATCTATCTCACCATCCGTATGGCTCAATGGCGCGCGGAAATTCGCCGACAAATGGTCAACTCCGACAGAGAAGTTGATGCTGTCAAGAACGACTCGATGGTCTCTTACGAGACTGTCAAGTACTTCAATGCCGAAGCGTACGAATTTAACAGATACCGCGAGGCAGTCGAGAAGTACCAAAAGGCAGAGTATTCTGTCGTCCTTTCGCTCAACTTCATGAACGTTACACAGAACATGGTCTTCATGGTCGGCCTAATGATTGCATGTTTCGTTGCTGCATACCAAGTTACCACTGGTCAACGCAGTGTTGGTGATTTTGTCGTCCTACTGACTTATCTGGCACAATTGCAGGGTCCTCTCAACTTCTTCGGTACTTTCTATCGCATGATTCAGAGTGCCATGATCAATTCCGAGCGTATGCTCGAGCTGTTCAAGGAAGAGCCGACTGTTGTTGATGCTCCTGGAGTCACGACCTTGCCCAGTTGTGAGGGTGATCTGCGTTTCAATGATGTTCACTTCGCCTACGACGCCCGCAAGCCTGCTCTCAAGGGACTCGACTTCCACTGCAAGCCCGGTACCACTACTGCTCTGGTCGGTGAATCTGGCGGTGGCAAGTCCACTGTTTTCCGCTTACTCTTCCGCTTCTACAATTCCGAGTCCGGCACAATTCAGATCGATGGACACGACGTTGCCGATGTATCTATTGACAGTGTTCGCAGACACATTGGTGTCGTTCCTCAGGATACTGTCTTGTTCAACGAGTCGCTGATGTACAACCTCAAGTATGCCAATCCCTCGGCAAGTGATGAGGACGTGTACGAAGCGTGCAAAGCCGCATCAATCCACCACAAGATCTTGTCTTTCCCTGATGGCTACGACACCAAGGTTGGTGAGCGTGGTCTACGTCTCTCCGGTGGCGAGAAGCAACGTGTTGCAATTGCCCGTACCATCATCAAGGACCCCCGCATCATTCTTCTAGATGAAGCCACTGCTGCTCTGGACACTGAGACTGAGGAACATATCCAAGAGGCTCTCATGACTCTTGCTCAGGGCCGAACAATGCTCGTTATTGCTCATCGTCTTTCTACCATCACCATGGCCGACCAGATCTGTGTGCTCCACGAAGGCCGTGTTGCTGAACGAGGATCACACCAGGAGCTTCTCGACATGAAGGGCAAATATTACTCGATGTGGCGTAAGCAGGTTCGCGCGCAGAGAGCTGCCGAAGAAGCCAAGGTTCTCAAAGACAAGGCCGAAAGGCTGCGACGGGAGAGCCGAAGTGGTGAACAGCCACAAGAAGGCGACACTTCTGCTGGCAGCAGCGAAGATGAAAAGGAGAGACAAAGACGTGCACAGAAGCCTCAAAATATGCAAGCTCCTGTGGATGCCGGCGAAGCGCCTACAGAAATTGCACGAGAAGAAGAACGAAGCAGCAAGCCCCATGGGCATCCTTGAGTATAGCACTCACCCCTTTTCCTTTCCTTCTTCATCTCTTTCCCTCTTTCACTGCATGGACGGGTAATAATGGTACATTCGGGTCGACGTTTTCTTCCACACTCCTTCTCGGTTGCATAACACATGGCGTTTCTTCTATTTTGCTTAGCCAACTCTTGTTCTTTCCTTTTTCCTCACTCTGATGGCACACACAAAAAGCTGCATGGAAAATGGGTTCTTGACGGGACGGAAAAGACGGTGGTTTTCCTAATCTTGTGTATAGAGACTCAGTCTTGTCACGCCGACAACACAAATGGAAAATGTACAAATTTCTTGAACATGTCTTTTGATGCTTGTTGGTGCCTGCCTTGTGCATGTGGAGCAGGATCGATCGGAGTTAGATGGGTGGTATCACCGAAGGAATACCTCGGCTCAAGAAGACCCCGACTTGTGAGATCATTTGTCCTCTTGACCTTGACAAAAAAGCAACATGGAAACACATCACCATACGCAGTCATGGCAGCATTGTCGCAAGCATCAGCAGTAAACACTCATCTCCACCACCCTCAAAGTCTCAATCATACTGACCCTTTCCTCCACAGGCCGCCCTAGCCCGCCTCCGCGCATTCAAACCCCCACCATCGCAATACACACAACTACCCCTGACCCGCCGCGCCTCCGTCCTAATCCTCCTCTTCGCCGACCGCCGCGGCGACCTCCGCGTAATCCTCACGATCCGCAGCGCCAAACTGCGCAATTATGCCGGTCAAGCCGCTCTCCCTGGAGGGAAAGCCGACACAGAAGCAGAAACAGCATGGATGACCGCACGCCGAGAAGCGGAGGAAGAAATAGGATTACCAAGTAATGATGAGCAGTTACCTTCTGGCTACACGGTGGAGAAACTGACGGAATTGCCTGCGAATCTGGCAATGACGGAGTTGGGGGTTATGCCTTGTGTTGCTTGGTTGAGGAGTTTGAGCAAAGATGCGGATATTGCAAAAGACCTGTTACCAAGGCTAGACGCCAGAGAAGTGGCTGCAGTGTTTACGGCGCCGTTTGAGCAGTTTTTGAAACAGAGGGATGATGTTGATGTGGAGGGGGAATGGTATAGAGGGGCGTGGCATTCTTGGTATCATGAGCCTTGGAGGATGCACATGTTTCACGTGCCTGTGACGCCGAGGACGGTATTCAGGAGTCAAGAGGTGGAGAACACGAGGTTGGATGCTGCGACTGCGCCGTGTTCGCCCGAGTCGAAGGCTCCTGTGCTTTTGGCCGATCGGGCTGCCCAGGCGTATGGGAAACCGGTGCCTGGGTCTAATGGTCCGGAGAAGGTGGACAAGAGTCTGGCACAAAAGGACGCTCTGGATATGCCGCGGTACAGGGTCTTTGGAATGACTGCACGTATCTTGGTTGATGCTGCAAGGGTGGCCTATGGTCGCGATCCAGAGTTTGAACACAACTCGCACTTCGGCGATGAAGAAATGATTGCCAAGTTGATGAAGATGGGAAGGTTGAAGCCAAAGAAAGAGAAGGGCGAAATCTTGACGCGAGATGTCATGGAAGCGGCTGCTAACATCGAGTTGAGCTCAGAGGAAAAGGGTAAGCTGTAAAATCACAATGAAAGCGATGTTGTTTTGAGATCATTCTTATCATTAGACACGGACCTGCTGTCGCTGAAAGTGTATACCAGTCGGTCGAATTTCACAAATTCACCGTCCTTGTTCTCCCTCTACCCAACCTTGTATTGTTTTGCTTTTCTGTTGGCGATGAAGACACTTAAGCCTTGCTGCCGTGGATGAAGAGTCTCTCCTCAATGGGCTGCTGCTGCTTGCCGCCCTTCTCGACAGCCTCGCGGGCACCCTCTGCGTAACCACCGAAGACAAGCTGGGCCTGGAGTTCCCACTCTTGAGGGAAGTTCCACTCTCCGGCCACACGTTGGTCGACAATAGGGTTGTAGTGCTGGAGGTTGCAGGCACAGCCTTCGGCCTCGAGGGCGGTCCAGAGGTGGTACTGGGCCATGGCTGGACACAATGTTAGATCTGGACCTCGGAATTGAGAGTTTGGGCTGACATACCGTTGGACTGAGTGGCCCAGCCAGGGAAGTGCTGAGCGTAGAGAGCGAACTGAGATTGGAGCTTCTTGACGGGGTTGGGGTCGTTCAGGAAGAGGATCTTGTATTCATGTTAGCAACATGGTCTGGCCAAATATCGCTGAATTGAAAAAACGTACAGTGCCGTGACCAGCCTTGAAGCCATCGAGCTTCTTCTCGGTCTGAGGGAACTGCTCCTCGGGTACTTGAGGCTTCAGGCACTCCTTGGTGATCTCCCAGAACTTCTTGTGTTCCTCGTTGAGCAGAACAACGATACGAGTGGACTGAGAGTTGAAACTGCTGGGAACGTGAAGGATGTTGTGCTTGGCGATCTCCTCGACACGAGCGTCAGAGATGGGGATCTTGTCGGTCAATTGGTAGATGGTTCTGCGGTTCTCGCAAGCCTTGAGAAAGTCCATGGGGGAAGCCATTGTTGCTGTTCTAGATGTGCTGCTGAAGTGTGCTGAAGGGCTACGAGAAGTGGACAAAGGTTTGAAGGAAGAAAAGCGAGAAGGTGAGACAAGAGGGTTTGAGGAAGAGGAAAGTCGTCCAGATAAAGCAGTATACAGTTGTGGGGCGCGTCTAGTCAGGGCTGCTAGAAACGTCGACGTGGAGGACATGATGTGATACTTTCGTTTCGTGTGGCTTTCGTCTGGACTCGAGGATCGTGGATAGTGTCAAAAGGCGATTGCAAATTCAAGCCTACGTATGCTGTAGGTTCCTTTCCGCGATTCTGGAATATTATTGTTATGCTCAACGGCAGGACCCTACTTTCCTGGCAATAACTACAACTCCAGACTTGTCATCATCGCTCTTAATAAGAATAGGTTTGTCAGTCTCGCGCTCCGAACAGCGCATGCCGAACGGTCGGCGTTTTTGCCTGACAAAGAAGCTGTTTACCTTTCGTTGACTCGGCACCCACTGAAACCGAGGGGCCTGCCGCGGGACTCGGAAGTGGAGCTCTCATTCATTGGCCACAGATCCGAAGTCAGGGCTTCGTGGGGCAGCATGGGGTTGAGGTCAATAATGCCTCTGAGATCTTTCTTGAGCTACTGCGCACGACTTTCTTCTCAATCACATCTTGAACGGAGCTCGTCTCCATGGACTAGTCAGATCATCTGACAGAGCCGACTTGGAAAGAGACATGCAGGAACGACCTCGCCAAAGCCGGTCGAATCCTCCCGCTGAAACTAGCCCATCAAGGTGGATCTTGAATCAACAAGCAGCCTCTCACAACCAGCGACCACCCGTCTTTCGAGGTAGACTCAGAAATAGCGCTCCTTCTGGTTTAGCAACATCCTGAGATCATGAGGAGTGACCCGCTGCTCTGCTGATGATGGACATGGAGACCACTCCCACCGACGCGCCGACGGCCGAGCACGCATCGAGATCCGGAATGTGGAGGGACTCGGTTCTAGGCTTGTGCGGACTTCACGTATGCCAGTAAGAGCAATACGAATGAATTTCTGCGCGAGACGCTCGAAGCAGTGCAATCGTTCCAAATTTCGGCATCGCCCCTCCACACGTTTCGGCAGCTCTTTGCGCAACCGTCGTAGACAAGGATTGAGTCCGGTCTTCCTGGAAAGTGCGGAGAGACAATGCCGAAACTCGAATGGATTGCATCAGGAGCTGTTCACGGATCCATCGCAGTGGACGGCCATGCGTCACAGACACAACGAAACATCGAACGACCGAGTTGAGCCTTGAATATCATCACGGGCTACAATTTCGCAGCTGAACGTCTACTTCTCGAATTGAGCGATTCAGGTAGAGATCGGACACTGTGTTCCTGTCAACGCTGTCACGGTAAGGAAGGAACGAGCCAAGTCTGAACGAACGTGCTTCTATGTCTGATACTCTTCTGAATGCTGTCGGATCTCTGGATTAACTCATTGAAGTCATCGACGTGGCGCCAATAACGCTTGCAATGTTTGGTCCATCTGTGGCTTGAATTCTTGTGATTACTTACATATTTGCAGTAAAATTGTTCGCACGGGGCAAGAGAGTGTGATGCCTGAGCATGTTCTTATCAGAAGTATGTCTGCGTCCTGATACATTTATTGTACCATGTACGTTTTTGGTCTAGACTTCCAGTACGCAAGTGGGGCAGATACAAAGCCCCACATTCATTTCCCAACCTTGCGTTTATTTACGACACTCTTGATGCAAACTATAAAATGCCTTAGTGGTCTAGTGGTATGATTCCTGCTTTGGGTATATCCGAAATTGCAGGAGGTCCCCGATTCGATCTCGGGCTGAGGCCTTGTTTTGCTCTTTGCTCATCTTGTAATGATTTACAAACCATCGTTTTCCATCGCGTTTTTGTGGATATCGATGGCAGAAGTATTTGTTGACCATTTTGGTTGATGTTTTGTGCGAATCTTGGCGGCCCATCTTCGTAGCAGAGGGTCGCACCTCCGCTTCCAGGTTCCTGGACTTCTACATTCTTCTTTTGTTCGCAAGATGTAAATTGCTTTCTTCGACAGGCTCTCACTGGACAGATCTCTGATGTTGAGGATCATGCCGCAGTATGTCAGGGACAAGACCGGCATGTCCTGGCCTATGGGAATCAACCATTAAGGATACATCAGGTGATTCAATTTCTGCTGTCGTAACCATGGAGCGAGAGTAGTCTGGTCTTGTAAAGGGGAATTGCGATCGAGTCAAGTATCTCAAGATATACACAAAATGTCTGATCTTCCGACACAGTTTACTTCCTGTTCGGGCAGCTGTCAAAATGCAGAATACGAAGCAAATTACGTGTCAAAGCACACGAGAGCAGGTCAGTAGATTGTACGAGACATATTGCTTTTCACAAGTAGTGTGATTGATATGATAGTTATGGCTCAAAAAGCCTATACGGAGGGTCACCGTTATGCCCATCCCATGTCTACCCAGAACGCCATTGACCAGATAGGAAAACGCATATCAGATCTTTGAAACCACATCTTCTCCAGTTGTCGCGAGATACCTCATCCCTGTGGTGGATCGTCATCTCTCCTTCTTCTAGCTACGGCCTTGAAGTATTGCTGCATCTGATCGAATTTCGTGACGAAGAAGATTCCCTTCGCGTCGTTCTGCCATGTCAAGACACCGATTGTGTCGGCGTGGCTTACGGCTTTGAGGTATTCCTCTTGTGTGCCGACGTCCCTGATTAGATATCCTGGTGTCGCCTTCATTCGCTCGTTTTCCAACTGCCATAAACGTACTTGATCGACCACGGTGGGAGGGAGGATTGGCGTTGATTTTCGAAGGATGGGATGTGCGTGTGTCGTCAAGTATGTGATGATCTGATCGGCTGTGATACCAGCCGCGATGGCAGTCTGAATCGAGGATTTTGTGAGAGTCGCCGTCAACATGTTCGGGAAGCGAGTTTTGAGATTGGCGAAGAGGGAGAGGATGGAGATGTTGAGAGGTGACGAGGTGTAAGCGTAAAGGCGGTAATTCGTCTCGACAATAATATAGCCCTTTTCTGTCTCCTGAGGAGCGGCCATGTTGCCAGCTGTGGGTGTTACACCGATTGAGCTTGTCGAGAGGGATGTGTTTAGCAGAGCTGGTAGATCAGATGTGAGAGTTGTGGCAAGTCGTGTGGGATAGTATCTTGGGCTGTCTGGAGAGCGACGGTAGACAACACCGAAGTCGGACAGATCATCCAGCATTTGGAGTTGTGTTGGAGTGAGGTTCTCGGTCGTGTATGATACACCAAGCTCGAGCGAACCAAGAGTGAAGAGGAAACTCAAAACGTCGACAGCATCCATCTGAAGCCTTTCGGACAACTTGAGATACTCAATGAGCAGAGTCCAGATTTGAGCGTTGGTCTCCTGTAGCAAGAAGGAGAAGCCGTCGCGAGTGATGTGTGCATTTCTTCCTCTCAAGACAACGAAGCCTCCTCCTGTCAACAGCTCTTTTGTACCAGCAGTGATGTTGACTGCGCCTCCAAGTCCCTGACCTGCACTACCAACAACGTAGTATAGAATGCTCTCCCATTGCTGGCGTGCGAAGGTGTCGAGAAAGTCGATGGTCACTTCGTTTTTATCCGCAGTGCTAGACGGTACACCAAAGGAACGATGGTCGCCTCCACCGGTCAAGGCCAGACGCAAAGACTTTCGGAAAGCCTTGTTGAGTTGATAGGCGGTTTTGTGCTGATCATTGCGGATTTCTTCGAGGACCTTGAGTCGTAGTAGGATGTTGAGTGACTGATCGCGTGCTCGTACGCTGTCGTTGTCTGGTTTGACCCATGTCTCGAGGTCTGTTGCGGCTAATGGAATGGGCATGAACAACATAGCCATGACCAGATTCTTGGCTACCACTTGTCAGCTCTATGATGGCGAGAGTGCTGCCTTCAGTCGCAACTCACCCAAGTGCGGCAACATGCGCCGGAAGATGGCCAAGGCGGTCGAGGGTTGCTGGTATAACCTGTTGAAGATGATACCCGGCTGCCCCTCGAGGTAGTCGAGGGCTCGCTGCGACGCGACCGACATGATGATCAACCTGCGTCGTAGAACATTGTGAGCATGGTCAAGAGAGATGCAAGTAGTAGACTGACTTCCCCAGATTCCACTCAAACGCCCTCGATCCCGACGTCATCACTGCCGATGTTCTTCCGATGCATACTATCACTTGCTTACCTCCTTGGACTCTTCACTCCTTCTGTTTCTTTTGGTTTGGAGTAAGATGAACCCCACGTATCGTGTAACTCAATCGCTTTAGGAGGCGCCATCTTGTAGAAATTGATACGGAATGTAGGTGAAAGCTGCTTCGATGACTCTATCGTCCTTTCACAATTAGACTCGGCTGTCGAGCTTTCCGTTTTCGAGCTTGCTGCCTGCTCTTTTTATCAACGGCTTGTTCATCCCTTCCTTGTCCCATCATCATCGACCTTGCTATCCCTTGCTTCGTTCCTGATCTTGCTATCCCTCGCTTCGTTCCTGCGTTCAATCACAACATGTTACGCATCGCCAATCTTGGAAGTTCCTTCTCTGCTGGTCCTGGAATTCCACCTCAAGTCAACATCGCAGCCGCACGTTCCGGGGCCAACTATGCACATCTTTTGGCAGAACGTCTGGGCGCGGACCTCACAGACTTGAGTGTTTCTGGTGCCACACTCCTCAATATCACCGACACACCACAAATTTCTGGCGGTGTGACTTTTCCACCTCAAATCCAAGGCGTTCCGGAGGATGCCGACATTGTGCTCGTCCTTGGTGGCGGCAATGATATGTCCTACGTCGGCGGTCTGTTCAAGGAGCACACATGGGCTCTCGCGGCCTTCTCTTTGGTGCAACGTCTCAAGGGAACCCCGATGCCAGAATTCCCTGCCCCTGCTGACGAAGAAGATGTCATCAAGCGTTTCGAAAAAGTCTTGGATGCTGTTCATGAGAAGGCTCCCAAAGCACGAGTCATCGTTGTCGAATACCTGACTCTACTGGGCTCGGATGTCAAGCCAACAGTGGATGTGCCTTTCAATGCCGAAAGACTAGAATACCACCGAGGCGTTGCAACAAAACTTCAGAAAGCCACTCAACAGGTTGTTGATTCACGCTCAGAGTGGTGTGAACGCATTCCAACGGCCGATTTAAGTCAAGGTCACGGCATTGGAAGTGCAGAACCATGGGTTTTCGGATGTTCTATGATGGAGCGATTGATGGGAAAGGCCTGGTACCATCCCAACGGCGAGGGCATGAAGGCTGTTGCGGACTTGGTACATGAACGGATCACTTCCAAATAGACTTTTTCTGGTATATCAAGACATTTGTGTTTATAGAAATATTTGATGTCCTTACATACAAATGATGCATTCACTATCTACCTTATTCATAGATTCCGATAAGCCCAAACTCCACGCTCGAAACAAATTTGAGGGGGCCGATCAATCGCTGTCACTGTCATCCAAGAATGGCAACCTTGCATTCGCTCTTGCGCGTGCGGGTCTGGTTTGAACGACATCCTCCTCTTCGTCGTCATCATCGACCAAAGCAGCAGCAGGGCCATTCTTCGCTGGTGATGGCGCATCCATGGGCGTATCCTCCGCTACGCCCTCCGCATCACTGATCAGATCAACAGTACCGACATCTCTCATCTCCTCATCCTCGTCAACGTCGCTCTCTTGGTCACTATCAATCGTGATGGTCTTTCTCTTCTTGCCCTTTGCCGCCTTCTCTTTCGTCGCGTTGGCCTTTCTCTTCCCCTTTACACCAGCAGACTCATCCACTTCAGTCAGCAATGCATTTCTTATAACACCGCTGATTTTCTTCCTTCTCTGCTCTTCCAATGCAAAGAACGCCGCATCCCTTTCCTCGTCATCTTCGTCGTCCGAATCTGTGATACGCAACGCACTCTTGACTTTCGCATTCTTCTCTTTCTCTCTTGCATCTCTCTCAGCCGCTCGGATCATCCTCTCCTCCTCTGTAAGTTCAGGCGCCTTTCTCTGTAACAATCTCTTCTTCTTCGGCTTCTCGTAACCCGCAGGTCTTGTGGTTGGACCACCAGGTTCAAACAATGCAGCAGCTTGATCGTCAAGATCGGATAATGTATCACCTTCATCATCACTGTTCACAGCGGTAGCAGCCGCACTTCTATTAGCTCTGGCGTGTAGACCAGCCGCACTCTTACTTCTAAGAAGAGACTCGGGTGCTACACCGCCTTCGAGGACGGGGAGATCGAATTCGAATTTTCTGATCAAGGCAAGGTCGGACAGAAGGAGGGAGGAAGGAACGGAGGAAGGAACGATCCAGACGGCGTCGGGGTCGTCGTTTTCACCGAGGCGGTCGAGGGAGAGGAGTTTGAGGAGGAGACGGAGGAATTTGTCTTTGAAGAGACTGAGTTTGCGGTCGTCGGTGTCCGGTTTGATGGTGATGAAGGGAGGTTTGGGTTTGTCCGCTTGAATAGCGGGTTCGACGGATGCGACAGGGGCGTCGGGGTCTTGACTAGTGGCACCATCGGTGTTCTCGTTCTCAGCGTTGGAGTTATCTGCATTAGCACTGTCTTCAATGCTTGCGTGCAGATCTTCCCAAGATTTTCTATCTTCGGCTGCAGAGCTGAGGACGTCTTTGACCCAAGCCAAAGCATCCAGTTTGCCTTGGTTGAGAAGCACACTGACAGCGACGGCAATCTGCTGCTCGTGGTCCATACCAGGCTTTACCATCAGTTCAGCCGGTGGTCTGGGTCTTGCTTTCGTGATCTCCATGTCATAGCCATTCTCGAGGTAGAATATTGTATTTGGCATTTTCGTAAAGAGCATTTCGACCATGAGTTCTCGGCGTTGATCCAGGTTTCTCAAACAGCGTTTGAAGACTTGCTTGACCAATTCTTCCCACTCTTTGAACAGAGGCATCTCCTTAGACAAGCCTTCCGGTCCCTTGATCATGCGATTGAATAAGTGCAAGATGTCGACTCTGTACAAGAAGATTGAACGCTCCATCTTGAAAGCACAGCGATAGAAGAAGCGATGACAACGCTTCAGCTGCTCGATATCCAGATCTCTGTAGTAGGTAGTGAAACGGACGAAAGTGTTGACGGCACTCTCGGTCATGAATTTGCTAGCAAATCTGTTGAAGTCGAATTTACGTTCGCTTACAGCGCGCTGAGCATCAGCTTGGTCTTCGGCTTCGGACGCTGCGCCTTCGTCTTCGGCACCGTTGGCCTGAGCCTCGACTCTGCGCTTTCTCCTGGCACGTCTTTTCGAACGGACTTGCATATCAACATTCTGTTTGGCATAGCGTTCAAGCATGCGCAAAAAGGTGTGTGACATGTCTGTGCATGCGTCTAAGAAGGCAAAGCCTTGGTCCTTGTAGCCCCTGAGCACAGCAATGACCTGGTCGTGTGTCGTTTCTTCGTAGAAGATTCGATTTTGAATGTTTTCGGCAATCTCCTGATCATCTTCGGAAGCAGAATCTGCCATGGCAGCAACTGTCAACAAAATCTGAGTGAAGGCTCGCATGCAAGCGTGCAAGTCGGACCATTCCTTGTCGTCCAGACTTTGCTGTATCTTGCGTCCTAGCAGGATGAAGTTCTCTTGTGTCATGACAGCAGCGATGTAGGCGAAGGGTGAATCATCTACAGCCGCGTCGTGTACTTTGCCGTTGCGCTTCAGTAAGTCTTGCCTAGCGCGTTCTGCTTGTAGGAACCAGCCCATCAAATAGTAGTATTGGCGAGTGTTGTATTTTTGAGCCCGCTCGACTTCAGCGGTAAGGGCGCGACGGAGACTGTTGAACAGAGGGTTGAAGGATGAATCCAGGAAGTCTTCAACAAAACGACGTAGAATGTTTCGTGTAGGCTCATCGAGTTTCACATTGTTGTCAAAGTCGTTGTTCTCGTCCTGTACTTCGGCATTCTTCTTGCGTGGCTTTGGCTTGTTCCATATTTTGGACTGATCCATCTGGTGCATAGTCTTTTGCTCATCAAAGATGACGTTTTGACCACTGAGGGTCGAGACCTTCTCATCCGGTCGCTTCACCCAAATCATGGTTCCAAAGCGGTGATGGCGACTAGGAGCGTTCCTTCCGTAGGAAGCGTTCATAGCCTTTTCCTTGTCTAACAAAGCCTTGAGATTGTTACTTCTGTCATCTTGCAGTTGCATCTCGTTCTTGAACAGGTCCTTCGGGTCGATACCCTTGAGTAGCTGGAAGAGGATCTCCAGGAGGACAACATCGTGCGTGGGGTACTCCTCGGTAACACTTGAAGCAATAGTAAGTAGGAGTTGTAGGACGTTTTGTTCATGGTAAGCCTGGATTGTTTCCAGTCTGCTGATGTCATTGTCGTCGCCCTGACTCGGAAGGTCGGTAGGCTGTGCGATGATAGCGACGTTTCGGAGGAAGTAGAGCACGACACCGATGATGGAGTCGTCTCTGGGATTACGGTCGGCTCTGGGTTGTGTTATGGCAGGAATGGCGACACTGATTGCGGTTCGTAGGATCTGGGCAGACTCCCAGTGGAGGACGGCACGCTTGTATTCGACTTGGGCGAGTCTGATGTAGGGAAGATGTCGGTGGACATTGATGGTCATGGTCTCTTCTTTGCGTTCGATTGGCCATGTCAGTGTGTTGAGCAGGTCGAGACAGTTGAGGGCGACTTTTGTTGCGAGGACGCTGCGGTCGCTCTTGTCTCCTTGTTGGGCCAGAATTGGCAGCAGGTCGCCTCTAACCAAGTTGGCCTCTGCCATACATCTCTTGACATCGTGTCGGTTGATTCGGTCGTCGTATAGGCGGATCCATCGTGACAAGTCCTTCAAACATGCCAGGGCATCGTCTCCAAGTACATACTCGCCTTCATTGACAGTACTGCTGCCACCGATAGCCGAGATGAGCGAGTAGACGTGTGCTCTGACCTCGGGGTCTACCGTCTGGCTCTTTTCAAACACCTCCATGACGGCCGTGTCGGTCTTGTCTCGTCCAGAATTGACCCTGATGATAATATTCATATAACCCGCGTCGGTCAACGCGTCGCGCGTAAATTGATTCAAACACAGCAAACACGATCCCTCTCCACAGCCTCGGCGAGCCGTCGTCATCATCATCTTCCATCCTTTCGTTCTTGCTCTGCCATCTTTCACCGACTTACGGACTTGGCTGCTTTGACTTGTTATTCTTGCTTGAAGCAACTCTTAAACGTCCTTTGGTTTTGGAATAAGTTTGAACGCCATTGTATGCTCCAATGCCAACATCACTCCAAATGCTTCAAGTAATTTGCAGAGTCTAGACGGTAAGATAAAAGACCTCTGCTACTCGAGAATCAACGCTCGCCTGGACCTAGAGCTGGCAAAGAGACATCGACCTCTCTTTTTTCCGTCGACGATGCGAGAATTCTTTGCGGCAGTCATGCCTAATAAAAACCTGCCAGCAACCATCCCGAGTTTGCCTTGACCCTTATGTCCATTTTTCTTGTCGCCCCTCGTGTCCGGATTTTTCCTAATCTTTTCCTGGGGAGTTTTTGATGCAAGTCTATGCACGCGGAAAGCGCCATGCGGATTTGCAGAGCATATTGTGTCGGCGTTATGTAAACATGCTCGTGGCAGCCACGACACTCCCTCATCGCGCCTCCTCCAACTTCACTCGCACGACCAATACACATCACTTTCCGCTTCTTGCTCCTCTCTCACCTCAACAGTGCTGTTCTCGCTTGTTATCATCACTCATTGAAAACAACTGCAGATTTGGTCGACTCCTTGCTGATGGTCAAGATGCCGGCTCGAAAGCATCCATCATCCTCCGACGTCGCCATATCGTCAAGTCCGACGTCTCCTCATCCCAAATCCTCTCTCCGTCGCCTAAGCTCTCTCGCCAATCTGCATCAATTCAACCCTTTCAATTCGTTCAATCGTAGACGCTCAAGTCATGGCACTCAGGCTTCCGATGACGACCCATATCTTCTTAATCCCTATCAACAACAACCAAAGAGCCAGTCTCGCCGTCAGTCGTACATGTCATTGTCTGAAGATCCGATGCCTGCCTTGCCTAGAAGCCGTACCTTCGGTCATCTGCCCCTGACGCGGACACGACAGAGTTCAAAGCCACCTGTATCTATGCCACCCCCTTCACGCATACCGACCCCATCCGGAAGCCTTACTGCCAAAGGAAGGCTAGCAAGTGCTACTAAGAGCATTCTCAAAGTCGGCAACAGACGTGCTCTGGTGCGATCCGACACTGAACCGTTGTTGGCACCTCACCGTTCGCACGACGTCCCGGCTTCGACTCGTGTGATCAACGAGAACCTCTCTCAGAGTGCTTCCAAGCCTGCGTCGGAGTTCAAGCTACTACAGTTGAACCTCCCAGAAGTACCCCTTGATCCATCGGCTACGAACATGCATCGATTCCGGAGTTCTTTCAACGCCCTCAAACGACCGCAGACTCCAGTCTCTCGAGCCCCTCCAAACCTACCGAGAAGAGACTCCCTGCAGCCACCTACCCCCCGGACTCCGATAACCACGTTGCCCCCGGGTAAGCTTGCCTTGAACTCGTCTATCAACGCTGCCAAGCCAAGGAGACAAACCATGCTCTCACCAGACATCGCTCCTTTGCACTCGCTCTGCGAAACCACTCCGCTGCGTGCTTCGATGAACCCAGACATCCAGTCTCGCCAACTCCTGACACCCCGCGCCGCACCCACATCTTCACCACCTTCCTATACACGTCCCTCGGCTACTCACTTACAACCTGACGACGCTACCAGCAACGTAAACATAGCCAGTGATCTTGTTACATCAGCACAGTCTATGGCATACTGGAGCGGTCGCTTGATGTCACAATTCGACCGTCATCGCAACGACCGACTTCAGAAGTGCATGTGTCGAGGTGAACTGTCAGCGACATACCTGGAAAATGATCTGAACCTGTGCTTGAAAGAATTGAAGGATAAATGTGTGACTGATGCCGCAAAGCTCAGTTTTGCCATGTTCAAGGCTAGAGTGTACGTCAAGGCGGGAACATTGGTGACAACAAAGGGAAAGGCGGAGAGCGGAGCTGAAGGAAGAAGTCAAGACGTGGGTGAAGCGTAGACTGCTCCTGGACCCGAAACCACCACAGCCGTCTTGGTTGAGCAGAAGCCACTTCATTTGAAGTCGAGGAAGTCGTCGTTTGCGGTGAGAATGATGGGAAGGAACTGAAGAGGCGGAACTCGGTCTGTGACCTAATGGTCCAATTGTACGAATAACGTTAAAAACGACACTGAGCGGAGGTGCTCGTAGTGTAACAGCCTAATCATAATGGCAAATAATGTTTAATGCTATTATTCCCCCTCACAGCAAATGATCACCACCATCCATTCTTGATCCCTGTATAAGTGGTGTATATGTATTTGAGTAGTGTGATTCACGGTGCACAGGTCTGATCAAGCAACAAGATCTATCTTTCTCTACCAAGAGTTTCCTCTACTTCTCAGGTTTGGGCGACATTTCCTCGACAGTGTTGTTGGGATCTTTCCAGGCGAATGACACATATCTGAGCAAACCCTCATCAGCAAACGACTCTCTCGAGTGGTTCCTTCGAGAAAGAGGGTGGGAGCTTACTTTGTGTGACTTCCTCTAGCGACCAGTTCTTGCTTTTCGTTGTGGAAGTTTATAGACGTGTAGGCGAGAGTCTTGCCGACTGTGATATATCGTCAATATCAGATTTGCAGCTTGTGTGTGATGTGGATGAGACTTACACTTGTCACAAGTGACTTCCTACATGACCAGGTATATCAGCGGTAGCTCGAGAGAGAACAGTGTACGAGGGTGGGAGCACATACCGCACGAATCAGATCACCAATCTTGCCACCAGAGTTCAAGTACGTGACTGTTTCATCCATCATCATCAGTATATCCCATCTTCTTTTGTATGGTGTAAGTCTTATATACCGTTCAAATCTGTAGAGACGCCGGTAGCAAAGAGACCTCTTGAAGCTACGGCCAACGAGCCACCCAGATCTACCATACTGGCGATAGTGCCGCCGTGGAGAATGTTGAGACGATTCTAATATGAGGTTAGGAATGTGTGATAGGGGAATAGAAGGAGGTAGGGGTGTACTGTGTGGTGTTTTTCGATTGGGAGTTCGAAGTTTACGACGCCTGGGCGTGCTGCTGTCACACGGAGCTATTATGAGTGAGTGTTAGCGATACTTCCTTCTTCTTGTGGATGGTGAGAGCTTTGGTATCTAGGTATGATGCTGTTGAGATGGGATTGAGGAAAGGAGATATCGATGACGGTTTGATGGAAAGACAGGACGGCGATGGAGGTGGTGATTGTTCCGACCAAGAGTCCATCTGGGGATTTGTGATGACTGTGTTTTCTGAGGTATAGAACTTACGCCATTGAGAAGTCTATGAACGAAATCATTAGTCTGACACCACTTAGTGCTTAGTGTAGCACCTTATCATACCTTGGTTCCAAACCAGAGTTGGCCTGAAAAGACTCACTGCCAGCATCCAATTAGCTTGACAATTCAAACCCTCAAGTATCATACATACAAGACGCTTTGTACAAATTTCAAACACCTTTGCGACGACATTGTGGTGATTGATTGATAAATGTTGATGTGCCCTGGAGAGATGATGTAGAGATGGGACGAGTTTACCCGAAAGCCGAGGCTTCCTGATTTGATGGGCTTGGGGTGACCCTGTCAGCGTTTTTCGTTTCGCTCTAGGGGACGAAGGCACGCACATCGGACTGCCGTAGGAATCTGTTGTACGATCTGCACTGTAAGGGCATCTCGAAAGACCAATCGCCAGATGAACAGAGGCTATAGTGCGACCAATATATCAATGTTTGTGGGCTCGCAATTGGTGAGCGAAGTCTCAGGTGGGAAGTGTTTCCCAGAACATGCTCGCATTTTGGATATCTCAGAAAAAGAAAAAGAGAGAAAAACATCAAAGGCGTCGTACATAGCGATCAACCCTCATCTCTGTCCATGGCATCTCTCTTACCCTTTCCTCTGGGTCCACCTCTTCCGCCGTTCTTAGCCTTCTCGTGGAGATCCTTCATTTCTCTGACAGCCACACGCTGTGCCTCGGACACCTTCTCAGCGAAGACCATGACCTGGTCTCTAGGAGCATCGTGTTCGGGCAGCTTCTTCGCCAAAGCCTTCTCGATCCTCTGGAACACCTCGACATCGTACTGTGTCACGAATGACACGGCTCTACCAGCCTTTCCAGCACGAGCAGTACGTCCAACTCTGTGAACATAAGTCTTACTGTCCGGAGGCAAATCGAAGTTGAGAACCAGATCAACCGACGGGATATCCAGACCACGGGCTGCGACATCAGTAGCTACCAGAATGTCACGGCTTCCGGCTCTGAACTTGGACAAAGCGCCTAGACGTGCTGATTGTGAGAGCTGTCCGTGCAGAGGAATGGCGCCGAATCCAAGAGCTCGTAGGAGGTATGCCAATCGTTGTGTTTCGTTGACAGTACGGGTGAACAGAACAGTACTTTGGCCAGCAAACTCGTTGAGGATGTAGACGAGGTAGATGTCCTTGAACTTGTGCGGGATGAAGAGGTAGGATTGGATCAAGGTGCTGACGGTTTGGTAGCTCGATGATGAAATACTGACTTTCATGGGGTTCGAAAGCGAGGCTCTTTGCAGAGACTCGACCTTCGAGGACATGGTGGCCGAGAAAAGGTAGGTACGTCTCTCCTTGGGGAGAACCTTCAGGATCTTATCCAGGATGGGGCCGAAGTCCAGGTCCAAAAGTCTATCAGCCTCGTCCATGACCAGGTACTTCAGAGTACGCAGACTGAAACCTTTTGTGTTTTCGAGGTGATCAAGCAGTCTTCCGGGAGTCGCGACGATGATATGAGGCTTCTTTCCGAGGGCGATGGCTTGAGGAACCATATCCATACCACCCACAATGACAGCACATTTCACACCAATCAAGGAGCCTGCGGCTTCGATCTGTTGACTGATCTGATATGCCAGCTCTCTCGTAGGTGCCAGCACCAGACCAAAGAGATGAGAGGGGTTCTCCATCAGTGCTTGTAAGATGGGCAGGGCGAAAGCTAGAGTCTTTCCTGAACCAGTTTCGGCCAAACCAATGATATCTCTTCCGTTGAGGGCAAGCGGGATAGATTCGCGCTGGATGGGTGTTGGGAGCTTAAAGCCCATCTGTGCCAAAGCTTCACATAGAGCTGGAATAACGCCTAGATCGCTAAAGGATTTAGGTGGTGTGGTATGCTCGCCGTCTTCGGGAGACTCGGCGGGTGCGAGCTCTTCATCGGCGGGCTCTTCTGATTCTGCCTTGCGTTTCTTCTCTTTCTTGACCTTCTTCACATCATCGGTAGCAGCCTTCTTCACGGCCTTCTTTGCCAAGTCCTCGGCGGGTTCTTTGGTGTCGTCTATGCGATCCATAGTCTTCTTGGACGGCTTGGGTTGGCGAGGCGTCTCTTCGGTGAAGCTGGAGCGCTCATGTTGTACTTTTCTCTTTTTTAAGGCCGACATGTTGATGGTCGAATCTCAGCGACGAGATTGCAAGCCTGTCGTATGTTTCTCGAAGATGCTGATGTGGTTGGTATGAGCAGGCAAAGGCGCAGAATAAAAAGTTGCAAGAGGTTCAGGCAAGCGCCGGTGATAAACAAATTCCACGCGGGTTAAGACCGAAGCACAGACCCTGTCAATCGCTGCGACTGCAAAGAAATTTTGGAAGCAGTCGACTCGACAAAACATTCACATTTTCCAACATCACAAAATGGCCAAAAGAAGAGTGAAGAAGCGTACCCATGCTGGCGCAAAGCCTCCCGCCCCTGGAATGCCCGGCCACCAGAGCGCCGCCGCTCTTGCCAGCGAGACGAGAGCTCCCAAGAGCATGGTCATCCGTATCAACGCTGGAGAAGTCGGCCCAAGCATATCGCAGCTTGTCAGAGACACCCGTCTGATGATGGAGCCTGGAACCGCCAGTCGCCTGAAGGAGCGCAAGTCCAACAAGTTGCGCGATTTCGTCACCATGGCCGGCCCCCTCGGCGTCTCACATCTCATGCTGTTCTCGCGCTCCGATGCTGGAAACACAAACCTGAGAATCTGCACAACTCCCAGAGGTCCCACGTTACATTTCCGTGTTGAAAAGTACTCGCTCTGCAAGGACGTACAAAAGAGCATGCGCCGTCCCAAGGGCCAGAACGGTGCCGAATACCTCACCTCGCCTCTTCTCGTCATGAACAACTTCATGCAGTCACAGCAACAGGCTGATGCCGCCGCAAAGGACAACAAGTCCGAGTCGAACCCAATCCCCAAGAACCTCGAGTCCCTTACGACGACAATCTTCCAATCGCTCTTCGCCCCCATCTCTCCTCACACCACCTCCTTGAAGACCATCAAGCGTGTCATGCTGCTTGACCGCAAGCCCTCTACAGACCCTAGCGACCCCCACGCCTTTGTTCTACAACTGCGTCACTACGCCATCAACGCCGTCACTCCCAAATCCGCTCTACCCAAAGCCCTGCGCAAACTCGAGCGCGCCGACCACCTCAAGCGCGGCGACAGCTCTCGCTTGCCCAACCTCGGAGGCCTGGACGATGTTGCAGACTACCTTCTGGACCCCACCGCTTCCGGCTTCACCACTGCCTCAGATACCGAGGCTGACACTGATGCTGAAATCGAGGTCCTGGCCGTTGAGAATCGCAAAGCCATGTCGAAAGACGAGCGTCAACGCATTCGTGACGCCCAACGTGCAAAGGTTTCTGGAGCCAACGCTGAAGGCATTAACCCCGAAGGTTCTGCACGCCCCGCCCCTCCGCCTCGTAAGACAAAGACACAAAAGAAGGCCATCAAGCTGCAAGAGTTGGGCCCTCGTATGACCCTCCGTCTGACAAAGGTCGAGGAAGGTCTTTGCGGTGGCAAGATCTTGTGGCACGAGTACATCAGCAAGAGCAAGGAGGAACAGAAACAACAAGACAAAGCCTGGGAGATCAAGAACAAGGAGAAGGCTGAAAGAAGACGCATTCAAAAGGAGAATGTTGAGAGAAAGAAGAAGGAGAAGAAGGCCAAGGGTGAGGAGGAGGACGACGACGAGGATGACGAGATGCTCGATGATGAGGACTTTGACGACGATGTCTGGCACGACGAGGCTGACGCTGGTGGTGACGACGACGAAGAGGAAGAGTCAGAAGAGGACGAGGATGAGGACATGGAGTAAACCTCTCACCGTTCCACTTTGTCTTTTCCTAAATCAGCATGCCCGTCTTTGCATCTTGTTCAAAAGTATGGAGTTCGAGGAGTCTCAATCGGCTGGGAGCATTTGGTCGTGATATCCAATAGTTGAGTTTGTAGGTATACCTGAGAAATCTAGACCTCTCTATCGCAGCTTCCGTGTCTCTTTTCTTGCTTCACGGAACAAACAATCAACACAATACCAATCGTAAGTCGATGTCTAAACTCTAAAATCATCTCAATTGAGACTACTAATCACAGTGAATCTAAAGTGCAACGATTCCCCTATGAGTCTCACTCTCCTTCATCGACACTGGTGATTTTAAACTGCTCGAAGTTTGCCCAGTAAATTGCGCTCTCAGTGGACGTTTGCCTGATCACCAAAAGCATCCTGCATTTTTGCAGCCAGACTAGAAGGCTTATAGTGGAGGAGAGAGAGGCTTTCGTGCTGGGTTCGTCTGTCTACGTGGCGCGACAACTTGTTTGTGAGGTTGCGTTTGGATGCCACTACCCGCGCCATGCGCATCGTGAGTGAAAGCGAACAGCGACACCGCTAACCAACACACGAGACTTGCGTGTTGTCTCAAAACTTTCGCTCAACTTAACTGCTCCCGACGCTTGATCGATCTTCCATCTCGTCCATCAGCATCTCCGCTTCCTTTTACAATCATTCCATCACCACACTCACGATGAGTATGCAGGCTACTGTTAGCAAAGCTCTTGATATCAAATGGCACTTGACCGAACGCGTTGATTCCCTGAAGGGAAGCCAACGCCCTCCTCGGGGTCGCCAGGCGCGCGAAGATCTCTCAGCCCGTGGCGCGATTTCATCTTTCTCAAATGCCGACATCAAGATGACCGTTGTCTCAGAGTCTTATTCTCCTAGCATTGCGCCGCTCCAGGCACTCAACAAGATCAACCTCCGCGATCTCCATCTCGAAACTCATCACCGCGGCAATCTCCTTGTGCTTCGTACCTTCGGCCACTCAACCGATATCTCTCAAATCCAAACGTTCATGCCAGTCGAAGATGAGACTGGCGACGTCGACAGAATCGCTATCTTCAACTTTGGTCTATCCTCCTGGCCTGAGAAGCGACTGCCATCTGGCATTGTGCTGGCCATCAAGGAGCCATTCTATAGCTCGGTGTCAGAAGACATAGGCATGGCGCTGTGTATCCACCACCCTTCGGATGTCATCTTCCTTGAGGACAACCACTCCGCGTTCCCTTCCAGTTGGCAGCTTCCTATCAAGGTCAAGACTGCTTCAGAATGGAAGCTCGAGGGCAACGAGGCTCTGAAGAAGAAAGACTTCATCAAGGCCAACCACTGTTACAGCAAGGGCCTTGCTGTGGTTCATGACATCGATATCAAACTCGACCTTCTTCGCAACAGATCCCAGGCAAGACTCTTCCTCGGCAGTTACGAAGCAGCAAAGGAAGACGCTGTCGCTTCAACACAAGGCACTATGCATCACGACCCGAAGTACGGTAAGGCTCTGTACCGTGCAGGCCGTGCTGCGTATGAACTCTCGGACTATGCTTTCGCTCTTAAGATGTTCCAAAGACTAGTTGACGCTTTTCCGTCCGATCAAGATGGTCCCAAGGAAATCAAGCGCACTAGACTGCGCATGCAAGAAGCACAAAACGGCGTCTTCGAATTTGAGGCTATGGCTCAGGAGATTGCAGACACAGCAGATTATCGCACTCAGCAGGCTAGCTACCTCCGCCGTATTGATGTACGCCCCAAAGGCTTGTTTGCTACGGAGAACATTGCCGCTGGAGAGATAATTCTCTGTGAAAAGGCCTTCGTTGCTTCTAACACACCGAAGAACACGCCGGCTCTGAGTGTGATGATCAATCCTACCAATAACCGCGCACTGCATGGTAGTCATGTCGCCATCTGGGTTGAAGCTGTACGCAAGGCTTTCCACAACCCATCTTTGGGGGAGCACATTCTAAACTTACACGACGGCTCGCCCGCCAATCCTGCGACCGAGCCGATTCCCCTCGTCGTTGACGGTATGCCGGTCGTTGATGTCTTTCGCATGCAAAACATCATAGAGCACGCTGCCTTCGGGTTCACCGCGGACGAGAGCAGAATCCGTAAGGACGTGCAAAAGGCTTTCAAGGTCGACTCGTCTGGTGTCTGGCCAGTTGCAGCTCGCATGAATCACTCTTGTTTATTCAATGCGAGCCGTGGCTTTGTTGGTGATTTCATCATTGTTCGCGCGAGCAAGGACATTCTTCAAAATGAAGAGGTTACTGTCATGTTTTGTCCTGCTGACGGCAACTTTGAACAGCTCCAACAAAACCTTGAGGGATGGGGTATATGTTGTGATTGTCGACTATGCAAAGCAGAGATCGATTTTTTGAAGGGCGCAGAGAGCCGCGCAAGCGTCATGTACGAGGTCACCCAGTTCCTGAAGGCACAACCTCTCCTGAAGGTCGCCCGCATGCTTGTTGACGGCGAAATCCCTTCTGACCTCGTCAAAGAGGCTAAGAGGCTCGAGAAGGCCTTACAGAAGACTTATCCTCTAAAGCTATTCGCTACCTGCGTGCCAAACACGAACAAGATTATCGAGCTCCTTCCGACATTTGGCATGGCCAACGTCCACGAGTGGCTGATGTTTGCGCACTACCGCCAACCTCCGCGCGCACTCGACTACGCTCACTTCGTGTTGATGGATCATGGATACAAGGTGACCATCCAGTCTTCTGGCATCTCTCTCGACCGAACCAATTGCGTTTTGAGTATGACTGCTGTCAAGGCAATGCAATACATCGAGCATTTTTATACCCAGGCAAACGTTAAGGAGGTCGCCAAATCCGCCAGAGCTTTGGCTGAAGAGATGCATGTTACCTATAATGGTAGCATGATCGGATACCAGGGTTGGTCATAAGGAGCATGTTGGGGTTGGACGGGGAACAGATCCGTAAATGTAGCTGTAGAAATGCAAGATTTCTGCCCTGTCAAGGGTGTCCTCCATTGAAAGCGTGACAGTCAGCCTCTCTCTGCGGACGGGTGTTCCGATGTCAAAAACATTGTGCATCGTTACAACTTGGAATCACCTAGGCCTAGGCGTGGTCGCTGGAGCTTCGTATAAGCTCCACTCTTGGTCGGCTGTTATGGAGCAGCAAAGGAAGACGCCACTGCTTCCGTCAAAGACACTGTCTGCACCGGCCTGCACCGCATTACGGCCATCTACCCTGCCGGTTGTGCTGCTTACGTTCTCTCCGACTATGAGGGCGCAAATGGGCTATATCAAATGCTTCTCAAAGTCTCACCGTCAGACGATAACGAAGCAAGGCAACTGAGATGCGTATCAAGGAAGCTGAAAAGGGAATCTACGACTTCGTCTCTATAGCGAAAGAAGTCTCGGCCTTGTGCATTTTTACAGGCGTGCAATGACGTGCGCGCGTGGGCGGAGATGCAACTTTACAGTGTCTTATCATCAATGCTGATTTGTTGCGTGCGCCGTGTAGAGGCCTGCCGACAACGATAACGCGTACCAAAGTCTTTGTGGTTGATCTTTGGATTGGTGGGATATCTTTCGTCCGATAGCAATGGACCCCAGGATCAACCACGTTGGAGGTACTCCGATGATGGATGTAGGTGCAAGCAAGCAGGTGTAGTTGTCCAAGGAGATGTGGATCTGCATATATTCATGACGCGTTGATGCCAAGACCCGAGGGATGGCGGCGAGGTGTATCACCAGGCACCCAACTTCCAAACTTGCTGACCTTCTCACCATACTGCTCGCAGCTATCTCAATTGGTTCTGAGACATTCCAGAAATGGTGGTTTTGAAGAAACGAGCGCTTCTGCTTGCTGCAGTCGCCTTGTCGTTCTCAGTCAAGTCTCTCGACCCTGAATATCTACTACATGGTTCGGTATGGCAAACCACAACTGCCATCTTTTTCAGTATGCTCGCAGTTCGATTCTCTTGGTCTTGTCTTCTTTACCCTCTATGCTTAAGTCCTTTACGCCACTTGCCGCATCCCAAACAGACCTCACTTCTGCTTGGCCAGTTCTCCAGGATTATCAAGGAACCTACCGGCTACCCCCACCGAGAATGGATGGAGGAAATTGAGAACGATGGTTTGATCTACTATCGGGGTCTTTTCAACATGGAGAGAGTTATGGTCACAACACCCAAGGCGCTTAGCGAAGCCGTAACGCTGAAAAGTTATGATTTGATCAAACCACCAACCTTGACAAAGGGCCTGGCTCGTATTCTTGGATATGGCATTCTTTTGACCGAAGGGCAAGAACACAAAAATCAACGAAAGAATTTGACCCCAGCGTTCAGTTATCGTCATGTCAAGGATCTGTACCCGGTCTTCTGGGAGCAATCTCGAGACATGATTTTGGGCATTGATAAGGACATTGAGAGTAAGCCAACCACAAAGGATGAGAACGAAAAGCAAGAGAACAGTAGCGAAGTTAATGTTGATGGATGGACTTCTCGTGCCACCCTCGACATCATCGGAGTAGCCACTATTGGAAAGTCTTTCGGTGCCATTGAAGACGACCAGAGCGAGCTTTACCGAACTTACCAGACACTCTTCAAGCAAGATTGGCAGACACGCATGATTGGACTTCTCAACTTTTTCTTGCCTTTCTGGTTCCTCAGAGCATTGCCGATCCCGCGCAATGTCAAGGTAGAGAAGGCACGAGTGTATCTTAGCAAGATCTGTTTCGAGATGCTTGCAGAGAAGAGGTCGAAGATTGCTGCTGCGAAGGAGAAGGACAAGTCAGATGAGACAGCCGGGGGTATTGACATCCTAAGTGTTGCTATGCAGAGCGGAGGCTTCACAGATGGGCAAATTGTCGATCAGTTGCTCACCTTCTTGGCTGCCGGACACGAAACTGTATGTCTTCCCCCCTTATTCTAATTGTTCAACACTTACTTACCCCATCACAGACCGCCACAGCCATGACTTGGGCTGTCTACGTCCTTGGCAAACATTCAGACGTGCAACAAAAGCTGCGCGATGAATTGCGTGCTTCACCCCTCCCAGACATCCGTGACACAGGAGCAAAAGTCACCGCTGAACAGATTGAGCAACTGTCTTACCTTCACGCTGTTGTCAATGAGGTACTCCGTTTCTACTGTCCGATACCAATGACCATCCGTATTGCTGAGAAAGATGTCGTCCTTGCTGGTCATCTGATTCCTGAAGGCACCACTGTTCTCACACCTCTTATTGCCGCCAATCATAACTCGGCTATGTGGAGCGAAGATCCTAAGGTGTTCAATCCGGAGCGATGGATGGGTCCTGGAAGAGCAAATACTGGAGGTGCGGAGAGCAATTATTCGAACATGACCTTCTCACATGGACCGAGAGGATGTATCGGAGCCAGTAAGTGAAGATAGAAACACATTCACGAGTCGTTTTGCTAATTTATCCAGGTTTCGCGAAAGCTGAATTCGCCTGCTTGCTCGCTGCTTGGGTCCTTGGATTCGAGACCACATTGGTCGACCCGGACATGGAGACTGATGTGACAGGGGGTATCATCAGGAGGATCAAAGGGGGTCTTCGTGTCAAGGTCGTCCAAACAAAATCATGAGAGAGGCGGAAGACCGGATCATATGGAAATAATTCTCCATATTGAAACGGCTTCGAGGCTCTTGAGCAGAGATCGGTTATTGCGCTGGTTGGGACGAAGCTCCTCTTAGATAATGCGCTTCCGCTTGAGCTCTCGGCTCCAGGTTGAGAAAGGGGATGGCGTGATCCGAGCAGTCGGTAAGTTGATATATTAGTGACGGGATATTCTCGGCATACTGATCGACATAACGCAACATCCACGCAACTACCTATACACAATCAATGCTCGACTGTGGCGCAATTTTAGTCCCAAAGGACCTTCGCTTATAGTTAGAATAGATCCTTCACCTTCATACGAACACTCAACCCGGCTTTGATCGAAGCGAAGCTCAATGTACTTTGATACTGTGCCGCAGCCCTTACAAGGATATGTTCCTTTACGCGTGGTGATGTGCTAGTATTGCTAGTAAGGAGGGGAAACTTGTGGCACGTCTCGTGAGTCCAGCCACTGCTTCGAGTTACGACGTTCGATCGAGTAGTAAGCGAAGTTGCGTATACACGGTAGGGCATCCTGGTTGAATCACGATGAAAGGCAAGTACTCTCATGCTTTGAGGCTGCTTTCTATTCAGTCACACCATCAACATTTCCTTTGTCGTGTATGCATCATATCTTAGGATGGGTTATGATATCTCTGGAGAGGCCGTCATGGTGAGTCTGCTTCTCTTATAACGGGGGTATGATATACTGACTTCTCGAAAGGCCATTGAATGGTCGCTCTTTGCACTGGCATACACCCTTGTAGGGCTTCGAATTGGTGTACGGATCACAAGAAGACAGCAGAAGCATGTCATTGTCTCCGACATCCTTCTGATAGTATCTGCGCTGGACTGCCTAGGACTGATCATATGTAAGTATTCACGAGAAACCGATGAAAGATAAGTCTGACGAGGCTTACAGGCGATACATTGACATATGCGCTTGGAGGCATGCGATACATACCACAAGGTGAGGCACTGACAGCAGCCAACATCCGCAATGAGGTTGCTATGGACAAGGTAAGATTCCAGCCGAGTTTTGACACAAAGACGCTGATCAACTGACCAACAGATCTCCTTTGCTGGCAACTACTTCTACGATACCGGGATGTATTGGCCGAAAGCCGCGTTGATCGCGCTGTACTTCAAAATAATTCCGCCGACTATGCCACGACTGCGGGTGTCGCTTTATATCGTGACTGCATTCGTGCTCGCGTGCGCTGTTTGCACCTGCCTCCTAGACACGCTTTGGTGTGCACCAAACATTTCGAGCAACTGGTCATTGGAGGAAGGTGCATGTTCGACCTTCAATTCTCTGCGCGTCCTGCAGATTGACTGGGCGCTGAACTTTACGTCGGATATCGCGAGTAAGCATCATAGGACAAGCTTCAGAATTTTGAGAAGTCGCTAACCACTTCTGCTCCAGTCTTCGTTCTTCCTTTCCCGCTCCTCCGCCATCTCCATCTTGGCTCAAGGCAAATTTACGGACTTCTCGTTACGTTCGCACTTGGCCTCGCGACTATCGCTGTCAACCTCGCTCGCTTCATCACAATCCAGACTGGCAACAATTGGAATGCCGTCTTCATCTGGTCCATGGCCGAAATGGCCGTCGCTATCATTGTTGTCTCCTTGCCAGCGCTGAAAACTCTCCTCCGTCGCAAGAATCAGACTTCAACATCCTCAAACTCGTATTCCAATGGACATCACTACGCTATAAATTCATCACATCGGAGATCAGTGTTCGGGAGAAGCGACCCTATGGACGATTCGGGAAGTGATGTCGAGTTGAATCGCGTGGGTAAGAGAGATGTGATTTACAAGACCAAGGAAGTCAGTGTAGACTCAAGGCCAATAGATGAGAGTGAGGACGGAGGGCCTCTGGCTCAGGCTTGGACGAACAGCGGCTATGGTGTTCAAGCTGGCAAGGGAGGTGTTTGATACAAACTTTTGTGGCAGAAACATTGGCTCCAGTAGATTGGTTTACAGAACAGAGTCGCAAAACACAACAAGGATCACATCTATCCTCACGAAGCCGCTGTGGACACGGACATCGAGGTCGAGGTCGAGGTCTCGTGCTCAGAGCCTTATCGGACTCTGCAAAGTGGCAGGCACAGAGATGAGATTTCCCGTCTGAGGTCTCCACCAAAGATCAGCAAAATCTAGCCCTCGTCTCACAAGAAACCATCTTCGTAAACAATCTACGCTATCAAGAAAATCACCAGAGAGAAGCAGGGTATCTAGGATGCATTGACACCACGACTTTAACCACCCGAGTAACCGACAGCCGAGATATATTGATGTCGATCCCGACAGAGTGGTTCGCCGGACACCACGCCCGGTCCGTGTTTCATCTCACCATCCATGATCCTCCAAAGGAGCAACTGCCGGACTAACCAATCAAGCAGATATTTGTTACTCTCCATTTTCCCAATCCTTAGATGCCACAAGCATTGGCAGTCAGATTTGTATCGGCCGAGTGTGGAAGAGCCACCAACACCAAGAGAACGAGGGCTAAATCCAGTGGAGTGATAGGGTGATTTATTCCCCATGGCGGCACAGCCAAGCGAAAGTAGTCTACTCTATACATAAATGAATGGATTGTGGTCGATGGCTCAATATTAGTATCTGCAGGGTCTGATTCCTACACGAGAAGGTGAGAAGGAAAAATGCCCATGTGCTAGCAGTGTGCCAGTATACCGGGTATGAGTCTGAGAAGGATCATTTATGTAGCGATGGCTTTCCTGGCTTCCGTCGACATTTTCTCCTTCTCTGTGTTGTTTTTGTTATCGGCGAGTGTTGAACTTTTTGGCTTGCAACAATGGCCAACTCTATCGGTGGAAAGGATTGCATGGTTGGTCGCTCCAGCTGTTTGTACTTATTGGACAACTTTTTACTGACGATCGATGTTTATACAGATCTCAGAATGGATTCTGTTAGTCGCTGCTTGGTCTCTTGTGGCCTTGAGAATGTACACTCGATTGCTTGTGCAAAGACAAAAGTTGAGGTTGTCTGAGTACATCCTGCTTTTCTCTGCTCTCATTGGGCTGGGACTTATTATCTGCGAGTGAGTTATTCCTTGCTCTCTAGACTTCTGAGATGATCCCACTGACGGCAAAATAGCACATTGACTTATCAACTCGGTGTTATGGATGAGTGGGAATCTTCTGTCACGCTATCCAAGATCTCGTTCGCTTCGAACTACTTCTACGACTTTGGAATGGTAAGTCACTCGCTGTTCCCTTCTCTCTGATCCAAGATACTTATACTTTAACTCAGGGCTTCCCCAAATTGAGCATGCTCGCTTTCTACTGGGGCGTCTTCCCATCCGACAGACCTACATTGCGTAAAGCCATGTACATCATCACCGCCTACGTCTGCCTCGCCTACTTCACCGTCCTCTGGCTCGATACCTTCTACTGCGGCGTCCCTGTTTCCATCCAATGGAGTCAAGAAGAAGGAGCTTGTAGTGTGTTTTACGCAGATACACCTTTCTACTTCAATTTTACCATGAACCTGTCTTCGTACATTTTCAGTAAGTGCCCCACTCCCTCTCATCATCTGAACAGCAAGAAATAGTCGCTGATGTTAGCACAGTCTACACACTGCCCCTTTTCCTCCTCAAAGGCATGAGCAAGGAACACAAAACAGCCATCTACTTTACCTTCTCACTGGGTATCGTGCCCGCCTTGACGACGCTCATCCGCTTCATCACGTTGAACACAGATTCCAATGAGCCGAATTTGGTGTACATTTTGAGTATGGTTGAGATGGCCACAGCTATTGCTGCTGTATCTGTGCCTGGATTGAAGCCGCTACTGGATAGAAAGAGCAGTGTACAGCCGGATGATAGGTCGTTCGTTAGTGGAGAGGTTGTGAGGGCTGAGAAGCAGGGAGATCAGGTTTGATAGGGAATGTGAGGTGGAAAGAGGATGCAGGAGGATGTGACGACATCACTCCGGAGACAAGGTCTTGTTCTGCTATGAGTATCTTGTCACGGGTCATACTCTGCAATGTCCGTGGCCTTCCGAGACGATAGACGAACAAAAGTACAACTAATTATTATGCCACATTATACTGCAAACCTCTGGATGAACGAAGTCACATAGCAGTGGAGTATGAGCAGAGAATATGTGTGTTGCAGCGATTGCTTCGTATCTTTGCTTTGGGATTTATGTACTCAATGCCACCATAGACATCATGAGGTTTGTGTAGACAGGCCAGGCTCTCTTTTCCCATGAGACCATGTATGTTATTGCCGTCCGATCAGAAGAGAAGTGGAGAAAAAGAAGAAAAAGAAGAAAAGAAGAAGAGCAAGAAACAAAACCCATGACTCCCAAAGCGCCTTCGCAAATCGGAGACGTCGCGATAACCTCCATGTTCCCCCAAGTTGTTGTTTTTTTGTCCTTTGAAAATGCTTCAAACCCCGTGCCCAGAAAAGAAAAACGCCGTTATGAAATGCATTGTTGTGTTGAGTGGAAAGGGAAAGCAGCCAGCGACGTGCTCCTGCTTTCGTTACTTGTCGGTCTTGAAACAATCAGCACGAAGCCGACATCCTCCGCCTCATCCATATCCGATGAATATTCCTAAGCTACCTGAACAAAAGCGTCGGCAGGCAGATTGGCTCTGACGGCGGCGAAGGCCTGTAGAGCACGGTCAAAGTCCCACTGCACCTGCTCGAGACAGTCCTTTGCGTACTGGACGGTCATGGAGGTTTGCTTCTGGAGCTCGATGAGCATTTGTTCGGCGATTTCGGGAGTGAGCCCTTGTGGGAGCACGGGCACGCCGGCCTCAGTTGGGACTTGAGTTTCGTTGTGGTCGGGCTCGAAGGCAGCAAAGCCTCCGTAGGCGCGCACGGTCGTCATATCGCTGACAACACGGACACCAGTGGGACCTCCAGGCCCAAGGATGAAGGTGCGGTCGAAGGAGCGAGTCTTTTTAACTTGACCCGTGCTGACATCGATTTCGTCGAATTCGCCGTGAACAGTGACAAGGAAGCCGTCGACGCCGGCGGGAGATGCGCCAGTGGGGTCAGGGACACCGGGCTGTGATTGACATTCGATGAGCCATTTTTGGGGTTGAGTGGCAAGATCGGGATGGCGGGTGGTGGGGAGGGAAGACCAGCTTTCATGGATGGCCTGGGCGCCACGGCAGAGACGACTCTGTCTTGCAGGGAGCTGGGTAATCTTCTTCAGGTTGCGACTACGCTTGATGTAGAGGTCCCATTCCTGAGGGGCAGTCTCGTGGGCCGTTGAGGGGTCGCGAGGGGCAGCAGTGTTGACAGCAAGGGAGAATTCGGACTGCTCATCGTAATAGTGCTGGGCGAGGGTAGCACGGTCTGCATCGTAGCCAGCGAAGAAGGTGCGCAAGAAGTTCTCGGCGATTTGGCCTTCATCTTGGAAGTTGGGGCTCCTGATCGGAAAAGGAATGTCCGTCACGCGACGACCGCTTTCGGCATCCTGGTCGGAGCGGACTTGGACAGTGTTGAGAAGACGGAGCTTGGGGTACCAGGCCAAGAGCTTGACGGCGTACTCGGGCTCAGCTTGCTCTAGAGGGTTACCAGAGACGATGAGGTGGTCGAGCTTTGGGAACTTGCGTCTCCATGCTTCGATAGCAGCCAGATCTTTGAAGGCGTTGTTGGACAGGTCGAGGTTCTTCAATTGCGGGAGTGTCTGGGCGAGAGTTGTGACAGCACTGACGCTTGTGAGCTCATTGTTGGCGAGGGAGACACTGATGATGGCATCGTTCTTCTCTGCAGGCGACTTGAACTGCTGATCCAGGACCTTCATAAGGGCCGGGAAGAACTTGCTTGTTGTGGTGCGGCTGTCGAAGATTTGGGCTGCCTTGAGGTCAGGGTCTACACCAAGGGCACTGAGGTCAAGCAGCTTGGAATCAACATCGTAGCGCCTGGCAAGAACACCCTTGAGCATAGCGATAGTGGTCTCTTTGGACACAGCCGGGTTGAGATCCTGAGCAGAGGCGCGCTCGATCTTAATGTTCGTTCCAGCAAAGACGTAGCCATCGAGTCTCAGCACATGAGCAACGTCTTCACCAGGAACTGAGATTATCAGCTCATCTCCTTCGGATCGGGACTAAAAACATGGTCAGTACAACGTTTGGAAGAAAAAAAGCCTGATAGCGCATCAAGGATAAAGCAACAGCGTCGAGGTTTCTGGTCGTCGTTCTGAGATTGGCTGCAAACGAAAGCGGACCGGACCTGGCGAGCTGGATCGTGTGAAAAGCGCAAACGTCGATGGGTGTACCTTCTTGATCTTGACCGGTCTCTTGGACTTCATTGTGGCCTTCTTCTCCAACCACATTATGAGCGAGCTCATGCCGCCGTCGGAGTTGGAGGCAGCCTTGCTATTCTTGTGGCCAGTGACTCGGAGTTCCTCTAATCCTTTGCTCTGTGCGTGTCGTGTGCGGACTGGGGCTCCTCCGATGTGACTGATGATCTTCTTTTCGAAATCGGCGCCGCGGGTAGTGGCCCTCGCGCCTTTGGTCTTGTCGCGGCCGGTGGATGCGCCTGCTTTGCCGCCCTTTGAGACACCTCCACCTGCGCGGGTGCGCGCAGTGGGATCCATGACAAGGTCACCATCGCGATCGGTTCTGGTCTTTCTCTTTGCGACGGCGCCGCCGCGGGAGTTGCGCATGGCACCCGAGGGCTTCTTCTGGGATACCATGGCGGGAGAGGGAGGGCGTAGGGTAAGCTAGGTGAGTTCGGAGTGCGGTCGTGGATGGGAACGCGTGCGCGAGAGGGTAGGGTGAGATGCGAGAGAGCGAGTTGCCAAAGACGGCGGCGGAGTCAATGGTCTTTGTTCAGTCGGTTGTAGGCCGCTGTAAAATTGGGCAGTGCCAGCAAAAGTCGGCTGTCTTTTCTCTCTGAATCGCTAGAGAGTGTGCGCAAATGCTTGTTGTAAAGAATGGGATTGGCGTAGTAGACTCGATGTCTGTTGGTGGGAAAGCGCAAAGTGGGCTGTGAGCTCGAGAGTTTGCTGTGACTGACGGAAAGTACAAGGCAGCGATCGTCATTCATATGCCAAGTCAACTTTTTCGAGGGTCCATGCACGGCCCAAGTGAAACTCCGTCTCTCACTCCGAGACTCGGCGTCAAGTCATGGTGTCTTGCAACCTGCTATTGTTTCAATTACATGGTCTCTGTTCAGCTCATGAGAATACTCATGTTTGACAATGGCACTATATCATATGGCGCGACATGTGAATGCAGATTTGTGTTCATAGTTAGATTGATCAGATAATACTCCGTATCCGACAGTAGATTCATTCATCCAACTCCTTCTGTGATATCTCCCTATTACGCCAGGCACCTTCGCTAAGTGGTTATACCCTAAGAAATGCAAAACCAAACAGATAATAAACATCAACCATCTTCTCCATCTCATTGCTCTTCGCAATCGCTCCCTTCTCCGGTGTTGAACATCAACATGCGTACTTCGCAGTCTTCGCTTCCAGAAACTAGTCGACTGTCACTGAGGCCGATGCAAGTCACGGGGCCAGCGTGACCTGTCCACGTTCGCTCGCACTTGCCACTGCGCGGGTCCCAGATCTTGACAGTGCGGTCTTCCGATCCAGAAACCATACGCAAGTGGTCTGCCGCAAGCGCCCAGATACCTTCAACGTGGCCAAAAAAGGTGCGCAAGCATGCTGTAGTCGTGGGTGGCTTTTGTACTGGGTTTGCTGCATCTACAGCTGGCGATACCGCAGGGGCATGCACATCCCACAGGCGGATTGTGCTGTCCAAAGCACCGGTAAGCATATAACGAGGAGGCGCCGGTCGATCAGGCTCGTCCGGCCAGAACGGAACGATTGAGTCAGCAGAGGTAGTTGCTGGGTGATGCGAGTGCTTGTGTGCAGGTGTAGGGCCAGAAGAGGTAGACGATGTGTCATCTTCGTTCTCTCCAGAGAGCAGATCCGCATCGTCAAGCTCGAACTCTGGAGGGAGAGCTACAACCTGTTGCACCTGCCCGACGTGTCCCTCAAAGACCTTGATACATCGGCGTGTGTCCAAGTCCCACAAGCGGACAGTACAGTCATCTGAGGCAGAAATCAAAGTGCGCGAAATCGAATCAAGCTTTACTGCATTGACCCAATCGGTGTGGCCCTTGAGGAGGAAAGTGCCTTTGGATTTGCCATCGAAGACTCGGATAGTGTGGTCCATGGAGCCCGAAGCAATGTAGCCGGCGTCAAAGTTGACACAAATGACGCCGCCTGTATGAGCTCGGAAGGTTCTTAGACATTCTCCAGTTCGCCAGTCCCAGACCTTGGTTGTGTTGTCCATAGATCCAGTGATGAGCTTCTGGTCGTCGAATTGCAGGGTACGAATACCCGACGTATGACCCTCGAGTGTCCGCAATTCTGTTCCTGTCTTAATATCCCAGACCTTTACTGTGCAGTCGTATGATCCAGTGATCAGAACATTCTCATCGAATTGTAAACACATGACACCGTTGGTGTGGCCTCTGAAGATTTTTGTCGAGCACCTGCCGTACTTCCAGTTTGTGCCAACCTTGAAACGATCTTTGTACACATCCTTCCATGGGCGTCTTGTTTGTGGTTGGAAATATGAGTCACCCTCCTCTTTACCGGATGCTTGGGTACACATTTTCTTCTGCGGCAGGGCGGGTTCGTCGTCAAGCTTGCGCTTCTCACCAACGATAGCGAGCGCTTGACTGGTTGGTGGGGCGCTAGCGGTGCTGAGGACGGGCACTGGTGCCTCGACCAGTGGAGTAACGGCTGGTGACCATTCATTGTTGCCTCTGGAAATGGCGCGAAGCTGAATCTGTCTCTTTTCAATTCTCAATCGCTTGCGTTCGAGTAGAGGCAGACCCCAGCCACACTTTGTACACTTGCGGTCGATGTGCTGCTCGCACATTCGGTGCCAAACAACGTCGTCGTCGGCCAGGCTCCTCCAGCGCCGGCTGACTTGAGCAGCTTTACACAGCGAGGTTGTGTCGAGGAAACAGAGAATCCTGAAGCCAAGCTCTGGTGGCAGAGCAGAGAGGAAGTCGATCTTGATCAGGTCGCGAACGGAAGCGGAGATGTAAGACAGCTGAGGGAAGCAGCACTGGGAGAGGATGCCCTGGAGCATAAGATTGCGGTGTTTGGAAGGAGCGGCGGAGAAGAGAGACCAGACGTGGGATATGGCTTGTTGGTCGGACTGGGAGAGAGTACCGAGTTCCTATTCATGGGTCAGCATACCGTGAGTCATTGCAGCAGCGAGGATCGCATCGTACATTCTGGAGTTGTTCCATAGAAGGCTCGTTGGCTTGACGTCTACACTTGAGATCGGGGCGATGACGATAGCAGAACTTTGTACTTGAGGTGTCTTGGAGGTGATCGTGGTTGTGGTTGTCCGAGTTGGACTGGGGCATCAAGTGGCCGACAGGATTGTATTGGGTAGGGATGTGCTTGGCCAAGAAAGGAGCGATGGCCTGCTCGGCATGTTTGGAGTTTGAAGGGATTGAGATGTTTTCATCGTTGGTGTTGTCGTGATGGCGGAACTTGTGGCCCTCATGTTCGTGATCGTGATGGCACAGGCCTTCCACTTCAATCTGTCGAGGGCCGGACCGGCTTTCGGACGAAGCGTTGACTTGCGACTTTGGATCCAGATCTGACGCCATCCTAGTAGAGATAATCCCTCATACAGGGGCGTGCGTAGTCGAGAGCAGTCAGAAAGTCGTGGAGCAGGTTTGGAAGGAAATGGTGTGTTCGCGTGATCGCAATGGCGGTACAAGAGTGTTTATGGCGGGTTGAACAGGTCGCCCGGATTGACGGAGAGCGAGTGTATGTATGTATCGATGGTGCGACGATGACTGCAAGGGGCGAGATGGGAGAAAGCGCTTGTTGTGCTGGACGTCCTTCTACGCTGATTCGCGATATGGCGTGCTATTCCAGGCGTCTGAGGAAGGCAAAGAAGGGTTCACGCACCGACCACCTTCCAACTGGCCGTTTCCGTAATCACTTTATCGCGGGCAATCATGCCACGGAGAAGTTACTGGGCCGCTTCTCCAAAAGCAATCTCGCTATTGACAAGGTGGATATCAATCTGATAAGCAATCGAGCCATTGAGGAGATCTGTCTATTACATGCCTGTCATAAGGCTTGCTTCTGATGAGAGGCACGATGTTTCTGCTGTGGCTCTCTTACTCAGGGGGGCTTGACCAACAGCGGCGTCGCTACCAGAGACCCGAGTTCGCTCGGCAGGCAAAATCATTGGTCAGCCTTACGTACCAATTGGTCACGCAACACAGAAAAAATGGAAGATTTCGCAAACTTTGACTCAGAAGATGGGATTGCGACATCAGACAGCATACTGATGCCTCCTGCACAATCCTAGCCAAAAGATGCAGGAGGCACTTGGAACAGAAGCAAAACTGGTGTAGAAGATTAGCTGCACCCGGGCAGATTGTCCGGACCAGGGTGACGGATAATGGATAGCGAGCTAAAGTACCCCAGACCCGGATGCGGAAGGAGCGACGGAATCGCTTTCCCCGCAGCGCCACAGACGAGGGTCGAGTTGCAGCTTGACAAGCAGAGTCTCAAGCCACCAACGATCGGATGTCAAGTCGAACTCCGCGAACACAAACATCAGTCGCGCCATCCAGGTCCTTCTTGCGTGACAGCTGATAACGAAAAGTAGAGAGAGCCTTGTCGTCCGAGCAGACGATGCTCAAGGCAGCAGGTCTGGATGAGTGAACAGTCCCGGCAAGCGTCGCCCTCGCGCAGCATCGATGAGCTGGAACGTCTCGTGCTGCATTTTGTGGCAGCTAAGCGCTCTCTATCCTCGACCGCTCTGGTATCTCGAGCACACGATGTCGTGACGACAGCCCGGGGCCTTGTCGAGGAGAAGGCCGTGCTGACAGCCAAGAATGCCTTTGTCCGGCAAGGAGTGCTGGAAGAAGCCACCGTCTTGGTAGCCGTAAGGGACGCTTTGGACAGCATCGGTCGCGAAACTGATGTTGACTTCAAGGTACGACCGATTCCGTTATCTGAGAGGCTTCGACTCACGGCGTCAGGCAGTGATACATCAGCTCGATCTCGCCGACAACCGCCTGCAGGCCACTTTGGTACAATTGACCAGCACCCAAGTAGACACTTCAGAGCTGCACTCCCGAGGTGCCACGCCCGATAATCAGAAAACCCTCCATGATTTCATCGACGAAGACACGCATCTGAACCTGATCGAGTCCCTGCGCAGCACCATCGACTCCCACAAGGCAGCCGAAGGCGACTTCCAGCGCTCGCAAGACTCGTTCGACGATCAGATCCGCGCTCTCGATGCTGCCGTCAACGACGCCGATCAGGCCACCGAGAACCAAGACGATCTCTCCCCCATACCGCCCTTGTTCCACGCACTGACAACACATGCGACTGAGACAGCATCGCTGCTGGGCTCTCTGGTCGCACACTACGACCTTTGCACCTCGGCGCTCAAACATACTGAAGGAGGAGGTGAAGCCGCTCGACAAGCCAACCCTTCTTCTGCCGAAGATGCTCCTGAAGACAGTCTATACAAAAATCTACCTCTTGGCCCTCTGAACGAACACGAGCGTCAAGAGATGCTTGCCGTCGTCGAAAACGACGCTCAAGAGGTAGAGGATGTTATTCTCGAGATCCGCGAACGTCTTTCCGAGATGGAGGCCCAACTCGAGCAGTTGCAAGCACATTCCCAGGCCATTCGTCTGCGCCATAAACTCCTCGGCCGTGTGTTGAATCTGCTACGTACACTCGGAGGTAATCTGCCTGTCTTCATTTCTGCTGCCAAGCTCTATGGCAATAACTGGAGCGTACTAAAGGAAACCCTGATTGCAAAGGCAGAAGAGCTAGCTTCCTTGACAGACTTCTACGAGTCTTTCATCGCTTCATATGCCTCATTACTGCAAGAGGTCAACCGTCGACATGCCGTCGAGAACAAGATGCAGCGTATTGCTGACAAGGCTCGCCGTGAAATCGAATCATTATACAAGGAAGACGTTGCTATGCGCGAAGACTTTGTCCGAGGAACTGGGGAATTCTTGCCACGAGATATTTGGCCTGGTCTAGTCGATGCTCCAAGGCGCTGGGACATTAGAGCCGCGTCACCGGAAATGCAGCGAGAACCTGAAGAAGACGAACAACATCAATGACGCGTCTGATCCTGAAGATCTTAAGCCTACATGGAGGATGGTACTACGTGATGAATAACACGGCGTTACAAGGAGAACTGGCTGCGTTTGCTTTTCTTTTCTGGTCGCGCCTGTTTCTTCTTATATCCATACAGCACAAGCATATTCTTCGTCAATACAGAGTCTTGTTGATACAGATTTTTTGGTCTTCATGATGTTTTCTAATTAAGGTCCTCTGCAGACCTAGGCTCTTTAAGCAAGTTGGGTCTCGTTTCTCTCGAGTCCGTGTCACGGCGAGACACGCGGTGTATCATCCTATGGCGTACTCACGTGCTAAATCCGGCAAATGTTGCTGTGTGTTTCTTTGTTCCCTCAGGAGGTGGTTCAGCTGACACATCCACGTTATGCGTTCTTTGTCTTTGTTTGCGCCAGCGTCTCATAAAGCTGGCCAATGCCAAACATTACTTTTGCCAACATCCTCTGGACTTCCACTATAAAACATGCATCCGCCGAACTCGACTTTGCGACACGACTTGCCTGAAGGAGGCTCAATAATATCGAGCCCCTGGGTCAAATCATCCCTAAGATGGCTGCTGCGACCGATTTTTGGCACCAAGCAAGTCGGCTACTTTGGCAACCGATAGATTTGCGTCGAGGACGACCTGAAGCGTTGATGAATACTCGTCTCCGGATCTGGCTTGGCCATACCTCATATTTACTGCGAGCGGATCATTACCTATGCTCTCAGCGCAAGCCGCCCGTACGACTTCTTACCGAGGCGAAGTTGCAATGAGATTCAGAAACCCATACAATTTTTGCCCTGAATTCACGGTCTTCATGTGACCTTGTCGGCTTCTGCGACGAGCCATGACATCTCGTAGCTACTTGCTTCGCTCAGTCCGCCATCTCTTCCATGTTCATCGCCATTGGGTTTTGGCATGAAGAGTCGAAACGCTGTTGGCAGCATCATTGGGGATCTAGAATGGAATGTAGTACGGAAGAAACGTGTCGATTGGACGAGAAGTCCAGGTAGCGACGTAGAGTACAAGTGCCGACTTGTCTCCCCTGACACGACGACTCGTAGACCAAGAAAGGGTCCTCATGGCTCTTCCAGACGTGGCTGAGGAGGCTCTAAGCCGGTAATAACTCGGTACCTAGCACCGAGCAATCAGCAAAACGTATCTTTGTAATCAGCGTAAATTCAACATCTCCCGAGCCATCACGATCATGTTCTCAAGTTGATGAAAGTCTTCATATTTTGATCGGTTAACCCGCTTTTACACCGCCCCAGACGCACACGTAGAGGAGCAAACTTGCAAATCAGCACGAAGGCGTCAGCAGAGGGAAGCCTAAACGGTGATCTTGGGTCTCGCAGCCATGGGTCTGGAGTAAGGGTATCGCGTGATGGGCCGTCGCTGATAGAAGCGCTATGCATTTTTGGGGGAGAGGATGGGATGATGAATTCTTGGATGGTAGAAGAGAAGAGAGAAGATTGGGAGTCGCGAAAGCGGAAACTTGACACGGAGAATGCAGGAACAGGAGGCAGGTGACTCACTCGGGCCTTCCCTAGAGTGAGAAGCATCAGGATTCGGAAACCACATCGCATGCGCTCAAAACACGCCTGGAAATCTTTTGGTTGAGATACGGATACTGTACATGAATTCCAGGCTCAACTCCGGAAAATAATTACAGTCGTCACTCCACCTTGATGGATGTCAAGGTTGGGAGCGAGACGCCTCGCGATGTCGGCGGGATGAATGTGTGCACGGTTCACCCTCCATGGCAAAATTCCGGATCGCGACAACGCGCGCCGCGTTCGTGTTTGCTTTGTCATCTCTCCAACCTCGACATCATCGTCGTCTTTTGAGACACACCATCTTCTGGTATTGCTTTGCGCTTCTGCATCACCTCTACCTTCTGCTGTCCTTGCCGCTAGTCTTGCCATTCCTGTGATTCACAGGACTCTCCAGATCACTCGTTGACCTCGGATTGGGCGCGCACTTGTGACTAGGCTGCCGAAGTTAGAACGTGTTCTGTAGCGCGTAGTTGCCTCCTTTCCTCTATACCGCGATTATTCCTACGTTCATCTCTACGAGTCAGGGCTGCTTGTCATCGCCCAAAAGCCCGGGTGGGAGGGTTACTCGAGAGACATCGAGGGCTTTCAATTTCTGATCTGACCTCGAGAGCCAGGATACTAACACCATGAGCACGACGACTATAGCGACACCGGAACCTCTCTGGGTCTTCGAGAAAGCGGTCCTAGTGCACGCACCTGAATTCGATGTCGCCTGTACTGCTCGGCTCCGTATGGCGCACGATCACAATACGGACCAAGGCTCGGTTTCAATTCGCATTCAACTTGAGCTTGCTAACTTTGGAAAACAGTTGCTTATGCTGAACATTCGACCTGAGTTGGTTGACACGTGTACAGTAGTTCCCAAAAGCAATGACAATCTCATTCCGTCTCGTCTTTTCCCCTTGGTCCCTGTCTCCGTGACCAACTCAGCTGCCGTTTCGACCTTGATCCTATGCTTGAATTCCACCGGTGTCGTCCTTGTTCCACGCTCAACCAATGACACGACTTTGAGTGCAGCCAAGCCTACCGACGCCGCTTTCCACGCTTTCCAAAGGATCTGCCGAAGCAACATCATACATCTGCACTTTTCCAAGCAGCAACTGAAGAATGATGACATCCGTCAGCTGCGAACTTTTTCTGGCGCCCTGCGTGCTGGCCTTCTCAGCGCTCAGCCGTTCGATTACAAGCGGCTCGACGCAGGACGAGGTGCTATCGAAAAGGACTGGCGGGTGTTCGAGGCATCTGAAGACCCACCGGCTTATGCTGCCTCTGTAAAGAGCGTACTTGGCAAGCGTACCCGAGGTAAGTTCATACCTGGCAGCTGATGTCAAATGCGTGGACGTTGCGTCTCCCAGTCACACGCAGACAGCTTCTAGCTGTTAAATTGCACAACATTTTCCTGGGCCGGAGAATATCCATTGAGATGGTCATTGGTTGGTTCCCGGCGTTGCGCAGTCTCTCAATGGACGGTCTCTGTCTTAAGACAAACTTTGTGTCTTTCTACAGCCGTCTTGATCCAACGGCGTGTGTACTGGAGAGCTCGTTCTAGTCAGATTGGTATCAGCCGGCTCTTCCCCCTGAGACTGGTGAACTGATCAGTGTCTAGATGGTTCACCTCCTGAAGAACCCTCATTGCCAGCCCCATGTTCCCCAGCGCCGCCGCCTTGGTCTCCTACTGAGGTCAATACCCCTACCACTCGCTCCTGCTCTCCTGCGCATATCTCTCCGACGCATTTTATCGAACCAACACAGAGTCGCAAGGAACGCCTCAAGGTCTTGGGGTTGCAGCAGCAGCTTCATGGCCTCCCTGATTCCCTTGTGCGCCAAATACTGGTAGGGTCTGGACACAACCATCTACTCGTTCTAGCGACCGAAGGGGGCCTCGAGAAGCTATCAAAAGGCACGAAGCTTTTCAACAACTCTGAATCGCCACCGAGAGGTCTGACAGATGAGTCAGAGGATACCATCGCTATCACTAGGATCGACAAGATCATCGAACAGCGTTTAGGGCAATTGACCAAGGATGCTTTTAAAAGGCTTACCCGGACACACCTGAACACCCTGGTCGAATCACAACTACCGGTCGCAGCCGATCTCTTTCTGAATGGCGCAGTCGCTGACTACCGCGACCAGTTTCATGAAGAATGTCAGCTGAATGAGAACAGCGTTCGCGAGAACATTGATGAAGGTCTCACTGAAATACGCGACGTAACCAACGATTGCACCAAAGAGGTCCAGGAGTTAGCTCAACAGTGTATGGATAGTTTAGACGAGCATAGCAAAAGGCTTGACGCGTCGGCTGAGCATGAACTTTCAAAACTCAAGCGCTGGTTCGCTGAGCTAGCTGGTTCCTTCCTTGACAAAGAAGTTCCCAAGTCCTCGCCTACAAGAAGAGTCTCCATGTAACTACACCCTATATAACTGCATGTATTACCGAGACCAATGGTGACTCAGACATTCCCTTTGAGTACAAGTGTACGTTGAGTACGAAACACAAAATGTAGGGCATTAGTAATCTCTCCGAAGCCCATAGCGATGCCGGCTCACAAGGCGTCTTGGTTCTTCTTTCCTATAAGAAGTAGCAATCCCTTTGTAAGTTCTGGCTACGGCTATCGACTGCATCTCTTTCTGATTATCCGCCAAACCTACCTTTCAGACACATTGATCTAACACGATGACTGTCGAGGTCATAGCGAACGTGTTCCCAGCTCTAGGCAAAGAGGATGAAGTCGCAGCTGCTCTGCAGTCTGTAGTAGCCTCAGCTCGTGAGAACGAGCCTGGTTGTCTACGTTACCAAGTGTACAGCCACCGTGACTCGGATGGCCGTATACTGCAATACGTCATTCTTGAAGAGTGAGATATCATGCCTCCGAACAACGGTCATGAGGGAAGGTTGACAAATTCCTATCGCAGATACGAAAACCACGCGGCATTCGAGAACCACATTGGTTCTAAGGCCTTCAACAAGGCGAAAGCTTGTTTAGAAGATCAACAACTGTTGGCTAAAGCATTAGAGATCATGTTTGTGGACAAAGCCTTTGGTTTTTAGAAGTGCTTCTTGCTGTCGTACTTCACGAATCAGCCTTGACTCGGAGGACGATACACGACGTATATGGTTATCGAATTTTGGAGTGCGCAATGGAAGCCTATCTCTGGTTACCTCCACTGCAGCGTAACATATCTTAATGCACATGCGGAAGAAATGTTAAGAGCAGGGTCATCCCACAGATATCGAAGCCTTCGCGATGCCAACGTGAACAGTACATGTGGCGGTACCGCCGGTTGGGAACGGCCCTGATGCAGTGCCTATCACATTGAGAAGATCATGATGTCCGAATTAACATCCGCAAGCAACTTCCCAAGTCTCGCGTCTTGACTCGCAAAGGTTGAGTACCGTCAACTCTTGCCATATCAAAGCGTGCTGCAGACGGAGACAGGCGCCAGAGTTTGCTCGCTGGCCCACCGCTGCGAACTGACAAATGCCATTATGCCATTTCACAGCCCCCGAGAAGCTAATGCACTGATCTTCACCAGAACAGCTCCACGAGCCTCGGGGATCCAGAAGATTGGGAAGGAAGTGGATGCTCCACCACAGCTGTAAAGAGCTCTGTGCTCTTAGAGCTATTATGGATAGGTGACCGTTTTTGGCGAAGCTTGGCAGTGATGTCCTGGATGATTAGACGCTCCCAGATGACTTGCTCAGTAGTTCACACAATGATTTGTATAGCCACTTTGAAACGTCTGACTCGATGAACAAGACATATCGCCATTGCCATCCCCACAGCTAAGCCATGGAGGCCTTAAACGTAGAAAATAGAATGGTATACGCGATGTACGAAGTAAGTTGAGAGAGTCGTTGAAGGAAGATGAAACTCGGGGAATTAATCAGGGTGCTGGGAGCAGCCGGTCGAGCAGCCGGGCGATCGATCTATTTTGGCCATCGTGGTCATATTTCTTGGGCAGCGTCGACAAGATTATGGCTTGGAACTGGACATGATTATTTTCAAGCAGATGAAGCATGATGAAGTTTACTTGAATGATCACCTGCATACATCATGATATTGCATTCATCTGGAACATTCTCGTAGCGTGAGTGCAACTAATGATGGTCGCCAAGCTGATGGTATTCAAAGCACTGAGTTGTGGCCATTGCTCTTTCCCGTCATGCCGGCTTCTCTTTCTGGACATGAAACACAGTCTAATCTCTCTCCTTCCGTCAACCAGCTCATTTTTTCATTCATCCAAAAGCCCAATTCCATCATTGTACGGCACGAAAACTGTCTAGTCCCCAGGTTTCTGGCTCACCGTGCCGAAATCGAGCATACTTGCGAAGCTAAGGATATGTCCAAGCTTTCAAACCCAGACATTTTCCTCAAGTCTCCTCTAGAACATCACAAACTCTGGAAATATCCATCCTCCAAGCCTCGATTGTCAGTCGACTCGGCATGATAGACCGGAGAAACATCAGGAATAGCGACCTGTCATCGTATGTCAATACGGCAGTGTACGAAGGAGAGGTGAGAATGAAGGTATAAGTATATCCAGCTTCTGTCCTCCAAGTTCTAATCCATCATCAATTCGTTCTCTTTTCTGCTTTCCTTTGCTTGCTCTTATTGTCGTTCCGTCCTCTCATTCTTTACCACATTCACTGTTCCCTCTCTTTCACACATCAACATGCGTGTTTCCACTGTGGCATCCGCTGCCCTGATCGCAGGTTCGACTCAGGTGCAAGCTGCTCCCACTTTCGGCTTGGTCTTCGGTCTTCTCAAGGGCATCACCACTGCCGTCCACACCGATATCAACCTTCTTCTTGGCTCTCTCGGCCTCGGCTTCCAGACAAATGCCAACATCCACGGCCAGGCTCTCGGCTATGGTGGTATTGGATGCCCCTTCTCCTACAACAACCAGGCTGGCGTCTCTGTGAGTGCCGGTCTGCACGGTGGTCTCTCTCACAACATCGGTTGGTCTACCGGTATTGAGGGCCGTAACTTCATCAACTGGAAAAACTTCAAGGGCAATGGTGTCACCCTCAGCGGATGGCTCGTTCAGGACAAGACTCTCGACATTGACTGGTGGAACAAGTACGGTTCCGACTGCGATGATGAGTGGTCTCTGACTGCCAAGCTCGGCGGTCAAGCCGGTGCCGTGCTCGAGGCTCGCTATGCCTCCTACATCACTACCAGCTACATCGACTCGCTCGCCGCTGCTGGTATCAACCTTCTCAGAATCCCTACCCACTACTCTGCTTGGATCTCCGTTCCCGGCTCGGGTCTTTACCACGGTAATCAGCAAGCTTACCTCAAGACTATCTGCGACTATGCCATCCAGCGCCACGGTATGCACATCGTCATCGGTCTTGACTCCCTCCCTGGTGGTGTCAACGGCCTTGCCACTGGTGAGCGCATCGGTGCCACCGCTTGGTTCAACTCTGCCGAGAACCTGTCCTACTCCTTTAAGGCCATCGATGCCATCCTCGGCTTCATTTCCGCCACCGGTCACGTCAACGCCTTTACCGTCTCTCCCATCAACGAGCCTTGTGATGTCACTGCCAACTTCGCCACTACTGGTGGTCTGTCCCTCCAGGCTACCAACTTCATCAACACCTACGTTCAGGGTGTCTTGAAGAAGATCGCCAAGCTCGATGCTCGCATTCCTTGCATGCTCCAGGACGGTTTCCTCGGCCACGACTACTGGGCTCCTTTCTTCTCTGCCAACGCCAACCTTGTCATCGACAGCCACGTCTCTTTCGCTGGTGCCGTCGGCGCCGGAATCTCTGCTGGAGTTTCCGCAGGAGCCAACGTGGGTGCAGGTGTGAATGCAGGCGTCAACGCAGGTGTAAATGCAGGAGTTTCGGCAGGAGCCGGCTTGGGCGCAGGAATCTCAGGTGGTGTTCACGGAGGTCTCGGTCTTGGTCTTGGATCTAGCATCCACAGCGGACTCGGAGCTGGTATTCACGGTGGTATCGGTGCCGGAGCAGCTGTTTCCGTCAAGGGCAGCCTTCCCAAGCTTTCCGCCCACCTGATCGCCCCCAGCGTCTGCAAGCAGGCCTCTCTCCTCAAGGGTACCGGCAAGTTCCCCGTCTTCGTTGGCAGCTACGGTATCCAGGCCCAGGACGGCAACACCCTCTCTGGCCGCAAGACCGTCTACAACACTCAGAAGTACGCCTACGCCCAACAGCTTTCCGGTGGTTCTTTCTGCCACGCCAAGGCATACTCCAACAGCGTCTCCGTCTCTGGTGAGGGCTGTGCTTCCGACTACAACTCCTTCCAGGGCTTGATGTCTGCCGGTGTCGCCACCAAGAATACCGAGTCTTGCTACTGCTAGATTGGTGGTCTGTCCAAGAAAAATGCACAAGTCTAATCTCTAATATCTTGTCTAATGTCGAAGAAGGAGGAAGAAGATCTCGAAAGAAAAAAAAACATCCCCTGAAGAAAGGAGGAACAGAATATGGATATCCAACCCCAGTCACTAATTATTGCCTGGCACTTACGCTCACTAATCTTATTTACCACCAACTAATGTCTATGTACATAACATACAATCGCTAGAATTTTTGTTACCTTTATATCAATCAACAAATCTGTTCATTGTCATCTTTCTCTTCTCTTCTCCCATAATCGAGCAAATACCATGAGCTTGATGGTTGGTTGATGGCGTGCGAATCGCATCATAGATATCCCTTTGTCTCGAAGCCAGCCGAATGAATGGACGCAAGTTGCTGTGTCTCCTACCCTTTTCGCATAAGACGGCTGAGGAGTAGCAGCTCGGATACCGGGAGAGATAAGCGATAAGAGCTGCCAAGACTGATGATCTATTCTTCTTTAGGCTTCAGCCCTTCGCAAAAAAGTAGCAGCCAGCGACAGGAAAGCGCGACCAGGACAACTGAAGGGCGTTTGAGCAGCAGTCGCGTTGCTCGATGAAAATTACATTATCTCAAATAACTCGCAAAACCTTACGCGCCGTCATCCACAAACGAGAATTCACCACTACACAATCCAGGATGAGCGCAACAATAGAGTCACTGCCAGCAGTCGACCAACTGATCGAGCACGATGGAAAGTCATACAGTACCGTCAAGGAGGGTCTAGCATACATCTTGGTGCCTCCAAATGCACGCACAGAACAGGATCCGAAATCAAAGAAGAAGGACGACGGTGAACAGCAAGCTCAGAGCGTCTTCTACAACCCTATTCAACAGTTCAACCGCGATCTGTCTGTCCTCGCAATCAAGGCTTTCGGCGAACACATGTGTGCTATCAGGATGCAAGCCCATGAGAAGAAGGTCGAGCAGAGTGCCAAGAAGAGGGAGCGAAAGAGACAAGCCGAAGACAACGAGGGAGAGGAAAAGAGAAGGAAGGGCAACGACGGCGCTGCTGTAGTGCCCGTAGAACAGAACGGGGCCGACACAGAAGCCACGACAACAGCAGGAGCTCCGGAAGCAAGCGTCGAGGTTCAGGGCAGCACTGAGGCTGTAGGCGACAAGATGGATGTCGACTTACCAGCCGCACCCAAGGAACACAAATTCAAGCCCAAGTTCCGTGTGCTGGACGCTCTCTCTGCCTCTGGTCTGCGAGCTCTGCGTTATGCTCAAGAGATACCTTTTGCGACGACGGTTGTGGCTAACGACATGTCTCCGGCAGCCGTCGAGGCCATTCGTCTCAACGTCCAACACAACAAGCTGACGGACAAGATCACTCCTTCTACCGGCAATGCTATCGGCCACATGTACAATGCTGCCTACTACACCCCGAGCCCTGAGGATGGCCCTTCGGCACACACTCAACTCAAGTACGACGTTATTGACCTGGATCCCTATGGTACCGCTGCTCCCTTCCTCGACGCTGCCGTTCAAGCGCTGAACGACGGCGGACTGCTCTGCGTTACTTGCACCGACGCCGGCGTCTTTGCTTCCTGCGGCTACGTCGAGAAGACTTACTCTCTATACGGCGGAACACCCCTCAAGGGCCCTCACTCGCACGAAGCCGGCCTTCGTCTTATCCTCAACTCAATTGCCAAGGCTGCTGCCGTTCAAGGCATCGCTATCGAACCTCTTCTGTCTCTCAGCATCGATTTCTACGCTAGAGTATGGGTTCGCGTCAGAAAGTCTCCTGCTGATGTCAAGTTCCTGGCTGGAAAGACCATGCTTGTGCATCAATGCGACACTGGTTGTGGTAGCTTCCAAATCCAACCTCTGGCCAGACATACTGCTCAAAAGAACTACACCAATTACAAGCATACTGCATCTTTGTCTACCGGTGAGAGCAGATGCCCTCATTGTGGTTTCAAGACTCACGTTGCTGGTCCTATGTGGGCTGGTCCTCTGCACAACCCATACTTCATCCGTCGCATCCTAGACATGCTTCCTGACCTGGACAAGTCTACTTATGGAACTACTACCCGTATCGAAGGTATGCTTACCTCGGCTCTAGACGAGTTGGACACCCTGGAAAACAGCCTTCAGACCTTCAAGGGTGAGACTGAAGCTCCCTTCATCCCTTCCATTCCAGGCCATGTGACCGACCCACACCCTTTCTTCTTCATCCCTAGCTATCTGTGCAAGGTTTTGCATTGCCAGTCTCCTTCCGAAGCTGCTATCAAAGGAGCTCTTCGTCACGCTGGCTTTATCGCCACTCGCTCGCATACTAAGCCTGGCACCATCAAGACCAATGCTAGTTACGAGGCAATCTGGGAGATAATCAGGGAATGGAGTCGTCAGAAGGCGCCCGTGAAGGAGGGAAAGGTTGGCGAGACTCAGGCTGGCTACAAGATCCTGCAGAAGATGAGAAAGGTCGATGAAGCCGAGGAGAAGAAAGATGGCGAGGAGAACGGAGAAAAGAGCGAAGACGAACCAGCAACGCAGCCCCCTGCCGATATCTTCAAGTTCAAGATCAAGTTCGATGAGAGATTGGGCAAAGACCAGCACAGCAAGAAGCTCATGCGTTACCAGACCAACCCTAGAGCAAACTGGGGCCCCATGAGCCGTGCTAAGGGCGCAAGCTAGGTGTGGTCTATTCTGCTTTCTACTAATCAAAACCCTTGATTGTCTACTTTATTCGAACCTTGCTCCTACACTACTGAAGCGTTGGAAATGGCTGTGAAGTATGCGCAAGTTTGAGTTGCGGCCAAGCTTCATATGCTCATGCCACCCTGTTCGAGCGTTCTCCAAGTACAATACACTTGACTTGTGGTCCGGCATTTCAACAATTGGACTCTACAGCATCAAGACCGATATGAACGCAAGTCGAACCGACCGATTGATCCTGGCGGCGATCTTGTGCATGGCCACTAGACCGATCGGACAGAAATACATGCTGAAGCTCAAGCGTCACATTCGATGCGGTCATCGCCATTTCCTCCAACAATTGGCCAGACTTGAAAACAACCAGACAGAAAATCCAGCAAGATTGAGCGCCGAGATCCAGGAGTCAATCATGGCCAACAGGCAGAGGACTGAAACCTACTTGGACATGGACAGGGAGCTTCGAAGGCTCGATGGGTATGCTCACATCATGCTAGAGGCAAGGAAAGTAATTAATAATGTTCAGCGAACTGAATCGAATCTTGCTTTTGATACCTCCTAGAGACCGATCTATCAATAGATTGATGGCTAGGCTGCAGCGTATTTCAGCCGCATAGTAATGTGCTAGGTAGTCACCACGAATGTGGAACGCAACGCCCGAATCACAAGCTCCGTAAATTCTTCCAAACCTTGAAACCTCGAACTCCCAATTTCTTTTCAGAACCGACGTACATCCCTATACTCACTCTACTACCCTGAATCTCAGTCACCTTCTCAGAATCATGATGAGTCTCTTCGTACTTTCACATCTCCTAAAGAGCGACATGAACTTGACTCGCAGCGCACGACTCATGGAAGACCACTTAGAACATCTGATTGCCGCACGAAACGATATGAATCGGATTGTCCGCGATATGCTGGCCTCTTACGACAATGCCAATGCCCAACAGAAGATCCGCATGAGGTCCATCATCCATGACTCGTTGAGCCTGGCCGCATCCTGCGACTCAATTCTCGAAAATTGGCAAACGATGCGCCAAAGCATTCATCGTGGTGACGTGTATGTTGACCTGCCTTTGCGGTCTTCTAGTGAGAGGAGTATGGACTGACACTTATGATAGTGAGGTGGCTGATGTATTGGATGAAAGTCTTCGTATGGGTCTGCTACCAGCTGACTTGGTGAGAAGCGCGTTGAGAGAAAACGGGTTACATGATGCCGGGGACTTCTGATGCATGCGGCTCAGATCTACAGAACTATCGCTCTACCTCAATGAATTGTCTTCCATTTGCTTCATGTTTGGAAGTCCTTGCATAGCTCCTTGCATACCGACACAGCTGTGCTTGAATGCTTCGCTTCACAACGCGCTGACTTAGTCATCTCATGACAGGACCATAAGTCTGCTCTCCATCCTCCATGTTTAGCGGCCACCCTGCCGCAAAGGACTTCAAGGAATTATACTCTATCACTGCATTGTCGTTCAGTCTTCTTCGAGGTTTGAGCGTGACAGGAGTAACAAGCTCAGTCTTATATTTCAATCCTTCTTGAATCTTCGCAGATATTCGCAAGCTTTTCTGCCTTCTTCAAAAGCCAGAGGCATTCATCGGCTAAATTCTTGATGACTTTCTCGCTAGGACGTTGCCTACTAGCTCTTAAACTCTCGAGTCTTGCTCTGTGAGTTACAGCGAATATTTCTAGACCAGGTTCGGCTGCTTGCTAATATACTTAGCTTCATCGTTATATAGAGCAGAAGTCCTTTCTTGCATTAGCCATCATTGCGAAAACTGCCTAACCCTCATCGAGGATGTGTCTGGAAGTCGAAGAGTACTTTTAGATTTATGTCTACTTGTTCCTTGTTTTCGTAAATGCATATCAAATATACCCTTTACTTTGCCAGACCAGTTCTGCCTGAAGCGAGGGATGGAGCAAGCGCGTCAAATTCTGATGAGTCGCGACTTCCTCGTCAACTTGACTTCGAGAACTCCCATTCTCTTCATCCTCTCTCTATGATATGACTCTCGATCATGAACACTCTCAGATTGCAACGACGAACGACTTCATCACTGCACCTTACAAAAGCGCCGTCGCTGATTTGCTGCGGTGAGATTGAACGACGTGTCAATGACCGAAACGAGGACATCGTCATTGCCCCCTCGCCCTCTCATCCAAGCGGCGTGAGATCAATGGTGCTCTTGAAAGAGATGATTGGTACAGCATACGTGAGTGGGCCCCGAGACAGAGGGCACTGAGATGGAAAAGAGCAAAGCACACCCGCACCCGCATCGTCAGATGAGACCGAAGTCAGCATCATCATTTCCACTACTCTTTTGCCATCCTCCGACCACGATAAATACTTCGTCAGACCCCGACACCAGCCTTCCGTCAAGTCTATGAATACGCGGACTGTTTCAGGAAGACTCGACTCTGCGTGTCAGTTCCATCGCAGGTCCACCCTGGCTCACACGCGCCAACGACGACCACCTGCGCAAGACCTTTCGCACTTCTCTTCACTGAAAAGTGCGGACTTCATATATCTAACTGCCGGCTCCCCTTCCACAAGTCAGCAGCCAGTTCACCAAGTGAACTAGATCATCAGACCTGCCGGGGTAGCTCAATCGGTAGAGCGTGTGGCTCTTATCAATTGATATCGTCAACCTCAAGGTCGCGGGTTCGAGCCCCGCCTTCGGCTATTCCTATACAAACGCTGTCTATCCTTTTTGCCCTATCTCGAAAGGGGCTAGAAACTCCATTTCTGATGTTTTTGATAGAGGCAGAGAAAAAGTTCGTGCCAAGATTTCGGAATTTTTGCCAAGCAAGGAATTGTGGACCCTTTTTCTGCCTTTTCTTTTCTTTTTTCCTTTTCTAGATAGTACAGTATTCCTATTTAATATGGGTTCCATGCCCTTTTGCTCTTCTAGGAATGATTGGGGATGGACGTACAGGAACAAGCCTCATTTGAGCAGTAACATGGCCGGACTGCTTACACAAAAGCATGTTAAGAGTCCAATGGCAGGAGGTAAGTCTGCAGTTCCTGTTGGCTTCTGATTGAGCGTGGAAGCTTGCTTGTGCTTTCCTCTGCCAGCGGTGTACCTGCGGAGATCTTTCCGATGCCAGTCTCTCTCATGCTTTTGGCTCGCTTGGCTTGCTCTCACCCACACAACAGGTCTGGGAGGCACGACACACCACGTCCAAGGCTCGATATCAAGTCCTGCATGCTGTACACACTCTCGGCAGCCCAGGTTTCGACACCATAGAGATATGGATCACTGCTTCGACAAGTCATCTTAAGGCTTCGTAGGTCTTCAACCTTTTCGAGTCCGGCAAGCCACCAACACAACTGGTGCTTTCCTTTGTTCCAAGCTGTCGTGGCTGACTGGAGCACCAACAGCCACGAACAACAAGTACTAAAACTGACAAATGCCTCCCCATCAATTGGCGCTTTGGCTGAGTGGTTATAGCGATAGACTAGAAATCTATTTCCTTCGGGAGCGCAGGTTCGAGTCCTGCAGGCGTCGTCTCTTTTGCCATGTGGAGCATCTACGTGCTCTTCTTTTGCACCCCTGAGTGTGCTGAGGGAGTGGTTGGAGTTGGATTCGAAACGGGTGAAAAATTGGTGGAGATTTGGGATTCTTCGGGGTCTGACGCTTGGCAGGGTTTTTGCTTGAGGCCTGACTGCAATAAGCAAAGGGCATTGAGAACTTGCTTGGGTTGTAAAGGCACAGGAAGACTGTAGCACATATGGGAAGGAACAACTTGGGTGGTGGTTCTATTTGAAGCTTTTCAGCGAGTAGCATGTTGAATGAACACTACCATCTGCTCAAAGCTCTTTATGGTGACCCGGCTAAGCTACTGCTGCGCTGCTACAATTCAATGGAGCACCCAGGAAGCAAAATGAAGAGAACACCGAGGACTGAAGCCTTACAGATAGTCCACCCATTCCTCTAAAAAATTGGTCACACACCCGCCCACTCTCTCGAAGCTTCCGCTCAGCAAAAAGAAAGACTACTCACCGTCCGCGAATGTTCACAAGCAAGCAAAAGACAAAACAAATGTCGCAGCCGTGAATCGAACACGGGGCTCGTGCATGGCAAGCACGAATTTTACCACTAAACCACTGCGACTGTACACGTTCACGTGATATAAGAAAGATCGTCAATTCAAAATATTATTCCTTTCAATCACGGTCATTGACGACAGGTGTTGTTGATCCATGATATGATGACCAATATCTAGATATGGTCAAACGAGTACTCACATTCTATAGGTGACACGTAATATCTTGTATCTAAGCAGAATTCAGAAAGTTCTTGCCAATCATATCATTCATTGAAAGGCTGGCATGATCTAGAATGATTGTTAATTGGTTTTCATGACCATGATAGCAAAAAGCATTGATTTGACCGTGGCGACAGCAGCAATAGACCCAAGGCCCGCAATATTTTGACAATGTGTGAGTGAATATTAGTCCATGACTTGATGTATCTGAAAGGGGTGCATATCCTCTACTTCGATGCAAACAAATATATTGAGATCTCGGACAGGGTGATACTGTAAGCCAGAAAGTCTTGGTCAGATTGGCACTGAGAATTAGAAGGAAGCAAACACATCCACCGAAGCCCATATAGCATGATATCATACCGAGTATACCACATCTGATAACACATAGCTGTCAATGTTAGGGACGGTTTTTGAAGGGAAGGAGCAATTCAAAGACATAAGATAGAAAGAGCGATGATAAGCGCCCAGGAGAGGAACGATTGACAAGGAAGGGACGATTGATATGGAATGAAAGGTAAGGCGCGACCAGGTGAATGAGAAGGTTGCGCTCTCACGTCGGGAAAGAGCGAACAAGTTCGAAGCTGCACGATTATTTGTTGGAAGACGATCTGATCACGCCAATGTTGAGCGAGAGATACGACCTCAATTTGACTAGAAAGGTGCCCGCATTAGGCAAATAGTATATTCGGTAGAATGAAGAAATGAATCTTTGATAGTCAGTCGCCATACAAGCACTTATTGCTCACTAAACTCCAATTTTTCTCATATCGCTCCGCACAATGTCTTTCTTCTCGATTGTGCCATTTTTCTTGTTTTTCATTTTTTCGTTCTTGTTCATTCATTAAATGCCGCCATTGAGCGGTGCTGCTCCCTCGGTGACTTGCTGCGCTAAGGCTGCCTGCTGAGCAGCAATCTGGTCGGCTTGATTCACGGCCGTTTGGATGATTTGTTGCTCCTCGGGGCTCAGCGTTTTGGTCAGGTCTTGGTAGAGCTGAGGTTGTTGTTGCTGGAGAACTGTAGTCTTGGTTAGTCATCCGATCCGAAAAACTCGAAAACTCAACTTACGGAAAAGTGCGTGCTTGAACATGCCATACGGCTCCACCTTATCCAAAGGAGTTTCAAGCAATGACTCCTCTTCCAACTCGTCGTCATCATCATCATCGCCAATGGAGCTGAATTTAGAAGCCTGCTGTGAGAGGAAGTCGAGGTAAGCAGCGCTCTCATCCTTGATGTCGTCGGTCTCGCCCTCAATCTCCTCAGCGGTCCAGTCAACTTCACCCTCCCACTCATCATCCTCTTCCTCGTCGTCGTAATCACCGCCGATGCCAAAGTCGTCTTCCCGAGTTGCCTCCTCTCGGTTCTTGATGGCCGCAGGAAGGGTCTGGAAAAGACGGACAATGCCCTGGAGCAAACGAGGCCAGCCAGGCTGTACGCTGACGGGCACCTGATCTGCGGGAAGAACAATGAGGGAGGTGATAGCGGCAATCGACAACTTCTTATCGTGGACGCGGGTGAAAATGTCAATACTTGAGAACCACAAGCTGAAGAACTTGTTGGTCTGGCCATTTTGCTCAAGAATGTGCAGAGCAAGGCTGGGGTTGTAGTAGAGAGCGTTGATGACAGTCTCCATCAAGTGGATGCGGTACGACTTGACCTTGACATCATCGTTGTTCAGCACAGTCATGGCGATCATGATGAACTCGGGAATGTAGTTGTCGATGTGTCCGCGGAGGGTGAGCATGAGCATCTCAGCAAGCTTGCAACCGCAGATACGCTCAACACCACCAACGGAGTCGTTCTGGAAAATGGTGCGGATCATATCCACAATAGCCTCAAGGTATTGAGGTTGGTGGATGAGAGCCTCACTACCGTAGTTAACAAAGTTCTCAAGGGCAGGGAGCATGTCCTCGAGGTAAAGCTCAGCACCTGACTTGAAAGTCCTGTGAATCAGCTCGAAAGCATTCCACATGGTAGATGAAATGGTCTTGGCAGCGAAGGTGCAGCTGTCGATGATCTCGAATACTTCGTTGTAGAGATCGTACAACTTGTGCTCCAGAGTGATGGTAATGACGGGCATGAGAATAGTCTCAAGGTGGGCCAGAACGTCGGGAGTGCTTTCCAAAGTCAGGATAAGAGTACCGATGGTCTGGAGGACACCCAGAGCGGTGATGCTCTTATCGTCCAAGAAGTCACCGTATTCGTCATCACCCTCCTTGGATGAGTTGCGCTCGATCAGCTCACGAACAATACGAAGGTAAGTGTCACGAAGCTGTTCGCTAAGGGCAACGGCGAAAGGAGTAAGCTCAGCGGCGAAGACCTCGACAAAGTCCTCCATGACGTTGGCAAGAGCATCCACATCAACTTCGTTAGCCAGCTTGAGAAGCTGCTGCATGATTTGAGGAATATCGCCTTGCATGGAGATGCGAATAACGTCGTGACGGATAAGAGGCTGGAGAGCGAGCGAGGCCTCAACACGGACGGGGAGCTCAGGATCGGCCATAGACTCGAGAATGTTGCGGTAGATGACCAGGAGATTGTTGGAGTCCTTGAAGTCAAGCGCCTCGAACTTCTCGAGGGTGTCGCAGGCACGAGCACGCAGGTAACCATGGGGACTGCGGAACTCGGGGAAAACATGTCTCACAAAGAAGAACTCGACCTGGTCTGCGATAGGGCTCTTCTTGCCGAGTATGACACCGGAAAGAGTTCCAATCATGCGCAGAGCACCTTCCTTCTCTCTTGGGTTCTTTTGATCCTCAGGGGCTGCCTCGTAACGGTTGACAACGTCATTGACGTAGTTGAGAACAGAGAAAGTCTGCTTTCTGCGGGCCTTGGTCATGGTAACAAGGAAGTTCGTGGCGGCGACATCGGGGGCGGAAACCTCTTCGTAGAAGTTGAGCTTACGGTGCAGGTACTCGGAGGGGTCGGTCTCGAAAAGTTCAATGTCCTCGTCAGACTGGCACAGAACAGGGAAGATCAGATGTTGGATCAAGATCTGCATGTGCGGCTTAAGGTGGTCCCACATAGTCTTGGGCTTGATGCACTCCTCCATGAATACCAAAGTGAAGCTCAAGCAGGGCTTGCTCAGCCATGTCGTCTTGCCCACCCACTTCTCGATCTGGCCAAGGTAGCCCTTGAGAATTTCAGGGGCAAAGTCCTTGATGAAGCTCTTTGCGAACTCGGCGTACTCGGCCTCGTTCTTGGCCAGGTTTGTGGGGTTTCCGTATCTGACGTACAGTCTGTTCAAGTTGACGTATGACCACTTCTTGCACTTGAACCAGTGGTTCTGTTCGCGCTCGTCCAGGTCCTCGATCATCGACTCGGCCGGAGGGTCCTTTGCAACGACGTTCAAGAAAAGAGTGCACCAGCCGACGATCTGTTGTTGCTCGCGCAAGTGGCGGGGGAGCTCGAAGTAGATGGCGTGCTTGTAGGCCTTGAGAATGGTGCGCAGCATCTCTCCAGCCTCGAGGCTGGTCTCGTTGACCAGGCTGTTGGCAATGTTGAGCAACTGGGGGAATGTCATCTCCACAATCTTGTCAAAGTCTTCTCTTGTCTCACCCATCTTGAAGCGGTAGACGCGACAGATGGCCAGCAGACACTGCAGACCGGCGAAGACGCTGCCGGCATCTTGCTGGTTCAGAAGATTGACGGTGATGTTGAGGAAGTCGGGCCACTGCTCGGGGAAGTCGTAGTGCAGGATCTTTTGCAGGGTAGCAACGAGCTGTGCGCGGATTTGCGGCGGCGATGCGGCGAGAATAGGGACGAGACGAGCGCGGATGACCTGCTTATCGCCTTCAGGTACGGCCTTGAATCGTGATTGGTCGTTCTCGATGGGAGCCCAGCCCTTGGTGATGCGGTTCTTGAGGTAGACGACGGCTAGCAAAGATATCAGCTACTGCTCATACTGCTCTAGATGGCAGTGAAGCTTACTGGACAGGCGCACTGCTGTGTCCTGCTCTGCTTCGAGGATGTTCAAAAGCGCCTCGCAGAAGCCGGGAGTGTCTTCGGCCTGTCCTCCGTGTCAGTGGGGTGTCTTCACGACGGGGTGATCTGGGAGAGGTACATTTCGCAAATCCAACTCTGCCTGGCGACGGGCATCAGCGTTTGCGTCCAGAGTCGCCTGGATGCGAGTCCTCAAGCCGGCGGCGTCCATGGTGGATGTGTGTGTCCGGTAAAATTCCTGATTTCCTCCGCTGAAAGTACAGAGTGAATTTGACTGGCGCCCCTCCAGAAATTAAATTGTAAATCGTCAGCCCGGTCGGCTTTGAAGATGTTCCCTTTCAATCTTGCTTCAGGGTCCGGCCGTGGGATTTTTCGATAGGAAGCCAAGACAAAAGGCAGGTGCAGTGGCAGAAAAGTCACTTTGTCCGACGGTGCCTGTTCAACACCCGCTCTCCACAACAATCAAAACACAACCCGTTGTTGAGCCTTTGCAATTTACAGACACGCCTTTTTATTCAATCACAGCTCGTCGTTGCCTCTGAGCAAGGGGGATCTGCTACCGTCTCGTGAAATCACGACCGTCAAAACTGCCTTCCACGTGCGCCATGCGCCCATGCATCTCAGATGCCCCTCTCCTGCGTCTTGGTCATCATTGCAGGGCACAGCCAAAAGCCCCTGGCAGCTGATATCACAACCACCTATCTGCATAAGAGTAGCAAGAGAGCACCGTGTTCGTTCATCCCTTCCGTGACAAAAAGTCAAGCCGCTTTAGATATCAGTCAAGTCCCATCTTCCTTGCGAGGCTTGCCACTGTCTACGTTTCGGAGGGACAACTGTGTCTGCACAGAGAGGGAGGTTTCATCACAGTCTTAAGTTGTGGTACCGTGTCGCATTGATGGCGCTGTCTGATGTTTCAGTGTCCCGCGGTCGATACTGATCAATATTTAGCTGTAAGAATGCACGAAACGTTTGGTCTTCCAATAGTGTCCAGAGAAAAAGTAGAGACTTCGAGCTCTCAGTGGAACTTCTTTGTATTTTCAATAACATTGTACGTTTTTACAACTAGCAATAATATTCCTGTTGAGATAGGTAGGGAGAGTTGACATGCGCTGAAATCGAGGGGAGCAAAAAAGTCGATGTCGTGGCCGTGTTGATTGCGTCACCGGTCGATCAAACATCCACGTCCAGCTTCAACTGACAAGCCAAACGCTTTACTACCACACAACAGCTCAGCAATACCAATTTGACTTCCAGGATGGATGACCTAGCGCCTGCGTTGCAAAGGCTGCACCTTGCGGATGCGCCCTCCGGAGGAATTGATGCCATCCTTGATCAGCAACGTCCGAGAAAGCGCGCACGAAGATCGCCTGACCAGATCCGCTCGAGTCTGGAGAAAGACTTTCTAGTGCCATCTACATCTTTTAGCACCCCATGGCTCGATCGTCTACAACAGAGATGGGACTGCCCTACTAATCATGAGGAACTGTTCGAATTGGCTCCCACACAAACTCGCACCATCATCAGATTTACCCGCGAAGGTCTTGAGGGACGTGTCACTGGTTACAAGGAAGTCACTGTCCCTGCCAATAGCGCTACAGCAAAGAACTCGACTTCAATTTTGAGAAAGCCCGCAAACCGTGCAGATTTTGTTCGCGGTGCCGCTGGATTCTTCCCCTTCGCTCCCGGCGGTCTGGACGCAGTCGAGGCCACCGCTGCCGCTGAGGAACAACTGCTTCTCGGCAGCCAGACCAATGGCACTGTCAAGCAAAGTGGTCTGGACAAGGTCATCAACTTCGGAGCCGACGGAGCACTACTTGAGCTACCTCCTGGATTTGCACGCGGCCTTGACCTGCAGAAGAAGACTCCTTCAGATCAGGCTACTGCTCAGGAAGTCGAGACCGTGCTCGAAGAGGAGCCTCAGGACCCCATGGCAGCCAATGGCGACATTGTCGATGAGGCCAAGTCCGTCGACGATGAGGAAGACGAAGGCGAGGAGGAAGAACTGGATGCCCTTCTTCCAGTTGAGTTCCCGGCACTGGCAGCCAGAGGTCAACTTGGTCTGTCAAGCAATAAGCGATCCGGTCACGAATGGGCGCACATGGTGGACGTCAATCGTCCAATGCCAAACTTCCGTGACCTGGTACCAGAGATGGCTCGTGAATGGCCTTTCGAACCAGATACTTTCCAGAAGGAAGCTATCTACCATTTGGAGAACGGCGATTCTGTCTTTGTCGCCGCTCACACTTCTGCCGGAAAAACAGTTGTTGCAGAGTACGCCATTGCATTGGCAGCCAAACATATGACCAAAGCCATCTACACTTCGCCTATCAAGGCTTTGAGTAACCAGAAGTTTAGAGACTTCCGCCAAGAATTTGACGATGTTGGTATTCTGACAGGTGATGTGCAAATACGTCCGGAAGCAAGCTGTCTGATCATGACTACGGAGATTCTTCGAAGTATGCTGTACCGCGGCGCTGATATTATTCGCGACGTCGAGTTCGTCATCTTCGATGAAGTCCACTATGTGAACGATCTCGAAAGAGGTGTGGTCTGGGAAGAAGTCATCATCATGCTGCCTGAGCACGTCACTCTGATCTTGCTCTCTGCCACCGTTCCCAACACGCTAGAATTTGCCTCCTGGGTTGGCCGCACCAAGAAGAAGAACATTTATGTCATCTCTACACCCAAACGCCCTGTCCCTCTGGAGCATTATCTATGGGCTGGCAAGGAGATGTACAAAATTGTCAATGCCGACAAGCAGTTCATCGAAAAAGGTTGGAAGGATGCAAACGATGTGTTGTCTGGCAAGGACAAGATCAAGGCAGCCGAGGAGAAACAAGAAGCTGCTGCAGCTGCCGCTCGAGGCGGTGGCTCGCAGAGAGGTGGCCGTGGCCAAACGCAACGCGGTGGTCCCCAAAGAGGAGGTGCTCAGCGTGGTGGAGCTCAGCAACGCGGTCGTGGTGCACCTGCCCAGCGTGGTCAAGGTAATATCGCCCGTACTGGCCGCGGAGGCGGCAGAACAACAGCAGCTCAAGACCGCAACATCTGGGTGCATCTGATTCAGCACTTGCGTAAAGAGGATCTTCTTCCTGCATGTATCTTCGTGTTCTCGAAGAAGAGATGTGAGGAGAATGCAGAAGCTCTGTCAAATCTGGACTACTGCACAGCAACCGAGAAGAGTCAGATTCACATGATTCTGGAAAAGTCACTCGCTAGACTCAAGCCGGATGACCGTCAGCTGCCCCAGATTCGTCGTCTACGTGAGCTACTCAGCAGAGGTATTGCAGTCCACCACGGTGGTATGCTGCCAATCGTTAAAGAGTGTGTCGAGATTCTTTTTGCCAAGACCTTGGTCAAGGTTCTCTTTGCTACCGAGACCTTTGCTATGGGTCTGAATTTGCCAACCAGAACTGTTGTTTTCTCTGGCTACCGCAAGCATGACGGACGCCAGTTCCGTGATCTTTTGCCTGGCGAATACACCCAGATGGCTGGCAGAGCAGGAAGAAGAGGTCTTGATCCTGTTGGATCCGTCATTATTGTTGCACCCGGAGCCGACGAAGCACCACCTGCTGGTCGCCTGAGACAGATGATGTTGGGTGACCCGACCAAGCTTCGATCACAGTTCAGACTCACCTACAACATGATTTTGAACCTTCTCCGTGTAGAAGCCCTCAAGATCGAGGAAATGATCAAGCGTAGTTTCAGTGAGAACGCTACTCAAGCATTGTTGCCCGAGCACGAACAGAAGGTCAAGCTGTCTGAAGCAGATCTCGACAAGATCAAGAGAGAGCCTTGCGAGATTTGCGACAAAGACCTCGAAGCCTGTCACACCGCCGCCATGAGATATCAGCAGCTCACCTCTGATCTACACCTTGCTCTTCTTGGCTCACCTATTGGAAGAAGAATGCTTCACCCAAAGAGACTCGTCGTGTACAGGAGAGATGGGATCAGGACTGTCGGTGTGCTTCTCCGAGAGGGAGTTTCGAAGGGAATCGCACCTAGTTTGTCGGTCTTGGAAGTGGTTCCTTCCAAGTCGAAGAGACAGAATGCCGACTTGCTGCCTTACCTTCCTCGCTACCGACGTCGCTTTACCCCATTGCCTGAAGCCCCTGAGCAAATGAAGCTTAGACTCGCAACAGTACCATACAGCGACCTTGAATGCCTAACTTCAAGCACCTTGCAATTCGATGTTACAGGCGCTTCAAGCAAGATGCCAGAAGCCATGGAGCAAGTCAAGGAGCAACTGCTGGGCGCATGTTCTAGTTGGACATCGGCCACTTGGGATGAAGCTGACTACTCTCGCATCAAGGAGATTGGAATTCGCAACATTTTAGATGAGCGCAACAAGGCGGCATATGACGCTCAGGAGAACAAGGAAAGCCTTCTTTGTGATAGCTTGGACAAGCACTTTGCCATGATGCACGACGAATGGCTCATCAAGGAGAACATCAACCAGTTGCGCGCATTGATGTCGGATCAGAACCTGCAATTATTACCTGATTACGAGCAGCGTATCGCAGTTCTGAAGGATCTTGGGTTCGTCGACGAGAACTCTCGCGTCGAGCTCAAGGGCAAGGTCGCTTGTGAGATTCACTCTGCTGATGAACTCGTGTTGACCGAGTTGGTACTCGAAAACGTGCTTGCCGACTACGAACCAGAAGAAATCGTGGCACTGCTCTCCGCCTTCGTATTCCAAGAGAAGACCGATCAGATCCCAACTATGACGCCTGCTCTCGAGCGTGGACAGGAGACTATCATCAAGATCTCTGAGAAAGTCAACCACTACCAGACTCTTCACCAGGTCATCCTGTCTGCAGATGACTCCAACGACTTCGTGAGCAGACCTAGATTTGGATTGGTCGAGGTCATCTACGAATGGGCACGTGGCATGTCTTTCAACCGCATCACTGATCTGACGGATGTCATGGAGGGTACTATCGTGCGTGTAATCACCCGCCTGGATGAGACTTGCAGAGAGGTCAAGAACGCCGCCAGAATCATCGGTGACCCAACTCTGTTCACCAAGATGCAAACTTGTCAGGAGATGATCAAGCGTGATATCTGTGCAACAGCATCGCTGTACATGTAGAAAAGAAGAATAGCTTCGCTTTAATACTACAATTGCTCTTGACTCGCTGATTTTTGACTCCAAAATGCCGTTCTATTGTATGTGCCGTTTCCGCTCTAGTGACAGGGCAAGCTTCGGGAAGTGCAGCCGAGCGCCAACTGTCAGCGCCACCACAACGGTTAACCACGAGCTCCTTCCTCGACCTTTCGTCCTTCTTTAAGCAATGTGCCACGAGAAGGTGTAACAAGCATGATGGTAGCAATTCTTTAAATAAACAGGAGCCGATTGAACAGAAACTAGAAATCAAAGAATGGTGGGCAAGACGTGATGGCGCTGCCGCAGCAATGCACAGCTTCCTCGCTGACTATTTTCTTTCCCTCGACGTTTCTACTGCGTACTGCGTAAACCAACTGCACTAGTCACCGTTGCTCGTAATCACCAGAACTCCTGGCTAGATCTACTCTTTTTCTGAAGGACCTTCAGCTCAAAAGCCACCCAATGGGTTTCGTTCAGGCGCGCCCAGGAATGAATACCCAGGGCTACAAGAATACTTCTCTCCTTTTGTCACCCCCTTTAGCAGCATTTAAGATCGAAACATATTTCTTCTAGCTCTACTGCTTGGGCACACATCACGAGGAACATTCTTTACTGACCATCAAGGTGCACCTGGGCATGGGAAAATCCCACTAAGGATCTACTCTGAAAACTTCTGGAACCACAGGTCGGGCTGTTCACGATGTCAGCTTTCACTGTATTCACAGCATCAAGCTTCGTCTCATCGTTAGTGATATACGTGCTCCCGAACACCAATGCGACTGATTTTGATCTACTCTCGACATGGATCTGCTGTGCTCTACTTCTCACCGTTTGCCTCTCAATGCGAAGCCATGATGTGCAGCTTCAGGATCAACGGTACGAGCTTCTGGAAACTGGTTCGCCTGGATCTGCTACCCTTCCCGTCGGCTGGAAATGGGGTGGCGTTTTGCTCACAGCGCTGCCTGCTGTGATGGTAGTAGCCGGAGTGCTTACCAATGCTCAGGCTTCTCAGTACTGGTTACCTGGTCTTGTTGTCACTTGCTCGATTCTAACCTATCTAAACGGGTCTTCTGATGAATCTGTCTCGCTGGGTCATAAGAGCAACATCGAAATTTCTGTTGTGGAAGAGAAGCCCTTCGAGGTTTGGCATCATGTTCGTTTTGTTTATGCGATCCTTCTCAGCTCCGGTGTTGCATGGATTCTCTACCTCAGCATCTACATAAGACAAGAAGCGTCGCAACAGATTACGATTGGAGTCGCCTTCTTGGCTTGCATGGCGATGATTTATGTTACCCTCCCAAAATCTCGAATCATGATCAAGCAGTGTTCTGAGATAACGAAGAGCTCGGGATTAGTCAATTGGCGGCCGGCGACAAAGCTGTCTACTAAAGCATTTCTCATCGCAACGGTGTTGATCGCATTTGCGCCACTCGAACTACAGCAGCCTTTTACTACAGTGCTGTCAGGTGTTATGCAGGCAATACGAATCGTTTCCATATTCTACTTGGTAGGCTTTCCAAAAAGCGTTGCAGCAGGAAAGAAGCGCTGACAAACATGTATAGGTGTCGTCTGGATCTGCGATTGTGTCTGCCACTAGTCAACTGGCAGCCCTGGGACTAGCACAAGCACTGCTCCAGCAAGACTTGAGCGCCCTCTTCGCTGCTGCTTTTGTCGCCATATCTGCGATCGCGATGTGTGTTTTGTTCATGCCGGTTTCAGAGCGCTTGCCTCTATGGGCTTCATTCTTGGTTATGCTGGCGCCGGTACTACCTTTCGCTGCCTCAATGTTGCATATCCCTGACCACACACCAAAACTGCACCCAATTGAAACATTGTATCTGGAAGGAATACAACAATTCGAAGAAAAGCTCTTGCGGCAGTCAAAAACACCCGAAGAAGCAGTCGTAGAATACCGCAGGCGCTACCAACGAGAACCTCCTGCCGGATTCGATGAATGGGCGAAACTTGCTTTGCGAAAGGGTCTCGTGCTCATAGATGAGTTTGATGGCATGACGAGAGCATTTGATCCATTTCTCAAGCTTGATCCACCCATTCTTACAAAAGTCTTAGCGGCAACACCTCGCGATCTGGATGAGTTGGTTGAGGTCAAGATAGAGAGCACAGAGATCACTTGGACCACCGACAGAGGTGGCAGCTACTTTGGTGAATACTTGCACAGTTGGCTGACGGCCGATACTGAATATGCGTCAATCTTGCCAAACACCACGATCTTGATCAACACTTATGACGAGCCAAAGACTGTAATGCCGGTCAAGATTCTCGTCGACGGGATCCAAGAGGCCGATTACGAGGCCAAAATTGAAGTCGTCTCGCTAGGTCGTCAGGATCCATGGTCCAATGTCACCTTGTCTTGCGCCCAATCATCTCCAGCGAGAGGAAACACCTATTCCACCAAACAAACACTGCAATTCGTCTCAAGCCTTACCGAAAGTCAGGATCTCTGCACGCATCGCAAATTCGGTGAACAGTATGCATTGCTCAATAGCCCCGAAACTCTGAGACTCATACATGCACCTCTACCGCTCTGGTCCCAGGCCATACCATCATCTTTCCAGGATATTTTGTTCCCAAGTCCATACTACGAGAAGCATTGGGGCGATTACGACGCCAAACTCGACTCTGCTTGGGATGAAAAACATACTAGCATCTACTGGGCCGGCGCAACGACCGGTGGCCACAACACTGCTTCAAATTGGCGCAACATGCAAAGACAGCGAATGGTCTTGAACACCATGTCCAGCACCAGTCCTCACAATATAACCCTACTCGAACAAGGCAAATACAAGAAGAGCTGGAAGCAGGTCGACGCCAACTCAACCTCCCTACAAAACCTAATGAACATTTTCATCGGCAACGTAGGCCAATGCGAAGAACCCACCTGCTCAGAAATGAAACAAGCGTTTGCAGAAAAAGGCGATTTGAAAATGTCAGCATCCTACGCCCACAAGTACGTCTTAGATATCGACGGCAATGGCTTCTCCGGCCGGTATTACCGTCTCTTGAGATCACATTCTGCGGTGGTCAAGCAGACGATTCTGAAAGAGTGGCATGATGATTGGTTGATGCCTTGGGTGCACTTTATACCTCTTTCTCTGGAGGGGAATGAGATTTGGGAGATGATGAGGTTTTTGGGAACGACGGAGAGGGGAGAGGAGATTGGTGCGGATATTGCAAAGATTTCGAGTGAGTGGGCGGGTAAAGTATTGAGAAGGGTTGATATGGAACTTGTGGTGCTGAGATTGGTGTTGGAGTATGCTAGACTTTTCGATCGAACATGATAGAAACTGACAATGCGAAAAAGCTCAAGCAGAGCTTCAGATGATCACTGAGCCGAGAAGATTGTTTCATGATGTGATTCAAGTTTGAAATCCATGCGGCATTGCACGCAGCAAAAACGATATTGGGAAATGACAGCTCCTTAATCTATGATCGACATGGATGAGTTTGGTGAGTGTGGTGTGTGCTTTGAGACTGTCTCGAAGGAAAAGCCCATAGCATACCTGTCTCTGGAGGTATAAGGAGAAAATGGAGATAAGCACAAGTTCAGTAGATACATATACCATAATGAAAGAACACAGACCAAAAGCTAGACAAATTATCTGAACAAAGAAAAGATTCCAGTATTCTGTGTCAACGAAACATAATCAACAATTACTCACATCCGTTTCCCGTCCCTTTCCTTCTTGCTGAACTCCTCATTGGGCCACATCCAACCCCTTTCCCTCTTTGCCCTTCTGATCTCTCTCAGCACTGGTTTAGGCATCCATGGATCTCTGTTCAGATGTTTCTTCCTAGTCATCGCAGAAGAACCTCCAATCTCCAACTTCCAGTGGTGGTGTCCAGGAAGTGGTTGGTCGCCTGCTTGCATGTGCAAGTACCACAGTGCCAATGCTGCAGTCATCTTGATATCTCTGCCATCTTGCGTGTGTCGAGACAATGGAATCGCATCACTGACATCCAAGTATCCAAAGATGGGAATCGGAGAGGAAGATGAGGTAGCAGCGAAAGCGGCTGAAGATTCGGACTTTGAGGATTCGTAGATCAAGTCATCGCCACCATAACGTATACACACAAGTTCGATTTCCGTAATGATGAAACCATAGCGACAGCCGTGTTCGCGGAGAAAGTGCTGTAGACGTGCTAGACCGGACAGATAGCGTACTTTCTGGGCTGGATTACCGTTGCGCATGCCACTGGACCACTGCTCGTAGCATAAGACTATGCCTATGACACGACCCCGTTGAGCTGGATAAGAAGAGGCAATTTGCTGTTGGCTGCTGGGATAGCTTGACACGAAGTCTGGTTGCATGCGATGGCCTCTGGATTGTACATTACGCAGCCGTATGCTTGATTGGGCTGAAGAGGTCTTCAAGGCTGTGTTGAGCTTGGAGCCAAAGTGGTCGCGGTGGGAAACATATAGTTGATCGCGTGTGACTGGAGAGGTGTTCACTACCTGGGGCGTTGGAAGGGCATCGACATGTATCTTGCCATGCAAAAGCATCAACAACTCCGGAACACTAGCCATTATGTTGGAGTTGAAAGCGGTCCAGCTGCGTATATTCCTGACATCGAACCAGAAGTGTGCATCGCGCGCTGGACCAGGCTCTATGATACGATCGACCAAGGAAGGCGATGGATTGGCAGCACTGAGATATTGGAGTAAGCTTGTCGTTTTGACTGACTGATTGTCCGGGGATTGTTTGTGGCATGAGTTGGTGAGGCTTGATCCAGAATTGGATCCCTGGAAAGATCTGGAAGCCGAGATGGGCCTTGGTCTTGAAGACGGAAAGATCATAGGATCTACCAAACTCGTCGCCGATATGCCATTGGAAACATGGTTTCGCAATACTGAATCATATGGATGCGTAGAAGTTGGGATAGCAGCCGACAAACATGTGCCGGATGTTGAGCAATATCCACTTGACCGAGCATGCAATGACTCGAAGTATGGATTTAGGTTGGAAGAGCTATACACACCATGGTTTTCAGGTGTGAACGGTTCGGAGCTCGAGAAAACAGATCCTGGAGATGAGAAGGTATAACTCCTGGGCTCATCCGGGGCGGTGGTCGAGCGGGTGGGCAAGTGGTGTGGATTGCTACTGCGCGGTAAGAGTGATGTCGCAGACGACCTTGCGTAGCGATGCAACGAGGAATCGGTAGAGCTACCGCTAGGTACCACACGTTCCTGAGGAGGTCCAATCAAGGCGGCATTGTGGTCTGGCGCCTGATCTTGCGCTCTGATTTTGGGTATCAAACGTGGCCCATCACAGACCTGAGGTGCTCTTGAAGGAGTGCTGCAGGTAGTGATGTCCTCGACACCCCATTCGATGGGGTCGAATAGGTAATCATCTTGGGCGTCGATGAACTCTAAGTCGTTAGGCATTCCAACCTCTAGCCACTTCGCGGGTTCCCCTACGTGGTCAAAAAGGTGATGCATCACTTCTCCTGAACGTTGGTACTGGTCGGGCCGCTGCGGTAGCTTTGCAGATGCTTGTAGGGGTTGTTGAGTGTATTGAAGCTTGAATGGTGGCTATTAATACTTGATCATAGGCAGGTGGCTTTAGACATACTCCGGACTCGAGCGTACCATCGCATGATTTATAGAGAAGCCAAGGCCGAAAATGCCCCTCTGGAAAGACAGTCCAATGTATCCTCATTCAGAAGACGCTGTTGTAATTTCTATGGCACAGAGCACATCGGAGCTCACACGCTCGACTGAACAATCAACCAGGTCTTCGTGCGACACACCTTGCCACTTACAAAACTTGGATCATGGCCATGCCATGGCTGCATGCCAATCAATTTTCCATGTTCGGCATGCGATAAGGCAATATTGTTCTCACGGCACAATTGTGCATAAGGACAAGGCTGATCCAACAGGCGCGAAGCGCTTAGGTTAGACCTATGATTGGTCGTTGTGATCCATCCATATGCAGAGCGGCAAATGATACGAGTGTTGGTTATTGAAAGTCATATGACCGGCATAAAAACCGCACCGCGCGTGCTTCCTTTGCAACATACTACCGGTCCAAAGAAGTCTCCGGGTCAGGCCTTTACTAGCCTTCATTAGAGGCGCCGCGATATATGAGCAGTTGCTAGTAGAGCCAGAAGTCGGGTCAAAGTGGTGCGGCGGTTAACTTGAGTGGATCAAGTGTTTAGCCATAGCGTTGTCTGGCAAGACTCTTGAGCATCTCCATAGTCTTGTCCTCCTTAGCCCTGTGTTCGGCAAGCCTCTCTTCGCGTTCGGCTTCTCGAGCGCGGAGAATCTCCTCTTTTCTCAGCTCACGTTCCGACTTCTTGCGCTGCGTAGCTTGCAGATGAGCCTTGATACCATCTTCGCCGCCAATCAAGTCGCCCTCACCGACTTCCTCGGCTCCCGGAGACTTTTCCTCACGGAAAGCGCGATTCGCGACAGCCTTCTCGCGCTTCTTCTCCAGCTGACGTTCCCGTGAGCCTGGTTCGGCGCGTGGGTTGAGTTCTTCTAAGCGCTCCTTCTGTAGCCTCCTATCCATCTTACGGTCAAACCGAAGATCTTGTCTGCGAGCAGTGTCGTCTTCTTCAGCAAGCTCGTTCCGGTACTGAAGATCTTGCATGGATGGTACAGAGGGTCCGACACGGCTGATGGTGGTCGGTAACGATGGCCCGTAATCGTCCTCGCTATCGTCATGGTCTTCGGCTGGCTGGACGGTCGATGCGTCTTGGTGTTGCTGTTCTCTCGGTGGTGGGCTGTAGTGTCTCGTCTTCTGTTCTGCAGCGGCACGATCGGCTTTCTCTTTCGTCACAGGATCATACCAACCCTCTGCGAGCTCGGCGCGATTCCTGTTGTTGGTCAGATGGCTGGTCCTCAGAGCGCGGTTGTAGATTTTACAACTCACCATTTGCCAAGGAACGACTTCCACCTACCTTTGACCTCGGTCTCATCGAGATCGTCTACGTCAATCTGCTTCTGAATGTCAAGGTAGAGGGCGAACAAGCGCTTAAATTCTTTCAAATCATGTTTGACGAGGGCACGCGCATTCAGAGGCAATTGGACCGATGGAGGAGACCGGCTTCGTCTTTTCTGGCGATGGTCGCGATCACGTCTAGAACGCTCCGGTGAGCGTAATCTCCGCCTTGAAGAGTGATGATGATGGTCTGGCATGGCTGGCGAACGAAGATTGGATGTGCAAACAGAAGCGCAAAGAGCGTCTTCGGGGATGATTGACCCAGGCTTGGCGACCCTGATGACGTTCTGCTTGAGGAAGTCGCGACCTCGGGATATTGATAACGCTTGACAGCCATCACAGCCGCGAACACACTTTTGACTCTGCCGAAGACTACCTGGAGACTTACGTTGGCAAATACTTGGATATGTGCCACGGCAGGTAAGACCGTTATACATCAATGGTTGATTTGTGATGACGCTATGAAGAGACAACCGGACTTCTTTCCACCTGGAGATATCACGGATATAGGCGGCTTTTAGTTCGCGATTAGGCTATGGTATCATCGACGGCACAAATATATAGTTCCACATTGCCCCTCACTCAACGAACTACACACCTTTCTTGAATCCAATTGAAGCTCACTCATCAACTCACAATGACACGCGTACTTTTGACCGGAGGTTCAGGCTTCATTGCCGCACACGTCCTCGACATTCTGCTCGAGCATGGCCACTCGGTCGTGACTACTGTTCGTTCGCAGGAGAAGGCCAACAAGATCAAGGAGGCCCACCCCGACGCTTCTGAGAAACAGCTCTCTTTTGCCATTGTCGAAGATATCGCACAAGAGGGTGCTTTTGACAAGGCTGTTGTGTCTGACCCTCCATTTGAGGCCGTCATCCACACTGCATCTCCATTCCACTTCAACGTCACCGACGTTCAGAAGGTACCTATTCTAGATCATCCCATGGTTCAATTCAGTCCACTGACCTTCTCTTAGGAATTGCTCGACCCTGCTGTCATCGGAACCACTGGTATCCTGAAGTCGATCAAGAAGAGTGCACCATCAGTCAAGCGTGTTGTCATCACCTCCAGCTTTGCCGCCATCATCAACCCCAGCAAGGCTAACTGGCCCGACCACACCTACACTGAGGCCGACTGGAACCCTATCACACAGGAGGAGGCTGTTCAGAACCCTGCCAACGGATACCGTGCCAGCAAGACATTCGCCGAGAAGGCCTCGTGGGACTTCCTCGAGAAGGAGAAGCCCAACTTCACCATTTCCACCATGAACCCGCCCCTCGTCCTTGGCCCTATTGTAAGTTTCCGATCTAGACGATGTCACCTCGGATAAGTGTGCTGACTGAGAGACAGGTCCACTACTTGAACTCGCTCGACTCGCTGAACACCAGCAACCAGCGTATCAGAGACATCTACCAAGGCAAGGCCAAGGAGCAGATTCCCGAGACTGGCACCTTCCTGTGGGTCGACGTGCGCGACCTCGCACTCTGCCACGTCAAGGCCATCGAGGTCGAGGCTGCCGCCAACAAGAGATTCTTCGTCACCGCTGGCCACTTCTCCAACAAGGAGATCGCCCAGATCATCAAGAAGGAATACCCTCAGACCCAAGGCCTTCCATCAGAGAGCACCGAGGGCGGCGACTACCCCAAGGACGGTGTCTACAGCTACGACAACAGCAGAACCAAGGACGTTCTGGGTATTCAGTTCAAGTCACTTCACGATTCGATCAAGGACACAGTGAAGTCCTTCCAGTCGGTCGGCGCATGATGAAGAGGCAACAATGAGCTTGCATTATGATTAGGCTAGCTAGATTTATATCCCTTCGACCACAAATGATGATTGATGCCTGTACACTTTATAATGTTAGCCGATGTTGTGAACAAGAGCGAAAGTGAATAGAGAAAAGATTGAAGTGCTGTGATCAGGCTGTTGAGCTTTGTTGACAATCACGAAACCTCAAGTGGGTGTTTGAAGTCCATTTTGAGGCTCCATGGGTTTGCGTCCCGAAGGAGGGCCCATGGAAGTCATAAGTTATCGTTTGTTTTATTCATCATAGAAAGCGAGAAGTGAATTGAATCAAGAAGAGCGTACTTACAGAGTACGAGGAGACCGCCGCCGTGTGTGTGGCAGCGGTCGTGTTTGTTGACGCGGTCTTGGGAAAAGAGAGAGGAAGAAAAGTCAAGCCTCGTCGAATTTATGCGGCGGGCGGAAACTGCCGAGTGGGCTGAAAGCAGCCCCGCCAACACAACACTCGACGACGCTCTGTCACTACTCGAAAGCTTTCACAAAGTCGCATACTTTTTATTTCTTGTAGCCCATCTCTCGTCACCCTCCTCCACATCACACTCCATCAAAATGGCCGGTAAGTTTGCGCAACCATTGTGGTTCGAAAGAGTGACAAGCTACTCCTAGCTCCTGCTCGCGAGCGCCTTGGGCTCGAATACACAAGATCCATGACTGACAGAGACTCGCAATAGACTTCCAGAACATCGCTGGTATGCGCCGACCTTGATCTATCCTGATGCGACCCCCCGAGTCTAATGCCACCGCCAGAGCAATTCGTTCAGTTCTACTACAAGACCTTCGATGAGAACCGTCCCGCCCTCGGCGCCCTCTACGTACGGACATACCTACCATAAACGCTAAAAGAGACCATCACATTCTGATATACATGGATTTTGTAGAAGGACCACTCCATGCTCACCTTCGAGAACTCTCCTGTTCAGGGTGCTGCCGGTATCACCGAGAAGCTCGTCGTATGTTTCACACGTCTAGGATCATGGGAAGATACAAAAGGGAGCTAAGCATTACCACAGGCCCTGCCTTTCGAGAAGGTCCAGCACGAGGTTGCCAGCTTGGACGCCCAGCCCTCCAACGAGGCTGGTGGTATCCTGGTCCTTGTTGCCGGAAGACTCCTTGTATGTGAAAGCAACCACTACTGAACATTTCCAGTCACTAACGACGAATCCCACAGGTCGACGATGAGCAGAGACCCATGAGCTACACCCAGTCCTTCCAGCTTCTGCCCGACGGCGCCGGCAGCTACTACGTCTTCAACGACATCTTCAGACTCGTCTACGCTGCCGCATAAGCGCACTCCTCACCATGATGGAGGAGAAGAGAGAAGAGAAGAAGAAGGAAGATGCACATATGCCATGTAATAGTTGGAAGTTTTTCAATGCACGCGGCCATATATGGCCACGGATGAAGGGGCAAAACCAATTGATGAGCCGATAGTCATAAAATATCAGGCCAACGAAATCCACGACTCTCGACACTTGAATGCCACTGATCAACCCGCGTTATCTCATTCTTGTTCTTAACTATCTCATACTGTTGACCTGAACAGACTTCCCGACAGCACTTCAGCAGAAGTTGCCATCCGGATCATCAGCACAATATGCATTCGTCAACTGTCTCCAGAAACAAGCATTTTCACACGGCTTCTGAATCAATATCCCGGCGGCGAGACACCCATGCTGTGCTCAGGTATCTGCAGCGAGGTCCAAACAGCTGCGTCCAAACTCGCTGTTGGTGACTGCGACGCAATCATCCTAGGGCCTGAGGTCGTCTTCTTGACAGACACTAGGGCCGATATCGCAATGGCACATTGGCAATCGGCGCGTTTGAGATAGGGTATGGCCATTGTGGTGCCGACCGACGCGAAGACGAAGATGACTTGGACGATTTGCCTGAGCTGCATGATTGATAGGCTGATGAGTCAACTGAGAGTATACTAGTAGATTGCCTCTCCAGAATCGGGGTGTCTGACCTTGTTGTGTTACTGTGAAATTGACTCTACATGGTGAGATTACATGATAGCAGTACTCTCCCTACACTGGCTGTTCTTCAGTAAATATTTGGCTTGCGGCTCTCTCATATTATCACCAATTCTATGACCTGGAGCGTTCGATGTGCAACTTTAGCATACTCCTTTCAACACAGGTCGATACGAGGAGGATATAACAGAGCTTGAGAACATTAATGTTAAGTCTTGCAGCAAAAAGTGCAGAATTCTTATATACGGAAAGGATGTATATAGAATACCGAGACCAAGGGACGATGATCAGACGTCCAGACCCTGAAAAGTGGTCTGTTTTTGGCAACAAGTCGGGGAAGCTGTCGCCCTTGACGCCGGTCGTTCCTGCTGCGCGACGCGAATCAGAGTGTCGCAAGCTCTCCGTAGCCATCTGCATTTCACTCTACCCAATACAAAGCCCTCTTCATCCATCGCGACTCTAGCTCTATCTACGTGAATCTCATCTACACGACACAAAGCAGTGTTACTGCTCATTTCGCAACATCCATCCGAACGCTCCAGCTCGGCTCGAACCATTGATCACCGCTTCCGAACAAGACAGCTTTACCGTCATACCTGATCACGAAAAGACCGCAATCGCGACTTCACCTACGGCAGCGGCCAACTAGCACTCAGTAACTCGACAACATGACGATCGCAGAAGAACTTAGGTCGCGTAACTTCAGTAGGTTTTTTGCGTGAATGACCGTACTGTTTGCTTCAAGCGCTGACTCGCAATAGGTATATACGGCCAATGGTATGAATGTTCGCGGGACACTGTCAGTAGCCACGCTTACTGATTTTGACTCGTCTAGGGCCGGTATCATCAGCATGGTCCTGTGCTTCGGTCTGGGAATTGGCAACATCTTCCTCTTCCACTGGGTCATCCTGTTCGCCGTGATATGCCTGTAAGTCATGACTGCATCTTATTAGATACACCGCGCTAACAGCCAAAACAGTGTCTGCTCCTTCGTTATCCTCTTCGTCGAGGTTCCTCTACTTTTGCGCGTCTGCCCGACATCGTCCACCTTTGACACGTTCATCCGCCGATTCGAGACCAATTACATGCGCGCCGCCATCTACCTCGCCATGAGTGTCATTCAATGGATTTCGCTTGCCGTCAAGACAACCAGTCTTATTGTTGCTGCGATTGTCCTGCTCATTACGGCCATCTTCTACGCATTGGCTGGCGTCAAGGGTCAAGGCTTCGTCGGAAGCAAGACTCTGGGTGGCCACGGTGTCGCTCAGATGATTGTTTAGATTGTCCAAGAGGAAGCACTATTTGGCGACGACGAAGACGAAGGATACCCAGGAGCATACAAACAACAAAGAAACATGGTCACGCAGCACTGGTGCTGTTGTGCGTTTGAAAGAGCCATGTCACGCGTGCAGCGAAAGGAGGTCTCAGTACAGAGACAAGTTATATTATAAGGAGACTGCTTTTAATGAAGATATCTTAGCATCAGGAGTATGCCTTTTTCAAGTTATGGTCGCCTCAAACCATTCAGGACATGGTCTCAATGTGGACGTCTATACTATGCTTGAGGTACAAGTGCCGCTTAATATGTAAGATAACAGTGACATGACGGATCATTTGCCAAGTGGTGGTGTGAGGAGAGTCAGGAGAGTGCTTACGACAGCATGGCATGGCGCATGGCAGAAAGGGAAAGAGGTCATGCGCTGGCAGCCCTAGCATCCTAGATCACAGATGACCTGAGGAGAGGGTTTCGATGAACAAAGCCACGACGTTGATAGGTATCCTTGCCGTGACCTGGATTTCGGTGAGGCACGGCAGTGTTAGCAAGTTAATATGACACCAGGAACCTGTTTGAACAGGTACCTGAATATGAGGGGCATGTTCCCGAATATCCCATCACGCGGGGCGGGAGGTGTGGCACTGTGGCTTGCTTGTTCCGAGGGAGAAGGTGCATCATCGTTACTCGACAGCATGGGATCTGAGCGTTTTGGACGTCGGGCTGCCAGCCTGGCAACGTGTTGTCGAGCTGGTGTTTTGCATAGTCAAGTAGACGAGAGGTGGCAGATAAGGCGGCAGGAGATTGAAGAGACGGTGAGGGATATTTGCACATGTCAGAATAATATCTCAATGCTCGAGGCATGCTAAAACCGCCTGCAAGCGCGCGGCCAATGACATGACGGCTGTAGCTAATGGGCATTTAGCGTCGATCGGGGGCAGTTTGCTTTGGAGAGTTTCGTCACCAACAGCCCTTCTCCCACTGTCCTCGTCTCACGAGTCTTTGTGTTCTTTCCGAGTCATCTATCGTTCCTGTCCTCTGACAGCAACCACTCATACACATCTATCCTATACCCGTCCTCTGTGAAGTCTGCAAACGACCATTCTCAGGTCGACTGATTTCAGCGTGGTAAGTCTGCATGCATGGATTGGCTTATCGCGGATCTGCACCTTAGATACCTTGTGGCAGAAAAGTCATTGGCGAGCCCTCGCTGCTGCTGGGAAAGGCACTGGCGTTGAGCGGACCAATGAGACATGTGGCGGTGTTGCACGCTTTCCTTTTTTGATATCTACACCCAAGACGCCATATCTCCAACATTCAGGTCGCAAGGCCAGCAGGACTGATCGATTACTACAGTGTTCTCCTTGATTCCACCATTTCCTTGCCGTTACACGAGTAGCCAACATGAGCTCCGAACAACCCAAAGTGCCTCCGCGTCCGGCCCGCACTCAGGAGAGGCCTTCAGACGTGGTTGCGAATGCTCCAATAATTCCCCCTCGTCCCCAGCGTCGTGACAGATCCGTCTCGCCCATGAGAGGAGAGTACATGCGTTCTCCCCTCAACGACGTCCCCTTGGCCAGCCCCGATACCAACGGCAAGATGTACAGCCAGCGAAATCTCTCGGCCCAGGATCTCCCTCCCCGTCCTCCGAGTGTCAGCCTCCCTTCAATCGGCCAGGAAGGCATGGAATACGCCAACCTCGAAGAGGAGGATAATGCAGCTGCAGAACAGCACAGAAACATCTCTCCGGACTTGCCCATGCATGCTCCCACGGCATCTGTGCCTCAGTCAACTGCCAAATCCAGAATCCAGACAGTCACTCGCACCGACTCGAGTCAGGCTGCGCAACATGGGATTGGCTCGGCTGCACCCGCTGTACACCCATTGAAGGCCAGAGCCAGTTTCAGTCGCTCGAACCTGTCCTTGTCTCAGGAACCCACCGAGGAAGATGAACACGGCATTCCTGAAATCGGCCTGCAGGTGCCCATGCTGAAATATGCTGGTGACGTCCAGGCTCCTACACCAACTCCGTCCAAGGCAGGCACGCCGAGTATCAGCTTCAATGATGCATCCCCACGTAACCACCACCGCAAGCGTAGTTCGCGTCAAGAATTCCACGGTCCCCCTGGCAGTTATGGTCTGCACGGCCATCGTCACGACCCTAAGGACCAATTCGAGAAAGCCTGGTACGCCAAGCACCCCGAAGAGCTGGTCAAGGAGCACCGTCCTTATGATCCTGGTCATGCTCCTGGTGACTGGGCTTTGAGCAGCGACGATCTCAACAAGCTAGTCCAATCAAACTCGGGCCGTGGTCTCGGCATGGGTATGTTATGGAATTTGTGCTCTCTCAAGACTTGATGGAACTGACATCTTTAGGCACTTCCCCTGCTGCTATCGGCACACCAGATGAGTCGATCGGTTTCATGGCCTCGGAAGCCTACACTTCCCGTATGAACTCGCCCAAGCCTCGCCCGGATTCCCTGTCAGGTCTACACAAGCGTCCCTCGAGTGGTGCTCAACCCGCCGTTGAATCTCCCCTCAAGAAGGAGTCTTTCGGCCAGAAAGAGATTGCACAGAACGACCACGCCTTGGAGAGCGAGGTTGAGGACGAAGTTATTCACATTGACCCACCAGCCCACCGCCACAGCAAAATTCACGGTGGCGGCTACGACCCTCCCACTGTGGATCTTGGTCCTGAGGGAGGCAACACTTCTGAGAAAGGCGGCTGGGTCATCGAAAACGGTGATGGCATGCCTATTTTGGCCTCTGATGAGGTCGCCAAGAACAACCCCGAAGCCGTATATTGGCAACCTGCCGTCTCGCCTCAGAAGGAGAGAAAGGGCAACGATTATTATGATGCCTACGCTTCGGATTCTTCGGCAACTGGCCCATCTCGCAGACGTAGTGGTGAGAAGCTGAGAACTAGCAGTGGAGGCAATTTGGCACGATTCAAGTCCCACGAGGCTCAGCCTTCTGGTGCTGGCACCCCGCTTGAGGAAATCGAAGAATACGAGCCTCTCTTCCCCGATGACGATGATAAGCCTCAAAAGCCCCTCACCGTTGCAGACAAACTGAAGCGTCCTGATTTGGCCCGTCACCACTTCCCTAGTCAAGACATCTGGGAGGACGTTCCTGAGAGCTTGCAGTATGAGGCCGAAGTTTCTGGCCCCCAGGAGCCCGAGGACCTCACAACTTCTGCAACTTTCGAGCACCCTGACAAGGAGCAAGCACGCAAGATGGGTAACAACCCCGAAGATCGCGCCGACTTCCTTTCTCAAGAGGCCAAAACGATGGCCAAGACTGGTTTCAAGCCTGGTGTCGCTGAAGAGACTCGCCCTAGCTACAAGAACCGCTTCCCCAGTAGAGACATCTGGGAGGATTCTCCTGACAGTCTCCAGCTTGAGACCACTGATGAAACATCACAGATGGAGGACGAGGATGTGTCAAGTCCGGCTGATGTCAAATCTCCTCAAATTCCTCAGCGTCCTGCTCGCTCTTCTAAGCTTTCCGAGGTTTCCACTCCCGAGCCCGAGGAGACTTCGAAGCCTCAGGTTCCTGCACGACCAGCCGGTCACCAAGGACCTGTCATTCCCGAGCGCCCCAAGCCTCAGGTACCTGCCAGACCTGCCAAGGCTGAGAGCACCCAAACTCAGGAAGCTGCATCCTCGGACAGAGGTGTATCGCCTCCGGCTGTCAAGGCTAAGCCTGCAGTTCCCGCAAGACCTGCAGGCAACAAGTTTGCCGCTCTCAAGGCTGGTTTCCTCGAGAACTTGAATGCTCGCCTTGGCTCCGGTCCCCAAGCTCCTCCCAAACATGAAGAGCCTGCCGAGGCACCTGTTGAAGAGAAGGCTCCTCTTGCCGATGCTCGAAAGGGCCGCGCCAGAGGCCCTGCTAGAAGAAAGCCTGCTGCCGAGTCTGCCGCCGCTCCTGCCGCTGCATCTGGCGCATCCACCTTTTCTATCGGAACCACATTCACCATCTTCCAGATTAATGATCATGGAGAGTTGTCGGTTCCGCTCGATCGGCTTTCACCAACCCTTTCCAAGGGTGCACAGGAGATGGAGAAGGCGGCTGCAGCAAACACCGAGGGTGCTGCCCCTGCCAACTCATCTCCAATTGCCGAGGACGAGAAGACCACACTCTCTGGTTTGCCTGCACAAGCCATTGGCCACATCGGAGACACACCCGACCCCAAGTTGTCACAGTCAACCATGGAGCGCGCATCTGCTATTCAGTCCGGTTTTGAGGCAGCGCTCGCTGACTCGGAAAAGCACGGCGAGCAGCCTGCTGATGGAGAAACTGATGTTATCCCTGCCATGGCGGACCGCTCATCAGAAGTGCCCATTCCTGGTCAATCCGCACTCTCAGACACCAGATCACCCGAAGGCCCCAAGGGCGATGTGCAAAGGTCAGAAAGCACAAGCACCAGTACTGCTGATCAGCCCGACGAGAGCATCGTCTCCAAGATTGGCCAATCCATCAACAACGCCGTCAACTACGTCTCTGAATCCGTGTCCGAGACCGTCCAAGGCAGTTCATCAACCGAAAGCAAAGCTACCACCACCGAGGAGCACACCAAACCTCAAATGACCGACAACAGCGTGCAAACCGGTCAACAAGACATCACCGTCAAAAGCCCAACCGGCGAGCAGGAGAAAATGACACTCCACCTCGGAGGCCGCGCACATCCCGAGGGCAATGTGGTGGTCAAGGACGGCGAGGAAATTGTTGGTGACATGGATGAGAGACATCGTACCGCTACCACTGGACACGGTATGTAAGTGAAGAGTGTTTTGCTGTTTTGCACAAATGGAGGGTTTTTAGAAGCACAAAAAGCTGGACAGAGTTTGGTTGGGGTGTTGATGCAATATTGTGTATTTGGGTATGGAGATTGTAATACACAGGGATGATTGTTCGAGTGTAAATGGTATCTGTTCGTTTGATTGTGAGCTGAGATGTCTTGAATTGAATTGTTAAATGCACTTGCAGCGGTATAAAGGAGACAGGCGATACCACGTTTCTTCTCTACGTTGGCGCTCGCGATGTAGTTCTTGTTCATCTTGGCGCCTACGAAGTCCCAGAAGTAGGTGGCCAGTGTTTCGTGCTCACGCTGGGCAGCTTTACCTATCAGCGTGTTTGCGATATCATCAGAAGTGCGGCTGCTGGGGTTGGAGACAGATAGTTGCGGAGACAGATAGTTGCTATCGTTACGTTCGTCTTGTATAATCGTAACAGATATTGAAGGTCCAAGGAACCATGAACGCTCGTGCGGTCTTGATTCAAGTTGGCGACCTGCTTGCACGTAACTTCCTCAGCGGCGAGTATTGAGCAGAGTACGAAGGGTCAATGCGTGCACATGTATGCGTATGCTGTGGAAAGATAGAGTCTGACATTAAAGCTGTATGGGGGATTTTGTACAAATGTCGGAAGGGAAGAAGAAGAAGAAGTTATATGCAAAGGTCGGGGGTATCGTTGATAATAAGCAGGCGGAAGGTGGTATATTCATGATGGTCCGGATGATACGCAGCACCTTACTCGCGGTCGACATAGGTGCTAGCCAGGCGTCCGAAGAAGGGCAATTCAAATCGGTCGAGAGTCTCGGCTGTCATACAAATCAGTATTCATGCAATATCAGCATGGAAATGCGTCATCTCACCATCACGGTAGGCCCTCAAGACCAGCAGAACAATCAAGCCAAGATCGCCAATGAAGAGTAGCCATGACAAGAAGCGGGACCAGGACAGCAAGATATGCAGCACGAATGAGGCGGCAAAGACAAGACTAGACTGCCAGGCGTGGAATCTGAAGTATACTATCAGCATCGTGCTACCTGTAGTGGTTGAGATTGTGGATCATACCGCACGTAGTCGCTCTTTCTCTCAAAGATCAACATGGCGACACCTCCAGCTGGCGGTAGCAGCAAATAAGGCAGACAGGCCTCGATGTCCATACGAATTCCCAAGCTCGTTTCAAAGACATAGTAGCCATCTCCTCTTAACCGCGAGCTTTGATTTGTGTTGGCAGCTTCGAGATCATCGTAGGCAGAGGGTGAAGGTAGTTGCGAAACGCGTGTCGCGGCCCATGGGTCTTCAATGCTTGCTTGTGCGCGAGGGGTGACTACTGCAGGGCGGGGTGACGAGGTTGATGTGCGGAGTGGTGGTGACAGTGCGCGTGTTGATTCGGGAGGGCTGCTCTGATACGGCGCGAAGTTGTGGGCCATGGTTGCTGTGTCGAGATGTGACTTTTGGAAAACCGAGAAGATGTTCTAGAAGAAAAGAAGCGCGTCAAGAGAGTTTTGTTTGTTGCTATCTGGTATGCCTTGGAAACACCGTCACCGCTGCTTGTCCAAGGCCGTCGGAGCTTTTGGCCAGCCCGTGGTTTCTCCGTCTTGGTGAAACGCACCGCTCCTTCTCGAACAACTCTTCACCGACTCAGCATGAGAATGAATGACCTAGTGCTCTCTCAATTGACACGTCCATATCGGACTTCAAATCGTGCATCTCGATCTATGTCTCTGCGACATGGCGGCTTCTTGAAGACCTCGGCCCGAACTTGACGTCGACATCACGAAACCATGCCATCTCACGAGCCCGTGGCCAACGAAGAACCGACTGTAAAAATGCAAAATTAAATGTATATTCTAGACAGCCTCCACTAAGAGCCTTTCAGTAGTGAATTGGAAGCCATCCCCGAGTCCGACCACCTGGCGAGATGCCTGTGTCAAAATGCACAGTTGAATTCAACTCGGTGTAGCTTCCACTGAGAGCTCATTAATGCACTTTGAACCTCACTTGTAGGTCATCGTTCGGGCCCTCGACGTGTTTATCTCCTGTGGCACTCCCAGCGACAGTATTGTCGTCGAAATCTTCCATCAAAAGGCACGAACCAAAGTGATTTTGGCGCGATGTCCAAAGAGAACTTCTCGATCTTGTATGCTTGCCCCTGAGTCCACCTTCACTGACGAACTTCACTCTGATATCGGGACTCACTCGCATCTACTTGACGTTCACTCCACCACCCAAGTCCTGTATAAGTTCCCTTCTCTCTGATCCTCTTCCTCTTCCTTACACCACGCCCATACTCTTACGCGTATCAACCATGGCTCCTTCTGACATCATCGAGACTATCTGTCTCACCTTTATCAACGACGATACCTGGCCCGTCTTCATTTTCCCCGACCACTCTGTACCCGATGACGAGATAGCGCCGAGACCCAACAAGCAAGCTCTTCCAGCATTCGTCCTCGCACGCGAGGAGTTCATCTGGCGCGATCCAAGTGAATTGCTCGAGTACGACCCCAAGTTGCCCTACGACCACTTCCAGCCCGCCAAGACCAATTACGAGATCCAACGCGAAAAGGCTTTCAAAGAGGCCAGAGACCTTCGTTCTATGGATTACTACCACAGTTTGGCCCTCAGAAACAAAGTCAAGAAGGACCAAGACAAAGCAGACAAGGAGAAGGTGAAGCAAGAAGTCACCATCGACGTCGAAGACAGTGACGATGGGGACACGTTTGTCAAACCGTCGAAGCCAAAGCCTTCTAAGGCCATCTCCTTGAGCTCCGACAGCGACGGTGATCTTCCTAATCTTCCTGCAATCACTCCACTCTCCAGGAAACGTCCTCTTTCATCTATCTACAAACGCCCTGGCCTACCTTCTCCCAGCCCAACTCCAAAGCACAGGAAGTTGTCACCAAAGATTCCCACGCCTAAAACCCCGTTCGGAGAAGAAGACGACGACAGCGACATCAATCTTCCAACCCCACGAACATCCACGCCCACAAAGCAGCCGGCTTCTAAAAAGAAGGTCGTCTCCAATTGGAAGCCCAGCGGCAAGCTACCCAAGATAGCCCCAGACGATTACGTTGCTAGAAAGCAACTCGAGCTAGCCATGATCAAGAAAGGCGACGGCAAGGAAAAGCCCGAAGAGGCTGAGGTTATCGTGCGCGTCAAAGAGTAAGTCCTTCAATAATGTCGTTGGACATGGGGAACTAACAAGCTATACAGCCCTCTCAAGGTCAACATCTACGTTGGCCAAGAAGAACAGCTCTTCATTGTCGATAGAGCTGTCATCCAGAATTACTCTCAAGTCATGAAGCACATCAAAGGCGACCGCCACACGGGTTTCGAGATCAAGAATTCTGTCTTTGAGAAGTGGCAGCCATCCGTCTTCGAATCCGTCGTCTCCTGGCTCAACACGGCCGACTACAAGCCCCGTCTGATCGAAGGCAAGCACCCTCATCTCGAAGACATCAAGAGCGTTGGACAATTCGACGAAGCGGCCGAAGCAGCAAGCAAGCTCTGGAACATCGCTCGCAAGCTCCAGCTCACCGGCCTTCAAGAGCTTCTCTATCGCAAGATCGAGGTTCAGAGTCCCCTGTCCACCAACACCCTTCTAATCATGACGCGTTTGGTCTTCTGGAACTGCGCTGATGAGACCGAGATTGATAACAAGATGCGCGATATGCTAAAGCTCGACGTCGCCAAGCGTCTGCATGAAATTCTGGAGGAGGATGCCATGCTGTTCAGCAGAGTTATCAAGTCTGAAGTTGAGCTTGCCAACTATATCTGGCAGTATCAGGCTGAACACCCCTGGAAGGAGGCCGATGAGCACCTCTCCGAGGGTGACGGCGACGATGACAGCGATGATGAGGATTGAGAGCACGAGGGGAGTCGATAACACGTTGGACGGAAGGAGGACATCATGGTTTTACGACCGGCCGCGTCGCGCACCGGGTCAATACGAAGAAGGATAGCAGGCGAGTGACTGATTGCCTTAACTAATATTCACAAGTTGTCAATACTCAAGGCTCTCACTGGACAGTGACCAGTAGTCAAGTACCTTTTTGCATTTTTACAGCTAGTTTACATAGCTACTCGGTAGCCGGGATAGGGACTGAATAATCATTCATGCTAAGCTCTTTCTGCGCTCTCACTGGACATTCACGAGTATCCAAAAATCATTGCGCATTTTTACATGAAGTTACCATGATGCGACGGCAGTCGGGAGTAGCACCACTTTCACGATCAATGTGCTCTCTCTCTGTGGACAGTGTCGCGTGCTCAAATTCAACTCTGCATTTTGATGCCTATTTCCACGCGTAGTCGCTGCAGCTGGAGCAAAGCCATTTTCATCATCGCTTTACCGTCGTTTCTGTTCTCTCTTTGGACCCTCACCGAGACTTGAATAGGTCCGTTCTTGCATTTTCATAGCTACCTGTTGATGCCATCACAGCATCCCGGGAGCAAGCGCAATGATCACTACATTCCGGAAGTGATCGCTCCGTGGTGCCTGTCGATGAACGGCTCTCCTAGGTACACAGCCACGACCGTTTGATAGTCAGAAATGCACGATGACATGCGCTTTACCAGCGGAACATTTTCTGGACGGACGCACGACACAGACAACAAAATAAAAAAACATTTTCTTTTTTGGACCAATCGGCAAGTGCGAACGCACTATACGCATGCCAAGCAGCTGAAAGGATTGGAGTGGATGCATGGAGAATAGACAAAGAAGGAAGGAGGTTCCCGAGGCGGGGCTGCTGGGCTGCTCGGACTTTCAGCCATGCGGCGGGCTCATGGAGACATGGCGGCTAGAGACACCTGAATGAGGTGGATGGTTTGGACGAGACCAAAGGTTTTGTTCGTTAGAGTTGTTGATGTTGGGGAGTGTTGCTGTTTATAGATACGGGTTCTTGGGCTTGCGGCGCTCCGAGAGTTGGTATCAAACGTGTGAGGCTCTCTTATCGAGCGCATGTGCTTGTACAGATTGGACTGTATGATCTGAGGATAGGTATTGAAATCACAAGACATATGATTGGGAAGATGCTAGACAGAAACATGATTGAGCATGAGTTTCACTGTACTGCTTGTCGACTTGGTTTGAGTACTGACAACAGTGTAGTAGGAGCAAGCGCGTGTTGTGTGTCGGATAAGAAAGCGCATGCTGTTGATATCATATCCCGCTAGAAGAACCGCGCGTCAGCAGAAACGATGAATGATGGGAAAAGGTTCAAGGTTCGTCATGGTCGTGTCGTGGAGGAAGGGTCTTGGACATCTGGAACCGAATGATGACCTTGGTGTCCCTGGTGCCTTGGGCATGTGGTTTTCCTGTCTCTTCTGCCAAACTTTCTTGTGTCACACACACAACCTACGCTTAATTTGTTGAGTGTCTGAATCTCTTTGTCCTACTCGAACAAGGCGATTTCTCAAAAACCACATTCAATCGTTTCAGACTCGCCGCGGCCTTAAGCTAACAATACGTCCGCCCCCTCCACGGTCGCTCAACTTCTCTGCATAACACTCGCTATTGTTTTGATGCTGCAAGCCACCTGCATCTGGCGATCAACGCGCATCTTTTATTGAGCATTTTACTCCAATACATCCGGCTATCATGGAGGAGCCGACAAGAACCATCAACCTCATTGCTCGACAGACGACACAGAGCAGTCTCGATGCCTTCGTTTCCTTGCTGTCAGACCCCTTCGCACAGTCGGCAAGTTCTCAACCCCGTCAATTGGACTCGGACTCAGATGTAGCTAACATGGGGATTTGCAGATTGAGAAGAACGCTTTCTGGTCTGCCTTGGGCACTTCAATCGGTGGCTCGGCCTTGATCGCCTGTCTATTTTGTTTCGCGCGTCCATACAACAGCGTCGTCTACGCCCCTCGCTCGCGACATGCCGATGTCAAACACGCCCCGCCGCCGGTCGGCAAGGGTATTCTGGATTGGGTGTCACCCGTCATCAAGACAAAAGAGCAGGAATTGGTCGAAAAGGTTGGCCTTGACGCCACCATCTTCTTGCGATTTGCAAACATGTGCCGAAACATTTTCACATGCATAACCGTTGTCGGCTGCGCAATCTTCATTCCCATCAACTTGTACGAGCATCGTAGCTCCATCAAGGGAACAGAGGCAAAGAACTTCTTCATCCAGTTGACCTCCCAGGGCGTGCAAGGCCCATATCTGTGGGGCTACGTCCTGGTGGCGTGGTTTGCCAACTTGACCATCGCCTTCTTCCTGTGGCGCAACTACAGGAGTGTCCTTCGCTTGCGCAGAGCCTACTTCGATAGCCCCGAGTACCAGAAGAGTTTGCACTCTAGAACTCTCCTCGTTACCGAGATCCCTCGAGGTCTACGAACCGACGAAGGCCTTGTCAAAATCGTCACCGAAGCCAAAGACACTGGATCGAACCCCCGTACCGCTATCGCACGCAACGTCAAGGACTTGCCAGAACTCATCGAGGAGCACAATGAGACGGTCAGAAACCTCGAGCAGGTGCTCGCCAAATACCTCTCAAACCCGAATAAGCTGCCGCCCAAGCGACCAACATGCTCCGTCAACAAGTCGGACCAGACCTACCGCAAGGGTCAGAAAGTTGATGCTATCGAATATTTGACCGCTCGTATCAAGGAGCTCGAAATTCAAATTAAAGAAGTCAGAGAATCTATTGACAAGAGAAACGCCATGTCATACGGATTTGCTAGTTATGAATCTATCGCCGATGCTCATACTGTCGCATACAAGACTCGTAAGAAGGGTCCTCAAAAGACATCGATTCGTCTGGCTCCCAGGCCTCATGATCTTATCTGGAAAAATTTGCCCATGACGAGCAAACAGAGAGGCTGGCAAACATTTGTCAACAACATCTGGGTCGCTGTTCTGACTGTCGTCTGGATTGCTCCTAACGCTCTCATTGCCATCTTCCTTTCTAACTTGTCTAATCTGGCTCTTGTTTGGCCTGCCTTCGCGACCACATTGGTCAACAACCCGAAGACTTGGGCTGTAGTGCAGGGTGTAGCCGCACCTGCTCTCACCTCTCTCTTCTACTATTTCTTGCCTGCCATCTTCCGAAAGCTGAGTAACAGCGCTGGTGATTTGTCAAAAACCAGCAGAGAACGCCACGTCATGCACAAGCTCTACACCTTCTTCGTTTTCAACAACTTGTTCTTGTTCTCACTATTCGCAGCCATCTGGGGTTACGTAGCTGCAGTCATCAGCAGCAGTCAAAAGGAAGATGCCTGGTCTGCTATCAAGGACGGCCAGCTACTACAAAAGGGCATCAGAGCACTCAACTCTGTCTCGACTTACTGGATTACCTGGCTTCTGCAACGCAACCTCGGTGCCGCAGTTGATCTATCTCAGTTTGTCAACTTGGCTTGGGGATCGTTCTCTCGTCACTTCCTGAATCCCACTCCTCGTGAGCTGATCGAGCTCAGCGCACCACCAAAGTTTGATTACGCCGGATACTACAACTACTTTTTATTCTACTCGACAGTTGCCTTGTGTTTCTCGTACATCCAGCCTTTGGTGCTGCCTGTTACGGCATTCTACTTCTGGATTGACTCTTACCTGAAGAAGTATCTGCTTCTTTACGTCTTTATCACCAAGACCGAGTCTGGAGGTCAATTCTGGAAGGTCTTGTTCAACAGATTCATCTTCCTCACTATTTTGTCCGATGTTCTGGTAGCTTTGGTTTGCGTTGGAAACACAACTTTCGGTTACACTGAGTGGCTGCCTAAGGTCTGCACCATTGCTCCTTTGCCCATCTTCATGTTGGCTTTCAAGTGGTGGTGCTCGTCCCACTTTGACAGCAAGTTGGCCTTCTACACCACTGGTGTCACTGCTGCAGACACTGAGAACCCGGCTGAGATGAAGACTAGACGTACAGACCGTGTTGGTGTTCGTTTCGGCCACCCCGTGCTTTACAAGCCTCTCATCACTCCCATGGTTTCGGCCAAGTCAAGACATCTTTTGCCAACCATCTACTCGGGTCGTACAGCAGAGGTGGACATTCCCATGGCCGGCTACTCAGATGTTTACATGGATACCATGTCGCACGACGAGCCTGGCAGAACAGCAAAGGGCGAGGCTCCCGCACCTTTCGAATTCGTTTCCGAGAACCAAATGGACTTCGAGTTCTACAAGAACAGACCCGAATTCAGAGATGAAGCAGGTGGTGAGGGTGAACTTTACGGTAGACCTCAAGACCAGGTCCGCAGAGGATCACACGGAACATTAATGACACAAGACGGCACCGTTATGACCGGTTATGACAGCCGCAGAGGCTCCAGCGACTCGAACGCAACAAGAACGGGTGATGAGATGGGAACGACATATCCCAAGGGCTACCACCAGACACCCACCGCACTCCGCGATCAGAGCCCCGCAAGCAGTGTTCGCTCGATGGATATTGGTAATGCCAATCGCCGCAACGATGACGAACATCTCTTGTCTGGCGCAGCAGGTATGGGCAGAAGCGGCATTCCCGCACCCACGCCCGGAGGCTATGGACCTCTAAGACTAGGCGAGATTCACACGCCTGGAAGCGACCAGGAAGACACGAGTTATGATTATTTCAGAAGAGGAAGAGGACTCAATTGAGTGACCTTGACGTAGGATAAAAAGAATTTTTCACGCATAGATTGGGTAAGGGACGGGGTACTTTGCATCTAGAGGGATTACTCTAATGGTTGGGATCACTATAGACATGATATATCAAATGGGCTGTCTCGCGATGGCATTGCTTAAAAGATTTTGAATTGTGGTCTTTGAAGTTTCGTGATGATGCTTTACCTGGATAGGGTGAGGATGAAATGATGTATTGTAACGGACTGTTTCATGTGAAACTGAGTTGCCGTGCATGTACGAGTAGCTGTACTATAAACATTGCAGGATGTTGCTCACAAGACACGCGACGCGAGGTGTGACCCTGTCACCGTCACAGGGCATTTGGAATTTTGGATGATGTCGGTTCCCCGGACTTTTATAGGCACAAGGACGTCAGTCGCGCCTGTCAACAAGAACAAAAGCGTGTCTGCTTGGTTGACAGATATTCTTATCGCATCCTCGCCGGTGTCGAAGGAGGGTTCGGAGTTGGGCATGTCATTAATAATCTATGTCGCGCACTCGGGCAGCAAGGTCGTCGCCGAGCCGACTAAGGTGAACAGCCTCGACGCCCTCCGAGCCTGGGTCCAGCGCACGACACACATAGCACAGAACAAGCAGGTCTTCCTGACCACCAAAGGCAAGGCTGTGAGGCCGCAGACGCTGCTCACCGAACCCGAAATCTACGTCTTCGACTCCAGCTCCTTTTCACCCCACAATACCAACCTCTCCCTCATCTCGGACCCATCTCCTCTAAACCCCGACACACCGCCCGACTCGATCGCAGACCACAACCAGCTGCAATCATGGAACGATCTGTTTCGCCGTCGCCTCGAATGGGCCAGGACTTTACGCTCGCGATACGCCGACCTGATCGAAAGCACCCAGCGATACCAGCAAGAGCAGGCCATCATCGAACAGAGCGTCAACGTCGCAGTCATGAGTCTGCAACTGCACATTCGCTCCACCGAGCAGAGATACCACCACGAGGAAGATTGGGTCGAGAACCTGCTTAAGCAGCAGGAGGCACACATCGATAGCTGGGAAAAAGATCTCGATCGTCTGCAGCACATACCCGCCAACTATGACTTTGCTCGCTACATCCAGACCGAGAGTGCTGCGTCGCTACACGAGTCCGATCACACTTCTGGAAGCACCTTGCAGAATTTTGTACAAGTCGACCAGGTCAGGCAGGCTGCCTCATCCGCACAAACTATCATGACCAACTTTGCACAAAGAGTCTACGACATACAGCAGTCCCTGCAAACAACAGCGAGAGATAGTGACTCTCTGCTTTCTGCTGTTCAGACTGTAAAAGATAGTCAAATCACCAATACTGAGGAGCCATCCAAGCTCCTCGAGGAAGTCGACGTTCATGTCAGTAAAATGTCTAGCGACCTGGAACACATCAAGTCTCTGCCGAACAATGCTCAAAATACTGCTCGTGCTTCTAAGATGGCCTTGTTGCACACTCGAAGCTATCTTCCTCATTTTGATGATCTCTGTCATGATCTCAATGCTCTGGTTCAGCAGACTATTCAGCAACGAAACAATGCCGCCCAGAACTTCTTGCACCATATGCAGACCCTATCGAGTATCGAATCTCGCCTGGCTCAAGTACACTCTAGTCTCAAGACCTTGAATATGTCGCCGACTGATGAGCAGGTGTTTGACACACTGAATGTCTTATCCAAGCTTCCATTTGTCTATGGCTCTCTCATGATTGAGGCCGTGCGTCGTCGCGAGTGGGCTGACAAGATGAAGGCTGACTCTGCCACCCTTGCAGAAGAAATGGCTACTTACCAGGAAGAGGAGGAGCGTCGTCGAACCAAATGGCTTAAGTCTGTGGATGATGTCGTCAAGCCCGAAGCGTTTGAAGGCAAACCTCTGAGCGTGGAGGTGAACCTCGAAGGCGACGATTTGGAATGGCCTCTCGTGCAGAGACAATCACTACAAGACTACATCAGGGTCTTGACCGAGCTAGATTTGCCAAACATCGTCGTGCAGAACCTATCAATCGCACTCAAGGACCTCGACCGTCCTACGAAAAAGCAGATCAAGCATGCCAAGACGTTCAAGAACGGCAGTATGCACGAAGCCGCTTTTGGAACCACTTCTCTCATGCTTCGAGGTGAGGACGAGTACAAAGTCCTTAGAGAGGCGAATACCAAGCTCGAAGAAGAGCTCAAGGGACAAAAGAGTCGCGTACGAAGACTTGAAGACATTCTTCACCGCCATGCTCATATGAACCGACCTACCACGGGCGATAGTTTCAGGCCGTCGATCGAACTGGTTTCTGACATGGTCACTCCAACTCCGCCATCACCGAGACCTTCTGAGGAGTACGTGAGACAAACTCCTGGTTCTAGACGCCCCTCCTCAAGTCTGGCTGCAGAAGAAGGCAAACTTGCAAAACGCATCGTATCGCTGGAAGCCGAGCTTCATACTACCAAAGAACATTCTCTTGCGCTCGAAAGAGATGCTGAGACCAGGAAGCAGAAGGACGCCGATGGCCAACGTGAGATTGAAGAAGCTGTTTCCACGAAGAAGGATATTATGCAGAATATGGAAGCTCAGCAGAAAGAATTCGCAGACGAGCGTAGAGTTCTGGAACAAGACCTGGATCACGCACGCCACAGAATCGAGGAGCTTGAAGATGAGATCGACAGACTACTCGGCAGTCGTGATCAAGAGGTCTCTGGCATAGACGCCAGGACCAAAACCTTAGAGGCTGAAATTGAGAGGTTGAAGAGCTCTGCCGAGGAGGTAGAGATGAAACACAAGTCTGATCTTGAAGAAATGCAATCCTCCCACAAGAAACAGCAGGAAGAGAATTCACGCCTGAAGGAGCAGTTGCAAGCCGCCAGGAAGGACCAAGATGAGCAGAAGCAATACGAGTCGGATAATTTCCGAGCTCTTAAGGAGACTCATAAACATCTCTCACCCACTACCGCACCTCCGGAGAAGTACATGGACCTCGTACCTGCTCTAGAAAACCTGGCACAGAAGTCTGCGGACCATGTTAGAGAGTTGAACGATGCTATTGCGCTTGCACGGTCCGAGTCCGAGTCGCTTCGAACACAGGGAAATACCCAAAGGACCGAGCTGAAAGCGGCAAAGGCCAAACAAGCTGTCACTGAGGCCGAGCTCATTCGTCTGCAAGACGAAATGGAGGCTGAAAAAGCGCATGCTGAATCTTTGGCCAACTGTCTCGAAGACGAGCGTGAGCAATTGCGCAAGCTTCGCTCAAAGTTTGCTGATGGGGAGACCGGAGCCGATGTACTTCGTCAGCGTGTTACTGAGGAGGAAGGTAGAGTCATCCAACTTTCGGAACAGCTTTCGGATGCGCAGACCCATGCCGCAAGTCTTGATGTCGAGATCATGAGGGTTCAAAAACAACTCAATGATGCGAAGTCGACGGCTGCGTTTGTTGAAGAGCAACTCAGGCAGCGTGGCGTTCGTGCAAAGGAGATTGCACAGCGTTTGTATGCGCAGAACGCACGACTTTTACGTCTCCTCGAGGCCTTGGGCTTCGTCGTTTCTCACAAGGATGGCAACATGATCATCGAACGCGCTTCCAAGGTCACCGCCAGTACCACATTCGATCCAACTTCGAGCTTGACTCGGGCCATATCTATGTCATCACCCCCTCCGACACGCAAAGCATCGGTGGTCCCAGACGATCCTTCATCGCTTACTTTCCTCCACTGGACCGAGGCCAGTAATGCGAAAGATGAAGAATCACAATACGCTGACTACATTGATCACGTCTCGCTCTTCAGTACTGATATCTTCAGCGAAGCCATCAGTAAGCGTCTCCGCGACTTTGAGTACACTGCTCGCAAATGGCAAAAGGAGGCACGCGGCTACAAGGAGAAGAACACACGCCTGCAGGCCGAGTCTTCGGCAAAGATTGCGGTTAGAGACTTCAAGGAAGGCGACCTTGCCTTGTTCTTGCCGACTAAAGGCCAGCGGACTGGCGCATGGGCTGCCTTCAACATCAACGCTCCTCACCACTTCTTGCGCGAGCGTGAAGGTATGGTTCTCAACCGCCGCGAGTGGCTCGTCGCACGTATCTCGAAGATCGAAGAACGTGTGGTCGACTTGTCAAAACCATCTGCCTCATTTGATGGTCGCAGTATTGGTTCAACAAGTGTGGATGCCGCTTCTCTTGACGAAATGAACGATAACCCATTCGATCTTTCCGATGGCTTGACGTGGTATCTAGTCCATGCTTCCGAAGACAAACCCGGCGCTCCCACAACCCCAGGATTGGCCAAAAGCACCGTCGCGAGTTCCTCCGTCGACGCCAAAGGCAGCATACGCGCCATGAAGAAGAAGAGCGATCTCAGCGAAGCAGCAAAGACACTTAACAAGAGTCTAGACAGCCGACGCAGCAGCTCAAACTCGAAAAAGGGGCTCACCGCAGGATTCCTAGGTGAATCGCTCAGAAGGGGTGATAGTGGAAATAATGTTGTAGAAGGGACACTGAGGAGGAAGGGCAGTGATAGAGGGTTGGGGATTGATTCTTCCGCTGCCACGGCTGCTACGTCGCCGCAATTGGAATCATCACAGCTACATCAGCAAGCTCAGGTGCGCAAAGATCTTCTTTGGGGTCCTTGATTTGTGCATTTTACACACCAGCGAAATTACCTTACCCTTACACAGCACTCCTTTTTATCTTACACTTCATTCGCTTTTGCCATCTTTCTCCTCCTCCCCTGCCACCGTTCGTCCACCTTGTTATGCTATCGTGCTTTCATGCTAACACGTCTTCCGTGACAAAGCCCCTCTTCATCTCCCAATCCCAACGCATGACTATGCCGCCGCCTGCCTCGGCTTCGGAACCGCAATCGTTCCGCTCCGCCAGTCCTTCCAAGAGTATTCGATCGCTGGCTCAGCATTTGCAACATCCAGGTCCTGGTTCGCGATCGTTGTCGCCTACTAAAAGCAGAGTTCACTCTTCGCCGAGGAAAAGAGATGATGGTGGTGGAGAGGTGGCAGGAGGGGATGGCAAGGACAAGGATGGCAAGGATAAGGATAAGGATAAGAAGAAGGGGTTGTGGAATCTTTTCAATGCCGAGTATGAAATTTGAGGGTATGATGGAGGTGTGGGTGGATTGATGGAAGTGTAGGATACTTGAAGATGGGAGGTGGAGTGGGATCGAATGTAGGATAGCTCTTTCCCTATGAGAAACACTTGTTCGCCCTGAGCGTTTAGAACTTCTCGGCTGACGACTTGACGATCACTGGAAGTTGCATTGCATCGTTCGTTCCTCCCGACGGTCTCATATGTGTGTGTTGCTCCCGCCTCAAGACTTCTGTCGTCGTCTGTATATGGACTTCTCTTGTTTGTGGTTTTCAGACTGCGAGTCACAATTTACGCGGTGCATTTGGGCATGATGATTGTTCAAAAATACTGCGTCTCTCCACTGCTACAAATGATGCCGAAAAGTGGCGATCCTCCTTGGGTATGATACAATGACCAAAAGCACCCCGAGAAAAAAAAAAGAGAACAAAGCCACCGTCGCAAAACAAGTATGCAACCCCAACCGGACCTTCACATCACGTCCTATTCTGAGTAACTTTGACTTCCACGCTCAACGTCGGTCGAACATCCTGCACACCATACCTCTCAGCGACTTCTTGTCCCGCACATAGGCGTGAATCTCCTCCTCCAAACAACGAACGCCACGGTTGATGTCTCCAACAAGCTTCTCAAGCCCGATATTCTGCACTTCCAGACCCTCGATCAAGCCACCAACGTATTCGTTGAATTTTGCGATGACATCCTGCTGAAGCTCCAACTGATCGTCTCTTTGGGCTTTGATGTTTTGGTTCGAGGAAAAGGTGGCGAGGAGACGGTTCACTGCCAGACGCTCTTGAGTGAAAAGCTCTAGATTGGAGTCGGCGCTTGTCTTGAGGAGGTTTTCGCATTCGGCGATGAGTGAGTGGTTTGATTTGAGTAAATCGCGGAGGGAGAGGCGGAAATCTTCGGTCTGCTTGCTCACGGTGATTTGTTGGTCTGAGGTTCGCTCGCGGAGATCTTTGAGGATGGGAGATGATCCGATAAGTTTGTTCAAGACGGTGATGAGGAGGTGGAATGGGACCATCGAGTTGTGAAGTTGATTTGTGAGGAATTGTGTCTTGTCCAGGGCAATGTGAAGATTGGTTGCTGCATTGCGTTTCTGCGTCTTCAGGTTGAGCAGGCGGTACTTGGCGTATGCTTCCATGTAGCTATCAATTGGGCAGGGGTCTTCGAGACTAGTTGAGTTTTGTGAGGCAGAGACTGTGGTAGGCTTGGTGGATGCGAGTGAAGTGTCGAGTTCGGAGTTGGGGGAGGAGGCCTGTGATCTCAGGCTCTGCTGTTCTTCTTCTTCGTTTTGGTCGACTGGGCGAATGCTCCAGGTTGCCTCTCGCTCTTTTTGTTTCTTCTCGTCAAGGGAAGATTCGTAGATCGTGCTCAACACTTTGTGGCTCAGGCGCAAATGCTGCGGCTTGGAGAGATTGGGAGTTGCTGGTCTTCCATTGTTCAGTGACCGAGTTGAGGACTGGTTTGTTGGTATAGAATCAACGCGCAGTGGGATTCGCTGAGGTCGCGTCAGGATTTTGCTCAATAATGTTACGGTGTCCGGTAAATACTAACACTCGTGGGCTGCTGATTTGTTGCCATTTTTGGTGCGTGTTGGCCCCTGAATCCAGACGGTATCACAAGTGGGCAAAGACGAAGACGTGCAAGCGATGGCCTGTCTGTTGAAAAGATGCGAGGTGAGAGATCGGTGCAAGCTTTCAAAAGACGACGTGCTGTTGACGTGAATCAGAAACAGAAAGACGTGTCAAGCTTTGTTGATATATACAACACGAAAAGATGGGAAATTGAGTCGCCCGGCAACCAGACGACGGGCTCACGACCAGCTCGCGACGATGACATCTCCCAGGAAGACATCAACCCAGGGTAGCAGACTGATGCAACGCAAGATTTGTGCCATCCTCGTGAGTACTGCGAAGGAGATCCGCTTGGTTGTGATATATATGCTGAACAAGAAATTGATTCAGGGGCAACACTTCTTATATATCTACGCGAGTGGTTTTCTGGCTCAGAGAAAACTCTGGTGGACATTCAAGGAAGACACATAGATCTAGAATGAGACAGAATGAAAAGGCAATGGGTCAAAGATGCGAGACAATGGAGACTGGTTGGGTAAGCGACTCTGCGATCGAAAGTTTGAGCCCACTCATCCAACATCCCGATGACTATCCAACTTTCGACATACAAACGATGCAGCTCCGCTCTCTTAAGAAGCAAACACAGACAAGCTAACAACATCTACCATCTGTATCCAAGCAAAGATCTGGCGAAGCTAGTGGAAACAATTTAGTCTACCCAAAAAGCCCTTGCTGCTTAAACTGTCTGTCCTTGGAGGCTCTGTCATCGCTGCCTCTGCTGCTTTAACGTGGCTCTCAAGTTCATTCAGGTGCTTGATCAGTCGATCGTTGAAATTTTCGAGGGCACTAAGAAGGGGTGTGAGACGAACTAAAAAGCAGACAAGGTCTTCGTTCTCTTTCGATAAGTCCTTGTTCTGCAGTGCTTTTATGTTGCTTCCGGACTCATGATACTCCGTGTCGTTTCTGAGATTGACTTGAAACTCGGCAATAAGGGTGTTGTTCGATGTAAGAACGGAGTTGCTGGCATTCACAAGTCGATCTCCTTGTTCGGTAAGGCTGGAGTTCTTCTTAACTACCCGTTGACTGCAACGCTGATGAGGTACTCTATCTTCGGCAATCTCGTTGAGGAACGATAGGGTAAATTCAGCGTTCTTGATATCTCTGATAAGAGATTCGTTTCTCTGGATGATGGTGTTGAGTAATGTGCATGTAGTAGATCGTCGAGCTCTTCTTTCTTCCACGAGATGCTCTAGTTGAGAAACTTTGGGCACAGTGGACAGGAGCTCAGAGATCTCATTCGTGAACTGTGGCTCGGAGAGCAAAGAATTTACTGTTGGACCGGGAACATTCAATGACTCCTCAGGCTCGGAGAACTCAACATTGCGGACTTCTTCTTCGAGCTGCGTGTTTTGAGGAAGTACCATGTCAGTGGCACTATCGTATGAGAATGGCGGGGCTCGAGAGATTGAGTCAGGGTACAGGCGCCTCTTCTGGTATGGTCTGGTGATTGCTTTCGAGTTCTTCACTCTTATGGGAATCTGCTGGGCAATGTCAATATGACGTGCACCAACGAAGTCGGAAGCTGTATATCGGGGTTTCTTACGCTCTTGAAAGACGATCGACTAGCCATTGTCAGCGCTGATTCTGGAGGTTTGGAAACACTGTGACATACCAAACAGTTAGGCGATCATTCTGGCGATATTTATAACACGGAACTTCTATCTACGTGGACGATGAGTGCGGTCTTGTCATGAAACAAATTGAGCGCAAGGAAGACATATGAAGTTCTATTGGATCTCACCTCAAAGCTCTTTTGAGAGATGTCTCTCATTGAGGACGATGTGTGGAACAAAAGGTCCAGAAATAAAATTGACGTCAAATTCGAAACGAAGGAAAGAGCTAAAGTGTGTCTCACAAACTCGTGGCTTCCTCCTCCGACCAAAGCACAAACGCCATGCGAAACAAACGACACTTCCTTGCGACCAACACCTGCGACCATCGGGATCAAACTTATCAACAAGAATTCGAGACCAACGCAGAGAGATAATAAATCTTACAGACAAAGAAAGTAGACTGAGACAAAGACAGTAAAAGATAGCTCAAGCGCCACACGAGAAGATTGACCTCAAATCCGGCGGAAGCACAGCAACTGGCTGGAGAGACTTGCATTCGAGCCCTTCTCGGCTATAGTTGCAACGATATCAGCTCTGAGCTTCTCAACCTGGTTTTCGATGAATCTTTCGTGCATGGAAAGCAAGCCATTGATGTAGTTGAGATTCTCGATGACAGTGCCCACGTTGTGGTTGAAGGTCTTCGAGCTCTCGAACTGTTTGAGAAACCCATCCCCCTTGGAGGCATGGGTGGAGTGTTGAGACATCGTGCTCTCTTTTGCGTGTTTGAAGGCCTTCTCGTGTTCTTCATCGAGTTGCTCCATCGAGGCCGCGTCCAGATAGAATTCGCATTCGTCAATTAGAGCGCTGTTACGCTCCAGGACAAATCGGCTAGCATTTGACAATTGGGATGCCTTCTGGGTGAGAGCTCGGTTTTGGTATTTGGCACGACCGTACAGACTCTGTGCGTGAGGGTCATTCTCTACCATGTCTCTGAGAAGTGAGACAAGGCATTCGTGTCTGGCCTGAGTGATGTTGATCTGGGTGATCTGAACTCCGCTTTCGTTCATGGCGATCTTGAGCTCTGTTGACAGGAACCACTTGGTAAGCCTCTGGTCTTGGGTTTCGAAGTCTCTCCAGGCAGCCTCCTCGTGCGAGACTGTCTCAGTAGAGATCTTCTGTCTTACAAGCAAATCTCTCGCTATGTCCTCATCGTTGGTCACGAAATTGTCCTCGGGAGTCGGAGAAGCAGAGCTTTGAGAAGAGCATTCAGGTGTGAATTCATTCAGGAGATCTGATGTGGTTTCGGATGCGCGCGTTGTGATCTCGAGTTCGGGATCGGGCAGGCTTTCGGTTGGTTTCTTTGGTTGAGGGAGCTGCGGGAGAACTTTGTCGATTGTTGATTCGTACAGATGGTCTGGATATCTGACTCTCGGCATTGTTGTGAGGATAGCATCCGCACTGCTCTGCTTCATGCCTTCCGGTATCGTGATCAGAGTTGAGTGTAAGACGCTCCAATGACGGGGGCTGGGTGGAACAGGACAGCTCGACGTGCGGATAGGAATGCGCTAGAGGTAAAACTTAGAATGAATTTGTGATGAGGTTTGTGACACACTGGTGACTTACGCTTCGAGGTGATGGTGAGGCGGACATGTCAGTGAGCTACTGTCGCGTCATGGAGTCAAGATCTTGGAGAAGGAAACGAGGTCGCGCGATGGTTTGTTGATGATTTGATCAAAGAATTTCTTGGGAGGGGGTGCGAGTAAACAAAAGTTGTTCGAGATCAGAAGTCTGGCAGCATTTGGAGTCTAATTGAGTCTCTTCCCCTATCTTGGACATTTGATAGTCAATCACCATTCTACAATCTCAAGATACTCTTCAATAGCCTGTCAGCATGGAGACTCCACCTACTGAAAGCGCGTGTCAGCTTGCATGCGCTCCGGAGGAACTGATGTTGATATCTTGGTCCGAGCATGAGTGACGGCGCCAAAGCAATTATCAGGATATTGCATGCGGAAGATGTGAGAATGGCGCGTGTTAGATCGTGCCAAGCTCGTGGTATTAAGACTTGTGTGGACTAGCGCCGGGTTGGATTGTATACTGAGTTTGTTGTTGGTTGCGATGGGCTTTTGTTTGTGCCGGTTTGCTATACAGCTCGTAACTCGACACCAGTCCCGTACGACCCTCTCATAACCTAACAAGAAACATACCCACTCCCTAAGACACGATGCTCCTCTCAACAACGATTCCAATAATATGGAGAGATGAGATCAATGCCGCCATTGAGATGCTCAACGATCACGATGCTGAGGGCTGCATTAATGCGCTCCATACCCTGCTACTTAACCCAAGGGTTCCAGAGTACTGGCGCATCCGAGCCTACGTTCTTTGCGGCAAAGCAACTAATGACTGGTACGAAGCGGAGGTAAGAGCATCTCATCAAATAGATTTATCTTTTTTCTGACCATCGAGAAGAATTATCAATATGCGGCGGAGCTCCTCTGGGCTGTTAGTCGTCGTTTGTGGCCCGCTGGATACGACGAGGATTTCGACCAGACCCTGCATACCAACCGCACATTTCTCGACGAGTTCGCCGTAGACTTGGACGCCGAGATGCCAGACGAGCTGAGGGAATTCCGCAAGAACGCCGAGAAGAAGGAGCAAGAGCAGGCTGCGGCCATGAGTGAAGAGAACGACAGCACTGATGAGGAATGGGACGAATCGGCCAATCCAAGTGATGAAGGAGAGGTCGAGATGCAAGATTTTGGCCAAGACAGCCCGCCTGGCGACGTTTCGCCATACGATCCGGAGGCAGTGATGATCGAAGCTGCTGGAGACGAGACCTGGGAGGAAGTGAAGGGAGGAAGCGACGAGGAGTGACTGGAGTGAAGCGGGGCGGCCGGGTGTGAAGTGAACGACGCGATACATAAGCAAACGTCACAAGCAGAGTCGAACTGTACGAGTAGGAGCGAATAACGAATACTTTGCGCTCCTTCCCCTTCATTTAAACACATTCGTTCTCTTCACTTTGTGCTTGTGTGGTCCAATTTGTCGCTCTCAGCCTGGCAAGGCACCCTTACTAAACACACATCAAAAGGCACAATGTTTTTGGCCCTGACGTGAATGTCCGAAGAGATCCACGAAACAACACCGCTCTCAGCGGACAGACACACGATCTTGAAAAACATCTTGCCTTTTGATGAGTAGACCGGGGGCCTTGAAGGGGAGATGGAGTTCGGAACCAGGGTTCCAAGAGAATAATCAGGAGGACACGACAGCCCAGGGATACCAATCATGGACGACACTCTCAGGATCCAGCTTGAGTGCATATCCATGCTGTCAAATTGCAAGTAGCTTTTCAAGTTATGGAAGATGTCCAGTGAGAGCTGAAATCAAATGGTCTCTCTTTGGACAACCGCTCCAGACCCGATTGCTTCTTGCATTTTGATAGCCAGTATGCAAGGGCACTCACGTTCCTGGAGGCCGATGAAGAGACCACGAAAGGCTAGGGCAATTTACCAGGACGACTCCCCTCTCAGGATTCAGCTCGAGTGCATATCAATGCAGTAGAAAGGCAACAAGGTTTTCAGATCTAGCAAAAGGTCCAGTGAGAGTCAAGAGCAGAAGGACTCTCTTTGGACATTTCAGGCAGCCCGAACTATATGTTGCTTGTTGACAGCTGCGATTCAAGGCTAGTCATGGCCGAGGAGATGGTGTAGTAGGTGCTGGTACTACTGGAGGACGAGGCATGAGCTTGTCCACCAGCAAACGGAAGCAGATCGTGATCATGCCAAGGCTCACCTGTCGATCGTACTGTGAGGCTCTATGTACGGTCCGGTATCGCACCCACCAAGCACCACAGAAAGCCCAGCTTTCACATCTTCCGTGGCGCAAACACTCTTGCATTCCGCCAACCACGAACATCAGAGCCCTTGAAGCACAGACCATCCCTTGATCACACCCACCAAGACATCATATACGTGTCAGGTTCGCAAAATTCCATGCAACAGCCACAGAGAGCCCAGCTCTCACATCTTCCGTGGCGCAATTGGCTAGCGCGTTCGACTGTTAGGTCTAGCAATAGACTGGCTATCGAGAGGTTGACAGTTCAAGCCTGTCCGGGAGAGCGTTCTTTTTGCCTTTGCTGAGGAGTGGTGGATGATCTTCTGATTGCTGGTCGAGGTTGAGGAATTTTCGGATTTTTGGAGCTTCGTTTTTTCTCCGCACTGCTTCTTCATCTCACGCACAACGCAAGCACTGTCTTGTGTTGTTCACCTTGCAAATGCTTCTGAAGGAGTACTGAGCAGGTGGTTGTTTTTCTATCAGCGGTGATTGTCGTCGGGCTTGTGCCAGTCCTGGTGGTTTGACGTCAGGATACACATCAAGACCTCATTCCAAGCATAAACTTCGCGCCCTTTGCCTCTCTATTCCCTTTGGCACGCAGTCATGGAAGAGCTCGAACAGTCGGTGTTGTTGTGACCGAGGTCTGCGAATATGCGGCTTCTTTCCAGGGCTCGGATATCGCCAACGCCGAAAACCTGACTGACCTCATGCCTTCGCCCCGCCTTTGGCGAGGTTGCATTCTCCAGCGTGCAGAAAATAGGACTGACGATCTCTACATTGGCACCGTCCAAATACTCTAAAAACACGAATTTATCCGTCTCTACTCGACATCTGCCTTGCTTTCCACGGGAGAATAGACACCGGACTGTATAGTCAACAAGAGGGGTAACTTTACCATTACAACCACTTACAGCAGGAGAGTGCTCGTTTATGGTCTTCTTTTCGCCTAGCATTGCAGGTATAGGGAGATCGTCGAGGGGATGCGTGATGCAGGCATAGATGAGAGTAGATATGATGAGGTAACTGGTAGGTCTTACGGACGCTGCTGGTGAGTATATATTGTGCTCTCCTTTGACCATCGTTTCTCCTTTGCTTTCATCAGTTGAACAAGTCTTACAATGCACATTCCACTGCTTCTCCTACCCGTCTTGGGTGCTCTCACCCAAGCCAGCCCAATCATCTCACGAGCATCGTCATGGCCAAACGCACCCTTCACCACCTCAGGCCGTGACATCAAGAACAATCTCAACGAGACAGTCACCTATGCCGGAGTCAACTGGCCCGGTGCAGCAGACACCATGATCCCCGAAGGCCTCCAATACCAATCCGTCAGCACAATCATGACAAAGATCAAAGACCTCGGCATGAATGTGATCCGCCTAACCTACGCCATCGAAATGATCGACGACATCTATGAAAACGCAGACACAAGTCTCAAAACCGCCTTCATCCAAGCACTAGGCGAAACAAATGGCACAAAGGTTTTGAACCAAGTGCTGATCAGCAACCCTTCATTCACCGAAAACACCACTCGCTTGGAGGTGTTTGACGCCATCGCCGCAGAAGCGTATACCCAACAAATCTACGTCCACCTCGACAACCACGTGTCCAAAGGAATATGGTGCTGCGGCCACGATGACGGAAACGCCTGGTTTGGAGATACCTACTTCAACGTTACGTCCTGGAAGCGCGGTCTAGCTTTCATGGCCTCCCACGCCTCTTCCTGGCCAGCATTCACTTCAATCTCCCTGCGCAATGAACTGCGCACCACCACAAACGGCACAGGCGACAATTGGGTGTCTTGGTACGAAAACATGATCCCAGCCGCCGATGGGATATACGCCGCAAACGACCAACCATTAATCTTCTTCTCCGGTTTGAATTACGACACACAATTGGGCACGATAGTGAATGGCAATGACATCGGCAACGGCACCGCATTCTCCCTACACGATCACGCCTACGCGGACAAAATAATCTGGGAACTGCACAACTATGCAAACAGCGCCACCAGTTGCGGAAGCATCAGAAGCAGTTTGAGAAATCAAGGATACAACGCCATGGAAGGGGGAAATGTGACAAACAAGGCGCCAGTGCTGTTGACGGAATTCGGGTTCGATCAGAATACTGCAAGTCAGAGTGTTTATGCGCAGTGTATCAAGGAGTATTTGACGGGACTGCCTGGAGGTCCTGGTGGTTGGATGCAGTGGGTTATTTCGGGTAGTTATTATATCCGTCAGGGTGAGCAGGATAAGGATGAGACTTGGGGATTGTTGAATCACGATTGGTCTGAGTGGCGCAACCAGACGGCAGCTGACTACACAAAGAGCTTTGTAGATGCTACTCTTGTGTAGAAGCTAGGTATGCTCATAGGAAACAATCACTATCAACACATGTCACAAGACTTGAACCAAATTAGAGATGATTTTGAAGTTGTTTCATTTGATCGACTAGAACATCTACGCAAAGAAATACTTTGAAGCGAAGAAAAAAGTGAAAACGAAAGCTATCTGTGCAAAAAATCCACCTGGAGACCAAGAAAGATCAGTGCAACAAGATGCTTAAGATTGTTGCAGAAGCAAAGGCGACGAAAAAAAGACAGGTCGAGCACCATCTTGTGTCGACATAACAAAGTTGCTGTTTGAGGTATCTGTGAGTTTGAAAAAAGGACGAACAATCCGCGCCGGAACTGGTAAAGGACGAAAAAGGATAGAGGGAAACAGAGCGGTCGAGTAGAAACTCGCACAATGTACTCGGAACACGATGCAACGCCAATCTGTAGTCTAATGCGTCTTGGAGTCGGCAGGTTGTAAAAGACGACTGTTTTTGTTGCTTTTGGGCTCGAAGATTGTGTTGCTTTTGAAGGCGCTCGAGGCGCGAAAAAAGAATGACTCCAGTACTCCATGGTATAAATACCTGCCGTTGCTTCATAAGTCATGATGACATGTGTTATATGTTGCTTGGGTGCGAATCAGCCGCGGCTGAAACCGCCTCTGATGGGTCCTTTCTTCTTGAGAGGAGGGCTCTTTTTGAGAGGGCTGGTAGTGGTCATCGGAGAGTTACGTGCTCCGACGCCCTTTGCCTTCTTCTTTCTTAGAGGTGTGATGGGTGTGTTGGCTGCTGCACGTCGACCAGTTTGCATGGCATTTGTTTCCGACAGAGATGCTCTGAGTGCAGGGTGCGAAGGCAGTGATCCAACGTGTTTGGCGAATTGTTGGTTGCGACGGAAGGATCCAACAACGCCGTGACGGTCGAGATGAGCAAGCAAGTCGAAACCACCGGATTGAGAAGAGGGGTTGTTCGTGACCTGAGAAGAGAAAGATTGAGTGGTAGGAGAGGCGATGTTGTTATCAGACTCGTCGGGCATGTCTTCATCCTCGTCATCGTCGTCAAAGTTCAAGAAACACATGGGATCTTGTTCCTCTTCGGCACCGGCTACAGCAGCATCGTCGTCGTGAATGATGGCTCCGGAAGCAGTGACGTCGACAAAGGGAGTGAATGCTTCCGGAGGACCAATGACTTGATCGGTACGAAGGGCACCGAACGAGTCGAAGAAATCATTCTCGTCGCCAATGCTCATGCCGTCGCTCTCTCCCGAGGGGGTGAGCTGCACAGACTGGCGAGGACTTGTGGTACGACTAGTAGCGCGACTGTTGTTGTTGCTCAGCATGTGCATGCGCTGCCACAGCTGCTTGTCTGCGGCAGACTGAATCTTTGCGGGCCAGAGAGTGCTCTTCTGCGAGACACCGACACCATCGATGGTAAGAACGGGGCGGTGAGGGTCTATCATAAAAGTGCCCATCTTGGGTTGTGTAGGGGTGCGCTTGTTCTTGTTCTTGCGTAGAGGAAGTCTGATGTGAGTCGTGCTTGCGTTGGAGGGGCGGGGTGTGGCGACACTGCTTGGACTTGTAGGGGCAGTCGAGGCTCTCTTGGGTGGCGGAGGCATGGGTTCTTCATCTGTGGTGTCACCATCGTCGGCTTCGCGGAGAACTAAGTGTCAGCTTGGGTGTTATCGTAGACAATCCAACCATCCAAAACCTACATTCATAGCCGCTGGAGCCTGCTGATGAGTCAGAGTCCTCCTCTTCATCTTCCATGAGAAGCATTCTCATCTCATCAGCCTCAAAGTCCCATTCGGAGCCGGCATTACTACTGTCGTCCTGGTACAACTCGTGGTCGTCATCCTTCTCGATCAACCGTCTGAAGCGGGGGTCAAGATGATCTTGCTGGATGAAGAGATCAGGGAAGAAGTCGCTATCGGCATCCGAGTCGGTCTCATCAGACATTTCTGCTCTCTCTTCGAAGCGTACCCGACGCTGATTAGGGACTGTCTGCTCGCTCTCAGTTCTTGTCAGGGGGCTGCCCTCACGGAAGAAGTCGGGAGCAGACATGATCTGATCAGCGTCGAGGAACGACTGCGAGAAAGGGTCATCGGGCAGGATATATTCATCGTTGAACTCGAGGTATGCCAGCTCGGCTTGGTTGCTGTTCTGGCTAGACAGACTAAGTCTTCGGGCCAGAGCGGCATTACTCTCTTCGTCGTCTTCGTCATCGTCGGCCATCAGCTTCTCTTCGGCTTTCCTCATGCTCTTTTCTTCGTCGTCGCTGTTGCTGATCATATCAACACCATCGTAGTCGTCGTCGCTATCGATCGACTCTTCCGGTGGTCTCCAGCCGCTTGCCTGGAGCTCCGACATCTTGCGTTGAAGAGCACCTGACATGTTCATGTTGGTGGCCATGGCAGGTGCAGTTCCGTCTGCGTCTTCCTTACTGCCGCTCTTCTCGCCATCTGCCTCTTCGTCGGCTCCTTCGGTTGATGGTATTGACTTCATGGCGCTTTTTGTTGGTTTTTGCGGACTGCTCTGGGCGGCAGACTCTGTTTTCGTGAATGATGGAGGTGGCATGGCCGGAGCGGGCATGGCGTTCATGTTGACTGAAGCGGCCATTGTATATTGTTGAGTTGAATCAATATGTGATTGGTTTTGTTGTAATGGTGATGTTCGAGCTGGACACGGGTGGGGTGGCCGAGTTCTTGCGGGACTCGTCGTTGTATGTCTCAACGGCTGTTAATCTTGTAGCCGTTTTCTGTATAGAAATGTCGCGGGGTCAATTGTTGGTAGGAGGAGAGCCGGCAAGACTGTGCTTGGGCTACTGAGCGTAGTGGGAGTCTTGTTGAATGTAATTGTAAATCTCGGTAAGAGCTCTTGAGAAGGACCGGTCACCAGAGGGCGCCGAACGAACAGGCGCCCCCTAGCGGTGGATTTAGTGAGCAGCGGCAGCCGGCGACATTGTTATAGACGAGTTGTAGTTGAAGGGTGGGTGGAATAGGTGGTAGTGATGGGCGACTTCTTTGTCTTTGTTGGATGCAGGTATTGCAGAGAAAAGAAGGGAGAAGAGAAAGTGTTTTGACAGCAAGTCGTTGGTTGTAAAGAAGCAGCATCCTCCGTCAGTCCTGCCTTGGCGCCGCGCTAGAGCCACGTTAATGATTCCGCCCGCCTTTTGCATCCGACTTTCTTCAGCCCTTCACTCGCTCTACAAGTCACCCAGCTAGCTATCCCCTCTCTTCATCTCAAGTTCATTCGTCCGTCTCATACACCATCTCTTTCCCTTCTCCATTGCTGCCTTGAGAAAAGAGTCATCGTCTCCGGACTGTCACTCAGCGGCGGCCTCCGTCCGAACGGGCCCTGTTCTGTCGACCAATCGCCAACAGCTTCCTGCACAGTCTTCTATCCGCCCGCGCCTAGCGCATACCTTAACCGCAGATTTGCCCATGCTGTCATTCGTCAAACACCCTCTCACCACCACATAGCAGCCTGTGCGGTCACTTCCCTGAACCAGAGTTTTTCTTTTCCATCTTCTTCCCCAGATAAAAAAGGAATTTCTAGATAGCTGCTAAAGAAAAACATCACCGCCCCACTTGTCAAGTAGATATCTGGCGATGCATCGGACAAGACAGCAAGACAAGTCTCTACATCACCTTTTTGCTTGTCAATCCTCACATGCTCGAGGTAAACACGCAAGCATAGGATCGCCGGCTTGTCATGGCGTCTCGCACTGTATCCTGCGGGTCCATGCAGGAAAACGTTTTCTTTTGCAACTTCTGGCCTGAACATCTCGTGACCTGGTATGGAGACATCGGATCATATCCGAGTTGTTGTGGTCCAACATCGGCTTCATTTCTCGGGGCTTTGACTTCAGCCATGACACGCTTTAACGAGTCTGGCCTTTTCGGCTTGTCGGCATTCGCTTTCTTTTGACAACGTTGGTTAAACCGTTTGACCACGTCTACGTACGAAGCTCTTCAATCGCGTGAGAAGATTGACAGAGCACGCACACCACATGCGGTTGTCCGAGATTAACAGACCGAACATCAGTCATCCACTGCTTCGTATTGTACACTTAGAGGGTGATACGATCCAGATGAAGATAGGCGAAGCGATCCAGCATAAAGCATCGCAAACAGAGTACCTCGCTGTGTGTTGCATAACATTGATATACACTCAGTACTTCGGCACAAACATGACTATTCGACATCATCGGCTTCCAGCATGATTGTACTAGCATGATGCGACAAGCAACGTCCTGGCAAGTCTCATTAGATACGATAATTTGACAAGTCTTCAATTGTACATGATCATGAGTAACCATCAAGGTCGTCGACATGCACCTTCTCGAACGGTGACAGAGGCCTCGAAGTCTCAAGAATCTTCGATGCTTTAGAGTACGTCGAATAGCAAGACACGAAGACTATGCATATGTATCACGATAGACCAATGCAAGATTGCGTGATGCCAATTCATGACTGCTAGGTGTAGCATGTATTCGTAATATTGTACATAACGTCTCCTTCCTTCAAGAGGTGCTTCTTTTTGTTTTCCCAACGCCTTTTGCCGTTTGCCGCAGAGGGGAGAGAAAGGTGCCAATGCCAGTGGTGTGCTGCGCGAAAGTGTAAAATGTCGAAAACTGTACAGGATCCTGAAGAGGAAAAGAGAAGGGTAACAGATGAACGCCGCGCTGCTTTGAAAGTATGCCGAAATAATACAATAGCCTCGAGAGGGTCGAAGTTTATAGATCCAAGGCGGAAATCGAATGGCCTGGCGAAGGCTTGGGTGGGCGTCGGGAAGATGCAGTGTAGGTGTGTCGGAGGAGTGGAGAGTGCGCACTCATTGCTGCCATGACTTCAGCAAAGGTCCAACCTCACGACTATCGGTTCTTGTAAACCTTTGGCTTCCACCCTTCTTGCAATTCTGCTTCTCTCTCTGCTGCCCTCGCTGCCTCACGCACTTCCATCTCAATCCTCTCTCTTGCTCGCAAAACCTTGCTCTGCAGGTAGAAACTGCCTCCCTTCTTCGGGTCGTTTTGGTCGAACAATTTCTTGAAGCGCTCCGTCACTTGTTCCATGTTGGCCTTGCCGCCCTTGGGAGGACCGACGTTCAGAATCTTGCAAGCCTCATCCAATGTCAGACCAGCTCCACCGGTAGCTCCCTTGATTCCAGTGGCGGCTTGGTATTTTTGTGAGGCAGAGGCGTGACGGTATGCTTCGGCGAAGGCGCGGCCAAAGACGCGGGCGCCGGTGACAAAGACTTGAGTTACTATGCGGTGCGCCTGTAATACAAACAAATCAGTGACTGTCACAAGTATGCGCGACAAGAAATACATACCATTATTACTGTGTATGTGACTGTTGGACAATACAGAAGACGGGAGTAGCAAGGCGGCGAGTCGCCAACTTTCTCGACACTTCCGAGCCTCGTCCTTCCGCATCGGCCTTGGCACCGCATCAACCGGGTCACCCCTCAAGCAAGCATCTTGAGCTTGATATGTGCTCCATCTGCCCTCACACTCTTTTGATCACGATGAATAATCCTGTAAACAAGGCTATTGGATTTCTCTATCCTTAAGTAGTGGTATCGGTAGCATGCGAACGCGTGAAGCGGTTGTGATAGCCCCTTTATGAAATCCAGAGGCTTTGCTCAATGACGCTGATCATGGGAGCACAATCTCGTACTCGAGATCTGTCTGAGGATGGAGTGAAAGAGTAAATTCCGCCTCACTCATCCTGACTGAGTACAGCATTATATACTGCTAAAACAATCTCACAAGATTTGACTTGGAGGATATAATCATCTTGAGTTGAGCTCTGCGGTCATAACTGTCCTGCCTCAAGCTTGCCAACCCCCACTCCACCAACCTGCAGGCTTCCGCCTCTCATCATCTCAGCGACTTAAGTTTAATATCGAAATCACGCTTCTAATTGATCGTTGCGCATGTGAAAGCTGCTTTCTCGCTTCAATACATCAAGTGAAGCTGGGTCATTGATGCCTAATTGAGCTCAGCCCATGTTGTGACCCGGCATTCAGGCAACAGCGCAGCTCCCACAGGGCGCATCAAGCAAACATAAAAGAAGAACCAGACCTCTTTGTTCATTACAATGCTGAGAGCCATCATCAACTGGTTTATAATGGCAAACCCAGATAGCAACACATTGAAGGCAGCTGACTTCGCCTCCGACTCGGCACATGAACAGTCACAGTCCTCTCTATTCTCAGTCCTGCCCGGCGAGATTCGAAACCACATCTGGAACTACGCTCTTGCCGATTACCAAGATGAAACTCAACTCTACGACGACGCGACATGCTACAAGCGGCCAGACTATTTGGCACCTAGAAAGACTGACACGGTGTTACTGCGAACATGCAAGCGCATCTACCAAGAAGCTTGGTTTCTACCCTGGACCAATGCCGAGCAGACCTTTTACCTGACATCAGATGATCGACGACCACCAAAAACGACAACTGCGAGAAGAATGCAGCAGACGCTGTTCGCAATTGCCAAGACACAGACCATGCCTGTCATACAGCATGTACGAGTGTTTGCACAGCTGTATATTCTCGAGAATGGTGCAAGACTTCAAGAAATCCTCAATCTGAAGTTCTTCTACCCGAAAGTCATCACAATCACCATCAGACATACCGATTGGTGGTTCTGGGAGAGTGATGATAACCTTCGTCTCGATGCCACATGGGTCGACTTCTGCAGATTCCCGAACAGCCTGACTGAGCTGCGCGTGGCCTTCGAGAGTCTTGAACGCAAGAAAGACCAGATCGATGATGTCGCTAGGCAAGCAGCCCAGAACTGGATCTTCCGCCGTCGAGATGACACCGAACTCTCAGCGGAGAGCTGCCAGCCCGAAATCATGAAATGGAGCGGAAACGCTACCTGGGGTCATCGCCGCTGGGTACGTGACGAGACGGGGCCAAACAAACTGGACTACTACGTCTCGACTGTCACATGGAGACCTGCCAACTCAAAAGTCACTGACAATGCCGAGAGCACTTCCTCTTACGTTGCTGGCAGCAGAAAATTCCCAAACCTGAGCGCAATCGGCTATCCGCAGCTAGCTGACGACATCACCAACGTGCCGATCAGTGTGATACTAAATGCCGATCTCCCTCTTGACGCTCCCACCGAGGATGTACGCCGCCTTCTCGAACAACCATCAGACGCGGAAGACGAAGACTCTGACGATGCAGAAGAAGAGGAAAACGATTCTGGAGATGACGAAAACAACTCCGAGGATGACGATGACGACGACGATGACGATGAGTTTATGGACTTTGAGTCCGACGTGGAACAGACAGAATATCGTTAAAGGTCGGGAGGAATCTTTGACCGACTCATCATCTACGATGCATCAAGACACTACTTCAATCATAGTTAAGCACTCATCTCATACCGTTTCTTCGACATTCAAGTCCAGAGGAGCAAAGCAATAATCTGGAGGTTGGTCTGGGCACAACAATTCGATCGACTGTGAAGCTCCAGGGTATGCTAGGTAAGGAGCACGCCAAGTGCCTGCCGTCCTGCAAGAAGAGCCGGTGCCTGAGTTCCTGCTGATCGCCAAGATTGTCTTGACTGAAATGCTTGTCAAAGGCTTCCGCGATGTGGTTGCAGAATCAGCCTTGGACTGGCAACGCTTGCTTCACTAGCTTTCATACATACATGCTCAACAGTATCTAGCAGGTCGTATCACTCACTTTGCTTTGCTTCGATCAGCTTTGGCCCAATGGGATACCGTTCGTGAGTGCGAGGTCCGTGAAAGAACTTTAGGCTAAACGAAGTCCTCTTTTACGTGCATTTTCTTGCTCGCAGCATGCACCTACAGGTATGAGATCAATAGAGAAGATGCATACTGTGCCGTGGGGCCGTGAACGATCAGTAAGTACAGATACGGTTGCGGGGTGAGCAAGCGGGGAGCCCTGTATACTCATCCGTACTGGTCCGCAAATGCTTTCTTTGTATACCGAGTCTCTATACCCGGTGTGTGTTAACTACTAGCATACAGGCAAATTATAGTGTAGTACTCCGGGTCAATGAGAACATGCAGTCCATCACGAGGCTGGTCAACAGAGAGATGAGGGGTCACCAACATATGTTTGAATGACTGAGGATATAAGAAATGGCCTTGACCACTGACCGAGACTTACCATCCAAGGCTCCCGGCATCTCCAGAGCAAATATTCGATATGTTCTCCTCTCTGTTATCCGTCGTCACCTCAGCATTGCTGGCCACCACTGCTGTGGCATGGCCCAACGTACCCTCAGCTCCATTCGTCCAAAACGCGACCGTCTTCTCTCCCCCAGCCAACTGGCCGAATAAAGGTGGCAGCTATGCCCGCTCCGTCCTCCTCAACCAGAACTGCGAAAAGGGAAATCCTACCATCCTCGCCACCGCCGCCTACCAACCACCAGACGGTCAGTATCTCATCATCCACAAGAGCACAGACTATGGTGCCACTTGGTCGGAGCTCTCCAAGGCATACTTCAATGGCAATGCTAGTTTGTCTGGCGGTATCATTCTTCAGCCTTTCTTGTATGAGCTTGCTCAGCCGTTTGGCAAGTATCAGCCTGGTACGATATTGTTGTCTGCAAATTATATCCCGGGAGACTTTTCTAGTACCAATATTCAGTTGTATGCTAGTACGGACAAGGGGTGAGTATTTCATGAGTCACAAGAGTTTCCGGTCTGACATTTGTGTAGTGCTTCTTGGGAGTATGTCTCCACCGTAGCGGCCGGTGGTCCGCCAAATACAGATAACGGTGCGCCGTGTGTATGGGAGCCCTTCCTTCTGGCCTACAGCAACCAACTCAACGTATACTACTCCGATCAGCGCGATCCCGCATACGGTCAGAAGCTCGCTCATCAATCCAGTGGTGACCTCGTCTCCTGGGGCGATGTCATCAACGATGTTGCCTATGCAAACTACACACAAAGACCCGGCATGATTACCGTAGCACAAATCGGCAATGGAAAGTGGATGTGCTCTTACGAAGTCGGGCTCTGGACAGATCCCGTTACTGGCAGCAACGACAGTGCACCCTATGCTACCCACTACAAGATTGCAGACTCGCCTCTCGATTTTGGCTCAGTCGGCGACAGCATCTTGAAGACTCCTGAGGGTATTTCAAGTGCAGGTCCGTATACCGTTTGGACTCCGGCTGGCGGACCTTCTGGCACAATCGTTGTGAGCGATTCGTCTTACGATCAATTCTTCCTCAACACACAGAACGGCGCTCCTGGCGCGTGGAAGAATGTTAGCAGTCAAGGTCACGGTGTCGGATACACCAGATCCCTGTCGGTGTTGCCAGGGAATGGTGGAAAGACTGTTCAGGTCCTCAATGGTGGCATGTATGGATCGAACATGACTCTGTTCAGTGCCGGTGATTTCATCGTTCCTGGACCGGCTGGCCATGGCCCTGGTGCTTCTGGCTTCCCCGCCTGCAATCATAACAGCGGCGGATACGGTGTGTATTGTGTATCGTTCTCTGTACAAGAAACATGCTAACGCTTTCCTCACAGGCCACGGTTGGGGATGGGGAAGCCCGTGGTGGTAAGTCATCTAAGGCATGCTCGAGCAATGCTTCCTTCCTGGAACAGCAGATAGTTGACTTGGGAAGGTCGAGAGATGATGTTGACGGAGCGTGAATTGATGCCAAGCCCATTGTGCGTGCGCCAAGAATGAATTCAACCTGAAATATCTTGACTTCATCCTATACCGTCCACCTCCTCCGTTGTAGAAACGCTGTGAAGCTCGTCATATCATCAATATATACATACAATTCGTTTAGTGACTGCTCCGGCGGAATGATGTCGTCAATATCTCTTCCCCAGCCACCGCCTCGGGCCGCAGAATCAGCCGAACCACGCCTTGATGGCTAATGTGGTCCTTGGCGAATATGCAACATCACTGTCGGTACGGAATATTTTGCAGATCATGTCAGTCGATTTTTCGACGATCCAACATCCCCGTGGGGCAACCGCAGTGGAGTTTGCGGAGACCACGCGAGCATACCGAGGTTCGTACAGTGTTCCTCCCGCCGGACATCTCATTCGTACGAGAGATCTTCGACTTGGCATCTGGGAAGCCCTACTTTGTGTTCTGCTGCGGACGTGGACCAAGCAATCGTTCAACCGAGCATGATGTTGTACGTTAGAGAGAGAAATGCTTGTCTGTGTTTATTGAAAAGGTATAAAGAAAGGTAGGGACCATTGCAAGTAAGAAATCATCAACCCAGGATTCATCCACTATCATCGCAATCAGCCAATCTCTCGAACCACTCTCCATCATGTTCTTCTCAAAGCTGGGACTTTTGGTCCTCAGTGGTGCATCTGCTGTTCTCGGTGCTTCCTACTCCAACCCTCTGGAGCCCAAGGACGGCGGTGATCCTTCCATCGTCTGGTACGATGGCTACTGGTACTTTACTGCAACCAACTACCGCGACATCAGCGTCAGACGCGCAACAACGCTCGATGGACTCAAGACTGCTCTGCCAAAGACAGTATGGGCACCTAGTGCAGAATTCCCTACTCGCCAATGCAACATCTGGGCACCAGAGCTGCACATCGTAGACGGACAGTAAGCTATACACCAGACTCAGAAACGACATGTCAAACCTTCCGCTAACACAACACCAGATGGCACATCTACTTCTCTGCCGGTGGCTGTGGCGATGGCTCGATCCAACAATCCCAAATCCTTCGCGGTGGCGAGTCTCCCTGGGACAATTTCGACTTTCACGGCACTGTCAACGCACCCGCCTGGTCAATCGACGGCACACCCCTAACCATAAACGGTCAAAACTACTTCGTCTACTCCTGCTTCCGCTCCGACACTGGCGAAAACCTACAATCCCTCTGCATCGGCAAAAACAGCGATATTCTCACCATCGGCGAAGAACACCTCCTCGCCTCCCCCACCGAAGCCTGGGAACGCAATGGCCAAATGCCTGTAAACGAAGGTCCGTTCGCCCTTTACAACAACAACCGCACATTCCTCTCCTACTCCGGCTCTTTCTGCTGGGACCCTTCATATTCGCTCGGATTACTCGAATATGTAGGCGGTGACCCATTGGAGCCAAGTAGTTGGGTAAAAACTGGTCCGCATTTCAGCCAGGCGAATGGCATGTATAGTACTGGACATAACAGCTTCTTCGCCAGTCCTGATGGTACGGAGACATGGATGGCTTATCATTCTTCTCCTAACCCTGCTGGCAGTTGTGGAGATAGGTATTCGAATGCGAAGAAGATTGATTTCGAGGCTGATGGATTTCCGATCCTTGGCGCTCCTGTTGCTGAAGGAGAGGTTTTGGCTGGTCCTGCTGGTGAGCCGGCTGCTTAGGTGGTCCAGATGGAATACACGAAAAGCAATAGTTTATGATGTACTGATGACAATGAAAATGTCCCTGTTCTAAAGATTACGCATTGCTTGCAGGTGCTTCCACCGATAGAGAAGTTTCTGACGAACCGTGTGTACTCTTGTACTGGAAAGCTAACGTTGATCCGGACCTGACCATCTCCTCATCTACGACCCTCAACTCAAACGTATCCTCACACCTCAGCATTACAGGCGGTATATCCTTTCTAAACAACTCTTTCTTAACCCTTCCATCTTCCTGATCACAGATATTTTCCTTCCTCCCTTCACACCACCACATAGCCTTTTCCCGGAAACTGACACGATATGTACCATCTTCCAATCCAACAACAATACCACCAAGATCCACATGTCTAATCAACGGCTGTGCAGGCTCAAGGGTAATCAAATCCTGCATTCTGGGCCGAGGATCCACTCTTCCGGATGTGAGACCTATGCAGCCAGTGCGACGCTTTCCATCACCTAGAACGATCTCATCGGTTGCTGTATTTGTGACCAAGCACCCGAGATACAGGACTGGTGTTTCTGTTTCCAAGGGTCGGTGAGAAGGGGTCATTTGTGAATTCTCTGGGCCAAAAAGACCTTGAGGTTCGAGGAAACGTTGGCGGCCTTGTACTTGAATGCTAAGAGGAAGTGGTCCGGTGTTTGTCATGGAGATTTCGAGTAATTCAACCGCGGTCTCTGTAGCTGGTATGATGCGCATGTGTGTTCTGACTTCTGGTGGCCATGGTAGAGAATCCACTACTGTGAAGGCAGCATGACCGGCAGAGGGTTTACTATTGAGCAATTTTGCTGGCTCTGATGATTGTGAGATCTGTTCTTCGCTCAGAGGGAGTTGAGGTTCATCGACATAGGTCCACCATTTGATGCCTATATCCCTGCTAGCGAGCTTGATACTATACTCCTTGCCTGGCTGCAGCAAAGAAGCAAGCTCGCTATCTGCATCGATGCGATACTCGAAGATCGTGAAACATTCTTTGTAGTGTTTCGTCCTTCCCATAGGCGATGGAAGCGTAACGAAACGCGTCGCGGAAGGCGACGTCGATATATTTGCATCCTTCAATCCCTGCTTATCGCTGCGAAGTGTGCTGATACCATGTGATTTGAGTAACTCGTTAGCTAGTGCATAAGGCACATCCAAGACCGAGCCAGAGATATCGACAACTAAAGCTCTAGGGTCAATGTCATCTGACGAATTACGACAGAGGCCAAAGATTATCGAAAATGGGAGTTCCCCACAAGCATCGAAGATTGAATATCGACTTTGAATCAGAGTGTGTATCATGAGTGCATCCATGGCTGCTGAAATCTCCCTGTGGAAACTGCTGCACGAGGAAAGTCGATATAGGAAGGTAGGAGCAACGCAGCTCAGCTGAATGGATGACTCAGTGGGTCAGATGCTGTTCATTGGTTAATTGTAAACGCCATGTCACAAAGCAGCTGATTGAAAGTTTCCGCTGGGCGAAACACAGAACAGGACACACACTACAGAGCACTGTAGATCGACCTTGCTTAGGCATACAAAGCACAGGATATAGATTCTTTGCATCACATCACCCTGCCATTGGATTGCGGAGCAGGGCCACGCGAGGTACGAGCGTCCTTACCTCGGAGACCCAGACTGTCTAGCTGACATTCATCCGCAAGCGTGGTCAAATTGTCGCAGAGATATGTTGCCTTCAAACTCGATAATTCTCAAGTCTGGACAGAGCTGCGAGATGGACTTTGATAGAAAGTCTAGGAACCACTTGACCACCTGCATCAAGAGATAACTCCTCTAGGCTCGTGAGTCCAGAGAACGTGTCTGCCGGAAATGGCGCAAACAGTAACCCTGTGGTAATGTAAGCAAGAAAATCTTCGGGGTCGATGCAAGGCAACTTTGGACTTTGCTATGGTGCTCAGCAAGCACTCCACCATCCTCGACCGTGGAGATCAAAACTTCGCTTCTCGACGAATCTGCCGCACCAACTGAAAAGGTTGAGATGTTGGCTCTAGGCCTACAGTATACCGCAGAACTGGTAGGCTAACATAAGTCCAACACTGTTTTATATTATGCGGCAACAAAATGTGGAAATCAGAAGGCCACACCGCCAGCAACCGTGCTCAAATCCTTCGACTCGGCCGCCTGGAACGCAAACCATCTGTATACCACAAGTTTCCCGATTTTCTCCTCTCTTCTCTTTCCACATCAGATCACGAGTTCACATTCCTATCATGGTTGGCAGATATACTCTTGTGGGCTGCTGCGTAGCAGCTTTGTCTGCCATGACTTATGCTCAAGACGATGTCCAACTGCCCCCAACCATCTGGGACCGCGTGGACCTACCGTTCACCTTCACCGACTGCGCTGCACCGACCGAGATGGAAACGTGTTGGAAAGCACAAAACTTCACCGCCGAAGATGATCTGGATGTCCAATCTTTGGGGTTGCAGAACAGGATCGACTGTGCCCTTACAAACTGCTGGAACAGGGTATGACAAGATATACCAAAACAATATCCTCCACCACACAACTGACGTCAGTATAGGTCTATTCATGCGATTACCAACAACTACTGCTCTCCTATAATACCACGTGCTCTTTGATGTTCCCGCTCCGAACCGAACCCGCTCCGAACCTGCCGTTTTGGCCAGCTCCTACAGATGCAGCTGATTCATGCAGCTGTAACCTCAACAAGCTGAACGACAACTTGCCCGACAACAACGCCTACTCAATCTGTATGGAACAAGTACAATTTGAGCGTGGCGATCCGGACGATCTTGAAGAGCGACCAACTCCTGATTGCGATTGTTGCCTCTACGGTGCTTATGCGGCTGGGTGAGTAATTGAATCTATCATTGTGTGTGTATTGCCTACCTTTACTGACCGTATCTACCAATAGCGCCTGGGATACTTGCAAAGATCAAGACCCTGGTTATATCATTCTAAACTACGTCAAAGAGGCTTTCATCGATGGCAATAACAATAGTCTGGCGCAATGTGTCTCCCGGCTCCAGAATTTCAGTTGCGTGGATTATGGGTTCAGCATATATGGTGTAAATGCTTCTGATTATGCAAGACCTACTCCGTTGCACTCGGCTACTGGTGTTTGGAGTGATACTAATGGTATTCTGACTACTCCTGTCAGCGGCGCGACTTATACTTGGACTGCGTGGAATGCGACGTTTACTATCACCGCTGCTTCAGTGGAGGCGGTGGCTACTAGGAGTGCCAGTACTACTGGAGAGACCAGTGGTAGTGCGAATGGCAGTGTGACTCGAAAGGGCACCGGTAGCGTTACTGGCAGTGTGACCGGGACTGGAACTGGCGCTTCATCCATGAGTACTGGTGCTGCTCCTACATTGATGGCTGCACAGCATCCTGCAGCTGCTCTCATGGGACTCGGTGGTCTCGCATTTGCTCTCTTGTGATCATGAGGAATGAGAAGCATAAATATCACACAGGCAGTGTGCCTCTAAACAAAAATCTACCAAAACCTCCATCATAGAACCATAGAACCATATAACCATAAAAAGCAAAGGAATTCCCATGTTAAACCGCATCACATAACGATCACAAATTGAAAAACTCGTTCTGTCAGCATCACTCAACAGAAGAAAAAATGATTGTGGAGAGAAAGAATAATATTGAGAATTGTTGCTCAAGGCAATTCTACAAGTATCCCAATCCTTCACCAGCGATAATTTCCAAATCGCTTCTCATACCCCAGACTTCTGCACCGGCTCTTCCAAGTACCTCAAGTCTTTTACCAGCACCAAGCTCGTAAATCCTGGTAATCAGGTCTCCGTCGACAATGCCTCTAGCACCAAGACCTTCGCTCTCGACCGCACGATAGGCCCGAGGGTTTAGACCAGCCGAATGTTCAAGAATACTAGAAAGCGTTGCTTGCAGTGCTGAAAGGCGACGGTAGGTTGCCTCGTCGAGAGGTGTGAGTAGTGCAATACTTCCAGTTTGTGTTGTGATAAGAATGTGATTGAGACTAGGTGTCTTGGAGGGCTCTGTATCATCGTCTGCCATCTCCTCATCGGGATTCTGTTCGGCGAATGGAGATAAAGTGGAAGGTAGTAATGTCATCGAGGTCGGCATGTGACCAACATGGAAGGTGCTTCTATGCAGTAGACGTTGACCTGACAGGGATTTGGGGTCTACAAGAGTTAGTGTGAGGACAGTAAAGAAATCTAGAGATACGCACGCTCGGGGTCGTATTGCAGTACGTGCATGTCGAGGTCCGCATCAATGATAAGGATGTACAGCTGACCCTCGAAAGGCAAAAACTCAGCCGAAACGACTTCCATCTGAGATCGAGACTTGCCGAAAAGCGAAAGCTTGTAAGGCTCCTCCTGCGGGAATGTCAGTAGTGTTCGTCACATGTGGCACCTATAAATGCTTACTCCGAATCCACCGAACCAGAGGCCCTTCCAGGCATCAGCAGCAATCCAGAGCTTGCTACTTGCCAGCGTCTTCAACGATGTCATGTAACATTGTGCGTCGAGGAAGGCAACAGGTAGACACGATCCATCCTCTCTCAGTCCACGAATCATGAGTTTCTGTCCTTGAGCAGTACCAACAAGACCAGCAATACCCATCAAGGCCGTGATGCCGCTCTTAGTCTCTTCCCTGCCAAAGACACGGAACTTCTTCCCTGTCTCTGGTTGGCCAGGCTCTGGTACAACATCGATAATCTCGAGTGTGTAGATACAGCCCTTCGCGGCGTAGTTCTCTGCTCTTTGTGAGATAGTTCCCAACGCAACCAATAGCTTGTGGTGATGTGTGATTTCGGAGACTTCCAGAGACATGACTTCCATCGACGTGACAAGTTCGTAAGGTGGAATATCGTAAGTGTCAATGATACGGTCAGCCTTTGCATCGTAGAGATGGACGCGGAACTGCAGTGTTTTTGGTCGAAGTGTGATTTCTAGGAAACTGAGGTCAGTCTTTTTTCTCTTTGGAAAGTATCAGGACAATCATACCCTCATCTGCCGCTGGGTGCCTAGGATCATCCTCGGGAGGATGGAAGTCGATCTCTTCTTGCGTTGTGACAATATAGATATCGCGCTCAGAATGATAGGCAATCTTCTGCACTTCGACGTGTTCGGAGAATGGTGAGAACTTGCGAACAGACCAACCATTGGATGCGAAACTTGTACCTGAGGGAATTTGACCCTCGCGTATCGTACCCTGATGTCGTGTTAATAGTTTATCACCAAGGCACCGCTTGCAGCAACTTACAGTAGTGTCAACCCAAGCAAACCCAGCTTCGCATTCCCGGCTATTGAGACCGCAGAGCCCACGAACACCCTTTCCTCGTAAACTGACAATGCGTGGCAGAGTTGAAGCATCTTTTACGACAAAGCTTGGCGAACCACCCGCCATGAAAACGGTAGAGTACCCACCAACATTGGGGAGTAGTCTTAAAGCGGCAGGGTTCTGAAGCGACGAGTCTTCGCTGAACTTGGGCATGTGTAGCCCAGGCACTTTGCGGAATCGCAAGTTTGTGGTGAATGATGAAGATGTGGAGGGAGCCGTAGGATGGTGGAATGGCTCATAGATTATGAGATCGTCGGCAGCTGAACGTAGCTAGAGGACTCGGGTCAGCAATTGCACCATGAAACCCCACGATTCAGACTCACAATAAGGTAAGGCGATTTAGTCGTTTCGTCACCCAGATCCGCGAAGACTAGCTCGGTCAGAGTCTCCTTGCCGGCAGCGCGACGAGGCGCGCTCTCGTTTGAGACCACTGGTGACAAGACGGAGAGATTGGAAGCCTCGTACACGGGCCGTTCGAGATTTGGAAGCTCGAAGACCTAGATGCAGCGTCAGTTGATTGTCTTCAGGGTATCTGAAGATGGAACAAGACTCACAGCGAGGCCTCCTTCCGCATTGAGCATAAATGCTAATGCTTTGTCGCCTGTCATCTCGGACTTGTACACACTGCCCGACAACCACTTCGAAGCCAATGCAGCATCACCGCGCTCTAGTTCATCGAGATCGCCGCTCTTGTCTACTTGGAGGATCTGCATACTCGAGTCTTCCCTGAGTAGTAGAAGGTACGGGTCGCAGAAGGATGAGTGTATGACCGTAAGCTCTGCATCGGTCTCCTCATCAATGATGGGGTATATTTGGGAAAGGCCAAGGTCTGGAAGTAACGTGGTTAGTTACACGATTCGAGATTATACGGTTACAGTGACAGCGGCAAGCAGTGGGAAGATGGAAGATTTGTATTGGAAAGGCTATAGTACACATGGTGGCATATATGACATCCTCGGCGTTGACATCCATGCATGACTCTGTATCTGGAGTGATCCGTGACGTCGTCGCCTCTAGATGAGATAGTCTCGAAACAGTGCTGAAGGATTGAGAGGGGGAGGGCATTTGGGGATATGCACAATATGCTGGGAACGCTGGGGAGAAGATTTTGAAACTTACCTGCATCATAACTCCTGACTTCATGCTTTCTCACCTGGACGATTCTTGTACCAGAAGCCAGGATGCCCACATCCAAGGTCTCACCTTCACCCTCGAACTCGGTTCCAGTCACCTCAGTATAGCTCGCACTGCTGTCACCAATTTTGGAGTCGGTGACTTCGTTGTCGATCTTGAATACCTTTGAACTTCCTTCACCGTCGTCATCAACATGGCAGGTGATGAGATATTGGTCGTACAGCGCGTCGGACGATAGCTGTACTTCAAGAGTCTGTGTACCGTCTGTGGGCTTCGGCAATCCACGTGGGGCCGCCTGCTTCGCACATGCGGTCCAGACTGCTTGGGCTTGGGGTACGTCTACGGACCGAAGGGGGCTGGGGGTTAGTTCACGATTGATGAATGCAAGCTTTGATGCGCGCTCTCGGCCAACGCTCGCAAGCAAAGATAGTTGTGGTTCGAGATCATTCTCCGAAGGATGATCAGTAGCATACTTTCCAAGACATACGTTCTTGATGGGACCCATGCTGAACAAGTTGTCATGTATCCTGAAGAAGTAGCTGTCCGGACCACTAGAGTCCGCATTCTGAGAAGTGGCCTGCTTGACAACGGGGGCTTCATCTGCGTATAGATCGTCGTCTGCGTCATCATCGAGGTCTTCTTCGTCAAGCGAAAGTTCTGCGTCCTCGGCAATCATCTGAGCATGGCTTCGCTTACGCGAGGATTGAGTAGTTTTCTTGGACCAGCCAATCAAAGTAGAATCACCATCCTCGCTGCCCAAGAAGAGTCTACCACGTCCCAGGGAGGCAGCGCAATTTGCAGCAGTCTTCAGCTGATGACCGCCATGAGCAGAGTCCACCAGATGAACAGCTAGGCCAGATACTGAACGACCGTCGATGCGGAAAGACAAGACGGCCAAGCGACCAGTGTTCAAAACGATCAGCATATTGCCGTTGGTATGGTCCAAATTCTCAACAACACAGTCCTCTAGGCGCAGGCCGAGGTCGGACTGATCGGCCATGGCGAAGTTCGAGCTGAGCTTGGCAAACTCATTGACAGCAACAGCATTTGTTTTTCCGGCTTGATCTACGTGGACCAACTCGTTTGCGCCCACCAGAAGAGCACCGCCAACAGGCAAGGGGAGAGGAACTACGCGGAAGATGTCGAAAGGAAGACCTGTGACGGAAAGTAGAGTTGTAGAAGCGCGTTGATCCAGATCAAGGGTGAAGACTGTGTAGTTCAGAATGTCCTTGCGCTCATCGAGCAAGCCGTGGCTGGGAGCCTTGTTGGACGAAACGATGCCGAATGTAGGTTCTCTGTATTCGTGCAAGAAGGCCAGATGGACGGGGTGGGTGAGAGCTGGGTCGAGAGCAGTCAAGGGTAGGACGAAAGAGGCCGAATAGGGTGTTTCTGCTTGAGCTTCTGTGCCAGCAGCAGGAGCCTTTGTTGGCGGAGGTGTATCGAGATCATCTTCGTCGGCCAGATCATCAGCGGATTGGCGGAACGGGATGATTGCAAGGTGCTTGGTGCCGAACTTGAGAGCGGCGCACCTGCTTCGCGGATCAACGCTAAGATAGCTGGGGGTATCGGCAAGGGAGGGCCCAAATGGCAGTGTGTTTGTTGTCTCGCGTTCGTAGTAATGGATGGACAGAGTCGAGATACGGTGATTGAGAGGGTCCCATTCGACCAAACTGATCTTTGCGTCCTGGGTAGAAACGAGCAATGCATCCGCGCCAGTCTTTGTGTTCAAGGCCTTGACCCGCTGTAGTGAAGTGATGGTTCCTGACACGGGGTATTCGCCGAGCAGGACCAGCTTGGATGTGTTTTCGAGACGATGGACACTCTCGGGGCCTTCGGTAGCGATTGCGTCGGCATTGCCGAGTGATGAAGGTTTGGTATCGGTCGCGATGGTCTTCAGGGCAAACACCTGTAGTAATGAAGTCTTTGCAACGACCAGGTTAGTTGCGCCCGGGGCGATGAATGGTAAGGCGACGGCGTTCGACACGGCAGTCGGAGCCACGAGTTCGGTATAGCATTGCATTATGTGTCGTCGCGCATTGCTTGGTTGCAATGTTGGAGATGGAAAGTGCACAGGAAGCTCACTTGGCTCACCACCGAGACGCGGAGCTGCCTGCCGAAGTTCTTCCTGCCATATCAGCGCACGGGCACTTGAATGGCTTAGCATGACGTCCGTCTGCCGCTGCGGAGGTGGACAATCAAGGAAGGAACCTTTGACTTGCGAAGCTACTCTGCCTGCCGTTTGGAGCTCTCCCGAGTCCCCCTCTTCTTGTAACCTTGCAATGCGCCGTGTGTGAACGAGCGCTGCTTTTCTATAATCATACCGCCATTGCCAGAGGAAGCTTTTGTATAGCTCCTGCCTGTCAACCGTCATGGCACTCATCCAGACCTCCCTCATCTGGGTCGCATACGCTGTCGCGCTTGCCATCTTGCTCGTTATCGCGTCAATCTTTGTCTACCTCTACCAGGCTCCCCGCGAACGCTCCGCCGTCGTCTCTATTGTCTGCATCGTCACTGTCTTGTCCCTCCTGGCCACCGTCCTGTTGCTACCCGTCGATGTAGCGCTCGTATCTTCGACCACTTCCTCCAAACTCGGCAGAAAGAAAGATTGGGCCACTCCGGATGCCGTCGACAACATCCTGTTCCAGCTCAAGATCGTCTACTACACCCTGTACAGCTTGGATGCCGTCTTGTGCTTGATCGTTGTTCCCTTCACTTACTTCTGGTACGAGGAGCGTGATGACGTTGCCGCAGAGGAGGGCTCTCAAACTGCTGGCAGCCGTCTCTGGGGTGCCTTCAAATACACCATTGGCTTCATTCTTTTCGTTGTCATCATCTTCCTGGTAGGCTTCTTCGTACCCGTTGCAAAGAACAGACCCCAGAAGCACCTCGACCTGGACTTCTTCAAGGACTTGTTGGCCGAGAACCGTAAGTTTGTACCCCCACCTCACACATGGCATGTCACTGACTCTGTACAGATGGAGAGCGTGCTCTGACATTCTGTGTCGGCCTTCTCTTGACTCTCGGAACGCTCCTGTACTGCCTGTACACAGCTCCTGGACTGGCGCTTCTTCCTCTTACCCTGATCAAGACTGCACCTCGCATCTCAGCTCCTACTTTGGCTGCCAACACCTCTTCTCAACTCACTCAAAACCGCGAGCGTCAACGACAGCTTGAGAACCGTGACGAAGGCCGCGACAGTGGTCTCGATACACGTGATCGTCGTGAACTCGAAGCTCTCATCCGCGAGGAACGTACTCTTGTTCGCCGCGAACGTCTGGCTGCTGAAGATATGGGCGAAGGTCAGAACTGGTTCATTCGTGTCTGGCTCAAGACCGAGGCTGTCTTCAGACCCTTGAAGCTTCTTGGCGGTCTTTTGCTCATCGTCATCATTCTCGTCATCTGGGCGAGCATGTTGGCTACTGGTGTCGACAAGATCAAGAACTCGGTATGCAAGACCGGTTGCGGCTACTTGCTTGGTCACAACAAGATCTTCCAGCCCGTCAACTGGTTGTTCGTTGTCACTTCAAAGGTCTTCCCCATCGACTATGTCATCTTCCTCCTCTTGACCATCCTCTTCTTCGCCGCTTCGGTTGTCGGTGTCGCTACCATTGGTATTCGCTTCTTGTGGGTCACTCTGTTCCGCATCCGCAAGGGTCACACCGCTCCCCAGGCTCTCCTCATGGGAACTGTCTTGCTCACTTTGATCGTCTTCGCCATCAACTATGCCGTTGCTATGATGGTCGCCCCTCAATATGCCACTTTCGGTCCCCAGACCTACTGTGACAGACCCACTCACCATCCCGATCAACAGCCCGACTGTAGCAACCACCACAAGGCTATCCGTTCTTGCCGCGAAGCCGCCGACAACCCTGTCGCTCGCATGGTCTGCACACCCTCCGTCGTTAGCTCCTTCTTGAACCGCATCACCATAAATTTCCCCTTCTTCGGCATTATCGACTTTTGGGCTCAATTCGCTTTCCTCGGCATCTTCTTCATTGTCTTTGTCGTCATGCTGTTCCGCACTCCTCGTCTTGATGAGGAGCAGCTGGATGATGATCTTGCAGAGGAAGAGGAGGAAGGTCTTCTCGCCAGCACAGGCCGCCGCTTTGGTGCCACATGGTCCGACATCACTGGACGTGCCACTGGTGTGAAGCGTGTCGGTGCTGACTATGGTACCCAGGGAGCACCATCAGACGAGTGATTTAATGTGTAATGTATCATCTACTGCTAGTTTTCCATCTCATGCGTCTGTCTTCCTTGTTTATATGATTTTTTTGCGTGCTTTTGGTTGGATTGGTCTGATCTGGTGTGGTCTTTGCGTAGTTACTTGGGAGCTTCATGACAACCTGGGTCAAGAATATCGGAATCACAGAAGCACTTCACCTTGTCCACTTTGAAAGAGGCTATTATCAATGCAATCTTTCCTCACTTTCTTCCATCGCATTCCAGTCTTGACGTTCACATATGGCCGGCATGAACACTACAACCAGTCCGACCATTACTGCCTCTCCGTATGCTAAACTTTGTTACGCGTACAACTATACAACAGCACAATTTCAGCATTGTTAGGGGTAGCCTCCACTGAGAGCGTGGTAGTTAGCGCCTCTCTGCGGACGATTATACCCAGCAACGAAAACATGTCACGTAATGAGGAGATATCTGAACTCGGTGGAAGTGTTTGGCCTTGCTACTTACTGTCGCTACATCCTGTTCCGACCAATCTGATAGCATCCTTGCCACTACAGTTGGTAACAGCAGCACGTGTAGTCAACATTCGTATCGCTAACAAGTGAATCACTCCTCCTCCTGCTCCTCCTCCTCTTCCTCCAATGCATCAGGGTCTGTGGTGTTATTGGTCAGTGTCCAGGGCGACTTTCCGTCGGCCCTCTTGACACTAGCGATGATGCTGTTGTCGGGCCCCCTAATGTCATAGAGGTTGGGCGAGTCTGTAGAGAAGACCGCGATAGTTCTGCTCATGACGTTCTGACCTGGTTGAGAAGCAGCATCAGACAGCATAAGGCGACCAGTTCGGGAGGGATAGTACAAGCGAACTGTACCTTCCTCATCGCGCTCTTGAAGAACAATGTTGTTCATGGCGTGGTCTGCGTTGACGAGGTTGCTCAATTCGTCACGCTGTTCGCTGAAAGGACGGTGAATTGCACGCACAGAGGCGCCCTGGCTGTTGTCACCATCATCGCTGGCTTCACCTTTGCCATCTCGCTCACCGCCCTCGCCGCCGTCTCCATCGCCCTCGCTGCCATAATCGTTGTCGTCGTTGCTCTCGATGTCTTGCAGCGGGATTTCGTTGCCGTTCACGTCTATGACACCGGTCTCACGGATGCATGCAAGAATCTGGTCGTTGGCGCAGTCGCGGAACACGTTGTCCTTGTGAGGCAGACCACAGATCATCTTGTTGGTTTGATCGATTTGAGCTCCCAATGACTGTTGGTAAAGACCGTGTTCCGGAGGCACAAGACTCTGGATGCGTGCTTGAAGACCGACTCTGGTGAGCTCAGTGACTTGCTCATCATGAGGGGTGAATACAAGTTGAAGAAGTGGGAACTCTGCAAGCCTCTGGCTCGCAACTTTGTAGCCGTCGTCTTGAACAGAGAAAGCGTTACCTACTGTGTCGTCAGCGGTGTCAGAGATGAGTCCACTGTCCGCCTCAAGACGGCCCACAATAGCTCCATCCTCGGTGACAAAGTCACCAGAAGTGGTTGCAAAACCGACTTGGTCATCGTCCTTGATGAGGATGACATCGTACAACGGACTGTTTTTATCGACCATTGATGGAATCTGGATATGGTACACCATCTTGGCAATGATGCACGGTCCGGAGTACTGCTTGGGTTGAGGTAAGAACTTTCCACCCAAAGGATAGAGACTGCCATCATCGCCAAATTTGCCAACGATAATACCATCCGTGGTGCGGAAGTTGCCATCGTTGTGAGCGTAACCAGTCTTTCCATTCACAACCTGAGTTTGACCATAGAAGATTGAAGTCTTGCCGACGATCCGATATCCTCGTAGGCAGCGTCCTGGAGGCTGAATTGGAGAGGGCTGAAAGTGCTGCCGGAACGAGGAGCGGTAGGAAGGGGTAGCATACCCTCGTCATCTGCGTTTGCGTCCTCGGTCATCTTTGTAGTAGGCCCTCTCACCACTTCGCTGTTGTAATCAACATCGGAAGCATCGGCCAGAGTTTGGTCGGTGTCAGATGACAAGTTGATGTTAGGGTCATACAACTCGGAAGTTACAACACTTCGGCGGAAGATATCGCGTAGTTGAGAATAAAACTTCTTATCGAGGTCGAGCTTTGTCCAATTCTCGAGCCAAGTCTCCATACGGATGTTGTTCTCTTCGTCAACGCGCTGACTGACGTCGGACGGTTCCTCCGGCCAGCCTGAAAGCATCTGTCGTCTATGATGTTTGTGGGCGACAGATAGACGTAGAGGGTGCTTCATCCTCAATGCCTTCGGCAAGTGAAGCAGATGAGTTTCAGGCTCCTGAGAATCGCCCCCAATGCAGGCATGGTTGACACATGCAGAACGAAGCATTTCGGCGTAAAGAGCACATGTAGAATCCTCAGTTGCATGTTTGCGGTTGCATAAGATTGTCCTTCGGGTGAGTCTCTCGCGACAGAAAACGGCAACAGAGTTCTTGTTGTAGCCACGCTGTATGGATCCATTGCTCCTGCCTTGAAGTCTGGTCTGAAGTCTTGTTGAAGGCCTCTCAAACTCGCGAACGGAACGAGCCCTAAGGCTTTCTAGGTTTGCCAGTGAAGTAGTCCTTGTTGAAACCCTTGGAGCGCGTTGAGCGACGAGGTGTGGCATGATGGGTGCTCTCGGGATTCACCATGCCAGAGCCTGATTTCTGTCCACCGAGCGCTGTGCGAATCAGTCTCTCTGGAAGTCTTTGGACACCAAACTGATCGTCACGCTTCCATTCACCTTCACCTTCTCCGGACTCCATGTCTTGCTCCTTCTCAGGTTCCTTGTCCTCTTCTTCCTCGCCACTGATCTCTTCACCGGGCTTGTCGGAGGTACTGATGACCTGGGCGTCAGCTTCGGCGGGCGAGGCTTTGTCGCTCGACTTCTTGCCGATCTCGCTAGCGCTGGGAGTTGCAGGTTGGAACGTGGAGGGTTTGGGGATTGCCTTGTCATGGTCGTCTGCGCATTGAATCGTGTTAGCGGAGCCTGGTATGATCTCCCCATGTGCTAGAATCTGTCACGTCTAGCCATCTCACGGCCACGCCTAGGGCCGTTTGGACGGTAGAAATGCACAATGTTTTTAGAGTTCCTCCCTGTCACACTCTCAGTGGAGGGCTGCACTGATCTTAAGAACATTGTGCATTTCTACAGCATGCGCGTGACAGAGTTCTGCACACGGGGAGGGAGTAGAGAAACATCCTGGAGAACTCACCATTGAGATTACCGTACACGAGCTTCTGACCTTTCTTCAACTCCAGATGTCCAGCCTTGACGCTCTCTTTGATGCCCTCCAGTTCCTCCATATCACGCTCAGCGCGACGAAGAGTCTCTCGAGCCTGCCACATCAGATCTTCGACAGCAGCTTGGGCTTCAGCGGTTTTACCAGGACCATAGATCCTTTGGCCCATCTCGGCGAAGCGCACAGCTTCATTGGCGTGGTGAAGATAGCCATTCTTACCGCAGCCCAGCACGATATGAGCGTGAACACGGAAAGCCAGTGGAAGCTCTGCACGCTCGAGGAGCATCTCGGCAATCTCACATGCCTGGGTGTGGCTTGCTAGGGTGTTTTCATCGGAAAGCGCCATCATCTGACGGTCGAAGACAGCCATGACATGCTCGGCAGTCTCGTGGGGATTGATGTTGCCTCCGTATTGTGCGGTGTGGTGGTGGTGCTCGTGATGGTGACCATGGCCGTTGGCGTGCTGAGGCGATGGAGGGTTCTCGGTAGGTACAGCTGCCTGCTGTGCAGTAGGGCTCACGCGATCGCTCATTGCTGTGATGTTTTCTGTTTTCGAGGTAGGTGGCAAGTTGTTGTGGCGATCAGACATATTGGAGTCTGGAATGGTTTGATGGTCAGACATGATGATGAAATCGATTGCGTGGTTGTTTTTTCTCTGCTGAAGTGAAGGCGAAGGTTGACCGTGAAAAGTGTTGTTGCGCTGGAAAGAGAAGGAACAGCTGCTGCGTTGTTGCCTTTGTGCGCATTGGCAGCCACTTCCTCTTTAGGAGTCACATGGAACTTGATCAGTGACTTCCAAGTGTTGATGAATCGTGGACTGAATTGCAAAGGAGAATGCCACTCTCTGGACATGGCCCTTGGTCTCGAGGGTATCTAGTAGAAAACGACAACACTATTCTACTCGACTATACTAAGGAGAATATGCCAATCGGAGAATGTGCGACACCAGGAATACGGGTAGGTGGAAAGAGCTGAGGTCGCTGTGGGGTATTGAGAAACATCCGAGGATATCAGAGAAGATGAGTCGTTCGAGATGCGTGTGGGTCCGCCCTCCCCGGGTGCTAAACTTTGTCACGCGCACCCTGTAGAAATGCACAATGTTTTTGAGATCAGTGCAGCCTCCACTGAGAGTGTGATATTTAGCGCCTCTCTTCTTGAAAAGATTTTGCATTTCTACAGACTGCAAAACCCCAGGCATGGCCGTGGGAGATGGCTAGAAGTGACAGAATTTAGCACACGGGGGATGAAAGTGTGAGTCCAAGGAAGGAGTTAGGGAAACCGCGGCTGGAATTGAGGTGAGTTGCGGAGATAGATGTGTAAAGTTGGGGAGAGCAACCAAAGTACACCAATGGAGCTCATGCATTATCGAGATAGATAGTGATGGTCAGAAAGCTAGTGTGACAAGCATGTTTTACCCCTGACGTCCGAGATTGGAAGGAAGCCTGGACATAAAAAGTTCTCAGCACCGACTGAATATCGAATGAAGAGGCACAATAGTTGAAACATAAATGTAAAGTTCGTTGATACTACAGATGTATTCGCCAGATGCGTTCGTACATGTCGTGACAATATTAAAGGAAGATAGGGGCTGGAATGGGTGCAAGCTTAGAGCTTCTCAGCCATGATGCTCTCTTGGTGAGTAACACTCTTCTTGCGCATGGCATTCGCCTCGATGTCGGCAAGAGACTGGTTGCGAGAAGCACCACCAGTAACATCCTGGACTTCCTGGAAGGAAACGGTGGGAACGAAGCCCTCGGACTTCCAGGCTTGGGAGACCTTTCCGTAGAGCTCGTCGACCTGTTCCAGGGAAAGTCCCTTGGTCTCGTAGATCATTGTGTATACGAAGACGGTGCAAAGACTACGATACAGTTAGCCTGGCTCTTGAGAAAAACGGGGTTGGTATACCATCGACCATGTTGCGGATGCAATATAGTCTCAGGACAGCATGACTTACCAGCAGAAACCAGCCCAAATCCAGAAGACGTTGGTGTGAATAGCGTTGACCATGTAAGGGGTCGAGTAGGCAATAGCCTGAACATATTAGTATGAGAAATGTAAAAGAAAAAAAGAATAAAAGAAGAAAAAACTTACCCAGTTGAGCAGCCAGTTGGAGGCGGTGGTCATCGACAGCGACTTAGCACGAACTTTCAGAGGAAACAGTTCGCCTGTGACTACCCATGCGCATGGGCCCCACGTGGAAGCGAAGAAAAAGATGTAGATGCACACAAAAGCCACAAGAGCCTTCTGGGCGGGCTGGTTGTCGGTAGGGAGCAGACCAACACCAGCAACAATCAGTTGACAGATAGCCATACCGAAGGCACCGAAGAGCAAGAGCTTTCTTCTACCCCACTTCTCGACCAAGTACAAGCCAGGGAAGGTAGAGGCGACGTTGATGCAGGAGGTGATCAAACTGATGGTGAAACCGTTACCGATACCAGAGTTCTGGAAGAAGGGAGTTCCGTAGTAGAAGATGAAGTTGACACCAGTCAGCTGTTGGAGAGCCTGAAGACCACAACCGGTAGCAAGACGCTTGCCGAGGTTGCCCTTGAAGCAGTCAATGTAGCTGGCCTTTCCGAGAGACATTTCGTATTCGTGGTTGGCTGTGATTTCGGCCAACTCAGCCTCAACCGAAGGGTGATCGACTGGAAGACGTCTGAGTCTGGAGAGAGAACGAGCAGCTTGCTCATGCTTGTTCTTCTTGATGTAGAATCTGGGGGTTTCTGGCAGAACGCAGAGACCACCAAACAGGATGAGAGCCCAAGCAAATTGAACAGCGATGGGAATGCGGTATGATCCAGAGTCTTGACGGTTCTTGGTAGCGTTACCAACGATTGAGGCGAGGAGGAGACCGATAGTAATTGCGAGTTGATAAGCACCAACGATAGTACCACGGATCCACTTGGGTGCAGTCTCGGATTGGTAAAGAGGAATCAGGGCTGAGATACCACCAACACCAAGACCGGCGATGGTACGACCAGCGACGAAAAGAGGAATAGCGGTAGCGGCGGTCTGGAGAATAACTCCCACACTGAAGACCACGAGCCAGGCCATCAGACCGAGCTTACGACCAAGCATATCACCAGTGGGAGCGGCGAAGAGAGCACCGAAGAATGTACCGACGGACAGAAGTGAGACAATCTCGGATGACTGATTGGCGGTGATGACGGGTGCACCAGTAGCGTCGGTGTGAGTGGCGAACAGTCTCAACCAGTAGTCCATGGCCAAGATATCTGAAATAGTTCCCGTATCATATCCGTAGAGAACACCACCGAAAGCAACGAATGCACCGACAGCGATGGCGGGCCAAACGGCACCGACCTCGCCTTCAGGCCGTCTAAGGGCAAAAGGCATTGTGATGTGTAGAAATGGTCAAGAGCCCGGTGTGTAGGATGGAAGTGAGGATAGAAGAGAGGGAGTGATTGACAATGATGAAAAGAGATGAACGATAGGTGGACGTTGGTGTTTATATAGGGATGAACAGAGGCAGGGACTTCCAAGTCCCCATGGGCTCGACTTACTCCGTGCATAGTCTCCAGGCTCTGGACTGTGGAGACCGGTACCTTGGATGATCCGGGTTGCGGCAAAGGAAATCGATACATGTGGAGCTAGGTAAAAGTTGGTAAGGAGACCGAGCATCGATGCCGCTACTGCTTACTTGCCGTTTCGTCTGACGCGCTACTCTAATACATGAACACGCAAGTACGTACCTCTGACACGAATGCACAGAGTTGGCGATGAGAAAGTAGGTGAAGCCTTTCCATTACATTCTTTGACCTGAATATAGATGGTCTAGACGACGATGGCGACTCGTAGAACAAGACCCGTGTGTCATGAGAACGAGACCTCGAACTCCTGAGGCAAAGAATAGAACAATCAAGCGTGACAAGCCTGTCTAAGCTCAAGGTCAAGCCTCGTACAGTCTGGGGATGCATGCCCTAACAACTAGCAAGGTTCCAGCCACCACTCGGCGGTTTTCTGCACGAGTCGCGCCGAGTACTGAAGCCTCGTTGTCGGAATCATTATTTCCATGGTGATTGTGATGAAGAGTGTAATGGACGAATGATGTGTACCGCGCTGTGCCTCTCAAGTGTGTTGTCGTGGCACAAGTCAAAGGCCAAGTCTTGTGTGACAGAAGCAAAAGTGCAGCTCCAAGACCTTACGCTCGCACCAATGTCGCGTGCTCTTGCCTGACGATCTCTTTTTCTAGTGTCAGTCTAGAAATTGCGTGGGTCCTTCGAGTCCGCCTCGCACTGTGCACACTGTTGCACACGCGTTCGCAGTTTCGTCCCCATGGCACCCCCAGAAAGATCAACACTGCAAACCGAACGAGATCTCACCAGGCGATCGTACTCGGGTACCTGTCACTACCATTGGAGCATCCTTGTATCGTGCATGAAGAGTGTGACCTCGAATAAAGCCTCCTTGAGAGCTTGAAGTGCAGCTGGCTTCCTTCTCGGTCCGTAATACTCGGAAGCAAGAAGTGGCCGTGACTTCCGCAAGCCGCCCGAACGCCCCCTTTCACCAAAAGAACTCACAAGAACCCGTTAAAAGTCTTGGTAGAAGCTTAAAGCGCCGCGATGACACCGGAGCTGGTCAAGAGCGCTACTGCACATTTACGCCAGTGCGCAGTCACGAGCAGGGATCCTGCATCTCATGTTTTGGTCTCCCCATGGAGACCTCCGCTTTGTCTTGGTGGGGATGGGTTTAGCGAGGGGTGCCATTCGATATTTACGATGGATCATGAATGGGGATTGCGGGATGCGAGGATATCTCGGATCGAAAACATCACCAGCCTCTCGGATAGAAGTTCGGCTCTGACGTGGAATCGATCTTCACAAAACGTGATCGGTCTGGCTGCCGGATGACCGACCACTTCAATCACACTGGCCAGTCGGCACATGGAGACGGATATCAAGCAGAAGCGGAAGCAATGGAAAAGAATAAAAATGCTTGGGTATCATGCTACGCTATGCTATGCTATGTGGTATGTCGTGTTGTATCATTAGGACATTGTATCGTATTCACTCATGGTGGTTTTGCGCATTGTTTTCGGCATGTACATCGCCATGTCTTCAACGTGTAACATCATCTGCTCATGGCGTGCCTTGATCTCTGAAAACAGATCAGCATCATCTTCTCGGTGCTAATGACTACCAGACTTACCCTCTGGAGTGCCATCGTAGGGAAACCCATAGTCGGGCTCGAGTTTGAAGAAAGGTGACGAAAGAGCTTCAAGGGATTGTTGCATGGAGTCTGTAGGCTTATGGTAGCCTTGATCTTCACTCATGCTGATCCACTCTACGCCCAAGGCTCTCTCTATCTTTGTCAGTTCGGCGTCGTACTGTTCGAGCAGATCAAGCGGTATCTGGTCATCCCAGAGAGTTGCATGCTCCAGATCACGAAGCAGCAATCGCCTCACATTAGTACGACAAGCCTTGAATGATATTTCACTATCGCGAAGCATCGTCCAGGCTCGGGCGGTATCTCCTGCTTCGGCCATCGCCTCGATATACCGATAATCGCCCCTGAGCTTAGATTCTGCATTTGCAGACTCTGGTCTTCCCGACTTCGAACGGATGGGATTCGCTAGCCACAGCAACCACTCCTTCCACAGTTCATCTGTTGCCTTGCAGCGGGACAGAACAACCATCCATCCATGCAATTGAGTCCACTCACTTCTGTCGAGGAACAAACCTAGATGGTGTTCTTCGCCTGGAGGAGTGTCGTCAAATCCAAGAAGAACTTGAAGCAGATCACGGCGTGACCATCTTCCATTGCGAATTTCGCCATATCCATTGTTCCCAACACTGAACTTGGCGATGATGGCTCGGAACAAATTTCGTGGCATGATGAAGCCCAACTCTCGATATAGCTTCAGGTATCGCTTCATACCAGGTAAGCTACGTGATCGAGCAGCGAACTTGATACCGATGGCCAAGAAGTAGCGCGTGATGGGTAAGCCCTCGCGTCTGAAACGTGAGATGACAGTGTTAATGGCACCGAAGATCTTATGATCGGTGGTGGTCTCTCTTGATCGGTAAAAGGCTCGTACTAGACAAAGGTCCATGGCGGCGAGTTCCAGACTTGTGTCCTTGCGCTGTAAAGCTACAGCAACGACACGCATGATATCCTGAGGATTCTGACATCTAAGCATTTGTTCCTTCATGAGTTTGCGGTGAAATTTTGTAAATCCCTTGATAGCCATGAGTCTGTGCTAGTCAGCGCGCTACTCTCAAAGCTTACCACCAGAGATCATGTTTCTCGGACATATGTCTTGCATGATACCGCAGAGAACACAGAATTTAGACAAGGGAGCGATGATACATACCGGCGAAACTCATTTGGATCAAGCATTTGACCATTGATAGGAAAGGAAACAGCAGGATTGGGTGGCGGAACGGCTTCTTTTACAATAGCGCGCATATTCATCTGGTGGAGTAACGGACGCATGTCGTTTAGAAGAATATAGCGGAGTGTATCCACAGGGGAGACCAAGCTGAGCTGATGCTGGTACACTTCCACTTGATCAAGTTGGCCATGGTCGGCAGGCGCGATCTGAGTGCAGGTGGCATGGCGGCGGGAAGATTGATGGACTTTCAGGAGCGGCATCAAGCGAGTAGGTGGTCTTGTGCATAACTTCATTGCACCTTCTTGTTTGACAGCGCAAGACAAGCGCCATGCTATAAGGTTAAAGGATGAGTTCAACATGCGTGATGGGTGAAGTCGGGCGGCCATGGCGGCGGCAGCTGTGTAACAAGGTGGGGGAAGATGGTACAGAACGGCCGAAACAGGGTCCTCGAGTCAGGAAAGGCCGTTAGCTCCGTCCAGATTGACGCAACTTGCAGCCCAATCATCTTTTTTCTTTGCGACTGCAGGTCATTCTTGAACGTCTTGTTTCTCGGTTCACGAAACAGAAATTCACCATGTCTTCGAACGAGTCGCCAGCAGCGGCGCTGGAGCCCACTCACGTTTTCGCGCCAAACCAAGGATACGACTACGCCAACAACCAAGAGCAAGCTGGTGGCGTGTTACTTGACGAGGGAATCGACGACGAACAAGACGATTACTACGATGATCTGTTCGAGGACAGCGCCGACGAAGTCAACGACTCGGAGATTACCTCTTCTAACCCTGCCGACTTCACCAAATCATACAACCGCCAAAGACGCGCGAACGATGACCAAGTCTCTTCGGCGCAAAAGCCCAAGACCAACCCTGCCGGACACAAGCCTACCGCCAACATGCAATCCAGCGTCGACGATCAAGTCCAGAGTCTGGCCAAACATGCCTCCAAGCTCCGCATTTCAAATCTCGAGGGAGGTGGTGGCAAGCAAGAAAGAGGAGGCGGCAAGGACAAGAGCGACCGCGCCACTAGCGAACAAGTCTTGGATCCCAGAACTCGTATGATCCTTCTGCAACTCTTGAACAAGAACGTTGTCTCCGAGATCAACGGTGTCTTGTCAACCGGAAAAGAGGCCAACGTCTACCACGCCGCAACCATTCCTGAGTCATCAGATGATTCTGAAGGCGCTGTTGCACCTCTCCACAGAGCCATCAAGGTCTACAAGACGAGTATTCTGGTCTTCAAGGACCGCGACAAGTATGTCACCGGAGACTACAGATTCCGTGGCGGCTACAACAAGAGTGACAACCGCGCCATGGTCAAAGTCTGGGCAGAGAAGGAGTTCAGAAACTTGCGTATCCTGCACGCTGCTGGCATTCCTTGCCCAGACCCTCTTTACCTCCGTCAGCATGTCATGGTCATGAGCTTCTTGGGCAACAAAAAGGGCTGGCCCGCCCCTCGTTTGAGAGACGTTGATTTCCAACTGCCCACCGAAGAAGAGAATGCCGCCAAGTGGAGAGAAATGTACATCCAACTATTGGGCTACATGCGCGTCATGTACCAGACCTGCCGACTCGTACACGGAGATTTGAGTGAATACAACTTGATGTACCATCAGAACAAGATCTTCGTCATCGATGTCAGTCAAAGTGTTGAGCACGATCACCCTCGTTCTCTCGAGTTCCTGCGTATGGACATCAAGAACATCAGCGATTTCTTTGCCCGCAAGGGTATCGACTGTCTACCCGAGAGAGCCATCTTCGGCTTCATCACTGCCGAGCAAGGTGGCGTCGAGACTACTCAGATGGAAGACCTTATTGCAAAGATGTACGAAACCAGAGAGCAAGAAGGTAACCAAGATGACGAGGAAGTCGACAACCAAGTCTTCAGACAACAATACATTCCCCAAACCCTCGAGCAAGTCTACGATGTCGAGCGTGACGCCGCCAGAGTACAAAAAGGCGAAGGTGATGACCTCGTCTACAAGGCCCTCCTCGCAAACAAGACCACTGTCAACGACACAGAAGACGCCGAAAACAACAGCGATGCCGAAGATTCAGATAGCGAAGAATACGACTCTGAAGACCCCGACCGGCCACGCAGAAAGCGCAACGAAGGCGAGAGACCCAGAGGCAAGCGCTTCGAAGACAAAGACACAAAAAAGGAGCACAAAAAGGCCGTCAAGGAGGAGAAGCGCGAAAAGAGAAAAGAAAAGATGCCCAAGCATCTCAAGAAGAAGCTCATTAGTGGCTCTTCTCGTGGCAAACATTAGACCACTCTGCATATTCTCGTTATTAGAAGCCAAATGATACCACTTTTTACGACCTGCAAGCAGTCTGTCACTCTCATTCGACCCTCTGTTTTACTCTAAAAGACTGGGCTTGATAGGTTACCGTCTTTAGCTCAGGTAAATGGTCATACCTTCCTGCTGTATCACATCGCCACTTCCCATTCTGTAGGTCGCTCCTTCCTGATCAATTTACCGCTCCTTCCCTCTCCACAAATTGCTCCTTCTCGTTACAGATCTATCGTACCTTCCTCTTGTCTTGATCCTATCTCCTTCCATGTCGACTGACATCTTGCCTGACTGATTCCAAGATGAATTTTTATTCTGTTTCCCTCGTTGACACAAATCTGTCTCAGCACATACATCATGTGGAAAAACAACCCGAACAGCGTCACCGCACTGGTGATACACTCAATTGTCTTTAAGGACCACTTACAAACCTCTCGAAATTCTGCCACTATATCCGCACTTTCCCTCTTCATTGCGATATGTTGATCTCGCCCAAGGAAGAAGCAGGAGAAAGAGATGATGGAGTTGCCTACTTTCACCAATATCGTTATACTGATAAAGTATTCGTGTCCACTTCCTCTTCAACAGTTCGCTTGCGGGTAAGAGGTTACATGTGTGGAATGATTCTCCAGTGTGCACATTGAGAAAAAGATCTCGAGTTTGCTGAAGCTATCAGAACGCGGCTTAGTGGTTAGTAATGCAGGCAGATGTGGTCCGCGAATGAAATAGGCGTTCACGGAAAGAGTAGATATACCCTTTGGAGGAGGAAGGAGCCCTACATTGATGGGGAGCGCCCCTACACCCAGAGCGGAAGGTACGATCAATGGGAAGGGAGGATGCCCATTTGTGCAAACAGCAGGTTGATACAGTAGTCACCTGCTAGTATGAGCTTGGTCACATCACTTCACATACTATATATCGAGCACAACCGTTCAGACTCAAGGGAATGTGGACAATGACTTCGACCAATGTTCATGTTTTGGAGGTTGAGGTTCTATGGGCATTCTCTGTTTAACTCATGCTAACAGTTCAACCAGTCTTTTTGGATGCAGTGCTACTCCTTAGTCTCATACTCCGACCTCCTTCCGCGGATGCCTTCCGTACGAGCATTTTCATCAGGTACGTCTGCGGGCATATTCTGATCGTACTCGAGTGCTGAGCTGTGAAAATCTTGTTCAGTTCGAAAGACCGTACATCTTGCGCAGAAGAGCATGAGCAAGCTCAGGGAGTTCCTTGATGGCCCTGTCAACTTCGGGAGTGTTGAGACAGAATGACATGTTGCCGTGCAATTTGTCGACGATGACTAGACGCAAGTCTTTGTCCGAGTCGACGGTGCTGGTGTAGGCGATCCTCATGGCTTTGACAAGTCCGGCACCAGTGTACTGTAGGGCGTCATTGAACTTGGTGCGGGCCAAGGACCTGAGTCCAGGGATACCGTATTTGTCACCCATAGCATACATCTTGGCGTGGTCGATCAGAATGCCGTCCTTGAGATCGTTGTCCTTGAGAAACTCTGCGGTTGACTGCATTTTTATCTTTGCGGTCTCGGCCTCGAGGTAGTCCATGTGATAGAGATAGTGGATCATGAGCTTGACGGACTTTGGGTCTTCTGCATCCACGTCCCAGCCGTCGTCGACACTATCGACATTGTTGCTGCGAGGGATATCGACGGTGCCAGTCTGAGCCTCCTTGAAGTCGCCTTTGGAATCGGCTTCGGAACCACGGCGCTTACGGCAGGCAAGACGGAAGAACTCTGACTGAGAGCAAACGGTGGCTTTGTGCACCTTGTAGACATCAGAGCCGCAGGTGATGGTCAGATCAGAGTGTTCGGCGCTCTCTTGGAGGCTGTGAAGATATTAGTGTCTTGAAAATGTGATCAAGGATACGAACTCACGCGGCCATGGCTTTGAGCAGCTGGGGAATGGGATCTTGAGATGACATTGCGTCTTACTCAGTGTTGGTGATGAAGATGAAGGTGGATGATGAAATGCAGTATTGAGATGGCAAACGTTGGTTGGGGGAAGGAGATCGTGCGATAAAAGTTGTGTCAAACGCGCTCGTTTGTTGTCGGCTTCGGCCAGAATCTTGTGCGTGAGACATGTTTTGTAGAGCTTGTTTATCTACGATTTATTTTTCGATCGTAAGGTTGTGTAAACAATGATTAAGGTTTGTCTCGTTGCGAGAGCAGAAACCATCGGGGGGGGGGGTGTTGGTAGACTCCGTTGCTTGAACCTCTCCAACAAAAGAGCAATCGTTGATACAAGCAACAAGATTAGTTGAAAGCAGGCGCGGAGCAGAAAGGTCACCCGCGAAGCTGGAGGAAGGAGCGATCCAGAGAAAACGTGATTAACTATTTTATGTATAAGTAGAGTAGAGTTGATGAGTAAAAAGAGTTGCAAAGCACCGTGTTGATCTAAGACTGTGTCCTCGCACTCCATTTGGCAAACAAAATCAAACATGCTTGAACGAGAGAAGAACGAATATAAAAATAGAAGCTCATTAACAAAAAATGCAGTAAAAAGCTTTAACCCCTTCGCCAATATCCGAAAAAAGAGGACAAACATGGGGACATTTACATATACAACAACAATTGTCGACAAATCTATGCAGACGACAATTGCTTGAGGATCTGCTCCTTCTCCTCGACGGGCAGCATGCTCAGCATCTGGGCAATACCCTTGAGACCACCCTCCTTGTTGGCGCGCAGCATGGCGGCGACGTCGTAGGCGATCGAGTCCTGCTTGAGACCCTCGATCTTGGAGTAGATGTCTTGGCGGTTCTCCTCGTACCACTGAGCGACCTTCTGGTCCTCGGTGGCGAACTGAGGAACACCTGACCAGGCCTCGAGAGTCTGGAGGTTCTTGGTGCGCGAGACCAACTCCTTCGATGATGACTGAGCCATGGCCTTGAGCACGTACTCCTCGTCGAGACGTCGGCGAAGACGCCAGTAGAAGAAGCGACGGGCGTTCTGCCACTGCAGAGCCATGCGGATGGTATCCTTGGCCTTCATGCGGCCGGCACGGTCATGCAAGTCGGCGTACTGCAAGGAGATCTGCATGTAAACGGGCAACAACAGCTTCTCACGCTCGGCCATCTTGGTTCTGACCTCGGTGAGCTCTTCAACTGACAACGACTTGTCGGCAGACTTGGCCTTGAGTTCGCCGTAGGTGGGGTCGAGGCGAGCCATGGTCTCGAGCTGCTTCTCCTTGCGGAACTTGATGCCGACGATACCTTCGGGCTCGAGGACACCGCCACGAGACTCCTCGTCGGCGTACATCTCCATGTATTGAGGGTTGATGGTAGGATCGACGACAACCTGTAACTTTTGTTAGCGTTTTGTGATTATTTGGAACATTTGAACGGTGACTTACCCATGAACCACCACGGAGCTCTCCGAAGGGAGGAATGTAGACAAAGATAGGCTGCTCGTACTTGACGAGGGCATCGACGATGTATGAACCGTACTTGAGGACCTCGTTGTACATGTCTCTCTGACCACCAGAGAAACCTCTCCAGTTGGCAAGAATCATCAAAGGCAATTGCTCACCGTTGTTGAAGTCTCTGATAGCCTGGGCGGTCTTGAAGGCAGAGTTGGGGTACCAAACACCACCAGCCTCGTTGGTAACTTGCTCGATCGAGTCAGGGTTGGCAGGGTCGGCAGGGGTGACGTTCTCGACAGAGCGAGTTTCGACACCAATGACACCAACGGGGATACCACCAAGGCGAGCACGACCGACAACGACAGTGCGAGCCCATCCGCCAAGAGCCTCCTCGAAGGAGCCCTTGTCGAACAGACCAGAGGCGAAGCCATCGTCTTCTTGCTTACCATGGATGAGCCATCTGACATCGTAGGGCTGCTTCTGGGGAGGGAAGTAGGTAATGTCGCGGTCCCAAGAGTCGGTTGAGGGTGAGATGGGGATGGGGTTGTTCTTCTTGTCAGGGATGAAGGACATCCACTTCACAATCTTGGAAACACCCTCAAAGTCGTCACCAGCAGTCATGTGAGAGACACCGTTCTTGTACATGATCTGGGTACCACCAAGCTGCAAGTTGGAGGTGTAGACCTCACGACCCAAGAGCTTGTTGATGGCAGGAGCACCGGTGAGAATGATGGGCTGACCCTCAATTTGGATGGCACGCTGACCAAGACGAACAAGGTAAGCACCGATACCGACGGAACGGCAAGTAACAAGGGTGATGGTAAAGATGTCCTCGTATGCTCTTGAAGTCTCACCAGCGATGAGACCAGAACCCTTCAGACACTCGACACCGAGACCGTCCTCAGCACCGACAATGGTGGTGATGACATGTCTGATCTCACCGTTGACGTTGGTCTCCTTGGTGATGACATGCTTGAGTTCACCATCCTCGAAACGAGCCTTCTTCTCAGGAGTCAGGTAGAGGTATTCGAAACCAGCCTCAGGTCTGGATGCATCCTTCCAAGCGACGGAGAAGTGGGGAATGAGCTCCTCAGCCATACCGATACGAGCACCAGAGTTGGCAGACAGGTAGATTCTGGGGATACCAAGCTTTCTGGCAAGTTCGGTACACTTGTGGAAGAACCTATCTTCAGCGGGACCGAATGAACCGATCTTGAAGGTGATGTCGTTGGCAATGATGATGAAACGTCTGCCGCGAGGGTACTCAGGGGTCTTGGCGATGATGAGCCATGCAACCATACCGATGGAGTTGGTACCAGGGTCGCGGTTGACCTCGGCCAGGTTGTCGGTATCGTCAAGAACAAGCTCGTTGTATTCTATACACTCGCCTGAGACAGGCTGCTTGTCCTTGAGGTTAGGGTGAGCAGCGGTGACCAAGTTCCAGCTGTTCTCAATGGCTTGTCTGAACAGCTCGGGGAAGTCGTACACGTATTGCGTACCCATGATGTGAGCCTTGTAACGCTTGGGCTGAAGAGCGCCCTTGGTGGTATAGGGAGTCGACACAGGACGCAAGTGCATTGAGCCAATCTTGGTGCTGCCACCAATGCTCTGGAAGTACCAGTCATTGCCCTTCTCAGATTTGCGCTCGGCGTAAAGCTCAACCTGGATAATGTAACCAGAGGTGTTGTTGATCAGAACACGCAGAGGGTAGGGCTCGCCAGTGGTAGGGTCAGTGCAGATGATGCGGACCTCTACGCCAGTAACGCGGAGGCGCCATGCACGACGACCGAATCTGTCAAGGAATCCGGCAAGAGCCTCCTCGACCTCACTAGGCTGCAGGGGGAAGACGGGGGAGAAGTTGATGAAGATATGGTTCAAGTCAGAGTTGTTGTTGCCAATAATCTCGAGGGCATCGAGAATGTCAGTCATCAATCTGTCAGCCTCGGAGATCATGTACTCGACAGTGGAGATGTCGTCGCGAACACGACCGGGACGGACGACAGCGCGGGTGAAGTAACGCTTGTCGTTGTCGACGCCCTTGCCAATGGCCTCGTAGATGTGGATGTTGCGGTTCTCGGTGAAGACAGGCTTGATGTTGAACTTGGACAAACGTCCGAGCTCGAGCTGGAAGGCAAGGGCAGGCTCAATATGACGAATGCTAGAGTCTTCCTCGTATGCGGGACCACGGAAAGTGTAGTAGCCGGGGTAGGTACCATCCTTGTGACCACAGATGAATGTCAAACGACGGACACGGCGTGCGAGAAGCTCCTCCTTGTACTCGTTCACGATGGGAACAAGACGGGCAAGGATCTCGGGGTCGTCGAGAGACTCTGCATCCTTGACGGCGACGTTGCAGACAGCGGTCAGCTCGTCAGTGGAGTCAATCTTGGGTGCGGCGGGCTTGCGTTGTCTAGAAAGGTCGGCCATGAAACCGGCGCTCGAGCCACGCTGCTTACCACCATGACTGCCAGCAAGAGGGAAGACCTCGAGTGCCTTGGTCAGGTACTCCTCGATCTCATCAATGTACTGGACAGGAATGACTGCACCCTTACGGGTAGGCTCATCCTTGGTGCGAGCGTTGAGGTAGCTCATGTCACTGATGGAGTGAACACGGCTGAAGCCCTCGGGTCCAGCAGGAGTGCCGGGGGTAGAGGGGTGTGATGACTCGATGGGAAGACCAAACTCAGACTGGCCAACCTTGCGGAGGGAGAAGTCCCAGGTGAGGACATAAGGAGTGTCGTTCTCAGTAACGTACTCAATAGTCTTGAGTTGGTAAGCACGGTAAGCGCGGCGAGTGTAGACCTCGAGAGCAGCCAACGAGACCCAAGGGTCAGGGTGGACAAAGAATTGAGAAAGCACATCGAAGACGGTGTACTTTGAGTCGACGACTTCCTTGATGATCTCGAAACTGGGCTCACGGTGGTCCCAACCAGCCTCGCCGTAGCGAGACTCCAGAACAGAGGAGCGGAGAATGTGCTCCATCTGAGAGGTACGCTCCTCTAGCGAGGGCATGGCGCACTGGATGAGCAACTCACGAGCCTTCAATGAAACCTTAGCGGTTTGTCTAGACTCAAGCTCGGCAAGCTGGCGCAGCGAAGGACGCAAGTACTTAGCAACGCTACCGGCACCAGGCTTGTTGGGGCGGTAGTAGTCGAGGATGGCAATGATAAGGTTGTTCTTCGAGCTGACACGGGTGTGCGACAAAGCGGTGTGGACGACCTTGATCAAGCTGTCCTTGTTCTGGTCTCTGAGAGTAAGAATGACCTCCTCATCGCGGTTCTGTCTGGCAGCGAAGAGGTGCTCGACATCGTAGTACTGCTGGAAGAGAGAAGCCATGACGCTGAATTCGTGACCCTTCAGGCCATCGTTGAACTTGGTCATGACCTCAAGGATGGGGCCCAATCCTTGGCGAAGGGTGTCAACATCGCTAGGGGCGACGTTCTCTTCGAGGAAGCGAACAAAAGTCTTCTGGAGCTGCTTGCTAGGGAACTCAGAACCACGGCTGTGAGCACGCTCAACGATCTGTTCCAACTGAGCATCAAGCTTCTGAGGCATGCGAGAGTGGAGGGCAGATGCCTGGGCGTTCCACTCGCCGTAAGGCAGCTCAGGGTTGCGGAGAACCTCAACGAGCTCCCTCAAGGTATCTTGCATGATGACGGAGTTGTCGAAACCTTGCATGATGCTTTGAAGGATGTTGTGAAGGAACGCGAAGCGCTGAGGAGCCTTGTTACCCAGAACCTGAGGAGGACCAAGCTCAGGAAGCTGGCCGAGGAAAGGCTGAGCCGACTTGACCTTGGAAGGGTCGTCGAGAGCGAGTATACCGAGAATATCACCAGCCTCGAGGGTGGCACCGGGCTGCTTAATGAGGTTGACGATACCATCCTCCTGGGCAATCAAAGGCATGTACATCTTCATGACTTCGACCTCGGCGAAGGCCTGACCCTTCTTGACGTGTTCACCATTTTGGATGGTGAACTTGACGAGCTTACCGGGCGAGGGAGTTCTGAGCTGGGTAGGGTCGTTCTCTTGCTCAAGCAGGCAAGTCTTACCATCGACACTGAGACGAGTGGCACCGACTTCCTCCTTCCAGTAAATGTTGTGACTGCGTCCGCTGAGAAGGACAAGCAGACCACCATCGGAAAGGGGTCTGACACCGACGGAACATCTCGAGCCGTTGATGAAGAGTGTGTAGCTGTCAAGGCCAGAGCGAGTGGCAGTGAACTTGTAGCGCGAGCCCTCGTAGATGAAGTCGATGGGGAACACGGTCTTGAGAACGTCCTTGGAGGGGACTTGACCCTTCTCCAAGCTGACGCGGTACTCGGTTGTGCAGATATCGCTAGCGATGTGAGCCTTGGTGACAGCACCGCAGATGACTGCCAAGATAGGGTCAGGACGCTCAGCGGTGAGCTTCTTGGAGATCAGCTCGTCGAGCCAGCCGGTGGTGATGGTGTTGTCCTCGAAAGCAGGAGTCTCAAGCAACTTGATGAGGTATTCGACAGTGGTTCTGAAATCACCACGAATGCTCAATTCCTTGAGTGCGACAACCATCTGCTTACGCGAGGCTTGTCTGTTCTCACCATAGGCGAAGATGTGACCGAACTGGGAGTCAGAGAAGCTGTGAATCGACGAAGCAGCACCGACCGAGAAGTAACCCCAGACGTTAGCACTTGATCTGAAGTTCAGCTCGTGCATGGTACCGCTGGAAGGCTTGAAGCCCTCACCGGGATCTTCAGAGGTGATGCGACAGGCAGTGGTGTGGCCTTTGGGTTGAGGTCTGCGCTGGTTGAGGGTGCTGCCCTCCTTGGAGAAGTCGAAGTCGATCTCGGTCGAGGTGTGGGGGTCGACACCGTAAAGGAGACGAATGTCGCGAACACGGTGCAGGGGAAGACCCATAGCAATCTGGAGCTGGGCAGCGGGAAGGTTGACACCCGAAACCATCTCGGTGGTGGGATGCTCGACCTGAAGACGAGGGTTCAACTCGAGGAAGTAGAACTTGTCGTCTGAGTGAGAGTACAGGTACTCGACAGTACCTGCTGACACGTAACCGACCAGACGACCCAGAGAGACGGCAGCCTTTTCCATCTGCTGGAAGGTCTTTGAGCTGGCAATGGTAACGGGAGCCTCCTCAATAATCTTCTGATGTCTGCGCTGTACCGAACAGTCACGACCGAACAGCGAAATGTTGTTGCCGTACTGATCAGCCAACAATTGGACCTCCAAATGTCTAGCATTGCCGGCAAGCTTCATGATGAAGATGGGCGAGCCAGGAATTTCGCTGGCAGCAGCCTTGTACATGGCAGGGAATTCCTCCTCGTTGTCGACTTTGCGGATACCCTTACCACCACCACCCTCGGAGGCCTTGACCATGACGGGGAAGCCAATCTTCTTTGCAGCCACAAGACCCTCCTCGGCGGAGTGTACGCAACCTTTGTCGTAGATGTCGTCTCTAACGGTGACGATGTTGTTTGCGTCGACCTCGACCTGGTCAACTCCCTCTCCTGACCACGGAATACAAGGTACACCGGCGTGTTGTGCGACAATGGTCGAGGAAATCTTGTCACCGAGCGATCTCATGGCAGAGCCAGGAGGACCGATGAAGACGATCTTGTTCGGTGATGCGGCGAGAGATTCGGGCAGCTTGGGGTTCTCTGAGGCGTGACCCCTGCGAATGTGTCAGCTGTGGTTCAATGCGTGAAAAATGCTACAGGGAGACTCACCATCCAGCCCAGACTGCGTGAACACCCATACGCTCAGCAACGTCAACGATGAGCTCGACGTTGGCGTAGTTGTTGTTGTTGGTACCGCCAGGAACCTGCAGCCCAATGTCAGCCCGCCACTCCGTACGACCGAGTCCTCGAGTCTCGCGTGCTACATACCTCGACGTACTTGTCTGCCATTCTGATGTAGTCAGCGTTGGCAGCCAAGTCCTCGGGGGTGGCCATGACGGTGAATTGAATGGCACGCTCATCGCCAAAGGTCTCGTACGCCCATCTTCGGACGGATCTGATCTCCTTGACGGCGGCGATACCGTTGTTTGCAATCAGGACCTACAGTCGCCATGTCAGCATGCTTTGGGGCTTGAATTGGGGCCATTGGAGGCCTCTGGAGCAGTCTGTAACTTACACTGGTGATGACCGTGTGTCCATCGTTTGCGGCGACAAAATCCTTAACTGATGAAGGGGGAGCCTGGCTGAGCTCATTGCCGCCGATGAAGTGTGAAGCCAAGTTGAACTTGGAGGCGTAGGAACTTGGTTGTCCGTTCATGTTGCCATTTACCGCTGGCGCTCCTCCCACTGCGTCCGCCATGGTTGTGGTTGGAAGGCCCATTCACGGATCTGAACTGTGGAACTTTGAAAAGAGGGCCGAGAGTGCGGAGAAGAAGAAGCTAATGCCGGCCCGGTACTGAGCTGCTCGGGACACGGAGGCCAGTTGTTCTTCGCAATAACTCCGACCTTGGGTATCAAGAAACAAAGAAGCAAAAAGAAAGGGAAGGATTAGGTCGCGTGAATGACGATCAGCGGGCTCCGCTGTTGTTCAAATACCTCGTCGGCGTTGGTGCGTGGAGCGAGTGTTGGGGCGTGGTATTAGCAATTGTCCGAGTCTATGCGTCCTTCATAGAACTGAAAAGAGGCTAGTCTCAAGTTGCTGGGAAATTGGCCCACGGTAGTTCGACCAGCGACGAGAAGTTGACGGATGGACGGAGAAGGGAAGGGAGCTTCAAAGGTCGGTCTGCTGAGACAGAGCGAGTGCTTCTCTACTTGTACATGGTGTGATACCCTTACTATCTATGCCTTCGGGACGAGGGGGGCCCAGTTGAGCTGTGCCAACAAGCGCTAGCCAGCACCTTTGTCCGGAGCTCCATGCTTGCTCCCGGCAGCACAAGAGTACGGGGCCGCCCGCACTGGAAGAGCTACGAGTATTCGTTGATGACACGCAGTTGATGCATGTGTTGAGCTCTCGGACTGCATGCCTGGGGACAACGATATTGATCCTCCTCCGACCTATCAAGAATTCAACGGCCCAGCGCAGATAACCTGCATCCCAATGGAAAAGGCACGTAAAGCTTGGTCTGTTATCTTTGGCGATCACAGCTTTCGCAGCTGTCAAACATCCCACCCCTCCTTCGTTCCACCTCGACGATTCAGACATTCTTTGCTTCAGATTTGATAGTAGCATGTTCACATAAGCCCCGACTAGAAGCTCACAGTAGCGCCCTAGTAGTGTGCGGGTCATTAAATTTAGCACCAATTTACCGCAGGTACGGAGAATTTTGGCTTGATCTGTTTCCCTTTCCCGACCGACGCCCATCGGGGTCCGAGACTCTCTCGTGGAGAGCCGAACATTCCATCAAGTGTCCAGTCTCTTGTCTCGCTTGAGAACGAGCCATTTGCCATCTTCAATTCCCGTCCAGACTCGTTTCTATGATACTGAGAGGCTGCTCTTCCTCGATCGACATGACCATCTGCGGTACTCAAATACCGTGGCTCGCTGAGCTGGTAGAGAAATGCTGTACTACCAACCATTGTTCTTGGCAGGCTTCGGAGGTTTAACTCGATGATTACAACTCACTTTCGACGGTAAACGATAGCTCGGGATCGCATGTTTCGGAGAATTTCCCACCACTAACTGATGGACAGCGTGGATAGGCGCATTAATTCATGCAAGTTTTTAATTCGGAATGGAACTGTATCGACAGTATGAGTATGCGAAAATGTACAGCAATAAGAGCCTCTCTGACACCAGCAACACCGTGAGCGCAACATTAAAAACCCAACTTCGTAATCATGACTAGAATGTCTCTCCCAGGTCACTCAGCTTGCGAGACGATTTGTCTGACGCACCATCATAGGACTGTTGCGATTGATGACTTGGTGCGAGGCTTGACCGGCGCCCAGAAACGCTGTTGCCGAAGCCTCCTCCACTTTGCCGTTTCAGACCTGGTGTCGGGATGCCGCTCCCGCCAATTGTTGTTACTGTCCTTTTAATCGATGGTGTAACTACTTCTTCGGGTTCTCTCGCTTCAGACATGCTGTTGGATTGACGATGCGCGCGAGTGCGCTGGGATGATGCGAATGTTCCTCCCATCGAAGTGCGAGGTCGTGAAGGGAGGGTCGTTGTCTGTGAGTGTCCATATGGTGTAGTGCCTGAGCGTGAAGGTGGCCGAGCAAACGAACCTGTCTCTCCTACGTTGTTGGCTCGGCTAGCCGGGCGGCTAGTTTCTCTGGTTACTGTAGATGTCGATGTGCTTGACCGTTCTAGAGGATGTGGTCGCTGACCACCGAAAGACAGGTGCTTAACGTGTATACTTGTGCTTGTGGACCTCGGCGTAGGCGGTGGCAGGCCGTTGTCTTCTTGCCTTGTAGATGAGCTTGTGCTGTTGCTCGTGCGATTGTTCCTGTTTCTAACAGTAACGCTGTTTGGCATGAACGAGCCGCCTGCAAGCGCACCAATGCGTGGTGATCCTTTTGGTGTGGTTGCTGCTCTCGGAGTATTCGCATTTGAAGGTGGCAGTTTTGAGCGCACGGAGTGTACCCTTTCTTCTATTTTTTGCATTCTGCCAATCAAGCCCTTAATCTGATACAACGAACTTGATCTTGGCACGCCTTCAGATCCAACACTAGGTCGTGATTGTAGAGTAGTGCGTCTTTTCCCGGAAGGAGTTGTGGCAGTCGCGAAGGATGGACCTCTTGAGTGGCGTGCAGGTCTGAGTGTATTGACGCCGAGAGTGGCGCGAGGTGTCAGAGTCGAATCCGACACGAGTGGGTTCTTCTTCGGTGGAGGGAGCATCTTGGACATTGGGTTTCCAGATGCGTCTGACAAGGGCGGAGATGGTGGCGTGGGAGTGTCTGAGAGTGTGGATACCTCTGACCTGACAGGTGGCGGAGTAGAAACGGTGGGCGACGAGGCAGCAGTGCGTGATGAAGTGGGCGATCGGGCGTGCAGTGCAGACGGGCGTCGTACAGGGGTGAGGTCGCGGTAGCGACGAGAGCCCGACTCGGAGAGACGCAGTTTCTCGCGAGTGATGTCGGCCTCAATGCGAAGGTCGGACAGCTCGTCCCTAAGTCGTTGTGTCTGAATGCGCAAGTCTTCTCGTTCTTGTTCGCCAGCGCGCATCTCCTCCTCCATGATGACACCTCGTTCGATTGCGACATTGTACTTTGATTCAAGCTCTTCCAGTGATGATGTTGTGTTGCGCGCCTGGCGCTCGTAGTCGTCGTTGTCCACTTCAATGTCCCTGAGTTTCAGTTGTAGCGTCCGGTTGGTCTCGCGCATGGTGGTGATTTCTTTCTGTAGTTGGGTTTGCGCCGAGTTCGCCTCGGCCTTTGATTGTTTGTACTTGGTCTGTACCATCCAGTCAGCAAGTGCATGCGAGGAGGGCTCAAGGGCAACATTCGCACCTTCCATTCTTCGACCTCGAAGCCTAGACTCTCGACCCGTTCTTTCAACTTCCTCTCTCTCTTCTCTGAAGCCTCAACATCCTTCTCGAGCTCGGCCTCAAGCTCTCTGCTAGATTGTTGAAACTCCTGTAACTCGACTTCCAGTTGTTCGTATTGTGCCTTGTAGTAGGCGAGTTCTTGCTCGACAGTGGTGCCGTGGCGGAAAGGCGAAGACGGCGGGTTGCTCATGTTGTTGGCGCTTATGGTGGGAGCAGATCAAGATGACATTTCCAGGAATCCGGGATTGAAGAGTGGTGCTTGCGATAAGTCCCGACTTTGCGCAACAGGATTGGTCGAGGGGCGGGGCAGCAGTCAGGGCGTCGGTGTGGTTAATGGCGGTGTAAGAATGCTATGACAGGAGTCGCGGCACTGTCTCGGGTGTCGTCGTGGTGGTCGTCGTCGTCGTCGTTGGTTGTCGCTGGGTGTGAGGGGGATGGGATCAGGTCGCAGTTGTTGTGTGCGATGTTTACTGCAACATGCACGCGCAACCCTAGCGTCCTTCGTTGTCCGGGAACGCTTTGGCTCAAGATCGCATCCGAAGAAAAAAGCACTTTCAATCTCCTTCGCAGCTGCCTGAAGACAAGGAAAATAGGAGCTTTCAACAATGCAGAACTGTCCGTGGTGTTTTGAGACAATATCTTCGCTCAATATATTGACATCAGACACTGTTTCTCATTGTCGCAATCCTCATCTATTGTTATCACACCCTACGGCCGGCTCAACGGTCGGATGCTATCCTGTCTCTCAGCCTCCGACCCGCAGACGTAACATGAGGGGTTCCTTCATAACATATCTAGATAGCACAAGCTATCTATGCAGTCTCAGTGATGCCTATTGTGTGAATGCTTCGGGATAACGTATTGGAAATGATAGTCGTCTTGACTTGATACACACCTATGTCATGCTGCTGCTTGTTTATCAACACTTCAACTATCGCACAGCACCATGTTCGCCCCTTTCTTTGCATAGCAACCACATCGTTCGTGAAGTTGTGCAACTACAAAACCCAACGCAAGCAACGAATACTCATCTGGTTGATACATCTGCATGGTTTGCGAGTCAATCGAGGCCTGAGCAATTTCCCAACTGGGACGTGAACCAAAGAGCAGGGTGACCCCTGAAACACGAATACATGAGACCCTGAACTTCTTGAGATTTATTCCTGCCTGAGCATCTCAGTGTTTGGACCTTGATAAAACAGTATAGTCCAGATTGGCATTATTCGAAAGACAGACAAGGCACCATACTCAGTGAGTAACGAAATGAATCGATCGAAAAGTCATCATTCTAGAACATCTTTCCACCCAACTTCAAGGATATTTTGGCCCAGTGAATTCACATCACCCAGAATGAAAACGCCAATGCTATGCGCGCAAAATCCGTCAAAATAGACACCCCACCCATTCTTTTTACATTCCCATGAACGCCCATTCCGCAAAAGTTCAGCACCCAGATTACCTCATCAAATCAGTCAAGTTTCTCTTGAAGCGCTCGCACTTGACTTTGAGTGCGCGTACAGACTCCAGGAAGACCTCATCACTGTCGATTTGGCCAGTGCTCTCGACGCTGAAGATGAAGTGATCGCGGATACGGCCTAGTTGCACCTTGTCCTTGAACTCGTCGTGTCTGAGACACTCTCGCGAGACAGTGTCCTTCATTGGGTCTGCGACGACAGCCTTCTTTTCGCCTGATGCCGGGTCGTCCTCCAGCGCGATGACTCCGCGAGGGAAGCAGCGGGCGAACTTCTTTGCGTCTGCACCGAGAATTGGCTCCTTGATGTTGATGGATGGCAGAAGACGGTATGAGGCAGTGGCGACAGGAGAGAACTTGGCGTGATCGGCTCCAATACCCTTGATGCAGTGACATTGCAGATGGATGGTTTGGCCAGGTCTCAGCTTTGCGACCAGGATATCGGGGTTCACAGGGCGGATGACACCCTCACCGCTGAAGTATTCGGATTGGTTGCCTTGAGGGTGGAACTGGAATTGATGGGCGTAGACAGAGCTGTTGATGTATAGCTTGTTGGGGTCGCGCTCTCCCTGCTTTGCAAGTTCCTTGCCTTCAGGACGCCATTCGCAAGTGACGTTGAGCTCGAGGACGATGGTGTTGTTGTCGCGAGGGACCGAGGCATTAGGGTCGATGACTTCACCAGACTGCTGGAAGATGTGCTGCTGAGCGGGGTCATCCTTGGGAGGGCCCTTCTTGTACCATTGCATCCAGCGAAGGCCTTCACGAGAGCCAGTGAAAGGAATGAGACCGAGACGGTGGCAGAGGACCTCGTCCTGGATGATGGAGGTGTTGTCGTACACGAAGACATCTTCGATGGCTACAGTAGGGATTTCGGACAGCATGATACGACGGTATGCGTTTGCGACAGAGGCGTCGATGCCGACGAGAGAGAAGACCGAGTCGTACTGGTCATTCTTGTGGAAGTTGACTTGGAGTTTCTTGGAGATGGTCAGAGAGATGCGCAGCGTGACTCGAGATGGTCAATGGTGTACCTGTTTGAAGGACTCGAGGTTCCAAGAGTGGTCCTCGCCAGGGTAATGACCAGGAAAATCGGTGGAAACTACATTCGAGACGGTTTCGGGGTTGATGCCGACAAGCTATAGGTGAATTAGTATTTGATCATGTATGAATGAATTAGATCGCGTACTCTGCGTTTCTCAACCTCTTCTTGCGAAGGCTGCTTGAAGGATCTGGCCGACATGTTTGGTTAACTCGAACTTTTTTTTGTCGGTATGCGCTTCGGACTGACGAAGCTGTCGACAGAATTTCTGCCAAGCAAAAAAGTAGCGGAGGTTGTACCAGCCGGCTCGACCTTCTTTGCCAAGACTGCTGACCTTTCGAATCTATGCGTCGTTGATGCTCGCCGCAGCTCTATACAAGGCCTCATCTTTCGCGCGCCCGCCCTAATCCCTCTCCACTCTCCGTCTGCCTATCCTACACAATGGCAGCCTCATTTGCTCGCATTGCATCCAGGCGACTCTACCAGCGCCCGGCTCTGCCTCGCCCCTCGACCGCCTTCCGCTCGCTGTCGACCTCTCTTCCCCGTCACTTTGCCGCTCCCGTCGACAACCCCAATGCCACTCGCCTCATCCCCGTCGACCCCAACTTCGTTCCCGGTGCCAGCAACGCTGATAACTCGAACGTCAACCTCGCCAATGACGCCGATGAGGACCCCAACCAACGCAAGATCCGCCACTACACCGTCAACTTCGGTCCTCAGCATCCCGCCGCTCACGGTGTCTTGCGTCTGATTCTCGAGCTCAATGGTGAAGAGATTATCCGCGCAGACCCTCACGTCGGTCTGTTGCACCGTGGTACCGAGAAATTGATCGAGTACAAGACATACCTCCAGGCCCTGCCCTACTTTGATCGTCTCGACTACGTTTCCATGATGACCAACGAGCAATGTTTCTCTCTGGCTGTTGAGAAGCTGCTCAACATTGAGGTTCCTGAGCGTGCCAAGTGGATCCGTACCCTGTTCGGCGAGATCACCCGTATCTTGAACCACCTCATGTCTATCCTCTCCCACGCCATGGATGTTGGTGCCCTGACTCCTTTCCTGTGGGGTTTCGAGGAGCGTGAGAAGCTCATGGTACGTGCAATCATATAACCTGACGAGGCGCATGTACTGATGATTTGCCACAGGAGTTCTACGAGCGTGTGTCTGGTGCTCGTCTTCACGCTGCTTACGTTCGTCCCGGTGGTGTTTCCCAGGATCTTCCCGTTGGTATCCTTGACGACATCTACCAATGGGCCACTCAATTCGGTGACCGCATTGACGAGACTGAGGAGCTGTTGACCGATAACCGTATCTGGAAGGGCCGTACCCAGGGTGTTGGTGTTGTTTCTGCTGCCGATGCTCTCAACTACTCTTTCACTGGTGTCATGCTTCGTGGATCTGGTGTCCCATGGGATGTTCGCAAGTCTCAGCCTTACGATGCTTACGACCAGGTTGAGTTCGATGTCCCCGTCGGTGTCAACGGTGACTGCTACGACCGCTACCTCTGCCGCATGGAGGAGTTCCGTCAGTCCCTCCGCATCATCTTCCAGTGCTTGAACAAGATTACTCCTGGACCCATCAAGGTTGAGGACTACAAGATTGCACCTCCCCCGCGTGCTGCCATGAAGGAGAATATGGAGGCTCTCATTCACCACTTCTTGCTTTACAGCAAGGGTTACACCGTTCCCCCTGGTGAGACCTACTCTGCCATCGAGGCCCCCAAGGGTGAGATGGGTGTCTTCGTCGTCTCGGACGGTTCCGAGAGACCCTACAGATGCAAGATTCGCGCTCCCGGCTTCGCCCACTTGGGATGCTTCGACCAGATCTCTAGAGGACACTTGCTCGCCGACGCTGTAGCAATCATCGGCACTATGGATTTAGTATTCGGAGAGGAGCGTATCTTCCAAGACCCGTCAGATGAGAATTATGCTAACTGTGTTATAGGTCGACCGATAGACGCCAAAGATTCAGTGCGTTGTAAATATGGGGCGTTTTTATATCAACTTTTTTTTCTCGTCGGAATGGTTCAACGGCATTATGTATTTTACTTTAGACAAGTAAACTCGATCCTTTTCTTTTGTAATCATTGCATTGCACTCGTTCTGCTACAAAAACCTTTGTTCTGTGGTTGGCGAGATGTGTAGAGGGTTGCAAGCCGAGGAACGCCCGACCCCCGACGTTGAGCACCTACTCTGAATCAACCAACTTGTCCAAGATCATGGACACTCTGCCATTATGAATATCAAATCGGCTGGCTTGTGTCCTGGAGAGATTCGGTAAGAATGGCTCATATGGGTTATTTCAGGGGCATGACCTCGTGACAGTTCAGCTTGGGAATACTTTTTTCCATAATCATCTGTTCCCTTTTGTGCAGCATCGCTACATAATTGTAAAGACACACGATGCTTTTGATATCGGCACATTGATTCAGAGGGAGCTCATGTAGCGAGTCGATTCAAACCAAGGAAAAGGGGTTTCGTATCACATTACTCAGAAAGAAGTGTTTGAGACGTTGCAAAGTTGGACTCTGCAACCTTGATGTGCATTCTCTAGTGTAATACTGTCTCGGTAGGATAGTAGGAGTGTTGTGGAAAGTCGGGGGGTTGCACTTTAAGCAGGGTATATTTGTGTATTAGTCATTAAGTATTGGTCAAGCTATTGACCTTCTGAGCGAGCGAACATGTGTGTCCTCCTTGCGATGATCATGGTTGTAAAGCACCGTGATCTAATTAGAGGCCTGAATTGATTCCAGACCACACCTGACAGCATTTCCTTCATGCGTTCATCATGCTCTGACCTTCTCTCGAAACACCAAGATCACGATAGGTTTCGATTCACTCCACTCCTCAAATCTCCAACTCGGCAAGGGCCTTCTCAGCCAATTGAGCATACTTCTTCGCTTCGAACCTCTTGCTCTTCCAACCCCTGGCTCTACCCTCTTCAATTCTCAATAGCATCTCCTTCTTCTCGGTTTCTGGATCCTTGAAACTCCAGAAGCTACGTGATTGCGGCAGCTTGGTAGGTTGACTAGGGGAAGATGAGAGCGTGCCGCTCTGTCGGTGGACGCGCTCGGCTTGGTCTGCGATGGTGGAGTGCTTGAGCTCAAGGAGCTGAGCAAGGTGGGTGTTTAGTTGGCTGTGGAGAGCCATGAGGTGAGTCGTACATGCTGCTTGGGCTTTGTCTGTGATTGAAGTAGGAGGAGTAGATCTGTAAGAGCGCGTGGGGGATGGAGGATGAGGTGAGTCGAACACGTCCTTGTTGGCATTCAGGTTTTCAGTTCTGATCGGTGTGCTGTGATCTGATGCTGGTCCGTTTGGTGACTCTGATACAGACATTGTGAATGGGTCTTCCAAGGGGGCCATCATGTCTTGACACACGCTGTATTGGATTGCTTTGACGGTAGCGCAGGACAAGGGAGTAAAACTGCGTGGCCAGCTGAAGTTGATGCGGTCGCTTCGTGCACTAAGAGAGTTGGTGCGGGAGATTGCTGATCCAGGTCCAAGGTGAGCTATGGACGGCTTCTTGCTCCGGCGGACGTGCGCCATCTCGGGGACTGGAGTTGTGCGGGTTGAAAGGTCTTGAAGGTCAATATTGTACAGCATTGACCTTTCTCCAAGGAGGTGCTCTTCAGTTGAGCATGCATCCAATGCTTTATTGTATGCAGACTCGGCTGCAGTAATCTTGGGTAGTCTCCATACCGAGTAAACATGCATGATTCTAGCAAGACCTTCATAAGAAAGGGCAGCGTAGAAGTTGAGAAAGATGGCATGTGCCGGCACGTTCTGCAATGCATGTTAGAGTGATGAACAAACCACTTTCTGTTCTCGATATTACCTGGTTGTGAGCGAGCAGTTCCTCGCATCTGCGCGCACATTCTTTGTATTGATGATTCAAGTACAGTGCTTTGATGTAGTGTAGCTCAAAAGGGAATGATTGTGTTATGTTGACGCTCGAGCACAGCTCGTTGTCCGTGTTGGAAACTGTCGCCATGAGGTAAGGACTGCTGCAACTAGATGATACTGGAGTAAGTCTCAAAGAAGTGGTTGATGGTCAAGAGGGTAGGATGGGACGCGATTGAATTAATTTCTGGTTTCATGACAACGAAAGAAAAGCGGAGCCTCTCTCGGCATGGATATTACCAACCTGAAAATCTCTAAAAATCTCATACCGATCAACTTCGAACCTCCTAAAGATGCATTGCAAGTTATGGCCTCAAACACACTGACAAAGTGTCGACATGGCTGCATACGCCAGCGTCCGGCCAACTGCTGGTCGAGATTACATCTAGACCGAGACTTCTGTCCCCCCTGCAAGTACGACTCCTCGACGATATATCGTTGAACGAATCAGAACCAAAGAGGCAGATCGACAAGTAGACGCTGCCAACAACCAGCGTAATGACTAGTAGCTCAGTGTCGTATCAAGAACTGAGCTTGAGATATCGACATGCACACCCGGTGTTCCTGGGACATCAGGATGCGCGGGTCAACCTATCCAGACAATCTCTCAGAGTCAAAGAGGCGGTGATGAAGATTGGCTGAGAGTTGGTTGACTGGAGAAGAGGTGGAGAGCGGGAGGCTGGAGGCCGCCGCCTTGGCATCAACTTTCCAACGAGCGTCACATCTTGAAAGAAGCACCATCTCGAAGTCCGCTACCACTCTCATCAACGATTAATCGCTGCGCGCAAACTTGTCATCGTTTGCACAAACTGTATTTTAATGACCCCTTGAATGCCGAACTAGCGACATCACCATGTCTGACGGTAAGCACAGCAGTTACTCTAAATGGCGCGCCGCCGAGACTAACGAGGCAATAGCTGAAATCCGCCGACTGCAGCAGGAGCGCGCCTCCACCAGAGCCAATCCGACCAAGCAATCGCTCACCGACAATGCCGATACTGACCTCTACGGAAGTGGCACTGTCGACAAATATGCCGGATACAACACGTCGATCGCCGTCAATGAGGACGACGACATGGAAGATGCAGATGGCGAAGACCAGAGCAGAAGACTGGTCGGCCAGTACACCGCCACCACCGAACAGATGAATGAGTACGCCAACGGAGAGGCCGACATCCTGGTCGACCGCGAGAAGCAGGCCCAAATCGCCAGTCGCGAATCAGACTACCAGAAGCGTCGCTTCAACCGCCAACTCAGCCCCGATGGCCAGAGCTACAAGGAGACCATGCGATTACGCGAGCTGGAGCGCGAGGAAGAGCGGGTACAAAAACTTGTAGAGGAGAAGCAGGCCAAGGGAGAGGATGTCATGGACGATGTGGTTGAGCATAAGCCAACCCTGAAGGCCGATGAGGAATCAACCGAAGTTTCTGCTCCTCGCAAGCGCAAGCAACGATGGGACAGCTCGTCAGAAGATGCCGCTGCAAAGGACGCCGTCGTTAAGGCCGAGGACGCTCCCGAAAGCAAGCGCTCAAGATGGGACTCTACTCCTGCACCAGCAGCTTCGGCCGAGCCGAGAAAGCGTTCACGTTTCGACATGGCTCCTTCTCTCACAGCTGCGACTCCTGTTGGTGGAAATGCAGGTCTTGCCACTCCCATGCATCCCTCCCAGACACCCGCCGCTGGAGCTGGATACGGCACCGACATCTCTGGCAGAAATGCCCCCCTCTCTGATGAGGAGCTCGACATGATGCTCCCTGGCGAAAAAGAAGGTTACCGCGTTTTGGCATTCCCTCCAGGATATGAGCCTACCCGAGTACCGGCACACAGAGTTCCCAGCACTCCCGCTTCGCTACAAGGAGGTTTCATGATGCAACAGCCCGTCGACCCTCGATCACTTGGCAAGGACCTGCCAAACGAGTTGCCTGGAGTCGGTGAACTTCGCCTCAAGCCAGAGGATATGACTTACTTCGGAAAGCTTGTTGACGGTGCTGATGAGAACGAGATGAGCGTCGATGAGCTCAAGGAGCGCAAGATTATGCGTTTGCTTATCAAGGTCAAGAACGGAACTCCACCCATGCGTAAAACTGCGCTACGTCAACTCACTGACAATGCTCGTTCGTTCGGTGCCGGTCCGCTCTTTGATCAGATCCTTCCTTTGCTCATGGAAAAGACACTCGAAGACCAAGAACGTCATTTGCTTGTCAAGGTTATTGACCGTATTCTTTACAAGCTCGATGACTTGGTCAGACCTTACACCCACAAGATTCTGGTTGTTATCGAACCATTGCTGATTGATCAAGATTACTACGCTCGTGTTGAAGGTCGCGAAATTATCTCCAACCTTGCCAAAGCTGCTGGTCTCGCACATATGATTTCTACTATGCGTCCTGACATTGATCATGCGGACGAATACGTTAGAAATACCACTGCTCGTGCTTTCGCCGTTGTGGCTAGCGCTCTCGGTATCCCTGCACTCCTCCCATTCTTGCGCGCTGTGTGCAAGAGTAAGAAGTCATGGCAAGCAAGACATACTGGTGTTAAGATTGTGCAACAGATTCCTATTCTCATGGGCTGCGCTGTTCTGCCCCACCTGAAGGGTCTTGTTGACTGCATAGGAGACAACTTGAACGACGAACAGACTAAGGTCCGTACCGTTACTGCACTGGCTATTGCTGCTCTTGCCGAGGCTGCCAACCCTTACGGTATCGAGAGTTTCGATGACATCCTCAACCCTCTCTGGACCGGAGCTCGCAAGCAGCGTGGTAAGGGTCTTGCAGGTTTCCTCAAGGCTGTTGGCTACGTTGTTCCTCTGATGGACGAAGAGTTTGCCAACTACTACGTCAGTCAAATCATGGAGATTCTGCTTCGTGAATTCTCGTCACCCGATGAGGAGATGAAGAAGGTTGTTCTGAAGGTGTTGTCACAATGTGCCAACACCAACGGTGTCACTGCCGCTTACTTGAAGGAGACTGTGCTTGATGACTTTTTCAAGAGCTTCTGGGTACGAAGGATGGCACTGGACAGACGCAACTATGTCCAGGTTGTCGAGACCACGGGAGACCTCGGTCGAAAAGTCGGCTGTGGTGAGATTGTGGAGAGAGTCGTTGATAACCTGAAGGATGAAAGCGAAGCCTACCGAAAGATGACCATGGAGACTATTGAAAAGTCCATTGCCAGCTTGGGTGCCGCAGACATCAACGAACGACTTGAGGAGCGCTTGGTCGACGGTATTCTGACCGCCTTCCAAGAGCAAACAGTGGAAGACATCACTATCTTGAACGGATTCGGTACCGTGGTCAACGCGCTCGACACCCGATGCACACCATATCTGCCTCAAATCGCCAGTACAATTCTCTTCCGTCTTAGCCACAAGTCAGCCACTGTCAGACAACAAGCTGCAGACTTGGTATCACGAATCGCCATTGTCATGAAGCACTGTGGACAGGAAAACTTGTTGGGTACGATCAGCATCAACTTGTACGAGAACTTGGGTGAAGAATATCCCGAAGTTCTTGGTTCAGTGCTTGGTGCGTTGCGCTCGATCGTTACTGTCATAGGAATCAACCAAGTGCAACCACCCATCAAGGATCTGCTGCCACGCCTTACCCCCATTCTTCGTAACCGTCACGAAAAGGTCCAAGAAAACACCATTGACCTGGTTGGTCGTATTGCAGACCGTGGTCCGGAAAGTGTCAACCCTCGCGAATGGATGCGTATCTGCTTCGAACTTCTCGACATGCTGAAGGCACACAAGAAGGGTATCAGACGAGCAGCCAACAACACATTCGGCTTCATTGCCAAGGCCATCGGTCCCCAAGACGTTCTGGCAACTCTGTTGAACAACTTGCGTGTGCAGGAACGTCAATCTCGTGTTTGTACCGCCGTTGCTATTGGCATCGTTGCGGAAACTTGCGCGCCTTTCACCGTCCTGCCAGCTTTGATGAATGAGTACCGTGTTCCTGAACTCAATGTTCAGAACGGTGTGCTGAAATCGCTGTCCTTCCTCTTTGAGTACATTGGCGAGATGGCCAAGGATTACGTCTATGCTGTGACACCACTTCTCGAAGACGCTCTCATCGATCGTGATCAAGTGCATCGTCAAACCGCAGCTTCGGTTGTCAAGCACGTTGCTCTCGGTGTTGTTGGCCTCGGCTGTGAAGACGCCATGCTCCATTTGCTCAACCTGCTCTTCCCCAACATCTTCGAGACATCACCTCACGTCATTGACCGCATGGTTGAGGCAATTGATGCCGTACGTGTCGCTGTCGGTACCGGTGTTGTGATGAACTATGTTTGGGCCGGTCTCTTCCACCCTGCAAGAAAAGTCAGAACTCCTTACTGGCGACTCTACAATGATGCTTATGTCCACGCCGCTGATGCTATGGTGCCTTACTACCCCAACCTCGATGACGAGACCTGTGACAGGTTCGAGTTGATGGCTATCTTCTAGACACAACACTGGACACGAAAGTTCAAAGGGCAAAGAGAAGATGGGCTGATGTTCCTTTAATAGTGGCGTTTATAACTGGTCGCAAGGGATAAGGTAGTCGCTAGGGGAGTAGTATTGGTGTAGAGATTAGTTTAGCCGGCACACGGCAATTGTTTTTACGAATATCAAGCATAAATACTTCATGATTATTCTCAACCATCTCAATCGTGTTTCCGATCGTTCTCGGCAGTGTACCTCAAGCAGCGTGTATCAATTACCCGCTTTTGCATCTTCCACGGCTCTCGTTCGTCTGTTTTCCTTTGCTTCCACACATTACTCACCTTCCTCCGTTCGCCTTGCAGATCAGAAATCTAGCAGCAGTATACCACACCGACAGCAGCGCAGACGTAGCTAAGATTGCAAGAGGGAGAGTGTGTGTGAGTGGGACTAGCCCTACGAATGTCTCTCGCAACAGCCGTGATCGTTAGTCAAACATGAGCGAGTTGAAATCACTGGACCATTGTGGTTGTACTTTTTGGTCGAGAATAACCCCCAAAGTCACTCACACACCTAGAAAGCTCGTGGCCATCATATGTCATCCAGATTCCACATTGACCCAAGACACACACCAGAGCACGACGGTGTCAATAGAGGATAATGTTGTGTTGGACAGGCTGTTGTTACCGAGGAGCATCACGGGACCGAAGGTTGAGATGGGAGTTGGCGAAAGAAAACAACGGATAGGTCAATGGAGGATGACGGTCAGCTGAAATATCACTGGGCTACAAAAAAGATTTCCACCCATGAAGCAGATGGTCTAGATTAGTTGCACCTTCCTGTGACCAGAAAACAGGATCATATTTGTCGAACAAAAACCGAGCTTCGGGCCCACATCGTAACTTCCCTGCATCCACAATCTACGAAAAACATGAGCTCTATGCTGAGGTAAATGGAAAAAGTGATGTTCGTTTCGTAAGAAGAAAAAGTATATAGTAGAGAAACATAACCCATTTGCATGCCGAAGTTTCGAGGTGCCATCTTTTTCCAAAAAGACGGCGTTCCATCCTCTTTAGTGTCATTAACATAAACGCCCGCTTCAGAATCATATCGCAATGATAAGCGAGATCAGAGTCAAATATCTTATGAGTAGAATTGACCCTTTTGGAAACTCTCTACGCCAAGATCGCCAGCTTTACCTTGAATGTTGGGAGGCAGTTCGCGGGGAGCGGATTTGACGAGCTCCTTTTCTCTGTCAACCATGGTGTTGGAACGGCTGTCGCTGCTGGTCGTGTTCATGGTCTGAGCACGGCTTCCAGCAGGGCTGGCTCCGTTGGTGATCTGTCCTTGAGGACGGCGTTGGATAGTCTCGAGATAGGGAGCAGGGAGGTAGCCCTTGCGACCATCACGAGCACGGCATTGCCACCATTCTGAAGGGTTGCCGAGGGGGTCAGTCTTGCTCAACACGGCAACAAGATCGCCTTTAGCGACGGCGAGGTCGACGCCTTGTACAGCGTTTGAGTTTGCTTCGGGGTTGAAGTCGTAAAGGACGCGGCAGAAGTCGAGCTTGGATGGGTCGAGCGGTTGTTGGGGACCCTCGGCTTGAAGACGTCGTTGCTCTTCCTCTTCTTGGCTGCGAGCCAGGGCGCGGATCAGCTTGCCCATAAGGTAGGGCAGACCGAATACGGCAAGAATGAACATGACAAAAGGCTTCTTGCTGGCGCGAGGAGGAGCAGGAGAGCCATCAGGGAGGCGGCCATTGAAGTTTGCGAAGTTGGCTGGTGTGAGGTCGGTGCTATTTGCAGGGAGTGGACGGCCTGTCAATTTGGCCATGGCTGTGCGTATCCAACGGATGATGGTGAAGATGCCTAAAACTTGACCAAGAGTTTGCCGTAAGTTGCCGAATTGCTCGGCCACAGAAACCATTGCTAGAACGTGTTAGCAGAGTAATACCAAAAAGAGCAATAAGGACGTACCGAAGAAACTCGAATGTGTAGCCATATATGTGCTCTCAAGCATCTGAGCGAATCCACCAAAAGCCCCGACAATGCTCTCGATGAGCTGGAAGGTGGTTTGTGTGCTCTGACTGAAGGTCTGGGTCAGACTCTGGCCATTGGGACCGCCCATGGGGCCTCCCATGCCGCCGTACATGCCACCCATGCCGCCCATGCCTCCCATACCACCCATACCACCATATGGACTTCCACCGTACATGCCTCCTCCTCCATACATGCCACCTCCGTACATGCCTCCGCCATAGCCAGATCCATAGCGCGAGTAAGGTGAAGTCATTGCGCCGCCGCCGTAACCGTACGGCGAAGATTGGTATGGCTGGTTGCCGGAGAAGTTGGAGGCGGTGCGGTCGACGACAGAGTTGAGGGATTCCGGTCGCGATGGTAGTGCGGGAGTCGCGGCGGAACCAGGGATGTTCGATGATGAAGGGATGGCGGGCGCGGTCGCTGATGAGGGGATGGCGGCGGATGAAGTTAATGCTGTGTCATGGACGTCAGTCGCTCGAGTCCGGGGCGCTGTCAAGGGCGGACGATCCAAAGACGTACCCGACGACGAGGCAGCGCGTCCTCTTTCCCACGGTTTCGGCGGCGATGGCGTCGCCATTTCACCAGAATCTCGTCTAGATTTGTCCTTTGTCTGAGAATAACGACCCCAGAGTTTTGTCGAGGAAGTGACGATTTGTCGTCCTACCCAAAATGCCGAGGCTGTTTATCGCCCGCTTGCCGCCGCCTGCGTTTCCTTGTCACAGACGCACGTGAATACCTTTGTCTTTATCTTTCGGAACTCCCTTGTCTCTTCGAGAAACAGCAGATTGCACAGCCCGAGGCAAGCAGACTTGACAGACCTGTAATACAGTCAGACAGAAACAGCCATTGGGTTACTCTACGGGTTGGTGATTCGCGATTGCTGCTTCGGACCAAATCTCCACTTTTGGATCTTGCCGAGCACCCGAGGAAAGCACATGGCCTCAGGGTCTTGCTCAACCCAATCCAAACGTCAGACCACGAGAATGTGTTGACTTCAGATCCATCCATAATCATGCACTGAATGGTATTCTTGAATTGCCTCAGCGATGACGAGGCTAAGTCGAGACTGTTGGGTGGCCAGGTTCAGACAACTCCAGGCCACATTCATGCGTCGTCTGCATTCCACCCAGCCACTTCGAAATCTGGGATCTACTGTACACTCCACATCGTCACCCAATGACCACAAACAAGGAATATGAGACTGCTGTTGATGCATCTTGAAATTTCGCTAAGTACAGTTGTTGCATGCTAATCACTATTTTGTGCAAGTCGCCTCCAACACACCATCTCCACGCCAGCGCTATGAACATCAATGCTCTCCGCGAATCCCAATATCAAATTAAAGTAAAAACATAGCCTCGTCAAGAATGTTAAGATGACAAACGAATCTTCCTGCCTTTCTACGCTACCAAGGCGAAGAGGGAGTTCAAGGTGCTCTGGACCAAGCCGGACTCGCAGAGGTCAGAGACCCATGAAGCATCAAGGTTGGTGGGCAACTCGTAGTCGCTGTCGAGGACCTTGATGTGCATGTTCTCGCCGTTCATGAGGACCATGGCCTTCATGCTACCAGATGTGGGACGCTTGAAGTAGTCGGAGTTGCCACCCTTGATGTTGCTGTGAAGAGTCGACTTGCAGCGGAGATCACCAGGAGCGAGAACCTCGAAGATATCGAACTCACCGCAACCGGTGGTCCAGCAAGAGCACTCGGCCTTGCCGTACTGGAGAGTGCGAGGAATTTGAGCGTTAAGCATCCAGATAGCGGGCATGTCACCGTTGGTAGCAGCATCGGTGTTGCCGTCAAGGGGCATCTCAAACTCGAAGAAGAAAGCCTTCTGAGCACCAGCGAAGCCGTGGTAAGCAACGTTACCATCACGGTAGTAGCCACAGTCACCATCGCACTCCTTGTCGGACATGATGATAACCTCCTCGTTGGAACCGAGCTGAGTGTCGGCAAGAACCTGAGGAGAGGAAGCACCAGCATCACCCTTGCTGTTGGCGTAGGAGAGCGAGTTACCGAAAGTGTAGTCGAAGACACCAGAGCCAGAGCCACCGTTGTGGTTGAGGAAGACGACGTTGTCTGCGGAACCGGCTTGAGAGTTGTAGTAAGCCTTGCGACCCCAGGATCCAGAGCTGCCAGACGAAGCAGTAGATGAAGCAGAAGCCGACTTGGAGGATGAGCTGGAGCTGGCCTTTGCGACAACAGCAGAGCTAGAGCTAGCGCTAGAGCTGTATGCGGCGGGAGCGTTAACCTTCAGTAGCTTGGGCAGGAAGCCAACCGAGGCGGACTCGGTGCTGGCGGCAGCAGGGGCAGCGGAAGTAGTGGCTGCGGCGACTGATGAAGCAGCGGTGGAAGCAACACCAGACCACTCGTTCATCCAGGAAACTGTCTGGCCGTCTATAATCGCGGTTACCCAATCGCCGAGACCACGCTTCTCAACATCTTCGTCACGCTTGTGCTTGTGGGCGTGCTTGTGGGCGTGGCCGTGACGGTGCATGGCACTGCGCTTGGCCTTCTTGGAAGAGTCGGAAGAGTCGGTGCTAGGCGAGAAGAAAGCGAACTGCTTCAACTTGAGAGGACCACGGAAATGGAGAGAAACTTCCTCGTCAAGAGGAGACATTGATCCAGAGTATCCATAGGGGCTGGAAGAGCAAGAACCAGAGTTGCTGTCCATGGCGCTGATCTTGTTGTAAGAGCCCTTGCCCAACATTCCAGTGTAAGTGATGGCATCGACGGCCTGGCAATACCAGTTGCCATTGTCGTCGACGGAACCCTTGCTGCAAAGGTCGGCGGCAGCTCCAGAGATTGATGCAGCCAGGAAGGCGCTGGCAGCGATGATGTTCTTCATTGTGTTGTTGAGCGTCAACAGGGATTGCTTAGGCGGGCGTAATAGAAGCGCACTCGATTATATGAGGCGAAGAGCAGTAAAGCAAGGGGGTATCAAACGCGTCGTCAATGCAAATTGGTAAAGATCGTGGTAATGTCACTAGGACACTTAAAGAATGACTGCTGGTCAGGTATGTTTGTTGTTGGTAACGAATGACGAGGTGAAGGAATGGAACTCGAGGCCGACTCGGGGGCTGGGACCTGAATTAAAGCGAAATCGAACACTCGGGTGTGAGTGAACAATGCAACCAAAGAGGCGCTTGGGGTTCATGGTCATGGCACGCCTAGAGTTCGCCTTTCTTACACGCGCCGTTATGGCCGAGTCGCAGTGTGGGTCACAATTTCACTGGACATTAGCGTGGATGCATGTGGCTTGATAGGTGCCGTTGTCCTCCATTGCTCTGGAGATCCGTTGCGCAAAGAGAACAAAGACCACTCGTTGCATTCGACCTGTCAAAGCTGGCTTTGATGAGATGTGGCTGGCTATGTCTCTGGCAAATAACGACCTGTACACTGTTCAAGTAGATCATTGGTGAATCAGTTGGCCCCTGTGATTCGATCGAGGAGGATCTGGCAATCCCCCGACGGCGAACTCTTGGTGCAGGTTGTAAGAAGTATGCACGGCCGCAACTCGCTCGACGTTTCACCATGGAACCGGCCCCGTGCGCCACCCTGCATGTCTGTCGCGCCGAGGGTCAGGAACAAGAAGAAAGACTACCAACGCTTGTACCTACTGGGTATACAGAACGGGTGTCAGATGCCTCGACGGGCGGTTACTCGCTTTGCGAATGGACAGCATGTGGTCGTTACATGATAACCTTCTTTTTGCTGTCTCGGCTGCTGCAGGGACCGATCCGACAACACGTGAAGCGTCTGGAGATTTGTTCCTGCCGATCTAAAAGCATCAATCCCGCAGATACACACCGCCAAGGTAAGAGGATGAGCGAGCCGCATCTCATTCAAACATGACACAAGATGCTGATCATCTATTTTTCGGCAGAGAAAGTGTGATGTGCTGGAGAGAAACATGGAGAGAAATGCGGTCCATGGTACACATGGCAGCCTGAGTCAGGAGTCAGGACAGCTCACGTTACCTCAGATGCAGGTCGCAACGGCGCGGATAGCACCCGATGCTGTGTTCCCCAATCAAGGCATTGTTCGAACGGGGATACCGTCGTCCTCGTACGCCGAGAGGTGTGTGCGTCCGGTTGACAAGACTTTGTTCAGCACCTGCCGTGCTTGGATAGGCGCTCGGCGGGCCCCAGATCTGAGCACAGGACATGGACGTTGGTATGGCAAAGAGAAAGTAGTCGGAAGATTGGATATGCATATTTTATATTTGAGATTGCCAAAAGGCGTTCAATAACAATCAAGACTACCATGTGCAAAAAATGTTCAGGCCAAGTTCCAAACAAATTTTGATAACTTGGACATCAAGCCCATCCAAGAGCCAAGGACTTAGCAGGGGTTAGGGGCTGCGAGTGTAGATTTCTCTACGACTGAGCCACGCCGGTGCCGAGGTCGTATGAGAACAAAGTCTTTGCGTCTGGTAAGAAAGAAATTGTCTGCAAAAAGTCGTTGTTAGCCATATGTCTAGGCAGAGCAAAGCGACCAAGATGCGAGAAGGGTTTGAGGCGATCAGAAGTCCATTTAGATCATCGAGACTCGTGAGAGTCTCTGACATAAGAGGTACCAGAAAAATAGTAATGTAAAGACAAAGTTCATCATATAAAGGGCTGAGGGAAAATGTTGTGACCTACCAGTTCGGATGTTGCAAGGCCTGAGGCTCTACTGAAGCGAATTTCATGCGTGTATGAACGTGCGATCAGTGAGCCATCGAGCCTTGCGAGCCAGTGTCGAGTCTGCCACGCGCAGAATGAATTGGTGTGGATAGGAATTCCGTGTTGTAGAGAACAAGAACTTTTCGAGAAGGAGAAGACAGAGTGAAGATTTCGCTACGGATGAACGTCGGGTGAAGCCGCCCACGATCTGTCTTGGCGTTTTCTCGCCAGCCCGCGAAATTGATTTGAGCTTTGCTTTCTGCGCGAGAAGAACTCGAACGACGAACGAGCATCCGACGACCCTTCAACCGACAACTTCTTCTTCCAACCGACATTCAAAATGGGCCGTCTTCATTCCAAGGGAAAGGGTATCGCTTCCAGCGCCATCCCCTACTCGCGCGCTCCTCCCGCATGGCTCAAGACCACCCCCGAGCAGGTTGTTGACCAGATCTGCAAGCTCGCCCGTAAGGGTGCCACCCCTTCCCAGATCGGTGTTGTCCTCCGTGACTCCCACGGTGTCGCTCAGGTCAAGGTTGTCACTGGTACGTTTCGCCCGTCGCGCAGCATTCGTCGCGACAGAAAACTAACACAACCCAGGTAACAAGATTCTGAGAATCCTCAAGTCCAGCGGTACGGTCCACCCCGTGTGAAAGAAAGATGGAAAAAGATGGAAAGCAAGAAATTGCGAATAGCCATATTTCCCACACATCAACTCTGCCTCTGTTTGGTCTTTGACTGACGGAGTGATATTCAATAGGCCTCGCCCCTGAGATCCCCGAGGACCTCTACATGCTCATCAAGAAGGTCGGTCTACACTCGCATCACAACTTCTACGCCCGGTTGGCTGACAAGATAATTCCAGGCTGTTGCCGTCCGCAAGCACCTCGAGCGCAACCGCAAGGACAAGGACTCCAAGTTCCGTCTGATTCTCATCGAGTCCCGTATCCACCGTCTGGCCCGTTACTACAAGACCGTCGGTGTCCTTCCCCCCACCTGGAAGTACGAGTCCTCGACCGCCTCCACCCTCGTCGCATAAGCGGCTTTTGACTGAGAAATGTCGAATCGAGGAGGAAGAGAAAGCATCGATACCACATGGCGTTCCGGGCATGTGTATTTGGAAGGTCGCCGGGGTTTGCACTAGCTCGTTGCAAAGGGATGAAAAAGTAAATGAACGACCAGGGAGCCACTTTTGGACCCTCACCAAAAACCATGCGTCCGATTGCCATTCCAATTCTGTCCACTTTTCGAATAAATGCGCTTGACGTGATTGTAATATTCTACATCGAGAATTATAACGAACCTCATGAACTCCATCGCTATGCAGGTTGCAGCCAAGCACCATGTTTCCTTTCCCAAGTGATCGTTTTCCCTTTCCCATTTGGTCTAACTTCGCCCATGCCCAGCCCAGCCTAGCCTAGCCTTCTGTTTCTGCTTGATCATGCCTTGTCTTCTGTTCCTCCTGATCATGCCTCGCCCTCGGTTTCGGCACTGCGCTTTGCCAGGAACTCGCTCAGCCACTTCAATGGCTTGTCGGGCTCATAGGCAGCCAAGTACTTCATGCCTTCCAACAAATGCGGTGTGACCATCTGATTGAGATAGACTCTGGTAGGCGAACCATGCGGATGAGGCTTCTCTGGTGGTAGCGAGACTTGAGGAGGAATCGAAGAAGGTCTTGTAGGCGGCGCAGGTGGTGGAGTTGGCGCTGAAGTTGGCATGGATGCTGTGGGTGGTGCTGTCGGCGCAGAGGCCGTAGCAGGTAGAGGTGATGCTGAAGGGGCTTGTGCGACTGGGGGAGGGAGTGTTTGACTTGTTGATGCACTGGTAGAGTCACCATTGAGGATGCCTTCCATGCTCGTTGGTAGCGACTCTTGTTGCGGTGCTTGTGCGGTAAATGGCTGGTTGATGGGCAGTGCCGATGTCTCGTCTTTGGGCGCAACTTCCTCCTGGTGATCTTGAGCAGCTCCTGCTACTTGGTCGGGTGCTGAAGGGACGCTATGGACAGAAGGCTATCCACAGTCAGCGGCGCATTCGACCATGTCTTATGAGTGGTGTTCCTACCTCTGCCATCTCCTCCTTCATCTCCACATCGTTAGTTGATGGCGCATTCAATCCGTTGGTGGGCTCTGCCATGGTGCTGTATTTAGCAATTGGAGGTCAAGTCGGAAGAGGCTACAGCTCTAGAAGATCATCGGAAGAACTGTCGCACGTGACTGTGAATTCGCGCACAGACCACTCTGGAGACCACCCCTAGTTGCCGGACCTTTCTCCTCTTCCACAATCCAGCGTTTACAACTGTCCACCAACTCTCCGAATTTTCGTCTTTTGCGCATGGCTCACACACTGTGATGGAGCTCATCGGTCGTGCCTGGCCCGTCTCCTTCGTCAAGATCATTTCGCTGACTTGTTGAACGGTCTCTAAAGTCCTGCTTTCAAAGGAAGAAGCACCTGTATTTCACGATGTTGTTATTCTTTGTAGAAGAGCGCTCCAGTACACAGAAGGCAACTGAGGGTCTGAGCCTGGTTGCTGATCCGATATAGCAGCCAAGGATGCATCATCAGAACGCACAACCTTTTGTACAAAGACATGCCATGCCATCTGTCCGATACAAGGGAGACTATGCCTCGTATATCTTCAGGTTCCTCCGTCAATATGCTCAACTTAAAGCAGAGAGATAAGTAGCTCCCATTTGTTATCATCACTTCCAAGAAAAAGCCCATTCGTAGAGTTCACTCGAACTAGGAGCTCAGAAATGCTCGACCACTGGCATTGATAGCTCGAATTCTCATATTTGAGAAGTGACGCGTCGAACTGTTTCCGTACATTGATTGCTATAAAAATCCAAAGCATTCGTTGTGTGCTTGAACCAGCTATTCACCCGATCAATGCCAGTGCCAACACAATAAAAAGTTCTGCTCTCACTTCTGCTTGTTCGACACACTCCCACACACTACTTATTCCGTTTCTCCTCCTCTGGTCCTCCGTCTTTCTTACTCGAACGTCGCGAACTTGAGGTCATAGCAACCCACACTTACAACACTACTTACTCGTTTCTGCCTCTGTGGTCTTGCGTCTCTCTTGCACGGACATCGCGAATCACAAGTCACAGCAACCCGAACATCGCGAACCTCAAGTCATAACAACCCGAACATCGCGAACCTCAAGTCACAGCAACCCAAAGCGTCTCAAGATCTAGACTTGAGCTTCCTCTTGTACGTTCCTTCCCTCTGCTCCTTCATTCTTCTTTGCTCAACGCAGCTAACCTCAAGTCACAGCATCCCACAAAGTCTCAAGATCTATACTTGAGCTATCTCTTCCAAGTCTCTCAATCAACATTCAACCTTCAGCCATCATGCCTCCCAAGGGTTCCGTAAGTCGAATCTCTTATTATCTCAGCCCCTTCTTCAGCACCTCTCCTTCGTCTCGACACCTGGTTTGAATTACTTCTTGCAACAACGCATGCCCCTGTCGACACCCACCTCTTATGGCGGAGCAAGTCTCGCTTGTATTTCGACACCGGCCTGCCCCCTTATCGACTTACTCATTTGAACTCTCACGGGTGCCATCGCTTGGTTTGAATTACATCTTGCATTTTTACAAGCCCCTTTACCGGCCTACCTCTGACGGCGGAGCGTGCTGCTCTTGCACATCGATGCCAGTCCGGATTCTCGCACATGACTTCCTTGATAACGCCTCACTTTCACTTTCACTTCCACTTTCACTTCCTCTTTCTCTTTCTTCTTCTCTTTCTCTTCCGTCTTCTACTTTCCATTTTGATCTCACACTTGCTATCTTGAGCTTCCATCTTACTTATGCGTTCACAGAAGAAGGCTGTCACCACCAAGGCTGCCACCAAGGCTGCTAAGCCCGCTGCCGAACCCGCTCCTACCACTCCCGATGCTGAGTCTGGAGATGAGAATCAGGCTCCCTCAACTCCTGCTACCAAGACCAAGACTCCCAGAAAGAGAGGCACTCCCAAGGTTGCCAACAAGCTGGCCACTCCTGCTAGCGGTGCGGGCCCGGTTGATGTCACTTACGAGAACGATTCTGTTCTTGCTACTGTAAGTGTTCAATTCAATCCTTCTCAACGTGTCACTTGTTCAACACTGACATTCCATAGCCTCTGCCCAAGGCCAAGGGAGGCGGCTTCGGTCAGACTGTGAAGCTCTCTGCTGCTCAACCCTTCGAGCTCGTCGCTTCCTACATGCTCGACAATGGCTGCCAGGCTATCATCATCAAGCCAGCTGCCCCGTTCCAGTTCATGAAGCTGCCCAAGGACATCCGCGGCAGAATCCTGAGATACAACCTGGCACCCAAGAACGCAGATGGCGTTCTGCTCAACAAGATCGACATCGTCGAGAAGTCCGGCGCCATCAAGGCTAAGGACTACGCCAAGGAATTCAAACACAGACTTGCTATCACTATTCTCAACAAGGAAAGCGCCGCCGAAGCTCGCCAAATTCTTTACGGCTTCAGACTCAAGTTCGACAACACCATGAGCCTCCTTCAATTCATGAGCAGTGCTGGTGACGAAGTCCGCAAGGCCATGTGTCGCGTCACTATTGGAAACTGGGTCAAGGGAACCGCCATGGCCTCCATGACGATGCTCATGGACTGCACCAACCTCACTTCGGTCGTCATCCTCGCCGGCGTTGGCACCAACAGCAAGCCCGACAAGGCCGCCAAGGTCTTCTTCGCTGAAGCTGGCCGCTTCATTCAGAATCTCGTCACTGCCAACGGAGGCAGAAAGGAAGTTGTCTTTGAGATCATCACCTTCGGAAAGCACTGCTTCTCAATCAAGGACGAGGACGAGCTCGAGGATTGGGACGATGATCAGGTCAACATCTTCACCAGTGAGGTCAACGCAAAGCTCAAGTAAGCGGATCTCCTAACCACAATATGCCCATCTTTCGCACTTGCTTTCCCACACCCTTTGTTGTTTTCAGAGATCATGGTTGGAGCCGGCGCGCAATCGAGGTTTCAGGCATACGAAGAGCAATTTGGACAGACGTTTGAGTTCAATCGTCGTCCCCTCCTGGGATCAGTCCGTCAATTGCTCTTTTCATCTTTCTTTCTGCTGTACCGCTGGCCGCAAGTAGGTAGAAACCCGCACATCGGGCTTCTACAAGTTCCCTCAAAAGTTATCTGAGAGAAATGCAAATACCCCCATTCAAGTCCTAACTTCACCTTCCGTCTTCTCTTCTCTAGTGATATACATGCTGAAACTTTCATTACAGTGCTATTGATCTGCCTACTTGGGCTTGCATGTGTGGTTCGCAGGAGCGCGGCCATAGTTGTGGCGAGGTGATTGCTCTCCGCGCTCGCATTGAGGCTCTTCGTCCTCTTCCTCGTGCTCTTCCGTACCTCCACAAGCGTGTAGTTGCTCTGGCTATGATGGGTTGAGCACCGATACTCCGAATATCAAGAGAAGGAAGCAATATATAGTCTCTGCATGTCTGACCGGCGTGAAGCCTACTGGCAGAGACGAAAGGGTCAGCACATGCTGACACGGTATTCACAGGCAATGAGTTACTCGTTCATCAGTCTTCTGACTCCTCTGGCTCTTCTTCAACGTGTGACTTCTTCTCCAACAGGCGACTTCTCCCTTAACGTGTAACTCGTTCATCGACCATTGACCAAATCACCCTCGATCGAGTGACTCGTTTGATGACCTCTAAGCCTCCGTCTGTCTCAATGCTCTTGACTTCGGTACAGCTCTCTTCTCAGAGTAGCACACTACATCCTGCCAAACTTTTGAGTCCGATCTGATACACCAAGACGATATGACCTGCAAGCATCTCCCTATCCAATGCACCTACCACAACTACCTGTAGAACTGCGCAAACGTAATCAGGATTTGGCAAATGTCCAGTGCGAGTGTAAACAATCCGAGCTCTCAGTGAAGGCTCGCCTGTTTCCTAAAGCCACTGCGCATGTTGATGTGTATCAAAAGCTGGTGCCGAGGTGCGCTGGGTAGAGCAGCGAGACAAACCGAACGAGTATGTATGGCCAGGAAGATATTGGTGAGAGCGGTATTCATCATATCACCAGCCGTTCCAACGTGTGTGATTTGGCATTTAGCAAGAGGGCTTCCAATGGAAACAAACATACATGATCAATAGGCTCAAGGGGTATCACCATGTCAGGACGCAAAGATGATAAAAGTTGGAAGAAGGTTGGGTGTTTTTGAAACTTGATTCTTTCGTAAAAGTCGTATCTTGATTACGTGAGAGGGTGCACCACTTTCAAAGCAGCATTGTCATCCTCAAGAGAGCGATGGCTCTTGCCAATGTCTCTTAATCCATAGCAACAGATTGTTCTTTGCTTAGGTCGTACAAAGATTTCCTCCAAGCCGTTGATATTGGCGATTGGTGTTTTGTTTCGTGAAAGGTGAAAGTAGAGCGAGTAGCTTATTGGTGCTTCTCGGCCTCCTTCTCGACGAAGGGCTCCTTGTTGCCACCCTGGCCGGTGGAGGTGAGGGTGGCACCGGAGAGACCACCGCCGGAGGCGTTCATGCCCTCGATGGAGTCGCCCTTCTCAATTTCGGGCATGGGGGCAGCCTTGTTGCTGCGGTCGACACCGGTGGATGCGGCCTGTGAAAGTGGATTAGATTCGGGATGGTTTGATGGAGGATTCTCTTCAAGAACTTACGCCGCCAGCATCGCCGTGAACGATGTTGTGACCAGCCTCAATGGCGTTGTCACCAGCTCCAGATCCGTCACGAGGCATGTTTGATAGTGGTTGGTAAGGTGGTTTTGAGAAAAGGTGATAAAGTTGAAGGAGGTTTGAGGTGATGAGAATGTGGTTGGCAAGGACAGAGGGATAGCTCTTGCCTTTTGTTTGTCGTCTGCAATGGTTTCGAGCAAGAGCTTTCCAGAAGCTACCTCATCGGTGACGTCAAAATTGGTGATGGCTCCGGCGCTTTTGTGGAGAAAGCTCGTCACTTCCACCCTTGGCACGTCCATCTTGCTCCATATCGAGATGCAAAGAGAAGCTTGATTGATGAAGGCTGAAGATGACTTCGATTGAAAACTGTTTCGTGAAGAGAGGGCACCAGAGACATAGGTATGGAAATTTTGGTTGCTTAGGCGGGTTGGACCTTACTGGCTTTTGATAGCAAGTCACATGAACACATCTGACGATCAAGAGGCATTCATGATCCTCGAAGTGTTAGAGCCTTGCTCTTGAGGTTTCAGGCAAGTCGCACCTCCAGTTGTCACTGACACTGCGGAGGGCCAGGTCCAAGGAGAGGACGTTAAATAGTCGCTCTCTGTGAACGACCTCCTTTTACTCGACATTGTTGTGCATATTGATGGCTGCAAAGATGCGCATCGACGCGGTTTGACAGAGATACTTTAGCACAAGGAAAGGAAGAATAGTATGCTTTCAGTTCTCGGAAACGTGCGCTGTATCTTTCGAATCGAAAACGGTGGGAGCACATAATACAACTGAGTATACACAATTCGAGGAGAGGCAGCAGGTAAAAGTATCAACAGTATTACAATTAGTGGTTAATCTTTGCTAAGAGTACACATGCCCAGCGTAATAGCGTCTAGCGCCAGCCAAAGGCAAGATGTGAAGTCAAGACTTCCATTTCGATCGCAACTCATACAATATTCATAGCAGACATTGTCCTGACAGTCTCAAACGTCAAACAACGCTCATCCCGACTGGTAAAGACCAAGTGCGATCACGTGGGGGTTGATCATGGTGAGGTTGAAGGGGGTCAGGAACATGTCGGTGTCGGTAAGAGCGACGAACATGGTTCCATTGACAATACCGGCACCACCCTCGTAGACGAATCCAGCGGGCTGGTAAGTGTAACCAGTGTTGTTGGAGGTCTTGATGAGAGGAGTGTAGGTCAGGTTGAGCTGAGCAGCCCAGGCAACGTACTGAGGCTCACCAGCGACGGGGTTGACCGAGGTGGTGTAGCTGTTGTTGGGGCCGACGGCAAGGCCGGGAGCATCCCAGGTGAAGTTGACCTGCTTACCGGGGAAGGAAAGAGGCTCAGAGCGGTTGCGAGCGATGGCGGGACCACAGCCGTAACCGGTGACGTTCAAGTGCTGGCAGCTCTCCTCCTCGGGGATAGTAGAGATGCTGGGGTCGGAAGTGCGGTTACCGGTGACCTCGAAAGCAGCAGTGTCGTTGGCAGACCAACGGTTGATGTTGGGCTGGTTGACGATGTGAAGAGCGGGGAAGTTCTGCCATGCGAGACGAGTGGTGTTGGCAGGGCAAGAAGAGATGTAAGGAGCAAGGAAAGTCCAGGCCCAAGACTGGGGAATACCGGTCTCGAAGTAGACGGGCATGGGGAAGAGACCGCTCATCTGGCGGAAAGCCATCTGCTGGCGGGCCTCGGTGGCGATGGACTGAGCAAGGAGCTGACCGACTTCACGGCTGTCGAGGTGGTTGATGAAGCCCCAAACACCAGACTCACCGTAGCGGGTGAGCTTCTGGTTGAAGTCGAGGAACTCGCGGACGGTGGTGTAAGGGTAGTTGTAGGTGCACTGGGGAGGTGCGGTGTGACCGAGCATGTTGGTCAAGAGAGTAGCGTGACCCTCCTCTTGCTGGGCCATGAAGCGAATGAGCTCACGGTCCTCAGCAGTGAGACCGGCAGCAATGAAGTCCTCCTCAGAGAAGGTAGCGAGACCGTTGTTGAAGGTGTCGAGCTCGATCCACTCCTGGTAAAGACCAAGGGTGATTGACTCGTAGTCGAAGTCGGACTCAACCATGTAGCGAGGAAGAGAGCCGTTAGTACCAAGACCACCAGCAGGGGTGTAGGGAGCAGGCTCGGGCTGAGTGAGCATGCCGTTGGTGTTGTAGTAGGTGGCAGTGGGGTTAGGACCCATGGCGGAGACGGTCAGGCCGAGGGTGGCAGTGGTGACAGCTCCGACGGTGGTGGGAGTGCCAGAGTAGGGACCGTGAGAGGTCGAGCCAGTAACCAAGCTGCTACGGAGAGGGGCAGCAGCTCCGGACATGGTGCCGTTGGGAGCCTGGGTAGGGATAGCATTGACCTGAGAGTTGGTGCCGAAAGAGGTGGCAATGTTCTCAAGGTCGACGGAGGCAGCATCCGACTTGTAAGGGGCGTTGGCACCGGTGTAGCCAGAAACCTGGCTGCCGTACTCAGAGGTAGCCTGAGAGGCGTAGACATCCTGAGGAGCAGGAGCGGCGTATACAGCACCTGCAAGCAGGGCTGAGGCGACGATTGACTTGGAGAACATCTTGTCGAAGGTTTGAGAGTTCAATGGTCGATGAGGGAGCAACCATCGACAAGCACGACTCTACATATATATTCTGCGACCTCTGCAGGAACGACATTTTTGCCATGCAGCGTCATCGGCGACCAGCATGTCTAGCGGCACCGTGACATCAACACTCTCTGGAAAAGCACGATCCTGATCTGGTGAACTGGCAGATGCCGCCCCGTTTGTGACCTCGATCGCGGAATTCCGCCTCGGTTGCAACCATTGGGGTAGTTTCCGGTGCATGGATCAATAAAGATTGACGACTAGGATGAGCCGCACAAGCCAAGCATTCGATAGAAGATGCCCTTGTTACGCATGCATTTCGAGGAACATACCGAACACGTCTGCACCACGTACATCCGGAGCCTCTCTACTTTGTTACATGAGTACCTTGGAGGAGAATTGGTGGCGACTTACTCTCCGCATCCCTTCTTTCTCACCTTGTCATGAATGACATTCCATGTCTTAGCGGAATCGAGATGATTGTGATAGTTTGCGTCAGGGCGCTTAGGCGGCTCAAAACCCCAAATAAGCCTCAACCAACGTCATGGTTGTCCCGCTGTCAATAATGGTGAATCCGTGCGTTTCCACCATCCAAATGTTTGACATGCGAGTCGCGAAAACAGAACCAGCAATTTATGCCAACAGAAGGTCGAAGTGCCGGTGTGCTCTGTCTTACATTTGGCTTTCTAAGCTGTCAGGATCAAGTTTCAACTCATCTAGCTCCCCTGTCAGGTTTGTGTTTGTCCAGAATGCGAGCAAAGACGTGAAGGACAATATCTTATCTGATCGATCCGCCATCAACGTCGGAACCATCGGACGGAAGTCAATTCCTGTTCTGAAAAGTCTACGCAATCTTCCAAATTCATGATCTCGACTATCTCCTGGGAGTTTCCGCGGCAGATTGCAATACATGCCACAAAATTGTGTTTCTTCTCGCAACACAACATGGTGATACCAGTGATGGCCTTCTCTTCGTTCTCGACAAGAAATGCGCCAGCTTCAGCAATTTTTCTCCTATGACGGCACTTGACCGTCATGATAACGACGGCACCGTCTCCGTGTCTCACCTCGCCTGCGTAGAGTGCGAGCTTACCCCAGAGAAGATTGGTACAAGTGCCGCGTTCCTGGGCTCTCCGTAACGAGCGTGCATCGCTAGACGACCTTGATGGAGTTTGGTCTTCCGCCCACAACACCAAATCTGAACATGCGCAAAACAAGCGAACTCTCCGAATCTGCTGGAAGCCGCTGATGCGTTTGTGTCGATATGGAACATTGGAACCAGCAACTGTGATGGAGACGTTGAGGAAATAGCTCCTCGAGCTCTATCCGATACAAGCAACCCATGCGATCTCCAGACCTTGGCAGAGCTGGCACCTTTCGGTGGGCCGATCACCTTTCCCATATGATCTTGGTGGAGAGAGCCGCGGGCATTTTCATCGTCCATCATGATCACCGCTTCGGATCATGCCAGTCGTTTCGTATGGAGGCCTCTGTTGTATCGTTGTTTAGACGGCGCAGGGATATGCAGGCTACGCAAATCATACGAGCCACGCGTTCCGAATTACCTTGAAAATTGTCAACCTCGTCCCAATGTCGCCACTCACGAATCGGAAGAGATGTCCGGTCCATGTGCATGAGCCACGGCTCTTGTGCTCAGTGCGGTATTCTCCGCAGCATTTAATGTTGTGGAATCGTGGATCTTGTCACCGTGCTGTCAGCTTGTTGTCTGTGTCAGGCCTGAGGGCCTCAACCATAATTTCACTCACCAGTGTCACCACGGAGATATTTCCATAGAAAGAGCCTCGTTCCAAGTGCGAGATAGCAATATGGCTCCTTAATATCAATCGACGTTGACTGAGCCGTCATCTACTTATCTGACTAACAACGATCTTCATCACCAGTGCGCGATTTCGGTTTCTTTGACATGGCTTCTTCCTCTCAGGACTCCATCTGTCCATGCGCAGTCGAATGGTGCCTTTTCTGTTCCTTTGCAGTAACATCCCAGATTGCATTCGTCCGAACACTGATCAGCGTAGATATACATGAAGAGAAGACGCACCGGAATCAGAAATCGATCTCAGCCTCCCGTGGACACGGCAGCTATTTGAGCGAAGAAATCTCCGTACTGCAAGGTGTTTCGTTGGTTTTGATACACATTCATACAGCAGTCGTTGTCTCGCACGCTCTTTGGACAAATGCATTGCAATAAAAAACGTCGTGGCTTTTGACAGTGGTTTGGTGAGGCTTCTCCTCAGGCTGAGAGCTCGGTTTTGGTGCGTTTTCTGTTCCCCTATATCCACGATATTGTCATATTCTTGCACCGGCAACATGTGGTTTCCGAATCTGAAACCCGATACGTTCACGGTAATCATGGTTCGATCGTTGACTGTCTAGCAAATGATCACGTCTGGAAGGTGCTTGCTCATAAGCACGAGTCGCAACTTCCGTGCAAACGTCTCATCCTAGACTCCAGGACAAGCATCCTCTCGATCAAGCAGGTAAGGAGACATTTGCTTACCCATACCAAATCTACTCTATCATTTTCCAGCACTTTTATAATAGCTTTGCATACATGTGCTGCTTCAACGTCTGCTGCCTCACCATGTCTCGTTTGTCTCTGACCGATTTTCGCAAGATTGCTGATTGGTGATTTAAGAAACAAACAACATGATCAATTGAAACAAGCACTCCTGCTGTCGAGAATGCTCATGACTCTGTCACCTCCAAAGGCTGCAGTGAGACACACGTCAGAAGCTCTACATCGGAGAATTCTGCAACAATGCGATGACTCGGTTTTTATTCATGACAGCACTACAAACCTCTAACAGCGATCATCAGGAAAGATATGAGCGTCCAAAGAACTGTCAATGAACGCCCGAATCTATGTATATCACCATATTTGATGGTTTGAGAACTGGTCAAAATGTGTGACAGGGTTCTCCAAACGGCAAAGAAAAAAGAAGAAAAAGAAGAAAACACGAATGGAGAAATTGAAGAGTGAAAATGGAAATCACAACTCATCAGTTTATCCATGTTTACTTGCGCGCCCCAGTGGACATCGGCATAGACCAAGGGAGTCATAAGGATCGCAAAATAACATACTACAACCTTTTGAGGACCAGCTGAGCAAGTCCGAAGCATAGATGCACATCGAAAACAGCACAACATTGCGACGGCAGCAACCAACCTACTCAGTAACACATCACCAAGAGAAGCTATCGGCCATTATAAAGAAACAATGTGAATATGATTGTATGGAAAGGGGGGACAAAAAAGGAGCGGATCCAGTTAAACCTGTCCAAATCGTTGACTCGTTAAACAAACTTCGTAAAAAACGTCTCAATCTGATCAATCCTCCTCCGCCTCCAACCCATCGTCCTAATCAACCCCTGATGAGGTAGGTGTATGCCTTGATGGCTTAGTTCGATCCAGCAAGAGAGCTGGCATCGGCACCGTCGGGATAATAGAATGCTGAGACGCTGAGAGCAAGTTAGTAAAATGTTGTGTTGACAAGAGGATAGGCACGATAACTTACGCAATAATCACATAAGCTGCAATGAGTAGAGCACCCTCAAGATAGTTGCTTCTACCATCGAGAACCAGGAAGTTGACGACGAAAGCCGTGACAAACAAACTGATAGTTTCAAAAAGAGTGAAGTAGAGAGACATGTCGCGACCAATGATCCAGCCGAGAATGACCACAAGAGGAGTGACGAATAAGGCGATCTGGATACTGCTGCCAACACTGACACCAATGGAAAGATCCATCTTGTTCTTGGCGGCAACAGTGACGGCCGTGACGTGCTCAGCGGCATTGGAGACGATGGGTAGAATGATCAGACCGATGAAGGCCTGGCTGACTGGAGTTGCTTCAATCATCTCTGGAATCGCGTCGACCAGGAACTCGGCGCAGACGGCGACGAGAGCAGTAGAGAAGAGCAAAAGAACGACGGCAGCAGTGCGAGACATGCGATTAGCCTTCTCCGGTGCCTCTTCCTCGTCCTCCTGTTCTGCGTCTGGATCACGTGGGTAAGGAGGAAGATTCTCCTGGCGAAGTGACGAGGGGGTGTTTTGACGGTTGAGGCGATCGGGCAAAGAGCTAGTTCTACGTAGAGCGCCCACTCCGGAACGAGGCGTCATTGGTACACCTGGGACTGGAGAACCGGACAAGGGTGGAGGAGTGACGAAGACGTTTTGCGAGAGCATTTTGGGGAAGGTAGGACGGAAGCCTTGACGAGAGGAGAGCTGACGGATACCGAAAGGCTTTCTAGGCGAATCGGTTTCGACGTCAGGAGCATAGCCAATATCGTCAGAGAAGCCAACCTTGGGCGAGTTGTAGTCCTTTGCAGGTTGTTTGCCCAATTTGCGGATCGAAGAGCCCTCATCGATGGATTGCTTCTCATCGTTGCTAGTGTGGCGCTTGTGATGGTGCTTTTTCTTGTGCTTCTTCTTCTGTCTTCGAGTATCGGGTTTGGGGTCCTGAAATTGCAACTGCTGCTGCTGTTCGACAAAATCTCTGACGCGAGGAGAGTGACCGCGCATGTCGAGTTCGCCGTCTGTGTCAGCCTCGTCACCGCTGTTGATGGCACCAAGTGCAGAAGGACGACGCTGAGGCTGGGGCTGGGCTATCTCGGCGTTGTGCGAGCCAGTACGTTCGATGGAAGGGGCACTGATGACGGAAGGAGTCGTGGCGGTGCTAGCGCTCGACTTGCGACGTCTGCGATTTCTGAAAGCACGCTTTATACGCTTCGATGTTGTGTGCGAGCCAGAAGTGTCCGAGTCAGAGGAGCTTGAGGAGCTCGAGCTGTCAGAGGAGCTGGAAGAGCCGAGCATATCGGCCAAAATACCAGGGTGGGACTCCTCATCGATGATCTGCTGCGGTGTGCTCTCGTACAGGTATGCGTGCGACTTGAGCTGGAAGAGCAGGTACAGAACGTAGATGATGAGCAGAATGACACTGGTACCTCTGCTGACCTTCAAAACCCTGTCATCGGCAGTCTGGCTGTCCGAGAAGGAGGCGTGGAAGGCAGTAGGCAAAACCAGACTCACGACACTCAGACTGAGAAGACAAGCACTCATCTGAGTAATGGTGCTGTTGTAGATCTGCTCTTGGAACCTGAGGCCACCGAGTAGGAAAGCCATGCCCATGATGAGCAGAAGATTGGACAAGATTGAACCAACTAGCGAAGCCTGGACGATACGAATCTCGTTCTTGACCAGAGCAATGATAAAGATGATGAGCTCGACGGCATTGCCGAAGGAGACGTTCATCAGAGCACCCAATGTGTCGCCCAAGCGTGAGGCAACGACCTCGGTCGCATATGCCAGCATGCCGGCCAATGGGATGATGGCAACAGCATTGAGGGCGAAGACGACTGAGGCATTCACATCAAGGGCCTTAGCGATGATGCCAGCAGGGACGAAGACGAGGAGGAGGTTGATCCAGCTGTGGGTGAGGGCATCGTAGGTGTGGTAGCCAAATCTGACAGTGCCAGCTTTGGCTCTGTTGACGACTGAAGGTTTGGGTGCAGGCACATGGTCGGTGCCATCTTCACCTCCTACGGTGGGTTGGTTCGGTGATGCATGTTCCGACTTGACGTGTTCAGGAGGAGGAGCTGGGCCGGGCAGGGAAGAGGCCGTCTTCTCTGCGGTATTGTTGAAGGTGGAACTGTCATGGTGACTTGTGTTGTTGTAGACATGGCTATGGTTTTCGAGGCCAGAGGGTCCAGCCTTCTCCGCGTTCGGCAGATCTCGGGTGGTGGTGGGTAGGATAGGGCTCAAGCTGCGCTGTGGCGTAACCTGGCTGTTGTTGTTTTGCTTTGAACGCTCAGAGGCGTGGTGTCTCGCCCATGAACGGATACGGTCTAATAAAGAAGGGTCAGAAGGTTCTCCCATCGGCGTATAAGTTGACAATGAAGTTTGGAAGTGAAGTGAAGAGAGAGAAAGCAAGAGGAATGAGAGAGAGTCTAGGCAGCTGGCATGGCATAGATAATCATCTGGCAGGCACCAAGACGCTAACAGCCACCGGCGCGCCGCTTCCGATCCGGGGATCATGACAACCTTGCGCCAAACATGGTGCAATGAGAGACCTTGCAACTTACGCATTTCAACTTCAAACCTCTGTTTTTCTTCGCTGATTCGCAATTGGTGTTGATGAGGTGATGATGCTTTCCAATGGATTGATGAAGTCTGAAATTCTTTGCTGGGGTTGTTGGAAATTGCCCTTTGCGAGCTGTCCCTGAATTGTGAAAGGAAGCTGTTCACTTTGCCTGCAGCCACACCAAAACGTACGCCAAGCATTAGATCCACGTCTTAGACACCTCACAATAGGGAAGCCCATACCACACCCTTCACCACGCAGCAAACACAGGACGTATCAAGCGAGGGAATCAGGTTCTTGATTCACTTGGCCATCTACGATCTGATACCCCTGCAGCCCATACGCTGTGCGACTCGTCAATTGCACAAGTCCTATTCCAGCCGTATCTTGGACATGCGCGCTGGCACACAGTGCTTCCGTATCACATACGCGTACCGCCACTCCTTGCGTCCGGGGAGGAGCCGCCAGACCTGTGGCGCAGCAGCGTATCGTGCGTACCTGATCACCCTCAGGACCTTACGCACGAGTTCTATCTGTCATCCTTCCTTCCAGCCAGTTCTGCTCTGACGAATGGTAGCCAGACGCTTCTCTATGGCGTCTCACATCTCGTCATGTTCCAATCGTCGTCACATCTATGTTAGCACACAAGACACAGGCCATTACATGAAGGACAGGAATCAAGGCCTCCCAAGTTGTGGCTTAACGCCGACCGTTGATCTATCAATCGATGACAATCTCAATGCCTGATAAGAAATGGTCATCCGCTAGTCATGTTCCAACGACCGTAATATCAATATCCTTGACATGACAGGTGTCGCTATTTCGCCAAACCACTCTTATGACAGGATTGTCGCTGTCTCGCCAAACCAGAACCCCATACAAACCTCCCCGTGTGCTAAATTCTGTCACTTCTAGCCATCTCCTACGGCCATGCCTAGGGGTATTTAGCCTGTAGAAATGCACAATGTTTTTAAGATCTCTCGAGTCGTCCGCAGAGAGGCGCTGAGTTTCACACTCTTAGTGGAGGGCTGCACTGATCCTAAAAACATTGTGCATTTCTACAGAGTGCGCGTGACAGAGTTTAGCACACGGGGAGGAAGGACCTGCCTGATCTGAACACTTCCAACTTCCAACAGGACAATTCCTATCAATTCCCTTCACCTTGCCCAATCCTGCTGAACCGCGCCGTATCATCATATATACAGTTCTCACAACTCGTCACCTGCACACGCGTAACCTCCTGAATCTTTCCAAATTTCTCCGCCCAAGTGATATCACTTCCAGAATCCTCACAACAGAAGGAATGCAATCCCAATCTCATCTTATCCCAAGGCAACGCATAATCATGCATAATCCTCGTAAGCTGGAAGAGCAAATGCTTGTCTGCATCACTCATTGCTTTAAGCTTGTTCTCGCAATCTTGATGCAATTTCTCGAGATTCTTGTTTCCGTAGGTGAGAGCGTAGAGTTTGATGAAATGGTGTGCTCGGGTGACTTCATCTCGTTCCTGAGGTGCCAATGTGGATGGACGATCTCGACATTTCGCATCATGGCAGTTGTATTTCTGCTGTAGATATCTGGTTTCGATAATTTCACAGACATATTTTGCTTGATTGGCGATTTGTCGACTTGACGTAATCCTGCTCAATGCCTTTCCGAGTTTTGCTTCCAAGATAGGGTCTACGAGGATAACAGACATTCGAGGCTTGGTCGTGAGATTTGCTGTTTCGTGTGCGAGTAATAAGGCTTCGACATCTGGGAAACATGGTATTTGACGAGATAACAAGGGTTTGCTGATTGAAGATGCTCGAGTTTGCCAGAGGGCATAGAGGCTTTTGCATGTTCTGAAGAAAGAGGAGATATCGCGGAAGCTATCTTGAGCTCCGAAAATGGTCAATAGCACCTCTGAAGGTAAGCTGACAACAAAGTCAGAAGCAAGAGATGAAGTAGTCATAGTCGTAGCTTCAAGGATATGGTAGTAACAGACTCGAAGCACTTAGAGAAAGATAGAAGTGAGTTTTCGAAATCTATCTAAGGGGGAGGAGCTCGAGCTGGTGGTCTATCATGTGAACGTTTTTCGTTTCTTTTTGTCACCGGTTCCATCGTCATTCCTCGATCAGGGTCTCTTCGTGATTGGGCAATCAGCATTTTGAGCAATACCAATATCGAAACAAGATAATTGTTTGATGGTATAGACATAAGAGTGCATTGTGAAACAGTGTAACAGATGTTTATCAAATGTATGGTCGACGGCAGTCGCTACCGAGGGCTGCAGCTGCATCGGGTCTCCACCCACTTCCGAGGCTACCTGTTTGTGCATCCAACTGTGCATAGAAATCAGAGCTCTCAGCTTGCCGACAGAGTGAGAGAAATAGCTTGTAAAAATGCAAGATGTTTTTCGAGGCAGGTGCAGCGTCCAAGGAGAGTGCAAAGGGCACCTGTTCTCAGTGGACATGCGCCAGCTCATGGAAGACATCTTGCACTCTGATGGTTGGATACAGGAGACATCGCGGCGGGTTGAGAGCTCAAGGGAGTGTGTCTGCTCTCGATGACAGCGTACTCGATTGTGAAAACACTGTCTATTGGAGGCATGTAGCTGCATAGCATTCAGGTTTCGATAAACACAGCATCAAGCAAAGCTAGCCGCACACTTAAATGAAGATGCAACCTTGGGATCACCTCCAAGATAGCGCTGCACCAGAGGGTACTGACACAGCTCTCTGACAGTACTATCTCCATTTTGACCTGTAGCCTTAAGAGTGTCAGGTGCAATACCTTCCTCAACCCATTTCACCAGATCCGCAAGAGCATTGGGCACCGCTCCGGCACCTCCAGCACAGTGTCCAACACCAGGGGCTTCAAAGTATCTATAGAAGTCCGAGACATTCGAAGTTTCCGCCAGCACTCTGTCATAGTAGTGAGAAGTGCCATTAGGCGGGATACGATCATCAGCAAGGCCATGCCAACTGATCATCCTTCCACCCGCATCGCGGAATTCGGAGAGATCAGGCCAATTGGTACCGATGATCGAATCATACTCGCGCTGAGAGGCCTTGAGTACAGAAAAGAATTCTGCGCCTGTCATGTTTGCTGGATCGTAGGATGGGTCTTTCTTGACAAAAAGACTGATCCATTCTTCTGGAATGGTCGGGTTTCTGCCTTGCATGCTGTCGCTTCGCGTGACGATGGCATCGGCTGCTGATCTGAGAATTGCATCGTAGTTGACACCAAACCAGGAGGCTTTGCCATCGGCATTGATAGGCCCTGTCCAAGCTGCTTGGGCGATGGTTGCACCTTCAGATGTGAGATTCTGCTTGACACCATCACACTCGATTGTTCTGCCCACGGCAGTATGGGGATCGAAGTCACAGAGGCCGGGTGCCCCGATGATACCATCTTGAAGTCCATCCAGCTCATCACATGCCTCGACGGCAGCAGCTCTAAAGCCATTGAGCTCACACGTAGACGGGTAAGCGTTAAGTCTATTCATCCTCTGCTGGGCCCAGAAAGCCGAAATCACAAAAGTAGGCCAGTCAATCGCAGGTGCCGCAGCAACAATACCGTCAAAACGCTTAGGAGAGCGTTGAGCAAGCATAAGACCCTGTCTACCACCAGTCGAGCATCCATTCCAATAAGAGTACTTAGGGGCAGTTTCATAGAACGATGTTGTGATGGCTTTACCGACAACAGCCAAGTCGTCGAGAGCTCTATATGCAAAGTCCTGTAGTAGGTTCCAATTCACGTTTCCGGGACTGGTTAGAGCCCAGGATGCTGCGGATCGCTCGATACCATGTCCACCGTTGGTGCTGGCTGCGGCATAGCCCAATTCAAGAGCTGGGCTCAGGTAGGGTAGACCAGTGATCCAGCCTCCACCGCCGACGGCTAGGTATCTGCCATTCCAGTTCTCAAGTGGGAGCCAGACGGTCACTTGGATGGTATCGTGTTGCCCTGGATGAGTGTAGGTGACAGTGACATTGCAGAAGTCCAAGCTAGAACCATTGCTGGCTGTAACCTCCAGTGCGGACGTCCGAATGGTCGAGTGTCCGATGACCTCGTGAGCAGAGATGTTGATTATCTCAGCACCAAAGAGATCCGGCTTCGCCAGGACGCCTGCTGAGCATCGGGTTGGAGCGTTCTCAAGACTAGATGGGGCCAAAGGCGCTTGTAGCCAAGCTAACGCGTGGCCGACGACAGACTTCATGGAGAAACGTCAATTGGTGTTAGGGAGTAAGGTTGAGAGGCATGAGCGAACATATACACAGCAAAGTCAAGTGGGACGGCTCGAGAATGCGGAGTTATGGTTCGACTTTTGGATACGCGAGGGCCCGTCGGGATATCAATCTATTTGCACGAATCACGTCAGAATCATCAAGTTTAGCGTGGCAGTTCAATCATGTGCATAAAACATTCCCATTGCTGTTTCAAGAGCCCTTCTGTGTAGAGCTTCTTCTATGTGAATTTGTGTCTATAATGACTTTTCCTTAAAGCATTTCTCATTCCCTGATACCAGATCACGAAAGCCAATTCCCATAATTTCAGATTTTGCTGGGAGCACGTTCTCATCTGCCACGATGTACAAAATAAGAAGGAAAGCATTCCAGCAGTTTTCCCTCTATCGGAAGATCATGGCCTCTCTGGCAGGACCGGTACCGATCCACTTAACAGGGACGCCGGTCTGCTTCTCGATGAATTCGATGTATTTTCTGGCGTTCTCGGGGAGATCGTCGTATGAGCTGATGTTGGTGCTGTTGGTCTTCCAGCCGGGAAGGGTCTCGTAGATAGGCTCAACCTTGGACAGAGCGTCGATGGTGGCGGGGAACGAGGGGACCTCCTTGCCGTCAACCTTGTAGCCGACAGCAATCTTGATCTCGTCAAAGTCGTCAAGAATGTCCAGCTTGGTCAGGTTGAAGGCAGTGTAGTGGTTGATGGCGGCCGAGTATCTGAGGAGAACAAGGTCGAGCCAACCGCAACGACGACGGCGGCCAGTGGTGACACCGACTTCACGTCCGATGGTCTGGAGCTTCTCGCCGATCTCGTTGATCTGCTCGGTGGGGAAAGGACCACCACCGACTCTGGTCTGGTAGGCCTTGACGACACCGATGACCTCCTTGAGCTTGAAGGGCGAAAGGGCGAGACCAGTGAAGACACCACCGATACCGGTGTTGGAGGAGGTGACCATAGGGTAGGTACCCCAGTCGACATCGAGGAGAAGAGCGTTGGCTCCCTCGACGAGCATGGGGGTGTTGCTGGCCTCGGCCTGCTGGATAAGAGGAACCTGGTCGATGACATACTCGGCCAGGCGAGGACGCCATTCGTCGTATCTCTTGATCTCAGCCTCGACGTCGTACTTGAGAAGGTCGCCGTAGCGCTTCTGGTAGGCGGTGGCCATGGTTCTCAGCTTGTTGTCCATGTGCTCCTTGTCGAAGATCTCGCCGATTCTGATACCGGAGCGAGCGGCCTTGGTCTGGTAGCACGGGCCGATGCCCTTCTTGGTGGTGCCAACGGCGCCCTTGCCGAGCTCAATCTCCTCGAGGCCATCGACGAGCGAGTGGAGCTCGAACAGGGCGTGAGCGCGGTCGCTGATGAAGATGCGGTCCTTGTATCCGAGGTTGTGCTTCTCGAGCTGCTGGAGCTCGTGGAAGAACTGGGGAACGCTGACGACAGTTCCTGAACCAACAAGGTTGACAGTCTCGGGGTTGACGAGACCGGAGGGGAGGATGTGGAAGTCGTACGTGATGCCGTTGACAACGATAGTGTGGCCGGCATTGTGACCTCCAGCGGAGCGAGCAGTGATCTTGAACTTTTCGGACAGGAGGTCGACGAGCTTGCCCTTGCCTAGACGTGGGTTAGAGAAGCTCTGTTGGAGCGCGATGCGGTCTGAGTCACAACATACCCTCGTCGCCAAACTGCGAACCGAGAACGACAGTCGTAGACATGTCGACTCTGTGTGTTTGTGTAAACGCTGCAACAGTCGGTTACTGATAAATATCGTCCAATTGGTATTGAACGGAACTGGACAGTGAAGGCCAATTACACTCGAAATCACAAGCGGACGAACAGTCACTTTAATAGATTTTGTGGGCGCTGGCCCCCGATCTCGCGGGGCATCACGGCCTTGGCTGTCGCTGTTGCCCCGCTTGTCGTCCCGTTGAGCGCGCATTGCGTTGACTTATTCCCGCTACCACCACGAACCTCTCGAGCAGTCATGTTACTCCTATATGTAATATATTCAGATTCCTGTGCTAGTCGTCTACTGCCTACCCACAGCTTCGCTAAAATCACCCAAGAATCTCCATCTCGTCTTTGCATCCAGATCCTTCTCACGCCAATGGTTCAATGAGTCAGGGAAGAAATCGAGAGCTCCCAACAAACTTGCGTCATGCGCTATGATCAAAAGAATGTCATCTGAAGCATCAAACTCCTGCAACCCCTCGACAGTAGAGTGGCACTGCTGTAAGTCATAACAGAAGCTCTCTGTGACCTCGTAGTATGGTTGGTTTGCGCTCTTGTTGCAATGTACGTCCTGCAAAAGATGACCTGGGCAGATTGGTTGTGGCAGTGACTCTGGCGAAGGAGATACCTCCGTTGGCAAAGGCTGATATTGCGAGGGTCTAAACTCTCCGGCATGGTGACAAGCATCACCTCCCATCATGACGAAGGTCGCTGGGGCATCCAATGGTGCAGTGGTGCGAGCCAAGGCGCACACATGCCCCTGAGCATGACCGGGTGTATCCAGCAGGTAGAACGAACCATCACCAAAGTAGTCGTAAGCATTGAAACGTCCAATCTTCAGGCCGGCTCCCTCGGTTGCGATATCGACCTCTCGGACGTCACGGTTCTCGAAGTCGCTCTGCAAGTTGGGCGATTCTTTGTTGATTGGATATGCAGGGAGGTGGGCTTCCTTGAATCCAGGACCGACAATGAGTTGAGTAGAAGGAGGGAAGGTGGTCATATCTCCAACATGGTCGAAATGGTGGTGAGAATAAATCACAGCGTCAATGGCTCCTCCTTGGATATCGAACCCTGCCTCTTGGAGAATGTCTGCGGTGTTCTTCTCGGCCTTGACAGTCCAGCCTTTTGACTTGAAGCTGTGAACAATGGTTGGAGCCATGTTGTCCGCATCTTTGCGAATGCCCAGGTCGAATAAGAGCCGTTTGCCAGAGTTGTGTTCAATAAGAAAAGAGAAAGTAGGCCCAGTCAATTGATCCTTGCCCTTGTATTTCGGCTTCAAGAACTCCTCGATGGGCAACTCGACATACGAGGTGCTGACGCAGAGTCAGCCGGAAGCCAAGATGGAGTAACAGAGATAGATTTATACCTGTCAATGATCGATACCTTTACGAACTTGTCGGATTGTGGTATGGTAAGCTCAGGTGCTGGTTTGGGAGTGGCTAGATATTTGTCGGACATTATGCAGTACCTTTCAACCAGGACTTGAGTTGATGGGAGGTGCTGTTCGGATTAGATGCTAGGCCACAAAATACAGGAGACGAACAAGTAAGAGACTATGACCAATACTTCACGGTTTAGATAATAATTCAGTTGCTTCTATATACCGCGGTCGTTATGCTATGAATGTCATCGTGGGGGCCGGAGACGTCATCAACGGCCCGCGGACGGGTTCGGGAGTCGTAGCAGTGGGAGAATGTCGGAGCAGAATTGGGTCCCAGGATATTTGCAAACAGGTATGAGCTCGCTTAATGCTGGAAGCTTTGCATCTTCACTCTCGGTGCGAGCGTCGTCGCTTCCCTCACAATCCATTCTGCGTCAAGAGACACAGACATGTCCGCGCCGGCTGATTGACCATCAAATTGTGGTCGCGCAACCGGGCAGAGGTATAGTATATGCTTTGTTTTCTTCATCTTCCGTCGCCATGCGGCAGTTTAGCAACAGCTAGCTGCAACTGTGTATCTCTCATTTGAGCAATAGATTCGCGGTATTTGCAAAGGCGAAGAGCAAAGGTGTCGTAAGATGCCGTCGTTCGCAAATAAGCCGGAGCGCATTCTTGAGCGCCGATTCGAAAGGGTCGGTGTGGGTGGAGTGGGCTTGACTTGGTTGGACTGACATGCCTTTATGGAGCATGACTGCCTAGGAGCTCGTGATTGTATCTCGATAGATAAAAATGGAAGCAGTATCGCCTGTGTGTAAAGCATACACGCAATCACTTGAGAACCGTGTGTGCACCTCTTGCGGCCAGGTAGTCTTGCACCTGCGTTGTGCTCAAGGTCTTGATGACCGAGTAGACCTCAGTGTTATGGTAGCGCAGGCCAGTCTTCGGGTCGCTGTATGGAGCGGGCAGACCGGTGATATCGCAGTACTTTTGCTTCGGCTTGAACGATGGTGCAGCTTGGATTGATGTGTAGGTATAGCTAGGTGTGACGATTGGCTGGGCAGGTTGCGATTCAGGGACAGCGGCTTCTGGCTGAGGGGTACCGGCAGCGCTGTTGTTACGAGTCGCTTGGACTGATTGTAGTAGTAACGCCTGTTCCTTGCGCTGCGCTTCGGAGACTATCTGCTTGACTGTCTTGTTACGGCGCTGCGCCGGCTTCCAGCGCGGATTGCGGAATGGCTTGTGGATCTTTTGCATGTCCAGCTTATCGAGCAGTGCCATGTGGTTGCTCTCGTCCGATGCCGTCGTGATGGGCGCCATGGTGATGGTCTGAGGGTCGTTTTTGCCTTGTGCTTGAAGTTGTTCGGGACTAGCTCTTGACGAGCGCGGCGAAGACGTGCAGTTGCAAAGCTGTCGTTCAACAATAGAGTTGTCCGATGTTTGTTATAGCTAATCGAGAGTAGACAGGGCGTGTTGGAATGTTGAGTGCGGAAGGAAGAGCTCCTGTCATGAGATGCGACATCTGGGGTATCCTCGGTAATTCCACCATCTGCTTTCTGAGGTGACCCTGCTCCTGATGCCTTTTACCAATGGATATCCAGCTAACGTCAGACAACTGTGGGTGAACCACATGCACATACTAATCAGTCGTCGAGATGTTGGGTACTGAACTGAGCTTCGGGGTAACGATCAAACATTAAACTAGGTATCTACGACACGTGAAGAGTCGCCCAATTATCTACAAAACTAGCGAACGCAACACCGAAACAACAAAACCGAAAAAAATGGAAACACCAGGCCTGAGCCGCGTCCTGTAATGCCCTTCACAAACGTAACCAGTATTGCAATGTTCTCAAAGCCGTCCATGTCTCGCCTTGAACACGGAGACCTTGTCGTCGTAATACAAAATCTCCCTTAGCCTCAAAGCCGGGAGTTCCTTCCCGTTCTCCTCGGAGCCATATTCGCTATCCTCGTATGTGTCTGTCGTATCGGAGGTCGTGTCATCGCTGTCATCGTCGTCGTCGTTTTCGTCGTCGTCATCATCATCTTCATTGCCAGAGTCATCATCATCTTCGTCTGCATCTTCGCTCCCAGATTGATCGTCAACCTCATTGTTACTGTGATGATCTGATTTCCCTGGACCAGGCTTTTGTTCGAGTACCTCGAAGCACTTCTTCATTATGCCTAGGTAGCAAATCTCCAGCTCTGGGCGTAGAGCTACAATGTCCACAATCTGGAGAGCCAGTTCTCTGGTATCTGCAAGACCGGGCTGGTTGAAGTTTACCAGGAACGGTATGTATAGGGAGCGCAGTTTTGGCAGAGATGGCAAATGTTGCAGAAAGAAGTGCTGGAGACAAGTCAGTGCTGGTCATAGGGACGGAGGGCAGTGAACTCACCCAATCACGATAATCAAGAGCGACCCCGAGCTCTCTTAGCTGAGGCATTCTACCTAAGAATTTCAGGATTTCTCTATTGAACATCCACTGCCGCCAGATGGCATTAGCTCCTGGCGAGTTCTCGGCACCCTTCTCACCGCTGTCTATCAGAACCCTCCTCAGACTAGTCCGGTGCCTGCGGAGCACTCCGTTGAAGATAGCATCGAGAGACACGGTCGAAGTATAGGAAGTAGCATGCAGGAAGAACACCGATTCCAAGCTATTTGGACGAAGCGTGTCTTTGATGAAAGAGAGGAGAGAGGAAGACACAGTGTCAGTCGAGATGTGTTTCAGGTTCAGCTTGTATGTTGTGTCTGCCATGGATAGCTTGCATGAAGCGGCCAACGAAGTGTTAGCTGTAGTAGATGTATGTTTTGGCTTGTTCGTAGTAGAGAACTGGCGACGTAAAGCTTTCCACAGATGTTCGTGATTCGGACAGCGGAGTAACGTGATAGTGGTCAGACTACTCCATTCGATGGCGTTCAGCAGAATTGGAATCGACAAAGGGACCTGCTCGAGCTCAAGCGCATCCAATGCAAGCTTGCCCGAGTTTGCGGGCAGATGGCCATCTATTCCGGTAGAGGATTGGATATCAGGTGCATCCGAAGAATGTTTGACACGATGAGGCAGGGAGTGTCCATCTGCAAGCTCTAGAATCTCAGGAGGAGTCATAGCAGGAGAGTCTGACAAAAACGTTTTGGGAGTTGCCTGAACATGCTCAACACTCGTGATCGTCTCATCGTCAGGACTCTCTTCGGAGAGAGTGCTCTCTGTGTCTCCTGCCCCTGTTTCGGAGCTGCTCATTGAGTCGATGTTTGTGGTATTGGTCCCTGGTGTACCAGATGTGCCATCAGAAACTCCAGATATCTGTGAATTGCTGATCGTTACGTTGGACCTTCGTCTGAGCCGGTTCGGTCGTGTACTTTGAGGCTCAGCAGAACGCAGATCAAACATCAAACCAGTCAGCACTCCAAGAACACCACCAAGTCTCTTTTCACCTATGGTGATGCACGACATGACTGGGTTGACTCGATCAATCTGTTGAACATTCTCTCCTTCCCAGACGCTTACAAACTCTCTGTGTCTGGCATGGGGAGCTATACCAACACGCAATTCGCGTAGCTTGCCAAATGATCGTTGAATGAGGACACTCAGCTCATCAAGATATTGAACTTCGTCAATGTCAAGTACACTCAAGCTCTTGAGTGGCGGTAGTATAGAGAAAGATGGATTCTCAACATGTTGTAGAGCACTGAGCGGTGGAGGTACGTCCCCTGGACTGCGAGGAACATGAACGGGAGCGTTCCGAGGCTCTGGAGAGTTGTCGTGCCAGCGGATCGCAACTCTGTCCAAACGGCATGGCTTGCCGTCCTCATGATCTCCTAGCGAAGAAAGGGCGTCCCACACTGAACTCAGTACGCCAGTAGGCATGTCCCATGTGAAAGACTCGAGGCTTCGCATGCGTGCGACAGCCAAAGCGACGAGAGTACCAAGCATCTTCCCGCCCTCTTTAGTGATCAGGTCTGTTAAGGTTGGAATCAGTATACTTCTTATAAAGAAAGAGGTCAGCTTCGTTTACGTACAGTCCTGTACCCACTCTGGCGGACCATTGCCTAGCGAAAACTTCTTGGTGAAGGATGCGAAGTGGTTACCACGACGTCTCCTAACTCTCTGCTCCATAGAATGGCTGTGGCGGCTACGAAAGATCTCTTCGGCCATGACTAGGGTAGACAGGCCGTACGTAAGGGCGTCAACCCCAGCTCGTGGCTCCGGACCGGAAGCATTGTCGGGCCAGACGATATCGAATCTACTGTAGATGTGGGGTACAGTCAAGGCATGGAGAGTCGAGTGGCAGAGGGCGAGAGATGTCAAGTCATTGGTATGGTTCAGCTGTTGCGACGACAAGTCAGTCGGTATGCGCCAATGCTGCTGTGAAACGAACGACTCACCTCTTTCAAAATGGCATTGAGAATTTCGACCGGGAGATCAAGCAATTGCCTGGGTTTGGCCTCCTCGTCAGACACAGGACTGGAAGCGCCATCAGAATCCTGACGGAGCAAAGAAGGCGTATGGTTGGTCATGGTCGCATGTCGGCGTCCACTTTGGTGATGCGGAGGGGAAGCTGCCATGGACTCGTCTTATGAAGGGCGCATGCCCAAACACCACCCTAGGGCTTTTGTATCCGTGTCTACAGCAATGGGGCGCACTGCAGGCCAAAGAATATTGTTGTAACCTACCAGAACACAAACTCGCATGCGAATGCCAAATGGGATGCCGACACCAGGGTGATTGCGCACAGACGCCCGTGCGGGGATCACTCGGCTCGGCTCGACTGGCCGCTTTGCCCAGGGACCACGAGGTCCAGCATTGCCTGGAGGAAGACATGGGAACAGAGAGACCACTCTGTAGGAGAGAGATAGCGGAGAACGGATCTTGAGACGAGAGAGGTTTGTGTATGGCTAATTTTATCATCCAGTGCTCGAAGACACCGATGACCTTTGCTGTATGAAATTATTTAGGCGGTTGGTATTGACGCTTCTCGTTTGCTACATGCCTTGAGCGACAACCCATCACACCATCAGTTTCGAGCTACCAATCGTTAATCATCAGGCTCTATCTTCAATCGACCTCCCATCTTCTCCAGACGCCAATGTCGACAGTGTCAGGTGCATCCGTGAATGTCTCGACTTGGAATATCTCTCCTTCCAAATCGGCAGGAGTGAACATTCTCTCAATCACAAGCCATGCCTTGCCCACCTCCTGTGGGGAAAGGTCAATCTCTCCGGTACGAACACCAGCAGAGGAATCGCTATACTCGCCGTTGGAGCTGGCAATCAAAATTCGTCTTTCGGGCCCCTTACCAATTTCCAGGGTGACGCGAATCATGCTTCTCTCCCTACGTTGACCCATTCTCGCAGTCTCATGAACACCCGTCTGCTGAACCTGCTTGACGAAAACGTCGAGCTTGGTGAGACGTCTAGGGGCAATAGGTGCTGCAAGTATGCGTTGCTGTCCCTCGAAGGCCGCCTTGGCCCAAGCGCGTCTCAACCGACCTGCACCTTGCCGTGGGAGCAGGGACAACTGCGTAGCTGCATTACTGTCTACGCGAAGCTTGAAGTTCCCCTTTTGACCAGCCTCGAAAGTAGAACAAACGATGGTGTAAGTTCCTGCGTCCAATTCTGCGAATTGTGCCAGAGCACATCCACGACGATAGTCTTTCGAGTCAAACACAATGTCCTTGGATCGTACTGCTTGAACCCGAGACCCTCGACCATGCACCAACTTTACGTGCACATGCAGTTGCTCCATTGCTGTTTCGAGTAACAATGCGATGGGTGTTCTCGCAGCAACTGTGATACTGAACTGTGGGTTCTGTGAGTATGTCGGTGAGTGAGCATTGCCGCCTGCGGTCTCTTCCGTCCACGATGATGAGACCACGTTTTGGCAGCGATACTTGTTGGGAGCCTCGTCAATGGTGATGCGTGCATTTGCAAACGCCGAGAGAGTGAAAGTATGAGTGGCCTGAGTCAAATCTTGTTCAACCGGAACGATCGTGTACCGCTTGTCCGCTTCTAGGTTGTCGAGGCGAAGAAGAGTTTGGGGTGAATCCACAAAAGGACCACGTTGAATAGCCCCGTCACTAAGGTAGACTTTTGCGCCATGATTGTCGAACACATACAGGCTAATGTATTCAGAAGGATGGACGTTTTCCTTGCCATCTTTGAAATGACGGTTGAGCAGAAGCCACGCAGTCCCTGGTGATGCTACGGACATTCGAAACTGCTGATGGTTACCAAAGCTCTTGAATTTGCTGCTGGGAGAAGACGCTGACAAGTCCCATGCAAAGTGGATGTCCTGGCGATAGGAGAATAGGCCCGGATTCCAATTCAAGTAAATGGACTCGAAATACTGCATCACACTGTTGAGGTCCATCCAGAATGTTCCTGGGGTCAGCTCATCGTCTGAGTTGAGCAGATCTCTGGATGAAGGGAGGACTTCTTCGTCCTCTTCACCCTCGTTATCGACCGGCGATCTAGGAATGCTTCCTTTCCAAGACATGCCTTCGCACCATGGGTTCTTGACAAGCATCAGCTTTTGGCCATCTACTTCTCTCATGTCCAGCACTGCATAGTCGTGCTCTCCTGCAAGGCCAATTGCACGTTCTGTACGATTGGAGATTTTGCCAGTGCCCATTGTAACGAGGACGTCGCCATACTGATGAGACTTGTAGATGCGCTTCCAGATGTTATTAGGAATGGTGTCATCGCTGGGAAAGCGTTAGCAGGAAGAGTTCTATCAACTCGAGAGATGGTTGACCTCACCTTTGCAAGAAGATCTGTTCCGGAATCCATCCACTCAAGATCCAAAGGTCGGTCCCTGAATTGCTACCAGGGAAATCATAGCTGCCCCTGACTTTGAGATAGGCCTTCTCGATCAACGCAGGCCACAAAAGGCTTGGATTGTGACGGTCAATGACGTGCAGAACTCTTGATGATTTCGACACAGGCAGACGGTCGTCGATGTCAACCTTTCTATACGTGCCGTTGAAGTTGAGCTTCAGCGCATATTTGCCATTTTGAGACATCTGAGGGCGACCTTCTTCGTTATCGTAGGGAAACATCATGGATCCTAGGATCTGAACAAATTAATGGCATGACATGAGTGGTTGCTTGTCAAGGGTGCTTACCTTAGCATGGCCTCGTTCGCCGCGAGCAACTAGCGCACAAAGACTCGCAACAACTGAGCAATCAGTGGCAGCATCTTGGACAAGATCGATAGTTCGTGATGAGCTCATTGTGGGACCAGCACCTCTCTCCTGAGCCGTGTACCATGCTGGTGGTGGTAGCGCCTCCGCAGCTCTCTTCCAACCATCGAAAACTTGAAGTTGTGCAGCGGATAGGCGCAATTCAGGTTTGTCACTGTTTTTCTGTGAGTCTCGTCGCTTCCTAAAAATTGACTTGATTCGACTTACATGAAAGGCTCTTGACCGACTTGAAGTTGGAAATCATTGTCCTTTGGAAAGCTGGTCCAAGGAGGAAACTTGAAACCATTGAGTTGGGAAGCCTTCAAAAGCAAGATCTGTTCTGAGGTAGGCAGTGGGCGAGATGATTTCGGTTCCACGAGTTTGGCAACTTTGGCGACATCGATTTCAATGCGTGGTTTCCAGTCTGGGTCTGATTTGATGCGCTGTGCTTCGTCCAAGAAGAACTCGCTCTTGTTTCTCATGACTTTTGTTGTCTCCGGGCTGTCTGACAGTCTCATTGCTTTCATGGCATGCTCAGCAGCCTTGATGGCCATATCCAGAGCAGCATCCTTAGATGGTGCAAAAGGAATATCATGTTCGAATTTCTTTCGGATTGTCAGTAGTGTTGGATACGTTTCCAAGTAGGAAATTACCTGTATCTTCGCCTTCAAGGTCGAGATATCTTGGAAAGAAGTCATTTTCCGAGTCCATTGGCGACACACGCTCTCAGATCGCGCCGATGTGTCGGCTGGCGCATGTGATTATTGACGAAAGGTGGGGGACGGTTCGGACGCCGGCGCGACAACACGGCGCGACAACGCGATATCACGCACGGACTCACGGGACCCCAGACCATCTAGGACCTTCTGAAGGTAACGAGAACATGTTTGAAGGAAACACTCACCTTGCCCACTGGGTGGCCCGATGGCTGCAGTGAAGCGTCTGAGCAGAAAGCGATTATATTGAGGCAAGGAACTGGCACCTCGAGCACTAAATTATGATCTGCCAAATATCCGACTCCACAATCGCAGTTCTCAACGTTGTTTGCAACGAGCTCTTATCTGCCTGTGAAAGAGTAACCGAGAGACCTCGGCAGAAACAATAATTTGGGGGGTGACGTGAACAAGTTATTGCGCCGAGGTCGCCATGTATACAGCTTCTATCGCGCAGACAGACCTCTGCTTCTAGGCCAGAACACCGGCATTGGACTTGAATAATAGGCATAAAGCACGGTCTTGTACGAAATCGATCAGTTTGTCGACAATCACGAAGCCTCTTCCATACCACGTCTTTGTCTATCCTTCATTCATCAATCAACCTTACAAAACCCGCTCGACCGAATTATGAGTGTTCAATCCAAGGAGGTCGTCCCTCCATGGGGACTGGCAGTCGCTGGTGCCACTGGTGCTGTTCTCGCGAACGCACTCGTGTACCCGCTGGACATGTATGAAGCCTTGACAGTCGAGCGTACATCGGGTGCTAACACACTGGTAGAGTCAAGACGCGTCTGCAAGTCCAAGTCAAGAGAAAGCCTGATGATGTCCCAACTACCACAAACGACCGACACTATGAGGGTGGCCTGCATGCAATCAAGTGTATCCTCGAAGATGAGGGTCTGGCAGGGCTTTACTCTGGCATGTTCGGATCACTTCTCGGAGTCGCAAGCACCAACTTCGCTTACTTTTACTGGTACTCGGTTGTCCGAACATTGTACATATCACGACTCGCCATTCCCGCGCCTCCATCAACCGCCATCGAGCTCAGCTTGGGTGCAGCCGCGGGAGCACTTGCACAGCTCTTCACCATCCCCATTGCAGTCGTCACGACGAGACAACAAACACAACCTAAGGGAGACAAGAAGGGCATGTTAGAGACAGCAAGAGAAGTCATCAATAGTGAAGATGGTTGGACAGGACTGTGGAGAGGTATGAAGGCGAGTTTGGTGCTCGTAGTGAACCCGGCCATTACATACGGTGCATACCAAAGACTGAAGGATGTTCTTTACCCTGGAAGGGTGAGCCTTAGACCCCATGAGGCATTTTGTAAGATCAGGCAAGTTCCTTGCGGTCGACACAACGCTAACACAAAACAGTACTCGGTGCCATGTCTAAAGCATTGGCAACTATTGCTACTCAGCCACTCATCGTTGCAAAGGTCGGTCTGCAGTCGAGACCACCGCCCGCCAGAATGGGCAAACCATTCAGCTCTTTCCTCGAGGTAATGAAGTACATCATTGACAACGAAGGCCCTCTTGGACTCTTCAAGGGTATTGGACCCCAAATCCTGAAGGGCTTGTTGGTGCAAGGACTTCTGATGATGACAAAGGAAAGAATGGAACTCATGTTCGTTCTTCTCTTCAGATACGTCCGCAAGATCAGAGCAGAGAAACTGCAGAAGGTTGCAGAATATGCAGCTGAAAAGGCCAAGAAGGTCGCACCTGTCATGATCAAGTAGACCAAGTTTCATGGACGTTAGGGGACCCATTGCGATGGGCGGAGTTTGTATAGATACACGATATTTCATGCATCATGTCTTAGCACTGTTTGAAGTGGCATCCGATGAGGACAGAAAGGTGGATAATCTTGCCAGAGCAATATGTGCGGACATAGTCATATAGGACTGTGTGAGTACCAGAGCATCATTGTCAGCGAGCGAAGTGTCTTTGACGAGAGTCTCAAGCAGCTCATGGCCTAGCAACCCACTAAGGTCATATCCCGTAATGCTTGGATTCGAAGAAGACGACAGTACTTTCGCTCGCAGATATAGAATGCAAGCCGATGGAGGATATTCCGTGTTTGATTGGAGAGGTATAACCAGATTTGCCTTTGGCTTGTTGAACACCCAAGCCAACTTGCGAACCACAGATTGACGCAACTGAGAAAGGATGATTTCGTCGATCTGTTTGGGCCACTTATAGTCACTTCTGCTCGTCAGACCAAATCTGAGCTCATGGCCAAGCAGACGCTGCCATGTCTTTTTTTGACCAAGACGATTGATTAGCTGACGCGAATTGAAAGCATAAGCGCGTGTCGCTTGTCGAGATGAGTTTTCGAAAGGAGCCAGGTATGGAACCAGTTTGTCGTCTTCGTGTCGTAGGAATTTTGTGGTAAAAGGCAGTAGATAATGTGAAGGTAGTCGTGCACCAGTGAAGTTGCATTGCCGAACTGGAGTGGCTAGAGCGTTTGCAAACGCGTTGGCAGCGACCTCCTTGCGAAAAGATGTCAGAGATTCCAGCGGTTGATGTACGCGAGCAGGTTTCTCCTTGAGTGGTTCCAGAATCGGAGATACGGGAAGCCCATGATTGTTTGTGATCTGAGTCTTTCGACCACGATTGTTGGCAGGTGTCAAATGCGAATGCCATCTACGCCATGTTTTGGTCGACATTGAATGATCGCCAACACGGTAAAGGTGAGAATGATGGATGATGCAAGATTTGGAGGAGCATGTCACATGTCATTGATGATTGTCGGTACGTCCAGCCCGAGCGGGAGCTAGCCCAAAGGGGATGTTTAGAAAACAAAGCTCCATCTCTCCAGTTCGCGTCTGTGTGTTCCGTAGTTGTATATCGCTCTGCATTTTTCTACCAGCATTTTGTTCGAGTCGCATACTTGAGACAGCGCCCGTGTGAGGCGCCAAAAAGCTCGCCATGGCTTACAACTTTGTCGACACCCCTCGCACTGACATGGCCGACTTGACGCGATTCGATGCTGACGCTCTGTCGTTCTCTATGGAGCAACCTTTCCCCTCGCCCTCCAAAGACCCAAAGAACGATCTTGTACGCCAGATGAAAGCTCGACAAGGTGCTGCGCAATCTATCAAGACTCCGCGCGCTCGCAACAACCTAGTCAATGCCAGGAACGGCCCTTCCAGGAACGAATTCACTCCTCTCCTCAAGAGTGCCGCGCACAACCGCTTCCGCTCAAGAGAGAACAAGGAGAATGACAACGACCTACTTAATAGCGTTCTGAGTGGACGCGCTCCTGCAACGCCTGCCTACCTGAAGCCTGGCTACGTCGAGTCCCACACTCCTGGCCTACCTGTCAACAGCAGCATGATGGATCACGATCACACCGGCAGTTCTCAAGGAGAAGGTACCCCTGTTCCACCTGCTATCGCCAGCAGCAGTATCATGTCTACTCCCATGCCCATCTTGCCCCAGAGGAATGGAGGCCTGGTCGACCAGGGCAATGTTCTCACATTGCGTGAGCAAGAAGCTGTATGTACCGTTGTGGAGGTGACATTATTCTGCCTTCTTTACTAACCACTTGCAACACAGAAACTCGACGCCGTGACGAAAGAGAACTTCAACTTGAAACTCAAGATTCATTTCCTCGACGAGAACCTTAAACGCACGGGAACCGACTACCAGCAAGAGGTCATCAGGCAAAATACCGAGCTGAAGATTGACAACACTCAGATGTCCCACGAGATCAAGCAGCAAAAGAAAGCCATTCAGCGTGCTGAGGCAGAGCTGGAGCAATATCGCCAACAACTACGCGACTACGCCGAAAAGATTAAGAGGAAGCATACAGACGATATAGTCAAGGAAGAAATGGAACGCTTGCGTCAACAAGCCGAGAAGAATCAGACCCTGGCAGACGAGCGAGAGGAACAGATCAATGAGCTGCAACACAGACTCAGCAAGGCTGGAAATTCCTCGGACGAGAAAGTCAAGGATCTCCAGGATGACATCTCCGACCTTGAAGCCGAGATTCGCGCCAAAGAGATCGACCTTGACTCCAAGGACGAACAGATCGAGAAGTTGCAGAAGAAGCTCAAGGAGGCGCAATCTGACGACGGCGAAGCGGACGGCCTGCGCGATGAGATCGCAGACCTCGAAGCCGAAGTACGCGCTAAAGAGGAGGAAGTTGACGCGAAGAATGACCAAATCGACTCATTGAAGCAGAAGCTGAAGGAAGCCCAAACAGACGACGAGGAGCTCAACGGTCTGCGCGAAGACGTCGCTGCTCTCGAAGCTGATCTGGAAACACGAGAACGTGAACTGCTGGAACATCGCGAGGAAATTGAAGACCTGAAACAACAAGTCAGAAGCGCTCAAAACACCGACCGGTCAACGAAGAAGCTTCGGGGCAGCCTGGAAGAGCTCGAAACCCAACTCAGAGACAAAGATCAAATCATCGACCAAAAGCACAACGAGCTGCGCGCTCTGGAAAAGCGACTCCAGACTTCAGAATCTGCTCATACGACCGACATGCGCGATGTTGAGAGCGAACTCCAGGAGAAGGACTTCTTACTAGAGCAGAAAGATGGGGAGATTAAGGCTCTACAGGATCGTCTCCAGACAGCACGCGGCAGCTGGGATGCCGAAGCAATGCAGACCGACGCTCGTCTGCAAGAGAAGGACCAGCTGGTTTACGAAAGAGAATCACAACTCCGTGAGGCCTCGCGTTTGGTCGAAGAACGCAACCGCGAAATCGCAGACCTGCAGCAATCTCTCAAGTCTAACGAGAACGGCAACAACGCACAAGCTCAACAGCACAGACAGCAGACCGAGCAGATTCGACAACTCCAGGAACGTTTGCGATCCACCGAGGCCAGCGCAGGCGCCGAGCGTGACGAAAAGTCAGACATCATCGCATCGAAAGAGCGAGAAATTCGAAGCTTGCAATCGCGAGTCCGTGGACAAGAAGGAGACGAGAGCAATGAAATCCGCCTCAAGACCGAACACATCGAGCAACTTGAGAAAGAAATCCAGTCGAAGAACCACCAGGCTTTGCAGCTGGCTACGGAAACGCGTGCTCTCAAGGATCGCATGAACTCTATGGAATCGCCCACAAAGAAGAACTCGATGCTTAGTCAACAAGCAGAACAAATTCGCAACCTCCAGCAGGCTCTTCGCGCTTTGTCAAGCGAGAAAGACGCAGAATTGAACGAGCTTGAGAACCAATTGCAGTCTGCGGAGACCGAGCTTGACGGCCATCTCAAGAAGATTCATCAATTGCAAGAGCGCTTGAGATTAGCAGAGAGGGACCAATCTTTCGCAGGCCACATGGACGAAGACATGCAAGAGAAGCAAAAGACCATCGAGCAGCAAGAAGACCAATTGTTGGATCTGCAAGCTAAGCTCCGCAAGGCCCTGCAAGAGAAGGAGTCTGAGATGGTAGCATACGAGACCCGTCTTCGCCAAGTCAAGCAAGAAGTCGACCACGAAAAACAACAACTCAAGGACGAACACGACGAGGCCTTGGAAGCTCTGGAGGACGAGATTGTTGTTCTGGAATCTAACGTTGAAGATGCCCAGAACGAAAAATCGGCTTTGCAGCAAAAGATCGAGCTGCTTGAAAGAGATCTCGTAGCATCAAAGCAGAACGGCACGCCAGTCCGCGAACGCAACGAACTTCGCTTGAAGCTGAGAAACGCCGATATGGAACGAGACAACCTGAAGAGCCAGATCCAAGACCTTGAGCGTGAGCTTGACGCAGCCTGGCAAGCCAAAGAGAACGGCACACCTGTTCGTGAGCGCAACGAGCTACGTTCAAAGTTGAGAGAGTCACAAAACGAGATTTCCAAGCTGCAGAACCGCATTCAGTCTCTGGAGTTCGATTTAGAATCCGCCCAAGCCGACAAAACCATGGCCGACGAGCGCATGGACTTGCACGAATCTCTGAAGGAAGCTAAGATCGAGGCGGAAGACCTGCAACTTCAAATCGCAGGCCGCGAGAAGACAATTGCCGCTCTGACAAAGAAAGAGAGTGAGGCCAGAGTCCACCTCGACGAGGCACGCTTCGAAATGGAACAGCTTCAGTCAGAGGTCTCGGAACGCGACACCAGAATCTCGGGTTACATGACCAAGGAAAGAGAGCTTCGCACGCAGATCCAAGAACTGAGAGAGGCCAAGGTCCAACTGCAGGAGCTAGAGCTGCAACTTGGCGAGCGCAAAGGCAGCAGTTCTAGTCACGCAAGACGTGAAGCAGAGCTTCGCGTCCAGCTCCGCGACTCCAAGATCGAGATCGAGGACTTGCAAGTCCAGCTATCTGAGAAGGAGGAACGTATACAGACATTGTCCCAGAAGGAGAAGGATCTTCGCGACAGAATCAAGAAGAGCCGAACAACCTCTGACGACACCCACTTCCTAGAGCAAGACCTCCGCGCTCAACTACAGGATGTCGAGATTGAGTGTGAGAACCTGCAGAAACAGCTCGAGGAGAGAGAAACTCGCTTGCAATCTTCTCTTAGCCGCGAAAATGAGTTGCGATCCAAGCTGAAGAATGTCCGCGGCGAAGCAGACGATACGAGAACCATTAACCAGAGAGAGGTCCGGGGTCTGATTGAGGCCAAGGAGAAGACACACGCTGGCGAACTCAAGGGACTTGCCAAACAGATCCAATACCTACGAGCCAGATGTGACCGTGAAGAAGGATTCCGCAAGGATCTTGTGTTTAGCAAGCGCTGGTTCCTGATGCAGGTGGAGATGTACGGTGCATGGTAAGTTATATTCCCGCATTCCCTCAGGTACTAGAATTCGTGCTGACTTGCGTGACAGCAACAAAGCAGATCTCAAGCTGCTCGAGGAGATGGGCGTAACACCCAATACCCAGGTGCGAGAACGCAAGCCAAGCCTGAAGTCAGTGGCCTACATGGTCATGGCTACAGTGCGCATGCAGAAGATGCAGGAGGCGTGGTCAGGCAACAAGAAACTGCACGAATCTTTGATGAAGAAGTTGGATGGCATGAGGAGGAAGCAAGGCAAGACGCCGCTACGATGATTGACGAACATATAGTCTGTTCATGACGGCCTGAGGTGGCAAGTCATTTCTTGTGCTTATTTCTGGTTGATTATGGTGTTGCGGCATGGCATGCTGTTTTGGAGTACTGTAGGGAGCTTCTGAGGATCATCAAGCATTGATAGCAGTGGCATTTGACTGCATGCTTTTACCAATCCACAGCTCATGGCTGAGCGTGCGAACTCGTAACGATTGAGGTGATTGTGAAAATGGGGGCCTTCAAGTCCAAGTGATCAAGGTGTTGCTGCGGGATGAGCAACGACAGACCGCCAAGACGCTCGTGGACGGAGAAGTTTTGGCGTCGGACAACAGCCCACATCAAATCTGCCAGCAGCGCCAGACTCGCATACCACATCTTCCACGCATAATCACAATGGGTATTCCTTTCGACTACGCGCCCGAGAGGCCAGAGCACATTGACGCCATCCTGAACGGACTCGACCGCTACAACCCCGAAACGACGACAGTTTTCCAGGACTACGTCTCGTCGCAATGCGAAAACCAGACCTACGACTGCTACGCCAACCTGGCCCTGCTCAAGCTGTGAGTGAATGCGCGCTTCTCTTCTCCGTCTCTCGCTGGTCTTTCCTGCTGGCTCTGGTGTTTGTTCCATGACGAATATTGAAATTCACGTTTCCTATTACCTGATGGGCGACCGGAGCTTGAATCACTTCATGCCCTTTGATGTCTATTTATTAGCTCTATCTGATCTTTCAAACACCACATTCTCTGCGATTCCTACATTGCACACTGGCAGCGACAGCAGAAGACTGACAAACCAACAACACAGCTACCAATTCAACCCCCACCTCGGCCGTGAAGAGACCATCACCAACATCCTCGTCAAGTCTCTGACCGTCTTCCCCTCCCCCGACTTCAGCCTCTGCCTCGCCCTCCTCCCTCCTCACGTCCTCGCCCCCAACCCCGCCGCCAACTCCCTCGCCGAAGCAGTCCAAAAGCTCAACACCCTCCACAGCCAATTGATCGGCGCCTCGTACGACCAATTCTGGTCCTCGCTGGACGGCGATGACCTCTACGCCGACTTGATCGCCGATGTCCAGGGCTTTGAAGAGTTGATGCGCGTGCGCCAGGCTGTTGTTATCAGCCAGACCATGCAGAGTGTTGACCGTGCCGTCCTTGAGTCGTGGCTCAACCTCAACGGTGAGGCCTTCGACAAGTTTGTCAAGGAGGTTTGCGGATGGACTGTTGAGGGTAGCACCGTCAGCATTCCTCTGAACAAGGAGAATGAGGCCAGAGGAACCGTCGTGCGCGAGAATGTCAAGTTTGACCGTAAGTTTTGGAACATCACACGCTATAACAGAGAAGCAAGAGACTGACAAGGATACCCACAGAATTCTCAAGAATGATCAAGAGAGCATACGAGCAACCCGCATAAACAAATGGGACAGAAACGTATTTGGTGACACTGATACGAAAGCATGGCGTTCTACGGATTTTTCTAATAGAGCGTACGACAAAAGCTCAGGGATATTTGGTGGGCAACACTTCAAACAAAAAGTCGTAGTCACACCTTTTTGTGTTCGTGGCATTAGAACGAGAAGCATGAGAAATAGTATGCTTCTTTTCAAAAACTAGAAGAACAAACAATGACAAATGACCGTCAATGAAATTTCTCGTATCAACGTCTCAATACTCGAACTCAAGACCATCGAGGGCAGCGTATCCTGCCAACGGGAAAAGCGTCCCGCATTTTGATAGCTGTTTCAATAGACAGCTGGCAGGCCTCCCCGTGTGCTAAACTCTGTCACGCGCACCCTGTAGAAATGCACAATGTTTTTAAGATTAGTGCAGCCCTCCACTGAGAGTGTGATACTCAGCGCCTCTCTGCGGACGACTAGAGAGATCTTGAAAATATTGTGCATTTCTACAGTCCAAATAACTCCGGGCATGGCTGTGGGAGATGGCTAGAAGTGACAGAATTTAGCACACGGGGAGGGGGTAAAATGGGAGTTCGTATCAACTTTGATTCTCTTTCGCTACAAGACAATTTAATCTACAAGTGGTATCTCTTTTACTTCTTTCCAGTCAACTCTTCCCACTGAACACCAACCCACTCCTCGACATAACCAACCTCACCCTCCTTCTGCCCACGCATAACGCAGTCCTTTTCACAAACACCAAGGATAACGGTACCCCATTCCATACCCTCCAAGCCCAACTCCTCGGCTTCAAGTTCCACAATAGCATAAGGAGTCAATTGCAGTTCGAACAACCTCTCCGCACCACAGTTGTTGCACTTAGGCATTCCAGTCTTACCACTAGTCTTGACCTTGGCATTGCTAGACGCAGAATCTTGATGCGCACCCAACAATCTACCCACAGCATCTGTTTTCGAGTAAAGCAATGGCTGCCCAGCAAACTCGTAACGAAGGATTTGCTCTGGGTTTTGGGACATGCGGTCGGCGAAGCGTTGGAAGGCTTTGTCCATGCTTGATTCAAAGGCATCTTTGACGTCCATGTCTTGACCAGAGGGACCGCCTTCGCCGGCGTCGAGATCCATGTCCACGCGTGTTTGTTGGGGGATCTCGGGCTTTTCGGCGTCGAGGGTTTCGTAGTCGGCGTCGAGGTAGTAGGAGGGGTAGGGCGGGGGAAAAGAGGATTGTTGGGGCCAGGGCTCGCGGGGGCCGGTGGGGATGGCTGGTGTGGTGTTGGGCTCTGGGCTCGAGATGCGCGCTTTGCTGGCGAAAGTCTCAGAGAGAGAAGGTGTGGGTTGTGTGGCTGCTGGTGTAGGAGCTGCGGGCGAAGGAGCCGCTGGTGAGGAAGCGGGGGCGGTAGAGAAGGGGTTTGCAGGGCGTGATGAGGCGCCGCCGGTAGCGAAAGGGTTGAGAGGAGAAGATCCAGAAGTGGGAGGCTTGACACCGAAGAGAGACTCGCCGATGTTCGTCTTTGGCGCCGCAGGAGCGGCGGGTTCTTGTGGTGTTTCCTCCTTTTTCTGTTGTTTGGGCTTCTCTGACTCGGCGGGAATTGCTGATGCGCGGATGGCTCTGAAAGCTCTCACGCTGCCGTCCTTTCTTCTGCAGGCCTTTCTCTTACATGCCCAGAGGTAGAGTCGTCGTTCATGGCCAGGGAAACGGTCGGGCAGGTCGCCGTTCAGTTGAAGCAGCAGTGTCAAGAGGTTGTTGCAGTTCTTGCATTTGGCCAAGTCGCCGGGCGGTGTCGTCTTCTCATCTAGCCATGTCTGCGCGATCGTCTTAGTATCTGTTCCGTTTCTTGGTCGACCCCAGGATGTGGAAAGGTTGAACATACAGGGTGTCCGCCCAACTGGCTGGTTGTGTCGTCTGCTACATCCTTGGTGGCGTAACCGAGTAGGACGTTTGTCTCTGTAAAGTTCTCGTCCTCGAAATCAGAGTCGCTGTCGTATGTGGCCATTTTGGTGGTATTGTATGTTGATGTCGAGAAAAATTTCCCCAGGCGCTTCACAAAACTGCGTCATGAAGCTTTGGTTGGCTCGGCCTTCGACTCCGGCCGACGCTATCACATGCTATTTGCACTTTTTGAATGGATGAATATTTAAAGTCTTGGTATGCGTTTTATGATTGTGTATGGTGTATCATGAATGGGTATAGTTGTGTCATCAATGCTCTTTATTCCTGCCGTGTCCTTTGCTGCCTTCTAGGCGCTCCTTTGACCTTCCTTCAACATGTCGGCAACCATCTGTTTGGCTTCAGCGATGAGTTCAGCCTCCTTGTCCAGGCCGACACTGTTGCCCCTCGAGTTCAGCAGACCGACATCCAAGCCTCCAAGACCGCCATTGGTGACGCGATCACCGTCTTCGGCAGGCTGCCTTTGTGGCTGTCCTTGAGGTCCCCGTCTTGCCAGACCGGCTGTCTCGGGGGCTGCTCCTGTACTGCTAAGTGTGGGAGCCTCGGCAGCGATGATGCCTGCCTCTTCTAAGGCGTACGCTTGACGACGTAGCCGAGCCATGATTGATTGGATGTGTGTGAAGTAGGCGGTTGTGTTTTTGGTAAAGGCTTCCTTGTGAGCAGCTGGGGAGTTGTCGCTTTCAGCATCAACCATGTCATCGCTGTCGGTAGAGGCTGCGTTGATTGGACGGTCGGTCAAGGCATTGACAGCATTTGCGGCGCTGGACAGTAGAGCGGGCACGTCGGCGTTGATTGCGGACAACTCGCGAATGCGCTCGGCGGGCGTTAAGGTCGGCTGCGACGAAGACATGGTGATATTGAACTGCGCGTATCCCTGAGCTGCTGATTAAACTGGTCTCTCAGCCCATCGACCGACTTATGTTGCTGCTCGAATGAAGAGATGCACGGCAAGAAGGGAAAGAAGGTTTGAGCATGGCCAGAAGCCTTCGAGGCTTCGACACTCCACGTCTCTTGGCGCGTCGCTCTTTCGCCCATCACTTTCCATCGACCTTCACTTATCACTTGTACGAGTGCTGTCGCATTTGTCGCTCTCTCACTCGGACCCTTCATCTTCACTGTATAATATCCTGACATGTCAGGAGTACCGCCCCAGCCGCAGAGGACGGCCAGTGTGGGTCCTCAAAATGTCCCTCCACCAACTCCCCATCAGCCTCCGCAGCAACCTGCACAACCTCAATCACAGCAGAATCTGAATCAAATTGTGAGTTGGCTCATGAGAATCATCACTTGTCTCTCATTTCATTCGGGAAGCTGCGGACTACCCGCACTTTACTTCACTTTCCTTTCGTCTGCTTGCTAGCTTGCATATCAAACGAGAAGCGTCAACTCGCTCGCACCTACCACATGTACCGACCGCTTGCTTGTCTTGTGAGACCTTCATATAAAAGTCATCACATTTGCTTCTCAGTTATCTCAATTTTGAACATAACATCCGCACCTATCCTCCCTTAAACATCGCCCATCATGTGGACATTCAAAGGACCTAAACCCAAACCCAGAACTGACGAGCATATCAAGGTACTGGAGTATCTTGCGAAGAAGGGCTACAACCGGACGGAAGCCATGTTGCGCAAAGAGAGCGCGCATGCTGACTCCGAAGGTCGACCAATCATCCGCCGAGCTGAAGATGCCGGAGGAGAAATGTACGAAAAGGCCTACGAGCTTTTGCTGAGATGGGTCGAAAAGTCTCTGGACATCTACAAGGACGAGCTCGGTCGATTACTATGGCCCGTCTTTGTGCATTCATTCCTTAAGCTGGCCGCAGAATACTTTCCTCGTCAATGCGCCGTCTTCTTCAAGGCCTACAGAGAACCCTTCGAAAAGGAGCATCAAGACGACATTCGCGCTCTCCAAGCTATCAGTCTGCCCGAGCATGTTCAGAATAATCACATCGCAAAGCTCTACCGCGAAAACCACTACAGACTCACAATAACCGACCTGGCATACTCGGCTTTGATCCAATTTCTGGAAGCACACGACACCGAGGGAGGCTCGGTAATTCTTAATATACTCCAACATCACGTCGAACTAAGGCATGTAGATCGAGTGGCCTCGGGTGCGGAGCGCAGTCTTGCAAGGATACTCGCCAAACAGCGAGGCATCCAAGACGTGCCTGCAGAGGACGAGGGTATTCCTGGCCACAACCCTGGATCAGCAAATACAGATCGCAATGCGCCGCCAGTCTTGGCAAAACTCGCGCTTGCGCCAATGCCTATGGAAGCAGATCTGATGGAAGATGTGAAAGCAGAGCTACAAGAGCATGACTCGTTGCATCCTCCAGCCGCTGGCCGCAACACGCTCGTCGAAGAGTTTGAGCAGCGTATCAAACAAGAACCCAATGACGACGCGCCTTCACGCGATCAGATCCCGTTCCCTCCTTCTCTTGCTCGCGACGTCGCAATGGAAGTTCAAAGGATCAAAGAGAACCGCGACAGATTCAAAATTGAGAGCAGAACAGACGGTGTCGGTCCGGGTGTCAGTGTGACCATGTTCACTTACCACAACACCTTTGACAGGTTTGTTTACCATTGATCTTTTCTTTGTGCAGCGCTAATTGTATGACCAGCATCAATTGCATCGAGTTTTCTGGCGACGAGAAGCTCGCAGCTGTGGGAACAGCAGAATCTTACATCCGTGTCTGGTCGTTGGACAACAAACCTCTCATTTCTCCGCTCGATCCCCCCGGTCAGCAGCCCTCTTCATCACGCCGTTTGATAGGACATTCTGGCCCAGTGTATGGCCTTTCATTCTCACCATCCATCGCACTCCCAGCAACAGCCGCGCAATCCAACGCCAACGCCGACGACTCCCAATCTTCACCTTCTCATCCTCGCTACCTTCTTTCATGCTCCGCAGACAGCACTATCCGCCTGTGGTCGCTTGACACCTTCACCAACTTGGTTGTTTATCGCTCCCACACTTCTCCTGTCTGGGACGTGAAGTTCTCTCCCTTCGGCCACTACTTTGTGTCAAGCGGCGCCGACAGAACAGCGCGTATGTGGAGCACCGCACAGATTGCGCCGCTTCGACTGTTTGTGGGACACGACAGCGACGTTGAAGCTATCTCATGGCATCCCAACTCAGCCTACGTCTTTACTGCAGCAGGCAGCCCAGATCGCAGCATCCGCATGTGGGACGTGCAGCGTGGTAGCGCAGTACGTCTGTTCACCGGCCACACCGGTAACGTGACAAGTCTCGCCTGTGCGCCCAATGGCAAGCTCGTTGCTAGTGCGGACGACCGCGGCGAAATCTTGCTCTGGGACCTCGCAACCGGCCGTCTAGTAAAGCGTATGAAGGGCCACGGCCGCGGCGGTATCTGGACACTGGACTGGAGCATCGAGAGTACAGTTCTCGTCTCCGGTGGCGCCGATTGCACAGTCAGAGTCTGGGACGTGCAACCACCAACCGTGTCGAACAGCAACGACGCCAAGGCCCTCGCCGACGGAGGTATCAACGGCAAGGATGGCGGCCCAGGTGCTGGAGGTGCAGCAAACAACAAGAATAAGAAGGCCAAGGACGTCGTCGTCTCGCCTGACCAGATCAGCGCCTTCCCCACCAAGAAGAGTCCTGTGTACAAGGTCAGGTTCACGCAGATGAACTTGGTCATGGCCAGCGGCGCATATCTCCCTTAGTGAACGAGAACTGCAAAATGAGACCGTACGGCATGGCGTTCTTTTGGTAAAGGCATGGATGGATGGGAAGGGACTTCTTAGCTGTAGTATATCATAAGATGGCCAAAACGGAAGAAGGACATGATCCATATGGCAAGATGAATAAACATGCAGAATTAATCAGACATTCTGATCATCGATTTACCAATTCATCATACACGTTCACCTGGGTCATTTTGATCATTGACGAGGGTACTGGTTGGCAGCCAATCATAACTGTAATAGTTCCTACCGCCCATATTGATCCATGTTTGCTTGTTCTGCTTCTGTCCATCAAAAAGTCATGCTCGTTCTCAATCCCACATATGAGTATCTACCACTTTTCGCAATAATATCGAGAACACAAAAGCACCTATATGACTTTCCATCTTGTGACATCTATAGCTTCTTGACGAATCAACGCTCCATCCACACTACCTGTTATCATCACATACATTTACTATGACTCCACTCAATGCACCCGGTCCACTGAGATCTGCGAACAAGCTTTGAGATACATAGAAGTAGCTATTACTACGCTTCCTCTACGCAGTATAGAAGATGCGTAAAACAATACATGGCCGTTCAGATGAAAGGAAGCGTTCGTCAGTGAATGCATAAAGTTGAGCTTACGGAATGGTAATTGTGACCAGAAGAGACAACAGAAACAACGTTCGAACAGAAAAGTACGCAGTATTGATTAAAAACTGCTAGTCATCCACCTCTACAAGAGAGAAGGTGGGTAACAAAAAGGGAGGGAGGTAAGGTAAACCAGAAAGGAAAAAAGAAGATCCGCTTATCAAGTCCTTGATGGGAATACAGCCGCAGAGATAGCCAGCCAAACCAGTCTCATGAAAAGCGCCCATGCGTGAGAAAGCACCCCCGTCCGTTACCGGAAACCCACGCCATGCATCAATATATCCGTCGTCGAGATCAATAAAGTTGTGTGTTTCATGTAATGCCCCAGTGCTGTTGCGCCATATAAGAAGGAAGAAGAACCAGAGAACGCCGCGGAACAAAGAGTGATTGGTATCAAAGAGAATGTACCAAGACAGCAAGGGCTCATCCTTAGACGAACTCGTACTCGGCGTCCTCTGCGTCCAACAGCTTGGGCTTGGTGGAAGCATGGCCGAGGTTGTGAGCCTCCTCTTCATCACCGTCAAGGATCTCGTACTCGTTGCGCACAAGCTTGACGGTCTCCTTGTCCTCGTACTGCTCGATGGCCTTTGCAAGGGCAGTGTTCAGGATCTGGCTACCGTGGGTGGGGACGCGGAGGGAGTCGAAGCCGTAGAGAATCTCGGTGGGGGTCATGGCTTCGTCGCCAGAGGCACCGCTGCTGTCTTCGGAGCTGATGGCGAAGTCGTCTCCAGCAGCGAGCATGTCCTGCTTGCGAGATATCTTGGCCTTGCTAGCGATAGCGGCGGCAGCTGCGGCACTTCTCTCGACGCGGCGGTGGTTGTGACTATGATACGCTTGTCAGTTTATTGTTTCCGTCTTGTTGATACGAGTAAACATACGTCTCGGATCGCTTTCTAGGTCTCGGGTTGGCCTCACCACGGCCTGGAGTGATGGTGACGCCCATAGCCCATTTGGCCTTGTGCTCTGCATCGCGCTTGTAGTCCTGAGCAGCGCTGCGAAGGTCGGAACCGGCGAATGCCTGCTCAGAAGACATGACTGTTGATGACTGTATGCCGGTATAGAGTGGGGGATGAGTTGTTGAGGTAAGTGGTCCGGATCGGCAAGGTGGTAGTAAACAAAGACCGGGAGGGAGAATGAGATGAAGTGGTGATGGGTCGTAGGAAAGAGCGTAGGAAACAGGATGTCAATGACGAGATGTTTCAAACAAAGGAAGTCAAATGGTGAACAACAAGAAGGAGGGACGCAGTCAGATGGTCCCGGGTTGCTCCTGACTCACTGGGGTAAAGTGTGGAGATGGTGAATACCCGAGTGGAATCCGATGATGAGATAAGGGCTATGTCCGCTTGCGGCGTCCGTGTTGCAACGGCGTCAGTATAGAGTTTAATACAGGAGGAAGATGTAAAGATCCAGATGGCAACACCGAGATGAGTCACTAATGAGGTTCAAAGGACAGGTAGGCAAAGAGACAAAGAGGTTATGGATTGCTTTGATGCCTCTTCAGACCGGCCTCGGTCACTGATGCTCCTCCCATCAGGCTGACTGCGGGGAGTTGGACGATAAGGGAAGCCACGTTCGTATGTTGGCCAGGTCATGCGTGCCTTGAGTTGGCGTCATGTCTCCAGTGGCAGGAAGCAGACCAAGGTCCACGGCCCACGGGGGTTCGTGACTGGTTGTGGAACAGGTTGGCGGCGGCGGCCGGAAACGGTCACCTTGTTTGATTGAATGTTGATAGCATGTGGTCATCCAGGCAACAAAGCGCCCGTGCTGCGTCATGTCTCGGCGTTAAGGCTCGGCTTCTATTCGTGGATGCTGCTTTGTGCATTCTTGTGCACAACGTGCATAGCACATGGATCTGGCTGTGGCTCTCGTTGGTCATTCCTCGTCGTCTTCATCGCTGAGGTCGCTTGGAAGAATGTCTGGGAACCACCCATAAGTCGCAAAGTCGACCGAGTACTCGCCCAGAGATCCTCGGGTCACTTGGACGCCTTCAGCTTCTAGAGCAGTGGCTTGTTGGCTGGCTCCATTCGCGCCTCTGGACATTGTCAGATGTGGCTCGCCATGTATCCGGGAACAGTGACTAGAACAACCTTGGACTGATGCAACCTTTGGAATTGATGATCCTCTGCCATGGTACATTTGAATTGTTGTAATGGGCGTCTGGCTGGGCTGTCGCAGAAAGAAGAGCCTTGAGAGACACTCCTACTTGTCTAACTGCATGTCAGTATACTGATGACTGGGTAGACTAGAGATGTACCAACCTTGGACATTCAGCTAGCCAGAGCATTAGCAACAGATGGATCTGACTACGTAGCAACAGCACCACTTACGCTTTCCAAGCAGACGAGCTATGTGACCATAAGACGTTACTTTGCCATAGGGAACTTCTCGTACAGCATTGTATACAGCATACGTCCAGGCAGCGGCTTCCTCAGAGCGAGGCATTGCAGCATGTATGTTCTTTCACATGTCAAGGTTTCGTGAAGCAACATGAATAGTTGTGATATGGACCAGCCCCGCCGCGCGCATGTAACGCCAAGATTCGAGAAAGTGATCACCATCCTTTGAGTCGGCGGACAGGAACACAAGAACATTCATATCGCCAACATGGGTCTTGCCGACTACCTGGCGCAAAACTATCTATCCGCCGACAAATCATCAAAGGGCAAGAAGCGCAAGAGAAAGAATGCCGAAGATGCTGGCCTAATCATCGCCGACGACGATGTCAGCGGCATGAGCAAATCACGGAACCGCGACGACGATGATGAAGATACCCCTATGATCATACCCGGAGGCGCCAACATCAGCAAACGAACAACAACATGGAAAACTTTTGGAAAGGCTGCTCCCAGCAACAACGAGCAAGCTGCAGCCGATGCGATCCTGGCCGACGCCGCTGCCGAGACTCAAGCACGCAATGCGGAAGATGAAGATGCGCCCGCGGTCGTAGGAGAGGACGAAGACATGGATTACTCCGGTCCAACAATGGCGTCAGGTGCAATGGCAGGTCTGCAGACAGCCGAACAGGTCACAAAGGCCTTGAAGAGGAAGGAGCGCGAGGAGAAGAGGGCAATGCAAGAGATGGGTATGGATCCCACTGGAAAAGCACAAGAAACTATCTACCGTGATGCTTCGGGTCGCATAATCAACGTCGCCATAAAGCGCGCCGAATTGCGACGTCAAGCCGATGAGGAAGAACGCAGGAAAGCAGAAGAGGCCGAGAACAGACGAGGTGACGTGCAGAAGAGGGAGAAGGAGGCACGTATGAAAGAGCTGGAGAAGGCAAAGACCATGTCACTCAGTCGCTATGCGGATGATCGTCAGCTCAATGATGAGCAGAAAGAGCAAGAGCGATGGAACGACCCAGCATTGGCTTTCTTGAGCAGAGGCACCACCACAAAGGGATCCAAGGGCACAAAAGGAAGGAAGAAGACATACACAGGTGCATTCGAGCCGAACCGTTATGGCATCAAACCAGGATATCGATGGGATGGCGTGGACCGCAGTATTGGCTTCGAGAAGAGATGGTTCGAGGCACGCAACCAACAGCAGAACATCAAGGACTTGCAATACGCATGGCAGATGGACGAATAGACGCTTTATGACACTCAATTCTATTACCACAACAATTCTGCATCGACTACAGGAGCTATCTCGTCGTTGGCGTAGTTGACTTCGGCCATGTCAAGCGGTCTTCGATGCCAGTATTGCACAAAAGTGAGAGCGGCATCCTCACTATCAAAGCCAAAGAGATAGGAGCATCGAGGCTTGCGTCTTTCACGTCTGCCTGGCCGATCGCTTCCTTCTTCGCCGCCCTTCGCATCTCTATCCATCTCGGCAATCTCCTCAATTTCGTTGCTGTTACCTTCGTCGTCTCCATTCTTGTCCAGCCTTGTCCTCTCGTCTAAGGGCGAGATGTTCTTTGGCTTTGGCTCCCAGGTATGGTATGATAAGTCGCCAAAGTCGCGGTTCCATGGAATCCTTCGTTCTCTCTCCACTCTGCTCAAGACACCTTTGATCATGGTGATGGGCAGCTGTGGGCCTTCAAGGCGTATCATGACAACGTATGGCTTCCTGAGAGGACCTTTGACGACATCCGGGTATCCCAGGTTTTGGATGATGTCGACTATTGAAGGTGACACGGACATTGGCAAAGGTAGAAGACGCATCATACGGGATGGAGGGACGAGGGTGTAGCTCTGTAATAAAGCATCGACATCATGTCCGTTTAGATGATATCCTGGCGGCGGGGGTATAGGTGATATGAGACTGGATTGAACATGTCTTGCGGCAAGCGAATGCAGTTGTAGGACATGGGTGCGATAGGCGTTCATGGCGGCTCGTGTGCTGAACAGTATGAAGTAGAAGTTGGCTCGCTCCAAAGTACTCGTGTTGCGGCCAGGGACGACCTTGACAATGTCGGCCTGATCCAAAGCCCAACCTTCGATATGTAGACCTTGAGGAATCAATCTTGTGAAATCGTCCTCGACCAGTGTCTTGCTCGCGTTGCGCAGCATGAGCACACCACCAACACCATGACTTCTTCTTTTCCCTCCTCGCACCGGCGACGGCTCTGCTGCAGTCTCAGTCGCCCGGTTCCACCAGTTGTCACTTTCCAGCTTCTTCCTAGGCTCGCGCTGCTCTGGCCTTTGTGTCGCAGGTTTGGGTAGCGACGAGCGGATGTCTAGTCGAGGGATGTCACGCTCCTTTGGTCGACTCGGTCCTTGAGATTTGGGTTTTGCTTCTTCGGGAAACAGTTCCTCCAGCAATGAAGGTTTCTTCGCTTCCTCTACTCGTGTCCCGCCCTTTGTTTGGTTCATATCTTCGGGGCTTTGATTCTTCGTTCCCTCGGATGAAGTGCCATTGGTTTCAGATTGTAGAAACGAAGGGCGGGTCAACTCCCGGGAAGTCCTGTAGCGTCTGCTCTCACGAGGGAGCCATCTCAGGCATGACGCTCGCAGACGCACTTGTTGCGCCGACGGCATCAATTGTCGCAGGTCCAATCGTTTGCTGGTTTGGCCTCGAGCCGAGAGCTGCGTCGCTTGCATGTGAATTCCACTGACCTCCGTCTTGCCCGCAATTTTTGCTGACTCAGCAACCTTGAAACCGATGCTGGCTGCTGTGCTCGAGTAGTAATGAACTCAACTTGCCAAATAATTGGCATCGGAACAGGCAGCAGACTAGGCAGAAAACACTCTGAGTCCAATCAGCTTGCAAGTTTCCTGTCATGTCCGAAGAGAATGAGATTGTAGTGAGATTCTGACAATTTATGACCACCGCTCTTGTCGTTTCCGATGACTTTGGCCTATCACTGCACATGGACAGCAAGAAGCTCTCATCGTGCCATGCATCAATCGCTCAATTCTGTCTAGTTCTTGTCCTACTACTCATAGAAACTCCAAACTAATAACCCCATCTGATCCAAACCATTGTTTCTACCTTGACACTGACTCACTTGACCATCCATCAGCGGCTGACTAAGCCAAGACTTCCATACCTGAATCTTTACAAAATTCTTTTGCAACCAAACAAAAAAATTAACGAGAACACTGGCGCCATGTCCGAGCCCACGGCATTCACTGTTAGGCCGTCGCCTCCTACGAGTTCATTAGACGGAGCCTTTCGCGTCCACCTTACCGCAAAAGATCTGGATCTCCTCGGCCTGAAGTTAGGCGAACTTTGCACTCTGCATTCAGGCGATGGTTCATCTGCAGTCGGCATTGCTTGGAGATCTCTGGATACCAGTCAAAAGCCTCAACTTCATCCGGTAAAACTGTCCGAGCCCATGCGTGACTCCTTCGGATGCAAGCTTGGTAGCCAAATCACCATCAAGAAAATTAACAATGGTAAAATTGCTCATGCAGACCGGGTTGTTGTCATCGATGTGTCTGATAACGACAAAATCGACCTTACCAAGGATGACAAGAGCTGGAAATGGCGTTGTGGTATGGCTTTGGGTAATGTCGAGGCAATCACGACCGGTGTGGCATTTGAGGCCTCGTCACGCAAAGGTCTGAGAAAACGCTTCCTTATTGAACACATCGAATCCAGCGAAGCCACCGCAGCCACAGGCTTGTACGTTTTCGATGACAGGAGTCAGATCGCTCTTCAAGACGAGGAATCTGAAGTAACTCCCGAAGCGCCTATTACACGTTCGATCGCTGTGACCTCTGAGGGAATTGGTGGTTTGAACAAGCAAATTGAGCTTCTCAACAAGCGTCTGTCACGGTTGATTGGCGACATCAGAGGCAAGAGACTGCCACCTCAAGTTCAGCGCAATGGAGGTATCCTTCTCTATGGCCCCGAAGGAACTGGCAAAACACTTCTACTCAATCATCTCACACAAGCACCCTGGAAGAAGGTCGTCAGAATCGACCAGAGCGCGCTTGCTGGAACGACTAGCAAGAACCAAGTTTCTGTCCGCAACCTGTTCGCTGAAGCAGTAGCACATCAGCCCAGTCTGGTTATCATGGATAACCTCGAGTCAATCGCTGGTACACAGCAACGCGATTTTACCGTAGGCAACCTCGCGCCAGCTTTGGTCGCCGAGCTTGATAGGCTACGAAACACACACGTCTTGGTCGTGGCTGCCGCACACAATCCCAACGATATCGACAAGTCTTTGCGCACACCTGGACGCCTCCGCTACGAGATCGAAATACCGATCCCTGATATGAGAGCACGCATCCAGATCCTTAAGGTCATGCAAGGGGAAACCGGCACTGCTGAGCTCGCCGAAGCCATCGGAGAGCGTACCCATGGCTTCGTCGGCCAGGATCTTGAAGCTCTCTTCAACAACGCTCTCGAGCATGCTCTCGACAGGCATCAGGATACGACGACAAACTGGCTCCCAATTCAACGTACCGACGACGAATCACAATCTCAGAGAACCCTTGTCAATGGCATGGAGAACTGCAGTATTGACGACAGACCACGCACCGCTGACACAGATGATGATGCGGATCTCCAAGTGACGCTCGCCGATTACGAAAAAGCTCTGCTTGAAGTCAGACCCACAGCCATGCGCGAGATCTTCCTCGAAACACCCAAAGTTCTATGGTCAGATATCGGAGGTTCGGGCGATGTCAAGAAAACGCTGAATGAGGTCGTCGAGTGGCCTCTCAAATTCGAAGAGCACATGCAGGCTCTGAGCCTTACACCTCAAAAGGGTATCCTGTTCTATGGTCCTCCTGGTTGCTCTAAGACTTTGACAGCCAAGGCAGTCGCGACCGAGTCCGGCCTTAACTTCATTGCCGTAAAGGGCGCTGAATTGACGTCAATGTACGTCGGTGAATCCGAGCGCTCGGTGCGCGAGGTGTTTAGGAAGGCGCGCGCAGCTGCCCCAAGTATCATTTTCTTCGATGAAATTGACTCTATTGGCTCAGAGCGCGATTCCTCAGGCACAAAAGGCTTGAACGTGCTTACCACCCTGCTCAACGAAATGGACGGTATCGAGAGTCTCAAGGGCGTGCTAGTACTGGCAGCTACCAATAAGCCAGAGGTCCTTGATCCTGCTCTATTGAGACCAGGCCGCTTCGACAGCCTTATCTATATCGCTCCGCCGTCGCAATCGGCTCGCAAGGAGATATTGCGCATCCGTACGCGCAGCGTACCGCTCGCTGATGATGTCGACATTGAAGACCTTTCGGAGCGTACGGAAGGCTTCTCAGGCGCTGAAATCGTCGAGATCTGCTTGAATGCTTGCAGAGCCGCCATGCGTAGAAGGGTCGAAATCGTCACCCAACCACGCGATGCTGATGTAGTTGACCAGGGAGCCATCGACGAGCTCATGAAAGTCTCAAAACCAGATTTCGATACAGCCCTAGCTACCGCAGTACGCAGGATCACACCAGAAATGACCGAAGGTTATGAGCATTGGCGTGATGGGCTCACCAAGAAGTTGTAGAGGGAGAGAGAAAGATGATTTGCTTCGATACAGATACTATAGCTAGTGAGAAAGACATAATGAAAATCTGATATCCCCACCCGCGTATGGGCTCACAGAATAGGCTGCTGCAATGCAGAATGATTTTGAAATTGGAGAGATGTCCAGAGAAAGCTTGAAAAAAATGGGCTCTCACTGGACTCAGCGAGTGGTTTGGATAATATCGTGACTTTGTACAGGTGTTTTAAAGGCGGTCTTTGGAGCTGGGATGTTAAATTTTGATGCGTTTGTAAGAGAGCTACATGGTGATTGTTGTTAGGTATGCCTGTTTGGTTGAGATCTTCTCAGCTTGCTTGCGTCAGCACGTGGTATGTTTCATTGCCACTGTGGTCAGTCCCGATATTCTCAGTGTTGAGCTAGAGTATATACTACGTTGTCCTTAAGAGAAGCGACGAAACATTACCCTGATCACGTCGCAGAGCCCTGAGAGTATGAGAGTGTCGAGGCGTACTTGTATATGTCAAACACCCGGCAAGCCCCCCAGCACGTGCGATCGAAGTGACAAAGTACATCGGAACAGCCACCGAACGCAAGGGCGTTTCAACTCATGGGTCATCGGGCTTCCACAGTACAGTAATACTCCCATTCGCATGAATGTCTAAAAAGCAGTTTCCTGTTCCAGACACAATTGCGAGAGACGAGGTCTGCCAAGCGAACGTATATAAACAACCTATGATGAGAAGACTTACGAACTCCTCAATCTATTAGATAGTGAACACTATCAAGTCCCGACAAGTTCTCATCTCGGCAACCATAGGGCTGGGTTTGTTACGTGCCTCATCTGTGCCTCTTAAGATAGGCGAGAGACGGACGCAAACTATTCGACTGCCATCACATTCGGCAAGTCCGTGTGGTGAAGACATTCGAGCATGACAGCTTTCCATCACGATCGCAATCCTTCAGGAATGCACATGCGCTCTGCTGACGTGGTACAAAGAAAGACCCCGCGGTTGCGATGCCGAAAGAAGACAGCCAGCCACTAAAGAGTGACAATAAAAACAAGGCTGCAATGAGAAAATGGTAGTGATACAGAAAATGACAGCATGCCCCCCCTGCGGCACATCTTTTGATGTTGGGATGGGGGTATTTATATAAGCTGATCCGTGATACGGCACATCTCATGAGCCGTCGGTGGATGTCTACCCTTTCTTGATATTGTGATCAATCTGGGTAGCGAAGTAAGGCTGTTTATAAGTATCTTTACTGCTGCTGTGCTGGTTTGGTAGCAGTGTGTTCTCGATATGACTGTCAACGCAAGCAAGATGTCTGCAGGCAAGCGAAACAACACGCTTCTTGTGAGTCTGCACGCTATTCAAGATGCATGCTTGGGACTAACACAGAATCCAGCTCTTCAGAGATAACTTCACCATATCAACATGGTTAGCCATTGGTGCCCTCTTCCAATCGATCGCCTTTTCGGTGCTCGGCCGTATGGCTTTTCTACCGGCGGCATGTCTGTTACTGTATCGTGTGGCGGATGCCTACGCCATCAAGACTGGCCTCAAGCATAACCACTACCTGGATGGTGTGATTATGGAGCATGTATCTGCTCAAATCCCTGGAGAAACAGACGGCGATGCAGAGACACCTGCGGACTCGGATATATGTGTGTTCATCATTGGGTCGAAAGTCAATCAGTATGTTCAGAGTGCTCCGAGCTTGATTGTCAGATACTGATCATTCATGAAGCCCCCTTGGACTACTCGCACCAGGCTACAAAGAGCTGGGTGAACAATTCACGAGCATGATTCAAGAGATCAAGAGTAAGTTGCTCAAATCCGCGAAACAGCAAGTCACTTACCGCTGCCAGACAATGCTGAAGAACACGGATTTTTGGGCTCCAGAAGTCTTGTCGGAGCCGAGTCGGCCACAAACAACGAGACAGTATCGATCATGTACTTCAAGACGTCCGAGGCTGTGCAAGCCTATGCAACTGGGCCGCTTCATCGCAAGTCGCTGACTTGGTGGGCCAAGCACGCAGCCAAATACCCTCACGTTGGTATCTTCCATGAACTCTACCAAGTACGAAAGAAGGATTGGGAGACAGTGTATGGGCACATGAAGCCAATGTTTGCGGGCGAGACTCGACACAAGGTGGAGACAGGGCTGTCGGAGAAGGACGAAGAGGGAGCTATCTGGAGAAGTCCGTTGGTGTTCACGACAGGAGTGCTCAAGACGAGTCTAGGAAGAATGGGTAGGCTGCCGGGCAGCTACATCCGGAGCGATCTGGAGGTGAAGGATGAAAAAGCTGGAGTTATGTCGGTGTAATGGGCAATGTCTGTTTGATGAGTTTATGAACAACTAGACAGCGAGCAGGATCGCACTTCTAATGACAATTAATAACCAAGTCTAGAAGTCTAGAAGGAAGGAGCGAGTGGTATGCAAGTAGAAAAGGTAGAAGCTTGAGCCATGCACGTCAATGGACTTGGCGCGATTCTGGGGATGCTGAGTTCAAGAAGTTTCGACTTGATAGCAACAAACGCGACAAGGCAGGTGCTACTCGGAATCACATCTTCTGGCCCTTGTAACCATCTAGGAAGGGTCGCGTCAAGCTATAGAATGAGATAGTGGCATCAATCATGGCCGACGTACAAGCAAACAGCCGCCCGACGGTAGACGACTTGACTGGCGACAACCACTACGCCCAGCTGGCGCGCAAGCACTGGCTGAACAAGACCAAGCAGCCAAAGGTCCAGCGCGATGTCATTGAGAAGGAGCTGTGGGCACCGCTGGAGCAGGAGGACTTTTCATCGTTGCTGTTGCTGGAACAATTGCAGCTGTTGGAGTTGTACCTCTGGCCGGGATACACGGACGATGCCTCGAACCACCACGTCCTGCTGCTGGCCATGCTGGTCAATGTGAAGCGTCGCGAAGGTCTCGCTGTATGGGACTGCTTCCAACAACAATCGGACAACTTCTCGTCGCTGTTCCGCCGCGTACTGTCCATGACCATCGACACATCCATCGCAACCACCCTACGAACTCACCTCCTTACCTTCATCATCATCGCATACCAATCGCTCGACAGCGGTATCGTCAGAAAAGAATGCGCTCCTCTGGTCAACATTGCCGTTTGGCACAATCTGCACAGCGACGAAGCAAGAGATGGTCATTTGGAAAAGGCTGTACAACTGCAAAAGGCTTGGAGGGCTGCAAACAAGAGATACGAGGGCTCAGACGCTCCTACACAGGCTCGTCTGCGCTTTGAGAGGTCATGGCTGTATTCCTTGACCCTCGACTTCTTCGACCGCTTGTACGACACGACTGCCAAATCCCGTTCGGACAACGTCCTTTACTGCGAACGCTTCGTCGAATTGCTGTCCGACTTGCAGAGTCAATTGCCCACTAGGCGTTTTGTCAACACTCTGCTGCAAGACCTCAACACACTGTCCGTCATCAAGCTGTCACCAATGTACGCCGATGAGGACAATGCTCTCTTGCGTGATCTCTACAACCTTCTTCAACACTACACCAACTTCCCCATCGAGGACCACAGTGGCCGACAGTACACTCCTTTGGAATTTGATCAACAACATCATGCCGCTTTGACCAAGTTACAGAGAGTCTCATTCAAGCATTTCCAGGACAAGTTGAAGATTTTGGTGCTTGCCAATTTTGCCTCATTAGCCACAAGAGAGGATCTGCAGGGACATTTGGGTTCTTTGTCCGACGACGAGGTCACTGAACTATGCCGTCTGCTCGGCTTCCGGACCGACTATCCTAGCTCGACTCTCGTCACGCGGGATCGTACCTTCTACATGGAAATACTACTTTCTGCTCACGAATCTCTGCCTATGTATCAGCAGACCATGCAAAATATGGCCGTTGTTCCTACCGAAACCACCATTTACGATTCTGCCTTTGTCCGCAACGAGAGCTACAACGGAACTAGGCCCTTGGCTATCCCGAAGCTGAATCTTCAGTATTTGACCATGGGAGACTTCTTGTGGCGATCCTTTGTGTTGTACAGAGCGGAAGCCTTTTATCAGATCCGCAAAGACATCGAAGATACTGTCAAGAGGCTACAACCGAGAAAGGCTGGACCAGCAACCAAATTCGACGGCTTTTCGAAGATGGCCATACCCATCACGAAACCTGCTGTCATCGATGTTGCACCCGCCAAGGTTTCTGAACTGCACCCTTCGAAAGTCGAGGTTGAAGTAACTCTTGACGTTGGCCGCTTAGGTCCCAACATCCGCAAGGATTGGGAGACGTTACGTTCTGGTGATATTGTATTCTTGGTATCTGTCCAAGTCGGTGACACGACATCAGTGTTCAGTAACGGTGGATCAGAATCGCCCGATTTAGCAGACAGACATGGTGTCAAGCATGTCCGTTCTGCCGAAGTCATCCAAGTGCTTGACGAAAATGGTCGTATGCTGCGAGACCAGCCTCAAGCTCAGACTAACGGCGCGGCTTCAAGAGGCGGCCGTCAACGTAGACTATTGCTCCGACTTGACCCTGTCGCATACCAACAAGACAAGGAACGTACAGACAAAGGCAAGCCGGATATTCTTGAAAGCATCAACCTGCTTGTACGACGTCAGGGTCGGGAGAACAATTTTAAGCCTATCCTGGACTCGATCAAGCACCTTGCCTTGTCTGATGTTCCTGCTCCTCAATGGCTGCAAGAGGTGTTCCTCGGCTACAGTGATCCAGCTGCTGCAACATATCAGCGTCTGCCCAATAGACTGAACTCGATTGACTACCGCGACACATTCCTCGACTGGCAACACCTGATTGAGTCGTTGCCAGGAAAGACCGTAGAGCCAGACGCAAACCTCAACTCTAGCTTCCCGCCACCATATGTCCTCGAGACCTCGGCAGCGCCACCGACTGAGGCCAGACCTAGCAAGAGACGCAAGCGCGAGCAAATCGAAGCAGCTCCCGCTTCCGCTGCAGAGTCTGTCAAGGTTGGAACTTACAAGCCTGCCAATCCTGGTCCGTACCCTGTCGATGCTCCTAAGCTGAATGGTGTTCGTTTCACTCCCACACAAATTGAGGCCATCACATCCGGTACCCAACCAGGTCTGACAGTCATCGTTGGACCCCCCGGCACTGGCAAAACCGATGTCGCAACACAAATCATAAACAACATCTACCACAACTTCCCCGAACAACGCACATTACTTGTTGCCCACAGCAATCAGGCACTTAACCAGCTCTTCCAGAAGATCACAGCTCTTGACATTGACGAGCGTCATCTTCTCAGACTTGGTCATGGTGAGGAGGAACTCGAGACTGAGGCAAGCTATAGTAAGCATGGTCGTGTCGAGTCCTTCATGGAGAATGCTGCGATTCATTTGCATGAGGTCACTCGATTGGCTGCTAGCATCAGTGCTCCTGGTGCTCATGGCAGCACATGCGAAACCGCCGACTACTTCAACCAAGTATATGTCAAGCCCGCTTGGACGAAATACTGGGACGCTGTCAATGCGGGTGCTGACCCTCAAGCAATCATCGACACCTTCCCCTTCCACGCCTATTTCTCAAACGCCCCGCAGCCTCTTTTCCCTGCTACAGCTTCTCGTGAAGAACTAGTCGACGTTGCATCTGGCTGCAACAACCACCTCGATCACATCTTCGCCTCTCTCGCCGACACCCGTCCTTTTGAAATCCTCCGCACAGCCCGCGACAAGGCCAACTACCTCTTGATCAAGGAAGCCCGAATTATCGCAATGACATCCACCCATGCAGCTATGCGCCGGCAAGAGATTGCCGATCTAGGCTTCCGTTACGACAACATAATTATGGAAGAAGCCGCGCAAGTCACCGAGATCGAAAACTTCATCCCACTCGCACTGCAAAAACCTCGTGATGGCGAGATGAAATTGCAACGTGTGGTGTTGGTTGGCGATCATCTCCAGAACAGCCCCATTGTGCAAAACTTGGCCTTCCGCCAGTATGCAAATTTGGAGCAGAGTCTGTTTTTGAGGCTGGTGAGGTTGGGAGTGCCGAAAATTGTGCTCGATCAGCAAGGCCGTGCTAGACCTAGTCTTGCAGAGCTCTACAAGTGGCGATACCCTACTTTGGGTAACCTGCCGCTTGTTACCTTGTCACCACAATTCCTTCAGGCCAACGCTGGATTTGCGTTTGATTACCAGTTCATCGATGTGCCTGACTACAAGGGCAAAGGCGAGACTGAACCTTCGCCGCATTTCATCCAGAATTTGGGCGAGGCCGAGTACGCGGTTGCTATCTACATGTACATGAGACTGCTCGGCTATCCAGCAGAGAAGATCAGTATCCTCACTACTTATGCTGGTCAGAGAGCACTGGTCAGAGACGTACTCAAGCACCGCTGTCAAAACAACCGTATGTTTGGTCTACCCGGCAAAGTCAGCACGGTGGACAAATACCAGGGCGAGCAGAATGATTGTAAGTCGCCCTTTCTTCCACTTCTCTGCCTTTGAATCAGTTACTGACACGAACACAGACATCATTCTTTCCCTGACACGCACATCACGTCCGGGCTACCTCCGCGACATCCGCCGCTTAACCGTCGCACTCTCCCGCGCCCGTCTAGGTCTCTACATCCTAGGCCGCCGCTCCGTCTTCACCTCTACCCCCGACCTAGCCACCGCCTTTTCTTCCCTGCTATCCCGTCCTGCTGCCCTCACTCTTTCAACGGGCGAAATGTTCCCAACCCAAATAAGTGTAGAAGATGCAGGTAACACTGCGGAAATGGAAGGAGTTGAACATCTGGGACAATATGTGTTTGAGATGACAAAGGCAAAGGTTGAAGCTATCAAGAAGGGGGAGGGAATTTTGCCGCCGGTCAGTGCGGTTCAGGATGTTGAGATGGAGGAGGAAGAGGTTTATGCTGAGGATGAGGGGGTTGGCGGGGAGGAGGAGGATGTGGAGATGACGTAAAGTCACGGAATATTAGCGTGGAAAAGCATTTTCTTGTATAGAATGTGGACAACAGACGATTCTTCATACCACTTCCTCCCCGTGTGCTAAACTTTGTCACGCGTACAACTATAGAACAGCACAATTTCGGCATTGTCAGGGGTGGCCTCCCCTGAGAGCGTGGTATTTAGCGCCTCTCTGCGGACGACTATACCGATCTGAAAATCATTGTGCATTTTTACAGGCCGGACGACTCCAGGCGTGGCCGCAGGAGATGGCTGGAAGTGACAGATGTTAGCACACGGGGAGGTTGCATGCTGTGTATGTTTAAGCCGTTTGCTGAGTCCCGATTACAAGTTCATCGACGGCCCTGCTAGTTATGCAACTCTTGATGATCGCTGACAAGGAACGATAACGAGCCTGTCTCCAGACGTATCCATCTTAGAGCTTGAAGTTCACGATGCTACAATCGCTCAATCGCCTTGCAACATCGCAGTACCATTCACAAACACATTGGCAAGGGAGCATAGTATGACTAGGGCAGAGACAAGCAGCAAGTAGGATTCGTGATGATGCTTTGAGGTGAAAGCTACAGCAATTTTCGTGACCACGGTCCCAAGCAAGATATTTGGACTATAGCTTCTCCTCTTCATGGTGGCATTGTGAAACAGCAAGAGCTACAATGTCCTCCCTATTCCTCCATGGATCTGATCGATGCTTGGTAGAGCAATCTTCGTTGTTCCTGTGTCGGTATCTGGTGTGTTGGTTGGGCAAGTTGTAGTATCAGGTGTGCATGTGGGAGAGTGGTGTGGTGGTGCGAGCAGACGTGGTTCATCTTGGCTGTAGCGGTCAGTATCGTGTAAAGTAGAGTATATAGACTAAACGACCTACAGGGGCCTCGATCAGGTTCGTTCAAGGATTGTCGGTCTGAGACTCGTGGGCAAATCCGCGTAGACTCTTGTATTTCCTGGCAAGGACCTCGAGAACATCAGAGCTTTGGAATCTATCGCACTCATCGTAGTAGTACAGGGTCCAGTAGACGTATGGTTTATGTCGGGGAATCTGAGTCATCGTCTGGATGACTAGTCCCGTGAAGAACGTTGTATCAATGGATGGCTCAAAAGATTTGCGTGTCTTAGGGCTCATCCACATGATGTTTAGGACAAGCGAAGATAGCGATTTGAAGCTCGACAACCCTGTCAGATCAATTGCGCCACATGATGACAATGCGTCCGGATCTATGGTAATGGAAAGTCTGACGATAGGAATTTTCGCCAATGCTGAATCGTTTAAAGCCGACGTTGCAGCCCTCATGTTGAACGAGCTGGTATTGAAATCGATCGACAAGAGGCGGCGCCAGACACGATCAGATACCTCCGCACGAACCTGTCTGCAGGACCGCAGAAGATTGATACCCTTCACCACCGTTTTCGGTTTTCCAGGCATGCGAAAATTCCACCTGTAGTCGTTGGGAATGGCAAGGTCATAAACCATGATGCGAAGTTCCAATGGGAGGTCCAGGAAAGACGTGCCACCAGTGTGCATGGTATGTCCCGAAGTAGCCGTGTTCGTAATCGATGAGATCTCACCAGCCGAGTCGTCGTTCTTGAGGTCTTGATGCAATGCAGAAACTAGTTGACGCGGCAGGGGCGATGAAGGAGAGGGTGGGATTTCAAACTCATCCGCACTGTCAATCTCCTCGAAAGGCCATTGCGATGACATGGCTTGATGTAAGGCAGAAGGATTCCGCAGAGATGCGGGCGTGGTGTGGGAGAGACAACAGGGGCACAAGATGGTGGTGGATGGGGTGTGCGCACTTGATGTGAGACAGGATATTTTTCGTTGATGGATTGTTGGAGGAGAGAGTGTTGATGGAGAATCAGAAAGTGAAGAAACCAGGTCAAGGTGCGAATGGAATGAGCCAGGTGGTGCCTGCTGCTGCGCGTTGATGGATCCTTTAGGGAAGTTATCATCCACTGCACCTGCCACTTCCACTCATCGTTCGCTCAAAACTCCAGGCATCAGCCAGCATCGACACTGCCCCGCCGCACTGCACGAAAACATTGGGAAAGTGAGAACAAAGAGCAGAAATCAAAAGCTGGCCCTGATTTGAATCATTGAGAAAGTAACCACTCCTCCACATTTTTACCGCCTCGAAAAGAAAAAGAAAAGCAAACGCTGCCTCGTTGAAGATGCCATAAAGTTCGTGACAACAGAAGAGAAAAAACACCGCCCGAATGCAAATTTGCCTTGACCGTCTAAATAGGGTCAGGCATGGGAGGTCGTTGAAGACCTATCGCTAAAGCAGAACTGAGGAAAGGAACAAAGTGATTAGGTGGGCATGGGTGCAGCGGCACCGGTCATGTCCTCGAAGGTTTCAGCGGGTGCGCAGGTGCAGAAGAGGTTCATGTCACCATATGCTGTGTCTTGTTAGTTGTGTTCACGTTCGTATGACAGGATAGAGTCAACTCACCATCGTCAAGTCTGGTAACAGTAGGCCAGAACTTCTTCTCCTTGAGATAAGCCAGGGGATATGCTGCTGTCTCGCGAGTGTAGGGTCTCGACTCCCAGTCCGAGGTGACAATGTCCTTGACACTGTGAGGTGCCATCTTGAGCACATTGCCGTCCTTGGGCTGCTTGCCTTCCTCAACCAGAGTAATCTCCTTGCGTATGGAGATCAGAGCATCGCAGAAGCGGTCGAGCTCTTCCTTGCTCTCTGACTCGGTGGGCTCGATCATCAAAGTGTTGGCAACGGGCCAGCTCATCGTGGGTGCGTGGAAGCCATAATCTTGCAGACGCTTGGCAACATCAATGGCTTCGATACCAGCAGTCTCTTTGAACTTGCGAATATCGAGGATGAACTCGTGGGCGCAACGGCCGTTGTCGTTGGTGTAGAGGATGGGGTAGTGAGGGCGCAGACGAGACAGGATGTAGTTAGCGTTCAACAATGTGATCTTGGTGGCATGGGTCAGACCGCGAGCGCCCATCATCTTGACATATGCCCAACTGATGGGCAAGATGCTGGCGCTACCCCAAGGTGCACCACTGATAGGCGCGATGGCCTGTTCACCACCAGTCTTGACCAGAGGATGACCAGGCAAGAAAGGAGCGAGGTGCTCTGCAACACCAATGGGACCGACACCAGGACCACCGCCACCATGGGGAATGCAGAAAGTCTTGTGAAGGTTCAGGTGGCAAACATCAGCACCAATCTCACCAGGAGAGCAAAGACCAATTTGAGCGTTCATGTTGGCACCGTCCATATAGACCTGACCACCATTCTTGTGAACAAGATCGCAGGCCTCCTTAACCTTAGGTTCAAACACACCGAAAGTGCTAGGGTATGTGATCATGATGGCACCAAGCTCCTCGCTGTGCTTCTCACACTTGGCCTTCAGGTCTGCCATGTCCAGGTTTCCGGTACCGCTCTCGCACTTGATTGTCACAACACGCATACCTGCCATAGCTGCACTTGCAGGGTTGGTACCGTGGGCAGAGACCGGAATCAGGCAGATATCACGCTTCTTGCCGGGCTGTTGCTCGAGGTATTTGCGGATAACGCGGAGACCGGTGAACTCGCCCTGAGCACCAGAGTTGGGCTGCAAAGAGACAGAGTGGAAGCCAGTGATTTCTGCAAGGTCGGCTTCAAGCTCGTTGATCAGAGTTTCGTATCCCTTGGCCTGCTCAGGAGGAGCAAAGGGGTGGATGTTCGAAAATTCGGGCCAGGTGATGGGTACCATCTCCGTGGTAGCATTGAGCTTCATTGTGCATGATCCGAGAGGAATCATGGAGTGCACCAGGGAAAGATCCTTTGACTGCAAGTGGTGGATGTAACGGAGGATATTGGTCTCAGAGTGGTGAGTGTTGAAGACAGGGTGTGTCAAGAAAGGTGTCTTCCTGCGAAGCTCGGCAGGGACGTGAGATGCAGCATCCTCAGCTGAGAGACCAATGTCCTTTGCCAGTGAATCGACGGTGAGCTTGGGGGATGACTTTGCGGCACCAGCCAGCAGGTCTATAATAGCTTGAATGTCCTCCTTCTCGACAGTCTCGTCCAGAGTGATACCGATACGGTTCTCGTCAACGACTCTCAGGTTGGTCTTGTATTCTTGCTCGGCCACTTTAGCGAAGTCACCGGCCTTTCCAGCAATAGCACCTCCAGAGATAACGACAGTGTCGAACAAGGGTCCAGTGGTCTCAATGGTGTATCCGCTCTTGGAGGCAGCCTCGGCAACAACACGAGTTGAGTTGATGACTCTGTGGGCAATACTCTTCAAGCCTTCGGGTCCGTGGTAGACAGCGTACATGGCGCTCATGTTAGCCAACAAAGCCTGAGCCGTGCAGATGTTGCTGGTGGCCTTTTCACGACGAATGTGCTGCTCGCGGGTTTGAAGAGCCAGACGAGCTGCATTGTTACCCAGTCTATCCTTGGAAAGACCAATGAGACGACCGGGAATCTTACGCTTGTGCTGTTCGCTGCAGGCAAAGAACGCTGCGTGGGGGCCACCGAAGCCGAATGGAACACCGAATCTCTGAGCGTTTCCGAAGGCTACGTCTGCGCCAAACTCGCCAGGGGGAGTGAGAACAGTGAGAGCCAGAAGGTCGGTGGCCACACTGAAGGTTGCCTTCAGCTTGTGAACCTTCTCGGAAAGGTTCTTGAAGTCCTGAACACCACCAAGGGTGTCGGGGTATTGGCCGAGAACACCAACCAAGTCTTCGCCAATCTCTTCCACTCTCTTGCTTCCGTCCTTGAGGATGTCATCGACCTCAATCTTGATCCCGAAGCCTTCGGCGCGGGAAGCCAGTACGGCAATGGTTTGAGGGTGGCACAAGTGCGAAACAAGGTAGACCTTGTTGGGGCGCTTTTGACGAGCTGAGGGGAGAGCGTTGATAGAAAGGGTCATGGCCTCTGCAGCAGCGGTGGGCTCATCGAGGACAGATGCGTTTGAGATGGCCAGGCCGGTCAGGTCAGAGACCATGGTCTGGAAGTTGAGCAGGGACTCCAATCTTCCCTGACTAATCTCAGGTTGGTATGGAGTGTAACTTGTGTACCAGCCAGGGTTCTCGAGGACATTTCTCTTAATGACTTCAGGTACACGGGTGCCCGCGTAGCCGCATCCAATGTAACTTCTGACGATCTTGTTTCCACTGGCAATCTCTCTCAGTCTGTCGATCAGTTGGCTTTCAGAGAAGCCTTCTGAGCTCGTCTCTTTACCGGGTTGACCTTTGCTATCCTTGACTGCGGGCCCTTCGATCTTGAGGTCGCGAGATGATAGGATATCTGCGGGCAGAACTTGGGTCACAAACTCGTCGAGAGACTCTGCCGGAGGGTCCAGAGCCTTGAGCATCTCAATAGTGTCATCGGATGAGGGACCGATGTGTCTGCGCGCAAAAGTGTCCAGAGGCGCAAAGAGAGTGGACTGGGCATGGCCGTCGCTGGGTGACTGAGTGTCGGTAGCGGTGCTCGAGTAGAAGGATCTGAACTGCGTGGGTCGGACATGCTTGCTGGGTTGGAGTAGTTGTCTTCTAGCGGACAGGTTGAGGCATCGCCTGCTTGTCAAAGAGGAGACTGTGCCTTGGGATAGTGAAGCGTATCTCAGCCTTGCGGCAGCGACCAGTGATTGCTGCATCTTGGACTTGTGCCTGTCAGACGAGAGTCCTTGTGCGAGCACTGGGCAGTAAGTAGCGGTCTTCTCACCTGTCAAGCAAAAAGAATGAACGAGTACTCGTCTTCGAGGGAACAACTGTATGACGCGAGCTCTCGGCTTAAGCTTGCTTCACCCGAGTGGTTTACCCGCAAACGAAACAAAGGAACAATATCAACGAGATGGATGTGAAGAAAGAACAGAAGGAGTCATTGATTTCTGCAAGCCAACAATTTTTCTTGCACTCTCGCCAAACGGCACCACATGCAGGAACATGAGCCACCTTAGTTTCTTGGTGCTCCTTCAGATAAGAACTCTATTCCGAAATGTGGTGATTTTGTAGGGCGTACGACTCGTTCACGCCGGGAGCCGGCCCGAAAATGTGGATCGCCCGCACCTAGCCGTGCACGATAAGGAGGGGTCCGGGGATCATTTACTCGATCATTTTACCCTTGAAAGGAAGGCCGGCGCGAAGACGAGATGAAACCTACCTCCCCGTGTGCTGTCACGCGCATGCTGTAAAAATGCACAATGTTTTTTAAGATCAGTGCAGCCCTCCGCTGAAAGCGTGAAAGTTAGCGCTTCCCAGTGGAGGGACGCACTGGTCTGAAAAGCATTGTGCGTTCCTCCAGCCCAGATGGCCTGAGTCGCGGTCCCGAGAGATGGCTATAAAGGTGACAAAATTTAGCACATAGGGAGGTAGGATACTTGTCTAGAAGTAACGTGATCAAATTGCGCTGAGTTGGGTATTCGAAGAGTACAGAGAAGAAAAAGACCCCTTGGTCTATGAAGAAGCCATGTAGTTGCCAATCAGAGGAATATGGCTGTACAGCTCGTCGTATTCCCTGCCAACCCATCCTCCAACTGCGCCGCCACGGCCGACGATGCCCATACCTCCAGCTAGCCACAGTGCACTGACAACAGCGCTGACTGCATTGACAACATACCATCTTCTCTTTCTTATGAGCTGGCCCTCTGGTCCGCCTTGGGTGACTTGCGATGGCGTCCAGTTCAGCCATTTAGCCCAACCCCAGACAGAGTGCCAAACTCCAACGGTAATCAGAGCACCGAAGCCAATGAACGAGACAGCAGGGTGTTTGGCAAAGCCGTGTGAGACGTAGCCAAGGTTGATGCTGCTAGAGCCACCCTCGTACCACAAGGGGATGATTCTGTTGACAAAGGAGTGTCCAAAGACCAGTGGTACCAGAGCATATCCTAGCGCACTTGTACCCGACAACTTGGGCCATGCGACCATGCGTCTATCCGTCCTGTTCTCTGCGCCATATCTCTTGAGGTTCTGCTTGCGACGGTAGAGGCGAAGGGCAACACCGCTGCCAATGTGGGCGAGCAAGGGTAGGACAACAATGAAGGGTTCGGCAATAGGCGATTGGTAGTAAGGACGAGTGAGCAAGAGATAGCGCTCGGAATTGGCTACCGAGCGTGTGGCAAGCGGGATGATGGACGTGTTGGCAATGTGGAAGGCCGTGAAGACGGAGAAGGCGTAACTCGAGTACTTGTGGACGCGGGTGAGGTACCAGACGGGCGAATGCGCATCCAGACCTAAGGTAGAGGTCCGCTGGACGGGCTTGATGGCTTCATGGTCGTAGTTTGAGCGATCCGAGGACGGGAAGTACGAGTCCTTGACGTCCGAGGGAAACTCGTCCTCGATTGGCGAAGGCTCGAGTTCTTGCAACGAGACCTCCCGCGACAGGTCGTTGGCGTGAGTGTTCATCTGTTCTGAGTTCAACTGCCTGGAGCCAAGGAAGAAGCAAGCTCGCCCACGAATCAGCGTCGCACATGGCTTTGATTACCACATCTACATCTTATCTCTGTCACAATCGGCGGATCTATCCCCACCTCGGCTTGACGAGCTTTGACTTTGTTCCTCACGGGCTTCCTCTTTGCATTCTACATCACCAAACACATCAATCATCTAACATGGGTCCAGTACGTCAAGACCTCTGTAATTTATCGTCCATGAGCTAACACAACCACAGCGATCAACAGTACTGCCTAGCGCACAGGTATGCCCCCTCATCTGTCTTTTAGACCCACAGCCTAACTCGTCATTCAGACCGAGAGCGCGCGCGAGTTGCGCCGCAACTTCTACTGCGATCTCTGTAGCAAAGGATACGGTCGTATCACAGAACTCGAAGCCCACGAAAACGGCTATGACCACCAACACCGCAAGCGCATGAAGGAGATGAAGCAAATCACTCGCAACCCTACAGCCGCCGTCCGCAACTCACGCACCGAGAAGAAACGCACTGAAAACTCTGAGATGATCAGCTTGAACTTGAACAAATGTGGAAAGTCAGATGGTGTAAAGAGGGGGTTCAGGGACATTGGTGGTGACAGAGATGCGACACAGGATGTACGGACGGCACCGACTGCGGCTGTGCCTGCTGTTGTCATGAACGAGGCACCGGCCAAAGAACAAGTCGAGGTCGAGAGACCGTTGCGATGGGACGATCTCACACAACTGGACTCCATCCTGGACCCGTCAACACTACCTGCTGAATGGCAGCAACTTGGCCCAAGCGCTACCCGGACGTACTTCTCCAACATGGCCGATGCCGAGAAGCGAAGAGCATACTTTGATGATGACGAAGACATCCTGGATGAGATGGGTATTGCAGATGACGAATGGCATGCAGACGACGAAAACGTCTTGGATGAAACCGACATCGATCAAGACTGGGAAGACTTTATGCAATCCGACGATTGGAAGAAGCAAAAGAACGACGCTGAGCAAGCGAGAAAGGATAAACTCAACCAGGCTTGGAAGCAAAGACGGGCTATGCAGCAGTCGGCGTAGTACAATGACAGAAAGAGCAATGGATTGAATATTGGATTACTTGAGCATTGGAGTTGATCAAGGGAAGATCTCTGGTATACCATTCGGCAAGGCGTTCATGATCATATATTTTGAGTACCTTCAAGTTACAAGCTGTCATCGCAGCCGTTGATTGATATCAGTTCGCATCTCCTTCATAATCATCGTCGTCACGACCTCTCCCCCCTGAAACCAGGAACAAACAATTTCCAAAACAAACATCACATCCATATTTGCCACAGATCCATCTCTCCCCATCGAACCGGTGGTGTGGTGCAGTTGGTAGGCTTGCGCCTCACTGTGGACTATTGGCCACCGGTTCGACTCACGCCATTGACTAGAGGTCCCAGTAATCCTCACCCGACAACAATTATGATGAAAAGCTTTGCTTTCTCTTCCCCTCCAGAGCTAGTCTTCTGGGGGGTTTCTGTTTTGCCAATTTCTTCGATAGATATGGGATGATGGTGGTGATTTTCTTTTTTGCATCTATTGAGAGAGGATATGCATGATTTGTTTCTCTTTTTGCGCGTGTAGAGGGATATGTTGCTGGCGCGCGTGTGTATGCACAATGATTTCGACATATCTCTAGTCGTCCGTAGAGAGGCGCTGACTATCACGCTCTCAATGGAGGCTACCTCTGAAAATGTTAAAACCGTGCAATTCTACAGCTATACTCGTGACAAAGTTCAGCACACGGTGAGGGTGGACGTGGCTTGCATATCGGTGACATGGTGCCCCTAAATTGATTTGCGTGCCAACTGAACCATAGTGTGCACTTGCTAGTGATGATTGGTTACAGAAGACGAATTCTTAGTGGCACAAACAAGGAGTACGAGAAGATAAAAAGGGAGTCGAAGTCAGACAAACAATGCTTTATTACATTGGTCAAGAGAGCATGGTTCAAACTCACTGAATCTAAATACTAGCACGCCTGGGCGCCATGGTTCTCCTCAAGTTCTTCCTCTCCTCGGTCTCCTCCATCACAGGCAACACTCCGTCCTCTCTCAGCTTGGCCAAAAACTCCTGACCGTACTTGTATCCGACCTGGTAAATCTCGTCAAACTTGGCAAACTCGAGCGTGCCATACGCATCGATCGGAGGACGCATATAAAGACAACCAGGAGTAGTCTTTGCGCGTTCAAGTGCATCAATACTAGACACATAGGCCAAACGGGCCTGGATCTCAGAAAGTGTAGGCGGGTTAGGATATGCTGAGAACGGATTCCAGCGATTGAACGAGGCCCAGAACCCTGAGAGTGAATCTCCATACGCTTGCGGGTTGTCATCGTCTAGAGCTCCGACATCAACAGCGAAGATGACATCTGCGCCAAGTGACTTCATGTGAGCGACAGTCAAATTGTCCACGTAGCCACCATCAAGAAGCATGTTTCCTTCGTCGCAAAGCGGAGGCAACAGGCCAGCAAGTGACATTGAGGCACGTACGTAGCGCCAGGCGTAACCACTAGTGTGGATTTCGGAACGTGACTTGCTGATGTTTGTGGTGTTGCAGTAGTATTCGAGCCAGAAATCTTCGATCTGTGAGTCGCCGAAGGTCTTGAAGATACCACGGTTGAACTCATGGCCAGTCGTGTAGGATGCACTGTAACACGTCAGTCGATAAGGTTCAATGGCATAAGAACAAGCCAGTCAACATACGATGGGTAAGTCAGGTCCAGGGCAAAACGCCACATACTACCCATCCTTCCAGAAAACTTCTTGGCGCGACCATACATGGGCACAACATCAGCGTCCCAAGCGTAAAGTGCGCCGATGAAAGATCCGATCGACGTTCCTCCGACAATGTCAATAGGGATTCCAGCTTCTTCCAAGGCTTTGATGATTCCAACATGGGCAATACCCCTCGCACCACCTCCACCGAGTACAAGACCGACGGACTTGCCAAGGAGGCGACGAGCTAGACGATGGAAGTCACCCTTGAAGGGTGTTTCTGCGGAATACAGCGGGGTCTGGCGCACTTTCCTGGACGTATACTTCTGAATCTCGGCCTGAATGACTTGAACACGCTGTTTGATAACAGTACTGAACCTTCTAATCTGAGGATGAACAGGTTCGGTGGGGTCACGGAAAGACATCTGAATATGATGATGGCTTCCATTGATCCACGAACGATCTCTGAGCCATTTGCGTGTGAGTCCAGGGTGGCAGTATCTCTCAGCGTGCAGCAAGACGAGTTCTTTTCTTGCCGTGGTCTTTGTCGTGAGGAGAAAACGCTCATACTCGCCTATGGCAGGTGAGCCCTCTGCAAGGCCCACGAGCAGAATGCAATCTGCCTGGTTGATACAGGTTTGCGTCCAAGGTGACTTGACGTTTGTGTCAGCGACATACAAGACCAATGCGAACTTCTCTTCGAGATCGGCTAAATATTGAGATAGCTTCAGCTTCCCCATTTTGGTGAATGCATGTCTGCCAAGATGATTCAGAATAGCTGCCTGATTCAGCGACGTGGTTCTTTGTGGTGTAGCTCCAATCTGGTTCAGAGCACTAAGTAAACGATGACCGAATTCGACCACAGGGACACCTGCGGTTACTGGTAGGATTGCTACCGTTCGCAGGTTCGTCGTGGACGAAGCCTTGGTACGAGTAGCGATCCTGCTCGTATCCTTTCCATGTTCTGAAGTTGGATCTTCGATCAGTGCACGCATGCGAGATGCGATAATCTTGGAAATCTTCATGGTAATGCCAGGATGTTCGTGAGCAAGACTGTTGAAAAGCGATTTGGGGAATTTTGCCAGTTCGGTATCACGAATGGCCAATAGTGTGCCAGGTCGAGTGGACTCGGTCAGAACCTCGAGCTCTCCTACACTGTCACCTTGACCGTATTCGCCAATGACTCTCATCTTGTCGTCTGCACCTTCCTGAATTGCTCTCAATCGGCCGTTGAGCACAATGTAAATAGCATCGCTCTCTTCTTTCTGGTTGTAGATGACCTGACCAGCGTTGACTTGTACCCATTCGAGAGCAAAGTCAATATGCAAGATCAACTTGGGAAGGAGGGTAGTGAGACGCTTGGCTATTGTAAGAAGCACGATGGGGAATCTGTCCACAATCTTCTCGACGGCTGCTCGGGGCAGGAAACCTACATAGACGTCCGTCTTGGCCGTGACATCGATGAAGGAACGGTATGCGGAGACAGTTCCAAGATAGCCAGCAAGTCCACCAGGCTTAGTCAAGAAGAGACTTTTGTGCTTTGGCTTTCGTGCTTTGCTGGGTGGGTTCTGGTTGAGATTCAGCGAGCTTGGGCGCCGGACTGAACCCATGTTCCTGCCTGCCGATGATCTGATGGTTTGAGGCTCATCGGCCAAGTCAGCATCATGCGAGGTGCCGAAAATATTCGACTCTGCAGCTTCTGACTCTTCGATGGGGACACTGACGTCTAGGAAGCCGTCGATGACATAGTAAAGTCCAGGATTGCGTTCGCCTTGCTCGACGAGCACTGAACCCTTGGGAAAGAAGACAATCTCAACTTCCTCTTTCATGTCTTCCAGGATGTTCATGTTACCTGTCGCACTAAGACCAGAGTTCGATACAACGGACTCGGTCTCGCCATCGTTGGGGTCGAACTGGTCGATGAAGCCAAAGGCATTGTTGAAGACGGCCTTTTGTCGCCTGGAGTCATAAGAGACGAGCTTGGGTGACTGTGGGAGAGAGTCCGTCCTTGAAAGGCCGTCCTTCATGTTTGTCAACCCAATGGCTTTAAACATGCAGTCTAGAATGGATTCTCTGAAGATCATGTCTTCATCTACAGAATCTTGACGACGCAGTGTCTTGATGTGAGCATCGAACGGATTGAAGTTCCTGCTAGCCATGGGACTCATGGCATCTCTTCCGAGTGGTCTTGGGGTTTGAAAGGGCAACGAGTAGGGCGCCAGGTTCTTGCGGCCACCCTGCCTTGCGGCATTGTTGTTGTTGGTCAGTAAGTCTCCAGCACTGACACCAGATCTGTCTTTCTCGTCATCCGTGAGTAAGCCTCTCTCTTGACCAAGCCTGCTGCTCCGGGTTGGTGTGTGAATAGACTCGCTTCTCCCTCCATGACCACGGCGACTACTAGGCGCAGCTTGAGCATGCAAGACGGCTTCTTTCCTCAGACCTGTCGCCGTCTTCTTTCGTTGGCCGGCACGTGGGTTATGCAGAGCGATACCCTTAGAAATCTCTTCTGGTCCAGTGCGTTCCTTCTCTTTGGTAAACTTGCTCTTCAGTCTGGTCATGGCATCTCCCTTGAGAAAGTCTGGTAAATCATATGCAGTATAACCATCCATGAGCCTCTCAGTACGTAGAACTTCGCCGGTAAGACCAAGATACTGATGACCGGTTGCCATTGTAACACGTTGAAGTCGTGTAAGAATGACTTGAACGATGTGTGAAGTGGCCTTGGGATAGACACGAGTGAGCCTTCGAAAAGCAGTGGCGGGAATTATCGCAATTGTGGTATCGACGGAGGCTCTTGCCACAATGTCTGGATGGGCAGATATTTGCTTCACAGATTGCCTGCGAGTACTCTGGGTACTGCCTTGTCTCGATCTTGGCTCCACGCCAGGATCATTTGGATCATTTAGAGAGAATGAAGGCACGGCGCTTTGAGCGAAGGAGGCGGCATCGAGCCCTCGGAGTGTTGTGTGAGATTCTCCGCCAGTAGCTGTGAGTTCGGGGCTGAATATAGGTGACAAAGGGGTGGCAGCGCCGCTAGGGCGGTTTGAATGCGGCGTCTGAGGCTGAGCACTGTCTGGCGCGCCTGAAGCCGAGTCACCTTTTTCGTCATGGCGCAACTTGACATCTTCTGTGAACAGGGATAAAATAGAAAACAGGGAAGACATCGGTGCACCGTTTTTGACTTCAGTCAACAACTGGTATCCTTGGTTACCACGTACACGCCCCTCATCATCAACACCGGTCTCTTCGGGGGTAGTTCTGCCAGTTGATGGATCTTCTTCTCTTTCCTTATTCGATTTGACAAAGATCTGGACCAAACCATCCACAACCAGACAAAAGCCCTTTTCCTCTTCTAGCAAGATGGTCTCTCCAGCGATGAGTTTCCTTGTTTGCATAGTTCGGGTGAGTTCGTGAAAGACAGGACGTTCGAGATAACCAAAGACCTTGATGGCACTAAGAAACTCGTCAAGATAATTTGCCAGACCTTGCTTCGAGTCTGTCTCTTGAGTGTCCGGGAAGACCTCAACTTGAGGTTCTTTACGTTGAGGCTCTGGAGGTAGTCTCGAGTACATATTCAAGAAACGATAGCGGACCACCCAGCTCGCGGTTGAAACGAAGAAGACGAGAATCAGTACGACAGTAGTCATGTTGACGGTCAGAGTCAAACTCGTAGACAAGAATGTAAACAGCCATGTTGGTAAAGTAATGGTCAAGAAAGCGATGAACCAGAGGAGAAGGCTGGGTAACATGGTGAAGATGGCCAGGATAATGCCGGCGGCCACGCCCACGTTGGACGGCTCAGCAATAGGTGGAAGGGATGACACGACAGGTACAGTCGAATTTTGCACGACCTCCTGCAGTGCACTCGACGCATTCGCGACAATCTCGGAGTCCATCTTTTCCAGGATATTTGATAGTGAGAGGTCGGCTGCAATTGATGATTGTGTTTAGTGTTCAGCAGGGGCAGCGTATCGTTCAATGACCATGATCAAATTGTTCAAGACATGATAGTCAGAAATTGGAAGCGTCGGAAAGAAAACGAACAAACAATTCGTAGAAGAGAAGTTGCGATGTAGAAAGACAGGAGTTGGCTTGATTGCTGGCATCCAAACACGTGGCTTGGCATTGCGATTTAGCCTAGTTTGTTATACAACGTTTTGAAATTCACTGACCCGAGTCTACTCGAGTACACTCTTGCGATATAAGAAGTTGTTGAAACCAGTCGTGCAACCTTCGCTGAATATTTAGGTATTCATTAGTTGATTATGTTTTCACAGCCTTCAATGCATCACCTATGTAGTCCTGAGCAATATTGTGCATTTAGTGAAGCAGCTTGGCGTTGGGTAAGACTCACTCTTTGGTGGGGAGCAACTTCTCCAGGCTTGCGCGCATCCATCGCAACTTCCGTCACTGTCGCAAGCCAAAGTTAATCGCGACTTTGTCAACTGCTCTCGCCTTTACACGACCACCTTTACATCACAACATCCAGCTCCCATCCATCCCCAAGCCCCGAACAAGGGTATATACAGCAAGCATGGGTGACAGACGTTCAGAGCGCGTCTATCACCAAGACTATATCGCGCGCATCAGATACTCCAACACATTACCACCACCTCCGAACCCGCCCAAGCTTTTGGACATTCCCGGAACTGGCATCGCCTCGAGCAACTATACATCTCCCTCGTACGCTCTCAAGCTTGCACGAGAGCAGCCACTCAACATCGAGGCCGATAGCGAGCTCGGGATGCCCCTTGAGCTGCTTGGACGACCAGAAGTCTTTGAAGAAGACGAGGGCGGTACGTCATTCCCTCATTACACCCTGAGAGTCGCCTTAGCTAATCATACCATCACAGCGAGCATGGTCAACGCCCCGTCCACGTCCATCATGGCCCAAGAAAACCCGCCGCCGCTCCATCCCAAGGACCGAGAACTTCTCAAGCCACTATCCGCCCTCGGCAAGCCAACAGCCATGAACTCTGGTGTCAGTTTTCTCCGTAGGACTGAGTACATATCGTCCAACGCTGGCGCTGTGCAACGTTTTGAATCAAGCACATCCAAAGACTTGTTGCGCGTACGAAAAGACCCCAAGCGTCGTAAGACGGTGGAGCCTAACCGCGACGACCCCTTGCACATCATCAGACATTTGGCCAAAGGCTTTGATCTCGCTTACCCCGAGGACGCCTACCGCGGTGATGATTCTAAGACACAAATCCGTGGAGCTCCCAGCACCCCTGCCGAGAAAGCCGCCTGGGCCACACCTAAACACCCTAAACACCCCGAGCTGACCCTCATGGACGCTTACCCTCTTCTTCCTGATAACGACGCCCTTCCCATGACTGGTGACTACCAGGTCGTTAAATTCAGCACTAATCCTGTTGCTTCCTCGTCCAACACGTACGATACGCGCCTCGACACCGCGCTGCTGCGACCGCTTGGCGCCGATCTGTCTATCTACGAAGAACGCATGGCTGCCCATCAAGCAGATCCGACCGTCCCTAAGCCTTTGCCGGAATGGGACTACGACCTGTTTCTGCCAGGTAATGAGGGTTCAGTGGGCGCTCTCAAGCGCAAATTCGATCCCAATGATGCTCAAAAAGACGACCCCTCACTCTACGATACCGAGGCCGATGGTGATGCGTGCTTCCAATTCGACCGCGTCCGAGAATACGAGACGTACAAGCAAAATGGCAATGCCGACGACCCGTACGGTGTAAAGGTCGCACTCGCCCTAAACGATGGCGAAGGCCGCTTACCACAGGGCGCTTACTACTATGCTGTCAAATCGACAGCAAGTTTAAGACCAAAGAGAAAGACACCAGGCATTTCTGAGGAGGGTCGTGTTGAGCACGTGGATGTGCTCCATGTAACCGTGAGACACCCCAACGCAGACGAGGCAGCAATGCGCACATCAGCGCAAGCAGCCCTGGACCGTGAGGATGAGGATTAGAAGTCTGCACTGGACCGTGAGATTGAGGGTGAGATTGAGGATTAGAAGCCTGCACTGCCTTCCCCGCCTGCACCTCCTTCCCCGCCTGCACTGCCTTCGCCGCCTGCACCTCCTTCGCCGCCTACACTGCCTTCGCCTCCTGTGCCCCCCGAGCCCGCACCGCGTGCGTCTGTTGAGAAATCAAAAGAGGAAAAAGTAGCTGAGGAGATGCATTCCATGGAAGACCATGCCAGGGCTCAAGCCTATGCTACTGATAATGAGGACGGTCTCCGCTCTCACTCCTATAAATAAGTAAAAAAATGAACTATCAGCTATCCCTAACCACCTCTCCACGTTCTTGACCACTTGCAGAAATGCACAGTCATCTGTGAAGCCCCTGATTGAGAGCTCCTCTTTTCTCGCATCTCAGTGGACATTCTGTTGACTCCAAAAACACTCTGCATTTTTACAGGAAATTTGAAAGTGTACATGGTTGCTGAGAGCACGCTTTGGATCGGCATCTCACCGGACAGGACAAGAATTCAGAATCACCGTTCATTTACAGATGCTTAGGATAGGATGTGTATACGGTCACTGACAGCACACTTGTTGTACATGAATAGTTTGATTTGGAAGACCTTATATATACGAAACTCATCTCGGGGCGAAAACTTTGCAATGGGATGCCAAAAACTGCGTCTCATGCGAGTGGACATATTTGACATTCCTTTGGAGCTCTTTGCGGCGATTTGCGGGCATTGATGTCCTCGCAATCTCAATACATCTGTCCTCCCCTATGGTGAACAATTCCCAAAGGAGACTTCCTGCAAAATACGAACCATGTATTCTGGTGGGGGCGCATCCGCAGAGCTGGAATGCGACATCTAGGCTTCGCAAGCCCTCCATCTTCTCCAGCTTATGCATACGCAGTGCTTTGACAGCCACAGTGAGGCGGCGAGATGGGACCGGGATCGAGATGCGGAGCTTTTCGATACGAGCCAAAGCACGATCACTCATGTCTCCGAAGTAGAAACTGTCATCGAACAGGGGGAACGATCCCAAAGGCATATCAGGGTCCATCCACTCCTCTCCAACATTCCAAGTACGGCCAAGGTAGACATATTGGACGGCTTCGACATATATCTGCTTGCAAGTGGCGAGTAGGTTGACGCCGATTACCGGACGTCTGTGGCAGAACATTGGAATGGCATTAAAGTCGCCTCCTTTGCTCAAGTGGAGTTTGTAGATGATGTGGCGTAGTTCCATAGGTAACTTGAGGAAAGGGAAGTGGTCGTTTGCTTTGATGATTCTGTGTTCTTCAGATCTTGCTAGTGACCATGGCCAGGGGGTCTGTCTTGGTGGGAATGTCCTCTTGGGCTTGGGCGATGGAGGTGGAAAATCTTCTGATGATAGTGTTGATGGCCAAGCAGGCGAGAGAGGGGCGTCGAGGCTGGTCATAGGTGACATGTCGTAATTATGTTCGCATTCTTGAGATGATGCTAGTGACCATGGATGTGAGAGTGGTTTGTTTGAGTATGCCTCTGAAGGCTCGGTCGATGAAGTTATAGCATCTTCTGATGACGTTGTTGATGGCCAAGTTGACGAGAGTGGAGCATCAAGGCTGGTGATGGTTGCCATGGTGTTGTTTGTTTCGTAAATCGGCGAGAAAGGATCGTGGCGGCTGTTGATGTGTGCCATTTTGTTGTCAGATACATGCTCTTTGGATGACGCCGATTCCCCCGGGTATGAAAGCTGGTTGTTTTCCGAGGGTGTTTCTGACTGCTTGAGGGATGTAGTCATAGAGTTCCTTGCTGATTGTGCCAGTGCCTCAGCTGAAGGGGTGGTAAATTCGAAGTCGAGGATGTGATTCATCTTGATGTATGGTATATGCGTTGGCAAGAAACTGCGGCGTGATGCGATGCGGGAGCAGGTAAGGTAAGAACGGCTGTCTTAGAGAATTGTATTCAGGTTGGAATAGTTTGTCACAGTGAGCGTAGAAAGAAGACTAAAAGATATCGAGCGGCAGACGACGGTTTGACAGTCATAGCTGCCTAAAGATTCTTGCGAGCAAGTTGTAGCAAGATATGACCACTAAGAGCCAGCCATTTTCTGTTAATGATACGTGGCAGGACCTAAGAACAAGAAAATGATCTCGTGCCTAGACATACATCGAGGAGCTTAAGATCCAGGGAAGAGTCATCATAAGAGACGTAACATACATCGAAAGCTTGACCGTGTTCGAATTGCTTAGGTACTTCCCAACTTGCCTTTCTTCTCATCCCATCCTGCTCCAACCAAGGCATGCATATATGCCGCTCTTTCCCGATAACCCTGATAGCTTACCTTCAGTCCATGTTTTGCCGATGTTGCACGTGTGTTTTATAGCTTCGGATCTGACAAGAGATGTTTCTTAGGCCACATAGACAAGTGACTCCCATGATGGTCGAGGACGGGTCGCTTTATCGTCCAGCCGATGCTTACATAGTGCTGGCGTTGTTTTGATGCATGACGTTAACCAAGAGTGTCGATGTCATGAAGGCACGGGTCTAACATCCGAACGAAGAGCTGTCATGCCGAGGTCATCCATCGGTCAGAACGGAACAGGTCTACTAGACAAGACGCTGTTCGAATTCAGTCTTGGTCAGCAGTCCTTAGTCTCCGCGTGCCTCGAGATATCTTAGGTACTCGTGCTGTGGCGTAGCTAGGACTCCCTCCTGAAGTAAATCAGACAGGGCCCGAGAGGGCTTGATCCTCTTTCATGTTCAACAGCTCATCACTAGGGATCCAGAGCGGATCAGTCTATCGATGCCTTCGCCTCTGAATTAAGTAGGCATTAGGTGAGGGAGGACAGGGTATCTTCGAAGCGGATGTTCGCATGCCTGCGGCAGAACAAGAGGTAGAGGACAGTGTTCTCCAAGTAGCTCGGTGGAGGTAGCACTTGCAGAATAGATATTGACATGGCTGTCTGTGAGGGAAACATTCCTGACGTGTTGCACCGTAGCTCATAATCCGATGGTCGCTGTACTGGAAGCAATTCACCGAAGCCCGTGATCATTCTCAAGTTCTAGATGGTTGTCGGAACGCGTCCATCAAGCCACAAGCAGTAGACGAGAAGCAAAGAGTCCAGAACACTCTTAGGGGGATACTAAGGCAGCTGATAAGGACTGTTGTTGATGTGAAAGACCGAGGCTGTTCTTTCGATAGCTTCATCAAACGGCAAAGTCAATTGAGACAGCAAGTTTTTGTATAATTTGCATAAGCTGTGCAGAAGATATCTTAGCGACATCTTGCTATCCAGCTTGCTCAACTCCAAAACCACATATGATTGGAGATAGAGCCATGGTGGTGCATGGTCTGATAAAAGATGAGAGCGTTTGCAGCTCGTGGTTGCGACCACTTGAGTTCGTGGGTAGGTCGCCAATACATTTATGCACTTCATAGCTCGTTTACACGGAGACGCGATGCATGCGGGGGAGAAGGCCGGCAGCACTGTTCATATGCACGTGATATTGCGCGTGTTGTGTGTCACCTACTCAGTCAGGTCGGGGAGGGAGATCATGCGTCGTCTCTTCGTCGAGATGCTGTAGCTTTCTAGCTGTGAAAATGCACAAACATATTGGGATCCTGAGATTTGTCCACTGAGAGCGTCAACCGCATTGGTTTTCCATGGATAAACTCTTCAATCAGAGTCTTTGTGCAGTCTGATAAATATTCAATTACTAGCATTAGAAGAGGCTGGCAGTTACAGGAATGCACAGCAGTCAGCTGAAGGTGGAGAGCAGGACGTCACACTCACTCCGGTTCAGCCACATTTCTCCCTGCCAACGGGTGCTTGAAGGAGCTCATGGCCGCCAAGACATGATCACTTCAGTCTCCGACAAGCACATTCGAGCCTTTACTATGGGGTTGAGCATATTCACGTGTCTTATAATGTGCAGATTCGATATGTGCATCACAACTATCGTAGAGATATGTTTCCATAGAAAAAGGAGTCTTCGGACGGTGTATTAGACTTTCATTGCCAGACCAAGCGCGCGATCGGCTCATGAGGGGTCTGGTCCGTGCGCTTAGAACTGCGCTGGAGGGCGGGCTGCTCGCTCCTAGTCAACCTGCTCTCCCCCTACAAATCTCCTCACCCAAAATCCGCAGGCTCTCTCTTTCCTACATACAAACTCGCCATACAAAATCGTAAGTGTCGCGTCGCGTCTCCCCGACTCAAGCTTGCTTCACCAACAACAGCTTCACAAGCACATCGAATAATTACATTCACCACTTTCACAGAACAGATGGGAAACGACAAATGGCTCATTCCGTCACTTGTCTTGTTCTTGTTCTTCCTTCACGCGCTCTCAACTTCATCCATCGCTCTTTCTTCTTTCATCTCACCAAAGACTAACACCAATCGATTTAGTTGTTCCTACACAACCACCACACATCTAACTCTTTCAATCGCTTCGGTATGTTGATTATCCTTTCATTCAACGCGTCGCTATTCGCAATTGCGCCCGAAAGACGCGTTTTTGGGTTGCGGTGTTTCCGTCCACCTCTCACCACGCGCGTCACTCATCGACCATCACATCACTTCACAATTGTCGCATTACTTCAATCCAACGTGCAATTTGCTAACCTCAACTCTGCGACTCAGATTGAATCAAATCAACATGCCTAAGGAAAGAGCCACCACCCGCAAGACCGCAAAGAAGGACGGCGGCAAGAAGAAGAAGGGTATGCTCCAATTGTTTCACGATCTCATTGCCCATCATGACTGACCTCATCGTCAGACCCCAACGCCCCCAAGCGTGGTCTTTCTGCCTACATGTTCTTCGCCAACGAGCAGCGCGAGAAGGTTCGCGAGGACAACCCCGGCATCAAGTTCGGTAAGTCAAACATTTTCTAATACATGCCAATCCTATCGGTATCTAACCATTTTCACAGGCGATGTTGGCAAGCTCCTCGGAGAGAAGTGGAAGTCTCTTAACGAGAAGCAAAAGACTCCCTACGAGGCCAAGGCTGCCGCCGACAAGAAGCGTTACGAGGAGGAGAAGGCTGCCTACACTGCTGTAAGTTGCAATGAGCATTCATCTTCTCTTGATCATCAAACTGACTCGATCCATCAGGGTGGCGATGCCGAGGAGGAGGAGGAAGAGGAGTAAATTACTCCCTTTCCACCCATCGACATGATCAACCTCATCAACCGTCACGTCTAATTTTCCTTTTCATGGCCTTGTCTTACTTTTACCAACATGGAATCGCTTCTCAGTTTTTCGATCATCTTTTTTCTATCGCATGTCTTTTACACGGATATGACTGGGGGGCAGGTTTGGGGACGTGGAGCAAACAGAATGATACCACTGGCTAAATCCGGAATGGGGATTGTGGTGTTCTTCTACTTATTTGAGCAGTCGTCGGGAGAAGAGGACAACTCTGAACGGCGAGAGAGATTACTGTAGGAGCTTTTATGCTTCTGCTTTTGTTCCGTTGTCGGTTATCCTTTTTACAACATCATGTTAGCTACTGCGTACGCCGACCATCAAGACAAGAGGCCGCGGCAATTCAAAGCTCGACGATTCATGACAGAAAACGATCTTCCCTCTCTGCCTTTCGATGTGATCTTGTCAATTGTTGAATGTTCTGTGCTCGTGACAATTCATGGTCAGTTGAATCCCTTTCATGTTCATTTACTGCTCATTTTGGGGTCGTCGCTGTGTCTGCCTGTCGCTTGCCCAGTCGAGTGGCTTCCTTGATGCGACAGAAAAGCGATAAAATCACGATGCTTTCGGAATATCGAGTTGGAGAAGAACTAGCGACTGTTCACATTCAAAATATCAACCAGCCGGCTACCATTTTCGACATCAACCCAGAACTCCATATCAAATGCATCGACGTGCTCTTCTTCTTTTCCTCCATGACTATTCCCTCTGGAAAACCACAGTCAAGCCCATGAACGCCAGCATCACAGTCTTGAGCCAAGGGTACTCGGCAAGCAAGATGGTAACGTAACCCACAAAGGGAATGTATCCCACCACACTACCCACGACATCAGTCGCGCGGTTGAGGAAGTCTTGTCCACGGGCGTAGAGTTCGGTATCATCGGCGGCGTTGTTATCGCCTTTTGTAAGGAGTTGAAGGGGAGGAGCGTTGATTCTGTTTTCGCATCTTCGTCAGCAAATAATCCCTCAATTCCTTTCGGCCATTCTGAGGAAGCGCAACTTACCCTTCACCACCACCAAATCTCCTGACAACTCTATGCACGATGGGGATATCCTTGCCCCTGACATTATACACCACCACCTCTCCTACTTTGGTATCCAAGCCGCGGTTCCAGAGGAACAGCAAGTCTCCACGTTGGAAAGCCGGTTCCATACTTCCGGAGAGGACGACTACGATGGGAGAAGCGGAGTCGGTTGCGACACTCAGGCCTTTCCAGAGCATAAAGGCTGTGCTGAGGACGAGGGCGAAGTTTAGGACTTGGGTGGCCAGTTGCCGGGGTTGGAGGGAGCTTAGGGAGCCGAACATTTTGGGCGAATTGTGTGTTGTTGTGTTTTCTTTCGTGGAAATTCGATGTGGAAGGAAGCGCAGTTGATGTACTGGCTTGAGTGTGGTTCGACGGAGAGGACGGATCGGTATAGGTAGCGTTGTTTGTCGCAGCAGGTCGTGATGATCCTGAGTCACTAGGTCGGACTCGTCGTGTCAGGGCAATGCGAAAGATGTCTTTCTCTGATCGACACCACGTTGCGGGAAAGTGAGAGCGCAATTGCGATTGTTGGATTACTGCTAAGTCAAGCTGTCCAGAGCTCACCATGCACCGGAGAAACTGCGGGGTCGTTCTCCGAGCGTTCATCTCTTTTTGGCTTTACTGATCACCCTGACATGTTCTTTCTATCTCTGTAACACTTCGCCATGCTACCCAATTATCCACCTATTTATGTCATATGACAGGCTGAGTGTCTGTGGTGTTATGATAGGACGTTGGAGTCGACAGGATGCTTGTTTGCACTCTCATTCATCAGACAAATAATTATGACAGTGTCATGGATAAGAGGGCTCGACAACAACTATTTCTTTTTGCTTCCAACTGTGTCACTTGACCTGTGAAGACCCCGGAGGTCAACAGTGCGCTTAGTTCATCACATCTCGTAAGCGTAGAGTAGAGAAGGTGATGCAAAAACATAATCATACGAACTGTACCTTTTTGACAGTCAAATGTTCATGACACTAATCCTAATGGTCTGACAAGTAAAGAGATCGTGAAAAGAAGGTGCTAAATGAATCACACTGGTCGGGCAAGACAACAGGGACGCAAGAGGTAATGATAATAGTACATCAATTCATAAAAAGATTATCTAATGATACATGTGGTATCGAAGCCACTCGCTATTCATACATCCATCAAAGTCGAAGAAGGGGTATATTGACTTTGAGCATTTACTGAGCAACAGCGGAGGTACCATCATCGGGACCGGGAAGACCCTATAATCGTTGTCAGTGGAGTGTTCATATATACAAGGTCAGGGCAATTGAGGCTCACCTCGTCGTCACCGGGCTCCTGGTATGAGCCGGTGGGCTTAGCACCACGAGTGCGGCCACCGTCAATGATGTTGTCCTCGTTCATGGCAGCCTTCTCGTCTTGCTCTGAAGATAAATGTCAGTATCAATTCATGATCCAGTGGAAGAGTGGTTTACATACCAAGAACCTTGTCGGAGTCGGCGGTGTCAGCATCAATGGGGTCCTCGATGGATGCCTCATCCTTCTGGACGGGGATCTGGTTCTGACCAGTACGGCTGGCATACTCGTTGTCACCAGCGACGCCAGTGGAGGTCTCGGGTGTGTACTCGGCGGACATATTGTTGATTTAGTTGGTAGAAAAGGCTTGAAAAGGTAGTTGTAGTGTTGAGAGAAGATGTGAGATTGAATTGATGAGGAAAATAGAAAAGTAGCAAGCAGAACACGATACTTATACCTTTCTCTCTGACCTCTGTCAAGTAAGCACCCTGCACATACAGTTTACGATAACAGACACTACCTCATCGTCGTTTGTTTGTTTCAATTTCGACACTGGCACGTCACACCCGTCATCTTCGCGTTCGGTAAGACGTGTCCTGGAGCTATCAAACATACTGACATCAATGAAGTGTCCGAAAAGGGAAAGTGTACATTGTGGATGGACCCCTTGATGACGAGAGAGCCGCACGCAGGGGGTCCAAGAGCCTCCTCCAGATCGTTCCATCACGTCAAGATCGATGGGTGAATTGACTTTCAACCCGTGTTTCTGGAGTGACAGGTGCAAGACACGCGATCGTTCGTGCTGGAAACGTGCAAAGATGAGGCTGGGCGGCTCCAAGGTTTGGTGCAAAAGACGTCAAAGGATGGATCTCATCGTCATCCAATATGTGCTTGATCGGGTATAGCGTCAGATCTGGCGTTGTACCTTGCATCAGATCCCAGATCTCCTTCCAGATCCTTCTCCACAGATGATGCTTGTTAGTTTTTATTGTTTTCCAACCTCCTACTTCTGACATGTACTGTGGAGTTTTGATTGTCGTTGGTGTGGTGATTGGGGGAGTGTGATGCTTACTGCACTTGTTTCTCTTTGAGCAGCGGCTGCGTTGACGTCAGTAAATCTGCTTTTATCCACGATCGCAACGGCGAGAAATGCTCTAGTAAGATGCATTGCACGATAGAGAAACTGGAAGCGATGTTCAGTAGGAAAGGAAATCATCATGTCATTGGCCGTCGACTACAATTAACAGTAAACAACCCCATAATACACTCCTTGCATTGCTAGACCGAGACCCCAAAAAGACATTGTGACAGAACCTGTAGAAAGGAGGGGTATAAAACGCGCCAGCATAAACATGTAAACAGACTCGGATGGACATGTCGACGGCGTATAGTTGTGAAGGCGTGGTCGAGAGAAGAGCATGCCAGCTTGGTGTGGACAAGGTCGAGCTTACTTCTTTCTGGAAGCACGCTTCTTCTTGGGAGCAGGCTTCTCATCTTCCTCGACAGCTTCAGGCTCCTCGGCGACTTCTTGAATGGGCTCCTCGACAGGCTCTGAGGCAGGTTCGGCAGGCTCCTGTACATCGTCTGCTTCGTCCTCGGACTCGGCCTTGACAACCTTCTTGGCCTTGGCAGCCTTGCGAGGTTTGGCGGCAGCCTTCTTCTTTTGAGGAGCGGGCTCGGTGTCGGATGAAGATTCAGGGTCTGCGGCAGGGACGGGTTTCTTTGCTCTGGAAGATTTTCTGGTGGCCTCCTTGGGGATCTGAGCCTCTTCGGACTCCTCAGATTTGACTGCCTTCTTGCCCTTGGCAGCCTTCTTGGGAGCAGAAGCCTTGGGCTCGTCGATATCAGACGCGACCTCTGCTTTGACCTTTCTGCCCTTGGCTGTCTCTCTTCTGGGTTCCATGGTCTCGTCGACGTCAGAAGTCTCAACAGGCTTGACGGCGGCCTTCTTGCCCTTGGCAGCCTTCTTGGGCTTTGCAGGCTCTTCAGCGGCGTCGTTCATGTCTGCGTCAGGCTCTTCGTCCTTAACAGCCTTCTTGGCCTTGGTGGCCTTCTTCTGAGGGACAGGCTTGACGTCGGCCTCTTCCTTGTCGGCATCGGCATCCTCAGCCTTGACGGCCTTCTTTCCTCTGGCCTTCTTAGGTGCGGGAGCCTCAGCTTCTTCATCGTTGGCATCGGCCTTCTTGCGACCGCGCTTCTTGGGGACTTGCTCCGGGGCGGAGGAACCGGGGGCGCCATCGGCTTCTGCCTCAGCAGCGGCAGCAGCCTGTCAAATTAGTTAGTAAGTATATAATGGGATGTCATGACAGAGATAGTCACCTCTGCGGCCTCCTTCTTCGCCTTGGCGGCCTTGGTAGGACCATTGCCGCTCATTCCTGGACGGTTGTACTCGGGGTCGCCCTTCCAGTCTTCATCATCAACGTGACCCTGGTCAAGAGCGCGATAGACCTTCTCCTGAACGTCCTGGGGAAGCTCCTCGTAGCCATCGACGTAGTCCATGTCCATGTTGCACTCAGCCTTCATGTTCTGGAGCTGCTTGGGGGTGACACAACCCCTGGAAAAGGTTAGCAAGGAGACGATGATACAGAAGCAGGTAGCAGACTCACCAGTGACGGTAGGCCCAACTCTGGTGCTCATGGATGGTGACCATAGTGGCCTGACGAAGCTCGCCCTTTGTGATCTTGACGCTATTATCCTTGCACTCGGTGCCCTTGCAACCTGCGCGGTTGTTGGGGCTGATTTCTGTGACTTGTTAGCATTGGAAGCATCTGTTTGTACATTCATCAAGACGATACCAAGACGATAAGGCATTTTGATGAGAATTGGTAATGTTAGATGAAGGAGTCGCGAAAGTGAAAAGGATTGTGTTTGCGCAAAGCACAAGGGGGTGGGAAATCAAGAATCGCTGCGCACTTTAATAACAAAAAGGAGAAAATAAACAAGTGAAGCAGACGAAGTTGTGGCAGACTGCTGACACGAGGCAGAAATCAATTGCGAGAGTGTCGGTTGTCCGTTGTGAAGGCAGAAGCTGGAAACGCGAGAGACGCGTTGAGCTTGACCATGACGTTGGCCCAGAAGGACGGTAGGACCATGTTGCGAGGGTCGGCGAGTCGGAGCATTTTTAGATTCGGCCTGGCTGGAGTCGAAAAATGTACGACATCAAGACTCCGGTTACAGGCAAGAGGCGAAACCAGACTAGTTTCTTTAACTGTTTGGACACGGTCTCTATTCTATCATCAGCATAGAATGCTCGGAGTAAACCAATGCAAAGATGCTGCGCCCGGATAGCAGGTCTCAAGACGCCTGTCCGACCACGACCTTCCACATACTACATAGCCTACCGCCGATACGCCCATCATAGCCCGACCCTCAAACCAGAGACGCTTAGTCCCAGTCTTGGACAAGAGACGCATAGTCCCCGTCTTGGACAAGAGACGCATAGTCCCCGTCTTGGACAAGAGGAGGACTTCGAAAGTCTCGTCGGCGCCGACAATGCCACCTTTGACACACTCGCCAGGGGGCTGAAGAGTCCTTCGCGACAGGCTTCGATCAGGCACGCCAAAGCCCTGCACAAGGATGGCTTCTCATACATAAGCGCCGAAAAGCTTCCTGCCCGCGAGTCGTCTCGTTCGACCAAGGCATGGATGCCTGCCATCGAGGCTGCATTGCCTCCGCGTCTGCGCACTCCGGCCGCTGTGACCATGACCGACCAGACCTACTCGGCCCAGGACATCAGTCGCATCATCCACATCTCGTCCTACACGTACAATCTGGATCTGCTGACCCATCTGGCTTTTGATCAGCATCGTCCAAAGGCTGCCGTATGGCTCGCCTCGATGGCCATCTCTCACAACTTCAAGCCGGAACTCACCCATCGCGACACCAACGTGTGGAACAACCGTTTAGATCCTCGAATCCCTTTGAAGGAATTTACTGAACAGGACGAATGTGACCTGTCAGAATTGCCATTGAACAGACACTTGGACGACAGCCACCCAGCCCCTTCATTGGATCAACTCACCGCCGAACTGCACCCACACGAAGAGCCGCTTCCCAACATTCTGCGTCACGAGACAATTGGTCAAATATGGGAGAGTCTAGCCAGGATGATCATCAAAGATGCCGCAAGAGCAAACAAAGACCCTTCTAACCAAGCCATCAAGCCCGAGATCCTTGAAATCATAGCCATGCTACATCACACAGGCGCCATGCCCTCATCCATATACTCCTATCAGCCGCCCGACGATTCCGTGTCCTTGTGTCAGCCTCCTACGCTACATTTGCTGTCCAACCAGATCATCACCTCCTTAACAGACGCCGCTTGGAGAGCTCATGAGACGAACGTAATCGAAGAAGCGAGAGAAAGAGGTGGCGTTTACGAATCCCTTCGACCAGAGATTCCTGGCTCAATGTACAAGGTTCATGTCACCGGTCTTGGTCACGAAATCTGGCTTGAGTTGGTCTTGTGGGCTTGTTTGTATGGTCGTTTTTATAAACAAGGTTCCAGGATACTTATGAACTTGGCAAAGCAGAAGGGCGACAACAATTGGTCTGTCTTGTCATGGAGAGAGCTGGCCAACCCAATCATTCAATCTGGACAAGAAAAGTCGATCAACTGGGACGAAGTCAAGTACATTTTCAATACTGGAATCGCCGACACTGACCAAATGGTCAACAAGAAGAAAGTACGCAGAACTGTGAGCGCAGAGGTTATCGCTTCCTTTGTGGATGCTGTCGTGTCCCACGTCAGTGCTGGTGTCGGTTCGCGAGGCATGGCTCCCGATGACCCTGCTGAATTCTTGACCTCGATGAAGAATCTCTTTGGCCGTAACAATATGAGCCTGGGTTTCACTTCGTGGGATGCCATGATCCTGCGATTCTTTGAATCAAGGGGCGTTGACTTTGAAAAGGATCCAGCTTTGGCTCGCAAAGTCAATTTGATATCCTCCATGTTTGGCGATGACATTGCAACTGTCAACGCTCCTACACGGGACCAACTGTGGCAACCCACGCCTGCTTATGTTTTGGACGGCACTGCAGCCATCATTGGTTACCATCACCGTTTGCTTAGAGCTTATATCAAACTCGGCAGCTTGCGCGGTGCTACAGGAGTCGTTCAAGGTCTACAAAGATTGACCGACATAAACAAGGAGAGGTCGATTCAGGAATTTTTCAAGAAGCAACAAGACCTCACGACTCAAGATGACGTACCACAAGATGATGCCGCGGATACTTCTGACTTCGAGTTTGAAGGCCGTTATGGCGGCATTCATTATCCCAGTTTCTTCCCCCAGATACCGGTCCCTCTTCTAGCAGACTTCCTCAATTTGGTAGTTGACTCGAACGATTTGGAGCTAGGTTCATGGCTGGTGTATTCACAGGACTTGGACGGACCAATCATTCACAAGGAATTATACAGCGATCCTGCCATGGGCCCTCCACTGGTAAGACTTGCTGCCAGTCTCGCTGACAAGGATTTGATGAGCAAAGTTTTCGACAATCAAAGAAGAAAGTCGGGAACAAACCTTCCCAAAGATGTGCTTACCGCGCTATTAGATCAGCAAATCGAGGCAGCAAATTGGCCCTTTGTCGAGAAAGCTCTGGACAATTTTGCACAGTTGCCTGGTTACAACATTGGCACGATCACTACTGCAACCTTGGTTCGGACGATTTTACGCGAGGCAAAGTCATGCGACGGTGATCTTACAAAACTCGAGAAATCTGCATCTGCGAAAGCGTTCCAGCGAATGGCCAGATTCCAGACATCTGGTACCAATCATGGTTACAGAAGGCCACAGGATACTGTGAGCTCTGAACTTGGAACTACCATCTGGCACCTACTTGCACTTGTTAATGACAACTGGAGAGAATACGCTTGGAAGTCCTACCCCAAGATGGCCTATCAGAGTGATTTCGGATTTGTTCCTAGAACATTCAACGTCATCCTTGATGCTGTTGTCGACAACTACGGTTCTGTTGCCGGTAAAGAATACCTCGGTAAATTCTGGCCCGAATCGCTACGACAGTTGCCTTCAAGACCATCAAACCACGACGATACACCTGGCGGTGTGCCCCGCATGGCCGCACGCCGCGAAGATACCACTGTCTTGACTACTCCTTTTGTGGGTAAGAACTCCAACAAGCACAGGATCCACATCGATGGCCCGGGCAAGGCAAAAGGTCGTCTTAACGTCTATATGCGCTCGAACCCGAATGTCGCAACAATCCGTATCATCTTGAAGGCGGCTCTACAAGAACATGAAGGTCAACACGAATACGGTCTCATACGACAAGAGGTCGATTGGGCGCGAAACATGATGAAGAGACTTGGCTTGGGCGACCGCCACATTCAAGCCGAATTCAATGGCTTACCAGAGCTCGAGAACTACCCGGAGGCTCACGCAGCAAATGGAGACGATTGGGTCCAAAACACTTCATTTGGTGTAACACCAAATGAGTCTATGAATGATGGCCTGAAGGACAAGGCAGACGAGATCGAAGATGAATCTTGAGTGTCTCACGACGAATGCATAGACTTGTACAATGGTATATCACGGCGGAACTTTGAATAAGCGATTACACGGCGCATAGATGGAGTTTCTGAGGGACTGTAAATATTGGTGTTGGGTCTGATCTTTTCATATTGCATAGCGGTTTGTAGGCTGTACTATATCACACTTGTTCATTTACAACGTCCACGTTGTTCAATGCTCATGTACCCGATTCTCCGTGAGTGCAGTCGGCTTCCAGAACCACCCAGTTCTCCCAGGTTGGTCAAGTTAATCATCGCGAGCGCGAGAATGTCTGTCTAGATATCGGTGGACGGTTCTTAGGCTTGTCATTGACACATCATAGTAATCGTGCAGACTTGGAATGGAAATCACGGCCGCAGCTTCAGTGCAGATGCATCGCTCTTTCCAATTTCTTGTCACTTCCGCTAGAGAGTCCTACTTTACACCGTATCCTTGGAAAGGGATTCTAGAAGCATTGCGGTTTCCTTGTTCGTGAAGTCTTGTCCAAGTCTCGAGGCAACCCTGCCCGTATCTTTGGCTTCTTTAGCCGCTGCCTTCCGCCTTTTTCTTCATGTCTCGATTACGAGGATGAATTTTCTCATCATGTTAGATGGCATTCCGAATGCGACGGCTTGCTCTTGTTGCTTTCATCCGCTGCTTTTCGAGTAACATGTCTCGGGGCATTCATGCAGGTTGTGCTCGGCTTTCATGACACTCGAATTCCTGGACATGAAATCGAGAATTGTGGCACGAGGCATCATCAGAGGTACTTCTCGGCCCAAGATTTGTCATAGTATACCCCTGAAGAATATTATGAGAAGAAATCAAAGGGTATGTATCTGTTATTGGCTTGTTATTGTGGGATATGTCTACGAAACTGATGCTTTGGGTGTGACCCTGTCATTGATATGCTAGGAAGAAGAGATCGAGAAAGTGAGAAAAATTCATGCTGCAGATTGAGAGTTGAGGTTGCCTAAGAGGAAAGAATAGTATGGTCCATGAGTAGGGAAGAGTGATCAAAAAGTAGAGCAAGGAGGTTTTCGAGCGGAAAAGGAGAGTTTTCAAGCACAGCAGAGAGGTCAGCAACCAGAGCAGGGAGGTAGCCGAGTAGAGCAGAGAGGTTAGCAAGATGATTCCTGCTTATGTCCTCTCCAATGCGTTAGGCAGTACTCGGAAATATGCTGTCTCTATCTCATGGCAACAAGACTCCCTCTCGGCCTCCCAGACGCCGACCACTCTCCCAAATAGCTGTCAAAATGCAAGATGATTTTCGTCTTCACCCGCTCGTCCAGTGAGAGCACGTATAAGGTGCCACTCTCACTGGACATTTTCCAACTACTAAAAGCCATCTTGCAGTTTGACAGAGTTGTTTGCCAGGGGCATTGTAGAGGAGATGGAGTGCGATTTCGGTGTGGCTCTTCTAAAAGGAACAGCAACAAGGAAGCATAATACGAATGATAGACAGCAGGCCGAAGCCGACAGACAGCAGACAATAAATAACACAAAGCAGGCGATAAATGGTCGACAGCAGATGGCGAATGACAAAGAGCAGACAGCAAATGACGGACGACAGGCTGCAAGCGATGGACAGCAGGCAGCTATTCGTAAACAGTAGCGCGCCCGAACGATCAAAACAGAGTAGATGATATGCATGCTCTCTCTGGACAGCTCTCTATTACTCAAAAGCATCTTTTACAGTTTCTTCCACAAGGCATGTGTTGGATCAGAGCTAACCTCCTTCTTCAAAGTTCACTGCAAGAGAGTTGATTGGGAAGGAATGACCGAACATGCGAGTAAGGAATGCGCGACACAACAATCATGAGGAAGGTGTGATCCAGACAACAGACAAGGAAAGAACGACTGAGCTTGCAGCCACAAGGAACGACCAAGAAAGATGTAAGGCCTTCACTGATGCCTCAGGACTCGGAGTGAGAGCCGGGTCATGTCGTGTGATGATGATGCTACAGGTTACAAAGCAACTGCAGTTCTGTTCAAGACATGCATAGAGCAACTTGTTTTCAAAGTCGCACAGCAATCTGTCGTGTTGGTGTTCCAGCCCAGACAATGTTCTATGGCGGGTGGACTCATAAGAAACATATGGCTAGCACCACTGATGTGATGCGGTGCATACACAAACCACAAGCACCACGGCTGGTAGTCAGAGACATTCGCGAGAATGACCAAACAATTAATCCCGCCAGCCGCCGGCCCGTCGTTCTTTATTCGGCCACAGACGGCATCTTGCGAGCCGCGAGACATGTCAAGGGACCGCGGGAGGAGAAAACTTTGCTCAGACTTCAATCATCAATATTGGCTAACCACTGCATAGAAAAATCGGCAAAGCGTCAATTGATGAGAGATCAACTTGTAGAAGGGCTGGGCACTCTTAGATGCTGAGAAAAAATAGCCATGGCCATTTCTTGGTTGCTTAGTAGCACATAACTACGTGGTTACCGGAAGCGACGGATGGTGACATTTTTGCTGTGGTGCCAGGTTTTTTTCGTTGCTCCGCTGAGCTCCATATTGTCTCCACTCGTATAGAATCCGGGGAAGCGGTGGTTAGTTTGGTCAGCAGAGGTGTCGTGGACATGTAGCGCTGAGTGCGGAGCCGTATGGGATGGGGGTGGCTAGGAAAGAAAAAGACAAGATCGATATAGGTAGTAAGTAGTATATGGCCCATTGACGTTGCTTCTCGTGACTTTGAAGGTCAAGATGCAGTGCAACAGTCAAAGAGGCCAAACTAGATCACGATGAAGTACTTGCCGTGTCATATTTTCTCTCAATCGCAATATTGAAGCACGAGCGTCGTACGTACATGCCGTGCTTGTGCATTCGTTGAGAGATGGAGATGGCAGGCAAGGACCCGCCGAGTGATGTCTAGCGACGACCTTGGGTAAACGGCAGCGCAATGATGATATGCATTCGCAGCCCAAGACTCTACCGATCCAGCGCATCGGAAATCGATCTACTACGATTCGTGGGTATCATCGAAAGTACTGCGCTGGGACATTCCAAAAAAGATGTTGTCGTGGCTCGATGGACGTGATGGGCTTGACTGCTTACGTTGCCAAGCAGACGCAACACACCACGACTGGCGTGGCTTTTCCAAACCTCGCTGGAAGCGCGAGTTTCCAGATCGCATCATGTCTTGTACAGTCATGAAGGTTGGAAAAGTCTCAAGGAGAGAATACGAGAGGTCGCCGTTGGTGTCTCGGTGGGCGCAGCACGTTGTGGACGGGTTTAGACGGTTGAAAGCAAAAACGCGCTTCCGAGACCGATCGACAAAAATAAACCTGCGCCTCCCAACTGTGGCCGGTAAAGGCCGTTACTCTCGTTTTTGGCTGGCGACAACGACAAGGAGTTCACACCCCCTCATCGATATAGGGGGTTAGGAGAAGACATCAGTAAACGTAGGGAGTCACAGGCTGAATAGCTAGGGGGGCTAGATCGTGCCCTGCAGGCGTTTACCTTGCTGGTAGGTTGGCACCAACCTCCTGCGAGGAAGAACATCTAACGAGTACCGAGGACTACAACGTCTTGCAGCTCACAGGATGCAAGCGGAAGTTCTTGAGCAATTGAAGATCTCAGATGACCTTGATCTTGGGTAGCAATGACGATGATTAGCTATCGTTGGACTCGACTATCTTCAAAGCAGATCAACCAACAAAGAATGGTCATCTGCCTTGACTCTCTCGTGACCAAGCCACAGTGATAAAAATAATCGTTCGTGATCCGGGGTCGTAATGTGCAGTCGTTGGTAGAGCGGTGAATGAGCTCAGATACGATAGGGACGTCCTGTTGTCGATCTCTAGTAGAGCTCGCGAGTACGCCGGCCACTTGCCCGACACCATTCGCACTGTAGTCAATCGTCAGCAGGTAGTTCAGACGACCAGCCAACTATAGACACGAGAGAAACGAACCGTGATTTCTGTTGACCCTTCGTTATGTTCGAGGCAATACTCGTTTCCACAATCTCGGCATCGTCGAATGTACTTTGCTGTGCATTCTTCACACGTACGGCCGCAAGCAATGCATTCTGGTCTCACTCCCTGCAGATAAGTCAGATTTGTGATGCTTTTTGCTTGAATGACTGTGATTGCGAAACTGCAGCGAGGTCAAGCTCCCAGCGTCCTTGTTAAGCGCATACACTTTCGTAGACTCTTGTACCGAGAGAGCCCGGGCATGGGAGCACTCTTAGTGGAAAGCATGCCCTTTGACGTAGACACCGCGCATTGCAGCAAGAGCAGCAGCATCATCATCATCCCCACATGCCATCGGCAACAGGCAACATCTCACTAACGAGGCAGGATTCCACACAGAGATTTGAATATACCTTTACCGCTGTTCCAGCGTTCGAATTCATCGCTTCTGCAATCCAACCACTGTCTTCTTGAAAGCCATCCTCTGGTGAATTGTGATGTTGTCGCTTCGCTCTGGAAAAGGGCTCCTCATAGCAATTTTCACACCACCATTTGTTACATCTCTGACACCATCGATCCCGAACGCACTCAGTACAACGTAAGATCAGTGGAGGTGGTGTCTCTAGGCTTTGAGGCAAGGTCGGTCTTTGCGCCGAACGTATGGTGCTAGCATGCAACGGGGGCGGTGCTAGAAGTGGGAAGTAACAATCTGCGTCTCGGTCAAAGACCGCCGGCTGTTCGGGGCAAGAACCACATATCTCACAGCCTCTTGCACCGAATCCTATGCTCGCGATTGCAGGTCGCAGGAGCCGCTCCGGTGCGGTTTGACTGGGATCATGCCTCGGACCGCGACAGAGGACTGCGTCAAAAGCTATAACACCTTGGCATGCGAGTAATATGTCGGCCCAGTCGGACGAGGGTGTATCTTTAATGGTGTTATTGGGGCCAAACACGTTGCCTCTGGTCCTCCACCATTCCTCCAGTGGTTGATCGTGACCAAGCAGTGCGGCAGACAGCGCGACCTCAGACCTCGCATTCCACTCGGCACCAATTTGGGCGCCTTCTGAAGACATGACGCCAGCTGATATGCGGCCTGAAGACATGGATGTATCTCTGGATGACGGCGTTGCTGCGGCATCCTTGTGACCAAACAGATACAGACCCTTGAGTCTGGGCAAACTTGAAGCAGAGGGCCTTACAACGTAACGTAGTACTGACTGTAGGCCTCGTTGATTCATGTTGGTAACTTTCCGAATGCTGAGGATCTTCACGTTAAATCGGTCGTCTACGATGATATCCCGAACTAGCTCCGCAGGTACGCTGAGGCCGTCTAGAATCATTGTTTTGACATTGAAAATAAGGTGCTGTCGTTCGAGCTTCGAGAAAATTCCTCGTAGAGGGCCCGAGTAGAAGTCGTCTTCTGTCAGGGACTCGTCCATGCGCTCGGCACGCCATGATATGCCTTTGCGACGTGTCAGCCTGTATAACTCAAGTCAAACGTGATTCAACTGGTCGCCTGATGACGACGTATGGTGTCTCTCCACGACAGAGTTCCACCTGGTCGCAACCATAGTGAGGCAGGAAATTGTTCCAACAGGGGCGATGTCCATTGAGATGTCACTCGATAATTCCAAGAAAGTGGGTTTCAATGGATGCAACCCCTATTCGGTAAAGTTTCGTGCGTTGTGATGGTTCATTACCTTGAGTGAAACATCGTTGGAGAAGAGAATTAGGAGAGCAACGGGAAAGTGATGAAGCAGTTTTGAATGGGATTGAGCCCCTATACACACAACAGCACCAGTAGATAGGGTGCTATCATGGATAAGAAAATAGGAGGAACCTACCACCACTGTCGATAGGGCTGGAGTCGACAAGCGTCGCAGCCGACTTGACCAATGTGAGATTTAGATGGCGAAACGTCTCTGGTGATTCGCAAACAGTATGTCGAAGTGCCCGTGCTGTGGCAGATAGAGCCAACACACTTCCCGGCGGAAGGTAAGGAGCCGTCTGGCGCCAGATGAGAGTGTTGTTCAAGAGATCCACTAACGTTGTCGGTGATTCTAGTTGTGATTCTTCAACTAGATCCTCCGCGTCCATCGCAATATCGTCGTTTCTTAGGATGTCTTGGACGTCCCCTAATATTGGAGGGTTGCTGTCCTGTACGAGAAGAGGCCTTGGTAACAATTTTAAAGTGTTTCAGGTTCACCGGAGCTGTATCGACCGGTCGCGAGCTGGTGTTGATTAGGAAGATGATGACTGATTGACAGATTGCCGTCCTATTCCCAGAGGCGGTCAGTCGAGGACAGACTCGCGACGGAGGTCAAAGCACGCGAGCGGTGATCGCCGAAGATCTACCACCGATTTAGCAGCCTTCGAAGCCTTCTAGTTTCCGCGGGGTTTTGTTTCGACTTTCTTGGTTGGGGCGAAAGCTAACTCCGTGATTGGTTGGTGAAGGTCGACCATCAATCAAATCCGGGCCGGACTAGCCGATGCAGGTGACGCCAACTCCACAGTATTTTGATGAAGTACACGAGACGGTTGCATAGGAAATGAATCGTCATGTACACAAGACGTGCTAAGAGAAAAACACGAGGAAGAAGTGCTGAAACGGTATATGTGGTGATTCTGATGGCAATCTATTAAACATTGCCCCCTATTCAAGACGCCCGCTATTCGAGCTGAAGCCGTGGCCCAATTGTCCTAGTTTCCAGTCGTACAAGCCGTTGACCTAGATATGCACAAAGAAAGGGAGTGATCGTAAACATCAAAGGGTAAAAGATATAGTAAAAGGGGCCGTAAACGAGTGCAAAGAAGCTGTAAAAAATGTGCGAAGAAGTGAAGAGAAGTGAAGTAGAGTGAAGGAAATAGACAAGAATAGAAATTAGAGAAGGACGGCAGCAGCAATGCCCATGGCAGCTGCGGGGAGGGCGAATCCAGTCGGTGCGACGTGGAATGCAGCACCCTTGGATGCGCCAGCGGTGGCGGGAGGAGATCCCTTGGTGGTGGTGGGCTTTTGACTGACAACCGCGAGGTCCATCTGAGCCTTTTGCATCTCGAAAGTGACATTCTGAGTGGCGTGGACAGTCTCAGTGCCGAACTGGATCAGACCGAGGTACATGTCGGCGGTAAGGTTACCGGCGTTGACAAGGTAGGTGACAAGCTCCCAGAGGTTGGCATCGATGCCGTTCTGGTTCTCAGCAGGGACCCAAGAGAAGACAGCCTGCTTCTGGCCCTGCTGGTTGAAGCCAGAGTAAAGAGCGTATTCGATTCCAGCAAGAGTGTACTTGGGAGCATCGGCGCGGTTGAAGGTCTGGTATCCGATGGGGGCGACACCACCCCAGACAGCCGACCAGACCATGACTTCGAAAGCGGCGGCGGAAGCGTTCATGGCTGTGACGTTGTTGCTGTCGATGAACATGTCGAGCGCAATATCGGCCTTGGTGCCGATGGCCATGAGAGCTTCGGTCTTGTTGACGGCATCGGGTTGGGCTGAAGGGTACATGTCCCAGGCGGCGCTGACGTTGAAAGACTTGACGTTGTCCAGTCTGCTGGGCAGCTGTACAGACTCAAGACCGACATTGGGGTACGAGTGGACCTGTTGTTATGAGTCAGTAAGCTGGTGTAAACAACCAAGAGCTGGGAGTTTCTTCGTACCCAGACGTCGCGTTCCGTCCACGACCATGTTACGTTGAACGAAGCAGCATCGTCAGAGTCGTCCAGTCCGACCTGTCACACAATCTCAGTCAGTTGCGTGTCACACGATCATACCATGGCGAATACTCACAGTCATGCACTGAGCACCGCTGTCGTCCCAACCCCACTGGTTCGAGCCATACAGGTATTTGCCAGTGTCGGAACTTGCGCCAGCGAACTGGGCTGCAGACGAGTCGCCAAAGGCGGCACACATCGTCTTGAACTCATCCTTGGACGCGGCGGCGACTGACAGAGGAGATAGAATAGCGAGCAAAGATAAACTCTGCCCCAGAATACGGAGGGCCCTGCAGGAAGACATCTGGAGAAACGAGTGGAGAATAGGTGTCGAATAACTTGATTTTGTTTTTGTTGAACGAGGGGACGGCCAGATGGGCTACTGTCGCATGTATGTCACAAGGATGCCGAAGGACGCGAAGGGAAAATAGAAAAGGTCTGGCGCTGTATCTAACATGTCCCTAGAAGCCAAATTTGGTCCACAGCCGCCTTTGCCGCCACTCGATTGCCAATTGGTTGGCAGGGGCGAGTAGGGGCCAGAGTCCAACCGTCCAGCAACGAATTGCCCTTTTGATTCACTACGTAAGATTGCCAAATACGATGCTTTCATTGCAATCACCTCCTGGGGGCGACTAAGACAGTCCTGGTGAACCGTATTTGTGATTTGGCACGACTCGGCGACTTGTCAGGGAGAAATTGGGAAATCGATCGTCTTGTGTTGTGGTAAGGCGGGCGGGCGGCGGGAAACCGCGCGGAGCCAGCAGCTGCGCAGCACAACAAGACGAAAAACAGCGCGGACGAGGGCAAGGAAAATCAAAGGGAGATCGGCCCTCAAATCATCCCAGCTCTTTTCTCCGAGTCACCATGACCAAGCGCCGCACACACCCAGCCACCCAGCCCTTCTCTCGTCTTTTCCTCAACCACCGCCGCTGAGCACGGAGCTGCTGCGCGCTGTGTCTCTTGGCGCCGGGACTCCTGATCCGAAAGTCACATCGGCCAACCTTTTTTGCACATCCTCTGTGCTGTGTGCGAACCCGGGCCGGATTAGGCCGGTTCGTGGTTTGTTGTGTCTGTGGGCGAAACAGCAACGGGGCGGCGTTGTCTTTAAACTGTGCTGCGTGTTTTGCATGCGACAAGGCCGCTAACCTGTGAGACCTGCCCCTCGTGCTAACGACCAGGTGGCAAAGCTAAGCGGACACGACTCTCCTTTTGGCCTGGTGCGTGGTTCGAAACGCGTGCAGAGACGCAGACAAGCTGCCGAGCCATCGCGACTCGCACAAAGGCCGTTTTCCCGAACACCGGACGATGATGGAAGAGGAGCAGCGGCCCGCGAGCAAAACTCAAGAAGACTTTTGGTCGACACGAGAGCTTGAATTCCGATCCAAGGCTCAGAGACATTTTTACAGAGGCGGCAATCCAGGCACAAAACTCAACTGCCATGAGGGCTCCAGAAATAGAATCTTTTCTTCTATTCGCAGGCGAAGCACGCCTGATCGACGAGATGGAATGTTGCTCTCGGCAGCAATTTGCTGCTGTCGCGAACTCTTGCACTGACCCCCAGTAACCAGTTGGCGGGCAGTCGTTGGCGCTGAGGGCTCGCTGTTGTGCGCACCGCCTCCCTAAGCTTTTGTTCCTGCAGGGGCTCCACTCTTTCTTCCATCATCGGCCCTTCACGCCTTTTCAAGCCTTCCAAACCATGCCCTTCCCCCTACGGTTGGAAGTTGTCTCCGGGAACGTTGACGCTGTGCTGGGAAAAGTTGAGAAAGGCTGTCAAGTCTTCTCCTGTGCGCAGCGAGTTGCCAAACGGGGCCCTGCCATTTCGCGTGTGCTTCTCACCAATCAAGGCGCGCTCCTGCAGTAGCAATCGATCCCGTATGGATGCCCCCGGCCATAACGCTGTTTACACGACCTGACACGGTTCAGGCCAAGACAGTCCCAATCAATTTCCAACTTGTTCTACCTTATCACGCTTGACCGTGCCCGGTCCGCCCCATGTCCCATCGTCTAGCTGTCAAATCTAAACTGGCCGCTACTGCAAGCCTGCAGATAACGAGACCGGTCGATATGTACCCAAAGATAGTTTGTGCTTTTTCCCCAATGGAATCGACGTAAGTTGTGGAGCCTCTTCGCTTCGTATCACGGGATTTCTTCTTGTTTCCAATAACAGCATCGTTCTGCCGGTTGTTCTTATTCGTCTCGTGTTCCCGCAGACGGTTTCTCCTGCATTTTTCTACAATTCACCCCCTACGCCTCACCCGGCTCCTGCTCCTATCTCGAAGTATCCAGTCGTTACCATAGACCTTCCAGCACCCTGACCACCTTGACCTTTCCTCCAACACATCAAGGATTCTGGGCATCTGCTCCCAGCATTCAGCACCATGGCTCATCAAGGTAGCTACGACTATGAGCACGTCAACCCCACAAGCCCCTATGGCACACCATTCGATGGTACACCGTCAATCAGCAGAAGACCTTCATATGACTACCAACCCTCTCCTGCTGCCAGCACTACCCGTCTGGTCGGTGGCCGTCCTGACAGCCAGACTGCTGGTGGCCTCCAACGCCTACGACCAACACTCGACAAGAACCACTCCACTTACTTCAATGGCTCATCAACCAACTTGGCCACCGAGAACGATTACATGATCCCTGAAAGAGACTCCTACGAAGATGACAAGTCCCCTTACAACGTGGACGAGGAGGATGCTTCCACTGTGACTGGTTCGACCCCTGAGACCAAGTCTGGATTCGACAACAGATTTTCGACAACAAGTTCATTCGGTCAAGTCTACACTGATGCCGACTACGTTGTTCGTGAAATCGCAAAGCACGATGATATTGCTCTCATGAAGCCCTGGAAGAGAAAGTTGCATTACCTGGCTCCCGTTTTCACCATCGCTGCAATGGGCGGTTACTTCACCTACTATGCTTTCCGTATCTACTACACTGTGGACGCACAAAGAACAAACGGCACTGTTTACGCTATGGCCTGGTTCTTCATTGCTGCAGAATTCCTCGTTGCTCGTAAGTTCAGAATTTTCGCTGGGTCCGATTTTTCACAGTTTCTGACCAAACGCCAGTTCCCTCGTTCTTCCATCAAATGTACTCCATGCTCGCATTCAAGGGTCGCAAGCGACCTCAGCTTAGACTGGTTGGCGAGGCAGTTCCCACTGTCGACGCTTTCATCACTTGCTGCAAGGAAGACGTTGACGTTGTCATTGACACTGCCCGCGCCGCCTGCGATGTCGACTACCCCCAGGACCGTTTCCGCGTTGTTGTTCTCGACGATGGTGCCGACCCGGAACTGAAGAAAGCCATGGAAGATTTGAGCTACCAATACCCCAACGCCTACTACTTCGCTCGTGTCAAGGTCAAGGGCCAGCCTCATCACGCCAAGGCCGGTAACTTGATCGGTGGCACTGACTTCGTTACCAAGCTTCCCGGTGGCCCTGGCGAATACATCGCTGCTCTCGATGCTGATATGATTCCTGAGAAGGAGTGGCTTCGTGCTCTTCTCCCTCATTGTATCCGCGACCCCAAGACCGCCCTCGCCTGTCCTCCCCAGCTTTTCTACAACGTCCCCGACAACGACATGCTTGTTCAATCTCTCGACCCCTTCGTTCACGTCATGGAGCCCATCAAGGACTCCCTGGGTGTCGCATGGTGCACTGGCTCTGGTTACGTGATTCGTCGTTCTGCTCTCGAAGCCATTGGTGGCTGGCCTACCGGTACTCTCGCTGAGGACACTTTCACTAGTTCTAAGCTCCTCGGCAGAGGTTTCAAGACTGCTTACGTCCACGAGGGTCTTCAATTCGGTACCGTCCCTGATTCGTACACCGGCCATTTGAAGCAACGTACTCGCTGGACTCTCGGTACGCTCCAGTCCGCTTTCCAGCAGCGCTTCTGTCTTTACGGTGATGTCTGCAGAGACATGACTTTCTACCAACGTCTTTCTGGTTTCGTTTTCACCGTCGATGCTTTCTTCAAGATTTTCCTCATCATCTCGATTCTCGCCATTCCCATCGTCTTGGTTTCTGGTGGTAGATTGGTCGCATACTCGAACAACGACCAGCTTCGCTGGCAAGTTCGTCTCGCTTTCATCTCGTTCTTCTTGATGCGCCTCCAAGAATACGTCAACTTCCTTCCTTCTGGTTACAGACTTGCTCTCCGTGACGGTGGTTCTATGCTCTGGATGGCTCCATACCACGCAAAGACCGTCCTGGTCTCTTTCCTTCTTCCCAGCTGGCTCGGCGGTAAGCCCATGGCTTTCACCACTTCTGGCTCGATTAAGGGCGATATCCAAGAGCGTGACGGTGCTCACCGTGCCCACGTTTTCCGCCGCCTGAAGGTCATTCTCTGGGACTGCTCTGCCTACCAGCACTTGCTCTACATCCTGTTCGTCGTTGCCGCCGTCACTCTCAGCACTGTTCGCGCTTTCATGGACAACGACACGGCTCAGGACAAGCTCATCTACCTTTTGACCCACGCCATGTTCCCTCCCATGCTCTGGTTGATTTGCTGCACCGCCTTCGCCATTCCCATCCGTTACGCTCTTCACCCTCCCACCATGCCCGACCGTGAGGAGCTGCTCGACAGAGACCCGAAGACCGGCGTCGCCCACCCCAAGGAGTACTGGAAGAGCCAGCGCTGGGGCAAGAGCCACTTCTGGCACGAGTTCGAGGTTCTCTTCCTCGTCGCCTACGCCATTTTCATTTTCGTCATCACCTTCATCATCAAGGACTCTCAACTCGAGGAGTAAACGCATTTCCTACAATATCACGCATTTGCACTCGATTTACTTTTACTTTCTTTGGGTTACTTCTTTTCTGGAGCGCTTTGCATTTCCTTTCGTCTACCTTTTGCATATTTGATAACCTTCAAAGTTCTGGTTTTTTCAAGGAACGGCCTATACTAATGCTGTCTAGAAGGAGAGAGGGATATTTGGAGTTTTTTTGATATGGCCACCCTCTCGCAAGCATGCATGCAACACATGACAATATTATTCCTGTACATAGCTCGTGTGTTTTCACTTGTATGGAAAATTCAAAAGTGTACATTTACATCATCTACATCTCTCGACTTTCTGTGAATTGTTGGGACTGAAAATTCAACTGTGCTTCCTTTGGATTTACTCATCGTGAGATCTGCGAGAATTGTTACCGTGGTATCTCCAAAACATCCCCGCCCCGCGGAAGCCATGCATGCAGGCACATATGCATGAATAGCAAGATGCAGGCAAGAGGTGAAGTTGGTTCTAGCGCGCTCTGTCTCACCCAAGCAACCGTTCGGCCGTTCGTCGTCCTCCACCTCTCACAGTACATTCTGGAGAAAGCTTGTTATTGAGAGCTCCATCAAACATTCGGACATTTCGGACGTGGCTAGGGTCTTCGGCGAGTAAACAACCACATGGCAGCAACACATCCAACGTTCACAAGGCAACCAGGCTGCCGGACTGTGTCAAGCTGACCACATCTTGTCCTGCAGTGTAGTTGAACAACCATGCATCTCCGTACTGTACATGCAAATGCGATGCTGCAGATCTCGCATCATGCTACGTGATTTTCGTGTGGCGTATGAATCTGGAGCCTGGAGGAAGGTGGCTTTCTCCCCGCCGGCATGCTTTCTTCCCGTGATCCTGGTCGATACAGAAAAAAGCCATGTATGGTGAGCGAATTGTTGATTCGTTGCAACAACACCACAGCCTCTTTGTTGCCAAGTTTCAGAAGAGAGCACACACGCAACAGTGATTGGACATGTATATGCAGCAACAACAGGATTTCGAGTTGGAAATAACGCGAGATAAGGCATGGTTCTTGCACTGCCTGCGCATGGCTGTCCACTCGCGATGCGAGAAGCTCGTCAACCCCACTCGATCTACGAGTGGTCTCCTGCACGATACGAACACAACAGCGGTATGCACACACTCGGTGACCCGTAAGCAAAAGAGCAAGTGTTCTGTTTCAAAAGGGTGTCCGAGCAGCCGAAGCAGCCGAGTTGGAAGTCCGCCCTGCTCGGCATGGGCTGAGGTCGTCGTGTCCAGCTCGCTCGGTTGTCACCAGGACGACATGCCTGCGAGTCAATCAAGGTTCACCACATTTCTTGCCTTTTTGTTTTCAAGACGCGCGACAGGCTTCGAAACGACGTCTATATCGTCAAAGTGATATCCCGCCTATTCTCAACAAATTCTTGGAGCCGTCAGTGCTGCGGTAGTCCTGCCGCAACGCTTGAGCATTCGTATACGTTAGTCACTAGTTTCCGGTATAGCATTGCTCAGCCACAATCATTGGCATCCCAACTCTGAAACACATACACTTTGCCGACCTCAAGCCATGTGTTTATAGATAGTGAGGGCGGTGACGTTCAACGACACGTCTTTCGCCTAACGTTGTAGACCCGCCTATCAGCCCATGAGCCAAGCATGTCTGCTATTATGTGTATCTTAACATGAACACGGCCCAAATCCACAATCAACGTGAGATCGACCACGCGCTAGGCATGAGGACAATACTTGCTGCAGCCATCAATGAACTCGACGCTGTCGCAATTCCGTGTCTTTGGCCAGTGATTTGAATATCTTGTAATACAATTCATGCGCTTTACGCCTCAATCTGTCCAACGTCTACTCACGTGTCACTCGATGTGGTTGATAACAAGAACCACAACGCTCACGGCCAGTGGCTGCGGTCCACTGCCATCTGACGTCGTAATTTGCAATCGCCGCAAGGTGATGGTGCTTGAATGTCATCACATTAGAAGAGTGGACATCATTTGGAGGAGATTTGACTTGAGCCCGCTGGGAAGCACAGCTCTAGAATGAATTCTGGTAAGAAAGGTCAAGCTTGGATTGTTTTCTAATGCGGTCAGGTTTCAATGGCGCCCAAAAAGGAAGGCCGACTTCGTGTAGGCACATAGGGAAAGGCTGATAACCACGAATGAACACAAGTGGATGAGCGAGGGCGCAATCTGGTAAACGAAGGGATAATAACCTGGCCATGAGGAAAGAATGATCTGATGAGCTCCTTCTACATAGCACAGCTTGACGACACTCGAGCTCGAATATGTCAGGCGCGAAGCACGATAGATTTCCAGGGAATGTGATATTGAGGCGTTGCCAGACATAGATTCGATACATCAACTAAGGTTTCGACACATAACAGCATACTAACATTGTGAATATTGGCGATTTTTGCCTGCAGCATATCAGTGCTCCATCTTCTCAACCACAGCAGCATCAACATCAAGCGTGTTAAGCACAGTGGCAGCTCCTCTCTTCTCCAAACTCTTCTTGACAGGATTCTTAGCCTCGAACACCTCAGAGAGTTCTTCCAAGGTGCGCTCCTTGGTCTCTGGCCAGTAAAGGTAGATGACACCAAATTCGATCAGATCCCAGAACACGAATACAAGGTAGAAGTATGCACCGATATTCTGGAAAGCAGGTCCTGAGCCATATTGAATGACAGCTGAGCTGACATTCGAGGCAAGGTTTCCAACCGCAGTACCTTTGGCTCTGGTGGAGGTAGAAAGTGTTTCTGCGATATACATGCTTTGAAGAGGCCTGGCAGTAGGTGTTAGTATTTTACCACGATTCGAACTCATTTCAAGCAGAGATAGTTCACTTACGTCCAGCCGAATGAGAATATGATCCCGAACAGGTAGATGAAGGCAATAGTGGTGTTGGCTGCCGACTTGTTATCGGAGTCTTGCTGCGCAAGCTTACTAGTACCACAAATGATTGCGAAACAGCCCGAACAGAAGAGAATCGAGTAAAGCAACAGCGGCCTGCGACCGACGACATCGGTCATGCGGGCTCCGAGGATCGCTCCGAAGAAGCAGATGACAGGATAGATACCATTCAACATCAACTGTGTGCTCTCCGAAGTGATACCAGCTTTCTCGAGCATGACCGGAAGATAGTATGAGGTGACACTGTTGCCAGACAACTGACCAAAGCAAGCCATACCTAGTACGCAGATGAGTCTTCGACGTGCTGAATGAGTGTTCACCAGTTCTGAGTAGTCCCATCCTTTTTTATCGGATGCGTCTTGTCGAATTTGGTTTTGCATCTCTTTGAGTTGTAGGACAACGATCGGATGTGATTCATCTCCTTCACCGTGGTAGCGAGCCAGAACCTTTGTAGCCTCTTCCATACGATCCTGAGCGCAAAGCCATCTGAGAAGGAGTCAGTACACAAGCGGAAATCTAGCACAGATATGACATACCTTGGACTCTCTGGTAGAAACCAGACACCTAAGGCGACAATGACTGAAGAGATGAGCTGACACCAGATAGGAGCGCGCCAGCTGATATCTGTCCTGATATGTTGCGAACATCCATAAATTACCCAAGAAGCGACTATGCTGCCTGGAAGAAGTGAGTAAAGCGCTACATTCTTCAATTGATCCTATACTTACCAATGTACCAGGTGCAATTATACAATCCAGTCAACGTGCCGCGCCATGCAGGATGAGCCATCTACAAACCAGTCAGTCCGATGGCTCGATGGGTCACTAGTCAGGGAATAACAAACCTCAGAGACATAACATGGAGCGCTGACACAAGCGAAAGATACACCAAACCCGAGAATAAAACGGCCAGCGAGAAACATCCCCCTGTTGACTGATGGTGCTTGAATGCAAGTGCCAATGATAACGATGATTGCTCCAGTAAACATGCCGACGCGACGGCCGAAATAGTCGTTGACAGGACCACAAAAGAAGACAGCTGGAATCGATCCGATGTTGTATCTGGAAGGAAGCTTTAGTAAACGTGAAGATACCGGCAGATTGATGTCAAAATTTACATCGCAAAAGTGATACCAGTGCTACTTCCGGCAGATTCCCTGACAAAATCAGTGTTGAGCTCACATGGACTCAGGAAGCTGAGCCTTCTCACATGTTAAAGTAATCCTGATACGTTTTCATAGCGTTCAATCCACCCATCAAGCTACCATCGTATCCGTTCAGACAACCACAGAGGTATGCAATGGTCAAACAGCCATAAAGACGGAGCATGCCTATCTTCCATGGACTCTGCTTGACGTGTACGACTTCCTCTGACAATTGGACGGCATCTTTGGCTTGACGAAATTCGTTGTCCAGATCATCGACGTGAGTAACACCATCCTTTTTGAGATCCATGACGGATGGACGTTGTGATGAATTGGAAAGAATGAGAGAGATGAGGGACTGAGATTGCTTCCATACAGGCGCCCGAGCACTTTAAATACGCTGCCATGACCAGTACAAAGTACTTGGTATAATGCCATGCTCTCTTACCTGAGGACCTTCATCCGGTAACTGTCTAAGACCTGGTGATCGTCGACTGATCCTACTTGCAGAACAACGCGGGGGAGAAAATCTGGAGATAGATGATCTGCACCTGCTGAACATGTTTGGGGTATGGTTGCATCGCGAAAGTGACCACATACGAGATGGTGGCATGTGCCCCCGCCGGTGAGGTTGTCAATTGGGAGGAATTGTAGAGCTCGTGGATTGATAGACCGAAGTCCCGGTAAACGCTTGATATCTGGTACCCCGCAGATGTCTCTCCAGATTTAACCATGGCTTTTCCGATTGGCCAGTATGTGCTAGGGAGGCATTGATCGGTAAGGACACCATTCTCACCATGCGACGACATGCTCTGGAAAATTGGCAGCTTATAGATAAGATGCTTCGGCGACAAAGAAATGGAGCTCAAAACTGACCTGAGCGTCGGTCGCAATCGAAAGAGCTCGTCTGAGTGGTGGAATCCGAAATACCAGGGGTTCAACTGCATTGCGCCTTCCTTCCCCTCGCCTTGGCTGAGCTCCTTCGCAGACTTCAACCTGACTTTCATCGGTGGCTTGTCTGTAAATCCTTGAATTAGCAAGAAGCCCCCCGAGATATGCATGCAAGCTTATCATCGCCGAGGTTGTCGCGCGACTCTCGTGTGTCATGCCGAAGAGAGCTCAATCTACCGAGAGGGGTTTGGCGATCATGGACTGATGGATGTCTTGGAAACGTGAAAGTCAGATGACTGAACTATCGTATCTGGTCTTGGAGCTTCGCAACGACCCTCAATCATCAATTCGTCTTGTACATAGTCGTTCTTCAAAGACGACGGCTTGATACAATTCAGCATGGCTTTGCCTGGAAGCTTAACGGCAGCGGCGGACTACCACTCAGGACAGTCGACTGACCTTGATATCTGCAACCCAAAGGTTGTGCACCGCAATCGTCTACCTACTCGGGCATACTGGATACCTGAGAAATCATTGTTGCTGAACGGGACTTGGGGGTGAGTTAGCGTCGAAGGATTTGATTTTGACTGAATCCTGATTAAATTCGGCTTGTATCTTGACTGTTTCTTGACTGACCTGCTGTTAGTTTCGTGTATAGTCCAACGCCTCTTCACGCGCCACATCCTACGTTATACTCCGATGGCCTCAGCAGTCTCGTAGATGCCCTCACAATCGATGGAAATGAGGGACAGGCAGCTGATATACAATGGTCCTCAATCACCGTACCGGGGCATTGGCAACTTCAGGTACAAATATGCAGCAACATCTAACAAACATTGGATGAGATGCTAACCCATTCAGGGCTATGGTAAACCACACTATACCAACACAGTCTATCCGTTCCCAGTATGCCCGCCACATGTACCTACGGAAAACCCCACTGGAACCTACCGTAGAAACTTCTTTGTTCCTTCATCCTGGTCTGAAGATGCTCAGATTCGTCTTCGCTTCGATGGAGTTGACAGTGCCTACCATGTCTACCTCAATGGACAAAAGGTCGGTTACTCGCAAGGCTCAAGAAACCCGGCCGAATTTGATATCACAGAATACATCAACCGCGGAGAAGATGTGAATCGCCTCATCGTCAACGTCTACCAATGGTGCGATGGTTCCTACATCGAAGACCAAGATCAATGGTGGCTCTCGGGTATCTTCCGCGACGTACATTTGATTTGTTTCCCGAGCAAAGTTCGAATTGAAGATGTATTCATCAAGACAGAGCTCGATGGGGATTATCGAGATGCGAAGCTGCACGTTGAGCTGAACCTCACGATCAATGAAGCAGCTGAGGCGATTCTCTCTCTTCGAAGCCCGAGTGGCTTTTCAATCATCAACGAGAAGATCAAGCTGTCTGCCAATAAATTTCGCAGTTCGCACGAGTTTTCCGTGGCAAACCCTACCAAGTGGACCGCAGAGACACCCCATCTCTATTCTTTAGAGATCAACCTGCTCGCACCCAACTCAGAGAGATCAATCCAGACGGTCAAGCAACGCGTCGGCTTCCGATCTGTCGAGATCATAAAGGGAAACATCAGTGTCAACGGCAAGCCATTACTTCTACGAGGTGTCAACCGTCATGACCACCACGCTTTGTTCGGCCGGGCCGTACCTCTTGCTTACATGCGAAGAGACCTGATGATCATGAAACAGCATAATATCAATGCCCTTCGTACTTCTCACTACCCCGCAAACCCTAAATTGTACGAGCTGTGTGACGAGCTCGGTCTCTGGGTCATGGATGAAGCAGATCTCGAATGTCATGGATTCTATGACGCTGTCGAACGGCCTCAGAACCTGCCTCCAGATATGGACTACGAGGAGCGCAAGAAGTACACCTTTGACAAGGCAGCCAAGTTTACAAGTGACAATGAAGACTGGAAGACTGCATATGTTGACCGAATGGTGCAGATGGTCGAGAGAGATAAGAACCATCCTTCAATTATCATGTGGTCCCTCGGCAACGAAGCTTTCTATGGCCGCAACCATGTCGCCATGTACGAGTGGGCTAAATCTCGAGATCCCGAACGTCCAATTCACTACGAAGGAGACGTCAATGCAGCATCCGCGGATATGTTCTCATATATGTATCCTTCGATTGAGAAACTCGTGGGTCACGCAACAGAAGAAGGGGATGATTTCGAGAAACCCATCGTGCTCTGCGAGTACGGACACGCGATGGGTAACGGTCCTGGCCTGCTCGAAGACTACCAAGAAGCTTTCCGCAGCCACCGAAGGCTTCAAGGTGGATATATCTGGGAGTGGTCTAATCATGGACTTCTCAAGACAGAGGGCGGTAAGCAGTTCTATGCCTATGGTGGAGATTTTGGCGATTTGCCAAATGATGACACATTTGTCATGGACGGTCTTTTGTTCAGCGACCATACACCCACTCCTGGTTTGACCGAGCTGAAGAAGGTCATTGCTCCTGTGAGACTCTGGATTGAAGGCAATAAGTTGGTGATCAAGAACGAATTTGAGTTCATCTCTTTGAGCCACTTGATCGCGGACTTCAAAGTCGAGGTGCTTGGTATCAGACCTGACCGCGTTTTATCTGGTCCGATTCAGCTTCCTCACATCGATGCTGGGACTGAAGCTAAGATTGACTTGCCTGAAGAGATCTTTGCCCTACACAGACCTGATGGAACGGAAGTGTGGTTGACCATCGATTTTCGTCTTGGCGTTGCGACTCCTTGGGCTGAGGCCGGGCACAGCATTACCTGGTATCAAACTCGACTATCTGCCAAGAAAGACGAGTACAGCTACGGCATAGAGAGACCTATCATGTCGAGTGCCATTACTGCCCACGAGACACAGCTGCACTATCGCTTCATCGGATGCGATTTCCACTTCAACTTTTCTCGCTCAAGAGGAGCACTGGTCGAATGGGTTTACGGAGGCAGATCAGTCCTCAAGAAGCGTGAAACGGCTGACGACCCATTGCTAGCACTGGGCTTCTGGCGTGCACCAACAGACAATGACGCTGCCTCTATCAGCAAAGAATGGAAACGCTACGGCCTCGACGCCATGACACCCCAGCTCCGCAGCTTCACGCTCGAAGACAATGGCCCAGAAAGAGTTCGTCTGACGGCTGTATACTACTACAGTCCTCCCATCCTGGCCTGGGGCTTCTTAGCCAAAGTCACCTACGAGATCTCGTCCACGGGCAAACTATCCATAAAAGTCAACTTGACGCCTCAAGGAAACGCCCCGACCACACTTCCACGTGTAGGCATCAACCTTCAACTAGACCCTTCCTTCAAACAAGCAACATGGTACGGTCTTGGTCCCGGTGAATCCTACACGGATAAAGCAACCTCCCAACAAATCGGAATCTGGAACTCCACCATCGCGCACCTCCAAACCCCCTACGAAGTACCCCAAGAAAACGGCAATCGCACCTCCACCCGCTGGGTCAAAGTCCTAAACGAGCAAGGCTTGGGTATAAAAGCCACCTACCTTCCTGGTCCCAAGGAAAAGGAGTTTTTCCAATGGGCGGCTTGCTTGCATGATGCAAAGGTGCTGGAAGTGGCAAGACACCCTTGCGATTTGGTGGAGAGGAAGGAGCCGCTGTGGAGGTTGGATGCCGATAATGCAGGTGTGGGAACTGCGGCCTGTGGACCCGGCGTCAAGAAGGAGGATCAGGTTGAGTGTAGGGAGAGGGAGTTTACGTTTGTGCTGGAGCCCGCTATAGATTTCTAGAAGGTCTGCGTGGTTGGGGTTTGAGTAGGGATGGTCTTTTATTCTCTCGGTATTTACTGCTCAATACATGCTTCGACTGTGCCTGAGGTTTCAACTCCCGTCTCTTGTAAAAGTGAAAGATCGAGAGGATTCTCTCTACTTTGTTGCCCCGATTCACGGATTTGGCAAGCAGCTTATCCACAGCTCAAGATTTGCCTTTCAGACAAGCCACTCCGCGTATTCCTCCATGTAGTATTAATCAAACACAAGCCATAAACTAGCTACTGCATACCTAGTAGTTTGAATTAATAGAGACTCTCGCCTGACAAGGGGATTCTCCAGGCAGTTCTAATGCACCCTTTCTTTTCTTTTGCCCGTCTACTCTCCGTTGGATGGAGTCTTCAGGCCTGTAAGAATGCACCAAGTTTTCAAGATTGTGATAGCCGTCTGCGGAGAAGCGTCAATTATCGGCGCTCTTGGTGGAAGCTACTCCTAACAATGCTAAAATTGTGCATTTCCACATCTATATACGTGCCAAATTTAGCACACGGGAAGGCGAGAAAATGTTAAAGGTACTGGGAGCACGACCCCTTTCTAGTTCATAGATAATTATGTTGGGCCGTGTAGCCAGTGATCATGCGTGGTCTTTATTCGCTGCCATCTGTTCTCAGTATGAAGAATGTCTAGGTTCTGCTTCCATCGCACATACAGGCAGGGTTGCGCCCAGCGCAAACATTCTCGAGGCTTAAACACACGACGACATGTACTGATGTTGGCCATAATGAATGACACAAAAGCCCTGTCATCAGGGAGCAGATATCGTGTATCACTAAAACGCTTCAATACAAAAGAACGATCAAATGCAGGATTTAGTAACAATGTCATCTTGACTATTCAGTAATGTGCTAAAGAGCCTCCCAAAGCGCCAATCATACCGCTGCGTGATACAAATGAAAAGTGCACAATCAATGTGCGGATTATATAAAGGCCGGAGGAGAGTTTGCGACCATTTGTGACTTCCTCGAACTTAGAAAATCATCTACCATCTTCTGTCCGGGCGAAGATCCCTTGACTTTCGGTGAGCCTTGTGTCGGCGTGTAGAACGGAGGGATTGTTATGCCATCGATCATGCCAGAGGCTTTAGACGGAGCGGTGTTCTCTTTACTGTCCGCTGCGTAAGGACCCTCAGAAATTCTACGCAGCGTGTGATCGTCGAACAATGTTGGCGCTATGGCTCTGCGGCGGATGTTGAGACTTGAAGCTTCCAGGTTGCGATTGTTACGATACATGACACGTAGGTCGAGCGCCGATTTAGGAGCCTTGACTGGATCTTTGACAGGATCTTTGACAGGATCTTCTCTGCCCGCAGAGTCGATTTCGCTGCTTGATGGAGAATAGCCGTGACGTGCGGCACGCGTTGCCAGACTGGACTTCTTGCGTACAAGTGCGCTGGTTGACTGACGTTCTCGGAGGGACAACGAGGCCAGCGTTGATTGATCGTTATCGACTAGTTGACTTCCTTTACTGGAGGCATTCTCAGCAACAGATAGTCCGGACCCTGAAGCCGACCTTTGATCAGAAGCGGATCTCTGACCGGTAGAGGATGCGCTTGAAGGATTTGTTCGGCGACCCGACGTCCTGCTCGACGACCTGCCGGTCTCAATCATAGGGTAGCGGTCGTTCATGATGCTGGAAGTTCGAGACCGCAACTGAGGACGACTTTTCGCGGCTTGGAGTACTGGAGATCCTTCCTGTAAACTCTCTCTCGAGTCGTGAGGGTTGATGTTTTCCTGGAGGTAATTGGGCCCAGCTGGCACACACTCTGCAGTGGGGACGGGTGTCATGGTGAAGTCTTCAATCTCTTTGCTGAACCAGGCTCTCCACTCATTACTTGGCTTGGGTGCGTATATGGTAGGTCCATTCAAGGGCCGTGGTGGCGACTCCAGAGGATAACGCTTGACTTCGCGCCCAGTGATTGTGATGAACGTGCCAGCATCAGGAGAGACCGACCTCGAGTATATACTCGGAGAAATTACCTGCTGGCGAATGTCATGAAGATCCGCGCCGTTGGTAAACGTTGGTGCAGCAGCGTCGTAGGATTCGTGTCGAATTGCGACAGGCAAGCTGGTGTTGTTGACGTTCTCCAACGGTCGCAATTCATACGGATTGTCACCTTTCATGCAATAATTGAGGGCTCTTGAAACGACGGGTGAGCCATCTTCCAACGCCGCCTGCCAACGATTGTCCGATCTCTCCATACGAGCAGCAATTTGCTCCTTTGACGGCGCAGCTGGTTCCGCTGCACGACGTTTCTTCGAACGTATGCTTGGCGCGATACTCCACCACGATGACTTCCTGGTCACTTGATGCGGTGGACTGGGAGGTGGACGCGTGGGAGATTCGGGAACTGCAGGATCTGGGGTGACCATCCTGATAGTCTCAGCGAGTGGCGACATAGACGGAGAGTCGTTATACAGTGCAGTTTGTGGCGGCGACGTGTCTTCCTCCACCACAATAGTAGGCACTTCAGGAGCATTGATGCGTTTCTGAAGTGCATCGTACAAGTGCTTGCTGTCCTCTGACTTGCGTCGCAGACTGCTCTGACTTGGGCGGCGGAGTGGTAGACGCAGTGCTCGGCCAATGAATGTCCCACATGGTTCTTCGAGAGTGGTAGCAAGAGCTGCTGACGCTGAGGTTTCCTCGATTGAAGGTAAGCGTTTTCCCGGGCGAGAAGTTGTCGAGTTGGACCAGCTTGTAATTCTTGATTGTGCACCAGAAGAGGCGCCCAAGGATGAAAAAGGCGACCTTGGCAGGGAGACACCAAAGTCTGGACCAGCCGAAAAGCTGTCGTCGTTTGTCTTGTAGACGTCAAAGTGTAGATTTCTCGCTTCGACGTGCTGAGCAGGGAAATGTGACTGCACCCGTTTTGGTCTCGATAGGAGGCGCTTGAACTTTCCTTTGAGCGATTCCGAGACAGTTCGCTGCTTCTTCAGCTTGCTAGGGCCATCGAGCTTGTCCTCGGGCTTGATCTCGATGGGCGGTGCTGTAGAAAAGATATCGTCGGCCTCCTCGACAAAGTTGTATGGCGGTACTGAAGTGTCATACTGTATAGACGGCGCCGGGGCTGGTGACTTGGTGAAGCGTTTCTTCAATGGAGCGGCGAAGGATTTTCTCTCACGAACCTCCTTCTTGCCGAAGCCTTGGAGGTAGGCGTCCCAAGCAGCAGTCTTGATCTCGTCATCTGTCTGAAAGTCACGAGTCTGCCGTCTGGAAGCGGTGCTGTGTCGTGATTCTGACACGTCTGTGATGGTAGGGTCGTTGGAAGCTTCGAGAGCAAAGCGATATGGTGTGTCAGGTAAGAGTGAGAGTCGGGTAGGCGCAGGTGCATGTATGGTCGCAGGTATAGCTGCAGGAGCCGTCGCAGGCCCATGGACAAGAGCAGGGCGCTCAGGACGTTCAGTTCTCTGAGTAGACTTGCGTCGGTTGTCATCGAAATGGCTTCCCTCGGAGCGGCGAGAGCGACGTCGCTGCGTTCGATCATCCTGGGAATGGCGGTATGCTCGCGTGTAGGCTTCTACAGCTGCAACCTCTGCATACCTGGGCTCGGTCGATATGCTTGATGCATCAAAGGCCTTGTGGCTGGTTGAAGATGAGGATTTGGCCCGGCGAAGGCGTAAAGCGGCATCGCTGTTGGCTCGGGATAGCATTGGTGACTCTTTCGAATCCGTTTGATGAGAGGTGGTGATGTTTACGAGAAAGCTAGGAAGACGTATGCGGCGATACCAATGCTTTGGTATGAGATGCATTTGTATGTTTCATCCGACGATGGAGAAGGCAGAACCCACGCATCTTGTTTCATATCGCCATTTGCTCCAGGCAGGAGACGTACAAGACGCTCCTTCCGTCTGTTTGACGCTTCGACGGAATCATGACCGTTCATAAACAAGTAGATAATCAGCGCCGTGGACCTAATCTCGATCAGTTTGTCAACTACACTGCATAAACTCACTCGAGACAAAGCTTCGTCTGCTGGGATTACTACTCTATTCGTCTTGATGTCTGACCTGGCATTTGAGCCATGCCACGAGATATACTTTACTCGTAGATGCTCAACAAGTTAGGCAGGCGTCTTCGGATGTAGCTGCTGTACTGCTCGACTTCAATTGCTGGATTGCATGACTGACGACAGTTCCTTGAATCCTATCACAACAAGTCTGAGCATGGCGTTCATGTTGACTACATGGACAAATCTCACGAAAGACGTATCAAGAGAAGCTCTTCACGCCTTCCAACCGGAGAGTTGGAGAGACGGACCTATTTGTTCCGAGATGGCCGAGAGCAGACAGAAGCACGGGCCACCGACCTCGAGCTCTCGAGTTGCCGAGGCACGCGAGATTGGACAGGTGGCTGGAAAAAGTGGCTGGTTTTCGTGACGCGCGTGACACATCAGCCGATTGACGGCTCAATACTCCGTACAGCATTCACAGCGGCGACTTGGAGATGAGATTTGATCTGGAAGAACCATCCATTGTCTATGGGGGCCACCGTTGTGTGTGTACATAATGGAATTATAAGGAATATGCGTCCGATTATCCTCCGTAAACCGTGACAAAAGAAAATAGAGTATGCAAGACATCATCGATATGTCTCAGCCATACTCCAATGCAATGAGGCTCCACTGAGGACGCCATACAATCATCCAGTCATGCGTTGAGGATTTACTCCATCTTGGAGTTGACGAGGAACTCATCAATCTCAGACTCGAGCTTGGCAGTGAGTCTGCCAATCTCCTTGCGAGCGGCCTCGAACGACTCTCTCATGTCCTCACGGATGGTCGAAGCGTCCATCTCCTGAACCTTCTTGTAGGCATCGTGGGCGAAGTCGGTCTTGGTGACAGCCTTGAGCTCCTCAAGACCGTACTCGCGCTGAGAGTTCTTGACCTTGTAGCCACCAGCGGAGATGACCTCGGTGTAGTTGGCGGAACCACCACCGTTCCAGGCGAGGATCTGATTCAGGTTAGTATAGTGTATAGGAATTAGAGAATGGGCATGTGACTTACGTTGGCAGTGTCTGAGGGAACATCCTCAAGAGCACCGACAGTGGCGATGGACAGAAGGTCGGCCTTCAGCTTCTTGGGGGTGATCTCAGCGACAGCGTAGGCAGAGTTCTTGGAGGGCTGGAGGGAAAGAAGGTACGCGAGAAGACCAGCGATGTGGGGAGAGGCCATCGAGGTACCGGAGATGACGTTGGTAGCAGTCTCACTGCCGATCCAGGTGGAAAGGATGTTGAGGCCGGGGGCGAAGATGTCGTTGCACTTGCCAAAGTTGGAGAAGTAAGCACGCTCGTCAGCAAGAGTGGAGGCACCGACAGTGACGGCCTTCTCGGCGGCGGCGGGAGAGTATCTGCAAGAGTCGGCGTTGTCGTTACCGGCGGCAACAGCAAAGTGAATACCGGCATCGACAGCAGCGTTGACAGCCTGATCGAGGAGAGCAGACTTGCCACCACCAAGACTCATGTTGGCAGTGCTGCCCTTGAAGCCCTTTCTCTTGCCCTTCTTGGCCTTTTCGACCTCCTCAATGTGGGACTCAGCAGCGTACTCGACACCCTTGACGACGTCGGACATGGAGCCAGAGCCGTTGGAGCGGAGGACCTTGACGGCCTTGACGTGGGCCTTCTTGGCAACACCGTACTTCTTGCCAGCGACGGTACCAGAGCAGTGAGTGCCGTGGCCGTTGCCGTCCTTGTCTTCGTCACCCTGGGGGATGGTCTTGCCCCACTTGGCACGACCCTCGAAGTCGACGTGGTCAACGTTGGTGCCGGTGTCAATAACGTAGACATCAACGCCCTCACCACCATCAGATGAGTAGAGGTACTTGTTGAATGTGCCAAAGGTCAAGCTGTCGCGGTGCGAGATACGAGCAAGACCCCAGGGAGCGCCCTTCTCGACGGCGGGGTCCTCGGACTTGGCAAGAGTGTGCATGATTTGGTCCTTCTCGACAAAGGCAACCTGGAGGCGATGTGTCAGCGAAGCTCTCTGGGGTCGGAGGACTCGGGGGTTTTCAGGCAGCAGTTTGGAGATCGCCACAGGATTGAGGCAAACGACTGGAAACGCTGTTTCCAAGGTGTCTCCAACCAAGATCGTAGAGACTTTGAGGGTAGAATGAAGAGATGGTGTGCAGTACTTACATCGGGGTGCTTGCGGATCTTGTCAATGACATCCTCGTCAAAGTGACCTGAGTAGCCCTTAAGGCCGGCCATGTTGTATGTGTGCTTGAGACCGTCAAAGACAGTGTCGACAAAGGGAGCCTGCGATCTCTTGCGGAGCTCGAGCTTGGTGTTAAGGGTCGACTCGTGGATGTCCTGCACCCAGTTGTGGTGAGCGGCGGCGTCACGGTGGTCGACGTGGTCCTTGAAAGCAATCAAGTATGAGTCGGGGATGGTCTCAGCATCGACAGATGAGATGAGAGGAGCGGCATCGTTGTCGATGCTCTGGTGGCTCAAGGTGTCTGCCTTGAAGACAGGCTTTGCAGCTGCCAGCAGCGGCAGGAGTGTGAGGCCTGCGATACCCTTCATGATGAGGGGCTGATGTGTGAATGTGGTTGGGGAGTGTATGCAGAAGAGAGGATGAGGGAGAGGAGGTGGATGTAAGAAGGAGGAAGTGTCGAGGGTGAGTCGAGTTGATGAAGGACGAGGACCTGAGTGGGCGGAAGAGCTCCAATCTGGGGTCGTCTTATCTGTGGTCCGTGCTGCCGCTGAATGCGTCATGCTTCATGGCTTCGTGACTTGTAGCGTTAAGCACACCACTGTTTCCCGCACGCCCGCCGGTGCATCCTGAGCTATGCAGGAATGCAGCAAGGTTTCACATACAACAAGCAGACATGCTGGAATCAAATATTCGTACATGCTTTATAAAGGTCGAAAATGAGGTTTGCTATGGATATCCAACACCACAAAGAGCATGTGAAAGTGAGCTATCAGTGAATGGGGGGCGGCGTTTCCTTGGATACAGAAGTGCGGAGCTATTTGACGCTAGCAATTCAAACGCCGAATACTCTCGTTCCTTGCGCGTGCCCTTCTTGAACCACTTCAGGCACCTAGTGCATTTGAAACATCGAAACGCTCACGTGCGCCTCCATCTCTGTCCGTTGCACCTTGCAACCCTACTGCTATCTCCAAACTCTTTGCTGCCTGTATTCGGCTCAACCCCTTTGGTCACTCCTTGGCTGGTATATGCTTCGTTCCCAAAGACGCGATCAGTCAAGCACCCTGTTTTGCGGGGTCGTCACTTGACTGCTTGATTGAGATAGACCTAGGCCGGAGAGAACGCCATCGGGTTCCGGATCATCTGCCCTTCAATCAATTCGCTTCCGGAGCAATGACATCGTTAGCTGTTCACTCTGTTTATATCGACCAGCACCGTTGATGCCAAAATGGACAATCGCTCTCCAACTCCCCGCCGGTATAGGTCATCCACCAGCAACTCTAGTCCACCATCACAAGTCCGGACAAGTGCACTTGGCTCACTTATCCAACGACTATCAAATCTTACGATCATTACTTCTGACTTGTTACGGAGTACTCATGACGATCTCATCAGGCTGTCCATCTTCTTCGATGACAATGGTCAGAACGACATTCAGGACCAATTCCGCCAACTTAGAGGCTTCCAAGCTATTGTCCATATCCTCGAACTTTCTGTGCAAGATGCCGAGAAAAAAGAAGAACCAACCAACATTCCATATGAAGAGAGCCTCACCCAAGTTGCCATCGATGTCTTGAGTATCTTGAACAAGGCAATGCGTCAGCATCATGGCAACACTCGTTACTTCACCAAGCGTGTCTCTGGCGGAGGCTGGAAAGCTTTGCGTCGACTTATCCAACAACTTTCCCCTGCAGTTGCGAGTCCATTACTCGGAGAAAGTCATTCCAGTAATCAATTGAGACTTTTTGGTGCCCTTCTGGCTTTGGCACTCGGTGATAACGCGCATAGCAGCATTCTCAATTCTCTACTGGTGGATAACCCTGATGATTCAAACAAACCAGGGAACGAAGATACCCAGTCGAGGACGATGCAGGCTGCCACTTCTGATGAATCTGTCTCAATGGAACTGCAAACCTCTGTTCGCAAGTGCTTCGTAAAAGACGAACGCATTGTAAACTCTGAAGCTGTGACAATCATGTCGGACTCTTACAGACAGCCCCGATCTGAGGAGAACACCAACAAAGGTACATCTGCCCTCTCAGTCACTGTCTTAACTGTTCTCGACTGCCTGATCGAGATGTCAGAGCGTAATAGAATCGCGGTCCATGATGCTGGGGCTTTGACTGCTCTTCTGCCTCACTTGACTGGCAAAGACATGCAGGAACCCGAGAAAGCCTTACTACGAAAAGTTTGCGCATCGCTGCTTCCACTTGGTACACGCAGACTCGAAGAGACTGCCCAGATATTCAAGTTAGCCTGTGAAGACGATTTGGCAAAAGAAATGCTGCTGGACGCTTTGCAAAAATCCAAGCAGCCCTCTGCCATTCAGTTCGATCTATCCCATTCTGGACATTGCTCGATTGAGCTTGCGTCTTTGCCGCGTCCCTTTCCACCTGCTACTGGATACACGTTCTCTTCCTGGATCAAGATTGACCAGTTTGACTCAGACTGTCACACCACAGTATTCGGGGCATTTGATGCCAGCCAGACTTGTTTTGTTCTTGTTTACATCGAAAAGGATACCCACCAGTTGATATTGCAAACATCAGTCACCGCTAAGAGACCGAGCGTGCGCTTTAAAAAGTTTCGATTCGCAGCTGGAGAATGGTATCATATTGCATTGGTCCATCGACCTTCTAGAACAAGCGGCCTGAGCCCAGCCATACTCTATGTTAACGGACGTTGTATTGAAGAACAGCACTGTCCATATCCAGAGATACCGCCGCTTATACCGGAGCTTCGTGCTCCGGTTCCCTCTCAGATTGTTAACACCACTCGAAGACCAGTCCAAGCATTCTTCGGCACGCCGCAAGATCTAGCATCCCAAGCTGCCGAGCGCGTCTTGAGCTTGAAATGGTCTCTTGCCAGTGCTTATCTGATTGACTCATCTCTATCTCCCGAATTGATCGCGGTCCATCAGAAACTTGGTCCTCGGTACTGCGGCAACTTCCAGGACTGTGTTGGACCTTTTTTGACATACCGTGCTTCTGCTGAGCTCAATCGATACAATGAGATGTTGCATGCAGAAAAAGACGACAAATCCGAGATTGTCAAAGCCACTCAATCACAAGGCAGTGAGCTGCTCCCGGAAGGCAAGCTCCTCATCAGCATATCGGCTTCGGGGATCGTCAACATGAATGGACTCTTAGCAAATGGTGTCAACATCACAGACATGCTAGACGAGAAGGCTACGGCACATCTCCAGTCCCTCACGCGTAATGGCAATCCGCTTTTGCTAAACGCTGCCCGACCCGTTATCAACGACGCTATCACGAGGTCTCATGGTGCGGCCATCATCACTGGTAGCCCTGTCCTAAATCTCACCCACGGGCTAGATGATGGTAGTTGGCAGATTGGCGGTTGCTTGCCTATCAACATGAAGATCATTCAAAGTGCATCATCAGCTGACTCTCTTGTCACCTCTGTGGAGCTTCTGTTCCAGTGTATATTGGACAATTGGCGGACTAGCGAAGTTATGGAGAAGGACAATGGATTTGGAATCCTAGCCGTCTTGCTTCGAGAGAAACTTGGCATCTACAACAGCGGCTCAGGGGCCAATAGGATGTTCCCTGTCGCCAGAACCATGCAACAGAGGGAAGAGCTGGCATCTAGACTTCTCAAAGTTGTCCTCAAATTCGTCGGCTATGACACGAAAACCCCCGAGAACTCATTACTCATCAATCCAATGGCTTACAGGGTCCTGCTTGTGGACTTCGACACCTGGCGAACGATCAGTACCGAAACTCAGAAGCTCTACTATCAGCAGATCGCTGGATTTGTGTGGAAAAACAACAACCAGACTTTCAACATGAAACGATACAACAAGATGAGAGTCGTCCGAAGATTCCTCGATGCTCTCAAGGTCGATCCGATCAGTTCTGATGTCTTGCCTGAGATTTTGCATGCCTTGAGAGCTCTGAGTCTATGCAAAACCGCACATCTGAACCACCGTGACATTGCTACCTTCATTACGTACGCCCTACACGATGATAGAGCGCTACAGTCAGCCAATCCCCTGTTGAGAACACCTCGCAACAGATCTACATCCATCAAATCACCTTCTCCGAGACTGGTAACTCCAGAGACGGCCAGTCCTACGTCAACATCACAGAGTGCTGGCAGACTTAGCCAATCTAGTCTCGGTGTCAGCGTTGTTGAGACGTACTCCGAAGTCTTGTGTGGTTTCGAAACGAGCACGCACATCAAGAGATTTGATCAGCAAGTCCCAACAAGATGGATCCTTCACTTGCTAGCGGAACCTGACTCACGAGTTGTCGCTTCCGCGCTCTCCATCATCTCGAGAGCAATTGTAGACATACCCAGCTTTAAGTCCAAATTTACGGAGAAGAACAATGGATTCACGACCCTGCAAGCACGGCTACGTAGCCACTGGACATCTCCTAAGGTCTGGATGGGATGCTTTGCCATACTTTTCGGGCGACCGTTCGTTTCTCAACAGGAAGTTGACGAACTCACCATCTTCCACCTTATGGAAGCCTTCACACAGCAAGGAGAGATCGAAATACGACACCCTGAAATCTTCCCCGCGATATCAGGCATGCTAGAGGCAGGACTCCGAACTGTCGTCAAAGACTCGTTGCATCAGAAAGACAGCGAAGACTCACCTGAGCTCAACGCCATCCCGAAGACGGTCATCCAGTTTCTCACAGATGTGCATGCTCGGAGCAAATCATTCCGCGACTTCGCTGTGGATTCTCACTATGTTCAAGAACTACTGTTTGTGCTCTTCCCACTTATAACCAGTGCCGACCGGCTCAACGCATCTGCCGAGCTGGCATCAGAGAGTCCTTTGAATTTCCAGGGTCGTGAAGTTGTTTTGCGACCCCACTCTAACTCGCTAGGTGAGCGACCTGCTGTGCTCAGGAGTGGTTCGAGCAGGACACTGCCCACACAAAGTCGTCCCAATCAGCTTCAGATTCCTCGCAGAACATCATCATTTGTCTTTGTCAACCCTACAGCATCAGAAGTCAAGCACTCTACCGTTTCGACTCGCTTCAATGCGATCATGTCTCCCACAACGAGCACCCCAGTCAAGATTAATGTTGGAAACGCAGTTGTAGAGTCCCTGCTTGAACTCGTGGTCATGGTCTATCTCGAGCAGGTCTCACAGCGTAAAGACTTCGCTGGCTTTGGGCTATTTCTCAAAGTACCGCCAGGCTTCCAAGAACATCAAGCATACTTTGAGTCATATGTCCTGCTTCACACTATGCATCAGCTATGGAATCACTTACAGTTGAACCAAGAGCTGATGGTAGAACCAAGGACTTTGACCAACTTGGCTCGATACAGTTTGCACATGGCCGAAGCTGTTTTTGAAGGCTGGTTCATCGATGGAGCTCAGCCATTGCTCGACTTTACTGGTAAGGCATTGGAGTACCTCCAACAACCAGCCGTCTCTGCAACAAAAGGCGTACGATTATGCTCGCAAGCAGTATCTACCCTCCGCTCAGTATTCCTCCGTGTCACACTTTTGCGACTATCAGAGCTTGACGAGGCCGAAGACGACACAGACGCGCTTGATTTTCTGCGAAAGATGACCTACTGGCAGACGATTCTGTTTTCGCCGCAGAATCAGGAGCTGCCCTTCATCAGACTTATCTGTTACCTCTTGTATATCAAGATGACCTCGCCTTCCTCCTCTGTACGGCATGCTGCCGCCTCGTTGTGGAGGATGCTACTTGTACAGAAGCCCACGGAAGCCGCTACTATCCTCATACAGAACGCAGATCCAAATCAGCGGCATATTTCGACCGGACTGATCAAGCTTGCTGCACATGATGATGATGAGCTTCTTCAATGGATCGATCAAAATCGAAAACCTCTAGACGAATTCTTCCATGAAACAATGTCCAGATTCTGGGACGAGTTTGTCGGCTCCGAAAATCAGAAGACGGAAGATTCTGCGAAGAATCGACTCGCTAAGCGCAAGGAGAAGCTCAAGCAGTGGAGAACAGTCGAAACCGAGCTTGATAATGTCGCGCATCGCTTTGAAGTATCAACCAGACACTGGCGATCAAATATCCATTCCCAAGAGCGATTGAAGTATCAAGGCACCCTTCAAGACCAGCAAGAAAACCTGAATCATATACAGACAGTCATTGCTAGGCTGGAGGCTCTTCTGAAGCAGCCTTCGGGTCTGTTTCCAGAACAGGAACCTTTCAAGTGGCAACTCGATCAGACAGAGTCGCGCAATAGAATGCGTATACGAATCGTGCCAGACACAAGACACAGCCAAGAGGCGTATCAACCGAAGCGAAAGGCTTCTGAACGTATGTCGCACACAACGTTGCGTATTGATACGCAGTCTCATCCAAGCCTATCAGACAACATAGTATCAGCGGAGCCCACACCAACGAGGACACCTGCCAATCCTGATGCACCACAGCTCGAAAGCACGCCAGAAAGACCAAGAAATGATTCTCTTTCTGGTTCTGCACTTCTTGATGGCGAGTTCGAGATGGTAGATGACCCCAAAGATGGCGAAGAAGGCTTCGAGGACAAAAACCGGAAGGTATTGAAAAGTCTTCAGCGTGGTGATCGCGTACAAAACATCTGTAACGTTTCTCGTGTGGTCGGTCTGGAGGCCTTCGAAGGTCTATTGATCATCGGCAAGAAATGCTTGTACCTGCAAGATGAGATGTTTCAAAGGTCTGATGGCGAAATTGTTAGCGTTGCCCATGCTCCCGACGAGGAGCGCGATCCCTACGTTCAGCTCATTTCTGGTAAAGAAATAAAGACAAAGCGCAGGCAACGAGCTGAAAGGGAACCCGCAAGGCACTGGACTTGGCAAGAGCTGTTGCACATTTCGAAACGTCGCTTCCTGTTTCGAGATGTCGCACTGGAAGTGTTTTTCACCGATGGTCGCAGCTACCTACTGACATTCATGACGCCCAACGCGCGGAACGAAGTTTATTCAAATCTTGTGGGCAAGTCACCACTCGTGTATGGATCACTGTCATCTCTTCCTGCCGAGGACGCTTGGAGACTAGATTCACTGAGAAACCCGGAAGAGACACCTCAGAGCTTTGGCTCCAAGTTTGCGAACGTCTTCAACTCCACATCCTCCAACGCAGCCACTCGACGATGGAGCCGGGGCGAGATCTCTAATTTCCAATACCTCATGCTTGTCAACAACATGGCTGGCAGAACGTTCAACGATCTCACTCAGTATCCCGTATTTCCTTGGATCCTCGCAGATTATACAAGTGAAGAGCTCGACTTGACAGATCCGAGGAGTTTCCGTGACCTCTCTAAACCGATGGGCTGCCAGCATCCTGCACGCGAATCTGAATTCCGTGACCGCTATCGAGCCTTTGCTGAAATGGGCGATGAGCACTCCCCACCGTTCCATTACGGCACTCACTATTCTTCGGCCATGATCGTCTCGTCCTACCTCATCCGATTGCCGCCATTTGTACAATCTTATCTGCTGCTTCAAGGTGGCGTCTTTGACCATGCAGATAGATTATTTGACTCGATTGAGAAAGCCTGGTTGTCTGCGTCAAAAGAAAACATGACTGATGTTCGAGAACTGACACCAGAGTTTTTCTGCTTGCCCGAATTCTTGCAGAACATCAACGGTTACGACTTTGGCCAAAAGCAAGGTAGCGGTCAGACTATCAATCACGTTGTTCTTCCACCTTGGGCCAAGGGCGATCCTCATATCTTTATCGCAAAGCATAGAGAGGCTCTCGAGAGTCCATATGTAAGCCAACATCTACAGGAGTGGATTGATCTCATATTTGGGTACAAACAGCGCGGCGAAGCAGCACTTGAAGCCACAAATGTCTTTCATCACTTGTCGTACCAAGGTGCAAAGGACTTGGACACCATGCAGGACGAAGTAGAAAAGCTCGCGACCATCGGTATCATTCACAACTTTGGGCAGACGCCTCATCAAGTCTTTCAGCGAGCACATCCGAGGAGGGAGGATGAGAAGCACAGGGTCGAGCGACTAGACACCATTGCAGAGTCGCTCATCAAGCTACCATTCCCGTTGCACGAGAGCCACGAAAAGGTTGCGGCACTCACTTACTCGCCTAGTCAAGAGCGCTTGCTTTGCTCTCCTCCATGCAAGCTCAACGTACCGCCAGCCTGCAAAAGCTACCTTCAATGGGGGTTTGCAGACAACAGTCTTCGCTTTTTCACAGCCGACAATAGAAGAATGCTCGGCCTGTATGAGAACCTCCACATCGGCCAGATCAGCACTGCTCTCTTTGCAGATTCGAAAACGCTCATCACGGGTGGCGCAGATAGCACGATTGGCGTCTGGACTATCGGCTTCAGCTCAGACACTGTCGACATTCAGTCACGAACATATCTCTTCGGCCATCGTACTCCCATCAGCGTTCTTGCTGCTTCTCGTGCCTTCAGTACTTTGGTGTCGGCATCTACTGACGGTCAAGTCTTCCTCTGGGATCTGAACCGCTTCGACTGCGTACGAGTGCTGCAAGAAGCCAACGATGGCAATCGCACAATTCAGTGTGCCAAGGTCAACAACCTGACTGGCCATATCATGCTGTGTAGTGGAGCATACGTCCGCGTGTTGACACTGAACGGCCACCTGCTTGTTGAGCAAAAAGTCTGTGATGCCCAGGATGATGAGATCACGTGCTGTGCTTTCTACGAAGGTGCTGCAAACGAATGGGTCGAGCGTGTATTGCTCTTCACCGGCCACAAACGCGGAATAGTCAATGTAAGTCTGCTGTCTAACTGACAACATCAATGTGCAAAGACAAGAACTAATTCGTGAGCCACAGGTCTGGTCCCTCGTCACTCTCCGCGATGGCGCATGGCATCTCCAACTCATCAAGAGATTAATGCATGTCGAGCCCACACGTGGCGAGCCCATGATGCAGGTAGCTACCATCACGTCCATTTTGCCCATGTCTCAAGCTGTGTACACTGGCGACGAAGATGGTAAAGTCGTAAGTGCAGATTTCCCTGCCCTTCCCCAAACCCCTTTGCTTGGTTACTGACCTCAAATTTTCCAGTATGAGTGGAATTGTGTTCAAAGACATGGAGCTGGACCTTTTGCTGTTTGGCGATGAGTTGAAGTGTAAAATGGGGGCGCGAGCATTGAAATTCATGTAGACATCAGGAAAGTACATAAGGGGGGTTAAAGTCATCAGTTCCTTCTTCTGCGTTAGAAAAGTTCTTGGGAAAGAAACGGCGTTTGTGTTTTTTGGGTTCATCTGCAACTTTTTCTTTGATTGTTCATCGCTTCATTGTGAGTGGCCTCTGTTTTGTATCTGTTCCTTCCTTGCTATCTCACCAAGGATAAGAAGATCGGATCTTCCACTTCCCATTTCCACATCACGGGATCAACCATCTCCATTCTTCAGGATGGAAAAAGATAACACCATCTTCAATTCACACCCAATTCAGCACAGGATAACTCTCGCGAACCTGCCACCCGTGATCAAACGCACACCTCACACCCGTCCCCTGTCTCGCAGCGATAATTCCTCTCGCCACCGTCCTAGCCTCAGTCTCCCTTTCCAACCACCTCGCCATCAAGCCCACAAACATGTCCAGATATGCATTACAATCCGCACATTCTTCCCAACAATCTCCCAGATCAGCAGAAGGATGACAGCTTCCACAATGGTTGATTTGGAATTCTCGTTGTGCTGGGTGAGTTGAAATATAATCCCTCAAATCATCAATGATCTGTTGGTGTTTGACTCCAATACGGAAGTAAGTTTTGGCCATCTTTTGGCGGAAAGAAGAGGTTTTTAGGATTGTGGTGTTGGTGGGGAACCAGGAGGATGGGTCTTGGGATATGTTGAGGTAGGTTAGGTGGCGCCAGGAGCCATTCCAATTTGGGCCTGTGGGACGTTGTTGTTGGGGTGTCCAATCTTCGGAGTCGGAGAGAGGGAGGACGTAGGAACGGTGAATTAGGGCGGGCAGCCAGGAGTGACAGGCTTGGAGGTCGAGCCAACGGAGGCAGTAGGTGTTCTCGGCCAACATGCGGAGGACTAGGGCTGGTTCTTCAAAGTCGCGGTCGAGAGAGGCGTAGGGAGATGTACTGTTGGGTGTTCGGGTCGGCAGGGGCCAGTGTGCTAGACTGAGGTGGGTTATGGTGTGCAGATTCTTGGAGAGGGAGAGCAGATCTGTCCAGGAGATTGAGGAGGGAGGGTAGGCTAGTGATAATTTGGTCAAGTGTTGGATGTCTGTGTCTAGCGATAGTGGGATAGAGAAGCGTATTGAGTCGCTGTCGTCTGAAGAAGCATCTTGGTCCCACGAGTCTGCGATATCGTCCGCTTGATCCTGAAGCTTTTCAAGTTGGTCTCTGGAGTCTTTGGCTGATTTGTGTAGCCAGTTTCTCAGTTCTTTGAGAGTAAAGCCCCAGCCTGCTAGACCTGAGAGATCCAAAGAGGATGCTTCAGCAGGGTATGGGAAGAGAGCGTGTAGTCCAGCCATGTCGATGCCCTCCGACGGTCCTAGAGTGGTCAAATAGCTGAGTAATACAACACGAAGATGGGCCGGTATGACATCCAGAGAGTCGAAGCAGTCTTCCACAATATCCATCCAGTTCCGCGCAGCTGCTTTCAGTGACATGTCCAGTAAGCTTCCAGGAGTCACGGGATTCTCATTGGCCATGTTCAAGAACCGGGCAAGATCATGCGGGGTCGTCCTCATCGGAGCTCCATTCTTGCCAAAAGTCCTTGGTTGCCTTTTAGCAGGATAATAACGATTTTCCAGAGCTTGTCTATGACTTGTCAGTCTCGACACCCAACTTGGCGGAGGAGCAGGGCCAGGCGTTCTCAATCGAATTCTCGATCTATGAGAAGTACCGTTTGATCTTGGAGCCGGAGCTGCCGCAGCAGTCTGACCCAAGATACCCTGTCCAAGACTTGGAGGTAGTGACCTTTGATTCGAAAGTTCGGCGAGTTGTCGTTTTCTTTCACTCGAAGCTGGAGATGCTTGGGCGAGTCTCAAGTTTGAAAGACGTTCGTTGACGGAAAGGGTTGGTTTCGGTTGAGTGTCTCCACTACTGCGAGGACTTCCCCCGAGAGAAGGGTGAACATAGTTCGAGCCGGGTTTGGGTTGGTATATCTGCCTGTGCTTCTTTGGCATTACAGGAAAGAGAGTTTGTCGTGTGTGCGTGTGTCCAGCTTCCAGAAGCAGAACCAGATGCCAGAAAGAGCTCCTTTATATTTATTTCCAAGATGACTTTCTCACGTGTATCTGTGACCCTTCCAATGAATCCACCAGCGATTACTCACAAAAGTAGAGGAGGATTGGAGTGTTCTAATAGGCTGGACGGTGAGGATTGAGCAAGGACAAGGGGACGCCACCTGCACGTTTCTTCGTCGCAGCTTCCCCACGCTCACTCACGTACGTCACCAAGTGCCTCGGCCACGTACCTCCACGCCTCGAAACCTTGGGTACCTGGGACCCTTTATAAACAAAGGTGACTGTCGAATCCTCCCGCTCACTTGACCATCAGAAACATGGCCTCCTATCTCAAAGAAAAGATAACTGGTGCTCAATCCGATGTGGATGCTGGCAATGCAGACAAGTATTTCATCCAGGTAGCGGCAGCAACTTCTTACGACGATACAAAGGGAAAGCAGATCACTATCAATGGACCGCCCTGTGAGATCAGCAAGAATGCTAAAGTCGCCGTACGGATAAACGACTATCAAGGTCTACCACTCGGATCACCAGCCACGAGCTCTTACTTCAACGACCCTGCACATTCACAGGATACATACAGTATAGCTGTCTCATGGATTCCTGAGGCAGATATCGATGCAGATGACTTGGTCTGGGGCATCGAACTGATCAACCCGATCCGTGATCGCATTCCCGGACGCTTCATCACCACTGCCTTCAACATTGTAAAAGGCTTCGTGGATTCGAGTCTACGCTGCGATCCCAATGCCGACCAACCCTGGCTTAACGGACCTGTGCTATGTTCTTCAGCCATAACCTTCAGCATCGGCTCCAAAGGCTCCTGTGAGCTGCCCGCTATACTCTCAGAAGGCAGTCTGAAAGACGACTCTGCCATCCGTCAGAAACACAACATCCCCACCACCGACTCACAACGCCGCAAACACTTCCTCGACGAGCATAACCGCAAAGATTTCGTATTCGAAAAAGGACGCTGCTACGCCTTTGACTTCCACAACGGCTACATCGACTGGAAAAACTACGCCCTCAAACTCCCTGGTTTTTCCTTTGGCGTACTGAAATACATCAACGACCGCACCCACACGACCAGGTTCGTTCTCAAGAGCCGCAAGACTGGAAAAGTATGCGTAGCAACCACATTCCGCTTACTATATGGCGAGGAACTGGAAAAGGCAAAGAAGACAAGTGGAGCTGCGGCAACACAAACAGGTGAGAATGGGCAGGAGGAACGCTCTTTGCAGATCGATGGAGCTGAGGATCAGCACAAGGAGCCACGAAACGGAAACAACCCAGAAAACTCGACCGTCGATCAACAAACACCGGAGCAACGAACACTGCAAGGTCCTAAGGAGGTGAAAGAGGTTCACGGCCACTTGGAAGAGCTACCGATTCGAGGATCTACGGAGGTGAATGGCCATCCTTCTGAAGGTTCGATCAAGTCCAAACATCTGTCAGGCAGTGGTTCTGATCTGGCACCGGATGAAAACGGAGACCATGCTGCAGAGGAAGCTGCGGAGAAGGTCATTGAGGCATCGGAAGAGAAGAGGCAGAGTGAGGAGCATAGAGGATCGATTGAGGAAAGCCTTGTCGCGAATTCGAGCAAGGACGAAAGAGCTTAACATGGCATTCACGAGTATTCTGGAGCTCGTGGCTTAACGAGTAATGTGCAATGACGGTGGTATACATATCTAGCTTACGAACATCACGACCTAGCGTCTTGTTGAAACAAGTTGAACGAGAAGTCCTTTAGTCATCAAGAATGTGGTGATTTGTTACATTCATAGAATAGTGATACATTACAGACAGAGCCCAGATGTTGATTGTGTTTCTTGCTTGTAAATGTCCCGTCGTGCGGGTAGCTGTTGCAAGAGTCATGGGAGCTCGGTTTTTCAGAGCATACCCCTTCTCCAAGCGCGAGTAGCCAGCTCCTTGATGGTCTTGACCTCGACGGGACCCTTGAGCTTCTCATCAGCCAGGGCCTCAACAACAGCCTCAGCGACCAAGTCAGCCTTCAGCGGCTCAACACCACCAGCGCCCATCAACCAGGTCAAGCGACCACCAACCAACGAATTGGCCATGGCACCCATGAAGGTCAAGCCAGCCATTGGAATGGTAAAAGTCCTCGAAGCGTCAAACAAGAAGCCAGGGCGGATAAAGACACTCCTCATAGCCGGGAAGTTTGTGGTAATCGACTCTTCTGCTTCGCGCTTCGTCTTGATATATCTCGCCGGCAAGATGGGTGCACCTCCTGCAGCAGAAATGTAGGCCATAGACGAGACACCAGCAGCTGAGGCCTCCTTCGCCAACAGAATGGCCGAGTCTCTGTTCATGACCTCATATGTGATTTGACCACCCTCGTGCTGTGGCTCCACATCGCTACTCTCTTTTCTCTCCAGCGGGTTTTGAGTTCCTTGTTTCGTGCTGCTGAAAGCTTTCTGTAGACCACCAATGATTGGCTCCTTTCCTGTCAAGACGCCTTTGTAATCTGCTTCTAGCAAAATGCCCATGCTGTGGACGACGCTGTCGGCGTTTTCGAGATGTTGTTTGTAGGTGGAAGGTTGGAGGATGTTGGCGCTGACCCAGTTGACATCTGAGGACCATGTGGGTGCGACGGGAGAGGACGTCACAGCAGACCAGGTTGGCTCGCCGGAGCGAGAGATGGACGTGACTTGCCAGCCTCGTGCTGTTGCGGCTTTGCAGATGCGGCTTCCTGGGATTGGATTAGTTTATCGAGTCTCATGAGCGATAGAGTTGCATACCGAGGAAGCCATTGCCTCCGCAGACAACGATTTTCTTGGTGGCAGCTTTTGTCGACATGATTGATCGTGTATGGGTTATGAGGAGAAGCTCAGAGGTGCAAGGTGAAGCTGTCAATTGCAATTCAACTTCACATGCAAAAGGCTAGTCACACCACGATGCATGACGTGAATCGACGCTTAGCGCCATCGTACAAAGTAGGTAGCTTGACTCGATATCGATCGCCAAGGGTCTACTTATAGAGCGTCATCACACTTGTACTTTGCGGCCATGAAGAGGTGACCGACGGAACGACTAACGCTAGTTACCCCGCACACCAATGAAAAATCTTAGCGACCTTCATTTTTTTTTTCTTGACCGGTCACAAAAGGCTTATAGCAATAGTATTGCAATAGTATTGTGATAGTATTGCGATAATATTGCGATACTATTACGATAATATTGTAGTACTATTACTATAAGACCTAAGTCTTTCTTAGATAAAACCTCTATAAGAATATGTCTATTACTCATTTAAGAAGGTAGTAAAATAATACTAGGGTATCTAGATACCCTTATTAGAAACTAGTTCTAAGTAAAATTCAATAAGATCTAGATAGAAACATAGCGGTTGGTCATTTTCAAAATGCCAAGGGTCAGGATTTTGTAGCGTTGGTAGCCAAGCGACCTAGCGTTGGTCGCGGCAACGAGGCCACCGGCCATGAACTGTGCGCATCCTTAGCTCCGCCTGCCTTAGCTCCGTACAATTCGCGAAAGCCAGAACATGCACTTCCATCTCAATCCATCTCAGCATAAACAACATACACCATGCCTGCCGCCGCAAGTAACAAGCGCGTCAAAAACACCCGCATCTCGCGCCCCTTCAGTACAACTTCCCACCCGTCACTGCACATCGCAACACTAACCACCATAACCAACAGTAATCGGTTCGCAAGCATGGAACCTCGACCTTGCCGCACAATCCGAGCCCGTACCCGAAGGCCACACGAAAGGCTGGCGCGTCTACGTCAAAGCCATCGACGGCGGCCCCGAAATCACCACCTGGCTCAAAAAAGTCCAATTCAAACTCCACATGACCTACGCCGACCCCTCACGCACCGTCGAAGCCCCTCCCTTCCAGATCCAAGAGACCGGATACGGTGAATTCGACATTGAGCTGCGATTGTACTTTGACAGCAGCAGTGGAGAAAAGGCCCAATACAGAAGTCACAGGCTGCGATTGGAGCCGTTTGGGAGTGAAGACCAGCAGAAGCAGCAGAAAGATGCCAATATGGTCACCTCCGAGACGTGCGAGATTGTCGAGTTCAACGAGCCTTCTCATGACTTTTTCGCAAAAATGACGGCGGAAGATCAATTCGCTCATCTTCAGAAAAAAGGTGGTGGTGCAAAGGGAGGCAGAGGCGCAAAAGGAAGAGGCGCAAGGATCGAATATGAAGGCGGCAGAGAGCCCACTGCAAACCTGCCGGAAAGAGGAAGCGACGCAACACCATGGAGCAGGGAGCTGGAGAAGAAGATGTTGGACATGTTGGCCACAGCACAAAAGGACATGGATGCCGAGATTGAGAGGGAAAAGTCAAGGGCCGAGGACAGGCAGAAGAGGTTGAAGGAGATTGCTTGATCCTTTTTGCTATACCTTCTTGCTCGACTTTGCTTTTGCTTACTCTCTCCTTTCCTCACGACTTACATGATACCCCTGATTGCATCCAAGCAGTTTAAAAACTACTCTTTCTTCTCATTCATTTCGAGGAAACGTCCAGTCCCACTCTCACCGTGTGCTGGACTTCAAGTCGCCAGAAATGGTCGAAAATTACTTTCTGCTGTACAAACAAAGTGAGTGACGAATAACATGTAATTCGGTTACCGAAGCTTCTCTTCGAGCATCAGGTGTACCTTCGCATTCGCCAAGTGCACATCTCTACCAATATCCTATTTACCGTGGCCAGAAAAGCGGTGGACAGTGACAGAACAAACGAGACGATTAAGCAGAACAGGCCTGCTATGCTTGCAATCTTCAGCAATAAATACATTCGACAGTATAACACATGCCATCCTTCACCTCAGAAAGCACAGCAAAGTAGAAGAAAAAAAATGAATGAAAAACGCCACGCTCCCATCTTCCCACCACTCCCTCCCCTTCAACCACCTCCTTATTTTCCACTGACTTGACCCTCGACAAAGTCCAAAGCCTGCTCCTTGCTAACCACGTCAATACTACTGGTCTTGTTAATATAACTAACACCGTAGCATTTCTCCGCCACGAGCAACATTTCAGGTCTGAATGTTGTGCAAATGAATTGTCCACTCTCTGATGACTCGGACAGCATTTGCGCGACAGCGGTACGGTATTGGGCATCGAGGTTTGCGTCGATTTCGTCAAAGAGATAAAAGGGTGCTGGGTCTGAGGCTTGGATTGCAAACACTAGGGCGAGGGCGCAAAGACCTGTGATGGTTGCGTTAGTATATGAAAAGAGGGCAAGGTAAGGTAAAGGGGAGCAAGGCTTACTTTTTTGTCCACCGGAGAGTTGTTGGATACGTTGTTGTTCGTCGTGTTTGCTGTTGAAGCTGACACTGATACCGACACCTGTGTAGTTTTCGACACCATCTTTTCTGCCTTCGCCATCTTCACCGCTGTCTTCCTCTTCGTTCTCGCCACGGGCGATGCGGTCGGTGCGGCGTTGGATGACCAAGCGTCCCTTTCCGGCTGGAACCAGTTTCTCAAAGATGCGTGCAAACTCCTTACTGACTTGGCGGAAGGTGCGCTCGATGGCTTCGTCCTTGCGTTGGTCAAGCACATCGATGAGTTCTTGAATACTCGAGAGTGAGTTTTCGAGCTCTTTGCGACGTGTTTCCAAACTCTCACGTTGGCGGGTGAAGGAGTTGTACTGTTCGAAAGCCTTTTTGTTGACATGACCGTAACCCTTGAGAAGGTTCTTGACTTTGTTCAACTTCTTGGCTGCTTTGTCCCAATTCATGCTGGTGTAGGGCTCTTGGAAGGCGGACTCGGGGAGGACGCCGAGGTTGCGGATGCTAATGCCAACAGCCTCTTCCTTCTCCTTGAGAGTGGCGCGCTTGGCAGTGTTCTTCTCCATCGATCTCTTCTTCTTGGAGATGAAGCGGGCAAGCTCCTCTTGCTGGCGTTGCTTCTCTTCGCGGGATGTGTTTGCCTCTGTGAGTTGAGATTGTGCTTGTTCGAGTGACGCTTCTGCTTCTTCGAGTTTGCTCATAACATTCGATAAAGCTTCATCTGCACGTTCAAGTTCTCTCTGTCTCTCGCCGAGACGTGCGTTGCCACCTGCAACACCACCAGCGCCAAGTTCAGCATCTTGGGCTTGGAGCTGGTCAAGACGGAGACGAAGGTTCTCACGGAGCTCGACCTCCAGACTTGCCTTGCGACCTTCAAGCTCGGAACGAGTTGAGCTCAAATCTGAGAATTGCTTACGGAGGTTCTGCACGGATGTACTGAGTGTCTCCAACTGGCGCTCTTCGTCTGCTGAAAGTGCCTTTCTGAACTCTGTGGTCAACTCGGTTCCATAAGCAGTACCTTGCTCTCCGAGTTGTCTCGCTGCAAGCTCAACATTGTCGCGAGAGCGTTGCTTCTTCTCAAGCTCTTCGTGTTTGGCTTGCAGTGAATTGGTCTTGTTGCGGAGCTCTTGGCGTAGAGGGCCGTAGCTGTTTTCTGTTTGCAGACGCTTCTGGTCAATCTTCTGAAGATTGCTGACAGCTCTTGTAACTTGTTGATCGAGTGCCTCGAGCTCACGACGGATCTCGTCACCACGGTTGCGATGCTTCTCGTACTCCGTGCGCCAGTTTTGAACCTGTCGCACACCATCCAGACGTGATGATCTAGGATCGTGGAAACCACCAGTCAGAGCACCCTTCTTGTCTGCACGGTCACCTTCTGGTGTGATGGCTGAAACGCCATGACTGCGAGCGTACTGTGAAGCGGTTGCAAGGTTGGGACAGACGATGGTCTTGCCAAAGACCTGCTCGAAAGCCTTTTCGTACTTCTTCTCGTATGTGATTTTTGTCAGAAGGTGTACAGCATCAGCCGCGTTGGGAATGTTGACTGGTCTTGGTTGCAGACGATTGAGCGGCATGAATGTGACTCTTCCTGATCTCTCTCGTTGCAAGATCTCTAGCACTTTCGAAGCTGTGTCGTCGGTGTCGACTACGTAGTGGAAAAGACTGTTTCCGGCAGTCACTTCGATGGCAGTCTTGTAGCGGTCTGACGTAGGCTCGAACAGCTCAGCAAGGGTACCGTATACACCAGGGATGTTGTGTTCGCGAGCGATACGACGGACGGCCTTCAGTCCTCGACTTGTGTTCTGGTCTGTCATGTGTGAGAGGAAACGCTCCGCTTTCTCAAGCTCTTGCTGAGCATTGGTGATGACTGAGTCAAGCTTGGCCTCTTCGCGCCACAACTCCTTGCGCTGGTCCATGAGACGATCTCGCTCATCTTTAGCTTTCTGTACGTCGGCTGCCATGCTCTGTGTCTCGTCACCACGATTGTCAATGCGGCTCCGCAACTCTGCGATCTCCGATTCCAGTGCCTTGATCTCATCCTCGATCTCTGCGACATCGTCTGATGCTTGCATAGCGATGGCCTTCCTCGTGGCCAAGGCAACGTTGATTTCGGCGATTTCCTTGCGCAGCCAAGTATCTCTGTCGCGCTTGCTCTGGAATTGAGTCTGACGTCCTTGCTTAGCATACAGTCTTTGGCGTTGACCCTCTGCCTCGGCGAGCTGGTTCTTGATGGCGGCCTCCTGTTCTTTCTGAGCGTTATATTGAGGAAGGATCTGGGCCAACTCTGCTTCACGCTGCTCGATTTGAGCACGAACTTGTTGCAAATCATTGGCGTGACGAGTTCTCGCGGCCTGGGCGGAAGATTGCCCATCTGTAAGAGCCTTGACGTCCAGTTCGACCTTTGCCTTTTCACGAGAAGCCTCCTTGCGCTCGTCTTCGAGTTGCTGTCTGTCCAGATTCAAAAAGTCAATCTGCTGCTTCAGTCGGCTGATCTGGCTATCCATCTCTTTCAAGTCCTCTTCGCCCTGAAGGAAGTCCTGGCTGTGCTCATCTGATCCAACAACGTCGTTCTGGCGTTCTTCGTCGATTCTGGCCAACCAGTCTGCGACCTCCTCTTGTTCGTTGCGGTAGATGGCGTACTCGAGACAACGTCGTTCGCGGTCTTTTTCTTGGTATGCCCTGAGTTCTTCCTTCTCCTCTTCCAACTCGCCTAGACGTTCGCGGATGTAGGCAAGGAGGTCGTCAATCTTGGCGCGCTTGTTGTCTGTGTCGGTGACAATCTTCAAAGATTCGGTTCTGCGCGATTCGTAGACCTGAGTACCAGCGACTTCCTTGAGCAGGTTCAGACGTTCGCCGTCCTTCATGTTTGTGAGAGTGGTGACACGTCCTTGAGGAACGATATAGTATGGATTGGAGCGCGAGAAACCAGCAGATTCGAGGAGGTTCATGACATCGGCCTTGGTGGCATTCTTGCGATCGAGCGAGTATTCATCCTTCTTCTGACCGATCGTCCTGCGTAGGACCAATTCTTCTCTTCCAGTGGGGAAACGGCCATCGGTATTGTCGAAGATGACCTCTACGTAGGCCGACATGACTGCCGAACCCGAACCTTCCTATACAGGTGTCAGAGGACAAGTCGCGCAATAGAGGGCGCTGAACACTGGACACTGAAACATACGTGAAGAAGAGCTTGTCGCTCTTCGCGACCCATCTGTGTGTATGCATCGCTCAGGACGAATCTGATGGCGGCGAAGAAGTTGCTCTTTCCGGAGCCATTGCGACCAACTATGACATTGTGCTTGGGCGAGAAAGGCTCAATGACGGTCTGGTCCTTGTAGCTGTTGGCGCATCGTGTCAGAAGAGGAATCCACGACATGCGAACCATGGTCAGACATACCTTTTGAAGCCCTGGATAATGATCTGTTTGATATGCATGGTCGCAGCTCATACAAGGCGCGGCATCTATGTACGAGCGGCGGTGATGAATTGCAAGAAAGTGGGTTGCTGACACGCTCCCGACAGTCGACGCGTCGAGACGTGTCGCTTTCTGCCAAGCTTTTGCCGTTGATCATCCGCCATCTGATTGTCTCTACCGAAATCACGACAATAATGAACCACTCACCTTTGACCCACGGCAAATATAAATTAGACACCAACCTATGGATACGTTTACATCTGCATCAACGGAAGATCAAGGTGTAACATGTCATAGCTCAAGTTCATTCAACTTTTACAGCATTCAACTAGCAAAACGTAGCCTTTCCGGCTGGGTAATAGTAATTCTCGAATCCTTTCAAATCGCTTCAATCTTCTTCCTAGCTTCAGTGAGCCATTGGTGCCCAAGCCTCAATCTAAGACGACTTGGCCGCACCGCTTCTCTGCTGAACCTCGGACTTAGCAGCCTTTGCCGAAGAGCTGACAGCCTCAGCAGCCTGGTCCTTGGTGTCGATAGCAGCCTTCTTGGCCTGCTCGGCCTTGGCCTTGACTTGGTCCTTGCTGGGAGCAGCAGCAGCACCACCACCGATGGCACCAATGAGGAGGGCAAAGATGGTGACAACGAGAACAGCGAGACCGCCAGCGACCTCGGGAACGAATTGTACTGCCTGGATGGGGTCACGCTTGGCGATGGTGATGAAAAGGTCAAGCTTCTCCTTGACATAGAGGACGGGGTCGTCGGCGAACTTGAGGTCCATGGGGGACTTGGGCGTGTCCTTGGTCTCATCCTTCTTGGGCTTGGTAGCCTCTTCCTCCTGCTTCTCAACGGCGCTCTTGACCTCGAACGTCTCCTTGGCGAGGGCAGCGGCATCCTTCTCGGAGTGACCGATGTAGATGTTGTCGAAGAGGATGTCGTTCTGCATGGTCCAAAGCTCAAAGCCGATCTGTAAAATCATTAGTTCCATGTTCATGAAGGCAAATTTTGGTCGAACTCACAGCGCCCATGGGCTCGAACTGGGAGGGAGTCTTGTCCTCAAAGTAGTCAGGGTTGGCGATCTTCTTGGGGGCCCAGATGCCCTTGTAGTCGGGGTTGTCGATCAGAGGAGCAGACCACTTGCCCTTGTACTCAGGGTTTCTCTTCATGGGAGCCTTCCAGGGACCACAGCCAGAGGCCTCGTCACACTTGGGGTTCTGGACAAGCGGGGGCATCCAGTCACCGTCTTCCTCGTCATCCCAGTCCTCGGGCTTCTCGGCCTCAGGGTCAGGGATCTGGAGGGGCTCGTTCTCGAGCCAGTCAGCGGGCTTCTCGGCCTCGGTGTCCTCAATCTCGAAAGCAGCCTCCTCATCCCAATCGGCAGGCTTCTTGGCCTTGGGGTCGGAGATCTGGGCCTCCTCAACCCAGTCGGCGGGCTTCTTGTCTTCAGGGTCGTCAATCTCGGTGGCAGGGTTGACCGAGGGAGTGAAGTCCTCGAGGAGGGTACCGTTCTTGAGGGAAGTGCCGTCAACCTTGAGCTCGAAGCTCTGGTCGGGGCGGACGATCAGGGTGTAGAGGGAGGTCTGCTTGCTGATACGAGCCATGGGAGGGTTCTTGAGGTGCTTCTCCTCGTACTCGCCAGTCTTGGGGTTCTTGTGGCGGAAGATGAAGTGAACCTTGTTGGTGGAACCGCACTTGTCGGGACCGAACATGATGATGTAGGGGGAGGCGTTGGAGAACTCCTCGGCGTGAAGGGCGCTGTTGTCCTGGAGGAGCTTCATGTAGGCACCACCACACTCGAGACCAGCTATGAAGCGTGTCAGTTTCGTTCTCTCAGTCATCATGGTGGTGGTTCAAGCTTACCTTGGAACTTGGCCTCGTACTGGACAACCAGAGTCTTGTCCTTGTTGTCAATGGCCTTGGGGAACTTGGCGGAGATGGCGTGGTGAGCGGCTTTATCCTTGAGCACCAGGCCCTTGTCGCCGTCGATACCACGGAGGACGGAAGGCTCCTCGACCTTCCAGGTACCAACGTAGGCCCATTCCTCCTCGGTGCCCTCCTTCTTGGCCTCAGACTTCTGCCATCTTGACTCCCAGTCGTCGGTGAACTGCTCGAGGAAAGGAGCCTTCAGAGAAGTAGGGGTGAAGGTAGGCTTGCTGATAGCCGACGAAGTCACAGACTCGACGACTGAAGCAACAGAGGACGAAGCATCGACGGCGGAGTCCTCAAGGTCCTCAAGCACGTCTGCGCGGGAAACAGCGGCGCAAAGGCCAACGGCGAGGATGTTTTGGAACTTCATCTCGAATCAATCAACAAGTCAAGTCAAGCAAAGAAAGACAACGAGACCAATCGTCGAGAGAAAGACTGGCCTTAAAGTACAGTATCGCCGGCACAGGACACGTTTAGACTCAGTCGACACTAACCCGATTAGGAAAGAACCTTCACATGCCCCCGCTTACGACCGAACTCCATCGAAGACTTTCAATCTATTTCTACCGCAAACACCGTTTGCTGCTGCTTACACCGGCTCGTGAGATCCAACACGTGTCTTGTTTCATTTCAACTATTTTGCGAGGACAAGACCTTTAAAATCGATCACACATTCCGGGTACCTTATCACTGGCTTGGAAAGAAGGAAGCGCGGCTTGCACTCTCTCCCGGCGGGCTTGCTCACTTCCGGCGAGGCTGGGGATCAGCGTCCATCAAAGTAATTTTAGTCATCAATATTTGTCTCAGCAACCACTGCTCCGCCCGGCTTATATACCAGATCCAACACCCAGCAGATCGTTGAACATTTGTCGTATCTTTGCAATCAACCAACGTATGGCTTCTGGCCGGCTGCTTTCTGAATTGTCAAACCTCACCTCCGACTTCTGAACCAAACGTTCAAAACATGTTCTCCTTCCATTCGGCACGCTCCTCGTTTGTGATGCATGGTCTGTACATGCGAAACTGCATTGGCTTGCAATCGGATCTGGGTATCTGCAAGGTTAATTTTGGCCCGCGTGGTAGCTTCGTAGCATTGGACTTGACCTTGGCCTTAATGTCGACCTCGTATCCTGGCTTCTCCTCAAAGGACTTCTCCACTCGAGGTTCTGGCTCGTTCTCAGGCCCAGTCTTTGACCTCTGGCATATCCATTGGACTAGGCAAGGCCTTTTTGTTGCTTATACCATCTTTCAGGTTGACCGTAGGCCACCAGATGCTCGCAACATGATTAGCCCACATTTCGGAGCGCTGGGAGCTCCAAAACAAATAACTGGCGTTAGGAATTGTGTCTGTTGGACTAGGAGGTAGTGCCGGCAGAGGCTTTGTATCATCCTCACCTTGCTCATCTTGAGCGCGCGAGTAATAGGAGGAATCCGAGTCTCTGTGCAGACTTCCATGTAGGCGACGCGCCGTGTCAAAGGCATTTTCCCGAGGTGTGTAATCTTCGGGTGTCTCGGGTGGTTGTTCTTCGCCATCAGATAAGTGTGCGGCCTCAGTTTGCTCGTGCGGTATCACCGATCCGGCTTTGCTATGTTGTCTGCTTTTGAAAAAATCCCACATGGTGAAGTCGTTGTGTTTCTGAAATGTTGATCGTGCTGATATCAGTAGTCGCAGGCTACTCTTATATAACTTTATTGCTCTCATATGCAACTTTCACTTCCATGGATACGCATGGAATAGTGAGACAGAACATCGCTTTTGGCAGGACAGACCAACAAGAAGTTGTTCACACTTCTAAGACATTTGTTGGAGTCAGGATCATTCACGATGACACTGACTTCGTCACATGCCCCCTAGTCTTTGTGAACAATAGATCAAAACACATTTGTGATCGAGGCATGTATCGAAGATGTAGGCGTCCTCTATCGTAGCCGTGTCATAGCTTGCCAAACCGCTGATCATGTTCGCTGGCGGTATCTACTGCGAGCACTACTATGCTGCCTCTTCAAAAGTCCAATAGCAGTCATCTGTATATCCTTGCGCAAATCGTTCGACATCAACGAGGGAATTCCACGCGGCCATGGATCCCATGAACAGATCTTCGCTTCTGGAGACTGCAAGATCCTGCTTGGTATCCGTTCTGCCCACTGCGCAATCGCATTCTATGCGCAAAACCTGGCGTAGGACTTCTAGCAATACTTTCCGCCATGGGGGATCATGACCGCCGCCAAGACGTGCTGCAACATACTCGAAATAGGCAGGGGCAATGTTGGCCAACTCCCAGTCGAGGAGACCCGTCACCTGAAGTGTAGAAGGGTCGACTAGTATATTCCGGTCCGAGAGGTCCCCATGCGTGAGAACTGGTAAGTTTCCAAGGGTTGTCTCTGATTGAAACGTCTCCTGCTGGACGTGCTCCAGTTCTTGTACGCGAGTTTCATCTATGCCAGTTTCCTCCACGGAATTTTGGAGCGCACGTACACGAGACGCATTCCATTCTTGAAAAGTGTGACAGAAAGAGTGGGTATCATCTGGGCCAAACTCGGTCGGGGTGATGTACGGTTGTCCGTTCGGACGACCATAATAGTCCAAATCTGCGTGTGGTGCTCGCATTCGTACAAGCAGATCAACAAGGCTTTTGAGAACTGTAGCCTGGTCCATTGGGCTTAGTGTCGACCAGAGCTCGACGAGAGGAGTGCCCGGCTGTCGATCGAGAAGTAGACCATGCTCATGAGGTGAATCGGTAATTTGAACCAGCCCGGACACATTGGGCACAACATTGCCGAGGATCTTGTGAGCAAGAGCGGTCATGACTGCCTCGCCTGCCTCCGTACCGATTCAGAGAATAGTAGTGGGTGTGTAGATATAGAAATGTCGGCCAATGTCGGGTATGGTGGTGCCTTCTAGCCGAGGTTTGTCTGGTAGAGTCGATCAGACGATAATCTGGCAGAACTCAGCGGCCTGTCTGTCGAGCTCTCTCACCATCTCTGTACCAGCTTGAGAGCTCGATGTGAGCGTGGTAGACTTGGTTGTGTTTTTCTTCCCCTAGCAAGCATCGGGTATATCGTGGTAGCTTCGATTTTTAGTGCTTACTTGGGAAAGCTCGTCAAGTCGTCATCTGTCAATATCTGTCCTGGCTTCGGTCGATCAATGTGTACCAAGAAGATCGGGAAAGACTGGTTTCCAGTCTTTCGAGAATGACCCGACCGACTCTCTAGGCTCTCGGATACCGCAGACCGCAAAGCCTGTTCGATTGGTAGAACACTATCACTTCCGGCGTTGAGAGTCTCGTGTCCGCTCAAGATCTTTGTCGCCCGCGTGCTGATTTCCTTCAAAAATTCGTCCACGTCGTGCTTCGTGTCGTATAGTGAGACCGTACCTATTTGTTCGCGAGATCGTTCTGTAGTTCCTCGGTGAGTAAAGGCTGGTGATGTGTACTTGACACACTCCACGTCGCCTGTTTCCGGCACGATGTGTAGCAAACTGGTCGAATGTGGACGCCGTAGAACGAGAACTACCGATGGATTGATTCTGCGGCGTGTGCCAGTGAGTATGTCTGCTAAGCGGGCGAGCATTTCCAAGTAGTCAGAAGTGCAAAGACTGAAGAAATACAAGGCCAGTCGTGGCCTGGTGACATACTTATACCCTGATAAGTGGTATGAAACGAGAGAAGTTGGAAGACCGCAGCTGACTGGACGAGAATGAGTAAGGAAACACTCACAATCACGTCACAAGGTCTTGGACTCTGATTCGTTGACTAACCGCCCAGGTCCAATACGGTCCGGCGCCTAACTCGTCGATCGGCCTGATAACATAAATCCTTGACAATGGAACATAATGTTCCCGTCAAAAGGGATTCCTTGATACATTGGATCGAGGCATGTAGCCGAAAGCAATGGCCACGCTCATATTGAGGATCTGAATCATTCAAAGGATTGTATCGCAGAGCGGACAGGATTCCCATTCTTCAGTTGACTGTGGCCGTACGTGCCGAAGAACCGAACTTTACGGTTCGTACACTGGTATCCTGGGACGGGAGTCAAGAGCGCTTAACATTGCAGACTCAAAGACAGTAGAGGTTGCAAAAGAGAAGCTATTACCTCGAACACCCATGCCTTTCGAGGAGGAGTATTGGAGGATAACGAAAGGGTAGTAGAGAAAGAGCAAAATGATGCAAAACTCTTGCTCGGAGGCTGCCATGCATGTGAGAATAATCCGTACTGGACCATCTATTCTTCGTCACATCGTATGCGAGGAACGACTGTCTGAGGCGAGAGCTCTCGCAAACTCTGTGGCCAGAAACAGCTAGCTCGTCTGCAAAAATGATATTAGCGGCAGGCGCGATGCGTGTGTGATAGTTGCACTGAGGCAGTCAGACAGCTGTGGCCAGGGTGATATGCTTAACGACCACTTTTGACTATCTGGGTAAACTCCGGCGTCAGTCTTCGTTCGAGTCCAGCTATGGGGAGGTATTGACCTATCCAATCCAAGGGATTGTCTAGTAAGACACCCAATAACTCGAACTCTCACGGGCCATGTCCCTGCGCATGCCTAACATTTTCTGATTGATTGCGATCCTCGGATATCGCCCACGTCGGTTTCTCGAAGAATCGGATGCTTGCCGTAAATTTCATCGTACTCCGCGACTAGCTCTTTGAGGTGTTGGATGAAGGCGGAAAAGTCGGTGTCGGAATCTGGTCCGTAAGCGCTGCGGTAGATCACGAAGCCCCAGATGCCATGTTCACACGATGCCATGAGTTTTTCAAGCTTGGCCGGTCCAGTTTCCATCTTGGTATTTGGGGTCATGAGGTGGAATGAAAAGCAGGGTGATGCGTTGTTCGAGAACACGTTCTTGGCGCCCGGCAATGACGGCGCACTCTTGCGATGATAGATTGTTCTATCAGCAAGAGGTCGCGACTCGCGAACCAGAGATGCCTGAAAAATCACTAGCCTCTAAGCGTCGGGTATAATCGTCCAGCATTGCCTAGGAGTTATAAGCCTCAGTGGAAGTAAAAGCCTCATGACCTTCCCTGTTTGCCGTTCGGGCGTTGTCACGGGGCACCGATGATGCATATATGTATTCCACTGGACCCCTTGCCATCGAAACTTGGGAGCACACAGTCCCTAAGCTCAATAACTCAATCCTAGGAGACATCTTATCAAATTTGCCATGGAAAAAAGTGCATCCGTCACCAACACTCCGACAGTGAGGCCCGATCGTGGCGATCCTGCCTATACCGACCTTCCAGCCTACTCTCAAGCTGCCTCGGACACGCCAGTCGATTCTAAAGCTTCCTCGAGCACACCGGCATACACTCAAAGTACTTCGGATACGCCAGTCGATTCTCAAGCTTCCTCGAGCACACCGGCATACACTCAAAGTACTTCGGACACGCCATCATATTCCGAAGCTGCCTCGAACACCTCTGCCTCTATCTATAATTTCGTCCGGCCATCACTGCTAAGTTCTCGACTTTCAGTCCGTTGCAACGACATAGACAGATATTGTTTTGTATCCGATCACGCCTCAGACTCAAAAGTCTGGATCCATGCCGGAGCTTCCAAGTTAAACAAGGCTTTGGGCTGCATTTCGTTCCCATTAGCTTTTAACACGTTCCGGATACACTGTGCCATTGTAAATGAAGCAGGCAGTGGCAACGAAACTATCACAGGGCTAGATGACAAGAACTTTCTTTCTGCTCCATTGATTGATGTTGTTGCTGGAATTGGATACCCACATCCCAAAACGTTCACTCTCAAAGTGCCGAAAGGATTGGACTTCCATGCGAAGGAATTGGTCTGGAATTATCAGGGAGGTGACATCACAGGTCCGACTCCTGCAAGATATGACCTCCGCGATCACAACTCGGGTAGTACGTTACTAGCAAGCTTGATCACTACGAAGGAGGGAAAGAAACGGACGGCTGTACAATGGATAATCAGCCCTGAAAGCGAGTTGGAACAGGCGGTCCTGATTATGTCTTGCATTGGAATTGTAACGAGGTTGTCGAGGAAAGGAAAGTTCTACAACGACAAGGGCATGTATTCGAAGTGGAGATATCTTTGGTGGATGTCGACACTATCAGCGGTGGCAGTCGCTTAGCTTACCGGTGAAGACCTGATTCCATATTCGACGCTCAAGGAACAGCTCACGAACTCTATCGTTCCTGTACCTCCATCTCGAGATTCTCTAGTGCTGTGTCATGTTGGTGCCACTGAGCCTCTCTGTGCTCTAAGGTCATATCTGCCTTGATCCGGATCCACGTTCCCATCATCGTTATCACCCATCTCTTCGTCTTCGTCTTCGTCTTCGTCTTCGTCTTCGTCCTCCTCCATGTCAGACCATTCATCTTCTTGATCGCTTTGTCGACGAATTCTATATCATCGGGACCGATTGACCTTCCTCCCGAGGCAAAATGTGCTATCAAACTTGGCACGCTTTCTCGGGGAGGTGTTGGCGAGACCGCTAGTGTTTAGATCTCGACATCAAGGGTATGGAATTGGAGACATATCTAGCCAGATCACACGGATATCCATCTGCCTGAATAAGTCCTAAATGGCCGGCGAGCTCACAAGTAGCCGCGCGCTATTAGCAGCATCAAACACTCGTTTCAACTTTGGCATTTGTAGCGTTACTAGGAGAAAGATTACATTATACTATACTGCCACGGTATGATTACGGGTATGCCTGCCGATGTTCGGGGCCATATTAAGTATCAGTTTGGCGATTTAACCTCCTCAGGCAGCTAGTAAACCAACTTGAGCGTCATATCGCTTTGCCATGCTCCAGCTGTAGTCACACCTTCGAGGCCAGTGATGTAAGTTACATTGCCACCTGCCTTGACCTCGATGATCGAAGTCTCGCACGCTGCGCCATCGATGTGGAGGTTGATGTCCTTGGGAAGAGCGGAAGCGCCAGCAATCGTGATGTTTGCAAGGGGAATGCCATCCTGGAAAGCGCCTGTCACCTTGGTAGACAGCATACCATTTGAAAAGTCGATCTAGCAAGGATTAGTAAAATGATTCCCATGGAGGGGAGATATTTGACTCACATCGACGTTCTTGGTTGCGTTCTGGATAATGTTGATGCCGTCATCAAGGTAGAGCTCTCCACTTGCCTTGCCATCCTTGTCAAGGGCGATGAGCAAACTCCAGGGGCTCTTCCTAGAAGTCGTAGTAGTATTGCCTGCCTTCTGAATAGGAATGATGTAGCCGCCTCTGACAGAAATAGGCTGGTGCTCGATCGGTGCACTCAATGTCTTGTTCTCGCCTGCGGCGACATCGACCTTCTGCAAAGTGTACCAGTCGTACCAAATGGTTCCGCTAGCGATACCAGGGAAGACACCTTGGACTGATGTTGCAAGGGGTGCCAGGACTGGTGTGACCAGCAACGCTGGACCACTCATGAACTGGTTGTCAATAGCTCTGAGTGAGGCGTCCTCTGGGAACTCCCAAGCCAGAGCTCTTAAGACCGTCTCCCCGGCTTTGTTTGCCTTGTGGAACAGAGTGTATGTGTATGGAAGCAGCGAGTAACGGATGTTCATGATGCGTCGAGTGGATTCTGCTGTGGTTGACCATCTGTACGCCTCTTGAGCGATGGTGTTGCGGTTATTATGGTTGCGGTACCTGCAGTCAAGCGTTAGTGGTGTTCACGGTCGATTCTTCTGTGTGGACTCACATAGGGAACCAAGCGCTGAGTTGCATCCAGCGTGTACACAACTCCATGTCTGCATTGCCATTGAAACCACAAGTCTCGACGCCGAAATAAGGAATACCAGCGATGGACATCTGCAGTGCTTGCGAGATACCAAAGTACATGTCTCCCCAGTTTGAGTTTGTGTCGCCACCTGTTGAGAGTCAGCATCATTGTCATCTTGGATTGTTTCTCAAGTGAGTTTACCCCAGTGACCGGCAAAGCTTCCACTTCCGGCAAACGTGCTTCGAGAGATGAACCAAGGCCTCTTGCCATCGTAAACCTCAACAAGCGCGTTGTAGGTGGCATTGCCACTGAGATGGCCATACAAGTTGTGCAACTCGTACTCAGTGCTGTTGTACGGTCCGTCAAGATGAGTAGCATTAGGTGCAATGACTTGCTTTAACAGACTGTGACCGGACAAAAAGTTGTTGATGGCATAGGGAGGGAAGTTGACATTACGGACACCAGGTGTGGCGAGGGTACGTCCTAATACAGGTGAAGGTGCCAGTGTCATCGACGGGTAAGCGGACATCTGCGATGCTCTTGCCGCCATAGCTGAAGCAGCTTCGGTGGCATTCGTGACGTTGAACATCTCTGGGTATCTGAAGTCGACAGCAATGCTCGTGTTCGGGTCTCCGGGCAGTGCGAAAGGAACATGGACAGGGTTCAGACTTCGCTGGTATTGGCCACAGCTTCCAGTGCACCAGGAGGTAGGGTCACTAACATCGAGCCAGAACCCATCGAATGCCAACTTCTTGCGGTACTCGGCCATTTGCTCTGTCCAGAACTGCTGGGTTTGTGGGACCGTGAAATCGGGCCAGACACTGAATCCGTTCCATTCAGCGCCGTAGTACAAACTGTCGTTGCCATTTCTGATGAAGACATCAAGCTCGACACCACGGTCATAAGGTGCATATGCATCACTAGCATTGGTTGGATCAGGAGCATAGACGTTCGGATCCAGTATGGGCAGGTAGTATTGACCTCGTGAGTGCAGCCAGTCCAAGAACTCCTTGCCCTCATCGACAGGGTAGTTCGCATTATTGGTGAAGATGCGGTTCAAGTTGAGGTAGTCAAGATCGTTCATGATGCCTTCGAGTTGAATGCCTTGCTCAGCGTACAACTCAACCACGTCTCGGAGGTTGGTCCAGTTCAAGTAGCCCCAGCGGCATTGATGGAAACCAAGCGACCAGTAACTTTGCATCACAGGCGTGTTGATGATTCCAACTTGGTATTGGCTGATGACTTCCTTGGGATCGGGACCACTTAGGAAGTACAGATCAAAGCTGCCACCGATGGTGCGGTATGTGACAGCGTCTTCTCTCAAGAGCCACTCCTGTCCATGAGCATTGCGTGCGTATACACCGTGAGAGGTAGACGACCCGTTGCCGTACCTGGTCTCCAGGTACATAGGGTGCGTGCTGTGTCCATTGACATCAGGCAATTGGTCGTTGTCTAGATTGTATGCATTCCAGAAAGTCTGAGTGTAGTTGTTGCCCAGTCTGAAAGAGTGGAAAGATTCAGCCAGTCCATATACGTTGTAGTCCGGAACCATTGAGGTGACGAGCTCGAGGAACTGGTCCTCGAAGACAATCTTCTTACCATAGGTGCTGAAGATCGTCTCGCCTGAGCTGACTCGAGATACTTCAAACTGAAAGCTAGGATCGTTGGTCCAGGAGAAGGTTAGGTCGCTAGTGGTGTTACTGGAGCCATCTTCGGCTCCGGGTCTTGGTGTGAATTGCTCACTGAGTAGATAGAGCGACTCATTGTGTGGTGCGAGATACTTGGGAACGATGCTCACAGCGAGTCTACTCTTGCTTTGGTATTGGACAGAGAGGACAAGACTTTGAATGTCATTTCCATAGACATTGCATGGTGTGCCGGCCAAGATCAAGTCGGCTTGGAGACCCGAACTGCTTTGCTGGACGTTGGACGCTTTGTAACCCGGGCAGACGTTCTGTGCATTCGGAGCACTGGTATCGAGTATGTTCGGCAGAACACTCGGAGCATTGTTGTACGAGGATGCCAAAGACGGCTGCAACGGAAAGGCAGGAGGGTATTGTGGTTGCTGACCTATTGATGGAAGCGTCAGAGAAATTCAAAACTTATGACCACGCCAATTGCCATACCTCTGGCTAGGACTGCCAAAAGTCCTGTAGCTATCAACGACGACTTCATCTTAGGGAATGTTCGAAATTGATGTAGGCTTCGTGTCACCCGAGGCATGGGAGTTGTGATAGTATTTATCAATCTCTGGCGACCAAACAAGACGTCATGAATAGCTTGTCACGCGGCCGGTATACTTGGATAGTCTTTCCATAAAGCTTCTCCTCCTTAGAGATCGCGATCTTGCTGACAGAACATGCAGAAGATCAAAAGGCACCTCAGTAGCGGAGTTTGGTTCCTCGTACAAATTGACTTTCTTCCCCGCGCCATGCCATCATGGTGCCTGGTGATCTGCAACTACATTTGAGACACACACGGGAACATGCGGGGCCACTCCGATAGCAGTCCGATTTGATTTTGTGTTCAACTTCCTTTCGACCTTGCTCGATCCTATATCGGACTACGTAGAATTCAGCCAAGAGTTTGATCAAATGGCTAGAATGCAGAAAACTGGAACGACATCTAGTCATCAGCCTCTCGAACAGCAAAGTTGAACATTTTGTTAGACTCCACAGAAGATTCATCAGCCAGCTTTTCAGCAGTTTCCACGCCGGCTGCAGGAACTCTATATTCAAAGTGTTTCCCCGCTGCAGCGACCTTACCTTCGATCGGGTATGGAAATGGAAGATGCTCCGGGAGTAGCCCCAGCTGTACCAGAGCAGTGGCTTGGTCCCAGGCAATGTGTTCGTGGTACAAGCGGTCCCCTCGGATGTTCACGACACTGGTAAATGGCAGGCGGCAGTGTTTGCCCGTGGGTGGTATTCCTGGCAATCTGTTCGGATATTAGCACATGTCGACAAAAGTGGAACCAGACACGAGAAGCGACTCACAACCAGTCAATTTGCCTATCATGGGTGAAACTGAAGACAAATTCATCGATAACTCGATCGATGCCTACAGTCCGACTGATTAACTCCAGAGCGGTATCCTCAGGGTTGTTGAAGATGAAGTGATTGCGGTAGAACGAGGTCAACCTTTCTCGGCCAATACCACCAGTGATGGTGGGAATGTGGTTAACGTAAGGCTCTTGTACCATAGTGGACATGGTCTTCTCGACTGCCCGTTCGCCAAACTCGTACAAGGTATGCTCTTCCCAGATCTCTTCAAGGTCGAACCAAGGGCCTCCTAGGATTGGTTTCAAGAAGCTGAGTGTACGGGAATGCGAGACGGAGGCTGAAGAAGCATGGAAAGACTTGTGCGATGGAAGCACAAAGAGTGGCTCCACTTTGGGATAGTAGTAGGTCTTATCCTTCTTCTCCAAATCCTTCCGAATTGGCATCGGTGGGTTGCCAGGCTTGTGAAAGAGTGTCGGCTTTGTCGTTTCTATCTCCGAAGACCCATAGACTACTATGGAGGCTATGTCTTTAGATGTTTCTAATGACATGACGATCTCAGGAGAACACGCAGAAAGGTATGCTAGCCTTTGTCAGTAAGTTGGCAAACGCCACTATTAACAATCACGTACCGATCAATCCGATCTTCTGATTACCATCATATTCTGGAAGCTGCTTGACTGCATCGATGGTGTTTGATAAGGTGGCCTCAAAGTCCTTGGTTGGAAGCTTGCTCAGATCTATTCGAGCGACGACAAAACTCTCCTCGGCCCATTTCTGCAGCGGTGGTGGATCGATGCTATCTGCGGTTGGTTTTGATGCAGATTCTTGATAGATCAGGATGATAAGTGCCGGGCCCTTACCTATCCTTGATAACGGCGGCTGGATTACGACCAAAGGCGAGACGTTGATGACAGGCGCCGATGGTAGTGGTAGCGGCTTCTCAACAGCGCTTTCTGCTGACATGGTAAAGTCCGTTTTTGTTTTGAAAAGTACCTAACCTAACGAAACGAGAGAGAAAATGAGAACAAATGGATGACGAGCGGGTAGCCGCTTTCTCGCCGATCATTACCCTTTCCGGAAGCATCACAATCTAAAGTCTCTCAACGCTGACCAGACGAGAAATGTATCAGTATGTGCATAACGATATTCGGAGAATATCTAATTAATCTCCTTCGCTGGATAGTGCTTCACCGTGTGATACAACTCTGCATTTTGACAAGCACGTTAGTTGTCGTGTTCGATGGCTGAGATAGATGCAAAGAACAGAAGAAGGGACCAGCCCGATATTAAACAGTTCTAAAGAAATGAGAACGAAACAGCAGGGGTATCAAAGTGGAACATAAAAACGGCGGCCCTCCTCAAACCAGCAACACAACATAACCACCCTGTCCAAATGCATGAACGAACTACCAGCAGAGAGCACAAGCTCTGCAACCACCTCATTGATGGCGACGCGAGAAGAGACGACGCAGGCGCGACCAACAACTGACCCGAGGCAGGTCGGTCGAGGAGACCGAAGCCAGTGGCGACGAGAGGCCTTGCCAGGAGCCAGAAAAAGGACGGCCTAGGCGGCGAAGAAGACCAGGTACCAATATCGCACCAGCACCCTCACGCTCTGACGGCATAAAGGAGCGCTGCAGACGAGCGCGAGGGGTAGAGGGCATTGCCCCATCGGCTGCGGAGGAGGAAACAGGAGGTGGGAGGTCGTCGTCGCTGCCTTCGAGGCGTGAGAGAGGGTGTGAAGGAGATACCGGCGATGGCGGCAAGGAGAAGACGGGTCCAAGAGGCGTAACGTCAAGCTGGATGGCACCCCGGCGACGGCGCCGGTCACGAGCGACATTGGCGCTGTTGGTCATCAGGACCCGCTCCTCAAAAGCGACACTGTCGGCCCAAATCTCTGGCGAGAGACGGTTCTCATCGCCGTCAGAGGCAGCAGAGGGGGCGGGAGAGGATGCAGGAGCAGAGGTGCTTCCAGGGCTAGCCTGAATGGTGCGAGAGGTTGGGCGCTCCCGGAAGGCAGTACCATCACTGCTGCTGTCGCTGAAGACAGAGGACATGGCCTCGTCTGCGACAGAAGGAGGGGCAGCCTGCTCGTCCAGAGTGAGGCCTACACCCTGCGGTGCTGGGACCTGATTGGTAGTAGGGGTAACACCGCCCTCGCCCTCCGGCTGCAAATTTGGGTCTGCCATGTTGAGATCTGGCAGGGATGGGTAGCGATGGTACCCATCCTGCGGAGCAATGTTGTGGCAGTCGGTACCTGCCAGCGGCAACAGAGATGGCATGTCTCTCATGTTGAATAGAAAGCGCGGCAAAGCGGAAAAGAGAAGAGAAGAAGCAGGGGAAGAGAAAGGAAAGAAGCAAAGGTCTCGTCCAGCGAGAGGCTCTTGGTGGTATAAGAAGAAAAAGCTTGATGGCGATTGTGGTGGGAGCTACACAAGATCTCGAGGAAAGGCAAAGAGATGCCAGCACGTTATGAAGTAAGCTGGGAAGTGCGCAATTACAGAACATAGTGAAGCAGACCATCAATCAGGCTAGACATCCAACAAAGGGTTTGTGCAAACCTGGTTGTCATCTCAACCACTAGCAAGCAGAGCAATTGCCGTACAATGATATGATGCTGATCACATAGAAGCATCAAAGCACTTGAAACACACACTGTCTACACTCTCTTTGGAGAGGAGCAAGAGGATCAATTCCATTGTGTCTTGTGATAGGGGGTCTGATTGATATGAAGGGAAGGTGAGACACGCCTACACTTGGGTCTTAGACATGCACGGGACATATGCGATAGACGTTGTCCAGTGGCAGGGATCTTGCCTTGCACCTCCAAGATGGGAAGCCAGAGCAAAGAGACTCGAGCATGACCATGCCTTGATTCCGACAGTGCGCTTGACTGCCTGAGAGGAGCCAGAAAACGGCACAGTGAATCTGAGCCAGGTGGAGATGCCCATCGAAAGCGGCTGATCAGTAGGCTCTCACAGGATATACATTCACGACTCAAACGGACTGTGCCTTGAGTGGCTCTGTCTAGGTGAGGGAGTGCGGTCCTAGTGTAGTTTCATGGAGCATGATTGATAGGTTCGCACCAGAAAGAGTCCGTCTCAAGGCACAGTACCCTTACAAGATCGAGTTGTGTCCAGTGAAAGCCAACTGACTGGTCGATTTCAGTGGACGAACGTAGTGTCACAACAGTACTGTGTCTTGAGGCAGGCCTACTACACCTTCGAGTCTGTGTGTAGGGATGCTCGATTTCGGGGCGATCCTGTTGGAGCTCGGTTGACGCTGGACGATTCAACCGGCTCAAAACTACTGTGCCTTACGACAGGCCTCCTGCAGATTCAAGTGAGTGCGTGAAAGTCGGAGTTCAGAGTGTCTCATCAAAAGCTCGGCGTTCGTGTTGTTGACATTGTATACAAAGTGGCAAGTGTAACCCACAACGCGTTTGAACAAGACGCCGTGGGGCAGAGACTAGGTTAAACGCCGGCACGCGAGTCATGGAGAAACGGAGAGTCAGATTCACGACTCCGCCAGAGAAGGAAGTCGCGATGGAGCTGGAAGCATCGCGTCCAGAAAACACCACAGAGACAACAACCATGTCGTCGCTGTTTGGTAACATTGGTGGCAATAAGCCAGCAGCAAGTGGCCTATTTGGCGCGCCAGCATCCACTTCTGCCACAACTCAAGCATCGACACCCTCACCATTTGGCACTGCGCAACCCGCAGCAGCCAGCAATACTGGAGCTTCGTCTGGAGGTCTTTTCGGCGGCCAACAGCAGCAGAATAAGCCGTCGCTGTCACTTTTTGGTGGAGCTACCAATGCGACCACGCAACCTACTAGCACTGGCGGTAGTCTGTTCGGAGGAGGCGGTCTGTTTGGTTCGACCACTGCGCAGCAGCAGCAACAACAGCAAAACCAGCAGCCTGCGCAACAGCAGCAACAACAACAACAGCAAAACCAAGAGCAGGGCGGCCAGGCAAGACCCATCTATTTTGACAACCTAATTGAGCGCAACATCAAGAGGCAGGGCGCCGATGCTGGCGCAGGTATGGGCGCATTTGGAGAGCTGCCGACACTACAGCTGGGTTTGGGAGACATTCAAAAGAAGGTGCGCGGTCTCGGACAGCAATACACACCCGACAGCAAGGCGCACTACCTCCTCGCCGCGTCCGGTGTCAACACAGGCGCTGCCCTCCGCGACCTCAACATCTTCACCAACAGCGCCGCCGCAAAGGCTCCAGCTCCTCCCGCCGCGAACGACCCCCTGTACGGCGATCTCGACACGTACGTCGAGAGCCTCTACCAGAAAGAGAAGAAGGATTTGTTTGACGAATTCATGGACGACTCCAAAAGGGACTTTGACCGTTTCATCGAGGACAACCTGCAGTGCAATTGGGAACGGAAGCGCAAGGAGATTTACGAACACTTTGGCATCACCAAGAAGACGGACAAGGCAGAGGCTAGCTTTGAGGGCTCGACTACTGATGGTGCACGCGGCGCCTTTGGTCGTTCAAGCCGCAGAGCCCCCTTCGGTGCTTCGGCTGGCGCTTCAAAAATGGGTAACAGATCGGTGCTCGGTGCTACAGGCAGACAGACTGCTAGGGTCAGCCAGTTTCCCGATGTGGCAGAAAAGACGCCTGCTGGCCTGCAGAACGTCACTGAGAACCGCATGCTTAGAGACAAGCAGGACAAGTACTCCAGCAAGGTCAAGGAACTCAACATCTCCCGCATCGAAGGTCGCCTGTACCCGCTCTTGCACAACTTCGCCGACGTCGAGTCCCAACCTTCGGTCGAGGATACGACAAAGCTCGTCGATGCTTACAAGGCTATTGCCGACATTGTCGGCGAGAGCCCCGACTACCAGACCTCATCCGACCCTCGCGCCATCAAGGAACGCCACTACGCCCAAGACTATCTTGACGAGGCTGCCAACTCTCGCAAGGCCTTTGATCTCCGCAAGCGTATCATTGACGGCTCAAGACGGTTCCTCGAAAAGCAGTTCCTCGCCCAGCTCGAGACGGCCATCCTCAAGAATGCCAAGGAGGCTGCTTTGGGAGGTGTCCCTTCGGTTGTCAACAAAGTCCGCGCCTACGTCCGCCTGCGTGCTGCGCGCAAGGAGCTTGGTCCCGACACCAGCGAGTTGCAAATGATCAACGACGACTACCCTTGGGTTCTCATTTTCTATCTCCTCCGTGCTGGTCTCGTCAACGAAGCGGCCGAGTATGTTGTCGACAACGAACGTGCCATCAAGGCTTGCGACCGCAACTTCCCTCTTTTCCTCGCCAGCTACGCCCGCAGTACTGATCGCCGTCTACCTCCCGAGCTCCAGACTAGGATCAACAACACATACTCTCAGCGTGCCCAATTCGCTCCTGAGAACAGCGTCGATCCGTACCGCATGGCCTGCTTCAAGATCATCGGTCGTTGCGAGCTCGGCAGACGTACTCTTGACGGCATCAACCAGAACATGGAAGATTGGGTATGGTTGCAGTTCGTCCTTGCCCGTGAGGTCAACCGTGTTGAAGAGACTGCTTCTGAAGTCTTCGGTCTCGACGATGTCAGAAGCGTCATTCACGAGGTTGGTCAGAGACATTTCGTCCAGGGTGGAGAGGGTGCTGCTGGATATGGCACCTACTTCTTCCTCCAGATTCTGGCTGGTCAATTCGAGAGTGCCATTGCATGGTTGTACCCCAACAACTACCTTAGCGCTGTGCACTTCGCCATCGCCCTCAACTACTACGGCCTGCTTCGTGTCAACGACTACAGCAACTCAGAGGATCTTCTATCATACACCACAAGTCAGCGACCTCAGATCAGCTTTGCTCACCTTGTGGGCTACTACACCAAGGACTTCCGTGCTCAATCGCCTACTACCGCTGCTGACTACATCGCTTTGATGTGTCTGAACGGAGATCTTCCCGGCGAAATTGGTCAACGCCAGGTCGCACTCTGTCACAACGGCCTTCGTGAACTCGTCCTCGAGACTCGCGAATTTGCCCAGTTGCTTGGCGACATTCGCTCCGACGGTCAACGTATTCCTGGTTCTATCGAGCAGCGCCTGAAGATCATCCGCATCGCCGACGAAAGAGCTTTCTTGCGCTTCATCACTATCAGTGCTGCGCAGATCGCTGACGACAATGGCCGTGTTACTGATGCTGTTCTGCTCTACCACCTGGCCGAGGAATACGACAATGTTATCACCATCTGCAACAAGGCTTTGTCAGAAGCCATCAGTGTCGAATTGGGTGACGCACCTCTGCGTCTCACTCCCCTCAAGCCTCGCGACCCCGCTGCTGTCGAGACTTCTGCATCTCTCAGTCTGACCGCCGTCGAGGACCCTTACACACTGACCCGCAACATGCGCGCTCTGTACGAGAGTAATCAGCTTCACGCAGCGAAAATCAAGCAAGTCAACCGCGAATCCTGCACGCTTCTCCTTGGTATGGCCGAGGCTAAGTCTCTGGTCGCCGAAGGCCGCTGGGCTCTTGCTCTCGACGCCCTCAACAGCTTGAACTGCCTCCCCATCTCTGCTGGCGGCAACATGAGCCTTATTCGCGCCTCCGCCAATGCGTTCAGCAATCTGCCACCTACCGTTGCTCGCAACATCGGTAATTTGCTTATCTGGACCATCACATGTTGCGGTCAACAACGCGATTACCTGCGCACATCGGCTTCGGGCTTCGAGGAACGTGGACGTGAGAAGGTGGCTGAGGACATCTTGCAAGTTGCCAAGGATACCATGGTGTTTGCTGGCTTGATTCAATATAAGCTGCAACCCCGCGTATTCGAGGTGCTTACACGCGTTGGTGGCGACGTCGGTGCTTACTAGTATCCTTAGTCAGTTAGCTTACGGAGTTTCATGGAGTTTCACATCAAGGATTGGGGAAATGCTTGTACATTACTGAGGGTGGGAATGATGATGGACTGAAGAGAAGGGCTGTGGGTTCTCAAGCGCAGGCTAGATAGCGCTCATATAGATGAACATCTGCTCTCCTCCGTCACCCGTGTGCCCACACTCATGGTTGAAGAAATGCACAATGGTTGTCAGACCAGAGTCGTGTCCAATAAGAGGTTGTCAGGAGGTCTCTCTCTGTGGACGATGGCACAGTTCCACAAGAGATCTGGAAATATAGGTAGATAGTTACTCAAATGTTATCATCGTCACGCTGAACAGTTCGTCTATTACAGTAGAGTAACGTTAATGCTAAACTGGAGATGTCACTACTCCATTCTTTCGATTTCTTCTCGCTCTCCAAGTCAATCAAAAACAACATGCCAATGCTGTCAATCACTCTGTATCTTTTTGGTCTGATCGCTCTCGAGGACCCCGACATACTGACCCGCAATATGCGCGCTCTGTATGAGAGCAAATAAGTGGTCGCTGGCCTCCCTGTTCGAATTCGAGCTGTAGCGAAGACCGTCTGCTCAAGGCCACGACTGCTTCGGTGCGGGTCAAAGCCGTTTTTGCTGACTCCTTCCGAGATATCTCTAGGACAAGAATACTTGGATGGCGCGGTTCGCTGATGAGGGCTGCGGCCTCTTGTTGATCTTTATGCTGCCAGATCTTAGTGCGCAGCATGTATCTGCTGGTATCGCGTCCTGAGGACATGTTTTTGTAAACATGTCGAGCTCAGTATCGCGCATCCATGTCTTCCAGGTCTAGCTCTTCCTCCTCGTCTTCATCAAATGCTGGTAATCCTTTCTCAGACTCCTCGTCGCTCTGAACCTCGTATTGGTATCCGTCCCGTCCAGCGTCCGTCTGATCTTTCTGTATACGGTCTCGTAGGTTAGGTGTTTTGTTACCGTTCATTACTTGTTGTATCGACTCAATGCCCAGAAGCTCCATTTGCTCGGCAGACAACTCAACGATGGTAGGTGCGTACTCGCCGGCCTCGTCATCTTCGTCGAAAGCAGTATTGTCCATTTCGACTTCTTCGCCATCTTCGAGACTGAGCATGCCGGTTCGTGCGAAAGACCCTTGTTGTATCTGCCAGCCTAGGGTTTCTTGCGTGTAGGCGAGTAGATCGTCTAGCTCGTCTATGACATCGGCGTGTGCGCTACCCGGTAGGCGGTCAAGAGCTTTCTTGAAGCGCAGAAGCAATGACTTGAGGAACGTTGCGCCGTCGTCGCTGAGATCAAACAGCCCTGTCTCAACGTCCTGGCCGTGTTGCAGTTGAAGCTTTACTGTTGCGAGTGCTCGAACGAAGAAGGATGGATGCGTGGTGACGGCACTGACGCAAGTGAGAATAAGGTCAAGTATTCTGCGCCATTGCTCCAGACAAGAGTAATTATTCAGAGTCAATACCATGGCGAAACAGAATTGTAGCTCGCCGATGATTTGATTCATATCGTCATTACAGAAACGAGTGGTGAGATCTGCAAGGGCCCACGAGCGATCCTGTGCGGCTTCTGTCCTCTCACGACCAGTGGCTCCCTGACGCCATGTTTTCCTGAGGTCTACAGACAGAAGATGCAGCTCACGCTCATTTCCGGTGAGGTCGGATGCAGAGAGGCCTGGAATTTCGTCGAAGTCTTGCTTCGCGCTGCTGGAAGATGTGAGAGTCCAGGTCTCAGTATCTGCATCCAACACGCGGGTTAGAAGCGATTCAGAGATGCAGTCTGTCAGTTGCACCCAACGATTTGAGTCTTCTACCGCCGTAGTATCTTGTGAAGCGCTCTGCCGATACGGTGTCAAGTTGTCTCTCCAGATCTTGCCCAAATTGGCACGCTGCTGTAACAGTGTAGTCACGTCGGTTTCTGCTATCAATTCTTCGCTACTTGAGTCCCATTTTCGAATGAAGAAGTCCGGCGGACTAGAAGAAGAAGGCGCGTTTACTTTGATCCAGACGCCGTGGCGGACAGATAGGGTGCTTGTCGAGCCGACGAAGACGAAATGAAGACCAGAAGGGATGTTCTTGATGCCTTTGAATTTTGGCGTTGTGGTGAAGGAAAGCAAATCCATGCCACCCAAAGCCGAGGGTGGCAGATTCAGGAGCAAGATTGCTGGTGATATGGCATCCATGTTGGGCATTTCCAAGAAGATGTGTGTGTTGTATCAAATTGTTACGGTCTGTGTTCGCAAGAGATGTGTGCTTAGAACGATGGATGAAGTGTCTGACTTTGGACCGGCATGGAGTTCTTTGGTGATCTGGTGGCTTGATGAAGGCTAAGCGCAGATACAAACTCTTGTCTATGTTTTGAAGAGCAGTCCTCAGAAAATTCCACTCGACAGGTCCGGATCAGTAAATCTTGTGATTGCAACAGAGCCAGCTAGCGGAATGGAAGGGCACGCCCGAGTCATGTCCCTACCTGCTGAGTCAGGTCGGTTGCACGAAGCCGACCATCTACAACAAGTCTTGGCGCCAGCAGCGTAGGTATGTCTTTTTGCCTCGCTCTCCTTTGTCAATCGTGCTCATGCCAATCCGGAAGATATGCCAAACAATTGCTTTCGCACGATATCTCGGATAACACATGGGCCTAGGACCCTCAAAGCACCATGTCTTGCAACTCTGAAACTCCAAAGCACAACAAGAAATCAGCAGGTCCTTAGACTTGGCACAAGTCACACAGTACGCTCTCTCAACATTCGACATGTGGCAGTTGGCTCTCCAAGTACCGCTACTGCTCAGTCGAAGGAGCAAACTCTAGGCATTCCACCAAGATCGCCGCGCGGTCAAAAACTTAAAAATTTACACAAAGACATTGACTTCCAGGCGATAGATGTCGACGCCTGGCTTAACACAATTCCACTACCACCAGACACATATTGGGACCGGTGGGGTTCGGTCCTAAGTCAGTCGGACAAGCCCGGTGTTCTCAGAGTTAAGAAGCTCCTTGGGCGTTGGCACGAAGAACTTGCGACCCTCTACAGGACACAAAGGCATTCCGTTGATAAACAGCGTGAGATTGTTCAATGCACTGGCCGCTTCCACATGCCTCTTCTAGGAGAGCGAACAGTCTTGGCCTACGGATATACTCGAGTCCGTTTGATGACCTTGTCGTGGTTACACATTCGCTGACCGGCCTGTACAGAAAGAGGCAATCAACAACCTTTACCCTGTGTTGACCTCGACCATGTACAAGAGTGGCGAGCTTGACACTGTTTTCGAGGGTACGGCGGCATCGAGAAAACTCATAGCGGTTCGCCATCTACCATGCATTGACTGCACCCGTATTGGTGCTAATAGATCATCTAGATCTATGAGCAGGCCGCCGAATATGGCCTGTATCCGAGATTCAAACTCAGCATGTCGAATGACCAGCCTGGAGCACACTATCAGATCACTCTGTCTGTGCCCGAATGGAACGTCAAAGTCCTCGCCTCTGCGCCAAGATACGTCGAGGCTCTGTCAGAAGCCATCGACTCATACCAAGAGAAGGTCAAGAAACGCGACGTCAAGCAGAAGATCAGTCCAGACGTGACCGCTTCCAGGATGAAAGACTTGAAAGCAGCCACGGCGTATCATGCTCTGAGTTATATCCTCCGAAAGTTGAACATCAAGAATCTTGGAAAGCAATACGATCAATTAAAGACTGCTGGACCACAACACAAGTATTCCATCCGGATAAATGGGAAATTGGCCAATGCCGACGTGCCAATGATACGAAGGGATGATGCACCAAGACTGGCCTGGCTCACAGCAGCGGTGACGATCTTGCAACGTTATGGCTTCGACGCCATGGATGGGTTTTCGGAACATTTTGTTGCAAACAAGCCGCCAAAGCCCGAACCGACGCGCCCACGCGTAAAGCCGGACACTCAAGCTGCTTCCCAATTTCGTCCGAGCTTGCCTGAGCAAAGAGCAATCGATCAACCTGGCCAGGATGCCGATTCGAAGGACGGACATCTGATGGGACATTTGTATGGCAGTCTCAAGGAGGGATTGGAGGAAGATGCCGCCGAGGGAATGTCAGATGCTCAAGACAGAGGTAGCAGACATGGTGTTCGCCACAGTTGGCATAAGTAGTGGTCGTGTCGCAGTGATACTGCTGCATCAAGAGAAAAGACTGGTTTCAAGGCCTTGTTCACGCGACAAGTGTAGATAGAGACAGAGCAGAGGCAAGAGATCGTTTGTGAGCCGAATTGGGTTTGATATACATCAAAGGTATCTAAGCGGGGACTCTGGCCCAGTGGATAATCATGTCATAAACATTCCTCCGCCATGATGGTGAGGAGAAGGAACAAAAGGCGGGATCAATCGTGAAAATAGAAAATCTAGGTCGACTTGGAGGTCTTGTCCTTGGCAGCCTGGTCGAGGGGACCGGTGGGGTTGCTGCTGAGGCCGTCCTTCTGGTTGTCCGAGGCCTGCTTGGAGCCCTCGTTGGGCTCGGCGCCCTGCTGGTTGGGGTTGCCGGCGGTAGGGGCGGCTTGCTGCTTGGAGCTCTGGTTCTCGGGCTCGGGGGACTGACGGCCGGCGTTGGGTGCAGACATTGCTGTTGACTTGTTAGACACGGGTGCGATAGAATGCGTTGAGGGGGCGGGGTCGGCGTACTGAAGGTGTTTGGTATGCTGGGGGAGCTGTTAGCATGGTGTCACGGTAGGCCAAAGACACGGAAAGAGCTTACTGTGGGGTTGGAAGAGGTGGAAAAGTGGCTTGTTAGAGTGAGATGTTTGTTGACAGGAAGAAAAAGAGCAGAGGTTGTGGTAGATGTAGCTCTTGCCAGCCCGCCGATGATGTTGTGAGTGTGGGGCACTTTTCTGACGTCACAAGCTCGGTTTTTGTTCAGCCTGATTTGCTCCCATCCCCCTTCGCTCTGCTGCTCTGCTTCGAAGTCGCCATGGCAGCTTTCCTTTCATATTGCCGGTCCGCTTGCTCTTCTGCTTCCGTACATCCATATGACACGAACCTGTCCACCTTTGAGTGCCGTGTGGCTTTCTTCCAGACTGCTTCCTGAATGTCTACGAAGCAGCTTCCGATCGTTCAACAAGCCCCACGATCATTGCGAAATCGCGCCGCGGTCTTTCCGACTTGTTGAAATCGACATCATTTTCAGCTTTCTCCAGCTTGCATGACCGATTCTGTGCATGACAAACACTTCATTACCTCTTCTGTCGTCGCTACGGCCCAAGAGTACATTACTTCGACATGGAGCGCTGCCTTCTAGGCTCAAGCTGGCATATACATGAAAGACATGGTTGTAAGGTTCTCATATTCGTGATGGCTTGCATGTTAACCGTGTAGGGGCGAAGGGAGGAGGTCATAGAGTGTGGCTGAGTAGATGCACAATGCGTTTGAGATAGGTTGAGCTGTTCAAGGGAAGCGTGTCGTGCAGTCGCTCTCCGAGGAACTCTGCTTCTGGAAGACTTCCTACAACCCTGCAGGTGCCGGAAGAGCAAACCTATCGTGAAAGGTGTTGCAGTCGAAGTTCATGGAATCTGTATCATGAATAAATTCTTCAAAAGGTGCCTTCTCGTTTCATTCTTATATCGTCTTGATCACACATCAGCAGCAGTGCAAATCCCAACAGCCTCCAGTTCAAGGTATGTGTAATCCGAACATGCGCTCGTCTATCGAATACCGAGCAGAACTGACGTGTGAGCGCTAGTATGAATTCACCTCTCGTCTTGATCAGCTTGCCTGCTGAGCTCATAGCAAGGGTCGCCGACGACTCTGCTCTGTCCAAGCACGATCTTATGCGCCTTCGACTGACGTGCAGACTTTTGAACTTCTGGGCTACTTATTCACTTGCACAACAACACCTGTCGAAGATCGGTATCTCATTAAACAGATACGACCTTCAGGCTCTCTCAGCAATCTCCAAGCATCCGCAATTCGGTCCCCATATTCGCTCCATCCAGCTGGACCACACTCGCGTCCATCCTGACCAAGTCGCCATCTTGGCTGACGCCATGGTCCAGGCCAAACAGTCAGGCAATGACGGTTATCCAAAGGCAAAGGAGAGATTCCAAGGCACAAGTCGCCGCTTTGTTGATGAACTGGAGCTAGAAGATTCAGAAGAAGCCTTGCAGTCGCTGATCGTGGCATTTTCCGCTCTCAAGACATACAACAACCCCATAACTCTCACCTCAGCAGATACGCATCTCATGGGCTGCGACTTCGGTCACACAAGAATTACTGAGTTTTTCGGACCCTACGTCTATGACGAGCCCAAGCACACTCACCTCAACTCTACTATGCGCATGTTGCTCAGAGCTGCCTCAAGTAGTGGCCTACACATCGAATGCTTTCAGTTCTCATACTGGGAGCCTCGAGAGTCGCAGGCGTTGACACAGGCTACCCCTCACATTGACGTCAAGATCTGCTCTAAGCTTGAAATCCTCAAAATCGAGTTCGAGTCTCCTCTCAGCAAAGTAGAGACCCTCCCACTACAAAAATTCCTGGCAGCAGTCACTCATGTCAAAACCTTCGAGCTCAATTTACTTGCGGAACCTGGCCTCGACATCGTCTCTATCAGGGAAACACAGTTTTGCCAGGAGATCCTACAATCTATTGCATTTGGATCACTGACCTCTGTTGAGCTCTGGAACGTTGGCATCTCACAGAAGGCGTTGTCCATGTTCTTAAAGGAACATAGCCATACCCTGCAAAGCCTCAAAATCGTCGGTTCCTCAATCTTCCAGGGCTCATGGCTCATAATGCTTGCTTGGATTGGCGATCAGCTGCCCCGCCTCGTAGATTTCCACGCGGAAAGTCTCTATGAGATGCAAGACGAGGACGTGGAAGGAGACATTGAGACACGCGAGTTGTTCCCCGACAAGAGGAACTGGAAGCTCACCGCCCACGGCAACAACGAGTGTATCAGGGATGAAATTACGAAGCTGTTGAGAGACGCTAGCAATAGTGGCTCGTAAAGGGTTTTTACCGACTATAGGTGATGGGGACAGGTCTTTGGAGAAGCGATCAAAGGCACAATGCTTATGATTTTGAAGGAATCGTCTTTAGAAAGCATAACTCTTTCATTCTCCCACTGGACATGGCCCCGTTTGCAGTACAGTTTCTGCCTTGTATCAGCTCTTAAGCTTAGCTAGGGCGTCGAGGTTATTTGTTTTCGGATTCAAAAAGTAATGAGGAAGAATACCGGATAATGAGTGAGTGACGACTCGAATTGAAGTGCGAACGGAAGGTACGTTTGTGAAGCCGAGCGTCAATAATTCAATCACTAAAACAGATCACTTTCCCCAAACTTTCCTCGCTCTTTCCCCAACATCATGACTTTTCGCTCGCCATCATCTGGCGGCCTTGCATCTGACATGAAGACTAGCCTGAAGGATCGAGATTCACGCACAGTGATTGTGGTTTCACCGGCGATCACTACCTCCTCACAAGTACGTGACAAGTAATGTTATGCAGGCTCCTCAACTAACTGTAATGTTACAGAACACAGGCGCGCTTCCACCGTCCTTCATGCTCAACCTGCCTGGCGAAACACTTCTCGCCATCTTAAACAGTCCTGAGCTGTCTGAAGTTGATCTCGCCGATCTTCGCCGTGCCTGCAAGCAGATCAGTCCTTACGCCACGGAGGTCTTCGCAAAGCGTCGCTTTGGCACCGAGTTCCGCCTTGGTTTCTCGATTCCCAACTTGATCAGACTATCCCAGATCTGTCCATCAGCACTCGGGCCGTTCACGACATGTATTCATCTAGAAGAAGTTGGAAAGGTACCCTGGGTCGCAAAACCGAGGGTGCAGCCGTCCTACTCGTCTCTGCGAGAAATCAAGATCGATCATCTCTACCACGCTGTGGTCCCTACATTCAAGGCGATCATTGCGAACGCTGACAAGCTTGAGGTATTCAGTCTGAAGGCTGAGTCAGAGTCTGTCTATATTCGCTGCGAGAGAGTTCGGGGACGTCACCAGTGGCCTGAGTCAGAAGAGTTCAGGACTGGCAACGGAAGCTTTCCTATTGGGTTTCGTGATGTTGATATGGTGATCGGCAAACTTCATTCTAGTCGTCTGCGCAAGCTGGAGATGCTCAATGCAGACTTCTCAAGAAATGCCTTTGTCGACTTCCTCAACAAACATAAATCGACCATCAAGGAACTTAAGCTGCAATACTGCCAGCTGGTCCAAGGTCGTTGGCATGAAGTACTTACCTGGATCAAGGCCAACTTCTCATCTCTCGAACACCTGTATATCGAAGGATTGTTCACCGCAAATGGGAAGAAACTCCCTGGTAGAGATTTGTCATTCGAGTGCAATTTCTGCCAGGTGGAGGTCGTACAAATGTCGACGGCATTGAAGTTCGAAGGAAGAGTGGACATCGAAGAAGGTCTCGACGCCTTGATTGCAAGCATGCATGGAAAATGATCTGGCATATTGTGCATCTGCTAGTGCAACACAAGGAAGTTGGAGGCGTGCCATCTCCAGCCTCCGACGGATGACAGAGGATGGTGGAAGATATTGAGGATGCACAACATGTCATCAAAGAAACAGATGAAAGTCGGGCTTCAAAAGAAAAGCCAACCTTCCGATTACATAAGAGGCATTAGCTTCGATATTTCTGCTCTCTGCAATTGGCAGGAGAATCAGACAGTGCGGGTGTAAACAGTCTAGTACTAAGAACTTTCAATGAGCGGAGTGCTGCAAATCCAATCTTCAAGCTTTTCCGATCAACGAACGACCAACGTACGTTCCTCGGCCAATCTCAGAGTATACGAGAGTAGGAGTAAGCAAGATGTACAGAAAGCTGAGGAGCGAGCATGTTCCAGAGTAATCGTAATCGCGTGAGAGGCAACGTGAATGTACTCAGTATACGTTGCGTTATTACTGATATCCCCAGACGCAGACCTGGACCTCAACATGGCTATTAAAAGGCGAGATGTTTTTGATTATCGCATACTCGTCTACTGAGAGCGCTGACTCCTTCGTACTCTCCTCGGACAGCGTACCTATTTGGAAACTCATCTTGTATTTCGACGGGATTTCCAGAGACAGCTCGACAAGCTAGGAGAGCTCGGTACTAGCCCGCCTCTGCGTTCACTTTGGGAACTTTTCATCATACTGGCATCGCAACGAACACCATGTGTTTCATCTTCTTCTCTGTTCATGGTCCGTCTATTTCGCCTTCAGAAGTTCAACATCTACAGGAGAACTTCTCTAGCTCTGTTTTCTGCACGCCTACTCGCCAGAGGGGCCATTGAGAGTGGTGCCGAGCTTGACAGCCTTGCCGAAGTTGGGGCTTCCATCAGAGTTCCAGTCGACCCTTTGAGCTTCAGTATATCTGTTTCCATCACATGCACCAGCAGAGTTGGCAGTAGCGTGGTAGACGTTCCACACCTCTTTTCCATCGGGGCTGTTGAAGAATCTGAAAGCCAGTCAGTTTTGTTAGAGCCAAAGCTAGATTCTCTCTCGTAAACTCACCCGTTGTGTCCGGTACCATAGTTTCCGTTGGCAGAGCTGAATACAGGACCACTTTTGGTCCAGCTTGCTGACAAAGTGGGGTCTCCACTACCCTTGTAGGTCAAAAGACCGAGCTGGTAAGAGCTAGTCCAGCAGTAACTTGCCGAGTATGTCAAGAACGTCTTTCCCCCATGATAGAGCGCAGCAGGCCCTTCGTTGACAGGGAACTCGCCAATCTTCTCCCATGCAAGAGTGGGTTGTGACAAGGTCTTTGGGGTTCCGACGGAGGTTGGTGAGTTCATTGGAGCAATGCAGAGTGATTGGAGGTTGGTGCGCTGGCAGGAGTAGACAAAGTAGTTCTTATCAGAGAAGCGAAGAACGGTACCATCGATGCTCCATTCGTTGAAGAGTTGGCCAGCGTACGCGTATGTATCAAAGATGGCAGATCCGCCTAAGCGCCTGGTTAGTCTTTTGCTGTCGTATCTGTAATAGAGAGTTTCTCACCCTTAAGCACATGGATGCGCTGGGTACCGAGATCATCCTTGTTCGAAGCGCTGTAGTATATGTACCACGCGTTGTTAATCCAGTGTACCTCGGGTGCCCAGACTGCAGACGCATCAGTCAGTATGTTTTAAAAGTGGCTGCCTGCACCGTGGTAGTGCCCTTGGCTCACGTACCGTTGCAACAACGAGAGGCAGTGCTGTCTTGCCAAACAACCTTCGTCTCGCCAGTCTTGAGACCACCAAGAGTTTTGGATCTTGTGACTTGAATGTTGGTCCATTCAGTTGTCAAGAGGTAGTAGTATCCATCGCCAGAGTACACGATGAAAGGGTCGGATCCATCTTTGGCTCTCAAAGGGTTGGTGAATGAAGCCGCGAGTGCAGTAGAAACAGCACTGAGGGCCAAAAGAACAGCTGAGGCAAACTTCATACTGAAAATCGGATCTGGATGCGTTTGCTAAAGGTCATCCACGGCGACCCATCGCCTTATATCTTAGACCAGGAGCCATCTGCCCTAATGAGAAGACAGCCATTATGTAAGTTCTTCCGTAGGTGAATTATCCGTGTATGATCTCGGCGTATGTACGAGTAGCAGGGAGACAGCACGTTCGACTAGACGTATAGGGCTCGCTAAGTATACTTTTTGGTGGAAGAGATCATGGACTAGGGCTTCCTACGGGTTTCTTTGCATTCCAAGCAGCCGAGAACGTCGCCGTCGGCGATTTGTGCCTTGTGATCTATGCGTGGTCGTGACAAGTGTGCCTTGGCGTTTGGTATATATGTTTAGCGAGGAGTAGGTCTCCCCGTGGGGTCGTGAAGTGGAGATGCGGAGGATAATTATGGAGAATTGGTGCATGTTGTTTCAAGGGTACTCCGGTGGGCTGGTTACTTTTGAAGGCTTGCAATACTTGGAAAGAAGGAGCGATCATCAAGCTGGACTATGTAAGTGTCTTCTAGCGCACCTTGGCGGGTTTCATGTCAAGGCATCTCGGTTAATATGATGACCTGTACGGAAAATGCTACTTTCAGTGGGCAAACACGTCGCAACGGAATGCATCTTGTCTTTTCACAAAACGATAATGCCGCCTGCTCGATCATGGAGATGCCGACAGGGGTCGATTTAGGGGTTACCAAAAACACAATGATATCGATCCCAGTCTACAAGTACACTCCCTTTGCTAGGCATCAAGATGCACAGTTGAATCGAAACACACGCCAAGAGCGGTCCGCAGCAGAGAATCATTCAGATAATTGATCAATCTCTAGGCAAAAAGACGATTGTAACCATGTACTCAAACTTGTTTGCCACCAAGATAGCAGAACTCGTCCTCTAGTCGCGGTGGATATCAACAACCGGACCTTTGTACACATGTCTTCCCCTAACCACAAAGTAAACAACCGATATGATAGCTACGCCTCCGAACATGACACAACCATAGTTCATCGTCTTGACTGTGACGATAGCAAACATGGGGAAGAAGCTGATGATGGCTTGTTGAATCATGTACAAGACAGCAAAGGCGTTGATGGGTATGCCAAAGATACCGAGAGAGAACCTTCCTTGAGGCAAGGGCATGCCGCGAATCTTTCTCCAGAGCACGCATGCAATACTGACCGAATATGAGAAGCCACCAGATCCGGCGAGTAAGCCAACGATCGAGTTGAAAGCTGTGGTAGAGCCGAGATTGACGAGCGCGAGGACGATCGTGATGGACAGAGAGAAGAGGATAGCGTTGAGGGGAATCGGTGTGCCGATGGTAACAATCTTCGTTTGTCAGCAAGCCTCAACCTCACATTGGTCTGCGCAAAAAGCTCACCTGTCTGAACCATCCAGAGAAGGGTAGCCCTTTGTCGCGAGCGAAGGAGAAAATTTGACGTGAAGCGGCGGCCAAGACGCTTAAGCATGCACAGAAATTCAAGAGAATAAACAGAGTTGTCATGAGCGTAGCACCAACGTCGGAGCCGATCGCCTTCTGAAAGATCGAGATATATGGATAAAACGATGGGTTGTTTACAACCATCGCGTCGTAATCGGTGATGCAGAGGACAAAGGTAATGATGGAGATGAGGCCCATGGCACCATTGAGAAGGACAGTGGCAAGCATGACCCGAGGGACGACGTAGCTAGCGTTGGCTACCTCTTCAGCAAGATGAGCTGGAGCATCAGACCCTTGGCTCGTTAGTGAGGGGGGTTGTGGTTTATGTGTCCTGCTTACCTCCAAGCGATCCAACGGCAGTCAGCTGCCCAATCACCACAGCGGCTCCGACACTACTCCACCCACCAGTGTTGGCAAAAGAGGTGATGGCTTCTTTGGCAGAGACTTTGGGAGCAATGACCCATAGAGGAATAAGGACAGCGAAAAACCCGAAGATGTGTAGGAATAGGATGGTCGCCTCAAGCAGAGGTAAACGTTTCGCGCCAACGGTGTTGACCAAAACCGCCAGGACGGCCATCAGTATTGTCATGAGAGTGCCATGCCAGAGTGCGGGTGTGTACGTAGGATGCATGATAGAGGCAAGTTCGAGTATCACGTTGCCGGCAGCAAAAGACGTAAGCGCAATTGATGCCTGCCAACCGAGTGCAGAAAGCCATCCAACAAAGTAGCTAAGGGACTTTTGATATTTCGCTGGAGCAAATTCGCTTGTCCCTGCCGCAACAATGATCAGCACGAATCGCAATCTGTGCTTGTTGAGCATTGCTTACAATGATATTGTCCTCCAGAAGTGGGCGCCATACTAGCCATCTCAGCAAGCGACAAAGTGACAGTGATTGTGCATATCCAGGTTGCGATGTAGGACCAGATTGAACCAGCAAGACCGCCGTTGACCAAACTGAAGCTGGCAGACCCTATTAAAGCTTGCCATGTTCCCATGCTCGAGTTGGGTTAGCTTTTCTCTGCGTGGTCGTCTGAGGTGGTCTTCAGCTTACAGTACACTTGACAAGCCGAGCATTGAGAATGCATGGAAATTTCTTCTGAACTCCTGTTTCTTGCCCAAACGCATCATATCAGCGGCATCTCGAGCAGTACCAGACTTGATTTCCTGTCCTGGCTTCATCTCATATCCTTTCTCGCTGATGGGAGTTTGGAGCTCGAAAGCTTCATCTTTGTGATCTGGCATGATGACTCGAGGTGTCTGAATATGCTAGAGCGATGGGCAACCTCAAACAGTGGACACCCTATTCGTAATATAGTGACTCTCTCAGATTTCGGCAGATTTTGATGAACTTTCTCTGTTTCTTGTACTCCATATCCGGCACTGCTTTCTCGATCGGTCGAGAAACGGCAGAGCGGCATTCAGATGGGATGCACACACCCGTACCTTTCTGGACGGTACGGGTTCGTTCATAATATGGCTTCTGTTGTATCTCATGAGAGATGTTGTACGATTAGCAGTGTGTATCAGTTCAGGGCAGTCATTCGAGCTTATAGTAACACAACGTGCTTCTAGCCGTAGAAGAATATGTAACACGAGGCTATCAGCGTGACGATCTACGAACATCGTTACTGTACAAGCGTGATCGAGGAAGCGAAGTCAGACTCGAGCTGCGGTAGCGAAGGTGAGACGGAATCTACACTTGCATTGCGCAACTCGAGAGCTGCACCTTGCCCGAGATAATCCACCATTGAGGAGCCCCTCACCTGCAAACCAAAGGCCACATACGACTCAACCAGCCGGGTCATAAACTGTGGGTTGAATTCACGCTCCCCATCTGAAAGTGACCACGAATGTTCCGGAAGTGGCACATTCGACCATGTATAACAATTCCAGCAAGCTGACGGTTGTGTGAGACAAGGCTGATGCTATGTGGTGGTACGCCTTGCTCTTGCCACAGCACCTCCATTTCCCGGAGATCCAGTTCACACCAGTTCCAGTAACTTTGCGCACACACATGCCACGTGCTAGTGGTACATGAGCGCAATGTGGCCGCCCTTGCGAAAGCACGCGACACGTAGTACGAGACCAGACATCTGGCGACAAGCTATAGTGTCCTAAGCAATTCAGGGCATGGCGTGCAGCTTCGGATTTGCAAAGGCACCGTTCAAACCAGGTAAGCTTCACCTTTCAGACGCCACCCGACATTACCACTTATTATGCATCAATAGCAAGCTCCGCTCGCCGCTAGACAGAACACACGACTCGGGATGCGGGATGCGGGTACCCGTCAAGGCGCGCTCACAAGAGGCCGGAAATAGACATCGGTTGCAAGCACTTGTTTCATGCTCTTAGGGTCGTACTTCCGATAGAGCCGTCCGACAACGTCTTTCAAAAGTACTAATCGCACAAGACAGCCACGTACTGCTCTGAAAGAACCCCAGTGACTAGTGGGCGACCTTGGCCTCGGTTTCTGCTGCCTTATGTGATAGGTGCTCGAGATGGTGCGCAGTGTTACGCTTATGTTGTGCTCGAATTTCTTCTCCTTAAACTATCGACTCCACGCGGGCAATCATGTCGGCGTATGCATCTGATTCTCGCTTTCTTGTTCTAACGACCATCGTAGTCAATGCCAACGGTTCCAGATGGAGGTAGCAAATGCAAACGCTCGACCTGCCATAACATCAGCAGATCATTCAGCATACATCTTCATCGCAACAGCTCTATGTCTTGTTTGTATGATGCTCTTTCTGAGTGTCCGGCTCGTCGTTCGATATCCATGGGCTCGGTCTTTTGGACTCGATGACTGGGCGACGCTGTCCGTCTCGGTCGGTTTGAACATCCAGTGTATAAGCAAAGGGGCTGACTGTCTAGGTATGTGCTTTGTGCCAGAGTATCGTTGTACTTTCGAGTGCAAAAATTGGGCTTGGAAGGGCCGAGTCAGAGCTGTCGTCTTACCAGATACGGACAGCTCTAAAAGTATTTAAGTGCCTTCAAACTTCGGTCAATGTACTGACCATGAGCAGCTTCTCTATGTGAGCGATCTGCTCTACGTTCCGACCATCTTTATGGCACAACTTGCGGTCAGTCTCTTCTTTCTGAGATTGTCAGGGCCCGAACGCAGTTTCTTCCATCGTCTCGCTCGCTTCATTGCAGGGACTTCAATGCTCCTCGCGGCGGTCTGTTCAGTCGTGGTAGCGATCCGCGCAGAACACGGACTACATGTGTGGGACATCCTGGTGGTAGGCCACAAATCGATAGTGAGTCGTTCAGAATCTCTCGTCTGATTGAAAGGAACACTGAATGCGGCACAGCTATATCGTTGGATCGCGATGGGTCTCCTGAGTATGTTGGTCGAAATTCTGTTGATCATCTGTCCGGCATACCTCCTGTGGGCTCTGCACATGCCACTGAGGACGAAGCTTGGCTGTGCGGTCTACTTCAGTCTCCGGTTCCCGTGAGTACTATGGCCTACTGGAAGGAACGACCACTGACTTGCCAGAACGGTGATATTGGCCACCTTCCGGTTGATCGTGTTGGTCAAGGCGAACAAGAAAGTCGATCGCACTTTCGACATGACGATGCCGACAGTCCTGACACAGCTTGAGATGCACTTCATGGTTCTGGCTGCCACGATACCGATTCTGCGGAACCCTCTCACAAAGCTCAATTCTGGCTATCTCAACACGACATTAGAGCAGATGGACCCGGCGGCAAGTGCAGCGTATGCCTCATCGAGGTCTGGAAGCAGTGGCAAAGGGCCGTCGATTGCCTTGTCACATGTTATGGCGAGCCGACGACATGAGGACAGCATCGTGGAGCAAAGAGCAGGAGAGGGGATCGAGACAATCGCCGAGGGTGGGTCGGACACGGTCGAAGAAGGTCAGAGTGTTTTGTCAGAAGGATCAGACAAGATCATGATCAAGCGGACAGTCATGATAGACTATGCGTGATGTATTTGACAATAATTGTTGTCATTGTCAGGCAAGAAATGTGGACTTTGATTCTTATCCTGTGCCAATGGCAATCTGAATGACTGGCATGTACAAGTGCATTGTTGACGGTTGCAGTGTTGAGGCAATGTTGCAGAGGATGGTGCTTGTCGCGAAGAGGGAAAAGTCGGGGAGATTTTAGACAAAGCGGAGATAAGCCGATGCGATCCGCGCGTGGCTGGTACCTACGTAACGGCGCGTTTTCTGCTGGATCACTCAGAACGTCGCGACTGGACTGCTAGATTATGACCTGAAGCATGGTTACAGGTCACTGGAGTGCATCAAGTCACTCGACTGTCTCCAAGTACTTCCTTCTCATGAGTAATTCCAGCAAGGAGATTGGATGATATCGAGGAGGGGTCTGGTCATGGACTGCTCATGGCAGCTACCCCACTGCCGGGGAGATGGAGGCCGAAGTCGGCGACAGCGATCCAGACGCTCGCCAAGGCATGCAGGTCGCACTCCCCGAAAACTAAGTGAGAGCAAGAGGCCGCTGGCGAATATTTTTGAGTCATCCAAGCCGGCCAAACTCCCTATAATCCCTCGAAACAGAGGCGTCGCTCTTGCACACTATCCTCACTCGCATATCGATTGATTGCGCCAGATTGTCCAAGATGCTCTCGTCACAAGCACCGAATCGGGCTCTCCGCTTGTCGCTCCGCGCTCGCCACTTTTCCACATCTCGCCCTGTCGCCGCCGTCTCACCATACAGATCGCCGAATCCCGCAACATCACAGTCAAAGGTCGAGAAGAGAACACAGAGCACAGCCGCCGCTGCTGCTTCGCAAACCTCGCCCGCACGCGCCGTGCCTAGCCCGGCCTTCAATCGCTCCGTCAAGGAAGATGTCCAGCCTCTCCAGGCCTTCAAGCAGCCCGAGATGGACCACTCGTTCGTCGGAATGAACGGTGGCCAGATCTTCCACGAGATGATGTTGAGACACAACGTCAAGCACGTCTGTGAGTAGCCACCATTGGCCCCGACACGCATCCACTGCACTCGCGACTAACATGTTCGACAGTCGGTTACCCCGGAGGTGCGATCTTGCCCGTCTTCGATGCCATCTACAACTCCGAGGCCTTTGACTTCATTCTTCCCCGCCACGAACAAGGAGCTGGCCACATGGCCGAGGGTTACGCTCGTGCTTGCGGCAAGCCCGGTGTCGTCCTCGTCACCTCTGGTCCCGGAGCCACCAACGTTATCACACCCATGCAAGATGCTCTGATGGACGGTACCCCCATGGTCGTCTTCTGCGGTCAGGTCCCCACCACCGCAATCGGCTCAGATGCTTTCCAGGAGGCCGATGTCATTGGCATCTCGAGAGCCTGCACAAAGTGGAACGTCATGGTTAAGAACATCGCCGAACTGCCGCGTAGAATCAACGAGGCCTTCGAGATTGCTACCTCTGGCCGCCCCGGTCCCGTCTTGGTCGACTTGCCCAAGGATGTCACTGGTGCCATGCTCAACCGCCCCATCCCCATGAGCAGCACTCTCCCCACCCACCCCAGTGCTGCCTCGCTCGCCGCAAAGGACTTGAGCAGAAAGCAGCTCGACACGGCCATCGCTCGCACTGCTGATCTCATCAACATGGCCAAGAAGCCCGTCATCTACTGCGGTGCTGGTATCCTCGGCCATGTTGACGGTCCCAAGCTCTTGAAGGAGCTCTCCGAGAAGGCCCAGATTCCTGTCACCACTACCCTCCAGGGTCTCGGTGCTTATGACGAGCTTGACCCCAAGGCTCTTCACATGCTCGGCATGCACGGTTCCGCCTTCGCCAACATGGCCATGCAAGAGGCCGATCTCATTCTCGCCCTCGGTGCCCGTTTCGACGATCGTATCACTGGTCACGTTCCTCGCTTCGCTCCCCAGGCCCGTCTTGCCGCTTCTGAAGGCCGCGGTGGTATCGTCCACTTCGACATCATGCCCAAGAACATCAACAAGGTCATTCAATGCACCGAGGCTGTTGAAGGTGACGTGACTGACAACCTCCGTCACCTCCTTCCTCAGGTCAACAACACCGCCGAGAGCGACCGCAAGGAGTGGTTCGGCCAGATTGCTGACTGGAAGAAGCGCTTCCCTTGGGCTTACGAGAAGGAGTCCGGTCCCGACTCGCTCATCAAGCCTCAGACCGTCATCAGCATGCTTTCTGATATGACCGACCACATCAAGGACAAGACCGTCATCACCACTGGTGTTGGTCAACATCAAATGTGGACCGCCCAGCACTTCCGCTGGCGTCACCCTCGCACCATGATCACCTCTGGTGGTCTCGGCACGATGGGTTACGGTCTCCCTGCCGCCATCGGTGCCAAGGTCGCCTGCCCTGAGAAGCTCGTCATCGACATTGACGGTGACAGCTCCTTCTCCATGACCTTGACTGAGCTCTCCACTGCTGCCGAGTTCAACATTGGTTGCAAGGTCCTCATCTTGAACAACGAGGAGCAGGGCATGGTTACACAGTGGCAATCTCTCTTCTACAACGATCGCTTCGCACACACCCACCAGCGTAACGCCGACTTCGTCAAGCTTGGTGACGCCATGGGTGTCCCTGCTCGTCGTTGCACCAAGATCGGTGACCTCAAGGACAGCCTCCAGTGGCTCATTGAGGGCTCTGGCGAGGGTCCCGCCCTTCTTGAGGTCGTTACCGACCAGAAGATCCCTGTCTTGCCTATGGTTCCCGGTGGCTCTGCCCTCCACGAGTTCCTCGTCTACGACGAAGCCAAGGAGAAGGAGCGTCGTCAGCAAACAAGAGACCGTTCCGGCAGGTAAACTCGCCTCTTGATTTGACGCAACAGTCCCTTTTTCCCCCTTCTGTAAATCTTTCCGGCCACTTGGCCTTTTCTTCCTTATGACTCTCCTGGGGTGTTTTCTTCAGGTTTTCTTCAGCATTTTGGCAGCGGAAAAGACTTGTGTTTTTCTTTGCGGGCGTTCTATATCTACCTTTTTTTACGTTATGCTTTTCTTCACGGGAAGAGATGGGATCGCATCCAATGCAAAACTGGATCTTTGATCCTCAGGGTGAACAAAAGTCTATTATTCTGGTTACTTCTGTACAAGCGCCGGAGGGAGGGATGAAATATGAAACCTTTTTGATCCATGAAATTATCTCTTCCTTGTTCTTTAAAACTTCTTATGTGCTTAACTTCGTCACGTGTGGACTCAAGTTCAACTACAGACTCGCCTCCCGATACTGCTTTTCCATGCAACTGAAATGTCCACATTCGTGGTCGCTGCAATCCCCCTGAGGCTCCTGGTATCCATCGGACTAGGACATTGCAAGAATTGACTCCAGGATTTGGGCTGGAGATTCTCCTTTCTCGATTCATTGCTCGCATGAATTGACTTCGTGTTTCCTTGATCCGATGACTCAACCTGCAGTGTCGATTTCGAGCTGAGCGGGCTGTTGGTGATCAATTTTTGTTGCTTACAAGGCTCCGTTCGGGCCATGTGTTTCCAGAGATCCCTGTAAGATGGAGATTCTCAGACGCTGTTTTCCTGAGTGGCTCTCCCCGGTGTTCTTTTCATTCAGTGTGTCTGAGTCAAATAGCACGACATCGGTGTAGCTGACGATCCTGGTTGTCTTTATCGCTTATACCTCCCGAAGACACTCTTTGAAGCGACTTAGACATGTGCCTCGCTCTTTTCTGGCCCATGTTGGCCATTTGGTAATATTCGCTATCGATCCGTATCATAATGGCTTATGAGGACGGGGTCTTTTCGGAGATGGTGTATGTTGCTCAAAAAGCTTGAACATCCTCCAATCTAGGTCGTGCAGGCAAAAAGACTTGATTCAGCGAGATCACCAAAAACAAGAAGGCCGCAAGGAAGAGAGAGACTCCTGCACTGGCAAAACAAAACATACAGCAGCAGGGATTCCCACGTGGTCACCCACCGTAGTACTAATCTGCCGTTCAACTGCTTATGTATGGCAGAGCGGACGGGATGCCCAGTTTTCAGCTGACTGTGGCCGTATGTGCTTGTTCTTCGAAGCCGTCCCCATATATGTAAGGGCATCTGCCCAAAGGTCTAAATTTGAATCAGCGAATTGGAGTGCTCGAGTGGTGAAAGCTTCTCAAGGCCTGGCGTCGATTTGACTCCGGAGTCTGCACTGTGCGACAACAAGCCACGACAAGAGCTTCTAATTTTTGTAACGTTCAAGACTTGAGCTCACCAAGTCCATGATCTTGGGACAGTAACCAGATTGTTGCTTGCATGTCAAGGCTTCTTTTGACTGTTGTGGCAGTACAGAGGACTTATCTCACTCTGCCGCCCAACCCGCGTCTTTTGACTTCGTCTGGTCGGCGCAGTGTCATCGTGATGTTTCCTAACAAGGACCTATAAAAGGTCGACGATTCGTCATGGAGCGACAAGCGGAACGTCTGACTTGAGTCCGTTAGCTGCGATGGTTTCGTGGTCTCATCACTTCCCCACATTGAGACGTCTATGGTTCTGTATACCCGATTAGGAATGGCACCCCAGCTGGTCAGCCCCGCGTCGATCCCACCTGGTAGACACAACCCTTAGAGAAGTCACAGCATCCAGAACAAGAGCACAGCTAATCGAAGATGGTTGGTTCTATATCTACAGCATCTTCCCACAGTGGAGGTGATGGCACTCAAATCATCCTGTTTTATTCTCAATCCCTTTACTCCACTCCTGTACAAGACCACCTTCCCGTCTTTTGCAAGGACTGAGAGCAATCGGCTCTTCCGACTAGAGCTTCAGCAACTATATTCATCCAGGAGAAGATCACCAACGCATCACAACAATGCTTTCCAAGCTATATTCGCCACGTGTGGTCATCATTGGAGCTGGTATCGTCGGCACCAATGTTGCTGACGAGCTGGTTGCACGAGGATGGACCAACATCACAGTGGTTGACCAAGGACCTCTAGATATGCCTGGAGGCTCTACATCACATGCTCCTGGACTTGTTTTTCAAACCAACGTTTGCAAAACGATGACCTTATTCGCACGCTACACAGTTGAAAAGTTCATGGCTCTGGAGGAGGATGGTCAGAACTGTTTCGACCAGGTTGGCGGCCTTGAAATCGCCACCGATGCCGCACGCATGGCGGAATTGAAGCGCAAGCATGGTTATGCACAATCTTGGGGCATCGAAGCTCGTCTGATTACCCCTGAGGAGTGTTTGGAGAAGTACCCGCTGTTGAACAAGGAACAGGTTCATGGCGGTCTTCACATTCCTACCGACGGACTTGCATTGGCTGCTCGTGCTGTTCAACTCCTCATCAACCGTACCCGCAAGGCTGGCGTACAATATATCGACAAGACTCCGGTGACTGGTATCGCCCGCGCTGATGGCCATGTTACCGGTGTAGAGACACCAAACGGTACCATCCCAGCCGATATCGTCGTCTCTTGTGCCGGTTTCTGGGGCGTTGAGATTGGTGCCATGATTGGCCTACCTATTCCTCTGCTCCCTCTGGCTCACCAATACGTCAAGACTACCTCCGTACCGGCACTTGCTGGTCGCAATAACCCTGAAGGTGGTGCATCGTTGCCTATCCTGCGTTACCAAGATCGGGATCTATACTACCGCGAACACGGCGACAAGTACGGTATTGGATACTACGGCCACAAGCCCATGCCGATCGTAGCTTCAACTCTGGGTGTCACACCCGAGCACGTTGATCACAAGAACATGCCCTCTCGTCTTGAGTTTACTCGCGAAGATTTTGAGCCTGCATGGGAGCTGTCCAAGAAATTCTTGCCTTGCATGGACGAGGTCGAGATTGAGGACGGTTTCAATGGTATCTTCTCCTTCACACCTGATGGTGGCTCTCTCGTCGGCCAAGCACCAAACCTCGAAGGTTTCTTCGTTGCCGAAGCTGTCTGGGTTACACACTCCGCTGGTATTGCTCGTGCAGTAGCAGAGGTGTTGACTACTGGAAAGAGTCAGATTGACCTTGGAGCTGTCGAGTTGAACCGCTTCGAGGAGGTCCAGCTGAGCAGCTCCTATGTCAAGGAGACTTCAATGCAGAATTTTGTCGAGATTTACGACATCATGCATCCGCTCCAACCCCGAGAGTCGCCTCGCAATCTTCGTGTCAGCCCTTTCCACGCTCGCCAGAAGGAGCTTGGCGCTTATTTCCTGGAGGGTGGTGCCTGGGAACGTCCCTACTGGTTTGAGGCTAACGAGAAGTTGGTCAAAGACTTGCCAGAAGAGTGGAAGCCAAAGGACCGCGATGCATGGTCTTCGAGGTACTACAGCCCGATCGCCGCTGCAGAGGCTTGGAAGACTAGGACAGCCGCGGCAATGTACGACATGACACCGCTGCGTCGCTTGGAAGTCTACGGACCCGGTGCTGTGGAGCTTCTGCAGCGTGTGAGCACTGGAGATGTCGGCAAGAAGCCTGGTGCCGTCACATACACACTTTTCCTTGACGGCAGAGGTGGTATTCGCAGTGATGTGACGGTTGCTCGCATCGAAGACCAGCTGTTCCAAGTCGGCTGCAACGGACCCGTCGATCTTGTATATCTCAACAAGGAGGCCGCAAAGCAGATGCAGCAAGATCCTACAAAATGGGTCACAGTACGTGACATCACTTCTGGGACCTGCTGTATTGGCCTCTGGGGACCTAAGGTTAGAGAGATCATCAGCAAAGTCAGCTCAGACGACTTCTCAACAACAGCAAAGGGCCTTCGCTACTTCCGCACCAAGCGTGCCAGCATCTCCGGTATCCCAGTAACTATTATGCGCTTGTCGTATGTAGGAGAGCTGGGTTGGGAGATTTACACGACATCCGACCGCGGCCAAGCGCTCTGGGACGCACTCTGGGAGACAGGTCAAGAACAAGGAGTCATTGCGGCTGGCCGCACTGCCTTCAACGCACTCAGGCTGGAGAAGGGATACAGATCTTGGGGCTCAGACATGAACACCGAGCACGACCCTTACGAGGCTGGCGTTGGCTTTGCCGTCAAGGCAGGAAAGCTGGGCTACTACGGTCAAGCTGCTCTCGAGGGACGCTCAGTGGAGACATCCAAGAAGAGACTGCGCTGTCTTGTCGTCGATGATGGTTCGTCGGTGGTCCTTGGCAGAGAGCCGGTGTTTGTCGGCGGCAAGCCAAGCGGATATGTCACCAGCTCTGCGTTCGCATACACAATCGGCAAGCCCATAGCTTATGCATGGTTGCCAAGCTCGATCAATGAGGAGGACAAGGTTGAGATTGAGTATTTCGGCAAGAGGATCGAGGCTACGGTCACTGCCGAACCACTATTCGACCCTTCGATGTCACGTCTGCGTGGTTGATCGGGCTTCTAGAAGTGATAAGGTTTTATTTATAGCATAGACATCCCGGCGCACTTTAATGATCAAGCATACATTTAGCAATGTTATCCGAACCGTTTCCAGTCAAAGCATAAATCTCCACAAGTGCATATTTTCTGGAAGGTGTCGAAGCATGTCAAGCATCTCCAAAAACATGACAAAATGAGAGCACAATTGTTCTGGCGAGACACGCAAGATATCAAATCGTTATTTAGCATTATTCGCTGTCTCGTGATACGTGTCACCTTACAATGGGACTTGACAAGAATGAGACTGTGTCTGTGGCTTTGTCAAGAGAGTGATCTCAGAGCAAATGCCAAATTTCAAGAAGATGCACCGCCGATGTCGCATAAGTCTATAGAAATGACAAGTAATTAGCAACTAGGTTGGGGAACATCATTCGACCAATCTCCAGGCTCGTAGATGTGTTGTACACTGCTATCTCCAGGGTCAAAAGATAGGATGGATGTAGATGCCAGGGTCAGTCCCTTGGCGAAAAGTCTGATGACGTAGGACACAACTGGAGTAGGTGTAGTGTGAAGACTTATCGTGAGTGAGCCGCCAGATGTTGTTCAAAGCCGCATTCCAGAGCCAGGCTTGGGTCATAGTATTCTTACTTCTGTATCTCCCGTGGATGTTCAAGAGAATGGCATGCACCCATTAGGGAAGGATTAGAGGTGGATGCGTGGGGTTGTGGCGGGGTCTTGTGCGGAACACGTGAGGACGATGGATGAGACTTCCGCAATCGGAAGTGGATATGATGACCATGTTGAGCATCGACCCTTGACCACGTAGGTGTTTTCGCCCGTCGATATTATAATAGAGACAATCGGCAGCATGTAGCTGTTGTTCGCCATAAGCACCTTTTTGCATTCTCGAGCGACTTGCCTCTGTCAAGCATGGCATCCAACAAGTCATACATCATCGTCGGCGCTGGCGTTTTTGGCGTTTCGACAGCTTTCCACCTGATCAAGAAGTACCCCAACGCAGACATCACTCTGGTCGACCGTGATGCTTTCGACCAGGATACCCGTGTGGCCGCCTCGTGGGACTGGAACAAGGTGGTCCGCGCCGACTACGACGACATCGTCTACTGCAAGATGGCCATCGAGTCACAGGATATGTTCAAGACAGACAATCTGTGGAAGCCATACTTCTATCAGACGGGCATCTACTGGATGTGCCGCAGCGACTACGCTCAGGACGTCGTCAACAACTACAAGAAGCTGGGCCGAACAGCCGACCTTGCAGCTGTGCCAATCGACGAGGCACGCAAGCTGTACGGTGGTTTGTTCGAGGACGCCGACTACACCGGTGTCAAGGAGGTCCTCGTCAACAAGTCCAGTGGCTGGGCTACTGCTGGCGAGTGCCTGATTGGCATCACTCGCGAAGCCTTGAGACTCGGTGTCAAGTACAAGCAAGCCGAAGTTGCCTCGCTGCAGTTCGACAATGGCCGTGTTACCGGCATCAAGACTGGTGATGGCGAGACCTTAACCGCTGCACATACCCTTCTCTGTACTGGAGCATACACACCAAAGCTGCTGGAATACTGTGCGCAAGCGAGCGGTAACAACGACCTCTGTGCTGGTGAGAGAATAGTCGCTGGTGGTATCACCACTGGTATGACAAAGCTCGACGAGGAATCATACCGCAGGTTTGCGTCCATGCCTGTTGGTGTGCAGGGCTACACCGCCGAAGATGGTAAGCTCGCTTTTGTTTGTTTGCCATAGTCAGGAACTGATCAGAACAATAGGACCTTTCATCGGCAGTCTGCCACCCACAAGAGACAGAGAACTCAAGTGGTGGGGTGAGAAGATCTTCAAGAACGACACAGAAGTCTTGCCTGGACGCATCGTTTCTGCACCACCTGCCAAGCCGGACTATGGCCAGTGGGAGGTATCAGAAAGATTGAAGGAGGATATTCAACACGCCAACCATGTCTTTTACGGAAAGAAGTCTGCACACTGGAAACTGGAGAAGCATCGTATCTGCTGGTAGGTTGTTTTGCTCATTCAAGAATATTACAAATATTAACTTGTCAACAGGGACGCATTCACAACCAGCTCCGATTTCATCATCTCACCACACACAGCCGCCAAAGGTCTTTACGTTGCCACATGTGGCAACTTCCACGGCTGGAAGTTCTTCCCTGTGCTAGGCAAATACATCATCTCTATGCTCGAGGGTACTTTGGAGCCCGAGTTGTCGGAGAAGTGGGGTTGGGACAGAGAGCGACCTGATCCCAAGTACTTCGCCGACTGGCCGAGACACGATATGAAGGACATGTTGGACCCTGTCAGAACATCCAAGCTATAATACATTACACCGACAGCTTGATATACATGAGGAAACGCATTTTGTCTTTTGAATTTGTGATGGCAAGAGATAGCAGATGGTGACGGATTCTTGTGACTCGGTACTCAAAGACCAGTACAGATCAGTACACGGAGCAACTCAAGCGACCAACGCAACCAATCGTCTAATCGAGCGCCACAATCCAAGCGACACAAGCGTTCAGAGTAACTCAGGTAGCGAGCCAACGCGAAATCACTCAACACCACAGATGGCAGCTTCTAGTATGCACGCAACGTAGTTCTGGCAATCGACGTAAAATTTGTGGAGGTATGAACTCGAACGTTTTCGCTTCAAGACACATCACGCTTCGAGCTGCGATGAGCAAGGCTTGTGACGAAGAGCAGGCCAGCATCACTTAATCTGTCATCACAGGGATGGTCTGGGCACAGGATGACCGCTCTCAATCAACGAGTTGCCCATTTGCGTGCTGATACGCAGCATGTAGTTGGCAAGGCTCAGTTACAGCATACTCTCAAGCCGCAGAAGCTGAAAACGAGGATGTGAACGGAGTTTGCTTACTACTAGCAGCTATCTGGGAACTGGTAATCGTTCAACGCGCTAGTGCTCACATCGACAAAGCAAGGTGAGTTCTGCGACCCCGATAGCATGTAACTTGAGCACAGACAATCAAAATCAAAATTGAAATCAAGGACATCGTTCTCAGGATCGAAAGCCAATAAGTTGCATACAAAACACCATGTTCATGGAAGGCTAGTCCCAAGGATACTCAAAATCCTGCTCTATGGGAAGAGCTGTTGTCAGGCTCAAATCGTCGGACTCCATTTGCGATCACAGCCGGAGCAGGAGTAGAATGCTCGATAACAGCAGTCTATGAACCTGCGAGACATTCTTGCTACGGAGGAGAGGAGAGCTTGTTTTGGTGTTCTCGATGAGTAGTGCAGAAAATCCACCCTTCGAGAAGGCATTCCTTTGTCTGGGAATCGAGACCAGCTTGGCGAGTCGCTGTCGAGATAAGCTTACAGAAGCCACTGTCCCAATTTGGTTGCGACTTCCCCAAAACTCAGATTGCAGTTTCCCCTGGAGCCCTGGGTTCAAACTAGTCCCGTGACTTTCCTGATAGCCGGTGTGCAACTTCTCCAGGAACACTGGACTCAAACTGGTCAGCCCTTCTCACTTGCATATCGGTTGGGCGATCGTGCATCTTGTGTCATGATAAGGTCACTATGCAGGGACAATGAAACAATATGGTAGCGGACTCGCAAAAGTTGACCGCCTAGGGTAACTCACGACACATGAGGCTGTACACCCCTCAGATGTATCCCCGCGTGCGTGCGTACCCCGTAATGGCAAAAGCAACCACTAAGCCTAGATATCAACGAGGATGATCTCCATCAAAAGACGAATCGGGTGCTCTTCTACAGAGTGACAGCATATTATTGACCTATCTTCAAGTCATCTCCGGACTTCAGAACATCGAACAACTATCTCTTGAATTCGATTCCATACTACGCCACAGCTATGTACACAGAAGCCACACAGCAACCAAAGCCTTGGGCATGGACACCCTTGATAGAAAGTCGACCACTATCAGAAGCAGCAGGATGGTTTGTCTCACGATTCTTTTGTTTTCCAATCACAAAAACCCTTCAATTGCACAATCCTACACCACCACACGTCCATGAAAACGATTTCTAAATCGCAGAAGCAGAGTCTTTCTCAAGTTGGATAACCTCCAACCATCTGGATCCTTCAAATCGCGTGGTGTTGGTAACTACGTCCTCCAACGTGCCGCCGAACGTATCACCTCCTCTGCCACGCCCAACTCAACACATTTCTATGCGGCCTCGGGTGGTAATGCAGGCATTGCTTGCGTCCACGCCGCTAGGATGCTTGGATATCCTGCCACCGTGGTTGTACCTAAGAGTGCCAAACCCGTCATGATTGCAAAGATCTGGGCCATGGTATGACCAACTCTATCTTCGGTCGTTGTTAAGATCGCTGACTGTTGGATTTTCCAGGGCGTCTCAAAAGTCATCCAGCATGGGTCCACCATTGCAGAAGCACAAGAGTACATTCTCAACACTCTCTTGCCGGCTGATCCTACTGGCGTTTTCGTACCTCCTTTTGATCACCAAGATATCTGGGATGGCAATGCAACCGTCATGCAAGAGATTGCATCACAGCTCGGTGACAAGCCCGATGTTGTCGTATGTAGTGTCGGTGGTGGAGGCTTACTCAACGGTATCATGCAAGAACTCGACGATAAGAAGTGGAACAACGATGTACAGGTCTTGGCCATGGAGACCAAGGGAGCCGACTCGTTGCGTCAAAGTCTCGATGCAGGCCACATCATCACACTCCCAAGGATCACATCACAGGCTACCAGTCTTGGAGTCGTCAGAGTCGCAGAGAAAACCTACGAGTATGCTCAGAGGCCGAACGTCACGAGCGTTGTACTCTCTGACGAGGAGGCTGCTAAGGGATGTTGTTTGTTGGCCGAACACGAAAGAATGATGGTCGAACTGACTGTAGGTGTCAACGTGCCAGTCTGCTTCGACGGATTTCTGCAGAGACTATTGGCCTCGAAGAAGACAATCACCAAAGACAGCAAGGTAGTGCTTGTTGTTTGTGGTGGCAATGACATTTCGCTCGACATGCTTATGGCATGGCGCATGGCTATGGTGGGCAGTGAGACTGTCCAAGAGAGCACTACATCAATGACCGCAAGAGTTGGAGCTACTGGCGTCACTGCCTGATTAATGACTGGATGGATGGATGGACGGATGGACAGAGAATAATGGGATATTCATGATGTTGGTTTTGGTTACATGCGCGCTATGGAATTGATTTTCTCCTACAAGTAATTTATCTTCATCATTTTTGAAGACAAGTGCATGTTGCCAACAGATTCAACACACATGAATATGGTCTTGGTACATCGAGACATAGATAGCGAGCATGGCACGTGAGTAGTTTTTGAGCCTCATCGGCCACGATATAATCATCCCATCGACGACCACAATCTCGATCTCGGTCCTTTTCTCTGTCTCGCACTGATTGTTATCATAAATCTACGTATCTCAGTGCACCAAACTGAGTTGGGATTGATTTTCCTACCACATGTAGTCGTTGCCAAGCTTATCAGCCATCGAATAAAGTTGAGCCAGCTGAAAGGGTCTTGCTGTGGGCTGACCCCGGATGGATTCGCATACCCTTTTGGGTCAGTATGCACATCCATCGCCACAATCGAGATTGCGATAGCGCTACACAAGCTCGGTGTGAATTCTTGGTTGGAGGCACAAAGTGCGACTAATCTTGGGTAATGAATCCTGCTCGCATCAGCTAATGATTACGCAAATCGACAATTTGTCTCGAATGCGCTGGCCTCATGAGCAAAAGAATGCTCAGCGTAGTCCTACCCCACGGGGCTCTATAGACCGTGTTGACGAGTTCGCATTGTCCATATAATTGAGGAACGGTCGAACTTGAGCTGAGTTCTTTCTCTCCTCATCTTCAACTTTGAATATTCACATCATCCTCCCTTTGTCGAGTATTGCCTCATCTCCTGCAATCTCTACATCCTTTCATAATATTCACAATGACATCCTTCCTAAGTTACTTCAACCGCAGAGATAGCGGAAACACGACAAAACCTGCCGAGGACAAGCAGCCCGTTAGAGCTCTCCCTGCATCATGGTACACCTCTGCCGACATGTACGAGCTTGAACGCCGTGCCATCTTCTCCAAGCGCTGGTTGCTCATCACACACAAACTCCGTCTCACCAAGCCTGGTGACTTCCTCCGCTACGATGTAGCAGGTTTCCAGTTCGTCCTTGCCCGTGACCGTCAGGACAACATCAACGGCTTCCACAACATTTGCCGGCACAGAGCATATCCCGTGGTCGAGAAGCAGGAAGGCTCAGCACGCATCTTCGCTTGCAGATACCATGGTTGGTCGTACGGCCTGAACGGAAAGCTCGCAAAGGCACCAAACTACCAGGAGCTTGAGGGATTCGAGAAGGAGAAGAACGGTCTTTTGCCCATCCACGTGCACGTTGACAAGAACGGTTTCGTCTGGGTGAACATGGACGCGAAAGAGGAGCCAGAGATTGCCTGGGAAGACAACTTCGATGGTGTCGATGTCCAGGAGCGTTATCAGCAGTTTGACTTCGAAAACTACCAGTTCGACCACAAATGGGAGATGGACGGTCCTTACAACTGGAAGATTTTGGCCGATAACTACAACGAGTGTTACCACTGCCCGACGACACACCCCGACATTCCTGCTCTGGCCGATCTAGAAGCATACTATGTCAACACTACCGCAAACCACATTCAGCACGAGGTCGCAAGTAGGCCGGATCAGGTTGCCGCTGGCTTGACAGTGGTGCCGACATACTACTTCCCCAACGCTTCTGTTAACGCGACGTAAGTTCCTGTTATATTGAAGCCTGCTGTCGAATTCAATCTGACAAACCATCCAGACCAAACTTCTTCTTCATGCAGCGGTTCGTCCCTCACGGAGCCGGCAAGGCAACCATGAGCTACGAGGTCTACCGCAACAAGAACGCCACAGATGAGGACTTCGAGAAGATCAACCAGATGTACAAGCGCATCATGTCAGAAGACAAAGTCCTCTGCGACGCCGCGCAAAAGAACGTCAACGCCGGCGTCTTTGTCAGCGGTCTGATGCACCCCAGAATGGAGAAGGGACCACTATACTTCCAGAAGCTCTGCAGAGAAGCAGTGACGGAACACCACGACAAGGAAAAGGCTGCTGGCGGCAAGATCCACCCCGCTAGGCAACAAATGTCGCAAGCTGAAATCCAGAGCGAAAAAGACATCGATTTCTGCTCTGGTTTGGCGTGTGGTGAAGAACAACAGGAGGCATTGGCCTGGTGAGATTTTTAGAGGTTCTCTGCTCTGAGGAATGATATATACATGCATAGCGTAACGACTTTTGGTCTGATTTAGACATTAGCGACTGATCTAATTGAATGATTTGACTTCTCTATTCCATCGTTTTCAATGCCTTATCATCGTGATGTGACCAATCTCCAAATGGGGTTCTGATCCTTGGGTTTGATGACAAGTCCAAAGTTACCCAGACACAGATGGTCTTGTGCTCTGTGTGGAAAGAGCTTTGGTAAGCGTACCTTCTAAACAGAGTTACGGATTGCACCTGCTCTAGCAGCCTCTTCACTGCCTTCTGTTTGAGTGCCAAGAAGAGCGCTCTCCTCGTCAATGACTTCCTTCTTGGGCGAAGCACCCACAGAAGCACTCTTCGACTTTTGCAAAGCAGACCACAGCGTGCTGGCAATCACAACAGCACCTCCGATGCATGACCAAAAGCCAGGGAAGACACCCCAGATCGCCCAGTCGAATGCGAGAGCAAACAAGATGCCTGTATATAGCATACTCGTAGCCTTGCTGGTTCTATCGAGTTGCAGTCCGGCGGTGAGCAAGAATTGCAGAACGAAGCCGAGAACACCGAGTAGTGACAAGAGCAACCATTCACGAGCTCCGTGAGGCATAGTGAAGCCCATACCGGGAAGCACGAGTAGAGCACCGGCGGACCCGAAAGTGCTGATCAAGGCGAAATAGTTGACTGAGATGAGTGCATGTGCACGAGAGCCAATGACACGAATCAGGGTGTATGCAGCAGACGCACCAAGAACGCCAATGACCGAGACGAAGATGGCGAGGAGACGCTGACCAGATGACACATCATCGATCTTGTTAGGCTTGTGCGGGAATTCAATGTCGTCGTCGACTCTGCCGAAGATGGCAGCTGGATGGGCGATGATGACCACACCAAGCAAAGCGATCACTCCAGCGGCAAATTCTGTCCTGCTGAAAGTCTGTCCGAGGAATACCGAGCAAGCCCATGCTGTGATAATTGGTACCAGGAATCGAAAAACTGTTGCTTCTGCGAGTGGAAGGTAATGTACAGAATCTAGTATGAAATATATAAGCTTTCGAAGCCAATGTTTGAGCAAAAGATATTCTTCTTACAATACAGGCAGAACAATCCAAAGAAACCTGCCAATGCTCGCAAAATCAACCAGCCTCTTACAGCTGGTGCTCCAAGGGGAAAGTCAGGCACCTTTGTGTACCACATATATACGGTGCTAAGAAGAGCCGTGATGCTCATACGAGCAAAGATGACCTGGAAAGGATGCATACCATGTCCTCCTTGCTGCAAGAATCTGACAATGGCATCCATAGTCGATCCAGTTGCTTGAGCAAGCAAGATCAGAAAAACGCCCTTGTTGTTGCGCCAGACTGTTTTGAAGACATTCGGCTTTGTCTCGGAGTCATTGCTCGTCAATCTCGAGAGGCTAGCTCCATTGTCTTCCTCGTTTCCAGACATCTTTTCTGTATATACAACACCGTCGCGGAGAAATTCATGTTGTGTCGGTGAGAGTGAAGTTTTGTGATGGCAGCGCACGGACGAGTGTGCAAATGATCACGCCTCCCCGAAACGGCAGGTGGAACCGACATCCATGTCACAAGGCAATATGAAGGCTTCGAAAGCACCTTCTTGTTCATGGAACCAACAAATCCATCATCTCGACCTGTACCTCTACTTATACAAGTCACCCAAGCGTGTTGCGAGGATGACGTGTCCCCGGTCAAAAACGCGATACGGCTTGCGTCTCTGCCAGGGTCGCGCTATACCGTAGAAAAAGTCCTGTCGCATGCTGTCTTCATCGCTATAACAAAAAGTGCAGAAAAAGTCCTATCTCATGTTCTCTCCGAGGGCGCTACAGTTCCGGAGTATTCTCGTCTTCCTTGTGGCGAAGGCCTACCAACCATACCAATTCTGGATATTCTAATCGCAAATGGCTGGGACATCAATGCTCGTCACTCGCGTAAAGCACCATTCCTTTGGCAAGCTCTAGGCGATCACGACGCTGTGGTCTGGGCGCTTGGTCAAGGTGCGTTAGTGCAGCCTGATGGTCAAGAGCCGTACGCAGATCACGAATACTTGCGCGACCATACCGATTACCAGCCCATCCTCGAACAGGCTGTCAATTACAACTGTCAAATTGCTACACTCGACCTTCTGCGCTCGAGAGGAGCATCTATAACCGCAAGAGTGCTGCATGTTGCAGTTCAATCTGCTGTCTCAAGTTCAGATGCTTTGATACAAGAGCGCATAGCGTTGGTCAGACATTTGCTCGATACTTACAATCTCGATGTGAATGCTTTCGACCAGAATCCTGAAAACCTCCACAGTATGGGGAATCATTGGGGAACACCTTTGTGTTATGTTGCTCGAACATTCGGCAATTGTGATGCTGTTGTGAAGCTTCTTCTGGATAGAGGCGCGGATCCAGATCTATCTAGCAGGCCTCCTAGATGGTCTGCAGTAACCTTAGCTGAACAGCTCGGCAACGAGAGTTTCTTGCATGTTATAGCTAAGTGGAGAAAGACCACATATCGAAATGAACATGTATAATCTGAATAAAGTGTGAAGGAGAAGGAGCGAGGTGAAAAGAGCGTGGTGAGGGCTCACTGCATTCTACACTCTGCCAAGTAATCCGGCAAACAACGACCAACCCATTGACTCCGGTGCGTCAACCGGTAAAACCACCAAGCATGCTCAGGAAAGATCCTGTACATAGCTGGATCGAGGACGGCATCAAGCTTCGGTGTGAATTTCGCGCAATTTGGTTTGCTTCAAAATATGTCAATGGATTATTCATCAGCTAATTTTCGCATCCATGCTCAGTAGAGCCCAAAGTCTCTCTTGACCTCACGACCCTCAGCCTGCAAAGTGACCTTGAACAATCTGTGCTCATTGAACACATACATGCCACCAGGCACAAAGGCAAAGTTCGCGGCACCACCATCGACTGCGAAAACACCAAGCAAGACACCTTCGGGGTTCCATCTGTAAATTATACGTTAGCTTGCCCTCCATGAAAGGATGTACGAGCAAAAGAGAAAAACTTACACATGCACACCATCTCCACAACCAGCGTAAACATTACCCTCAGTATCACAATGAATGCCATCAGGTAATCCAATATCCGAATAAGCAAAAAGCTGCTTGTTCTGCAACCTCTTGCCATCAGGTGTGATATCATAACGATAGATGGTAGAGGGCATGGTCAAGTTATCCTTGTTGGGGAATGTGTGAACAGCGGTATCGGTGATGTACACATGCTTGAAATCAGGAGAGATTTCAATACCATTGGGAGCAATGGCGTCGTCGGCAACTGCTTGGACGACACCAGTGTTGGGTTCGAAACGATAAGCTTGGTTCTTGATGACGGGAGCAGGGCGGAAGTATTGCCAGTATCCGTACGGGACATCGGTGAACCAGAGATCGCCGGTGATGGGGTGTTGCTTGACATCGTTGATGGATGTGAAGTTGCGGCCGAGGAAGTTGTTGATGAGGACTCTGGTCTGGTTTGTAGAGGGATCTACCAGGACCAACTGAGCAGGATTGATGAAATCACCCTCATCGCAGAAGACGATTTGTTGGCCTTCACTGCTGTTGAAGGGAGTGCCCACTGGGTAGAAGGTAGAGCCGCCGTTTGCTTCGGCTAGTTTGTCGAAGTGGAGGGACTGGATGCTGTTGTTGCCGTGGATATCGATGGCGGTCACGTTGATGGGATTGTCGAGACTGCCTTGCCAGTTGCTTGTGGCATAGAGTTTGCCAGTCTGAATATTGTAGACACCGGCTTCGTGAAATGGTTGAAAGTCCTGGTAGTTTCCGACTAGTTGTTGTGAGACATTGGGTCCCAGAATATCAGTAACGAAAGATTCGTCTTTGGGCGAAACGTGTCAGCCACTCTTCTTCTCACGACCAAGGCAACCAAGCATTGAAAACTCACTATAAGAGATAAAAGACAAATGATCAACCGAGCCATTGACCACAGCCTGCAACTCCGTAGCATACGGTATACTCGCAGCCAAACTCAGCAAGTTCACTCTAGTAATGTTAACCATTTTGTATATCCTTTGAACACAGCGAGGATACAACAAGAATTCGGCATCCCCATCAAGTCCCGGCAAAGCCTTTATATATTCGGATTTCCATTCAATTGATGAGAGAAGATCGTCCACGGCAGTCTCACTTTCACATTTCCCCTCCTTGGTATGACGCTGTCTCTGCACGCCCTCATTATTAGCCTAAAACCTTAAACGGTGTGAACGCCGATGCGCTTTCCTCTTGCTCGTTAGCCGATATTGAGATTCTTCTCTCTCCATCGCTCGTGGCTGTAGAATTGCACAATGCTTTGCGGACTGGAGTCGTGTGCGGTGAGAGCACGTCAACAAGCTTGCCTCAGTGAACGACTTCGCCGGACCAAAAAGTGTCGTACACCTCTACAGCTTCAATGTCTTGGTATATGATGGTAGGAAATGATCGCCAGTGACAAGTCTGCGCTCGGTCAGGTCAAGACTGCGCACCAGCGTGGTCGGACTGCAAAAGACCTTGATGAGAAAAGACACCCGACCGCCAAGTTCAGCATACGAATTGTTGAGTGTTTGAAGAGTAGTAGTTTGAGATATATCAAAAGTCTAAAAAAGAATAACGCCGAAAGAACAATCCTGTATTCCTCACTCCCCGCCGTGGATGAGCACCATGGTATTTATAAGAAAGCTGGACTGACGGAAGCCAGTAAGGCTTCTGGAAAGTGTGTTTACAGAGCGCGGCCGCCGACGAAGTCAGCCCAGGGGCGGACTTCGGAGGGAATGCCCTCAGGCTTGGGAAGCTTCTCGCTCATGCACTGAGCGAAGAGAACGGCAGTCTTGGTCTCCATGAACAGAGGGACACCGAAGTCGACAGCGTTGCGGCGCATAACGTAGTCCTCATCAACGAGACTGCTGGCACGGACCTTGGCCAAGTTGAAGACACCACGGATGTCGTACTTCTCGAAGACCTCACGGAGGGCACGCTTGTCCTCCTTGGGGAACTCGATAACCTCAACCTTGACGCTTCCATCCTTGGAGTTGTTCTCGAGGTGCTGCTTGACAGACTCGTTGGCGGCGAAGAGTTTGTAGCCTAGAGGGTTGACGTAGTCGACAATCTTTGCGAGATCAGGGTTGGTGATATCTCCACCGAAGAGAAGACCCTCACCGGGCTGGGGAACGCGGAAGTTCATCATAGACTGAGCGGCAGTCCAGTAGGCCTCGACAAGGTCTTTACCGAAGCAGGCCATTTCACCAGTAGAAGACATCTCGACACCAAGGTAAGGGTCGGCGCCAGCAAGACGAGTCCAAGAGAACTGAGGGACCTTAACAGCGACGTAATCGCGGTTCTTCTCCATAAGGTCAACAGGCTCAGGGACGTTGGTGCTAGTGAGAGCACGAGTAGCGACATCAATGAAGTTGGTACCGAGAACCTTGGAGACGAAGGGGAACGAACGGGAAGCGCGTAGGTTGCACTCAATGACCTTAAGAGAGGATTCACCACCGTTAGGAGAGTCGGCATTGATGATTTGCATGTTGAAGGGACCGGTGATCTTCCAGGCCTTGGCGACCTTGTCGGCAATGACCTTGCAGCGCTCGATGGTCTCCTTGGGGAGCTTGACGGGAGGGAGAACCAGGGAAGCATCACCAGAGTGGACACCGGCGTTCTCAATGTGCTCACTGACAGCGTGGACAAGGACCTTACCGTCGTGAGCGACGGCATCGACATCGATCTCGCGGGCACCCTCAATGAATTGAGTGATAACAACGGGGTGATCGGGGCTGACTTCAGCGGCAGCGTTAAGCTTCTCCTGGAGCTCGCCTTCAGAGCGGATGACGGTCATGGCAGCACCGGAAAGGACGTAAGAGGGTCTGACGAGAACAGGGTAACCGACGGAGTTGGCGAACTGCTGGGCCTCGGCGTAGGAAGTGAGTTCACTCCAGGCAGGCTGGTCAACACCAATAGAGTCGAGAATGGAAGAGAATTGTTGACGATCTTCAGCCTTGTCGATGTCCTTGGGGTCGGTACCGAGGACCTTGGCCTTGCCGCTTTCCTGGAGCTTAAGGGCCATGTTCTGAGGGAGTTGACCTCCGACAGAGACGACGACACCCTGGGCAGATTCAAGTTCGTAGATATCCATGACACGTTCGTAAGAAAGTTCTTCGAAGTAGAGCTTGTCGGCAACATCGAAGTCAGTCGAATAGGTTTCTTGCATTCAAAGTTAGCGTGGTTATTTCATGAAGATGATCGGCTCAACATACCAGGGTTGTAGTTGATCATGACAGTCTTCTTGCCCTGCTCCTTGAGGGAGAGAGTAGCGTTGACAGCGCACCAATCGAACTCGACGGAGCTACCGATACGGTAGACACCAGATCCGAGAACCAAAACGCCATGGTCGTTAAAGTCGACATCATGTGTGGTTGCGTTGTACGTTGTATACTATAGGGACAAGTCAGCACGATACTCATCATGGTATTTGAGCTCGCCTAGCATGCAACACCATCGTTCACAGCTGTCAAAATGCAGAAACGTGAACGTGCCCACACGTCCATCCATCGAGAGCCAAGAGTACTTCATCACAAGACAGGCTCTCAATGGACAGGTGAGAGTTTGGAAACATTCTCTGCCTTTTGATAGATGAGAACGTGGCGATGCTTCGCTGTGAGATACTCAGAATTCGTAAACGAGGAGATACGCACGAGGTAGTTAGTTTCAGCCGGAAATTCCGCAGCGAGTGCTTTGAGGAAGTCAGTATAGACTCGTGGATGTCCGGGAGAATGCACTTACTATCAATTCTCTTGACGAAGGGAGTGATGCCGAAATTCTTTCTGCGAGCACGGACCTCATCCTCGGTGCTGTTGACAGCCTTGGCGATCTGCTTGTCACAGAAACCTTGCTTCTTGGCCTTGTGCATGAGCTCCTTCTTGACACCGTAAAGGCTGCCAATGGCTTCGAGTTCGTGAGTGGTGTCAACAATGTTCTGAATCTTGTAGAGGAACCATTTGTCAATCTTGGAGAGTTCGTGGACGCGGTCAACAGTGTAGCCCTCATGAAGCATGGCCTGGCCAACAGCCAACCATCTACGGTCGGTGGGGTTGGCCAAAACATCATCCAGGTCGTCAAACTTGTCACCCTGGACACCGAGGAACTTGGGGTCGACCTGACGAATAGCCTTCTGGAATGATTCTTCGAAAGTACGACCGATAGCCATGACTTCACCGACAGACTTCATAGCACTGCCGATGTCACGCTTGACGTTCTGGAACTTGCTCAAGTCCCAGCGGGGAATCTTGGTGACAATGTAATCCAGAGAGGGTTCGAAGTTGGCAGTGGTAGTCTTAGTAACAGCGTTGGGCAGCTCAGGAAGAGTGTGTCCGAGGCCAATCTTGGCAGCAGTGTAGGCGAGGGGGTAACCGGTAGCCTTAGAGGCGAGAGCAGAAGAACGAGAGAGACGGGCGTTGACCTCGATGACTCTGTAGTCGAGACCATCGGGCTGGAGAGCGTATTGGACGTTACATTCACCAACGACACCAAGATGACGAACAATCTTGATGGCGGCAGTACGGAGCATGTGATACTCCTCGTCACTGAAAGTTTGACTGGGAGAAACGACGATACTGTCACCAGTGTGGACACCGAGAGGGTCGAAGTTCTCCATGTTGCAGACGGTGATACAGTTGTCCGAGGCATCACGAACGACCTCGTACTCGGCCTCCTTCCAGCCCTTGAGCGATTTCTCGACCAAAATCTGAGGGGAGAGAGTGAGGGAACGGGCAGACAAGTTGCGGAGCTCCTCGGGGTTGTTGGCGAAACCAGAACCAAGACCACCAAGAGCGTAGGCAGCACGGACGATGATGGGGTAGCCGACCTTCTCAGCGGCATCAAGAGCCTCATCAATAGTGCCGACAGCAATACTCTCAGCGATGGGAATGTTGATCTCCTTGAGGGCCTGAGCGAACAAATCTCTGTCCTCACTGGTCTTCAGGGTCTGGATGCTGGTACCCAAGACCTTGACGTTGTAACGGTCGAAGATGCCCATCTCGTCCATCTTGACACCCAAGTTGAGGGCAGTCTGACCACCGAAAGAAAGGAAGATACCATCGGGGCGCTCCTTCTCGATAACGTAAGTGACATACTCGGGGGTAACGGGGAGGTAGTAGATCTCGTCAGCAAGGACGTGAGAGGTCTGGATGGTTGCGATGTTGGGGTTGATAAGCACAGAGTGAATACCAGCCTCCTTCAAGGCCTTGAGTGCTTGCGAACCTGTCCTGCTGTCAGTATTGGTTCCTCCTTCCAAGGTTTTTCATCACTGACCAGAGTAATCGAACTCTCCAGCTTGGCCAATTGCGAGACCACCACTACCAATGACAAGGACCTTCTTGACGTCAATCAGGTTCTGGCCGCCAGCGATAGCTCCGCTCTCCAGGTAAGCCTTTGAGTTGGGGGCTACCTGGGCGTTGCTGGTAGCATTGCGGACTTGCAAGAAGCGGTTGGTGGATCTCTTGGGTGCGCGGGCTGCGCGGGGGTTGCTAGCAGCAAAGCTCGACTGGGTAGTCAAAGTACGAGCAGCCAGTCTGGCGGACATGGGCTGCTGGCTCTGACGAAGCAGGTTCGAGGCTGTCTGGCGGACCAGACGCCTGGAGAAAGCCATGGCTAGGGTTGTTGTAGTTGTAGTTGTAAAGTAAAAGTCGGTAGTTTATAGTGATAACAGGCCGATATCAATTGACGTTGGCCTTCCACAGGTGGTCGCTAATGTAGTCTAGGAGACAGTCAGTCGCAGCTCAGTCAATACGGCGGCAGAGCACCGACTTGCAACGCTCTTGCAGAGCTCTACGTGGAAGCAGAAACTGGCGTACCTTGGGAAGTGAAGACGGAGGGCGCAGTCCGCATAAGGGCGAATCGCGTGCCAATGGCAAGATGGGTAGGTTGAGACTGATTGCTCAAGATTCGAGTGTGTGACAAGAGGGAAACGGTAAGAGAGCTGCGACGTCGAGAGTTATTTTTCACGTCGGCCCTGCACGGCTCTCTCGTCGATAAGGAGCACAGCTTATCACACGAGAAGCTCGAAATGCTGATTTGCAATATTCCTGGCTCACCGCGATGTCTACCATACTATCGACCACAGTCCGACCCCCGCCGACCCAACAGTTTTGCAACTCGCTTGTGTCGGTGCTTTGCTCTTGGTCACCCGGCGAAGCTCTATCGAAATGCTTTATTCCCACCTCATGGCATCCTGCATCACCTATCTTGCTGTGTAAAGAAGCAATTCTATATCTTCCAATCTATGACTGCCGTGCTTCTACTGCATTTGTTCAACTACCCAGTTATTACCCATCTGCATAGGCTATTGCAACGAATGCATGCGCGGCTTATGCACAAGCTCAAGCCGTTTCCCCTGCCACTTCTGCTGGGGATCCATCCCCGAGACCGGCCGCGAGTGCGCGGATCTCACTTTTGACTCATCGCAAATCCAGGTCAAGTTCTTTGTATCGTGACTCAAGGTCAAGTATTGCCAAGGAGTGCGGGACGCCGACGAGTGTGAAAATGCCATGTCATATCAACATATCAACAAAAGTGGTATAGAAATTCTCAATAGTCCCAAACCCCGGTCCCTTATGCAATTGAAGCAAATGCGCGCTTTTTGGTTCCTCTTTCCAACTTCTCCTCCTTCTCCTCTTCTTGCTCGTCTTCCATACCATGACTCTGTGCTTCCTTGATCTCTCTGCCCATCAGATTCAGAGCGGCCATGTTGAAGCCAAGCATGTTCTTCTCCTCCTTGACGAACTGCCCATATGCTTCTAGCACCTCGCCCAATACATCCTTGAGCTGCTTGCTAGCCACAATCTGTGAGTTGTGTGTTTGTAGCAAAAAGTAGAAGACGCGCCATGCCAGTGATGGCTGCATACGACGCTGTATGAAGACAGAAACGAACATGAAAAGGACAGGAAGGGATGAGAACGGTACAACCATGAGTGCATCGTTCAGAGAGGCGTTCGGAATCTTGCGAATGGTCTGCAAAACGTGCTGTTCGGCACTCAGGTTGCCATATGTGAATACAGGGTTTCGTTGCGGCGGTGCAAGATTCGGTTTTGTTGTCTTCTCAGCTTGCCACGCTTGCACAACTTGGTAGTCTGCATAGCCAAGCTCGAGAGCTTCCAATATACGTTCACCGTATGTCAAGGTGGCTATCGTCTGCTTAGACGCAGCTGCGAAATCGTCCTCAGCACCCTCATCATCGTCGGCGTGATCTTTGTCAAGTTGAGTAGCCAGCGTTGATTCGTACATTTGTTCAAGCTCCTTCTCGCGCTCTTCTTCCAGGAAGATAAGATCATCCGTGACATCCCAGACACGGATACTCTTGTCGTGACTTGCTGTGATGACCTTTTCGCCAGTCCTGCTGACGACCATGGCCCACACTTCTCCGTGATGACCTTCCAACTTCTGGATTTGCTCAAACTTGTCACCATCCCAGGTCTTGACGACTGAGTCTTTACTGGCACTGAAGAACAGATGTTGCTCTTCCTTCTCGACAGGGTGAGGGATGAACAAGACTTGCATCACACTGTCTTGATGAGCGAAGAAGGCCTTGTGGCAGTCGCCAAAGTCCAGACCCCAGATACGGACATTCTTGTCCGCACTGCAAGTGGCGATGAGTTTGCTGTCTGATGAGATGGAGATATTGAGAACGGGAAGTTTGTGGCCATAAAGGGTAAGGAAGAGTTTTAGAGTGTCGACGAAGAAGACCTTGACTGTGTTGTCGAGGGTTGACAGGGCGAGGAGTCGGGAGTCGGGAGAGAAGCAAACGCTCAAAACATCGTCTGCGACCTTGAGAACGCGAGTCTGAGTAAGCTTCAATTTAGGTGTTGTTCTTCGGGTACCAGGGATCTCTTCCTGAACAATGTCGAACTTCCAGAATTTAGCTGCCTTGTCAGCACCTCCAGTCACGACTGATGTTCCATCAGGATGAACTTGAAGAGTCCAGACAGCACCGTCGTGCGCCTGGAATTTGTCGATCAGAGCCGAAGAGGCAATATCATACAACTCGAGCTCTCCAGTCTTTGTTCCGACCAAGACAATCTTGTCACCAGGCAAGAATGTGCAGCAGAGCGACTGGCCACACTCGAGTGTTCTAAGACAGCTCTGAGTCTTTACGTTCCAAATCTTGAGAAGTCCAGCGGAAGCAGATGCAAGCATACGGTCGTCAGAGCTCAGGGCCAGAGCGCGAATATCAGTTCTGTGTCCGGGCATGTCAACAGCCAGAGCGCGGTTGTAATCGGGAGCGTCAGCAGTGGCCTTCTTTGATTTCTCACGGCCGGTGATGGTGTAGGACTCGATCTGGTTGTTTGTGGTGGAGCAGACTAGCTCTACGTTCTTCGAGGATCTGCTGGTAGCCCAAGCGGCCGATCTGACCTTTCCACCAGTGCGGACTATAACATATGAGACGAAGACCTCGGACACGTCGGGTGTTGTGTTCTCGTCCTCTTTCTCAGCTTCTGCGACAGAAGCACCGGCAGCGGCAGCCTTTTCTCTTCTTCTCTTTCTCTTTCTAGCCAAGCTCTTTTGCACCTCCTCATCCGTTCTGATGCGCCAGATCTCAACAGCCTTCTCTGAACCGTGCACAGCAATGTATTCGCCCTTGGGGTGGAAGGCGACACTCAGAGTTCGGTCTTTGCTCTGGCGGAGAAGAATGCCCTGTGCGGTCAGAGAGCTTGACTGTTTTGCCTCTGCGATGTTGGCGCCAAAATCGGCCAAACTCTCGAGGTCAAGCGACCAGACCTTGAGTTCGCCGTCGTTACCTGCGGTGATACAGCCCATGCCATCTGGTGAAACACCGAGAGCCCAGCATTCACCGTTTGTCTGAGCGACATGTGTCTCGATACATTGTGGAGTTGAAAGGTCCCAAATTTTGATCAGGGCATCCTTGCTGGTGGAGAGCAGGTACTTTTCCTCAAACTCTTCGGGCTCGCCCGAGGCAGTGACATCGACAGCTTCGTCTGTGTGGGGCGATTGACGACCAGAGAGTCTCGTACGGATGAAGTGTAGGCCGGTGATCTGGTCCTTGTGACCTCGGAGACGGAACTCGGCGGTTTCAGAAAGCAGGTTCCAGATGATGATGTCTGTATCCTTTGCACCACTGGCAAGTCTTGCGCCCTCGGAGTCGAAAGTGAGGTGGGTGATAGCGGAGCGGTGGCCGTTGAAGGTCATGATGGGGTTGTTGGACAGAGCATCCCATACTCGAATGCTGCCATCCTGGTAACCAACAGCAAAGAGATCAGGCTGGGCAAGGCACTGGGCGATAGCCGAGACCTGGGACTTGCAGTCGACATCGTGCCAGCGGCTGACCAGCTCGCCCTTCTTGACATCCCAGGCTAGAACATGCTCGTTTGCGCCAACGTAGGCTCTGCCGGCTCCAGTGTTGCGCGAAGACGACGAGACGAGGTTATCGGGAGTCCAGACAAGGTTGGAGAGGGCAGTGTTGACAAGACCAAAGGTGGCCGACTGCTCGTACTTGCGATATGACTTGACCATTGTGCCGACGACGCCAGCAAAAGGCGATATCCAAGGGCAAAAAGTTCTTGAATCTCGAAAAAGTTGAGTGATCAAAGCGCCTCAAAGATGCCAAGAAAGCCGGGGAACATGACGATCCCGTAGGGCTGCGCGGCGGGCATTCGACTACCCAAGCCACGCTTGCTGTTGCTGCTGCTGCTGTCGCTGTCGCTGTCGCTGTCGCTGGCTGCTTGTATACCACTCCCACAACGTTGCTCTTCCACTGCCCTGTTGAGCTGTCGCCGCCATGTTGTTGCTCGACTACCAAAACGTCCTCATTGAGTCGCTACTCAAGGACCGCTTCTCCGGGTAGCTACCCCTCTGCCACCCACGCGTCCTACAGCAGCCGACTGATGCCTTGTCTATAGCGCTGCCCCCACTTCAATTGACCAAATTGTTTCCGACTTTGACGGCGTCACCTTCCACATCTCGACTCCTACATCAAAGACAAAGATCCTCATCTCCATCAACATCAAGTGCTACAAGGAGCTCGTTCAATATGGTGCCGAGCAGGTCCTCCAGCGTGAATACCAGGACTACATTGTTCAGCCCGAGTCTGGCTACGACTTCTCCGTTGAGATTGACCTTGAGAACCTCCCCGCCGATGAGGATGCCCGCACCGACCTCATCTCCCGCCTCAGTCTGCTAAAGCGCAACGCCATGGCTGCCCCCTTCGAGCAGGCTTTTGATGAGTACCAGGCTCTGCATGAGGAAGCATCCAAGTACACTTCCGAGTCTGCTCCCCAGGGTGTCCTTGAGGGTGGTCAGGTCAGAGCCATTCACTACCGCGAGGAGGAAGCCATCTATGTCAAGGCCAGTCACGATCGTGTCACTGTCATTTTCAGCACAATCTTCCGCGAGGAGACAGACCGCATCTTCGGCAAGGTCTTCTTGCAGGAATTCGTCGATGCCCGCCGCAGAGCTATCCAGAACGCCCCACAAGTCCTCTTCCGTCACGACCCGCCTCTGGAACTGCAGGGCATGCCCGGCCTGCCTCCCTCTGGCACCGCTGATGTTGGCTACGTTACTTTCGTTCTCTTCCCTCGCCATCTCCAACCTGCCAGAAGATACGAAGTCATCTCCCACATCCAGACTTTCCGCGACTACTTCCACTACCACATCAAGGCCTCAAAAGCCTACATTCACTCGAGAATGCGCAGACGAACTGCCGACTTCCTTCAAGGTATCGCTTGTGCCCCCATATCACTTAGATTTTTGCTAACATCACACAGTCCTTCGTCGTGCAAGACCAGAGGTCGAGGAGAAGGAGCGCAAGACCGCCAGTGGCAGGACCTTCAGAGTCCAGGCGTAGATATATACCCTGTCCATACAGAAAAATAACAGAAACGACACACTTCAATGATATCATCACTTAGAATCCCACTGGAGCATCCTGTGTGCATGTAGCATTTGCCGTTAGGATTCATCGTGACTCGGAAGCCAGTAAGTTCAAAGCGACTTTGCTAAGGGGATGACCCTGATCTGTGTATTCCACCCATCGATACTGGTTCCTGCAATGTGAAACGGTACCATGAAGCTCCTGGGTACAGCCCAGACGACAATCTGATCTGTCATAGATTTACCGACGATTGTCTAGATGTAATTTGGCCTTATCCTCGCCTTTTTGTCGAGAATTTGGTGTCCACGACATGCCACATTAAACACCTTGCAAAAAAACATTCATTTATTCTGGTGAACCGCTGTTTGACTCTTGAATACAACAGAAAGTTATCCAACATCTAGAGAGCATCAACCAAAAGCTCAGGAATACCTTGCTCGTACTGCAAAATCAATCAGATTCAGCTGCACGATTGTACGCCTTCACCCACGCCCGAGAGCTTGCAGAAGGAGGAAACGCTCCAAAGCAGGGAAAGTGAATGCTTGGCGCACGCGTCGGATTTCATGCGCTTGCTATTCATTCACTTTCGAACAATCTAAGGGCACCTGGTGACATCGAAAGTACGGTCAATCTATCTTGCATCCACCTTTCATTACACAGCTACCAACACCTACAACTTTCTTTGCGGGCCACCAACCCTTCAACGTGTCTCAGAGCCTATTCAACTACCCCGCTCGTTCGCGCATCACAGTCAAGATGCCGCCCCGCTACTTCAAGAATGACGAGCCGCTCAGCAGCAGAGATCCTCACAAGCAACTGATTGCTTCTCTTACCCGTCTCGTATGCCAATACCCTCCAGCTGAAGTGCGCGCTGGTGGCGGTATCTACAACGGTCCAACCAGTGTCGCCTACCTATTCCTGGTGCTCCAACAGCTTTACTCGGACCTGATCATCGAGGGTATCCAGCTTGGTACTTGGTCGGCTACTTACCTGAAGCAATCCCAAGGTAAGTTACCACGCGCGGGTGTGCTTTTCAAATAAAGAAATGCTGTCTTGTCGGGCTACTCGCTATTGGGAATATGCTAAGTGATACCTTAGATCACATCAAGTCGTTCCCAGGTCCTCGCGTCGGCAAGTGCGGCATCGCAGATGATATCCTAGCACTATTGGCAATTGGTGCCGCCAGTTCCAAGGATGCCGACATGGCAGCAGAGCTCTGCGATTACTCCGCCGAGGTACTGGACGATGCTAGCGAAAACGAGTGGCTGTATGGTCGTGCTGGCTACCTCTACTATCTCCGACTGGTCAAGGCAGCGTTTGTGGATGACGCCAGGATCTCACAGATGATCACAGATACTCAGGACGATGTCGTCGAGGCGATCCTGAAGTCAGAAAGGCCATGGAAGTGGCATGGCAAGAGTTACGTAGGCGCTGTTCACGGCCTGATCGGCATCATCACCCAAGTCACCTTGACCGATCCCGAACGCTACTCGAGAGCTGTAGAGGCCGACCTCTCTGTTCTGCTCACTTACCAATACGAGAGTGGAAACTGGCCCAGCAGCCTTCCACCCGGAAAAGACAAGCTGGTTCATGTGTGCCATGGCGCCCCAGGCGTTGTCAACTCCCTGCTGTCAATCAAGAATCACTTCCCCAAGCTCCAGAGCAGAATCGACAGCGCAATTCGTAAGGGCAGAGATTGCATCTTGGAGCGCGGCCTTCTGACCAAAGAGCCTTGCTTGTGTCACGGTATGTCGGGCAATGCTCTCGCACTCGATGACGAACACTGCCAGCACTTCTTGACATACACGACCGGCCACGAGATGAAGGGACTAGAGAAGGATGGCTTGGTTGAGAAGTCGGATAGCCCGGAATCGCTGTGGTGCGGTGAAGCTGGCCGTGCATGGGCATGGGCAGTCATGGACAAGGGTCTACCCAAGAGACTGCTTGGCTACAACGACATTTGAGAGATTGTGATAGCCGGCCGCCAGCCTTGAGATTTTGGACGATTTGCTCTGGAGGAAATCTCGGATGTGTGTAACGACGACGGCGGGCAGTTGCACACGAATCCAGCACAAAGCACGGCGCGCGATGCACGCGATACAGGGCTGCAGGGGTACTTGCTAGCGGTTTACGACATAACGAATTGATGCATGATGGAGGCCGTCGGAGGCAGGAAGAAGGCTGGAGCATCAGCAAGGCGTGCCGGAGCGGGTTTGAAAGTCAAACACAGACAAACGAGGACATGATGGTTGCTGGGTATATAGCACAGAGCAAGACAGCAATGACGAAGCAAACAAAGATGCCAGACGTGTTTACATGGCGCGCGTTGACTGTTTGAGGTTTAAAGGCAAATCATCATTTCGTTCTCCAACGTGATTGGGGGCACGGGCCTCTGGTCGTATCGGACGGACTCCTTGAAGGGCACACGAAGGGCAGCATTGGCAGCGTTGGTTGGGGGCAGTGAGGGCAGCATTCCATTCGCATTCTCTTCCTCTCCCTGACGACGAAACACGACCGACGAGGCCACCACGGCGCAATTCTTTCCCAGCAGCACAGTTTCTAACTGCAGTCATTCTTTCTACCCGTTCCCTTAATACAGCTGTTGCTACCTGTTTTGCGCACCCCCTCAATTGGTCCTCTCGCTCCCCAAGCCACCGACGAGATCGACAAAACGTGACTCGCTCAGGAACCAGGCACTTGCATTCTGGACCACACCCGCTGCATGCCATTCGTCACCCATCGCACTCGACCATTATCCTTCGACCCACGACGACATAATTATCCTTCTCCGCCTTTGCGCCCGCTCACCCGCCGCCGCCGCCAATCTAGCGACGGAGAGCTGCGCACAAGATGAGATCGTCAATGTACTCGTCGCGCCCTCTCGCCTTTGGCACCACATTCGCTACCCTTCTCTCCTCCGCCGCCGCCCGTAATTTCTCTTCCGCCCCGTCACCGAACCTCGATCTCTCTGGACTTGGCCGCGTCGCTCTGGCCGGCGACTTCGACTCAATATCTCTTTACACGTACCAAGGACAGACTCAAAATGCAAACTTCGCCAATGGCAGCCAATATCTCTTTTCACAATATCCCGATGGCTCCTTCCAGAGTCTGGCTCTCGCTGATGCCTTCATCACTACCATGTGTCCGTTCGTCAGCAACGGTGCCTTGCAAGGCGTCGTAGTAGGAGGCAACTTCACTAGTCTCGGCGGTGTCCCTGCACAAGGCATTGCTCTATGGAACCCGAACACTACCAAAATCACCCCTCTAGATGGACTTTCTGGTTCTGTGTCTGCCGTCTACTGTGATGACGCATCGTCCACCGTCTACGTTGGAGGTAGCTTTACCGGAGGCAACTCGACAAATGCCATCGCTTGGGCTTCTGGATGGACAAATCTACCCTTTGCTGGATTCAACGGCCCCGTCACATCTATCGCTAAGAGCTCCAGCGGTACCATCATCTTTGGCGGATCTTTCGATGGTTTGGGCAACACAACCACTCCTACAAACAAGGATGTCCAGGTTATCAACCTCTCTGCTGGAAACATCACCTCTGGCGCATCAACTTCAACCGATGGCTTCGGTGATCCTCGCAACATCATCTGCCAGACTGGCGAGGACTCTGCTGGAAACGCCTGGCTGCTCGAGGACAATACTCCTGGTTTCTGGCGAGGCTCGTTTGGTTTCGGCTTCAACCCCACCAAGCTGCGCCTGTACAACACCAACCAGGACGGACGTGGAACCAAGACCTGGCGCTTTACTGCCTTCCCCCTCGGTGGAATCATGAACTTTACCTACACGGACGAGAACGGTAGCTTTGCTTCTTGCACTGCCAACTGCCCTCTTCCGCAAGGAAACACCTCGTACCAGGACTTTCACTTTGTCAACTCTGTCGGCATGAACGATTTCCGCATTGACATCTCTGCTTGGTATGGCGCTGGAGCTGGTTTGAGTGGCATTGAGTTGTTCCAGGACGATATTTATGCTTTTGCAATTTCCGACTTCAATGAGCCTCGTTGCGACAGTGTTAGTACCACTGGCGCCAACTCGACCGTCACTGGCCCCTGGAAACAGACCCCTTCTGGTCTGAGCACATCCGATTATCTTACTGCCGATCTGAATGGTAGCGTCACCACCGAGACTGCCCAGGTCGTTTTCAAGCCCGATATCAAGCAGTCAGGAAACTACTCCATCACGTTGTACACTCCCGGCTGTCTTCAGGACGGCACCTGCTCGACTCGTGGAATTGTGAATATTACTGGATCCATGACTACTGAGAAAGGAGCGATCACCACCACTCTTTACCAGACCAACTACTACGACAAGTACGACCAAGTCTATTATGGCTACGTTGATGCCGCATCCGACTCGTTCCGTCCTGAGGTCACCCTGACCCCGGTTGCTGGTCAGAACACTCCTTTGACTGTCGTCGCTCAACGCGTCCGTTTCGAGTTGGTCACATCGACTGGTGGCTTGAACGGCCTCTACGATTACGATCCTAACGTCGCTACTGTCAACACCGATTTTTCCGCTTCGAAGATCGATTCTGCCGCCATGACTCTGGATATGGGAGCCAAGATCAATGCTCTTGCTGTCTACGAAGATGTGACTTACGTAGCTGGCAACTTCTCCAGCGGTGATATCCACAACATCTTCAGCATCGGCAGCCAAAACGCCACCTCTCTGCCCGGAGGCGGGCTGAACTCTGAAGTGCGCACTGTGTACCAGAACGGTTCTACCATCTACGTTGGTGGCAACTTTACCAACACGGCCACTACTCAAACCTCGGGACTGAACGGCATCGCTGCTTACTCCATCGATGATAAATCATGGAGAGCGCTTGGTGCAGGCGTCAATGGCCCTGTCTGGGCTATTGTTCCTCTGCAGCTCAACATCTCCGGCAGTGATCAAGAGACTGTTCTTGCCGTCAGTGGTGACTTTACTAGCGTCAACGCTGTCGGTAGCAATGCGACTTACTCTGCCGACGGTTTCGCTGCATGGGTGCCTTCTCGTGGCAACTGGCTTCACAATCTCGCCAACGCAACTGTCTCTTTGAGCGGCGGTCTTTTGGCTCAGACTATGGTGGCTGACTACGGCCAACTTCTGGCCGGATCCCTTGTCGCCTCGCAGATCGGCATGAGTGATGCCGTAGCTCTCAGCGGCTCTGGCCGACCTTCGATCTCGCCACTTGGTATCTCCATCTCCGCCACTCGCGAGTCGTCAAGCATGCGTAAGAGAGCCACAACTAGCCAGAATGTTACCGGTGTAGCTACCGGCTACTTTTACCTGGACAATGGCAAGAACATGACCATCCTCGGCGGCCACTTCACAGCCAACTCTTCTGCCGAGTCCACCATCAACAATCTCCTGATTATCGACAACACGAACGGTCAGAGTGTCATTGGTCTTCCCAGCACCATCGATGCAGACTCAACTGTCCTTGCCCTCGACGTCCGTGATACCAGCCTCTTCGTTGGTGGCTCAATCACTGGCACAGCCAACGACAACGATATCGAAGGCCTGCTGGTGTGGGACCTGTCTACAAACGCGCTCGCTACCGGCCAACCTGCAGCACTCGCCGGCGACTCTGTCTCTGTCAACGCTGTTGCAGCCCAACCTGGTTCTTCCAATGTCTACGTTGGAGGCAACTTTGAGAATGCAGGATCGATGTCATGCCCATCGTTCTGCATGTACGACACGTCGAGTGGCCAGTGGATGCCTCCCGCATCTGGACTTAGCGGCACAATCAATACCATGGTCTGGAGATCTAACAGCCAATTGATTGTGGGTGGAGATTTCTCCACTAGCGGCAACAGCACCAGACTGGCTCTGTACGACTCGAAGAAGCAGACTTTCACCGACCTTGGTGCTTCAGCTAACTTGCCCGGCCCAGTCACCGCCATGACTCCGGCTAACCCCAACTACGATGCGTGGTGGGTCGCAGGTACCGCAGCCAATGGCTCATCGTTCCTGCAGAAGTTTGATGGCACCACTTGGCACCCTGTCACTGGCTTCGGATCTGCATCTTCCATCAGAGGACTTCAGATCATGTCTCTTACCGAGAAGCACCAGCTTAGCAGCCTAGTCCCTTCCGACGAAGTCTTGCTGATTACTGGTTCAATCGAGCTTCCCGACAATGGCAATGCCAGCGCTGTGCTGTATAACGGAACCAGTTTCCAGCCTTTCATCCTTACGACTACCGCCAACGGTGGACAAGGTACCTTGAGTGGGATGTTTGTCCAAAACCCCAGCAACTTCTTGAGCTCCAAATGTAGGCAATCTCCAAATCTTTCTGAGTATGATAGATACTAATTGTGTATAGCCCATCACCTTGCTCTTGGCCTTGTCGTTCTGATTGGACTGGCCATTGCTTGCGCTTTGACCTTCTTGCTGGTGGTCATCGGCATAATGGTCGAGCGATACCGTCGCCGCAGAGAGGGCTATGTGCCCATGCCTCAGTTGAGAGCCGACCAACAGGCCAATCTGAACAGAATTCCTCCGGAGAGTCTGTTTGGCACGTTAGAAAAGCGCGACACCGCACCTCGGGTGTAAGGCCCAAAGGACTTGGATAGTTGACTTTCAAAATGCAGCGTGGAGTTTGGGTTGCTTTGTTCATTTCACGACGTATTCCTCTAGAAGGAATCTACACCAGACAGTCGCAAGCGTGGCCGCCTGGTGAAAACACACAAAACTGTTGATATCTCGAAGATGGCCGACCGATCATTATGGGCTTGAACGTTTTTCATTCTTTTTTTCTCATTCTTTCCGCTTATTGCGAATTGGTTCCATCCGTTCTCCTTTCTCTTCGATTCTGTTCTATACCTGCTGCCTGTCACACGATGGCCTTGGATGTTTTTAGATGAGGATTCTCTTTTTTCCCATTCTTTTCCTTTATTCTTTCGTGCTAGCGCTAGTCGTTTTCTCTTGTTCCTTCGTGGTCGGATCCTTTCTTCCTTTTTGTCTCCTGCAAATTAATGTATAGCGAGCAACGGCTTTGCTTTAGGGGATTGATTTCTATTTTTGTCCTCTGGAGCAATTAATGATGAACGTTTACTTTTTGAACGTCATGTGCTTGATAAATCTGCTTCGAATTTGCTACCGAAACTACCACATTGCGACCTCGGCAGTGTTGCAGTGCATCATGATCAGTCGCAGTCGTGCCTCTAAACTGTGCCATGGGTTAGGCAGGCGCATCATCAGCCAAGCCTTTCTCCCGCTGCACCAGCGTTACCACAACGAACCCACCTCCTTCGAACACATCAACCGTTTGTCTCATCCCTGTTTCTGACTCCTTCTGCAGCTTTTCGATTGGGGAAAGTCCCCGAGGAGGCTCAATGGAATGTGTGGTTTGCATGGAGTAGCCGTGCAACGTTCTTTTCAGCTGATGGATAGAGTACAAGAGGACATGTTTCGAAGCTTCAGCCTTTCAGGTGGGTGGCCAGAAGTGGGCTTCAGCTGAATCCCAGATTTTCCCTTCCGAATCGATCAAGGAATGTCCGAGGCACAATGAGATATACATACGTTTGAGACCCATTATTCCATTCCAAAGGATATCCTCCATTTCCCCTCTTCTTATTTCCATATTATTATCCATACGGTTGGTGTTTTTGACTTGTGTCTGCGTCGCGCTTCGTACAGCGTCGATAAGGAGGAATAAAGATGTTGTTAAGGTTGGGTAGGGTAGCTTATCTTTGCATCTTTGCATTGGTGGTGGTTTTGTGGACGGGGTCATATGGTAAGTCGAGGGAGGTGGTGCACAAGGGGTGGGATATGACTACACAGGCATTCGGCCAAGGGTCATCCTTTGCGGTTGATGATATGGTGGCGCTTGATTTGGGGTCGGATGCGGGTGTAGCACATGGAATCGATGAGGAAACATCTGTCGAGGTATGTGACTTCTATAACGCTGACTCATCTTTCTTGGTGATCTGGCTAATAATGGCAGGCACCTTCTCCATATGCATACGTCTTTTATGCGACACAAGACACCTATGCGTGTTCTGTTCTGGTTAACATCAGACAGTTGAAGGACGTATTCGAAACAAAATATCGCATCCACGTCTTGATCACCAATGAGGTCTCTCTGAGCTACGTAGAAGCCTTGGAAGACTCCGGCGCAACAGTATCATTGCAAGCGGCCCCGGCACTTGCAAATGGCACCGAAGGTGCTGGATATTATCAAGATTGCCTGCTGAAATTGTACGGCTTCCGGATGCATCAAATCGACACCTCGCTCAAACGCGTAATCGTGATGGACTCCGACCAACTGGTGCTTCGAAATCTGGACTACCTCTTCGAAGACAAGATCGAAGCCGACCTTGCTGCACCTCGAGCTTACTGGATCGCCAAAGAGACGTTCAGCACAGCATTTATGGTGATCACGTTATCAGATCGAGTATGGCATGTAGTCGAAAAAGCACTCGACAATATCCAAATCGACAAGTACGACATGGATATTGCAAACGAGTTGTTTGGGGACACTGTGTTGATGCTACCCGGACATTTTGTCACACTGAACAGTCATTGGGAAGACTGGAATCTCCCGAAATGGTTTCATAAGCCTGAGGCCATCGTTGCTGGAATCACGAATGGCACACATGAGGTCGCATGGTCGGAGACGCAAGATCTGAACAAGAGGGGGCAGGCTCAACAGGGCTCCCAATTCGAGCCCTCGAACTACGAGACTGCGCCCGACGGTCAACTGAAGGACTTGACTCAAGCGAATGGGAACAAGAAAGGCACATCCGAGAGTTTGCCAAAGATGACCACCGATGTCAATTTGCCAACACTGCCAAAGATCAAAGATGATGACTCGCAGATGGCAGACGACTTGCTTCCCGATACCATCCCTGGCATCGTCAATCCGTCAAAACATTCAGATGGAAAACCTCACCTCCCAGGCGGCATCGCACCGCCATCCCACGGCAAGTCTTCTTCGGAAGTCGTGAGCACTGAAACCCCCGATCTCACAGATAAGAGATATTACAATGAGTTATACGAGCTATACAAACAAGTATCGGTCTTGCATTTCACAGCAATGGGCAAGCCATGGGGTGTCAATGAGCAGATGCTGAAGGATGGGCGGCCAGATGCACACCCAGTGTTCAGAGAGCAATTCATGACTTGGAGGAAGGTGGCTAGAGATATATGTCCGACGGATATTGTGGTAGAATTATGATAATATATGCGAATTTTCCCCCGAGAAACAGCATGCACGCTTTCAATGAATATGTACATGATCATCAAAAGCATCCTTTCTTTTCACAGCCAGATTGGTAGCCTTAGAATGGAGAGGAGAGAGGGAGGTCGGTACCGGGTTGATTGATCTGCGGCTATTTCTACGTTACTGCTAGTCGGTACTTCATACGACCGCCCGCCGGACCATGTACTATTCGTTCAGGTTTCAACCTTGCTTCTTTTTGAGACCGTCATCGATGACCATGGGAGGAGCAGGAATTTCAACATCCTCAATATGCCACTCCATACCGATGTATCCATCACTGACAATCTTGACCGAGACCATCCTTTCACCATCTGCAGGAGGCAATCTGATCTTGCTTCTCGCAATTGGCTTAGGGTTGGCCTGTGAGGCCTGTTTACCTTGACCAGGCACGTGCCAAGAAATACGCTTGAGTGCAAGCACCTCGTCGGTCTTGGTATCGGCAACGACCAGGAAGAAACCCTCTGACTGAGGCTTAGGGAAGCGCGGGGCGTACATGTGGAACTCGCGATTCAGAGCAGGGTTCAATCTAGCGACCGAGACATTCAGACCGAGTGCCGTAACATCGTTGATGTTGACGCGTAATTGGGGCAGTGCAGACAAGGCCTTGAAAGCACGGGGCTGCTGAGTTGGTGCAAGCGAGAGTTGCTTGTGCAGAATGGTCTCCATCTCCTTACGTGGTGTGGTAGTTGCTTCGACTAGATTCTTCGGCTTGGGGTTCTTGGAGTTCGAAAGACGTTGGCGCTCTCTTGGTGGCTCAACGCCTGGTAGCATGGCCAAAGGACCATCTTCGGGCCAACGAGCAGATTTTACGCATTGAAGTAAGGTGATCATCATGCCACAGCTCGAGTTGAAGCCTAACTCTGTGAGAACATCAATTGAGGCTTGCAAAATACGAATAGCCTGATCAAGAACCGAAGTTTGATCACCAACGTAATCAGAGATGGGGAGATCGATGCGTGAAAAGTGAGCCTGAAGGAGAAGGAATGCCTTGACATGGGGATCCCACATGGGCAGCCCCAACATGGCGTCTTCGGCCTTCAAGGGCAAAGCCGCAGAGAGCTCGGCGTTGATCAGATCTTCATTATGACGAACGGGAAGCTCGTCATACTCGGTTGCGCTGCACATCCAAGCAAGAGCTTCCGCAAAAGTGGCATTCGGCTTAGCATGCTTGATCAAATGGCGAATAGTCTTGTGAGCAAGATAGTAGTAACTCATAATCTTACCCAGCGGGGTTGGGTCAACATCACCATTACTATGCATGGTGACACAACCAGAATCTGCAAGCTCTGAGAGTGACTTGTCAACCATCTCAACCATGTACTCGTTAGCAAGTTCCTGAGCAGCCATGGTGTTATGCTCTTCTGCTGAGATCTCCAAGCCATAGTAAGAAGGGTTCTTATGGAGTCTTCTGAAGAAGAAAGTCCACGTCAAGTAATCGAGAGCATCTTGCTTGGTAGCAATTGTCTCTGCGGATACTTCGGCGCCCAAATGGTTGTCCAAGACGTTGTGTAGGGACGATTCGACAGGGAAACCGGTATGCAAGAAGTGCTTGTAAAAAGCTTTCTTCGCATCCTGGGTAAAGATGCGAGCGATTCCTGAAGTGTCGAATTGAGGTCTGCCGGCACGACCAAGCATCTGCAGAACATCTGTAAGATCCATGTCCTTGTATGCCTCTGTCTTTGCATCGAAGAACTGCGTACCCTTGACAACTACCAAGTGAGCAGGCAAGTTGACACCCCAAGCCAGAGTACTGGTGGCGACGAGGACCTGGATTTTGTTGTTGGCGAACAGCTCTTCCGCCAGTTGTCTGTCCGATTCAACAAGACCTGCATGATGCAGACCAATACCGAAACTGAGAGATTCACGTAGGGCTTCATCCTTCACTCGGTCGAGGTTCAAAGCGAGATCGTCTTCTGACATACGAACGAAGCGACGAGGATTCTCTTCCATACCACAAAAGTTGATGAGATCGCGAGCGGTCAGTCTAGTCTGACGACGAGAGGCAACGAAAACGATGACCGGCTTGTCTGGAGAGTGAGATTTGATTGCCAGGAAGGTTGGTCGGTTCATTGACTGCATGAGAGGACAGAAGCCCTTTTGCTCAGGGAAGCCGTCGATGTAAATCTCCAGAGGAACAGGACGAACTGAGTGCCGGAAGTTGAATAAGCCTTCCTTGACACCGAGCCAATTTCCTAGATCAGTGGCGTTGGCGCAAGCGGTCGACATTCCGACGATACGAACAGAGCCCTTCTTCTGAGAAGCAATGTAATTCATTCGAGAAACAATGATCTCGAGAATGGGACCTCTGTCTCCACCAAGCAGATGGATCTCATCAATAATCACCAGACTGACTTGACGTACGTAATCTCTTGTCTGCCAACTACGACTGATACCATCCCACTTCTCAGGAGTCGTAATGATAATATCAGCATCGCGGATTGTTCGGGTGTCTGGAGTGTTGTCACCAGTCAACTCAACAAGCTTCAACCCCATCTGCTTGGTCAGGCGACGACCCCAATCTTGAACTCTTTCACGGACCAAAGCCTTCATGGGGGCAATGTAAACTACCTTAGATCCCGGCTTCTCGCGGAACGCCCACCACATAGAGAGCTCTGCTGCGACTGTCTTACCACTACCAGTGGGAGATCCCAGCAGAACATTTGCTGATGTGTGGTACATGCAGTGGAATAGTTGTGTCTGCATAGGATTGAAGAACTGGAATCGTTGGCTGTATATCTCCTCTAGCAGAGGATTCTTGAGTGCGGCAATAGGCAGAGGCTGCAGGTTGAGCAGGTCAGTATAAACGCTCTCGGTATCAGGTCGAATGAGATGCTGGAAAGAAACTGGCGTAACGGTTTCAGCACCAAGCCATCGGTCTGATACAGCACGAACATAGATCTGCGAGGGAAGTGGATCGGTGAGCGGAATGGTGAAGCTCAACTCGTGCTCGTCGTAGAGCTTTCTTCTCGAGAGGATGAAGTATTCGTGATGGTAGATCTCTGAAGTTTCAGAGTTCTCTACCCAAATCCAGTATGATTCAGACTTGCCATGATGCTTCTCATTCCACCTGAAATCAGGTGTGATGTAGAGGTGAATACGCAATACATCTCGATTCAAGGGTGCGATTTCAGCCTCCACAGTGAGTGTGGGGAAGTTATCGAGCAGCTTTGCAATGGTGTAACCCATCTTGTTGTTGTGAACGAGCTGTCCAATTTCTGCTGGCTCCATGTCCCTCAAAGCCTCAATCGACGTGGTCGAACCTTTCTCGTCAAGGTTACGCATGACTGCCTGTGGAATATCGAATTGATGAAAAGGGTGTTGGTATGCCCACACGCGCTTCTCAATAGATTTGCACATAGACAGAAGAACAAGGCACTGGTAACCCCAACGTCTGTTCAGGGCAATCATGAACAACGCTCTGCAGATACGAGCCGCGTTCTGAGCAACATAGGACGAGTCTGATACCAACGTGAAGTCTTCCAGACGTGCGCGAGAGATGTAAGACTGAAGAAGGACATTTGTCTTGCCAGATTGCGAGCCAATACCACCCTCAATGTCGCAAGGAGCAGCTTCATCTTGGAGTCGCAACAGCTCTTTCTCTTCAGGCTCCTTGGACTGGATGTTGTCGAACTCACCACTCATACTGATCATTTTTAGGACGTCTGCCTCCGTAGCCTGAGGTCGCATCATAGTGTTGAAGATTTCGACACTTGTCTGAAGGACGTAGTACTGACTTGCAATTCTGCCTACGTCCTTTGCGCGAAGCTCTTCGGTCGTCTCGTTGAAGATAATCATCTGGCTTTGTTGCAAGACTCTAGCGGCCTTGATAATCAATTCCCGACGCCTCTGTACGAGCTGAGGATCGTCTCGAATCTCTGCCCAGTCGATACCATAAGCCATAGGGTTTCGTTGCATACGGACAAAGAGGTATGAATATCCAAGCCATTGAACAGCCTCTGAAACCGAGGTCACTGTTCCAAGGGAAATTTCAGCGTTGAGATTGTCAACCATCTTCTTTGAAAAGTTGGATTCAATGGGCTGTTGTTGGGTCACTGCAGTGAGATAGTGTTGAACCTTGTCCTGAGTGGTGCAAATAAAACCAATACCAGTGTCCTGGAACTGAGGACGTCCGGCACGTCCAAAAATCTGGAGCACATCAAGAATGCCAAGGTCAACGAATTTACCTGCCTCTGCACTGTAAAGTTGGGTACCCTTGATGACAACGGCGGCAGCTGGCAAATTGACACCCCAGGCAAGAGTTGCGGTACAACAGAGCACTTTGAGGACGCCGTCTGCGAACAAGCGTTCCATCATGTTCCTGTCAGATCGAGGCATACCAGCATGATGAGTACCGAAGCCCTTGGGCACAAGTTCTCTAAGCTCACGACCCTTGGAAGTCTTCAAGTCACGTAATGCTTGCTGGTAGTTCTCGTGGAAGGAAGGATCGAAAAGGTCGGTGCATCCCTCGTCGGTAGCCATCTCATACATGGTCTTGGCGGTCTTCCAGGTATCTTTGCGAGAATGGACAAAGACCATGACTTGATGGCCTCTCTCCAGCATGTCACGTACTTTCTCAAAGGCGACAATCTCCAGGTTTTCTCTTGAAGTCTTGCTGCCAGCTTTGCCCTTGACACCGAGGAAGTGTTGTTCGAGGGGCACAGGTCTGAAGGAACCGTCGAAGTAGAAAAGTCCAGCCATGCGGTTGACCTTGAGGAAATCGGCAACATCGACGTAGTTGGGAAGCGTGGCAGAGAGACCGACGATACGGATTAGAGACTGCGTGCTCTCGACTTGTCTCTCTGTTCGAGCGACAAGCGACTCGAGCACAGCACCTCGCTCGTCATGAAGCATGTGGACTTCATCAATAATCAGGAGACGAACCTTCTGAACAAGCTCTGTATCTCCAGTGCTCTTTCTTGTGACGACATCCCACTTCTCTGGTGTGGTCACGATGATTTGGGTCTGAACAATCTCGGCCTTGGTAAGATGCATGTCGCCAGTAAGCTCGCGACATTGAACACCAAGCCAAGCAAGTCTTTTGCCCAGTTTCTCGGTGATTTCAGCAGCCAATGCCTTCATAGGAGCGACATACACGATCTTGAAATCGTTGAGGGCAACAGCGAGGTCACTAGCATCCGGGTATTCGGAAGGACTCGGTGTCACGTTTTTAGCAATGGTGTTGAGGATAGTCAGCATGGCGGCATCAGTTTTTCCGGCACCAGTAGGCGCACAGATCAACATGTTCTCGCTGGTCCTGTATGCTACCGGATAGACAAGACTTTGCATGCGGTTCAGGGATTTATACCCTTTGAAGGTGCCCCGGCAAAGTGTGTCCATATCTTTGATGTCAACAAGCGATTGGCCGATGCCTAGTGTGCCGACTTTGGCAGGAGGGATGGAATATTCTTCGTACTTCTCGTGTTCGGTGCGCTCGCTTCCAAGCGGCAGCATGTACTTTCGGCCGTGAGAGGAAAGCATGTTCCCGGCATCGTGTGCTCGGTAGACATGGGGATACTGGGTAGCGGAGCGATCCTGAGCAACAGCCAGAGACGCGGTTTTGTGCTCGAAATCCTGCTGTTGTAGAGCGGCTTCTCTCTCACGGCGGGAGAGAATTCTTCCCTTGGATTCATTCTGTGCTGGAACTTCTGAGCCTTTAACAATCTCGTTGCGATGAGCGATAAGATCAGCGACGAGGTCCAGTTCGTCGAAGCCCAGCGTGTCAGCGAGAAGCATCTGAAGCTCGTCATCTGGTATACGTCAGTTACGTTCCCGTGTAAAGGCATCCAAGGCGACGTACCACTGCTATCTGAGCCTAGTATAGCACCAACATGATCCTGCAGCTCTTCCACGCTCAAACCAGATGAAACGTAACCAAGTCTTTCGCGCAACCAAGATGGGCCGTATGTGGGGGCTGGCGAGTTGTCCTGCACAGGAAAGGACGAGTCGCTTAGTGACGCGTAGTCTTCTTCTTCGTCATCGTCGACCAGGTCCCAGAGATCATCGTCACCGCTCGTAGGTTCGGATGAGTCTTCTTCGTCGGTCCAGACGTCTTGCCCATAAGCCGGTTCGTTATCTGTCTGAGGCAGCTTAAGTTCGGCGATGGCAGCTCGCATGGCGCTGAGCTGAGCAAGCCATTGTGTCTCTGCGTTATTCAGGGCGGAGGACATGTTAGTCGTGAGTATCCGCTTGTTGCACTGAAGGAATCGCGACTGTGCAATCGTCGTTCGCCTCAGAGGTCGGTGACTTTTGGGTGAACAGAAATGGCTATGGATGACGCAGTAGATGGCGGTTGCTATTCCGGGACTAGTTCCCGCAGGCCAACACCGCTTTTCGGCAGAAGACACCCCCGAAGTTTGACTGCCTTGCCAAACGTAAACAGACAACACAGCGAGCCAGATCAACATGGTATGCTTTCAAACATGTCATGAGACTGGACCCTGTGTTAACAATACTATCTAGGAGAGTCCTCACGAACACCAGCAGAATGTGTTACTCTCCCGCATCATCACCAACGTGGTAGGTCAACATGTGCAATTACACAATCTTCCAGAACTGACACGCCATCCAGGAGAAGTTGAACGAGGCAGTCATGATGCTGAATAAGAGTCTGCAAGTGAGTGCCAGTCTTTATTCTACCACCTATGAAGCTTGCGCTGACCTATAACAGGAAATCAACATCAACAACATGGATGTCGAGCTTGTCGCCCAGATGTTCAAAAACTATCAATCAAATGTCCTCTTCCATTTAGAAGGTAGATTTTATAACTCGAATCCTCTCTCCAAGTCTTAAACTGACGCAGACAGCCACGGATAATCTTCGCGCAGCATCTTGATCGTATATACCTAAGCTTGGAGTTGAAGTCATCACCCCAACATCCTTCTTCTGGATTCTTTTATGGACGTTCTACGAAGGCCAGGAATTCATGTCCCTCTGGTAACCTGCCCAACGGCCACTTGATGCCTTTATCACGCAGTGCATCCAATGCGGCGTGCGGTTCTGCATGGTCAACAAAGAACTTGGTATCTGCGCATGAGATGGTGCCATCATCCACATTACTCTCGAACGCAGAGCCGCGAAGTCTAGCAGTTCGAACGTAGTCGACAGGGCACGATGCCATGATTGTCTTGATTTGGCTGTTACCAACGCATTCGTTGGTCTGGCGGAGTCTTTTGCCCGAAGCTCGAAGAACTGCTGCGATCGCAAAGGGGTGGGAGCTGAGGATACCGACTGCAGAATCATCGTTGTCCTCGCTCAGCTTGATGAGAAGCTAAACAGAGTACGTCAGTAATTGCGCATCGTATCAGAGCGATCGCTACAGCGAGATTTGGTGCTGTTTGGCTTACATGACCTCTGGGGGCATGGAAAGTTTTACCTTTGTCGCTAGTCCTTGATGCCTGTACCTCATATTGACGCATAGCTGAGTTATCCAACATATGCTGAGGTTCTCGAATGTCCATCTCGTAGCAATAACGTGACCAACAAGGCGATGTTTATCTTTGGCTTGGACAAGAAAGTTGCGAGCAGGTGAAGAAGGCAAACAATCGGCTCTCAGGCGTGCCGGACTGGCACGTACACGTCGACCTTGTTTTTCAGGCTTGACGGCAGGACCCCAGACACCGTAGTTTTCCGAGAATGAGACAGCAATATCGTCGATCATGTCCTCGGTGATGGCAGCACCTTCGTGCTTGGTATAATCGATCATTGTGTTGACGAAATGCTTGGTGGGAGGAGACTCCCAGATAGGGGGAAATGCGGACCGTGATTTGTGACAGCTACATAACTCTCGCCAAACAGAACACGTGGGACGAGAGGATAATTCACCCAGTTTGGAGACCGGAGAACGCAGGCATGTTGTGACTCGTGAGAGAGTCTCTGGGCAAGAAGTGTCTCTGTTGGCTCGTGCACGGATGCAGAGCGGGAGTGAGACGGCCAGACAGGGTTGTGGGGAAAGCAAGTGACAGATCGGCAACCAAGTCGAGCAGTTCGAATGACCGACCAACCGTCTTGATTGCCAACCAGTCATGCAATAAACAGCAGAGCAGCATGGTGTACCGAATCTACGACATCAAGTCCGAACCGCAGAGTGGTCGCAATACACCGCCTTCGAGACCAGCTCGGCCATACCACGTCAGCGACCCTCCGTACGAGGGCTACCATGCCGTCGAGCAAAGCGCATACCGCAACAGCGCTCCTGACAGCGCCATAGTCATCGATAATGGTGAGTTCCTTCCCTGTCCGTGCCTCTCTCCTGTTGCTAATTCTCGCCATGCGCAGGCTCTTACAACATTCGCGCCGGGTGGCAGTCCGACCGCAGTCCACGCCTATCCCTGCCACCGGTCATGGCTCGATACACCGACCGCAAGCTCAATCGCAAACTCAACTTCATCGGCTCGGAAATCTACTTTGACGGCACAGCTCGAGGCCAGGCCAAGAATCAATACGAACCCGGAAGCAACATTATCAACAACTGGGACGTCCTAGAGGGTGCTCTGGACTACATCTTCATCAAACTGGGCATTGATGGCTCCAAGGGACATGTCGACCGTCCTGTGGTTATAACTGAGCCACTAGCCAACCTTCAGTACTCCAAGCGCACCATGTCCGAAGTTCTTTTCGAGCTGTACGGTGTGCCCTCGGCTTCGTACGGCATCGACTCGCTCTTCTCCTACGCACACAACGGCGGACGCACCGGCCTTGTCGTCTCTTCTGCATACACTTCTACCCACCTGCTTCCCGTCGTCGACTCAAAGCCGCTCTTTGCCCAAGCTACGAGACTGGACTGGGGCCGCTCGCAATGCGCTGATTACCTGAACAAACTTCTGCGCGCCAAGTACCCTGCATTGCCAGGCAAGATCAACGATACCCAGATTGAAGATTTGGTTCGCCAACATTGCTACATCTCTCAAGATTACCAAGGCGAAATGGCCAACTACCTCGACTGGACCGGTCTTGAGGACCGTGATGTGCTTGTTCAACTGCCCTTTACCGAGAAAGAGGTGGTGCAGAAGTCAGAAGAAGAACTCGCAAGAGCTGCCGAAAAACGCAAAGAGAGTGGTCGAAGATTACAAGAACAAGCTGCCAAGATGCGTCTCGACAAGCTCATTCGCAAGGAACAAGAGCTTGAATACTACAAAGACCTCCAGCAGAAGCTCGTTACCGCCACTAAAAAGGATGCGCGCACCATGCTTGAGGCCGACGATTTCAACGATGAGGCTCAATTGGAACGCAAAGTCAAGGAGATGGAGCGCTCGATCCGAAAGCAAAGGAACAAAGATGTGGGCGACATTGACGAGCCTGAAGAACTTCCGACATATCCTTTGCTCGACATCCCTGACGAGGAACTAGACGAAGAGGGAATCAAGCAAAAGCGTCAACAACGCTTGATGAAATCTAATCATGACGCTCGCGCTCGCGCAAAGGCCGAGAAAGAACGCGAGAAAGCCAGAGTTGCTGAAGAAGAGCGTTTGGACGCCGAACGCCGAGAGACCGATACTGAGAGCTGGCTCCAAGAGAGGAGAGTCGCTCGTCAGAACATGATCCAGCGCATCAAAGAACGCGATCGTCTCAAGGCAGATCTCGGAAACCGCAAGTCACTTGCGAGTCAGATGCGCATGAAGAACATTGCCAATCTGGCGTCCGACAACCCCAAGAAGCGTCGCCGGGGCGGAGATGATGACACCTTCGGCGCCGACGATGCCGACTGGGGTATCTACCGTCAAATTGCGACTGGTGATCAAAGCGACGATGAGGAGGAGGAAGATCTTGGAGCAAACCTCAAAAATATCGAGGCCCAGCTGTTGAAGTACGATCCGACATTCACAGAGCAAAGTACGCAAGAAGCACAGCAAGATTGGACCAAAAGTGTGCTTCATTCGTTCTTGCGCGGTCCTTGGCCTTTCGATCCCGAGAGCCAAAGAGAACTCAACCAGATACATCTCAATGTCGAGCGCATCCGCGTGCCCGAAGTCATATTCCAGCCCGGTATCGCGGGCATTGACCAGGCAGGCATTGTCGAGATCGCCGAAGACATCATCACACAGCGCCTCTCCGGTTCTTCGAGGCGCGACGACATGCTCAAAGACATATTCTTAACAGGTGGTTATACGCACTTCCAAGGCTTTGAGGAGCGTCTACGTAACGAGCTGCGTGCTGTGTTGCCTGCAGACATCGCTCTCGGCGTGCGCAAAGCCAAAGACCCAATCCTCGACGCTTGGAGAGGTGCAGCCGAGTGGGCCGCTAAACCGACGTCAAGACAATCATTTGTGACACGAGCAGAATATCACGAAAAGGGAGCAGACTACATCAAAGAGCACAACCTGGGCAATGCAGCTTTTTGATAGTAGATGCGTGATGCAGAGGATGCAGGTGCAGTAGTTTATTCCTAGACGGGCTCGGCAAGTGGCGTTCAAGGGCCCAACACGAAGGCATGGTGATACCCGTTTTTTTCCCTCGTCCGACGATTCATGGCGCACGATTCTTTAGCTCCATCATTACAATAAATATGCATGCGACCAAAACTCGACAGCCCTACTCAATACCTACCTAGTTCTCAAATGAAATCCAAGAGGCTTCCAGGTGCAGTCAATATGGGTCAGAGTCTGTGCCCAGACCGCCAGTCGTGTCAAGCAATCACAATCTCATTGCCGAGAATCTGAAACGCCACGAAACCACTCGTTGATCTCTCTTGACAGGCAATTCGCCAGCACGCTGCGACGTGTTTGAGACAGCACGCCTCTTCCAAGAGATCGTCAGGGCTTCTCAAATGACGGCGCAGGCCAGCTCGTCCCTGTGGGCGTGCTAATCTGCGCTCCGTGCAAATCACCAAACACGAGTAAGCACAGATGGGGCGAGCCATAAATTTGACGCAGGTACCAATGCACTTTGATACCGCGTGGGTCTTGTAGGTTACCGATGGCGAACAGCGGTAAGCATGGGTTCTTCTCGAGAACCTGATCCTTCTTCTCCTCTTCTCCAGAAACAATCGTGAGACGCTTCAGACGTCGTCCATTCGCTCAGACTTTCGCTCGACTTCCTCTAGTCAAAGCACCCTGCTGTCACTTCAATCCTTCACATCTCCTTCCTTTCGTCCTCTCCTTCTGGTCTTCCCTTGACGGGCGTCACGCGACTCTTCCCGGCAGGTCCAACAGTCAGGATTCACCCTGGTGGTTTTTGTATTCCCGTCTGAGGTTATACCATCGCAGGTCGCGTGCTTTAGGATATGGGTTTCCTAGAGAGATCTCGGTCCTTACGCCGTAAAGAGACCCCGTTTATGCGCAAAAAGCAGGATGACACGCCCACGACACAAGGAAGAGACCTCGATACCGAAAGAGACGTACAGCGTGCTATTAAGAGTGCCCATAGTCACAAAGACTCGACGTGGAAAGGACCTCAGACTGCCTCCACAGATCTATCACGACCTCGCACTGCGAGCAAAGCGCCTACGGATATAAACTCACAACTACCACCACCTCCCTCGGCACGAAACTTCCCAGACCCGCGCACCTTCAAGCTACCAAATGGGCCCTCGAGAAGAATGTCGATGACTCCATCGCCACGAACAACCACCCCCGGACTTACCATCCATGCTAATCACTCTACACCGGGTATTGGTTTTGAGAGCCCACGAAACCCAAAGCGGTCGATGACTACTCCGATCAACGCTCTTCCAACCTTGAATAAGAGAGAGGACAAGGCAGCTGAACCGTCCGCTACGAGCAAAACTGAAGCTGCATCGGCTGCACCGCGCAAGGAGCCGCATCTGCGCAAATCAAAGTCTGGCACGTGGAGGTCGTTCTTCTCCCGAAAACAGTCGAAACCTCCTATTCCAGACTTCAACCCCGCAGACATCGCACCTCCTCCAGCACTTCCAAAGGCGTCTTCAAAGGACAAAGATTCGGCCAAAAGTTCTATTCACAGCAAGATATCCTCGAAGGATCCTGTACCAGCAGTACCTTCCAAGGATGGCAAGAAGCTTCATCGAAATTCCATATCAGTTGACAAGACGCGAGACATGCAGAAGGCTAGCACCAGAGCACAATTTACAAAGAGCTTGGGCGACCCATCTGCATTACCTCGTCTGAAGTTGGAGAATCTGTCGGCTCTTGAGCCTCCGCCGTCAAGGTCGTTTGCCCGAAGCCCAAGTGCAGAATCGACCATGTCCCAGTACTTTGATGCCGCGTCGCACACTAGCGGTCCTTCGATGCCTGCAACTCCCCTCAAGGGCCCAACTCAACGCAGACTCAACGTCAACATTCCTGCTGTCGAGATGGAGCGTTACAGCGTTATGTTCGAAAAGCTCCTCAAACCTCAGGCCTCGCTCATGGAGAGGCGGCAAACAATAGTCAAACAGCTAAACCTACCAAACCAGCCTTCTGGAGGAGTGAGTTTTCAAGCAGCAAAAGTGCTTACGAAATGGTGAGCTAACAAGACAACTAGCTTGCTCCAGAGTCTCCTGCTTTGCAACGTCGCGCCACATCACCAAACCTCAGCTGTCGCACTCCCGTGACTGCTGAAATGATTGGTGACGGCTCCCAGGTTGCCACACCAGTGCCCATATATCGTGCATCAAACACACCGCGCCTGTTGCGCTCCCAGACTGCACCTCCGGGAGCACTCACACCTTCACGCCTCGGCTACGAGCAACAGACCAAGGCACCCAGCACGACCAATAATTCATCCGCATGCTCGACAAACTCACACATGTGGAGTGATGCCTCTCAACCGCAGACGCCGGCCTCGGACGCGGAGTCCTTTGTCAGTTTTGATATCAACGATGACGACGAAGACAGTGGTGATGATGACGAGCACGATGAAACTGAAGGATATATTCACGATGCTGTGGCAATGCAAGCGACACCCTTATTCCGAGACCCTCACTGGAGAAATGACACACCTACAATGGCCGCTCCTCCGATTCCTCCTAAAGCATTAGGACGCCGTAGCCCTCCAGCTTTCGAGCTGGAACAACAAGCAGCCACCATTAATCGACCGCATCCGCCCCGGACAAGTTCGCTTGACGACACTGCCGCTAAGCGCAAGACTCGTACAGGTCCCCAGATCGGAATTGCTCGCCAGATCTCTGTGGTGCGCAGACCTCAGCCTGGCGGTCTTACTGTGCCATCGCCTGCAAAGGTCAAGTCACCTGCAATGATTGACCCATCTGCGCCAATGCCAGTTTTCAGCAAACAACCGCTGCGCCCCAAGCTTGTGGATGTGCGCAATCGCAAGAGCACTCTGGTCGTGCTTGACGAAGCCTAGAAGGCTTCACTACTGCTAAAGACTGAGCACAGCCACAAAATCACGATTACCATTCTCATCACTGCATCATATATGGCCACGAACTCTTCAATGAGCCCACAAGCCTATAACACTTTATTTGGATGAAACATGTATACTCCCATTCGTTTATTTTCCTCATCACTTCTTCAATTTCTACTCATCTCTTTCCTATCAATTTTATAATGGCTGGCCCTTCTTTCCGATGGGTCAAGTACCCACTTTTCATCTCTTATGTATCTTACTGGGTATGGGCTTGTTCCCAACTTGTGAGCTGCTCTGTCGTCTTGAAGACTGCAGTATTTCAATTCTCTCTCATACCCTTCGTTTGTTGTTCTCTCTCTCTTTCTACCATCACTCAAGGACACCGCAGTGCGGTAGGACCTCCGTCTTTTGTTGTCACCAGGCTTAGCCGCTGACTGTCAATACCTGAATGAACATTCTCCACACCTTCAAAGTTCCGATCGAACATGCGTATTTACGTGATGGAAATCACATGTCGAAGAGTCGCCCCATGTTGCACCTGACGTGTCGAAGGCCGAAACGCCAAGCAGCAAGCTGAATCGTATGTCAAGTTCAAGGTTCTACCTTGATGACAAACGCAACCAACATGCTCATGCCCAGCATCGAGTTGAAGTTTCGAGAACATGAGGTTCGATCGTTGGTGCAAGATGTTCCCCATACATCATCCGTTCATCCTTAGATAACCCAAGTGGCACACGTACAAGAGTAGTACAAACGTCTTCGTCCATCTTCTTCTGACCTCTGAGTACCAGAAAGTCAACTGGGTCAATCAATCGTCCAACATGCGTCCAACCACTTTCTTCCTCGCAGCTTTGACTGCCATATCCACAACTGTCGCCACAGTCGACATTTCCAATCTCCGTCAAGAACTGGTAAAGCCTCTCTCTCGCCTTTACGATATCGCTGCAACTATCTAGTCCCGCTAATGCATTCTTACATAGCAAAACTGTATGACGGGCAATCACCATGTGGGCTTCCCTTACCTCGACCCCTTCCACTGGGAAGACTGCTCATACAAAGATTTTTGCAAATCACACGGCAAAATGAGATCATGGTGGAAAAACTCGGTGTTTCCTTGCGTGTGCAGGAACAACCGCTTTTCTGAGGTGGATAATGTGGTCGTATGGAACAGTAAGTGCCTGTGCAAGATCAAGAATCGTTGAAGCGTGTTCTAATCAGAGATACAGATTGGAAGGACTGGATGGATGCGACGTGCAACAATCATGACATCGGAAGTGCAAGTTCGCGTACAAAGATGTGTTGAGACATATTCTACGGTAGAGTAGATGTTCGAATCAGTATCGATCTCTGAGCTTGCCAAGTTGTCTTGAAGAACGCCTATCAAAAGGCAAAATGGTTTCCAATGGAAATGCAATGTCCAGAGGGAGCTAAAAGGGATACATGTTCTCATGGGACAGCTTCTCGACTCACGAGCACCAAAAACATCTTGCACTTTCATAATCAGTTCGACACGCCATCTATGACCGAGGATCTCAAATTCTGGTGCGATTTCCATTACTCCATGTCCACATCTAGCAGACGTGATAAACTTGCTCACGCCTAGTCTTGCCGGGATTTCAAGAAATATCGTGCCCATGTCGAGAATCTCCAACAGATGATATCTTCTTGATGGAAGTTGCAGACGTCTCTTCGTATTGTATCAAATTGTCAATAAGTGTTATTCGCCTCGCCATCTCCATCGTTGGGTGGCAGATGGATTGGCTCTCGTATTCCGAGCAACAGCCTCGAAATTGAGAGAGTTGAAGTTCGATAGAAGAACTCAACTCATGAATATCGACTCACAATTGGATTTGTCCCGAGTCATCAAATATCTTCAGGGTATAAGTACAGTCCTACGTTCCATTGTCTGCAACTTTTTTATTCCTCACAAGATCCAACAACTCGCACAATTCATCCAACCCACAAGCCACTCAACACAAACACAAACGCACATTCACACTTACACTTACAACACACAAGATGCGCCTATCCACTTATCTTGTCGGCTTCCTGGCTACTGCTTCGGCTGTGCTTGCTGTTCCCGACTTGTCTGGGCTACCTCGAGAGATTGTAAGTTTTGGCTGTATCTTGCTTTCGATGGAAACATACTAATGATGATATAGCAAGAGTGCATAGTAGGCAACCACAACCTAGACTGGACTTGGATTGGTTCGTACCACTGGGAGAATCTTTCAGATGAGGAATTCTGCAAAATCGACAATGTTTATCCTAGGACTGAAACAAAGGCATGGTGGATTGGGGGAGTCTTCCCTTGCGTAGGTGCCACTCCAATCTCTCTACAGAACTCTACTAACTGTACTTAGGTTTGCGCGCGCAATCGCTTCTCGTGGCAAGAGAATAGGATAATAATGGGAAGTAAGTATAGAAGTTGGCGGATATCGTCTTACGTGCCACTCACTAATGATGATTTGCAGAGTGGGCGACCTGGATGGACGAGAAATGTGGTGGCCATAATATCGGCCAAAAGCATGGAACTGGCAAGATGTGTAAGAGACAGCCATGAATGGACTCTGGTTCGGATTGTGTCTCGGTGTAGCTCGGTTCCATGAACAGAGTGATAGCCGCAGATCGAGAAATCAAGATGACAGAGGCTCTGTTGTTGGTAGCGAGGTGACAGTGATGAAAAAGATAAAGGGCACGGCGCGGTTTAAGAAATTAGTGGCAGATTCGCAAGGACGACACCAAAAAAAAACCGTATCAAGAATCAAGATCGCAGCTTCCATATCACACCGATAAGACACCGCTCGGCACATCTGATCATAAACTCTCGGGTTTTTGTCCTGTGCTCTGAAGAGCTCATCGACCTTGTGAGGACCGACGGTACAACCTTCCTCATTTCCGGTTCGTTTACAGCCTTGAAGCCATCAGGGTATCCATCCGCAAGATCCAGGTCGATAGTTCCATGGCAGTCTTCATCGTCATCAGCGCAGGAATCGCCATCCCAATTAATCAAATGTTCACAACTCTCATCATCGTTGTTAATACACTGGAACATTAGAAGATGCAAGGAAAAACGCGTGGGTATCATTAGGATTGCTACATGACGATGCAGCAGGAGTTTTGCTTCTTCGCCTGGGTGTAGAACATCTTGCTCTGAGCACTGAGGCCATCGCTCTTTGCGACGAGGTTGTCGATCTTCTCACCGCGCTCAAGCACGCTCTCGATAGTCTTGTGCAGGACGATCTTGGTCTCGTCCAACTCCTTCTGGATCTTCATGATGCTGTCGGCGGCGTGAGGGTCCTGGTACTTGACAATGTACTCTTTGAGAGGAGGAAAAGGCAGCTCGGCGTTGGAGTTGGCAAAGGCGGTGCGCGGGTAGCGTGAGAGGAACTCGTCGAGGATCTTGGAGAGCAGCTGATGGGCGACGAGGGCGGGGTATTCCTGGTCGGAGATGATGATGGCGGCGACACCCTCGCTGCGGCCGTAGGCGTGGAAGGTGTAGGATTGTTCCTCGACGTCCTGTCGTTGGCCGGGCTTTGTGCGTTCGGCGACCGTCTTGGTGAAGAGGGACATGAACTCGCCGACGCTGGAGCGGGTGAAGCGAGAGTAACTGCTCAGGTCGCGTTCGGCGCACAGCTCGACGGCCGGCTTCTGTTCGTTCTTTAGGATCTGCGCATATGTTAGATCGAGCCTTCTCTTTCCGGCGTGGCCAACAGCAGGCAACATACGCCAATGTAGAGAATCTTCATGTCGACGGTGATGTTGTGACAGTGGTAGACGGTGCCTAGAGTAGGGGCATCTAATACAATGTCTAGCCGACGCCAAGCGTCCTATGACCCTGAATCTATGTCGTCACATCCACAACACGATTCGTGAGTGAGCCTTGTCATAAATCTTTCCTGAGACCTTCTCGTACGCGTCTAGCTCTGCATATAACACATCTCTGCTCGTAATCTCTGCAATCGACATGAGTCCTTTGCACATCTAAGCACCCTCGCTACCAAACTCGGCTGTCCATTCCGCATTGTGCTTCAAGTCCTCTTGACTGACAGTAGGCCTCGAGGCCTTGATTGCCTTGACAAAGTCCTTGACCATGAGCGGGGGCTCCAGGAGCTTATCCGTATCAACGTCCATCCAAGTCATCTCGCTTGCGCCCTGATCGCCTGGTGAACACGGCGTGAGCTTTTCTTGACCATCCACTGTGACCTAGATGAGAGACCATGTCAGTTATGTGAGCGAACCCCCATGCAGCCAGACCAACATACCTTCTTGTAATGAGTCGCCGTTTGGATTTTCCGCACTGGTTGCATCAAAGCATCCTGCACAGCAATCGTGATATCGCTTCCAGAGTAGCCTTCGCTGAGCTGTGCCAAGGTCCTGAAGTCCTCTGCCTTCATCTCGCATGGCGTTGATCCTACCGCAAGCTCAAACATTCTTGTTCGGGCTGGAAGATCGGGCAAGCTGATGTGTACTCTTCGCTGGAAACGTCTACGGATGGCAGAGTCGAGTTGCCAGGGAATGTTGGTAGCTCCCAGAATGAGAACTCCTTTCGAATCGCGACCTACACCGTCCATCTGCACGAGAAGTTCGGTCTTGATGCGTCTTGATGCTTCTGACTCGCCTTCACCTCTGGGGCCGCAAAGAGCGTCGATCTCGTCGATGAAGATGATTGACGGCTTGTTTTCTCGCGCCATTCCGAACAGTTGCTTCACGAGACTTTGGCGATTGTTAGTTCATGGTTACGCATGTTCAGACAAGCTTTTGTGACATACCGTTCACTTTCACCCATCCACTTGCTTACCAGATCACTGCTGCTGACACTGAAGAACGTGCTGTTTGCTTCGGTAGCGACGGCTTTGGCGAGATATGATTTACCAGTACCAGGGGGGCCGTAAAGCAAGATGCCCTTCCAAGGTTGACGCTTGCCGGTAAACAGATGGGGAAATTTGATGGGAAGGATGACAGCCTCTTTCAGGGCTTCCTTTGCTTGCTCTAGACCAGCCACATCCTCCCATTTGATGTTGGGCTTGTCGGTCAAGATAGCGCCAGCCAGAGCTCCTCTCAATTTCTTGGATTCGGGATCCTGGTCGTCTCCCTCTTCGTCCCTTTGAAGAGGTATTTAGCGCATGCCAGTAAGCATATAGACGGTATGGAAGACGTACTTTCCCTTGGCACCGCCATTTGCAGTCTTCCCATTGGCGCCTACGGCACTTGGTTTCTTGCGATTTGTGTCTTGTTCGGCCAGATGATTCTTCAGTTTCTCAGCTCTTTCCATGTATTCGGCGGCCTTTGCGCGGATCATTTCCTTGGACTTTGCGTTCTTCTCCCCTATGGCTGGCGTTAGTGGCGTGTCGTAGTGGTAGCGTTGATTCGAGCATACATTTGAGAGCGAGCATGAACAGTTCAACTGGTCCAGGGTCAGTGACTAAGCACAAGGTCGCATACGTGCGAGTTGATTTGAGACATACGGGATTGGTAGTAGAGCTGGTAGGCCTTCTCATACTCGCCCGCCGTGTCTTGCTCGATGGCCTTCTTTACCACATCGATGGCACGGCCCAGGAAGTCGGTGTTACTCATGTCGGAGGCTGTATGGTGCAGTAGACAGGCGAAGTTAGGAAAGAGGCGGTGACGTGTGGGCCGTCTACGCTTAGGATGGGCTGCGGTCGTGAGACGGCGCTCGTGTGCTTTGTACGGGCGAGAGAAGAATGCAGTAGCGACTCGATCTGGGGGCGATGCGGCTGACGGCTGTTCGTAGTATGGCTGGCTCGTCGTGACCAGTTATTGACTGGAGAGGGCCGGAGAGAGGAAGAGATGGCATCAGTCAATGGCGCGAGTCGAGACGTTCCCCGCCGTCTGAAGTGCCCGTTGCTTGCCGCACTTTCACTTCCCCACACAATCAACACGCCGCTCCAATCTTGCCTATCCCGCCAAATCCTCCCAAGCCATCAGCGAAACATACCCACCTGACCAACGCAGTCTCACAGCCATCTCACAATGGCTACTCCTGAACAGCAAAAGCAACTACAGGCTTTGTCTGATGAATACACCACCCTTCAAAATGGTATTTCTTCCTTCATTCCCTCCAATCATACAATCGTCCGACCCAATATTTGCTAACATGACTATACAGAATTGCAGACCACTGTTGCCGCAAGACAAAAGCTGGAATCTCAACAACAAGAGAACAAGGGTGTGAAAAGCGTCGGTATCACGTCTGTTCATCTCTCTGACCATGTCCGCTGACCTGTTCGATAGGAATTCGCAAACCTTGACGACGATGCCAACATCTACAAGCTTGTTGGCCCTATTCTGCTAAAGCAGGATGCAACTGAAGCAAAGAGTACCGTTGATGGCAGATTAGAATTCATCGACAAGGAAATGTCCGTCTTCGTGACTGTCCTCATAGACGCCTTCTCACTGACCAATCGCAGCAATCGTATCGAGAAGCAGATTTCTGACATCCAAGCCAAGAGCGAGGAGAAGAAAATGGCCGTGAGTTTTTTCATTGGCACCTTTGTGTCGTAGCCATCTGACTCCCCATAGGTCTTTCAGTTACAGACGGATATTCAGCAAACCGGCCAAGCTTGAGAATGAACAAAGAAGTCTTTCATTCACAAGACTGCCTCCGGGACCCTTCCCATGACTTTCGTAGCTTGAGCCAAGTCTACAGCTTCTGGAAAACGTTCAGTCAGATGGCTTCTGCGGGTGTGGAACCTCCAGGCTAAGAGAAGGAGTATCATCAGCGTTTGTCGTGAGAGATGCATCGATGCAGACGATAATTCAGTCATATGCTGGCCAAGGTAGCTGATAGAGCGGGACACGATATCAGACGTGTGCAAGATCTCATCTAGCATATCTCTCGGCACTGATCTTGGCCCCTATCTGGAGAAACCTTCAAAATGTACAAAGATCTTGCCAATTTCGATATTGTACAGTGAGAGGCCCGAAGATTTGAACTTTCAATGGGCACCCTCCGAGTCACCAACCTTAATGGCTAGATTTATGCCAGTGTCTGATGCTCGGAGGGCAGCTAGATGCTTGAGAGCGAAGTTCGTGTCAAGAAATTCTTATCAAGTGTATTTTGATTGTGTGCCAATGATTCAGGTCGAAATCAGTGGTGGATATCATGTGTTTAACTAAGCTGTCCATTCCTCCAGCATGCTATACGGTTCGTACCCAGTCATGGGTTGGTTCCTTGTCATCAGATCTGACTAATCTCGGCTCGGAGGTCAACTTTGTTTCCCACAAATTGCTGATCGTAACTTCTTGTTCCAAAGAAGGAACTGCATCTAACCAAAGAAGGCACGAACGGCATGTTGAACCTCTGGCGACATTTCAGCCAGCAATGAGTTGGCATCCAGAGATGCCATCGTCACAAGAGCTTTTGCGGATTGCACGACCTGCTGGGCGGTTCTGCCTTGCAGCGTCTCGGCCTCCAAAGCCAGCGCTACAAAGTGGAAACAACGAGCTGCTTGCTGTACGACAGCAGGATTCTGTCTAAGTTCAATGTCAGCAGGAGCGATGTTGATGCACGTCCGTTTCAAACTTACTGGTCAATCAGCTGCGCCAAGAAGGCGTAGGCATAAGGAGCGGCCTCCTCGTCGTTAACCACAGGCAATGTTCCTATCCAAGCCTCGACAACTTGTTGACTGTTGGTGACCTTTGAGCCGTTGAAGTGCAGAATCTTGGCGATACTGGCGCAGGCGTTCTCGGTAGCAAACACATGGTCACCAGTGCGAGCATCAGGTCTCTGGGTTGCTTGGAACAGAAGTGGCAAGCTAGCGTTGGCAAAGTCCGACCATGGCGCGCCACCCTTGTGTGCTGCAACACCGGCTCCGTATGTTGCGGCTTGTCTGTTGGCAGGAACATCGTCTTGCATACCATCGACCAAAGGTTGCACGATGTGGCTCTCGAATGCCCATGATTCAGGGCCACAGAACTCCAGGACGTCATCCATGATGCACAGAGCCCATTGTCTTTGTGTTGGGTCCTGATTCTGCAGCGCTTGATCAAGGTACGGCAAGAGTTTCTGCCAGAAGGGTAGGAATGTTGTGCCGTGGTGCTTGAAGATGGTGTGGAAAGCTTTGTTCATGTCGGAGAGCAGGGTCTGATCGTCCTCGATGGCAAAAAGAGTCTCTTCACTCGCCTCTTCACCATCTTCACGTTCATTGGCCTCCTCCAGTCTCTCGTTTACGCGACTCTGGTAGTCCTTGAGCACACCCTCTGCGGAGTTGATGAACACGGCCATTTGGTCCGTGGTAAGACAGCTGTTGCCGCTGACTTCAACGGACTCATAGAAGCATTGGTACATCTCGGCCAGGGTCTCGATAGCAGGCTCGGTCTCAAGGACCTCCAACACCTTGGCAATAGTTGTTGTCCAAAGTTGGCGGAATTGTGGTGATTGAAGGCCATGGGCAAGCTTGTAGCAGTTGAGGAGTTGAGGTACACACTTTGCGGCGGCCTGGCGCACAGGGTCGTGGAAGAAGAAGGCCAAACCAGGAATGGCGATGTTTTCCATAATGTCAAGGACGTAATTCTCGAAGCTTGCGGCCAGGTGTTGGGCGTAGACGACAATGAGCTCAATGGCCATGTGCTTGTCGTCGAGTGTGCTAGTCTTGATACCAATGTATTTACCCTTGAGGGGCACGAGTTCCCATCCTTCTTCCTGCTCGAGGTTGTCTTCATCATCGAGCAACTGGATGTCTGCCTTGGCCTTCGCCAATTCCAGAAGTGGAGGCATCACAGCAGGTAGGTACGGAAGGAAGTCGGCGCCCAAGATACGGCACATGCGGCCCCAACAGTGCAGCAGGTATGAAGCCTGGGGGTCGTCAGAGTCCGTAATGCCTTGCTGGATGCTGCCAAGGATCTGAACAAGCTCAAGAGCATCGTTGCCCATGCGCTCTTTGCCAACTGCAAGAGCAATTAGAGTAGCACACTCCATAGCTTTGGCTCTCAGCAAGCGGTTTTCCTTGGACTGGTCGGTCTTCAGGACATTGAACAACAAGGGCATCAAGTCGCTGTAGTATTTGGCAAAGGCAGCTTCGGCAGAGTCGGCAACGGTAGCGATAGTGGACAGGGCTTGCTCCTGGACATAGCGAGTCTTGGTGTTGCGCAAGAGGTCGAAGAGGTTAGTGAACAGACCATCGAGGTAGGGGGTCAAAATCTCGCGCTCGGCCTCTTCGCAGAAGTTGACAAGCGCGGCGGCGGCGTGGGAAGCGACGCGAGGTTGATCAGACTTCAGAGACTCTACCAGAGCAGGAAGAACAAGCTGGTGGAAGTTAGTCTGCATGATGCCCTTGAAGTCGGTGCTCATCTGGCCAAGGGCGTTGCAAGCCGCCCATCTGACACGAGGGTGAGGGTCTGTCAGTCTGGGCAGCACAAGGTCCAAAACCTGTTGGAGTTCGCTCTCCATGAGCTCCTGGCAACCCTCGGAAATAGCTGAGATTGCCATGAGCGCGGCATGGCGGTCTCTCCAAGCGCCAGACTCGATCATTCGAGGAAGCCATTGGAAGGTGGGAGGGAGAATGGCTTGGCCACCCAATTTGTTTGCCAGACGGTCCATGGTCTGCTCACCAGCCACATGGTTCATGTCAGCCTCGTCCATGTCAAGGTCCTCGGTAGTGCACCAGTCTTCGGCGTCGTCGTCGTCAGCGCCAACGTCGGTCATAAGGGACAGGCACTGCGTAACCATGTCGGGAGTGTAGTTGGGGTCCTTGCGGCACATCTGAGGGTGGTAGTCGGCGAAAGTGGCCATAAGCTCCAAGGCATTCTGTCTGGCCTTGTCGTCAAGGTCCTTGTCTTGAATGACGGTGATGCTAAACTTGACCAACTCGTTGAACAAAGGCTTGAACATCTTGGGCGCGGCTTCGGCGAGATCGATCATGGCAACCAGGGCCTTGGTAAGGTCGTCGGAGTTGGACATATCTTTGAGAGGAGGAAGGATGTTGAGGATGTCCGAGATCAGGGGGTAGTACTTGACTTGGGCTTTCTTGGTGATCGAGTGGAAGAACGACGCAAATGCGTCCATGGCGGCAAGCCGGACCTGCAAACATGCAAGACGCGCATTAGTCGGTGCCGACCAAGGCAGTGCTGTAGAGAAGAACTTACCGCGACATCATCGTCCTTGAAGCCCTTGGTGAAAGAGCTTAGGACAACCTCTTCGTGTTGCTTCTCGATGATACCAGGGGTAGTAGCAAAGATTCTGAAGGCTGTCTCGCGCTGGCCGGCGTCGGGCGATTGACTTGCCTGGAACAGAGCAGCCAAAAGGTCGGCCCATGTGTCTCTGGTGTTGTCTTCATTGTAGACTTGTTCATCTGTATATTGTCTGGCGATTTCGGCGACGGCATCACCGACCTTGTTGCGGAGCGAAGGCTGGGCCACGACCGAAGGGGCGGCCATGCCTTGCAGTAGGAGGGTACGAATAGCGTCCCGCTGGGGCTTTTGCAGGGTGAGGAATAGCTCGCGCGACTGACCAGCAGAGTCCTTGGAGGTGCGCGATGACATGCGACGGAACAAGACGGCGGCGAAAGATTGGGCCTATACATGTAAGTCGTTGACCAGCAACGAATGCCAATAGACGGTGCGTACCATGGACGATTCGGCCATCTGGATCTGCTCAACCAGCCCCATGAGCAGCACATCGGGCTTGCTTAGAGCCCATTCTGTTGACAGACGTTCCTCAGCCTGGCTTCTGATATTGTTGTCGGCTGCTTGAAGTCCCTGCAGTAGCTGGCTCAAGGCGCTGTGCGTCTCTGCTGGAAGCATCGACATGATGGCTCCTGGACAGAGGGTTTGTTCAGGCGCCGCTGCGAGAGCGCCGCTTTGGTCCTTTTGGTGGTCTTTCTAGGTGAGGCGGTGGCGCGTATACAAGAGCCGATGAACTTTGAAGTGGCTCTCGAAAGTCGATGACGGCTTTGGGGAGGGCTGCAAGAGTGTGGTTGCAACGAAAGGGACTTGTTATGGAAGCTTGGTTTACTCTGTCTCGAATGTTTTTTTGGACTGAACCCTGAGCCTGAGCCTGAGCGGCTCCCTCCGTGGCCGATCTCCACACTTTCATGCCCCTGTTGATTCCTTCCCCCTCCAACTCTTGATCAACCTTGATGTTCAGACGAAGCCTACTTTTCCTATTTCCCACCAAACGCATACACATCTAGAAACTATAATCTTCACAATGCTTCTGAATCAAACTCATGTCCAGTGAATCGTGTCATGGAGCTCGACTCTATAGACCACTGTTGTCTGTTTTACAAAGGAATGTTCAATTAAACTAAGCTACAGTCTTCAGTGGTATCGCTGCCCCGTGTAAAAGAAATTGCTGTCCAGGAATGCGTAATTATTCTCTTCCTCATTTGCTCGACATCCTTGAGATAGCAAACACTCCGATAATGGCAACAGCGAGAGTCACTATTGCTCCGGGTAAAAGCAGCTCGTTCGGCAAACCTGAAATCAGCTGCTCTTGAGCTGGCGCCGAAGCTACTGTACGCTCTCTTCTACGGGGCTTGGTCGTCTCGCTCTCCTCGTCAGACTCGCTATGGGTCGCCTTTCTCTCACGAACTTGGCTTTCCGATGCTATCACACTTGGTAGTGTGGGCTGTGGTGCAAGTGTTGCTGGTAGTGGCGCCTTTTCAGGATCGTGCACGAACAGATCGACCTTGTCGTGTTGTGTCAGTTGGGCAAGAGAGATGGCGTCCAACAGATCACGGTCTGTTGTTATTGAGACTGTATCGCCTTCGTTGTCCAAGTAGCTCAGCGCGAAACCTGTGCGGCTGAGCTTACCGTCTTCGAATGTTGGCACTCCTCCAATGGCTTCAGCTTCGCTGCCCAGCTTCTCTGCGACCACGCTGAGCAGCTCGCTCATACCAGCTGAAGGCACGACTTGCAGTCGGTGCACACGACCGCTGGGTGCTTTGAACTTGAAGGGGAACGGAACGTCCTCATACGAAGCCGCTCCGGTAAACACAGATCGATCGGGTGAATCACGACCGCCAGTGTGAGAAGCCGAGTCGGTGGGCATAACGCTATCAAGTCGATCGACCCCGGGTCTGGACAGTTCTGGCGACACTAAAGATCGCCCGTCTTCTGTCTGTGGGTGACGACTACCACCTTCGCCAGACATCATCGACTCGGTTTCGTTGTCGAAAGACATCCAGAACTTGTTCCAGGCTGGCCCTTCGCTGTCTCCGGTCGACATGCTGTTGATCTGGATCCAATCAATTAACTTGTGATTTCATCATTTGCAAGCGAAAGCATACCTGATCTAGCGTGGCATAGGTAAGCTTCAAAACGTCGACCATGCCAACGATCTCGCCTTCGGCGCTCATAACAGGCAAGTTCAAGTAATGTCCATCTAACCTTTGTTAGCTGAATGCCATTCGATCTCCCTTGGGTCGTCCTACCATGCATCTTGCGGAGTGCGGACTGGATGCTCATATCAAGAGGTGCAAAATCCGGGTGAGGAGTCATGACGCGGACGACACTGCAGTTACTGGGGTCGAGTCCTGCAGCAATAACACGCAGGACAACGTCCTTGCTGGTAAAGATACCAGTGATGGATCCTTGGTCTGTTACCAGGACAGCAGTGGTGTGGTTGGCCTTCATCAAAGCAGCAGCCTCCTTGACAGATGTGCGGACGGATACTGTGACAGGTGGCACGCCGCTCAGAACAGTCTCGAGTGTAGGGCCAGACATCTTGTGACGGATGGCTTCAACATATTGAATGACTTGCTGAGGCTGGCTGGAGCCCAGTTCGGCTTGGACACCTTCGAGAGCATCGTAGAGCTTCCTTGAAGAGCTGTATGCGCGTTCCAACTTTTCCATAGCATCGTAGAAACATTTTGTGATGTCGAGAATACCAGAGATGTCGTGGTTTTCGTCCATGACGGGCAGATGACGGAAGCCCTTACGAACCATAAGGTCAAGAGCATCGGTCGCACTGGTGTCGGTTTTGGCGCATAGCGGGTTCTTGGTCATGATCTCTGCGATGGTGATGCTGTTGGCCTTGATGCCTTCTCCGACAACGCGGAACGCTAGATCCTTCGCAGTAAAGATACCCGCGATCCGATCATCGTCGTCGGTGACCAGGACGCAGTCTTCACGCTTGGCAGCCATGAGTTGAGCTGCTTCTGCGACGGTGGTGTTTGGCTTGATTTGGAGAGCCTGGCTAGGTCTGAGAGCAAGGACGGAACCAGGGGCGGCCTTGCGGGTCTGGCGAGCGCGAGCTGGATTGCCTCTCTTCTTGTTGAGATCTGTTTCGATCTTGCGCCGGATGGCCTGGGTGCAGAGGTGGTTAGACAGACCATATAGGATGCAATGCTACAAGAGAATCTACCTCATCTCTCTTGGACTGTTTAGCCCTGCTGGCACTGAGAGTCGACATGTCGCTGGGTGCGTTGCTGACGGCTGATTCTAGCTTGGGTCTGGGAATGCCCGAGGGACTTTCGAGAGCTTGGAAAGGGTTGTGGCCTCTGGGTTTGTCCTTGGGTGTGCCGCGATATGTACCAGTAGCGGACATAGTTCGTGCAATCAGAAGTGGGTGCGAGGGCGGTGAAGGGCCAGAGCTGACTATTTACGTTTCAGACTGTGCAACCCAGAGCTTCTCCCTGAGCCCGCGTTGTAAACAACAATAGGGGAAACTTTGATCACGTTTTCTTGTTCAAGCCTCTTCCCCCACCCCTGTTCACAACATTCGAGTCTTCTCATGAGTCCCAGTGCATCACGAAGAACTACTTGCTTGGTATTTAGTAGTACCACTCGAGTACCATATTCTAGCTATCCATCGAAGCGAGAAAGACTCGCAACTTCCTGTCTATAATTCGAAGAGCGAAATGAAGAGAGATTATGCGCTCTTTCCAATCTTGACTACAGTGCCAAGCATCATCACCGAAAACCACCGCCACCACCAGATCAATGCTCGTAGGTGGTCTGCAAGTATGACTTGGTAGTAACGAAAGAGGTCACTCTTGCTCTGATAAGCTGGTTGAACCCCTCATTCGCTAAAGTAAGGGATTCACTCTTGCTATCAGTGGGCTGAAGAGCAGATCATTTATCGTGTATGAGACTGAAGGTTCGGCCAGATCAGCTCCTTACCCTGAGCAATGCATAAATATGTCTTGAACTGTTCTGAGAAGCTGTGACTGCTGTCTGTTTTGTAGGAAGCAATTTTTCGAAAAGTCCGTCTCTGTGGTCGTGTTCTTACATCTTTCCATGCGACAGGCAGCAGCAGCAGCAATGCATTGCACAATGTTGATTTTATGCTGAAGGTGTCTTTCATTCACTATCGAGTTGTTGAACTCTCGAACTTGAATGTTTGAGACGCGGAGCGCGAGACGGGAATTGCCGCGGTGGCTGCTGCTCAGTTTGCCAAGGCGCACCTTCCGCGTGCAGCAATTTTGGAAGTCACGGCGGCTTTAGACGAGACAACTGCGACTCTACCACACAAGCGCCTTTTTGGGATTTTCTATACTCTTCTGTCACTAGGAGAGTTATCCGCGCAACACACGTCAAAATGGTCAAGAAGAGAGCCTCCAAGTACGATTCCTCTGGTCCCTGGTACTCACTGGATGTCGCGCTGACAATGTTTGTACAGCGGTCGCAACAAGAAGGGTCGTGGCCACGTCAAGCCCGTCCGCTGCTCCAACTGCTCGCGATGCGTTCCTAAGGACAAGGCCGTCAAGAGATTCACCATCCGCAACATGGTTGAGTCCGCCGCTATCCGTACGTCGACCCAGTCAACTTTCTACATCTCACGCCCACGAACAATCTATCCGACCTCTTGCTTCGCCAATCCGTCTCAATCCCATCTCGAATGCGACGACTAACAGCACTCACGCAGGTGATATCTCGGATGCCTCCGTCTTCGCCGAGTACGCCGTCCCCAAGATGTACCTGAAGCTCCAGTACTGCATCTCGTGCGCCATTCACGGCAAGATCGTTCGGTATGCCACACCCATGGAAACACCAGCCTGCCTGGGCGCAATCCATACACACCCGCTCGAAAGGCACGAGGAATACTAACACAACCCAGTGTCCGCTCCCGTGAGGGCCGCCGCAACCGTGCCCCTCCCCCGCGTGTTCGCTTCAACAAGGACGGCAAGAAGATCAACCCTCAGCAGGCCGGCAAGGTCGCCGCTGGTGCCGCCGCATAAATGATGAGTTTTTTCGGGGTTTGACAAGGCGTCTGTCTTCCGGGATTACTTGGCAGGCGCGAGGTTGCATTCATGGCTTCACAAAAGAAAAATTGAGATCATGTCGGGATGCCATCTTCAATGGAGATACCAGCGTCAGCATGAAGCTACCTTTACGGGCACTGTTTTTTCTCCTGCACAGCGGCTAGGTAGACTTCAAATGCACGCAAAAAGCGGTCGTGGCTGCTACGATTGTTGAACTTCCCAAACCTTTGGCCATCTTGCTCGTCTCCTGCGGTACACATTTCAAGGGCTTGCCCTAATAGTGAGCAACCGGTGCCCGAGCCATATCCTTGAGCGTTCTGACGCCTGGATGACTGTATAAAAGCTAAGATACACAAACCGCGATGAAACTCCTACAGTAGAGTGAGCTCTACTTCTCTTACTGCTCAAGTAAAGTGAAGCTTGGGCGATGTAGGCATTGTACACTGCAATCGACAATTACCACCTGTGTAGAAGATTGTCTGAGGCGGCATGTATATCGTTATCATATCATGACTCACTATCGCTGGTCTAGTCGGAACGCTTTTCAGCGATGCTTCCTTCTGGTCCAGGCTTAGTATGTGAGCTCTCTGGCATCTGGTCGTCCTCCCAGTCTTCGGCGTTCTCATCCCAGTTGTCCAATTCCTCCGTGACATTCGGCGGCTCCGACATGACACCAGTTTCTTGATCGACAGCAGTCTCTCCCAACTCAACGTCTTCCTCCTCGCCGGGAACTATGTGGTAATTTCTTGCAGCGCGACGTCTCTCGAGCATGCGTTTGTGGTACCAGCTGCATGCTAGCAAAGCGAGTAGGGAGCCAACAACGTTAGCAAGGATGTCGTATGGGTCGAATTCACGGCCGTTCTGAATGCACTTCTTAGCTCAACGCTTACGAGAGTAGCAATAGTGATCGACATACCGGTAGCAAGCCTTGGACAACTTCGGAGCCAATGCTTAGAGCAACCGTACAGGCCAGCAGGGTAAAGTGTATAACACGGCGACGATTGGTTTCGATAATCCAGTAGAAGCAGAACTGGCGATTAGAGTCTTAGTAAAGGACCGAAGACGAGGAGAGCAAGCGGGCACGAACTGTTATCAAGAAGAAAGTCACGAAATGCAAGACCTTGTCGCTCTGCTTGTATTTGGGTAGACGGTCTGGCGCCAGGCCCAAGCTAGCTGCTATAAGGATCAGGACCACGAAGGCCGCTGCGCAAGAGTCAGGCGCATGCTTCTTCTGCTTGCTGAGCAAAGTCTCGTACCGGCAAAAGGCTTTCGGACTCTCATAACTCGAGAAAGTGTCGTGGTCGAGCGTGTGTGGAATACGAGTAGTCACATCAAGTCGAGAAGTGGAAGGTAACGCGGAGTGACGGTCGGTGGGTCTCCGAGGGGGGCGTGTTTAGCACATGGTCCTCCTTCTCCGTCTGCAACTCCCCCTTCAGCAATTGCCATTGGAACTGTGCAGGAAAGACGACGCAGTGAGACTCTTGGAAGCACGTTTCTATCATCCAAGTGTCCCAGACGCAAATCTTGGCGCAGTCCGTGGGTTGCGACGGTGAAGGATCCGTGTGGGCAGCAAAGTCGCAAAGTGGGAGCGTGGCTACTCGGCTACTCCGACGCAACGCAACGAGTCGGCCTCTGTCGACACAACCCATTCATCACGTACGCGCAAACCAGCGAGTTTCCATCAGGCTTTTCGCTTTCCTCGTTCCCGTACCTTGCTCGGCTCACGGCGCCATCAGATGATTGATACTCCTCTGCCGTCTCAGAGGTCTGCGTGAATGCGCAGCATCAGCTCTCGTCCCCGGCTTGGCCATGAACAATAAGGAGCGCTCGAGACCCGCCTCGGCCAGCAATTCTCTTCATCGACAGAAGTCTACCGTCCGTCTCAGTCCTGCGCCGCTGCTGCGAGATGCTTCAATTGCTCCCACATCCCGTGCCGACTCCATCCCCCACGACCACCTTGACCATGACCCTGATCATGATCGCGATCCCGATGACGACGATCCGCTCCATATCGCCTTGAAGGCTCGCTTTGATCTCTCGCAATCAAAAATTGCCCATCTCTTTGCGCGCCATACCGTATCCGCTCCAGAACCAGACTCCAAATCTTCTCGTCCCGCTCGCGACCAATCCTCCGACCACCACTCCACTCCACCCCCACCTCCTCCTCCAAAAAGACCCGCGCGTACCATTGACGAAGACGATTATGGCGACGATGACGATGACGATGACGATGAGGAAGAGCATGTCTCACAGGTCCAACCATCACAACCCACTGCCGAGTCTCCTCCGCGCTCAAAACACTCTGCCTCGCCATCATTACCCCTCAAGCCCACCCTTACGCGCACGAGCACTTCCTCCCACTCTTCGGATCATATCAAGTCTTCAGAAGATGTGCGCAAGAAACTCGAGCAAGACAAAAAGGCTGCCGAGGACATGGCGCGAAAGAGTTTCCATATCATGTTCTACACCCTCGAGGCAGATCGAGATGCCATGATGGAACAGCAAAAACTCGACGACCTGGACAGACAGGTCGAGAACGAAATGTCTGGCGCTTCCAATCCCGCTCCAACATCGGACCCCTCTGGCATCCAGCAAGGGTCTCTCAGCAATGCCGACCTTGGTGCTTCGAGCTTGACCTTGAAGAATCTTATCGCCCGCATAGATGCCAAAAGGACCATGGTCAACGCGAATGATACACAACTACGTACCCTCATTAGTGAAGTTCGCAAAGGACGCAGCAAATGGGCCAGTGAGGAGAAGATTGGCCAGGAAGAACTGTACGAGGCCGCCGAGAAGGTCCTGATGGAGTTGAAAGCAATGACCGAATACTCGACTCCCTTCCTGCAGAGAGTGAATAAACGAGATGCTCCCGACTATTTCCACATCATAAAACAACCCATGGACATTGGCACGATGATCAAGAAGCTCAAGAGCTTTTCTTACAGATCCAAAAAGGAGTTTGTCGGGGATCTGAATCTCATTTGGGCCAATTGTCTTACCTACAATGCAGATCCCGCTCATCCTTTGCGCAAGAAGGCCCTGTACATGCGCAAGGAGACTGACAAACTAGTTCCTTTGATTCCTGACATTGTCGTCAGAGACAGGGCAGAGGTTGAAGCAGAGGAGAGACGGCTACAGAACTTGGATGTCGACCTCGAGGGAGGAGAAGACAGTGATGATGGTGAAATTGCATTTTCTTCGGCTTTCCTGACTATTGCTAACCCTTCGATAGATCAACCCATCATGGCATCACGTGGTCGCAAAGCCCCGGGCAAGAGCAAGAAGGGGCAGTCCAATCCTACCCGACAGACTACTCCAGGTGCTCCCGAGAGTACACCAGCTGCCGAATCTAAGCCCGCAATCCACGCATCAGCTTCCAGCTTGCGCAATGAGTTCCTGCGTGCCGATTCTGATGCCCCTGCGGAGGCTAGCTCAAATGGCTTTTCTACGCCTCCTCCTCCCGGTACTGCTACTCCTCTTGGGACTAACGGCTTGAGCCAAGTCGATCTGATGGAAGTCGACGGAGTGGGGAACTCGATCGCCATAGGCTCTCAAACCATGGAACCTGATGAGGACGACGCCGAGTTCAAGACCTGGAAACAAGTCACCAAAAAGGACAGAGCCATGGCTGCTGCGGAGAGGAACCGCTTGTTCCGTGGCGATCATTTGAATCCCGATGAACCAGCATTGTTACGCTCAAAAGCAGGGATGCGACGATGGCTTCGTCAGCAGAAGCAGATCATGCTAGAGCCAAACAATGCAATTTCGAAGACTGATTCTGAAGAACCGGAACCGGATGCAAGTACTACGGGCGAAACTCTTGCCGAGGTTGAGAAAGACCAAGATCGGACACTCCCTGATTATTACGACGTTCTGGCAGCGATCCCTGACTTGAACGAGCAGATGAGGTGGACAGAAGACTCGGAAGGCAAAGTGATACCTCAAGTTGAGGAATATTTACGAGTGTTCCCACAAGAGCAGTTCGTATCCTCAGAAAGCGGTCTCACAAAGCGCATGGAAGCGAACATGAGGCAGATGCAAGAGACTCGGAAGATCTGCGCAAAAATCGGCATCGTCAAGCAGATGCAGATACAGGCTCAGGTAAGCGATTGCAGGCTATGACACTAGCGAACGATGCTAACATGTGGTCTAGACGTACCAAAATCAGTTCCAGAAATACGATCCTCAACCGTTCGTAGAACAAGATATTGGCGCAGTCGCTGTCTCTGAAGACGGCCCAATCATGTCACCATGGGTTTGCCGTGCGGCCTTCCAGAGAGCGGTAGGCAAAATTTTCTACCATGCTGGTTTTGAAGACTTCCAGCCCTCTGCACTTGATGCAGTCACCGATATTGCCAGCGATTTCTTCGGCAAGCTGATTAGGACCTTCACCCTATACAATGAAGCCCCCAAGGATGAGCTGGATGCTCACAGTTTCAGCGCTGAGGAGCAGGTCCTCCACTGCCTTCACAAAAACGGGTTGGATCTGGAATCTCTCGAAACTTACGTCAAAGACGACGTTGAGAGATTGGGGTCCAAACTAGGAGTAGTCCATGAGCGCATGAAGGCGCATCTTGCTGACTTACTTGTGAGTTTACACCAAATCTTTGAAAGCAGAAATACTAATTCAGCTAGCGTCCCGCTTTGGGCGACAGTGTTGGAGCAGATGGTGTCGGTGCATTCAACGACGGCAGTGATCAATTCACGAGTGGTGACTTCGCTGCTGATGTCGATGAAGACTTCTTTGGCTTCAAAGAGCTCGGTCTGGCTGAAGAATTTGGTCTGGAGAGCCTCAGCGTTCCTCTACATCTACTGCAGAACCGCATGCACAGCGCCTACCAAGCAAACCATACCAGTTTGATCACCTCCTCCGGCATTGTGTTTCCTGTACCTGCTCCTTACGATCCTATTTCGACGGATAATCTACCTTCGCAGATCGGCTTGGTCCAAGACTTCTTCGCAACCAAGTTGGCCGCGAACCAAGGAAGACCTCTAGTTGATGACGAAGATCTACCTACCAAGCAGCGATTCCCTCGACCTCGCCTGCCACCGACTGGAAAGATCAGCAGTCCGAGAAAACGACCCATCAGAGAGCAACAGCAAGCCGCAAAGAAGCGCAGGAAGCTCGAGGAGAGTAAGGACGACGGCAAACTCGTAAGACCGATCGGACAATTGAAATTGGCGATGCCAGGAGCCAAAGACAAAGGTCCAGAACCAGAAAAAGAGCACGAAGGGAAAAACGCCATGATGAGTCCTCCGGAGAGCATCACCGCCAGCTAAGAGGTCAAACTGAAGTGATCATCTTGGAGAAATGGTGATTTATGCACATAACGTTTGGGAACGCATGGGTACCTTGTGCTTTCGAGATTTCGAAATTTGTCATTGGCGTTCCAGGGTTCTTCCGAATGTTTATACCCAAAGCAAGGTGGTCTTCGTGTTATTTTGGTCTGGCATTACACCCCAATCTGGTGAGTGGGTTTTGGTTTCCGCAGTGCCTTTTTGACGAACATGGAAAGTCCGAGGGGGAGAAGATGACCACTCTATTAATAGGCCAGCCAGCTGTATATAGTACGAAGGCAAAGAAAGATACTTCAGACTTCCAGTGTGCAAAGTTCTGATGAGCAATTGCTCCTCTCCCTCGGTCACGTCTGATGACATGGGAGATGTCGAGGGTGGTACCACCCTTCAGAGAGATCTTCGCGAGCTTCACTGAGGACAACTCCGATTTAGAGAAGATGGTGCGTTTTGACAGCCAAAAGCGCGAGGCGGGTCAATAGATGGTGGTGAGTGCGCTTGAGACTGGCGCACTCTGATCACAAAAGATTAAAGTGGTAATTGAAGTAAAACGTTTGTCATTAGAATGTTATGGCCATCATATCATCATGTCTATTGTTGTTGTTCCATCACACTTCCTAGGCGACAGCGAAATTGCGTTGAAACACGCAATACATCGTCTTAGTTGGAGACCTTATCGGGAACGTTCTTGCCTGATGTGGTGGTTAGTTGCTGATCCATCTTTCTTATGAAGGTGTGATCTTACCAGTGGCCTTCTCGAACATGCCGCGAGCCTTGTCTGTGACCTTCTCGTTGACGGAGCGGAGCTTGTTGGGATCCTGGCCTTGCTTCTTCTCCAGAGAGTCGAGACCCTGAGAGACTGTTAGAGAGATGGGGTGGTGTGGTGCTTGTGTTCATCGCATGCTGACCTTGTCAACGTAGTCCTCCTTGCCAGCTTGGGGTGCAGACATGATTGCTGATTTGAAGTCGATTATATTTTGGCGGGATTTGCAAGTTTTGTAGTGTTGTGTAGAGTAGAGGAGAAAGTGCTTGCGTCCATCCCTCTGTTTATATACGATGTTTTCATCGCCGAAACCTGCTTGATTCCCCGCCGACGTCACTACATCCGGAGGATCAACCCACCTCTCGAACGGACCTTGATGGAATCTGAGAGCCAACTTACGCCATGTCTTGCGGCCCTTGACAGCCAATCAGATCACATACATCTGGGTGACTATGGTGGTATTCCAGTCTCTGACCCTTGCATTGCCTGTTTGTTTCCAAATCTGAGCTAAACAGTGTCGAATAACTGTGATGATTGCGTGGCAGTGATCTTCACCACTGCCAAATTTGAATAAGCTTTTTGGTGGAAGCTTATTCACCACCACCAATTATCGTTCTCCGCATGCTGAGGTTGTCACGCACGCACGCAGCTGCTGAGAGGCATCATGACGTTTGGAAGAAGAGCTCCAAGAAGTTGATGTTGACAGTTTGCTTCCTCTAAAAGCTGCGTTTGTCCTCTGAAATTGTGCATTTTGACTGTTTCACTGCTGCATGCCGCTGGAGATTGACGTGACAGGTTTGAGCAACCAGGAAATCTGATTTACGAGATGCCCTAGTTGATCCACGATTGCCGTAGTGACGAGAGGTTATGCATGATCTGGTTTGATGGTTATCCATACCCAGATGGCCATTACTAGCATACCCCAAAAGGTCTAGATTATCGCTTGGTCGTCCAGCGTCAGATCTCATCCCGAAATATACTGGACGATGTTTGGTCGGAATCAAACGACGAGACTGGCGTACCAAGTACCAAGTTAATTCAAGTGAGACACAGTAGATTCTCCATACCTTCCGGCTCTACGATAGGCCACAACTCTTCTGTTGATGTCTAACAAGAGATAGAGTACTTGACTCAGAAGACAGGGTGCTCCAGTCAACAACGATTTTGACATCTGTTATCGCACTAGCGACACCAGATACAAAGTTCGACAAAAAGTCTGGTAACGAAGTGTCGCACATCGTATGCGAAGTGCATGGCGCTTCCATTCGCTTTGGTAGTTTGGTGAAGTCAGGGCAATAATGGACAGAGTAAGCGATATATTTCATATATCAAGATGTTTCGAGATGGATTACTATCATTTCCTAACCAATAACACTTCGGATCCGTTGAAACGAATGGTCGAGGTATACATTGCCCTGACCTTACCATACGGTGCCTCGACCCGAGCGTGAAAGGCCATTCCGAAGGTTTCGTCCTCCATCACTTCTGTAAGGCCGACTGATCCAGGTGCCAGTAATTTGAAGTCGCCAGTCTTCAGCAAAGGCTTGTCCGCACGTTGATATGGACCTGTGACGTTCTGCGCCCAGGCATACTTGACATCGTATGAAGAATCTCGCGTACACCCCGAGGAATAGAACAAGAAATATATGCCTCCTGAGCTCCGTACCAGGAACGGCGCTTCTACCAGAGGACCATCTTGTTCAGTGCGGTCAAGGATGGTCGTCTCGGGACCGTCTGGCGTAACTCCATCCTCTTTCATCCTCTGCAGCTGTATAGGAGTTGAGACGATAGGGGTCACCGTATTACCGCAAACGCCGCCCCGACCGACGTTGTTGCCGTCGATTTTGTAAGCAAGATAGAAAGACCCGTCCATGTCGATGAAGGGAGTCGGATCAATAGCGCCACCCTCTTTGATAGGACAGGTGATGGTTGTATTCAATGGGAAATAAGGCCCGGCCGGTGACGACGTATTCGATATCGCGGCGCCGATGCAGTGGGACCGTGTTGCGTTCTCTACTGCAGCGGAATAGTACAGGATAAATTTGCCATCGCTGGGTCTCTTGATGACTGCTGGGGCCCAGACATTTGCAAATGGAATGTGTTTCTCATTGAATCCACGCTTCACCCAGCCGCCCAAGTCTGGAAGGGGATCATGCTTGGAGTCTAGTAACGTCCAATTCTTGAAATCCAGACTGGTTGCCATCTGAATGTTGCTCCTGCCATAGTCGGCCAGAGTCATGTTGTGCGCTTGTGCGAGGATTCCAGCAGCATTGGTTGTAGCAAAGGCGTAATACAACCCTTCGTGCTTGACTATTGCAGGATCTGGGAAGTTGGCAAATATTGCTTCATGCACAGGGGACCGACGAATAGCTTGTTCTTGTCTCTGATGGCGCACGTATATTGAGGTTAGGACCGCACATAGTACTGCTACTATAATGAGACAAAGTGTTGCTGCCAGCGTGATGAACCCGCGCGATAGAAATGAGAAGCTGACTGGCGCTGCATCACTCCCATGGTCATCTGTACCAGAGGTTCGAGCTGGTCTGTAGAAGTGCCGTATCAAAAAAGACGGCTGTGATTGTGGTTGTTCTTCCTTGGATTCCCCTGAGTGTTCGGTGACCATGGCTAGAGCCTCCTTCTTCTGTATCTCGATAATATGTGGAGGCAGTGAACGTTTGCGAAATTCGGTGATAGCTGTTGGCGAGATTGGCGAGCTCTCACTTGCTACCGGCGGTCGGAGATTATGCATATTGGCGATGGTGCAAGGGGCAGCTTTGACTTGCAGTTTCTCTCCCTCTTTCTCTCACGGACCCCTGCGAAGGAGCAGTTTCAGGTGTCTGCTGCAGATCTGGCACGGTTGGTTGGTGGACTCTTGCTGCTGCGAGGCAGTGCAGACAAGGACACGGACGGCTGATTGAAGCACGCAACGGTAGTGCCCAATGGTCTCACGCGTGTAAAAGAATGCAAAGTGATCACAAAGACGATATGAGGAAAAGGAAAGTTTATGTACCTGGACAGGGAGTACCTAGACAAGGAGGACAATATTGCAAGTTGGTTGGTTTGCGGCATAAATACGTGGGGGACGGAAGAGAAGGGTCGTGGTGGAGAAGGTTTCCGAAGGGCCGTTCTAGACCTTCAATGATGAATGAGCTCTAGGAGGTTGACATCAAGCACATCTTGCATGGAGAAGATGATCCGGCGCATGCACTGCCTAGTCGGCTAAGATCATTGTGATAACCTGTGTGAACTCACAATTGTTGTAAGTCTAGCAAGTTGTAAACCGAGGGCAGCACTTGCAACCACTGGCCGCCGCGGACCCCGTTTGCTCTCGTGCCTTGCCTTCGTTGTCACCGCTCGGCAAAAATAAGGGGAGGCATAGTCGTCGCGTCCTTCAGCTGATACGAGCTCAACAACATCAGAGTCGACATCAGACCGAGGTTCCGCAGTATCTACATCCGTGGGTGCTCGTCAAATACTTGTCAATGGCTCAGTGTTTTCTCGCTGTATGGAAGTCATCTTGAGGTCGACCCCGCTGCAAAGAGGCGCTCTCCGTGGTACTCCGGCTATGAGCTGCAGTCTGCAATAGCCCGGTCCATATTATGTTCCTGGAAGCCACATGGTGTCGTGGCTTTAAATAAGGCAACGAGCAATGGTCTGCAGAGCCGAACGCTCGTATCTCCCAAAAATACTAGTCGATCTCACTCGGCCGCGGCTTATATCAATCCAGGCTTCCCTCTTTCAATATCCTCCAAGCGTGTACTCTCGAACCACTTACTATCGTCGCCATGAACAACCTCATTGTCTACTCACTATCACTCCTGTTCTTCAAAAGTCTCATGACTGCTGAGAAACACCGTTTACCATATTATATCGGTCAGCTCCGAAAATTGCGACCGTCGAAGGTGGTCATCCGTGGTTTGCGATTCACTGTGGCCTTGTGACAGTCAAAGCTCGCTACCTACAATTCCTACCATCATCCCTTTGTCCACTGAGAGCGGCATTTGATGACCAGATCAAGATCAAACACATCATGCCTTTCGACGGCGATTCATGAGGTGCCGCCTCGCCACAGAGGGTAAACTTCGACGCCCCTATCACCGAGGTTTGCTATGGGCCCCTATCTCGACAACGAGCGTGACTTTGGAATCTGATTGGCCGTCTTGCTGGAATCACTAGCTGCGCTTTTGTAGCAGACAGCATGCGCTCCTTCGTATCAGCTGGAAACCACTGCCAACAGCCCAGTAACGTTCGACTGACGCTTTCCGTTGCATCAAAGGATGCATGGCATCTTGGATGACCAGAAAAGTTTACTCGATCTATTCGACACGACTTGGGTTGTTACAAAGCGCAGGAACTCCAGTGAGAATCTGGTTCTCTGGACGAGTCTCACGCTCGAGACTGGAAGCACATTCAACCACTATGCTAATCTATGCCTGGAGATTGACATTCGAAGGCATCATAACTGGTCGTCGATGAAGGGTCCTACGACCCCATCACAAGCTGGGAGAACGGACAAAGATGATCAAGGATAGGAGATGATTTGCAAGGACCTTGAGTTCGAGCTGTGAAAGTGCATTCCTGATGCTCAATCAGATCAACCTGCAGATTCTGATAGCAGGCCTAGCTAGATTCTAAATTGCTGTTGGAGCGCTGGAACGTTCGGGAGTTCACACACCGGTGTCGAGGCAACACTGGGCCTGCCAATAATCATCTTCCCCAGTGCGGCAATTTTTGTTGCTTTGACCGAAATACCACATTCTTAATGAACGACCCGTCAATTAGATCCTGTCTAAGTGTCAGAACCCGCCACCTTCAGCTATCCCCAACGTAGTAGGAACCATGCGCTCCCATAGCTACACACGTAACAAAGTGATACTTGCTCTAATCAAGACCTTGCCAACACCTCCAAATACTGACGATAGTGAAAGACTTTTATATCTTAAGCACTCTCAACGTACTGAGCACAACGTCTCTTGGTTAGACAAGGAAATAGGCAGATATTGATCCTGAACAGAGCATAATAATTTGCACAAATGTGATAGGATCATCTGCTTACGCTATTGAGTTTAGATCCGATCCACACGTGACAGAAGAATAAGAACTAGCCAGAAAGAGCTCTACAGGCCTCTTGTACCTCTCGTGAGGATTGTGGTTTCGATATTCGGACTTGCCGAAATCATTGACGAGTATTCATTGATCTCTGCTTGCTTCTCTCCTACCACCGGCGACAGTTACGCTATCGCCGGGCTGTCTCTTCACTCACATGGTCGGAGACAAGAACGCGGACAACCTGACCGAACTTCCTGTACGGCGGGCCGACGACAAGACACTTAGTTGACAGAAGACACAGCCTGGCCCCGCTGAATGACCACTGATGGCGCTCTGGGGAATTGGTGTGCATAGTGCCATAGTCGTTGTACAATACGCAGTACACATGATGCTCTCAGGCGGGCCACGTCCTGCTCACCGTCTGTGAAATGGCTCTTGTTCATCGACGTACGACGAAATTCATCCTTTATGGAGCAGATAGGCCACTAGACCATGTCGAGACCAGTGAACTGTGATTACTATATTGGTTGTGCTGTATGGAAGCTGCATGGGGCAGTGACTAACTGAGTGGTTGGTCTACATAGTCAGAAGTTGTGTGTATAACTAAGTGACAGGGTCGCCCCTTCAGCAATGGGCTGACTTCAACATGCTGTTACGTTCTGTCCGTCCCATGTCTGGACCGGTCGGGATTCACAATGAATTCTAGACAGGACCGTGTCTTAGCGAGGAGTGTGTCATATATCCCATGTTCGTGAACGAGTCAGTAAATCAAACATCCATCATTCGTCTCTACAGCTTCAATACTACTTAAGATGATTGCACGAGGAAGGCGAGGGTGATGGGATCTCGCGTATGCGCAGTGCTTGCGATTTGACACGTTGCCATGCGGAGAGGGAAGCCGAGACCACATAGCTCTAAGTGTGATACCATCGTTGATTGAAAAGAGTACCTGCTGCATATGTTCGTCAACGCCAAAACGCCTAGCGTGTGCCGTCCAAAAAAATGTCGGTCTGATCTAGTAAAAAAGGTATGTACCAAGGGTGGTTTATTGATTTCATGCACCGGTCTCTTTGCTCTCTTCAAGATGATAATCACCGTTCTGCAGACCGACGAGGACCTTTTTGCCCTCTTCAGTGAGCTCAGGGAAGCCAGCCGGCGTGGTAGCGCCCGTGAAGAAGCGAGGAGACCATTCAACGTTCCTGGCTTTCCTATCAGCCGCTTTTTGACGTTGACGTTCCTCAAGCTCTTGTTTCTCAGTGGTGGCCTTGTTGTACTGCTTGGTGAGAATAGCTTCAGTAACACTGTTCCAGAACTTGCGCGATTCATTCGGCAGTTGTTGCTCAGCAGGGGGAACAATCTTCTGGACAGGCCACAGAGGGTTGACATCAATCAAGAGTGTTTTGTCGGGATTCTTGGCGGCGGAACCAGAACCTCGGGTGAAGTAGACCTTGTCATGCCAGGCACCCTCGATGCGGCCAATGATGGCCTTGTCCGGGACGTCCTTGATTCTTGTGATGTTGTCGTTGTCAACGTCGCATTTGTAGACCACACCCTCAACCTTGTTCTGGGTCTTGCCTAACCATCCTTCCTCAAGATAGTGAAGGATGACCTTGAGGCCGGTCTTCTTGCATGTCACAAAGCAGGTATCGGCTACACTGACGTTGAGGTTGCCTAGTAAGAGTGGTCAGTAGCCGGACTCAGAAGAGGACACTGTAGATCTCCATACCTCGTAGGAAGCCACCAAGGTATGCAGCCGGATGGGTAAGATGATATGTCTCATCAGCACAATTGTGTAGAGTGACATAAATGCCCTGGTTGAAAGTGCCAGGTGTAACGCGAATGCTGGTACCAGTGAACTTTGCGCTAATCTGGTCGAACCCGCGGGCAGAGATACCCTTTTGAGGACAGTCCACATAGTAGGCTGAGACGGGAGGGTGATGGGATGTTTGCTCAGTGAGGTATGAGACCTTGACAGGCTTGCCAGCTGTATCGGACTTCACTTGGTTGCCCTGGAGAACGGGCACGTTGTCTTCGACCTCCCATTGACACTAGACATGGATTAGAAGCAGACAAGATGCCAAGGAGCAGGTGGCATACCCTGAAGAACTCTCCAAGAGTTGAGTTGTATGGCTTGCAAGGCTTGCCCTTGACGTACTTTAGGTCCTTTGTGAACCAGAAGCGCAAGCAGGCGAGCAGGCGGCCGAGCTCATCGTCCGAGTCGCCAATGCTAGCGAATATATCTGGCCTATCCAAATAATGCCAGTACTCTGCGTACAATCAGATTAGAGACGAGGACTTGGCCAACAGGCATGCGGTGGGGCGCGTACCGAGGTTGGGGATGGGCTCGAGCAGCTGGGCAGGCAGCGAGAAGCGAACGGCGGCAATATCAGATACTCCAATGAATCTAAGGCGCGTCAGACAAGTTCTTAGAAGCACAACAACAGCGCATGTATGCCTACTTCTTCAAGATTCCGACGAAAGTTTTGAGTTTACTGCTGTCATCTGGTGTCTTCTCGGCAACACCCAGGGCAGCGCCACCAGGAGTCGAAGCCCTGGAGGACTGTTCGGAAGGAGGAGCAGATAGACCTGACGATGACGAAGCCATTTGGGCGAGATGTCGAGATACACAAGCAAAGCGTTACAAGTGTTTTGGTATGTCGGTCAAGGAACGTCTGTAACTACGGAGCGATTCGCGGGGCCTGCCTGAAAGGAGGGCACGTTCCCCCCATGACGTTGATATCATTACTACAGAAGACTCGGCCAAGACATGAATACTATCAGCCACTCCAGCCATACAAGTCACCAGGAATCCAGCCATCAAAAGGCACGAATGTTTTGGGGAACTCGAGGGGGTCCAGTGAGAGCGATGTCCTCGTGCACTCTCATTGGAAACGAGCCAATCTCCAAAAAGAACTTTGCATCCCCTTAGTTAGGCACACGCCCTTGCCCTCACGGAAGGGCCTTGGTCCACGCCTTGGCCTCGACGAACAGTCCTATGCGTACTCTTATGCTCATGCTCCAAAGCAGTCTCACTATCTTGCTCGTTGTCACGTCTATGCAGCAAGCCAAAGGCCCAACTGTTTGTGGCCGTCTGACCCGCGGCCGTCTTGCAGTAGCACCCTGTGATCGTTTCCCGTGCATATGACACCGGTCGGCCGCCAATCAAACCAGCACGCTCCTTGTGCCAAGTCACCGACTCGCAGCTTTGCATTTGCATGCCTACAGCCCCTTCTCGATCACCTTGGCCAATGGTAGATGACATGCAGTTCACGGTGAAGCCAAGGAACGGAGTCGATGGAACGCAGGCTTCGCATAAGCCTCGCTGTGTATTCTCTTAACCATTAGCCACACGGACTCCAGATATGTATAGTCTTCACAAAGCAAAAGCAACCTGCCAGCAAAACGCATGGCCCAAAAGTGCACAACACCCCTTGCCCTACTCCCGCTCCCAATAATCCCATGATGACTTGCCGAAACACGCTTGCCCTGATCCTTGATGATGTTGCTTAGATGCCCTTGATGGCGACGGTTCTCTCCTTCTCCAAGCGTTCACGGTTGCGCTGCTTCTCTTCCTCCTTGCACGTCTCGAGTCCAGTGCAAGCATGGCTCTCGAGCATACGATGCTTGCCGCAGAAGTGGCCATTGCAGAAGCCACAATCTCCGACAATGCGCTGAGCAGCATCTTTGCAGTCCTTGAACTGGCAACGAATCTTCTTAGGTGCTCCACCCCGCAATGGGAGCGCAAGGTGTAGAGTGCTTTCCCGGCCGATGTTGTAGTCCGATAGTGTGCTTGATGACGAATCAAGATGCTTGCCTGCATACACGAGGCGCATGTCCTGGGCGGGAAGATTCGTACGGATGGCAAGAAGAGATGAGAGTGTCGCTATCGAGGTTGACTCGGGTACCTCGAGGGCAAATGCTGTATGAGGTGAGCACGTGAGTCGCCGATGAGGGTATGAGGAAACGTACTGTCACCTGCGATGTTCTTGATGAAGATTTGCATGCTGGGCTCCGGGTCTGCTGTCGAGCAGCGTGACGACAGGGACGAGACGGAAGAGATGCTGTTTGAGCGCATCATGACCATGACTGTGATGACGAGCGGGTGACAAGAACGGATGCTTCTGATTGTAGGTTACGAGGAGGAGAACTGGCTTGTGTTGGACGAGTGGCGGAAGCAGACGAGAAGGGTGAGAGTAGTGAATCGGTTCGAGTCAAAGGATGAGTTGGTCGAAGATGCGAGAATAGGAGGACGAGAGGACGAGGAGGCAACGGAGTGACGCGATCAGGCGCACAGGTCGGCGTTTAGTGAGATTGGCCCGATGCTCCGAGCGTCTCGAGTTACCGGTACTGTCCCATTCTACGATATTGGTACGTCTAAGGCTCTAAGCGGAGAGATGGAAATGTCGATGGACACTCGCTCTCATCAACTATCCATCTGTGGAGAGCGAAGTATGGCGGGTTTCGATGGCGACATGTGGTTCTCTGACAGTCGAGAGAGCCTTAGTCTCGATTCTGTTCTCCCGTCTATCACATTATCTCTGCCGACTACATAGCACATCAGCACCACTGCACTAGCTGTACCGGGCACAGGGTTGATCGATTGATCGTTCGAAACATTTCGGTGATTTACAGGTATATAGTGTCAAGTCTAACCATCACGGTGGTCATGCACATGCTCCTTGGTTCAGGCTATTCTGTGGATATGAAGTCCAGCGGCGGCGAGAACCCTGTGGCATCATTTCCAACTCTGAGGTCCTCACAGCCACCCGCCGGGTAAACGTCTTCAGGTCCTTATCTTGCATCAAGCCAAAACTGACTCTTCAACAATCTGCTTGTCTTTGATCGTCTGGCATTGGCATCTTGGAATCCTTGTACGCCCGTAACGACGACATGCCAATATTTGATCAACACTTAATTCGCATCAATGCACCTTTGCCATGGCGGCATTTGCAATCATACCAAAAGCCAAAGAAGCCGTGACCCCAGCATTGCTGCCCAGACCCCGGATCTCCACGCAAGGTGAACCGGTAGAGGCTTCACCGTGCTTCGTTGTAGAGCGCACATAAACACTGCTCACACATTAGATTCTGACATGCTGTGGAGACTATGTAGCTATCGAAATGCGCAGTGCTATTGGAGATCCGAAGAGGGCTCAATAAGAGCTCGAGCATTTCATCTTTCCAGTGGACCTTTTCCTAATCCACAATAACATCCTGCATTTTGATAGCTAGCAATAGTCGCCCTACCAGGAGGAAGAGTGAAGTTCGCCTGCGACGAACAAGAGAACCTCGTGCGCTTGGTATCAAACCGCCGCAAACCGGCCACCGCACTTTTGGCGAGCGGAGCAAGCCTCTCTCTGTTGTTTTGCTCGCTCGCTCGCCTCCTACGAGATTGCAACACCCAGCGCTGTAACACACACCGAGGCATCCAAGCATGATGCGTTACTCAAGCGTCATGCACATGTGTATATCATCTTCTCCGCGTCCGCAGCAATCGCTCAACCGCTGGCTGCCAAGGCTATCACAGACACTCAGCCCCCCCTTCTCCGTACACGTAGACCCACTTCTTCCCCGGATTGAACGCTCTCTTTCTTGATCATCTTCTGCTTGTCTCATAACGACCAAGGGGACGCACCGCCGGACAAACTCTCTGGCATTACGCTCGGCGACTTGCCCGGGGTATGCTCCATACTCTCGTTCCGGTTGGACGCTTCAAATCCCAATCCACATTCCGATGAGTGCGCACTACACAGGCCAAGCCTCGACAGTGCAGAAAGAGTTGTTTTTCCCAGCGTTTTTACCTGAGCGGTCTGTAGGGTTTGTCCCCTGCTTGGCGATTGTCTTTGACTCTGATAACGGGGTCCTCTCGATCTTGGGCTGACTGGTTCTTCTTGTTGCTTGTCGACGGGATGGCTTGTCCTTGGCTGTTACATCTAATGCCTTGGCCCGCATAAGAGATATGGGCGATCACAATCGTCGTCGGTGTTTCTGACGCGTCTTGATTTGCAAACGTGCTCTTGAAACTGGCAGTGCATTCGTGCAGGTGCCGGGGTCGTGGGGTGTATAAAGAAGGCCATGTCTGTCCGAAGGATTGCAATATCATCCAGCAGCTTGCTCGGCCATTCCAGATAGTCTTTCTCTGATAATTCAGGCAACTCCTGCTTTCTACTTATCTTCTGCTTCTGTGACAGATCAGGACCTCTTGTTTGTTCAGACATGACTCACTCAACTCAAAACGGCCCTCCGGATGGCCAGAGGACGGATTCCGACTCTTCTGAGAAACAAGAGTATGAGCCTTCTGCCCTGGGTTCCCTTACACTATCCCCTTCGGCCACGGTTGAAGATAGGGAGAAGAATTGGCCCTCGGGATGGCGGCCGTACACAGCTTTGTTCGTATGTTAGCTGCACCACCTACGACTAGTGGCGGACCTTGTTAACACTGTTAGGGCGGCTTCTTACTTATGTTTAACTCGTGGGGCTGTGTTAATGCTTAGTACGTTATCCTGACCATGTTATCGTACCGCTCTGACTTTCATAGCGGAACCTTTGCATCTTACTACTCCGAATCACTTTTCCAGGGCGACGACATCTTGTTGAGCAATCTGATCGGCTCAACACAATGTTTTGTCGTCCTCTTCTTCTCTTTCATCGTCGGTCGATTGCTGGATGCAGATCACAGCCGCCAGTTGTTACTGGCCGGATCAGTTATCATCACCATTGGCATGTTTATGCTGAGCATTTCCAACGGCAACGGAGGCTTGAATCAAGGCAACTACGGCTTGACCTGGTTGACACAAGGCCTGGTGACCGGATTGGGTATGGCCTGCTTCTTCGTGTCAAGGTACGTCGCCATCCAATCTGAGTCAATGATCAAGGGTGCTGACAATGTCCAACAGCTCACAAAGTATGCTCTTCCAAACGTCACTCACATTCGTATACTGACACTCCAAAGTAACAGCAACTTGGTTCCACAAGAGAAAAGGGTTCGCCATTGGCATCGTGGCTTCAGGAGCAAGCATTTGTAAGTGCATATCCGCATGAAATGAACGATCAATGACAATCAGTGCTTACTATCTCGTAGCTGGGCTTACTTTGCCAGTCATGCTTCGCTTCCTTATTGCCTCTCAGGGGTTCAACAACGCCGTCCGATATGTCACCATCGTCATATCCGTTACAAGTTTCGCAGCAGTGTTGCTTGCACGACCTAATCCTGCCCATACATTCAGAAAGCCGGAGAAGTGGATGTCCAAGAGAACCTGGGTCGATACTTCAGCCTTCCGTGATCCGGCTTTCTGCTGGTTCACGGCGTCGATCTCGGCCCTCTTCCTCGGATTTTACTGTGTGTTCTTCAATCTTGAAGAATGGGCCGCGACCAACGGGATCGCGCACAAGGGAACGCCACCTCCGGGAGCGCAATCAACTCTGTCAACATATTGGTTGCTGAGCATCATGAACGGCTGCAGCACTTTTGGTCGGCTCAGCTCTGCCTGGCTTTGTGATCGGTTCGGAGCACTGCACGTCCATATGACAGTGACAATCGTATCCAGCATCCTTTGCTTGTTCTTGTGGACATTTGCCAATACACTGGCGCCCGCTCTGGCATTCGCCATCCTCTTTGGAGCCTTCTCGGGCAGTGTGATTGGACTGCCACCGGCGTCCATGGCAGCGATCCTCGGAGCAGATGCAAGCAGACAGGCCAAGCTTGGGCAGTGGACTGGTATGATGTACACTGCAGCAGCACCATTCGCGTTGGTCGGACCGGTGATTGCCGGACACTTGGTTTCCGAGTACGAAACCTATCTCGGGGTGCAGATATGGAGTGGAGCTTGCTTGCTGCTGAGTGCAATCTGCATGGGCATGGCAGTCTTTGTCACGGGCAGAAGGAGATCAAGAAGCGAGGGCGATGACAAGGTTTAGTCTCTTGGATAGAGACGGAAGGTTCGATGAATGTTAATAACAAGACAAGGCAGTCAGGGAGTAGACCGGGTCTAGGATAGGATGGCACTGGCGTTCGGGAAGGTTAGAACAAGATTAGATACGAATAACGAATATCACGGATTATGGCCAAGACAAAAGCGAGGTAGCAGAGTAGAGGAGAAGAGAAGAGAAGAGAAGAGAGAGACGGAGAGCAGTAGTTGGTTGTAGAGCAAAGTCATGTCGAGTACGAGTAGGTGACATGGCGTGACTCGGACAGGATTGGCGGCTGTCGAGTGTGGGGGCGGCGGAGGACGGCAAGGACGGGCATGACGGCGGACAGGCTTGGGATCTTGTTTAGTTGCCAACACGCTCCATGACAGCGATGAGTATCCGATAGCGGTGCGTTTCTGCTGGGCGATTGAAGCCAGCGAGAAGATGCAACCTGCCGACCACGACGACGACCAGAGCGGCGCTTTCTGGCAGCGTGTGCAGACGGTCGTGTCGACGCAATGCACGACACACGAGCAGATTGACGACTGCCTTCGCTCCTTCCTCGAGGCGTCGACCGACGGCTTCCTCGACACCGAATACGACATTGCGCGCTGCTGCTACCGCCTGATCGACTCGCCGCTTTTCCTCCAGAACAAGGACTACGTGCGCCGACAGTTCGTTTACTGCCTGTTGCAGGTACGCCCCCGCATGGACTCCCGGACGCGAGCCACTGTTGACAGCCCGCTGTAGGAGGAGCATGCCCCGGTGCTGCACATTGTCACGGCTGTGCTGCTTTACGACGGCCGCAGCGATGAAGCCGTCTTTGAGATGATGCAGACCGAGGGCGCCTTTGCCCGCCTGCTCGACCTGGTCCAGGGCAACAAGGACGACAGCACGGGGCTGCATCGTCTCCTGCTCGAGCTGCTCTGCGACATGTCGAGAATACAGCGTCTGTCCCTTGACGACCTCGGTGAGCCACCTTCCCTGCCGTACGCCCTGCTTTCCAATGCCCGACTCTAACCTCTCCAACACAGCCACCGTCGACGACGCCTTTGTCATCTACCTGTTCGAGCTTATCGAAGAGCTGTCTAACGACGCCAACGACCCATACCACTATCCAACTATCCGTGTCTTACTCATTCTCAACGAGCAATACATGTGCTACGCCGTCTCTCCCGAATCACACCCAACCCTGACCAACCGCATCATCAAGGTCCTTTCCAACCACGGCCCAGCTTATCGTACATTTGGCGAAAACCTCATATTGCTGTTGAATCGTGAATCCGCATTGGGTCCTCAGCTGCTGATTCTCAAGCTGCTATACCTCCTCTTCACCACACCTCCTACCTTTGAATATTTCTACACAAACGACCTGCACGTCCTCGTTGACGTCATCATCCGCAATCTTCTAGACCTTGACCCTGGTTCCGACGACGAGGATCACTCCGATGTGCCGAAAGATGGCGGTGGCCAGCGCGCCCTTCGCCATACATACCTGCGTGTCTTGTGTCCACTGCTCAAAAATACCCAATTGGCCCATGAAAACGCTCACTACAAGCGCGAAGAGCTGCGTAAACTCTTTTGCTTGCTCGTGAACAGATCCTCGTTTCATTTCTCCCCGGTTGACGAGACCGTTGTGCGCTTGGTATCACGCTGTAGACAAGTTGCGTGGATCAGAGACGAGTCGGACCATGAGGATCCAGTCAGCCCTCCAACAGATGCTCATGTGGCCAAGCGCTTGCTGGGTATGAATCTCGCCGAGGCGGGCGAGAGCAGTCTTAGTGTTTTGGACGTCAGCGCAAAAGTTGAGAAGGAAAAGCCTATGGTGCCGGCCCCACGAAGGCGGAAGAGGCTGCAACAGCAACAATCAAAGGAGACTGTCTTGTTGCGAGTCTCACCCAACAATGCTCAGAATGGCGAACGAAGCCCCTTTGATGATGATAATAATGAAGAGTGAAGCCTGTCCATACCTACATACCTAATTGTTCATGCAGCCACTCTGATATTGCACTACCCCTTTGCAGTCCAAGCCGTTTTGTTGAATAAAGGAGTGCTGAACTCTACGTCTTGTAGACCACAAGCGATTATCATCTGTAGAAAAGTCAGGATCAACGTGCCGTGTAACCCTGTAAGGTCGAACACGGCAAGCGGGAAGGGGCAAAAAGGGATGCAGGCAGTATTGGGGTTACACAATGAAAAAGTTTAACGCAGAAACAGCGACTGGCTGCATACACAGTGCAGATGTCGTTTTCCGTTTGTGTGGTGCTACGCAAGAAACAGGTCAGCTCAGCAAGGTTCCGACGCCATTAATCTGGGCGGCCCTGACATGACACATAGTAGCACACAGGCAGCTGCAGGCCACCCTGGAGAAGGAAAGTTGGCTGCGACCCGCAGATGTTACTACACCATGCAATCACTTCGATTGTTTCCAGAGACATTGGCAAGGCAAGGAAGCAAGCCAAACGAGCATTGTCGGCCCTTGCCATAGACATGACCCTTGAATACGCTTTCATGTATAAGTAGGTCATACTCTGCGCTGAGAAAACCATCTGAAAAGCAGTTCGCATCAATAGTCTCTCATTCATCTTCTTCCACACAATCGTTTCAAGATGCTCAAGATTTTCTCTTTCTTTCCCTGTGCTTTTGCAGTAGCTCTGGCCAACGAACTGCCCTCGGATTGTGCATATGAACCACTTCCATATGGCAGCTTCCCGACTGGTACTGGCGGAGGCCCTCTATTCAGCCCCACAGGACTGCCTTCAGGCTCACCTCCTGGTCCATACCCAGGCGTATCCTATGGAGCACCTTTCCCGACTTTCAACCTCAGCTCAGCGGTTGTGGGTCCCACAGGAACTGGATCATCATCTGCTTTTGTTCCATCGTCTTCCGATGAAGGCAGAAGCGGAACTACCTCTCGACCAAGTGGTACTGCCTTCATCCCCTCTTCATCCGATGCGGGTAGGAGTGGCATTGCTTCTCCTTCTTCTTCAATCTTGTCCTCGGTCTACTTTCCAAACAGCACCACCTCTTCCCAAGAAGCTGTCACAACCATCTATTCTGCTACTACCGCCGTCACGACTATGGTCACTACCGTCTATCTGCCACCTCAGAGCCCTGATTCGTCCTCGGATGTGAGGTCTGGTGTTTCGGTCTCAGTCTCCTACAGCGCCAACGCAACCATCATGTCATCACTCGTGACCGGCACGATCACTTTGACATCCGCCTTGACACCTTCTTCCTCCCCTGATTCACCTGTCACGGTCATGAACAGCACTTCGCTTCCTGGAACCGCAACCTCTTACTCTCTAGGAACTGGCTCAGCCTCTGCCCCCAGAAACAGAACATCTTCTGCTGCCTCGTTTACCTGGTCTCCTTACGTTCCATATGTTCCGGGTACCGGAATGTTCAGCAGCTTTACACCATCGAGCTCACCTAACTCGCCGGCGACAACTTCCGTATTTAATTCGAGTTCAGCTCGTGCTACCACTACTCACGTTACCATTCACCTGAATTCTTCGATCACGCTCACGCTAGTCACCACCAATACGGTTCCACTGACCACCAGATCAGTCACAATCTCCAACTCTAGCACTTTTTCAGGCTCTTCTAGTGGTGGTGATCGTAGCGGCACGGCCAGTCCCGTCACCACGTCTGCAGGTAACAAAACTTTGTCCTCGGGCACATTCACTGCATCATATTCTTCGGGTGGTCGTAATGGTACCTTGATCTCCTATGGTAGCACTGGGACTGCACCTGTTAGATCTTCCACTTCGGCTGCAAGCCCTGTTACAAGAATCAGCTCTTCCTCGGCCGATTCTTCTGTTTCGACTAGCGAAGGCAACCGCAGTGGTACTCGACGTCCTTCTCGAAGCATACCGCTCCACTCCACAGGACCCTACTCTCAGTTTTCTTCCTTTGTCACCAGCGTTGTGAGTTCCAGTGTTGGAAGTTCAGAGGCCGGCGGTGTCACCGAGCCTCCTTCAGCTCCTCCCACCTTGCCCACCGTTCCTTTCTACGGCTCATGGAGCTATAACAACGGCGGCAGCTATGGAGGTTACCGCGGTGGCTACAAGAGAAACGGCAAAGCTTAGATAGTGTCAGCGGTAAGATTATACGTTCATTGGCGATGATATGAAGGTATCTGAAAGGTGGATGAAGGGTCGTTGTTTCTCTTGTTGGTGTTCTCTGCCGATTCTTCGCTTCTTCTTGACCTCCACAGCGATGTGGGAGTTGCTCTTCTTGGTAATATCTTCAGTTCGTCCTCGGCTGCTACGCTTCTATTTGTGCCTGATCTCGATATGTTTAATCATAAATTACAATGTTTTCTACAGTCTATTTGCGTTGTCAAATGTGCGTCGTAAGCTGGTCCCACAAAACGAGTCGTTTTGGCCAGTGGCGCATACCTTGATCTCTGCGGCATAGTTCACAAAACTCTTGATAGCATTATTTTCTAATGGAGTAAGTACTGCCGTTTGAGACTGCCTTGCCTTGTTCCTCCAAGCCAGCTAGCAACCATTTCGTCTCGTCCTCACCAAAGTTGTAGCCACCCGGAACTACCATCTTCATCATCATTGTGATGCGTGTCGCATCCATGGCACCTCCGTTCGTCAACATGCCCACAATGAACATTTCGTACATGGCCTTGTTGTCTTGGAGTACTGCGTCTTGAGTCTTGACTGCCGAGATTGCCGTATCGGCTTGCATCTGTACAGGTGCAGAAGGGCCTGTAGCGCCCTCTTCCTCAGCCGATGGCAGTTTTTCAAGCACCGTGAAGACGTCTGATTCGGTTTCGACTAGGATACGATGGCCCACCCAAAACGAGAGTGCGTTACGGACTAGCACTTCGTCCATGGAAAGCGACGCCTCCAACTCTTGTACAGATTTTGAAACTAGTCCTTCGGACGGACACTCATCGTTGTCATTGTGAAATGCATAGATGATGCTGGTCTGCCACGTCTGGACTCCTTCGAGCTTCACGGTTCGATCTTCAAGCTCAAGTTCAACAGTGGCCTTGCCCAGCGCAGATAGCCAGTGCAGCTTGCGTAAATTTTTGACACGCTCAAAATCTTGTTCGAAACGTGACTGCAATGTCGATATAGGAGCCGGTACTGCAAACTCGTCCTCCCGAAGACTCGGCCAGAAGAAGGAAGACAGAATCTGGGTATAAAAGTCTGCAGATGGTTCGCCGTTGGCGTTCGAACCAATTATGGACAGTTCGGACGATGGATACAGCATGTTTGAGGCTTTGTCTGCGATAGCCGCGGACTTGATCAAAGCGATAAACTTCTGGCCAGCCAAATCCGTCTGAGGCACTCGATCGTTGAATTTGCCAATGAGCGCTTGAGTATGTATGCCCGGTTCGGGAATGGCAGCATGTACCTCTTCCAGTGTTGGGAAATCCTTCTTGGGACGAAGCGTCTTGTTAATGTGTCTCGAATCTTGTATGTCACGCAACATGACCTCACACGACTGGAGCCGATCCGCACCGAATCGAGTTTTGAAGAGCTCTACAAGTCGGATCTGTAAAACGAGTAAGTACAAATTCAATTCAGGGACAGCTGTCCAAACCAAACACTAACCTCTTTCTCGAGCTCGGTATTGTCGTAGCCCACGCTCAGCAATCGCTCTCCCAGCAGAGATTGTACCTCCTTGATGAAGTCGGCTTGCTCGAAGAGCGTAAGCATGAAAGACATGATATCCTCACTTTTGGACTTTTTGTAGTCTGCAAGTACATGTAGTCAGCATACTATGTGTACCAAGATGTTTCGACAGACTGACCAGGACCAGCATCAATTGGGTCAGGCATCCATTCCATGTCATCCCAATCAAGTCCTCTGTGCTCTACATGGTGTGCTTGATATTCCGTGAGATTTATTTCTCTGGCGAGCTCATTGCAGACCTCGTCGGATGGAGTGCTGATATGGTTGTCCCCCTCGATCTCAACGTCTGCTAAGAAGCTTGCTGCAATGATTCTGACGGTATCATCGCGATGCCTGAGATAGGCGCGTAAAGGCGTAGCCACCTTGTCCAGTAGCACACCCCGAGGATCTAGTGTTTTGAATGCCATGATGACATTGATGTATATGCTGAGAAGCTCCGAGGTTGTCACACCAGCATGTAAGAGACGACGACTTAGCTGTTGCGTGAAGGATGTGGCAATCTGAATCTTGACTTCTGACGAGTGTATGCACTCTCTCAGGTCCAGTATCGCTCCAGTCGAGTGGGGCCAGGCCTTGACGTAGTCGAGAAGGTGTCTGATTCTTTGTTTGGCCAAACGTTCCATTATGGTGAGTTTCCAGTCCGTCAGCTCATTTGGCGCTATACATACACCGCTTGCTACTATTGTAGGGGTGAGACTAAGATCTATCCATTGTTGTAGTTGGTCAACAATGCTCTGACGCCTTATCCAGTCCACTTTCATAGCAGAACTCTGCACGAAGCTGTCGATTGCTGCGTGCACGACTTGAGCCATCGCACGTTGGGTATGATAGTCCATGATGACTTCTCGAAGAGCGTTGTCTAGCACCTGCGACCATTGTACATTTTTGCAGCTATCTGGAGACAACAAATGTGTGTCGGAAACACAAAGGAAGGAAGACGCTTGGCGTTGTTATTCTGTCAACAACGACCAGATGCTTGGCGTCAGCTTGCAATGCATACAGCAACACTTAAATCAGTAGCTTGAGACCTTTTAGTGTTACTTATCGCAAGCGCTGAGTTGCTCATCGTGTCTGGAAACTTGTATTGCATGAAACATGAAGACTCAAACTATCATTGCCACTGTCCTTTGTCTTGCACACTCGCAGTCTGTGCTGGCGGCCACAGATCAACTCGTCCTCGAGGATGCGACCGTGGGCTTCAAAACTCCTAAGCATGTCGCAGTAGTAGGTATGTAAAATTAGTCAAGCAGTGCAGATCAATCTTGTTGTTGACGCTCTCCTGGATAGGTGCCGGAAGCGCAGGCTCTTCAACAGCATACTTCCTGCGAAAATACAGCCAGGAGCGAGGCATTTCTCTCAACATCACAGTCTACGAGCGTGACGGCCATATTGGCGGCCGTTCAACTACAGTCGGCGTATATGGAGACGAACAGAATCCAGTCGAGCTTGGTGCATCCATATTTGTTGAGGTCAACCACAACCTCGTTGATGCTGCCAAAGAGTTCAACTTGTCGACATCTGGAATCCGCGAGCTCCGTTCTAAAGGACCCGTGCTTGGTGTATGGAATGGCAGAGACTTTGTTTACATACAGTCCGCTGGCGGAAGCTGGTGGGACACTGCAAAGCTATTTTGGAAGTACGGTCTTGCGCCCCTCAAGACTGTAAATTTGATGAAAGCCACAGTAGGGAAGTTCTTGAAGATGTATGAAGAGCCATACTTTCCCTGGAAGTCACTTTCGCAGGTGGCCTACGACCTTGGTCTAACGGCTGCTACTGCTTCCACCGGAGAGCAATTTCTTGAGCAGAACGGGATCGGCAAGCTGTTTGCTCAAGATATCGTGCAGGCAAGCACACGAGTTAACTATGCACAAAATCTGCCCTTACTACATGGGTTAGAAGCAATGGTCTGCATGGCGACTGATGGAGCACAAGCAATCGACGGAGGTAATTGGCAGATATTCTCAAATATGCTCTCAGCAGCTCAAGCAACTGTCCACCTTAACAGGACGGTTAGTAGGCTGGCCAAGCTCAACAACAACAAGTACTCCATCTCGACGAAGAAGCAAGGATCAAAAACAGAAGCACTCGATCAACAGATATTTGACGAGGTGGTTCTGGCAGGACCATTGCAATATTCGGACATCGACTTTGATCCGAAACCTCGTCATCTGCCGGATTCAATTCCTTATGTACAACTACACGTCACACTCTTCACTTCAAAGCACGCACTCTCGCCCAGGGCTTTCAACTTGTCATCGGAGAAACTGGTGCCACAGGTCGTCCTTACCACGCTGCCCCCAGGCGAGCATCATGGCAGCAGCCCAGAAGGGGTAGGTCTGCCTGGCTTCTTTAGCATATCGCTTCTACGACCTAGTATGGACACGCGCGAAGGCAGAGGCGAGCTTGAATATCTCTACAAAGTGTTCTCCCCAGCTCCGCTCAATGACACGTTCCTGGCCAACATACTGGGGCTAGCTGAAAAGGCGACGATCGACAAAGAGGATATCAGCTGGCAATACCGCAAAGTGTGGAACAGCTACCCATACGAGTACCCGCGAGTGACATTCGAAGAACTTCAGCTGGACGAAGGACTTTGGTATACAGCAGGCATTGAGAGCTTCATAAGTACGATGGAAACGAGCAGTTTGATGGGCAAGAATATTGCCCGGTTGATGGTAGATGGTTGGGAAAGTTGACCAGATTTAGCAGTCTAGAATCAAATGCACACCAGTCCGACACAGTCAAGAGACCAGAAGCATTCTCCAGTATCAGATTGGTCAGCTGAAATGCATGATGGAAACGTTGTGGTGAGAAGTGCAATTGTCGGGTAGAGAGGAGGGCAAGGAGGGGTCAAAGCGGCGGGGCAAGTCGGCGATCGGAGGGCACAGCCGAATGTTTGTTTGCTCTGTTTGGAAGTTGGTCCATAGACAATAATCGCAGACGTCGATTTGCGGCAGCAAGAGTACTTGTCCAAGAAGCAAACACAATGTCGGCGAAATCCCCAGCACGCCAAAGCCGACGGGCTGCTGCATCAAGGCGCCGAGTGGTCGATTCCGATGACGACATGGAAATGGACATGGGCGACGACGTGTCTCAGGGAAATGCGAGCGAGACGGCGCATGAGGACGAGCAAGAGGAAGCAGAATACACGCCAGCCCCGGCCCGCTCAAGACGCCATACCAAGTCCGCCATGTCTGACACGCCGGCTACACCACAGACGGCCTCCCGGACCCGTCACGACCATGTCGCCGACGGGTCAGTCATGGAAGAAGCAACCTCGCCTACCAAACCCAAGCGCCGATCCGCCAAAACTGCTCGTACTGTGCGCAAGAATCGCATATCTACGTCCGTCGCCTCTGAGACCGAAGCATCGATACTACCCACTTCCCAGCAATCCGCTTCGCCCACCTCGCAACGACTCAAGCATGCGGCACCTCTCTCAGACATCACCGAGACGGCCGTGAATGATCAGACCCCACGAGCCCAAATCAGACCCCCATCGAGCCAAGTACAAAAGGTTGACATAAACACGACTACACTGGAGAAACCCATGGACATCGTTGTGCGTACCCGAGCTGCTGCCACCATGCCTGCCTCACAAGCTCCCTCGGAGCCTCGTTCCCGGACCGTCATTACCCACCTCGTCCTCAAGAACTTCAAGAGTTATGCAGGCCGTCAGGAGGTGGGCCCTTTCCATGCCTCGTTTTCCTCCGTTGTTGGGCCCAATGGTTCTGGCAAGTCAAACGTCATTGATTCTTTGCTCTTTGTCTTTGGTTTCCGTGCCAGCAAAATGCGCCAGGGCAAGATTTCTGCTCTGATCCACAACTCGGCTGCCTATCCTGATCTGGATCATTGTGAGGTCGAGGTTCATTTCCAGCAGGTCATGGATTTGCCAGCTGGCGGCCACGAGGTTATTGCCGACTCGCAGCTCATCATCTCGAGACGTGCTTTCAAGAACAATGCGAGCAAATACTACATCAACAGCAGAGAGTCGAACTTTACCGCTGTTACCACCTTACTGCGCGATCGTGGTGTCGACCTTGACCACAAGCGTTTTCTGATTCTGCAGGGTGAGGTTGAGTCGATTGCTCAGATGAAACCAAAGGCTGCCAGTGAGCACGACGATGGCCTTCTAGAATATCTTGAAGACATCATTGGCACATCTAAATACAAAACTCCCATCGACGAGGCTGCCGCGGAAACGGAAGCTCTCAATGAAGTTTGCGCCGAGAAGAACACCAGGGTACAACATGTCGAGAAGGAAAAGAACGCTCTTGAGGACAAAAAAGACAAGGCGCTAGCTTTCATCCGCGACGAAAATGAGCTTGCCACAAAGCAATCAGCCCTGTACCAAATCTACACCAACGAGTGCACTGACAACGTCACCGTAACTCAGGAAGCTGTCCAACAACTCCAACAGCAGCTTGACGAAGAACTGGAAAAACACAAGGGCAATCAAGAAGACATCAAGAGGCTGCAGAAGCAGCACAACACAACATCCAAGGAATACGAGCGCATGTCTGAGAGCACCCAATCGATCTTGAAAGAGATGGCCAAGCTTGACAAAGACACCGTCAAGCATGCAGAGAAAAAGAAATTCCTCGCCAACAAGGCTAAGAAGCTTGCGAAAACTGCAGAGGATAGCAGATTTGGCATCTCCGGAGCTAATACCCAAGCCACGCAGGCCGAAGACGACATCAATAGGAATGCACAATCCATAGCTGAGCTGGAAACAGAAATGCATCGAGAAGAGGCGCAGTTGACCCAGATCAGAGAAAGCCTCAAAGGCAAGACTCAAGGCATTTCGGATGAGATTGCAGCAAAGCAAAAGACTCTAGAGCCTTGGAAGGCGAAGGTCAACGAAAAACAATCTTCCATCTCCGTCGCGAAGAGTGAGCTGGAAATTCTCAGAGAGCGAGGCAACGCCGGAGCAAATGCTGTCCAGGACATCGAAAACAAGATCGCATCATTCTACGAAACACGCGAGGCCAAGGTTGTGGAGTACAAGGAATGCAAACGAGAGCGAAAAGCGGTAGAGGGCTCTGTGCAGGAAGCGCAAGCTGAGGTCGATCATCTTGTATCTCAGGAGCCCGCTTTGCGTTCGAAGCTTTCAGGGGCTAGACAAAAGGCCGACGAAGCACGCGCAAGCTTAGCTGCTACTCAAACACAAGGCAACGTTCTTACCGGACTCATGCGTCTCAAGGAGTCTGGAAGAATCGACGGGTTCCATGGGCGTCTCGGTAACCTTGGTGCCATCGATGCAAGGTTTGATGTTGCTATATCGACTGCATGTCCTTCGCTTGACAACTTGGTGGTTGACTCTGTCGAGGTGGGTCAACAATGTATCGAGTACCTTCGCAAGAACGACCTCGGTCGTGCGAACTTCATCCTTCTTGACCGCTTGCCGCAGCGAGACCTATCAGTGATCCAGACACCGGAGAACGTGCCTCGACTTTACGATCTCGTCAAGTCAAAACATGATCGCTACAGACCGGCCTTTTATAGTGTGCTCCAGAACACGCTTGTTGCCAAGGATCTTGAACAAGCAAATCGCATTGCTTATGGTGCCAAACGCTGGAGAGTTGTCACTCTCGACGGTCAATTGATCGACAAATCAGGTACCATGAGCGGTGGCGGTACCAGAGTCGCCAAGGGTGCCATGTCTTCCAAGGTTGTGGCCGACGTGACTAAGGATCAGGTCGTCAAATTGGAGGTAGATCGTGACACACTCGAGGAAACGTTTGGCCAGTTTCAGCAAAGAATGCAGCAACTCGAGGCTCGTCTTAGGCAGCTGCAAGATCGCGTACCAGAACTCGAAACTCAAGCTCAGAAGTTGAGACTGGAAGTTGAGAGCTTAGACCGTAACATTGCCGATGCTGAGAAAAGAGTGGAGGAATTGAAGTCTGAAAGCCAACCTTCACAATCGGACAACAAGCGTGTTGCCGAGCTCGAAAAGACCATCAGAACTCTGGAAAAGGAGACCGAGAAGTTACAATCTGAGACTGCAGGCATCGAAGAAGAGATCAGATCGCTGCAGGACAAGATTATGGAAGTCGGAGGTGTGCAACTCCGGACGCAAAAAGCCAAAGTCGACGGGCTCAAAGAACAGATCGATCACCGCATGGAGGAGATGTCTAACGCGGAGATTAACAAGGCAAAGGCCGACAAACAAAAGTCGAAGCATGAAAAGGCCTTCAATGAAGCACAGTCCGAGCTCGAGAAAGTGACAGCGGACGCAGAGAAGGTCGAGGACGATATCAAAGAGCAGACTAAGAACACTGCAGGATTTCGCAAGGAGGCTGAAGAGGCGCAAGAGGTCTGTATGAAAGAAACGACTTCTGCACAACACCGCATACTGACCAAATGTAGGCATTGGAGTCCAAGAAAGAAGAGCTCGAAGCACTCAAAACTGAACTCGATACCCAGACGACCATTCTCAACGAAACTCGAGGCATTGAGATTGAGATGCGGAACAAGCTCGAAGAAAACCAGAAAATTATGGCAGAGAATCAGAAGCGTCTTCGGTACTGGCAGGAGAAGCTGACTAAGCTCATCTTCCAGAACATTGGGTGAGAATGCCAGCATCAACTGCCCAAAACAAGTGCTGACAGCTTTGCAGTGACGACGGTGAAGAGCTCGAGCCTCTGCCTATGGCCCAGTACACCAAAGACGAACTCGAAGACATGTCGAAGGATGAACTCAAAGCATCAATAGCGCTGCTCGAGGAGTCAACATCACAAGCAGTTGAGCTTTCCGTTCTGGCCGAGTATCGCCGTCGCGTTTCAGAACATTCGTCTCGCATGTCAGATCTCAACGAGGCTTTGACTGGTCGTGACTCGGCAAAGAAGCGATTGGACGATCTTAGGCGGATGCGTCTCGAAGGTTTCATGGAAGGATTCTCTACCATATCCATGCGACTTAAAGAGATGTATCAGATGATCACCATGGGTGGCAATGCAGAGCTCGAACTCGTAGACAGTCTGGACCCGTTCAGCGAAGGTATCCTCTTTAGTGTGATGCCGCCAAAGAAGAGTTGGAAGAACATCAGCAACTTGTCAGGTGGAGAGAAGACACTCAGTTCTTTGGCTTTGGTGTTTGCTCTGCACCACTACAAGCCGACTCCACTGTATGTCATGGACGAGATTGATGCCGCCCTAGACTTCCGTAACGTTTCGATTGTTGCAAGTTACATCAAGGAAAGAACGAAGAACGCTCAGTTTATCGTCATCTCGTTGAGAAACAACATGTTCGAATTGGCTGCGAGATTGGTCGGTGTTTACAAAGTCAACCACATGGTATGTAACCTTGGTGATCTGAGATAAGATGCGATACTAACGAGTGAACAGACTAAGAGTGTAACTATTGAAAACAAAGACTATATTCAAGCTGCAGCAGCATGATTGTTCTGCAAGATCCCAGAAGATGGTGGATAACAGTATAGGGCAGATCGTATATTCACTGGTGAACATTTGGCGTTTGGAGGATTGGAAACATTATGATACCATGGCTTGTTGTAGCAGGAGCTAGAAATCACGAATTCTCCATTTTGACAGTTTCTCTTTGATATGCGATTGACTAACAGTGCGTCGGACTGGATTGGACATGCGCCAGAACTATCTGTCATAGGGGCTGCAACATTATACGGAAGATATGACGTGCTACTCGAATAAGAACGTTGCTTGTATCTATCGAACGCGTTCGAGATCAAGTCATCAGGAACATCACGACGTGCAAGGAAATGGATCGAACGGTGAGACGGGGTCAAAACAAAGTAAGAATTTTGGTTGTAACTACCAAATGCTTACACAGGAAGGTCCACCCTGATGGCTGACTTCTTCCAACACGGTTCTATCATCCTTTGATGAAACTGCAACAAGTAATGAGACCCAGGTAACGGTGATTGATCGTCCAAGCCGAATCGGCATAATAACGCCCATCAACAAAGAACAGCGGACTTGAGTGCAGTGCGATCAAACCAAGTTGAAGAGGGAGGCGGCGAGGAGTGTCAGAATGACGGTCTTGCCAACCATGCCGGTGACAGTGGCATCGTTGGAAGGGACTGAAGTGACGGTGGCAGAGGCGACGCCGCTTCCGGAGGCAGTAGCAGAGGCCGACTTTGAGGAAGGACTGGCGGACAAAATCAAAGTAGCGACAGGAGAGACCATCTTGGATGAGGTGGGAGTGGAAGTGATGGCGCCGTTGGAGGTGGACTCGACGGGACTGGCAATGACAACGACAGAAGTGGAGGCGACGCTTTCAACAGCAGGAGTCTCAACGACAAAGGTGGCATGAGTGGTAGAGGCGGTCTCTGTAACGGAGCTGATGGGGATGTTGGTGATGGAGCTGATGGAATCGGATGAGATGCTCTGAGAAGAGATGCTCTCGACGGAAGCAGTGACAGTAGTGCTAACGACGACGACGGGGAGAGTGGCAGTGGTAGGAGTGCATTCAGCAGGGATGACTGTGACGGTGACAGTGTCCTGAGCAGTAGCAATGGCGCCCATGGCTGGAATGTGTGTCAGTAAGACACGCGATAGCAGACAACGAGGGCAGGTACTTACTGGCAGCGGCAACAAAGGCCATGGTAGAGATGAAGAACTGCATGTTGAGCTGAGTTGTTGATAGTGGTGGTACTGATGTCGAATTGATAATGTTGTTGATGATATGAAGAAGAGACGCAGCAGCAAGTAAAGCAAGTTGGCCAAGCAAGAATTTGATGCGTTTGCTCGTCGATGTTCCGGAAGGTGCTGTCATGCGCGCAGCCGGACATTTGGTGCTACAGATGCTACGTTCGTCACTCCAGCTGCACCTACCCTCTAGCGGGAGCCTGCCGCAGTGCACAAAGTTCTTGGGATCAGGACAATGCAGAGGATGGAAGTGGAGGAGTCGCTCTCAGTGGACGCTTCCTGTAATTTCAATCCATCGTGTCTCAACAGTCGAGGTTGGATGCCGAAGAGAGAAGTCACAAACCTAGCATGATTCACGAATCCATTGAGATAACCGGTGGCCATCGTCGTTCGCGGGAAACTACATGGGACCATGTTGCCTACAAATTCTTGTTGATGACAAAGCGTTTGGTCATGCCCGGAACAAAAATTCGGAAGGAACTGTAGAGAAGCTCAACAAATCCCATTGGGAAACTGCTAGCAACCAGTGGTTGTAACGTTGTAAATGATATGAATTGGCAGTCGCAGAGCTCAACAACGCAACACGCTTAACGTGAACCTCCATCCGGAGTGCGCTCCCGGGACTAGCAACCGCGTTTTGAGCACCTGTAAAAATGCGCAAAGATTTTGTGAATGGCAGAGAGTCCAGTGAGAGTATGAAAATCGTGCACAGCGGGACCATCGAGACCTCCCTGAAGCCCAGTAGCCCCTATTTACACTTGTAAAAATGCACAAAGTTTTCCTAGATGGCTGAAGGTCCAGTGAGAGCGCTGAATTGTCTACAACATTTTGGGCTCTCACTGGACCCAAAGCTCTTTCCGAATACAATCGTGCATTTTTGCAGGCAGTTTGAACGACGCGTCAGAGGTTGGGGATGGCGAATAGCACTTACCTTTCAAGTATTGTTGAGCGTTGAGTATAGCGACTTCCTTACCTTTCATCGTTCTACACGCAGGCTTCTATATAAACAAGCTGCACAACTCGACTTACCATCAAAACATTCAACTTTCAACTTTCGTTCGAACCCATCACACAACCCGTCACGATGAAGCTCTCCATCACACTCGCTGCCATGGCTGCCATGGCTATCATGGCTCAGAACATCGGAGACCCCGTCACCACCAGTGTGCTCGTCGTCGAGTACGTGCCAGCTGTCTCGACTTCGACCGTGTACCAGACCACTCAGTTCACCGTCTGGAGCTGTGCACCCGATGTCACCAACTGCCCAGCTCGTTCTGCAACATCCATCGCCATGGTCACCGCCATCATCGGCATGTCAACCACAATCTGCCCAGTCACTTTTGTCAGCACTCGTGTCAGCTCCTACACCACACCTGCTTCGACCAGCTACGCCTCATCCACACCCGGTGCTTCCATCAGCTCTGCCTCTGTGATCTCGACTACCTACTCGACTGGCAGTTCCACCATCACCATCGGCTCGTCATCGACCGACTTCAACTACTGGTCGACCATCAGCTACAGTGCATCCTCCACTGAGTCCATCGTCACGAGCCAAGCCACTCTCTACTCTGGCGGGCCTTCTCTTCCAACCGGCGTTACCATCAGCTCGACCACATCAGGTGGCTCAGGTGGCTCAGGCAGCTCAAGCGGTTCAGTCGGCTCATCATCAGTCTCTGCATCAAGCGGCTCATCAGCATCATTGACATCCACAATTTCGACACTCTCATCATCTGGCTCTGTCTCAGCTGGTGCATCAACATCGTCATCGGCAGCCACACTGGCATCAGCAGGATCTTCATCGTCTGGTTCACCGTCTCCAACAAGCACATCGGCAGGCATCATCACATCTTCCGCCAGCGTCGTCGTCTCCACCAGCATTGCTGCCAACGGCAGCTCATACACTATCTCCTACTCGCCATTGGGGACTGGTAGCCTCAGCTCTCAGGTCATCACTGGCCCAGGATCCAGCAACAACATCTCGGTGCCATCTGGACCACCTGGCTCCGGTCCATCGAGCACCTACACTGGCATGGCAGGTCGCCAGACTGTCTTGTCTGTCGTGTCTGCTCTTGCCTTGTGCATGGTGGCAGCTCTGATCATGTTTTGAACTTGAGATGAGATGAAACATTGTTATCATCGGCGGTTGTCATGGGATGAGGATTGTGTGGCTCTGTTGCTTTTGAGCTTTGTTTCTTTTGTTCGCCTCACTGAGCATGGTTAGCGCAAGGACGCAGACAGCAGGGTTATCGCAAGAATGCAGACAGCAGGGTTATCGCAAGAACGCAGACAGCATCGTTAACGCACAAGCGCAGACAGCATGGAGTCCATCTCCTATTACAAGACAGCAGCACATAGAGACAGCTTTTCATATGATCAAACACAGCGATTTGCATCACACATTTCTTCTTCTTTGCCGTGCAATGTATGTGACTCTGGTTGCAAATGATCGGACAATCACCGTGGACATGTCACGGAGTCATGTTGATGCATGTCACGCAACAACAGATGTCTCAACAGAGCTTCAGTACTTGCAGGATCGAGTCTCTCCTGTCTCTCCCTCCATATGCGCCACAGCTCGAAACCAACCTCGATACTAATGAGAAAAATGATGAGCCATTCCAAGCCTGTAGAATGCTTCTCGCTCAGTCTTTCACGTAGCACACTGGCAATCTCTCCGGCATAATCCATCCTCTCATTCAGAACTTTGATACGCACACCAACATCCAAGGCACGTCCGACCTCATCATAGTAAGCACTCAGGCCAAGAGAGGAGGGACTGTCCCAAAAGATGTCTGGCAAGCTGTCAGTAAGTTCAGAATATAGATTCAGCTGTGCGCGTATGGATAGAAGCTCGCCGGTTTTGCGCAAGATGAAGGATCTTGAAAAGCGCAGCGGCGAGCCTCGTGACAAGATGGTGGGGATAGAGCGGGTACTCGAAAAGTAGGAAGACAAGAGGTCCTCGAGTACGGCAAGTTTGGTGGAGCGAGCCAGGCCTGAGGAGAAGGCGATCTTGGCCAAGACTGTGTCGACATCTGACGAAGGAAGAGGGGTCGCAGCTTCAGTGGAGGATTCGGTCGAGGAAGGCTTTGTACCGAGGATGATTGTATCTCCAATGATTTCGCTGGTATGGTGAGACGAGTCTTGGATGTATTCAAGATCTTCAATCTCGATACGGTCGAGATGGGGACTCTCGGCGGCGGGAAGAAGAAGGCGATGCAATAGGTTCAGTTGGACGTGCTCGGGAACATTCCAGCAGACAAGCGTGCCCGAAGGAAAGACAAAGACGTCTCCCGGGGCGGCAGAAGAGTCTTGACCGGAGGCGTCGGTAGTGGAGTAGTCGGGAGTCTGGAAATGAATGACTTGAGGGTACAAGGCAGTGTTCCAAGGATCAAGACAGTAACCCTCTTGTTTGAGCACACGGGTGGCAGTGGGAATGTCGTACTGCTCAGCAGCGCAATAAGCCGTGACCTGGTTGGTGTGAATGTCGGGATCTACGAAGCCATGCTTCCCACTGCGGCGAATCAGAGAGTCGCGAGAGCGCTGTGCTTCGAGGGCGACACGACGAAGAGAGGTTGTGGTGTTCTGCGAGCGAGGAGAGAGACGCTTGATAGGCTTGCGATCATGTGGCGGAGAGGTGGTATCCGAGTGCTTGAGACGGGTGTTGAGCAGGGCAGCGGGAGGTCGAGGTGGACAGGACAGGCGACATGACAGGATGCGTGAGTGCGAGCGGACGAGTCTGGATGCAGCGTTCAGGGCGTTTGAGGTAGCTGGTGTGGCCATTTCGGTTGTCGGGCAGTGGGAAAGTCGACCGAGGCTTCATGCATATTGCACAGTGGACGAGCTTAGAGCACGGCACCACGAGTTCAGACCAGGTTGGGCCCTGGGGGTGGGAGAGGATCGGGAAGAGGATGGTGGACCGTGGACCGTGGACGGTGATGAAAGCGCCTTGGCATGGCCGGGGGTTGCTGCAGCTCGTCCAGATCAAGTCGGCGGGCCTCGTGCACCAGCTCTCGAAGCTCATGCCTGCACTATGTCTGCTGGGCCCAAGGCGACTCACAATGAGCCCAAACTTCCTCTGCCCCCGGTAGCCGCTGGCCACGAGAGCCACCGTTCCCCTGCTGCTCCCTCCGACCCCGACCACGACCAACAACATGCTACTCCCGACAACAGCGACCGTGACAGCGACGTGGATGAGGACGCCAGCGACGCTGAAGAGGATGAGCCGCACCTCAAGTACGACAAGTTGACGGCCGCTCTGGTCCCCGTCTACCGCAATGGCGATGCCACCAGCTCGCTGCTCGTCGCCGGCGACAAGATGATCCTCGGCACCCATAACGGAAACATTCACACTCTCGCCCTACCCTCTCTGCAGTCGCTGCGCCTCTACCACGCTCATTCCGCCTCCATTACTGCGATTGACGTCTCTCCTACTCCTCCGCCGCTCCACAACACCCCTCGTCTGGACCGCCTGAACTCGAGTGCCTGGCGAGCCCCTCCACTACCTCTACCCTCGGCGCGCAACCCCAAACAACTCCCGGCCGTGCCCCCGACGCCCTCCAACCTCATCCATATCGCTACCGCTTCTATAGACGGCCATGTTTGTGTCTCGTCACTCGTCGATCCGAAAGATGTCTCTCTCCGTAACTTTGCCCGTCCCGTCAATGCCGTTGCTCTGTCGCCAGACTACAAGAATGACCGTACCTATCTCTCTGGTGGTCTTTCCGGCAACCTGATCTTGACCTCTGGTGCCAAATCTGGTGTTAGTGCCGACGCAAACACGAATAGTGCCGCTGCTGCCGCCTCCGGCTGGCTTGGCTCCATCGGTCTGGGTCAAAACACTGGAAAAGACTCTGTCCTACACTCTGGTGAGGGTGCTATCAGTACCATCAAGTTTTCTAATACTGGTCGCTTTGTTGTCTGGGTGAACGAACATGGTATCAAGATCATGCGCTCACACCTCAAGCTCGAATCTCACGAGTCAGAGTCGGCCTGGAAACGTATCGCTCATATCGACCGCCCTAATCGTAATGCCTGGCCAGATATGGCTGCCGTGTGGAAAGCTCGCGTACAATGGATCGACGATGATGCTCTCGAAGCAGATCTGGATGAACCCAGAGCCCCCAATGGCTCTGCCGCTCAGGATTCAACCAAATCTTCCAGGAAACCTCCTCCGGAGAAGCTGCTTGTCGGTTGGGGCGATACAGCTTGGCTGGTACATGTTTATGCCGCACGCCTCACTACGGGGAAAAATGGTAGTCAGCGATTGCCTGGTCGCGCCGATATCCTCCATAAGTTGACCTTCGATGATTGTGTTGTTTCTGGATTGTCGCTCTATACCCCTTCTCTGCTCGCTGTTCTTGCTTACCGCACGCGTGACGATCAAGATAACCCAATCCCTTCATCCATAGAAGATACCCCAAAGCGAGGCAGACACCACCGGCAAACAGGTCTACAGCCTGAGCTTCGTCTGATCAACTTCTCAACTGGTGAAGAAGTCGACGTCGATACGCTCAACATAAACAGATTCGAAACGCTCTCTGCCGCTGACTACCAGTTGACATCACTATACGTACCTCCGCCACCCCGTCTTGCTCCGACACAAAAGGGTGCCCTGGAAAACTTCGGTGCCGGATTGTGGGATGCAGGTGCAAGCGCCTCGCGGCTTTTCAGTTCGGGCGCCAGCATCAAGAGCCCGCCTCCGAGTGAGGGTGGCAGGACTGCTATCAAGTCTCCAGCAGGGTCTGTCGGCGGTTCACAACTTGCTGCCCCGTCGCGTTCGACTCCTGACGCGAACCCGTTCCTCGCGCGTACAGGCCTCAAACTCTTTGTACATAGTCCTTACGATTGTGTTCTTGCTATCCGACGCGAGCTATCTGACCATCTGGCTTGGCTGCTGGAGCGTAAACAATATGGAAAGGCTTGGGGCTTGATTGACGATCATCCTGGCATAGTCGGCTTGCCGAATGATCGACAGTCTATTCCCTCATCACCTAGCGGGCCTACACGGGCGCAAAACAGTTTGGCAGACTTCTTTGCTGATGAAGACGTCTCCCAAACTACCATGTCTCCTGAGAAGATACAGAATTCCATTGCGACCAAGGAAAAGCAACGGATAGGCGACTTGTGGCTGCAGCAGCTTGTCGCAAACGAAGAATGGTTGGCGGCCGGAAAAGTAGCTGGTCAGGTTCTTGGAACTTCTTCCAGATGGGAGAAATGGGTGTTGGCATTCGCACAGGATGGTCACTTCGACGAAATCACGCCTTACATCCCCAGCACTGACATGAAGCCTGCTTTGCCGTCCTTCGTCTACGAAGTCGTTCTCGGCCACTACATTGGGCACGATCGATTGCGCTTTCGCGAGCTCTTGGATCGTTGGGATCCCGAATTGTTTGACATTACGAGTGTGAAGACGGCCATTCAGAACAAACTCGACTCAAGCGATGTAAACGAGGAGTCTGTCGAGGGTGGTGAGCGAGGAAGAGACTGGCGCATTCTGCTGGACGGATTGGCAAAACTCCACCTCGCAGAAGGTTGCACAACAGACGCTCTGCGCTGCTACGTTCGTCTGCAGAATGGCGATGCGGCCATGTCGTTGATTCGGGAATACCATCTGGCTGACGCAGTTTCTGACGACATTCCTGGCTTGTTAATGCTCCGCATTCCCAAAGAACAAATGAAGACAGCATCATTGGAGGAACTCGAAGAAGCTTCAGCCGAAGTTGTCCGGCTGCTTGTAGATGAAGCGTTTTCAGGAAATGTCCGACCTGAAGTCGTTGTGTCGCAGCTTGAGCGGCACGAATCGACTTACCAGCCGTTCCTGTTCTTCTACCTTCGTGCTCTTTGGACCGGCCGAACAACAGACGACGAAACACCGATAAGCCGAGCGGAGCGCATGAAGTTGCAACAACAGATCGAGGAAGGCAGAATGCTAGTCGAACAATACGGTGATCTGGCAGTGACACTCTTCGCGGCATACAACCGTGAATTGCTGATGGACTTCCTACGTTCTTCGATTTCATACACTTACGAGAAGGCCTCACACATTTGCGAGGAGAAACACTACGTCCCGGAACTTGTATATTTGCTTAGCAAGACAGGACAAACCAAAAGAGCTTTGTTCCTCATTATCGGAGAGCTTGGTGACGTCAGTCAAGCCATCTCGTTCACAAAGGAGAACCCAGATCTCTGGGACGATCTTTTGGATTACAGCATGGATAAACCCAAATTCATCCGCGCGCTCTTAGAAGAGGTCGGCACATCCATCAATCCCATCACGCTAGTGCGGCGGATACCGAACGGACTCGAGATTGAGGGTCTGCGGGAGGGTATCGGTAAGATGATACGTGAATACGAGATTCAGCACAGCATCAGCGATGGTGTTGCCAAAGTCTTGAGGGGTGAAGTGACATCGGGCATGGATGTGCTTCGAGCAGGGCAAAAGAAGGCGGTCAAGTTCGAAGTCAACCATGAAAAGCTCGATGATGTCGAGGTACACACGGACCCGGTTCCCATTCTCAATGGCAATGGCATGGAGGAGGTTGGTACTGGCCACAGTCCCAAACCGGGACACTGTGTGGGCTGTGAAGAAATGTTCCATCAAGATGGTAAGTTCTGCCAGCAAGCTAGCATGATGGACATTCGATTCGATACTAACACAGGCTTTGTAGAAAGTGAAACTCTGATCGGCTTCAATTGTGGCCATGTCTACCATTTGTCTTGTCTCCTGAACCTTGACACAAAGGCGGACCAAGCAGACATCGAAGTGCTTCAAGGGCGAAGGCCAACTGAAGACGAGGAGCTCGGGGATACCAGCAGAAGCGTGCGGGCAAAGGTCGAGCACGCGCGACGGATTAAACGAGCTGTGCAAGGTGGATGTCCGGTGTGCGCGCTGCCGGATGAGGCTGACTAGGTCAGGCGCAGGCTGAAGCAGAACAAGGTGGGTTTGGAGAAGAGTCGGCAGGTGGATACAGCCACCACTCGGATGTTTATATATATACCCCATTGTAAGATTATGTGCATTTATCCTCGAGAATTGGAAGTACAGACAGGTCACACGTTTACATGGTTCTATAGGTCTGAAGCGAATGGGTAGCCTTGGATGGCGCATACATAAGTTGAGTTGCCATGGTTTCATGACAATGCTGCCAGTCGGGCTTGACTGCTGGCTCTAGTGGTCGCCGAAGAATGGTCCCTTGGATCTCATGCAGTCCTGGGTGCCAGGACTGTCATTGAGCAGGACCAAAGGCTAGCGTGAGGCTCGTGGCATGGCCGGAGGGACGGTGGTTCGAACGGTAGAAATGGGAGACGGCGTCCTTGCGGCGTGTCTGGGGCAGCGTGGCAGTAGACAATACAGGTAACGTGTACCTCGCATGAGCAATGGGCAGTTGGATGTTATTGGAAAGGCTTCAAGCAGCACCCTTTGGCGGGAAAGCGCTCTCCTTGATGCTGCCAGACTTTCCGACTCTCACGTAGGTGAGGGGGCTCAGTGCAATCCATTCCCCCTTCCAGTTGCGTAGCTTTGTGAGCGATGCTTCGTTCTGCATGTCGGGAATCCAGAGGCCCGACTCGTACTCCTTCTGCTCCTGGTCCTGTTGCTGCTCGAGTAGAGTCTGTCTGGTGCTTTTGGGGCGTCCTGGGCGGCGCTCGGCTTTGAGCGTGGCCAGTGAATCATCTTCGCGGCGCAGGTATCTCGCAATGGCATCATGCACTTCGGCGTCGGTCAAGGGGCGTAGCGGGTCGGGTATCTCGCCTTGGAGGAAAAGGATACGGTTGACTGGATGAAGGGTCAGTCAGGATTGGGTGTGTTAGGTCGAAGCACGTGAAGGGGCACATACGGTAGACATCGTTTGCTTTCTCTCTCACGGCACCGAGACGTGCAACACGATCGTCTCTTGCGACAGCACTGCGCAGACGAAGAGCGTCGCGACTGTTTTCGTGCAAGGCCAGGGCACCTCCCTTCTTCTTGGACACCTGCTTTTGGACCTTTGCGAACTTGGACGGCATGGCGGTGTGTTTCTTGTATCGATGGATTATTTCTGTTTTTCTTTGCTCCAGGGCTACAACAGCGCTAAAGCCGAGAGACCGGACCCTGGCTGCATCGACCTGAAGGCTGAGAGCACTTCGCGGCAAGAAACTCCATCTCGAGCGGGTCGGCCCGAGGGCACGCCAGGAACGCGTCTGACCGCGCTTGTTCGGCGCCACCTGCATTGCACATGCCTGATCTCGTTCGACACCTCGAGGCCGCCATCGATTGAAATTTCTTCCGCCGTCCCCTCCGTACTTGCAGGGCATGGACACCTAGGCCATCATCCTGTCTCCTCAACCGGTGCTGCCATGGGCATCCAAGGTCTTCTTCCGCTGCTCAAGTCAATACATAAGCCATGCTCGCTGAAACACTTCTCCGGCCAAACATTGGCTGTTGACGCCTACGGCTGGCTACACCGTGGCACAATCGCGTGTGCCATTGACCTGGCCCAAGGCAAGCCCACCAGAAAGTGGCTGGACTTTGTAATGCACCGAGTTCGCATGCTTCAACACTTCAACGTTACCCCATATCTTGTCTTTGATGGCGACTACTTGCCTAGCAAATCCGGGACCGAGGTTGATCGCGCTGCACGTCGCAGAGAGAGCAAGATCAAAGGTCTGGAGTTCTTGCGCCTGGGAAAAGGCGCTCAGGCTCAGGCTGAGCTACAGAAGAGCATCGATGTGACTCCCGAAATGGCTCGCCAACTTATCGACGAACTGAAGAGACTCGATCTCCCCTACCTCGTCGCTCCCTACGAAGCAGACTCGCAGATGGTTTATTTGGAACGCCGTGGTCTGGTTCATGGCATCGTTTCTGAGGATTCCGACCTCCTGGTTTTCGGCGCGCGCTGTCTACTCACCAAGCTCGATCAGTACGGGGAATGTATCATGATTAACCGGGACGATTTCACCTCGTGTCGCGATATCAGTCTCGTCGGCTGGTCCGATGCCGACTTCAGGCTCATGGCCATATTGAATGGTTGTGATTATCTGGCCGGAATCGAGAAGATGGGCCTCAAGACTGCACATCGCATGATTCGCAAGCACAAGACACTTGATCGCATTATTCGCTCTGCCCAGTTCGAAGGCAAGATCAAGGTACCTCCTGGCTATCTGGACGCTTTTGCTAGAGCAGAAGCCACTTTTTTGTATCAATGGGTCTATTGCCCTCAGTCTCGTGGTTTGGTCAACTTTAGCGAACCCGCTTCCGACATCGACCTCGCTCAATTTCCATGCATTGGCAAGCATGTCGAAGCCAGCATTGCAACTGCTGTGGCTGTTGGTGATCTGCATCCTCACACCAAGCAACCTCTCTGTCCGTCGAGGCTACCACGGAACCCATTCCAGCCTAATTCTCGCAATCGCGCCCAGGTTCTTCAGACGCCGGACCTGAAGAAACACAAGTCCATTGACAGTTTCTTCAAACCCCAGCGTACACCCTTGGCTGAGCTCGATCCAAACAGCTTCACTCCCTCGCCCAGTCAACAATGCCTCTTGCAGCGAAGTCCGGCTTCCTGGTCCGCTGAGCCCACCCGCCGTCCATCACTACTTTCACGCACAGCATCTGCCGTACAGGCTCCACCACAGGCCTTGCGGTCCTTCACCGATGTACTTCAGCCCAGACCCAATTCGCCGAAACGTCAACGACTGTGCTCGGATGGCTTTTACACGCCACCCGTGTCGACACCCGCCGAGCGTGTAGAATCTGGGACGAGCAAGTTTTTCAAGCTCGGCAAAGCTCGCAAAAGCCCTACGCCTCAAAAAGCAAACAGCAGCACCTCGAAAGATGAATTCAACCTGTGGTCTGACGACTCGGTCGAGCAGGCCATGAATTCCTTGCCGGACACTGCGGTCTCGGGCGCAGCAAGACCATCAAGGAAGCTATCAATTTTTGAGGACACTAAAACATCAGCCCCATACACTGTAAAGGATGAGACGCCTTTCACATCTGGCCTGGCAAGCGAGATGCAGTCGTTACGGACCAGGTTCTCTTACCAGTCTACTGCCGCCAATGATGATGATGCGACAGTCTCGTCTTCGACCCTCAAGGACTCGAAGCGGAAAAGAAGTGTGACAGAAGGCATAGTCCTTTGTTCATCGCCAGTGAGGGAGCTGAACAGCAGCAAAGTCCCGCAATGTGAGGATACGAGTGATGATATCAACGAGGCGGATTGGCTCGCTGCAGAGTCGCAACCCCTGAGTCGTGGCTCGGGAGCCAACACGCAATCCAGTGGCGGAAGCAAGCCACACTTCTCGCAGGGCAGCGAAGATCTGCTAGTGCCGGATAGTGAAGGGGAGGAAGAAGACGAAGAGGAGCAAGGCACACCTCGCAGGCCCAGCTTTCCTCTCAATCTCGAGAGATTTGCATTTGCGGGCTGAGCGTACTTTTGATCGGCGTGTAGTGTTTTGAAGTTTGGTTGGACGGCAAGAGTCAAATTAGCATCTGCATTTGTAGCGTGGTTAGCATTCATTGAGTCACGCATGCATAGCTCGGAGTTATGGTTTCAAAATCTCAAATCACGGACTTGTATGTACATATTCTTGAATGTGACTTGGTACATCACCTAGACGAGCAGCACATACTAATCGCTCGGTTTTTGACTTCATTGGCAGTGATATGCTGCTGATTGACTGGCATCATCTCATGCTACCAACTGAAAGGTCGAACTATTGCCAGACCAGAGCGAGACAATCCATCATGCTTGTCCCACATGATCCAAGCCTTTCACGTATGCGGACAACCCATTGTGAGAGTCCTACAACAGCAATCTCGCTCAAAATAAGCATCACCGACCTCTGAACGCTCAATAGATACTCGATACATAATAAACGATGATAAACAGCAGTAGGGGCATGATGCAGGAGGACTAATCTCTCAGCACTCTTGTCCGCGGTATGACCCTGACCCTGACCCTGAATTCGATTCCCAATTCCATCATTCATCGCGTGTACGAACGACTCAAACAGCGAGCCTTTCTGGAGGGTTGACGTTGAGAGACTCTGACCTGTATACCCGCTGTGCACACAGATACGGTCAGTGATTTGAGAGTACCGGGGAGCTGGCAATGAGCAGATCCGCATGCACGACGCCGGGACCTAGGACAGCATCTTCTCATCCTGCTTGGAAAACTTTACAGATCTACAACATGAAGTCAAGAGGGTCAAGGACAAATCAAGGACTCGCCGACGCAGCGTTTGTATTCTGGTCCGAAAGTGAAGGCTTACGTCTCAGTACTCCGCATCGAACCCATATTACCAGAAGGGAGAGAGACGGAACGATCGGTTCGCACGAGATTGTAGTTCAAGAGCAATTGACTTCCAGAAGCAACACATCCTGTAGTTGTAAGACTAGAATACACGCGATTTCATTTCTCGTTTCGCACGGTCAAGCTAGAAGAGGTGGTACCTCGTGTATGCATGGGCTCCGCAGCCGATGACAATGGACCAATCACTTGCCAGATTCAAAATAGAACTTTCCAAGGTCGCGGCCAGAACTATGAGAGGGGTCCGGTGATTCAAGACCTTTTTGGCCGCCTTCAGGACCAAGACGTTCGCGAATGATGCGCTCAGCCGTCTCAGCACCGCTGTCAAGGGTTCTACGGTCGACCATTTGGACGCCTTGTTCGTCTGTCTGGGCTTGAGCACTGACGGGAGTGAGGCTGGTGTCTCGCTGGAAAGGGTGAGACAGAGACGAGGCGGTGGGGGTGCTCTTTGATACACTGGGACTTCCAACGGCACTGTAGCGAGCAGGAGTACGAGCACCTTCTCCGAAGCCAACAAGGCTGTTTGTATCGGAAGCAGCACCAACACTAGATGTATCCATGTCCATGTCCTGGCTTTCGCTCATCTTGTCGTGATCAAAGACATCGCCTTCACTGGCCCAGGTGGTTCGGCCGCCGACACTACCAGTCGCTGAAGCCGAGCCTACAGTGCTGCGCTCACGGCCCAAGACAGGGTTTCCTTGGGAATCAAAGTAACCACTGGTGGCACCTGAAGGATGAGCAGCAAGGCCGGGTGTCAGGTTGGAGGTTGGAGTCGGATTACGAGCAGTCGTCACGCGCTCGAGGCCAGCAAGGCGTGAGATGCGGTCAGCGCGTTCGGCATCTAGAGTGCCAGATGTGGGAGCTTGAGAGTGGTGTGAATGGGGCAGGTGGCCGCGATGACCGTCTTTGATAGCGACACTTGAGCTTGAATTAGCTGCTTGTCTTGAAGGACCATGACGCCTGCCTTCGGACCGGAGCTTAGGGGCAGAGGGAAAACGGCGTATACTAACGTGGACAGCTCTGACATGGAAGTCGTGGTAGAATTGGGAGTACCAGGCGCATCCGACGGTGTCATGGGGTCTGTGTTTGGAGGAGGTAGGTTGATGAGAGTTGGATGAGGTGCTGTCGACATGGTGTCGGTGTATGTGTGATGCTGGCAAGGAGTTGTTTGGACAGCACGCAGTTTGAGAAGCAAGATCTGAAGCCGATGCGAGTGACAGGATCTTGCAAGGTCAAATGGAGCAGAAGTCACTCGCAAACTAAGAAGACGGCCAGGGTTCGAACGACCCCACGTTTTCGATTGTTTCAGGGTTTCCCCACACACGTCATGCTTGGCGTAGAAACCTTCAGGCCCTTACGAGTAGGTACTGATCCGCATCCTTTGTACGCGAGGCCTCTATAGCATGAGACTTTACTACAACACATCGCAAGGGCTAGTCCTCACAGCTAGATGAACTATGGTTTGAGTGGAATAGCTGATTTCATTATTTTCGCCTCTTGCAGCACACTTACAACATCTTTCTTGTTCTTGATCTTTCCATAATATACACATCTGAGTCTTCCCACCAGTCACGCTTTACGAGACAAAAGTCTTCATGTCTGCAACTTTGTTAGTGTGCCGTCAACGCTTGACAACAACCGATAGAGACTTACTGTTCAACCACCCAATGTACTCCTTCTGCTCCTTCAGGTCAATGTACTCGGGGATAAAGAGGGCCATCTGTGTGTTGATGCCTCTCTCCTCGAGGAAACGCTCCAGGAGCATCTGAAGGTCCTCGTCAAGCTGGCCGAAGGGAGGTCCGGTGTAAAGGCTTCTTCTTGCCCAATCCTTCTCGGCTGTCTTGGCCTCGGCCAACTCGGCAGTGGGGAAGTGGTAGACATTCTCGATGCTGATCTCCCCGTCCTGGGCGAGACACTCGATGGCGAGTGCTCCCTTGCCCTCACGTGTTACCGTGACCTGGACACGAACAGGGAAGCTGGCCGAGTTGTCCTCCTCATCTTGCAGCTCAGGTCTGTCGGCTGGGGCAATCTCGTCCTCGGGGGCGACACGGATGTTGCCGCCAGACGTGCGGCCCTGGTTCACGGCACCCTTGGTGTTGGCACCTCCGGACTGACCGTCCATGTCGAGGGCACCGTCCTCGTCGCCGTACAGAGCCGGGTCTTCGGCATCGGCTTCCTCGTCGTAGGTGTTGAAGTCGGCGATGGAGAAAGTAACCTTGATGCTGTGCATGAATGTCAGCAAGCTGGCGGCGCATCGTCTATGTTGGAACGACGGACTTCTCGTCTCCGTATGATCTCGTGAGGTGGACCTCTTCTTGGCCTGACTTGTCCTCGATCTTGAATTCGCTGTTGTCGATGTATTCTTGGCAGTTGTAGCGGTAGCTGTCGTCGGCTTGCTGCTCCTTCTCGAGGGCAATCTCGGAGTTCAACTTGGCAGCAAGTTCCTGAGTCGTGGCATCTGCAAGCGAGGTGAGCAGCTGGCGATATGCGACACTGCGACAAGACAAGACGCACCTTGACGACGGGACAGAGAGGTGGAGAAATGGGCAGCGGCTCTGATGGCGGCAAAGGCGGGAGAAGTTTGCTGAGTGGTGCGAATAGACTGGCGAGCAGCAGTGGAGCTCAAGCGAGCAAGACCGCGGGGCAGCTGGCGGGAAAGTTGGCGCAAGGAGAGCATTGTGGCGTGGACGGGCGTTATGGGAAAGTTATGGCAGTCTGGGAGGCAGAGCGGCGTCTTCGAAAAAGCGCGGTCTTGCAGGTTTGGAGCTTCGATCTCTCGGGAGCCGTGCGCCCCGCGTTCGGCGGGCGCAAATGGCAATGCCCACAGCGGTGATTGCCAATGCTTGCGTCCAGCTTTGAGTCCTCACATCGACTTCCCGAACAAGGCCGGTCCTTCTGCATCATGAGCGCCGCCGCGCCTGTTGAGAAGAAGAAGAAGCCTTCGGCCCTGCGCTCCATCATTGCTGGTTCCAGCGCTGGTGCCGTCGAGATCGCCATCACTTATCCCGCCGAATTCGCAAAGACTCGATCGCAACTCAATCGCCGTCTCGCCGCAGGCAAGAAGCTACCATGGCCGCCGTTCGGTAGTCAATGGTATGCTGGATGTACCACTCTTATCATCGGCAACTCCATCAAGGCTGGCGTCCGTTTCGTCGCTTTCGATGCATACAAGAACATGCTGTCAAGTCCCGACGGCACTATCAGCGGCCCTGCTACCGTCATTGCTGGCTTCGGTGCCGGTGTCACCGAGAGTTTGATGGCCGTCACCCCCTTCGAGAGCATCAAGACTCAGTTGATCGACGACCGCAAGGCTGCTCAACCCAGGATGAAGGGCTTCCTACACGGTAGCCGGCTGATCGCCCACGAACAGGGCCTGCGTGGTTTCTTCAAGGGCTTTGTACCTACCACAGCAAGGCAAGCTGCAAACTCGGCCGTCAGATTCAGCAGTTATACCAGTTTGAGGCAGTTGGCTCAGAGCTATGCCGCCCCCGGTGAGAAGCTTGGTGCTCTGAGCACCTTTGGTATTGGTGGTGTCGCTGGAATCATCACAGTGTACGTGCCCAGCACCGCTCATCCTATACAGCAGCTGATCCCTGTTTCAGATACGTTACTATGCCTTTGGACACGGTCAAGACAAGAATGCAATCCATTGAAGCAAAGAGCGAGTACAAGAACAGCTTCAATTGTGCCGCGCGTGTTGTCAGAGAGGAAGGTTTTCTCACCCTCTGGTCTGGTGCTGTGCCCAGACTTGGTCGTCTCATCCTGAGCGGTGGTATAGTCTTTACCATGTACGTTGTTCAACTCGCTTACAGTTTCCTGACGCTGACTCTGCTTGTCTAGGTACGAGAAGACCATGGATTTGCTTGACAGATTAGACCCAGAGAAGAAATACCTCTAAGCTCAATGATGCATTCGAAGCTTGGAGACATTAGCCTTATACCATGTATAAAAAGATGAATGAGCTATTACGAAACGGCCGCCAGCCTTTTCCTGGCACTTCAATGCACCGCTACACCCATGTGGCAGCAGCCAAGACCGCCCGTTTTCTGTTGCATTTCACCATCCCAACTGTGCTGTAGAGTAGTACTCTGTTGCTGCCAAGTCGTGTCTTTTGAGGCCCGAATGGGTCGAGGGCCAGCCCAACGCCTGGTCGCATGTCGCTACGGTGCGGGCCGTCCGAGGGTCGCAGCTTCGGGTTTCCAGGGATTAGGTTCAATAAAGCACACACAAGACACAAGACGGGTCTCTCACGCACTGCATTTGCACTTGTGGAGGCAAGAAATGGAAAGCAAACAGAGGCGAGGCACTCAGGGCGTCGAACAATATGATCACGTTGTACCAAACACGATCGAGTAAGCAGTAGTGTCGGAGCAGAGGAGAGCCATGAGCGAAGATCGTGGAGGTGGTCAAACATGAGCAGAGCACGCTCCACCATGCAGAGCACCCACGCCGTCTGGACTGGAACCGCCTTAGCTCAAGGAATTATAGTTTGGAAAAAACACCAGGACGTTGAACCGGCCGCCTTCCGTTTGTCACCTGACCCAAGCTAACTCTCTTGTTTCTTTCTCTCCTCTCTACGTTATCTATCAGGGCCCTGTAGTGTGTGCTACCCGCGACTGACAGACCGCAATCGATATCTTGCTATTTCTGCGCATTTGAATATTAGGTGGCGTTAAAGAATGGCAGATGCCATCTATAATCCACCTTCGAAAGCTCCTACGGCCGAAAGAACCCGCCAGCCAAAGAACAGGCCGGCCGACCTCCCGCAAGGACAACAGAAAATCCGCCGCCGCAATAGGACTATCGCATCATGTAAGGGACTGATCGTTTGTGCTCTGAACCCCTCGGTCTGACTCTCTCCAGGCCTAAGTTGTCGCCAGCGCAAATTAAAATGCGACAAACAAGTGCCGTGTGGTAATTGCCAGCGGTTCCAGAGGGATTGTCTGTACATTGCTCCCGCTCTGGATACTGCTGCGCAGCAGAAGTTGGCCGAGATAAAAGACCGCCTTGGTGATCTTGAGGAGACTCTTGAGCGAGATGTCGCTCGTCGCGCGGCTGCCACATCTGGATCCGATCGCTCTTCCGTTATTCCAAAGATTGAAGCTGAAGACGATGATTATGAAGGTCTGTCGGCAGACGATGATCAGGATCCTGAGCCTTCTCCTTTGGGCATGTTTGACCAAGTGTACGACAATGATGCCGATGATGGACTGATGGATCTTGGTATTCAACTGGGCAAGCTGCGAATGTCAGATCGTGTTGGTGGCTTAGGTATGTGGTATTATTTGTTTACTTTGAACACTTAAAGCTTACTCGTCCTTAGTGCGACCCAAGATGTCCGACGAGGTAGGATGAAGACATCTGAGATCATGCTATCATAAATACTGACTGTGTAACCAGCTAAATGCTAAGCTGCGCAGCGCGAACCACAAGAGCCAGAACCTTTACTGTCAGCGTCATGGCTATAGTGACCCGACTGTGCCATGGCAGCCAGGGGCATTATCGCAAGATGATTTCCTCAGCCCTGGACCGGATTTCATCGTTCCCTCATCGAATTTGTTCTTCCCGGATCCTATAACGACTTATTTCCTTCCACCACGACATGTTGCTGATCGTCTTATTACACAGTACCTCAACGCTGTCCACCCAGTTGCTCGTCTTATCCATCAGCCTTCATTTGAGAGGCAGTACACAACCTTCTGGGGCAATATTGGCAATGGCACCATTACACCAGCGCCCATCCAGGCCATCCTCTTCGCCGCAATGTTTTCGGCGGCTGTGAGCTTACCAGACGACTCAGCTGCATCCTTTTCCGAGATGCCTAAGCATTCACTTGTAGACAGACTTCGCGAGATGACCGAGTTCATGCTCTCCAGAGCAAATCTCTTACGCACAACAAAGATCGATACCATGCAAGCTTTTATCATTTACATGGTAAGACAGACTGCTTCGGCCTAGTGGAATATTTTTGCTAACCAAATAAGCTTCCTCTATGTCGGACAGAGATCTCGCGAGCGCATTCAGCTTTAGTTGGCACAGCTATCCGTCTTGCCCAATGCATGGGACTCCACCGGGATGGAACCACTTTCGGCTTGAATGCTGTAGACACGCATGTTCGAAGGTTGATATGGTACCAGATCTGCTTCTTGGATGTACGAACATGCGAGGCCACCGGACCTCGTCCTCAGATTCGCAAAGAGGAATACGATACCAAGCTGCCTCTCAACGTCAACGATACGGATCTCATGTTGGCATCCCCACCAACGGATGATCTTCCTTACTGGACTGATATGACCTTGTCCAAGCTCAAGTTTGAGTGCTACGAGCTTATACGCCAACTTTGGGTGGATATGCAGCGCATGGACCAGAAGAAACTGTCTTTGACGTCTGTTTTGAACAGGATCAAGAGGTTCAGGGCTACGACCGAAGCCAAATATTCACCCTTGGTTCAAGGCAACACGCCAAAGCAGATTCTCGCAAAGCAAATGTATCGCGCTTCGAGCAACAGAGCTCTGGTTGTCATCTTGCAACGATACGCTGTGGGAACGAACTATCCTATGCCCGAGAGACTTCGCAATTTGCTCATTGAGGCATGTATGGGGACTGTCGAAGCAGGAGTCGCCATGGAGACTCGACCCGAACTGGCAACTTGGTCTTGGTACCGCGGTGCTATTCTGCAGTACCACGCTGCTGTACTACTGGTTTTCGAGGTTTATGCTAGACCTGACATGCCCGAGGCCGCACGCATCTGGAGCAGTCTTGATTACATATTCGAAACACCGTCTCAGTCTTCCATGACGGATAAAGCAGAGGGGATCATTATAACGCTCCGGGATCGCCTAGAGAAATACCACAGCGTGCGGAAGCTGCGTGCAACAGCTGATGTTGAAAGTCAATCTAGCCCAGGACCATCGACGAGCTCACAGTTGAATACGCCAGTCACAGCTCCTCATATAACCCGCTCTGCTCAGACATTCACGACTCCCACAATGGTATACTCACAATTGCCTCATGGCGAACAGGGACCTGCTTCAGATGCCAGTGGTAGCCACACAGGTGTCAATCGTGATTCGTCGGCCGACCCAGGAATGGAGGCCGTGGCCAACATGGATTGGGTAAGTCATCATTCCTTGAAAAGACACAATAATCAATCCGTTTTGCTAACCAGGAACACCAGAATGAGTGGGACAAATACTTCGCTCCTAATGCGGAATTGGGCACGATCGGAGCGATGGGCGACTTCAGCCTCGGCAACTTCAATCCTCACCAAGCGTATTTTTCGCTTCCGAGAGCCGACGGACATCAACGATGAAACCAGGATAGGATATTAGAAATAATAAATCGTATGCATCGAAGCGGCAAAGCAAAGACAGCCTTTTAGCCAGTAGTCTGGAATATTGTGTGGTGTATTTCGGATCCACGCGCCCCTCTCAAGAATTCGAGACCTCTTCGGAAAGCATCAGTCTGTTTGAACGCCAAATGAGCGTCTATGCTGGACCATCCAATGGCAAGGATACACGCCTTCCCCTTGAAGCCTTCGCCGAGGCATTCGTGCTCGACATCCTCAATGCACCAGGAGTAGGAAATGCCCAAGAAACCTTCTGTGTGATCTCTAAGGATATCGGCAAATGATCCCACGTTATCGTAAAAGGACTGTGTCTTTTCTGTCAGAAAGATAGTCGCCAGCTCAGTCACGGGAGCAAACACTGCTGCGGCCAGGTCATCGGCCGCGCTCTTGAGTTCGAAATGGACAAGTTGAGGTTGTCCTGCCAAAAGCGGGCTCAAAGTGTCTAGGAATGGTTGATATTGCGGTGAATCCATGAAATTCTTGTGTGACTGGACAGAGTCCCACACTACTCGGCTTGCACATCAGTCATCGGCTCTTCGTCGATATGGGTGCTTGATAGTGCATACCAACAAGTAGTTGTACTATATTTGGGCTCTCATGTTCTTGCCCCGAGTAGAGAGTCTGACATCCTTTCTGTCTTGAGATGGTGTCCAGCATACCCCGCCAGATACGAGCTGCCTCGCTACCTCTATCGAAAACGTTCGAGCCAGCTTTGATTTTGATCGTCGCAACTTCGACAGCCTGCATTTCTGGGACTGGTAGGTAGATCCCTCTTGCTCTGTACAAACTTGGAGAACCGTACCGAGGCGTGTAGTTGGAAAGCAGGAAAGTGGTGATGAGAATTGATCGACAAGAAAGCGTGGGGTTCTAGCCATCATGCCCTCGGTTATTTCTGATGATCGTCAATACATACTCGGTTCGAACATCCTTGCACTCAACCCAATCAAGCTCTCAGACAATGTTAGCGGACTCATCCCGTACTCCAAGAGACGACGTCTTGATGCTTCAACACAATGGAGCCGCACCTTGCAGTGGTTTTATGCAATGCCAAGACGAGTTCGTTCCAGCACATCCATGTGAACCCTGCCACCTTGTCTACAGTGTTCTTGATCTTCTAGCAAGACTGTGCAAGTCAAGTCACCCTGTGAAATCGTCCTTCCAGCGTATGAAAGGCCTGGTACGGATGAGCAAGTCAGACGTCTCGAGCTCTTCCGGCTGCTGGTGGGATTCGAAGTGTGCAAGAGGCACTGGACACGAATCATGGCGCTAGCTGCTTTGAGCTAAATCGCTCTCTCGTTTGTTCTCGCGCTCTCTATCGAGGGGACGAGTGCTCTGCGAGAGCTCGTGACCCTTCAAAGCTTGATCGTCGGGAGCAAGTTGCAATCACATTTCTTTTCTTGTTGAATCGATTGCATGTGTTTGGGTGTATGGGCGTTCGGACAGCGATTCGATAGGCTCTTGCAGGACAGGCGCGTCGAGATGTCAGCGGAAGCAAGGATTGAGCAGCAGCAGCAGCAGCAGCAGCAGATTCAAGATGCAGTCGACATTGACATGAACGTGATACTATTGAAAATCACGTACTATAGTGGTAATCATCACACCCTGACAACAAGTAAGACAAGAACCGCTGTGCTTGATGTGCGCCATGGGCTTGAGGTGCTTTGAGGTTACCCGAGCATGTCTCAATCATTTGTATCGACAGATGGCGCTCATGGCGGTGACAGCAACCATTGAGTTATTCACTTCTTATTTGTTAGAATGACGCGCAGGCCTTGACATGGTATCACGATTGTCTTCTGGAAATTGTGGTTTTGTTTGATTTTGTGTTCAGGCGAGAAGACGCCCAAGTATGCGCAAGATGATCGTGACCTTGAAAGTAGCATCGAGACTAGCGGGAGACAACAGTGTCTAGAAAGCGTGTAATTACAGAGTGGGTATCATGAATGGGATTTTTGGAGTCCGCAAGGCGAATTGATGATGAAGGCACATGCCAATGTGGGGTGGGTATGCTTCAGCAAAGCGACGAATCTGGCCGGAACTCAGGGCTTGATTCGATTAGGAAGAGTCGGATTGTACAGTTTGCTACCAGGCGCGTTAGTAGACGTGGGAGACAGGGGGCGGTGACAGCAAAGCGAAATCGGAACGAGACTTACGACCATCCAGTCCATGCCCTCTGAAACTCCCCTGCCATCAATGGCACTGCAGGCAACGATTGTCCAGTTTCTATCTTTGAGCTCGCCTAAACGCAGAGCTTCACTGATGTCCCCAGCGCCTTTGGCACCCGGTTGATCCTGTTTGTTCGCAAATACCAATAATGCGGCATCACGGAGCTCCTCCTCATTCAACATGGCTGATAGTTCGTCGGCAGCGGTGGAGAGTCGGTCGACGTCAGTCGAGTCAATGACGAAGATGACGGCGGCTGTGTTGGCGTAGTAACATCTCCAGTACGGGCGGATGGACGTCTGACCTCCCAAATCCTAGCTAGTGTGTCAGATAACGAACAGACAGAGAAAGTCGAAGAGCCGTGGTTTCGCATACCCAGACATTGAAGTTGAGGTTCTTGTAGTTGACCGACTCGACGTTGAAGCCTATGGTGGGAATGGTCGTTACGACTTCGCCAATCTGTCGGAAAGAGTCAGTCAGAGCGGTGCATGGGAACGGCATCAGGAGCAAACGCACCTTGAGTCTGTAGAGAAGTGTTGTCTTTCCGGCGTTGTCCTAGCAAGGGGATGCTGTTAGCTTTGCTCTTCCCGTAGCCATGTTGCCATGAACACGTACCAGGCCCAAAATCAATATCCTGATCTCTTTCTTTGCCCATACGAGCCGGGACAATGTTGACAAGTAACCCCCCATGCTGTGCGGTTGTGCGTGCTGCTTCTTGTTGGTGCTCGCCTCCTTGTTGCGCTCGGCGTGCTCTTTTGTCGTCTGCTTCCGGTGTCTGGCGCAAGCTTCCTGAGTTTGTTGCTTTGGCGTGCAAATCGACTGGCGATATTCTAGTAGGTTGCGCAGGCCAAGGGTACCTCGTCGCAAAGGGGTTGATGGGTTGTTGTTTACAGAGGGACAAATGTGCACCAACGTCTCCGTGATCCGAAACGTGAACTAATCTGGCACTGACGTCGCCGCTTCAAACAAAACAAACGCATTTGACTGCTTTATTTCCCAAGGCGATTAATACTACTGTAGAGACAAGTTTTCTCGCTTTGCATATTATCTACATTTCCTCACTTAGGTCGCGTCTCGACACCGGCATACTCTCTGCCCGCAATGTAATCCAGTGTCCGCTGGAAATGTCTTCTTGGGTTGTCGAGACTGGAGCTGTTTTCGTTGGTGTTGAGGTTCGAGTGGATGAGCTCAATCAATCCATTGAGGTATTTCGTCGTTACCTATCATAGTCAGTGTCTGTGTCATCGACTTTTGCTCATTGGCCACTTACAGCATCATTCTCCTGGTCAAAGTAATAGACATAACGGTTGAGAATCTCGACGAATAGTTCTACTGAGACTGCCGTATCCATGCAGGCGTCGGCGACACGCAGGGCACGCTGCAGACATTCGAGCACTCTCTTGCCATCGCGATAGAGCTGCTTCATCGTTAGTCTGAGCTTCGAATCCAATTCGTACCAACCACTTACCTCTTTGCCTTCCTTGTTCTCCTTGCTCTCCTCGCTTTCTTCTGCATTCTTCTCCACAGACCACCAAAGATGACTGGCCAAATATACAGCACGACATTGATCAGGCTTCTTGAGCAATTTACTGCCATGAAGCGCGCACTTTGTAATGAGCGTATCGTAGTTCTCTCTGCTGAAGTTACGCGCGCCACTAAGGCTCTGCGCAATAACGCAAATGGCCTGGAACTGAGCTCTTGAGTCGCTGATGCTCTCTTCATAGACGGTAAAGGCTTGCGCAAAGAACTCGTACGAGACTTCCTCAAAACCACACTGGTCCGCCACGGAACCACACGAAATGAAAAGCCTCAACGCGAGATCTGGAACGCCCGGCGTAGACACTCTTGTGTATAGTGTGGAGATGAGAGTATGACAGAACTTGTAGAGCGCAGAAGACTGACTCGACCAATCGTCTTGAAGATGTTCACGGGCCTTGAAGCGGCGCGCAAGCTTGAGTGATGCGGTAATCAACGCAGGGGTGGTGTACTTGATGCGCTCACTACCTTGAGCATACGCATCGCGTGTGAGCTGGAGCAACTACAAATACTGTTAGTTACCGCGAATGTCAAATCGTGCAGTAGACCTACTTTGAACTGAGTATTGCAATCCTCGCCACGGATGAGATGTACCAGGCGCGCAAGCCATCCTTGCTCTTCCACAGTCTCATCAGTCTCTGCAGCGGCTCTTCGTACAGGCCCACCGGGGTATCCAGAAGGTTGTTGCATTCCTTCCTTGATCAAAACCTTGACAATCTCTAGCACTCCCTGTAGATTTTCGGGGGTCGATATCCCGGTCTCGTTCCTCAACAGGCTCCGTGCAACTTCTCCAGCAACTGATCGGCGGGTGGGATATGGCTGAGCATGGAGAAGAGGTATGAAGCTCGGAATGGCAAGAGCTGTAAAGAGGGAGACATAAGTCTTCACAGGCGCGAGAAGCAAATTCAACAAATTTGCCTGAGAAGCTTGAGAATGGAGATCAGCCGAATTCGCGAACCTCGAGACTTCCTTGTTGGCGTATTGGAAGACCTGGTCGACATACTCTAGTCGATCGGGGTAGATATTCAAAGCAAGATTGATGAGTGAGACCAGAAGCGCAGTGATGTCCTGAATTGGCAGCCTTTGCATGCTGACAAGATGGATGACCTGCTCGTGGAACACCTCAAAGAGACGTACGTTATCCGGGATACCTCGTTGCTTCTTAGATTCACCGTCGATTTCTGCTAGCTCGGTCTTGCTCGCGTCCTCTGCAAGAGTCTCTGGTGCAGCCTCGCTCGAAGCCTCATCTCCAGGTTTCGAATCTCCGTTTTGATGCGTGGTTTGGTCATCGGTCGGGGCCGAAGTGGCGTCTGAGGCGAGTTTCATCTTTTCGAGCAACTTTGCAGTGGCTTCTGTTTCGGCCTTCTCGCGATCTTCGGGGGCATCGGATTCGGATTCGCGAGCGGCATAGGCAGCAAGACGGTCCATCAGGCCAATAACAATGGCCTTGACGTTGACATGAGGGTTCAGACGGGCGGTGGCAGAGAGGAACTGATCAAGGGTATGCAGATGAAACTCGTCAGGGAAGACCTGAGTGATGACCTCGAGCAGATACTCTTGAGCAAGCACATCGCGACACTGGACGACCTGCTCAAGCAAGGGCTGGAGGATAGACGACTTGTAGGCTTCAAGGTCAACCAGTTGGCTAAGGCGGACCAAATTGCTACCAACAAGCAATTGCAGCTCTTGACGTTCTTTGGTGCGTTGTTCACGCTCTCTTGAATGGCCCTGGTGTTGCAGCCTGACCCAGAGCTTGTTCATCTCGACAAAGTTGGTAAGGACAAAGTTGACCGAGTCCTGGAGGTTGCCCTCTGGGCCTTGGCCAGGCCCGGTAGGCAAGTAGTCTCTAGCTTGACCACTCAAGTAGTAGCGTAGGAAGAGACCACGGATAGGATGTTGAACACCTCTGCTCATTTCCATCATATCCTTCATGATCTCCTTGACAGGGGCGTCCTCGATTCCCATGTAGACGGTGCCGACGGTGATCATGAGGTATAGACGCGGGACGATGTTGCCGGCATATTGAACGAGTTCATACAGGTCGGCGAGATGGTTGGTGGGGTGAGAATCGCGCAGGTAGACGGCGAGATGGCGCAGGGCATCGAAGACGGACATGTACAGCTCGTAGTACTGCTTGGGGCCGAGGCTCGAGGTGCGTAGTTCGGATACGAGGGTAGAGCTACAACAAGAGTCAACATCGGTGTGGGCAAGCTGAAGTGCGGTGCGATACGTGCCTGCATTTGAGAGCATCCATGAGCTTGCCCGGCGTGTCCAGGCAGCGGCGCATCAAGACGGTCTGCTGGCGCACGACGGTCAGAGCATCTTCCAGTAGGCGCGCTTGGTCCTCGACCAGCGGCGGTGATGCCATTTTCAAGTATGGATCGTGAGGTCTGGTTTGAACGGCGGCGCAATCACTTCCACTGTTGTCGCATGACGACGCTATGCCAGACCTCCGCGTCCAGCGTCCAGCGTGTTGTTGCTCCGCCCGCACGGTCCGCTCTCCTTCCGCCTTCCGCCTCGGTCTCCACTGTCCACTGTCCAGCCACTCCACCGCCCAGCTTCGACAGCTTCCCCCGCTGGCAACTGTTTGGAAATCTTTCACCTTCATGAACATTGTTGATTGCAGCAGTACGCAGTACCCTGTACTCGACGTGATCGAATTGATGAATCTTGTCTCATTACTATGTATTATTACTCTACTATCATATGTTTATCATTATCACCACACGCTTTCCAGAAGTCGTGCGCGCCATGCTCCCTGCTGTCTGTTCCATCTCTTTTCCCTAGAACCTCGACCTAATGCGAGGTACCGTTCCAGTGATGTCCTGCTGCGCTTGGTGCCAGAGTAGGGTAGTTCTTGATCACGTACGACGTATGCCACATCCCATTGTCGTAATATGATTCTGACTTTGTGGATGTTGCTGCTGCAGGAACCACTGTCTGCGTCTGCACCACGACCAATGTCGACACCGGTGCTTCGGACGACGACCATGCCATGCTGGTGCTGCTCGCCGAACTTGTCGTCTGAGCGCCGCCAGATAGAGTCACTGTGACATAATCTGTGCTGAGTGCTCCTCCGGTCACTTCGTACACCACAGAGTTGATCGATACTTGTGGCGTCGCCGTCATGCTACCTGTCGACAAGACATGGCTCGTTGCTGTGCTGCTCTTGACTGTATGGGTCGCTGAATCTTGTCCAGATGGTAGGGTTGACTTTGTTGAGGACTGAATCTCTGAAGATGTTGACGAAGATGGTGTCGCTGAGGATATCGCTGTTGCTGAAGGCGACGCTTGCGAAGATGGCGAAGATGGAGAAGATGATGGTGATGATGATTGTGATGTCGAGGATGGTGGAGAGGATGATAGCGACAAGGCAGATTTCGAAGGTTGTACTGGTGTCGAGGACGCTGTGGAGCGAAGGCTCGATGTTGTGGGAACAGCAGTCGACACTTCAGTCACAGTCTTGACTGACACTGTGGTGGGTGCGAGTGACGACTCGGTCACAGTCTTGTATACAGTCTGCGATACAGTCGTAGGTGCCTCTGACTCTACAACAGTAGATACTACGGTTGTTTGTGCTGCCGCAGTGCTTGTCGGTGCAGAACCGCCGTCGACGTTGACCACTGCATAACTCACTGCAGGTCTTGGGAGAGCATGGATGCCAGTAGCAAGGCATGCAAAAGCAAGTGCGACCGAACGCATTATTACTCTTTGGGGAGTGTGATGAAGGGTGTGGTTTGGAGTGAGAGAGAAGAAAAGCGGAGGGAAGTCTTGAGGGTGGGTGGGTTGATCGTGCGGGAGACGACGAAGAGGACAGAAGAGGCAGGGCAGAGATTCAAATCTGAAAACTTAGCTTGGTTGGAGTGTATGATCAAGTGGGTCTGCATGCTAGCCTGCTGATGACTGCTTTAATATGTTGGTGGGCATAGAGATGGCTGGTATCTTGGTGGCTGGGAGGAGGTTGGGTGGCCGTTGGAAACAAATGCCATGGAAACCGAGCAACATTCCAACTGGCTTGGCCTTCAATACGCCGTGGACGTTACACCGTCCGGCATATCGTTCACAGCAAGAGACAAAGACGACATTGTCGTTGCCATGATAAAGGTAGTCATGCTACGTAGTTGAGCGTAGATCGAGTTCTCTTCTTCCAGGGTACACACGACGCCAGCGGTGCTTGGGCCGCATGAGCCACTGACCGACTTCCACCAAATTGCATACTGTATTTTGGACGTCGTTTTTCGAGGCTTGGATGATATCGAAATTTCCGCGTCTGTCTGCATTTTGGTTCTTTCTACAAATACTGGTATTTACATATCTACTCTCTCACGATCAAACTTGCCATTCCCATGCCAGTTCCAATACACATTGAGATGACGCCGATCTCTTGACCTTGTCTCTCCATCTCTGGCAGAAGAGTTGCAAGTTGTCTGGCTCCTGTAGCACCCAGAGGGTGACCCAAGGCGATTGCGCCTCCCTTGGGGTTCACCTTGTCTTCGGAGATGCCGAGTGTTCGGATACAGTGAATCGCTTGACTGGCGAACGCCTCGTTGATCTCCCAGATACCCACTTCTCCTGTAGAGATTCCAGTGTATTCAAGCAGCTTTGGAATGGCAATGGCAGGTCCAATACCCATCTCGTCGGGCTTGCAACCGACGACCTGCGTACCAGCCCACTTGCCGATGATGTTCTTCTCGAGACCGAGCTGGGTCGCTGTGCTTCTTCTCATCATCAGCGTAGCAGCTGCGCCATCAGATACTTGACTGCTGTTTCCAGCTGTTGCAGCACCATCGGGTTTGAAAGCTGGCTTCATGGCCTGAAGGCTTTCGGGTGTGCTCTTGGGTCGGATGCCATCGTCCTTGCTCACAGTAACCTCCTCCGTAACCTCTGGTGTCTCAGGGTTGGGGTGCGATTGTGTCTTGACAGGGACAATCTCACTGTCGAACAGTCCATCTCTTTGTGCTTTGGCCGCTTTCTGGTGTGAGTTGGCGGCAAAGGCATCCTGATCCGCTCTTGAGACTCCATATCTCTCGGCCACGTTCTCAGCTGTGAGACCCATAGACATGATACAATCCTTGGCGTCCTTGACGGATGTGTTCTTGAGTTCGTCCCAGAGCTGTGTGGGGATGGCTCGGCTGCCGTAGTTCCTCGTCATGCTCTCCATACCTCCTCCAATACCGATATCGATACTTCCAACGGCGATTGAATGGGCAATGCCTGTGATGGCTGCAAGACCACTAGAGCATGCTCTGTTGACCGTCTGGAAAGAAGCCGTCTCGGGAACGCCGACGTGCAATGCGGCCATCCTGCCAGCCTTGCTGCCACCGAGCTCGGAGAGAACATTGCCTATTTGGATGTCCTGAATCTTCGAAGGGTCTAGGTTTGGGTTGGCAGCAAGCGTAGCCTTGAGAACATGGGCGAGTAGTTCATGATCGTATGCATCCTTGAATCCTCCTTTCTTTGCGCGAGTGACTGGGGTTCGTAGTGCTGACAAAAAGACCACATCGTTGGGTTGCTTGGACAGAATGTTTTTGGCGCCTTTCTGGATGAAGCTAGACATGGTGAGGGGTGTGTTCCGGACGGATCAAGCGTAGGTTGGAGAAGAAGGAAGGTCGAACCAGGATAACAATCCAGGAAAACCTGATGCCGTCTTTGCCATGGCGTGAGTAGCTACTTGAACCTGGGGCCTCCTTGCGGGGAGAAGACGGATGCGTTCTTCGGCACTGAATCGGCTTCTTCGGCAGTCCTGTACGGCCTGTTGAGCATTGACGTCCCGATGGCTCACGGAGTCGGAACTTCAACTCGTTGGCAGCAAACAAACACAAAGAAATCTACATATCCCCTACGTGCATTGTATCACTCAAAGAACGTGTCTTTAACTTTGAGTCTCTAATAATCAGGACGCGGTTGAGAATCACTACATCTACCATGATCGGAGGTGAACACGACTTCCGTCAAGCAAGCCTTGTTGCCGTTCGACAGGTTCCGAGAGTCGGCTATGAAGCGGGACAGGGCAAGGTAGGACGGTACTTGAACAACGAAAATGAAACGGTCCCTTGATTCCACACTGACAGAGAAAAGCGCTAGGTATATACAATCGACGGTGATTGACTGTCTGCAAATTAAACGCCGAAAGGGAACAATCCGCCCACTACAAAGCCACACCTTTCTGTGCCTTAAATACCAAGAGAGAACTCAACACCGACGTCGATGTCACGGGCTGTTGCATGGATTAGAAATTTGAAGTTTAGCACAGGGAGGATAGCAACTTACCCATCTTGACAACCTTTGAGAACTGGACGGCCTTCTCGGCAGCGTTCTGGAGGTCATCGATGCTGAAAATCTTCAGGCCACTCTCGTTGATGAGCTTGTGGGCTGCTTCCATGTTGGTACCCTGGAGACGGGCAATGATGGGGATTCTAAGGTTCATGGATTGCACAACCTGGATGAGACCAGTGGCAATGGCGTCGCAGCGGACAATACCACCGAAAATGTTGACGAAGATAGCAGTAACCTTGGGGTCGCTAGTAATGAGCTCGAAGGCACTTCTGATGGCAGCGGGGGTAGCACCACCGCCAACGTCGAGGAAGTTGGCGGGCTGGCCTCCGTTGAGCTTGATAATGTCCATGGTGGCCATGGCAAGACCGGCACCGTTGACGAGGCAGCCAATGTCACCGTCAAGCTTGATGAAGTTCAAGCCAGACTCGGCGGCCTTGACCTCGTCGGCGTCCTCCTGGGTGGTGTCGCGCCACTCGAAGACGTCCTTTTGTCTGAAATCGGCGTTGTCGTCGAAGTTGAGCTTGGCATCCATGCAAAGAACCTGGTGGTCCGAGGTCTCGGAAAGAGGGTTAATCTCGATCTGGGTAGCGTCCTTCTCCATGAAGACCTTGTACAGCTTCTGGATGGTCAAGGCAGCGTCGTCGATGCACTGAGGGGAGAAGCCAAGCTGGGTAGCGATGGTCTTGGCCATGTCGTCGGTGACGCCCTGGTGGATGTCGACCTTTGTGGTGATGATGGCATCGGGGTTCTCCTTGGCGACAGCCTCAATGTCCATACCACCCTGCGAGGAAGCGACAATAACGGGGCCCTGGCTGGCTCTGTCCATGAGCACGGCAAGGTAGAACTCGCGGCGAGCGAACTTGCGCTCGACAATGTAGACCGAGTTGCAGATACGGCCCTTCTCGCCAGTCTGCTTTGTGATGAGCTTGTGTCCAATCATCTCGTTGGCGAGGATCGAGGCCTCCTTGGGCGAGTAGACGACTCTGACACCGCCCTTGAAGCCGTTGTCGAAGTGACCCTTGCCTCTACCTCCGGCAAGAACCTGGGCCTTGATGACCATGTCATCGCCAGCTGCGAGTAATCAGTGGGTGGACTTGTGAGTCGAGAGGGATTGTGGTGAAGGATACAGATGCTCTTAGCGACGCTCTCGGCCTCGGCAGCCGAGTGGGCAACATCACCCTTGGGAACGCCGATGCCGTAGGATTCGAGGAGCTTAGCGGAGCGGTACTCGTGGATGGAGAGGTTGCGTCTCTGCTGCATGACAGGCGCATTCTGTGTTGACAATCGGGTCAGTCGCGACGGCCCCCTGGCTGGCGAATCGGGGTCCCGGGACAAACCTTGACGGCCTTGAGCGCAGAGGCGGCTTGCCTGCTGCGGGCGAGCTTGAACATGGCGGATTTGTAGAGGGGAGAGGGCGGGTATAGAGCTTTCGTAAATCAAACCAAGGCTCAGCAAAGAGGCAGATGCAACTCTCTCTCCCGACAATCTTCGCGCCAAGCTTCGACCCCGTTGCTAACCGGCCCTGTCGGTTACTACCGCTTCGAGCGCCGCTGCCAAATCTTGTCGGGGCCCTCTTCAAGCATTTATTTGCCATCCAAGCGTGCCATCCATCATGCCCAAAGACAATACGCCTAGCGATGCCGATGTCATCTTCAACCGAGCGAATGTCGCGCTAGCCCGTAGCCAGCATCTGGTCCAATCGTGGCTTCCTCCCAAGCCCGCCCAAGACGTGGTCCAGTCGAAGACAGCACAGGAACTATTGAAGGAGGACGAGGAATTGTTCAAACCCACACCAGAGCTGTGAGCACTCTCGCTTCTTCTGCTGTAGAAAGAGATGGACTGAGAGCGTCTAGCCTTGGACTCGGCGCGTCCGCCCCGGATGCCGACTCGGACCCGCTGTTGAAGAAGAGACCCGGTGCAAACAATGACAGGTTGCTGGAGCAGCTGCTGGGAAAGAAAGCCGCCAGAGGCCATAGAGCTAGCTCGAAGCCCCAACCTGCCCCAAAGACACCCGTCACGCAAAAGACAGGTGCAGATCAGCTTGGAGCCGATGAAGATGATGACGAGGAAGGAAGGGCGAATATGGTTGCATCAAACTCCCTATTGAAGAGGAAAGGCTCCGCTCAATCCTCCACTCGCAAGACCGCTGCGACGTCTAAGAATCCTGACAAGGTGCGGGAGCCACCGTCAGATGAGGACGACGGTCCACCGCCAAACAAGAAGAGACCTGGATCCTATCTGGACCAACTCCTTGCCGAAAAGGCTAGCAAGAAGAACAGAAAACAGCAGAAGAGCTAGTTGGTGAATAGCTGCTAGTACTACCTTGAACGTTGTGTGATTGACTTGCTTCGCTCTGATGCCGTGAAATGGTGTGTTTGATTGTCTTGTGTGATTTGCGGGCAGTTGGTGACAGATGCTGGCGAAATTGACGAAGACCTTGTGTTGAACACTTTTACGTGACCTACCACGCTGCAGCTCGTCGTTGGGATTGGTAGGCAGGGCCGGATAGTCCTTGTTATGCTGTGTGGGAGCAAGGGTCCTGGTAATGGGGGTGACCCTGGTGATACCAACTCCGCAACAGCTGGCAGCAGTTGGTCAAGCTTGACACGAGCGCGCAACTGCCCCTTTCTACCTTTACTACACAAATTCCAAAGCAACCAAGATGGCTATTCGCAACAAGTATTCAGTGCTGCTGCCAACGTACAATGAGCGACGCAACCTACCAATCATCGCCTGGTTGCTCAATAGAACCTTCACCGAAAAGTAGTCGCTTCCCAGAAGCCCGGCACAAACAACATGTGATGCTGACTGGAACGCATAGCAACCTGGATTGGGAGCTCATCATCATTGACGACGCCTCGCCCGATGGCACACAAGAAATAGCAAAGCAACTCATCAAGGCTTACTCCCCAGAACGCATCAAGCTGCAACCGCGAGCTGGCAAGCTGGGCCTCGGGACTGCCTATGTTCACGGCTTGCAATACGTTACTGGCAACTTTGTCATCATCATGGACGCCGACTTCAGCCACCACCCAAAGTTCATCCCTCAAATGATCAAGAAACAAAGCGAGAACGGCGCCGACTACGACATTGTCACTGGAACCCGCTACGCGGGAGATGGAGGTGTCTACGGCTGGGATCTGAAGAGAAAGTTCGTCAGCAGAGGCGCCAACTTGTTCGCCGACACTCTGCTCAGACCAGGTGTCAGCGACTTGACTGGCAGTTTCAGACTCTACAAGAAAGCCGTCTTGCAAGAGGTCATTCGCAAGACCGAGAGCAAAGGCTACAGTTTCCAAATGGAGATGATGGTCAGAGCAAAGGCCATGGGCTTTAAGGTTGCCGAAGTACCCATTAGCTTTGTGGACCGCTTGTACGGAGACTCGAAGATCGGTTCCAACGAGATCACGGCATACGCAAAGAGCGTCATCTCGCTGTGGGTCAAGGTCTAAGTGAGTAACAAGGCCAATCTGTATTCAGCTGGCGTTTGGAGCACTTCGAGCTGTATGGAAAATAAGGGTACCAAGTTTCAGCTTCTCTTCAACCTTTTGTTTTCTTCAAAGAGGTTTCAGCTTTCACACTAATTTCATTCAAATGAACTTGATCTTTTGGTTCAACAACTGCTAAAGCTTTCCCACTGAACCAAACGCCTTTGATTGCTCTATATGTACCACTTTGGCCGTACATGATGAGTCTGCGCAGCTCGTGGCCCGTGGTAAGTACACTATGAGGCACACGGCAGATCATCAATTGGCGTCTTGACATCCATCTCGAAAACGCAGAGTCCAGTCCGAAATAGGCGTTATCTCTGGTGAGAATCACTTCGTCATGCAAGACACAATGGGCTCTCAATGGATGTTTGCTCCTGCTCGAAGAGGACTCTGCGTTCTGACAAGCGAAGGCCTCCTCCAGCCAACCTTGCAGTGGCACCTTCCATTCCTCAGGAGTTTGTACTAACTACAACAATCTTCTAACTTCGAACCATCTTGTCATTCAACCACACTGCAAACGACCCATCATCAACGCTCGCAGAAAATTGGATGTAACGTGCCATTGCCGCGCTCTTGGGGAACGGACAATGGACAACCAAAGGCTCAACGTTGCAATTAGCCAGCCCTTTGATAGTCAGGAGACCATCCATCCATTCCATGCCTTCGGTACCCTTGAGGACGTCAAAATGCTCGAGATTCAAAGCAGGAATCATATCCCAGCCGTCTGGACCTGGTCTTCCACAAACAATACCGAGTGACAAGGATTTCAGACCGCCAAGTCGTCCAAGCCACTCCATGGCAATGGCCCATTCCGCTTTCGAATACTCTTTCTCGTAGGGCAAGGCACGCTTGACAAGTCGTACTGATCGTATGCAATTGCGAGCGAATGGCGTCAGGTCGGAGAGGAAAGCCACAAGCGATTCAATGTGCAGATCGAAGTCGAAGACATGGCTTGAAAACAGAAGCTCAGAGGCTTCGGCGTAGATTTGCATGTTCGCTCGCAACAGAGAGGTATGGATGCCGGTATTGCTCAAGGCAAAGTATGTCGTTGGGACACACCCAGGGCGCATGCCACCGGAGCGAACGATAAAGGCACTGCGGACATGTACGGGAGAACGCGACTTGTAGTTGGCTGGATCTTCAGCCCGGATGCAAAGAGTGAGTGCGTCGGGCTCTGGGACGTCTACTGTGTGGTGGCCACCATGATAGTCTATCGAGATAGGGAGGAAAGCGGGCTTGGCGATTGAAAAGGTACAGTGAGGATCGTGAAGTAGTAGTCTGCTGTAGATATCGAGCCTCAATTCTGGAGGCAATCTGAGAAAGGGAGATTTGGGCTCAGAAACTACCATGGTGATTGAGCGAGATCAGGAAACAGAGACAGATTTGCTCAACCGAAGAGACACCAGTCAGTTTAAGTAGTGTCAGGGTACATGGCTAAGCGTATCCGGAGCCCCTAAAAGTAAAGCCCATTGACACAGTGCCAAAGACGCTGAATTGGCGGTCTTTGTAACTACTTCCCCTGCCGAAAGGGAAAAAAAAATGACGATACCTTGGTGGTAAACGCATCATGCCGACCCTGCGCAAAAAGCGGATCGGCCCGGGGATCGGTGCATGCATCCATTATTCACTCTTAGAGATAGCAAGCATGAGTGTTACCCTTCGATTCACCATGATGTTCTGCAAAGGACGCTTAATTGTTACATCGATGTCTCTAGGTCGACATGGCCACAAATCCGTATTGAAGTAATAGCAAGGAAACCGTGCGTTGGTCAAGAGTCATGTCAATCGTGGTACAACACTGACACGAACCACTCGAATTGTTGGGATGCGAGTCAATAACCTTTTTGCGAGAGATAAGAAGACAAGCAACCGAGTAGTTGGCCCACGAGATGTGCGCTGAATACAACAGTCTACGCAATTGTCAGAGGAACAACACTACGGTATAGGTCTTTGCAACAGTGACCTCTGAGGAGAGGAAAGCCAGTCAATCACATCCACCATATCATTACAGGCCGCAAGTCCTACCCTCTCTCTTTTCGTAGTTGTGCTACCCAGCATCTCGGTAAGATGGTGCACCACCAACTCGTGCCTCATGCTACCCTGAACAGCATAGTGTACGAATTGAGATACAGCCTCGATTGGCGTCTTGTCGAAACCTGCAAAGAGGGTCGGGTTCTCCAAGAGTCCGCGAGCTGCCATGACGCCGTCAACGCCAGTCTCCTTGGCTATCCGATGGGCGTCTTCCAGAGAGTATACATCGCCGTTTGCTAGGACTGGCAATGTAGTTTGTGCTCTGAGCATTTTAATGGCCTCGAAGTTTGGTGGTGTACTCGAGCGCTGATTGCGAAGACGTCCGCTAATTCTTGTTAGCAAAGTACAGAAGACGCAAATACGCCAGACACGTACTGAATAGTGATGTAGTCCACGCCTGAGGCCTCTACAACTTTGATGAACTTGATAGTTTCGCTGTGGAATCTGATCAGCCAAAGTCAGACAGATGGTGATGGCCAAAGATACTTTAGATCTTGGTGGATTCGAATTTTGCATGACACAGTCTTGCCAGGTCCGATCCTTTGCTTTGCCTCTTTCATCATTGCAGCGACTTTGTTTGGATTACCCATCATGCTGCAGCCGATTCCTTCTTTCATAGCCCATGATTGTGGGCATCCGCAATTGAGATCAACACCATTGACCCAAGGCCCAATCATCTCTGCAGCGCGTCCAAATTCGATTGGATCGTTCGATGCGAATTGGGCGATTACGGGGCCCTCGGTGGGGTTGGTACTGAAATCTGAAGAACGTGCCACTGGATGACGGATGAACCTGGGTGATGAAATGAGTAATCCATGTCTACAGGATCGTTTTGTCTTTCCTCATAGGTGAATCATAGAGAGGGAAATAACAAGAAGAAGAGAAAGAAACAAGATAGAAAGCACAGGGAGTACCTACTCATGGGCCAGGATCATGGGTGTATACGTAAGGTCAACCTTGTAGTCTTGGACAAGCAGCCTGAAGGGAAGTTTACTATAGCTGTGCAAATAGGCGGATAATTAGTGAAAGACAACAAACTTCACCTATCCGTTCCCTTACCGGACCATAGGACCAGATACTCAGGAGTCCGTGAGCTTAACCCGATGAATGTGTTTCTATTCGGTATGCTTACCATATAGAGGCCTGCCTTCGGCTTTTGCTTTATCGAAAAGACTTAGAGGACTGAGAACCGAGTGGTTAGTCAAACGAACGACATGAACAGTATGACTGCGCTCACTGGATCTCACGAGGCATCTTCATGTTACCGTCGGCCATGATTGAAAATTTTTGGTTGCTCCTTGAGCGTATCCAAATAATATGATGGATGGATGTGAGAGCGGAAAAGATGGTAAGAGATGGCTTACGTAAGCAGAATTTGCATCACATAAAAAGACCAAGATGGATTTCACGTTGTGTGAGGGAAAGTGGAGCGGGGTATCAAATCGTTAATGGTACAAGTATGGGATAATAATCTAAAGTACAGTACCTTCGTTAAGCAAGGCCCGGAACCACGGTCTCTTACGACCTCAGCAAAACCAAAAACGCCATCGCTTAATGCATGTTCAGTGAAGTCATGATATCGAGGTTGGCCAACTAGCCCTCTACCTCGCCTTCTTCGCTACCATGGCTCTCAACGGTGCGCGAGGGGGCGGCGTGGTTAAGAGCAGGATCGGTGGTTGTAGCAGACTCGGAAGTGCGTCTCTTTTTGACAGCTCGATCGTCGTGAGGCGGATCGAGGTGGTGTATTTTGCTTCCGTGGCTGCTCGTACTGGTATCTTGGTGTAGTATAGGAGCGGAGGGACTGGTGATGGCCTGTTCACTACTCAGCCTCGTGGCATCCCAGTCCGAATCTTGGCCGTCGAGACGTACATAGATAGTTTGCGAGCCCTCATGGCCAGGCTTGATGGGGACGTGTTCGTAGTTTGCAGCCATGTAGTTGCAGGCTTTCAAGATGTCGTCGAGCGAGACGTGTTGGACGTGCCACCACGGGCGGCCGTCTGAAGAATCGGGAAAAGCGACATTGCAGTAGCGGGCAGCTGAATATAGGGCGGCAGCAGCAATGGTATGACTCGAGCACAGCAGACAGAGCTGGGTGATGTTGCTATCGGTGACAAAGGCCCAGGCAGCATTGCGTAATTGCTTGTTGTGGTGAACGTGGTAGTACTTGAGCATTTCGTAGAGCTGTTTGTGAGGAGCTTCGATGGTGAGGTCGAAGCACAGCATCTCGAGCAGGACATCTTCGTTCAGCAGGATAGTATCGCGCCATTTCCAGAAGTCCTTGCTTTGCTCATCAATCAGTAGGTTGGGGTTCTTTTGGGCGACGCGACAGCAGGCGACAACCAGATCCTTCATCTTGCGACAGGACTCTTCGACTTTGGTGGCCAGGAACAGGGCGGTCGCGCCGAGAGTGTAATGGTGCAGAGCCTTTTGGTTGGGCCGGTCGACGAGGCTCACACGCATGAGGAAGCGATTGAAGAAGATGGCGGCCGTAGACAGGGTGAGTTCGGGCAGCTTGAGCATGATGCCGACCTGGCGGATGAAGTTGATGCCCTTCGCACGTATCTCCTTCTCCTTGTCGGCGGACATGCCATCTTGAACCGACGGCGTGTGCAATAGCTCTCGTTCGCTAAAGAGCCATTGCGCTTCGGCTTCGGCGAGTACACGATCCGGCGACTTTGGGCGCTGGCGAGCGGCGGGCTGATGGGAAGGGAGGTGATCGGTAGACGACGGCTGCGCTGAGGGCGGCATTTGAGCGACGCGATCGACGGACTGCCAGTGTCGAGGCGTGTGCGTGTGCGTGTGCGAGAGCGAGAGTGAGGTCGTGGTCGATGCGACGAGAAAGTACTCTTCCTGCGGCTCTTGTAGCCCTTGCACCTCTGTCGGACACGGCAAACTTGACTTCTCCATCTCCATCCAAACGCGCCCGTCACTCGGCCCGCCCCGCAGTCTGCCTGCCGGCTTGTTGCCAACCCACGTTCTTTATCGAATTCAACGCTTGCTTGTGCCTCGACTCTTGAGTTCAGGGTTGCCATCCGGTCTTTGGCTTCTGGACCCCACAATCTATCAAGTCTCAAGTCTCAAGTCTCTCTGCTTGCCGCGCTGTTTTTCCTCCTTCGATTTCATCCCAGCTACCAAACAACCAAATCCGCAATCATGCCCTCAGGTCAAGGCAGTAAGTGCTCCCACTCCCTAACTCTACTACATAGCTAACTCCTTCTCAGACGGCACTAAGCCCATCCACAGTGCGTACCGCCCTTCCCCTCCTGCTGACCACCACCCACCCTAACCTCATGCTCAATCTAGACAAGAAGCCCAAGAAGGCTGTCAAGGACGAGGACGAGGATGATGTCGCATTCAAAGCCAAGCAGGCTGCCGGTACCGCTCACTGATCCTCCATACACCAAGCTCGTCACCGCTGACATGTACCAGACAAGAAGGCCCGCGAGGAGATGGCCAAGAAGGCTGGCGGCAAAGGCCCTCTGAACACTGGCGGCCAGGGCATCAAGAAGAGTGGAAAGAAATGAGCACTTCGTCCGCATCTTTCTCCGGCGTTGGAAGGCTCGACACATACCCCTTTGTTACTTTTTTCCCTCAAACGAGCAATGACGACTTTTTTATCTCATGTCTCCTCGTTTCTTCCCCCCTGTGTGCAAGGCTTTGTCACATTCGCCATCCCCCTGCCAACATTCATCGATACATTAAGGTTACAGACATGCATAATGGGCTTCCTTCTCTTGTGATCATCTACAGAGACGAGTTATCAATACCCTCTCGCCTGACATGGCTCTGATCCGAGGCCAATCGTGCATTTCAACAGCTACAAGTCTGCCACAACTCAGCACTTGGGAGGTTATGACATTCGGTCAAGATGAACAGGCTTCAGTCCTTTGTGCATTCTTAGAGGTAGCACTGAGTAGTGGCTAAGCTTCTTCCTGAGCCAGGAAATCCCATGCATCTGGTACCATCTTCGAGTCTCTACCATTACATGCTCCCTTCAATCTGTGACGCGTCGAAGCCATAGCCCCGTACTACCGCCTGCCTCCTCGGCCTTTGCTCTGGCTCTGCTCAACAGTCTTCCAACTTCGAACAACTCCTTTTGTACTTCGTCCTGCCTGGTGTGGACTTCGCCCATCTTCTTGCGGTTCTCGCGCCGCATCTTCTCCGAGACGTCAATTGGGCTAGCCATCTCCACCTTCGCCAACTCCTTCAGCAGCTTTTGCATGTTTGTTTTCTGTAATTCTAGCGACTCCAGGCGTGACATCAGCTCGTCGATGTGGTCTCCTTGATGTCTCGTCTTTGGTGGTTGGGGTAGAGCTTTGTCCCTTGCTGCTTCTGGCAAATCTTGCACGTCGCCCATGCTATCGTGTCTTTTTGGGGGTGCTGCTTCTTTTCCTGGCACAGGACGTCTTCTTGACATGATGGAGCTGGGGTATGTGCGAGGCGGACTAGAAGGGGGGGTTTCTTGTCGATACGTCGTCGCTGTGCTTGCTGTCGTCCAACTGAATCGACTGTCCGGTATTTGTTCGATGTACGACGTGGTAGGTGAAACACTGCGTTCCGTCTCTGCATAGGTCGTCCAGCTGAAGTGACTCGTCGACGGTTCAATAGTCCTCTGAGTGACGGTTCTTGTGCTGTCGGTCGAACTTCGATTGGCTTCTGTGGGGTTGTCTAGATCTCGATGCTGGGGCTTGCTCAATGAAACTTCCGTGAGGGATGTCGTCTCGTCTGCGAGGTCAAAAGGCGGCAGCTGCGGGACCGGCACCTTTTTCACAATCCTCAATGGCGGTATTGTCGACTTCGTTGTCTCTGTTTCGTCGTAGATGCTTGAAGCAACTGAACCACGCACGTTCCGTGTCTCTGCTTGCGACAGAGCCAATGAGCTCATGCTACTGCTGATACTGAGGCTAGATCCATCGCGGCGCAAGCCTGAGCCGTCTTTCACTGCAGTGTATAGAGATGGCCGTCTTGAATCGCAGTGAGCACCAGCTGATGCAGAACGACTCCCAAATGCTTCCCTGCTGAATTTGGCCGCTTTCTCGATCAAAGACGATTTCTTCGGCCTGCCCCCTGATATGGAGACTTGCACGCCGTATCTTGAGTCTCCCCGAGGTCGGTCGAAGGAGTGTAGCGCGCTTTTCACAGACGATGAGTTCGACATCAGAGGCTGCTGCAAGGCACAAATTATTGTGTTGTACGGTTTCAAATCGAGGACACAACGATCGTGGAAGGTGCCAGTGGAATTCTCTGCGTCGCATGTCAGTAATTGTTGACCGTTGTAACGCACAGTGCTTTCCAGAAATAAAGTCAGGACCGAAGAGAGCTGGTAGTACATGTCCGCTCTCTGTGTCTTTTTGCAGCCATATGTCAAGCCATCATGGTGTACAAACCCTGTAAGAACAAGGCTGAAGTATGTTCGAAGATATCACCAGCGATGGATTCTCAGGTAAGAATCCAAGTAAAGGCCGTCGTAGTGCACATTGCGCCAAGGAGGGAGAGCATTCAACTGTAGACCTTTACTTGATATCATGTCGTTGCCCAAAAGGCCTCAGTACAGCCACATGTCACAGCCAGCCACGGGAGGCAGACGAGGTACATGGCAGCGAGAACCGAGACCAGGACGCGCACCTTGTTCGAGGGGTTCTTGCCTCACAGGTAATCAGGTGAAAACGAACTTACTTTAGTAGACAAAAGCGTGAGTCGAGATTGACCGGCCGGCGGCATGTGTGTATGTAAGTTAGGAGGGAACGCGTAGGCGAACAATCTGCAAAGAAAGCACCAACAAATTTCGAGGGCGTGTTGTCGTTTGTTGGTCAAAAATCCTGACGTGAGAGCATGATGTTAAATGGTTCTAAAATCCGACAACCGCCATGTCTGTTGATTGCGCATGTCATGCAGGAGCTTCGTGTTTCATCTCGCCGGCGCGTTTCAGCTTTGGCCGGAGAATCCAGACGAGTGGGACGTATTGGACTTGCAATTTCGACTCTCTGCAACACGCCTACCATCCAGATATTGCAGTGCCTGTCACGAATCGCATTCAAGATGGACACTTTGACATCTAAGCTGCTACGCGCGATGGTTTGCATGCTTGAGATTGCAGAAACCCCCGAACATCTATTTGAGTATTCACCAAGTACTGATAGCGGCAGATCATGTACTTGTATGGCCAGACCAAAATAGAGATATTAATCGCAATCTGTTGGCCTTGACCAGCGGCCTGCTAGCCGACGAGCCAAGAATGAATCGGAATGGATCTGGGAAGGATTCTACTTCCGGTACATCGAAGGACGACATGGTTGTTGAAGCTCACAGGTAAGTGGCGTGGATGTGGAGGCACAGAGATGGCACCAGAGTCGAGCCCTCATACCGTAATCAATAGCCGTCAAAAGGCACCAACCACTTTTTGGGTCTTGATGGGGTTTCCATAAGGCGTCGAAAAGAAGTGCCGCCCTCAGTGGACATGTATCTAATCATCAGAAGCATCCTTCAGTTTCATGAGTAGGTCTGAAGGCCTACCCACAAGGTGAGTTTGGTGGAAAGGCAATTCGTTCAGCTGCGTCTACGTTCGGTCGAAGGTCAAAGAAGAAGAGACAAGATGGCGTTGCCTTCTCCACTGCGAAGTCGTGAAGCGGTTGGTGGAAGCTTTCCCCACAATCAGGTCATCCCGTCAGCTTCACTCTTCCGTCTTTCCACAACGGTTTCAACAGAGCCATCGAATTGACACACGAGACAGAGAGCCATGGCCGACGGTATGTACACTACTTGCAATAGACTCTAGCCAGGATGCTGACACGAGATAGAAGTTTCACCGCCCCCGGCGACCGAAGTGTACGTTCATCACACAGAACCGTCGAACGCAAACTGAGAGCAGATCAGTGCATCAATCGCGACGCCCATCAACCTCATACTCATTGCACTCTTCATGATCCTGGCATACTACCGCCTCACACCAAAGACCGCACCTACTCTACCAACTCCGCCAGCCCCAACAGTCTTCAAGACCTTTACACCACCCGACCTTGAGCCCTACAATGGACGCAATAACATGCCCGTATATCTCGCTGTCCGCGGCAGAGTCTTTGACGTCACCCCTGGACGCAACTTCTATGGGCCGGGGGGTCCTTACGCCAACTTTGCTGGACGCGACGCAAGCAGAGGCCTGGCCTGTGGCAGTTTCGATGAGGACATGCTTACCAAAGACCTCAATGCTCCTCTCGATACTCTGTCAGACTTGGGCGATGAAGAGATGGAGGCACTGAGAGGATGGGAGGAGAGATTTTCCGAGAAGTATCTGGTCGTTGGCAAACTTGTTCCTGTGGATAGTGTCGAAGCCAAGGATGCCACCCTTGTGGAAAAACTCTGATCGACTAAGACACAGTTCATATGCCATACAACAGTGGGGTCTGGATTTCATGGGAATGTGCCGTTTCGCATCATGACCAAATACATGCGAACGGGACCCAAATCCACTTCACCCAAGTCGGCTTTGCGACAGCAATATCGTAATCTTGCTCTATCCTTCACAATCCTAGCTCTGTTCGTGTTCGATCAACAAGCATCATGTTGCAGAGCAAGAATCGAGCAAAGAACACGGGGATCAAGCCAGTGGTAGGGCATCTGTAGATACAAGTCAGACGCGTGGAAGGCAACCTGTAAATGATTCGTAGATGATCTGACAAAGCAAAGTGCCAAAGCAATCCAAGAAAAACGAGGAGTTTGAACTATTGATAGCATTCTGTAGCAGTGCAAAAGTGCATATGTTTGTCCAAAAAGTATTGCCAAGGCGTGCACAGAAGATGGAGCAAGATGCAGCGTCGACGCTGCAACATTTCATGAGGAAAGACTTGGGCCTAGAAAAACATTGCACACAACAAGCACCACTTCGACCATGTCTTTCACCATGCGACCGACCCTCTTACCACAATGCACATCATGCCTACGACGCATTAGCAATATCGGCCTCCAAGAATGGCGTAGCGGACAGCAGGTTCGCGGCAAGAAGAAGCTGGCCAACACACCCACCACCGTCACTGTACGCCTCACAAAGGACGTACCGACTTTTGGTCGCAAGGGAACATACGTCCCCATCTCGATTGGACGTATGCGCAACGAGTTTTTCCCAACAAGGACGGCAGAATACGTGTCGAGCGCACAATTGAAGGACATGAAGGCGAAGAATATCAGCGCTGAGAGAGACTTCCAATTCGGCGTACCTGACCCGACCCTTGCTACAGCCGCCGAGATACAACCTCAGCGTCTGTCTAAACGCACTGTTGAAGTTGAGAAACTGGCGGCAAGTCTCGTATGACCTTTGATCTTGAGAGCGATGCTGACCATTTGTTTCGAAATAGCCCAAGCGATCGACCGAGCTACTTGCCATGCTCCTGCCTCCTGTTATGGAGTTCCGTCGCCGAGCCCATGCACCTACTGTTCCCACTACTCCCGAGACACCTGCGCCAGTGAAAAGAGAACGACCCTTCTCAAGCGCCGCTGCCGACCTCCTCGCCGCCCAGACCGCTGCTCCTTCCAAAGCTTCCTCGTCCTCTGCAACATCAATCTACGGTGCCATTTACCCTGCCGATGTCGTCAGCAGGATCACTCACATCCTTTCCGAGAACCAAGAAGCATCGCGAATCGTTCTGGGCACAGACGATGTCAAGTTTGTCAATCTATTGTCACAAGAGGCTGCGGATGCCGACAAGATCAGACATCTGGGAGACTTTAAGATCGAGGTCAGAGTGAAAGGAGGAGAAGTACCAGTCGAGAGACTTGTTAGGGTGCTTCCGACCGAGGGCGAGGACGCTACTGTTTCGTCTAGCTCTTAAGCCTGGACACTCTATCAACTCATTTCACACAACAACTTCAGCCAATCTACAGACTGGACTCGCGGTCTGGCGCTTACCGCAACTGATATCTAGCGCCTGAGATTTTGTTATGAAGCGTATACGACCATTCCCTCGGCGCCCATATGCTGTTGGATATTCAGCTGTAAATACCCAACACTTTGAGAATTAGAGGTGCGTCCGGAGAGAGGATAAATATTTCGAGCTCTGCGGGACCCGTACAAGCTTTCAATGTGTTTGTGCGGTTTGGTCGCTACCAAGTCATAGCAAACCTGCAAGGAAGGAGAGCAGACTCGACATGCGCTCGAAAAGAAAAGCTCAAAGCGCTGGATATCAATGTCCGGAAATACGAGGTCATCACGAGATAAAATACTGATGAGTGAGAACACATGAAAAATTGAGTACCATTACATACTGGCAGTAATAAAATCCGCCAATTTCAGCCTGCTGTGGGCAGCTTTATTCAACTGTCTTCTCGATCCCAGCTGCAGTTAGTACTTGAAGTCTCCGTTGAGCACCATTACCTCCTTTTAGTGCAGTAAACTCGTCTCGGTGAGATATGGCGGTGGTTGGTGATCAAATCGTTGTGAATCTTGTGCAAGAGTGAGTAAAAGCTTCTCTAAAACGAAAGTACGAAAGCTCGTCTCCGTTGGATAGTTAAGGAGAAGAAAGTAATCACCAGTAAGGTCTACGGTCATAGCCCGCATCGTAACCACGCTCACGTCTGGGAGGAGGGCTGGGAGGGCGACCGTAAGGCTCTCTAGGCTCTCTGGGCTCTCTGGGCTCTCTGGGTTCTCTGCCGTGACCATTGGCGTATGGGTCAGCCTCATAGCGACGAGCCGGAGGAGGAGCACCATAACCGTCATCAGCAGGGTAGGCGCGGCTTCTTGGCGGTGCGTAGTCATCAACAGGGGGACCACGGGCGCGAGGTGGGGGGGAGCGAGCGTAGGGATCTCTACGGTCGTCATAGTAGCGAGGAGGCGGGCTTCTGCGGCGGTAGCTGTCATCGCGACGAGGGCTGTAACCACCGGCGCCACGGGGAGGTCCTCTGCGATCTCCGTAGTAGTCGTCCATAGGAGGTGCGCCATAACCGCCACCACCGCCACCACCACGGCGAGGAGGAGGGGAGCGCGAGCGGTAACGGGAGTCGCGAGGAGGTGGGGGTGGCATGCGAGGGATCTCAGACTGAGGCTGCGAAGAAAGTGTAAGTAGGACATCAGTTGGTCACGGCAACGCAACTCACGTCGGAAACACAGCGGACAGTAGCTCCCTTGAATTCCTGTCCGTCGAGTTTCTCTACAGCGGAGGCCAGATCGGCAGCGGTCTCGTACTCGACAAAACTAAGAAAGCGTGGTTAGATTGCAAGATGTCGGAAATGATGGCAAGAGCACTTACCCCTTTCCGTTACCACTGCCATCGCGTTCACGGCCAACTTCGGAGTAGACAACGTCGAGGCCAGGTTGGCGAGCAAAGTCCTTCAGATCCTATAAGGGCCAACGTGAGTCCAGGTCCACGGTAGGCTGAGTGAGAACGTCCAAAGCAAGTAGCAAGATGATCCAACGCCAGGACAATCAGGGCGGGACATCCGCGAGGGGGGACAAAAGACAAGGAAAAGAAACAACGGCCGGGTGCAGGGTACTGTGCAGCGGAGGGATATTGCTAACCTGCCAGCTGGTCTCGAAAGGAAGGCCAGAGATGGACATGCGGTGGACGGTGCGGCGCGGACGAGGAGGCGCGCGCTGCTCAGGGTGGCCGTACTCGCGGGGACGAGTTGAGCCTCGGGCAAACTGCACGACGAGGCGCTCGCCCATGAAGTCGGAGCCATCTAGCAGAGGGTCAGCAGGATGTCGAGGTGGTGGAGTAGAAGGGCTTGTTGGTAGACGTACGGAATGCTGGCAGGTGCACGAGTTAGCGGAGACTTTGAGGGAGTGAGTGGATGCGTACAAGAGACGAGAGACTCACCGGGAACGACGTCGCGCGCGTCCATGGCGTCTTTGTACTCGACGAAGCCGAAGCCGTTCATGAGTTTGATCTCGGTGATCTCACCAGTTCCATGGCTGGCAAAGTGGTTCTCGACGTCGGCCTTGGTGGCTAGAGCACGTATCCGATTAGCGGGGAGCGAACATCCAGGGCGGGCAAGCGCAGAGTGTGAAGGAGTCCAGCAGGTATCCAGATCCTCAATCCTCAGGCCAGCTACACGGGCAGAAGCGTACCGTTGCGCGGGAGATTTCCCAGATAGAGCCGGGTCGAAGACACGTCGCCCATTGTGATGATATGAAGATGATGAAGAAGAAGAAGGGCGAGAGACCAGATCCGTAACAAGGAAGCCCAGTTAGCGAATAGATGGTTCAGGTAGAGGGAACGGGAGCGATGGGGAAGGCGGCGTTGCTTGACACACTTCGCACACAGACTCAGATCTGCCAAGGCGCGCTGCGGGTGACGCTCTCGTGCTGGCGGCAGCCAATCACATGGGCCGAGGTCAGCAGAGCCGGGAGCCGACGTTTTTGAGCGCGGATGCGAATGCTCATCATCGACAGGAAGGTGTCGTCCGAGAGCATTGCACTCAACCGAGGCTCTCCTCCGCATCTGCTCCTCAGCCTGTGCCAAAGTCCGCCTCCAAATACTCAATCCTCCCTTTGTTCTTCTCCAGACTAGTCTTTCGTCTCGCCAACATGCCGTCCGCCAGCCGTCTGCCCTCCGCCGCCACGCTCGGCCGGGCACTGGTCCAGGATGCTCGTCTATGTCGTCCCTCGCCCCTGCGACCCATCACTGCCACTTCCTTTGCCCCTCTGCGCAACACCACATCAGCCTTGCCACGCCCGGCAATCTTCCGCGCGGGCCAGCGCCGTCCTTTCTCCCTCACATCCCGCAGACGCCTTGCCACGCACGATGACTCGTTCAACCCGGCCGACATTGAAAGAGAGAGTGATCAGGTCGATGTCTGTATCGTCGGAGGCGGGCCTGCTGGTCTCAGTGCTGCCATCCGTCTGAAGCAGCTAGCCAATGATGCTGGTAATGAGGACTTCCGCGTACTGCTGCTCGAAAAGGCTGGAGAGCTGGGCGACCACATCGTCTCTGGCAATGTGGTTGAGCCCTCTGCTCTGGATGAATTGCTCCCTAATTGGAACGACCCAGAGAATCCAGACCGCTACGAGCACATTACTCCCGCTACCACGGATCGCATGCGCTTCCTCACAAAGTCTTATTCGATACCCATCCCCGCTCCTCCCCAGATGAACAACCATGGCAACTACATCATTTCTCTCAATCAATTCACCAAGTGGTTGGGGGAAAGAGCAGAAGAAATTGGTGTCGAGATTTATCCTGGTTTTGCCGCTTCCGAAGTTCTCTACAACGCTGACGGTTCGGTAAAGGGTGTTGCCACAAATGATCTTGGTATTTCTCGTAGTGGCAAGCCCAAGGACTCGTTCGAGCGTGGTATGGAATTCCATGCTCGCGTCACACTGCTTGCCGAGGGTTGTCACGGCAGTCTTACTAAGCAAGTCACAAAGAAGTTTGATCTAAGGCGGGACAGCCAGCCTCAAACCTACGGTCTCGGTATCAAGGAAGTCTGGGAGATTGATCCTGCAAAATTCGAAAAGGGCTTGGTCGCCCATTCTCTCGGCTATCCTCTGCCTGCCGATACATATGGCGGTGGTTGGATGTATCACTTTGGCGAGAACTTGGTCAGCATCGGCCTGGTCGTTGGCCTCGATTATCCTAACCCATGGTTGGCTCCTTATGGCGAATTCCAAAAGATGAAGCATCATCCTATGTACGCAAAGTACTTGGAGGGTGGTAAGTGCATCTCGTACGGTGCCCGCACACTGAACGAGGGTGGATTCCAGTCTATCCCCAAGTGTGCGTTTCCTGGAGGTGCACTGATTGGCGACACTGCCGGCTTCCTCAATGTACCCAAAATCAAGGGTACTCATACCGCCATGCGCTCGGGAATGCTCGCTGCCGAGGCCGCCTTCTCTGCGTTGCGCGAGTCAGACGATTCCAGTCCGGTCTTCTTGTATGACTACGAAGATAAACTGCGCTCTTCCTCCATCTGGAAAGAGCTGAAGGAGGTTCGCAACATGCGTCCATCTTTCCACTCTCCACTGAAACTTTACGGTGGAATCATGTACTCTGGACTCGAAGCATATATTCTCAAGGGCAGAGTACCATGGACGATCAAACATGCCGGCACCGACCATGGAGCCACTAAGCTTGCTGCAGACTGCCCCAAGATCGAGTACCCCAAGCCGGATGGCAAGATCAGTTTCGATATCTTGACCAGTGTCAGCAGGACTGGCACTAACCACGAGGAGGACCAGCCTTGCCATCTACACGTAGAGGACTGGGACAAGCACGCTGAACTTGAATACCCTAAATACCAGGGTGTAGAAAACAGATTCTGTCCTGCCGGAGTATATGAATACGTCGAGGATGAGAGCAAACCGCTGGGTGTAAGATTCCAGATCAATTCTCAGAAGTAAGTTGCTTACGAGCCCCTAACCTTGGATGTCGCTAACCTATTGCCAGCTGCGTGCACTGCAAGACCTGTGATATCAAGGTCCCAGACCAGGATATTACCTGGAGAACTCCTCAAGGAGGTGAAGGTCCCAAATACGTGATGACTTGATTGTGAAGGGCATCTGTTCACATATACTTTCTCTTCTTGTACACAATTGCAACTAATCTTGGTTTCGAGCCGTAGCCATAGCCCTCTCACTGGACAAGATTGCATTCACAATTTGTTCGTGCTTTTCGTTAACTAGTCAGAGCGACTGCGATAAGTCTTGAAAGGCATGCGCTGTATAAGTTCCTCCATGCGCTCAATACCAATCCCCTGGTTCCATCAATGCAGCTCTGATCGCCTGAGGCATCACTTTTGTGCTTTTGATGTCAGCGTCTCACGCAAGAAATGGGCTCGCTCGGGATCCTGCGGCAACAAAGAATATTGATGCGAGACTAGCTTGGCGTTGCGGCGATCGTACAGAATGAATAAACATTTTATTGTACTCGAGTACACAACGGAGATCGTTTCCGGACATGCGCAAGTGCGGTTTTGATGACCACAAGGTGGCCACAAGGCAGACCTCGCCGCACTTCTCGTCATTCTGTCACCATTTCCCACTAACCTTGAGCTTGGGGCACACCTACTTGAGATCTCATGGACCAGCCATGGAACAGTCAAGATATGGTTACTCAAATGCATTTGTGTTGTCTTGCTCCATAGCTTGGGAGCTTTCTCCACATTCAGCTTTCTCGAAAAAAACAGCATGTTTTCTCGGAGCTGAAACCCGGCGCATGCGGTAGGGACTGGAAATCCTGGCAAGACTTTTATTCTCAAATGGAAAACGAGAGAAGAAGAAAAACGTGCAATCGTATTGGTATCAACAGTAGGTAACTCTTTCATGGAAACATCTCTCCGCATCGCCGGTCTTTGGTAGGACCAGCTACCGATCGCCATAGGTCGAACAAACTTTTGTTGTTTTCGCCAATGAAACTCCGCCTTCCGTCACCAGGACGTCGAAAATTCGATTCAGGTTCAATTGATCCTCGGTCATCAGATCAATCAATTCGCTTACGAGGACTCTTGAGGCCTGTAGCTATACGTCAGAATAAAGATGATCACAGCATGTATCGATACGACTTACCAAACGTCGTAGCCGAAAGTGTCCTTCATGTTCACGAAACGAGTGTGGCGGCCTTCGGCAACCTTGTTGACAGCCTCGAAGTCGGCGTCGGAGAGCTCGATGCTCTTGAAGTTGCTGTCGATTCTTGAGGGGGTGGAGCTCTTGGGGAGAACGACGTAACCTCTTCTCAAGCCCCATGCGATGAGGACTTGGGCAAGGGAGTTCCCACCCTTCTCGGCGATCTCGTTAAGGACGGGGTTGGTGTTGACCTTCTCACCAGTGGAAGGAACTTGGTTCTGGGAACCGAGAGGCGAGTAAGCGGCAGGCATGATGTCCTGGGAGAAGCAGTAATCGACCAACTCGGTGTTGGGCAGGAAGGGGTGAATCTCGATCTGGTTGACGGTGGGCTTGACCTTGGCGAAAGACAGGAGCTGCTTCAAACCATCAACGGTCCAGTTGGATACACCAATGGCCTTGGCCTTGCCAGATGCGTAGATCTCCTCCATGGCTCTCCAGGTGGGCTCGGGGTTCTTGGTCAACTCCTCCTTGATGACATATTGGCCCTTCTCGTTCAGCTTGGGCATGTTCTTGTCATCCTTCTCGGCAGCGATGGGCCAGTGGACAAGGAACAAATCAATGTAGTCGAGGCCGAGGTTGTCCAGCGAGTTCTGGAAAGACCACTTGACCTCCTCAGGCTCATGAAGGTGGTTCCACACCTTTGTGCAGACAAAGATGTCCTCGCGCTTGACACTTGAGTTTTCCTTGAGGAAATCGCGGACGGCTGCGCCAACCTCGTCTTCGTTCTGATAGAACCAGGCGCAGTCAAGGTGTCTGTAGCCAGTCTTCAGTGCGTGAAGTGCAGCCTTGTAAGACTCGCCCTTGGAGCCTTCATTGGCGAAGGTACCGAAACCGACGGCTGTAGCTCATGATTAGCGACTCAAGCTTGATTTTAGTAAGATTGACCAGGACTTACCAGGGATCTTGACGCCGTTGTTGAGAGTACGAGTGAGTCCAGAAGACATGATGATGGTCGATTTGATGTGTATTAATTGGGATACGGAACTGAACAAGATGTACAATATGCAAAAAAAGATGGAAAGAAAGACCTCGCCGCAATCCTCGACCATGAGGTACTATTTACTGGCCATCTGTTCCGCCGACATCCTGCCACGACCTCGCTCCGAGCAAAGACGAGACAAACGTCATACAACAAATTTCCAAAGCGGTCAGGGGACTCAAAACAGTTGTTGGGGAGCTCAGTATCCACCACGGTGCTCACCGTGCACCAATCTCTGGAAATTCTCGAGGACTGTGACGTCGACGCCGAGGCCGTCTCGAATCGTCAACAAAACCCTAAACCTTAAACAGCCTCACACCAAGCGTTTCGGCATCAACGTCTTCAAGCCAAAGGGCGTTTTTGCCTCAGAAAGAGGCGCCGCCGGTAGCACCAGGACTTTTGCTGCCTCGTGGTGTCGGAAGCAGGGTCTCTTAGCTTGTTCCAACCTTCGTCATTGCTGAATGCTTCCGAGTAAAAAAATTCGAAACATTTTTGTTGACACCGGCCGATGATGCCACAGGTGGATACCCCCTTTGTCAGAGCATCCTCGCTGTTGTGAGGGCTCTGATTCAGCGCAATTTGGTCCGACCCAGAAATATACATAAGTAAACCCAAGGACCCTCCTGGTGACGCAGAACATACGATCATTTCCTCCCTCTCCTGCTGACTGAGCATCTCTATCTATCTTCCTCTCATCCGTCTCATCTTCTCTTGTCGTTCTTGAAACCTATTCTACTTCCCATACTATCTCATACACCCAACATCATGCCCGCTTTCGAAGACTCCGACCTCAATGTTGAGGCTCAGCCCACCCAGCAGCAAAGATCGAACAGCCAGGCTGTTGGTTCTAGCTTCGGTGGCAGCCTGCCCGTCCCTGGCATGGAGCCTGGTACTGACAGATCGGTCGAGGTCCCTGCTACCCGCAGCAGCATGGCTGACCCCTCTCCCTACATGCACCAGCTCTCCCTCTCACCCTCGATGAAGGACCGTAGAGGATCTCGCAACTCTTTCGGTGCATCTCTCCCTATTCCTCGCTCAAAGAGACAGTCCCGTCTGTCATCTGTCCACTACCCTGATGCCAAGGCCGGTCGCCCTGGTATGCCCCCAATCCAGCCCACCCGCGAGATTCTGGCATCCCAGATTCAGGACCTCTCTGGCGAGAAGGTCAAGTCCGCCAAGAACATGGCTTTCGCTTTCGACATTGACGGTGTCCTGGTTCACGGTGATCGTTTGATCCCCGAGGGTAAGCGCGCCCTCGAGATCCTCAACGGCGATAACGAGCTCGGAATCAAGATTCCTCACATCTTCCTTACCAACGGTTCCGGTAAGCGTGAAGATGCTCGTTGCGAGCAGCTTTCCAAGATCCTTGGCAACCCCGTCAGTATCGACCAGTTCATCCAGTCTCACACTCCCATGAGAGCTCTGTCCGAGTACTACAGCACCGTCCTCGTCGTTGGTGGTGAGGGCTACAAGTGTCGTGAAGTCGCCGAGGCCTACGGCTTCAAGGACATCGTTGTCCCTAACGACATCATTGCTTGGGACCCCACTATTGCTCCCTTCCGTGTCTTCACCGACGAGGAGCGTGCCACCTCTCGTCCTCGCGACTTCTCTAAGATCAACATCGACGCCATCATGGTCTTCTCCGACTCTCGCGACTACGCTACCGACATGCAAATCATCGTCGACCTCCTGAAGTCTGAGAACGGTCGTTTCGGCACCGTCGCCAAGGACCCCGTCAGCCAGCGCATCCCCATCTACTTCTCCCAGGGTGATCTGTTGTGCCCCAGCGAGCACCCCTTCCCCCGCATGTCTCAGGGTGCCTTCCGTATCGGTCTCGAGGCCATGTACAAGGCCCTCACCGGTGTCGACCTTGAGCGTGTTGTTTACGGTAAGCCCGAGTTGGCCACCTACAAGTACGCCGATGAGGTTATCACCAGCTGGATGGAGCAGATTCACAACGAGGAGAAGCTCCCCGAGAACATCTACATGGTTGGTGACAACCCCGCCTCCGACATCATTGGTGGTAACATGTACGGCTGGAACACCTGTCTTGTCCGCACTGGTGTCTTCCAGGGTGGTGACAACGACGAGAACAACCCTGCCAGCTTCGGTGTCTTTGTCAACGTACTCGAGGCCGTCAAGACTGCCATGCGCAAGGAGCTCGGCAAGGAGTTCAAGTTCGAGTGGAGCTCCGACAACGTCAACCCCGTCCTCGGTGGTGGCCAGGACTACTCTGCCATTGAGTAAGAGTTTGAAAAGCATACTGGCGTTTTCCAATTTCGTTTGATATCATGTCCACCCGGGAGGTGTTGACTTTGGCTTATGGGTTTCAATTTTTTACATCATCTACACGCAACTAGGAGCATAAACGGCGCTGAAACATAGACGGCGGGAATACCAGCAGTAGACTTTGTCTATGAAAATATATTTATGAATGCTACGAGATTTGATTATCTACATCCTCGATTTATGCAAACATGTACGTGACACCTTTTGAACGAAGATGCGAACTGTAGGCTGTCAGCTGTCGTCGAAGCTGGGGGTTTGACAAGCAGGAACAGGTCCTTGAGATCGTCGACATGCAGGTGAACCAGTGCTCCACTCACACGCAAATGCCATGCACATGCTAATTTGGGATTCTTGATAGCGGTCACCATCCATACAAACGATTCGCTCAAACTAATTATTGGCTTTTCACGTAAACCACCATTGGACTCTGAAGTTGGAACAGATACGGCCTTTGTTTAGCTTGTCAAAGCAAATCCACACTGACGTCGCAAGGATCGAGAGCTCTGATAGACGAGCTCAACAATCAGAGAAAAATAACGCCGCGGACGATGTAAAAGATACGACGGCTTCCTTCGGGACAGTGTGTTTGACGGCAGCAGCCACGTTATCTTTCGCTTCCGTCAATTCGCGAAACGTGCGGAAGGGCGAGTTAATACCGGACCCGGGCATAACGGATCTATGGGATTGTGATTCTGTGAGGTCGGAACGAAAAGACGGAGGTGGATCATTCCACCACCGATGGGACTGCGAGTGATCGTGTTCGAATCGATTGTTTGCTTGCCAACGACGTGCGTGCACTTTTCTGCTACGCCGGACAGTCGACAGCTGAAGCTTGATAAGAGGTCTGACTTGTCGTTACAGCGTGTAGCGCCGACGCATCTCCGAACGTGACTGCGCGAGTCGTAGAACAACGGTGATATCGCGATGAATACTACGCAACACGGTGAGGGCCAGTGGGCCACACATATCTCGGTGGCTCTTCTCGGCCTGCCTTAAACTGCCCAAGTTTCAAGAACACTCAGAGAGCAAGAGGTGCATCTCCACTGGTAGTCTTGAGTCGTGACCTCGTTCAATACATCCTTCATTGACCAGTGCGACAATTTTGAGCACAACCAAGGCGATTGAACGATGCGTCTTCGTTACCGTCTACTCATGGTAATGATAATTATATTGGTGTTCCTGAGCTGAACAAGACATACTAAACTACCATCAAAGACTGACACTTGTACTGATGGTGAACGCGATTCAAAGACAGGGTTACCACGGCTGCAATATCAGAGCAGAAGTAACCAGATGTCAGAAGCCGAAATCAGTTGTTCTTGTCAGAAGACTTCTTGCAAACCCGCCATTCATTGTGTCAGGTGGCACTACCCAGTTAGTCTGTCATTGGCGTACAAATTGTTCTCACATCAATTGACTTCAGCAGAACAGGATGTTCATGGCATCACTCGACGAGCTCGTGCAGTAATGAATGCGCATGTGAAAAACGAAAATTCGACGAGCTGTTCCTGTTGTCTGTGGCAATTCCGCTCTCGGAAGATTTTTACCCAGGGGTATAACATTCTCCTTCCCAGTGGCCGCCATTGCTGGCTATGGAGATGCACAGCAAATTTTGGTAACTTAAAGAATCTACCGACAGCTCGGCTTTCTGACCCTCCCACCTACTAGACATTCTCAAGTGGTTTGAAATCGTGGTGCAATTTGATAGCTAAGCTCGTTTTGGCAACCGGTGCTTAGAGTTAACTAGTATGCAATCTAAAAATCTCATGCACTTGGTGTCTCCTCCACTATCTGATCATGAACCATGCGAGGGTCATGGCTGGAGTTTTGAGCACTCTGCTTTGCCGTTCTTTCTGGTGAGCCAAATTGGTTCTTCCCGGCTCGACGCGCACTCTGGAACGTGGTCGGGAGGTGCTCAACAGTGTGAGCGGAAACATTGGGTGGGTTTTCAAAGCTGGGAACATGAACCCTAGCCTAACATATACCGGCTGGCTGTTACGTCGCTTGTGCCCATGTCCGAGCCGGTACAACTGGTATAGATGGGATTCGCGACATTTGTCGAAGCTGAGTTTGGAGGACGGTTCTCTCTCGACCAGGATTCCTCCGTTGTGCTTTGCTCAGACGACTGTTAGCGCCGTATCAGGACGTCGTTCAGCTACATGTATTGCTGCAAATGGCGGTGGCTGAGTGGAATTCAACCAAATTCAGGCACTTTCCACTCCGGGAAAATTAAATGGGAAGAGGCAGTCTCTGCAGATTGAGAGAATGGTTGGGACGCAGTGGATGAATTGGGTGGCTTGAACTGCTCCGGGAACTTTTGCTGCATGAATTCCATGACCCACAGAGCATCGTCGAAGCGATTCTGCTTTTGCAGAAGTTTGACAGTGTTGAAGAAGAACGAGAAGACAGTAGACTTCTGAGAGTTGGTGGATGGACTCAAGAAGGGATGCGCAGCAAGAGGTTTTAGCTCCCGAATAAAGTCCAGAGCAAAGTCAGCAGATGGCGTTGTGGGGTGATGCAACTTCAGGTTGGCGATTCTGTAAACAGCGCGATCCGGATGCTTTCTGTTCCAACGAGGGATCGCGTCGACAAATTGATCGTATAAGGTGACATCAGATGCGGAGGAGATGGTGAGCTTGACCAGGTTTTGGATCAGGTAACTGCCGGCGTGAGAAGTGGAGGCATGGGACAAGTGAGAGGTATCCAGGGCTCGGAAGAACGCAGAAAGAGCAGAGGCAAGAGCATGATCGGGAGCAGATAGATGGGTCCTGACCATGGAGTTGAGTAACAAGCCCTTGCGCCTACTCGCTTCTCTGGAGGAAAGATTGGCCGACGTCGGGACAGGGGTGTCAATCAACTCCCACAGAGCACTTTCCCTCCCCTCGTGGATGAGAAAGAAGGCCAGGTGATTGCAGAAACGGGCATCCAACGTGAAGGAGAGCGACGGGGTCGAAGCACTGGTCCAGAGCCATCTCAGAGCGCGGGTGCCAGCAGCATAGCGGCTGATCTGATCCTTTGTCTGTGCAGGAGATAGTACGGAAAGCGAGTTGCGGAAAGCATCGAGGCACAGTCTGGCAGAATTCAAGGTGGCGCGTCCAGCGGCGACTTGGTCCTCGAACAGGGCAACAGGATGCTTTGATTTGGCCTTGAGCTGTTGATGGACGGGCTTTGTAAGCAACGGGTTGGTCAAGATGGAAGCCAGGTGGCGGTCGGTGGCTGAGCTGGACGACAGAAGCTGTTGCTGAGTTGAATGCGAGGGCGAAGGCGAGGGCGAGGGCAAGCACGAGGCAGACGTGGAAGCGGAAACGTCGTGGTGGTCCAGCTGGCTGCGGAATGACGACGTGAGGGCGTTTAGCAAGCGCTGCGACTCGCGCTCCGAGAGTGGCAGCTGGGGGTGTATGCGTGATGTCAGGCTTTTGAAGGCCTGCTGCACTGACGACGCCTTCATGTTGGTGATGCGTATAGTATTCGAGTACTTAGTATACAGAACGCGAGTTGAGAGCGGGCAATTGTCATGACCGAATCGAGGGCGTCGTGCTTGGCATCTTGCTTCAGGCATCCGTATCAGGCCGCGTCGTTCTTTTTGCTTGCCATCCTGTCACACAGCACAATGATATTGGAGGATAGGAGTGACTAATTCAAGCTTTATTTGAGAATATACATACACAGCTGTGTGTGTTCGAAGAGATAATCGAACGGCGATAGCTTAGAAGGGCAGGACTGTGGTTTGCCATGTCTAGACTTGAAGTGCATGCAAGAGCCATAGGGCAGTCGCGACCACAGCAGCCACACTCGCACCGTAACACTTCGATCGCCTACAGTACCTAGATGGTCACTTTTGGCGCCATCTAAATGTCAAATCTCACCATAGCCTCCGTGTATTCAACAATAAGCTAACTGAGAGTGAGATGGATGTGTGATTCACACGTGACTCGGCCAGAAATGACGAACTGCCAAGACCGCTGCTTCACTCGTCCTGTCACTCGTCCTGCACATGGATAGCGACCTAGCACTCCAAAGCTGTCAAGACAACCCCCTTCCAACTTCCATCTTGCTCTCTCCGTCCTTGCCATCCGCCGCAACGTCCTCCCTCTCCCTCCACTTATCTCGCCTCACTTACACTTTTCTGCCTGTCCGGACAGGACAGTCGCTCCCATACCATGTCGGAATTCGACTCCAGACCCGTGGCATCACGGGGCAGAAGCTCTACCAGAGGCGGTCGTGCCTCGCATCCCAGAGGCCCTCCTCGCCAATCCCAGACTTCCTCAACTGGCCCTTCGTCGTCGGTGCAATTCGACGACTCGTTCGACGACCAGGGTGAATTGGGCAACATGAAGAAAACTTACTCGACCCAATTGAGCTTTATGCGCGACATGTTCCCGGACTGGACTGACGACGATCTCGTCTTTGCCATTGCAGAGGCAGACGGCGACGTTCAGATTGTCATTGACAGAATCACCCAGGGTGCGTCGCTGCTGTTGCTTGAGCCCTTTGCTCCTTGCTAACCACAACTACCCCACAGGCAACGTCTCGCAGTTCGCCCAGGTCCCCAAGAAGGGCAAGGATAGAGCGCGTTCAAAGGCCAAAGACGCTCCAGCTACTGCCGGCGCAGACCAGTCTTCGATTCCCCTTCGTGCTGGCCGTGGAAGAGGTGGTTTTGAGAGCTCCAGAGGTGGCAGAGGTCGCGGCACCGATCGCGGTCGTGGAGGCTTCCGTGGCGCCCGTGGTGGCCATGCTGCCGTCTCCGACTCGTTCCCCAAAGACACACCCGCCGTGTCAGTTCCTACCACAGAGTCCCCCGCTTGGGACAACGTCGCTGCCGAACCTGCTGCCGCCCCACTCGCATGGGATACCCCAGCTGTTACTGAACAGGGCGCATGGGGCAATGCCACCACCACATCCGACGCGACCCCAACCGCTGTCCCCGAAATCTCAAAGAGCGCCGCGCTTCATGAAAGCTCGGCCAAGAAGACATGGGCCAGTATGTTCGCTAAGCCCAAGCCTCCACCCGTTCCCGTTGTTCCGAAGCAACCCATCCAGGCTGCAGCCCCAATCGCCGCCGTCGAGCCCTCCCCTGCTCCTGCAGAGCTGCCTGAACAAAGCGAACCTTCATCTATCGCCCCTCAGGAACCCATTCCCGAGCAAGTTCAGCAACTCGAGCCCGAGGTTGCACCTGCAGTCGCCGAGGAGAAGCCCACAGAAGTCGAACAAACCGAGACAGCTCCCATTGCATCTGAACCTTCACCTGCAGCTGTTGAGTCCTCTACTTTGAGCCCCGAGGCAGACCTCGCATCCTCCCACGCTCCGTTGACCGAGGACAATCTTGAACACCTTCCGGATACTTCGATCAAGCCCGCAACTCAAACTGTCGCCAGCACTGTTGGTTCGGTAGATCCCCGCGTGGCCACTCCCGCCACCTCTCAACAAGCGCCCATTGGCCGTCCTCCTATGGGTGGCTACGCAGCCAGCGCATACAGAGCAGCTGGCACACCCGGCCGTAACTCAAGCTACCAGCGTAGAGTGCTCGAGCAACAAGAGGCTGTCGTCATGCCGGGCCACAACGCAGTCGACAGAGCCGCTGTGCAGTTCGGCAGCATGGGCTTGAACGGCGAACCCGACAGCCTTGATGTTGATGAAGAGAGAGAAGAGCCCGAGACACGCACTCAGCCTCCCCAGCAATCTCCCCCCTCTCAACCCAGAGCTTCGCTGCCTCCTGCCCCCAGACAGCCCGCTATCTCTCAAGAGTCTTCGATCCACGACAGCATTCCCACCCCCAAGCAGGCTCCTGGACTTCCCCCTGTTCCTCAGCAATCATTCGGTGGTCACCAGGATGCTTCGCCTATCGGATCTGTGCCTCAAGAGCACTCGCAGTCTCAGGGCTATGGCCAGTACAGCCGTTATGGCCAGAGTGGCATGCAACAGCCCGACATGAGTGCACAGTCCCAGAAGTCGTTTGACCCCTTCAGTCACCAGGCTCCTTCTACTGCCTACGACCACTACGCCTCTCAACATTCGGCTCAACAACACCAGCCATTTGGCGCATTCTCCTCTGCTCCTTCTGACTACTCTCAATACTACACCGCCGACCAGCAGAGAAACGCTTACCAAAGCTACTACGGCGGCTCCTACGGCCAGCAGGCTTCTCAGTCTCAGGACAATACTGCCAACCAGCAGCGTTCGAGCAGTGGCTTCGGTTCTGCTCCCAGCGAGTCGGCCTTCTCCGCCACCCAAGCCCCTCAACAGGTTAGTAACGTCCCATCTTTGTACTCTGCACAACAAGATCCTTACAAGCTGTCCCAGTCTCGCTACGGCGAAGCTCCCGGATCAGGCCAAAATACCCCTGCTCCTTCCAATAGCCAGGTTCCTGCTGCTGCTGCTCCTAGTGCAGCAATGCACCAGCAGCCTCACTCGCAGTACAACCCTGCTTACCCTTACGGACATCCTTACTACCAGAGCCCTTATCACGCAGCTTACCAAAACCAGTTTGGATACCAACAGCCCGCCTATGGCAGTCCCTTTGGCGGCAAGGGTGCCATGTACGGCCAGCCCCACGGCTATGGCATGAACTCGGCTTCGTCTTATGACCACTCAGCATCACCTGCTAATGCTGGTGGATTTGGCGCACAACCCTCGATGCAATCTCGTGACACCGGCATCAGCAGCGGCCTTGGTGACTATGGTCGCACCTCTGCTCAGCCTTCGAACCTCAGCAGCGGTTTTGGTGGTATGTCAGAGCCTTTTGGCCGTAGCCAGTCTGGCTATCAGGGCCAAACTCAGGGCTACGGCCAGCAGCAGAGCAGCGGCCAGGCCGATGATCTGAAGCCCTTCGGAGAGTCAAAGGCTAGTGGCCCATCACCTGGTCTTGGCCAACCCGGCAGACCCAGCTCGGCTGCAAACAGCGTTGGTGGACAGACTCCTTCGACCACATTGCCCCCTCCTCAGAGCCACCAGGCAGGCTTTGGCGGATACCCCGGCTTTAATAGCCAATACGGACTCGGTGGACTCGGCGGACAGAGCCACCAGCAACAACAGCAGCAGCAGCAGCAGCAGCAAGGCGGATACGGCGGATATGGTAGCGGATTTGGAAACTCATACTACGGAGCACGTGGTGGCTGGGGTGGAAACTACGGCGGTCACTAAACCAAGGCGTTTATTCATGAGCGGCAGGTTTGCCGGAGGGGAACATTGTACTCTATGACAAGATTTTTCTTTCTGTTCTATGGCCTGTTCATCTCTCGTCCATCGCAGTTCAAGCGATTATGCGGCATCATCGGAAAAGAATTGAAATCTCTGGCACGATTGGCTTCGATGATATACCTGATTTAGCCCCTTTTTCTTTCGACTTCTCGGTCTATATGTCCAATTGTTCCTATGATTGTTTGTGTTGATGTGATTGATCTTTGGCCAAGTGAATGACCGAACGATGTGACCCTGAATGTGCCTGGATGTGGAAGGGAACTTTAGTGGGGCCTCTGTAATTTAGTCAGCCATCACACATTCGCAGTCCCTCTAGTATCCACACACCTGCCACGTCAACTACACAAACGCGGCATTTCAACATGGCTCGAGCAACATCGAAAAAGGCTACCAAGCCCCTACAGGATCCGAGATTACCACCGCCGCCCTTTACAAAAGCACCGGAGGCTCTGGAAGCTTTTGTCGAAAGTCTGGACAAAGCCCACGTCTACATTGTCCATGTCGACCGATTCCCTGCAGCGTTCAAGAAGCGCATCTTCACCGTTCCCGTCCTCCTCAACATTGCCATCGCCGCACTGCTCGCATGGCGACTCTATGCCATCCTTCCTACATACCTGGCAATCTTCACCTCGGTGATTGGCCTCGAATCGCCTGCAACCGTTGACACAGCCGGCCAGACCAAGTCACATCTGGCATGGGTCTTGACAAAGCGCGTGGCCATGTTCATGTTCGACTTTGTCCTCTGCCGCTTCATTCTACCCTGGCCCATCACCTTTTTCCTCGAGGCGCCTGCCAACCCATGTTACTGGCGCATCAAGGTCGGTTTCGGCGATCAAGAAGTCGCTGTACGCATCAGCCGCGATTGGGGCACTGAAGAGCTATTGGATGGCGTAAAGACTGGAGCAGATAGCCCGTTCTTCACAACGCGCATTTTGCCGGCAATCGAACGCAACTACATGCGCCAGAAGACGGCATACCTTATGATGGGCAAGGATTGGGACCTGGACTTTGGTGCCATGGTGAAGGCGCATCGCTTGATCGACGACAAGGAGAACAGTCTCAAGGACTTTGAAAAGAGTGTACTCGCGTACAGTGAACAACATGGATGGCTGTACTGGGCTGTGCACAAATTGGACGAAGAGGGCGAGGAAGAGGAGAACAGGAAAAAGATTGTCGCGCTCAAGGACCGCTTGACCGTCATGGGCAAGGAGAGTCTGTTCTTCCGCTGGATCGAAATCGTGCAGTACGAGAGCAGTCGTCCTGGCGATTTCACTCCTGAGCGTCAAGTCGAGACATACAAGAAGGTGCAGCAGGAGTTTGAAAAGCATGGCGTTGATTTCAGGGAGCTGCTCGAGAAGGTCGGCGGCTTCGACGGAATGCCAGGTCTTCCTGCTTCGCAAGCTCCCATGTGAGATAGAACAGCAGCAGTTGCACAGTCACGCGACCGCATGGAAAATGAGAATGCTTGAAAGTTTCTTCTATAATATTCTATACACAAGGAAGCAAAATCGCAGCAATGGTATCGAGCTCGTGCTTGTCGTCCGTCGTCCCAAATCTACAGACTCTCCCTGCCGGCGACCTGGAAGAGAGTGCTTCCACTGCCGGGCTTGCTGACGACAATGGCATCTTGCAGTTTTTCAGCATCCATGTCGGGAAAATGCTTCTTGTAGTACTTTTCTTCCCATGCCTTCTTGACGGCCTCGACCTTGGCCTGGGGCACAAGATGCACACTGCAGCCACCCCATCCAGCACCAGTCAATCTGCTGCCGTATGCGCCAGCCGAACGAGCGAGCTTACACAACTCATCGAGCTCGGGACATGAGCACTCGTAGACGTCGCGGCATGATTCCTGTGTGTCGTTCAAGAGACCACCTAGACCCTTCAGAAGCTCCTCGCTCTCCTGCTCGTTGGATGGGGTAGGCGACTGAAGCAGGTCCATGAACTTGAGGACACGCACAGCCTCACCAAAGACGTGCATAGCTCTTTGTCTAAGCTTGAAGGTGTCTGCGCGTACAGGGAACTTGGTCATGTATCTCTTCTCCAGCTCGTCGACAGAGGTACCAATGAGCTCCGAAATTTGTTGGCGAGTGTAACCTTCTTCTTGAGGCAGGTAGTTGTCGACAATGTGCACGAGCTGATCGAGCTGAGAACGGAAGTCCTTGACATCATCTCCGACAGCACCCTTTTTCTTGAAGTAGCTGTCGTGGAAAGAGCGCAGACTGAAACCCAGAGGAGAGGAGTCATCTGGGAGGTCCTTCAGGCCACAGATGTTGGCCAGGACGCGAGCAGCCAGAGTGCATTCGACAACACGGAGGTTGTAGCAGACGGGGGCGGTGACGTGCTTGTCGGCAGCAACAAAGGATTGAGCAATGACAAAGGTCAAAGGGGTGTGGGTCTGAGGGAACTCGATGGTGCGAGCAGAGAGCTCGGGCTGGAAACCGACATAGAGGGCAGAGCCTCTCTGGGAGAAGACCGAGGCAGCCTGGTCCATACCACCGGAGTTGACACCGACGGCTCTCTCGGAAACAACAGCCAGCTCGACCAGCTCTTTCTTGTCGACCGTCTCTTGGCCGTGGGCTCTCATGACAGCCAAAGCACTGGCGCAGACAAAGGCGGCACTGCTAGACAGACCGCCTCCGGCAGGGACGGTACCGTCGGCCAGGATGTCGATGTTCAGTTGGCCAATGCCCTTGACGGCGTGTTTCTTGAGCAGCTCAGTAGCACCGCGCAGGCCCGACTTGAAGTAGTTGGTCCACTCATGCGACTTTGCGTCAATGTCGACGCCTCCGTCTTGGGCAAGGGTGAAGGAGCGGGTAGCGAACTTGTCAGACTGAACGTTGGCAATGCGGACGGTGGGAGTGCCATTGGCGGGAGAGACGGCGACGGCGAGCAAGACATCGGCTGTCACGGCCATGGGGATGACCTCGTACAGCGAGTAGTCGATGTGTTCACCGATCAGGTTGACGCGACCGGGGCTGCGTGACACGAACTCGGCGGGGCGGCCATAGGCGTCCTTGAACGATGACAGCAGCTTGCTCCATCTCTTGCGCTGGATGTCGAGGGCGTCCTGAGGGTAGATGTCGTCGAGCGACTGTGTGACGGGCACGTTTCCTGCCATTGCTGCGTGAGGTGAGAAAAGTCGACGTCAGACGAGCAGTCTTGATGTGGATGTGTGCATGTGGGTGCCGGAGAATATATACGACTACGTCCCGCTCTAATTATCCAGCCTGGGGTTTCTTCTTGTCACTTGTGGAGCTCTGCGGGGTCCTTCCAAGCAGCTTCTTGTTTCACTCGCGTGCTTGCCCTCGCTCTGCTCTTGTCACTTTGGATTCCTCACCATCATCCGAGCCACGCTCTTCCCCTCGACAAGCTTTCTTTTTCGTGATTCGAATGGCAATCTAGGAACATGCTGCTGCCAGAGGCACTGCTGAAATCACTCCACGTTCGGGAAAATCCCCCCACCAAACCCTACATGCTGCGTCTGTGCGCTCCTTTCGTCATTTCCACCACACTTGCTTAACAACCCACTTAGGTACCCAACTATGCTTCACTTACTATTCAAGTCTATGAAGATGCACAATGTTTTTGGGAACGATAGAGGGGTCCGAAGGGTGTTTGAGGGCCATCTCAGGGGTATTTCACAGGTCTTCATCTACTTTCACTGAACTCCACTTCGCAAAATACTTGTAAAAATGCACAGTGTTTTTGAAACTTATCAATTGGTCCAGAGAGAGTAAAAATGCACGAAGGAAATGGTCTTTGGCACGTTTATTTCAGGGTGAAAAAAAAAAGTTTTCATTGTTTGTAACTAAAAGCAACCCTAACCGCCATCCCAAAAATGCAGTATTAATTGGCATGTGCAAAAATGTATCCAAGAACGCCGATGAAAATCTATTCCAATCTGCTTCTAAGACGCGAGTGTATAGTTTAGGGAGGGAGGGGGCAAAGGAAAAAGGGGGTAGGGGTACAAAGTAACCGGTGAGAATAACCAAAGCGAGAACATGCTGACCCTTTAACGACCCCAGACCTTGTTGTCTCTAGTGATGAGAGCGTAAACATTGAGAAGGCCGTGGAAGTAGCTGAAGGCAATCATTGCAGGGATGAACTTGATGTCTTGAGGGAACTCACAGAAGTGAGGGATGATCTTGACAATCTTGGTGAAGAGAATCCAGGAGACAAGGGCAATGAGAGCAGCGTTGCGAGTGTAGCTGTCGTAGGTAGACATACCGTTGTAGAGGAGAGTCAAGAGACCGCCGTCGATGAGGAAGGCAGGAGTCTGGAACTGACCAATGTAGATGGCGTAGAGAGACCAGATGTGAGTGTCGTACCAGTAAGTTGTAGTCTGCATGACACGGAAGTTACCTCTCCAGTGACCACGAGCCCAGCGCATGCACTGGTTCAAGAACATCTTAGGCTTAGTCTCGAGGGTGGTCATGATGCGGGCGTTGGGGTCGAATTGAAGAGTGATCTGGAGGCCCTGGTCATAAACCCATCTAGTGAGGTTCTTATCGTCATCATGGTTGGCAGCGTTGAGGAAGAATGAATAAAAGTCATCGTTCTGAAGGAGGCTGGCACGGTAGAAGCTGGTGCGACCAGAAAGAGTTGAAACGGCACCGTCAATGGAGTTGGTAGCACCTGTGTTGAAGTTGCGGCGCTCCAAATAGCAGATACCAAGGAAATTTGTGAAGGATGTGGGCTTGTCAAGGTCAGTGGAGCGGCAAACTCTTTGAGATGGTCCACAAGCACCAACTTTCGAATCTTCAAAACAGGCAACCATGGTATCGATGAAGGTATTCTTAGGCCAGAAAACATCGTCATCAGCGAAGGCGACGATTGAACCAGTGACAGCTTGTTGAAGAGCTGCAACCATTTGAGTTCTCTTGTTGAGCTTGTCAACACCGACGACCTGGACAATGTCGAGCTTTTCACTCTCGGTTTCGGCAGAAGCAGTGACTTCAGCGCAGGCGGCAAGAACACTCTCGACGAGAGCATTGCTGGTGACAACAATGAGCTGGTGAGGGTTGCAGACACGAATGCGTTGGAGGCAAGAGATGACCTCAGCCTTGTCGGCAAAGACGGTAGGAACAACAACAGAGACGTCACTGGAGGTGAAGGTTGGTTCGGACTTGATAGGATGACCCTTGAGGTTGGCAAAGGCAATGATGTTGACGATCAGGCGCAAGTAGCGGAACACACTAAGCAGGAAGAAGGTTAGCATGTATGGGTTGGAGAACTTGCCCGAGACGCAGTAAACCGACAAGGCGATGGAGAAGGCGATCAGGGAGTAAGCCATTTTGGGGTACTTCTTCAAGAAGGGCTTGGTGTAAGGCTTGCCAAGGTTGAGGAGGAAGCTAGGGCCGGAAGTCAGCAGGATGTAAGTAAGGTCGAGAAGCTTGAACATCATGAAGATGATAGGAATGATGGTGAGGATGAGCATTTTTGTTTTGGGGAGAACGAGCCAGTCGTTCTGTTGTTTTGGGGTGGGCTGAGTAGATTGCTCTTGTTTTGTTTTTGTGTTTGTGTTTGGATCTGGAGAGAGGAAAGGAGAGGGCATCGAATGTGCATTAAGTATTGGATTTAGGTCCGAGAGAGAGCGATACCTTTGTCAGTGGGCACAAAGAGTTATGTGCTTTGATGGCCTTGGATCTCTTTCATGGATTGCGGTATGGACAATGGAGGGAACCCGCGATTGAAAGGGCTTAGAGACCGCGCACAAAGGAGAGATAGTGGAGATTGAGAAGAGGCGCGAGAACCAAAGAAGCAGGAAGTTGTGAACGACGAGAGAACGAGCGACAATGAGATGTGTGACACGAACGTGGAGATGTGGTGAAGGATGGTGGAAGCCACTTGAACAGGTTGTGAATGAAACGTGAGATTAGCTGAAAGAAATTCAGCTCAACAAAGGGTCGGTAATTTGTAATGGCTCCCTGCGCTTTCACGATGCTTTGAAGGCTGTGCCTGTCTGTGTCTGTTGCTGGAGACATCGAAGAGTGCAGCAGTAGGGGAGGCACACACTTTCGGGACATGACCATTTCTGACCTCAGGTCTATGTCTGCCGACAGACAGATCTGTTAGTTAGGGTGAGGTTGTGGAAAGCCAGACTTGTTTCTATGTGGAGGATACCTGGAATATGAGGATGTTGCATCCATGAGAGCGACCGAAATGCTCTCTTCAAGCAATCGAGAAGGACAGGTTACCTTTCTGTGAACCGGAAGCTAAGCGAAGCATCGCGCTATCCCCACCCCTGAGTCTGAGTACTGATGTTTGCTCGGTATCAGGCGGATTCTGCTCGAGGGAAAGCTAAGAGACTGTTGAGAGGTTACAGAGTATACTTGAGAGAGAATATAAAGCGTCCTGGATTGAGTTGGCTGAACCTGATCATCTCCGTTTTCTGATCCTTTTTTGATCTCCTGAGTTCTCAGTGTTTCTTGCGGCGGATAGTGACAAGGTCCAGACATCGAGATCGAGACCTATAGGGCAGTAAGAAGTCCTGCAGAGGCACCTCTTGTTTGTAGAGTTTTATTGCAATTCCATAGATTGATGCACAGTCGCTTGCCCATGGGAAGAGCGCCTTACGTGTCGATGAGCATCGCTTTAGACTCACATCGAACTGCGGTGTAGGACCCAAGACTGACCAACTTTCCAGATACATAATTCCAGAAGCTATACACATGCAGGGTCCACTTGACGATGTTGTCGACAGGATAGGAGAGACGCTGGGTAGATCTGAAACCAGTGGTTGCTGATTTCTGCCAAGTCCATCGAAGTTTGCCGCATGTTTGTCGAATGGACCAAGTGGAGTTGGAACACAACCAGAACAAAATGCAATTCCGCTGAGATATTCATCTTTACGTCCGCGACTTTCTTTGTCAACACAGCTCCACGGGAATTCAATGGTGGCACTTGCGAGCTGGGAGAAGTTGTTAGCCGCTCGAGCAAACACTGCAAGCTCGGTCTTGTTGAACTGCGGTATAACATGTCTAGAGATGGTCATGTCTCTGCCCACCACCTTGCATGATACTCGGGGTATCAGACATTGACTGCGTTGACAGCGGAGTCCGGACGGCGGAAACACGCAGATACCGGAGCCATGGTATGTATTCAGCGGGGCGAGAGACAATTCCTTGGTGCGGAAATCGTTCACCAATCATCCCAAGCCATTTCAAGCGGTGTAGCGCGCAATAGGTGCGGTGTGAGCCCGACTGTTGTAAGCCTGCTCAATCATCAGGTGTCTCAGCGACTCTGATTGGAGTGACTACATGCGCTGTCGGTGCGGCGCGCAGCCCGCAATTTGTTTGGTTGGCCATGACCGGTCGAATTCAAAGGAAATCCATGGGAATTTATGGGTCGACTTCCGAGCCTGCTTGCATGTCCTTCTAAGGTAAATGCTTTGTTACAATACAAGACAGGACAGCCATGGACAGGCCACCTCTCTAGATTGCAACATCGCTTGGAGCCGTGGTTTGTATGACTTAAAGACTGAGCCGGCGCCCAGGATCTAGGAACTGTCCTGCTTGATTCTTTGTCTGACTAGTGCTGCTCCTGGCCGAAAAGAGCATCTCTGCAATAAATAGCGTTCTCTGGCCCGTATCTGGTTTCCGCTTCATGCCTGTCAAATCCGTCTCTAGTTGACAGTAAAACACTCTGCCCACATCCGAACGGGTACTGGCATCCAAACCTGAAGACGGGAAGCGGCATATCATCTCGGCTGTATCTAAGCGAGCAGGTCACGAACGCCAAATGTCTCCAAACTCGTTGGCCGTTCGCGTTCTACACTGGATCACACCCATCGCGATCGGCACGACCTTCAGTGTCGCACGGCTCGTTGCATTCTGCGCACTTCAGAAACCATCCAGGTGCTCTCGTAGCTTGGCCAAAACTAGACAGATTGTGACCGCGATCCTGTCCGCAGCTGTTCTGCTGCTTTTCGTATGTTACTTGGCATCTTCTTGGAAACCTTCACTGACACCCTTGAGATTGGACAAGCTGTGAGATATGCCTTCCAACAGTTTCAAGGGCTCGAGCAGCGAAATATATCGCAGGATTTCCAAGTAAGCAGCCATCAAGGCTAGTCAAAATCCTCGTTCTAACTTGATTGAACAGGTTTATATTGGTGGATCCATATTCATCTGGGGCACTGTGACCGTAAACCTGTTGGGCAAGTCCAGACGGGTTTGGTATCCCTACGCTGCAATATGGATTCTAGGTGCTTTGCTTGAGACCTGCGTTCTCCTATTCAATGATTCGCTTAAATCTGGCGAGCTCTATTCAAGTCTTGATCCTGCTCTGCAGATTAGTCGCATCGTCTGCTTGTTGATTCTTGCTGGAAGTGGGTTCTGCTTCTCCATAACCTGCAGGTTGTTTCGGCAAAGCGTCGATGAAGAGAACCAGCCTCTGCTCAGTGCCCACGGTAGAGCAGATGCGGACTACGCTTCAGTTGCATCAGATGACGACCAGGACCGCTTGATTATGGATGATGAAGATGATGGACCGAATAGGACAAAAGAGTTGAAGGAGAAGCAAAGGAAGCGTTTGCAGGAATGTGGAAGTTGGATGGCATATCTGAGGGACTTCAAGCTGCTCGCAAAGCTTGCCTGGCCCTCTGGAAACCGATCAGCCAAGATCTGTCTGGCTATTCTGATTGTCGTGATCCTTGCCGATAGAGCTCTGAACCTTTTGGTTCCAAGACAACTCGGAATCATCACCGACAAGCTCTCTGCTGTGCACGAAACCGGTACTGTTTTGCCTCATCATCGTTATTGGACCTTCTGAAGTTAGGGACTAACAGCCACCAGGCGAGATACCTATCCGAGAAATCGGACTCTGGATGTTATATGTATGGCTCAGCTCTTACGCCGGGCTCCATGCGATCACTCAGTTTTGCCAACTTCCCATCGAGCAGCACGCCTACCGAAAGATCGGCACAACTGCATTTGGTCACATTATGAATCTGTCGATGGACTTCCACAGCAACAAGCATTCAGGAGAGTTGATGGCGGCCATTGGTCAAGGTCAGCATCTGTATCGGCTGTGTGATTTCATCTTTCTCGACGTAGGCCCGATGATATTCGACCTGATAATCGCACTGATCTACGTCACACTTCTCTTCGATGCAAGCATAACCTTGATCATGATCTTGGTCGGAGTTGGGTATACCTGTATCGGAACCAAATCTACTTCGTGGGCCATGCAACGACGCAGACGTTACAATCAGGCTCAACGGAATGAATCCAAGGTGCAGAACGAAAGCATTGGAAATTGGCAGACGGTCGCACACTTTAACATGGCCGAATACGAGTGTGACCAGTATTCCAAGGCTGTCGAAGAGCATAATATTGCAAGAGGTCGCTACTACATGGTTCACTATGCAGGATATGCCGCGCAAAATCTGATCCTATTACTTGGTCAGCTCTCCGCTGCTCTACTCGCAGCGTACCGTGTCTCTCGCGGTGATGCGCCAGTCGGCAACTTCATCACTTTGGTGACATACTGGCACACGATCGAGGCTCCCCTGACAAGTGTCTCGTTCTCGGTTAGACAATTGTCGCAGATGCTCATTGACTCGGAACGACTATTGGAACTTTTGCGCACCCAGCCAAGTGTCGCCGATCGTTCCGGAGCAAAACCTCTTCTCCTCACCCAAGGCAGGATCGAATTCGACAATGTCAGGTTCTCGTATGATGTGCGCAAAGCTTCACTCGAGGACGTCTCTTTTGTTGCTGAAGCAGGCAAGACCATTGCACTTGTTGGAGAGACTGGTGGTGGCAAGTCGACGATCCTCAAGCTCCTTTTCAGATACTACGATGTGTCGAGTGGTGGCATCAAAATCGATGGCCAAGACGTTCGAAATGTCACGTTAAGCAGTCTTCGTGCAGCCTTTGGCATGGTTCCTCAAGATCCATCTTTGTTCAACACTAGCATCATGGAAAATGTTCGCTACGCTAGAATGGAAGCAACAGACGAGGAGGTGAAAGAGGCTTGTCGCGCAGCAGCAGTTCACGACCGCGTCGTGTCTTTCCCCGATGGCTATCAATCCACAGTGGGTGAACGTGGCGTCAAGCTCAGTGGTGGTGAACTTCAACGCATTGCCATCGCCCGAGCAATTCTACGTGACCCGCGTATCGTGCTGTTGGATGAAGCTACAAGCATGATCGATGCCGAGACGGAAGCCGCAATTCAGAAGGCTTTCAAACGACTAACAAAGGGAAGAACGACATTCGTCGTGGCTCACCGGCTATCCACGATTCAGGATGCAGACCTTATTCTTGTTGTACAGAATGGGCAGATCGTGGAAAGAGGCACCCATGAGCAGCTCTACGCTCTAAACGGTAAGTACACTCGACTCTGGTCAAAACAGCTTTCGAAACAGTCAACGCAGACATGATCTGGTATTTGTGGCGGGGTTTACGGTTCAGAGTATTAGTTTTCGGACAAGTCTCGCTGGTGGTATTCGTTGAGCAAGCGCATGATACCCGGTGGTCGTAATCGTGTGAGGTGAACCTAATTATTAAAAGTTGTTTCAGCAGGGGCCGTATCCTAATAAAACAAGAGTGGATTTATCGTTCCTCGCTCGAGCAGAGCTCTTCGCCAAACTCGCAAAATCGTTCTGTTGTTTGTGATTGCTATCCTGAATTGATTGAAAGAGTGAGATAAAGCTCTGCAGTAGCGTAGACACAGCTGCATCAATCTTGTCCTGGCAGCGGACTCCACCGCTCCCTCCTTAGACTCTTGTCTAGCTCTACCTACAAGAAGCCATAATGCTCTTGAGGATTAGGCAAACGTCCAATGAGAGCAGCACTGCTTCGGGTTCTCCTTGGATGATCATGTCAACATAGAAGACATTGTATTATGCCTTTTGGCGACTGTAGTAGGCCCCTTCTCGGAGCCCTTACAGTGCAGTTTCTCTGCCTCTGGAGCCAAGCCGGTGATCTACTGGGGGCCTTGCAAGATCACTGCGAAACGACAATTCCGAGTGATGACGAACGTGTTTGACGATCAAAGTCTGGCAAGACAGTAGTTGCCTGTGCCAGGTAGTTTTTTTTTGTATTTGAGGAATCAAGCAAAAAGAATGAACATCCCAGTAACAGGCATCAAGCGAGTAAAATAAAGAAAGTGAAACGGGCGATGAGGCCAGGAGAAGATGGATCAGAGCGACAACATGTCGCCGAATCGGAACTTCGTACCTGTTGGACCACATGATTCGCAAACGTAGGAGGTAAAGAACATCAAGAAAAAGAAGAGAGGCGTTAAGTGTGCGACATTGCAGGATGTCCCGCCAACAAAGCAATGGAACCATAACGCCATGCGAGAAGACCGCATACCAAGTGCGACCCCAAAACCTGAGATAGTCTAGAGGTGTAAAGAAATCCATAGAAAACGCAATGAAGAAAATCTAGCCGCGCATATTATGGCTGCGCTGATAATAGGGAAAAGAAAGAAATGAGGAGCATCGTAACGGAAAGCTGTGCTGTCTGTCCCAGGCTCGACAGACTTGGAAAGGAAATATGAACAGTTGAAGAGGCGCTAAACGGAGAAAGATTTTTTTGTGGCGATGTGAGCGTGTGATCAAAAACTTTTTTGGTGGTCCGGGGTACGCTGGAAGACGCGGCAAGAAGTAAAACTTTTTTTTAGCAATGCTGAATCAAGACACAGTAAGCTGCTGGTACCGTGGAGCTTTTGTAATTCTGGGATCGAATTCGAGGTGTCATTCGTGTTGAATGTGGTCGACTAACCGACAGCAGTCTGGGCAGGATATCCGGAAGCACCCATGAAAGACATGTATTGACGAGAACATGCCATGCAGTTGCAGCCAGGAGGGTGAGAGCCTCCCCAGGTGGGCTGGTTCCAAGGGGAGTAGTAGTTTGAAGCCAGAGCGGGTGGGAGGGGCAAGGCGCAGCCACCGTATGCAGTAGAACGGCGAGCCTGCTCCAAGGCAGCAAGGCTGTTAGAGTGATCAAGCTCCTCCAACGTAGGGTAGCGGTGCTGGGAGTTGTAGAATGCCTCTACCGAGTTGGTGGGCTCGGGACGGTTCCAGGGATCGGCTGAAGTGTAGGGAGTGCCAGAGTATGTAGAGGATGGTCTTGAAGACTGCGGGGTGAAGTCGGCGAAGCTACCCTTGTACTGCGGCTGGAAAGGAGAACGCGAAGCTCGGGGCGACTGGCGCTGAACGTTAGTGTTGAGCGGAGACAGGCGAGCAGTGCGCGAACGGCTGACGGCCTGAGCATCGTAGTCGGTCCAGGCGCGCAGCCAGCTGGCCAGACCAGCAGGGTCAGTGGGATCGCAGTGCAGGTCGAAGGAAATGAGGGCAAGCCACTCCATCTCGAGGTTGTTCAGCTCGGAGACTCTGATGCCAGTAACGTCAGACCAGGAGCGATTGATGAACGTGTTGTCGTCAAGGAACTTGCTACCCAGGATCAGGGCGACGGCGAGAAGACGGTAGATGTGGTTCTCGGACGAGGGGTTGGACTTGGTGGGATGGTAGTCTCGGAGACGGACGGTCAAGTAGTGCAGACTGAGGAGAATGGTTGCCGAGGGCAGCCTGGTGGCCGACAGGACTTGCGAGACCCACTTGCGGAACGAGGGTTGGATGGGGACACTAGGCTGGATGCTTCGACAGATGTCAATATCTGCAAGGCAGATGGGGGACAGATGGAGAGCATACATTCCCGACGCCGATTCTGCCACAAAATTCGTCATACGTTCCATGTCGTAATCGAGCTTCGCCGATACTCCGCCTGTTGCCTTGTCCTCCTTCTGCGTCGACTGCTGCGCTTGTTGTTGCTGCTGTTGCTGTTGCTGTTGTTGAGCGGCTTGGCTACGTTGCTCCTCCTGTAAGCGAAGGCGGTAATCGTCCTCCAGAGACAGACGCTCCTGCATTCTCAAAGGAGGCAGGATGGGGGCGCCTGATGACTCATAATAATTGTTGATGGGAGGAAGAATCGGGTTACGCTGGAAAGCAGACTGCGAATATCCTCTTGAGTAGTCATAGGCGACATCCTGGCGAGAGTCGCAGGTGCGGTATGAGTCTTGAGGGTACTGCATGCGCTGACAGCTGGAAGGGAAGAACTCTGGCGGGGTAGGTGGGAGTTGGCGGGGGTAGAAAGACGGCATGATTTCGAAAGAGGTCGACAATCGAGTGTGGCTTCACACCCTGGCGTATATCAGCACGAAGAGACGACGAGCGAGGGAAGTCGGTGAAGCGAACCGATTACTTCGCGCCGGCGGCGAAGCGCAAAGAGCTCTGGGCCCACGCTTCTTTACAGGCTCAGTTGCATGCGCGACAGGACAGGCCTAAGTGCAAGACTGACGAAGCGGACTACGGCAGACGCGGGCAGTGTGCAAGGTGGTCGGGTGTAGATATTCGGATACCAGGCAGCGAGAGGCGTAGGTGGTCGGCGGCGACGGATGGATGGGGGCAGAGGAAGCGAAGAGACGAGTGCTGGAGTGAACGGACGATAAACTAATATGTCCTCCGAGCGATGATGATGGGTGTCGTCGTGGCTATCTGTCTGGCGTGGACGAAGGCTTCACTCGAAGTGAGGTTTGCGTCGAGCGAGTTCACAGGCTGCGAGAGCGGCGGTGCAGGGAGATTCGTCCGAGAGACGAGAGAATTCCAAGCTACCTGCGAGCCAGTCGAGAGCAAAGAGACGCTCCTCACGAGATGCGCCCAACGAGAAGGGTGAGAGAAGTTGGTGGAGAGTTGACAAAGGACGACGCAGCCTTCGGACCCTCAGGGATTGATTGATTCACAGAGTGTGTGGCCGTGGCCTTGGCACCAATCAGACTTTGGACACGGCAAAACCAATTCATCATGACGAACAGCTCCTCTCGCTCTCGCCCTCGCCCTCGCGCTACTCAAGTACCCTTCGCTTGTGCCTATTTCGCTCATGTCTGTTTGCACTACTTTGTCCAGCGCATGCTCTTCCTCTGCGCTGCCTCGCACACCCCTATCCTCACCTCATCTGTACGCGCAAACCTGAGTTTACCTGTACACGCCCAAAAGTACCCAGCCACGTTTTTAGTGCTTTTTCAACCATCCTGATGACCCATACGAGTACTCGTGTCCGGTTGCGCTCGGCTCCTCTGCACTTCCTCATCGCCGCCCGGTCTCCGCCGTCTTTGCCCAACTCTTTGTCTCGATCGCTCTTTCTTTTCGTCGAGTCATCGCTCCACCTCATGCTCACCACCAACGGCCTCGGCATTATGTGGCTTTCCATCCTAAAACATAACCGATTGTGAATTATCGTATAAAAGGCTGCACAAAACCCTATGCCCCCCAGCCTTGCCGAATTGTAAGTTGTTAGCATGCTTTGTGGACACTCCACCAACACGTCCGATGCATGTCACATGTTCGAATCGACCACCTGTCCGGTTGCGTTACAACAACTAGGCAGAATGCTATTTGGTTGCTCCACGTAAGCTTATACAGCCGGTCTGCTTTAAACATCCGCGAAGAATGCAAAGAAGATGCACTCTCATTGCGTGCCCGGCATGTTTACCAAGAAGCACAAGATGTTGATATGATACTAGTAGAGTTTGACCAGCAGAACAATCATGCCGTTTGCATACACTGAACATACTACATCCTTTTTTGAAATTTCGTATCTTAGGAATTTTCTCCGACCTTCGAGTCCTACCAGGTCATGAGCCGAGAGGTACCATTCAAACAACCCGATTTTAAATTCGTCGTCTTCTTCAGTTTCTGCTCCAGCGACAGGTTCTAGTCTGAGGTGTGTACATTGGTCGACAAGAAGAGAGCGAAAAGCGATCCGTTCCCGACATCATGATTGTGTCCCAACACAAAGGGTGGACATAGAACGCATAACGCATGTGCTTTCCTTGCGCAGTGCGTTCAATGTTCGAATCCTTCATTTTCCAGGAGGTGTATATACGTCGGCTGGTGGTGTCTCTGTTGATTGCTACGTCATTTACAACACCCGCTGCTCATGACACACTTGCTAGCCATCATCCAGAGAGAATCCGAGGCCTCATCGCCCTAGACTCTTTTTGCTCGCGATCTTTGCAACCTAGAAGCACTTTGCATGGTTTCAGCTTGTCCTCAGAGCTTGCAGTCATGAAAGAATTCCTCTCCGGCTGTACTCGGGTCAGTTTTGGCACCTGCTAAAAGAGTTCAAAACGTAGTTTGGCACTTTCCATATATCTGCTTCTCTTATATACTTGTAACACAAGAGTATATAGCATCTAATGACCCAAAGGTCAAGTGCTAGCTATAATGGTATGTTTGGACAGTTGTATGCCTTTATCTTGCTTGTTCTTCGTTACCTGAATGTGTACATATGTGCATCTATACATAGATTATGTACTCGAACATAGTCGTCCTGCAAGTGTTTGCCTACTGCAACTCTGTGCTTATCTAAATGATCAACGCCGCTACATTATATTCATGTGATACAACACAGCAAAGACAATTGGAAGCAAAAGGCTATATCTATCCAGAGGATGTGCTAAAAAGCAATCGGCAACGACGGGGATCCTCTTATTGCTCATCGGACGGCTAAAAGTTGGGCAGCCGGAAGGGGGGGAAAATGCGAGATATTGTCCTTGCGTATACCACTACGCCAGTGTAGAAGAGCAAAAGCAAGCGACCCAGGCCAGGCTCGAACTGACGACCTCAAGTGTACCATGGCATCATTTCTCCCTGTGACAAGAGAAAGTGATCATCGGAAACTCACTTGATTGGGTTAGTAAATTTGTGCTAGTGCGCTGATGGGACTCGTCTTACCACGCTACCACTGCGCCACAGGGCCAAATGTGGTAGACACACCTGACCAGTCTACTATATTGAATTGGACAAGCCAGTATCAAACAAGAATCGGGACTCGCGGATTGTTGTCGTGCTCTGTTTGTTGCTCTCGCTTCTACCATCCTCACAGCATTTTCTTCCACTGGGCTCCGAATATCGACTAAAAGAAGTTTCTGTGACTGACTAGGAACACCCTAGAAACTTTAGCACATACCACAAAGCTTGTTGCTCTACTCGAGTCTACAATCGCCAAAGTGTCACGAAATATAGTGCAAGGTGTACACCTTGCCATCACTGATATAAGAAGAAGGCCAATAAGTAAGTTTACATCTGTTCTTCGAGACTCTAATCCGTATTCCTCCGCTTGTCAGCCTCCGAAGTTTATTGCCCTCTCGTCGCTCGTTTCGGTTTCACGACACGATGCGATTTCTTTCGCTTTAACTTAGCCGAAACCCTTTCCACTGACCGAAGGCTGAAACAATCAGTATGATACGGCACATAGCACAGTCCATATCCTTGGTGTCCTTTGGAATCAGTAATGGTCATTGGCTTACTTTCGCTCGGCGGCGGACTTCGAGGTCTGTCCTTGTCTTGTTTTCCGGAAGACGTACTCGAACAGTGTGACCCACTTTGAGTGTTCTGGAAACCAGGAGCGATGTAAGAGGGAGACCGACCGTTCATGCCCAACAGCGTGGTACTGACTCCGCTCTCGATTTACGCTGCAAAGGCACCCCCACCAACTTGTTCTCCCGCAGAACAATGCTTCTCATGCGAATTCCAGGCGGCGCGACCTCTGCGAACGTCTCAACCACGGGTAGCTCCGAAAGGAGTGTCACAACCTCATCTGCCAGGAAGTCGCCATCGATTGGTTTTAACGCGGTCAAAGGCACAAAACTATCAGGGCGAGTGGGAAGTCCAGCGCCACCTCGTGAATGTGACCACATCAGCCATGAACGACGATGTGAGTATATATCGTTCTTATCATTGGGAAAGCTATCTGTCCAAACTATGTATCTCGGAGCGAAACGTGATGGAGAAAGCAAAAGCAAGAGAAAATGAAGAGTGAGCGATGGTAGGATGCGAAGGTGCAAGAATGATATTCGTGTTTCTGAGCCTTTCCGAAGGAGTAACCGGGCTATGCAGTGCTGTGGTTTGCACACTCGTAGATCATGACTGTTGAGAAAACGACTATGCCTTCTTGGGAGCGGTTTGCTTGGAAGCAGCAGCACCGAACAGCTTTGGCTTTTTAGTAGTCGATGGACCCAGCTGCGTACTTTGAGAAGGAACCGGCAAAGTGGTCATAGCTTGCGATGAGGGTTGAGGTTGAAAGAGGTTGGTGATTGAAGATTGATTCACAGGCGTGAGTTTAGGAAGACCAAAGGCGCACTGAAGATTGCGCTCTCTACACCTGGTACAAGGTCGGCCACCAGTACACAGCGCATTGTTCCTGGAACAGTTTATGCAGTCCGGCTTCGGTCGGTATCGAGAGGAAAAGTTGAATGGTAAGCCGGTCTGGTCTCATGCTTCCACAAGTCGATCACTGCTTGAGCATCGAGCGCATTCGTTTCGAGCTTGTCTTGCAGAACGCTGCCAGGAAATGTAAGATTGGTGCTAGGTCGCTTGTCCGCTGCATATGTCATCGAGTTGCCAGAACCATCTTGGATGTTAATTCCTTCAGCGCCGAAGACGATTTTTCTTGCCTTTGCTTCTCCTGACTTTGGAGCCATAGCCATACCACCTTGGAGAGTAATTCTCTGCTCGCTGCCATCGTCCTTCCTTCAGTATATTGTCATCTTGCCGAGCTTGTCCATGTTAATTATGCTGCCATCGATAGCAGGCGCAAAGGCTCTGGTTGAATCATTTTTCCATCGATTTTTACCACAGCCTTTTCCAGGGTTAACGTTCAACATACCTTGGCGCTCGACCGACTACATGTCCCTTCCTTTTCTGTACAGCTAGTGGTACTGTGCGTTGGCGATTGCACATCTTGCGGCAGTGCTCTTCATCCTTGCGCGATGAAAACATGAACTACAGGTCCAGTGCAGCACATGGGTCCAGGTTCCTGAATCATTCGAAATCTTTTAGGACTAAAGTTTTGCGTGGTGTAGTTGAGATTGATAAGAGGGTTGGAAACAAGCCTCTGCAGGGCATTACTTCCTGAGAGGCCGAATTGGGGGGCTTCCTTATGCTTCGAAGAGTGCTTCGTTGAGGCACCCACGTCTGAAGGCGTTAGCGGGCGCGTGTCCAGAGGCGATGCGTCGAGATCGTTCCTCTTGATGACCAGACAGGCCACCAAGAGGGTTGGCGAAGAAGAGATGGGGAGAGAAGGTAGAGGGGAGAGAGGAGGGAGAGAGTTGTTTTGAGAGTTGAAAACACTGTGGTAGGTGCAACATAGAAAAGGGAGCTTTGCAAGTGGGCGAACGGGTTACGAGTTGCAACGCGTGGAAGATGCGCAAACAAAAACCGAAACTAGTCCAAAAAATGTTGGTGAAGTCGCGCAAAGTTTCTCAGTGCATTTGTACAGCTATCAATACACCTTAGGGAGTATCTTATCGATATATAGCTACTAACACACCCCAGGGGGTATCTCACTATAAACAGCTACTAACACACCCTAGGGAGTATCTTATTGCATAAAACCACTAACACGCCCCAGGGAGTAAAGGATGTTCGTTATAGTACTACTATAGTTTGTTTCTTTTCGATTTTTCTTTGGATTTGTTCAAACTGTTTATTCCCTAAAATTTGACCAAAATGATCAAATTCCTAGTACAAGTTTACCTACTTCTATTTACTCTAGTTTACCTATACTACTTTTATTTGCCCTTTACTTCTTAATTGAACATATCGTAAGGTAACTGTTGTAATTAGCACGAGTTGTTGGCAATTCTTTGGGTTGTGGCTGGGGAGAATTTGGAGAACACGAAGTGGTTTCCTCGGCTTCAAGTTGCCGAACAACCATCAGCCATTGAGCCGACTCGACCACCCATTCACAACACGTTCTGTAGGAATCTCTGTATGGCTATGAATATCAGACTCTCCGGTCTCGTTGCTTCAGGAGGCCTTAAGGTCTTTAACACAGCCTCCACAACCAGGCACGGCATACGTGTAATTGCACGATCATTCTCCGATACACGCATCCTGGCCCAGGCAGATGTCACGACACCAAGCCATGGATTCTCGAATGGTCAAAATCTTGGAAGTATCTCGCTGAAGAGAAACGGTATCTACCTTGACACGAGACTACGTATCGTAAGTTTGATGATCAAAACTCAGGCATCGATGCTCAAGACTGACGAACCAGACGCCTTTTACAGATCTCGAGGTCAAAGAACGTCCAAACAGTGAATCTCTGCGCTGGGATGGAGACAGGCTATATTTTGAAAATGCCGAAGGTGAAGAACGCACATATGTGTAAGCATTGGGATCTTGAAGCATTATCGACGTAATATACTGACCACGACTGCTTAGCTCGAACATGTGGTTAAGGTCACAATCACCTTGAGATGATGATAGTTCCAAGTACTTACTAGCAACAGAGACCAGTGCCCATGTCACGAGTGTGTGCATCCTGTGACTCGACAGAGGCAGCTTGATACTTTCTCGGTGCTATTCCTATCCTTTCTTGGTCGTCGTGTCATATGCTAATGAAAAGACAGATTGATCCCAACGTTAAGCCTTCGAGCCTGAACATTCAGACTCAAGCCAAACAGACTATACAAATTGGATGTGGGTACATGCATCCTTCGACGATACTGCAGTTCTAATCGCCGACCAGGGCAAGATGGACATCAGAGCGAATACCCGCTAAAGCTGCTCCGTAAGGGCAGACCAACTCATACCACTGTGAAGCGAAGAGGCCTTGTTGAGTAAGTAGTCGTTGGATTGACGAGTCCAGCAGAGGCTGATACGTTTCAGGCAAATCATGTTTGACAAGACCATCGCAGCCACTCCACCAACAGTCGATTACAAAGACATCATGGAAGCAGATGGTATCGCCGAATGGACTCGTCAGATTGTATGTATGCCAATCTCAGCGATGTGTATGGGAGCTGAACTTGAAAGAACGTGCACGGACTGTCATTCGTGAAGAACTGCCCAATTGATCCTGATGCAACACGGAAGTTGTTGGAAAAGATTGGGCCCATCCGCGAAACTCATTACGGTCAGAGTGAAAGAATTTTATACTGCAGGAACAAATCTGACATTCGCAGGTGGTTTCTACGATTTCACATCAAACATGGCAAGCAAAGATACCGCTTACACATCTCTGGCACTCGAGTCGCATACAGACACTACATACTTCTCAGAGCCGGCAGGACTCCAGATGTTCCATATGCTTTCTCACACGGGTGGATCCGGTGGTGAGTCCCTGCTTGTTGACGGGTTTGCAGCAGCGAGACAGCTTTACGCCGAAGACAAGGAGGCATACAAGATACTCAGCACAATCGGCATCTGGGCGCACGCAAGCGGAAACGAGGACGTCAGTATCCAGCCATACGTATGCTTCCCTGTACTTTCTCATGATCCCATCATGGGACACTTGATACAAGTGCGTTGGAATAATTCAGACCGAGCTGCGATTGAAGCGCCAAGCGACATGATAGATAAGTGGTATGAGGCTGCCAGGTAAGAGACATCCGAAGCCCGATGAGTAGTCGGCATGCTGAGATGAAACAGAAAGTTCAACGGTATCCTAAATGATGCGCAAAACCAGTATTGGACACAGCTAGAGCCAGGAATGCCATTGAGTAAGTGTATATGTACTCGGCGACATAGAGGTACTAACAGATGCGGACAGTTTTCGATAACTGGCGAGTATTGCATGGAAGAAGCGTCTTCAGCGGCAAGAGACGAATGGCCGGAGGTTACAGTGAGTGAAGCATGCTGCAGGTCGAGGAGCAATACTGACTCGGACAGTCAATCGGGATGATTTCATCTCCAAGTACAAGTTGACAAATGCAGGCAGAGAAGAAGTTCTCGAAGCAACTGTCACAGGTTGAATGCTGAGTGTCGTTTGTTTTGTCAAAACAATGAGGGACCAAGATGGGTTCTGGTTGGAAACATGTCTAGCCTCCTGAGCTTGGCGATACAGGGTACATTGTAGCATATGGACAAACCATTACATGGTCGAATTGAATCTTATGGCAACTGAGAGGCAAGACATATGCCTGGTCCGAGAAGTGAAGATAAATCATCAGTCAATGTGAAGAGGGAAAGAGATGGGGGAGGGAGAGAGTGTTGGTGCTCCGGAGCGGCAAAAGCCGAAGTTCGAACGATGTCATCGGAACTGGGAAGCTCCACGCTCCCTTGTTAGAAGCGTCTCCCGGCGGACTTAGCAGTGTGCTCAGAACAAACGATTCCTTCCATCTCCATCTCGGTCCTATCGCCACACGTATCGGTTTCATCTCCTGCACATACTCACACAAGGTACAAACATGTCGACACTTGAGGATCTCGACGCCCTGGAGCACCAGGACAAGAAGGAAGGCGAGGAGAAGAGAGACGGCGATGACCAAGATCCCAAGAAGCCCAACCAGGGCGGCGATGCCGACATGAAGGACGCCGACGGTGACAAGAAGGAAGAGGAGGAGGAAGAGGTGCTCGACTCAGACATCCTCAACTCAAGCACAAGGGACATTGTCACAAGGCGGCGACTGCTGGAAAACGACACGCGCATCATGCGCTCAGAGTTCCAGCGCCTGACACACGAGAAGCAAGCCATGCTGGAGAAGATCAAGGACAATGTTGACAAGATCGACAACAACCGGTGCGCCGCCTCGTTCCCCGTGCGACCCCGACTTCGCTCGAAGCTCTGCTGACACGATCCCAGTCAACTCCCATACCTTGTCGGCAACGTTGTCGAAATCCTCGATCTCGATGTCGACGAAGACGCTGCCGAGGAGGGTGCCAACGTCGACCTGGATGCAACCCGCGTGGGCAAGTCTGCCGTCATCAAGACATCGACCCGCCAAACCATCTTCCTGCCCTTGATCGGCCTGGTCGACCACGAGAAGCTCAAGCCCGGTGACCTGATCGGTGTCAACAAGGACTCATATCTCATTCTCGACACGCTGCCCGCCGAGTACGACAGCAGAGTCAAGGCCATGGAGGTCGATGAAAAGCCCACAGAGAAATACACCGATGTTGGAGGTCTGGACAAGCAGATTGAAGAACTGGTTGAGGCTGTCGTCTGGCCCATGAAGGAGGCTGAGCGCTTCAAGAAGATCGGCATCAAGGCCCCCAAAGGTACACACCCTCTCTGTCGCTGCACGTCCATGTTCAGCACTAACTCGATTCTATAGGTGCCCTCATGTACGGCCCTCCCGGTACCGGAAAGACGCTCCTCGCCCGTGCTTGCGCCGCCCAAACAGAAGCCACTTTCCTCAAGCTTGCCGGTCCTCAGCTTGTTCAAATGTTCATTGGTGACGGTGCCAAGCTGGTCCGCGACTGCTTTGCTCTGGCTAAAGAGAAGGCTCCCTCGATCATCTTCATCGACGAGCTTGATGCCGTCGGTACCAAGCGTTTCGACAGTGACAAGAGTGGTGACCGTGAAGTCCAGCGCACTATGCTTGAGTTGCTGAACCAGCTCGACGGCTTTGCCAGTGACGACAGAATCAAGGTTCTTGCCGCAACAAACAGAGTCGATGTTCTCGATCCTGCCCTGCTTCGTTCTGGTCGTCTTGACCGCAAGATCGAATTCCCCTTGCCCAACGAGGAGTCGCGCGCTCAGATTCTGCGCATTCACAGCAGAAAGATGACCGTGGATGAGGGTGTCAACTGGCCTGAGTTGGCAAGAAGTACTGATGAATTCGGCGGTGCCATGCTCAAGGCCGTCTGTGTCGAAGCTGGAATGATTGCGCTACGTTCGGGACAGTCCAAGATCATCCACGAACACTACGTCGATGCCATTGCCGAGGTGCAATCAAAGAAGAAGGAGTCGTATGTTTGCTCCCATTCTACCTCGTTCCCACTCTTGCTAACTGCATCTCAGCATTTCAATCTACGCCTAAGACGTTTCGACTTTTGTTGCATTGGCGGGGTTGGAGGCGCTTTCAGTGAACGACACATACCCGGGTTTGTAATTATAGCCTCAGCTAGACACGATTCATTATGGACTCATTTGATACGATTCCACCCTGCTGCCACACGTTGTCAAAATCTAGGTTCTTCGTGACTAGACTTCACGGTACTGATACTGTACTACAGCTTACTCTTCTGTCCAGAAATCTTCATCTTTGCACGACCGTTGCTCAGACATACTTTGCCACCCTTCACACTGGTCACAAATCTAACATCTTCCCAGCCCTCATCGTCAATGTTACCGATGCGCCAAATCTGTGTGACAAGAGTGTCTCCTGCCTTGACGGGACTCGCGAATCGTGCGGCGAACTCCTTAATGTTGGCTGGATCCGAGTTTCCAAGAAGCTTCAAGAGTCCGTGAGCAGTAGTGTTCCAACTGAACAGACCATGAAGGATGGCGCCGCCTGTAAGATATCAGACATCTTCATACTATCTTCGGGATCAAGGGTGGTCTTACCAAAGCCCATTTGCTGACCGGGTTCCGGAGTGGCATGCAGAGGATTGTAGTCACCGCAGAGTCTGTATCGAATTAGTGATGTTGTAATTCAGATCGAGATAGAAATCGAGATATCATCGTCTTACCTGTATAGATGTGCTGACTCGGCATTTGTCTGATACACGTATTCGGCGTCTGGCTTCTTGCCCTCTGGAGGAGGATAGTTGACTGTCTTCGGTCCTGCTCCCCGTCAGCATCGATCTGTCCTTCCAGCGATTGGCCTTGATTTCTCACCCTTTGGTCCATTCCAGTTTCCTTGACCAACAAAGAATGACATGCCCACAGCTCTACTGTACACCTCTCCAGTGGCCTTGTCTACGATCAAGTTCTCGGTCTCGACTACTGAGCCAGGCTTGCCCTTGTCATATACACCGAGAACTTTCGCTCTCATCTCAAACTCGCGCCCTTCACTGGTTGTGGGCAGAGGCTTGAGGAAAGCAATGGCTTGCTCTCCGTGAACCACTTTGCGGCTGTCGAATTTTGGTACATCAGGAATTGAAGCTCGCTTGGAGTTTTGGGATGCGTAGAAGTCGATAACCTCTGCAGATGTTCCCTTGAAGGGAAGCAAGATGCTAAAATTTGGAAAGACCGAAAACTTCGGGTGTAGCTCCTGTCGATGGTACTTCAGCACTGTTGACGTTTGATCAAGATTCAGCTGATTTTCATACGTACATATAAGAAGTGAAGCTCATCTTTAGCATCACAGCCAATTGCATTCGCAAACAGAAGAACATCTCGCTTGTACCACGACACTGGCACTGAGGGGTATTCGAAACCAACACCGGGACCACTCATGGTTGCTACTTGTTTGGTTCTTGACTAAAAGTGGTTTTCGAGCGGAAAGTAGTTGTCTACGTCGATGCCACCCCTTGAAGGTTGTCCCTCTTTTGATAGATATAAATGCGACCCGAGGGCATACAAGAGCGGGGAAGCGACTTGCCGAGGCGGTGCCTCAGGATCCTGCCTTCATCCTGTTTACATGAGACCGTAGCTGCAGTCGGCCTATGGATGACAAAGGAGAACATATCAAGACTTGTAGAACCTTCTCAGATGCTCAAACGTCATATATCCAAACTTGAGGAGGCTTGTGGGTTGGACATATGTACTCGAATGGACAGCCGCCTAAACGCTGCTTTTGCTCAAAACTCGCGAAGTCCGATTTCTATTCATCTGCTCTTGTGCCTATTATATTTTCGACAATAAAACCTTGAGTAGGAGAGCCAAAAGAGGCGACTTTCTCATGCAAAAAGGCATGCATTTGATCGTGGCGCTTCTGCTTGGTGTGCGAACCATGAAGACTGGTTTGTGTTTGTCTATTCGTATGATGATCGATCATACAAGATGGTTTTTCCCAACAATAAATGTCCCTTTTTCTCTTTTTTTTGCTCAACCCCTAAACTGACATACTTTCTCCAGAATTCGAGCATAATGTAGTAGATGGTATGGCGGATATACCTGTTGATATGAATATCTTCTCTTATAATATATGGCAAAATGACAGTGTATTGAAGCGAATTAGTCGTTTGAGAAAGCTTGCTTGCTGGCATGCTCAGCTCCCATCCACCTCGCAACACAGAGCCACCATAACCACAACAACACCTTTCTGCAATCGGATTCTTGTGCTTCCACGAGATAGAGCTCCCCCGCTTCAGAAGGTCTTGTCAAATAATCCAGTTGATCACGGGAATAGGCGCAATACTTTCCTTCTTCTTCGTTGAGTCCGCCACCCTGCCGTAGCCTCACAGCAACCCTCTGGCCCCGAATACATCACCATATGTTACCAGCTGATCGCAAGTCCCGACTGGAACTATGGGAACAGTTCGCAAGGTCTCTACAGTCCACATTATATCGAACCAGGGGTGTTAGGGGACCTTCGATATCTCGTCCAAATCGAGCGGTCACGGCCCGTAAACCTTACACTAACTCTTCTGGGCCAAGTCACGCTTCTCGCGAGAGAAGCGTGTGAGGGCCATCCTGCGAGAGCAAGAACTCTCGAAGAACACTTTCTCACAAAACTTGCGATTCATCGTGTCCTCCCTCCCCAATCGGCCTCAAACAATGGCTACAACCCTATTTGTGCCTGAGTGGTACACATCCGTGGTGCAGTGGTCGCCGAGCTGCTATAATGACTAGAAGTGTACATCTTGAATCTAAATAGTTCGACTGAAAGATCTAAAGGGTTGGCAACGAGGTCTGCTCTATTTAGAGTTAGGTGAAGCTAGAGTGGAATACAGGAAACTGGTTTCATTAGCAGTTGCTGTGATCGAGCAGCCAGAAGGAACATTATCAACGTCTTGCGCTATGGATCATTTGCAACAAGGACTTTATCAGTAAGACAGGCTAAGGGCACACTATATCTGAGGACGCTGTCTTGGATCCGACATAATGATGCGGTCAGATCTAGATTGTGTGTATCCAAGTTCCCATCTCGATGTTGGAAGGTTTTCGTGTTTGTAAAAGACAGAACAAACCATATTGCCTATGAGCAAAGTAAGGTGAAGAAGAACATCAGACACGTGACGAGAAGCGTCCTTTTGCTTGGTTCAGGGAGGAATGACTGAATGAGGTCGATTTGGCAGAAGGATCATCACCATACAAGTTTGAACCCAGTCCGGGTGGGATTCCTGAGTCAGACGGTGAGTATTGACGGCGGAGACTCTGTGTTGACCGTGCAAACTGAGGGGGACATGCCTCGTGAAGACTTTCGTGGCAGAAATGAATACTGCGAGCAATTCAAACCTTTCTGATGCCACACACCTGTGAAGCTGTGGGACTAAAGGCTATACGAAGGAACACATTTGTTCTATTGACTTGTTGTCATGTAGATAGACTGTTGATTGAAAGTGTAAAATATGCAAACATTCATGCTACAAAGCTCTACCGGGTGGAGACTTTTCCGACATCTGCTTCTCCTGAAACTCATCAGCATGCTCGATGAACATCGAGGCCCTCCCCTGTTGACGTGCTGATGCGTCAGAATCTAATCTGTGTTGGATCGTGGATCCACCGCCAAGCGAGTCGCTGTATCGATGGTGGTTTGATTCAGGTCCTCGGCCGGGGAAGAACTCTGACGCTGGACTGTCAAGAGGCGATATATCGTTCTTGTTCGTTTCGGACTCCAGAGGTTGATCAAATGTGATGCGACGTGGCTCGGCGTTGAGAAAGTCTTCGCTGTCTCTTCTCCTTCTGCTACCGCGGATCAACTCCCACCATGCAACTAAAGTGCCCCACCGCATGAGTAATGCAAAAGTATTGAGGCCGGTAAGCTGTGAGACAGCTGTCAGTGATCAAACTGGAATGGGGACACGGGCACGACTTACTGCACAAACTATCAAACTTGCCGAGACAGCAGCCTCTGTGATTCCAAGCTGTTTGGCCAATGGCAGACACTTATTCTTGTCCTGAGTGATGACAAGACAAGCAGCCCAACCTGCAATTTCCTTTGCGCGGAAACCACGCGCCTTGTCTCTTGCCAGAGATGTGTTGAGATCCACAAATACACCTGAAAGCATAGCAACAACTGCAATAGAGAACAGACAGAGCGAGATGTTACGCCATTGCAGAATGAATATTCTGCGGACTCGAGCCCATGCCTGTTGGCGATTAGCCTTCCAAGGCTTGTCCCACGTGCTCTTAGCGGTGGTTGCGCTGGTAGGAAGTTCGCTCGAAGTGCCTGTGTTACGCGATGCTGATGACGAGCTGGTCTTCCACAAGTTCATCAGGTAGATGTAAAGACAGTAGAAGCTGGTTATTATCTGCAGAGCGAAAGCCAGACTGGCAAAGGCAATCATCCACCCGAAATATGTTGTGAAGGTGTGTTTGTCATTGGGTAGACAAATGATCGTCAGGCGGTATGAGACACCGGTGTATTTCATGCAGACCGCAGTAAGTATTGTAGGGACACCCCAGCAGAAGATTTGAGAAGCAACTAGGAAGGCTCGAGTATCCGGTATATTCCAGCACACTCTCAGGTTGGTCCAGAGCGAACGTGACAGGACCCAGCAGACACATGCCATGCCGCCCCATAAGAGAAAGGCTCCAGAAAAGGCGCACGGCAAATCCGAATACATGTCGTTAGGTGTAATGTCATCGTAGCACATGGAGGGTTTCGCTCCTAGTGGAACGATGATGGCCAACTATCGTGGTGTCAGTCCCAAAGTTATGAGTCTCGAATATTGATCAAGCACCTACCTGTAGGATGACGTTTGCGATGGTAAGGCCTACACTGAGATAGTGACGATGACTCTTCTCAGGGGCTAGGACCGCAAAAGTCAAGAGCAGAAATACACTGGCGATTAAGCTGACAACGCTGAGCCAGCCGGCGACTAGTTCATGGGTAGGAAAGTCTGATTGAAACACGTTAGCTTGCTCATAGACGACCATGTCCGCACACTTACTATCAGAGTAAATCAGCTCCGTCAGAGGACAAGGTAAACAACATTCATCGCTGCAAAAGCGGCCTCCGAGGTCTGGCAATTCGTCAGCATTTGGCCTTTATCATTGCCATCATTTTGAGACATACATCCCCCTCCCGAGGTGTAGTTATCTCTACTCAAGAACGGTAGTGGGCATGATGTTCCCATGAACGACATGTTGCCCGCCATACTTTGCGGTTCCTAAAATGCGTTGCAAGAGTTTTGAAGTTTGTGGTGGCGGCGTTGGCAAAAAGTGGTGTTGTTAGTGATTAGCAGCTTTATCGACAAGAACAAAGACCCGAAACCGGCGAACCTCTCGATTAACAGACTTCAGATCGGGCGTTACTACTACTCCTTTGTACGGAAGCGCTGGCGGGATAGGGCTGGACTGGTGGAGGAATGCAACAATGCGGAATGCATCCCCTGCCACATCACTTTGAAACCATGTGGAGAGCGTGGTCAGCCATTCAAAGAAACAAAAGGTTCAGAATAACATTGACCTATGCTTGGGTATTCCGTGTCAACTAATTTTGCCATCGCCATATTGGTCGAGGAACAACGCCTGTACTCCAGAAACTCCTTGATGATTTGCGCCTCCTTCATTGATAGCATGCATTCGTCGACGGCTCTTAGACTGGGAAGCCGTTAAAGCCGATGCGCAGCTTGCCACGGGCACCATCGGTGTGCTCATCGCGCCACTTGGCCTTCCACTCGAGTTCAGCGTCCCTAGCTTCATGGAAGGCAGTTCTGCAATCCTCCGGAAGCTCGTCCAGGACGCCTTGAGAGATGCTTGACAGGCCGTTAGTCGACAGATCGTCGACATCGCCATCAGGACCGGGAACGCCCAGGTTTGCTCTGGAGGCGTTCTCGAAGTAAGTGTCGGTGATGAGATAGTTTCTGGAGATGTGCTCAGGGACAGGTGTGAAGATGGTGGGCTCCCCTTTGTCTTGGACAGGGTTAGCACGCTCCCACTTGATGTGGGTCGGCTGCATGATTTTGGGGTAGAACATGAGGTTGGTGTTGATGTCGTAGACGCCATCAAGGTTTGCACGGCGTGCGGCAGTGAGAGTAGAGTTAAATCGGCTGATGAAAGTTAGCGGATGTCATGGTCAAAGGATGGCGTGGAATAATACCTTGCTTCTCTGGCGTGTTCAAACTGCCAGTTGACCGTGGTGATGTTGGTCTTCTTCTTTCCGGGAGCAGGCTTGCCTGTCTGCAGAGGGACACTGGGGGCGTTGTTGTGGTAGACTTGGCTGGCTCCGTGCCAGGCGACGTACTGGTTCTTGTTGTATGCCTCGCCGGGAGGAGGAAGACGATCGTTGGGATCGGCCAGTTCGCCTTCGATGTCACCTCTTTCCTTGGCTGCTTGCACTTGATAGTCGTCGATGATCTTGCGGCCTCCGATGACAATGCGTGCGCCAAACTCGCGGAAGACGGAGCGGGCAGTGACGACGCCGATTGCGCGACCTTTGTACGAGTGCGGGATGATATCGCGGGAGATCAGGTCCTTCTTCTCCTCCTCGCCGATGATGATCTTGTAGAGCTGCAGGTGCTTTGTGAAGAAGAGGTAGCTGTCGCGGAATCCGGTACAGCGGGCTGGCTCGGTCGACAACATGTACAGTCTGTTGCCGCGGCCCAGGATGGTGAAGACGCGGACGCGGTAGTCACGGCCCCCTTGCAAATGGCCGTCCTTGTTGACCTTTGTCTCTCCTTCGGCATCCTCGGGAAGCGCGACCTCGTCGTTGATCACGTCCATCATGTTGCCCTCCTTGTCGATTGGGACGCGTGTGGCATGCGATGGGCCTCCTCTAGGTCTGCCTCTGAAGCCACCACGGGTCCCTCCAACACCTGACGGGCGTCCTCTCTTCCTGCGCGGGGTGCCAGATTCCGAGCCATTGCCAGTTCCGGGCTCCGGCGTGTCCCAATCGGGGCGTGGACGGGTTGGAGGACGGCCTCTACCACGCTTGCGCGGGATGGTTTCGACGACTGGCGGGCTGCTGCGCCCGCCGGCGTCTTGCTCTTCATCGGCTTCCTGTTCGCCGTCGTCTTCTTCGGCGCCGTCCTGCTCGACATGGTCGCCATCATCTTCATCGTCGTTCTGCACAACTGGATCCGTCATCTCTTCGTCCGACACATCGACCTTGACAGCGGGAGTGGAATTTCCTGGCCAACCATCAGCGTGGATTCGCGCGAGAATGACGACAAGCTGTACATACTTGCTGACAAGCGCAGTCTTGGGCCTCCGCCTCTGCCCCTTCCTCGTGGCATTGTTGCGATCTGTACGATGTTGCCTTGTTGCGATTCGCACAAAGCTAAGGTATGTCTTGATCGCCAGTCACTTGCGCGCCTCCGTCGCTCGTTGGCGGGAACAGCGACGCGTCCGAGCTCCGTCGGCATCTCGGGACATCCCGCTCCGGCGCGCTTATCTTATCGCGAGTCCATCTACAGGCCTGCGACTGAGGGACCAAGGACGACTCCAAACGAGCTGCTCCTATTCCAGCAGACGCTTACTTGTTTATATGCATATGATGGGGGTGTGTCAAATTTTATGGTGCTCGAAGCAAATGAGCAGAAAAGTATACAAAACAGCGTTCAATGTTCCATCACTGCATCATCTTCATGTCGAGAGATTGCCTACTTGATGACGGACTATGGACCGTTTATGAGACTAGTCACTGCTCCAAAGTTGCTTGATGCATCTCTCAGAGTCTGCAAAAGGCCGGCCTGCGAAGATACAAACCCATTGCATTATTAAGTGTACTCTTGCTCGGCTTTAGTAGTTGCGAGTATGCTGCTTGCTCAATCATTAAATTGGCAGATCCTGTGATTCGGGACGCCTCACGAGGCCAAGCCATCGAAGATCTGCGATACCTATGACCTACCGAGGGCCAGCCTTGGGGCATATGATCTGTGGCGGCTGCGGCGAGGCTTGCTTGCATAGTGTTCTCCCTGTCGCATGCCTCGAGTCTTTCCTTATTCTTCAGCTTTACTCTCGCGTACAACGTCTTCTTGAACTGCACGTCAGTATTTGATGATCCTCAGTTGCGAAAGCGTTGCACCTGGACTCAGTGGATGAAGTTTCCCCGCTACTAGCGGCCGGCCATCGATGACATGGCTCCCGCTCCATCTTTCAGCACCTTCATCTCATCATCTTCTAACAATTCATCACATCAATACTCACTACTTGGTCGCGAGTCCTCGTCGTCGTCAATCCTGGCTGTTCCAAATCGCAGCAATCTCAATCCTTCAGGGTCTGAGAGGAAGAGACAACGATCACCGTCCATTTCCTCCTCTAATAAGCACGACTCGCTGAGGAGACCACGTCCTCCGCCCTTGTCATCAAAGTCGAGCAGTCTGATACCGACCGTCTTTATCGAGCCTGCTCCTGCCGACCCTTGGTCCACGAGATCCTTGACAATGTCTTCACCTTCGTCGTCCAACCACCCCCAGCAGTCTCCCGCTGCGGATCTATTGCGACAAGCAATGATGCAAAGGTAAGCTTGCTCCGGACCCTTCCCTCGAGTTTTCAGTCTTCCGCTTCGGTCGTCGGCCGTTCCCGCCGCCTCCGTTGCATGTTGTTCAGACCATTGCCGCCATGCTGCAGACTCCCGGACGGCCACTGCAATTTTCAAATGACCAGGAGCCGCTTCTAGAAGTCCAGGTACCTGCGGAGAAGAAATAACAATTTTTCTCCCGCTGGCGTCTGCAGCAGAGTCGGGCAGACCGGCGAAGCACATCGTCATTCTGCATAAATTTGTATCGGGCCGACCGTGCCCACGATTCACTGGAGCTGGTGGAGAAGGCCCAATTGCAAACCAAAAGCCGGCAATCAGAGTCAACAACCCTCGGACGCTTCTCCCAGCACTGCGACTGTTTTGACTGACAATTTCTTTGCCTGCCCTTGACAATTTATGCACACCCAACGAGCTTGATCCGTTTCAGAAATTTTCATCATGGCAGACGCTAATCGACTTCGTCCCACTAGTACTCGAGCACCGGACGAAGATTCCGATCATGTTGGCTCGGGCGCGTCAACACCTCCCGGCGGTGTCTCAACGCCCCGTCCTGATTTTACCGATAAACGTCAGCCCGGATTGGCCCACGCCTACTTTGCCCAGGTTTGTGATTCCCTCCGTGCTCCCTTCACACCATCCACCCACCCTGCCCGCCCCTCAGCCCTCTCGCGAACCCTCACACATGGCTCGAGTCTGAACATGGACCCCTCATCACACCCCTCCGCCACGGCGTCTGTCGGTGCCCCTCCACCCACCGCTCCCAGTTCGCCCAAGAGCTCTTCTCGCGCTGGCAGTCAAGGGCCCCCACTGCTCTCCCACGAGCAAGGGGACTCGGCGCTGCCTTCATATCCCACACCGCCTCTATCGTCGGCGTCTTCTCTCCACGGCCAGCAGGTTGACGGAGATGGATCCGCAGAGGTGCAGACTCCGGTCGAGAGGAGCATCTCGGCATCGCCAGCACGCCTCCGTAGTTCCACACTGTCCTCGAGCACCGTAGACACTGTCGTTTCCAAACCCCATGTTTCAGCACACATTTCTAGTCCTGCTACTCAACCTATCACTGTTCCTGATTCTGCACATGCTTCTTCCTTGTCGCCCGAGCCTGAACTTCTGGACCGCCAAAGTAAAGAGCTAACAGAAGACTCAAAGAGTACTCCCCCTCGCACACCGCGGGCCTTGTCACACAATGAAACGGCTCCCGCAGTCGAAGACACTCCCGCTCCTGCAGCACCTCCAATCCCCAAAGTCGAAAAGAGCAGCCGTTCTAGCTCAAACCAATCCAACGGCCAACCTACTGTCGGCACAACAAAGGGCCAGCTTTCGGTGAACATCGTACAGGGAAGAGGTCTCAGACCCAGCACCGCCCCCTATGTCGTCTGCATCTACCAGCTGAACGAGGACATCTCTGGTGGTGCCGAAGCAGACGCCATGGATACCAAGACACAAGAACAAGATGGCAACCAGGACGAAAACCTGGCCAGAGGAGTCGCCATGAAGAGAATGGGCAGTGACTCGGGAAAGCCCATGAGCATTCCCGGACTGGGAAGCCGCCAGACCAGCCAAACAGACATTTCCAAACTCAAGGATGCTGCTTCAGACCACCTCGTTACTGAGCCGTTGTGGAACCACAAGGCTGTCTTGTACGTTGCTAGTCTTGGTCCTCTTTCTCTCCGTGCTGACAACCTCGCAGCGATGTAGTCGGTGATCAATCCGAGCTTGATATCTCCGTGTACGACAAGAAGAATCAGGAAGCCTTTATTGGCCATGTCCGCTTCAGCCCTAACCTTGAGAACTACGACACACCCCACGAGACTTGGTTCAAGTTGAAGCCCAGAGAAGGCGAGACTGACAACGTTTCCGGCGAGATCCAGCTCAGACTCAGCTTCCAGAAGACCGACAAGAAGACATATGGACCCGAGGACTTTGAAATTTTGAGACTCATCGGCAAGGGTACTTTTGGACAAGTCTTCCAGGTCCGCAAGAAGGACACACAAAGAATTTACGCCATGAAGGTGCTCTCGAAGAAGGTCATCATTCAGAAAAAGGAGATTGCACACACTATCGGCGAGCGTAACATCCTTGTTCGTACTGCCACCGCCGAATCACCTTTCATCGTTGGCTTGAAGTTCTCTTTCCAGACTCCCGCAGATCTCTACCTGGTCACCGACTACATGTCAGGAGGCGAGCTGTTCTGGCATCTCCAGCGAGAGGGACGTTTCCACGAAGGTCGTGCCAAGTTCTACATTGCGGAGTTGATCCTCGCACTGAGACATCTCCATCAGCACGACATCGTCTACCGCGATCTGAAGCCGGAGAATATCCTGCTGGACGCCAACGGTCACATTGCTCTCTGTGACTTTGGTCTATCCAAGGCCAACCTTTCGAAGGGCGACACCACAAACACTTTCTGCGGTACCACAGAATACCTTGCACCTGAGGTCTTACTCGACGAGCAAGGTTACACCAAGATGGTAGATTTCTGGTCATTGGGTGTTTTGGTCTTCGAGATGTGCTGTGGCTGGTCCCCATTCTACGCCGAAGACACCCAGCAGATGTACAAGAACATTGCTTTCGGCAAGGTTCGTTTCCCCAGAGATGCTCTTTCGACAGAAGGTCGCAACTTTGTCAAGGGACTGCTGAACCGTAACCCCAACCACCGTCTAGGAGCCAAGGCCGATGCTGATGAGCTCATGGCTCATGCCTTCTTCGCCGACGTTGATTGGGATGCTCTTGGTCGCAAGGCACTTGTTCCGCCGTTCAAGCCCAAGCTCAAGGGTGAATTGGATGTCAGCAACTTCGACCCAGAGTTCACAAACGCCCTTTCAAGTGGCAACTCGTCATCACTCAACGCCCGTGCGGCAGCTCTGGCCAGTGGAGTCAACCCGGCCAGCACACCTCTCAGTCCTACGCTACAGACAGCCTTCAAGGGCTTCACCTTTGTTGATGAGAGCACTCTGGATCGCCAGTTCGGCAACGACACGGCGCACTTGCAGCAGGCACAGCAAGAGTCACAAGAGGATAATGACGAGCTCAAGAAGACAGCCTCGGGCGGTTCCAAAGGCGAGCGTATGAGCGGAGTGGTCTCGTCGACAAACGAACCCCAGGGCATTTTCAACGACGGCATGGACGTATAGAGTCCAGTACAATAAGCCATGATCATATTCCAGACCTCAAAATCAACTACTGGGGGAACCTTCCACTATCAACCCTCCTTTTCGTGTCGACACATAGTTTTGGGCTTCATTCTGACGGTGTTTTTCCTGTTTCATATTGGTTGGCTGTACGGAACACGAAACAAATGGGTCAGGGTCAGCCTCTTTCGGTTTGGGGAGTTTCTTCTTTTGCAAATGGATACGAGTGTTTATCTGACCAAGTACATTGTGAATGCTCGATGCGGGAAATCATACTCTTTGTTTGCATTGGGAGGAGTTGTTGCAAAGACGCTGGCGAACCGTCGGCCTCGACAGAAAAGAAGTGGAAAAACAAAGCACACTTGTATAGATTGACAAAGATTTTATTGTTAGCTTCTGTTAGCCTCTATGCTTGACTATGTCTGTTTCCCATGTTCCCCCAACAAGGCTCACTACACATGCTACCTGCCCAATATGAAGTGGAAGCTAATGTCAAGAGATTGATGGCGTACAAGGGCTGTTGTTCTGACAGGGTCACCCATGGCTGCTTGGAAGACCCTGTCCTTCGATTCTTGTGCTGCTTTTTCTGTTCTGTGATACTCCAATTCATCTACAAGACATTCTCTGACAGCCAATGACTACTCTGGACATCTTGCAATCGGTTTCATCGATGTTGAATCTTTGCCGCCGCTGCAGTGGGTCAAAAGGCAGTTCATGTCGTGTTTAGTTGAAGCTTCTGAAACCAAAGCGACTGGGAACATCTTGACATTCATGGTCACAACACACCTAAGCAGACATATCGGAAGAATCGCGTCTACAACCGTGTTCCAAGATAGAGCTAGCACCATATATCAAGCGAGTAAACAAACATTGATAGACCATTCAAGTCTGCGAACGTTGCGGTGGTGATAGTGGTGTGATCGAGAGCTTCGAGCTGAGCTCGAGCTTGCAACGTCTGCTTGGATACACATCCAATCCGACTATATCAACACAACACGAGTAAGCATTTGCTCTTTGGATATCTCAAAAAGGGTATATTGAACATCTACAACTATGAGCATGCACAATGGCAGACTCGAGCTCAAGAATAGACACGGCAAGGGCCAGAGATGGCATTGTTCCCAAGGACCAAAGAACCGGGGCAACAGGGCAGGTAGCGCCGATCAATTGCCTACCGCGGTAACTTAACGTCATGTTGGTTGTACCTGCCTCTCCACTCTCCACCTCTTCGCGCGCTGGCTTGCGACCTCTCTCTCTCTCTGACAACCTCTCTTCCCCTCGCACAACCAATCCCACACAACGCGTCGCTTGCTTCTTTTGCTGTGCTTTTCAGAATCGCTTAGCTTGCGCGATCGCATTGGTATTCTACAGAACGGAGCCTTTCTACCACACATTCCCAATTCTCCGAAACACCACCATCACCCCTCGCTCATCGCAATCCACGTTCTGTCATCATGAGCGACAAGGAAATCAAGGAAGGAGACCAGGGTAAGTGGGTTGTCCCTTCGCATCGACGCGAGCTTTGCGCAGCATTGACCTATGCGAGCCATTGACGCGTAGCTCTTTACGCGACAATGCTTGTCCCGTCGACATGTCAAGTCGTGCTGGCGCGTCAATGTTTCGAGTCGATCGATTTTCTCGCAAATAATGCTGACATGCTATAATCAGTCTCATGGCAGTGGTCTGGCAGCCGTCCTGGCGGCACCGTCTCGGAGATTGCCAAGGAGGGCGAACTCTCAATTGAGACCAAAAGAGGCAACGAAGTCAAGAAGAATGCCGACCCGGAAGATCCTGCTGTCAAAATCTCCCGCTCAGGCAACGATGTTGTCAAGCGTGCCCACGAACTCGACGTGGAGAAGGAAGGCGACAAGCACAAGGAGGACCAAGGTGAGGAGAAGACGGTGACCAAGGACGATACCAAGGAGAAGAACGGAGACGACAAGAAGGAAGAGGATGCAAAGAAGAAGGAGGACGAGAAGGAAGAGAAGAAGGCCGAGAAGGAAGAGAAGAAGGAGGCCGAGAAGGAGAAGAAGGAGTCCAACAAGGCTGACGAGAAGAAAGAAGACGGCGAGGCAAAGACGGGTGATAAGCGCGAGGCTTCAGATGAGGCAGCGGATGAGGAGCCCTCCAAGAAGCAGCAGAAGACAGACGAGGACGGCGAGGAGAACGGCGACAAGAAGAAGCGTGGCCGACCCGCCAAGAATGGAAACGAGACATCGACATCCAAGCCCAAGAAGGAACCCAAGAAGGCAGCAACCGAGTCGGGAGAGCCCAGACGCTCGAGCAGACTCAACTCTAGCTAGTTGAAGGCGGACGACAGGACTTGAGTGCCTTTGGAGTTTTATGGTAGTTCTTGTACGTTATTCTTGACAATCATGGGCAAACGGCATTTATGCAACACCGACCCTGGCGTGAATCTCCTTTAGGATGGCTTCCTTCTTCTCCCTCATGTGTGTCTTGCGGTGCTCCCAGTAAAAGTAAGTGATTGGGGGTGCGGCAAGCAACAGGCCACCCAGTAGAGATAAGTAGAAGCCACCACTGTAGCCATCCTGCATTTTACGGGGACGTTGCTGCTGAGGAATAGGGATAACATCAGGCGAGGCAGTAGGTCTAGGCTGAGTGGTAGGAGCAGCCACAGGAGCAGTTGAGGCAGAAGTTGTCGGCGGAGGCGGAGGCGGAGGCGTAGACGGCGAAGATGATGGCGTGGTCGAAGGCAGGTCGGCGTAGAAGCGACGTGCAACAATTGATGGCCTAGCCAACGGGATAAAGCGCGGTACGATTCGAGCACGAGTAGCGAGCATTCTAAAGACAGATGTGGTAGACGTGTGACTTCCTGAAGGAGGGTTGGGAAAAAGTTGACATGGATGGCAATTCATCTCGAGGAAGGAGCACGGACCTTGAAGTCTATCAGAGTCGCATGTCATGGTTGATGCTTCCTTGAGGTCCCTCTGTCGTTGCGACAAGATCTTGCACCTTCCGTCTTTGCGACAAGATCTTGCACCTTCCGTCTTTGCGACAAGATCTTGCACCTTCCGTCTTTGCGGCAACATCTAGTCCCTTCCGTCTTTGCGGCAACATCTAGTCCCTTCCTGCTCTGAAGGTCCGCTTGTTGCTTTCTTCACCAAGCCAGAGCATCATCATGGGCTACAGTTCGGCGTCCGAGGGCGAAATCGTCCAAGACAAGGCAACTAGATCGCGAGCTCCCCCAGCTAGAGACAGCGCAATTGACCGCAGAAGCAGACCTCGATCACCGCCGTCGAGGTACAACGACAGGCCTCGCAACAACCAACACTCGAACTCCTCGTCATCATCAAACAAGCGCCCGTACGCCCACCGCTCGAATCAATACCCGGATCAACACACGTATTCACAGCATTCCGATCCCCATGCCTACTCTCGCTACCCAGATGAACGCCACTCCCGCTACAACCAAGAGCCTCCAGAGAAACGCCATCGCCCTCACAGGTCCCCGTCGCCTGCTCGACAACGCGCCCGCCAGCCCTCACCTCCGCCTGCCGTATTGGATGAACCAGAGGAGCCCGCCGTCGATGAGGCCAAGCTGATCGAAGACCGTCGCAAACGACGTGAGGCCTTGCGTGCAAAGCACCGCGGCCAACCACAGCCTCTGCTCCAGCAGGCTCTCCATGTTGCTACGCCCTCCGAGTCCGACTCCGTCATGGCCTCTCCCGGTGCTTCGCTGCCTTCGTCTCCCGCATCTGCCGTCTCATTTTCCATCACCAACGATCAAGATCTTGCAAACCCCGTCAATGCGAATCCAGACTCTCCTGCCGCACTGAATGCCCCGTCAGCCGCTGATTACGACCCCACCATGGACATGCAAGAAGACAGGCTCAATGCTCATCTCTCAGCTGCTACCTACGACGAGACCAAGGACAAAGACCCCGAACCTGCTAAGCCACAGGCTGTCCCGGAGGAGTTGGATATGTTTGCAGACGAAGAAAATGACGATATGTTCGCCCTTGAGCCTGCCACCGGTCACAAAAAGGACGACGGCACTCAAGCCGTGCGCATCCCTGAGGCCAAGCAACTAGATCGCAGTATGCTTGATGATTGGGACGATCCCGAAGGCTACTACCGTATCATTCTAGGCGAGCTTCTTGATGACCGCTATCATGTTCAAACCAATCTTGGAAAAGGTGTTTTCTCTGCAGTCGTTCGTGCTCTGGATGCCACCACTAATCGCACTGTTGCCATCAAGATCATACGTACCCAGGAATCCATGTAAGTCTCTCCTCATTTTAAGTCTTTGTGTCAACGGCAACTAAATTATATACCAGGTACAAAGCTGGTATGAAGGAGATTGAGATTCTGCAAAAGCTAGCCGAAGCAGATCCCGAGGACAAGAAGCATATCATTCGTCTTGAACGTCACTTCGAGCACAAGGGCCATCTTTGCATGGTCTTTGAAAACCTGAGTATCAACCTTCGTGAGGTGCTGAAGAAATTCGGCCGCGACATAGGTATCAACATCATAGCAGTGCGTCAATACGCTCTGCAGATGTTCCTTGGTCTTACTCTGCTCAAGAAGTGCGAGATCCTGCACGCGGACTTGAAGCCCGACAATGTTCTCGTCAACGAGAAGCGCAACCAGCTCAAGATCGCCGATTTGGGCTCCGCCATGTCTGCTGACGACAACGACATTACTGATGCTCTTGTGTCTCGCTTCTACCGTGCTCCAGAAATCATGCTCGGCATCAAGCACGACTACGCTATTGACATGTGGAGCATTGGCTGTACCCTCTTCGAGCTTTATACCGGAAAGATCTGCTTCACTGGCTCCACCAACAACCAGATGCTCAAGGGAATATTGGAATGCCGTGGCAAGATCCCGAATCGTATGCTCAAGAGATCCGAGTTCTGGTCACAGCATTTCGAGCCTGATGGTACTTTTTTGAGCCAGGAGATTGATAATATAACTCGTCGGGAAGTGGTACGCCGTATGAACATCACCAGGACCGTACCCGCCAAGGAGCTCAAGGCGCGGTTGTTTGCCAGCTCCAAAGGATTGAGCCCTGCTGATGCCAAAGAGTTGAATCTCTTCGCTGATCTTCTGGATAAGTGTCTTGCCGTCGACCCCGTAAGAAGGATCAGTCCTACGGATGCTCTCAAACATCCATTCATTCTTCGACCTGGACCCGTTCCTCCCAATAACACCAAATAAATGAACTGCATAGCTATTTGACACGACTCTGGTTTGGAAGTGATCGTGCGTTTCGATAGTCACACGCGTGACAGTCTTCGACACACGGGGACGTGGAAACCGGAATGTTCACCGTCCATGAAGCAGACAGGAAGAGAAGTAAAAGTCGTCGATCCTCGATGTTGTTTTGACTGCCGTACTCTACGGGTATCCCTTGAGAACAGAAAACTTCAGCAAAAGATCAGCATCCTGAACGCTTACATTGCCAAGATATTGCTGTCTTAAGGCCAGCAGTGACAGCAGCAGCAGCAGCAACAGCAACAGCAACTACGTGCGACTCACCGCATTGCACACCGCTCTCTGTAGAACGGAACGTTCCATCTTCCTCGACTGACATTGCCCAAGCTGAGCCCCATCTTTCAGCACGGCTGCATTGCTTGACAATCAATCTATCATTTAAGAGTGCAAGTATAGTATACCACACGGCCAAGTCAGGCTCGGACAAGAGACAACCGTCTCAAATTTTGTCTCAGTGGGGTTGTCTGCTTTGATGTCCTTCCGGCACCAACATCCGAGCAGCAATAATTAGTTTAAAGTTCGAAGGGCAACGTGGAAATGAAGAAGAACAACAATATCACTATACAATATAGAACAAGTCATCAATTGCGGCCGTATTTCACTCGTGTTCGACCGATCTTCTGGAAAAGCCGTTCGATACATTGCCTTGTGCCGCACGTGTATCCAAGACATGTATACCGACTTTATGCTGGCGGTGTGCTGTAGCGACGGGAGAGCGTTATTGCCCAATAAACAATCCTTCCACAATGACTTGAGTCTTGAGTAATCTGCGACAAACTCTGGGCGATGGTTCGGTCAACGGCCGCGTGGTTTGGCATATGTGTCTTCGATGCGGCTCAAACAAGCTCTTTTGGCAGGGGGACAACCGAGAGGGCATCAAGATTGGAGACATGGAGCTCCCAATGTCTTAACGGTAAACACCCCGGTGCTTGCTGATCATCTTCTTTCGGTATACCTTTGGCAAGTTGTACGTGGACGTTTGGACAGAGCCCTGCCATTATTTCACTACGAGTGAAAGGGGGATCATATTCGGATGTTTACTCCTTTACCTTCAGACACTGTCTTGGAGAACACGTACTCATCACGAACGAGACGGTTGGGTCAGGAACGTTGGTCGTAACGCTGAAAAGCCCAAGGCCACCCAGCTTTCTCCTTCACGGAGCTGAGCGGTCTTGCAAGACAATGCGTGTGCGCAAAGTACTGTGGAGGAGAAAGTGCATGGCTGGCGTATGGCAATCCGTTCCCTGCATCCCCCCAGTGATGTGTGGTGTACGGAGGTGGGAGACGAGATCTGTATGCAAGTTCGTTTTGGAAGCGCGCTGGCGCTGACATTGCACGCAAAATGTAACAACGGTCGCAATCGATAGTGTCATTGTTTGTCTCCTACCCACGGCACTTGTCGGTTCCGTAGCGACGAACGACGGTTTCTTGTAGGCATTGCCGTTTGGAAAGCAACGGCGGGAAGGTGGAGTAGATGGTGGTTTAAGAAAGATGAAGCAGGTCGTTACTATCGCGATAACCCAGACGCTTGGACAAGCAGGATGGCAGCGTTAGAGGGACGGTGGCAGGCAATGTGAGGGTATGTTAATAAAAGAGAAACAACAGAGACATGAAACGGGACGTTTGGTATATTCGACTGTTGATGTGTTTTGGAAGGAGCAAATGATGCCTGTTGTTGACTTGTGGAACCCATATTAGCCGTTGAGCACGAGGACAGTTCGAGGTATTGATGTCTGATAGGCTGTCTTTGATGTATGAAACCCCAATACCTTGGGTAAAAGTTCATTGCGACTGTTGGGACGAAATGATCTTCTTCGATTGTAACCGATTCATTGAAACGAGCATGAGACAAAGGAGAGGATGGGACGAAGGGAAGAGAGAGTCAGAGCAGGCAGGATTGAGCAGACTACTGCATGCCTTGGCCGAGGCCTCTGCAGAGCGGAGGCTGTACGTGTACATCAGAAAGCCGTCGAGTGTCGTTGATCGTCCTGGAAGCCACCTCAGCAAAGCGAAAGTCGGTATGCCCATGGATACCTGTGGGCTGACCGCTGAGAAGCGGTATGCGCAAGCGCACCTGCAACGTCGAGGCACTTTTTGATTGGACAAGTGGACACTGCGGGCTTGGATCTCCAAACCGTTTCTCAAACTGCCTGTCTAGCGCAACGGATCATGGAAAAGGGGGTTGAACTTTCGAAGGATGTGCATCGTGCACAAGGAAGCGGTGTAAGCGTTGGCATGCTCGAACAACTCAAAAGGCTTTGAAGTGCAAGCAGCCGGGCGCCGGACGCAGGAGCGACCAGCGGACGGCCAAAACTATCGTCCCGTAACGGCTAGCGTCAAACAGACCTTAGCGTCGTTCGACGTGTTTTTCGCCCTTCCAACACACGAGTTTCAAAGCTCCCAAGATTGAGATTGCCATGGCTTCTCGCGATACAATTTGCAAAGCCGTGCCAACCGCCTGCGCCCATACGATAGTAGTTGCGAGATGCATGCATAGTGTGGTGCCTACATGCGTTTTCGGTCTCTGAGCTACCGAAGATGCACCTGCGAAAAAAGACAGCTCGCATTAGAGAAACATTGGACGACACTCGTCGTTGAATCTGCAGCATTCCCAAGACGACATGCATTGCTATTAGATGGGATGTGCTTCATGTTGGAGGGAGCACGCGCCCGCGCTGTCACAGTCACAGAATGAGTGAGTTTATGCGTGCTTATCGTCGAGCATCCCGAATCCTAGCGCATCGGTTTGCTTGCAGCAGTACCGGAGAGTCACCTACAGACGCGGGCTGTCATCGGTTGCCGCGGATGAGCCTCGCGGGCGCAATATCGTAACCTCGCATTGGCGACGCGTATGGGCTATGGATAGGCAGGGGACTTGCTGCAAGTAGACTGGCTTCATCGTGAAAGTGGAGGACAGGGTGCTTGCATTTCTCTGCACCGTCCACATCTTCTTTTTTCTTCCTTCTGCGCTGTTGAGTCATTTGTATGCGGTGGTCTGGGGTCTGGATTCTCCTAGAAGCGCCTTGTCGACCCTTGACTTTCGGTCCACCTCTCCTTGTGTCATGACGTTCCAGTGGTCACACTGCTGTGCATGCAACCACCCGCGGGCTGGTTAGGGGGCTGATCCAGAGTCGATCCTGCACAGCAAGGGAGTGGCAGAGACCAACAGCTGCGTTACTCGTGTGGCAGGTAGGGTCTTTCTCGTACAGTGGCAGGACCAACAACAGGTCGTTTTTCTCTGGCTGCCTGGCGTCTGTTTACGTTCGATCTTGGCCTTGAGTGATCGTCCCAAAAGCTACACGTAACTACAAAGGATTTGTCTCCCAAAATGGTAGCCTTGAGAAATTTCAGCAAATGAAAATTGGCGTTCCAATCAAAGGATCTACTTTTTTTCTCTTTGGCACCATGGCGCCTGACTCTTCCATCGAGAGGACCGGGATGGCCAATTTCCTTGCGCCAACAGGCATCGTCTGCCGGGCTCGAAAGTTGCAACCTGTCAAGATTCCAATCGGCGGCTCGCGGCTCCCAAACACGAACCCAAGAATTAGGACCAAGCGTCAAGCCTCTTCGCAGCCCAAATCTTCGAGAACGTCAAATCTTGGAAGGGTGATCGACAATGGCCATGTGTTATACCATGCACTACCGACACACTATTCCTTCCATAAGCGAATAGGCGTAGATAGTTCTGCCACACCCGGCGGCCACGAGACTACAGCATCAAGGAAAAACCAGAAACCAAGGTTGGGGGTGGCTGTCTAGAGAGATTGGCATGCCACAATTTCTTGAGTGATGTTCGAATTTCAAAACCATGAAAGAGAGATGCGCAAGTTTTGCGAAACAATAACACGCAGCCTTCCTTTGTCAGTCGCAACGCTGTACGGCGGGCGTGCTGTTCTAGCTTTCTCTTCAGCGCCTGCAGCGAACAAACCAGTCGCAAGGCAATGTAAATCACTCTGAGACGAAGTAATTGCTTGGTCATTCCTCACCTCTGCAAGAGTGATACGTGTATTGGAAGGAGCCTGGGCGGCAAATCAGCGCTGACCACAGAGCGAAACGAACTTGCAGCCTGCACAGCGGTGTCAAGGGATATCCCGGCAACAGATCTCATGCCCGCATCGAACCGTGTGTCGCATGCGCGAGGGATGTTGCTGCTTGCTCTCTCCGTGCTGGTGCTTCTGCTGCCGACAAGGAGTGGCATGACGACCACTCTTTGTCCATCCTTGCCACACCCAGCCGTCGGACCAATAAAGTACAAGGACGCATGCGGCAAGGTGGCCAAGTGCCACCTCTCCACCCAACTTGCAAGCTTTCCCGAGACGGCTTTGCTTTTGGCGCGCTTGTGCATGCCCTCTGTGGACCCACCATTCCAACGACTCAGAAATAGGCACACGTTGCGCCACAGAGCTAGTGGCCGGTGCACTAATCAGCAAGCGCGGGCGTGGGTGACAGGCTTCGAGCGCCGCTAACGATCACACAGGATGCTTCGCGTCAGGGACAGAGCTGTGTGGCCCCGCCAGAAAAAGGCCATCGAACACTCTATGCCACACAAAGTATGTCTTTGCTTCAAAGCTACTTTTAACTAGAGCCTGCCGGGACCGTTTGTTCGTCATATCACCCGCCTGAGCCACCTTCTCCCGCCAATACATACATACACCCTCCTGTTCGTCGTACACCCCACGAGCAGCACTACTATCCATCTATTCCGACCAAGTTTCTTTTTTTCTATCGAGCACATCCATTCATTCATATACGGTTCTTGTCCACCACTTCAAAACCGTCAAAGTCATTCGGGTGGCTTCTCTACATTGGACTCTTACATCAACCATCTTCCGGACCACCAGGAGTTTGTTTGATTTTATGCTTGCCTGAGCATTCTTCTTCCAGGATCACCCAACCTTCGATCAGGAGTTTCCTAACATCGCCTCCTTCTATTACAACATGATTCCTACTCCTCCCCCTTCTCCCAGATCATGTGGTGCCTGCGCTCCCGAGGATCGCCTGGGCCAAATTCTTGCCGGATGCATTCAATTGACCGAAGTTCTTGGTGTTGGTGCTTATGGCGTTGTCTACCGAGCTTTTGATATGTGCACTGGCGTCCAGTATGCAGTCAAGGCCTTGAACAAGGTTGGCCTCGAACCCAGACAGAGGACTTTCCAGGAGAGAGAGATCCAATTGCACCACCAAGTAAGCCAGCACCCTAATGTGGTGTCTCTGGTGAAGGTGTTGGATTCCGCCGACTGCACCTTTGTTGTCATGGAATTCTGCCCCGAGGGAGATCTCTTCTCGAGGATCACTGAACAAGGATTCTATATTGGTCAGGATGCATTGGTCAAGAACGCTTTCCTTCAAATTCTTGAAGCCGTCCAGTTCTGCCATTCTGTTGGCATTTACCACCGTGACCTTAAGCCCGAGAATATCCTGGTTTCCGCCGACGGTATTACTTTGAAGCTTGCCGATTTCGGCCTTGCAACCCAGGATTACTACACTTCGGACTTTGGATGCGGTTCTACTTTCTACATGTCCCCTGAGTGCCAGCAATCAAACTCGCGTCCCAACGCCTGCTATGCATCTGCACCTAACGACATTTGGTCTCTTGGTGTCATCTTGGTTAACCTGACCTGTGGCAGAAACCCCTGGAAGCGGGCTTCCATGGATGATTCCACTTTCCGTGCCTACATGAAGGATCGCAGTTTCTTGAAGTCAATTCTTCCCCTCTCAGACGATCTTGATCACATCTTGAGAAGAGTCTTCGACCTCAATCCTGCTCAAAGAATGACCCTCCCCGAGCTGAAGCAGGCCATCCTTCTCTGTCCCCAGCTTACGAGCGAGCCCTCTGCTCCCGCACCCATGGCCTCGCCTTCTTACACTGCTGCCGATGCTGCCAGAGACGCTGCTTACTTGGCATCTGCCCACCTCATGGAGCCTGTCCCACCTATGTCCCAGCTGCCTGCCTCCGGCCCCCAGTACTCGCAAGCCCCAACGGCCGTGTCACACTTCGAGCAGCTTCCTGCTTCTAGAAGCCCACCCATGCCTTCGCCGGAGCCTCAGAAGGCCAACGGCCCTTTCGCTTTCTTTACCAACGGCCAGTGCACTCCTCAATCATACATCGCACCATGGTACAGCCAATTTATGGCAACTCTTCCCAAGCACGCTTCGATCTTCCCCACGCGTGTCTTTTAAAAGGCCCGTCTTCTTCGCTTCGCCTGTCTATATTCACCATTTTCGACCTTCACAACACCAAAAGCATTATTACGAGACTACGCCGCAAATCACGCCCACATATCACGACCTGCTTTTTCCCGTGCGACGGGCTGTTTTGATCTTCTGCAATGATACGATCAACGTTTTCTTTCATCTTATTCAAACATACTTTTGTAAATATACTGGTGCTGGCTGTTCGTGGCTTTGCCTAGATTTCTGGGGGCGCTTCATTTTCGCATTATACACCACATTGGTTTTGGCATACACGGTCAAAGGAGGACTTGCATCACAACTGGCGTTTTTGTTTCTCGGTTCAAGAAGATACCTCACCACACGCTTTCCAAGCTGTGTGTTTCCTGTACAAAACATATTATGAAACTGCCAATACCTTATACACTACTTCCTCTCACAAACTTCCAAGACTTCTGAATGCCTTTCTTTCAACACAAAGTCATGTCCAAGCAGAAAATAAATGCAAAGCCATGCGGCCTTGACCCAAATCCACCATCGCGCATCAACGAGAAGTGCGCAAGCAGCACAACGACATGCAATCACACGCCTGCAGCCACCCAGCCAAATGGCGCCACGATATTTCATCTTCATGCATAGCTGACTGCGCCTCGCGTTACTCACGATTTTGACACGAACAGGAGATGCTTTTTGTGGTTCTCGCTTGCTTGCAGCTCTTTTGTGAAGGTTCGCATACACGAGAGTGTCAGAGTCTACAAGTGTTCGCGAGGGAGTTGATCGTGGTCGACCAAGTTGAACCATGGCCTCGCGTCGAAAAACAGGGCATGTAACAGGAAGATCTGGTTAGACAGTTGAACTTCCCCCTGCCTATTGGCATGAGGTACCGCTGTATGCACACGCGCCATGAACAAAGGTTGCGAGGTGGCTGATCAAGCGCTGCTAGCCCGCCGATGGATTACAGCCTCGAGACTGTCCTGCCGCTCTTGACTTTGGTTGATCTTTTTATTCTCCTTCTTGGTTTCTTCTGCGCCAATGATTGCGATCGATTCTATCTTGTGGTTCTTTTTCTTTCCTTTCGGCATGTGTACGTAGTCAGTCCAGCCGGCCCGGCATTTTCAGATTTTGTCACAATCTTCCGATCGTAAAGTGCAGTCCTCATGCCGTCCATCACATCATTTCGCTTCTTGGACGTGCCAGCCACGCAATTAACTCGATAGTAATCATAGTATGTAATGTTCAGTGGTGAAGCGAAGGGCCGAGTACTGTAATGGCGTTGGGACGAATCCACCCAGACTCAAACCACCACGCAGCTTATTGTATGGCATCTCGATGCGTCTGCAGGTGATCTTGTGCGTTGGGATGTTGCGGCAAGTACTGTAATATTGCCATGGAATAACAAAGATCGAGATTTGCCTCGGAGCGGAGTTCCAGCTGACCTCTGGGAACAGCCCTCTTCCACGGTACTGGTTCCGATATCCGCTGTGGTTGCGAAACTGTGTCACAGTGCAGCAGCAACAACCTGGTGCGTGAAACGAAGACCCTGTTGCTGCGACAAACCGAAACAGTACGTTTCGCAAGGCTGTGCGACCCCAAACTTCACCCTGTCAGTGATGCTTTTGAGCTTCATGGTTGTGCATTGCGGCACCTTGACTGTTCGTCGCAAGTTGATCGGCTTCCAAGTAGCGGACAACTGAGGGCTTGCTAATTTTGGCTCCGATATCACACAGTTGAGCAGACACGCACTTAAAATATGAGAATGACTAGCTCAATAGAATAATAGCTGAGAGTCCTAAAAGCGCTTGACAGGGTTGAACATTCATGAAAGGAAGTAACGGCTCAGAAGACGGTAAACGTGGGCAGCCAATCCCGGCTCCGCATAGGAAGAAGGCATTTCATTGTGATGATTCCAATCTTGCGAAAGCCAGGAAGGCGCACCCATAACAGGTCAATGTCAGATTTCCGTCAACTTGCGATACCAGGACATATTTTGCAACCTTTTTCGCATGTGAAGCCTGCCAGATGACGCCCGCGCAACCGACTCGCAGTGGTCACTTTACTGCTGATCGAATCCCTCTCCGCCACGATGACAGACTACAGCTTGTTCATTCGAAAGTCAGAGGACCGTTTGCATTTCTGAACCCTACCCAAGCACATTACAAACACAAAGTCCACCTACCACCCACGCAAACCCGCCTTGGGACCACTGAAGCGCCCATCAGCACAACGGACGCTGCTCCGCCTCTTGATGCAGCCACGATATCGGCTGCCAACATCGAGTACAAATGGACTTCTCGAGACAACCGCAAAGGTCGGCATGCTTTAGTTGTGAAGAGTCCCTCTGTGGAACATCCAGAGGCGAATGTATCAACCCCTCGAAGCAGCACCCATTGGCGGTCTATCCTACATACAATATGGCTGATGATAACATTCTACCCGGTATGGGACATATCCTGGTGTGTAGCTTACATCTTCACCCTTGGGAGCGTTCTATGGGTAATAAACTCTCTCTTCGTTTTCCTGCCCTTGATCAGGCCTTCGTCGACCTTCCACAACGAAGCTCTTGTTGGCGGAGGCATAACTGCCTTTGTTGGTGCAACCATCTTCGAAGTCGGGAGCATACTTCTCATGTTAGAAGCCGTCAATGAGAATCGAGCGGGTTGCTTTGGGTACGCGGTGGAGTCGGTGCTTGAAGAGCGCATAGACAAAGTCGAGACTGGAAACGGAAGCAGCCCCAAGGTTGTGCCCAAGGACCTTGCCTGTACCCACCACCACCAGAACAAGCGCAACCTGGTAGGGGAGCCGCACCAGATACATCGTGATACATCATCTACGCCCATCTCAGACAAGCAGCAGCCATCGAAGAACGATTCGTGGGTCTGGTGTCCTTCTTGGGTTGAGCTGAAGACCCACTACTTCCACGAGCTCGGATTTATCGCCAGCCTCAGTCAGCTGTTCGGTGCCACTGTGTTCTGGATCAGCGGATTCACAGCCCTTCCTGGAATTCTGAATGTCCTGTCTCCTGGCCTTAGTGATGGTATCTTTTGGACGCCTCAGATAATTGGTGGTACTGGATTTATCGTGTCTGGATGGCTGTTCATGACCGAGAACCAGAAGCATTGGTGGCTTCCAGCACCGACTGTTTTGGGATGGCACATTGGTGCTTGGAATCTTATTGGCGGCATTGGGTAGGTATCCTAACTTTGTTGTTCTGGTGACGGTGCTGACTGTTACAGTTTCACACTGTGCCCTGCCTTCGGCTACGATACCAGTAGCTGGGCACAATACCAGGCATCATGCTCGACCTTCTGGGGGTCATGGGCATTCTTGATCGGAAGTCTGATTCAATTGTACGAGTCTCTCGAGAAGACACCTGTGAGCGTGGAACCTCTTGCGTAGCTGGCGAAGGCGTTGGTGCTGATTGGATATGGTCTTGATCAAAGGCGGTTCAATCGCCACCGATCTCATGCATCAGCGCCGGACTCCAATATTCTTTCTCGTCTGCTTGGGCATCTACCCATACCAGAGAGTCAGCCACAAGATCATCGATCACAGCAACGGCTCGTGCACGCTCCCAGCCTAGGTTGAGTTGGAGCATGGAAACGGTCACATATCCAAGGACTTGGATAGCCTCAAGGACAGTCGACTGATCAGTGTTGAGTTCCTTCGGAACAGACCGGATCATCTGCTTTGAGCCGATTTTCATGACAGTGAAGCCAGAACCCAGGGGTTCCAGTGATTTGACGGCACGGAGGATATCATCACTGAATGGTATGATTAGTATAGAAGGCTTAGTAGGGTGTGCGACTACGTACTCAGACACTTGAAGTCCTCCGCCGATGCCTCTTCCCTTTTCGACTCGTTTCCGGACTTGGGGCACTTCAATCATGCCACCGTTCTCTGATCGAGTTTCGCGACAGACCTCGACAACTCTGACAGCCAGCTCAAAGTAGAAATCGTTGACACTGCCTCCGAGCATCTGTGACCAGAAGCTACCACCTTCGTTTTTGCCGCCTTTGGACGTCTTGTGATTCGAACTAGCAAGTGGGTCGACGCCGATGGCATTGCACATGCGAGCAAATTCGGCTCTGAAAGTTGGATTGGAACGGATCTCAGCTCCATGAGTGATAGAGAAGGAATGCAGAGCCGCTTGGAATACTGAAAGCTGATTTGCTAGCGAGTCGGCATGTGCAGAGCGTAATGCGGCGCCATGTGAGGCATAATGGTCTGAAGTGAGAGCGTTGCGTGAAAAGGCAGATAGCCCGACACCTCTTCTGTTGTTCGCCATCTTGTTTGTCTCTTACGCATTCACAGGCCTATTACAAAGACAAGTCCAGTGAAGCCGTGTTGCTGTCGAGTGAGGACCCTCGGGAGGCAGATGGCCGTTGATGAGGTGCCAAGATAAATCTTGGCGCGACGCTAGTGCGGGAACAACCGCGCGCGCACGAAAAGACGCTTCGGTGCAAATCAAGGCAGATTTCTTCCTTCAGCAGCGACCTGACAAGCCGACGACCTCGCCATCCAACAACCAGCCAAGATGCCTTCTCAAACCGTCAAGACGTACGTGGATTGATTGTATGCTCTGCGCGGAGAAATGCAGACACAGTCGGCTCGCTCGCTGGAGCGCTGCGCCATTTCAGCGCCACCTCGATACTTTTGAAGCCGACCGTAGTCCTCTGGCCGTCAAGCGTCTCGCACGTCTGGCGCCTTAGAATGTACGGTCGAGGTCCCTGGTCGCAAACCACTGCGTCTTGGTCTTCCATGACCCCATCGGACCGTCGAGTTCACACCCAGTAGAGAATGCCGCTGTGCTGCAGTTCTCCGCTACGAGGCTCCCCTCAACCCAACCTTGTGTTCTGACTCTCTCCCTGCAGTTCGGTCCCCACCAAGCAGGACATCGTTCCTGAGACTCTCCTCAAGAAGAGAAAGTCCCAGGAGAAGGAGCGCGAGGCCCGCACCGCTGACCTCCAGAAGAAGCGCGCCGTAAGTCACCCCACCGTCAAGCAAGAGCAGGATGGTGTCTACATGATGCATAACAACCACACCTCGACTAGGCCTCCGGGTCGATGTTGTCGAAATTAACCATCTTTCGGGTCTGATCGACACACATCCTGCTCATTGGCACAACACACTCCACCCTCTGGACCTATACTAACATGGCTCAGGCCAACAAGGAGAAGCGCCAGGTCATCTTCAAGCGCGCCGAGTCCTACATCAAGGAGTACCGTGATGCAGAGCGCGAGAAGATCCGCCTCCAGCGTGTCGCCAAGCAGGAGGGTTCTTTCTACGTCCCTGCCCAGGCCAAGCTTGCCTTCGTTGTCCGCATCAAGGGTATCAACAAGATTGACCCCAAGAAGCGCAAGACCCTCCAGCTCCTCCGTCTTCTCCAGATCAACAACGGTGTCTTCGTCCGTCTGACCAAGGCCACCATTGAGATGCTGAAGATCGTCGAGCCCTTCGTCGCCTGGGGTTACCCCAACCTCAAGACTGTCCGTGAGCTCGTCTACAAGCGTGGTTACGGTAAGGTCAACAAGCAGCGCATCGCTCTTTCCGACAACGCCATCGTTGAGGAGAACCTCGGCCAGTACGGCATCGTCTGCATGGAGGATCTCATCCACGAGATCTTCACTGTTGGCCCCAACTTCAAGCAGGCCTCCAACTTCCTCTGGCCCTTCAAGCTCTCCAACCCTCTCGGCGGCTTCCACAAGCGCAAGGTATGTTTCAATCATCATTTCCAAAATCAACATTCAAAAACATATTCTAACTTATCTTTTTAATTCAGTTCAACCATTTGTGAGTTCATCCATTTCTTCTTATCATCATCATCACCATCTTTTCCATTTCTTCATCATCATCTTTTCTTATCCCTCAATCTTCCCCAACTTTTCGATTTTTTTCTTTTCATTTCAAAACCCCAAATGCATATGAATCTAAGCTAACGGATTTTTAGCATCGAGGGTGGTGACCTTGGCAACCGCGAGGAGCAGATCTCTGCCCTCGTTGCCCGCATGAACTAAGCATTTGCTTGACACAAAAACTGGTTGATTCTTGGGTGGAGCATGGCGCAAACGGAAAGGCATTGTATTCGGACTTTATGACGACCCACGGGCCCTGCATCACAGGTAGAATGCAGCTCATGGCAAAAGCTCTCAAAACGTTCAATGTCTTTTCCCACCTGACTATTTCCTCTTTACCGTGAGAACTTGATGTGATCTGTGACAACTTGTGCTCTGATTTTCTCGATTATGACATCTCGTCGTGGCCTATCGTCTTGGCCCAAACAATGTCGTTGCACATGCTGAAAACCATCTCACCTTGCCCCCACGATGGCTGAGCTGCTGGAACGATTTCCGGATCGGCACGTGATTTGTTCTCTCATTCGGCTCCGCTTATCGCCCTCGATGATCTCAGCATCATTAACCTCCGGCAACTTCGTGATCCTGACAATGGAGGAAACATCCAGCATGTTTGTCAAAGACGTCTTACATCTGATGCTTCACGCGAGAGCATCAGATTCCGTCGATACGCTGAGCGGGCCGAATGACAGCAACGAACGCCGTCGAAAAGCCATCGAAAGCATACTATTCTCCCGCAGATTTGTTGTAATCTACAACGTCGTACTCTTAGGCATACTGGCATGCTTTACTGCAGAACACTGGAGTCTCAAGCTTGCCAGACGTCGACGCAGACGTGCCCATCAATCTTCGCCGCGCGATCAACCAATTACGCGTCTCGATCACAGCAAGCACGACACAGAAGGCGAAACGTCACCGCTTCTCAGTCAAGGCGAGGCTCATAGCAACTACTCTTCTAGCAAAGTCTCAGTCCTTCATAAAATCCGCTCTTGGATGATATACCAGCCTGCCAATCTGCCTTACGTTAACAAAGTTCTTCCTTCCAACATCACTACTATTGGTATTCTGCTTCTGTTGGCTCTTAACTTGTTCTTCTTGTTTTACCAAGTCGAACTGTCGTTAGCTACTGCATTCGTCTTCGCCGATAGAGCGGGTCTGCTGTTTGTTGCAAACCTGCCGCTACTCTATGTTCTTGCGGCTAAAAACCAGCCACTCAAGTTTTTGACAGACGCTTCGTATGAGGGTCTCAACATCATCCATCGCCGCTTAGGCGAGTGGATGTGTTTACTCGCCCTTCTACATGCTGGAAGCATGGTCCTTGTTTGGTATACTACGCTTTCAGCTCGTCTCAGCTTTTCAAGATTTCTGGCCTTGCCTATCATTTGGCTCGGACTGCTCGCATTCATATCCTACGAGACCCTTTATCTCACCTCGCTAGGATCATTCCGACAAAAATCGTATGAAATATTCCTCGGGCTCCACGTCATCCTTCAAGTTGCCGCACTGGCTTTCCTATGGTTTCACCACCACAACAGCCAGCCCTACGTCCTGGTAGCTGTGTGTATCTTTACCATCGATCGCCTCATTTTCAGAATGATACTCAAGTCAAAGACACTCAAAGCCGACTTGTCTGTGCTGGAAGATGAAGAGACTGTTATGTTGAGCTCCAATTGGCAGTTACTCGCTCCTTCAGGGTCGAAAAGTCTGGGATTCGACGTAAAACATGGCTGGAAACCTGCCGAACATGTTTTTCTCACTGTGCCCGCATTGTCACACAAACACAAAGTCCAAGCACATCCATTTACCATCGCTTCTGCCGCTCCAACCAACTCCGACTCACACGCTTGGCTCAACTTCCTGATTCGAGCTCAAGACGGTTTCTCACGAGATCTTCTTCGCTACGCACATTCTCATAGCTCGGTCAATATCCGTGTGGATGGGCCCTACGGCTCGTCGCACGCCCTCGAGATGCTACATGATAACGATGTCGCCGTTATCGTCGCTGGTGGCTCAGGTATCGCCGTAGCGTTCCCACTTGTCTGGAGTTTGCTCGTTGCCACATCTCGCGAAATCGATGCAGAGGATAACAGACACTTCATACCCCGGGTATCGTTGATCTGGGTAGTTCACGATAAAGAGCACGTCGACTGGATTCCTCGGGACCGCCTAGACGAGCTGCGCGAACTCGGCTGCAAAATCATGGTACCTCCACCTACGCGCAAGGCAGGGCGGCCAGATCTTCCACATTTGCTGAACAACGCTATACATGCATGGGACAACGAACTTGTAGATCCCACAATAGGTGTCATTGTGGCAGGACCGGACGGTATGAACAGAACCTGCAGGAACACATGTGCAAGCCTTGTGCGACAAGGTGCCCGATTGAAGGTTTCTGTTGAGAAGTTCGGATGGTGATCTAGCATATTTGACACTTGGATCGATCCAAGACCTCGTCAATCAGCTGGAAGTTGCTATCGATTGAATATATATCCTTGCTCTCTTGAACAACTGTTCACAGTGCATCGTTGTGCTGATTCAAGATACGACATGAGCTGCTTGCTATCTCGAGATCGAACTATCTTGAACCAATTCTTGTGAGCCCTGCTACCATTCAGCATGCGGTCACAGTTGCGAGGTGATCTGACAGCTCCATTGCCACGGCCTACTCGAGTTTCAATCCTGGAGATAATCACGATCTTGAATGCCTCCTGAGTCTAGCTCATGAGAGCTGCCAATGCACGAATGTGTTGTTGACCTGATAAGCTGCTTGTCAACAGCTTCGTGCGATGCTTGTGATGACGACACGGTCATTAGCATGGTGAATATTGAGACCTGTGCCCCCCATGTCGAACATCATGATTAAGCACTTGAAAGTGCTTTTGGGCTTGTTGAATAGACGAACCATGTCGCCTCGAGCTTTGTTCGACAACCCAGAGTGCATTACCCGGGCATCAATGCCCAAATAACGCAAGACCGCACAAAGATACCAGGCATTGGCGGGCGTCTGCTCCCCAACCATCAGTTTCTGGTGGCGCTTGTATCTGTCCCAGTCCAGCGCTTCCAAAACTTTGCCATTCAGGATCTCTCTCAACACAAGATGGATAGAGGGGCCGCCCTTGACCAGAGCATACGCAGGCTCTGATGCTGTGGTTGCCCTGGGTTCTCCAGGGCCTCTGGTCATCATGTGAATCCACTCGGCTTCACGCCCGTCGTCACGCCAAATCTGCAGCGTGGCGACGTGTGTGTTGCCTCTCGTCCGGACAATCTTTGCATTGAGTCTTGCCAGCACCGTTGAGAAGTTGCACATGCCTAGCTCTCTTAAAGGTCCCGTAGGCATGATACAATTGCATCAGTTGGTAGATGGGTGCGCCTGCCACAACCCCTTGAGCATGGTTCGGAAAATCGCTGGTTCGTTTGTTAGTCCTCTGCCCTTGCGTTCTACAAAATTTGAGACTTACTTAGTACCATTCTTGCGGGATAGCTGGTATTTCACTCCTCGTCAGGTTCTCTCTACTACAGCTTCTGCGACGGGGCTTGGTGAAGAGGGGAGCCAAAAGCTCGCCTTCCTCGTCGATTCGAGGCAGAAGATCTCCTGATCATGACCAGATCGAGCGCAATGCTCAGACTCTCGGCGATATCGACATGGTTGGCGCCAGGAACGAGCTTAGATATATATTAGCTTCGGGTTGAGCGCGAACATCCGACGAGGATTTTGGCTATCCAGCAGAGCAATCTCTTTGAACATATCTGTCTTTCTCGTAATGATGCCAGCCAACTATTATACGACTTCTTCGCCGTCCGTGGACATCGATTCATGCGATTCTCTTGCATCTATTCAAGTCTGTGCAACACCATTGTGTTCTATAAAGAAGTAAACAAGGCATATCTGCTTGCATCAACGCAGCTGGCCAGTGACGCTCCCACCATCTTCGGAACCGGAAAAGGAACTGCAAAACTACACAATGATTTCTTGATTAGAACGACCATCTTCGAGAGCAAACGTTCTTTGAGCTCTCACTGGACACAGCTCTTGTTCTCAAAAAAATCGTGCATTTCGATGGGTACACAAGTTATCGCACTGGAAGGAGGGATTGGATCTGTTTGAGGGGCTCCACAGTCGCCCAGTCTTGTGACAACCGTTAGATCTAAGGGGTTGATATGCTCTTCGTACCTCAACACCTTGAGAAAATAGGTTTGAGGAGATGCAAAATGCCAGAAGTTCTATGCGTTTTCTTCACGAGAGCTGGGAGCAGATGGACATAATCATTGACCTGGTGAGTGGCGTTCTCAAATGGCCATAGGATGGAACGATTGATACTCATACTCATCGTCTGGTCTCCTTGAGACCTTTGCAGTGCGGCGGTATATCTTCTTGTCTTGAACAAAGAACTTAGTGACGTAGGCCCCCCCTTCGCGTTTGGCAGATTGCTTGAAGCGGATCTGCGGATCATGGTGGTCTCGATGACCCCCTTGAGCTTGTTGACGACCTGGGTATGACTAGCGCCATTGCTCACTACTGGAAGCAGTAGCTTCGGGTCGCTTGCTCTGAGTCTGCTAATGTGCTTGAACTTGTCGAGTTCTTCGTAGACTTGTCTCCTGTGGGCTCCGCTGGCTCTTTGAAATCTTGGCTTCTTAGTATCCAGGTCTGTCTGCCTGATATTATTCAGCATGTCTTTAGTCGCAGTCTCGATATTTGAGTTTTCATGATGTTGGAAAATCTTTATAGTCATTCTCTCGTACTGAATACAACGAATCATGTTATTCCCTCAAAATCACTCTCTCGAAGCTTATGACACTCTGTGGGAATTAGTCACCAGTTTCTGGGAGCCTACATAATGCGCCGTCTTCCTGTTCATGATAAGTCAACTCTCAAACACATTCTCCAACAAAATGCGCCTTCGACCTCTACTTCCCAGCCTCGCTTTCGCGGCAGGCTTGATCATCGCCCAGCTTGTGCCAGATTTGAGTGAGCTAGATGACTGCATCGTAAGTTCTAAACCTATCGCACAGCCCTAATCTCAAGACTAACCGATAAATCAAGGTAAACTGCATCAAAACAAAAACGCCCATAGACGACACTGCAGAAGACAAACAATTCGGCCTTTTCTGCAACAAAGCCGCGAGGAGATGGCAGCCCTGGTACAACGCAGTGCCCGAATGTATCAGAGAGGACTGCCATAGCCGCCCCGGATATATGAACAACGAGAACCGCTACAAGAAATGGATTCACGACTTTTGTGTTGATGGATCGCCCCCAACAACTGCATTCGCACCAATCACCACCGTGGTCAATGTCCCCTGTCTTGAGTCATCGGCATGGCCTGCAACAGGATACTGGGAGGGTTGTCAAACATCTACGACTATCACGCCGAAAAGAACGCAGACTGGTGGGAGTAAGATGCCTAGACCTACTGGCCCTACGAAGACCACCACCAAAGGCCCCATAGAGACTTTGCCGAGAGTCATACCCAACAGTGATCCTTGTATGATCAACGGATGGAAGGTCTGCTAGATGACAGAAAAATTCCAAAATTACTCTAGGTAGTGACATGTATCATGTCGTTCGTGGCAATCAGAATGGGATTCTCTTCTCTCTCCGAAATTCTCTGTTTTGCTGTGAATCAATCATCAAGCTTGTAGTTCTCAACATTTCTTGCGGTTCCCCCCCCGTATGCTATAATCTGTAACGTCTAGGCATCACCCAAGGCCACGCCTGGGGCCGTTTGGACTGTAGAAGTGCAAGATATCTTCAACATCGGTCTAGTCGTCCGGAGAGGAGTGCTAGTTGTCACGCTCTGTGTGGGGGCTACCTCTGACAATGTTGGAACTGTGCATTTCTACAGCTAATTAGCTATGCGCGTGTCAGATTTTAGCACACGGGGAGGCCTTACTTGAATGATTGACCCTTTGATAGACATAGATTAACAACTATCACAGTATCAGATTCACATAATGAACAGTCAACTCCGTCAGAACATCAATTCCAGGCGCGGAGAATCAGGCTGACGCGAAAAGACAGAAGACAGCAACATATGTTCGTACGATATGAAATCTTTACATCTGCTTACGAAGGCAGCAATTTCCTGGGGACCCAGCCAACCCTTCAACTTTCTTCAAGTCCCAGAACTCCGAGCAGTCACTGGCAGCGTATCTGGGATTTACTGAGGCTGCATCCCTGAGGTCCATCGCCGCAGCATGGCCTCTGCTGCGAGCGTGTATCGCTTTCGATAAGATCGGGGACGGGATGTCCTACTATCGGACATATACACTCACAAACGACAGCAAAGATGAGTACACCGGGAATCGACGACCCGATTGCTCACTGGGTTCCGGCAGAAGATAAGACTGCAGAAGTCAAGAGTGAAGATTCTCGAGGTCAACAAGTACCCCATCACCATGCCTACTCTCAACAATCCGCCTTTGGAAAATCGAAGACACTGTGCATTGCATCAGTTAGTTCAAAGTCGAGGCTGCATGCTTGTCTGGAGATCATATCCTCAAATCCGATTTTGTGGACCTGAGTGGCTCTGGGGTGTTGAAAAATTCTGTGCATTGGACCAGAGATGTCCTGGTTTGAGACCGTGTGCTTTGAGATCATCATTGCCGGCTCGGATTGATGGACCTGGGTGGCTCTAGATAGTCACGGACGCCTCTAGGCCGAATCGTCAGGGAAATATCATGCATTACTGCAACATCTTGAGTCGAAGATGATTTGCGTGTATGAGAGAGCGGACCAAGAAGTTCAGTTGTATGACTTTGCCTCCCCCTAAATACATCTTAGCTCACATTGACCTATCGAAAACCGGGCTGAAAAGGGGCGCGTCTCGTAGTACGGCCAAGTCTCGGATTTTACTAACGTATTCTCACTAGTCATCGTAGACGAAGCACAAAAGCTCCGCACGTTTGGTACTACCGCTTGAGTATCAATTTATAGACTCGGATAAACAGTGCACCTGCAACAAATGCGGCACCCTCGCGCACTCTGTATGCCATGGCCTCAAGACATCCACCGCTGACTTTGTCTGTAAGACCTGCGTATCGCAAGGCAAGATCGGAGATATCAGCGACCTCAGCTTGGGGGAGGGCGAGGCATGGGTTGGTCCTGTCGGTGAGGACGAAGATGGGACGTACGAGGACGCCGAAGACCAACCCATGCAGCAAAGCGGAAGAAATTTTGCGCAGCAACGCTCGGAAGAACCCATCTACGATGATATCAGCACCCTTCTCGGAACACAGGACCTGAACGACTTCGCATCCGCCACTCAACCGGACGACGAAACCAGGCATAATCTTGTGCTGCTTTCGCTGCCAGTTGACCACGTCTGGACCGACAATGATCTGACTCGAGGGAGCAAACAGGTCGACCAGGTCACCGTCCTCGTCATAAAAATCCCAACTCTCATGATCAGAACACATGAAGATGTCAACAATCTGCTTAGCTTCAGAGTTGTGCCTTATCGCGCATATGAAAGTCGGAGAGACCCTCATCGACCGAACCTGAAGGCTTGGAAAGGGGTAAATGTGCCCCTTATCCCTTATTCCTTATCCCTCGATATCGATCTCGTTCTCCTGAGCAAGACGATAATATCCCCGTCAAAAGGCACGGTGATTTTGAGATTGGAGCATCATGTCCAGTGAGAGCGTAAGAAACTGGACAATCTCCATGGCAGTTCTCCTGATTTCAAAAAAAAATTGCGCATCTGTTCAAGTTTCTATGCGAGCTTCGCCGACGATGAGATCGCTACTCCTACTGAATCTGCTTCAAGCAGGGTCATGTTTGGGCAGGGCAGTCTTCTCTCGCTTCTCTCTTGGAGCAGATAGACAATGTTGGACATACTCTGGATTGATGCAAGAATCCTCATAAATCGAGTCTGCCCATGTGAGATCGTCTACGTTCTTGAAGTTTGAGGTACCTGATGCTCTTCCACTTATACCCCTGATCGAAACTGTGCAAGGTCAGTGATTTGATGTAAAAGCGGTGGCCACTCCAGGTTTCTCCCACACATTCTGCACTCACTGATGCACGACACATGCGGTTGCCAGATAGGTGTAGTCGACGCTGAGAGCCCTTGTGGTCGTGATTCGGGTCGGCTACCCCAACGAGAAAATCGTTTCTTCTTTGCGCTCGGTCATATCTCTCTTGAGCCATTGTGCGTTTCATCAGTCCGTATTTTGTTATATATGATTTTGCGGAAGAGAAATGTTTGTACAACAAGAAAATAAGAAGAAAGATGGAAGGAGTAGCGGCAGCAAGAACAAGAAGAACAAGAGGTCAATAGAGAACAAGAAACAAGAAGAATTCATATTTGGAGGAAGCTTTTTCTCGTCATTTCAACTACGGCGGATAGAATGGTGCCTCGCCTAAAGCCAGTCTCTTCTCCATAGCCTCCATCAATACAGCAGGCACTGATTCATCGGTCGCCCTGATTGTAAGTCGATACATCTGTGTCAACGTTAGCATACTGTTTTCGCTCGGAGAAACTGTACTCAAACATACCCCATTACCAGCATTGGGTTCAAGTCTTATCAAACACCCAATCTTGCCAGCCTGACTCGTGTGCAAAACACTCGCGCAAACGAAGTTCTTCGCATTCGGATCCACATCGTCCAAAACACCCCACTTGAATCCTTCAAGGATACGGCGTGTAGGGACGGGCGCAACATCTTTACCGGAGAAGATACGTTGAGCTTCGCGAGGGCCAGGTCCACCAATCTGTTTCCAGCGCTTGAAAAAGTCATCGGCGGATAGGGAAGCGGGTTCGAGATATTTGTGAATGGCGAGGGGCAATTGGAGAGTTAACGCTTGTAAAGCGCCTGCGAGCCAGGATATGCGGATGGTGGGGGCTTGGGTGAAGACGGTTCTTGCCTCCAGCATGATCATGGCTTGTGTTTGTGTCGAGGGTTGGACAGTGGTCTCGGGGAGAGATTTGACGTCGATTTTGATTTGGTCGGGAGAGGGATTGTTGAGAGTGGTGGTGAAGGAGTTGATGGCGAAGGAGGACTTGTTGGTGAAGTACATGATTATGCAGCCGAGTTCGCCGCGGTATTCTGAGCGTACGCCAACTTGAATTTGACCATCTTCGTATAGAATACCTTCGGGTACCATCAGCATACGAGCATGACCACGTTCCCAACCTGGAGACAGATGGTCTGCGCTGGCGAAGTTTGGTGTCTTGGTCTCGGTGCCCCAGTCCAGACCAGCAAGTTCATCTGCTGGCGTTCTGGAACCATTAGCTTTGGTAGGTGATTGCGCGTCAGCCGTCGTGTTGAGAGGGTTGCCAGCGCTGAAGGTACGCTTCAAAGTGTTGTTTCGTTCCTTGATATCCTTGTTGGCATCTTTGCCACCTGCAACCCAAGTGCGCTTGTCTGTTGTGTTGTGCTGTCTAGAATGTAATCTCGATAGCAGAGCAGAAGCACGTTCAGGGAAAGGAGGCATTTCGTCCATGACAGTTCTGAGTAGATCATCTGTCGGCATAGTCGCCAGAGTCAAGTATTCGCACGCACGCTGTTGTAATTCAGAGTCCAGAGTATGGCTGTATGTTTTGAAGGCTTGCAGAAGTTGAGGTTTGATCTCAGGGAACAGGTTGACGAATTTGATGAAGGCGGATAGCATCATGGCGCGCGTACTCGGTGAGCTTCCATTGAACTTGGATTGCAATGCCATAAACTGCTCGATAGGGCTGCATTTTGGACTATCGGCGATCAGATGACCAAACTCTCCAAGCAGGTAGCTACCAATCTTGACAAGCATCTCATGACATTGCTCGGCTCGGAGGTATTCCAGGATGTTGGATGCAGCGTAGATCTGAAGCTCATCGTTGTTGGTAACAATCATGATGATTCTCTGCCACACTTCATCGCTGACGTGATCACCAGCCATAGCAATAAGCCTGAGTGAGATGTCGACATACCACTGAATATCAGTGGCATATTTTTCAGTCAAGATGGCAATCTTGAGAACCATCTCTTCCCGAATGGCGTAATCAGCGGTCTGCAAGTACTTCAAGAGCTCACCGACAATGGGCTTAGCATTCGTCGTGTCGCACATGCTGTAGAGCAGATCGAGACCCTGCCTTCTGACACTGATATCCCGATCGCGCAAAGAACCAACGATGATGCTTTGGTGCTTCTTGATAGGATCGAGGTTCTCTGAACGAGCAGCCAGATGTGTCATGGCTTCCAAACCAAGATAGCGAACATTTGTCTCTCTTGACTGAATGAATTTGCCTAGTCTGGAAGAGATTTGCATCATCAGTTCTTGCTCAGTGTCGAGGTGGATTGTAAGGTTGATGGCCTCGAACAGAACAGCGTTCTGAGCATTGTTCTGCTGGACGTTCTTGGGAGCCTCCATGGCGTTGTCCATGATCTTTTGCAGAGATTCGCGAATCAAAGCGCGTACATGAGAGTCGTCCGAGGGAGGGAAGTATTGCATCAAACGCAGAAGCTTGACCTGGATCCAGGGGCAAGGGACCTTGTAGTAGTAGTAATCGCCGGCGCATTCGTGTTCAACAACGACCTTTTGCAGACGTTGGGCGGCCTTGACATAACTGCCCTTGTATTGGTCGGGGTCGTCTTGAGCGAGCTTCATGACAAGCGAGGTGACGGAAAGAGCAACGCCCATATCCGTGTCGTCCATGATGGAGATGATGCGCTCTGCCCATTCTGCCTGGACGATGCTGGGGGCTTTTCGGTAGAGACGTAGGAGAGTGAGGGCGGCCTTCTTCTTGACGAAAGGTTTCGAGGTGCTACATGTACATGTCAGCGGGTGGATGGCTGTCAGAGATATGAGCAAGGACTCACGGAGAGATGAGCAGTCGGTGGACGTCAAAGGCCAGAGCTTCGCCCATTTCCTTTCCTCCGACATTGGCAATGGCGTGCAGAGCCAGGCAGTTGTTGAGCTCATTGATGTCGGCCAAGTCCTTGCGAATGCTGTTGACGACCAGGTGTAGCAGCTCGTGTTCCTCGTGCAAGAACAGCGTGACGGCCAGGTAGCCAATCTGCTTCTCCGAGTACTTTGTGGCCGAGACCAGGTTGACGGCCTCGAGATGGCCAAAGTCGACGTTCCAGCCCAGAATGTAGATGTACAGCAGTTTGCAGACGTACTTCTTCTTGTCGTAGCCACTCAGGCCGCCCTGCTTGAACTTGGATCGGATGTTGGCCAGCTCTTTGTTGATGCGCTTCTCCTCGAGTTCTCTGGCGCGAGCGTTTCGTAGATCTGCGATGAAGGATACCAGTCCGCGCATTGTATTCTGGTTGCCGCTTCCACCACCGCGGTTGAACAGGCCGCTACCTGAAGACGACATGATGGGCGACCGCTGCTGGGATCCTTAGGCTGCTTGTGCGTACAAGGTGATATCGAGGGGGTAAGCCGCTTCCGACACGAGACGGGATGGCCGAGTCGGGGGTTCCAGGAGACGAGCGAAGCGATGCACCCTTTCACGTCGGGGACATGGACAATTGGTCTTCAAGAAATGTCTGTCGATGCCTCGTTCTTATCTTCCGTCCAGCTCCGGAGACATTCAAAACATGACTAGTCGTCGCGACTCTAGGGACATGTCACGACCACGCCAACAATCTCCCGTCCGATGCCTCTCCCGTATTGCGCCAAGAACGTGGGGATCGCCATCTCCTGGAGGCTCGACTTCACCCGACAGACATCGCCATATCAAGTGGACTCATCATCAGTCAACATCGTCTACAGATCCCTCTGCTCTATATTTCTAGAGCTACTTGTTAGCCTTCACGAGTGATGGGATAGTTCAAGAAGAGTAATGGTTAAGAGTTCAGTACAGTGGTTTAATAATGGACTCTGGTCTAGAAGTACACGCTTTCTGTGGCCCTTCCCTCGCCATACCATTTTTGACCCTCGTGTAAAGATAGAGAAGGACTGTGCCCGATGCATCAAGCTGTCGGCCACACCTTTGTGCTTTTTGTTGTTGTCGTCATGCGTCAGAAGTAAAATAGTTCAAAACAATCATCCAATCCCGCCAGAGTCCTTTCGCTCTTCGGACGATGACTTTCCCAATGTGTCCCCACTACGCCCAGAACGCCCTTGATATCCGTTAGCCGCCACTTGTCCCAGCGTCTCAACAAAGGCTCTCTCAAACACTTCCCTTTCCTGCTTGCTCTCGCTCTCGGGGAAAGGCAGCGCTTGGAGAGCGCTTACACCCTGGAACCTAGGACCCGTCGCAAAAAGTTGCGCTGTAGTCACCGAGGTTGGGAGCCGATGCGAGAGTAAGCTCAGGAGCGAGAAAAGTGTCCTTGAGGCCATAGTTTGGTATGCTGAAGAGGTCGTCGCCGCCGCCAAATGTCGTGGCATCCGTCGTGTAGTTGGGGTGAACATCATCGTAGTCAATGAGGTTGTCAAAGGGACTGAGAGTTGACTCGTCATCATGGCCATACGAGCTGGCCATAGCGTCCATGAAGCTACCATGAGGCTCTTGTAGAAGGTCATGATGTTCAGATGCATCAAATAGAGTATAATCTGACTCCACCTTGAAGGGCTGTTGTTCTCGCTCGACCGACACTGCAGGTCGCACAACATCGCAGCAGAATGTTGTGTCTGGTCGAGCGAGATGCTTGTCCTGTGGACAGCCGAAGGGGCCTTGTGCATCTGAGAAGCCGGCGACGTGGGCTCCATCTTGATGGATGGCGTCATGAAGTCTTCGTTGATTGATGAGGGCGCCAGTGAGGCGCGGGGGTCGATCGTGTCATAAGATGAGGGAGTCGAGACGATGCTGTACAATGTTAGATGTCATGCCGATGAGTATGAAGAGTCAGACGATGATATGCACCTTTCTTCCGGCACCTTGATGCTGGCGAGTTCTTCCTGGGTGAGTTGGGGGAGACCACCGGGGAGTATCTCCTTGCACTTGTCCAGGGTGATGTCCTTCTGGGCGAGTTGTTGGTGCAGGGCGTTGATCTGCAACTTGAGGGCGTGGTTCTCGACTTCGAGACGTTCGGCTTCCTGGCGCTTACGCTCACGGGAGTTGTGTGCAGCGGCGCGGTTGCGCTTGATACGTTCGATGCGGCGTTGTTCCTTCTCGTCGGCAGTCTTTGCCCGCTTCCGGGGTGGGAGGTTGGTCTTGGGTTCAGGGAGTGCCTGGCCCCATGACTTTCTCTTCTTTGCAGGCTTGGCCGCTGACGACTGTGGTAGGTGGAGGGAGTTGGGTGTGGCAATAGCCGTCGTGGCTGCCGTCGATGGGGTCATTGTAAAGTCCGGAGTGTTCATGTTGAGTGGATCTGGGGTTGTTGCTGCCAGGAGTGATGGCGGTGATAATACTGGACCGTCGGCCATGATGTATGAAGAACCTTAACCGACTGCCTACATCTGGGGATGAAAGCTGGCCTCTTTGGATGTTTGCTGTTGCCTGATGACGATTCCGAGTCACACTCAGAAGGCAGCGACTACAAAGCCCGAGAAGACAGGTGGCAGCTTCGCTCTTTATATATCCGCACCTTCCTATTCCCAAAATAGCTAGCTCCGTCCGCAACTGCCCCCTGCGTAAGCCCTGGCCTAGCACCTCCCATATCTGGAAGCACGTGCACCAAGGGGCTGCGCACATCAGCCTCTCAGCTCACCAAGACTCCAACCGAAATCATCACCCAATCTCGAATCTCTCTCATACACGTCCGACATTACCATATCTCGCGTCTCATGTAAACGCGTCTCGACCTCTGCCTCGCCTGCGAATTCACTCAACCTGCTACCCATGACCATACTTCTCCAACTCTATCTGCGCCGAAAAGCCGTTGTTGTGAACCTTGTGCCTTTGTCGATCGGAGTTCAAGCCCATCTATTTCTCCGTCCTTCCAAAGCATTCTCGCCCTCTTGTCCCACAGTCATCCCCACCTTCAAATCAGCTCTCGACTCCTTTCAATAGTGATGCCTCTCCTTACATGACTCAACATGCTGCGTACATGGTAACCACTTGCCTGGACAGTTACCCGTCAGCTGAAGCAGTCAGCCACCTACGAGCATATCCGTATCCCTTGAGCCTTGTACATGTACAATGCATTATTTTACCCTGACGATCATAAAGGGTCCACTTTCAACAAGCACGAGCGACAAAAAGATACGGCAATCCCGGGCCAAATCGATCTAGCCAAGATCAACGACATGCAATTAGAGTACGAGTATACGAGTGTCAATGCTTTCTTTATATCATTACAAGCCCGCCAATGAAAGAGATAAGGAGTGGACATCCTGAAAGAGATGAATGCTAAAGTACCTGACCACAGTCTGTCGCTATCAGTCCCATCATTCCTCTGGACCCATGACCAAAGGGCTCTCTGTGATTGTGCTCGGGTCTCGAGGACTATCTATCGGAGACCGACGAGACCCTGACCGCCAGGCATTGCTCTGGCTACGCTCGAGACCAACTTGATGAAGTCCTTGTTGTTCTCCTTTGGCACTCGTTCTTTGAATCTTCTAATGAGGTCTGAAATGGTTATGCCAGCAGGAGGGATAGCGGCCTTGACTTCGTCGGCAGTAGGCATAGGCACGGGACTGCCGGCGCGCGAGCCGATGGGAGTCGCGGCGCCGGGCGATCCGGGGGTGGATCTAGGGTTCAGGGTCATGGGCCGGGCACGTCGCTCAGTTTCGGTATCGCTACCTGAGCCGGCGAGACGTCCCATGGGCGATCCAGCACCGGAACCGTGTTGCTTCTTCATGCGCTTGCGATTGATAGACTCGCTGCCACTGGTCTCTGACAGGTTGGGAGAACCAGGACGCTTGAGGTTGGACATGGAAGGCTTAGGTTGAAGGCTACCAGCATGCTTTTCAGCACGACCCGAAGGAGTGTTGGCGTTGGTAGACATCTGCGATGCAGGTTTCTCGCCATTTGCCTTGAGCTCTTCATCCTTCTTACGCTCTTCCTCCTCACGTAGGCGCTCCGTGTCCGAGTCTTCCGATTCCTGAGATGGTGGGGTTAGACCAGACGTAAAGAGTTGCAAGCATAAATCAAACTTACGTCTTCTGAGTATGGGTTATCGCTCTCGTCGGTATCATATTCGTAGTTCTTCTCAATTTTGACAAGCTTCTTGCGCAGCTTCTTTGCCTTTTTCCTCTCTGCTCGCTCCTGTGCCTTCTCGCGTTCTTCCTCTTTGTCCCAGTCTTTTTCATCTTTGACACCAGTACCAGCAAAGATGTTAGCGCCGTGTCGTTCTTTCTTGATTTTAGATGCGGCTTCTTTGGCCTCGTCTTCATCATCTCCAAATAGTTTGCCCTCGTCATCGTCTTGGAACTCATCCTCGGCTTCAAAGTCCAGCTCGTCAACGTCATCAGCGAGATCCTCTCTGTCGTCGTCGTCGTCATCCTCGTTCTTGATGCGATTCTCTCCTCGCATACCCACTCTACCTCTGGTCAAACGGGCTTGTCTCTCAAGCTCGGCACGCCTTTGGCCGGCGGTTTTGTCGTTGTCCAAGAACCATCTCGGATCCTTCTCGTTCCTTGCCATACGTGCCTCGGCCTCTATGAGAGGCATGATCTTGAATCGTCCCGTAGGATTGAAGCGATACCACTTCTCGATCGGGACCATCTTAAAACAACCATTCGATAGCAGAAACATGACGTTCGATTCCGAGAGAGGTTCCTCGTATGTACCGATCCAGATGTTTTTGTTCTCAAAGTCCTCGAGATGCCAGGGACGGCCTTCCTCGTAGCGCAACCTGGCGCGCTTCTGTGTATCGGGAGTGTCTGTGAGATAGTACACGTCCTCGGTCTTCTTCTTGAAAGGTTGGCGCTTCTTTGCAGCTGCGGCCTTGTCGGTAGGGGCAATCTGAGCCTGGGTTGCCTCTCTTTCTGCGGCCTTTTCCGCCTTACGGATAACCTCCTTCTCGCGCTCCTTGTCATCCTCCGGATTGGCATCGGTGGGCGCATTGGGTGTATCACGAGGGAAGCGGCGATGAAGTTTTACAGGGCGCTCAAACTGGGTTTTGTCGTATGGGTTGATCTCGTTGTCTGCGATGAACTTCATGGCGTGATAGCGAAGACCTTCGAGAACAGCCTTCTTTGTCGTGAGGAGTGGGAACTCCTCGTAAAGAGAGGGGTCATCCTCAGGCTCGGGTTGTGACTGGGCGCTGGCAGTAGTTGCAGCGAGGGGTTTGGTGGTGCCGGTGAGCTTCTGCGGCGGAGGAGCGGGAGGACGCTTTGCTTGAGTGCGGCTGGGCTTGGGCGCGAATGGGCCGGTGGGCTTTCTGCGGCGGACAGTGCCTTGGCCGTTGTTGGGAGTGGTCGAGGGCTGTCGAGAGGCAGGGCTCACGCCTGGCGGAGGAGCGCTCATCGTGTCGGCCGAGTGGGCGGAGTCGTTGGTAGTCTTGTGGCAGCGGCGCTATGTCTGCATCGAATGTCGCTGTGATGGCGGGATCAAGTCTTGGGGAATCGGTGGATTCGACAGCAAGTACGACTTTCAGAGGGGCGAGAAGATGGCGCGAGGAATGTGAGTCGTGGTATGCAGTCGACAGCGACGTCGAGAGATTGTGAAAGCGCCCTTTGCTGCCTGCCGCCGCCATGCGCCGTGTCATCGCCCGCCCGTGCTTGTCTGCAACTCTTGGCATCAATTTCTCCACATTTTGGTCACTTTTGGTCCACGAGCCTCGGAGTGACGCTCATCCACGATCCATCTGCTTTCACCTGGTCATCCACTCCCAGAAATTTCTCTGTCTGGTCTTGCGCCGCCGGAAATCATTACATTCGGCAGTCCGTTCTTTACTGCTTTTACAGTGTTTTAGAAGGAAGGTGTCTGATGAGTTCTGGTTGAAACGTCATATCAGAATATCCCCAATCTGTCCAGGATGATGGATCCAAACGGGAGCTATGCTTCGCCCAATCTCGAGGACCAACTGCGACACATGATGATGAATCGTAACGTCGCCCAACAGCAGCAGCAGCAGGACTCTCACATGCAACATCAGCATCACAACTCCGGTCAAGGTTATCCTTCCAGACCACCACCGGGCTTCGGCATGCCTCCACCCATGACCGGCCAGGCGCAGTACTCTGCCAATGTGCCCATGGATCGTCATCAGGACTTTTCTCAATTCCTTCAGCAACATCAGGTAACTGCTCCGGCTCCTCTGCCACCTCGTCGTGCACCTCCTCAGGCACATCACAACATCTTCCGTCATCAAGGTCCTCACCGCAATCAAAACCATCGTCCTATGGACGCGGATGCTTTTAACAGACCCCCTCCTCAAGGTCCCCACTCCCATCAAAACTACCCTCAGCACCAACATCAACAGCAGAACCAACATCAACACCAAAATCAATACCAGCAGCGTCACTTGTATCAACCTCAGTCTCGCCCTCAGCCGTTCCACAACCCTTATGCTGAACGTCAAGCTTCCTTCTTGGACTCGCTCGCTATGCAGGAAATCTCAAAGACGCAAATGACCGACTCTGAAGTTGGCATGAAAGACGCCTTCAGAATCAAGCTGCAACACATCTTCGAAACCCTTAAGTCGCCAGACCCGGAGAACCCTTTACCTTCAGTCGAGCTGGCCAGCTTTGGCAGTCTTAGCTCTGGCTTTGCCACCGCTGGCTCTGACATGGATCTGGCGATAGTAACGTCATCCGAACAAGATCTCAGTCAGCGTTTCTCGCCGCATGAGCATGGTCTTCCCCGAGTCCTCGAGAAAGAATTACTTGACAACGGCATTGGCGCCCGTCTTCTTACCCGCACCCGCGTGCCGATCATCAAGATCTGTGAACAGCCACCACCGGAGCTCCTGGACGCTCTTCGCGAATCCCGCGACAAATGGGACAATCTGCCTGACGATGAAAAATACGCCACTTCAAAACCCTCCGCCGATGACACGACACCTAAGAAGGATGCTTCGGATGCCCAAATCTCGCCTCCTCAATCCGAGTCACAGATCGGTGGGGCTGAATCTACCGCGCAAAACGGCGTCAGTCTCCAAGCAGCCAAGCATGTGGATGATGTCTCATCCCTCGCTGAATCTACTCAAGCTTTGCAAATCGACCAGAAGGTGTCACCCAGCGCAGATCAAATCACATCAAAGTCGGAAAACACACAGCAACCGCACCAGCCAGTCCACGATAAACAGGCGAATCGTCAACGTAACGACAAGACTTGGAAACGTGAGAAGGCCAATGGTCCTCTAGACTTCCCCAAGGATGGAGTTGGAATTCAGTGTGATATCAACTTCTTCAACCCTCTCGGCATCCACAACACTCAGATGTTGCGATGCTACTCGAAGTGTGATTCCAGAGTAAGACCCATGGTACTATTCATCAAGTCGTGGGCCAAGCGCAGGAAGATCAACTCCTCCTACTCGGGTACACTCTCGTCGTATGGTTATGTTTTGATGGTCCTTCACTACCTTGTCAATGTAGCACAGCCCCCTGTTCTGCCTAATCTGCAACACGAAGCAGAGGCCAATGGCACGCCTTCCACTACCATTGATGGTTACGAGGTTCGATTCTTTGATAATGAAGACTTGATCGAGAGCCGTGCCCGTCAAGGCGGGGTGACTCAAAACAACGAGTCACTGGGCAAGTTGCTTGTCGGCTTTTTCAAGTACTACGCTGTCAATGCTGGAGGATTCTTCTGGACTCGTGATGTGCTGAGTCTCAGGTCGCAAGGCGGCATCTTGTCAAAGGATGAGAAGGGTTGGACGGGCGCAAAGACCGAGGTTGGTGAGAACAAGGAAGTACGCCATCGCTATCTTTTCGCCATCGAAGACCCATTCGAGACCACTCACAATGTCGCACGTACTGTCACGCATAACGGAATCTGCGCTATCAGAGACGAGTTCCGTAGAACATGGCGCATCATCAGCGCTGTCGGTCGCAACAGAGATGAACCCGAAGGTGGCCTCTTTGACGAGTTGACAGAAGCTGAAGAGCAACCACCTACTTCTACTGCTCCGCCTCCGACAGTCAACAAGGCCCACGCATACGGCCAGCAGTTCCCCACTCTTGCAGGCGGGCCTCCCACTGTCGCTGTACAGAAAGTACGATCCCCAGAGCGTGTCCCTGCACAACCAGTTCAGGCAGCTCAGCATCCGACGCAGGCATTTGCACAAGAGCCTGCCCATTCTCAGGCACAGGCCGTTCCTCCCGCTCCTCGTGGCAAAGGACGTCGTCAGAAATTTGTACCTCTGAGTCTTTGATTATTGTTCGCTCATGTCGCATTGGCAGTTTAAGGCGGGTAGCGGAGTAAGGAGGCTCGTGTCTGACGAAGTTGCTGCAACACATGAATGGGTCTGGCTTGAAACATATGGAGTTATGATGGACTGAGGAACGGGAAGTGTGATTGGGAAATGATGTGCCAAACACTCAGCATGGAGATAGTGAAATAACCAACGATGAGGAAGACAATAGAAAACAAAATTGCATGGCTCGTCAGCTGTAACGTCAGCCTCAAGACGAGACGTCGCAGGTCAGCCGCATGACAGACAGATGTATGACATGCAACAACGATGTGCTGTGATGTGCAAAGGAGACACGGATGACAGGACAATATTTCAAAACAGTTCGTGATGAGGGCGGCGTTGGTGGAGTGTATCGATTTTGGAGAGCCCAAAATAGGCACATCACCACGCGTTCTCCGGAGCCGAGAGAGAGGCGCGCGCGGAAGACGCAACGCATTAGGTATGGAGAAAGCGGATGCGACTTGGCAGGAACGAGCGACCAAGTAGAAGCAGCATTGTACTGAACTTGGGTAGAGTTCTTTGCAGAGGATCAAAGGAGATGAACAACGGCTGGAAAATGTGTGCATGTCCATCGAGTCTTGGACGATGTTTCAACGTGAATATTCGGACAGGTGGTTAATGTACTACCTATTCAGACAGAGATGCGGCGGATTTGTTGGACGGCGGTTTGGGGTATGTCACGCCCATCGGCGGCCTTTCAGCGAGCAGCGCCACAGGGATCGGGGGACAGTCGTTCAAGCTCCAACGGTTCAAAGGGACAAGTTGGCCAACCTTGTTGCAACCTTCGACCCCTTTGACTTTTCGGACTCGTGCAGCTCTATTCCACTCAGCTCTACGCATACCCCCTCGATAAAATCAGTCAGAGTGGGCACAACGCTGCCTCTCCCGCCGCCTGCCGAATTCACTGTCGCTCTTTCTTTGTCGCATCCCGCTTTCTCGACCATCCGCACACTACGTAACCCTTCGACTCGACCTCGCACAACAGACCAGCCATGGTCGAAGACAAGTGCGACCCCCTACGCCTATACACCCCAAGCATGGCGCTGACCTTGCTTCCTCTAGGTACATCGGATTGGCATTGGCCGTCGCCTCAACACTTGCGATAGGTAATGCGCCCAAGCCCGACGACTGCGAGACAGCATACTGAACGAGATCAAGGAACGAGTTTTGTGATTACGAAAAAAGGCTTGATGCAAGCGAGCCAACAACATGGCTTCGAGGGAGAAGGCTTCGCATATCTCAAGAGTCCAGTGTGGTGGTCAGGCATCATCACAAGTACGTCGCATACAACCAATGCCCATTGCACGCCTAGCAACATGCTCACACAAAGCAGTGGTTATCGGAGAAGTCGCCAACTTTGCAGCATACGCATTCGCGCCGCCGATTCTGGTGACGCCATTGGGGGCGCTCAGTGTTTTGATCGGGTCAGTCAAGAGTTGGGAATACGCACACATACGGACGAGGTGGCTGACAAGTCGCGCAGGGCGGTATTAGGATCATATTTCCTCGGCGAGAACCTGGGCACGCTGGGAAAGCTGGGATGCGCCATCTGCCTGATCGGTTCAGTCGTCATTGTACTACACGCTCCTCCGGATAAGGAGATTCAGACAATCGACGAGATTCTCAACTATGCCGTCCAACCTGGTGAGTTGCCATCGAGGAAGACATGAAGAGGCGTGTGCCGAAGCGAGAGACTGAGACTGATACTGGACAGGTTTCCTCTTCTATGTGCTGCTGGTCATCGTCTTCTCGACAGTCATGATCTACCGCGTGTGCCCGCGTTATGGACGCAAGAACCCGCTGATCTACATTTCCATCTGCAGCACCGTCGGATCCGTCTCCATCATGGCCGTCAAGGGCGTCGGTATTGCCGTCAAGTTGACCCTGGCTGGCAACAACCAGTTCACCCACCCCAGCACCTACGTCTTTGTCCTTGTCACGGCAGTCTGCATCCTCACCCAGATGAACTACTTTAACAAGGCGCTGAGTCAATTCAACACCAACATGTACGCCCTCCTCATGGCCTTTCTCCAGGAACTTCAGCTAACCCATCTAGTGTCAACCCCTTGTACTATGTCACTTTCACCACCTGCACTCTCGTCGCCTCCTTCATCCTCTTCCAAGGCTTCAACACGAGCGACGCCGTCAACACCATTTCCCTCCTTTGTGGCTTCCTTACCATCTTCACCGGTGTCTACCTTCTCAATCTTTCGCGCGAAGATCCTGAAGGTCGCAATCACATGCAGTTGAATGGCAATGGCAGCCGCTTCGACCTCGACGGCATCCCCACCGATCCCATGTCCGGTCCTCTGACCCGCCGCTCCATGCAAGCCCGCCGCAGCTCCGACGCACAACGCCGCCGTTCCAACAGCCTCAACTTGTCCTTTGCAGGCAGAAGATCAAATGAGCACGACCGAGAGGCCTTGATGCACAACTACGACGTCGAGGCCAACAGTGCCGGTTTCAGTCTCGGTGATCTGGCTGATAGCGACGATGAGGGTGTATCGCGGCAAAACGGAAAAGCAAACGTCTCACACGAGCGTCTCAGCTTCAACAAGACAGGCAGGTGATCTCGATCGTGTGTGCTGCACTGAGAAGAAGCCTCGCAAGTTTTGTTCGACTTTTCTGCGGCTGCCCCGTTCGAGCCAACTGCAGAAGATGGTGTGTTGCAACGACCGGATGAGATGAAAGAGTTTACACAGTCGCATTTAACGGCGTTTTTATTGTCCTTTGTAATTTTGGTTTTTGGCATGATAGAACGAAGTCATGGGAACAAGGGAGGCAAACGGACGGCTAGCTTTTGATACCCTTGACCGGGTTTTGTTCTTTGGGTTTTTTTGTTCCCTTTCTAGACTGGAGACAAAAGCAGGCGTCTGTGGGAAACCCCTTAGAGAGCTCAAGAGCTCCAACTTTCTCTTTGCTCGGAGAATACTTGTATATAGAAAAGCTCAAAGACTTATGTTTAATCTTCAAGAACGATTAGGCGAACCTTTACCAAATGTTCTAGGTCATCGTGATAGCACAAAGCTGAGGCCATGGAAACCATTATTTTGACAAGTGAAGCTGGAAATATCTCTAGAGGAGTAGAGACCGCGACACATTAACTTTGTAGTATGAACTTTAGTGTATGATCTGACAGACTATACTCACATCTGGAGTTCTCTCGTCTGACTACAGAGTCCCAAAATCGTCTTTAGAGAGAGTGCTTGAGATTCTCCTCGTAGGACAGGGTGACGAGGCATGCAACAATGTGCCAAGACAAGATCGAGAAGCCTCGGCTTGCTTCGCGCCCACATTTCGTTCCCTCACAGCTACTCATGGGTAGTAGACGACTCGACACGTTCTCTCCAATAAGTTTCAGCGAATGATTGTTGTCACTTCAACTCAGACTTCCGGCCAAAGCAGACATCAAGCTCGAGGATTTCTTGTCCAAATACATTTGCCCTGAACGCTCCGTCGTCTTAGGGCAGGTAGCCATGTGTGACACCTGTGGTTATTTCATTGTCTGACCAAATCACATGCTTGTAGGAAGGCTCTTCCAAGCTGTTCTGAGATCTTCACCACCTCCTCCCGTGAGGCCAAGACATGCGAGGAAGCATGCAATACCCTCAACAAGCTGCCTGGCATCAAGAGCATGGTCACCTCGGCCCTGAAGACATTGCTGATAGCGTCGTATAGCTCTGTTCCATGACAGCGAGTCATCTGGACAACGCCCATATCGTCATTGAAAGTGGTGATATACTTGGCCGCTCGAAGCTGTGAGGAGAAGACAATCACTTGCATTGAGATGTGTGTATGCGTTCTATCATACAGTCTTGGCTTCAAGGTGGTGTATCGCCTCGGAAATCGTCTGGAGGGCTTGTCTTTGCGTACCAAGGCCGTCATACCTGTATCGGGTCAACAAGACTTGACTGGCAACACGGCGTGACAGGAACATGAGGACGCCACCATCTGTCTTGCCACGAACATCGTGTCTCTCTTTCCTCACCATTGAGACAACGACACCGCCATCATGCCAGCCTCTCCTCATCCATGTCATTGTTACATTGCCCCTCGTTCATTGGAATGCACGTCACACGGAGCCGCTCCATAGCAACAACATAACTCATTCCTGGGGGATGCGCAGCCCGCTTTCCCGATCCCGAAGACGGTTGACCACGATCTAGGCACCGTAACCGTGAGCGATCAGGCTAAAATACAGGGCTTGCAGATTGTTGCAGCATCTGAAACATCACAGCTTGCTCACCGCACTTGAGGGGGAAGCAAAAGCTTCACCTACTCTCCTACAAACACTGTCTGAATATCCGCAATGTCTCCCTCAACTTGACGTGCAGCCACTGTAACGTTATGCATCTGCAATCTGTTCAACGGCTCTAGAGTACGGGACCTGCAGAAGTATTGTACTTGCCTGTCGTGCCTTTCTGGTTCCTGCAAATTCGGAGATTGGCGTAGACGTAACCCGAATCCTTCGCTATCATCCCACTTTGGCCGCTTGAAGAGGATGGTGTTGCGGCGGTGAGAGTGTGCCTGGTTCATTGATTGACTGGATGGGTTCCTGGTGCCGGAGACAAGCCTTTTCTGTATAGCTCTCCCGCGATTTTGCTCGCATTCTCTCTCCCGCGCCAGCCACTGCGACTAAGTGCGACGTTTGGTTGTTCTTGCGCCCACCTAGACCAGACGTTCAGAGGTTATGGCTTGCATCATTCCTTCATCTCTGAGACATTTGTCCGCGGCAAATCCAACACCACAATGCGACGCGCGCGGCTCATGATGTTAGCACCCGTCTGTCGTATGTACATACCCGATATTCGTGTTGGAGTGTTGATAAACAGTCCTTTCAGGTCGGGTAGAACTTCCTTTCAATTTTGTCGGAGTCGGTCGTTGTATGGCATTCGGTGGAATGCTCTGCGGATCAAACCTGCGCAACAGACCTGCAGGACGCAGCGTCTGATGAATGTCATTCTGTGGTGGCGCGATACAACCCGGCTGGAAAGTCGAATCCTTGTCGTTTTTGTGTTACACAACCAACCTCACGGACCACACCATGAGCCGCCGAACGACAGACCCCGTGATGGATCATCATTGATGGAGTAAACATCTATTTCCATCAATTGATACATTCCAATCTCAATATTCCATCAGTTGTATGTTCTGATCAGAAAAATATCACAATCGTGGTCGAGATAGGGCTTCCGACATTTGACATCTGTTGGAACCCGTTGCGAGAATAGTAATGACACACGGGAGGGGAAACAGAGAACTGGCTGTTGGGACCATATCAGAAACAACTCAGCCAGCATCCTCGTCGTCTCAATCCGGATAACGCGCAGACATGCTGTCGTGCCCCCGTCGATCGCGCCTGAGCGCCCCCCTGGCGCAGATCAAGAGGATTCATAGCAGCAAGTCGAGACGGTACTCCGCCTCCAGTATCAAAGAGCACGCTCTCGTCCAAACAATTTGTCTACCAGATTTCAAGCTCTCGGTCCCTTGATCTGTGCGTAATGTTGCTTTGCATTGGTTGGTGTCACACACACCAGACTACACACCACACAACTCAACAACAGCTGGTGTTTTTGCTTGTAAGCCCGGTAGTATCTTGGAGATCTGGGGATCATTCCTGCTATGCGGCTTTTTTCTGGGACTTTCTGGATCGATAGCGCCTGGTGGGGATGACCCGCGTCTCGTCCAGTCAATTGCGAGCTGATGTTTTTGCCTGAGATGTTGATGATGAGAGCTGGCCTGTCAGCGGGGAAGGTATGGCCTCAGGAGTCTCTACATAAGTCCCTGCAGGGGCGAACTTTTGATATCCCTTCTCTCTACACGCACCCTCTCTCCAACTCAAAAAGCTTACTGCAGGGCTGATACAGGTACAAACCAATATTGTGCCCACCCTCCTTCTTTGCTTTGCCTTCTTTCCCTCTGTCACTCTTGAGGGTGTACGTTCGTTCGAAGTCTTTGTACCTGGATCCATTCCTCTTCAGGACCCTACGTGTCACCTCCTTGCAGTCACATTCCAATCCAGATCGAGCGTCCCTCCCCTGGAAATTAGCCTGTACCCCAGTATCCAAGGAGGCTCGAACCCTAAGGAACCCAGGCCACTCGAATCAGGACCCACTGGTCGTACAAGCCGTCTTGACTTTCAGCCAGTCATCATGAGGGACCCCAAGATGTATGAGGGTAAGTGCAAAGCAGATATAATGAAGGGAGGAGCAACGTGCTTTCATCCCTTCTCTTCACCCTCTTGTTTTCTCTCCTTGTCTCCAAGCCACATTTCTAACGGGTCTTGAGTGAGGAATTCTCTAAAATTGTTTTACTGACACAATGGACTCAGCAACTTACGAGTTGGCACACAGACGTGTTGCCAATCTTTCCATCGACACGAACAATTTTCAAGGCCCGTCAGCCTTGATCTCACCACCAGAGTCCGCCAACAGTGCCCGTCGGAGTTCCTACGATATGAACTTCAACCACACTCCAGTGTCAACGTACCATCCTAATACTCCGGTACATCATTTCGGTAGCCAAGAAATGTACAACGTGGGTCAGACCGACAAGATTAACGTCAACTTGCAATATCCGCCTAGTCCTGTCGACTTCTCATCTGGTCCGCAGAGCTATGGCGCGACTGCCTGCAACTCTCCGACCTGGAACTCGTCGATGGCGTTCGAACAGAAGGCTATGGACAACAGCTTCTACCAGGAAAGTTCGACCTTGCTATCCACTGATCAAGACTGGAACAGCTCCACTATGAGCCATTACTCCAACGTTGATTATGCTCCGGATCCGAGCTCCCTTTACATGCTTCCGTCTCAGGACCCCAGCAGCTCTTTCATGGCGGACGTTGACACGTCTCAGCATGAAAGTCTACCTTCATATATCGCCCCCAATCAGGCAGTATATCAACCTGAGCTTGATCACAGCATGAGCTTGTCTGGGTGGGGTCTCCAAACACCCGTGCACGACCACAGCATCCTGCACTCATCTTCGCCCGCGGAATACTCGCCTCTGACTCCCTCTACCCTTGAGCATTCATTCGACCACTCGTACGCTCAGCACGATGTGTCTCCAAGCTCGTCTGTCAATGTCCACACCACTCGTTCAGGCATGGGCAAAAGGGGCCGTAAGGTTTCCAAGCAAGACAAACGCAAGTCCATAATCAGAAATGTGCCGATAGCCAACTCGACCTCCATCAACTTCTCCATCGACAAGCAGGCTCAAGACTTCTACGTAAACAAGATCGTGGACCCCAATCGAAAACTGCACGAGTGTCCTTCTTGCGAGCGTAAGTTCCAAAGAAGCGAGCACTGCAAGCGCCATGAAGCAAGTCACGCCGATAAATATGACTATGCTTGCTTCATTTCCGAGTTCCCCCTGGACCCCTGCGATGACAAATCTCAATGTAAAGTAGGCAAGAAGCACAACGGCAAGCAGAATCGGAACGACAATTCCCGTTCTCACGTCTGGACACATGTCAAAGCATGGCTCGTCGCCAACAGTGCCCTCGTCAAAGAGGTCAACCTGAGCCAGAACAAGAAGAACAGGGGTCGCAACATCCCTATCTCACCGGCCCAGCTGTTGAAGCTGTGCACGGATAGAGATACTCCTTCACAGCAGGACACTGTTCTGAAGTTCCTGAACGGCGAGGCGGGCAAGGATCTTGGGGTCCACATCCTCTGGCACGAGAAGGGTTGCCCGGTTGTTCGTTGCTTGGGAGGTGTAGGTCAGGAGGGCGGGTGCACAATGTGCAGGGTCAAGCCTGGCCACAAGAAGAAGTGATGGCTTGCAGCTCATCGCATCGTTCTTGCCAGCCTCGCCAGTGTTCTTTCCTTTTCGGCTTCGGTTTGCACTTTTCCTTCGGATGACTTTTGGTTTTGCACGATACCTCCTTCTTCTTTCTCCTCTTTTGTTTCGCATTCGAGGGCTCTCACTCACACGACTACAATAATGACACGACTACGAACGACGAGGACACAAAAAATCAACACCAGCATTCACGACGACGACTCTACACGACTTCATCACGACACACCCATCACTTTCATCACTCTCTTGGCCGCATTCGTTTTCCTTTCTCGATTCATCATGTCGGGCTCTTTGTATTTCCTTTTCTTCTTTCGGTGTGGTTTTACTTTTGGTCTTCTCGTTTTCTTCAGTCATGGTAAGGAAGCCCTGGTACTTTTGGGAAGGAACAATGTTGTAGTATTATTTTATCATGGGGGGGAATGGCAGTGAACTGGACTTTCCTTTGGGTCATGTCAACGGAAAAAGGTTACACAAAAGGGGATGGGTGGAAAAAGTACTTTTGTTACTTGGGAAGGTAGAACCTGTGAGGCAGGATAATTCTTTTGTGAGCAATTCGATTGTGTTTCTGTTTTATCTGTTCTATCGTTACATTGCTGCCTCTGCATTGACAAGGCTATGTAGGGTGAATGATGGGGCGTGCGCTGTAGATGGAAATACTATTTACCGTTGTAGATGACTCTCCAACACATCAATGTGGTTGAATGGACAGCAAAATTGACGTATCTCCATTCTTGTAATTCAGTAAGAGGTTGAAGGAATGTTCTAGGCTCGCCCCGGGTCGCCAGTGCGACTGACGAGACTTGCCAGAACGTGTGCGTATGGTACCGTGTTGCCAATTTCCAAGCAGTAGATGGAGCCGAGCGATCAACCTCATTCTTCTTGCGGTTTGCAGAGTTGGCTTTTTGTATGGTATCGGATGTGCCATTCGCTTGATAATGTTTTTACATGACGGTGTAGGTTGCTGTGAGGTTCGATAGTATTGTGAGACTTTTCTCATGTACATGCACGACCTAGTGTCTTGCTCTGTATAGTGGTGGATGTCACCGCGACTTTCGTTGACACACGTGCTAGACTAGCTGTATAGCCGGCGAATAGCCCGGAGATGATGATCCTGTCGCCTGTTGCGGGCCCGGGCGACGCCCGAGCTGTCGCGAAGTCGTGGATCTTCCTTCGGCCGACAGCAAACCAGTTCTTCAAGACCTAGAGACCAAAAGTCCATCCAGATGAAGTGCGTCGCGCCGAATGGTCGTTGATCATGAATCATGTCAATTGTCTTTTCTCTTCAGAGTTGGAAGGATGGGAAGCGTGAAGGTCGACGTTGAAAGTTTACAGCCGAGGCACGGATGGCTTCCGATGTTTTTGTCAGGGCTTCTTTCTCACTTGCTCTCTTCCTTCCATGATTTTACGTCCGTTGTTGATGGCGATCGACAGAAAAGCCCGTATTGGCATCAAGAGACTTGGTGCTGTAGCAAACAAAATGCGGAAGCAGAGTTCAATGAATCGCGCAGTCAGGCCGAGGTGGCTAAAGTGCGTGAGCTGCTGTCGCTGGCGAGTGTTTCAGGACACGATCAAGCCATTTCGAACAACGGTTCTTGTTTCCGTCCTTCTACTCAAGGACAAGCTCCGCCTACAATTGACATCTCGCAAGGCCAAGTCACGCGAACTTTGATCTAACAAGCACTTAGTGCACACTACTCTTTCCCTATTCTGGCCTTGGTCTAATATAAAGCCCGGTGCACGCGAGAGACCCACCACGAGTCCCCGCAACAATCTTCACATCCCCCGGATCGATGACTAGGATGATTTACAATTCACTGCATCAAAGTCCCAAAGCTGTCATGGCGGGCCTGGTTTCGACCGGTTATCCGCACGATCGAATCATCTCAACCTTGGCTCCTCGGCAGTCACCTTCAAAAGTCCATGTTTCAGGCATGCATAGTGTTCGCACTGGTGCAGTATCAAGTGGGTGTCAGGTCTTCAATGCATGAACTACACCTGTCTACGATCACGTCAACATTCTAGATGGACGTGATAGTCGCGTTGCATGGAGACGACCGACTGGAATATAAGTACTACAACATCGCCATGTGGTTGATGTCTTTGTAGACCTAAGGGTCAACCGTGACCCTACAGGCAAAGTTTAGAGTTCGCCCTGCCACGACCTCTTGGTGTCATGCTTCGCTCCAGTACAGCCTCGTGGGCCAAGCTCGAGCGCAAGAGCCAATATCTTGGACCATGCAACTAGCTGTTATGGATCAGCAAAATCCACCTTCAACGACTGTACCTTGTATCGATGGTGGTGAGATTCATCTTGGCTCGTATACTCTCTGACGGCCGATTTGCCATGGCACTGTAGCAGCACTCCTCATCGCCAAATTTGCCTCGGGATCAGAACACGCTTTGAAAGATTTCCTATATAAACACTGATGTCCTTTCTGACTGAAACACTATCTTCAGCAGCATCAAAATCTATCCACACAACACTTTCGTTCTTCCTCTACACTCACTCAATCTATCTTTCATACTTCCGAATTCACGCACCCTTGCAACATGAAGTCCTTCTTCATTGCCTGCCTCGCTGCTACCAGCACTCTTGCTGCCCCCCTTGCTGTTCCTCAGTTCGGTGGTTTCCCTAGCTTTGGTGGTGGCTTCGGCGGCGGCTTTGGCGGCAGCACCAAGAACGATGTCACCAGCGGTGTTTGCAAGCCCGTGACCTACATCTTTGCCCGTGGAACCACAGAACTCGGTAATATGGGCTCTACTGTTGGTCCTGCCCTCGAGAAGGCCCTCGAGTCGGCCTTTGGTGCCAACAATGTTGCTACTCAAGGGTAAGTCTGAACTTCCAAAAGAATCCGAGTCACGCCTAACAATTAAAACAGAGTAACTTACCCGGCTGATGTCGCTGGTGCCATCAGTGGTGCTCTCAACCCTGGCTCCGCTCAGGGCGCTCGCACTATGGCTAGCTTGACCCAGCAAGCCCTGTCTAAGTGCCCCGACACCAAGGTCATCCTCGCCGGATACTCTCAAGGTGCCGAACAGGTTCACGGCGCTCTCCAGAACCTTCAGAACGGACAAGTTGCTGTGGGTCTCATATCGAAACTCCTTTCGTGTTTGGATAGTTGCTGATAATCACCACAGGTCGCTCTTACCTTCGGTGACCCGCTCCAGAGAATGCCTTTCAGAAACATCGACTCTGGCCGCACCAAGATCTACTGCAATCTCGGCGACGGTGTTTGCGCTGGTGCCTTCATCATCTCTGCTGCTCACTTGTCTTACGCCACTCAGGATGCCACTCCTGCCGCTCAGTTCGCCAAGGGTGTTATTGGCAACATCTAGATGTTGGAGATAGTTACAGATGGCAGTGCTCTCAGTGCAATATTGTCATCATAGATATTCGATTCTTCAACCCCCTCATTCCTCCATATTATTCCGGCAGTATAGCAAATCTTAACTTATTTTATTGTTGATTTTATGACTTATCTCCTTGGAATTTTGGGAATCCAGGCTCACTTCAGGCCTCGGACTATTCTCTCTAAAGCTGTTCTAGCTTCTTGTCTGACTTCATCAATGATCTCAGCAGCGGGCGCTTTATTGCGGACCAGACCAACTCCCGTGCCAGCCCAAATCGCAGCTCTTCTGTTGTGAGCACCGAACCCGAGCTCCGAGCTCTGCTTCGCTTCAGCATGCGATTTGCGGATATCGTCAATAGAAATGCCTTTGACGTGATCTCGATAGCTCTCGGCAATGAGGGCACGACCGTCAAAGTCACTAGGCCAGATGTTCGGACCGGCCAACTCGTCGAAGACTTTTGCGCGAACCGTAGTTTGTCCTCCGTCTTCTGTTTCTAGGATCGCGTCCACATATGCTGGATGCACTTTAGTTTCCTCTGCAGCCAGGAAGCTCGTTCCCATGACCACACCATCTGCACCAAGTGTCAATGCCGCAGCCACGCTAGAACCATGGGCTATACCGCCGGCTGCGACAACTGAGACATCATCTAGCCCCAGTCGTTCCAGTGCCTGTATAGTCTCGGGTATCAGCGAGATGATGCTTGCTCCCTTTTCACCGCCATGGCCGCCTGCATCTGCGCCCTGCAAGACGAGCACATCCGGATTGCAAGATTGAACCAAGTTCACGGCACCAGTGACACTGCCGATCTGTATCCAGATTTTAGTCTCACTGCTTGCCTTCCGTATCGCATCACTCCAAAGCTTAAAACCCGCCAATCCATGTGCAGCGAACAGCCACACGGCGGTCGGACGGAACTCCGCGACCAAAGCAACGACCTCGTCAAGCTTTTGAGCAAACAGCAAAGCGCCCAGTCCGATTGGTAATGTTGTATTGGGTTCTGGAATCCTGTTGCCGGTGACCAGTTCTGTGACATCTTCCAGAGCTGTACGAAGGGCTTTTATATCGGGAAGGGCGCCGAGGAAACCTATACCGCCAGCTTTGTAGACTGCGTGGGCTAGGTCATGGCCGGCGAAACCGCTCATGGGTGCTGAGATGATTACTGGTGAAGTGACCCATGGGTAGTCTTTTTCGAGACTTTGAGGAGCCATGATAGTGTTTGGAGCGGTCTTGTTCGGAGTGATTTGTTTATGAAAAGATGTGTTCACACGCTCAGCTCTGGATATGAGGGTACCTACTAGGAGTCATAGAGCGATGGTTGATGATAGATGACAAATGAAGAAGATGATTTGGGAGCTGACATGAGCGATGCGTGCCAAGAAACGTCACTATCGCGAATCTGGTGACGAGTGACGAGTCGCGTCTTCTTCTTCTTCTTCTTCTTCTTCTTCGTCCTCCGTCTCTTCCTGGCTTTCCTGCACTGCTTCGTCAGCTTCTGCTTGTGGATGCGCTATGAGGCATGTTGTCGCGCAAAATATCTCGTTGACCGGTCTCCAGCAATGGCCGGGCACTGCACGACGACATGACTGTGCGAACACTTCCATTTGTTTGGTCTAGTCAGACAGAATTGAAATTGTCGTTATTATCTCACAGATTTGGGAAACAAGCACATACGGCCACAGTCAGCTGAAAACTGGGCATCCCGTCCGCTCTGCCATACATAAGCAGTTGAACGGCAGATTAGTACTACGGTGGGTGACCACGTGGGAATCCCTGCTGCTGTATGTTTTGCATTTTCTTTTGTCTCTTTGAGACAAAGAATCTCTGTCTTGTCAGAATGGAGAAGGTGCTCGCTTGTTTTGTTCTTGCTCTTTTGGCTGGTGTTTCAGCTTCATCAGGGTTCGGTTGCGTCCCGGATGCATCCGGCGAGGAGGTTGCCCTCGTCCGCAGCGTCCGCAATTGCCATTTTCTCTCGAACACAGCTCGCAACATGACCTCGTGGATTCATCAAGTTGAACTGAAGCGTCCGTCGCGTGAGAGCCCTTTTTCAACTTGTCGACTTCGAAAGGAACTCGTATATCGCGTTGGAGTGCTTCCGAACTCCAGGATCTTCTGCAACCCTAAAAAGCAGCCTCCGATCACACACTCGACAACATGCTATCTATTGCGCTTTCATGTGCCTATTCAGGCGGAATCGGAAATATCGCTGCCGTTTTAAGCGCCTCAAAAGTCGAAAGAGGGATGCGCTCCTGTCAATCTCGATATGGCTTGGCTTTACTCTACATTTCGAGCCCTAATGCACGGAAATAGAGACATTGGACGAATGATCCTAGATGCCAGCCAATGATCCGTTTGGCACGAGAAGTTCTTGATAGCTACGATGGGGAAATGCATCATGACTCCAGTCAACTATAGCTTCGAGGAACAAGACCAGAAGCACACTATCACCCTGTTCCTGCCTGTGCGATATCTGAGTTGAACCGCTACAAAACGGGCAGTGGAGACGCCCTGACAGCGATCAGAGTATAACTCATGTGGGGTGAAACACCTTGGCTCTTTAACCGAGTATCGAATAAACAGAGCCCTCGCCAAAAGATATTCAGACACCCGAGACGGTGTTCAGCATCACGACATGGAGTCTTTCACTAATCATATATAGGTCTTGTAGGTGCACCTTGCTCAAACCAGGCTTCAACATACGGTCCCACCTCTTCACATTCATCTGTTCTGTTTTTTCAATTCTTCAAACATTCCATTATTTGACAACATGAAGTTGGCTACTTCTCTGATCGGAGCTTTCGTTGCACTTGCTCAAGTTGTCACCTCTGAAGCTGTGGTGGGCAAGGCCGATGGTTTTGCATACGGCGTCATCAGCGGTGGAAATGCTTCGCCTGATTACCCTGCCGACATTGAAGAGCTCAAGTCTATGCTTACCGACGCCACCCCTCGTGTGATTGTTCTCAAGAAGACTTACGACTTTACTCAATCCGAGGGCACCATCGTCGGCAATGTTTGCTTGTCGTGGGGAGATGCCCACTCTTGCCAGCAGATCATCCAAGACGACTGCGGCGAGACCCCGTCCATGACTGCGAAGTGGTGGAAGGCTCCTACTCAACCTATCGATGTTGCCTCCCACAAGACCATTCTTGGCGTAGGCAACAAGGGTGTCATCAGAGGCAAGGGCTTGAGGTTCCGAGGTGGCGCTAGCAACATCATCGTGCAGAACATTCAAGTGTCTGATCTCAACAACAAGTATGTTTGGGGAGGCGATGCCATTGGCTTTGATGGAGCCGATTTGATTTGGATTGACCATGTTACTGTAAGTCAATGACTCTTTTCCTTTTCGAACCAAAACTGATTTTGTTTAGACACACAACCCTGGCCGCCAACACTACGTCTTCGGCTTCAATCCCAGTACTCGTGTCACTCTTTCCAACAACTACATCAACGGCAACTCAACATACTCTACCAGCTGCGACAACTACCACTACTGGAACTTCGAGATGGTTGGCACCGACGACCAGATCACCATGAAGAACAACTACATGTACCGCACGGCTGGCCGCGCACCTGCTCTCAGCGGTGGTACTCTCCTTCACGCCGTCAACAACGTCTGGTCCGACAACGGTGGCCACTTGCTTGAAGGTGGTGACTCTAAAGCTCGTGGTATCTTCGAAGGCAATGTGTTCACCGACATCAATTCGATGGTCGCAGACTACGCAGGTAGATTGTTCGGAACTCCTGCTGGAAGTGAGAGCAAGTGCAAGTCCGCTCTCGGTCGCTCTTGCCAGACCAACTCTTACAAGCAGTCTTCAGGAAGCTTGGACTCTTACACCGACACTTCCTTCTTTGGCGACTTCTCTGGTCTTCACATCGCTAGTGCTGGCTCTGCGGCTCAAGCCGCTTCCAGTGTACCTCAGAATGCTGGAGCTGGTATCATCAATGTCGGAGCTTAGATTGGCACCGGACATTCGAGTGTACCTGACTCGGCCTGCACTTGTCGGTTCTTTATCCCATTGTCAAAATGTATTTCATTCTCCCCTGAATGCCTTGTCTCGTGTTCTTTATTAATTCCTTTCTACAACGAGTCTTTTGTTTCAGCTTCCACTGTTGACCTTTGTTAAATTTGTCTTATCACTTTGCATCTCTCTATGCACGAGACATGTCTCTTTGTTTTCGAGACAACACCATTGTCTTTCAAACTTCCATCTCAAGTGCGAGGCACTGCAAGACATCCTTGCCAGTCATGTATATATAGCACCACAACATCCTCATCTTCTCAAATCATATCCACAACACTTTCACAACCAAACAGAACTACCAACCAACCAACCGACCAAACCAAAACCCACTACCAATTCAAACACCACTTACACACCAAAATGTGCAACAAGTCCAACTCCCCCTCAAACGGCCCCGTCCTTTCTCGTGACCGTTTCTCTGGTCAGCCTCGCTGCCGCCGCTGTGGTATGCCTTGTGTTTGGTTCTTCTACTCACCGGACCAGACTTGGTGGTGCCCCTACTGCAAGCGCTTCCTCTACTAAATCGCCCCACCAACCTCCTTCCTCCTATCTAACTCTGTACAGGTGAGCATTTTGAGTAACCGAACTATCCCACCCCTCAAGACCCGATCCGAATATCACATCAGGAGGCTTTGATAGCCTCTTAGATCCAGATTGTAGGTTTTCTATATCATCAGGCGTTGGAGTTTGCGATAAAGGTATGTTTTCTGTTTTCTTGTTTCAGGGATGTCAAATCAAATCAATCATTTTTTGTTCTTCAATGTTTTTCCCTCTTCCTCTGTGCCATACCATAATGTGATCTAATTGTTTGTAATCTGAACAAATAGCCTGTACGATCATTTGACAACAGTGGCGTGAATGCAGGGGAGAGATATCACCCCTGAATCGAAGATCCGTCTCAGCCTCCCATGAACAGACCGGCTAGCTGTCAAAATGCAAGATGGTTTGTTGAATTCGATACAGATCCATAGAGTGGTCACCCTCGAGCGCTCTCTCTGGACAGATGTGTCGGCACCAAAAATATCGTGCCTTCTGATGGCTCTTTAGTAGGGCATCTTCGTCAGCTGAGAGCTCGATCTTGGTGCGATATCTGTGCCGGGATCGTGGCGTGATGAATACCGAGAGTGCCATATTGAATCTGTGCCTTCTCTTTGGTTCGTGATCAAGGATTTTTCGTCTGATCGCTCCTTCCTATTGACGTGACGTTTCCGATCGATCGCCGTTTCCCATTTATGCTTCGTCGCTGCTTCTCTACGCCGTGAAAACTGTCGACTTTAAATAGATAAACGAGCGCGACAGATGTAATGGCTCTGGCTTATGGGCTGGACATCGCGGCCGATTGAAGACTTCCATCGTTAGAATCACTTCTTGTTCTTCTTGCGACCGCGGCGTAATGTGGCCCGAGTCGCGTCAAAGGCACTCAATACTATGGCTACCTGTTCGGGACCAAGCTTGTATCTCGTGTTGAGGTAAGCACCATGGACCTGGCGGGCGAAAAGTATCTCTTGCCTGTCAGGATTGTACATGGTCTTGATAGACTTGTACACGCCTTGAGCTGGATATGCTACAAGTCCAAATATGCCTGTCATGAATATTAGTAACCTTCTTGATGACATCGTGTTCGGAAAAAAACATACCAGCTGCTGGGGTGGTTACGAAGCCGAATGCGCCGGCAGGTATGCCCTTCATGAACCCAGCAAAGCCTTCGTTTTTGGCGCCTCGTATTGGGTGCATGGCGAGGTTTGCGAAAGCGTCCACAAAGCCCATGCCAAATTTCTGTTCCGCTTATTAGTATTTCTTGACGATCGAGCATCTTTTGGTCGATCCTCACCTTGCAGGCAACTCTACCTCCGCTTCTCCAGTCGGTCACTGGCTCAAATCGTCTTGTCTTGCCACCAAGCAAAGCAGGTATACCGTCCAGACCGTCGACAAGTGCCATCGGGTAGTCCACTAGCGACGCTTTCACTGCCACTCCTCCTATTTCAGCCACCGAGCGAGACGTCTTGATCGCGACTCTGGCAGCTCTGCGATCGCCGCTCTCGTCACGAGAGCCATTTGATTGTTTGAACTCGCTCTTGAGGCCGAAGAAGAGACCACTGACAGCCGTTAAGACGTCCACTGCAGCTCCCATGATGGCAGATCCACCTGCGGTCAGAGGGTCCCAGCGCTGGTTCTCGATGGTAATAGGATATGGCTCATATCTGACCAGGATATTAGCAGCGAAACAGCCACGCGTGAGAAGGACGATATCTTACCTTCAATCTTTATTTTACCGTGCTCGACTAGCGTGTGCAGTGCCAAATCTGAGAGCTTGAGCTTGTTACTCTGCTCATCTGACCACACCCAGGACGCCTTTTGGCCGTTGATGATATCGCAGGTCATCGCTTGGGCGGGCAAGTTGCGGAAAAAAGATTCTGCGGCGGCGTCAACACCTCGCTCATGGCTCATGCGTCTCGCAATGTCTGCTGCCGCTTGCAATGTTGCTGGTTCCAGGCACTTGCGTATCATCGCTGCTAGATTTTCGGAGTTCAGCTCTTTATGGTGTATCGGTTTGGGTCCGGCGCCTGCCACTGCGACCATGTTGCCCCATAATGGCTGGCTGTAGAGAATCAGTTGTGGATGGCAAGAAGCGATATGATCGACTTACTCCGAAAAATGGCACGATACCAGTGGGTCGTCCATTTAACAGACCACAAGCTGTTGTGCCAGCACCACCATGATGAATCACCCCTGCGACGTGTTTGAAAAGCCACTCTGCCTCGCGTCAGCATGTTGGCACCATATCACGCATTCATGAGTTCTGACCATGAGGACAATCACCGAGGAACAAGATGTCCCTGTCGGATCTGCCAGCACCGAGCTTGCTCCACCCTTTGGACACAATGGCTCGTACTCGACAGGCCTTGACTGCAGAAATGATCAAATCGGTCATGTTTTCCGGATTCTCCATGACGATGCTTCCGAAGCCTATGTATATGGGTCTTGGACCAGCGCGCAGGAATGCGTCCAACTCGCGGTCAGGTGTGTATGGTTTCTCTTCTCGAAAGAAAAAACCGCAAACATCAATGTATGATGGCCAGTCGGAGGGCTTCGGCACCAATGCGGGCGACCAGCAATATGTGAAGGGGACCTGGAGTATCTCTGCGAGGCGAGGAGCCACCATATTCGCAACAGCATCCAGTCCCAAGGTCTTCTTTCTCCAGAGGTTGATCACGTCGCCAAGTCCCTGCCAGGTCATGACATCGACAATTCTGTATGACATGAAGTTCGCCGTCTGCGGATCGCTTTCTTCGGTCTGCATGTTCGCCAGCGGGTGAGGGAAGGCTTTCGTCGGTGACCATGGCATGGTGAACATGAGGTGCACGGGAACGCCCAGTGCTTGAGCGCAGTGTACATGGGCGAAACTGGGCGGGTTGGCGATGATGGCGTCTGCGACGAAAGGGATTTCTGTTCGGGCGTCTGGCATGATGCAAGATCTCCAGCATCCGTTCAGCATTTCGTATACCATCTTTCGTTTCCGGCCAATCTCGCCAGACTTCATCGTAGCGAACGATGGAAAGATGCTGGGGTTCTTGACCATGTACTACAACACCAGCCGTCAGCGATGCGTCTTCTCCCTCCATGCAAAACACGTACCGCCATCAGGTGAGCCGCGTTGCCACCTATATTGTAAAACTCGAGGCCAGTAGAACGCACAAAGTCCTCAAATTCGCCATGGGTGGCTATGCGTATGCGATGACCAGATGATTGGAGCCTTTGACCTAGTGCAATGAACGGCTGTACGTCACCTCGACTTCCAACAATCTGTATGACGATGTTCAATGGTGGCACTCGGCCTGGAGTATTGGCGACTACTCGCTGTGGAGTTTGGTTTGTGACAAGTTTTTCAATGTCGTATCCAGGGATGGCCGAGAGCTTCGTCTTGATACCGATGTTAAATCTTCCGTCGTCTACCAATTATCATGTCAGTCTCGAGCTTGATTCAGAAAACACAGTGTTGGCGGCTACCCGTAATCTTAGCTGACACGCTGCCATCATTGGAGTGTCCTTCAAACTTGTATGCAGGAGGGGCGTCCCAGTTGAGTCCATCTTGATTGCCACTGCTCGGCTGGTAAGCTCCTGTTGTCGTTCTTTTGCTGTCCATTGGTGAGTTGGAACTGGGTGGTGTTTTGAGGTTGTGGTTTATTCGATTTGCGATGAACAAGAAGATGGAGGAATGAGCCGACATAGGGTTGGGGTGACTGTCCATTAAAAAGGACTCTCATTGCGCAAGCCACTCTACTTTGATTACCCCTACCTGCAACTGATGTCAGGACGTTTGTTTGTAGCACCGCCATGCGCATGAGCTCCGATAGCTTAACCCGCAATTAGAACAGCCGCTAAAGCGCTTGTTTCAACATGTCTTGAGGTCGACCTGGGACCTCTGCGGAGTAGCTATCAGCTTTGCGGATTCGATCATCATGTCGCTCGGAGTAACATATTCCAAGATAACATTTGAAGGTGTAAAGACCTCTACAATATTGCTGCACTTCCGTTCCTTGCTCTTGCTACAGAGGGAGGATCATTCCAGCAAGATTGTTGTAGCGATGGTATGAGCCTATGAGGAGCGCAAAGGTGGGCGTCGAAAAGTTAGAGACTGTATTCGGATACGCTCTTACGCTCACAGCCCTGCGGCTTGGCACCGTATTTCTGAATACGTTCAACCTGAGGCTCTGAGCCACAAAGGAACAGGCCTCTCTGATTGCGGTGAGGTTGTTGAAAAGCATTGAGCTTTCGAGACCCGAGATCTTGATCCGAAGCATCTCGAGAATTGATCTGGCCATCTCCTTCCAGAAAGGGAGTCGCCCGTAGATTTTCCCAAACCCCTCGGTCCGATAAAGTGTTAGTCTTGGCAGGTGGCAGTCTCTACTACAAGCTTCCCCAAAGAGCAATGTCATTCAACGGGCGTGTGGTTCATCCTGCATGACGATGTTTTCCGTGCTGGATCTTCACTCTCCCAAGGCTCCCAGAAAGAGGGAAGTGGTCTTGTTCGAGCATCCTCGATTTTGTGAGTCGGCGATATGCAATTGAAGCCTCGAAAGCGGAAGGCGCATACCAAGTCTCGGGCTGGGTGTATAGCATGCAAGCATCAACACACTAAGGTAGGAGCTGTTCTGCTGTGATACGTACGAGGGGTGTCATTATGATGACCGAGTTACTGACCCTCGGTAGTGCGATGAAGGACGCCCACGTTGTGGACGGTGCGAAAGACTCGACATTGATTGCGTTTTGGGCCCGCCGCCAAGTTCGGCTTCGAGCTCCAGGCAGACTGCCTCAAGGCCTCCGTCGCAGGAACTTGCATCGCCTACCAGACCTCATGTTGCAGAGCCTCTTCATATCCTCGATCTAGAGCTGTTGCACAACTATAGCTTTGACACATATGCGACCTTTCTTGGCAAAGGACTCGATCATGATGTGTTTCGTACTAAGTTGGTCCAGCTTGGGTTTAAGCATACATATGTTCTCCATGCTCTCCTAGCTATATCAGCCCTCCACATGCACTATAAGGATGCTGCACGGACTTCTCTTCCAACCACCGCCGCGGAGCATTTCGACTCTGCCTTACATCTCGCGCAATCAACCATGGGTCATGTCACCGAGGAAGACGCGATTGCCATGTTTTTCTTCTCATCGACTACGGCTGTTTACGCCTTAGCAAAGGATTATTCAAATCCGTACAGCCATCTCACCTCTGCGTCGGACCCCGTAGATGACTTCGTTCTCTACTTCAACCTCACTCGTGGCGTCCACACTATAGTGCGGCACCACTGGCCTTTTCTCGAGCACTCTTGGATAGGTCCGTTGTTCAAAGATCAAGCGTCTGTCGCAAGTCCTGCCGGTCCGGCTTCAGACTACCCACGCGTGTTGGAATTGCAAGAGCTACTGCAAGCTTGCGAGGGAGATCTCCGCGAAACATACGCGCATGCGCTGGATCGCTGGCTTGCATACATGGCCGTGCTCGAGACGACTGCTGAAGCAGAAATTCATCTTCTTTTGGTCTGGCCCATAGAAGTCGATGCTGAGGTTTTGACTCTACTGTCGTGTCGAGATCCTTTCGCCTTGATAATCCTCGCCCATTACGCTGTCTTGATAAGCTTGCGGCCAAATGCTTGGTGGGCTGCCGGATGGCCCGTCAAGATCTTGGACGCCATCATCCGTTCTCTGGATCCCGAATGGTACCGCTTTGTAGAGTGGCCCAGAGCCAAAATCAATCATCACGACTTGTCCCTCTTTGGGGATCAAGCTCCATCTATTGATGTCGAGATGGTCAATTGACTGATGAAAGTTGTCACTGTATTCAGTTCGAACACACCGTTCTTTTACACGGTCCCTTTTGTTTTGGATCATACTCATCAGCTATTCGACGAAAGAATTTCTGATCTTTCGCCAAGCAAGGGTAATCCTTGTCTGGCATCATCACCTCCTGCTACAGCTCCTAACCTGCCGCGCCTCAAGCACTTGGAGCTCGCCAAGATCAATCTAGTCAGTAGTTTTGACCTGTACCATCGACCTCCGTTACTGGTCCCCACATTCTCAATGATAATGCCGAAGTCCAGACGCACTCTAAGTTAGTCGTGATGAACTCGGGAGTGATTTTCGCCAAGCACGGGGAGGAGAGGAGGTGAGGTCGTAGTGCTGGGAAGAGCTCAATGCAATGAACTCATGATCTTGTCACCTTGCAGAGATGAAGCTCGAAGCTGTTCCCCTTTTGTGGCGTTGAATGACAAGTAGGTCCCCATAGCGTATGGTTTGCGGTGAGAGTCGGCGATGAGTACCTCGACATGGAGCCAGAACGGGACTAGTCCTCGATGGTTGCGCGGCGGTCGTGGTCGTCTGGCCGGGAGTTTCGACGAATTATCGCAGTAGGCGAAGTCAGCGTTTACACACATTCACACAAAATCCAACAATAACAAAACCGCTCAATTCTTTCTCGTACCTCTAATCATAACCCCTCCACGCGAGACTATCACAATCTCCCAAGACATCATCACAATACACCAAATGGCTGCGACTACCAACGGCAAGTCCAACACCGCCGACAAACCCAGGAAGCAACCAAAAAGAGACAACAAGGTCAACAAACCCGATCATACCAAGAGGACCACGGCCAGAAAGCGCCACATCTTTACCATGGATTGCACACAGTCTACAGGAGGCTTTGGTTTTACTACAGTTCCATCATATGATGATCCTTCCATTCTGTGTCTATCTATCGTAGCACACATCCGTGCCTATACATGAGCCGTCCTAGGCAAAGTGTGGTATGTATAGCGTGAAATTTGGAGTCGTGAAAGCCGAGTCGGGGAGATATGGCAAGTCAACAAAGCATTCGACAACCAGATAAAGCCTCGCCAGAAGGTAGAGAGGAGCGTAGCAGTCAAAGATGAACGCTTCCAGCTTCTTTCTATGGGCTGTGAGCGGTCTTCCGGAGTGATAAAGTTCGAAAGGATGAAAACGTCCATGGTGCCATGCTTGATAGAGTACGGGAAATAGAGGGCCAACGATTGCTATCGCGATGCCCGAGATCTGCCACATGATCCTCTCGATGCTGGTGTTGAATGGGGCGTTCCAGGCGAGTAGGTGGAGACCGCCGTATAGTAACTCTACTATCGTGAGAACGGGAAGGATCGGAACCTCTCGGAAGGTTGCTGCCATGTACAGGATGTTTGGCGAGAGAGACCAATTTCTAATCCGATCGATGGAGTATACCTCGCCGTGGTACTCATTGATACTCACTGGCCCCGTTTCCGCTGCCTGCTTTAGTCTTTCCTCCATCTCAGGTGTTACGTCAAAGACAAACTGCTGTGTGGCTAGAGGTGTCGGTCTAGCCAAGTTCTTAGGATTTGAGATGCACCAGCTATACGTGATCCAGAATTGGTATATGTTGATACTCAGAGAGAGATCAAAACTGTCTATTTCTTTGCTCTTTCCAGAGCAATGGATGCCAGAGCTAGTATTTGGTTAGCGAGCAGTCAAACGAAGGACCATCGATGGCACCACAAACATGATTGAAGATAGACGCGTGCCGAATCGGATTCTTCGCTGGATTTTCTCGTACAAGCACTCGTCATGATGTGCAATTGAGTTACAATCTCGCTCAGGATGGTTGAAAGACGTCAGGCAACCTGAAATAGACACTCCTGGTTGCCCATGGAACTTTAGGTCGGGCCAGGTCGGAGGCGGTGGAGGAGCGTCCTCTTGGCCACCGAAAAGGTTCATTAATGCGACGTGCTGACGTAGGCTATCAGTAACAACCAAAAGGCTAGGCTGCTCAACATCAACGGGTTTCTTCCACCATATTGCATACGTAACAAAGGTACATAAGCAATGGCCCCAGTACATTTAGTTCCAGGAGACTGATAGAGGCACCTTGCATCATTCGAGCCACACATTGAATGCAGAACCATAGAGCTTGCAAGCACACGATGCTTTTTGCAAGCGTGCTAGCCTTGCTCTTGTCCAATATCTCAGATTCCGGAAGATCGGGAAAGACTTCAGGCAGTTTGTCCAGGACGTATAGCAAGCCAGCTTCGTCTAATATAAGAGTCGTCATTTCTTCGGGATGACCAAGGCCGAGATTCTCTGCTTGGATTGCAAAGCCCCCCATAGCGGCATAGAAGCCGTGAGTGAGTGTCCAACAATGGCGTCGTAGTGGAGGACTTGAAGCCGATTCCAAGGACATCTCCTACGCAGGTTATGTGTGAGCCAGGTATAGCTGAAAGATTCACAGAAGCTCTCACCTGGTCGATGACGGGATCAAGTGGTATGCGGAAGCTTAGTGCCTGCGTGAGATATTGCCATGCACGTCGGTACCATGTCGAGATCGGCGTCCTTGGATAAGTTTGATAGGCTCTCTGTGTGATTCGCGAAGCTTTTCGGTATTGTTCCCAAGCGTTCCAAGCGACGAGTTCTGGTGCGAGGAGGCCTAGAACCAACCATCCGGCTTTACGATACTTCTGTAGATGTTCCTTGCCCGTTTTCGGAATGTTGAGATGCACGGCTGTCCAAACACAAAGCACCAGAGTCGTTACACAGGACGACAAGATGCTAAACGTGCCTCGTTCGCGAGGCTCTGGATGCCATGCTGCAGTCTGGTTAGAGGCCAGGGTTCCAAAGGGTGTGAACATCGTGAGCGGAATTTCTAGGGTGTAAATTCCAATGACATTCAATAGCAAAAGATTCGTAGCAGAGAGAACCACGTAAGATATAGTAGCAAGGTATTTAGGACAGCAAGAGGCTTAGCCTTCAGAGAGGTTGGCTCCATGGCTGTCAAGCCTCAGCTGAAGATGGAAATAGACATAGATCGTGGCACAGCTCGAGCGTGTGGTATAGATTCCTCACTGCCTTGCTCGAGTTTGACAGTCTTCCAAAGAGAACAGCGGTGTGGTGATGGAACAACGCGCTCGACTAACACATGATGACAGAACGTCTTCTAGTACCCTGAACGGCCCCAAAAAACCTAAGCTTCGCCTCAGGCTGCAAAGGAGTCTCTGCCATAATTGTCGATGCGAAATACGTCGACGAGACATTGCATTGTGCGCGATACAGCTCCACGCACATTATCGCCGACTTACGTACGACCTGCGAAACACCATGGCGACGACCCGCTGGACTTTGAGTGAGAAGAAATGGAGGAGCGGAGGAGCGAAGGAGCGTCCGTGCACCGAAGAACGTCGCTGCGGCGCGTTCGCCCGTGAGCGGCCATAAATCGTGGTCATGAGCCAAACCTCACGAAGCAGAGGGTACCTTCAAGTTGCGTTATTTTTGAGAAGCTATTTCAAACTTAGACGTTACATGCTCTTAGTGATGATGATGGCCAGCGTGGTCATGACCATCACCTTCTTCGTCCAACGGATTCTTCCACTCTTCCCATCCATCCTCGAACGTCCTGCACAACAAGCTCTCCCTCTGCTCGTTGGATAGACCTTTCCTCTTCATCATCTTTTCCCATCTCTTCATCTCTCCATCGTCCAGTAGACAGGCATCAAACAACGCCGTGATAGCCTCGACGTCTATTCCCTCGCCGATGAATACAATCTCTTGTCTGCGATCACCCCATTCGCCTTCGAAGTCTTTCTTGATTAAGTCTGTAACTTCTTGGCTGGGAGAGGGCCATTGCTCTTCTGGCACTACGGCGAACCAGTTGAGACCACCTGATACAGTGAGCATGGCGCCGGCTTGAGACCAGTCACCACTGACAAAGGGACGAGTAGCTAGCCAGATAAATCCTTTGGAGCGTAACAAGGACTTGAAGACAGGATGAGCCTTCTTGTTGGCGAGACGTGTTGGCAGGTCAAGATCGGCGTATTTTGTGTCGAGCGCGTCTTGATCTTCGGAGTTGACCGAAGTAGCATCGGTGTCAGAGGCTGTTTTGGTGCTGAGAGAGTCCGAAGAATGCGTATGGGAGGCGGCGCGGCTCAGCTTGCCAGTCATTGATTTGTCGGACTCGTTCTCGTTCGCGTCGCTTTCGCTTTCGTTTTCGGTTGCCGCGTCTTCTTGCTCTTGGTCTTCTCCCTTGGCTCCATCTTGGTTGTCTGTAGCATCGACCTCGTCCTCATGTTCATCTTCGTCCTCATCTTCTTCTTCTTCCTCTTCGTCCTGAGGCTCCAGAATAACGAACTTATCGTGGACGAGCTCGTACAGACGACCTGGCGAGAATGGCCTCCTCGCTCGGTAGACGAAGCTGTTAATGCCGTATCTAGAATGTTGTCATTAGTGCTGGGCCCAGGTTCAGAGTTATGTTAACTTACTCGAGTGTCTCGGGCTTGGGCGCCATGACTGTGCGTCCGTGGTTGTCGATCATTGACATTTCATTGATGCTCTTCAGCCAGCCAGAGCTTTTGATCGATGTCTCTTCGCTATACATGCCGGTCGCAATGATCTCCTTGACGTCCAGAGGCTTGATACCGAAAGGATTCTCGGACTGCTTCGAAGCTCGCAAGCTAGTCTCGACGACCTTGGCCCCAGGATTCATAGTCTTGATCAGGCCACGGATGCGTGTAAGCACTTGATCGTCGATCATGTCAATCTGCGGAGCGTCAGTGGCATGCCAATCTATTCACGAGGAATACCACTTACCTTGTTGACGATGATCACGTCTGCAAACTCGATTTGATCGATCATCAAATCACTGACGGTACGCTGATCTTCCGGCGTCTCCACTTCGGACTGAAACCGTTCGTGCAAAAGCTGGATGGTCTCAAATTCCTCAAAGAACCTGAAACCGTCTACGACAGTGACTGTGGTGTCGAGCTTAGCTACCTTATTAAGGCCGCCATTCTGCGCACTGTTTCTAGCGTTAGGCCCAGATATGTGTGCGAGAGCCGTTGTTCAAGATACTCACATCTCGTGAAAGACCTTCTTCTCTTCCTCATCAAATTGGTCGAGCGCTCCATCCGCTCCCATCATGGCCTCGGTGAAATCTGTGGTAAAGCTTTCGGCTACCTGTTGCGGCTCGCTGATACCAGTACTTTCGATCAGTACATAGTCGTATTCACCAGCCCTGGCCATCTTTGCAAGCTCGATCACAAAGTCACCGCGAAGCGTGCAGCAGATGCAACCGTTCTGCATGGCAATCATCTTCTCTGCTTCGCGACCCTTTTTCTTGCCGTCTGCAACTATGATGCCTTGATCAACATTGACTGCGGCCATATCATTGACGATCATTGCGATCTTCAATCCGTGGTCTTTCGAGTTGAGGATGTAGCTGAGTAGTGTCGTCTTGCCGCTTCCCTGTCAAGGTGTCAGTCGATGCACTTATCCTGAGAGCTTTTGTGCCTTACCAAGAAACCTGACAGGAGCGTAATGGGCAGCGTCTTGAATGGGGATGCATCTTTGACCTGCTGTGCCATGTTTGCGCGCTTAGTTTTCTTCGCCGAGGATGCTTGCTGTGGGTTTCGCTTGCGTTTGGGAGCCATGATACTTGGAAAAGTACGATACTGACCGCTATAAATGCTGACCCTTGAGTGCCCTCTGATGACCACCTTGATGATTCTTACAGAGCCATGATTGGCTAGCCACCTACGTTCTTGGCCTGGTGTCGACACCTTGATGGCGGCATAGTATCTGTACGCACCGGCTGGTGGGCTGCAAGTCGCATAACATACAGCGAGGGCTTACGATGAGTGGTCGTCAATGCGCCCAACTCGTAAAGATGTTGTGTACGAGGCATTCGTCGCATGACGAGACGGCTGGGGAGCGAGGTCTTGGTCCACAACACCTTGATGGTGGAAGCCCGTGCGACATCGCGATTTTCGACTGTAGACTCTCTTCTTGCTAACCGTCTTACATATTCCGAATGTTTCATTGGTCGACGGAAGTTGATACAGAAGGGAGACAACTCGAAGGGTCTCTCGTCGGTGGATGTTCGGCGGCTGCCGGGCGGTCAAGCGAGGAATCTTCAGATGACGACAACGCTCTCACGAACGCGACTTCCTGTTGACAACCATTCTTGACTCTGCTTCCTCGACTTCCTTGTAACTTGCTGCAATCTCTCGTGAGACCACGATCTTCAGCTATCATCACAATTACAAGAGTTCTTTATCCTTCTGCAAGGGCCCATTTGAGAGAGAAAGATGCGTCAGGAGGAGTGGGGGGAGGAGGAGGCTGTATTCGGCGAAGGTTGTATATCATGCGAGGAAGTGTCATCGGATTCGCGCTCGAATCGTACCGGGCAGCCACAGAGACTGTTACTGATCAGCGTTTGCACTTGCTTTGGGCTCAATGTTCACACAGTACATACCTTGTAAGAGTCTAAGCATGCTGGTTTGCTCATGGCTTTACGCCGTTGCAAGGTGTTGTCCTGCCTTGGCTGATTCAAATTGAGAGGTCGCGAAGAAAGCCATCTTGCGCGCAGGCGATATGCAATGGCCGCGCCCAGGAAGGTCGCTCTTCGACCAAAAGGTATGCTCGACTATCCACTTGCGGGGCTTCAATCGACTACAGCCGCCGTCATATCGGCGTCGTGGATGGCGACAGATGGTTCTGGCAAAGTAGTTACAGTAAGACCTTTCCAGGGATATCTCACGTCTCGACGTCTCGTCTGCCCTCGTTGCCCCTACATGCGGTGTTGGAGGAGCAACATTTGGCTGGTGGTAAGAGAGTTGATGGCAGGCTGCAGCATCAACGCTGGTTCAGTGTGTTCTCCGATGGTTTAGGTCACACGTTCTTCCTCAACATCAATACATGGCAAAGCTCTGTTGTTCGTGGTGGTCAGTTTGTATCGTTGTACAGGCATTGCAACTCCAGTATCTTCCGACGAAGGTTTCTGTTATGAGTTGAGGCACATGGTCGACCCTGTCGGTAGGCTCGTTTGGTTGGAAAGGGCAGAGAATGTGTTTTTTGCAAGCAAATGTGGCTGCTGGCGAGAATTTAAAAGAGCAAGGTCTGCTGGTCAGAAAAGTGCAAAGCCGACGTGACCGTCAACTCCACCAAACCCAACCCAATGCTGTACAAGAAGTGACGGCTTTCACTTCACAGACTGCTACACACAAGCACCACTATCTCTATACGCATCGAAACATACCCAACCGTCATTCAAAGACAACCCATCATTCCTTTATTCCCCTTCCAAAACACACGCATTCATACTGTCATCATGAAGGCCATCCTTGTGCTCGCCTTCTTGCTCGCTATGATCTTCCACACAGGTATCTCGAAGATCTATTACCATATCCTACGCGTGCTTACTGTAATAGCTTGCGCCCAGAATGATACCACCCATTCTACCACTACAGCCACTATCACCAAGACTGTCCTTCACACGGAGACCGTCGTGGTTGACCTCATGACTGCCTTGCCTGGCGAGCTCCTCACTGCCCTGCCCGGTATCGCGTCTGCTAGCGCTGGCGACATCTCAATCGAGCTGAAGAGCGTCTACGTCCAGACTGTTGAATTGACTGCCACCGCTACCTCCACTGCTACCATCGTCTCTACCGAGATCGACGGCGTTGTTATCACCTCGATGAGCACCTTCACCGCCATCGCCACTTCAACTAGCACTGATATCAACATCGAGGAAGTCACTTCATTCTCTACTAAGCAGGTCGGTACCACAATCACAACCACGTCGGTCGTCCCCGCATCGACTTCGCCTCTTTCCGTCCTAGATGCACTCGCTCATCAGTATAGCCTCGGTGGCGGCGGAGACAATGTCACGGCCGATCCTTGGCTAGTCTTCAGTGTGGTTTCTCTGTGTTTCGCACACTACTTCTTCTTTGCCCACAACTAGAAGTCCTCCTTGTTTGAACCGATGGAATTGGGCGCGGTGCAACTGCACAAATCATGTATCAGATAGCTCTCCGGTGAAACTGGAACGAAATTACTACCTCGCTCTTCATGCTCGTCTGCTTGAAACATCCACCTATCAAAATGCAAGATGCACTTGTGATATGCAGCAGTGTCCACTGAGGGCTTGTCGTAGATTACTGCCTCGAGGGCTCTCGATGGAGGCTTGGGAGAGTCGAGAGGCACCTTGCATTTTTACAGCCCACTAATCCGCTTACACGCTTGCCAGGATCTCAGAGGGTGTGCTTTGCACTTTCGAGGGCTCTCGGTGGCGGTTGTGTGTCAACATTGTAGTAGTCAGTCCCGAATCCGAGCCCTTCGCAAGCGAAAGTGCACCCCTCCGGAGCTGGATTTGCCTGTTTCCTCCACTGAGAACTCTCTAAACTCCTTATGCTTCAACGGTCGTTGATGGTCGCACTTGCTCGTGACCTCGGTAGGTCACGTTTTTATTGTTCATTGACTTTAGTCGGTATACACAGGAAAGTTCGAAGATCTACATCAAGGTTATGCAACTTGGGATAGACTTTCCAGATCTTAGTTCACTCAGGCTACTCTCCGACTCGTGGAAAATGGCAGGTCCATCGCTAAACAAGTACTCATCGCATTGTGAACGAGTCGCACTATTGAGAGCGTAGTATGAGACCAGGGCGTTAGGGTCTGGTCTGCGATCGGCAGTTGATCACAAGAACGGTAGCGGCTTCCTGTGCTGCCGTGTCTCTGCTGCTGCTGCTTCTTCATCCTCCCGCTTTCCATGGTTGAGAATAGAGAGCACAGGGCCAGGGGTAGAAAAGTCAAAGAAAACAACACAACAGCCCTAAGGGCGTTTGCATCAAGTCTTACAGAACAAGAAGGCCGATCCATGTAAAAATAAGATGCTTTCCAGCCACTGAGGCTCTCGATGCCACGCACGCCTCATCTCCACAGTCGACGTCTCACTATACCACAAACACAAGGCCACTAGGCAAGGGCTCCTGCACTCCGCCAAGTTGTCACTGACAGGCTTGTCCGATATGCTTAGCGAGGCTTGGATGTGATAGGCGGCAGCACTGACTGCATGGTGGAAAAGTGTTCCGCGTGGTGCAAATTAGATTAACTGCTCCCCGGACGTTTTTCCCCACATTGTTGGCGCATCGGGCAGGCGACGGCTCCGGCTGAATATCCTCAAGGCACTTCTCGAACTCGCCGCTTCCCCCTCTTTGTTTCACCATCGTCCGGCCATGAGAAACCTTGACAGCTTTTGCCGATGAAAAGGGCCTTCTACAGAACATGGCATCGCTATATTGCTGCAAGCAGTCTAGGCCGGCCGCCCATCTACCATCATTGGACGGAAAATTAAATCAGGTCTGATATAGCCTTTCGAGCTATAACGACGACGGCCTCAGGAACCTGACTTCGCTGCGAGCCCTGAGGGCGAGAGACATGACACAGCATGGCGACATCGCGTATTGCGGAAACATACGGTATAGGGCATGAACTCGGAGAGGCAAGGCGAGAGGTATAAGTATCCAGCTGTTTCCTCTACCATCTCGACAGATCAAGCAGCTCGACTCAACTTCTCAAGCAGGCCTTGAAGTACCTTTCTCAACAACCTTTCTCTTCTTACCTTCCAACTACTACCACACTCACTCACTATGCACTTCTCTTCTCTCGTCGCAGCCGCCGCCATTGGTGGTGCTGCCATCGTTTCTGCTGCTCCCGCAGCCTCGCCCATCGACAAGCGCGCCACTACCTGCACCTTCTCAGGCTCCAGCGGTGCTGCCTCTGCCACAAAGTCCAAGGCTGCCTGCGCCACCATCATTCTCAACAACGTTGCCGTCCCTGCTGGTACCACCCTCGACCTCACCGGATTGACCACTGGCACCCACGTCATCTTCGAGGGTACCACCACCTTTGGCTACAAGGAGTGGGAAGGCCCCCTCGTCAGCGTCTCCGGTACTTCGATCACCGTTACTGGTGCTTCCGGCAGTGTCCTCGACGGTGATGGTGCTCGCTGGTGGGACGGCGAGGGCAGCAACGGCGGCAAGACCAAGCCCAAGTTCTTCTACGCCCACAGCTTGACCACTTCTTCCATGTAAGTCCATTTTGCTGCAACCTCCAATCATGCACAATGCTAATCAATGTAATAGCAATGGTCTTACGATCAAGAACTCGCCTGTTCAGACCTTCTCCATCAACGGAGCCAAGACCTTGACCATGGACAAGATCACCATCGATGGCTCAGCCGGTGACAGCCTTGGTCACAACACCGATGCCTTCGATATCGGTTCATCCACTAGCGTGACCATCACTAACGCTGTTGTCCACAACCAGGATGATTGCGTTGCCATCAACTCTGGTACCGACATCACCTTCTCCGGCGGTTCTTGCACTGGTGGCCACGGTCTTTCCGTTGGCTCTGTTGGCGGCCGCTCCGACAACACTGTCAGCAACGTCCACTTCACAAATAACAAAATTTCTAACTCAGATAATGGCATCCGTATCAAGACTGTTTACGGTGCCACTGGCGCTGTGAAGGGCGTCAACTACAGCGGCAACACCCTCTCTGGCATCAAGAAATAGTAAGACTACTCGAAACAACCCTTTCTTCTCTTTACTAATACTCTGCCAGCGGTATCGTCATTGAGCAGGACTACGAGAACGGCTCTCCCACCGGCAAGCCCACCGCTGGTGTCCCAATCACCGGCTTGACCATGAGCAAGAACACCGGTACCGTCACCAGCTCCGCCACCGACATCTACATCCTCTGTGCCTCCGGTGCCTGCTCCGGCTGGACCTGGTCCGGCAACTCCATCACCGGTGGCAAGAAGTCCACCAGCTGCTCCAACGTCCCCAGCCCTGCTTCTTGCTAGATGCAACAACCAGCGAACAATCAAGAGACGGACACAATGCATGGCGAAGGCGTGTGATTGGCAGAGCGCCAAAAGACGAATTGGCGGCTCGACATATCTCTCTTCTGTTTCTTCTTCTTTCGTATAAGTCTTGATCAAGCATCTTTTCTTCTAGCATCTGCAAACACAAATTTATATTCTTTTCGTCTCAATGTCTTCTCCATCTTGTTCCTTCGACAGCTCGAGAACATCGCTCGCTCCTAGCATGACCATAGAGGTGCCAAACAGAGCCGTCAAAAGGCAAGATGAAATCGAGAACAGAGAGGCCGTCCCCTGAAAGCATAATCCAACAGACCTCTCTCTGGACATCTCAACGAATCTGAACCCAATCTTGCATTTTGATGTGTATACCTAGCTGCCCAGCGCGAGAGAGGAGATACTCATACTCCCAGCAGCACGATAGGGGTACCAAAAAGGGCGGTAGAAATGCAAGATGCTTTTGTACATTGCTGATGCCTCCACTGAGAACACAACCAAAAGGGTCCCTCTTTGGGTGGTGGGAGGCAGAGCAGAGTCTTACACGACAGTGTAGCCCGAGTGTCGCAAATCTAGGGGCGCGAGGGGGAAAGGGGCATAATCACTACTCCCACCATTAGCGGCAACGACTGTATACCACATGAAAATGCAAGAAGATATTCAAGCCAGTAACCAGTGCCACAGAAAGCACGTTACTCACGCGACTCTCTGTGGACAAACCACAAGATCTCAATTAGATCTTGCATTTTTACAACATGCACGACGACGACACACGAGACAAGAGATGATGATATGCGAGAGAATCAATGGTGTTTTTGATTTGCATGACGAGCTTTCCTCCCAGTCTACAACACGTTTTGCTACCTGAAACACTCCAAGGATCTGTTCCACCGTCCCTTCTTTCCTGGCGTGAGATGACAAGTGATTGTTGTATAGTGGCTGGTGGTTGAGTCACACAGGCGCTATCAGTGAATGCATTAGTGATTGTGATGAGAGTGAGGTAGTAAGTGTGACTAGATCTTACCGTATGTGAGCGCTTCAGAGATCTTGGGACTACATTGTTTACGAAACAGATGAAGTGGAAGATTTAGTTCTTGACAGCGTGGTTGGGCTTGACGAGGTGGTCGAGCAAGCCGAGTTCGGCCTCGTAGTAGAATCTACAGAGGACCAGGAGGACGGCGGGTCTGTAGATGCGTGCGTGGGCCCTGAAGGGAGGGCGGATGAGGGTGGCCAGGGCGGTGACCACGAACGCGAGGACGATGTTGCCCATATGGGTGAGATTCTGGGAGGTATCGAAGATCTGAGAGAGAGATGTAGACATCTCGTTGGTTCTCTCGCCGTTGAGAGGCTGGGCGAGGAATGGGATGATGACCTCGAAGAGGGTGTTGATGACCATGTTGATAAAGATGGTGAATTCGTTCATGTTGGCTGTTTGATTGGTTTTGATGGATTTAAAGAGGTTTGTGGATGGAAGGAAGAAGAGGTTGAGGCGTGTTGGAGAGCAGAAGATGGTTTTGACGCAGACTTGAAGAATCAAGCGAACGGATCATGTGCAGAGTCCTATTCGGGTGGAAAGTGAAGGCAGTTGATGCAGCAGTATACGGCCTGTGCTTCCATACGACGCAGCTAGCTCGTCGAGGCTCTTTGTTTGTTCGTCTCCTTTCATATTGAGTCTTCGAATATACAATCCTTCACCAATAGCAGTTAGCATTGATCGACAGCCGTCAGAGGCTGTATCATGACTGACCCTCTTCTCAACGAAGCACTGCCTCGCCGTGGTCTCCCGCGACGGTCAGTCGAATCGCCCTCGCCATTTGCATGTCGAGGAGGGTGATGAAGACGTGGAAAGCATCATCGAAGCGAGCGTCGGCCCCAAAGTTGGCTGTACAAGCGGCCACATAGGCGGCATCGTACATGGTGTGAAGGGTTATCATGAAGGCAAAGGCGAGTAGCCAAGCGTAGTCAGGTGAGATGTGTACATCGACGGCTCCAGACGTGAAGGTAAACCACAGCACCACCCGGCTAACGACGATCGTGAGTCGAAGGGCGTAAATGCTGATACGGAGAGACATGACTGCCTTCTGTATCTTGTCGTTTCGAGACGTCTATCGCCAGGCCTTCTGTTACGTCGACGACTTACTAACGGCTCACAGTCTGAGTGTCTCAGACCCAAAGTGCAGACGAGAGAATGAGCAAGGGAGAGCGTATCGGCATACGTCGGGAGAGGAGCCTAAGTCGGTGTTCGAGCGAACCGAATTGCGGAAGTAGCTGCTCTGCATTCTCTGGAGAGCTCTCGAAAACCTCCGAAGGCAAGTGCATCTGAGCCAGCAGCCATCTTCGACGACTCTTTGGACAAGGAACACCAATCTCTCCTTGGTCGCCCACAGCCCTTCGGCTTCTCGAGATACCTAGGAAGGCAGGAATCGTCTTACCAGCATCAGGTCAGAAAGGTCCTGCTCGACACGATCAACCCCAGGACGCAACGGGCCCACTACACCTACAGCGTCGTCCACGCTTCTCCTTCCTTCGAACCACATCTCACACCACTACGATCTTCTTTCCCCTTACACAGAGACATCGCAGGCTGGACAACGTGTTTTAATCCATCTCTACAACCTTAACCGCCATCAGCCGCGGAGAAGCGTTCCGCAAGCGGCTATTCGTCGCTGTCGAGTCGCAGAGCGACGGATACACTTCTGCTCATGATCACGACTTTCGAGCCCCGATGCAACATCATACCAAGACTCGCGCGGCTTATCGCATGAATGAGAGTCCATCAGACACGCGTTCAGACATGAAGAGGAAGAGAAGATGAGGCTTCGGCCGACGCGAAATGAGCTCATGTCGAAAACATGATGTCATTTCCAGCCGCCGCGGCCACCTCCCCAAAAGTCAGTTCAATACAAGATGGAGCCATGATCTTGACATAATACCTATCACCTCCTAATTATCCAAAGTATCCGTGCTTTTTTGTCCTAAGTTTCCATTCTTTCCGGTCATAACTTCAATGTTTCTTTGATCATGTCGCGCTCCCGTGTACCGCCGATTCTTCGCCCGCGCCTTACGCCCAAATACATCGCGTCCTCTGTGGTTGCTATTTACGTCCTCTATTGTTGGCTGTGGGGAATGCCTCTTCTGTCTTCGAACCTCCCTGCTTATACGGGGCCCCATTCTGTGGGTACGATCGATATCGAGAGTCCTTGTGATGGCCGTAAAACGAGCGACGTCAAGTTCAAGTCGAACGGGCAACCTGCATTCCTGGTACGCGTCATGTATAATCCGCAAATTGCACACCCTGACCATTTTCGCAGCTGGAAACAGTCCTTTTCTCTGTATACTACCCCTCCATCAAGGGAGCAAAGTCGGACAAGCCAAAACATCTCTGGGTGCCGAAGCCGCTCTCGATAACAGCAGAGGGCTACGCAAAGTTCGCCCACATCAGCAACTTCCTTACCAACAGCATTTTCACTGTCGCTCTCTGGGGTCTGGCTGGCAGCATCACAATCCCGGCGAACGTTGATGTACCTCTGCGAGAGATTGCACCCAGTTTCGAGTTCACAGAGCATGGAGCGGGCAAGCCGGAAGTGGGCAACGATGGGTTCCCGGTAATTGTCTTCTCCCACGGTATGGCGAGCTCCCGTACAGACTACACGCATTTCTGTGGTGAACTCGCGAGCCGAGGATACATCGTTGCTGCTATCGAGCATAGAGATGGAAGCGGACCTGGAAGCATGGTTATGGACATCGACGGATCCGAGAGAGCAGTCTACCACTTCGGCCTCGGCGATTTGGACGTCGACGATAGTTTCGACACGCCCGAGCTGAAACAAGCACAACTGGACTTCCGCCAAGCAGAGATTGAAGAGACTGTGCGTGTCTTGAAAGCCATCAATGACGGCAGCGGCACCGCCATCTACGAGATGAACCCTCGCAAAGAGGGCGAGCATCTAGCCAGTTGGGAGGGCAAACTCGACATGACCAACGTCACCATGTCCGGTCACAGCTACGGCGCCACTGGCGCTCTTCAGGCATTGAAGGGCGCGCCTTGCCCCGAACGCCCCTTCCATGGAGGACTGATTCTTGATCCTGGAAAGTCGAGTGGCCCTCTCAACCACGACGTCGACGTACCTGTCCTCGTCATCCACTCAAATTCCTGGTCAAAGAAGCACTCCGTCTTCTTTGGTCGCCCTCACTTCGACGTTGTCAAAGACCTTGTCGTGGATGTCAACAACCGCGGCAAGGCAGCTTGGTTCATGACTTCTCTCGGCACGTCCCATCCTTCCGTCACCGACGCTCCTCTTATCGAGCCAATGCTTCTGAGCTGGACGACTGGCTCGACGATCGATGTCTACGATGGCGTGGACGTGTACGTCAATGTCACTGAGGAATTCATGATCTTCCAGAAGGCGCACAGGAGGACGGGTTTGCTGGCTCTGGATGTCACGCATCCCGATTATGACAGCTCTACTAATGGCACACAAGAGATGCCGCAGGCATACCAACGATACTGGCAGATCCATGTCGCACCTGAGTCGACATAATTACCATCTACTTATGATACATATAGCCATTATAATAATGATTCATCTTTTTTTTGTTCAAATGCGCATTTCTCTTCGATTCTACGGTCTGCCGAGCGATGCGATGGAGTTGGTTAAGCACTCTCTGCTCAGGCTCACTACAATACTCTTCTGAATTAATTGTCATGTTGGTTAAAGCTCAGGTCCTCCCGGATATGACCAAGACCTCTCGCTTGGGGTATGACCCTGGCTTGACAATTAATAGTGACTCGGCCTCTCAAAATCGGCCAGGTACATCTCTGATTGACGACACAAGAACTTGGATCACATCGCAAAGCAGTCCATAGCCGATATGTCTGTTCTAGGCCCGTTTCGTCAGCAGGAGTCCTCCATTGAGCTATGTCTGGCTCTAAATGCACACACGAGGTGTCACACCAATGGCCGACCTTTGGTCAACATGAACAAGCAATCGAAACCACATACGGGTACCTCGAACCGCTCACAGAATGAAAGCATTGAGATGCCCCCTCAACCAACAGGACTTACTCCAACCGTCGTTCGCACGGATTAACCTCTGAGCGAACATGGTCCCTCACCATTTCATTCCTTCTACAGTCTACTGATCTCGAGACAAGCAAGGTATTCACAGCAAGCCCACCACTCCGATCTGCAAGCCCTCAAAATATAGTGAACCAATCCTCCAGCGCAGCATAGCTCACACAACGCAATCTTCATATTCCCACCCCCTCAGCCGTCGACCCATCGAAGCCCATCAGCTCCGAAACACATACCACATCTCTTCCGTGGCGCAATTGGCTAGCGCGTTCGACTGTTAATCGAGAGGTTCCTAGTTCAAGCCTAGGCGGGAGAGTGATTTCTTTTGTTTCCTTCACGTAACAATTTGACAATTTTTTTTTTGGTCGGAAGAAAGTGGCAGGGATGTGCCCTTGTTCGTTCCGATGTTTGCGGAAAGTGGGGCTGCGCTGGGAACGTCAAGGAGTCCGATGTTTGGCCGAATGGTTGGTGTGTGTGCGATGGGGAAGTTGGCGTCTTTCTCTCCTCTTGCTTCTGGACTTTTTGTCTACTGAATGATTTTCTTGAGATGATTGGAAAAACTCGACGAGATCGCTTATCGCGGTGGAGGAAACAGGCCAGACTGATTGCAGAAAGAGCATGAAGCCGTTCTGAAAGTGCTGCCTAATGCCTATCATCGAGAAGCCTGTCAACTTCCATCTCAGCTTCGTCGGCCGTCCGGCAACACGCCTCGGAAAAGCACAATATTGTCCGCGAACTGTCTTTGGCTAGAAGAGAGTCTGCGAAATTCTGCCATGATCCGTAATTGCCTTTCGTACACCTTCAAGTGCGCGCAACAGCTTGATGTCAGCTGTAGAGATGCACAGTGATTTGTTGAAACTGACGTGTTGGCCAGACAGAGCTGAAGCTTGAAAGCTTCTCATCGGACATAAGATGGAGTCCATCATGGGTTCAGCTATTTATGAAGGACGAGAACACGCGTTTTGCAATCATCTTGATTGTTGTTTATCTATTTGATGACCTTGTCCATCGATTTCCATGAATTTTCCACTCCGCCGAGCAACGAGCAACCAAAAATCATCCAGTCAATGCTCAAAGGTAGAACATCACGTCATCGAGGTCGCTGTGCCAGGGATTGGCCGAACCATCTGGGATGCCCTTCATCCATATCTTGGTCTTGACGATGTTGAGCACGATCTTCGCCTGCACACGGCGGATCTCCTTCTGTGTCATACCTCGGGTGCGAACATGGAGCATTTTCTCCTTCAAATGCTCCCTAAGGCCAATCTCGGTGTTCTCTTCGCGATATTGTTTGGAGTATCGGACATAGACTGCGTTCAACCAACTACGAGCAAGGTCACACAGTTTGTCTGCGTAGTATGCCGGAGTAGCATATGAGACCGATTTTGTGCTGGTAGCGTAGGTGTATGCCAGTCCAAAGACAATAGACTCAAGATGGAAGGCACTGAGGTTCATCTCGTTCTCGACCACGAAGCAATGACAAGATCTGGCGGTGCCTGCTAGAGCTTTGTGGCACAGTATGTAAAAGTCGTTATCTCCGGGGCAAGTGATAGAGTTGTCGACAACCACACCAGGCCTGAAATTCTCTTGCCTCTGGTCCAGGAATTGCTTGTCGGTCTGAGCCTTCTTGAATAGACGGGTGTTGTGACGCTTGCTGACAATGATGAAGGTGATATTGATCTTCACATCCTTTCCAGCGACCTCTTCACAAGCTTCTACAATTTGAGGGACCTCCTTTGCTTTGACCTGTGCAAATTGCCCTTCACTGACACCATCGCGGAAGAACAAGACGTTGCTGGGAAACTTGTTGTTCTTCAAGCGATACGCCTGCAGCCGCTCGACCATCATGTCTTTAAGCTCAGTCATGATCTCTTGTTTCCCGAGCTGTAATCTTGTACTTCCGGGGTACTGGGAAAACTTTGAGTCGGTGCTTGCAACGACGGCTGCAATCGAGGGGGCAGCATCTACTGCAGTCTGACCAGGGTGAGTAACATCACCACCGACAAGCATCGTGTCGAAAGGGATGTCCAAAGCTACATTTTGGTTCATCCCTTTGTACTGGACGTTGGCCTTCAGAGCGATGTTTGTGGCGAAACTAATGTCAGTGCAAAGTCCATCAGCTCTGATGACCGTGTTAAGGACGCCGGTCTCCTTCTCGAACAACTTGATGTCAGCCCAAGTGGCTGGCTGTAAGCCCGGTCTGTCTAGTATTACGAAGACGTGCTTCGGTGTAGTCGTCTTTGGTCTCAGCCAGGCGCGGAGAGTTGCAGGCTCCAAGTTTGGAAGTGCTTCGACTTTGGTGAGATGGGGCTTGTAGCTAGGTGTGCAAATCTTGGAGATATTGAGAATTAGCTGTTTACACTTCTTGGAGATGCCACCAAAGTCATGCGCGTCTTGGCGAACCAGAAAGACAGCCTGATCAAACGGATGAGAGGACTTGATCTTGATTCCCTTCAGGTTCCATGAACCTGTCATGCAGTCAATCTCCTTGATGCCTCTGGAATGGTACCTGACATCTGGCGGAAAGAGGACTTTGCCGGAGCTGACCACAAGTGGATCATTAGAAATCTGCAGTAGATCGAGCCCTGCGGGAGTGAGAGCTGGTCGATATTTTTGAGTTATTAGTGCTAGGTTCGCGGATGGGGTCTGGCGCGCCGTGTTTATCATGGTACTGATCAGCTGATGGTCCAGTGTGGCACGAAGAATTTGATGAGGCTCAATCCATAGCAAAGCTGCTGGGACCAAAATGGGGTCTTGTCTAGAACCAACCCACAAGGCAACATGGTTGGAGTAGTTCTGGTCCGGAAGACCGAGACGTGCAAGCCCTTGTCTGATCTTTGCAGGGTCCAGCTCTAGTTCGACCACCGACACGACCTTGCCGTAATGCAGAGACTTTTCCCCGGAGATGCGTTCGTTGCGACCGTTATTGCTGAAGTACATGAGATGTAGACGGATGCCCTTCAAGAGGTTGGCCAAGGTGTGACCATCTGACGCGTCAAACCTGGCGAAGTAGGCACCGATGAGGCCAGCAACCGTACCTTCATTGAAAAAGGCCGAGTTTGCGGCATTGACATTGAGTAGTAGTCTGCCACCCAGTGCAGGTCGGACTGACACATAGAAACCACGGCGTAGATGAAGATCACACGATGTGTTGTTGGAGGCAATGGAGGGTATGAGGATAGGAGGAGCGTCTCTTTCGAAGTAGTTGTTTCTTGCGGCGTTGACCCAGGTTTGGGAAGGTCTCTGTTCGCGCACAGGGAACTGCGACACGATGTTGAGGGGTGTCAAGACATCTGTCTGGTCAAAGAATTCGAGGCCTGGCTGCCAGCCTTCAGCGAGCACCGAGGTGTCCTGATCGGGCAAGCGAGTTATGGTGACTGTGACGATGTGTCTGCTGCCGGGTGGCACTGAATCGTAGTACGACGATAGGCTTTCAGGCTGATCAATCACAAGCTGATGATTCGGAAGCGGTTCTGGACTGATGATGAAGCGTTGATAGTCCGTGTAGTAGGGGAAATTACTGTCACAAAGCACTGATGACTCCGATGGCAGGATGTTTGCGATGATCTGCTCCAGAAGCTCGCGATTGGTGATGGTCTTGGGACCTGTCCTCGAGGGAACGGTAGCAGTGATTGCATACCGACACAGGCGGGGTGGGAGCTTTGTAATTTCAAAGAAGTTTGCCTGGAGAACCAGTTCTGTGGTTCGATAGTTGGCGCGCGGATCGTCTCGATTGAGAACTGGGTAGACAACGACAGGCTGCTGCTCGAGCGCTGACGACATGTCGGCCATGCTGTCCAGACCAGACGCCATGATGTTAATGGTTGATGGAAGGAAGAGATTGTGAGAGAGGGCGTTAATATAGGGAAGTAGTATGGCTTCAGAAGCCTCCGGATTGTGACGGCCTGTACGTGTTGTGAGGGAAGCGACGCTCGACAAAGTGAGGCCTCAGATCATTTCTAGCAGGCACCCATGAATGTTTATCGACTTTGGAAGGTGCCTTCACCAGCTTCCGCCTCTCGCGTTCAACGCTTGTCGCGAGACACAGTGTTTTTGATTACCATAGAATCGTCCATTGAGATGGGTACTTTCGCTTGTTCTCACTGGGAAACCGCCTTGGAACCAAAACATTGTGCTTTTTCGTAGCCTTTTTCAGAAGCTCGGAAGAGCCTGGAGCGAGCCGCCCATGCTCTTTTTTGTTTAAAAACCCACACTACACTGTGTATTTGATGGGTCTAAACAGGACCCGTGGCCTTCTTAAGAGATCAACATTGATGTAAATCCTTGTCTATACGGTCTCTCACAGGACCTCAGCTCATTCTCAGTGATACTCTGCATTTTAACATCCGTGATTCCTGACATTGATGGAGAACAGAAGGCTTCGGCTTCGGCTGGTCGTTGACTCTTTGTGATTAAGGAATTTCCAGAGAGTTCTGTCTCCTTAGACCTAAAAGCAGACAAACTTTTGTATGAACACTGATTGTCCTTGAGAAATGGTCATGTAACTATTCGAGTTCTTAATGGACGCTGTTTCAACACATTCTGCTATGCGCTGTCATAGCATAAACGGGAAGTGCTCTAGACAAAACATCAGTGTCATGTCAGTCTCTCTTTGGTGCTCACCACTAGGAACGATAAGCAATTGATGCGAACGGCAGGATGCCTTCACTGCGACGTCAAGCAAACATTGAGGTCATCGGCAATCGCCAGGCAAACAGCTGGGAATATCCTAGCACCGACCCTTTTTTACGTGATGAGCCTGTTGGCAACTGCCATACCCAGTCGAACTGCGATCATTCTAAGCTGGAGGTGTGTACTTGATGAGAAGAAGCTGAATGAAATGTGGATAAAATGAACGGTGGGCCGATCTCACGGACCGATCGTCGGCCCGCAAACCAGAGCGTTTTCCATCGATGACATCTTCCATATTCGTTGTTTTCGAACAACCAAAAAACCAAAAAGATGGAAGCTCTTTTTAAGCGCCATCAGCTGTCTCTTGCATGGTGCATGTGGTACAGATCACCATGACATCCCTATTGTCCGCCCTTTTTGATGCGACACCAAGACCCGGGCTGCAGCCTGTTCCGAACACCAAACCCTTGACTTTCGAAGCTGCAGTGCTACCTCCGATTATTTATTTTCTTGCGCTACTGTTCCTACCGCCGCCACCACCGCAGTCTTTCGATACTCTTGCGGTAAAGCTGCTTCGTAATGCCCTAGCTTTGCTGGCCGGAGTTTTGTTCTTCCGGTTGCCATTAGCTTACTATGTGCCACAGAGCATCGGGCTGAACTATCAGCTGGCTCTTGTTGGTCTTTACGGCGGTTGCAGAGTCCTGGATGCTTTCTTTATCAGTCCGTATGGCTTTGGACACATCCCTCGTCGGGTCCGCTACAAGCACATATCTCGAGCTCATACGCCTATGCCAGTGGAAGCTGACAATGAGCCTCAAGCCAATGCCAAAGGTGGAGCTAAAGCTGGTGATGACGAACAAACCGTTTCGGACACTGTTTCCGATGCTGTTCAACATGCTCGTCGAGGCTCATTGGCAGACTCGTACTTTGTGCTTGAGAAGAAGCTTTCCGATCTCAGCGAAATGAAGCCGGTGTATGAACTGGCGACTAGCGAAGAAGGATGGCCGCACAACTTCTTTGATCGTGCTTCATGGGCTCTCGAGCTCGAAACCAGTATGCGCGGTATTGGCTTCACGTGGACCACAGCCGACGTGCGACATACTCGCAAGACTTGGTTACCGACCGCCAAAAATCGATTACACTCGATTCTCTTCCATGTCGGTCCTGTCCTGGCAGGTTGTTTTGTCATCATAAGGACCACTTATGTGCAATATCTCGAAGGAGCACCGCAGGCTGATTTTGGCGTTCATACCGAGGATCTGTTCGACAGCCGTCTACCGCTGTGGCTTCAGCTTCTGTTGACTGCAGCTCTGGGTGCTTTTCTCATGGCTGCTTTTTCTGTGGCACACTCAATGGCTGCGATTATGCTCAGTCCGCTAGCACCTTCACCACTTGCATTCTTCCCGCCTCTCTACAGCACCCGTATCTGGGATATCAAGTCTGTACGAGGCTTCTGGTCATACGGCTGGCACAGATTGTTTGCAAGATTATTCCTGGTCTATGGCGTTTGGCCTGGAGAATGGCTTGAGAGGAAACTGACAGGCAAGAGAAGCGACGAGCCAGCTGATATTGGCAAAGTGCTCGGAGGCTTCATCTCATCCGCTTTTGTCCATTCTTTCGCAGTCAGATCAGTGCTCGGAGGAGAGTGGAGTCGTGCTTTGGGAGAAGCCAAGTTCTTCGCCGCCAATGGCTTTGCTGTGGTACTCGAGGAAGGCATTCGACGGCAAGTGATGTCGTGGAGGAAGAAGAGAGGCTTGCAATTGGAAATGTGGTATGATTCTTGGATTGGCCGTATCTGGTGGATCGCAGTCCTCTTATTCAGTGGTAGGAACTTCGCACGAGGTTGGGTGAACGCAGGTTTGGTCAGAGAGATGGCTGGCAAGTAGTCAAGTGCTGCATGTCGTTGAATATCAACGTCTCGGAGATCCTTCCGAATGAAGGATAATGATTCATGAATCAGTAACTTTGAGGAAAATTCAATGTCCTGAGATCCTACAATCATCAGTGTCTGTTGTATTGCGATGTAGATCAGAATGCTAGACACCTGCTGATTGTTTGTCTCAGTAATCTAATCACCTTCACACTCATCACTGATAAGTCATCAAGTGTGAAGCAATGTTGGCGTTGCTTTTCCAGGTATCCCCGCAAAGCTTGCATCTCGAGATCGTCCAAAAGGTTAATCAATTGCCAAACACGGCACTATACGTCATATAACAAAGCCTTGTGATGCAACAGCGAGTACCCATGTACTTTCCGACGTGAATAATAATAGTCTGCCTGAACTGCTGTAACTTCTCTTCTATAGATACATCTTTGCAGTTCTTGTTAAACACCGACTTTACTACACAATCATGTCTTTCGAAGACCCTGAGAAGAAAGACAGTTTAGATCATGGCGATGATATCTCCAGACCGGATACTGGAAGGCGAAAGTCATCAATGTCGAGGCGAAAGAACAGTGCTTATGAAGACCCTTTTTCGCGGAAGGAAGATGTGGACGAGGGTGAGATGCAAGACGCAGAAATCGACTATCAGTCTATGGAGTGGTGGTATGTATGATCAAGTCCTCGAGCCATCAGTTTTACTGACCAAGTTTCAGGCAAGCATCGATGAGTATGTGATGTCTCGAAGTCTCTGTTCTTTCTATCTCTAACAACTAGAAGTTATGATCGCTGAGACCATCTCTCTGGGTATCCTCTCGTTGCCTTCGGTGCTCGCAAGAATTGGATTTGTTCCTGGACTCATCTTGATAGTTGGACTTGGTATCATTGCGACATACACTGGCTGGGTAAACTGCCTCAAAAGCATGTAATGATAGATTGAGCTGATATTTATGTTCTAGGTCATTGGCCAATTTCGAATGAAGTATCCTTGGGTGAGCATTTGAGCCAAAATAATAAGCAATCATGACCAAGAAGCTCATATCATCTAGGTCGTATCATTCGCAGATGCTGGAGAGATTCTCTTCAAGCCGCTCAAGATGGGCGCCATCGGTCGAGAGTTCTTCGGCGGAGCACAAACGATCTTCCTGATCTTCACCATGGCCAGTCACATTTTGACATGGACAATCTGCCTCAATACCGTCACCGATAGTGCTACCTGCACCGTAGTCTGGGCTGTCATAGGATTGGTAGTCTTCTTCATCTTCGACCTGCCTAGGACGCTGAAGAATGTTTCATGGATGTCCATCGCATCGTTCATCTCCATTTTCTCGGCGGTCTTGATCAGCATGATTGCCATTGGTATCCAAAAGCCTAGAGGAAACACACCACTGGCTGTGACTACGGTATTGCCATTCACGGACGCTTTCGTTTCTGTCAGCAATATCGTTTTTGCTTACGCGGGTCATTCATGCTTCTTTGGCTTCCTGGCAGAGATGAAAGATCCTTCCAAAGACTGGACAAAGGCTTTAGTGTTCCTACAGATCTGGGACATCAGTCTATATATTGTTGCTGCAACAGTCATCTACGTCTTTGCTGGCCCGGATGTTAAGTCACCTGCCCTCGGTTCGGCAGGTCCGATCGTGAAGAAGGTGGCATGGGGTATTGCAATTCCGACAGTAAGTCAAAGTCACCTCGCACTTGCATCATTCTGCGTGCTGATTTGAAGCAAGATCATCATCGCTGGTATCATCTACGGCCATGTGGCAGCCAAGTATATCTTTGTTCGCTGCTTCCGCGGTACGAAACACATGAATCGACGCACCAAAACCAGCACGATTGCATGGACAGTGATTACCTTGACTATCTGGGTCATTGCCTGGATTATCGCCGAGTCTATTCCCAAATTCAATGACCTGCTTGGTTTGATCAGTGCTCTGTTCGCATCGCACTTCACATATACTCTCAGTGGTGTATTTGGACTCTTCCTCAACCATGGGCACTGGTTCGACAGTCCCAAGCAGATTTCGCTATTCTGCATCAATTGGATCGTCATTGCCATTGGCGCCACAGTATGTGTAGCCGGACTCTACAGCTCGGGTACTGCGATTGCAGCCGATGGAGGAAATGGATCATGGACATGCGCCAGCAATGCTCAGTAATTTTGTTATCGGAAGAAGCGAAACATATCGTATTTGACATTAATTAGGTAGCTATGATTAACATAACAATCCTTTGCCACATGGGTCTTTTCTGGGATATCATCTGTTTGCGTAAATCGTGAATAGAACTTGCAGGCGGCAAGGGCTCAGTGAGAGGCGACATCTTTTGCTTGTCTCATCTTTACCCAGACGCCATCTGCAGGGCAGCAGGTGAGGGTCAGGCGCATCTTGGGCTCCGCATCGAGGGTCGGTCCCGTGGGCTCGATCTTGTCGAAGCGCTGCAGCAGTCTGACCATAACATAACTAGCTTCAGTCAGAGCAAACTGTTGGCCAATGCAGATTCTAGGTCCTCCGTTGAATGGGAGATAGTCCCATCCTGGTCGCTTGGACGTCCATCTCGATGGCTTGAACTCATCTGCGTCTTCGCCCCAGATATCCTTCCGTCTGTGCATGACGTAGACTGAGTAACTAACATCGGTACCCTTGGGGATGAATATGGGCGAGAGTCCATCTGCGCCACCTCCACGGGGAATGGTGGTGTCGACTAGGGCACGGCGGCCATCCATAGGTACAACCGGGTAAACACGTAGAGCCTCGTTCAGGCAGTGCTGAAGGTATTGGCAGTCCTTGAGAGAAGTGAAGCTTATATCCCTGGGATTTTCGTAGTTGCCAAAGTCATGAATGACAATTTCGCGAAGCTTTTCGAACACCTCGGGATTCTTAGCCAAGAGTAAGAGCATCCAGCTGAGAAGGCAAGCAGTAGTGTCTCTGCCAGCAATCAAGATATTGAGGAGCTGCGTGCGCAGCTCGATGGGATCACGTGTCTGAGCAGCAAGCTCTTCGAGGAAGACAAACTTCCTTGTAGGCGACGGCGCTCGCTTCTCTGATGTCTCGGCATTGAGCGCTTTCTCGACATAGTAGTCAGCGAAGTTGTGTACGTCCTTGCAAAGCTTCTTGAACTGCTTGTCATGGGCCATCCAGTAGTAGTTTCCAAAGCGAGCACCTTTGAATAAGTAGCCTTGAGAGCTGTCAATAGCAGTTCCAAAGACTCTCTCGTCTCGCCACGCAGCAGCAGCACCGGCTTCTCCGCCTCTGATAGCTGCCAGTTGTGTATCGATGCTTTCACCGAACAGGAACTCCGTCGAGCTATCGAGGGTGAGGCGGAAGAAGAGGAGCTGTGCATTGGTCTCGTTAACCCAACCATCTGCGTCAACAGGAAGGGCTTGCATCATGTTCTGAACATGGACTTCCTCGAGATCGAGGTCACTGATGTTGTCACGAGCGAACTGTGGACGAAGAAGGGCTCGCGAGTGCTCCCATCTCTTGCCATCTGATGCAAACTGTCATGTTCGTTAGCAAGGGTAAGTTGACCTGAAGATTGTCAACACATACAATGCCATCACCCATCAAGGGACCGAAGTTGCCAATCCTGGCGGACCCTAGTCCGAAGTCCTTGAATTGAGTTGCCAGCAAAGCTTGGATATTCTTGGGATCCGAAGTGAAGTGAGCCTTGTTCCCCAGAATGGACAGACGCATGGTGTGTACAGGTCTGTTCTCCGATTTCGACAAGACCTCCTCCCGCTCACGGAGATAGGCGGGAAAGCGACCTGCTTTTTGAGCCGCCATCATTTGTTTGATCGTCGAGATGCCCAGATTTGTGGCGGGCCATAGTGGTGCTGGCTCGCAATCCAGCTTGCGTGACTTGATAGCATGTTGTCGGCGAATGTACAACAGACTCACACCTTTGTACAGTATCCAGGAAAAAGAGACCCACAAGAGAGCGTAGAATACAGGAATGCTCGCCATCTGAGAAATTGATGGACTGCAGAGTGCGGAGAGGGATCGACAGGTCTCTTAAGAAAGTGTTCAAGACCCTGAACTTGTCCTGCCACCTTCATGGCAAAGAGCTGAAGGCGCTCGGCTCTCGGTAAAACGCAGTTTGGTTCTGCTCGAGTCATCAGACATGTGGATTGAGAGAGAACGGCCGTAAATGCCCGCCAATGAACGCCATGCCATCGATATTTTGAGTTGGCGACGACACCCAACCGTTCCCTTGTTATCTTGGCCCCAGAAACGGCTTGGGGGGGGATCCACCCTAACAACAGGCATGGCTTGCGAGGCTTCGATGATTCATGCCATAGGACATGTTGGCAGGTATGCATATGCAGAAAGGCATAGGCTGTCTTCTGTGAACCGTAATTCGCGCTCAAGCGAAGTATAGTATCTCTGTACTGTCAACCAGGAAGAGAAGAGGTCGGCAAGAATTGATCAGGCGCGTCATTGAGATTATCCAGCTTTTCTTGGCGCTGTGGGGTAAAACGTTAGGTTCCGGACGATCATTGACTTGAAAGAGTTTCTCTTCCTCTTTCTCTTTTTTCTCTTTCGTGAAATGGAAAGAACAACCGACATGTGGTGTAGAATATTGTCCTGCTTTTCGTGCATCTTGACGGAGCTTTTGTAGAGGTATGTTCATGCATCAGGGTATATCGAGAAACGCCTACACGTACGTGGTGAAATTAAGAACACACAATAAAGCTGTGGTGGTGGCTGCGGACAAACGGCGCCCAGTTCGCGGACCATAACAGGCTTCCGCGAGTGGGCCTCGCATCGGTGCGCGAGCGCGCAAGCACGTTTTCGGCGCGCATAGAAATCCATCGTTCTTTTCCTGTTTTCGACAACACACCCATCACACCGACGGCATGGCTGAGATAACGGACGGTTCATCTTTCGGTGACTGTCGCTCCCTGATAATGAGACACTGAATCTGGGGAGCCGTTCGAGCGAGGTCGTCATTCCGGTCTATCCGTGAGCGCACGTCTTACTTCGAAATATGTCGAACTTTGAGCAGGAATTGGTCACACATCCATTCTGATGTGGTTCTCTCCAGGACACGAGAAGCTTTCTGACACATTCGGTCCTGAAGCTTCCGCTGACAAGACTCGAGAGGACGGATGCGGTGCGACGCTGGTGAACTTAATCAAGCTATGTAACACAGCATGAATCCTTCCAAGCAGACGACTTCGAATCCTTCAGCACTCTCATTGGAGCCTGTTTACCACCAGTTTATCATTTGGCACAACACTATAGACGAATGAGTCAGGAGCTGGATACCTTGGTCAACTTTATCCGTGAAAACGGTATGGACATCTCTAGCCTTCCTCATCTAACGACATTGTTGTTGCGCTTGGCCCTGCTTCCACCATGAAGCTCTTGGTTGTACAATGTAGCAAACCAATTCTGGTACTCCGTACGACCGCTCTCGCCATGTGCTGTCCCGTCGTCAGCTTGAGTGGCATGTATATGCCCGTCAAAATCCTGACTCGGGGTCTCTGCAGTGTCTGTAACAAATCGGGTCAGCTATGCGTGGCTTACAACTCCCTGTCCGAGTGTCTCGCTGCGTCGTGGAAGCATGCAAGCCATTCGCTTCTAGGTAACGCACACAAAAGCCCACGGTTGCAAGCATGATCATGTCCACGCTGGTCACTCGAATCCTCCGCTCCGAAGATCACTGTCAATGCATAAAGAGATGCCTGTGGCCCAGTTATGTCTACCAAGTCAAGCAATACGGATAGCTATCATCATGGCTTATCACGGACATCGACTACTTCCAAGTTTCATCGACCAAATTGCATTGGAAACCCCAAAATTGAGTTTTGTCGAAGTGCCCAAGTCTGCCAACATCAGCGAAGGGAGCCGCAAAATCACATATGATGTTCTTGCGAGGGCTGTCGACAAATGCGCTTGGTGGATACAGCAGGAGCTAGGACAAGGCCATGGATTTCCGGCATTGGCTTATGTTGGTCCTCATGACCTCAGGTATCTCTTTCTAGTCTTCGGAGCTTGTAAAGCTGGGTACAAGGTAAGAATTCTGAGCAGTTCTGCTTGATTAATCTGAACATGAAACCGCAGATGTTCTTTGCTTCCCCGCGAAACAGTACGGCTGCCTTGCTCGACTTACTTGCTCAAGTTGGATGCGAGATATTCCTAACGCCTGTTGACGCTCCTGTGTATTCAAACCTGTTGATAAGTGTGCTTGCGGAAAGACCAATGACGACTCTCAGCTTTCCGGATCTTGAGCACTTCTTGGACGTTGGTGACGGTTTGAAGCCGTATCCTTGGAACAGAACCTTTGAGGAAGTCAAACACGATCCGCTAGCCGTCTTCCACACATCCGGAAGCACCGGAGTGCCCAAACTGGTAACCATGAACCACGGCGCAGTAGCTGCTCTGGATGCCTTTAGGAACATTGAGACTCTGACTGGTGAACAAATCCAGACCAACTCTTATCTCGGCAAAAGGACGCTTCTGTTGTTCCCCATGTTTCACGCCTCGGCTCTCAGCACTCTATTCTTGTCCATCTGGAACACCATTCCAACAATCTTACCACCTCCAGTGCCTCTCACTGCGGACCTTGCAAACGACATGCTCGTCAACTGTAGTGTTGAAGTCAGCATCATGCCGCCGTCGATTCTGGCAGACATGGCAGCCAACCAGGAGTATCTCGAAAACCTGTGCAAATGCAGCAGCGTTATGTACGGAGGAGGACCACTGCCCACCGAGGCTGGTCATCGCATCGCTTCAAAGACGTCTCTCATCACTGTCTTCGGGGCTTCTGAGACCGGCTTCTTCCCCGTTGAAGTCATGGAAGGTATGGACTGGCCATATGTCAAGCTTAGTCCTTGTTCTGGCGGCGTTCATCGTCTCTATGCGGATGGTTTGTACGAGTTGGTCGTTGAACGAAATTCTGAACTGGAAGAGTATCAACCTGTCTTCTGGATGTACCCAGACTTGCAGGAATATCATACCAAGGACCTCTTCTCAAAACATCCGACTAAGCCAGGTCTATGGTTATGGCAAGGTCGCATAGACGACATCATTGTTCTTAGCAACGGCGAGAAGTTCAATCCAATCTCGATGGAGGACATGATCATCAACAGTCATCCGGCAGTCGAGTCAGCGATTGTCGCTGGCCAAGGTCGCATGCAATGTGCTCTACTCGTTGAGCTGTCGTCCACCGATTCGAGTGAAGAGGATAGATCCGACAAAGAAGTTGTTGAAGAGCTATGGCCTGCCGTTCAGAAAGCGAACGAGAGTTGTCCCGAGTATGGGCGCTTGATGAAGGACATGGTGATTGTTGCCAAGCAAGGCAAAAGAATGGTTCGAGCCGACAAGGGCACTGTCCAGCGGAAGAGGACACTTGAACGCTTTGCTGCCGAGCTTGATCAGCTTTATCACCTACGTGATGGCCCTGATGCTGCTTACGCCAATTTCTACCGTCCGATGGATCTCAACAGTGTCAAGGAGTCTATCGCACGAATTGTTCGAGGCATTCACAGGTACGAGACAATTCAAACCAACACAAATTTCTTCGAGATTGGACTGGATTCGCTACATGCCATAACGATGGCTCGACACATCAGGACTGCTTTTCTCAACTCATCACCGCCAGTCACAACCAAAGTCGTCTACGATCATCCAAGTATCGACCTCCTTGCGTCTTTTGTTTGCGGGACAGTCAATGGACAAGAAGAATCTATAAAGACCATGCAGAGATTGTACGAACGTTACCTTCCAGCACACGAAGAGACTACGCCTTTCGACAAACCTAAACTAGCCACTGTCCTCCTCGTTGGCTCAACCGGCCATTTTGGCACTCAACTCATGGCTCAGCTCTTACGCAGCAAAGAAGTCGGAACCATCTACTGCTTGAACCGCGATCCGGATGCTAGATCGACGCAGTCTGGTCTCACTCTGCATGGAGACGTCATTTATCCGAAAAACGTCAAGTATCTCTATGCAGATCGCTCGCAGCCACGCTTTGGGTTACCCGAGAAACACTGGTTTCGTTTGCTGAATAATGTCACACATGTCATACACAATGCATGGCCCGTTGACTTTTGCATGCCATTGTCTCACTTCGAGCCTAGCATTCGCATGACTGCAGAGCTGATGCAGCTATGCAAGTCTGGAAATTTTGCGCCAACTTTTGTGTTCATCTCGAGCATCGGCTCTGTCATCGGAAATGACACGCCTCTTGTCACTGAGGAGGTCGTTCATGACTGGCTGGCGGCGGAAAATATGGGCTACACGCAGTCGAAACTTGTGGCGGAGCGTCTCATTGCTACTGCTGCTACAAAGACGGGCGTGAAGAGTGCAATATGTCGCGTTGGTCAGCTCGGCGGCGTCTTAAACCATGAGGTGTGGGGTGATGAGGTACCGCATTGGCCGGAGAAACAATGGCTGCCTGCTATGCTGGCTTCCTCCATTCGACTGGGCGCTGTCCCATCGTCGCTGGCCTCTCTCAACAGAGTTGATTGGCTTCCTGTTGATGTTGCAGCGGCTACTGTCTGCGAATTGATGTTGGCTATCCCTACTACAGCCGATATATGCAATGTGTACAACATTGTCAATCCACAACTGACAACTTGGGATCATCTGTTGTCAGAGTTGAAAGCCTACAAAGATCTGGAGCGAGTCACTCTGGCCGACTGGGTCGTGCTGCTGAAGAAGAACATTGATGGTGGACAAGTTGATGTTCCAGCTGCAAGCTTGGTCGAATTCTTCGAGGGCGCTTGTGAGTCCGAAACTCAGAAGCCTTTGGTTGATTGCTCGAAGAGTATGGCTCTAAGTCCTACTCTGAGAGGTACACAGGCTATCAGTGTTGAGCTCATGGAGTGTTGGATAAGTCAATGGAGTTTCAGTGGTTGAGCATCTCATGTAAGAACTACCTTATTCCTAGAATGCCACATTAGGACCATGTTATGGTATACTGAGCATTTGTTGACCTTTTCCTTTTTTTCTTTTTGGGCTGACCGGTCTTGTAGTTTTTGTAGTATCTGACAGTGCGCTACGGACGAGGGGTGACAATAGGCGACGTGGGACCGGAGATTCCCTTGAAGTACTTGCGGTCCATATGAGGCTCCTCTTCGGTGAAGACCTCATCTTCATTGACCTCTTCTTCGGTGGAGACCTCCTCTTCATTGACCTCGTCTGCGGGCGTGGCTTCCTGGTAATCTTCTTGGCCTCGATAGTGGCATCATCTTCTTCTTCGGGAGTAAACTTCTACTTGTCGACTTTCTTGGACTTGTTGGCGTTGTCCTCCTTCGCATCGAGCCCCTTGCCCTTGTTGACGGCGTCCTCTTCGTCAGTCTCCCCGTCAGAGGGCACGTGGTCCTGGGTTCCACTGGTGGCGACAGTGGGCATATCGGCAATTCTGTCGGTTTCGTCATCTGTCGTTTCGCTTGTGTCAGTCGAGCTTTGTACTTCTTTTACTGCCTCCCGGTGTGCTCAAATTTGTAACATCGACTCTCAAGCCGCAGCAACGCGCATTAATAAGCGCATAAAGATGCACGCTGGTAATGAGCAATAGCACGTCGTCCACAGGAAGCGATACTTGGAGGTCTTCTCTTTGGACCTAGGTCCACTCATAGAAACCATCGTGCATTTCCACAGCAGTAACAGTGACAAACTCAAGCAAACGGGGAGGTGGATTCGACTCACCGTTGATGTTACCGTAAAGAAGCTTTTCGCCCTTCTTCAGCTTGAGCGTGCCAGCCTTTTTCTTGCCCTAAGGTCTGCGAGCTCCTCCATGTCGCGCTCAGCGCGGCGGAGCATTCCTTCTGCCTCCCACAGTAAGCCGTGGACGGCTGCCTTTGCTTCGGGGGTGCTTCCAGGACCAAAAATGTCACGGCCTTTTTGAGCGATGCGAACAGCTTCTTGGGCATGATGAAGGTAGTTGGTCTTCCCACTAGACAGCACGATGTGTGCGCGAGCGCGAATGGCTAGAGGAAGCTCTGCATGCTCGAGCAGTAGATGAGCTATCTCGTGCGCTTCGGTGGCGCTCTGTGCGGTGTTTTCCTCGGCCAGCGCCATCATTTTGTCGTGGAAGGCAGCCATGACTTTCTCGCTGTTCTCGTGGATTGATGTTTCGTGGTTGGTGACATGCTGATGAGTGCCGTGGTTGTGGTCATGCTCATGCTCGCGGGTACCGTGCTGCGGTGCAGGGACATCTTCGGTGGGTACAGCTGCCTGCTGTGCAGGGGATGTGATGTGATCATTCATCTTCATTGTCGGGTAGGTAAAGTTGATTTTCGCTTTCTGTGCAATCACGCTGTGATAGAACAGCAAGAAGAGGAGAAGGTGAAGTTGGCATGAAAAATGATCAGAGTCCGGGGTTGCAAGTGACGAGACAAACGACCTCACTTACGATGTCACAGTTCCGGCACAAGAAGGTTTCTTAATCTTGCCACAACATGAACACCGCGCCTTTCCAAGTTGTTCACTTGTCAGCCGTGTCGCCCCTTCAAGTTGGCATCCGCATTTTGACAATCCTAACGGAAGAATTAAGACTTTTTCAGTGGATTACCGAAGAGGTACCTACACTCTCGACGGCAGCTATTCGATACAGAGCGTATTCAAGCAGAAGGTCGTTTACCACAATTCAACAACTTCCACCGTCATCTGTAGATCTCTTTGCTTCAGATCTTGCCAGCAACAAATTAACGAATGCCATACTTGTCAGGGCTCGCACAGTGGTTCTAGCCAACCACACCCACTACTCATACACACTGCCAGTTTTCACTTTTATCTCATACGGCCCACTGTCACAACGGGACCAGCACTACCGTCTACTCTCTAGAGAGGTCCTCCAACTCGTGAACAACAACTCCATTGTCGCGTTCGTTTTCCTTGGGGTCGCGCTGCCAGCACTATCATCGTCGTACAATAATATTATCTTCCCTTGCTACTTGTCCTCTCAAGTCAAAGCGCCTCCTCACTTTCTGTCGTCATCTTTTCCTGCCTTCCTACATCGCACGCAATAATCGGTGTTCACCAGATTAGGCCCCCTTCACGATGGCTATCGGAGCCCTTGGCTACCCTACAGGCTACGACCAGCCTACGCAAAGCTCCGTGAGCAAGCAAAAGTTCAAGAACAGCCAGAGCCCTCAAGACGACGATTTTGAATCGCCTCCCAAGAAACCACCTACCAAGTCTGCTACACAAGCCCCCGAAAAGCCTCCCAGCAAAGCCGCCCAGAGTACAGCTAAGGACCTTGGTGATCCGGACGAGTCTAGTGAACCAAGGAAGGCTGCGAGGAAGTCCAGAACGAAGAATAACGACAAGAAGCTGTCTGATGAGTCTAAGGGGAAGGAAAAGGAAATATTCATAAAGAAGAAGAAGAAGAAGAGAAAGCCCAAGAAGAAATCGGGTCAGCGGGACGCTCCATCTGATAGCGATGATGAAGATGGCAAATGGGGCGTTGGGCAAGTCAAAGGAGTCTTAGTAATTAAGATTCTCACGCAAAGCCGCTCATGGGGAATATCAAAGAAACAAAGTACAAAAAAAGAATGCTATCAGAGATCTCAGGATGTAGGAATGTTACTTACAAGTTTTTGAGTTGAACCGAAGTTCCCGGGGGTGCCCCCGACAGTTACCCGCTTCAGCGCAGACAATCCTTGTGTTTGCAAGATCTTATCTTCACTTCTACGGTTGTTAGAATTTGGCAAGGAAAGAGAAGCTCGTGTTGGCAAGACTGCTCGATGCAAGTTAGTTCTTATTCTAGACCTTTCGGTCTCGTCGTTGTTGTCTGGTGCGCAACTAGTGAATGGATCCTGCAGTGAATCGAACTCGAGATCTCTAGTAGCGGTCGGCCGTGTAGGTTAAAGTGGATTGTTGGAGGAGTAGCAAGATTAATGGATATGTGATGGTTTAGGCAGGTGCTACCGATCAATCTTCATCTTTGCCCGATCTAGGGTATCTCTTTCTCTAGCTATCTCACTACGATGGCCTTCTTTTTACACCATCCACTTAATATCACGTCTGCGCCTGCGGGAGGTGATTATTCAGGGACTGTAGGACCATAGACTGACAAGAAATGATCCATGGGCCAAGTTGTGATCGCGTGACTGCAAAGCGATGTTAGCACGTCTTCACCACGAGGAAGCCTAAAACCGTTTCACTCCGGCTGTAGCTCTCGACACCCCAAAAGGATATTGCAAGTGATAATACGAAGTCACAATACCCAATCACTTTGCGGGAAAGGACTACCCTCCAATGCTTGAAACAACATAACATTGGAAGTCACGGGCCAAATCAACAACATCGACACTCCTGAATGCCATAGCACCAGATCATGCTAATCATGACTCCGCTCAGGTAACCTCACGGAATCAATCACCATAGCATATCTTTTGTCATTACAAACTACGAGAGTAGAGTAGCTCTTCACAAATCGTTTCAGCTTCCTTCGAATCTAAGACACAAATACAGTCTTCATTCACGATATTCTCAAACAATGGCAGTGAGTACCTCCCGGAAGCCTGGAGATTACGGCACACTGTGACTCCAACAGCGTTTGTTCAAGCAGTAGCACTCTCGAGAGTGAGAAAAAAGGAAGACTGCATTTCTAGCAGCCACGGCAAAAAAGAAACACTATGTGAAGGAATACATCGACTTACGATGATACGTCTGACTAACCATTGACCCTCAGACGACCTGGAAACTCTAGGCGGGTTAACCCAGCTCAAGAAGGAGAGAAGTGCTCGTGTTTGCGAGGTCACACTCTACCAACTCTCGCCAGATCCTCCAGCATGCTCCAGAGTAAGTAGAAACTTGTGTTGGCAAGGACAACTAGTTACCTGGGTCCTCATTCGAGAACGTGAGGCGCGGGGTTTTTGAGGCCACCGCGATTGGGCCTTGAGGTTTGACCCTGCAAGGTGAAAATCGAACTGGTGAGGAACCTGGGATGGAATGTTAGCGGGACTGGTGAAGGGGGTGGTTCGAATGCGAGATCTCTGGTAGCGAGTTGCCGTTCGGCTAAAGGGACTGTTTTGGAGAATTGCTGGATTGGTTGATGTATGTAGCCATAGGAAAGTGATGGGAGGCGTGGCGTTTGCTTGAGACAAACGAGGGGGCCAAGTCAGCTGACCGGGTAGCAAACAATTCTTCGTCAGACTCAACCGACCATCTCGCACTGTAGACCAATCTGTCTCATTGGAGCATTGATAAGAGAATCTTCTATACCTGACAGAGACTCTAGTCTCGTCGCCCTGAATACAAACAACCCATTCGAATGTACATACCATAACTCATGAACTCATCTACATACATATCCAAGACATCAGTCTTGTATCTCAAACACAGTCTCACCTTCTCCGTCCAACACTCTGGTCTTAATGGCCAAAGTTGACATTGCCCTTGGCGTTGGCCTTTGCAAACGCTGCGTTCTCCTTTTGCCACTGCTTGGAGTACCTGACTCCAAAGCCGCGCTGGAATACCTCTCTGATAGCCTCAAGAGGCATACCCTTACACTCAGGGTAGCAGAACATGACAAAGACCCAGCCAAGACTACAAATGCAAGCGTAGAAGCCGAATGCGCCTGAAGGAGTGAGGCCCTTCATCATGGAGAGGAAGGTAGAAGAGATGATGATGTTGGTACTCCAGCAGGTAACGGTATTCAGCATGGTTCCTACAGCACGGACCTCGGTAGGGATCAATTCAGTGCCAATCCAAGCGATCGTGGCGACACCAGAGGAGAAGAAAGCGACGTAGCAGATGATGCAGATCAAAACCATAATGGCAGGCCAGCCAGTAACATTGCTGGTAAGCTCCAGTGTCTTTGCGTTGATGGGGATGTAGTGGAAGCTGACAGCGGCAATGAGCATGCAGATAGCCATGCCCAAGACCGTAACTTTGAGGATGCCGCGACGGCCAAAGCGATCGACGAGGACAAGGTTGACGATTGAGAAGAGGAAGTTGGTGCCCGAAACGACGATGGCGACAGCGGTAGCGTTGGAGAAACCGACGAGACCGAAGAGGGTGGCACTGTAGTACATGAGTGTGTTGAAGCCACCGAGTTGAGAGACTGTGAGTTGGTTGGTTAACCGTTTCGGGTACAAGGTTATTGAATCGCGTATACTTACTAGCCATAATAGCGCAGGCGGTAAAGACAGCTCGAGCAGTGGCAGGGGTGGTGAAGATGCGCTTTGAAGTCTTCCAGAGGGACTCGTCAGCCATTGAGCCCGTCTGTTCGTGGATTGACGCCTCGATGGATCTGATCTTTGCCTGGCGCATCTGTGTGGTAGAAGTGGGGTAGATCTTGAGAAGACAGGCTTCGGCGAGCTCCATTCTGCCGTGAGCGACCAACTGTCTGGGCGATTCCGGGCAGAAGTACAAGAGAACAGCGAGAATGATTGGTGGTGCTCCTCCAATGGCGACCGTTGCACGCCAGCCATCTCCCTTCACGTGGGCAAAGCCAGCGCCGATGCCTGACGCGATGAGTTGTCCAAGGGTGACGCTCATGTTGTTGAAGGCTACCATTCTGCCTCTGTAGCGCATTGGAGAGATCTCGGCGATGAACAACGGGCAGATACACGCTGCTGAGCCAACCCCCAGTCCAACGACGAAGCGACCGATGGCGAATTGTGGGAGGTGGAATGCGGCAGCTTGCAATAATGTTCCAATGACAAAGACGACACAGGCGGCATAGACTAGACATGTGTCAGATCCCCGCTTTAGATTCGAGGTCAGGCAGAATACATACTAGGCATCTTTCTTCCGTACTTGTCGGCGACCAGTCCAGCAAATACAGCACCGACAAGCGCTCCTCCAGAGGTGATGGATGTCACCAGCTCCTGCTCACTGGTGCTGAGTTCATGACCCAGGGACGTGCCGATGGTGACAAGAACAGAGGATATGTAGCCGGTATCGTACCCTACAAATGTCAGTCGTAGTCGAGTCATCCTGTCTGGTGCAAATGCTGACCGAAGAGGAAACCTCCGATAGACACGGTCATGGCAATCAGCCATGCTGCCTTGGATGCTGCAGTAGTTTCGATATTGTCCAATTCGGCTTGTTCATCCGAGAAGGTGTCCACTTTCTCCAGCTTGTCGATGAAGACGTCGTCCTTGACGTCTTTGAACTCTTTGTTGTTGATGGTAGACATGGCGTCTGTAGAGAGTCTATATTCTAATCAAATTGAAGTAGAGAATAAAGTGTTGGTGTCCTTTATGGTTGGTGTGTCCGTTGAACCAGAGAGGACGTTTGGTTCTTTATATGTTGATCTCAGAGGCCGACGAGTCGCTAGCTCTGGTCCGGATGCCGGGTTGTTGGAGAGGAGAAAATTCCCCAGATTTCATTACCCCAGGCGGGGAAGGCACGATTGCGGTTGTGGCGGTGGTGTTATCGGAGCAAGAGCGATATAGCAGGTGAGCAGAACACGAGGGAAAGCTGGACCATTCTGTGATCGTTTGTGACCGCGCCAGATCCCGCATTTCATGCCGAAAGCCATGTCAGGTCGGACAAACTTTCCCTCAAAAGAGGGGTCGCTTCCTTCTTCGAGACTGCAAAGCCGTTGGCACAGGAGAAACTTCCCAGTTGAGGATTCAGCTCTTGACCGAGCACTTGACTCTCCTTCTGGACAACATACCCGACGATATAGCGACCGGTATCAATCACTTCACAGGAGTCTTACCTATCCGAGTCCTGTCAGGTTCCCTTAGCATTAGCTTGCTAAGGGAAACAGACTTGGGCCCGGATACCGTGTTTTCCCTTGACCAATGCGACCCACGTCATAGGCTAAGGACAACCAAATACTAAGAACACACGAGAACAGCCTGCAGGAAAAGTAGCAGAGCTGAGCGGTGCCCAGCGTTGGCTGTAGCAGTCGAGGTGCGGACACAGCTGCAGCTATGCGGACAATGATGGACTGCTTCCATCCGTACAGGGTGTCTTTGCAAAGAGCCAGAGTGGCAGAGTGGCCAGGACGGCCCTTAGGAAGGTCCGAGCTTTGCCGAAGTTATGGCGAACATTTTGTCAGTGCGCGGGAATAATAAGCATATCATCATTCCATCAATCATTCCTACAATATGCCTTCTGTCCCACGAAACATGAATTGATCAAGCAACTGGGCATAGTAGCTGTCGATTGATTCGTCCAGCACCTGTCGACGCGTCTATCTCGAAACATCGCGACATAGTAGGTTTCATGGTATAAGCGACAACCTGAATGGTTGTTGATTGAGGCTTCGTCTATCTACATAACAGCAGACCCCGGCTCTTCTCCCACTTCGGCTGCATGTTGATCACGCTTCGAACGGGTCCTTTTGGCTGAAGACCTCCAGAAATATCAACATCTTGCTGATTCTCCTCACCCCCATCTTACCCACAGAGCCAGAGTCGACCAAGCGTATCCTTCTTCAGACCCAAGCACCCGAGAGTCGCTCCGCTAGTCGTCAAGGATTCCATCAATTCAGGCCGTTCTCACCGACCGTGTCGCCAATGATACTAAAGATCTTGGTTGGAGCCCAGTACTGTATCTACTCGTCCCCCAGGATCCATCTGCTGCAGACGACGCACTTGATACCTGTCAAGCGGACATTGTTGCCGAGTTGCTTGGATGCATAGCAGTTCATGCCACATTCTTCGCTGGAAGGACTTTGGTGGCCACACTTCAGGGTATGAAGTTCCTTGCTGCAGAACGGAGCCACCTGCTTGGCTGGTTCAGTATCTCCAGCCACAACTTCAGTATCTCCAGCCACAACTTCAGGCATGTCTCCAGTCTTCATTCTCGCGTTCAGACTATGGCGCATCATGGCCAAGAGCCACTTCTTGAACACAACAGGCCACTTTCTGTTCTCTTTTGTGTTCTCTTTCGAATTGAGCATCCAGCGTAGCGCAGCTAGCGCCTGGGAACTCTCAGGCTCAATCATGCCGAGATCTTCAACAATTCTGACAAACTCGAGTTCAATCTGCGCCCTCGGCTTGTGTGCAACGTCCATCACGATATCATCGATACGATCTCCAAAGGCTTTTTTACGCTTTCTGGAACCTTCCTCGTGGGGTGTCTGTCGCTTCCGAGAGTTGAAGGGTTCCGGGGTTGTGGACCTGGACCCAGCGCTAGGCTCAATCGCGAGAAGCTCACGCATAGCTCGAGGCATAGCGTCGAAATCGAAAGTATCTGTCTCCTGGGAGGCTTCGAGGGGGGAAGAAATCATCTCCTCGGAAGTATCGAGTTGGTAGGTCTGGTCTAGGTCGGTTTCGGCCTCCCATTCCCCATCGTCCAGAGGAGGATCAGTACTGTTGGACGACTGCAACAGCTCGATCTGCGGGTTTCCTGCCGATCTATTCAGGTCGATGAAGGGCCTTCCACGTCCTGACGACTCGACGCGGCCACTGGCAATTATTTGAGAGTTCCGACTTGTGCTCGACTTTGTGGAATTCGATTCAGGGCTGACTGATCGAGAAGACGTGAGTAGTGCTGCGACTTCGGGTAAAGTCTCCTTGCTGCCTTGGATATGAGCGTCGTCGGATGCTGCTCTATCAACCGCCTTCGACTCGGGTACTGAGGGGACAGCGAATTGCATGATGAGATCTTCGATCAGAGCCTGATTTCTGGAACGCTGGGCTTCTTCCTGAACTTGTCGAGCTTGCAGAACCTGTTCAGCTTGGTGAGTCTGTAAGATTTGCTGGGCCTTTTGAATTTGTAGGGCCTGCCGAGCTTCCTGGGCTTGCTGAAATTGCTGCACTGGCTGGACCTGCTGCACTTGCTGGACCTGCTGCACTGGCTGGACCTGCTGCACTGGTTGGACCTGCTGCACTGGCTGGACCTGCTGCACTGATTGTGCTTGCTGAACTGGGTGGACTTGCTGGACAAATTGTGCTTGCTGAGCTCTGGCAGCCCGGTCAACCAAATCGCCACTTCTGGATGGATGAATCTGATGCATGCTGGCATGAACACCTGTGCCTCCCATGGCATGTACGCGTGGAGCGCTCTTGCGGGAAGCGAGGAGTTGTTGATGATCATTGGCAACAATGCCAGCTGCTCCGACATGCTGCGCAGGTGCAGCTCCATCTCTTGGTGGCTGCATGCTTTGGGCATTTGCGTGGACGCCAGCTCCTCCCCAAATGGGCTGCTGAAGGAGAAGTCCGTGTCTGGATTGTTGAGCTTGTTGGACATTGGCATGGACACCGAATCCTTCGGTCCATGCGAGTTGAATGTCCCGACTAGAAGGTTGATCGCGTTGCCAACCAGCTTGGCTATCAGCTCTTCTCGTGATCTGTGCCTGTGGACCGCTTCTGTTGGCTGGATGGACGTCTTGAGCAAGGACACGAGCACCGGTGCTTCCGAAGCTCTGCTCGAGAGGAATACCATATCTGGAAATCTGAGTTTGTTGGCCACTAGCATGGGCACCGTTTCCTCTGGGGATCTGCGCATGCTGGGCGGCCATGACAGGAGTCTGGACGTGCTGAGGACTGGCATGCACGACTGATCCTCCAACGTTTTGCTGACGGTTACCTCCAGAAACGAGCTGTGTTGGGGTGGATACGACCGCCCGGAGTCGCTTGTTCCGTTCTCTCATCCAAACGCGAGGGTTTTTTCCATTTGATGGCTGGGCTTGTATGGTATTATGCTCAGCAGCAGGAACCGGATGAGCCTGACTGCGAGCAGCCTGGGCCTGAGCAACCTGGGCCTGAGCAAGTTGAGCCTGTCGAGCTCGAGACGCCATGATGTGAGTCAATGCGGCCTGAGTAACGTCCTGGGGCGTAGCCAGGAGCTGAGGAGCCTGTGCGAGAGCAGCCTGAATCTGTGCAGCTTGTCCTTGAGGCGCCTGCATCCGAGCTGTCTGCATTCGGAAAGTCTGTATCTGAGGAGCCTGACCGCGATCAGCCTGCATCTGAGCAATCGCGGCCTGAGGAGTTTGGAGTTGAACAGCTTGATTTTGCGCAGCCTGGATAGACAGAGCCTGCGTTGAAGGAGACTGTCTTTGAGGGCCATGCATTTGTGGAGTCTGCATTCCGGGGGGCTGCATCTGAGAAGGCTGTGTGTGAGCAGCCCAGACCGGAGCAATCTGGGCATGGGGGTCCTGGATCTGAGAATTGTATCCTTGAGGAGTCTGCATCTGGGGACTCTGCATCTGGGAGGTGTACATCTGGGACGTCTGCATCTGGGGAGTGTACATCCGAGGAGTCTGCATCGGGGGAGCCTGGTCGCGTGTCGCCTGAATGCTGTGGAAATGTCTTGGAGGCGCTGACACATGAGGTGTCTGCGTTTCCATCTGAGTAGCTTGTGCGCGAGCAGTCTGTGTCTGACTACCCTGAAGCTCTAGCCTATGCGCATGTCCGAATTGCGGTGAGCTCTGAGGCTGGGGTGCCTGGTCTTGAATGGATGACAGCAGCGCACCGGCACGATCAGGAAGAGCCAAGTTCGCACGTACATTGTCTGCGTGTTGTTGCCACATCTGAGACACAACATCTTCGGGGGGTCCATAGGGGTTTGGAGGTAGGCTAGAAGAGCCTTGCCAGTCATGAGGTGGCGAAGACATGTCGTCGACCGAGGAAGTGGATGTGGTGAACGTTTTCGGTTTTGCAGACGAAGAATGCAGGCTGCTGATAACTTATCGTGGAAACTGACCAAAAGCGAGATCTTCAGTGATGACAAAGATCTTTGCTTCCGTATTGTCGGATTGGTTGTTGTCGAGTCGAGTGAGTTGCGATGTTCGCGCGGTGTGAAACTCAGGGCTTTGCTCGGAAATAACACCAAGGTATGTGTCGAATGCTGCAGGCTTTCGGCGGTCTTTCGATCAACTTCGAATGACACAGGCAGACGACTTACTGGTCTTCCAATGCTCGAGTTCGAATACGCGAACGTTCTGTCGAGTGGACAAAACAAATGTGCAGTACTACTTTCGACCTCCTGATCTTCGACCTACCGCCCAATTCGACCTAGACCGACGGACACGCCGAGCTTTTGAACTTCTACACGATTCCGGAACCACAAGACACTCGCCAGCTTCACTACTTATTCAGACTTTTGTTTCCTACAATTTCTCTCCCAAACACATCGACGCGTGACACCAACTTTCGTTACGTAAATCGCAATGTAGGCACTCAGGATACATCTCTGTACTGCTCACACTAACATATCGCAAGTATGGACAAGCCTGATCTCAAGCTCGACACTTCCGTCGATGACGCCCTCTTGTTGACCATCAAGCGTGCTGTTGTGATGAAGCTCAAGGACGTCGTCAGCCACCTCGTCTACGAAATGGCTCAGAATGACCCTGAGATCCATGCTATCGAGCAGAACATCAACGCAATGCTCTCTGACGCTGTCCACATCGAAGTAGAGACTCGCGTCAAGAAACGCCTCGAAAATGCTGCTTCTCCCGCCGCAGCTGAGCACGCGCTCCGTGCCCAACTTGAGATGGTACGTATTGCGCATCAGAGCATGATCCCTTCTCAAGGTTGACAATGTCCTCAGGCCAAGAACACCTTCGCCACCAAGGAAAAGGTCATCGAACAGCTGCAAGCCCATATCGACCGTCGTGCAATGTACTTCCAGACCTTTGATGGTCTTCTTGAGTCTGCATGTGCTGATGGTGGTGAAGACGGTCTCGGCGCTGGCGGTCCCCTCACCAACCTCCTCAACTTCGCTCATGACCTGAACGATAAGGACATTGAAGTCTTCGAACAAGCCGTCGAGGATCTTCAGCAAGGTCTTGTCACTAACGACTCCATCACTAAGATGCAGGACGAACTCGACGAGATGATCGTCAAGGAGGACGGCGCTACCAAGGAAGGCGCCACTGAGTAATCTGGGTCAGTTCACATCGAGTAGCTTCCCTTCAAAGTCTGCCGTTTGTCATTGACACGTCGGCGTCTACGCTTTCCTCACGCATGTCCACGCACATAGACCTTTTACTTCACAGCAATAAATCGTCTTGTTCACCACACATCGTCTCTGACTGAAGTTTCATCTCTGGTTACTTCTTGATAATCACTTCACCACCTTGGTTAAAGTTCTGTAATATATACAAGTGACATAGCTACAATGGCAGACTTAGATGATGGTTCGGATCCTGTGACGATCAAGGTGTTGTTTCAAACTCCTGAGGAAGAACTTCCCACATCAGTCTTCGTCAAGCGAGAAGGCCATGATCCTAAAGAGGAGGAGATGCTCGAGGTGAGTCGTAGAATGAATGTAGTCCGCGAACCCGAACGAAACGACCGGGGTATGTGCTTCCCAGGAGAAAGGCTGTGCTAAGTTCGAAGACGTCGAACGTAGTACTGAGAAGCAGCTTGAACAGCCCGATTGTTACTCTGACCACACCTACTACATCCATCGCAATCAGACCTCCTACGACAGCAGCGCATCATGAAGGATCTTGGTACATCCAGGAGCAATCCTTTCGACCTCTCCAGACGACCACGATCATTTGCAACAAATCCAGAATCAAAGAGACAAAAGAAAGATGTCAAGGAAGCACAACGCGTGACAACGAGATCTTCAACGCGAGCTTCCGGGCTTACAGATTTGGTCGATGCTCCAAAGAAGCCGAGAAAGCAGAGACAAGATGTCAAGGACACACCATCTGAGACATCTGAAGAAACATCATCGCGCCCAAACATGCGCGCACAACCAGAACCCACCTTTGCAGACTTGATGACTGGTTTTGACACCAAGTTGCCTGTGCAAGCAAAGAGTAGTCCTCCACCATCAAACAACAAGCAACCTGCTCCACAAATGTCCATTGACAGTGCCAATATTGATGGGCCTCTGGCTGCAGGCAAACGTGAATCTGTCAACGACATGCCTGCATCAACACAGCCTTTGTCTGTCCATCCTTCGGCGCCTGATGAGCAGTTGACCACGGAAATCAATCAAGTTGCAGCATCTCCTGCTTCTTCTCAGCAGCCTGCTCCTACTCTCGAGTCTGGAGGCATAGATGATACAGCTGATCTCCCCGAGCATCCTCCCACCTCAGCCTATTCCGCACAAAGTGAGTTCCTCAATCCCAATCCACTGGACATGTGATTGACAACAACAAGTCTCAGAGCAAATCGATGGCTTCATCTCAGAAGCCCTCGGACCAGCTATCGGCGACCAGGTCCGCAACATCTTCAAGAGCGCCATGTTTAACATGAGCCTGTGGATTGTATGTTTTCACTGCTGTCTTCACTCTTGCCTTGACCTTCTTCTTCCCTACCTCTCTCTTCCTGTCCCCCTCTGCGTCTCTTCAGCCTCCAGCTTACTAACCCTCACAGCTCCAACACCCACCCACCTTCGCCACACCGTCTCTCACCCTACCTCTCACCTCTCTCATCAACCTCAACGAGAAAAACTCCCGCGCCGCCAACAAATCCCTTGAAGCAGCCCTAGATTCCTACAACCTCACAGACGTCAATTTGACACCCAAAGCCATTGAACACTATCAACTGCTCGACAAGCAGGAAAAAGAGAGACAGGAGTTTCTGGAGGGTATGGTTGAGATGTTACGTGCGCCTGAGAGAGCTGAGGAGAAGATTGTAAAGGAAGTCATGGGGATGAGGGATGAGATGTTGGTGAAGAGAGATGTGTGGGATGATGAGGAGAGGGATGTTGTGATGGAAGATGAGGTTGACGAGACGCTGGAGTAAGTCATGAAGACCGAAGAAGAATTAAAGAGGGCAAAGTTTGAGAAGCATAAGCTCGACGTTGAAGCTGTAGAGTAGCTTTGTCTTGAGGTCTAGCACGGTGACGGAGAGGAGCTGTTTCTTGGTAGGAAGCTGCAGGTGTCATGAAACAGTTCATCAAGCACTATTACACTGTCACACAGCAAACACACCACGAATCAAAACAAATATGAATTTAAAACTCCAACCTACCCCGTCTCAAAAAGCGACATCAATGCTGATGCACAACATGCCACTCCCCACCCAACCCCCAACACCCATACCCTAATCTCTCCGCCAAATAACAAATCCCCTCCGTCTCGATCCCATCACTACCATCACCTTTCTCCCAACTTCCCCCCACCACAAACCACCATGGAAAAGCCAACCCTTGTCTGACCAATTCGGCTTTGATGTACAACAACACGCCACCCACCGAATCCAATGGGAAAATTTCATCCGAGGATGTTACACTGGTGAGTTTTTGCATGTGTACATCGCGGTCTCTGCGTACGGTGCCGGAATGGTACCAAGCGTTGAGATCGTAATCAGGGTTGGAGTTTTCTTGGGCGCGTGTGGTAATCAAGCCAACTGGTAATATGACTTCCGGGATAGTGACGTTTTCCGATTTTGTGATTTTGGGGGTTGAGGCTTGGTGAAGCATTTCTGTGCAGATATCGGGAGTGCTGGATATGATATCTGCGTCGTAGAAGAAGATGTGTTGTTCGCCGGCTAAGGAACGGTGGAGGAGGATGTTTCTGGCCAGGGCGATTTGCTTGCGGCGGATGGGTTGGAAGGAAGGATCGTGGCGGTCTGCTGGGGCTTCGGCTTCTGGGATGGTAGGGGTGTATAGAAGGACTTGAGCTTTGGCGAGAGGGTGGGAGGAGAGAGTTGAGACGTAGTGGGTGTAGGCCTCTTCGGTGGTTGTGAGGATGGCTAACGAGACTGAAGAGAGAGGCAGGCCGGAAGTGTCGTTCAGGAACTCGAGGAAAGACGAAAAGGAGCGCGGTTTGCCTTCTACATGGCCCCAATGACTCTCATCACGGGTGACGACGAGGATGAGATGTTCGGCGGCTGAGGCGTCATTGATCTGGGTGTGATGGCGTATTTCGGGTATGGTGATTTCTGCGATGATTGGACCTGTTGATGTTGCAGCTACTGCCGAGCTTGTCTTCGAGTTTGGCTTGACGGCAACCTTCGGACGGTCTCTTGTTGGTTGATTCTGGCCGTGTTCCTGGTGGTAGTCTTGGACGGCCTTCTCTTCGGGGGTCAATTGGTCGTCGTCGACAGCTTCTTTGCCGCCAGAGATGTGGTCGCCGACGTCTGCAATATCTCCGAGGCCTTCATCACTCTCTACTTCCTGCAATGCTTCCTCCTCTTCAATGGCATCGGCGCCGGTCTTCGAATCTCCCGAGACTGCTTGTGTGACTTTGTCTACGGCGGTCTTGACAAACGATGCGTCGATGTTCAGTCGTGAAGCTTCGTGGTCTCCGGTCTTGATCGGCGAGACATTCGTCGTCGCCGAGTGTGCAGGAACAAAGATGATGTAGAGAAGGGCGAGGACGAGCAAGCCGGACAAGATTCGCACCGTGGACTTGGACGATGTGCTGGACGTCATGATGTGATGGTTGCAGAGGAGGCAACGACAGGATGGAGAAAGGAAAAGAGACCTACAGGCATCGATAGGATGACCTTCATACACTTAGTGACTTACATAGCGGCATGTAAACGGGCGTGGTTAGGGGCAAGCATGCGCATGGCTGACTGAAACGGACGGGTGAGGTGATTTTCAGCTGCGACAGACTGCAAGCCAGAGCAAAGCCTCAACGCTATGTGAGCAGCAGGGGACATGGTCTGGGCCGGAATAAAATCACGACAAAAGGCGTCAAGTTCTGGCAAAAGAGCATTGAAACCGTTGAACTACTGGACGGACGTCCGAGAAAGGAGGTTCAGGAGATGGAGATGGAGAAAAAAAGAGAAAATGCAGAATAATGCTTGACTCGCGGGTGGTGCGGGCGAAGCGGGGGTTGACTCGAAAACATGCGACTTGACATGCGGGTGACGTAGAAGCTTCTGGACGATTCTGGCAGCAAGCCTGCTTTAGCAGACACTGCTAGCATTCTCTCGTGCTGCGTAGATGACAGGAGATTCTTCTCATGCTTGAAGCCCAGCCGCTATATCAACCTCGTTGACGTCTTTGTTCTCTTATTTCACCAGAAATCAAGACACACACAACCCACAAGCATACCACTCACTACTCTACGCTTCACGACTCACGACTATATACCACACTACCAACTTTAATCACCAAGACCTAATCCCAAGTTACACAACAAAATGGCCGCCGCAGGAATGTCCTTCACCGACAAGGCTTCATCAGCTCTTGCCGATGCTCAAGATCTCGCACAACAATACAACCACACACAACTGCAACCCATCCACTTGGCCATCGCACTGCTGGATCCTCCGCCAGACCTCAGCAAGGACCAGCAGAACCCAAGTGGCCATGCATCGCACGGCGCATCATCAGCACCACTCTTCAAGCAAGTCGTCGAACGCGCTCATGGAGACTCGGTAGCACTCACTCGCGCCCTCAACAAGGCTCTGGTCCGTCTTCCCAGCCAGGACCCGCCGCCGGAGCACCTCTCTATGGGCCCCGCCTTCTCAAAGATGCTGCGCGCTGCAGACCAACTGTCAAAGACACAAAAGGACAGCTTCATCGCCATTGATCACTTCATCTCCTGTCTTGTTCAAGACTCGACCATCGCCAAAGCCCTTGCCGAGGCCAATGTCCCCAACACCAAGCTCATCGACAATGCAATCACTCAGATCAGAGGAAACAAGCGTGTCGACACAAAGAGTGCTGATGCTGAGGAGGAGAGCGAAAATCTCAAGAAGTTCACCATCGACATGACAGCCATGGCACGAGAGGGCAAGATGGACCCTGTCATTGGCAGAGAGGAAGAGATTAGAAGAGTCATCCGCATCCTGTCACGCCGTACAAAGAACAATCCCGTCCTGATCGGTGAGCCCGGTGTCGGTAAGACTACTGTCGTTGAAGGTCTTGCCCAACGCATCGTCAATGCAGACGTGCCTGCCAACTTGGCCGCCTGCAGACTTCTGTCTCTGGACGTCGGTGCTCTCGTCGCTGGTAGCAAGTACCGCGGTGAGTTCGAAGAGCGCATGAAGGGTGTCCTCAAGGAGATTGAGGACGCCAAGGAGATGATTGTCCTCTTCGTCGACGAGATCCATTTGCTCATGGGTGCTGGCTCTTCAGGAGAGGGCGGTATGGATGCCGCCAACTTGCTCAAGCCTATGCTTGCCCGTGGTCAACTTCATTGTATCGGTGCCACCACTCTCACTGAGTACCGCAAATACATTGAAAAGGACCAAGCCTTCGAACGTCGTTTCCAGCAAGTTTTGGTCAAGGAGCCTTCGGTTCCCGAGACTGTTTCCATTCTCCGTGGTCTCAAGGAGAAGTACGAAGTTCACCATGGTGTCACTATCCTTGACGGTGCCATCGTCTCTGCTGCCACTTTGGCTGCTCGCTACCTCACTCAGCGCCGCCTTCCTGACTCGGCTGTCGATCTCATTGATGAAGCCGCTGCTGCTGTTCGTGTCACTCGCGAGTCTCAGCCCGAGGCGCTTGACAACATGGAGCGCAAGCTTCGCCAACTCGAAATCGAAATCCACGCCCTCAACCGCGAGAAGGATGAAGCTTCTCAAGCACGACTCGCTCAAGCAAAGGCCGAGGCTGCTAATGTTGAAGAAGACCTCAAGCCTCTGCGTGAAAAGTATGAGAGCGAGAAGCTCCGTGGCAAGGAGATTCAGGAAGCCAAGCTTAAGCGTGATCAACTCATCACAAAGCAACAAGAGGCCGAACGTATGCGCGACTTGCAGACTGCTTCCGACCTCAAGTATTACGCTATTCCTGATCTCGAGGATCGCATCAAGCAGCTCGAGAAGGACAAGGCTGCCTCTGATCTAGACCAGCTCCGCCAAGCCAAGGAGTCTGGTGAGGCTCCTCTCCTGACCGATGCTGTCGGTCCCGATCAAATCAACGAAATTGTCGCTCGCTGGACTGGTATCCCAGTCACCCGCCTGAAGACCACCGAGAAGGACAAGCTCCTGCAGATGGAACGTCATCTTAGCGAGCTTGTCGTCGGCCAGAGAGAGGCTGTCACTTCGGTTGCTAACGCCATCCGTCTGCAGCGCTCTGGACTTGCCAACCCCAACCAGCCACCTTCGTTCCTCTTCTGTGGTCCTTCAGGTACCGGTAAGACTCTGCTTACCAAAGCACTTGCCGAGTTCCTCTTCGACGATCCTCGCGCCATGATCCGCTTCGACATGTCCGAGTACCAGGAGAGACACTCATTGTCGCGTATGATCGGCGCACCACCCGGATACGTGGGTCATGATGCTGGTGGTCAACTTACTGAAGCCCTCCGCCGTCGCCCCTTCTCCATTCTCCTCTTCGATGAAGTGGAAAAGGCAGCCAAGGAAGTCCTCACCGTGATGCTGCAACTCATGGATGACGGCCGCATCACCGACGGCCAAGGTCGTGTCGTCGACGCACGCAACTGCATTGTCGTCATGACATCTAACCTTGGTGCCGAATACCTGGCCCGCCCCAACGCACCCGACGGCAAAATCGACCCCACCACCAAGGAAATGGTCATGGGCTCTCTCCGCAACTACTTCCTCCCCGAATTCCTGAACAGAATTTCCAGCATCGTCATCTTCAACCGTCTCTCCAAGAAGGAAATTCGCAGTATTGTCGACGTCCGCTTGGAGGAAATCCAACAGCGTCTTTCCGCAAACGGCAGAAACGTGCGCATCCAACTTTCTGCAGATGTCAAGGATTACCTCGGATCAGCAGGATATTCGCCAGCTTATGGTGCTCGTCCTCTGGCTCGCCTGATCGAAAAGGAAGTATTGAACAGACTTGCCGTGTTGATCCTCAGAGGCAGTATTCGCGATGGCGAGACCGCTAGAGTCGTGCTCGAAGATGGACATATCATGGTTCTCCCCAATCACACTGATTCCGACGGTGAAGATTCAGAGATGTGGGATGAGGAGGATGCAGTTGCCGAGTTGAATGGAGATGAGGGAGATATGGAACTTTACGATTGAAGGAAATGACGCATGAAGGCAAAAGTTTTAAAGATGATGAAGAATGAGAGATGAAGAAGCGGGAGTTCTTTTCTTTTCTTTTCTTTTACTACATGTGTTTTGGTTTTGGTTTTCTTTTCTCTTTTGTTTTGCTGAGCATGGCGTTGAATTGTGGTTACAGAAAAGGAGGTTTTCTTCACTATTAGCTATGACAATTAAATCACTTTATACATATTTCCATCTTTCAATCTTTCTATCGTGGATGTGATGGTATCTCCATGGCTGAATTTCGACATTTCTATTGTACCGAATGCTGTAGAAGAGCCGTCTCAAAATGCACAATGGTTTTCGACAACTAGTACAATGCCCGATGAGAGTGCGAGTAGGAGCATCTTCCACCGTCCATGATCATGATTTTTGGAAAACATTGTGCCTTTTTCTGACATGCGAGCAGTGGCTATCAGAGAGTAGGAGGTTGCTTCAATTGTGCTTGATGTGTGACCTTGTATACATTCGCACATCACGTTCTGTGATTCCAAAGTTCTGCTGATGGTCTTCATGGTTGATTTGATATTGAACTCGATGTTGCAGAGATGGGAAGAAATTTTAGAATGGGTTATGGACTACATGTCACATACAGGCTTAGTGGTATTTCAAAAGTCATCTCGATCAGACAGATAGATTAGAACCACATTGCGGAAATGCAAGATGCTTCTTGAGTGGCCAGTAGCGATCACTGAGAGTGGTAATCTTCAGACTACAGTGGACAGACAATAAGGGGCGAACGAGTATATACAGCCCTTCCACGTACTCGGCAGCTCCTTGTGTCAACATTAGTGATATCACGCAATGATTTCAGCCTGTGTGGAAGCTCGTAGCAGAGATGAAGCTTGTAGAGATGGAGGTACATTGACGCCATCGTCGTTGTTCGGTGCGTGGATCAATACTCCATCGTCGTTGTTCTGGAAATGGCCGGTGCGGCGCTCGATGTGGATCTTGTTTGGTGAGTGTCCCTATGAGCGAGGTGATAAGGCGGAGGATTGACAGAGGAAGGATTACGGCAGAAGCAGTATTTATACCAACGAGGTTCCAAGCGGAGCCGCCTTTCACTGGTCAGATCCATGGACTTGAATAGCATTGTGCATTTTTACAATCATACTCCGGTGCTTGAGTTAAGAATGGGGAGAAGACGCGCAATCGCGGGACATGAACGAGGAATGGGTGTGTGAACATATAGAATCATACTGGTGGGAAAGAAGAAAAGGGTGTTATCTACACAACTCCGGAGCCCAAGGTGCTATTTCGAGAAAAGGAAGAAAAGATCCAGAGGGGTATTTTTTTTGTTTACAGATCGGCCTTCTTGGCTTGCCAGATTCTCTTGACGCCCTCGGTGAGACCGACATCGTTTGTCTCGAACTCGTAGAAGCCAATGCCGGCGAGGATGGTGGCGGCGTTGAGAGCCCACATGGAGAACTTGCGGGTCTTGGGCACACGCTTGGTGGGGAAGTAGTCGATGATGCATGACTGGAAACCAATGTGCGAGTGGATGAGGATGGTGGAAATGAAGAGGCCGTCCATGACGGGGTTGAGCGAGCCAGCGGCGAAGGGAGCAATGGTCAGAGGAATCAGGCCGGCTGAGATGAGGCGCTCGAAGCTCCAGTGGTAGCTGCCGTGTGCGTACGAGGCGTCAGGAACAGTAGCGGCATCGTTGACTGTGAATTGGATTAGTCCAGTATAGGTCCGAGAGAGTGGTTCGTCACGCACCGGTGCCCTTGATGACCTGGGGCAAGGGAGGCAGAATTGCGCGGGTGGGAGAGGCGTGGAAGGAGCGCAGAGCCATGGACTGGCGCTGGGCCAGCAGCTGGCGCGAAAGCAGAGCGGGGCGGAATGAGGTGGCCATTGTGTATGTGTGGTTGAACAGACAGTCGGTATGCAACTGCGTCTCGAGTATTGATTCAAGATGTTGGAAACGCGGAGTATGTGATTGGTCGGCTACATCAACCTCGGGAAAGCGTCGCCGAGCACGGAAGAAAGTGGAAGCTGCGAACCAGCCAGCCTCAGATCTTCGACTGCTGTTCTCACGCCTACGGATCGATCGCTTCTTGGCGTGCTGACCATTGGCGGGCGGCTTGTTCCTTCCATCAGAAAAGAGGCCAACGACAGTCCGACGTCTTCGATACCAGCAACCAGCGCCAGCTGCCATTTCCACCACCCTCTCCCCCCCATCTCCGCCCATATACCCCGTCGCCAACAATGGCCTCGACAATGGCTTCTCGTCGGCTCGCATTGAACATGCAGCACGCCACGCGCAGCCGCTCCGCCATCAACGCCATCAAGGCCGGCTCGCTGTCGCGTTTCCGCGGTCTCGCTACCCCCGTCAGCCACGGCTCCAAGACTGAGAGCACCACCCTCAGCAACGGCTTCACCATCGCCACCGAGCACTCTCCCTACGCCCAGACCTCGACCGTCGGTGTATGGATCGATGCCGGCTCCCGCGCCGAGACCGACAGAACAAACGGCACTGCTCACTTCCTCGAGCACCTTGCCTTCAAGGTACACAGAACTCGACAATTACATCAATGCAAGGGCACAATCTAAGAGACGTCGCAGGGAACCCAGAAGCGCAGCCAGAGCCAGCTCGAGCTCGAGATTGAGAACATGGGTGGCCACCTCAACGCCTACACTTCGGTGAGACTTGGAATCTGTTTTCTGCAATTCGCCGCATTCTAACACAATCATCAGCGTGAGAACACCGTCTACTACGCCAAGTCATTCAACTCGGACGTCCCCAACACCGTCGACATCCTTTCCGACATTCTCCAAAACTCAAAGCTCGAGACCCAGGCCATTGAGCGCGAGCGCGACGTCATTCTTCGCGAGCAGGAGGAGGTTGACAAGCAGCTCGAGGAGGTTGTCTTCGACCACTTGCACGCCACCGCCTTCATGAACCAGCCCCTTGGTCGCACCATCCTCGGCCCCAAGGAGAACATCCAGTCCATCAGCCGCGATGACCTGACCAACTACATCAAGACCAACTACACCGCTGACCGCATGGTCCTCGTCGGCTCTGGTGGTGTTCCTCACCAGGAGCTCGTCCAGCTCGCCGAGAAGTACTTCAGCAACATCCCCATGGCCCCCCCAACTTCGACCGCCCAGGCCATTGCCAACGCCCAGAAGGAGAAGCCCGACTTTGTTGGTTCTGAGGTCCGTATCCGTGACGACACCATCCCCACCGCCAACATCGCCATCGCCGTTGAGGGTGTTAGCTGGAAGGACGACGACTACTTCACCGCCCTGGTCACTCAGGCCATTGTCGGTAACTGGGACCGCGCCATGGGCAACTCGCCCTACCTCGGCAGCAAGCTCAGCACCTTCATCCACGAGAACAAGCTCGCCAACAGCTTCATGAGCTTCTCCACCAGCTACAGCGACACCGGGTAAGATCATCTCAAATCTCTCCCCCATTTGCCACCCTGCTAACATCAGCCAGTCTCTGGGGTATCTACCTCGTTACCGACAACGTCACCCGCATCGACGATCTCGTCCACTTCACCCTCCGCGAGTGGTCGCGCCTGTCATTCCAGGTCTCCGAGTCCGAGGTCGAGCGCGCCAAGGCCCAGCTCAAGGCTTCGATCCTTCTCTCGCTCGACGGCACCACCGCCGTCGCCGAGGACATTGGTCGCCAGATCATCACCACCGGTCGCCGTCTCGCCCCCGAGGAGGTTGAGCGTGTTGTTTCCCAGATCACCGCCAAGGACGTCATGGAGTTCGCCAAGCGCAAGCTCTGGGACCGCGACATTGCCATCTCCGCTGTTGGCCAGATCGAGGGTCTGCTCGACTACTCGAGAATCCGCAACGACATGACCAGAATGCTGTCGTAAGGACAGTCACAATTCTGTGTTTAATGTTTTTCTTATCTAGATGAGAGAGGAGACTCTTCCGAAAAAAGGCCCCCTTTTGTTTGTTTAAGTCTATACGATAGAAGATTTGGGGGGCCAAATTCTTTCTGGCTCGGAGGATTATCACCGCGTCAAGACGAAACGATGGAGTGTGAGATGCCGATCCGGGTTGTTAGTGTTCACCTCTCAAAAATGTACATTTAGCCCGTTTTACTTTTTTTTCAAATCTATTTCATTTTCTTTTGTCTGTGTATTGAGTGTTCCCACAGAGTGTTGTGTTGATGTCTATGATATGTGGATTACGGTGCTGGCTGATGCTGTGCTGTGATTGGTCAATCGCAAATCAGAACGTTTTGCTGGTTGAGCCACCCTGGACTTGATAAACTCACATCTTCAAAACCACGACATCACGTCTCAAGCATCCATCCTCCGCCTTTGCGTGTCTTCTGCCTATTGAAAATCACCAAAAACACCCTTAATACTACCCTTGAAGTGACAGGGCTACAACTCTGACGTCAATCGTCATACAGGCCAGCTTATCGTTTCCGCAAGCACCGCTGCTCAACACCCTATAGCAAATCATACCAACCCGCTTCGAACAGCCTCCAGTGTCCAAATACAAGATTGATTCAAAACTTCAACATCTGGAGACTAAGCTCTTAATCAGATCAGGAGCTGCTTTGTGCAGCAAGGGCGTTTCATAACGCCATGTCGGGCACGATGTTGAAAGCGATCTTCTATGCGAGGTTTCACGAAGAGAAAGGTATGTGAATCTGTGCCATTCTCTGATCAATCTCGGAGTCTTTTCTGCCTTTTTCTCTTTCGTTTTGTTCGTTGATGGCTCTACCCCGATCTGCATTTCTCGATAGTTCGCTCGCCATATTCTCCTCCGGGAAGCGTCGCTGAGTATTCGTGCTGCGATATCGCGATATCAAAACGATGTACATCATCGGCGACTGAGTCGGTAGTGCCTCTAATTACTTGCAGAGCAACTCGTTTATGCTTTAGTTTCATATCACCACCCTTGACGACAATTGCTGAATTCCAATATTGATTTTCTCCACAGGCCCAACAGTCCTCCACCAAGTCCCCGAAGGCAGCGTAATCCCCCTCTCGAACACGACCCAACAACCACTCTTCCACTTCCCTAGCATATCCAATCACATCATCCCCCGCCGCGAATTCTGCGATCGCCCTCTGAGTCTGCTCGCCTCACACCACCGTATCATTGGCTTTCCAGTCTGCATCCACAATCCAGTTCTCTACCCGCGCTCCGATTTCATCTTCAATTTCTGTCTTGTGGTGGACGAAAAGGCAGAATGGGGTGCTTATGCTAGCGTGGTTAGTAAGCTTGCTAGATTGATGAGGAATTTGGAAGAGCAGGCTGGGTGGTTGAGTAAAGAGGAACGCAGGGAAGGGTGGGTGAAGGCTGGAGAGAGGGGGTATGGAGGTGGCAACAGGGTATTTGCGATTTGTGAAATGGTGTTGGAGGATTTGAATTGTTATTGCGAGTGCATGATTCCGATCGGTGAGTTTTGGTGTCTCTGTTTACGGAAAAAAGAGGACGATACTAATGACGAGATGCAGACGATTCAAACACGTTGAACCTGAAGTTGTTCCCTACGAGGTCGCCGCCGCCTCCAATACAGATCTATCACGTCCCACTGAGCACTGTCCGCTTCAGCAGTCTTCAGACAAACACCTGGGACCTGACAGTGCAACGCATCATACCCTTCATCGACGGCATAAACTCTGTCCAGAAAATCGCCGTCCTCGCCGACACAGACCTCACACTGACCAGAAGAGCACTAGCACATCTACTCTATTACGGGTGTATCCTCATGCTAAACACTTTCCACTTCGGCGCCATCTACGCCGCAACAGCTGAAATCGGCGTCTTCGTCGAAGATACAAAAATGCAAGATGAATGCAGGCGCTACATCGTAACCCCCCACTCGCCCTTTAAAAACAGCATCATTGGCTCCTCCTCCTCTGCCACAAACCAAAACCAACACCAAAACACCACCAACACATCCAACCAATCTTCCTCATTCGCCAACCTCTCCTCCAGCTTCGCAGCCTCCAAATACCACAAAAGCAGTAACCTCAACCCTTCCACTTCAGGCCCTACATCCCCACAACCACCTTCAAGAGCTACAGTCCTTCACCTTTATTCTTCTCTACGTCAAGGTTTACCTCTACGCGACTGGTGTCTCGCTCACGCATCTTCACTCGCCTATATCGATGTTCGCCGCTTCATCACTTTCGGCATCATAAAGGGGTTTCTGTATAGAAGCCATAGATATGCTATCGCGCTGCGAGCGGCGGATACGGCTGCAGATGCCGCAGTGGCGGAAGAAGCATTGCGTAATAAACGTGAAGCGGAAAAGACTTGGAGGAAGGCTGCGATGAGTAGTGGATGGCGCACGCCTGTTGCTTTGCAAGATGAACCTGCACTAGATGGAGGATTTGGAGGTGTGGTTGTGAGAGCGAAGAATGAATTCGAGGTGCAAGAAGAGGAGGGTAAGGGAAAAGGAGAAGAGGGCAAGATGCCTGGGGTGGAGGAGTTGGGCAAGGGGAGGAGTCTTGCTGATCAGTATTTGGCTAGGTATTTGGATGGGTGTCATTGTTTGGATGAGGTGTGTACGGATACGGGGATGGGACAGCAAGAGGCGGTTAGAAAGTTGAGGGGGTTGGGGGATGTAGTGTTTGTGAATAGGTAGAGTGATATTGTCGAGTCATTGATGGAAATGAAGAGAGAGTAGGAAGGCGTTGGATGTGAGCACTTTTACACGACTAAATCGTAGGACAATGATTTGTATGACTCCAGCGTCTTTCGCATCCTTCGCAGTTGATCCTTCAAACGATCAAGGCATTGCTGATCACTCTGAAGTAACATAGGATACACCTCCTCAAGACTCTGATAGCAACCAAGAGCATGCCTCCCATGCTCAATAGCATTCTCCCAAGATCCTACTGCCAATGCCATATTCTCAACACCCTTCTTCTGCAACTTAAGCGACTCAATCGAAAACTGCATAGACCAGCATAAATGCCTATCCTGCACAAGCCCAAGAACATCATTATGACTGAACCTCGCAGCCGATCGATGCCTGATTATCAACCTTTCCTGTTCGATAATGATTCTTTGGGTTTCTAGCACTATTCTTTCCAATCCGATCTTGTGCATTGTTTCCTAAAGTTTGTTGGTCTTGGCTTGGTGCTCATCTGTGTTTCCGTGGATATCGAATGATGTGTTTTGCTGGTGCTTCTCGAGTTCTGCTGCAAGTTGATCGATGTTGTTGTCGAATAATGGGACGAGGTTGGACAGGGCGGTGTCTTCGGCGTGGAGTTGAGCCATACGTGTTGATGCTTCGGGAGTCAGGGGATTGAAATCATACATGATGAATAATTTGGTATCGGTTGGTGAGATGGAATGTTTGGTGAATTGGGTTGTTGGTGTTAGAACTCTCATACAGCAGGACATAAGGACGGTACATCGTAGCTTCCCCTTTTGCTTCAACATTCGAGTCTTGTCATACACGTATCTTAACGCGCTTTTCTCTGGCGTGAGTGCAGAGCCGTGGTGATGGAGACAGGAATGAACTCTCAGTCAGCAGGAAGGTCCTTGGAAGTAGCCGTCAGTTGCAAGAGACTTTTTCAAAACAATCATTCTCCAAAGAGAGCAGTCAAACTCCTTGCTCTCAGTGTACATCGTATCTGTGTCTAAGAAATCTTGCATGTTGACAAACAAATTCTTGCTCGATCTGCGACTGTGAAGTTCAATATCTTAAGTTGAAACCTCCTTCACTCTTGGAATCCAAAAGAGTAGCTATATAGGGTTTGAAAGTTTCCTCACTGTCACCCACTCAGGAGGAAGCGGAGTCCAAAGGACGTATGGCCTGAGGGGAATAGCCTGTGCTGATACTGCATCGGGAGAAGTAGTGTCGGCGCCTTCTCCTTTTGTAGGTTGTGTGTTCGATCCTGTGGTGTGAGGGTTTCTTTGTTTTTTTGCTTTCAATTCAGTTTGTGGTGATACTGATACTGATGGTGCACATCAATCTTGAAGTGCTTCACGTTCATCGGATCTTCGAAGTTGGTCACCTTGAATACGTTTAGAGCTTCAAGGATGTTTATTCTCGAATGATGAAATAGATGGTATGGGAGTAGAGCTCAATGGAACAATCCATTGTTTTTGCAGATTATTGATATCTGGAAAGCAACAGCGAAGGTAGATACGGCTGCTTCCTCTTGCTGCTTCCTGTTTTAATATCTAAGCTCTTGCCACGCCGTATCGACTTTCTCCACTGCTTCTCCTGGCTGCCCTTGTTTGCCAGAAAATGCTTTCTCGCTGGGATTCTGTAGCTTCTCAGAGAGCGGAGAAAGCATTGGTCAACGCATCCATCTCTCTAGCAGCGTTCTCCTGATCCTCGGAGGTTTCGTCGTACCTGGGACGGCTCGTGTCAAGTGCCACGTTACCGGCTAGAGCCCTCATGATTCCGCTCCCATTGTGACGCATGTACGCGATTTCGTACCGAGCGTCCTGGTATCTCTGATCGTCGGCCGTCAGTGTTCCGACCGAGACGAGGATCTGTCCCTCCCTGATGCGCCATGCGTTGAGCTTGATGAAGTGCTGAATAACGCTCATCTGGCACGAAATGACATCTTGCAGATAGAAGTGTATGTCTTCGGGATGTCCGCGGATTCTGAGGTCAAGAGCAGCGAGGGTGTTGTAGAGGTCTTGGACGACGTTTCTAGCGTGATTGATGTCGTGTACGAGGCGCCTGAGTTCATCCATGGAATGGGGCTGGGCATCCTCTGGCTGATTGGAGGAACCATTGGTTGTAGACATCTTACTGCGTATGTGATTAGTGGAAGGAGCGGAAGGCTGGACGGCCACAGCACATTGTTACCTACTCCTGATAATCGTTGTTGTTGTTGTGCTAATGGACGAGAAGAGCAGTCTGCAGAGGTGCTTTTATAGATAGCCGCTCAGAAGTCGCGTCTGAGAAGTTGTCTTTACCTTCACACTCAAGCCTTCATATGCGAGCGAGAGGGGTGACGAAAGGAGAGTAAAAGAACCACAGTGAATTCGGAAAGAAGATGAATGGAACAGAGGTCTGGCTAAGCACGGAGTCAACGTGGAAAGAAGAGAGGGCATTCTGTTTTGTGGTGAATTCTTTGTGAAGTGAGGAGACCAACCGTCTAACACTTTTCGAAACCTGTGTTCAATCCGTGGACCAAGGAAACATGAATGCTCTCGAAGAAAGGCCCCTGATGTGATGCCAAAGTCCAAATGAACGAACTTGCATCCAAAGGCTGACCACTGCCAAAGCTGTGAAGCCCAAGTGAGGATTTCATCTAACGGACCAAAGCCTCGATGAGCACCTGTCTCTCCTCCATGCGCTGGATCTGCTCCTTTCCTTCCTTGGCCATCTGCTCCATGCAGTCGATCATAGCCTTCTGGATGGTGATTGACTTGTCCATCTGCTTGAGAACAGTGCCAACCTCGCTGATACCACCCTCGAGACCTTTCTCAATTTCCTTTGCCTTACGCTTGAAGGCGGCCTTGTGTTTCTTGAAGAGCTCCATCTGGAGGTCCAGGAGTTCCTGAGTGGCCTCGATCTTGTAGAGGATGTCGGCGAGTTTGGGGTTCTTGAGCATCTTGCTGATCTCGGTGGCGGTGCGGGTTGACATGCTTGCTTTGTGCTGTACTTGTTAGACAAGGAGATCAATGCATAAGGGGGTAGGTATGTTCGACTCACGTGTTGTCACGTGTTATGGATTGATGAATTGTTTTGTTGAGAAAGGAGTTGCGCGTGGAGAGGAAGAGGTTGGAAGCCCACAGCGTGTCTTATAGGGGTCAGTCGCGGAATTCGTCGACAGGGTGATCGAAGTGAGATTGAAGGTCGATGTGGTACTCAAGCGACGAGACGACTCACTCTTGGTTCGTTCGCGATGATGTCCACTCCGAAGATCAGTGAAGGAGATGTCCATCAAGGATTACACTCGAGCATATCGCCGTGACTAAACCCAATGCACGCTCTCTCATCATGTGAGTGGTGGTGATCAACAAGACCACCATGGCCTCGCGGACACATTCACCAAAAGCACCGACCAGGAAGTGCGAGCTTCTATCAGGATTCAGAGTAACCAGCATGGCTTTCCAAGTCCTAGAGTCTGGCACGTGGGTGATATCTTCTACAAGAATAATGGCAAAGTGGTCGACATTGAACTGAGGATAGATGAAGTGGGCATGGGCTATGTAAACAGTGTTGTTAGAGGTAGTTACATTATATGTTAATGTTTGTAGTTTTACCTTTGATTTGCTGACGGAGTTCAAGGAACGAAGGCATGGTTGTTTGATATGGTCTTGTTATCACTTCTTGGTGAGCGGTATAGATTTCGAACGATGAGATGGATCAACTACAAACGCAAAGGCCGGGGTAATCGTCTTTGTGATCATAGAATCGTGGTGCTATCTCGTATCGTCACGACGATTGGGCCTCGCGCTCCAAGCTTTGGACAGAAAGGCATTTTTCAAACATGCTGCCGAAACGCATAGTTTTCTCTGGTAGGCCAAGTCTTCTCTGTAGACCAACTCCTCAAGCCCAGAGGACGAGGGTGCTACTAGTCCAGCTAGAAAGCTCGTCCAGTAGTCATATATTTCGAGGTTGTTTGGGAATGAGTTCATTTGTCGTTATCATCGTCATATGTCTTTTCCATTGGTAGGCCTTCTCACAGCGAACTGCCTCGTCACCCAGTTAGGCCCATGCTCTTGATACTCTTGCCTGGTGATCAAGACATTTTTCATAAGATCTTGATCTGCAGCCATGCGACAACCTCCTTGCCAAGTAGACGTGATGGGATTCTCCGCCCTTCGTACTCTGACGACCATGTCCTCGGGAGCGAGCATCCTTACTCCCTTCTCGACTCTCTCCACAAATCCCGGTATCAGTGTGTTGCCGCCTACCAGCAAGATATTGGCTAGGAAGGGCTGCCAGAGGAGTTCAGGGAGTGTGGACAGCGATTGGAAAAGAGTTTCGGCTATACCACATTGAGGCATTGCGATATCTGAGGGTGTAAAGAGAATCTCTGGGACGACGAAGCGTTCATTGCCTAGGGGGAAGACTTCCTCTCGAGTTGCCAAAGGATCAGTTGGCTGTTTGACACCCAGTCTTTCCATCTTGGCTCGATACGAAGGGTCATGGGGACGTGTGAAGCCTCGGTGATGTGTCTCGTAGTCAGGCAAGACGTAATCCACGACTATAGATGAATGTTTCGCTTTTGCAGCTTCCAAGTCTGAGGGGAAGTCCGAGGATAGGAAACAGGCATCTTCTTTGATTTGTGAGACGATGTGGGGTTCGTCGATGAGGGAGAAGTGCCGCAGAGAGATGAGTTCGGCGAGGTAATTGGATAGATGTTTGCCGCCTATATCCAGTCTGCGGATGGCTGGGTTTATGGGCCGACCTGCCAGCAAAGGGGTGATTGTTGTATGACTGTGGCCGCTGTCTATTACGAGGAGGGCATCTGCCGGGTTGATGACAGATGGGTCTGCAAGGGGAGGGTCATTGAATAGAGAGCGGGTGTCGTTGTAGGCGTTCAATGATGGAGCAGTAGTACGATATACAGCGGCGAAGTCAAAGTGCTCAAAGACCATCTGGTCCAAGTTCTGAGTGAGCTGGAGAGGAGCATTTGCTTGTTCGGTGATGATCAAGTTTGTGTCTGCCGTGTCGCATTGTAGGATTTGCAGCTCGTTGTCCAAGACGGCGACTTCGGCAGGCCAGTTGACGACATAGCCCTTTTGTACCGGGCGGCGAAAGGTCATCTCGCCATAGTCGGTGCATTGCGACAGCTGTGATCCAACATAAGTCTTGCCATCTCGAGATTTGGCAACACAGTTGGGTGCAACATGGCAGGTATTGTCGCTATCTGATGAGGCGTATCCGGCTTTCAAGGACCATGCGCCGACGTCGACGACAAGTGTTGGCGACATTTAGAGCGAATTTTTGACGTCTTGTCCATGTTGGTATTGTCCGTGTCGAGTTGGTCGGGCGGTGGCCGCAAACTCCCCCGAAGCCTTCAAACTTTTGACTTTGCCCTCCAAATAATTTGTCCACCTTTGTCGCATTCCTCACACATCAACACACTCGCTCGCCATGTCCTCCTCACAGACACTCATACATCTTGCACAGACTCAGCGTGCTCTGGTCGCCCAATTCCTCGCCTCTCTCGCTCCGAACCCCTCTGCCGACTCGTCCACCCAACTTCCACCCAACCCGCCGAACCCTCTGCATGTCCTTCGCGACAGTGCCACCTTGCTCAAGGCACACACGACAAAGCTCGCTCTTCTCCTCATCAACAAACCCTTCACCCCCACCGCCGTCACCTCTGTCCTCCGCGATGCGACTCAAACCTGTCTCCCCGCCATGATGAGCGCCGTCGAGCTCTGCCGTCCAGACATCTGGGGTGTCTTCCTGCACCACCAAGTTGTCGCAAAAGTCCGTGCCGTCATGCGCGAGATGGTCTCTTTCCTGGAGGAAGTCCTGGACACTGCTCAAGAAAACACTTCGAATCACTCAAAAGACACTCTTGCTTCGACTGGTGTGCTGTGGGATGCTTGTGATGGTTTGATCCAATTGGAGACTACTGGAATCGCTGGACTTGCTGTCTTGAAGGCCCAGGAGCTGCGGGACACCATCAACGACGCCATTCAGGAATTGAAAGAGTGGGAAGAGGGTGATGGCGAGGATGAGGACGACGAGGACGAAGATGACGATGCACATTCAACCAGCGACGATGACCAAGAAGATCGCGAAAGAGATGATCAAGACGAGTTCGACGACATGTTCTCCGCCGCCAACAGCCTTCCCAAGGACCGTCCAGACCTGAAAGAGCGCCTACAAACCACCGCCGATAAGTTGAAAAAGATACAGTTCCTCTACGCCGCAATCACAAAACGCAGACTCAAGACCTTTACGGCCGACATCGCTTCGAAGAAGGTCAACATCTTGACTCTGGACAAGCTTATGCACTTGCTCAAGGAATTACCCGAGTCTGTCGATGATCTTGCAAATGCCTTCTATGAGCTCGACGCCGACCAAGTGGATACCATCCTCGCAAGCTGTGTCGCCAATGCATGTTCAGCAGCCGAACTCCTCAAGACCGACTGGAACGGCAAAGACGATGAATTCACGGCCTGGGTCACAAAGTGGACTTCGGTTGTCAAATAAGAAAGATTCAAGGACGAAAAGAAAAAAGTGTTATTCGAATAAAATATTCCCGCTCCAGAAAAAAAAGATGCAAGCCACCCCTTGGATATCATAAAAGACCATGTACAGTTTTCAAACTTCCCCTTGCAGCACATGTGCTGTTTCTCCCCCTTCAACTTCCAGCATACTTCATTCTTGTATCAACATTTACAGAATGAAAGCAATGGCACCAGCACCGACAGCCATCAAGCTAGCACCAACCTGCATGGCACCGCCAGTCGAGATAGCGCTGACAGCGGCGGCAGAGCTGGTAGCAGAGCCAGAGACAGCAGCAGCCTTGGCAGTAGCGGAGCCAGAAACCGAAGCGGCAGCAGAACCGGAAGCGGAAGAGCCAGTGGCAGCGAGAAGAGTACCGCAGCGAGTCTTGGCCAAGTTCTGGATGTTCTGGAGGTCCTCGGCAGAGCAGTCAGAGTTCTGGAGAAGACAGGTTGTGCCGGCGGCGAGGAAGGCCTTGGAGCCGGTTGTGCAGAGGCAGATGGGGTCGGTGGCTTCGCAGCCCGAAGAAGCGACTGCGGATTGAATGCAGGTCAACTGCAAAGAATTCAGATCAATTGTGTTGGTTCTCGGACCGTGTCTGAACTTACGCCGCAAGTGGGGACACCCTCAGTAAGGTCGACGGGAGTAGAGACGGCAGCAGAGGCAGAAGAGGTGGCAGAGGCGGCCATGGCGCCGGCGAAGAAGATGGCAATGGAAGCGTAAGCACGGAACTGCATGGTGGCGGTGTTTGTGGTGGTGTTGTTAAGAAGATTAAAGAGTGTCGTAGTAGTATATCGAAGTCGTTTGAAGAAAGAGCGATGTATTGAAGAGAGAGTGTAGTTGTGTGAATCGATTATCAGCAAAAGAATAGAGAAAGAAGCAAGGCCCTCCTTATAACATGCAGTGCAACCATCCAAAGGCTCCTGCTCAAACTCCCGCGTCTATTCTTTTCCTGCTTCCTGCCAACTCCCCACTTTGTTGATCCAATTGAGCTTTCAGCCAGATTTGGATCTTTCTCATCTATCGTCTTCTGAAACAGTGAGGTGCGTCCCACGAGTCGTGGGTTAGCTTTCCCTAGCTCCAAACGGTGCCGGGTTTATCAGAGCACCGGTACCTGCATCTTTGCTGTTTCGGTCTCGCTCTGCCTATTTTCATCAATTGTGCAATTTATCTTCGTTGAGCCTTCCTCGTTAATGTCTTTGACGTGTTCACTCTGCAGGAGAAAAATCCTCGAGCATCGGGATTGAAGAGACGAATTGACCTGTCTGTTCTGTCCTTCCTTCCAGCTCGTGCTCATTTCCAAGAAGCTCGGGCAGAGCAACAGTGCTTCTTACCTTTGGCGTTTCGACCACTTGCTCTGCGATCATCCCTTTTTAGCCTCACAAGATCTACCATTCTTGTAACTCTAATCGTCCTACTCGAGTGCCTTGATGTTGTTCGGTCCTCACTCTGACTCTACCATCAACATGTCAACAGCCTTGACTCCGACTCTGTCTGCTTTTGATCGCCTCCGCGGATTACTCCATCAAGTCTTTGCAACTCCACATCGCAATTTGGCATCTCTGCTCCGCTGGGCCTTCGGCTGCCACTTCCGTCGCGCTGCCCCTGAGGCCCGGCCCGATCTTTTTCATCTATCGCCAGAGACGAATCTACAACTTCAATCTATCTACACTCTGGGGAGCTCATCACCGGCAGTAGCAAATATGACGGTGCTAAGCAAGACATTCTAGAAATGGATTTCTTCGCCGTTGCACGAAAAGAATTGGATGTTTGTATGATACCGTTGTACTTTCTCGCACGCGAGAAGAGGGTCTGTTCCTTTCGGCAAATCTTTCAACGTTCGTGGCTTTCTTCCAACGTCGCTGCGTCTGTGGACCTCGCATTTCTTTGCAAAAGATGCAGCTCGTTGCGGGGCGCGACTGGACCTCGAGTCAAGCACTACGTTCGTCCAGACTTCAAGCATTCTCAACACCGGACTCTCATCCGCGCTCGCCCGTACCGCCATACCATTGTTTGTAGGTGAGCCGTTGATGCTAAAGAGTCATGGTATTAGGATAGGACTAGAGCCTCTTCTATCCGCCTCTTCTATCCGGCTATCTGAGAATGGCTTGGTATGGAGATCTCAATCAGACAAACAGAACGCGCTTTCTCTGCTTGACGTCTTTGGTCCTCATTCTTTGCATGCTTCTTGCTACACCGATAGCGATGCGCTATGCAGAGTGAACGAAGATGGCTCTTTGCTTTCGCTGTATCAGTATCCGCGATGGCATCCTTAGGTTGTTGGCTGCTTGTCTACGACGATCAAGACTACGCTCACGCCTGTTGGACGTCTGCTCCTTTCCAAGTAAAGGGATACGTGCTATCTGTATTCTCACTGACGAGAATTGTTGGCCCCAAGAAATGATCATCAAGCTTCTAGGCTGTGTATCTTTACCTATCGATGGAGTCACCACTGTGCGATTAATTATTTCCGGCATCACGTCAAGTTTCTACAACAATGTCCAAAACTTGGTATCAGAACTTTCGGGGGCAACATTTTCAACATCACGATTTTCGACATCCCGACCTCTATCATAACGTCACGAGTGTCCACTTCCAGAGCAGACGCCCGAATGCCTATGGTGAGTTGATTTGCGATCGTTCTTGAAACCTATGACTGGTGTTCGGATTCTCCTTTTCACGTCCCAGATGAGTCAACACCACCGTCCTATAAGCATGCGACCGTGTCTCGACTCTTGTAGTTTTCTCCAAACCACTTCCATACGCTTCTTACGTTCTTCAATCATCAACGCAAATTCAACTATGGCCCGACTAGAGCAGTTCGAAAACATGGAGCGTTTTCCTTTCATGGCTCTCCCACCAGAGCTTCGCCTCATGGTTTACGACTTTGCCCTTGAAGACATCAAAAAGTACACGGAACCTCGGGCGCATTTAAAGCAACGTGCAGGCTCAAACGTCCCCCAAAACCCAGTCGCTCTGCTCTGGGTGTCACGATGCATTCGAAACGAAGTACTGTACCCCAATACGTCAGCGCTGGATTTGAGCGTCAGTATACACCGCCAAAAGGCAAACTGGACTGCCGAGTTTACAGGAAAATTATCATACAAATATCTCGCGTTTGCCCCTGCCAATCCCATGAAACGCGGACAGTCATCACCTCGATGGATGGGTATCGAAGATCGCAATGCGCATCAGCTTATTCGTCTGGTCAGATCTGCAGTCTTCAGTTTGAAGCTAAGTCAACACTGCTTTCTGGTAGTCACCCTTACTTTTGGCGATGCAGTTGATCTCACGGTCCGCATCGACAGCAATTGTGCTCGCCTAAACTTCATAAACGACCCTTATGGGCTTTTCAAAGCAGAAAAAGACGATGAGGATGCCATTGCCAAAGTCAAAGCTAGAGTCACGGAGAGATTGGGATATTCTACAGTTTGTACCCAGGAGTTGGTCAAAGGCCTTGCTGGTGACTTGAGTACGCTTGGTGTACACACTGAGAATGGAGACTTCATCACCCTTCCTCCAATATCAAGTTAGAGGGCTGGAGTAGTTATGAAAATCTAGGATTTGAGCATTATCATGACGATACAATCTAGACGATCTCCTTGGGGGGTCCGGATTGGCTCTACTACGATCCCGTGTCCACTCGTGAAAGAAGCTCAGTCAACAATACCCTAATCTTGAGACGGCGCAGCCAAGGTGAATGTCAGCTAGAAGCTAGCAATGGAGAGAAAGGAGATAGGTCTGCATATCACCTCTTCCTCTACGCAAGCTGTGCTCGTGCTTGCCTGACCAACATCAACTTCGACACCTTGGGCCGCAACAGAGTTTGGAGAGTAGCGTCTACCAACTGATGCACATACACCTGATACACCCACCGTGGAGACGGCACACGTCGGATGTCTTCTAAGCGAGAGTAGAGCTTCCTTGCTGACTCCCTTCAAGTACTTGCGACGACTGGGTTTGTTCTAGGGTGCCATGTTATTGGAGACCGATGACCACATAGGTATCGGAGTCACTTTCACAGACAACTTTATCACAAAGGAGATCAACTGTACAATCTTCTCATCGTCACCGAGCTTCTTTTTCTCATTTCGTTAGCACATCCATGTATTTCTGGCACGACCTGGATCTACGGCAATGACTCGGCCAGTCGAATTTGTGATGTTCTCGGTTCAGCCGAGTTAGGCTCTCGCTGTCTGTCTCGCCATAAACTTCCATCCTTGCCAAGAACTAGGTGGGGTTCTCTATGGTATATGAGGAATTATCGGCGATGGCTGATAGTGAAAGTGGTAGAACTGAAATAAGGCGCGAGACAGACGGGAAGCATCTCTTTTCGCAACCGAGGGATGCTTTTTCTGATAGCAGTGAGGTACATCATTGTGGTCGTCACTAAACTCACACAAAGCCACGAAAAAAATTGCACATTTATGGCAAATCCTTTCAGAAACAAACTGTCCAGCAACAAATGACGTTCTTGCCCAGGAATACATCGACAGAGAAACGGCATAGTAAAGACATCCTATCTGCAGTTTGAGATACCATCTCAACCTCAATCTTCATCATGAGCGAAATAGAGCACCCGCGCACGAGGTCGTTCTGTTGTTCGACAAGAAACCAGAACCCAGGAAGCAAACGCTGGGAGCCCCTCTGCCGGGATCATACAGAATTGGAAGGTGAAGGTCACTGATACCAGTCTCTCCTTCCACATCCCAATTCGACGATTACTTCCTGCTTGCCTTCAGCATCACACCTCAAGGGGTCAAAGGAGATATGGACGGGGTGAGAGGGTATACGGACCTGAGTATCTCTCTGGTGCTCTCGCTTGTCTCTCCACTTGCAATCCTGTGAATCGGTGAACAGTGTCGCTGAGCGGGACACCATTGTCACTCAGTGGGACACCTTCGTCGTTGAGCGGGCCACCATTGTCCTCGATCTACGTGATGAAGGAAGAAGAGGACTGGTGGTGGTGTGGAGATTCTTTTTATAGCTGTCCCGTGCCGAGAATCGAGTGGTGACGATCGATGATAGCAATCAGTCACTTTAATATGGTAGCCCCTCAAACTGTCTCTTGAAGTCAAAGAACTAGCTTGGGAGTCGAAGTGACTGGAACATGTCGGTTGATCATACTTGATGTAAAGCTATCAAATATGCATGCTGACAATTTTGTATCACTTGAGTCCAGCTCAGTGCTTTCTCCTTCTCTTGTGTTTCTTTCTCCAATCTCCAAGTAATAGACCATACATTTCTCTCATCGATAATATGTTCCATAAGTATAGTCGCCAAGGTCAATCCTCAATACATAAGACTTCTAGCAAACACGACGACGACCAAGGCCCATTGTGCAGCACCTCCTTTCTTGGCCACCTTTTTCTCAACACCATGACCGCTGACTGAAACGATACTGGGGATGATGACGACGATGCTTGTCGTCGCTCGGGATGGTGTGTTGGCAGGTGTGGCAGGATCGTTGCCGGCGGTGAGATTTGATGAGGTCGAGTTCGATAAGATTGTGGTAGCGAGGGTGGTTGTGTCTGCTGCGATGAGCGTCGTGGATGATTGTAAGCGAGTCGAAGATGCTGTATGGCTAACACTGCAGAAGGAAGACAGATAGCTATGTGCCGCTACACGTTCAGTCAGTAGAGGCGTATACTCTGACATGAGGGCCACTTACCTTGATTGTCGGATGCATCTCCTCCTTCTCCACATGACAACATCACACTCTGGCCACCAACAAACCAGCACTGTCCGGTCGAAGCACCGTTTGCATCAAGCGGCACCTCTCTCGTACCACCAGCGCACTGGTTCTCCTCGAAGAGTCCAAGCGAGCAATGTTGCTGAATACCATTCTGACCGGTCGATACCAAGAAGGATTGGAAGCGATAGGAATTGGTCTGGCAGATGCCTGGTCGTAGCTGCAGCATCGGTTGGGGTTGGGTCGCTCCAAAGCTGGACATCTGCTGACATGCAGTATTGTGGCTAGACGTAAAAAACATGCTTGTGCGTGTGTTGATGCCTGTCGAAGAGACAGAGACACTGCATGCACCATCGATGCAGGCGGATATTGCTGATGTCCAGTTTGCCAGACATGTCGACGCTGAATGCGAGTCGGGATAGGGTGCCATGCAGGCCGACTATGAACATGATCAGCGATGTCTATGCAACAGAAGTCCATGTCTCATGGTACCAAGCAGGGCGGCATCTCGCTATTTGACAGAGCGAGGACAGCCGATGCAGCAAGAACAGCGATGACGAGGAGCTTCATCTTGATGTTGTAGTGAACGTAAGTGGAACTGGACTATATCGGAGTCGTGTTATGTCCTTCGACGGACGCCCCTAGACGGGGTTGCTGAGGGAAGATGAGATGTGTTTGGGATGGGATGAAGCGTAGCGTGGAGAGCACGAGGATTATGCGTGAATCATAAAGAGTTGGAAGGTACTGCAGATTATTTTGTAGCCAAGCAATGGCAGTCGCTACTTTCTGTTAGAGTGGTCAAGTTTGGGTAAGATGTGCCACCGGCGGTGAAACTTGAACTACTCTTCCAAATCACACTTCCATAGTCTGGTCCGATATGTGGCTAGTCTGCAATTGAAAGCTTGTCATGTTTTGGATGATTGAATTTGGTGTATAAGTTATTCTACTACACCCTTTCTCCCAGAACGCCTTCGTGTCAGCTGATGCATGAAAGGGCCCAGTCAAATGCGCCGGGCCGGGTGAAGCCTCCCGAAAAAGTGATTCCTGAATATAAAATTACAACCATGGCATGATGATGTGGAATGGCGGATGAGAGGGAGGTCGTGATAAGAAGAAGAGAATCGACAATTACTCGTTCCTTCTCTAATTGTACTGAGCGTACGCGGCCGTGGAGTTGAACTTGAGACCGCCACGAATGACCTTCTCGACGGCGCTGAGGAAGTCCTTCTCGGTAGCGACCTTTCTGCGGGCACGGATGGCGAACATACCGGCCTCAGTAGCGACAGAACGCAACTCGGCACCGGTCGAGTTGGGGCACAAACGAGAGATGAGCTCCCATCTGATATCGCGCTCGACACTCATACTCTTTGCGTGGATGCGCAAAATGTTGGCGCGGCCCTCCATGTCGGGCAGGGAGAACTCGATCTTACGATCAATACGTCCCGGACGCATAAGAGCGGGATCGAGAGTTGAGGGACGGTTGGTAGCGAACATGACCTTGATGTTTCCACGAGCGTCGAAACCATCGAGCTGAGTGATAAGCTCGAGCATAGTACGTTGCACCTCGTTGTCACCACCAGCACCGTCATCGAAACGGGCACCACCAACAGCATCAATTTCATCGAAGAAGATGATGCAAGCCTTCTTTGTGCGGGCCATCTCGAAGAGCTCACGAACCATACGGGCACCCTCACCAACGTACTTTTGCACCAGCTCAGAACCAATGACACGAATGAAAGTGGCGTCTGTTCGGTTGGCGACAGCTCTGGCGCAAAGAGTCTTACCGGTTCCGGGAGGACCGTAGAGAAGGGCACCCTTGGGAGGGTCGATTCCCAGGTGGACGAAGCGTTCTGGTGACAGCAGGGGCATTTCGACGACTTCGCGAAGCTTCTCAATCTGCTCCTTGCAACCACCAACATCACCGTAGGTAACGTCCGGCTTGTCTTCGACTGTCATCATGGTGACTGAGGGGTCGATCTTGGGTGGCAGGGGAAGCATGATTTGGTACTTGTTACGATCGACACTGTAAGTAGCATGTTAGTGGGATGCCTAGACGAATTGATGGGCAAATATAACTCACCCTACTCTCATGCCTTCCTCGATATCGGTAGGAGAGACGCGCTCGCCGAGGTTGACGACAAACTTTGCTATTTGTTTGACGTTGATGACATATTTGCTCTTCTCTGAATCCTTTTCATCGGGGATGATCTTTGTGCAGCGGGCGACTTGGAGCGGTTGCTCTTCTTGCATGCGTTGTCTATCGGCGGCGATATCCCAGAGATGCGGAGGGGCGAGACCAGTGTCTGACTCCTATGAGGGCATGAGTATGGCTGCTGCTGCATATGTGTAGTATGATCTGATTGTACCTTGACACCAATCTTCTCGTTGACGCTAGTCTGACGGTCCTTGATCTCCTTCTCCAGCTTCTTGAGGGCGGCGGCATATGGAGCGGCGCCGTATGTCTTTAGCACCTGGATATCCTCGTCGGACAAGGGAGTGATCTTCTTCTCCTCGGGTTCATCATCGGCAAACTTCTTCTGATATTTCTCCCAGTTCTGACCCGTGGCGCTGGGCATGGCGGCGGTGGTTTAGATGGTGATGACGAATGCGGGAGTGAAGTGAGGGTTCGTGATAAGGCCGGAGGACAGATGGCGGACGAGCGATGAGATATTCGGCCGTCCAGAGAGTCGAGAGATGGAGCGAGACGAGGCTGATGGCAGATGCGGATTGTGTTGTTGTGAGTGAATAGAGATGGAACAGCGATGGCGCGGATGGAAGCTCTCGCCGCAACATGACGAGCAGCAGCTCCAGCCAGAAACAGCCTTGGCAAGCTTTCCCGACGCCGACGCTGGAGGTTCGAAAATTAATATCATCGACAAGAGCACTAGAAACAACTCCTGTTTCCCGCTGCTTGATTCGTATCCAGGCCATCTCTTGCTCGTCGCATACCACATAATACACAGCAGAGATCATGTCACACCAAAACCCGGCCACCAACGCCGGCAACGCCGCCTTCAAGGTAAGAACTGTCCCCAAACACTCCGCTGTCTCCTATCAATGCTGATGTCTAGTAGGACAAGGAGAAGCCTCAGGCTGTGCGCACTGCCAACATTACTGCCGCCAGAGGTATGTACTATCCTTGCGCCCATCTCTATACCCCTACTGACCCTGTCTAGCTGTCTCCGATGCCATTCGTACCGTAAGCTAAGCGCCGAAACCACTATACTTGGACTTCTATTGACTTACAGCTACCAGTCGCTTGGTCCCAGAGGAATGGACAAGATGGTATGCATATCTGATATCCACATCTGTTTGCGCAAGTCGCTGACCATGACCACAGATCCAAACCGGCAAGGGCGAGACCATTATCGTAAGACTACTCGAAACACCGCTCCTACATCCCTCGATCCCGTACTGATAGCTCGGATCAGACCAACGATGGCAACACCATGTTGCGCGACATGTCCGTCATGCACCCCGCCGCAAAGATGCTCGTCGACCTCGCAAACGCTCAAGATATTGAGGCTGGTGATGGAACTACTTCAGTCGTCGTTATTGCTGGATCTCTCCTCGGTGCCTCTGAGCGCCTGCTCCAAAAGGGTCTCCACCCTACCATCATCTCCGACTCGTTCCAACGCGCCGCAAAGCACGCCGTCGAGGTCCTCACTTCAATCTCCATCCCCATCAACCTTTCCGACAGACAGACCCTCCTCAAGGCCGCTTCAACTTCGCTCTCCTCCAAGATTGTCGCACAAGAACCCAAGCTCGCCCCCATGGCCGTCGACTCGGTCCTCAGAATCATCGACCCCAAAACTGCCGACAACGTCGACCTGAAGAACATTCGTATCCTCAAGAAGCCCGGTGGTGTCATCGATGACAGTGAGATGGTTGATGGTCTGGTCCTGAACCAGCAGGTTGTAAAGAGCGGCGGTGGTCCTACCAGAATTGAGAAGGCTAGAATTGCCCTCATCCAATTCCAGCTCAGCCCGCCGAAACCCGACATGGAGAACCAGATTGTTGTCAACGACTACAGACAGATGGACAAGATCTTGAAAGAGGAGAGAACATACCTGCTCAACATGGTCAAGAAGATCAAGAAGGCAAAGTGCAACGTGCTCTTCATCCAAAAATCTATCCTCAGAGACGCCGTCAACGACCTGTCGCTGCATTTCCTTGCCAAGCTTGGTATCATGTGTGTCAAGGACATTGAGAGAGACGAGGTTGAGTTCATCTGCAAGGTACGGCATTCCATTCTTCACCTTGCTCGAGATATGCAGCATACTGATTTATCCACAGAGCACTGGTTGCAAGCCCATCGCAGACATCGACTCATTCACAGAGGACAAGCTCGCTAGCGCAGACCTTATCGAGGAGGTTTCATCGCTCGGCTCGCGCATCACCAAGGTCACCGGCATTAAGTCGACAGGTCCCACCGCTCCCAAGACCGTCAGCATCATCTGCAGAGGTGCCAACCCCCTCATTCTCGACGAGGCCGAGAGAAGTTTGCACGACGCACAGTGTGTTTTGCGCTGTCTGGTAAAGAAGAAGGCCATGCTTCCCGGTGGTGGTTCGCCGGAAATGGCTGTTTCGCACTCCCTTTCAAGACTCGCACTCACCTCCTCATACCCGGACAACATCTGCTTCAAGGCCTTTGCCGAAGCCCTCGAAGTCGTTCCTATCACCCTGGCAGAAAACGCCGGTCTCAACTCCATTAAGGTTGTCACAGAGCTCAGATCACGACACGCAAACGGCGAGACGAATGTCGGTGTCAGCATCAAGCGTGGAGGCGTTGGTGTCATGGGTGGTGAGGTTGGAGGCAACGCTGGAGAAGGTGGTGAGGGTGTCATGCAGCCCCTTCTCGTCAGCACCAGCGCCATCGAGTTGGCCGCCGAGACCGTCAAGATGATCTTGAGAATTGACGACATTGCCCTGAGCAGGTAAACAAGAAACGCTCGAGTTGTTTTGATACCTTTTAGCATGAAACAAAAAGATACAGTTGATAAACAGGCTATATTCGAAGTCTGTAACCACAAAACAAAAATGTAAAATGAGCATGAAGAAGTGTATAACAGCCATGATCACTTGATGTCCGCCCGTTTGTGGAAGGAGGTCTCCGTGCAGGTACCTGATATCCCAGCTCTCACATCAGGTCAGATCAGTATGCACGCATGTTGAAGACCTGCAAGGTTCACAGCGCCTCCAAAAGCCACACCCGCAGATTACTAACAATAAACAAGAAATGTCAATACAGTGCCGAAAAGCAGACATTCGTCCATTACAATCGAAAGACCTCCCTATGCTAAGCTTTGTCACTTCGACTCTCAAGCCGTGGCGATGCGCATCGTCCCCCCTATCAAAATGCACAATGATTTCCAGAAAGAGCACATCGACCACAGAGAGCGACTATCTGACGCCCTCTCCTTGGACGTAGCTCTACTTTCGGTAATTATCGTGCATTTTTACCGGCAGTATCAGTGGCAGGCATTAGCACACGGGGATGGAGGATACAGCATATGGAGGACAGCTTTCTTATCAAGAGTTTGTGTTGAACAAGACATCATGCACAGGGTGCTCATCCAAAAATGTCGAGAAGCAAGTGATCTTCAAAGACAGCAGGGGCTAGAATTTCTTCATATGCCCCCATCCGCGCCGTTGAGTAGAGTTTGTGCTGAGATGTGGAGAAATAGGAAAACCAATAGCGGCAATACCGACAAGCTTGTCTTGTCTGGGTACGTGCATGGAGAAAGACGAGACAAGACAGGACTCCAAGGATATGCAGGTGTGGGATGTGCTACTTGTGTTACTCGTGGAGGAGTGAATCAAGCTGTGAACATGCTTGTCGCAGAGCTGACCTTGAAAGATGTGCTGATTTGAGGTCTGGTTCAAGAGGTTGGTCAGGGCGCGAATCTGGAGATGTGGGCGATGTTGGCTTGGCGGGCCTAAACGAACGCCTCGACGCAACTTTGACGAAAGCAACGTGCAAGTCGTCGGGCGGCGACGGGACGGTCTATGGGGATGCGCCATGTGTTTGATGGGATTGGGGGGTGGGCTGGGTAGAAGCGGTGTCGTAGGTACCTATGTACAAGATTTCTTCCCCTTCCTGTTGTTGATTCTTCCATCTCCAAAGCTGTTATTGCTGGAATTGGTTGCTTTTGGACCGTCTCTTGACAGCTCTTGGTGGTTGCTTTTGTCGCAGCGTAACGCGCCGATAACCCCGATCTCGTCTCTCCATCCGCCGATCTCCTGCTCTGCTGTCATCACGTCGCCAGGTCTCGCTGTCTGCTCTGCATCGACATCCAGCGGTCAAGGATCCACATTGTTCCTCCCCTTTACTCCCACGACATCCGCGACCACGCACGATAAGACGTCGATATTCTTGGTTACTCTGCATAACCCACCTTCGGTCCCCCGCCTACTCATCCACCTCGAAGCCTGCGACAATCCAGCCAGCCGACTCTCCGGACAGGTTCAACCCTCGTATCCTCCAGCTAGAGTATGCCGTGTTGCCCTGTTGTCTCACACGAATTACTCAACTAAGATAGTTTGTAGCACTCGTTATCTGCTTTTGCAATTCTGCGAGCATCCGTCCCCTTTCTCCCTTGCACTCAGCCTTCACTTTCAAGTTGCCTACGAACGACTCGACAAGCTAGCGACTCCATCTCTCGCCTGCTTCACGCTTCTTAGATCAAGGTTATGAGGTAGCACCCTCTCCACCATATTACAACCGCTTCGAACAAGCACAATTCCGCCATATACCACACAATGTCTTCTGATCAGCCACGACGTCGGTTCGATCCGACCCCCGTCGAGACTTCTTCAAAGTCGAGTCGGCAAGCAGCACCTACTGAGGAGAACGCGGCTCCTCGCAGATTCAATGTTCAACCCGCCGAGACCACAACACGAAGCAGCAAGGACAACAACAACCAAACCCCGCCGAGGCGTTTTTCTCCAACACCTGTCGAGACAAGTTCAAAAAGCTCGAGGGAAACGCAGCAGTCACCGCAGCCTGCTAGAAGGTTCGCTCCTGAACCCGTTGAGACGAGTGTGAAGAGCAGCAAAGATAGGGAACAAACACTACAGACCACGAGGCGATTTGCTCCAGAGCCTGTCGAGACAAGCACGAAGAGCTCTCGAAATCCGGATCTGCCGGCAGAGAAGCCCAAGTCTCGTTTCCTGCCACAACCCATAGAGATGACCTCCAACAGCAATCGTGCCAAGTCAAGATCACCGCTATCAAACTCGCCCCAAACAAAGTCACCTCAGACCAAGTCACCTCCTAACGAGAAGTCGACTCCCTCATCAACACCTCAGGAAGCCCCCGCCGAAAAGCCAAAGCGACGGTTCGCTCCTCAGCTCATCGACACAGCGACTCGTTCTCGTAAGAACTCGGACGAGAAGCCATCGTGGTCTGCGGATCACAGGACCGACATGACGCCTGGTGAAAGCTCCAGAGTTGCATACAATAACATAGGCCAACAGATTACCATCGCCGATCGCGAAAGGCCGGTATCACCAACCGAGCGACCTCACTTTATTATGCCTTTCGCACGCCGGAAAGATCGATCCGACTCTGCCCGAAGCCATTCGTTCCGTATGCCTGAGCTTGAGACTATCGAGAGCTCTGAGAGTGAACCTAGCGCACCTCCCAGTTTGTCGACGAGCCCCTCTTCCAACGACTTTTCACTCGGAGCAGCCATGGAGCCACACAATAGTGCATACAAACATGCAACAAGAGTTCGTGAAAGCGTGGACGAGACTTTCACTCGCTACTTGCTCGAGCTCGAGGGGAGGAAGGCTCAGGCGAAGCTTCAGGAACAAGCATTGGCAGCATTCCCGAACTCGGACTACCACGAGCCGGTTTCTCACTACTTGAATGCAGAGAGCGAAAGTGAGGACGAGGAAATAGAGGATCGTCCAGCGACATGGGATGGTCATGATGACGATGATTATATGATGAGCGTCCGCACGCCACATGGGCGAGGCTCGACTCACGGAACGTACGAGGTTCGGGAAATGCACCAACACTTCGAAGAGATGGAGCAGGAGCGCAAGGCTGCTGGTACCACACGAAGGCAATCTTCTGTCAAGCCCTCACCATGGTGGAACCCCGCAGGTCACGATTTCGCTGGATCAAACTACCCGGATACAGAGGCGAGAGCCATGCGTGATAGAGCACGTCCGCCTATGCTTGGTGGTGATCTGAAGTTTCCTCGCTCTGCTTCACCTGAACCTGCACGTTTCGATGTGACACAAGGATCCAACCAACTTCGTAGTCAGATGTGCTACTTGACCGAGCAGTCGCAAACTGAAGTATCTCCCGAAGGTCTTTGGGGTGGCAAGAAGTTGTCAGGGGATCCCTCTGAACACCAAAAGAGCACACAAAAGAGTGTGCACACCATTTACAGCCAGAAGAGCGTGACCTCTCAGAACGGCGGAGGACTTTGGGGAGGCTTCTGCGTTGACGACCGCAAATCTGGCGAGAACGGTCTTGCTCCTCCGACAGCTACCATGCAGACTGGATTGATGACACCCGCCGTCGAGCCTCCCAATCCTTTCGAGACTGGTTTCAGCCTGCCTCCACCGACTACACTACCCCAGACGCCGCCCGAGAATGAAGGATTCAATCAAATCGATATCATCCTCAGCGAAGATAATGAGCTGGACGAGCTGATGGAGCAGGAGTTCCCTGATTCTTTCGTCACACAGGTATACAACTACCTCTCACTGGGATACCCGACCATCGCTCGAGCCTACGACGAGGAGCTGTGTAAGATCAGCCACATTCCGATTTCCGAGCTTCGACACGATGATGAAATCGCCAATAAGCTGCCACGGGGCTATATTCGATTGGGAGAGGACTTCGAAGGTAGAGGTGACGGCACAGACCAGGAACTCGAAGAAGATGGTTGTGCAAGATGGATGGCACTGAAAAAGTACATACGCGAATGGGCTCGCCAAGAGAAGAATATGGTCAAGACCGGCTCCACTGGAGGTCTTGCCGGTAACTGGGGCACAGGCGCTAGAAGGGGTAGTTGGGCATGGTAGAAGGAATTTGCTTGTTATTATGCTGCTATCGTTTGCATTGGGATGGCGTTCTCTCTCTCTTTCATGGCGGATTTTGCATTTGAAGCACACGCACACATTATTTGCTTGCTTGGCCACACTTTTCCAGTATATCCCACGATTGATAATTATATTACCAAAAGCAGTCTACTTATCCGAATCACTGTTCAGAAATTGTGTGCTTGAGCATTTGGTGAGAGACGAGGTGGTCGAGGCTCTAGAATTATGCAGATACCTCAGATAGGTTTCACGTGATTATGCACAGCTATGCCGCAGATCCAAAACTTTTTTCCTCCACAACTCCTCCTCCACTTACGGTGCTACCATTTTATTTTATCAACATACATATTCCATCAACATGTCTTTAGTCGGTGCCCTTCTCTTCTGTAACGATTGCGGTGGTCTCCTCGAGAGATGTCCTGCCTCTCAAGCAAACATCGATTGTGATGTCTGTGGCAAGAGAAACCAAAGTAAGCCAATTTTTTGAACCTCACCTCAGACACGAAAGAAAAAGCAGAAAGAGCGAGAATGCCATCTACTCATGTCCAAACTCCCGAACGAGCCTGGCGAAAAATCGAAAAACAGACATTCTCCAAATCAAACACCCCAAATCACTCGTAATTTGAGCACCACTAACTCCAGCAAACCAGACAAATGGCCCACTTCCATCACCACCGAATCAGCACCCACAGCATTCCCCTCTCGTCTCCGCGACGCACGCTCTGAGATTCAAGTCCTCAGCGCAGAGGATCGTGAGACTTGGGCAATGACCACAACAGCATGTCCCCAGTGTGCGAACCCCGAGATGAGATTCAGAGATGTGCAATTGAGAGGTGCGGATGAAGGTAGTACGATTTTCTACAGGTGTCCGAAGTGTGATTATAAGTAAGTTGATGAACAAGCAAGCAGGAGCGATCGGGATTTGGAGCATGAGGGCTAACGTGATGATAGATTTAACACCAACAACTGAGGTTGTGAGGAAGAGAATTTGGGAGAGGATGGTGAGCAGGAGAGGCAGCTACGCCGCAAAGCATTGGACAGGCGTCAGAAAAGTGTTGCTAGTTTGATACCCCCCGTTAACAATTTTTGTTCGTCAATTTTCCTTTTCTCTGAGAGATCACTTCACCATTGCAGCAGGTTTCACTTTCCCTCGCCCATCAGAATTACTCTTACTGCATCTTGTTTCCTCTTCTCACTTCACCCACCTCAATAAAGGGAACTTTCACTTCCAGCCCCGGCCGCTGTGGTCCTTAAATATTTCCGAGTCAGCTTCCATCTCACTCTCTGCCACACGACAACAACTCTCTCGACGGCATCCAGTTGAACACACTACCGTTACTTTTCCATCTCTTGGTTGCAACCCTTTGCACCACGGTTAGTGAGACGCAGTGATCTGCCTTTCACATCCAATCACAACGAACATTGGCTCTCTTCTTTCCTCAGTTTCGCCTGGACAGCTAAAGATCTTGTGAGTATGCGCGCCTTTCTTTCGAGTTTCTCCAAGGCACTGACCTCTAGATTAGCCTGCGTAATGAGCAAATTGAAGGAACTTTGTGCCGTCTGCCCGCGCCCAGATGGACCTGGTCAGCACTCCAGCGTGCTTCATTACCATCCACGCCCAGCCAAAACCTGTTCCGGCTGCAAAAACATTCGATACTGTTCTCGCACCCACCAGAAAGAGGACTGGCCTGTTCACAGCACTGTCTGCAAGCAGTTTGCTAAGCTCGGAGATCGTCCTTCTCCCAACATGATTCGTGCCATTTATTTCCCGGCGGATGACACTGAGCCAGAGTTCAAATGGGTGCCAAACAAAGTAGCACGTAAAGACTACGGATGGCACGAGGCGCCAGAATGGGAGGGAAAAGATCCGTACGGCTCGTATAACACTCGCCACTTGGTTCTCCGTTGCGATAAGGAATGTCGAGGCAGATACCACAAGGAAGGATGTTACAACATCTGGATCAAAACACTCAAGGATGACGAGGCTAACGAATTTGAGTGGGCCAACGATTGTGTGAAAGAACTCACTGAAGACCTCAATACCACATGGAAAGGTCCGATACTCGCCTACGGAACTGAACAGCACTATTACCATCCTTTCGACAGAGTCAAAGCTATCGACCTGGACACAACGGACTTGAAAGTTTTGGCCCTCGCCTTCTTCCGGGGCGGCTCCCGCGAGCATCGCGTCAAAGCCGTCCAGATCAATTGCGTCGGTCACATGAAGCGGTACAAAGCACCCGAGTTTGAGTCCAAAGTCGTGGACTGGCGTCAATTTACTATGGCGGATGCTCATTGCCAGATACCAAAGATGATCGGTCTACCATTGGCACTCCACGACACAAAAACCGATGATGGCCTGGACACTCACAACGTCAAGGCGAGCCTGCTCAAGATGGAATGCAGCCTGCAATCGGTCCGCTGGGGTCATTACAGTCGAAAGAAATTAGGAAACATGATCGTCGTCCATGACCATGGAAAGCATATCGAACCTCATACCGTTCAGGCTCTATGTGCCTGGATTGATAAAGGCCTAAGACCATTTTTCAACCTGGCGAGGAAGCTGAACAGAAACGACTTGAAACTAATCAAACACAATGAACCTCAACGCGAACAGATTGGTGCGCAAATTTCCGGACGCCACGACAAAATGATCGAAAAGATCTCGAAGGACAAGTACCTGGAATATCACAAAGGCCGAATGGACGACGAAGACTCGACAGACGAAGACATGCCAGACGACTACAGCGCTGAAGAGGAATCTGAGGATGAAGATGATGGTACGGAAGAATGATCGCTTGATCGAGCGTCTCAATTGAAGTAGCGCATCACTCAAGAGAAACGATCACCTCTCTCATCCATGCCGAAATAAATATGGAGGCGCTACCAGATCTCACGCCGACTAGCGACTTTTCCATGTCCTCTGCAGATGGCACACAACGGCCGATTGAGACGACCGCCGTATGGAATCTCTTGACTCAAGGCGAACTCACTGAAGCTGAAAACTGGCTTCGCTCTCTTGGGTTCTTTACTCGATGAAGCCGTTTTCTCCTTCTCCACTCAGTGCGAAGGAGACCAATGCGACTCCACAGACTGCAGATGCATATAGCAACTATGCAGATTCCATAACCCAAATTGATCATTTTCCATTTACAAGTTCTGAACCACTCTACTCTCTTCTATGCTCCCCTCTTCTTGTCTGAGATGTTATTTATACCGTACTGATGGTCCTAAATTTAGGTCTCGCGCTTCCTTTTGCGTTGGCAGTGCAGCTCAATTCGAGGTGGGCAAGAGCGATCTGGACAGCTTCCTTAGAAGGCTTCACTTTGGCTTCGTTTGTGCCTTTCTGACAATCCACTCATGAGGTAAGTTTTCTTATGAATCTCAAGTTCCAATTATGGATACATGTTCCCGTACAGACAGCAGTCCGGTGGGAACACGGGAGCCGTTCCAACAACGGATCTGTAACCATATCAACAGCAATACTATTATAGAAGCACTACAGATCAACTGGTTCGTGCTTACTTTCTATGCACTTCCTCCACTTGATGTCTTCTTCTTCTACCTCATCTTCTGGTTTGCAACCTCCCTACTTCTTCGACACATCAATATTCCAGTCACGGAGATCTGTATTGCAAGACTCAGTCTAGACCACTCTTCCGTTCCAGACAGCAGTCCAGTGGTGGTACGGGAGCCGTTCCAGCAACAAATCCAGCCACTACTTCCTTTTCAATACACCACGAACATAGACACGGAGATTCGCATTCCAGGAGCCATTCCAGACGGACCTTCCGCTCCAGATAACGGTCCAATAGTGGTACAGAAGCCGTTCGTGTCGTGTTCCAGCAACAGATACAGCCATACCCACAGCAAAACCACAGTCGTTACAGCTGCACTACGGATCGGCTGGCTCGCCGCTCATGTTTGCTTTCTACGCACTTCCTCTGCTCTATATCTTCTTCTTCTCGTGATCTTCAACCTCGACGACTTCTTCTTCAACAAACAACTTGTTCGAAACTCCAGATTATCAGTCACGATCAATTTTCGATAGCCCTCCGTTCCGGACATCAATCCGGAAGCGTTCCAGCAGTCCAGCAACCATTCCAGCAGCCGTTCCAGGACCCGGTCCAGCAGCAATACGGGAGCCACTACATGAGACATTACAACAACTCCACCTTTCACGAAGTCTAAGGTGATTCACCCATCGAGACCTCGAGGTTCATCCTAAGACACAGAGTTCTTCGTCATTACTGCTTCTCAAAATTCGACACATTCGACTGCCCACACCATCATACCCATTTCGCCCTTAAAAGCCAGAGCGCCAGGCTACATTTACGATCCCTTGACAGCAATAACTCCTCTTATACTACCTTCCCAACACTCGGATCTCCGCCCATCAACCTCATCCACAATGAACACTAATTGTGTTGTGTGTCCGCCACCGGCTTCTGCCTATTCTGACTCTGGGATACGTTACAAATCCCACGCAACAAAATCATGTTCTGGATGCAATGATATCCACTACTGCTCTCGTACACACCAAAAGGACGATTGGAAGATTCATCGTTTGATCTGCAAGAAGCTTGGTGAAGCTGGTGAGCGTCCTTCTTCTAACATGAGACGAGTGCTCTTCTTTCCTGTCGATGGCACACAACCTGAATTCAGATGGGCACCAGTGGAAGTGAGAGACCAGAATGGCAGAAACAGACCTGGAGAGTGCCCAATCTGGGAAGGAACAGACCTGTATGCCGACGCTGAGGAGCACATATACGGCTGCAATCCTAGTTGCAACGACGGTACATTGTTTTACCATATAAGCTCTTGCCACAACATTGTCATCAGCGCCCTCGGAAAGCGTGATCCAGAGAATGCAGCAGTAAACAAGTGTGTTGAACAGCTTACCGGTGGCAAAGTCACCCACATCAAAGGGGACGCGATCGCGTTCGGGATCTCGAATTACAACCACACGCAGAACATCACCCAGGATCCACCCTCTCAATGCATCGATATGAGCACAGCAAGCCTGACGCTCATCAAATCATTTCTCGTGCGTAATGTTGCCTCGAGACAAAACATTCGCGCTGTCCGCATCAACTGCATTGGCCATATCAAACTGCAGAACACTTTGCCATTTGAATCGGTAGTGATCAGAAGCTCGAAAGCTCAGTCCAGGAGCTCGGTTGCAAACTTCCATGTCACACGCCTCCTCGGACTTGATCTCGTTGGTTGGCAAACGACTACCGAAAACGGGCTTGACGATCGCAATCCAATGGCCAGTCTGCTTGACATCACCTGCAGCAAGAGAGAATTGGTCAATGGAAGTCTGAGATGGGGCTACTATCGAAACCAACGCTGGGGAAACATCGTTGTCATGCGCAGCGATGGAGAGCCTCTGGGACCAGAGTTTATGCAAGCTTTGTGCACCTGGATCGACAAGAGAATCAGACCTTGTTTCAACAAGGCAAGAGCCCAAATCCAGCTCGAAAAGAAGAGAGGCGATACAACTTTTGAAGAGGATCAAGCCAGAGCCGCTCGCATCGAGGATATCCAGGACAGAACCAATGCGAAGATCACGAAGGAAGAATTTCTGGAATACCACAAAGGCAGACTGGATGACGAGACTGATGATGAGATGCCGAATACTTTTGGCGCAGAAGAGGAGACCGATAATGAGGAATGACCGAAGGCAGGGCTGGTGTAGAATTTTTCTTCTTCTTTTGCCCTCCACAGAAGGGACGACCAAGCATCTGGTCTTGCCTATGGAGAAAGGAAGTAGGCTTGCCGAGAAACACCACAAGGATGGCTTTGGAAATGCAACTCAGAGCACAAGCGCGTCAGAAAGTTGACATAGCGATTAATGATGGAGATAGCTGCGAAACTGACAGCAAAAGAGTTGCCTCCAAAGCCAAGACTTCAAAAACGGAGGTCATCAGACAGAAAGACATTCAAGTAGCAATAACAATCTCCCCTCTCTTTAACCATCGCATGTTCGTGAAGAGAAGAAGTCAAGACGGTTAAACTTTTGACAATCACATGCGAGAAGCCTCAAACAGGCTACGTCACACAGCCAAGAGTCCGGGGTAGTCATGTACCGAGGTTGTTGGAATGTTTCCAGAGCCGGCAAGAGCGTCCCTCGGTTGCTCCATCAGATGTCAAAGGGCACATGGAGCTGTCAGAAACAATGACTTGGCTAGATCTGTCCAAACAACTTTCACTGACTACCTCCACTTCTTGATTCCTCACCGTCAACCTTCTCAGCCGAAACAGTCTTGCTCTCCGAACGACGGACCACTTCTCTCACCTCACACGACACCACACTCTATACCGCAACCATGGATATCTCAGCGCTCCAAGTATCTTCTCTTTCCCTCCACCTGCTCTCTACAACAACCCACTAACACCTCTCACAGCAAACATGCACCCGCATCCTCCTAAACCCCGACTACCAACCCCCCCTCTCCCTCCTAAAAGCCCTCCGCAACGGCCTAGTCTACGGCACAAAAATCCGCTTCCCCCACGCCCTCGTAATGATCCTGCTTTTCCGCAGCGGTCCCTTTCCCGCCAAACTCGCCTCCGTCCTAAAAGCCACTCGCCAACACGCCACCAATCTCGCCACTTTTGCCTTTTTGTATAAAGCCATCATGCTGTTGCAGAAGATGGTTAGACCGCAGCAGAAAGAGTGGAAGGGTGATTCGTTTGTGGCTGGGTTGGCGGGTGGGTATTGGGTTTTTGGTAGGAGGAAGAGTTCGGTTAATCAGCAGATTGTTATTTATGTTGCCGCGAGGGTGGTGCTTGCGGCTGCGAGTTTGGCTTTCCAGCCAAGAGGGGATAATACATTGCTAGGAGGAAAGTATGGAGGACGAGGTGGCATGGGCTTGCTCTCGATGAGTGATAAGAACAGAGAGGCTGTGAGGGCGCATGCTTGGCCTGTGTTTGCGAGCTTGAGTTGGGGCTGTGTCATGTGGATGTTCAGGTTCTATCCTGAGATGCTGCAGCCGAGCTTGAGAAGTTCGATGACTTATCTGTATGTTGACGATGTTGAAAAGGGAGAAGGGATCATTGCTGACACATGACAGGTACGACAACGCCGATCACTGGGACTCGTTCAGGAACTTCTTGGTGCATAACAAATGAGAGGGCAAAGAGAAGGAACGAAAGATGCATATTACGACTTTACGACATGACCATTACTCGCTGGCTGTGGCTCAACTATAGAGCGATCTACTTGGAGTCGGACGAGGAACCTTCATTACCGAGGACCTTTCAGATATCCTCGACAACATCCTCCACGGTCTGAACACCGTCGGGGCGCATCAACGACCACATGAATCGAAGCCAGCCAATGAGAACGGAGAAGCCATCCTTGACGATCTCGGGGATCTCAGGGACGCGAAACTCCCATCCTGACCACTCAGGCCACTTGAGCCACTTGAACCAGTCCGGCCACTCAGGCCAAGCCATCCAGTCCGGTCTCTGCACCTCCATCTTCCAGAACTCGCCCTCCAGAAAGCGTGGCTTGCTCATCTGAACCCCAGCAATCTTCTCCACAAGCTTCAGCAACATCTCCTTGATCCAAGCAAGAGGAGCGAATAACCAGTTCAGGTTTGCAATCTTGAGCATAGCAGAGTAAGACCAGGCGAAAGGAGCAACGATCCATGCTCTGAGCAAGAAATACAAGCCGATACCTTTGAGCACATAGCCCTTGATCCAATAATAAGCAACCACTGCAAAAGCAACAGCAGCGATGACACCGATGATAGAGATAACGATACGTGCATTTCCCCTTTATCCACGTGAATGTCTCGTCAGCAAAATTCTTTCTTCTCAAGTCTTGCATGGCTCGTTGATTCAAGGTGAGAGTGAGAAAGAAAATCATTACCATGTGAACGAAGCAGCCTTGTCTGCCTTTGCATCTGCAGGAGTACCTCCCCATGCGGCATCACCGGCTTTGCCGGCAGGAGCGGTATCCCAAGCTGAAGGGTCTGCGTTCGTCTGTCCCCAGTCTCCAGCAGCGGCGGCTGGTGCTTGGTCCCAATCGTTTCCTGCTGCAGCTGCATTGTCGGCTTCTCTGTTGGACTTGATGGTGGGTGCCTTTGTGGCAGGCTTGCTCTTGTGACTGGCGTGGTGGCTTGATGCTCCTGCGGCTGCTTGGGATTGCGAGTGCGAGGATGCTGGGAAACTGCCTGGAGCTTCCTTTGTCTTTTGCGATGGCGTCTTGGAGGGTGTCTTGGAAGGTGTCTTGGAGGGGTGTTTAGAGACTGACTTTGCAGGGGCAGGAGTGGTAGTGTCCCAGGACTGTTGGGGTGTGGGAGCACTGCCCCAGTCAGCTTGAGGAGTGGTAGTGTCCCAGGACTGTTGAGGTGCAGGAGCAGTGCCCCAGTCAGCTTGAGGAGTGGCGTCCCAGGACATGGCGGGAGCAGTCGGAGCCTTCGAGGCGACCTTTGAGGGTGCCTTCGATGTCGGCTTTATGGGTGTCTTGTCGGCGGACATTTCCCAGGTCTTGCCTTGTGTAGGAGGAAGATCCTTTGAGGTTGCTTCTGGCTGGGCTGATGCGGCCTTGTGGGAGGTAGGCTTTGCGGTGGTGGGGACCTTGTCGGGGGTAGAGGTCTTCTTGCTGCTGCTGCTTTCCTTGCTGGCCATCTGTTTCTATTAGTGTTTGTCACTTGGGATGGGCATGGTATACTCACTCGCAACCTGTACAACTCCTCTGCAAGTTCATCCTTGGACATATCGGCCAATTTGGCCTTCAAGTGCTCTCCTTCCTCCTTGATGGCAATCTTGAACTTCTTCTCAATGACTCTCTTACTGCGATACTTGAACGTAAACACAGCATAAGGCTTCTGCATACTGTCCAAGTACTCGGGGCGGGCGCAGAGATGCAGATATTGTGCGCCTTTGCCTGTCTTGACTTGATGTTCGACATGCTTGCTGCGAGCAACAGCCTTTGGAACAGAGGGAAGAGGATCTTCGGGGGCGATGTACATGAGATCGCGGCGGGAGGGATGAGGACCATTATTAACAGGGCGTTTGTTCCAGTCTGACCAGTATGGCTTGGGTTGGATGCTAGGATCGTCTGAGGCTCCGTCGAAGAGGCCGAAGAAGCCGCCCATTTCGCTTTCGGTCTTTGCTGTGGGAGGTTTGGGGGCAGCCTTGGACTCAACTTTGGAAGGAACTTTGGAGGGGACCTTCTCCTTGGTAGAAGGTTCCTTGGAAGGCGCCTTAGCTTTTACGGATGGCTCCTTCCGTTCGACGCGAGTACAGTGTGTCGATGGTCGCTTACTCGCAGGTCTGCTGGTAGGCTTGGAAGTGTTTTCTCTACTAGATCTGATGGAGTCCTCGACAGTAGAAGCTCTGGGAGTGGGTACGTTGACAGGAGGCTGAGGAGCATCCTTGCAACGTAAGACGATGACCTCGATAGTGCCCAGGTTCTCGAGGAAAGCGTCGCTAGTCTCCTCTACAGTATCGGCAGACACTACAGAATGTTAGCCTTATCTATTGGCGCGTATTGGAAACAAGGCTCACCAAGATTAAGTCCATGGAACGACCAATCTCTTCCCAAGAAACTGCCATCCGGTTGCTTCGACTCCTTCTGTCTCACGCGTAAGTCGACTTCAAACTGCTCAGGCTTGACCTTTTCTCCAGGCACAACGAGACCTCTTCTGTTACGGTTGCATTGGTAGTGGCCATCCATGTAGACAAACATAGCCAAACCAGGCGCAATGTAGCCGCTGGAAGTGAGATGGATGCTGAAGTTGACCTCTTCGGCCGGGACGGCGACATAACTGGTAACATGACCGTCGCCGTAGTCATCACCATACTCTGTGATTTTTGTGTGTGTGCTGCCTAACTCGATGGAGCAGGTGATTTGTTTGAGTGAAGGCATGGTGGTGCTTTGCGCCTGATGATGGCGAAGGGTGGCGAGAAGTTTGTTGTGATGATTTAGATTATGAAAAGTGAGAAGGGAGAGGCGGACGCGTGCAGGAGAAGGAAGAGAGAAGAGCTTTTACGCGTGAGCGCGAATTTGTTGTTGTTTCGACAGATACCGGGCACGAATTCACCGTTCTTGGTTGCCCTGCTCGGAGTTCAAGCAAGGCTCTCGGCACTGAGAAGTCGAAACTGGAACAAGTCACGAAGCTAGTCAAGATGAGGCTATCGACAGAGAGATGCTCAAAAGCTCGATAGCTCTCGACCAGTCTAGCTGACCCCTGAGTGAAGAAGTGCAGGTCTCCAAGCCCGATTTCAAGCTCTCACTTCCCACAAGTGAAATAATTCATTCCATGGTGTCTTATTCCAACTAGCCAGAGTCCACTCCAGAATTCGGTGCTATGGCCCAATTCGAAAAACCTCCCCAAGTCTGAGCATAAATAGAATCCAGAGGTTGTGAGTTCGACTCACAGCCTTGGTTGGTCGCGTTGACGATTTGGTGTAAGAGATGTTTTCCCAAGCCAATTGGCTTGGTTTTTTGCTCCTCGTACGTGCGAATTGCTTTCTTTCTCTTTTGCCTCTCGACCCCCTGATGGAAGCGGACTGGAAACTACGACAAAGTCTCAAGAGCTGTGCCGTCGCCAATCCATAGCTCCGTGTTGATTGAAAGCGTGTTGAATGATCCTTTCTACGCCCATCGCTGGTCCAAAGAGAGCTCACAGTGTCAACGATCTCGATGAGCGGCATCAGTCTCTCTCCTCAGCGGCGCATTCTGATGCTCATCTGACTCAGGGCACCACATCGTTCGAGAATGCTAGGCAACTTGGAAGCCCATGGATAGCAACACTTGACCTTGGAGAGCGGAAGTATGTCTCAATGTCTGGCGGAGCACCGAGAAACGTCTCAAAGTTTCGGTAAGCTAAAGACAAAGAATATACGTCTCTTCCGAGTGAGACTTTGACAGTCCATAGATGGCGAAGTCTCACGAGACAATGGAATATGCAACGAGGCAGATGAAACGTTTGCTCTTCTGGAAGTGGAAGTGTGGCGACAGACAGGTCTCGACAACTCGCCGTGTTGCAGATTCTCAAGACATCTCGCGTAAGCAACGCAGGTAGACGCGGATTCTTCTTCTTCATATACGGCTTCTTGTGCTCAGTCGAGAAGGCAGATTCGTGGTTTTATCAAGGCAGCAACCATGGCACGGGTCAGACTTCCACCAGCATGGGAGAGTGCACCCGACATATTGAGAACGAACTATCCTCAGCAGCATCGACAAGCACGCCCACACTCAAGATCGAGCCCGTTACCAGAAAACCAACCTCCGCCAACCAGAAGAAGTATCTCTAGACGTGGCACCTACCCCGAGCCGCGCGTGCATCGTGCTTTCGACGGAGACAGGGCTGTCAGAGAACTGTCTCGAACTCCAGATGTCGACGGCATCCCAAACCCACCCTATCCAGTTACACCTCCACCTGATCAACCTCGAAGTACATTGCCTCAGATTCGATTGCCACGGCAGGAGCTGTCCCAACTCGGTTACAGGGCACCCACACCTCTGCCGCCTACAATCGTACCAGTCCAGGCTCCCAAGCCAGACGACAAGCCACCTCGACTGCTGCAGATACAACGACGCTGCGCACGCCAGCTCGATGCTTCGCTACCAACACTCAGCATCGCCTCTCTGGCTTCTGGCTCGATACTGCTCGTGTCGGCCATCTTGTTCGTCCGTAGCGTGATGATGGGCACTCCTCATGCGATTGCTGGAAGATCGGCTTTGATCGTCTTCTTCGCTCTCTCTGTTGCTGCTTTCATCGTCTCCTTTGGCTTGATACTGGGCGTGTTGTGTCGTAGAACAAGAGCTACCAAAAGCTCTGCCGTCAGAGCTCAAGTGAGACAGGAGATTGAGCTGACGGAGACAAGACCGCGTGCGAATGATGACAGACTGCCAATGTACGACATCAGTAGAAGGAACGCCATCTGTGAGTTTCGAGAGGGTTCATCTGCTGTGCGCGATGACCGTGGAAGGCCTAGCACACGCCTTGTTCCTCGGGACGAGGGCCGTATCATCAATCGCCCGAATGCACCACCTGTTCGTGTCGCTTCAAGACACTTGTCTGGCATTCCATTCTCACGACCTGATTCACCGTACCCTAGACAGGCATTGTCGCCGCTCATTCCGAGCACACCGCCACCACCGATACCAGAACGCAATCCTGCACGCCTGTTTGCAAGCACTGCCGTCAGCACCGATGCTCTCAGCACACTCGTACACCCAAGCCCAGCATCAGGTGTCTCGCCAAAGACAACCGTCACAAGAGCTGCTCCACAAGCCATTGACAATGTCACTGTTTCTGGTCGCTCAACTCAGATGTTCAACCAGCATCTGCTCACTGCAGGTACTCGTGAGTTGCAAGCATACCTTGATGCACCATCGAACTCTAGCTTGAACACCATCGCGGCATATCAACATAGCGAGAGCGACTCCTCTTCCACTCAAGCTATCATGAGCAACGATCGTAGCGTATACAGCAACGAACTTGATGAGCCAGATGCTGAGGAAGAGCCTTGTGTCGGTGAAGCATATTTGCTGAGTCTACGCAAGGTTGGAAAGGCCCGTGAGTGCTACATCCCAGCCTCGAAGAGCGAAGGATCAGCACCCAAGCCTCGCAAGGCCGACAAGCAGCGACGGTCAGGTCTCAAAGTGTTCACTGATATTCCAAGGCCACAGGAAAAGAAGCCTGAGCGTCAACATCGAGGCATGCTGGACCCGCTGCCAAGTGCACCTCTTTTCCCTTCCGTGCAGAAGAGTACGGAGAACAGGCTATCAGCAATCAAGAGATCGTGCAGCTTAAGCCCAAAGAAGCTGTCAGGACTTGGTGCAAAGCCGAATCTGGTCGGCCTGGGCATCTCTGTGGGTGAAGAGCAGGACAAGGAAAATATGGACCCTGGACATGCGGAGGTGGAAACATGGAGCGCACTTGGTCGTGTTTAAGGCGTTGTTCTTCTGTCACGACTGATGGGCAAGAGGCGAGCACGCCTCATTACGTGCTCCTATAGCTGTCCCTTTCTTTTACCCATAGATGGTCGACCCAGTGTTGCCGGTGCCCTTGCCAAAAACTGGTTAGAGAAAAGTTTTCCCTTCAATCACTCCAGCCTTCAATCTCGAACTCATACTGCTGTGCATCGTTGTCTGTTGCGTGACCATGCTCGTCGTAAAGTGTCCTCTCAACAAAGGTGGCCATGCCATCCTTGTCAACCAAGATCACTGTTTGCTTCTGAGTGCCGTATACTCCACTATCAGCCTTCGCTGTGAGACTCTCATCCGCAGCTGCAATCTCGTCGGCAGATGAGTTGCTCACTTCCTTTCCACCAATGCGAGGAATGAAGATGCTGTTGCGCAATTGGTAGACGTAGGTCTCCCAGTCCTGGCCGTGCTTGCGACGAGGCAAAGTATCCAGACTCAGAATCTCAAATAGGGCATTGAGCAGATCCTGCTTATTCGATCCTGCTGCGACATGTTCCTCGATGGTATTCTGAAGTCGTTTCTCACCTTCAACGACTTTGGGCCATGTTCGGTCACCGAAATGTGAGTTGCTGAGGCCCTGGATCTCACCAGGCTTACTACAAATCCAAGTCGTAGCTGAAGCATTCTCGGTACGATTTGAGATGATGGCCAGTCCCTTTCCTTCTCCCGCGCAGACGTCTTTCTTGGTGAGCTTACCGAAGACAAGACTGAAGCCGCCTACATCGCTCACGCCAACATCTTCGACCATATGGCGAGCAAACTCTTTGGAGGACTTTGCGCTGTCTGGTGTTAATGTGAGAAAGGCCTTTGGCAGTCCTCCTCGCGATTTTGTGCCGTATATCTGAGCGCCGGATTCGCGAAAATTGGTCAAGCAGGCTAGACGACCTTGTTTGGTGAGACCGAGCCAAGTACCCTGCTCTGGACGCTGCAGATCGCGACCTCCAAGAACATGCTCATTAGGAGAAGGCCAGAAGGCGGCTTTCGCAGTTGGTCGAGTCAAAAACTCCTATTGTGGTCGTGGTGTTAGTCGGCCACATGTGGCCAAGTGTGATCAGGGCTCATTTACATCGCGGTTGTTCAGCAGAATGAACGGGTATTCGGGATGCGCGGTTGTCAGAAGAGCGATACACATGCTGCAAGCTTGCGACGACAGACTTCAAGCTTTGGTCGAATCTTGGTTTTGCTTTGGTATGATTGTTTGTAGGCGGATGATGGTCTGCAAGTTGCCGCCTGTCCGTCAGAATTCCAAAGTGGCTAGGACGCAAATGCACGCCATCGTGTGACGTTGCCGCAGGCTTCCGTGCCCAGCTTTTGACAAGTCCGACAAGACTGGTTCGAAGAGCTTGACCAATTCTACAAAACAGCTTAGAAAGCTTTTCAAAATACAGGCTCTCGAGACTGGGATGAGTTGTTGTATACATAGTCTTCATAACGACGTATCAAGATAGCCATGATGATGCGGTGGTTTGCATTCTCAAACCAAGGCAAGCTCTCCACAATCAAGCAGCCGGTACCCGCCTTGTGTCCGTTGAGCACTTGAAAGCATTCTTCATCCTACCAAGATATCTGCGCCATCGAGATAGCTCGCACCAGTATATTGACTAGTGTAACATTTCACAAGTGCAGGAGAAATTGAGTAGGGCATATGATTTTGTGAGGCATTTCATTGTACTAAAGCAATACTTTCTGACTACCCTTCTGCTGTAGTAGCTCCTTCAACCTGTCCCTTCCTTCTTTTCATGACACCGTTTCTTTTGTTTAGACACATGATAGGTAATTTTTAGGCCACTAGGTTGTCATAAAGCTGTTTCCTGCTTATTGTGGCCCGGCGGATATTTGCTGTGTGCAACATGATTTCACCTTCGTCGTGAAGAGATGCAAGATCATTCCGGGAATGGGAAAGTCTTTCGAAGGAGAAGGCTTGATGGTGTACTCACCTCGCAGACGAACTTGATTCGAAAATTTCATGCGTCGCTGCAGCCAGTAGCGTGACCATGCGGAAGATCCAACATCAATCATCCCGGTCACTCGATCATTTGACATGATCTCCTCTCACGTACGAGACGGTGATGGAGGAATTATCAAAGGTAGTAACCATCTGTAAGCGGGAGGATGATCGATTGTCCTTGACGACATCCTCGTAAAGATCAACAGATTCTGTTCTAGCATTGCAAGCATCAAGAGAACTTCCGTTGGCAGTGGTGGCCGAAGCATTCGTGAACGTCAATGTATCGAAATCGACTGGCGACACCTGGGTTGAGTGACGGTATGACCGGCCCGAGTCGTCTTGGTGTGTGGAAGTCAGGGTCCATCTTTCGACGATCCAATCTGCGTTGGCCAGGCAGAGCTCTGCAGTCTCGTTGGCAAATGTATGGTTGACTGACGTACCCTTGCTGTTGTTTTCGACCATGGCTATTCCGCCGGTTTTGGACGTGGCAGTAACGGTCATGGTCACGCTGTCACCAACAGAGAACTCTAGCTCATGGTCGAAATCGGTTGATGGTCCGGGGATCCATTCGAACCAAGCCTTGAACTTGGGAATACCTTTCTCCATGGTAAGATCCACACCGGTTTGTAAGAGAGCATCGCAGTCATGTATGCCATCTATGCCTACCCAAACGGCGACCGAATGTGTTCCGTTTGTGGGCTCTCCAGGATACAACATGGTTATATTCGGAATTGTGAAAGTTCCGGTGACTGTCCTGAAGTCGGAACCCTGGAGAACACCGCCAGACCAGTTTGAAGATCCCCAACTCGGTCTATCATTAACAGCATCACCTAATTCGCTCATAGCAAGAGCAGACACGCGTGCACCGTGGGAGCCATTGCGTTGAGTAGCAACAGGAGCGGCTTTCACACCACTGGCCAACGCCAGGCAGGTGACAAAGGTGGTAGAGAATTTCATCCTTGCTTGATGTGTTCGATTTGAGTGGAGGATGATTGTGGAATTTGCAGAAGGGAGATGAAAAGGTTGATGAAGAGAAAGAGGGGAATCATCTGCTTCACGCGCGTTATATGTTTGTCCTCATCTCATATTCTCTCTGTGACTGTAGTTTTACATCGCAGACCGGATTATGAGTCAGAATACGATTATACCAGTCCCTAGGTGAGACTCGCTCTTTTGCTGTCGTGGCTTGGTGACTATTCCCAACAGGAGTGTTAACGAACCACGTGGCGGCCAGAAAGGACAAGGCCCTTTCTTCTGCGAGCTGCCCATCCACTTGAAGACATTGTGCTTCGCTTATTCATGTCTCAACCAGGTAGTCGAATAGATATCGTGAGCAGAGCGATACAAGAATTAAAGCGCACATGACATCGAGAGAGAGTCGACATCAGCTGTGAACTGGCGCTGCCAGCAGACTGAATCTGAGCAACCTTCCAGCCCTTCCGTTTTTTTGACATGTCCATCGAGAGCGTAACACTTCCAGCATGAGAGGCGTCGAGAGGACATCAGAAGTCTTTTCCGGACAAGTTGCCATTTGAGTATGAGTTCCATAGATCACGCTCTCTCATATTCGTCTGACACACGTCCTGTAGCAGACCCTTTTTCTGCAATACCCCCACCCCTCTCTAGAGTGGGGGCACAATATCAAAAGCCTAAACAGACTTCATACCATCACCTCTCAAGTCAGAGACACGCTCTTACTCGATACTCTGACCGATAGGCTCAAGTCATGTTGCCGGCCACTGCTCGCCCTGACATATACCCTTGACAAACAACCTCACCGGCTGCATTGACCTGATTCAGTATAACAAACTTTTTTCGCCCGTCAAACACGTTCACGTTTCGATGCATCAAGCCCTAGAGGATCAGCGACTTGTCACGAGTCTGATGTCGAGTCGTGATTCATCTTCATCTTACGGCCGACACTCCGCAGACCGGACGACAGTCCATGCAGAGAAACTTTGGTTAAAGGACCTGATCAGCAAAGGCCAGATGTCGACCACGTTGGAAGAAAAGTAAAGATAAGAGACGGGGTTCCAACAGCTTGTTGAGGAGAAAGATCAACTTGTGACTTTGACCGACAGTCGCAAAGTCGCACCTCTGTCGGCTTTATATCCGATATACGGTTTTTACGACTCGGGGCCACGTCCGGGGGCTTTGCTGATTGCAGCAGTAGTGACATTTCCCAGCAGCGAAGTCGGTGGCTAGATGTTGCCCAATATGTCAAGGCATCAAGTCAGCTGTATATGCAAACGCTGACTCGGCGACTCGGACAAAACAAGGAGAGAGTCAGCGGTAGACTCGGACAAAGTCATTGGAAGCCTTGGCCGACAGATGACCAACAGATTGAACGCGCAATTAAAACTTGCTCAAATCTCCAATAATCTCCATGCTCACCGTTTGGCTCTTGTGCGTTCTGGACTCCGCGTGTTCTCAAAATGAAAGAAGGGGAAGATTGTCAGCGTCCAAAGCACGAGCGCGCATGTGGTGCGACGTGCTTTTGTGACTTTTGTCTGTGCTTGTGGAGGAGACTCGGAGAGTGTAAACAGCAAGGTAAGCGTGAAATGAAGCCTTTTGACGGCTCTAGAGTGTCGCGTGACTTTGATTGAAAGCCCATGACTGTGTTGTGAAGATGATATGTATAATAGTGTGGTATAAGTATATTGTTATATAGTCGTTCATTAAGCCGTGTATTGTTCTTGTCGTGAGATGTCATAAATAAAAGAGAAACCACCAGGCTTCAGAATCCGCGCCAAGATTGTGCATAACCATGCCACCGTGCATGGAAAGATGAGAAGAAGATTGAAGAAACAGAAAATGGCGCAGCCAAGGGCCGACTGTTCCTTCTTCCAACCTCAGGAAAAAAAATTCCAAACCGCCGAGAAACCCGTTCTCGCTACACCTTACCAGTGCCGCTTGCCGAATAGACAACAGACCGAGGATAGCGAAAGCCATCCAAGATAACTCCGGGAAAATAGACAAGAAAAGAAAAAATAGATGACCGTCGTGTGAGAAAGATGGTGTGAGTATGGCGCAAGATGACCCCACGTTGCGACACGTGCATGTCCAGGAGCGGGACCTCTAATGAGAAAATGTCCACGACCTTCTCTTTTTAGACTCGAGATGAACAACCGTTCTACGGAGATGTCGCGTTCTTTAGGTCGGGAGTGGACTCGAACTCAACGAACAGGCGAGAGACGGGAGCCGGGATGATCCAGGGTCTAGAAGTGGATTCTATCGAGTAACAATTACTCGATCGAAACTGGCACCCAGCGACGAGGAATCTTTCTAGCGGCGACTCTGGGCCCGCCGACGGAAGTAATCTCGTCTTCATCGTCGTCGTCGAACACGCTGTTGCGTGCGGCTGGTTGCTTGCGAGGTGGCAACCAGATCCTAGCACGTCCGCTTGCGCCCTCTTCGAATTTGCCTCCACGGCGCATGTTCATCTCGAGTACGATGACACGAAGGAAGTCGCTGTTTTCGCGAGGCTCGCGCTGCCGAGTTGGCATAGGGACGTGCCCGGACATGGCGCGGCCGGCTTCCGATCGAGGGTCTGGTGCGCCGGTGCTCGAACCACGACGCGAGCGGCGTGGTGAAGATGCGGCTCGCTTGTTGTAGGTTTGCATCTGGATCATTGGAGTTTCGGGACACTCGCTGTCAGAAGAATCCGAGGAAAGAGCCTTTTGCCAATGATGCTGTTGCTCCTCAAAGGGGACAGGGGCCGAACGAGGATTCAAGTATTGGCGATGGGATTTTGAAGGGGTCGATGCAAAGGGGGTGGGTCTGAGTTCAGAGCTCAGCCTTGGGAAAAGGTAAGGATGTTGCCAAAGCGATGCATCCGAGAAGGAATCCTCGTCAAGGTTCAAGTTCAACGATGAGAATGACGAGGTTACACGAGACTTGATGGCCTGAAGCGAAGAGCTCAAGTTCGAGCGAAACCCACCAGATTTGCGTTGCTTGCGTTCCTTGGGGCAGGGTGAGTTGATAAGAATGAGATCCTCGTCGAACTCGATGGTGGAAAAGCCGAGCGGATGGTCAACGCTGCAGTCTTCGATCTCGGGAGTGCAGAAAGTCTTCTCCTTGCGGTAGCTGCCCATGCTGGACTTGCGGCTTCGGATGGAATCTGGCGTGGCGGGATTGCTGAGAGACAATACTGATGAAGCCTCATCGGCGTCCAAGGAAGGAATCGAGTCACACGAAGTCGATCTGGAGGAATACATGTGCTCGTAGTCGTCTTCGTCGGCTGATCCGAGGAGCATATCCAGAGAGGCGCAGCTGTAGCTGGACTTGGTCGATGTGTCCTTTCTCCATTCCTGGATGAGCTCGTCGATGGACATGTCCCGCACAGGACTCTTCTTGCGTCTCAGTTGAGACTTGGGAGGAGGAATGGCAGTCACGGCCAAGAGGGCTGCGACGGCTGGAGGCAAGGCATCGGGACGATGTTTCTTCTCGGAATCCCGTGACCTTCTGGAAGAATTGCTGCTGGCCCTGGATGTTCGGGCAGGCTTGTGTTCTCTAGGACTCCGTCGAGTGGGGGTGGGGATCTCGACAGGTCTCGAGGGTTGCAGTGTTGCAGGCATGGCGGGAGTGAGAATCCACGGTGCGTGGGGTGGTGGGTGACTAGAAAGAGATGTCGATGAAGCGTCGGAGCGTGGGGGCGGAGGGTCGATGAAAGCCGGGGCGAAGGTCTTTTTGGACTTTGGTGTTGAAGGGCGTCTTTGTTTTTGCGCGTCTGTCGGCGGTGATGAAGAGTACTTGAAAGAGCGCGGAACAAGCATATTGAAGAAGAAGACTCAGAGTCAGGGCGATCGATGCTAGCGGCGGCAATGCGGATGACGTTGGTTCTTATTATCAAATCGGCCGAGTAGCTTTGCGCACTGTTCAGTCTCGCGCCGACAGGGTCTAGCAGGCCTAATTTCGAGAAAGGCGAGTTGGGCGTCGATGATTGCGACTCACGAACTTGTCGGATTAAATGTGAAGAGGTGCACGCGAGATGAGAGGGTCTTTGTTTCACCAACGGGGAGGAGCGACACAACATAGATAGGGCGTCCGGGAGAGCGTGGGGTGCATCCAAGCCTTGCTGATAGATAAGGATGAGTCGACAAGGCGGATGCCTAATAAAGCAACCTCTGCGTTACCTGCCTCTTGTCGCGTGAAAGGCGAGCCTTTTCCAACGGCCTGACGACGTCCAGCCTGGCCACCTGTCAAGTGCTCGTGCATCGACTTGACACTTTCTCTATTGCTTCCTTCTTGTCGCCAGGCTCGACTTTGATAGATCGATATGCTTGCTTTCTTGACGGCAATAATCATCATCATGGAATTCCCTCCTGCGATTTGCTTGTAGCAAGCGGCAGAGGCGTTCATTCCCGACAACGATGCGTGTTTTCCTGCCTGTTCGGGCCTAGTCAGACCGGCCTGGTGGTTTGACTCAACACGCTTTGGCTCAAAGAACAGCTTAGGCGCTGGGGTATTCTAGAAGACCAAGCAGACGAGGAAGCGCCTGCTGCCCAGACTGCCTGCTTACCATCCGAGCAGTGCTTTTGCGCAAAATTCTCTGTGTCAAAACGAATCCGGCCACGCACCTTCGTCAAAAGTTGATACAAACGCGCTCGTATTGCGGCCTTCGCGTACCTGCACCATGGTCTTCAAGCCGATCATTCCGATCATCCGCGACGAAAAAGCATGCACGGATATGTCAGACCTGCACCCCAACTTCCCCGTCAAGAACGCACGCGACTAGGGCGTTATGCCTCGGCTCTCATTGGCTGAAGATAAGAAGCAGCCCCTAGAACACCAGAACATTCACCAAGGTGCTGCCCAGACAGGGGCATCATTCTGTTAGCTGTCTCGGTCAGGATGGTCACACGAGGAGTCTTGAGACGCATCGACACGACACGCCGCTGTTCACACCGTCTTGTCACAATATCACACCAACGAACATGTCGTGCACTATCTCCCTGTCATGTCCTATCTACAGGATCGATTAACTCCCAACAAAACAATGTTTACACTTTCGCCATCCCGTCACGAGATAGGCAGGCTGATGCGCTGTCTTCATCATCATGGTCGGGTAAATGCCAACGCCCGTATTCCAATACCACATCGAGCGTGCCAAGTGATTGTCACTCTAAAGAATGTTCTTCCAATCAGACTTGGGCCGCTCTCGAGATTGCATCGGTAAGCCAGCTGATGTTTCGGACAAACGCCAGGTGGTTATCTAGAAGATGAGTCTTGGTGCCAAACCGGCATGCACCTGCAAGACATCCAGGCATGACACGCCCGCGTTAGAATGTGGTAAGCTGTTAACATGATAGGCGGCGCAGTCCGAAGCTACGGAATAGGTTCCGCAACGACTCACTACAGCATATCAGCAACACCGTCTTCCATTTGAAACGTATTGGCTGACCGCTCCAATACTTTGCTGCCTGACCTTTCAGTCTATTAACGAGTCTCAAAGCGTTGAGGGGCTTGGACTTCATTCTGCCAAATGAAGTGGTGAGATGTCCATCTTAGGAGACCCTTTTTCGAAATCAAATGGCACGTGTCGACTCAATTCACCTTCCTAGAAGAGGTATAGACGCCGAAAGTCGTTCGACGACGCCTCCTCCTCCTTCTCTCCGACCACAGTCCTTCCTCTTCAGTCTTGATCAGAGTTTGGTTCGTAATACTGTGGAGCGTCACGACCGCACCTGCCTAATACTGTCCTTGGAAAATGATCTTACATGTCTCGAGTCGCTTGATCAGCAGCGCAACCGAACGGTCGGACGAGTCCAGAGCTGGCTTTCGCGAAACGACACAGATGGACTATTAGATCTACGGTGTATGGCTGTTCAATCTCCACCGCCAGCAATAATGCTCATACGCGCGTATGTCGACAACAGACGCCTTCATGTATAGTAGGGCGTAACAGACGCGAGTATGCACAATGCAGGGGCGTTACGGAGTATCTCAACCAGCATCCTACCACCGCTACCTTGCATCTCTTCTCGCCTGTCGGTCTTGGACTTCCTTTGTCGTTTCGAATTCTGCATGTCCTCTGTCTATCTTCAGCGCCACCAACAGCTGTAGAAAAACTGTTCCTGTGCCACCTTCTGGTCACGACAGTCATTCGACTCCTCTCTTTGAGCGGCACGCGTCTTCAATAAACCATGGCTCAACACTGTTCTATGTAGACAGCCATAAGCTCGTTGCTCTGGTCCTTACAGAATGCTCGGTCGGTTGGTCGTCATTGCGATACAATGCAGTGGTTCCGAAGCATTGCAGAGCCGAGTCTATGTGAGGTAACAAAAATCTCACAAAACAGGTTCTGAATGACTTGGAGTGATGGCTATAACAACGACGCTTTCTCTCTTCGATATGGAATGGCAGCCAACCGAGAGTTCACCAGTTCTTCAAGCTCCTCGACTCGAATTTTAGCTGTTGACGGCGTTGGGCAAAACCATCAGGGTGTTACCTTCAACAATCAGACGCGCACGGACCCTGATAGTCCGAGCAGCGAACATCGACTACCGAATCTGGTCTTGCTTAGCAAGCAACTGAAATCGTGTTTTTCGGGAAAGTGAGAGACCATCGAGCTCACAGTATGTCTGATAGTATTTGCAGCGCTGTGTAGCATTTCTCAATGGTGGACATGAGTAAGTGCCGGTCTTGGTGTGTCATGGTTACGTAGTTGACATTGAAATGTTGCAATGACTACATCTGGTAAGTTGCCATTTTTGAAGTTATATATGCCTTTCTTCACGATTTCAGCTCTCAGCACTCAACATATACCATATTGATACACAAAATATGTCTCTTACAAACATCGCGCTTTTCGGCGCCAATGGTCAGGTCGGCAGATTTATCTTGAAAGCTCTGGTGGACTGCAAGAAGAAGGACTTTAATGTCCTAGTCGTCACATCGCCTTCAGCACCTGAGCCGTATGGAGCAGACAAAGAGAATGTCACCTGGAAAACTATGGACCTCTTCAACACTTCCAGACAAGAGATGGCACAGACGCTCAAAGGCATCGACGCCGTGGTTAGTGCCTTGAACGGCCCAGTCCTCGAAGCACAAATCCCCATTCAAGACGGCGCCGCAGATGCAGGAGTCAAACGCTTCATCCCCTCAGAGTTCGGAATGCATACCATCTACCGCAGACCCAATGATGACAAAGGATACCTTCACCCACTCTGGGACGCCAAAGAAAAGTTGAACGAACGTGCCGTTCGCCACTCAGCTATCAACGAAGGCAAAATGACTTATACCATGATCGGCTGTGGCGATTTCTACGACCAAGAGCGTGAAAACGTCTGGTGCCCATGGACGCAGAAGGATGTTGACGAATACACTCTTCACGTTATCGGTGACCCCGACGCCCCTGCCGACTGGACCAACATCGAAGACTTCGGCCTCTACATCACCGCCTGCCTCCTCGAACCCGAGAAAACAGCAAACGCCTACCTAAACTTCTCCTCCGACACAAAATCCCAACGCGAGATTGCCGATCTGCTCAAAAAGCACACCAATAAACCTGTCAAACTGGAAGTCATCAGTTTAGACGTCTTGCACGAGGTCTGGGATGACCCTGAAAAGGCGCCAGAGGAACTCAAGAATAAAAGCGCTTTCCCTGTTGATTTCTGGATGACGGTAAAGGGTTTGCAGGGGAGTGGGCGTATGTTCCGCCCCAAAGGTCAAAATCACAATAACATGTTCCCGGATATCGAAGATACGACTTTTGACAAGTATCTGAAGCAGCGCTTCCAGAAATAGGAGCGAAGGGAACATAGTCACAAAACAGCACGACAAAACTGTGCACGATCTAGGTAACGATATTCATGGACTTTGCTGGTTTTCCTTCAGCGTTTCTGGCTCTCGGAGGTTCGATTTTTACATTTCTGCGAATATCTGTTGATCGATCAGCGACATCTTTGAAGTAGGAGCAGAACCCAAAGCTGGTCGCACCTTCTGTGTGCGGCGCCTAACTAGGCACGTCTTCGATATATGACGCATATGCCTCTCACCTCTGGCCGGACTCGGATTGACTGCAGAGGAAGATGCGATAGATATCGAGCAGCTGGTTTTGACCGAGTTTGATGTTTGACGTTCGAACGTCATGACAGCACGCGTCTCATGCTCTCTACCACGTCCGAACCCAATGCAGAGGAAAGTTCGGTTGATATCTGGCATCTGCTTCCAGAATCTAATGTCTTTGACAAGCATCTACATATATGCATAGTCGAGAGGATCGAGAATCTCTTCTATCGTTACTCTTTACCAACAACCTTTCTCTCCTCGATATTCATCCACATGTCTGTGAAGTAGCTCACCCCTCCTTTGATCAAGTACTTCCCAGGCTCCTCCTTGTTCGCCAACACCGGCTCAAACATTCTGAAAAACTGCAATGGCGCCTTGTACAACTCCATATTCGCAATCTCTCTACCCAGACAAACTCTCGCTCCATATCCAAACGCCATATTATACTTGTTGTACTGGCGAGTCTTCTCATCATCTTCCAACCAACGCTCAGGACGGAAAACACCAGCGTCAGGGCCGTAGATGTTTTCATCGCGGTGCACGATCCATGGGTTACAGGTTACTTCCAGGCCTTCAGGGACGTATTTGCCGAAGAGATCCATGCCGCCTTTGTTGACCAGGCGGGGGAAAATGTTTGGTGCTGAGGGGGTTAGGCGCATGGATTCTTTGATACAGGCGATGTAGTAGGGGCAGTGTTCTGTGACTTCGCTGTATTGGGGCATTGGTGAGAGGTGACCTGCGCGAGTGGCGGCGTCCACCTCAGTCATGAGTTTTGCGTAGACGGTGGGGTGAGTGAGGATGTCCTTGATAAGTGCTTGGATTGCTGTGCCCGTGGTGTCGGCACCTGCGAGGAGGACGAGAAGGATTTCGGCTCTGATGTACTCTGGATCCAGGGGTTCACCCTTTTCGTCACGAGCGTCGATGAAGCTTTTTCGATATTAGCTTTGGGGATTTGATGCTCTTTTGAATTCAGCACTCACGTCTGAAGCAAATCGATCCTGCCATTAGTGTTGCCAGCCTCAATGTCTTTTCTCCTTTGCTCAATCAACTTGTCACGGAAACGCATGAGCGTACCAATACCACTCTCCTGCTCAGGTCTAGCGACAAGATGCTTGTCTCCAAAGCTAGTGCTCTTGACCCAGTTGGTAAAGGGGTAAAGACGAGCCATGAGTCCGAAAGGAACAAGGCCTTCATGGAAGCCTTGAATTAAGCCGGCAACATCGGAACCAGATTCGATGAAACCAAAAGGAGCACCAAATCCAACTTCAGAGATGACATCGTAGGCCATGTATACGGCCCAAGGAGCAAAATCGAACTTCTTTCCAGTCTTTGCAAAAGATGTGGAGAGCTTGTTGATCCAGTCATTGATGCGTAGATCTACCAGCGGCTCCATTTTCTTGATGTTTGAAAAGCTTGGAACTTTTCAGCATACATCTCCTAGGCGTTGTTCGAAAAGGTCACGTACCTATAAGATCCAGCAGCGACTTTTCTGAAGCGAGCATGTGTCTTCCAGTCTTGCATGTTGAACAAGCTCTCGACATTACCGAAACTTCCAGAGATGTAGTGTTTGGACTTGTTCGCCTGACGGTTGTAGATCTCAGGTAGTTTCATGGCGTCACTGACTAGCAGAAGTGTTGGAGTGATTCTGATGACCGGGCCTTTTCAAAGTCAGCCGAGTGTCCTCTGAAAATGGCGCAGCATCATCTACCATATTTTTTATGCAACTCAAAGGCAACCATAGGCTCATCTTCTTTCAGGTTGTGGTATCTGCATGCAGTCAGCCTCCTGGAAGTCTTGTATTTCCCGAACCGGAGAGAAAAATGGCTTCGAGACTGGTTGCGATAGTCACTCACGCAATCCATAATCTTGTTACACTTGCCCAGAAAGGACCTGGAAACTTGGACAGAGGATGGAACCATCTGTAGTAGACGATTTGATAAATGACACGAGCAACAACATATCCAATGAAAGCCAAAACCAAGTTGCGAAATGTAAGTAGTGAAAGGGTAGACGGGCTACCAGTCTGCGCTGAAGAGTCCATGGCGGGATGACAGCAACAACAAAGACCAGAAGGAGGAGCAAGTCGGAGAAGTCCCTTCTTAAAGATCCAACAAACAACGAATAAGAGGATACATATTAGAGATCATCAAGCCCAGCAATCCAGTCCCATGAAACCACATGAGACCAAAAGTACCCAACAACCCATCGTATTGGTCATGTTCTCAACACCACCTCGCTAACATGAATGCCCGGTATTATCGCTATGGAGGGGTGGAGGAAGCGGTACCTTCGATTCAGGATCCAACTCTGTAGCACCGAGCACGGTAACCTTAGTGGCTCTTCCATCGGAGCCCGCGCGTCTCATAGCTCCGCTATCTTCATGCATGTTGTATATTGAAAGCAAAATCTGAATGGTCGGTAGCAAAAAAAAAGTATTGGCAGAGGAAAAGGCTCAAAGAAGTAGCGATTGACATATGCGCAGCAGGCAGTCTGACGGCAGAAAAGAAAGGGTCCAAGGGTCGGCTAACCACGAGGGTTGACTGACTCAACCCATCCAGGGTCATGGTCAACTCGGCAGGACATACCGAATGAGATACACGTGAAACGACAGCGGGAAGGAATGATTTAGCTTCCGGATGACGGGTGACGAAGAAGCAGCGGCCAAGTTTTGTCGAAACACTGGTCTTTATGCCGCTGCTGTTGGGTTTTCTCCTTGAGCAGGCTGGACAACGAGTGTAGCACAACACAACTGCAGGATAGAACATCAAGACTTTAGCTAAAGCGGTGAAGACTCACGTGATTCGCTATAACCTTTTGATGACCATAGAAGCCGCTTCCCGCATATTAACCTGCAGTACAAATTAATGTTTAATATAGTGGGGCTGACTCGTGAATCAGTATGACGATCGTCCGCCAGAGTAAGCCGAGCATGGGTAGTTGTGGTGTCTGGGAAACTTTGTCGCGAGCATCTTGATCAACGGCTTACTTGGAATCTGCTGCCAGAGCAGAGTTGGGTATACCAGATACTGTTCCTTCTTTGCAGAGATGCGATCTAAAGCCTAAGTACTTGTACAGGACTTCCGAAACTATCAAACCCAAACGCCCGTCTGACCGATTGTATCCTTACCTATCCAGGGTATATGTGCGATGAACTATAACGCTCACGAGAGCTCTCTGTGGTCTTTGTGGGAGCTGAGAGAGTTCCTCTCCTCGAAAACACTTCGCGACTCTCCTTCGACATGGACCTGTCTTGTCACACCAATCCTGTCTGGTGGGTGCAGAGCCTCTTCGCTGCTTGACACGCTGTCTGTGTCTTGATTGATGGTGGTCTGGAACCGGCCTTTCGACATACCCAGATCCCGGTCGATTGTGTCGAGAGCCATATGATTGCTTCCACCAGTACCGCCCATCTTGTGAAAGCCACTGCTGCCTGCTCTGATATGCACAGATCTTGAAGGATATCGGTTGGAGTCGTAGGAGCCGCCCAGCAGCTTTGGCGCATATTTCTTGGCGATAGCTTTGAAGGCAGGCATAGATGCGGTAAGGATACCGACATTGGTCTCGATTACGCTCCAGTACATGGGTCCTGATATGGTCCAGGTTTGGTCCTTGGAGAAGAGCATATTCGGGATATACGTAATCCTGATGATAGACGACATGCATGTGCTGAGAACGTCAGTGGGTGCGACGAAGAAAGACTTTGAGAAACAACTCACAACAAGCCTAATCCTAGCATGACACCGAGCCCAATCTTTTGTCGTCGAGGGATTTGCAGCTTGCGTACCAGATGGAAGGGCAGGATATAAGTCAACAAATCGGTCAAGATCGTCAAGGCTGCGTTCGTCAGATAGAAGGCCGAGATGTTGACGCATTTGGAGGTCTTCTGTAGTTCGGAAGTATAGGCGGCTGCGACTGGTGTACACTGAAAGATGCATGTGAAGACGTTGGCGAGAGCCTGGCAGATGACAATTGCTAGAAGAATTTGTGCTAGACGTTTGAGTTGTGGATCTCCAAGTCGAAGGTAGAAGGCGAGGATGGAAGACTTCAAGAAGCCCAGGCACGCGTTGTAGAAGATTGACGAAAGCCAAACAGTCTAGAAGCACCATGTTATTAGTAGCTGCTGCAAGGTTTCAAGTCGGTCGCGTGTACGTACCTGTGAGTATGTGTTCAAATTCGCTGTGCCTTTCTTCATGACTTCGTCCATGTGCTGTCCTAGTCCATGATGTACAGCAATGATTGTTGCGACCGCGAAGGCCCACGCCAAAAGAGCCGCGATACAGATCAGAACTGTTCTTGATCAGTTTGTGAAATCAGGCATTAAAACGTCAACTTACTGTCATCCAGCCCCATCTTTCCAAGTATGACAATCCGAGCGAAGAGACGCAAGATCATGACAAAGACACTGAGCACCGCAAATACCACCGACACGGTGGTAATCATTCGACCCTGCGAGTCGGGCATTTTGCCAGTAGCCTTCTCCTATTGAGGTGATATTCGCAAATGGTGATGAACTGGAGAAAGATCGTACGGGAGCGGCGACGCAATACCTGGCGAAGGTGGAGAAGAGAGACAGATTGACAGTGGTATATTGTAGTTCAGGGGACAGAACTGAGGCAAGACATGGACTCAGGCCGTCCGCCAATATCTAGAACAGGACGTCGACAGTGCAGTAGTTAAAGGCTAGGAAGAGCACGCGGAGGTCAAAAGTCTTCTGACAAGGCGCACTCCGATCAGTACGTCTGTTAGTCTGCACATCACGACGCATCCGGTACTGCAGCATTTCGAGGGGCTTCGAAGGTTTGCTCGAGTCACAGGCGCATTGGGCGTTATCTGGACGGCGATAGATGGAGGAGTTGAAGACGGGCTGATGGCCGAGCAGGATGTGGTGTAGATCATGTACCCACAGTAGAAAGCGTGTTGAAGCCTGCTTCTGCGCATAGCCAAGGACCGATTTGGGAAAGGAGAAGATGCAGGGCTCACGAAACTAGTTTCAGTCCTCGACAAGAAACTCGAGTGGACTTGCCATTCAACCACAGTGTCGGGTTGTGGCATAAATTTCCAAGAATGCGATATTGGGCTGCAAGACGATCGAATAAGATTTGAAGCACAACATAGCCAGCAGGGAAAGAATTCGAGAGAACAGTCGGCAAAGTGCTAGGAAGCGTTGAAGTTGGTCAAACGTTCTGACAACGGCCAGTGATAAGTTGAGTTGTCGCGATGCAAGAAAAAGGTGCGAGTGTGGTTGGAACTCGGAAGACGAGTCGTCACGCGAAGTCGTAACCAGCCGTCTCAAACCCCTGTTCAGAACACATGGCCCTTGCACCTTTCCCGTTCCCTTCCCGCCAACCTCTCCATCGATTCGACAACTGTATCGGAACGACTCATGCTGTAACCATTCAACCAAACCCTGACACGATAAGGTGTACATCTACTCTCAGCATTGAATCGATGTCTGTTCGAAGACACAGCACTTCGTATGACACTGGTCCTTGGGTCAGCTGCAGCCTCAGCCTCCGTATGTCCGTTGCATCCCGCCGAAATTTAGGCCAAAAGGATCGTCTTGCAGGTCGCGGAATCCTCCCAACCGGAACAGAAAAAAAAGCTCCTACGCACGCATGTGCAGAGAAAGTGTTACGTTCGGATATGCATGTCCTGTTTCCACTAACAAGGCTGAGCCATTCAAGCGAGGATGGAATACTCGGTCGAAACAAGATCGTCGACAGCTTTCAAGCGCGCTCGTGCAAAATATAATTACTATATAGGGTCTTTTCATCAATCATCGCATATTACTGCCATACCCGGCTTTGGTATATTAACTTTCTGCCGAAGGTTGATCAAATGTTAGGGTTTGTTGGACGGAAAGCAGTCCCCCAGCAACGGCATTCAAATGATGATATGCCGTGGATCCGAAGTGAGGAAAGAGGGGAGGGTGTTGTAAGACATGGGGATAGGCGTTCAATATAAGATGGAGGGAAGCGAACAAGGCTTCTGAAACATACATTGGCAACACGGCGGAAGTCCTCGTATACTGTACGTCGAGTGGGCTTCGCTGGAGATCGTGCACTATGGAAGCTGTACTACGGACCGAGATTAGGCGTAGGATGTCTTCTCTAGAGTCTCGAGGTCTTTATCATGTTGTAGGTTGTAGATGGAGCCATGCATAGTCCAGCAATAATGACTGAGATGCTACCTGTCAGATTCAGACAATTTAGGGTGCTGGCATACATCATTCACACTTGGTAGCAGTCTACTGGATACTCAGATAGAGAGAGGATTTGAGCAAGACTCAATAGTCCAGCGTCACAACTGGGACGTATGATGATTACTGCATGTCTATACGTCTAAAGCAGGACTCAGGAGCGCCACAAGATGGTTGGATAATATCACATGTCATTCCCTGCTGGCCCCCAAAAAAAGAAAGAACTATAGCTAAAAGTACAAACCCGGATATGCGACAGAAGTGGAGAATAAAACAGTGGCTTTTGGTGACCCTTTTTGTACAGATATCCCCGTCAAACATACTCCGTGGTGACCTCGATGATCGATGAACCCGCCGGTATCCTGACCGAAGCGGCGACCTAGGTCGAGGCTGTTGCCGGTTGGCATGGCGAGAGACCATGGTGGCAATTTATTGTCGAATTTACTCGAGAATGCGAGTGATCAGACCAGTGGCGACAGTGCGGCCACCCTCGCGGATGTTGAAGCGCTGTCCCTGCTCAACGGCAAGAGGTCTGTGAAGAGAGCAGACCATCTCGACGTTGTCACCGGGCATGACCATCTTGGAGTCAGCGTCCTCGGTACCTTCGGGCCAGTCAATAGCGGCAGCCTCGTCTGTAAAACACGTTAGAGATGCGAAAATTGGTCAGCAGTTCAAAGTCAAGACTTACCAGCGGTACGAATGAAGATCTGGGGACGGTAGTTTCCGTGGAAACCAGTGTGACGACCACCCTCCTCCTTGGTCAGGACGTACATGGAGACGAGGAACTTCTTGTGCGAGGTGACGGTACCGGGCTTGACGACAACCATACCACGGTTGACATCCTCACGCTTGATACCACGGAGCAGAAGACCGGAGTTGTCACCAGCGCGGGACTCGTCGCAAGACTTCTTGAAGGTCTCGATGTCGGTGACCTTGGTCTTGATGGGGACCTTGTTCTTGCCGACAAGCTCGATTTCGGAATCCTTCTTCAGGGTACCACGCTCAACACGGCCAGAAACGACAGTACCACGACCGGGGATAGAGAAGACATCCTCAACGGACATGAGGAAGGGCTTCTCAAGATCTCTCTGGGGAGTGGGGATCCACTCGTCGACAGCGTTCATCAGGTTGTCGATCTGGGTGGTTCCAATCTCGGGCTGGCGGTTCTCAAGGGCACAAAGAGCGGAACCCATGACGATGGGGGTCTCGTCACCCTCGAAGCCGTAGCTGCTGAGGAGCTCACGCATCTCCATCTCGACGAGCTCAAGCATCTCCTTGTCCTCGATGGCGTCGACCTTGTTGACGAAGACGACAATCTTCTGGATACCGACCTGACGGGCGAGAAGCAAGTGCTCTCTGGTCTGGGGCATCTGACCGTCAGAAGCGGCGACGACGATGATGGCACCGTCCATGGAAGCAGCACCAGTAATCATGTTCTTGATGTAATCGGCGTGACCAGGGCAGTCGACGTGGGCGTAGTGGCGGGCATCGGTCTGGTACTCGATGTGAGCAGTGGAAATGGTGATACCACGCTTGCGCTCCTCGGGGGCCTTGTCAATGGAAGCGTAGTCGAGGAAGTTGGCGTAACCCTTCTCGGCCTGACGCTTGGTGATGGCGGCAGTGAGGGTGGTCTTGCCGTGATCGACGTGACCAATGGTACCTGGGGAGATGTCAGTCTTTGAATGGCAGATGTTCGTCAAGGCGACGGACCAATGTTGACGTGAGGCTTTGTGCGCTCGAAGGCAGTGGCGTAGTTTCTCATGTGGGCACCTCCGCGAGAGCCCCAAGCGGCCTGGACGGGGTTGGCGGCACCATTGCTACGGAGAGCAGCGCGGCTAGTACGCAGGAAGGCGCTGGCGAACGAAGACATGATGCTGTTCAGCGAGTGGATTGGACAGACGAGACGACGAGTTCGAGTGCGGCGAATCGTGCCTTCCTGGAATCATGACGGCCGCAAGCTTCAACTTTTTCTGTTTGCTCTGTTTGCACGCAAAAGGTCTCCGACTTTCCTCGAATCGCATGTCGACCATTGCAACCCGCCCATTATCGCCAATCCCGCCTAGGAGATTCCTGTTGCGCATTCCGGCCTTCTTGTCGCCTTTATTGGATTCTCTGGAATTGTCGTTTCACCTCGATCGTCTCGCCTCGGTCGCGCCCATTGCCCGCAACCCTTCGGCTTGTCCTTTACCGAGGCTCTGAAGCTTGCTGTACGCATTCCATGCCCGCTTAAGAAACCGCTCTTCCTCCTTCCTCCTTCGACATGCTGCTCCGATCAACCTGCTCCCGCACTGCTCAACCGCTGAGCTGGCTCTCGCGGACTCGTCCTTCTGCAATCATGCCTCTCCGCGCCCGCATCAACAACCCCTCCTTCTCCGACATGCCTTCAGAACAACCCGGCGACGAACCGAACGACGTCCTCTTCAATTCACACTATGGTGTTCGCACCATCGAACTGAATCGTCCTAAAAAGCTCAACTCCCTCAACGGCTCCATGGCCCGCAAGATTCTACCGCGCCTGAAGGAATGGGAAAAGTCACAACTCGCAAATGTTATCGTCCTCAAGGGTAACGGCAGAGCTCTCTGTGCAGGTGGTGATGTCGCTGCTCTGGCCAAGGACAACCAATCTGGCCCCGAAGGCCAGCAGCGCTCCAAGGATTACTTTGCTCTGGAATACAAGCTCGACCACACAATTGCGACCTACTCCAAACCATACGTTGCCTTCATGGACGGCATCACCATGGGTGGTGGTGTTGGTCTCAGTGTCCACGCTCCTTTCCGCATCGCTACCGAGAACACCGTCTTCGCCATGCCTGAGACCACCATTGGCTTTTTCCCTGACGTCGGCGCCAGCTTCTTTTTGCCTCGCATGGACGGCGCCGTAGGAACTTACCTCGCCCTCACCAGCGAGCAGATCAAGGGTGTCAACGCATTCCTTTCTGGAATTGCTACTCACTACCTCCACAGCAGTTCGCTTCCTGATCTTGAGGCCCGTCTCGCCGAGCTTAACTTCGGTGACGACGTTTCATACGACACTCGCCTGAGAATCATCAACGACACCATTGAAGAATTCACCACTGGTATGCCCCACGACGCACCGCCACACTTCTCAACCAACGTTCGCATTGCTATCGACTACTGTTTCCAAAATGTTCACAACATTGATCAGATCATGGAGGCTCTGGTCGCAACAGAGGAACGCGAAGACTCGCCGCCGGAGGTCAACAAGTGGGCTGCCAAGACTCGCGAGACCATTTCCCAGCGTAGCCCCACCAGTGTCAAGGTTGCCCTCGCTCAGTTGAGGAGAGGTGCTCAATGGAACATTGCTCAGACTTTCCAGAACGAGCACAACATTGCATCCAAGTTCATGGAGCACCCCGACTTTGTTGAGGGTGTGTCAGCACGTCTGATCCGCAAGCCTGCCCAGACTCCTCAGTGGTCAAAGACCAGCTTTGACGACGTCTCTGAGGCCGAGGTCAACTCTTTCTTCGCCGATGAGCTCAAGCTCCAACTTCCTACCGCCAGTGATGAGGCGCCCTACACAGATTACCCGTATGCCTGGACCGCATTGCCGCGGGAAGCCGAAATTGAGTCTTTCGTCAAGAGCAATCCTAAATATGATATGAACGGTGTTGTTGAGCACTTCATCAGGCTCAAGCGAGGAAAGATGGGTGTAAGAGAGAAGGTCGAGGAAGTCTTGAACAGGAGGACAGCCCCTGCTAACAGCAAGAGAGGCTTCACATGGCTTTGATGATATGATCCATCTTCAATTTATTGTACAGATCTTGTAAAATTATAAACTTCCATTTACGTTCTTTTGCTGTTATTGACTTCGCTTCAAGCGATCTTCCATACATACTGTCGATCGTGTTGAGGAAAACGCAGCATAGCTTCAGACGCGAATTCTCCCCGGATGCAATTGCCGATTTAGTAGAACTCATCATTCTTGGGTCTGTAGAGCGCTCAACAACCACTGAGTAGATGATGATAAAGACCTGCGCGGATGGAGACGGCTAGCGCACATCAGTGCCAGTATGAGGCATCGGCAATAATCAAGCAAAATGAGGAGGCTTAAAAAATGCCCCAGGAAATCGAGACGTCATCCTGCAGGGCCATGCAGATCGCGTTTGATCGTTTAGATCTGCCATCACCACCAACCTTGTTACCTATTCTCTGGAGCCTCATTCTCTTCTTTCTTCCATCAACAAGTCGCGTGCTTCTTCAACAAGTCACGCCAAGATGAGTCCACAACAGAGAGCACAAGATGAGAGAGAGCCTTTGCTTCAGAATGGTCATGTTGATGGCGGAGAGGGTGGAGATAGTCGTGAGGTAGTGTCGTTTTCGGAGAATGATGCGAGTGATCCGAGACAATGGCCAAGGAGAAGAAAGATGACCAATGTTGCCATTATTGCCTTGATGGCTAGTAAGTTCCATCTTCATGATGCTTCCGTACTACCATACTGACAAGATGAACAGTCCTCTCGCCTCTTGCATCTTCCATGTTCAGTCCTGGTATTCAACAAATAGCTGATGATCTCAACACCACCAAAAATGCTGTTATCGGCTGTACAACTGGTTTCGTGGTTATGCTTGGTATCGGACCATTGATACTGGCTCCCTTGTCCGAGACCTTTGGCAGGAGAAATGTCTACATTTACTGCTACAGTGCCTTTTCTATTCTCCAGATCCCGGCTGCACTTGCTCCTAACATTGCTACCCTTTTGGCTGTCAGAACCATCTCAGGCTTCTTCGGTGCTGTCGCAATTGCCAACGGTTCGTCTTTCTACGCCATTGTGCCCAAGTCTTGCATACTGACACTTTGCAGGCGGCGGAACCATCTCTGATATGTTTGTGCCAGAAGAAAGAGCCGGTATCTTTGGTTGGTATCTACTCGGGCCTCTTCTGGGGCCTACCCTGGGTCCTCTTTTCGGAGGCATCATAGTCCAACGAGCAGGCTGGCGCTGGATCTTCTGGACCACAACGATAATCTGTACCGTTAACACCATTGTCGGCTACTTCTTCCTCCATGAATCCTACGCCCCCCTCCTTCTCGGCCGCAAAATCGCAAACATGGAAACCGAAGAAGGTACCTCTGGCAAATACCGCTATGAAGGCGAAGACGATCGCCCTTTGAAGAACAAACTGATCCATTCGTTGAAGAGACCGTTCAAGATCATCACTCAGCCTATCGTGCTCATCATGAGTGCATACCAAGCCCTCATCTTCGGAACAACATACAGCATCTACACAAACATGCAAGCGATCTTCGAAGGCGACTACGGCTTCAACACCGAACAAGTCGGTCTCCTCTACCTCGGCCCCGGTCTCGGTTTCCTGACCTCGGTCTGGTTCCTCGTGCCCCAAATCGATCGCGTCTACAAGGCTCTCGGCGAACGCAACAAATGCAAACCGGTCCCTGAATACCGCCTCCCCCTCGCCAACATCGGCGCCGTCCTCATCCCAATCTCCCTCTTCTGCTTCTTCTGGGCCGTGGAGAAACATGCGCATTGGGCTCTTTGCATCACGGCGACTTACTTTTACGGCGCGGGGCAAGTTATGATTCTCAACTGCACGCAAAACTACTACATCGATTCTTTCGAAAAGTACGCCGCTTCCGCTATTGCTGCCGGAGCGGTGTTTAGGAGTTTGTTCGGTGGTGTCGTGCCGCTGATTGCGCCGACTTTGTTCAAGAGTCTTGGATATGGCTGGGGAGGCAGTGTATTCGGATTCTTATCTTTGGCTATCGCGCCTGCGCCTTTGTTGTTCTACAGATATGGCAAGACGATCAGGGAGAAATTCAAGATTGAATTGTAAAGAAGGAAGCTATTGAGAGGTGGTCAAGACGACAGATTTGATTGTTTATCAGCTGTTTGGCTAATCGAAAAATTGTACGTTTTATGATTTAGGAGCATCTATAATGAAAACAAGTAGGAGCACGAAGAGAAAGAAAAAAGTTTGGTTTGAGCAGTCTCAATTTTCTAAGATATGTTGTTGTATAGTTTTGAAAGGTAAAGCGCGATGATCGATGTGTAAGAAAGGGAAGAAAAGAAAACCCGCACCGATGAATGAGAAAAAACAGATCCTCAAAGATCAAAATCAAATCGCAAAAGTGTAGAAAGGGGCCGTGTATGTATGTGTGTTTGTGATCAGTTTCTTTGCTCCTTCCAAGTTATCGCTCAGTCCATTTCTTCCGGTCCTTCCCAGTCGTGTCAGTAAGTTGGCGCGATCGAATTATTAGAATTCAACCAGATCGCCACGAGTGTGCCTGAACAGAGCAGTCTTCCTGGCAGCGTAAACATCCATCTCATGACCGTCGATGTTCTGCACTCTCAAAGGACGAGCGAGCTCGTGGTGAAGCTTGGAAGTCATGTTGTAGATGATGGGACTGATGAAGCAGTCGGGCAGACATCCAGTGATTTCCACACGGTCGATGATGCCGCGCAAGTGGTTCATCACACGCATGTACTGCCAGACAGTGTTGTCGGGGTAGTACTCGGAGGCTGCGAGGATCAAGCGCTTCTGGCGAGGTTCGGCGAAGTGGAGGTGCAGGGACTTGAGCTTGTTGTTGGGCTTGCGGCGTTTGAGGCCGGCGGCGAGGCTGTAGAGCATGTTGAGGTGGCGGTAGTCGGTGAGGCGGAGCTCGACGTGGTCGACGCGTCTGAGAATGCCGAGGGAGAAGAAGCCCGAGAGGTTGGGGAAAGTGTTGTTGACGACTGGGTAGAGGTCCTTGATAACGAGGGGCTTGCTGTACACGATGGCTTTGGCTTCTTCGGTGATTTGCTTGCAGATCAGGAAGATGGTGGGAGTTTCCTTGACAGGGTAGACTGGGTCGATGTTGCTGGTAGGGATTCGTCAGTAAGGTATTCAGTGGTTGATATTGTAGTATCCCACTCACAAAGCAAGCTCCTTGGTGACACGCTGCAAGGCAGAAATGCTTTCATTGGGGTCAGCAGCATAGCTGTAGATCTTCTGACGGACGGATAAGGGCAGAGCGAAGAACCCCTGAGCGGGGCCCTGCATGTCCTCAACGAGTTCCTGCCTCATCTCCTTGGTCAACTCGACATCAAGAGAAACCTTGTTGATGTCATGCAGTTGTCTCAGAGCCCTGACGAGGTTGTGGGTCCAGCTCTTGATGCCACAAGCTCTATCGATGACATTGAGACAGTCCCTCAAGTGAAGGGCGATGTAGGCCGAGTTGTAAGTGACGGTCAGAGTCTTGAGCGAGTGGCGAGATCTGAGAAGTGAAGCGAGCTGGCCAGCGACGAAACAGAAGCCAACGAAGCAGTCATGCGGAGGGGGGTTGAGGTGGTGGACTCCTGAATCAGACAAGTGGACATAGCGCAAGTTCTGGAGCAGAGTTGGCGATATGAGGTTTTCCAGCTCTCCCCTGAAGACGCCGAACGACAAGTGGAGCGGAGTTGCATGCAGGATAGGTATAGCTTCCTCGGTGATGTCCTTGCTGACCAATAGAATCGATGGACAGGCCATGTTGACCTTTGGTGGGGGCTCTCTCTCGTTGGCGGTAGTACATAATAGCTCCAGGTAGTCACTGTGGTACTTGTCGATCGAATCAAATGATAGAGCGTACTCGTAAACCATGAAGCGCAGCTCCTTTGGAAGATCGCGAAACCTGAAGGGCACATCGACAGGGTCAGAGACTTTGTCAACGATCGCTGGTGAGCAACACTTGACGAGAGACATTCTGGAAGAAGAGGGTCTTGGCCGGCAAGACGGATGAAAGAACGAATAAAGAATTTAAGATGAAAAGAGCCCGTACCAGCGGGTTGAAGAAGCAGCGATGAAGAGTATGCAGAAGGAAGAGAGTGCTCTTACTGGGAGGTTGAGCTTGTAGTCGAACCATCAATAGACAGCAGATCCATTGTATTAATCAATGGATCTTCATTGTTGTCTGCAACCATTGATTGTTGACAGTCGACTATTGTTCTGCCTGTAGACTTGACGACATGATCGGTGACCATTGATCCGAGGTCAATAGACTTCCGGGGCCGCAAGAGCAGAGTGAAAGTGAAGTGAAGGCAAAGTGTGGGTCGAGTGAGGGCCAGACGAGAACACAGTGAGGATATGATGCAGGTTTGAGAGGGGAATAATTGCGCTCTCACTGGACAGGGTGCTGGATCTCAAAAGCTTCGTGCCTTTTGATAGATACCAATCAGCACCTCTTGGATGACCGGGATCACAGTATCGGCTTGACTATGTTTCCTTCTCTTTCTGATCTGTTCATTCCTTCTATACGATTCTGAGTTGGCCAGACTTTGGGTACTCCGTCTTTGATGTCTTGCTTGTAAATTCTGTCGAATGCTCTAGCGGAAAGTGCTCAAGAGCCCTTGAATCTCGTCGAAAGCAGGTAGATTGTGATCAAGTGCTCATATGCCGTATTTGAAACGAATAAATCTACAGCTTTGATCAAAATTTTCTTTGCTCACCTTGCAGACCTTCTTCAGGTTTTTGTGTAACAAAAAAAGCTTACGAGAATTTCGATGGTCAAATCCGTTGTGAGGGCGTAGGAGATGATACATGCTCCATGGCTGCTGTGCCCGAATTGCAAGATTTCTTCTCGCTACATCAGCATAGCGCGAACGAGCAACCTGAGCCATGGCTCCAGGCCTTCCTCGCATGACTACCGCCTAAGACTCCGTTTGTTGTTTTCCTATCACAGACGAAGAAGGGGTGGTTTAAGAAGAGAGAAATACCAGAGGTCGAGATATGCCATTTTCCTTCCAAGTCTTGTAACTGTGTTAGCGATTTCATGTGGATAACCTCATATACGCGTCTTGTTACGCGTGTAGACAGGCTTCTTGCATGTTGAGACCGCATCGATTACTGGTTTCCACTGAAGCGCTTATATCAGATCAGAGCCTGCAGTGGGAATGGTTTGTTGAAGCGACAGGTAACAGCGATGCTGAGATCAACCTGGGAACAAATTTGGAGGTCATCAGTTCGGGCAATTTCGCGCGCCCCAAGTTCTTTTTGGAGAAAAGTGGAGCGCGGAGAAATTCGAGGTTAGCAAACAGAAGGAGAGCCGTACTTACCCAGAAGCTGTTGCGGCAGGTATGACCATCTCTAGAACTATCGAAGACATTAAGAAAATAGTTAGATCCTCAGGATGGCATGCTGCGATGGCTGTAAGTTACGGTTGCGCTTACGGTCACCTTCCAGAACCCCTCATGGAAAAGAGCTTTCCCCGCAATCCGCCCAGGATATCGGCTGAAGAGGTCTCGTTTGATTGGTAAAGGAGATCGGCGCCGCGCCGGTACGAACAGCGATCCTCGGAGTTCAGGATGGCGGGGCTGTGAGAGCATCTGATGCTGGTGTTTTTGTGGTCCCCGTTGTAGGAGGGGCAGGACATGAAAGATGGGTCGGTCGAAGAGTACTTCTTGTGACCTGGTCCCCTCTTCCTACCCCTCTTGCTCCTGCCATCCAATCTCTACCTCAGTCACAGTCTGCTACCCGTAAAGGCTCTCTTCTTGCATCAACATGTCTGGAACCTCGACTTATAACCCCGCTGCGAAACACTTTATCAATGACCCGAATCACTTGGTCCTCACGGCATTGAGATCAATCACCCTTGCCAACCCTTCGGTAGCTCTGGACGCTGAGAACAAGATCATCTTCCGCCGTGGAGATGCAGGCCTCTACAAACAATCACAAGTGTCTGTTGTATCTGGAGGTGGTGCCGGTCACGAACCTTCGTTTGCAGCATTCGTAGGACCAGGTATCCTGTCTGGCGCAATCTCCGGAACAATCTTCGCGTCCCCCTCGGCAGAGCAAATCAGAAGATGTCTTTTAGGCCGCGTTGATTCGGCAAAGGGTATTCTGGTCATTGTCATGAACTATACTGGTGATGTGCTCAACTTCGGTATGGGAGTAGAGGTATGTTATCTAGCCATTGAACACCTGATTGATGTTGACATGCCGTTCAGAAAGCAAGAGCAACAGGAGTCGACATTGAGATGCTAGTCGTCGGCGACGACGCTGGTGTCCCCAGGTCAAAGGGTGGTAAGGTTGGCAGGAGAGGCATCGCAGGAACTGTCCTCGTGCAGAAGATCGCTGGAGCTTTGGCCGCTACTGGGTATGTTGGAAAAAGCTGCAACAATACTACATGAGCTCACGTCTATCAACAGAGCACCGCTCAAGGATGTGCACCGCGTCGCAAAGCTTGCCTCCGACAACATCGTTTCTATTGGATCCTCTCTATCGCACGTTCACGTTCCGGGTCGTAAGGTCACCGAGGCTGGCGAAGATGAGCTCACCTTTGAAGAAGTCGAGATTGGAATGGGTAAGCAGCACAGAAATGCTACAAGAACTTCCGAAGCTAACGTCTTTTACAGGTATCCACAACGAAGCAGGATCCGAGCGAACGAAAGCAGACTTACCCGATTTGGTCGAACAAATGCTAGCACACATGCTTGACGAGGAAGATAAGGAACGTGGATTCCTCAAGGTTTCTAGCGAAGATGAGACAGTGGTCTTGATCAACAATTTGGGTGGTGTAAGCGTACTGGAGATGGGCGGTATTGCTACCGAGGTCTTGGACCAGCTCAAGAAGTACCACAACATCAGACCTGTCAGAGTGCTAGTCGGCACTTTCATGACCAGTTTGAATGGCATTGGCTTCAGCATCTCCTTGCTCAAGCTTCAGGACACTGCCTTGGACAAGTCTATGCTGCAACTGCTTGACGCTCCGTCAGAAGTCACTGGTTGGGCAACGCCAGTTCCCACCGCAACCTGGGAGAACAAGTCGACTGCAGCCGACCGAAGACAGACGGCCATGGCTGATGGTGACAAAGACAAGCCTAGCAATCTTACTCGTAGGTCATTGCATGGATTGGTCATAGCATACACTGACGTATCTTCACAGTCAACACAGAAGAGAGCAAGAAGGTGCTCAAGGCTGGCCTGGACCGTGTGATTGTTGCCGAGCCTGACGTTACGCATTACGATACGATTGTTGGTGATGGTGACTGTGGCATAGGTCTAAAACGTGGTGCCGAGTCGGTGCTCCAACTCATCGCCTCTGACTTGGATACACAAGACGCCGTAATCTTCATGGACCGTATCATCTCAACGATCGAGACATCTATGGACGGAACTAGTGGAGCTATCTACGCCATCTTCCTGAACGCACTGGCTGCTGGATTACGCTCCCAGTCACCAGAGTCGGGAAAGAAAGAAGTTACCACTCAGGTCTGGGCCGAGGCAGCTAAGCAAGCTCTCGAAGGTCTAGGCAAGTACACACCAGCTAGACCTGGTGACAGAACACTTGTGGATGCGCTGGAACCGTTTATCAAGCAGCTTGTGGCGACTGGAGATTTGAAGAAGGCAGCACAAGCGGCCAAGGAAGGAACGGACGCAACCAAGGGCATGAAGGCCAGTCTAGGAAGATCCGTCTACGTGGGTAATGAAGGCTTCAAGGAGGTACCGGATCCGGGTGCCTATGGTCTTTCCGAGTTCTTGACTGGCCTTGCTGAGGCATGAGACTCAGATCTCGCACACGTATGTCCGCGACCGATTTGTATCTAATCTGTAATTTGCTCATTTGCGCAACTATACTCATGATTTTAAAAACTTGCGAAACTTTCCAACTTCCATCATCGAACCAGTAACGATACCTAATGACTCTGTCGCAGTGGAGATGACTAATGCGTTCTTGCCCTCAATTTCTCGAATCCTAACAACGTCGTTTGAGGTTTACATTGTCGTCTTTTCCAACTCCGACCTAGCTAAGAATCTGATCTCTCGATATCTACAGCATGCCTCACGAATCAGCAACGCCAGTGGGCAACGGCGATAGCTCAGACGGTCGGAATCACTTTCTGGATGCTGCATGTGGCTGGTAGCCTTCATGGTTCACTCTGCCATGAAGTGCGTATACATAGACCTCGCGGGACACCTCGGTACATACCATACTCTCACTCACTTGTATCTCGCTATATCGGCTATTGGTGCACTGGCCGGCATCAAGTTCGTACGAGGTCCGTTTGCCTTCCTCTCGCCCAGACCCGGTACTCAACGCATATGTGCACTTGCCGGACTTGGATGCGCGCTCGGGACGATTAGCACAACAGACATTCTTGACACTACCGGTTACAGAAAGTCGCTTTCTAAGCGTAGCGGGCTAGAAAAATATGGCATAGGTGCCGCGGGTGTGTTGGGTCACGCCCTCTTGCTTGTTCTTCTGGAACATCTCAGGCAAAGATCGGTATGCTACCTCTACCAACTCTATGATGAGAAGAAAATGAATGCCGGCAAAAGTCTTGAGATGATCTCGCTTGAGCACAAGATCAGTGAGCTCGAGAGAAGGTTTGAGAAGAAGGCTCGCGAGATGGCCGAGATACGGTTGGTGGAGTTGAGGATGGACAAGCTCGAGAGTAAGCTGGCTAGTTGGGAACACAGGCACTAGAATATCGCTTCAAGATGGTAAACAAGGATCGTTGACCAATGCTGGTTTAAGCTGTCGTTGATATCCACACAGACGAAGGAGGACGTATCAGCAAGAAGCGAGTTATGATGATAGATAGCCAAAGTTAGGGACGATGGAAACTGTCTGGGTGTTGTTTTCGATCTTGTGAGCGACACGACCAGAGCCGAGCCTTCGTGGCAAACGAGGTGTACAAAACCTAGACATGTTTGTGTCAAAAAATAAGGCAGACCGCGAAGGAGATGTCTGCGATTAGATTAAGTTATGCGCACGGATAAAACGCATGGACCTCTGATGCTTGATTTTGTGCGGGCGCTTGTGGTCAGCATGCATCCTTCCTTCCTCATCAGCAGAACTGAGATGCAATCTGTACCTTCTTTTATCGCCAGGTATCAAGTATATAAAGCTCCCCCAGCTCCCCCATCGGTGCTCTGTTGCTTCAGGAGATCAAAGCGTCGTTCTTGAATAAATCGCAGTTGGCAACGGTGACGGCATAACTCTTGTGTCGCTCTCGGGCCTCATCCAGTCTAAAACATCTACGCGAAGGGCTCGCGTCGCGTTCCACGATTCTTCGAACCAACCTCTCCCTGTCTGAGATCATACCTAACGACCTTGTAATTTCGTCTTTGCTTCTTCGCGTCTTCGTCTCTGTTTCAATTCCCTTCTTCCGACTTCAAAGAACTCAACACGCCCATCGCTCCTTCTCGTCTTCCTGCTTCTTCTCCCCCTTAGTATGCTGTAACCCGGCGAGAAGATCCCTTGACATCCGTCACCCACAACCTTTCAATCCCGCCTTCTGCACACAATGTCGTCTCCGGCATCATTCGCTATGGACATGGACGCGTCACAGACACCAGGAAATCCCTTCCTCGACATTCCAACGCGTCCAATGCGAGGTAAGTCGATGGTTCTTCGATGGCGCCAACTTCGGCTGATGGTTTTCTAGTCAAGGTCCTTTACACGTTCGACAACGACAACAAGACGAACTGCCTCGCTCGCTTCCCCGACATCCTCCACGTCCCCACAGTCCCTATCGACGAGAACACTCAGATTGGTGTCATCGAACTTCGAACATGTATTCGCGCCATCGTATCGGCCAGTCCGGAACTCGTGTCGCGTCTGACCCAAGGCGACTTCACCATCTATGCCTACGACTACTCGGAGTATGAGACGCCACTGGTGGGCCAAGGAATGCTGTCGTCCGTGCTTGCCGCCGCCTCGCCCACCCCCACTGCCCCTGCATACCAATCCAAGACGATGATCACCGGTCGCGTCTGTAAAAACATCATGGGCCTCTTCTCAAACGGCGTAAAGGAGACGTTGGAAGTCAAACTGAGGCTGGTCCCGGTACCCAAGCCCGTCCAGGGTGACTTCATCAAGAGCATGGAAATCTACCGGAACCTCAACCCCGCCATGTCTGCCGGCTTCGATCCTAACGCCTGGTCCGCTTCCTTCTCACAATCTGGCCTCTCTCTTGGAGCTCCTTTCGAAGAAGGCCACACACCAACCCAGATGAGACAGGATATGCCCGACCATGACATGATGTCTTTCCAACGCCCAAGACAAGGGTCTAATGCTAGCTTCCATGGTCAACCATCCTTCTCGGGTCCCACCCCATCCTACAGTGGTCCTCCAAGCCGAGTCAACAGCCCTGCCATGAACCAATCTGGACCTCAAACGTACCCTGCCGAAAACATCGCCAGACCTTCATCACGGATGTCAATGCAGAGTGAAATGCACCACGAGCGCAGAGGATCGATGGCCGGATCGGAGCAATATCAGGAGGAGGGCTCAGCAAGGAAAAGAGTCAAGGTGACACAGGCTGATTGGCGTGGCAAATCTACTTTTGGTGGCCCCTCAGACTCACTGCGCGTGACGGCCAGTACTGCAGCATCTATCCGCGTGCACAAGCCTGTCGCCATGCGTCCCGGTATGATGGGCAACTCGTTGGAGCCCCCTCCCAGAGTCCCGACGCCAGTCCCACAAATCAACCTTCCCGGATCCCGACCCAATGCCGGAAGCATTCTCCGTCGCGAGTCGTCTCTTGCCAGAACCCAGACCTACAACTCTCCCTACGACCCCACGCCTAGCTGTCTTCCACCTCCTTCTGACTCGGCTATGAGCTCTCCAGAAGATGCCGTGACCGATCACATTGGAATAACCCCTACCGAATTTCCGTCGTCACCACCTCTTCTCCCCGAGCCTTCTAGTCCAGGGCTGCCTTCGTTCTCTAGACCTGCTGATTCAGGTTATATGAGCTCGGCATTTGAATGTCATGACGATGACGAAGATCGTTCTGTATGTGAGGAGGATATGCAAATCGCCGCTCAGTACAGGCCGAGAACACAGGCACCACCTTCAGGACTGTCTTTCATCGAGCAGACACCCGGTCCTCCAGAGTTGCTGCCTACACGAATGCAAATGTCCAACAACGGCAAGATGGACGATGCCGCCGCTGCAGCTCAGGCAGAACTGTCACGCAAGAAGGCCCGCAATGCCGTGCTGGCCCAAAATTCACGCAGAAATTCTGTGGCATTGCCGCCCAAACCACAATTACAATCAAACAAGCCTAGCATGGCGAGGTCTGCATCAATGATTGTGAGGTCCGATGCTGCATCACCTGCACCCACTGACCTCAAAGCTCCTCGCAGTGGCTCCGGAGCGCAGAGAAAGAAGAACATTCAAGACAAGCTTCAAAAGTCGATCGAAAATGGTGAGATGCCTCCTTTCTGCGGCCACTGTGGTGCCATCGAAACACCAACTTGGCGCCATTTGTTTGTAAAGACGGTCGTGGGTTCTCCCGACGACATGGACCTAGAGAGTGAAAATGTGACCATCGGGATTGAGGTGCTCGACCGCAATCCTGACACGCAAAGATCTATCAAGTATCGCATCATCAAATCCATGCGTAAGACCAAAGACTCCCAAGAGCAAACGATAGGGTTTGATACTATGCAAGTGTGCAATCGTAAGTCGAGCGGTTCCACAGTCTATGATCAACCACTGACAAAAGTAGCTTGCGGCCTCTGGTTCAACAAGTTCAAAGTGATGCGACCTGCTGACAAGTGGGTCAAGAAGCAGGCGGTCTCGCGCAAGAAGCAACAGCGCAAGGCTATGCCACCTGCTGGTCCGTCGGAGCCGCAGTCGGACTACTTTGTCGATCAGCCTTCAGCATTGTACACTGATGCTGTTCAGCCTGAGGACGATAACGACAATGATAACGACAACGACAGCCGGTCGAGTGAGGAGCGAACGAGTGAGGAGACTGCACCACCTGCCAATCGCCCGAGAGCTAGCAGCATGCAGCCTCAACCCAAGCATGACGGAAACGAGAAGCAATGGACTGGCCCAGAGCTGGATGCAGCGTTGCATCGTGCCATTCAGAGCAGTCCTGCCCGCTTCGTTGGCTCCCAAGAGAGCCCTATCGAGGTCGAAGCTGAGCTAACTCCTAGACCAACGCGCCGTCTACTGTTCCCTTCTCCTCGCGAGAGAAATGGTCAGATGAAAACACTCGATGACCTCGCTCTCCCTGGTGCAAAGCCTCAATCAAGCACTATCATCGAGATGGCATTCGTGGAGGAGCCCAATAAAGAGAATTGCCCACCTCGGGATGAGGATGATGATCTTGCACATCTGTTCGAGTGTTCGCCCAATGTCTTCAAGACACCTCGCAAGACTCCTGAGAAGAACTCTATCCATCATCAGGACACTCTCCTCAAGACCCCCACACCATCTCGCTCTTCTCTTCGCACAGTTGCACGCAACACTCGCACACCTAGCGGTAATCAAGGCTCGACGTTCTTGCCCACCTTTAGTTCAGCTGAGGCTAAGAACCTCTTCCCTACTACCCCGTCCAGGTGGGCAAATTTGTCATCACCGTCTAGAAACCAGATGACACCTTTCACTCGCCAGCTGACACAACTGCTGAGCGATGCCCACCACGAGGCACCATTCCTCAGCCCTGGCCGTCAATTCGAGTTTTCGGATGCCATGCCTACCTTTATGACACCCGGAAGATCACTTGATTTCAACTTCGACGATTTTGACATGATGAATGTCGATATCAGCGCTGGCGTGACTAGCAATCCTAATGGTAACAACTCCCTTGCGAATACTGCAATCACCGACGCAACCTCCGCTCTTCACGCAACAACCACAGACGCTCCTGTTGAGCACAACACAACCACTACTACCACATGATGAGACTATGACATTATTTACTGTACGACCACTGGCATTAAATGGAAGGGAAAGGAAGGAAAGGATACACGAGGGAGATGGTACATAATGGACCAATACATGGGACTCGGATTGTAACAATAGGATGGACGCAACATTGCTAGGCGGCGGACAACTATATTGAACCGAGGGTAGCATAGCATTACTGTAACAGAACTGAAAGCGCATCAATACGCATGTTTCTCACACAAATCCCATTCCAGATCTGCTCTCCTGCATCCATGATCATCCAATCTCTCGCATGAGTCGGCAATCGGGTTCACATCTGCTGAGCTCTGAAATCGCGGCTCGAGGTAAATTTCGCGAGGATGGATCAAAAGGGAAGGCAAAGCGAAGACGAAAGATGATTGCAAGGAAGCTATGGAAGAAATACAGGGTCACCCCAGCAACCACGCTTTCCAACCCTAAAACCAACATACCACGACAGCAACGGACTATTCTGACTTAATTAACACATTGATGTAGGCCTATATAGTCTCTTCTTGTGAAATGTCATCTTTAGCACCATATCGATTGTGTTGAGTGAGGTATGGTTTGAAATACCTTTTTGTCTCCTGTCAATCTAAACAGCATGGTGAAAGTGTACAACCTGTTTGTCGGTTCACGAGCACACGAACGAAAACACACAAGACACCGGAGAAGACGGGATGTCAGATTCGGGTGCGTGTAGATCACTTTTGCATACTCTAAATTGTACCTATAACCATTGAGATGAACGATGAACCTCGTGACTACCATGCCAGGACCACGCTTCCGCCACGCGTTTACAATTACGGAATTATTTTATAGTCTGACGCAATTTTCCATCATCAAATGGGGTTGTGGTCTAGTGGTATGACATCTTCTTAGCATTGCTCTTCGAGCATTACTGAGTGGAGAAGGTTCTGGGTTCGATTCCCAGCTACTCCATTCTTTTGCTCCTGGTAGCCATGCTAGCAGGCAGTATTTTTGTGTTTTGCAACTCTGAGTTGTGCTTGAGGTTTTTCAATCAAGGGCGCGAAAAAGGCTGGTTGAGAACAGGATAATTTGGCAGGCTTCAGTGCAGCTTTTCTCTCCGCTGGGTTGCCGTGAAAGAGCCGGACGTCTAGTTTCTTGACTCGTCTGTTTTATCCAACCTTGTTGCTACACGACTGATCTCTGATCTCTGTCACGCGGTATGCTTGTTGCAGCGCCAATTGATTGATTATCGCTTCGGAAGCGAGATGCCTCCTCGCTCCAACAGTACTACGTATGCCAGTCGCGAAGGCTTCAAGTTTCTTCCTTGTGTTGGCATGGCATTGAGAGTCCTGACTCTCACCACCTTCAAGTCTTTGGCATTGGTCTGAGTTGTGCTTGAAGAACATTTGAGATTACTGAGACTCGAGCGAACGGCTCGCTCTTTTCTCGCACCGGCCGGCGGCTCATTTTCAATTGAACACCTCATTCTCACCTGCCGGTCTGATGTTTTTCGCACGGTCCTGCTCTGCAGCACCCCACGTGGAAAGCTCAGACCCTTCTTGCGAAGAGCTTCCTTCGATCTGTGTCGACTTCGAAACCACTCGACAACTCGCTGCAAGGTGTTCAAGTATACAATGTCGCGATAGTCGGCTAGACAAGTAGTGAAAGACCTCACACTGAGACAATCTTCGAACATGAAATGTCAGCAAAGCTTCGTGTGTAAGGCTACCTAGTTCGAAAGATCGCCAGGGCCGGATGTCAGATCTTCGGATAACGACACGTCCGAGTCACCAAAAAGCCTCTGACCTGACTCGAATCTTTCTGCGAACTCGGGAGTGCGAACGAATTCAGGGTCTTCTGAAGATCTTTGAGGACTGGACGAGAGCCTCTACTTCGAAGAATTGGAGCGCTCGAGCTTTCTCCACGTTGCCACAAGAACAGCTATCAAAGTTGAGGAGACTATCATCCATAAGCGTCGTTACCCATGCAAATATCTGGAGATGTCTTACCAAAACAGAGTCAGGGCCCTTGCGTTTCATGCTGTGATAGGGCCGTTGAAGGCGTTCATGCTCGAGCCTAATCTCACCGGTCTGATGCTTACATGAGATGATGCGGCCTGTAGACAAATTACAAACCATCATGGTACTATAGCGTCAGTGTATATAAGCCTCATGCCCCGCAGTGATCACCTTGCCTTTGAACTCTCATCCTCCCTTCCCCTCTCTGTCCTACCACCCTTCCAAACACCACACATTCAAAATGTCTGCCCCTAAGACTACCCGCGCATGGATTCTTTCCAACCCCCCTACCGACATGCCTGATGAGAACACTTTCAAGCTTGTCGAGCAGGACCTTCCAGAGCTCAAGGACGGTGAGGTCTTGGTCAAGACCACTTACCTCTCCAACGATCCCGCCCAGCGTGGTTGGATCCAGAAGGGTGTTGATGCGTGAGTACAACAATCTCACACAGTTGAATTCTCAATCCCTAACAGGAGACAGCGACCGCATGTACTTCCCTCCCGTCGAGATCAACGCTCCCATGTCCTCCTTCGGTATTGCTACCGTCCTCGAGACCAAGGCTGCCGACTTCCCCAAGGGCACCCTCGTCAACTGCTTGACCAACTGGCGCGAATACGCCGTCATCGACACCACCCTCGGCGCTCCCTACGTCACCCGTGTCGACCCCATCCCCGGCATCAAGGAGACTCACTTCCTCGGCGCCCTTGGCCTGACCGGTGTCACCGCCTACCACGGTCTCGAGCACATCAACGTCACCAAGGACGACACTGTCGTTGTCTCCGGAGCCGCCGGCGCAACCGGCAGCATGGTCGTCCAGATCGCCAAGAAGATCATTGGTTGCAAGCGTGTCGTCGGTATCGCCGGCACCGCAGACAAGTGCAGATGGGTCGAGTCCCTGGGCGCTGACGTCTGCATCAACTACCGCGATGCCGACTTCAAGGAGCAGCTGATCAAGCAGACCGAAGGCTACGTCGAGGTCTACTTCGACAACGTCGGCACCGAGATTTTGGACCTGATGCTCACCCGTGTCAAGCGTTTCGGTCGTATCTCTGCTTGCGGTTCCATCTCCGAGTACAACAACAGCACTCCCCCTGGCTTCAAGAACTGGTTCGAGGTCATCGCCAACAGACTTACCATCAAGGGTCTCATCGTCCTTGATGCTGGTGCCCGCTGGCCCGAGATGATCAAGGAGATCGCTGATGCTGCCGTCTCCGGCAAGATCCAGATTGGCGATGCCAACGAGACCATCGTTCCTACTCCCTTCGAGGATGTCCCCAAGACTTGGCTCAAGCTGTTCGAGGGTGCCAACACCGGCAAGCTCATTACTCACATTGTTTAAACGCTTTGACGAGCTAAGCTGAACTGTACATAACAAAAGCATTTGCAGGAGTTGGTTGTTTCTTCTTATTTCTATTCATGACCATAAGATACCACAAAAATTCACATCCATAACCATGACAACTGTTTTCGATGAGTTTCAGTACGAGCACAAGTGACTAGATGAGATTCACACGTCACACACGACACAAGGAAAGTAGCACACTATGATTGCAGCAAGAATATTTGATTTTCTCAAATACCGACCCAATTCCCCCTTCGAACAAATTGAGAACCTCTTCCTCCTTAGGACAATTGGTAGCTAATCGAAAGCCTTAGAACTCAGAGTACCCCTCCTACTCCCCCTCACAACAACTGGTAGCTAAGCAGCGGCTGCAAGTAAAGAAGATGAAGAAATAACAAAAATAGCCGAAAAAAGAAAAAAAGAAAGAAAGGGCCTCCCAAAAAACTAACTACGGCAACTTTTTGCGAAGTGATCAAGAAAATCCCTCCAACCTGATCCGAAAAATGATGTTTTCTATCTAACACAGATGAAAGAAACCAAAGATGGAAGTATAGTAGAATGCCCCCTTGCCCAAGGGAAAGCATACATGCCAACTTCATGTCTTGGTAATTTCATCATCAGTCTGTTACTTTTGGGAAAGCGGAAAAAACCCAAATAGACTAGCCCGTGTGGTTGCGAAAAGATTGCCTTTTGATAGTTGTGCTGCGTGGTGATCTGTTTCCCTGACATGACGGGCAGTTGACTTTGACAAATCTCGTTGCCCTGTTGAGGAGATTGGGAAGCTTGAGATGTCGTTGTGGTTGGCAGGTTGTTCATACTTCGGTTGTTGGTGGTGACTTCGATTGTTTCTGGTTGATTGGACGGACTTGTTGCCCTTAGGAATGGGAAGCTTGAGTGTCCTGAGAAGTTGATTGAACTCGGTGCCCGTTGAAGAGATGGGAAGCTTGAGTCAATGGATAGGCTTGATACTTCTTTTGTTGTTGATGTTGTTGCCGATGGTAGGCGTTGGTGGTTGTTTGTTGGCGTCTTGCTTCTTCTGCTCTTGTTTGATGCGCAGCCCTGTGTCAAAGTTCGTCGCCTTGACATGGTGCAGCATCTGTTGATGTTCGCGATACGTTGCAGCTGTGCACGGCTATGTCCTGTCCGTCAAAACAGTCGACAAGGTGCAAACAGTCTGTCAGCCGATGGCGATGGAAAACTACGTAGTAGGTGGTGCACGTCTCATAGATACAGTTCTTGTTAGGGCTGATGATCTCCCATTGACAAGTTGCATGCAAATGGCGTTTATGGCGGTGTGAAGCGTTCGCAGTCTACGTGACATGTATGGCTCGTCTCAAACCAAATCATGGCATCGTAGTTCTGTCGTTCTCGCTCACGAGTATGAGGGTTATGCTTTCAAATGTGCGACTCTTTGTACTGGGTAAAAGGCTCCCATTGACTTTGGTGCGACAAATGGCATGATACCGTTGGCTGTCATGGAATGCGCGACACGATGACCGGAGTTCTGTGACTCGACGACTCGGTGCAGCAACAGACTTTGATGGCGGTATGGTTCATCATCGCTGGTGTCATGATATACGCGACACATTGACAGAAACCCGAAGGTCCGATGCCATGGTGCTGTAGTAGACTTGAATAGCGATGGTTGCTTCTTCAGAAAGTGCGACTTGAAGACCCTTCGGCGACAAGGTGCAGCGATCTGGCAGTGTCAATGACACTTGTTTGTGGAAAAGCGTTGTTGGTGACCAAAACGTTCTGGAATGCGCGACTCTTTGAACAGAGCTTCGTGACTCGATGGCTTGGTGCAGCAAAGAAACGTTATTGGTGTTGATCATGATGATCACGATGATCATGATTTATCTTGGTGGTGATAACAAATCTTGGATGTCATGCTACTCTGTGACCGGAATCCGTAGACTCGACGACATGGTGCAGTGAACTGATAGTGTTGATGGTGATAACAAATCTCGGATGGCGTGCTACTCTGTGACCGGAATCCGTGGACTCGACGACATGGTGCAGTGACCCGATAGTGTTGATGGCCACTTCTGCAAAAGTGGGCTTTTAGCAAAGAGGCTGATATTGCTTTGGTTGCAGTTGGTTAAAGCGGGTTGCTTGGATCGTTGTGGTTGTTTGGTGGTAAATGGTGAAAAGGAGCAGTCAAAGCTGCTGCAGAACGCTTTTGATTTGGCGACTGCTGGTGTCTGATTTCTCTTCATAACCGTTGCGATAGCATATGGTGAACTTGAGCAGTCAAGGCTGCTGCGGAACGCCGTTTTGATTCGGCGACGCTGGTGTCTGGTTTCTTTTCATAGCGTGCGTCTTGTTGGTTGTTGCAGTGATTTATGGTGAGATTGAGCAGTCGGGGCTGCTGCGGAACGCTCTGTTGATTCGGGCGACGCTGATGTCTGATCTCTCTTCATAACGTGCGGTTGGGTGATCGGCAGTGGTTTTTGGCCTTTGCTTTGATTGTGGTGATCGTGTTTATTGTGTTGAATGACGAGTATGGCTTCATTGAGCCATTGTGTTGCTTGATAACGAAGGTGCAACGGGGTTGACGTGGTGGAGTTTGCGATTGCAGGGACATTTGGCAGCTGGTTGCTGGCTTGATGTGACGAATTTTGTGATGTTTTTGTTTGGTAAGAAGCAGAAGAAGAAGGCCGGCAGCTCGTTAGCTGTGTGTTGGGTGCACGATGTGCTTGTAACGACGATGAAGTTGTGTGGCTAGGCAACTGGACAACTTGGATCGTGGTTGTGATGCTTGACATGGACGAAGCTAGATGGCTTTCGTCCATCTTGATGGTTGAAATGGCTCTTGCAAGAGGCTTGGTGAAATTTGGCCACTCATAAGGCTGAGTGGCTTGTTGAAAATGGCCGCATGTCGATGATGAAGACCGATAAAGACCGAATAAACAATGAAGTGGAAGTATGAACACCTCTAGTCCTGATAGTAGATTGTGTCATGTAGGTAGTGGATGAACAAAAGATGCAGAGCTTGGGCTAAGACCTCTTCTTATAGCTTTACCTGGACTCTAGCAAAGGCCAGCAGTTAGACTAATCAGCTGTCTTGTCTGTGGTGACTCAGAAGGTGAATGTGCGCAAATTATGATACATGGCAGACTGCAGCAGCAAAACGAGTGGGCATGTACATGACTTCTCACTAAAACTAACTCAGCTTTAGAACGTATGCCGCATAGCATCAGAGAACCAGTCCTAAGGGCTAACGTGGGTGAATAGATTTACGTTGTCGTCGGTTCGGAAGGATATGCCTCTTCTGGAAGCATGTGAAGATGGCGCAAAGCAGAAGGTGCAGCCGAGGCGGCCTGTCGCACGACGATAACCTCGGTATGCCGCGTCCTCCGTCGGCCATGAATTGTTTAGAACAAGATCTTGTCGCAACCCTCGGCAATAGCACTCACCACTGTAGGCCCCTTGTTCCTGTATCTCTGACCTCTTTTTCCTCGTCGTCTCCAAATCGATTCACGCACTCGGCCCATCTCCAGCGACACCGGCTTCGCAAAGAAGACGATAGCACTATCGCTGCTCCAATCGCCGAAACACAGAAGCTTCCTCTATATGGCTACAAACATGTCACAGATGAACCTCAACAACGTCGCGCGACTGCTTGCGAGCAGAAGCGACAGCATGCTCGACCGACTCATTCGGGTCATGTCCACATCGGCAGGAAGAGACAAGACTCTCTGCACACTTCAATACCTCCTCATCATCGTCTACACCCAGCTCTCCCGCCTCCAAGGTCTACGATACCGCCGTCTCCTCCTTTCCGTCTCGCGCAAACTCGGTGCCGTCATGCTACCCGGAGAAACAGTCGTTGCGACTTTGTCACCTCCCGATGATAAACTCAGCCATGTTATTGCAGGCAGCAAGGCTTTGTCAGAGTTGATCAGCGATTTCAGATGCTTCACGCGTGTCTTTGTCGAGACGCTGGATCTGTATACCTGGGGCAAGAGCACGTGGAACAGTCCGCCCAAGGATGGCCTTATCAAGACTGCCGTATGGGGTCAGATCTGGACAATCACCTTGTACCAGTGGTATGAGAATGTGGCATATCTGGCGTCAAAGGGTGTGCTTCGTGGCGAGTGCTTCAACACAAAGCAGCAGAATAAGTGGTGGGTGTGGAGCTCGCGCTATTGGATGGCATATATTGCACTGGAAGCTGTGCGACTTGCTCGTGTGTGGCAGCTCAAGCCCACCGTCACATCGTCTGACGATAGCGCTGCCACAAAGGCGGAGACACAAGCAGCTGAGGCCTTGTGGAAGAGGCAGATGACTGTCAATTTGGCTTGGGCGCCGGTTTCATACCATTACAGCTTGGAGTCTGGTGCTCTGAGCAACGACTGGCTGGGTGTTCTCGGCTTGATCGCTGGTGCCACTGGCTTCCGCAATCTTTGGAAGCAAGCCGGTGAAGCCTAGATGTGTTCGCGAACAATTTGACGGCCTCGCGATTTAGATCGTGTTTTCAAAAGCTGATGAGACTGTATAGAATATGACATATCGCGTATTGAGCGTCTGTATGTACATGGCTGAACGCCTGAGCCATTATAGATTGATCCTTATGGCGGTGCCTGTCGTGACAGAAGCAGCCTGCTTCGAACTCACTCTGCGTCTCATTGCGCAGTCCCATAGTCTTCCTGCTTCCAACTCCAAATGACAAACGTTATGCATCAAACATCTTCCTTCCCCAAAAGTGGTTTCTTCTCATCCATCATGACCACCACCACACTCGCGTCCTCCCTCGAGCAACCCCAGTACATACAGTCCCAGGAGAAGCCAATCAGAGCCACAGCACCAGCACCAGGCAACACTCCGGTGACGGCCCAGAAGCACAACTGAGCCCAAGAAGTTGCATCAAGGACACCAGCCCCCAGTCCAAATTTGACAATCACCGACGCGCCGAGCATGCCTCCAAGTGCCACTCTTGCAATACAAAGTGCGCGGTCGTCTCTTCTCAGACACAGCAACGTGCCAAAACAATACAGACACTCGAAAAGCGAGAACAGGCCCATGGGTATGAGTACCAGAGCGTCGTAGATGTAGCGGCATAGCAGACTCGTCGTTATCGTGTCGGCCACGGAGGTGTCGATGTTGATGTAGTACCAAGATATCGTGACGAGCATGTTGAGGATCAGACAGAAGAGTAGTGTCGCCGGTCCTGGGTTCTCGAAATCGAGTAATGACTTGGTTTCATCGTCTTCATCTTGTTCTCCGGATTGATTCCGTGATCGTGGTGAGGTGGATGTGATTATGGACGCCATGGTCGCGTACTCTCCGTTGACCGTTGATGTCGTTAACGGCGCGAAACCGTTGGATAGAGTAGTCTTTTCAGCGTTCATCGCTCGTCGATAGCAAGAAAAGTCGGGGCACCGTTGGAAGATCTGGAGAGAGAGAGAGAGAGAGCAGAGGAAAAAGGTAATCCAGTATCAAAAACCCTAAGGCCAGCAATTCGCATATATGTATTTCTTGCTTTGGCTGATGAGTCGTCCGCGTGGAATGCTATCGTGTATGCAGCATGAGCACAGCTTGGCTAGAAATTGCGTGATGGGACAAGCGTGGATTGCGTGCTGGAGAGATTGGGTACAAAGATCAAAAGTCGCGGTCAGTAAAGAGTCGGGTGTGTACAAAGAGTGGAAAGAGAGCAATCAGCAGATCTAAATGTATCTCGGCGGAAAAACAAAGTCATCCTGCACTTCTTGTGGTCAAACTAGTCCGAGTTTACTTTCTCTTTCGCGAAAACGAAGGAAGTCGCAGCTGAAGCCTGAGAGGTCAGCATGGTCGCTGCGCGTTCCTTCGGGCGCGGGACTGTCCCAAGCCACCATTGGATTAAGCTCGATTGGGGCATGTTTATTGCTCAGGCCTGGTATGCGATCATTGTTCCGATCCTGCAGAGCCTCGAATACACGAAAGAAGTCCAAACATAAAGCTCGTCTAGGCGGAAGAGGTGGAGGGAAATGTCTTGGGAGTGCTTTGACAACTCTGCGGAGGTTCGAGACCTTCGCTCATTACCGAGGAAAGCACAGTGCACGTTCGGCAGTCATGATTATAGATAATTTCGAATTTCCACAAGTTTCGCTATTCTGTAATCGAGAGTGCTGTACGGAGTAGTTGAATGTTCAAGCGAAAAGTATTTGCCCCGGAGCCTCAAAAGTGATGCTCCAGACTGGTATAGTGTGGCCAAAAAAGCGCGCCTGCAAAGACATTGACAAGAAACGAATAGATAACCACGAAACAAAACTCCGACCGTGCTATCGAACAACCGTTTCGATGCATCGGGAGACAAACCTACTTCCCTAGCTATCTGCTGGGGTGGACGTTAACCATTGGCAGAGGCTTTGCCATACCTTCTTCCTTTGACTCAGGCGTACCTGTGCCTTGAGGCGTACCCAAGCCAGAGAATGGAGTGATAGTTCCTGATGGGGGTACAGGAAGCTTCAAGTCCTCGGGACTGTCAGGAATTATTTGAGCGGGAAGGCCTGGGACGTGGATACGTCTAGATTCATTATTGTAGGAGGCAGGGACGATCTGGCGCAAACAAAGTCAGCAGGTTACCTTGAGAAGCGGCAAATTGCAGACATACCTCAATAATCTCGTCGCGAGGGAATTGCAGCTTGGGAATGTCGCGTGCACCACAAGCCATCAGATAACCATAGAGCACTCTCAGAACACTCTCATGAGCAATGATGAGCAGATCGTCTTGCTCGCGCTCAAGCTCCAAGATGATGGGCTCGAGGCGTACGGCTAGATCGTGGTAAGACTATGACTATGTCAGCTTATTTCTGGGCTCAATCCGCTTTTAGCAAGTCTTACCTCTGCACGAGGGTAACGATGATGGTAAGGATCAAGCTCATGCTTGCGCACTTCTTCAGGATATTGTTCCCTGATTTTGTCTTCGGACATCTTCTCGCATACACCAGGGTTCAGTTGACTCATCTGAGGTCGCTGTTTCACACGATATCCTAGGCTCTCCAGATAGTGGGATGTCTCTACTGTGCGTCGCCTGGTGGATGTCCAGATGGTGAGCGGCTTGAGCGCAACATCAGGACCGCCTCTCTCGATGAACTCCTTGCGCTCGTCCTCACGGTGGTTGATGAGTGCATCAGCCATCTTCTTAGAGTAGGAAACGCCATCCTCAGATAGTGAAGCGTCGGCTTTGTATGAGTCCTCGTCTCTCGTAGTACCAGCTCTGGCGAAGTAAACCGATCTATGCTTGGTGTGGAGATTCAGAAGGTAGAAGACGATGCGCTGAGATAGGTAGTTGAAAGCGCAATTGTTGACAATCACTCGTTCTCCAGCGTTGATCATCTTCACGTAATGCAACTCGGCCTCTTCCATGGACTCGAAATGGGGGATACGAGCATTGATTCTGGCCAGGTAGTCCTTGACGGCATCCTTGTCGGACCAACCTTGGTAGTCAGGAGAAGAGATCTTGACACTTCTGACATTCTCCTCGATGATCTTCTCATCTGTGCAATGCGATTCGATGAAGAGGGTCTGCACGTTATGCTTGGAGAACTCTTTGGCGAGGGAGATACGACCAGCGGCAGAAGGGTTGACGGCGTCATAAATGGCAATCTGGCCGTTCTCGTGCTCGAGGAAGTTGTAGATGTCTTCTCTGCATTTCCTGAGGATCTTCTGACGAAGTAGCACGGAAGAGGGAGATGCATTGATGAAGAAATAGTCGTCAGGAACTTCTTGGCCCTCGCCCATGGTCGCTCTCCTGTAGTCGCCAAGATGAAAGATACGCGTCTTGACCCCCAGCCAGCGCAAATACCTGGCCAGAGCAACTGAGGTATGAGTTTTGCCTCGAGCAGGCAAACCGACTGTGGCAATCACTATTCTGCCAGAGTGGAACAAACGGCCAGATTCAGTGCTGTAGAGTTGGGCAGGGGCCATGCTCTCTTTTTCGGGCAAATCGTGAATTGCATCGACGAAAGTGCTTGATCTGCGCTTCCAACTTGGTGAGCTGGCCATAACATCGGCCGTACTGATGCGAAGTTTTGTCTTAGTAAATGTACGGTCGACAGCATGGTTATGAGATATTATAAAAGGATGTACTACGGCCATGTTTGCGATTGACAGGAGGGACGGAGATATCATAAAGGAGAAAGACGTACAGAAGAGTGTCCATGGTCAAAGAAAGGGCAATTAGATGCCGGTAAAATCAGTATGCTGGGTATGGATAAATTGGTAGCAGTTTCCGAGAGGGTGATCCGCGAGAACAGGTGAGCGACGAGACAAGCAGCTGATCTTGGCAGTATGGAATGGGTGATGTACCGCACAGTCGGTAAAGGCGATGGATAGAGCAGTCCAAGAGTAGAGAACTGGATTTAGCAGACAGAGAGGACAGTCAACTGAGGGGTAATCACAGCAACAAGCAAAGTCGGACGTGTTTGAGCAGCGACGATAAGACGGTCCACGGAGTTGTGGTTTGAGGCTCGGAGGTCATCGGTCCAATCACGCCAGTGGCCGCTCGGCCTAAATTTTTGGCATCGACGTCGTCGGTCGCGCAAAGCAGACACGAGCGCCCAAGTCACCACCAACCCATCTCTTTCGAAAGACTTGTCGCGCGCCATTGCATCTAAGCCGTGTCAGAGTCGACCCGTCGCTTAGTCTTTCAACAGAGTCCCGTCGTCGCCGCCCTCCGCCGCCGGTGTCCCAAGACTCGTCCAATCGCCCTCAGCAGCAAAAGTCTACATCATGACGTCGCTTCCCATCACCACCACCCCCTACCCTCCCGTGGCGCCTGTGGCTCCTGTCGCCGAGAAGAAGTCTGGCGCTCTGTCCGCTGTGTCCAACAATGCTCTGGCCTCGGCGCTGAAGGATACATACTCAGCCTTCCAGGCACGAAGAGAGGCTCTGGGTCTCACCAACCCTGGTACCGTCGAGAACGTCGCAAAGGAGGTCCAGCGCGATGTCTTCCTCAACAACCTGTCCTTCTCCGGCCTGCGCGCCGACCTCACAAAGGCCTTTAGCGTCTCGCCGCTGTTCCAGGTCTCGCACGCCTTCTCCCAGGGCTCCCAGCAAATACCTCCTTATGCTTTCCTCGCCCTCTACGGCACCAACAAGGTATGCTCGTCTGTGTGCCGCTTTCTCGATGCCCACCTGTTGACACTCCTAGATTTTCTGCCAAGGTAACCTCGACAGCGACCTCTCCCTCTCTGCCCGCTTCAACTACCGATGGACTCCCCGCTGGGTCACAAAGACCACCACCCAGATCCAGGCTGCTTCCATGGCTGGTCCTGGAGGTGCCCAGTTCTCCTTCGAGAACGACTATGTTGGCAACGACTTCACTGCTCAGGTCAAGGCCATGAACCCCTCCATCCTCGACGGTCCTCTTACTGGTATCTTCATTGGTAGCTACCTCCAGAGCATCACCCCTAGACTTGCTCTCGGTCTTGAGGCTGTCTACCAGAGACCTGCTGCCCAGCTCGGCCCCGAGGCCATGATCAGCTACGCCGCCAAGTACAAGGGTGAGGACTGGATCGCCAGTGCTCAGCTTATGCCTTCCGGTGGTGTCCAGGGTTCTTACTGGAGAAGACTTTCCGCACAGCTCGAGACTGGTGTCGACCTCAACCTGCAATTCGCCGGCAACCCCATGATGGGCGGCATGAGAAAGGAGGGTGTTGCCACTCTTGGTGCCAAGTACGACTTCAGAGCAAGCAGCTTCAGAGCTCAGGTCGACACTGCTGGTAAGCTCGGTGTCTTGCTCGAGAAGAGAATTGTCCCCATGGTCCAGATCACCTTCGCTGGTGAGCTCGACCACGTCAAGGTAAGCGCTATCCTTCGTACATTCATACTTGACATACCACTGACCTTTTCTGCCAGAACGCCGCAAAGGTCGGTCTTGCCGTTTCCATCGAGGCTGCCGAGGAGGAGGTTATGGCCCAGCAAGAGAGCGCCATGGCCGCCGGCCCCGTCACTCCTCCATTCTAGACATCTCGCAGTGTAACTCCCCTACTCTGCCGTGTACATTACAAAATTTGACCCTCTCTCCTGATGTCTTTGTTGTTGTCGATAGCTGGCCTTTTTGCCTGAGTTGTGGGAAACAGATGGTTATCTGTTTGGCATGGAAGCCTCGATCTATCACATCTTGTGTCGTGGTTTATGAAGAAAGAGAAAAAGGAGGTTCTTGGACCGGACACGAAAGGCGCGGAATCATGATCAAATATGCATTCTCTGTATTCTATGCTCTTTTGCAATTGGCATCTTTGTGCAAGTCGTGTTGACAACGTTTCCACCCAGCACCCTTCCAATCCTTGACCATGGTTGTGCATCGGTTGGCAGCGGCATAGGATGAAGAGCGATCTGATTAATACTTGGTGCAACGGTAACATAACTATTCATGGCAAAGTAGGTACGAGTACGAGTATTTGTGAAGTGACACTTGGCCTTTGATGTTTCCCATCTCGATCCCGCCCATGCTCAGCGCCTCACAGCTCCAGACGGTGCAGAGACGGTGAAGGACTCGCAAGCGGCAGCAACAATCTCGATCACTCTAATGAGAAGCTCCACCTGAGAGCGAGGTCCAGCCCCTTCACATGCCTCACAAAGAGCAGCTCACGTGCTGAAATCCAAGGTAGAGCCTCAAAATGACGTTTCCGTAGCTGTGACGTACCCCGCTCGCACAAGGCAGCAGCCACCAGCTGGCCAGCTGTTGCCCCTCACCTCGGCCTGAGCCCCACGTTAAATCGCTCATCGGGGATTCAGTAGACGGAGGCGTACGCAAACAGCGTCAGGTGGCTTCCTCCAGTGACCGAGCAAGGAAGTAGCGTGTTGTGGCTGAAGACGAGCAGCGTAAATCGTCACCCGTAGAATTGCTTGGACTGGTGTGGAGTGGGAAAGTGAAGGTGAGAAAGTGGCCCCAAGTGAAGTCACACGTCATAGTGACCTACGTTGTTGTTTGTCCCGCATTGGGAAGTGAGCTCTCTGGCAGCTTCCAACTCCCAAGCTCCCAGCTACTTAAGAAGCTCCTCTCACCACCAACCTCCGTCTCTTTTTCATCAACAAACATCCAAACAATTCTCTTTTCAAACCAAACAACCAACCCAACCCACACATCAAAATGTCTGCTCCCAACGCCAACGCTCCCAACGAGGGTATTGTCGGCCAGATCGGCAACTCTCTCAACAACGCCGCCCAGTACGTCTCTGAGACCGTTCAGGGTGCCGGTGCCACCGCTTCCAAGGAGGCCAACAAGGAGAAGGCCAAGGGCAACTCTGCCGACGACTCCATCTCCGGCCGTGTCTCTGGTGCCATGGGCGCCGCCTCCGACAAGGTCGACGAGAAGAAGCACGAGGGCTCCGCCTCCGCCAACAAGAACTCCATCTAAGCGTTCTTCAACCTTCTCACCACCATCAATTCGACCAAGTCTTTTCTCATGATGACTTTCGACACGACGGCATGACACGACAACATCTCTAGCTCCCCTTCTCAGGGTTGAGCTCAAGTTCTTTGCTATGAGGGGTTCACTTTTTACAACGACACCGGCGATGGCAGGGCAACCAGCGCTCTCCATACAATGGTTTTCATGATGTATCCATAATACCCCAAATCACAAATACCCCTCAAACATCACTTTTGACTTTGCTGTGACTTTTGTTCCATTGTGAATTTTATCTTTTCAATTATCTGTGTTGCCTCTATTCACTGTCTTCGTATCTTTGAACCTATCTTGTTATACATGCCATCCTTTGGTCATACGGTGAGCTTTGCAGAGCTTGATTTGTGCTTTCCTATCAGCCCCTCCATCAAGCTGCGGCTGGCTGACGGCTCCCACGCTGATCAGATCTACCAGGATCACCACCACCAGCATGCTCATCAGACAGGCACGAAATTATGCGCACAAGCTGCACGACATCTCGCAGAATCAATTCATACCCTCCACAGTCCATATCCTCAATCCCATCACCACCCATGGCCTTTCCGAACCCCTCCAGCCTCAGCGAAACAGCTGCCCCCGCGCTGCCGCGCACGAGCGACGTCTCCAAGCAAGGATCGACAAGATCAACGAACCGTGTCCGGCAAACGCATCGAAACAAACCTCACTTCCCGACAATCCATGACGGAGAGCGAACCACTGAATTGAAAAAGTTCGGGGGTGGACATATACTCACCTCGAAGGCGCTTCTATAATTCTTGCAATCCATATTCTTGTCCACACCGTCGTCTCCCTGCTCTTTATCACCCACTCATAACCAAAAACAAAAGGAACATTCACACGCACAGACGATTTTTACGATTTATACGAATTGACGGATTGATCACGATGTTTTTTGCAAAGACCATAGTTGCTGCTTTTGCAGTTGTGGGTTCTGTGTCGGCTTTGCCTGTGCAGAAGAGAGACGATGCTGTTATTGGAGACCCTGCCAGTGTGTTGCCCTTCGCCACACCATCACTCACTTCAGCAAAATCTAACATATCATGAACAACCAGACCCTCTAGACGACCTTCTCACAAACGTCCAAGGCGGTCTCCGCGGTGGTCTCGATTTCCTCTCCATCCCGAGTGGAAGTAGCAAGACCAAGAGAGATGACGCCGTTATTGGCGATCCAGCAAGTGCGTTATCCTCCACCACTCCAGCCATCTCGATCTCGGATACTGACACGATGCAAAAACAAGACCCTCTAGACGACCTCCTCACAAACGTCCAGGGAGGCCTCCGCGGCGGTCTCGATTTCCTCTCCATCCCCAGCGGAAGCAGCGATAAGAAGAAGAGAGATGTCATCGGTGATGCCGCCAGTAAGCAACCACTTTCCATCCTTTTCCAAGACATCGATAGCATACAAGATACTGATGAAAAGCAGACCCATTGGATGACTTGTTGACAAATGTAGACTCTGGAGTAGAGGGCTTCTTTGATTTCCTCGGTGCTGGTGGTAAGAAGGAATAGAAAGAGTGTACAAAGCTGAGGAAGATGGATTTTTATAAACGCTGGGTGGATTGTAGTGTATGTATATATGGGACTACAGTGGCGTTTTGAGGATGATGGATTTGTATATATGGGATCCAGGATTAATGTGCCACTACTTGATCATTGCTGTTGCTGCTTCCAAACATAAGAGTGATGAGGTCGAGTTTGACACACAAAGACTGGCTGGTGAGGGGACCACCCTGACGTGTCATGATTATGCTCTCAGCATCTTGTCACGACTCATAGGAGGTAGCCATAGGTAATGAGGTGCTTTCTCGGCATGAAATACAGACATCCTTTGAATAGCAAATGTGTACATCGAGGTGGTGGAGCCACCTACAACAGACAGGCGAATCTGCATTTCTCAAGCTTGACATCAACGAAAACAACCAGGAGAACCGTGGTGGGAGCAGCATAACTCTCGCATACACAGGAAGAAGTAAAGTATAGAATGAACAAATCATCATAAAAAGAAGTATGTAAAAAACCTCCCATAGAAGAATTAAAACCAAAAACGAACCCACAAAAACATCAGAAATGGGGTCTAGAATATCCCTGATGCACCGTGTGGGCCCGTTTCCCAAGAAACAAGCAAACCGAAAACTTTAGATACATTTCAAAAGGCTCGAAGAAATGCCACTTTGAAAGATGAAGAAGAGATACGAAATATAAGAGGGCGTAACAGGTGTCATGTCAGAGGTTGTTCGTGTAAACATGTCAATCAAGACATTTACAGGAGGACAACGGCGGCACCGAGGGCGGCGAGACCGTAACCGGCAGCGACGACGTTGTTGGCGGCACCAGTGTAGATGGCGGGCTTGGTGGCAGAGGCAGTGCCGTTGGAAGAGCCAGTGGCAGAGGGAGCCATGGTCTTGACGACGGTGCAAGGGCACTGCATGGAGTAAATCAGTCAAGCTGTTCGGAAATTGTGGCAGAAAGGTGAAGGATATCAAACTTACGTCGGTGATGGTCAAGGTGGTGGCGGAGGAGACGGTGTAGGTCTTGCCGTTCTGGACAACACTGCAGAAAAAGCCGTCAGTCATGTTCGCTGTTGTTCCGAGGTCGGGTTGCTTACGTGGTGGCAGCAGGGCAGTAGGTAGTAAGTGCGGTGACGATCTCAGTGGTGTAGACGGTTCCGTTGGCAGGAGCGGTTCCGTTGATGTAGGCAGCAGAGGCCGAGGCAGCAAGGGCAATAACACCGAAGGACTTCATTTTGATGATTGGGTTTGGGGTTTGGTTGGTTGGTTTGGGAGGAGTAGAAAGAAGCGAGTGTGAGAGACTTGGAAAAGACTGTTGGAGTTGGTTGGATGATGGAGAGAAAAAATAGGGCAACAAGGAAGAGGTGTTATATATCAGATGTCGGTGTCTGTGTTGAGTAGGGTCTGGGTCGTCGGCAAGGAATGCTAGGCTCCATGGTGCGTCGTGGACAAGGAAATGAGATGGCTTCGATATGCTAACAAACGAACGTTCGGCGGTGTTATCTCTAACGGTCGTAATCAACTTCTTCCTGAGTATGGAAAAGGTTTATGGAGTCGTTGAACTTTTGCAAATTTGGTGATCGTTCGACATGGACACAGAAGGTACTGCCGACTCATGCTGATGCTGCAATTGTGGTCGCAAGTATCTAACTCGACATCAGGACTTACATGCGTGTTTGAGAAGGACGACTCATGGTATCGTATAGTACGATAGACGATAGATAGTCATTGATCTCGTTCGCTCTCCTCGAAGTAGCCGGGCAAAGCGGTCGTTGAAAGCTTCAACGTCCTTGGACGAGAAATTGTCCGAAAGCGCCATCAAGCATGGCATCACTAACGATCCACTGCAGGTCCACGAATTTCTAGGGCTCATACTGTTGCCTTTCTTGGAACCATCAGGAAGCAAGGGAGGAGATGCTTACCCTCGGGGTGTTCGAGAAGGGCAAACAAACGGTTCCTCGGAGCTTGAGTGCCCCTTGAGGCAAGGGGAAGCGGATGGATGATTTTCGGGATGAGTTGCCTGCTCGACTGGGCCTCACAACAAACAAAAAGTCGTCAACACAGCCCATCTTGTCAGCTCATGGATTGTGGGATTGTGGGATTTGGCTTCGTATGACACTGTTGGTAATTTGAAGATGCGGAGTAAAGGTTTGATTGAATATTGAAGTATGCGTCTCCTATTGCACCGTCTTCGCAGATTACCGAGACTTGTAGAATGCATACATATAAGACTGCGCTGCTCCCTCAAAATCGATCCGTGTGTTACACCAGAACATCGTCTTCTTGATTGTGGATACAATATTGGTCCCGCAGTCGGCCTCCTCTTCTGATCGTCCACACCAGCCTCAGGTTTCCATAGTCGAACGGTCAATGGGATCATCACTATCGTACGTGCACGTCATCACCGTAGTGACAACCAACCAACGATTCAACTTGGATCAGGACTTGAAAATAAACCTGGAAAGGAAAGGAGGTTTACTACGGTCCCAGACGTATTCAATCGCGCTGGATGATGACTCGAAAGATCCGATCTCTCCTTGCCAAGTGTACTACTGAGTCTTGCTCTGGTTGGAAAGGCAGGCGATGAACATTAGCGTCTCTTTTGCAAGCTCATGTTATACAAGCATATATACAAGCCTCAAATCCAAGGCGCATGAAAACATGGCGGGCAATGATATAGACAGATGCCCGCGAAGCGCCAGACCCCACGCTATTCAAAAAATGACCATCTCGTTCGTACAACTCCGTGAAAGCCATCGAGGCAACAAACTGTGGTGGGTATTCTGTGGCAACAGCTGCAACTTTAAGCGTGCTCGGTGGTGTTATGTCGTTACAAAATCTGGTGTCTGTAGGAGAAGAAGGTTAGTAACGTACTGATAAGACGGACAACGGACGGGTGAAACATACTTCTGGAAAAGGTGCTCAAGGCTGATGGCACTGAGTTCAGCATCATCAGGAATCTCGTCGACAACAGGCACGAGACCTGCAAACTTGTCGCCGCCGCGGTACGCCAGAACAGCAGGCACACCGGCAGGCTCCATCTCAGCATCAAGGTAGTGCAGCTTGACAAAGCGAGTAGTTTTGTGCTTGCGAGCTAGTTGACGCATGCAATCCTCGACCATATAGCTGACCTCTGATGAGTCGTCGTAGATAAAGACGATAACGACAGTGTTCGAAGGACTGCGATCCACAGCATCCAGGAAGCCCTCGCCGTCGACTGAGACAAGACCACCATAAGTAGCGCGGCTGCGTGGCTGGCCGATGCTGTTGCTGGCCTGGCGGCCATTTGCTGATAGCTGGTTAAGCCTCTTTTGTCTCCACTCGGCCATGAACTCGTCTTCACTCTCGATGTCGCTTCCGCTTTGGCTGCCCTTGCTTCTTCCATCCAGACTCAGCTGTGCCACGTTTGGAGCGTACTCGTAGTTTTGTGTTCCAGCTTTTGGCGATGAGTTGCGCTCTCGTCGCGCAGCTTCAAATGCTTGCGCATCTGCGATGACACCCTTAGGACCTGTGTTGGAGTATGACTTGTTTCGCGGAACGTGATCTCTAGAGGGGAGGTTGGGGAGAGCTGAAGGTTCGTCGTCAAAGTCGGACAAGAGGTCGTCGTTTTCTGAGGGAATCGAGTCGTTGTCGTCTTCGGGGTGTTGGGTGCGACGAGACTTGTCGCGGAAGAGCTCGTTGTATTCGTCTTGTGCTGTCGTCATGATTGCGAAGAGATGCGAGTGTGTATATGAGGTTGTGTTGCGAAAGCGACTTTGTCAATCAATAGTTGAATTGCTCTTGCTAAAGCGTGGACCGTGCCGGAGAAGGGTCAATCAAGGGTCCAGTGTGGAGTGAGTGCTTGTCGTATGCGTTTGGGAGCAAAGTATCAATGTCAATGTTGAGGTCGAGCAGCAAGAGAGTACTGATAGGGTGTTTAGGCAAGAAGAGCATTCCTCGAGCAGAAGATATATACCCCCTCTGATGATGATGCAAAGGCGTTTGGGATTTCAGGGGCAGCTACTCAGTACACATACATAGAACATGTGAATTTCAGGATTCCTTCAAGGCACATTCAAACAAGGCCTTCAGAACACGCACTGCTTGCCCTGTCGTCGTCTGACCATGAAGCCACTCCCAATGTCAAGCATCCTCCAGCGAAACCTTCGACCTTAATCCTGTAGCTGTGATTATGACGGATCCCACGGACCGAGCGCCTTGAAATCAAACCTGCACGGTCCAGGATCAAAGCTAGAAGCATGTGAAACAGCCACTCGAGCGGATCCCGCTTGCAACTCCTTTTTAATCTGTCCTGCTCAAACATGACCGTGAGAGTTTCGCTTCAATCAAGTTTCAACCTCACCGGCACGCCTGCCCAACTTTCAAGTTTCACTGCAAGACACCAATTAAAGTACGTCTCAATTATAAGGGTTCCTACTGCCCTCTACGTTGTATGCATGCCTCGCTTCGTAGAATGAAAAAGGGAATTATTTCTCTGGCATCTGCTTAAGTTCAAAGGAAAAGTACACTACGAAGAATGTGCGCGTGGTTGAACCCCACGAATGCAGGACTTGCAAAGAGGGAAAGAACCGCTATAAAACAACAAATGAAAATTGACAGCGGGAACGTGGGACATGTGCTTGATAAAAGGAAAAGAGTTGAAGAGCAGAGGGAAATCCATCGCAGCACTTTTTCTCCTTTTTAATCCCATGCGCAGCAGCTCTGCCCCTCTACCCAGAGTCCGGGAGGTAGAAAAATCGACAACCAGGGAATTTGCTATGGGTAAGACGCCAGAAAAGATAGAGAACTGCGAAAAAGACAAAGAATTAAACACCAAATACCACCCCGGCCCTGGCAGAGGCTTGCTGTCGCGCACATTTGAGTACACAAGACCTCCATTATGAAACGTGTATGATTCAAGAAGAAGGAAAGAAAAGGGGACGAAGGTTGTCTGTCGGATAGATGCTTGTGTAGAACCGCTCCGCCCCCGTAATCCCTAAAAAGAGACTCTGCTCCGGCAGAGTGTGAAGTGAAAATAGGCCACTGTGTTGCGGTCAAGGCGTGTTCTGCGTGGCACATGCCCTTCGGTGGTATCGTTTGTCCGTTCTTCTGGTGTGGAGTTGCACTGTCCCGTTGTCTGGACAGAAACACATGATGGCGTTGATGAAAATTATGAAGTTGACAAGACTCGGTTGAGATAGGATTATTATGCCCAGATGCGGAGCTGTGTGGATTGTTAGCAAAGAACATGTAGGACTTGAAACCCGGGATACGCACCATAGAGTCCCAAGAACCAGTGCAGAGCGAAAGAGCATCGTTGCTGACGCCCAAACAGCTGACACGGTTGTCGTGACCTTGCAATGTACCGACTCTCTCACCGCGCAGAGTATCCCAGACCTAGCCGAAGTCAGTATTTTCCAGAGATTGATCAGGATGACAGATACATACCTTGCACTCGAAGTCATCGTAACCAGCGAACAAAAGTCTACCAGAAACGGAGAATGCGACGGAGGTGATACCGCAAACGGGCTCGCCAATCTGGAAAACAAGTCAGCTAAGTTGCCATTTAGACGCCAATTCAAGAAGACATACGGTGTAGCTCTGCAGCTCTCTGTCGGCGCGGATGTCGAAAAGACGGCAAGAAGCGTCGTCGGAACCAGTACCAAAAGCGTTTCCGTTGGGGAAGAATTGGATGGCGTTGATGTCCGAGTCGTGAGCAGCGAAGGTCTGAACGCACTTTTGCTGTCTAATATCCCAGAGCTTGGCGAAAGCATCGCAAGCACCGGAAACGAATTGATTGTTGTCGAGAGGGTTGACGCTCAAGCTCATAACGTCGCCGAGATGGTCGGCAAATTCTTGCAGCTTCTGGCCGGTCTCAATATCCCAGAGCACACAGGTCATGTCACCAGAAGATGTCAAGATGCGACGGTCGTTGATGAAGCGACAGCATGAAAGGTAACCGGAATGACCGGAAAGTTCTCTGGCGACGCGGGTAGGGCCGTCGCGAGCGGAAAGGTTGTAAATGGAACAGATGTTGTCAAGACCACCACAAGCGACGTAGTTGCCGCTGGGAGCATAGGCACAAGTCATGACCCACGAGGATCTGAGAGGGATGGCGTGGACCTTGTTTGTGCTGTAGGCGTCCCAGATGATAAGCTTACCATCTTGCGAAGCCGAGACGAGATGCCTTCGGTCAGTAGACCAGTGCATGGCGTAGATCTTTGCGAGATGGCCCTTGAGGGTACGCTTAGTCTTCATCTGGAGGCGAGGAAGAGCCTCTGTGCGTTGACGAGCAACATCGCGAACTGTGATGGGCGGTCAGATGGATGTGCTGTGAGTGGAAGGTGGTGGCTGGGTAGACTTACGGGTTGTGTCGGCAAGCTCGTCCTTCTTCTTCTTTATGCGGTCCTTGAGGGCTTCGGCATCTCTACGAGCGATTGAGATCTTCTGCTGGATGGACTCTGCGCTTCCGTCGGCCATGGCTGTAGATTTCTATTTGCGATCGGGAAAAAGTAGAGGAAAATTGGCTAATGAGCGACGCGGTCGTGTCTAGGCGGATGGACGATGGTAGGAAGTTTCGCCGACGACGTCTATAGCTTCAAAGGCGGCGACGAGATGTTGGTGACGGCTGTGACAAGAAGTGCGGAGCTCACGAGAACGGAGAGTGAGCGGCAGCGACAGGAGTCGGAGGTGCAGGTCAGCAATCAGGCGCTGGAAGGTACGGAAAGCGTGTTTGGTTGGTCGGGCAAAGGTCAGATCGGCGCAGATCAGGACACAGAAGGCAGGCGTTCACGACCAGAAGACAGCAGGAGGACGGTCGGCGGTCGACGCGGAGATGCAGCGTGGACGGCGAGGAATTGATGGATGATGTCTGTCCGTGGACGTGGGATTGAGAGGCCTGGTCTGCACGATGCGGATGCACGATAATGGGGGGAATGGATTTGGAGAGGTGTCGGCCGTCGGTAGGAGTCGACGGAAATCGTCAAAGCGCCCGACTAGCAACCTGACTGGCTCGGTAAACGGCCAAGGGTGCGGCTTGGTCCATGGAAACGGGAGGCAGTCTGGTGGAGCCAGCAATCTTCGCAGCCAACTCTAATCACCAAATGTTGCTCTTCATCAAACCACGCTGCACTATTCTGTCCTTTGCCGTCTGTGCGAGCAATCATACAAATTGTTCATCTCTGCTCCTGTTCCCCCGCTGCTGTGTCTTTCACCATCTGAAGACTCTGCTCGCTCGCCTGTTGCTAGACGTGTGCCCAGAGCCCAAGAAGCGGCCGTTTTCTCTTCTCTTCACCTCTTCTCTCTCTGCACCATTCCCGGCGCTGCCCGTTGGCTTCATTTTGCAACGGCCGGCTTGCTGCTTCCTAGGCGTGAGCATTATTGACTTAGCTCCCGAGTCTCGCCCACCGTCTGAGCCCACCTAACACTCGTCCATTTGTGCTTGCCCTTCTGCTTTGGCTTAGTTGAGCCTCGACATGGCTACTCACCGTTGCCACCCGATCCGCAACTCACACCGTCCATTGCTATCTGGAAATGGAGATGCATAGATTACTTCCATTGCATTGACCGGCCAGGGCAATAGTACACCTGCTTCGTTGAACGTTGCGGCCTTCTAGCCAATATATCATACTCAGAATTGCTTTGATCTTCGTTTACTGCCTGAATTCCCCAACTTCTGGCCCTCCCTCTCCTCGTTTCCCCCATGACTCGCGAGCCTCGATGCTATCCCTATTCTTGCAAAGTGTGAATCTTCTTGTACAGGCTAATCCATTGGCTTTTCATCTGTCTATGGTGGCAGGGCGAGGCCTTTTGAGCTGAAATGATTGCACAAGGAAGAAGTGCATGCATCGCCAATCTCCTTTCTTTGCCCTCCTCGGCTGTCAAATCGCGATTTATCCATTGCCCTCGAGTCAAGATCATTGCGTGTTCTTAGTTGAGCACACAGAGCAATAACTAATTAGATCAAATGTCACAACAGGATCTGAGCAACCACCGATGTCATTTATCATTAAAAGAGAGGGGGAACTGCCTTCGAGAAGTCGTACAGTTCATTGCCAATATAGATGCTATATTCGTCCCTTTCCTCCTGTACGCTGCCGACTGTACGCAAGGAAACATGGGGAACTTGGCGTGACCTTGCAGCTCGGCCATATCACTTGACCTGAGCACAGCCTCACAAACTGCAGCTGGATGCATTCGAAGTTCACAAGACGCTGGGCAGCAGACACATGCAAGGAAGAGGAGATCCTGTTCATGCAAACATACGGCAAGGGAAGTGGCACTAACATGCATGACAATAACACAATGACTTCGTTAGAGCGAGACAAGAAACTGCTTTTGGTTTTTTTCGTTGATTTGCGAGCAGAGGACGAGCTTCATTCCATGTCCGATAGTAAGAGCCATTGAACCCATGTAATTTTGCGTTGCAAGCCCCACCCAAGACTCCTGCCATGATCAACTCATCCTCCTTCGCTTGACGTGCGACAGCGACGGACCCAAGGATTGGGGCGTTCCATTTAGCGGTGCTGTGGCAGGATGTTAGCCTCCGACAGGTGATGACTCCAGAGCGCATGTCGGTTGCGGGTCTGGCACGGAAATGCGTGGGTGGAAGCATGCGTACCTTGATGAAACCAATGTCGGTGGACTTCTCACGGAAGCACTGACGGCAGATGTTCAGGCCGTACTTGCGGATGAGACCGGCCTTGTGGGTGCAGACGCGGCTGTAGAAAAAATTAAAGTCAGCCAGATGTCCTCCTTTCGAGTGTGTGATCCCCTAGCCCATGCGCGCCCAACACCAGTATATTCCATCTCTTGCTTCATCTATTCTCTCGAGCGAGCGCCGGGGATCGTGTGGTTGTGAAGACGCACCATTCTCTGCTGCCCTTGCCGTAGGTGCGAGGACGCGAGTACCAGACAGATTCGTGAGACATGGTTGCGGTGGATGGGTTGCCGTAAAGGTCCTGAAGAAGAGAAAAGCGCTTGTTAGATGGATTCCTTTTGCGATTTCGATGCGAGCGATAGAAGATACACACTTGAAGTCGTACGGTTTGCTGGTTGTCGTCGCGTGGTGCAGAGTCAGTCGCTTGTCTGAATTTCGGATTTAGAAAGTGCGATTCTTCGCTCTGCCAAGCCGCGCTAACCGCTTCAGGACTTGTGTGATCTGGGGGTTTGTTTATTCGACCATCACTCACGCCTGTTGTCTTTCACATCATCGAGTACAACTAGTCGTTTTGCGAATCAATTCAGTCATCATGGTGAGCGAAGCTTATGTTCTTTGATCTCAGGTGAGGTGGTTTAACGATTATCCCTAGACGAAAGACTCATCACACACATATATCCACCTGCACCGCAGTCACCATGCCGATCTTCTAGAGGACTTCAATCGCACTCACCTGCCCCATGAAGAGATCTATGTGCCACCCCAACATCAACCTCTCAATCCAGACGATGAAGATGATGTCGTTCCGGAGCAGCATGCGGCTTTTGGAATCCAAAGAGCCACACAGCGTCAACAAGAACCTGCTTGGCGTGACCTTGGTCTGGACAGAATCTTGAACGAAGGCCCTCCAAAGACTCAAAAGCAGAATGAGCAACTATCCAAAGTCCGTCTTCTTCGATGAACTTCAGCAATCTCCACTGGACGAATCAGACCTTCGTCTTATTTCTAGACCACCCCTGATAATGAATCATGACCTATTTTTCTACAAACACAAACTTCGTTCTTTCATGGACGTAATCATCTTCATGCCGTTTTGATTCCTATCTGGGCCTTTCTTTTGTCCCATGGCGATGGCCATGGTTGTTCTTTGCTTATATCATCCTGGCCAGGTTACATTTGGCAGCAGACCAGCAATCTTGAGGCATCTGCACTCACTATAATTACTGCCCTCTAACTCTCAGACTCTCATCTTCCTTTCCATATGACCAGTTCACATTGACTAAAGCCAACATCGACATCAAGCCTCGGTCGCCTGCACAGGGGAAGGGACAACCTTGCAACATTATGGCGAAGAACGTCAGAGACAAAAGAGCCGCTGCACAGAAGAAGGCCGCCGAAGTAAAGGCTAGAGCAACTAAACCTCTTGCCACTGAGAAGAAGCCAGACACTGAAAACAAGGAGCCCAAGACTGACGAGGAGAATGACCACACGAGCGAAGAAGGACCCGACATCACTGGAAAGGATCCTGGCATCGCCGACACTACTCCGGATGCTCGAGGTCGCGCGGTGCAACGTAGAAGGGGTGTCAGCTCTTCAGCACACACCTCACGACCGCCTTCAGCAGCGACAACGTCAACAAGAGCTACTACCAGAAGCCAATCTAGGATGGGTTGGAAACCCGTCCACGTGCCCGTCCCGGACGAAGAAGAGACCATCCCTGCAAAAACCCCACCAGAAGCAGACATCACTCAAGAATCAGCAAACAATCCCGACGTGGCCGCCGAAGTAGAATCGGAAGTGGAAAGACTCCCCCGCAAGAGTCCATCTGAGCGTGTTGGCTACTTCTATCTTGACGATCCCGAAGGCGACCTTTCCAAGCTCAGCAAAACCTTCAAAACCTATGGAAGGGTTGTCAGTTTCACTCCTGAGTCGGTGAGTCATATGTACCCTGCTTGGAGCTTGATCGGAGTAGCTAACGATGACTAGTATCTAGGCTGGGCTGAATTCGAAAGCACTGAAGTTCGCAACAAAATCGTCAAGGCCAGCCCACATACCCTGGACAGAAAGAAAGTTGTCGTCGAACAAAAGATGCGTTCGTACAAGGGCGTTCATGCTAAAGAACAAGCTAAACTGGATTCTGAGCAGGAGCAATCACGCAAGCCACCCCAGGTTCTGACTTCGTTGGCGGTCCAAGATGCAGCGATGAGATTGCAAGGAGCATTGACGGAAGTTAACACAGTCTCGATCCGCATGGGACACGGCACCCTTTCTCAGTCAGAGATTGATCATTCTCTAGCCCAGGCGATGCTGCACTTACTGGATCTCACTTAGAACAACCAATCCCATACTTCTGTCGAAGATGCTGAGGACAGCGAGGACGAGAAAGCGGTCTCCTTACACACCTCGTGGAATACCAAGGAGAGAACTGAAACTATCAAATGACACCCCATAGAGGTAGCTCGCAGTCAGCCTATTGGTCCACAGCAGAAGTGACTGTCGAACATGGTCGGGGTCTGTAGAGGAGAGGAGAGGAGAGGGGAGGGAGTCAGAGGTATCGGCAGAATAGTTGTCACTTCTTTGGTTGCTTGTTCTGTAGCCACACAAAAACACATACAACCCCTTGAATATTACTGCTGCTTTTCTCCCTCAAAGGCTCTAGAGCTTCGTTTCTTGTGATTATTATTCTATTATTCTTCGTCTATCATGCCAACACCAGACTTCATGTTTCTTTCCAATATATCTCTCTTCTGTCAGCATGCTGTCGTCTTAAGTGTGGCTATGTTTCCCCCTTCCCAATGCCGAACAACGACTCGCCAGCGTGTCGTAATCATAGTTCAGGCCGAACCAGCTCTACACGCTTCATCTGCCATTCGCCCAAACGACCTGTTGCGCATGACAAGTCCGCGATAATTCGGCTTGTGGCCAGGGATCAATGCTCCCTCGTCATCTACGTTTCACCCTCGACCGACCGATTCTCTCAATCAATCTTTGCAGGATGGAAAGTAAACGTGAACAAAGCAACCAACAACTTAATACCACCAGCAAGCCAAAGCACACTCTGCAAACCACCGGAACTGCGCAAAAGCCAGCCACTGATGATAGCACCCACAAACAACAGTACCACAGCAATAGCCCTACGATTTCTCTTGACGTTATGCAAAGCAAACAACTCAGCATCCCCCATCAAATCGCAATAAGTACTCGTAAGCACATTAACAGGCAACTCATTATAGCCCAAAAGCCTCGACGTGGCGATTTGCATTCCAGATTGGAAACCGAGAGGGGGGAAAAGGCTGACGATGAGAATGTTGTTGATGACACCGCGTTTGTGTTCGTCGTCGGGGTAGCCGGTGCGGTTGTGGGGGACAAGGTTGGCGCTGACGATGGCGGCGGAGATGATGATGAGGAGGGCTTGGATGAGGAGGATTGTGCTTAGCCAGAGGCGGTTGCTGGTTACGCCTTTGGGTGCTACGAGGCTGGTGGTGCGGAAGGTGAGGAAGGCGCCGAGGAGGAAGGAGGCTAGAGAGACAAGGGTTGTGGTCCAGGCGTGGGGGTTATCCGGAAGGCCAGCGGTAGAGAGACCTAGAATGACAGTGTTGCCTGGGATTGGTTGTTAGACATGATATTCGTATAATAGTAGAGGGTAGTATGATATGAACGAGTGCGGAGCAAGAACAACCGCCTCAATGTTGAGACTCAAGAAGTAACAACGTGCAAGATGCTTCTGATAGGTTGTGCTTCCCTCCTCGGGAAACCATGCATGTTATGTCTGCCTTGTTTCCAATTGCATACAAGAACAAAACGACAGGGTGGGAACTCCATTGAGCGACATGGAAAATGTGACCTACCAGTTTGCATTCCAACGAAAACACCCCAGTTGGCGAACGATGCTGCATCGACCAGACCAGTAACAAAAGAATGCACCAAAAGTGCAACATCTCCATATTCCTTGTCGACTGGTCCAAGGATTCGTCGCGTTGAGAAGAAACCAGGCTTCTGCACACCGAGAGGCTCGGGAGATGCCTTGCGCGGCGGCGAGGTGTCATCGGCTGTTGCTTTCGCTTCCTGAGGCATTGTCGCGAAATGTGATGGATTGGAAAATGAAAGTTCAGGACGGAAGAAATCGATTTGTGGCGGGAAGATGATTCTTGTTGTTGGGCCGCCGGCAGCTGTATACCGGTACACTCGCGCAATAGGTCGCGATATGAGAATGAGTTTTCCTTCTTTCCTTTCCCGTCGGAGATGCCTTGTGTGCCTTATCTAGCTATCTCTGCCGAACCCGTTCTCTAGAAAGTACCCCAAGACCCCCCTTATGACTGTACATGTACACGTACGCTCTCTCTCGCCTAAGAAAAAAATCTTCCTATTATTATTCTTCGAACACTCGGGCGTGCATTTCCTTTGGCCGGCCGGGCCTTTGTGAAATTTATTGGTGGCAGATGCGATTTCTTGGAAAGGTCATCAAGGTTGTGGACCCGCTTTCTGCCGCTTCCGGAATGGCTTCCTTCCACATTGCCTTGAACTTCGTGTTTGCCCTCTAAAACGGCTCTCGTCACGCAATAGCTGGCTTCTATGGCGATCAAAGGCGTCGCAATGCGATGCTGGGCATTTGGTAACAATTACAAAAAATCCGGTTGTTGGATCTATGTTTTGCTTCTCAAGCATCGAGAAATTGCATACCATTGAGCTTATCTCGCATCCCCCGGTGCCGGGATCCGCGTCTGCATCGACCCCGAGATCGCCCACGAGTCAATCTCACATGCCTATTCCGGCTTGGGTGAGATAGATAGGTGCGACTGTACCCCAAGCACTTTGTCAAGAGTCGACAGCTTTCATGTATACATTATATCCAAAGATTGTATGCTCGCATGAATACATAATTCCACACTAGGTACACTCTCATTGATGCAAGGGGCTGTCTTCTAGATCGGCCAGCTCTCGATTGATCTTTGCCATGTCCCATGCCCATAAATTCGTCTTTCCTCTCCACTTGTCGAGTTTGCCGGGGTGATCTTCAGGATGTGCATGTCCTTCGCCGCTGATGCACCAATACTTGCGGTCTGGTTCCATCCTCGAAGCCTCGAAGAGCCTGTCGTTGGCTTCACCAAGGAAGGAGATCTGGTGAGCCCACTCGATGCCTGAATGGTAGGCATACCAGACTTGAAGATTCTCGCATTGTCGTGGCTGGTGACGGCCCCAGACGTCGAAGAGTCTCACTTCTCTGGACCTGAAGTAAGCTTCTGGCTCGTCTGGCACCTGTACCCTCTTTATAGTTTGCGGTGTTACAATCTTCAGCACTCTGGCAACGAATTGCCATGGCGGAGGTTCGACAGTCGACCATTTACCTGCGTTGCTGGCAATGAGAAAATCCCAGTTCTTGTCTCCTCTCCACCCAAAAGCGGTGTTGAGCATGTCAGCCAATTGCCGAAAACTGGTAGCTGCAGGGACTCGTAGTGTGCGTGTTACACCCGGTTTGCCATTGACTGCATTGACAGCGGCTGCTCCATTTGGCCCTCGTAGTACCATCTTGATCTGAATTAGATAGCCTTTCTTCACCTTTGCGGGCTTCATCCTCTTGGTAGAGCGCAGAATTGCGCGATGGATCTCATGTTCATCGCATGAAGAAGCATAACCATCTGACGCTACCTCATCCATGATTGGAGGAAACGCCGGCGAAGGAGGTCGGAACGAACGCTCTTCGTTGTTCTGTTCTTGTTCGATTGCCGCCGTATCCTCGGAATCGCTGTCATAGTAGTTGCGTCTTCGACGTTCGAGTCTCCTTATCTTACGGTCGCGGACGGCGACAAAGGCGTCTCTTTGTGCGATAAGATCCTCGTACTTTGCTCGCGCACGTGCGATCCGGTCCGATTGAAGTCGTGGGACAGTGTCGTCTGGACCATTTTGTTGAACGCTTGTAAGCGTAGATGGGCCAATAAGGGCTGATCTGTCTCTAGCGACTTCAATACCCCTTGATGGGTCCCCAATGGAGGAAGTTTGGATTGGAGACTCGGGAGTCGCAGAATAAACATCTCTCTGGAGCTCAAAAGAAAGAGTCTCCAGGACCGGAAAGGCGGCAAGAAAATCCTTAGAGTTTACTGCCAGTCCAGGACGATACCTCGTGTAAGTCTGATGGGTTGCTATAGAATTGAAGTGGCTGTCCATGACGAGAACGTCAGCCTGACTGATCCTGACCACCTTTTCCACCTCTTCGACGAATCTCATGCTTGATGAGTCGCATCTCGCCTTTTTCGTAGTCAACCCCAAAGTTGATCTTTGTAAGCTCGCCTCTTCTGACCTGAGGCGTTCCCCAGGCTTTGGCGTATTGCGAGCGAAGGGCCCGGTTAACTTCAGGTTCAGTATCGACTTCGGGAGCAACATCAAGCATTTCATCTTTGATCAGAACTGCTGCTCCTGACTCTTGTACTTGAGTAGGATTCGGAACGTGTCTGACGAGGTTGGGTGGTTCGGCGAATGGCCATGTTACCCCAGGGCGATCAATGCTATCTGCTGCGGCAACACCTTCAGATTGTCTTACGGTTGAAGATGACTCTTGTGCTGCACCTTCAATAGCTGTGTCTTCGGCAAGATCACCAATTGATACTGGGTCGTCGGCCAACACAGGAGCATATGAGATATCCCTGCTTGGGCTTTCTTCCCAATGCCCTCCATTCGCAGGCATTTCTTCGATGAGTCGAACCAATCCTTGTTCGTCAAGAGGCTGTATTCTGTATCGGTCAAGTATCGTGATCTTTGCTCTAGTGACACCATGACCCAAGACAGCGTGGGTGGTATGTTCGTCAGGAGCACCAGTGACCTGACCACCGTAGCGCTCTACCAAACCCTTCGCTGCAACTCTAGACAAGGTTGGAAGTTCTCCGGAAAAGATGAAAACGCAACCAGAAAGACAGTTCTCGGCTCCTTGAGGGTTGGCAAGACGTCCATCTGCAGGTATGGAGGGCAGGGCAGATGCGCGGCCTGAGCGAGCTTCGGAGCCAACGATTCGGCGTCTCTTGAGGGGAGGTTCTTGTTCGACATTGTCAGCGATTGGTGGAGAGATCACTGATTGTCGTGCAATGCGGTGTTGCCCCGGACGAGGCTGTGCAATTGACGCAGATGTCGGTGGATTCAAGATAACATCCTGCTGTTCTGGATTTTGAGTAGCTGCAGCAACCACTTGGCTCAGAGGAGGAAGCTGTTGGCGAACAGTGTTGCTTGTAGTAGATGGGCTATGATGGATAGTGGGATTTGCCACTACATTTCTTTGCTCGAGAGCAACCGGAGAATCCTGACCCACTGGGGTCGCTGACGAGACAGGTCTTTGAGCTGAGGCCTTAGTGGTACTTGATGGGTTTGCAGCAACGCTACCAAGAGACTGCAGCTTTTGTGGGTTGCCGAAAGCATTTACTGCGCTGTTGAATGCTTCACTGAGCAAATCCCGACCAGCACTTGCTTGTGCGTCGTCACGCGATATAGTGGCCTTCCAATTCTCGAACCTCGACATTCTGAACCATGTTCAAGAATTAGAACGATTCAAGAATCAAAGAAGTTCCGAAGGCAAAGACGTGCAGAGATGTCTTGCGTGCACATGACGCGTGCCGGAGACGCGCTCCTCGAGCTTTGACCTCGGTTCCTCTTCTGCCATCATATTTCGGTGCACCTGCTCCATCGCCCACCGAACAAGACCATGCTTTTCCGAGATCTATTCATGCATAAGATCTCAAGTCAGCCGCCATGTGCTTTGTTGCAACCACGAGACCTTAGTAAGGCAAGAACATCATCAATCCTGCAGGGAAACACCCTGGTGGATTCACAAATCGTCATTTTTACTTCATCACCATGATGGAACTCCGTGGCAATGGTCAGGAAAAATCCTCCGTCAACATCTCATTGGAGCATCTTGATACAATTCCCTCGGTCTCGGGTCTTTTGTAAATTGAGAGTGATTTCATGATATTTTCCCGCTGCAACATGGAATGACTACGTAGTTTGGAAGGTGCGATGTATATGTACATCCAACACCTCGCGGTAAGCGACTATCTCATCTTTGAACTTCTGACACAGACACCCCAAATCGTTAGAAACGAAGGAAAATCATGCAGCACGTTCTCCAAACCGCATTGAGCTCCGGCTTTTCGGCTACTGAAGGGTTTCACTCGGACAAGCCTAACAAGGTCGACCCATCATTCAATGGAATGGAAGCAGTTCTCCCCCAATCTTTCGTTCCTCAGACATCGACACGCATCACATTGAAAGGCAAGAAGAGTGATGTTCAGATCCCTTGGATGTCCATCGGAGCCTGGCCATGGGGCGATAAGGCAACATGGCACTGGGATCCGAAGGAGCGCGAAGGCCTCAACGAGGCTTGGAAGTACCTCGTCGACAACAACATCACGTGTAAGTCATAGCGAGAGCTTGACCATCCCCTGTGCGAATGAAACACTGACACCGTGCAGACATCGATACCGCTCAAGCTTACGGTAGCGGCGAGAGTGAAGTCATCTGCGGCGAGCTCGTAAAGGACATGCCTCGCGACAAGTTTATCATGCAGACCAAGTACTACGTCGTCCCCGACAACTTCAAGAACATCTTCACACCGGCCTCTGCGCCATACAAGATGCTCAAGGAGTCGCTAGAGCGTATGAAGCTCGACTACATGGACGTCTACATGGTCCATGGCCACATACACGCAGGCAGCATCAAGCAGGTGGCCAAGTCGTTGGCTGACTGCGTCGACGAGGGTCTCTGTAAGGTCGTCGCTGTTGCCAACTACAGTGTAGAAGATATGCTGCAGATGAAGGAAGAGCTGGCGAAGTACGATATTCCCCTGGAGTTGAATCAGTGCGAGTATCACGTCATGCGCCGTCTCCCTGAGACGGAAGGTATGCTCAGGACTTGCCGTGAAAACGGCATCCAGTTCCAGTCGTACTCGTCGCTCGCACAGGGTCGTTTGACAGGAAAGTGGACACCCGACAACGAGCCACCGAAGACGTATCGCTTCAGCTCATACCCCATCAAGGAGATTCAGCACACACTCGATGTGGTGAAGGGGATTGCAGAGAAGCGTGGTGTCAGCATGGCTGCTGTGGCTCTGAACTACAACATCAGCAAGGGTGTCAACCCTGTTGTTGGTGTGAGGAATCTGGAGCAAGCCAAGAGCAACCTTCAGGCTTTTGGTTGGAGATTGACCGACGAGGAGATCCGAGAGATGGACAGCGTCAGTATTGAGGGCAAGCACACCAAGCTTTGGCAGCAGGGTTAAGCAGTACTCGAAGTGATCTAGATAATGAATGACATGTATCACGACTCGTAGTAGTGTAGAGAAGAAGAATATTTTTCCTTAGATCTTCAATTTCTCGTGATAAGTGCCGACTATCTTGTTGCTTCTAGAAGGATTCAATCTTTTGATAGCCATCCTCTTCAATTAAGTGCACGAGCATGATGAGGAAGAGAGTCAGAGGAAGCAGAAGGCTTGTCGATGAAACACAGCTGGTGGGGTTCGGATCGGGCCCTTCAGCGTGCCGAGCACCGCCACATACGCCACGCAAGTCAAGCAAGACGACCATGGGCACGAGTCGAGCAGATACATTTTCACAAACCGGAGACAGAGGACGGAGTTGACATCTGTGAAGACATGCGCTGATATATCGACCATGTCTTCATCGTCACGAGATTTCAGTCGGCGACGCAAGAGTTACGCCCGGCGCATTGAACGATTGTGCTGCGGAGCCCTCACCTACTTCCCTCTGGCCTTTGTCTACGGCCTGATAACATGGGCTGCTTGGGTGCAGATCAGTATTGGCTTCTGGCCGAATGAAGGGAAATGGACCGGTAATTGTTGTAGTCTCCTGAGTCTCGACCTCGCTGACAGACGACTACAGGCAAGGGAACATCGTTGATCGGAGTCGTCCTCTACTCGCTCGCCGTGTCGTGTTATAGCATCGCCGTCTTCAAAGACCCTGGGTCTCCTACAAACTCTCCAGCGGCCGGTGGATACGCATCCCTACCTACCCACGAATCGCCAACTTACACATCGCTCACGGCAAAGTCGTCTGGCAAACCACGATACTGCAAGAAGTGCAATTCCATCAAGCCCGACCGCACACACCACTGCAGCTCCTGCAACCGCTGCGTTCTCAAGATGGACCATCACTGTCCCTACCTGGCCACATGCGTCGGCATGTACAACTACAAGGCTTTCCTGCTGTTCCTGTCCTACACATCGCTATTCTGTTGGCTCTGTTTCGCGACTGCCACTGAGTTCGTCTGGCGCGACATTTTCGACGAAACCAAGATAGAAGAAGGTCTACGCATCGTTAACGTTATACTGCTTGCTGTACTGGGTGGAATCATAGGACTGGTCCTCACTGGCTTTACCGCATGGCACATCTACCTGGCGACCACTGGCAAGACGACTATTGAGAGCTTGGAAAAGACAAGATACTTCAGCCCGCTGAAGAAGAGCATGGAACGTCAGATACATAATCATGAGAGGCATTACATGCACCATGACCCTTCGGACGAGTTGCCACTAGGCGAACAGCTCAAGGAGATCCACGCGAACTTTGTACCAGGCGTCACCAGACCTGAAGAAGGCGAGGAATCACGTAACCCAACCCCTCTCCCGACTCAGAACTCTTCATTTGAATCTCCTGCCTCGGACAGTCTGCGTCGCAATTATGCCAGCCTGGAAGCCGATCGTGAGAGGGAACGCTATACCGAGTACTTGGACGAACAAGATAGCGACAAACTACCACATGCTTTCGATCTCGGATGGCGACGGAACCTGCTCGATCTATTTGGCCCCACACCCTGGCTATGGTTCTTCCCCGTCTGCAATACTGAAGGAGATGGATGGAGGTGGGAAGTCAGCGCACATTGGATAGCTCGTCGCGACGAAGTAGCCCGAGACCGTGCGGTACGAGAAGAGAACGAACGTCGCTCGTGGCGTGACTATCAAGCTCAGCGTGCACAATGGGGTGCTGGTGCATTGGGAGCAGGCAGATACTTCGGAGGTCCTCCTCCTGCGCAACAGCACCAACAACATCAACAACATCAGCCTCAAAGAACACAACAACATCTCCAACCCACTTGGACAGATGAGCAAGAAGACGAAGAAGAGGCTACATATCTGACCACCACTAATGGTGTGGCTCGCGTTCCTCTGGCCGGCCGTCGCTCTCCCTCGAAAGCAGCACAGATCCTCGGTCAATATCAACAACCAGGCCGCGGCCCCCCTATTCGCCGCAAAACGGACCCCGACGATATCGACGACTATGACACAAGTAGCGATGATGAAGGATCACGACCATCGAGTCGACCGCTTCCGCAAACGCGTGATTGGAACGATATCCCTGATGACTTGTTGACTTCTGCTACGAGTAAGCCGAAGAGGGACAGGAGCGGCAATCGGACGAAGGGGGATTGAGCATAGTTCTTAGTCTTTTCTTGCATAGTATCAGATGGTGTTTTTTGAACATTTTACTCGGTGCAGGAGTCACTTTGATAGCATTTGGGATTTTTGCTTATCTTGCATTGTACATCATCGAATACCAGGAAATTATGATTGCATGCTGTTCTATCAACCCCTGGATGCTGAAACAACTGTTATAAATCGTGTCCGGATTCGCATGACTAGAAGTAACATACGAGAAGCTCGAGAAAGGCTTCTTCTATCAAGTCAGACCTGTCTCATCCTTCCAAGCTGTTTCACTCTATGCTTGTTTCGATGCAGCCGCTTCTCCACCGCCACTCTTGCTATCCTGGCCCTTGAAAGCCGCATGCTCATAATGCGGTTTATAGTAGTATCCATTCTCCCTGGGCATCAACTCCGGCTCCATACCCTCAAACACCGCCTCCAACAACTTTTTGATCCCCTCTTCGTGCCCTGCATCCCTATTCCACACCTGCACCAACACACTAGTAAACCTAACACTCAAACTAACACCACAGATGTCATCTCTGAATTGCTTTCTATCCGATTCCACCGCCGCTTGTAGTTTCTCCCCCACAGCTAGAAGTGCAATACGTTCCCAAAAGGCGGGAGCGTTGGCTTTGGGGACGCGGAAGGTCCAGCAGCCGCCGTGGACGTTGCGGGGGTCTTCCCAGAGCGGTTTTACGTATTGGTGGAAGAGGTGGACGGAATCGCGGAGGGGCAGGGCGGAGACGTCGAAGTTGTTGAAGACGTTCCAGAAGGTGCGGACGTCGGAGATGGAAGCCAAGTGAACCAATCTGTCTTCGTAGTTGTGTGTTGGTTTTGCTGAAGTTGTTGTTTCCGCAGTGTTGTTGTTGGAAGAAGAGGAAGTGGGAGGTGGTGGTGGTGGTGAGGTTATGGTTGAGCCTGTGCGGTCTTGACGATCGTGCCAGAAGTCCCAGGCGTGGACTAGGGGTGGTGGGCGGAGTTTGTTCAAGAGGTTCGCTCGCATTTCTTTGCCGCGGGCTGGTGTGTTTTCTGGTGTTGAGCCCGAGAGACCGGTCCTACGAAGGTCTGGAAGTCCTGCCATGGTGATGTATTTCTGAAGTGTCTTGTATCCTGCTCTCTGTTAGACTCTTGACATAATCGCTGTTGTACATATTGATTTGGTGCTTTTGATGTCTTCTCAATCTCGTCCCATGGGTTTGAAGACAGGAATGACTACTGGACTCGCGTAAAAGGGATGATGACTTACTGGCAAAATTTGCAATACAGAGATAGGCAAGCAAGGTATCAATATCAAGTAGGCGATGGTCAGATATGTATAAGCAAGGAGAACCGGGAGGTTTGCGATCGACAAGAAGGATATAGGTCAGTTGTCTCAAAGGACACGGCTGGGTGGTTCTTTCTAATCGCTTCCGGCAAGGACGAGTGTAACAAAGAAAGTGGTCGGCTTTGCCCGATCACGATCCGTCTGCCATTGTTGTCTTGCTCGAACCAATAGCTTGGTGTCTACTCGTACGCTTCTTGTTGCCCCCCTTTTGTTCGATGTTTCGTTAAGCGCCCGTGCCAATATGGCCCTGTCATGTGAAATGAAGTGTGATTGCCGTTTCTTTGGGGAAAAGCAGGGTCCAAACTCCGCCTTGTGTTTCTTGACTTGTTTGGAACATCATCTGTTTAGCACGTGCCTTTGTACCTCTTTACAGATTGAGGCTATCAAATCCGAAAGCTTCCACGACCAAATCCATTGTATTCTGATGTATCTTTCTGCTTACAATGGATCAATGTCGCCGACGTTCAGCATCGTCGGCCTCTAGAAGAAGTCGCCGACTGGAGAGAGCCCCACCTGTTCGGCCCTCACAAGCCGGTATCTCTGCCCTAACGAGTAAATATATCCATCTCAATTGATATCTTCCTCTTTCACATATCACATCAATACCTACCTTAACCAACTCCCTCAAGAAAAGTATACCAACTATGGAACTCCCACCTCAATTGAACCTCCTCCGCCCTCTCCTCCTGCTTGCCTATTCAGCCTCCTACATCCCAATCACAATCCTCCGCCTCATAACCTCTTCACCCTCAAAACTACTCTCCTGGTCTTCGTTCCAACACGCCTGGTTTGGAAACTTCTGGTCCTGGTTCGGTGGTGTATCCCGCGAAAGCGCTGCCGCCACTATCTCTCCCCTCGTCCGCGCAAATGTGCACGGTGTGGTCCTCGACATCGGCCCAGGCTCAGGAGAATGGGTATACCTATACGCAGCGACTGCAAACAAAGTCACCAAAGTCTACGGTGTGGAGCCTAATCCTGAACATCATGCCGCGTTGAAGAGGAGAGTCGAAGCTGCAGGATTAAAAGGCATCTACGAGATTCTACCCGTTGGAGCACAGGACTTGGGTACTGTGGGATTGGAAAAGGAATCAATTGATACGATAGTCACTTTGCAGACATTATGCTCATGTCCAGGCCCGCAAGATATCATCAAGAGTCTGTATCCTTATTTGAAGAAGGGTGGTATGTGGGTTGTCTATGAACATGTCAAGACAAAATATCAGGGCGACTTTGTTGGATACTGGCAGCGTGAGTTTGACTTTCCTCTTCTGTGTCTACCCGTCCTGACTTGCTTTCTAGCTTTGGTCAACTTGGTGTGGCCAACGTTCTTTGACGGATGTGATATTACAAGACCAACTGACAAGTGGCTTCGCGAGGCCGGTGACTGGGAAGAAAACTCATTGAGAGCAGGAGAGGGTGAAGGTCCATATGACACCATTCCTCACTCTCTCGGAACGTTGATCAAGAGAAGATGATTCGATATCTTGTATCAAATGTACATATAAAAGCACGTAGAAGTCACACGACAGCAATGGTAAAAGGGGCACGAAGTGAAGAAATGAAAACAGATGACATGTATGCTCTACAAAAGGCTAACAAAGATATAAGGTAGCAGAAACCACGCTATGCGCACTGCAAGACATCTCCGAAAATCAATAAAAAGAACCCCAAATAAACAATACTGCCAAAACAAAATGACAACCGCAAACAAGCATTGGTATTCTGGGTCCGAACAGTAAGAAAAAGCAAGAAGCAAGCAAAAGATGAGAGAAAAAAACAGATTAGAAGAAGCGGGCCAGCCGACACTGAGACGTAGAGGGGGTATTAAGGAAGAAGGTATTACCAAACCCGAACCAGCCCCGCCCGCCGCCAGAAACCGTTGCCGGCGAACCCAAGTGGAAAAGCAAGAATACCAGGACTACCGCACGCTTTTGAAGCATCTTGCTGCGAAAGACATAACGCGGCAAAAGCCTCGAGCAAGGAAACAATGAGAGAAAAACACGGACGCAAGAGAGTTGAGAGGAGATCATCCGTCTCGGGTATGAGACGGATCAGTAACAGAGGCATGAGATGAGGTCGGAAGAGGGGTCGTGAAAGGTGGCCGCAACGACTAGTAAGCGGCCACTGCAAGGTTGTGAGAGGTCATGGCTGGGGCGGAGTGTGCCTGCTCTTGTGCGAGCATGGCCTCTTCGTAACCAGCGAGAGCCTGAGCATGGAGCTTGAAAGATTCACCCATAAGTTTAGTGATTCCCCAAACTACCACTTCGTCGATCATGCTACCCCACAAACGGGCAACACTTGAGCTGAGTCTGCCGTACATGTCTACAGAGTCGTCATCGAACAAGTTGCGAAGCTTTTCGTACATGGCGATCTCCTCGGCGTTGGGAGCTTCCTCGTCGTGTTCAACACGCCAGAGCCAGAGCGTTAGGATGACCATAAGGTCGAGTCCACAGAGCGGGTGCTCGATACTCCAGTTGGTGGCCGATGTGCGAGCAACCCAGCGGATGCCATGTACAGCGGCGACTTCGACGCAATCGAAGCAGGCTTGAATGACCTTGAGCATCTCAGGAGAACGCTTGACCTTATCTCTCGCATTGGTCATAGCAGCAGCAACCTCGTAAGGATCGTGGTAACGAAGAGCCTCCTGAACGGACTTGAGATCGACCATGAGTCTAGCAGTGGTGTTGCGGTACACGGCCATGGCGTTGAAGATAAGAGGATGTCCTCGGTGAGGCGCACTGAGCTGAACAACAACTGTCTCAGGCTCACAAATGTCAAGAGATTTCTCCCAGGATTCCAGGGCCAGACGAAGCTTGTACTCGGTAACGACGTCCTGCAGAGCCTCAGGGCATCTCTTGTGATACCAGACTTCGAGGAAGAGGGCGTTGATCATGACGCGAGTAGCGAAGGCGCTGTAGCGAGCAGGCTCGCCCTGGAAGAGGGCACAGTGAGACTCCTGGAAAGTGATGATGCTCGTAGCCTTCATGCTCTCGTGCCAGACTGCACTCTGGTTAACGTCAAGGGCCCACAAAGTCTCGGAAGACGGCAATTCCAGGGTGTCGAACTCGTTGAAGCTGATGGCCGGCGTGTGGTTATATGTCATGGTCAGTAGGCCAAAGAAGATATAAACCGCGTAATATGTACGGCGGCAGCTCTCGTCTTCAATCCATTCCTGGTGATTGGGCTGCGCACCTTGGCGGGCCTCGGAACGCAACTTAAGCTCATACCTGTTACCAGCGACCATGTTGGCGACAAGGCTCTTGACCGAGCAGGCCCACTCAAGTCCCTTCGGATCACCGCTCCAGCTGGCAAAGATCATGTTGAGCAAGGTGGCTTGCATAGCCCAGATAGGGCATTTGCGAGAGCTGAAGTTCTCCTTATTGACCAGGAACTGGTTGATCAGAAGCTTGGATCCGATGTGGAGCATGTAAGCCGAATCTTGCTCAAAGGCATAAAGAGCGCCGACTGAGAGGACTGAGAGCAGCAGGGGTGCCGAAACGTGTGCCGGGTTGAACGAGGAAGGATGCAAAAACGGCAGGTGATGGTGGAACAGGGTGAAATAAGTCGACAAGTAACGGTTCAGGTCGTCACCGTGGGGGAGACGGAACGTATCGAGCAGAGCACCCTCGCTGTCGCAGTGCTTGATGTTTTGCAGAATACTAGCAATCTGGTCTTCGGACTCAACTTGAGGCGGCTTGGGCATGGTGCAGACCTGAGCGGGACCCGGAGAACGGCGGTAGTCGACAGGAGACACGGGTCCCATCATCGAAGGGAAAGGCGACAGAGCGCCGGGAGTTCCAAGGGCCGAGAGCGAAGCATTGCCAAATTGCTGCTCCATGAGGGGAGGCAGCTGACTGTGGATACCCATGGGACCAGCTGAAGCCTGGGTCAAACGACCATCGTGACCAGCAGTGGTGCTTTGAGACGATATTGACTGCGACTTGGCCATGGGCTGAGGCATCATGGTGTCCCAGTGTGTTTGTGGCATTTGAGGAAGCGTCATGGAACCGGCTTGAGGATACGAGGGTTCGGCAAGGATGGGTTCGGGCATCTGCGTGGACATGGCAGCCTTCTGTTGAAAGTTGGTCATCAGCATGGCTGCTTCCTCGACACCGAACATGCCATCGTCGGCACTCATCTGCTCGATGGCTGCCTGCTCCATGCCCATGGGGAGCTTGGGCGGGGCTGCTTCAGGCGACTGCTTGGATGCATTGCTTCGTCGTTTGGTGTCGCTTTGCAACGGCACACCTCCATCCTTTGCGTGTACGGTACGGTCGTGGCGCAGAAGGAGATCGCGACGAACAAAGGTGCTACGGCACTTGAGGCATTTGAAAGGACGTTCTTTGGTGTCTGGAGGACGAGGTCAGCATCGAGGCATGCGCAAGTGTGGCGGGGCGGGTCAACTTACGCGATCGTTCGTGTCTGCTGCGGTGCTCGCTTCTGCTAAAAGCGCGATTGCAGAACTGGCACTTGTATTTCTTTTCGGGAGCTGAAGCTGATGACTTGCGGCTGATGGATGGCGAGGCCGAGCCGGCGGCTGGTAAGAGAGTGGTAGATGATGAGGCAGCAGGCATGGTGGATGAGGGGCGGATGGTCGGAGTTCTAGAAAAGGTGGTGGCGAGGTGAAGATGTTGAATGCTTCGGGCTATGTCCAGACAACAGAGGCCGACCGGCGCGTAGGGATTAAGTCTTGATGAACTGGCTTTGATTGGAATGATTATGTTGCATGGGCGATATTATGCTGCTCATTGAACGTGGGATTGCGACGATGCCCTTTCAGACGTCTCGACGCAAGATACAAGACAGTAATGCCAGGCAAGTACTGGCAGGTGGGGGTGATGAAGAGGGGGAGGGAGGGGCACGAGGCAAGAGCGAAGCAGAGATCAATGATGTGAGAAGAAGGAACGAGGGGAAAGAACTCAAAAATGGAAAGAGCCAGCCATCAGCAAAAAGAGGCGCGACTGCCAGTTTACGTCCGTTTAACGACGCGGGGCACCTCACAACCCTGGCTCTGGATCGATGTGTCCGAGCGCTGTCATAAACTAATCATCACGCCTGTGGCTGATTTCCTGTTTGGATTGTTGCAACTTGTGGTGCTCTGAAGCCTGTGGCCTGTCATCCCTTGGACAGCCATTATTGCAATAATCATTTGCCCCATGCTCGCCTCCACCGAGCCTATCTGTCAACTCAGCCCAGTCGCCAGCACGTTGACAGCGAAACGAAACGTTGTTCAGCGCCTTCTCGTCATGACTGGTGGTTGCACGCACGCGACTTCCGTCAAATCACCACCTCGCGTTTGCTCAAGAGCACAAGAATCCGTCCCGTCTGATGTCTCGACTAATTAGCGATTCCCTATATTAACTGGACGCTCATTCTCCTGTGTCTCTTGCTGATCGCCAGACTTGCCACATCGCCATGGACTGCAGCTTTCTACAATAACAGTTCTCAGACAAGTCATCATGCGCACTCAATTTCCATGCGCTCTTGAGCCACTGCGAGTCTGTGCAAGACGCCACGTTATGCATGCAGCCGGACGCCGATGTATCTTCTATTCCTAACCCAGCCCCCTTATCATCTCATCCATGGCGACTGGCCAACAGAGAGACTGATCCCTTTGCCAACTCGGAAGCAGAGCTTCAAACACCGTCATGATCTTGCATCGCTTGACGTGTCGTGTTTAGACGATCTTCAAGCTGCATAACCCTCTCCGTATTTGGTCCCGATCAAATTACTTGTTCCTGGCATCGCGCATCTCGCAGAATTATCGATGGCCTAATCCGGGCTAAAGCATAGGAACCATGATCCGGCAGCTATCTTGGTTGCAGTGAAGTTTCCATCCCAAATTCTGGGAATGGGGATCATGATGGTTTTCCTTTTTCTGTTTACTTTTGGTCCTCACCAAACTAAACCTCGGGCTCTCCTCCGAATCGATGTGCTTAGCATTCGAAAACATTGTTGTCATGTTCTACATTCTCAACCAGCTCCAGAAAGAATATCCAGCACGTGGTTTCTATTACCCGGCATGAGCATGTGCTCGTCTACCTTGGAGGAAATCGGAGGGGACGAGAAGCGGGACGGCCCATCTGGCATAATAGCCCCACATAGCTCCCAGCGGATGCTGTCTTCCGTTTGTACGCCGGTGGCCACCCCTCGCCGCGAACCGGATGCTTAGCGCGTCGTACACTTGAATTTCTTGAAGCGCTGCTCAACAATGTTTTTTCATCAGAGATTTCTGATCTCGAGAGTTTTCTGCGAGTCAGAGAGTGTCAACGAACGCGTCGAGAAGAAGCGTGTTTTCAGACCGAGTCCGGATGATATCCTTCGTCATCAGCGCTGAAAAGGGGCCACCATATCATACATCATCGATAAGTATACCACACTAGAATATTCCTGAACCCTTGGGGTCGTTTCATCTTAAGTCTTGGGCGGCAGCTATCCCCCAAGTTTGCGGCGGTCCCCTAGTGCTGGTAAGCTGGGACATTGATCCAATTTCGACAAGACCTTGTCGTCCACCCTGACCGGGATGTTGGTCCAGCATGGCTCTAGGGGAAGCGTAGGCTCATAGACTCGCTGCTCGCGGCTTGGAGTTGGCTCGGTATTGACGAAGCTTATCCAACACGATACGCTTTGATCGATGATTTGGCACTGCCCTGGTGCCCTTCCACTTCATAACGGATCACGAAATTGGCACACACGGTTTGTACGGCTCGCTGCGCGAAGATGTTCGCGATCCGGGTAGCCACGTCTGATCTCCTCACCTTTTGTGGTGATTGATCGGGTCGATAGATCTTTTTATCACTACGCGTCGGGAAGGTGTGAGCAAAGGAACAAACGTTGCTTCGCCTAGACGTGACTGGAACGTCGCTCTCCCACCCCCCTGGATTTGGCTTCAATGAAGGTCACCATTCTACGGTCTCTGTGAGAATAGCACTGCGTGAGGATCGAATTCCCTAGCTTCTCACGCGTTCCAAGCATAGCAATGTCGACTGCAAGCATGGGGGACGTTTGAGTATTCAGAAGCAATGTCTTGCGATGCGCCCGTCGACTCATGGCTGCCATGACCCGGATCTCGATATGTGAAAGCAAAGGACAATGGTTTTGTAATTCTTGTCCTATAAATGGTCATTCATCTAATTCCATCGCACAAGGCTTCGAAAAATACGACACATCTCACATAGTCACAGGTCTGCTCCGATTGTACTGCAGCCGCCTAGTCCCGTTCCACGTAGGCGGCCGTTCGAGGCAAACAGGATCACATGAAGAAACGATATGTACTACAGAGTACCCGGTCCGAAACAAATGACTGTACTTGAGCTTGCAGAATATACAGGTGAGTTGCTACATCTGGACAGATTCTTCTTGATATCTTCCATGACTTCACGTATCGATGTGCATCTCGTGTTCGGAGGTGCAATGTTTAGGTAGACGTACATGATGTGGCGGCAAGTCAAAAATCAGGACCGAGAAGTCTACTGCATTCTTGACAGGATGATTGACAGCGGCTGGACTAGCTGCAGCTGTGAGGTGGGTGTTTGAATTAGGGGCTGATCGGCTCGGACAAATCGATACATCAAGCAAGGGCAGGGTGGTACTTGCAAATCGACAGGATGGAGAGTCTATGGCGCTTTAGGTCATCGAAGAGATATGTAACCGTCATCACAAGGTATATAGGGGACCAGTCGACTTTTCCATGGCTCTCGAGGGATCGCACCGGCTGTTTATAAGCATGCTCGCCTGTAGACTGCAGTCCAGTCTTGCGACGGAAAAGCAGGCATCGTTGGTGCTGAAGATGTTGTGCGATGCGAATCCAGCCACCATGCATGAAAAGTCCGTGATTGGACTCCGCGTTGCAGAGAGGGGCAGGAGAGCATTAGGCTAGATGCACGAGGCGCGTCGAGGGCCACGTGAGTGTCAATAATGGTGCATTGCAGGAAGGAGATTCGATATCAAGCGCGTGGAGTATGCTTATCCAGCGTATGTCATTATTGTCGCACTCTTCCTACCTGGTAGGGTCAGCATTGCTAGTTATCAAAATGCACAATGATATTGAGAACTCAGAGAAATTTGTTTGATAGCTCGAATGTTTTGCCCTCTCACATAAGACCATTGATGCAACTCTATAGCTAACACCTACTAACATTGACCATGGGATCGTAAAGTGACGGTTGCAAGCGCCGAACAAGCATACTCTATGCGCTTGATAGCATCTCTCAGTCGTATACACACACCGAGAGGGGCACCGTTATTGGTGAACGACGATGCAGTGGCCCAAAGCAGCAAGAGATGAAAGTGACAAAGCCACTACTTGGTTGTTTAATCGAGGAGACAAAGAAAGGTAGAGATGCATTGGAGATGACGGACTCTATACATGGCTGCAAAGTTCAATTTGTTCGACGCTGGGACTGTGTTCGTATAATGTTGAGAACATAGTAGAAGACAGCTATAGAGCGCAAGTGCAAGGTGAAAAACGATAATCGAGGGAGGTGTGAAAGAACCCCGCAGGCGGTTAGGGGCCAGCCAGTCAAGATTTCAAGACAGTGTGTGAAAGATGTGAGAGGACAATGTAGGCAGAACCGAAACAGATGCAGTCAGGGAACGGGAACGAGGGGTTGGTAACTGGCAGTAGAAGTAGCTGGCCATCAACCGATCATTTGCCCGAGGCAGGCTGAATACAGTCGGTGTTTGGTTGTTATTTCGTGGTTCATTCCTTTGGACGAAAGAGCTGGCGGTCGTGAATCCAGTACAATACAGCACGGACGGGCGTCTTTCTCAGAACAGCCCCAAGCGCGCATCCATTCAGCCAAAACATCGACCAACTTAGACCCTTGAATGTGGATCGTGAAGCAGTGTCCATTGTGCTTTCACACCGCCCACCGCTCATTCTTACCGCAGTCCCTCATTGCGCCGTCGCCGCCCTCGATCTCGTCACTGTTACACGGCCAACGAGTGTCAGTCTCCGCTCAGTGAAGTCTCACCCTCGACCCCTCGCGCCTGGCCCCGGCCTCGACCGAATTCACTCCGCGCCGATCTCCACGACAAGACAAAGACACTCCCGCAGCGCTCCCTCGGCGCCGACACCATCTCCGTATTCTATCACAGGCTTCGACAGGCTCCGGGACTTTGCACCGCGACACCGACCTTCCCAGATCGCGAGACGCCGAAGGGCGTGTTCACAGAGTGAATGCCAACATGAATGGCCTCGCATCCTCTCCAATGGGCACCATGTATGTGCGTGCACTGTACGACTACGATGCCGACGATCGCACCAGTCTGAGCTTCCGACAAGGCGACATCATCCAGGTCATCACCCAGCTCGAGAGTGGCTGGTGGGACGGCATTATTCGCGGCGTGCGAGGATGGTTTCCCAGCAACTACTGCGAGCTCATCGCACAACCCCAAGACGTCGCCCCTCTGCCTGCCCATCTGTCAGACCCCCATGCGCACTCGCACACCCATCTGGACGACACGGCCTCCGAGTCTTCTTACCGTCATGTCGACTCCGCACCAGACACCCAGGAAGAAGCTGCCTTCTGGATCCCGCAGGCCACACCCGACGGCCGGCTCTTTTACTTTAACACCTTGACTGGTGTCAGCACAATGGAACTGCCTCTGGAGAACCCCACCATGCAGTCCGAACCAGGTCCCCACGACAAGTACCACGTGCTTCAACCCGACCAATCTCGTCCTCCGCCCGAGATGCTTGCACGTGGCTACGAACGTGCCGAGTCCGAGGCCGACTACGAGTCTGCGAGCGAGGCTGACATGACCCGCTCGAGAACTTCTTTGGTGAGTGATGTCTTGTCCTACAGACAAAGGACCACCTTCTCTAACCTCTACCTTCTTCTAGCGCAATCGAGGCTCGTATGTCTCGAACGCCCTCTCTCCCGCAACTTCGTCCGAATCGCTCAGGACTTCCTCTCCTCTGACTAGATCACGCACCAATGTCGCCGACATGTCCAACTCCGCCTATCTCAATCAAGCCAACATGCCCAACATGCCCAACGGTATCGGCATGACATCCTTCATCAACAGTCCCATGACACCCGCACAAAAGGACGGTCTAGCCATTTCGCGTCGCTGTTTCGACGACTCTCAGACCGTTCTGCTTACTTGGAATACTCTGGTTGAGGACATGCGCCGAGCCGTCCAGCGTTACCGCGAATCGATCGACAACAGCTACAAGGGAGAGTTTGTCAAAAGAGCCGAGGACATATCAGATCACCTTCGTCTGTTGCTCGCCGCCGGCTCTGGTACCACTGACAACCATTCCGGCAATCCTTCAATCATCTCGACCAACAAAGCTTTGTACCCACATTTCAGAGAGATGATGTCTAGCTTCTCCAAACTGGTTCTGTCCTCTCATTTCGCTGCAGCAGATTTTACAACTCCGGATTCATACTCCAAGTGCTTGCAGGAGGCAGAAGGCTTGCTTCATGGTGTCTATGGGTATGTTGAGGTTGCGCGCCAGCAACGGGGCGAAGAGATCCCACGTCTTACTCCTGGCTTTGTATCAGGCATCCGATCAGGTGCGAGCTGGCAGAACAACGGGTTGGTCCTGGGCGACCCTTCCGCTGCATCACAGCCCTTCCTACAGCAAGACACAGATACCCTTATCGAGCCTTCTGCGCGTCTCGACCAGACCCTGCTGGAACGCATGGATGATATGAGAAAGAACGTCTCCATCAGTATCCGCCGCCTGGACAAGCATCTCGCGTTCGATGACAAATTGGTTACACCCAAGAAACACAAAAAGGCCAGCCAGTTGATCTCCCAGGACGCCACTAGAGTCATTGAAGCCTGCCGTCCATACTTTGCAGTAGTTGAAAGCATCAATCTGGCACCGCTTGGGTCTACCTTCAAGAACCCTCAGATTATCGATTTCAGTACACAGAAGCAGAAGTTCTACGACAATGCTTCAGAGTTGGTCCTTGCCTGCCAGACTGTTGCTAGTCCTCTGAGTGACGAGTGGTCTGATCATCGCGGCAGTTCGCTCGAAGAACGCATCACTCATGTCAAAATCGTTTCGCGCGAGCTCGACAACTCTTCCAGTCAATTGCAGTTCTCTCTCCAACTATTGGCGGAAATGATGCCACAGGATTCCGCTGCAATGCCGAACGAAGACCATCACAACGCCAACAACTCATATCCCGAGGAGCCACGAGGTGTATCGACCTTGAGAGGCAAGCCTAATGGTCTGGGTCCAGCAAAGAGCTTCGTCGACGGCCCCGAGCCGACTGTCGAAACTCCACGTCTTGCTGACAATTCAAAACTGAAGCGCTTCTTTGGTGAGATGCCTGCACCGATACAACAGGAAGATGTCCCCGATTTCTTAAAGCTAGATCACGAAGGCGAGATCGCTTACGACAACAAGGTTCACCCAGCTCAACTGCGTGGTGGAACACTCACAGGTCTGGTCGAGCAGCTCACACGACACGACCGATTGGACTCGCCATTCAACAATACGTTCCTGCTGACCTACCGTTCCTTCACATCTGCAAGTGAATTGTTCGAGATGCTGGTCAAGAGATGGAATGTGCAGCCCCCATACGGCTTGAATCCCCATGATCTCGAGACTTGGGTCAACAAGAAGCAAAAACCTATCCGGTTCCGTGTGGTCAACATCCTCAAGAGTTGGTTTGACAACTACTGGATGGAAGAGAATAGCGAAGTGAATCAGCAGCTCATGCAGAGAGTGTACTCGTTTGCGAAAGAGACCGTTGCTTCGGGTAGCACTCCTGGCGCTGGTCCCTTGATGACTGCCATCGAGCAGCGAATGCGTGGACAGGATGCTCCTGGAAAGCGATTGGTCTTGACGCTGAACTCAGAGAAGACTCCTACACCAATCATACCGAAGAACATCAAGAAGCTGAAATTCCTTGACATTGATGCCTTGGAGTTCGCCAGACAACTCACTATCATTGAGTCAAGATTGTACTGCAAGATCAAGCCCACTGAATGTCTTAACAAGACATGGCAAAAGAAGCTCCAGCCTAATGAGCCTGACCCGGCTGCTAATGTCAAGGCTCTGATTCTGCATTCCAACCAGCTCACTAACTGGGTTGCTCAAATGATCCTCACACAAGCCGACGTTAAGAGGCGTGTCATCGTCATCAAACATTTTGTGGCAGTTGCAGATGTGAGTTTCATTAGTACAACTTCGGGGATGTTCAACACTAACGTTCGATAGAAATGTCGACAACTAAACAACTTCTCCACTCTTACATCGATCATATCGGCGTTGGGCACAGCACCCATTCATCGTCTAGGTCGAACCTGGGCTCAGGTCAATCAAAAGACTCAAGCAGTATTGGAGGTCATGCGCAAGTTGATGGGCAGTACCAAGAACTTTTCGGACTACAGAGAGACTTTGCACAAGGCAAACCCTCCTTGTATCCCATTCTTTGGTATGTCTCAATCTAAGAACTGTCACAACCGATGCTAACATAATTAAAGGTGTCTATCTGACTGATTTGACTTTCATCGAGGATGGTATCCCTTCAGTCATCAAGAAGACCAACCTCATCAATTTCGCCAAGCGTAGTAAGACCGCGGAGGTTATTCGCGACATTCAACAGTACCAGAACGTTCCCTACCCACTGCAGCCTGTTCCGGAGCTTCAGGACTACATTCTCACAAATATGCAAACGGCGGGCGACGTGCATGAGATGTACGACCGCAGTTTGGCAGTCGAGCCCAGAGAAAGGGAAGACGAGAAGATTGCCCGGTAAGTCCTACTGACAACACAAGACGAGCATCATGCTGAGTCGATATAGGTTGCTTTCCGAGTCGGGATTCTTGTGAGTCGCACGTGAATCAAGTCATGCTATGTTCAGAAAGAACAGATGCATGAACACCAGTATCAAAATTCAGTATCGACGCCGTTCACGTCAGTGTTGTATCAAGCACCGAAGACCGATGTTGAGCAGCAGCCAGGTCAGATTGAATGAAACATCGCGGCCGAAGAGGCGAGGAACGCCCCAGGAAACGCGCCGAAGGAATAGATGTGTATGGATGTCAAGATCGCCAAAGCTACTGCCAGGTAGTCAACAGTAGCAATAGCGAAATGGTTGGAAGCTCGACGCCAAATACCGCTCCCTCGGCTGCTCAGACCTCAAAAGGCACAAAGGCGTTTTTCTGGCGTTGGTCACGCTTTGAAGAAGCTGGCAGGGATGGAGCCAGGCATGGGAAATGAATCACGGACGATTGTTGCTTTCTGTTCTGCTTCGTATTCAGTTCATTGCGAAGGCGCATATGGGGTGTGTAGTTCTCAAAGCCGGCAAGGCAGGCCAGAGATTGAGAAAGGAGGGTCTGACGGACGGGACGATTTACTGCATCTCTTTCTGCAGTCAAGAGGCTCTATCATACATCGGTCGGTTAGGTCCACGTACGAGTCCCCTTTGTTCTTCTTCTCTTCACCAATGGTTCCGCATCTTGAGGTTACACAGTAACAGCCTGAGACACGTAGGCTCCCAAGCCCTGGCCCTGCATTCCGGATCGACAGTGCGACCTCAGACCCTTTCTCCCAGCTACCCGTTCAGCAGCAAACAGATACAACTATCTGCCAGGCCCTACAACCCAGCTATTCTGGTTCGGGCAAAGTGCCGTAACGCAAGGCCTGTGGTCTCTTGCATTGACCACTGAAACGTCAAGGAACAATGCCTCTAGGGAGGTGACAGTGCCGAACAATCCTTTGGAGGGGTAGGCTGTCAAGAACTTGTGAGTCTTGTCGATCGTCCTTGCCTGCAGTGAGGTCGCGCAAACCCCTCGAGAACGACAACAATGGCGGGAAAGAGCTGTCCGCTGACTCGTCATGGAGCTTCACCGCGATACAAATCGTCACTTCCTCCCGAATGTGAAAATGGTTGATCAAGATTCTCTCGCTCATGCATCTCCTACGCTCCATCTCCTTTGCGCACTTTGATTCATCGTAAACGGGATATTACTCCGATCATCATCACCATGAAGATATACTTTCTTTTACCCTCTATTCTCGTTGCAGGCGCACTCATGACAGGCTTTGCCCGTGCTGTCAATGGTGTGTGGAGATTCCTTTAGAGTAATGCTCGTTCGCATCGTATAGCACGTCTCAGTGCTTGCGGCCAGCAGCATGCCTCATGCTATCACCTCGGAATCTTTGCTGACTTGTGCGCTCGACTGTCAGAACACAACCATCCACGCTGCGAGTGTGGCTACACAATCAACGCTACCAGCTCTTCAAGTCCCTTCGCCCTCTTCACCGACCTCCTGGAAACCGACTTCCTACATCTTTACAACCTACCTGACAGTATTGATGTACCCGCCTCGGATGCCGTTGGTTGGGCCGTACAAGCATACAATATCTCACCCTTAGTCGCCAGAGGTCCCTTCGGTAAAGCTGCTGAGATCGACAATGTTGTCCTAAACCCACTATCTAGACGTAAAGACTGGACTGGCAATGGAACGCTGGGCGGCGCCCCTGGTCTTCAGGTCTGGGTCAGAAATCAGCAAGATCTACTTGGACCCGTCGGTGACCAGATGGTTCGGACCGGCGAAATCAACAGTCTACGCCGGGACATGCGATATGGGAGCTTCAGAGTTGCCATGAAGATGAGCGATGTTCCGGGCACCTGTGCCGCGTTCTTCTGGGTGCGTTCGTCCACTCCTTCAGTGAGCATGACTTTTGGCTGACATGCATGATAGTACCGCAATGACTCACAGGAAATCGACATGGAATATCTCAGCCGGCAAGCCAATTACGAGTCCGCCAACGGCTTGTCTCCCATAAATCTCGTTATCCAATCGCCAGCCTCTGCGAGTGCAAACTACAATGCCATCAACACAAGCACTTACCGCCTCGAGACTCTGCCCTTTCAACCCAGCGAAGGCTATCACGAGTATCGCTTCGACTGGACACCAGAACGCATCGTTTTCTTCGCCGACGGTAAACCACTCTCAGAGTTCGAGAACGCTTTCGACGGCGATGCTCCCGATGCTCCCGGAACTATGATGTTAAATCACTGGTCCACAGGCAATGCTGGTTGGAGCGGTGGTCCACCAGCTCAAGATGCTGTCCTTACAGTCAGCTACGTGAAGGCCTACTTCAACTCGAGTAACGCAACACGAGAGAGCCAATGGAATGCTGCTTGCGGAGGCGAGGTCTGGCGCAATCGCACTTGCCAAATTCCAGACTATCCTACTCAGGGCATTGACCCACAACGCATGGGAATGAAGGACCCAGGCAAGAGTTACTTCTTCATGTATGATGAATACTGCACCGTCAACCAAACGCTGTACCCAGCTGCCACTGGCGGACCAAGCAAATCGAGTGGTGCTTCTCCTCTACTGCCGACGCCGGAAACGTGGACGATACTCGGCTGGACGGCGATATTCGGCCTATTTCTGCTTGCTAGTTGAAGCAGGTGGCTGTAGTGTTCTCATCATTTTTGCTAAGACGTCCTTCTTGTTTGCAGCCGGGTGGTTTTCTTCTTGCTGTATTATCTTGATACTTTCTATTCTTAAGAAATTGATATCGCTCTCTTCCTAACATAATCTACATTCCGTCCATACCCGTGAACAGCGTTGTGTCTGACATGCCACTCGATTGAAGACTGTTCAAGACTTAATCGGTAAAACATTTGAGGCGCAGATGTGCAACGAAGTCGAGTGGACACGAGAGTAAACCGAGAATATGACCCATCGGTGCAACGTGAATGCATAGTTTGGAATATTACAGTAAAACAAGGACAGAAGAAAGGCAGAGAAAAGGAGAACATGACACTTGAAAAGGTAGCAGTAGCAGTAATTTCAAAATTTGGTATATCGGTGAGTGTGATTCTAAACAAGAAACAGAGAGAACAAGAGGACATGTCTATGTGCGGTGTATGTATTTGTCTCAAGCACGCGTTTTGCGCACGGCGATGCATGGACTATGGAGGGTTCGAAGCTGACGGCGATGTTTGGGTGTAATTATACTGTACAAGGGTTGATTATGTACAGTGAGGAGGCGTGGTTTGGTATGTGAGAAGAGGGGTTTATGCGTGTTTGTGTGTCCGATTCGAAGAGAAAGAACGGAAGAGAAACTCCTTGCAATGCTATGCGATATCCAAAGGTGGAAGAGATGGGCGGCGGTGGATGGGTTGGCCATGGGTATGTTGTATTGGTTGCCCGTAGAGATGTATGTAGGTGGAGCGAGGTGTTGCCCGAAGAGATTGGTGGCCTGATGACATGTGCCACGCGTCGAGTGTCAGACGGCCATGTGTCAAGACATGATCGAGCGCATCGTCAACCATGGAAGCTGACAGCGTCGAGCCACGCGAGAGAGAGGAAAAGAACAAGGCGTGCAGCCCATGACGTCCGTCGCGGACGACTACAGGAAGACAACGCCCATACCGGCAGCAACACCAGCCAGACCCAGTACGGCGGTGAACAGCGAGCCTTGCGGCATGACTGAAGCAGCTGCACCGGTTGCGGCCTTTGCAACACCAATCTCGCCTGTGTGTGTACCGAGACCGACAGAACCAGCGCCAGCGGTGGTCCATTGTCCAGGGTGTGTCACGAAGGTCTGGGTGTATTTGACCTCTGTCCAGATCTCAGTGCTTTGAGCAGAGTCCCAATGGTCGGCAATCCAGTAATCTTGGGTGACGGGGACTTGTGTTGCTGCTTGTGTGGCCAGAAGGTCGATGGCCTGGCGGAGTCTGATGATGTGTTAGTAAAGTGTTTCCGGCTGGTACAGGAGAGGAGAAATGCTTACTCTAGTTGGACATTGGCAGCGTCGTCATTCCAGGCAGCGCCAGGAGCTACAGTTTGTGTGGGCAGAGGTGCGACGATGTTGCTCTCGGGTGTGGCGGTAATCAGCGGTGTGTCCTGTTCTGGTTGTTGTTGTTGTTGTTGCTGGGGAGCAGCGAGGGCCAACAGCGGTGCTGCGGCAAGGGTGATGAATGTCGAGAAGCGCATCTTGTCGTGTGTGTGTCCTGCTGGCGAGTCTAGCTTAGGATGTGAAGGTGTGTGTGCCGGGAAGAGCAGCAAAAGATAATATCGAGTAAGGCTGGCGGACGGTGCCAAGGGGAACCGAAGGTGGCTTAGAAGCGTTGTTTTCCTATTTCTATATCGAGGCCGGTATGAAACGGTCGTTTGCTGCAATCAATGCTCGTGCCAATTGTGTGATGCTAAATGATTGTGGGGTGTATGTATAGAGAGAGAAGGTGGGAGAGAGAGGGAGAAGAGAGAAACACGCAGGGCTGGGAACAGAAAGGCCGAGAGAGGCGCAGAAAATAAAGGATGGCGCCATGTCTAAGACCGGGGTGGGCTGGATGGGGTTGGAGATGCCTGCAATCTGTTTGCGCCGCTCGCTCCATCGTTGCTTGCACAGCCTGGACACATGCTGCAGGCAGTCATGCTGCTTACCCGTCGCCTACCACTGCTGTATCACCCTCGTGATGGCCACCAGCATCGCACAACATGTGCTCGTCGTCGCTGTCTTGTGTGTAGAGGGTTGTTGAGCGAGTTTCAGATAACTGACTCGGCCTCGATCTGCACCAATTCTGCTAAGGTTCGTCTAAAGCTGGCTTAAGCTTTCTTGGCTGCCTTTAGTCTCTGCGGTCGGACTGCTATCGGTAGCGGTGTTATGACCGACGGCGGCGACGAGTCGGCGACAGTCGGTCTGCTTTTGTCGGCCTAAGCACCAATATTAGACCGACTATCGACGACCGTCGGTCTCGTTCATCGTATAGAGCTCTTAGCTAACGTTAGTAGCGTATTAAGGCTCTAAAAACTGCCGGTTTCCCCTCCCTCTTAAGTAACTTAGATCTTATAGTAACTGTTGTTCTAGCTATAGGGACCGGCTAATGCTATACGTCTAATTAATTTACCGAGCAGGAGGGAGGGTTATTAAAATCGAGGTTAATGCTCTATAATTGGTGCAGGGATAAGAGCATATTACGAGATAAGACAGATTAGAAGATTACGTACCTAAAGGAGTGTTAGCTATTTATCTCGCATGCTTAGGACCTTATAAAACATAGAGATAGGGACGACAATACCTGCCGCGCTATAGCTATAGCTAAGATTATAAGAATAAGCTATAAGAAGCATCTAGATCTCTTCTAAAGTATCGTCGGTAAGGCGCTAATGCCTATTAATAAGAAGGAACTTACGAAGCTATACGCTATAGCAATGTTCGAGTCTAGGTTACCCTTTAGCACCCTCGAGAGATTAGTTACTTTTAGCGAGTTTATTAAGGCTCTAAGACCTAACTTCTAGTTACTAACTCGATAGAAGCTATCTACAAAGCTCCTTAATATCTATAATAAGGACGTTAAAGACTAGGTTTAGCGAGTTATTAATACGCACCACTTAAAGGAAACTAAGGATCCTTACCTTAATACTATTAGCGACGAATCTATATCGGTGAACAGGGCTAGGATAGTTAACATCTCTATTAATACTAGCGATAGGTAGTTGTTCTACATTAAATGCGTCAATAGCGGTCCTATAACTTAAGGTGCTAATTATCTTAAGGATCTAATTAAACAAAGAGTTCTAGCACTTACTAAAGAGACCGGCGGCCTTGCTGCTTAGAATAGCCATTATATAGATACCTATAAAACATAGAGAAGTCTCTATCGACTAATCTAAAGCGACCCTAACACCGGCCATATGTTCTACGTCCTCTACGACTCGTATAGTATATAGCTCGTCGTCGGTAACCTTCTTAAAATTGACTATTATGCATTAGTAGCGAAGGAGGTAGTAGAAGTAAACAACTTTATAAGGAACTCGCTAAAAGTTTAGGCAAATCTATGCTATTAGGCAGATCGCGACAGTATTAGCATTAAGGCTCTAGCTAAGTTAGTCTTAACTCGATAGGGCAGTAAATACGCTACTCCTAATACACTTACTAATAACATTAGCACTCTAAGCTCGCCGTCGTTTATAGAGCGCGTAGACTTACTTAGATCCGAGGGTAGAAGGAAGGTTAGAGCCTTACTTAAATCGCTAAGCTTTTAGCGAAAGGCTCGTCTATTGCGTACGCTACTTAAGCCTCTACACGATACTTAAATTACTTTAGAAGTAGACCGCTTAACTGTCGGCATAGTAATACCTCGATAGCGAGACATTAGAGCTAACCTAGTTGCTACTAAAGGCCTCCTCTACAAACCGCAGATCTTAAAGGCCTTTAACGAGCGCTTTAAGGTTTAAACCACTAATATCTACTAGGCAGCCTTTACGCTTAACTATTATACCCCGTTAGCATATAGCACCTTCTTAAGCGACGAGAAGGAAGTAACTTATCGTTTCTTTAAGAGGCATGTTACTGCTAGTACGCTAGATAAGTATAACTAGTTCCTTAACGAATTTACTTATTTTATTAAGCGTAGAGGACGCACCTTTAGTCGACCCTCGGTCTAGGAACCGAACGATTAGCGATCATTTTAGATACTAATTCGATCTAAAGTCCCTTTTATTGCTTAACTCGCTATTCGGCTAGCACATATACCTACGAACTTAGTACCCTCTAAACGCGCCTTCTCGAGCATGAATTTTATTTAGAACAAGTTCCGTAATAAGCTCTTGAGTAATAAGACTAGCTAGCTTATTAGCATTTATCGCAACTTAAGAGCCCTTCGACGTAATCCTATCCTTAAGAAACGATAGAAATAGAGGGCTAAACAACGGCGAGAAATTGTAGAGGCAGATAGTAAGTAGAGAAAACGACTTCGACTAGCGCAACTTAAGCAGTTTATAACCCCCTTAGATAAACCGGTTAGTTAGTAGGACATAAATAACGACAAAGTAGAGGACCTTCTAATAGAGTCTCTTGTTTTCTATAATATATAAGCTATGCCTCTACCTCCTCGACCATTACATTAGGTTTAGCCTTAGAGGACTCCTCGTAAGCGGCCTTCTAGAGTACCTTCTTAATCCCCTTTAAAATAACAAACACCGACCCCTATAGGCATTTATTCCTCGCTAATTTAGTCGCCAATTCTAGACCCTCTAATGTCGCCATTACAACCTCTAATCTAGTCGCCATTATAACCTCTAATCTAGTTACTAATATATTAACAAATGTAGCCCTCGTAGCAGTTACTATATCTCCCCTTTTTAGTAGTCTTTAATAGCTTATCTATAGAATAACTTCTGTCTTTGACACCGGCACTAGTGCCTTAAAACCTTCGCTATTTATAGTAGTTCTCGAGCTTAATACAACAGAGCTTAGCACCTCTAACTTCCTTCTCTTAACCCTCTAATTTCTAGCCTTCTTAACTATATTAGCCTTCTTAACTATACCGCCCTTCGGAGCAGCCTACGCTCTTATACGACGACCCTTATGCTTACGCAGTATACTACGCATACTATGCTAATAAAGAAAACTAGAGACCCCTATTACCATTTAAGTACGATAGCTAGCCTTAGAGAAGTTAGAGATAGTTACCTATGTAAATATTTGAGTTGTCCAAAATCTGCAGTTCGGACCCACCAAAATGACGATTTAACTAGAGAAATCACCTGTTTCGCGGGGGACCCTCTAACATCACCAATATACGCACGGGACACCGACGGCGGCGACATGGCGGCCACTGTCGGCGACACCGACTGTCGCCGACTGGCGGTCTCAAATAACACCACTAGCTATCGGCCCCTCGTGAAACACTTCTGTTCTTTGTTTATCACTCGTGCATCTGCACAGCTATTGACAGATGCTATATCTCCCTATAAGGATTGGGATGGCTCCTTGTGCAGCCAAAGACAGTGCAAAGAATAGCCCGAGCATGCTCTCGTCTGTTGACATGCATCATCGAAGCATGATTGAGCCTCTAAACATGTCCCAAACTCTCGCCCAATCTGCCGAAGTCGCGCAGCTCGTATTAGCGCGGCTCATTTCCGTAGCAGCGAAAAATCTATGTCAAGGGAACCCATGTTTGCACAAAGGAGGGACTTTCGAACGCGAGATCCAGACACCCGCCCTCTCCGAGAGAAATGGCATCAACAAACAAGTCCATCTCCTCACTTTCCCCCTGTATAACGCTTGTCAATGCTCGTAACCAAATATCTCTCCAAGCTTCTATCAATTACCGTTATAGACGTTGGTGTGCCATTCGTCATGTTTGTAAACGTCGCACTTATCGATCGTGCATAATGTGCCGCATTATTGTACTTGGGTACATTTCGGCCGAATCCCGATGCATGTGGAGCCGCTTTGGAAATTGACATCTCTTTGGTAAACATCACCATCTTCTCCTCAGAACACAGCACTTCCTCACTGTTCACTGCTGCTATATCAATTTTCATGTTGACAAGAGAGTCACCAAAATGCAGGATCGGTTTGCATGTGTGAACAACGTCCAGTGTGGCGGCGTCTCACCGGAGGTCGTGGCATTTTCGGAAAGCTTTCTACGACAGCATCGCAGCATATGAGAGCTTGATCTTGTTCTGGGTTTGTATCCTTTATTTCAAGTCACAACGAGCTCAGAACGTGATGAGGAAGAAAGTATTATGAGTAGGTACGTCATGACGGCAAGATAAGTTCTCGAGCTCTGGCTTTTCTGCCGTTGGTCATTTTCGCACTTTCTCAGCCAACATCATGACGGAAAAAGCTCACCACAGTCAGCAGGCCACGTTTGTTCGCCTTCAGACATGCAAGCGACATGTCACCGACTATGAAATATCGTCCGCTCAATATCTCTGTATACGAAGGCATCTTGTCGTACGTGAAAATGATCACTCGAGGTGATCAGGGTGACCCCAGTCTCAAGTTCTTGCCAACTTCTCGAGGTATCCCAATCGGCACCTCGATGCAAGATGCATTTCAAATGGCCTGTCGAACACATCGGATACCATTGGGCAGGTGTAGACATATCGATTTGCAGATTTAATCTATGTGAAGCAGCATGAACTACGATTGGTTTGTGAAGTAACAACCATTGTCTCTGAGTCTAGGTCAAGACATGTGAAAACAAAAGACAATCAGAAAGACAGCACCTGCACAAAATCAGGGTTGTGTCTCGAGTCAGATGCAAGACATTGTCAGCTGTGCTATTGTTCAGCGTCAAGACAACGCACCGTGTTGTTTATCAACACCAAACTTTTCAACTTTCAGCTTCGCTTGCGCAAACAGATTCCTCTTCAAACCTACCACACAAACACTTAACCAAACATGTTCAACATGGTAAGCATTTTGAATACAGTACCACACTGCTTGTACCATCAACTAATACCCTTACGGATCAAAACCATCGTGTTGGGCGCCAGCCTCTGCGCCGCCATGCCTTACTCTGTCGACTTCCCATCAATCACACTCGACATCCATCCGACTTTCTCACACAACACGATCATCAAACCTGCTATGCCCACCTCTTCGTTCCCAAACCAAACTACATCCTACACCCTCGCCATCCACCCAACCTTCCGTGCCGTGGCCAACAACAATACCACCAGCAGCGCTCTAGGTGCCTGCGGTCTTGGTATCGGCGCCTGCCCTACAGGCCTCTGCTGCAGGTAAGCATCTCCATCCATTCTCTACAAGATTCCACAACTGACATATCCCCGTGATAGCGAATACGGCTACTGCGGTTCCAACTCGAGCTACTGCAACTCCAACTGCCAACCCGATTTCGGCACCTGCAATCTCAACACCACCACCACCACTCCACACTACAGTTTCTCCTACCAACCTCTGAGCACATCCATCTCCGCCACCTCGAACGACAACACAGGAGCTGCTGGCATTATCACTGATGATGTTGCTCCTGCTCCTTCGACTGTGGGGATCAACCACGCCCCTGAGAGCACCGGTGATGTGGATGTGCCTACGATCACTCTGCCTACTGTGACTGGTATCTCGTTTGAGCCTGTCAGTACCACTCATACAGCTGTTCAATCCACCTGGGCTGCCACGAGCTACGAAGAAGCTTCCATGATTACGGTCACTATGAAGAAGATCGGCTGTGCAGTTGACGCAACTTCTACCCAAGTTTAGAATTTGAAGGGAAGGAATGGGGAGGAAAAAGTCTTATGAGCATGCGACAGAAGTTGTTTCACGAGCATACGACAGAAGCTTTCTCATGAGCACATGACACGAAGGTTTCATGAACAGATGATATCAAGATGGAAAGTGAGGGCTAGGGGTTGCGTCCTTGATCAAATTGATTGCATTTTGATCCTCCTTGTTTTGTTCTGTACTCGGTTCCAACTGTAGTGATGGGTATGGGTATGGGTATGATGTCTAACCACAGCCCACAGAATCTGATACATCCAGTGCTTGCCTTCCAAGACGTGGAAGAGCATCTCGAAAGGTGCCATGACTCCAAGCACCATGATACCGACTCCGATCATTGCTCCCAAAATCGTCAGAATCCTGCCAGAGGGGTTATCTGCAAGACGGACCTTGACGATGTAATCGACGTTGGCGAAAAGGAGGCAGGCACTAGTGGCGAGTAGGAGGACGAAACCTGCAATCCAACCCATCCAAGCAAAGAATGGACTGAGTTCAGAACTGTCGTGATTCAATGGTAGAGGGAGGTTCTGGAGGTCGAGCCAGAGCATCATGTTCACCAGTCCATAAGCGCAGAACTTCAACAACATCTCCTCTTTGTGGTCCATCTTTCCTCCCAGGTATTTGGATACGATGAAGGCGGCAGGCAGTGCGAGTGTTTGGCACCAAAAGATCTGGTAGATGAAGCCTTTGTTGTCTAGGCAGCCTGAGAGAGCGGCCAATAGGATGTTGGCATACACGCCTATTATGGCACCGATATGGGCTCGCTGTCTTCCAGAATCTCCAGTACAATGGTCGTCTGACTGGAACACTGATCCGAGAGCTTCGAGACCGAATACAAGTAGCACCAGGCATGCGATGAGAAGGATGAGGCTGCCGATCCAGCGAGCGGCGATATCTAGGTCAGCAGTTGGAGATAGACCGCCCATATCGAGACATGCCAGGAGGATGGTGCACAAAGCATATGCTGCGGCCAACATGATGGCATTTTCTTTGGCTTTTGCTTGGTCTACAGGCGGAGTTGGTGGAGTTGAAGGGACGTCCGCAGTAGTCGACGCCTGATGGTATGTAGTGTTTGGCGTTAGATGATATGTCACGGTTGGTGCGTTAGGTGCCTGGTGATAGGTCACGGTCGGGGCCGGATGATAGGTCATGTTGGGTGCCTGATGGCATGTCATGTTTGATGCTGGAAGTATTCGATGTTGAAAGTGTTCGATGTTGGAGGTTTGATGTTGAGAGGTGACAACGAGAGCTGGTTGTCAGGCTTCATGGCAATGTTCAACTGGAAAGAGCTAAGGGATGACTCCTGCTGCTGTTAGAGGCGATTGCCTGTTGGCACTTGACTCATTCGTCAAGTTTTGAGCAACATCGCGCACGTGTACGTAAGCCATGGTGTCTGGAAATACGGAAGGACAGCAAAACCAACAAGAAAAATGTAATGAACCCCTGCCTTCCCGTGTGCTAAACTCTGTCACCCGTATAGCTATAGGATTGCACGATCGTGACATTTTCAGAGGCAGCCTCCGTTGAGAGCGTGGTAATTAGCGCCTCTCTGCGGATGATCATACCGATCTATTAAACATTGTGCATCTTCACAAGCCAGACTACTCCAGGCGTGGCCGCAGGAGATGGCTGGAAGTGACAGATGTTAGCATAAGGGGAGGGCAGAAAGCATCATAAATTGCCAGGGGTTCTCTATAAGTTGACTGCGGAGTATTGAGGCAACTCATGATGTCTTCTTCCTTCTAACCTAGTCTGGCAGGAGGATCCCCTGAATCTGCAAATAATCATCCCAATAGTATGTCCGACCTCAAACAACTGATGGCTCGGCTGGATTGACCGCTGAATACTCTGGAGAAGTCTTGAGAGCCTTGAGCAGCCAACCGGAGGTTCCAATGAAGTATGCACCAGGAAGGGCCCCAATCTCAATCAAAAGCAGTTTGTGCAAGATGGTCGTGTGCACAAAGTAATCGAAAAGTTTAGCCATGAGCCACATGACAGACATACCGCCGAGAGATCCGAAAGCAATGAGAAAGAGTGCTCTTTGGTTGTCAGACATATGTTTCTCGATGATAAAACCAGAGACTACAAAGAAAAGGCCAATGCTGACACCAAGGAGAAAACAGATGGCAACTCCCCAACCGAACCATTTCGGCTCGATCAGAGGATATAGATCGTTCTCAAGTGCGACTGGTTTGTTTTCGAGGTGGAACCATAGTAAGAGGTTAGCCATGTTATGACCAGCAACCTGAACAACCACTATTTGCTTGTCTTCTGTCATATTTTCAAAGCATGAAGAAGATCTAGCAAGACAGGTACAAGGTGCAGCAAGAAGCTGGAGCCAGAATATTTGGTATATCCAGCCTTTCTCATCGAGCGCGTGGGTTAGAGCTGCAAGCAATACGGCAATGGCAATGCCAAGCATAGCACCAATTCCAGCACGAATTTCCTCTGAGGCTGAGTCACCTGGAGGTCTTTGTGTATTGTCTTTCCCAAAAGTGGAGGCGTTGATACCAGCGAAAACAACGTAAGCGACAAGGTGAAGAAAACCGCAGGCTTCCTCAGACAAATAAGCGAGAATGGATGATGTGTCGGGACAGAAGAGGTCAAGATACACCAGCCCGAGACAGGATCTGAACGGCGACATAAATGATTGACATGTCTTTGGAACTGATGGTATAGGGGTTGACGACAGGCTGCTCCGGCTTTACTGATGGCAAAATCTGATTAGGAGCCGGTACGCTCTCGCGATCGGAATCATCCGAGTGGTTGCTCATCGTCGAGCAAAATGGTGTTGATTGAGCAAAGGAAGCAAGTCCAGCAGACTGAGTATTGTGAAGAAGACAGAAGGAGCGAGCACAGGACGGCAGCTTGGCCAAACCATCCTCCCTCGTGGCTTCCAAACGCTTTGAGCAAGATGACGCACAATATATCTGGGCAAGACTGGGTTTTGGCTGTGCACATCAGAAGCGTACAGTCTGCGTTTATTAGCGGACACTGTATACTCGGATCATCACCAAAACAAGCTGATGTTCTTTACTTTCCCCCGTCTCCCACAGCTTGCAAGAAAACCACCGTGCCTTCAGTCAAGCACTCGAGTTCATGCATTCGATGGCTCAACGGGGTTGATTGTCGAGTATCCAGGCCGAGGACTGAGCAAACTGGCGACATGAGACGATCCCGATCAGATGTTCGCCTAGTGGAGCAACGACTCCCATGCAAAACTGAATCTTTGTTCACACACAGATGCAGGAAGGTGTCAGTCAGCTGAGAAACGAGACCGATGATGAGGACACCACTTTTAGAACCAAGAAACAAGGTAGCCATCGGTGACAGAATGTGGATGACATTAGGAAGTATAGACAAAACGTCGATTGAACAGAGCTGAGAAGTCATCCTCGGTATCTGATAGCGGTCCGCGACCTCATGACTGGAGCTTGGTTGCAAGTTCCTCGTGGCTTTCGATGTTTTGAGCAAGATGACGTACAAGTTGCAGAATGAGATTTGCAGCATCTGAGTTGGACGTAGAATGTCTTTCATAATAGCAGAATGCTCAAATCGAGAATGAAGGCGCCTTGTTCTATAACACCACGAATCTCATCCCTGGATGCCTATTCATATCTCCTGCCTATTCGTGCAGTGCGACAGCCCAATGACTGGCTTGCGAGCATAGCTCTATCCTCCCCCTTCCATGCTTCAATCAAACTAGACTCTTCAGCGGCCAATCTTTATCACCATCGTCCACTTCAATGCGATGCTTTGACCGAACTCTACCGCAAACCAAACCAACAACCGATGTAACAAACGCCCCAGGCAATACAGCCGCTTGTACCAAAAGCCACCACTCCATAGACTGCATCTCCTTACTCGCACCCGAGAGCAGCATCCCAGCAACCGCCACAGGCATCCCCAAGAATCCTCCAACAATACAGCGAAAATCAAAGGGCTTGCCAAAGAAGACGTTGCTCAAACACTGTACTGACGTTCCAAGCGAGAAGCCAAGGCAAGGAAAAACGGCGAGGAGATCGAAGAGGAAGAGGAAGAGGAATACAACGGCGTCGTCGTGTTCAGAAGTGTCGACATCATCAGACGTCAGTATGATTTGGAGGCTCAGAGTGTAGGCACTGAGGAAGGCAATGAGGTATACTGCTGTCGAGAGTAGGAGTCCGGCGCCTGGTGAGGCGTCCATGCCAAAGAGTCTCTCGCCTGGTTGCTCTTGTGACTTCTGGATGGGTGTAATTACCATCTCCACACCGTCGACATGTGGCATTCCTCGATCAGACAATTCAGTGCGATGAGTTCTGGTGTGATGGAGCTGACAGCCGGTGCGATGAAGCTGACAGAATACGAGAGCTAAGGACGCGCCAGGTAAAATACCCGTTTGGGCGACGAAGATACAGTTTTGCGAAACCACTTCAGCCATTACGCCTGTAGTCCTGAAGACAAGACCGACAACGACGATCCCATACAACGCTCCAATTGCAGCAATGACCCTGGCTGTACGAGTACTTTTGTTCAGACAATTGCCAATGTAGTCGCTGATCCACCGAACAGTCCGGAAGCCAGAATAGATCATGGGCGATGTGATGAGCCCACTGGTCAAACCGCATATGGCCCACTCTCTTGAAGTACGCATAGAAAGGCCGTGCAGGTTGACGAAGTACCAAATCAAGTTGAAGGATATGTATTGCAGGAAATACAAAACTGCGCAGAACCACGGAGGAGGCCCTTGTGGTGGGTGTTCGCTGGGCTCGTCCTTGAATCCTGGTCTGATCGACGTAGTTGGGAAGACGAACGTGGTCGGGGCGGTGGATGTGGTTGGTGTAGTCGGTATCAGGGTTGCGGAGGAAGACGATGCTGATGAGAGGGTTTCAAGAGTGGAGACTGGCAATGCCTCCGGAGCCGATTGTCGATGGGGTTCAGGCATAATGTTGATTATTTGCTGATGTCAAAGATGAATGGAACGATGATCCGCTGAATATGAAGTGTGTCTAGAAACTGATGGTCTGGCGAGGAGAGTTGACAGAAAGCGAGATGTTTGTTAGCCCGAAATCTGGGAGGAGCGAATCACTGAGACCGTCGTCCGCAGAAGCTCTTTCCTCAATCGCACGAGCTTCGGACTTTCCCAAGACAGCACCGAGTAGTTCGCTGCTTACTGTACATCGACAGAATAAATTAATCAAGAGAAGCGAGCACAAGACTGGCCGCTACAGGAAAGCGATGAGGAGATGCTGTATCTGGAGCCATAGGTATTATATTAATTAGCAAATGATATCAGATTCTTAAATGTGCTCTCAGCTAGTTATGTATCAAGAAAGCATCATCATCTGCAACGACCATTGCAAAAACGTGTGCATGTAAGCCCCGTATCATGGTAAGCTAACTATGCACCTCTGCTGGCAAGTATCGGTCATTTTATGCATTACTCCATTTGCATATGAATATCGAGATCAGGACTGTGCAGTCGAGTCTCTGCAAGAGCGGCCTCGACGCGAGGCCAGTCGCCAGCTGTTTGCAAAGCGAGACCAAGATCGAAGTTGGGGTCAAACCACCGTTCTCGGCGGGTCAGCTGTCGTTTTCCACCTTCAAGAGCGCTGCGAGCAGCTCGGGTTGTCCGAGCACGTTTGCTTCCAGCGCCACTTGCCGAACCTTGACTACTACCCTGTAGCTTCCCACGATGTGTTTCGAGGGCGAGGTCGTAGGCTGCAATGCTTCGCACGTAGGGGGCTACATCAGTGACCACAGTATTGAGGGGACCATCGAACACGGAGTAAGCAAGACTTGGCGGACCGCTTGTCGGAGTAGTGATCATGGTAGCAACTGTGTCGAACGCTGACGAGATGTCTGCACGAGTGAGCCGGCGTGACGTGCAGCTTGGCGATTTTGACTCGATCACCTGGTTTATGAGGCTCGTAGGTGAAGGGTGTAGATGATTCGAGAAAACTTTACGGATGAGACGAGAGCCGGACACCGCAAGCTGAGTATCGATAGTGCTGTAGTCGAGGACCTCGGGAGTCTGAAGTAGTGCCATGCCATGGATGTAGCTCAGGCGTGTCTTTTGAGGCAGTTCAGGCTGCGTCGCATCTATTTGAACATCTTGCATGCCAGGAAGACCGACACGGCAGAACACGTCCATATCCCCGAGACTGTCAGATATGCTTGAGTATTCTTTGAGTGCGGCCATGCGTAATTGCGGATCCTGTGAAGAAAGCTGGTCGCTTGTGATATCTGAAAACAGCTGTTCGCGTGGATCAATCTCCCAGCCTTCCCACATCTCCTTGAGCAGTTCATCGCCCTGGGTGTCTTGTAGAGAAAAATCTGTTTCATGAGCCACAAATCCCATACCTGCTTGATATGTGTTCTCGCTGAAGACTCTGATGGGTTGACCGTATTCGTCGAGTCCTGTTCCAGTTGGCCATCTTGGGAAAATCCAACTCAGTCCTCCGCGAGGATCCCCAACTCCCATCTGACACCATAGCTGCAATTCGGCAATACTTGCACGTAGATCATGACTTTTGGCATCATAGAGCGTCGATACCGCGTCACGGTACAGTAAATGACCCTCTCGAGCTGCCAACAAGAGCATGTAATCTACAGCAATCTCTGCAGGCGTAGCTGACAAACGTAAAATTCCTTGACATGTGATAGCTTGGAGGGGTACAAGGTCCTCATCATTGCAGGTCATAATGATCGGTCGCTTCGAGTTTTGAAGCAAGGTAAAGATGGTGGACCAGAAGTTCTTGTCTTCCTCAAACATGATGTCGACTTCTTCAAGTAATATGAGGGACTGCTTTTGTCCTCGTGATGGCTTCGAAGATGACAACACCTTCTGAACCTGATCGACGCTCAGTTTCGGTTTCTTTTCTTGCTTCTTGGGTTGTGAAACTGATTTTGGTTTCGACGTAAAGAATGATTTCATGGTACCTTGGCGACCTGATTCGAGGTCTTTGTTAAAAGCATCTGAAAGTCGTCCAGCATCTTCATCAGCGGATGTGTTGCCGGTGTCACCAGAAATATTCTGCACGAGATGGTTCTCTACCATGTCCCCAATCTTGTCGAGCACGTCTTTACCACTTCTGCGTGAACCCGGGTTGATCTCGAATATCTCGAAACCCAACTCCTTTGCGGCAGCATGAACCATGGCAGTCTTTCCGCTGCCGGAAGGCCCACTCAAAATGACCGAATTCATGATTTGTGAGCGATTGGACTGGTTGCCGAAGTCGATGTCACGCACAAGAGATGGCTTCTGGCCTACTCTCAAAGGCAAGGTGCGATTCAACTCAACGAGTTCTTCTGCGTCATTGTAGAAGTCATCGTCGTTAACAATGAAATCATCCAACTCTGCAGCCTTCTTACGGCGTTTTTTCTTCGGTCCTCGTTCACGGTCCGCCTTGTCGTGCTTGGGGACATGAGAGCCGACTGTTTCGACTGCACTGATTGTCAAAGCCTTCATCCAGTCCCTTAGATATGTAGCTTCTTTTCCAAGTTGCAAAACCTGGGCCGCAAGCCGAGGTGAGTATTTCTGAGCCCAGGCTTGCACTTCTGATCGTCCTTGATCGAAAGGTGTGAGGTTATCTGACATCCCATGAAAGAGATCCTCGCAAGCTGGATGTGAATGATGGTGATGAGATCCCGATATTGATTCGAGCTCATCCACTAGAGGTTGAGCGTGAAGCTCGTTGCTTATCCACTTCTGAGCCCGAGAACCAGGAACGAGATGGCGTGTGGGAACGCGTAGCGAAGCAGGAGGATTGTGAAACCCATCTGGTCTTGGTGTGTCCTTTTGATGGAAATCAAGACCGCGTTCCACATGAGTAAGCGCACTCTCAGATGGGTCCAGGAGGGGTATTTTGTACTTCATTTTGCGAGTCGAACGAGGCACAGGGACTGACATGTCTCGTTGAAACCGGCCTGGGTGGTAATAAAACTCACCCCGTACGTGAGCATTGCCTTTTGATGGAAAGGGTGCTTCGACCATACCTGGTTGTTTGATAACGTTACGATCTCTGTTCGAACCGAACTGCGGGAAGCTTGCCGATTCGCTCACCGTCCTTGAGCCATTTTCTCGTGCTTGTGCTCGCAACTTGCCAGGGGTCACAGCCGAAGGCCTCCGCGGGCTAAGTATATGACTGACCTTTGGATCTAGGAATTTTTTCAGGGAAGCAGCAGGAGGTTGGGGGGTGTCTTTCGGCTTCCCAGAAAAGAATGGATGTGTTGGTTTCGAAGGATCCGGTTTGGGGGCCTTTGGCTTGGGTGGTGGGGCCATTGAAACAGGCTTCGGAAGACAGAAGGTCTCAGAGCCATCAAGGATACGCGCTATGCGTTGTCCCAGATCCTCGTCAGAGGAGTATTTTAATGCCACGACAAGCGTTTGCTTCTCTTTCTTCGGTCTTCCACGTTTTGATGACTTTTTGGTTGGAACATCTTCTTTGGCTGGTAACGGCTTAGCGGAAGGAGAGACCAGAGTACCACCAGTGCTCAGTTTCAACATCTTCCTCGGCGTCGTGCTCTTTGGGGTGCTCTGATGGCTAGGATTCGATTCAAGCTGCTGACTCGTGTTGTGGCATGTGTCGTCGGACTGACTGTTGGCAGGATGTGATGATGGGAGTGAAGTCGGGCTTGAAGGCTGAGGCACCATGTCTTCGGAGCCTCGATCAGAGATAGCGACATGATCGGGAAGGCTCAGCTTGCGTCTCTTGCGGCGTGTAGATGTCGTAGCCTCGATGGACTCGAGGTTCGATGCAGGCTCCGGCTTCTCCTTGGCCTTTCTGGGGCGAGTCTTCCTGCCATTGCCTGTCTCGGACACCAGTGAGGCTTCGGGTTGTGACGTGGAAGGATCGGCTCCAGGTGAGGTATCTCCAGGTAGAATTGAGTGCGCAATCTCGGGTAAGGATTGGGGAGCAGGCACTGCAGATGAGTGAGAAAAGTAAAGTTGTGTGGAAATGGTACAGTGAAGTTGTACCTTGGGGCTTTTTGAAGAAGGGATGCACACTCTTGTTCTGACCATCACCCATGACGCCGATGGTCATATGAGAGGGGTTGGAAGAGGTGCGTGTTGTGTACTGGCTAATGTCGCTCACTGCACAATCGTCACCAGAGTCTCGACTTGAGAACGACGCGTCTGCCCGATGCGTGTCGCGCCTGCCATTTCGGGCTTAACCATGCAACGCTGGTGTTATGTCCGAGAGCGGAGCAGACTAGCACCGAGCTTGGCATGAATCTTCAATTTTCTTGACAAGCAAAAGTAGTAGAAACACCTTGTCGCCATAAGGAATTTGTTCGCGCTACATCACACAAATGGCTGACGGAGCTGCCATCGAGGCTCCCTTTACTCTCGCCTCCCTTCCCAAACCCTTCGATTCCACTGTCGGAACAACCTTTGCCGCCCCTGTATTCGGACTCCGCGCCCAAAAATGGAGAAAGAGACCTGAGATTGTCGCAAGTGTCGACGGAGACAGCATCACCATCTACAATGTATGTCGCATACCAGAGGAACTCGCTTGGGTCATGCCGCTAACTCTCTTCCACAGGTGCGTAATCCGCGCCTGGTAACGTCGTATGCTCTTCCTCCTCAGACTCGTCTTCTTTGTGCGCCATGCTCCATCTACCGCAAGATTACGGGGCGCAAAGCCGCACAGAGAGTAACATACGCTGTTCTTGGTCACACAACTGGAAAGAAGACCGAGGTCGTTTGCTTCACCGAGGACACAATCGCCGACTCGACCGACCTTTCTGCCGACCAGCAAGTCAAGACAAGCTACCAACTGCCCACCTCGACCAGCACAGTCTTCGCCGTCCACGCTCTTGCTTCACACTCGGATAACGAGACTCTTGGACTTGCTCTGGACATCGCTGTCACCTACGCCGATGGAAGTGTCGAGTGTATCGCTGGCGACCTTCAGCAGAAGAGATGGGATGCAGATGCTGCTCAGACTATAGTCATGGCCGACTCTGACGCCGTGTCTTCGTCCGTCAAGGTCGAATATGCTACCGTCACTGATGTGACTTCAGCTAAGAAGGGTCTGCTCAAGAGCAGAGAGGACGCTTTGGCCTTGATCGGAGGTGCTGTCAGTTTGGACAATTCGACCGAGCTCAACATGCCACTTCTGGCTTTGGTCACCGTCGACGATCAGAACATCCGCCGCTTCAACCTCTTTTCTTTGCCTTCTAGATCAAAAGACTTAATCACTAGTGCTCACCAAGGTCTCCGTCATCTTTTCAGCTACGAGCTACCAACCACGCCTTCTTCAGACAAGGCTACCTTTTCCCTGCAATCATCAGCTGGCAAATTGCACCAGATGCTTTCCGGTATCATCACCACTTACGACCTTTCTGGCACCGTCCCCCGAGTGCTTTCCGTTCTTACTCCTCATACACAGGCTCACCAAAGCTTCGTCCGCATTTCTGCCGCCCTTGTCCTTGCTGCTGAATCTACCTCCTGTGCTATCTACGACACCAAGTACAGCTCCTTGCAGGCTGCCTTGTCTCTCGAGAGTGATCCTCTGGAGTCAGCTGGCGACAAGAGAAAGAGAACCGATGGCGCTACTGAGGGATCCCTGAACTTTGTCACTTTCTTTACTGACCTCGGCCTCGCGGTAGCCATCTCTGGAAACGCCCTTGTTGGCTTGCAGATCAACCTCTCGGCGACCGCCTACAAGAAGTCAAAAGCCAACACTAGTCTTCTCATCAACTCTCTCGGCAAGGGTTCAAAGAAAGCACTTGTTGCTGCTCCAAACTCCGAACTATCCTCTCAGGAATGGCAGAGCTGGAAAGAGACCGTCGACTCTCTGGTCGACTCCGATGTAGCCGCACTTGAGCGTTTCCTCGCAGCCGAGCTCGAATTGGCTTCCACACCCAAACAACACAAACCATCGGCCCCCAGTTCAGAAGAGCAGGATGGTGAGGATAACAGGATGTGGCCTGTAAGAGACGCTCGGTTCCTGGTTCAGAAAACCGAAAGGCGCAAAGCGGTTTACCTCCTCAGCAAAATGTTTGCTTGGAACGACACAACCAGGGACGAGCAGAGTTCTATCTCTATGAACTTCTTTACAGCGAACATCTTCAGATGGCTTGCCACTACTGGATACATTTCCGCCATGGAAGTGGAGAGGGCCTTGCGTGAGACAGGCGCTATACAGTCTACGGCTTCAAGAGTTCGTCCTGGCGACATCATGAGGGCAGTGAACGAACTTGACCCAGAGATGCATGTCATGCACGAGTGGTTGAGCTGGCCCGTATATCTGGACCTCGAGGAAGTCATCGTCGCTCTGGCGTCTCTTGTCAAGTCTCTCCAAGGACCAAGCCCCGCTGCAGTCGCTAAGCTCATCACCAGCAAGAGTGAAGATGCTAGCAACGAATTGGAGACTGAAATCCAAGTCGAGTCTGAAGCCGCAGAAGCCGATCTCGAGTTTGCCTTGTCAGCTCTTGATAATGGTCTAAGTGTCCGCAGCGCCTCATTCCGCACAGTTTTTACTCGTCTGCATTCATTCCCCTCCCGCAGCATTGTCGAGACACTCCGCACTCACCTTGCACCCCGCGAGGTTGTGTTCTTCATTCAGATCCTTCGTATTGAACTCGCAGACGGCGGTTGGACATCTCGTTACACCGATGTTGAAATTGCCAACAGGCCCGAAGACGCAGGCTCACCCAGCGACCACTCAATCGCTATCATCAGCAACCTTCTCAACTGTGCCATTGACTCTATTGGCACATCTGGCTGGCTTGTTGGTCTCAGTGGAGACCCAGAACTCCAAACTGATGATATGCTCGAGACACTCGGAGCGGAGACTAGTGCTGCTCTCGAGACATGTATCGAGGCTTGTAGCTTTGGTGTCTTCTTGAACGACTTTGAGCGTTTCAGCAACACAGTTCAAGCTTCTCAGAAACAGACGACGATCAAGAAGGTCGACCCCATCAAGACGCCTGGTTTCGAAGAGACTCCTCTTGCTGTGGATCCTGTTCTTCCTCTGGGCTACAAGGCCCAAGGGCCCGCCAGTAAGATGCGTATGACAAGCACTGGTCAGGTCGAGAAGAGCAGGGGTCTTCGTGGTAAGGAGTTGTCTATGCGTGTTGGCAAGTACTCTCTGGACAGAATCGTTGTCTAAGCATTGCATGGAGTAGACTACATGGATGGAAAAGATTTAGCTGTATTTACTTAGCGAGGAGTCACTGGATAGGAAAATCATTGTTTCTCATATGCATCCATTCATCTTCTGACTCGTAACTTTCTATATCGCTACCCACTGCATTTATGGTCCACCAGATTCTATGATGTCATTGCTTACCACTCGAGTCCGCGGCAAGCACGGTCACAAAAGTAGGTATTATCTAGACAACCATCTTCAATTGCTGGACAACATAACATTCAACACGTGAAATCACAGTCAAACAAAAAACACAACATTTCACAATGGGCTTACCACAACAACCCGCGGATGGCGCGCCCACGACCAGCAGCGTCCCCACTTCAGCCAGCGAACTTCCTCCTGCTGCTCTCGAGCTAGCAGGCAAATTATTTGACTTTGCACGACAAGGCAAGACGGATGAGTTGGCACAATATGTCAGCGCGTAAGTCAATTGAAAGATACTTCGTGGGCTGGCTCTGAGATCGATACGCCAAATCTACGCCACGATAGCGAAGAGCTTGTATGACAGAGTCAGATCAAGAGTCGAAGCAGACCCACGAACCATCGATAGCAACAGCAAGAGAATCATGCTAATTTCATTCCCCTCCAGTGGCATTCCGCCAAACCTCACAAATTCCAAGGGCGATACCCTGCTCATGCTAGCAGCTTACCATGGACAAGCCGAGACAACAAAGATGCTGCTAGACAAGGGTGCGGACCCGAATGTGTTGAACGACCGAGGTCAGAGTCCCATCGCCGGTGCCGTGTTCAAGGGTTCGGATGATGTTGTCAAGCTACTCTTCGAAAGGAAGGCGGATGTATATGCAGGACAACCCAATGCTGTGGACAGCGCGCACATGTTCCGGAAAGAGGACTATCTCACACTTTTTGGCGTGGAACAGCAACAATAAATGCTCAACGAGCTCACAAGCCTTTCATGCGGACTGTGATTGCAGGAGCTGAACGTGAAAGCCGAGGAACCGTTTAAGCCGCTGCTTTCGATATCGACCAGAGACTCCAAGCAGGATTCGCTTCTATCAAGCTGTGGAGTCCGCAATGAACGTTATCTTCGAGATGGCTGGCATGTGTGCAGTGAGACGTGGACGAACCAGAGCGAAGGTAGCATGTGCATGGGAGACATGGAGGATTCACAAGGCGCTATCTATCAACGCCTGCAGCGGCATCCCACAGCACCAATGCTCATCAGTACACTGTACTACACACTTCACTCGGTCTTGCACGAGCAAGCTCAGCAATCACAAGCAATATCATACCAGTGAAGCCTAATAATACTCACTTTTGCTATCGACGAATGCTGCGATGGTTGTCGAACTATGACCTCGTCGTCGAGTGGCTTCCCCGAGAAGGATAGAGAAAGATCCGAAATTTTAGCATGTGAAAGACACGGGTCATGCCAAGGCCACGGGAAGAGGAGCATGTGATATTTGTTGCCCGTTGTGCAGACCAGAGATGATGAGTTCCATCGACGTCCTTCCTACACGACCAATGCCAATGAACCCATTCGACGAGTCTCCATCGCTTCCCAATCGCCTTCCAATCCCCTCCGTCGTGTTCTGCTAGCTACTGCCAGAGTCGTCGTCGACTTGCGCAGGAGCTCCATCGACGTCAGTGCAACAATGGAATCGCAACGCCAAGCGCCGCCCGGCTACGCCTATTCTCACCACCCAGACAATCTCAAACTGCCTTCTGTTCCTCAGCAAGAGCTTCACATGAACCATGCGCCAGCCGATATCACCCTTCCCGATCTGAAGTCTGTCCTCGCCGACCTTCCTCCGAAGACTGGTCACCCCAATGCCTTCTCCAATGCTGTCGCCGCGAGAGAGATGGACCAAATGGGCATGCCTCGAACCAGCATTGAATCCGACGCAGCTAGTAACATGAGCCTGGACGACGGAACACAACGCTCGACAAGCGTGTCAATGGACGATCCTGATGTTCGCCTGGCTGCTGAAGCTCTATCTGGTCTCGGTAATCCTGGTGTGTATGCCCAATCTCCGCGTGAATTGCGACATCGACTGATATTCCAGACTTTGCGCGTTCACCCAAGAATCGGCCATCGGCCTCAAAGCCCAGCCCTGCACGCACCTCTACATCTTCAAACAAGGACCTTGAGCCGTTGTTGGACCTTCTGGTCGATGCCCATCCTTGGGTCGGAAACACAGTAAACGGCAGTCTGTCCGCTTATAATGCGACCAAGAACTTCTCACCCCGGATTGTCAGATACGGAGTCCATCTCGTCGAGCGCAATGTTGGCTCTCCTGTTGCCAGTACCGTCAGTAACATCGGCAGACGCACCGGTGTCGAGGGAGGTATTAGACGCTATCTTGATAGCCGTAGGCCCAGCTCACCTGCCATGGATCCTACTCATGGTAGCAAGCGTCGCCGAGTCACCTCGGATGATATGGAGATCGACCGTAACCCCCAGGAGCCTGGTCTCCAAGATTCTCAGGAGTTCTTACCAGCGTACCAGGCCAACAAACCGCCTTCATATAGGGAAGAAGTCAGCCCTCATGGATCAGAAAGAAGTAGAGCCTTGGAAAGACCTCCTATCAACAGAAGCTGGTCAACCAAGATATTCATTTCGACTTCTGCTCTTGGTGTCGCTCTTAGCGATTCTTCCCTTCGAAGTCTCCAGTATTGCGTTAAGCTTCTCTCATCGGCCACGGAGCACGTTGAGAGTGTAATGAATGCGTTGAAGATGGTCCTACATGAGTACGACCAGTCGCAAGAAGTGTCACAACAAGACCGAGCTAGGCGTGAAAAAGAGACGGAAGCAGGCATCACCATTGAAATCAAATCCGGAAACGAGCGTGATCAATCAACGGAAATGCTTGCAAGACGTATCAAGTCTCTGTGCGATGATATCTGGCATACCATCCAAACTGTTGTCAATTCTGTCTCGACCTACGCTGGAGGCGCTCTCCCTGAGAACGCCCGCAACATTGTCAAGGGACAATTGCTTTCTATTCCTCAAAGATGGCGATGCGCCACACAATCGGCAGAAGCAGCATCCCCCTCGCAGTCAGCCACCAAGGCCGATGGCGGCGAGGATGGCAAGGCCATCGAGGGTCAGAATGCAGACGAGAACACACGCAAAGCAGCACATCGTATGATTGCCTTCGCCACCGAGGGCCTCGACATGATGGCTCAAGTCAACAATGTCGTCGGTATCACATTGCAAAGTGCCGAGAATTGGCTGCAAAGCCTTGGCAGAAATAACCGCGAGGAGGAGATGATGGATGCTGACGACCCAAGAGAGTCGGCGGCCGAGTAAGACAGCAAAAAAGAAAACCCATCGTTCATTTCCATTCTTGCTCCATCGATGAGACATGCGCAAACAAATCACAAAAGCAGCCACGAGTCAACGAAAATCACCAACATTCATATCCCGAGCAACAAAAAAACTAACACGAAAATGGTAACACTGGCTTTCAGGCGCAGTTTTGGGTCCTGGCAGGCCAGAGGAAATAGGAATGTCTGAGTTTTTGTTGTTTGATGTCTTTCAACTTTGCTTCAAGGGTTTCTTTCAGTTATTGATATCGACCGCGAGCGGCAGGAGTTTTCAAAGGGCTCGAGGATCACAGAACAATTTTCCTTTACTCTTCATTAACCTATTCTGTTTCATGACTCTCGTTCATACCGAAAAGCGAACATCGTTATTTCCACAGGCTTATCCTGCTTTTAATTTCTCTTTCTTTGAGATGCTTGGGGGTTGTATATAGCACTTATATGCATGCTTTCTTCCTTTCACGCCTCATGGCGACTCATACTCAGTGGTGACGACCTGGAAGTTCTTTGGTTCAATCGTGGCATGACTTCAATAGCTGCGACATGGAAACCGCGAGGGCTGATGGTATTTTGCGTCTCAAGGCCATGAACAGAGGGGATTGTGAGGGCAGAACCCGACGAAGGAGACAAACAACAAGTCTAACTTTCACCTCAGCCTCACGGTCACTCCCCGGACTAATCATCGACAAGCGATGTGCCTTGATGGTTAGACACAGGGTCACTCAAAGCGGCACTTTGACGTTCCCCTCTCGACAATCACCCCAACACCAAGGCAATTTGATCTTTTCGACGGCTGTTCTACGAGGCGCCGAGGCCGGCCGAGAGCCCGAACCCGGTGCGAACTTCGATGTTCTGCTCTCTTGGAAGGAAGATGTTGGTGGCTCCTGCCGCCTATGGCAGAACGTATTGAAATAATGACGTTGAAGATGAGGAGAGGTAGGTGCTTCTATGGTGCACTTTCCCAACACGCCGGCTTCTGTTGGCTCGGTTGTTTGCCTCGGCGCTTCTTCACTTGACTTTCTGCATTTGACCATAACTTTTATCACAGTGTCTTGTCGCTACTGGATTATGGACGACCGAAACAAGCGGGCACCGCTTTACGCGGAGCGAATCGACATGTGGCACGCTTTCCCTACTCACATACCATGCCCTCCACACGTAAAACTACGTGTGATGAAGAACAAACACTCATCAAGACTTGTCATGACTGGCGCCGGTCTCTACCATGAATTCGAGACATCGACTGCCTCCTCAAGAAAGACGCCGTCCGCCGCTGCAGACCACACTCAAACTGCCGCCGATTCAACAATGCGAGATGTGAGACCAGACAACTTTGCTCATGGCACGACAAACCTGACGGCACAAGTTTTGCTGCCAGACGAGAACAAAGTCATTCGATCGAAGAGACAGATACTGAAGCGAAAACACCTTCGTAGAGGAGGCTTCTTCGCTAATCAGCACGAGCTCTTCCAGACATACAGCCTCAGCGCCGATGGATATGCAGATGATCCCAGACCTTATTCACGAAAGCTTGCTGCAGACTTTGAAGATGTCATGTGGACGGCGTTGACACGCAAAGATCCTTCGATCTATGCTAATGTAGACGATTACGGTGTTTTTAAGCCGGCAGTGGTCTACGAGACACCTCCTTTGTCGTTGAGGCTCGAACTCAAGAATGCAAAGCGTTTCAAGCCCTCCAGTCTAAGCATCACAACAGACCTCTATGCCGACCACTTCATCCGGATACCGGTCGAGCTCAACTTTTGCCTGCGTGTACTTTCGCCCTGGAACTCTGACTATCTCAACTCTGGAAAAGACACATACATGCGTTTAGGACTTGATCAACACACTGGGCAGTTATGGGGAAAGTTTGGTATAGGCGAGAAAGAAGGTGTCTTGATTGTTGAGGATACAGACTCACTATATGACTGGGCCATCGACAGTCCAGCAATCCTGAAGCTGGAGTGGCGCTCCAGAGACGTCAAAACAGGAGAAAAGAAGCTTGGACCTCAATGCATGGGTAGTGTTGAGATCAGCGCAAATCAGGGAGTGAAGGGCGTTATGTTCGGGTTGTTCGATGGATGGGATGCCCAATTCTACACAGAGAGTGTAACTGGGGGCCAAAACCAAGATTGGCAAGCCTGGGCAACTGAGTGGGATGCCATCGTTCGGGAAGAAGAGGTGTTTATCGAGTCGTATTAGTTATCAGCAAGACAGATGTGTGCAACTGAAGCATGAGCTTGCGACCAAGTAAACAAGATACGATTGAAACGCAGAGATGTCCTCGAGGCATAATACTACTCCACGATCTTGAGTGACATCTCCTTGAGACAATTGTATCCCGTCAGGCTCTCATATCCTTGGTCATCAATTGATCGGATTCTGTTTGAAAGATAAACAAGGAGCTCGATAATACTAGTCTGAGTACCAGTGTACTCGTACGCATGCGCGTGAAGAGACCGTATACTTTATGCTATTATCTCATACACACTCTTATACCATCCTCCCCGAGCAATCTCACAATCCCTGAATATTCAACGAGGACCAATCCACTGCACTCAAATCAAGCGCACCCATATCCACATCCATCATCCCATTCCCTGTCATCCCTTCATCATTACCTCCTCCTTCTCCAAAATCAAACCCCTCTTGCACCTCAAACCCATTAAACCTCGGCGTCATGCCCATGACAGGAAAGGGCATCAAATCCTCACTCCCAAAGGTGTCAGAAGATGCTTGTCCACTACTCATCCCAACCTCAGCCCTCTCATATTTGCCAGGCACCTCTACCATCCTCGTAACTTCTGAAACAATGAATGGTGTTTCCTCCACTTTTCCTGATGTTTTCAACACACCAACTCTAGCTTCCCAAGCTTTAACGATGATTCTCGCAAAAACTTTGAAGATGGGCGTTTTGTGGAATGGATGGTCATTTTGCTGAGGGTCGGAGAAACGCACTTTACAGCTTTCACTCATCGTGCGCCAGCATTTTTCCGCATGTGCAGCGAGTGGTTCGCGCTTCAAGTATTGGAGGATATGGATGTATGCGGGAAAGGGGAAGTGGAAGAATAGGAACCAGATGTGTTTTTTCGTCAGAGGAGAAGTCGTGATGATGGTGTCGCAGTCGAGCATTGTGAGGGCTTGAGTCAAAGCCGAGTCGCGTTGGAGGGGAGTTTGTTGGGAGGGTGGGATGGAGAAGTGTTGGAAGAGGCGGTAGCGGGCGAGGTGGCCGCGGGTTAGCCAGAGGGTCATGAATTGGAGTGGGTTCTCCGTGTTGCAGTATTGGAGGCAGGTTTCTTCGATCTTTTGCTGTAGAGCTTCTAAAGTGCCGCCGTGATCGTTGGGATTGGCGATTGACTTGAGCGATGGATTTGTAAAGTCTAGGAAGAACGGGCTGTGGCGCACGAGATCGGCGACTTGATAACGTAGGATGGCTAAGGTTGTTTCTGTAGGTCTTTCGTGGCTTTGTGGAAGATGCTTCATCTCTGGTTGAAGGTCGAAATCGTTCAAGTTTGCAGGTGTCTTGCAGTTCCAGGCTGGAGATAGAGTTGCAGCTCTGTAGTCACTCATTTCGCAGACACGGTTGTCGAACAGTAGGAGAGCCCACCATAATCTGCGACGCATCTCGCCCTCGAGAGGACCGTGTTTGGCGTTCGATGATTCATTGTCCATTCCCATACGTTGCGCCATGCGTATCGCAAGTCCAAGAAGCGATGACAGAGAACGAGGGTCTGAATCGGGTCTTACGGCAACCTGGAGAAGTTAGTCTAGAAGCATGCAGAGCAGTTTCTGACAGTCATACCAGATACAGGAACAGCGCTGTCAAGCAGTCACGATCATCAGACTGTAGGAAGCCGCACTTCAGCAAAGCTTGCTGGCAGCCAAATCTGTACCTCTGCAGGAGTTCTTCCTTCGCAAATCCAAATGTCTCCAGACAATCTTCATCCTGAACACTCATGACGGCCACACAATACACACTAAACATCAGTGCCTCCAGATTAGGCTCCACGTTCTTCAAATCAGCGGTAGCGTTGATAAGTCGAACTTGAAGCGTAGGCGTATGTGTGACCTTGAGCAGAGGATTGACATTCTCCAGATAGATCTGCCAGAACTTGAAGATTTGGACATGATCTGGGTGTAAAGTTGACAGATCAATGTCCATAATACGTGACCCGAATAGCAAATAGTCGGTGCTATTCTTATACATTTGATCCCACGTCTTTTTTCCAGCGACGTCTCGAAGGTCTTCATCATCGTCGTTATCTTCATCATCTTCGTAATCATTGTAAGCATTTGTTTGCTGGTCATCCGCGATCAGCACTTTTTCCATCAATGAGAGACCGCGGTTCGGTTGTACTTTTTGACTCATGGCGTGCCATAGGTTTCTGGAAGCTGTTAGACCTTCGATCCAGTACTGTCGGAAGGGAAAGCACAAACTTGGCTTCAAACGTAGTTTCCGTCTTCACTTCCGGACTCGCACCTTCGCTTCCCTCATTCTGTTTCCCACCATCTGGAGCGTTTTTCTCGGAGGCAGTCGCATGCAAAGGCTCAAATTCTATATTGTTCTGACGAAGCAGATCCTCCAGATGCCGAACCCGTTGCAACAATTCTCCCTCTGGGAACCTTCGTCGTCGCTGCCGTGGTGCTGCGACTGGCATGCATTGTACGCCCGTCTTGATACAGGTGTTGCATGGAAATTTACGATCGCATTTTACTTTGCGTTGTTGGCATAGTACGCAGGCGAGGGTGCGTGGGGGCTTGCGTGACGAAGTTACGGTCGGCGGTGATTCGCGTTCTACGTCGGACATTGTGCTTGAGAGATGATGGAGATTTGTTGAAGAAGAAAGCTACATGCTGTGTTAGATGATGATATATGTATGTCGGCTTTTGATTATCATAATCCTTCGAAGGATGCTGCCTGGTTGACACGGCTGGGAAGCGTTGGTCGTGGCGCCCCCACGTGCAGCAGGGGGCGTTGCTATTGCCACATATTCACCCTTCTACGCTCTTGCAAAAATATCAAACATCGCGATCTGTTTTCTAACATCGATTTCAGCATTCCGTTACAGCATTGGAGACTGACATGTTACTTAGACTGATTGTGAAATAAACATGCGAAACATCAAGATGAACCACATACATACATACTGTACCACCAGCACCCTCTAAGCAGCACACTGGAAGACCGCAGGTCCAGGAACAGTGTACTCCGCCTTGCTCGCATCATAGATGACATCCTGCCCCTTATACGCACCAGGGAACGCAACAAGACTCTTAGGCACAGTGGTTCCCTCACCACTAACCTTGATCTGATGACAACCAGGATAGAACTGAGGACCGGGATATTGAGCAGCATCATGCAAAGCGACCAGCTCATGGCGAACAAGGTAGTGGCCAGCTTTGATACACTCAGGGATAGTGTAAGTGTATCCTGCATTGCCAGGTTTGGTCAGAGGATCGGTGCCCCAGGTCTTCTTGTCGGCACTACGGCCTTGTTCGGCGATCTTGAACCAGACGGCTGTTTTGTTGGGCATGAAGTTTTCGCAACCTGATATATGTCAGAGTGGTTCAGACTGCTGGAGGTGGAATGATATCTTACCTTCATCGGGACAAGCGGCCATGTAAGTAATGGTAGGGCCGAAATGGCTGTCGGGCCAGAGAGTCCAGTGGAGGGTAACGTTGGAGCCAGCCTCTGCTGCAGCCTCGAGAGGAGCGGGAGAAGAGCCAACAATGCCTCCCTCGGAGTAGCCGCCGCATTGGATATCCAGAAGGTCGACATCAGTAACAGGTCCGTTGCCTTGGACGGGACGGGAAACGCGCTTCTCCTTCGAGAATATCAGTATCGGTGATGCGAAGAGGTCAGACTAAAAACATACCGCAGGGTTCATGTAAGGGTCGAGGTAAGGCTGATAGAACTGATATTCATCGCCTCCGATGGTAGCATTGTCGATATATCCATGAGCAGCAGCCAAAGTAGCGCATCCGAGAACAGCAGCAAGATACTTCATCTTGATGTATTGAACGAAAATGGAAAGAATGTAAAGGCCGTCAAGGCTGGTTAGAGAAAAGAGGGAATGAGAAGGGAAACTGATCGAACCTGCGATCTTTGCTAATTGCTTTGAACGAAGAGCATGATTGATCGCGGAGGCAGACAGCTCTTATACAGTCGTCAAGGCATGTTTCCTGAAAGCACAGATTACCAGGATCTTTACAGCTCGGCGATCGCTTGGTTCCTGTACGATATTTAGTGGCTATACTGTGCCCTATATCGGTTTTGTCGAGTGGTGTCAGTCTGACAGCGTTTCCGTTTTCTGATACATGTTTCGTCTTGACAAAACTGCATGAGGGCATGGCCTTGGTCAATAGGTGTGCTCAACTTCCATTGATGAGATATCAGACTCGATATTCCATTCCGAATTTCCTCAAGAAGTGCAATTGGCTGCGCTCGCGTCCTTGTGTGGCCTTCTGGTCAGATGTAGATTATGTGATAGCAGTCGACTTGAGCGCTTGAACTAATGCTGTCCGGTCTTGTCGATTGCTGGTATACGCGCCCAGACCGACGTGTTTCACGATGTTCAAGCGAGCTGTACCTCCACCTTGCCCTATTAGGGCAGACTTGCAAAGAACCATCAGAGTAGCAAAGTAAGTAAAAGATATAAACCAGTCTTCTCCGAGTGGCAGTTCAAGTCAAAAGCAGATCATGATTCTCAATAATCGGACGTGATACGCAGGCAGACTCGAGACACATTGGTGGACAGAAACGAAAGACCACCTTTTTGGCGGCTTTGTGAGAGTCACTTGCTGTGAACATGATTAAAAGGAATTTTCTCATCTACATGAAAATGCAAATACACAAAAGACAAAAGCCCCATACGCCTCGCTGACTTTGACAAGAATTGAAACAGACTGTATCCGAGGATAGAAAATGCCAAAAAGAAAAACATCGACAGAAAGAGAAGGTAAAATATGTACAGACCCTCCTTTTTAAAGAATAGAAAGACTCCACATACCCATATGCATATGCCATCTACCCTCTCTCCGATTTAACTACGTGTTCATTTTCTGTTCTTGCCCCAGCGCAGACGGGTGCCGCTGGAGGATGCTGCGGCGGTCTGCGGCTTTTGTGGTTCGGCGAACCTGATGTTGGTTGGTGGTTGACGAGGTGCGTTGTCTTCTTCTTCCTCACTGTCACTTTCCTGCTTGCTGACACCCAAGGCGCCTTCTCGGCGTCTACGCTCTGCTGCAGTCTCACCATCGGTGTCCGAGTCGAGTCTTGGCTTGGGAGGACGTCCGCCACTAGCAAGTCGAACGTCGCGAACGTCGCGTGGTGCAAAGTAATCAGCCTCAGAGTCTTCTTCGAGACCCATGCCTAGCGCACCCTCTCTGCGGCGACGCTCAGCCGCGGTCTCACTCTCAACATCAGAGGCGTAACGGCCTTCAGGCTTTGGGCGACTTGGAGGAACACGAGCAGTGCCGTCGTCCTCGCTGTCCTCTTCTATGGGTGATTGACGGGACTGTTCAGCACGCTCGCGTGCTTCTCGGCGCCTCTTTTCAGCTGGTGTCTCGCCGGCTCCACTTGATCTACGGAGATCGCCAGTCACATCGTGGAAAGGTACGACCTCATCGTTCGAGTCGACCAGAGTCAGACCCTCAGGACCGGCGGGAGCGTCTGCGTGGCTCGGCATTCTCTTGACCTTGGCATTGTCAGCCAGGCCAGAGTCTCCAGTCTCAGGAAGGTCAGCCTTCAAACCAGTCTCGGCATCTCTACTAGAGAGCCTGACCGGTCTGTTCTCAGGCATCGACTGCAAGCGGTGAGGGATAGCATCCTCATTACCCTTCTTGGCACCTTCTCTCGCCTCCCTCTTGACGGCTTCAGGAAGATCGCTATCTTCGACAATAGAAGCACGCTGCTTGGCGTTGAGACTTGAGATCTGCCTGACGAACTCGGCTTTGCTCATTCTTTGACCGCCAGCACCAACAGTGAAGCGCAGACGCTCATCGTCTTCTGCTTCCTGCTCAGCCTTCTTCCTTCTCTTGTCTTCTTTAGCTCCTTGATCGGCTTCGTCTGCCTTGCGGCCAGTTATGCTTAGTGCGGTTCCCATGCGAGCAAGACCTCGTCTGGTAGGTCCAGCAGGCTTGGAGGGTTCCGTCGACGCAACAGCGTCTCCTTCCTTTGCGGGCTTGTTCTTCTTCGGCGGCACTGGAATGTCGTATTTCTTCAAGACCTCACCATCTTCATCCTCGACAATGATGGTGTTGCCAAACTGGTAGGCACGCGCAGGTCCGCGCTTGGGGGCTGGCTTCTTGGCTGTCGGCTTGTCGCCGTGATCCTCCTTCTTACGGAGACCACCAAGATGACCCATCATCTTCATACCCTTACGCCACTCTTTCTGAGGATGGTGGACCGCCTGCGCAGCTTCCTCTCCAGCCTCTTGGAACTCGTGCATAAATTTGGTGCCTTCGTCTTCGTTGGGGTCGTCCTTTCTACGAGCAACACCATGATGAACATCTTCCTCCTTCATCAATGTGCGAAGCTCATCTCTTTCGCGCTCTTGTCTTTCTTCGTCTGTGTCACCCTTGTGTGTCTTTCTCACAGCAAGAACGTTGCCTTCTTCATCTTCATAAACAGTCTCACCGCCCTCCTCATAGACCTCACCTTCAGGCTCGCCAGGTTGATCGGGCTCATCCTGGTCACGCGGAGGCCCGTTCTTGGCGCTGTCAGGCGAGGCCTCAGAATCGCTACGAGAAGTGCTGAGCTCCTCTTGCTTTTCACTATCGGTGCGCTGAGGTCTGATTGCAGATTGACTGATAGGACCTCCAGCGCCATACTGAGATTTGCGAGAACGACGTCTGCTCAGCGGACGTGGAGGAACGTCTTCTTCGCGCTGACGACGAAGGAAATTTGGCGGGAAAGCGCCATATTCACCCTTTTCCTCGAGAGACTCATCTGTGTCATCAGGTCTGCGTGCAGACATGGAACTCTTAGAGCGTGACTGAATACGAGGAAGTCTGTCCATCCACGAAGGGTCTTGGCCCTGGGTGTAAGACATTGTCAAGGTAAGGGTGTTGATGTGCTTTCCAAGGGTAAATACAGCAATGGATGATCCGTGCACGAGGATTGAGGTGATGACCAAGAAAGTTGTGATAGGCCAGATCAACTCGATGATATTGAGATGCGGGAAGTTTGCATCTGTGGGTAGTTCGCCGAGAGGCGTCGTAGAATCCGTTTCGAGTTCGGCTCTAGCCAGAATGGCAACGAAGATGGCACCTACACCGATAGGACCGAAGTGACCGGCGAAGAGAGCCTCTCTCCAGGTCTTGATGTCTGGAATGATTGGCTTGAGCGCAAGCATGATAGGAATGCGACGGAACAACAGAACCAAGATCGCAATAACAACCAGTCTCCAGGCACTGAGGCCAATGATCTCAGAATCGTACTGAGCCCAGGGGATGATTGTGCCAAAGTAGACAAAGAAGGCCAAGTTGATCAGCAAGTCGATGACGTTGGAGACGTGGGATTCCTCTGTCTTTTCTGTGAACCAACCATCATTGCTGAAGCCAACTCCACAGGCGAATCCAACGAGAAGATCGTCTACACCCAAGATGGAACCTGAGCCAGCGCAGAAAAGAGCCAGAACGAAATAGAAGACCAGGAAAGATTCACGATCGATCAGATCACGCTCGTGTGCAAACCTGACGGCACGGCGAGCGATATATCCAACGAGAACTCCGTAGATGGCGCCGAAGACACACTCGTACAAGATACTGACACAGAACCAGTGTAGAGCAACTTCGTTCGGATGATGATGATAACGAATGATGTAAACAGCGAGATAGATGAATGGGAAAGCCATGCCATCGTTGCATCCAGACTCGGCGGACAACAAGTCTCTCAAATGCTTCGGGACTCTTTGGGCGAATTTGCCCTTGCCAACGACAGACGAAGCAAGAACGGGATCAGTTGCAGTAACACATGCCGCAACGCAAAGACTGTCAAGCCAGTTGAGTGGCGGAACGAGGGCCCAGATGAACAGACTGGTGACCAGCCACCCAAAGGTCATGACGGGAATAAGGAGGAAGGTGACGGATCGCCAATGACGCTCCATGTATGATTTTGGCAGTTCGACTCCTACGGCGAAACATTGTACAACCAGGACGATACGGGCGAACTCCAGAGTGATTCGATCCTCATTTCCCCATGTCGACGGATCTATTAGATTGGCAGCATGCGGACCGAAGATGATACCGCAGAGAGTGGCGACGGTAGCTTCACCAATGTATAGTCTTTCTTTAATGAGCGACGAACATAACATGAACAGACTGGTGAAGCCGCCCAGAATGATGTAAACCAGATGCGGTTTGTCGACGTTGATGTGGTCCCAAACCATGATGGCGGGTTAGGCGTGTGGTGTGACGGATAGTGATAGCGAAACGATAGTCGAATCAAGGTCTGGTGTCTTGGTTGGCAAGGGTGATTGTTGACACTTGCATGCAGTCGTCGGGTGCGCCCAGTCGCCGCTCCCAGTCGCTACGGTGTGGAGTGTCGGGTTGTCAAATCGTCGTCCAGACGGTGCGGACGAAAAGAAGGCGAGTGGAGCGAAGAACCAGGATCCAGGTTGCCAGGATCTGTTGACCAAGAGCGAAAGTCTTGTCGCTGACTCTTTGCCGACCTTGGCGGGTAGCAAGCCAAGGAAGCAGCGTTGAAGAGATCAAGATATGGATGTGATTGCGACGGCTTGGATCGGCTTGAGCTCGCAATTATCTGCCCGCGGACTCGCTTCTCCGTTGTGGTAATACCGGCAAAGTAGACTCCTACAATGACAGACGTTTGCACAGGAATCAAAGCATAAGAAGGGGCCAACGAAAATACCACACCGCGGCGAAAAACGGCGAATGACGAAAGTTGGCGGCCTCTCCAGGAACCCCCACACGCCTCCGACGCAAATGCTCTCTTGGCGGAGAATCAACACAATCACGATTAATTCATTTCGGCGTCATTTGCTATTCGATTGTTGGTTTAGAGTTGTCGGTCGTGTCTTGTTGCCTGACTTGCGGTGAGGCTACAATTGACTCTGAGTGACATACCGGCGGGAAATGCTTGGTCTAAAACACAACAGGGCTTCGCTTTCTTGTCTTTTTGTTTGGCTTTTGCTTGTCCGCAGATTTCGGGTGGGGCACAACAGCTGCATCCCGCAAAAGCCTACAAGAATGCCCCAGAGTAAGGACGGGAACCCTAAATGTTTTCTATCCATCCGAGATCACGTATAGAAGCCTCAATAGAAGATGTTGAAACAGAGCCTTTTGTGGCACTGTTCGCATCACGTTCAGCAAAGAGACGACTGTAAAGGAAGAGGATTGCCTGCATGGGACATCTACCGACATCTACCGCTTTCGCATGCCGTGGAACTTTTATGCTCTATCTTCTGTGACGCGCTGTTGTGCTTTTATAGGACAAATGATCCAGAATCGAGAAAAACGCCGGCCCAAATGCTGCTCCAATCATGCTTTGATAGGCTCTGCCAGCAAAGCCAGACTCTTGACCTCCCTCTAGACCTTCAGGCTAGCAATGTCGGGAGTCTCGTCGCCGACCTTGACTCCCTCGCTGTGCTTCTCTGTCTCGCCGGACAAGTCACGAAGACACTTCTGCTCACCTCCACGGAGGTAGTCCTCGTACTCGCCAATCTGCTTTCCGGCATCGATCCAGCGCTGCTTGAATGCTTCCCGGCGTCTGTCACACTCCTTGTTCAAGGCAGGCCAGTAGGCCTTGTGGTCGTAGTCGAAGTTCAATTCACCACCGTAGTCCTTCCACAGCTGTTGTGTGGGGACGTACTTCTTGAGGTCCTCGTTGAACTTCATCTTCTCCTTGGTGACTGGGTCGATAAAGGGCGAAATAAGCTTGAAGAAGGTGCTGACGTACCAGGGCACTGTGGCGAGTTAGTATTAAGCAGAACTAAAGCAGAAATCTCTACTCACGCTGAGAAATCAGAGCGCGACCAAGTCTCTCGGGGTTGTGGTTTTGCAAGATGTTCAAAACCTGTCTAGCTTGACCAACACTGGGTGTGCTGCCGCTAGAAGCACCCTTGAAGTTGATGAGCAGAGCAGTCGTCTCTTGTCCAGGACCCATCATGTCAATGACTCTATCCAGCATGAAAGAGAGGTGGTGAATCTGGCGATCGCTGTTCTTTGTGTTCTGCTTGCCGGGGTTGAGATACAGACAAGGGCGAGCATTGATGTCGTAACCCATGATGACCTGCTTTCCTGTCTCGTTCTCGGGAGAGATGTAGTCGGCGGTGAAGGTATCAGCACCGTATTCACGTCTCCATGAGAGCGTTCCCTGTAGACGTTTGAGAGCACCTGGGACGTCCCACTTGGTCGCGCGGAGGTAGCGGAGGAGACACTCGCGGGTCAACCACATACGCTCATTGTCTGTGATGGGCTCGTTCGTAGCATCCTTGAGGGTGTTGCTGGGGATGGTGGTCCACGTCGATACGGTCGAGAGTACTGAAGCGTACTTGGTCTGTTGGTCGGCAGTCAAGACTGCAGGGGCATTCGGCTTGCATTCAGGCAGAGCGACAGTCAAAGGAGTCTTGACGGGACCGGTCGGCGCGGGGTCGGTGATGGGCTCGGGGCCAGTCGATAGGGATGGAGCCTTGCTCGAAGTCTTGTGATAGTCAGATCATGTCCTCGGACACTTGCAACGTCACTGAATACCTGGGAAGCCATTTTTGGGATTATGTCGAGAAGCTTCTGATTGATGGAGGGGTACTTTTGTACACGGCGGATCAGGGAAGGTAAGTACTGAGAAAAGGATGCGAATTGAAGCTTGGGAGATAAGACGCAATACGTTAGATACGACGGATGGGTTTCAGAATTCAAAGAAGAAAAGCAGCTGTCCAACAAGACACCGCTTCTTAGCTAGCAGATTGCCCAGCGATGGCGGGCGAGAAGGAGCAAGAATAGCGTCATCTCACTATTTTCAGCCGCGACCGGTGCGTAGGCCGTCTTGTCCATAATCTTTTCTCGGCTCCCGGACAATTGCTTTCCGACTCATGTTCTCACATAGCCCTCGTACGATTCTTGATATTGGTGAGTGGTTGATGATTGATAGCTGAGTACAATGGCAAAATGTAGCGAGGCATTGAGAAAACGCTACAATTTGTCGACCGTCACAAAATCAAGGACAGGGTCGGGTGAATTGTGATTGTCGAATGTGTATCTCGGGGCACTTGCCTAATCCGTCCAAAATGAAGTCCGGCGCGACTTTGCGCCTCGAACGCGTCCCTCAACGCGCTCGACTTTAATGTTTCGATGCACCGATAATCCATACACCAACACAGCCATGGATGACCAAACAAACGAGATTAACGAGCTCTTCGCCGCTCCAAATACAACCATCGAACGCGATGTCTTGGGCGAACTCAAATCCATCTTGCGAATTCACTCGCTCAGCCCTCAGGAGCTATTCTTCAAATGGGAGGCATACAGCTTGAAGATGGGTAGCGACACCCTGATGAACTACAAGACAGCCAGAGACTTCAAAAAGGACCTTCAGGATGCACTGGAAAGAGAATCAAGAGCCAAGGCCCACATGCAGAGTGCTCAGAAGAGAGGCACGAATGGCACACCGAGGAACGCTGCCACTGGTGATGTCTTTGGAGTGTACGTCTGATCGGCCTAGTACGAGTTAAAGCTTAGTACTGACGCTTCTACAGTCTGGACGGACTGGTTGGCACTCCATCTCGAGGCCCCGTCATGAAGAGAAGAAACGACTTTGGTACCCCTTCCGCCAAATCATCCAAGCTCAACAACACCAGCTCCCCAGCAGGTGACAAGACTCCCACTCTCGGTGCTACACACGAAGCCCCTCAGCTAGGGTATGCTGTCCTTGTGCTTCTGAATGGTCAAGAGCTGACCCCTTCATAGTGCTATTCCCTTCGCCGAACGTCAAAATGCTGGCCAGATTGTCGAACAACTAAACGGCCACATCGAACTTCCTACTGCTCCCTCATCCGCGCCTGTCGAGCCCCGCGTCAAGCTAAAGGCGAACACCGACATGGGAAAGTTTGGCTATCGACCCATGGCTATGAAGCTCTCAGAAGCCTCCGAATTCCTTGACGAGCGTATCGATGAGTTTGTCGATATTGTACAGAAACACCATCAATTGGAATATTCTGCCTTTGGCAACCCAGCCGCTATGAGTCCTGCCCAGATTGTAGCTGTCGGACGTATTGCCTCGGACACAAGCGAGGGAAGGATGAACGCAGCTTCCATGGTGTTGGAAACAAGTCGTCGTATGGGAGCTGGTCTGCGTGTACCGCTACGTATGGAAAAGGGAGCATACGACTTCTTTCCTGGCAAGATTGTGGCTGTTCGCGGTAACAATCCCTCGGGTGAGTACTTTAGCGTCACTGAGGTTCTCTCTGTGCCATCGCTTCTACTGCCTGCCACGGCACCCACTGGTATCGACGTACACAACGAACGTCTGCAAAGTGATGATGGTACAGAAACTCGCCCCCTGAACATCCTCATTGGTGCCGGGCCATACACTATAGACAGTGATCTGTCGTTTGACAGCTTACACGAACTCTGCTCTCAAGCCGCGGAAACAAAAGTTGATCTTCTCATCCTCAGCGGCCCCTTCATCGACATCGAACACCCCAAAGTTGCCAGCGGCGACTTCTCATTACCTCCCGACAGCAAGATCGACTCTTCAACTGCAACCCTCACAGATGTCTTCCGCGCATTCATCTCACAACCACTATCTCGCCTTGCGCAAACACTACCCGGCATCACAATCATCCTCGTACCATCAGTCCGTGATGCCGTCTCCAAACACATCAGTTGGCCGCAAGATCGTCTCAACCGCAAAGAACTCGGTCTTCCCAGGCAGGCGACTTGCGTCACAAACCCCATGACAGTATCATGCAACGATTTTATGACAGCGGTCAGCAGTCAGGACGTGCTCTTCGAGATGCAAAGGCAGCGTGTGGTTAGTGGCCTCAACAGCGACGCTCTAGCATCTCTGGCCAGAAACCTCCTCACCCAACGCCATTATTTCCCAGTATTCCCTCCGCTGCCCAGAGACGAAAAGGCATTGACTGTGGGAGCTAGTCTGGACGTGGCATATCTGAAATTGGGCGAGATTCTGAACGTCAGCCCTGATCTTCTCATTTTGCCGAGCGTGTTGACACCCTTTGTCAAGGTTGTAGACGGTGTGCTGGTGGTAAATCCTGGAACCGCCAGTAAGAAGAGAGGTGCAGGTACATATGCAAGATTGATAGTAGGCCCTAGAGAGTTGACAGAAGATGAGAGGGAAAAGGATGAAGAGGTCGATCATCAATTGTTCAACAGAGCGAGATGCGATATCATCAGGATATAGACAGCACACCTTTATGCACAACAATTTTGTTTCTCTTCCTACCAAGTTGAATATGTCCAAAGATCAAAGAGCAGACTAGGCAACCATGGGCTGCCCGACCAACAAGGTGGAAACTTGAGCCGAGGTTCTTTCGACCCTGCTCCGCATCCATCAGCGATTGGACCTCGATTAACATTAACCACGACACTCTTCCTTTGCTAATTACTTACTATCCTCTGTTTCCCCAACCGATCTCTTGATCTATCAAAATCCATAATAGATCTTTCCCTCTTGGTTGTTATTGCTAAAACACCTCGACGCAAAGCACCAATGCCGCAGACGCCAGATAGTATGTTCGCGGACAAGGGATATGATGGCTGGGAAAACCTGTCACCAAGAGAAAAAGTGGAACGAATGATGGAGATACACAAAAGTGGACATGAAGGGGAAGATGTAAGTTGACCCATACTTTCCAGATCCCAAAACGATTTCTTTTAACCACACACCACCAAGTTCATATCACGACACTACTCGAGTGTGCCTCAACTGCAACTTCCACAACCACTTGTAATCTGTGTTCTTACTTTGCTGATACAACTCAATTATAGCGATTCAGTTCTGCTCTCTATAACGGCACCTCTACCACACCTCCTTTATCTCTAATCTCAGTAACCACACCATCCCCAACAACCGCCTTGATATCCTTCACCTACATACCTCCCTCTTTCTACGCAAATCCCCTCGGAAACCTTCACGGTGCAGCACACTCTCTCATCTACGATAATTGCACCACCCTAGCCCTCGCCGCCATCGCTACACCAGGATTTTGGATGTTGGGTGGGGTGAGCAGGGTACTGGATGTCAAATATGTGAGAGGACTTAAAGTGGGCGAGGAGGTGACGGTGGAGTGTGAAGTCGTGCATGTGGGGAGGCAGGCGGCGGCGTTGAGGGGGGTTATTAAGGATAAGGATGGGAGGGTTGCGAGTACGTGTGAGCATGACAAGACGAATATTGATCCGCCGGTAGAGCGCAAGGCCAAGTTGTAGGATAAGATGGCGTGCTTAGATGAGAGGTACAGTTGACACACAGGCTTGCTTGCGGGATCTGAGGACAAAACCCCATTGTGTGTCTTTCAGAGGTACTTGAGGTTGAAAACAAATGGTATCTCTTGCATTTCGCTTTCCGGCCAGCAACTTTTGCGGTGGATGGTGATTATAAAAAAGTATGTCTATGAAATGACGATGTAGAAGGGTAAGAAATCGTGATTCTTAGATGGTGTTGCCGTTCTCGTCAATCAGGGACTCCTCGGTCTTGATGGGACCGGGACCAACAGAGGTAAGGATGACTCTGCTGACACCCTCCTTCAGACGGTCTGCAGCGACTTGTGAATCCTTGGGTGTGCCGGCAGCCTCGACAGACTTGCCGCGAGCGCCCTCCCAGCCTTCCTTGTCACCCAGAACGGACTTAAAGACACCAGCGACCTTGGCTTCATCGTGAGCCTGGTAGTAGACGACAGCGTTCGGGCCGGCGTCGAAGGTGTATGCGGCGATTGTCTTGCCCGCCTCGGAGTTGATCATGTCGACCATACGGATGGCGGCGCGGGAAGTGTCGTTCATGTAGAAGATCGGGGGTTCGGTGTCGAGGCAGGTGGCGTGGAAAGAGTTGCTGTCCTTCATGGTGAGACTGGCGAAAGCAGCAAAGTCCTTGTCGGCAACAGCCTTCTCCATCTCTTGCATGCGACGGGGAACGGTGTTGGTGATACGCTCGTTGAAGAGGGTCGAGGTAGCAACAGTTTGCTGCATACCAGAAGTGCTGCTGACGTCCTTTTTCTCTGCGGAAGCAACAAGAATGACAGCACGCATGTCTGACCAGTGCTCTGCAGGGGCAACCTCAACAGCAACACTGTCACTTCCATCCTTCTTCTCGCCCATCTGCCATGCAACGTAACCTCCGAAAAGACTGCGGCACGCTGAGCCAGAACCTTGTCTTGCGATACGGCTCAATTCTGTGGGTGTTGACTTCAACTCGTAGAGGTTGGCAATGGCGCGAACAAAGGCAGCGAAGCCAGCGGCGGACGAAGCCAGACCGGCAGCAGTGGGGAAGTTGTTGCGCGAGACAATCTTGAGAGGCAGCGAAGAGAGCTTGGGGGCAGACGAATCCGACTCTTCGACTTCACGACGCAGAGTACGGAGCTCGGCCAAACAGGCCTGTGTGCGGGCGCCCGAGATGTCCTGGTCGGAGCCATTGAGTGTGAGGGAGTCCTTGGAGTATTGGCTGCTGCATGAGGCAGTTGTGTGGGTGCGAAGGTCGTCTTGCGACAACGTTACGGACAGCGAGCTGTTGGTAGGAAGGTTGAGTTTGGCATCGCGCTTGCCCCAGTACCTGCATTGTGTTAGCCATTGGACTGGTTTCCTTGTTGAGGCAGAACTCACTTGATTACGGCGATGTTGACAGGAGCAAATGTGCTCGCACGGTATACCTTGTTGTCCGACATGATGTGTGTTGTGATATGGAAGAATCTTGCTCTCAAATGTTCGACAAGAAGGCTTCAATTGAGTTGAGATTACTCGTACGAGTGTCTCGGTCTCAATAATTTCCCCCTTCTGTCTCGCGTTCCTGCCGATCTGCACCCTCGCGCCTTCCCCTTTTGGGCCAGGGCGGTAAGCGGCTAACCCACACGTTTACCCCGGTTAATCTACTTCCTTCCCCGAGGTCATGCTTCTTGACTGCCATCTCAACATATCAGGTAGGCCATATAGCTAGCTCTTGCCTTTTGTATTACCAATCCTCCGCTTCTTTCTTTGCCCTTTACAACCATGTCTGATCTCGAATTGTCCTATGCCGGTGCCGCTCCTCCAACTCTTCCCACAGCCAACATCTTCGACTTCATCTTCTCAAATCCTCTGCGAAGGAATGGCCCTGTCGCTCAATATGCTCCAGATGCTGAATGTCGTAATCATGCCATATCTCACATAGCTCCACACAAGCCTCTGCTTGTAGATCCTCTCTCATGTGAGTACACGTCGAAACCTTTCTTGTTGCCTTTACCAACATCATACAGCTGCTCAAATTAGTTGGGAAAGAGTACGACTTAACTCACTCCGTATCGCGGCTGGACTACATGCCCTGGGCTTGCAGCCCGCTCCTGCTGTACCTCTGTCCTCAACTGGTCACACTGCCATCATCTCCCCTGTTGTACTGCTACATCTCCCTAACTCTCTGGCCTTCGCCCCTTTGCTTTTCGGTGTACTTGCCTCAGGCTTGACTGTGACTATGGCCAACCCCGGTTTGACTTCAGGCGAGCTGGCTTGGATTTTGAAGTCATCAGAACCTCAGGTCGTCGTGACCACTCCAGAAGGTCTACAGGTCCTCAATGCAGCCATCATGGAGAGCGAAAGCCCAAAAGTCAAGGCTAACCTGATCAACACACATCGTGTTTATGTTGTTGACCCTGCACATGATGAATATGGTCTCCCATGTGCGTTCTCTAAGGGTACCAATCTGGATCAGCACACACAAGATTGGAAGGCATTACTGGCATCTCAGCCGCTGGAAAGCCCTGTTCAGTTCAAACCTAATGAGTACAAAGACCGGACGGCAGTTATCCTCTGGTCATCTGGAACATCTGGAAAGTCAAAAGGCGTAGTATTGTCTCACCAAGCTCTCGTCAGCAACGTGCACTCACTCTGGCATATCAATCAGGCGTTTGACGAGAACCAACGCTGGCTCGGCTTCGCTCCCTTCTACCACATCTTTGCACTTTGCAACGTCTTGCTTCTTGCAGTTGCATCTGGAGCCACCATCTTTGTGATGCCCAAGTTCGATCCTAAGCTTATGCTCAGCCACGTGCAACGCTTCCGCATCACCTTCTTACACATGGCACCTCCGGTCGCTGTGTTGCTCGCCAAATCGCCCATGTTGGATGCATATGATATGACAAGTATCCAAGGTGCCGTCAGTGGAGGTGCTCCTCTACCATCAGAGATCGTAGAGCAAGTATACCGAAGACTAGGCATATTGATCAAGCTAGTGAGTCAAGTTGTGTTGCAGCTTTGCTTCCTCCGCTGACAATCTCAATCAGGGCTATGGTCTATCGGAAGCAGGTTCTGTATGTAACCAGGTGGGTGAGACTTGGGAAGTCATCCAACCACAACTCGGCAACACCGGCGTACCATGCTTTGGTATCGAGCTAAAGATCGTGTCGGTCGATGACCCTACTAAGGTCGTGGCAAAGGGACTCGAAGGTGAAATTTTGATCAGGTTAGTCTGAGTGACTTACTATTTGTGGACCACGAGACTGATACACGACGAACCAGATCTCCAACAAACATGACCTGCTACCTCAACAATAAGGCTGCGACAGACGAAGCCTTGGACAGCGAAGGCTGGTTCCACACTGGAGATGTAGGCAAGATCGATGACCACGGGCACCTCTGGATCACCGATCGTCTGAAGGACGTGATGAAAGTCAAAGGCTTTCAAGTCTCACCTTCCGAACTCGAAAACATCCTGTGCGGTAGCCCATCCGTTGCTGACGCTGCTGTGTGCGGTCTTTTCGACGCTGGGCTGGCGACAGAGCTACCAAGAGCATATATCGTCCCTTCTTCGAAACACTTGGTGGACCAATGCACGCCCAATGGTCCCATAACTCCGGAGCTCCAGGTCCTTGCTAAGGAAGTCAAAAAGCTAATGGAGAGCAAGACTGTGCGGTATAAGTGGTTGACGGGTAATGTTGTGTTCGTGCCTGCAGTGCCGAAATCGCCGAGTGGAAAGATTTTGAGGCGTATGCTTGTGGGAGTTCAAGGTGTTGAGGTGAAATTGTACTTGAGCAGGGCGGAGAAGGCGAAGTTGTAGTATGTAGCCAACAATGACACATCTGCTTGTGAGCGCATACGATGAACAAGAGATGTTGCATCTCCATTCACCAACTCGTGTTGCACTTTGTGGGAAGCATTACCATTGATCACACACTCGAACGCAACGCCATCGGAGGGACGAACATAGGCGACATCCCAGTAACTGCTTCCGATCGCATAACCATAGAAGGTCGGCATCAATCCATCTGGTGAGATCTTCATCCATCCCACGTCGTGTAACTTGCAGCCCTCTACCTCCACCTCGTTCTCGTCGAGTGGGTCTTCATCTTCTTCGTAGCCTTCAGCTTCGCGGTCGAAGGTTGCTGGGTCATATTCATCCCAAGACCAGCCTGAGTCAGCTCTGATGAGATTGACATAGCCTTCCTTCGATCTGTCTTCCGTGGTCGTTGCCGGGCTGGCTAACTGTCGAGAAGATCTTCGTCACTGTCGGATGCTCGTTCGAGTTGGGCGTTTTCAAGAACCCATTTCCTAAATCTGCAACGAACTTCGGTCTTGCTTGCGGCTTCTAAGGTAGGATCCTCGATGACCGGAAGATCCAAACGGTCGATCATACCCGTTTCGATGCCGTCACTCTTGATGGAGTCGATAGTGCGTGTTTTGATATGCTCCATAAGCTGTGCCCAGGCCTCGTCATCGTCGTAAGTACATCTGTAGACAACAAAGCCCCACTTCTGGATACCGTAGCGATTGTGGGCATATGCAAGGCGCTTGGTGGCATTTGCGCTCAGCAAGTCTGACATGGCAGGATGGATTTGAGTGTGAAGCATGCTTTTACTGATGGGCCTGGATCGGTGCGTGCGCGAAAAGATGATTCTGGGTATTTTGCTTGTTGTGGTCGAACAAGCACTTCTCAAGAGTATGCTTGCTTGCATTGCCGAGGAGTGCGACTGGGGTTTGCAGTGAGTAGATATTTGATCCCAGCCAAGTAACATGTTAATTGTACCTTTGGGATATGTTAGCGACTTTCTGACAAATTTGACTAGAGTGACGTGGTTTGAAGTGAGCAAACGCACCCAGTTCATCGCTTTGAGTGATAGAGATATGTGAGCTTTCACGCGGCCTTTACAGACTTGATCCCTCTCAGCTCACTTAAGACATAGATCGATGAGTAAATCTACTCCTTGATCTCCACATAATTGAAGTGTACAGGTTGAAAGAGAAGATTGAAGTTAAGTGAATATCACAGACAGGGTCTCCCAAGTAGCGCACATCCGTCTTTTGCCGATATCGGCCGGCCGGACAAAACGCGTGAGCGCGTCAAGTCAAGTTGAGAGAAACGAACTTTTGACTTCTATCCTCCAGTGACACTCCCAATTCACCTCAAGTCTTCTGTGAAACTGTCAAGCTCGAGAGATCAACATTTGGTGACCACCTTCAGGGTTCCACTTGATCAAGGTTCAGCATTATGGCAACTCCGCAACGCGATTCTATGCACGATTCTCCCTGGCATTGAGATGATGTTCATCCTCAGCAAAGATCGTCTCTTTCCACCCAGCAATGCTCTAGAAGCGATGAGGCATCGAGAATGCCGACTCGATGAAAACAGAAGTCAGGCCGTACGAGCGTAGTTCCATCACGGGAAAGTCAACACAGATTGGATCAACCTTCTAGATCGCAGGACCGGCAACGCAACATTCCTTGCTTGCGCAACGGACCGTATGGTACCCAGCCCTGGGATTGTTCAAGTAAGTCAGTGGTATCTCCCGATCTCATATCGCTAGGAATGCAGGTACCGAGCCTCTGCATTCCAAGGCTCCCCTGTCAACAACTATCGGTCGATATGACTTTGTCTTCCCACCTTTCGTTTCGTCGTTCTCGTAACCGCGTTCTCATCCGTATTCTGTCGCCAACATGGTGTCTTTGCGGGCGACCACGCTCTTTTTTTCGTTAATTTCTTCATCTCTGGCACAGAATCTTAATGGTTTATGTTCTGGCAGTGTAAGCACGACCAATTTCACAGACTCTTGCGGTGGTCAATGGACTGTCTACTGTAACGCCGATGCTTCTCCTTCTTCATACGGTACCATCAACAATGTCGCCAGCTTCGGCGAGTGCATGAGCCTTTGCAGCAATGACAATGCTCAGAACCGTTGCGACACCGTCACATACACTGGGACAACTTGTTACTTGAAGAGAGGATTCCGCAATATTGTTCGACCTTCAAATGCAAACAGTGCAACTGTATTCTACCCGGTTCCTGCCTATCCCGCCCCAGTCACGAATGGATTAGCCCGAAGCTCTGGCTGCGGCCAACCACTGAACTCCCAGATCGTAGCCGGCGGAGCAAGCACTCAATTCTCTGCCACAGGCGCCGATGGATACGTGCGTACTTACAATGTACACGTTCCTTCAACCTACGACCCGAATAAGGCAGCACCGCTTATCATGGCTTTCCACGGCAGAGGCGACAGCGGGTCTGCTATGGAGAGCAACAGTGGACTATCTATTGAAAGAATCAACCCATACGGTATCTCTGTGTATCCTACCGCGATCAAAGATCAAGATCAACAAAACACCTGGCAGGGAGATCCGAGTTACGCCACCAACAGGACTGTCGACGATATTGGCTTTGTAAGAGCTCTGGTCACCAACATTTCGGCTCAGTACTGCGTTGATACAAGCCGTGTCTTCGCTGCTGGTATAAGCAACGGTGGTGGATTCGTCAATGTGCTTGCTTGTGACCCGGTCATGTCTTCAGTGTTCAACGCGTTTGCACCTCATTCCGGAGCTTTCTACACTTCGACAGGCGACTCGAACACAGTGTGTTTCCCGAACACGGTCCTGACAAACGACCTGGTACACACTACCTGTAGTCCCTCAAGACGCGTTCCGATGATTGAATTCCACGGTGACGCTGATGGAACGATCGGCTACTTTGGTGGCGGCCGCAGAGGTTACTGTCTGCCGGCTATTCCTCACTGGACACAGGACTGGGCCATACGCAACAATTTGACAAGCGATAACGTTACCACCGTGACGAACGGCGGAAACCTCACCAGATATGAGTTTGGTGCTGCAAGCGGATACCCAGGTCTGGTCACTCATTTCCGTCTCGCAGGTTGGAGTCATACATACTCCTTGGGTGCCAACGGCGGACCAATCGATTCAGCTGCGTTTTCATTGAACTTCTTCTACAGATGGACCAACCCTAATGGCCCAACTCAGGACTACCTGGCGCCAATCTACACATCGACTGCAAGCAGTAGGGTCTCGTGTCCCTTTACAGTCACGCAGACAACCACCACCACCACGACTACTAGCTCCAGCACTAGCTCCAGTTCTCCCATCATCACTTCAGCCAGCTCCTTGGTCACTGCTGGGTCTAGCAGCGGTTCTGTGGCAACATCTGCGTCAGCCGTGGCGGCTGGAGGACCTAGCTCAACCCTCAATGGTTACCCGGTATATACAGACCCGCCAACCTGTCCTAACAGTAACGGTACATATTACTACGACCCGTACGTTGGCGATCGTGTCAATGGTCTCTACTACTTCATCATGTGCGGATACGATATTCAACCTGTGCAGAACACAATTATTGGCCCATCAACGTTCCAACAATGCTTTGCTACCTGCGATGGACGACCCGACTGTACCTCATTCACGTTCCACGCAAACCAATGCTACATCAAGCGAGTAAATGGACCTTACATTTCTTCCGGTGGTGATTACATCCAGGCATCTCAGAACCCTGTCAGAGGCAACCTTGTAACAGTCACTGGAGCTACGACCACGCGAACTACGACCACTACCACAACAACTTCTTCCAGTGCGACAATATCGAATACAGGTGTACCTTCCGTTGTCTCGAGTTCAGGCAGCAGTCTCACAGGCAGCTCGACTACCAGCGCGGCTACTGGTATCGTGTCCCAAGCAAGTTATTCTTGTCCTGCCAATGATAGACAGCAAGTGGTTGACAGCAATGGCTTTATCTACACGATAGGCTGCAACTCCGATAGTACAGGTGGTGGTACCTTGACTGGCAGTGCCAGGAGCTTCAACGATTGTTTCGGTTATTGCGACCAGACCGCGGGATGTAATGGCTTCACCTATAATGGAAATTGTTACTTGAAACTCAATTTCAACAACATCGCCTTCCAATCGGCCACAGATGGTCGCATGGCTGCTATTAGGCAAGTCCAAGCAGCCGGCTTTACAACAACCGTCACCACCTCGACTTCGAGCTCTTCTTCGTCCAGCATTGCTCCATCCGTGGCAAGTTCGTTGTCCAGTGCTTCTTCAAGCTCACTTTCCAGTCTTTCCAGTCTGTCTTCGAGTGCTTCATCGGCTTTGTCGTCATTCTTCAGTCTCACATCGACGGCTTCGAGTTTATCATCAAGTTCGGTGTCAAGTTCCTCGTCAGTTCTATCATCGAGCTCATCATCTTCGTCCACCGCTGGCTCTTCCTCCGCAAGTTCGCTGTCGAGTTCTGTATCAAGCCTGTCATCGAGTGCCTCGTCTCTTTCAAGTTCTTCGTCAAGTCTGGTCTCGAGTTTGTTGTCGTCGTCCACACTTGGCTCTTCTTCAGCAAGCTCCCTATCGAGTTCTGCTTCGAGTTTGTCATCAAGTGCCTCTTCGGCTCAGTCATCTATCTTGAGTTCCTCGTCATCGAGCGTGAGTGCTTTGTCGAGCCCGGTCTTGAGTTCCTCGTCAGTCGTTGGTTCGTCTTCGGCAAGTTCACTATCAAGTGTTGCCTCGAGCTTATCTTCAAGTGCCTCATCAGCCCTTTCCTCTATTTCAAGCTCATCTCTGAGTGCTTCCTCGAGTCTGGTATCAGTCTCATCGTCGATCGTCGGCTCTTCATCGTCAAGCTCGCTTTCAAGCATATTTTCCAGTTCTGCTTCGGTCCTGTCTTCGAGCGCTTCTTCGGCTCTGTCATCTGTCATCAGCTCATCATCCTCATCTTCGAGCCTTGTATCATCGTTGTCAAGCGTTGTACCAATCTCTAGTGTTTCGAGTAGCTCAACATCCAGTGCGTCTGCTGCGGCTATCTCCCAAGCCAGCTATTCTTGCCCTGCCAATGACCAGCAACATGTCATCGACAACCTGGGCTTTGGATACACTATCGGCTGCGGAAACGACACGACTGGTGGTGGCTCTAATGCTGGAACACAACCGGACTTCAATGGCTGCTTCGCTCTCTGCGATAATAGGGCAGGATGTGTTTCTTTCTCGTACACCACTGGAACACGTCTCTGTTATTTGAAGCTTAACGTGAACAACGTGCGATTCACTGTAGCATCAAATGCAAACAATGTGGCCGCCATCAGAGATACGATCTCTCCTGGATCTAGCTCCAGCTCTTCGGTAGCTGGTGCAGCGGCATCCAGCAGCTCTTCAGTAGCCGGCGCAGCACCTTCAAGCAGCTCCTTGACCAGTGCGCTACAACAAAGCAGTACATCGTCCAGTGTGGTGCCGTTGAGTAGTTCCACGTTCAGCTCTTCCTCCAGCTCAACGGTGCCGTCTGTAATTGCAGTGTCGACAAGCAGTAGTGTAAGCCGTAGCCTCGCAGGCAGCTCAACGTCAAGCGCAGCCACAGGCCTAGTCTCACAGGCAAGCTACTCGTGTCCAGCTAACGACAGGCAACGTGTAATTGATAACTACGGTGCTGAATACACCATAGGATGCAGCTCGGATACCACTGGTGGCGGGACCTTGACCGGCAATCCAAGTAGTTTCAATGACTGCTTCCAGTACTGCGATGCTACCCCTGGCTGCAATGGCTTTACGTACTCAGGCAACTGTTACTTGAAACTCAACTTCCCCAACATAGCCTTCGAACCTGCAACAGATGGTCGCGTAGGTGCTATTAGAGCAGTGCAGGCTACCGGGTTTGCGACGACTACTACAACTACAACGTCAGCAAGCTCGAGTCGTGCAGCTTCCCCTCTCTCGTCCTCCAGCAGCTCAGTCGCGAGCGTTGTTTCTAGTTCAGCATCTAGTCTGTCCTCCAGCGTCTCATCAGCGGTGTCGTCTGTCGTGAACCCTGGCACGACCGCTGTCTCTTCTTCTTCAGCCATCTTGAGCTCACTATCCTCCTCTGGAAGCTCGCGTGCAAGTGTTGTTTCTAGCTCGGTTTCCAGTCTGTCGTCCAGCATTTCCTCGGCAGCAGCAACGAGTTCTCTGTCTTCTGCTAGTAGCTCGCGTGCAAGCGTTATCTCTAGCGTTGCGTCGAGTCTGTCGTCCAGTCTATCATCCAGTCTTGTCTCGCCAGCCTCGTCAGCCGCAGCATCTTCAGCTGTGATGACCTCAGTCGGTGCTGCCTCGTCTGTTTCTTCGCCAAATGTGATCTCTTCCAGCCCACGATCCAGCGCTGCCGCCTCCAGCACCATCTCGAGCTCGGCAGTCACTACCACCGAAGTTGCACCTACGACCCAACCCACTTTGGAAGTCTCCAACGAGCCTCTGCCGACTTGTGGCGGTTCAAGTGTGAACTCGACTGATCAATGCGCTAGTGATTCAGGCACTGTCTACGCTGTTACTGGTGGCTACGCCTATGTTGGCGAGACATATGACACTTCGAGCGTAGTACTCGATGACGATGGCAACGAGGTTTCCAGACCGGCTCTGTCCAAGCGTGCTTACGCACCCACCCTTCGAGCTTGTCTTGCTTATTGCGATCGTACGACTGGCTGCGCGGGAACAAACTACTTCGCTAACAATGGTACATGTACCCTGTTCAGCAGGATCACTGGTGCCACTCCTGACCCCAACTCTTCCTCCGCCATCTTTGTCGCCACTCCTGAGGAGGCTGCATCGTCCAGTTCCCAGTACGAGGCTACTGCCACCCTGCCACCTTCAACTGCGTCTACGCTTGCCTCCATAACAGCTTCGCCGAGCACATCTTCCAGTCTTGCTCCTTCCTCGACCATCACAGGACCTTATTGGACGAGTACAGCTACACCGCTTTGTCCTGCTGCCGATGGGACATACTACACCGACTCTAACAACGCTCTCTATCAAATCAGATGTAATTCTGATTCAGAGGGTAATCTAATTGCGTCTGTTGGAACCAACAGCAGAGGCATTAGGGGATGTATGGAAGCTTGTGACAGTACCACTGGCTGTGTGGCTTTCAGCTATTCTGCAGACGACACCCGAACACAAGGCACCTGCTATCTCAGGTCAGCTCTGAACCGGGTCGTCAGTGGAGCTAGCGATAGCCTCAGCGTTGGTATCTTGGTCCGTGCCGCTTCTCCGTCTTCGAGCCCCTCCAGCAGCAGGTCGACCTCAAGCGAGATCTCGTCTGGACCAGCTGCTCAAAGTAGCAGCACAAGATCCTCCGCATCAGCAGCTCCAAGTCTGACGTCTTCGTCATCGTCCCGTTCAAGCAGCGTTTCGAGTCGTTCAAGTTCCAGTGTGGCTCCCGCGGTATCTCAGGCCACCTACTCTTGCCCTGCCAACGACCAGCAACGTGTCGTTGATAGTTACGGAGCCGTGTACCGTCTAGGCTGCGGAAACGATACTAACTCTGGTGGCACTTCCGCTGGAGCCCAGCCAGATTTCAACGCTTGCTTTGCCCTCTGCGATGCTCGTCAAGGTTGTGTTGCCTGGAGCTTCAACGCCCAGAAACGCTGTTTCCTGAAGCTTAATTTCGCAAACCCCCAATTCACTGTGGGAGATGTTGGAAATGTTGCTGCCATTAGAGAGGGTGTATCACCTGGGTTCAGTTCGATTAGCACGACAATGCTCAGTACTACTGGATCTGCTGCCGCGAGTTCGATCGTTGGCGGTTCCTCTTCGATCGCTGCGGCATCTTCTTCTACGTCTTCTCGGCCATCTTCAGCCTCAAGCTCATCCGCCAGCGCGTCAAGTTCTACCTCGCCGGGATCTTCTTCGATTGGATCAAGTGCCAGACAAAGCAGCACGACCCGATCTGATACTCGTATTCCTATCACGCCTTCACCTTACAGCACTTACAATCCCAGCGCCTCGAGCTCCGCCACTGCCACATACCTTACCAAAGAGGCTGCACCTCCTTCTTGCACACAACCTACATGCCCTGCAATCGACGATCAACTCTGTACCGATGCAGACGGCAAAGCATACGTGCACAAGTGTGACACTGCAGTCACAGGTGGTACTGTGATTGTTCCCAGCACTGGTGGCAACTCGAAACGTGATGCTGAGCTTCTCATGTTCGATGACATGATGATGACAATGTACTCGGAAGACGAAGCTGATATTGGCTTGAAGAAACGCCAGACCACCACACAGCAAGCGGCCTTCCAATCATGTCAATTGCAGTGCGACGACTTGAGCTACTGTCGAGCCATCGCTTACGATCTCAATACGAATAACTGTCAAATGTTTGCCCAAGTTTCTGGCACAGGTTACTCGCCTGGTGTCCTCTATGCACAGCGTGCTCCAGCCCGTGATGTGGTCAGTGGCCCTGTCACCTCGACTATCTACAGCACAGACATTACGACAGTGACTTCGTGTGCGCCAGGAGTCCAAAGTTGTCCGGCCAGCTCGACGGTTGTATCGACTTCACTCGTCCCTGTCAGCGTCACAGTCTCTAGTGCTGCTCCAACAGCAACGGTAGATTACAGAAGCTATTGTGGTGGATATTTCTCCGACTCGCAGACCCCGTCAAACAACTACAGTGTTGATTGCACCAGCGGTTACACCACCGCTAGTATCTCGACAGTCACTTCTGTCCGCAATTTGAACGTATGTGTCAACATCTGTAGCAGTACGGCCAATTGCTTGGGTGTTACTTATATTGAGAGTGGACCAAATGCCAGGACCTGCGGGCTTTCCAACGCGAACGATTTATCATCGACCACTCCGTTCCCTGCCGGCACTGTTGGATACCGAGCAACAAGACTTACGAGCCCTGGTGGACCTTTGACAATCACCAGATACAGCACTGATATCACGACGGTGACTTCATGCTCTTCAGGAGTGCAAAGTTGTCCTGCGAGCTCAACGGTCGTGTCAATCTCGTTGGTTCCCATCGGTGTCACTGTTGTCTCCAGCACTAGTACTGCAGCTTCATCATCTTCATCATCATCATCATCATCGTCTGTGCAGGTACCTGTAACGAGTACAATTTACAGCACTAGTCTGACGACTATCACTTCCTGCTCTCCTGGAACACCGAACTGCCCGGCAAGCTCGACGATAGTTTCCACTTCGCTCATCTCCATTGGAACGAGCATTGTGAGTATCAGCTCCCCTATCGTCGGTACACCGATCGCAACTTCTACTTCGACAACAAGTTCCTCGACTTCGTTGAGTAGTTCCAGTGGTGGTCGCTCAGGCACTGCATCTACTGTAAGCTCCAGCGCTGTGGGTGTTGTCACTTCAACGATCTACAGCACCGATATCACGACCATCACATCGTGCTCTCCCGGTGTCTTGAGTTGTCCGGCTAGCTCGACTGTGGTATCTACCTCGCTTGTTCCGATTAGTGTCACCGTCTCGACCGTCTTTACCGAATTCTCAACTTCTTGGTACACATCTTGGTCTGGTACTCCGTTCTCCACGGCCTCGTCGACGGCATACTCTTCAGGATTCTCGACCGCATTCTCGACTGCATTCTCCTCTGCTTACTCGTCTGCTTTCTCTTCTGCGTTCTCATCTGCTTATTCCTCCGCGTTCTCGAGTGATTTCTCCTCCGCATTTTCTACGGGCTTCTCGACGGCATTCTCGACTGGAGGATCAACTGCTTTCTCTACTGGTGGTTCTACCGCGTTCTCCACTGCAGTATCCAGTGGAGCATCATCTGCAGCTTCTTCCGCGGCATCCTCGGTGGCGTCAAGCGCTGCTTCTTCATTCGCCTCGAGCGCAGCTTCCTCGGCAGCGTCTTCGTATGCATCCAGTGCAGCATCCTCAATCGCTACTTCCGGCGGTACTTCTTATGCCTCTTCCACGGCAGCATCTGGTGTCGCTCCAACTTTAACACCAAGTGGCACCACTGATGGTCGCTCTGGCACCGCATCATCTCCGATATCAACATCAACGTCGACCTCGACATTCTACACTGGTCCTAGTAAGTTTCCTTCCACAACCAAATCCGAAACCACACTAACGTATGTTCTAGTAACAATCACCGTACGCCCCTCGACTTGCCCTGCCCTCAAGACCCTGACAACCACTGTCTTCACAACCGGCTACGTCAGCTCATGTGCACCCGATGTCGTCTGCAGCTCCAGCCGCACCCTCTAGAAATTGCCCAGTGCTTGGAATTTCCAGATTTTGATATTTATGGTCCTCATGCAAAGATGTTGGGAGTAGAAGTAGTAAATTGATAGCCCTTGTTTCAACTTTTTCTCTTTTGTTTTCGTTTTCTGGGGCTTTTTTTGATGGGTCATGAGGATAAAATGTAATCTGGATTATGTAGAGTATGAGAAATGATTTTTCCTTCCAGTTGTTGGTGTGATGTTTGGTGTTGGTGAGGACTTTGAGTGAGGTTGATGTTGAGCATATGCTGACTCTGGCTTTCCTTGCGGAGTGTGGTACTATTTATCAACATTCACGGTGTGATTGAGAATCTAGAGCGGGGCTGTTGAGAGCTTGAATCATTTGCTCTCTCACTGGACCCTTTCCAGATATTCAATGACATTGTGCCTTCCGATGTCTAGATTCTTGAGAGCATTTGGTGCTTGCGATAGCTGCGTACGTAGAGAAGCAAATTCCACATGCTTGATCTCAGCTCCTATCGTAACGTCTCAGTGTGAATTTGGTTACTCAAATGGAAGACTGGTTGATAGCTTATGTATTGCTCATCGACCAAAATTTATTTGTCTTCTTCCAAAATACATCCTACAGACCCAATTGTCTGCACTTTCAACATAGAACGTCTCAACCTCACTTAATTTCAAAGCTTCGAAGTCCTCAAAGTACCATTCTTCTTCGCCACAAAAGTGGCAATCGCATCCATCAAACCAGGACTCAACGCATCATAAGTCTCCAACCCTACGCCCTTCAACTGCCCCCTCACTCCCTCCATATCCTCAGGCGCCACAAGCCCCTGCTCAACCACACTGCTAACGAACGCCGCGAATTGGGGCTCCTGCCAGCCCTCCTCTCCACTCAACTCCACATGCACGAAATCCAATCCTTTAAACGCATGCTCGATTTCAATTCTTCCAAACATGTGGACGCCGCAGGATTTGCACGCGTGACGTTGGATGGGTGCGGAAGCATCGACGATGTGGAGTTTGGAGGCGTTGGCGGTGATGGAGAGGTTGGAGGTGGGGATTACGCCGACGATGGAGAAGATCGCCGAAGAGGGTTTCCAGCATTTGGAGCAGCCGCAGGCGTGGTTGTGGAGGACGTTTGAGGAGAGCGAGACGGTGACCTTTTCGGAAGGGCAGTGGCAGGAGAGGGTGCCGCCGGAGAAGGACTCGGAGCCTTTCTTCAATCCATTGTCGATGAGGGGGTGGAGCTTGAAAGACATGATCGACAATTGAGGTTGAAAGATGGGGTTGTCCTCTGTATTTTGTTTTGGGGATGAATTGAGGAAGGGAGAGGAGGAAAGGAAGCAGCGGATGAGACGCTCTTTACCTACTCTTGTCCATTGACCCGGAAGCGACTTCTCTAATTGTTCCTATGGATCTAGCACGCAATACAATACCCATATTACTGCCTTATCTGTGGTGGAAAGAGCTTCCAAGGGTTGCGTACCTATGTAGAGAGGTGGAGAAGGCGGGGGTTGCTTTGCGAAGGATGTGAGAGCTGCTCTCGGAAACAATAACCGAAAGAGGCATCGGAAAAGACCCCGATTGATTATGTTCATAACTTTCAATAATCTTCACAAAAGATTGTTGGATTTTGTGTATCCTAATGCATTTCTTGCATGTCTAATTATTTCTCATAGCATTGGATCGCAAGCAGCTCCAACACTATTCCATTCTGGGAACAATTGTTCTGGGAAGAGGTCACCCATGTCAACGAGTAGATCCCCACCGAGTCCATTCCACCAATCCGTTGGTATAAGTTCCTGGCTCACAGAACTGGCTTGAGCCGTGTGGATGTACTTTTCTAGCTGCTGAGAGAAGATCTTGGACAGAGTTGTGTACAGAGATGCTGCAGATGATTCTGGGAGCACTCGTGTGATAGATTCCATATGCATGGCCACAGCACGTACTTTGGCGGCTGCAGTCTCGATGACATCGGGTGGTAGGCATCCGCGGGTGGTAGCCTTGAGTATCAATTAGCTTAAATAATCTCTCCCGCAAATGAGCTGGTTAGGGTACTCACAAACAGAATCTCGCTGCAAGCATGGCATATCATGATGAACTGGTTATTGTGGGTGCCATACATGTGCCTTAGCAAGACTGGGTCAGAAAGCACCAGGTCCAAAGACCTGCAGGCAACTTCTACCGTCTGTCGGAAGATCCTACATGGGTTGGCCATAGTCTCCACAGCGTTAATACCGACAAGATCTCTCAGGGCGTTGGCGTTGAACACCAGGATACTGTGGTCCACAAAGGAGGCGAGTATGGGCAAGTACTCTGCAGACGGTGATATATCTGACGCATTGTTAGATAGGCATCGTTTTGCACGAAGAGCCTCGAGAGCTTCGAAACCTCGCGATTGCCAGTTCGCTATCGAGTCTCTGGTTTTGTTCATATTCTCTCTTTCCTCAAGGTATTGCATCTGCGACAGGGTACATTAGCTTCGAGGTCTAGACAAACAATTAGCGCTGGTTCGTTCTAACTCACAAGAAGAACACGCATCTCCACAACTCCACTGATGATACGATCGAAGGGACATGCTAAAGGTTTCTGCCACCACTCAGAGATGGTTTCTGAGACTTCCGTTCTACCAACGTTCATGACACGTCCAGTGACGATGCCGAAGCTCTTTTCTGCAAAGAAGGCAGCAAGCCAGGTCCGCTCAAAGTTCCTTCGAAATCTTTCCTTGAAATCTGAGCTCGCCGTAGCAGAGGTGTACGATTCGACTAGATCATCTATTGGCTTTGCTCTGTTGAGTCCCAGCTCTCTGGCTAGCAAAATAGCCTTTGGCTCATGTCAGCGTGCTATATTGTAGAAATTCGGGTCTCTTACATGACTTAGGTGTAACCAATACGGATCATCTTTTTGCTTCTCGTACGCAGGTGACCAATACTCCATGGTGAAGATAGCCTGAATGGTCTCTACCGATTTTACTGATGCTGCTATCGACCATTTAATGTTACTCTCTGCCAATGCGAAGAGAGCAGGATACAATAATCGGTCTCTGGGCTGATCGGATATTGCACAACCCAGTGCGCAGATAGCAGAGAACAAAGTGAAAGACATCGGTCGAACATTATCCGGTGTATGGAGGATAGGATCCAACAGACACACTAGAGGGTTTCTTATCCTGAAGAATCTAGCGAATGTTGTCAGCCGTGTACTTTCAGTATAACAACGGTAGTGACCGAGCTTACAACTCAAAGTATCTCTCTGCATCTGCATCGTCGATAAGGCGAGAAGAAAGTGGGTCACAGGTCAAGGAGCTGACCCTCAGAACAGAGCTCGAGGACTGTGATGCCAGCACCTGCCAGTCTTTCTGGAAAGATACATTTGGCTCTGAAAAGACATCAAATTAGTATTGGATGGTGGTCTGAAGCTGTTAACGTACTAAAGTATTTGATCAATCGTGCTGTGGAGTCTGAAGAGAGCCATCCACCACCAGTGGTGCTCGACGAAGGCTCATTAGATGACATAATCGCCGGGCTTGGATCTCGAATCTGAAGAGATGCAAGCCTCTCGGTTTCTACTGCGTCGGCGAGAATATGTAAGGGTGATACCAGAGAGCTTCGAGAATCAGTATTCGCCTGATTGAATTCGGCTTGTTGGCCATTCAAATCAATAGCGGTATATGTCCCAGACGCTGCTCCAGTCTCTGTGGAATCATCTTCTGATATTCGTGCGGTGGGTGTGTCCGGAGAAAGCTGAGGAGGTTGCGAGGCTCGGGAAGAGGCTAAAATGGCTGCAATGACTTGATCCCCTACAGGACTCTCATTGATACGCTGCAGAAGTTTCTCAACCGTATCCGGTTTACTGATTGCGTAAGTCAAAGTGATGAGTATTTATACACGAACTTGACTTACTTGACACTCCCTTGTTTTCGGCCTCTGTTCGAGACCGAAGGATATTCGCATATTCGTTGCTGCGAAGTGCATCGCATACTGTAAGAAGATTAGAAGACGTGGTTTTACTAGAGATATCAATACTACCATGGACTTTTGCGATCACATTTTTGTCTCGACGAACGACAGTTGAAACATGCTGTGCGATGCAACTGATGGCGTTCGGCCGCTATCGATCCGATAGAGCGGCTTATCTGCTGTGGAGGCTGCAATAGTTGGTGTTCAGTCATTTTCTGTGATGATAGAGTTTCATGATCTGATGGTTGCGTTGGAAGTTGATGAACATTTTGAGCAGTCACCATTCATCGTGATTAGCAAGAATGTTTAGCGCTAATGGGAACAGCAGGTACGATTCAGAGTTCTTAGGGCTTCTATGTTGAGAACATCTCGCTGGTTGGGAACACATGGCTCAAGACCGAGTTTAGCTGATGAAACTTGGTCCTCTCAAACCAACAATTAGATGTATCTGATCAATTGTATTCTCATCAAGCCCAAGGTAGCGTCTCTTTTTGATTCAATTTTCCCCCAGGCCAAAAGGTTGCAGATCGAACGCATGAATCTCGCATATAATACAGTCTCGTGACCTCTGAGTAGTATGCTAGTCGTACAAGATAGTCCTTCAATATGTCCAAACTCCAGAGCTGCGGCAAAACAGTCTACTTCTTCCCAATCTCAGACTTGACTTCAGCCTCGACTTGTTGCTCCTTGTGCTTGCCCCAAGTCCAGACGTCCCAGATCTGGTCCATGATGATATCGCTCAGACCTTTACCCTCAGCAAGAGCCTTCTGGTCCTCCTCTGCTCTGCGTGCTCTCCAGCCCTCGGGCTTCTCGTTTCCGTAGTATACCTGCTCGAGGATATTTTGCTTGTTTTCCTGAGCGGCCTGAACACCTGAGTTGTCGCCAGCAGCTCTTGCCTCTCTTTGCAGCTTCAATTGACGCTGAAATTCGCGAGCCTTGTCGGTGGGTAGTGATGTGTCGCCCTTGGGTCGCATTTCCTCAGCCTTGCTGCCGCCAATAACTTTCCAAATGCTTTGGCCTTGTGATTCGCGGTATAGGTAGTTTGCTGAGTAGCCAGTCATGCCGATCAGGGAGATTGTGTAGAAGTCTAGTTTGCGCGGTGGTAGGGCAGCGAGGGCTGGGCAGACGACGAGAGCTGCAATGGCGGCGCGGTGGAGAGTGACCTTGTAGCGCTCCGTCTCGTCCACTGTGGGCTGTCGCGTGGGTTCTTGAGGGTGCGACATGTTGTATTGCTTGTTTGTGTGATCGTGTACTTCGTGAGAGATGTGCTGGTATAGTTGGCAATTGGAATGAGATGGTGGTAGAAATTTGGAGGGCCAGAAATTCCATGATCCATCTCGGTCTCGATGACGCGCTTTCACCCGTCACCCGTCACCCGTCACCCGGTCTTCGAGTCCGCGTGCGACCTGCTCCAGACCAACATTTCGTCCTCTCCTCTCAATCCCCTTTCGGTGACAACCATTCTATCCACCTTTTGAATCTCTGTATAGACAGTAGAGAGCAAACATGCCTACCAAAAGTTTGCTACTGGTCTTTATCCACGGCTTCAAAGGAGGAGACCACACTTTCGATGGTACAGTAAACAATCACCCCCGCTACTAGTCATGAACATATAACTCAACAAACATGGTAGGCTTTCCCGATCACTTCAGAACTCTCGTGCAAAATGCCCTGCCAAAGATCAACGTATTGTCCATCGTATACCCAAAATTCGAGACTCAAGGCGATCTATACGAATGCGTGACCAAGTTCCACGGATGGTTACTCGACAAATGCATCGATCTGGAGGTCGCAAACAATACTCCATCCCCTACTGTCGATCCTTCGGTCAGAGTTGTGCTTGTTGGTCATTCAATGGGTGGTATCGTAGCTGCAGAGACATTACTCAGTATCGCTCGCGATCAACCAGTACCTTCAAGCCGAACTTTCTCGTCAACCCAAGACGACTCGGGAGTTGGCAACAAGACAACATCAAACCCTACATCTAAGAACAACAGCACTGTCAGTCTGGAAGTCCCCGAGTCTCAGGCTACTAGATCCTCATCCGCACCTCCTCAAGAGAAGCCGCCAATTCCATCTCAGGACACCGACCCAACTCAGGCTCCAGAGTTCTTATTCCCTTACATCCAGGCTGTCCTAGCTTTCGATACTCCCTACCTAGGGATTCACCCCGGCGTCGTAGCCCACGGCGCAGAAACCCACTACAACAACGCCTCAGCCGCCTACAGCGCCTACAACCAAGCTTCCCAATTTTTCGGTCTCGGCAACTCCTCCAAAACACCGGCTCCTCCTACTAGAGTTCCCGCAGGCGCTCTTCCAGCCCCTGAAGCCGGTGCTTGGGGCAAATGGGGCAAGTACGCAATGTTTGCCGGTGGTGCAGCAGCTCTAGCGGCAGCAGGTGGCGCAGTATGGCAAAACCGCGACCACATCTCCAAAGGCTGGGCATGGGCAGGCGGCCACCTCGAATTCGTCGGCTGCCTAGCCCGCGGCGCCGATCTAACAAAACGAGTGGAAAGCGTAGCCCAACTCAGCTCCTCCCACAAAATCGCCTTTGCCGATTTCTACACCTGTCTGGACCAACAAAAGCTGGGCAAAACGTACTATTCGGAGCAGATTTTGGGAGAGGAAAGAACCTTTTGTGTAGTGCCGAAGGAGGCGAAAGAACAACGAGGTGAATCACCGCTTAAAAAGCGAAAGACTACCAATAATGTTGTGGATAAGAAGCTGAAGTCTAAAGGAACCTGGGTCAAATGCATCAACGAAAAGGCGAATTCGGAAATCGCTGCTCACGTCGCCATGTTTACGCCAAAAGATAATCCCGATTATTACGCCATGGCCGACAGAGCGAAAGTTGTTTTGGTAAAGGCGGTGGATAAGGAGTGGTATGAGAGGTCTGAGCCTACACCTGAAGCGACTCCAGAGCCCGGGACTGACGCTGAGGCCGAGAAAGCTGAGGGTGAGAAGGCCGAGGTCGAGGTTGAGGTCGAGGTCGAAGAAGAGAAGCAGGAGCAGGAGCACTCGAGTGCTGAAGCTACAGAGACTTGATGTTTCATTGGGACGGTGGACTCTTGCATTCGTCATATAGATACCCTTTATTGAATATTCACACAACGACTGACTAGTCTTGGCCGACTTGTCTTGACATAAAGTCTATAGATCAAGGTCAAGAGAAACATGATGAACATGGCACAATGGGATTTACCGAAGAATGTCACAAGCGACCAGAAACATGGTTTAAAGTTCTGATTTGTACCACAAGAAGAAGTCAACATAAGTGCGCAAGAACGAAGAATGGTATAGAGCGCGGATGAGTGACTGAAACAAAAAGGTTGAATACAAGAATGTTTGCAAGTGCAGAAAAGATGATGTGCAGTAAAAGCCAGGCCTCTGTGATCCGAAGAACATTCGAGCTGACTGGCAATAGAAGGAGTAGAGTAGCAATAGTATATCCGAGGCCTGTAAGTGTAAGAAATGAGGCTCCGAATCGCGTTGTTGTGGTGTGCTAAGCAGCAAGTGATATTCAAACGGTCAACGGTTGGCTGTCATCAGAAGATGCGGAAGCCAGGGATTGATGAGTGTGAACTTCTCGTTGGCGAATTTAGGCCTTGACTTCAGCAGTCTCGGTCTCGGTGGGCTCAACGACGGCCTCGGTGGTAGTGGCCTCGGGCTCGCGGCGGTAGACCTGGCCAGGGGCGTCACCCCAGCCGTTCCAGATGCCAGGGTGGTACTTCTTACCCCAGGAGGAGAAAGCAGGGTCGGCCTCGGCCTCACGGCGGTAGACCTGTCCGGGAGCATCACCCCATCCGTTCCAGATACCAGGGTGGTATTTTTTGCCCCACGAAGAGAAGGCAGGGTCAGCCTCTGCCTCGCGGCGGTAGACTTGACCAGGAGCGTCACCCCAGCCGTTCCAGATACCAGGGTGGTACTTCTTTCCCCAAGATGAGAAAGCAGGGTCGGCCTCGGCCTCACGGCGGTAGACCTGTCCGGGAGCATCACCCCATCCGTTCCAGATACCAGGGTGGTACTTCTTACCCCACGAAGAGAAAGCAGGATCAGCTTCTGCCTCACGACGGTAGACTTGACCAGGAGCATCGCCCCAGCCGTTCCACATGCCGGGCTTGTACTTCTTGCCCCAGGAGCTGAATGCTGGATCGGCCTCACGGCGGTAGACCTGGCCAGGTGCGTCACCCCAACCGTTCCACATACCGGGCTTGTACTTCTTGCCCCACGAGGAGAACGCGGGTTCGGGAGCAGCAGCGGGCTCTGCGGTAGGCGCGGCGGTGGCGACGGCGGCCATGGTGGCCAATGCGATAGCGGTGACCTTCATGATTGTTTTTTGAGTTGTTTGTGATGGGAGGGAGAGTCGGAAATGAGTGACTTGTTGGTTGGTGGTGGTGACATGAGAAGGGTAGAGAAGTGTTATATATACTTATTGAAGGTGTTGGGAGACAGAAGTGTGTATCAATAAGATGCAATAAAGAAAATACAACACCTTGGCCTCTCGAATGGCAGGATAAATTCCCCATTGGTTTATTGCGCCTCGTGGCAATACGATTGACAATAAGGTCATCAAAGGAAACATCTTAACAAATCGATATGAGCAAGTAGACGATACGAATACCTCGGGATAAGATCGAATTATGGAAACAAGGTGTGGGACTCGAGCCAAAGAACATTCATCCCATACCGAGCAGATGCTTGTCATCGATCAAGGGCTGAGAAGAATCATCAAAAGCTTGACATGCTTATTTCAAATCGCTTTGTAGGCAGTGAATGGAGACCAGTGCATGGCGAGAACGTGGCTTCGGAAGAGTGTCGAATCCAGGTGTCAATAGGCAGAGTTACCAGTTTGGGTGCTCAATAAGATGTGAAAGTGAGATGTCTCATCAACGCCTTCGTCTCTTGTAAGATGAGCATCGTCATTTTGAATCCGAAGGAAGCTTCTCGAGTACGCTGCAATGGTTTCGGGAGTCTTGACATGATTGCTGGTCAAGAGCCGAGTTCGAACAGGTGTATGTTGATAGGGGTTCGACGAAATCTTTCAATCGTGATAAATCATCTTGAGTTACCACGTTATCACCATCCGATTGCGGCGTCTCTTAAGACTGCTCGCAGAATTGTAATCCACGGTTGTTGGTAGATGGAAACATGGATGTTCTCGGTAGAAGGATCGGTAGTGGACAAGGAAGGAGTCGGGAGCGCAAAGCTCTTTCCCGTGTGGAGCGGGCACCGACCGGGTGCCAAGCAAGACCTGCCTCCGCCTTGGTGGATTCGAGTTGTGATTTCGACGCTCTGTATTATTGCCAACCTCACTGCCACGGTCGCTCTCTATCCTCACACCCTATCCCTCTCCGCTCCGCACCAGTCGCCATGCTCTCCAAGGTACGCCGCTTCCACCAAATCTGTCTCCTGGGCACACAGACTCTGACCCTGCCCCCCAGACTCTCCTTCGCGGCGCAAAGCCTGCATCCAGATGCCTTGCCGGCCCCTCGGTCGCTTCGCGCTGTCAGTACTAGGACCCCAATGGCCATCGATGAAACAATTACTGAACTATACCCACAGCCATGGCCACCACTGTCGGTCAGGACATCTTCAGACCCACCAAGTTCGGCGGCAAGTACACCGTCACCCTGATCCCCGGTGATGGTATCGGTGCCGAAGTCTCCGAGTCAGTCAAGCAGATCTTCAAGGCCGACAACGTCCCCGTCGAGTGGGAGCAGGTCGATGTCACCGGTATCGAGACTGGCGACAAGCACTCCGAGGAGCTGTTCAGAGAGTCCATCGCCTCGCTCAAGCGCAACAAGCTCGGTCTCAAGGGTATCCTCCACACCCCCGTCGAGCGTTCCGGTCACCAGTCTTTCAACGTCGCTCTTCGTCAGGAGCTCGACATCTACGCCTCGATTGTCCTGATCAAGAACATCCCCGGCTACGAGACCCGCCACAAGAACGTCGACTTCTGCATCATCCGTGAGAACACCGAGGGAGAGTACTCTGGTCTCGAGCACCAGTCGGTCGAGGGCGTCGTTGAGTCGCTCAAGATCATCACCCGCGCAAAGTCGGAGCGCATCGCCAAGTTCGCCTTTGCTTTCGCCCTCGCCAACAACCGCAAGAAGGTCACCTGCATCCACAAGGCCAACATCATGAAGCTGGCCGACGGTTTGTTCCGCAACACCATCAAGAAGGTCGGCGAGGAGTACCCTACCATCGAGACCAACGACATGATTGTCGACAACGCCTCCATGCAGTGCGTCTCTAGACCTCAGCAGTTCGACGTTATGGTTATGCCCAACCTGTACGGAGGTATTCTCTCCAACATTGGTGCTGGTCTCGTGGGTGGTCCCGGTATTGTTCCCGGATGCAACATGGGCCGTGACGTCGCCGTCTTCGAGCCTGGCTGCAGACACGTTGGTCTCGACATCAAGGGCAAGGACCAAGCCAACCCTACTGCTCTCATCCTTTCTGGAAGCATGCTCCTGAGACACATTGGTCTTGACGACCACGCCAACAGAATCTCCAAGGCCGTTTACGATGTCATCGCTGAGGGGTATGTCTATGTTCACTTCACTTGTATCGACTGCAAAACTGACAGCCACACAGCAAGACCCGCACCCGTGACATGGGCGGTAACTCGACCACCCAGGAGTTCACAAGAGCCATTCTTGGCGCCATGGAGAAGCAGTAAATGCATTACCTATGGACAAAATAGTGGTCGCGAGGCCAGGGCGGGTGTGTTGTATAGCGTGTATACCTCTCAAACAATTCTTATTTTGATTCATGAATTCGTACCCCTGAAACTAATCTTGACTTTTTCAAACCCTGCTTGATGCATTTCTTAGAAAGGCCTTGTTCGCTCGCCTCTCCAGAAGCCCATGAGCTCTCCTGTTTCGCCAATCCATTCACGAACGCCCATCACAGCGGCTTTGGCCATGCCAGCATTGGTTCCGGATCTTGATCTACGAGCACCGGGTGCAGAGGCGTAGGCAGTCGCGGCGTTGTCGGGTTCCTTTCCAGCAGAAATGAAACTGCTGCCAGCGCCAGTGGCATATTCACTGCCCATACTCGGCAGAACATTCTCGCCGGCAGACAACGAGACGAATAGGGCGAAAGGCACAAGCCAGACCTGAAGTCCGAAAAAGGCAGCAACTTCACTGAAGCTTGGAACAGATTCGTTGGGAGCGTAGTAGTTGTAGTGTCTTGGAGGTGATGAAGGTGGGGCGGAGAAGTGGCGGAACCAAAGCCAATGGTTTAGCAAGACAAGTGCTGTTGGCGGGTCGCGTTAGCCAGAGCAAGCGAAGGGAGAGATGATGCACACGTACCACACGACAGCAAGAAGATGGGGTCGGTGAGCTTGACAATAGGAAAGCGTCGCAAGTTTTGGTGATAGACACCATGGCTGCCAATTGCAAGAGCGGAGAGACCGAGCGGAAACTTGTCGAACAGGGCCAATAACACTTGAATGGCGACGACCAGGTATATCAGGCGTGTCAATAGCTTTTTGGCCAGGACGGTATGCTCCTCGACCAGTTCCGAGAGGTAGTAAAGTCCAGATGCGATTGCAAGTGTCAAGAAGGAAAAGCCAAGGGCAAGGCCCAGGTATCCGACCAGAGGTAATATCCACATGGTCGCAATGTCTTGAGTCGGATGAAAGGCTTTTGTTATTGTAGGATCCCAATGGACATGTTGCTGTTCCGCAGATGATATGTGCCAAGTGTCAGGTCTCGAAGACGCGGGGAGACCTTTTGGGATCTGCAGCGCTGCAGATGGCAGGAACAATGCAGGGTCGGCGTTTGCAAAAGTCCGTGATGCTTCGTGTGACCGAAACAGAAGGTGCAACAAGTAGTCGAGTTTAGAAAGAGCAAAGGCTGTTATCGTCTACGTTCCTTCTCGCTCTGCCCCTTTCCTTCTTTCCCTTTCTTCTGATGAACCTTCATCTTCTCCGAACAGTCCGCTCTCAGGCCGTCAGATCTGTGATTCCTAGACGTGCTCTTGCTTCAGGGTCTCGCTCCCACTTCTTCACTACCACCACTAACTCGACCCCCGCCACCCCTCTCCACCAACGCCCCTCGTCTCTCCGCCCAAACTCAAACTCTCGACTCGCCAGATCCCGTATTCAAGCTCGACACTGCTCACACAGAAGGATGTGTCGCCGCGATGCTGATGCCATGGGTGCCAACCTCGACATTGCCAAAGGTCGTGAGGTCCTGCCCAAGAACGTCAAGCCTCTCCACTACCACCTGACCCTGGAGCCCAACCTCGAGACCTTCGAATATGAAGGCAAGGTCGTCATTGAGTCCGTTCGACCCAGATCTCGCCTCTGCCGCATACTCAAATCGCTAACCTGCACGCAGTCTCGATGTTGTCGAGGACACCACCTCCATCTCGCTGAACACAATCGACATTGACATCAAGTCCACCGAGGTCCACTCTGGCTCGAAGCTCATCGCCTCATCGCCTAAGCTCACCTACGATGAGAACACTCAAACTACCACCGTCTCGTTCCCCGACACCATCCCCGCCGGCCACAAGGCTACTCTTACACAGACCTTCAAGGGTACCCTCAACGCCAACATGGCTGGTTTCTACCGTTCGAGCTACAAGGGCGAGGACGGTAGCGACAAGTACATCGCCACTACTCAGATGGAACCTACCGATGCTCGCAGAGCTTTCCCCTGTTTCGATGAGCCTGCCCTCAAGGCCGAGTTCACCATCACCCTGATCGCCGACAAGAAGTTGACTTGCTTGAGCAACATGGACGTCGCCAACGAGAAGGATGTTCACGATGGAAAGAAGGCTGTTACGTTCAACAAGAGTCCCTTGATGTCAACCTACCTTCTGGCTTTCATTGTCGGTGAGCTCAACATGATCGAGACCGACGCCTTCAGACTTCCTGTCCGTGTATTCGCAACTCCTGACAAGGATATCGAGCATGGTCGATTCTCTCTGGAACTCGCTGCCAAGACCCTCGAATTCTACGAGACCAAGTTCAACAGCAAGTTCCCTCTCCCAAAGATGGACATGGTAGCTATTCCAGACTTCAGCGCTGGCGCCATGGAGAACTGGGGTCTGGTCACATACCGTGTCGTTGACCTCTTGTTTGACGAGAAGACCAGCGGTGCCTCTACCAAGCAAAGAGTTGCCGAGGTTGTGCAGCACGAGCTTGCTCACCAGTGGTTCGGCAATCTTGTTACAATGGACTTCTGGGATGGTCTTTGGTTGAACGAGGGTTTCGCTACATGGATGTCTTGGTACTCTTGCAACGAGTTTTACCCTGAGTGGAAGGTGTGGCAGGGCTATGTCACCGACAACCTTCAAAGTGCTCTGGCTTTGGACTCTTTGAGAAGCTCTCACCCTATCGAGGTCCCTGTCAAGCGTGCAGACGAGATCAACCAGATCTTCGATGCCATCTCATACTCCAAGGGATCTTGTGTCCTTCGTATGGTTTCCAAGTACCTTGGTGAGGAGACTTTCATGGAGGGTGTCAGACGCTACCTTAAAAAGCACGCCTTTGGAAACACCCAGACAAACGACCTCTGGGCTGCTTTGGCTGATGCCAGTGGAAAGGATGTTGAGAAGATTATGGACATCTGGACCAAGAACGTTGGTTTCCCTGTTGTCAGCGTGACTGAAGATGCTGAGAACAACTCGGTCCACGTCAAGCAAAACAGATTCCTGCGTACCGCAGATGTTAAGCCCGAGGAGGATCAGGTCCTCTACCCTGTGTTCCTTGGCCTCCGCTCAAAGGACGGTGTCGATGAGGAACTCACACTTGACGGCCGTGAGAGAAGCTTCAAGGTCAAGGATCTTGACTTTTATAAGATCAACGCCGACCACTCTGGTATCTACAGAACTTCATACTCGCCTGAGCGTCTTCAGAAGCTCGGAGAGGCTGCCAAGAAGGGTCTTCTCACTGTTGAGGACAGAGCTGGTATGATTGCCGATGCTGGTGCTCTTGCCGCATCTGGCTACCAGAAGACATCCGGTGTCCTTTCTCTGCTCCAGGGCTTCGACACTGAGCCCGAATTCGTTGTTTGGGACGAGCTTACTGCTCGTATCGCCTCGGTACGTGCAGCTTGGGTCTTCCAGGACGACAAGGTCAAGGACGCACTCAAGGCCTTCCAGCGTGACTTGGTTAGCAAGAAGTCGCACGAGCTTGGCTGGGATTTCAAGGAGAGCGACGGTCACATTGAGCAGCAGTTCAAGTCACTCTTGTTCAGCAGCGCAGCGCTCGCTGGCGATGAGACGACCAAGGCGGCTGCACTCGAGATGTTCGAGAAGTTCAAGAACGGAGACAGATCTGCAATCCACCCTAACTTGCGTGCCGGTGTGTACGCTGTTGCCCTTCAAAATGGAGGCGAGGCCGAGTATGATGCCATCTTGAACGAGTACAGAACTGCCAAGGTCGCCGATGAACGTAACACAGCGCTGCGCTCCATCGGACGTGCCAGACAGCCCGAGCTCATCAAGCGTACTCTCGCCATGGCATTGAGCAAGGAGGTCAAGGATCAAGACATCTACCTCCCTCTCGGTGGACTGCGTTCGCACAAGGAAGGTATTCTGGCCTTGTGGGACTGGGTCAAGGTGAACTGGGACACTATCTACAAGAAGCTTCCTCCCGGTCTCAGCATGCTCGGCAGTGTCGTCAGCCTGTGCACAAGCAGCTTCACAAGCGAGAAGCAGATCCAGGAGATCGATGCTTTCTTCAAGGAGCGCAGCACCAAGGGCTTCGACCAAAGTTTGGCACAGAGCTTCGATGCTATTAGAGCCAAGGAGGGATGGTTGAAGAGAGACGCCGACGATGTAGAGGCATGGCTCAAGGCCAAGAAGTACCTGTGAGCAATCCGGGACTTGACGAATATGTAAAATAAATGCACGGTAGACATGTGATATTAGGGATACTACAATGACTATCTTTCCACTTCTAAAGCATCTATCGATTGGCCGTTGTGATGATGGTCGATAATGAATATTCACATGAAAAGGATTCGGGAACGGAGATGCCAAGTGTGAAGCATACGTCACGTCCGGGACAAGCTATTCGTGTCCTTCGATGCCAAACGGTGAGGTAGACATTCTTGAGTAATCCTAAGCAGTGGACAGGTGTTGGTCGTAAGATGATCCGACAAGCACAACAGAATGCCCACCGCCGGCGATGATCGAGAGCGCTCACCACACCCCTATGCCAGACGCGGCCGCCGCGTAAAGTCGGAAGAAAGTAGTGGTTACGATGCACGCCAGACACCAACGACTCTCTCGAGCGAGAGCGGCACAGAGGCCGATGATGAGCGACCGACGCAATACCTGAAAGCCCTGCCTCCACCTTCGATACGGCCTGCGAAAGGACTTCGACAGCTTGGAGACGATGGGACAGAGGGCTCGCCGACCCCCCTGCTTACGCCCTCGCAGCTGGACAGTCAAAGCCGCCGCTTGTCTGAAGGGTACTTTGATCACAAGCTGTCCCAAACAGCAGCACAACAGGCCGAAGAGGATGAGTTGCTGGTTGCGCGACGGCTGTTCGAAAAGAGAAGGAGGGCTGAGCACATTCGTCGCATATCCGAGGGCGCCTTGCTCGCAGCTATCGGACTGATCATAATCCTCGCTCCTGCTGTGACATCTGCTCTCTGGAATTGGCATCGAGGTACGTTCAACAGTCATATGTGTATGATCCAGGCCCTGATGCTTTGCAGTAGAACTTTTCTCCCAATTGGCCATTGTCGTTCTCCTGATTTCCGTATACCCCCTGAGGATCGTGATATTCTCTCCTTCCGACGATATCAGCCGTCCCAGATGGCGCCGCTTTCGCGTTCCCGCCTCCTTCGACCCTGCTTCGATCCTGTATCCTACCTTTGTCCCCGTCCTAATCGCCCTTTCTCTGCTACCGCAATACCCCGCTCTGCTACTACCGAATCTGATCTTGGGTCTGGCATCTCTTCCACCACGTCTCTTCCCTCCTCTTTCTCGCCTCAAGGACATCAACACACTACACTGGATTGTCTCCATCACTCCACTAATCTTCTCTGAGAACACCGGACTGCCCTCGCAAGCATTTCCTCCCTCGCCATACAAGCTCAAGGCTAGCCAACCTCCCTTCTTGCAGCCGGAGCTTTTGACTTTGTTATATCCTTTACATCAGGCTCTTCTACCGCCACTACATTACCTGACCACAACTAGTCTTCTGGCTGCTGAGAAGCACCTTTTGTCTGCAGGTTTGATCAACCTTCTGCTATTCGCCAATTCTCCTCAGTCTGCTATTCTACGCGCACTACTATGGATAGGAGGCGTGTGGCTCCTCGTTCTGTGTACTCACGTCGCACGTTGGAATGTAGCTCTTGCACGCGTGCCTCGCTGGAGATTCCGGCGTTTTGGATCGAAGTCTGGCCATTCGTCTCACGCTTACAAGAGAGGTCCGCTTGCGGTAGTGACCAAGTGGATATACCCTTTCAAACGCTATCAGAACGATGACAGTGACAGCGACGAGGATGTTTTGATTCAAAAGGTCCAATCTCAAGATCAAAAGAAGCCTAAACTTGGTCTCAATACCAGCATCCAGCACCACGACATATACGAGCCAAAGTCTGCTGTCGAAGCAAATCCAGATTCTCACCGAGATTCTGTTGTGGATGCGAACGACTTCTCTAGGAAGAGAAGGCATACTATCGCTAGTATGGACGTTCCGTCATCACTTCTCAGTAACACCACCGGCGCAGCCGCCCAAAAGAGACATCGTCGGCTTCGGGATTGGCATCTGAATCTGACCCCTGAAGGTGCATTTATGTATAAGTGGGCGTATGCGATCTACATCTTCACAGCTATCGCCTTCGTCATCTTGGTACCTGTTCGAAGGACCATCTCTGATGCTGCGCTCAACTCTGCAGAACCCATCATCTGGGCTTTTGAATACCTATTCTCGGATATTCCGATACTCTTCGATGCTTTATCTTCTACGGTTGGCCGTATTGCCTACAAGGATGAGATTTTGCAAAATCTCTCACTCCAGGGCTCCTCAGTTCCCGGCATAAGAGCTGCGGTGGGTGCCGCCAACACACGACTGCTCATTGTTGCATATTGGGCGGCTGTGCTTTGCGTCGGCTTGGTCACAGTCTTGCGCTTGACGCCCTTTATCGAAGTGGACACTAGACGCAAGGTATTCCACGCAGTCATGGTTACCATGCTTTTACCCTCCATCTTTGTGGATCCCTGCTTCTGCTCATTAGCTCTGGGAATTGTTCTCGCAATTTTCCTGATCCTTGAAATTATCAGAGCAGGCCAAGTTCCTCCGCTGGGTATTGCCATCGGAAGATTTGTAGCGCCTTATGTCGACGGACGTGACTTGCGTGGTCCCATGGTTGTCAGTCATGTCTTCCTCCTCATCGGCTGCGCTATTCCGCTATGGCTTTCGCTCGCCGGCATTGGCAGAACGAAAACTGGCCGCTGGCCCGGCTGGGAAACAGAAAACGAGACTAGAGAAGTCGCAATGGTGGCAGGAGTCATTTGCGTGGGCATGGGCGATGCGGCAGCCAGTCTAATAGGCAGACGCTACGGTCGCTGCAAATGGCCTTGGATCGGCGGTAAGAGTCTCGAGGGCAGTGGTGCGTTTGCCGTCGCCGTGACCATTGGCCTGCTCTTCGCCAAAGCATGGGTCAGATTTGGAGGTTGGCCTGAAGTGTCTTTTCACGATTCCATCTTGCCTCTGGACGTTGGATTCTGGGGCTTAGAGGTGACCAAGATGTTTATCTGTGGCTGTGGAGCTTCATTTATGGAAGCGGTCCTCACAGGAGCGAACGACAATGTTGTTGTTCCTGTTGCTTTATGGCTGTTGGTCAAAAGTCTCGGTGTATAGACAATGGTGGAGATATCTAGAAATTAATGATCTTTCTTCTTAGATTATGTTTCCAATAAATGGCACACAACAAGTCCTATATTTTTAAGCCACCAAAGAAGTGTTCATTAGACAGCGGTAGACAAAGTGGACCGGAGACAGACAGTGTTGAGTTTTATCAAGTAATATTTTTCACCGTCTTTTCAAAGTACCAAGAGAATTGATTGGAGAAAATGCATGTGAAGATACTCAGGAAAATAGAGTGGGTTTTTGGGCGTCGCGAAGATGGATTCAGCAGCATCCAAATCCCGATGATCGAGGGGCATCGAGAATAGAGGGGCACATCGAAGACAAAAAAGTGACATGCCGGCTGAGCACGGCTAGCTTCCTTGCAACGACTTCTGGAGAAGCTGATCGAAAGTAAACAGTGGAGAGGAAAGAGAGAAAAAGGCAGATGAAAATGCCGCTGCAGAGCTGAGGAAAGGAGCAGAGGGAAAAGGCAGAGACGGCTCGAGGGATGATGATCGATGTGTTCTGCAGCGGAGAAAGCGCATGGTCGTCGAAGGTCTCGAAGCGAATAAGCAGTCGGTCGTCGATGACCCGGTCAGAAAGTCGGCAGCATGACGATGTGCACGGTACTTTTCCTGGGGGCGTTGAGCGCTTTTTGAGGTGGGAGAGCCAACACCCAAGCCTCAGTCTACGCACACACGGACCTGAGCCTTTTCTTCTCTCACACTCCCTCCCTCTTCCTTCCCACCACATCGCCCCTCGACTTCTCGAACCGTCACACGCAGCTCACGCGTTCTATTCATCCTACCACGCCCAACAGCGTCGTCGAATGAATTAGGAGGCTCGTGAGGGATTTTCGTCATCTCTTCTTGTGGCTCCACTAAGCGAACTTGAACGTCTGCTTTTCAGTCTGCACCAGACGCCCCTCTTAGATTCGCCAGAATCCCAGCTGCCGCATAGGACTATCTCTGGGGTTCTTCCTCTCCAGGAGGAAGACTCGTGGGGGCCTAGCCGACAATCCAGTCTAGGTTTCGCGCCATTCAAGCCGCCATAAGACGTTTTGGATCTGACTGCACCACAAACTACTACTTGTAACATACTCGACCGCGAGTCTTTGGCACCCAACCAGTGTATGGTTATGGCACCTTCGGCTATTGCAACGACCCCTGAGGACTATGCATCTCTATCGTCCTTGAAAGCAAACTACACCCCCCGTCTCGAAGAAAGCCACAATGGAAAGGCTCTATCCAAGGCCATGATCGGCCGTGCTCTGCAGCAGCGTGTGCAGGGCATCGACGAAGATACTTGCGAGCCCGGCGAAGAGGACGCTTTCTTCGTCGCCGACATGGGCGACATCTACCGCCAGCACCTGCGCTGGAAGAAGCACCTCAACCGCGTCAAGCCCCACTACGCCGTCAAATGCAATCCCGACCCTCAGGTCCTGCGCCTGCTGGCTGCAATGGGCACCGGTTTTGATTGCGCCTCCAAGGCTGAGATTGATATGGTCCTCCGCCTCGGTGTCGACCCCTCTCGCATCATCTACGCCCAGCCCTGCAAGACCAAGTCTTACGTCCGCTACGCTTCCAAGCAAGGCGTGCGCCAGATGACTTTTGACAACTCCGACGAGCTTTACAAGATCAAGGAACTCTTCCCCGACGCCGAACTATACCTCCGCATCCTTACCGATGACTCGGCCAGTCTTTGCCGTCTGAGTCTCAAGTTTGGCGCCTCGCTCGACGACACGGGTGATCTTCTTGCTCTCGCCAGAAAGCTCGATCTCAACGTCGTTGGTGTCGCTTTCCACGTCGGCTCAGGCGCTTCCGACCCAGCAGCCTTCCTGAAGGCCGTCCGCGATGCTCGCTTCGTCTTCGATCAGGCCAATGCCCTTGGTTACGACCTCAAGACCCTGGACGTGGGCGGCGGTTTCGTCAGCGAGACTTTCGACGACATGGCCGCTGTTCTCTCAGTCGCCCTGGACGAATACTTCCCTCCCAGCGTGCGCGTCATCGGCGAGCCCGGTCGCTACTACGTTTCCTCCGCCTTCACCATCGCCTGCAACGTTATTGCCCGCCGCTCGGTCGAAGACAAGGCTCTTGGAGTAAACAGCTACATGCTCTACCTCAACGACGGCGTGTACGGCAACTTCAGCTCCATCATGTTCGACCACCAACACCCCATCCCGCGCGTCCTCAAGGCCCAGAACGATACCCTGGCTACCTACAACAACCACTCTGATGCAGTTGCCGCTTATGACGCTGCCACCAAGCTGCCTTTGGAATACTCCATCTGGGGCCCTACTTGCGATGGCATTGATTGCATCTCTGAGTCCTGGACTTGTGCTCAAACTCTTGATGTGGGCGATTGGCTGTACTTTGAGGATATGGGCGCATACACCAAGTGCAGTGCTACCAAGTTCAATGGGTTCAGCGACACTCACCACACTGTTTACATCTCCAGCGAGCCCGGCGCTTCTGCTTTGCTTGGATACTAGGAATGAGAATTAAGAAAGGAAGGAAGGAAGATTGCTCAAAAAGTGTTTATTGATTTTGTTATTGTCTTTTGCTTTTGAGTTTCGAGTACCTGTGTTCGATGCGAGTATTAATAACGTATATGAATTTGCTGCTTCTATCGCTTAACCTTGACTTCCCCTTTGGTATTCGTGAACGTCTCACATGTACATTTGGTCTGTTGGACATCATATTCTCGCCTCTCAATGATGCGTAATCTCAATGTCATCCCAGACCACCATACTCGGATCTTGATATCGCATTGCTTTTTATCCAACAAGCCAAATGAATTGAATGCCTCCCTTGCGAGACCTTAATTATTCATGCCGATCTAACAACATGGTCACCTAGAGAATGATTCACAGAAGCAGAAGACGAATGTGCTTTCCTCCGCGCATCATCGAGCTTCGTGACGAGTAAATGATAATTCGCGACCACGAGACTTGGATATACATCTATCAGGCTACAATGTATTCACATATCATTATGATGATACAATCATCCGATATTCATGCTTGCTAACATAATTACTTGCGGTATAGCGGGTTGTGTTCGATGTTTGATGCTTAGAGCAGGGTGACATGGGTGACCAAATCGACATCAACACATCGAGACGTGCCCAACAGTTGTATGCCATTCTAGACCCTGGAGGTGTTCAATGCCATGGACATCACAAAGGCTTGGTGAGTGGGTATTGCAGTGCTTATCATTGTTTCCCGAGCTGTGCACTTGTGTCCGGTTTGATCGACGGGTGAAGTGGTTGTCTGATACTGAAAGTAACACCGATGAATTAAAGTTTGATTTGCATAGTAGGTCTCGAAAGGGTGGATTGGCGTTTGGTTCATGATCGTCCGTCGCTGGACTTTCTGCGGTTCGATCCTTAGCTAGTGAGCCGATAGGTATCGGGCCGCAGATGTCCACAGACGTTGAACAATTGCATGGTCGAGGGAGGAAGCATGGTTCAAGTCAACGAGTCTGGTTTGTGTGACAGAAATGCCATCGTCCCCAATGGACAAATGGCCGAGATTTGGATGTGTATGGTTATGATAACAGAAACGCTCATGCTTTGAATTTCATCGAGTCGAGATATAATTGATACAACAGATGCAGACGTCTGCGTGCTGACAACCAACGGGTATTTCGTGGATTTTCTTGTTCCTTGCGCTGTGGCCATCCCTATTCAATCAGGGAGATACAAAAATGCTAAACATTCCATCTTTGCTGTTTTTCGTTGCAAAAACCATCATCATGCCGGGGGATCCTTCGGTTCATACACTCAAGGGCGGGGAAAGAGATGTGACGAATAATCTATTTGCCCTTCTCGGTGCCGTAGTGAGCCTTGTTCCAGGCCTTGTCGAAAGGACCGGGCTCGCCGGGACGTTGGGAGATCTGGTGCTCCTGGAAGTGTTCGCTGCGAATGCCTGAGGCGTTGTCCTTTTGTAAGCCAATTGTCAGTCTGACAGGAAATCTTGTGGGGAATATAAACCTTTGGGGTCTACCTGGTTCTCTGTTGTGTTCTCTGCGTTTCCGCGAGGGGTTGCGGCGCCAGGGGTGTGGACATCTGAGCCACCACCTGCTGACCAGCGGGCTCCGATGTTCTTTGTGCCTTGGGTCTCGAAGGGGTTGCTAATTGAGTATTGAGTTAGTGGGTGCTTGATTGATGCCGATATGATTGGAACGATGTATTTGATGAGAGATGCAACGCAGTGACAACTGCGCAAGGTATGTGATCGCTCCACAGAGCACAGGGAGTGATTCCTAGAGAGATGGGAAGAGACAAGAGAAGAGCGCATACGAGGTCTTTGATCCAGGAGTAGGGACGAAGGCAGCACCAACGAGGACACCACCAAGGATGAGGAGGTTACGAGGGCGGCTCCAGAAAGACATGTTGTATTATGTGGATATGCGGTTGTGATTAGGTGAGGTCGAGAGCTTGTTTGTGGGGTGAAATGTCAATTGAAAGGGTTCAAAAGTTCAGGTTGACGATGTGGAAGTTTCGAAAAAGAAGAATTGATGTCAGAAGGAAGGGACAAGAGGAGCAGGAGGGTTTGTCAAATAGGTTTGGCCGTAAACGTAACATCACCAGTTCGATGGCTGGTGAAAGAACGATGAGTATGACGACATTTCGATGTGTCCCTGACCAGATCGGCGGGGTTGCTTTATGAATCGTTTATGCACGAAGCTCTACCCCGGTTCTCAATCTCGACCACAGGGGTGTTGGCAACAAAAGCTTGCGCGGACCAACGTTGAATGTATTTTGGGACGTCCAAATTGTTGTTGCGACAGCACGCGACTCCTTGGATGTCCATCTCCTGTCCACATTCAACACAGGGTCAGCCGTCATGGATGGTGATCCGGCAGTCGAGTCGCAGCTAGATGGCTTCAGTCTGGTGCTCCCGCTTCCATACCGTGTTGCTTTGATCATCGTCTTGGGTACGCAAAGTTCCACGTAGCAGTCTTCCGTAGCAGATGTTGACTGAAGGTGCAGGTGTATGGGCATGGGGACTGAATCTACATTATCTGCACTTGATCAAGATTGTATGCGATCCCCTCTGGTACCTCACGTATATCAAGAAACTTTCCAGTCGCTCATTCGTGTCGCATAGGACGTGCCATCCCTTATTCGATATCCCGCTCGTAATTCACCCACCGAACCTCCGCATCACTTCTCGACATACCGCCTTGCAACTATCTTTACCATTCCCCTCGCTTTCTCGCTATTCCTCTTCTGGATCATCACACATGGCAACCCTGCCTCTGTCGCAAGCTGGGAAATACTCCCCAATTTATATTTGCTCATACTCGTACTCGCATTCGTTCTCCCCATCCAGCGCGCCTCTCGCAGTGGAAGATACCGTACTCTTGCTACACTCAAGCGCATCAGTATAGGCGGTCTAGCCGAAGCACACGATGGAAAATTTGGAGATGTTCTGATGGCAGATGTCTTGACGAGCTATGCAAAAGTCATGGGAGATCTATTCATCGCCCTCTACATGTTCTTTTCGTCAGGCAGAAGTTCGACCGAAAAGCCAGATCGACAGGCTGGAGGTCAATATCTGGTGCCTTGTATCATTGCCATTCCCAGCATGATACGTTTGAGACAATGTTTGATCGAGTATTTCCGAGTCCGCAAAGCCAACAAAAAGGCTGGAGGTATTGGTGCCCACGGATGGGGTGGTCAACACCTGGCCAACGCTCTCAAGTACTCCAGTGCTTTCCCTGTCATCATCCTGAGTGCTCTGATGCGAGGATATGATCCAGCCAAGATTGGCATGTCCGAGACTGGATTGTTTCGTCTATGGTGCGAACTCCCGACTTCTGACATGATTGCTAGAATTTCCACTAACTCGCCCACAGGTTGTTCTTCGTTTTCGTCAACTCCTTCTACTCATTCTACTGGGATGTCACGAAAGATTGGGACTTGTCTCTGTTCTCATCAACCAGAGAGAGAAATGACCCGGAGCATCCATGGGCTCTCCGTCGCAATCGTTACTTCCATGCCAAAGAGATGTACTATGGTGCTATCTGCATAGATCTGATGCTGCGATGCACGTGGAGCTTCAAGCTCTCTCCGCACTTGGACCATTTCAATGATTTGGAGGGCGGCATTTTCGTGATGGAATTGCTTGAGGTGCTTCGACGCTGGATCTGGATTTTCTTCCGCGTCGAGACCGAATGGGGTAAGTGTTGTTTTTGTTGCTTGTATCAAGTACCGATGGCTGACATCCGTCTAGTACGCAACACCCGTGGCCCTGCACCGGACGATATCCTCCTTGGTGACTTCTCACCCAACAAAATAGACGAGGATTGATCGTGTCTTGGAGTTTCTCGTAATGGTCGTCTTGATAGCGTTGAAGCGTGTATATAGATATTGATGCTGGGATTATACCTCCCAACCAAAAATCGTTTCTCGTTCATGTTTCCCCTCTCCCTGTTTGTGTGCCAAATTCAAGTCCTCATGATGATTGTCTCGATTTCCAGAGCGTGTCGATGGCCTTTTTCGTGCCTTGCACAATCAACTCCCACTCGTTCTCGTGGATCCTCTGCTCAAGATCGTCCTGTGATTCACCCTTGCGCATAGGGATATCTCTGGTAACAATCGGCTCTCCCATATCAACTTCCAAGATGACATAGTGGATCATGATGCCGGTCTTTTCGATCTTTCCTTCTTGGAATGCCTTGTATGCGTCATCGATGGCATGAGCTCCGTTGAACTGCCCAGGGAGTGCTGGGTGGAGATTGATGACAGGCACGCCGGCATCTTTCAAAGGCTCCAGGAAAGTGGGCGCGAGGATGTGCATCCAGCCTGCGCACACGACTATGTCGGGCTTGTCGGCCAGGACCAGCGAAGCCAAATCACGGTCGTATTCGCTTCTGGCTTGCTCGAACTTCTTGGACTCGGTCGTATCCGGGAAGCGCTTCTTGTACTCGAGCAGGTTGTGGTATGCGGTAGGGATCTGTGCCTTTTGTGCTCTTTCTAATCCGTAAGCGGCTTTCTTGTTGGATACGACACGGATGATCTCTGCATTGGGAAGAGCTGCCTTTCCGCACGCGTCTATCAGTGCTTGGAGGTTACTTCCCGACCCAGAGATCAGGACGGTCAATTTGGCCTTGGTGTTCGACATGGTTGCTGTGTGTGATGTGCGAGAAAGACTGACTGGAACAGCTCCAAGCTTGTAGAAATGCGCCAATGCGATGTCGGAGAATAATTATCTGTGAGAATAATTGTTTAGCGTCATGCGGGAAGCGGCTGCGAAGAGTCAGGGTCGCCGTTTCCCGCCAAGACACGCTTGCCTCTTTGGTTATCAATCATTTGGAAGTCCGACCACATCCAGGCAGTCGTGAGATGCGTACACTTGTGGCAACACATTTGTAGATTGTTGTTTGTCTTCAGCCTGTTCTTCTGGATCTTTCCAATCTGTCATGCTGACCAGGTGAACGACTAATACCCTCCACCTCACTTTCTCCCCTCAAACCTTCTTGCAACCACAATACCAACAGTATGGCTGCTCAACTATCGCCGGAGGCAAAGGAGCTGTCACTTGTTGGCAAGGTAGAGATGCGCATAGCTCTTGCAGATGGCGATCAGAAACTCCAAACCACTCTGAACACATATCTCGCACCTCTGCTCCTCAAACTCGCCTCTGAACATATGAGCGTTCGCAACAAGGTACGTTCACGACATCTCCATTCAGAAGTCCACACAGATTACTATCTGGTCGATGTAGCATGTCAGGGCTTGTGTTTATTTGATCTGTTTTCTGATAATTGTTCTCCAGGTCATCAGCATTTGCCAACATATCAACACTAGGATAAAGCCAGAGTATGTCTCTCTTCGGATCACTCGATGTACTTATGCTAAAAAGGACAGATCTGTCGCGCTACCAGTCGCTGCACTCGTTGAACAGTTCAAATCGAATCCCAACATTCCTTTAATTCGCCATTTTGATCTCTTGTACATACAGACTGGCATTCGCCGCATGTCATTTGTTGAGAGCACCGCCCTCTTTCCTGTTGTCCTGCAAAGTGTCGCTTCTGCTGGCAAGACATCACCAGCTCATGGCTCTCAAATGTTCAATTTGCTGCTCCAATTGCTGAAGTACTTCAAGCTTCCTCCAAGAGGTACAAAGGAAGACGAGGAGTTGCGTTCCACTCTTCAGCTCAGTGCTGAAGATACCTCGTTTTTGGCGTTCTGGTTCGGGAAGTTGATTCTGTTCTCAGTGGCCAAAGGTGGCAACACAGCTTCAATAACTTGCCCAGGTCTCAGACCAAGCGAGTATTCTTTCTTGACACTACAAAACAAGGCAGACGTTTGGAACCCCGCTTCTCCAATGGGTCTTAATCTGCTCGAGATCAAAACCAGTGTTGCCAAAGTTCTTGCAAGTGGCATGTTCACAGATGCAGAGCGCGTTCTTCCCGCCTTGTTTGCCTCGACCGAGTCGACATCGGGGATCGGCGAAGACATGCTGAAGAGAACACTACCTAGTATCCCGCTTGAAGACTCAGACTTTGTCAAGTCCCTGTACACCCTGTATTTCGGGGACGAAGGTATTGACTCGTTGAAAAGGGTTCGAGTGCCTCTACAACTGAAGATCCTTGGACTGTTTGCCAAATCAACAATCAGCACAACCTTCACCGAACAAATCGTCAGACTCGTCAACGATGGCATCGCAAGCTCAGATAGCGACAGTCCTTCTTCACTTGGAAGAGAAGCGACAAAACTTCGCGCTGCCATCTTTGTCTATATCAACTTCGTTTCTCGATTGGGTAGCGAAGAGAGTCTTTACGCCATTGCTCCACGGGTTCTTGGAAGACTACGTGAATACATTGAAGGCCAGAGTTGGCCAAGAGCTAGTCAGAACGAAGATCTTGTCTCCCGTGGCTATGCTTACGAGGTAATCGGACTGCTGGCCAAAGCTGGCCCGAAAGACCTGGTCGTTGAACCAAATCTGGACATCTTACGTTGGCTTTTTGAATCTCTGGCTCTGGACACAGCTTCAAGCTCGGTCACTGTCAGCATCGAGGAGTCACTCTCCAGTATGCTCGGGGCGTTCGCAAAACACGGAGATTTGGAGACCGCGACTAGTCTCGAGAATCTTCTGATCGATCAGATGTACAGGTCCGGAACACCCGATCGTCGCAGCACTCGCTATGTTGCTGTGCGATACGCAAATCGCTGCCTTCCTTATGCATCTGTAAAGGCTCGTTGGGTCAACTTACTAGCAATTGCTGCCGAGTCCGTCGACCGCCAAGAAGTCACCGAGGAGGGCAGACGTGGACTCAGTCCATACTGGTACCGAATGCTTAATGGTTCTGTTGGCACATCACAAACAGACGAGAGTGTCAAGTTTCCTCCCTTCCAAGATTTGATGAACTACGTATTCTACGAGTTGGCGACAGACATCTCGGGCTCCTCTAACAACCGCGACCCGTTGAGAGCAGTTCAGCAGCTTCTCCAAAGACACTCTGCCGCTTTCATAGATACCATCAAATACTGTCGACGTGTTTTCATGCATGACGCTCTGTCCACCAGTACCACACAGGTCAAGCTGGATGCTGACTGGGAGTACAAGTTCGACACTGCTATTGAGAATGACGAGCAGATTCGTCATACTGTCAAGGCACGTATTGCTCAGGTCGCTACTGAGGGACACGACGCTGCCACACGTCTTCAACTGCTGTTGCAGGCATTCTCCGTGAGCGTGTTGGTCACCGAGGGTAGCAAGATCAAGGTTGATGATGCAGACAAGTTGTTCTTAGACTTGTGTGCTCTCAGTCCCGACTCTTTGGTGGAAACAGTAGCTCCCCAGTTTGCGGGGCTTCTCCCTTCAATCTTCTCGAACAAGCTTACCACCAGACAATCTGCTGCCCATGCCTTTGGTCTACTCGCTTCCCATCCTAAGAACCAAAGTGAGCGTCCAGGAGAAGTGTTAGAGGCTATTCAACAGCTCTTGACCAAGACTTCATCTTGGCAAGAGGCCGTGGGTGCTGCAGCTAACCAGGTCCATGGTGCTGTTTCAGCCTTGGGCTTCTTCTACAGCAGATATGCTTTACGAGATGGCAATGACTTTCAGTCTTCAGCTCCATTCGGAGAGTATGTCTCTAATGCCGCTGAGATCCTGCTCAAATCCACAGACAAAATCTTGCAAGAATCCAGCTATAACGCACTCGGCGATTTGTGTCTGTTCCAGGCAGTCAAGCCAGCTGTCTTTGAGAAGCTAGGCGGCTTCAAAGCCATAATTGACAAGACTGCGGATATCGCTAAATCAGGTAGTGAGAGTGCAGCTCTGGCTGTCGGACAGATGGCCACTATTCTTGAAGAGTCAACAACCGAAACAACTTCTGACGAGAAATCGCTTCTTGAGCATACCTCCGAGCGTTTGCATCAACTTCACGACATTCGGCAGGCCGAGACACACTTCTCCGTAGGCGAAGCTCTGAGTTACGCTGCAGTCGGGTGGAGATCAAAGGCTCTCATCCATCGAATTGATGTAGAGTCTTCGATGCCGACTGGACCCGAACGGACCGACGCACTGCGCAAACTGCTTCACAGAACACTTGAAGACTGCAAACAGACTAAGCCCTCACTCAAAAAGGCATCAGTTATCTGGCTGCTCTGTTTTGTGCAATTCTGTGGTCACCTGGAAGAAGTACAGAGTCAGCTAGCTGCTTGCCAGGTCGCTTTCAAGAAGTGTCTTTCTGATCGTGACGAATTGGTTCAGGAGACAGCTTCTCGCGGGCTTGGTCTTGTCTACGAGAAGGGTGACAGAAACTTGAAGGATGACCTGGTCAGAGACCTTATTGGATCATTCTCTTCTGACAACAAAGCCCAGCTAGCTGGAAGTGTCACTGCCGAGACGCAACTTTTCGAGCCTGGAGCACTTCCCACTGGTGACGGATCTGTGACCACGTACAAAGATATTATGAGTCTCGCCGCAGAGGTCGGCGACTCCAGTCTGGTCTACCGCTTCATGTCTCTTGCATCCAGCAATGCCATCTGGTCGAGCAGAGCTGCATTTGGCAGATTTGGCCTCAGCAATGTCTTGTCGGATTCTAGTGTTGACGGATACCTTGCCAGTAACCCGAAGTTATACCCCAAGCTCTATCGATACCGATTCGATCCCAATCCCAACGTCCAGAGGTCTATGACCGATATCTGGAACGCATTGGTAAAAGACTCTACAGCAACGATCGACTCCCACTTCGATGCCATAATGGATGATCTGCTACTGAACATTCTCGGCAAAGAATGGCGAGTGCGTCAGGCTTCATGCGCTGCAATCGGCGATCTTGTACAAGGCCGACCTCTGGACAGATACGAGAAATATCTCGAGAAGATCTGGAGTGTTTGCTTCAAGGTGCTCGATGACATCAAAGAATCTGTCAGAGCTGCAGCAGCTTCGCTGGCTCGCGTATTGACGGGCATCCTCACAAGGTCGCTTGAGGCAGATACCATGGCCTCAAAGAATGCTGCAGTATTGCTCAAAAACGTGTTACCTTTCCTCATGTCCACCTCTGGCATCGAGTCTAGCGCGGAAGAAGTCCAGAGCTTCTCTTTGCATACTTTACTCGAGATTATCAAAAAGGCCAGCGGCAAGATTCTGCGACCCTTTATTCCTGAGTTAGTTGAACGTCTGGTGGGTCTTCTGAGTATCCTCGAACCACAAGCTGTCAACTATCTGCATCTCAATGCAAGCAAGTACAACCTCACCGAACAGAAAATTGACGACATCCGATTGTCAAGCATTCGCAGCAGTCCCCTGATGGAAGCTATCGAACGATGCCTGGACTTGCTCGATGACGCTTCGATGGAACAACTTCAACCTCGTCTCGAGGCTGCCATGAAGGGCGCAGTAGGTCTGCCTTCGAAGGTTGGCTGTAGTCGTATTCTGGTCTCGCTCAGTACACGCCATAACGTTCTCTTCAAGCCTTATGCCGATCAATTCCTGAGGCTCATTGAGAGACAGGTGATCGATCGCAACGAAACAGTATCCAGTTCTTACGCTGCTTCATCAGGTTACGTCGCTCGCGGCGCATCTGACAAGCAGATACTCCGTCTAGCCACATTTGCTAGAAAGCTGTACTTCGAGAGCGAAGGAGACCGCGAACAAGCAATCCCACGCCAAAGCATTGCGGCTGCTGAGATCGTGCAAGCAATCTCGAAGCATGCTAACGACAGATTCAACTCCCTGGCAGCCGACTTCCTTCCTTTCATCTTCTTCGGCAAGCATGATTCTCATGATCAGGTCAAGGAGATATTCCGCAACACATGGGAGGATAATGTCGGGGGTAGTCGTGCCATCGCACTCTACCTGAAGGAGATCCTGTCAATGGCGCAGGAGCACATGGACTCGCCACAATGGGTGATCAAGCATACAGCAGCGCGATCGGTGGCAGATGCCACAACTGCTCTTGCCTCAATGAGTAGTGGATTCGACGCTACAACCAGCCAATTGATATGGCCTGTTCTAGAGAAGGCGCTCAGCGGAAAGACCTGGGACGGCAAGGAGGCGGTACTCTATGCTTTCGCCAAGTTCGTGGAAACCACCAAGCATGTCTGGTCAGCCGAGGATGGCGTTGCGAAAACATTCGTGAAGGTAAGTGACGTCTCTCCCTCTAGCAAGCGCTTGAGCCGCGCATTGTGCCCTCTTTGCATCTACCGATCGCCGGACGGGACCGAGATTGTCTATTAGATTTACTGACGTGATCTACAATAGATTATTCTACGAGAAGCTAAACGACAGAATGTGACGTACCGTCCTCACGCTATCAAGTGTCTAGGCCTCGTGGCCGCGAACCGGGAAGACCTTGAACTGTTCAATGCCATGTGCGATGTGATCAGGTCCGTGTTCACTGACATAGTGGACACCGAGAACGAGGATAGCATGGACGTGGACAACGGTATTGGAGCCGGCGACAAGGATTCGTGAGTGACGTCCGACCAACGGTTTCGCTTAAAGCTAATTGACATCGCAGACGGGAGAGCACTATTGTCAACGGCGTCGAAGCGCTGTGTAGACCCTTTGACGGTACGGATGTGGCTTGGAAGGGAGACCAGAAGCTCGTGGAAAAGAGGTTGGACCATGTCTTGGGCACCCTGCAGATATTGCAGCCGATGCGGCCCGAGGGACACGCGAGTCTACGAAAGACGATGGAAAAGGCCAAAGCGAGTTTGTTGACATGTCTGCAAGGAGAGTTCGACAACGACGATTTGGGACGCGACTTACGCCGCCGGATTGAGGGGCTGGGGACGACGACGTAGTGGTGACATTATTACTATCTACGTCTGGACGAGTAACCGAGCGCCACTGGACCTTAGTATCGAAAGAGGTCAATACAACTGTGAATTGCTGCATACCGACTAGGTTCGTGCTACCCTAACACGTGAGAATTAGAGGAAGGGAGAGCAGGAATTTTGGAGTCATGCAAGCCACTTCAGCCATGCACAACAGCAACTCCGAGGGGCTGTAGCGTAGAAGATTGCGACCATTGCAGCAGCAGTGTGTCGGACGTTGTCCTCAAGAAGCAGAAAAAGGGTCGTCGGTTCTATCCGCTAGTTTGGTTTATCCTAACTCAACCAAGTAATTCCGCCCCGACACGCACGTTGGACCTCGTGGAACCCCAATCATGCCAAGTTTCGTCGACGACTCGACGTCTGCCGGCCCCGTCAAAACCTTCCATTGAAAACTGAAGTCTATCCGCTCGCGGTTTGAGCGATGCTTAGTCTGTGATGACGATGGTTTCGAGCTCCAACACATGGCGGCAGTTGCGTTCTGCACGACATCATCTCTCGACCTTGGGCAAGCCGGCGGGGCAGGGCGGTGGTCCCTCGCGACGGGGCCTCTCGACGGCGGGGCATGGTCTCCAGGGCGATCATGAAGTGCTGTACGACTGTTGTTCCAAGCGCTTCCGCCGGCGAGTCCCATTGTGAAGCGTGCTCACATCGTCATTTTGCAGGACGCATGCCCTTGGATGATTGCAGCTCAACAATATTCGGCATCCCTCTGTAGAGTTTCCCGGGGGCTTTGCCCGAGGCAGAAAGGAACCTCAATCCTTCGTCTTATTAATGGTACCTTGGCTGTCTGAGCCGCATCTTCACGGGGCCGCGAGCGCATGTTTGTATGCGCCTACATTGCGTCTAGCTAGCGCTGCAAGCGATTGTACCACCGGCATGGACATGTGGCTGCAGGTAGATTTTCAGGGCGAGCTTTGACAGACCAGCGAACATTCTCTAGGAGGTATCAAGAAGCAATAGGGTCGTCGCTTCCGTCGCTTACCCAATCACAATTTCCGTACACAACCGTTCCTGTCTTTACCGGCAAAGGGCGCCGTCAAATGACGAGATGACATCTGAACCTTGCGGTGTTGCACCGTTGCGAGTGCGTGCACCCGGGGTCGTGGTCCAATATACTCGGCCCGTATGATCCGCCACGGATTCGCATTATGAGAATCGGATTCCTGGGTCGGCTGGTCGCGGTCTGCTCCTGTCAAGCTGTCGTCAAGGCATCTCAGAGGGAAGTATGGCTTCGGGGAGCACGGGTGATCATATGTCGAGGTATGCCCGGGCAGACAATCGAGCAATCTCATTGTCGCAAGTCACGATCTCATTTGGTCGGCCGTAATGCTAACTTTAGTCGAACCTCTTTTTAACGTCGACGTCGTTGTGTCTTTACTAGTGTCAACCGTTATTGCTTCCTCGGTATGCACACGCGCGAACCGGAAGTCTCCGAATTGGGCATCTCCTACTTTGTCCAACGGGATGATCCATGATCCATCAGCTTCCGTTCTAGGGTCCGATACGCTCCTGCCGCGCGAACGGGGTTCTATACCACAGTACATTCGACAATCCCATCCTTATTGCAGTCACTTTGCGGCAGTTCCTGGGCACGAGCGCGGATCCGACGAAATAAACTTAGTGGGAATTGGTGAGCTACACTACGCTGATACCTATACATCTGTTGCGCCTCGGTGTTGACATCATCTCTGAATAATAGATGACAATGTTGATCAAACATTGACCGCCTACATATAGAGAGATATTCTGGAAAGGGGAGGTCAAGCGAGAAAAAACTCAACCCTAGATACCCACATCTGCCAAGGGCTTTTCTACAAGACGTTCTTACCAACTTGTTGAGTGTCTCTGACCTTCGTGGCTGCCACGTTTTGGAGCTAGAATTACGCTAGAAGCGAATACATGTCGGCGGTGCTGAGCCTGTTAGAATTATCTTCATTTCACATGGAACGCTTAGACTCGACAGCAGCGCTAGCACCAACTTCCTTCTCTGCACAGTGCGAGATGCATCACCGTCCGGCATGACATCCCCAGTCCTGATTTCCTGGACCGTTTATGGCTCGTCCCTTGTTCGTGCCTCAGCACTCGCGATTGCCTCCATCTAGTGTCTCCTCCACAAAAGCCATACTCGCTTTGATCCTAATACAGTCCGAAACTCTTTAAAGCTAAACTAGTAGGATCAAAGCGGAAAGCAAAACCCTGGCACTTTCCCACACACACGGCGCCGCGTGCGTCTTGTCTTTTTGCCTTTGTCCTTATATCATCCAATCCTCCGACCCTGCGGTGCCCGCTCTCCGTCGGCTCGCTAACCTCGCTGCCTTCTGTACTCTGCTCTTGCCAGTCTGTATGTCTCTTGAAACTTCGTGGTCACTGCTTCTGGATTGCTCCATATCGCCATCTCTTATTGGCTTGCTGGGTCGGCACGACGCTCCTATACTTGGATTTTCCCAAGCTGCCCCGCTAAAAGCTGCTCCTGCTCCTGCTAATACTACTCTCTGTTGTTGCCGTTTCCCTTGACTAAGAAAGGTCTTGATTTTGTGTACCGGTACCCGAATATCAATGTCTTGTTGCCTCGATGCAACATCGAAGACCTGATGCTTCTTCGAACGCTAGAAACCAGCTTCCACCTCTAGCACCTCGAGGCCAGCAGCCTGTTACTGCTACTTCTGCCAATGCGGAAACAGAATCTGCTGGTGGGAGTACTTCTTCGACGCGGCCGAGATTATCGCACCGCTCGAGGGCCGGCTGTTGGTAATTCACCTTTCCCCCTGTCAAACACAAGAAATTCGGACAATTGCTGATTCGATACTCTTGAAGGACATGCAGAAAGCGAAAGGTGTGTTTGCTCCAATGGTTGAGGACACGAAGGCCTCTACCGCAATAGGAACGATCGACTGACAAGAAGCCCAGGTCAAGTGCGATGAGACTCATCCACGATGTGGTGTAAGATATATGTAATGAACCACTGCAGAGAAACCTGACTGACCTTTTATAGCCTTGTACGCGCCTGAACAAGGAATGCGATTGGGAGTTCCGCTGGAAGTTCGACGATGTCACGCAAAACACACAAAACAAGTACTCCAACGTATCAACAACTGGCAATGCTGTCTGGGATCGTGAGTAACCTCTATCCCTTCCATATACCATGAATGTGGTATCAAAAAATCTATCTTCCCCCCTCCGAGGACCACAATCTTGAGGACCACGGCTAATGGTTTCTAGCACGAGCGCCTCGGACAAGCCTGGGAAGTAGGAGATCACAATCACCCTCATACGACGACCTTCCGTCATTCTCCGAATTGACAAACGATGAGGATCGAGAAAGGAAAGCCGAATCTCAGATGCCTGGTACTTTCAACGTTGTCGTCAACCCTGAAAGCTTTGCTGGCCTTCCGGAGTATGGATTGCTCGGCACACCACGACCACGGAAGACTAGTATTCGCTCCGGTCGTAACAGCTGGGACAGTCACATGTCCACAGAAGCTTCAAGAAACAGAGCTAGAACTAACCTTTCGAGCGGCGATCCCAATGTCGTGGTGTTGGCCAAGTTTGAAGACGCTCCATTAACACTACCAAGCCTGGCAACCTTCCCTGTGGATAGAAGGACCAGCCTACCGGAGAACCTCCACTCTCTGAATCTCACTGGAAGCTCTCGAGGATCAAGTTTACCGTCTGCGCGGCGGAACGATTCAGTCACTCAAGGGCTTCGAGACGAGAGACTCATGGTCCACTATAGAGGTTTCATCTCGAAGCGCATCTTCCCACTTGGCAAAAACCTGCTCGTTGACCGACCGATGCAGGAGGACCCTATTGTCGCTGAAGCCAGGGACTTTCCTCCTGTAAGTTGCAAATTTCCGCGTTGCCTTGTTGCCATATCTCTGGAGCCAGATATCTGGAGTAGCCGTTAGATCACACCACGACGTAGCAAGTCTATCTGCCTGATTGGCCTGTCGAGCTTGTAACAGGCTTCAGAGATCATGCGCACCTGGCTGTCAGTTCATGGACCCCGCTAACGTCATATTAGCTATACCATGCCATATGCGCAGTCTCACTACTCAGTCTAGCACTCAAGGGTCAACAACAACTCTTGACAGAGGCCTTCCAACACTATCACCAAGCTATATCCTCCAGCTTATCTTCGCCCTCCGATCTACATTCCGACCGCCTCCTGTATCTACACTTCTTACTGCTGATCTACGACATCAGCTATGCCACCCAAGGGTCAAGCAACCCCCAAGAAGTCTTCAACATGAACATGTGGGAGCACCATATCCAACATCTGATCAGAATCGCCCAACACCGCAAAGGCCAATCCAATGGGATCTTGCAAGCCTATCTCCTCTGGTATGTGCTGTACCTGGACAAACAAGCCTGTCTTTCAGGAAACGGCAACGGAGATTTCGTCCGCGCCTTCCTCACAAACGACCTGACGATGCCCGACTGGAACCGCATATTCTCCGGTTTCGACATCACACAACCAACCGGAGTCTACCGCGGCGAAGACACCAGCGCCCATCGCGATGTCTTCGAATTCGCCAACCAAGTCTGCATCCAAGGTGCAAAACTGTGTCAACTATCACTCAAGATGCGCGCTGAGGCAGCGGTGCAAGATATACACGGACCCCAAGGAAGTCAGATCATGGCCGCACGCATCCAGCAGGTCGCACAGTACCAAAACGAGCTCTACGCAGCATGGCACCGCTACTGCCCCTCCTACCTCTTCCAACCGAACGCCGAATACGCAACCGCCCAACTCCCCCTCATGGCCCGCATATTCCTCGACTTCGTAAGTGCTATTCCTGTTCTTGCTATTCGTCACCCCCTTTTTCGATTGTCTTCGTCTGACTCTCTTCATTCTATAGGCACAACTTCAATTCTCCACATGGGTGGTCTACTCAAACAGCTCCCTCTATCCCTCCCAACCTTTCCACTTGACTCCCACCCAGCGCGCCGAAACCCGTCTACACAGTCTCAAAATCCTCTCCGTCGCCGATTCCGCAGTCACACTCCAAAACTATGATCAACATCAATTGGTCTTCCCCATCTTCGTCGCTGGGTTCGCAAGCCCTGATATGGAGACGAAGAGCAGAGCGATCGCTCTCATGAGGGTTATGGAAGGAACAGGGATCTCGAGGAATGCCACTAGGAGTAGGGAACTATTAGGGGCAGTGTACGAGGAAATGAGGGTGAGGGAGATGAGCGGTGGGAGAGCCGAAGAGGTGGATTGGATCGAGGTTGCGAGGGCAAAGGGCATGGGTGTGGTCAACTTTGGGCTTTGAGAGAGATGCTAGAAAAGCATATCATGCTCGTTTGCTATCATTGCCTATCCCCTATGCTCGACGATCGCCTGGATCGAGAAGAAAGAGGAGGTCAAACACAACAATCGAGACAGGTCATCCTGCCGCACTTTACGAAGATGAGACCACACACAATGTTTTCAAGCAAAGCAAAGGAAGAGGAGGAAAAGAGTCACGGTCACGAAAACTGGCATGGAGGTTTCATTGTCATCCCGAAAAAAAGCGTCTTGTTTCTGATCTTCTATTCTGTTTTACCATATTCTTTTTCTGATTTTTTTTCCCTGTCACATCTGTTTGTTAATCCCACAGCGAGGCGTTTATTGTTCCCAATCTCTTTTCTCCTTTACGGAGCCAAGAAGATTTGGAACAGGGTGGTACTTTGTTTTCATTCTGTTCATGAGCACGTTTCCTCTGTGTTCTTCTCCTTGGGAGAGTATCCCTCGGGCATCCTTTCTCCTCATTTGGAAAGGCGCTTGCCACATACGTGTACGTATTCATGGAATTGACTCCAAGCTGATGTTTCGTGTGCACCTTCCTGCCAGCAAATCGTGACGTTGGAATAGTTTGGGATCGTGCTTCGTACCGCTAGTGGAAAAGCCGTTACGACAGGTGGGAAGTGTCTCAGACCCCTCAAGTGTTTCGCCATGACCTCGTGTTGCTTCGATAAGGTTATACAAACAGGCACCGACCCACGCGGCCACATGCACGTCTCGACAACACCGAGCAGAAATGCTTGAAGTGGTTGTGGGTGTTAAGCTTTTTTTGCTCTTCGTGCTGCTTGAAATTTGACACACCTTTCGCTTTTTGCCTAAATGAACGTGCGGTGGAAGGGTGGGATGTTGTATGTCGCTTTGCGTAACGTAGCTATTCTAGCTTTGGTGTTGTGCATGTTCTGATCCTTGCTTCTTGGATCATCAGAGAGGGAGGTAAATTTCGGCGCCCTCGGCCACGGATGCAACTGCCGAGTTCGCATGTGAGTGGTGCGGTGGTTGGTATGTCGGCATAATGCATCATTGGCTCGGTGTTGGTAGGGCGTCCTCGGCGTTCAGGCACTATCTTGAGAGGCCAGTCATCAACAGTCGGGCGTTCTTGTCCTTCTTTCAAGGTTTGTTGAGAGATGGTCGCCGAGGAGCTCAGGTGTTCCAGAGCCTGTCGATCGGAAAGTATGCCCTGTATTCGGATCTTGAAGAGGTGAAGATGTTTGAGGCTCGAGCAAGGTTGAACTGGGAATAAGCGGTGAGGGGGGGCTTTTCGATGGTCATTGAATGCCCAAGGTGCGTAAAAGCAGCCAATAGACAGACTCGATGAGGACATATGTGGAGATGGTGGTGTTCAAACCTCGACAACGGATTGATCTGATGGATGATTTGACATGCTACCCGCCGGGTATCGTAGTCTATTGCAGTCGAGGTCATCGAGGTTGTGTTGAAAACGACGATCCCATTCGACATCCGCAAGTGCTTCGTGCGTAACAGTCCAGCACGAGCACTTGGACGAGCCGCAGGGTCTTGTTGCGTCCGTGAGTCCTGGTTTTGCCGAAGTAATCAAGGCATGGATCGGAGGTGTGAGTAGAGAGGTAGAATCCTACAGGTTGGGATCTGTACGAGAGACGCAAAGTGCCAGGAGCTGAGAGCGAAGATAGGAGGCTCGACACGCAGGGGCCATTGACATGCCTGTCGATCATTTGGCAGTCTGCTGATGCTCTTCCAAGTTCTATGTCAAGCCACGATCCCGAAGACCAAGGGTCTACGGAGTATCTCGAGTAGAATAGGAGAGAGCTCCGCCACAAGGTCGCTGGTCAATTGAAGCATTGATCAATAATGCGAACGGAGGTTGTACCGGATAACGGAGAGGTATGGTTGAATATTGTTGTTACATCGTCCATCTTGGAGCTTGAGCCCCGTCGGTGTCGTCTGCTCTTTCCAATCTTATGCTGCATGGACGCTGCAAAGATCATCTCTCACACCTTGGCAGAAACCCGATCGTGGGTGGGTTTCTTCTGCGGCCTGCCCTGAAAGTGCCAGATGACAAGTAGGCAGTGGCATCCGGACTGCAAAGCTTACCCTATTGCGTATTAATTGCCCTGGAGAACGGGGCCACCTGTATAAGCGAGACCGTGTATCATCTTCCCACACCCACAAGCAGATCCGAGTAGGTGTAAGCCCGTGCTACCTTCCTCTTCCTGTCAATCGTCGCGACACTCTTCTTACGGACATTCTTCATCAATAAATGTGACGTGTCGCGGTCCCGGGCACTTCGGCCGAGAATCATCCCATTATCCAGCCAAGGCAGAACCCCCATCACGGAGGGCTTTACCGTAGCACCGTTGCTTGACCAAGCGAGTGCCCACTACCATGTCTCAACGCCAAACCCGCCGTCTTGCGACGGTCAATCTTGCAAGTTGAAGCGCACCACACACGCTCTACATGCTCAATACGAATGTCGAGATCCGAGAGCATCCAACTGTATCGATCCAACGGGCACCTTGGTAGCCTCGTCTTCCCGATGCAGCTACGTGCACTTGCATCATCCTGTTCCTCCAGGAGTCTGCGCTCGCTGGCAACTGCCGGCCGAAAGCATACCGCTTACTCTGCAGACTCTCAAAGACGTCAGAACAAGAATCCCATGTTTTTGAATTCTGTTGGGAAAAACTAGGTATCTGTCGAAGAAGCCTCGTGGACGGCCGTTGTCGTCCGGGGAAGAGCGCCGTCGGGAATCTTGATGTGTGTCTGTCCCAGAACGGCACCATTCCACGGCGACGGGCATGGCTTGTTTGTCGAGCCAAAGGCACAAAGCATGGAGGTGGTCAATATACAAGGCGACCTATTGGCTGAGCCGCCCCTGAGTATCGATGCTTCCAAAATGACAGGTGCACGAACCTTAAGTGGCAGGAGCGAAGAAGAAAAATTTCCTTCTTCGAGTATGAGCCGACTTAAAGTTACGACCTTGTGGAGACCCGTGGTTTTGGAGGCGGACACACCACTTTGCAGCATTTAAAGCCTAGTCAAAGCTCCCTGCAGCCGTTGTCAGCCGGGAAGAAGCAGCGAAACAAGATTCGTAAAAGCAAGATGCAAAGATGCAAAGACGCAAGATGCGAGACAAAGAATACCAAACTTTGCTCTTGCTCTGACATGATCATATCCGATGATGCAAACAGACCAGTAGCAAAGAAAGTAAAAAATGGAAGCACAAGGCTCGAAGACAACACACCCAAGGCAACAGAGTGGGGATATGAGAAAGCAAGACGACGCGTCAACGTGATTACGTGAAAGCAGTCTTTGATTCAATCAGAGAACTGTGTGTTCTGTTCGCTCTTTCTGCAGTAATGTCTTTCTTTTGACCGCGCCCTGCGCATGCAAAATGCCGCTCCTAACGCAACATCAAAACACCAAAGAAAAATGAGGGTGCTGCGATGCTCGCAGCTGACCCCCTCAAGAAAAACATCTACACAGAAGAAGTCTTTACTCACGAACTCCAAGGACCACTAGTCCTCTGCTTCCATTCGGGTGAAGAGCAATAGCAGTGGTTCATGCGTTGCTCAAGCATCTTCGGCCTCCACACGACACAAAACCTCTTCCAACACGCCTTCGAGAAATCCTTCGACGCCCTCGCCCATGCCTACAGGAGCAACGCTATCCCAATGATCAATATCCTTCATGAGGCGGCCAACCTTCGAAACCAGTCTACGGATTTGTTCATGGGCCTGCCTCTTGAGCATAATGTCCTGCGGAGAAGGTGCGGACTTCGACTGCGTATTTGCTGACTTCTGCAGCAAAGAGAGTTGATACGCACGTCGGTGAAGAGCAGCTTCAAGAGCAGGAATAACAACACCAGAGAGCGCGGTGATCTCATCGTTTTGAGGCTGGGCAGGGGGCGAAGGTCCAGTCATCGACGCTGAAGACGAAGACGATGGTCTGCTGCTCGATGAGCTACTTTGCATCGAGTCAAAAGACTGCTGTGTCCTGAGTTGCGCGTCTGAGCCCTGTCTGGCCCTGAGCTGAGCGTCAGAGTCTTGTCGCAATCTGCCTTGGACGTCGGAGCCCTGTCGCGATCTAGCCTGAACATCCGAGTCTTGTCTAGTCCTGCTCTGGGGCTCCAGTGTTTGCGGCTTTGGAGCTGCTGCAGTTGTAGAGAAAGCAGACGAGCTCGGTCTCAATGGGGCCAATACTGGCAGAGGTTGTTGTTGTTGCAGCGACCGCGCCTGTTGTTGCTGCTGCTGCTGCTGTTGGACGCTCAAGGAAGAAGACGTTCGCTCGAGGGTAAAAGGATTCGAAGTTGTCTTTTCAGGCGATCTCGACATGCCATATGGCGGTGCATTGCTTTGCTTCTGGGCAGCGGGTGTTGAGGGTCTAGACGGCTCATTTGGTCGCTCATTAAGAGAGAGGCCCTTCATGTAAGAAGACATGTCAGCAGCAATAGACTGCTGGATAAAATCATCGTTGATCTGCTGTGGCGGTGACTTCAATTGTGCTTGGCTGGCGGCGTGTCTTGAGGCTACCGACTGTGAAGAGCGTGGAGTCTCGGGGGGCGTCTGGGGCACAACCTTCTTGATTGGAGACGGAGGCAGAGGCACCCGAGCAGCGACACTAGGAGAAGGGGGCACCATACTTGACGATGAGCTTGGTCGCTTCGAGGGAGAAAGGTCCCGGGGTAGTGGCGGCGGCGGCATGCTAGGAGCAGCGCGAATAGTGCGACGACTTGAGTTCTCCTCGCCGGCTCTGGAAGCAGCCTGCTTGTTGGGGGACTGTGGCTCAGGTACAGGTGTCTGATTGCGAGTGTTCATGGCGGCCTCGTTCATAACCTTCAGCCCTGGTGCTCTGCGTGAAAGGGGTCTGACCGTACCGAAATCCCAGAGGTCTTCTTCGTCGGAACTACGTGGGGGCGAGACCTCGCGTATGTCCTCATCGTCTTCTTCGCGATCACCGTGGCGTGCCTGCCATCTCTCATATCGTTCGATCAGCTCGGTCAAATAGGTAGTTCTTCTAGCCCTGCGAATCCAAGGGTGCTTGAGAAGCTCTTTAGCGCTGGGTCTCTCTTTCGGCTCCTTGCGCAGGCAAAGGTTGACAAAGTCCTTGAAAGCCTGGCTAAAGTTACCCTCGAGCTGGGGAGGAGGGTTCTTCGGGATCAGAAAAAGGACCTTCATGGGATGAATATCGGCATATGGGGGCTCTCCATATGCCAGCTCCAGAGCAGTAATGCCAAGAGACCAGATATCGGCTTTGTGGTCATAGCCAGACTGCTTGATGACTTCGGGTGCCATCCAGAAGGGGGTTCCCACAAATGTGTTCTTCTTGGTCATGGTGGCGGAGAGCTGTCCAGAAACACCAAAGTCGGCCAGCTTGACTTGTCCATTCGAGCCGAGAAGAATGTTTGCAGCTGTCAGAGTTAGTATAAGAAACGTCTTTGAAGCCTCCATATCATCTCACCCTTGATATCTCTGTGGAGCTTGTTGTCGTTATGCAGGTATTCCAGACCCATGAGCAGCTCGCGGATGATGATGATAATGTATTCTTCAGGAATGCTGCCTGGTCTCATAAGGTTGCCGCAGCTGCCGCCAGAACAGTACTCCATAATGATCCACAGATCTGAGCCTTTGAGATATGATCCATAGTATTTTGTCGTGTAGGGCGAGTTGAGACCCGAGAGGATGGAGATTTCCTGGATGATATCGTCGACCTCGTCTTCGGCGTTCTCGACGTCAATAACCTTGATGGCAACGGCTTGTCCGGTACGCTTTTCAACTCTGTGGACAACAAGTGGTTAGCGGCTGGCTACTATGTGAAGGTGAAGATGTGTGCGACTCACCCCTTGTAGACCTTTCCGAAGCTGCCACCACCTGTTGCTTTGTGTCAGCATGCACTACGCCATATTCATTCAACGCGCATGTCCTCACCAATGCAGGCCTGCTTCGTGTACAGAGTCTCTGGGTCTACTGCCCCTCCTCCAAATGCAGAAGCCATGTCGCAGTTGCTGTTGCGAATCGAAGCTTGCGCCCAGCTGCGTCTTGTAACCGCCGAAAGTGATATTCGATGTTTCGCCTGGTGCAGTACAGTGCCAAAGTCGCAAGGATTGCTGCAGATCTAATCTATTCGTCGTGATGGGGCGTGTGTCTCGTTGCGTTCGTTACTATTTTGGGGAAGCGCTGATGTCGTCAAACCAGCAACGACACAGGCATGGGCGAAGGGAAGTGTCGGCGGTCGAGTCGGGCGTCGGAAGGATCGAGATTCAAGGCGGACGGAAGGTGCTGAATGAGAGTGGCATCAACCAGAGAAAAAGAGAGAGCTCTTGTTTACCCAGCAATCTTGCCGTCCAATGCGAGCGGCTGTTGTTGACTCGAACTTGGTTTGTTGATGTCCTGCGTCCCGACCCGACGACGGCCGTGCACCTCCGCACTCACTTGTCAAGCACACCTCCACCGTCTATCCTCACCTTCTTCAAGTCACTTTTGCTTAACCGCGTCTTTGATCGGAATATTAAAACACTATCTATGATGCTCTATTTGCAATCTGTTCCTGAGCCGAAAACATTTGTGCCGGAAATGCTCAGTAGCCGCTGCTACGACGAGGGGAATCTCAAAACTACGAAAAAATACTGAATAATTATGTAGAGAAATGCAGGACAATCTGCGGCCTTCTACTCCGCCCTGATCATGCGTAGCGGGCCGTTTCTTCGTGTACATGAAACCGTCGCTCTGTCCGTCATTGCCTTTGAACGCCTTTAAACTCATTTGAATCTTGATGATAGCAGTCTGCCCTTTGCTACTCTTACTCGACGTTCTCAGCTTCTCGAAGACGGCTGAGAGCAGGCTCTCGCTGTCCCATGGGTCCAAGGTTCATGAACAATGTGTTACTCTCCCTCTTTGCCTGCTTGCTCATTGGGTTGCTCAATTGTGTTGCGCGGCTTCCGTTTTGGCCAGAGAATCTGTCATTTTGTGGATTCGGTCCGTTCTCCTTGTGTGCCAATTGAGAGGACGTAAGACTGGCATCATAACCATCGCGGCTAGAAGGCGCCGACTGCTGGTAGAAACTCGTCTGGTTATAGCTGGGCGTGGACACTTCACTAGATAGCTTCTGTCGAGGTGACCTAACACTCTCAGGTGTCACCCCCGAAAGTGGCGTGTCTACAGGGTAGGCTGTGACTGGAGTGGTTATGTCGATTGGAGCACCAAAAATTCTGTCATTCTCCATGACGAAGAGGGATATAAGTGGAGCCGGTATGTTAAGTGTTGGCGCAAAGACAATGCCGACTGTTTTGACGTCAGTATATTCAGCAGGTCTCATGACATAGGAACGATGTAACTCACCATTTCGAACACTCATCTTGTTCACACTCTCTCTATCAACAATCTCGCGTAAGAACGTGCTTAGAATATCCAGCAGCTCTCGATTCGCCCTAGGAAGCTTATTCACAAGTACATTGAACACTTCGACCTTGATCTTTTCATCCAAGTCCAGACCCTTGAGAAATTCAAGGTGATGTTCTCTTGTAAGTATACTAGCCGGCAACTCTCGGAGGTAGAGCTTGAGTAAGCTTGCAACGGCATGAATGTCATAGTACTGGCCCTCGAGCAGTTTGACATCTCCTTCGGTATTGAAGCGTTCCCTGAGTGCTTTGATGACAATATTTGAGCCAGAAAGGCGGAAGATTCCTTCCTCAGAAGACGCATTCTTTGCCCTCAGGTACTCCACAGAACGATAAACCACGGCTGGCAGGTGTACAGGGACATCCGACGGCGGCGCAATCTCCACAGCTTCAGCCAAGGGAGCACCAAAGACTGGTCTGACAAGAACAGGCGACTCGCTTTGGACCAGATCCTTAGGTATGCTGCCAGGAACTGTGTCGGACGATGACCGACCCCTGAAGCCAAAGATGCTTCGCTTCTTGTCCTTGGTCTGGGTTACAGGTTCTCTCTTGTTGCCCCACGACTCTGCATTCTGAATTACAGTGCCATTAGTTGGGCCAGAGATTTGAGGGTGGTGGTTTGAGTCATGGTGTTGCTCGTTGTCGCCAATTGCTGGTGAGCCAACTGGCGAGGGCGTGGCTAGTTCGCGATTAGGACCAATGATCGGCGCTTCAGCGGGCATCGTAGCTTGATATGGAATACTGCGTAGCATCGAAGAGCTGTCCGACTGTCTCGAACTCGCTGAAGAAATATCGTTCATTGATTTCTGGAGACGTGGACTGCGCACTGCATGCATGGAATCTTGCTTTCGTAGCGCTGTAGGAGATACAATCTGATCGACATAGTGCAATAGAGCCTCAACCCAGGAGTCGCGTTCCTCGTCGCTTTCTGCGCAAAGCACATGGCGCACGTGGTTCGAAGAATCTTTGCGTTTTGGCTCGAGGATTAAGAAGGCGTGTCGGTATTCGCTGTCAGAATCATCTTCGCTATGATGTGTTGAGTTTTGTGCCTGTTTACCAATCTGCGCATTCGACAGCTTGATTGAGCCCAAAATAGCGCCGCCAGGGGCTTCAAAATACTTGAGAGTGGGCCCGTCCAGAACGAAATATCTGGCCTTCCAACCACCGAAGTTCTTTCCACGTTTGGTCAGGTAGCCATCTTTGCGCGCGCCTCCACCTTGTGGCACTGGAGCTTTGGCCGCGTTTGTTGGTTCTGGAGTGAAGTACTCGGGCATATCGGGTCCAATTGCGTCAGCAGTCAAGAACCCGCAGATGATGACAGCAGCTTGATCGTCCATAGGAGTATCGAGCATACTGTCAAAATAGAAGCTTAACGCATTCCTGCGAGCATCCATCCGAGCAGGAGCGTGGCCAGTGAACAAAGAACGATCAGGGAGCTTTGTTCTGAAATTTGACGCAGTTTTAATTTGTTGGTCAAAGACGGACATGGCACTCAATGACTTCTCCACCCGCCATAATTGCGTTCTGTTGGACCTAGCAAAAACAGCAAGCGTGATGACGGGGTTCTCCTCGGATAGTTTAGGTGCCATATAACTGTGTCTTGAAGGTCGCAAACGTGATGAGTCGACTTTCACATAGATCGAAGGAAGAGCGTTCGGGGGTAAAAGGAGACCAGGATACTGGTCTGACATAAAGCCTCGGTAGACCTCGCCAGGAGATCTTGGAGCAGGCGCGTACGAAGACGGCTCAGGCTCCGCAACATGCGATTGAGAAGGGACCGCGAGCCTATCAGACATGGAGGTTGCGGCGAGCGCCTGATACGTCTCAGCTCGAGCCAAATGGGGAGATGCAAACGAGAGAGGTGTCTGTGGTGGCATTGGAATAGGTTGGCGTGGAGCACGTGGTGACAAAGGCATCTGACCTCCGACTCTAGGCGAGAGAGGTATTGACGACATTGTCTGTTTCATGGCTCTAGGCATGGGTGAGTTCATGGGTCTGTCACCAGGACGAGGACTCATGGGTAGACCGGGGCTTAGAACAGTCAGAGATACAGGATGCCGTTTAGGTTGGGCAGGGGCGTCTGCTGACACCATCTGGCCCATGCTCTGGAATGTTTGCACCTGAGCAAGCTGAGGAGAACCAAAATCGATCGTTTCGGTGTCACTGAGTACACCTTGATCCGTATCACTGAGAAGGCCTGGGTCTGCGTCTAGATCTGCAGGGGCAGGGACACGTCGACCGATGGCAGGAGGAGGAGCACTTCTACTGCTGGCTTGAGCTGGCTCTTTGTGTGGGCCCTCGCCTGCCAGCGTCTCCCTTGACCTGTCATCGTCTGCCCTGGTCTTCTTCCTTCCTCTGGAAAGCGGAGGTGTTTCATCCGAGTCCGAAGCTTCACGAAGCATAGTAGGAGCGTTTGAAAGGTCGAGTGGGGCAGGCTTCTCCTTGCGTAATCTCTGATTCGGGCTTGAGAAAGACTTAGGCGATAACACATGCGGAGCGTCAGGAAGCAGGGGGGTCTTCGGACCATTCGCAGAAGAGCGAACTGGAATGCCAGGCAAGGATGATGCGGAAGCCGATGTCTGTACGCGGTTGGGACGCGAAGGGCGGGATGGCAAGCTATCCAGAGAGTTGCTCGTCGGTAGTGGTGGACTAGAAGCGGGTAGGTTGGGAGACTGACTGTCAAGGCTGGCAGATCCTAAACTTTCTCTCATGGTGGGAGGACGAGAGGATTGTTCGCCGAGTATGTCCTTGAGCCTTTTGCGATACTTTTCCTTCTCTTTGAGTGTCCGCTCCAGGTCCTTGTTAAGTCCGAGGATCATGGCTCGTTGCTTCTCCACGAGCCTCCATAGCTGAGTGGTATGTGTCGAAGCCGACTGTTTCTCTTGTAACAACTTTGCGATGGCGGCCTCAGGAGAGCCGGCGGTAGCGATCAGGGTGGGTACGTCGGTGATGTCCAGAGATGTAGCCGACTGCGAACGTGCGATGGGTTGCGGGGCGGTCGATGAGGAGAGCGAGGATAGAGTCGAATCCATCGAGACGGTGCGCTGCGCTGCGGACGACATGGGTACGGGACTGCCGCGCTGAACAGCAGCAGATGATGCTAACGGGGCCATAGTAGGAGAGGCTTCCGTCGACTTCGAAAAGGCATGGGAAGCGCGCAGGCGACGGATGCTCTCTAGCGGCCTGGTTTGATCGGGTCGCCCATGCGCGAGTGGGAGTTGACGAGTGCCAGATGGCGGCTGTTCGTGACGGGTCTTCGGTAGGGTAGCAACAGGAAGCTGATACGTCTCGGTGGGTTGGTCGGCCTGCATCGACATGTTCAAACAACAAGAACTACTATCTGCAGCCTATGACGCTAGCGCCCTTCATTTAATGCCACTCTTTCCGTCTGGCGTGACACTTGTCGATGCGATATGATGGTCAATATCTCTGACTTTGGCTCGTCGTCTCTGGCATGCGCTCGTTCAAGAAGGAACAATCGTCAGCAAATTATTTTACCCTGTACCGTTCCTTCCCTCGCCTAAACACCAAGCACTTTGAAGCCTCTTGACTCGTCCCGCCAAAGCCGTTATGTTTCCAGTCTCTAGATCCAATCTGCCCCGACGAATCAGCTCTCTTGTAGCCCTACTTTTCGGGCACAAGGACAATCACTTCTTGTCACACGTCGCTGCATTCGTCCCCAATCCTCTCCTGGACCTTGCTTGATGTTGCTTCCCAATCTGACAGACTAATTTCCACGACTCTCTATTCCAGAGATCAAGCCAGAGATCATCAAGCCACCCCCGGCTTTAAGCCTAATCCGAGACACCTCGCTTGCCGTTCCATTCGATTCAGACGTTGCCATGCTTGTCTCTACTTCAGTCCACCAAGATAGAGAATCGATATGATAGATAGCAGATAGACCTAGATAGTGTCTTTGTCTTCGGAAAAATTATATCAATGACGTCTCCATGAATTTGAGGCTCATATCCCTGAAGCAGGTCTTTCTGTGGAGGTTTGACTTTGACAGGGTTTATTTTAATTATATGCGACGGCCCGCTGCTTCCCTCGTTCCAGCTTTCTTCTCACCTCCAGACCCATATTATACACTTGGTCCAAGGAATAGGGCAAGCTGTTCTGGGTGAGCCAATACAAAGCGCGTGGTGTTCTCTTACCCGGCGAACGCATGCCTCGTCTCTCTCTTACTGTTGGGATACGAGAGTTGGAACGCACAGGGTCCTCAGAAAAGCGTAGGCTTCTCTGAAAGTGCACATTAGGTCTTAACTCCGTGACTCCTCGGAGCTACCTTTCAACAAATGGACGTTTCAACAAGAATACGCAGAGAACATGAAATGCCATGCGCTTGATAGTGTAGAAATTTCACGCGGATATTATTAATATTCTCTCCTCTAACGATACGTCAAACCCACCGGACCACCAAGTATAATAGAAGATTCGTTATGCACATATGATTCGTTCCCAGTTTAATCTTCCCTTGCCCACAAAGCACCAAAACTCCTTCGCTGCGATTATGAATTTATAGCTATCGAAATCATTCATCATGAGCCCGCGAATCGAGGCATCTGAGCCGGTACAAACTCAGGTTCGTCGTCTACCGCCTCTTGTGGATCAAAGCTTGGGAACGGGACGGTGTCGCTGCCTGTTGACCTGTCGTCCTCGGCTGATGCAGAAGATATTGGTAACTTGTGCTCCTGCGTATGACCGGTGGACTCGTCGCGCGTGGTATCCGGGCTTGGAGCAGGCTTTGGTTCCGCAGAAGACGACATGTGCTCCATAGGCGATGGCTCACTGACGCTCAGTCCGCGTTTCAGTGCAAGACCTCGGGCAGCGTCTCTTTTCTCAGCAATGGCAGTTTCTTCCTCTTCTCGCAGTCTTTCCTCTTCTTGCTTAAGCTCAGTCATGGATGGTATGGACTTGGGCTCGCGCTCTATTATGGCTTCTCTTGATGGTGAGGAGCTAGCTACTCGAGATCGTCGTTTCGAGCTACGCGTACTTCTGCTTGACATGGTTCGAGTCGACATCCTAGAGCCAGTGCTTGGACGCTTCCCAGGGCGGCGTGGTTTACCATTACTGTTGACGTCTTCTAGTCCGGCGCCTGTAGTGCGACGCTCCAAAACCATGGCGAATTCATCGTCAAGCTCGTGAGCATCGTCTTCGTCCTCGCTTGGGAAGAGATCTCCCCTCGAACTGAACGAATCGACGGTGGCATTGCTCCCAGTGGTATTGCTTCTCTTTCTAGGAGAAAAATCGTCGTTCTCTTCTGCGAGTGGGGGCATTGTCCTTGAGGCGCCAGGATGTTCTTGCAGATCGGCGGCTGAGGGCTTGTAGCGCAAGGCCTTGCCGCTGGTGATTTTACTGGAAAATTTGCCCAGGAAACCAAAGTAGGAAGTAGCAGGTATAAGGGTCGGATCGGTATCAGGATCATCTCGTGGCTGAGGTTTGCGATGGCCGTACTTGTCCCGGCGAGCACCATAGCTCATGGCACGCTCGCGGGCAGGTTGATCTGACACGGTGCCAGCGCCATAGCTTGCATCTTCGGTATCCCATGCCAACAGACCGGCAGTCTCATCATCATCCCAGTCGTCATAGAAGTCGAAGCTCAGCTCGGGACGGGCGCGTGAACGGGCGCGGCTACGGCGTAGACGGTCGTCACAGCATGGTACGCAGGAAGAACAGGACTGGAAGCAGTTTCCGATGGAAGAAAAGCAGGGACCCAGGTATCTATGGGAAAAGGTGAAGATGTTGGCCTGGGCGGACTCATTGGCCGACTCGATGGTCTGCGAGATCTCGTTGATGGTCCGGCGGAAGCGAGGATCGCTGCGTCGATACATGGCGGCCGAGTGGCATCAGTCGAGCCTGTGTCGGAATTAATTGTAGGAGAGATGACAGCTGGAGCAGACGGCAGACGGCAGACGGTAGGATGATGACAATGGCGTGCCTTAGGCTTTGAGACCTTGACGCCTCGGCGTAGCATGCGACTGCGATTGGGCTCCGCCTTCGGATGTCATCCGGGCGCATGCGGAGAAGAGAGGAGAGATGGATAAGATAAGATGACCTGTCAAGGCGGGACTGCTCTTGGCAAAGGAGAAAAGGCAAAAACTTCGAATAGGCGGGCTGCGCGGGCCTAGATGGCGGTGCCGCAGCGCGATTGCAGCGAGTGTGGCCTAGACCTTGGACGACCTTGACCATCGGCCAGCGTTCGTTGACAGACACAAATTCAACATGTAAAACAAACTGCTCCAATCTACCGTCCTACGCCCCGTCCGCCCTTTCCTGACTCTTGCTTGTCTCCGGCAGCCATTTGTCGTGCGCCCTTGCTGTCTGTCACTCGACAACCATGCACTACAGTAAGCCACCCTTTTTTTCGAGACCGCCAACGTCCCTGCCGAGTACCTTGCCCTTGTTGCTGTCGTTCATGCCTTGTACCGGCCCTACTGCCGCCGTGCCTGCCTGCTGCCCGCCCTGTTCCCGTCGTGCCATTGCTCACATGCCCTGTTAGTTCGCTTCCTCAAGACCCCCAAGGTCACCGTCGACAACGGCTGCACCTCGCTCACAGCTGTCATCACACTCACTACCGACCTGGGCGAGACTTTCTACCCCCGTGACATTCTGCTCGCCGTGAGCCTGCGCCAACCTGAGTACGATGGCGACATTTACATCCGCCGCTCTCTGCAATGGAAGCAAGACATGCGCTCCCTCAACATCTCCCTCGACTTGACCCATACCGAGATTGACTGGCCCGCCAGGCTGCATGTCCACACAAAAGCTGATGGCCACATGACGGACCGCTTTGAAGAACATCACTCTCGTGGTCACCTCCCCGGAATCGTCTCCGTCTGGAGCGAGTACTTGAATCCGACCAAGGGCAAATTCGAGACACGCAGACGGGTCGAGCGCCGCTTCACTCCCTTGACGGGCCGCTCCTTGAATATCTACGAAGACACTGGTGAGAGTATTGCCCGTCATCTGTGGGACGGCAGTCTCTCACTGACCGCATACCTCGATCGTGTCGTTGCTCTGCGCTCTGTCCACGAAGAACCTCTGCTTGAGAGCGTCCTGTCCTCCGCCACATACAAAAAACTGAATGTGCTAGAACTGGGCTGTGGTTGCGGTGTCGTCGGCATTGGCCTTGCTCAGACTGTCACTGATTGTCATGTCGTACTCACAGACCTGCCCGAGGTCGACGAGTTGGTCGAACGCAATATCGAAGCCGCCAACCCTGCCATGTCTTCGACTATCGAGTTTGCCGCTCTGGATTGGGAGGCTCCGTTGCCAGCAAAGGTTGCCTCTCGCGCTTTCGACCTTATTCTGGTCGCCGAATGCATCTACAACAGCGACAGCATTCCTCCATTGGTAGACACACTTGAACGCCTCGTTCAACGCTCCCCAAGAGCCGTCATCCTCATCTCGACAAAAGTCCGTCACGAGAGCGAAGCCATGTTCTGGGATCTTTTCCACCAAAAGGGATTCAAGCAGAAGTCAAGGACCTCGCTACCGGTACCTGGTGAGCCCGGTCATGGTTACGGTGATAGTGCTACTGCGGTTGATGTCTACATCTATCAAGGCCCTAATCCAAGGAGCAGTCACTCGCCGGGAAGCTCAAAACCTGTCAGCCCCGCTTAGATGGGACTTAACGGCCTGCACTCATTTTTATTCGGCATCGCAATTCCATTGGGCGTTTCTGCTTCGGTCACCACATTCTCCCTGCGGGAGAGCTCATTCATCATCCTGGGGAGGCAAGGCGTTTCATCAAAGGCGTGATTTACAATTCAAAAGGCATGACAAGGATATGAGTTGCGGTTGGTGCGCGAGATGTTTTCTATGACTTCTGTTTCTTCTCTTCTATAATTCCTAGCTCCTGAAGGGCGTCAAAATGCCATGACCTGTTTTTCGTTCTACCTCAAGTCCCTTCCTCGGACCTGTACTGGCTGAGCCAGCTGCGTGTGTTGAGCCACGCCATGATCACGTTGACCAATACAACAACCCTTGCATTCCTTTTTTGTTCCACCCAACCAAAACAACCACCACGATCTCATACCATGCAGCCATCCATCCAAGAAAACAGTCGTCCTCACGGCTGGCTGCTATACATACATAGAGCAAAGCAGGCGCAAACAACCATCCCCAAAACAACAAAAACATGATCCTGGCAATGGGCGGAATCGAACCGCCGTCGGGTCGGCGTTGCTGGAATTTAACCTCCACAACGACACATGCTACCACTACACCACATCACCTTAGCTTGTAAGGGTTGAATCCGGTTGGCCAGATTCAGGATCTTGGAGAAGTGCTTCGCCGTGATAGTATATATTCCACGCGATGACTGGAAGATCAAGGGATGGTGGACTGAGGAGCCATCTCTCGTGATTAGTGACTCGAAATTGCCTCGAAGCCTCGAGAACGAATATTCGATGCAAGACTTTTCTGTTTTGTGGGGTTGATTGGGGTATTGTTTCGGAGTTCGTGGATTTATGGTTGACGGTATCACCCTGGCCGTTTGCTTTGAGCGACGATATGGGTCGTCAACGATATCTACACTGGCTTCATCCGCCCTCCTAAGGAGCCAGATAAGTGGGCTATCCATCAAGTCTGACTTGTATTTGATATATGGCATTGGGAGTCACTTTCGGTTTTAGAGGTTTCTTGTCTCGAGGAACAATCAAACAATGCATGTGTAACGCGCCACTCTGACCTTCATCAAGACGAACAACGGTGAGAGAACGTGGTCAACTTTACAAATCAAGCATTTGAGGTGTGCAATTCCATTCTCCACTTGATACGAAGGACATGAAGTCGGTCCATGTGAACGTGAAAAGTCATCGACCATTGAATGACTGACTCGATGTGCCGAGCCTTGTTACCTGGAATGTGGTCAAACAGCTTGTCCCCACAGTGAGATCAGTTTGACCAAAATCAGTCAAACACGCGCTAACCAAATGATTTAAACCACAAAAAAACTTCAATGAGAAATACTGGGAAAAGATGTTCATGCAACAGACGTGACTTCATTTAGACTACTCATCTATCATCATGCATAGGGCGGAAACATCGACGCTCCCAAGAGCAAAAGAAGGATGAAAAAAAAAGAAACAGAAGCAAACTACTAGTACAATCTCAACCATCAACTATCAGCCTTGCAGAGTGACCCCGATCATCCATACCCCATTACTAAAGCAATCAACATTCTGAAAGCCTTTTGCCGGTGTTAAAATGCCGAAGACGCCAACTAAGAACCCGTAGTAAGGAGAACGGAGGGGCGGCGACTGCTAGATCCTTCGCGGGCACCTTCATATGAGAAGTTTGACAACTTTTGCAGTGCGCTGATGAGACCAGTGGTACCTTGGGTGATGGTGGTCATGGCTTGGGTGTTGCGCTTGCCCACACTCACAGTGGTGACATTGGCCACCTTGCCCTGTTCTGAAAGCTCGTTGGCCCACTGGAAGATGGTCTCGTCTTCACGGTCGTTGCCGGCCACAAATAAGAAGTCGGGTGGTGTACGTCCCTTGCCTTCGATGTTCTTCTCGCGAAGCTTTTCGAAGATATTCGTTGCTGCTGAGCCTTTGCTCCAGTCAAGCGACTCAACATAGACTGCCTTGCTTGTAGGGATGGCCTGCACTCTGTAGCTTTGGCAGCTGTCATTAATGTGGTTCGCGCAGTCTCCTGCTTGGGCACGAGCGGCGTCGGGATCTACTGCCTTTTCGTAATGGAAGACGAGCGAGCAGTGACGTTCTTCGATCCATGATCCCTCAACACGCTCGGCGTAGTACTGGAAGATTGATTTGACATCCTTCTTCCAAGCAGCACACGCTTCGATGTCTGCGAAAGCTGTCCACTCGTCGTCGGCGGCACCCCACTCACGAAGGAAACATCCATTCTCTGCGATGACACCAAGTTTGGGAACTTGGCGGAACAGACGTTGCAGCTCCTCGGGGGTACGACCGGACATGACGTAGACAAGATTCTTTTTGTCAGACAACAGCTCGTTGAGGGTATCGAGGACACGTTGAGGAGAAGTCAAGACGACGTCCTTGTCTGTACCATAAGTAGCGAGCGTACCTTCGTAATCCAGGATGAAGACTCTGCGCTCTGCTTGCTTGTACTTTTGAGCAAGCGAGGTGACTGACAAACGAGGAATCGACATTGCGTCGCGAGAGAATTGTTCCTTGGACGCCTTGTTAAGAGAGTCGCTCAGACGGGTTACCCAGTAATCTCCAGTTTGGTGATGTACGACATGCGAAAGCTTGGTGTAGCGGCGCTCCTTCTCTTCGGGAGACATCTCCAGAGCAAGCTTGATGGCCTCAGCACACTTCTGGTAGTCCCATGGGTTGACAGAGATTTCACTGCCACCAAACACCGAGGCACTACCAGTGAACTCGCTAAGAATCAGAGGACCAAACTTCTTCTCCGTTGAAGCTCCGTCCTGACAGAGAACATACTCGTGAGCTGTCAAGTTCATACCCTCGCGGAGAGAGGTGATCATCATGACATCAGCAACAGTAAGCAAGGCAACATATTGCGAGAATGAGATGTCTTGCTTCAAGAAGACCAAGGGTTGATGCGCAAGCGTTGAATGCACAGAGTCAATACGTGTGTTGATGTCCGAAACAGTGGCCAAAAGCTCACTGTTCTCTGTGGTGGACGTAGCGACTTGCAAGAGAACAACCTGTAAAGTCATTGTCAGTGATGTAAAACAAAAAAACCGAGAATGCAGTTGACTCACGTTCTGACGCCATTGTGGGTATTTGTTGAGGAACAGCTCATAAGCAAGTAGCTTCTGTCTGACACCTCTGACATTGTCCAGCTTGTCACGGGCAACAATCAAGTGTTTGCCCTTGTATCTCTCTTGGATCACCTTGATCCACTCCTGCACCTCTGGCTCCTCTCTGGCCTTGGCCATGCCTTCGGGATCCACACCGATAGGTTCATGGCTGACGTTGACAAAACGTTCTTCTAATTGTACTCCCTCGGGTGTAGCTTCAACCGTAAGAAGGCGACTGCAGGTTTGCAGGAAGTGATGTGCATACTCCTTAGTCTGGAAGGCCACAAGGTTGGCACCGAGCATACCCTCAAGAAGCTCAGTACGAGTGGAGAGACATCTGAAAACTTCCGAAGAGGGGAATGCCGCATGAAGGAAGAAACCAATCTGGGCATCAGGTAGTCTCTTGCGGATCATGCCAGGAACCAGGAGAAGATGGTAGTCGTGAACCCAAATGATGTCGCCACGCTTGTAGTTTGCAATAATCTTGTCCGCAAAGTTTTGGTTGACATTTCTGTAAAACTCCCAAGAGTGGTCTTCGTACGCCTTACTCTTTGGATGGTCCGGAATCTGATAATGGAAGACTGGCCAGAGGATAGTTTTGCAGTAGTGAGTGTAATGTCCGTTGATATCACGATCTGATGGGAAGACAGTCACGGCGTCGTATTCGTTAGCAAGCCTGTCAGATATCTCTTCCTTCTTGGAATCGACTAGAGCATCGGTAGGGAATCCGAGGGTGCCAACCCAGATCTTTTGGAAATCCTCGTCAGACCTCGAAGCATCGTGAGCGCGAACGGCATTGATCAAGCCACCATTACCTTGAATGGCAGGCTCAACGGTCCAGGTCTTTCTAGCAAAGTTTCCAACGTTGCTGCCTCTGCGCGTGGTTCCAGTTGTCGGTCTGCGCTTTCTCTGAGCCGTGAATTTGGCCATCAGTTCCGGGTCCTTCTTCTCCGATTTTACGTAGTCGAGGATGCTGCCAGATGGGAGAGGACCGGCAGTAGATTTAGGCTGATTCAAAAACTGCGCAGCAGCGCCCCACTCCGGAGGGGCTGCTTCAGTACGAGCAAGAGAACGCGGGTCGCCGGGTTTGGTCCTGGGGTCATTTTGTACTTGAGTAAAGAAATCGTCCTGCTTCTCCTCTGCAGGAGTCTTGGGAGGTACAGGAGGACCATTGAACAAACTTGCCGCTGTGTTTGCGATGTTCTTCATATCAGTTGCGGACGCAGCACGACTGTGCATTCGCTGCGGATTCGGCCTTTTAGGTGCCTCTGGTTCATCATGAAAGTCAACCGTATACGGCAGGAACCTGTTTGACTTAGCACATTGTTCTAACGTCGAATTTCGTGTTATCACAATACTCACAAGCTAGCGACGAATGTCGACATGATGTGTGTAGGAGAATGTGCTGATGGCGAGAAAGCCTAGACGTGGACCCTGTGTCGAGTGGCCGATGTTTCACCAAAGCGATAGCTACCTAGGTGAGAGACGTCGTCGTAGGTGAGGAGGGATCAACCCAAGTTATGACCGGTGCTTGTAGGAAGAAGAAGATAGGTACTATCAGGTTTATAGGGCCCTCCAGAAACTTCTGTAGACAAAGCGATGGACGTGCGTGCCTGTTATGCAAGAGTGACGGTCGAGCTTTCCGAAATAGACTAGCAGCTTTGTCGCCGCGCGCGTCGAACCCCGAGGTTTTTCTCTTGGCCTGTTTGCCTGCTGCTGTCAGTTTCAGAATTGTTGACTTCAAGTCGCGGCTTTTTTGTCAAACAACAACTTCGTGAAGGTCAGAAGTAACACCTATTTGTAAGAACGTGTTTGCAAAGTTGTAAGCATGTGCCTCTATTCCGGTCGCGAAGAACAAGTAGTTACAGGGAGATCATGACCAACTTTGCCCTGTTTACAAGCTAATCCCTGTGCGTGACGATCGGCGCAAAAAACAGGCACCCGAAACTGCCCGCTGGGCGCTGCCATCGAAGTTGTGAACTTGCGATTTCCTTGCCATGATCGTACAAGTGACGCATGTTTACCAGCGATTGAGACACGTCCAAGACCCACCACCCACCAAAAAAGTACATCATGTTCTGGCGCTCGTTTATGCTTCATTCAAGAACCAAGGCCCTTGCGCCCCTAAATGTGTTTAATATGGCAGGTGTTTGCCGAGACATCAAAGCCGTGAACGCCATGCCAACAGCACATCAACATGTACTTTGATACTTCCTCTCAAGAAGGAATCCCAATCGAACACTCAATCAAATCCATGTGCCTCAACTCCAGCTGTCGAATCAGAATCATGCGACGTATTCGCAATCACTCGTATCTGTCGCTTGACCTCAACACTCTCGGCATTGTGGAACTTTAAATAAAACATTGCATGTCACAACTGACAGCCACGTGCAAGGCTGGAACAAAGACGATTCGGTGACATAGCGGTTATGAAACTCTTTGTAAATTTCGACAACGTCCTCCCAACAGACACGCAGACGCCAGAGAAGCAAGAGCAATCTGGAAGGGAAACTGGGTATATTGGAGGCAGAAAGCAAGAGGGCCAGAAAGCCTATGGTAGCAGCAATGAGACAAAAATGAGATGCCAAATAAAAGGGTCGGTCAGGGTATGTTGATCTAAGAGGCTCTAAAACAGGACAACACCGCGCTCTAATATACCTTCCTCATCATATGCCCCAACAAGAGGCCAAAACAGGTTGCTGTCATTTCGTCGTAAAGAGTCCAGTTCCTCAGACGAGCTATTCGCTGAAGACTGATAGGCGATGCATGTTTGTAACGCCTCGTTGTGTATGCGCGCCTTGTGTCAATTCAAGGTTGGCATTGATTGCTGGATCAGACAAACGACCAAGCACGTTAATCGTCCTGGTCTGCCTTTTGAGCCAGAACTTCTCGAGCATAGAATTCGACCAAGGTGGTTCCATATGCTTCAATCTCCTCGACAGGAACAGAAAGACGGAAGTCATTGAGAAGTAAAAACTGCAGTTCAAGGTGATTGAGCTCTGGCAGTGGAAGACCACCAACCTGTGACTGGGATTAGTGGAAGTGATGCAGAGAGTTTCCCGATTTGACGAACCTTGGCATAACGTGAGTTGGTATAAAATATATCAGAAAAGAACTTGCTGGCGCATGTGACACCCGCAATAACCAGTCGATGAATGTTGAAGCTATCAACAACGAAGAGGTGTGAGAGATCTAGAGTGTCTGCGTCCAGAGTAGAGGCAGCTGGAGAGTCCGGCTGGCGAGCTTTGCTGTGAGGAGTGCCAGGTACAGCGCCCTGGTTTTGTGTTTCTAGCTCGCCAGATAACGGCGGGGTTGCTGTTTGCGCATAGCCGTGGCTAGGGGGTGCCACACCCTCCATAGATTGGGTAGAAGCAGGACTCCTGAGTTCTTGTTCGGAAGCAACAGCGCGTTCATGCTTGTCCATCTCACGTAGGTTGTGCATGGCGCCTGCATTGACCTTCTCCATCATGCGGTCGAAATAGACCAAAAGGCTGAGGAACACCTCGTAGCTTGTGGGACAGTATTTGTTGATACGAAGAAGATAGCTCAGGATGGTTATGCTGGGCACATTCTTGCCGTGGAAAGCTAACACACTGTTCGATTGCAACCGGCTAGAAGACGAACCGCCCTCAGGGGGAGTCATCTGGCGGTGCAGGTGCTGGTGTTGCCTGTCGTTGGTGGCGGTAATCTTGGTCAGGAGACCAGCGACCATCTCGATGATGTTCTCAATGGGCATGCCACTGATTTCGTACTGTGGACCCTGGTCACCGACTTTGTTGCCATCTTCAGCAAAAGGATGCATATCATCCTTTGCTAAAGTCTGGATGTGCTTTAAATCGCGAAGCTTAATGCGCTGGGGGGAGAAAGTGGACGAGGAGTCGGATTCGGTGGGCGACGACTCGGGGGAGGATGGTTGCGCGGGGTCTGTGAGCGAGGCGGGAGGGTTTGCCAGATTAAGAGGAGTCCGCTGGCCTGCAGCAGGTTGTAGAGCGGGTGAAGCGGGGCGCTGTCTAGTAGACGAGGGCGCTGGCGACTCGGCAGACATTCGCGAAGCATGCGAGCTGCTTGCTCGGCTTTCAGTTGCTGACATGGTGTTGCGTGGTGGGAGGTGGTGTGGTGCAAACGGAGGCTCAGCGTGGGCCAGATGTGGAGTGTGCCGGGAAGGTGGTGGCGGCAGCGGCGTAGATGAGTGTTGTGTAAAGGCGTCGATTGCTACCGAGCCCATAATCTACAGGCCCCTGTGTTCTGTTCGATCATAGATTAGTATGCGCGCCGCCAAAGATGGAGTTGGGAGCGCTGCCGCGCTCGCGTCGAGAGGGTTGGGGAGCTCAGCAACCAACCATCGGCCAAGACATGTTTGGTTGACGAGACAAACACAGCGACGATTGACACGGCACAAGACGACTCCGTATACAGCAACCAGACATAGAAGTAACCATGGAATATTCTGGTCAAGGCGGTCGGCGATCAACCAGGCCTTGTCGCCGACTCGTCGCGACGTCACTTGGGCGCTGCACGTATGCTATGGCGAGACCGTCACGATAGCAGGATGGAGAGATGGGAAAAGTGCTACTCACACATGCAAGGCATTTCTTCTGCACAAACAGTGCCGCCGGAGTGGCCAAAGAAGTCGTCTCTATCAAGAGAGAGTGAGCGAGGTCGGACAAGGGATTAAGTCAACAGAAAACAGAACGCTGAACGAGGGAGTTCAAAGAATGGGGACCGGCCAAGGGACGGCAGTCGAAACTCTGTTCGTTAGACGCCTCTAGCTTCCGTACCCTCGACTCGCGAGTCGCCCTACAAGACACCAAGACCCCAGCATTACTCGCTCTCAGTCCATATTACACCTCCCACGTGTTTGTGCAGCCACGGTCATCCATGAGACATGATTTCGTATTATCTATCTGGTGCTCCCTATCCATCTCCCATTCCATTCATGCTGTCGCAACCCCTCTGTATGTCTGGGAGCGTCATTTTCTGGAGATGGGTGAGAAGCCAAATGCGCGCTAACATCTAGCTGCCCGGACCACTTGCTCCGCTGCGTGCAAGTCGCGGCATCAGAAGCAAAAAGGGTGTGTCGCTAACCATTGATGCAGCACTCACTTGGTACCAGGACCGGTGTAGCCATTGTCGGGCAAGTAAAGGTGTCTTACAGCACCCTTCGCGGTGAGGACGACCATGCGAATCACACCGCCTGAGCTTCCGTCCCACTTGATAGCCTCTCTCAGGGATCCCTTGACGAAGTCGATGCCCTCCTCTTCGGTCATGCCTTCCTTCCAGTTGGCGTCGCAGTAACCGTAGATGTATGTTGATCCGGATCCGGCAATGGCGTAAGACTGCTTGTGTAGAGATCCTCCTAGCGGTATTGAGTAGACTTGGCCACCATGTCTGCGATCCCATCCTGCGATAATGATACCGGCACTGCGCACATGATCAGCGTCCATTGGTCACCTTGATGTAGCGCCAACCCTACCTCAGCATATCCTTGTTGTCATAGCACAGCTCTTGAAAGATGGCGGCGGCGGTTTGTGTGGTGGGAGCCTCGTTGTTGTTGATGCCGTACATGTTCAGGTGGTATTGGACAATGTCTGCAACGGCTTGGGTGTCTGCGGCGGAACCGGATCTGCAGCACCAGATGGTGTCGTGCACTTGGGTGAGCTTGTCGGTGACACGGTTGGCAATGTAAGCGCCGGTGGTGGTTCTGCTGTCTGCGCCGAGGATGACTCCGTCCTTGAAGTTGATGGCCATGCTGGGAAGGGTTCAGTATAATTCCGGACGCAGGGTTGAAGATGCGAATTCGACGTACATGGATGTTCCGAGGCTGTCGTTTCGTGTTAGTCTTCTGTCAAGCTCATCACACATTTTGAGAAACACTCACTTAACCTCGCCCTTCTTGAGGTGATTCATGTCGATGTGAATACCATCTACACCTTGAGTAAGCTCCTGGAAACAGCTATTCTTCGGGGGCAATCCTACCCTCGCCGAGCATGCCCGTTGCTTGTCCGATCATCGTGAATGTGTTGTGAATGTGCGGTGTGGTTTGTCTGGAGAATGAGGAAGTTGTTCGGATGAGCAGGCGCCTGGGGGATGTTGAAAGTGAAATGCAAGTTGGATGTTGCGACAGCTCCAGGCAAACCATCAATGATGCACGCAACGCCGGCCGCCAGCCAGCCCGCCAAGCTTTCCGTCACCGACCACCACCACCAATCCTCCTATCTTTCCGCCCTCCGATGCTAATGCCAGTCTCTCGTTCCTTCTTTCTTTGCGCCTACCTGTGGTCCTATGGTAACACCTCGCCGGCTGTCAAAATACAATCCTCGTAATTTCAACTTTAATTTTGATTCTCTTTCTTCAACCACAACAGATGTCCGCCAACGACTTGCTCGCCTGAATAATCGATCTCTCTCCCAATCCCGCCGTTTCTCAGAAGCATCCGAGAATATGGCTACTTTACTATGGGGTTACCTCCGGGTGCCCATCATGTTCGCTTCTGGTTTGGGCGCCGTCGTCAGTAGCGGTCTTTACTACTACCAGAAGTATGTCTTCTGAACACATTTGAACCTCATCTTCTGACCCCGCCGAGTGAACTCATCTATCCTCGGAATATACCTGCAAATGCTCGAACCGATGTTCCAAGACCTGCTCAACTCGGCTTGGATGCCGAGGAACTCTCTCTTCCTACACCAGACGGTGAGACTCTGAGTGCTTTCCTCATCAAGCCGGGAAATGTCAGTAAGGCAAAGAACGTAACATTCATCATGTTTCATGGAAATGCTGGAAATATCGGACATAGGCTTCCCATCGCTAAAATCCTGGCGAACGAGTTTCACTGCAATGTTTTGATGCTGGAGTACCGAGGTTATGGTTTATCAACTGGCAACCCGGACGAGAAGGGCATTGCGAAAGATTCACAGACTGGTCTTGATTTCATCCGCGGCAGAGGAGATCTCAAAAATACCAAGATCGTGATTTATGGCCAAAGTTTGGGGGGTGCAGTAGGTATTGACCTTGCTGTCAAAAACAAGGACCATGGTGACATTGCTGGTGTTATACTCGAAAACACGTTCCTCAGCATCAAGAAGATGATTCCAAGGTGAATTGACTCCGCACACCCAGTCGAAGCGATCCGGACTGACGTTCGAATAGTGTCATCCCTGCAGCCAAATACCTGACACCCTTGTGTCACCAAGTGTGGCCAAGCGAAGAAATGCTCCCTGGAATCACGAATATCCCCATCCTGTTCTTGAGCGGGCTCCAGGATGAGATCGTACCGTATGTTCTGACAATAAGGTCGTAGAGAGTCGTTGCTAACGTATTACAGCCCATCTCACATGAAGCGACTCTTCGACATCTGTCGCTCGGAACCGAAGATTTGGAAGGAGTTCCCTTATGGCGATCACAACAACACAGTGACAGAAGCGGGATATTTCCACTACGTGCAAGAGTTTCTCGACAAATACATCGTCTAGTCTTGCTTTTGCATGAAACAGTCATGCTTTAGTACCCGAAGTGAAGAGCATTCGGGTCACCATTCTTCTGACCATTCTATACCGCTATTACCGTCGATTATCAGCTTGGAGCCACGTTACAGTAGTGGACAATCTCACACATGGGTAACTGTATATATAGCAATACAGTACTTACATCACAACCGGGACTCCTTCGCCGAATACCAATGAACAGATAGGACTAGAAAACTACAGTGCTTTCAAGATCTGTCGAGGGGTGAAGGAAGCCCTTTGGATGCTCCCGTTAGAATTCTTCTGGGCTGTCAAGAGCATCGTACGCTCTGAGCTGCTGACGTTCAAGCAAGGCAGCAGGCAGCAGGCGCCGAGATCTTCATCGCATTAGCTCTGCATGAGCGTCCCTGACCATCGTGCCACCAGACGTTTATACAGAATTTCCACCAACGTGCTTGAAATTATGGGATAACGAAGCTTGTATGTACCTGAGCATGTGAATACTGGAGCGTCGCTCCCATCGATTAACGAAGAGTCTTCATGGGTCCAAAACCGCCATACCGATGTAGTGGACTGATTCTCTATGTCACGAGTCAACAGTTGGGCGACATCAGGCGTATATTCAACCAACTTGGCAGTCAGATCCTCCTAGACGTTCCTGCGAAGGATGCCGTGAGTCGCCGGTAAACGTGAAGTACTCATCTTCTGATTATCAATTGCTTACAAAACCCGACTTGTCGCGATATCGTCTTGCAGGGCCGAGTCAAGCTTTGGAGAAATGACGGAAAAATAATGCCGCGTACAAAAGGGCATGCGATCGAGCATGTGCAAGCCGCTCCCCCAAATGACAGGTGCCGGTGAAGAAAATAGCTATGAACAGGTACACAAGTGTTCATGATTGCTAGAGTGCTCGTTGAGAGCTTGGACAGTCCTTCATCGGATAGGCTCTGGGACCTCGATTTTTCGTGCATGTTTGTAGTAAACCACGGTGACCATGTTAGAGACGCGCTGACAAGGAAACCGCATGTGTTGATGTCGGTACCAGCCTCAAACGGACAATGCTCACCCACACGGATGGGCCCGATCTGCGGAGGAAATGTCAGGTACGGACACATCCACTCAGTCCATGCCACCAGGTCTTCACAACCTACAACGGACATGTAGAAATCAGAGCACCGGCGACCTCTGGTAAAATCTGTAGAGATCCCGCCTATCTTGAAGATCGTCGAGCGCAAAATGACTACATCGTGTGGCTTGATTCATCTTACCTCTCAAGCATGGCGTTCAGCCATGGGTTTCGCTACCAATCGGAGAAGGAGCAATTGATCCTCCTTCCCCGGTCAAGGAATTCCCCTTTCTTCGAGACAGCATCGTCCCACAAACAACGCAGGGATGAATCAAACAGTACCCAAAAGGAAAGAGCCAAGTACTCGTGGACGAATGAGCATCCTGTGAATCAAAGACCGGACGTCTTTATCTCCGGTTCGCATTTTGAATAGCGACACGGTCGCAGGTCAGCTTTGAGATTCGCTGTCAAAATGCGCTAGCACGGTGTCGTTATACTTGCTAAGGTTGAGGCGTTTCCTAACCACAAGGCAGCCGTCTGTTCGTCTCTAGGAATCTGTCCGTGTTTGGCCGTCGGTGAGTTTGTTTCGGTGACTCCGTTTGTTTCCAGCCGCATGTACTGTACCAAAATTCGGGTCTAGAAAAGACCTTGCATTCCTCTTCTCGGTATCCCGTTGCAACCTGTCCCACCTTACCATCATAAATCAAACATAACATCTTTGTCGAGCAAAGTCTCTACCAAACCCTCAGCATGGGTTTCTTCAATAGAAAGGCCAAGGACTCTAACCCAGAGGCATTGGAAGCTACCTCGCCTGGTGTGCTTCAATCGGAGAAGACGGACGACGCCCATATCCGCACTGCATCTGTTGTTTCTGGCGATGAGAAGCCCTTACCGGATTCCGATGGCTCGCAAAACGATGAAGAAGACCCTGAGGTCGAATATCCCACCTCGATCAAGCTCCTTCTCATCACAATCGCTCTGTGCTTGACCGTGTTTTGTATAGCTCTGGACAACACTATCATTGCAACCGCCATTCCCAAGATTACCGATCACTTCAAGGCGATTGACGATATTGCATGGTATGGCTCTGCTTATCTTCTGACAACCTGTTCCTTCCAACTCTTCTTCGGCAAGCTCTATTCATTCCTCAGTCTGAAATGGGTATTCCTTGTCGCACTCTTCATCTTTGAGCTTGGCTCTTTCGTGTGCGGAATTGCGCCAACATCGACAGCATTGATTGTTGGACGTGCTGTTGCTGGAGTTGGTTCTGCTGGACTCTTCTCTGGAGCTATCCTGATTATCGCAAACTCGGTACCTCTTCGGAAAAGACCATCCTACACAGGTCTCATTGGTGCTATGTATGGTCTTGCTAGTGTGGCAGGTCCTTTGATGGGTGGTGCTTTCACCGATCACTTGACGTGGCGCTGGTGTTTCTACATGTGAGTTACATAGGTCCAGTCGATTTAAAGCAATGTACTGACAATCTGCGAAGCAACCTTCCCTTCGGAGCTGTCACTATGATCTTTATTTTCTTCTTCTTTAACCCCACCAAAAGCGCAAAGAAGCTTTCCGTTGGCTGGAAGAATCGTGTTATGGATTTCGATCCTGCAGGCACTGTCATCTTCCTGCCCATGATCATCTGCCTCCTGCTTGCGCTTCAGTGGGGCGGTAGCACATATCCTTGGAGCAGTGGTCGTGTCATTGCCCTCTTTGTCGTCTTTGGTGTGCTCCTTGCTATCTTCATCAGCATCCAGTTCTACGTCGGAGAGCAGGCTACGATTCCTCCTCGCATCATCAAGCAGCGCTCCGTTGCAGCAAGTGCTTGGTTTGGTGTTTCTCTCGGTGCTGCCTTCTTCTTGTTTGTATATTATTTGCCAATCTGTTAGTACTCTCCGATCTACATGGCAAGAGTATCAAGCTAACATCTACACAGGGTTCCAAGCGATCAAGGGTGTTTCTGCAACCAAATCTGGAATCATGTCCCTACCTTTGATTCTCGGCGTAGTCATCTGCTCGGTCGTCGCTGGAGGCCTGGTCACTGTATTTGGGCAGTACGCTCCATGGATGCTAGCTTCCTCAGTTCTCATGGCTATCGGAGCGGGTCTATTGTCTACCCTCAAGGTCGACACAGGTCATGCAGAATGGATTGGCTACCAAGCTCTTTTCGGCATTGGTGTGGGAATGGGCATGCAGCAGATCCTTATCGCAGTGCAGACTGTGCTACCAGCTGCAGACATTCCCACTGGTACCGCCATCGTCATGTTCTTCCAAACTCTCGGAGGTGCTCTCTTCATTTCTGTTGGCCAGAACGTCTTCACCAACAAACTCGTCTCAGGACTCAAGGCAGCAGTGCCTGATTTGGATCCCGCTATCGTCCTTTCCACTGGTGCCACAGAGCTCAAGTCGGCTATTGGCGAGCAATACCGCGACGGTGTGCTTCAGGCTTACAACGATGCTCTCACAAACTCATACTATGTTGCTGTTGCACTTGCGACACTATCGATCATCGGCTCCGCTGCCGTCGAGTGGAAGTCGGTCAAGGGCAAGAAGATCGAGATGACCGCAGCATAGGAAACATGTCTCAGGTTCAAATTTACGACAGAGAAATCGAACAGATCATCATGGCGTTGTCATTGTTTCCAGGGTATAATGGACAGAGGTTGGACTAGAAGCTTTACAGGACATTCCACTCGAGCCAATTCAGGTGTACGATACGTTTACGAACATAATTCACGATTGACTTCAAACATCCTTCATCTCAGTTTTTGGGAAACTAAAGCAGTGAATACATGCCTTGTTGGCCCGGGAAGGAGCGACTGGCCAATGAAACAAACCTTGAGAAAGTGGAGAACAAATTGAGATCGTCTTGGATAGCTCCTTCCACATCGCTCTGTCACTTGAGAGGCATGCGAATCAAGTGTTCTCGCTAGCCAACTTCACAAAGCTTGGTACATTCTTGTAGTATCCCCCATGGAGCCCCTTGGCATCAGAGAGCTTTAACATGTTACCGTGACCGCTGGAAGAGTAGAAACCGAGTAACCATACCCATTTCGATCTCTAAACACTCATCGTAGGGAAAGACCACTTTGTAAAGATACAAGAACAACTTTTGTCAAGGAGCAACTGAAAGATGAGAGCTTAGAACATAGACTCAAACGCAAGTGCTTTCTTCGGTCACCGCGTGCTCCTCGAAGACAATTGTGCATTTTTGCAGTGTTTTTAGCCCCTTGATCATGCGTTTGGAGAGATGACTAGACTGCGAAGTGCCCCTGAAACAAAGAGGCAGTCAGGTGAGTCTAATCTATTACTACTACAGCTCTCAGGTAGCCATTGGGCTCCAAGTCTCCTATAAAAATGCAAGAAGTTTTTGCGAAATGAGTGACTGTCCAGTGAGAGCCAACTTTTTCGTTTCTCTTTCTTTGTTTCTCTGGAAAGTTAGAAGTCAGACTAGTCTTGGGAGCGGATGTGTGAATATCGCAGCAGATATATAAAGATGGCAGCAGATGTGAATTGAACTGCAACAGATGGATTACAAGAATGAGATATGTCAGATACAGAGCAAATCGGTACACTCCAAAGTCAGGAACAAAGTGTGCAGCAGATGGTTTCGAACTTGTAACAGATTGTCTGACCGTGCAGCAGACGGTCCGAGCATGCAGCAGATGATCCGACTACGCGCCAGATGGATTTTGGAAGGAAGCAGTTGATTTGGACTTGCAACAGACGACTTTGAATGTTCAGAAGCTCATTGAAGTATGCAGCAGATGACCAAACCTCGCAGCTGATGTATTGGAAGCGAAGCAGACGAGCTCACTTCGATATCAAGAACAAGGTGTGCAGCAAACGTATTGAGTGTGCAGCAGTTGAGATGACCGTGCGGCAGATGGTTTGACCATGCATCAGATGATGTAGCCATGCAGCAGATGGTTCGAGCGAGCGGAAGATGATAGGTCAAGTACAGCATACGGATTGACGATGCGGTAAATAATTCGAGACAGGCAGCAGACAATGCAGCAGACTATTCGACTGTTCAGCAGATGGAATAAGAGGGTGTTGATGTCACGTAGTACCGTACTGCAGCTGACTTGGGTATCCAAAAAGTTACCCGATTCCGGCTGAAACATGCAGCAGATGGAAAGAAGGTGAGGCATGTAGAGTTCGAACCAAGAAGACAGACTTGTGAAGAATTGGACAGAATGGCCATGACATCAGACAGAATCTACCTGAAGAAGATAGATAGATAGAGCAGTAAATCCACTAAAAGCCAGAGCGTAGTATAGGGAACAGATACACAAGGCCATGAGCAGATGAGCAGATGAGTGGAGCAGAGGAGCAAACGACTATCAAGACAGATAGAAGACGTTCTAAAGTAGAGAATGATTCTCGTACAACAAGTGGCCAACACTATACAGCAGGTGCGAGGTGCAGTGCAGCAGATGCTAAGTGCCACACAGAAGGCGACACATGAGGTAGAGTAAATGGTATATACAATGGAGCAGATGAGAGATATGTGCAGAAAATGAGAGACACTTTGCGACAGATGATACTATACAGCAGGCGAGAAATGACTGCTAGTCAATGACTGCTAGTCAATGACTCTACATTGCAACAGGAGGCCGGGAGCGTTCGTAGTCAATCTTTGAGGAACCGAGGATAGACATAATGAACAGAACGAAGGAGTTTAAGTAAACATAGATGGAATCCAGGAAGCATCGGTGCTCTCATCGGACAACTCCGCCGATCTCAAAAGTGTTGTGCATTTTGATAGCCACTTTTCGCACTGTGCACTAACTGTAAGATGACTCAACTAAGTAGACCATGAGTGTTCGACTCAATAAGCAAGAGTAATAAAACACATAACACGTGAGAGAGACAGGCAATGGTTGGAAAGTGAAAGCTTCTTAGGAGCTGGATATGTTGAAAGTGACATAGACGCACTCTCTCATTCCAGCAAATTGGACGTACTAGCTGACTGCATCAAGCAGTGTAAAAAAAACCTACGTCGGAATACCCACTCATAAAAGCAAGGAGTTACAACCCCTCACTAACCCAACACCCCCTTCAAACCCTCAAAGGTCTATTAAAAGCACCTCCCAAAAAATCCCCCAACCCCATCTCCACCTCCTTGACCCCCTCCATCTTTATCAAAAAATACACAACCCTTTTATCAACCACATATCCACTCTTCTTCCATCTGGCATTCAGCCAATCGGTCAATGCATCACTGCTGTTGCGCCAATCGTATTGATACCAAGATTCTAGGATCTGAGCGGTTATGGGGGAGGGAGGACAGGTGAGAGGTGCGGTTGTAGAGGAAGAGGCGACGGAAGAGGTGGAGGAGGATTTACTGGAGGAGCGGGAGAGGGAGAGGGAGAAGGAGGGGAGGGAAGAAGTTGAGGAGGAGGGGGAGGTGTGGCAGAGAGCTGGGACGGAGAGGTTGAGGTCGGGCAGGTGGAGGCGGAGATGCGAACGCATTGTTGGTGTGATTGGTTGTTATTGTGAAAGTAATAGTTGTGATAGGATTGACTCACCGGAAGTCCAAGTTGGGAGAGATGACTGACTAGAAAACTGAACTCGCTGTTGATGTTGTAAAGAAGATCACTGATCGTCTAGATTTGCTGGCAAACTCAATGAAGATAATCCTGACCTGAGGAGATATAAGGATCAAAAGGAATGTAGAGTAGAGGGAAGAGAAAGGAGTACCGAGCAAAATCAACCGCGTTCTGTTTTTCTTGGTTAGTTGGTGGGTGAGCCGAGATCCTGAGTGGTGAGGAAGAGCTGGATGATATAGGCATTCAACTGAAAGGTATGTTCGACAAAGAGCCCGTTGAGTCGACAAGTACAAAGCATGTTCGTTCTTTCACGCTCCTTTGGTAGGTAAACAGGCAAAGAGATACAAAGAAATCATTGACGTGTTTGAGTTTGTGGAATTGCAGCGTTACAGTGGAGATGTGTAGGCGTCGTGTTGTAACACGCGGTGAAGTTTGTACATGATCTACAAGTCACGGTCCCGGTGATTGACATCTAGCAGGAAGCACATGTGGACAGTGATGCAAGCCTGCAGTGTATCTGTAAAATTTCATCAACAATGACCTTGTGCTGCAAACAAAGAAACATGTACGTCACAAGGAAGACAAAGAAACCGAACGCCATCATTTTTTTTTTGAAATATTGATTTGGCGCATGATGAGCGCTTTCCCTAACTGACGGGGAGGTATAAGGAATGACGTAAAAGGGAATACAGTAAAAAAAACCAAAAGGGGTATTTCAGCGCAGTCAAAGGGAGCGGCGATCATCATGGCAAGGAGCACGAAGTTTGTTTCGCGAGTACTGAGTGAGCCGAAATGAAAAGAAGAGTTTCTGTGGAGAGTATAGGGAAAAGGGTAGAGAAATGTCAAATCGGCTAGTTTATTCGTCAAGCTGCAACGCATTTTGGGGAATCAATTCATTTCGACGCTCAGTAGTGCTCCAGACCAGACGTCGCGCTCCAAGCCAGAGGGCGTCTGTGCGAAAAAAGACGTGAAATGGTCAAGTGGATTTCGTGATACTCGAGCGGTCTCTTTACGAGGCCTCGGCCTTGGGCTCCTCGACAGACTCGGCAGTCTTGGACTCCTCGGCCTTGGGGGCGTCGGAGGCGGCGGCGGGCTCTGGCTCGTTGCCATCGGAGGAAGTCCAGAGGGTGAGGTTGTCGCGGAGGAGCTGCATGATCAGGGTGCTGTCGCGGTAGGACTCCTCTGACAGCGAGTCGAGCTCGGCAATGGCGTCGTCGAAGGCCTGCTTGGCGAGGTGGCATGCGCGGTCGGGAGAGTTCAGGATCTCGTAGTAGAAGACTGAGAAGTTGAGGGCAAGACCAAGGCGGATGGGGTGAGTGGGGGTGAGCTCGGTCTGGGCAACGTCGGTAGCGCTCTGGGGAGGGAGTTAGTCATGGCCATTCAATGTGGTGAGATGATCAGAAGGATAATTACCTTGTAGGCCTCGTGGGCAGCAGTGGCGGCAGTCTTGCGCTTGTCGCCGGAGGCGAACTCAGCGAGGTAACGGTGGTAGTCACCCTTCCTGTATAGTTGTCAGAGACAGGCGGAAAAATGGATGATGTAATAGGAACGCACATCTTGTGGTAGAAGACCTTGCTCTCGCCAGACTCGGCCTTGGGGATCAAGGAGTCGTCAAGGACGTCGAGGACATCCTGGCAGACCTTCTCGAGCTCGGTCTCGATCTTTTGGCGGTAGTCGCGAATGATGGTAACGTGCTTGTCGGAACCCTTTTGCTCCTCCTTCTGTTCGATCGAGGAGATGATGCGCCACGAGGCACGTCTGGTACCGACAACGTTCTTGTAGGCGACGGAGAGGAGGTTGCGCTCGTCAACGGTGAGTTCACCACCGATCTGTTTGTTGTTAGTCACGGAAGGAAACAAGTCTAGACCTAGGTTGAATTACCTTGGCGACTTCCTGTTAGGGCGGATTGATGGTTAGTAAAGTAGAGACTGTAGGACAAGCAGTTTAGTTGCGAACCTTCATGTAGGTAACCATCTCTGTTGGACGTGGTTAGCATTTGCACAGCGGGTGTTGATGTTTCAGGTTGACATACCATCGTAGCGCTCAGCCTGCTCGCACAGTCTGGCGAGGAAAGTCTTGCTGCTCGTGTGTTAGATGCCTGGTCGGTCGTAGGTGACGATGTCATGTTCCTAGATACCTTTCACGCTGCAGGAGTTAAAAAAGTCAGCGATCTGTCTATCATGGTATGCATCGGGCAGCGGGACCGAGTGAGGGGGTCAAGCGGTTTTGTTGGGCTTTGGATAACGCGCACGCACTCCGGACGGGCGGCAGGACTTGCGACTTACTTCGGTGGCCATTGTGAGTGGTATGGAGGATGATATGGGATGGGAAAGGGATTGAGGCGGTGAGGGAAGAGGGCGGCGGAGGATGTCTGTCTGGGAGAAAGGTTGAAGCTGTGTTTAGAAGTCGGCGCAGTTGTGGACCGTGCATCCAAATCGCGACCCTGGTGCTGCTTTGGCTCCTGCACGTGATTTCTACCCTAAGCTCGCATGACCCCTCAGTGAAATTACAAGGACTCACTCGGAGTCAACACATGAACTCGCCATACACATGAGACCCTTGATCACACGGCCTTCGAGAACAATCTCTGCTGCCTTCTATTTCCGGTATAGACTGCATCATAGCACTCGACAAAGGGGGTATACTGATAATCTCTGCGAGTGCCAATGGCCGTCTATCCAAATGTCTTCAATTTCCTCTTCATCCTCCGGCCATATCCTTCCCAAACGCCCCCTGTCCGCCCATGAATAATGACAAAGGAAAAAGTAATGAGTGCCTTGATTGACACGGTGAAGGTAGCAAATCCCACATGGATGACGTGGGAAAACAAATGAAACAATGGTGAACGACTTCTCACCCATCATGCCTCTACATGAGCAGGCGCCACACACCGAGAATAATGGCGGCGGTACCCGTCGTAACACCCCTAGAATCCCCATGTTAGCAAGGCTCCATGTGCCGTCGGTCCGCTCGGAGATGAAACATACATCAGCCATTGCAGAGTCGAGAACTTGACTTGCTCAAGACGCTCTCTCAAAGCTGCAGCTTCCTGCTCGATTCTGGTCTCGGTCTCCTTGATCTTGAGATCTTGCGAGTTTGCTTCTTCTCTGATTCTGCCCTTCTCCAGGTTGAGGTCCAATCTTACTGATGCTTGCGTACGCTGGACTTCGTCACGTAGCCTTGAGTTAAGCTTGGCCAAGTCGTTTGTCAGGCGTTCGTGAGAGGCGCGTGTCAGGGACGATTCGGTCGAGTCGGCCGATAGCAGCTCGGAGCGAAGTTTGGCAAAGTCGACCTTCTGTGTGTACGTGGCCTTCTCCTGGTCCTCGCGAAGCACCATTGTCCGTGTGAGATTCTGGATACTGTGATAGATTGCTTGCTCAGCTTGGCTTCATTTCGGGGCGAGATTGGCTCGGAATGTACCTCTCTTCAACAACGTCGCTTAGCACCTTCATCATGGCGACTGCCTGCTCCTCTGTAAAGCCCTCATCTTTCAACCTTTGCACAAACTTGAGTGTGTCAAAGTGGTGGTCTCTGCTGCGCTGCGTGGTGGCCGAGAAGTGTCTTCTAGGTTGTACTGCTGCTTGTCCGAATGCGACGCGACTGGCCGAGGGAAAGTGGTGTGCTTTGGAAAGTGCTCGTGTGGTGTAGTTTCTGGAGGCTGACGATTGCGTTGAGGCGTGAATGCGGGCAGCGGCATGAAACGTGGACTGGCTCTGGGGAGACCATGACAGCCTGGGCAGTAGGAATCGCGGGATGGATGTCGATGAGGCGGCCATTGTCTGTTCGGTCTGGGTACAGTATGCGTGAGCTGAATGTCAGGGAGAGACGAAACAAAGGAGAGTTTGTTGTAGCAACGACTTGTGGAGGGGCACCGATCCGTCCTGAAACGGGCGTCCGGCCAGCCAGTCCCACGCTCGGCTTCACTGCCAGCCTATGACGCGGACAGAGACCTCGAACTTTCTGTCAGGCATCCCACTTAGGTATCAACACGACTTGCACACGTCTTTATATGGAGGACAAGACCTGATTGAGATGTACCTTTGTTCACTACAGCCAGCTTCGATAAAATGCTATAGATGATCGGCTCAAAAGTATATAGCCAGTGGACATGATTAGAGTTATTTGTTCTTCAACGGACAATCCACGAAAGAAGCCTATCCATGTCACAATTTGTATCCTTGTCATAAGAGGTTTGGTAGATCAGTACTCCAAGTATCTTCCATAGTTGTTGTGTATGATCTATACCGAAGCGGCTGGAGGCTTCGCCCTAGTTTTGACATGGTCCGTCTGGCATTTAGCCGAGAGACTTCTTCGAACAACATCTCTTCTTTCCCATCACATACCATCACAAAACCTCAAATCCACGTCCGATAGAAGGAAAGATCCATTGGGACCCGCATCAACATGGCCACATCAAAGAACCCATGGGTAGAAACACCCTTGATCGAATCAACCACCCTCTCAAAAGCAGCAGGATGGTAAGCAACCCACTCCAACCCCAATTCCTCTAAACCATCAACACTCACACCTTCACAGCAGAATCTTTCTCAAACTAGACAACCTCCAACTCTCCGGCTCCTTCAAAGCCCGCGGAATAGGCCACCTAATGCAGACCTCCCTCACTAACTCTTCCCACCCCACCTCAGTCCACTTCTACTCCTCATCAGGCGGCAATGCCGGTCTCGCAGCCGTCCACAGCGCAGTCAAATTAGGCCGCCCTTGCACAGTGGTGGTACCGCTTACCACCAAGCCCATGATGATGGCGAAAATGCAAGCGGCAGGGGCATCAGAAGTGCTCCAGCATGGGGCTAGTTGGCAAGAAGCTGATGATTACCTACGCGGGACCGTGATCAAGACAGCAGAGGCTGGGGGAGAGGAATGTGTATACGTGCCGCCATTCGACCATCCTACGATTTGGACTGGGCATTCTTCCCTCATCGACGAAATCAGTGCGCAACTGTCTGCAATCACCGGAGAGAAAGATGCAAAGCCAGAGGTTTTGGCTTGTAGCGTGGGAGGAGGAGGTTTGTTCAATGGAATCATGGAAGGAGTGGAGAGGCACTCTTGGACGGAAACGCAAGTTCTTGCTGTCGAGACCAAGGGTGCGGATTCGCTGGCCGAAAGTGTGAGGGTTGGCGAGCATATCACGCTGCCGGCAATCACATCTCAAGCGACCACGCTGGGAGCCAAGAAGGTCGCTGCGAGGACATTCGAGTTGGCCATGTCGAGCAAGCAGGTCAAGACGCTGGTACTTAGCGATGAGGAAGCCATGATGGGTGCATGGAGACTGGCTGAAGATGAGAGACTGTTGGTGGAGCTGTCTTGCAGTGTCACCGTGGCTCTATGCTATGGAGATCGCTTGAAAAAGGCTTTAGGGAGAGAAGTGTCCAAAGATGACAAGGTTGTCATTATCGTCTGTGGTGGCAGCAACGTCACCATCGATATGGTCTCGCAGTGGAAGAAGGACTCCGCGCATATCGATGCAGAGCCGAGTCAGGAGGAAAAGGCAACTGTCTCCAGTGCCAATCTTATGTGAAAACCTGACAACATCTGAAAGTGTGGAAAGCAGATAGACTCATAATAGACAAAACGCCCATGCTGGGTATCATGAATTGAAAAGAACAAAATCGCTACCTATGCAAAAAGAAAGTTCCACCCTTTCGCCTCTGCCATGCTGTGTTTCTGACGTCTAAGCGGCCACTTGACCTTGGTTCAATTGGTCCTTGAGGTAAGCCCAGTAATTGGCTCTGATGGGGTCGTACTTGCTAGCCAGCAGATCATATGCCTTGGCAGCCTTCTCGTTCTGCTCCTTCTCACCAGCATAGATCTCAGCGAGTAGATCGAGTGCATGACTTGAGCGAACAGCATCTTCGTCCTCGGAGTCCACAGATGCGAATTCGTTGACGAACTCCTTTTGTGAAGAGAGGGGAAGTTTGGCGGCTGAAACAATACCACGGAGGTAGTTCCAGGGTGACTGGTTCTGCGGTGCTTTGCGGATGGCTTCTTGGGCAAATCTGCGGTGCTCTGGTTAGTCGTGATTCGCAGCCCCGGATCGAGACAACACTCACTTGATCTCTCTCTCCACCACTTCCTTGTCCTCTGTCTTTGGCGGTTTGCTTCCAGACACCAAGAAGAAACGATGGTTCCATGCCGAGTTGTTTCTCACATCCTCTTCAATCAACTTCTCCGTGGCCTCCAACTCTCCCTCATCCCAGAGCTCGAATCTGCGAACCAGCCATTGTCTGTAACTCCACACGTGATAGTTCTTTGCATCCAGTTCGAACATTTGAGAGATGAAGTCTGCTTCGCCTTTGCTGGAGCCCAGACGATCCACAACGAGTTGACGGTGGTGCCAGATTTGATAGTTCTTTTGGTGTGCGAGGGCAGTTTCGTTGAGCCATTCTAGTTCTTTTGAGAGGTCTGCATTCAGGGCTTTGAGGATCTCGGAGCGGTATAGCCTGAGGGGTGTGCGAGTCAGTCAAGGGGTGTTTCGAGGTTCGAGGGTAATGGTAGAAGACTCACCAGACAGTGTAGTGTGCAGCATTCATGTCGATAATATCCTCGGTCAGGGTCAATGCTCTCTCGCTCATCTCATTCTTTGCCATGATGGCACGGAGGTAGGACATTGCTTCCGAGTAGTCGTCCGTGTATGCGATTGCGGCGAGAGGGTTTGGGCCGCCGTCATCCTGAGGCAGAGGGACAATGTCGTCCCAGTTGGTGTCGTCGGAGTATTTGCCCATGGTTGCTATGATGTTCAGAAGAAGTTGTTGGCAATAAGTGTCTAGAAATCAAGAGTTGTAAGGCGTTGTAATTATTTCCATGACCAAAGTCCCGGAGACGGCGTCATTGTTTGAGAATGGGGAAACGCCAAGGCCGCATGCATTCAAGAGTGAGAACAATACCAAGTCGTCAACGCTGACCCTGTCCGCTCTTGTACATGTCTGAAGCCATTGCAATCTCGAAAACTTCTTTCCGGAATTAGATTATCATAGTTCTGTTATATAGAAGCTTCTTTGTCTCGTCATATCCTCCAGAACTTCCAACCCTCTCGTACGCCTCCGTGAACTCCGCCCGTGACTCCGACCAGTTTCTCGACGCCTTCTCTGCCTTCGACTGCTTCGAATTTGTCCGAGTCGATTTCCTCGCCTCCGAGTTCGTCGCTTCCATTGTCAAGCACGGCAGGCCATAAAACACCAACACCATCACCGCCGAGTGTCGTCTCGTACTTCTCAAAGCCTTCCTTCTCAAGCTCCTTTTCCAGTCTTGCTAGCGTTTCAGCTTGTGAGTTTACTGTTTCGGCTACTGGCATCTCTTCGCCAACCGAAGGCAAATCCGGCTTGAGAAGGGTGAAGGCACAGCCACCTCCACCTGCACCAGTGAGTTTAGTCCATCCAGCTCCTGCGTTGTCTACTAGCTGGCGCAAACGCTCGAGTTTAGGATGTGAGACTCCAAGACTGACCAAAAGACCATGGTTGATTGAGACCAATTCGCCTAGTTGAGTAAGTGCTGAGGGGTCCTTGGGGTCAAAGTCGGGGCTGGTAATCAAGGCGTGCGCGGATTCGGTGACGTTGTCTATAGCATCCAGGATATGGTTTGCGATCTTGGGTTGCGTCTTCTTCAGTCGTGCCACCTTTGCGACCTCTGCAGCAGTACTCTTTGCTTGTTTCGTGTCCACAAGAAGTAGCGGAAGCTCTGGGAAGTTTCGCAATGGTAAGACTAGCGGAGGCTTCGCATAGTCTGCGCGCTTGAACAGGACAGCCTTGCCGCCCGACGCAACGGTATTGTCGACTCCTGAAGGGTTGCCATGAATGAGCATCTCGCCGACAAACGACCATTGGTTGATTCGCTCGAGTTGCTTCTCAGCCTCTTCGGGCATCTGATCAGGGTGAGGGCCAGAAAGGGCGCGGGCCTGGATTAAAAGAGCGGTAGCTATGCAAACAGAAATGCTGGCGCTGGAACCGAGGCCGGCGCCGATGGGTATCGTAGAACGTAAAGTATAAATGGTGGCAGGCGAAGACTTGTTGCCTAGAGAAAGGAAAAGGTAGAGGAAGGAGGATGCTGCGGCCTGGTGGATCTTTTGCTCTTGAAGCGGGATGTGAGGAGAGACGTTGAGGATGTGCGGTTTCATGGCGTCCACAAGAACAGGATCGAGTTGAGTGACAAGGTCGTAGTAGCGCTTCTTGCGATCGGGGTGAGAGAAGGCATCCCAAGGGAGAGTGTCAATGTCCCATGTGTGATCGAGGTCGATGTCGCGGAAGCGCAAGGTTATGGTACGGCGCGACTTGGAGAGTGTTGTGACGAGCATGTAGGAGCGGAGTGAGATGGCAGCAGCCATAGCAGCCTGTCCAAGGGGTTAGCCGCCGGTATACAGTGAAGGCAATTGTCGCAGAAGTGCTACCTTTCCGTGGACGACAGCATGTTCGCCATAGACAATGACCTTTCCAGGCGCAGAGACCATAAAGGGAGGAGCCAATGGAGTCGACATCTTGCGTTTGTATGCTGGTCGTGGATCGCTACGGCGTCGTGTGGGAGAGTCCGAGTCGCTGCTGGACGAGTTCATTCGGTCGTGTCCGTTAGAATTGGCAGTGCTCATGGCAGGTGAATGCTTGGGCGCGCCATTGCGCATTTCGAGGATTCCGTTGGCCGTTGTCATTGTTCATGCTCAATTCACATGTTCAGTTGCATCGAGACAAAGGGAGTTTAACTATGGTGGAATTGATCGTCGACGAATGACAGCTCGCTCATTATAATTAATCTCCTTTAACCCCAGCTTTTGCTCTCGTACCACTTTTCCACTTCACTGACCTCACCCCGCATTACTCAGTCCCCTGGACAACTCCTGGAACATCAACATCGGACCATGCATTAAATCATGTTTGCTCTCTCCTCACCACTATACCCGCTTTCGTGCTGTCCAGAGGGAGTGGGTACGAACGTGTTTCGGTTCGTGGTTCCAAGCATGTTGGTGCCTCCAGCGACTTGTCCTTCCGTATTGCTGGCTCCATGCACAGTCGTAGGAGTTATCGGGCTCGTCGGCCCTGTGTGACCAGCGTTGACACTGTTCGTCTGCATTTCGAACGCGGGTTCTGAGCCACTATGTCTGCCAGAGCCGTGATGACTCGTGGGTACTCCGACACTGTCACTTCCTGTGATTGCGAAGCGTCCGCGTAGTGGTAGTAACGCACTGACGAGAAACAGCACACTGCTCTCGAATTAGATGTGCTCAGAGAATCTTGGTCGTGTGCTGATACTCACAACTCGACTCCGGCAAATGCTGCAGCTGCGGCTCCACATGCCCATGCTCTCCTGAGTCTACCAATGGCATCACTGTAGGCTGCGTACGCTGCTCCTCCAGTCGGCAGATTGTCGAACCCACCTGAATAGTACGTAACGTCTTTGGGCGCTGCGACATCACTATATGCAGCTAGCTCGGCCATAATAGCCAACCAGAACAGAGCAAAAAACAGATCGACCAGGCCAGCATGGAGCGGGTGCGTCGCAAGACCAGGGATGCGAGACAAGAAGGCCAGTGGAATAGTTGCCAGCATAGTCAAGATCGCCGCTATGATGGCTGGTATGTATGCGGCTTGCAACTGAGATATAGCTTGTCAGCTTTTGAATTTGGACACGTCCGCCATACTCCGAAAACATGACTTACGAATGTGGTTGAGTAGACATGAAGAGCATAGCTGACAAGCCCCAAGATCAACACAGCCAACAGGAACTGTATGATGCGAATTGCTTTCGATGCAAGCCCTCCAGGGGTTTGGGAATGTGAAGATCGTGTGCCACCCCTGCCGAATCTGCTGATTCCAGTTCTGCTGGTCGATGAAGGCGGGGCCGTCGTTGCGCCAATGGTTTGAACGTCTATACCAGGCTGGCTATCGACCTTCTTCCTGTTGAAGAGTCCCATCTCTACCTTTGGGCCTGTGTAAAACAAGAAGCGGCGCAATCAGATTCCTAATCTTGCCCGTTTGTGGAAATAAGAAGTCATCATGTTGTTCTATTTCCGCATCTTCTGGGTTGTTGTTGTTGTTGTTGTCTTGAGAACTCACAGGAATGCTGTGTGATGTTGCTGTTCACGGTGATTGGAATGTGAGCTGAGATGGCCATCTCGTACTGCAACAATGTAAGTTCAGGCTTTGCAACCGATAATTTCATTTTGCGCTATTTCATGCTGGAACGCTCTATGATAAAACCCTGGAGCAGTGCTGGGAAGAGAAGAATAGCAAGATGAAGCAAGAAAGTAACCAAAATTTCTGACGCTTTTGGAGATTCAGAAAAGGAGGAAGAGCAGCTTCGTACCTCGCGAGGAAGGGTCCGACAGCGACCATGCTACATGCCTGCCTGCCTGCCTGCCTGTGAAACGCCCCATCCTCTTATCTCAAAGCGCCGCCCGCTCCACCGCCTATAACAGGAAGAACACCACATCCCAACAGATGCGTTCGGGTATAAGAAGAAGAAAGAACAAATGAAAAAGGCCGAAGATGCGCTTGAACGAAAGTGGCCCTTTACGAGCAATCGCAATTCGAATTCGTTAAAAGGGCGTGTTGTTTGTCATGGGTCATATTCCGGAAGGTGTGACACCTATCAGCGTGGCTGGAAGCTGAGATGTCCCTTAATGGCTATCAAGTCTTCCTGAAGACGGGATATGCGCAATTCGTATTCGTCTTGCATACGAGAGAATCGTTGCTCCAGGTTTCTGACATAGTTCCAGACATCATTAATGCCATCACCAACAATCTCTCGCATACTGCCACCGGAGCTGTGTCCGTGACTTGAGAGACTTCCTGGGTTTGATCCATGCATAGGTCCAGATTGCATATTATTGTGCATCGGATTATGAGATGTAGACTGAATGGGCAATCTCACAGAATGTCCAGAAGCAAGTCCGGCCAGTGAAGGTAATTGATTGTGTTGTGACATCTGATGGGCCGCAGGTGGTGTCGCTTGTCCACCGCGAGCGTTGTGTGCCTGCTGAAGTTGTGTAAGACTAGGCGACCTGTTGCGCAACGCATTTGTAGCTTCGGCTATGCTGAGGCGATGCTGGTCTTGTTGATTGGGAGAGAGTGGCTTGGGTGAATGTGATATGCCTCCCTCTCCAAGCACAACAGTGGGAGTCGGGACGTATTGGTTTAGTGGGAGATTACTCGTCGAGTTGACGTTAGAGATCTCGCCAGGGGATGTTACAGAGCTGGATGAGGGCAGAATGTGGTGGTTAGGAGGGCCCATGTTGCCCCTCATCGCGCGACTAGCGAGAGGCGGCGGATAAGTGCTCGAGTGTTGGCGATAGATGGACCTGTTGGAGTCATGCGAGTCTTCGATGTGCGCACGCTTGCGACTCGGCTCACTCCCTCTTCTCGGGTCGTCGTCTTCATCGTCCATATCGTGACCATTCTCTCCATGATCACCATAGTCCATGCCTTCCATTGTTTCATCGCCCATTCTACTATCGTCATCACCTCCAAAGCTCGAGCGGCGACCAGCGCAACCTCCAGGGCCCTTGTTGTGTCGAGCTAGAGCGTCGCCACGAGCAAACCGTCTTCCACATTTGTCGCAGATATGTGGTCTTTCACCAGTGTGCAATTTGGTGTGGCGTTTCAAATCATGCAGCCTCCTAAAGCGTGACTGACAGGTTTGGCAAACATATGGTTTTTCTTGGCTGTGGGTAAGCAAATGGCTTTTGAGGTTGTGGTGACGTGTGAAGTCAGTCGCACAATACGGACACTTGTGCCGTTTGGTCGATGGAGAGGCTCTCGACTGACCTTCTGCGGCCGCCTCTGCTGCTACCGATGCTGGGCCAGGATATGTGAATGATTTGTGCGATGGGTGTGCGCTTGCAGCCGAGCTGTATCCGCGCGTCGGCTCTGGATAGTCCATACTGGTCATTTCTGCAGGCTCAGCGACCAGTTGAGGATCCCGAGTGTGCTCGTGCGATGTGGCTGTCATTGCGCCGCCGGGCGAGACAGCGTCTGAATCTCCGAAACTTCTTAAGCTCACAGGACTGGGCTGGGAAGCCTCGGCGGTTGTTGTCACCGGAACGGTGAGATGTGTACTCGGCTTTCGCATTTGGTTGCTCGAGGAGTGATTTGGTGAAGAGAGGTCAGAGGCCTTTGAGATTCCGGGACCACTCATCAGAGCATGCAGAGCGGTAGCGGCAGGGTTGGGACTGGTCTGGCTTTGCTCTTGATTGTGTTGCTGTTGATTGTGTCGCCTAGCATCGGCCAAGGCACCGGCACCCGTGAGAGGTCGTGGCGTAAAATGTGCTGGAGATTTGGGCGAAACAACAGTGTATTCCGGGGCGTGTGGCTTGAGCAGGTGTTGGTTATCTTTTGAGATGGCGAAGACGGAATGAGAGGCCGAGGTGGGCGTGCGAGGAACTTCGAGAGGAGGAAAAGGTTCGACCTGAGGGCTGCCTGATCTAACTCGCGTGGCCATCGAGGGATACATACATTTGACAAGGGCTGAGCGTGTTGATGATAGACTAGGCTCATGTCAGCCACGGTCACATTGCGACGAGAAGAAAAAAGAAAAAAAGAAAATCAAGCCCCACATACGTGATCTGCTAGGTCGCGGTGATATGCGAACCTGTAGAGGGTCTGCGGTGGAGAGAGGTGTCGCGCGCCAGGACAAAATGCAGCATTAGGCTTCCTTGTCGATATAGCTCAGTGCAGAAACAGTCGCGACTTTCAAGCGTCCATGTATTATTTCCAGAGTGTGGCGTAAAGGTGTTTGTGGCCAGAAGCCTGCGACGTTGCTATGGCCGGAGCGGTGATAACGACGCGATAAATGGTAGCAAATGGACTCGAACAGTTGTCGGGCTCGGGGAGCGTGATTCGAGAAGAAAGGATGAAGCACTCGTGCTGTCAGTCGAGAACTGGAAACCGATCAAGGATGCTCGGACAGCGCGATGGCCCGGCGCGATGGCGCAGCTACTAGAGATGCGCGTGGAGCCGGTACTCTGTGCTGCTGGTGCTGTAGCCTGTAAGTCGTTGTGGCTGCTCCTGTACGTCAGACGCCTTGATGTGCCAGTTTAACGGGTGAATGGTGCTTGTGACGAGTTCAATGCTTTTCATGCCGCGACAAGAACGCGATCCTGCGTGTTTGGTGGTCAATCCGACTATTTGTCGATGAGCGCAGAGGCAAACAGAAATCGCGAAACTGGCTGTACAGACCTTGGAAGGCTTGTAAGGTTCAAGACAGCCCTGATCAAGCTACTCAAATGACGCAGAAAGCAGCCGCAGATCTTGAACCTCCCTCGCAAAAGAACTTGGCTTTTGGCAAGAACCACGAGTCCTGCCCTTCGGAATTCCCCCTTCTGGCCTTGCCTACTTCGAGCAACTTGCTCTACGATCGTCTATCCTATCGTTCTAGCCCGGCCATCTCCCCAACATAACACTCAGCATACCACTCGCATTCAGCAAACTCCTGGTTACAGAACCTAGTTGCGCATGTGTGTGATGGAGCCTCAAAACTCTGCAACCGACCCGCCTTCTCTTCCAATTCTCCGATGTGTCTGCTCGCGCTCGTTCCAAACCCCGTCCGTGGCTTTTCGCTTCCCGATGCCAGCCGCTGCGCTTGATGTTGATGGTTCTGTTGCGGAGATCGAAGTGTGGCTGTGTAATTACTTGGCGAGCATCAGTCAGATTCTCCTACATTTGGTCGATCATCGACATGGAGCGCAGTCTGTTCTCCTGCCAACCTGACTAATGCTCTGCTTTGTTGCTTGGAACTCCCGAACCTGCGTGGCAGGCCTGACTAGATGAACATGTCGCTCTTTACCACATCCCAACCTCGCCACGAGGGGTTGCTGAGGTCTGCGCCCTCTTCATCTACGTCGCCGCCACCACCGTAGATCTCTTCAAGAGATCATCGGCGCCGCAGCCTACAACTGCCTTGCACGAGACATGGACAAGTGTTTCCAACCGAGCGATGCTCGTGTTGCAGCAAACAAAGCTTCTTGCATGCATTCACAGGACACCCTACGGCGTACTCGTCCTTCTTCTCAGCCGCCACATGCTGTACAACCACAGCCATTCTACCCGTAGTGCGTCACGATGATGACTTGTGGCGCCCAAAAGTCCACCTCCTGCGGTGCCTTGATCTCGGTCCCTGACCGATTTTGAGCCCTGCCAGCACTCCCTTATCACTAGAACCTTCTAAGCGGTAGTACAAGTAGGTAAGAATTGTCGTTTAGCATGTGGCTGGCGACCAAAAAGAAGAGCAAGGCAAGGCGTATGATCGATCTCAGACCTTGTCCACAAAGGCTTGATGCTTCGATAACATGACATGTCTCGTTTACTCGTTGATCCTCACAAAAAGTAGGCACAAAGACCCCACGGACTCCACAGAGTCAGGAACCTTCTACAGCACCGTGTCACTTACAGCCTACAAGACCAATCCGTCAGACAAGCTTGATTTTGAGCCTCAGAAGCGTCACGGGACGGACTGGCCGCCGGCGGCAGCTTCAGCGGCTACAAGTAAGAGGATTGCCAATCCTGCCCTTCAATACATATTTGATCGACCTGGGCTGAAGGGGTGACGAGCTTTCGATCACCACATTCGTAACTACCGTCGATGCGAGTGCGAACCGAGGGGGCGTCTTCAACGGCGCTCTTCGAGCACGGCTTTTACTTGCCTGAGGCAACCTCGGTTATTGGAAGGAAACATATGCCACTCGACCAAGGCGTTGCATGGCCACTGACCAACAGAATGACGATGGATGTCTCGTATGATATTGATGCCCTTGTCATAGTGACTGACTGACAGTCAGCCAATTCTTGTCACGGGCCAGTACGGCTGGGTGCCAATCTGACATCCTGCTCATGGTTGTCTCCCATATGGTTCCATGTTGAGACATTTCTGCAGAAGGTTGAATTGAGACGTCCAGTGGTCCGCCGCCCATCTCCAGATACAACCGACGCCAACCGAGAGGACGTTCTGAGGTCTCACTTTCGAACATCGGTATATAATACGCGGTCGGTCCCCTGTCGTTTGCACGACGGGATAAAGGTTTCTGTCGTTAGCATCTAACTGCTCCTTGATGAGGAGGGTCTGGAAACTTCAACCATAGATTCATTGAGGCTCACACCTACCATCCCTCAACGACAGCGAATCTGCAGCCTCCTTCAGATACACACTCTCGGTCGAGCTCGAGGGCATACGATCTAACATAATGCGGCATCGTTTTCAACATCGCCATGTGGCCTCGACCACTTCCTCTGTCATAGATGATTACCAGTCACTGTTCTACAATGCCTCAGTTCACATCAATTCAGTTCACACGGGTTCAGTAGCATGTCGTCTCGTACGATGAGGGATACGGCCTTGGTTGATTTAAGCTCCACAATTGTATCGGCATGTACTGCCAATAACAGAAGCGGCGTCTTATGTATAGCAAGCTTCGAACTCTCCCAACTCAACTGTATAAGGAAGCTTTTACTGACCCAATCGTCTCGTGTAACCAATAAAGGCTATATAGGTGTGTGGAGAAAGGGTCATATAACGTTTAGCACAGTGATGGAAGTGGCTTGCGAATTTGAACATCCGCAGCGATCCACGACTCGATATGCTTTGCGAACGCCATGAGCGGCATGAGATGAACATGGCAATCAACTCAAATACCTGAGGCACTGCTCAAAGTGTATTCCAGGGCGCTTCCGAAGACCTGCGATCGAGTGTTGTAGTGGCAAGGTGATGGTTGTAGAAGTGTATATCGAAGAGGACAGGGTGTGAAGTCCAGCAAAGATTTCAATCAAACGACGAATCTGAAGTTCTGGTTCTGGATGAGCCAGCTCTTGCCCTCGCCGGTCTTGTCTTTGCCCTTTGCACCAACTTCTTCCTTGTTGGGGACCAGGATCAAGGTGTCCGAGAAGGCGCGCATTGGACCCTCCTTGCGCTCGATCAACCGTACGTAACCGCTGACCTGGACAAGGATGCTCATGTTTGCGACTTGCTCCTTCTTGCTTGCAGTCTGATCCAGAGGGGCGAGTGCTGGGTTGAGGACGTGTGCGTTGATGGATTGGATTTCGAAGTAGGTGAAGGGCATTTGTGTCAAGTAGAGATTCGCGAATTCTTCAGGGTCGGAGATGACGGTGCCATTGTAGGAAATCTGAGGCAGCAGTTTCCCGGACGGAAGGACGGCCTTGGGGACGTAGTAGGAGGCCAGAGTACCACGGGCGCTTGCCAGGGCGACATAGTATGCGTCGGTGACGGTCTCGGCAGCTGCGATCGTGTTAGAACAGGCGCAAGGTGTCGCATTCGTACTGTAGTAGCATACCGTGCGCCGAGACGCGAGTGAAGTCGTCCTCTCCCAGTTTGGTGGCCATCGTGCTTGATGTGAGTGTTTGTATTGAGAGTCGATGGTCAAAAGATTGTCTTTGTCACATGCAAAATGTAGGAATGAAGCTTTGACCTTTCTCCAACAAATGTTCGCGACTGCCTTTTGTAGACCAGCGCAACCTCAATGACTCCTCTGATACGCTCTTTCCGTCCAAGGTCATGGCGACCGCAATCGATATGCTCGACTTGCACATATCGCTCTACTCGTGTACGCCACCAGGCGACAAATTCTACTCCGGATGAAAGCAAGCCATACTATGTCACCACTCCCATTTTCTACGTCAACGCCGCCCCTCATGTCGGCCATCTCTATACCATGGTCCTCAGTGATGTGCTAAAGCGATGGCAGTTGCTCAAGGGAAAGAAAGCCATCCTCTTGACTGGTACCGACGAGCATGGTATGAAGATCCAGCAAGCTTCAGCAAAGGCCGGAAGCGACCCAAAGCCTTTCTGCGACAAGGGTGCCGATATCTTCAAGACACTGGCTGCAAGAGCAGAACTCAGCAACGACCACTTCATCCGGACTACCGATGCTGCACATAAAGAAGCTGTCGAATACGCCTGGCATCTATTGAACGAGAGGGGTTATATCTACCAGTCCAAGCACGAAGGCTGGTACTCTGTCAGCGATGAGACCTTCTACCCGGAATCTCAAGTTCATCTCGTCTTGGACCCTCCTACCGGAAGAAAAATCATGGCTTCGATCGAGACTGGTAAGGAGGTGGAATGGACGTCTGAAATCAATTACCACTTTAGACTCTCTGCTTTCCGTGACAAGCTTCTAGCATACTACGCTGAGAACCCTGAATGGATCACTCCTCAGACAAAAATGAAGGATGTAGTGTCTGCTGTTACTGCTGGTCTTGAGGATTTGTCCATCTCGCGACCTTCAAAGAGACTGACGTGGGGTATTCGCGTGCCTACCGACCCTGAACAAACCATTTACGTCTGGCTAGATGCTCTGATCAACTACGCTACCGCAGCCGGGTATCCTTGGGCACCTGGCAAGGAGCATGCCGGCGGCTGGCCCGCCGATGTGCAAGTCATCGGCAAAGATATTCTTCGCTTCCACTGCATCTATTGGCCTGCTTTCCTCATGGCTCTAGACCTTCCTCTGCCAAAGCGTTTCCTCACTCATGCTCATTGGACTCTCGGCAAGCAGAAGATGGCAAAAAGCACTGGCAATGTTGTAAACCCATTCTTCGCTCTCGATCGCTTCGGCACCGACACCATGCGCTACTACATGATTCACGATGGTGGCATTGACAACGACGCTGATTACGACAATGCCTTCATTATCGAGCGTTACAAGAAGGGTCTTCAAGGAGGTCTAGGTAATTTGGCCTCTAGAATCACTCGCGGAAAGGGCTGGAGTGTCAGACGTGCTGTTGAGAGATTTGCTGGTGACGACCAATCGAAGCTGCCATTCGGCGAGGAACACGACAATCGAGCAGCAATATTGGAGTTTGGGAAACTAGTCCGAGACTTCCCTCAAGCCATCGACGGCCGTATGCAAGCCCTACGGCCCAATCTTGCTCTCAAGGACTTGATGAACAACATCTATGCAGCAAATGCTTTCTTGCAGGCCCAAAGTCCGTGGGATATCGCCAGCAAGCTTAAGGCAGGGGATGCGGTGCCCAATGCTGATTCGGCCGAGCACGCTGAGCGTCAGATGGACTACGTGATTTACCTCTGTACTGAGGTACTGCGTCTCTCTGGAATCATGCTTCAGCCGGTCATGCCTGCGAAGGCCAAGTACTTGCTCGATATGCTGGGTGTTGCAGATGATAGAAGAGGCTTCGTGGATGCTCAGTTGGGTGCAGACAAAGACTACGGCGAGTCCAGAGTGCCGCTCGGCAAAGGACAATTGGGCGTACTGTTCGCACCCCTCACAAGCGACTCATAGAAGATAAGCCAGTCACATTAGAGTGGACAGCAGGTGTTGTAAGATAAATGTACCATAGTTCGTAGAGTCATGACAAACGTTTCATCTCGGATCTCCTCTTTTTCGAGACTCTCTTTTCTGTTTGTGCGACGTTTAGTTGGGTGCACGCATGTTGGCCTTTACTCTGGCCAATAGCTCTTCCTTGGTTGATGAGCTGCTGGCCATGAGGTTTCTGCGGTTCAACCATCTTCTCATCTCTTCTTCAGTCCAGTTTTCGGGTTCTGTTTGTGATTAGTACTTATGTCATTGAGTGGTCTAGGTGTATCCTTGTACTCACCACCAGTAGGGTCGGCCTCCTGGGGGAAGATGTCACTGCCGAAGATGGACCATGCTGCTGATGCTGCGACCAGACCTGCAAAGCCGAAGAAGAGGTTCTGTAACACAGCACATGTTAGTGCTTGATACTTGATGCATGTGATTCCGCATGACTCGGACCTTTGAGTTGAGTGCTCTATCAAGTTGGGTAGGCATGATGATTGATTGTATTGTGAATTCACAGGTGATGTCGAGGTATAAGTAAGGTCGCTCGTCGCAAGTGATATCTCTAGGTTTCAGAATCAGACACGTAGGTTGAAGAAGATTACTATCTCGTCTGCCTGATTTCACTATCCAAACCAGTAGTCTGTCCCTTCAGTCGCAAGTGGTCAGAAGGTGGGGAGGTCAAAGCGCCCTCCTTTCCTTCCCCTTCACATGGGCAACAGAGCCAGAAATCTTGGCAGAACAGAAGGCACCTCGCTTAGCCTGTCCCACAGAAAGCGACCAGCTTGCCCCCGATAGCAACGACTCGCCAGAACTACGCTCAGTTTAACCACACAACACATCGCCCATCATGCCTTCCCAAGTTCTCGACATCAAGCAGTTCATTGAGATCTGCCGCCGCAAGGACGCTTCCTGTGCGTTTTTTTCTCTCTCCCCATTTCCACTCCGCGCCTTAGGACCCGCAATCGAGGAATTCGAAGACTGATTTTTGGATGAATTCACAGCTGCCCGCATCAAGAAGACCAGCCCCCAGCAGGTCAAGTTCAAGGTCCGCTGCAACCGCTACCTTTACACCCTCGTCCTCAAGGACCAGGACAAGGCCGAGAAGCTCAAGCAGTCTCTTCCCCCGGGTACGCGCAATTCCCCTCCGACTTGTTCGAAATTCTGCCGAAAACAGCGGGAAAAAAGAAGCAGTGAACAAATTGGAGCTGACAATAAACAGGTCTTACCATCTCTGACGTTCCCAAGAAGAACCAGAAGGGCAAGCGTGTCGCCAAGTAAACAGACCATGTGTCAATAACAACTTTTTGAGCGCCAAAACCCAAACCAAACCAAACCAAAAACGAATAAACTACAACGATTCATCTGCCCCCACTTGAAGAACCAATGATCAATTGAGCTCCGTCCAACATCTGCTATGCCCCCGACCATGCGACAAGAACTGTGAATACATGAAAGATGCAAGGATGGCCGCGATCAAGAGAGATGGGCCGTGTCGGAAACATGAATTGAGCATTGCAAGAAAGAATCCCCAAGGGACATGAGATGGCCTCCCAATGAATGTTGAAAATCAAAAGACAAGAAAAAGATCCAAAGGCTTCAAACCAATCTCTCACAATACCCAAGTGCTACATGTCATGCCAAATGCTCGTGTGCTTCTCTGCGTAGGTCCTGTGCACATGTTTTTCGAATGGCCTCTGGACAAGTGCATACTGCTTTCCGTTACACCTATACTCCCTCGTATTTCTTTGGGATTGATTTTTTGAATCCCCCGTTTCTTATGACATCGCATCGCGCCCTTATCTTCTTATCATCATCATCATCAATGTTGGATGGCTTCCTGCTTGCATCCATAAAGTCATCGAAATTCGAAACCCAAACTTCAACTCTTCCCACAGTCTTACCGGATCAGTTGCTTTGCTGCACGGCGAACTTGTACTGGTCCTTGCGATCCAGGTACACGACTTTCTGACTCAACCCTGCCTCCTCCATTTGCTTCTTGAAGTCGTCCAAAGGACTTAGGAAGACATCGTAGTCACTTTTGTCCGAATGTTAGCATCTTTCCTTCTTCTCAATGGAACTGAGACCGAAGCTTACTCGTAGTGGATGGGAATGGTCAAGTCAGGATCGATCAGTCTGACAAGTTCAATGCCTTGCTTTGCATCCATGGTTACCATCAACATTGGCAATTTTGGCGATGGGATCGTAGTGCCGCCAAGGTGGATCAACATCAGGTCGATGTTTTGACCCTTGTAGCGTTCTGGGATTTCCTTGAGCTCGTCGACCATGAGTGTGTCGCCGGAAATATAGATGCTGATAATCCATCCGTCAGTCATCTAAGCAGTTTTAGACCGAGAGAGAGTGGCTGAACATACCGGTATCCATTCTTGAAGCTATCAGTGGAGCTGCCATCGCCCTCCTTGTAGCCCAACTCCAGCATCCAGCCATTGGTAGGTGGCACAGCACCGAGCAGGTCATTGGCCTTGCTCAGCATACCCTGCGGAACATGTTTACCAGGCATACCTGTTACCTTTACAGCCGGAACCTTCTTATTCGTTGCTTCATGTGTAGTTCCAGACTTGCGGATATCGACATACATGCTCTGGAAGAAGTCGAGATCGTATACCTTGCTGAAAGACTCCTCCTCACCCTTCGAAGTCAAGTGATCTTTCGCGTGAGGAGTTGTGATAATGGGCAACGAGCGACGAAGGGAAGCTTCAACTTCTTGGTCGAAGTGGTCTGCATGGTAGTGTGACAATAGGACTGCGTCAATACGAGGAAGTTCGTGCAGGTCCAGTGCTGGGTTTGTTTGTCTTGTTCCCGTCACACCGGGTCCGAGATGAACATGGTCTCCAGCATGCAAGAAGTTGGGATCTGTCATGATGCGAACGCCCTCCCATTCCCTGATATGGTTAGATATACCATTGCACAGTCAATGCTTATCCCGCCGAGCTTACAATATCGTCGTTGCTGTTCCGACGAAATACAGACTTGCATTCTCTGATCCGGCATTGGTGGGATGAACCTTGGTCTCCTTTGCCTCTGGCAGACTGTCAGGGTAATCCTGGTGGTCGCGAGTAGGCGCCTCGGCGTGCGATGGATCAAGGACCAGATTCTTCATCATCTTCGAAGTTGCTACGATAGGTTTTGTCGATTGAGGTGAGAATTGAGTATTGGTATCGAAAGACATGAATGTAAGCAAATAGTTAGCTGCTAGAACAAAACAAGGAGGTCGCTCCTACCTCTTGAAATACGAAATAACGATGTCGAAGTCATCACGTCACGGCTGTCATGCAGATGCGGGGTGTCAATCAATCGGTCTCGCTCGAGGATGACGGTGTGCCTTGCATCCTTTGTTGAAGATGTCCGGCGCGATCTTCGATGTGATCAAGAGAGAAAAATACTTCATTCAAACCTCACCGTGTGCTGAACCTTGTCACGTCGACTCTCAGGAAGCTTCTGCTAATAGACGTTGAGGCTCAAAATGTCAAAGCATAACCCCGACCAAATTAGCTGCAGCTCTCAGAACGACGCGCAGTTTGGAGTCGCGTCTTTCGCACGTCTGCCTGCACTAATTGATCCATGACTTTTTTTCCCATCACGATATTGATGGGAAGTGTAGGTGATTTATACCTGAGGCATCAGGACTGAATACATGCAGAATGGCTTCGGAGTCAGAAGAGCTTCGACAGCTCGGCAACGTCTTGTACAAGCAAGGCAAGCTCTACGAAGGTCAGGAACAGTTTAGGATAATGAGCACAAAGCACGAACAAGATCGCTGATACAATGCAGCTATTAAACACTATCGGGATGCAGCCAAAGCCGAAGCATCGAATGTGATATCTGACTGAAACTCTTGGCAGGTTGACAAATCAGGAGTATTACCATATCGGTCACGACGAGCAACAGAGCAACTTCAAGCCGATAGATGCTAAACAAGAAAAGACTGCTTATCTTTTCGCTGGTATTGGTGATGCACGCCATCTGCACGGTACCTGGATGAAAATCCACGAGCATGAGAGGAAGCAAGCTGAGAAACCAACTGCCAAATATCACTTTACGATCATCGACACCAAAGCAACGGTGATTGCGCGAGCGTTGATCATCTTTCTACTCCTGGAAGAGCTCTCTGACACCTCGAACATGTCGACCGATCAGCGTGAAGAAATCCTCGGAACGTTGTTCTACGTGTACATCAACCACATCATGCCACCCAAAGCATGGCAGAAGCTCCAGTCAACCATATCGCAGGCCATTGAGTTGCTTGGCCAACCGATAGCAACATTTACCTGGTTCGATATCCTCCAGAAAGACCGTAATGCTATTAGGAATGCTCTCGTCTTGTGGCAGCACCAAACCGCAAAGGACTGGCCAACTAGCGAGTTCCGCAAAAGAATGCTACTGGACACAATGAAGCAGATGATGAACCCATATGCTACAGGTGATAAAATCCCCACTCCTAAGGGTTGCAAGAAAGATGCAGTGCTGTACCAGAAGGCTTGCATAGTGACACCCCCACCCTCATTCCTTCAAGATGACCCTCTAAATTTGAAGGAAGTAATGGCGTCCAAGAATTTTCCGAAAAACATCACCGATGCTTTGCTTAATAAGATCGACAACACATGGATGCCAAATGTCACTCTTATCGATACTGGTCATCTCAAGCAGTTTCTCATGACTTCAGGCTCGAAGGCCATGGCAGAGATTGATTTGTCAACCAACATCATTGATCAGTGGAGTGGCTATCTCTGGCCGAAACCAGCGAATCCAACTTGTCTGTATGACTATGCCGTGGACTATTTCACCAAAGTAGCGGCTGCTCTCCATCACCTGAAGGGACGCATAAGGGTCGAACCAATCTTGGGTGAGATGGATGAGATCTTCGAGAAGATTCACCTGGATTTCTACCCAGACCGCTTGAACAAGCCAGTGCTAGGTCAGGAAGAATCTGGGATGCCAGTCTCGACCACAGAAGACTATCCGAAAATATTCGACCGGGTTCATCTTTCCAACGTCCCCGACTACACTGGTGGAACCTTGGGAGCTTTCTTGTTCGCTGCTCCCATTACGCCGGTCACAAAAGATTTCAAAGCACAATTCTCCTTCACTTGCTTGAGAAATCCGCCTGCCTTTAAAGATGTCGACGAGTTCAACAGCGAGTATTGCTTGCTTCCGGAAATGTCAATGATTGCAAAGATCTTCCTATGTGTCAGGAGACCTTGCATTTCGGAGAGTATGCCATTACCTGCCTTCATGCAGATGCAGGGCTTGATTGGTATGGGATACTTTGAATGGTCCAAGCAAGCTGAGATTGTGCCTTTCCCGAGCCTTCTCGACCGTCCTACTATCACCTCCTGGATTCACGGTCTGCTATTGAAGACTGCCATTCCTAAAGAAAGACAGGTGCCCGCCATGACATTGATCAACTCACCGTTCAACTTGACTGTCCTCTTCCGAGTCATCATGCATCTCAGAAAGGTCGGCTACCCAAGCCACTGGCTCTCTGAAATTTTGGGAACTATCATTGGAGGTACGATCGATACAAAAGCATTTCCTCAGAAGTCTGTTCCGTTCTCGGTCAAGGACTCAAAGCAGCTGTTTGACAAGTCTCGCCCACTGAAAAGATTTTCGATCAAGCCATTCAATGCCGAGCTGACTACGCTTACTTCCATTGGGCTTCCTGCTCTTGGATTCGGTCTTCTCCAAGGAAACGATGTCCTTCCAGACCACAGCTCGATCCGTAAATACTCGGCCACATTCAATCATATCAACTGGGATATGGGCTTCGAGTCGTCGTTCGTTCTCGTCTTTATCGACATGGATATTGCCACTCCGACTGGCCCTCGCCCTATCATTCCGCTACGTCTGCTACTTCTGAACAAGGAAGATCAGCTAAAGAATGCACTACAACGTCCTCGTGACGTTCGAGAAAAGGGGTTGCATATCGTGACGACATGGCAGTTTGAGACCGAGACCAAAACTGGTAGCTTCTGGATGCGTGAGGATATCATGAAGCGAGTCATGGATAGAAGAAATGGCTGGCATGCTTGTATCTGGAGAGTCGATAGATGGGACATTGTCGGACAGCCCGTGAAAGCTGCTACTGGCGGTGTGAAAGACTTGGGTATCTCTTGGGCTGACTAGATTTGAGACACAGGCTGAAGGACGCACCTTTGGGCATATGTCGTTCGTTGTATTTATTCAGCAACATAGGATTTCAAGACGACTTCCTGGAATTTCAAACCAAAGCGTCTTTCATTGCTTAGTCCTTGTAACAAGTATTCATGATGTTGGTGTCTCGATATTCGCTAGAGCCGCAAAACAAGGAACGATTTGCCGAGAATAGCGGTCAGTGAACAAGACCGAATATCCATCACCGCTACAACGAGCCGGAGCCATGCCACCTGCGAGATGAGACTAGTGCGCCTATTCTTACATACAGATCAGATGCACGATATATCGTGTTTACCAATATTTTGACGAAGGATTTCAATCTGCATTCACGTGGGATGTGAGACCTGGGGGATCTCCGACACATGCATCATGCAGGTACCAAGATAAGCTTCGCATTCTGGGCGGCTCTCGAGATACGAAGTCAAACCGCAACTACTACACTCGATCGCACGTGCTGTCTTAAGCTCAATAACGACCACCAACACCCACAGAAGAAGAGCAAGTCGTTTGCGAGTTACAGACGTTAGAAGGGTATCAAATTCAAAGAGATATATGTGCGTCGAGGGTATTGAAAGACATCACAAAACCCCACTTCGAACGCATGAGAAAAGGAAACTTTTGCTTGTCGTATCACTTGCTTAGTAGTGGGACAGGGTGGCGTTGCTGAACCAGGAGACAGCGGCCTTGACGACCTGAACGTCCTGGTCAACGGAGCCACCGCTAACACCAATACCGCCGATCAGGTAGTCGTCCTTGTAGAGAGGAAGACCACCACCAAAGACAACAAGACCGCCGTTGGTCTCCTCAACACCTGGAAAACTGGTTAGTTCGAGTCCATTTCATTCTTGACATTGTCGAACGAACCGTAGAGAACACCTTGAGCAGCAGCGTTAAGGTCTGCGGTAGCCATGCCGTTGAAAAGCACGCTAGTGCGAGCTTTCTTGATGGAGATGTCGATGCTACCGGGGTATGCGTTGTCCATGCGGTGGAAAGCGACAAGCAGACCTGAGGGGTCGACAATGGCAATGTTCTCGGGGATAACAGTTGATGCCTCCTTCACGGCGGCAGCGATAATGCTCTCAGCTTGATCGACAGAGATAACATGTCTCTGTTAGATGCTGTTAGCGAATATGTCACCGGATCCACAGGATGTAGATACTAACTTGTGCGGGAAGGCTTCCAATGCCGTTGGTAGCAGTTTTGTTGCCAGCGGCGAGTGCGCCGAGAGACGAGCCCAGGAGCAGGGTAAGAGTAACGAAGGACTTGATGATGGCCATTTTGGTGATGTGTGGTGATCAAACGATGATTGCAAGGGTTGATAGAATTTCTTATTACTTGCGTGCTTCGGTTCGTAGCGGCGGTCAATGGTAAAAAGCAAGTGGCCGATGCAATGGGGAAAAACGTCTTTTGTACTTGGATAGTATGGGATTTTTCTGCCAAGGCAAAGAGGTGAGTTGTAGTCTGGATCGTCCGGGTAGTTAGACTGCCTGCCTAACAGCGGCGGCGGTGCTATTATATTAGCATTAATATGCCTGACAGTGAGGGTTCCGGGAGATCATTGGTTTCGCAATACCCGCAAGCGAAAGTATTCGCGAACTACTATCAGGGACAACCGCGCGTGTAGGGGTTGTGCTGTGGAGAGAATCCTTCAAGTTTCAGCCGCGAGTCATGGTATACTGGTCCCGCTTTGGTGGTCAGTGGTCTAGGTCAATGTAGTCATCAGAGCTTGTGGCGTGGTTGCGTGGTTAGCCAACAGGAGTTCTTTGCTCCGCAGAACGCAAAGGTAAATTGGTTTTACGTGGGCCGAGCGTGCATATGTTGAAGCTCTAATAGATGGGTCTTGACCGGATGAGGAGGCGCAAGCGATTCCACGTGGTCTGTTAAATGGGACGCGTCCCGATATTGCGAGTCTGCGATATAGCAATTGAGGCCTTCCCATAGCGGCACAGCCATGTTCGAGAGTAAGCCGCAAAGTCCAATGTTGCAGTCAGATTGGCAATAGTGAAGCACCACTGTATGGAGACGTTAAAATAGCACTGGATAAGCATGCAGACCCGTCGTCAGTGAAACAAATCTAGGATAGAACGTTGGCCGTGCTTGCCGCGATCCGAAGCTCTGCCGTCTTGGTTTGGTTTGGATTTTCGGCATATATGATAACGTCCAGCATGAATGCCAAACGTGCTCGTTAGAATTGCGATAGCCCAGTAGTTTCCTCGCAATAGTGTGAACGGATAGGCTGTAACCGAAGTCTTACGCAACTCCTCGGTGTACTCCTTTCAGTTTCGCTTGTCTGATTACTGCTTAATCTACTCCCACTTCAAGCGGAAGGAGCAATTCAGATCTGCTGGAGTTGTGCATTGGCAGCTCCGTGCCTTCCGAACCCTCGCCGTACTTTCCTGCCGGTGGTTCCACGCGCTATGCCGCGCTGCTGTTAGCATACTTGCTGATTTTTGGTTTGACCAAGCATTTGTTGTTTGGCGATGACAATTAGAGGTGGATCGTGGCCGCGTCTTCTTGCGAACGAGTCGTGAAAGGGACGAACGTTGAATGAACTTTGGATGACTTGCAGGAATGCTTAGCCTAGTGACTTCAATGGATGCATTCTACAAAACCAGCAATCGTGGCTCGAGCCGTAAGGGATCTGACAAAAAGTTTGCAGATTCAAGTTGTGCACCGGTTGTGAATGAGATTGGGTTCCGATCCGCACCACTTCCGAAAGTCTGTGGGTACTCCTCATGGGGTGGAGAGTCAAAGCGACAGAACGCAGCCACTGCTGCTTACCGACGTTGTGCTTGGTAGGAGTCACCTATGCCAGAACCACTCACTGGGTGGGCACGTAGATTGATACATCTCCGAATCACTGAGGGCCGACCATTGTCACTTTAGAAAATGCAAACTGAGTTTCGGATATCGGACATTATCCAGTGAGAGAGAGCATCGAATTCGAGCTCTTGATGGACCCTGTCCGTTTCTCAAAACCACCTTGATTTTGACAGTTAGGAACGCTACTGACGTTTGTTAATGGAGACAGCCTCGACGAGAACTGCTCATATGTTAGGTATCAAATACCGAGGATGGAGGGAGGTTTGGTTCTCAAGCGTGCTAAACGCTGGCAGCATCATGTTGCCAACAGTGCTGTCGACCGACAAAGCGTCATGAAATCACGTCTTGGGTTGATACGCACTGTACGTATATGTGGATACCGTCGTCTTTTCATGCCATTCTGTCGCCATTCTGTCGCCGTTGCGATATGTAAGATGATGGCCGATCAACAGCTATCGGGGATATCCTGCCCCCCCGTGCGCTAAATTCTTTCACTTCTAGCCATCCCCCACGGCCATGCCTAGGGTTATTCGGTCTGTAGAAATGCACAATGTTTTCAAGATCTCTCTAGTCGTCCGCAGAGAGGCGCTAAGTATCACACTCTTAGTGGACAGCTGCACTGATCTTAAAAACATTGTGCATTTCTACAGGGTGCGCGTGACAAAGTTTAGCACATGGGGAGGTGGCCGCTGTCCAGATCTATACCCCACCAAATGTCCCCGAAGCCTCGGCAACATCGCCCTGTTTGACATAAGACCAAGTATTGTTTTCTGACTATAGTCCACCAGCAATTAATTCGACCCAAACATTATCATGCCAGCTGTATCAGTCAACGCTCCGGAGCATGCCAAACCGACCGATGGCTACTTCAATCTGGGCACTTACAGTCGCAAGATCAGTACAAAGAATTCCGAGGCCCAGCTTTGGTTCGATCGTGGCTTGATATGGGCATATGGCTTCAACATCAAGGAAGCATCCATCTGCTTTGAGAAAGTCATTCGACTGGACCCTGGTTGTGCTATGGGCTATTGGGGCCTCGCCTATACAAAGGGTCCTTACTACAACAAAGCATGGCGACTTTTTGATCCCAAAGAACTCAAGGAAGCTCTAGTAGTGACATACGAGACCTCACGCAAAGCTCTAGAGCTCGCAGACAACGCGACACCAGTTGAGCAAGCTCTCATCAAAGCGATCGTCGCCAGGTACCCTCAAAAGACCCCTACCGAGGATTATCAGCCATGGAACGTGGCATATGTCGACGCGATGGAAGATGTGTACAAAACTTACAGAGACGACCTAGATGTTGCATGTCTGTATGCGGAATCACTCATGGTGTTGACGCCTTGGGCTCTCTGGAACATCCATACCGGCAAGCCTGCTCGTGGCGCTCGTCCTTACGAAGCAAAGGAAGCACTGGACCATGCCTTTACTCTGCCTGGAGCTTGGGAACATCCTGCTTTGTTGCACTTCTACATTCACTTGATGGAGATGTCAGGAAAACCAGAAGCTGCACTGGAAGCAGGTGACCGCCTGCGAGGCCTTGTGCCCGACAGTGGCCATTTGGAACACATGCCTTCGCATTTATATGTTCTCATCGGAGACTACAGGGCTGGCATTGCCGCAAACGCGTCGGCAGTCAGAGCTGATGATGCGTATGTGGCCAAGATGGAAGGTAACGAGATGTACACTTTCTACCGCGCCCACAATTCGCACTCTTTGATCTATGCTGCCTTGCTTTCCGGCAAATCAGAGATTGCTCTCCAGAATTGTACCCTCATGGAGAACTACCTACCGGAAGAACTTCTTGCCATTGAGTCACCAAACATGGCAGATTGGCTTGAGTCCTTCCTGGGCGTTCGTGCTCACTTACTTGTTCGGTTTGGACGTTGGGAGGAAATTCTCGCTCTTGAGATGCCAAAGAATCAGAAGCTGTACTGTGTAACTACAGCAACTCTTCACTATGCGAAGGGTGTCGCACATTCAGCGCTCGGCAACGTCGTCGAAGCCGAAAAGGAGCAGGAGCTGTTCCTAGCGGCCCAGAAACGCGTACCAGAATCTCGTTTCGACTTCCCAAACAAGTGCACCGATATCCTCAAGGTTGGCGAAGCCATGCTGGCAGGTGAAATTGAGTACCGCAAGGGCAATATCGATCTCGCCTTTGAGCATCTGAGAGAGTCCATCAAGCGCGACGACAACCTCGTATACAGTGAGCCTTGGGGCTGGATGCAACCCACACGCCATGCTTACGCTGCCCTATCACTCGAGCAGGGTCTCGTCGAACAAGCAGCCCAGGCATACGCAGAAGACCTTGGCTACGTGGCCGGCATTCCTCGTGGCCATCAACACCCTAACAATGTCTGGGCATTGGTCGGATATCGTGAATGCTTGAAACTGCTTGGACGTCATGATGAATATGATCAACTCGAATTGCCCTTCCAGTTGGCGACTAATATGGCGGATATACCTGTTACTTCATCCTGCTACTGCAGAAGAATGAGTGAGCAGACAGAGAGCAAGAAGGCCAAATGCAATGGTTCCTGCTAATCAATGAACTAGAGATGAGCGGCCGTACCAGCGGCAGAAGAGAATCCAAGATATAAAAAGACTTTTGCTACACCCTAAAGCAATTCTGCCCTGTCTCGTCTCCACCTCATATAGCTAAAACATCTTGAGGAATCTACCAAGCTTCTCCAAAGCGTGCATTGATAGCCTTAAGCTAGCTCGAGAAAGTGCACGGTCGTAAATGACAACATGAAAGAGCAAATATGATTTTGAGTTGTAATGGGAATGATGCCTATCTAGAACACGGTGTAGCCGTTCCAGAACAGAAATCCGACATCGATCAGAATGCTTAAAAGTCCGTATTCCAGCTTCATCTCAATAACACTCCAAATCCAAAGCGCACCTAACGGGGGTGCCTGCTTCATGACTGCAAAGTAGTCGTATGTGTTGCCCGCATAGATCATGTAACAACCACTCGCGATTGCGACAGATAGACAGAACAGCTGCTTGAGTGTTTGGAAGCGATTTGCCATCTCTGACTTCATCATGTAGACGATGAGAAAGAGAATTGGGTAGGCAATAGCTGTGCGCTGGATGATGGCAGGCCAGCTGATTTCTTGTGCATATTGGTTGAACACCAGCACATCCAGAGTAAAGTGGACCATTGCTAGACTTGTTGCCAAGAAGAATGATTCGCCCACAGGCCCAATCACGGCTTCCTCGTCGTCGTCTTTGGCAGGTAGAAGCACTCGTCCATTTTCGTCGCGAGCCAGACCATCGCCAAGAGACTTTTCGAAAGGTTGACCAGAAGCCATCATGCCTTGAAGCGCTGAGGTTCGTTCATCTGCAATCTCCAGGAGAGTTTTGCCTTTGGGGCCGGTGCGATCGGGTTGAGATAATGGTATGTGGCCCGCGGCATTGATGGTTGCGGTCGAAGGGTGTTTGCCAGATTCCTTCGCAGCGGCACGGCGCTCTTTGCGGTTGCGCGGTTGGTTATCTTCTTCAGCCATGGTGGCAGAATGACTAGAGAGATCACACGTCGCTAGAGTTTGATGATGTTTTTGAGTGTTCTTGGTGGTGGTTGTGAAATAAAATTTGGGGGCTCTTTTGATAGTTGTCGTTTCGGCCCGTGATCGGCACTCGAATCGCTGTGATACCAAGCACATGGGGCTTTCTTACACAACACCCGCTCTTGGTTACTTCAAAGCAGCAAATCTCGACAATCTAGATATAACAAAGCACGATTAAAATATGAGGATGTGAGAAGAATTTCCAGTCGTCATCTCTCTCCCTGAGAAGATACCATATGCGAAAAACAATCGTGTATTGTTTGCGCGTCAATTGGCGCCGGACAGACAGCGACGCCGGATAGAGAAGGCTCAAGCGCTCGCTATCATCTCTCAAACGAGCATCCTTCTCCTTGAGCTTCGTCTTGATCTCTTCATCACAACACACGTCGTCAATTGCAATCTCAGTGGACTCGAGGACCCGGAGCCCTCTAGAGTAGCACAAGCATGGATATGCGAACCTTATGGCTGGCCGCCGCACCCGTCATCATTGCTGTCCTATGGCTATATACTAGTGTCCTGACATCCTCGTTCCCAATGCTTCGCAACAAGCGTATATGCCTCCTGATCGCTCATCCGGATGACGAAGCAATGTTTTTCGCTCCTACGGTCCTTGCACTTACAAAGCCTTCGCTCGGCAACCATGTCAAAATCCTTTGCTTGAGCTCCGGAGATGCCGACGGCCTTGGTCACATTCGCAAGCAAGAACTAGTTAAGAGTGGACTGTTACTCGGCCTCAGAAACGCAGACGACGTCCTGGTGTTGGACGACGAAAGATTTCCAGATTCAATGACGAAAACATGGGAGAGCAAAGCAATCGCGAATCTACTGGCCACGACCTTTGCACCAAAGATGGCAAGAATAGGAGCGAAATCTGCCCCGGAAGCCAACATTGATGTTCTGATCACTTTCGACAACTCCGGCGTTTCTTCACATCCAAACCATATCTCGCTCTATCACGGTGGTATCGCTTTCCTGAAGCAGATCATGCAGAAGCATGCAGGTTGGGAGAATCCGATCAAGATGTACACATTATCATCTGTCAACGTAGCGAGAAAGTATGGCAGTATCTTGGATGCCCCATTGAGCATTGCAAAGACAGTGTTCCAGAAGAAGGAAGCTGGTGAATTCCCCACACCGCTTTTAGTTGTCAGTGGCGTGGGCAGTTATAGAAAAGCCCAAAAGGCCATGACAAACGCGCATGAGAGTCAGATGAGGTGGTTTAGATGGGGCTGGATCAGCGTGTCGAGATATATGGTTCTGAACGACCTGAAGAAAGTCAAAGCTGTGTAACATAGATGAATCTGGAGAAGGTCTGCACCGGCAATCCGATCAAGGCCGATATAAGACCACAGTCTCTCAAACTATCTGCGCTTTTGGATGATCTCTTTTCAGGAGCCCGGTGCTGGTGTTATGTCTATCAAACTCTTATGCCTATCATACCGAGACTGCTGATGGGGACATCTACACGGCAGTTCGTATGCTGGGTTTGCACACTGCAGCCCTATGGCATGATCTTCGCCCTGCATGCGCATTTTTGAGACGTAACAGGCGGGTGTCTGCATAAGAAGCAAGACACATGATCTGGCCAGCGCAACAGTGTTGGCGACTAACTGCCACGAACAACCAGGCAGGTAGCAAGAAATAACTTCAAAGAAGCAATATAACCATTTTCAGGATATGCTTTGTCATAACCGGGCCAATATTCAGGACTTCGCAGTAATCAAGTGGTTCGAGCAAGTAGTACTGGGAGAGGGGCACGATAAAATCTGACATGTCTGCACGACATCACACATGTCCAGAGTACAAACGCCGAACAATACCACTTTCAAAAACAAGAAACAAAGTAATGCATCAATGCAGCAGCAGCATCCGTACGTTTGACGCTTGCATTTCTGACCGGTTTGCTTGCCTTTGGTATCTCTTGCATTGTTGTATCTATTGTCACTGCCTGTTTGTACACCACCTATATAGGCTTCTTTCTTCTAACCATGTCTTGTACTCTTTATGTCTCAGACGTCGGCAATCGACCACATTTATTGAACCCGTCGAAAGACTAACACATCGATCACTTAAACCTGTCGAAATTGTCAAACTTCGATACATCCTTCGATCACTTGTCCCTCGTCGAACTTGACGTCGACCACTTGTCGAACGTCTGCTTAATCTCTCAAGCTCGTTAGAAGACTGACGACTAGAACATCAGTTCCTTGAAGAATTCAACGGGGTCAACTCATAACTCGTTGCTCGATTCGGGACCAATCGTCCTGCCCAGATACTCGAATTGCACTCGTATCCAAGGTCTGGTCTTCGAATTTGTCGAGCAGCCGAAAGTAATTCGTCAGACTGGTGTCGAGCATAGAGTCTTGTCGAACGGCAACACAATCTCCCCATTGCTTGAGCGCCAGTCGGAATCCTCGACATACAACAAGAAATCAGCCATATACGCCGTTCAAACTGCAGCAAACTCTCAAGCTAAAACACCTACGTCGTTTTCTCCATAACAATCTCACAATGCTGTCTCTCATCAGAAAGATCAGCAGTGCACGACAGTCTACAGAGACATTGAGAAAGAAGGACGACAACGAGGTCAACGTCGACAACACAAGCCGGGAAGAAGAGGTCGATGGCACTACCTACGATCCCGATGCAGATCCGAGGGATCCAGAAAGATACTACACTTTCCCACATTTTGCCGAAGAGTAAGTTTCCCCCCTACCACACCACCAAATCCATACCTGACTAACCAGAATCCAGAAAGCAAGAAACCTCGAGCCTTACCGACGACGACAACCAGGTCAATGACGAGAGAACCCCCATCCTACCACAAACACCAAAGTCAAAGCCCAAGACCACACCTTCGAGCACAGAACCAGCATCTCCGCCTTTCTGGCCCATCTCACCTGTACCTAAACGACTCCACAAGTCCAACCCGTCCAATCCTACGGCTCCAAGGATGCAGAGACGTGCGACCACAGACCTGACACCATCGCAACCCCTCCCTGTTCGAGAGAAACCTGCTCGTAGAGCTTCGGCTCAGGTTCCTGATCGTGTGGGGGAGGTGCACAGTCCCACGAGAGAGCAGAAGCAACAGAGAAAGGTTTCTGTACAGAATCAGGGGTCTTTGAAGAAGGACGGTGGAAGGAGAGTGACTGGAAGTTGAAGCTTCCTTTGAACAGAGAGTACTGGACGAATTCAACTGTGCATTTTCATAGCATCGTTTTTCGAGGTGCAAGGGAGCTAGGGAGCTTGGATAGCGTTTGCATGTAATTAGCATGGTCAGGTCAAAGTGAAGCCTCCATTTGCTTCAGGTAAACGTGATTCACACAATGAGATGAATGCAGAAGGACAGAAAGGCAGAAACATTTTACGACTTTTTTGCTTCGTGAATGATTTTTGATAGATATGAACAGTAGAAAAGGGGTTGTAACTAAACCTAAACACTGATGGTCTTGAACACGTTGAAGCCATTGCCACCGGTAGCCATAAGAGCACCGGGGATTTGGGGGTGCCAGTGGGACTCCTTGATCTGCTCCATGTAGTGGACGAACAGCAATTGGGGTGGCACATCCTGGACACCAGCAGTGTCGCGAGACTCCTCATCATCGAGCTCGACGGCCAAATCCCAAAGAGTAAGGGTGTTGTCGCCAGAGCAGACGGAAACGATAGAGTCGTCGGTGGGGTGCCATTCGACGCTGGTGATTTGCTCCTTGTGGAATTTGAATGAGGCGACGGAGTTGGGCTTGGGAGAGGTGGTGACCGAGGGCTTCCATTGGCGCAAGTCCCAGACTGCCCACTCGCCGTCTTCGTGGCCTGAGGCGAGCAAGTGGGTGGTGTTGCGCGACCAAGAGAGGACGTTGACATCGGTGTTTGCGACCTGAACGCTGAGAGCGGGCTTGCGTGACTTGGAACGGGCGTCCCAGATCTTGACGGTGCCATCTGCAGAGCCAGAGGCAAAGACGTTGCGCTCCGAGGGAGACCATTGCAATTCCTCGACGGAGCTGCTGTGGCCAGTGAAGGGAGTTGTGTCGGTGACGAAACCACCACCCTCGGTGCGAGTAGTAGCGAAGATGCGGCCATCGACATCACCAGTCAAGAGCTTGCCAGCGGGGAAAAGTGGTGACCAGTCAATGGCGTAACCCTCAGTCTTCTTGTGTGCGCGAATGGTGCTGACGGGCTTATTTTGTTGGGGGGTGATGGTCATGCCGGGGTTGTCGAACGAGGCGAGGTGGGGAGTAACGTCGTGGATGAAGACATCGCCGGACTCGGTCATGACGGCGCTGAGAGTGGTGGAAGGAGTTGATGATGAGGCTTGCGGGGTTTGGTGCACGCGAATGCGGTTTGTGCATGTGTTCAAGGGAATGTCCTTGGTCTCCAGAATGGGCTCGAGCGATTGTTCCTCCTCGTCATCTTCCTCATCTTCCGACTCGGACTGTTCACCACGGTCCATGCGGCCTAGACTGCTCATCTTCATGACCATGATGCGGTTCTCCTTCTCGCTTCCTTGTGCGGCCTGGGTACCTGCGACGGCGTAGACGGTTTGAGGATAGGATTTGCGGTTGTCGCCCAACTGGTCCTTGACGAGGTCGAAAGAGAGACACGGCCATGGGGCTTCCAGGTTGTGCAGCATCTCGTATGTTGAAGTATCCGGGGCCAGCGTCTGTCCAGCTTCGAGTTTGTGTCGTCCGGGAATAAAAGTGTCTTGATCTACGTCCATGGCTGTTTGTATCATAAGTACTTGCCATCATGTAGAGCATGATCGAAGAAGGTACACACCATCACGCTCCTCGGCCTCGCGCTCCTCGTCGGGTCTGCCATCAACACCAGCCTCGAGAATCTCGTCTTCGCTCTCGAATTCATCCTCGAACTCGTCCTCAAACTCGAGCTCCTCGGGCTGGCCGTCCTGCGGTCTTTGGCCCGACTTGAGGGCGCGGATCTCGTCCTCCTCGGATTGGTCTGCTGTGCGTTTGCTCATTATGTGTAGTTGATGTGTGGCGTGAATTGATGTCGTGGATGGACTTTTCGCGGCGCGACGAAAAAGACAGGAAGCTTATCGATAAGAAAATGATTGGTTCGGTCGGCATGACGCTTGTTTCACGCTCTTGGCGCGGTTCCGCTCGTGTGGCTGGCGAGTGGGATCAAGCGTGGGGCCCGGCCAAACACACGGAAGCGCATGCAGGTCTCCCCCAAGCAAACAAACAGTCCCAGCGCATCTTCCTCCATCGCTCCTGCTTCAACTCTAGCTCCATCTTCTCTTTGATAGAAAGACATTCGACCTGGTGTCCTTTGTATCGCGCGCTGGACCGTGTACCATCCCGACTCGATTGACCGCCTTGCGCTTTGACTGGTAGACGAACAGCTTCTCCGGCTTAGTGCCCAATCTTCGACCTGTGGTTCCTGTCACTGCCCATTCCTGCTATTTCTACCCGCTGTCTGCCCTCGCGACAACAAGTCACGGGAATTCAAGGCCGCCCGCCTAGCAACACCTCTGCAATTAAACAATGGACTACGCAGAGCCCGTCCCGCAGCCGTCGCCCTCTGATGCCTCGCTGGAGGACGCGAGCATGCACACCGTTACTGCCTCATCTGTCAACGCTCTCCCCCATATCCACAACCACAACATCTCAGACTCCGCCGACTCTGCCCGCAGGCCTCAGACTTCCTACTCCGACACTGGTTTCGCTTCCAATTACCAATCTCAAGACAACACTCCCGACCCTCAACACTCGGAAGACCAGATGCCGCAATACCCCTCCAGACCGAGCTCCCGTTTGAACCGTCAAAACAGCGACTACAGCGATCAGAATGCTCAACGACAACAAGCACAGAAGAACGCTAGCGTCGTTATCAAGGTCGGAATGGTCGGTGATGCACAGATTGGCAAGACCTCTTTGATGGTCAAGTACGTCGAGGGAAGCTGGGACGAGGACTACATTCAGACTCTTGGTGCGCAACGCTCTCTTCAATACTCTGCTCTCGCACACGTGCTGACCTTCCCTTTTAGGTGTGAATTTCATGGAAAAGACGATTAGCATCCGCAACACGGAAATCACCTTCTCAATCTGGGACTTGGGTGGTCAGCGCGAATTCGTCAACATGCTGCCCCTTGTCTGCAACGACGCCGTCGCAATCCTCTTCATGTTCGACTTGACCCGTAAGAGCACACTCAACTCCATCAAGGAGTGGTATCGTCAAGGCAGGGGTTTCAACAAGACGGCCATCCCTTTCCTGGTCGGTACGAAATACGACCACTTTGTCAACTTCCCTCGCGAAGAGCAAGAAGAGATCAGCATGCAGGTGCGCATATACCACATCGGAGTCTTGTTTGAATTCCGTCTGACAATTTTACAGGCTAAGCGCTTTGCAAAAGCCATGAAAGCAAGTTTGATCTTCAGCAGTACCAGTCACAGCATCAACGTTCAGAAGGTCAGTACTCCGCATATTGGGGGTTCAGGGCATCACTAACAACAACCAGATCTTCAAGATTGTGCTATCAAAAGCATTCGACCTGCGCTGTACGATTCCAGAGATCGAACACGTTGGCGAACCTCTGCTCCTCTACCAACACGTGGGCTAGATGGACCAAATCTTACGACACGGCCTAAACAACGTATGACCCCAACATCAAAACCACCACCCGTCTTTCTAGAAAAGACATCACAACACACTTCGGCCTTTCTCTTCTTCTCGTTTTTTTCTAATCACTTTTTCGGCTGGGCTTTAAGAGAAAAGGAAATCACACAACACAGAATCTTTGCATTGGATCGGAGAAAAAGGGTGTGACTTTTTTGGGCTACACGCACAAGGCGGGTTGAAAGAGTGCTTACTCTGTTTCGTTTTTGTTATTGCATGCTCGATTTTAGCGAAAGAAACCACGGCGTTTTTGTCTTTTCTGTTGAGTCCTTTTTTCATCTCTTCGTATCAATTGCCTTCCTTCCATAACACATTCTCCTTGACGTGGATGTAGGGATATGAGAATCGTGCCAGGACTGAGCTATCAGCCCGGTAGGGCACCTTGCTGAACAGCCATCAAAAAGCACGATGTTGTAGGTTTCGATGTAGTCGTCTCAAAAAATTCAAGAGGAAGCGCCGCTCTGAATGGACATGTGTTGGTTTAGGAAGAACGACCAGTTCTTCTACTCGCGAAGGGAAAGTCAACGACACAGCTGGCCTGGGCTTTTCCTCAAGCCTCAAGGCATTGAAATTCGAAATGTGCATGAAAATCATGATGAGGAGGGAAAGACTTGCATTTCAAGGGGAAAAAAGTCTTGTAGAAGACGGGTCCAAACGCCGCCCAATGAGTGATAACAGATAAATAGGAGATTTCCGCCAATTGGTTTCTCTCAGAACCAAATCATATCTTGCGATGTTTTCAATCTCTCTTCCCTGTCAGATGTTTGCCTTCATTGTCGCTATCATCTTCACTCCACCTCTCATCGTCATCATCCTCTCCGCCAACTGCGAATATCGTCTCGCCATCCAATGACTCCCTGGGCAGCTGAGCGGGTTTTGTGGGCTTTGGTGCTGGCAAAGGTGATGCGTCACGGTTCGCTGCGGAGCTCGAAGCGTTGTTTCGAGGTGCATCGTAAGCTGGAGGTGCGCCTTCGAGATCTGGGTCGTCAAAGTCGAGAGAAGAACGCATACTAGCAATCTCGAAGCCTTCGTCGTCTTGAGCAATCTAGGAGTCTCGTTAGCAGGGATTTAGTCTGCGTGGATTAGATAACACATACCTCGTCACTCATGGCGAAACGACGGTTGTTTGCTGTTGGACGCCAGAGCCAAGCAATAAACGCAACATCGGCCAAGTAAACCAAGTTGAGCCAACCATCCAAGATGAACCAGCGCGAAGACCAGTGGGTAGGTACGAAGTCCTCATCGCTGACGCCAGCAAAAGTCCAGCTGTTCACGAAGAAGAAAACAAAGATGACAACGATGGAGCCGAGAATGCACCACCAGAGTTTGCGATACATCATAGCCTTGATGGTCTGTTTGCGTTCCATCAAATCCTTCATGGTGGCATTGAGCGAGTTAAGCGTCCAAATGTAGAAGGCCGTCAGTGTAGCTGCGAGAGGCAGAACTACGAGTAGAACCAGAGGGCCTGCGTTTTCAGGGGTGACCGAAAGCGATGCGATAACGTAGACAACGCCGAAGATGAAGTGGGAGATGGCAAGCCAGCGAACCCAGATCATGGTGCGGCCCAGGCTAGGCTTCACGACACCATAGCCCATACACACAATCAGCAGCAGGAAGAAGCTGAAAGAGTTTCTGCCAGCAGATAGAACCGAGACCACGATTAGGAGTGCTTTCGCACCTGTACTAAGACCGTGTCTGTTCTGGAAGTCGTAGAAGAGCCATGTCATGAAGATTTCGATAACGAGGAAGACCAGAATGGCTGTTATGTAGTTCTGGACGGGCAGGATATCGTGACGGTTTTGGAAATAGAGGAAAGCCCAGCCAGCCGACGCAAGGGCATAGACGAGAGTAAGAGCACCATAGAAGGGCAACTTTGCGATCTGAGCGGCAGGCAGCTCACCGTAGCTGTTGCGGAACTCGACAATGCCATTGTAGTTCTCTGCAGTATAGCCATAGGTGCCAACGCAGTAGTATCCGGTACGCTTGATAGGGTAGTTGATGGCAGGTGGATTCTTGAGGTGTACGGCCTGGGTAATGATCAAGCTCTTGCTCTTGCCCGAATCCTGAGACAAGATGAATTCACCCTCCTCGGTAGTGTTGCAGAACTTGGCTTCGATTGCCGTGGCGTCGCAGATGTAGGCACGGTCCGAGGTTGTATCGTCCATGAGCTTGCCAACATAGTCACGGTCTGACCACTCAAACATGACGAGCGATACGACGGGGTCCTGGTCTTCGGGGATGTCCTCGGGCTTGACAAACTTGGTCAGGATGAAGGGATCTACAGCTCCTCCCCAACCTTTGCGGCTGAACATGCCTGAGCATTGTTGTCGGTTTACTTCCTTCTGGTCCTGGTTAAGAGTCAGTATCCTGGCAGCTATAGTCGGCGCAATTGAACAGCAGAACATACGATCTTGACCTCGTTGCCATGAACTCCTAGAGCCAGCAATGCCAGCAGCACAGCAGTGCGTAGTTGAAACCACGACCGCATGATTCCCTAGCTCTTGGTTGTTGATCCTAGAAAAACGTGCCTTGTGTCAAGACAGAGAAAAACTCCCTTCTCTGGCGCTATCGTCCCCTCGAAGCTCCCACGTCAGCTACAGACGCGTTCCGGGTGCAACTGCCCCGTGCAGATCGGACTTAGCGCCGGCCCGATCCTAAGCGCGTGTGAGGCGGTGCATAGATGTGGCGCTGGTCGAGCTGTGGCTAGAACTTTCGGAAACAGCAGAAGCAGTGACATCAAAAAGTGGCTGTGTTTGGATACTTTTCGAAACGCCATCATCATGGGGTTATCAAGCAGGTTAAAACCAAGTTGCGCCATGGTGCAATCTACGAGGTATCAAGTCCTTGTTGCGCTGGCCGACTATCGCTGTGTTTTCACGAGCAATCATATCACGCCGACTCATCCAAGCGCTACATTCTTCTGAAGCTCGTGGTTTCCCTCAGCAACCGCCTTGAAGCTTGACGCCCAGTTGCGACTTCCCCTAACCGTCTCACCACGCGCCTTTCTACAAGTACAACAAGCTCTTTCTGAGACAAGCACAACCAAGACTTCTTTGTCTCCCAGCATCCATTGCTATTTTTGAATTGCTACATTACTCTTACCAGTCTGCATCACCGACCTCCTTGCTCTGATCGATATATTCTCCTTTTATCGACCAAACAGCAAGAAACATCAAAAACATGGCCGGAGTCGTAGGAAAGTATGCTGCCAACAAGATGTTGCGCGGCCAGATGGCAAAATACCAAAGCAAGAAGCCCTGTGGCGATGAGGTAAGTCTTTGGTATCCTTCAGCACAATCCACATACTAATGCCCGTCACAGGACCCGTTCTTCGTATACATCGACGACCCACGCAAGCCCGGCAAACAGAAGAAGGTCAAGAAGACTGTTCCCGCATACATCCCCGAACACGATGCCGACGTCCTTGCCAAAATGCGCCGTCGCGCCTACAGACTGGACATGTCACTGTTCGAATTCCTCGGTACTCGTTTCGGATGGTCCTCCATCATCGGTATAGTGCCCGCTGCTGGAGATGCTATCGACGCTGCCATTGCCTTGCTGCTCGTTAGAGGCTGCATGAAGGTCAAGGGAGGCCTACCAATGGACATCCTCATTCGAATGCTCATCAACGTCGCTGTTGATTTCCTTATCGGTCTCGTCCCATTCGTCGGCGATATTGCCGATGCCTACTTCAAGGCCAACACCAAGAACTGCCGACTTTTGGAGAAACATCTTGACAGCCTATACAAGCCCGATGCTCTCAAGGCGACTAAGGGTCGCAACGGTCACCACCCTCCACCCGCCACGGCGTACGAGGACTTTAGTGACGAAGAAGACGACCGTAGAGCGTTCCTTCAGGAGACCCGCCCACACACCGACGGTGCCCAAGATGTTCGCCGTCCTGCACCGACCGCTGCACCTGCGACCAAGAAGTCAGGTGGATGGCTCAACTTCGGTGGCGGCAACACTAGGAGAGAACCTGACCTGGAGAGAGGAAATGCCAGTCGTCCGGTTTACACTGAACAAGACACTGGTACCATGCGTGCTGACAGAAGATGATCACAATGAGGACTGATTTGTGTCATTCAGCGTACCCTCAGCATCCCCTCGCCGGCTAGTATCCAGACGCCCGCTAGGTGAGGACTGGAGGGTTGGGTCGTTGATTGTTCAGATTTCTCTTTTGTTTATGAAGGACATGCTACGAAAGAAGACGAGTAGGCTGTAATACCAGGGAAATATCGTTTCTGTGTTTTATGTTTGTGTTTCTTGGAGTTATTAGCGGTTTGATTCCCCCGTTCGACGATAGCGTTGTTAGATACCATTGATTGTCAAGTTTTTCTCACGAAGCATATCCGATTCCCGTGATCAACCAGATCATTTCTCTACTGATGCTACTCAACTCTCTTCACTTGAGGTAAGAATCGCGATAAAGCAAATCAGACGATCCTTGTTTGAACAATTTCGACCATTCTGATATATAATCATGGGGGAATAAATATGCCCATGCCAATTTGCTGTCGTTTTTGCACTATGAACAAGCTGCAAACCGAACAGTGCATCCTCATTGTCCTCGGGCCTCCCATATGTGAGGGCCAATCATTAGAGGATGGAAAAAACAAGAAAACCCAAAAACAATGCTGTCGTGATAGAACGCTTGAAGAACAAAAGGAGAAAACAGGGAAAAATGCTGAAAGAGTCCACCATGCTCGTCTGAAGCCCGCTCATGCTCATCTGAAGCTTCGCTCTCAAGGCGAAAACATGGGCACACTTCTCATACAACCATAACACAACGGCGGTGGTGCTTTGCCCTCAGCAACCAAGCCCTCCTCGGTTCTGGGTGTGAGCAGCAAGGGCAAACCACAAAGACTGCAACTTGCATCTCCAGCACCAACGCCAGGTGCTTGTAGTTTTGCAGTCGTCCTGACCACATTGGCCACGATACTGGGGTAATTCTTCTCCACGGCGTCGAAGTAGTTGCGCATCAATCCGTCAATGGTGCTGTGTTTGGCACTCACCACCGTCTCCAGCGGTGGTTCTGGCGCCACTAGAGGAGATAGAGGGGGATTTGTGTAGGTTGCGTATGCGTGGATTTCCTTCTTCAGCAGGTCGCGCATGGGGTAGTAGAAATCAATTCCATATGGTGAGGGCCCATCAGAAACCAACCAGGCCAAAGCAAATCCTCTGCCTTTCGCTGTCTCCGCGAGTGTTTTTTCCGCGAGTCTGGTCGTGCTGTCGCCCCAGACGATGGCTTCACAGGTATCCGCTTTTGCGAAATCGACAATGAGTTTGTGGAGGAGGATTTGGAGGACGTCCGATCTTGCTGTTGCTGTTGGGATTGCTTGGAGGAGTTTTTGGAGGGATTCGAGGTTTGTGGTTTCGATGCCTTCGTGGGCGAGAGCTAGGGAGGCGGGTGTGTCGATGTTGTATTGTTTGAGCAAGTCCTGGATATCTTCTACTTCCATGACTGAGGAAAGAGGAATGGAGGTGTAGGTGTGTGTTGGGTAGCGTTCCTTGATTGCGTCCAAGTCTTTTTCTGGGGGTCCTTCGGGGACTACGGCGGTCATGTCGACGTGTAGTATTTGTAGGGCAAATCCGGTGCGTCCAGTGTTTTCGATCTGGCGTTTGAGTTGTTCGTCTAAGCAGTGGAGGAGTGCTAGTGAGGAAACGCCCATTGAGAGTGGTAGGAGCAGTACTCGTTGTTGGCCTGCTGTGGAGAATCTGGTGCGGAACTTTTCCATGCGCTTCACGGCTTTGGTTGCGATGTACTTGCAAAAGCAGTCCCTGGTTGGAAAGTCAGTATGTTTTCTTGCGATGATGAATGCCGGTGCTTCTGCTTACTTGCACATGGGTCGGGATCGAACATTTTCCACAGCATCATGAACCTGACATTGCTTGCAAACACCCAGTCCAGAGTCCTTGGGCACGCTTGTCGGCATGGTATCGCTTATCCTCTCAAAGATATCGTCACTAAAAGTATGGGGAGGGTCCTCGTTCCAGGGTCCAGCAAGATTTTGATATGGTATGAAAATGGTTTACTACTGATGTATAGTCGTAGAAGAGAGTTGATGGAAGGTGAAGGAGGAAAGGTCAGAGGCAGAAGTTGGAAAAGGCGAAAGGTCGAGCCCAAGCTGCGCAAAGCAAAGTTTGGTCGTCTTCCGAGCTTGCCCTCCAAAACTCCGCTCTTGACTCGATGCAAAAACGCCGTTGGCAAAGGGACCGTGGGCGGCACCGTTCGGACGATGGACGAACAGAGTCAAGCAACCTTTCTTTAGACTTTTACCAGGACAAGCGAGCCATGTAGAAGAAACTCTGTTGGCCATGTACAGACAAGGATGTCTATATTCAGTCATCTCCAAAGCCTGTTGAATATCTTCTGACCGGCACTTATGCTTGCAGTCAATCACTCCATCTTCGAGCAACTTGATGCGAAGCAATACAGTAACCAAGTCATCGTGCAGAGACCCCTCCTTCGTCTTTCCCCTCCGCGGACTTCTTTCCATGTACTTCCACTGCCAAACATACACTGCATCATTACATATCCCACCCACGCATTACACATTCTCCCTCTTCCTTCGGACTCCACTCACGAGTCACATCAAAACACAGCAGAGTTTGTCCATCTCCTGATCGACATGCACCAAATCTCGGGAAAAGATGTGGTGAACCCTTCCTCCCCATGTGCTAAACTTTTGTCACGCGCATGCTGCAGAAATGCACAATGTTTTTAAGATCAGTGCAGCCGTCCACTGAGAGTGCGACAGTTAGGAACTCTCTACGGACGGCCGGACCGATGTTGAAAACATTGTGCATTTCTACAGTCCAAGCGGCCCTAGGCGTGGCCGTGAGATGGCTAGACGTGACAGATTTTAGCACACGGGGAGGTGGCTACGCGCTGCATCTGTTCAGTAAACCACGTCCCACCTTTCCTTTTCAAGTTGTATCTACTGTAGATCGCAAGGTAAATACCAAAAAGGGTGTTCGAGCGACATGTACAAGAGCTGTAGACCAGGCGCAGCCAGGACGGCGAACACTGCCCACTGACCATTCATTCAGCTGTTTCTCGTGAAAGTCTGAAAGGTGTTCATGATTCTTGGACGATGTTGGTGGTTCCCAAATGACAGCAGTGGCGTCTGTCTTTGCTCGTCAATCGGCGCTGACCGGCTGTTTTGCCATGTGTCAGCTACCGGCAGGGGAAGCTCGTATCAAACAGTCGGGGTCTTGTTATCCAACGCTATCCTAGTATCGAGGTACTCGAGAAGGTGTAGACAGTCAGCTATGTATGTATGTATCCGAGAAGAGCAGAAATTAAACACTTCAGTCGAGTAAAACTCTTAACGATACACTCTCCAGACACTGCCAACCTCTCTGTATTCCGACAATTATATTCCTATCAACCTGAGAATGCCAACAACCATGCGCCAGATAAGGCAATCTCAGCTGTTCGTTACCCAAATCCCCTACAATAGTGGCTGTGACCCTCGCGAGTCAAAAGACGCCACAGACTCATAGCTGTTCTTCCAAGTTTCTAACCACTAGCAACCACAAATCCACTCCCTTGAGTCTCCTCTGTATACCAGCCATCTTCTCACACCTATCGTCAACCATATCGCAGCCCACATTGTAGCCGATTCTCTTTGGAGACTTTATATAAAACGACAACAATGCCTCCAGCAATCAAACAAGGCACTGGCGAGCAAGTCCTTCAAGTCATCACGGTTTCGGACATCACGAGTCAGATAACAGGTAATTCTATCCCTTTGGCCACGTCGCCCTTCTCATCTCAAGTTGAGGGAGTGTATGAGTCTTTTTTATTTCTTTCTCCAAGGTATATGTGCTGAGGTACGTAAAATAAAGCGAATGCACAGGCGCTGTATCTTAGAGAAAAGGGCCTCAAGGTCGTGTCCGCGCAGTCGCCTAATGGCATGATTCATTACTGTGCCGTTGTTGGTGAAGAAGCCTCTGATCCGAAGTATCCCAAGATTGCTCCTCGGACGAAGGTCGTGCTGCAAGGTGATAGTGCGACCGACAGACGTACTGCCATGATGACTCTTTTGGAGCAGACTGAAAAGAAGGTCGCAAGGGAGATATTGAAAAAGCAATGAACGACGACAGCATGGACGAGTAACGATGAGCGGAGATGAAAGACGAAGACATGTCACAAAGAGATGGGTGGCACAGACTGGTACGTAGAACATGCTTTGTTATTAGAATTGTCATAAAATACTCCCATAATCAATCATAGACACCATCATCTCATCAACCACCTTACCTTCAACCCATCAGATCAGAACAAGCCACCTGGAGCAATGTACATCCAGGATGTAATTGGGACCCATTGTCCAGTTGGTGAAGGCTGACCAGCCACCGACATGGGAGTGATTGAAACGGATGTGGTGACAGCGGCAACGATTGCTGAACCTGTGCCTGCAGAGACTGTGGCAATTGTGGGAGCGCTGCCTCCACCGAACAGGTTGAGACCGACGCCGAGAAGGTTGCCGAGGTTTGCACCTGATGTGGGAATGGCACCAGCGCTCAAACTGATGACTCCTGGAAGAGAGGCCTGAAGGCAGATGAGGTTGTTGCATTGGCTGGCACTGACGACTGATGACACTTGACTGGCAGCGGCGATGATGGCATTGAGGTTTGTTGTGACGGCGGGTGCAGCAGCAGGTGCGGCGCCACCACCAAGGATCTTGACACCGACGTCGAGCAGGGAACCGCCTGAGCCTCCAGTGGGAATGGCGTTGAGGTTCAAGCCCAAAAGCCCAGGTAGAGAGGCTTGAAGACAGATGAGATTGGTGCAAGTGGCGACAGCTCCATTGGTAGCACTGACGACGACTCCTGAAACTGGCGACGGTGTGCCAGTTATTGCTGATGGCAAAGCGCCACCTCCAACAAGCCCACCCAAAAGGCCACCAACAGCTCCACCGACACCACCGAGCAGGCCTGACACAGCTGCTCCGACACCAGACACAGCACCGCCAGCTGCGTTTCCAACACCAGAAACGACGCCACCGAGAGGAGTTGGCAAAGCACCAGCAACACCGCCGACAAGGCCGGTGACAGCACCTCCAACTCCAGTGAGAGCTCCGCCGACACCTCCACCAATGTTCGAAACAGCACCGCCGACAGCAGTTGGGAGAGCACCAGCAGCACCGCCGACGCCACCGAGCACGCCAGAGACGACACCACCGACACCAGAGAGAGCTCCGCCAGCAAGGTTGCCGACTCCTGAGACGACACCACCGAGAGGACCTGGAAGAGCACTTGCAACGCCACCGATGACTCCAGTTGCAGCAGCACCAACGCCAGAGAGGAGGCCGCCAGCAGCTCCACCGACATTGGAAACGAGTCCTCCAGCTCCGCCTGGCGATGTAGCAGTAGCTCCACCGAGAACGCCAGAGACGAGGCCACCAACGCCCGAGAGAGCACCGCCAGCAACACTGTTGACTCCTGATACGATGCCACCGAGGGGTGTAGGAAGAGCGCTGGCAACACCACCGAGGGCACCCGTGACAGCACTGCCAACGCCCGAGACGAGACCGCCGATGGGGTTGCTGCCTCCGGAAGTAACAGGACCGAGGGAACGAATACCGCCCGCCGAGTTGGCGATGCCAGAGATGTTTGAGCTGCTGATGGGTAGACCAAGAGAGACCGATCCATCTGTACTTGACCGGGAGAGCGGAACAATGGAGGTCAAGAAGCCTGAGCTACCTTGATTGGCCAATGGATCAGAGGATTGTGCATTGCTGCTCCCAGACGGCGATGAGGGTGATGAAGGTGATGAAGGTGATTGAGCGTTGCTACCTGCGGATGGCGATGAGCCTGGTGATGATTGGCCATTGCTGCCGCCTGATGGCGATGCAGCTGATTGACCATTGCCTGCAGGAGGTGCAACCGGCAACGCACCAGCAGGTGGGCCAGCTGCTGGAGGATTCGGTGGTGACGCAGGCGGTGCCGACGAAGGAGCGGCTGGGTTCGACCCAGCAGGCACAGGAATGGGAACATTGAGAGGTGGCGGGTTGGGAATGGTGGGGTTGAGGATGGAACCAGAAGTGGACGCGGGAGCTGACGTAGCAGATGGACTGCCTTTGCTGGACGATGAAGTGCTAGGAGACTGCAGGCAAGATGCAACCAGAGCAGCTTCGGATTGCAATGCAGCAAAGGCAATGTCGATGAGTCCACGAAGGACAGTGATATCGCCGTTGTATCGGAAGTCATTGACGATGGCATTGACAGTCATGCTAGAGGCTTGCTCGTAAGACTGTGTCTGGCTCTGGCCCGAGGTGAGTTGAGCAGCAGCACTGGAGGCTGCAATGATGAAAGTGCCGGTGGCAAGCTTGATGAAATGCATGGCGTCGAGATGGATCGATGAAGCCTTGATGGATGTGGGTATGAGAGCTGGACTGATGGAAGATGATGGGATGCTGTGATGAGCAGACACTGGTCAGCCACTGCAGAGACGGAGATCCATCGACAACGATACCTTTGGAATCAGGAAGATGATGGCAGAGTAAGTAAGCAGTGAGTAAAGCAACAGAGTAGTAAAGCAGTAACAAGCTATCATGGAAGATGCAAAGTGGGTTGATGTTTGGTTGATGAAGGAAGAGGTTTGGAAGAGAGAAGACGGTCGAGTAAGTAAACAGCCCCTGACGCTTCGTTCGAGGAAGGCGGGAGGCAATTGCTCTTTCCTACCTCGTTGTCGTCGAGCGAGCTTCGATGACGATGCGAAGCGTAAGCCATCGCTCCATGAGAATGGGAAGGAACACTTGACTTCGCAGTGACCTGATGAGTCTGCAGAACTACCAACTATCAAACGTCTTTCGAAGAACAAGATATGTATCTGGCGGCTATCACGAATTGCAGTAAGGGTCAAGTATAATAGCACAGGGAAATACTCGTTATCATATATAGACCGATGAGCTGAGCGATCTTGCTTTTCATAATCATAAACAGCAGTAGCATGTACATCACCCACCAACCAGCCCTTCTTCGTTATGCCGTTATGCTAGGCAAAGTTGGTGCAAAGCACCTTACAAGTCGGCTGGGTTGGCACGAGCGACAGGCAGGGTTGGGTCGTTGCGGTAGTCCAACCAAGTCTGCTGTCCTGTGGTGTGTGCGGCTTCACCAATTGGGTGACCACCGTGGGGCTTGTATCCCTCTTGCTCTGCAGGTCGTTGTTAGTAACGAGATCATTGATTATGGAGATTAACAATTCTTACCTGCTTCACAGGCAGCATCACCAAGACCGTGGCTGTGGGTGTGCGAGCCAGTGAGACCTGATCCGGTACTAGTCGTGCTGGAACCAGTAAGGCCACCGGTAAGGCCTGACGATCCTGTGCCAGAGAGACCTGATGAGCCGGTACCTGTGAGGCCCGAGCCAGTTGCTCCGACGCCACTGCTAGAAAGGCCTCTGTCACCAGTCAGGGTAGAGTCGTGAGTGCGGACGGGAAGAGATGAGGTGTTGCTAGATCCGTAGTTAGAGCTGTCGTAGCCAGGCTCGTTACGTCCAGAGCCAGAGATTACGGATCTAGCACCAGCAAGAGCTGAGTCTTGGTTGGAGCTCGAGTGGGTGCTAGTGCCGGGGAGGTAGTCCTTAGCCTTCTGGGTCAGACTCTCACCAGTTCCAGATGAAGTGCTGGTTCCAGAAGCATATCTGTCGTTCTCGGAACGGCCTGAGGTCAAGCCGCCGGACGATGAGTGAGATCCGGAAGAATGCTTGGCTCTTCCCGCAGCAGCGTCAGAGCCGAGGCTGGCAGGAAGGAAGTCTGCGCCCGCATGTCTGGTGTTTGAGCTGGTGAAGTCGTCGCCAATGCGGTGTCCACCAAGTCCAGGGGCTGTCTTCGAGTCGTAAAGGTACTTGTCGGGGTTGGAGCCGTGTCCAATGACGGAGCCCAATGAGCTGTCCTTGTCACGCTTCGAACCTGTGCCATATCCAGGTCCTTCCTCGCGACCACCCAAGCCGGTGCCGTGCTTGTTACCACCACCAACGCCAAAAGTCTCACGGATCTTCTCTTTGACAGGTTCGTTTCTAGAGGTTGTGCTCGAGCCGAGGCCAGAACCAGTAAGTCCGCTGTTGCCTGTGAGACCACTGTTGCCACTGTTGCCAGTCAGGCCGCTGCCGAGGCCTGTGCCTGTGCTGTGGGTGTTGTGTCCAGTCGATTGGGAGGTGTAACCGGAGGGGTTCTGAGCAGAGCTGCCGCCAAGTCCAGCAGCACCTATTGTTAACATTAGCATGAGCAAGTCACTGAGCTGCTTGGCATAACATACCGTCCAAATTGCCAGCATCGTAAGGTTCACCGGCCTCACCACGACCAAGCTTGCCTGAGACAGGCTCGATGCCAGACTGAGAGGTGCCAGTAGCTACATTCTGGGGAGCTTCTCCACCAGCGATATGGCTAGTTTCGCCTTCTAGGTAACACAAGTCAGCATGGCATGTTCTGGACAGAGTAAGTTTGCTCAATATATAGCTTTCGAGAAGCACAGTGTCAAGCAAAGCTCTCTATTGAAGCCTCTGACAAGGTTTGTTCGTACAGCCCTCAATGGCTGCCCCAGTTGTGACAGGCATCGTGAACCTTGATGTAGGTCTTTCGAGGCTTGTTTTCCGTGAACCTTGGAGTTGCTTACCTCTGTTCTCCTCGGGAGTGCCGCCCAAGCCGACGTAGCTAGCGGCTGCAGTTGCTGCGTTTCTGAGAGATTCCATGTTGATTGTAATGTTTCAGCTGTTGTAAATGAAGATCAAAGTGAAGATTGATTAAAGGTCACAAGAATTGATCGGGAAGTTAAAGGAGAAGTCGATCGAGTTCAGGTTTCGAAGGTCGTTCATGACGAGGGAGCTGTTCATGGTCCCTATGACATAATGGCGGGGTGACGATTACGGGGTTATCTTGTGAAAGTCGTGATCGCACTCCTCCTGAATCCTCTTGCTTGAACTGCTTGTAAACTGCATGAGACTGGTTGAGACGGACCTGTACACCGAGCTAGCTCACAAAAATCAAGATTTCTGGCTCGCACGGGACGGTGTTTTACAGCAAGATTGTTTGCTACCCACCTTCGTACCTCCACTGAACAAGCTTTGTTGATGAACGCGGGATGAACAGGGGTTGATATGCAAGAATATAAAAATGGATGGTATTTTAATTAACTGCCTAAACAGCTCGAGTGGTTGTTAATAGCGAAGAGTGGGTATAAAGCTAGAAACCATGTAATTCAAAAGACAACGCCGAATCCTATAATCACAAATCCAGATCGCTATCATCCAGATCACTGCTGTCAAAGGTCAAGCTCTACTTTTTCCTGGCCTTCATCAAGGTCAGAGGGACTATTTGTGTCTTTCCTTTGGGCTTGATGGGTTTGCGGCAGGCCGGACATGTGCCATAGTTGTGATCGGAATTTCGTTGACTGGCTATCAAAGCCTGGGTCAAGCATTCGTGGCAGAATATGTGACCTTCGAATGATGTTAGCTCTGTTTTATGGAGAAAGACTGATGCATACATACCACAATGCGTGGCAGTCATGTTGGTAAAATGCTCCAAGCAAATCATGCAGTTCAATTCACCCATCCTGTTGACCTTGTTGCTCTCTTCGCGCTGCTTGGTGACCAAGGCCTCACGTTCTTTTGCAAGGATGTCATTATCGGGACCTAGCTCTTCGATTTCGTCTTCATCGGTATCGTCTAGCTCTATGAGATCGGGATTAAGGCGACGCTTAGTTGCAGACGGTGGTGTGCCAGAGGAAAAGGAAGGTCGTGCACGTTTGCGAGAAGCAGCGGCAGTAGATGCGGATGTTGGAGGAGGCATTGTGTCTAGATCTTCCTCCTTGATGTGCTGCTGCCCTAGAGTATTATGAGAATGTAGATGTGAGCTGTCGCCCCTGAAAGCGCCAGCCAGAGTCTGCGTGTCGAGACGCGGGGTCGATTGAGTGGCAGCAGAAGGGTTTGCAAGAGGATTGGGAATAGAGGGGCCAGCAAACTGGTTGGTGTAGGATGGACCTGCAAAGGGCTGTGCGGACGAGGACGAAACAGGATTTGTGTTGGTCGTGTGATGTGGCGGATCAGGTTCTTGCGGCGACTGAGGTGGAGAATAAAAGAAGTGGTTGGGAATGTAGCCGAAACTGGATTGCTGCGTGGGAGTGGAGTTGAGGCGAGAAAGTGGTGGTAGTCGAGGGACAATTGAAGGTCTTGGGAGAAAGTCTGCGCCTTCCCTCAAAGCGGCGTGCAAAGAAGCGGATGGAGTTGAATATTGCTGCGGTCGGGTATGGCCGGCTGTCGAGTGGTGCCTTGACTGAGCGTACGCTGGTACAGGCAGTCGCGGGTATTGAGCGGCGGAGGAAGTGTATGGTTGTTGCTGTGTCGGCCGGTTGTATGCTGGCTGAGAGGGATTGAAGGGTTGCTGTTGGGTCTGAGAGCTGGACTCGTCAGGGTTCGGGTTGTAATTCCAAGGCCTGTGAGAAACAGTGAGCCAGAGGCATGCAGGAGGCGGCGAGGGGAGAAGTGATGGACTCACAAGAAACTGAAAGAAGCACCATCGAAAGTCCAGTGGTTGCTCGAGGGATAAGACATCACGGGCTGAGGATGGTCGTAGTGGTAGCGACTGCTCTGTTGGGCGACGAGCTCTCACAAGCACTCTGTCTAAAGTCATTGGGAGGAACTATATAAGGAGCAATACATGTTGAAGTTTGCCTGGTGGTGATTGACGATGGTGCCGCTGTCTGCTGCTGGCCGTGTCACCTCAGAAGATGGCTAAAGGTGAAAGCGCCTGCTGCACTCGCCCAATCTCGACCCCAGCCAGCCCTCTTCCTTCAGCTTCGGCCGTCCATGTTCCAGCTCCCGGACTGCAAATAGAGCCTTGGCAAGCGACGGTTTGCGCTATTTGCACTTGAGCTGTCATGGTTCGGGAGCTTTGAAATCAGTGCGCAGACTCGGAGGTGATGATGTCGACTGTGCGAGAAGAAAGTTCACTTCCCCCGCCATGGAGCCGCTGCTGGAAGTCTGTTTCGACTACGAGCTCTCATACATGCGCACCTTGTAGTAGTCACTTCCACCATGCCGCCGTCTAGCATGGCCGCCAGCTCCATGCGGTCGCAGCAGGCTTCATTATTGCGCCTCCGCCGAGTCGTCCAACAACGCCCGCCTTACCCATCTACTCGCCATTACGCCACGGACATATCGCACAATGACCACCCATCGCCTGCCTCAACTACGAACCTTCGTCGCTCTTCCTTGTCTGTCCCGGCCGAATCGCGCTTCAACGAAATTGGTGTTCAGCAAATCAGTAGCCACATCTATCCCCAAATATTCGCCGGCAAGGCTCCACCGGCTCCTGAGGACCTCGTCCACTTATCCAAGGACCACTTGCGCCGCCATGATCTTCTGGGAAAAAACACCGACTCTTCTGCGCCTGTCGCCTTTGATATGCCCCAGATACAAGGCAAGACGTTAGACGAACATTTCTACAAGCTGGCCATGGACTCTGCAGAACCATATCTAAGTCTTGCCAAAAAGTACTCCACCGCCAACCCGCCACCGCGACCGAGGAAATGGGCTAGACGGAGTGGATGGACCAAGTACAATCAGGATGGCTCCAATGAACCTATCGAAGCTCCGGATGAGGAAATGTTGACCTTTGACGTCGAAGTCTTGTGGCATCAGTCATCCTACGCCGTCATGGCATGCGCCGTGAGCGATAAATCCTGGTATGCATGGTTGTCGCCCTGGCTGCTAGGCGAATCCGAAAGTGACCGCCACCTTATCCCGCTAGGAGATCCCAAAAAGCCGCGTATAGTCGTAGGACACAACATTGGCTATGATAGAGCACGAGTTGCTGAAGAATACGAGCTCGACCAGTCACGCAACAACTTTATCGATACCATGTCGCTCCATGTGGCGGTCAATGGCATGTGCTCAAGGCAGAGGCCAACCTGGAACATGCACCGCAAGAACCGCGAGACAAGAGACAAGATCGCAAATTCAGATGCTGCTGCTGATTTGGCTGTGTTGCTCCAATCCCAAGGAGATGTAGATGAAGAGGAGGAACTATGGGTTGGTCGTAGTTCTGTCAACTCTCTGCGTGATGTTGCCCAGTTTCATTGCGGTATAACTATCGACAAGGCTAAGCGTGAATGGTTTTCCGAGCTTGATCGACAAGGCGTTTGCGACAAGCTTGATGAGCTGCTTGACTATTGTGCCGCTGATGTTGACATTACACATCGAGTTTACAAGAAAGTCTTTCCAGCGTTCATGGAAACATGTCCTCATCCTGTTAGTTTCGCTGCGCTCCGCCATCTGTCCACAGAGATTCTGCCTGTCAACCGAACGTGGGACTCGTACATTGCAAATGCAGAAGCAACGTACCGTAAACTGTCGGACGCTGTGGAAGAGCGATTGCATGACTTGGCTCACAAAGCGCTTGCAATGAAGGATGAACCTGAGAAATATGAGAATGATCCATGGTTGAGCCAGCTGGACTGGTCGGGCCAGGAGATTCGCATGGTGAAGGGTAAAAAGAAAGGAGATCCTCCGAGACCTGCCGCCCGACAAAAGATGCCTGGAATGCCCAAATGGTACAAGGACTTATTTGTAAAAAATGATGCGCCGATCGGCCTTACAGTTCGCACGCGAGTCTCGCCGCTAATATTACGACTTGCCTGGGATGGTCGCCCGCTAATCTGGTCCGATAAGAATGGGTGGACGTATAGAGTACCCCATTCAGAAGCGAGCAAATACACCAGCAGAGGGCTGCAGCCCTGCGATATGTCGGAAGAAGAAAACCTGGAGTTACGAGACGACAACATACATGTCTATTTCCGATTACCACACAAAGACGGACCTCAAGCAAGATGCGCCAATCCTCTGGCAAAAGGATATTTACAATTCTTCGAGAACGGCATACTTTCTTCTGAATACACTTATGCCAAGGAAGCGCTGCAAATGAATGCATCATGCTCGTACTGGATCAGTGCTAGGGACAGAATCATGTCGCAAATGGTTGTATACCAAGGAGAGGAGAATAAGAACGACCAGGTTGGCTTCATCTTACCACGGATCATCCCCATGGGCACCATTACAAGAAGAGCAGTAGAGAACACATGGCTCACAGCCAGCAACGCTAAGAAGAACCGTGTGGGCTCTGAACTCAAGGCCATGGTCAGGGCACCACCCGGCTACTGTTTCGTTGGCGCAGATGTCGACTCTCAAGAACTCTGGATCGCCGGCCTCGTAGGCGACGCCTCCTTCCAAATACACGGCGGCAACGCAATCGGCTTCATGAACCTCGAAGGCAGCAAAGCGCAAGGCACAGATATGCACTCCCGCACCGCCTCCATTCTAGGCATCTCTCGAAACGACGCAAAGGTCTTCAATTATGGCCGCATCTACGGTGCCGGCTTACGTTTCGCTTCTACTCTTCTCCGCCAATTCAATCCTACAATCAGCGATGCAGACGCCGACTCCACAGCCGACAAACTGTACAAAAACACAAAAGGTCAAAAGACAACGAGAAAGGTTCTGCGTGAAAGACCTTTCTGGCGTGGTGGCACCGAATCATTCGTCTTCAACAAGCTGGAAGATTTCGCAGAGCAAGAACGTCCACGCACGCCCGTACTCGGTGCTGGCATCACAGAAGCACTCATGCGCCGCTTCATCTCCAAAGGTGGCTTCATGACCTCACGCATCAACTGGGCGATCCAATCCTCAGGTGTCGATTACCTGCATCTCCTAATCGTGTCGATGGAATATCTTTCCCGCCGCTACAATATCAACGCCCGTCTTTCCATCACCGTACACGACGAAATCCGATACCTGGTCAAGGAAGAAGACAAATATCGCGCAGTCATGGCGTTACAAGTCGCCAACGTATGGACCCGCGCAATGTTCTCCCAACAAATGGGCATCCACGACCTCCCCCAATCCTGCGCCTACTTCTCCGCCGTCGACGTCGACACCGTGCTCCGCAAAGAAGTAGACATGGACTGCGTAACACCCTCCCACACCACCCCCATCCCCGCAGGAGAAAGTCTGGATATCTTGCAGCTTCTGGCCAAAGGCGATCAAGCGTATTTGGATCCTAATATCGTGCCCAAAGATCCACCACAACCGCAGAGATTTGATTACAAGGATCGAGAGCCGGTGATGACGAGTTTGCAACGGGCGGAAGCGCCGGCGTATCTGAGGGCGCAGACTACGGGTGATGATGCGGAACTTCGCCAAATCATCAAAGAAATGCGTTTCCCTGCTTCTGCCTCTTCCTCAAACTCTTCTTCATCCCCATCGTCAAACTCTAAATCAAAGCCAGCGAGCAAGACCACCAGAAGCAAGAAAAAGGGAGACAAAGGACAAGATCCATATATGCAAAACCCCAGCCTCTTGATGGTAGAAGATGAAGACGTACCATTCAGCAGATTTAGCGATCGCCCCGCCACATTTGCGGATTGGAGGGACGTTTCCACTTACACTGCTTCTGCTCCTGCTGTTAAAAAGAAGAGTGGTTCGAATGGTAGCAATGCGGAGGTGGGCAAGAATTCGAATTGGTATCCTGGGCTTGTGAGGAAGATTCCTTCGGCTGTGGGAAAGGCTGCTTAGATGATGCATGTGGAGTAGAGGAGAGCATGTTTGTACATATTTGGGTGGTGGCATGGTGCATATCTGGTTTTTGTTCATAGGATTGGGCAGATGAGAGGTTTATCTATATCATTTCCTCTCATCGGTTTGTATATCAGGGCCAAATCTTCCATGTTCCAGGAAAGTATGCTTCTTTTACTCTTCCTAGTTCGTTGCTTATCCTTTTTGTTGCACGGTCAAGGCAGGACCGAAGAGATCCTCGCCTTCTCTAAAACTCTTCTCTCTCGCCAACTTTCTCCTCTCGGCTTTTTCGCCATCTACTTCTCCCAGTGCCATGCCTCCTCTCTTGACTTCTTCATTTCTTCCTACCAAATCCTTCGTTCCAGGATCTCTGACCTCATCCAATTGTGCTTCCAGTCTCGCTCTCTCGTCCTTGCTCATGACGGCCTTTTGATCAAAACTAGCCAACATATCGGCACATTGTGCAATAGTCGAGATGATCATATCATGTGCGGCAGCTGTAGCAGGAATCTTCGTCGACAGGTAGAAAGTGAAGAGGACTGGATCCGAAAGCTTTAGAGCGGCGAGATAGATTTGAGGAGGCGTGAAGAGAAAATAGACATCCGTCAGGAGAGCAGAGGCGTCGAGGAGATGACGGGCTACTGCATAAGCGCAATGTGCTCTATCTGAAGCTTCCTTTGCGCCAATTTGCTGCGGCGGTTGCCATTGTGATCGTGAGCCTTGAGGTGGTGGTGGCAGTGCGCACATCTGGTCTTGGAGGCCTTGAGGTGTTGTGTTTAGGAAAGGAAGCGGTGCAGAGGTTCCGGCAGCTAGATTTAGCAAGTCCATTAGACAGCCTTTGAGGGCACGGAAAGGCTGCCGTACATCCAGTGTGAATCGCAGGGCTTGGATGATTTTGTATTCAGGAGCCAAGACGTCTTTGGGGTCTGTCTTGATGCGTCTGGCGTACTCTGAGAGAGTCATGTGTACACCCTCGGTCTTACTCGCCAGGAACAAAACACTCTTGTAGATCTCTTTTGGTGGGTATGTGATGACGGAGTTTGTCGTGTAGAAGCGTTTCAGATATTGAACAGCAGTGGCTTTGACATTAACAGGCCATTGGAAGAAATCCGAGGTGCTGCGTATTTGGTCGCAGTAGCGCTGAACTAGACGGAGTTCATCTTGTGCTGAAGGCAGGGATGCCAGGGATGATTCGGGGAGGTAGGATCGGGCTTGTTGGACAGCGGCTTCGTGTGTGTTTTGGCGGAGGGAAAGAAGAGCGGACTCGCTGAACGACCAGAGTCGGAACTGGGTAGAGGTTCTGTAGATGTCGTCCTCGGTGAGGATCTGGGCTGGCGGTACTGCCATTGTGTGCGGTGGTGTGATGTGGTGTGGTGTGAGCAGGCGTCAAGGAAGGTCCGACCGAGTATATTGGTACTTGACAGATCACAGATGGTTTAAGGATCAAGTCAGTGAGGGCAAGAACTGTTGATGAGATGTGGCAGGCACGGGCGCAAAGACGACTTGATTGACTTGAATGGTCAAATGTTTTTCAACCGGCATCCCCAGATTCACAATTCACTCGGGTCGTCATTCATGCGGGGGCAGCGAGGCCGCGACATCAATGAGTCCAACAAACGTGGCTCTTTCCTCCGACTCTTCATTCTTTTATTGTCATATCCTCATCTATTGATACCTTCCGTTTTTCTTACTGCTGTCACTCACTCATAAGCCTCTGCCCAACATGGCAGCCAAAAATACAACCATCAAGCGCATCCGTAAATGACCCCCTTCATCCTTACTAACCACGTCTTTCTAACATCCTCAACAGTCAAAGAAGCCGCCGAAATCACAACAAATCCTACTCCAGACTTCCATGCCGCCCCTCTAGAAGAAAACCTGTTTGAATGGCACTTTACAATCCGCGGTCCACCCTCGCCTTCACCATTCGCAAATGGCATCTACCACGGCCGCATAATTCTCCCACCAGCCTATCCTCTCCGCCCTCCTTCCTTCCGCTTCCTCACTCCCTCAGGCCGCTTCGAACCAAATCGCGAAATCTGCCTTTCCATCTCTGGACACCATGAAGAGACTTGGCAGCCTGCTTGGGGTATACGGACGGCACTTGTTGCGATAAGAAGTTTTATGGACACGGATGCTGGAGGGCAGGTTGGCGGTATGAGTGCGCCGGATAATGTGAGGAAGCAGTTGGCCGAGAAGAGTAGAGAGTACTCGTGTGCTGGCTGTGGAAGAAGTGGCGTTGCTATCCTAGAAGAGCAGGAAGAAAGATGTAAAGAGTTGGGTCAGCGGGAGACGAAAGAAGATGAGAATGCACTGGTGGGCAAAATTGGATTAATCGAGCCCAAGAAAGAGGGTGCTTCTGCCGAAACCTCTGCTTCTGCGCCTGAAGCACCACAAACTGTAGACCCCGAACCTTCTGCACCATCACCACCAGCCGTTGCCGCTGCTGAGGATATCCGACCTACGCCTACAACACAACAAGCACCGCCTCCTCAAACACAACCACAACCTCAGGTCCAAGCACAACCACCTCCCCAACTCCAACAACAACAACAACAACAACCGCCAGCAACCACCACAACAGACGCCTGGATCGACAAAGCCATCATCGGCATAGTCATCGCTCTCGTCCTAATGATCTTACGTCGCGTCGCCTAGATACCCTGTTTTTCTTTTCCTTTTCTCTATCCTGCTTTTTCCCCTCTTCGTGGCTGGCATTCTGCTTCTTTTCTGTACTTTGGCGTTTCTGTTCTGGCTTTTATAGACTTTGCTTGGTTGGGGGTCGGTATGCATTTCATTACATTACGATTGGAGGAAACTAGATTGAGTTGCGCGGAATATTACTGTTTTCTTTGCTTGTTGTTGTTTGGTGTTTTGGACGTGCTTATCCTAGACTTCTGTCAGATGCTCGTGAGTCGGTGAGTGCATCTTTCTTGCGAACCACCTGCTTCGAGATATCCGCATCCGAAGTACGATTTCTCTCCGTGACCCGAATACCAGTGTCTTTGATTCAATCATGACGTAACACTTTTCCAGTGATCAGAAGAAGGTGGGCTGGTTCCAGTGCTTTGTGATGCAGGTCTCAAAAAGAAGGATGATGGAAACCTTTATAATGACATTACTCGGCAAAGGAAGCTCATATGACCATTAAAAATGTATCAAAGTGTGTGTTATAATACAAAGCATATACTGGATATATATTAGGACGACAATATATTGTTGCGGATGTGCAATGTCGCTGACATTGATTTTGACCATGGTTAATGGTATGACCCTGACTCGGAAAACCGACAGGGTCACCATGATCTGTGTTGGTCAGAATCAGACTCTCAAGGTGGAAGTGGGAATTATAGAGATACTTTGATTTGTATACAATGTATCGACAGTAGTGGACCTCCTGAGTATGTAGAGGCCATATAGAGCAAGAACAGCGACTGTACCTTTATGCTTCTGTACATCTACACCCATCACCATCTTAGCAATAAGCAGCCCATCCGGCAAACAACACCGCCAAGTTCTTCTCATCACTCGCCTGCTGGATCAATTCGTTGACCGTAGCAGCGGTACTTAAACTCTTACTCAACTTCTTCTCCACAATCGCCAGGGCTCTCGCTGCCTCTCCAGCTTCGTCTTCAGGCCTCTTGCTGGCACTTCCTAGCCCATTACCTCCGTCATCGCCATCACGACTCGGGTCTTGCATTCTGCGAGCTTTGAGTGGAGATACCGTCCAGGAGTACAGAGGATCGTAGCGGAGGACGTTGAGAAGAGTCATGATGGCATCTTTTTCTGCGCGAAGGGCATCCATGCTGAATTCGCAGCAACGGCGGAACACGCCCTCGGTTTTCGTTACACCCATGGCATCAACGATGTCGCGAGTGAGGCGGAAGGGGACCACCTCGGGAATAGGAAGTACACGACCAGCTTCGAAGGCCACACCCAAATCAATATGGATGGCTTCACCACTTTGTTCGTCAAGTAGGATGTTGTGACAGTGACGATCGCCAAGACCGAGGATCCAGCCTAGGATTGAGATGGTGGCTGTACTGCGCGTATAGTTGAGTCGCTTCTGGAACCAGTCGTCTGGGTCTTGGAAGCGTTCGAAGAAGAAGTGGCGCAGCACTGGTTGGTATCTGGCTGCGACTTCACGGTATGCCTTGATGCGCGTGTCCTTTTGCATAGTCTGGACGCCACCTATCTTTTCACGTGCCTTATTCTGTGTCAAGTCGGTGGGATGATACTTTTGATGTGCTGGAACCAAGTATTCACCCAATGGCATGGAGTGTGGAACGAACTCGATGATGCCCGAGGTCGAGGTGAGCGGCAAGACCTTGTACGTACGGACGTGCAGGCCGCGTTGACGGGAGTTCTTGTGAGTCTGCAGCATCTTGCTGACTTCACCGAAGACTTGTTCCATGATCGCGTCCTGTCTGAGGTCGTCGTTGCCACCTTTGAAAAGTTGTTTATACTCTTTGCCATCCGATCCGATTGCGACCATGACCCTAGGCGCGCTCAGGCCATTAGCAATGCGGATATCATCTCTGTATCTGGCGACGACTGGTACAGTAGAGTAATCGCAGTCAAGACGAAGGTCAACCGACATTGTGGCTGGCGGTACTTTCCTAGGAACCACTGTATTCACCATGGCCTTTGCTTTGGGCACCATGCTGACTGTGATTTTTCCTTTGAAGTCCTTTGGATCCAGCTTTTCGTCCGCAAGGTCGTGATATGCGTGGCTTACTTTGAAGCTTCTGCGTAACGTTTCGGCCACTTTTTTGTCGTTGCCTAAGTCGTTGGCAATCTTCGTGGCGGCATCACGTCTGGATCTTGCGGCTTGCTCGGACTCCACAATGGACGAATAGCACGTCGTGAATATGTAGTGAATGCCATGATAAGGATGATCGGTGCAGATACGGGTGATGATATTGGCCAGAGACTGCTGGAAGACACTCGAGTCGTTTTGCAAGCGCGACGTCTGTTGATTCATGAGGCCAACGAACTTCCAGCTGGGGACGTTTGGGAGGGTCTTCTGCACAACTGTGTTGGCTGTCTCAGAGTCGGAGTGCTCCAGCCATAGAGCAAAGAAGCGAACAACAGAAGAGTTGAACTCGTCGGACACTATTAGAGCCCGCAAATAGTTTTGCAGACTTTGACGGACAAAGTCGTCACGACTACGTCTCATCTTCTGGAACTCTTCGTCGTCGAGTTGATACCAAGATTGCACAACCCTTTGTTGTCGGGTTAGTTCTCTCTTACGGTCTTTGTCTGTGGCTCCCTTAATGAGTTTATCGTATTGTCGATATTCACCAAGTTTGCGCTCTCTGAGTTTTGCCAGTCGTTGGAAATCTTCCAGGTTGCCGGGATCCTGGAGTTGCTGATCGCAAAAAGAGGCGAACTCATGATAGACCTTTCCAGCCTCGGAGCCGGAGGTTGCTTTGTCAAGCTGCTCAATCGCTGGTCTAAGATAATTCGCAATGACTTCTCCAGGCTTCTCAAGACGGGCGTCCGCAACCTCGTGACCCTAGTATTGTTAGTAGTGCGCTTGGTTGTTTTTCGAAGAACTGGTGCTTACTAGTTGAGCCAACATTCCCGCACGACCAACCTGGATGGACTGTTTCAGCAGGTCCGTCCGAGAACAAAGCTCCTGCAACATCTGCACCGATGTTGAGATCTCGCCTTGTCTCCACAACGTTGTGGCCACCTCAAAGTGAGCGGCCGCGTCCATATTGACATCAATCTCCTGGCAAAGTGGCACAAGCTGTGAGAGATAGGTGGCCGCAGTCAAAGATTGCTGAATCAAGTCGTTCCTCCTGCTGAATTGTGAAGAGCTGATGACTGATCGAGCTTCTATCGCACGACAATCACGAATGCTAACATGAAGAGCCTCGCGAAGATTGTTGTTCCGACTCAGCAGACTGAACAGAGTTTCGCGGCAGGAGACAATGCTTTGGGCATCATTAAAACTAGTGAATGTTAGCATGCAAAGGAGCCAAATAGGACCTAAAGTTACTCACCGCCCGATATCCCATCCCCTCTGCCTGGTTTGCATTCGCTCCCAGAGTTTGGTGAGATCAGACGAACATCTCACCGTGGTCAACTCATCAATCTCGTTCAAAACAGCAATGCCCGACAACGTGGCGCGTACCGAAGCAGCATCGAGACGTGTATCCTGCAGACGCTCGATAGATGATCCTAGAGCTTCGTTGAGGTCGACCTGAACGGATTCGAGGCTTGTAGCGCCAGAAATACCACGGAATACACTATATAGTGTGCTTGCGGGTGAACTGTTTTTCTGAGGAGGAGAGACATCCCACTGCTCTAGCTTTCGGGCAGCATCGAGCATCGTATCTGTTGTGGACGCAGTAGACTGATTGCCTCCTTTGCGATTGAGCAAATCATGAGTGAGACTGCTCAGATTCATGACACCAACAGAGCCAATCAAACCGAAAGAATCTGATTCGTGAGGATGTCCGAATCTTCGCATGGATGCATCCATTCGAGCGGAATGCAGCATCAAGCCCTTGAGTCCGTCTCCTTCGTGATGGACACGTGCAAGGACTGACTCCAGAGAGGGTGGTTGTTTGACGCCATAGAAGGAGTCAGGATCGTCCACACGACTGTAGATAGACAGGAGGAGCTCGTTGGAAGGGACTTTGGCAGTAGTGGGGCCCACGGAAGATCTCCGCGACGGTCGCGAGTCGGACTCTGGAACTGATCCTACTTCCCCGAGATATAAAGATGCTGTGGGCATATTGCACTGGTTAGCAGCCTCAGCAGCAACGAGGTAATCCAGTTCCAGCCATTCAAGACGGCTCATTCTCGTACTCTCCTGTGGGACTTTCTGCGTGAGTAGATAGAGAAGTGACTCCAACAAGAGACGGGACTTCCTGTCTGTATCTGCTTCATGATTGCTGAAGTGTGTGACGAAAGCCTCAGACAGGTAAGTACGCACAACCTGCTCTTTATCGATTTCAGAACCGAGAGCAAGATGAACAACGAAAGGGAAGAGCTCTTGCGAAAATCCTACATCAGCAAGGAAAAACTCTCCCAACTGACCAACAATGGGCTCGTCCTTTGCCCATCGGCAAATGGCGATGGTCAAATTCTGAATCCAGAGCTCGTATGGTGTGGTTAGGTCGAGCTTCGCTGAATGCCAGAGATCCTCTCTACGAATCTTGTGGTTACTTTCAGCTCCAGTAGTGTCTTTGGAGTACACTCTTGAGATTGCATCGACGACGTGGCCTGGCAACATCCGCTCAAACTCGATAGACCCATCATGATTCCTTGATGTCGCATAACGATCGGCAATTTTTCTTAGACTCTGCTCGGCTACACCAACGTGCATTCGGTCCTCGCTCGAGAGAAGGTTCTTGAGCTTTGTCACAATAGCTCTGATGGACTGAATCGGATTTTTGTTCTTTTTCTGACCCTGATCATCATCTTCGCCAACATCAGTAAGATGTGATATCAATCCCTGCGTTGGCTGAATCTGGTCTAACGAGATAGTCGATGCATAGGCGCGGCCCAGTACCCGTGCAGCCCACGCTCGGTAGTCGTCAGCCACTGTAAGTGACTGAGTGGATATCCATACCCGACGAGCGTAGGATAGAGAAAGCTCGTCCGAACCAAACATGTCGGCTGCGGCCTTGTCTGTCACATGGAAGTAGCGACAAAGTGTTGAGATGACCTGTCTGCGCTCCATGGGTCCTAAGATAGGCGAGCCAGATTCTTCGTCATCTAGAAGCCCCTTCAGCATAATACTGGCAGCCTCGTTTGCACCCGAAGATGCAGGTAGCTCCAAATCGCGGCATGAGTGAACAAGAGAGCTGAATGCATCTTGTTGCTGTGTTGTTTTCAGCGTGGGTCGAAAGCCGAGAAGATACTCGACAAGCCAATCGTGAAATACCTGCATTTTCGACACTGTACTGCGGAATTGACTCTCCTGGGTAGTTTTGTCTTGACGGGACGTCATGAACTGCTTCAGCGACAGCAGTATCAGTAAAGCCGTGCCGGTGATCATGGCCAGCTCTTGCTTGAGGAACTGCTTTCCACGCTCGAGAAGGTATTGCAAAACACCCATAGCATCGTCGGAACAGTGTGGGTCGACAATGACTGGCTTTAGAGTCCGTATCAAGGTCTGCAAAGGATAGCCACTAAAAACGTAGTCTCCAGCTAGAGCGAGGAATATACGCAGTTTTCTGACAGTCCGGCAAGCATGAAGCGGACCGTACGCGGGATGCATGCAATCGATGATGGATCTGAGAGTGACTGTGATGTGAGGGACATCCAAGACATCCTTGACAGTTGTGAATGTCTTGTTGCCTGTTCTGCGGCACACCCGTTCTAATTGATCAAGAAGATACCTGCCTTTGAAACAGGGTTGCTGCGCCTCTGAAAGCTCCGTATCCAAGAACCCATATCGTTTCATTGCGGATAGAGCGTCTTTGGCGTATGTGTATTGAGGTCTTTTCTCGAACAACTTTTCAATCGCATCCTCGTGGTACACAGAAGTAAAGATCTGAGCCACGATGTCTGGAAGGTTAGATTGAACCATCATATAGTATTCGCCACTGGTCTTGAAGGAAGTCCGAATGCGGGATTCACAAGCTGTAGCAACCTGTGATGAGTCCTGAGATGATCCTTGCTTCTCACAGACATCCCAGGAGATTGCGTAGGCGACCGTCTTGCTGAAACTTGATCGCAAGATCTGTCCTTCTGTCGACTTTAATGTACTCACTACCCATCGAACCTCGTCTTCTTTTTCACGGACAGCCAGCTGAGCATGAATTTCGTCGATGTTGTGTTCCAACAAATCCGCCATGCTTGCATAGCCAAAGATCCTGAACGGCACTTTCTCGACCGTGTGGTTCTCTAGCCAAGTGTACAGTAGCTGAGGCGAGAAGAGCTGAAATACTTCTCTTGGGGATTTGAGCTTGAGCGTGTCTGATATCGTGGCAATGCATGTCGCGGCATAGCTCTCAACATCGGTGATCATACCTGCGGTCTCGAAGACGTGGTAGATGCACGATCTTCGTAGCGAGTACCAGCCAGCGGCTAGATTGGCAAGGACCAAAATCCTGATGGCCAAACCCTCTGTCAACTCCAAATCGGCAGGCAGATTGGATCTGATCTCTTCGAAGATTTCCGCGTGAGCTGTCAGAGAAAAGAGATCGAAGATAGAGGACAGACGTTGAGCGATGAAATACTTGACTTCTAAAGTGCCTTCTCGCAACAGTCTGAAAAGCGTGGAACGTACAGGCGGAAGCTTGTCGGCCTGTCCATAGTCTGCATCAATCTGCAAGACCTGAAAAATGAGCCGAACAAGTCTTTTCTGCACACAAGGTGAGAGAAGCTTGACCTTTAGGGCCGTCGTTGTGAACCACTTATAGATATCGAGGCCAAACGTGTAGAACTCTTGATCCAAGGCGTCTGTCCAGGTATAGACGAAACTCTCCATCACACCCAAGAGTAGTTCCAAATTTGTCTCTGCGCGCTCAAACTCGTAAGACTGGAGCGTGTTATCTGCGAAGAACCCGAGAAGTGGCTCACATTGCTTGGGAGTGAGTTGTATTCCATATCGAGGTAGAGCTGTAAGAAATGGTCCACTGGCTAAGATCTCTGGAGGCGGAAGTTCGAGAATCTGAGATATGAAGTCTTTGGACGGTTCATCTGTCATGATGGTGTCGTCAATCTCTCCGATCGAATCGAAAGATTGCATCAGCTTTGCGTAAATGGTCACACCAGCTCTTTGGGAGACGATGCTATAGTTATTTGGAACAACCTTCCTTGGAGGACGCACTTCGTTCATCGGAGCAGTGTGCGAAGTCACTTGAGACTCGAAGTCAGTGTCAAAGTCCATGTCACTCATCTCGTTGTTCTTGATTGAGGATTCTGACTGTGTCATCTCGCGTCGCTTCTCAAGAAGTGTCAGTAAGGAAGAAGACATCTTCGACATGCAAACGTGGCGTCCGTCATACTCATCCGCTACATCGTGGCGACAAGCGATGAGTCTGTGGGCGACAAGGTCAAGAAGGGTGTCCACCTTGCCTTGATCAGTTGCCGGATTCGCAAGGTCGCCAAAGAGAAGCCCCATAAGACTATCATTAGCACCACGAAGTTGCTCCGTTCGATGAGTATCCTTGGCCCCTAGACAGTTCGCAAGACAAAGTGCGACCATGGTAAGAGTGCCAACGACGCGAACCATGTGCCTGTCCAGGTGACCAGCACCTTGCTCCTTCATATTCTCCCACTTTTCAATGGCGCTATTCGTTTCAGTCGTGCAAAGACCGAGCAAGAATGAAACTACAGCATTGTTTGTAGTAGAGCCGGTAGTTGCCAATTTCTCGGCTCTGTCAGGTTGAGGACAAATCGTGGCGTTCTTCTTTCTAAGCAATAGAAAGTCAAGAAGCTCCTGAGTTTGGGCGTGCAAAATCCATGATTGCGCAACAGACCCCCAGATCGGTAAGCTCTGGGGCAGCTCTTGCTCCATGGGAAGACCCAAACAACTGTTGACGAGGTTCATGATATCGACAACTTCAATGGTAGTGTTCTGAGAAGCAAAAATCTTGTCGTGGAAGTTGCTCGGTGCCCACGTACGGAAAACCCAAGCCAACACCTGCTCTGCTCTTTCTCCAGATAAAGAGGTGCCCTCGCGCTGAAGTCGTATCAACACAGTACTGAACAACGCCGCTACAGAATCACTGAAGACAGATGGTCCGTTGGTTGAGATACTTGAGAGCATTGAACCGACGTTGTCGACAACGACTGTCCGATCAACCAATCCTGTCTCAATTATGGCGTGGAGAAGGTGGCAAGCTGTCCTGCAAGTCTGAGCAGGGCTGACAGCTCTCAGTGTGTTTTGCCAGATATGCTTCCATGCGTCGGACAGACTTACTGCCCGGGCTGTGATTTGACAAGCGCAACTGCGAACAGGTCAGAACCAGTGGTCAAAATTATGAGTAAGAGTAAATTACCTCGACAGAGCGAGATGGGCCCAAGAAGCGATGGAACCGTTGTCGTCAGTGATGAGAGTGGCCAGTTTCTCAATCAAGTTGCTCAAGGCCTCTTCTTCGATGGTGACGGATTGAGCTACGAAGCATATGAGTTGTAAAGCTGTGAGCTTTGTGGCTATACTGAAATCGGACAGCATTCGAATAAGCTCATCTGACCATTGCGTAATACGCTGACGCTTCTGAGGACCAGAATCCGGATGCGTAGAACTCTTGACATTTCGGGGATCATGGGAATGGCTCCAGACCGACAGAAGCGACAGTAACTTCAGCAAGGTCCAACTGTGCTCCGAACTCAAGGCATTTTCGTGGGTTGTTTGACCATCTCGCAAAGCAAAGACTTGACATCGCAGGCTATCAGAGGGTTGTTTTAGAGCAAGCCGGAGAGTCAATTGGTTCAGTTGGAGTTGATCCTTGACCCCTCGCTTGGTATATTCGCCCTTGATAGCGTCGACAAGATTTGACATCTCGATGAAAAACAACTCTTCTTCATTTTCCTGCGAGAGAACCTCAATGTAAGGGTGCAGCAAGACTAGCATCGATAAAGTCTCGTCTTTGAGAGCTGCAAGCTTCGTGTTCCACAGGGCTTTGGTAAAGGAGAGAGCATCGCGGGTGAACTTCTTGGTCAACTTGATGTCTTCAGTGCGGACTTGAAGTAGAGTCGAGTTGATGACCACCAGCGCGTCAACCTGAGGCTTCGACATGTGTGGTGAAGTGTTCACAAATTGCGTCATGGCAGTAAGAATACGAGGACCTTGTTCAAGAAGCGGCGCGAAAGAAACACTGGTCAAAGAACGTAGGACATCGACCAAATCATCCACGGCCTGCCTAGGAAGCATATCCTTGTTCATACTTGGTTGAGAGGGCGCAAAGTGGGAACGAGAAGATCGTGAGCTCAAGATGCTATTTCCCAGTCCATTGTCAGATCTGCAGGAGGACTGAATCTTCTCAAGACAGAATTCCATGACTGTCTTCCATAGCTCTTTAGGCAGATGCTCAACGTGAGACTCATAGCTCAACAAGACCGAGAGATTCTTAGCATAATCGCCTGCAAGTGAAGTGTTGAGAGTACCATCTGAACTGTCAAAGTTGCTAAGAAGGTGATCGATGAGTGCCTTGACAGATTTGGTGCGGATGTTTCGAATGCCAACGTCGATTGCCACACGTAGAGTTGCAGAGCAACTAGAAAGTCTTGCTTCTGTGGCGCTCACGGTTGTTTTCCTCGACAGACCCGATTTGACAGCCCGGAGCGTATCAAGCTCAGCCGAGACGACCCCGAAGAGTGAGTCGTAAATCTTGAAGAAGCCCGAGTCTTTCAGATTATCGATCCTAGAAGTTCCTTGGTTGTGTCTCAAGATTTGCCGAAGGTTGGACAAGCCTTCCTCCCTTTCTTTGACTGCCTTGGAAGAAACGCTCTCTGTCTACGATTAGCAAGAGGACGCTGGATTGTCAGGATGTAGTTACCGAGAGCCTCAGCCAAATTGATATCAGACGCCATGCTGGATGACAATCTTATGTTGGTGGCATGGATCTGGTGTTGGTGATGATTTCGGTTAGAAGTCAAAAGAGATTCACGACACAAGAATCTGGCAGACTCTAGTTACTAGGATGCGACTGGCAACTTTTTGGGCAGTTGCGATAGCCCGGATATATATCTCTTAAGCCCGGTTGGTGATTTATGGAGCGCTGGTCAGCAACACGTCAAATTGGTGGTGTGTTCTCGAAGGTCGATCCTTTCTCTTCGTTCGCGAGATCATTTAACGAAGAGACCAAGATCAATCAAGACAAGACACGCCGTGGTCTGTCGAAATAGTGGACGCGATCTGGGAGAAGAAAGCGCGGCGCAAACGGGAGAAGTTCGGTGAAGCCGAGGTGACGGGTCAAGCTTCTCGTCCGTGTTGCTGCTGCTCCAAGAGGGACAAAACATTATTTCCATCATCGTCGCGTTTAACACACCGATTACGCGCGGAAACTCTGCGCAAACTTCTGAATCTGGAACCCTGAGCCCACACTCTCGTCGGGTGACGAGCATTCACCACCATCCCAGCGACCATGGACGAATACGATAGCTTGACCAGACTGCAAGGTCTCCAAGCCGACCTCGTCGCCTTTTCTGAATCTCGCCTGCCCAATGTTGATCGCCTCTGGACCGAGTTGGAAGACAGCATCGCGGACTTCCGCAAACTACTGGATCGTCAGAACAAGAGCGACAGCAGTCGACAGAAACTTAAGTCTGGTGAGTTGTTACGACCGTGCGATCCCACACGCGCTGACAACAATGCGCAGCTCCAGTAACGATCGATGGACGCGATTACGATGTCAACGAAGACTGGCGCCAGGAGGTCATCCAGGTCGCAGACGAGTTGAATCTGGATGAAATGGACACTGCAAAACTATACCTCGAATCGCAGAACACGGCAGAAGAGCTTGGTAGATCACAAATAATGGCCGCCATATTCCGCTTTCACGGCCACCGAGAAACGCTGCTCGAGTGTTTGCGCATGACCATCCAGCAAGCTGTCGACTGCGAGAACACCGACGATCGTGACAAATTCATCATCTGTGCCGGCCTGATCACGGAAAAGCCCGACGCAACCTTCTGGCGCAAATGTGTTGACTCTATGGGCCAAATCGAGCAATGGTTACAGACTCTCCAGGACCGACTGAACCAGATCGCCATGATCGGCCAGACGGCACACGGCTACGCACTGGAGACACTACAATTCGAGAAACAGAGTTTGACCAAGCAACACGAATCTATGGGTGCTATCATTTCACACCTGGTCAAAGTCGGCACTGCAACTGTAGACGATTACCGCCATCTCTTGAACAAAACATCGCAACTAGCCAGCCCTGACGACATCACACTACATTACTTGCCGGGCCTGGTTAGCTGTGCCTCAGTCCTTGGACCCGTCGACAGCGCTGCCAGTTTGAGAGATGCCCGTGGCCTGGATCAGTACTTTGCCGACAAATCAGACAACTCGAAATGGAAGCTGCCCGATTTCCGTGCGGCCGCGACCGTTTTCTGGCTGGCTGAATACAGCGGTCGCTATATCGACAATCCCATTGGCTCGCCTTTGAGAGGAGTAGACTTGGAAGCGGAGACCGAATCACGTTCGCAGCGTTATCTCGATGCTGTCCGCAATGGTGCTTTCGAATTCATCTTGTTCATATGCGCACAGGTGCGTGCTGACTTGTGGCATGATCCCGCAAAGGTTGGACTGGTATCGTATCTGTTGACCGGAGCGGAGCGCTTCAGAAACGGGCCAATCAAGGCATCCGACTACTTCCAAGAGATTCTCGCTCAGAACCTGCAGCTGTTTGTCGACGCTTTCATCACAAATATGCCTGACACCATTCGAAGGCTGAAGTTTGAGGAAGACGAGCAGCGCCGTAACATAAGCATCCGCCAGTCACATGGTACTCCGGAACATGGTCTGCATCTGGAGAGATTCCTTGTCATCATTTCGTACGCCTTCAAAGGCTTCCCCGAGGCCGCTCAATCGTTCTGGCAAGATCCTGATAGCAACCTTTACGGTTTCCTACAATGGGCCTCAAAGCGCCAGTCTACTCCTCGAGCCGCCGCTTTTTGCGAGATGTTCCTATCTATCTCTGAAGATGCCGAATGCGCCGAAGCTGCTCATAAGTTTTTGATGGACGATGCAACAACAGCCGTGGCAAAGCTTCGCCGAGGAGCTCCTTTGAGCTGGGCGCAAATTTTCAACGAACTGAGTTTCTATGCTCCCGGTATCAGTGAGAAGCTCACATCTGCCTCAGTGCAAGGCGATGGCGCATTGGCAGGCCCGCTCATTGAGCCCGAGAGCGAACTCATGCTTGAATGCTACCTGCGCCTTGTCACGCATATGTGCCGCTCAAGCTTAAGCGCCAGAACCTTCGTCTTGTCTCATCCCACGTTTAATCTGCATGAGATCGTGCTAAATCTTACCGTCTCTGGCGTCTCCAATCGTCTCAAGGCATGCACATTCATGGCTATCGCGGCCAGTCTGACAGACAAGAGCATTGATGCCGGATATGCACTCTGGGACTACGTTGACTCATGGATGTACGATTCGCCTAGCCTAAGGAACTATCTGGGCACAAAAACACCGCAAAACCCAACAGTAGCAAAGGAAGGACGTTTCCAATCACTATTGGAAGGCTTCGAATTACCGAATGCCTTCACGAGGCTCGTGCAGAGTATGATTGTGCCTAGCCCTGAGGAAAGCAGTCTGCATGATATGCTTCCATTCCCGGAACAGTTGGGTGCAACATATCGCATGCCTGGTATGGATCCCTACGTCGACTTCATAATGGGCAGCGTCTTCCAGGAAAGGCTCGCTGATCTTCCTGACATGAATCAAATATGGGAGTTGAGATGTACTTGCCTCGAGTTTGTCTCTACTTGCCTTTCTACCTTCAACGAAGATCTCGTTGTTTTTGCTAACAGTACAAACATACCTGTTGACTCCATTATCTCCACCTCTTCTCTAGCCGCTTATGTCCGATTCCATCCTTTTGCCCGTGTTATGGAATGGCTTTTCAACGACAAAGTCACGAACGCACTCTTCGCCGCTGCACACGAAGATGTTGACATCGTTAGTGCTGCTTCTCCGGGATCGCCTATGATTGTCGCGCTTTGTCGCAGCATCGAGGTGATTAACCAGGTCCTGAAGCTGCAGTCCATCTACTTTGACGTCGTACGACCCATCGTCAAGACGCAGTACGTTGGTAGAGACAAGGCCATCGCAAATCCCGCCCTCGCTTCGTTTGAAGACGTTGTTCTGAACCACGTCAATATCATCGTTGACCTCGGCCTATACTGCGGAACGGGCCACCAGGATTTGACGATGCTTTCTCTACAACTCCTCCAAAAATTGGCAACAGCTCGCAAGCTATCTATCGCGACCGGAGCATCTTATGGAGGTAGTCGTGTCCTCGCTGCATTGCAACAAGACTTCGATGTTGACCGTATTGCTGCCTCTTTCGTCTCCCCCCTTCAGCTCGATTCAAGAGAGCTCGAGATGGGACCAGAGGGACCTGGCCTTGGCATCAAGCAAGGCATCTTAGATCTGCTTAACGGCTCATTGGAGACAGCAGGCAGTCGCCCAGCTCTGGCACATTGCCTGCTGGGCTTCCGTTGTACCGACAGAGCCATCAGCGTACCTCCGAACGGTCTGTTTGCTAACGGTGCCTCACTGTTCCATGCTGTGGTGAAGCTCTCAGCCGATACCATCAGTTTGCCGCAAGTCAACGAAGCTGCCTGGCTCTCTTCAATACGTCGCACGTCCTGCCAGATTATCTCGAAGCTTCTTCACTCTGCCTTGACAGAGCGCATTATTCTTGAAGAACTTAGAGAATCTGGCTACTCTGATGCTGTGGCCATTGTACAAACACCTATTGGTCCCGAAACTTTGTGGAGTAACCGACCTTGCGCCGACCCAGAATTCCTGATCTCGGACTCTGCTGCTGTCTTCAAGGACTTCCTCATCCAGCGAACTATGTTCTTTGAAGAAGCTTCTCTGGACATTAGAGCGACTATCCAGCGCAATGCCCCGACCCAGCGTCAAAAAGTTCTATCCTCCTTGTTGGGTGTGACTATTCTGTCTTCCGGCGAGCAAGTGCAGAACGCGTCAATCTTTGAGTTATTTGATTTCATCGATATGGACATCTCCCTACCTTTCGAGATGGCAGAGAAGATTCTTATCGCAGGTCTCGATTTCAGCTCGTGCAGGACTGACAAGTCTGATTATGGGGTGGTTTACGATCTTGCGCTCGCCAAAGAGCTGTTGCTCCTACGCGAAGCTGACCTGCGCAAGGCTGGTAAATTGATCGACCCTGTAGCACAACAGCAATGCGCTGCAGAGATCGATGCTGCCATGATGTGCTTGCAGTCAGAAAACAACTACGCTTCCATCATGTTGGCACAACGCTCAGCGCTCAATGTATGGGTCAAGCTTGTGTCAATGATGCTTGCTTTAGGCGACTTCCAAGCCGCTCCAAAGACCGCGCTGGCGCTGCAGGCTTTGCAGATTGTGTTACCTAAATTGGACAGGACGATCGTCGAGGACTCTCCCGTCACAATTCCGCTCGCAAAGCTCACATACACATTGATGCGAGTGCTAGACTCTTCTGCCACAGACAAAAACGTGGAAGTTAGCGCAGTACATGACAGGCTCACCGCGGCGTTCCGTACTGCTCTGCGCGGTATTGGAAGTGCTTCTGGCGGTACCGAATTACGCGAGACATGTTACCAGACCATTCGCCATTTCATTAGATCCATCTGTAAGACATCGTCACCACTGCAACGCCAGACAGCCAAGATTATTGAGCATGGCGGTGAGCGTTTGATGGACACAATTTGCGAAGATGTCATGTCTAGTGCTGGCAGCTGCAGAGTTTCTGCTTTGATGGTGCTCGAGTCTTGTCTGCAACTCTTCCAGATGATCAAGTCTCCCTACTTGACACGGGCTATGACCAAGTTGAACTTCACCTCGGTGCTTGTTGACGGTATCCGTGGTATTTCTGGCGAGTTCCAACAACAGCGTGAAGGACAAGATATTGCGACACTTCTCTCATATATCCACACCGCGCTCTCAGTTCTATTGCGCATGTCTCACACGAACGAGGGTGCCGCTGCTATCCTGGAAGCAGGTCTCTTCAGCGCCATCCGCGACTCACAACTTTTTGCAACCGACCCGGACATCGGTCTCGATGTCGACAATGTCGAAGCACTGGAGAACTTCTACCGCCTGTTGATCTCCATGCTGCGTATCTTGACCTCTTGCGTAGTCAGCAGAGGATCGCGCAATCAGCACGTTCTGGCTCAAGGAAGAGCCTTCCTGGCTGAGAACAGGCAGTGCATGCAAGGTGTCTTCAAGGCTGCGATGAGAGAAGGCCCACAAGTTCGTCCCAGCATCAAACAAGCTTTGGAGGAGTTAGTGGGTTGTTTCAGTGCACTGATTCATGCAACGGACTTTGTTGAGGTAAGCTTTTCAATCCACCCTAGTGCTCCAACACTTTTACTGACGCATGATGCAGAGTGATGAAGTACCATTGGCTCAAAGGTCTCTGGGCAACATGTTTACCTAGGAGAGTGTAAAGAGAGGAAATTACAACTGGATGCTTCTAGGGAGGAGCCTGTTTTCTTGACGATAAACCGGGTTGGTTATGTAGCATAGCGCATGGGAGGAAAACAAATGTATCAAATGCGAAATCACAACATGTTGAAATGAACCACACTACCTTGTCTTCTTGAAATCTTGCGACCATTGGAGTCGTCTTCAGAACGTTGCTTGCTTCGTCGCTACTGCCTTCGTATCTCTGTACTCATGTTAAAGAAAGGTCCTGCCAGACCATACGTAAAATTCCCGTGGTTGAACACCCCCCCCTCCCAATTCCGATAGCCATTGCTCTACTCCTCGCTCTCCTCAGTAAACGCCTTGTAAGCTTCCGCATCCATCAAACCCTCAACCTCCTTGACATCCTTGACCTCGATCTTGGCAATCCAACCATCACCCTCGGGACTCTTGTTGATGGTACCAGGCTTCTCCTCCAAAACGGCATTGGCCTCCACAATCACACCTGCCACCGGTGTCATGATATCCGAAGCCGACTTCACAGACTCGACCGATCCGATGGTGTCGTTGGCGCTGACTTCGAGGTCTGTGGTGGGGAGTTCGACGAAGACCACATCGCCGAGGGCATTTGCTGCGTAGGTGGAGATGCCGATTGTGCCGGTCTTGTTGTCGGGGGAGAGTTCGATCCATTCGTGGTCTTGAGTGTATTTCTTTGCGAGTGCTAAAAGGCGGAAAGAAGTGGTTAGCGGCTGAGAACAAAATAAACTGGTTGCGAAGGTGTCACTCACCAGCCGATCTAGCGGAGAAGGGTCTAGAGACGGCAGCATTGGGGATGCGGCATGAGAATGCGGGTCTGCTGCTGACGGCCAGCGAGCGGCGGAAGACTGAGCGAGCGATGGATGCCATTGTAAATGATTTTTCAAAGTATCAAGTGTTCAACTGGAAAAGAGCAATGCGATCGAAAACAAGACCAGCAACGTAAAGCTCTCCAGATAGTGACGAAGTGGTTCGCCAAGCGACTCGGGGAAGTCGCTGATGCGGGAAACGGGAAAGCGCGCCGAAACAGACGAGATAAGATAAGATGGAAATTTGCTCCCGCCATGGTCGCATTCGTAGACAGCCCAGACGTCGTTGCGCATACCCACGAGCTTGCTGTTCAGTTTCGAGACAGCACATCTTTTCCACTCACCACACACACATCATGCTTTACGAACTCATTGGCGTGGTACTTACACTCTCTTCACTCACCATGTCTACATTGCGCATAGCTAACACAACCACAGGTGCGCCCAGGCAACCTAGCCGAAGTCCGCGAGTCCGTCTCCTCCTCCTCTCCCGCTCATCCCACCCTTCTAACACGCTTCTCAGAATCGCAAAAACCACCGGCAACATCGTCTTAAACGCCGGCGGCGTCGTTCGCGGCATCACAAACTGGGGCGTTTTCCACCTCCCCAAGCCAATGAGAAAACACAACGCCACACACAACACAGGCCACTACTTTGTGGTGCGCTTCGATTCATCGGCGAGAACCCAGCACGCCGTACGCAGAACACTGGGTCTGGATCCGAGAATGCTGAGGTATTCGGTCGTGAAGATGGGAGGCACGTTGGAGGAATTGAGGAGTGTGGTTGGTGAGGTGCAGTGGAATGTTGATCCTGATGCCAAGAGAGATTGAGTGGATGGGCGAAGAGAAGGAAGATGAGAGAAAGAGCATGAGAATGTGAATATATGGGAATAAGGGCGTTCATGGGTGCATTGGGATGAGCTGGGGTGATGATCGGTATCATATATTCCCCGGCTGAAGAAGAGTTTCTCTTCTGGATATATGCCATGGCTAGAGATGACTGCCTGAGCATTCTGTACAAATACATACGATCGTACGCTGAGCTGTAAAAACAACATGGTCCTCAGAGCAATTCCCAATCCGATACAGTGCAGGAAGCGGGCTGCTTTGTCCTCCTTCCAGCAACTGACAATCTCTTTGCTATGTCACATGGAACGGCCGCACTAAGTGAGAAGTGAAAATGGTTCGATTAAAGATAATGTCATGGTCTCGTCATATTACTACAAGAGGGTATGGAAAGGCATGCAAATGTGCATATCCCCGAAGAACTCCTGTGCCTTCCCCTTAAGGAGAACTATCCCAGCGACCCTGCTTAGCATTTCTGGCAGTATCAATCTCCTTTTTGAAGTCAGAGTACAATGCCTTGATCTTGCCCTCCTCCTCCATAAGATCCACGATCTTGTTGGCATGCTTTCTTCGCTTGCGCACACTCCACTTATCGCGCTTAACGATAAGCTTGGGCGTGTTCCAGCCGGCAGACTCAAGGTACTCAACGACCCATTCATAGAGGTGGTAGCGCCAATGTTGCAAAGAATGAGCTGTCTCTGCATTGCTCATGCAGAATTTGCCGAGGTAAAAGACAGTTTCCTCGGGGAGAATTTGACGGCCTTGAGAGTCGTAGTTGACTGCTGCGTTTTCGTCCACGCTGCTCTCGTCAGAGTCGGAGTCTTCATCATCGTCCTCGTTGGCCTCTTTGCGCGGTGCGACAGGCTCCAAAGAGTTCTTGTCGTATGGCTTGCCCTCAAACTTGAGCTCGTATGTGGCTGGATGCCCTGATCTGTTGCAGGCATCGCACTTGTCCCGTCCGAAATGGTCTGAGGATTTACGATCGAGGCGGGCAGAGAGGAGGTCGGGTCTTGCTTGGAGTGCCAGTGTGAATTGTGCGGTCCAGGCTGCTGACTGGAACTTGGAACCTGCCAGTCCCTTAACCTCATCGTCGAGCTTTTTGAACGTAAGATCGTAGATCTCGTCGTCCATTTGGAAAGCAGGATTGATCTTTTTCTGGACCATCCAGTCAATGGCAAAACGGAACAAATCCTTGGCTTTCATCGAGGCATAACGAGTGAAGGCAATCGGGACATCATTCGTAGGGACACCAAGAGGGCCGTCGTCGTCTTCGATGACAAATCCTTCGTCCTCCTCGTCCTCAGCGAACATTTGCTTACGGGTAGTCTTGTGTGTCGATGGTCCCGGTAGGTCGTAATCTTCATCTTCATCTTCTGCGGAGCTCTGATCGTAGTCTGCTTCGTCGTCTGGTTGCTCTTCTTCCTCTTCCTCATCATCTTGCTCATCCTCAACGAGACTGCTCATGGGTGCGCCTCTTCTGGCTTTGAGACGCTCCAGCGCAAGCTGACGAGCACTCTTTTGTGATGACTTGTTCCTCTTGGACAGTCGGACTTCACCGTCACTACCGCTTGATGCCAGGTCCACGAGGTCATCCTCCAGCTCTTGTTTCTCTTCTTCGGTAATAGTGCTCATGGGTACTGGGTCCTTACCTCGACGTAGTCTCTTGCGAGATCTCGAAGATGGTGGTTCATCCGAGAGTTCTTCGGGGTCGGATCCAGATGCTGGTGAAAGGGCGCGCTTCTTGGTCGATAGTGAACGCTTTCGAGAACCAGTAATGACAACGTCACTGTCGTCGTCTTCATCTTCGGGAATGAGTGACAGCGGTGAGGAGCTATGAGCTTGACGCTTTCGTTTGCGATTGATTGCTGGTGTGGCCGGTAGATCATCTTCGCTGTCGTCATCATCGCCGGGGATGACGGGCGCTGATTCCTGTACGATCTCAACCTCCATGTCTGGCGATGGAGACTTCTGTTTCTTCTCCTGGCGCTTGCTCTTCTTTTTGTGGCTCTTGACTGGTAGTGTCATAGCTTGCTCGCCGGATTCGTCGCTTGAACCAGCATCCAGTTGTTGCTGAGTACCGAAGAAACCGGCTCTGACAGGGCGCGAATGGTTGATAGCTCGAGGACTAGATGGCGTGAGATCGAGCTTTTGCTGCTTCTTCAGGTTTTTGCGGCTAGATAACCTGGGTGTTGGACGGACGTCCTCGTCGTCCTCACTGACGGCTGATGCACCGAAAGATGTGGTGGGTCCCGTCGGGTCTGGTGTAGGAGGCAGGCTTTTTTTGGGTATTCCAGAGGCAGGCGCAGAGATCAGCGACAAGGTGCCCGGCGCATCACGGACCTTGCGACTCTTTGCTGGACTAGCTCCTTCGAATCGAACTGTCGCAGCACGGTCACGCACAGAGCTGCTGATGTCAGAAGGTGCAGGCGATGAAGTCGGCAGAGGGTCGAAGGTCAGCCTTGTCTGTCTCTTAGACGAACGAGGCATGGTGGCGGTGATGCAGGATGACTTCAAAGAAAGGTATTGGTCCAGTGCCTGGCGGTCGATAAAGATGAATTGTAAGTATGCGCTCAACTTGTGTTCAACTATCAGCGACGCATGCAGTCGTAATGCTGCTTGTCGTGCAACACTCCAGTGTGAAAGTTTGTTCTTCGAAACCTCTCAGGAAGACGCGACTCGGGCAGAAGTCGCGTGTCAGCTGAATCGGGAAAATTAATTGATTTGTTCACGTCATCGGATTTATGACCAATAGGCGTAAGAATGAGAGGATCATCGACAGCCACATTTCTTTTTCGAAAGGAGACGAAGTATTAAGGTGAGTAGATTGCGAGCTCTTGATCATGTCGTGAACGCTTCTTACATATGATCAAGTTATTCGCGCGCCGGAGGAAGGATACACTTAAAACCGAGCATCTATTCAGGAGAGCGAGCCATTCGAGCATATTTACTAGAGGAAGGAACAGACACCGTGAGAAGATTACCAATATGGGAGGACCTCAGGAAGCCATAACAGAGGACGAGATTGTTGGAATGGAAGTTCCGAATACAAAGACAAACTCTAGGAATGCCTGTAAGTAATCCACTAACCATATCCGGGGACTCATTCTCATTGTTGACAGTCACAGAATTAATGTCGAAGAAACCTATTAACTCTCAAAAGTCTCCTGGCAAACATCATTCGAATCTTAAATCCAAGATGGTCTTCAAGGACAGAGATGGCCTGGGCGCATATACAGCCGACCCCTTCGCACACGAACGTGTAATCTTCAACAACGATACCTCAGTTATCATTCAGGACATGTTTCCGAAGTCTTCCGTCCATCTTCTGGTTTTACCAAAGTCAGAACGTAACCTCCTACATCCTTTTGTCGCATTTGAAGACCCTGAGCTTCTAGCGGATATCAAAGTAGAAGTGGAGAGGGCTAAGAAGATGGTGGCAAACGAGCTGCGACGAAAATATGGAAAGCTTTCCAAATCAGAACAACCACGGATACAGGCCAGAGACGCGGACGAGCCGCCAGATGTGCTTCCTCCAGGTCGTGATTGGATGAAGGAGATCATCACGGGTATCCACGCAGTACCCTCCATGAACCACCTCCACGTTCATGTCATGTCGCGAGAGATGTATAGCGACCACCTCAAACGCAGCGCCCATTACAACAGCTTCCACACGCCCTTTTTGGTCCCACTAGAGAAATTCCCGTTGGCAAAAGATGATCCCATACGGCTGGTTGGCCATGGTCCCTGGCATACTGTTGACCTTGTCTGTTGGCGTTGCAAACGAAACTTCGGAAACAAGATGGCCAAGTTCAAGGTACATTTGGCGGAGGAGCACGACGAGTGGAAAAGAGAGTAGAAAGTCCACCATAGTTGGAAAGCGATTAGTTATTAGCATAACGAGCCATTGTTTCTGGAGACGATGCAGTTCCTCCTTAGTTTATAGATCGATATCCTAGCATTGCTACCATGAGGGTAGGAAGCATCCCTCCCAAAGCGTCCATACTGCAGCCAAAGTGATCGACACAAGAACTAGCTATGCACTTAAAACGGCAGAGCATGCCATGAATGTTGAGTCTTTCTGGTTCGACGAATCTCATGTCAAGGTCCTTGGTTGCAGTACACCGCCAAATGCAGGTCCCCGAACATGCATCTGTCATTTGTGATCGATCGACATTTGCTGCAAGCAATAGTGTGAAAAGCCAGCATCGTTTGTAGCATTGTGGGACGTAGAGGGCTGTTGTCGAGGCGATACTAATGCTGTTACAATTCTGTGACTGCTTGAAATTCATGATTCGAACAGTGGTAGAAATTCACTCGATATGCCGCTTCTCAAATCGTCAACACGCGGCTTCTCACATTCACCTTCACACTTGCACCTTCCTCAAAAATTCTTCCATCCTTCCCAGCTTTACGCTTGCCTCTTAGGACCGTCTCGCACCCCGATTCACAACAAATGAACCCATCCCAATTTTCATCCAAGAACGCCCCGTCGACTACGATGGCATCATCTGCGCCGTCACCTGTACCATTTGGCATGTCCGAGCCGCTTGACAGTGGTTCGATCACAGAATTGCTCGCGAAGTACGAGGCGTTCAAGATTCTCGACAATCAAAAGAAAGACTTCTTCGATGTGAGTGACCAGACTTGGTGGTTCACAAAACCTGGAACTAAGAGTTGTAGCATGCCTTGAACCGGCTAAAATACTTGTCAGAGCGTTTGGTCCAGGAGCGCAGCAACTTCGAGCTGGAGCGCACTTGGCTGAAGCAACAGCTCGCCAGTGCCGGACAGACCGGCGACCATGATCACTCATCCTTAGAGCAAAATCCATACGTCTTGGTACTGATCGACGGTAATGAACTCATATTCCGTAACGCTTTCCTAGGCCAGGGCGATCAAGGCGGTCGCCGCGCAGCGCAAGCTCTTTTCCAGGCTACCAATGAATTCGCCTTCTCAACCATCCACGCTCTTCCAGACAATACCAAGATAGTCCTTAAAATCTACGTCGACTTGGAAGATCTCTGCAGTATCGGCCTTCGCACTGGTTTGGTCAGCAATGGCAACCAGATCAAGACTTTCGTCCGCGGATTTTGCCAGGATAAAAATCTGTTCGATGTGATCGATGTCGGCATGCAGGGTCGCGCTGTGGTGTTTGACAAGATGGAAGGTTCGAGACTTATCGCTGCTGTATGCTTAGAAGCGCACTAATAAACATACAGAGAACCTGGCCATGTACATGTTCGACAAGCAGTGCAAGCACATAGTCTTCGGCTGCGAGGACGGCGAGATATACGCACCTATACTCAAACGCTTCACCGAGAAGATCGAGACGACGCAACGCGTCACATTGCTCCATGGCACCGAACCCGACCGTTACCTTGCGGCACTGCACATTGACAGGACCCAGATGAATGACATCTTTCGTAACACGAAAATGGATATTCACAAATTGGTCGACCACGTTGCAGAACTGGATTCTGTCCCAGCACTCCTTATGGAATCAGTCACCCCACCACTATCGTCTCCTGCAACATCGCGTTCTGGCTCGCGCACAGCTGTCGGAACAGCACGCACCGCTCTTCCTAGCATCGCACACAGCCGTCAAGACTCAGCAAGCTCAATCAGCTCTGCCATCTCAGGAGTCCAGGTCAAGCCAAAGGAAAATCCATGGATCTTGGCGGCGAAGAAAGGAGCAGCAGTGAAGACGCCCCCAAAGGATATACCCAAGGAGAAAGAGCAATGGCCGACGGATTATGTGCGCCGCAACAAGAAGGGTCAACGGATTGACCCGCCCACACCGGAGTTCAAGAAAGATGAGGTCAATCGACTGAAGAAGCTCAAGCTCTGCAACGCACACCATCTTCGTCACGACTGTCCGTATCCGGAGGGCAAATGCGAGCATGATCATGTATACAAGTGCAATCCGAAGGAGCTGGAGACGTTGAAACTTGTTGCACGCATGTCAGCTTGCATCCACGGAGCCGAGTGTTCTGATCCTAAGTGCATCTATGGACATCGTTGCCCATTCCCGGAGGCCAGAGAGGGCAGTATGCGCGGAAAGGCATGTATCAATGGGGAAAACTGCAGGTTTCCCGCAGAGATGCACAACATGGACATCGTTCCGGTTCGTCGTCTGAAGATCACTTGAGGGCTGATTGTGTTTTCCGGTATAGCAGCGGTAGATTGAGGTTTGACAGAAAGCTGTATCGATGCGAGACAGCTCAAGTAGCACACAATGGAAGCTATTTGATTGCCTAATTCCTGAATTAGTGTTTGTCGTTCATGTTTGTCACTTGTCACAATAGGATGTTCTCGAAGCTCGAGGGCTCTTGGAGTGGAGATGCAAGTGAAGCTCGGACCACCAATCAGCTACAGGCCACCTCGCCCTTCTTGACCTCGTCTCCCCGCAGCTCTCTTGTTCTCTCACAAGAAACTGTATACCACACACATCCAAAATGGTATCCATGAAGCTCAGCGCGTTTGCGCTCTTTGCCTTGAAAGCTCTCTCTGTCGTCGCTCAGGTTTGTCACGCGTCAATGCCCGCCAATTGGGAATATCCAACTGATGACGTTTACAGGCTCCCGAGGTCGAGCAGGAAATTGACGACCCTACCCTGCAGCAATCTCCCAGATTGAATGTCGAGGTCTCTGTTTCTTTCCCCGACTCTGAGATCTTCGGTGTCAAGCTCGTCAATGGCCACGCGACCAACGCCGTCTTGTCAATTGCCAACCATGAGACAACCCCTGTCCACCTTCGCTACATTGGCGGCTCTCTCTTGACTCCCTCTGGTGTCCCTGGAGCTCCCGACCCGCCCGTCGCCCTCCGCAACTTGACCGTCAACAAGTACGACCTCCTGATTCCCGCTGGCGAGAAGGAGACTGCCACCTACAGCTTCGCTACCGAGATGCACCCCCAGGACTTGACCCTCAACCTGGCCGCTGTTGTTCAGGACGAGCACGGCATGATCCACACCTTCCAGGCCTACAACGGCACTGTCTCCGTCGTCGAGGCTCCCATGAGCTTCTTCGACCCCCAGATGTAAGCCGCTTGGTGTGCTAGAATTATCGACACAGACTAATAGTTCGCAGCATCTTCCTTTACCTCGTCCTCACCGGTGTCTTCGCTGGTACCGTCTACTTCATCTACAACACCTGGATCACCACTTTCTTCCCCCAGAAGAAGGGCCGCGGAAAGGGTGGTGAGCGTGCCAAGCGCTCCTCCGGTGGCACCAAGAAGGTCGACCCTGCCGACCAAGTCAGCGTTGTTGGTGCCGACGGTCCTGCTGTCACCAGCGGTGCTAAGGCCTACGACGAGTCCTGGATTCCCGCCCACCACTTGTCTCGTCCTCAGGCCAAGCGCGTCGCATCTGGTGCTAAGCCCAGATCGAGAAGCAGACCCGCCGCATAGAGTGCGTGTAGACAGAATTTGAGGAGCTGGGTATCTGGAATGATACTCGGACTCGAACGGAGGTGTATATTGCATACGAAGGTTGTATTTTATGACCAAAAGCATTTGGCGGATTTCAGGCTATTGCGATTGATTACTGCGATTCGTTTGCATACGGAAAGCGAACGAGAATACAGATTAGCCCTCACCTTTCATCTCGTTGACTACCTAGTGAATGTCTCGTCAATAAGATGGGCTTGTCCCGATGTTGCCAAGTGAAAGTTGCGGCCCCAGATTTTATCTCCGCGTTCGCCGTGAATTATTTATTGGACGCGGAATTCAATCAGCCTTTGTTGAACAAGAAAATGGTCAACAAACCTCACGCTCCCAGGAGCAGTAATAAGTCCGGCAAGAAGACTGCCTCGACCGCCGCGACCGCGAACGGCGAAGACACCAGCTACATCGTATTCTCCAACGGCAAAGACTCGAAGAAGACCAAGGCCACCCCTCCGGCCGCAAGCAGTTCTGCAGCCCCTGCTAAGGGCAAGGGCAAGAATGCTGCTCCCGAGCTGGATGTCGCCGGCGATCCCGTCAAGAAACCCGATACACGAACCCTGATCGGCGGTCAATCATGGACAGGAAAACTCCCCGTCAACATGCTCTCCGAGCACTGTCAGAAGCAGAAATGGGAAAAGCCGGAGTACACTATGCACCGCTCGTCAGATCCACCAGGCCAGATCTCGTCTGTCATTCTACGCTGGAAGAACCCCAAGACTCAGGAGATGGTTTCACTACCACCCATGTCGCTTCCTCCAGCGAAGAGGGCGTTGGGCGTACAAGAGTCTGCCGTGGAGGCTAGACATTTCGCTGCTACATATGCGCTATACCGCGTCGCCAACGCGAAAAACTTGCACATGATGATGCCGCCAAACTACCGCGACTTGTGGAAGGGCGAGTTCGCAGACATGAGAAAGGAGGCAACAAAAGAAGGCATGGGCTGGTTATATGCTGCGGATCCTTTCCAAGCACGAAAAGAATGGGACGATGAAAGAGCCGCGAAAGACAAGAAGAGACAGGAAATCGAAAAGCAGAGGGAGGCGGAGAAGAAGGATAACAGCACCCCTGGAGTCAACAAGAATCCCGGAAAGGGCTGGACACGAGCACCGAAGGTTGAGATGGGCAAGAAGATGCGTAGGGATGTTGAGGCTTTGGTCAGACAGGCTGCTCTCTGGAATCCGCACGGTGTCACTCTGTCCAACGGCGAGAAGAAGCACATTGTTCAGGACTTGACGAAACTAGGCTTCCGTCCCTCTCACATCGAGGAAGCTGTGGAAATCTGCAAGGATCGCGAAGAGACTATTGAATGGCTTTTGATTCATGTTCCGGAAGACGACTTGCCCAAATGGAGTTTGCCAGAAAATTACTCTGCTGGTGTCTCCATGGCCAGTAGCGATCTTGCTCGTGAAGGCAAGCTAAAACGTCTTGCGATTACTGGTTACGCTATGGAGCTTTGCGAAGAAGCACTGGATGCATCTTCAGGAGACGAAGCTGGAGCAGCAGAAAGACTACAGCATAGACTTCTCGGAAGCCTGGATTCATCATCCCTATCGTCAACAACAGAGAGTTTGAACATCGCCGATGACGCCGATGTATGGGATGAAGAGCAAGTCATTCTGGCTTCCATATACAGCGACCGATACAAGGCAACCAAGAGCTCTTGTCAAATAGTCCTGGAGGTGGCCGAGAAGCCCAAAGAGCGCATCGTTCTTCATGCACGAAAGCCCGCATCTGGATACCCTGATGTCGTTCCTGTCCTCTCCATCGAAGCCGCACTACCTGCATACATCCGCTTGAGCATCTTGAAGCAAGCTTTGCTTCAAGCACAATCCGACTTTCTAGGCGAGCAAATGCTGTTCAATCTCATTGACTGGCTAGAACATGAGATTCCGAATATCATTGCTAATCCTGGTAGACTCAGTAGCATTGCTTCGGTTTCCTCTACTTCAGCTGAGCCCGACTCGGAAACCTCAGGTCGCAGACGTCAACGTCCTAGACGTATGCCTCGACCCATCAATTGGCAGCCATCATCGCAGCAAAGCCAAAGGATTCTTGCGGACTGGCAAGCCAGGCAAAAGACTGCCGCGCAAGTGCGCATGATGGCAGCAAGACAATCATTACCTGCTTGGAAACTACGAAACGCCATTGTCGAAGCTGTTACATCTTCTCAGGTCACCATTATCTCTGGTGAAACTGGTTCAGGAAAGTCTACTCAGTCTGTTCAATTCGTCCTTGATGACATGATTAGGCAAGGGCTTGGAGAGGCTGCAAACATTATCTGTACACAACCTCGCAGAATTTCTGCCTTGGGTCTGGCAGATCGTGTTGCGGACGAGCGATGTGTGAAGGTCGGCGAAGAAGTTGGTTACTCGATCAGAGGAGAATCAAAACAAAAGCCCGGTACTACAAAGATCACATTTGTCACTACTGGTGTGCTCTTGAGAAGACTACAGACATCTGGTGGAAAACCGCAAGATGTTGTTGATGCTCTGGCTGATGTCAGTCATGTGGTTATCGATGAAGTCCACGAGCGTAGTCTGGATACCGATTTTCTCATGGTGCTGTTGAGAGATGTTTTGCAGGTCCGTAAAGACCTCAAACTGATTCTTATGTCTGCCACTCTCGATGCGCAAGTCTTCAAGAGCTACTTCGCCGGCAAGATGACGGTAAGCACAGTGGAGATTGAAGGTCGCACGCATCCAGTTCAAGACGTCTACCTAGACGATATTCTCCGCATGACTGGCTTTGCGGGTGGCATCACCGAGGAAGGTGACGAGGACGGCGGTAAGGAGCCTAGCATGGGTGCAGCCCTTCGCAGCGTCGGCATGAAGATCAATTACGATCTGATCTCCGATACCGTCCAGACCATCGACGAGCAACTAGGCTCAGAAGATGGCGGTATCTTAATCTTCCTTCCTGGTGTGGCCGAGATTGATCGCACTCTCAAGACCCTCCAACATCTACATCACATCCACGCTCTACCTCTCCACGCCTCGCTACAACCGGCCGAACAGAAACGAGTCTTCCCTCCAGCACCTGCCGGCAAACGCAAAGTCATCTGCGCAACCAACGTTGCGGAAACTTCCATCACAATCGAAGACATTGTCGCCGTCATCGACAGCGGTCGCGTCAAGGAGACCAGTTTCGACGCCGCGAATGGCATGACCAAACTCGAAGAAGTATGGGCATCCAGAGCAGCATGTAAACAACGTCGTGGTCGTGCCGGTCGTGTTCGCGCAGGTACTTGCTACAAACTGTACACCAAGCAAGCTGAAACCAATAAGATGGCTGACCGACCCGATCCTGAGATTTTGCGTGTGCCGTTGGAGCAGTTGTGTTTGAGTGTCAAGGCGATGGGTGTGTTGGATGTGCCTTCCTTCCTTGCTCGCGCTATCACCCCACCTTCCACTTTAGCTGTCAGTGGTGCTTTGACAACGCTACATCGCATGGGTGCTTTGGATGGTGCAGAGCTTACGGCATTGGGTCGTCATCTGTCTTCCATTCCCGCTGACTTGCGATGCGGCAAACTACTTGTCTACGGTGCTGTTTTCGGCTGCCTCGACGCTTGCCTGACCATCGCATCGATTCTTACGGCACGCTCACCTTTCGTCTCCCCACCTGCTCGCCGCGACGAGGCCAAGACAGCACGTCTTGCTTTCGCACCAGGCGGTCAAGGAGACTTGCTATGCGACCTCCGCGCTTTCGAACTCTGGACCGCTAAGCGCGCCGAAGGCATGCCATCCTCTTCCCTCCGCCAATGGTGCGATGCCAATTTCCTCTCCACCCAAACCCTCTTCGACATCCAGACCAACAGACGGCAATACATGTCCTCGTTGCAAGAGATCGGCTTCCTGGGCTCATCGCACGCATCGGCAGCGCAAGAGTACAACGCAAGAAACACCAACACCGCACTCGTCCGCGCCCTCGTCGCCGCAGCATTCTCACCCCAAGTCGCAAGGATCGAATTCCCGGATACCAAGTACGCCGCCTCCGTCTCTGGCGCCGTAGCCCTAGACCCAGAAGCAAGAACTATAAAATACTTCCGCGAGCCAAACGCCACCGCCGCTCCCACTCTACCATCTTCTGCACAAAAAGGCGCACAGCAGCAACCAGAACAAGGGAGCTCGAGATTGTTCATCCACCCAAGCAGCACGATGTTTTCCTCTGCACCGGGAACTTCCTTTCCCCCATCCACAGCATTCCTATCTTATTTCTCCCTGCTATCGACTTCCAAGACGTTTATCCGCGACTTGACGCCGTTCAACGCATATACCTTACTCCTCTTCTCCGGCGATATAAGTCTAGACACCCAAAACAGAGGACTGGTAGTCGATGGCTGGATCCGCCTCAAAGGATGGGCGAGAATCGGAGTCTTGGTGGGAAGGTTGAGAGGAATGTTAGATCAAGTGCTGGAAGGCCTTGTAGAAAGACCTGGAGAAAAACTACAGGGTAGGGAGAAGGGATTGGTGGATTTGGTTGCGAGGTTGGTGGAACTGGATGGATTGGACAGGTAGATTACAGTATGTTCACAGTATCAATTGCAAGCAGAGGTGAAATAATTGCGAACATCTTCCCATTCTCTCGATCCTTTTGATCATCTTTGTTTATTCTTGCCAGATCGATTGATCTTTTGTCGGCCCTTTTGAAGTATCGGCCACTGTCGATCGCGATCATGTGGTGCATGTTGAATGCATGTTGTGTGTGACTGAGATAAAGGCGCAAGGATCACACTGTTGATGGGGAAAAAATTCAATGTAAGAGCAGATTACACGACTGGATGTCAATGATTTTCGCAATGTCCCTTTCTCTGCGGAAGAAAACAAGAAAACAAATACATCACAGTAGGAATGAATGAAATTGATGCACGAAATATACGGAACATGGAAGACGGAAACAATTTTCATTCCTTTACTCTTTCAGGTACATCAACAGTCTCATCTTTCTCAGGCGATTCTATTCCTGATTCTCGATGCTGTAGTAGCTTCTGAACCTCGCATTAGTCTCCACCCTACAATCCTTGATCGCCCAGAAACAAGCCATCAACAACGTGGGGAACTTGATAGTGAAGTACTGCAGATACCCATGCGGCAAAGGCCCAACCCTCTTCTTGACGTCCATCGACATGTCCTCGTAATGGTTTTTCTTGTTGCGTAAGGCACGGAGAAGATCCAACATTTTGGCGCCGTTGTACTTGCGTTGCTTGCCGAGTGTGTCGAGGAACATTCTGTCGAGCTTGCGTTGCCAATCTTTATCTTTGCCGCCGATGACCATATCGGCGTAGGACTCGAGATAGTTGAGATGAGGCGATGGTGGGTCGCGCTGTTCGTGTTCGAAGTGGTCGGAAACATCGCAGAGGAAGTCGAGGCGTTTCTTGGGTGACCAGAAGAACGGATGGCAGAGAACCTGCTGGGCGGATGGACGATCTTCAGGGTTGTGTGCCAGCATTGCTGTGATCAATTGGCGGGGTTCTTCGCTGTCAGAGCCCAGGTCAAGCTTGTGCATGTTCTGCAGGTTGTTCTTCTTGATGTTGAGTTCACGCATTTGCATCCAACCTTCCTTGTCGTCGTAGGGGTGATCACCTCCAGTCAAGACCCAGAAGAACAGACAACCGAGGGAGAAGATATCAGCTGCTCGTTTGACACCACCGATGGCTCCACCAGAAGAGCTTTCGCTAGTGCCAGGATGCGAAATGTTGCTGTGGCCGTTGTTCGAGGCCGTGTCCTTGGGCTGAGAGATGAGCTCCGGCGCCTTCCATCCACACGTTCCAGCGTTGCTCGTAGGATCGATCAAGGTGCTCACATTCTCCGGAAGGGTCTTACACAAGCCAAAGTCTGAGATGACGAGACGAAGCTCGTTGGGCTTGTTTGGCTTAGGGAAGGCGATGAGGATGTTCTGAGGCTTAATGTCTCGATGAATGATACGAAGATCGTGAAGGTGGTAGAGACCTTTGGCGAGCTGATAGAGTGTGCCTCTAGCATCACGCTGAACAGCTTGAGCCAGTGATTGGAGCTGTTGATAACGGGCTTCGTCACGAGTGTCGGGAAGATTGAACAGATCCCACAAACTCGCCTGACAAAGCTCAACGGCAATGTAGAGGAAGTGCTGATCTTTCTGTTGACAAAAGTAACGGATGACGTTCTTGTCATGGTCGCTTTGTTGGAGGAATCCTACTTCCTGAGAAGCAAGCTCGTAGTACTGAGAGAGCATGCGTTTGACTGCCACATCACGGCCTTCAAATTTGCCTTCGAACACACAAGTTCCAGCACTTCCATGGCCGATTATCTTGTCCGTATCAATGGTGAGGTTGTTGATTTGAATCTTGCCGGACACGTTGGGACTCTCAGATGCATCTACACTGATGACGTCCATGCCATCAATCTTCGATAAAGGTTTTGCAAGCGACGTGGCAAGAGCGCCGTTACTCTCTTTGTCGCTGTTGCTTTGGCTGTTCTCGCGGCGGCGTTGTTGTGCTTCAAGTTGCTCTTGTCTCTTCTCCTTTGCCTTTCTACCACCTCTGACACCACGAGTGGCCTTCTTCTTGGGCTTGACAGGTGTTTGCTCTTCGGCGGGCTTTTCGGCTTCTGCTGGACTTGGAGTCGAGGCACGAGTGGGTGAGTCGACCTTGGCCTCGATTGGTTCTTCAGTAGACGATTGCTTTTCCGGCACTTCCTCTTCATCTCCTTGTGGGAAGATGGTCTCTTCTGCGGGCTCAGGGAAACGGACTTTACGGTCGATGGCTTCGACTTGAGGAGCACTGTCGTCCTTGGAAGGAATGGCCTGGCTAAGATTAGATGTCACAGGGATTGGCGCCTCCTTCAGCTTAACAGGCTCCGGAGTTTGGCGTTGTATGACCTTCTGCACGTCTACCCATCGAGACACGATGGCAAATAGTCCAATCAGAGCGAGCAGGCCAATCAAGCCTGATGATGTGATACCGGCCCAAGGGTTAGAGGAACCAGGCAACATGACCTGAGCGTGGTCGGTGTTATATGCATTCGGGGATCCAATAACTGATTGATCAGGCCCACCGATAGTGAGGATCTCGCTTTGGTCCATGCTCATAGGGTGGAGAGGGTGTATGCCAACAAGGTTCGCTCTCTGCTTAGCAGGGTTGAAAGTGCCGACTGGAAGGGCGTATCCTTGGGTATAGCACACAGCTTTGGAAGCACCGTCGGTGACGGTAGGGTATCTGAGCTCCGACATGGCATACCAACTACCAGATTCTGTACAGTTGACGAAGATCTTGTCTTGCTCGATTGTGTCATCGCCAGCAGGACCAATAGGTTGAGGAAGGATGACCAAAGAAGCGTCCAGAATGTCTTCATCGAGCGGCCTGACAACATCGTAAACGCGAGCAACTGGCGACGAGAACTTTTGCTTGTACAAGATCGAGTTTCCGAAGCGGCTTGTTTCTCTGTAGTCCACAGCGACAACGCTACCGTCGTGTTGGGTGTAGATATACTTGCTGTCCATGGTTGACGCGTATTGGTTGTGCAGGTCTTTGTCGCGGTTGTTGGGTCCCCATTCGAAGTAGCGGATGGTGCAGATGGGGTCACCGCTCAGCTTGTCTGCTATGGAGACGGTGTATTCGGTTCTACCCAAGGTAAGGGTTCCGATCGTCTCGCATTCGTTGTCTTCAAGCGAACCAAGGCCATTGACTCGGCGACAGTTCTGGTCGTTGCTGAAGGTTGACGCGCTCGAGCTGAATGTCTTGAGGATTCTTCCGTTGGACGCATCGACAGTGTAAAGGGTGTTCTTCTTGTCGGCGGTGTATACCACAGGTGGGTCTTCTCCGGCGTAGGGCGACAGCTCTTCTACAAGTTGCTTGACCGACAAGCCGAGTTTCTGCATGCCGGTTTGGGGCTCGGAAGAGTAGACATAGAGGCTTCCATCTTGGGAGGGTTCGACAATCCAGATGAGGCTGGTTTCGGGCTGAGACTCAGGATCCGAGTCGTTGTGGTGATAGACGGTCTCGATCATGGGTCTATCGGCCTCTATCTCCCATCGTGGAGCGCCGGTTCTACGGTCTCTTGCGTGTAGTTTGCCATCAACGGTCGCCAGGAGAATAATATCCTCGACTTGCCAATCCTGCAAAGACCGCGCCGGGTGTCGCGAAGAGAGACCACCGGACGTGGCCGATGATCTTGCAGGAGGTGCTCGAACGGCCGGGATAGACTCGGCTGGAGCAAAAGTCGCAAGGGCGCGCTCGATTGAAGGGTCGATTGCGGTGTCTTTAAGGTGTTTGTGGGTGGATCTCAGTTCTGGCGGGGAACGCGCGTTGCTGAGAGAAGGGCGTCTACGAATGTTGGCATTGTTGCCTACGGACTGCTGCTGCTGAGCAGTGGCTATGAGTGGTAGCCATACGAAGATGCAAAAGAGGGCATTGCCGAAAGTCAGGGCTGTTGCTGGGGGCCTTCGACGGGCCATGCTGTTTCATGGATCAAAATCCAGCTTTGTCGAGCATAAGCTGGAGGAGCGGGTAGGATGTGACTTCAGTGTCTCGCAGCGCCCATGAGAGATGCCAGAGAGAAGAGGAGGTTGATGGATGGCGGACTGATGGACGTGGTGGTGAATTTGATCAGGGGCATGCACGTCGTGTGCGTGGATGTGGGCTGGGTTGCTTTTTGTGGAGCACGACGACTTCGCGCGTCCCGAGTAGCGACCGTTGGGTTGGAAGTGCACGAGTGGTGGGGTGAGATCGAGAGTGACGATGGAGGCTGGAACTTGCAAAGCAAAAGTCGTCCGTCTGCTTCGCGGCGAAGAAAGAAATACTGGATGATGACTGTGTGTGGACAGAAGCGAGGTCAGATCAAGTTACGCCTGCTTATTGAGGGTCGTCAGCGCAGCCTGCTGCTCGCAAGCCGCCCAGCTCTATTCGAGACGCTTCGACTGTAAATCCCTTGCCGACGCCCAAAGCCCTTGCCGAGTCTCGTATGTGCTCAAGACTTCAGGAAGGATCACCCAACACTTTCTCGCCTCCAGCTATCGTTTTCGTGAGCTTGAAGCACTCGTCTTGAGCAAGTCCAACACTGCCTGCCTCTTTTGATTGCCAACTGCGGTCTAGATTGTGCTTCCTCCGGGGACGATCCAATTATTTTTTCGTGCATTCTCGTGGTCCCCGCTTTCTCAGAGACGAGACCCTTGCGGATCGGATTCGGGTCGCGCGGAGAGTTTTGCCGGTCCATCTTATCTTATCCATCAGTTCATCATCTAACCCCGCTCTCTGCTAACCAACTACTCACCTCTTACTAATCTTGGTTCATCCATATTCAGATACTATCAAGAATGGCTGTTCCAGGACGTGAAGTCGAGTGAGTCATGCTCAGCAGTATGTTCGTGTCTGCGTTTAATCACGACTCCACAGTCTGCCCACGCTTGCCCGCCACCTCGTTGAACACGGGCCAGTAAAGACGCTTCGTACAGAACGACGCGTGAGAATCCTCATCAACGGCGCTTGCGTAGCGGACACTCTCGGTACAACAGGCGCGTTGTTCGTGTGGGAGCACGAATACTACCCACAGCTCTACTTTCCTCGAAGCGCTTTGGTCAAAAATGTACAAGGCTACGACATCGTCTATGAGGATCATCAAGACGTCAAGGGTGATCATAATCAGATCATCGCGAACACACTCAAAGTCAAGGTGACACGTAAAGCTGACAACAACATGAAGGAGGTCAAAGATGGGTTTATCGTGTTCAGCGACGGTCTTGCTGGCAAAGCATCTGAGCTCAGTGGCATGCTCAAAGTGCAATTCAGCGCTGCAGGTGATTGATTTCCACTTTTTTTCATTGTGGGCTGCATGCGGTCCTAACTTCATCTAGATCAATGGCTCGAAGAGGATACTCCCATGTTCGTGCATCCCAAGGACCCCTTCAAGCGCATCGACGTTCTGCAGTCCACACGAGGAGTGAAGGTAGCTGTGAATGGCAAGACCGTCGCAGAAACCAGTACCTGCATGCAGCTTTACGAAGGGGGACTTCCGATCCGATACTACATGCCTCTCACAGCTATCGACAATTCAATATTGCGGCCCAGTGAGACAAGGACCCAATGTCCATACAAAGGGGAAGCCGAGTATTATGATGTCGTCGTAGGCGACAAAACTTACAAGGACATCGTGTGGTACTACACTCGACCAATCACAGAATGTGCTGCAATCGCCGGTCTGTATTGTTTCTACAATGAGAAAGTGGACATGTGGATTCAGAATGGAGATGATTGGGAGAAGCTTGGCCAGGAAAAGTCCATCTTCAGTTGATGGAGATCTATGGTTCCACGTATGTGACTAGTCCAATACCAACGTACCATACTCAGGTGCCTGTCCAACCACTCCAACCTCAGCGACATACTCTTGCCAATCACTCAGAAGCTCGGCAAGCTTCTCCTTATTGTCTCCTGAAATGTCGTTGAGTTCTCCTGGATCAGCTTTTAGGTCAAACAACTCCCACTTATCTGGACCGTAGGGGGCAGGAATATAGGTTGCTTTCAAAATTCCCTTTCGGACCGCTAGTCTTCCGAAAAGCTCCCATCCCACAGCTGAGTTCTCGTCATGAATTTGGGCTTTTGCAGAAGTAAGATATGGTACCCATGATTTGCCGCGGACAGGTGCGACTTCATGTCCCTTGTATGTTTTGCCTGGATGACTCGCCCCTGCCAGCTGAAGCAGAGTCGGGTAGATGTCCATGACAGTGGCAAAAGAGTGCTCAATGTTGCTTTCTTGAGACTTTTGGGCAGTCAATGCAGGATAACGCAAGATGAAAGGCACGCGAATGCCACCCTCCGACGAGAAGCCTTTGTAGAGTCTAGAAGGTGCAGTGGACGAGTTTGCCCATTGAGGCCCATACCAGACATAAGAGTTGCCGCGACCGATATTGTTAAGGCTGTTGTCGTAGTACTTCTCGACGTGAGCGAAGATATCACCGGCGATGAGCGGCAGAGCTTCCATCAACATGCCCTCGGCTCCATTGTCAGACATGAAGAGTATGAGTGTGTTGTCGAGATCTCCAGTCTTCTCTAGCTGCTCAATTACACGTCCGATCTGGTAATCCATCCTCTGCACCATGCCTGCAAAGACTTCCATTGTTCTCGAAGAGGTCTTTTTCTCGTTTTCCGTGAGTGTATCCCATGGCTGAGACATCATTCTTCCTGTTGGTGGTGCGACTGTTGGATGCGGTACTGCATGTTCAGGTACGAGGCCTAGCTCCTTGAGTTTACCAAGTCGCTGGTCACGAAGATGCTCAGGTCCATTGTCGTAGACACCACGATAGTCGTCAATATCTGCCTCTGGGGCTTGAAGTGGCCAGTGAGGCGCCGAGAATGCCAGATATGCAAAGAAAGGCTTCTCAGGATCATCTTGCTTGTGGTCCTGGAGATATTCGATGATTTTGTCTCCAAACCGATCTGTGGAGTAGAAGTCCTTGCCGAGGTCCTTTGGGGCGATTGCTTTGTCGTCCTCAACATAGAACACAGTTGTGCTCTTCAGGATATTTGGTTGGTTGTCTCCCTCCTCAATCTGAGGTTCATAACCATAGTGATTGGCCGCACCAGGCAACAATGAGTAAGATCGATCAAACCCACGCTTGACAGGCCAGCGATCACGGGATAAGCCAAGGTGCCACTTTCCAGACATGTAGGTCTTATATCCATAATCTTGCAAGACCTCAGATAGAGGAGCCACGCGATCATTCAGGTATCCTTCGTAACCAGGTTTGCCCTTCTGAAACTCTTGCAAATTCTCGTTCATGGCGCCAATGCCAGCAATATCTACAAGACTCGTCAGTATTGCGATGGAAGATCTTACACATGTTACTGCTTACGGTTGTCAGTGCCACTAAGCAGCATGGACCTAGTAGGTGAGCATGCTGCGGCCGCGTGGAAGTCGGTAAATCGTAGTCCTCCATCGTATGCCAATCTATCAATGTTTGGTGTCTTGATCTCACTACCAAAGGCACCGACATCCGAGAAACCGAGATCATCTGCGACGATTACAAGGAAGTTTGGACGCGACATGACGACGATTCAATCCTCAGTGGAAACAGGAGGCACAAAGCTAGGCGGATGCCTCGCAGTGATATGGCCAAGGAGTCTAGGGCTTCCTGGCAATACGGAGCTCGAGTATCCGGCCTCCGATGGTTATCCATTGCGTGTCCCACAACTGTAGGATCGATCTTGAAGGGCCATTTTAATTTGATACTTGCGAGAAGAGGCTAAGAACGTTGATTTTGTTTTCGAATTACGAAACAGAGAGGACGTAAGACGCCATTCCAAAAAGGGAGATGGCGCTGCGTGGGGAAGAACTGGGGAGCAACCTCAACTTCTAACTCTGTTCTTTCTTCTCACCATGTCTTCCATCGATGTCAGCAAATCTGGAATCATTGTGCACGAAGCATCGAGAGCTGTGAAATTCAGCCATAATTGTGTCCGTTCACGAAGGAAAAACTTCTTTGTATTGAATCTCAACTGCCTATCTTGCAAACATCACGACTTTCAACGCTAAAATGGCATCATCGACTTCACGTGTCAACGAACAACTGCAGACACCACCCGCTCGTTCCTACTCGACGACTCCATTATCTGTATTGATATATTTTGCCCAATCAACGAACCAAGGACCCACAAACACAAGACACTCATCGCTTTTGCCATGATTGCCTGCAATCACATCATTCCTATAGGAGGACCTACCATGTTTGGCCTGGGGGATAGGCCTCACATCTCCATGAACAGCTACTGTCAAGACAATGATGTATTGCAGCATCTGTGAAGCAAGTTGCGTGCTAGATGTAGCACATGCTGTATATACATATACCATGACTGCACTTCTTTGCGACTCGATTATCGTGGTGTCGTCTCATCGAACAGAGGGCCAACAATCTCTACCCCTTGTTGAGTACCGATGTTGATGCCGTTCCTCGGAACATATCGCTCTGCCCTCAGCACATCCACATTTAGGATCGCTACCAATAAAAATACAGACGGCTAAATCGATTTTTTCGCCCTCTCAAGAATAAGTTGATCGGCACAGACAGTTGATATCAGTTATCAATCACTGTCTTGCCAGTCCCCCTTTCTCGATCTCTAGTAGCCTCACTGCTCTGTTTTCTTTCCTGTTTTACTCCGCTTTCATTACCGCTTCCAGGAAGCTAATCATGGAGAAGTACCCAGAGCAGACAATTTTTCCTGATGGGAGTACATCTGGAAGCGATGAAGTTCCTACCGGTACGGTGGACTGGACACAAGATGAAGAAAAGAAGCTTGTCCGAAAGTAAGCAGCAAACCTAGACTTGCATCGCCAATCGCACTCGCTAAACGTGAAGCAGACTTGACTTCACCGTCCTACCGTTGTTGACTATGGTCTTTTTCGCACTTCAATTGGATCGCGGCAACATCGGAAGCGCCCTCAACGACAATTTCCTGAAAGACGCAGGAATCACACAATACCAATACAACATCGGTCAACAGCTTCTCTCCGCTGGTATCGTCATTCTCGAGATCCCTAGCAATCTTTTGCTCTACCGCTTTGGCCCTCGGGTTTGGATCTCTAGCCAGATATTCGCATGGGGCCTAGTCGCAACATTCCAAGCCTTCCAACATGGACTTGGAGCTTATCTATCAACAAGACTCTTACTGGGCCTTTGCGAAGCAGGATTTATTCCTGGAGGTTTGTACACTCTCAGCTTGTACTACAAGAAAGAAGAGACCAGCAAGCGTTTCGCCATTTACTTTTTCGGCAACAATTTCGCCAGTGCATGTACTGGCTTATTGGCTTATGGAATGTGAGTAACCACACTCTCAATATCTTTTGTTCTTATCGATACTGATTTGTGCAAGTCTTCACATGCGCGGTATAGCAGGTCTTGCGGGTTGGAGATGGATGTTCCTCATCGAAGGTATCTTCACCATACTCTGCGGCGTCGTCTTCCTTCTCTGTATACCTCTCGGTCCCCAGAACCCAGCAACACTATTCGGATACCGCTACTTTACCGAACGCGAAGAACATATCCTTCGTCAACGAGTCCTGCTCGATGACCCAAGCAAGGAGAAGAAATCACATTCGATCTCGAAGAAAGAGTTGTTGAGCGTTCTTGGCAACTGGAAGATATACCCTCACGTCTTGATCTCACTCTGCGGTATCGCTCCCGCCACAACAATGTCCTCCTACGCACCCTCTCTGGTCAAAAACTTCGGCTACGACAGACTCAAAGCCACAGCCATGGTTTCCGTGGGTCCTTGGATTCAAATCTTCCTCAACTACCTCTCTGGCTATCTCTCGGACAAAACCAACCGCAGAGGCTATGTGATCCTAGGTGGTTTGCTGATGTGGTGGGGCTTCTGTCTAGGCTCATTGGTTCTAGCAGATACGACTCAAAAAGAAGCCAAATACGCCATGCTCGTGCTCGCAATGGCCTCAAGCACTATATGGCATCCGGTTAATGGATCTTGGCTTTCTATGAATGCCAGATCGCCTGCTGAGAGATCAATCACAATGGGTAAGCGGTTTCCCCTTATGTCTCCCACTCTAAGCAAAACTGACAAGGTATACAGCTATGTTCGTTTCAGCAGCCAACCTGGGAGGAATTATCGGTGGACAATTATTCCAGGCTGATGATGCACCTCACTATAAGAAAGGTTGGACGGCGATAGTCTGTTTGATTTCCGTGTCGATTGCGGCTAATCTGTTCGCTAATGGTCAATATCGTATTTTGAACCGTCGGGCGAGAAAGCATCGACGAGATGAAGCTTCTGATGAAAAGAGAGGTGATGAGAGTCAAAGACTTACTTGGATTCTCTAGATAGTTGATTTTACTATATGATTGCTTGATCGATCAACAATAGGACAATTGTATATGATGCTATAAGCAGTTCTTCGAAGAGCTCGTTATCAGAAGTCACTAAAACTCACGTCAAGTCACTCTTTCTTTCCTCAAAGGCTAAAGGACAGGAGTAAAGTCTCAAGACACGCAACAAGGTCGATCTCACAACTATGTTTTCAACGCATCAGAGGCCAGATCATGATAGAAAGAACTTGCATATCAAATGCATCATTTGGTACGACAGCTGCTACCGGGGTATCTCTAGTATTCATCCTCGTCTTCGTCCTCATCAACCTCGTCTTGATCTCCACTACCCTCCTCATCGCCGTAGACGTTGAAGTAATCCATACCAGTCTGAGGAGCACCATCTTCACTTCCACTCTGTATGGGAGAGAATCCTCCATTAGACGTGGAAGCGCCTTCAAAGCCTTCGAATCCTTCATTGAGATCATGGCCATCGATGCTGTAGTCATCGGGTTCGATTTCATCGTCAACACTGCTACGGTCGGATGAACCGACTGATGCTGCGGCGGGACTGGGATTGCGGATACGATTGCGTTGGGCTTGGAAGAAAGCAGCTTCGGTATCTTCGTCATCGGATATCTCGATGGGAGGTCGTGAGTTGCCGTCTGCTGTTGTGGAGCTTTCGCTATCGCTGTCATCGCTATCGATGACCAAGGGACGTGGTCGACGTGCTAGGACGGGTGGCTGCGATCTACGCGATGCGGGCTGCTGGCGGAAATGTGTTGAGATGCGTCTTGGTTCGTCATCGCTATCATCGCTGTCGGAAGCTATGTGATGTACAGCTCGGCGGCGTATAGGTCGTATTTCTTCTTCTTCTTCGTCATCGTCATCATCGTCGTGAATCGTGTATACAGGAACCTGAGGACGATGGAATTGAGGATTGTGGCGCACACCGTCAGAATCGGAGTCAGAATCTGAATCCGAGCTTGATTCAGAATCCGAGTGGTCTTGTTGTTCGTGTCGATGGCGGTTTCTCGGTCTAGCTGGTGTGCGCTCTTCGATGGTAGGTGAGCTGATGGTCATAGCGGTAATCTCGCCGACATCTCTATCGTCCAGGAAGTCATGTATTGAGCCGGATTCATCATCGTCTTCATCTTCCTCATTCAAGTCGTGGCCCATGTCTTCGTCTTCTGCTTCGCTATCCACAATGCGGTGTCTTCTTCCGTCACGAGCGAATTGCTCGAAAGGCAGATTTCTGGGTAGTCGACCGCTTCGTACGAGAAGTCGCCATAATTCTCTTTGCGCGAGGGCTTCTTCTTCACTTCCTAGGTCCGAGCCGAAATCCAGATGCGGTTCTCCTTCGCGAGCTTGTCCGTCGAAGTCTTCGTCGAATTCACCATAGACGGCACTAGCGTCAAGGTCCTCGTCTTCAAAGTCGTCTGAGATTTCTTCGTTGCTCAAGCCTGAGAGACTGTCATCGTCACTGTCGCTTTCGCTGTCGCTATTGCGGTCCATGAGAAGGCCACACTGTCCACACAAGCCACGTTCGACCTCCCAGTTACATTCCGGACATCTGTCGATGTGGTCGATGGGGTCGTGGATAGGGTGTACTCTAGGACGACGAGGCTTGAAGACGCCCCTAAAGAGACCGCCGGTCCGAGGATCTGTGTTGTTCTTATCCTTGCGCACTAGATCCGCCTCTTCAAACTTCCATTGTTCGTGTTGTTCGATGGTTTCGCCGTCGGGTAGAAGATCGTGGCGACGCATGAAGATGTTGGCCATTTCCTTGATGACATAGGAAGGAGCTGGAGGCTGGGTTATGACGTCGCGGCAGTTGGGACATGTCTTCTTCTTGCTGGTGGCGAACCATGTGCATAGACAGCTGTAACAATATGTGTGGCCGCAGGAGATAACGTAGGGTTCGTACAGTAGACGCTCGCAGACTTTGCAGGTAATGAGTTGTCGCAAATCGTCAAAGTCGCCTCGAAGTATCTGAAGCGTCTAGGTGAGACAAAGTTAGCATGCAGAAGTGGGTCGAGGTGAGATGTTGGATACCTGAAGCTCTTGTGATGGAGGGGCGTCGACGGCAGGTTTCACGAGTACCTCCTCAGTGATGGTATCCATATCCATCGGTGGCTGGACAGCTGGAGTATCATCAAACGGAGACGTCTTGGCCCTCTTCCTTGAACCTTCGTCACTCATGGTTGAACGGTCGCGCTTGAGTGTTGGCATGTGTGGCAGGAAGTCGTGTGGCCGGCTTTGATCAACAAATGCCGAGCTGATGGTGGTTGCTGAATCTTTGTAGGCTCCTGAACAGCGTCACGTCGATAGGCCCGGAAGACACCGTGGGGAACTCTGTCGACCTTCACTCTACCCAGTAAGCACGACCACGTCCTTCAGTTGAATATGTGATAATGTTGCGCAAAGAAACTACCGCCTTTGAACTCAACCCTCCATTTCACTATCAAGAGATCGACATCTGACGCGCCAAGCCTGTCGCGGATGACCCTGGAGCTCGCGTCACTTCCATTCCGGGCTCAAAGTGGATTTTGATATTGGGGCAACCCTGTCATGAACATCATCAACTATCCGTACTGTATACCCTTACTGTTACTAACTGTGAGAATACACAAAGCAATTCTAGAGCCACACATGTATCACTGAGAGAGTTGTATGAGTGCTGTCCCAACGGGTCGTTGTTGACCTGAAGAATTCTGTATTCAACTTGGTGACTGACATTGCATCAGTCGAGCGAACTGGGCAAATATCCATGACCAACGGGAATCAAACCCGAACAGAGCTCCCAGCTTGCGAGTTATCTTTACGAACAAATATTAAACGGCAAGATGGGGTTCCACACGGGTACAGTGTCCAGAGAGAGCAGTTAGGTATACGCATTTTCGGAGGACATTTATTCGAGCTTTAAAAACATCCTAGCTTTTGACATGCAGTTCTAACACCGTCTACGAGTAGGACCGAGAACAAATCCACGCGTCCGATGCATATACAGACCGCAAGTAACCCGCAAGCAACGTCAACAGCACAATCTAACCATTCGCTTTCTTCTACTCTACTCTACTTGAGCGAAATGTAACGTTTTCCGCCGGCCACTCCTACTTTGCACACCTTAGATGGTGTCCGGGACAGTACTGCGGGCCACGTCCACGTCTTCAGGGCTTCCTTGATCAATGATCTTGCCATTACCCAAAGCCAGACAGTAGTTTGCACCTCTGACAGCTGAAGGGCGATGAGCAATCGTGATAACAGTGCTCTGCTTCATCTCCTCTCTCAACACACGCTGAATCTCCCATGCAGTGTCCTTGTCGATACTCGCAGTTGCCTCGTCCATGATGACGATTGCACTTCTCCTCAACACTGCACGTGCTAGACCGACGAGTTGACGTTGTCCTTGACTGAGATTCTTGCCACCAGTGTCGATCTGAGTCTGCAAAGTCCAGTTGTAGCTGCCACAAACACGAGCTATGACCGTCTCGCACTCGTCGTCTGCGTGTTGCTCTGTAGGATCAAGATTATGACGCAAAGAACCTGGAAAGAGGACTGGATCTTGGGCCAGGAAAGTTATGCGATTACGCAGAGCTTGCTTGTTGACCTTGGCAATATCGATGCCGCCGATAAGGATACGACCTGACCCTGGAGTCATGGTTGCGAGAAGAGACAGAGCTAGGGTGCTCTTTCCAGAACCTGTGCGGCCGATGACTGCTGTGTTTGAACCTCCCTTCAAAGTGAACGATACATCTGACAGAGCAGGATCAAGGTGGGGTGCATATCGTATAGTGACCTTTTCGAAGACAACGTCGCTGTCGTAAGATGGCCAGTATGCTGGGGGATCGATCTCACCAGCGGGTTCCTGCTCAAGGTGCAGGAGCTCTACAACGCGCTCCACGGATACGAAGTTCAGTTGAAGCTGACCATACTGCTTACACAAAGCATGGACTGCTACCACAAATCTACTAGCGGAAGCGAGTACAAAAGCAGTCAGTCCAGGAGAAAGTCCAGAATTGATCGCCAGTACGGTCAAGATGAATGTCGAGCATGCCGACAGAATGTCAAATCGATACATCAGCCACGCTTGCAAGGACCTAAGAGAATCATTAGCAAGACGAAGATACAAGAAACCAGGAAAACATACCAGTAAAAGTGATCCATGCCTTGGAAAGCATCAGTGACTGCTATCACGCGGTCTTGGAAGCGAGACTGAGCACAGAAGGCTCGAACAGTCGTCAGGCCATTCAGCAAAGCACCGAAGTTAGACATGAGAGGACTCAGGGAGACCATTTCGAGGCGTCTCAAGCTCTGGGAAGTGGGCAGGAATTGCATGAATATGAAGACAAACAGGAGTGTCAATGCAATGGAAAAGACAAGGAACAGAGGCGTGACGCCCGCTATCACGGCAATCGATGTGACCCAAGCAATCGCCTGCCAGGCAACTTGCAAGAACTGATCAGAAATATTGCCGTCGATAGTCGCCACGTCCGAGGTCAGTCTGTTCATCAAGCGTCCAATGGGTACCACGTCGTAATAGTGGAAGGTGGTATGACTGACCTTGTCCATGATATCTTTAAACATGCCCTTACCAGCAGTGTACGTGATGACAAGCATGAAGATCTGAGAGACAAGCAGTGCCAGAGACTCGACGATGATAAGGGCAAAGAACGCGATCAGCCAAGGATATACATTGACACCGGGGTCCGGAAATCGGGCAAATAAACGGGAGACTGGACTCGAAGAGGCGACATAAGAGTCAGCATGGAGTATCTGCAGGCTAAACACCTGCTCCACCTCCTTGTATGCTTCTCCCCATTCCTATTCCGATGGCATTAGCGTGTATACTTCTCAAGTCAGTTGCAGAAACAAGCATTACCTTAAAGAGCCACGACTCGGCTACCATTAGAAGACGGAATGTAGCAGCAGAAAGGATGACAAGGAACCACCACTTCAGACGACCAGCTTTGATGTATTGCCAGTATACTGCAGCCTTGACTCCTCCATGCTCACGGTGTTCCTCGTCCTCGAACTTGTCTGGTACAGCAGCGGACTCCTGTGCTTCATCAACCTTGACCATTTTTGCATCCTGAAGAGTCTGTGCGGTGTGCGAGTTTGTTGGGCTCAGATGCAGCGAATCTCCCTGCGATGTCTGTGCTGTTCCGTCGGTGATCTCGACGAGCTGTTCAGCCAAGCCCTTACACAGATCTGTGCGATGAGTGACCAAAACGACTGTTCGACCTTTGACAAGATCACCTCCAAAACACTTGGCGACGATGGACTCGGCAGTCTGCTGGTCAAGTGCGCTCAGAGGATCATCGAGAAGAAGAATCTTAGCGCGGCTGTAGATTGCGCGTGCCAGAGCAACTCTGGCTTTCTGTCCTCCCGACAAACCTATGCCATTCTCTCCAATACTAGACAGGTCCCCATGCTTGAAATTAGCGAGGTCTGCAGTCAGAGCACAGGCTTCGAGAGTTTGCTTATACCGTACGTCATCGTATGGAGACGAGAACAAGATGTTGTCACGGATACTCATACTTTGAAGCCACGGCGCCTGAGCACAGTAACCGATGGGAGCGTCTGGCTTAATCAGCTCACCATCATGAAGATCCAATTCCCCAAGTAAGGCCTGCAACAAAGCACTCTTGCCTGCTGCAACCTGGCCAAACACTATGGTAAGGCCTGGTGGGAACGAGATTGTGAGGTTATGAAGGACATTTTTTGAGAGTCCTGGCCATGCAAAAGTGGCAGCCCTTAGCTCAAGAACATCGGCAAATGTCGAAGCAGAGTTGTCATCTGCGGTCTTGTTTGGTTCCTTCATGAAGGCCTCAATACGACCCACAGCAACCGACGCGTTGAGTAGTACTGTTATCAGTCCCGGTATCTCTCTCAGGTCACTTTGCAACATGTTGAACAGTTGCAAAGCAGGAAAGGCAATGTCGATGCGCAACTCGTGGCCAGCTAGAGCTGTAAACCCGTAAAAAGCCGCGACTGGCAGCAAACCACTGCCCAGAATGTTGACAAATCTGATAGCATTGGTCCAAAGATAAGTGATGACTTTGAGATCAAGCTCCGATTGCCTGGCTTCTAAGATTCTCTCGAGCCAGACAGGATGCCAACCATACCATCGAAGGTGACGGATTGCTTCCACATATGCAGAGACCTGCTGCAGCTTGACATCCGTAGCCTTGCGACGAAGACGTTCCTTTTTGACAAGGATGCTGGCGAATATGCCATTCAGAATTTGGGCGATAACAACGACAGCAACTCCAAGCAGACACGAGGGGCCGAGCAAGTTCCATACCAAGCACAAAGACAATATCATGCCCAGGGGTTTGTTGATCAAGGTCTGGAACTCCCAGAATCGTTGGCTTACCTATCAACATAAGTCAGTACGGGGATTTTGAGAAATTTGGTAAATCTTACCTCATAGACGTCTCCACGCATCAAGTTGAGAATTTTGCCCATAGAGGCTGGCGCATTGTCCTCGGTAACAGGAGTCGACTTCTTGTTACATGAAAAGGGTAATCCAGCACGAGTCTTTTTGAGAATTTTGGACAAAAAGGATTGTTTCTCGTTCGTCTTGCTGGTGTGGCCGTTCAGGAGCCTGGAACTTTCATCTCCTCCATCTTCGCTCGACGGCATGTCACGATCGGAATCCTCGTTCTGAGTCTCATCAATCTGATTTTCAGTCTTGTCTTTGATGGTCGCGACGATTTTTCTGTTGAGTGTCTTTTCATACAGCATCGTGATCATCTCTCCTCGAGACCTCTCGTACGCACGTCTGCCGAACCAAAGACTGAAAACTGCGCTCTGCGCAGCAACTAATCTCACGACAAGGATGAGAACAGCAAAAGATATGGCAGGCTTTTTCTCAAACCTTAGATTGGCCATAGCCTTGAGTAGTTGCTGGAGTAGTATGGGCGCAGAGTAATTGGCCGCCAGCTCCAGTATAGCAAGCACCGTGAGTAGAGCAAGATCAACCCAGTTCGCACGTAGTAGTCGCCTAACGACTGTTCCATGGAGCTCACGGAATGCGTCGTGCAGGTGACGATGCTGGAATTCATATCCGAGAAACCAAACATCATCCTCATTCAGCTGTCTTGTTTTGCCAACCGAGATGAGCGAAGACATCCATGATACGGTCATCCATTGCCAGAGAGTGAGACTGTCTTCCGGGGACCTGAGCTCTGCAGTCGGAGGACTAAAAGGTTGACATATACCCTCTCGTGATAGCGACGGGTCTCGAAGTGGCAAATTGACGACAGCGGCGATACTGATCAGTGAGATGCTAATATTGATGACGTGAATGGCAATAACAAGATTGTAGATTCCAGAATCCCATATGTCAGGCTCCAATGTGGAGGCAAGTGTTGAAACTTGCAATACGAACAGGGTAGTGTAGATCAGAAGCAGGAATATCGACGCCGTTCGCGGCCTGACTAGTATCAGGTGGAAGGCGGCGATAGCCAACAGTATAGAAGGCGATGCGAGCTTGAGCAGAGCCTGCAGTACAAATCCAATGATTGCAAGGACAAAGAGAAGAATCGCGACCCACGGAAGACCTTGCTTCTTCTCTGGCACAGTCTCGTCGTTGACCTCACTGGGCTCCTCAATGAAAGGCTTCATCCATCGTGGCTGTCGAAGTAGAGAGATCATAACGGTATCTGACCCCCCAATTGTTCAGGAGATGCCAAATCTGGTCGAGGGGACTCGGCTCCGAAACCAGGAAAACACGAATGACTTGAAGGATGATTGACGTGCTCGAATTGCGTTGTTGGAAGGCGGCTTGGCGCAGGCGCGTACTTGCGTATTTCAGGCAGACATCGATACCTGTTCAGGCAGGACACATTTAAGGTCTCAAAAGACAGCTTCGAACATCTGGAAGGTGCTACTCTGGAGTCAAAGCCAAGTTGTGTATCGAAGCGGGAGTCCAGTCGTCACTGACGTTTGGCTCGTTCGCATCGAGGCGATTGACTTCCGGGCCGAGATCGGCCGAACTAAACCCTTGAGTTGGGAACATAAGATGGACCAGAGCGCATAGTGTGATGATAGAGAAGGAGAATCCGTGTACCAGGTCATCATTCATCGAACAACCAACGTCCTTGTGTTCTCGTTGGAAAATTTGGATATCCACATCTTCACAAAGTACCCGAACACACTTATGCAACATGGTGCACGGACTTGTCTGGTGTATACCAGTGGCTATGAACAGTTCGTGGATATATCAAGAGTGTACAGACACGCACAAACGAGTATTCCATCAAGTTCGTCAATCTGAATATATGGGTACCAAGAGCCCGTTCTATTCGTATTATGCGTTTGAACAATGCAGTCTCCTGCCGGAGTCAATCATTGTTAGTAAAGGTCTTGCGCAAAGCCATGTCTTATCATCACTTAGAACGTCTTAGAACGCTCGAACAACAGAAAGTCTCAAAGCCTGTGTAATTGACAAGTTCAACACCGAGACCAAACTCCTTAATTAAGATCAAACAAGATTTCCGAAATGCGATCCCAATCCAGTACCATTTCGACTCCTCCACATACGCATTCTTCCGTTACAAGAGAGTTCAGCTATGCGCCGACCTCAAGCAGAACCTCGAGTCTCAGGTCCCATCACGCCCCTTCGTCCAGAGAAACATCGAGCACACAGTTCCACTACGCACCCCTGTCATCAACAACCTTCCTGTCTCATTCGCTTCACCACCCGCCGCCTTCTTCACCCAGCTCAAAACCAACATCTTCGCACTCCTATTCATCAGATCACACCAGCCGACCAGGCTATCCAGTCACAACTTCCAGCCTCACATCACCATACACTACAACAGGGCCTGCACAAAGCTTGGCTCCTATAGACACGTTACCGCCAGGGCCATCAGTCGGACTCACAATCGCGGTACCAGTTCTGATAGCGCTACTGCTGACTGCAGCTGTAGCGATCTGGCTTGTGGAAGTCCAAGGCCAGGGACAGCCCAAGAGGACAGGACACAAACAAGAAAGCAGAGTCGAGAGTCAGCCAGAGTTCATCTCGGGACCTGTTGGTTTGGGCATCAGCCTCTACCCCACAGCGAAAGAAATGAACAGCCTTGGACGCGAGGTAAATGCATTGAGTTGGTTCGACAGAGTGATGGAGAGACTGGTAAATTTTGCGGTGTTCAGATCGAGGACTGAGCTTGGATCGGACGCCGGAGAGAATTTATTGCTTCCAATCCAAAAAGACAAAAGAGCGGAAAGCAATACGAGTAGATTTCAGGTTGACACCGAGCTTGAGTCAATCCGAGGATGCTAGAGCCATAGGACAACGTAGACTCAGTTGAAGAGAATCGCTCCAGAACTCCCTGATCCTTGTCACAGACCTCGTGTACATCTGTCCATTGAGAGCGGATACTCGCATGCGCTCCTCCCGAAGATTATGCCCGCACCAAATCCACCTCGCCTATCAATAGCTTCTTCGACATCAACTCTGCGCCAGGAGGCTGATATTTCCTGCCACGAGAGGGTTGATCAGACAGCGAAGAATGGGAAATTCTCAAGCGGGCAATTCAACAGCAGCGTCTCGGTCTTTCGCTCGCTGCTCCTGCTCCTGGGCGTATTGCTTAATGCCGGTGACCCAGTTCTCGAAATTCTTCTGGAGTGCCTGACCAAATTTCCACTTGACAATTCGAGCGGCAAGTCCTGAAAAGGTCTCCCACGACCTGTAGATACATGTGCCGTCACCCAGATCCTCGATTTCGTTGACCCTCTCGGCGACCAAGATAAATTTTGGGGTAAAGCTGCCCTTGTTGTCCATGATCCAGTTTATGCGGGTGATTCTACCCGGCTGGAGGCCAGACGGACACTCATCGACATGTGTGACTATCTCTTTGCTATTGGTGGTCATAGATGGAGTCATGTTGACTTCAAAGCTCAGAACCATGTCTTTTTTGAGCCCGGGGTCGATAGAGTCGGCTTCGTCATCAGACCGTTTGACGATTGTTACAGAAGGCACAAAGCTGTTCCAATCTCCCCAAATGGACGTATCAATCAGAGCATTGTAGACGGTCGAAGGCGGGGCCGTCACTGTTGCTTCAGCATATGCACTGAAGAAACCTCCGGATGGAATGGTAGGCGTTGGCCTCGGAGTACTCGTATCGGCCATTTAGAAGATGGTTTAGAAAATTAAGCAAGGGAGTGTGGTAACAAGAGAGAAAGTGAGAAGCACCCGGACGGTGATGGAGGAGAAAGATGGTGATGTCAAGACTGGGGTGAAGGAGAGAGAATGAAAGCAGGGCAAGATAGTCAAGGTAGGCTGGCGATATTATAAAGCAAAGTCATAGCAGTAAAGGCATACGAGTACACGTACATGATGCTCATTTGACGATAGACGGTTACATGTCAGCAGGGTCGCACATGGTTGTCTGCACGGAGGTGGGTGAAGTTCGTCCATTTGGGTCCAAGCGCCATCCACATCGGACGCGCTGCATGGACTATCCGAAGACCATCTTGACCCATCCATAAGTCTCCCAACCTTGTCCACACACACCCGCCCCTCTCATATTGTAGCCGCATCATGGCGAGCAGTCCTCCCGGAAGCGCGACTTCACCGCCTCCCGGTGGCCCGCAGTTGGCGCTACCAAAGAAGCGCCCTTCAATCACCGTGCCCGGCCAGCCTCCGTCATACAAGCGTCGCAAAGCATCGAATGCCTCCAGTTCTACCCATCCTCTGCGCCAAACCTCTTTCCCGCCGCCGGATCGCCCAGGACGAGAATACAGTCCCGACACGCAAGCTTCTCAAGCCGCATACTCGCCAATCTCGCGCCGTAGCGATAGTCTCGACATCGACGATGAGATCAACAGTGTTGTGAGCGGTCGCACAGGCACCGGCGGCAACAAGAAAGAGCGCCCGAACAAGGGCAAGAAGGTCGGAAAGGTCGGACGCCCCCCAAAGAACCGTGGCGATACTGCTAGTCTGATCGACGGCGATGGTGGCCGTAAAGGCACTTCAACCAATGCCGGCAACAACGAAGACGGTCCCGCCGATGATGCCAACAGCGAAGACGAAGAAGACGGCGGCGACGATGTCAACACCCTGGAAGGTGGTAAGCTCACCAAGGCTGCCATGGATGCCGAGAAAGAGCGCAAGGCCATGTTTAGCACACATATCCACCCCGCCCATGCCGAAATCTACGAGACGTGGAATCGCATACATCTGAAGAAGGAAGTTGTTCGCCGTCTTGCCAACCAGACCCTTTCACAGTCAGTCCCTGCCAGCGTGGTGACTACCATCAATTCTTACACCAAAATCTTTGTCGGTGAGATTGTTGATCGCGCACGCGAGGTACAGAAGGAATGGCTTGCTGCCGCTGAGAAGTTGCCTACGGACGACAAGAACGAGGAAGCCTTCGGTAAGGATGGCGAGGGTGAGCCAAGGGTCAGAGAGCGTGATAGAGGCCCTTTGCTACCTGACCACCTGCGCGAGGCCCTCAGAAGATACAAATACGACAGATCTGGAGGCACTGTGGGTTTCACCGGCATCAGTCTGGAAGGCAGGGAGTCTGCTGCTGTTAGAAACGGCGGCAGAAAGCTCTTCAGATGAGCGATGAACTCCTGCTCCACGCGACAAGCACATACAACCTCATCTCCCTCGTGAACAGCATAGTTCACCAGCGATATTTACGAGCCCTCGCCTCTCTATTCATCAAAGACAAGCAGCCGGCGCATGCTGATTTTCGGAACATCCCAGCACAATGCTATCAAGCAGTGACCCTGCCAAAGATACAGATGCTGCGACCAGTTCATTATCAAGGCTGCTGGAAAGGCCAGCTTGAGCCCATAACGCGCCTATCGATATGGCAGGCCCACTATGGCGCTCCTTCCCATATCACTTCAAGACTAATTTTGCTTGGTCAACCAGATGAAGGCCGAGATCAGGCAGGTACACTCGTCATCACTTTCCCTAGCATGAAACATGGCCGACATTTAAAGAGAGCAATTGGGACTTCGCCGCTGAATTCGTTAATCTAGTTTCATGAGTCGTAAACATGCCGTGAAAGCTCAACAATCAGAACCCGCTTTTCGTCCCTCGAACCATTGTCCTCGTATCCATCTTGTTCGTCATGTTCAACTCTGTCTCGGTAGCCACACTGCTCAAGACGCCCAGGTGCAAAGGTTTCGACATCGTCCTTGCCTGGTCTCCAGACTCGAGATCCATCGTGTCGTGTTTTTCAGCTTCGCTATCTGGAGGTGAGTCTGCCGCTGTTTTCGTAGACCCAAAACAATTAAGCGTACTGCCGAGAGATGATTTGCAGAGCTTGCTGGTCGAGCGATCGCATGTTGATCTGCTTTGCAACACGATTTTTGTCCTGGCAGAACATCTTTGGAACAGCGGTCGCAATGTCGCCAGACTCGCAGCAATGATTCCCAAGGCGCCCTCGATCATTGTCCAGATCAAAGGCTTCATACTTCTGCTGTAGATGTTGCCACCGGGTCCGATTTCAGGAATGTAGACGGTTCGTACGATACTGGCAATGCTTCCTACCACTGCGAGGAGCAGAATACCACAGCAAGACGCCTTTGCTGCCCGTGACATCTTGGTTTGGATCAGGAAATGGATGGCCAGTACCGGAAACACCCAGTCCGTGAGTGCGTTCAGTCCGCCATGTATGTATCCAGTGATACTGAGGATGCGGAACGAGACGCATTTGCCAGTGGCCTGCTTCATCACATAGTTCCCAGGTATGCCGCACTCGAATACTACGAGGAAGAACATCATGGTCGCCACGGTTGCGTAGACCACAACACTGATCCAGACGACGTATCGAGCCCAACGCACAATCAGGAATCTTAGGAAGAAAAAGGCCAGCGAGATCTTGAGCACGACGGTGCCGGCGATATAGAGGGCTTGTTCGGCGCAAATAAGCTGACATGACAGGTTAATATCTTTCAATCATGTTTCCGATGCCAGCACGGTAGTACCCACTTCTGCATATATCTCAAGATTTGCCAGGGACGCTGGTTTCGACTCCACATCTGCTAGCATCAACCAGACAGTGCACTCGCCGATGAAGATTGCCTGTGTTGGTTAGCTATGCGGTTCCATCTGACAGGGAAGATCTACTGACAAGCGCCAACAAGATGAACCAGTCATCCCATCCCCAGCATCTAGAGATCTTCGTTCGTGTCCAGACTCGCAGTGCTACGAGGATACAAGATATAGCGAAGAAAGTGCCATTGAGTGCTCTCATGAGCTCAAGTTTGCCAGCCTCTATCGAATACTGAGGTATCTGACTCATGGCTGCTGTTTACCGGACCGGATGGCAAATGGTCGATTGAAATTGGTGCTGATCGATACCTGAACAATCACCAGAGCCATCCCAAGAGGTCCGGACGATCACCTATATACGACCTACTTTCTTGAAGAAAAGAGAGGGCAAAGCACCATACGCACGTAACTCAAAATGCATTTATTGAGACATCGAGAACGGGAACGATCACCGCCAGACCTGGCAGCTGTCGAACACGTTTGGCGTGCTTTGCGTCTGGATTCAACTCCTTCACAGGCAGTAGGCAAGATCCCGCAACGGTCTTGACTCAAGGAACACGGCAAATTCTTGTAGCTCACCAACGGTTTTTGTCCTGGCCATCGAATCATTATTTAATTTGGCATCTTGTCCAGGTCTCGACTTATACATTAGGACATCACCAAACTCATCTTCAACTCTCTTTCTAACATGGCAATTGCAGAACTCCAAAATGATCAAGACATGGCAATTGTTGCACAGCAATCTTGAAAAACAAACGATGTGGCTTCGGAGTAGCCTATACTGCATGCCGAGACGTATTTAAATGTCGACGTTTTTTTCCGCAACGGTTATACACAAAAACATGCCGACTCCACAACCCTATTTGAGCATTGCACTGCACTTCACGCCTCGACTTACTATCACACGGAATACTTGCCCTTATTGCTAGGATATATCTGTTCTTACCGCTTGCGCCTTCGGCTCAACTTGTAGGTTCATGAGGACAAGATCACTACCGCGATTCTCGTGGATGGCAATCTGCCAGTGAACACCCTAAGGTTTATACTGTGTTCAACAGTAGCCGGCTGGACTTTCGGGCACTCATGCGATAAATGTCTGGTCTCATATGGACCTCCCGGGAAAGGATCCGATGCCTCGATAGACTTTGTTACTTTCTGTAGCTCTAATCTCATGCTTTATGCTGCAATAGCTTCTCTATACTGCAGTCACTTCTACTTCTACTATTCACTTGTCGACATTTGACCTCCTTTGTGATATCTCGCTAGACTTGTAGACGCTGCACCACCACGCTATCAGCATCTCTCGTATCCCAAGCCTCACACGCCGAACATCTCTCAACCACATGAACCTTCAGCCAACACCGTTATCCCAAACCCGTTGCCCAATCCACGGCTCCCACCCGCAAACCCATCATCTCCACGAGTTCATCTGCAAATCGTGGCTTGTCCACTGCCGTGAAGTACCAAAGTACCCAAACCAAAACAATCAGAAACCTCCGAGAGCCTTATCTTAGCACCCGAGAAATCAATATATAGATACCGAGGTGTGCCCTAGATGTGCCCTGTCTCAGAAGAGTTTACTGGTGCGGCTTTTGTGTGCCGGGAGAAAGGTGTGAGCCCGTGTGATGTGCAAACGTGCCCGGTGAGTTGGGCGAGGTCATTCGGGTGTAGAAGCGTTCGTGGTTGTTCGTTGTTGCTCCGGTGGGATGATGGGATGACGGATGAGGTTGTGGTTCACCATTTTCCGGATCTGTGTTGGTGGGTACAGAGAAGTGATAGCTGCGTCATGGTATGTCAAATACATTGGATGGGAACAGGGCTGGACTCCAAGATTGAGATGTCTACGTACACATGGTAGCGACAGGCTAAGTGTGTTGAATGGGTCAGCTGGGGAGTAACTTCAGAAGGATTTCGATATATGGCAATATGTCATCACTGTGCAGTACGAGGTGGTCTTTTACCTTCTGCAGAACCGACTCAGGACCTGTGAACAAAGGAGTGGAAGGGTATGGCACCAGCCAATGCTTGTTTCCCAAAGGGCGTCAGGTGACGTTGGTGACGATGCTGAAGAAGCTCTTTGATACGGACGATGCCGACTAACCTATGGAAGGAAGTTGTGAAATTGCTGTCAATGGAACCACTTTAAGCAGTTCTTTGGCATATGCTGCGGCGGTGGAAGCGGCGTAGGCATACCAATCGTCGCTCTTATGCGTATTCGCATAATCCGAGATACCACGAATGACAAGGCAAGGAAAGTTATAAAGACCAGCGGCCTCCATCTCAAAGCATAGAATGCCATGCTTGCGACGGACATCGTCTGCAAAGAGGGCATCCTTAACAACGCCATTGCCTGAAGCAATAGTAGCGTAATGAACTAGTGGTACGAGATCGCGTCTTTCGGGTCGTTTCTGTTTCCTTTGCACTTCGCAACCGGCGCATGAGCGAGCTCCATCGGGATGAGTATAAGCAGCCTCGAAGAGAATGTCGTCGGTGGGACGTGGTGCCAGCTCCTTCACGTCCTCATCATCAAGATGAGAAAGAAACGCTTTTCTCCGGCGTACTTGCTTTGCGACACTGACAGCAGCGCGTAACACTTTTGGAGCTTTGTCCAGGATCCCTCTATGCACAAAATCTTTTCCTTGCATGTATTTGCCATGGTCATATTGCACAACTCCAGGTCCGTTGTCGTCGGGTGCGCCAACGACCACATCGCCAAGTCGGACATCGACTTCTGGGCTCCAGATACCACTAGCGATTCCGACCATGAGGCAGAATTTGAGGTTTGTGAATGTGCGGCGCATGTCATTGGCGACCGTGGCCGCAGCAGCTCTTCCCGTACCAACCCCAGGCGGTCGAGCAATGACTACGTTATGAAATCTCCCTTCACCATCCACATCAATTTGTCCAAAGGTGTAGATGTTGTCGTCATCTGCTGGCAGGGGTATCGCGTCGTGAATCTTGTCCAGCATAAGCTCTGCTAGGTCAGCTTCGACCGGCAGAGCGCAGATCCAGCCGATCTGGTAGCCCTCCACAGCATGGCTCCGGCCAGAGTAACGGTGCCAAACTTCCGAAGCAGCTTCACTTTCGGAATCGTCGGCAGAGCCAGATATCTGTGTGAGTATGTCACTGCCTGTTTCGGGAACGGCTTCATTGGACTTCGCTGACTGTCCGTCGTCGGAAATCAGATCTCTTGGAAGAGAGAACGTCGCAATCCTTTCCATGTGGTTTGCGAGATGCAGAACGAAGTTGGGTATTTGTCTGACCGTTTCGAGACAGATTGGACACTCTTTTCGCTCGTCTTCTGTAGTACATCCAGATATACGAGACAATGCATCAACTTGATCCTGTGTCATGGCATGGTCTTGTCCTAGGTGACATTTCAGGCTCGCCTCTGTCAGAAAGGCAAGGGTACTGTGGAGAGCGCATTTCCATACACCCCGATGCTTCTTGTTTTCATGATCCACCCAATCGGCTCGTGAATCATAAAGACGATCTCCAGAAGAACAGTCAGCATAAGTGCAGACGTAGGGTTCTAGATCCCGGATCACATGTGCTCTACCCCTTGGTTTCAGTCATGCCCAGTCAAGGAAACGGGTACGAAGGCTCTAGAGGCCCATACACTGGTTTGAACGTACCTCCAGAGACGCTCAGACCCATGTCGTGGTGGGCAAAGCACATGGCAATAAGGACATACGAAATCTTTACCCTCTGAGGCCAGTTTGGGTGGCGGTGGCAAGCTGACGACGTGGCCTTCGAGATCTTGTGCTGTGGTCGCAATGGAAGCGACGGATTCGGTCTCCAAGCCTGCAACGTTAATCCCTGTAATGACCTCGGTTGCTTCAGTTGTGGTATAGATGGATTTCTCTAGGTCACTCCGCTGGTCAGGCTTGATTTTCTTGGATCCCTCACCGGGTTGTGCTCCATCATGAGCTATCTGAAACTGTTGATGTGCCTGTGGTGATTCTTCAGTAGCCGCCAACTTATCCGCATGCTTCGACCAGTATCGGAACTTTCTGCGGCGTGTAGTATTGGCAGTCGCCAGCCTCAATGCGATGAGTTTGCTATCAGAGACAAGAACGTCTGTCCGTGTAATCTTCGTACTGAAGTCGTAATCACAATTGGTTCGGTGCAGCCGGTCTAGTAACGTCTCGTCGTTGTCAATAGCTTTCGAACTTGCTCGCAGATTTCCAAGAAGTTCAAACACATGGTCGCGGTCAATATCGGCATAGAAATCGTCAAATAGCTCCAGACCGGACTCAAGATCAATCTCTTTGTAAAATCTGGCTCTTGACGGTCGTGTTTTCGAGTTTCGAATCTTGAACGACAAACGGTAAAGACTGTTCACCAACTCCACAACAGTGAGCACAAGAGAGTCTGTCGCAGTGGCTGCTGAATCAGGTGCGTCACTTTCGTCGTCAGATGGTAAAGATATAGCGTCGGAGGCATCATTGCTAGAGATGGCTACAATCGCACCTGATTTGGATTGTGTATCGACGACTGGGACAAGTAAGTTGCGCTGCTAACTTTGCTAAGATATGAGTTGAGGGAATGCTGACTGCGTAGAAGAGTTTCACGCAGTAGACCAAGGAGCGTAAGAATGGTTGAGCGGATAAGATCCGCATCACGAAGCCGCCATTCGAGAGCGCTATGACCCTTTGCGAGAGCTCCCAGATTTCCTGCCCACACTCTGACTCTGTCGAGCTCTTCTTGGAGGTCCAAGATGACACCAGATTCGGGTTGATCTTTGAGCCGCTCATTGACAAGACCAAAAGCATGCAGACATGCTTCTGTCGCGCCGCCAAGTGTGTTCATCGCTCGGGCAGCTTTGTAACGATGCTTCACCCGTTCACACTTCGTTTGGTGAACAAGTTATCGTGAACGAAATACACAAGAGTCCGGAAGTGAAAGGCAAAGAGGTCTCGTGCTGCGCAAGGACGGGTTCTAAACGAATGCCGGGCAGTGAGATGAACTCATCCTGCAAGCTGGCTGCATTGTGGCGTTGCATTGCCAGCGCGTCGCTATCTAGGGCCTGCTCCTTCCACAATGACGCTTCCTAACTCACGCAGAACGAGATCTTGTTGAAGACTCTGAACGAGCCTTCTCGAATGTTTGTTGATTGTCTGGATATAACGTCTACAAGGACGCGACGGAAGCACAAAAATCTACGTTGCACCTATACTGCATGTCGTTCCATGTGCATCTATCGATAGTGGCGCTTTTACGCCTGCATGTACACCGCGCTCCTCCACGACTCAGCCCCGGAGAGTAAGCGCTGGAGGGTAAGCTCTCAAGAGTCAGTACTTCTTCCGTCCAAATATCGTTTCTTCGAAATTACAACAGCCTTGGTCAAGTGGCAGCATGTCCGGCCTCGAAGTAGCTGGCCTTGTTCTCGCGGTCGTACCACTTTTCATCTCTGCATTTGAGCACTACGAGGCAGGTCTTCGACCCTTCCAGCGCTTCTTCAACCATGAACAAGAAGCATCTCGGTACAGGATCATACTTCTTGTTCAATACACGGAGTTCAGCCTGACTCTGCAATACCTATTGACTGAACTTACTGACCAAGATGAACTGGATGATATGATCACACGTGGCTACGGCGATCTGTGGAAGGATTCTCAATTGAACACGAAGCTCCAACGACAGCTGGGAACAGCTTATGAGTCCTTCCGTATTATTGTGGCCCAAATATTCGATGACATGGAGCAACTAGCTATGATATTGGACATACAGAGGCAGGGTCAAGTATGTGATATCAATGATGTTATACTGCGAGAACGATGGCTTATTCTTTAGGTTACAGGTCCGCAACTGGAGGCTTTGGTGACCTCTCACAAGCCAAAGCAAAGCTTGCCCCGTCGTTCTCCTCAATCGTTTCTACACACCTACGAGTTTCAGAAGAAGTTGAAGTTCAGTCACAAGGGCAGACGCATACAGCCACTGCTTGAGGCTCTGATGCAACACAACAGACAACTTCAGTCTTTTACTGAAAAGAGCAAGAAGCTGGCTAAAGCGAGATCCAAAGGTTCCAGAAAAGCCTTCAGTACACCATTGCACCACGTGCAGAAGGGCGCAGAACGACTCTATAAAGTCCTTAGTGGAACTTGGACATGTTCACAGCATGCAAGCCATGTCGTCAATCTGATGCTGGAGCCACGAGTCCAGATACCGCACTCGAATTTTCAGGAACCGGATTCGGTGGACAGCGTCGCCTTCCACCTAACCATACCTAATCTTATGTCCCCGTCCGTGTACCGTAGCATTCAGGTACACGTGCTGCATGACGATGGGACTGCCGCTGTTGTCCAAAGCAGAGTGGCTTTTGAGGCGAGCTCGCAAGCGACACCCCAGATAGATGTCACCAAACTGCCAACGGTCGGTTGCCTTTGCATCGCAATGGAGGGATCGCGGTCTCAGAAATGTGCTGGTTTCTGTGTGGACCATCAGGAACGACTACTAAGAGACTATCCACTATCACAAGAGCTGCAGGATCTGTACAAGCACCGTTCAGGAAGTTCCACAAGCCTCAAAGACGTTATCTCCAGACCTCCTACGGGAACCAGACGTCAAAAGCCTTTCAATAGCTTCCAAGCTTGTCTCCTTGGGTTGACAATCGCCTCATCTTTCCTCCAGCTGCGTTCGACTGCTTGGATTAGTGGTCAATGGCGATCCGAAGACGTGTATTTTGTACAGCGCGCGACATCTCTGGATGCGGCAGATATCGAGCGACCTTTCATACGGCAGACTTACTTGAGCCCTGCTGTTGGTCCTCTACAAGCAAACCCTGGCGGCATGGGCGTGACTGTAACACACATGGCTGTTGACGACAAATACGCCTTCCTCAAACTTGGTATTATGCTCTTGGAGATATTCGCCAGGGAGCCGTTCCCTTCTTCTCAAAGTCCAGCAGCTGGAGACCAAAGAATGGCTGATCTGGTCACAGTCAACAATTGGGTCGAACAAGAGAAGGGAAACATGACAAAAGCCTTCTATAATGCCATCTCTGCATGCATAAGTTGGTTCGCGCATCCAGGAGCTGATTTGCGGAACGATGATTTCAAGCGAGAATTCATCGATCAACTCATCATCCCTCTGAGAGATGAGTCAAAAATTTATGTCTCAGCGACGAGAACTTCGGGACCTTGACTTGAAACTTTGGCTTGTGGTCGTTGTCTCTGTCAAAACATGTTCTGCTGTGTATTCCGAGGTCATTTCGACATTCTAATCTCGCTTCTCATATGTAACACGCACAATAGTGTCAAAGTCACGCAAGAGCATAAACCAGCTGCCTGTTGCCCCCAATCACGTCCCGAGGGTTCTTCTTCGACACGGTGGTTGTTCCGAGACAGGGTCCAAGCTCCCTCTTGAGCCGCGAAGGATCTCCACAAGCCCTCCCCGCATGACATCAAGGTAAAGAATGTAGTCACTGTGACCACACCGTTTATGCAGCTGTCAATTGAAAGCAATCCGAGCAACACAGCAAACTCCTTCGTCCCTTTCCTCTCCACCTCTTCTCTTACAAAACCCAAACCAAATGCGTCCTTTTACTCCTCGCTACATTCAACAAACTGCAAACATCCTCAGCAGACCCGCAAGCCTACAATTCGCAAGAACTCAACCTTTGAACCAGACGCAAACAGCAGCCATGTCTTCCGGACTCAACATTGAAAACACCAACATCAAGACTGCACCTGGTGTCAGTCTTGAGGGTGATCAGAAGACGCTGGTTGGCAGTGTTCTTGATCTTTTCGCCGGCCGCCCCAGTCTTGAGAAGCTGCAGCTCTGGAAGGATGACGGTGTTTTCGAGGACCCCATCACCATTGCTCAGGGCCGCAAGCAGTACGAGGCACAGTGGGTAGGTAACTCCTCACCTCATGTCTCGTCTTATCAAGGCTAATACAGCATCCCTCCGCAGTACGGTCTTCAGTCAGCATTCAGCGAGATTGAGAGATTGAGCCACGAGGTCACATCATCTGGCAACCCCATCAGCATGAACATGAAGACCCGTTACGTCGTCAAGGGTATCGGCAAGGAACAGACCATCTCATCAGTGGTGAACATCTTCCACGAGGGAGGCAAGATTACCAAGGTCGAGGACAAGTGGGACGGCAAGCTTCCCGACGGTGCCGTCGCAAACGTAAGTTTTATCCAATTGCTGAATCCGTTGTGGTGGGCAAATTATACATGGGCTTGGATCTTCTACCTGTGGAGCTTTGTCTGGTGGACATGGCTGTGGCGGGTGAGAACCGCTTCGTTTTGTTCAGCCTCCAAGTCTGGTATCTTCAAACGACATTTGCTAATTCTTTCTTCCTTACAGGCATTCCGCAACCTCAACTCGGTCACAGTTCCCAAGATCATCAGCGTGCCCAAGAACAAGGAGGAGGATGCTGCCAGAGGCAACTAGAGACGTCTCGAGACTCCCCATCATGACACTGTATGACTAGCAGATAATCAGGAAATATTATTCATCATTGCTCTTCCTCTTCTGCTTCTGCCTGTACATGTCCAGCAGTCGCCACGTTCAAAATCTCATCTTCAAGCCCCGGCACATGTATGACCTCAACGCCAGCATCTTCCAGCTTTTTCCTCCCCTTGTTCTCACCCACAAACTTCTCAGGCTCTTTGACCCCGATATAAACCTTTCTGACCCCCTTGTGCTCCCCACTATTCCTCGTCGTCAACAGCACTCTTTCCGTACAAGGTAGATTCCCACTATTCCTCAAATCACAAGGTTCCATTGTTGTGTACAGCACTGTATCTTCAGGCATTATGGAGCCCACGTGTTCCTCTGAGATATTCATGCTTTGGGCTAGTTTGAGCAGTGCGCATTGTTCGGCGTGGGTGTTGCCGGGGAGTTCGAGTGTATAGCCTGTTGCGAGGATGGGGTGGGGTGAGGAAGGGGACACGAGGATGGCGCCGACGCAGTAGTTTGTGGGTTTGGGAGGGGATTTGCGGGCTTCAAGTAGGGCGAGACGCATGTAGTCTTGGTGGGTGTGTTGGGTCATTGTTTCGGTTGTGAGTGGGAGGGCTGGAAGTGAGAGAACAGAGAGCTGTGACTGTGATCTTGTGTCGCTTTCGTCACTTTGTTTGATGCCGAGGCTCGAGATTGGTCAAATTGGTTTCGTGTCCGAGCGCGTCATCTTGACTTTCGACGCGTTGAGACTCTGAAGCTGTTTTGCTTCTCTTACGATTGACAATTACAACACCAACACATCAGCATCATGGCTACCAATATCGACGACCTCGAGCTAGACGAGCCCCCAACCGTCGAACCCTACGAAGTCCTCGGCATCCAAACAACAGCAACCCAAGACCAAATCAAATCCGCCTACCGCAAAGCCGCTCTGAAATGGCATCCAGGTAACACCCCTCTACCATCTGCTCACTTATGCCTTTCTCCCACTAATCACTTCAAACAGACAAGGCAGCCCCCTCAGATAAAGAATTAGCCCACACCAAATTCCAAGAAATCGCCCTCGCCTACGCCGTCCTCAGCGACGAACGCCGCCGCACCCGCTACGACAACACAGGCCGCACGGACGAATCCCTCGACATCGACGACGACATTTTCAACTGGAGCGATTTCTACCGCGCCCAATTCGCCAATGCCGTCACAGAAGACACAATCACCTCTTTCACCGCAGAATACAAAGGCAGTGATGAAGAAAAAGAAGCCTTGCTAGCCGCATACACCAAATACAAGGGCGATATGGGAAAGGTTTATCAGCAAGTTATGGTGTCTAATCCTGCTGTTGATGAAGAGAGATTCAGGGGGATTATCCATGAAGCTATTGAGAAGGAGGATGTGGAGGCGCATGTCAAGTTCACACAAGAATCGCAGAAGAGCATCGATAGACGTATCGCTGCTGCAAAGGAAGAACACGAAGAAGCAGACGAACATGCAAAGAAACTCGGTCTCGACAAAAAGGGCAACAGAGGAAAAGGAAAAGCCAAAGCAGGACAAGGAGAAGGAGATCTATCATCCCTAGCTGCAATGATCCAACAACGCAACAAGGGTAGAAGTGAAGACTTCTTGGACAATCTTGCCGAAAAGTATGGAGCTGCTCCTAAGAAAAAGGGAAAGAAGAGGGCAAAGGAGGCGGATGATGAGCCTCCGGAAGAAGCATTTGAAAAGATGGGAAAGAGGAAGAGTAAGAGGTCAAAGGCATAGATTGGGAAGTGAGATTGCATCGGAAACTCTGATGATCATGGCAGTCGGAATGGATAGGCGACAAGGGAGGAAGGCACATGCACACTGATTATAGCGAGGCGTTGGTTGGTTTTCACCAAGGAAACGGGACAGGGAAGCAATTGTTCATAGCCATGCTCAACACAAACCAGCATTCAGAAGATTGCTCACTATTGCTTTTTCAGCCTGCTCAATCATGTCAATCACCCCAACCAAAGAAACACGACCAACATCTCCCAGTCTCAAACCCAAACAAGAAGAAGAAAAAGTCTATCCATTGAAACCAATATGTTCTACTCCCTCCATCAAACCTCTCCAAACCCTGCTCTCCATCCTTCCTCTTTCCCTCTCCTCTACCAAATCTTTCCACCACCATTGGTACATTGAGCAGCCCAAACAGCAGGTGTAGTGGTGGAAGTGACAGTGACGGTCCACGGTACACTCTTCACTTGCGTCTCGGTGGCAATTTCATAATCCGTGATTGTCACATGCATTACATTTTGGATCAGAGTTTGAAGAGCGGCGAAATCAAGGAGGGCGCGGGTTACGGTTACGGTGGGGGGTGTGGATGTACTAGTAAATATATCAGTATATTGAGATGGAGTTAGATCAGGGAGGAGGAGGAGGAGGGGAAAACATACATAGTAGACAGTAAAGTAGTAGGGAATGTCGAAGTCACAGTGGTCCATTGGGTAGTTGTGGACGTGACGTATTCGGCAGTGTTTGTCGCGGTGACGGTGCTGATGGAAGCATCCGGTGCTCTCTTTTCCAAGCCATGAGCTTGTTGCAAACGAGCAGATCTGTCGGCGACAAAATTTTGCTTGGCCTCTGCATCTTCGGAAATACCGCGCTTGAACTTTGCAGAATTGCTGAGCTTTTGGAATACGGATTTTATGATGGTGACTTCGATGCGGGCGATAGGGTCGGCGATCCAGTTGGGCGTGGGTGATGCACAAGATGGGTTGGCTTCCACGGTTGTTTGAGTGACGTGGGGTTGGTATCTTGTCTTGGTCACGGTATACAGGTTCTTGGTGACGACCTGGATACTGAGAGGATGGGACAACAAAGTGGGCTTTGCAAATGCGATGAGTTGTCTCTTTGTCGTCGTCTTGGGAACCAGAGTTGTGGTGATTGTGCTGGAAATCGTGCTGATGATTGAGCTGACGCTGGTCTCGACATCTGTGGCTGTAACTGTGGGTGTGTAGGTAATGGTCGTTGGTGTGCCGACTGAGAGGCTGAAATCTCTTTGAAAGGCAATAGGATCAGCATCGCCGTTGTTGCTGATTACAATCATAGACCAGTCTCCAGAGTAGAGTTTATCCTTTGGCCAGTCACTACAAGTAACAGTCTCAGGTTCATAGTCTGGCGTCAGAGGAGTGTCTGAACATTGATATTGGTCGCCATTAGGGTCGACAAAGATGTTCTGGAGCTCGGATTAGGAAAGGTTAAATCTATTGAATACTTCAGGTTCTTACGTTTGCGGTATCGTTTGAACAGCCCGAGAACTCTTGTACCAGTGTGAAGGGATCCGTCAATTCGCTGTTTTGAAAGTAGGAACCGCCACTCTGAAAGTCAATACCATAGACTTGGCATTGGGCAGAGGCGAGACCAGAACCAAGAGAGATGGCAGCAAGGCCTGTGTAGAAGGATGTTGATCTCATGTTAAGCGAGAGTATATGTAGAGTAAACTTGATGATGTACAATGATTGGGTGTATAGAACGAAAGACAAATGGCAATTTTACAAGGGCATGGATCAACTACGCGGTGAGCACATGTCTACTTATGTTCCTCAAGCAGGTAGAATAGCTCGCAGGGCAGAGAACGCTTCGGGATGGCAACTATGGTAGATCGTCATGGAAGCATGAAGGACAGACCCGTATCCGGACATCCAGAGTTCCACTTGAAGAGCTGTTCGATCTTTTCACTAGCACTTACCAGGGTCATGCATAACAGGCAGATCAAGGTTGGCAAAGTTGCAGTAGCAGGTGCTATGCGCGGCAGAGTGACTGCGGGCTGCCTATTTCTAATTCGGGATCCTTGACTGGTCGTATTTCCGTTTTTCGTGGTAGGGAAAAAGAGTTGCTCGGCAGCAGAGAACCGTGCTCCTTCTACGGCGCGTACGGCACGCAGGCATCATAGCGATCTGCCATTGCTGCGTACGATTGTAGTTTGCGCTCGGCGGCTGAGGTTTGTAGTGCCGGAGCTGAATTGCGTACCCATATTGACAAGTGGAGAACAAGTGAGATGCAGTGATCATAGGAAGAGAACCGAGATAACCGAGTCCAAAGGTCATGTCGTCGTGGTGTTCGCCCTGTCGAACTTGGCCGACGACATCATTCCCAGTGTTCAGTAGCAGCATAATCCTTCCAGAACAACCACGGCCACACCGTCAGTGTTTCAAGCAAGATCAAACCATGGACGAAAACTCAACAGGACGAAGCATCGTTGTTGTTGTGGATGGTTGACTTCATGTCGATCTCGGAGAATGGACGACGATCATTTCGACTCCCGTGGTGGATCGTCAACCGTCTTCAGAACTCCACCTCTCGGCGATTTTGCAGCGCAAGCCCGTGCCTGACGATGACTCGGGACGGTCAACCTTGGAGAACAAAACGCGAATGGTCGCAAGGGTGATGTTTTCACTTCGATGAAAACTCTTGTCATGCATACCAAGCCGCAGTGGTAGCCGCCTGGTTGAGACGCAGGACGGGCGTTACGATGCACGAACGCCAAAGCGACTTCCTAGCATTAGCCTTGGCAGAAGTGCAGATGGACACCATACACGACCACAGCGAAGACAAAGATCACGATTCACCTGCAATCAAAGATCCCGTCCTGGAAGATTAACAGCAATTCACGGGAATGATAGCAGCTGACTTGCAAATGCCACACGTCAAAATCGAAGCTTTCAGGTAAAAACGCAAATCTGACAAAAGATTGAGCCCGAATAGAGATAAAATGCTGGAAACGGCAAAAATGTCAAGAAAGGTATTTATTTCAACCTATAAGATTTCGAGAACGACAATAAAAAACTCCTATCGATCTCAATGAGAGATGACCACCAGAAGCCAGACAGAAAGGAATACGAAAAGCCAATCATGCAACCAAGCCAAATTACTGAAAGCCCTCCGATACAGTTTTCACTTCTAGAAGAAACAGTAAAGCAAACAGGCATCTAGAGACCACTGTCGATCTGAGGATAAAGCATGTTCTTGGAGTAAGACCTCCACGCATCACACTGTGAGTTGAAGGCGGTCTTGTCGGGCATGACAATAGAGTTTTTGGCTTCAATGAATTGAACACCAAGACCCTCAGAGATATGCCATGCAATGTGGCACTAAACATCAAGTTAGCTATGACCTCAGGACGTTTAGGAGGTGTATAAGAGGCACGTACATGCATGAGCCAAATACCGGGATTATTGGCAGGGAAGGAGATTAGAAGCCAACCAAGACCGGGAAGGATGGAGGTATCACGGCGGGGTGGGTTGGCGAAGTTGAGAACAGCGGTTGAGGCATCGAATACGCCAGCGCCGGAGCCCAGGACGAAGAAGTCGTGACCGTGAAGATGGATGGGATCTAAACAAAGCTTGATTAGTACAAAGACGATTTATCTGGGTAAATTGTGGAACGTACGAGGAAGAGGTGGGTTTTGCTGGCCCATTTGGATCAGCCAGTAGGTCCATGTACCCTCTGTGGGGATCTCGAGGACGGCGTAGGGATCGGGATAGCTGGTGTTACCCTCGAATACATATTCAGCGGTAGGTTTGTCCCAGTTGACCATCATGGCGCGGGTGTCCAGGTTCCAGAGCGCAAAGTTCTGCCCGTTGGTAGTGAGACCGGGTGCAACACCAGTGTTGAGGGTCTGAACTTGAGAGGCATATTGGCTCTGGTCAACAGCTTGAGTCCAGTAAGGAACAGTGTTGAGCTCAGTGCAGCCATTGGTGGGGGCAGCCTCGTTGCTGTCGGTGGGCTCGGCGGCGGTCGTTCCTGAGTAGGTGAAGAGGGCACGTCCCTTTCCGGTGTTTCCACTGAAGCAGTCAGTGGCGACTTCGGCGCGGAAGAAGTAGTTTCCGGAACCCTGGCTGGCTGTGAAGACGACATCGTATCGCTGACCGACAGCGAGTAGAAGCCAGTTCTGACCGGTGATAGGCTTAATGGGGATGAAATCAGCGGACATGACAGTGAAGTTATGGCCATCAAGCTTAACACGGATAGCGTTATCAACAGAAGTGTTGATCAATCGCAGTCGGTGTTTCTTTCCCGGGGTCAGGGTCATCTGGGAGTAAGAGCCACCGTTGGCGCTCTTACCCTTACCATTGACGAGAATGTTGGAACCATCTGGGGGAGGCAGGTTCTGTTGAAGGTTGTGCAGTGTAACCTCGTTCACGTTGTTTGCAAGGCCATAGTAGAGATCGTTGATTGGGAGAGGGCCAAGGTCAATGTCGTAGTTGGAACTTGCAGGACCGTTGATCACAATCTGACCAGTGATTCCCATACCATACTGCGATGAGTGATGACTGTGGTACCAGGAAGTACCGAATTGAGTTGCCTGGAACGAGTATGTTCTGCTGGCGCCTGGAGGAATAGGGCACTCAGTAAGACCGCCGACGCCATCAGATCCCATGCTGTTGAGCTGTCTGATACCGTGCCAATGAATACCAGTGCCGTTGTTCTGAAGAGAGTTCTTGACATTGACGACGATTTGGTCACCCCAGTTAGCGGTGATGGTGGGACCAGGGAATTGATTGTTGATGAGGTAACACTGCATGTCGCCATTGCCATCGAAGTTGCATGTTGTGTTAGTGATCTCAAGGTTGTAGGTAACAGTGTTTCCTGTAGTAGGGTGCTTCAGATCAAAGTCTGTCTTGATGCTGTATCCGCCACTCCAGCATTGACGAGAGTTTGGTCCATTGGTGCACGCGGCATCAGCCACCAACGAAGTTGACGACGATGCACTGCTGACTGAGGAAGCAGGGGTACTGCTTGAGACAGAGATCACAGTGGCAGAAGAGGTTTTTGATGATGCTGATGATGTTGAAGAAGCCTTGACAGAAGAGGTAGATGAAGCCTTGACTGAAGAGGTAGACGCTTTGGTCGATGTGGTTGAAGTTTTTGTGGTTGCTCGACGGACCATCTTGCCCATACGGTCAGCTCCCCATAGGTAGCGACCCTCAGGTACGGCATCGGCCCATGAGACTGAGGCGAATGCCAAGAGGCAGAGCCCACTGAGCTTCTGGAAATGCATGTTGGGCAATCAGAGCCGAGTTGATCAGTAAGGAACCCTGATAATCTGGCCGAGAATAGAAAGGTGCGAGAACGATTGAGGGAGTTTGAGAAGTCTGAACGAGTGATGAGGATATAGTCCGACTTGACATGTCGGTCGAGGCTCGTATATATATTGGCCTCATCCAATACCGGCTGTCAGAACCAAGACAACACACCCGCGAAACGCCCTCCACATGGAGGCGAACAGGTCAATCGCGAAGCTCTAGACCAAGATTGATCATGACTAGACTAGCAGAAACCGAATATTGCATATCAGCTCGTTCTCCACATTGGCAGTGACCACCACGAGCCCTTCCGGTGAGCAAAAGACACGAGCTATGCTGGACATCCCGATGGCGCTAGATCGACTCCCGGGATCCTAGGCGGCTTAAGCAAGGATCAGACAGAATTGTAGGTCTCGGAGTATTTGACTTTGCATCCTGATGGCGGTGTTGATGTTGGGGCAGGGCAGAGAGCGGCATGGAAGCGAAGCGGCCTATTTCCCAGAACGAACTCGGCGGTCGACATTCTTCCCGGGAGCCTCATTGCTGCCATGTACCTGTGCATGTAACGATGCGAAGTGTAGAGGTGATCCTCGTTTAGGATTCTTAGACAGGCCCGAAGGAGCGACAAGATCATGATGTGTGGTGAGACGGAAGATGAATTGACCAATAGGAGTTTTTCCTGCAAGGGCCGATCTGACGCGTAGGAAGGTTTATGGCAAGAGCTAAGCTTTTGCATGATGCATGGTAAGCACGTACTCATGTACCGTAGTCGCATGCCTGCGTCGGACTCGGCTTTGGGGGAGGCGTAGCTTCCTCATCGTGCAGTGACTCGATGCCAACACCGTGGTGTGCCAAATTTATCTGATAGCTTCGCATTTGATCGATTGCATTGGCCTGAAGAAATTGTATGTGCGAGCAGAATTTCGTGCATATTACTCTCGATCACGGTAGCTTGAAACACACAAGGTGGTATTCTGAGCAGCAATTCCGACAGCATCAGTAAAGACGGCAGCGCCTGTTCCTATATCGTGTATTACACCAGCACATACCTAAATAGCCCGTTGTCCGTAGGTGCACTGCATCTCCCTTTGTACCTCACTATACTTGCCGTAAATAGCGACTGAGTGCCAGTACCTGTCAGCATGCCTTCGTAAGGCCATACATTCTTTACTGGGTAGGGTGCCAATAGCTCAGATATGCGGAGATCCTTCTCATCCATGGGTGCTTTCTCGGCTGACATTTTGATTATTCGCACTGTTCCAGCTTTTCTCGACCTCGACCACGACCTCCGCAGGACAAGTTAGAGCAACGTCACAAATCGTGGCATGCTCGTGGGTCCGTGGTCCGAGCTTCAATCATGCGGGGATTCCCTTGGCAAGATGCGAAAACCCGTGCGCGGCCCACCTCTCGAGCTCTTGACGACGACACGCTGTGGATATGTTTGCCGTCACTTGCAGCAATGCGCGCCCTAGACACTACTCACCGGCTCGACTTGTGGATATCGGACATCTTAGACGCCTCACAAAAGCTCGTGGCTTTATGGCTTCAAGGCTGAAGAGAGTTTGCCACAGGTTCTCGGAGTTCGTGTGGCTTGCATCTTGCATCTGTGCTGGCTTTCATCCGCGATTCAGATACGAGAGCTAACTTGCACTATCTGATGGAGGCACTCGCGCCTTCTAGCTTTCTGGTGTAGGTGTAGATCTCTCTCTAATCTGCTCATGAGGATCCTAATCTCGGTTCATGAGGTATGCTTATAGCTGGACTCCCTATAAACATCCTCATCATGCACCACGATGCAGATAATTCTCCTTTCTCTCTTCTTACACTTCTAGCTCCACCCATTCTTGGATCTCAGCTCATTAGTATGTGGAACAGCTAATCCTGGACTCTTCCGGGTCCGGCACGACGAGGTAGGGCTGGCTCGCTCGTCCTGACCCAACATCCATGAGGCCTCGTAGTGCAGCTGGACATCGGTCCTGTGCTACCCATCCGATTTAGGCCACATACCAAAGCTTTGTTTGCAGAGCCGCACCGCGAAAAAGGTCCGTGTTGCACGCGCCATTGAGATCTCGATTTCCAAGGTCCGGAGTCCCCGCATGAAGTCCGGCTTCTACACACGTCAAACCAACGTTCGCTGTCCCGAGCCCTGATATGCACCAATATCGAATGCCAACGAATTTCCCTTTGGCGAACGCTGTCATGTCATCGAGCATGCTGAGACATGCGGAAACCCTGAAGATCGCTTCACCGCATACGAAAGGCAATTTAGCATCCTGAAATGGATTTTGGCCTCGTGGTTGGTGCTCTCGAGCAGTCAACACAGGCGGTTACGGATGCCAGGGCCCGTAGACCAAACTTCCATCTTCTTCCGCCATGCAAGGCTCGTCTTCCGGAAAAGCATCTCCACCACAATTGATCATTGTGCGATGCCGCTTTCCAATAGACACGCGTAAGCTACCAACAATCATGGCATCAACCCCATCAGCTCGAGTCGAGATATCGATTCTGGTCTTCATTCCTCGGGAATCAAGCTGCATTCGGTTTATGCGGCTTGTCAAGCCCAATGTCCAGACCAATATGGGTCTCATCTATATCGCGCTTAGCGAACCGCGCTCGGGACTCGGTGCTCGACCCATGTCAGGATCCAAGAATATCGATCCGAACGTGCTTCCTCCACCTTTGCCTAAAGAAGTCAGGAACCATAGCGTGATACGGAGACCGTCGTCGGGCTTTGTGGTTAGTCTTCGACCAGCTGGCATGGCAAGCGAGATCTTACCATGCTCCAGGTAGGTCGCGGCAACTCCGTCTTAGTTTGTGTAAACAGAGGATGAGTTTAGATTAATAGACGTGTCCCCCCGACCTGGGTTCTTCCATCGTTGCATCTAACTCTCGTATTACTTCTTCCTTCGCTATTCAAAATGTCTACATTCAGACTCGGTGGCTTCTTGGCCGCTGCTCTTCTGAGCTCACGTTCGCTCGCACAAACTTGTGTCTCATATGGTATCGACTTCCAGAACGGTGGAAACTACTTCCAAAACATCAGCTCGACCGACGCCTTCACCTTCGCTTCTCTCTTTGAAGGCTGTGACAATGATGTTGCAAATAACCTCCTCGTTGATCCAAATGGAGATGAACATCAATGCACGGATACTCCTCTCCAGCCTGACGACACCACCCAGCTGTCAACATGCCCCATGGACAAGAACCAACTTTGGTCTGGTGACTGGTCGGTTCTGATCATCTCCAACAACGGAGATGCTGATCCCATTGCCTACGAACGTGATTTCTATCTCAACGTTGGCTTGCCTTCAACCACTACATACACACCTACCGTCACCATCTACTCAACAACGACACCTCTTGTCCTCGTCACTGAGACATCAACAATCATTTCGACTACCACATTGCCTGCTGTGACGACCACAGTGGCCTCTGTGACCAAGGTAAGTCTATCTTCTATCTTCAAGTTGATATCGTCAAACTAATATGCTCCAAGTCGCCCACCGTGACTATTACACCTGCCAAGTCAACAGTGGTCACAACCAAGACGGCAACCTTGAAGAAGACTGCCTACACTGCCGTCCCCATCTTGACCACCAAGACCATCACTGCTACTTGCTCGATCCCCACAACTCAAAAGTACCCCGATCCCACTTGCACAATTACTCCTACATTGATCACTGCTGCTGCTCTGTCGACCGATGACTCTGCTTCATCTACTGCTGCCGCTACTCCTTCGGCTTCTGCTGCCGTCAAGATCCGCCGTGGTCTGTTCGATCGCTCTGTACCTCTTGAGCGTGAAGCCAGAATTGCCGAGCGCAAGGCTAGAAGAGAGGCTGCGAACAAGCTGCAGAGACGTGCTCCCGATGTTGCCACTACCACTTTGACCGAGACCAACACTGTAAGCTTTTTCTTTCTATTCCCACTCGACCTTGATTTGTTTACTGATCTTTCTGATAGTCCCTCTACATTACCTCTACCTCCGTTTCGACCGACATCGCCACCACCATCACTTCTACTGGTAAGTTTTGCTTTTCTTGCATCTTGGGCAAGCCAAAAGTTAACATCTATCCTAGCTGTCGCAACTTCCACTTCCACATTCACACCTCCCGTGGTAACCGTCAAGAGCGGCAAGACCACTCTCGCCGTCGTCACCACTACCCTCAAGCAGTCGACTACCACAAAGACCGTTATGACCGTCCTGACCACCACCGTCAAGACCGTGACTTCGTCGCCCACTGTTACTATTTCCATCACCAGCACACCTTCCAAGTCTGCTGTTGCTTGTACAGCAAAGGGCGGTCAGATGAAGTAAATTTATCTGTAACCTTGTTTTTTATCTCACTGCGTTATCATTTTCTTTCTTTTTGTCTGGAGGTTCATGTTGTGCACCAAGGTCAACACGGGGTACCTTTGGGAGATGGGATGTTATATCGACCGGCTTCTGCTATTCTAGACAGTCTATCGCTGCAGGTCAGGAAATTATTTCTTTATCATCGATCTTCAATTTCCATCTTCTTTTTATCCAATACTGGAAGTGCAATGCGCATTCGGGTATTGTTTGCTGCGATGCACCAAATCCAGGACACGACGTTCAAACCTCAACAAGCTCCAAACTACTGCCAGGTCCCACTTTGACCGACACGAATAGCCTGTAAGCACTCTCTTCTCTTGCCCTGTTTATCCTCGTGCCGATATCCATGAAACTCGGAATTCAGGGCACGAGGGCAACGGGTGAGGATAAAACACGACTCAGCATGGTGTGCTACACGGTTCCTGACAAAAAGGTACAGAAATGCTATCTTCGTACTCAAAAGTAACACAAAAACACAAGACTTATCGGACACTTCTTGTACAGTACAGTACATGCAGCGTTCGGCGCGAAAGCAGAAAAGCCAAAGCATCAAGAAATCCGGATGCACGCATCGGACATTTGGGGATGTATCAAAGTACTTGTAGAGTACTCGAGGTTTGTATAACTGTAACAATGTACCTTTCCAAGTATAAGTTATCCGTAAACTCTGTTTTTCTGCTCTGCCAAGCGGTGGTCGAACTATTGCTTGATCAGGCACGTGAATATTGAAAGAATTGCTTGACTTGGGAAGGATTCACTAGGAGGCTCTTATGCGTGATGGCGGTATGGGTGGGCATGGCTTATTCGAGATTGCTATATCGATTGCGTTCTGGCCTGATACAGAGTGTGAGCGTATGATGCTGATCAACAAAGGCATTGCACAGTTTTCACGTCAGCCTGTTTGAAAGCGCGTGATCCCTCAAGCAGAGAGAAATGAGAATGATCTCGGAAGGAGCGAGTATGCGAAAAGACCGTGGTGCTTGCTTCATTTATAGAGTAATGCGACGCCGATGACGCTCGGCGAGCACTTCAGCCATCGACACCCAGGAGGGCAGATCACGAAAGTCTGGCGGTCAACCTTGGAACATTTTGATATGAGAGTATGATGAGATCGTATCTCATAGGCGGAAGGAACACTCAAGAGGAAGTGTGAAGAGACGATTTGATGATTCGCCCAGATCCTTAGGACCACCAAATTCTAAAGCAACAACAAGAACTCCAAAGTGCACCTTTCACTGGAGACAAGAAAAAAAAGTCATAGGTATCGAAGAAGGAAAAAAGAAGAAGAAGCGAAAAAGGCGCTATCCTGCCATACTCCTTTCCATGCTCTTATTCGTACAGCATTCGTTCATCCCTTCCTTAGTGGTTGCGTTGGAGGCTTTGCTGTTTGGCCTGAGAGAGAAGAAGGTCAGCGTCTTGTTTCTGTGGTCGGGGTGTTTGGGCAATATTTACCTTCATCATTTCGATTCTGGCCTTCAGGTTTTGTGTCACCTCAGCCGCACGCCTCCAACTCTCCACACCACCAGTAGCACCTTCACCGCTTTGTGTCCTCGACATCGACGATCTTTGCATACCAGAGTCTGCGCCCAGACCTGCACTATGGCTCTGTTCCAAGTTGCTTCCAGGTCTGCTACCACTGGTGCTGCGTTGTAGGCCAGAAATCGCGGGACTAGCGCGGCCGCTGCTGGAGTGGTCCATCGATGGCGCGTTTGAACTTCTGAAACCACTAACGGGGCTTGTGATGCGCTCAATCCCGCCTGCTGTCTCGAAGTGTCCCTTGTTCTCGCCACTGGGCTCTCGTGATTGTGATGAGTATGACATGCCACCGCCTGGGCGGCCGAATTGAGGTCGAGGCGGGCCCATGCCGCCCATCTCTGTGTCGTAGTGTCTCATTCCATTGGCGCCGTTGTTTTCGGAATAGTTGTTGTTTTGCATATGTGCGTCCTGGTTGTTATCGCGTTCAAGACGTCCAAGACGAGCCACTTCACGCTTCAGTCTGTCGACTTCGCGAGCGAGACCAGCTGCGCGTTCTTCGGCAGCTTCAGCATCGCTGCGAGCGCGTACTAGTTGAGTCTCCTTCGCCTTGATGCCCAGTACGTCACGAGTGTGATCCTCAATAAGCTGTGCGTTTTGGTTTTGGAGCTCGTGAATCTGGCTATTGAGCCTCATCTTGTCCGTTCTCAGTTCGCTATTTTGAGAACGGAGGTATTCGGCTTCTGACCGTAGATCCGAGAGTTCCGACCTTTCTGCCAAGCTCAAGACTGACGGAGCGGCCTGGGGAGGTGGAGCGTATTCTTGAGGAGGCTCGTTTGTGCTCTGGTTGAAGGAGTTAGTGGGCTTGCCTAGCGGTCTGGCTGCTAGACTACGAGGTGCTGCAAGCCCTGAGCGCGGTGCGGGAGCGGGAGTTGGCGGGTCGTCCAACATCTCCACATCTTCCGAAGGAACTCTTCTGGGAGAAGCAGCTGGTGGAGCGACACCAGGCTTTCTCATCTTCGATCCAGGAGCCGCAAGACCTGACTTGAGACCAGGCTTGGCTCCAGGTCTGCTTGTCGGGCGGGCTGCTAGTGGTGCAGCGGCTGGGGGCTCTTCTGGTGTAGCAGGTCTGACGGGTGCTGGAGCAGCCTTCTTTACTCCAGGCGCAGGACGTCTTCCTGGAGCAGCCTTCTTTGCCGGAGCAGCAGCGGGCTTTGGTGGAGGAGCAGCCTTGGGCTTCCACTTGACCTTGACCTCTGCATTATCACAATACTCCTTGATCTTGTTCTTCTTGATGTCGTCGATACCGTCGAGATGAGGAAGCATATTGCGGTCGGTCATAATTTTCCACAATGTACCCAGAATCTCAGCAGCTGCTTCTCTCGGTGGTGCCTGAGAGTCGGCGAGAAGAGATTTTGCTGCATCAGACATGGTCTTGAGCTCAGCAGGTGGAGGAACTTCTCTGAGGTTCTTCAAACAGCGCACGAGGACACGGGCAGACTCAAGCTTAACCTGAGGAGTCTTGTGCTTGAAGGCTTCAAGCATCTCCTCGAGATTGTCAGTAAGGCCGGTAGCAGAGACAACGGCGTCGCAAGCGGCAGCAAGAGCGTCAGTAACGGACTGCTTCTTCTCCTTGAGACGCTCGAGCATGGGCGACATGATGGTGGAACGGTATCTCGAGAAGCTCTTCTTTAGACCTTTGGCGAGCACTTCGACGCAGTTTGCAGCAGCAGTAACGCAAGCCACGTTGGCATCCTTCATACTCTTTGCGAGACCACGCATGACATCGTCGAATGGACCTTCTTGGATGGCAGGCTGGTTGGCAGCGGTGAAAAGCTCTTCGAGGGCCTCTTTGCGGTCCTTCCACTTGGACGAGTTGAGGCGTTCGCTGAAGTCTGCTGGCACCTTTGCCATTACATCGACAGCCTCGAATTCCGGTTCCAGGTCAATCGCAGCGTCTTCCTCCTCTTCGACTTCTTCGGCCGGGGCCTCGCCTGCCTCCTCGGCAGCCTCTTGTGCAGCTTGTTGAGATCTGAGCAGTCTCTCTTGTGTCGGCTTGTCGTCCTTGACCTTCTCAAACAGCTTGTCTAGGTCCGTCTGTTGGACAGGCTTGAGCTCACCCCAGAAGAGGGGCTTCATAGCTTCCTTCAGCCATCGGTAGAGTTCGACTGTGAGGTTTTGTGCTTCGGCGCGCACGTTCTTGTCTGCATGGCCGTAAACCTTCGGCAGTAGCTTGATAATGGGTTTAGGCTCGACTGTCTTGCAACCGTATGCGTGATAGATGGCAGTCAGAGACTGGAGGGCAGCGACGATGATCTTGGGTGTTTTTGCGGATAGTAGGGGGATGAGCTCTTCGATGACGGGGTCGGCGATGTCGAGTTCGACATAAAGAAGGAGAGCCTCGATGGCAGCGGCTTTCGCGGCGGGACGACCTGTTACACCCTTCTCGACGATAGGCTGGATTGTGGATGTGCGCGTGCTAAGGAGAGAGTATTAGCCAGGTGCCTGAATTGGAGGGGTAGTAGCAAAGGATAGCGCACCGAGTGCAGCCAGGTTTGCCAGCGATTTCGAGGAAAGCGTTCAGCGCATTAAGACCTTCAGCTTGGGCGGCAACGTTTGAATCGGCGACAGCTCCCTTCCAGATGTTGGAGTCCGCAACGAAGTCCTTGACGAGGGGGTCGCTTGGTTGTGCAGTCTTGAATTCTTTTGTCGCGGCTTCGTAACCTTCCTTGCGCACTTTCCAGTTCTTGTGTACGAAGCGGTCTGGCAATGGCAGCTTGCTGAAATCCTCTTGCTCTTCAGCCATGTTGGCGGTATTTCGATGTGTTCAAGTCCAGTCGGTAGTCAGTCCAGAGGGAGAATAATGATGATCGGAATGCGGGATGCGAGGTGTGAGAAGTGACGGCAAACAGGGATGCACTGTCTTTTCTCAATCAAGTTGAATCAGTCGCTGTGAGCGTGGACGAATTGTGGTAGTATCGTCATGTATATTGCGGTCGCAAAGTAGTGATGGCCTGACAACAACAACAAACACAAAAGCCCAAAGCCAAATTCCCGTCTGACGGCATCGGGCAGCATGCGACAAGTTGACAAGTGCTATTCTCCATCAAGACTCGACTACCCATTCACCCTCCAATCGTTTGCCCTGAGTGCTCCCTATTGTCTCGTTTCTCCATCCAAGTCATATCCGAAACCTGTAATTTCCCCTTTCTGGTTGTTCTTAACCCCCTCACCGCCGGCGTCCATCGCAGCTTCCTGCTCAGTGAGCCCCACCACTGGTAACAACAGCCAGCTCTTGCTTGCCAGAGTTGTTATGCGCAACCACCACAATGACAAATCTCTTGACTCAGCGACAGGCTGAAGAACTGTTGGTCTCTCCCGATTCTTACGAAAGCTGTTGGCTGATGTGCTGATAGCCACAAGTCACTGATTGCCTACCTTACCGCCGCCGGCTTGACAAACACTGCCCAAACCCTCCGTGAAGAGGTCAACATCGGCGACTCGTTCGATGATGCTACGCGAAAGAAATATGAAGGCCTGCTGGAGAAGAAGTGGACCAGTGTCGTCCGCTTGCAAAAGAAGGTGAGACTCAATGCCCGTCTACCGCGACTTGTTTGGACGACGCGCTCATGCTCCAACAGATAATGGACCTTGAATCGCGCAATACCACCCTCCAAACAGAACTCGATACCGCCACTCCCACCTCATTGTCGCGTCGCAATCAGGACCCTGCCGCATGGCTGCCACGATCCCCCGCCCGTCATACTCTCCAATCTCATCGCCAACCCGTCACATGTGTCGCCTTCCATCCCGTCTTCTCATCTCTGGCCTCAGGTTCGGAAGATGCCACAATCAAAATCTGGGATTGGGAGCTCGGCGAGCTCGAACGTACAATCAAGGGTCACACCAAGGGTGTCCTCGACATAGATTATGGTGGTCCGCGCGGAGGCACGCTTCTGGCCAGCTGTAGTTCCGATCTGACCATCAAGCTGTGGGATCCCAGTGACGAATACAAAAATATCCGCACTCTTCCCGGCCACGACCATAGTGTGTCGGCTGTACGCTTCATCCCGTCTGGCGCCGCTGGTGCTCCTTCGAGCGGAAACCTCTTGGCAAGTGCTAGTAGAGACAAGACCATCAGGATCTGGGACGTTACTACTGGATATTGTGTCAAGACTATCCGCGGCCATGCTGACTGGGTACGCGACGTCGCTCCAAGCTTCGATGGCCGATGGCTTCTCTCCGTCGGAAATGATCAGACTGCTCGTCTATGGGATACTCAATCTGGCGATGCCAAAGTCACCTTTGTCGGCCACGAACATGTCATCGAATGCTGCACGTTTGCTCCTGCAGCCGCATATCCTCACTTGGCCTCGATGGCCGGTCTAAAGAAAGCTCCGCCAGCCACTAGCTCGGCTGAGTTTGTCGCGACTGCTGGCCGTGACAAGCTCATCAAGCTGTGGGACGCTCGGGGAACATTGATCAAGACTCTCGTCGGCCACGACAACTGGGTGCGCGCTCTGTTGTTCCACCCAGGCGGCAAATATCTTCTCAGTTGCGCCGATGACAAAACGATACGCTGCTGGGATCTGTCACAAGAAGGCAAGTGCGTCAAGACTATCGAGGACGCACACGGTCACTTTGTCAGCAGTATGCGATGGGCACCCGGTGTCATCAAGGATGCGGCCGCTAACGCGGATGCTGCCAACGGATCTTCGAAACCAGACGAAGCCGCCAAAGTCAGCATTCGCTGTGTCATCGCCACTGGCAGTGTTGATCTCAACGTCCGAGTCTTTGCTGCATAGTCTCTCATATCTGTTTCTCTCCTAGCGTCTGGGCTTCATGGACCGGTTGGCGTTGTCTCTTTGCACTATGGCGGGCGACAGGAGTCACGGGCGTTTCCCTCCTGTACATGGCATTTTCCTTTATGGCTGCATGGATCAAGGCGTATCTTTGTCGCTTAGCCCTTGACACCACCTGCATTCTCCTCTGTTCCTCTTCTTCTTCGTTCATACCCTTTCTCTAGGGAGGCCGGCGTCTTCTTTTCGGGGGGGAAAAAGAAAGTAAAGCATAGATATTTATTCTTCAAATTACAAGAAGCTGTCCTGAATATTTTCACCACTGTCCTTGAGCACAGTACTTCTTTGGTATGTATCTTTGAGTTTTCTAGAAAAGTCCGCATGCCACGAGTTATATGTGGATTTGAACAAGAAACATCTGTTTGGCTATGGTCTGGGAAGACATTTCATCAGATCGACGCATCTGGACCACATCAATGGATGCTTTTTTATCTCCCCTACATCTGAGAAAGGTCATTACCGCAAAAAGGTGCAAAACAAGAAATCACGTTTTCTGCATCTCGGATATCGTGGTACTGTGGGGCCAGGGTCATACCCCTAACAAGCAATTTCAGCATCGACAACAGTGTTGCTCGATAACGACATACCTTGCTCTTATAAAAATACCATGAGTACATTCTTTATGCCTCAAAATATGGATAGGAGAGGATTTGGATGGGTTGGAAAGGTGGTTGTTGAGGTATTGTCAGATCAAGTGGTCGGATATCACTTCGCCAGACTTGCGCATTCAGTCAGCAATACTGCAATCCAGACCAGCGGTCAACACACGTAGGCGATGACGTACTAATTGAATAAGTCTACCTTTGTGCCTGCTCTAGTGATTACATCCGAATTGACGCTTAACATACATCTCATACCAAGATTGCTCATCTCGTACAACAAAATTTTCAATTCCTCCATCATCTTCACCTCCCTAAAAATCTACATTCCAAACTTTCCCAACGGCGAACTCTGCAACCCAACCATACTCTCCTCACCCCCATCCTCAGCACCTCCATCTTCAAAACTGAAATCTTCAGCTTCTCCCTCGATATCATCCATGTCCTCATCCAACTGCGGACTCAACCCAGGACTCATTGCAATCTTGGGTCTAGACTTGAACACACTAGCATACTCTGCATCTTGCTCGAATAACTTATCTCTAGGTGTGGTATCTCTTGTGCCGCCCAAGGATGTTCTGCCGCTCTTGATGGGAGTGGAGAATTGTGCGGCGGTGGTGGAGGGGAAGAAGGAGGAGCGGGGGCGGGGTTTGGCTGTGGTTGTGCGGCGTTGGGGAGGAGCGTTGTTGGTGGCTAGGGTCATGGAGGCTAGAGCGCGGTCGGCGAGGGAGGTGCGGCGGGATGATGTTGTGTCTGTTTCCGTCTCTGTTCCTACATCTAGGGAGTCGGGGGTAGGCAGCGGCAGAGGAAGGCTGTTTTCGCTGCTGTGGAAGGAGGCCATGGACATGCGGGCACGTTCGGACAGATTGGGACGCTCTTGTGGACTCTGTTGTCTAGAGATTGGCGCCGGGGGACTTGAGAGCTGAGGTGGTGAGAAGTCTGGTAAGTCCAATGGCGAAGATTGTCCTTGTGGTTCTGTTAGATCGATGCGATCGATTTTGTCTTCGAGAGATGCGACAGGGTCTGCAGCAGGACTCGGGTGCTCAGGGAATGCTGTGTTGGTTTCTGCTGCGCCCGGAGAAGTGTATCCATTCCTAGGAGTTGCTGCATCATCATCCTGCGATTCTGATTTGTATGCTTCAAAACGTCTTTGCTCCAGTTTCTGCACACTAGGGCTGTTCTCTGTGAACCTTGGCTGCCTCAGAACAGAGCCATATGGACTTTCCATGGTTTGACCAGTGGTTGGAATGTATTCACTCCTCACTGTCTGAGGCGTGTTTACAGGTTGACTGTGAGTTCGAGACAAGAATGGATATGACTTTTGTGGTTCATCTCGCACGGTGGTGGGAGTCGAGTTCGTCGATACAAGCAACGGTCGTTTGAGCGGCGAGAAGAAGTCCTCCTGAGGCTCTTTAGATCCAGCAAGGAACACTGGGACAGGTACCTGTCTCGGCATGTTGCTCGTACGGCGAGTTCTATCATCGAGATTTGGTGCTGCGTGGTATGAAGATCCGTTGTTCTGGCTTCGCTTCTTCTTGCCGACGTCGGAGAGGCTTTGTCTCATGTCTTGGACGACACGATCATAATCCACTTCCGAGGCCAACATGCGAGATTCTTCGGGCTCAGAAGGTGTCTGTGCCACACGGATGCTCTTATGTTTTCTGAAGATGTCCAAGCCATGAGCTGCAGCCGTACGATCCTGAGTATCGGGCACACTAGAAGCTTGAACAGATCTCACGGGTGTGTTGGTGTCTTCAAAAACATCTTTGTATGCTCTCCAGAGGCGCAAACGATCGTTCTGCTCAGCTACACGGTATTGAAGAGTCTCGAGCAAAGAAACACCTTCTGGAGACACCTCAGGAGTTGTACCCTGTCTAAAGTGTTGCCACAGATCTTCGAAGTTGGAGTCCATATAGGCGTCTGAGGAAGCGAGTTTGGCTCCTGCCAGCAATGCGTCGCAGCCCTCTATACCGCCAACCCAGTTCTGTCGAAGTTCGCGTCTGATAGACTTCTCTGTCTCCGGCGAGAGATTTTCCTTTGTCGCATCTTGCGTTTCGAGGAGTGTAAGGTGACGCTCGTGGTACTCGTTAGTCTTCTCGTAGAGTGATGTGCGGAAATTGTTGAGTGTGTGGTCCAGATTTACTCGATGTTGCAAAGTCTTCGTCAGAGACGCACGGTAGGCAAGGGAAAGGGGGCCAACTGTATTCAACTCGCGCTTGTCCAGGTTCCTCGCAACAGCAAGATTCTTGCCGATTGAAGCCTGCTGTTTGCGGCGAGTTGAAACTACTTGTTTCCTAACAACAGCAGCAGAAAACAAGAGCAGAACTTCTTCGAACTTGTCACCCTTGCAGTCATCCAGCATGGTCTTACGAAGAGTGGCTTCCCTGCCCAGAACATCGTTCTTCTTCAGGTCATTAAGACACCGAAACAGTGCGGCTCGCAGATTCAAAGATTGGATTGGTTCCAAAGGTGGAAAGAACGGTTGCAATTTCTGTCTCACATAAACACAAAGTAACTTGACGAGACAATAAATCTTGACTTACATCGCGGGTAGTCTCCCTATCCCAGATCTCGAACAGTCGATAAAGAGACCATTCAACGCATGCCACTCGCTTCTTCTGATTCTGAAGTGCATCTTTCGTATCAAAAGTGCGCACGGTGATATCGGGCCAGTCTTGTCGTTGATCAAGATTTAGAAGTTTCAGATTTGATACAAAAAGCGAAATGTTGGAAGGTGACATGGATCGTGATTTTGGAGCTGGCGGTCTAGGTGCATGGCTGGGAGTAGAGGCGGATCCAGCCACTGATTCGGGTCGGGACATGCCAGTCGTTTATGGTTTCTCCGTAGTGCTGGTTAGTAGTGAATCATCAAGTATGCACGATGCTTGAATCCGTTCGAGTTGAGAAGTCAAGAAGCACCAATCAACAAAGGCCTGAGTAAACATCGGTCAAGGGGTAACGACGCCCGGAACCACTGCAGAAGAGTAAACACTTCACGTCTATCTCGCCCTTTATCAACTTCAAGCGACTAGCCACAGTCTGTATGGTTTCCTACTCGAGCCTTCTAACGATTGGAACGCTGCCGTAATGCTTCTCTGCTCTTGTTCTGTCTCGCGGGTGGTATGGGTGGCATTACCAGGTGTATGGCAACTCTTGGTGGCCGGCTTTCGCCGCGTGGATCAAAACGACTTTAGCGTTTAGGCGCGCCAAACGCCGCGGTCAAATGATTGCATATCTTCTAGATACCTGAGAGTAAATTCCTACCTAGCAATCCTTACGCCCAATCATCAGTATATCACTACACGTCAAAAATCACCAGGCCATCACGCGACGAAGAAGCATCCCCAGACACGGAAATGGCACCCAGCGTTGTTGAAGACGCGGTTCAAACCAACTCGTCGCCCAGTATGCTCACTCTATTGTCACATGCAATTTTCTGAAAGCTCATGTTACTGACCTGCTGCGCAGAGCCTACCTCTGGCCTCTTGACAACAAGCCAAGCATCGCAATGGACGCCCGACACTGTCCTCTCAACCCTTGCCCCTCTCGAGAAGCACTCGTCTTCACCCGTCCCTTTCTTCCACCTTCTTGAACGTCTGAAGACTACCAAGCGCGAGGGCTGGCGCAGATTCGGTATCAACCACGGCGAATCTATCTCCGACCACATGTACCGCATGTCCATCATCACCATGCTCTGCCCGCCTTCTCTCTCCTCTCGCCTGGATGTGCCCCGTTGCACCAGAATGGCTCTCATTCACGACATGGCCGAAGCCCTTGTTGGCGACATCACCCCTGTTGACGGCGTTCCGAAGTCGGAGAAGAACAGAAGAGAGGCAGACACTATGGACTACATATGCTCCGATTTGCTTGGCAAGGTCGGCGGTGGTTTGTCGGGCCAGGAGATGCGTGCAGTGTGGCAGGAATATGAGGACAGTCAAACACTCGAAAGCAAATTCGTTCATGACGTGGACAAGATTGAGCTCCTGCTCCAGATGATGGAGTACGAGCGTTCTCATGAGGGCCGCATCGACCTTGGCGAGTTCTCATGGGTCGCTCAGAAGATTGAATTGCCCGAGGTCAAGGCATGGTGCAATGACTTGCTGCGTGAAAGAGAGGCTTTCTGGGCCGGACTGAAGAAGACGCCAACCGGAAGCACTCTCAACGACGAGCAAGAGAAGCAGCATGCTGAGTATTACAGCAAGAATGCTTGAAGCCTGAGAATCGTTAAGTAAGCGTATGGTTTGACTTTTATACACAGCAGCATCCAGCGGGTCCAAGGCGCATAGGCGGGCAGGCAGGTTTACACGGGTTCAGGCGTCGGGAATGCATAGGCATGGCTTTTATACAATTCATCCGGCGACGGTACGTACGCATCAGTTCATCAGCATTGAACTAGAAAGTCACTGTTTCAGAAGGATGCATAGCTCTCTCCACGTGATCGCCTACGCCTGCCATTAGGATCTACAAGACTCAAGGCGGCTTGCTTGGCGATGCTGTCGAGCGGGCAGGCGCGTGATGGGGGCGCACATCACGTCGTGTCCCGTCAACTTGTCTTCATTGTCAAGTGTGTCCTCGATTTTTCCATCCAAGTCTGCACCCGCTGTCAACAACAATCCTGGCCCTGAAAAGAACCCTCCTGGCTGAACTCAGGCCTGCCGCGTCAAGCTTTCCTTCTCCGCACTCACTCCGCAATTCCAACGGGCATTTATCCGGGGTCGATACATGCCATTTGAACTACCACAGAGCCACCATTGACCATAGTCAGTCATTCTTGCGTGTTTCAAACTCGTACAAATATTCCTTTGTTCTCAAGCCGCCTGGACATACAAATCGAGCAGCCTACGGCCTGATCTGACACAAGTACATCTCGGTAGTTTCGCTCATGAATTGCTGGTCTTGGAAACTGCCTCGGCACAATCAGCTGCTTTTGCTCATTTTGTATCATGAAATCGAAATCTGCGAGCAGACCTCAGCGTCGACAAACATCGAACAAAAGTAACGAGCCGCTCGAGAGTCATGTCGATGAAGACAGTAGCAACGCCCGGCCTGTCAAGAGGAAGAGAACTGCGAGCAAGCCAAGGGACAAGAGATATGAGTGTCCCCAAGAAGGATGCGACAAAAGTTACTCACGTGCCGAACATTTGTACAGGCATCAGCTAAACCGTGAGTACAAGGCCGTGTAATTCTCCGTTAAGTTGCTGATGCGACTTCAGACGCTCCGAAGCAGATCTTCAATTGTGACTTTGAGGGATGTGATCGGCATTTTGTTCGCCAGGATCTCTACGCCAGACATCGAGAGAGACATACCAAGGAGAATTCGCATCTATATCGTCGGGATGCTTTCAAGCATGGCAAGCTCAAATCTTCTCACATCACCGAAGCTCAGCAGGAACAGTCTTCGGATGCTCAGATAGCTGCCTCCAGTACAAGCTGTGACGGATCGGAGCCACAAAGTGTCGAGCAGCCAGTTGCTTCAAAGCCACATGAGTCTGTACTGAGCTTTGGCTCCATGGCTCTTGATCCACGATTGACATCTGGACCAGACGACTTTGGCTCGGCCATGGCACCCGGTCCCTTCAATGGTAATGTGGAACGTGACCAGTACGATAACACATTGGATCCTGTGAACAACCCCCTGAACACTCGACTAGCTGCTCGCTCGAGCCATCTGGACACACCACAGACAGCATCTGGCAATCTAGTGACCTCCGGAGCAATGGACGATCGTATAGTCAGTGTACGCCACGAAGTCAATAACCCTGTATTTGCCAGACCTAACATGCCACCCGCAATCCCGATGGATATGTATCATCTCAACTCAATGCAGAGCATGTTCGCTCCCATTAGCAATGCTACTGGAGTTTACTTGCCTCAACCCTACCCATCACCGTCTACCGCGGCAAACCTCAGATCTCCACCAGCTTTCACCAACTTGCCTACAGTATCGCAATTCAACCTGCCTTACAACACTCAAATTCAATCACCGATCGGCATGAGATCGGACTCTGTAACATCCTATCTTTCTAAAAGCGGACCGAGTTATCAAGCCACAGGCTACACGGATCCCAACGTCCTTCACCACCTCTCCGCGAGTGCGACTGTACCAGTTTTCAACGAGAACTATGGACCGTCACCTCCGGAGATGCCAGGTACGGAGTTTATCAGCTGGCTATTTGAAGGCGACCAAGGCGCGGTTTTCCCACCCCACTCCCACGCACCATACAATTACAATCAGAACCCACAGTTACTACATGACAACATGCAGACTTCGGCTGGAAACACCTATCTGGAGTCTCTAGCTCGCCCTCCATCGGTCGCCAAAACAGAACAAGACAGCATACAACCCGAGTGTGTGCTGTCCAGTCCACGAAGGCAGCGGCTCCTGGACCTGATAATCTCCGAGTTCAAAGATGGAAGGCACGTCCAAGTCTCTATGCAGAGGGAGAAAACACTAAAAGGTGACCACGACGGAGACACCCACGTGCTGAGTTTGCGAATGATGCAAGTTTTCTGCAGCTCGTTCTGGCTCAACATACATCCACAACTTCCGATTCTACATAAACCAACATTCTCAGCCGAGACATGCCCCGATCTTCTGCTTATCGCCGTAATGACACTCGGTGCATCTTGTCTGGAGCCATCATATGGCTACGAAGTCACCCAAGCTTCTGCAGAACTGGCTTCTTTCCTAGCATGGCACACTCGTCGGATGATAGTTGAAGATCCAGACTTTATCCCGCCAGCCAAGTTATGGATATTCCAGTCCTTGTTGCTGTTGGAAGTCTTCGAAAAGATGTTTTCAACCACTGTTTTACATCAACGGGCACACATTCACCACTGTTCAACTCTTACTTTGATGCGGCGAGGTAGTTCACTTGTGGGAAGAGCAGCACTTGATTTCGCCCCGTATGACGTCGACCCAACGAGGACACCACCTGGACCTAACGGCAGTGTGAATACTTGCGGAAAGAATACAAAAGACGAATGGTGGAACAACTGGATCAGTAACGAGGCTACGCGCCGAACGGCTTTTGCTGCCTTCATTATTGACACAACACACGCGACCATGTTTGGTCACGCTGCTGTGATGGTCGCCCACGAGATGCGAATACCACTCCCATGTGACGAGGCTCTGTGGGCTGCTCCGAGTGGGGCTGAAGTGCGAAGCCATGAGCATAGCCTTACACTAAGCGGTTACAGACCGATGAGCTTCCTCGAGGCGTTGAAGAAGACACTAAACAGCCAACATGTACAGACCAACACCTTTGGCCGGGTTACCATCATGGCAGGCCTCATGAGTGTCAGCTGGCACATGAGAATGCAAGACGTGAGAGCAAGCTCGATCGGAGTTGGCAAACAGGGCAGTTGGAGTGATCAGCTGGCATCTGCTTGCGATTTCTGGCGGCGCGATTTCGATGCTTCCCTGGCCAAGTCATCCTCTAACGCACCGGTGTATTTGTATGATCGAATCTCAAGCGACGTTATGGATAAGGAGAAGGTATTTGAATCACGTACAGTGCTCCACCATCTGGCACGCATGGCAATGTACGTTGACATTGTCGATTGTCAGATTCTTGCTGGAGCCAAACGCTCCTTGGGACGTGTGATTACTGCGAATGATCATGCGGCAGCATCAAAAAAGTTGAGAGAGACCTGGGCCCCATCTCATGGGGCTCGTGATGCCGTGTTCTACGCGTTGCGCTTCTTGTCGGCTGTGCTGTTACCGGAGGATGACGGTTCTTCTGGGCGACATCCTAGTGCACAAGGGCTTACATATTCAGCTCGTGACGACAATCTGCTCAATCGGCCTTGGGTGCTCTACTTTGCTGCACTTGTTGTGTGGACTTACGGCTTCTGCTTAGATGGCCCTATAGCACCACCGTTGCCGACTTACACGCTCAGGACGCATGAGATCAAATTTAGGGACTTGCGCGGCTTCCTTCGCCGCGTTGGTGGGGTCAGATCGGCCGATGATCTGCAGCACGTCAAGCACCGAAATGGGTGTTTGGGATTGTTGATGCTCCTGAAAGAGATCTTCAGCAAGACCAGATGGGAACTTCTCCACGAAGCGAGCGAAATGCTGGGAAATTGCATCGAGCTGCTTATGCCTGGCATCTCCAATATCTGAGCACTTTTAGTTGGTGCGTGGTTGACCAAAGCGGCTCTTACATCATGGTCAGGCGTTGGTCAAGTGGGGGGTCTCAGTTTTTGGGTTACATGAGAGGATCAAAGCTGAACCAGTTGCTTGGGTCGCCTTGGTAGTCTTCTATATCAATGTGTATCTCGAGTGTCGATAAAGTCCGTCATACTCTGCGGATCATGACGAATTGGCTGTTCATCAAGTAGGACCTTCAGCTCGCTCATCGTTAAACTCAGATACGAAAGAGTAGTGGTTACACCGTGAAGCATGATATCAGGTTCGTTGTGCTATGTTGATAGAGTTGTGATTGTTGAGCGCCGTTTCTGCAAGCGAGAGAGCCACGAACTCCTGAGAATGAGGTTAGCTGTGTAGATGAAGGATGCGAGAATTGGCAAACGTGGGCGACGCGATGCAGTGGGGTCTCCGACATCCGAGGCCAGTGAACGCTGTAAGGGAGATTTGTGCTCGTGCTGTGCAAATTGAGATGTTCTGTGAACGATGCAACATGAAACCCACCTCGGAGAATTAATCGTGCGCTTTCCATGCAGCTAGTCCGACCCGAATGCTGATCATGCAGACACTTGAGTCTGGCTCTCAGGATACGTTTGCGGATCAGTGTCAACAAGGCTAGATGCTATGCGGCCGAGTCACACCCCTTCGGAGCTGAGATGAATATATCTACATCTGGTAGAGATATGATCCATGATTCATTGTGCATAACCGAAAGAGATCTCTGTCATTATTCCGGTTTCTGGCTTTCAATGGTCATAAAAGACAGCCCAGCAACCAACTGGAGAGGCAAATCGAGACTCCACAAGACCATCATCATGAAGGAATACATGCTTTGGTTGTGCACAGCAACAAGATGAACAAACGGTTCCAATGGATGTTGGTCTATCACAAAGGATATCTTAGTCTTATCACGAGAGGATTATTTGTGATCCTTATCGACAAGAGCTACCATAGTATACGAAGGACGGAAATAGAGGGAATGCGGTATGCACAAGCGGTGCAAATCTCCCCATGACACATGAGTATGTACCGCATGCACAGACTGACGGAGTTGTTCCCAAAAGCTCGAGCTCGCTGTGTTGACATTTTGGCAACGGCTGCAAAGCATTCGAGGCGCGATCTTCGATCGTGGAGAGAATGAAGAAAGAGTGACCGACGATCGTGTCGAGAATTGGTGAGAAAATGTACCTCCTGTTTGACAAGCCAGTGGGAGACGTTTGCACAACAAAGACCCTAAAGTCCTCCCTGCATGTGGCCTTTGCATACTTCAAGGACGAAGCAGTGTCCCACTCGGCCCGCAAAAGGAGGGGTCAATTGCAGGACCAGACTCTGGGATTTGTAAATCCATCCAGGAGGATGGTAGCTGGGATGAGATAGATGAATTACCCAGTGAACCAATTGATATAGATAGATCACCACACAGATGATGTCAATTCCCAGCTCGTTGTTCCTGATGCGTCAGACAGAGACATGTTCATGACGAGCATCAACAGTGCTCAGATTGTGGGGGACGGTCATCATTTCGCCAGTCACCAGATGGCCGGTCTGGTCACGGCACCCGGAGTCGATCGCGAGTCATCGGACTCGCTCTGGCAAACAGGAAGCGACCATAACGCTCAATAGGCGACGGAAGAGTGGAGGAGGCTTTGGAGGAGCAAGAGGACAGAGGACGCGAGAAAGAGTGAGAAACGGGCGCTTGTGCAGAGGGTCAGAAGCCCAGAACTCTATTGCGGTTCCAGGGGGTGCAAGCCCTGCGGATAGCGGCCGCCTTTAGCGCGCCGCCAAAGCGGGAGCGAACCAGGAATTCCAGGATTCTTGACCGGAAGGAGGGAAGCGTCGACGGGGCGGCCCACGAGTGCCGTTTGCCGGTGCTGTCAAGGTCGCAATTCAGTCGCCATCAAGTGTCAACGTCCCCTTGACACCAAATCCCAAGGGGGTGATCTTTGCGTGCCAGAACTAACATCCAGACCCCCTCGAAAGTTTAAGCACGCCGGTGCTGCAGGTATGCCAGTGTGAACGGTCAACGGCAAACAAGATAGATGCAAGAGGTAGGTTGCGGTGTCTCGTTGTGAGACGAATCTGTATAGATACTTGAGGCTTCGCCCTCTGCATTCTAATATCCGAATCATCACCACGGCTTTTCCTTCCTTCAATCCTTCCGCCACCAGATCGACAAGATACCAAGCCAGCCACTCGTTTCCCTTATCAATATATCACATCCACACTCATTGCCTCGACCAACTTTCAATCTCAATCTCATTTAACCCTGGCTGCCACCATGCATCCTCGCACATCCTCTCTCCAACAACCACCAGCTGCCGTTATGAGCTACTTCGACTTTCAGCCTGAGGAGTGCTCGGTATCGCCGGTCAAGAAGTCCAATCTTCGCTGCCTGGACGCTTTCCACGACCGCCCTACCACACCTTTCGAGTACCCTGCCAATGCAAGCATCTACGCCAAACGTGCTCTTCCTCCTCTTCCTTCACCAGCAGCTCTTCCCGCTCTCCGCAACTGCTCGTCATCAGAGTCCATGGCTTCATCAGGACCCATCAGCCGACCAAGCACTGCCATGTCCTGCAGACAGGACAAGTCTCTTCCTCCTCTTCCTTTCCGCCTCCAAGAATCACCTTCGTTCGATGAGGAGTCCTGCAAAGAGAACACAGTCATCGTCCAGGTCTCAAGGCCGCGTCAGCACCGTGGCTACAGCTTCCGTAGCCTCTTGAACAGACACTCTGAGGATGAGTTCCCCTTGTCTTCTCCCAAGAGCGTCTACAGTGTTACCCGTGACTCTCGCACCGACTCTGTTATGGGCGACTACAGCTTGACTCAAGTCAAGACCAACGGCACCATCTCTGCCACCAGCAGCAGACGCCCTTCTGCCCTTTCTCTTACTCACCTCAAGGCCGCTTCCAAGAAGATCAACGCCAGCGCTCCCCCGGTTCCCTCTCGTCCTTCATCCCGCAAGGGAAGCACCAGCAACCACAACCAACACCGCTGGGGCACTCTCTTCCGCACCGTCGAGGATGACAAGGAGGACGTTCCTCCCATGCCCGCCACTCCTGGTATGATGCCTGACTTGAGCTTCAACCGCTGCTATTACTTCTACGCCCGCAACTGCAATGGCTACGTCCTTTCTGGCAGCTCCAGCGGTGATGCCTGCGAGAACTGCGCTCACTCCGGTTTCTTGGGATCGCCCTGATCAACCGCTGAGAACTTTGCTGCGAACATGTTTCAGAGCAAAGCATTTCCTCCACCAAAACCAGGCTTCTAGCCATCTCTTCGACATGACCTCTACGAATCATGAAGGCATAACATCAAGCCCGAGCAAAGCTCGAAGGCACGCCGAGGCATTCACATGCCATTCGTCACGAGGAATCATGCACGAATTCAAAATCCTCATGCTGAAAGATGCATAGAGGTAAGCACAGGCACGAACACAAGTGTTCATGTATTCACGACCTTATGTGGAGTACCAAAATCTTCTGGGATACATTCATATAACTTTTCACTATGTATGAACGAACTCTGCCTGCCTGGCACATCTTTTTTTCTATGTCCTTCGTACAGAGGAGGAAAAAAATTCATAATAATCACACAATACACTCATTTGACCACCAATCTTCTTTTTCCACTCATTTTCCGTGACTCTCGCATCGGTTTAATTGCGAGCTCTCGTAAAAGCTATCTCTCACCATAACAACAAACAACAGCACAGAGCAAACATCAAAACAAAGCAAACGGTTTCACAACAGCCAGGGAGGATTTAAACACGAAACGGTGTGCCTACAACGTATAACAGTTCCGTATCCGTCTGCTCCCTCCCCCCTCTCTTCTCAACAGGAGTAGTTCTGATCCAATCTGCCACAGGGGAGTTTCTCGCTTCTTGTGCCATGTGGATAAGATAAATGCCACATTTAAACGTATAAACAGTAAAGCGAGATTGATAGTAAATCCACAATCCAACAATCCCGATCCGCGAACACGTCTAGGGAAGGAAGTCACGTTTTGAGGTGCCTGTGGATCGCAGGGCTGAAGAGAGGAACCACGATCGCACGTGAGAAAGTGCATTGTGCATTATTGCGTGTACTCTGTACAAACACTTTGCAGACGGCTATTTTTCCTGTAGTTATCCTCATGAGCCTCTGAAGTTGCTTTGTACCTTTGCCTCCGTCAAATCCCTAAACGTTATGTGTCTAGCATAATGCAGAAGGGTAAAACAGGCAGTTGTTCAAGCGAAGGGCGGAAGCGTCAAAGCCGAATATAGAACATCGCCTCCACCTGAGCATTCTGACTATCGAGGGAGCAGGAGGAGGGGTTCCACGGGCAAAGGGGTACTTGTGTTATCTGCATTGGGAAGGCCATAACCATCTGTCTGTGTACGAACAGTAATCAACCAGACCTCGGAGGACCTCCAACCTATCTTCCCCCTCTGCCTCGGCGGAAACACGCGGAGAATTAACCAAAACACAAAGACATGCTCTCCTTCCAGAAGCACCTTGCCAAAAACTCTCCTTCGCTTGTTCAGAAAGATTAACCGCCCGCAGAGACAGTTCAGGGGATTTGTGGCTTCTTAGGCAAACGGTTCACTACTCCGCAGCCAAACATGCACAGCATCGGCAAATCGAAGCTTTTTTCGACCCAAGCGAAAGTTTTGGCATTTGATTTTTAACTTTTGTGCAGATGAAAGCGCGCTTCGAGATGCGTGTTCCGTTCACAACAAGGTTGGATCTCGACCACGCAACACGGTGCAAAGTTCACGGTTCAATTGCTCGCATGGTGGAAAAGCATGGTAGAAATCGTGGAGGTGGGTGGCAAGTTTACACGTGCGTGTGGTTTCGCGCGGCCTCGGTACTTGAGAATTAGAGTTAGGGGGTTAGACGAGGTGAGTACAGGTTTTGTATAAAACAACAAATGCAGTGCCCCATTTCTCTCGGAAGCTTTTGAATATACTGTACATATATCCTTCTTTTACCGATGAAGTAGACAAGTACAGCAATCGTAAGGAACAAGTCTTTTTCGTATCTCGCCGAGGGTTCTTCCAAGAAGTGTCTGAACCCTACATATGGCGTAACAACAACGGGCAAGCATGCGTTTGCCTCTATGATTGATTAGGAAAGCCTCACACGTATGCCTTTGCTGTAGCCAGGCCGATAAGGCACACTTATCACACTTCCGTATCCCGATGCGACTTGAAATCCTCTTTCAGCTCTCGTCATACAAGCCATTCCAATCCCACAACAGGGGATTGCAGCAAGATCGCACGCCACTTGCGTGAGTGTATCGATGTAGGCAAGTGAGATAGTGTACGTTGTTCTTATCCCCCAGAAAAAGCAACCATGCTGTCAGTGGCTTCCAGTTCGTGGCGGTCGAGAACGCCAACAGGGTGTTTTGACCCTGCGCATCGTGAAGCTCATACCGCGAGAAAGTTGGCAAAGCGCTTCTCTCGATCGACTGCATCGGCGTAGCCTACACGGCTCGATGGCCATCCTCCTCTCCATCCTACGATCGGCGGAGAAGGTCGCTACGATCTGCGAAGAGCCTCAGCTCATGCCAGATGTGCATGTACGTGTAGCCTTGCCAACCAGGCTATTGAGGAAGACGAAAGAGGCATTGTTCGGCGAGCCCATCACCACCATCTTACACCGAACATCTTGCCTGATGCTCTTTTGTCGAGTTTCCAAGCCTCTGCATTCTCGAGCCAAATGCGTTCGTGACCAGGTACATCCAGAGCTAGGTGATGGTACTTGAAGTCACTTTCGTCCCTGCGTTTCGTCATGTGCACATTGACGGTGCCCACGGCTAGTGAGCCACCAACGTGGAAGTGCATCCGCATGTGTGTCGTTCCGATACCGTCCGTTTCAGATTTCGAGCTACACGGATATGTCAGTATACAGCTGAACATTCGAGGCTTCAAGAAAGCTTACGAAATGTGATCTCTCGCAAAGCGACTGTTGCGCACAGCGTTTTCTCCCCAAGCCTCAATCTCTCCACCCTTTCCTCTTCCAGCAAGGATATCTATACATTTAGGATCGGTCCTGACGCGTTCGAAGGCGCGGTTGTAGACGGCGGTTTTGCTGTCGCTGCTGAAGACTTCCAGCCAGAGAACGGTCGCTACACCGCCAGTCATGACGAGGCCGAGGATGACGACAGCAAAGTTTGCTGATTGTTGTGTTGTGCGTGCTCCTCTTTCTTTCCATGACAACTCAGACCAAGGAACTCGCCCTGTGTCATTGGCGATGGTGACGCTCTTGCGCGCGGGTCCGGAGGCGGATGATGTGGACGAGCTCGTCGCTGTGCGCAGCTGGGTGTATGCCTGGGTTGATCGCAGGCCGATGCGAGATGCCGGTAGCCTTGATAGAACTCGTAGAGACTGCATCGTTCGTGTCTGGTTCGAAATGATTTCTTGATGTCCAAAACGTCACTCTGAATGTTCTTCTGTTTCGAGAGCGCACAAGAGCTTTGGCCTTGGCACCATGACATGGCGGGGCACTTTCGGCAAGCCTCGGTCCGTGTTTGTTGTTTCCCTCTCGCTGCTTCTTACACCGACACGCCTTGTAAATATTTACTAACAAAAGTTATGGATTCCGCTGCTGCTTTGAACCGCCTGCTTGCGGTGTTGACTGAGCGTGGCATTGGTCTAGGCTACGATGAGCTTGGTTGGTTGTTCGAGAGCCCCCAGTATAAAGACTCTATGACCTCCTGGGTTCATGAATACCTGAGTCCTGCTACTCTTTTAAGCCTCGAGGAACATGATCTGTATGTTTAATGGTAAGATAGCTCACAAGAACTCTGCTGACATGTTGGAGACACGCACATATCCTGCAAACGAACTACAAAGCCACGACTACAGATGGCATGCCACAGCCCATGCAAGAAACTGATTTCGAAAATGCCATCAATACCTTGGAAGCAAGTACTGCCGCAATAGAGAAACAAACTGCTATTCTCGAAGCTCAAAGAAATGCTTTGAGGAAGCTGCAAGCAATAAACCAGGAACCCGTCTCGGCAATTTCTGAAAGCGACGAGAAGAAATCTAGCCAGGCACGAACGAAAGCCCAGTTGGATTTGGAAACAAACGAGCTCACCGAGGCGATTCAACAACGAGTTGGTGTGACTAAGCGTCACGCGGAATCGAGCCTGACTCTGCTCAAGACCTCATCCCAGCGTCAGCTTGACAAGGACGATCGCCTACTTGATGGACTGCAGAAAGTCATGTTCAAGCTAGCTCCACTGGAATCGAGCGAGAAGCAGCTCCCTGATTTTAATCTGCTTTCGAACGCACTGGTCAAGCTCGAAGGCAAGATCATCAAAGATCGAACAAATGCCACATACATCGAGACTCTCAATAGCCTGGCTGGAGAGACAGATGGGTTCGAGCATGAGAGTAGCGGACAAGCAGTACAGGAAGCATATGCGCTGGCCGAAGAGCTCGAGAGCTTGATCACAGAAGTGGACTCAGTACTCGAGATGACCATTAGCAGGCGATACCGAGCACCCATAGTCAATGCGCTTAAACTCTCCGATGCGCAAGCCCAACTCGAACAACAGAGCTGGTTAGAATATGTATGAATCATCTTGAACACGCACACGAGGAGACCCCAGCTGACAGTATAACCAGGTTGTGAGAACACTACATGAGCTGGCTCAAAAGACCGAAGATCTGGCCTCTTGCACTCAAGATACTCTAGCCTACACATCAGCAATCAGCCATGTCTCGGATGCACTGGCCCAAACACTTCCACCACCAAGCCAGCCACCATCTAGACTCGACCGAAAGCAGTCAGTCAGAGGTCCGTCGCCTATGAAGAACATGAACCCAATACTGCACCGCCAAGGAGTCAAAGATCCAGCTCTGGAAATACTGGGTTATCATGGCATTCGTGTCCCAGTCGAGTCTGGAACAGATGGCGAGGTCGTGTCTCAAGCCCTTCGGTCGGCGATATTCGAACGCCAATCACGTCTGCATGATCTGCAGAGGTCGACTGAACAATCTGTCGCAGCTCAAGTGGCTGAGTCGATCAACATGGTAGATGGAGAATTACAGAACCTGCTCGGAGTGCTATACGCTCATTCGCCATATGCGACCGTACATTTGGCGGACAGCAAAGCGAAAGATAGACTGGAGAACTTGGATCACGAGATCGAGGGCCTGGGTGATGGTATTAAGAGGCTGGATGTTGATCGATTGGCGGAGGCTGAGCAAACGAGGCTTTCAGCTGCCCTTGATGCCTAAGACTGATGCCTAAAATCTACGCCATCTAACAAGAGTATCTTTACAAACGTTCTTGGCATGCCTTACTCAAGCGCGTTTAGTGAAAACCAAAGGACATCCGTCCATCGGGAACAGCGTAGCGAACACCTTGATCTCCTCAGACAGCTCTGTCTCATAGTGCTTCCAATCAAGCTCCATCGCCGCCTTACCAATCATGCCTGCCATAGACAGTGGTACATACCTCCTTGCAAGGCAGTCATGTGGTCCTGCGCCGAACACAAGCCAGTTCTTAGTCTTCGACTCGGCATCGCCGGTGATCCATCTGTCAGGGTCGAACACATCCGGCTCAGGGGAGACTTGAGGATCATGCAAAGCTGGATAGCAGGACGGTATGATCATGGAACCCTTGGGCACGGTGTAGTTCGATGTGACGGGGAAGTCCTTGGTCGCAAGATAAGGAACGAAGATGACGGGCGGGCGGTGACGTAGCAGTTCTTTGACGACAGCGTTGGTGTACGTGAGAGACTCCAACATGGGCTGGTCGAACGGCTTGTTCTTGTCACCACCACGTGCATCCAAGTTCTCCTGTCGCAGTTCGTTGAGCACATCAGGTCGTTGAGCGAGGATCTGGAAGAGCCAAGTCGTGGCACTGCTGGACGCATCTTGTGAAGCGAAGAGGAAGGTGAATAGCGTCTCTCCGATCTCTTTGTTGGTGAACTCGCGAATCAAGTTTGGCGGTCTTTCCACATCGGTTTCTCCAGCGGCGATCTTCTCACGATACTGTTTGGACTCCATCATGTGTCGAACCCAGTGGTCAACAGTACACGTAGGCTTTGCACCAGTCGCCATCTTGGCCTTGCATGCGGCTGCACATTTGGCAAACTCAACATGGACAGCATCTGCGACTCGTTTACCTCGCCAGACTTTGGTACCCGGGATGTATATTGAGAGCGGAACATTGACCAACTCGAGGGCGGCAGTGGCCAAATAATAGTCGTCCGAGATCTTCTTGATTGCGTCCTGAGAGATGTAGTCGCCGAAGAACGTACGACATGACAGTGCACAATTGATCTCACGGAAAAGAGTCATGAATGGCATCGATTTGTTCTTGTTGGCTTCGCTGGCGGCAACAAATTTGTCGAAGTAGTCGGCCAACACCTTCTCTTGAACTGGGAGGTAAGTAGCCATGGCTTTGTTGGTAAACAGGGGTGCCAGCCCTCTGCGGTACTCTGCATGGTCTCTTCCTTGGAGGAACACCCATGCTTTGTGGCCGATGATGTCTTTCGCGACTGGGACTAAACATGGTTCGGCGTATGCGGGCGACTTGAAGACCTTATGAGCCAAGTCTCGATCAGAGGTGAGAACAACGAATCTATTGTAAAAGAATGTGAGTAGCTGTACCGATTGAGTGTGCAGAGAAACGACTACGTACTTATGAAAGACCGAAACGCAACTCAGAGGTCCACTGGCCCATTGAGCGAGGTATGAGTCGAACTTCGGATCGAGTGCTTGAAGGAACGGGCCCATGAGTGGGATCTTGAACGCAGGACCAGCGATGGAGCCCTTTCGCTTGATGTACATAACTGGCATCGAAAGTTAGCTGAGTCGTGACTGAGATTAAACATCTCTTCTTACCTTGATCATAAACAATCACAACAAGTATGAACGTCACGGCGTACTGCCAAGTGAACCATCCTTCAACGATGGCTGGCAGCGTGATCTGCGAATGCCATGACTGTGGTAGGTTCGGCTGTGAGAAGGAGACATTGTCGAGCCCAGCACTCATACTGGCTACGGTGATGGAGCTTTTCATGGTAGCAATTACGTTCGGCAATGGGCGATGAAACTGGAGGGAGGTGGCTTCCTGCTTTATACATAATCTTGCTACCATGCATCTCTTCCTCGGAACTTCCGAACTCGCCAAATGTCCAAGAGCCAAGCGTTCAACCCGTTGTTCTTCTACGCACACATAGAACTAGACTCCAAGTTTGAGGAGGACTAGGGCACTGTGATTACCCAGCGCGGTGATCAATCTCTCCTGGCATGATGTTGCGATGAACGACTCCGATACTAGTTGCCTCATTAGGACTAGTCTCCGATTTTGCGGAGTCTAGTCCTCTTTTGGTGGCCTCGGTAGATCCTTCTCAGAGCAATACCTACACGCCTCTCTTCGACTTATCTCCACCGCGCAATTCCATGAAGCAAAATTGGCATTATACGTAGGTCTCATGATTTGCGGTCCCTCGGACGTTCCAGCTTCCGACTTTGACGATGGAGACGCGTTCATTCTTGCGCTCGCTTGGACCTCAATCACCTGGGATTTGAGCACGACCTGAATGTTTGTGGAAAGCTCATGTCATTGATCCTTCATCTCGAGATGCGCCAGACTCTCAGGCGGTCCTGTGCAGCGTGCGCCAAATCAAAGGCTAAATGCGATCTCGGTTCTCCTCAATGCTCTCGGTGCATTAAACGACACATTCAATGTGCCTACGCAAACGAGCCATTGACCGCGACTTTGACCAGTGCAGAGCGGAAGGCTGGTCAACCATCAACACATCTTCAAAGTCTCAGCATAGGTCGATTCGGATCCTTAGATCCATTTGATTCGTATCCGCCAACAAGACTGCCTCGGGAACACGTCCAACGACTAATTCATACTTGTACACGCTTTCCCGCCAAGTTCATCCATACAGATCCACTGACGACCACAGTTCTTACCAAAATCGCTTTCCAGTACTACCCTCTAGACTTGAACACGACGCCTAATCCATTCCTCGTCTCCTGGTGGCCACTGGCCTTAGGCGATCCTGCGTTGTTCCACGTTTCGCTTCAAACAGCATGTCTCGACGAAGAGCTATTAGCCCAGAAGGGGTTTCAAACATCCGAAGCTCTCATGGCTGACTCTGTGGCTCTACTACGACGTAAGCTTAGTCATCAGACCTTAGCAGTACAGGACGGGACTATGAATTCTGTCATCACTTTGGCAGCCATCGAAGTATGCTTGTCCTTAGAGCCTTTTATACTCCTTATAATGTTCATGCGGCTGACATGTGGGCCTAATAGTTTGGAAAGGGTAATGTTGTGGTTAGCCAGATGCATGTTGAAGGCGTAAAGAGAATGGTGAACACAAGAGGTGGTATCAATGGCGTAAGGCAAACAAGTCCACTTACCGCCAGGATGGTCAGCTGGTAAGTCAAGCTATCTCCATTCTGATATCTCGCGCTGATTGTATCATTGGAAGGGTATCAATGCTCATCACAGGTCATCCTCAGTTTGAGACTCAAAATGATTTCGGGGCCGGAAATGGCATACCATCCATTCCGGAGTGGCATCTGGATCTGGGTACCTACCATGAATACCCTACAGCGCTCGATGGTCTTCTCGTCGACGAATCAGTCAGGAACGTCTTTATCCGCCTCTATAAAGTCTTCGAAAGAGCCCAAAGAACCCCCATATCAACCACACAACTTCATGATCTCACATGCTACGTTATACACCGACTTCTGCCCACAACTTCGGACCTGGAGAGCGTTTCGTCATCGTCACCCACTGAGTGTATGCGCTACGCCGTTGTATTGTACATGTTCATCACTCACGGGACGACGTACTATCCGCACACGTTTGTCCTAAATCGGACCCTCGTGCAGTTCAAGATCCAGCTTGAGAAATCAGAGTCGTCACCCTGGCTGTACGACTCGTTTGGTATCTGGCTTCTTGCGATTGGCATGGTGGCCTCAACTGGCACACTCCGTTATCAGTGGTTTCTTGAGAGAGCAAGAACCATCGCTACCTCTTTGCAGCTGCGGAGTTGGGATGAGGTCTTTGTTCACATTAAAGGCATACTGTGGTTAGAGACGCTGCAAGGTGAACAGAGCTTTCGACCTCACTGGGATATCTTGTTTAGAACTACAAGTCTACCTTGTCTTCCAGAATGTGTCGTCGACTTCTCATGGCGGCATAGAACGCCCTAGAAGGTGACATCTCACTTGCAGCCCAGGTCGGTATCTCGGAAGCCATTCATTTCAATCGTCCAGCGTGAGACCAAGAAAAGACAATGATCTGACCACATCCTTGACGAGCTTCGAGTCATACTCCGCCATCTCCCCACTTCTCTCTCGCAGCTCCGTCACTGCATCCGCGACTTCTCCCAAGCCTTGTTTTGTCGGCGCTGTATCTGCACCAACCTGGAGAACTTGTTTTCTCCAGACCATTTTATTGAGATCTTCAATGAGGTACACATTCTTCTTCTTCTCGTCAATCTCTCTCCGGACCCAATGCCTCTCCAGCACCTGCATGAGGTTTTTAACGAGATTCGACAAGTGTGCAAACTTGTTGTATTGTGTCATGTATGCTTTCAGCAGTCTACGCGCTGAATCGCCTTCCTCATCATTGTCTGTGATGAAGATATAGCTCCGGACACCATGACAGTAATTCCTGACTTCTTCTTCGAGATAGCGGTAGAGATCTTCACCGCTTAGGGATCCTTTTGGCGACTTGGTGGCAGTACAGTAGCTGTGTATAGCGGTATAGATCTTGATATAGGTATCATGGTCTAGCTTGGGAGCATTGTCATCTTGCTGGTTTGCGCTTGCTGTCGAGTAGATGGCATGTATCTGACTTTGGATGAAGGCGAGCGTTGTAGCAGGATCCTCAGTCGTCTGTCGCAAAAACGCCGGAATCTGAGGATCAGAAGAGGGCTTTTTGGACTCGTTTATTATCATTTTCGGGGTTAAAGATGATGGCATCCCGATGGAGCAGGAGCTCGCTTCCTTTTGTTGCTTTGGTGGACAGCAATTTTCAGGCAGCGATGCAAAGGATTGTGATGTCATGCCTTGGTGCCAGCCATGAAAGTCCAAATTCTCTAACTCAGAAGCCTTCGCTCTGCTTACTGATCAGTGAAGACATCGACTCATATGTACGTGTCCTGGTATTACACAACTAGCATGTGTCGCACAATGTAAATGCATTGTGGGTTGCATAATTACGGCATTGGAATGTTCAAGGTGTGGAGGTGCTGTTCCGATCGAGAAGTCCACCGATGTCAACAGCTGGTGTTTTATGGGGACAATATCGTTTCCCTCGGCGCTTATTCATTGTCGACGGGCTGTCGGGAGGTCCGCAAGGAATTTGAATGCAGGCGGATCGATCAGCAATTACTGTGACACTAATTTTACGTCCCATGGGGCTCAGTCGCCGTTTGGAAAACGAGACGTGTAGACTGCGAGAAGCCCGTCAGCCTCGTCGCGTGCGCAGTTTCCTGCACCTTGGGGCTTGGCATCTTGTGGCTGCGTGAAGGTCGTCCGTGATTTGGTACTCGCCGTATCGCTGGATTCAACTTGTAGTTGGGCTATGAGCATGCACGCGTTCACGGCCGGTTAGATCGCTTGTTTTGTGTCTGCTTGCTTGCGGATAAGAGCTTTCCGCTCTGTGAAAGCCGGCTTCTGCCTTTTTCTTTGCGGTATATGGTACGTGCATTGTTCCAAAATAGTTATTGAGGTATGTGTGTTTCCAGATAAGTGCAGGAGTCTTATCGAAAGCCAGCCACAGCCTTACCACATGATGCGTTGTTTTTAAAGGAGGATGTCGCCACCATGGTAGCCTTTGCTGTCACTCAGACGCTCCTCATCTCAATCATTCCTTCCGGCACCCCGATCAATGCGCAAGTACAAAGACCCATACGAAGTGCGCTCCCAACCATTGTGAAATACTCCATGTGCCGCCCATGAGTCCCCAGCTTTTGAAGCGTTTGTCCGAAAGACTTCAGCCAGGGTCAATGGTCTGCGAGGAAATTCGCCAGGCTTCGCTAGAGTCACTCTTACCGGAACCTGAGGATGCTCAGCGTTTTGCGACTGCACAGTCTTGCAAAGATGTGTGGATAGCTTACAGAAGATCGCACGATATGTCATTCCTCAACTTGGTCTCAAAAAGGCTGGGTTGGTCGCAGGACGTCAAGAGGAGGATACACAAAGACCGACTGAACAGCCTGTCTGCTTTGATGTGGTTGGTAGATGATTTGAAGAAATTTGAGAAGCTTGTTAAGTTGTTTCGGCTCGAGGAAGAAGACGTTGAAATCCAAGGGAACAAGGCCTTTGAGAATATCAAGGTCGTGGCTCGCGACCGTATTGATGACAACGCTTTGCATGAAATCCGGAAGATACTCTGCAAGAAAACAAGAGACGTCATCGAAATGAACAATGCTGTCGAGGAAGCACAGCAAATATTCTATCCTATTCGAATATCATCTGTTGAAGACACACAGCGAAATCTTCCGCGCGGGAGACGATTGCCGCTGCTGGAAAGCTTGCGCATTTATCCTACGTTATCGAACGTAAAAGGAGCGGATATAAGATCGGAATCGCCAGAAAAAGCAGTGTATACTGTGAGAGTTGTCGAGGCTTATTTGCCTCCACATTCTCCCACTGTCTTTCGCGTATGTCTGCGATCTTCACCCGAAATGAGCTGTTGTAAACTGATGTCAAGGGTAGGTCGCAATCAAGAAAGCCAAACTATTGAAAGTGACCAAAGAGATATCTGCCTTGACCAAAATTGCCCAATGCATTTCGAGACCTGACAGTATTATGGCCTCTCTTGGAGCAGTTCGGATAGATAATTGGTGTTACATTTTTTCTGAGCTAGCAGACTGTGACCTCGAAATGATTCTGCTCCAACAACTCGTCATCGACCTGGAAGATGAGCCACCTGGACCAAGTGGCCTCACATGGCCCTCTTATTTCCTCGATGGATCACTTGACATTGCCAAAGGTCTGGAGTGGCTTCATTACCATATACCCCCCCTGGAAGGTCAGCCTCAGCAGTGCTTCCATCTAGACCTCAAGCCAAATAACATTTTGGTGTTCGGGGCTGAAAAATCTTGGATATGGAAGATCACAGACTTCGGCGAGGCGTCTTTTTGGGTTCATAATGAGAGAGTCATCAGCGGTGAATGGAGCCCGTACACCAACACTACTCGCCCGGCTGACATCTACCAAGCTCCAGAGGTAGAAAGGCATGAAGTGGGCCGAGCCTGTGACATCTGGTCATTTGGCTGCATTTTAACCGACATTCTGGTCTACGTCTGCGATCCGAGAGGCGGTGTGAGAGCGCTTCATAGAGCTCTAGAAAATGCTCGTGAGACAAGCGAGCAAGAGCGGCTCGCTTTCTATGGGCGGGAAGAAGGAACCGGCACCCCCTCTCTCAAACGCGAAGTGGTTGAGATATTGAACGACATGACAACATCCAATGTTCCCTGGGTTCCCCCATGCAGAGATATGGTCTTGGAACTGCTTCAGAGTGACGAAAGCGCGAGGCCCTCGGCTATCATGGTCAACAACGAAATACAAAACTTGTTCGACCATTTTGCTAGTGAAGGGTACTCACAGCCTCGAATCCCGAAACTTTACGCGCATCATCCAGAGGGTCTATCATTGTCACCACTCCTGAAGTCGTTCAGCAACAGATCATCTCCGCTATGGACCAAGCGATACGTCTCGAAGGTCAACGCCAAGAATATCTTTATCGCAGAGAACGAGGCATGGTTGATCTACCAGAGCTCCGAAAGCATCGGCTCTGTGCGGCTTACTGAAGCTGCGCTCTGGGACAATGACGAAGGACTTCCGCAATTCCAAACGCTGTTTCCAGATCTTACAGAGATGAAGAGCATCAAATTTGTGAGCAATTCAGGCGCATACTTGGCAATCCTGCGCGATGGCGCATCCAGAAATAAATACATTGTGAGTTGTGAATGGACATGTTATGCAGCAGCTTACTCGAAAAACAGATCATGGTGCAACATCTTGGCCAAGAAACAGATCCCGAGAAAGTCGTGCTTGAGTCAAGGTCTCCGCCCTTCGGCCTATCCAATTCCCGTGATGGCCATATTCTGGTCCGCTTCCGAGACCACGTTCGGCTGTACTGCCGAAATCATACAGGGTCAAGAAAATCTTATGACAAAAAGTTGGTCTCCGAACTAGAAACTGCATGCTTCAGTGGAGATGGTAAGTATGTCTACGCGTGGTCCGTCGCAGACCAAGGTCCAGAAGGAGCAAGAAGTAGATTCTGGTATGTCTGGGAAACAGCGAGTTGGATTACTGAGGATCCCCCCCCCGTGCCGCTCGAATGCCAAAAACCATGGGTGAGTCCAATAAGCCTATCTTTGTTGCAATACCTCTGACCTTGAATGTACAAGACTAATCGGCACAATACGCCTGGTGTTCCGTGTCGCGAGATCGTGGTACCACTGGATGGAATACCTTATCACTTCGATAATGGTGACCCACAAGGCGTTCCTGTGTTGCTCCATTTCCTGAGTTTCGATGATCTCGGTCATGTCACCCTTGTGTTCACCCGATCAGGCTCTCTACATTCCGTCCAGCTTCAGGATCGTATCACCGGTGTGTACCAAGCCTGTGCCTTACTCGAGAGTCACAAGCCAAGGGTATTCCTCGTGCGCAGTAAGAGTGGGCGAGGCTTCAGGGTCCAATCTTTTGCCCTCTCGGATATCCTGACATCGACTTGGTATCCGAGATCACTCGATGATACACCAAAACTCGCAGAGGTAAACATGCTTACCATGTTGACAGAGAACTTCGATACATGCAATATCAGCTTTGTAGTGAGTCACTCGGAAGTTGGAAGTATGGCTTACGCAGCTGGAACCGAGGATCGAAGAATGGTTGTATACAAGGCCAAACTTCGATGAGTATGGCCTACTTCTGAATAATCAGGCATCCATCAATGCTTCAAGATTCTGCCAGAAGATGTTGACTAATTGCGCCATACCAATGAATGCTCAAGCCTTTTCCAAATTGTCTAAGCTGTGGGCCTGCGCTTTGTTTTTCTGATGCCTGACCGCCAACCACCACGCCATGCCCGTCAGAATGGTTAAAGGGATTGTGACTGCCAGATAGATCCAAAAGTTACTTGCTATCTCAATCTTCGCTCCATCTCCAAAATCAAAGTAGTTCATTCCAAAGATACCCTGGAGTGACATATCAGCTGTCAGTCGTGCTCAAGTTTTTTTCAGACATACCGCGACGAAACTACCCGGTAGATAAAAGAGTGTAGCAAGTGTAGCCAGCTTCAGGACGGAGTTGTCTTGAATTGACTCCTTCGTCAAGTCAAGGGCGTGATGGTTTATGTCAGCAGTAGTTGTTTGAGTCCGAAGAATCATTGCGTTCGAGACCTTGGCTGAGAATTAGCCTGTGCAAGTCAAGCACCCGACATGGGTAATGTCTCACCAACTTGAAGATGCCATTGATCCTAGTTTCCAAAGCGACCGAGGTCGCCAGATACCCGTCAGCGCGCGTACGCATGGCGTCCAATGACTGTTTCACTTCCTCCTGCTCAAGTTCGTCATACATTCCGCTTCCACACAAGGCTTTGCTCAGTGTGACCAAATGATCTAGCAGGGTAATTGATGAGCGTATCATATTTGGTATGACCTGGACCTTTTCTTCGAGCGCTTGCAACTTGCTCATGGTGGTAAAGTTGATAGTGTCCTGAAAGTCTCTGACGATATTGAATTTGGCCGCCAAGATAAATCTGCGCTGAATGGAAGTCAACGCTTGCACAGGAATTAGATAGGTCATAGAGGATACGCTAACCTGTTCATGAAACATGTCTGCCAGATCAGCAAGAGCGAGGCGCCAATTGTCCATATATGTAGACAGAATTGCCAAATCCAGACGCAGTGGGTTTCTCTTGATGCTCTCCCATTTTCTCTGATCTTCTGCTTTCAGACTGATTGTCCTTTCAGCTTTAGAACATGGAACAGGGTTCAACATCAACAAGAAGCTTCTGGATATTCCGTCGTCAAGGTTTATGCGATGGTAGATTTCAGTGCGTCTAATCGACCATCGAAATCCTTGCTTTCGACCATTCAATTCTGGATATTTGAGCTGATAGATAAGCTCTGTCAAGAGATTAGCATATCACTACCTGATGAACATGGGCTTCTATTACCGTAAGAGTGAGTGTTTTGCGAGCCTTTCACAAGATGAGTTTTTCCATAACTGCCTTCTGCCACCTGCACTTCTTTGTACAGGTTGTACAACACGTCCAAGAACAGCACGGACACTTGATATTGTGCCAGAAGCTTTTTGAGTAGTGATTCTGTGATGTGAAATGGCTGCAAAGAGTTGCCTTGGGCAATGGAACTTCGCAATCAGTTAGCGTGTGCATTAGATATTCCTCGAATCAAAATTCAACATGATCCTTGTTGTGATCGGCTGAGGACTAGTTATGGAAAAGTAGTCTTCAACGTTCGACTCGCTGTCGAAGCACCGCTGGATGCATTCGCCGCGATCTCGCAGAGTAGTCAGCAGTGACCATTCGGAGAAGCCTGGGATGGTGCTGCTCACCCGTGCAATCGATGGTTTTCAGCTGGATCTTGCTTCCGGAAATTGACCTGCATGTCTCGGCAAAGTTTTGTTTGCAAAGTTCCTCGTCAATACCGAGTAGTCCTTTTGAACCCAGCAGCTCAAGGTTGAAATCGTCAGACATTGTTTGAAAAATGGATGCTCAGCGAATTCTGCTTATGCATCATATTATATACCTTTCAATGTGTCATTCACAAGTACTGAATGCTCATAGCTGCGCCCACGCTGCGCCCACGCTGCGCACACGCTGCGCCTTACTTCCAGCCGCTTTGCATCTGCACACTCAAGCAGCCTGCAGGCGCAGGCCCGTCACAAATGAGTACCTGCTAACGTCTGATGAGCCATTTGGCATTACTCTACGCCTCCAAATCATTGTTGCCTGACTCTCATTGCTCATAAGCCACCTGCAGATGACGTGTGTCGAGGTGGCAGAGACGATCGCGATGTTGACCGGTTCGAGCGAGGCTTGATGTCGTGAATCCTTGCCGCACGTACGGAGCAGTCTTATCAGCTCTCGACGATAAATCCGATCACAACCAACACGACGTAGAATGATCACCTTTGGATTGATAGACAGGTTGTTTAAGGTGTAGAATTCAAAGATAAGGCCATATTCAGAGCTGAGGGAGATATCAAGCTTCGGAGAATTACTTGAAAGCGGCTCATATCTCCAAAATACCTATCGTGAACGCCCTTCCGGGTTGCCCTCAAAAATCATACAGAAGGCACATGGTGTTGAGTCAACCTCTATCTCCTATAACATGCGCTCTCGAAGTAGACGTGAACTAAGGTGATCGATGCTTGTTTCACGATCTGCGACATAACTGACATAACCCGCGCAGGCGAGACTTAGGAAAATGGCAGATCTTTGTAAGTACTCTGTACCCTGTGCTGAGTCCAGTGTATTTTATACGCATCTTTAACAAGCTAGATGATCGTGATCAGTACCACAATCGGCGTGGGCTTTTTCGCAAATTCTGGAGATACCTTGGCTCTTGCAGGTCCGGTTGCTACCATACTTGCATTTGCGGTAGTCGGGCTTGTGGCCTGGGGTGCTATGGACGGCCTGAGCGAAATGGTTGTCTTCTGGCCTGTGCCCAACCCTCTGGTACAATTTGTGCAGACCTTTGTGGACAGAGAGCTTGGTACCGTGGTTCATTTCGCTTATTGGTAACGAGAAAGGCTGCCAACAAGATCCTGTCATTTGATTGACACGCCAATAGGTACACATACGCCATTTCTACTGCAGCCGTAATAACCACTGCTGGTGGGATCGTGCAGTATTGGTCCGAAGACGATGGTTCAGAATTAAAGGAGTCAAAGGTCTCAAAAGCTCTGATCTACATCACGTTCCCTATCATCATTCTGTTGGTCAATTGCTCGAGCGTCAAGGTTAGTCCCAGTGTTTCTTATGCACTTGCAGGTCATTCAGCTCATGATTCAGGTGTTTGGATATGTCGAGCTGTTCGGAGGCGGCTTGAAATTGCTCATGGTGGCCGGCTTGATGCTCATGATGTTTCTCATCGACTGGGTGGGTATGTACAGAACTAGAATCAAGTCATCGAGAGGTGGTATCACTGACAGCCACAGCGAGACCGTACCCGGGAGGGCGCAATCTCTCACACTGTAAGTTGACTCTGCGTCTTATGTTCCCCTACATTTGTCACAGAGCAAAAATTGATTCTCCGAAGGCATCAAAGACGGGTTTGTTGACCATATGGGCACAGACAAACGTGTCGCTGCTGTGTAGGTACCTTCAGTGCACGATCCTAGCTTCTCTAATTAGCGTTGCAGTCTTGCAATAAATTTAGCCGTCTTTCCCTACGTCGGCGTAGAGACATTCACCATCACGGCGTTCGAGGCAAAGAATCCAGCTGCATTAAAACTCCCTTCGAAGAGGATAGTACCGTTCGTTATGCTTCTATACACATTGAGTGTACTTGGCTTCTCCCTCAATGTTCCATGGAACAATGGACTGCTGCCTGTCTACTATGGAACCTGGGGAGATCCAAACACTGCCAACAATAATTTTACCTGTAACAGCCACCCCCTAGATCAGAAGCGGGCAGCGGGTGACGGCCATTTTCTCCCTACCATCGCTGTCGATTTAGCCAAAATTGATGGTCTGTCTGGTTTCATCAACAGCTGCCTGTTGTACTCCGCCCTCAGCACCGCCAACTCGAGTCTCTATATGGCATCCCGGATACTCCATAGTTTCACGGCTACTCATGGAAAAACCAAGTTTTGGTCCTATTTCAATCGACTCAACGATCAAGGAAGCCCGGTCTGGGCCGTCTGCGCCTCTTTGATTTTCTGCTGGGTGCCTTTTCTGTCATTCAAGGGCAACAGTGCAAAAAGAACACAGCAGGTGTTGATGTCCATTGGATCTACCAGCTGTGTACTTGTCTGGGCCGCACAATGCTTGGCATATATCAGATACCGGAAATGGCTTGCAAAGCATTCTAGGCAAATCGCAAGTGAGGAATGGAGCGGGTACAACGAGTACTATCCGTTCCGGTCGAGGAAATGGACCGATTTTCCATCGCACATGCAACCAGTCCTTGCCTGGATATCATGTGCAATGTGTATAATTGTAGTCCTGGGGTTTCCCATTGCTGGACTGTCTCACCCCGGTCACCTCCATTGGCTTATTGCTACCAACACGTACCTCGGTCCAGGACTATGTCTTCTCCTCTTGCTCGGACTGAAGGCATACAAGTGGCGCAGAGCAGAGAGAGGCTGGGTCCGATTAGGAAGTTGGGAGGAACTTCGGGCTGTCATTAAAAGACTTCGAAATGATAGCCTCTCGAACATACGCAAAGACGACAATGTCAACATTGATGGCTCGATCTCGCCTCCCCCACTAGGACCTGAAGACCATCCTTCTTCATTCGCCCTGCAATGTCTTGGGCAGAGATAGATTCGTTGGTGTCTAAATGCTTGGAGAACGTCTTTGGTGTGACGAGGTAGCTATCAGGGACGTCGCGGTCTGCGTTCTTCAGTATTCGAAGCTTTCGTCCTCTATCTTACCTCAAGCTATAATAGCGGTTGCTCCGTCCCGCTCGATAGCCCTCAACACCTCGATGTTTGCTCCAAGATACAAGCTTTTCTGCGTACTGCAAGGGCGCCACCTTGTCGACGCGAGTTAGTGACAAGGTCAATGACAAAACCTACTCCCACTACTCATGAAGAGTGTTGGCTTCCATCTCCTTGTCAAAGTTCGGGATGTGAGTAGTGTGGCACCAAGGCTTGTCTCCTTCCTCCTTACGAACAATCTCCGCAAACCAAGGACACCTACGAATGCTTGGGTAAGTCTTGTTGATGTTATCACGCGTGGTTTCGTGGGTGATGTCGCCAAAGCTGTCGACACTCTCGTACTTGCCAACATTGTCGTACAAAGTGGCGAGCTGAATCAGCTGTCCCATGAAAATAGTAGTACCATCGACGCCCATGTCCTCATGATGAATGATGGCTTCAGCTACAGCCTCAGCTTGATTTTTGGTGGATCCGAGGTCCCTGAGGATTTCCATGGCCTTGATATCACCGTGGATGTCAAAGGACATCCTGGTCGAGGTGAAATAGTCCTCGGCAGTACCGATATCGTGCAGCAGACAGGTGAGCGCCCAAGTCACAGGCGAGAGCTCTGCGGCGTACTCGGGGAGAAGTTGCTTGCCGATCACGTATCCTGGAGCGATGTTCAGTATTCGCCAGTAAGCCCGAATGATCGAAGGACATACCCCAGTAGAAAACTCTCATCGAGTGGTTGAATGCTTCAGGCGAAAGACGCTTTTTGACGAAAGCTTGAGCATCTGCGACTAGGGCTACGTCGGATGGGAAGTAGACGTCGGCGACAGTGACTGGAGTGGGAGTGCTTATGTCTCCACGGGTTTGGAAGATCTGCTTTCCGCTGACGGGGACGGCGGTCCATCCGTTGGTCTTAGTCTCGTTGGCAGACATCGTTTCACTGATCTGGTGATCTGATAGCTGGATTGATGGTTGATGATTGTGATGGGCTTCTGGTTTCCTCCCAGTTAGGCAGACCGATAGGTTATATACCAAGTGGTACGCAGCATGTTGTGTCAAAGCTAGTGTGGAGCCAAGAAGAGAGAAAAGATGTCATTGACATGATTGACAACTTTCTACACAACCATTGTCACCAACCGAGCGAAAGATGTCTTCTCGAACGAAAACGAACAAAATAGTTTATGCCTTCGGATGTTGATCGTGGACGTCGTTGACCTCACCCGAGATGTTTGCGGATCAAAACCTTAATTGTGACGATTTTCTCGACTGCGACATGTCAAAGTCAGGGCGTGAACAAGAAGCCTAATGAATTTTACGTACATCCCAACAATGTCACGCCCTGTAGTATCCAGCTTCGGTATTAGCATAATTCTGGCACGCCTTGCCGCGACTGCATTTGGTAAGGCCGGGACTTGCGATGGCGAAAACAGCAATCGCCGGAGAGCTTGTGTGATCAGACCATTTCTGACTTAGGTGTATATCAGCATGCTTCCTACAATGCTTTGAAGATGGTCATATCATAATTCAATTGATTATAATTCATGCAGACAGACATATTTAACTTACAAAGCTTGACGCCGAGTATGAGCGAAATTCGTCAAGGTCAGTCAAGACGACTTGCAAACCCAGTAAGACATATTCTCTCCTCGACTTGATCTTTAGATCCTCAGTCACTAATACAAGTCAAACATACAGGGCCCGTTAGGCTTTGGTGCTTTTGCAACCACCCTGATGACGATTTCTCTCGCTCAGATGGGCTTTCGTAACGTCCTAAACCAGACAGTCTTTGTTGCAAATCTCTGTTTCCTAGCCGGTGTTGGACTACTCATCTCTGCGCAGTGGGAGATGGTCAGAGGTGACACGCTTGCATATACCGTACTCACCGCTTTTGGTAAATGACCCCCATTTCCCGAGCATGACTGAGAAGCTGATCAAGAATGAAGCATTTTACTATGGCGGCTATGGTGCTCTGTTGATGCCTTGGATGGGCGTTGTGGACTCGTATGGCGGTAAGACAATTGAGTACTATAATGCATTCGGCTTATATCTCTGTGGTATGTGGTCGTGATTTATTTGTATGCTGCATGTTGCTGATTCAGATGCAGTGTGGTCCATTCTGAACCTCTTTTTCTTCGTCGCTTCACTATCCACGTAAGTCGGATTCTCTTGCGTATAAGTCATGCAAGAATGCTTCACTGACCAACTGACCAGGAGTATCGCCAACATGTTTGTTTACGGCGGATTGGAGATTTCCTACATGCTGAATTGTGCAGCCAACTTTTCATTTGCTGACGGTTATTCCGCGCATGGCCAGGCATTAACAAAGGCAGCTGGCGCTTTTGGCTTCATCGCGTCTCTAGCCAATTTCTACATATTAGCGCATGAATTTTGTCAAGATTCCCTGCGGATGAAAGTTCCACTAGGCGAGACACGACGATGGGTGGAACAAGATGTCTTGTAATTCAGCGCAGCGTTGGCTGGTGGGATGGAGAAAGGAAGATCGCGCTGGTGAGTCGGAGCAGGTAAAACAAACCCAGGGGCAGGTACCACTGCCCAAGAGCAATAAACGCAAGTAATATATTGTTTCAAAACGATTAAGTAAGCACATACGGCCACAGTCAGCTGAAAACTGGGCATCCTGTCCGCTCTGCCATACATAAGCAGTTGAACGGCAGATTAGTACTACGGTGGGTGACCACGTGGGAATCCCTGCTGCTGTATGTTTTGCAATGTTTTTTTTGTTTAACCTATGTTAGTGTTTTGACTTTGCTTTGATTCAGCTGTTTGTTTGTTTTTTGGGTAGAAAAGCGTGTCACAATCAATTGACCAGAGTTTTGAAAGTGGAATGGCACCCCCACTTTGATGTGTTAGAGTAGCCGCGTCTACATCTTGATAGTGGCACAGAGACCTTTATCTGACATCCGTCTCCGCTGTTGGTATTATCACACTCTGTCTCGACATGCCAGAACAACGATGTTCACTTCCGTATTACATCGTGTTCTATTGGGCGGACTGCCTCTTTATTATGTCTGCGCAATGTCTCGGATGTTTGTCCCTAGGCACACCCCTTCAGAAGCTGAAGAGATAAGAGCACATTTTGGCGTCATCCAAGCTGATCTTCGCAGCACGCACTATATTTCGTTGGAGATTGAGGCACTTTATCATATCAAGATGCGGCATGGCAAGAGCTATACCTTGTTCCCTATGGCCAAGCCTTGCGGAGGTTAAGATAGGCGAACTGTGTTGGAGCTCGTCCGTCCCTCATTCAGATATGCTGTGCAGGCTTGATAGGCCATCAGGGGCCGCGAGTATATCATCACATCGGACATCTGTTGGATAAGTATCCAGACATATTCTTCAGTCGCAGCTCTGGGTCGTACTGCCATTGTTGTACTACTATTTGATCCGCGATGTCCGACATTACCGAGCCACAGAATCCAAAGTCTTTCGATGCTGAGAAAGAGGCAATCGGGACTCTTCTGGACCGTCCCGCTTCTATCAGAGCTGGCAAAATCGATGACCTCCAGGACGATGATCAATTCGAGGTGTTCAAAAAAGGCGAAGGAAATGTAGACTTCCGTACAGTCGGATGGATCAAAGCAGCCGTGATCTTTCTCAAGAGTAATGCTTGATTGACGACCGATGTCAAGATACTGACAAAGACACAGTCATTTTTGCCACCGGTGTCCTCGCCATCCCGTCCGCGTACGCCAGCCTAGGTGCTCTACCCGGAGCTCTCAACGTACTTGGCTGGTGTGCCCTAAACACCTATACGGGCATCATCCTGGGAGACTTCCGAAACAGACACGCTGGCTGTCATTCTGTCGCCGATATGGCCGGTGTCATCGGAGGTCCGATCCTACGTGAAGGAACAGGAGTGTTGTTCGCCCTGGCATATATCATCTGTGCTGCTTCGGGTATCATCGGCTCGAGTGCCGCTCTGAACGCTCTCTCCGAGCATGCTATATGTACGATGTGGTTCGCATTCATCATCACTATCGTAGTCGCCATCACGGCGAGTGCTAGGAAGTTCGAGACCATTGGGTGGTTTACCTGGGCTGGATTTTTCAGCGTGTTCGTCGCTGTGTTTATCGTTGTGTAAGTTGTGGTCGTTGTATGCAGTATCCAGAAGTCGAACGCTGACATCCTCACAGGGTCGGTGTGACGGTCGTTGACAGACCAGCCGCAGCTCCGAAGACAGGAGACTTCGATCTCGGATACCATATCATTGGTCATCCGACCTTTGCGGGTGGTATCACTGCTGCCTTGAACATCTTCTCCTCAAGTGCAGGTACTTCTGCCATGCTTCCAGTCATATCCGAGATGCGAAACCCCAAGGACTACAAGAAGTCACTGTACCTCTGTATGGGCTTCGTTACTGCTGCGTACCTTGCGTTCAGTCTGGTTGTTTATGCATACTGCGGTCAGTGGATTGCATCGCCATCGCTCGGGAGTGCTGGTCCCCTCATCAAGAAGATCGCCTACGGAATCGGCCTCATTGGGCTCATCGTTACGCCATGCTTGTATACACATGTGGCAGCAAAATACTGCTTTGTCAGAATCCTGCGAAACAGTCAACACTTGCAACGGAGCACATTCGTCCATTTCGCAACCTGGCTCGGCTGCACCCTTGTGCTCTCCGCTCTCGCGCTCATCCTCGCCGCTGCGATTCCCATCTTCGATTACATCATAGCTCTTGCTGGGAGTGTGTGCTTTGCTCCTTTAGCGCTCACGTTACCTGCCGCGCTTTGGATGTATGATTTCGCCGGGTATAGGACTGGTACCATACTCCAGAAAGGCGCATTCTATGCACATGCTCTAATGTTCGTCCTGGGTATCTTTATGACCGTGGGCGGAACATACGGAACTGTAGCCTCTATTGTTGATGCCTACGCTCAAGGTACTGTCGGGTCGGCATTCTCGTGTGCAGATAACAGTGGCTCTGTCAAATGATGTCAATTTGGCCGATGAGCAAGGTCATTGGGGAGGGTCGAGAGGTTGTCCATAGATCAGAATGATTGTTCGCGATACGCGCCCTGATAGCAATACAATCAATACTGCCTGGCGAAGTCCTTGTTTTTCCATTTAAATAACAAATTCTTGTGTGATGGTGACTTGGGAAGTCGCGAGGGAAGGACAAAAAGGTCTTTTTCACCGACGTCGTGGCAGTCTCGCGTCGTGCGCCCGGAGATGCGGGTCCACTTTTTTCACATCGCTCCTTCTTTGTCGCCTCGAGCACCATACTCTTCCAGTGAAGGAGATCACGGTGTTTTGTGGTGTCCATGAAGAAAAGAGCGAGTCAGCCGTCTTGTGAAGAAACAACGCTCGCCACTGACAGTCTGCTTAAACACGAGCATGTACTGGCATGACCGTCAGAGACCAACTCAACTCGATGGGTAAAATCAGCGGCTGCGAACACGAACATATTGCTATGAGGAGCAAATGATCAGGTTCGGGAAAAATCAGGACAGCTCGACTCAGCAAAGCCAGCATCTACGCGCCTGGGTCGTTTCACGACTGGGTTGCTAGCCGAATACATGTAGTCCTGAGAGTCCTCCACGTCTTTCCGTTTGCATCAGCAATATGTTGTCCACGACCGCTTACCTACTGTTTCTTGACCTCGTTGCGAAGGCTATTGCCACGCCAATACTGAGCCTCAGTCTAGCCCCCAGGCATCTAACCATCGCGCAGAATTTTGCAAATAGCTGTACAGCTGTGTTGGTCCAGTTCGAAGGAAGCTCTGCATACTCGGCATGGTTCGAGGAAACGGCTAGATCGCCTGTACTTGACGAGTAAGTCTAAGTTCGAAGTCATGTTCAAGAGCAGTTGTTTTGATAGATCTGTAGAGAAGAGGCTTATGAGCCCGCGCTCAATCAAGCACTCAGCGCCGTTCAGGCAGCAGTGAACCACATTCTCGATCAGCCGGCTCAGATTTCCATCTTAACCTGCCCTCAATCTCACCGGAAGACTGCTCTCAGAGCTATGTCGCAGCTCAATCTACTGATGTCCTTTGACCCATATGTCATACAATATCAAACCCCATACAGTGCATTGCACTACGCCTATCAACTCGGAAAATGCGAGATTGTTGGCTTGTCTGAGGACTGCGATCCTGAGGATATATTCGGGGCCGCTCTCTGGGTTGACTTCAACGCCGCTTCGTTGCGTATCAGTCTATTGGATTTTTCTGAATATGGCTGTATACGACATGCAACTTCCGATGCCATATTTATAGACGATGTTGCCTTTCCAAAGGTACGTCTCTTTCACCGATCCACTTTCTTCAAGGTTAATGTCAAATGTATAGGATGAAATCGAACAACCAGCGAAATTCCTGGAAACAGCTTTTGAGGATTTTCTCGACGGGTATACCGCGGTGACTGAACCGCAAGCTTCAAGTCATCACGAATTTGTACTGCTACGCTCGAAGATTGCTGCCATTGTTGTTTCTGGCGACCCTCTGCCTCAGTACCTCGAGATGTTACGAGACGCTGTAGACCACGTTTCTCCCGAGTTTACGGGTCGCATAATGGATTCAATTCCACCGTCAGAAGCTATGGCTATAGGGGCAGCGAAGCGAGGGAGATTGATCTGGGAGCATCCAGAGTGGTTCGCGATTCATGAGCAGAACATTGTGGCTACTCCTCATGAGGAGCTTTGAGAAGGAGACATAATCATAACTTCATATCATCATACATCGTCTCATCACACCCAACCCCTAACTCCTAAGATGATACCTCCAACAGTCATCAAAACCGCACTCACCAAGACCATCCTCCCCATCTCTCTACTCCTCCCAGCTCGATTAGCAATCAAGATCGTTCCACACGTCCCCACCTCCGTCGTCGGCAAATTACCCCCATGCGCATAGAGCGTAGAACAATACTGCTGGCCCTGTCCTTGTCCCGCATATACTGTAGTCTGTTGTCCTTGCCCGGCCGCATAAACCACAGTGGTTGTCGCATGTCCTTGCGTAACATATACAGTAGAAGGCTGCTGTTGCCATGTAGTGGTAGGTTGGACCCAAGAAGTTTGTTGTGTGTACCCGCCAGCCCCACCGCCAGCGATGGAAGGGTTACAGGTTTGACCCCAGGGGCAGCAGCCGATTGTGTTGTCGGAAGCGCGGGCGCAGTAGGTGGAGGGAGTGCAGCAGCTAGTTCGAAGATTTAGTATGAATATTATGATACTGAGAACAGAGATGGGAGAGCGGAAAAGTAGGAAGGAAGAAGGGTGGGAGGGGGGAGGGGGACAAGAGGGGCGCAAACATACTAATCTGGTTCTTGAATCGCGTTGCAATTTATCGGTGCCCAGGCAGGACATTGTGCTTGCGTCGCTGCTGTGAGATCTTGTTGCGAAACCCAGTATGCATTTGTCCAGCCGCCGCCTCGGGGTTCCAGTTGTGGGGGCTCGAGATGCTGTGATTCGGGTTGTGGTAATGCGAGAGTTTGGTCGGGGATCAGCGCGATCAGTAAGAAGGTAAGCGTGAACGAGAGCCATGGAAGAGCCATTATTATATTAGTTGAAAGATTATAGCGAGCGACTGTACATGGTATACGGAAAACAAAAAGAGAGACAGATCTCAAGATGATGAGCGCGAAGAAGGTGTTTGTACTTTTCAAGCAAGCCATGGAATAAGGCGTGTTGCCTGGTGGGAGTTTTACGAGCATCGAAGCACTATCGGCCATGATCCTTGTGATGCAGCCTTGTCCGTCATACATGCATGCAACAAACAAGGATGAGACGAGAAGTCCGGTGCTGCATGCCGTTGATAGAGAAGCTTCCGTGGTTTAGCCGCGTGCCTCGGCTCAGAATTGGTGATCGGTAACCGATGTTGTTTGGTAGAAGCATGCAACTACCCTGGACATCACCTCGTCAACAAGCCTTGGAAGGATTGCCATATCTCTGTCAAAGCCAGCAGTAAGGAACGCCTAGATCTAAGCATGGCGCAAATAGCAGAATTGAAGAAGCGTCGACTTCAAGACTATGGCTTTCATCTCGAGTACAGGACAAGATGGTAAGTGTGCATTGTCAGCAACATATATGCATATCTGACCGCGCGTTCATACAGGAGTGATAATGACATGTACGACCACATGAATAATAGTGTTTATTACTTTCTGTACGTTTTCTTGACCTCGAGGTCATCGGCACATACTTACAATTCATTCTACAGCTTCGACAGCATCGTCAATACATACCTCATGACGCATTGCAAGCTCGACCCACCCACATCGCCTTTGATCGGGCTTGTGGTACACTCGCAATGCGATTATCTGGCCCCGGTTGGCTTTCCCGCTCTGGTTGATCTCGGTCTACGAGTCAAGAAGCTAGGAAAGAGCAGCGTCACCTACGAGATTGGTGTGTTCGAACGAAGCGTCGAGGAAGTGAAGGCTGTCGGCGAGTTTGTGCATGTGTTCGTGGATAGGAAAAGCAGGCGGCCGAGAGCGGAAGGCATGACTGCGACCATGAAGGAGCAGTTGGGATCATTAGTAGATACCAAGGCGAAGCTATAATCGAGGTCTCCTTGGCTGTAAGGCGACAGATGTCAGCAATCAAAAGGCACGAACCAATTCCTTTCGAAGCAAGGCCCAGTGAGAGCAGCGAGTTTCGAGCCGTTCACTGGACCTCTACCGCAACTGAAAAACACTCTGCCTCTTTACAGCACGTAATGTAAGCAAATCATATAAAGATTGGAGAAACATCACCTGTAGCAAAAGGGGTATCATTGTTTTTTGCATCTCCAGCATCTTCGCGCAAGCTAATTAGCACCATCACATTGCAAAGTTTTGACCTCCTGAGTACGTACTTCCACTGAAAGAGCGCATCTTAGTCTTCTTCGCCAGCTTCCTCCTTCCTGATCTGTTCCTCCAGTCGTCGTTTCTCCGCGTTCTTCAAGCGGATCATAGTGAGTTCCTCGAGACTGGGGCTCGATGCAGAAGTTGCGACGGGTGAATTTTTGGCGCTACTAAAAGATGCGAAGGAAGGTACCTTACGAAGGCCACCCCCTGATTGCTTGAGTGGCGTTATAGGCGAGTCCAGACCAGGAATATCGCGCAAAGGTCGTTGTGTCGAAGGTTTGTCAGAGCCTGGTGTAGACGGGACTGTTGTTGAAGGACGCTGCAAGAAGTCTGGTTCCTTGTTCGATGCCCAATATACTGAGTCGAAGGCTTTAAAATCGGGATCTGAGTCTGACCGCTTCTTGTAGTCGGAAATGGCGGCATGGGCTCCGACCACCGATTCGTAAACTATCAGAGCACTTGCGACAAGGCTCTTGGACTTGCTCTCGCCTATGCGCTTCTTCTTTTCTTTAAGCACAGCCACGTCCTGAAGCTTGCCAAATGTGGTGAACATGACCTTTAAGCGGTCTTTGTCGATTTCAGCTCCGGGACCGTCCTTAGACCATACGACTTTGACAGATCGATCAATGTCTGATACACCGGTAGTACTAGTCTTTGGCGCAGATTGTTGAGGCGAGATGTAGCCGTTCTTTTCACGATCTAGTCGTTCTTCCTCCTCGAGGCGCTCGCGATTCAGCTGCTCTTGTCTTTCCAGCCTTCTTCTCTTGCCGTCTGCGGCCAGGCGCTGGATCTCGCGTTGTAACTTGTCTCCCTCCTCTTCTTCCTGGTGCTTTCTCTTCAGACTGGCGTTCTCGCGGTTTTCGAGGTCCTCTTTCATCTGTCGACGCCTGCCTTCAAAGGCCTGGTGACGCTCCTCCTTCTCTTGCTTGACGCGGCGCGCATTGTCGTATATGGCCTTGTATTCGGGACTTGACAAAACGTCGTTTGCGATTTGTAGCAAGTGGAATTTCTCGACGATGTCCGGTTTGTCGGCATTTTTGTCTGGATGGTATTTGAGAGCGGTGCGACGGTATGCGCGGCGGATATCTGATTCGCTAGAGTTCTCAAATGTAATGCCGAGTAGGTCGTAGTAATCGACTGCGGTTGACTTGGCAGCCTCGATCAAATCGTCGTCACCAGGCATGATTGTTGTATGAGAGAGGACAAAATGCGACGGGGCTAGTGTGATTGAAGGCGCGTGAAGTTGGCGACTTGCTAGCTCTCAGTGGAACAGGGGCGATTTCGAGTTAGTTTGTGCCTTTTGACAGCAGCGTGAAGGTTTGAGACGGGTTGGTGAGAGACAGCGAAGAGTCGGCACTTTTGAATGCGATAAAGTTAAAGGCGACAAGTTAGGTAGAGTTGTGGAGTGATTGATGGAAGATTTGTGCATGGAGATTTGTGTAGGGAGATCTGTGTACAAGTGAGGATTTGTGCAAGGCACAAGTCGAGCACAGGCCAATTCGAAGACGGTAGTGGCCCACTTGGGCAGTGACGCAGACGTGTGGACTCTGGAGGAAGGTGCAACAGCCAGCAAGCACGACAGGCAGGTCGACGACGCTGAAGCCTTCCACTCGCTTCCCTAAGACACGCATCATTACTTTCGGACCCTCACTTGTTCACCTTCACAGTCTGCGAGCCTCTTTAGACCAGATCGAGGCTTGTCTAGTTTCCGCATCGCTCGGGAAGCCGCCCTCTCACTTGGCCAATACCTGGAGTCCGGATATGCTGCGCGACACAGGTCAAAATGGCAGAGACAAAAATGCAGCTAGTAGACTGGCTGGATGACTTATGTGTTCGTTTCATCATCAACCTCCCACAAGAAGAGCTCGAAAGCGTCGCGCGAATCTGCTTCCAGGTCGAGGAAGCCCAGTGGTTTTATGAGGATTTCATTCGTCCCACAGACCCCTCCTTACCCTCGCTCAACCTGCGCGACTTTTGTCTGCGCATCTTCCAACATTGCCCCCTCCTCTCGACCTTTTCCGACTCGCAACATACCGCCGCCTACCAAGAGTTCCTCGCCTACAAGACCCGCGTCCCAGTCAGGGGCGCCATCCTACTCAACCATGACATGGACCAGGTAGTCCTCGTCAAGGGCTGGAAAAAGAGCGCTACATGGAGTTTCCCTCGTGGAAAGATCAACAAGGATGAACCGGATCTTGATTGTGCCATCCGTGAAGTCTGGGAAGAGACAGGCTACGACATTGCTACTGCTGGTCTGGCCAATGACGACCAGAAGTACATTGACGTGACGATGCGAGAACAACATTTGCGAATGTTTGTCTTCCGCGGTGTCCCTCTCGACACTTTCTTTGAGCCCAAGACTCGCAAGGAGATCAGCGTCCGTCTTTCTACCTTGCAATTTATACCATTGGAAACGTGCTGACCGAAGATAGAAAATTGCTTGGTACCGCTTGACAGATCTACCATCGTACACTCACAAGAAGCAAAACAACAGGGTCATCTCACACCAGCAAGATGGTAATGCTGACCAGGGCACTGTTAGTGCCAACAAACTCTACATGGTTGCTCCGTTCTTGCCACCTCTTAAGAAATGGATCAATCAGCAAAAGAAGCGCGATGTCGCTCGTCAAGCTCAGGTCGAAGCCGTAGTCGAAGAGAGTTTGGATATTCCGTCCGACACGCCCGTGCCCGAGGTTCCATCTGCCAATGCTGCTTTCGAGCTGAAACGTTTGTTGAGTGTCAACGTGCCGGAATCACCTCAGACAGGTGGCGGAGAAGAAAATCAGGCAAACGCATTGCTGGCCATGCTTCGCGGGAATGCCTCTGCAGGTGGATTGGCTCCTCCGACAGACGACCTACCACCTGTGACTCCTCTGGATCAAGTGACGAGCACGCCTCCGGAGCCTGGTACTCCACACTATCAGCACCATCAGCCTTCGCCTGCGGTCAGACAGCAACCTCCTCCAGGTTTCCCATTCCCCTCGCCTGCTCATCAACGCAATCCATCTCTTCATCCACCAGGCTTCTTTGGTCAGAACGCTCACCAAAATCTGCAACGTGTCATGCCTCAAATGTCGCACATGTCGCAACAGCCTCCTCAAGCCGTCCAACATATCCACCCTCAAGGCCCACATCCCTCTATGCAACAGCAATTGTTCCCTGGAGGTCACCCTGTTCCCATTGCTCATGGTCCAGTCGCTCCTTCAGCCTCTCAGTTGCCCGCTCCACGACTCAACAATCATGCTATGAACCTGCTGAGTGCTTTCAAGATCCCTTCGCAATCTCCCGTTTCGCATCATGCTATGCCCTACGGCAATGACTCCATGGCCTTCCCCAGCCCTAACCAAGGTCACATGCAGCCCCAACAACAATCCCCAATGGGAGATTCTCAACACGTACGACGACGATCTGCACACCAGAATTCGCTATTGGGTCTTTTCAAGTCCCCTGATCCTCCGAGGGCGGTTCCGGTTTCTCAAGCCCCTCAGGCAACCCTACCAACTCAGGGTGCCCAGTCTCCTGCGCCACCCGCATCCATTACCACGACAGCAACTCCTCAACAGAGAAATATGAACCTGGCAATGATGACAAGGACTTTACCAAAGGCCAAGCCCACTCCACCACCTGCGCCAATCAACCAAGGCGCGAATATGTTCCCTGCGAAACAAGCCGTGCAGGAAGTCCAAGCAAAACAAACCAGGTCTACGCCAGAGGCTTCGGGTAAGAACTTTGCTCCTGATGCTCCACGTGCTCCCATGTCCATTCTCCCAAGGCCCGGTTCTGCAGCCACTAGAGGGTCTCCAGCGCCACCAGCACCAGAGTCAATTCAAACGCCACACAAATTGAGACGAGGCAACAAGGGCGAATCGCCAGCCAGCTTCACCATTCTGCAACGTCCTTCGCCTCGGGCCGATCAGAACGGGTCACCTGAAATGCCTCAGGTCAGGCAACCACCTCCCAAGCAAGCTACTCCGAAGCAAGCATCACCGAGAAAATCTGCGCCGAGAAAGGCGCAAGAAGCACCAAAGCAATTCCAGCCGCAAATCCTACAGAGACCGAAGGTTGAAGTTTCTGGAGCTGGTTCAAGCGTGGAGCAGCCGCTACAGAATGCGGGAGAGCAACGCAATGCGCTTCTCGCTTTGTTCGCAAAACAGAACCCTGGACTCGCACCTGCTGACAGTAGATCTGGATCCGCCATGTCGAACAACTCGGGTGCACCCTTGCCAACGGATCCCTCAATCTTCAGATCGCGGTTGGCAAGTGCCTCTTCAGCAGTAAGCAACGGAGGAGATAACGATGGACTTAAGTCGCCATCTACGCCAGTCGAAGCCAAAGGCTTTTTGCTCGACTACCTCAATGGCGTGGTGAAGAACGAGAAGAACAAGGCTCCCAAGAGAGGCCCTGTCTAATCGTGAGAAGATTTATGGAAGAGACGGAAGGGAGGGTATAGTTGGTCGAAGTCATAGGATCACATATATCGCAAGACAAGAAGACATTCATTTAATGGCCATTCTGCAATGTACAATCTACTGTGTCTATAAAAATCGTGAAATTGGTATTTCCTTGCTCATCGACTGGTGAAAGATTCCAGGCTCTCGAAGCCTCGGCCAAAAAAGTTGGATGATGTCAGCGAGATTCGACTTTACTCATCCAAAAGCTTCCCATGTTTCCAAAGACGACAACAGCAACAACAACCAAAATGCCCGTCGCAATCTCAAGACAGCCATTCATCTGTCTTCGCCGTCTACCGAAGACGAAACGCACATACGCCACCTCGCAAACACCACTCCCACCCGCACCTCCCACCTCGGGCGCAGCAAAGCTCTCCACCCGCCGCCTCATCTCGCTCCATGGGCCCGACGCTCCCAAGTTCCTCCAAGGCATCATAACCAACAACGTCAAGCCCGACTCTCGCGCCGGCTTCTTCGCCGCCTTCCTCACCGCCCAAGGAAAGGTGCTCCATGATGTCTTTATCTATCCGACGCTAGGATCTTCCTTCCACGAGCAAACGAACAAAACCGAGGATGCAGGATTCTTGGTAGAAGTGGATGGCGATCAAGTCCCCACTTTACTCAAACACTTGAAGCGACATAAACTGAGAGCGAAATTGCAAATGAGGTTGGTGGAACAAGGGGAATTGGACATTTGGGCCACATGGAAGGAAGCGGAAAAATGGACGCCATTTTCCGGTGTCGCTGGGGAAGGATCCAATGTGGATGACCGAGGAAACTTGACATTGGTGGATTCAAGAGCTATGGGGATGGGTCAACGTATCCTATTGCCTTCGACTACGAAATTGGATACTTTGCCGGCAATGGAGGGCATTCAAGATGCAGGGCTGGATGCGTATACGATTCGCAGATATCTACGCGGTGTTCCTGAAGGCCAACAGGAGATTCCTAGGGATGATGTTCTGCCCATGAACAGCAATTTCGACATTATGGGAGGTATTGATTTCAAAAAGGGGTGTTATGTTGGTCAGGAATTGACGATTCGGACGCATCATACTGGAGTTGTCAGAAGACGTATCTTACCGGTTACGCTATTTGATGCTGTAGCTGCGCCTCCGGAGAAGATGCAATATGAGGCTTCGACATCTTTTGCTACGCCTGAGCGCAATACGGATATCAAGATTGACGGAAAGAGAGGCAAACCTGGCAGATGGATTAATGGGGTTGGCAATATTGGGTTGGCGATGTGTAGGTTGGAGTTGATGACGGATTTGCAGGTTACGGGTGAACCTAGCACGTTTAGTCCTGAGGATAGATTTGTTGTCAAGACTGGTGCTGAGGAAGATGCGCAGACATTGGGTGTCAAGGCTTTCGTTCCTGATTGGATGAAGAGCAAGATTAGAGCTCCGAAGTTGCAGAGGAGGGTCGAGTAGAATGGATATGCTTGACTATGTACATGTAGAAGATTTTGTCAAACATGTCACCAACTCTCCCCTGTTCCTAACACCTCTTGTCCTTTCAGGAAATCACGGCTTTGCTTTTCTCCCATCCATTGCGGTTGTGTTCGGTCTATGCCTTCTTCAATACCCCATGCTCGACCACCTTCGACATAGAGAGCTTCTCCGTTAAGTGAGTTTGCAACCATGACCCCTGGATTCTGATAAGCGCTTGTCATCTTTCTACAAGTTATGAGATCTCACCAGCAATAACTCTAGCAACGTCTATCGCTTTATTCCGTGGCAATCCAGCTTCGCGCCAGTCTGCGTCGATGCCTTTGACCATTCGGGTCTCTGTCATCCAAGGACATACCGCATTCGTCCTGATGGCATAAGGAGAAGATTTGATCAACACTCTGCGAATCTTGTCAGCAGCCACTCACATGGTTAGGAGAGAATCTGGAACCCACTTCCTCAAAGCTCTCATCAAGCCATATACACCATGTTTGGCAGAGGAGTAGATAGCCAGGCCTGGTGCTTCGGTGAAGCCAGCGACGGAAGACACCAATGTCAACGACTTATCCGCAGCCGCTGTGGACGACTTGTCATTGAGTGGCGGTTGGCGAAGGTAGACACCAGCGATTCTCGAGAACAGGATAGGTCCTCGTAGATTGACGTCGATTGAGTCATCAATATCCGGTTCCTGTCTCTGTCATTAGCGGCCTCTTTTTCCATCCTATCAGTTAGATATGATCACCAACCTTCCTCACACTCTCCATATCCAACTCTTTACTCGCGATATCTTCTTCCCTGTTGATGCCAGCTACAGAAGCAGCATGGTCAACTCTGCCACAAGTCTTCATCGCCAGATCGAACAATCCCAAATTGGCAAGATGGGATTGCACATTGCAATACAGAAATCTAACATGTTGGCCTGTTTTCGACGTAGCTGACAGCTCTTTCGCCAGAGCTTCTCCTTGTGTTATAAGGACATCGCCGAAGAAGATGGAAGCACCAGAGGAGTGGAGGAGGCGGACTAGTTCAGAGCCGATGCCTAGAGCTCCTCCTGTTGAGGTATGAGAATTAGTATTGCTCCATTGTGAGAATCAAGAAGCACAGGATAGGTGGCAATATGCAAAGAGATATGCACATACCCGTCAACACGACCACTTTGCCCTGCAGATGGTTCTCCAAGACCGGAGGATCGAAGCGTGACATGATTGCGTTTCCAAATCAGGCAGGTACAACAGCAACAAATGATTCAGTTATCGACGACGACAAAGATAGTAGACTTCTTAGAAAACAGCTCTGGTATACTTCGAGGAAAGAAAGAACCCCTCTCCCTTTGACCTTTCTCAAATCGACAACCGGCAATACCAAAAGACCCCACATCGTCTCTTCCCCACATTCGAGTTGGAAGGGCAGTGACGTTCGGGAGGGCGGAAACGGACCGCACCAGATAGCGACCTCACCTCCTTCCATATTTTCGGAGATTCTGAACACGTTGTGTAACGCGAGTCTTTGATATTCGTCAGCATGAGCAATAGCAATCAGAAAGAAAGTGTCAGAGTACTGGTCACAGGCTTCGGGGTAAGTCGATTTTCCTTGTCGTCAATCAAAAGCCCTTCATCTCTCTACCCACGACACACACTCTTATGAGACAATAATCTCATCGAAAAGCATCCTATGTCATTCTAAAACACTGTCCAACCCATTTCCTCCAAAAGCATTCCCATACTAATACCTACATCCGTCTCTCTCCAGCCCTTCCCTCGCGGAAACGGCAAAAACTACGCCCAAAACACCTCCCACGAAATCACAAAATTACTCCCACACACCCTATCCGCAAACTCCCGCTTCAACCCCACCGGCGCACGTATCGATATCATAAACCCGACTTCCGCAGACGGACAAGCGGTCAAAGTGGAGTACGCACATATCCGTGATTACGTATCCGGTCTCCACGACACACACGGAAACAATGTAGATTTGATTCTGCACATGGGTATGGCGGACGGATGGAATTTCATCTCCTGTGAGCGCAGAGCTTACAAACAAACTTTTACCTCTTGTTGGGGTGCTGCTGGGCGTATTCTAGGATTGGGTAGGTATTATCGCATCAAAGATTTCGCTGGCGAGACTGTAGACGATGCTGGGGAATGTCCTTGGGGGGAAGATGTACCTATGGGTTTGTGCACGGGGTTTGATGTTGATTTGTTGGTTGAAGATGCGGGAAAAACGTTGAAGGAAAGTTTTGGGAGGGATGTTAGGGGGCATGAGGATGGAGGGACGTATTGTTGCGGGTTCATTTATTATGAGAGTTTGGCTAACAAGGTGAGTTGGTTTTGTGATTCTCCTCTTTCTTTCCTGATGATATGGTGTTTTTTCGCTGACGAGAGGGAAACAAAATAGTTTACGAAAGGAACATCTGCAGAAGTGCTCTTCTGTCACGTTCCTGGCGATCTTGATCAATTCAGTCTAAAAGCTGGCGCGAACTCCATCTGTGCCATCATTGGTGCTGCGGCTTCTCAAATCTTGGAAGAGCGTAAGCATAAAGCGCCTCAACAACCTGTCGTCGTAGGGAGACAGCAGGAGCAACAACCCATCGTTCAGGAAGAGCCTGGCAATAGCACTGTATCCGCCCAACAGAGACAACGGGCTATGGAAATGATGGCTTCTGGATTCGGCGGCGAGCGAGCCATCCAAGCCACGAAATATAGTGCTTGAGTTTGTGAGTGTGATCTGAACTTCTTGGGTTTCTTCGTGACAGACAATGTCAGAGTTACCATCAAATCTACTCTTGTTCCTTTTCTCGTGCATGATCTGGTTTTCGGTTTCCCTTTTCTTGCCCACTTGATGCTATGAATATGCTGGTCGATCTCACTTTAGCCACTGTCTAACCTCCCCATGTGCTAATCAATGAGATCGCATGACTACCGCAAACTACTGAAACACCGTACAAAAAGAGTTCATCAACCACCAGCGCCACAGTCGAAGACGATTTCCAAGTTTCGGGTACGCTTGTGACCTTTGACCGGCTAGCCACGCATGAGACTCTACACGCAAACACCAAAATCTCACAGAATGAGACACCACCATCCAAGGAGACATGCTCTTTCGAGGCGCGATCCCCAACAAAAGCGAAATATGATCCTCCAATTGTTCAATACTAGCATAATCACCCCTCCAACAAGTCTGAATGATATCTCCGACATCATCACCTTTCGGCGTGGAGGGATATCGTCGATGGCTCATATACTCATACCAGACGGGCGATTCGAGCTCGGCATACGGAGGATGACCATAGCGAATGTTGAAAATACACGATCCCAACGAAAACTGCTCGGTCTCCGGGCCAGCCTGTGGACAATTGCCTTGAGCGTCCTCTTTTGCCCAGGGGGAGCGCGCCAGCAAGTAGCTCGCTGCCTATTTCCACCGTGGCGTCAAAGTCGGCAATCTTGACATCTTTGTTTACGTCGATGAGTATTATTATCAAGTCGAAGGTCTCCATGTGCGTAACCTATCTTTTCCAGCCAAGCTGCCGCACCGATGAGTTGCGAGATCCATCTATTTTGCAGCTCGGTGTCGGCGCAGAGTAGAGGGTTGTCCTTTAGGTATTGGTAAAGCGTGGTCTTCATGCGTGGAAGGAAGATAGCTTCCGGGATGCAGAGGATGACACAGAGGACGTTCGGATGTCTTCCGTAAGATGCCGTTGCGGTATAGATGTCTTTCTCGTGGTCTATACTGGCAGTGTTTGCGTTGTTGACGTGTTTTTCCACATGGCTCTTCTCCTCTCTCAGGGTGGGACATTTCAAAATAATGTGCTGACTGATGGTGTAAGCAGTACCCGAGTTGCCTTGAACCAGGAAGTTGTAGCGGAGCGTGTCGAATTGGCGTCTGTAAGCCGCCATCGTAAGAGAGTGGGCTTTTTTCTTTTTGATGGAGTATGTGTGGTGATTGCTGTAGAGAGGCGCTTGTCAATGATTGAATCCCTTTCCCTTGCGGTTTAGGATGTCGCTAACCTTGGCAAGCATGCAAACACCCTTTCTCCAAGCGCTGCAGGTGAAACCCTCTTGGGTCAAGCAAATCTTTTACATCCAATCAGTTTGCGTGAGTGCATTGTCCGGATCGGACAAGTGCGTCTTTTCTTTAAACCTGATAAAGATAGCAGGATAATGATGGAGTCAAACCGTCATCCAGCTGTGTATATGGGAGTGCGTAAGTCATCGATCATGTATGGAAATCAACCACATACGACCCAACGCATAATTACCATTTCCTGTTCACACAGAGAAGAATAAAATACTGGAGCATGATCGGCATAACACTGATCAGCTGTGAATGAAGAAAAATCGTGATATTCATAAGAAAAGGCCATACCCCATAATGGCAGTACGCCTCCGTCCAGTCTATAAATGTCTGTTGGCAGCCCCGACCTCAAACTCCCAGCAAATGCAAATTTGGAGCAATGCAATCTTGTAGTGTGGTCTCATCATGCTTCCTCCCGATGTAGTGGTTCTCTACTCGATGATGCTTGATCTAGAATCCTCTGGTCTTGGGCCGCTTCATCTTGTGCTTCTTCGTGATTGACGAATACGAAAGATAATACGACGACACATGCGCCTAGCCAGTAGATGGCTGGCGAGGTCTGATTGTTGATGAGGAGTTGGCCGATCAGAGATAGCGGGATGGTGGTTGAGAGACCGACAGTGACGACGATGGGAGAAGTCAGTAGCACTGCATATGCCCAAGCGATATCTGAAAGCAACGAACTGATTGAGTTGACCTGTTCCATGGTTAGCAAAAGGGTCCGACAAGAAAGCAACCAGTCACCTTACGAGGATAATCGTCGTGACTCTCGAGGAAGGAGGTAACTCAAAAGGCTCGATACCAGTGTAATGCAAGATCAAGAAGCCGGGCCAGAGTAGCAAAAGGTTGAAAAGGCCCACAAGGCCAAAGAAAACAGGCATGCTGATTCTGCGCTCGTCTCCGATACGCTTCTTCATGAGTACGGCATAGACACCGTACAGCACTGCCGAAAGCAGAGCCATGGCGTCGCCCAGAGCGACTTGACGGGCAGACTTGTGTGGGAACAAGCCACGGCCATCGTCATTGTCACCAAAGAGGTCGACTGAGGAGATCAGAACGACACCGAGCAAGGACGCTAGGACTCCGAACAGCTTGCGCAGGGTGAAGATCTCAACGCCGACGGCGCATCCTAGGAGTAGGGTGAAGATGCTGCTCGTCGACGTGAGGATAGTAGACGAGGCGACGGTAGTATGTTCCAGACAAGCAGCAACAAAGTAGTTGGCCAGGAACCAGAGCATGCAGAACTCCAGACTCAGACGAGCCGTGTCTCCAAGGGAGAGAGGGATTATGCCATGAGCATCCTTGGTAGGTGCAGCCTTTTGTGAAGTAGCGTCATCTAGGTGCTCTTGTGTGTTCGTACCATCGTCGTGTTCCTGGGAAAGAGGGGCGTATCTCGGCGTCTTAAGGGAGCCGCTTAGGTATAGGCGGCGCACGACGATGGGAAATAGCGGAATGAGAAAGCAGGCGGTGTTAACGTAAGTGACGAGATAGGGCTTTGAGTAGGTGTTGTCGGCGAACAGCGTCTATGCATCATTGTCAGTCTTGTTGTGCGACAGTCGTCAAGTATAGAGGGGCAGGGTAGCCGTACGGAGGCCATAAAGTTAGAAGCGGTCCATAATACAACGGTGGTGAACAGCAGCAGCAGACCAACCACGCGCCGCCACTTCTCATGGCCGGGCCGTGTGTTGTTAGCAGCCATGTCCAGATCTATGTCGTTGCTGTTGCCGGGCGAGATTCGCGACAGCAGCGGTCTTCGCGCATCCTCGTCGTTGCTGACGACTTCAACGCGCCCAGTCATGCCCGAAGTCGCTTGCTCGGAATGTTGTTTCGCTTTTCCTGTCCAGGGCCACCACCCGCAGTCTTAGGGAAGTCTCGAGTTAGGGAGAGTGACTAGGTCTAGCCATGCTACAAGACAGACGACACTTGACCCTGTCAATTATGTGTCACGCCCAGCGCATAACTACTTCCTTCCTTATCAGGACGCCGTCCGTCAAACCAATCCTCAACCCAGCGCACGTGCTGTCTTTCCTGAATTAAAGCCGTCGGACTATCTATCCGGACCCACTTTCAATCGACCACCATTCATCCTGCCCTCTGCCATCCTGCACTTCTTTGTCTGCCGAAATAAACTCTTGCCGTGCTTGCCTGCTTCACAAAGCACGCCAACAAACCACAGTCACACAAAGACACAAGATTTCGGGTTTGTGACAAGTAAATAATAGTCAAATATCGTACTGCCCGAGTAACAATCAGTGCTTCCTCTTCCCATATAAGAAACGCCTTGTCCAGAGACTATCGCAAATGTCCTCCACAACGCCTACGCAATGGTTCGTTAAATGGCCAGGCGCTCTATTGCCCATGCCGAAGCTGCTGCTCAATCTTTGCCTCCCTAACTACCCTAACTCTTTCCAATCGGCCAAAAAATGGATATCGTTGCCGAGGAAAGTTGAAAAAAACATATGCTGTGTAAATCCCCTTTCGTAATCAACTTCAAGAATGATGTGCTCGTGAGCGTGATGCCTCGCCTCTTGCTGCCGGAGCTGCTGCTGCCGCTGCTGTTGCTGTTGTTGCTCCTTCGCCCTGGTTGTGGTGGTGGGACCGCTGGTGCGAATGCGAATGCGAGTGCGAATGGTGGTGATGATGCCGGGAGTTCTCTCCTTCTTTGCCCTCCTCAGCTGCTACACACCAGAATCTGTGACTGCCCCAAGCACCTTTTTGGCACTCTTTGCTGCAGTACTTGGTCCGTCGGCAGCGTCTGCATTTGGCAAATTGCCGTGTGTATTCTTCCCATTTTCCACATTTCCAGTATGCACATTGACGAATTCCGCCACGGCTTTCATCCTTGCGGCAAAGGTTGCGCATGACAACACCTGCCCAATATTGCATCGTCTCGCTCTGCTGCGCCGATGTCGGCAAGAGAGATTGACGGGAGCTCGAACATCGTACAGTAAACTTCTCGATCAAAGGGAAGATGTTGTAAGCAGGTTGTTCGACAAACTCATTGTCCCACGCCTCTTCGAGCTCTTCTTGAGAGGGTCCGGTGAAAGGCACGGATGGGTCGTAGTCAACATCCAATGTCTTTAGCTCGGCATCGATATTGAGGCGGGGGACAAGGTGTGAAGCCTGGAAGTATGAACGAAGATTGCAGTATTTCGAAACATAGGCGAGCAGTTGGAGAGACATGATGACGTCTTCGTCACGGGGAAGGGCGGCGGCAAGAGGAGCTGGGGCCGAGACGAAGGGTACACCAGCACGGGGAGCCATGAGTGCTGGTGGGGTAGCGTTAACAATATCGACAGAAGGAAGCTGCTGGGGAGGTGCGAAGCCAGGCTGGGTTTGTGTGGGTGTCTGGTTGTTGTTGGTGCTGCCATCTTGCACCGAGGTGTGGGTGATGAATGAATCCGAATCCGACACATCGACGGTGGGTACGCTCAGAGCTACGGGAGTGACGCTTCCCTCGAGCATGGTCTCATCGTGAACAATGTCCTGCATGGAGATGTCGTTCTGAATGTCGACCATTGGCTCGGGCGATGTCTCAGCGGTGTCCGAAGTGTCCTGAACAGCATCATCGCTTTGCTCATCCTCCCAATTACCAGAGATGGATAGCTGATGACGGATGGATGGTCTTCTGCGTCCAAGGCCTAGGGCGGAGCGAGGGCTAGTCGGCGCTGTTGCACTAGGAGTGGTAGGTGACTGGGGTTGCGAGCTCAGCTCGGCATTCAGGTTAGGCAGCATCGATGGTAGACGATCTGCATCACGAACTGGTCGTAGAGTCTGACGGGAAGCTTGTTCTGAACGGATCTGTGGAGAGGACTGCGGACGGACGTCGTGCATCGGGGTGTGACGACCAAAGTCGAGTCTGGTGTTACGAAGCGGTGGTTGTTGTTGATCGGCCATGGGCTGATCATCAGTAGAGATGTCGATCGGTGGAGGGACCGATCTTCTGGGAGTGCGTTCTGACCTAGACTGGTAAGGTGATCGGCTTGAGCGTGTAGGGCTCTGGAGAGCGGGGTAGGGGTTGAAGTTGGCCGAAGTGCGTCTGGCGTCCTCGTCGGCTCGCTTCTTGAGCTTCTCCATGGCGCGAATGTAGTTGTCGAGGAGAGTGGCCACTACGGGGACCATGTCGGCTTCTACGACGCGGGTTCGTACCGCTTCAGAGCCTCTAACACCAATGTTGAAGACACACTGGAAGGCCAGGTTCCATTTCCAGCTCTCCATGGCATCTTTGCTCCTGCCTTCTTTCAAGATGCAGACCAGGCGTTCAACGCCACCGTCTACTGTGAGGATGTCGCGGATGCGTGCGGATGACGTAGTGAGGTAGGTGAGGTTGTTGAGGGAGTTGATCAAGGGAAGAGTTGAGGTACAGTCGAGAGCGCGGCGGTCATACAGGGCAGGGGTGATGCCTACCGAGGCCTTGTTCGCGCTCGGGATGCTAAAGTTGGCCTCGCGCATGATGAGAGAGTTTGAAGGGGGATGACAACAAAGACTGCTCGAGGCGTCAGCGGCTGCTTATGACGGAAAACCATCGTGAGTGATTGTAAAGACTCACCAGAGCTACACAAAACACCGGCAATGCAACGAATCAATCAAGACCAAACACCAGCCATGCAATTCCACTAAGCTTCAATTCGAGTCACAGGCGTCGACACCCAACGCCAAGAACAAGCCGTCTTCGAGGACGCCTCACGTATCGCTGTGCTGTACAGAAACGACCCTTGCTGGAGCCGTCGAGGGTGGCGGATCGGTAAGCAGAACGGAGTCTCGAGGGGTACGGTGGGCGCGGCGACAGATGGACGTGACGGTGTAGGGCGGAGGTGGCCGAGGGCGAATTGAGTGGTTTGAGGGGCCCGAGTCGAACAGGACGGAGAGATGGGGTTAAGAACTGCTGCGAGTATACAATGCAAGCTAAAGTCGTGTCGTTCGTAACATGCGGCGATGGAGATGAGATTGTTGATGACGGATGATGGAGATGGGAGGAAGGGGAGGGAAAACTCGATAGGAGTCGAGAGCCGGACCCGTTGAAAGAGGATGAGACGGTGCAGCCAGCGAGCCAGCGCAGCCAAAGAAGTCGACGATGTGACGCTCGGCAGCCAAGCCGCCATGGACCAATCCCATTTAATTAATCCCGAAAGCGAGCAATTTCACCACAGAGACAGCCCATCTCCGCCTACAATTTCCCTGCTTTCTTCCTCCTCTCAGGCATACCTATCTAGACTCCTAAGGCCTGCAATTATCCACCTCCATCATTTGTGCGTGTTGCACGGGAAATGTGCTCTCTTCTCCTCAGGCAGTTCCCCTATGAGCCGTGATCAATGCGTGAGCTTATTCGGTGCCCTCCCTGCTTTGCCACATGCGGCGTCCGGCTAGGCAAGACTCATTGATGCTGATCGCTCAAACCTGCCCTGGTCGTTCCCGACCACCTCTGTCTCAACTGTTCAGAACCCAGCATTAGGAATAGACAGGACCCAAGACATGACGGAGATGCGGCTGTTGTCCAAGTTTCAACCGCCTGATGTCGTCCCAGTCTCCCAGCCAGAGCGCCGCCCCCACCTGGAAACGTCTGCCTGCCTGTTCGCCAGCCCGCCTGCTCTGCTTACCCACCATCGCGACATGCACTGCGAGCACACATGTACAACGCGCTCGAGCTTGGCATCGAGCGAGTCCATCTGCGATGACCATGCCGAACCTCCCGAGCACGGCCTTTTGTGCCAATCACGCGACAGGCAAAAGAGGAGGACTCGACGGGAAGCGCTGCAAGCGATCTCTTCCATGTTCGCTTTTTCTCATGCAACTCGACGAATCCTAGGCGAACCACTTTACTCTGCTGATCACGCCAATCCGCCAAAAACGTTCATGCATGCAACCATGTATTTCCGTAGTTCTGACCGAACTGAACACCTGCCTATATTTTTTGTTTATCCCGCTACTACGAGTATAACGTGACGAGTTAGGTTAGCGACGGCAAAATTGAAAGTACATTAAATTTAAACAAGCATCTTGATGCAAGAGATTCTACTTCTTATCCGCGTCGATACCTCCTTGCTGCACCGATCCAAATCTCCGAGACAGCATTTCCTGGATATCGGTAGACGGTCTCTTGGGCCCGTCATCGACAAACACCATCTGCTCTTCCATTGTGACACCCGCTTTGGCGCCTCCTTCCTCCATAACTCTGGGCCTGTCTAGCAGATCTTGAATTTCGAGTTCGCGAATCGCTTGCGCTTCGTGTTCGCGCTGCTGTTCGAAACTCGACTTTTTGGTGCCGTGATGCCAGCCCGCTTGCAACTCCGTGGCGGAGGCTTCTTCGAAACGCTTTCGAATGTCCAAGTCGCGTTCGTAGAGTTGGAAGAGATCGACGTCTGTTGCGAAATATGCTGATTTGAAGCTTTTGACCCCGAACTCGAACCACATTGTGGCAACGACGATTAGTATTAAAGTGAGCCACCACGACATGTTGTCGCCAAAGCGTACAAAGAAGCTATCTTTTACGTTGTATGTGACGTTGTCGGCGTAGATCGAGGCGAGAATGATCATCCACAAGAACCATCCGCCTATGGATAGGAAACATGCAATCACAGCCATAATCGACTTGTTGTGGATCTCAATGACTTGCAACTTCATACTGATAAGGATGATGCATGCTGTAAATGTCAGAGATCCGATGGCATATAATCCTTGATCTTTGGTGAAGGTCGCTTGAGCGTAGAGTCCGAACATGATGAAGTAAACCATTATAGCTTCGCTTGATGCCATAAATATCCAAGCAAGGAAGATTTTGAAGTTGAAACCTCCGTTGCGCTGTCCTTTGGTATATAACTCAGGTACCGCGATCAAGGTCTGGGGTAGAAGATCCTTCTCGAAAATGCCGAGGAAGATGACCGGAAGACTGGTGAACAAGGTGTTGAACATGCTAAGCGACCACGACTCATAAAGGGAAGTACCAGTGTAGCCAGCCCATCGCTGGTAGAGCGCTTGGGTCAGGTAGAACAGGAATTCTTTCCAGAATGTGCCGACAGTGTACTTGCAGATTCGAATGTAGTTCCAGCGTCCATGAACCAGCAGAAGCTTGACCAAGAAGCGGAACTGAGCAATGGAGTAGTCCGATGTGCGAGCCGCTTGCAAGCCTTCTTTACCTGTGATACCAATACCGACATGGGCTTCTTGGATCATAGCAATGTCGTTCGCACCGTCACCAATCGCCAGAGTGATACTGTTCTTAACTCTTCGTCGCACAGCTGCAACAAGTCCAGCTTTTTGACTTGGAGAAGCGCGGCAACAGATGACTGATTCTGCGAGGACCGCGAGCTCGTAGAAAAGCTTGCGCAGATAAGGATCGTCCTCGATCAAAGCAAGCGTCTGACCGTCAATGACCACAACGGAGTGTGCCACTTTATGGTTATTGATGTCAAGGATAGTGGCCGCGATACGCTGCTCAACTTGGCCAGTCTCGTGGTCGAGAATCGTCACAGCCGAGTAATCCTTGATGAGGCGACATGAGTGACCGATGTTGATGGCAGTTTCTCTCTTGTCGCCTGTCAGCATCCACATCTTGATGTTGGCACGCCTGAGCTTGTCGATAGCTTCCGGTACACCTTTCTGAAGCTTATCCTCGATGGCAGTGGCACCACCAAGATCCAGATCTCGTTCGATCATCTCTCCTGCTTCCTCGATCATCTGTTGGCGGTTCACGAGGCTGGTTGTAGCATCGTGATACACCTTCTTCCATCCTAAGTATTCTTGCTCGTCGAGGAAGCGGTGGCCATAGAGAAGAGTTCGAAGACCTTCGGTCGCAAAGTCGTTGATGTGTTGGAAGCAGCGCTCGAGTACAGTCGCCTCGTCTGTGACTAGTGACTCCTCTACCAGCTCATCCTGATCAAAATCATCGTATTGCAATGAGCTGCGAGCTTCGGAGGGAGCCAAAGATTGTCGACTGTGCATTTGAGTCGAAGGTCGTGGAGAGTAATGCACACTTGGGTCTTCGCTGTGAGACACGTCGACCTCGCTCTCACGTTCTCTGAGCCATATATTAAGCTCATCGCGGATGGGCTGTAGCCTCGCCGTTCCAACGCTAGTACGTGGAAGAGCACCGACACTGGGCCGACCTATCGACATTGAGAAACTTGGTCGCGAAAAGCTGGGTCGAGTTACGCTAGAGCGTTCGTGCTGTTCGCTCTGACGACGGATGGCTTCTTGAGCTTCCAAACTCTTGCGCATGCTCGTTCGCTTTTCGATCTCAACCATCTTCTGGTTTGCTAGAGAGGCTAGCTTGAGACGCTGCATGACAATGGTGTCGGCTCCCTTGCAGATGACACAAACGCGCCCATCTGGGAATCTGACAGTGACAGACATTCTCTTTCGCTTACTGGAAAACTCAATCACATCCAAGATCTCGTATTGTTCGAGGACGGGCTCTTGTGTCATGCCGTTAGGAAAGGTCTTGATGGTCAGAATGGCAGATTCGCGGTTCATTGCAAGATAGCCAAGCTCTTGCGCTGCACGAACAAGCGCCAACTCATCAGGTGAGGAAGCCTGGAAATCTATCTCTCCATCCTCCTGCGTCTCGGGCAAGCACGTATGGCACAGTGCCATGGACAGCAAGAGCATACGAGCCTTTTTTGCGAACAAGGTGAAGGGTTTTCGTTGCAAGTATCGAATCATGGTTTTGGTGCTGAGCTCAGGTTGGGCCTTTCCAGGTCTAGCGGAAGAGGTCCACTGCGATGTCGACTTGCGACCAGGTCCGCCAAACTCAAGATGATCATCTGCGCCATCTAACTTGACTGTAGATGTGATGACAGAGGCGGTCGACTTGCGCATTGGCTTCTTACCCTTGCTCTTACGACTTCTCTTCTTGTGCACAAGCATTTCAGGGCCGTCTTGTTTGTCCTGCAGATCAACGTCATGTAACCAGGCAGTGCCAGCGACACTGAGCTTTCGAAACTTCATCATGTTGTCCGTCAGAGTTCCGGTCTTGTCGGAGAAAATGTAGCTGATCTGGCCCAATTCCTCATTGATCGTGGATGTCCTTGCCTCGAATGGCGTGTTGGTCGTTTCGTCGTACATGTCGATGTCATTAAGCAGAACCATCTGCCAGACCTTTACGATCTCCATGCTGACGTACAAAGATAGCGGGATCATGGTATTGAACATAATGATAAAACTGGTAAGGACAGGGAAGAATGCAACTCTGGCGTTGTTAAGGTACCATGAGTCGTCCTCGGTGCCCTTGCGCCAGACTTGGTATGCCACAGTGTTGAATATTGCCAGAAGAATGACAAAGATGACAATAACGATGACGACCTTGTTGACAATGGCCTGCAGTGCTGGAGCCTTGATACGAGGATTTTTGTTAGAATTCATGCGAATCTTGCACTCCTCACCACTGTAGATGACCATGCCGTAAGCTTCGGGTGTGTTTCTCAGTACGCTTCCGCGATACATGATTTCGTTGTTGCTCAAGGGTGCTGTTTGACCATCCAGTGTCACTTTGCCCTCGAAGTTGTAAAGATCAATGTTCGGATCTTCGACCACAAAATGGGCCTTGCAAGTAGCTATCTTCTCAGGAGCGTCGCATTGCTTGGCCAGATTTGCTGTCGCCTGCTTGCTCTTGAGGTTGGTTTCTCCATCGAGGGCCATCGTTTCGATGTATGCGATACCGTTTGTGCCTTTCGAGCTGAGCAGAACCATGTCGGCTGGTACAGGCTCGTCTCTTTCGAGTCTGACAATGTCGCCAACTTGGAGGTTTTGCCACTTCGTTTTTGCCCAGTGTATCGGGCCCTCGGCGCGAGCAATGCCCTCTTCTGCTGGTGCTTCAGAGGAGGTGATAGGGCGATAGGCGTGTAGAACAGATGCCTCGCGGTTGTTCTCTACCTTGTCCAGGCGGTAACGGCGGAGATCATCGTAACCTTCCTTGCCCATAGATAAAGCAACGAAGAACAATAAGGGAATAATCGTGGTATACGCTGTATAACGATCAGAACAAGGACATACTGTGGTCAGCTAGAGACACTCACTTCCTGTGGTACTGAGACCGGGTATCATTTGTAAAATGGAAACACAAAGGAAATAGAAATTGGCGAGTTTCGAGAACTGAGCGAACAACTGACGAGGAACAAAATTCCAAGCAGTGTATCGACTCGAACGAATATAATTTGTGATATAGGCCTTGTTGGTCCTCTCGTCGAGCAGAGTAGTCTTTCGAGAGGCATCCAGATCAATGTGTCTGCCGTCCTTGGTTGGTGGAATATCTTGGATGCGTAGGACAAACTTCCGGGCCTTATGGTATCCTTCCTTGAACGAGCGCCAGGCTTGGTTCTGCGTAGTATGCTCTTGTATCCAGGAGTGGTAATGCGGCAAGGCTCCTATGCCTTGGACGCCTTTAGGCTGGTTGAAGGCAGCACGTTTGGGATCTTGTTCTTCCAGATCAAGGCCATCGTCATGGAACGGAGCAACCTCAACGACAGTATCCATACTCTTCTTGCTCAAACGTGGGGTAGTTGGTGTGTGAGGTGTCCCATGCTGACTAGACTGGGCTATCGGAGCCATCTCGATTATGGATGGTGAAGAGGGGGAATTGGCGGAGCGATCATGCATGTTGCGCTGGAAGAGCGAACTACGGAGCGAGTAGCCTCGCGCTCTTGTTTGAGGCGACAATGGTGAAGCCTTCGGACGTGTATTGCTAGACAAGGAAACCATGCTAGATGGTGAGGGGAGCGTGTTCTCCCCATGCACAGAATGTGCAGCGGCAGCATTGACGTCGATGGTAAGATCAGGCCTTGTGTCTTCGTCACTCTTCCTCTTCTTTCCGCGCGACTGGCTCTGTGGTCTTTGCTCTTGCAGTGAGAATCTCACTCGAGATGAGTTCTCGCTTGAATTGCGAAGCGAGTGTAGAGGAATGTCGATGCCAGATGTCGAGGGACTGGACTGCGGACGCTCGCTGGAGAGGGTGTCATGGCGGCCTGGAACTGGGTGCATATCGTCTTCATCGTAGTGGGCAGAGTGCCTCCTTCGGACACCACCAAGTTCGGCGTCGGAGTGGTCGTCATGGCCCACCATCTTGGTGCACAATCTAGGGACAGGTCGAGGTTGTTAGGTTTGTCTCTTCATAGCATATCAGGAGTCCATTGCGACATGGTGTCAGGCAGTGAGAAAGAGAACAAAGTAATTGTTGCGGCGCGGCGCCAATGTCTAACAATGGCCCCGGTGCCCGCGAATCGCGAGGGTCTTAGAACGTGGCTTGCTCGACAGTGGTGACGTTGAATGGGGACGAACGCGCAACCAACCCTACCTTTTTTAAAACTAACTTTTGGCCCATTCCTGTGACCTGCCGTCCAACGGCCTATGGTTCATCGTATTGCCCATTACTTTGCTTATCGAATGGCCTCACTGCTTGTCTGTTCTTCCTTGCCTGACTGCCTCCATCTTCGTTGTCGCATTGTTCACTCGAAACCCAACACAGACAGCAATAGAAACGGGGTTGCGTGCTTCGACCACCTGCCGGTCACAGCCACCACCGGCCAAGAGACAAGACACCCCGCGCGGGGATCTACAACATCCTCGATCGTCTGCTTCACCGGTAAATTCTTTCGTCGCTGACTTGTGATTGAGAGACTATTATTTCCTTCGTCTTCATATCGTTAATTCTTGTTAATCATACTGCATATCTCATGCGGGGCTATTCATACTGTTTCCTTGAACTCCTGGCGATGCTGTCGGTCCCCGTTTCCATCATTATACTGCTCGCTTCCTCTGTGTGATCATTCATCGTCAATCTCAGGCTGGAGCTTTTGGCCTGTTGAATCCTTCTCGGCCTTAACCTGCTGATTCAAGGTGACACGACCACGTTTAGTAGCCGCCTTTTGCTGACGGCGTGTCAGCACGTAGCGATTGCCATCCTGTGCAGGAAGCAGGCTATTATTGCCCAGAACCTTGTCGTTTGCATCCATAATATCCATGGTCTTCTCCTGATAAATTTCCTTCTCCTCGCCAGAACGAAGGATGATGCCTACCCTGCCTCCAGGAATATCATACCACACCTTGCTAGGCATAAACTCTTTCCATTCGAGAATGACCTTGGGTATTTGAATGGTGCTCCAGAATAGGTCTTTGTCGACCTTGCGCCATGAGTGCATGCTTGCGAGCAGCAGACGTACCCAGCGTTTGAGCCATAGACGAGACGTCTTCTGGACTACTCGACTATGCATGTAGTCCTCATGGAGCTGGCCGACTGGCTGAGCCGTATAGATCTCATGCCGAGGTTGTCTGAGTGCTTTACGCAACGCCTTGCTCAAGTCTCGAGTTTTGATGCGCATGTCTTCGAACAGAGGCAGTGCCTCGCACATGTAATGCCACATGTCTCGAGTTCTCTGTTGTATGAAGAGGCTCTTGATCAGCTTGTTGTACATGCTCATAGTCGGACGCACGTTGTAAGGCTTGTTCCGCATCACTTCCCAGATCTTCTGTACGCTGGCCTTCGGTAAATAAGCATGTTCTCTTCTTGATGCTTGACGAGGCAAAGAAAGAACAAATGTCCAGTTGAACAGTTCGTGCCACACATGATCGAAAACCTCAACCTTGTAGGTTCTCGAGACATGGTCCACCAGTCGAAGAGCCGTGGGAATATCGTTGTTGATACCGAAAGCATGTGCGATGGCATAAACCAAGAATGGAGTCGGATAGAGCGGGGATGTGGGCGACATATCAAGCTCTTTCTCTGAATATCCATCTTCAAGACCATCGACAATACCATCAACGTCAATTCTCCACACTTGTCTAAGGATCTTCTTGACAGTATCAAGGTCACCTTCGCGAGCAACCCCAAGTATGAGAAGACGGAACGTCTCTTCATCTGGCACAACATCGTTTTGTATCATCTCACGGTGGAAACTCATGACTTCCTGTTTGATGCCTCCGTCACCAATTTTGTAAGCTGCGTGTCTCGCGTTCGGGCTCGGCTTGGAGCGCGCTTCGACTCTGAAAGCAGTCAAACGGCGGCTGTGGCTGGCATATGGCTCATGACGGAGATGTGAGACGATGGCTCCCAAATAGTTGTTGTAACATTTAAGGTCCGGTACGACATGGTCGGTCTCCATGGCTCTCCAAAACGACTCTGCGACATCTCTCTGACCAATCCAGCGCGCAAACCCGAGTATAAGACTGTAGTCGGTGACGCTCAAAGTCTTACCGGACTTATTGCGTCTGTCGAGGATCTGAATTGCATTGAGAAGATGCTCTCTGATAAGACTGTCCGCAGACGGGAGGTGCAACTGCTGGACCATCGCGGGGCTCAATTGTGAGTACGGTATAGTTGCCCATTCTAGGGTGTTTTTTGGCTGCAAATGGGCCAACATCTCAGTGAAAGTGTTTTCCGGAACGCTCTGAATGAACTTCAGGTTATCCTCTGTGGCACTGAACAACTTGATCAATCCGTGATAATCTTTGCGTAACAATAAGCATTGGATCCTGTCATGGAAGTCGTGAACGTCTTTGCGTCCATGTATGAAGTCCTGATCTTCGGCCTCCAAGTCCACTCTGTCTGAGGTGGCAGGGCCATGATCTTGAGACAACGATCTCCAGACAATACGATTGTGGCTTGCGATTTGACGAAACCTTCCAGAGATGCGATTCTCACATTGTGCTGATGATGAGTAGTTTCCAGTGTGGAAAGCAGCGGGATGTATTCCACTGTATCTCTGGAATGGGCAAGAGGAAGACAGAAGACCCGACTTGAAAGAAGACTTCAGCCTCGCGAACACCCTCATTGCTGGCCCGTTTCGCGCCATGTGGAGCTAGTGAAGCGGCTCGAACCTTCCCCGGTGAATCTAAAGCAAGGGCCGAGTGGAAGTCGCGAATCAGCCAAGGCCGGGCTGCGAGCATCGACGCCGACCGCCAAGACCGGCGAGCGTCCAGCAGCTTCGCGACACCAGCATCATCGGACGAGTTGGAGACAATCAAGCACAAAAAAACACAACCTTGATGCGCAAATGGCCGATGTCGAAGACAACACCGCCAACCCGGTGATCGAGCCGTTGGATCTTGTGCGCCTTTCACTCAACGAGATCGTCTTTGTCAAGCTGCGCGGCGACCGCGAATTGCAAGGCAGACTCCACGTACGATGAACTGTCTTCTATACTTTGGCGCATACCGATCGACTAACACGTCTGGACAGGCATACGACAGCCATTGCAACCTGGTTCTTGGAGAGGTCGAAGAGACCATCTACGTTATTGACGACGATGACGAGACCGAGAGCGTGAGGGTACGACACTCTGGAGCCTCCCAGTTGGAACTGCATGCTAACGACCTTGTCAGACACTCAAGAAGCAGTCTGAGATGCTGTTCGTAAGAGGTACGCAATCTGTATCAACACCCGAACCCTGGACGTTCGCAACTCACACATTGCCCACAGGAGACTCGGTAGTCTTGATCTCACCTCAAGCACAATAGCCACAACCCACCCCTCACGACGATACAATAAGCGCGAGCACTCCGACCATGAGACTCTAGCACACGAGAACGAACGATTGATCAACGACGATTCATCTCTGGCACTGGGTCAACAAGTAAGAGACGAGGCTCCATGCCCAATGAAAAAGCCGATATACAGCTATGACCGTATTCAATAAACACACGTTCTGGTTTCTTTGATTCACCGCGCACTCGTCGCTATATTCCAACTCCTTGCTAAAGAGACCAAGGGGAAAGATAGAGGGGTATCTAAGAGGGAAACAATGCTGATTACACAAGCTCCCACCTGGCAGCAAAGGCATAGGCACCCGCAAATCCACCCTGTTTGTTGTAATCGCTCTCCACCATTCCTCTACCGTCCCGGCCTTTCCATGTGGTTACTGTGCCCAGCTTGATCTCCTGGCCTGCTTGTCCGAGCTCACTGGGGCGTACATCGACCCACCAGAAATATCCATTGGTCTGTAGAGGAACTTCACGCGCCGGTCTGCCATTACCTTCAGGCAAAAAGATTAGGTACAAGTAGTGCTTGCCTTTTCCGTTCCGCTCGTTGTCCCAGTGAGGGCAGACTTTGTTGAATTGGAAGCGGATGTAAGATTGCGGGTCGTTAACCGAAATCTGTTTAATCCTTGGTGAGACTGAGTTCTCGTCAATGCCCTCCTCGGTTGTCATGTTTCCAAATGTCTGTACAGGAGCTTGACCATTTGTGTCACCTAGTAGGTATTCCGCCCAGGTGATCGTTTGTCTGCCATCACTTCTGTAGAAACGGTTCTTGTCGCTCGGGAAATGGCTGCGGCCAAACTCTTCGTTGCTGCCGATGAAATGGATAGGATGGAATGATCTCTCGTAGGGCTTGCCCCAACCATTGACATGACCAGCTCCCCAGCAAGGATCGATCAACTTCCACTGACCGTTGTCGATTTTAACCACATTCCAGGCATGACCTGTTGCATCCTCAGCAGGCAGTGGAGCCCCGGGACCTATTGCCTCGAATCCAAGGCCTTTTCCATGACCTCCGACAACCATGCTCTCAAGTCCAGCTTTTGATGCAAGTGCGGTAAACAAACCAGCATAGCCCTCACAAACAGCGAGACCAGTGGCCAATGTCGAAGCTGGGGTTGAGCCTTTGACAGTGTTGGTGAACAGAGCATGAGTATTATAGTCAATGTTATGGTGTAGCCAAACAAAGATTGCTCGAGCTTTGTCGGTCAATGATGGGAAGGGGGACGTCAGCGATTGAGCAAGCCAGCCAAGATCTTGAGATGGTATCGATTGTCGTGGAAATCGTGCGGCGTGGGCATCAACAATGAAGAAATCTCGACATTTCAGGCAAGATCCTTGGCCTGGAGCTGTTGATGCTACTGGTACCGCTGCGCTGCTTGTGGCTCCATTGGCAGTAGTACTTGGCTTGGATGCTAACAACTTGGAGAGATCTGGTCGAGAAGATGCAGGAATTGGTGGTGGGGCGTCAGATCCCGGTCTTGCATCTGGGACTGGAGGTGGTTTGGCGGTGTTGTTAAAGCCCAAAGACAGCGCGGACCTTTTAGGAGCCGCAGATTTAACAGTGCTCTGTTCTGCTACGCTCTGAGAGGACGAAGGATTTCTTGAGGGCAATTGAGGCCTAGAGGGTAGTTGAGGTCGCGCAGGCTCCTGTACGGCAGGCAGGACATTGGGTGATGACTTGCTTTGCTGCAAAACAGGACCACGTTCTGGTAGACTAGGTGCTCTCTTAGGAGGCAAAGGGGGAAGCGATGATGCATCGAACGAGGGTGCTCGAATTGTATAGAGCGGTCCAGAGTTGCTCGTCGCGGAGCTCAGACCAGTCCGAGTGGATGCCGTCGAGATTGACGACCTAGTTGATGTCACGGATTCAGTTGATTGCTTCCTACTGATATCCGGCCTTCCGGAAAAGTTTGAGGGTATTTCCGATGGCCTCCTGGGTGGTAGCTGCGGAGATGGTCCAGATGGTTGTCTCGGTGGTAGTTTAGGTGCAGTACTTCTGGCTGGCCTGTTTGGAATCGTCGGAGGAGCACGCTCAACTACTCCACTCATTTCACCCGCGGAAGGCTGGTTTCCAATATCGTGGCCTGCATCGGCTGCAGATACGTGAACTCCAACAGGAGGCACATTGGTCGTCTGTTGTCTCGATGGGATTTCCGATCTCTTTTTTGGTACTGTGGGAGCAGCTGCCTTTGCACCAGGTTGCCGACCTACTTGGTCCAACTTCAAGGCGGCGATGCGTGCCGCAATACTCGTATTGCCGTCTTGTTCTGCCATCCTGTAAAACTGGTGGGGGTACTTGTTTGAATATGAAGAAAAGTCTGTTACACTTGCTGAAGAAATAAGAAGTTGATTACAGATTTGTCGTTCGGTTTCAATGATTCAGTCGTGCAGCCTCGCAGGTTGCCTGATGGGCGCTTGTAGACGCGGTTCCTTCGCGTACCATAGGCAGTCAAGTCCCTGGTATGAGGAAGAAACAATGCGTTTCAGCACTGCTCGAGACTCAGAGGACGTCGACTCAACGCCGGCATTTTTATGTCTACAGAATTACAGGTGAGTAGTTTAGGCAGATCGATGGCCACGCGTTTGGCAAGAGCGAGCACGCCGAAGTCCAGCTTGGCGTCGTCTTGGATTCTCTTGCCCTTCTGATTTTCGAGTCAATTCCTCTTGACGACATCAACATCCCTCTATGCGAGACTTGAATTCTTTCCTGCCAATTTGACATTCGGGTGAATTCGCCGCTACACGGATTCTCGAGCAGCCAGCAGCCTTTCAACTGATCATGCGTCTCTTGCAAACGGAGCTATTTCTCCAGCCAAAAAGCCTAACATCATGTCACTGGATCATTGTTTTACTCTCGAGAGACATTCGAATCAACATGAATGAGTCGCCTTACACATTTGACTCACCGCAGTATGTATGGTTGTGCAGTTGGAGCAACAGAAGACCGTCCTGCCCGAAGCTCTGCCGGGTCACCCCTCACCACGCAATCCACATCCGAACGATCTACCACGCAGTCAGCACGGCTTGAAGAATGTCGGTAGAGTATGGCACGTTTCATACTCGGCTTTGTTTTCGAACTCTGGCAGAGATGCCTCAATATTAATAACATATCTATCGCGGTGGGTGCCCTACACAGCGATTCCTCTGTTACACGAACTGCTGCAGGTTACTAGCTGCATTTCCATTGCAGATGGAATGCAGCTCCCTCGCTAAGATGCAGAACCTCAAGTATCCCGCAAGCGACCTGCTGATGTGCTTGCGGCTTATGGATTGAGACATGCAAAGTGTTCGCTTATGTTGAATGCACATTCTAGCATGATTGGCGACCTTTGATCACCGGTCCCACGCCTTCTTTCTGCTACGAAGGATTTTACCCCTGCGCTTTAGGCACAAAGTGAGTTTCCAGGCTTATATATTCCGGTGTCTCCTGCTGCGTAAGTGAATGATCAGGTCTTCTCGGTCAGTTCGTCCATCATGGCTTTCTCCAGACTCATTATCCTATCTGCTTTCTACTCTGCAGCTTATGCAGGTTTTGAGTATGACTACATTATTGTGGGCGGTGGCACAGCTGGTTGCGTCCTAGCCAACCGTTTGTCAGCGAACCCATCCATCTCGGTTGCCCTCATCGAAGCCGGACCTACAGTCTTCAACGACTCCCGAGTCCTTTCTGTAAGTCCTGGTGGACCTGCATGGAACACGGAGCTCGATTGGCAGTATACAACAACTCCGCAAGTCTATGCCAACAATTCGACCCTCCTCTATCATGCAGGACGTGATCTTGGTGGCTCAAGTACTCTCAACGGCATGGTATACCTTCGACCCACGGCTGATGAGGTGGACTCATGGTCAGCTTTGGGTAATCCCGGGTTGACCTGGGACAATCTGCTGCCTTACTTCAAGAAGAGTGAGCACCTACAACTCCCTACCGACCCTGAGGCCCTTCTTGATACTTCTTATGAGGCCAGTTTCCATGGTTTCAACGGCCCAGTCAAAGTAGGCTGGGGCAATGATCTTAGTACAACTGGCTATGGACGTGCATTGAACTCAAGCTGGCAGTCTCTCGGGTTCTCATGGAATCTCGATCCCAACTCTGGAGACACTGCCGGACTCGGCTTGTTCCCGCTTGAGAAGGACACAGTCGTCAACATTAGATCTGATTCGGCCAGGTCTTACGTTTTACCTGTCATCAGTCGCCCAAATCTGCATGCGTTTACGAACACTACTGCCTTGGACGTTAATTTGGATGGTGTTGGAGCGCATCATGGTCCTAGAAAAGCCGTGGTGGCCAAAGGCGTCAACGTTATATTACCTTCTGGAAAGAAACAGTTTCTTCGCTCCAAGCGCGAAGTCATCCTTTCGGCTGGCACATACAGGACCCCCGGCCTCCTCGAGCGATCGGGGGTTGGCAACCCCTCGTAAGTATACTTGTCCGATTGGACTCGTATTTTAGTGAGGGACATACTAACTCGGCACAGTGTTCTGCGCAACATTTCCGTCACATTAAAGGTCGACCTTCCTGGTGTAGGAGCCCACCTTCAGGACCAGTGGCTATTGAACGTCATCGTCAACCCTAACTTCACATTAGAGTCATTGACCATAGGTTGGAACGCAAGACCTCTCACAGCTTCTTTGACTGCCGCCGATGTATTCGAGGACGACCTTGACACTGTCGCTGCGCAGCTCTACAAAGACATCCCCTCCTATGCACGAATTTTGTCCGAAGCGAGTGGCGGTGCCATTTCCGTTCAAGCACAAGAACAAATACTACGACTAAGAGCAGACACCTTTTTCAAAAAAGGAGTAGCAATCGGCGCAATGATCTTCCAAGTCTTCGGTGGCAACCACTGGGTAACCTTACCCCTCTCTACAGGCACAGTTCATGTAAGCATTCGCATCCCGGCCTCTCTGAACATGACCTTTGAAGCTAACACCCTCTCTTAGTCTTCTTCCGACCCTTCGAGACCAAACTTGAATCCCAACTTCATGCAACTGCCTTGGGACATCATGGTCATGCAACGCCTCTCTCAGATCCAACGCAAAATTTTCGCCTCTCCTGAGGTGCAAGCCGCTCTCGGTCCTTCCGCTACCGTTGAGATATTACCAGGCTATTCGAATGTTCCTGCCAACGCTTCATTGGCTCAATGGACAGCATTCTACCGAGCATCGCTGGCGCCGGTCTGGCACGCTGTGGGTTCCGCAGGTATGCGTAGACGCGACTGGGGCGGTGTGGTGGATACGAAGTTCAGAGTGTACGGTGTGCAAGGGTTGAGGATTGCTGATGCGAGTGTTATTCCGTTGGAGCTTAATGGTAATCCTACTAGTACTATCTATGCTCTGGCGGAGAAGGCAGCGGAGGACATCTTGGCTGATTGTGAGATTGGCAAGGGAAAGCCATGGAGCTGAATTTGAGATGAAATGGAATATCAGAGGGCGTTTGTTGGGATTGCGTGATACCTGACATGCGCTTTTTCTTTTTCCGCGGTCCTGCCAATGTAAACAGACAAAGCCAGACTATAATGGTAAAAATTTGGTTACACCGGACATTCTCAGCTCCAAAACTTTGCAGCCACACAGATCAACGAAAACACGATCATGATAAGTGATGGCTACTGGGACCAAAAAGCAAAAGATCAGCTTTGGAGTAGCTGGGAATCGAACCCAGAACCTTCTCCACTCAGTAATGCTCGAGAAGAGCAATGCTAAGAAGATGTCATACCACTAGACCACAACCCCATTGATGTTAGACAATGCTTGAAAAAACAATATTGTTCCAAAACAGTTCTCTGTGGGCATGCCTTGACGAGTCCGGAGCCAGGTTAGATCAATCAGTATGCATGATGGTAGACGACCCAATTGCACAACTCACGGCTCAGCATGGAAGGTGCGAGTTAGTTGGTAGCGCATTGAAGGGTAGCTTAAGATGCAATTGCAGCTTGGAATCAAGAGGTGGAATCGAGGTAGAAACAGTTGACTTATGAGCGCGGCTAGTTGGATATATGCATAGTAAATCGTGCGAGAAAAAGACATCATCGGGTGAAGCTTGAGCGGCTGCATCTCTTGCCATGCTTTTCCCCTTCGACATGAAACCAGATGTGATGTAGAGAACACCACTGAGATGCATTCGAATGTGCATCTAGAAGTTGGGACGTCTCTCGTCCTCAGGACGACCAGTGCTTCTGGAGTCACCGTAGTGCTTCTTTCTCAAAGCAGCCAGACGCTTCTTCTTGGTGTGAGCATTGATGTAAGTACCAATGATGAAGCTGATGATGTTGAAGAAGGGCACCCATGTCTCTTGGGGCAGGAACTTCTGTGCGAAAGCCAGAGCCAGGGGAGAGGTGCACCAGCTGACCTTCATGACGGGGAGGAGGCCAGCACGAACGGTGGCGCGGACTTGGTGGAAAGTACGGGCGCCAGCGATGATGGCCATGGCGGAGAGGTAGATGGTGTTCTGGATAGGAGAGATCTGTGGATGGGGTCAGTAAGACAAGCGTGAAGGTACAAGTTCGGCGGGCAAGCGTACGATCAGGTTGCTGGCGAGGATCTGCAAGATCTTAGCCTTCAAACTGGTCCTGCCAGCGAAAGCCTTCTGCAGGATGTTGATGAGAACGTGGCCAAGAGGAGCGCTGACAAAGGCACCGTAGAGGGCCATCTTGGGCACACGCGAGGTGAAATAGTGACCGTTCTTGTTGCGGTCTTTGGCGATCCATGAGGCGAGGATTTCTTGAGCACCAGAGAGCGAGCCCGAAGTGATCATCTTGGTGCGAAGAGGGTTGGTTTGCAGGTGGCGCAAGTAGGCCTATACCAGACCAGTCAGTCATGGTCGCATTAAGTCGCATTGACAGGACTTACAGCCAGGTAGCCGCCAGCACCAGCACCTTTGGTGATTGCATTGCCGACCTCATTCGCAAGGTCCTGCTTGCCAGTCACGCTGGCTACCGTCTCCTTGACGTCGAATTTGACCGACGACATGTTGCAAGTTGTTGTGGGTTTGCTGCACAGAAAAGTGCACGACAGAAGAAGACTGACAAACCAGATGGCTGGGCCGGCCTAACAAAACACAAGAGATACAAACCTCTGGGGGACGCGACAGGCAGCGGCCTCCTCCGGGGGTTATCTTGAACCGAATACCGAGGTTGTCTGTGCGCAGTTCGCGGGGCTCCGACAGCGCTTGCACTTGCCGTCTGTCATTTTGTCACTTCACACCTGTAGAAGTGAGCTTTGTTAGGGATAGCCTTCACTGAAAGCACGACAGTCAGCGCTTCTCTTTGGACGACTATGCCAATCTGAAGAAACATTGTGCATCTCTACAGGCCGGAAGACTCCAGGTGTGGGCCGCGGGGGATGGCTACAAGTGACGGATTTTGGCACACACGGAGATTGGTCTATGGTCCTCTTCGCCTCAGGCACGAACTATGTCCATATCGCCGAGAGCTTCCCCCAAGGCTCGCCATGTCCAACCGACCTGTAATCCACGAAGTTACTGTTGGACAAGAGGTCGCTTCCCGCAGCGCTCGAACACTGCGACTTCCCGACCCAAAGACCGACCCAAAGGCCGACCATTCCTGGTCAGGACCATAGCACAAAGGCGGGGGAAAAGCTTCTACATCTCAACCGTGTTACTCTCCCATCAACCTCTTCAATGGATTCTGTTCGAGGTATTATGGTACTCTAACCCTGAATCAGGTGTGCTTGCTCCGGCAAGACGCACCTTGCAGGTTGCACTGCTTGTACCAAATTGCCGTGATTTTCTTAAAACATGTCTAGGTCCCTGATCCAACCTCGACGATTTGGTCTGCTCTCAATTCGCTCGTGAAAGATGCATCCAACCTTCTTGCCTCATCTCAACGCGAGAGATCAATTGTACTTGACTGAGACGAGCTTTCCTTCACCGCGTGCCTGCCTGCTTCGTTCACTTTTCAACACTCCAAGCCAGAGCAAGCGAGCGCGAGTTCGCTCGAGTCGCTCACTTCTTTTATCACCCACCAACACCCGTGTCTCTGTCGAACTCTTCCATTTCTCTCGGCGTCGACACACCTATCCTTTTACGTACTCTTTCACACGAACCATCGACAACCATCGCACGCTTTCTTCAACATGAGCGTGATCACATCCGTATGTTTACCAAACCACAATCACGGTTACTCCTTTTGTCCCTTCCAAGCCTGCACTCATTTCTTGACCCGTCGATCTATACGCAACCATGAGTGTCTGCAACCTTGAGATCGTCAACGACTAATCATGTATTGCAGGTTGGCGATACACCTGTCGCACAGTCTAACCGCCGCACTCCAGCGTACTGTGTCAGTGCCTGCACTCACATCAGAATGGAGCGCCTCTACGGAAGCTGGGCATGCGATACATGCCGTCATCACTCGCCCTACGGCTGGCTCTATTACTGTACTTCAGATACCCCTGAAGTGGGAGACTACTCTTTTGTCAAATCACTGAAGCATCCCATCACACCTGCTGGAGAGGAGCTTCGTCAAAAGGGTCTGAGCGAGTCTCACATCAAACAGTTTGAGCAAGGTGGCTACACGAACGACCAATTGCAACTCATCATTCGCCAGAAGCAACACGTGCAACATATCATCGAGGGAACGACCGCACTCTCACGTGGGCTGGACGAGGAAAGCCTCGACCCCTTGGCTCGCCCATCAGCTAGCGTGCCAGATGATGTTCGCTGCGAGTTCAAGGTCTGTCAACGATGTCGCCCTATGCACAAAGAGCGTTGCTGGATGTCATTCGAAGCCGTCTTTGAGGATGAGGTCAGACCCATCGACAAGTATGAGCTGACTGGAGGCCTTCCCGTCAAGGACGCAAACTACATGATGCTGCTCGGTCTGCATCCTCCCGTTACTGTTGTCTCTCCTCATCGCTGGGCCGAATCGCCCTACGAATCGCCTACCCATTCTCCATCATCGGGCTACACGAGCGACGGCTTCTCTACCGATGAGGACTACGATAACGAGAGCTGTGGCGATGCCTTCTCAACCTGTACACAAGAAGGCGAAGACAACTACTCGCAACGCGTCGGAAACGATATGGCCTTCATCACCCTCAGAGAACCTCGCCATGCGCAGACACCCCGTTCCACAATCAGACTGGTCCCCTCCGCATCACCTCCACGCCGTCGCCCATCCATGATTGACGACGAGTCGCCTTCTCATTCGCACACTACAAGCTCTTCCATCAGTCTTCCTACAATCCCCACCACTACATCCTACAGTCCTCTGCCTGGATGCGACCAAGACATTCAGGGTCTCAGGGCACAGCACTCGCACAAGGCCATGACTGACCCCGAGTTCTATTCTGGCCATCCGCTCGATATGGCGTCTTCCCTTTCCATGTCAAGCGAGTCCAGCTTCGGCTCAGAAGTTGCAGTTGAAGGCGGTTTTGCTTTGACTGAGGAGGCCATGGACACCCACACTCCTGACTTGTTCACCACCAGAGTCTAGAAGCCTCTCGACTCAGCACACACAGCTCGTTCTCTCATGACGGCGTTGAAGTTTATATCTATCTTACAGCGCATGATGTTTTCTCTCATTCTTATGGTTACTTGGCGCAAGGTCGGCGGCATGCATTACCTCGGCGAAATGTTACTGGGGTGGAGACATGCTTCTCGGAGTATGGTTGGCCATCATAGAGGTCGAAGGCGGATCATGTTTTCTGTTGTCTTTCTTCGTTACTGGTTACCAATTATAATGTCAATACAGTTTGGTCATCTTTCTCCTCTTTCTGAATCATTCATTCACTCTTCACGTGGAGCCTTGCCAAGTTTGAAACACATGATCGTACTTTCCACAGTACTCAGGACTTGTCTCTCTCACATACAAAAGACGACTCAACACATGGATGAAATGAAGAATGCTTTTCGCGCTGAAAAACAACTGACAATAAGAAATAGTGTAATGTAGAAAAGGTATAAACAAGCCCAAGCTCCCAAAAAAGAAAACGCCATGATTTTCGATACCTTCAACATCTAATCCTCCATGTCCTCATCCTCACCACCATTCTGCATCTTCTCGACAAAAGCCTTTGCTCTAGCCTTTACAGCATCAACATGTTTAGCATCACCTTGCTCCTCCTCGAATTCCAACCATCTCTTGAAAACAAATCTGGCACGACGTTTCTTCATCTTGCCGTTTGCCATGCGCTCGAAGAGACCGCGTACGCGCTCGACATCTTCCTTTTTGCCAGAGGTTTTGGAGAGGCTGCGTTCGAGGTCACACCACATGTCCCATCCTTGTGTCCATTTCGTCCATTGTGTGAGCATGGATTCGAAGATTGTGCGGGCGCGCTCTGGTTCGCCTGTGCTAGTGCGGAATTCGAGAGCGGCGAATTTGGCAGTCAGATTGCGGTGGTCGTGGGAAGCCACCGATTGCAGCGCACGAGGGAGCAATGCGCGAGCTTGAGATGCCGCATTTCTCTTCTCAAACAAGAAAGTGGCGTAATTGAGCCAGAGGTTGGGGTTAGGACGGAAAGACTTGGTGGAAGCCATTTGGTCGAAGATCTTCTCGGCGGCGCGGAAGTCACCGGAGGATGTGTAGATGGCGGCGAGCTTTTCGTGCATGGTGAAGCTATCTTGAACCTTGCAGGATTCCTTGAAGGTCGACTCGACCGAGTCGGCGTCGCCGTAGGCAACTTCCAAGTTCAAGAGTGCGACCCAGATGTTCTGCTTCTCGTCCTGTTCACGGAGGTGGATGGTGCGGAGGGCACGTTGGCCGATATCACGGGCCTTTTGGACTTCGGAGAGGCCGAGTTGGAAGGCCATGTATTGGATCCAGAGGGAGGAGTCGGAGGGGGAGGTGAGCAGCATGCGTTCGAAGTCGGCGACAGACTGAGGGCCATTGGCATCGAGGTCGCCGGTCTGGTCGACTTGAATGGCGGCCTTGCGCTTGCGCTTCTTGAGGGGTGCAGAGGCTTCTTCGGCATCGGAGATGGCGCCATCGTTGTCGAGAGCGGCAGCACCGTTCCAGTCGAACCCAGAGGTGGTAAGACCGCCGAGGATGGACTTGCGGGATGTGGGTGCTTCGTCTTCGCTCATCTCTTCGTCCGAGGCGGCCTCTTCTTCACTCTCCATGTCTTGGACGTTGGACATATCAATGTCGACACCATCGTCAGACTCCGAGTCGTCAGCAAGAGGAACACCTTCACCTTCAGACTCATCTTCTTCATCGTCATCCTCCATCTCCTCATCGCTTTCAAGGTCCTTGAAGTATGATGCTTTGAGACCGAAACTGATACGGCGCTTCTCGGTGTCGATGTGCAAGACCTTGGCCTTGACGAGATCACCAGCATCATACAGCTTCTTGACATCCTCGACAGCAGAGTCGGCAATCTGACTCTTATGACACAGACCACTAACACGAGGGATGGTGTTGTCGACATCGATGAAGACACCGAAGTCCTCAACCTTTCTCACCTTACCAGTGACAAATTGACCGACCTTGAGGTCGGCGAAAGAGTTGGCGGGAACATAATCCTTGTCAACGTGAGACTGCTTCAGACTCATCTGGACATGGTTCAGGTTTGCGTCAACCTGCAGGATCTTGCCCTTAACAAGCTGGTCGATCTCAACAGCTGACTTCCATTCCTTGACGAACGAGTCCGACAGGTCGGAGATACGAACGAAAGCATCGATACGAGGACCGAGGTTGACAATGACACCCTTCTCGGTGACAGCCTTGACAAAACCGCGGACGACATCGTTGACAACCAATTGAGGGATGGAGGTAATTTGACGATCCTCAACGGGCAGTGCTGAACTCAGAACCTTGGAAGGACGCATACTGAGGTAGACACGCTTGTTGGGTGCGTCAACGGCAGAGACGCAGACACGTACAATGTCACCTCTGCTGTGTGTTGTAGGGTTGGCCTCGGTGAAGTCATCAGACAGCTCGGTCAAAGTAACAATACCAGAGACGGAGTCGCTCAGCTGAACAATAACGTTACGCTCGCTGACCTTGGTGACCTTTCCAGCGAGGATCTGACCTTCAGTAAGAGTCTTGAGAGTAACTGGAGCAGATGAGGCAGCGGATGCTGCAACAAGATCCAAGCGGTTAGCGGCGGCATTAACGCTCTTGACCTTGACGCGGATGGCAGAGCCAACAGGGAAGTTCTTGGGGATATCCTGGAGGAGAGAGACATCATCCGAGACGTCAAGAAGATCAATACGACCACGGACGTTGGGTGACAAGTTAGCCCACAGGCACTTGTCGCCAATGTTGTTGACGTAGGCAATCCAGGTGGAGTCGACCTTGACTTGGTCAAGGGTCAAAACATCAGATTCAGACTTCAATGAAGTGTTGGTCTTAGCAGTAAGCTCGAGAACGGGAACACGGGAGTGGCGGTGGGTGATAGGCAGGAAACGGTGGTTACGGGCGTCGTGGATACCGAGAACCTTGACAGGAAGAACCTGCTTGGCCTTGAACTTTTGAAGAGGCTTCTTTCTGTCCTTGATGTCTTCCCAGCTGTTGAAGACCTCGGAAACATCAATGCGACCTTGGATGTTGTCGGCGAGCAGAACGTTGAGCTGAGTGTCCTTGATGGAGACAATGCGTGCCTGAGTTTCTTTACCCAGGGTGAAGTCGGTCAACGAGGTGGAAACTCCATCGACGGGGTTGGTGACAGTGGTAGGGACAGCAGTCTGAGGCTTCTCTTCCTTCTTCTCCTCGGGGCGAATAGTCAGAACAAAGCGCTTGGACTCCTGGTTAACGGAAAGAACTCTGGTGGTGATAGATTGATCCTTGCGCAGACCGAAAGCGGGCAGTGCGAGCTTCTCCTGTGTAATCTGGGTCTTGGGCATGAAACCGACCAGACCAGCAGCGAACTCAACAAAGACACCATCGGGGGTGATGTTGCGTACGAAACCAGCAACTTCCTGGCCTTGCGAAAGACTCTTGAACTGGCTGACCAAAGTCTTGGAGCTGGCGGCCTTGACCAAGCTGGGCTTGTTGCTCAGGATGACCAAGTGTCTTCTGTTCAACTTCTCTACCACAACAAGCTCGTTCAGCTTTTGACCGACTCTAATCTGCTTCATGGTTGACTTGTTCTTGGCCTCGGATCCGTCGGTAAGGTGAGTCAGGCGGAGCGTACCCTTGAGGTTTGAGCCCTCCAGATCAAGCATGACGCTCTCACCAGTAACTTCTGTGACAGATGCGTTGATGAGTTGACCCTCTTTCAGCTCGTTCCAAGCAGACTCCTCGTCCTTTCCGAAAGCAGAGGCATCCTTACAGGAAACCTTGAGCTCTTCGGCCTCTGCATCGACAGAAAGGGCGTGGACCATGACTGTTTGGCCTTGTCTAAAGTGTTGGGAGGGATCTGAAATGTAGGCCTCGCTCATCTCAGCCACGGGGAGCCATGCTCTAACCTTACCGTAGAACTGAACGACGGCACCATTGGGCTTGATGTTGATGATAGTACCAGGGGCTTCGTCTCCGACGTTGATGTCCTCGTATGACTTCCAGATCTTGGCTTCAGTGTTAACGAGAGTCTTCTTCAGGGTCAAACGGATTTGGTTCTTCTCGGGATCGACTGTCAGGACACGAGCAGTGACGGGGAAACCTTCTCTGAACTTCTTCTCGGGGTGTTGCAACTTCACATCGGACATGTGTGACTCAGGAACGAGACCGTCAATGCCGTCAGCAAGCTGGACAAGGACACCGGTGACTCCCTTAGCTCCCAGGATGATCTTCATGACAGTTGCCTTGACTGTTTGGCCAACCTCGACATCCTCAATACGGAGGAAAGGCTGGTCCAGGATCTTCTGCTCGAGAGATACATTGTACACAGCATCGATAGGGTTGAAGCCAAGAACTCTGGCGCGGTGGGTGGATTCGAGCTTATACTGGCCAATGGTTTCTGAAAGGTTGTCGATTTTCTTGTCAGAGATTCTGGAAATGTGAGCGAAGCCGGGATTTGAGGAACCAGAAAGCTTGAGGAAGAGACCCATAGCAGGCTCAACGTGCACAACCTGGGCATCTTCAACAATCGAGGAAGGACCGATCTTGTCGGCCTTCTTCTCGCTGCTAAGGGCAAACGCCTTGAAGGTCTTGACATGGTCGAGGAAAGAGATACCGAGCTTCTTGTTCTCGGCAGAGTGGAAAGTGCAGATGACACGGGCCTTGACCTTTGAGCCAATCTTGTACTTCTTCGAAACGTCGTCCACACGAGCACCAGCACCCGAGTGGATGACATCTGCAGTCGCATCGAGCATTCCCATGACCTTGGTAGCAATTCCTCCACGGCTTGACTCGGTTACCAAAACCTCAACAGCGGTACCGGGGAGGAAAGCATCGATGGTGGGAGCGTCGGAAAGGCAGTGCTTGTTGATGTCGCCCATCTTTGTGAAATCAGGAGCCAACTTGATAACCTTGTTATCCGAAGCCTTACCAGTCACAACACAGAGCATGACCTGGCCCTCGTGAATCTTGGAGATGTCGAAAATCTTTCCCAGCTCTTTCTTTGAGACGAAACCTCTGACAGACTCGTCGTCCAGGCCCAAATCCATGACCAGACCATGGTCTTCTACACTGCGGACCGAGGCTTGTAGCGTCGAGTGTACGGGGAGGTTTGAGGAGTCGAGGCCAATGTTTGCTTGTTTCGGGTCGACGGACAATTCGATTCTCTTCTTTGACTTGCGCAGTCCGTTGACAGCAGTCTCGTCGGCGGTAGAGGTGACAATGGCTCGGAGCCATTGACCAACGTGGAAAAGCGACTTGAGATCAAGATCGTCGTCGTCTTCGTCTTCGCTCTCGTCCTTGACATCTTCGTCGGCCTGAGCCAGCAGAGCCTCGATCTTTTGGTTGACCTTTTCTGAGATGGCCGTCAAGGGGATGAATCCTGTGAGGTTGTTGGGTAGTGCGAGGGCAACATCGCGGGATGTGATGTCGGTAACTTGTCCCAGCACCAGAGTGCCAACGGTGATGTTCTTGTAACTCAGACCGTGGATCTTGATCTGAGGCTTGTCGTCTTCAGCAGCCTTAGCAGCTCTTTTATCGGCCTTTGTCTTTCTCTTCTTCTTGGGTGCAGCACCAGAGTCGGCTCCAGCGTCGGCGTCCTCGTCGTCGTCGTCGGAGTAGTTGTCGGGCTTTTGCTTCTTGCCTCCAGATTGCTCGAAAAGAACATCGCGTTCGGCCTGGATCTTGATCTGCTTGTGTTCCAGAGGAGTCAAGACACTTGCGCCACCACGGGGGAAAGCGCGCTCTTCTTGTGACAGGATTGAGGCCTTGACGGGATTTCTGTCGCCCTGTTCCTTGGACTCGGTGGGTTGCCTCTTCTTGATCGGAGCGGTTCCAGAAGCATCAGGCTTGGAGCGCTTCACATCGCGCTCCTCGGTCTGAGCCTTTCGTTTAATGGGAGCCATGGCGAGATATTCGACCACGGAAATGTATAAAAAACGAATTTATCTCGCCTTCCCAAAAAATCTGGAGCTTGCTGGAAAACTTGTCGGCCTTGGCAAAAATAAACGCCGACATTTCCGGGGCAGTAAATTGATTGAAAGAAACGCGGCGCGTCTCACAACGCGTATTTCGACATCGTGGCGTTGGACCACCCATCTCCGTCCATCTTCGCTCGAGTATTGATATCGCTGTCTCTGTCTCTGCACCATGTCTAACATGGATATGCTGTGTTCTCCACAGAGCAGCAATGTCGATTTACCCACATCTCCCACAGCCGCCCCATCCTCGACGGCTGTGAGCAGTAAACCCAGAGGGCAGCCCTCCATCACTCCTCGACGCTTCACGAGGTTCTTCACCCCCATCACAACACGTTCCACCACAGGCTCGAAGTCTTCCAAGAGACTAAAAGACATTACCAAGAATGCCGTCAATCAAGTCAAGTTCACTGGCTTCCATGACCTCCCCCGATTCGAGACGCCACGAAAGAAGAGAAAGATACTACCCACTCCCGAGAGCTCGCCCGTCCAACCTCTTGACTCGTCACCCTTGCGACCACTCGATTACCACGTCCCCTCGAACCTTTCCCACCGCATTGACTATGATTTCGACGACTCGGACATTGAAGAGGAAGACGAAGACGAAGAGGCCGAGGAAGAAAAGCATTTTCCAGCTCCCATAACACGTCTACGAGATTTTGGTACAAGTGGCCGCATTCTCCAACGAAGCTTCGGTGGTGCCAGAGGCGTTGGTCGTGGCAGGATCAACGACCACTGTGTCCCTGATTGGCATGCTCAAACTGCAGATTACTATACTCGTCCTGAAGACTGCCACAACTATCGCGGCCAGGCCCTACCTTTCTGCGTTGCTCGTTGCAACACCAACTCGCTCGTTGCTATCGGCGATGAGGAGGGTGGCGTCAGGCTGATAGATTCGGCCTACGCAGACAACTCTTTCTCTCAACACCACGTATCCTTCAAGCCTCACCACAACGCCATCATGGACTTGGCCTTCTCATCCGATGACTACCTTTTTGCATCGGCCTCGGGCGATCAGACTTCTCGCATCGTCGACATGCACACTCAGCAAACTCGCTACGTTATGCATAGCCACACATCTTCTGTCAAACAGGTTCGCTTCCAGCCTGGCAACGACAGTATTGTCGCTACCTCAAGTCGCGATGGCAGCGTCATGATCTGGGACTTACGTTGTCGCGGTCAGGATGCTCCTGTCGTTGACTATGCTGTCAGCTTCGAGCCCGGTAACAGCATGGTGAACTCCGCTCGGCGGGCAAACACTGTCACGTATGCCAGCTCTGTCAACAGTATGCGTGATGCACACGGCTTGCAACAAGAGTCTCGCCGCTCGGATATCTCTGTCACTGCTTTGTCCTTCCTATCTGATTCACGCTCTCACTTGCTGCTGACGGCAACCGAAGCAAATGCCAGTGTCAAGCTGTGGGATCTTCGAGGCAAATACACTTCTCGTCGGAACGGACCATCAGTGCCTGTGTCTAGTACTCGCGAGCCTGAGGCCCATTTCAAGCACCGTCAGTTCGGCATTAGTAGTCTGGCACTGAGCGGTGATGGTAGCCGCTTCTATGCACTCTGCCGTGACAGCACTGTTTACGCTTACTCCACCAACCACCTCATTATGGGCTCCGCGCCTGAGTATGAGCCTTCCTCCAACACACAAGCATCCAAGTGGTTCCGGCCTCGACAGGGTCTTTCCGGTAACGGACCCCTGTATGGTTTCCGTCACCCCATGTTCAAGTCCACATCCTTCTACGTCAAGTCCGCCTTGCGCCCTGCCACATCTTCGCACCCTGAAATGCTCGCTGTTGGCAGTCGAGAGGGCTGCGCTGTCTTGTTCCCTACTGACGAGGCCTTCCTGAAGAAGAAGTCTCCACAACCCAGCTCGGGTACCTCTACTCCCATTATTGAACAGGACGGAGCATCTGGTCCCCGCTCTCGAACTGGGTCTGCTGCAAAGTTGGAGGACACATCACTGCCTATTTACAATCAAGGCACTGCGTTGATTCGAGCTCATGGTAGATCCGAGGTCACCGGCTTGGCTTGGAGCACCGAGGGCGAGCTTGTCACACTGGGTGATGACTTCACCGCACGATGCTGGCGTGACAACGATCGTAATGCTGCAAAAGGCATGAGGATTTGCGGTGAGGGCCAAGGCGCTCGCTGGGGATGGGGATGGGCTGATGTCGAAGGATATGATGAGGAAGAAGGATGATGGTGAAGGATGCACGTTCCGATCAGGGTAATAGAGGTCGTTGCGGCGATTGTTCGATGATGGATTGTTATGACTTGCTTTTGCTTTACTTGTCTGTCCCGGTTTGGACAAAGGATACCCACAGCCAAAATGGCACAGCGTAGCGATGGAGATAGCTCTCTCTTGCTTTATAGATAGAAATGTTAGATAGTTGAAGAAAGACATGGCATCACAAGCCAAATCACTCATCCTCAATCAACATCTCCGGGTGCTTTTCATAGTCACATTTACATATTTGTGCACACACCTGAATACACATTTCATAAGGCCGCATAACATTTCGATGGATGCCCAAAATCTGAGCAGGGTGCTCCCCATAACCAGTGTCTCGAGCAGTTTTCTTGTCGTCAAGGCAGCAATACATGTTTTATCTCGTGGTTGATATTATAAAGGGCACAATATCGACACGATACATATATCTGTCGAGTCTCATATCGATACATGGGCAGTGTGGGCGACAATCCAGAAAAACATGATTAAGCATCGCGTCAATCTAAAAGACATCCACAAACTGCTTAGTTTAAGACCGCAATTCTCGAAGAATGACTCGCAATAAAATGCTGTCTTTGTGAACAACTATATAGTACTAGACTATATCTCTTCTGTCTCAATTAGGTTACTGAGCATTATTTCAACATGAAAGCCAATGTTATTCGGTGTGTTCGGGATAGGCATGGTTTATCAATGATGAGAACGAGGCGGTCGTTGGGAATTTGTGCCCAACAGCCCCTCATCCAGGAGCCGGCTACCCTATCACCATCTATCTTCTTTATCAGACACGAGCAACAGCTTTTAGATATTCTCTTGACCTTCGTACTTCTGTCTTTCTCCACCCACACGTAGTCCGAGTCTCATTCTTCATCAAGGCCACACGCGTTTGAACATGCCTCGCACGCGTCTCCAGCAGCGCAGAACGCGCCCACGGTCGTCGACTCGATCCAACCACATCACGAGGCAAAGACCAAGCCTGCGCTTACCTACGACATCGTGAACAACTCCTTGACGGGCTGCAGTGACACCGCCGAGAATCAATACCAACTTCAAGAGCTATATCATCCCTCCATCTGGCTAGCGACTCCATACCAAGCCGCAACGGTCTTGGCCTTTACGTACTGGCATCCACGTTCCACATCTAGAGTGATGACGTGCGGCCAAAAGTTAGAAATACCTCGATGGCTATGTAAGTCGTTAAAACCGTGATGCGGCTCTCTCACGTCTGTAGCACCCCATGTCGTATATGTTTTCTCGCTGCGCAATTCGTGTTCGAATCCAATTTCCCTCATCTTTGAGTCGCCAATTTCATAACAGTACTTTTGCTGGAAAGGTCACCAAATCAGCTCCACAATCACCTAGCAATCGCATTGCGTATCACCAGACAAGACATTACACAGAATTCACCAGCATCATGCACGACAAATTCTCCGGCTCTGAGGCGCCCAACAAAGTCAGGATGATGGTGTTCGAGACGGACGAACCGCATCCTGACACCGAAAGAGAAAAGGGATCATTTGGACAAGTCTTCGACAAGTTGTTCAAGATCGCTGGTGACAACCACGATCCTCCGCTAGGCATTGAGACGGCGATGAAATTCGTTGTAGAGCCAAAAGGTGGAAAGGTGCCCTCGGTGGATGACCTGAAAGACGTACATGCCATCCTGATTACGGGAAGTATGTTCGACGCTCACGGTGACGACGAGTGGATTTTGAAGCTCATGAAGCTGTTACAAGGTAAGCCCTCCAGAAGATAGTACCAGCCATGTGCTGACATGGACAGATCTCTGGCAACATCGTCCCGACATCCGCTTTTCAGGAGTCTGCTTTGGTCATCAGATCCTCTGTCGCATGCTCGGAGCCAAGGTCGACACGGTACCTGGTGGCAAGTGGGAACTCTCGCACACCCATCTCGACCTCAGTGACATAGGAAAGCAACTTTTCAGAACAAACAACGAGAAGCTACGACTACATCAGATGCACCAGGACCACGTTGTAGAACCGCCTTCATCAAAGTCCACTGATCTGCTCAAGGACGACCAAAAAGTCCACGTTTGGGGAAGCTCGGAACACACAGCTGTCCAAGGAATCTATATCAAAGACCGCCTATTCACTTCTCAAGGTCATCTAGGCTTTGATGAAGACATGGTCAAGCGACAAATAGAGCTGCGTGTTGAGAGTGGTAGTCTCAAAGACCTAGACCACGCCGAGGCTGCAAAAGAGACAGCCGATATGGAACATGACGGTGAGGTGGTTGCTGCATCGATTTTGCGTTTGTTCCACGGCGATGACAACGATATTCCTTGATTGATCAAGCCAAACTGGACGAACTGCGATAAAGAATGTCCTGCCTCATGATCAAACAGATACTTAATTATATATCGAGCGTTGTGAACTCACTCGATATGATCTCCACTAGATTCCGAAGAGTGTGTGTCACAACGCCCAAAGTTGTTACCAGAGCCGAGACCCTGCAATGAGAGCCTCCATATTCAAGTTGTCAACCAGACAGTTGCAACATGCAGCTAAACCCCTACTATGTTACAGGTTTGCAAGAGTCTGCAGAATAGAACGTAGTCTCTCATTTTTGACACACAGCGCGGCTCGCCATATGATCCAACGCGACACCGCGGCCTTTACCACTCAAATGTGAGTAATCGTTTTCGTTTGAATGATATATTCCCCACAAAATATTAGGCAGAAGTAGCAGGAGTCGCAGATGCAGAAGTCGCGCTACCTGTAGGCAGCTTATTGGTCTGTTCACCGAAGGATCGCGACCCAATTAGGCAACCATCCGCTGGCTGATCGAGACACCGCATATGCTCTTGCCAACATAGCCTCACCACCAGCCTCGCCTTACTTATAAGTGAGGCTTGCGCTGGCTCGAGTTTACTTCATTCCCTCATCGTTCCTTCCTCAAAACAAGACTCTTTTCACCTCCTTCCTACAAGAGACTCGGAAGTCGCTTTCACCACACCAAAAGACATCACCTTCAGTCACCTGTTCTTGACCTCCATCCTTCCTTGCTCTCTTACCTCTCTACCACAACCACCATTACATCTCAACCACTTTCAAACCTAATAACTCTCCACAGTATCATGGCGCCTTCACGTATCGGCGAAGTGACCGAAGACCGCTCGGAGTCAGAGCATGAATCAGAAGTCGAAGATCAGCCAGAAACTACCACTGAAACCAATGGCAAGACGAAAGGTGACACAGAGATGGACCCCAAGAAGAAGGTCGACGCCGCAGAGCCTATGAAAGCCGAATTGAAGCACCTGGATCGCAAGTACAGCGAGAAACACCAGTGGTATTATGCCGAAACCGTTGAGGACAAGGCTTTGCCTGAGCAAGTTGACTGGTAAGTGTACACTCTTTCGAAAGATGAATGCTTGAGCACGTCAGATACCGGTTCTCTGCGATACTTCCACTCGCCATTTCAACTATAGAAATGCACAAAGTTGTTGAAATCCGGGAAGTATCCAGTGAGAGTCAAGCTCGGCTCGGCTCTCTGTGGAGACTATCAGGAAATCAATAACTTTGTGCCTTCCTGCAGCCCAAGTCTTGTAGAGCTGTGTGACGGAGTTGAGGAACAATGGCTAACGCTGCTTCCCAGGTGGAAGAAGTATGCTCTTTGTGTAACCAGGTACATGTCGCAGGATGGCAAGGAGGTTCAAAAGGTAGTTGTTCAGATCAATTCGCAACACCTCAAGGACCTCCTGAAGGAGGCGGTCGGCTCCTACCCCGGCGTCAGTCTTGACACAAAGGATATCTCTCTGACACAGCCATGCCGCATGCTCTACCACTACTACGACGAAATCAAAGAGCATGGCAAGAACTTCGAAGCCGGTTCTGAGGCCGCAACACACTTCCAGGTCCTCGTCGACCACATCGAGGAGGAATTCGGTGAGACCATCAAGGAAGCCGAGAACCTCCGTGAGCAGCATGTAATGAACTACCAACATCTGTGGACCATTTTCAAGCCCAAGACCATTGCATTCGCTCGCGTTCTTGGCCAAGTCCAGGCCTTCCGCATTGTCGACTCTGGTTACCGATGTGGCCAGAGACCTTGCATGGCTATCACACTCCAGAAAGTGGACTTTGATGGCAAGAAATTCGGATTTCGCAATGAGGGCATGACTATTGATGCCTACTTGGGCGCCGTTTCGATCAACAAACTCGACGTGGTACCTCGCGCCTACTTCCCCAACATTAATGGTGTCGAGAAGCGTCTTATAACACGCGGTCGTCGTTTCGAAGGCTACGCCGGAATTCACTTCGCCGAGCACTCTGCCATCGCTTTGGAACACGTCTACAATTCTAGAACGGGCAGTTACGACACCAACCGTGTACACATCAACGAGCGCGTCGTAGTCGATTGCGCGACTCACCACCGTCTCAACCCTGAGCTAGCCAAATCGGTATATGACTTTGACGACGAGAAGATCACGGTCGACGACTCCGATGACGAACGCTACGATTCAGACGACCTGTATGATAGCGACGACGACAGTCAGGCAAGAGATACCGAGCTTGTGCCCTCGAAGAAGCAGGTCTTCAAGCCACTGACGGATGAACAATGCCTCCTCGCTTCCGCCTTGGTGCACGGCTTCTCGTTCACTCACAAGAAGTGGATTGATATGTTCGTTGACGAGTTGAGCCCAGTCAAATGGAACGAGGACTGCTTTGACCAGCTGGTTCTCGAAAGGCGCCAAAAGAAGCTCGTTCAGGCGCTGGTGACTGAGCATATCTCTGACAAGAACGACTTTGATGACATTATCAAAAACAAGGGAAAAGGGTTGATCATGGTTCTACATGGCCCACCTGGTGTGGGCAAAACGTTGACAGCCGAGTGCGTGGCTGAGCGTTGCAAGAGACCTCTCTACGTGGTATCATCAGGTGACCTTGGAACCGACAGTGTAACACTGGATGAGAGACTGACCAACATCCTCGACATGGCATCAACCTGGCGTGCAGTTCTTCTCATTGATGAAGCTGACGTCTTTCTGGAGCGTCGCTCGCTTCACGATATGGAGCGTAACGCTCTCGTCTCGATCTTCTTGCGCGTCCTTGAGTACTACCAGGGTATTCTCTTCCTCACTTCAAACCGCGTCGACACTTTCGACGATGCTTTCAAGTCCAGAATCCAAGTCCCTCTCAAGTACGGTAACCTCGATCAGTCTTCACGCAAGCAGATCTGGCACAACTTTCTCAGCAAGGCCGAAGGCGTTCACGACGATGCTACACTTGACAGATTGGCTGTTCACGAGTTGAACGGTCGCCAGATCAAGGGTATCGTCAGAACTGCTGGCAGTCTCGCTCGCTACGACGAGAAGAAGTTGGACCTTGAAACTTTGGAGCAGGTCATTGAGATTCAGATGGACTTTGAGAGAGATCTGGTTGGCAACAAGGAGTGAACATAGCGGGCTCAGGGAATGGAACATCAAGAGAAAAACGGGTTCTTTTGCACACATGCACAGCACTCGAGGTTCAATGGGTAGCTAGAGATGACAATCAAGAGTGGCAATGACCACTTCTGCTTTAATTTACCCTCACCCTTCGCTGTATTGAGAAGAACTCCTGAATCTCGTCTCTTTTCCTGACAAGTGCTTCTCCGATTGAATTGAGGCTGTTCATATGCTTCAGGAAAGTAGTCATGACAGATCATTCGTCCGGTGAATTACCAAACTCGTCAATCTGCGCGCGGACTGGTATCAGTTCCATAGACAAGGTACTGTAAGATCTCATGGTAGGCTGTCCAGATGTTCGAAGTACTTCACCATTCGTTCAGGTTGACTTATGACGCGCGTTGGAGCAGTTTTTCAGTGATTGTTTCTGATTGATGAGACATGGACTTCTGTATCTACTGTAGTACTACGCTTACCCACACGAAACAATTGTGAGACGGAGATATGATGACTGACAGCCGAATTGTAACGGTCTCGTTAATCATAGCCCGCAAATAAGTTATGTTCGACTAAAAGCCTCCAGGCTTGAGTTTGTAAGCACCGATCTCCCCATGACGCTCAGCTTTCTGGATCTTGAGAAGCACCTCTTCCTACTCAATCTTGGCCTCAGCCTTTTCTTCAGCGGCATCCAGTTTGGCGAGCTCTGTCTTCACAGCCGACACCATCAACATACAAAAGTATGCAGCAACAAACGCATTCTGCATCCAGACCTTGACGACCTGATCTCCAAAATTGTAGGGAAAAGCATGAGCAGAGAAGGGATTCAGCCACGACAGCACGTGCATACCCGCCATGGTCTGGGGGAACAACACAATCACACGAAGACTGGCGCGGAAGAGTGCAGCACCATAACGGTCAACTGTCTTCTCACCAAGTTTCTCGACGGCCCAGATCATCGCAAACATCCCGAGAGATATACAGGCCCAGATCATGTGGATAACACGATAGGATCGTGTACGTATACTGGGAACGTATATCGATACGAGAAAGAGAATGTCCAAGATGAGGCAGGATGTAAATGTAGTGATGTAGATCCTTTTACCGTGCGTGGATAGTCGCGAGTAGAGATCGCGGTCGAGGATTGAAGAGACGTGAGCTTTGATGGAAGTCTTGACAGCGGCGAGGGAGGATAAGATTGGTGACTTCTTGGCGACTTGGATCGAGGCATCGAGCACAGAGAGATCCGTGATGGACGTCTCAAGCGTGGCTGCAGATTTACGAGGTGGTGACACCTTTTTGGCGTCGGACTGACGATGGCAGTATGCGCGGGATTTCTCTTCTCCTGCACGGGGTTTTCTTTGCATGCTTGCTATGAGTTCTTGCTGTTGGCGAAGTCTTCGCATGAGCTCTTCGGTGCTGGGAGTGTCACCACTGGACTTCGACTTCGAATGTGCCTTCTCGGCTGCCCCTTGCTGTTTTTCGAACCGATGCTGTAAATCTGTGGGCACAGTTTGAGCCCGAGATTGCAGTGCAATGCATATGCCCTCCGCACGTACAAGCTCAGCACTTGCTTTTCTGGCGACTTCTCTAAGCTGATATATCGCCTCAGCAGCTTGAGTTTCGGTAATAAGAGCAGAGCCAGCATCTGACATCTCAGTGGTAGAGGTAGAGTTGATGACTGGCATCTCATCAGTAGTAGTAGTAGCAAAGCTGACATCTGAATCTGCGTTGTCGACGAAGATACAGTCAGACTCGAAGTTGGTGGAAGACATGACTTGGGAGTTGGAAATTCGGGTTTGGTTTGCGGTGTGAGAATTTTGGGACCGGCAGGATAGTAGGAAGGATATAACGTTCAAATCAGACGACGAACTATGTAGGAGAACTCGCTAAAGTATGAGCGGGGCATGTCATAATATGACTCCGTGATTCGCAAGAATGTCTGACTGCTTCGCGGATGTTGAGCTCTCTTGCGTTAATAATGTTGCTTCAGCGACTCACCGGCCCTTTAGGGTCGAATGTCATATGAGAGAGGTCAGCGGAAAGGAGCCGTCGCAATGAATGCTTCTGGCACAGGACAATTAGAGCAAGTGGAACAGTGGCAGTCAATGGATAATCATCAGTTCGAGGGTGGATTGTGGATTGGGCATGAGCTTTGCAAGATGCTTGTTGTCAGATGCTGCCAACTCTCATAGTCATTGAGATCGAGAGGCACCGCCGCAGGCTGATAACTTGACTTCTTTCACCTAGCAGAATTTGCCAGAGCTGCACCTACTGCCAGGTAAGCAGTTTCATTTCTCCTCAGAAATAGCTTCCAGGTTGGCGATTCTTCGCTCGAGAAGGCTAATCCTCCTCTGTGTAGCCCTATTCGGGTGGAAGAGGGATTCGACAGGTTCTCGTAGATTATCAAGGAACAAGTAGGCTAGTGAGTGTATTTGATGTGGTGGCATTACTCGACGATGTACGGCCGGAGAGTAGACGTGGCAAAAGGTGAAAGGAAGTAAAGTAGACAAGATGTTCGCATACACGACTGCGGCCGTGCAGATCCAGCTACGGTGACCCAATCAGGAAGGTTCACCGACCTGTATCTCGAGGACCCTGATCCTCCACTTGCGCGGCATCTCTTGGGTAAACAGCAATTGCCATTCCACTTTGCTACAGCGACACAGCTGATCGTTTTGATTTAGACTCGTTTCTGACACAACCATGCCACCGAAGTCTCTCTATTTCGTGCGTCACGCACAAGGCGAACACAATGCACAGGTAAGAAGTCTTGACGTTTGGCATCTGCTATATCTGATGTAGTTCAAAACCTAGCACGACGACAGCATTTCCGATGCAATCTTGACGCCTCATGGGAAGTCGCAATGCTGCGATCTCAAGGCATCGTTCTCGCACCATGACTCCGTGGAACTGATTGTTTCATCACCATTACGCCGTGCACTTCAGACTGCTGTCCATGCATTTACGCCTGCTTTACAAAGAGGCGAGGTGAAATTACTTTTGCAGCCCTTGGCTCAGGAGATGAACGCATATGCCTGTGACATCGGTACCGACAGAGACGAATTGGAGAAGCAAATTAGAACTGGGCAGCTCTGGGATCCAGAAATTGGCGTCGCTAGCGAGAAGGTCGACTTTAGCGCGGTCGAGGAGGGCTGGAACAGCAAAGTGGGTAACGTTCTATAAGGGCTCATGCCGATGCTGACTTGTCTGTAGGAAGGAAGATGGGCACCCGACAGAGCCACTGTGCAGAAGCGTGCTGCAAAACTGCGCTCATGGCTCTACAACCGCAAGGAAGAAACTGTAGTTGTGGTCTCGCATGGTGGGTTCCTCCATGCACTGACAGAAGACTGGAGCGGCTTTAACGCCACCGTTGGTGAGTAATTCGACCCGTGTAAAGAGGTGTTTGCTGATGGTCCAACAAGGAACTGGATGGCAGAACTGTGAGATCAGGGAGTTCGTCTTCACGGAGAAGTCGACACACAGCAGTGCGCATGTTGTCGAGAAAGGCGTTGAGGCGCCGGCATCGAACGGCGAAAAGAAAGAGCCCCATGTCGTTAAGGAAGTGGAGGATATGGGTATGGATGAGGGGTGAGGTCTGCTTGAGCGTGCGGGACTTGCAAGGAACCAAGGCAGGCCGAAGCGTGGAGCGACGATTGCGTAGGAGGAGCGACTCGAGTGCTTCATTCGACCTCCTGAATACCAGCAGCCTTTTCTCTGCCTTGCTTATGTCCCATGAGTCTGCCCAAGATGTCCTTCTCCTTTTGTTCTTTCTCCTTCTGCTTCTTCTTCTGCTCCTTCTCATCGTCGTCGTCATCTTCTTCACTGCTATCCTCACTGCTGTCGTCGGAACTCTCGTCAGAGGTCTCATCGCTGCTGTCATCTCCCTCTTTCTTTTCCTCCATGACACCGAGGCCCAGCTCCATCTCGACATACTCGTCACCTTCGCCCACATCTTCGAGTCTCTTTCCTTCGAGACCGCCCTCTTGCGCGAGCTTCTCGAGCTCTGCATTCGCAGCAGCCATCTGAGGAAGGAAGGTTTGAAGACGCGATTTGAGGTCTGAGGTGGCAGGACGCGCGAAGTTGGGTTTTTGGTTCTTGGGACGAAGGGTAGGAATCGAGGTCGGGATCGAAGAGGACGATTGCGAAGGTGCAGGCGGCGGAGGCGAAGATGAGTTTTGGTTCGACATGGTTGGTGGGTACCGGAGTGAAGTCTGTGAGGGAGTGATCGAGGACGTAATAAAGAGAAGTTTTCGGTATATGAGTGATTGTTTTGGGAGTGAGTGATAGAAAAATACAAAAAATTCTTGACCCTGGATGAGATCATTGCCGGCCGCCGAAACGTGGGGTATGTCCGGACCCGTGCCAAGACTAGCGTTCGTGAGTTCGTCTCCCACCGGTGCTCCTTTGCTTTCACTTTAGGCCTGCCTCGTCCCTCGGCGATCTTGTCATCATGCCCATATTGCGACGACGCGTCTTGCGGCGCGGTGCTCCCCTGACCTGAAGTCGGAGTAGATCTTTTCTATATCCTTTTGGAGCTATGGTCGGCCTACTGGATCCGCGAGATTACTCCGTACATTCCACCACATAGGAGAAGCTGATCGTTCGATCAATCTCCCTTTGCACTCTTCCACACGTCAACGGTAGTAGAAGAGCGTTTGCTAAGGTGCCGTTTCGAGATGGCCAACAGTCTATCGCAGTCAAGCTCTTACGGCCGGCAGTTAGATGATTGTTGTGTGTTGCTCTTCACGCTGTTGACTGTCGAGTAAGCATTGGTTGGCCTGCGAGTCAAGAACACCTCGTATATCAGAACAGCGTCAGGCATGCTGACATGAAGCTTACGAATGTCAGTCAGGCTGTGTTTGCTGGATACCCATAGACGAGAATAGCTTTCTTGACGAGGACCACGACTTCTCTTCCAGTCTCCACAAGTCTCGTTTTCGCAACGGAGCTGCAGGAACGAATGTGTGGGTGGGAGAGAGCGGAGTTTGATAGGTGCTTCAGAAACGGGAAAGATCCACCATGTCACATCCGCATTCAGCGGCTGACTGTTTGCTGGTCGAGAGTCCGTCTCATCATTTATCCGTGAAGCAAAACTCATACCCGATACGAAGGAGATGTGAAACGTGCCAGAGAAGACGAGCAAATGCTGTACCGGAATGGACAAATGGAAGGGATGTAAATCTTTGCATTGCTCTGGTAGCAAAGGAAGGCACAATACACCATTCTTTCGTGTCGTGGTAGAGGATCCGCCTGTCCATTTATCGTTTGTCTTACTCCGATACTCCGCTCGTTCGCCGTGCACGCGTGAATAGATTGTAGATGGCCTTGTCAAAGATGCTATGATCGCTTCGTGTGCGAAGTCTCCCTTGGCGGCTGTTCTGACCAATCATCGAGCTTGTATGCAAGATTTCGCGCAAGGATCGACAACAGAGTGCGTTTCAGAAGTCTCTCAAGAGGGGTCATCCCACGTCTCATCCTCATCAAACGGGTACACCTTGTGTAGAGAAGGTCAGAGAAGATGACCACAGTAGGTGTGTGACGTTGACCTGGTTGCCTGGTAGTCCGTGAGCTGGAGGATTAACAAGAGCTGATCTACCCACCGCTGTCAATCGCTACTTCCCTGTCAAAAGCTTTTCTATATATGTCCTTGCTGCAAGCAATGCAAAAGGCGCTTCGTCCCTTCCCTATATCGTTTCTGGAGCTTGATTTTGTTTGACCATTTCGCTTCAGGAAGGCCCCACCCTGTGCTTTGAGATTCCACACTCGCTCTCTGTCTTCCTTGCAGCTCGGTTTTGCTTCTGTCGCATTGCACAAAGCACGCGACAAGACTCACCGCCACCATTGAGAGCGTGTATTTGCCTGGTGCAATCGTCTTTTATTTTTGAAAAAGAGCCTGGAGCTTGAGACTTTTTCCATCATCAAAACAACAACATCACGCATTCACAAAAAATCACTACCAACACCAACACCAACACCATGTACCGCCTATTGTTCGTCGTCCTTCTGTTCGTCCTGCAGCTCGTAGCAGCAGTGACTCTCAATGACTTCACACCGCGCCTGGACGATCTGGCTGGAGACTGTGAGGCCGTCTATACCACCCAAATCACTGGCTGTGCGGGCACCGATTTCCAAAGCGGAGTGTGTTCATCTTCATGCATCTCGGCTTTGCAGTCGATCGGCGCCTCAGTCAGAAAGTCGTGCCAAAGTCAGAGTTCAAACGACAACAACATCATCGCCGCGTTCCTCACTGGAACCGCTACCGGCAAGCTGTGTCCAAACGCCAACAAAGCCGTCAGCTCGTCCACATCGTCGTTCAACATCGGTTCAAGCACCATGGTCCTCAGCGATACGACCGTTAGCGCGACTGGAATCATAGTCGACACCTCCAGCGCAAGCCCTAGCGTTGTCACTGCGCTCTGGACGGCCACTATCAATCCAATTGCCGCCTCATCATCCAGCTCGACCGAGTCCACGACTCCCGCCTTCACTGGCATCACCTCGACTATTACCGGCTCATCCTTGGCCTTTGCAACCAACACCCCATCATCAGTCCTCATGGCCACCGCAACCACTCTTTCATCAACACACTCCACCAAACACACTCAATCCAGTGACAGCAACAGCGGCGGCGGTGGCGGTACCCCATTCGATACCTCTGCTGCCGCCTACGGCTCGAGCGTTTCTTACACGCTGCTGAGCGGCACAGTTGCTCTTCTGTTTCTCCTTTGTTGATACAGGAGTTCTGTTTTTGATGGCATAAGCGACTCGTTGACTCTTTAATCCCTTTTGTTCAATACCCATTTGACGTTCTTCTTGTAATGCGCAACGTTGGTCGCAGACTAGTAATCAGACATGGCTCCTGGAGCCCGAATAATCAAACCAATCCACCATTCTTTAAAGGCTTTCACGCGTCTTTTCAGGCTGCCGTAACGCACAAAACATTGTGATATTGCAGAGGAGTCCAGTGAGAGCCGCATATTGCTCCTGGATCTTCAAGCTCTCACTGGACCTTCGGCTGGTGAGCGAAATTTCATGCACTTTTACAGCAGCCTCGGAGAGCGCGCATAGACGACGGAGAGCACACTGTCCACCACAAAGTCCTAATCTCATAAAGATGAAGCCGTGTCGAAAATTTCGGAAGCGTTCTTCATTGCTCTCGTTACTAACAGTCTCTTGGACATGGAGCCTTGGCATGGCATGAGTCGCAAAACCACTGAAGACGTTCACGTCTACCGACTTACAACCATCTCAACGTCCGCTTTTTCTTACTGCATACATGAGCGCTTGGGTTGACATGCAAATTGTAGAGTGAGATGTGTTGTAGCCATCTTCCGACGCACTTAGGCTAAGACTGCTCTCTGCGCGAGCTCATCATCGCAGCTCGCAATTCAATATGCCCTTTACTGAGCAGCATCTTACACCCCAAATTTTGTTGGCTACTGTACCCTGTGTAGAGACAAGACTCCCGTGGTTTTGGTAGCCAATACGCTTACCGGCTCCATAAGCCCTACTACGTATTACTTCGTGTTCAACAGCTCTTGAGACATCACATCCCTGGAGGGCAGACCAATAGCTGATAGAAAAAGAGGCTATCGGAAAGTTTGCCGTTTCCATCGTCTTCTCCGCAGTCTTCCGAGCATCACCCTCGCATTTGTGTCTATATTCAGGTAAGCAATGGAAGATAGGGCTTGGGTCAACATTGTAGCGCTCGTTGCTCAAAGGTATATGTCGTGGTGACGCCCTGTACCACCGTCCTTCTAGCATTGCTCCATTGCTTTGGTATAATCTCCTTAATTCGACCTGGAGTCGAGTGCTCGAAGATTGACATCGACACCTCTTGCTGAACGCTCACCATTACGGTTATTACGCTGGACGTACATTCTGAGTTTCATTCTTCTGGCATCCATCCGAATCATGATTGAGAACATCTGGGGCTATGAGCCTATCGTACCATTGGCTGTCGCAGCCGCGGCTGTGTTTGGTCTCGGTGCTGCCATTCATTTGATCCAAGCCATCTACTACCGAACCAAGTTCTTCGTGGCGTTCATTGTTGGTGCATTCAGTAAGCATTTTCTCAACTTCTGGTCTACTGGACACTGACAAGCCCTCAGTGATGACACTGGGTTATGTTCTGCGAACACTATCTGTCTTGCACCCAAACAACATCGCTCTCTACGCACTCCAGAACATCTTCATTCTGCTACCGCCATCGCTCTATGCCGCGACACTGTACATGACCTATAGCAGACTCGTGGTATTGGTCGATGAACCTCAAGCATCGATTCTTCGTCCTCAGATGGTTACAAACTTCTTCGTCTGTATAGACATGTTCTCTTTCCTAGCCACGGCGGGTGGTGGTGCAATGATATCAGTCGAAGAGATGGCACCCACAGGTAAGAAACTCGAGATTCTCGGGCTGGCACTTCAGCTCTTGAGTTTTTGTCTTTTCTTGGCTATCGCTATCGTCTTTCGGATTCGTATCAGAAAGACTGTCACTGAGGCTGCTACCAAGAAACATGGCAGATACTCCTGGAAGACGATGCATTCTCTGCTCATGGCTGCCGCCGTACTCATCATCATACGAGCTACTTATCGCATCATTGAGTTCTCGGAGACAGAGGTGTTTGTCGGTACGTTGATGAGAAGGGAAGGATACGCTTATGTCCTTGATGCTGTTCCGATGTTTGTACTGCAGACTATGTTTAGTGTCGTTCATGCTGGACAGGTTCTGCCACGCAAAGGAGAAGGTAGAGAGAAGATTGAAGGATATCTGGGAATCACTGCGGATCGCTGAGGGTCTTCGGCAGTTCTTCATGTATTGCATTTTCATTGCTGCAAGCTCTACCCACCTTCCTTCTCTGTCCGCTGTCTCTTGATGCGTCTGGGGCTTCTTGTGCATGCCAGACGGGACGGCTTTGGAGATTTCCAGTAGCGAATCACGCCCGAACTTGGTCAGACGTGTGCAATACTATATACCACGGACTTAGCGGCGTTTCTTCAAACAAGGATTGATAATCTAGCGCACATGGTTGAAGTTCAATGGTCAAGAACTGCCGGGCTGTGACGTCAGTATTTACTAAACGGAGCCGCCTTCCGGCCGAGTCAGCCTCAACCTTGTCACTCCTCACGAACAGCAAAAGGGACCATTCTGTTTCTGAGAATCGATTCAAAGGAGAGTTTAGAGAGATTGAAGCTCAAGGATCACATAGAGCACAAGATGCGCTGGACCGTGATACAAATGCAAGCTCAGAAGTTCCACAAGACAAGCACCTGTCCCTCCACGTTTCTCCATCACTAGTGCGATCTCGAGGACCAGTAGATTAATCGCTCAGGTGCGATAGCGAACCCTGCAATAGGACAAAAAACAAGATGTACGTCAGGCACACCGCATGCCGTCGTACTCGTACTTGATAACTGGGGGCCATCCTGGTTATTTGTTCCAGATCCCCCGTCGTGCTTTCTGATACAACTTCCTCACCTCTCTCGACTCTATAATTTAGCCTTTGATAATATCAATCATGGCCCACGGTCAACAAGGCTCAGGCAAGCTTGACGAGTTCGCGGTCAAAGGAGAAGCACCATATTTTGCAGAAGAAAAAGAAGGATGGAAGGGTTACATTGAGTGGGAGGTTTGTTTGCACATTTAAACCTAACGACCTGCAAAAGCTACAGCTTCTAAAATTCTTCTCCTACAGAAATACCCAGAAAAGAGAAAGCAGGCAGAGGAGATCCTGGCCAAATATGCTTTCCCACCACCGCCAGAGTTCCAGCTGAAACCTCTTCCGGAAACCAACCCAATCCTGGAAGGAGTACGCTGGAAGCAATACCACTATGCCATGGGATCCACCTTGAAGGACATTCCAGACATCAGCTGGAAATATGTCGAAGAGGAGAAAAGCAAAGACATGATTCATGTCCTTCAATTCCCTTACAACGGAGAGCCCCCCCGTGAACGCCTGGTCGAGACGGAAATCACAGACAATAAGGACCATTTCGTCCGCAATCACGGCGGTATTCCCGAGATCGACCCCGAGCAATTCACACTGGACATCGAAGGCCTGGTTAACAACCCCAAAAAGCTTACTCTCGCTGATCTTCAAAACGAAGACTTGTTCCCCCGTCAAACAAATGTGGTCAGTCTGCAATGCTCAGGCACTCGCCGTATCGAGCAGATCTCCGAATACCCCGGCGACGGAGACGAATTGATCAACGCACCCTGGGGTGAAGGCGCCATTGGTACAGCACGCTGGACCGGTGTCTCCCTCAAGAAGGTCATCAAACACTGCGGAGGCCTCAAAGACGGAGGAGAAGGTATTCATCTCGAATTCTATGGCGCAGACACGTATTTCAAGAAGGGTAAGGTGTATAACTATGTGGTCAGTGTGCCGTGGCGCAAGGTCAAGATCAACGAAGTATTGCTCGCTTGGGAGATGAATGGCGAACCCCTTCCCAAGATCCACGGATTCCCGTTGAGAACAGTGGTATTTGGATGTACGTCCCCCCTGTTTCACAATCGTGAAGCTCATACTGACGAAGATAACAGACATTGGAGCACGCTCCTGCAAATGGCTCTACAAAATTAAAGCCATCCGCGGACCCTCTCTCGCCCCCGTCCAAGCGAAAGAATACCTCTACTACACACCCCAGGTCGGAAAGCAAAACGCCATGTACAGCAACGGTTTCAGCATCCAAGACATGCCCGTATCTTCCGCCATCATGACGCCAATAAACATGGCTCAAATTGTCCACGACGGCAAGATCAAAATGCGCGGATGGGCTTACTCCGGCGGTGGTCATTGGCCCGTTCGTGTCGAAGTTTCCGGCGACGGAGGAAGTATTTGGTATGAAGTTCCTTACGAGAACATGACGACCAAATATTACTACGCGTGGAGGTTGTGGGAAATCGATCTTCCCGTGGATGCGGAAGGATGGCTCGAACTTTGCGTGAGAACTTGGGATAATGCCATGAACACGCAACCCACCTACGTTCGCTCGGCATGGAACTGGGATCTTCACGTCACTTCAAGCTGGTGAGTGACAACTCCTTGCGGCTAACAAGCTAGAGAATTTTGCTAACGAAGATTGCAGTCACCGCGTCAAGATCTACAGCATCAACAAGAGCAGACCTCTGACTGCTGCTCGTCTCAAGCTGTTGGAAGAAAAGGGTGTGCCGATCGTCCCCATCACTCACCCCATGGAGTTCGATCTACAGAGCGAAGAAGATTACATGGAGGAGATGAAAAAGCAAGGTGGTCGTGATCCTCTGGAGTAAAAAAAAGACTGCAATGGACTCGGACGCAACATATATACGAAAGCACACATGACGAAAGATAGTAAATGTAATGTCAAAAGGATTTCTCAAAACCTCCATACCGCAAAAGGAATGTAAGCAGTCTCACATGCATGCATGTATGCAAGGAGTCATCAAATCATTGGGATCTCCTATAACATCTCGCCCTTGCTACGCTCCTTCTCTCTTTCTCATCACGATGACGAGATATCCAGACAAGCAATTGAGCGTAGAGACCACGCTCAGTCGGGTCGTAGCCTACTTGCTAGCATGTTAGAAGCGTCAGAGCCGACTACAAGGTCGACAACGTCGGGAAACAAATTGCGAGTACTTGCCTTACGACAAGGGTCCGAGGCAAGGATCCTTATTGGGATGCAGAGAGTCGGCAATAAGGAGTAGGCAGAGAAGAGAAGCTGGCGGTGAGATAGCGTTAATGTTAGCAGTGTCGAGGCATCTCTTTCAAGTGCTTCTTTACGACAAGGGTGAGAAGTACTGTTTCTTGTCGAGACACAGAATCGGTAATAAGGAGTAGACGGAGAAGAGAAGTCGACGCTAAAGTTGTTGTCGAGGTTAATGACGAGATAGTTTAGAGGCAGAAATCGTCGAAGCATCCTTCTAGAGTACTTGACTTGCGACAAGAGTCCAAGGCAACTCTTGTCGAGATGTAGAGAGTTAGTAATACGAAATAGGGGGAGTGACGACGACAACAAAGCTTTTGGAAGAGCCTACGCAGGACAGAAGTGTTACTTATTGAGACAGTAACGCAATAGCAAGGAGTGTCTAGAGAGCAAAGCAAGGGCAACAGTTAAAGCGAGTCATTAACCCGTATGTCTATTTCAAGGGCTCGGTAAGGCATGCCAAAGTAAGTTTTTGATTTAATTCTCTTCTTCTACTCCAAACACATTTCCAATTCTGTAATGAAGATGTCCCTCATCTTTGCGAAAAGTCGTCTCTCGAATCTGCAAGAGATGTCTCTCATCTTTGCAAAGTGTTTCTTCTGCTTAAGCCAACTTGCTCGCCCTTGCCCAAAACCATCTTCAAAGCCTGCTCTAGTGCTTTGTCGTCATACTTGCCGCTCTGGCCGTATAATCTGATGCCCTCGATACCGGCCTTTGTCAAAATCTCTCTGTCGACTTTGGGAGCTTCCTTGCTCTCGATGTAAATTACGTGGCTGACGTAAACCCAATAGTCTTCCAGTTTCGGCTTGCTCAATCCTCTGCTTTCGGCACAAGCATCTGCGATAGCGGCGATGAAATCGATAGCAGTGAATGGATCCGAAGCAGGTCCAGTTTCTCTATCGATACTGCTGTTGAGGATGAGGATTTTATTTCTGATGCCGGGCGAGGCAATGGCTTGGCCCACGCCTCTGAGAATGATACTCGGGATGATAGATGTGAAGAGGGAACCGATGCTATAGATTACCGTCGATGATTTTGAGAGTGCTTCGAGCACACGAGGGTTGGCGGGACATGACATCTCTTGGCCGTAAGGGTTGATGTACCATAGTCTTTCGATCCTGCTGGGTAGGTCTTCTTCCTCGAGTTTAGAGAACTTGATTGCTGGTTTGCGTAGGGATGGCAAGGAACCGGGAAGATTGGCGTCTTCGACGTTGTCGGACTCTTCCGTTTCTCTGCGAATGCGAGTGGGAGATGGTGGCGCCATGTCCGGAAGAGATGAAGGTGCCGGAGGGTGAGAGATGTTGTTCTGGCCCGTGATGTGGGAGCCGTCGGCCAGGGAGACCGAGATGTGATGACTGAAGTTCGTGTTGATGGCTGGCAGGACGGTGATGGTTTCAGGAACGCTGCAAACACTGCTAAGAAGGTAGATTGCTGATTCCAAAGAGCCTGAGAAGAGGCGTGCGCTTTTTCTTCGTCAGCGCAACCCCCTTTTTGTACAAAAGAAGTTGCCACTCACCCAGTCAAGAACAAGTTTCCAATACTTGCCGAGGAGAAGTCAAATCTGCTTGATGGTCTCATTCTTTTGACGATTTCTTGATTAACCAAGTTCAAGAAGCTGCGGATAAGCTCCTTCTTGGGAGTCGAGATCTGACGCCACAAAGGATGAAGAGACTCGACGATCTCCAGCCATTCTAGACGTGCTGACTTGGGATCAGGAGGGAGACGGTGGTTGAACAGTTCTTTGATGGAAGAAGCTTCGGAGTGAGGGTCACCGTTGTCTGGAATCAAACGCACTAATCTACCTGTAGAGAAGGTTCAGTGTATGTATTCGATGGAAAAGGAATGCCTCCATCGATATAGACTGAGCTCGGCCGTGGAGGATGATACGTGACCTACTGCGCAGATCACCGATTCCTACAGTTTCAGTCAGTAAGAGTCCTTGCGTACTCGATCAACAAGACGCGACGAACCAGGACCACCAAACACACGAATCAATTCACTGGAACTGCCGCCATTATCACTGATAGGGATAATGTAATTGAGCACACTATTGTTGGCTTGAGCGAGATTGGTAAACACGTCGACGAGATGATTGGTAGCTGTACACGTCAATTTCAAACAACGTCAGTCATGTGAGAACGGAGAGCGTACCTGTACCACCACCAAAGATTGTTATCTGTCTGCACTTCGGAGGATTCGGCGAAGGAAGCCGAAGTGACCCTGGCCAAGTGTTTCGTGGTGGATGATTTTCCATGTCGCGTGCTCAATTGAGGTAACGGATAGTTTAATCGTGTCGATACGATGAGATGTCCAATGTATATAGTCCGGTCAGCCAGGCCAGCTGGTGTATTAGGTCTTGGCTGGAATTGATAACAGGTGGTCGTTGTCGTTGTCGAAGTACTCAGTGAACGTTGGTCGACGTCTGCAGCCGCAGGATTGTCCGCGTGTCGATGTTCGACGAATCGTTCAGATGAAAGGCAACGACGACAGTTCAAGTCTCGCTGGCACCATTGATCACTTCATATCATGTTCGCAAAGTGATGGATTTCAGAGCTCTCGGTGGGTGGTTCAGCTGGAGGAGAAGCCGCTGGCTGGTCGAAGCCTGTTCACCTCGACATGCTCGGTCGGCTTCTTCACTTCGCTACGTCTTCTGGGGACTTTTGCAATCATACAGTGAAGATCCCGACCATCGTCTTTGAATTTAGGACATAGAAGAGCTACTGGAAACAGCCAGTCTAGAAGACCGAGTCATATGCTCAGCCGCAGCGTGCTACTCAGGTCGAACAGTCCTTCTTCAACTCAATGGTAGTCAATAAAGTCTCGAAGGACACTCGACATTAGGAGAAGCAGTTTTGAAGATTGAACATTTTTGCTTTCTACAAACAAGGCTAGAAAAAGGGAAAAGATGGCCAGTGCGGTAGGAGGAATTGGGATACGTGCATGCGAGTTGTTGCTCTCTGGATATCAAGAAGTGAGAAACAGCAACCACGGGATGATTTGGACTTGTCGAATTGTTTAATGTTGCTTGGTGGTAGAGCCGCCGACAGGAGCGGAAGCGAAGAGACCCTCCTCGTTCTTCTGGTAGTCGGTACCGATGTTGAGGCCGCCCTCTCTCTCGGCACGTCTTCTTCTCTTCTCGAGCAATGATTCCTTGGTGTCTTGGAGGATACGGAGTTGTCTCTGCTCAACACCCTGCAGCCAGTAGCCGAAGCTTGCGCCAATGCCGCCGAAGAGAGGGTAAGCCCAGAGAGCGTTGCGCTGGAGGATGGGGCGCATCTCAATGCCGAGTTGCCAAACGCGGACGGCGATGCCTGTAGTATGTCATGAGTCTTTGCGCTTTGCCATGGTTCTGATGGTGATTGATTGCGCACCGAAACCGCCCCAGAAAAGGATCTTGGACATTGCGACTGGTGATGTGACGGGAGTTGTGTGGGTGGTTGATTGGGGTCGCACTGCAATTGTTCGGAGCTCCGGACTCAGCAGTACGGACAGGGGGTAGGTAGAGGTGGTGGGGTGTAGCGGTCGTAGATGAGCGCGGTCGACTCGTGTATATGATCAATTGCTGACCTTCACGTCGTGTTTGGCTGCCTCTTGCTCCGGAAGACGCTCGTTCCTGCCCGTCGAGCTCGGCCTTGGCGTTGGCTCTCCTCCGCCTGCATCCCGCATCACCGCAGCGCTCAAACAATCACGGATAATCAGTCGCCATCCACTCCTTTCTTTACTGAACAGCGACACGCTTCTTCATCATGGCAGCGGCGGCCAACACAGATACCCGAGCTGAGGCTGACGTATCTTTTCGCAAACGTCCTCGTGTCGCAGACCTTCCACTTTCCCAATCCAAGCGAAGATCCATAGACAGTTTGCTGCATACATTCAAGAAGAAGGGCCAATTCGACGACCTCCGCAAAAACACCTTTGCCCAATTCGATCAGGGCCCTCTCAAGACCACCCTTGTCGACTCGATCCGCTCCTTTACAGACGCCGAAATCGATCGCGACCCCATCAAATATCTTGCCAAAAACCCTCGTATCGCCGCTCCTCTTCTCGAAGGCGCTGCCGCTCGCGCCGATATCTACCCAAAGACCGAAGCCGACATCGAGAACTTCATCCAAGACTACCTGAAATCTGCCGAACAAGCTCTACGAGAGATCCGCCGTAACGACGTTGGTGAAGAAGCTGCAAAGCAAGAGGAGGAAGCTGGAAATAAACCCGATCAACTTTATGCCGAAGCATCACAACGTCGTCACCAGGAGCGCCTCGACCGCCATGCCGAAGAACTAAAAGAGGTCGCGAAGAAGGAGCGTGCTCAGCAACAGAAGGCCGAACTCGAGGCCCTGAAACAGCGCGCGCAAGAACTGAAGAAGGAGAAGGAACGTGTTGAGACCCATCTAAAGAAACGTGCTGAACGGGAAGAGCTCCGCAAGAAAGACGAAGAAAGAAGGAAGGCTCGTCTGAAGGTCCTCGCCGAAGAACGCGAAAAGCAGGAGAAACTTCTCGAGGAAGAGAGAAAGAAGGACGAGGAAGAGAGAGCTAAGCGCAAGAAGGCTCAAGAGGAGGAAGAGGCCAAACGTCTCGAACAGGAGGCTATGCGCATGCTGCTCGAAGAAGGTCAAGCCATGGCTGGTAAGACTGGAGCCAAGAAGACTGAACGAGAGCGCAGCGAGAGCATCGACAGGAGATATGCCCGCAGAGACCGCGATCGCCGTTCCATCTCCGCAGACCGTCACTACCGACCTGCTGACCGACCAAGAGAACGAGGCTATGATCGCTATGAAGGCCGTCGTGAATCCACCTTGCGCGAAATTAGTGCCGAGCGCGATGCATGGAAAGCGAAACAACTCCGTGACAAGGACCGCCGTAGCAGATCTCCATCGCGCGACCGCCGTGCTAGACGTCACGATCGTTCGCGAAGCCCTCTCGGCGGAGCCGATCGTTATGTTCCCTCTGATCGCCAGGACCGCGATACTCGCCGAAGACGTTCTCGTACTCGTTCTCCTCGAGGCCAGGGCGACCGCTACGTTCCTTCAGACCGTCACGCACCTTCTGATCGTCGCACTCGCGATCGCTCAAGAGACCGAGACAGAGATCGCGATCGTGATGTACGTGACAGAGATCGCGAAAGAGACCGAGACCGAGACAGAGACCGCGAGAGAGAAAAGGATCGCGACAAGGACCGCGAAAGAGACCGCGAGAAGGATAGAGATCGAGATCGTGATGTCCGTGATAGGGACCGTGACAGAGACCGGGATCGCGATCGTGACCGCCGCCGTAGGGACGATGACAGACCCAAGACCGACCGCTACGTCCCATCAGCCAGCGCTGGTGCCTCTCGCCGCGACAGCGAGAAAGTCGGCGGCAGCAAACGAGACCGCTCACGTTCGAGGAGCCGCGAAGCTAGGTAGGGCCCCAAGCCGCGGTCTCCAGGTCGTCTTTCAGCCAGAGGATCTCCCTCATATCCCTGAGTTCACAAGATACGATCATCAGGAGTTGCAAATGCATTGATTGGAGTTATGGGTTCACCGTGGAAAGGCGTTGTGGAATTAGCATACATGATACCCCCTATATTGGCAGTATTGACGACTCATTTTACAGTTCTTCAATTCCATCATTCCAATCGCTTTTGTCAGCACAAAAAGTTTCTCTCCGTATTTCCCGCCGAAGATTTTGTGGTTCGGAGAGTGTCTGTTGAAATTCTTGCTCTTCAATCCTCTTTCTGCATGATCTTCGGATTGACAAGTCTCAATAGTCTTTGTGTATCTCTATGTCTGATCATAGTGGCTGAAGATACTGCTGACAGGCATGCGATGAATGAAGGACATTTTGCACTCCATCCTATCGCCCTTTCCACTCCCTTCCACTCCAGAAACCATCCATGGGTGTTTTAAAAAAAACCCAGCCTCTGACCTGCTAGAGTCGTAGTCAACATCCACAAATTCGAACCTCCAGGTCACGGACCAAGAACGTACCTCTACGATCACTGCTTGTCGCCATCATCATAGATAGCCTGGAGACCACGTCTACTGACGAGCAAAGCACAACTTCTCAACATATCCTGATAGGCCACCTCTGCACAACCACCAACACCGATGGGAATATCTTGACGCACGACACCGCCGTCGACGGGGATGATGCGGAAGCCGACGATCCATTGCTCGGTGTCGTTGTCGTGATCCATGGTGCAGGAGAGGACGAAGCGGCCTTGAGTCTTGTAGAAACCGAGTTCGGTGAGAATTTCTTGATGTTGGTGTTAGGATTGTGGTGAGGGGGAGGGGTGAGATGGATGGACATGTTTACCTTTGATCTGTTCGCGGAGGGCCATGGTTTCTGACATTTTGTATGGTTGTGGGATGGTTATACTGTTGATGGTGTTGTGATGAGAGCGAGTAAACAGAGAGCGAATAGTGAAAGATGAGTAGAAGTGTTGGGATGAGACGAGGAGAAGTCAGATAGGTCCCTTAGATTTCTTATATCGAGCATCTCGTTTGCTTGAAAGTGAATGTTGCCTTCAATTACATCCACCTGGCACTGATGTTCTTGAAAATGGTCAAGCAGACAAACACTTGTCTGGGAAAGGACGAGCTGCAGATCAAGGACTAGAAGCGTGCAAACATCACCACAAGATAAGTGGGATAGACAAAGAATAACGAAATCAGAGGTGAGACTGGCATCAGAAATCTGAGAGTTTGTATGCAATCACTAATGTGACGTGATGTGATTTGACTGTTGCTACTAAAGTGCTGCTGCAAGAAGTGCAATTATCTTTGTTGAGGAACTGTAGCTGTGGTCTATTGATGGACACGGGTGAGGGATGCTGTCCTCACTGATTGAGTTGGTCATTTTTTCTGATCAAAGAGTTAGCTCATCGTTGTACCCGAAGGAGTTCGAGAGTAACATACGTTCCAGACCAGCATCCTCCAATCAGCTACTCGTCATGAGACGCTTGATAGCCACGGGTGTTCAGCTTCAACGCAGTCTTTCTGGGCATGTCTCTGTGGGCGAATCTGGGGGTGTCGCCTTGGAAGTTGAACATCTCGAATGCTGAGCATACATTGGTGGTGCAGGTATGACTTGGGCTTCCAACAAATTATCGATGACCACCGGACCGCAGTTCGAATGAAACACCTCGCGTCGTATCGAGTCTTGCTTCTGGGAGTTTGTTAGTTCGGCTGATCATATCCGACTCGTGAACAATCAACTCACGATCTCTTAGCGCGCGTCCATACGTATAGCGCCTATCTGGGAATGTATTCCTTCTCAGTGAGGTTCATAGCGGTCTCTCTGAGCAAAGCGCGGTATGCCTGCTCTGGGGTTGCGCCGGAACTCTTGTGTATGTGCATGGTCGCGTTGGTGCCGAAGCGCTCGGTAAGGGCCAGAACGACTGTGTACAGGTCGAAGGTCTTCTCTTTCTCGCCGATCATGTTGTTTCTGACCTCACAGTACAGGAAGAACCTTGGGTCGAGCATCTGAGGTTCGAGGGCAAGGATATTTTCTATGCCATCTGAGTCAATACGCAGGATACTGATGGCGATTTTTGGTAAACGTACCGAGGATCTGCGTGCGCAAACCCATGACTTCAGACATCTTGAGTTGCAGGGTGTTGGGTTGTCTTTCGATTGTTGGGAAGAGAGCGTGGGTGATGGGACGAATGAGGAAAACAAACGATGGTTGGCGTGTTGCTGGTTCTGCGCACGACAAAACACATCTGCGACCCTTCACTCAGCTCGATTTTCCCTGCTAGGCCTCAAATAACCACCAAATCTTCATCTGAGCATCCAGAAGTCATTTAGTCTAGTGGTCTAGCACCACATCTCCTTGACGCATTACTAACCAATCCCAGACAACCACCACGCCAAGACCAGACTAACACCACAGTTCAACTCTCAGTCAACACTAATCATTTCGCAGATCTCGGTACCGGCGAGAGGGTCGCACCCGTGGTGGGAGTGCAAATCTCGCCAGAGGTGAAAGTCCTCAAGCAACGTCTGGAGTGTAGGCAATCCCTGTGGAAAGGGTGGGTTCAAAGACTCCAGGTGGGATGGGAATTACCGTGATCTGAGAGCAAAGGGCGGAGCTAGCAAAAGGGCGGGACACATCAACAACAGCACACCAAGGACGAAACTCGGTAAGTGAAGACTTCCCGACCACAAGACAAATGACTTTCTTTTTTGAACTTTGTGCTTGGAATACATTTTCTTGACCATCGGTCCTTTGCTTTGACTTTCTGCTTAGAATCAAGGAGTTCCATGGAACCAAAGAGAAAGGAGAAGAGAAGTTTGTGATGTTTCGATACTCCTTCTTCAGTCTGGATGTATACCGAATGTAGTGTCCAGCCATCCACTTACACATTCCATATGCCTTGTGGCGGATGCCGAGCTCTGCCTGTTCGACGAGCCTTTGCATCTAGACCTTCGTAGTGTACGTACAAGCATCGTCTACGCAGGTGCCGCTATAAGTCGAGCCTCACACGCTCGCTGGCAATGGCTGGCCATAGAGCGTGTGATCTCAGGCATCGAAGGAGGCGTTGGCGGTGGTGTGCTGCAGAAGTACCACACTTTTGCTCGTCGTATAAAACCTTGGGTCGGTAAGGCGAACCGTCTGAATGTGTTCGTTCATGAAGCAGAAGTCTTGGCAGGAACGGCTTGAGCATTCTGTGCTTTCAAAGCTTCGATGCGCTCATCCACAAGAGCAATCTCGGCTTCCAGTTTGAGCTGTCTTTCGCGCAACATGTTCTCGTACTCGCCATCGTTGAGGACAGTAACAGGCATCCACTTCAGGCTTGCAAACCTTTGCCAGAAATTTAGTTGGGGTTCGTCCGAGACTGGCATATCGGACTTGTCGAATCTGTTCGATACAGTCTGGCCAAGGAAACCGAAGAGAGAGAACATGATAGCACCAGGGATGGCGTTCCGAGGGCCGCCTGTATCTGTAAGCTGTATGCTGTGAACAAATGAATGCAATGAACGTACGAGTGAGAAGACCAACACCACTACCAGCCACACCGCCAGCGATGGTGCTAGCAGAGACTTTGTCACTTCTGGTCAGGCCTTTGCCAGTATCCCATGCTTGGAAGATGAAGCTTCTGGTACCTAAATAGTTGGTATAATCCAAGGAGTACATTGTCAATCCGACTTACCCCAAAATGTAGTGCCCAGACCGAACCATTGAATGCTGGATCCAAGAGCAAATAGAAGAGGGGGAGAATTTCTGATGACGCCTGCAACGCCACCAGTAACGAAACCAGCTGCTCCTGCAGCGTATGTCAGGACGAGCAAATCAAGTAAAGCAAGGTGTATTGGCAGAAGGCAAGAGACGTCACATGATGATATAATTTGGAGAAGGAGCCGGTCGGCATTTTATCTTGTGGCTTGCGCTGCGGAGAAGGAAAGAAAGATGAAATTACATACCGGAAAGAGCACCGATCTTGAGAGCAGGTCCGATGAGGGACTCAGCTTGCGGAGACCGAGTAACCAAATCACGGTCCATTTTGTGCTACACAAGGAAGATGGATGCTCTTGAGACAGCAGCGGCAGGAAGGAGTGGAAGTTGGAATCAAGACAGCGGGCGTTACCTTTTGAGCGCTAGCGCCTTGGCAAAGAAGTTCAGCGCCCCAGCGTTGATCAGCGAAATGGCTTGGGATATTCGTCTCGCACTGGATATCCTACGCAGTTCTTGCGATCCAATACTCAATACATTCTTCAGACCCAAACGCGCAGACTTTACGGCGCGTCACCAGAAATACCGCAATCATGGGTCAGTCACATACGGCCGGCACTCCACAGGCACATAGCGAGTGTGCGCTGGAGGTTTGCGGCGACGGGCAAAAAAAGTGCAAGATCGCTGACATGGTTCGGGAACAGCACCTAAGAAATCGCAACAGCAGAAGTTGTCGCTCGGCGACTTCTTGAACGACCAGTGTATGCGCCAGATGAGCCACCCCAGTCGCAAGGATATCCATGGCTGAAATTTCATAGCGCTCGGCTCTTGGGCCGATGAGATGGAGACTGCTCCTCTTCCTGGTACGTGAACATGCGCCTGAGACAAACACGGACCCGACTAACACATTACAGCCTGTATGTTCACCCCGAGCCCCGCCTGACGCAATGCGAAAGAATGACCGCCTAACGCCGTAATTAGCCACCCCATACCAATCCTCTCGCACCAACACTTCTTCCGGTGGCTGGGGCGCCTCTTCCCGTGCCGCTGCCCCTGCCGGCGATGATGCCGCTGCCGGTGGTTTCCGTGGTAAGACAAGATGCGTCTCTGAGACTAGACCCACGATCTCACACAGAATGTAGACCGCACCGCTGGTTACGCCGTCCGCGAGCAGCTCCCTATGCCCGACAAGCCCCCATACACCGCCCATCTCGGCAACCTTTCTTTCGAGGTCACCGAGGCCGATGTCCGCGACTTCCTCGACGGATGTGAGGTGACCAGCGTCCGTATTGTTGAGGACAAGATGGACCGTAGACCCAAGGGTTTCGGTTACGTCGAGTTCGGTACCGTTGACGGCCTGAAGAAGGCTCTCACACTCAGCGAGACTCAGTTCCAGGGCAGAAACATCCGTATCAGCGTCGCCGACCCTCGTAAGTTAAGCGCATATTCCCGCCCGTAAGCCCACGATACTGACATTCTCCGTCAGCCAAGGACCGTGAACCCCAGCGCGAACTCAACGACTGGACCCGCAAGGGCCCCCTTCCCGATCTTCCTGGACAGCGTGACGGCGGCATGCGCCGTGGTATGGGCGACAGAGCTGGTAGCTTCAGACAAGGTCCCCCCGAGGGCGTCGACTCCAAGCCCCGCGACTTCGGAAACTGGGAGAGAAAGGGTCCCCTCACCCCCGCCGAGCCCAGACCCCAGGGTGAGCGCAGGGAGTCCAACTTCAACAGAGAACCTAGAGAGCCCAGAGCCGCTCCCCAGTGGGGCGAGGGCGCTGCCGACCGCGCTTCCGGTTCCGGCGACAGACCCCCCAGACCCGAGAGACCTGAGAGACAGCCCACTGCCGCGGACATGGACGACAAGTGGAGATCTAGAATGAAGCCCGACTCACCTGCTGCCTCCCCCGACGCCAGTACCCCTACCTCGCCTCAAGCCCCTGCACAGAGACCCAGACTCAACCTCGCAAAGCGTACCGTTTCCGAGGCACCCGCCAACAACGACGCTGCTGCATCATCCAAGGCATCACCTTTCGGTGCCGCCCGCCCTATCGACACTTCCGCCAGAGAGCAGGAGATCGAGGAGAAGCGCAAGCTGGCAATCCGTGAGAAGAAGGAGGCAGACGACAAGGCCCGCGAGGAGAAGCGTGCCAAGGAGACTGCTGCCAAGGCCGAAAAGGATGAGAAGAAGGAGGGCGAGGACAAGCAATACGAGATCTTGCGCCGCATGGACGAGGGTGATGAGGCCGACAAGGAGGGTGTCGACGCTGATGCTGAGGGCACCATTGCCGACGACAAGCAAGTGAAGCCCCAGGAGATCACACGCGAGGTACCGGCCAAGGGCGGTGACTCATGGAGAAAGACCGAGGAACCTCAGACAACAGCTGAGACCATGGAGGACGATGGCTGGAGCACCGTTTCTGCAAAGACTAAGAACTTCAACAGAAGAGGAGGCAACCGCGCCATGGCCTCGTAATCGACGAAAGCACATGAGACCACCCACGCACTACTACTACCTTTTTGGGTTCAAATAACGGAGTTCTGAGAAGGAGGAAAAAAGCTGCTGCACTCTTACCCCTTGTTTTGTAATGGCATCACAACCCACCCCTGCTGCTGGCCCTCTTTTTTGACATACACACTTTACCACGCAAGATGGCACGAAATCTCTTTTTCTTCAATCACGTTCTTCTCAAAGTACCCCCTCAACGCTCTCCTGCAGCCTCTTTTCTAGTTGTTACAAAATCGCAAAAGTCATTTACGTTCAAACTTCCTATGTGTCCATCTCTTCGCTCGACTCATCTTTATTGCCCTTGAGCTTTTATCGTCGGCAATTCTGCTTAGCTCTTCGGGTTGATTGTCTGACCATTCTCAGAGCCATGTCTGTTTAGTCTGACGGTATCACCACGACCCGTATCTCTGCCAACTCACGATGCAGACACCATGTTTCGCTACTTCCTCTCAGCATACATTACACAACAGATCTGTGGTTATCTCGTTTCGGAGAGAAAGACAACCCAAGAACTACTGGCGATCATAGATCTTACTAATACAAAATGCCCTGTATTGTAGAGCATCGCGAACGACGAAAACAACGCGAGACAGGTTAGTAGTACTTATTTTCTCTTCGTGCAGTTCCCTAACTACGACAACTCATCTTGACTTACATCGATCAATTATATGTCGACGTGGGTATAGGAGATGAACCTTCCTGCCCTTATAATTATCGATCTATGACCAACATTTTCGGCCTCGAAGTTTATACATCCAATATAGAGAATCTGACAAGACAGATCGGGACTAACTATTTCTCTCTTCGGACCCACTCTTGCTACGACAACTTATTATGACTTGCATCAATTGACTCTTGTTGTAGATCCACTGGATTGTCATGGGAAACGTCGGAAGGGCGGCATAGGTGCCTCTTTATAGCTAAAGGCTAGTAGAATTTTGTCCCTTGCTTTGCAGCATCCGCAGGTTTGTGAGATGGACTTAGCTAGACTGTCGTTCAAATGATTGTGTGTGGGTGGAATGCACAATTTTTTCAGGTCCAAGTCTATCTTCCGCTAACATGATGCGATGATAGTGCGTTGGAAAGTAATGGAAATGTGTTTGCTTATAGCATGCTCTCTACATATTTTTGTGGCAAGGCTCACTTTTTCTTAGAAGGACTATTGCTGACAGGCTATTCCAGACGCTGATTTCTAAGGGCTGTTGTGTGTATTGCACAGATGCAACATTCTTTTCGAGATTGATGTCTTGCTCAGTAAGAGCAAAAAGAAGCAGACAGACAGCTTATGTTGCCAAAGATCGTGTGCCTTTGGATGGGGTGATTGTTGGTTTGGTATCAGTGGGTCCACACGGCTGTCTCAATTGGCGTGTGACATGTTGAGTTATGTGGCAGGAGCCATTCAATCTTCGGTATGTGCTGAGCAGTTAACAGTAGGGATCGTCAAAGGTAGTCCTGCACGACCGCTCTTCCTCAAAAGTAGTCGGATTCCGGTCGCGTATCCGGACGTCATGTTTTGAAGCATCCACACGAGCACCACCGATCATGCTTCCTGACAAGATTCCTCAACATATGAGCATCCAACCACTTAAGGAACCCCCTTGTCAAGTCCCACTCTCTTCCACATCCCTTCCTGTCCACCAGGTCCTTGAACCCACAAGAGCAGTAATCCTCCCCATTGTCACGATGTCTTCGGGCAAGTTGTGTAATACGTGAGAGGATCATGGCGATTTCGAGTTTGGCGACATCCAATCGTGGGACTTTTGGATTTCGAAGTTGAAAGGTACAGACGAATGTGGAATCGATGGAGGACTCTTGGGAAGTTGGACTTATGCCGAAATGGGTTTCCGTTGTTGTGCCGTTGAGTCTGCGGATACGTTGCCAGCCACTGTTGGTGAGATGACCTGTATCGTGGTAGTACCAGTCGTAGAGTGTACCGTTGACATTTTGATCTGTCTTCTTATCCAGGAACTTCTCTGGATATGCTGGAGGAGAGTTTGGTGGACCCCAGGGTGCGTTGGTCGACATGCTGGTTTGTAGGCGATGTGCTGAAGAGAGATGCAGAATCAGAATAATATGCTGGATGCAAGTATTTGTAATTAAAAGAACACTCTGAAGTAGCACAATAGAGTTCCAAGGGTGATTGAGATAGTAAGTCATCCCCCTTGAACTATCTCACTGCACACAGAAATTCGAACAACCTAGACAAATTTGTACACACTGTCATTATCGTCATTAAAGTTCTCTTGCGGATACCCGACAACAAATTAGAAGACAACTCAGCCATGATGTCTAGCGGCAAAGCCGATGTTCGAAGCGGTAGCCTCTGCTTCATCCTCGGAAGAAGCACTGAAGCCGCCCCAACCACTGAACTCATCGGCTAGCTTCACGGCAGCCTTGAGGAAGTATTGGTCCTCATCACCCCAAGTCTTCGCGGCTTCTTGCATTGAACGACAAGCTGAAATTGAGAACATGGTCAGCAGGGACGCTAAAGTCAATGTTCAGAAGTTTCTTACCCTTTACAAAGTGAGCATCCTGAGCCCACTTGCCATTCACAGCACGGTCAGCAACCCACCTCCAGTCCCGACCTGCAAGATCCACATGCGAGATCTTATTTCTATTAATGGCTGGGCGAAGTTGGCCGATGTATGCGGTAAGCAAGAACAGCCACCATTGCCTGAGCAGAGGGACGTGATAAGTGGGACGGATCAAGGGTGCGATAACGCGTACAGCATGAGAACTGGTGAGGATGTGAACAAGGAAGAAGTCAAACTTCTGGCCTCGTTCGTGTGAGCCGACCAGCAAGGCAACAGCAGCACGTTGAGCGGCCTCAAACTGAGCCTTGGGATCTGTGACGGTCCAGCTGTTCCAATACTCGAGCAAAACGGCCTCCTTCTCTTTGTCCTCTGTCAAGGGAGTGTAGTTGTCTTCTCCAGGCTTTTCAAAGAAGGCATCGAAACGAGAGTCCTTATGCACCTTCTGGATGACCTCGAAAGGATCTTGAGATGACCATGGAGAAGGCTTTGTGTATGAAGGATCGTCAAGGTAGACATGTTGGTCGTTGTAGAACGAGGCAACCAGAGCCAGGGATTCAATAGCGACGGTGGGAGAAGCGAGTTCGAGGGCGAATCCAAGGTGGATGAGAGGGTGTGCGACTGTAGTGGAATGTTAGACAGACGATTGTACAAGGGTCGAAGGGAGACATACGGCCAGCGATCAGGTTGTTAATAAGAGGTTGCTTGCCAGAATAGAGGAAGTCGTCAAGAAGTTCTCGCCAATCGTAGCCAAATTGGACAAGCTGATCTTCGAGAAAATCGATCCATGCACGCTGGTACCTACAGCACTCGATCAGCTACCATGACTCCATACGATTATTGGACTTTCGCACTCTCTCTTTCCCAGATAGTCCCGCCAGTCGTGTCTTGAGATCTCAGAGGGTGAATCTTGCCAAGGTTCGAGGTTCTTGGACTCTTTCTCGTAGAGATCTAGTAGTTGATCGACATTGGCACCGAGGAAGTAGGCGGATCCCAGGATCTAGAGGACATGACCTCAGCACAGTTCGGATACATGGGCGACAAAGAGAAGGGAGTTATACATGAGGCGAGTGGTTGTGGAACTCCAGGTGGTGGTAGATAATTGAGTGGTTGATGTGATTCGCTTTGATCAGATGCTTGAGAGTTCGTGCTCGCTTCTCAGGCGTTTCCTCAATGTCGATTGACTCGACGGGTGGTAGGTCGAGCTTGAGAGCTGAACCGTAGCCACCGGATAGCAGGTTTGAGAAGAAATTGGATCGGAAAGAAAACATGGTTGTTGCGAGGAAGGAACAGTCGTCGAGTCGCAGAAGTCGAAACCATCAAGGCAGTCGCGTCATGTCATTTTGTCTGGACCCTGCCTGCCCCGCACTCTGACCATCGTCTCACTTTCTGGCGTTGAGAGCGTGATGATTAGCGGCTCTCTGCGACTACAGCGATCTCGAAAACATTGTGCATTTCTACAGAACACATAACCCCAGGCATGGCCGTGGGAGATTGCTAGAAATGACAGAATCTAGCACACGGGGAGGGTGCTATGACTTTCGTCGAAATGATGCGTGGAAGGCTGATGCGTGAAATGAGATGATTGGCCAGATCTATGCTATGAGCAGGCGTGGTCTATATACAAATCTATGCTACACTTGACAGTAATCTGTCCTCAACGCCATCGAGAAGGCAGTGATGCTCGAGCACCTCGAGGTTCTCTGCTTCATTCTGGAAGTCCTTGTCAGGATCCTGTCCTCCCATAGGGTTGACACCCATCTGGGCCTGAGCCATCTGCTGCGTGACCTGACTGGCCGCTGTCTTGTATCAGTATGGAGTCTATGGGGCAAGTAAACTTCGGAAGACGTACCGTTATTGCTGCCGAGGATGAAGTTGTATACAGGCTGCAGACCGAACAGGGTCAAGAAGTACCAAGACAAACTCGAGACCCATCGGACATCAAGATCTTTAGTTCCAACACCAGACTGCAACATAGACTTGAATTGAGGAGTCAGAGGGAATGGCAGTTTCATGATGACATAGCCGGAGAAGAAGGCATTGATCCAGCCCATGATCAAGCTCTGAGGCACCATCATGGCAACCTGGCCCTTCATCATGCCCATCATACCCTCCATGGCAGCAGGATCGGACATTGGGTTGCCCTTAGGCTGCCCGCGCATCTCAGGTTCAGCGAGGAAAGTGCCGTCCTTGTAGGCTTGGATCATGTATGCCTTGCGGGCAGCGAAAGAGGCTGGAGACAGCTGCTGGTAGTTGTTACGAAGGTTGACACCGCGCATGAGCGAACGCTGTTGACGCAAAACATTGATGGCTTGTTGCTTGGGCGCGGACTGCAGGAGGGTGGAGAGGTAGTGTCGCAAGATACCGGTGAGGACCTGGTCGGACATGTTAGCTAGCTGCATGATGTGGACGGTGGAGGACTTGGACTCACCATGACGACGGTAATGGGCAGCAGGATCCAGTAGAACAGGGCAGGATCCCTGTAGATGGTCTGCACCACAGGCTCGGCCATGTTGGACGACATGATTGAGAAGTCGTGAAGCTGTTGACGTGGTCGACGTGTTGTCGAGTACAAGAAGCGGATGCGCGCTGGTTGGACCGACTCTCCGCAGCTCCTCCGCATGTCAGTCAGAGCTCCGGCCACGCTTCACTTTCACCCTGTCAGCCAGCAGCCAGAGGTTTGAACTTTACAATCAAACATTCCACTTTTTCCAACATGGCTGACGACTCGAGAATATCGCCTTACAACGTTTCTGGTAACTTGGCCCTCATCACATTGCAATCCCAGCTTATACTAACATCCACCCCAGACTGCAAGAACACGACCGACGATGCTCTCCAAAACTACCTGAACGGCCTTAAGTTCCGCCAATCGCACTGGTATACCGACGTCAAACTTGGTCTTGGATACACTGCTGTCATTATCGCTGCCATCACCTTCGCCCTGGACTACAAATATGGCTTCGAGGCAACAAAACGCTTCACCACTCTGGCTGTAGTCATCTACTTCCTCTTGAACGGCGCTTTCACATGGTGGATCTGGCAGGTTGAGAAGAGCATGATCTATGTTGGTGCTTGGAAGGGTCGCAAGGTAAGCTCTCGTCACACTGCTCGCCTTCGTCTATCCTTTGTTTGATACTCACATGCGACCAGATCACAATCTCCACTCGCGCAGACAAGTTCGACCCAACCTACAAACTCACCGTCACATACCACCCTTCCTCGCTCAACACCATCCCACAGGTCACCAAAGAAGTCTCGGCTCCCTTCATGCAATGGTTTACCGCCGACGGCTTCTTCGTCGCTGCTCCTTTCCAACAATGGCTTGCTACAAACATTGACATGGTCGGTGATGCCGACCCGAAGAATGTTCTCGACGATGCAGCTGGTGTCAGGACTGCGCAATCCGTCCAACCCGAAGGTCTCAAGGATCTCTTGAATGTCATCAAGACTGGTCCTCCTCCGGTTGCTGCTCCTAGAAAGAGGGGTTAAGCTAGTGGTCTGGGTCTCTTGCTATACTAGCTGACAATATGTATTATCGAAAAGTAAACTTATCTTCCTTTCCTTGAACTTTTCGTGCTGTAAAATTGTCATGCTTCTTTCCAAGTCATGCAGCGACCAAAACCATTGTGCATTTTGACAGGTGCTTTGTTTGGTCGCTGAGAGAGTATTCTGCCGTCATAGTCCATGAGTGCTTCCTGCCTCAGGAGTGCCTGCCTCAGGTCAGCGACTTATCAAAACCGGCTTCGCTTGAACCCCCTCTTTTCTCCTTAGCATCAGCATCAGCAGCAACATCAGCAGCCGTCAGCATCGTGAGTTGCATCAGGTTGGAATCCTACGATTCGATATTGATGGAGATGCCACAGTTCAAAATCTCTCAATCAAGCAATCTCATCAACGCCTCTCCAGCAACCTCTTCTCGCCCCGTAAGCAATTCATGCATTGCATCAGCATCCTCTTTCATCGTGCTGATTCATCGGACAGATCATGTCTCCCTTCTGGACCCTCCTCCTTCTCCTGATCCTCTCTCAAGCCGCCACAGCCTTATGGCCAGCCAGCACCCACGCCCACACAACAACCATCACCGAACATCACCACCATTACCATACCACCACCATCTTCAAGCCGACCGTGCCGACAATCAGCTCACCTCCTCCCGAACCATCAAATTTCTCGCCTTACGACTTCACCGAAGAAGATCTCGTCAATGCGGTGAGGGAGGAGGTCAAGGCCGGTCGTGCTTCGGGGTGGTATGAGGTGGTGAAACTTGTGTGTTGTTTTTGTGTTGGGCTGTTGCTGCGCTGGTTGTTTGGGCTGTGAGGGATCAGGAGGTAGGGAGAGGTGAGGGAGGCAGGGGTGAGGAGAGGGGGCTGGAGGGGGTCGTTGATGAGTTATATCAGGGGTAGGGTTGGTGTATTGCTGTTTAGCATTGTGAACGGATTTTGTTTCTTCTGCCTGTGTCTTGTGTTGTGACTACCTGTCGTGATACATGATGTTTTGTGATCGGCATGAGATGTCCAAGGAGAGACCCACTCTTGTCGACTCTGGTTGTAAAAGGAAATTAGGGGGTAGATGTGATGTTGTTCAAAATATGGTATGAGTAACGTGGGTGAGTAATTACCTCTAAATGCCTTCCTGCTCTTATAATTTGCGAGTTTAATGTCACGACTTTCCGCTGTTCCCTTACATCCAAAGACCATGAGATGGGCCCTACTGTTCATGAAGGAGGAGTAAACGTGACACGCGCTCTCGAGGATCTTGTACAGTACATAACGCACAAAGTGTTTTGAAATCTAGACTATGTCCATTGAGAGCTAGATCTCTGTTTAGCCTATTGCAATGGAAGTCCAAAGTCAGGCAGATTCATGTTTAGGAAATCGCCAAAGACGGCGTCCATGTCCATTAAATCGTCGTATGCAATGTCAAAACCACTCAGACCACCGTCAGGTTGTGTTTGCGGGGTGGGAATACTGTTGCGTTGTGCTCCAGCGAGTTGATTGCTCTCGTAGTTTGGCGTATACACGGGACGCCATTGAGCGATGTTGTCACCCACGCCAGACCCGTTTCGAGGTGCACGACGAAGCTCTGGAGATGTGGAGATAGCAGCTACTTGTGCGGTCTGTCTTAGAGCTTTGCGCCCCATTCTCGCCATGTTTTTTGCTGGCTGTGACCACTCGGCCAATTGTTCGAGAGCTTGTACGCAGTTTTCCAGGTGCTCGCGAGACGCTGCACGCTTTATCGGGCTGCGGGCACGACGAAGTTGGCTGTAGAATGACGACATGGCCAGTGAGATACTGTAAGATACCAAGGGAAGTGGCACAAAGCTCTGAGGCGAGACATGATGGAGTATCGTTGTGATATGCAGGGCCGAGAGTTCTTGCCGCAGGCTCGAGGGCGTTGGAGTCGACGGTTGGGAAGTGCTGCGCGCGCGGTGGGATATGATCGCTATGCCGTGGTAGTATATCTCCAGGGACGCTAGACGAGTGACTGTTAGGGCTTGTGGTATTGCTTACAGATAGCATTCTGCTTACTCATAATGTTTGTATCAATGTTCCAAGCATTGCATCGGCTCAATATGGCTTCAAAGCTCTCAAAGTCCTCTTCGATACCCAAGACATCCAGTGCGGCTGTGGGTTGGTAGAGATTTATGACTCTGGAGAGTAGTTGAGTGATAGTGAGCAACACCTTCATGGCCGGTCCGCACAGATCATACGCTTCTTCAAGCTTGAGACCAATATCCAGATCGAAAATCAAGCGCGGTCGCCCATTCAATGCTGCATTGAAATTGGAGAGACACCACAGGGACCAAAACAATCGTGTTTGGCTACCTCCATACCCGCTAGAGCGACCCAAGTGAAGTCCGATCGTTTGTCCATGTTGTATCGCTTGTGCCAGATTCATGGATGCATCCTCTGCGCCGTCCGAGCCCTCGGAGTATAACGACATGAGTGCTAGCGTTCGTATCAGACTGACTTTGTCTTCCTCCCATCCGATCGACAAGGCCCAACGTAGCCATTTGTACGTTCTGGAAGCGAAAGACCTCGCTGATAGCAGCTCTGGGCTCTCTGTAAAGCGCAAGTAAGGTTGGGCAGCAGCATCCCTAGAAGCTACTAAACACATCGCATACATCACGGACTTAGATTTCCTGGTCGCCTCGTTTCTGTCAGCTTCATCCACAATCGAGAGCAACGGGTTTATCCTTTCGAAGTATATGTTGATAAGAGAGTCTTTGTCTTGCTTGTCCATCATTGGTGATGGTGGGACAGTTTCCTCGGATTGAGGCACAGCATTGCTTCCCGGCGTGCGAGCACCTGCGAATGGACTCTGATGGCTCTGGTGGTGTTGAATATCAAGGTTGTGACGCCTCGGCTCACCCACCCAGGTGCCAACACCATGTCTATCACGACCTCCACTACCAGGGTCATCTTCAGCTACGAGACGAGCTTCCGGATTAAGGTCGCCAATGAATCTCGAGGCGGATGGAGGGTCAAAAGGCTGCGTGTTGTGATGTCGTTGATCACCAGAGTTGCTCGATCTTTCCAACACAACTGATGGCGTTTCCGGCTTTGGAGTTCCGCTTGATATCGTGGTAATGTGACGAGCCTCAGTCTGGTTCTCTGTTTCTAGGCCGTGTGTACATCGTTTCTATCATTGCTCGAATCTTTCAATCATTGCATGCAAAAGGATCGAAAGGTCAGATCTACCTTTCGCTTTTTGCAGTGTTCACATGCACTTTGAGGAGCTTTCCTCTTGCGACTGTTTGGGTCGCCATTGACGACAAAGGTGTAGTCCATTGATGGTTGATTGTGAACAACGCGAAGGAGTTATGACTCGAGGTGCATCAACGAGCTCTAATGGTCCGAGCTCCTGCCGCTTCGGATCATGACGTGCCCTCGACCCTGACCCAAAGCTGACCATGCCGAAACTCACTACTCTCAAGCTCTGTTATACCTCATGTTGCGAGTTCGTAGTCACTATGCTGATCGATTCGTATCTGAAAAAGCCGGAGTAAACATCGTCTTGTGTTGGAATTCCTTCCGCTTGAACTCGCTCTATTTTCACAGTTACTCGTACACGAGCACACATAGAACACCGTTGCGGTGCAGATCAATCGTTTGTAATTAGAGCTCTTTTTTTGAAAAGACTGCCGCTATTTGAGACTACCAGGGTATGCGTGCTGGTTTCCACAAAGCATTATACTCCACGTCCAAGGTAGTGAGCTTTTCCACCGTCCTCAGAGTCGGCCACGGAGCTGACAACATAGGCGTAGATGAAGGCCAAGACAGCAGCAACCCACTGCAATCCATAGAGCAGATTACCGCCCTTGATGGAGTTTGTGCTTGCGACCTCCAATGCTCTGACTGCCGAGTTGGTTGCCCATGCACTAGCCACCATCAGAGTAGCGCCTGCAAGACTAGTAGTCTTTGCTGCACTGCGGATCAGGCGTCCGGCAGAAGATCCTCTGAGGATGACAAACGTGATGAGGATGAGGGAGATGAACCAGACAACGCCGCCAGCGGTGAGGAAAGCGACGAAGACATCGCGCTGCAGCTTTCTGGGATAATCGAAGTCCGGGGCGTACTTGGTATCGATGTTGAAGGCCTTTGCGAGGTCTTTGCCAGAGCGGCCGGTAGTGGTCACGCACCAGTCCTTGTGCTTGCCGCCGACAATACACATGCCTTCGTAAGGACAGTCAGCCAGAGGACCAAGAAGGTACCTTTCTGCGAATAACTCACCGTAGTAGCCGAGTCTCAGCCACTCATGCTCATCACTATTCCATTTGTAGGTGAGCAAGTAGATGCCGCTAGTGCCAGTTGAGGTGGAAGAGACGAGCGGGAAGACTTCCAGTGTGTTAGCCGGTGTGCGCTGTAGGGAGGCGCGCATCACTTACTTGTGAAGAGGAAGATGGGAATTGCCAGAGTCCAGATAATAACTCCCAAACCCAAACCGCGTGCTTTGGACATGAGACCCATGATTGTGTGAGTTGACTGCAGTTGTGTGATGGAAGAAAAAAAAGCTGGTGGTTTTGCTCAAGTTTTTTTTTATCGCGGATGCGGGAAGGGAGAGGGAGAGGCAGAATGAGAGTGAATTGAGATTTGTGGAAATCGCAACCAACGAGGAGCTCACTTATTTATCAACAGGCACGACAAGAGCCGCAGCTGCCTGAAGGCAGGATTCCATCCAGACTTTGGGAAACCATAGGCGCCAACACCTGATTCAGCGTGGTGAAGGAGAAGTTGTTTCGCGTGTCTGCCACGAAATAGACGCCCATCCTTCGACTGCAGCCTGTGCAACCAAGCTGCCAGCCAGAGCTGTGGTCAAGTCGGACCCAGATATAGTACAGGACGAAGAACACCAATTCAGCCTCCTGGGCACAGCATGGATAAAAGTCCTTTGAACCTCACGTTCAATATCTACTTACCACATGAGGCTGTGAGAACGCCGACAACGAGTCTCTTCCAGCTCGAGATGAGGCAGCCCATCGTTTGACTCGCAACTTTGGGAAGGATTCAGTCCATGTCTCGAAGAAAGACCGTCGCCCATGACTCTGGTAAACCAGCGTTGAGCACCTTGAAATTCTCAGCAGTTTGTATGCAGGTCTTTCCAGAAATATCGGAAGAGGAATTTGAGGTTGACGTGACCGGTGAAGAGGGCAGATCAGGTCCAAGCATGCGACGTTAGTGACTTTGCATTCCAGCAACGCTCTCCAACGTCTCTCTTTCGCTGAACACAGGGAATTGGTCCTTCAACACACCATGCATCCAGTTGAACCACCAAGCATCAGAGTCGAGAGATTCGAAGCCTCTTTCTTCCTTGGAGATGAACGAAACCAAACAGGACCCTGGTGTGTCACACTGACGCGGAAGCTGGAGTCCGGTTGGCCCGTCCACGGCCAGATACAAAACAACAAATGACAGCTCCAGCCGCACCCTCAAACGCGGGTTGAGATAGATTGAAATATGACGTGAAGTCCGCCAAAACCAGGGAACCAGGAAAAAGTAGGTTGTTATGATAACACATGGCTACTTATGCTGTCGCATCACAAAATGGCCCAGTGCATCGTTCGCAGTCTGTCGTGGCTAGCTCCTTGTAAGCATCATCCAAACTCCTTCCCCTGCAGCAGTGCAGATCGTCTGGCAAAACGAAGAACGTTCCCGTTGAGATTGTTGCCTTTCGCTTTCTAGCAAGTTACTGTAGCTACTGGACATTGCTGCAACATACATCCATGGAATCGGGTTCGCCCAAGATCGACAAGGCCGTATTCGAGATTCCGCAAACGCCGGAGATGCGCAACGACAGCTTCGATGCCAGCGTGCCGTCCAGCGATGTCGATGGAACCGGTCGCAAGACGCGTGGCAGTATCGCCAGCGACAGCTCGGATGAACCTTTGGACTCTCTGGTCGGCAGCCCAACACTTCCCTTTCTTGCGTACGGCCGCCGGCGGAGTTCCTTTATCAGCCCTTTCCAAATCAACAAAGCTCGTTACCTGTTGAGCTTCGCGGATGCCGAGACTGCGCAAGAGTGGTGGACATTGATGCAATCAGAATATCCCGATACTTTGCGCGAGAGTCCAACCCTGTTTTCGTTCAAGAGCAATCGCACTCCTGCAAAAGCTTGGGAGAATCCGAAGCTCGCGCATCTGAAAGAGAAATGGTCGTACCGTCAGACTGATGGCAAAGACGACAAGGCCGCGCATCAGCAGCAAGTTTCGTCGCAAAGACGAATTGCATCTGCCCGCACGCCTCTGATGCCTACATTGAGCGAAGGTCATGTTTTCGGAGGCTTCGAGAGATTGGAAGACCCCTTCACACCAGGAGGCACAAGCAACATGGAATTCACCCAATTGAACATGGCCTCGGACCACATTCAGAAGTCTGTGAGCCAATCGACTTTGCAACTAGATGCATTGCTAGAGGGCCAACAAGCCAGCGCCAAAGGCTTTCAGAAGTTATCAGCGGCGATGGAGCGCATGTCCCAACAAATGGAAAGTTTGGCTCGCAGACAGCAAGACCACGAGATAGTCTTACGCGAGTTGACAGCAGCCGCGACAGCGAATAATGCCGCGAGTGATGTCCAATATAGACACCAACAAGCCGCAGCTCTCCAGTCCCTCCAATCTGTCATTGAGGAAACTTGTTCTCGCGTACAAGAGCTATACCTCAAACCACCACCCACCCCAGGACCAAACCATGAAATCCTTCACGAGCTGCAAGAAGAAATGTCACAGACTTCCACCTTGCTGAGAGACCTCTACAACCGCCCTCTACCAGACACCGATCCAGCCCAAGCAGAAACCCTCCAGAAACTACAGAAACAGCTCTTGCAAAACACAAAAGCCATTCGCGCATTGACAGACCGGCCCGAACCTGCTTCCAACACAGAAACACTGCAAAAACTGCACAAAGAGGCTTCACAAACCACAGCAATCCTACGTGGAATTACAGATCGATTGGCAGCGACATCTACACCTCCGCCAGCACCAGCAGCACCATCAACAGCTCTGCTGGAAGCACTGCAGAAAGAAACAATCAACAACACAATCCTCCTCCAATCCCTATCTTCCGATCAAAAAGCCACAAAAAAACAAGTCCTAAAGCTCCAAACCTCCCTCGACACAACCACATCCTCCCAAAAAGCCCTCTCCACCCCAATCCAAAACCTCCACACCTTGTCAGAAAAGACTAATACTTCGATCGCCCAATTGTCATCTATCCAAGAAACCAGATTCTCCCAGCTAGAAGCAAAGACCGAAAGACAAATGACAGCGATGAAGAAGTCCTTCACGGCGGAATTGCAAAAACAACAAGATGTCTTCAAAGCACAGATGGAGAGGCAGCAAGATATGTTTAAAGGGCAATTGGATGAGATTTTGGGGGCTGTGAGGGGGAGGAATGTGGTCAGGAGTGCAGAGTGCGGGCATGGGGAGGTTTTGCCGCCGCCAAAGAAGATTGGGAGGAGGATTGTGGGTTATGTTTATGAAAAGGAGTGATTGCTTGAGGTTGTGGACAAGGTGGTGGAGATGGAGATGGGAATGTAAATAGGATATTTGATGGCTACCTTATGACTTATGGATTTTAATGTATAGTATAGTATACCTTTCTTGTACTTTCTTCATCAAGCTCTTTTATATACCTTTCTTGTAATTTCTTGATCCTACTCGTCCGCTTTTCAGAATATCACAGTTGCAGTCGACGAAGCGATGATTGTAGTGTTATGGTCTTCTCATTCGTCTTGATAAATCGATAGTCGACTCCCAGTATGCTTTGATACAAAGACGGACCCAGTAATACCGGGTCGCAGTCGTGTGACATTAGAACTCCTTGATCTCCATGCGCTTATAAACCATTGCTCATGCAGTGTCCATCTTGTCATCATCGCCATCCTTCTTCTTGTCTTTTGACTCGCCGCTACCACTGGGCTGGCCGCTCTGGTCAAGCAGGGGCTGGCTCTCAGAGGTCTCCGGTACGCTTTCGAGCTGTGTCTTGCCATCGGCTCCTTCTGTGGTCTTTGTCTCGCGTGCCTGACGAGCAGTCTCCTCCTCCATACTCATACGCAAAGCCAGTGCCAGTTCCGGGTCCATTGAGGGGTCGACACCGAACTCGAAGTCACCACCGCCAGATGCTGGGGCACCTCCCTCGCCGCCAGATGGACTACCTCCCATGCCACCAGTCTCTCCAGCCAGAATTGGCGATGCAACGATGGTGTCGGACAGAAGGTTAGGGCCGGGTTGGACGATTTCGAGGTATGAGCCGTCACCACCCTTGACGGCATCGTTGAAAGCTTGAAGCTTGGTAGTGACATCGTCGCTGAGATCGCCGAAGGCGACAATGTCGATGCTGACGTTGTTCTTCTTCATGCGCTTTGCCAGCTTGACCAGAGATGATTGGGATTCTTGAGCGGAGTTTAGCGGCGAGCAGGTGAGGACGATGATACGTTGACGTTGGCTCTTGTTTTGACGGTGCTTGAGTGCGAGCTAGACGGTAGTCAGTAACAAGTCGTATCTGGGTTCAGCAGTTGCAACATACGGAGGCGATCATGATGGCGGTGTGAAGATGGCTCTCTCCACGGATCTTTGTGCGATGCAGACCATCGAGGACCTTTCCAGGGTTTGTGGTGAGGGTGGTGAGGACTTCAGGGCCGCTGCCTCCCATGGTCATGAGGCCGACTGAGGATTCGGGATTGGCTTGAGTCTTGTATTGGAAGATGAGGTTGGCGGCATCTGCTTGGGCATCCCATCTCGAAGGTACGTAGTCGCCGTTTCTGCTGCTCTCGCTGTTGTCGACACTGGGAAGGTGATCAGAACAAGAGTCTGAGACGATGGCTTCACGAGCTGGACTTACACAATCATAGTTGCCTCCAAACCCATGTTGGCGGTTGTGAAGGTGGATTTATCGGGGATGGAAGTGGTGCTTCTTTGCGATAGAGGGCTGATGTGAAGGAGAGGTCGAGCTGAAATAGATGTAGTCGGTGAAGTTGCGCAGTTTGGATGAGATGATGGGTCGGATGTTGCTTGAGACGGTCTCGAAGCTGTTGCTCAATGACGCTCGCCGCGCCAAGAAGCCCTTCCGATGCCGACTTTGGTGTTTGTTGATGGTTGTCTTTCCTTCCTTAAACATCGCCATTTCTTGAACAAGCATACTCCATCCAACCATCCAATTCCGAAACTGCTCCTACATATACGCGCATATCCATACAGAGGCTCAGCAGACACCAAAAAGATCCAACATGACGACCCTCGTCACGACTCCCGACGCGACAATGGTGGCAGAACGGACTGCACACATCACAGAGGCCCAGAAACAGGCTCTTATGGACAATTTGCAGCTTGAGAGTGTGTCGCGTACACCCAAAAACCACAAGGGTTTCTTCTAACAAGACCGTAGTCGCCGACCGCGCCCGCAAATTACGCGCCCAGTATGCTCTCCAGGCCCAAGGCTTGCGCACTCGCCTAGAGATGCGCATCAACCGCATCCCTCGTCATCTCCGTAAAATGAACATGGAGGACTTGCTGCAGAAACATCAACAAGCTCAGGACAAGACTCAGCAACGTCTCCCAAGCCCTGCGAAGACCAAGTCCCTCAAGCGCAAGAGGTTTGTCTTGGAACCCTTTCACCTCGACTCATTTACTGACTTGTTTCTAGCGAGGAAGTTACCATGGCTGACAAGGAGAACACTCAGCCCGCATCTGCCGCCCTTGCGAACCCCAAGAAGCGCAGCAAACCCAGCCCTGGACCCACTGGCATTCCTACCTCTCCCAACCTGGCGCGATCTAAGAGACCTCAGCCTCTCAACTCTACAGTACTCTCGCCGAAATCTCCCAACTCACGCACACTCCCTCGATCTCCTCTGAAGTCTCCCACAACAAAGTCACCACCACCGCTTCCCAGACCACGCGGCGCAGCAGCTCTTCAAGCTACCCAACCTACAAAGAAAGGCACGATGAAGAGACCGGCCACGGCACCCACAACTACCACCCTTGACTCGGTCGCATCCGCCCCACAACCCAACACTTCTACTCGCCGTGCCCTCCGTGCCAGCAATGCCTCAGCAGAGAGCACCAGCAGCGAAAAGACCACGATCGTAAACAAGTCGCCTGCCAAATACAACCCTCCCAGCCGCCCTCACACTGCAATGGCTCTAGCACCGACATCTAAGAAGCTGCCTGTGCCCAGCTCGCCGGCAAAATACAACTCGATCAAGGAGAAGCCATTGCCAGTTCCCGCGCCTGCACCCACCCCTGTCACTGGAACGGTCAAGAAGGGAACATTCAAGAGCGCAATGGCATCCTTGACGGGTAGTAAGAGGGGGAAGAAGACCACAGCTGCTGCGGCGTTCAGTACTAATAGCACACCACCCCCTGCCGGAAGAGTGTTGAGGAAGCGTGCACCATGAGACTAGTCGCTTTCATGCTTGTTTACGATTAATGACTGGTTTTTGTTCTTTATCATCCTTGTTTCGAGCCAGACGAGCTAGGCTTCTGCGTGTTGTGTTTGACCTTCTACATAGTAATGGGTACTGATTGACTGGTATGAGATCGTCTTCTTCAAATTGCAGGAATCCCTTCAGCTTTTTATTGAGGTGCCAAAAAGGTGCCGTGATCGTGAAGGTAGAGCTCGTTAATGTGAGAAATCGTGAGGCAGCCTTAGTCGCTCCAGCATACCGTAGAGTTGCAAGACATCTGAAGATTAAGCAAGGACAAGGACAAAGGTTTAGAGCGGCACATTATCAAGACAAAAGATATCACAAGAATGATCACGAAAGCAAAGGCAGCAACAAGATCAATAGGACAGAACAGTAATTCGTATTGAAAGATCAAGCGACAGGCACATCACATGCCCGCCCACTCGATACAGAAAGCTCTAACATCTTCCTCTCCATCCACCTTCTCCTTGTCCTCTGTACCTCCAACAAGGAAACCTTTCTTGACACCTGTGCCCAAACGACCACCTCCTACCAACGTCAACAGGTCAAACTCTTGGTCCCAGTCCATGCCATCGCAGAGAAAGTGACTGTGGAAGCGGAGTGGGTCACCAGGGTAGGCTGTGTATCTGCAGCCGAACCTGATACCTGGGGCCATGAAGTAACCTTTGGAGTGGAGGTGCTTGAACAGAGGGTATGAGGCCGGGACCTGAGGGAGGGGCAGAGGTGAGGAGGATTCTGAGGAAAGCAGAGGGGGGTGTGAGGTAGTGGGTGTGATCTTCATGATGGTTGAAGCAGAAGATGACTGGACCGATGCCTCAGAGGGAGCGACAGACGGTGCACTAGGTGCTGAGCCAAAGAGCGATTCCTCATCATCTCCAGCAACAGTCTCGCCAGCAACAGCGGCATCAGCACGCTCCTTCTCCAACTTGGCAGCAACAGCAGCGTTCTTGGAAGCAACCTTTTTCAAGGCTTTGATCTTCCTGTCGTCTGCACTCTTGGTCTGGATTCTGGTCGCGTCACTGCCTTGCTTTTTCAAGCTGCGCAGAAACTTTTCCTTCTCCTCTTTGCTCAAGTTGTGATCGATGAATGCGTGTTTGTGGACAGCGGCATCGTCGACGATGTATGCGACACCCTTCTCCACCAACAATCGTGCTTCCTCGGGCATGAGTTCTAGAGGTATACCCAGGAAGACGTTCTGCTGTGGTGCTTGAGGTAGGCCACCGATCAACACGCCAGTAATGTTGTGCGCACGGCGAGCATGGCTGACGGCGTTAACGTCGTAAAGCGTGTAGCGACCGCCAACCAGGAAGACCGGGAAGGGTTCGGCTACTGATGGACTGGCCATGGTGAAGCTGAATTATACCAAGACTTTCGTCAAGGCTTAACAAAATAGTCAGCAAGTGTTGCAAACAAATTGTTGTGTATCAAGAGGTGGGGGTTGAAGAAGCATGTCATAAAGAGCATAGCATTTTTCTGTCGTCAATGACCGTAGTCTCAGGGGATTGACAGATTGATTGAAAAGATGTGGTTTAATCATTGCAGTGTGCGTGTGATAGGAAGGCGCAACATTCAAAACATACCTTGTGTTGTGTAGAGACAGAAAAAAGTCTCGCGATTGATTCAACCCATAATGCGTGGTTTGCAGAAGCTGCAGGAGGAAAGAGCTTTCGGCGAGATATAGCCAAGGGCACGGACCCCCGGCGGCAGGGCATCGGCAGAAATCCATCTCCAAATTCTCCAAACTCTCCCAGACTTTTTTGTTTGGTAGAGATTTAGTTATACCGATTATTTCATAACCATTCACACACTTCCAAAATGGCAGGAGACAGCAAGTCATTGACGACAAAGGTCGAATCCGGCTCGCCCTACCAATTGGATCCTTCTCAGACTCTCCGCGCAGCCTCCGCCCTGCTTAAGAAGATTTCCGGCGACTCTGGGGCGCGCAAGGACAATGGCGGCAAGGCCAACCTGCTCGAGGATGCCGACGAGGAGGAGGACAGCGATGAGACTGCAACCACCGTCTGGCTCAACGTCACCACCAAGAAGCACATCGCCGACCAGCGCAAGATGAAGCCCGGCAAGATCATCGTTCCCTTCCCTCTGCAGTCCGCTACCTCGCCCTCTCTGCGCATCTGCCTCATCACCGCCGACCCCCAGCGCAAGTACAAGGACATTATCGCCAGCGAACGCTTCCCCGCCCAGCTCTCCTCCCGCATCAACCGCGTCCTCGGCACCGAGAAGCTCAAGGCAAAGTACAAGACGTACGAGTCCCGCCGCCAGCTCTTCGCCGAATACGACATCTTCCTCGCCGACGACCGTATCATCACCCGCCTGCCCAACCTCCTCGGCAAAGTCTTCTACGGCACCGGAGCCAAGCGCCCCATCCCCGTCGCCATGCAAGGCAAGCCCGAGAACGCCCGCGACGAAGCCGGCAACAAGCGCGTCAAGCTGTCCGAAGGCGGCGACAAGCTCAAGCGCTCAGAAATCACCCCCGAGGCCCTAGCCCACGAGATCGAGCGCGCCGTCGGTGCCGCCCTCGTCCACCTGGCCCCCAGCACAAACGTCAGCATCCGCGTCGGCAAGAGCAGCATGACCGCCGACCAAGTCGCCGCAAACGTCGACGCCGTCGTCACCAGCCTGACCGAAAAGTACATCCCCAAGGGCTGGAGAAACATCCGCTCCCTGCACGTAAAGGGCCCCAACACCGCCGCCCTGCCCATCTGGCTTGCAGACGAACTCTGGGAGGACGAAGCCGATGTCCTCGAGAAGCTCCCCGAAGCCGTCGTCAAGGACAAGAAGAAGAGAAAGCGCGCTCTCCTCGAGACCGGCGCCGCCAACACAGCAGAAGCCGAGGACGAGACAAAATCAACCAAGAAGTCAAAGAGCGACGGTGCCGAAAAGGCCGCCAGGAAAGCCGCCCTCAAGAAGCAAAAGGAGGAGTCCAAGACTGCCATTGCTGCAGCATAAACGCGAACCTCTAGAGAGAGAAAAGTTATACTGTTGATTGAGGGGCTTTATACCTGGTTGTTTGCATTGCATGGCGCTAATGGGAGTTCCGGTTTCCTTTTCTACTTGGGTGTGTGTGTGTCTTTACAGATCTTTTTATTTTGTTCCTCGGGTCAAGAAACCACCGAGAAGATCAGATGTACACGTTCTACTTCCTTCCCAAGTAAGAATATTCAAATACTATATCAGAGCTTCAACGAGGCAAAAGACACCAATTGGCCATGAATCTTTTCGTGTATTATGAGTTTCTTTTGACTTTGAATGAACCTGATGTTTCCATGTTCGCACCCCTTCTTCTGATACTCGTAATTCTTCAACTGCCCCTTCTGCGCTTAGTCTGTGGGTGAGAGGGTTTTCTGTGCCCACTATGCAGGCATAGCGCCGAAGGATGAGGTTTCGCCGCCTGGTCCAGCACCAGCAGCGCCCGGCCCAGGGCCGCCGCCAAAGCCAGTGACAGCCATGTCTTCTTGCTTCATAGTACCATTGAGCATCGGGCAGAGCCTTGAGTGTCGATTGTCAGCAATTCTGTTCCACAAATATGTATCCTCCATCTCATAATATGAGAATCGGGTATGAACGAAAACGCAAAAGAAAGTTGTAAAAAAGTGCAGAGTGGAAAGTCGATGGCGTTGAATCTCTCGTGTTGAAGTCGAGATTCGGGATGAAGTGCTCAGAATTGAGCCGAGTCGACAAAGAGCCAGTCGTTTGCCTTGGGAGCGGAAGGAGAATCATTGCTTATTTGCTTTCTCTTCCTGCCCCTCTGACTGTTTACCTTGACAGCCGTTGCAGGCGAGGACTTTTTCTTTGCCGATTCTTTCTTGCAGGAATCGGAGCAAAAGAAATCACTTGCTGACTTTTTGTTGGTCTTGATGTGGCCCACTTGACCACAGTTGGCACACTTTCGGGCGGTACCCTCAGTGTTCTTCTTCGAGCGGCCCTTGCCTTTACCAGTCGGTGCAGGCGTGGCTCCGTCAGCGCCATCAGCACCGGGAGATGCAGCAGTCGAAGGTGATGCAGCACTGCCAATGCCCTTTGCGCGTTCGCGAGCTTGTCTGCGTCCCATGTTGCGCTCAAGACGCTCGATTTCTGCTTGCATGCTACATAATGGGTTAGCAGTTGCGATGAAAGAAATGCATAGGATACAATACAGTTGCTTCTGAAGCGCATCGTATTCTTCGTCGCCTGTTGCTTTAGCGTTCATGATGCTGTGAAAAAATGTCAGCCTGGGTCCAACCCGCATACTTATATAAGTCTATGGACCTGCTGCCAGGGATCTTCATAGGATTTGATCCAAATTGACCAAGCTTCCCAAAACACTTGCAGGCTTGGATGAGAACGTACTCGATTACTTGGCTTCGTGCCAGCAGCTTACGCTTCTTGTAGGCTGCGATGACCCTGGGGTTGGTGATGGTCTCTGTCTGCTCCTCCGGTTCTCCGTATTTGTTGGGCACCAATCTCTTGATGATCAAGAATTTGTCGTTCTGGCTCATACTATTGCGACTGAACTGACTTGCAGACTCGTCATCCCGTCTGTTGTTGCCATATACAGACGTTCCGATGGAAGATCTAGGGGTGCCGGCTCTGAAGCTTTGCGTGGGTTCTGGCTCATCGTCAACGTCAGCCTCGCCCTCGGAGACCTCCATCTGAGATGAAAGACTCTCATGCTGAGATTTCCAAATGCGACGGATGGATTCGTCGTAGGCTCTTTGCTGTTTGGCAACATTGTAACTGTGACCTCCGTTCTCCTTCAGTCGCTTAGCATCAAGTCTCTCTTCGATACTTTCGCCCTGTGCCCTGAAGCCACCCTTCATGGAAGTCTTGACGAAGCTGAAAGCTTCACCTCTGCCTGATGGATCACCTTCGCCATGTAATTGCAGCATTGCTTTACCTTGACAAGCATTTAGGAAGTTCTTGGTGGTGTTCCATGGTGCGAGCTTGAGCTCAACGTTCGTGCCTTCTTTGGTATCATCTTCTTCGTTTTCGTCATCCTCTTTCTTTAGACCAAGGTCTTTGAGATATTGAACACCCACTTGCATAGAGTCGAGAACACAGATATCCTCAGGCTTAATCCACGAGCGAAGAGTCTCGGAGTCGGGAACAGAATCACCTGCTTTGAGATGCCATAATTGATTGTTCTTGTCGTATTGCATGAATTCACGCATCTTGCCGCGATTTTGTGCGACATCACTGCCGGGCAGATGAGCTTTGACGACTTCATTGGTAAGGGGTTGGCCTCTGATAGTAGGATCGACACTCTTCTTGAACACACGATACGAGATCGCGCGCAGGCGACGTTTGGCCGCATCCGTGACCTTTCTGGAATGCTCACCAGGCACTTCCACCGAGGGGAACTGTTGACCGACGGCATACAAATTCTCTATGTTGCGCATGAAGTACTTCTTGCCGTTCTTGTGCGTTTCATTGCAGATGACAAGGAAGTCGTTTGATTTTCCTTCATGGCGGAAAACAGGGGCTCTGTAGAGGCCATTGTGGATGGTTGGTACCATTTCTCCCGGGTCGACCTGACCGAAGTTTGCGAACGGACTGCGATCCTGGGGCAAGAGGACTTGAGTCTCACCGATCTCTTCCTTAGGTCGAGAGGAATCTTCGGCATCCTTGCGCCTGTAGTAGTTGATAAGACGATTTCCCATACCAAAGTTTGAGAGCATAACAGGATGTTCTTCGGAGTATTCGAGGAGCAACGCGCTCGAGTTGTCGGCCATAGATAAATCTTCTGACTTTGCAAACAAGCTCGCAACATCTTTGCCACGCATTTCCTTTCTCTTGAGCTTTTTGGGCTTGTTGAAGGTGATAGTTTTGTTGGGTCTTTCGCCGGCAAATATCGGACGGTGGAAGGCGCGCTTCTGCTTGTCATCCAGGCTGACTCGGTAGAAGGGGAACTGCAGCTTCATCGCCGGCAGACTATGCTCGACGGCCATACTGCCCAGCGTGCTGCGGACCTTGTGCTGATGATTCTCCTTGAGTAGTTCATAAGCTTCGTCATTTGATATGTTGTATCTCTTGGTCATGTCACGGGCCATTGCAGTTCTGGTCTCCCGACGCATGTCACCAGGAATACGACGCAGTCTCTTAGGCTGAGTCGCCGGCGCGTTCTCGTCCAGCAGTAGGCCAGGGTCGTTCATGTCGAGGGTGACTCGCTTGGCAATGTACGCAGTAGCGCGTTCAGGCTCGTCGAGAGAAGGATATGTATGCGAGATTGCAACAGCAGCCTTGAGATCAAAGCCAACAACTTTGAGCTTCTTCGCGGTCGGCTCCTCCAGGTCGAAGCCGGGTATCTTCCGCTTGCCGGCAGGAGGTGACTGCGAGTCTCGTCCCATGTCCACACCGCTGTCCACAATAGAGTAGTGATCAGGTGAGGATGCAGAACTAGCCACGTCCCAGTCTTCGCAGAGCACTGTCAGGTCTTGCCACGAGACACCGCCAACTTGCTCGTTCAGATCAATCTCATCCAAATCCACGACGTCCTCGGTGTCTTCCTTTTTGGCTGAAGTATCCTCGACGCGGATGACACCCGACTGCTCACCAGCTCCTTCTCTTGCATGCTTACCCATAGTTGCAGCACCCAAGAGTCTGAAGCTCTTCTCTTGATCGTGTTGAAGATCGAGATTGAGCTTGGTTGGCTGTACAGGCTTGGGAGGCTTGACAGGGGCCTTCCAGCCATAGATACCTCGTCGGGGTGGGAATAGTTCAGTAAACCTTGGGCGCTCTTCTGGGTCGTAGGATGGCCAGATTGAATAGAAGACCTCCATCTCCGTTTCCGGGGCGGTTGGTGGTTCGTATGATCCTCCTCTCTTGCTGCGCTCCACTCTCTCCTGCTCCATGGCCGCAAAAAGCGCCTTCTGTCTGAGCCAATCTTCGTCTTCCTCATCATCCTGCTCTTCAACAATGTCAACATCCATCATCTGTTCATCCTCGATGAGATCATCGGACATGTGGGGAAGAGCGAGGGACGTGTGTGGGCCTGGCAGAGAGATGGCTGTCTTGGAGGGTAGAGCAAGACCACCGCTGTTGGCAGTGGGCGACGGTTTGGAGTCGGTCTGCTGGGTCTGGTCGTGTAGCTCCGAGAAATCGGGCTTCTCGTCGAGGTCGTTATTGTCGTCATCACCGAACAGGTCGTCTTCAAAGCCGAAGAGGTCGTCATGATTTTCTTCGATATCGATTGTGGTGTTTAGCTCAGTGGCAAGAGCATCGGCAGGCGAGCCTTCAACCTTGGGCTTGACATCGTCTTCTTCCTCTGGCAGATCATCGTCGCTAATGTCCTCAAAATCGATGGCGTCGTCGGCCTTCTCTCCCACCTCCAAATCACGGTCGAAGTTCAAGGTGTTGTTGCTCGGATTATCGTCGTTGAGAAGGCGCGCAATCTCGGCATCGTCGGCCTGGTCTTGGAGCTCGAACTGGTCGATGGCGTGTGGCATGATGGGCGCGCGAGACTGATGTAAGGGTGACCGTAAAGATCTACGAGCACTAGTCTATGAGGTAGGGCGATGCGCCATGGGTATTGCGCCTTGACAAAGAAGTGACGGCGAGTTGGGTGATTACGGTGCGGTGGAGTAGGCGCAAGCGGTATTGTCGGCGACTAAGAAGAAGAAGTGTGGAACGGCGCGGAAGTGAGGACGGAGCAGTCGCAATGATTAAGTCGATGAGATAGTGCCTGCCTTATCCTCGTTGGACTTGGTCGCGCTGCTAAATGCGCTTCTTGTCGTTGTTCGTAGGTTGCTTGCTTGCGACTGCCTCCCGCGTCTCTGGAATGCCAAGACTTGATGGCCGCTTTCACTTTCTACCTTCTGCTGCCCGCTTCGACCTCAGGCCTGAGGCACAGTTGCACAACACCACCACACTGTCACTATCGCTTCGATCAAAATACAAATTGGTAAATTGCATTTTCCATCCATGGTCGACTGTTCGTTTCGACAGACCAATTTGTCAAAGGTCCGTCTTTACAACACGAGCATGAACTGTACGCCTGACCATGCAGGGTGAGATGGAAATGGCTGCATTTCCTGATGTGTGCCCTACTTTCTGCGCTTTTTTATCACTCGTGTTGGTGTCTCTCATACACCTGGAGCCGTGCCTGAAAACTGGAAACTGGAAACATCCATGTCAGGTAACAATGCGCGTGCCAGAATGTTGCTCAACCCGATCTTCCTCATGGAACAAATCTAGCGGTCTCGAATGCCATGCGTCCTAAGGAGCTTTACAAAACAGCAAGCGACATCGGTTACGGATCATATTCTGCAGCTGTATCTACGTTAACGCCTAATCGAATCTCAGTCGCATTCCCGCCGCACGATACGGTGTGGACAGATGTACGGAGTACGATGGACGGACACAAGCGAGATCCGAGGCTGATCAATCTATCCCACCACGTGATGATTTTCAAGTTGGCTTGACTTTAACCGCTCTCAAAGTTCGGACCACATAACCACTGTTCCTTTGTACATAGGCTTCTAATAGAGGAAACCGGGGCCGGGGCCGGGGCCCTTCGGTGGACTTTTCCGCGGCTATGCATCATTCCTGACGTCCGTACCACGCGTGTACTAGGTCATGTACTTACACAGCGATGACTAGGTGTGTAGCCCTGAAGGCATGTAGATTGATGACAGTGCAAAGTACTGCGCCTACTTTGTCCCAAGCTGAGACTTGGACTCGGTCGACTTGAGACATGACAGGGATCGGCCGCTACGTTTTACTCTCCCCGTCAGCACCGCATTGTCAAGTAAATACCATGCAATATTATTGGTAGCGACTCGCAACATGCTCCAAGTCAATTTGCCGTTATTCGAAGCATTGATACCTCGCGAAAGGTACACTGCCACGGAAACCCCAAAGGAATGTCCGCTAACTTTTGGCGAGTCATCTTGTGCCCACCCCCCGATTACTGAACAGCCTTGCATCGGTTTAACGTCAAAAAAAGTCAAACTCCTATCCAGATGTACTCTTAGAATCTGACTTCTGCGAAGCTTCGAGTCACGTAAACTGTCCAGAAGGCTCGCCTACCTTGCTCTGTGTCAAATGACTGATGCCGGCCCCAAGCGGCTTCCCTCGTTCGCTATTGGACTCCGTGATGTTGATTGATCTTCGATAGGGTTTTAGTGTATGCGACTGTGTCCTAACATACTAATGAACGTGGCGAGACCGCAAACGAAACGTACAATAAGCACTCTGCTTGAGCATCGTGCATGTGCACGCGCGATGCAATACAATCGTCTTTCGTCGCAGGCCCCTTTCTCGTCTGTTTTCTGGTTCTTCGCTCGAGTCGAATTCCGACGCCGAGGTGTCATACTTGCTGACCACAACGGCTTTTACAGCCATTGAGAACTTCACGAGCGCGCATTCGAGCACAAAAGAGACGGACCTCGACGGAACAGCATTCTTCTTGTATTCTACAACCCAGACTCCTGGTTCAGAACATGAGCGCCTATTGATTACCTACCGGCATTAACCGGCTTCATACAAGCTATCTTCAATCCGCGCTATCGGCCAGCCTAGACCGACATACGACGGCACAGATCTATATGGTAAAGTCTCACCAGTTTAATTATGTACCATTGCTTCGGCTGCGCCGCTGCGGCAGTTTCCATCCTATCGACTGAACTCTTCATTTCTTCCCTCATCGTCCTAGCGCAATCTATTCCAAATTCGCCGAGCAAAGTCAAAAAACACTTGCATAATATTAATCAACTAAAACAATAACGGAGCCCTACTTGCCCTGCTGCTGCATCTGCTAATTAACCTATCTCTCCCCCATATAGTCAGATCCAGCCACTCTCGTGCTTTCTTTGCTACGGATCACTTGGCGCTCTTTGTACGGCCGCTCTACTTTCCAGATCTCGGGTCGAGTAAGTATTCTTTCCTTCTGTCGCACTCGCGCTTCTTTGTTCCTTTGTTTCTTGTTCCACTTCGGATCCTTACACATCGATGCCTACAGTTCACGCGAAATCCTCGAGCTCCCCAGAATTTCGTCATCCAAAATTAGTACTGGCTTGGAGGTCGAACCACGTAGGGCCATGCTAGACGAGCATCGGCCTGATGCACCGCACGTCGGCAATCTCGTCGACAGTGAGCCAAGGCAAGTAGCATCATCTGCTATGCTTGTAGGCTCACGCGATTCTCTTCTACCGCCTCCGACGGTGGAACCGACTCAACCACGAAACGTCTCTTCCATTCAACTGCCATCTTTGTCTCAGCAACATCCGACAGCTCAGGATGGCATCATTTCTCAACTTCAGTCTTCTCTCCAGTCCCAACTTCATGTTCACAGCCAGATACTTGAAGAACAAAGACAAGAGATCGACAACCAGCGACACCATATCGCGCGCATTGACAATGCGATAGACGCTTTGCATCATGAACAGAGAAACATATATGCCTTGGTTGATGAAGTCAGGCATGAATTGCGAGCCCGTGGCCCTGCTACAGAGCATCCTGACACAAGCGAAGTTGACATTCTCACCGAAAGAGTTCAGAACATTGGAGCCCAGACAAATGAAATTGCGGGTCTGAAGATGCAGGTGGACATTCTGAGAAGTCAGGTCAGACGTCTTGAGCGTTCTGAGCGCCTCGGATCACCGGGACCAGGAGGCGCACCACCATCAGAATCTCTCGGACACGAGCAGGCCGCTTCGGGGCATGCGCCACCTTCGACAGCTCCATTCATGACCAACACACCTAGTGCACCGGATCAAAGACCCTTGCTCTACCAAGCCCCTATCGAGAACCGTCTTCCTGCTCCGATCGCTGCCAATCCCGAACTTCCTGATCCTCGTATTCAAGCCGAGTCGCGTACGCTACCTGGTATCCGTTCAATCGACGCTTCTTGCGCCACCCCTCTCTCTTCATGGCGGCCAGCAGGCGGAATTCCTCCTTCACAATCTGCACCGGTCGTGGGTTCTTCACCGCAGATCGAGGCTCCTGCACCTGGCAGTGGATGGGCGGCTGTCAACACAAATACGGCACCAAAACGTCTGATCTCGGAACCCTCCTTCGAGTCTAGCACGCCTGGATCGCCGAAAAGACAGCGTTTGGCTCCCTTGATGCCTCGCACAAACTATGACCAGCAAAGCCCTGCGCAAGGCTCATCTCCCTACCATCATTCAGTTTCTGGTGATTCTTTGCCCACCGTCCCTACCTTGCAGTCTACACAAAATCCGTCCAATGAGTCGACCGGAAGTATGCCTCCTCAACCTAACCCTCTGCGTTTCGTACAGTTTGCCTCTGGACTGGACTCTGCACAAGATGAATCATGGCGTCAGGATGGATCGCGTCTTGGACCAGGATCAGTGATGGATAGATCGCGAGGCAGCCCAAGAAGAGGAAGAGGTGGAAGAAGCCGAGGAGGGCGTAAAAGTGGAGGTGGAGAAGGCGATCGGGCTACGCCAGAGTGGGAGGGTCGTCCTGACAGTGTTCAGATCGTCAATGCGACCGAAGGACATGGAGGACTGATGCCCACGCCTGAACAAGCCAGCGAGACGACTGCCGGCATGTACCCCGACCCGCACTTCATGCCCATCACCACGACCGCCGATGTAGCTTCCTCGAACAACCCGACCAAGAAGACTCGTACTAAGCCTGTGCGTAACGCAGACGGTATCCTGATACGTAAAGACGGGAGACCAGATATGCGCAGCGTAAGCAGTGCGATGAATCTGAAAAAAGTGCACGCAAAGAAGGAGGCGGAACGCGCCAACAACAAGGAGACATCTGCAGCTTCCGAGGACACAAAGGACAAGTCAACTCCACACTCGACGTCAGAACATGATGCCGGGGACATGAGCGTCGCAAGTCCCAGCGTGGACGAGCATGCCACGGATGGTGAAACAAGTGTTCTGGACCGTCACCAGGAAACCATGCGCAAGATCTTCCCATACGGTATCGACAGCAGCGACAACACTGCCACGAGCGTTCAGAGTATGGCACAGCAATTCTTCCCTAGGTCAGACGACAATCGCGCCGCACCACAAGTTAAGATCGAAGCTATGGTCGAGAGCAAGGCGACAACTAAGGAAGCACATAAATCACATGAGGGACCGAAGCCCCTGATTGACGGCGAAAGAAGCATGGTGCACCACACCGGAGGACATCCTGATGTCGAGATGAGTGATGCAAAATAAACCATGCCTGCTGAGGAATGGCAAATCACCATGATCGTCTCACACGTTGTTACGCCTTACGATCTTCTTTCAGAAAATTGCGAACATATTGCTGGTTTCTTCTTATAGACAGGAGCCCCTCCGGTAGGGAAGGAAAAGGAGTAGCAAATAATGGAATCAGGGAACAAGTCGACCAGTCTATTCTGGAACAGTACTACCAGTTGGATGGTAGCAATTCCCTCGACAAACACCATACCCAAATGCTTTATTGCTCTATTTTAGCCATTCAAACGTACACATATACCCAAGGCGCGCTGGTTTGTTCAGGCGTTGGGTTTTACTTCACTGCCACAAGCGAATAATACAATTTTCATAAAACAACAACAACATCACTTGATGACATTCCGTTTTTTAAACGCATCATGCATGCTGACTCTCTCTCGAATGTAGACGCCACCACTCGTGCTCCAAGAACGAAAGGGGAGCTGGCGCCGCCCACGCTCTACCTTCCTGATCCGAATATATTCCGGTCCGATAGGACACGGATGGTTCGAAACAACACGAACCTCCTTCGCTTCCCAAAAGTCATCATCTTTTGACCCGGTGACCTACTTTTTGCTCTTTCGTCTCGAGACCTTAAACACGCCCATTTTACCTTTCCCTCAACCCCCCTCCTTCTACTTTTCCCTGCTTTTTGGAACAAAGTAGAAGATTTTGGCTTTGGCCTTTGTCTTGTTTATCTCGTCTCTTTTTACCTATTCTTGCACCTTTTACGTGTTTCTTGTTGCTAGGGCAAGCAATGACGATGGGACGGCCATGTAACCAACCTCCCTCCCTCTCGTAAAACGCTTTTAGTAATCTGGTCTTTGCAAAGAGCAACCTTTTTGACTCGCTCGGGTACATACGGGGGGGACTGATATACGTGTGTCAATGGAAAGCCTAAACACGCAGCACATAGCACACGTGATATTCCCGCTTTCCTCGGTCGATGTTAGGAAAAGCCTATTTTGTGCAAACCGGCTTTTTTGCTCTCGCTCCCGTTTTGACTGCTTGTTGAACTACTCGGCTCTTTTGGAAGGGCGAGACCTTTGTTTGTGCGCCTTGCCGCACCGAAAAGTGCCGATGTTCTAGATGGAGTAGGTGCATTGTTTTTACTTGGCAGGGCAGGGCAGAACACCGATTCGCAAAATGACTACATCACTTGGATGATTGGTTAAGCGATGGTAAGAGAGGTGTGGGTTGATGACATTCTTATGAATTGTGATGTACTTTGTTTAGAGACTTTGTCCGGATGGGGCAGAGGAGTGCTCTTTCCTTTGATATGGATCGCCTTTCGACTGCGCCTCTGCTTGCGTTTACATGTTTTGGATGATCGATGGATGATCATCGGTCGTCGCGTCGGCTTGGAGGACCGAATCCGTATATCGATCGTGAATATGAATGACCTACCTATATGTCCTTATACACCGTTTTCATAACGCATGTCTGCTTTTACACGAGTAAACGTTCTGGCAGGAGATATCATGCCATCTCCATCCAATAACGATCCTTCGCTATCGGCTTCGGACTCGCGCCCTCGGTGTCACTGCCCCGAAATGCTCTTTTGAAGGTCTGCCCTAAGGCTGTACAATGATCCCATCACATCTCCACCAAAAGTTATGGAATCTCCCCTATTCTTACACCAGCGTCTACTGGGAGCAAAAGGAGTGTTCTCCGTTTTGGAGAACTGGCAAAAGAAGAAACCGACGCCTAAGAGATTCGAACTCTTGCTCCCGAAGGAAATAGATTTCTAGTCTATCGCTATAACCACTCAGCCAAAGCGCCGTACTGTTGATGGTTAGAGTGATTGCGGATCACCATGTTTCTGCGCATACACTCGCTTGCTCTTCACCAGCAAGAGATGGCGGACGTGAGGCCGAGATCGAGCAGTAAAGGCAAACGGCAGAAACACATCGCCCCGCAATCAATCGAGCCACCAACAGTACGGCGCTTTGGCTAAGTGTGCACTGCGCGAACCATCGTCTGCCGCAAAGACGGGCCATCGTTCGCATGCGTGTGGCGTAAAGGATCGTGGAGATGATATTACCGGCTCGCGTATGGAGATATCAAGAACGGTAAGAAGTATCCAAGTCGCGCATATTCGACCCGCCGGAACCGCTATATAGAGAAAAAACGGCACGTTGATAGAAGAAGCAGAAAGCGCGACCCGTGATTTCGAAAAGGAGGAAGAGGGAAGAGCAACCCGGCGTTGTTCAGATGAGGAAAGAAAGACCTACATTCCGGAAATGGAAGAAAGTGGTCCGAGAGAGAGAGGAGTGGCCGATTTTGTTCGGGGTCAATGATTTGCGACAAGGTATAAGGGTGATCGAACAAGGGAAAGAGGTGATCGGACAAGGCTCACCGAGGATGTTGGATTATGATACATTGATCGGGAGAAGAGGAAGGAGGATGAGGACTAAGAAAAAGACGCCAAGCCCTGAGGCCGAGGGTGTGACCCGGGCCTGAACTGTTGACGATTATTACTACAGAGTATTGGTGACCTGAACGTGTGAGATTTATGTGATAGCGACAGGGTACATATTGAACTAAGGTGAGATAGACCTCGATCTCGTTCATGGTTATACAGTAAGGAAATAATAAATCTGTTGGTTTTGTAATTGGCCATCGTGAAGTCAGGATGAACACCTGGCGATGTGCCGCACACAAGCTCGTGCTAAGGAGCCTTGTTCGAAAGTCATGATAATTTAATATATACAGTGTCAACACCTATCTACGTGATGCCGTGAATGCTCGAGAGAGTCTATGATTCAAATTCTAATCGATGGCATTCCCTCCCATAAACCATTATGGCTTAAAACCTCATCCAGTACAGCAAAGGTATGCCAGAACACATGGAGAAAAGTGAACGGAACAGAGGCCAATCTTAGAGTTCTCACCTAACTCAACAACTCCCTAATATCCTCAATCCTCTGCGTCTTCTTCTCATCTTCATTCATCATGCCCAATGAACTGGCAATAAACTTCTTCCTATCCTGCACTCTGAGCATCTTTTCCTCGATACTCTGATCAACCACGAATCGCACAATCTTGACTTCTGCAGTTTGACCCATACGGTGCACGCGGTCAATAGCCTGTGATTCCACTGCCCAACTCCACCATGGATCCATCATGAATACGTTACTGGCGCAGGTCAAGTTTAAGCCTACACCACCAGCTTTGAGTGAGAGCAAGAGTACACATCCTTTGGGGCGAGCGGCGAATTCAGTGAGAACGAGGGCGCGGGCTTTTTGGGCCATGCTGCCGTCGAAGCGGAGATATGGTATTGAAGCGCCATCGAGAGCAGGTTCGAGGATATCGAGGAAAGAAGTGAATTGGGAGAAGATGACGGATTTCGTAGTAGGGGAGGCCTTTTTGATGCGTTTGAGGTGGGTTAGGAGAGCGCCGATTTTGGCTGAGGAGAGGGTGTTGACGCGGCGGAGAGACACACGAGGCAGGCGCGTTTGTGAGTCCGTTGAGTCGCTGGGCTGGGTCGCTGTGTAGAGGTCTTCGAAGCTATTTTGAGACTTGTCTTTGGTTGCAGCTTCCTCGTCGTCATCGTCATCGTGTCTGATGACTTCGAAAATATCGCGTGCATTGATGGGTTCGCGGCAATTGAAACATAATGGCAACTCATTCTTGTTGGTTGCATTTTCGATCAACTCAAGCAGACACTTCTTGCAAGCACTGTGCCAACAGCCTGTGACAGATTGCTCTTCCATGGGCTCCTCAAAACAGATAGGGCATTCATGATTCGACTCAGCTTGGATCTGCTTAAGCACATTGGCACCAAATCGGCTTGCATCTTCCTCTTCGGCTTCAGATTCGAAACGTTGAATCAAGGATTGCAAGTCCATGTCATCAGCTAGGCCATTGGCAACGTCAATCGCTGCTGCCGCATCATCTTCGTCTGCAGTAAGAGCTTTGTTGCGCACTAATGTCGGGTGACAACATGATTGCCTGAGTCGGAGGATCTGTGCGAAGATAGTCGTGTAGGACTTCATTAATGTTCCAGCCTCGACATTGGCGGCGAACGTCCTCTTGGCTCGGGCGAAAATGTGATCGTAGAGATCACGCTCTACCTTTGAGAGCTCAATCTTCTGAATGTCGATAGTTCGTGGCGGTAGCGGGACCAGCGCCTCACCATCTGGCGTCTTCATGTCCTTTGTTCGGCGCAAGACTAGTGGCTCGAGAACGGTTTGTACCACGTCCAATGCTCGAACGTAGTCCTTGGACTCGAAAGGCACAGTAATGAATGTCTTCCAGAACGAGAAGTTGCTCCATGGCTCCACGCGGAGGAAGCGTACCAGACTGAAGAGGTCTTCCAAGCGATTGACGATCGGCGTACCTGTCAATGTCCAGCGATGCTCGGCAGCTATCTCATAACAAGCACGAGCGGTCTTAGACTGTCTGTTCTTGATCGAATGTGCTTCATCGAGAATGACACGGAAGTACTCGATGGAGAACAATCCGCCGCTTGATCCTCGATCACCGCCAGCGGCAACAACTTGGTTGTACTCTGACAATACTGTGCCATAACTTGTGATGATGACATTGGGAGCTGACGAGGCATTGGCTTCGCAACATAACGTCTTCAGGTTGACATTCTTCTCGGTGCCATAGTATACTAATGTTTTGAGCGTTCCAGGCTTGGAGGCCTTTTCTGCCTCACTTTGCCATTGCGCCAGCAAAGACATAGGCGCGACGACCAAAGTCGTACATGGCGCACGAGCAACACCGGAAGAAGTCTTTGGCGAGCGTGGCAGGTCCATGACCGTCGACATCTTGGAGCCTTGTAAACCAAATTCAGAAGTATGCGTGTGTACTAAACTGAGCATCTCAATAGTCTTTCCAAGACCCATCTCGTCGGCGAGAATACCACCGAGGCAGTTTTGCTCTTGGATTGGAAAGTCTAACGACAACTCACCAGAATAGGGATTTACATAGAAGCTCGGCTGCTCCTCAACTTCAGGCACAGGCGCGTCGTCTGCGTCTTTTGTAGGCCACATGTACTCTTCCCAAAGGGGATGCATTGAAGCTTCTTTATGCTCGGACTTCTGATCTCGCTCCTTACCCACCATCCAGTGCAGGGCTTGTTTCTGATACTTTCGAAGATCCATGACGAATGTCTCTGCCGGCTGCATGACAGGTGTGTTGAAGTCGAATGACTGTGCCTTTCGGTAAAGACTGTCGAGCTGATCTTGTTCTAGCTCTTGGCCGTCTTCAGCATCATCAGAAGGAGGAGAAGAAGGAGCTTGGTCGGAAGATTTGGCTGGTTTAGCAGTGCTTGATTCGGGTTGCTCTGGGATCTCAGCAGCACGCAGGATACCCTCTCTTTTGTGCTTTTCGGTGGCGGAGTTGGCGCGTGATGGGTGGAGATTGATCTCCGAGAACAGCTTTACCAGAGCGACTTGTCGCAATCTCAGGTCCTTCTCGTCTCTTGTCTCTTTTGCCTCATGAAGACCAGTTTCTCTGTTATTGTCCAACGGTTTGATGAAGTTGCCAGCTGTGAAACAGTCCCTCAAGAAGAAACATCGTAGCTGGAGATAGACGGTGTCATTGGTGCGAACGCGGTCAGGAGCAAAGATGCAGTGACCCTCAAAGTGGCATATGTTCTGGTCCATGAGAGTGGATATCCAAGCGGCAGAGTCCTGCTCCAAGCGGCCGACTTCATCTCCTTTGGCATTGGTAAAGCGAACAATGACATCCTGGCGAGTCGAAGCTCTGAACTTGCCTCCCTTGCCAACCTTTTGTTGCGACGGCTTGGCCCTTTCGATCTTCACCAATTCTCCCGATGTAATAATTCCAGTACCGCTGCGAGTAGTCCAGCCAACAACGCCCAGTGCACCAATATATCTCTTGTTTGGCATAGCAGCTAGATTGACCTTGGGAACCTCAACTTCTTGTGTAGCGGTGCTCGGGTAGTCATTGATTTTCGGACGGGTAGGTCGTGAGGCGATTGAAGTAGTATTGGATATCAGAGGATGGTTCTGCCACGAGCCATCAAAATACATGTTGACAGCTCTTTCTACATCGTTGCCGCAGATGCGTTGCAAGGCGTTGATTGTGGATTGAGGAGCCTCATTTCCGATGAAGGCTTGAAAGAGAGATGGATCGAAACGGTTCACGGTCGATGATGTCGCGTCTTGTGTAGGATCGGTCGCCGTAGCAGTATCTAGTTCGTTCTCTGGGAGGGCGTTAATTTCGTCAGGGCCAGAGGGATCGGAGGCGAGAGAGGCATCTTGGGTTGAGCCTTTGTCAGCGAAGAAGCGTCTCTTCTTGGCCGGTCGTTCATCCATATGTGATATGCTCATTTCACACAACAGAAATGCTTCCTGTCGCGTGCCTGAGAAGTTGATCACAATTGTGTCTTGCGACAATTTCTAGGAAGGCGCGCTGGAGGCGGAAGACGCGTTTCTGGCGCGTCAGTGGTTGCTTTTGTGAGAGTACTTCGAGCTGTTTATGAAACTTTATGAACGACTAACTGTTTGTGGATAAACATCGTCATGTCCGAGGTCATCATTTGTTAAGTCGCCGTTAGGACAAAGACGCTGTGTCGCCTTCATTCTGCTTTACGTTGCCACATATCCAACCATGAGAGGAAACACAGCCTGTCGCACGCTACGGAATGCTTCGGGCAGGCAGCAATGTCATGCTAGAAGGACATATGCCACCAAGGTCCAGCAGCCTGCTGCTACAGTCTCGTCGGAGGCAGAGGTGGGCTCAGCGAGAGCCTACTGTCTGGATCTCCTCAGGTGAGCAACCACATCAATGCTTTGCCGCATGCCTTGCCTAATCACATCGCAGGAAATATGATACCCCTTCATTTCTGCTGCAATCATATATGCCTCCCAAGACACGAGATGCCTATCTCGCCATTCGTGCCTTCAACATAGAGGTCGCCAGAACCGCCGATACAACGAGTACTCCAACTATTGGTTCGATGCGTCTGCAGTTCCAACGAGATGCTATTACAAAGGCCCTGGCTGGCACGCCGCCGAAGCAACCTATCGCCATCTTATTGGCTTCTGCTGCTGAGGATCTACAGCGAAGAACCGACGGCAAATCAAAGTTTAGCAGGAGCTGGTTCCACAGGATCATATCTACCAGAGAACAATACCTGACGAATCCGCCGTACCCTGATCTGGCTGCCATCGAGTCATACGCCGAGAACACTTACTCGACCCTCATGTACCTGACTCTCCAGGCCCTACCCATGGCCTCCCTCACCGCCGACCACGTCGCCTCACACATCGGAAAAGCGACAGGCATTGCCACAATCCTTCGGGGACTGCCCCTGCTTGCCTTCCCAGGTCCGGCAAATCACCACTCGAACCAAGGCGGTATGGCTGGTGACGTTGGCGCTACCAGACAAGGCTCTGTTATGCTACCGCTAGACGTAATGGCGAGACACGGTGTACGGGAAGAACAAGTGCTACGCGAAGGTGCTGAAGCTCCTGGCCTCCGTGATGCTGTCTTCGAGGTTGCCACAAGAGCTAGTGACCATCTCATCACCGCCAGAGAAATGGTCAAGAACCTCCGAGCTGGTCAGGATGCAGGTCACGACTTTGAGCATGGTCATGAGGAGGAACACATGAACTACGCGCCGTCGCAAACATCCACACCCGCACAAGAGGTCCAGCAAGCCTTCCCTGTGTACCTCTCCGCAGTGCCCACAAGTCTTTGGCTCGAAAGGTTGCAGAAGCACGACTTCGATGTCTTTGCACCGAAGCTCAGAGTTACCGACTGGAGACAGCCCTGGAAGACATGGCTCGCATACAACAGGTCGAAGTTCTAGACCACCACATTCACGCCAACACAAAGTGGTCATTGCATTTGTGGTATGTACATATTCTCAATCACAGGAAGCTTTGTCGACTCCAATATGTCTGTACCTTGATAACGTGAATACGGACATGAACATACGTATCAGAACCGCTTATGTTGCTCGCGAAGTGTTAGTGTACGACTCTGGAAGGCATAGCGTTCCAGAACCAGACAGTGAGAGGATCAACTCAAGCGACCATCAGGTGTGCACAAGACAGTAGAGATATGCGCGACTCGCTGACAAACGAACGCTCGCGATGCGCTTCAACGATGCTAACCCCGCTCGGAACTGTGCCGGACACCGAGACCGTCATCGAATTTACGCGCGAGGAAGACAACTCGAGTCGGACAGGAGAACAGAGTCGCAAGTCGACATCCCAGGGCGAGAGTGGTGGATCCGCAGCAAGAGGCAGACATATACATGAAATCACTCACGAGATAATACGTGATCGCAATTTTGGGAAAAGAGTGACAGGAGGAGGCAAAGGCAAGACATGATGGCGGCAAGCGACAGCAATGGCGAGGTAGCGAGAGCGAGAGAGAGAGAGCAGCGACGACACACGTGCATGCAGAGAACGAGGACAGCGACGACAACGATACATCCATCGGCCGGCGATAGCATTGATGGCAGATGCCAAAGACGAGAACGATGACAATGGCACGCGACGAGAGCAGCGATGATACGAGAGACGACGACAGCGGGCCATATCAATACCGACGGTCACAATTACCATTGCAAATAACGCATGCGCCGACAACGACGAGCGACGCCAAACAATCGTTACACACGATGGAGTCCTCTCCAGCTCCCGGTTGATAAACCAGAGTCAAAACAGATAAAAAAAAGTAAAATGTTTGTCGATTGTGCTCCCGTTAGCTTCACCCCGAAGGGCTACTAGACCGGTACACCACGGTGAGGTGGGAGCTTGCACCGGAGCCTGCCACTCGTCGCCAGCTGACGCGCGCGCCACTACCCAGCCGCGTTGACACAGAGGTGTTGAACCTCTATGCCAGGCGGACTGAGCACAACGCGCATGCTCCCAGCTGCGACTGAGTCCAGGCCCCCCACCCCCGTGCCACTCCTGACCGGCTCGTCTCCTCTACCAGTCGTGCTACCGTCTACCAGAGGGAGGCGATGGCGTGTGGCTGGCGACCCAGGCAGTGCCTCAGCACCAGTGACCGGGGCCACTGGTGGGAGGTTGCCTGAGAGGTCCAGCCACCGCGCATCGCCTGCGACCTCTGGTGACGGTAGTCACGCTGGGAGGAGAGGAGTCCGGTGGGAGTGGTCGAGGTGAGGATTCAAAGGAAGAAAGAAGAGAGGGAGAGGGAGGCATGCTTTATAGTCGCCCTACAACTGAGCTTTGATTACTAAGCAGGATGATTCCCAGTCATGCGGCGGCGATATCTGTCACTTGTGACTGGATTCTGGTATATCTTGCTCAAGTTCTGGTCATATCTTGCTCACTTCTGCCTCAGGAGTGGACCATGTGAAGCGCGAAGCCGAATCGCGGCGAACTTCGAGGCGACGACCGCGCCAAATTGTTCCGACTTTGCGAAAGACCATTGTTCGTGATTGCAAGACCTAAAATCAGAGACGAATGTTCCATAGGCTCTCAACCCATTATGTTCTGATTCTGAAAAGCATCGTCCCAGAAGTCGGCTTGGCGAGATGCTTGTAGCTTGACGTGCACGCCAGAGACGACATTGTGTGCTTCACCTAGGGGCCTTGTACCGGGATATGTCTTGTTGATGATCCCACCGCATCCTCTAGTCTCATAGTGCGAGCTCGGACATGCAGCGACATAACCAAGACAGACTCAGGCTTGTCACAGCTGAGAAGAACCAAAAGGCTTCCTTTGAGCTTAGGAGCACTCTGCAGAACCATTCAGAGGAACCGCTTCCTGCAGACCAAAGTGGATGAAGTGCTGAGTCGTCTAGATGAACGATGTACCCGGTGTGCGTACCTCAGGAGAAGCATCCCAGCCCCGAACAGATGCTACATGCTTTCCAGTCAGAGAGTGCTCGCATTCGAAGCAGATTCTCAAATGGAGCAGTGTGGTCACTTAGTGACTTTTAGAAGCATCGCGTTGCAGAAAAACACGCAGCGTCAAACGTCAGCGCATACCCGATTAACCTCCTAATTGTCCTCAACACCTCGATGGCTTTTACTTGGAAATTGCGAGCACATACTGGATTGATGCTAAACTCACCTTGAGAAGGACAACGACGACTACCCGTATTTGTCTTCCACTCATACGTTCTTACGGTTGTCTGGTGCAAGAAATGAAAAGTCGCTAGACACTCAATGTTGACAGTATCCTCAGCTGGAATTGCATCAAGTCCTTTGTCCAAGCTGTTCAATCGCCTCTCTTTCGGTGTGCAGTTGATCCTCTGTTAGCCAGCCACATAAGGGAAGAGCGGTCGAGCGTTTGCCAACATTTACATTCCTCGTCATCTTTGCGGATCCCACGTTTCGCCAACTCGGAAAGATCGAAGCCGCGTCTTTGTTCTTCTCCACATCCACTCTCGCGTAGAATTGACACTCGTTCTAGCTGCCTAGCCACCAGGAACTACATCCCTCAGATGGAGGGAATTTGGGCGACTAAGATCGAGAGCTTATGTGATAGTGCGCTCCGCGGCTCGAACCATCAAAGAAGAATCAAGTCATACATACATGCCCTTCGATGCAGAGGCTTGTTTAAGGGAATGCCTACCGAAATGGTATATACGCATTCGGCGTCTCCGAACAATGAACTATCGAACTTTTGCTGCCCTTCTGAGAGCGGAATACTTATTGAATCTTGGCCGGGCGTCCGTTTCTTTCATCGACAATCAAATCGCTCTCGTCATGTGGCAGCAGATGAGCCGCATCTTATAATGTATCCTTCTACCTCGTGGTCCCTCCTGTAAGTCAATTCAACTTCGTCAATTTTGAACCAATTTGCCGAATCAACATGAAGCAAACGTCTACTTTCATCTTGGGCTTCACTGCCCTCTTTGCTTACCTTGGTGCTGCTGCCTCGGTTGCTCCTGTCACCAGAGTCACTGCTCCTGTTAGTTTGAGCCAGCAGCTTAGCATCGATGTTGCTCAGGTTCCAGCTTGTGCTGTAAGTTGACATCACCTTCTCGTCTGTGTTTGATTATGAACGCACATCTGACCTTCTGTGCAGCAAAACTGTGCCAAACAACTCCCTGCCGAGTGCGAAGGCAACCCTCAATGTATCTGCAGCCACCCCGAATTCATGAATGACATGGCCTGCTGTGTCGCTTCTGCTTGTTCGTCTGCAGACCTCATTCTGACTCAGCAATTCTCTGGTCAGCTCTGTGGTATTGTTGGCGAATCTCTTCCCGCAAAACCTACCTGTACCACCACTGTCAAGCCCGTGGCCAATCCCAACTGGACTTATGTTGGCTGCTACAGCGAGGCCACCAACTACAACCGTGCCTTGAATTCGACCTACTTCATCGACAGTAATGCTATGACTCCTTCCTCTTGCCAGTCTTTCTGCAAGGCTCGTGGTTGGAAGTTTGCCGGTGTTGAATTTGGTCAAGAGTGCTGGTAAGTCGTCCAAGTCCTCTATCCTTGAAGCACGATATACTGACTGAGATTCTAGGTGCGGTAATGCTATTCAATTGATCAATGGAGCAAAGAAGTTGGCAGACGACACTTCTTGCAACAGAAACTGTGCTGGTGATAATACCAAGAAGTGTGGTGGTTCTGCCACTCTCAACATCTACAAGTCTCCTTCAATCTAAGATATTCTTGCTCTCTCGATCACTCAGCAGAATAGTATCTTTATGTATAGATAAATACAAACAATAAAATTCGAGCGCTGTTATCACTCACCATCTACTGTGTGACTGCTCGTTATTGCCGTGTTATTCCCGTCTCCACATGAAACCAACCATGCTCACCCCGCACCTCGGCTCATGCAAGAAAGTAACCTCCATCCGAGGGCAACGACTACCTATCTATCAAGTTGACTCAACATTGATTCTATTCTTCTTCCTCCAAGCCTGCAAATCAAACCATTTTTTCCTTCAAAGTCCTCATAGCTTAACCTCAACATCCGCCACAACAATGGCTCAGAAACCAAAACTCACCTTGTTCGTGGACATAGTCAGTCCATTCGGTTACTATGCTTTCCACACCCTACAGGTAATAACAAGAACCCATCACCAAAATTGGAGAAGAAGAAGACGAAAACTGACCGAGAGGCTAATCGAGCCACAGAAATCCCCAATCTTCAACCAAGTAGAAATAACCTACATACCAATCTTCCTCGGCGGAGTAATGAAAGCATGCGACAACCGCCCTCCCATCAATATAAAAAGTGACAGAAACCCCTCCCTCCCCAATTCCTTTCCCAATCCCCCTCCTTGCACTCTTTCTCCTTACCCTCTCCTTGCCAAAGTATACGTAACTGATAATGAGGTGGTGTGTGCAGATAAATCAACCTACATCGAAACCTCACGCAAGCGCTGGGCGAAACGCTACTCTATCCCACTTTCCCCCACCATGCCTAAGAATTTCCCGCCTTTCACTTTGCATGTGATGAGGGCATTGGCTGTCGTTGAAGACAAACATGCGTCTATGCTGGAGAACTCTATAGCGGCGTTGTACAAGGGAATGTGGGTGGATAACAAATCCATCCATGAACCCGCCGTCTTCGGCGCCATCTTATCTGAGGTACTGGGAGAAGAAAAGGCGAGGAGAGTTGTTGAGGATGTGAGTTTACCACCCACCAAACCCTGATGTCTACTCACCTTTCCATTTTTGTTGTTTAGAGGCAATTGCTGATGAAGAAACACAGAGCACGAAACCAGAAGCGAAAGCAAAACTGCAAAAAAACACAGATATGGCATTTGAAGAAGGCGCATTTGGATTACCTTGGTTCGTTGCTACCAATGCGCAGGGAGAGGTGGATAGGTTTTGGGGCTTCGATCACATGGGGTTGATGGTGGAGCATTTGGGGTTGGACGGGGGTGAGTTGAAGGAATTGAGAGCGATGTTGTAAAGGGTCAGATACTAGGAGACGATTGCGCGTTTTGTGTTGGACTGGTTGCCCTTTCATCAATGTTGTTCTTGTGTTCATCGCTTGTATACGTACTGAAGGTGAAGAACGCTGCAAGTGTCATGTCATCTGCTATCAGTCCTGAAAACACCACGCTACATCTTTCAATGATCATGCCAAATGCAAAGGTAAGGGATGCGGTATCGAAGCGAAGACAAATAGAGAATGGACAGTCTGCTTTGAAAGGCTTTCCGAAAGATCTTTTCTTTTACTCATCGGGTATCTGAAACTTTTTTGACTTTACATACGCTCTCTTCTCCTCGGTGCGGCGCGGATGATGTTGTCCACACGCAACAAGAGCTCGGCGGCCTCACTGGCACTGCTCACAACAGCGTGCTTGAGCTTGTAAGCCTCGACGACACCCAACTCGCGCATATCTGTAATACCGCCACCGGGGGTCAACAAGTCGAGACCTGCGTTGGTCATGCCGCTGTAGACTGCATTCTTCAGACGGCTGACGAGCTCGGCGGAGTCGAGACCGGCATTGTCAGCAAGAATGGTGGGCAATTGTCGCAGAGCCTTGGCGAAGCTGTCGACGGCGATGGCCTTCTTGCCGGCAACGTTTTGGGCGGCCTGGTCGACGGCCTTGGCCATGACCATCTCGGCACAACCACCACCGAGAGTGGTCTTGGGGAACTTGACGGTCTGGGAGAGAACGGCAAGGGCATCGTGAAGGGAGCGTTCTGCTTCGTCGAGCAATTGCTCGGTGGCACCACGCAGGACGACTGTGCAGGCCTTACCCGCAGCAACGCCCGAGAAGCGGATCAGAGTGTCCTCACCGATAATGACCTCCTCAATCAAATCGCAGTGGCCCAGCTTGACGAGCTCGGGGTGGTCGAATGTGGAAGTGATCTCGGCACCGGTAACAAGAGCAAGACGCTCAACACCGTCAAAGTCGGCGTGCTCAATGCTGCAGATGCCGGCATCGCTGAAGAGCTGCTCGGGCCAGTTGTAGATGAGTTGACGGTTGACGAAGCAGTTGATACCGTGCGACTTGATACGCTCGACCTTTTGCTTCATCTTCTCACGCTCGGCCTTCTCCAACTCAGCCAGCTTGCCGGTTGAGTCGACCTTGACGCGAGCACCGAAGATCTTGACCTTGTCTGTGTCCATGGCAGTGTTTGCGACCAGAATGTTTGCATTTTCGAGACGCTTGGGTTGATTGACACCGAACTTCTTATCGAGAATGAAGCCAGAGTCGAGGTATGAGTCGGACAGCTTACCGCCAGCCTTCTTGATGATCTGAATGTGGGAGAGGTCGGTGGAACCCTTCATACGGAGAACGGCGTCTACGGCCAGGTTGGCGAAATATGCGCGGTCTTGCGAGAGGACCTTTGAGCTGAGAGTGGTGCTGGCAATGGCGAGGAGGTCTTTGCGGAAGGCTTCGGGGTTTGCGCTGTTGTCGACGGCGGTCTTTGCGAGGGCTGAGAGGGCGGCTGCGGAAGCGATACGGTAACCTTCGATGATGGTCTGGGGGTGGATCTTCTGGTCGACGAGCTTCTCGGCCTCACGCAGCAGCTCAGCAGCGAGAACAGTGACTGAAGTGGTGCCGTCACCAATCTCGTCGTCCTGAACCTTTGAGATGTTGACGAGGACCTTTGCGGCAGCGTTGTCGAGGGCTATTGACTTGAGGATGGTGGCACCGTCATTGGTGACCATGATCTGGCCGGTGGAACCTGATTGCAGGATCTTGTCCATTCCCTTGGGACCCAGAGTGGTCTTGACGAGGTCTCCTACGGCGATGGCGCCAACGAAAGCTGACAGACGGGCATTCTCGCCCTTTTCCTCTGTGACATCGTCGGCGAAGATTTGCGTGGGGTTGTTGTACGACTGGGAGAGGGTTAGTAGGAGCACTCCAACTGGACAGAGGGACAGGAACACACCATCTTTGCGATGTTCGTGGGATATGTGGATGAGAGGGAAACAAAAAGTTGTTGGTGCTTGTTGCTGCTTCACAAAATCCCACAACGCTGTCATGCTCCAGCCTTGGCGGTGCAACCAGCGAGCTTGCGGCGACCGTCCAGAACCTCCGAACGCGATTAATTTCCAATTTATATCCAACATCCAAAATGAGCAAGCGCCCGGCCGAGGAACCTCTGGAACAAACCACCGCATCCCCTTTCTCGAAACGCGCGAGGGTCGAGGACGTCGTCGATGAGGATGCGCCTGCTCCCATTACCACAAAGCCGACCAACGGACATACCGATGGCATAGCTGATGCTGCCGCGCAAGAGAATGGCGCGCTAGAAGAGGCCGAGCTGGAAGACGATGACGAGGACAACCTACCTGCAGTGTCAGGCCCGACGCGACAAAAAGCGCCAGCTGAAGGTTACTCGGACTTGTACTTGGACACCATCAACCGCGGCGTGCTGGACTTTGACTTCGAGAAATTGTGCAGTGTCACCCTTTCAAATATCAACGTCTACGCCTGTCTGGTATGCGGCACATACTACCAGGGTCGTGGCCCCAAGTCGCAAGCCTACTACCACGCCCTTGACATCGGTCACCATGTCTTTATCAACATGCACACCAAGCAAGTTTACGTACTGCCCGATGGTTACGAGGTCAAGCATAAGAGTCTGGAAGATATCAAGTTTGTCGTTGATCCGACCTACTCAAAACAAGATGTTGCGAAACTGGACAAGGTCCGAGAACCTGCTTGGGACCTTCAAGACAAGAAATACACGCCAGGCTATGTCGGTATGAACAACATCAAGGCCAACGACTACTTCAACGTCGTCTGCCACGCCCTTGCTCATGTCCCTCCGCTCCGTAACTTCTTCGTGCTCGAGGACTTGCACGATCGCCCACAGCTGGTCCAGCGATTTGGTACTCTGCTACGAAAGATCTGGAACCCTCGCTCGTTCAAAGCACACGTCTCTCCTCACGAACTGCTGCAGGAAATTTCACAGCGCTCCAACAAGAAGTTTTCGTTGACAGAACAAGCCGATCCTGCAGATTTCCTTTCCTGGTTCCTAAACAACCTACACACCGGCCTGGGAGGTAGTCGGTCGAAGCCTAGAAGTAGCATCGTGCAGAAGATTTTCCAAGGCCAACTCCGCGTTGAATCGCAATCTATCACCGCTCGTGCCGATGCTCAAGATCGATTGCGCTTCGAAGATGCTGCCATCCAAAGCGCCGTGACGCCTTTCATGATGTTGACACTGGATCTCCCGGCCGCACCGCTGTTTCAAGACGACAGAAATGAGAACATCATCCCTCAAGTCAGTCTCACAAACATCCTGGGTAAATACGATGGCATTCGCGCCCAGGAACGTCTCAACACTCGCCTACGCTATCGTCTCCTACATCCTCTTCCGCCGTACTTGCTCATGCACGTCAAGCGCTTTGCGCCAAACAAATTCCTCCAGACACAACGCAATCCTACCATCGTCACATTCTCTCCTCGCTCACTAGACATGTCCCCCTATGTCGAACCGAACCCATCACTACATCCTCCTGCAGAGCCCATCATCTACGATTTAGTCGCCAACATCACCCACGAAGGTGTTCGCGTACGTGATGACAGTGTCGAGGGAGAAGCCGAGAAGAAGGTCTGGCGTGTGCAATTGCTGGATAGGGGCAAGGAGAAGGGCGGCAATGCCGACACCGATCGCTGGGTGGAGATGCAAGACCTGTGGGTCGGCAGAGTCGAAGCCGAACTGCTGAGTACAAAGGAAGCATACGTGATGGTTTGGGAAAGGAGAAGAGGCAATGCCGCTCCGAAAAAGAAGTAATAGTTCTATTCCAAAATAAAGATGAAACCTCGCGACAAATTTGTCCAGGATCAATAGCGCGAGATCGTGTTCTTCTGTCCCACGTGCTTTTGACCCGATAAGTTATAAACGTTTTCCAAGCCTCGAGTGTCTCTCCATATTCAGACAAAGATGTGTTGTTCGAGTTGAGGGAATCTTAAGACGGCAAGATCTGCCGACAAAAGCACAGGCCTCTCTTCCACCTTTTGAGACTCTCCTACCATCGTGGCAACCGGTTGTTCATCACAACTGCATCTCTTCTCGAACATTTTCAAGGAGAGGAAAGCACAATGGCTCACGAGGACGAGAATAAGAAAGCTTGGGAGAAGGGCGGCGCAAAGTACAGCAGGTATATCAATCTTCCTTCCCGCCACCACCGAAAGAAGTCATGTCTAATCACAGTCTCAATACAGCAAAGCATACAGCGAGTACTTCGATCCTTGTCAGGAAGCCGCCGACAGATCTTTGAGATGCCTAAGGAGAAATGGTGGTGACAAGACTCTTTGCTCAGATTACTTCGAGTATGTCCAATTCTTCTCGAATCGATTTATGAAAGGCCTTGACTGACAAAGATGTGTAGAGCATACCGTGAGTGTAAGAAGCAATGGGTATGATCGGTCAACATGAAATCTTGTATTCGCCCACTGACTTTATGGCAGATGGCAGAGATGAAGGAGGAGAAGAGAAAGCAAGGCAGATGGTGGTAAAATCACCACAACAACCAACCAAAGATACCCACCCAACTCATTATCAAAATCGAGGCCACGCCTATTTTAAACAAAATTTCACTCATGGACTTCGACTTTACTTGCAGGATATCACTTGCTGTCGATTAGAGGAGAAACGTGCTGCTCGGGCATCGTTCTTCCGCGGAACCCTCGCTGTTATGGATACCGAGTGACTATCGACAGCACAGCAATGACAATCTGCTTCAAGGTCCACCATCGGCTGAATTTACAAGATTTGATGCAACAACTCCAAAAGGTGCTCGCAACTCGGGATCGTCGTAACGTCCGGATGTCGACCCCGCCCTCCCCACTACCCCTCGTCATTGCTTGACGTAGCATATATCAACGACAAAACATTGAAGTAGTTCTTGAACTACGCATATGAAACGAAGCCTTGTATCTGCTTCCTTACGAACTCGTTCGTACTACGCGCCAATCTCATAACATGGCCTCAACTTTTGCACCATTCCTTCTCAAGGGCAAGACCGCAATTGTTACTGGAGCGGGATCTGGTAAGGATTTGGCTCTCGCAAGCATATTTTGAATCTTCTCACAAGCTACTAGGTATCAATCTTGCCTTTTCTTCATTGCTGCTTTCTCGAGGCTGTAATGTTGTCTTTGCCGACCTTGGTCTCCGTCCCGAGGCCAAAGCAATTACCGACAAGTACTCTGGGTTCTCAAGTGGACCTCGAGCCATATTTCAGAAGACAGATGTCACAGACTGGACCCAACTCTCGAAGATGTTCGAAGTGGCCGAGAAAGAGTTTGGTGGTACTGACCTCGTATGTCCAGGTGCCGGTATGCTTGTCTTTGCGTAACATAATCTTGTGATTTCTCCCCAGCGCTAACATGAATTTGAACAGGTATATTTGAACCCAACTGGTCGAACTTCTGGCATCCTCCCGGTAGTTCGGAGTCGAAGGATAGCATCGAAGGTGGTCGCTACGCTTCGTTGGACATCAATGTCACACATCCAATCAGGGTTTCTCAACTGGCGATCTCGGCATTTTTGTCCCACCAAGCTAGCGGTAGAGCAAGCCGTGAGAACCCAAAGCGTATAGTCATGATCAGCAGCGTTGCCGGTGAAGGTGCTTCGCTCCTAGTACCCATCTATTGCGCGTCCAAACACGCCATAATTGGATTCACACGCTCGTTGGCAGCTCTCGATGAGAAGTTCGGCATTCGTGTCAATGCCTGCTGTCCTGGAATTATCAAAACGCCTCTGTGGACGGACAACCCGGACAAGATGAAATACGTCGATCAGAAGAAGGATGTTTGGGCGACACCTGAAGAGGTGGCAGAAGCAATGTTGAAGCTCGTCGAAGATGAGGATATGGTGGGAGGAACTATCTTGGAAGTCGGCCATGAACAGACTCGTATTGTGCCCATGCTCAACAACCCAGGTCCGAAAGGAGCCGCCATCAGTGTTAGTGGCACCCCTGGTCTCATCGACGGAGTTTTTGAATCATTGTCAGAGGAGGGTTGGGGGAAGCCTCAATGATTATATAACGTGTAGCAAGCTCCTTTGGAATTGTTTGCGAGGTTTATCAGCGCATCTTGTGTATAACGCTTCAATCTAAATTGATGTCTAAGTGCAACCCTGTCCCAAACAGAACCATGCACGGACCTCATCGGTGCTTCGGCAATCGATGACAACCTTTCTGCATGTCAATTCCACTGGCCGCACTTCCCTCACAAAAGTCTTGATCATAGATCGTTTGATCTCTAATTATCTTCTACGCATTTCTGGCATGTATGTCTTGGATTATACTTCTTATATCCACATTTCTTATACTATTCTCAAAGCGCGCATTTTCACACATTTGCAGAATTTTGGCCGGACATTATCATCAAACAGTCACCATGGCGGCCGCAAGAGAACTGGAAGATTATCTGGAAACTGGAAGATACAAGGATGGCTTGAGCAAATGCAACAAGCTTCTTAAGAAGTCGCCCGCGAACAACCAATTACTTTACTTCAAGGCAAACTTCTTGTTCAGCTTGACGCAACACGATGAGGCCAATCAAATTCTTGATCAGCTTTGTAGTAGGAATCCTCCTATTGTTGATCTGATGCTCATTTCAGACTTGGATGAATTGGCTACAATGGCGGTCGCGGACGAATATCCACGCGCTTTGAGTAATGGTCCAAGGGCTGGAAAGCTGTGGACGAATGCCACCAATGCGGCGGGCAAGAACGGTGTGATTGCTATCAATCAGAAAAGATTCTCGACCGCGGTGAACGAGCAGAGATGGCAGGATGCGGCTACCGTACGGCGTTCGACATCATTCGACATACAACGAATACTGATCCTTCACAGGCATTGATTGCTATGAAAAAGGCCGACCCTACCAACAAGCGCTACAAACTCGCCCACATCGCTATCCAACAATTGCTGAGTGAAGCCGATAAAGATGAAAAGGTTTCTGGCATGAATCGTATCCTTGCTTTCCGAACTCTCAAGATGACACCAGTCGAGGACTCTGCACAGCTGAGACTTTTGATGAACCTGTACCGAAGACAGGGTCAGAAGAAGGATATGATTGAAGCTTTGGATTCGTTCAAGGACAAGAAGGACGACAAGCTAGCTAAGCAGATCATGACCGACTGGCCTTTTACGAGGGAGAAGATTCAGTTGTACATCGCGGAGTCTCGTTGGCAGGAGCTGTTCGACGTTTGCTCTTCTCTGCTCGGCGAGGCTTCTACGGACGGTACATTGAGGTATGTCCTTCCGACGCAACGCAAGGACGTGGGCAACGACTAATGGCAAGCAGAGTCAGAGATGATTGGGTCGTCTGGGATGGTCTCGTCAAGGCCTCTTCGAAGCTCGGAAAGACGGACGCCATTCCCGACATCACTGAGAAAGACGATTGGCGCATCAAGCGCCTACAAATGATGGCCAAGGTTCAGGCCTCAGTCCTCTCGGAAACCGAGACCGACGCAAATGCCAAATCGGAGAAGACGTTGCAATCCGCAAAGGACTTCTTCAACGAGTGGCAAACATACCCATTCTGCTACGGTGACATCAAGGAATTCATGGACGAACTACCCGCCGAGACACAGCAAGATTTCTTGAAGCACGTCTCGGACTCGTCGATGAAGCTGACCAACACCGAGACCAAGAGATCTGCAAAGGTAAGCAAACTGTCTCTACTCCATGGATGCGAGACTGACGCTTGTTGATAAGGCTTCCGATCTGCTTACTGCCGAGATCAACTCATTGAAGTTCCAGTACCGCATCAACATTGGAATTGCCAAACCGGAGGCACAAGTCATCAAGAACTTTGCCACCGAATGCATCAAACTCATGGAGACTAGTTCTCAGAGCAAGTTGCGCCTGTCAGATGCTTGCTACTTGGCCGTGTCAGCACTGATCCGCCTTTACGAGCTCGAAAAGGACATTACGTACCTCTTCCAGGCAGCATACCTCCTTGAGACTGGCCCTGTCACAGAAGATGCCCACCCCGGTAAAGTATTGCTTGTCTACCTCGAGACAGAACTGGGTTTGCACTCTCTGGCCATGAGGCAATACGCTAGCTTGCGTGTGAGAGAGATCCAGCAGGAAACAATGGCCCACTCTCTCCTGACCAGAATCTCCGTGAACCACCCGTTCGCACTCGACCAAAGAGGTGAGACTTCAGTCGACCCATACGAGATCATCGACAACGCTTTGGACATGTTCTTTGCTACCGACAAGAAACTCGCACACTCACAGTCATCACTCATGAAGCAAGGACAGTGCGATCTGATCTTCGAATTGCAGGAACTACGCGATACACTCGAACACAGTCTCACCAGACGCATGCTTATCCTTGAGCAGTGCAGAATGGCTCGTCTGACAGACAATCCATTCCACCCTCGCACCCCGGACATTCGTCCAAGTGTCTTGAAGTACTGGACTGAGGACCTCAAGGACAGCAGAGATTACGCAGAAACTTTCAACTTCGATGGCAACGGCACAGAAAGTACGCCTGAGCGTAGACTACACAGCGGAGGCAAGATCCCTAACACCAACTGGATCTCACAAGCTATCGTGAGCGAGGATGTTTGGGCATTGCTGTCTAACAGACCCACTGTATGCGCCAAGCCCAGCAGCGTAACAGAGGACGAAGCTGCTGCATTCGCAGAGGCAGGCGACAAGGAACTCACTCCCACAGAGAAGTCGTTGGCAAAGCCTTGGGCACAGCTCCTCCAAGCCACAAAATCGCTTCTCGGCACCGACGAGACCAAGCCTGACACAGGTCTACTCGACCGTCTGGCAACCTCAATCTCAGAGCTCTCCCCCTCAGATATGCTCGGGACACAAACATCCTCAGGCCTGCCTCCATCAAGCTACACATTGCAACCCTACTACCTCCTCCTCGATCTCCTCCGCAGCAGCGCCTTCTTCTGCAACATCGCCACCGAAGTAGAGAAGAAGAAACGTCAAGGCAATCGCTTACCACCCCAAATTATCCAACGCGTCCGCGACGCCGTTGCCAAACACTTCTCAGCTCTACAGACACTTGCACGTGAGCAGAAGGCAAAAATCGATGGTAGAGATATGGTGCAGGCATTGCGTGAGGGTGTTACTGGAGACGCTATGGCCGAGGCCGAGTTCTTGAGTCAGGGGATCAGAAACTTTGCCAACAAGGCTGAGGCCAGTGCTTTGGATGCTTGGGAGGGAGTGTTGAAGGTTAGATTGGGACTTAAGTAGATGGGGAGTTCGTTTCTCTAGCGAGCATAGTCTATCAGAAAAGCGAAATGTTATCCATCTCTCCTCGTTTGCTGTAATCTATACGTGCTTTTAGCTTTAGAGATGGATGTCTCTGCCTGGAATAAAGTCATGTCAAATGGAGTTCCCTTCGAGTAGTCCATACTGCTGAGCAACACATCTTTCACGAGTCTGCCGTGCTTCTTTACAGTTTTCGACATGTCCTGAAGTCTTTTACCACGTCCGCCTTTGTCGCTGGTCAGATTTTGGATCTGATTGTGGTTTTCAAATTTTCGCCGAACAAAAAATTGCGAGTCTGATTTAGAAGACCTTCTTTTCTTTCTGGACCCGACCCGATGTCCTGTGGCATCAGGTGCTCTCTATCTAGTACCCGAGGCGTCCTTCTCGCCATAGCCTACAGAGTTGTGCTGCAGCTTCAAACTCTTCAGTAGAGTAGGTCATCTAGCCTTTTCTTCTCTGTGCCAGTTTCTTTGGACCAGGATTGACAGGAGCCGCTGGAGCTGCTTCGAACTCTGGTTCTGCGGGGTTTGGGGCGAGCGGACGAGTTGGCATGGAGGGGTCGTACTAAACTCCCTCGTCCATCACGTCGACTGCATCGCCGTTCATGTCTTCTGCTCCACCGTCGGCTTCTTCTTCGCCTTCTTCGGCTGCTTCTTCCTCGTCTGGTTCTCTCCACCAGAAGGCTGGGCCGAGACCGCTGAGTTGCATTGATGCCTGTTTTGGGAGTTAGAGTGCTGGTTCTTTGATGTCGAAGAGAATTAGTACTCACGGTGATTTCGTAAGGAGAGCGTCTGTAAACTTCCACCTCCTCGCCCGGTGCAGGTTGCTTCTCAGGCGAAAGATCCGTCCACGTCTCCGCTTCCACGCGAAATTTCACAACCTCGTTGACATCAAAATACAACAGATTATCCGGCGCGGTCTCCCAAACCCACACTCTCTCGCCATCCTCGGTAAGATGATGTTTCGCCGGCTCAAACAGCATCCCCGGCGCCGGCACAAAAATATCATCGAAGAATCCCATCGAGATTCTGATACCCATATCCGAAGACGACAAGATCTTTCCGGTCAAGATTTCGCCTTTGAAGGGGCGGAAGACAATCATGCGGAAGTCAACATTGACGTTTACGATACCGGTGCCGTGGCCGATGAGTCCTTCGCTGGTTTGGAGTATGTCGTAGAGGGCTACGCAGAGACCTACGCGGTGGATGACTTTGTCGGCGTATTTCAGGTTGATGTTGTCTTCGATTGCTTGCGCGCTGCGCTTTTCGAAGTCTTGGGGTGAGATTTGGATCAAGTCCGCGATGGTGACCTTGAGTTTTTAATCAGTATTGACTCCAGACATTTTGCTTGTCTCATTTCTGTCTCCACTGCTCTTTCTGTCTTTGCTTCTGATAGATTTGTAGAGGAAAATTATGACACTTACGATGATATACATCTTTGATGATGGAGTTTGGACAGTACGACGCCCGGCAGATTTTTCTTCAGGTCAAATATTCAGGCAGCGTTGTGATCAAATAGTCGTCCAGCAAAGAAGTCATAATAATTTCAAGCTTGTGGTGATTGAGATATCTCTTCGAGTGTCGCTATAATAACATCCTTTCCAGTCAATGTGTATGCACAGGTGTGAGAGTCGAACTCGGCGGGAGGTTTGGTTGCTTCGAGGCATTCTTTCAGCCCTACGGATTTAAAGGTGAAGGCTTGGCACGGGTCTTCTTGCTGTTACTGCCGCTGCCCTTTCGAGAATTTAAATGCTTTTATCTTTTTTGCATTTTTTTTTGATTCTCGACTGCATCATTCAAATTCTGTACGATTTGATAAACAACTACCCTGGACTATAGCAATCAAACTTGAAGGACTTCCTCATGAACGGATTCTCATTCCCGCCGCCGCCTCCACCTCCGCCAAAAGCAGCATCATCATCACAGCCAGAGGCAACCAATCAATTTAACAATCGCGGAGGTAGAGGCGGTAGAGGCGGTCGTGGAGGCCGTGGTTCATCCAGAGGACGAGGCGGTGCACCTCAGCGCGGTGGAGGTAGTTTCCAACAGCAGAACAATCATCAATCTGGCTACGGCCAACAAAATACTGGCAACTACCAACCGAGTTATGGCAACCAACAGCAACAATATCAAGCTCCTCAGCAGTACCAAAATGCTCAACAATACCAGGTCCCGCAACAGTATCAGCCCCCTCAGCAATATCAAGCTCCTCCTGGATCATATGTAAACCCTGCTTTTAGTGGAATGCAGGCTCAGACGTACCCTCAACCTCAAGTCTCTCAATATGGACAGCAACCTGTATACTCTGCTGGACCAAGTGACTTCTCACCCTATGGCAATTCTGGTAACGCCAACTCACCACCGGGAGCAAAGCGAACACGAGAACAAGCATTTGGCCAATCAAACAGAGGACATCCGATGAAGAAGCCACCAAGTGCGCCAAAAGTTCAGGTCGCCCCTGCGATTCCCAGTTTTGGTGCTCCGATCCTACCACAAAAGCCTCCTGCTCCAATTTTATCCGGTGGAGGTCTCAAGCAACGACCTTCGACTGGACTAGGACTTATTCCGAAGGACTACGCATCACCCGAAAACTCCGACGAGGATGATGATGAGGGAGAAGAGGAAGACGTCGATGAAGAAGCTGCCCTAAGCGCTCTGCAAGATGGACCACTGAGTTTTGAATTCAATGGCGAACTATCAACGCTAGGTTCGGCAGCAGATATCGCCGAATGGATTGCAGAGCGTAGGAAGCGTTGGCCAAGTAAACGCAGAGTAGAAGAGAAAGAGCAAGAGGTGCTTTCACGTATGGAGGAGCGTAGACGTATTGAGCAAGAGACCAGAGCGGCCATTGCCAGTGCTTCAGGTGGAGAATATCAGCCTGTAGTCAGGGAAGATCGTCAACCAAGGCAGATGAGAAAACCCGCTACTGAACGACAAGCAAGACAGAGAGACGACTCGACATTGGAGGACACACAAAAGGAGCTCGCAGTGCAGATGCAGAAAGTTGAAGAGCTGCAGAAACTCCTAGCAGAAAAGGGACAGGCACCAATCCTCGCCGAAACCTCAGAGCAAGCTGTTGATGCTTCACACCAGCGAACCGAAACCATGAACCTCGACCAAGCACCCACAAATCAACCAGACCAGAACGCCCCTACAGAAGCAACATCTCCCTTCCTCGACCACTACTCAGACTCCGACAGCGACGCCGCACCCGAACAAACATCCTCCAAACTCTCGCACCCAATCCGCGTCCCACCACCAACCCAATCCCTAAAAGCACACCCAAAACCCCCCCAAGCAGAAGCAAAACCCTGCGTCAGTTTCGCAAACCAAGGCAGATGTAAATTTGGAAACAAGTGTAGGTATAAGCATGATGCTTCCTCTGCACAGGAGAAGGGAAAGAGAAAGACGTTGTTTCAAAGGGTGAGTTTTTTTGAATTATCTGCTTTGTGAGATTTTAAGGGGTGCAATTGCTAATTTGGGAAAATAGCTTGTTGAGCAGGAGATGGATGAGGAGAATAAGCTTGCGTTGCAGGCGATCAAGTACTTGGGTGGTGTTGGGTTCTTCAGTAAGCATGTGGGTTCTACGTGAGCTGGTGAGGGACTCTTCGCAAGTGCTTCCTTCGTCGAGGAATCCAGCTTGTTTGGTTTGAGAAGGCAGTGGACATCCTTTCCTCCTCGACACCATCGTGTATCTTTGACCAGCAGCATGAACGAGCTTGCAAATTGGGGAGGGGCCTTTCACGGGGGAATTTCCCTATAGCTGTTATTGGTCACACTCATCAAAAATCCGAGATTAGAAGACTGGACTGGAGTTGATGTTGAGCCGTGCTCTTGTTCATTGTGTTGCTGTCTATCGTCATCTGCAGCATAGCACTGTCTGACCTTGCTGATAAGTGATACAAGTGGTTGCTGGCCAGACCGGCGGGGCCTTCTAACATCCCCCCTTAAAGCCGCCTCTCTACTGCCTTCTCTTATTCCTGCTTGGGCTCGTGACCTGTATTCGAGCGGCTCGCTGTGAGCTATCATACGCGTTTGGCGCATCGGTGCTAACGCCGGAGCGAGCAGGTCTAAAGGACAACTCGACAGCCGTTTTCGGCGATCTGTGCCGAGGTCATGTAGAGAAGCTAGTCCCGCTTGGAGGATTGTGGTTGTTGATGGATATAATAGTGTCAAGTTAAAGTGGAGGCTCCTCAAGACACATCCATCAGTAGTTGCTGCTCGTCGATCTCAGCCTCATGCGGACTTTCGGCGGCGTCTTTTGTCGTAGGTAGTTGGTGCTCGGAGTGGTCGTGCATGAGATTGTTCCATTCGGTCAGAGTCTCCACAGGGCCGCCTTCGATCTTGAGTGGTCTGTCCTCTGCGGGCTTTCCGAGTACAGTTCCCTGAAACCTTGACTCTTCACCCGTCTTGCTGTGCTTCTTCTTCAAGACGGTCAGATAGTCTTCGCCGTTGACGGTGCCTCCAGGGCCAGGTTCAGGCAAGACGCCAGCAATGCGACGGATCTCGCGGTTTTGGTCACCGACAATCCATTTGATGAAGTCGCGAACATCCTGAGTATCTTGTTCGTCGCGTCGCCGTAGCTCTCCTTCTCTTCGGATATCACCATGCTTAAGGTCGTCAAAGTCTTCTAGTGGTCGTCTGAACTTTTCCAACCAGTCTTGTTCGGCGGCTGTGAGGACGGGCGTGAGAGTGCCGCAGTCGGTCAAAGCCATGCGGACATCAGTGACGGTGGGTATCGGGTCGTTGTGATTGAGCAGAGCATGGTCCCTCGTCGTTTCGGCAAGAAGTAATAGGTAGCGTTCGGTGATGTTGACGAGAGTGTCCAGCACTGATGGTCGCGTCGAGTGGAAGCCCTGGGCACGCAGGATGTGAAGGATGGGTGCGCGCAGCAGTGATGTGTGTAGTTGTTGAGTCGCCGACATGATGTCGGTAAGCTAGGTAGAGAGATCAAGGATGCGATGGTTTTAGATGTGGAAAGCTCCAAGGCCCTTTCACATGCAAGTTGCGACTGACTGACTTCACAAGTCCGGCTTGGCAGTCGCTCTTTCCACAGAGACAGCTACCTACCCACCAGACGTCTTCATCATTGTCGCAACTAACCAGATTAACGCATCCTTTCACCTCAGCGATAGCGTCGCAACCCGCTGAAGAGGCGATCAGGCCCAAGATGAAGCTCAAACTCTCAGCAGCTAAGCCTGCGGATCCAAACGCGCCGCCATCAGTACCGCCTACACCTGCTGCTGCCACTCCCAGCACAGGCGGTTTCAAATTGAAGATCAAGAACTCGCAACCGCCAACTCCTCAGAATGAATCAACTCCCTCACAACCGCCACGTCCACCTCAGTCTGCCATCCCGGCCGCCATACCCAAAAAGATCAAGAAGCCAAAGCAGCCCACCGACGATGCCTCGAAGAAGCGATCGGCTCAGGACGATATCTCTCCAGCTCCCAAACGACCCACTATCAATACACAACTCCCTCCTAAGAAGAAGTTCTCCCTTAAGCTCAGTAGTGGTGGTAATCAAGAGTCGGCCGCGTCTACACCCACCTCCGCTCGCATCAAACTGAGCGCAGGCGCCAGGAAACAAAGCTTTGGTCCCAAGTCAATTTCTATCGTATCCAGGAAATACGTACCCAAGCGTCCCGTCGGTGTTGGTTACGATTCCGAGGCAAGCGACGCTGAAGACGACCCAGCTATCGAGCACCAATGGATCTTACGCATGGAACCTGGTCCGGACTGCGAATATCTGCGTGAAGCTATCGCAAATAAGACTTTGGGTGAGAAGCCAGAAGCAGGCGGCGCCTATGTCAATCTCAAGTTTCTGGACAAGGACTTGCGACGCGCTCTTGTTACCGTCAACAAGACCAATTATGCTGCTGTCATGGTCGATCTACCAACCATCGTCGAAGGAATGAAGAGTTGGGACAAAAGAGGATGGTGGAAGGTCGCCGACATTTGCCAAATGCTGCTAGTCTTGGGAACCACCGACAGTGAGACGACAGCCAAAAACCATCCTCTACCACGCGAAGTCAACAAGAGCACATTTGCATATGCCCATGGCTTGACACCGCCGATGCACTGGGTTCGTAAGAGACGTTTCAGACAACGAGCTAGTTACAAGTCTGTTGAACATGTTGATGATGAGGTGGAACGTCTCATAAAAGCCGACGAACTGGTTGAAAAGGCAGGGGGTACTGTGACATATAACATTATCGATCACGATGCTCCCGATCCGCAAGCTCAAGGCGACCAAGAAGAATACTACGACGAAGACGAGCCAGCCGATTACAGAACGACAGTCGAGGATGCATTCGGTCAGGCCTACACTACAGAACCCATGCAAGAGGAAGATGACGACGAAGATCTAGAAGGCATGCTTGGTGCTGCTTTGTTCGACGAAGATATGACCGACGCGCCACCCTTACCTGCAGCCGATGCGGCCGCCGAGATGGGAGCCGTCCAGACAGCCATGGCAGAAGCCGAACCAGAAACCGAAGCACCAACACCAGCAGCATCTGCCGAAACCCCCGCACCAGCGCAAGAAGGCTCTAGCGATGAAGACGACGATTCCGAAGAATCCGACGAGGACGAAGATGAAGGTCCCGATACCATCGACGAGGAGTTGGTCGCAGAACAAGCGGTGCAAGCTCAAGTACGCGAGGAGATTGAGGACCTGGAGAAGGAGGTTGCGAATGCGCGCGCTAACGTCGAGCGCTCCATGAACCCCATGCTCAGGCAACGCAACATCAACAAGCTACAGAGTCTGGAGAGCGAACTCGCCATGAAACGTAGAAACTTTGGCATGGAAGTCGATGAAGACGATGAAGATAATGGGGAGTGATTGTCATCTACAACATCTTACAAACCATGTCCAACGGAGTCCATGGCTCCGTTGTAGCAATGCTCATGGCCTCACTCTCAGCTCTCACTCTCACTCTTTCTTCCTCTCTAAACTTTTCATTCTTATCCGCATTCTTTTAGCGATGGTGTTGGGGGTTTTTAGGGGGCTCATCGGCCGAGACTTGTCTCCGCGAGAAAAAAAACATTTTGCAATGCAACAGTGTTGATTAGCCAACAGGGCATGGAAAAGAAGAAATCCACTCATTCCTTCCTTCTCTGAATGTTCATCACTTTTCAATTCTTTTATCGTTTTGCTGCCTTTCTTTCCTTGCGCATTGATTCCTGGTGTCCTTGTTCTTTTCGTCCTTGACGAATTGTTTCTTGCATGCTCAAGTCCTTCTTCAAAACAGGGGTACAGGTTTTCTTGTCTTTGGTGAATTGATTCTTCTTGTCTCTTATATTGGATCTTTTTCACATGCATGTTATTTTTGTTACGGCTGTGTATCTTCGTTGAGATGAGAATATATACGTGTTATTGTGTATATAAGCCTTGGTTTTTTGTTTCTCCCATATCATATCGCTTGTAAGGGGTTTCGTTTGAAGTGAGAGGTCGCTTGTTAGCAGAAGAGCTTCGTGATGAGCTTTTTCATCCTTTGCCGTTTCCTTCTGTTGGTGCTTATTCCGAGTATCATGTTCTTTTCAGCTTGTTGATCTTACCCGCAGGGAGGGTTGTTGAAATACTGATCAACGCTTCTTAGTCAACATCCTGGCCTTCTCTTCGAGAGTAAAAGAAGGGTTTGCAAATTCCGTGCTTCGGTTAGCTAGATGTTTTTAGACTATTTCTGGCTTTCCTCGTCTGAGAGAAAATGTTCTATTAGTAGATCTCCTTCCTATCTTGCACGTTTACGTTCATTGAGATCAAAAATTCCTCCGATGCTGATACAGCAAATAGTGCCTCTCTTGGAGCTTTGCTTATAAGCAGTTGTCAATTTTCTTCCCAAGCAAACGAGCGCCCCTGATGGACTTATGTTGTGCGAAACACTTCCAAATCTGTCCTGGTTTGACAATCAAATATCAAAGAAGGAGGCATCAAACTTGCTTTCTCCGCCCTGACTCTCACCACCTCCCGAGAAATCACCCATGTCAAACTCGGTAAAGTTCATGATATCATCAAAAGTGTCATCTCTGTTGCCCATATCAGGCTGGTCTTGTCCATCTTGCTTAGCATCAGTCTTTTGGTCCTGAGGTTGCGCGCTCCCAAAGTCTCCTGCACCAGCTGCGTCGAAGATGTTGAAGTCTGCAGGTACGGATTGTGGGTTTGAATCTGTACCCCCATTACCACCGCCGGAGTTGGCGTAGCTTTCCAGACCGGGGAGGAGAGAGGAAATGCCATCGGTATCTTGCATATCCGTGTCTGGGCCGAAGTTCGTAAGGTCTGCAAAGTCGAAGCCATCGTCGGGTTCGTTATAGGAGGCAGGTTTGATGGGTTCGTCAGGGATGGTGATGGTTCGTGTAGGAGGAGCCGGCTTTGGTTCTTCGGCCGGAGGCGCAGCTGGAGGTTCAACCTGAGGTTGGGTTGGTGGTGAGGGTATGGGTATGTCTTTGGGACTTGCACGGGAGGCGGCGCCTGCGCTGCTTGGATCGTTGAAGAGGGACTCGAAGTCGAAGTTGCTGTAGGTGCCTGTGTTTTCGTCGCCGGGGTGGCCTGGTGCTTGGTGATCCTGGCCAGGAATGTCGAGGTGAAGTGGCGAGTTTGGTTTCCCTGTTTGTTCTTCCTCTGGCTGTGGAATTATTTCCTTGGGTGGTGAAGGCTTCGAGTCCTCAATTGGTGACTCGCCCATAATGATGTCGTCGTCCATGCTGATCGTGGTGGTGTTTCCATCTCCGACTGGTGGTACTGATACATTCGCGTCAGGCTTCAGTTTGGCTCCTCGTTGTGAGCGATACACTGCGAGATCACGACGCATCACCGCGCGTGCCAGAGTCTGATATGATTATCAGCTTTTGTTGTCGATTGAGGTGATAAGATAGAGCGGAACGTTGCAACGGAGAAGTGAGATGGGAAACAGAAATGCTAAACTCAAATAGTAAAGTCATCAGAACTTACCAATTCACCCTCAAGCTGATCTAAGGCATCGTGGAAGGAATTGTTTGCACCCGCAATGACTTGCTTCAGTCGTTGAGGGTTGTTGATTTGACCGTGGTTTCTGGCATTATTCGCAAACAAACGTCCGGTGTGTTCCAACTATTCGATAACTTTGATTAGCACGAGTGAAAGGAAGAAACACATGCCAAAGTGAGTGGTATGCAATACTACGCACCACAAGATTAACCTGTGCCTCGAGTTGGTCCAGCGGCGATCTGACGGCTTGGCCGTGATCCATGTCGAGATTATGGCGTGACACCGTGCTCTGGAAGAAGCCGCGTTATCACGATCCACTCAGGAGGGGGCACAGAGAAGTGATCGATAGCGGGAGTGGACTGGCAGCGGCAGTTCTCCCAGATAGCAAGCGACGTCCAAGTCAAGGCAAGTAGGCTGGCGGAAGCACGGCAGCGAGAGACAGAAAAGGGACCGTGTATTGCGGCTTGTGCAGTGCAGGCAAGGTTTTGAAAGTTTGGGACAACGTTGCGGAGAAGGCGCTGTGACGGACCCTGACCGTCTCGGCAGCAGTGCAAGTGCAACAGTGCAGCACGAGGGAAGCGCTAACGTCTAAATGAAAGAGGGCTGTCAACTTGTGACGAGAAGCTCCTCCCACTCGGCTCTCCTTCTTCCCACCTGTCTCTTCGCTGCTTGTCACGTCGCTCGTCTTTCCTCTCCTACTCTCTTCTTTTGCGTTGACTCGGAGCTTTGAGCTTTTCCGCGCGTTTGCAAAACTTGCTTCTCTTTTGGCCAACTTCTCACTTTTTTCCTTGCCCAATTGTTCCCCCATCTCTTTCAGTCAGGCCGCCCGCCTATCTCGACCCCGACTCTCCGTCGCAGCTCGAGTCGTCCCGACAAACTCCTCCATCTTGTATCCGTATACTCTTGCAAGCTCATCGTCTCCTCACCTTATCGAGAAGGATATCAACCCCGCCGGAAATCAGCTCCTGCAGCCAACCTACCCACCCGTCTAAGCTTCAACCCCGGCCTTTGTTCGATTAATTGTCTCGGCCTGTTCCACCGCAGCTCTACACCGACTCGATCTCTTTCCTCGTCAGATCAAGTCTAGAAAAACATGTCCGACAACCAGATTCAGATGCCCGCTGCCGCCCAGGCTGGCGGTGCTCCTGGCCAGTACCCCCCGCTCAACATCCCTCAAAGCACCATGGAGGCCAACGCCATGACCGATGCTATGAACAACAATGGCAATGGCTTGAACTCGCCTGGCAGTGCCGGCGGTCCTCGCCGTGCCGCTCCTGAGCCCAACAAGAGAGCTCTCTACGTTGGTGGTCTGGACCCTAGAGTCACCGAGGAAGTGCTCAAGCAAATCTTCGAGACCACCGGACACGTTCAGAGTGTTAAGATCATCCCTGACAAGAACGTAAGTCTCGATACAACTCCTGTCACTCCATACACCCTGCACACGGTCCCGCATGGTTGCTATCGTGTCTCATGTCTGCTGTCACCTACAGCAATCATGGCTGCCTGGACTGCATGCGCATGCATGTGCATGCATCCTGCCGATTCACGTGCTGTTTGCGCGCTCTGTGTTGTCTATTTCTACACTTCTACCCCTGCCAACGCGCTTTGTCGTACCAAATTATCAAATCACCATCCACTGACAACAACTTTTCCTAGTTCCAGTCAAAAGGATTCAACTACGGCTTCGTTGAGTACGACGATCCTCTTGCCGCAGAAAGAGCCATGCAGACTCTTAACGGAAGACGTGTCCACCAGTCGGTAAGTGAATCGTCGCATTGTGGTACGCAAATGATAGACACGGCGGCTGACACGTGATAAGGAAATTCGTGTGAACTGGGCCTATCAGTCCAACACCACCAGCAAGGAAGACACTTCCGGCCACTTCCACATCTTCGTCGGTGATCTTTCCAACGAAGTGAACGACGAGGTCCTCCTCCAAGCCTTCTCCGCCTTTGGCAGCGTCTCCGAGGCCCGCGTCATGTGGGACATGAAGACTGGCCGTTCTCGTGGTTACGGGTTTGTTGCTTTCCGTGACCGCGCCGAAGCCGAGAAGGCTCTCAGCTCCATGGACGGCGAGTGGCTCGGCTCTCGCGCCATTCGCTGCAACTGGGCCAACCAGAAGGGTCAGCCCTCTTTCGCACAGCAGCAGGCCATGGCCCAGATGGGTATTACTCCTCCCGGTCCCTTCGGTCAGCACCACCAGTTCCCCACTCAGGGTGTCCAGTCTTACGACACCATCCTTGCCCAGACTCCTCAATGGCAGACCACTTGCTACGTCGGCAACCTCACTCCCTACACCACCCAGAACGACCTCGTCCCTCTGTTCCAAAACTTTGGTTATGTTACCGAGACTCGCTTCCAATCTGACCGTGGCTTCGCTTTCGTCAAGATGGACTCTCACGAGAATGCCGCCATGGCTATCTGCCAGCTGAACGGCTACAACGTCAACGGCCGTCCCCTGAAGTGCAGCGTAAGTTTTATCATGCCACAACAAACCTCAAATGCTAACTATCGCATGCAGTGGGGTAAGGACCGTCCTCCCACCACCAACTTCGAAGGCTTCTCGCCTGCCGCCGCCGCTGCAGCTGTCGGTGGCAACACTGGCTACCCTCCTACTCCCCAGGGCTTCGCTTTCCCCCAGTACAACGGCGCTGCCCCCATGTCTCCTCAAGGTAGGGATTGATCACAGATTCATGCTTTTGACAATACTAACATGAAATCAGGCCCTAGCCCTGGTGGCTTCCAGCAGCCTGCCGCTCAGTTCGCCGGTGCCAACATGGCCTACGGTCAGATGCCCCAGAACGGCGGTGGCTTCGGCCGCGGCAACTACATGGGCGCCCCTCAGGGTGGTGCCTTCAACAACTACGGTGGCTACCAGGCCTAGAAGACCTGCGGCTCTAGTTTGTCGAACAAGCCTCAGCAACTGGCTCTACCTCTGCGAGGAGGAGATGGCAGATACGACCAGAAGCCGAGATTTGCCGACGACTGAAACATTGACGACTTTGGCTCGAGCGAGGTAGCCGTCAACACGAACATTTCCTTGCCAGTCCTGTCGTTGGATAGGAAGTCCTTTTCAATTCTGTCACCCGTCATTTGATGTTTTCAGCTCTTTATACCCTTGCAACTTCTTGCACATTGCACGGGGTTCGCCGAAAGTTGTGCTTTTACCTTGCATGTGGGAAGCGGTCCTGTTTTTATGCTCTCAAGAAAAACTCAAGCATCTCCTTTCTATTTCATGGATCCAGACAGTGTGCATAACGAGGCACAAGGATGGAGGAAACATTTGGAGGAACCGAACAAGGGAAAGCGTCTTATGTAGCTCTTCCTTTTTCTCATCTTCCTCTTCTCTTTCTTTCCTTCTCTTTGGTAAATCTCTCGATGACATGTCTTTTCCTTACGTTGATTTCTGCTTGTGATGTTGATGAAAAGCCCCTCTCATTTCTCGAAGCTTTATACCCATTTCTTAAACATCCTTTTCCTGCCGTCTGCTTTGGAGAATCAAATTGGTACATAGCCGGCGAGCAAATAACAAAGTACAAACATCAAAGCTGTCAAAATAATGACCGTCTCTTCTGTAAAGTGATCAAACATGGTTGGTAGAGAGCACGTGAAATGAAAGTCGAAGCCTAAATCTAAAACGGTAATTACCGGGCCGGCGCGTCGACTTTACGCTACGCGTTTGTTGGTTATGGCGACCAAAGACGAAGGTGAAAAATTGGGAGTGGTTGAAACAGTCGCCTTGATTCTATTAGCGCTGGTCGTGGTGTACTGCATGCTGGGTGGAGGATATAGCGCTACGGGATTGCTGCGTGGGTGGATTGGAAGAAGGACAGTCGCCAGAGCTGCTACTGCCCATTATCGACAACACCTCGAGGCACCAGCACAAGCACATTCCGCCGCAATTGTCAGGTCGCACCTGAACCCACGCTCCTTTTCCTCGCACGACAACCGTCTGCGCTCCCACAACAACATGCTTAGTGCCGCCGTCAACAGGCACAAAGCCTCTAATGCCGCCGCCAAACCGCTCGATCAGCTTTTCTCCTCTAGCCCCCCTCCGCCGCCGCAGCAGCAATCCCAGAAATCCTCCGTCCTGTCTACAGCTTCCAGAAATTCAAAGTCTATCAACGGCCTCAAACGTACACACAGTGGTCTTGCAAAGACCTTCGGCACACCCGCCTCCTTTGACGATGCCACTCAGCCCGTCGTATGTGCCGTTCCTGAAGTCACCAATAGCGAATATTTCGATGCCGACGACTTTGATGACGACTTTGATCTCGATGATCTGATCGTGGAAGAGCCCAAGGCCAAGAAACCTGCACCAAAGTCGTCCATCTCGAAGAACTCAATCCAGTATCCCGTCCTACCAAAGATTACCGCCGCACAATCCTCTCCCTTTTATCCAACTTTACCTAGACGTCAAGTTCACGACTCTGGTACCGGTAACGACTCGGGCTACATCTCTGGTGAGCACACCCAGGAGCAGCCCGCCACAGACAACTTCGGAAGTAGTGCTCCTTTGCCCTGGTCCTCATCTCCCACTGAACACTTCAACCCGCCGCCGAACGCTTCCTCGATCCGTCGTTTTGCATACAACAGCAACAATGGCCCTGCCGCTCCTCGTGTGCCACCGACATCCGCCCCTGTTAAGACCGAACCTGCGGCTGCTTCGAAACGTCGAACGCTACCGTGGCTCAAGCAAGAGCCAACACAATCCGAACAGGACATGAAGACCATCCCTCCTTCAAAACGACGCGTTGTCGATGCGACGCCTGTCCAGACCTCAAAGAAGAGCGCCCTACCTTGGAACACAACCGCAAGTGCTATCAAGGAACAGAAGACCAGTCTTCGTGAAATCAACAAGAAGAAGATGAAGCTCAATGAACCTTCTGACGAGGTGATTCAAAAAGCGAAATCCAAAAGCCGCAAAAATGCTGTTGCTCGTGTCTTCCTCAGCGACGAACAGCAACACGTCCTGGACTTGATCTCAGAGAAGAAGAAGGCCGTCTTCTTTACTGGTGCCGCTGGTACTGGTAAATCCGTCCTTCTACGAGAGATCATTGCAACATTGCGCAAGAAATATCTCCGCGAGCCTGATCGTGTCGCCGTCACAGCCTCTACTGGCCTCGCAGCATGCAACATTGGTGGTGTTACACTGCACAGTTTCGCTGGTATCGGCTTAGGCAAAGAAGACGTTCCAGAACTGGTCAAGAAGATCAAGCGTAATCAAAAGGCCAAGCACAGATGGATGCGTACCAAAGTCCTCGTTGTCGATGAGATTTCGATGGTTGACGGTGACCTTTTCGACAAGCTTGAAGCTATTGCTCGCCAAATCAGAAACAACGGACGACCATTTGGCGGCATTCAACTTGTCATCACTGGCGACTTCTTCCAATTGCCTCCAGTACCGGATAGCGGCAAGATTGCCAAATTCGCTTTCGACGCAGCCACGTGGTCTACTAGCATTGAGTACACGATTGGTTTGCACCATGTCTTCCGTCAAAAGGATCCTGTCTTTGCCAACATGCTCAACGAAATGAGAGAAGGACGCATGAGCGCCGAAAGCATCAAAGCGTTCCACACTCTCAATCGTCCTCTATCGGAAGATGCCATCGATGCCACCGAGCTCTTCCCAACCAGAAATGAGGTCGAGAACGCCAATCAGACCAAGATGAGCCAGCTTGTCGGCGAGATCAGAACGTTCGAGGCACGAGACGGAGGCAGTATTACTGACAAGACTTTCCGTGACAAGCTACTCGCCAATTGCATGGCACCTGAACTCATCACACTGAAGAAGGGCGCCCAGGTCATGCTTATCAAGAACATCGACGAAAGCTTGGTCAATGGTTCGCTAGGCAAGATCATTGGCTTCATGAGTGAGATCCAGTTCGACTCTTATAATAACAATGAAGAGGCGTTCATTGCCACTCAAGGAGGAACCCTTAAGGACGAGGATGCCATAGGTGGTGGCCGCGACAAGAAGAAGACCGCCCGCGAACGCATCATGGACAACCTGCTGGGTAGTACATCACAGATTTGGCCTGTTGTTCGCTTCACGCTTGCGGATAACACCACTCGTGATCTCCTTTGTCAACGCGAGACTTGGAAGATCGAGCTTCCCGATGGTGAAGTCCAGGCATCTCGTGCCCAGATCCCGCTCATCCTTGCATGGGCACTGAGTATCCACAAAGCTCAAGGTCAGACACTGGACAGAGTCAAGGTCGATCTTGGGAAAGTTTTCGAAAAGGGACAGGCATATGTCGCACTCTCTCGTGCAACTAGTATGCAAGGCCTACAAGTGTTGCGCTTCGACCCCCGCAAGGTCGTCGCTCACGAAAAGGTTCGCACATTCTATCAAAACTTGTCCAGGGTAGAAGGCTTGGAACAGAGCAAGCCAAAGGCAGAAAGAGGTAAGACGACGAGCCGTGGAAACGGTGTTACGGCTAACGAGTATGAACGTGGCTTTGCCGAAGGAAAGATGTAAAAACGGTCATTGTTTGCTTTTATTTTCTTTTGTCTCGGATGCCTGTGTCAGGCTGGTTGGCAGGCAGGCGCTTTTGGGCCCATGAGTGGCATCACCGATACCCCTATTCCCATTCTGTGTGTATCTTAAACCGAATACTATACTCTTCATCATCTCTACCATTATGCCCGCTTAAATATTCGTGTCTCTAGACAAGTAATGTCTTCAAGTCCTTCAATTTTGTCAAAGTGTCTGCTTCGTCGAGTCGAAATATACATTCTGCTCAAGCTCGTATGTGAGCCTGCGGCTCGAGTCAAGCTACGGCTACGGCCCCTTCCCTGTCCGGGAACCTTGTTGGCGTTGTCGCGTCCTTTCCACGTTCCTGCAGCTACGTCATCACAGCATGTGTCAACCACAACACTCGGCTCTCTTCTGCTCTTTCCACAGAGACACTCTCCGCACCTGACATTCCTAACCGGACTACCTTCTTGCACCATCGCCAGCATGCATCATATCAAAGATGCTTTCGGGCACCTAAAGAACAAGAACAATCAGCAGCCTCTTCACCACAGCCATCAAGGTGGAAGCTACCCAGGCAGCCAGATTCAACAACCCACACGGCCGCTAAATCCAAACCTGCCGAACGACCATCATGAGCAAAGTCCACTTTCTGGAACTACCCAAGGAGCTATCGACGTTTTTATGGCTTCCAAACAACCCAATGGCGAGATTGGCGGTATAGGGTACTGGCAGACTGCCAATGGGTACACGTGCATTGCTCTACGAGACGCATGGTCTGGAAGTAATCGCAATGCTACACTGCTTAGAGATCGCCTCTCCACGGTGGAACACCATCATAAGCATTTCATCAATGAATTTAATGATGATACTCTGTGGTGGGGAAATTGTCTACTTGATGCATACATGACAAACCCAGACCCGTACTATGTGGACAACGCTGTCAAGATCTGGCAGCATGTCAGACGTAGTATGCTATCACCTGGTCAGGCGAAGGTCAGAGACATGGACATGGCTGGCGCGGTCATGTGGACTACTCGCCCGAACGAGGACCAGGTTAATGCTATCAGCACTGGACTCTTCTCCGAACTTTCTGCGCGTCTCGCGCTGCTCCAGAAACCAGGAAGAGAAACTGCAGAGATGCTTGATGCAGCTGAGAAAAGCTTTGCCTGGATTGAACGCTGTCGTTACCGTTCGAACGAGTGCATAGTCCTTGACACGATCAAGCTCAAGTCACAAGAGTGCGTCGATTGGACTTTTACATACTGCACTGGACAAGCTATCGCAGCGGCTACTGCCATCTTTGCAACACTCAGCTTCGGTCAGCAAGGCTCTCAATGCAACAAATCTCCGCACGAGTACCTCTCTTTGGCTTGCAACATGGCTCGTAAAGCCATCTGCCGAAACGGTTGGGTCGAGAAGGATGGTATTTTGACAGAGCACGGCAGCTACGGTAAAGGCAACCATGAACCTTGGAAGAACGACGACGCAGTCGGCTTCAAGTCTGTCTTGCTGCGCAGTCTGGCCAAACTGCTCAAGGTCTTGCGCGATACCAATCAAGAGCCGGACTTGCAGCATCAATTGACCGAGTTCATCATGAAGCAATTCGACAGCTCGCAGAAGAACAACACAAACGGAAACAATCAGTATGGACCCTGGTGGGCAGGACCGATGGAGATGCCAACAAGTCACAGTCAGATGGCTGCATTGGACATCATGGCAGCTATCCATCTTGTTCGAAATTAGACAACCTCTATGCCAAAGATTATGCATGTAATGCACAAGCCTCGGAACACTTTCCAGTCGCCACCATAATTGATTACACCAAGTGCTCTTCAGCAAAAGATAGACAACCACCTGAACATGGGCAAAAAGGAAATCTCCTCTCTCTGAGTCGAACAAAGGACCTTCTGATGACAATTAACAATTACAGTCAGACGCTCTAAACCAACTGAGCTAAGAAGAGATTGATGGACAGAACGTCGTTTTTTAGGAAAATAATCCGTTGTTCAATGAGGCCGAGACCAGGGTCTGTGGAGACGGACTTCAATGATTCGGCAAACTTCGTTTCCGTTCCGCCAATTCTTGAGCGGGGAAAGCCTTCCACCAACATGAAGGGCGCCTTGCTAGGCTGCTAGCACACACAACGCAAACATAGCAACATGTGTCAAGGATTAGCTCTCCATCGTATCTCGAGTTAGACGCAGGACCGCATCCTTCCCTTTGAATTGATACTCTGGCATATCTCAATCCACCAGAATCACCGGCAGGATTCCAGCTAGCAAGCTCCGATCTCATCCCGCTTTGCCCATTCTCATCACCCACCATTTGCCCATGCCTGGTCCTCCTTCAATGTAGTCATGAGGTTAGATACTTCAGCGTCCCCAAGACTCACAGCAAATGGGGTTGTGGTCTAGTGGTATGACATCTTCTTAGCATTGCTTTTCCGAGCATTACTGAGTGGAGAAGGTTCTGGGTTCGATTCCCAGCTACTCCATCCTTTTGTTCTCCTCGTGCCTATCAACATACGTGGTCTTGTCGGCAGTCTTTTTTTTTTTGTTCAAATTGTGTGCTGGGGGGAAGGGATTCTTTGCGTTGGCGTGAAGCCTGGGATTTGTGCATTGAGGAAATTCAAAGGCTTGGCAATTGATGGCTTCGAATGGCTTCAACGGGAATGGAAGGGGTTGTGGTGGTCACAGTTGCATTGTCGAATTTTGTGGAAATGATCTGGTGGTGATTTTGGGCTTTTGCCCAAAGATACAAGATACCTCTATACTCACAATCATTAGTCATCGTAGGGTGTCGAGGTTGAACTCATTTGCATCCGAGCACAGCACACAAGTTGCCGTGTTCGTGGTGTGATCTTCCGCAAACAAAGATAGAAATCACAAAAGCCTGAACACAGCCTATTCTCCACCGCCTACTAAAACAGCAGTGCCCTAGATATATGGAACAAGGCTTTAAGAACGTGCGAGAAGAGCTTTATAATAGCGATCACGCCGCTTGATCATGGTTGGGACCTGATGACATCTAGCCAGGGTGCCATCACTTACAAACCTGACTTAACAGAAAATGGAAACGCAGGAAGCGAAAATTGTCAAGAAAATCCTGTTCTAACACATTCGTCACACACTCTGCGATCAATTGGGCATGAGGCTCGGAATAGATAGTTGTTTCTGATAGTAGGAATGACTAAGAAGAAAGAGTAGTGTAGATGATCACTTAAATCCATCCTCAAATGCTCGCACGAAGGAATTTAAGCACATCTTCTCTGCCACCCTTGAATTTTTCCTCTACCGTCTTCCAATTAATGACTGTCCAGATATTCTCCAGATATGCAGCTTTGACATTCAAATATTGGAGGTAGTACGCATGCTCCCACCTATACACCTCGCACATTTAGCACTCAAAACCCATCAAGGTAGAGATGTAACGACAGAAGAAACACTTACATATCTACACCTAGCAATGGCGTTAGTCTAATAGTAATAGGATCCTAATCTTTGGTCGTCACGATCGCCAATCTACACCCCCCATACTGCTCATCTTTGACCAACCATCCCCACCCACTCCCTCGGATACCCAAACACATTTTCCCAAAAGCGGTCTTTGAACTCTTCGATCCCGCCCCATTGCTTTTCAATCTCCGCAACCACTTGTTTCGCATCGGTGACTTTGGACTCGGAAGCAGCGCACAGATTTTCCCAAAACAAAGAATGGTTTATATGGCCACCGCCATTGAAAGTGATGATTTGTTGATTGGCGAGTTGGAGAGGGAGATTGTTAGAGATCAGAGCGTGCAGTTGGGAGGTTAGAGCGGCGTTGAGATTGGTTATGTAGGTTTGATGATGTTTGGAGTGGTGGAGTTGCATTATTTGGGCGCTGATGGCTGGTTCGAGGGCCTGTGGGGATGCAAAGAGGTGTGGGTTAGTCAGGATGCCCTGGACAGAGAAGACACGGAGATAGAAAGAGAAGGGTTGTCAAACGTAGCGGGGTTCTCAAGACTCTGATGTGGGATTTTGCTAGTGATCGGTATTGGCAGACTTACATCGTAGGCATATGGGAGGGGAGGTAGTGAGTATTGTGTGACGGCCATAATGAAGAGTGGAAGTGGCAATAGCAGCACGAGGTCGATAAATGTTTTCTTGGACGCTGAAGAGGAACGTTTGAGATGAAGATCAATGCTTTATACGAGTGTATGACTTCCATGCGGCATTCGCGTGAAACTACCTTAGTGGTCAAGCCACGTGATAAAACTTGCTCAAATGGACTCGGCGGATCGTGGATATTGTGAGAAAACTGCAGATCCGCTCTTTCCTAGGAAAAATGATAGGTGAGATAAAGCACGCTGGCAGAAGCCATGGTCTCGAGTCGGAATGGCGTGCCTCTGCAAAGAGACGTGCCTGACATTTATTCAATCGCTGCAGTTACCTAGTCAAGCAATTCTGATGGCTCGACCATGAAACAAGTCTTTGTTGGTGGCAGGCTCATAGATCTCGTATATTCGTTACATGTTAATTTCGCACTTGTGTGCTTGAGGCGTGATGAGGAAGAAGTTGACAGGCTTCATACTCTCATCGGTAGTCGAAGGCGCCAACTTCGCACCTTTGCACTCGCGGAAGAACTTCGCGGTAGCAAGTCGAAGCTCCATGCGTGCTAGATGAATGCCAATGCAGACTCTGGATCCTGCGCCGAAAGGCGAGAAGACTGCTTTTGCCAAGGGCGATAGTTCATTTGGTGGTAACCAGCGTGTGTGATCGAACTTGTCGGGGTTGGCGAAAAGCTGGGGGTCTCTGTGGAGAGAATAGCTCTGAGTGCCCACAACAGTGCCAGCAGGGATGTAGTAGTCTCTGAAAGTAGCGCCACCCTTGGGTGTGAGCCTGGGTAGGGTTGCTGGTGCAGCTCCATATAGGCGAAGTGTCTCTTCGATCACGGCGTTCAGGATAGGCAGTTGTTCCAGAGAAGCATCAGTAAGCAGTCCATCAGCCTCGCTGACCTCTTCCTCGAGAGCTTTCTGGAGTGCAGGTTGTTTCAGAACGCACCATGTTAGGTAGGTAAGTGTGATGCCTGTGGTGTCGGAACCAGCAACAATCAAATTTCCAGCCTCTGTCTGGACTTCCTCATCGGTCATAGTGCCGTCACCCTTTTCTGCTTCATTGATGGCAGTGGCGAAGATGTTGGATGTCTGATATTCCTGAGATTTGCTGTTCTTGATTGCTACACCACCTTGCTCGAGCAAGACACTGTTGGCATAGAAGATGGCTCTCATGGCAGGGAATGGTAGCCGGCGACCTATCCAGTAGACCAGAGGAAGCTCCCAGCTTATGGCGGAGCAAATGGTAGCTTTCTCCAAAGCTTCGATGTAAGGTACACGTTTCCCGCTCTCGAGCATGTGAAAAGACTCGCCGAACATGAGATGAGCAGACACATCTGTGGCGAGGTATGTCCACCACTTGAGAACATCGGCTGTTCCAGAGGTGGCATTCGACTTGATGCGGGCGACGGCCAGATCGACTTTCTCACGAACAACACTCTCCCATTGTTCACGAATATGTCGCTGGCTGAAGCCTCTAGCCAGCAACTTGCGTCTGGCTGCATATTCCTTAGGATTGGTTATGTTGAAGACGCCAGGACATTTGCCAACGCCGTTGGTGTTCAGGTATTCATACCAATTGGTCTTGGTGAAACCAGAACCGATCTTGTGGATATCTTTGAAGCTGGCTGGATCGTTGATGGCGATTTCATTGGGTGCAATCCTGACAATTGGTCCGTATAATTGATGGAGTGCATGAATGTAGTCTGCTCGAGCACCACCGAGTACTGCTATCTTCAATCGCCAATTGACCAATGATGCATGCCATGGCCCAGGGATGCCTCGTAAAGGTGTAAAGAAGGCCCTGCGTACGATCTATTACTGTGAGATGGATGACTTTGCAGAGAAATGGGTCTACATACCTTGTAGGAGAGGTAGATGATTCCTACAGCAAGATAGATCCACACAAGGCTAGCCATTGAAAATTGTGGCATGGTCAGTAATGGCAGTCAAGGTTGTAATGAGTTAGGATGTCACGTAGGAAGAAGAAGCAGGCTTTATACATGTCGATTGACCTTCTGGAGACACAGCATCCAGACTCGACATCACAGTGCATGGTCGAATGGCATGTGGGCATAATGTATGTGGAGCCGGCGGAAGACAGCGTTTCCGTCCCGGACTGTGTTATGCCCTACCGCGGTCTACCTTTTGGCGTACAAGTGCATCTGTCAGAGAGCGGTTGTGGAAAGTATAGATATACCCCGCACTCGAAACAAACCCACGAAGTAGGCACGATGCCCACCTTCGAATTTCTTCATGGGGTCTCCGCGATTCTTGTTTTCGTGGCTTGTGGGGAGAGAGGCCCGGTGTGAGAGATCATGTTTCGGATTATGATTTGAGTGCCTGCCGTGTCCGCCCGTGAGCAGCATGCATGAAGTCGACTGTTCGATGACAGTTAGTCTGTCGATGCTCAGAGGGCTGGTTGGGTAGAAAGCGACCTGATTAATCTGCAGATGCAGGCTGGACGAGTTCGCAGCGGACAGAGAGTTTGAATCAAAGAGCGTGCGCGCGTGCAGGCGGCTCGCTCGCGCGCCGATGCAGGGTCTGCCAAGCTCCATCGTAAAATGTTGCCATCATGTGCCTGAAAATAGATTGGAATTTGGAGAGACACGAAATACGGAAGAGGAAGGAACGTTTCGAGAGTTGCCCCTCGAGACAGCAGTACCGTCTTGCTTCAGCTTCAACATCGTCTTTCGCTATACCGCCGCTCGCTTTCTCGCATCTATACACCTCATCAAAGACTGCGCCCAAGATACTCCGATCCCTGTCGACGCGCGACACATAACAAAAGAGAAACAAGACACGCACACACAGGAGGATGGGTTTCGGAGATTTCGACTCGATATGCAAGCAGGCGGCGCTGCCGCTCTGCACGATGGTCGGCAGTAATGGCGTCAAGGGAACCAAGGGAATACAGCCGGCCTGTTACTCGCGCACCATCGAGGTGGCCAACACAGTCATCTTTCAGGGCGCTGCCGGCATCGCCCACATCTGCGCTCTTCTCATGACTGTCATTATGATTGTCCACGTTCGCAGCAAGTTCACAGCTGTTGGTATGTCGCCGTCGCTTGAGTATACCTAGTCTGTGTTTGCAACTGACACTCGTCTCAAGGTCGCAAGGAGATTATCAGTTTCTTCTGGGGCTATTTCCTGCTCACCATCATTTCCCTACTCGTCGACTGCGGCGTTGTCCCTCCTGGCTCTGGCGCATACCCTTGGTTCGTCGCTATTCAGAATGGTCTCTCTTCCGCCACCTGTATCTCCCTTATGATCGCTGGTTTCGTCGGATTCCAACTATATGAAGATGGTACCTTCTTGAGCGTCTGGTTGCTTAGAATCTGCTCTGCTACAATGTTCGCCATCACTTTCCTCATCAGCATCTTGACCTTCCAAGGCTGGGGTGGTCTCGGCCCTGATAACACTGTTGGCCTCTTTGTCGTTCTTTACATCTTCAACGCAATCTTCCTCGCTGTCTACGTCGTCATGCAGGTTCTGCTAGTCACCGGAACACTTCAGGACAGATGGCCGCTGGGTCACATCGCCTTCGGCATTTTCTTCTTCGTCGTAGGCCAGGTACTTATCTACGCTTTCGGCAAGGCCGTCTGCGAAGGCATTGCCCATTACATGGATGGTCTCGTCTTCGCCACTGTCTGCAACCTCCTTGCAGTCATGATGATCTACAAGGTAAGATTCTTCTCCTTCACTCTTCGTTCTGCATACCTCTTTTTCTAACACATCTGCACCAGTTCTGGGACTCTATCACTAAAGAAGACCTCGAATTTTCTGTCGGCGCCAGAGTCAACAACTGGGACCTCAAGGCCCAGCTCCTCAACGAAGAGGAAAAGAGAGCCACTATGTACATGGATAGCGAGTACGACAGCAGCCTGTATCACCAGGCCCCTCGTCAGCACTCCATGTACGGAAGCTCAAATGGCTACTAAATCCACTTCCCATCAGTGGGAAATACCACACAAAGCGTCATCGTTTCTTGCGAAAAAGCATTGCGCACGGAGTTACGAGTTTCATTCTTGTCATCAATATTTCAAATCGGTAATTGAGCGGATGGGCATATACATTTTCTCACTTAAGTAAGCGGCATTTCTCGCCCATGAATTAATCTAAGATGGAGGTGTTTTTGTTACTGCCGCACTCTCTTACTAGGCAACCCGTCTCATCGCGAATCTCTACAGCATGCATGGTGGGCTTCGGTACGCAGTAGCGGCATGATCGCTTGAATCTCTCAGCCGAGATCAGTCTACCGGCCTCAGTAATATGCTGCCACATGCCTTTTATCGCGTACCGCATCGCCTTGACATTTGCTGTACTTTCTTTCGCCCAAGCTGCACTCGAGTCGGTCGAAGTGTCATATATGGCCATCCCCGTTCCACTGTTGGGCAATGCTTCGAGGAAATGTGGAAGCGTTGTTCGACGATCGATCAGGATAGAAAAAAAAAAAAACCATGCCGAATCAAGTCACACAGAATTCAAGAATACTCATCTCATCACATATTTCAAGAAAGTGATGGGTGGAAAGAAAGCGACACTGATACTTGGGAAAAAAGGAGAAATTTCGTTCTTCGTGATTCATGATATACATATTCCTAGGCGTGACTGATGACAAAAGGGGACGTTTCAAACATACCATTCGTGCTTCCATCGTCTCCAGTCCTCGATAGCTGCGCCCTCTAGGTCATCGGCGTTGAGCATACCTACACCTTCCTCCACCAAGATATGCCAGATGTGGTTGCGAAGACTGACGGGCCATTTTGGTGTGTTCCAATACCTTGCTTTCAGGCCCGCCTTCTTGGCACCCCTGATTTGCCCACGGATTATCTTCATCTGTCTCTCCGATAACTTCCCTCGCCAAACACGGCCGACGGATCTTTTGAAGTTCAAGCTGGCGTAGTAGGATGTGGTTGCGTTGAAGGCGGAAGCAGGGGTATCTGCAGGAAGACCTGTTTTGCCTTGACCTGCTGAGGAAGGGTGGTAGTCGTCGATTTCTGCTAGATTGGATAGGGAGGGGTCGACGTTGAGGTCGGTTAGGGTGATCGGAGAGGGTTCGTAGAGCATGCCTAGGGGAGCATCATAGAAGATGTCGCGGTAGGTAGTGTTGGCCGTCAAGAGATCGAAAGGAGTGTTTCCTGTGCCGACCACGGTAATCGCACCAGGAACCGTGTGTGTGCCGTTGAAATAGGTGAGGTAGCCTTTCGAGCGAAGACCTTCGAGTTGCTCTTGTACTTTTTGGAACGTAGTGGGGCCATCAGTCTTGAGATCGACTAGCAAGACTAGTGTCTGATCTGGTTCCTCGTCAAAGACGCCGTGGTTCTTAGTATCTGCGAATGCAGTGAGGGGATTTTGCTTATCCAGCAGAGCGATGAGAGGATCGACATAGAGACTTCTGAATGTACGATTGGGGGTCAAGGCAGATGTGCTGTGGCCCACGAATAGATCGTCTCCAACGTGCCAGACATCTGCCTCTACACCGGTACATCCGTAATGCAAGGCCTCGTACAGGGGTATCCGCCTCCAGTAATCATTGTGAGAATGCACCGCTACGGATCCAGAGTTAGCTCTTGTTTCGTTTGTTTGCAAAACATTGACTGAGTTAAAATGTCGGGAGAACTTACGGATAGGCATGACATCCCGGGTAGCATCAGTAGGGTAGTGTGCGAGGCCCGCACCAATCTTGCCCGGATGTCCCCAATCAGGCAAGAAGTCAAGATCGTCTTGCAATAGCAAGGCATGTCCGTTCAAAGCGAACGACACAATATGCAGAATACCACTAGAGATCTGATTAGCCCTGATAAGATCACAGCCAAGCCTAGCAACCTACAATAGACACAACACAGTCACAGGAACGAGTATGCATGCCAGTCTGATAACTGCAATTACTCGATGTCTCTTCTCGAGCGTTGGTGTCGGTCCTGGCTCCGGTATAGGCGTTTCGGTGACGACATATTGCTCTTTCTTGGCGGATAAAGAAGTACGAGGTCTCTCATCCGTAAAGATATGATGAGGATGAGCGTGAGAAGAACGTTGTCTCAGAGTCATAGGGTCGAGAATATCGAGGATAAGAGAATACCAGCGTCGCGAAGGAATAGGTTGATAGTATCCATCTTCAACCTCTGCGGGGGATGGTTCTCTAGGTGGAGTTTGTTCCGGCAAGGGTGTAATCTCCAGAACGGAAGGTGCCATGGAGTGAGTGTGTGTGGAATGTAGCACCAAGTTCAGAAACTGGTTTAGCAGGGTAACTCCAGATCAAATAGTTGTGATATCGGCCTTGGTATCTCAGATATATGTGGAGCCCGATGACGGGGTGAAGTGCGGCAGGTGTTTTATAACGACTTTTGCTCAGTACTCAAAAGAATGACGACGGCGATGGGTCAAAACTGATCAGCAACGAGTGTGTTCAACAACGAATGACTGCAGCAGATGAGTAGCACACGGGGACAATGGTTTGATATCACGGTGGCCGCGGGCGGGCCAGAGTTTATGTCGGCAAGCAACACGGGTTCGGCCTTGGGGACATCGTTCGCTCAGGCCGTGCCTAGACCGCCTTTGAGGCTTGCATTTCTTGGACTCGAGCAAGCCCAAAACTCGCGACAGGAAAGTTACCCCTCGAAGACGTTGACATGTGAACCAATCATGCACGCGCAGGGACACTTTCCTCAGGCACGCATAGCAAATTGACAAGAAACATGTTCAAAGACGATGTCGGCTGTGGCTTCAACGACAGCAGTGAAAGTGAAGTCGTGGATGATGGATTGATCTTATTGGCCGTGCGGGGTTTCTCCCCAGCTTTGGTTTGCTAGTCTGTCAAACGTGCCGATCACGTCGTGCAACGCTTTCATGTCGAGACTTTTTTTTGGGCACAAACTCGCGATCCGCAAACTATCACAACTTTCGCTTGCAGTAACACGCCATAATGCCTCACAAACACAGAAGAAGGGATGACAATGCCGACGAGTAATTTCAAATCCAGCCACCTCCAACTCAAATCTTGAACACGAAATACTGACATCTAATCGCGCAGTTACAACTTGCCGCCCACAGCCGTCGCAAAGGCTTTGCCCGTAGGAAAGAATGCGCAAACCGTCTTCACTTCCGACGGCAAGAAGAAGAGAAAGACTGAGAAGTCTATCGCTGGAAAGAATGCATACAAGTTCGACGACACACCGAAGGCATTTGCCCGACTGATGCAGCGACAAAACCCCCAGCCAACTCCAGACGAGAATGAATCAAAGACGGCAAGCAAGAAGCGCAAGCGTCAAGAGGACATCAAGCAAAAAGCAAAAGGAAAGACAATGGAAATGCCGAAAATCCAGCCTGGCGAGAAATTACGAGACTTCAACGCTCGTGTAGATCAGACATTGCCGGTGACTGGTTTGGCGCGGAAAGGAAATCAGGGCCTAGCACCAGGCGAGAAGGTCACACGGACGAAGACTGAGAAGAGAATGCACAAGATGTACGACGAATGGAGAAAGGAAGACCAGCGGATCAAGGACAAGGCTGAGGAAGAGCAAGAAAAGCGTGAGGAAGAGGAGGAAGAACGTAATGCATTGTACGGAGAGGACTCGGGCGTGCCCGTTCTGTACGGCAAGAAGCGTCAAAGGATGATTGGAGAGTCCAAGGATAACGAGGACATCTGGGCAGTGCTCAAGACGAAACGAGACAAACCCAAGGGACTACACGACGTGGCACAGGCTCCTCCCGAGTTCACTGTGATACCCAGGGAGAAGTTCAAGGTCAAGAACGGAGCCAGAGCAGATGTGGCCGACGTGCCGAACGCTGCTGGTAGTTTGGCAAGGAGAGAAGAGCTTGGAGCAGAGCGCAAAAACATCATCGAGCAATACCGTGCTCTGATGAGAAAAGCCTCAGGGGATGAGTAGAGTCTGGAATGTTCATCAAGCACATTATTGTACATGTGCCGCGCAATCAATGCCGGGTATAAGGAACTTACGAGTCTATCGCAAGCATAATAAGCTTCTTTCTCCGAAATGAGCGGGGACACTGCCTTCGGTATCAAGCATAGAGCGCAACCAACGCTTTCCACCCTCGACTTCTCGTGCGCCAAATTTGACAACAACACACCCTCGTATCAGTGCCGCCGTCCATAACAGGCCATCGCTCGTTTCTTGTTTTTGTCTCGCTTTCCGTTTGATCACGAGAGGTTCCAGATCTCGTATTGCGTCGTCAGCATCGTCGCTGGTGTCCCATTTCCTTCCTCCTATCCGGGGTATCGCCTTGAATTCTTCCATGAAAAATGTCGCAAGACTTGCGAACATGGATCCGTACAAGATCAAAGTACCAAAAGCACCGAGACCGTCCATACGCCTCGTCAAGGGAGTTTGTATAGCGTCGTCACTGGCGTCCAATGTGACATTGTCACGGAGCAACAGTCTCGTCTCATCGGGCCCGCGGGATCCGTCGACAAGCCATACCTCGTTCTTGCTGGCATACTTGAAGAAGTTCCAGTCCTCACCTAGAGCCTTGCGACCTTGACATACCCAGTCCAAGACACAAATGCTCGCATTCGGAACATCCTGTTGATGATGGATGTAGAAGCGCTGGGTTTGCTCAAAGGCGCTCTGAGCGAAAGGTTGGACTGGGTCCGGGAGATAGACAAGAGCAGCAGCAGGCTTCAGATGCATATTCATATCTTGCCGACTGAGAGTCGATGGGGCCGGAGTCTTGAAGATCTTGGTGCTGCCCTGAGTGAGGATGAGCAGACGGGTGGTAGGATCGAGATCAATACGTAAGGTGAGAGTATCACCAGCAACTATACCACCGCCATAGGTCAAAATGTAGAGTGTATGGACCTGATGCGACGAGTCATTGTCGGCAGATGAAGTTATAGTCACAGGAGTAGGCGAGATCAGCTTGAGGGGATACTGATAGGTCAAGGTCTGTAGGATTGGAGTTGCCGGCGGCAACAAAGCCAGATGGACGCGGCCATGTCCAGGCACAGAGTCGGTGGGTGGGAAAGGGTTTCTCATGCTCTGGTGAAACGAACCTCAGACGCAAAGTTGCGATAAGAAATGGATGTCGCAGATCAACAATGCCAAGAGACTGCTAGGTTGCCCTGCGCCACGGACTGGGGACTGCGGGAACGGGGACAAGAATAGAACGCATCCACCTTCTTTGCATTACCAAACCTGCAAATCTGCTGCATCTCGCCCTCTACCTGCATTGAACTTGCGTCACTCACTCGCTATCGATACGCTCATTCGTCTCAAACACTTCTTACGCCTTGTGATTACCCAGACCAGGAGGACATATTTTCATCGCCCGTCGCGAAGGGGCTTCACATATCGGGGTAAACATTCGCCCACAGACCGACGCACAATATGAGGAGGAACAACATCTTGCTGGCCTTCGCCGCCGGCGCTGTCCTGGTTGCCGCTCAGAACACGGATCAGACAACAGCCGCCGCTACTACAGGAGCGTCATCGGCTGCTTCGACTGCAGCCCCTTCAACAGACAAATTGACTGGAGTGTCATCTTTCGTCAAGTCCAGCAGCAGCAGCGCTGCCGCATCGTCGACCGCAGACTCTTCCAAGGCCTCCTCGTCGGCCGCCTCGAAAACTTCTGGCGCCGCTTCCAATACCGTCTCGCATGCCACCGACCTCCCCACTCTCGCTGGTGCCACCGTCCCTGACATGGTCATCCCTTTCACCGCCGATGCTCCCTTTATGCAAAGATCAAAAGCCCCCGAAGGCACCATCTTCATCGCTGTAGGTGCCTGTCTGGCTTTCCTGGGTGCTTGTGTGCTCGCATGGCGTGCCATGGTTGCTTGGAGTATCGACCGCTCTGTCAAGCGTGCCGCTATGGCAAGTGTCATGGCCTCGGATGCGAAGACAAAATACGGCCCTGGTGGCAATCTTTACGCCATGCCTCAAGGCTCGTCTCTGTCTCTCGACGCTCTCACCTCAGCAGGCAAGCCTCTGTCTTCCGCAGGACCCAAGAAGGAAAATCGCAAGAGTGCGCAACCCACGGCCGATCCTTCTTCACTCTTCTTCTCGCCTACCGCCGGTCAACGCAACTCAGCATACATGCCTGTCAACCAGAACCGTAGCTCCACCTACCTGCCTGCAGGATACTACGCCACCCCTGGTGCTCAAGCAGCTGGCGGACGCGATTCTATGGTCCTGGGAGGTGCACCAAGTCTCCAGCCTACCGTCAACCGCTACTCTCGTGCCGAGTATTCTCCACCATCTAGCCGTGACGGTTCTCGCCCTCGTAGCAGTGTCAACCCTCATCAACATCAACGAACTGGCTCCAACGCATTGCTTAGCCCCACCCACCCTCTGTATGCTCAACCCAGCACAAGCAGCTTAGCTGTCGGCATTGGTGCTCAGCCAGATGATGGCAGCAATGTCAGCAGCAACCTGCCCGGACAACGTGCTCCCAGCGCCTACTTTGATGATGTTCTCCATGAGCATGGTAACGGTCCTCGTGAACGCTACTAAACATCCAACACGGATCCCTCCATTGTTAAGCGCGTCTCGACGCACCATGGCGTACTCTTTTTAATCATCTCTGTTCTCTGTTTTCACTTTCACGAATCTCTTTTTTCTCATCTTCGAAATGTACATATGGGAAGGTCATGTCTTGCATTTGGTTCTAGATTCAATTTCTGTGCATCGGAAAGTCGAGGGGTTCAAACTCGGCAAGGAACGCATAGCTTAATATTATCTCCTTTCTTTCATGACATTCTGACTTTTCGAGGTTTCCTTGTGATTAAAGAGTTTCGTCTGGCCCCCGAATACAAGTTCAGATGTCAATGAGGTGTACCCGTGTAAGTGTTTAACATGCGAGAAAGCAGGTATCACTAATTGCCAAAGGGAAAAGTCATAAAGATATTGGAACCAATAAGTCAGAAACATGGGACGATGGCTGGCCTAAGGTATACCTCGGCCGTTAAAGGCAAAGCAAGGACATTCAGGTGGTGATGACGTTCGGCGGCACGGACGCTTGGTCTCGCGAGCTCTCTCATTGCGGAGGTTGGCGGGCCTGGTGTCTTGCCCTTGTCTCACCGCGTCTCTGCTGCACGACAAGTCGCTCTGTGGTTTCCCTTGTGCTCTTGTTCACACACAGACGCGCATATCGAGCAGCAATGTCGCTTTTCGGAGAGTCACCACCCTCAACGCCAGCGGCACCTCAGAACAAGTCGTCGCTGTTTGACGACGATGAGCAGCCGGCAGCTCGCAGCACCTCGGCCAACTCGGGCTTGTTCGCCGAGGCCAACGATGCAGACGACGGCCAATCGCCCTGGGACTTTCCTGCTCCCAAGAAGCACAACAGCACGCGCCAACGAGGAGACTTGATCAAGACGTTGCTGCCAGCCGGCGACGTGCCCGAACGTTATGTCGATATTTTCGATGCCCTTCTGTCGCATAGCAGTGGACAAGGCGGAGTCACCGTTCGCCAGATCAAGAGCTTGTTGTCGGAGAGCAGTATTGGACAACCCGAGCAGTCCAAGATCCTTGAGCTCATCGGCGCCTCCGAGGCTGACGACTCTCGTGTCTTGGGTCGCGGCGAGGTCAACGTTGTGTTGGCCCTGATTGGTCTGGCACAAGAGGGAGAAGAGCTGGGTTTGGATGCTGTCGATGAGCGTAGAAGACAATTGCCAGTACCCAACCTGCCTTCCCTGACTGCTCCTCCCAAGCAAGAGCAGAAGCCTCCTCGTACACCCACCGGTCCTCCTCCTCAAGCAGACTCCGGCGCTACCCAATCCCAGAACCTTGAAACACCTGGCTACGGCTTTGGCGATGACCCCTGGGGAAGCCCCTCGCTGCACAAGAACCACCACCACGAAGAAACTGCTGCTGCACCTGCCTCGTACGCCCAAGCTGCCTCTTCGACCTACCCAAACGGAGGCGTCAACGGTCGCGCAGACCCCCCTCATGTTAGAACCACCAGCAACTTCACCACCACTTCCGTTGCCGATAAATCCGATTCCGCGACTCCAGATCCTTCCTCGTTCGAGCAGTCGCGACCAACAACAGCTGAAAGTGGCTGGGGCGGCTACTCGGCGTCCAACGATGGCTTCAATACTGCACCTGGCAACGAAGGCTTTGGTGAGCCAACGAGCGGAAACAACGAGATCTCCGGCAGTGTGAGAAGACCACTCGGCGCGTCCAGGCCTAGTGGCGCGACTGGCCCTGAAGAGCTCATCACGGTCAACGTGCTTGAAGAGAAGGAAGGCATGTTTTTGTTCCAACATCGCAACTACGAGGTCTCTAGCATCAGGAGAAACAGTCGTGTCATTCGTCGCTATAGTGATTTTGTTTGGTTGCTGGACTGCTTGCATAAGAAATTTCCCTTCAGACAGCTGCCTCTTCTTCCTCCTAAGCGTGTCGCGAGTAAGTTATCCGACGTCCATTGTTAGAGACACAAAACTGATACAATTCGCAGTCAATGGTAAGCATATTGCTGCTGACACTCTGTTTATCGAGAAGCGAAGGAGAGGTCTCGCACGCTTTGCGAACGCACTTGTGCGACACCCTGCTCTCAGTCAAGACCAGCTTGTCATCATGTTCTTGACAGTTCCTACGGTAGACGTTCGGCCCCTACCCTCTGTCTTGCTTGTGCATAACTAACATTTTCAGGAACTCGCTGTATGGCGGAAGCAAGCCTCTATTTCCGTGCAAGAAGAATTTACTGGAAAGCCCCTACCTCCAGGTCTTGAAGACTCGCTCCCCCAGAACCTCTCTGACCTCTTCGACACTGTCCGAAATGGTGTACGCCGGTCGACTGAAGTTTATATCAATATGTGTGGCATGGTCGAGAGACTGATCAAGCGGAACGAGGGGCTCGCAAGCGAATATGTTCGCCTCTCAATGGCTCTCGGAAGCCTTACTGAATGCTCTGCCGACACCTATGCCATGGACACCAACGAAGTCGAGCTTCTGAACGGCGGTCTCAATGGTACAGCCAAGCATCTTTCAACCAATCAGACTCTTCTCGAAGATGAAGCCAGAGCATGGGATTTGGGCGTTTTGGAGGACCTCAAGCGCCAGCGTGATGCTCTGGTAAGCATGAGGGACATGTTCGACCGTCGTGATCGTTATGCACGCGACAACATCCCCCAGTTGGAACGTCGCATCGCAACCAACGAGAGCAAGTTGTCTGGTATTCGCTCAAGGCACGAGTCACAGATCAAGCCTGGCGAAGCCGAAAAGGTCGAAAGTGCCATTGTCAAGGTATGTCTTCGTTTTCCCCATGTTTGGTGATTTCTTCGCTCACAACTTCCAGGACAAGCAATCAATAGTTGACCAGCATGCTCGTGGTGTATTCATCAAGGAGTGTGTCAGGGATGAGATTCAGCACTTCCAGTCCTCTCAGTACCATGTCAGCAGAATGCACCAGGAATGGGGTCAAGAGCGTGTAAAGTATGCTGAGTTGAGTGCTGAGAACTGGAGATCGTTGAGCGAGGAGCTTGAGGCCATGCCTCTTGGTGATTGAGAAGAAGCAGCGTTCAGCAAGCTTTTGTAGTTATATATCCCTGTAATACCTGTTTTAACATTGTTCAAATGATGCTCGTCACTTGTTCTTTCCGCTGATTGTCATCACTGCTCTTTCCTTGATGGGAATGCCAAGATTGAGCTATTATCAGCCAGCACTTTCAAGTGTTTTGTCCGCTGGAGCCTGCTCTGTATCGTGCTTTCACACACTTGCTCACCGTGCTCACTATATTAACGGCTATTTCTGATATCGCCAGTCTCTTTAACTTCTAGTCAGTAACCAGAAGACGGCAACACTTTCGCCCCCGGGATCGTTCCTTCGCTTTCATACCGACTTCCAGTAGACCCTACTATCACCAGTAGCGCCTACCGTGTACCGAAAACTCTCGTTCTACGACAATCCCGGGATACAAAACAGAGATCGTTGGCCACCATCCTCTCATCAACATGCCCGTCGCAACTAAGCGTAAAAGGACCACCACAGCATCCGAAGATACAGCATCATCGCCCCCTATGAAGAAGTCGAGCAGACCGTGTAAGTCCAACAATCTCTCATTATACACATTCTACCTCCTCCTTTGCCCATCATGGTAGCCGTTCTGTGATCGTTTTCTTGGCAAGACTAGACAGTGGAGATTCTGAACTTTGTCTTATCTTATCGATGAGATGCGAGCTCGGATCAAAGCGTATCGGGCGTCGGCGTCATTATTGTATCGCTGCCTTTGCTGTTGATCAACTTTCCATTCTATCACCATCATCTATTTCGTTGTCAACATCCTCACTCATCGTTCGCGCTCGTTCTCACTGGAGCACATATCATTCGTTTCTTTCCAGATTCAGCAGGCTGATCTAGTACAACCATGCCTCCAGCATACACGACGCAGCAGAAAGCAGCCATCCAGGCCTTTGTCGAAGCCACTAGCACGGACAGAGTACAAGCAGCAAAATGGTTGCGTAACCACAACTGGAACACATCGGCAGCAGCAAATCAGTAGGTTAAGACTTTCCTTCTCTCCACAATTTCGTCGTCGCACGAGGGAGCAGTTCCGGAAGTTCGGGGTGGACAGTCAAAGCTTGACGTTGATGGACGACGATGGGATGGTGAGAGTGATTTGCGCGCAAACAACCAGCCGGGGCTGAGACACAAGCATTGCTTTGCGTGTTACGAACTCTCCCTTTTGCACGCACGCCAAATATTCTCAACATGAGCGACCCCATGGACATCGACGCTTACCCATTTGGCAGGTACTTTGCTGTAGGTGGCGGCCAGGCCAGCACCGTGAGCAAGTCTACACTCAACAAGCTCTTCGACAAGTACCGAGAAGATGTAGCCAACGAACCAGACGAGGTGAACATCGAAGGCACCATGGCACTCCTCAACGACATAGAAGTCAGCCCCGAAGATGTCGGTGCTCTCATCTTCTCAGAGCTCGTCAAGTCGCCTTCTCTGGGTAGACTCACACGCACAGAGTTCGTCGACAGCCTCGCCGCTCTTGGGTAAGTCTCACAGAACTCACAGTGCATGAACTGTCTCTGACAGCGATCGCATAGTATCCCCGATATCAAGAAATTGCGCGACACGGTACAACAGAGACGCCAAAGCCTCGCTTTGCCCACTTTCCGCCCTACTTTCAAGCAAATCTACAAGCACACTTTCCTCCTCGCACGCGCTCAAGGACAAAAGGCAGTCGCACTTGACATGGCCACCGAGTACTGGCGTCTGCTGTTCACCAGCCCATCGCTCGAGTGGACTTCGCAAAACACTCCCTGGCTCGAATGGTGGATAGAATTCCTTCAAGAGAAGTACAAGAAGAGTGTCAACAAGGACATGTGGGATCAGACTCTGGTGTTCGCCGAGAAGACTCTTGCCGACGAGGCTCTCAGCTTCTGGAGCGAGGACTCTGCTTGGCCCGGTGTCATTGATGAGTTTGTCGAGTACATCAAGACCGACAAGCGCGGAGGACAGAACGCTGGCGATGCTATGGACACCGCTTGAAAGAATTGGTGATGATGTGGTGCACTGAGCACAAACAAGACATTGAAGATATTGCTGCCGAGGCTCCGCGACGATGGAAGCTAGGGAAGTTCAGTGAAGGAAGAAAGCCGCGGCCTCGAGGGGAAGGAAGATCAGATGGCTTTGACGCAAGAGGATCCAGGCGAATGGACACAGAGCAAGCATGGCATAACGGCAGCATTAGATTCACAGACGAAATGCATAATTCATGGATGGACCAGCATAATTCATGAAGGAATCAGCACACGTCACAGGGTGAAACATGTGAAATTGGTCGTCGGCTGCTACGGGAAGCGCCGAGATGATTGTTGACGGATGTGGGGGCAGCCGGCGCTGATGGCTCCCGGGACCGGCGGTGATCATTTTTTTGTTTCCTGTTCACTTGTAGCACACGACATTGTACATGCAATGGCCGACAACAAGATGGAGCCCTTTCCTCCACTGAGTCCTCCCAAGGGTGCATTCGACAAACATGGCGGACCTCCAGTCACGATGAGCAAGCCTCGGCCCCGGCGCAAGTCTAGCAGTCTTGGAGGAGAGCCACGGGGTGATACGGGAGTCGGTGCTCTCGCGACCTTGACCTCCTTGCCGCAGGTATGTCAATTGCCTTGTACATGTACTGCCGACTGAGCTGACACGACCCCCTCAGCGTACACCGACACCTACACAAGAGAAGCCTACACGAACATCGAAGCGTCGCAAAGCACGCAGCCTCCTCAAGCGCTATGTACGCGTCTCCCTTCGACACACCTGGCTGAACCCGTTGATCCTCATGCTCCTGGTCCTGGGTCTCTACGCCGTCAATCCCTCCACCTCGAACCCCTTCTACAACTGCATCTTCCTCGCCTACCCTCTGGACACCCCGGCCGGCGAGCCTACGCAATATGGCAAGGGCAAGGCCGATTTCGCATTCGTCGCTTTCTACACCATCGTCCTCAGCTTCACTCGCGAGTTCCTCATGCAACGCATGATCCGCCCTCTAGCCATCCGCCTCGGCATCCAGCGCAAAGCAAAACAAGCACGTTTCATGGAGCAATTCTACACTGCCATTTACTTTGCCATTTTCGGTCCCTTTGGCTTGTACGTCATGCGCCGCTCGCCAGTGTGGTATTTCAACACGACAGCCATGTTCGAAGGATTCCCTCACCGCAGTCATGAAGCTGTGTTTAAAGCTTACTATCTGTTGCAAGCGAGTTACTGGGCTCAACAGGCTATTGTATTGTTGTTGATGCTGGAGAAGCCGAGAAAGGATTTCAAAGAGCTGGTTCTGCATCATGTGGTTACGCTCGCTTTGATCTGGCTGAGCTACCGTTTCCACTTTACATATATGGGAATTGCCGTTTACATCACCATGGACATTTCCGACTTCTTCCTCGCTGTAAGTTTGGAGCATCTCTATTCGATATTCTGTTCTGGGGTATCTTACTAACGGTTTCTCGCAGACATCAAAAGTCCTCAACTACCTCAACTCCCCCGTTACAGGCCCTTACTTCGGCCTCTTCATCGGCGTCTGGTTCTACCTCCGCCACTACCTAAACCTACACATCCTCTGGGCCGTCCTGACCACCTTCCGCACCGTGGGCCCCTTCGAACTCAACTGGGAAACCCAACAGTACAAATGCTGGATCTCGCAGATAATAACATTTTCCCTGCTTTTCGCCCTGCAAGCCGTCAACGTCTTTTGGTTTGTGCTTATTTTGAGAATCGCGTGGAGGTTTGTCAGGAGCAGTGTTGCCAAAGACGAGAGGAGTGAGGATGAAGAGGAGGATGAGGATGTGGTGGAAGAGCAGGAGAAGGAGAGGATGAGAGCTAGTATCCCTAGTGTTGAACTCAATGGTGAGAAATTGGTCGGAGCCACTGGTAGGGATGCTACGCCTGAGGGGTTGAAGAGGAGAGCATAAGATTCCCGAAGAGAAGTATCTTTCTCTTTTCCTTCTCTTGCATAAGAAAAAGTCATGGCTGAAATAAGGAGATTGTATCCATTATATGCGTTTTTCGTAGCGAAAAAAGAACCCACCATAACTTTCTAGGCATGTTTTGATATCAAAAGATAGAAGACAAAACAACACTTTTTACATACATCTTTTCTTTTTGCGCACCTTACTTTACAACTCTACGCTCTCTCTTGGTTACTGACGAGTGAGTTTCATATGGCACAGGCCTCCTGGAGTACATGACAGTCAGCAGAGGTATGTATACAGCCATGCCTCATTTTTTATTATTGTTCTTCATCAAACGAGCAGACAACCCCCATCAGAGATTAGGTTAGTTTGGAACAGTCCGTACGTTCAAAGCCCGTCCTTTTTTCCAAAAGCTTTCTCGAGCAAATTCTCGGCTCTTTTTTTTCCCCCCCTTTTTTCTCATACCAACGGTGCAATTGTAGCAAAACCGTGGCTTGACCGCCCTGACGAGATGAAACATACAGGAAAAATGATACAACGGATACAGAAACAGTGGTAAAGGAAGAGGTAGAGGGGTGAGGGGTGAAGTGGATCAGCGAAGCATAGCATCCATCTCGATTCTCCTTGGACGATGATGTGGTAGAGATATAGAAGCGGACGGGATTGATTGTTGGTTGGGAAAGAAATTATAAGGAGAGGGGAGTCGTAGATCTAATGCCCTGCCTTCCTCGCCATTGAGGAAAATGATTAGGCTTGTAGGACTTTAGAGTGTGAGGATGATTTGATGAGTATCATGGACCTGTCAGTCTTTTTCCCCATTTCCGTCTGGGTGATCTCTTGATAACGAGATATTCCATTACCCACACCGAAAAGCGTAAGAGCGTCTTCATCCGCTCCTCCCATTCATGACATCTAGCAGTAGTCAAAGGTTGTTTCTTCTAAGATATGGATTCTTTTAATTTATCCAGGATGGCAATTTTCTTCTTCATCTTCCTTAGCTTTGTTGTGTTGTAGACTATGGTTGTTCGAACGATGACAGTGGGCAGAAGTATAAGGTGGGTCGTTCTGTACTCGTTTTTGTTCTTCTCGTAATGACTTAACTCTCTAGGTCTCGGCGAGATGTCGTTGTCTACTGACTACAGTGGTTTGTGCTGGTCCTGGCTCTAAAGATGCTGGAGTCAGGACAGACAGGAAGGTCGGGGAAGGGAAAAGGAGACCAGTGGTTCATTGAACCGAATCATCGATACGATAGCACGGCTGGATGCATCGACACGGCAGAAGTATTAGACCAAGAAGATATGGCTAAAACAGTGGGAACTCGTGGATCTGAAATTCTGTCTTCCCGTGACTCTTTCGTTGCCCACTCGATGATAAGATATCTTATTTTCACAACACACGCGCGAGATGACTTCAAGCAGTCTTCCACTGCCGTAAGACGTATCGAGTTTTGTTTGAACAAGTCTTGAACGCGTGTTTAATATCTCTCTCTCGCTGTCGTCCGTTTCTTTCATCTCGTTTCACAAAGGCTTGTCTTGACTTCCGCTCTACTCGATATCTTGGGATCTTAGACGTCTTTTGGATCTCTACAGAAGTCTGTATACCTTGATTCTCTCGGTGGAAACTGGGCAACTCAACAAATCAACCACTAGACGTGGATGAAGCTGCTCCGCTGCCCTGTTGAATCATTGGAACAGGCGAGAAAGAGACAGAGAATAAGTTAGAAGATAAGGAAGAGAAGAGAAGGGAAGGGAGAGGAGACAATTAGGTCAGTGAAGTATCCAATTATTCCTTTAATTAGCCAGTATCTCGAGATGCGAGAGAAAGTCGTATCCAGGAGGGAGACTCGAAGCGACGAGGATCATGGACCCAATGTCTTCTTCTTCCGTCCCTCGCTTACACAATCTTCTGTTTTACGATGGATTCTGCTTCCACGACAGTGGAAGGGTAAGAAGGGAAACCGAGTCTTAGGGTGAGCGATGGACCATAATGTGACCGTGGAGAATGTGTCGATGTCGCGAGATTCTTATATAACTTGGAAAAGAGAAGCAAGAATGACATGGTTGATTTTCTGGTCTTGGAAATTTTTACGACATGCATATCTCTATCCACTAGGTCATTGTAGTCTTCTATGTGAAAACCGTTCAATCGCTCTGATGGAGAGTAGATATTTTGCTGTTGTAAGTCGATGCGTTTCCTTTAACCACCCACCACAGAGGCCGCCCGTTAGATCGACAGAGTGTGGTATGGATGGAGGTATATGTGTGTGTGATTCAGAAGAGGGAGGGAGAGGGAGAGGAACAGGTCAATGATACACAGCTTTTAGACCACTTTTCTGCTACGATGATATGGATTGAGAGATCGATGCTAGAGAAAGGCGTGGAAAGGAGTATGAGCCTGGGAACTAGGGACCTGATTCCCTTACCTCGATGCTCTCTGGAGCACGTGTGTCTAGAGCATCGTAACTTAGATCTTTATGCTGCTTGCTCGTTCCGCTCGCGTTTTCCATGTACGGTCTTTTGCAGCCTGCTGGCGATTCACCTAGACTTTGATGTCCAATGTCTATAGATACCGTAGGAAATGACTTAACGTGTCAGGCTGCATTTCTATTCGATGGTCTTATGATGGCTACTTGTGTGGTCTTCGACAAATGGCTTATTGTGTTTGCACATAAAGATGATGCATTAGGATGTCGGAACCAGCTTTCCAGCAGAAGATGTTTGAGTGATTCTATCGAAGTGTTAGCAACGGTTAATCACAATGTGAAATCAACATCGCAAGCTAAATTCCAACTTTACAGCCAGAACTTCACTGCGTCTGACCTAATAGCAGTATCGTCTGAGCTTCTGAGAACGCACAGTTTTTGTTCCCATGGTTATAATGTTCAACTTTCTAGTCTCTTGTTATCTCTTCTACACAAAGCTTCCGAATCTGAAAAATCTGAGGCAGAAGTCGAGTCTCCCGTTGATATCGGCATGTACAGACGAGGAGACGAAGGATAAGTCCAGCAGGGGGGAGTGGGAGAGGGAGGTCAGTGAAGCAGTCTTCTCTAATCAATCCTTTCTGCATCGATGACTTGGAGAGATTGATGTTAGAGGTATATGGAGAGAACGGACGGTAAAGAAAGAATTATAGACCTGATGCTCCTCCTCTTGTTAGGAGTTTGAGCTATCAAGCACTGTGTATTTGGTTATCTCGTCAAAAGACAATCATGAGAAAGTTTTCTGGGTACTCAGCTGCTCACACGCTAAGGCTCGACACTGGAGAGATCAAATGCTTGGTACATCAGTTCCTGAAGTATATATGTCTGGCCGCTTTCACAATTCCCACCTACGACACTTTTGAATAAACCGGTCAAACAAACCACGACGTAGCCCGCCTTTCTTGGGAAACGAGAAGCTAAGAAACCACTTGTAAAAGATGCATTGGACTTGCAATATAGTTAGATGAGCAAAGAAAAGACTGGAGTGCCATGAATCTATGCCACCCTTGGTTGTTCTTTTCAAAGCGAACAAAAGGCCTACAGATTTCCGAACATGAATAACGGTGGAAGTACTATTCGTGTCGACTGCACATCTTCAATCCCGTCCAGCATAATCAGACATGCCTAGAACGGGTGCAATGGTCTGTGACCAATGGCAATACTACTGTTTGGCTGTAGGGAAGGCTCTCAATGTAATATGGCGCAGAGTGTGGATAAGCAGAGACCAGAGACCAGGGAGTAGAAAACGCAAGTAGGTCTGTGATCTCCCGTGTTTTGAACGACCCCTCGACGAAGATGATATAACCGAGAGAGATTGATTCTGGCAATAGAGTAAGGAGACACAGACCTGATGACCTCTTTCCTCCTCTCTGCTTGTAGCCTAATGCTCTAATTGGGAACACATTTTGTCCTTACGCTTCAAGCAGACCGAGAGAGCGAGGCGATACGCAAGATTTTCTCTCTCTAGTCTGGTTTGGTTGTGGATTTCGGCCTTCAAATTGAGACACCCACAGTGTTCAGCTCAATTCGAAACCTTCCAATACCTGCAGACTACACACTACATACAAACCACTGTCTTGAGTCCACAAGACAATGGTCAAGTCTGAATTCGTAATCTATTGCCTTGAGTCGACATACTCCATAGTAGTCTTCTTATACATGTTCAGCTCCCAGACCTTTCTCCAACAAGCTATAAAGTTCTGTTCCAACTCTGCAGTATTTCTCTTATCTAATGGACAACGCGGACGAACCTCCGGCATAACCGCATGGAGACGTACTGCCGCTCTTCAAGCTCGGCGGACCAAGCGGACGAGATGATAGGAAGAGGAGGCAGCGAAGCAGGTCAGTGAATCAGACGATCTTGATCAACTTCCTTATGTCGTTTTGAACGGAACACGGCAAAAGACTGTTGCTGGGGAATGGCGCCTCTAGAAAAGGATCGCACACCTGACGCACTTACCTTCTTGAGATCACTGTCGTGATAGCTAGTGGAATTGGAATAGGTTCTCGTCTCCATGCCTGATCCGGTGTGTCTCATTTCTCCTGTGCGACGACGCGTCTGAGCTTGTTCGAGAGCAGTATAAAGACAGAGAATGAGATCGAAGAGCAAGAGAAGAAGTAGAACGGCCGGTTCAGTGATGTCAGAAGGTGTTGCTGCATTCTCTTCGTTATCCTCGTAGAAGCTGCTAGCCCAGTTGTTGTATACCTGTTAACGTTATGTACTGTATCTTCGTATTCATCGTAAATGGATAGCTGGATTTAGTATACGTGGATTTGCGCCCTATTACAGAGTTGACGGTGGATGGAGTAAAACTCCACTCTACTCCAAACTCTAGTGCTAGAGTAGAGTAGAGTAGAGTAGAGTAGTAGGGGGGTTAGAGTAGAGTAGAGTAGTATGCTCCTAACTCTAGCACTCTAGTGGACTCTAGTAGCGTTACTAAGCTAGCTTCTAATTAGCCGACGGCTGTTTCCGGCGGCCTATAGAGCCTCTAATTAGCTAACTCTAACATTACGTAGAGCG